GTGATCAAGACATTCACTTGAAAGTATTTATTCTAATATATCATCATCATCATCATCATGATGTTACTATAATCAATAATAAAAAAAATCAATTCAAAAAAAAAAAGAAACTTAAGCCTATGTGATTCCTTATGATTCGTAGATTTGACTTGCAGGATTTTTTAAACTGGCTCCGATCAGGTAGACATATAAAATAATTCTTTTTCTTTTTTCTTTCTTTCTTTCTTTCTTTCTTTCTTTCTTTCTTTCTTTCCTTTTTTTTTATAATTCCAACTTCGTTACTATATCCTACTCATTTTATCTATGTGGTTTTTACAAATATTTACTCTTATTAAAGATAAGCTTCAAAAACAAATACTTTTCTTCTTTTTTCTTTCTAACCTCCTTCCTTTTTTTTTTTTATTATATACGTTCTTCTGACCTCGATCTTTTTACTACAACATCCATCCATCTAGAATTACCGTTCTTTCTTCTTCTCATACTTCATAATTGGTATTCTTGACAAACATCATCACTGAATGTATGTCTGAAAGATAGAAAGAAATCTAGATACACGAAGACTTGATCATTTAAATATAGGATCAATAGGATAATTACGCGAAGTGGCTATACATCTGAATCAGCGGAATGGATAGATATACAATAGGATCACAGAATGAAACGAAATGAATACATGCTATTGTCATAAGGTGTGGACAACATGGATGAACAGGATATATTATAGTATTCAACTGGATTGGATTATACAATCGATTAGAAGTATCTTATTTATCTTTTTTTTTTTTTTATTTATTCTGGTCTATGAGTCGTTAGTGATTCTTTTTAATTGTAGTTTAGAATGGTACTTAGTATATCAATTATATATATTTACATTCTTTTTCTTTAATAAAATCATAATTATTATTTTTCTCGAACAGTCATCAATGCATTTCTGTACCTGGTTCCTTGAATAAATTAAATGACAGCTGAATCCAAGCAATTGATCAATGGCATCGTTATTTTCGTTAAGAGAGAAGACGAACAATCAACAGTATACAGGTACAAGTTGCTATTGTCATGATGATGATTGATAATAAAAGAATATATATGCTTAAAATGATGAACGTAATGTATGAAATGAAATAGTAGATACTGATGTGTATATGAATCTTGTTTCTACAATAGCTTATTATTATTATTATTATTATTATTATTTTTTAGTGAAAATAAAATGATAATAATACCCATTCTTTCTTATTACTCCTTTTGATAATAATGATGATTGAGGATAAATAGATAAGTAATAGTGAAATGACAATATAATAAACAATAATAAAAATATGATTTTATTTAAAAGATAATATAATATCTATAACTAAAAGACTAAACTATTAAATAAACCAATGATAAAGAGTTGGATACTTTTCCCTGATTTGCTTATTCTTTTATCCAATATCTAGTTAATCCTATTGTATATTCCTTCATATATCTTATCTACTATATGTTCACAGAAAAAGTAAAAAAAGAAAAATAGATTAGTTCATAATATGAAAGACTAAGGAAGAAGAAGAAAAAAAAAAAACGAAAGAATAAGTATAAAGTAAGTATATAGTAAAGTATATAGTAAGTATAATATGTAAAGAGTGACTTTTAAATATATAATATAGATTAGTAAAGTAATGTATAATGGTAACTTAAGAATGTTCAAAGAGTCATTGCTTAAAAAATAAAAAAAAAAAAAAAGGAAAAGGAAAAGTAAAAAAAAAAAAGGTAAGAGCGCGCCAGGTTTTTTTTTCCATTGTCTCCAACGATTTTTTTTTTTTTTTCAATCTCCAGATTTTTTTTGATCTCGACCACCAGATCCTTTTTTTTTTTTTTTTTTTTGGAACCTCCAAACTTTTTTTTTTGATCCAACACACCCCCACATTGAGAACGGACTTTGAAGTTATACCATTTATGGAAAACACTTTTGATTTGCATTAAAAGTAAAAAAAAAATAATAAATAATAAATAATAATAAGATGATGATGAGATGGATTAAACTATTATTAAATGATAATGATAATAATAATGATAATATGAATAGTATGAATGTAAAGAAATGATGATTTTATAATATAACTATAGTAATAACATGAATATTAACTATAGTATTATAATATGTACTTCGATGAAAAAGAGTTTAGGATCCATGATCATCATATAGAGTTATCTTGATATTATCATCATCATCATCATCATCCATTTACTTTTTTATTGTTCCTGAATTATTTTAACCTTGTAGGGTTTGCTTGGATTTCTAACCTGACATATTAGAATGTGTAGATCGATTTAGTGTAGTACATGTCCTACTGCATAAAAAAATATCAATATTCTTTTCTCATCATGACATTAAGTATCTGTATTTTTTTTTTCTCTTTTAAAGATATGATATATGTATATACTATTACTGTTATTATTATAAAAAAAAAAAGGATAGAGAATAATACGTGGAGTTTGAAACGCATAAAAATCACGGTGTTAAGGGCAAAGAATTTTTACTTTTTTTTTCTTTCTATTTCCTTGCAACTTTTAAACTAAGTTTACTAAACACATATTACTCTTCCAATTATTTATAAATCTTTCCTGTATTTTGCTTTTCCTTTTGTGACCACCTCGTTCAACAATCATCTCTTGCTGGAAAGTTTTTGTAAGTACTTCAATGAATATATTCAAATTGTTATATAGTTACACCTTTTTTTTTATCTTCATTTGTTTACATCTTCGAACGGGTGAATAACAAAAAAAATATCTTCTTTACCAAACTAATATAATTCTTCTTATATTATATAAATCTTAAAAGAGAATTCTGTATGGTTCCCAATGATATCTATCACCGTAAGTTTATATCGCATAAATAATATACTATGATAACAAGAATGGATAGCTACTGAAATCATTGTTATTGTTTTTTTTTATTAGAATACCGGGTTAAGAGAAGTTTTCAAAAAATGGTGAATTGATAAAAGATTTCTTCTTTTACTGGCGAAAACAAGAAACTCTGTATATAAGGATGATGATGGTGATGGTGGATCCTAAAGAAAGACGAGAACTATGTAGGTACTCTATCTATTATATCATATTATATATTGTGAATAACCTGCTCATTCTCTCATTTCCTTTTTTTTTTTTTTTTTTTTTTTTTTTTTTTTTTTTTTTTTTTTTAGTTCTAGATGGTTTAATAGATACTTGAATCCATTTGATATCTTGGTTAGGTTTTACTTTTGAACTGACTTGATTTTGAATCAACTTGATCTTTTATGATTTTCTCTTGGAGTTAGGTCTTGATCAAACCTGCTTTAACCGTAAATCATAAACAATGAACCTCATCGCTAACTTCAGCCTATCACGATCAGGTATTGGCAATTTGGTATTACGACCCAACTCATCGACACTGCCACTTTCTTTGAGGACAATCCAATCATGCATGAAATGGAAACGAAACACTCTGGTGGAAAGAGAAATGTGCCTACCTGGGACAATCGACAATTTGCTTTTTACCGTTATAGAATGACTCTTCTGTATAGTTACAGTTACATTAGTTTTGTATTTTTATATTCACTTTCTTTTTTTATTACTTTGAACAAAATAAAGCACTGTCAAATGCACAATTCTATTTTTTTTTTATAGTACTTGGGTCATGAATTGGATGATAAGTGATGGACGATAAGTGATGGATGACAAGTGATGGATGATAATGATGGATGATAATGATGGTATTGGTGTAGATAGTGATAAAATAATAAAAAAAATAATGAAGACGAGAGCAAGTCTGTGAGATTTCTTTTTATTGAAAAAAAAGGATCGGGTTGATACTCATAGGTATTTTGTATCCTACTATGGGTGTAGATAGATATTTAAAATAAAATAGACAGTGAGATTCCCTTTATAGTCCTATTTTGGAATAAAAATTAAAAAGATCTACACTTGAACAGACATGGACTTTTTGGACTTTGGCAAGGCTGAGATTGAGACAAGAAAAAGCAAAAAAAAAAAAAAAAAAAAAAAAAAAAATCAATGTCAAATTGTTAACAGTGAACGGGCTTCAAAAATTAATCACTCCCTTTGCTTTTTTTCATTTTTTCTTTCTTTTTCTTTTCTCCATCCACTTTTCTTTTTTCCACATTAGGTGATCTCTTTGTCTATGCGATCTTGTCAAGGTAGATTTTATTGGATTTGGAGCTTTTTGAAAAAGGGATTTACAAAATACATGGGGAAACTCTTTCATTTTGGATGTAGGATTTAGTACAGGTAAATAACAAAAATATTTTATACCTTTTTTTATATGAATTGCTTGACCTAAATTTATTTTTTGTTTTGATATAATGTTCTACCATGCTAATTTCTATTCTAAGATATCAAATGCATTCAAGCAGTTTATGGGTCATATCTATTCGAGGGGTGGAAGGTAATGTATAAAGAATATTATACAATGAATACAGTATATGGTAGTAGTAGTTCTCTAAACGAACTATCCCCTCTAGTTTAGAAAATATAGTAGAATAGATAGAACGTATTTTATCTTATTGATTTTATAGCAACTCTAATAAACTCTTTATTTTCAATATACTTGTCTCTCTTATATCTGTTTCTTAACTAATTTTATGATTATATGTGTTGTGAAGCAATGATGTATATTGATATTGACGCTAAAGATGATGACGACGGCAACGATGATGATGATAAACCTATGTTATTGAGGATGATGATAAATATAATGCGATTTTACAGAGATATGTCTATGATGGCAACATTATGAAGATAACTCAATGACCATAGCAAAACTAATCTAATAAAAACAAATCAACATTTACTTGTTCATCTTCGATTGAATCGATTAGTTGATTATATTATAATAGTAACAATAATAATAGTCATAACTGGATAACTTATATCACCAAAATCTGCTTCAAATGTAATGACAGTTAATTACAATTGGATATCGTAGAACACATCAGATATTCAGGAGGTGATAAGACTTCTTAAAACAAAACAAAAAAAAAAGATGTATTTTATTTTATAATGTATTTCCAAAATAGAACATCATCACTGTACAAAAAAGAGTATAATCAAATATAAATATATAAAAAAAAAACCACAAATGATAAATACTATTAAACTATTGAGCAGCCTTCTTGGCCTTCTTCTTCTTTTGAGGAACCTTGTATTCAGTGGCGAGCAACTTGAGGATGTCTTCATCAGTAACGGACTTGTCAGATTTGATTACGGAGGCATCAAAGAGAGGATTGGTGACCAAAGTGTTACCATTCTTGGAGACAAGTACGGTGGTCAAGAATTGGGCAACGATAGCACCTTCACGTTCGTAAACAATATCATAAGGCAAGACAGTTTGATGCTTAGCACATTCCACAATACCCATACGAGCCTTGCGTTCATCTTCCAAATCACGGAGAGCAAAGGGGAAGGCACCAGCCTTTTGTTGAATTTCGGCAAGAACAGCACGGGAAGTAGCCATCTTGAGTTGATAACGAGTACCAGTCTTCTTGTAAACGGTGGTACGAGAGTCAAGTTGACGCACCTTGCCTTCGCCAGAGGAGATCAAAATATCCACACAGTATACTTCGTTTTCAGCAAATTCAACACGTTGGAAATCCTTAAGGTGACCTTCAGTGGGATTCAAGATGATCTAACATAAATGTTTTTAGTTCATCATTCTATCTTTTTTTTTTTTGTACTTACTTGTTTCTTGCCATCGGTGACATTTTGTAATTGTTGATGAGACAACATACCTTCAACAGGTTTGGTATTGTAAGCAGCAGCAATCTTGTCAACAGTCTTTGTGATTTCCATATTCTTGTTACCAGGACGAATCATACGAATGGTAGCTTCCAAAGCAGTATGAGCAGCTTGGATAACATCAGCCTTGACACCAGTGACAGGTTTATCAGCAGAAGCACCAACAACAAGAGTATGACCAACAGTGGAACAATAACCATCGATTTGAGCACCCAATTGACTAGTAAAACGTATGATTAATTCTAATTGTATAATAATAATAATAATAATAATAAAGAACTTACATCTTGGCGACATCACCTTCCTTCAAAGTGAGTTCGGATTCACTATCAGAAGCAATAGGGGAGAAATGGGCAACACAGTTGTTCAAAGAGACAGTGGTAGGGAAACCAACACCTAAATAAAATAGTTAATGTGTAACAAAAGATTAGCATAAAACCCGCTCATCTTGTTTGTTTGTCCCATCACGCTAAATTCCATTTTATTATTATTATTATTATTATTATTACCCTTGGTGAATTTTCCTTTGGTGTAAACGAGTTTGGTAGCTTCATTGATAAGTTTATCACCAGCAATACAAATGTCCATAACCTTGGCACCAACAACACACATTTTGATCACTTCAGCGAGGACCTCTATCATATGAAGTATAAAAAAAAAAAAAAAAGGAGTCAGTTCAATGTAATAACTTGGAAGTATTGTATTTACTGTTGGTAATGGCAGCGGCATCCTTGTACTTTCCGACCACATCAGAGTTGGCAATGGTGGTATCAACTTCGGGAGTGACAGGAGTCTTTTCAGCAGTTGTGGACATGATGTAGAAGAGTGAATGAAAAAGAAAAAGAAAAAAAAAAAAAAAAGAAAAAAAAGGGAAAAAGGAAAAAATTGGACAAAAAAATTTCGCGTAGTAACTTTTTTTTTCAAGCCACAAAAAAATGCGAATGAAAAAGCGGATCCTGAATCCCTATCCTTTTTCTTTTTCCTTTTTTCTTTTCTTTATTTATATAAAACATGAATTCCCTTCCTAGTAGAGTAGCTCCTAGTAGAGTGACTGCATCCATCAAAAAGAAAACTGATAAACCTAAATCCATTGCTCCAGAGTCTTCTACTTTTGGTGATCTAGGTATTGATCCTTGGTTAGTGGAAACTCTTCAAGCTATGCAAATTAAACAACCTACCGAGATCCAACGTGCCTGTATTCCTCCTATCCTTGCTGGTAAATCACTTTTATATATATATATAAAAATCCATTTCTCATTATTATTGTTATTATGTTATAGGTAAAGATGTTATTGGTGGTGCCAAGACAGGTTCAGGGAAAACTGCTGCTTTTGCTTTACCCATTCTTCAAAAACTATCTGAAGATCCTTATGGTGTATTTGCTGTGGTATTGACACCTACTAGGTAATAATAATATATAATCATACTTAAAAGAATGACAATGAAATAATTCTTTTGTTTTAGAGAACTTGCCTATCAAATTGCTGAACAGTTTCGAGTGCTTGGAAAAGGCATTGGATTAAAAGAATGTGTTGTAGTTGGCGGCATGGGTAAGAAGAAAAAAAAAAGAAAAAAAAGATTATTAAAATCAATAATATCTCATTTATTTTTGTTATATACATATATAGATATGATGACTCAAGCTTTAGAACTTGCCAAACGACCTCACGTTATCATTGCTACACCTGGTCGTCTTCGGGATCATATTCACAGTAGTTCGGGAGCAGTTGATTTGACAAGAGCCAAATATTTAGTAATGGATGAAGCTGATCGTCTTTTATCATCGACCTTTGTATCAGAACTGGGTGTTATTTTCAGTAAAATGCCTACCAAACGACAAACTCTATTGTTTACAGCCACTATGACCGATTCGATTCTAGCCTTACAGGAAGCTCAAAAGGATCCTAAAAAGAAACCCTATGTTCATGTATGTGCTATGGATACCCACACTGTCGCCACATTGGATCAGTTTTATGTATTTGTGCCATCTCAAGTACGACCAGTTTATTTGGTCCGCCTTTTACGATCAGATGAATTTAAGGACAAATCTGTCATCATTTTTTGTGGCCGATGCTCAACTGCGGAAATGGTGACAGGCATGTTGAAGGAACTTGGGATTCGCTGCACTGCTTTACACTCGGAAATGTCACAACAACAACGATTGGATTCTTTGGGTAAATTTAGAGCAGAAGTCATTAAGGTGCTGGTATCTACAGATGTTGGTAGTCGGTAAAGTTACAATATCAAGTAGTATTTTATCTTTTACTGATCTTTTTTTTATTGTTATTATTATAGTGGTCTTGATATTCCTTCAGTGGAACTTGTATTGAATTTTGATATTCCTCGAGATCCAACAGATTATATTCATCGTGTAGGTCGTACTGCAAGAGCTGGACGTGGTGGTCAATCTCTATGTATTGTCTCTGAAAAGGATGTACAATTGATTCAGAATATTGAAGCCAAAACAAGTAAGTTGGAAAAACAAAAGGAAAACAAAAATCATTTATTCATTTCTTATTTTTTATTAGATACCAAGATGGAAGAATATGAACTGAATGAAAACGTTGTGCTGAAGGACTTGAATGAAGTGACAGAAGCTAAAAGAGTGGCAACAATGGTAATAAAAAAAAAAAAAAAAGGATGATCAATTAACTTTATCTTTTTTCTTTTGAATAGCAAATGCATGACAGCAAGTTTGGCGAAAGAAAAAATGTACACAAAAAGAAAAAGTTGACTCATACAACCTAGTCCAGTTACCCTCAGTTTTCATATAAAAGCATTCATGTACATATAGTAATATCATCGTTATTAGAAGTTTAGAAAAAAAAAATAATCATATCTTTATTCTGATATATGAATAATAAAAAAAATTGTCTGTATAAACAAAAATTGGATGAAGAGGGAATAGAATACAAAATGGATGGAAAACGGTTTTAAAAGATCTATCTATAGAAAAGGGTGGGATTGTATATAATTGTATATAATAAAAAAGTGGGATTATCTACTACTAGCTACTTTTTGGCCTTGCCTTCCAAGAATTCCTTTGCTTCGTTGATTTTTGTCGCAAGATAAGGAGATCCTCCACGATCAGGATGGTTCAATAACATGATCTTTCGGTGAGCTTCCTTGATCTTGACCTTATTTGCTTGTGATTCCCTAATAGAAAAAAAAATGAATATTATTTTTTTTTAAGAAAAAAACAACAACAACAATGTATTACCTTAATCCTAGAATCAAGGCAGCTTCTCGTTTATTCATCTTGGCATCAAAACCTCCCTTGTAATATTTCGACATGCGAGGAGCCTTGGCTGATTTTGGTAACTTTTGATATTCTTGAAAAGCTTTAAGACCAAGTCGACCAGCGGTGGCAGCACCAGCAACAGCAAACCCAATAATAATAGGAGTAGACTATCAATAATAATTATAGTAAGTTCAAGATGCATTTGCTTTCTAAATCGAGATAGGAAATGCTTACCATTTTATTAGGTATGAAGTATATATGTGTGTATAGAAAGAAGAAGAAGAAAAAAAAAAAGTAAGACAAGAGAAAAAACAATGGCAAGGTTTGAGAAACCGAAATGGATCGTGACTGGCGGAGAATTGGGGGGAGGGGGGAAGGAAAGAAAAAAAGGGGCAAAGGACGACAGAAGAAAAAAAAAAGAAATATGCATGTTTGAAGACCTTTTTTTTTATTATTATTATTCAACTATTTTGTTTCTACACTAAAAGTTTCAATTATCGGTATCCATAGCAACCACATCATCTTCACCAGTAGAAGAAGAAGGTTCATTGGTTGTTGTTGTTGAAGCATCACCACGTCGAGTTCTTCCTATATCATCTCCCAATAAGTCAAGATACTTTTGCAAAGCATCACCTTCAATGATTTCAAATGGCTTGTCCTTTCCTACGATACCCAGTGATGTATTATCAATGTTCAATTCTTTGTCTTGTTGCAATGTATCACGAAGTGCTTGAAGACCATGACGTATAAGTTCTTCCAATGATGCTAGAGAAATGGTAATAAATAAAAAAACTAAGTATTTAAAGGACTGGATAATGATTGTTATTTTACCTTCAGCAAAAGATTCAAAATTGTTTTCCAAATAAGTTTTTGCAGATTGAGATCGAGCACCAATGGACATGGCATGATATTCAAAAATGGTGCCAGATGGTGAACATTCAAACAAATGAGGTCCCGTTTCCTATTGAAAATGATCATTAAGTATTTTATTTGTCATTCATCCTATGACTTACATCATAGCCGCTCACAAGAAGACCAACACCATAGGGTCTACGGCCATATTGTTGAGTATTTACTTGTGCCTCTATTATATAAATATACATATACATATTAGTATTCTTCCCCATTCATTCTATTCCACTACTTACTGTCACCAATAGCACTAACAATACGTTGTACAGGTAAAGGTCGATCATATAACATTTTTGACCGCATGGCTTCGGTACGCATAAAGTTGCTAATCATCAATAATTAAGTGTTAAGACTTTTTTTTTATTTTGTTTTGGAGAATAAAGACGAACTTACCTCAATACACGAGCATCAGAAGTTAACCCAGCAATACCAATACCCATATGATCATCAATCTTGATAAGTTTCTTTTGATAAGAGGCAAGTTCACCGGAAGAACGCTAAAAGTATAATAACAATAATAAAAAAAAAAAAAAGAGAAAGAGAATTGGAATCAAGAAAACACCTTTTGATAAATGTCATATTACCTTGAGAGCTAATAACACTACGTTTTCATTACTTCTCAACCCAATAGCGGCTGATCCTTGTTTCACAGCTTCAACAGCATATTCTACTTGATGGATACGACCTTGTGGGGACCAAGTGGTGACATCATTGTCGTATTGGTTTCGAAACTAAGGGAAGAGAAAATGTTTAAGATGGTTTTGTTCGTTTATATCGTTATTTATATTTTACCATGATTCAAATGGACAAATTTAAAAGACAAGGAAAGAAAATAAATAAAAAAAAAAAAGAGGCGAATTTGAATAGATAACAAAAGAAAGAAAGAAAGAAAAGGGGAACTATTGCGCGTTTGATTTTTTTTAGGGAAAACTTTTTTTTTTTTGAAGTGAACGCGCGGCAGTTGCGGGATATGAGTGAATGAAAAAAAAAAAAAAATTCGGGTAGCTCACTGAGCTGGATGACGTACTTTTGAATAGCGAATCAAATTTCCTTATTTGTAATGTTCAAGATTCTTAAAAAAAAAAAAAAAAAGAAAGAAATACATGATCAAGTATCTGTGAAGCCTCAATTACATCTCAAAATAAATACAGAATGATTACAGATATTCGTCGAATCTTGATGCCTCATCATAACTCGGTCAATCCCCTTTTGGAAATGATATCATATGTAAGTGTGGAGAAAAGAAAAGAGTGATCGAGAGAGGCATAATACTGTATGATGATCATCATCATTGCCACATCATCAACAACCGTTACTGTAATCATATCATCCACCTTTAATCATCCTCGTCTAATCATCATTTACCATCACATGACATAATCATTACCAAAAAAAATCATCATGGAAATAATACATCATCACAACAGTAAAAAAAGAAAAAAAGATATTTTATAAAAATAATATTTATTTAGTGTATATACAAAGAAAACAAATAAGAACTAGTTTTGTTCATGGATCACTTGCTTGCCAATAGCTTCTGGGTGAGCGATATCGAATTCTCGACGTAACATTGAATATACTAGATCGATCAATAACATCACTTGACCAAGATTGTATACAAGAGTGATGGCATAAAAAAAGTTGGCATTTCCACTTCCTGCATAGATCCATAAATGCCAAAAGATCGGTGCCAATACGGATGAATAAAGGAAAAGGTTGGCCACCAAAAATCCATATCGACAATCTATGAAAAAAAAAAAAGAATGGAGAATGCATCAGCAAATTGTTTTTTTTTTTTTTTTTTTTTTTTGGTTTTACATTTGAACAATTCATCATGAAGAGGCACCAAAGATAGGTATAACGTGGCATCACCTACTGAAGGATAACTTTTAAAAACTGCCACAATTCCACACAGAATAGTCAATACAAATACAGGACGATTTCTATCAAAAAAAAAAAAAAAAAAAAAAGAAAAAGAAAAGGAAGATGTGAGTAGTTAATAATGATAGAAGCAAGTATACCTGAATCGGATGCATAAAGGAGCCACAAAGATAAATGTGTGGAACTGGAATACCATCAAGAAAAAGGATCGGAACTGATCAAAGATTTCAATAAAAAAGTACCAAAACATACCAACGTTGGGAGTCAAATCTGGTAAGAATAGACTATCCATAAAATATATGTGATCAGTAGTTGAATGTGATCTATTGTAAAAGTACTTACATGACACCATATGTCGCATTCAAAAATTCCCAAGATCCTACCACCAATCTAGAGATACCAAGTAAAACAAGTAATGTACCAACAAACGACGTGATTGCCATTGTCTATTTCAAAGAAAATGTTCCGTAGGTTAATGTATTCGATGATTCGTTGCAAACTTACCATGTTTCGTCTAGGTAGTAATAATATCAACGGAGGTACTAGCATTGCAGGATAAACACTCAGATAACTAGCCAACGCGATCCACATCATGGAAAAATCATAGCGACCTACAAAAGAAACAGTCTAAGTCAAAAGTATTTCTTGAACAATTGGTATACCTATTAATGCCCAAGACAGTGCCATGATCACACTTAGATTCGTGAAGAGAATAGTCGACTTTGAGACACAGGAGAGGATGGTAAGAGGATTAAATAGATAGAGAGCAGCGACTGTTGTTGGATGGATCAGATCGATTTCTTTTTCAATGGCTAAAGTAGGTTGGTTCCTTTCAAATTGTTGTTTCATCAAGGTGATCTTTTGAAGACAGTGTGCTATGGCAATATCGAAGATACTGTATAATAAAAACGTAGCCATGTCCGGTAATTGAAGAAGGAATGAAAAAATGATAAGAAGGAGTGGAGCCTAACCAATAATAATAATAATAAAAAGGATCAGTACGAACCATGTATCAACTATTTTATATTACCTGATGAAAGACACCACCATCATATGGTGGAACATGACTTTGATAAAGGAATACACCTTCTGTCACTAATAATAAAATAATAATAATAATAATAATAAAAAAAAAGAGCATTGAGTGTGAGTTTGTTCAGTTTTTGTTGTTGTTGTTGAGGATTTACATCTTTTAAAGCTGGTCACAGGAGTTGATAATTCTACACGTTGTAACAGGGTATCAGCAATAGGAGGTAAACTAAAGATGACAAGTCGTATGGCAATAGCAACAGAATAGAGGAGAAAAGTATTCCATGATCTAGTCTTTCCGAAAGACTTTTCAACAGATACCATCCTCGAAAAAAAGAAGAGACCCTTCTAAAAAGACAAAAGACAAAAAAAAAAAAAAGAGAAAAAAAGAAAAAAGAAAAGAAAAAGAAAAGAAAAATTGGACAATTTCAATGAATTCCAAATATATATATAAAATGCACGACTGTCAATTTTGATATTTTTTTTTTTTATTGGAAAGACATATATATATATACATATATACTATCATTCAAAAAATAAAAAAGATAATCAATGTATCTAAACTACAATAAAAACAGTATTATCGTCAATCCATATACAACCATTTCAAATAAAAAAAGAGACGAGTTGAGAGGTGTAGTTTTTGTTTAGTTGGCCTTCTTGCGGAAAGAACAACCTTCAGTCAAACGAGCGCGACCACCAGTGGGTTGGCACAAGACGGTACCACAGGATGAGCAAAGCACAACAGTTTGAGCATGGGAGAAGACGGTGCTGATGTTCAAACAACCTATAAACGAAAACAAAAATTCATTTAATTTCACCAAAATTCGTTCTAAAAAAAAAAAAGATATCTATCCATACCAGGGCACTTGACGTCCATGAAGTAAGAGTTGGGAGATTGCACAAGTCTCTTGAGCTTGTGAGAGCGCTTTTCATGTTCAACAGTAGGGTGAAGAAGATCGACGGCCAACTAAAAATAAAGAGTAAAAAAAAAAAAAACATTAGTTAAACGTGATATAAAATTCGCTTATCCCTTCCACACAATTGATTCATCGTTTCGAGTCATTGTCGTTATTATATATATGAATTCAAGAATTAATTGTCCATACGAGAATGTGTCATCTCTACTGACAAATACATTCAAAAAAAAAAAACTACCATCCATCCATCCATTTGAATATCCATCCATCCATCCTTATAAAGTATCATTTCTGTCGATTCGATGTGTGTATCCCCCTCCTTTTCATGATTTCTGATCACTTACAGTCATGTTGCTATGTGTGTCGAAAGGCTCGAAAAAAAAAAGGGAAGAGCAAATATGATTCTGGACAAACGTACAGTTTTATCAAACACACACCCGAAATGGAACTCCGCAGTAAAATCCAATTAGAGGCCGCGAAAATGGAACAAGAGGCATGGAGGTATCATCTGTTCATATACTGCGACAGGATGAAAAAAAAAAAAACTGCGGTTTGGTAGATCATGTGTAAAACAAACATAAAAAATAAAAAAAAAATAGAAAAAAAGAGACTTTATTGTATATGAATGGAAACTATATTAAATAACTAAAAATTTCATCCTTCAAATGACCATTCAAATTGTTTGGCCAACATCCTTGGTCGTCCATGTAGTTTTGATGCATCACCAAATTCCTGTACTCGTTGTCGAATAGCCATCCATACCCTATGTACATCACCGTTGTCTGATTTGTGAGCCTTGATCATACGTCGAATAGCAGCCAGATTTTCCTGTCGAAGAGCCTTGAGTTGTAAAATACGTTCTTTGCGTCTCCACATTCCACGACCAAGTACTACCGCATCAAATAAGCGCCAGCGCCCAGTCAAATCTTTGAAGTTCTCATATCGTTCGTCAATAGATACATTATGATACCAAACAAAAACACCAAGAGTAGCCAATGCAACAAAGAAACCAAAGAAAGTACCACCAAATAACATGTACCAAGCCCATAAGAAGGAACCAATATAAATCACTGGTAATAAAGCCAATCCAAAGAAGATCTTGTTCTGTGCACGGACCTCTTCATAGATTTCACATTTACCAGCATAGAAACCAGCCAAATATAAAGGAAGATGTACCATCAAACCAGGTAAAAATAATGGCAAGTCAATCAAGGATGTCAATGTACGTCGTAATAATTGAATAGTGGTGGATGCTGCTGTGATGTTTCTTTCATTATAATTCGCGATATGTGAATCCTTGAGTAAAAGATCTTCCAATTCCATCTTGTAAACACGTAGACTTTGTTGTAATGATTGGATTTCCGGATCCTTGGCGCCAATTTCGGTCATACAGTCAATCAAGCTACCAAAAAAAAAAAAAAAATGAGGATACATATATATATTCCTTTTTATAATCTTACCTTTGAGTAACAGGAACATAATCTTTCATCAGACCATTTTCACCAGGAAATAACAAATGTCGAGCCATTTCTGCAGCATCACGAATATCCCAATTAGGAGCATTGACAGTCAATTTTTCAGTAGCCAATTCTATATCTCTAGTCAATTGCTTGGCTCCCTTTTTGGGATCTTGCAAGTAAATGGTTAGATAAGGATCAATATTGATAGGTTCGCCATATCTATTTTGAAATAATAATAATAATAATAATATTAATAATGATAAATGATTATTGAAATTTCATCTATTATGATATTTACCTAACAATCACCACACTACGGTATTTGGATTTTTCTGGATATACAATCCCCACAGGAAGAATAGCAGCTTGCTTTGGTAATGCTCCATCAGGATTTGGATGAGGATTTTCAAGTATAATCTTTGCATATTCTAACGCAGCCTACAATCAAATGAGTGTATTAATATACAAAAAAAAAAAAAAATCAATAGAAACCTACAAAACTAGCACCATCTTTATAGATACCAAGACGAGGAAGGGTATGACTTGTACCTTCAGGAAATACAGCAACAGCTTCACCTAAACGTAAAACTTCAAAGGTAGACGAATATAAAAGAGCATTGTTTTTGGTTGTTCGGTCTACGGGTACTACACCACAGTTTTCGAGAAAGAGTTTGGCATATGGATGTTTGAACATTGTATTCTTAGCCCAATAATGTAATCGACGTTGACCAGGGTAAGTAACTGATAGTACTGCAGGATCTACAATCATATTATGATGAGTTGCCGTTCTATAATAAATAAAAAAATCCGTAATAGTATAAGTAACATGATGAAGTATTCTTGAATATATTTACACTATAAGTGGGATATCAGTAGGAGCCAAATGAGCATTTTCTAATTTTATATCAGTAAAGAAAGACCACAAGGCAGTTCTAGATATAAGACAAACAAGTTCATGACCAATACCAAAAGGCATAGTAAGTTGTTTAATGGAAAGGGGAAAAATACCAAAAAAAAAAAAAAAAGTTTAGTTTCAAAGAAGAAAAAAAAGATTTAAAAAAAAATAAAGAGGTTACTCGAACTTTGGGGGAAAAAAAAAATCAACAGAATCGGCTATTGAAAAACCCATTCTCATCAAAAATAATTATTCACGTGGTTGAAAAAAAAAAATACAGTTTGTCCCCCCCCTTGCCGATATTCAATCGTGCAATTCGATTATAAACCCCATGATGTATTCATGCAATAGTAACAAGTAAAATAGCTCTTCAACCAATCATCTAACAGTTTCATCATAATTTTTTTTTTGTTTTGTTTATTTGGGAAATAAAAATAAAAAAAGAAACGATTTTCTCACTTGGTTTTTTCCTTTTCTTTTCTTTTTTTTTTTCTCTCTCTCTTTTTCTTCACAGCAAAGTTTTTATGATATCATGTATTCACAGGCAACTGTGATAAAAGCAGAGACTATGCCAACAGGACCTGACGTATCATCATCATCATCATCAATGGTACCTGAGCAAGTAACAACTAGACCAGCTGAGCCAGCTGAAAATGTACCACCTACTATGGTGAATCCATCATCAGCTGAAGCTGTAACATCTAGTGGTGGTGGCTTCTTTGGTTCATTTCGAAAAAAGATGCGTGAAGCGGCTGGTATAGATTCACCATTCGTTAACCCTTATTTAGGAAATGGTCATCCTTCCACACGGATCCCTCCTTATGGACAAACATCATCATCATCACCTGCTGGTCCTCCTATATCATCTATTCCAACTCATCATCCTTTCATATCACCACAACCTCCATGGGATGATTATTATTATCAACAACAAGCTATGATGTATGGTGGTGGTATGTTTCCATATCGCATGCCTACGATGAATTATCCAATGGGAACAGGTTATTATGGCACTCCATATATGTCACCTTATTTTTATCCAAGTAATAGCTTACTCGATTATTATCAAATGCATAACCCATATCATACTGGATATCCTTATTTTGGTATGCCTTATACTGCTAGTGCTTTACCTGTTCAGGACAAACGTTTATTACCAGAGAGAAATTATTTTAGTGCTGTCAAAGATATTTGGCATACAAACCTTCAATAAAAAAAAAATAAAAAAGGAAAAAAAGAAAAAAGAAAAATGATTACCTTTTTTAGATATCGGAGTGTCAAAGCCATGAGTTGTCTTTTCTTTGGAGGTCTGGCGTCACATTTCTTTTTTAAATTTTTCGCCAAGTCGTTTCTTCTTTCTACATTTCTTTTTTCTTATTGAATCATCTTATTTTTTTTTCTTCTTCTTCTTCATTCCTTTAAACTATTTGAATATGGATTCTCAACTTATCAAGACAGGTATGAATATTAAAAAGAATGGTTTAATATTATTCCATTCTTTCACGCGTGATTCTCATCACCCCTTTTTCTTTTTCTTTCTCTTTTTTCTTTTTTTTTCTTTTTCTATTTCTTTTTTTTTTTATCGTCACTATAGTGAATAAACTTCAAGATGCATTTGCTACTGTGGGTGTACACAATCCTGTTGATTTACCTCAAATTACTGTCATCGGGTCTCAGTCAAGTGGTAAAAGTTCGGTTTTAGAAAACATTGTGGGTCGAGACTTTTTACCAAGAGGTACTGGTATTGTTACTCGAAGACCTTTGGTAAGTAAAAATAAACTTTAATGATAACAAGTGATTTATTTTTCTTTTCTTTTCATGAAATAGATATTGCAACTTATCAACCGACCTGCTGAATCATCTACTGATAAAGATACCAAGACAAATGATAAGGAAAATCCTAACGAATGGGGTGAATTCCTTCATCTTCCTGGTGAAAAGTTTTACAATTTTGACAAGATACGAGAAGAAATAATTAGAGATACTGAACTCAAGACTGGAAAAAATACTGGTAAACAATGATAATAATAATAATAATAATTGGTGATAGTAATATATATATATATATATATATATATGTATCTCATTCTGTCTTTTTTTTTTAGGTATCTCCCCTCAGCCTATCAATTTACGTATCTTTTCTCCCAATGTATTGACTTTAACCATGGTGGATTTACCTGGTTTGACAAAGGTAAGTAAAGTTTTTATTTTTTTTTTTATTTTTTATTTTTTATACGATCATCATCTTGACCTTTTTCTATATATTAGGTACCTGTTGGAGATCAACCAAAGGATATTGAAAAACAAATTCGTGAAATGATCTGCAAATATATCACCAAACCAAATGCCATTATTTTAGCTGTTACAGCTGCCAACACTGATTTAGCAAATTCAGATGGATTGAAATTAGCAAGAGAAGTCGATCCTGAAGGATTAAGAACTATTGGTGTACTTACAAAAGTGGATTTAATGGATCAAGGAACAGATGTCATTGATATTTTGGCTGGTCGTGTGATTCCCTTACGTTTAGGTAGGGTTATCATTATAGATTAGTTTTATTTTTATATTCATTATTTGTATCTTCATTAGGTTATGTACCAGTAGTGAATCGTGGACAGCGTGATATTGATAGCAAGAAAAGTATCACTAAAGCACTCTCAGCAGAAAAAGATTTCTTTGAAAATCATGCATCTTATCGCAGCAAAGCTCAATATTGTGGTACTCCTTTTTTGGCTAGAAAATTGAACATGATTTTGATGCATCATATTCGAAATACTTTACCGGAAATTAAGGCAAAAATTCAAAATGCTTTGGTCAAATATCAACAAGAACTTGCTCAGTTGGGTGATCCTCTTGGTGATGGCTCCGCAAATCAAGCCAATTTGGTCCTCAATATTATCACTGAATTCTGTACTGAATTTCGTACTATCATTGATGGTAATTCTAATGATCTATCAAGCTTTGAATTATCTGGTGGTGCTCGTATTAGTTTTGTCTTTCATGAACTCTATTCAAATGGTGTCAAAAGTGTAGATCCTTTAGAACAAATCAAGGATGTGGATATTCGCACCATTTTGTACAACTCTTCGGTAAACTATCTCAAATTTTCTTTCTATATCATTGCTTACTCTCTCTCTCTTTTTTTTTTTTTTTTTTCTATTCATAGGGTTCCTCTCCTGCTTTATTCGTTGCCACAACTGCTTTTGAAGTGATCATCAAACAACAGATCAAAAGATTAGAGGAACCTAGCATCAAATGTATCAATATGGTATATGATGAACTTGTCCGGATATTAGGACAACTTTTAGGCAAACAGGTAAAAATAGAAGAAACAAAAAATAATAATAAAAAAAGAGAGCTGACATTTTTTTTTTCCCTTTCCTATCTTTCTATAGTTCTTCAAACGTTTCCCTACTCTCAAAGAAAAGTTTTACCAAGTTGTTCTTTCCTTCTTCAAAAAAGCATTGAATCCTACCACGAAACTTGTATCAGACCTTGTAGCGTAAGTACTCAATAAAGATCAAAATTAAAATTCGGATTCTCATAACATTTTATAATATAGAATGGAAGCTTGTTATATTAACACTGGTCATCCTGATTTCTTGAATGGTCACCAAGCCATTGCTCTTGTCAACGAACAACTTCAAGCTAAAACTCAACCAACGGCACCAACAAGTGAAGTTAAACAGCAAACCAAAACTCCCCAACAATTAGCTCTTCAGACAGGTCAACAAACAACAACTTCCAACAGTGATGAAAGTGGATTCTTTGGTAGCTTTTTCTCTGGTCCCAAGAAAACAAAAAAGATGAGTGGATTGATGGAAGCGGTATGTAAAATATTCATGTTTTGATGATATGTACTGACTTTTTCTATTTATGATTTAGCCCCCTTCAACTCTCAAGGCCACTGGCGCATTGTCAGATCGTGAATATATGGAAACTGAAGTAATCAGTAAGTATCATTCTTTTTCCTCAAAATAATAATAAAATAAAAAGGAAAGATGACTTAACTTTATAAATTAGAATTGTTGATTCAATCGTATTACAACATTGTCAAGCGAACGATGATCGATATGGTGCCCAAAGCTATCATGCTCAATCTTGTTACTCATGCCAAGGAAGAATTGCAAAGGGAATTATTGACCGAATTATACAAAGCCGATGTACTAGATGAACTTTTAGAAGAATCCGAATTTACCCAACAAAGGCGGAAGGAATGCAAGAAAATGATTGAAGCATTACAAAAGGCTGATGAAATTGTCGGATCTGTTTGAATGACCAGTATCCTTCTTTTAGTCTAGTTTATATAATATATTATCGTTCATTATTAGATTATGCTTTCAATTTTTTTTTTTTTTGGTCTTCATTCTATATATCACAATAAACATGGTAGTGTGTATTTATGTCTTATAAAATACTTTTATTATTCTTTATTTTACTTTAAAAGAATATTCCCAATTCGACTCTTTATCATATCACATCCATCTACACATCAATTAAACCATATTTCAACCTACCAACAAAATCAATCTGTCCAAACCAATTTTTATTTATTTACAAAAAAAAAAAAAAAAAAAAATAATAACAATAATAACAACTATCTGTTATCTATCTAATTCTAACCACATCTAGTCTATATTCTACATTTTTTCTAAACGAGAGACCAATTCATTAATCATATCAGCACGATTTACAATGACACCACCACCTTGAGCTTGATTCTTTGCCGTCATCTCCTTGATTCGAACTTTATCTTGATCCAATTCATCCTTGCCAATGATCACAGCTAAAGGGATCATGTCGTTTTCGCATGCTGTCCATTGTTTTTCTAGTTTTGGTTTATTCTTGTACATAAAGGTAGCATTGATACCTGCATTCCATAGTTCCTTTGCCAAGTGCATCCGTTCCTTTAACAAGCCATCTCCTACCGAGATCACATATACTTGAGTTTCATTACTTTTGATCGGTCGTTGTTCATGTTGCGCCATCAATATGGAAAAAATACGTTCGACACCAATGGACATACCTACACATGGAATGGGTTGTTTGGGTTTCATTTTCTTTTTTTTCTTGTTGTCATCATCACCAGCTAGAAACATGCCCACCAAATCATCATATCGTCCACCAGCAGCAATCGAACCCATATCATCGACGGAAGGATTAACAGGAATGGCTTCATAGATGATTCCAGTGTAATAGTCAAGACCACGAGCCAGACTGAGATCAAACGTCATCTTGTGCCGAACATCAAAGATGTCAAGGTAATCGAAAAGTAGAGACATGTCCTTGATGCCTTGAGCTGCACTTGGGTTGGCCAACAGTGCTTGATCCTTCATGAGTGTATCCAATAAAGTAAAGTCGCCACGATGTTGAACGTATTGACCAATCTTGTCTGCCACGGAAGGAGCCAGCCCCCTGTCGCTAATGAGTTCCTGTCGCACTTGAACCCATGTCATCTTGTCTAGTTTGTCAATTGCTGATGATACAGACCGTATAGCATTGTCGGGTACGCCACATACTTGAAAGATACCGTCCAAGATCTTGCGATGATTAATTTTGATGGTGAATGGATGAGGCAAATGGAGACAATCGAGGGATTCACACAGAATACGTAAAATATCAGCATCAGGAATCATGGGATCATATGTTCCAGCAATATCAAAGTCGCATTGATAGAACTCACGAAGTCGTCCTTTTGTCATAGCAGGTTGATCACGTCGGTAAACTTTGCCTATTTGGTATCGTTTCAATTGGTATTGGTTCAGTTCTTTGCCATGCATTGCCAGGTACCGAGCAAAAGGTACAGTCAGATCGTATCGTAATGAACAGTTTTCACCTCCTTGTTCCGCCAAGTCGTAGATTAGTTTGCTTTCTTCACCATACTTGCCTGCCAAAATGTCTTTGAGTTCAAACACTGGTGTATCGATCGTCACCCCGCCATGTCGTTTGAACACTCTTTGAATACTATTGAACATCTTTTCCCGTACAGCCATTTCCTTTTCATTGTAGTCGCGTGTTCCCTTGGGTGTTTTTACACTATGGTAGTTTCGTCGTGATCCATGGTTTGATAGGTCTGCTAAGTTATCAATATAAAAAAAAAAAAAAAAGGAAAACAATGGTTACAAAGGTGGATTTCTTTGGTTGTTAACGAATATACAAATTACCTTGATACAAATGAGAAGATGGAAATAGAGCTAAACTATGATATGGTTTGATGTGGGATACATTCAAAACAAAAAGTCTAGATCTATTGAAAGCAAGTCGAATATTCATAAAAAAAAAAAAAAAAAAAAAAGGGATAGGTAAGAAAGAAAACAAGATTTTTTTTTTTGATTTCATTTTCTTCCTTCCACCAATTCGAAACACCGCCTGCCTTTTTTTTCTTATTCACAAAAGACTCCAACCATTTGCCTTTTACATCTTCAACATGTACCTCTTTCTAGTTTTGTAGCTCACTCAAAAATGATCATGAGTATCATTCTTCTTTCAATTTCCCTAATAATAATAATTTATACCCCAATGTATAGAGTAATTTAAAAATGAAGTGTCAATATCGTCATTTCTCATTCAATAATGATCATCATCCAATAAAACTACCACCATTGGATTCCTCTTAAAAAAGTAGCTAAATATCATCTAATACCATTTCATCACTTATCTTTCCAGGTAATGTGCAATAAACACCAAAAAGATTTCATCGATTTTTTTAAAAAATGCCTGATGTACCCTCGACGATTTATTTTTACAGCTAAAATTAAGCTGAGGAGTTCCAAATTTTTGGCTGTAAAGTTCAAAAACTGATCCCATTTTTTCATCCTGCATACAAGCTTGGAAACAAACTTTACCTTTCCCTTTCTCTCTCAAAAGTCATCATCATTGCACCAAACGTAAACAGAATATAAAATGAACTATTTTCTTGAAATATGCAATTTATGTATTATCATTTACATTTATAAAAAGTAAATTTAAAAATGATCATCCATATTATCGTCCTTCTCCTTATCTTCCTAATTGACATGATATTTGCAGGCATCCACGAATGAGTATAATAGAATTAAGTTTTGCATTATACTATCCTATTTCTATTTCCCATACTTTCTACTACACTCTAAAGATTACATTGGATCATGACTAGAAGATTTAAGAGATAATGTTTTTTTTTTAATTTTATTTTTATTTTATTTTTTTATTTAAAAAAAGGAATTGTTGATAGCAAACAAAATAAAACTAACTATATAAAAAAAAAAAAAAACAAAAACGGCAAATATACAAATGATATAATTCAATCCTTCCCCAACCAAATAATCATCCATCTTTAAGCAACCCGTAAGATACCAGCATTCATGAGCTTGCGAATATTGTTGGCAATTTGAGGATTCTTCAAATGTTCTTGAGCGGCCTTGGGATCAGCTTGCATTTGTTGAAGGATTTGTTGCATGACAGGATCAGATAGAATACGTTGGATTTCAGGATCTTGAGCAGCACGTTTCAATACTTCTTCTTGAGATTCTTCAGCACCGCCTTGAGCACCACCAGTGAATGGATTCATAGCAGCATAAGCCTTGTTGAGTTGTTGTTGAATTTCACGACTAGCTTTATTATCCTTGTCACGAGCTTGAGCTTCTCGAAGAGTATCAATAGATTCTTGATAATCTTTTTTGGCAAATTGTACAGCAGCCTTGCGAATGTAACCACGAACTATATATATATAAAATAAATAAAAGTTAAAATTCAATCATATTGTTTTGGATGATAATAACTTACCAAAATCAGGATCCAATTCAATACACTTGTTAGCATCCTTTTCAGCTTCATGAACAGCCATGAGTTTCAAATAACAGACAGCACGGTTAGAATAGGGTCGAACATCCTTGTCATTTCTTTTGATAGCTTCAGTATATTGTTCAATAGCATCAGGCCATTTGCTTTCCTTGAACAAAGCATTACCAGCTTCACGTGCCTTGTCAGCCAATTCAGGATTATAGTATGCAGCCTTTTCTTGTTCTTTCTTGGCTTTTTCAGTATCACGAAGCTTTTGAAGAGTATCGGGTGTTCGATGTTCAGTCAAAGATTTACCATAGAACTTGATCGCGGAATCCAAATCATTTAACTTGACATAAGCATTACCAATACGTTGAAGAGCTCTATCCAATAGTAATGATAAAAATCATTATCAGTATATGTTTTATATTCATCTTTTTTTATAAATTAATTTATTTACCTAGCAATCAACTTGAAATCGGCTCGAATGTCGCGTCCTTTTTCAACAGCATCTTCACATACTTTGATACATTCAGGATAGTTTTCTTGTTCAAACAAAACAGCTATTGATGAAAAATTAAAAAAGGATGAGTCTTTCTTTATTACTTGAAAAAAAAAGAAAGATGATTTTACCTGCTTTATTGGTTAAAAAAGTAATATTGGAGTTATCCAATTCCCAAGCCTTGTCATAGTGAGTCAAAGCTTCTTCAAATTGACGTTGCTTATAAGCTTTGTTTCCAAGTTCCTTTTCGTTCAATGCTTGTTGCTTAGGGTCGTCAGACATGATGAATGTTAGTTTGATTGGGATAAAAAAAAAAAGAAAAGAAAAGAAAAGAAGAAAGGAAAAGAAAAAAGAGGAAGGAGAATGAAATCATACAAAAAAAAGATGCTTCGAGAATTTCGCGTGACTGACACAAAATCAAGCAGGCGGGTATGGAATTGCCTTTGTACAAACTGTAGCAGATCCCAGTCAAATGATAATGAAATGTTTAATTCAAAATACATAAAAATAAAAAAAATCATCTTTTCCCTTATTATAATAATAAAAAAAAACAATGTCATTATCTCTTTTAAAATTAGAATTTAATTGTTGGCAAAATGGTTAATATGTTACAAGACTTGCTTCACAATTTGACTCAATCAGCTCCGCACCCGGGATGATTCTTTATTTATTTTCTTTTTTTTTTTTTCTTTTTCCTTTTTTTCTTTTTCTTTTTCTCCCCATTCTTCTTCTTTATATCTTGACATATACAAAACATTGTAAGTTGAAAACAAATGATAACAATATATTCGATAGACTTATTTAACTTTTATTTTTACTATTAAAAAAAAAACATTAGATGAACTCTATAATAAAATGGACACCATTACTGACTAGAAATAAACGACTCTTTGCGACTTCGCGACGATTTTACACGACGGAGTTGAATACAGAACAAAAGAAAATGGGTGCAGTCAAAGGAGGGTAAATCCAAATAAAGAAAAAAAAGAAAAGGGAAGAGTAAAATCACTGGTTTTATTTTTTTTTAAAATAGTAACTTGCTGTTTTTTTTTTCTTTTCTTTTTCTTTTTTTTTTTGACTTTATACTGATCTTTTTTAATGATGAATAGATTGATTGGGTTTTTAGTTGGTGTGTCCATCACAGGTGCTATTGGTTATTATTATTTACTAGAAGAATATAATAGTGCATCCGAATCATTAATGAAATCTGTGGAAGAACTACAACATAGTACAGAAAAGGCAAGTATTAAAAAAAGAACAATGAAAATGGATAAATGATTTTTTTTTTGTGTCTCCAATCTAATAGGTTCGGGATTATGCACAACGCATTGAATCTATAGACAAAGACTTGACCAATTTAAAGAAAACCGCAGCGACTCAACAACAATTGGATGAAAGCAAGATTCAACTCCGGAAGCTCTATGTAAGTGATTTGATTGGGGAAACGGTAACAAGATCAGGGCGAAACATCTGAATTTCAACTATTTTTTTTTTTTTTGATAGGATACATTGAATATTGAACATTTGGATTTGAAGACTCATGTTTGGGGATTAGGTAAATATATATATATAGATGATGATTAAGAATGATAATAAAAAAAAACTAAAACTAAATACTTTATTTTTATTTTATTTTTGTTTTTTATTTTTTTTTATATAGAAAAAGATTTGAATACACTTATAGTTAGAAAATAAAAAAGTGAAATAAAATTTTTTTTTCGGATTTGAAATATGATTTGTTTCTGAATTTTTATTGGATAATGAATTCAAAAGCCACACTTTGTCTAAAGTAGATATTTAAAAAAAAAACTTTTTTTTTTGTTTTCCCCTTTTTTTCTTTTTCTCTTTAACTCTTCTGTTCCTTTTTTTTTTTGTAATCCTTTACCTTCTTCTTCTCCCCCGCTCATTTTTATTACAATATTTGAACAGAAATGCCTGCTGCTGCTGCTACAAAGAGCGATATTGAGACCAAGAAGGTTGCGGTTTTAGCTGCCTCTGATGTCGAACTTAAACAAGCCAAGGAACTCCTTACCAAGCTCTCTGGTGCTTCCGATGCCGATCGTCAAGCTGCTGCTGAAGAACTCGTTGCTTTTGTTCAAGCCAATGGTGTTCGTGCTCTCAAGCAATGTAACATTGTAGATGCTATTGCCAAGGATCTTAGCAACAAGAAGAATGCTGGTGCTCGTCAATCTGGTATTGCTGCTATCAAGGCTTTTACCTCCGTTGCTCAAGCTGAACCTTATACTATTTCTTTCTTGTCTACCCTTTTGGAACTTCAAGCTGATAAGCAAGCTGCTATCAAGGATGCTGCTGCTGAAACTGCTCAAGCTATGGCTCTCAACTTCAACCCCAATGCTGCTTATCTCTTGATTCCTAAAATCTTGGAAGGTCTCGGAAACTCCTGCAAGTGGCAAACCAAGATGCTCTCTTTGGCTCTCATTGATACTTTGGCCAAGAACCACCCCAAGGAATTCTTCGTTACTATTCCCGATGTCATTCCTGTTGTCTCTGATTGTATGTGGGATACCAAGACTGATGTCAAGAAGGCTGCTACTTCTACTATGGGTAACATTTGCTCTTTGATTGAAAACAAGGATATCGAACGTTTCATTCCTGCTGTTATTGGTTGTATCAACAAACCTGAAAATGTCCCTGAAACTATTCACTTGTTGGGTGCTACTACTTTTGTCCAAGAAGTTGACTCTGCTACTCTTTCCATCATGGTTCCTTTGTTGGGTCGTGGTTTGAACGAACGTGCTACTCCTATCAAGCGTAAATCTGCTCTTATCATTGACAATATGTGTAAGCTTGTGGATGATCCTGAAGTCGCTGCTCCTTTCTTGCCCTTGTTGTTGCCTGCTCTTGAAAAGGTCCAAGATGTCGTTGCCGATCCTGAATGTCGTGGTGTGGTTCAAAAGGCTCTTGCTACTTTGGCTCGTGTTGGTCAAACTGGTGCTCAAATCTTCTCCAAGCAAGAAAAGACTGATTTGGTTAATGGTACCTTCAAGGCTCTTTTGCCCGAATACGATGAAGTCCTTGCTCCTCTTGCTGATTACCTTTCTCAAATGGCTTTGGGTCTCTGTACTGCCAAGAACTTCTTCAAGGATCAATGGATCAAGTCTTTGTCTCCTTACTTCAAGGCCTTCGTTGCTGATGCTGAAGTAGAAGCTCTTGTTGTTAAGGCTCTCGATAAGTGTGAAGAAGCTGTTACTCCCAAGGATCCTGAAGAAGAAGATGATGAAGGTGAAGATCTTTGCAACTGTGAATTCTCTCTTGCTTATGGTGCCAAGATCTTATTGAACCGTACTGCTCTTCGTCTCAAGCGTGGTCGTCGTTATGGTCTTTGTGGTGCTAATGGTTGTGGTAAGTTTTTTTTTTTTTTTTTTTTGTGGAATGCGAATCTGGTGTGATTTGGTTGGTCAATGTTGAAACTAAGATGAAAATTTTTTTTTATTTTGTGTAAATTAGGTAAATCTACTCTTATGCGTGCTATTGCCAACGAACAAGTCGAAGGTTTCCCTCCCAAGTCTGAACTTAAGACTGTTTACGTCGAACACGATATTGATGGTTCTGAAGCCGATACTCCTTTGATTGATTTCATTATTGCTTCCGAAGGTGTTGAAACCAAGGATCGTGAACAAGTCCACAAGATCTTGCGTGAATACGGTTTCACTGAAGAAATGGTCACCTCTATGCCCATTGGTGCCTTGTCTGGTGGTTGGAAGATGAAGTTGGCTCTTGCCCGTGCTATGTTGATGAACGCTGATATCTTGTTGTTGGACGAACCTACCAATCACTTGGATGTTGTTAACGTTGCCTGGTTGGAAAATTACCTCTTGGGTCTTAAGACTGTTACTTCCATCATTGTGTCTCACGACTCTGGTTTCTTGGATCACGTCTGTTCCGATATTATCCATTATGAAGCTAACTACAAACTCAAGCGTTATGGTGGTAATCTTTCCGAATTCGTCAAGAAGGTCCCTAAGGCTGCTTCTTACTACTCTTTGGATGCTGCTCAAATCAAGTTCAACTTCCCTGAACCTGGTTTCCTCGAAGGTATCAAGACCAAGGAACGTGCTATTCTCAAGATGAAGAACGTTGACTTCCAATACCCTGGTACTGCCCGTAAGCAATTGACCAACATTTCCATCCAATGTTCTTTGTCCTCTCGTATTGCTGTCATTGGTCCCAATGGTGCTGGTAAGTAATTATATATAAGAAGGAAAAGGATGATGAAAGTTTTTTTTTTTTTTTTTTTTGGGAGAACAAAGAAACTGATTCTTTTTTTTTTTTTTTAGGTAAATCTACCATGATCAAATTGTTGACTGGTGAAATTGAATCTGATATCGGTACTATCTGGAAGCATCCTAACTTGCGTATTGCCTACGTCGCTCAACACGCTTTCCATCACATTGAAAAGCATTTGGATATCACTCCCAACGAATATATTCAATGGCGTTACGCTACCGGTGAAGATCGTGAAGAATTGGAAAAGGTCGACCGTGTCATCACTGAAGAAGAAGAAAAGCAAATGAATCAAGCCTTTGTCATTGAAGGTGAAAAGCGTATTGTTGAAGAACTTGTCGGTCGTCGTAAGCTTAAGCAATCCTATGAATACGAAGTCTCTTGGGTTGGTCGATCTTCTGTTGACAACATGTGGATTTCTCGTCAAAAGCTCGAAAACATGGGTTTCGCAAAGAAGATTGCTGAAGTGGATGCTCTTGAAGCTGCCAAGCTCGGTCTTAACCGTCCTTTGACCTCTAAGGAAATTGAAAAGCACTTGTCTGAAGTTGGTTTGGAACCTGAATTTGCTACTCACTCTCGTATCCGTGGTTTGTCTGGTGGTCAAAAGGTCAAGTTGGTCATTGGTGCTGCTATGTGGAATAAGCCTCACATGTTGGTTCTTGACGAACCTACCAATTACTTGGATCGTGAATCTCTTGGTGCCTTGGCTGGTGCCATCAAGGAATATGGTGGTGGTGTTGTTATTGTTACTCACAACCGTGAATTCTCTGAAGCTCTCTGTACTGAAGTCTGGAAGGTCGATAACGGTAACTTGGTTGCCTCTGGTCACAACTGGGTTTCTGGTAACGGTACTACCAAGATTGAAGAACAAGAAGAAGAAGATCAAGTTGATGCTCAAGGTAACACTATCAAGGCTGCCAAGAAGAAGGTCAAGTTGACTTCCAAGGAACTTCGTAAGAAGAAGAAGGAACGTATGGAACGTCGTAAGCGTGGTGAAGAAGGTAAAGAACATATATAATTAAAAAAAAAAAGATCATCATTATCAAATCAAATTTACTTATTTTTTTTTTTTTTTTGTATTAGTGTTCACTTCTGAAGATGAACTTTAAGGTATTTGGTCAATTTAGTTGGACATTGTTGATAGTTTTATATAGTTATTTTTTTTTTATTTTCCTTTATGCATTCCATTATTTAGAATTGTATCACATATATTAATAAAATAGAAGTTATTTTGTATCAAGTTTATCTTATTATCATGAATGACTATCTTGTTTATTATTATATTTGTTTAAGGAACATGCATTTCCTTGTATTACAACATGCCTTGTTATTATCTGGATGATGACGACCATAGTGGCACAAACTGAAATAATCTATTCATTCTGATTCCATTGAGCAAGAAAGAAAAGGAACTCAATACTGCAGTATGTCATAAGGTTAGATCAAAATGAACTCAAATGACCAAATAACAGTGCTGTAATATACCATCATCATCATCATCATCATCATCATCGCATACCACGTGAGCTTTCTTTTCCAGTTTTGAAGTTCCTTTGTTTGAAAGCATCAATCCATTTCATATACATGTGTATATATATAGTTTATTCATTGATATCAATAGGAAGGGGATATTAAAATACAACGGGGAGAAGAATAATAACAAATATGGATATCACTAAATACAAGCTATCATCGCATTTAATTCTTCAATATCATCCTTCAATTGTTGATCCAGTCCAAGAAGATAATACAGGTCCCGAGTTTTCTTGATCCAATACTGTGCTTTGGTAAGATCATGACGTCTATTTCAACAAAAAAAGATGAATGTGAGAAATAAAAGTTCAGAATAACATAGAATGAATATCATCATATGACTTTTTTTTTTTTTGGAAACTTACGATGTAATCAATAATCCACATAATTTGAACATTTCTTCAGCAGCTTCAGGACTTGATTCTCCATAAACAGATTGTACCACTCGCAAAGATCGTTCACAATAGAGAACTGCTTCTTTGGATTGATGTGTTGAATGACATATTCTAGCAAGTTGATCATATGTTTTTCCAATTGGTAAAGCTTGGTCATGATAGATGTTTAATTGATATTTCAAAACCTTGTCCCAAAGCCCATGTTGTCGATATGTCTCTATTGTTTCTTCCATCTATTATCGTTCATCCATAATAACAAATCATCAATGAGTTTCAATACATAATCATATTCAATATCAATTTTCTTTCTTTCTTCAAATCTTACATTATGTATCTTATTCCAATCGATAGTTATTCCACATTGAGGGCATTTTGATTCATTCGCAGATATCCTTGTATACTTGCAAGAAGAACAGAGATAAATATGTTCACATTCAGGAGATATGCTATCAAACCATCCAAAATCAATATGAAATAATAGTAAAAAAAAAAAAAAAAAGAGAGGTAAGTGACATTTAATTTTCATTTTTTTTTTAACTTTGTGTATTTGTATAATCTTTTTTTTTTTTTTTTTTTGAAAAAAATAAATAAATAAATAAATAAAACAATACCTTTGATCAGGGGTTACTTGGCATGCTTGGCAATGACAAGTAAAGAAATAGTGATCCAGTAATTGTTGTTGACGTTTAGATTTTGGTAAATTTGCAGCCAGGGGACCATAACTGATGGAAAGACGTTGACCTGGATGAATAAGACGTAAAGCACGTAACTGTAGTTGGGTACCAAGAAAGAGGGCAATCACGTTTGGTTGACAGGAATGATTGAATTTGCTGGCTAGAGGATAAATCGCAGTTGCCACCGTACCAATACTCACCATTACCGATGATGATGATGATGACAAAGAGTTTGTTCCTGTGGTGTACGAAGCATCGTAATTGCTGATCAATCGTCTTTGAACACCAAAACCATTACATCGTATTAGTGCCTGGTATCGTACCAACTTGTCTTCCATATCCTTCGTTTCATTCATAGAAAATATAAATAGACGAGAGATCTGCTTGGCTTCTTGGCGATAACGATCAAGATCGGTTTCAGCATGTTGATCCATATTGTCGACGAGAGAATCCAGTTGATTATTGCTTTGTGTACTACTAAAAGAATCAAAACTACTTTGTTGAGAGATGATAGATTTTGTCCATATCTGAAAAGCCAATAAGAGAGAATGCTTTGAGCGGAATTCGGTACGGAAGGGACAGACATACATATGTAATAAGAACCAATATCTTGTTTCGCAAGATGGCGAGCAATAAACAAGATTCCAAGTGCAACTGGCTTGTCGGCAACGAGTAGTAGATATTGTAATGTTATGATCTAAAGTAGATAAACAACCTGGACAAGTACGTTGTTCAAGATCATCCCGTATTTCAAACGCGTAAGGTTCTTCCTGTAAAATGAGAGAACCTGCTGCTATGGATTGTTGTGGAGCCACAGCGAAATCACCTTCAGCGTTGGTATGTGAGATTTGGAATTTTTCACAAGTAGTAAGATCATATTCCTTATTGATGATGGAAGGAGGTATTAAAGTAGTTGGATTAACAATGTAAATATGTGAAGGACATAGTCTTTTCCAATAATCCATAAAATAATAAGTATAAAGACGGAGACAAGAAAAGAAATCATCAGAAAGACAAAGTCTTGGACAAATGAGAGTTGCAGACATTTTCAAATTCAGATGCCTCACGGTATGCAAACTTAAAAATGGTGCCCCCTTTTTTCCATTTTCTTCCCTTTTTCTCCCTTTCTTTCTTTCTTTCTTTTTTTTTTTTCTTTATTTTCAAAATGAATGTAAAATCGAAACGACTTAATGAACGAACACCACTTTTATTCGATAAAGAATCAAATATATCATCATCTTCATCATGTAGAATAAGATCATCAACGACTTGTACAATGGCTTTATTATTATCAACATTTATACCATCTTTAGGTGGCTTCCTATATGGATATGATCAAACAGTGATGGAAACTATTTTGTCATTACCCAACTTCCAACATCATTATTTTTCTAGCAAGCATATGATTGGTGGATTCAACCCATTTGACTATTTAACGATTGGATATTACAGCATGGCTATTTTGGGAACACTCTATAGTGGCTATATTTGTGGTGAGTTATTGACAAAACATATGTACAAACAAAAAAGCAAAAGATAAACAACGAATTTGATTACTGACTTTTTTCTTTTTTTTTTTTTTTTAAAAAAAAAAAAAAATACTTCCTCTTTTTCTATTTTGTATCACCTGATTACCAGATCAAGTTGGACGAAAAAGATCTTTGATTGGAGCTTTCCTATTATTTGCAATGGGTACACTACTGGATGTCGGATATAGTCATTCCTTGATATTTCTATTGGGTCGATTATTTGTTGGTTTTGGTGTAGGATTATTGATGGTGGCTGCTCCATGTATGATTACTGAAATAGCTCCAAAGAATATACGTGGCTGTTTAGTTGGTTTCTTTACTCTCTTGGTCATGGCTGGACAAATGGCTGGATATTATATAATGCTTACACTGGGACCTAATATTGTGGCATCTATGGATTCATCATCATCGTCATCATCATCATCATCATCATCATCATCATCATCATCATCATCATCAGTATCAAGATTTTCTTCCTGGACTTGCGATTGGAGAGCACCAGTAGTACTAGAAACTTGTCTTTGTTTACTGGCTATCTTGGTTCAATGGCAATTACCTGATTCACCTCGATGGCTATGTTGGATACATCAACATTACAAGGGCGATAATGGAAAATCGGATGCGGATAAAGAAGGATTACAAGCAATTGCTTATTTACAAGAACAATCAACGGATGATATGGAAGTACAACAATTATGGCATGAAATTAGTGATGATTACGATGGACAACTCAATATCAACATGGAAACAACAGCAAGCTATTTCACATTTATATCATCATTCTTCAACGCTCATCATCTTTATGAAGAAGAATATTGTCAACATCAGCAAAGAAAACGACGATTTTTATTGGCTTGTGGGATCATCCTAGCAAATCGAATGACCGGCGCTGAAACTTTGATCAAATATTATGCATCCGCGATTTTTTATGCATCAGGGTTGCATGTCAACGATACGCTCACTGCTCCTGGGTGCACTCATTCACTGGCTCTTGCTGCTACGGCTATCTCTTTAGGATGGTGTGTGGATCATTTTGGGCGGAAAGGATTTTTACTGACAGGATCTCTGATGCTTGCAATATGTCAACTAGGATTGGGTGGTGTCTTCCAATGGTTTAGTAAGATAGAATGGAAAACTGGCTCTGTGCTTTTGATGAATGCGCATGCACGAACACTTGCTGTTGCATGCGTCTACTTATTTATTGTCATTTATGCGTTTACTTGGGCGTCTTTGGTTTTGGTTACCACTTGTGAATGGTTTTCTACGGTTGATCGTGCAAAGGGTGTAGCTCTTGTGGCTTGTCTGTCTTGGCTGGTCCAATGGATTCAATTGGTTGCTTATCCTTGGTACTTTTTCCTCTCCCCATCCCTGATGTACTTTATCTATGGTGGCAGTATGCTTATGTCTTGTTATTTTGTTTATCATTGGGTACCAAACACAACTGCAAAATCATTAGAATCCATCTCCCGAATCATTCTTTAGTCATTTTGTTCTCCTTTTATTATTCTTCTGTTATCCACTATTTATTATTATTATTTTAATTATACCTCACACGGACTTTCTACAACATTTTCATGTTTATACCCCCCTATTTCTCTCTTCACTTTTACATTTAATAAAATCTTCTTAAGTATTAGTCTCTCCAAATCAATGACTTGTATGGATGATCTTTTTTTTTTTTTGTTTGTTTAGTGTTGTCATTCTGATTTAGCTTTATAGCCTTATGGACTTATGCGATCGATTTGTTTTTATTGATTATTGATGTTACTGGTTACTGATGATTCTTGTAACCATTGATGACTATTAGAAATTATTACTGTAAAGATCACAATGATGATGAAGAGAATGGTACATCTTTGTAAACTACAAAAGTTAATATCAGCAACCAGGAAAAAGAACCATTACTATCTGAAAAATCGGGTATATCACATCGTTATAGATCATCCCATCATATGAAAAAAAAAGAGTAACAAGATTCTTTATTACTTGATTATATTCAATTTATAATCAATACATCCTATTGTAGAAGACTAAACGATAAACTATCCTATTTCTCGGCGACAATGGTGAATCCAAGGGATGTGATGCTGTCAGAAGCTAATGCTCGATCTTCTTGTGCCATGAATTCCGATAAAACAGATTTACCAATTGCTGAATCTTTCAATCTAAAAGAAAAGAAAGAAAACCTTTAGTACCCTACTCTAGATCACCTTTTTTTTTTTTTTTTTTTTTTTTGCTGTTGTGCTTACCCGAACTTGACTAAATAGTAATGTATAAAAGGTGTTTTGTTAATAATCCTTGTTCTTTCTCGTCCAAAAATGGTGGTCACTGCTTCCTTGACAGTATCAGATGAATGACAATCTCGGAGTTTAAGATGTGCTAGCCAACGTGCTTCTGCTGGGATACTGGTATCTAGTACGATAGAGTAAGGAGATCGTAAATCAGCTGGATTGAATAGATTTGCCATCTGTAAAAGGTCAAAACGATCAAATAGCCATTGCATCGATTCGACGTTCATGTTTTCTGGTTGAAGTTCTTCTGCTAATAAAATCCCACCCTTCACAAGTAGATCATAAGCGCGCTTAACAACCTATAGATATAATAAAACATTAAATCCATCTATACACAATACAAAAAAAAAAAAAAAAGATATATATTACCCTTTCCAAATCATCACAATGGTGTAAGGATTTTGTACATATAATAACATCAAACTTGGTATCAGGAGAATCAGGTTGCCAATTTAATAATCCAGTATGAATATACGTTACATCGGTGGTCTTAGTTTGGGCTGCCTTGATATCATCTTCTGATGGATCAATCGCTATCAATTCAACCTTTTGTTTGTAGTGGCGTTTCAAAAGAACCGAGAATTCGCCAGACCTAATATAGAAATAGGAGATGAGATACATACATAATCTAACGACCTTATTTCAAAATAAATGAATAATTTATTACCCACAACCAACTTCAAGAATGCGAAGAGGAGAATCTTCTTTACGTCTAGCGAAATGTTGAGAGTCAAGTACGCCCTATAGTAAAAAAAAAAATACAGTTATGGTGAATAAAGTTTTCTTTCTTAAATGATAATAAACATACAGTAGTAAAGGTAAAGAAAGGTGTATGTTGGAGATAAGTAATGCTTTCCATTGGGTATCAACAAATAAATAAAGTAAAAGAAGAAACGAGAAAAAGGTCAACTCTGCCTTTTTCTTCCTTTCTTTTTTTTTTTTTTTTCCCCAATCGGTCAAAAATTTATCGAAAACTCCGGTGATCGCGGTGAAAAATTGGACCGTTCCAAATAAAAGATTTCCCTTTTCTTTTGTTTCCTTTCCTTTCTCCTTTCTTCTTTAATGGTAATGACTTTGTTTTGGTAATATCATATATAAGGAATAAAAAGAAAAAAAAGTTGTATGTATAAAGAACTAACCTATTATATTTATATATACGGATTTCATATCAATATAAACTCAAGTTTTGATAAGAATGAATTCACTTTTTATAAAAATATTAAAATAGAATGTAACTTAGTCCACGAGTCTTGAAGTAAGAGCGATATTGGTCACTAACTCAAAACAGTGACTCCTGATTGAAATTATTCTATATTTATACTTTGTCTTTTCATAGGATGGATAATCATCAATCTCCCAGCCACAAGTTGATCTCTTTTTATGGAATTACCAAACACGATAACAATCTTAGGGTGCCACTTTCTCTAAATGGGATAGTCATATGTGGGTAAGTGAATCAAAATAATAATAATAATGACAAAAAAAATGCTACTTGATTTCTTGATTTCATTCAACTTATCTTCTTTTTCTTTATAATTATTTCCCTTTTATTTTATTTTACTGTTATTATTATTAAATATCATGCGTTACATCAAATCACATCATTTATCATCATCAACAATATATTATTCAAATCTACTTACATTATTACTTGTCATTTGCCAAACTCAGTCAGTTATTGCGGCGCCAATATCTATGGGTCATATATTAGGTATTGATGAATCAGTGTGGAATGCCTTGTCAGTGGTAACGACGGTTATCTTTGCCTATTGTGCACATGCAGCTGCAATACGACCAGAACGAACAAAACGACTCTATCCGGCAGCGACATCTTTTGTGGCTGCGCTTGCTTGGCCAATGAATGGTGTATATGATGCTTACAGTGCTATTTACAAGTTTTTCAAACAAGATGCTATCCTCTACTCAAATACTATAGAATTCCCATCAAAATACTTCCGGTCTATATTATATCAAGACAATGGTGATTATTTGAAGAAACAAATTGAAAAGTTAGACAAGCCAAGCCAACGCTCGATAAGAAACTGTATTTTGAATGGTAATGTCTTTTTAGGTTATGATGATACATTATCGGTTTACCGTGACAAGTACGCTATCAAAACCAAAGATATGTCTATTACTGGTCCTGGATCTCAATGTCAATATCAAGCATCACTTCATCCAGCATCTATTCGATTTCTACCAAAATCTATGATTGATCAACTTATTCAACAAACTCGTGGAATTCAAGATAATGCCATTGGATCGCAACTTATTACACTCATTCAATTGATCTATTCATCTTATAAGATTTTTGTCGACAATGGTAATACCTGGGGAAAACTTATTCTAGGAATATATATGATGATGTCCGTACTTCAATCTGTTTCACGATTACTATTACCTACTCAATTGGTGGTATTTAGCTTGATAGTGCCACCACAGGTGGAAGCAGAATTTGCCAAGATACCTACTGTTAATATGGAAACAAGAAATTTGGTTGGATTCTCACCATTTGGAACAGATATCAGCTTCTTCACCGACCAAAGCGACGATTATTTACATATTCATAGTTTTCAACACTCTCAGAAAGGCTTTGATCCAATTTTATGTCACAGATCAAGATATGGAATTGAATCATTATTAGGATCGACAAAACATTTGACATGGAAAGAGAAATCTCACAAATTTATCGTCTTCTTTCTCTCAGTGGCCACGCCTCTACTATTAGGAATCATAGCCGGTTATGATCGACATTCGGTTATACAAATACTTGTACTTATTTGGATACTATCAGCATTCCCATTTCTCTGGATCACTTCTCACCTCTATCGACCGTTTGTTTGTGTACCCTCTTTTACTTACTTTTGTTGCAACCCTAATCTTGGTCTGGAATACTTCTTTTATGCTCAATGTATGAACTTGGTGGGAATTGGTTTAGTTATTAGTGCTACTATTCTTAGTTATACATAGGTTAATGTTTTTTGTCATGTCACAAGAAAATGCTTTTCGTGATGTTATAAAATAAAATATCGTACTTTCCCAAAATGAATGTCGCATTATCACTTTTTCAGATATCGCTCTAGAGATGTCGGTAGAGTACATTAAAAACACACAACACATTGATGATAACTTGTTTATTAATAATAAAAGACAGAAAAGAAAAGTAACATAGGCTTTTCATATTTTTAGCAGCTTTGGGTGTTGTCCATTCTTTTTTAGGTATCAATTGATTGATGATTCATAATCGATGATTCATGATTGATGATATGTGATAACGGATGATTGTATATTGGATGATTACAGGATGGATGATGGATGACTGTATGATGGATGATTGTATGATGGATGATGAAACATTGTCGTCAATCACAGTACAAATTTCTGCTAAAATACAAAATACTTCATTCTAGTTACCTTCTGACAGAACAACATTTTCTTTTTCTTTTCCTTTTTTCTTTGAAAAATGTCAAAACACTCTTTTATCAGCCAACATGATAAATCAATATAATAATGATGATTCATCACATCAATGGAAATTAAAAAATGGCAATAATAAGTATCCTGTGCACAATCATACTATCATTTAATATAGAACAACTAAAAAAAAAAAAAAAGAAATCTAGTCATTAAACTAAAACACGACAAAAACAAGTCAGTATCACGTATCACTTAGTACATGGATATTGTAATAATAGAGCTTAATGTGAACATTTATATAATTAACTTTAGTATAAAGAGAGAAATGTTGCTAACACTAAAAAAAAAAAAAATGATGAAGTAGATAGTAAAAATAATAAAGTAGATGATAAATTAGATACAATATAAAGAGAGAAATGTTGCTAATACCAAAAAACAAATGATGAAGTAGATACTAAAAATAATAAAGTAGATACTAAAAAAGACAAATGATAAATTAAATACAATAGAAAGAGAGAAATGTTGTTAATACTAAAAAAAAAAAAATGATGATGAATTAGATACGATATAAAGATAGAAATGTTGCTAATATTTAAAAAAGATGATAAAACTCGCTTACATCTTGTCTTATCATTTTATCTACTAAAATTAGCTCATAATTGCAGGGGTGATTCATTTTCTTATAAAAGGATCTCTTTGATTTAACTTTTTTTTTATTTCTTTACATTACATTCACCTTACGGGTCTGCCTTTTGGCTTACCTGCCTGCTTTTTGGTCTGCTTTCTTCTTTTTTTTTTTGCCTATCTTTTTCTTCACAAGTATTCCTTAATGGTTCAATAGCCGTTGTCTATAATTTTCTTTGCAAGTATTCTTTAATGGTTCAATCACCGTTGTCTATAATTTTATTTACAAGTATTCTTTAATGGTTTAAGCACCGTTGGTTCAATTAATATAACAAATTAACAATTCAACAATTTCCGGGATGGTTATCGCCATCCTACTTTCGCTACGGCGATCTCATTACACTTAAATGGTAAGCTAGTGAAATATTTTTATCTGGATAAATATCACTCATTTTTTATTTTATTTTATTTTTTATATGCTAACTTGGTGAACTCAATTGGTGGATTTCCTTTTTTTTTTTTGAATGCTCCTTTTTTTCATGATATCTATTTTCTAATATTCTCTATTTGATTATGCGACAATTATATTTTTTTTTCGTCTGTCATTTATTTTCTATCCTTACGATATTTTATTTCCTATTTTTGCGTCATCTTATTCTTTGAATTCCGTCATTTTTTATTGAATAAAGTGTACATAGGTTAATAAAAGTTTTTTTTTTTTTTTTTTACTGCATTATTTTGTTATCGGGGGATGAAACTTGGAAGAGGCTGCACAAAAGTTGATTTATACCTTTGACATTTTTTTTTATTCTATTTTACTTCTCTTTTCTCTTTTTTTTATTTTTATTTTTTTTTAACTGTGGTGAATTCTAAATGTCAACATCATTCCATTCTACAGAAAATAATACTTCAAACATACGATCAGTGAATGCTTCTGTTGATGCTGAACCTATTTCTTCTCGATATTGTTCTCCTGAACGGTGTGGTGAAGGGTCTTATGGACTTGTTATGCGTGTCTGGGATAAAAAAACTGAAAGTTTTGTAGCTATCAAAAAGTTTACTTATAGAAAAAATGGTATATCATCTTCTACCTTACGTGAAATAGCTCTATTGCGAGAACTCAATCATCAAAATATTATCAGGTACTAAAAAAAAATATTTTGAATATAATATTTATAACTAATTTTTTTTTTTAAGACTGCAAAATGTGATTATGAACGAAACAGATATATATATGGTGATGGATTATTATGATTCGGTAAGATAAATATATATATATATATATAATGGAAAACTTTTGTAATTTACTATCTATATTTTTCACACATAGGATCTGAAAGATTATATGCGTTCGACAGGAAGATCAGGAATGACACCTCAACACGTCAAAGTAAGTATAAACTTTCCCTAAAATATTTCTATTGCTAAAATCTGTTTCCTTTTTTTTTTTTTTTTTTTTTTTTTTTACTTTTTTTAGAGCTTTCTGTATCAAATTCTCGATGGCTTACAATACCTTCATTCGCATAGAATTATCCACAGAGATTTGAAACCCGAAAATCTATTGATCAATCGCCTTGGAATGCTTTGCATTACAGACTTTGGACTCTCGAAACCTTTTATAATACCTTACATTGGTCGTACTCCTCGAGTAAGTAGTAGTAGACAAGACAATCGAAATTAAAAAAAAAAATGTGCACTCATCTTTCTTTCTTTACTATGATTTGTTCCTCTATCATCTTATTGCGATGATGATGAACAATACTATAGCCGATGACGTTATCCTACCGTGCACCTGAAGTATTATTATCTGATATTGGTTACAGTCTTGATATCGACATGTGGAGCGTTGGATGCATATTTGGTGAAATGATGACATTGGAACGTCTTTTTAATGGTAATCACAGGTGATAACAGGACGGAACAGACCCATTGCTCTTTAGATATTTGTTAATCCATCTTTTTTTTTCATATTTAGCATCGTCAGAAATAGGACAAATTCTTGGTATATTCTTGTAATCAAATCTCCAGTGAAAAGGAACGAAAGAAACCAATACTTCTTGGAACATTCACCTTTTTTTTTTTTTTAGATTCTTAGGTACTCCTGATGAATCGTCTTGGCCAGGTTTTACAATGTTACCTAACTATAGTCCCCATTTTCCAAGTAAAGTTATAAGTATTTCGATTGAATAAAACCTTGACTAACATCGTTTATTTTTCTTGTACTTTACTTTTATTAGAATGGGAGTCAGGAGGTTTAGATTTTCATATGCAGGCGCACACAACTGGTGATTTCTGGACAGAGCTTTCTTCCAACTTACTTCGGGTAAGGCTCTATTCATTGATGAACTAATGCTTCGATATTTACAAATAATCATTATTAATCATTTTGGTGATCCTTTTTTTTTTTTTTTGTAGTCTTTACTCAGCTACCCTTGCAATGGACGCATTTCTGCTAAAGAGGTACTTGAAGAAATATCATATTATACTCTTCCTGGTTCTCCTTCCTCTCTATCGTCACACATATCATCCATCATTATGAACTCATATCATTTGATATTTTATTATCGTAGGCCTTGAACCATCCTTACTTTTATGATGATCCTGATATTTTGGACTTTTGCCCTTAGGAAATTAGTTTATAGTATAGTATGACTTTAAATTGGTATTACTATTTATACCAGTTTTAATAGGTTTAGTAATAATATATTCTTATCCTTTTTTTTTTATTATTATTATTTATGACAATAAAAAGAAAAATGATATGTGTTATTAGTACTCATCTTTGATGATCAAAAAGAATTGATAGTTTAGATTTCAAGTCCTCAGCTGACGGTTGATTTTTAACCCCGACGTTAATTTTTTAGGAGTGGATCTCTTTTTCCCTTCCTTTTTTCTTCCTCTTTGAATTCTCATTCAATTATAGTTTTATGTAAGTAATTGTAACAAATAAAGACGGACGGCAATGAAATCGATTATCATGAAATGGACTGGAACCAATAGTAGATGGATAGAAGGATGGATAGAATGAATGAATGTATAAATGGATGGATGGATGGATGGATGGATGGATGAAAGAATAGGAACACAAATCATAAGTAAGAAATACATGATTTACACAACTAACTTAATCTTTTGGTTTTATTCAATAGCAAATGGCTGACTCTGCAACGGCCGATAGTAAGTCACTCTTTATCTCTTTTTAATATTGTCAATCTCATATTTCAACTCAATGCTATGACGAAAATGGGATGACATATAAAAAGTTTGTAGATCTTATATGTTGATATATCTTTCTTTTTTTCTTTGTTTTTTCTATTAATTAGGAAGAGGTGGTTTTGGACGTGGACGTGGACGTGGCGGTCGTGGACGTGGTGGCCGTGGTCGTCGTGGTGAAGAAAAGAACGAATGGTAAGTAAAAAAAAAAAAAAAGAGAGATGGATTAGTATTATTTTTTTGAAGTCGACAAAGATCTTTCTTATGAAATGGATGACATATATTGATAATATTTATAATGTATATAGGGTTCCTGTTACCAAACTCGGTCGTCTTGTGAAGGCTGGTAAGATCAAGTCTATTGAAGAAATCTACTTGTTCTCTTTGCCTATCAAAGAATACCAAATTGTCGATTACTTCTTGCCCAAACTCCAAGATCAAGTAATGAAGATTATGCCTGTTCAAAAGCAAACTCGTGCCGGTCAACGTACTCGTTTCAAGGCTTTTGTTGTTATTGGTGATAGTGATGGTCATGTTGGTCTTGGTGTCAAGTGTTCTAAGGAAGTTGCCACCTCCATCCGTGGTGCTATTATCTTGGCCAAGTTGTCTATCATCCCTGTCCGTCGTGGTTTCTGGGGTTCTTCTCTTGGTGAACCTCATACTGTTCCTTGCAAGGTCACTGGTAAGTGTGGTTCTTCCGTTTGCCGTCTTATTCCTGCTCCCCGTGGTACTGGTATTGTCGGTGCTCCTGTTCCCAAGAAGGTTCTTCAATTGGCTGGTATTACTGATTGTTATACTTCTTCCAAGGGTTCTACCCGTACTTTGGGTAACTTTGTCAAGGCCACCTTCGCTGCTATTGGCAACACTTATGGTTTCTTGACTCCTGATCTCTGGGCTGAAACTGAATTCACCAAGGCTCCTTATCAAGAATTCACTGACTTCCTTTCCCAAAAGCAACGCAAGTAAATCAACTACTGATTGCGGATGATATAATGTCTTCTCTATTGGTTGGACAAATTTTAGTATAGTTTATTATTCTTTTGATTTGTCTTTTTATGTCAATAAAGAAAACGTTTACAACTTATACAAATATTTTTTTTTATATTTTATTTTCATCTAATAGTAGTAGGATCATCAACTATTGTAATATTTGATTGGACGAGGAAAATTTATCATGCTTGTCTTTCGGTTTTTCAACCCCATGTCAAATTTTTTTTTTCTTTTCTTTCCTTTTTTTCTTTCATGTTTCCTTCACTCTCCACATATTTTTTTTTTTATAGTGATGGTTTCATTATTTCCTTCATCTTTCTCTCTTTCTATTTAATTCTATGATTATTACCCTATAATACCGATTACATCATTCAACATGAACGATAAAGTATCAGAAGAAGAAATGACAACATTAAAAAGAGGTAAAATACTATACAAGTTTTTTTAATACTTAATCATTATTATTTTTTTTTATTATTTTTTTTTTTTTAGCATTTCAATTATATGATCAGGACAATGATGGTATCATTAATATTGATGAATTCAAAATTATTATTATGTCACTCAATAAAAACTTGGATGAGGCAACAGCAACAGCCATTGTGAAAGAAGTCGACAAAAACAATGATTGTGTGATCGATTTTGATGAATTTGTTTGTGCAATGATCCGATTATCACCCTATTCAACAACATCATCAGGATTAAAACATCATGATTTACAGAAATGGAATCCCTGGTCACATTTTATCAATAACAAATATGAAGAAGATGAATTGATAGAATGTTTCCGAGCATTTGATACCAACCATGATGGATTGATTAGTCGAACTGAATTAGACAAAGTTATGCGAAAACTTGGTGAACAATTATCTCAAAAAGATCTTGAAGATATGATTAACGAAGCCGATACCAACAAGGATGGTTATATAGATTATGAAGAATTTAAACGGTTATTAGCCTAGAACCTTTATTAGAAATTTAAGTATAGTTAGTTTGTTAGTCAAATCTTTGATATTTATTATATATGAAATTGTATTATTGGCTTAGTTCCACAAATAAAAGTTTATTTTTTGACTTTTGGGCGCGAATCTTTTCTGGCAACTCCGTTTGGGGACCAAAAGGTTCATTTTTTTTTCAGGTTCCTTTTTTTCACTTTTTTTCTTTTTTTCTCTCCCTTTAACATATTCTTTTGATCTATTCTTTTCTCTCTTCTTCATCTTCCTTTCTCCTCCTCCTCTTCTTTTTTTTTTTTTTTACTCCTCGTTTTGTCAGTGACTCCTCTTTACTTTCTTTCTTTTTTACTTCTCTTTCCACCATTCTCATGCCAACGTATAAAAGATCTTCGTATGATCTATTTATACATAAAGTATTATTACCCAATGTTAGAACCATTTTACTCGTACTTGGTGTGATTGCTTTAGGTTGTTCTAGTTGGTTGGAAACAAATATTTCTGGTGATTGTACTTTCCAAAGTTCAATGTCGGTTTTTGAAGTTTCTATCTATCAAAATATCTCTGATCCTTATGCACTTACTCCTTCTTCAGTATCGTTTGGTTTATGGAAACATTGTTTTTACTATACACAAAATTGTACATGTACGCCCGTCTCTCTCAATTATGAAATAGGTAAGAACCCATAAACAATACCTTTGTGAGACAATACTTTGACTCAGTCTAACCATATAATTCAATATATTCATTAGATGCTGAACAATCCATTTTTGCCGCTACCAATAATCAAACGATGCCCAATATTGATTCAACTCATTCCTCCTATATCCGATTGATACCCCTGATCATGGGCCTCATCTTGTCATTTGGTGCTTTTGTATATAGTTTTTGGGCAAATCGCTGTGTCACTCGTCCTTTTTATCTTTGGCTCAATGGTGCCGTAGCCCTCATCAGCGCTGTGTTGGTTGCTATTGCTTTTGGTTTTACCTATCAATCTTATAAAACATCCATCATCAAAGCATGTCAAGCTGCTAGTCTACAATCTGTAAAATGTGCAAGTATGGCTCCCAAATTAGAAGTTATTCTTCTTGCTGTGACATTGGGGCTTTTGGTCTTGGCAAGTATTCTTTTTGGCTGCGTACGAAAATCAGATTCTAGTGACACCATTGAAGAAGTATACATTGACGAAAAAAAAGCCACATCTAGACGACATTCCTCTTTTTTACAAGCTATACAACGAAACAGCAAAATGAAATCATCTTCACAACTATCAGGAGCTTCATCCACAAGCAGGGAACCAGCAATGTATAGTATAGAACCAGATGATGCTATGGATGCCTGGCGTAATGTAGCTATTCTTGATGGACAACAACAACAACATGAGCTCAGCAATATACCTTTACGACCTCCTCCGATCACTGGTCGTCGATCCAATGAATTATCATACAATTCTCATCATACCAGCTATGAACCTCGGATGTCAGCAAATACTCGTAATATCAACATAACAGCAAATCTTTCATCATCATCATCATCATCATCATCAACGCCTTCATCTCCAGTATCAGGAAATACTGGCAATAGTGGGAAACGGCAACAAAAACAAAGTTCATCATCACACATACCAAGTTCACGACAAGAAAGAGCTCAACACTATCATAACTATGAAATTTCTGACGATAGCAACGAACTGATACCACCAACATTACCATTTGCTGATCATCAATCACAACGACGGAGACAATCCAGTCAACCATCACTCAACAAAGCACGTCCATCTAGTCATGCATCTGGGAACACGTTTGGAGCCAATGATATTCTTATGGAAGGTTCTCCTGTATCATCAACATTTACTTTGGAAGAACAACAACATGGTGGTTATTATGGACGACAACCTTCCGATGCATCCTTCCGTACAGCCACACCATCCTCTTTTCGCTATGATCGAACAAGTTCGCATGACTCTGTCTGCTTTACACCAACATTCAATGATCGATCATCATCCGGTATTTCTTTAGGAAATCAACACTATGATCCATATATTAGAGCAACAGATTCTAGGCGAAAAAGTAGTAGTGGAATTCATTATCAAGGATCATCATCACCGCAAGGAACAAGTGTTCCCACTCTTCAAACACCACCTTCATCAAGACATCCACTAAACCATAAAGTAATCACAGACGAACGTATCGGTGCCTACTTCCAACAAACTCAAGCTCGAACCTCAACGTCATAATCACGACGAACTTTAGTAGCCATCTATTCCCTAGTTTAGTTTTATTTTATTTCAATAAATTCTTGTGTATTTTTATAAATTGTGTTACCACTTTAGTTTTATTTTTTATATTTATTTTATTTTTTTCATTATACCGTATATGCCTTTATCGAATCAGGCAACATTTTCTAATTTCAGGCTCAGATACCTCTTTTGGTGGACATAAGCCACACTTTGGATAGGTTGAGATGCGATTTTTTTTTTTCAACTGGTTCTTTCCTTTTTTTTTCTTTAATTCCATTCTTTCTATTCACTTACATAATATATACATATAAGAATGGCAGCTTCAGACGCAAGTGAAACTGGATCCAACCACGAAGATCAAAATGATGTAATTATGGAAGGCGAAGATTATAACGAAGAACGACAAGGCTCCGATGAAGAAATGGATGAAGACGATGAAGTTGCTATTGCTGAAGACAAAGTTGAAATTGTAAGTTCACTTTTCTTATATTCTCCTTTGAAATAGCAATAATAATAATAATAATATCTTTGATTATTCTTTTTTTTTTAGATTACTGGATCTAGTAGCGATCCAACTGCAATGACTTTCTCTTTAAAAAATGAAGACCACACTGTAGGCAATACACTTCGACACTTGATCAACAAAAAGTAAGTAGGACGAGAATTAATATGAGTAATTGAAGGATGATATGATAAACTCATTTTATTTTTCATTTGTTAGTCCTCAAGTTGATTTTTGCGGTTACTCTATCCCACATCCTTCTGAAGCCAAAATGCATATTCGTATTCAAACAAGTGGTAAGTTATTATATATATATATATATATAGAATATAAATAATAATATTAAAACAACTGATATATCTATATATTTGATCTTGTAGATAAAACGACAGCTGTAGATGCTTTCCGAAAAGGGATGGTGGATTTGACTGACATGTGCACTCATATTCGTGACGCATATGAAGCTGAATTAGCAAAGAAAAATTATGTAGTTTTTGAAGAATTAGCGTAAGCGATATCATTTTTATAGTATAGAATTCATCATCATTCAACCCATATCAACCAATAAACTCTTGTACATTGTTATTTTCATTATTTTTTATTATTACTATTATGCGTATGATCTATAGCATTCAGTTAAGTGACAGATGTTAGTTTAAGATGCCGATTTCACCTCCAATAGCGCTGGCATCATCACGCCCAATAAAAAACCGCCTCGCAATTTGACAATATTTCATTCTATATATCCTTTCCTTTTCTAGTTTTTTTTTTTTTTTTTTTTTCTATTTTATTTGTTTTCCTATTACTTTTATACACGTAAAAGATAATGTCAAGATTATCCATACTTTTTTTACTGGCGATATGTTTACTCAGTATAGTATCCGGGCAAATGGATGCAAAGACTAAAAAGTTGATACAACTGGCTAAAGAAAACAATGGTGTTGTCAAATTGGACTCAAATGCTTATTTCAAATATACACAAGGGAAACGCGAATACGGTATGGTGATTCTACTCACTGCTCTCGGTGATCAATTCCGTTGTGTTCCTTGCCGGTAAATTACCCAAAAAAAAAAAAAAAAAAAAAAACTCGCGTAATACTCCATCCTTTATTGGTGGAAGATGAACTCAATTACATCTTGTGTGTTTTTTTTTTTTCTTTCTCTTTCTCTCTAACAGTGAATTCGATCCTGAATATAAATTGGTGGCCTCAAGTTTCCGGAAAGGAAAGGAACCTAATAAAGTATTCTTTGGTCACTTGGATTTTCAAGATGGTCAAGCAGTTTATCAACAGGTAAATAACATGAAGAGAGGAATATAAAAGGATAAGCGATACTTTTAAAGAATTCAACGTGATAACTGATTCTTCACTTTTTACTGTATCGTAGTTGGCTTTACAAACAGCTCCCAATGTGCTATATTTCCCTCCTTCTGATGCTAGTGACAAGAAAGATGCGATCAAGTATGATCTTGCTAGAAAGTAAGTGGATTTTCATAAATAGTAATAATAATAATAAAAGCTGAAGATGATATCTTGTATTGACATATTTTATGATTTTACTTTGTTTAGTGGATTTTCTGCAGAACCTTTGGCAGAGTTTATTAAGAATCAATCTGGAATATCATTCAATGTAGTTCGTCCTTTTGATTATGGATTATTCTTGGCCAAGGTGATTTTGGGTCTTGGTGCTCTTGCTATTCTCAAATTGGTTTATCGTTACTTTAGCTTTATTCTCTTCCACAAGAACACATGGACTGCTGCTACCATTGTAAGTCTTGGGATAGAGTAATTTATGTATTCTTATCTTTTTTTTTTTATGACTGCTATAGCTGACAGTTCTTGTCATGACGTCTGGTCATATGTTTAATCGTATCCGCAATACTCCATATTCTCTTCCTGGTCCTAATGGTCAACTTAGCTATGTTGCAAGCGGGTAAGGAAAACAATTAGATAAATGTTGATCATTATGATGGAAAGGAATATGCTGCATGGATAATATGAGATTGACTGACTGGGATTCCTTTTCTTTTTAATATAATAGTTTCTCAACACAATATGGTATCGAAACTCAAATTGTAGCAGCAATGTGTAAGTGCAAACTATGTTAAGAATAATGATGATGAATATTAAATATCTAACAATTTTCTGTTTTCACTCCTTCCACCACCCAAAAACAAAAAAAAAAATAATAATGAATAGATGGTGTGCTTGCTTTTGCTGTTGTCAATTTGGCTATCACTATACCAAATTTTGATGACAAGTGGCGTCAACGTGCGGGGGTTTATATCTGGGTAAGTTGCTTTATAGTCGTTTTCAGTTGTTTGATGGCCCTCTTCAAGATCAAGAACGAAGCATATCCTTTTAAAATCTTATTTTAAAGGATTGTTAGATTAGATTGAATCAACCAATAAAACTTTATATATTCTTTATTTCCATCTATATATATATATATATATGTGTGTGTGTGTGTTTACATACAATCAAATAATGCTCTATGTTTCAAATATAAAGGTACGTGTGTATATAGAATGAATTTTATTGATAAAATGAGAAATAAAAAATAGGATGAATAAAAATGAATGAATGATCTACATTGACTTTAAAAAAAAATGACGGGATGATAATAGTCATATAAGAATCGAAATAGATTGTCTAAAAGGGTATCTAGTTACAAAGTTCATCTATTTAATATAACAGAGAATGGAACCATCTAATATTAATCTACACCTAATTGGAATCTTGATCATTTTGGTCGCTATCGTCTTCATCGCTAAAATCGTCAAAATCGTCCAGATCATCTATGTTGATTTCACCCACATCATCGCCACGTTCCAATTTACGCATATAACTTCGTCGTTGTCGTAAAGTCATTTTAGCTAACATGCGTTCCAATTCTTGTTCATCCTTAAGTTCATCAGCAGCTGATTTGATTTCCTCTTTTCTATAATAATTGGACAATATATAAAGTGGTGATGAGACTTGACATATTCCCTTTTTTTTTTTTTTCCTTGTTCAACTTACTCTGTAATGATTTCTTTGCTTTCCAAACACTTGGCACATACTTTCTTTTGAGAGGCACAGTTGTTGCATAAAACATGATAGGCTTCTTTGATATTCTTTTGTTCGCAGCCAGTACTAGTTGTATGATTAAAAAAAAAAGTATAAATGAATAAGAACAAATGGAGTTTCAAGTCTATTTTTCTTTTCAAATTACCATTTCTTGACAGAGGTTAAAGGTTTATACTTTCTATACTTTTTTCTCCACAGGATCACATCAGTACAACGTTGGCATAAACCATAAACAGGTAAAGCATTAATTTCACGAGTTTTTTTTGAGTTTTTGTTAGGTTTCCATGCAGTGGTATTCTGATGTGCTTGACCTTTCTTCACATTATTGCCTTTTCGATACGTAGCTTTATTTTCGTAGGTAGACATATTATATATATATATAAGAAAAAAAAAAGCGATCTAGTAAAGAAAAAGAAACAAAAAACAAAAAGAAACAAAAAAAAAAAATAACTGTAGTTTCCAAATCAGCCGATAGAGTGAAGAAAAAAAAAATGAACAAACGCAAAAAGTACAAAAAGACTCCAGCAATAAAAAAGCCACATCCATTTTAAGAAAGCCCGATCCCAATACTTCGTAATTTTTTTTTTTTTTGCAAAGCGAAAAAAAAAAGAAAGAGCCATATGAGATGAGATTCCTACATACAATGAAATATAAAAGAGTTTAAAGTTCAAATAGGGCAACAATAGTTGATTAGCATAAAAAGAAAGATGATGCGGGACCCATCATCAACCATGATGAGCGAACCTTCATTATGAATAAATCACACATATCACAAGAAAATCAGATTCGGAAATCGAAAAAAAAACCAGGGGTAAATAGATGAATTGAAACGATGATATTCCCATCTTCGATCAGTTTACCATTATACTGTAACTAGTTCATTTTTAAAAGGATAAACCATTTGTGCCACCGAACAACATGTTATTCAATGCCAAAATAGGTTCTTCCGAAGAGATTTTCTTTTTTAGTTATTATAGATGATACATTCTAGTTATTTTATAGAGTTATGAAACCTCTATTGTTTTTTTTTTTCTTGTTTTTCTATGGTAATCTTTCAAAGAAAGGAAATGATATAAAAAAAAAAAAAGAAAGAACAAAGAAAAAGGAAAAAGCATGAAATCTCGCATGGTTGATTGGTAGGACAAACTACACACAAAACTACTTTGATTGTTTCTCCGAACTACCAATATGTCAATAATTCATGTGAAGTTTTCCTTTTCTTTCTTTCTTTTCTCTTTTTTTTTTTTTTTTTTTTTTCTTCTTTAACACTACATGTCATGAACAACATCGCGTTTGATGAAAGGTACATTAGTTACTAACAACTTTCAATATTAAATACTAATCATCTTCCTTTTTTTTTTTTTCTCATTATAGTGTTCCTCAAAAAGGTTTTAACGATGGATTGGAATCACCTTTACAACAAGAAACAGCTATTCCAGCACCAAAACGTACAAGGAACAATTCTATGATACCACCACAACTATTAAATGATATTGGAGGGGGAGGTCGAGAACGTGCTGCTCTTGCTACTGTCTTCGGTGTACTTGAATATAGTGAATCAAAGATATTTTGGGAACGGCAATCAGATGAATTACAATACAATCTCAATACCAACTCAACAGAACTCGATACTCAAAATGAATCAAACTTAGTCAATAGCTCACCGGGTCAACTAGTATCATCATTGTCAACGCCTATACCATCATCATCTCTCTCACAACAACCATTCACCTTGTTACCAGATATTCCAACCGTCAGTCGATTCAATGACATCCTGATAGAAGATGAAAATGGTAGCGATCTCATGTTCCCTGCCAATGCTTCGTCTGTTTTACTTCATTCTTCCATGAGACCTTTGCTTGATCGATCTATATCCAATTCATCAGTTCATACTACATTTACTCTCCATTCTACTATGGCTGGTCAAAAGAATACTCTAGATGAAATGCAAGTCATTGATTCACTACAACAAGAACAAGTATCTGCTCCTTTGCTATTTATTGGATATCCTCCTGCTGTATTTGATCTTTTAAAACCTGATGATGATGATCGTATTATTATTTGGGGTCCTGATCCAAAAGTTGTATCTGCATCTATGGCAACTACTACTTCTTCCAGCTCAACAAAGAATATGGAACCTCCAATTCATATGTCAAATGATCGACCTCTCATGCGCGGATTCTCTTCAAATACTACCACCAGTGTAATCAATTCTACAACATCACAACAGGAACAGAATCGATCTAGATTATTATCAGGAAAATTGACAGGCGGATTACGGAAAACTCTACGTTCCCATTCACTCATACATCGTTCTTCAACTGATAATCTCAAAAATATCTTACTATTGAAACGAACTTTTGGAAACAGCAAACTTAGACAGCAACATCGTCTATCAAATTCAACAACAATTACAAAACCTCAAGTAACCAAAGTCATTGAAGCTGCCTCTGTTGAAAAACTTGTGGAGAAATTGACAAATACTTTAGGTAATGGTTTTTTTTTTTTTTGCATAATAGTCTGAACTGACTTCTAATTATTATTTTTTTTTTTTTAATTCCTTTAGATTACGAGTTCATGACTGACTTCTTTCTCACTTACCGAAGTTTTATTTCCCCTACTCAACTGTGCAAATTGCTTATTCTACGTTTTCGTTGGGCTCTTGAAAATGATGATGAAGAACGAAGAATTGTTCGAATTAGGTATGAGACATAAAAAAAAAAAAAAAAAAAAACGCACACTTATTAATACTTGATACTTTTAGAACATTTGTGGTGATGCGACACTGGCTTTTGAACTATTTTGTTCATGACTTTATTCCAATCCGTGATCTTCGTGTGGTATTGACGACTTTTTTGAATGCATTACCTTCTCATCCTTTAGTCAAATCCTCTCCTCGTGATCAACGCATTGTCAAGGGTCTCAAACGTGTGGTACGACGTCTCAAAAAGGTGTATTATAATGGTACTAATTCTCAACGAGTTCAAGTAATTGCTCCTCCTCCTCCTTCATCTGATCAAGAACGTGTAGAAGAAATGGTACGGGCAAACTTGGCTCATGGTCTGCTTAGACGAAAAACTGCCCTTGTACGTGGTGTGGACGTGGGTGGAAATTATAATGGTAATATGGCGGTACAAGATGCTAGACGGGCTCCAATGGTAGTGATTGGCAATGTACGTAACAAGACAGACTTTCAACAACAACAACAACAACAACAACAACAACAACAACAAAATGACTCTCCTTTAGCACCTAGTGATATGTCTATGACAAGTTCAAGGAATACCCCTTCGATGGATACGATGACTCGTTCTTTCCATATCAAAAATAACCAGAACGATGAAGTGATCACTGCAAAGCAATCTTATTTTCAACGTATGGAACAAGAACGAAAAGCAAATACTTTTTCTTCTACTCAAGATTTACCTGGATCTGCTGTATCTGAAGCAAGTGTGGCATCTGATGATTCTTTGGAAAGTGCTCTCAGTCCTGGCACGACCGAAATTGCAAGTGATGACGATTATTTTGATGAAGAACACTGTGGTACACTTAACTCTGATGAACAATGTGATGAAGATGCTGGTTTATCTTCTCAACACTGGAAATTGGATCATCCATACAGCAAATTGGAACACGAACGACGTAGACGGGAAGAAGAGGAAGAACGTAAAAGGGCAGAATTTTTCTCAGCTTCCAATGAGATCAAACCTATTGGCGATGATGACGACAAACAATTCCCTCCATTATCTGATCTATATGTTTCTGATTCTCGTATATCCTTCCAACGTACTTTATCTTCTGGCTCGGAACTCGTTACTCCTTCCCCATCAACGGACGCTATCAAAAACATAGAGAACGCAGCACCTATGGATGATAATCAACAACGATCTCAAACAACAGCCGTTACACCTACAACTCAAAACGACTCGGAAAAAGAAAATCGTTCAGCAGTACTGGCAACTTTGGAAAGAATGGATGGACCTTTGAAGAAAGCAGCTATTGGTGACACTTCTTCTCGTATCCGACGTGTTCCCTCAAACAAATGGTGTCGAGTATCGCCTGATGACGACGGTTTATATCAACGTTCTCCTAGTATTGCTACTCAACCATTTCCTGAAGAACTGGTTCGTCAATTGGATATTACTGAAAAAGCGATGAATTTTGATGGAAACTCGACAAAGGCATCGACTCATAAATCAACTCATACGAATAACGTGGACAATCATGACGCAATATTGACACCAACACATAAATCTACAACTGGATTGTCAAGACATTTATCCCGAAAAAGCATTGAACGACGGAAAAGCGAAAAAAATCTGCGTGAACTTGCTTCTGCCGATACCAACAACACTATTTTACGAAAATCAGCATCAACTCCATCTTCTCCCAACCATCGTCCTATTATGGAAAAATCCGCCATACCTGAATTACCTCCGTTACCTGTCACGATACCTGATTCAACCACTACAAGCGCCAGTTTTATTCAACAATTAAAACAGCAGAAAAATTTCACCAACAACAAACCAACAGATACTCCATCCTTATCACCATCAAGATCTCCTGATCACCAAAATGGAACGACAAGTTTGGATGATGATTTCGAAGCCATCCCTTATGATCAAACTGTTTCCCTGGCAGATATGGAAAAGACATCTACTACACCAACCTCTGTATCTCATCGACGTAAACTATCAAAGAAATTTGTCAGTATGGTATTCTCTCGTGCACCTTCATTCAATGCATTGAATGTGAATAGTAAACATACAATGGGTACAGCTGAAACGACAGGCAACGATAACAACAAGATGGAATTTGGAACAACCAAGGATAAGAAAATAACGCCATCAAAAAGTACTCCAGTAACATCATCATCATCATCATCATCGGCAAAAATACTTGTGGAAGAAAACATCAAACCTCTTTCTCTATCTCCAGTACCATCCATTCCAACACCAACAACATCATCAACAGAATCAACGACTCCATTAAAACGTACAACGCCAATATCTTCACCGACACCAAGCAGTAGACTTGTCAGCAGGATTGCACAAGAACTTCGTGAAAGTCAAAATGATTTTGAAATTCAATGTGATTGTATGCGATGTACTGGAACAACGTCAGGGCCAAGGGCTTGTAGACGATTCAGTTTGGCTTTACTTACGGACGATGAAAAAAGACATAGTTTAGAACTACGACGACGACGTGGTGCAAGCATTGACAAAGGTTCCAACAAACAATCCTTATGGTTTGGGTCTGAGCAACTTCTCTCGACGATGACAAGAGATGATGAAAAAGATCGGATTACTGATTTGCACCATCGACCTCATACAGCACAAAGTGGACCAATGTATCTTGGACAACTTAACATAGGTTATTCTCACTCTAACTCTGATCTTGGCATGCATATTGAAGAAATAGACGAAGGTGATGCTGATGGCAATGGTGACTCCTCCAGTTCAAGTTCTTCTTGTTCCTTATCTAATAAAAAAAACAATCGCGTTGGCAAACGGTACAATCAGCGACGTCATTCTTTGGAATCAAGTCTTGAACATAATGCACGATATAGCAAGAATGATCAAGTGAATTGCAGCAATGGAAGTTTGGACAGATTGACAGGGATATCTACAAAGGGGGATGGAACCAGTTTACATCGACAAGCCTTTTCAGTAACGTCAATCCACACAATGGAACCATCTTTACTTATCCAAGACAATGCAGACGCACCTTCATTTACTATGGCACCACCTTTGTCAGCTATATCGGATTTACCTCGACGATCATCAGCTTCTGTTATTCCACCATGGCATTCAACTCCAATGACAGATGGAACGACAATGATGGATGATTCTACTACCATGAATGGGACGATGCAATACACAACACCACGATCAAACGGCAGTTTTATTCTCTCTTATCGCTCTGGGAAAATGGCGCAACAATTATGTTTTATTGAACGGGACGTATTACTTGGTGTTGATTGGGAAGAAATGGTACACTGTCGATGGACTAAGATGGCAACGAATACAACAACTATGGAAACAGGAACAAGGAATAGTCAACAAGGTGATGAAGAAGGTAATTCATATATATCTGACGCTCAACAGGTCAATTACACCCGGCAAATCCGACAAATGCAACTCGCCAGACAAGATGGTTATGGAGGTATTGAACAAGTTATTGAACGATTCAACACAGTATGTCAATGGGTGGCTTCTGAAATTGTATCCGTACCAAAAATGGATTTACGTGTCAAAGTTATCGAGAAGTTTATTCGATTGGCTCAGGTAAACAAAAAAAAAAATAGAAGATCTAATCAAAGGAAAATCCTCTTTTTTTTTTTCTTTCTTTCCTTTCTTATACGTTTTTTTTTTTTTTTTTTTTGATATTCATTAGAAATGTCGTATGTATTCGAATTTTGCAACCTTGGTACAAATTCTTCTTGGATTACAATCACCATCTGTATCAAGACTGAAGAAAACTTGGGCACGTGTAGGGGCTAGCGAAATGCGATTATTGGATGAATTATCACAATTCACATCACCCATGCGAAACTGGAAACATATTCGGGATAATATGACAATGGTTGCTGAAGAATACGGTATGTCACCAACGGAAGTGCAAGTGGAAATGCCTGGTACCAGTACTGGACAAAAGGGATTCAAGCGCACCAAAGTTAAAATTCCATTTGGGGGATGTATTCCTTTTCTTGGGATTTATTTATCTGATCTAGTCTTCAACTCGGAACAACCTGCTTATTTGGAACCCAATCATGCTCATCACAAGATTTACAAGGAACAAACAGCAGCTACGCAAGCGAATCTCTCACCTGTATTGAAACAACCTTTGGTCAACTTTCGAAAACATCGTATTACTGCCACTGTCATCAAACGGGTCCTCACCTTCCAAAACTTAGCTCGCCGCTACGCTTTTGATTTGGATGAAGAAATATATGAACGATGCCTGTTACTTGATCCTTTGGATGCTGATACTGTTCGCCGCCTTAGTCATACCATAGAATAGTTTGATTTTTTTTTTATATATATACACATTGTCTATACCCTTCTCTTTTATATATCAAAAATAAAAAATTTTATATCGAATTGTCTTTTATATGTAAATGATCATTTCTCTTTTCAACTCTTCATTTCATTAGGAAAAAATGAATATCATTGCCATGAAAACGTTGGATGTTTGGCATTTTAACCACTTACCTTAAATCGATTGGGGTCTGTCATCATCATTGATCACTAACATCATCACCATATACCATCCCACATATGTTGCACTGTATAAAATAAGAATAAACATTTTTTTTATTGGTACAAGATTATAAATAAAAAGGCATCTATCTACAAAAAAAAAAAAAAAAAAAAAAAAAAAAAAAAAGGTAAAATATACACTATCATGCTACAATCACAATGATCACCAAGTTTATCTCCAGGTACTAGCCTTGCGATCTCTAGATTTCATACTACGTTCATATTCCAGAGCTTCATCGACCATTCTTCTTGTTTCCCGACTATCCATTCTTTTGGCCAAACGAGTGTAAGGAGTATCAGGCTTCTTTCGGACATCGATCAATGCTCTTTTCTTCTTGTGTTCGTCTTTCTTCGCTCGTTTGGATCTCTTCCCTGGCTCGATTCGGGGTTGTCCTACTTGTTGCATCACTTCATCTTCGATTTCCTGCCATAATAATTTATCTTCCTTGTTGTTGACTATCGTTGATGATGACGGTTGACTTTGTTCTTCTTTTGATACTGGTTGGACAGGTCGCCCAAGTTCGTCACGAGGAATGATTTTTCCATGGAAAGGACACGTTACCAGATCTCGTCTTGGACATAATCCTCCATTATGTAAAGGATATCGACATGCCTACATCGTCAATCAACATATAAGTATGCGGATAATGATAACATCATGTACATTTTTTTTTCTCTTTTTGAAATAAAACCACAACTTACCTTGATTTTCTTGGGTACCTCCGTCTTGTAATATACAGATCTTTTGCGTAGATCTTCCAACAAATGTTCAGGCATTTCATTTGTACCTTCACCAACACCCATAAATCGATGAGAGAATTCTAAAGGATGAGAATAAAAAGAAAAACAGATTAGTTGATCATGTTTTTTCCATTCATGATCTCTATTCCATAGTATCATTACCGATGCCACTTGTATTGAATTGCACACTTTTCTTGTCCCAATAATAAAGATCATCACCCCACTATATATCAAATTAATTTAGGAAGTATTCGAATATGACCTTACTTTCCTTTTTTTTTTTTTTTTTTTTTTTTTTTACCTCCACAAACGGTGCTCGTTTTAATAGTTCTAAAAAAAAAGAAGTAATAATGTAAATATAGTCAAATTAGTATTTCTTTTTTTTTTTTTCTCTAGAAGACTTTTTTTGTGCCTTTTTAATACCATTTTTATCATACAAGTGCTTCTGTTTTCCTTTCCCTTTGATATCTACGCTGCTGTATAATAAGATGATAATAATAAGTTTAGTAAAAAGGCCAAACATCATATACATCAATCACGGTAAAATAATTTATATATAAATATTACCTTGAATCAGTATGATTATCGGTATTATCCAAGGCAGAAGAATCTTGTTGTTGTTGTTGTTGTAATACTTGACCACCACTATAGGTAACATCTTCAGTCATGATTGGTTCATATGACAAGGGAAAGATACGTTGAGAGGGAGGTAATTTTGCACTAGGGATAGTATGTTCAGAGGATGAAGGCGGTGGAGAGGAGGGTAAATCTGGAATTTCCACTTCTTCAAAGAGTTCATCCAAGAATTCATCATCATCTTCGTCTTGTTCGTTGACCTGATTTCCATTTGTTGATGAACGCCGTCGATCTGGTGGTAATTCAATGCCCAAAAGCTTGACCTTGTGTATCACTTCTGCTATATCATTCTTTGCTTGGATGAGTTGTTTGACATAATTTTCTTTTTCAGTTTTATCCTAAATCGATCAAAAGATATAGGTGAGTATCATCCCCAATCTCTTTTTTTATTTTTTTTTCTTCTCCTTCTTCTTCTTCTTCTTCTTACCACATATTCCATTCTGACTAAAGAATTGATCCAATTGTTGACTTGTTTGCTTTGCTTCGTTTCTAACACTTTGTATGCTTCACGTAATTGTTCATAAACGACTCGATTATCTTCAGATTCATGCACTTGATCTAAGAGAGGATTATCTTTTGACATATCAATAGTGATGGTATATCGATTAGTAGCAAGTCCATGAGATACTATGGCCTAATAAAATAAAAATAAGGTTATTTTCTTTTCAACTTATTTTGTGTTCTTCTCATATCAAATATAACTTCCCTTTTTGTAATCCGTTTCTCCAGATGAAGAGATTTCCATATCCCCACGAATCAGAGCATCAAAGTCCAAAGAATCATCCAAACTATCGTTTTTAGGTATTAATATTTCAAAACAGGATTCCTACATATATGAGTTCAAAATAGAGATTAAATATGTATTTTCGCTATAACCAATATATTCAATAGTTACCATATTTTTGATAGATTCTTGAATAAGGTCCAAATGGTCATTGATATCTGTTTTGATTTGATCATAACGTCGTTCTTCAATTGCCTTCATACGAGCCTCCTTACTTGACTTTTCCAGATCTCGTGCATGAATAGATTGTAGTGATTGTGGATCACGTTCTAGGAATCCATTATGTGATAGATAATCGTAAGCAATGCTGAGTGCACGAAATTGTTCTCCAAAGTGTTGATACCAGTTCTTGATGAGAGCAATAGCATATTGTCGTAGTTTGATCGCAATAGAGGCAGGAGGTGGTAAGGAATGACCCCGGATTCCAACAATCAGTTGAACCATCGTAGGAAGTTCATCAGTCACTAAGGTTCGAAAGTAATAAGACCGTTTAAAAAGTTCTTCACATAATTGTAAACAGGAATATCGGATCTATTTTTTTTTTTGAACAAATGAAAATACAAGTTTAGTGTAATGTTAGTTAAAAAAAAAAAAAAAAAAAAAAAAAAAAAAAAAAAAGAAAAGAAAAGAGTTCATTTGTTTGATATAAAAGGTCTTACTTGAGCTTGCTCTTTATGAAGTTGAGCCATCATAAAGGTATAAGTAGCTTCCACATTAGAATTATTTTGTTTACAATAATGTTTGATAGTCTAAAAATATCAATTGAGTCCATATAAATAATAAGTTATTTCATGTTAACTACCTTGAGAATATCTTTATCCAGAATCCATTCGCCAGTTTCAGTGATTTGTTTCACAAGTCCTTCAAGTCGTTCTCTAGCTTCAATATTCATCGATAGCAGGAAATGTAGATCAGAAAAAGAAAAAGAAAAGGTAGAAAAACAGAAAGAAAAAGAAAAAGAATATATTTCTTACCGCAGCTTCATATTATGCAATTAGAAAAAAAAAAATTCGGAGTGTCAAGAATGACATCTTTCAAAAGACAAAAATATTGATCAGGTCCAAAATGATAGAAGATAAAAAGGAGTGTGTTTATTTCTTGTTTGTTTATAAAACTATATATAAGAAAGAAAAAAATAAAAAAAAAAAATAAAAAATATATAAAAGGGAAACAAGTAAATCATAATAAATAAATATATATATATATATATGACCAAGTAATACAAAATAGACAAAGTAAATGATAAATTGCTATCATTCTGTCCACGAACCTGAGGAATCCAACATTTGCATCAAAGGCCATTCAAGACACACTTTAGGTTGTCCAGATGACCTATCATCTAAAAATTGTTTGATTGTATCCATGGATGATATTGATCGTAAAGTTGTTGTGAGTTGTTGTTGCGATGGTGGTATTGACGACGAAGAAGATGATGACTGTGACCGATGTTGTTGTTGTTGTTGTTGTTGTTGGCGTGAATCTGTTACTACTTGATGATGATTTCCATTTCCTTCCACAATCCTCATCGCAATATCTCGAGCATCTTCTACTTTTCCTGTCATTTTTAATCCAACCACCTGAAGAGCTAATTCCATAAGAGCGCGATCATTTTCATTGCAATACGTAAATAGCGTCAGATCTTGACTATCAGGTACCACAGGAAATTCTTTGAAGGAAACCACAACAGCACCAGGTTCAGTCGCAGGTGGAAGTATACAGACAAGAGTATTTGGTGACCAATAGTGAGTATTTGTTGCTGCTACATCGCCAAACATACAAGTCAAACCAGGTCGAAAACCAGCACCAAGAATAGTTACTTCAATTCCACCATCCATAGGTCCTTCATTTGGAATCATCCGTTGCATTTGAGGTCGTTCTAATATTAATCCTTTGTTCGGTGTTGATATTGATTGTTCTTTTCCATTTCTACTGTTTTGATTACTTGGTGATCCTGTTGCTGCTGCTGCTGCTGCTGCTACTGCGGCCATCGAATTCAACAAGGCTTGATTTAGCTGCATATGTCCAGTTTTGCTATCATTTTCGGTTTTGTTGTGCTGAAGATGATTGATCAATGATGTATCATTGGATGGCGATAAAGTTCTACTGATATTACCAATTGGTGTGTTGTGACGTGGAGCGATTGCTGTACTACTATGATTGTTGTTGTTGTTGTTGTTGTTATTGTTAGTGAAGGGGGTATCATTAAAGGAGAATGGTAAAAATGACTGTGTGTTGGATGTTGATGAATTATTCGTAGAAGGTGATGATGATGACGCAGTATTGTTGTTGGTATGAATACTGTTTGGAACAGGTGAACCAGAGCCAAAAGGATATGAACTTGCAGATAAAATTGCTTGTGTGCTGATAGGCTTGTCCAAATCCGTACGAGGGCGTTTTCTTCCAGCTTTGACTTTACTTGATTTATGATCATCAGTAATCATAATGGGTGGAGACATACCAGTAGCTACAGGTTTGCCTGTGTGATCTTGCATTTCGAAATAGATACTAAAAAAAAAAAAAAAAAAAAAAAAAAAAAAAAAAAAAATTAGAGTTCAATGAAATGTAACCAATAATTGCATGTGTCTATTACCAAAAGCCAAGTCTTTCATTATGATGTCTACAATAACAAGTAATTCTGGTAGGTAGAATGGTATCGCCAGAACTAAAATCAACTATTTCAGGACAATTGAAGAGTAGGACCTTTTGTTCTTCCAAAGCCAAAGATTGTTCATCCTCTAACCGACGTTCATCTTCATTTTCCACTTTGATTTTGTTTTCCTTTCGACGTTGAGATCGTTTGCGCTATTAAATAATAGTTGGATGAACACTTTTGTTTCTACAATTGGATCTTCCTTTTTTTTTTACTTACCTCACGTTGAATACAACCTAAACACGTTACTACCTTTCGAGAAGGATCACTTGCACAAATCACACGAGCACTGAGAAAGAGCATTTTATCAGCTTTAACAGGTAAATTGGTATTGTCGAGACCAGAAACACTTGTGATGGAACCATTGCTATCTGTATTAACAGAAATTTGTTGTTGTCGTTTCAGTTTATCCTTTGCTACCATATATTCTGGAAGTTTCAAATGAGACCATTGTTGAGCTTTGTCACCGTCGTCTGTAACTAATTGAATACATAGTTTGATTTGAGTCTCTACTCTTGATTTCGCCCCAGTTTGAGGAACACCTAGTACCCGAATTTGCATTCTTTTATTATAAACAAATAAATAAATTAATTAATAATAATAATAGTAATAATAGAAAGGGTTAATAATCGATTTTTAAATGAATATATTCTTTTTCTCTTTTTTACCCAGGAGATATGATATTGGATGATTTGAAAGCACCATCTGTCATGGACTCATACTTGATACCAGTGGAAGTTTGAATTTGAGTATCACCTTGAGGATTTGCTGCTGCATGAGAATTCCTATTGATTAATATATATTTATATATATATATATATATATTAGATAAGGCAATGATAAACAGTGATAAGAACTTACAACGAACTGAATAATTGGTAGTTGGAAAGATATTCAGACACATTCTTTGCCAAGTTTGGTATTGATTGAGGGAAAGGATTGTGGGCTACATTGGAAAAGAACTATTTAAATAGGAATAATTAGTTATTAACAAATGACGCGAATTTCTTCGTTCGACTTACATTGTTGAATCCAGACCATATACTTTGATTTGCTTCAGATCCATTTGCTGCAGCTTGATCAAACGAAGTCAAAAGTGAATGAGGATGATTGGTTGAAGTAGAATCAGTAAGAGAGGATACGTTGTTAGCATCTTTCATAGATTGATCGTGCATCTGTTGTTGTTGTTGTTGTTGTTGTTGTTGTTGTTGTTGCTGTTGCTGTTGCTGTTGTTGTTGTTGTTGTTGTTGGTGATGTTGTTGCATAAAAAAGAGAGGATTTTCAGGTAGTAGTTGGTCAAGTTTCGGTAAAAAAGATAAATCAAACTGGAAAGGAAGTTGTTGAGAAGATCGTATTGATAAACCTTGGTTGTTGTTATTGTTATTGTTTGTGGCATTGTTGTTGATATCTTCTTCGTTTAAAGGAGAATCGATATGATGACTTGATTCTGACATTATATACACATTTATATATGTTTATAGGTTTATTTCTATATATATATATAGTCTTCTTCTTTCCTATATTATAGATTTGAATATACAAAAAAAGAAAAAGAGAAAACAGAAAAGAAGAAAATTAAAAAAAAATGAGGGAAGAAAAAGGAAACTAAGGGAAAAAAAAAGCTTTTAACTTTTTTCACGTTCCGTTTTTGCAGACGGAGTCCCAGTCAGCCAAGAAATCGCCCAATCATATGGTAAAGGCAACTGCAGCTTGGACAATTGTTGTCATAGGTTTTCAAATGCTTCCCAACTGAGTTTTAAGGCACGAGATCTTTCTATGTTATTAAAGATGGATATTTGAAATTATTGATTTTAAAATTCGTTCTTAATGTCATCATCATCATCATCAATTGATAGCAGTTTCTTTTCATCCTTTTTTTTTTTTTTTTTTTTTTTTTACTTTGTGATGATGATAATCGATATCTTTTCAGGTCCATCATTTCAAACACCGTGGATATCCTTTTAAGCTTTTTGGAATGCTACTAATTTATTACACTTTAACTTTTATATTAATAGATGATGATCATATAATAAGAACATTTTTTTTTGTTTTTGTAGAATAGCGAATCAAAATTCATACGAGGCAAAATATGCATGATTAAACTTGATTTTCTAAAAGTTTTGTTCGAATGATGGTCAGTGAAGAAATACACGTGGCTCAACAAAGTTTTTGTACTACTACTAAAATATAAAGCCTCTTATTAAAAATCTAAAAATCCGTGCGCATACTGGAAAAATTTGAAAAAAAAAAAAAAAAAAGTACCCATATCACCTCTTATGGAAATAATAGTTTATCAATAATACATGTGATTTATCATCACGTCAATTCGTAGCAAAAAAGAAGAAAAGAGGAGAGGGAAAAAACCGGTAACCATCAGCAGTTCTATCTATGATTAGTGATTATAAAGCTTGAAATCAAAAAAAGTAATTCTGACAACAGACAAGAATCCCTTAAGTTTTTCTTTATAGATGATTTGAAATAAAAAAAAAAAAGGAATGTATAGGTATACAATAAAAAAAAGAAAAACAGGTGAATAAAGTAACTATATCTAGATAACGAAAATGGGTATAAACTAAAAAAGATATAAAAAAAAAAGGAGGGTATGATAGAATTGGATAATCCTTTTAAGGAGCTATAAAAAAAAAAAAAAGTCGGAAAGATAAGAATGACAATAAAAGACCAGCTTATTGTCATTTAAAGTAAAAGTTCCTGACGATGTTTTACTAAATAATCCTGTACTATAGCTTCATCTACCCAACATTGATAATCAATCAAATTTAAAAAAGATCTTTCCAATTGGTTAATTTCTTGAAGTGTATACATATCATCACATAACCGTTTCATTCTTTGATTGGTGAGCCAATATGGTTTACTTTCATCTGCCACATCATGAGGTCCATCTAATTGTTGACTTGCACCCCATCTTGTACCATGTAGAAATTTGGAAGCTACCAATAAAGAAGCGATGATCATCCTATGAGCTGTATCTAGATGGTAATAACAATAATAATAATTTATTATAGTCGTCATATATAATATATATATAAAATATATTTACCTTGATCACCTATAGCACGTTGAGGTAAAGCAGCTTTACATCGATCAATATAAATCCAAGCAACTACAGCTATATAACATGATATTCGAGCATTATAGGTAATTTTTTGTATAAAGTACATTAATTCTGGTGCTGTACGTTCTTGTATTGGTTTTGTTGGTAGAAAATCACACATTGTCAATGCAAAATAATCTATAAAAAAAAAAAAGAGTAAGAATAATATATAGTAAAAAAAAAAAAAAAAAGTCCGCTTTACCGATGACAATACTTGGTAATGGTTTAAAAGAAAAAGATTTTTCATCATCATCATTATTACTACTATTACTACTATTAGTAGTAGTATTACTTTTACTAATACTAGGAAGAGGATGAATTGAATCGGAAGGTTTCTTTGGTTGTTGTATTTCGGTAATAAAACTCATTGTCATTGTATCAATATAAATAGTCATACTATATAGGAATTATTTTTAAATAATAATAATAATAATAATAATAAAAGAAAGAAAAAAAAGAAAAAGAAAAAGAAAAAAAAAAAGGGACATTTGATTGTTAATGAAATTTATATAAAAAGGAGAGACAGAGTTTGATTAGACCACGTGAGGTTGCCAACCATAATTTATATATATATATTTAATCCCTAACAACAATCAAAAAGGAACCAATCTTTTTTCTTTATAGGATTTCCCGATTTGGTTATCCAGTTCCGTTTTCCTTTTCTTTTTTTTCTTTCTTTCTTTCTTTTTTTTTTTTCAGAAAATTCATCAAACCAACTGATTGACTTTATCTTGTGATTTTTTCTTTTTTTTTTTTTGATTATTTGAAACAAAACCTTTATACATCATCATCACTGTGTAAGGTTTTTTTTTTTTTTTTTCAAATAATATATAAAAAAGAGGTACATATCTTTATATATATATTCAAAAATGGTGATACAAACAGGGCGCAGAAAGTGTGAGTTTAAATTTTTTTTACTGCATTTTTGTTTCTTTCTCTCTTTTTTTTTTTTCTTTTCTTTCTTTTCCTTCCTATTTTTTTTTTCCTCTTGATACCTTATTAGGATGACTTCTTTATTATTATTACCTTCTGAAATCATAGATTTGATATGTAGTTTTTTATCAAAAAATGATTTTCTTACGTGTTTATGTGTATCCTCGTCTTGGCATGACTTCTTTATTCATCATCTTCACAAACACATTTCTATTCGTGGAGATAAACAACTTGAACAAGTATGTCAAAGTTTACTTCGCCATGCTCCTCGATATCTTGGTCATTCTGTGCGAACTCTTAGATTATCTATCAAGAATATCAAGGACCGTCATTTATCTCAATTGGCTGCCTGGTGCACTCATATCGAAACTCTTTTTTTACGATGGTCTATTTGGTTTGAAGAAGAAATCAAAGTATTACCACTACAAGAAACTGCGGAAGAAAGAGAACTAAAGGAACTACGTTATACTGATATTATGGCTTCTTTTATTGGTCCTTTCTTGAACTTATCTCAACTCACTTTGGACGTTTCTTTTGGTGTACGCGATATCAAGATACCCGACTTTTTACCCTTCCTTCCTCGTCTTACCATTCTTATGATTACTGTTGGTAATCGTCTCTCTTTTGATTATATAGAACTGATACATAAACAATGTCCTTCTTTACAACGTTTGACTTTACAAGGCCTTTTTATTGAAAATATTCCAGCTATCACTCCAACAAAACTCTCTTGGTCCGATAACAACACTTCTTCTACTTCTTCTTCTTCTCCAATCACTATTACACCTGCTGAACATCTCGCTATTATCAAATTGGAATTTGTTAGTGGTGATACCGAATATTATTTGGATTGGATGATGTATTTTGCAAAGAAATATCCTAATCTGATGTCTTTTGCTTTTCATCAACATACAGCCTCTTTATCGCCATACTTAGCTTCAGCAACTGGACAACAACTCAATCATCCGTTTTATCAGTATGTCTTCAGCACTTTATCTCAACAATGCCCACATTTATCAGCTGCTCACTTGAAAAACATTCATATCAACCCTGAATTCTTCAAACAGGTTGGCTCAAAATTAGATCATCTTGCTATTCATCTACCTGATACCAGTCCACTTGGCCTTTCAACACATTCAACCAACACTTCTCCCAATTTGTATTACTTTTCAAGTTTATTTCAACACACGGAAATGCAGCAACATTTATCCTCTCTTCGTTTATCTCTACCAGTAAAGGATAATACCAATACTCCTCTTTTACCCAATCAAATTGTTACTCAACTACATCACTTTCATCATCTTGCCTCTCTTACCATTCATTGGAGTCAATCATTGGCTTGTTTTCATCTGGATTCGCTTTTGTCTTCACTCCCTCAACTGATGAATCTTACTCTGGTCTCCATGAAAGTAGGCCTACTTCAACAACAAGAATCAACTTTGGACAAACGTCATCCGTTGCAATCATTGACATTGTGGAGCGTCATCATGATAGATCCTCATCATTTATTCAACTGGATCAACTCTTATGTGGATTTATCTCATCTCAAACTGACACATTCTTGTCGATCTATATCATCTTTGGACCACGACAAACAAATTCCCAACAATATCTGGTTACCCGATACCCGTTTGAAAACATTTTCAATTCATGAACGATATCATCAATCGAACCCGATTCGACTATATATGTTACATCAAACCGCAGTTCGTACAGGAAAACAACAGGATGATTACAGGCCTCGATTTAGTCATCTAACTGATCAACATGACAATAAAGACGACAAGTTTGCTTGGTATTTTTTGAAGTACTTTGACAATGAAACAGCATCTTCAAGTCAACTGGTGCAATTGGATGCAGATCAAAACTTTGAATGGGTAGTGCCTTTTTATCAAGTCAAGAAAAATTGCCCCTGGTATGCCGATTTATGCGATATTGCTGATGATGTTTACAAGAAGCACAACCTCGAACATGACCTGGTGGATGACATTGATGGAATTGACTATATGAATATAGTATGCCGTTCGATTACATACTTGAAAATTAATGATGAAAGAATATCTTTTTTTAATTAATTAGTTAGTTAGTTTAATCTTTATTCTTATTTGAAATAAACCATGACACTTTTTTTTTAACAAATTTAATGCTAAAGATGATTCTTACCAGTCTGTCTCTCTTTCTTTTTGTGGCTTTGGCTCGCTGGGATTCAAAACAACTCTTGACAGGGACGTCTCCCAGATATTTTTTTTTACCTCTTCTCTCTTACCTTTTTCTTTTCTTTTTTTTTTTTATCTTCATATTTTGATATGTTATCAGCACAACCTGCTTATGCTCTTGCAAGAGCAACCTTCAAACGGGCTCAACGTGGTTTATTTGGTGGAAAACATATTCAATTCGGTAACAATGTAAGAAAGAAAAAAAAAAGAAAAAAATGGAGAAAGAAGTATAAATGATTTATTCTTTTCTTTTCTTTTCTTTTTTTTTTTTCCTGTTGTTGATAGAATCCATTCTCCAAGAAAAAAACTCGACGTAACTGGCTTCCCAATGTACAAAGCAAGAAACTTTATTCTGAAGCCATGCAACGATTCTTTGATCTTAAAGTCACGACCTCTGTTTTACGAACCATTGATAAGAAAGGAGGATTAGATCGATATCTTTTGGATACGAAGGACAAGAACTTACATAGTGAAAAAGCTTTGGATTTGAAGAACTTAATACTCAAGCATCAGCAGAAACAAACCAAACCTGTCAGTAACCTATAGACACCTTTTTTTTTTTGAACCACCTTCTCTCAACTTCCTCCTTTCAAAAATAGTATATACTCTCATCTTTCTTCTTACTTGACAAACATGCAACTACTCTTATACTCCCTTATCATTCCATCTTCATGATTCTTCTTTAGTATGTACTCATAGTTCTCTGTATTTTTCCCTCCTCCTTTTGACATATACATATTTACTTATTTATTTATTTTTTTTCTTTTTTAACGATAAAATCTAAATTGACATAACTGTAAAGAAAACAAAGTTGAATGATTGTTTATTTGATATGGTTGAAAATGATGATATTTCTCGTCAACTTTTATATGATTCAATCCACTTGATGTATAAAAAAGAGGTTACTCGTATTCTCAATCCCCGCTGACTTTTTTCTCTTTCTTTTTCCCTCGTTTTATTTTCTTCTTTTTTTTTTTTTTACCACTTATGGAATTACCTCAAGTAGGAAGACACTGCTCTCTTTCTTCTTGTAATTCTTTAGGTAAACTCATTTACTTTAGGAAGTACTCCTTTCATACCTTAGATAATAATAATAATAAAGTTACTTAGTTATTTACCACACTCCTTTTTTTTCATAGACTTTTTACCTATCACTTGTCCTTTCTGCGAAAATACTTTTTGGTAAAAGAAAAGATGTTTCCTTTGGTTATTGAACAGGACAATTCATCTCTCTCTCTCTCTTATTTCTTTCTTTCTCATTAGTGGCGATCATCGGTTACCTTCTTCACATCGATGTAGTAGTTGGAGTAATGACAAACAAGTTTCGTTGTGCACACAATGCCAAAAACTCATTTATATGGAATCATTATCACCTGAAGATACGGTAATTATATAGATATATATATATATATCCCAACCTTTATTTCTATTTAGACTAACTTCATCGATGATTATTAGTTAACGCAACATATCTCCTCTGAATGCAAATTGTATCTCTTTCCTCCTGCGAAGATGTCCAGCTCCGCCAAGCTTGAATGTGCTGTGGATCGATGCCATGAATTAGATCCTAGAATTGGCCCTGCTCATTGTACTGCTTGTGATCGTGATTTTTGTCTCAAGTAAGGATATACTATTAATATTACTGTTATTTATCTATTCCATTTTATAGACATAGATACCAAACGACACATCAATGCCCGGCATTACTGATAGATCCAAAAGAAGAAAGGAAATTGGCTGCTCAAGAAAAGTTAGCAAAGACTTACAAACATACAACAACAACAACAAGGTCATCATCATCCAGTAATCTAAAAAGAAAAGTGAATCCCGTAGTAGAAATGATGAAAATCAAGGCAAAAGCAAAGGTAATTTCTTTAATCTTTTATACCTATATGTCTTTCTATATCTAACAATTTTTTTTTTTTTTTGGTTCTGTGTATTTTGTGTGGATTGATCCTTTTCTATAAATATATCCATGTAGGGATTGGCGTCTGTCCCTATGGCGTCTCGACTATATCTTTATATCAAATTCCCAGAAGATGCCAATTTATCTCAACTAGAACAACCAATGTATTTGGACAAGGTATAATTTTTTTTTAAAAAAAAAAAAAAGAATACTGGTTTATATTGACTCTTTTTTTTTCGCTATTCAATATCTCACAAAAAGTACAATCGTGTTGGAAAGACATTGGACATGTTGGCTACTTATGGACGTGTGAAGAATCAAAATCATTTATTATCAGCCGACAATGATCAGGTAACAGAAAAAGAAACAGTGAATAAGGTTGATTTAAGAGAGGGAGAGAGAGAGAGAGAGAGAGAGAGAGAGAGAGAGAGAGGTGAAAAAAGCTGATTCCTTTTTATTTTTATTGTTATTATGTTATACGAAAAAAAAGAGACTAGGGTTATATATAGAGGATCAGGAAGGAAATCTTCGACTGTTGGACACATCAAGAACATTAGAAGCTTCCGTGGAACAAATGAATACATTAGTGCTCAAACGAAAAAGGATCCTCTCTTGAAGAAGCAATTTTTGGTCCATAGAAGAAATCAATTTCATTGATCCTTGTTTCATATTATTATACTTAGAAGTAGTATAGATCTCATGCAAAAATAAAGGCACGTAGTACTGTTGTATATCATTGGGTTGTTTATATTTATATATTTATAGTATAAAATCTTTAATTGTAGAAATGAAATAAAAGTCTAGATCAAGTTGATTATGATAAAAATAAAGCAAACTTTATTGGTCATAAGATGAATTGTAGAAGTGTGATAATAAAAAGTAACTTAAAAAATACAAAAATAAAATAGAGATAAAAGGAAGGCAAATATATGAAGATGCAATAAAAGAAAAATGAAATACATATAGAGATGATCAATAAAGTAGAAAGGGGGGCAAAATAAGTAAAAATACACATAATACAACAAAAAGGGGGGAATACAATAATAAAAAAAAAAAAAAAAACAACCTAAACTAATCACATTCATCAGGAGGTAGATACATTCTATTCTTGAATTGATCACATAAACGATCTTCGTCATGGAGGGAATCATGAGAATACGAATCAGGAATATCAGGTAATCGTATAAATTGTTGTCTTGGTTGTTGTTGTTGTAAACGATAATCGTGGCGTCTTGATGATCCAGAAGATGATTTACCACCAAAATCTTCAATAAATCCAGGATGATCCAACGTATATTCACTGCCATTATCATCATCATCATCATATGCCACAATAGGTTGTCCACGTCTTCCACCTTTGTTAGGAAAAGATGATGATAAAGATGCTGAAAGATAAAGCCCAGTTGTACCATGAGGTGTTCTTGGAGAGGAAATAGATGTAGTTGCAGTGTTGCGCCGAGAAAGACTACCGCTGCTACCACCACTATGATTGCTATGTCCGCTGATACTATTACCACTGTTGAATGCTGATCCATCATAGAGTTGAGGCGCAGGAGGAAGTGGTTGATTGGTTGGAAAATCAGAAGGAGAATAGTATGGTGTTGAAGTAGATGTCATAGGAGATTCACTACCATTGTTGCCATTTTTATAATAATAATAATAACTACTGTTTCCAGAGAGAGGTGATAAGGGTCGTTGAGACGCAGAATCCATAGTTGGCGATCGACTATGAGAGTTGTTGCCATAGATATACTGTTGTGATGATTGCATAGTTGACGATATTGATGGTGCCATGGCGGTTCCACGATCACTGTTGCTACTGCTGCTATAAGAACTGGTTGAACTGTTTCGTGCACGTCCTCGAGGTACACCAACAGCACTGAGATTAGCACTTGTTACCCTTGTAGATTGTAAACGTAATTGAGCTATAGCCAATTCTTGAGCTGCTGATTGTGCTTGAAGTTGTATTTCACGAACTCGGTCTTGAGAAGTATTGAATCGTTGTCCATTACGTGCCACCAATCGTAACATATCATCCACTACATCCAAAATTTGCTTGTAATTCAGTTCTGCTGTTTGTCTTGCTTGTAGTTGCATCAATAGTTGTGTCTTGGCATGTTTGACATCTGTGCCTGTAGAATGCATAATAAACCACCTTGTTTCATTTTCAATTTGTGTCAATTCGTTGATGGTTTCCTTCAGTATAGTCAATTGGTGTCGTATATCCATCTTTGGTTTTGGTAAATCAACAACAGAAGTACCAGCTTCGAATGCTGCAACAAGTGCACGATAACCATCGATTGTGATCTAAAAATAATAAACATAAATAAAAAATAAGTAAATATTATACTTTTTAATTATAAAAAAAAAAAAAATTACCTTATTTTCATCAATATGGAGAGATTGCAAGACACGATTGACAGTCATAACGTTTGCCAATACAGAAGCGCCAACATCACCAATACCCACACCGTTAAGTTCAAGACGTTCCAAAGATCTATTTTGTTTCAGTCCAGCATCTATAGCGTCTACGATCCCTTTTCCAATATTAGCGCACCCTTCCTTGTTCCTTGCAGACGTCATGTTGAGTTTGAGTTCACGGAGAGTTGTATTGCGTTCAAAAACAGAGGCCAAAACACGCACTGTATCATCTGATAAAGCATCACACCCAGTGACCCGAATGTCTGATAAATCCAAAAACATGATAGTGTGATTATCACGAATGCAGTCCAAAAATTCACGTAGTGTACCATCTTCCCAATCAGTTTTCGCCAATGACATGGAGCATGGACCCTCCCCTTGCATCAATGCATTACATAAGTTAGGGATATACATCACTTCGCGCCATACTGGATTGCCACCCACATTCAAATGCACTCGTCGATTGCCAGATTTGGTAATAGCCATCAGGAGATCACGGAGATGTCGACCATCAAGACCACACCCATTCACATTTAAAGCTTCCACAGAGTTGAATGATTGCGTTTGCATCCATTGACATAGAATAGCCACACCACTTGTACCTAATCGATTGTATCCCAAGTCCAATTCTCGTAATGCACTTGCATCAAACATATGTTTTTCCAGAGATAGATCATACCCTCTTAGCCGTAAAACTGCCAATCGTTTGCACCGTTGAAGTAATGATTGGATGGTCGTAAGATCTAATCGTCCTTTTGAAGTTTCAGATTTATCATGTGCCGTAGTTGTAGGTGATGTAGGTGGTTGACGCTGATGACGATAGTGTGAATGATGAGGATGAGGATCCCTAGACGTGGTCGATATATCCAAAAGTTGTAATTTTTCAGGCCTTTCTGAGAGTAACGTAGTAAGAAGCATGCCGATTTGTTCATCAGTAAGTCCACATTCATGTACATCCAATTCCACTACTGCCTTGGGACTTGCTCGAATACCAGCCAAAAGAGAGTGTAAATCTGTTGCTTTCATATGATTTTTTCCTAACATCACTGATCGTAGTTGACAGTTTCCATTTCGCATATTCAATCCAATCACTGTCAATGCTGAACTAGTAGAAGTTTTGTTACTACCTATGCTACATTCAGAGAGATCTAATCGTTGTAACCTTGCATTGCCAGAGAGTATTGCATGAAGTTCATTCGAAAGTACATCAGACACATTCAACGTTTTCCAAAAAGGTTTGGTCCAGCTATCATTCTTGTCCACAGTCCAATCCTCCAATTCTTTCAAAGATTGTTTCCCAAAGTTCAATTCAGTGTAAAAAGGCTATTTTTTTTTTTTTAAAAAAAAAAAAAAAAAAAAAAAAAAAGAGAGAGAGAGAGAGAGAGAGAAAATTGATTAGTATCTGGTATCATTTGTATCACATATATATATATAATACACTTACGTTTCGATGAAGGGATCGACAAATAGCCAAAAGTTCATATCTTGTATAAGAAGCTGATGTTTCATTGACTTCATGAGGAGGCAGTAACACAAACGATCTTGCACCACCAGAAATACCATCGAGTTTGTATTGAAAGCGTGCCTTGTTGAGATTGAGAGCAGCACAATAAGCATGTAACACAATGTTGAATCGTACAGCATTTTCATCAGCAGGATCGATCATTTGAGAGGGATTGGTATTGATCTGATTGTTGTTGTCTACGATATTGTCATCATCCACAAGAGTTTGCAAAGGAGTAATATAAGCTTGTTGAAGATGAGCTGGTAAAGTAGCAGAATAAGTGATAGCTTGTGCATCCAAAGATACAGCATGAATAGCTTGGCGTAAATGTTGAATGATATATTCACAATAAGTTGACACTAGTACCAGTTGCCGTGTTGGGTGTCCCACTTGACCAATGAGCAGTTTGAAAGTATCATCATCAGCTGAGTATTGAATGGAATGAATAGCCAAAAGTCCATATCGATCGCGTTCTACTGCTTTCAAATATTTGTCATCGGCCACACCAGAAGGAGGAAGCAGATACATGCTGAATTTGCCAATAGCCAAAGTAACCACTTGGAACACTTCTTTTGTTGAATTCTTGCCATCTGTCACCTTGATCCGTTTTTCTTTGTATATCACCTTATGTATCATCAAAGGATTGCGTCTTTTGTCCACCATATCCTTTTGCTTTGATAAACGTTCCTCTGCTGCGAATTTTTCCGTTGTGGTAACAGTACCTTGAGCCATCATCGATACATGGTGAACTTTTATTGCATGACGAAAACCATCGATCCATTGTTGACATTCTTTGGGGCTGTTGGCAGTCAAAACAAGAGTTTGAGGTTGTTTGGTGTCAGGTTGTAGGTATTCGACCCGAAAGGTATTTGGAGGAGAGATAACAGTATGAATACCAAAAATATCCCTTAGATGAACCACAATTTTATCTTGAGCAATACGAGGTAAAGGAGAAAAGGATGTTGATGTGACGTTATCATGATGTCGATGATGTTGTGTATCAAACAAGTCAATTTCAGAGCGAGCTTTCTGTTCTGATTTGTATTGTAGAAGATGATGATTGGTCAAGACAAAGTAGAGTCGTTTGTTTACCGGTATCAAAGCAGAAATAGTTTTGTATGTGACGATTCCAGCGTACATAACTTTAAAAATCTTATTGTTGGCTTCTAAATCCATATTGGCTATGTGTTGCATTTCGGAGGTAGGAGGGAATATCGATTGAGACGGGTCAGGTTCGTTAATAGGTGGAGGTGATGCGAATGATTGATCAGGATCTTCATAACTGTTTCGGATATCATATAAAGAAGGAGGACTAAGAGATCGCATAGTTGTAGCCATAGGAGATATAGGTTGGTCAGAGTTATTTCTTGATCGTTCCATTCTTCTACTAGTAGTATCAGCAGGCATAGTTCCATCATAGTCAGCAGTTGTTGTATAATAAAGAGTGTTGCCTTCCATCATATGTGGACTTGATATAGGATCAGAAGCAGCCCTTTGTTGCCTTGAATACATAGAACTATTGTTGTTATTATTATAATTGCTATAATTGATGCCAGTCTGTTCAAGATTGATGTTGTTGGAAGATTGAGAATAAAAGGATTGATTAGAAGAAGAAGTTGCTGTAGATCGTATAGAAAGTGGTCGTTGACGAAAACCTCTTGTTGCAAGTAATCGTAAAGAGGTTCTACTTTTTGTTGAAGAAGTGGAGGACGAGGAAGAGGAAGAAGAAGGAATGGATTTATTTTGAGAACTACCAATTCCACTCTTAAACATAAATATATATATATGAATATATAATATGTATAAAAGTATATAAAGGTAAAATATATAATAAAATAAAAAGAAGAAAAAGAAGAAAGAGAAAAAGAAAAAAAAAAGAGATAAAAGAAGTGAACCAAAAAAGAAGAAATAATAGTAATAAAAAAAAAAGAAAGCCCGCCATTTTGACCTATCAACTATGCAACCAAAAAGATTTCAACCAATGAACAAGTCGTATTTTGTACATGAGGTTCAATAACTACGTAGTCTCGAAAAAACTTAAAACTATGCACGTGGATAAACTTTTTATCATTGACTTGATTCTTTTTTTATTTATTTTATTGATTGTTCTTTTTTTTTATGATTATTATTAAACCAAGGTACCACTAAACCTTGATAAAAAAGATCATCTTTAAAATTGAGATTCTTTTCTTTCTTTTCTTTTCTTCTTCTTTTATATTAATAATAGTATTAAAAAAAAAAATAAAAGAGAGAGACTTTAGATGATAATAGCGGAAAATCAATATTGGAAGATCTTCCCTCTTTATATTGATAAAAGAAATCCACCCCCAAAAGAAACCATTGTATTGCTTTGTTCCTTGTCAATCCGAAAAAATGCTTTATTTTCTTAACCTCTGATTGGATCTTTTTTTTTTTTTTTTAGTTTATCCTCATATCTAGAAGGTTTTTTTTTTTATACAAAGTCCGCATTTTTGCCTTTTTTCCCTGTTTCTTTTCTTGGTACCTTTTTTTTTTATCATATTTATATAAAATGGATACTTTACAAAACTTTGCTCAACAAACCAACCTAGCGTCATTATTAGGTTTCCATCTTGTAATGTTTGAAAATGAAAACTATAATATTCATTAACTATCTTATTATTATATAGGGTATTTCTCTTTTTGGTGCCATATCAGCTTGTCCTTCATACAATATTCCCATCTTCTTTTTTGGTATCTGGGCATTTAACTACCATGAATCAAACTCTCCCATCAAAACTGTAATTTAAAAAAAAAAAAAAGATGATCCTTTTTAATTATCTTAATTTAATTAATTCTCTTCTTTTTTTTAAAAAAAAAAAAAGTTTACAGGTTGTTTAGGATTAAGTATACTACTCGATATAGTTTGGTTCACTCTTCATAGTGGTAATCCTCTCAACGAAAGTGGATTCACATTTGCAATGATGTAAGGACAGAAACTAGGTAAATACATAGACTTAATTTTATTTCTTTTCTTTTTTTTTTTTATATATAGTATGAACGTGATTAGTTTACTTGTAAAGGTAAAAACCCAAAAAAGAAAAAAAAAAGAGTTTGGATGAATGATGAAAAACAGACACTATATAGAAAAGAATAGATAGCAGACTATATAGAAAAGAATAGGATTAACTCATTTTTCTTTTCTTGATTTAGCCCATTACCGTATTTGCTGCTGTCAACACGATTCAAGGACGTGGCGATTCATTGGGAACTGGAAGTAAGTATTCAGTCAAAACCGAAGAACGGATTCAGTATACTGATCATTGTCTACTTTGCTATATATATATAGATTGGTCTGAAGCTCCCGGTTCATTCCCTGGTGCTTATCAAACAGTACGCGATGGTGATAACGATGAATTTGCATAAATTATTATATAGGAACCTTACATAGTACAACTCCACTTTATTGAATAAATTATAGTTCTTGATTACCCTGTATTTACGGTGACAGATGATATATGATAGATGGATGATATTGTGATGATGGAATGAAAAGTTGATGATAGGATAATATGTGATGATCCTGAACAGAAAAGTAGTAGACGTGGCTATGCTATCGGACTTCATCCGGTTTTTAATGAATTGACGAGTTGAGGTTAAATAATGTATCCTTGGCAAAGGTAACCAAATATATAAGGTATATTGAAAAAAAAAAAGGTATTCAATTCCTAAAGAATCACGATAATATTATTACATATTTTATAGTATGATTAAATAGAGCAACTTATTATATGATATAAATTGAATAAAGTGTAGCCACTTTGTAGGGAAATATGAATAAATCAAAGTTACATTAATATTTTAAGTAGATGTAGAATGAATTGCCAAGGACTCCGCTTTCCTCTTTATATCTAAATCAAATAAGAATCGGCCCATTTTGACAGAAAATGGAAAGTTTTGTGGGGAGTATTGTGATATCACCTGGTATCACGCAACACTTTATAGGTTAAGAAAGGGGAAATTTTTTTTTTTCTTCAGCTCCGGTGCTTAGCAGTTAGTAATGTTTCAGCTTATGACAATGGTAAGACATCACTCCGAAGTTTCTTTCTTGTTTTATATAAATATGACAGTTTTATTTTGATATTGTACCTTAAATTATTTCAAAATATGCGTTTTTTTATTCCTGCCTTTGGTATGTTATTGAAGTTTGGAACTTATTATTCAGTCCCCGATTAAGCTTTTTTTTTTTTTTAAATGATCTATTAACTTTTTTTTTGTTTTTCTTTCCTTTAAAAAAAAAAAAATAGTGGCAGTAAATTCATTCTTCTTATTTGCCTATGGTGAATCGATAACTTATAAAGTGATCTCTACTCCTGGAAGCAATCACACTATGGGTGTAGTTGTGAATGGCAAACCATATCCTTTACAACCTTCTAAAGATATTCCTATCTTACATTCTGGTTCCGCTCCTTCTGGTGCCTATAGTTACGCGAAACTTGACAAAGGAAACAGTATTGTGGAAAAAGAACCTTTTGAACGTCAACTCGATCAAAACGCAACAATGACTCTCAATGAATTCTACAACAGAACTTGGAATACTCAACATATTACACCTTTACCGACTTTATTGGAAAACTTGCCTACTATGCATCGAATTGATACTGAACTTCATGACAATAATGAAATACCTACCATTTACATCTCTGGCAATCAAGATCAAATTAATCTTATGCATTCTAATACTAGTCTTGATACAAAAGTTACTGTCGATATGCACTTTATTAAGTAAGTAACATAAATAATACTTTTTTTTTCTTTTTTTACAAATTATTCATTCTCTCTCTCTTTTTTTTTTTTAAAAAAAAAAATTGTTTTATTTATTTAGAACAACCAAGATTACTAGTTTAAAAGGTATTCAAATCTCACTAGCAGGACGATCTTCAAAGTGGATGGATAAATTATCTTATGGTCTCAAAATTCCTAAAGGTCAAGATTTATTTGGTTATCGACGATTGAAACTTCGTGGTTTACGTGCAGATCCTTCCTACATTCGTGAAATTCTCTGTTTTGATATGATGAAATCCATGGGTTTACCTGTATCTGGTGCATCTTACTCACGTGTCATTATGAACGATACTCCTATTGGTTTATTTTTGATGATTGAAGCTTATAAGAATCCTTGGTATGAAAACGAATTCAACAATGGCAAGAAATTCAAAGATGGACGAGGAGCAACTTATCAAGGTATCGGTACTGTATCGGATCTATCTTACTTTGGCGACAATATCACTAAATATGATGGTCCTTACAAATCTGAAGAAGATCCTGATAAAAAAGGAAAGTCTCAAAGCTCTGGTTTGGATAAAGTCATGTCATTTACAAAGTTTTTATCTGAAGCACCTACTACAACTCCCGATGCTGTAAAAGTATGGAATGAACATATTGATATGGAAAGTGTTATCAGAAGGTAAAAAAAAAAAATCTAAGATATATATATATATATATATGATGATTAACATTATCTTTTTTTTTATTTGTTTCATATGTCAATTTATAGTCTGGTGGTTGAAATTGTTGGTGGCTTTTCTGATGGTTATCTTGCCAATGCAGATAATTATTTCTTATATGACAATTTGAAGGAAAAACGGTTCACTTATTTGGCAGCTGATTTTGATACAACCATTGGAAATACAATTGTCAAATTAGCGGATCAGTGGTCAGGCAATTATAGTCAATATCCAGGATTTTCCTTCCGTCCACTTGCACAAAAGATGATTCAAGTACCTGAATTCAAGTCTCGATTCGAACAACTCCTTCACAACGCATCTCAACAACTCATTGATCCTAAACATACCAACCCTCGCATTGAAGATTTGGTCAAGATGATTCGACAAGACGTGGATTGGGATTACAGCTTACCAAAGATGAACAGCAAGCCTGCTATTGATCCTAGTATGAATCCTTTTATGCAAGCAGGTTCACTTCCTCCTCCTCTCTATATGGGTTCTATTGAAGATTTGATGAAACGACCACTATTTGATTTCGACACCGCTGTGAATGGACCGACAAATCATATCAGTTTACCTGGGGTGAAAGAATGGTTCCAACATCAAAGCAAAGCTATTCAAGATTATTTTGCTCAACATCCCCCACAATAGTTTATTTAGTATGATCATTTAGTTTAGATAATTTTTATTTGTATACTCATCTTGAATAAAATGAAAAGATATTTAGATGTTATATGAAAAAATCCAGTTTTGGGAAATGTCGATTTTACGGAAACTAGAAATAGAAAAGGCTAGACCTTGTATCACCTTTTCGAATAACAGCGATCTTTCTTTTTTTTTTTTTAATGATCCAAGGGAGAAAAGTGAGTCATTGATTCAGTTGTAGAAGAAAATGATTTTCTTTAAAAATATATATATATATGTACGTATGTTTATTTTTAAAACAATGCAAGAGGAATAATAATAATAATAATGACACATATGAATCCCTTGGATAATTTGGTAATTCCCTTTTTGAATATAAAGTAAATAAAGATTTTCTTGGCCTGAGCCCCCCTTTTAAATTACCTCCTTTCTTCATATTGAAAAAAAAAAAGAATAAGGTTAAAAATAGAAATTTGGCGCCCCGCTATAAAGAAAATCGCATCATCATTAAACTATTTTTAACCCATTTGAGGAGAGTATAAAAAGGAGACCAACTGGAATGTCTTCATTTTCTTTTCTTCTCATCTTTTTATTTATTTATTCCATATACTTTATAGACAATATGTATACCAACTATATTACTAACGAATCATCATCATCATTATTGATGGATCGTAAACGCAAACGTTCTTCAAGTGGGCTACGAGTTCATTTTTGTACCAAACCTCAAGAAATCATCGATACTTATTCATCATCAGAATATAATCGTAGTGGATTATTCCCTGATTATCATCAAGACAATCATTCATCCAAGGATTTTATTTTGACTTTATCATTTGGTTTTTTATCTCCTCCTTCTTCACCACCTACTATATCAACAAAGAAGGCTAAGGTTGACAAGAAGAAGAAACCAAAATTATCCATTGATACTAGTACAATTCACGATGGTCCTTTGTATTTCACCAATATGACTACCAATCATCAAAAGAAAGATCAACAACAACAACATCAATTAATGACTCCCATTGATGATGATGATGATGATGATGAAAGAACTACTTTGGAAAATACTGAAATCAATCGTCGATGTCTAGTTACTGCAATATAATTATATTTCCCTTTTTATTATTATTTTTATTATTATTATTATTATTATTATCTGATACCATCTCCACCTTCATCATCACCATCATTACTATTTCAGCTTGACTTTTGTAGATAGTTTTTTTTTTTGTTTTGATTTATATTTTCCACTCCTCTCAAAAGTATCATGTTTTTCTTTAGTTTCCCATTATCATCATCAACATCATCATCATTGTATATAGTATCAATTATTATTTTTTTTATTATCTATCTATCTATATATTATATATAAATAAATAGACTCTTATATATATATTATCACTTCAACCTTTTCACTAAATAAAGCATTGTATTTTCATTGGTCATTCAATTTAATCGCCATCGCAGGAATCCAAAGGGTGTAACCATTTCTTTTATTTTTTTAAACTGTTCAATTTCACAAAATTGGATTCCCTACGTCTAATAGTGCGTATGTAGCCAATCAAAAAGCACATCCATAATATTGGATTAACGGGGTAATGAACTTTAATTGTAATATACTTTTTTTTCTCTGGTATTCTAATCGTAAATATATATATATCTATATATATATAAATATAGTCTTTTCTTTTTTTCCTTCACCAGTATACGTACTAAACCAAACTTGGGTGACTTTATTCATTTGACTTTGATGTCCCACTCTTATTCATTCATTCATTTATTTATTTATATATTTATTTATTATTACCATTATTATGATACTATGAACCTTTGCTTATCGTACATTTTGAACAAATGACATTATAATCTAGTCTAGAATGTTCATCATCCATTTTTCATCTCTTAACTTCTATTATCATATCCTTTTTATTATTTTTTTCATTTGCTATTTATTCTGTAAACAAAGTTTCCTTCTTCTTCTACTAATAGTAACAATGATGATAAAAATGGATTTTATTTTCATACCAAAAAAGTAAAAAATCAAACTTGCCTTGGCAACATTCCCAAAAAAAAAGTACATAATTCAGTTTCCGTTCACTGAGTCCGTAATGACCTTTTTGTCAAAATCAAATATGTGTATGCATAATGAAGAACTAAACTATATATATATATATATATCAACTATACTACATATACTACTACCAATCAAAGGGAAAAAAACAAGTGTAATAGCGATGAATAACGATGGATGATGTATAATGATAAAGTATACAATCTGACTAAAGTATATAATATGTAAACCAATATGAAGAATTCTTTATTTTGTTTCGCCTTGAATGGTGACTACTAATCTACGTCCACTGTTCGAAATACGATGTTCACATAAATAGATTCTAAAAAAAAAAGGAAATAGAGAGAGAAAGAGAGTAAATCAACAAAGTTGTGTGAGTAAAGGTTTTTCGCTTTCTATACTTAGCCTAGTCTAGACTATTGAATTTTCCTCATTTCATTACCCTTGCCATGTACCGAGATTCAACCTTCCATTTGTGATAGGGATATTCAATGAGACACCTACAATACCAGATTTTAAGTGTCCAGGCTAAAGAAAAAAAAAAAAAGAGTAGGAGTCAGTATCACTGTGATGATCCATCCTTCCATATATTCAAAGAGTTTTTCAATTTGTTTACCATATCATCCGGTCCTTCGTCTGTATGTGTATAAGGAAAAGTTTCCGGTACAATCTTGTCAAGTCCCATACTCATATCGTCACGAACCTAGAGAAAGTAATAAAAGGGAATGAATTCATTTTATCATGTTTCAAAAATAAAGAAAGTCTTTTTTTTTTTCTTACATCAGGATCACAGTTTTCGTTTATCATTAAAGAAGCAGATGTATGTTGCACTAAAATAACCAAAAACGCGACATTATATAAAAAGTGAGTTCTTTTTTTTCAACAATATCCTATTTGTTTAGTTTACAAAAGAAGTTTGCCATGCCAATCTTGATTTTCTTAATATCGGGCACTTGGTCAAGGATTTCACCATGAACAAGAAAGCAACCTAAATTTAAATATAAGGTTATATCAAAATATAATTTTTATAATAGTTTTTTTTTATTTTTATTTTTATTTTTACCTTTTGAACGCGCACGGAGCCGAATTTCTTGTTGGAACCAAGTCATAAGATAGAATGAACTTGACAGAAAATAATAATAATAATAATAATAGTAAAAAAGGAAGAAAAGTAAAGAGGGAAAAAAAAAAAGTCCCAGAGGAAGGGGTTTGAAACAAAGTCTCAAAACTAAGTGTAACCTCATTCCAAATTCGCTTGGGGCCGATAGCCAACCATTTTTATTCATATCCAAAAGAGGGAAATATCTTCAATTGAGGTCAAAATACATTCTACTTTTTTATTTTAATTGGCTAAAAGTTTTTAGATTATTATAATCGTTTCTTTAATTCCGGGAAAGTGCTTTCCCGTTGTTCCCCTTTTTTTTTTTTATTTTTTTATTTTTTTATTTTTTATATTTTTTTCTTCTTTTTTTCTTTTGTTCCTTTTTTCTTTTTTTGTTTCTTTTTTTTTTTTTCTTCTTCTTCTTATCTATTTTTCTTTATATTATTATTATTATTATTATTGGAGTTTCATGAAATACTCTTATATTCATACAATGACCTCTTGTACTTATAGGTTTATCCCATCTTCTTTGATAGACCTTCCTGATCAAAGGTGAATAAATGAAAAGAAATGGATTACATATTTCTAACATTTTAATTTTGTAGAAGTTACGAATTGGTTATACGACAACAACCACAAAGAGCTAAAATGAGTGTCATCAATGAAAGAGGTAAATAGAATAATATATAATTTATAATTACAATCATTAATATAAATAGAAATATATAGATCGTCGACCTATTGAACCACCACCTATTTTACAATTACATTTACTTCATTGCTCACCCGATGATACAAAGTAAGTTCAAAAAAAAACAAAAAACATTGAGCTCCACTTTAATAACTTATTTCCTTGACCACCGCGCCCTTTTTTTTTTTTTTTTTTTTCTATTGTAGGAAAAGTCTTCAATGTCCTTTTTATTTTATGGTGGCTAATCTTATGCCTGCAGATTCGGATGAATTACTATCAACTCAAGAGTACTTGGCCGGTTCCACAGTCTCATCTCTTTACCGTCTAAGAGACATTGATGATTCAGGTAAGATCCAAAAAAAAAAAAAAAATCTATAAGATTAAAACCTCTTTCAATCACCGAACATACAATTCACTCTTTTCTTTTCTTTTTTTTTCTTTTTCTTTTTCTTTCTCTTTTATTACATTAAAGATGGTGGTTTTTTCGTTTTTGGAGATCTTTATTGTAAGAAACAAGGTCATTATCGATTACAGTTTAGTTTGTTTGAAATAGTTGAGTAAGTAATTCTAAAAGTCAATCTATTTTATCTCTAACCTTTTTTTTTTTTTTTTTTTTTGTATCTACGAAAGAGGAACTGTACAAAACAAACAAACTATTGTCTCTGAACCTTTTAAAACCTTCCTTCCAAAACATTATCCTGGTCCTGTTGAAGCTACCTTTCTTTCTCGTGCATTCTCTGATCAAGGTGTGAAAATGAGAATTCGAAAGGAACATAGACTAAACTCGTAAGTTATCTGTCGACATCTCTTCATTTTCCTTTTACTTACATTGCTTTCTTTCATATTTTTATTCATAGTGGTGCAAGGAAACGCAAATTCGATGTACAGGCTATGATGGATTCTCAACCTACTCAAAAAATTTATAAAACAATTATACCTCCACCGACAGCTACATCATCATCCTCAACAGCCTTCCATCGGTCACATACAATGAAAATGGAACCTGTCAAGATAGCTCCAGCAACTTATCATCATTATCATCATCAGATGTCACCTGTATATCAAGAATCACACCAATCGCAACAGGAACAAATAATGCAACAAGAGGTGAACCATACTCAACAACATCAAATAGTGATTCTAGAGCACAAACGCACTTCACCAGACCCACCAACAGATTATTATTCAACTAAAACGACCACCAATTTTACAAATGATCATCATAGAACAAGTCAATCACCAACACAAACAACTGATGATTTCCCTATTACCTTACTTGATGAATACTCTTTACAGCAACAACATCAACCTGCATCATGTTCATCTTCAACACATTCTTCAACGTCATCCATATCATCGACATCGTCAGCATCAGCAACATCTTCCAACCATTATCAATCTTATCAACAACAATATATTCCTTTCTCTCCACCAGCTTCTTTATCATCATCATTGCCTTACTATAGAGATTCCCCTTCACTAGAACATCATCATGTCTGGGGTAAAAGTCTCCCTCCACTGAAAGCCATCATGTCTGGTGTTTACTCTCGGTCCACTCCGTTGATCTTACCATGCCCTTTTGAAACTGTATAGCTCTCTCTTTTATTCCCTTATTTGTGTATCCATTCCATTCCTTCTTAGTCACTCTCTTTGTATGCCACAATTTTATATACTACACTTTTTTTGTTTTTTCCCCAGTTTGTCTTTTTTTTTTAGTTTCTTCTTGTTGATTCTTTATTTCATAATACCCTTGACATGAACGTTTCATATGAATGAAATAAAAACTTCTCCTCCATGTCTTATGTTATCTTTTGTTGTCATTATATATAGATATATATTATATAAATGTGCCTGTGTATGTGTGTGAGTGTTCGCGCGCATGTCTGTGTGAGGTGTGGACTTGGCAGAAATGTTGAACCTTAAAAAAAAGAAAACTTAAAAATATAATCACCGAAAAAGGAAGTAATACAACTTGCCATTGACAAATAGTAAAAGCTATCCAACCAAAAAAGGATAAGAACAAGCTGATATTACAGTACCTGATGATACCATATGATGTACTTTTTTTTTTCTTTCCTTTGCTTGTGGCTTATTATTATATGGATACTGGGTTTACAGTTGATCTTTTAAAGGAAATTCTGATGGTATTTGAACAAAATGAAGAAATTTATTGGGAATGACCTCGATCATCTTTTTTTTTTTTTTTTGTCTCATTATGATAGTGGAACTTGATGATCGATATTAAACTTGTCGTAAAAGAAAGACACTCTAATTATTGAATCAATTATCAATCATCACTTAATAAATATCACGCAATCAACACAATTCAATTATCATTGTATAGGCACGCTCATTTAAAAGTTTCCATTATCAATAATAATAATATCCATCATCATCCAATCAAAAGGTCTTCTATGATTGCGTGTTGGTGATAGATTTATTTTTAAGAGTGGCAGTTTTATTTTTTTCTTTTTCTACCTTTATATATATATATATTCTAAATTAGAATATAAGGATTTCTAACCCATTGATTGCACTACACTATCTAAGACATGACTGTGATTGACATGGCATAAATACTCAAACGGATGAACAAGATTCGACAGGATGGAAAAGATAAGTTCATTAGATAGAAGTACTTTCATCATAATGGCTTTATTAGTTTGATTGACTTCTGTTCTCACTTATCTCCTCATATCGATGACTTTCTTTTTTTTTTTTTTTTTTTTTTTTTTTTTGTTTTATTGATAGGTAGCATTCAGCTTGCATTTAAAGACAAAGACTCAGCTGAGTTTAATTGTTGACGAGGCTTCACAAATGTGGACCAATGTGGACCAACGAAATTTCTCTGTGCTTTTTCTTTCTTTTTCTTTTTTATTCTACCTTTCTTTGTTATCTTCTTACTAATCGTGTTAGAAAACAACCAACTAACCAATCACAAAAAGAAAAAAAAAAAGATAATTTATCCTATATTCAAGTTTATACCACTTTCTCTCACATTGTATGGAACAAGAAGAACAAAACATGGAACGATACGTACAAGTTAGGTCACCATCCTTGCACCAAACACTTTCTTTTCCTGTTGACGACAACACTACCGTAGAATCTCTCAAGAAAGCTATTCAATCTAATCATCCACAACAACCTGCACCTTTGAATCAACGTATTATTTTTAGAGGAAAAGTGTTATTGGATGCTGAAATACTTTCGAATATACTTGAAAAAGTAAGTTTGGATTTCCTTTTTTTTCGATTGCCTTCTAATTAGTTTTACTCAATATTCTTCTTATATATATATATATATATATATATATCATATGTTAGTCAGACGATAATACGGTACCAACATTCCATCTCGTAGTTAAACCTTCCTTATCTACTCCTAGATCTTCTTCAGCACCGCCCACTACGCAAGGTAACCATAAAAAAAAGAGAGAAAACCCCATTATAACCAGTTGTTGAAACTAACCAATTTATTATTACTATTACTATTTGGTTCAACCTTCTTTTGCGATAGATACTTCCAATGTACCACTTTCTTCATCAGTACCACCTTCAACTACAGCAACAGATACAATGCCTTTTCCACCTCAACATACTTTCGTACCTTCGTTAGGGCAAACTTCGCAAAATTATTTACCAACATTACCAGCCCTCGTTCCTGGTGGATACCAAGTCATTGCTATAAAGTATGTCACTGATTGCATAAAAAAAAATGGTATGAGGACATGATTGACAATTCTCTCCCTCTCTTTTTTTTTTTTTTTCTATTAGTGGACAATTTTATCTTGCTCCTGTTCTTGTAGCATCCTTACCTTCGACAAATTCGACAAATCCAACATCAATACCATTTTCCATGACAGGGTTATCGACATCTCAAGCACAGCAAGGATATATGCCGCCACCTCCACCACCACCACCAACATCAGTACCAACGCCAACTCAGGCAGCAGCAGCAACTGCAGCAGCAAGGATGATGGGTCGACCACGAGTGATGCAACGTGGTGCAACAGTTTGGCTTGCTTTGAAATTAGTCTTTGTCTTGTTTATAACATGTCATGGTGCAAGTATTGAACGAATCATCTTCTTCCATTTTTTAGCCCTGGTGTTCTTCATGTATCAAACAGGTCGATTCAGGTTGGTGATACGTAGAGTGACCTTGGAGGAATTACAAAATCGTTTCCAACCTGCTATTCCAGGTGGTGTAGCGGGCCTTCAGGAAAGAGAAGGAGGAGGAGGTAAGATAATTAAATAGGAGATGATGGGTTGTATTTATAAAAAAAAAAAAAAAAAAAAAAAAAGGAAAGAAAGCACTGACATAAGAATCCTTTTAATAGATCAACATCAACCAACAGTAACTCCAACACCAGCAACTCCAACTTCAACAGCAGCATCCAATGGTCCGACTTCACCATCTTCTTCTTCTTCTCCTTCTTCTTCTAATAATAATAATATTCAACAACAAGATCAACAACAAAATGAACATGACGAAAATCAAAATACAGTATCCAATTCAGATCGACAACAAGGTCAAGGACAACAGGAACGGGTTCCGGTGAATGATCCAAGAACAACAACAAGGTTATCGGTGTTGAAACGCGGAGCTTATACGTTTGTGGCATCTCTGTGGCCCAACTATGGTCATGATCCTCGGTTGGCACAAGCTTTTCAAAATGAACAAGAACAAGTAAGTTTAAGAGCACAAAAAAAAAAGTGAACTGATTTCTATGGGTTCTTTTTTTTTTTTTTTTTTCCTAACCTTTTTGACATTTCTATTTTTGTAGATGGAAGAATTATAAGGGTTCCCTGAGGGTTTTTTTTTTATATGCAGGGAAATGGATGAATTAGTTTTAGTGTGATTTAGTAGAAAAAAAAATTTTTTTATTATTATTATTATTGAATATTATTATATAAACTTTTTTTTTATTTTTTATTTTACTTCTATTGATTGAAAATAAGAATAAAAAGAAATAAAAATAGTATGATTGATTATATGTATGACATTCCTCGTTTTTCTAGACTTGATTAGTCGATATTGAATGTAGTGTTTTTTAAATTCAATATGCACGGTCAATAGTTTTAAAGATCAACAAAAGAATAAAGTAGAATTGAAAGATGATAGGGCTTGAGTTTGAATAAAAGAAGGTGATACGATCCATGTACGACATTTAATCGATCAGAATAAAAAAAATTTTGGTTACATGAGTTTTATTTTCCCACCCATTTTATAGTCATCCGGTATTTCTTTTTTTTTGATACACTGGATTCTTTTTAGATGCCCGGATGGACCTTGTTATGGCGGAGTATCAACATTTTATGCTCTTTTAATAATAATAACATGTCTACTGTATTCCATTTTAACCTTTTTCTTTCAATTTTTTTTTTTTTTTGATTACTATATATCTTTTATTCCTTTTAACTTTTTTTTCTTCTTCTTCTTCTTCTCTCTCTCTTATTTTTTATCTGTTATTTTAAATAAGGGAAATAGTCAATACCTGTTTCTCTCATTTATTTACATTCTTCCATCACATTCATTTACAACAAGAAACCCAATATGACTACTGATACAAAGGAATATACCATCGATCATGGAAATGGAAAAATCGAAATGATAGAAGAAACTATCACTACCACTATTCAATCCGAAAAATTGGAAAAACATACAAATGAAGACGAAGGTTATGGTCATTCTATTGAAAAAGGTGATCCCAACTTTGAAACTGTTATTGACAGCAAGGAAATTCGACAAATTTATAACGATAATGGTGAATTGGATTATATTCAATCTAATGAAGAAAGAGCTTTGGTACGACGATTGGATTTCTTTTATGTAATGCCTTGTATTGCCTTGATGAACTTCTTTCAGGTAACTAAAATGATAAAAATAATTATGTATTCTCACACTAAAAATGAAAAAAAACAAAACTTTGATTCTTTTGTTAGTATTTCGATAAATCGGCTTTGAGTTATTCCGCTGTGTTGAACATTATGGAAGATACTCATATTAGTTCGGTAAGACTCAAAAAAACAAAATAATAATGACCAGATGATATATTTAATCTTAAATATTTGTTGTTTTTTTTCATAGAATCAATTCTCTTGGTTGGGTTCTATCTTTTACCTTGGTTATCTTGTATTCCAAGTCCCTAATAGTTACTTCCTTCAACGTTTCCCTATTGGTCGTTATGTTGGTGTCATCATCATTTTGTGGGGTGGTGTTTTAGCTGTCACTGCTGCAGGAACAAATTTTTCTCAATTGGCTGCTCTTCGTTTCCTCTTGGGGTAAAAATATTATAGTGATTAAAAAATCAGATTATGTATCTCACCTTTTATTTTATTTTATTTTTTTTGAAAAAAAAAATGATAGTTTCTTTGAAGCTGGTATCTATCCTTGTTGTTTGATGATCATTTCTGTTATGTATCGTCGCCGTGAACAAGCTGGTCGTATTGGTATGATCTATATTTGTAATGGTGCTGCTATGGCTGTCGGTGGTTTGATTGGCTATGGTATTGGTCACATGCAAGGTACTAATGGCATGAGTGGCTGGCAATGGTAAAGAACAATAGCCCTTTTTTTTTTTCTTAATGATTCAAAAATTAACCTTCTTTTTTTTTTTTTATTAAACAGGGTGATGATCATCCTTGGTTCTGTCACTGTTTTGTTTGGTATTTTCTGTTTCTTCTTGCTGGTAGACAATCCTACTTCTCGTGCTATTTGTCGTACTGATGCATTGAAGGCCATTGTTGCTGAACGTATTCGTGATAATGCTGTGGCTGTTACTCGTGAAATCAAGGTGGCTCATATGTGGGAATCTGTCAAAGAACTTCGATTCTGGTGTTTCATTTTTGCCTCCATGTTCCTTAATATGCAAAATGGTGCTTTAGGTACTTTTAGTACTTTGATTACTTCTTCTTTTGGTTTTGACGTAAGTTCTTTATTGTTTAAAAAAAGAAATCCGTCAGGGAACTGAAGGGTACACAAGAATATATTTACTTATATATATTTATATATAGAGATTGAACTCGATTTTGCTTACTATTCCTTCTGGTGTTGCCGATATTATTTATATCTGTGTGGCTATTTATGTAAACCGTCGCTGGGGTTGGACCCTTCCTATGGCCTCTCTTTTATTGGTCTGGTCTACTATTGGTTTAATTCTTTTGATCACTGTTCCCTATGCTAAAGCCAAATTATTGGGTCTTTACATGTGCTGGGGTTTCGCCGCGTAAGTAAAAAAAAAAAAAAAGTTTTTTTTTGTGTATCCTATCATTAAATGAACGAAAATATGCTTATATCATATCCTTTCTTAGAGCATATGTCTTACTTCTGACATCTCTGGCTAACAACGTTACTGGTTATACAAAGAAAATTTTTTACTCATCTTGTACAATCGTCTTGTATACCATTGGCAATTTTGCAGGTAAGAAGAAATAATTATAGTCTAATATAAGATTAAACTGACCTTTTTTTTTTTTTTTAATATAGGTCCTCTTATGACAATGAATCAACCTGCTCCTTATTTGGGTGGCATGATTGGTTTTTGTGTTGCTAATGTGATTGCTATTATCTTGATGATGTTGGCTCACTTGTCTATGCTCAGGGAAAATCGTCGTCGTTTGGCCAGTACTACTGAAAGACAATTTGATGTATTGGATGATTTGACGGATGTTGAAAACACAAACATTATCTATAGACTTTAGTTTCTTTTTATTCCCTTTGACCATCTATATTACCTAATTAGTATAGAATGTATTACATTCTATTTCCCATCCTTATTATATATAAAAAAAATGAACACACACTATAGTGTCTCTCTCTCTCTCTCTCTCTCACGTACACGCATATACATCTTTCCCTTTATAATTATCATGATCTTATATTATTTAGTTTTTTTCCTTATTATTAGTCTTATTATTTTAGTCGTTGCTTTCTTCTAATATACATTGAGAAATAAACAGCATTTAAAAATCTTTATTTTCCATTCAAGGTTTAGTTTGTTCATTTTTCTCTCCTCTTTGGAAAAGAAATTCTATTATTGCTATTTACTAGAGACGGGGAAAAGAGGCTTGCAGCCTTTACATCATGCCGACCGCGGAGTCCATTCCCACTTATAACCTCACCAACAATCGGGTGAGAAATCAGTGCACAATTTTTTTTCCCTCCCCTTTTTTTCGCTTCCTCTGTTTTTTTTTCCTTATTTTTATTTTTCTTATTTTATTTTTCTTTTCTTTCTCCTTCTTCTTTTTTTTTTTCTTGAAACAATAGACCAAAGGTAGAATTACCATCCTTACTACCACTTATTCCTCTTCTACTTTGTCTTCTTCCTCCCATATGAGGAATGGCCTTCAACTTTAGAAATTCATCACAAATTCCAATGTATTCGTTTGAAAAGAACGGACGACCTCAATCACTCGCAAGTTTGGATGCTTATAATTATGACCACTCGTCTCATTTGGATTTAGAAGATGATCTTTATCAGCAAGAAAAATCTGATTTGGAAAAGTCTCTTGTTAGAAAACTTGATCTTTTGATTCTACCTATTATCTGTGTTGTGGATTTCCTTCAGGTACTAAAAAAAAAAATATTACACGGGACGGTGGAGATTGAAACAGTAAGACTAGATAACATTGACATCTTTTTTTTTTTTTTGTATAGTTTCTTGATAAATCAACGATTAATTATGCGGCTGCCTTTTCATTCAAGGAAGATTTGAATTTGGTAGGAAGTCAATATAGTATGATTGGATCTATATTTTATGCTGGCTATTTGGTATTCCAACTTCCCAACAATTATCTCTTACAACGTGTGCCAATTGCAAAGTATATTGGTATTATTGTATTTCTTTGGGGTGCCGTTTTGACTGCTATGGCTTTTGGGAAAAATTTTAGTCAAATGATGGCTATGCGATTCTTATTGGGTTTATTTGAAGCTGGTATCTATCCTTCTTTAACATTGTTAGTTTCTACTTTTTATCGACGTACTGAACAAGCTCCTAGATTGTAAGTAACACAAATATTAGACAAGAGTAACAAAAAAAAATATTGACCTTTATTCATTTAGGGGCGCATTCTGGCTGTGTAATGGATTTGCTTTGTGTTTTGGTGGATTGATTGCTTATGGTATTGGTAATATTGATACAGTGAAGTTTAAAACGTGGCAATGGTAACACAAAATATATTTGGAAAAGATTCAAAGATATTCACTCTTACTTTTTATTATTATTATTATTATTATTCTTATTATTATTCTTTAGGATCATGTTAATTATGGGAATAGTGACCTGTGTGATGGGTGTGATATGTTATTTCTTCCTCATTGATAATCCTAAATCCCCCGCTCTTGGTTTGAACGCAGAACAATCGGTACTTGTGGAAAAGCGGACTAAGGATAATGCTGTCTTTCGTACAACTATGATCAAGAAACATCAGATTATTGAAGCGTTGAAAGAACCTCGTTTATGGTGTCTCTGTCTAGCTGCCATGTTTTTAAATGTACAAAATGGTGGCATCACAATTTACAATACCCAATTGATTCATGCTTTTGGTTTTGATGTAAGTTTATACAAAAAAAAAAAAAGTAATTGAAATTTTTACTCATATCTATTTATAGCAATTACAATCCGTTTTATTGAGCGCTGGATCTGGTTTATCAGATATCATCTATATCTGCAGCTCAGTGTATATCGTCACTAGGAAAGAAGGTCGGGTGTTATATACTGCCATGGGTCTCATGTCAATGGATTTGATCGGGCTTTTGTTGTTATTGTTGATCCCTGATTCCAAACTCAAATTGATTGGGTTCTATCTTTGTTGGCCATATGCTGCAACTTATGTTTTGATCTTGACATGCATCACTAACAACGTATCTGGTTACACAAAGAAAATTTTCTACAATGGTCTCATCACTATCTTTTACACCATTGGTAACTTCGCTGGTCCCTTTTTCTTGGTGGATTCTCAAGCTCCTTCTTATTACGGTGGTATGATTGGCTACTGTTGTTCCTGTTTCTTGTGTATTGTTTGTCTGGGTTTAGCTCGTTTGTCCATGGCCAGAATCAACATGACTCGTTCTAGACATGCTCCTCAAGAAAGCAAACCAGTTGAAGAAGATCAAACTGATGCTGAAGATCCTACCTTTATTTATCTCCTTTGATTTTTTTTTTATTTTACTTCCTATTATTATTATTATTATTATTATTATTATTATTTATTTGATACCGTACTTGTATTTCATTATCTATTTTTTTTTTGTTTTTTTTTATATACTTCATCTTTTATTATTTAGTGTCTACTCTATTCTTTCTATTCATTTTTGTATTCCTTTTTCATGTCAATAAAAATAAAAAATAAAAAAAAAAGCTTCTCTTACTTCCATGATACGCTTCTCTTACTTCCATGATACCTTATTCTTGTCCCACACGGTCTCACACGACTTTTCTCCGCCCAATGAAAGCTATGGACGTACTTATTTTCTGTCGACGGCTAAATTGGCGGCTTCGGGAAATTTTTATCCGAAATCTTTTTAAGGGTGACCCTTCCTTTTTTTTTTCTTGCACTCTTTTCTTCTGTTTTTTTTTTTTTTTTTTTTTTTTTTTTTTTTTTTTTTTTTGTATTGACTTTAGTGTTAGTATATCATTTTAGTAGTGTTTATTAGTCTTTAGTAGTTAAACTTTTATTTAATAAAGACTTTACTTTTATTGAAATCACTTCATTACATGTCAATGCAATTGATTCCATCTTCGAATGTACTTTTTTTTTTTTTTTACATGTGAATGCATTCCTTTTTATTTTACTTTTTTTTTATAGATAAGAGAAACGATACGGTTCCAATATTCTTCATTTCGATATAAGTTTTTACTGTAGATTAGTTACTACGACAAACCAATGACTTCGTCACCAAACCACACTATTTGTGAAATAAATAGTGATACTCCTTTTTCTAAAAACGTTTTTTTCTTCTATTCTTTGTTTTTCTTTATATTTTCCTTTTCTTTACTATGGTGATATCTACATAAATAACAACATATGTCGTATCAGCGTGTAATAAAAAATAAAAAGAATGATTCATACATATATAATACATCTTGTAGATGACCCCATTTATATGTAATAAAAATAGTTGTAATAAAATAAAACCTTTATTGAATAAAAAAAAGTATGTAATCTAACGACTACACTAATGTATATAATAAAACCATAAAAAAAAAGTCAATGGAAGAGAAAAAGAAAAGAAAAGAAAAAAATAAAAAGGCTTCACCATTTTGGGTGAATTTATTCAATTCCTGGTCAGGCATAAACGTTCATGCGGGAGTCCATCAGCTAAACAGCATGGTCCACTGGTGAATGCCAGTGTCATTGTAAGAAAGCTCATTATCTAAATAGATAAAATACATATACTTTGATTTTTTTTTTCAAATCGAGTAACATACCATTACCTGATACTATATACTGGATATAACAGATAAATAGACATATGGATGGGTAGATTGAATGATTGAATAATAAAAAGTTTGCTATACAGCATTTTATTGAAATAATATACATATATAAAGATAAAATAAAACGAAGTACTCTTCCAACCTGTGGATGCATTTCAAGAAATTGTATTCGATTGTCGTTGTTGTTGATAGTCGTAGATGCAGGCAGAGAAGAGAATGTAGTAAGACCAGCAAGAGCTCAAATAAGACGTATAACTATTGTTGGAAGTGCCTTGATGCAGAAACTACCCTTGGCATTGATCCTTTTTGCTACTCACATTTTCACAAACTTCAGTAAACTGTGGGTAATATCAGCTTCGACGCCATCGGCTTTGTCCTCTACAATGCGTTCCAACTTGATTCAATAACAATCATTTGACCCATAGAATTCCTCTATATCATATTGACAACAACTAGCAATCATAACTTCAGGTAAGATACAGATTATTTGTATAAAAAAGTATCCTATAATAAAAAAAAAATACATCAGATCACCATCAGCTTGAAAATAATATGTCTACCAAGGTTTACTCCAAAAAAAAAAAAAAGAATCCTACCATAATAATACACTTTGCTTGCATATTGGGTGCATCCTTGAGAGTTTGTTCCATTTCTGGTTCACATCCTGATTTCTTGATTTGTTGATGAAGAGGACGGTAAGAAAGTAGTCATTTCAATATTAGTTGCAATCTCTAAAGGAAAAAGAAGAAAACCAAACGTTTTGATAAATGATGAATATAAATTGAGTTAACGTACTCACGTCGTTTTCGAAGTTCAACCAGAGGTGTTTTTGCACATTTAGTATTGCTTTCATATAGAGTCAATTCGTACTACAAACGCATCATGTTGGTCCAATAGTATATTCAATCAGTTGATCTTGATCTGTACCCATTTAAACGTTCTCTATGCATATAAATGTGTACAGTAAATTAGAAAAAAAAAAAAACAGGCAGAGTCCATAGAAAAGTCGAGATAACTTACCAAACAAAAGGGTTGCTTCACTACCATCAATAACAAAACGACCAAAAGACACCAACCTTCTATTATCCAATAGCAGATAATAATATACTATACAATTAAAATATAATGGAAACAACAAAAAAAAAAAAAAAAAAAGAAAAAGAAAAGAAAAGAGAAGATACGAGCATTTGAGCCTTTTTTCGCGGAGTTGAATTTCCTTGATCGCATAGAATAATCATTATTTGATAGCTTCAATGGGATTGGAGATAAAAAAAAAAAAAACAATATAAAAGACATTTTTTTTTTTATTTTCTCCTTTCTTTTGTTTTTCTTTCTTCTACAAAACACACAAAAAAAAAAAAAAATACAAAACCCGAAAAATCAAAAAAAATCATTTGCTTCTTTCTGGCTGCTTCCTTATTGGTATCTTCTTCTTTCCGTTCGCCTGGTTAACGCAACAGAACACTCTCATTCTTGTTTGTGATTCTTGTTTCTCCGTTTTCCTTGCTGTTCGTGTCCTCGTTGTGCCTTTGGTTGTCCGTCCTTGCGTCTTCTGTCTTTCTTTCTTGCTCCTTGGATTTTTTTTTTTACCATATGATATTTACACTATCCTTTTGCGTCGCGCACATCCTGGATGGGTTGATGCGTGGCGACCGTGCCTCAGAGCCGGAGGGTCTTCTTTTTTCTTTTTGGTAAGTGCACGTATACAAATAATGTTTAGTTGATCATAACACTAATCATTTTTCCATTTCTTCTTTTCAATCACCGAAATGGGGTGAAATAAGTAGGCCCGAAAGCTATCCTTCCTTTTTTTTTTATATATATCTGCAATCACCGATTTTCACATTCCTTTTTTTAGGATATTTGGACAAATTAACATTGATCAAACTTCCAGAACGGTCTAAAGCAAAATTTTATTCATTCAATAGATCACACATATCATCAAAAAAAAAAATCAAACAATCCATCATTATCATAGAAATAATATTTGTCTTTATCACTTCATCATAATAAAATCGTCTAAAAAAAAAAAGCTACTGTATCATCGTTACCATATAATCAATGGTAGAAACATATTGCCCAATAATTAGACGATATTAGATCACTGTTTTGAGAGCAATTGAATGATGGTAGTTCTATTGCACGAGGAATGACTGAATAAACTCTTATTTTGTAATTTACCTTAAAGATTGGAAGATAAGCTATACATTGTTACTAAGGCAAATGAAAGAGAATGAATTTCTGTATGTTCCGTCCAAATTTGAGAGCGATGATGAAGCTTTTTGAGTGGATTACAAAAGTATACAATTGGTAGGTACTTTTTTTTTATAAAAAGGGGTGATGAGTTCCTTCTTTCTTTTCTTTTTTATCAGTCATCGGATGATGATGATCGATTTTCATTGATGATAGAAAAGAGAAACAATGAAAAAAAAAAGAAACTTACTTTTTCTACAATAGATTGATTCATCTCCATGAGGATGCTAAGAATATATGAATTCCTTTTTATCAGTCGTTGGATGATTGTTGCTTTTTGTTTTCTATATAGGAACAGATTATTAAAAAAAAAGGACCTTGCCTTTTCTATGGGATGCTAAGAATAAAAGGATGGTGTGAATTCTTTCTTTTTTTTTTTATCAGTTATCGAATGATGATTATTTTTCATTTATTATAAGAAAAAAGTGATGAGAAATAACGCAAAAAAAAAGAATAGGTTTTGCTGTTGAGAACGATCAAAGTATTGATTTATCTATGATCATTAAGAAGACTATAATAAAGAATAAGAAAGTTTCTATCATTAATCATCTATTTTCATAATATAAAAAAAGAATCACCGCAGAAAAAGAAAAAAATAAACGCGCTTCGCATGGAAAAAATCAGTAATTTTATCGTCTAATTTTTTATGTAGAACTGTCAAAAGTAAATTGATGGGAGTGAAAAGATTTCCATTTTTTTTTTTTCTGTGGCGACACTTCTTTTTTTTCCTTTTGACCATCACTTTTTATTTTCTGTTGTGACCCAACCTGGTGGAAAGCTCGATCATCCTCTTCTTGGTTCCCATGAGATGGTTCTATGACGCTCGATAGTCTTCATTCATCTCTGTTATGTGTACTCAATAGGACCAAAGGTAATATCAACAAGGAAAAAAAATATAAAAGAAAAATAAACTAAATGTCATTATACTAATCTATTTTTTTATAATTCCCTCTTATCTTTTTTTTTTTCGAGATTCCTCTAAAGATTCAGAGTGAAAAAGATAACAATGTATATATATATATATATGTTCATTATCTTATTCCACCTTTCGTCTTCATCTCTTTCTCCCCCTTTTTGTCTCTCTCATCACTTCCTACTTACCTTTTTTTCCCCCCACTTCTTTTTATTCATTCTTTACTATCTCAACTTCCTATTATCCTTTTATTCTCTTACTTTCACAATATACATACGTTCATACATACTTCCTTTTTCCCATTATTTTTCCCTCTTTATTGTATCTAGTCTAATCTATCATGTTTTTTTTTCTTCTTTTGTGTGCAATTAGATAGGGTGTCATTCGATGGATATTATAACTGCATCAACTGAATGGGATTACGATAGGATTTACTGAAGGACGACTGCATTTTGATTTGATGGATGATCGTGTTCAACTGGATATAAAGGGATCGGATGGAATATACAACAGGAATCGACGTCTTGGAAGGCAGCAGTACAGGGGAAAATCATGGAAGGACATTTATATTATTTACTTGGATAATACTGGGTGAGATTTGGATTTATTGACTGTTACCGTACATCAACTAGGTACAACACTGGAACATATACGAGACATAAGGGATGATCGAAAGGACGAACACAGGAACATTATCAACGCCAAACTATCTTCTGTTATTTTGCCAAATCAGTATCCATCCACTCTGATTCAACAAGAAAGCGCCAACAACAACCAGTCTTATGGATCATGACAAAATGCCGAAGACCGCCAAAGGATAGACAAGATGACCATTGTTTTGGGATGGAACGATCGACAAGGTTCGGGAATAATCGTGATTTCAGGAACAAGAAAAATCGACGAAGTGTATACAGTTTTTAAAAGGTAAGAAAAAAAAGAGGCATGTGTTACTAAACTAGAAAAACGCGACGAATGTTATGATTTGCTTAAATGTTTACGTCTAGTTACGGCACGTCCTACCCACCGTCAAGTCGTCCAACTGTAGCATCCAAAGAAAGGTACCATTCGAAAAGCATCCACCTTTTTATTTTTTTTTTTTTGTCAAATTTGAAAAGCAACTAATCTTTTTTCTTTTTTTCTGTCTTTTCTTTTTTTCTGTTATATATCCAGACTTGAATATCATTCTTCAACATCTCAGTAGTCTTACTTACATTCATCCGTCGGAATTGTTGGTTCCTATATAGTTATGTCGATTCATTTTTTACACATATAATAACGATAATAATAATAATAAAAAAAAACTTTCCTTTTATATATAAGAAATAGTTGTTTGTCTTCTTTTTTTTTTGTTTCCTTTTTCCTTTTCCTGTTTTTTTTTTTTTTTTATTTTTATTATCTCTTGTGTATCATCATCTTCTCACATATAGACAATGGGGTTCTTCAGTATCCCCTTTCTTCCCCTTTTATTAGTTTTCATTACTGTCTCACCCCTGTATGTTTTCGCTGAATTAAAAAAATATGAATGGACCATCAGCCAAAGAGCACTTGACCCTGATTGTTTTGGTACGTCTTATCCAGCACTTGTAGTCAACGGACAATTCCCTGGACCTGCCATCAGAGTGACAGAAGGAGATGATGTTGAAATCAAGGTCCATAACGAATGTAATGAACCTACCAGTATCCATTTCCATGGCATTCGTCAGTACGGTTCGGTGGAATCAGATGGTGTACCTGATGTTACGCAAAAAGCCATCCTTCCAGGCCACTCCTACACTTATCAGTTCCGTGCCATTGGTCAAATAGGAACATATTTTTATCATGCCCACGTGGGTACGCAAGATGATACCGTGCAAGGTGCGTTCATCATCGACAGTATAGATGAATCTATTGTCAATCCTTCCGAATTGATACTCCCTAAGGACAATCCACAATTCCGTAATGCCAATACAAGTACTTATACTCATCATGAGGGTCCATATGGCTATGATGATGAATTCACGATTGAACTGACTGAATGGTGGCATCAACCTCCCTTGCTCCGTGCTGATTATTACCTGGGCACCCAGTATACCTTTGATCCTGCCGCTGATAGTATCCTATTGAATGGAGTAACTGTATTCCAAAATGCCACTGTCGAAGAGCGCCAAAATTGTCCTAATCATACCACCATTGATGTATTACCTAATAGCACTTACCGTCTGCGTCTGATTGGTGGCACTACCTTCCATACCTATGGATTTGCCATCAAAGATCATGAATTGACCATCATCGAGGTCGATGGTGAATTGATTGAAGCTTACACTACCGACCATTTGGAAATCTCTCCTGGACAACGTTTTTCTGTACTGATCCATACCAGTGCCATGGAGGAAACATCAGAGGATGAAGATGATGATGAACCCATATTTGCTATTGCTACATCTTATCGCTATCGTGCCAATGCTACTGGTCACACTGACAATGGTTTTGGTTACCTTCAATACGTTCTACCTTCTTCTCAGCCTGATGATGATAAAAGCCGAAGTCATCCATTAGATGCAAGATCAAGTAAGTAGATGATTATATCTTTTTTTTTTTTTTTTTTTTTTTTTTTTTTATGATGATGATGATGACGGATGATAATGACACTGGTTATACATCCTTTTTTTTTTTTTTTTTTTTTTTTGAAATGATGATGATGACGGATGATAATGATACTGATCATCTTTTTTTTTTTTTTTAATTCAATACTAGATATCCCATCATCACATTCCTTACAAAAGCGTGCTGAAGTAGACGATGAACATGATGATGGAAAGTTAGATGATGATACAGCAGATGTTTCTGCTGCTGCTAGTCCTGATGATGGAAAGTTAGATGATGATACAGGAGATGTTTCTGCTGCTGCTAGTCCTGATGATGATGTTGATGAAGATGATCCAGATGCGGTTGATGAAGCCAAGCGAAATGCCAAGTTGGTACGCCATCCCAAGCCTCCCAAGCCAACACATATGGACTTCCCTTCTATTCCTGATCCCGGAAATTCTCGTGATTGGATCTGGCCCAACTTAAAACCGTTATATGGATCAGCCTTATTGGAAGGGGAACCTGATCGTACTCTAAAAATGCGAAGCTGGGCCATCACTTTACCTGACAATACCACTCGTTACTTGATCAATGGTAGATTAGCACCCATGATTTCCGATATGCAAGAATCGCAACATTCCTACTTGGAAGCGTTAACACCTTCCATTGATGGTGATCTCAACAATCCGCCTAAACCTGTTTTGGCAAGAGCTTTACGTCTACAAAAAGAACTAGAAGAGGATGATGATGATGATGATTATCATCATTACCATGAGGCCAACAGAAAATTAGAATATGATGGATTTGAACCCATCGTTGGTACCTATCCCATTCAATTAAATGAAACCGTCGATATTGTCTTACAAAACGTACAATCTGGTCAGAATTGTGTTTATCATCCCTGGCATACTCATGGCCACTCCCACTACATCATTGCCACAGGTGAAGGCGAATATATCCATGAATTGGATAAAGATAAACGAAATTATCCTCATTCCATTCTCAGAGATGTGAGCCCTGTCTACCCTGGGCAAGTGGATCCAAACACTCAAGGTTGTGGTTGGACAAAGATTCGTTTACATGCTGTAAGTAAATGTATGATTGATGATTGACTGTTGGTTATTTACTTTTTTTTTTGTATGTCTTTGTAGGATAATCCTGGTCTCTGGGCTGTACATTGTCATATCACCGCACACATGCTATTAGGAAAAATGTTCTTATTGGAAGAAGCAGTAGAATACATGCACGCGTACCGTATGTACATGTGAGTTGATTCGTTTGCATCTTGAAATTTAAGTTGTTCCACATTACTCTATACTTTCTGTTTAACCGTAATAAATCAAACAATAACCCATAGACGAAACATAGTACAAGAGACAATGGTTCGATTTTTTCAAATGGCTTTTTCTCGTTACTGAGCTAGTTAACCAATGAAAAGCCATTAACCATTCTTAAGCTACTTTTAATAGTGCAGCCAATGGCGAAGAGTGACAGTGGCTCCTATGACATTACAGTGTGCAAAAGACAATGGTTCGATTTTTTCAAATGGCTTTTTCTCGTTACTGAGCTAGTTAACCAATGAAAAGCCATTATCTATTCTTAAGCTACTTTTTAATAGTGCAGCCAATGGCGAAGAGAGTTTGTGGTCTGAAGGCATGAAAAAAAAGGGGATCGATTTTTTGATTTTACAGCCAAAATTTGCAAATTCCTCAGCCAAGTTTTGGCTGTAAAAGTGAATCGTCGAGGGGTCATCAGGCATTTTTTGGAAAAATCGATGAAATCCTTTTGATGATCATTGCACGTCAGGTTGCAAGGTAAGTGATAAAATGAGATTAGATGATATTTAGCTACTTTTTTGAGAGGAATCTAATGATAGTAATCTTATTGGATGATGATCATTATTGAATGAGAGATGATTGGATTGACTCTTATTTTTTAAATTACTCTAAAAGTTGGGAGGTAAGGTATAAAGTATTATTAAGACGAGTGAAAGAAAATGATGTAATGTATATTGAGCATAAATTTGGTGAAATGATGACAACTTTTGAGTGAATTATAAAAGTAAAGACGTACATACTACTAGGAGCGGGATGTGAATGTTTACGTTGTTGAAATAATCCTGCAAAGGACATCACTAATTCATTTTCTTTTTCTTTCTCTCTTTAATTCTACTATTTTGCTACGTTAATGATGATGCCGAATAAAAATATGAATCAAAAGGTAATCAATAAAAGAAATGTTCCAAATAAATAGTGATATTGTCTTTTTATTTCATTTTAGATGTTGGATGACCTCAAAGCAGATTATGAACAACAATGCAAGGAAGCAAAGTAAACAGGTAAATAATATGAAAAGGATAGTTGTTAATCATGTATCTATTCTATTTAGCTTGACAGAAAAAGAAGTTAATGCCATTTTGAAGTCAAGAACGACTCTAATCCTTAAATATAATGAAATACAAGCCATCACCAATGCTTTACTATCACAGGTAATACATTTTTTAATTTATATATATATATATTAAACTAATAATCTCATTTTTTTTTTATGTATGATTGTAGTATGCCGTCATGAAAAATTGTACTCTGCGTGAAGCTTTTCATGAATTTGATGTGCCAAATGATTTGTAATGCTGTCCTTGATGTCGCCATCAAAGGTTCCACCAATCAGCACTGCTTGATTTATAATCGCGACCTCCATCTTTTTTTTTTTTTTATAATTTCACCTCTCTTCCTTTCCCTTTTTCTTTTTCCCTTTTTTTTTTTTTTCTTTATTCTTAGTTTAGCCACATTGTTATTTGAATAAAGAATATCATATGGCTTCCTCTTTTTCTTCTTTACGGTCATTCACAAGACTCCATCAATCTATAGGAACCCCAGTTCGTCATTGGACTCGAGTTGCTCTTTTACAAAGAGGTAAACTATAATTATAAGTGTGTCAGCTAGATATTTCTAATCACTTAAACTATATATATTCAACCATGTAGGTTTCCATCAAGCGATCTCCAATGGGCAAACATCTTGTGCTGTTTCAACTACTTCAACAACACAACCACCCACGACTTCGACTAATCCACCAATGTCCTTTCCGTGCATTGACAAATTAGCTTCTCGTACACAAGAACTAGACAGTGGACCTGAACCAAGCTATGACAAGGTAGTGACTGGATACGAACTCTTTGAACATAAACAACCATTTTTATTGGATCATGGCGGTATACTTCCAAATGTAACGATAGCGTATGAAACTTGGGGAAAGCTTAACTCGGCCAAGGACAATTGTATCTTGATTCACACTGGTCTCTCAGCATCTTCTCACGCAAAATCTCATGTCAAGAATGAAAAGCCTGGTTGGTGGGAAGATTTTATTGGTCCTGGATGTCCTATTGATACTAACAAGTTCTTTGTTGTTTGTACTAACGTGATTGGCGGTTGTTATGGCTCAACAGGACCAAGTGCTATTGATCCAGCTGATGGTGAACGTTATGCTACTCGGTTTCCTATTCTGACTATTTTTGATATGGTACGTGCGCAATTTCTGTTGATGGATCATATGGGTATTGACAAATTACATGCTAGCGTTGGTAGTAGTATGGGTGGTATGCAAGTAAGTCTTTTTTTTTTTTTTTTTTTTTTTTTTTTTGTAAGTGTATGTGAAAAGAAGATGAGCTAACTAATCTTTCAATATTTTTATTTATTTTCTTTTCTTAGTCAATTGCTGCTGCCTCATTATATCCAGATCGTGTCAATCGCCTGATTAGTATTTCTGCCTGTGCTCGATCTCATCCTTATTCCATTGCTTTACGACATACTCAGCGTCAAGGTAAAAATCGAAATGGATGTCTATACGTGATCATGATGATGTGAATTCTGACCTTCTACTATTTATCTTTTATTACATATACCTTTTTATAGTGCTGATGGCTGACCCAAACTGGAACAAAGGTTTCTATTATAAAGGTATTCCTCCTCACGTAGGCATGAAGGTAAAATAATAATAATAATAATAATAAAAATAACATAGATCTGAAGATAGAAAAAAAAGTTCTTACTTTCAAATACTGACTGAAACTCTCTGTATGGCTTCTTTTATTAGCTTGCTCGTGAAATTGCTACTATTAGGTAAAAGATTACATTTAGAAAGAAAGTAGAGTTTACTAATTCTTTTTTTTTTTTTTTTTTTTTTTTTTTTTTTTTTTTTTTTTTTTGCAAATAGTTATCGATCAGGTCCAGAATGGGAATTGCGATTTGGTCGAAAACGGGCCCAAGAAGATCAATCACCAGCTTTATGTCCTGACTTTTTGATCGAAACTTACTTGGATCATCAAGGTGAACGGTTTTGCTTACAATATGATCCCAACTCTTTATTATATATCTCCAAGGCTATGGATATGTTTGATATGTCAGCTTCCTCCGTCAAACGATTACAACAACAACTTCAGCAGAATCAAGTTCGAGTGGATGAGATTGTATCAAAACAGGGCCAAAATACATCAGTGGAACTTCGATCATTGATTGGGCAAACATCAGCTTTGGAACAAACAAAGGTGGACGCGGATGATGAACGAGTACAAAACAATACATCAAATGATAACAACAGAAAACGACCCTTAAGTACACTTTCTGCAACAGATCCGGCAACTTTAGATTTGATTGAAGGAATGAAGCGTATTCAGATGCCTACATTGGTCTTGGGTATCCAAACGGATTTGCTTTTCCCGGTATGGCAACAAAAAGAAATCGCAGAATGTCTTCGTGCGGCAGGCAACAAGAAGGTCACCTATTATGAATTGGATGCTATGTTTGGTCATGATACTTTCTTGATTGATCGTGTCAGTGTGGGTGGTGCTATTAAAGGTCATTTGGAATCAAAAATTTAGTCCAGTCTTTCTCGTTTATTAGCATCAATTTATAGATTACTTTTCGTGATAGTAGTAGTAGTGTATGTATTTGTAGTTTTACCAGTATGAAATAAAAATAGTAGTGTCACTTTATCCCTCTATTTTTTTTACGTTTTTTTTTTTTTATTTTTTTTTTTATTTTCATTTTTATTATAATATGTTGGACAGATGATCTTTCTAAAAAGTAAGAGATTCAACTAAATACATTAGTGAATTTTGTGTATTCCCGGCTCTGACAGCCATAGTGTACTATAACATAGCCATGCTGTTTTATTTGTGCCTTGACATACCATCATCATGTACAGCGAATTAATAATAAAAAAAAGTGTTCATCACATACCACCAAAATTGTCGCATTAAAAGAGATTGAAAAGTTGCGATTTTTGAGAAAATCCGCAGGGAATACTCTGATGAGCAATCTTTAGCTGTAACATTGAAAAATCCATCTCATTTTGTCTTTTCATATCTCGCTCAAAAGGCGCCATCATCGCATCAAACTTGGACTGAACATAAATGAAATCATTCTCTTTCACTTACATTAATAGCCATTTAGAGATTACCTCCCAATATATAGAGTAAATTAAAAAATAAGAGTCAATTCAGTCAATCCTCATTCAATAATGATCATCATCCCATGCAATTACCACCATTGGATTCCTCTTGAAAAATAGTCTAATCTCATCTAATCGCATTTTATCAGTTACCTTCTTACCTAATGTGCAATGAGCAACAACAGATTTCGAAAAAAATCCCTGATGTACCCTCGACGATTTATTTTTACAGCCAAAGTTTGGCTGAGGAGTTTGAAATTTTTGGCTGTAAAATCAAAAAATCCATCTCATTTTTTCATGCTGGACACAAGCTTGAAGAAACTTTGAATTTTCCTTTCTCGCTCAGAAATCATCATCATCACATCAAATTATTTGACTCGAACATAAGCAAACCAATTTGTGTCACTTTACCTGATTGAATTTATAGATGATCATCGTATTTATAGAGTAAACTAAAAAAAAAAAGAGATATATCACTATCGCCATCATCCGCCATCATCCGTATAATAGTAGTGATGATTGATATGTAGTGAGAACTATTTCCAAGTAAACAGAATAAAAAAGTAATATGATGATAAAAAAAGAAACGTAATCCAGAGAAGGAAATAGAATACTATCACGTTGATGACAATTAGATAAGATAAAAAAAAAAGGATGAAGGTTTCTATATAAAGATAATCATATGGTACAGTTGTGGGATTTTGAAAAAGCGTGAAATAGCTGTAAAAATAGTTTGTTTTTTGTTTGTTTGCTTGTTTGTTTAATCCAGGACAATCAAGTCCTTCGCAACAGTTGTATGGTAGTGGCTGAGAGTGGTGTTTTTTTTTTTTTTTGTTGTTGATGATCACCCTATATATATATATATATATATATATATGATGATCAATAATAGCAGTGTTAAGATCTTTTTTTTTTTTTTTGTATGTTAAGGATAATGATTTAATATGATTGGATCATTGTACCAAATCTGGATTGAACATATATGAAGATATTCTCTTTCAATTGTTTTAATAACAACTTATACCCTATCTCCCAATTCATAAAGTAAATTAAAAATGAAATGTCAATTCCGTTATCCCTCATCTAATAACAATGATTATCATCAAAAAAAAAAAAAGCCACGTAAGTGTATTGTTATGTATCATAAAAAGCAATATAATTTTTATTTCAAACAAAAAAAGTAATCCATATACTAACTAGTAAAACTATCCATGCTACTGTATCTATTATATCAGAACCCTTCGTCCACCACCATGATCCTAACAACAAGACGCCATTACTAACGAATAGAAATTTGACATCCAGTTAGTTATTCGTTCACGTTACCAATAAAATAAATCCAGGCCAAGGAATTTATATATATAAAAAAAAAAAAAAAAGGAGAGAAAAACCATCACAAAATATTTTTGTAATTTACCTGTACTAAATCCTACATCCAAAATGAAAGGGTTTCCCCATGTATTTTGTAAATCCCTTTTTCAAAACACTCCAAATCCAATAAAATCTACCTTGACAAGATCGCACAAGCAAAGAGGACACCCAATGTGGAAAAAAAAAAAGTGGATGGAGAAAAGAAAAAGAAAGAAAAAGATTAAAACTGCACGAAGGGGTAGTTATTATTATTTTTTTTGAAGCCCGTCCACTAACGACAATTTGGCATGATCTTTTTTTTGCTTTTTTTTTTTTTCATCCCAATCCACCGTATAAAAACTAATAACAATAGTTGTGTGTATTTTCTATGGTTGCCTTTTTTGTTACTGGACCAAAAAGGCAACTTGTTGATAATATGTGGAAAATAGCAGAAATAGCTCCTATTGACAGTTGTCATTGTATGAGAAGATATTAGGGCAGCTAAAACATACCATTTTTTTTTACATTACTTTTTGTCGCTCAATGAAATTCAAAAGGAAGTTGCATAGGGGCTCCAACAAGCCACTCAACAGTAACGGAGTGAAAAAAAAAGTGGTTTCTTTTTTTTTTCCAAAATCTTTTTTTTTTTCTCTTTTCCTTCTTTTTTTAGATTTCTCCTTGCCAAAGACACACACATATATAGATATATATCCAGGATGTCAAACAAGGATTTGGATACTATTGTCTATCAATATCTTATTGAAAATGGACAAAAGGAAGCCGCACTCGCTTTGAAGAAGAATGCTACCGTAAGCACATTAAAAAAAAGGAACAAAAAAAAAAAAGGAACTAATTTATTGATTTGATTAAACATAGATCAAGGACTCAACCAAAGCCTCCTCTTTAAAAACAATTTTTGCTGATTACCAAGAAAAGTAAGTAGAGATCGGTTTTAGTCTTGATCTTTTTTGGGTTAAGGGGATCGATTAATTGACTTTGTTCTGTTTCTTTCTACATTAGACATGGTGCTCAAGATTCCTCCTCTTCTTCTTCTTCCTCCTCCTCCTCCTCTTCTGATTCTTCCTCTTCCGAATCTGATTCTTCTTCTGATTCTGACTCTGATGTAGAAATGGCCGAAGCTGAAGAAGCCAAGAACTCCTCCTCCTCTGACAGCAGTAGCTCTAGCGACTCTGAAGAAGAATCCAAACAAAAGACTGACTCCTCTTCTGACTCATCCGACAGTGACAGTGACTCTGATAAAGAAGATGAAAAGGAAGAAACCAAAGAAGAAGCAAAGACTGAAGAAAACAGCTCTTCATCCGACTCATCCGACTCATCCGACAGCGACAGCGACAGTAGCAGTGATAGTGATTCTGAAGAAAAGGAAGAAACCAAGACTGAAGAAAGTAGCGACTCTGACAGCAGCGACTCTGACGACGAAGATGAAAACAAGAAGAAGGAAGCCAAATCTGAAGAAAGCAGTAGCGATTCTGATAGCAGTGACTCTGATGATGATGATGAAGAAGATGACAAGAAAGAAAAGGCCAAATCTGAAGAAAGCGATAGTGATTCTGATAGCAGTGACTCTGATGATGAAGAAGAAGAAGACAACAAGAAGGAAGAAGCCAAATCTGAAGAAAGCAGCAGTGAATCTGATAGTGATGACTCTGATGATGAAGAAGACAAGAAAGAAAAGGCCAAATCTGAAGAAAGCGATAGTGATTCTGATAGCAGTGACTCTGATGATGAAGAAGAAGGCAACAAGAAGGAAGAAGCCAAATCTGAAGAAAGCAGCAGTGACTCTGATAGTGACGATTCTGATGATGAGAAAGACAATAAGAAGGAAGAAGCCAAATCTGAAGAAAGTAGCAGCTCATCGTCCGACTCATCCGACAGCAGTGATGATAGTGAAAGTAGTGACAGCAGTGATAGTGATTCTTCTGATGACGAAGACGACAAGAAGGAAGATGCCATGGATGTGGATGACAATAAAAAGGAAAAATCAGACGATTCCTCTTCTGATTCCGACAGCGATTCCTCTGATAGTAGCGATGATGATTCCTCAAGTGATTCCTCCGATGAAGAAGAAACTGAAACCGTGATCAAGAGAAAAGCTGAAGAAACCACCGCAAGCGTTGTTCCTGAAGCAAAAAAGCAAAAAACTAGGTAAAGAAAACAACAAGATAGTGTGCTATAGACTAGGGCATAAAATAGTAAATAGAAAAAAAAAATTGGATTTGAATAAAACAATATATGTATACGATTTCTTAACAATTATACTGTTTTACATTCGCGCGTATTTTGCATGATGTATTACTCTTTTTTTTTTTTTTTTTTTTTATAGCAATGGAAAACGACAACCTGGTACACCTTTTCAACGAGTTCGACCTGAAGAAGTAACTTTTCATGATGATCGATTACGTGACAACACATATGTATCCAAGGGTGGATCAGACGAAATGTCTTATGGATGGAAAGCACATCAAGATTTGATCAAGACTCGTGGAGATCGATTCCGGGCAGAAAAGAATAAGAAGAAACGAGGATCTTACCGTGGTGGACAAATCTCTTTGGAAAGCCATAGTATCAAGTTTGCTGAAGACTAGTGTAGCTCTTTTATATATATTATTATTATTATTTTTTATTTTTATTTTATCAATATTAGACTTTTTATCATTTTTTTTTTTTTTAGTAAACTGACTTTATGCATTTCATTATTCTTTTTTTTTTTTTTTCCAATTGAGCTGTGTGTGGGATTTTATACCTTGTGTGACGAATCAACTGTGTAAATGGACCGGCAGTTCTCCGCATGACCCGCTCAGGTTCAATAACGTGTGTATTTCAATTTTTACCTCTCTTTTTTCTCTCCCCCCTTTTTTTTCTATCTCTTTTTATTATTATTATTATTATTATTATTATTTTCACTGTATTCATACTATGAATGAACATCCCTTCCTTTTTGATGCTTCTATGAATACTAATACTATTGGTGAAATGATAGGCATTCATCAGTTATCAAAAAGTTCTCCTTCCCAACTTCCACCTTTTCTCTCCAAACGGTTATCTCGTCAAGACAATCTACCTTCTCCATCTCAAACTCCAAAAAGTAAAAAATAACAATAATAATATTATTAGTGGAATAGAAGGAAAAAAAGAAATAGGATTACAATGATTTGAAACAAAAAGATGATATTCATTCTATTTTTTTTTATATATAGCACCGTCGTTAGCTCATGTACCATGCAAGTTCTTTAAACAAGGTACTTGTACTGCTGGAGCCAACTGTATCTTTTCTCACAATCCTGATCCAACTTCTGAAACAGCTGTGTGTCGTTACTATTTGAAAGGTACGTGCAAATTTGGAACAAAATGTGCCTTGCTGCATACAATGGCGCCATCACCTTTGGAAACTACCACATCAACATCTACTACTTCAAGGATTGGAATCACACCTAGAAAAATACATATTCGGCAGCAACAGTATCATCATCATCACTTTGGTTCTCCCTCTCCAAAGAATGATTATGGATTGATACAACAACAACATCATCATCCATCGCCTGACACAGTACAAAGTGCTTCTTTTGGAAGGTTTCAATCCTCATTACAGCAAAGACAACAACAACAACAACAAAGACGGCAAATTTATTCAACTTCATCATCAAATATATTGGACAACAATAATATGGATATGGATGAAGATGCTTATGATGATGTGAACGATGCAATGTTACCCTCTTCTTTGAACGATCTACTGACCCCTTCGGAGCTACAATCAAGAAGAGCACGGGAACAAGAAGATCTGCTGATGGAATACTCTAGTCCAACTTCAAACACTCAAAGTTGGTCAATCATCGATGGACGCACTCCACCTACTACAAGTCCTCCTATTTCTTCGCATACTTCCACTCCAATAATACCGATGAATCGACAACAACAACGATACAGATTACAACAGCAACAACAACAATTGCAACATCATCATCAGCAACAACAACAACAGCAACAGCAACAATACCAACAACAACAACAACAACTGCAGTCTCAACAAAATTCTATGGCAATGATGAAAGGAGGTTGGTCGGTTCCACTTCACCTCGCCAATACTACAGTAGGATCACCTTTCTCAACTTCTTCAGCTTCATGGAAATGGATGGAAGATGATTTTACGAAATCATATTCTATAACCAACACTTCTTCTATGACAACAACAACGCCTACACCAGCAACATCAACCACAGTGGCTACGACTTCATCTTCTGATCAGGATCCATTTGACTTCAATGATGACGACGTACAATTCTTTATGGAAGACGATATTGATCAACAACAACGTTCATCACCTCCGTTACAACAGCATGATAAAAAGCAGCAATCACAACATTCCATTACCACCACTCCCTTCATATTCCCTTCTCTTATTTCTTCATCCAATTCACCCTCCAATAGTGTGCCAAGGTTCTGATAAACTTCCACTCCATTTTTCTTCTTCTTTTTTTTTTTTTTTTTTTTTTTTTTTGTTTATTCTTCCTTCTGTTTAGATATTTTTACCCTATTTATATTACTCATTGTTTATTTTCCCCTTTTTCCTTTTATATTTATTTCCTTTCTTTTGAAAATAATGTTTGAATAAAGAAAAAAAAAAGTCAGTTCTCCCTCTATCTCTTTTCTTTCTTTTTTTTTTTCATTCACTGCCTGTTGTTATTGGAAATCATCCAAGGTTGCGGTACTTGAACCCAAAGCACGCAAAAATAGAGATTATTCAAAAAAAAGAAAAAAAAATCAAAGCTTCTTTCTCTCCTTTTTTTTTTTTGGAAGTTCTGATAAACACTATGGATCCTGTGCATTTGGTAACAAAAGAACTAGCATTTACTCCATATGATGTGAAATGGATCCCTTCTTCTTCAAGGTTTTGCGCTGTGGGAGGTACAGGTCGATCTACAGGGAAAATCACTATTTTTGATTTTAATGGGAAAATCGCTTCGATTACTGCAGAGGTAAGGTCATGTAAGTTTAGTTCTGACTGTACATTAAATTTTTTTTTTTTCATATTGTCTATAGACTGAAACTGGAACACCATTTCGTTGTTGTACATTGGGTGCTGCTGACATGCATACTCGTCATGTCGCTACAGGGGATTTTAACGGTGGATTAGAACTTTGGTAAACGAAAAAAAAAGGAATTATCATATGACCTGGGATTATTTTAATTTATAGTCTCACCTTTCATTATATATATATTGAATGAAAACAAAAGGGATACACAACGACTTGAATTACCAATAGAAACAATTATGGCACATGAAAGTATTATTCATTCAATCGATGGTACTGGTGGTGGCACAACAAGGGCTCGGGAATTGGTGACTGGAAGCAGAGATGGACTTGTCAAAGTATGGGACACAAGGCAAATCCAATCTCCAGTATTCACGGTCAAATCTTCTTCTGCTGATGGCGCTAAACATGAAGTGTGGGCTGTTGCTTTTGGTAAAAAAAAAAAAAAAAAAAAAAAAAAAAAAAAAAAAAAAAAAAAAAAAAAAAAAAAAAAAAAAGAAAATCATTGTGAAGACAATGTTTTATGATCATGATCACGTTCTTATTTATCTCTTTTTCTTGTAGGAGACTGGCAACAATCATCACAAAGAATCATTGCCATTGGTTATGATAATGGTATTGTGCGGTTACTTGATATCAGTGCAGCAGAGTTTATATGGGAAACTGATCTTGGTGATGGTGTAAGGATGAAAAAAAAAAAAAAAGATTATAAATGTGATGGATGAACAATAATGACTAATGGATGTTTCCTGTCTTCTTTTATTATTATTATTATTATTATTATTATTATTACAATAGGTGTGCTCGATTGATTTTAGCAAGAAAGAACCCAAATATATGGTGGCGACAACCTTGACTGGTGCATATGTCATTCAACTATCCACAGGCAAAAGTACAAAACTGGAGGTAAATAAATAGATATATATATATATTCAAACAGAAGTGATATTGAAGACTTTATTTGTTTTGCATAGTCACCACCTGATACCACATTATGGTCTGTCCAACATACACCTCAAACAAATAACAATAATAATGATGATCCATTCTTCGCAATCACTTCTGGTGATGGAAGTATCAATATTTGGGATCACAATAATGTCGCCAAATCTGTTGGATCAGCATCACTGACAAATCATCCAACCATCTCTCTCGACTGGCATCCAACGAAAAAAGGATTATTTGTATGTAGTTCATTTGATCAAACTCTTAGAATAGGTTGTATAGAAAAGTTATTACTATAATAATAAATCAGCATATTCCCCTATTATTCTATATTTATGATAAAAAAAAAAGCATTATATTTATCTTTGTTTTTCAATCATAGAAGACAGCGTTGTACATGAATAGACTTTTTTTTATTTATTTTATTGATGATGAATAATACAAAGTACAATATATACTAATGGAAGGCAAAGGAATGAAAAATAAAAGAATGGTATTTCTAATGACAAAATAATACTAAAAGACAATAAAATGAAAATGAAAAGGGGGGGGGATAATATGATTGTCCCAAACGACAGATGAGCGACATTCTTATCGTTTTCGATCAGCTTTCCATTTGTATACAGGTAATCCCAACTTGTCGACACCAATCTTCTTTCGTTCACCTTTTGCATTCATGGCCTTTTGAATTTCCAGTTCTCGTTCAGCACGTTTTAATCCTTTTTCACGTTCCTTTCTTGATTGTAATTCCTTGTATTTCATTTCACGAGCTCGTTTCATTTCCTATAGAAAAAAAAAACAAGTCAATCAGATGAACATTGTAATTTTTTTTTTTACCTTGATTTCTTCCTTGGTCATGGTTGTATCGAGAGAAGTTTGTTTCAAAGTATCTATACGAGGTCTATTGAATTTCCGGTGGACTAATTCAGGTGCTGTATCAAGGTGTTTGACGACATCAAATGATTTGGCTTGGTCTTCAGTATCAACAAAGACAATATGTTTGTTTCTTCTTGTTTTGGGTTTTTCGATTTCACCTTCGTCCAAAAAGTGCAATGAATCTTGAAGTTTTTCCATTTTCTATAGAAAAAAAAAAGAACGGGTGAGTGAATCTTAATTCATAATGTACCATTCTTACCTTTTTACTAATATCCCTTTGCATTTTGATATAATTCTTGTCCTGACTTTTCAAGAGTTGTACCATTTCATGAGGAAGTTCTTCATTTCGTTTTTGAATATGAACACCATTCTATTATATAAAGAAAAAAAAATAGTAAGAATATAATATCTTTTTTTTTTCTTCGTTTTCTTTCTGTTACCTTTGTTGAAGTGTTTATCATCTTGAAATAGAATTCATCAGGGTTTCTGAATAAAGCTTTTTCCCTTAAAGCTTTGAGTCGTTTCTGTTTACTGTGATAGTCCCGAGCACGTAAAAGATAATCCTTTTTCTTTTCAAGAAGACCAAGCTTTTCCCTTCCAGCTAATTGTCCACGTTCTTTATGGTTTCGTCGTTGAACCACATTTCTTAATGATGTCGACATGATTGTTGTATGGTGAAATCAATTAAGTAAAAGAGATCTAAAAAAAAAAAAAAAAAAAATCAAAATGGAATAAAATTTATTTCAACCCAGCAACCAAAAAGGGAGAGAGACCTTATCTAAGCCTCTTCTCCATCACCGAAACATCTTTTTTTTTTTTATGCACGCATTGATCTAAGGGGTACAGAAATTAGAAAAGTGATCAGAGTTAAATTGAGTAATCTATAGGTGATGATAGTATCATAATGATATCCAAAGCATTCAAATATTTTAATCAATAAAGTATTCAGGGACCTTTTCTTTTTGAATTATATTCATATTCCTTGTTTTTCTTTTTCATTCCTTTTTTTTTAAAAAAAAATACGTGTGGTACAGATGTGTGATTTTATCTCACTTTTGACTTTAACTTTCTATATCTTCATCTTTCATTCATTCATTCATCCATGGATTGCAGCACAAGAGACAAACTGCCAGAAAGCACGTTTAGAAGTCAAAGCGTCAGGTGATCTTAATGATGTATCAAGTTGTAAATCATTCTCTGGGTCGATCATCATTATGAATTTGGAAGTACGAGAGATTCATCTTTCCTACCTCCGGCAAGTAGATGGAGATGTGATTGTTAGTAATCTTACTGAATTGAAATGGTTGGATTTCCCAGTGTTACATTCTATTCAAGGCACACTCAAGCTTGACCACAATCCGAATTTGGAAACCATCTCTGTCCCCAAATTGAACTCTATCGATGCGATGGATATGAATAACTTGCCCACGTTGAAATCATTGTCTTTTCCAGCAGGACTTTCTCATATCAATCATCTCTCTGTAACGGATACAGGTATAACAACGATCGATGGTCTATCCAGTTCATCTATTTCCGATATTAATCTTGCTGGAAACTTACAGTTGAATCACATCAGTTTGGATCAATTAGAACAAATTGAATATTCCTTTTATATTTCTAATAATGGTCATCAATTATCTCTAAATGTAAGTAGTACACATCCATAAAAAAAAAAAAAGAGTGGTAACGATGATTGTTCGACATATGCTCACCTCATCTTATTTTTAGTTATCATCGTTGAAAAGATTAGGACAAGGTACGTTTCAATCACTGTCTAACATAGACCTACATCAGCTTCATGATATCCATGAGGATCTTGATTTTGCCGAAAACATGATGATCAACCTTAGTTTGCCAATGATCACCGAACTCCCAGGTGCATTGACCATAGCCAACAATACAAAATTGGAAACTCTTTCAATGCCGCAATTAATGAAAATAGATGGAGCATTCATCATCACTGGTAATCATCATCTCAACGTCATTGACTCTTTTTCCCATTTAGAACAGGTAGGCGGATCCATCGAAATAGATGGTCAGTTCGCTGACCTTCAGTTGCCAAAACTACATGAGGTATTTCAATACAAAAAAAAAAAAAAAAAAAAATTCATGTCTTTTTGCTTTATCATCACTTAGGCTCGTGGTGGCTTGATTGTCAAATCCAGTAATGAAAAGTTTTCATGTGATAAAATGAATGAGCTACGAAATCAACAAGTCATCAAAGGTCATACGTTCAGTTGTCAGCATGTGGATGCCATCATGACAAGCAAAACGAATCATGAAAGACCATCATTATTCCTAGTATTCACATGTTTATCTATTCTTTTTTATGTCACTATACGAATCACCTAGATCACAAAAGATATGTTTCCATGTTTTATTTTTTTATTTTTATTTTTATCTTTTTATTTTTTATTTTTATTTTTTTTTTTAAAAAAACAAGATATACTAAAATGAAACTAATTTCTATACTACAAAATGACTAATATCTATCAAATGCATGATCTATAAAACTACAAAACACTTTTTAACTAGATGCGTCGGTCCAAGATACTATGGACTTCGTTGGCAGGAGCTTCCAGAGTACGTAATAATTGTCGAGCAGGAGATTCGATGGTACCCAATAATTCAGCACGCAATTGATCCAAGCCAGGTAACGCCACGATCTTGTTGATATCTGTTTGAGTCAATAACGCCTTGTCCAATTTCCCTCCAAGCAATACCATCTTTTTGTTTTTGGTTAATATTCCAGTGACTGATTTTAACAGGTCAGGATAATCGGCATCAGCAGCATTGGTCGTCAAAACACAGGTGGGACCTTCTACCAAAGGTTCCAAGTTGGCAAATTCAGTCGAACGCAAGACAGATCCCATAATACCCGATCGTAACACTGTCAATTTCGAAGGTCCATTGGCTGAGGTTAGTTCTTGACGAAGTTGTGTGAATTCCTTGACTGTCAGATTGTTGTGTTGGAAGACAAAAAGAGCTCGGTTGTCTTTGACAAGTGATTCGTATTGTTGATGAAGATAAGTCCGTCTAGGAGGATGTGTTTTCTTGCTGGCAGTGGCATCTATATTCATATGAATGTATTAGTACGAAGAAAGTGAAATTATGGTTGGAATGTCTTACAGGTACGTTGACAGCGAAGTTGACCGTGTCGCAATTGTTGTTGTAATAATGAACCTAGTAAACGATAATAAGTTGACCCTATTCATTAAATATATATCAAACCTATCTTTTTCATTACCTGTTCTTAAAGACATTGTTTATACTAAACACAGAATATATGGTGATGAAAAAAACAAGAAGGGAAGAAACAAAAAAAAAAAAAAAAAAAAAAAGGAAAAGAAAAAAAAAAACCAAAAAGGGGAGTAGCAGGGTAAGGCAAACAAAAAAATATAAAAAAAGTCACAGGCTCCGCTAACCTCTAATATACTTGATACTTTTCTCTCTCTTTCACACTTACTCTCTTTTTAAGTAGACATTATCGTTCTCTTGATTATGTTACTGTTGAAAACTTCAAGATCATTCACCAGCGATCACGGTAAAAGAAAATGAATTAGACAGCGTGTCCCTTTTGATTCTCTTTCTTGTAAGGCTTTTATTTGTGTATTCGTTCACTTATATGATGCAACTCGGGTCTGGATAGATATAGACAAGATTCGATTTGGAATTGTATATACATGACAGAGCTTAACAGTATGGACACACAACAGGGCTTACCAAGAAACATATAGAGCAGAAATATTTATACAACCGGTTACACTCGAATTATTATTCTGATTGGATTGTACAACTTTTGATTGGTTGAAGGAATATGGTTGATTATTTAATGAGGATACTTATTAAGCCTTACTTATCAATTGTTTTATACGAAGGATGAACAAATTTTAAATGGACAGTGGAATCACGATATTGGAATAGACAGAAGAAAGGACCAAGCTTATCACAGTTTAGGAAAACCAAAGAAGTGTATGTTATTTTTGATTATGGCATAAATTTGTTTGTAGTTAGACTACTTCAGAATAAACGATGGATATACTTCCTTTTTCCTTTTTTTCTTCCTTTTTTTTTTTTTTTTTTGAAATAAACAATGTCATCCCGTTTTACAGTCTTTATATTTATGTTTTTAGATTGATCAATGAATGTGGGGAGTGTATCATGATTGCACGATAGATGATCATCACGATTGCTAAGATGTATGAACAATGATGATTTATTGATTTCTATTATAGTCTTCATGATCAACAACAAGATAATCAAATCATTGTATTTCATTTGTTTTTCCTTCACCAATGAATTTGCAATGAGAAAAAATAAACAAATAATTGTTACTAATTGGTTTGTTTAAGTATTTGTTTGTTTATACGTAACCCTTATTATGGATTTTCCCCAAACTTTCTTAAAGGGGGTTACAGTAGAATTGAGGCTATGTCTATTCGCAATAATAGACGATGATGAACAAATAGACAACTCTTAATCAACGTTGCTATAAAAAAAAAAACAGTGGATGAGAAAATGGAAATAAAGGACCGAATATTTTTAAGTAGAAAGAAACAAAAGAAGAACACTGATCATTTTAAGAGTATGGAACATTCCTTAATAAACAATCACTCCTCTTTCATGATCGACGTGAAACAAACAAGTGGATGACACATCCAGAGACCTCTTTCATTGTACGAGCACCTTATTAGGAAACAAAGTTCTCACCCATCTTTTTTATATAAATTCTTTTCTTTTTTTTCTCTTTTTTTTTTTTTTTTTTTTTTCTCTTCACCATTCTATTTATCAAACATGCTTAATCAAACCTTTTTACAAAGATCCCTCTACTCCTCCATGGCCATCAAGAGAATGATCATCGTATCCCGACGGCCCATTGTCACTAGCGTGCTAGATCAAGATAAACAATTGAATGATTCATACAACACCAAAGAACCTATCAAGTTGGACGTCATATATCCTACTGTATCTACTTCCTCTATTTATCATCATTCCTCAGATACCCATTACCCTCATTCCTTGTCAAATCAATCTGATACCATTTTTAGTCCTACTGTCAATACTGTATTTGATGAATAAATAATTAAATAAATAAAAAATAGGGTTGAATGAAAATAAGTTTTCTTACAAAAAATCATTATCATAGATATGTATGTCATAAAAATTATCCTACACCATCATTATAGAGCCATCTGTCATCATAGCAGTAATCATATCAGCTTGTTTCACCATAGATGGTAAAGAATCCAGCAGTATGTGACTGAGGCGCATTGTTGTAACCTATTTTAATAGTTTTTTTTTTATTTATTTATTGTTTTAAACGATAAATCCGTTTATGCTTTTTTTGTCATTTCAAGCGACCTTTTAAGTGTTGAGTAACATGAGTGTGTTTCAATCGCATTGGGAGGACAAAAAAAAAAAAGAATCAGAGATAAGCTCTATCAATGTAAGTTTATTCAAAATATATAATAATAAATAATAATGAATTAATAATAATAATAAATAATAAAAATAATACAAAAGAAATGAGAGAACCGGGGATAAGTGTATCAAAATGGTATCAAATGTGAAGTTATATATATCTAAATAAAGGGGATAGAATCCATATCTATTTCATCTTCCAAAGCATCCAAGGTCGCATCAAAGGTATCATCATCCAATAATTCAAAAGACAAATTCCGCTGTTGCTGTTGCTTTAAATCGGATAACTTGTTGTTGGTAGTAAGATTAGGTGTTGATTGACTATTACTGAGCAGTATATTCTTCTTGTGAACTGTGATCAAAGGACTAGCGGAGACAGAAGAACTTGTAGGAGCGGCTGATGAGTTGGATTGTAATGAGGATCGAGAGGTGAATCGACGTAATATACCACGTTTTTGTCTGGTTGGACTAGAGACATCGATCACAGATTCTTTAGGTAATGTGGATATGTCTGGTACGATTGGCTTTGGTTTGAATGGTGGAGATCTAGTGGTAAGTACTGGTGATGTTGATCCTTTTGTTTTTATTGAATCCATTTCCGTTATATTTGTTGTTGTTGTTGTTGTTGTTGTCGTTGTCGTTGTTGTTGATGTTGTTATTCCTGCTGTTGCTGTTGAAGTAGCAGGAGAGGATACAGGTTCCAATTCAGGCAAATCTATATCTGGTAATGGCGCTTTCCAAAAATTCCAATCATTAAATGTTTGATCTTCTACTTCGCGGTCATTGTGTAAAGGAGGAAACATTTGATCCACTAATCCATTGAGATCCACATAAGATGACTTGAAGCCCAAAAGTAATTCCAATTTGACCTCTCCATAAGGATCAATGGTGAAGATACGACTTGCTGGAACATCCACGCTACGATAAGAGATTCCATCAGTGATACGGTTACCAAAGCCAGCATAGAAAGGATCATGATCACCAAATAATCGTCGCACATCTCGAAGACATCCCATCTTGAACATTTCAGGTTTACGAATAATCACTTCGCGGTGGAAGGAAGTAAATAATCGATCTGGGGACATGAGTACTGGTCCATCTGGGAGTTGATAATCATCTTGTACTACACCTTTCAAATAATCCCGAGTATAATCTGCTTGTCCAATCGCACGGCTGGTGAGATATAAAAATTGGTATCCATTACGGTGTACATCTGTATATAATTTCGCCACACCATTGTGGGTCCAATCCTTGCCAATCATTGTAAAAACATGTCCAAGAGCGTCCGATTTGGTAATAGTCCCATCGATATCTGATATCACCACTTTGATATTGGCATCCCATAAAAATAGCTTAGCCACACACGTAGCAGTACCTTGGTATGACGATGTCACCGAAAAAGAAATTGTATTCACACCTTTTTTTAGAGGGAGACTCTTAAGTTGATCAGACGCTAGTCGTAGAGTCTTGGCGTAGTTGCGTCGTTTTGGCGGTAAACATGTATCCGTTTTCGTTCTATTTTTATCATATACTTGATCATCATCACTGTTGTTGGTCAATCCCACTGCCGTCGCTTTAGTTGTGGTTGTAAATGTAGTATGATATGAGTTACTATGCTTATCGTCGCCATCAGTCAAGAGAGAGGTAATATGTTCTTCTGGCTTTTTGTCCATCGTTGTACGATCATCCATAGATGTTGTTTCCATTGATTGAACTGAGGATCGACTAAACCATTGCCGCCAACCACGTCCGAATGTATAAGTACCTTTGCTTTGCATTTCACTAGTTCCTTGATCACCATCATAATGAGACAGACCATTCATCGGTTTCCGGAATACCAAAAGAGATGTAAACAAAGGACCAGAACCACCAGCAGCATAATAACGACCTTGATGTTTGAATACTAGACTTTTGTCGTTCAGAATATTCGGATTTTGAACAAAGTCGTCAAATGATATTTGATGTTGCCTGAAAACTGATGCATTTTTTTCTTCTTCCAAACCAAAAGCTGAAAATCCACAGAGACTAACTTCAATCCGATAAGTTTGACCAGGTTTAACTTGAATTTCATTATCCATATCGCTAGGTTTCCAGTGTTGCTCTGGTTCATCTTCCAATGGTGATAGATGTCCTTTGTAAGATTGTCCCCATCCCCATGTATTGATAGATGTTTCTTGTTTCGTAGAGTCATCCTTGTTCACTTTGTTCTCTTTCAAGTCCAATGATATTGTTTCTGTTTCTGGAGGAATGTTTGTGTTTTCCTGAGCATGATCATGCTGAGTCTTGTATCCAGCCATATCCAAAAATATAGAGTCGCCATCTGTTGGATTAGTCAAAGATGTTGATGCTGAATGTGTAGAATCTGTTGTTTTTCCATGATTTTCGTCTTTCTTCTGAAAATGATGATGATCCGATTGTTGCTGTTCCGATTGTTGTGGTTGCTGTTGTTGCAGAGACTGTAAAGAGTCATTATTTCTTGTCACTTCCATCCATAAGCTTCCAGCACCTACTGGTCGGACAATAAAAGTTTCCTTTGCAATAGCTGAACTTGAGATAGGTTCAGACATGATACGTTCTAAAATTGTGGAGCCATCGCTTTGAGGATAAGTATCATTGATAGGTTGTTGTTGTTGCTGTTGTATATCCAATTTGTTGATTGTATTTTGAAGATGATTGAGTGACATGTCATCTGAGGTATGATATGAAGAGTCTAAATGTGTGACCACCTTATCCATTTGTTCTTCAATGATCATCTTTGGGGATTGTAATTCCATAGGTTGTCCATTATCATGTTTTTCATCCTCTTCAAATTCATCATCTAATGTAACCTTGTTGGTGGTATCTATAGATTCTACGACATAAAACAAAAAAAAAAAAAAAAAAAAGGTGGAAGTCAGTATCTTTTTTTATTAAACCATTACTATATATATATATATATATATATATACCTTCGGTATGATGGTTTGATTGACCAATATCCAAAAAAGGAGGATCCTATCCATCAAAAATAAAAATCAAATAAGATAATTATCCATATTTGTATATTATTATTATTATTACCTCCACTGGTTTCATATCTTCTTGATTGTATGCATCAAGTAATGGAGATGTCTGATATTCTTCGGGTACATGATGAGTTGTTTCAAAAACAAAAAAGGCCTCTCCAGCTTCACCGACTTTCATACTATAAGGGACAACTTGATCGTTCACTTTGATGGTAACCTGAAATAAGATATGAATTTGATATAAAAAGAAGTTTTTATTTATTTCTTTTTATTACCTTTTTTTCTTGAGGTCGTAAAACAGAGAGTTTACCAAAACGTACATGGAAAGGAGAACAAGATAATTGACCATCGGGTTGTTCTACTACAATGATATCAATGGCACCAGATAAAGTAGCAGGATTCAGTTCATTATAGAAAGTATGAACTGAAGAGAATAGTTTTCCAAAGTATTCCATCAAAAAAGGAAGAAAAACGAATGGATATACAGAATGGATTCAAAGTTGTCAATGTAAAAAAAAAAAAAAAAAAAAAAAAAAAAAAAAAAGGAAAAGAGAAGGAGCGGGATGGGACAATGGGAAAAAAAAAGTTAGTTATATAGAAAAAAGAAAAAAGAGAAAGAAAAATTAGGAACAACAGTAAATGGGGCAACTGAGTTCATGAGAATTTGAGGGCCGGGGGAGACAATTTTTGAGAGACACACACTCACACATACATACAAAGAAGACCTGTAAAAAAAATGATGCTTTCATATAAATAGATTTATTATCAATAAAAATTTATACAAGGAAGAAGAAAGAAAAACAGATCATAGCAATACTGAATAAATAAGCGTGATAACTATTGAAACTAAGATGACCTGATGATGGAGTAGAAGCTGAGGATGAAGGAGCACTAGCACTTCCGGAACCAGAAGTAGCAGCACCAGCAGATGATGATCCATTTGAAGCAGTAGGAGAAGAACCAGATGAAGCACTAGTGGGAGATCCACTAGAAGCACTAGCACTGGATGAACTACAAACGCCTATCTCCTTGTTAGGACAACATTGATCTTTGACAAATTGACAATTGTTTGGACATTCTGAAGGACATGCAGGTTTACTACTGGGTTGAGTACAAGCGATAGGAGGACAAGATTTACCACTAGATGAAGGTGAAGCCGATGCACTTGCTGCCAACGATGATGATGAGTCAACAGCAAATGAAAGAGTCGAAAAAAGTGCAATAAGAACAATAAGATAAATGAGTTTGCTAATGGTTGTCATTTTTTAATTCAAAGATTATACAAAAAAAAAAAAAAAAAAAAAAAGAGGACATGGAAATCTAAAGAAGATCGCCCTCCTTTTTATATGCGTGTGATCGAAAAAAAAACTAATTAACCAGACTTGGCTAGTGCTTTAAATTGTTACGATGGTAACTAAGCATCGTCCAAAAAGAACAAGAAAAAAAAGGTCTCACGCTGATGTCAGTCCCTGAGCGAAAGGAAAAAAAAACAATTGATTATTTGCCCATATTTGGATATTTTTTCTAAAACAAGAGGTCCCGTTTATTCGTCAAGACTAATGAATGATAGGTGGCTGCGAGATATCATCATCATCATGATGGAAGTGTTCTAAACTGATCATCATTGTCGATCAATCAATGAATTGATGAATATCGGTACCAGCAGTAGTATTAATGGATATGATGTATGTAGTAGTAATAGTAGCATTACACCTATCATAATCATAGCAGTAATCATTTAACAATCATCTTATTGTACTACACAATATGGAGATCTTGTCAATAGAACAAAATAATAATAAAAAAAAGCCGAGTATATTTCAAGAAATTATTCAATTGAAAATCATCACGTAATGAAAATAGATCGACGAAGAAAAAAAAAAAGTCGCGTTCCTTTTTTTGGATGGTGATGATACTTGATGATAAATTCTTTTTTTTTTTTTTTTTTTTTTACTTTTTTGATTGAATTGTAAATGAATAGGATGTTTTACTAAAACTAATTTATACCATGATGATGATGATGGTCAAGAGTTATGCTTAGGATAAAAGTCTATACTTTTCTTATTTTATTTTATGATATTATATGCCAAAAAGAGGTCAATAATAATAACAACATCATGTGATAATATCATTTCTAAAGGTGGTAATAAGATCATAATGAATAGAGGGTATAAAAATAGATTTTTTTTTTTTTTGAAGGAGATGGATGTGGTAAGAAAACAAGACTGAAAGGATCTCGGGGTTGAAAATAAGGGGACTGAGGGAGACCTTTTTTTTTTTTTTTTTTTTTTTGCTCTCCCTAATCTACTTTTGTACCTTTTGCTGGTTTATTTTTTTTTTCTCTTTTTCTTTCTTTTTCACTTTTTTTCTTTTTTCCTTTGAATCAATATATCAAGGTAATATATATAAATATCTTTTATTCTCTTCGTCTCTCTAGTCATCAACTCAATATGGACTAATAATGACGCGAAGAGAATAAAGAAAAAAAAAAGGAACTTCCAACTCTTTTTTTTTGTGTCAGATGAACTCAATCCATTCTTTTTTTTTTATTCATTTGATTTGGCATCTTCATATCAAGGTAAAAAAAAAAAAAAAAAAAAAATAGAAGAATATAATCGTCAACAACTAGGTGGAAGGCATTGATGTGATTGAAAATAAAAAGATCATTATGTTTTTTTCTTTTTGATGTCAGATGAACTAACGACTTCTTTTATTGTTATTATTATTATTTTGGTGTGTTAGATGTCGGATTCCAAGGCGGTTATTAAGAGTGTGGATATGAGTGAAGAAATGCAACAAGAAGCTATTGAAGTTAGTACCCAAGCTTTGGAAAAGTTCAATATTGAAAAAGACATTGCTGCACATATCAAACGTGAATTTGACAAGAAATATGGTAATTATCAATATATATATTGTATTTGAGTGAAGAAGAGGGAATGTTACTTTATGTTATCATTCTACACGTGAAAATTGTTTCTCCGTCCAAAGATCATGTATTGTTTGATTGATTCTTCATTCTTTTTTTTTTATAGGTCCTACCTGGCATTGTGTTGTTGGTCGTAACTTTGGTAGTTTTGTGACTCATGGTAAGTAAACAAAAGAGAATTGGAAAACATTTAGGCGAATGAAACAAGTATATACTTGATTAATCGTGTGAAAAATAAAAAACAAAAAAAAGAATTGGCCAAAGCGTTAAAATAAAATGGATCGTTCCTGACCTTCTTTTTTCTTTCTTATCTTTAGAATCCAAGCATTTCATTTACTTTTATCATGATCAAATTGCTATCTTGTTATTCAAATCAACCTGAATAAGTTAGTCTTTTATTATTATTGGTATTGAATAAATTTGTTATTTGATTGTTTACATTTTTGTTTTTATTTGGATTGATGAATGGTGAAGATAAAGATGATGATGAATGACACTATTTTGTTTCGTAAAAAAAAAAAAAAAGGAATCTTTTGTTTACAGGATTGTTTATTGTTTGTTTTTTTTTTTTTTTTTTTTTTTGATGGTGATACTTCTGGAACCTTTCAAATGGTAGTGAGAGTAGGCGATGCATGGACCGGGATTTTAAATAGATGAAGGAAAAGAAGGACTGGCTGATACTTTTTTTTATAAAAAGATAGATATCCATTTGTTTTACCGGATTTTTTTTGCTTTCTTCTTCTTTTCTTCTTTATCTCACTTTCTTATTCATTTTCATTATTATTCATCATGTTAAATCTTATCATAGCATCTATACAGGTAAAGAAATAATTAGAATATGAATAATAAAAATAATAATAATGAATAAACCATATATTTATATTTTTATAGGCCATTCTTCAAGTGATGACTATAGTGACCATTGGATTCATATTTGCCAAAACTGGTTATTTCAATATGGATAAACAAAAGGTAACACAATCATTTAAAATAATGATAATACAATGACTGATTTTTTTATTTATTTATTTAAGTGGTTATCGAAACTTAATTTGATGTATTTTACACCATGTTTACTCTTTTCCAATGTGGCTTCGATTATCTCTTTTGAAAAATTGATTGCATTTTGGCCCATACCAGTATTTTATTATACTTATTCATTATTATTTTATCTGGTTACTCAACTATCTACTCGGATGCTTGGTTTGAATCCTGGTTATCGTCGTTTTGTCTTGGCATGTGTTATGTTCCAGAACACAAACTCTTTACCATTGGCTACCATCTCTAGTTTGGCTGTATCTGAAGCTGCCAAAATCCTCTTTTGGAATTCCGATGATACACCAGAATCAGTGGCTGCAAGGTAATAATAAAAAAAAAAAAGAAAAAAAAGAAAAGAGAACTTTCTTTTGAACTAACATCACTACTATTATTATTTTTTTCTTTTTATATATTTTCTTTAGAGGAATTTCTTATACTTTATTCTTTGCTATCTTTGGTAATCTTCTTCGTTGGTCTTATGGATATCAATTATTACAAAAGCGTGAAGGAGATGATGATGGTGATAAGGAAAATGATGAAGAACATCAACAACATCCATATGATTCTTATTTAACCATTCCATCAAGTCATGGTTATACCAATCCATCATCCTCATCATCATCTATATCATCAATCACAAACAACACTCGATTACAAGCTCCAACCATGCCTGATCGTAGTCATAGCTCCTTGACATTGGCTGTCTCACCAAAGGATGAAGATCAAGATCCATTCAAGAAACATGTGGATGAAACAACTTCGCTCTTACACACCAACAAGAACAACAATAAGAAAAAGTACAATTTCTTAGCATCATTGAAACGATTAGGATTATGGTTCCACGGATGTATGACTCCACCACTATATGCGGCCATGTTGGCGTTGATCGTTGGATTATCACCATTGAAACAAATTTTGTACGACAAGCAATCTTTTCTTTATCCTTCTTTCACCAAAGCAATTGAAATGTGTGGTAAGGCAGCAGTACCCATCATCTTATCTTGTCTAGGTGCACAACTGGCCAGTATCTCTGAAACTCAACATAGTGCACCTACTATTCGAAAACCTGTAACAGCCGCCGTGATGATTCGAATGGTCTTGACCCCCTTTTTAGTAACACCTTTGGTAGTCTTGTTTGTTATCTATGGTGCCCCTTACTCCATCCTCGCCACTGATCCTGTCTTTATTGTGATGATGATTGTTCTTGGATGCACCCCTACTGCCATCAATCTGGTTCAAATCTCTCAAGTCAATGGTATCTTTGAAGAAGAAATGTTACGCATGTTATTCTGGAGTTATGGTATTGTATGTGTTCCTGTAGTGACCTTGACCGTCTTTTTGGCTTTGAATGTAGTGGATCGACTTCTTTAAGTAGATAGATTTTTTTTTGTTTTTATATTTGCATACCTATCTCATTTGTCATCATGTTTATTCATTGATATATATTATTTTTTTTGTATATCCACTTTATTATCCATCATATTGATTAACGAAAAAATAAAAGTATTCCTTTTTTTTTATTCATGATCTTTTTACAAATAAAGGATTCTAAATCATTTCCCCCTCACAAAATAAAATAATTTCATTACAGATGAAACACTCTTCGTTTGTCATTTATTCAGTTGCCTTTTTCTTTTTTTCATTGATTGTCAATGGAAAGACAAAAACTTTAAAATGAAACTGTTTGGATAACAATAAGAATACAACATCAATAAATAATACAAAACAAACAAACACAAATAAAATCAAAGAGGATATCTATACCGAAACGGACAGAGTTCTTTAACCGCCATCAAAACATTGTAATAAACTTTATTAATAGTAAAAATAGTAAGGAGGGGGAAAGCGTAAGAAAATCAACGAATAAAGAAGTAAAACATAAAAAAAAAGGGGGGTGTATATGATATATGTATATAGAAAAGATATAAAGTAAAAAAGAAGAAACTAAGATTTGTAAGGAGGGTTAACAAGAGATGAAGATTGAGTAGAACCAACATTCAATCCAGACAAAAGAGATGATACATCTGCACGAGTATCCTTTGTTCGTTTGGCTAGACTTGTTGATGTTAAAATATGTAATCCATCCACACTGGTCTCCGAATCTTCATTGCCTGAAGTAGTTGCTGCCAATGCTTCTTTTAAATTTTCTACCTTGATCGTTTGTTTCTTCCCTTCTTGAGTTTGCTAATTGATATTCATATTAATACAAAATAAATTAAATAAATAAAAGAAAGGTATAACTTACGGTAAAGTCAGTACTCATCCAAGGTGTAGCCAGTTTTGGTTTCAAATCATCCATGTTACGAGAAGTACGAATACGGAACGAACGCTCTTGATTGACTATAGTTATATATATTTAAAAAAAAATGGTTTGATTCCACTTTAAAAACTTTGTATTCTTTTTTTTTTTTTTTTTTTTTTTTTTTTTTTTTTTTTTTTTACTTACCAAATGCTTCCGATCCCCATTCAACATATAACTTGCTTTCTAAATCCAATCCATGGGTATCATCTTCGTCACGTAAAGGAGCATCTTTGGATAAGATTTCAACCACAATATGACGGTCCACAAAAGAATCAACAGGTTGAGTGTTGTCACCATCTAAATCATCAAAAGACCATACATTCAACTTCTTTGTCGTATGAATAGCACCATCGGAGTGGGCGGGAAACACTGGTGAGTATTCCTTGTTCTGAATGCGATTCGATCGTACTTGATCTACATAATGTATCAATCTGTCCACGTGATAAAACCGTCCAACCATATCCAAGTATTCCACAATCACTGCTGCTAATGCCCTTTGTCGCGCTGTATGTACAATATCTCCTTGCTTCACCAGATTTTGTATTTGGAATACCAAAGGAATCGCCTTGATAGTACCATCAGCTCCAAAATGTCGGGTTAATGCGCATAATAATTGATAAAGTGCCTGCACATCCTGCACATTGAATTCCTTCAAACTTGCCCATTGAGCCATCGTTTGCTGCAAACTATTGATGAACATCACATCACTATGCTGATTCAAAGTATGTTTGGGGAATGAACTATAATTCATCATCACAAAAAAAAAAAAAAAAAGGAGGAACAGTGTTAGTCAGTGAGTATCTGTAACTATATATGTATATGTAAAGACATTTTTCAAAGTTAATTCATTTACTCGACATTCAAATCATCTTCAGAAGTAGCATCAAGATATCGCACAAGAGTCGTAGAAAAATCCATACGTGTTTCTATGACAAAAAAAAAAAAAAAAAAAAAGAGATGGATGGATGAACAGTAAAAATAATATTAGAGATTAGAATATTATTTTTTTTATCTCATGTTTTCTATTTACCAGGTTGAGGATCAATCAATAAACCAAATGCAGGTACCCAAGTTCCCAAAGAGATAGAAGTTCCAGATGAAGAAGAAATCACTTGATCAGAATCATGAGCTGATGATGAGGAAGAGGAAGAAGCATCATCGGAATTGTCAGCAGAAGAATCCTTACGAGTAGCAGCAATAAGATCCAAACATTTTAATGCCACTCGACGATATTGGATTAGAGAAAGTCCTTCAACTTGTTCCAAAGTAGTACCCACACGCAATTTGGCTAAAATATAACCAGTGATATCATCCAATTGATTTTGGTAGTATGTTTGAGATGCTAGCCCACCAATACTATGAGCCAAGCCTTGATGAATAGCATATTCAAAGGTACCTTGTTCATCCCCAACCGAATCAGAAGGTTCTTGTTCCCTGAATACACGACCGCCCTGTAAAGATTTGATTAAGAGTCCAAATAAAGAATTTAACACTTCCAGGACCGAGATTCCCACCAATGGCATATTGGCATTCAAGATGGTATCCAATATCGATACTAACGAAGCATGTTTGCTGTTGATTATTTGAGATTTTGTGGTTTCGAATTGCTGAAGAATTTCTGACACTAAAAGGTAACGATATTGAGGCTAATGAAGAATTGATATCAGTCAATAGTATATGGATCATCTCACTTTTGTTTAATATCTTTTTTTTTTTTTTCTTTTTTTTTTTTTTTTACCTGTAATGAGTCTAGAACGAGTTCAATCGAAGATACAGCGAAGTTGGGAGGCCACCACTTTTGTTTTGCATCCATGTATCTAGCATAAGAAGAAGAAGAAGAAGAAGAAGAAAAAGAAAAAAAAGAAGTCCATATATACTAAAAAAACACACCTTTTTATATTCATTTGAAGATAAAACTTACCCTAATAACGGACTAAGAGCAAGGCGAACACCGGCACCATTTGCCTTTCCAAAGAGAAGCGCAGCTGTCTTGGCAGCAAAAAGAGCAGCAACATTTTCATCCACCAAAGTATTGTCCAGGACTGATTGTTTGAGATCAGGGGATTTCTTACTATGAGAAAAAAAAATATATAGCTCATTTCAATTTTCTTGCTAAACATCAGACTTATGTATATATGTATTACCTCTTTGCTAATACACTAGCAGATTTTTTTGATTTGGCTAAAGTGACAATGATAGGAGGTAAAATGATACCAAGTTGAACCTTGAAATTGGAAGCTTGTAAGGCAGGAGACATTACGGCTGCTTGTAACCCACGATGTCCAATATATTCCATTCTAACCAAACACACACACAAAATGTCAGATTACTAATATATATTCCATTACAAGTTTTAAAAAAGCACTTACTGATAAGTCAAAGTATCATCATTATTCTTGAATATACTGAATCCAGCGAACTTCTTGATCAAAGATTCATAGTCAGCAGTCAATTCAGCATCCACACCTAAAGTGGTTCCATCATGATAGGAACAGAATACTACAAACTTTTTTTTTTTTTAAAAAAAAAAAGAAATAAAAAGAAAAAGAAAAAACTAAGTATATATTGACCACATATACATATTTTATCTATTCTTACTGTTTCACAAGCCAAGTCAATCAATTGAATATCCTTGTCCTTTCCATCTAATATCATGGCCAAGATTTTCACAATATGTTTCGAGAAGAGATTCAGGTCACGGTGACAAGCTTCGATAAGGGATCTTAGAATCTCAAGAGAGACAATGTTGTGTCTATATATATATAAAGATGAGTAAGGTCATCATCTATTTCACACCAGAATGAATCATTTAAAAGACTTACTGCTTTCTTCCTTTAGTTACATCGCGTTCTACCTTCTTTTCAAGAAAAGAACCAACTTTAGTCAGTTTGACGGGTCTTGAGCTAGCATAAAACGTAAGATAACTGAGTTCAGATGAACGAGAACGTCCTTCACCTTCCTTCTCTGGATAACAGTTATTAATGAGTGTAGCGTGTTTAACGTATCTATAGAAGAAAGATAATTGGTTAGTTTATATTATAGAAATATAGAATGTATTTTATATAATGTTACTTTTATTTATTACTTACAAGTGCATAACAATAAATAAGGAATGTGAATGGTTTTTTTTTTAAAAAAAAAAAAAGAAAGAAAGAAAGAAAGAAAGAAAGAAAGGAAAAGAAAAGAAAAAAAAAAGATAAAAATGGAAAAAGACCACCAAGGATTTTTAAACCAAGAAATTTTTTGGAGTTTGACAATCCCAATTCATCCATTTTAGGGAACAGACTATTTTCAGTATAATTCTTATTTTTATTATTATTTATTTGATGATGATTATAAAAAAAAAAAATAAAGATAGAAAAAAAAAAGGTGGGGTAAGATAGAAGAATGCTATCTAAAAGAGGAAGAGTATTATGAACAAAGCGTAGACAAAGTACAAAGTCCGAGTAGTTTTTAAATGAGCACTACTTTCCGCAGGTTGTTCATCATCAAACTTAAAATCACCGATAGAACCATGTCCTAAACGAAGATTTCCGCATGTCAAAGTACGTTGGTTCACTTGAGAATCTTTTTTTTTACTTGAATATGCCATCATGATAGATTTGTCCTCCCAAAATCCTTGAATACTTAATGTAGTGTTAAATGAAGAAAGTGGAGTCACTGATGGATAATATGAATTGATTCTAGCAAAACCTATATAATACATATATATTCTTTTTTTTTTAAATAACCGCCCTGATTTTTTTTTTTCATATGAAAGTTCGTACCTGAAATTAACTGAAGTTGATTTTTACATTTATCTGAAGGCGCTTGGACAGCTTGTTGGCAAGGATTAGAGGTCAAAGTCTTCAAACATTCATTAGATTCATCAAAATTACATTGATTATCAGTTGAATTGTTTTTTGGAAGTCCAATAATCCAACTAAGACAAACATTTGTCTCATTATTCCAATAATCAACACCATACGGATCAAAGTAAATTGTAACAGCTGTATGTTTAGTATATTGTGTAAAAAGAGTACTGGCTGACATACCTCCATCGATCGGCATGGATGCTAATGCTCCTGGTAGAGTATCCTCAGGGTATGGTTCAGGTTCTCCTAATGCTCTAACATTAATCTTTGATGAGGCCGATGTTGTTGCGATCGTGAGAACAAAAAGAGAAAGTAAATAAAGAAGAAGTTTCATAATAAAGTCGTTAAAGGATGATCATGAGATGATTTCCCTTGTCTTTTTATATTTATATATATATATATATAAAGAGGTTCATTGTTTGATGATGATAATCTTTGGATCATTTTATTTAAATAAAGAGAAAGAATGTTATCATGATGATGAATAGAACTATGAATTAGACAACGAATTAATAAAAAAAAAAAAAAAAAAGAAAGGGAAAACAATGTAACACATACAGAACTTGTCAGGGTACCTAAAAAGGAAACCATCATAAATAATAAAAAAAAATCTTTTTTACTTTTTTGATAGGCTGACGATCTCAGGGGCAGTCTTCCGACGATGATAAAAAGCAGGTGGAGGGGTAAGAAGAGTAGAGGAAGAGGAATCAAAATAAGGGGAAAAAGAGGAGGATGACTCCTTGCTTAAATAATGATGATTAAAGTTGACGTTGTTGCTTTGATTACTTGAAGAGGAAACGATGGTGATGGGTGGTGGAGGTGGTGGTAGTGGCAACGATGGCTGTTTCCTTTTCTTATTGAGTGATTTTAGGAGTGAATCTGAAAGTGATGTCCGCGCCTCTAAAGCCAATGGATGAACTTGCTTAGGTTTGTTGTTGTTACATTGTTGATGATCAAAACTAAATTCGTGCATAGATGTTGGTGATGATGATAAGGGTGATGATAATAAAGAAGGAGGAGACGAAGCTGTTGAACATGTAGATTTAGATGGTTTGATTTCAATGTCATGAGGAAGTTCAATAGCTGGAGGTAAAGAAGTTTTACTAGCTTTTCTTAATAAAGATCGTTTCATAGCTTGATTCAATGTTTGTTGTTTTTGTCGAAAAGTTTGAAAATGACCTTTGATTGTATGTTTGAATGATTTAGTGGATCGAATAGATGCGGAATAATCATCATCACTACTAGTAGGTGTATCTGTTGTAGTAATCATGGTAGTAGTCGTAGTAGTATTGGTGTTATTACTTTCATTTGAATCACTAGAATTATTATTGGCCAGCCAATAATCATGTCTTTCTCGTTCTTCTTCTTCATAAGTGTATACCATAGTATCAATGATGGCTTGATTCTTTTGATATTTATGATGAGCTTCCATTGAACAAAAGATTGAATAAACTAACCAAAATATCGGTTCGTAAACGCATAACCAACATTCGTAAAGATTTGATTTGACACTAAGCCACGGTTGACATGATGATAATAAGTCATATGAACTGATCATCACCCTAGATGATGATTTCTCCATAATAAAAGGTTGTTTTCTTTTTGTTGTAGTGGTAATAATAGTAGTAGTCGCCATGAATTATAGTTGCATTATATTGATAATAAATTTTAAGAAAAAAAAAAGAAAATAAAAGAAAAGAAAGAAAGGAAAAAGTAGAAAGGAAAGGGAATGATAGATATTTTATATATATATATAAAAAAGAATCCAATAAAATATATAGATGGTAATGTCAAAATGGAAGAGGGGTAAAAAATCAAAGTGAAAAAAAAAGAATAATCAAGAAAAAAAAAAAAGTAAGGAGATTCAAGGGTAAAAAAAAAAAAAAAAAAAAAAAAAAAAAAATTGAAAGGAAAAAGAAAGGGAAAGGAAAAATAGAACGTTCTCCTCTATTAAGAGTAGATTTATACATATATCACGGAGGTTTTAAGTAAGGTACCATACCAATAGTCTAACTTTTTTTTTTTTTCAGGACAATCAGTATAAATATATACATAAAATTTGTTTACTATTAAAAACTTGTTTCGCATTCCAATTTCATCATTTTAGGATCTTCACATCATCCGACCTGAATACCGTTTATATATGTATTATCTTTATTATTCTTCCTATTCAAAACTCTTAAATTGTTACAAAATAATGAATATACTGATGATGATGATGAAATTAATATATATATATTTATGATGATGATGATAGGGAATGGGTTTTTTTAATGAAGTACCATTTTTTTTACTGAATGCTCAGAAGAGATTATTTCACTCTCCGGAAGAAATTTTTCTTTCTTCTTTTTTTCTTTTTCTTTCTTTATTATATATATTTTTCATGTATTCCATCAAATGAAACATTCTTTAAATTACAAACATGTATTATCGTTTTTACTATTATTATCGATATTGAAGATATTTGTTATAGCCGACGATGATACTTCATCCTTACCATATACCCATGTTCAACCTCGAGCAGCTCCAAATGATATTACGGTAGATTCAACGGCAAACTCTACGAATACTCCTACAACAACAACAACAACTACAATAACAACAACATTAACTTCTTCTTTGACTCCTTCCTCCACAACAAACTCAACAACAAATGTAACAACTCCTCTACCTCTAAAACCTGCTACACCTTTTCATTACAATCAATCCATTGTCAATAATACAGCAACTCCCAACATTGCCTACCAGTTAAATTGTCAAGTCGATGATCCTTTTTGCAGAAAAGTGGAAAATGGTATTGTACAAGCTCTTTTAGAATTAGCCAAGGTCATAGATATCAAAACAAAGATAATGTAAGTTAATAAGACAACTTTTTGTTTTGTTCATTAATTAATATTTTTATCATGTAGTATCAAAATCAGATATCATAGCTTCTGTGCTACTTCAAGTTGTTCTAATAGTACTTTTGGTTGGGGCATTCCTTCATCACAGGTATATATCTTATTATTTTTGAGAAAAATGATTTTATTCACTCTTTTTTTTTTTTTTTTTTTTTTTGTAGTTTATATTACCATTCGATTATGGACCCGATTTGAATCATGTTTATCCACAAGCACTTGCAAAACAACTTGTACCAGTTTACAACACTAGTTCTGTATGGGCGGCAAGCGATGTAACAGTTGATATCAATCATGATGCTTATATGGAAGGAGTGGACTATGAAAAAGCTCAAACTATAGGATGGAATGGCACAGGTGTACCTCCTACTGGTCGATTTTGGTTTGTGGTAAGAGACTAAAAAGGGAATCATGCAATTAGAAGATACTAAGCCTTCTAACTTTTTTTTTTTTTTTTTTTTTTTTTAGAATGATACTTCCTATGGAAATAATACTAGCATCGATAATAATCAGGTAGATTTCCGATATGTCTTTTTACACGAATTATTACATGGACTTGGATTCATTAGTTCATGGGCAGCCTATTTCTGGTCATCATCATCACCATTTCGATTGCTTGTGGAGAATGTAGTGGATCCCAGTCAGCTTCAAATCATCACACCTGGAATGTATTGGTCAAACGATGTGGACGGTGGACCGATTTATATTACTGGATTCCAACCGACAATGATTTTTGATAAGAATCTATTCAGTTATAACAAAAATGGATCAACAACAAACAACGGTACCAGCTTGACAGATCTTGGATTCGATATGCAAAATTTTTGTGTTCCCAGAACGGAAGGATTTATTCTTGATTTTGTATCCAAATTTCATCAAACCAATCAATCTATATCAGCAACCAATTTATGGAACAGTATGGCGGAATTGGACAGTCTCCTCTTCAATTTCCCTCCAGCAGCAGTTGCTAATAGTAGCTACAACACCAACAAATACCTACGAGAAAAATATCAGAACATGACACTATTAACCGGAGCAGGAGTACTGGATACACCATTAGAACATTTTGATCAAACTACCAATCGAGCAGGAACAGCCATATCGCATGTGGATGATCAATACAATTCGACGGTTGATTTTCTCATGACTCGAGGCTTCATCACAGGGCAAAGTTTGGAAGATATTACTCAAGAAATGTATCAAAACATTCCAGTGATTCAATACAATGTTACTTCTGACAACAATAGTATTATCACCAATACTTATGCATCACCGATTGGACCGGGGATTTTGAGGATTTTGGATTCGATGGGATATTCGACAGCTTTGACCAATACAAGTTATGAATCAACAGGAACTAGAGATGAAAAATTTCGATCTAATTGTGATGATATGAATGACAACAGTGGTAGTAAACCCAAAGTGACAACAGCTGCAACGGCAACCAGTGATGGAAAATGTATTTACAAAAGTTTACAAGCAACTTGGTTTATTGGAACTATCATGATGATTTTTCTATTATTGATTTGGAACTCTGTTTGATCTATGTCCTCTAAGCCTTCCCTTCATCTTTTTTTTTTTTTTTTTTTTTTTTTGTAAATTAGTCTATACTTTTTAGTTAGTTATTTTTAGCATTAGTGTCACACCTTCTCATTATTTGATTATTATTATTTTTTTCTTTTTTCGTTTCCTCCTTTTTTTTTTTTTATTGTATATGTGTGTGTGTGTATGAGGAAATAAAGAATATTTTATGATTTGCCACAATCTCTGGTTTTTTTTTTTTTTTTTGTATTTCTAAACTTTAACAGGGTTTTGACTACTTAATATGTATAAGTGAATCATGATGATTATATAAAAGGTAGAAAATGAGGCACAGAGAAGGCTTTGTCTCTAAAAAGTTACAAAATTGTGACGTTCTATGTAGTACAGCATTTTTTTTTTCTTCTTCTTTGATCCGAACATCATTCAAAATCATCCACAGCCACGAACCCACAGGTCACTAACAGTCCGCAGCCACAAAACTTTAATTAAAGTAAAGTAAATATAAAGGACAGATCAAAAGTGATCTTTTTATCCTTTATCTTCTTAACTTTACAAAATGGAAATGGAAAAGAATCCTAACTATATTGCCCCTCCTCCCAAACAACCTATTCAAGATGATCGCTATTTGAGTGAGGAAAAAATACGTCGATTACAACAAGAAATTGATCAAAACAGCTGTGATGGTATGGATATTTGCTTGTACTTGTTATTGGGTCCTTTCGCCTTCTTCTGTATCATCCCCAAACTCAACAGAAAGTCTAAAGCTCAAGATGAATTAAAGATCGAATTGACCAAACCACGCAATTACTGATATTTATCATCATTAAACTGTGTGCATGATCTTTTTACTTTCTCATATCATTTTATATACTTATCCTCATTTAATTATTGAACTTTTATATATATATATATATATATATCCTATAATAAATATTTATTGAATTTTTCCCATTTATGATCTGTTCCGTATGACACGTGATTTTGTGATCTCTGATGATGATGATGATACGGGTTGATGTTTCCATAACCATGATGACATGTAGGATTGTATAAAAATATGGTAAAATGATGATACGATGTCGTTATAGTAAATGATGAATGTATATGATATATGACAGTAAAATGACCTGATCAAAAAAAAAAAAAAAAAAAAAAGAAAGGATGTTTCCAAATATAGATGTAAGAGAAAACAAAGAAAAGACGGTGTTCTAATGTGAGAAACTAAAAATGGGTAATGATCATTTGAGGAGAGTCTGAACATTTCCCATTGCCACGTCCAGAAAATTGAAATAGAAATAAATCAAAAACCTTCATGGAAAAATAGAAGTTAGCTGCATAAAATCATTGTTTTTTTTTTATTGTTCTATCCAACGCAATAAGGTTTTTTTTTTTTTTTTTACAGTTCTTTATGCATTGCTCAATCAATGGATGAATTTATTGATGGTTTCATATCTATATATATATATATATATATATATATATATATATTTTATATTAATATATATATAAACTTGTACAAATAAACAAGGAAAACCTCCTTTTTTTTTTTTCTTTCTTTCTTTCTTTTTTTTTTTCTCATTGTCCTTCACCAATAATTGACGCCTCTTTTCTCCTATTTCATTTCTTTATAAATTCATTCTATTTTATATTCATTTTTCTTTTTTCTTTCTTTCTTTTTTTTTTCTTTCCATCAAATTATGCAAACATCATCATCCGAATATTCATTAAAATCTAAATGGAATCAACTTGTAAACAAACGAACCGATTCATCATATACTTGTAAGGATCATCGACGACCTTCTCATTGTAGTGATCAATCTGTATGCTCAAGTACATCGACTAGTACGTTAGACAAACTTTTATTGGGAATTCCTGGATTATTTCGACGACGATGTTCCAATGCATCCTCTTCAGATCATCTAGATGAAGAAAAAGAATCAGAAAAATTGGATGAATTATATCAGAGTGCCTTGGATGAAATCTCTTATGCTGAGGATTCCCAAGGTTCTCGTTATTACCCTGGTGATGTCGCGTCTGCAAAAGAAGCCATGGATATCTGCACCAATGCATTTATAGAACTATTACAACAAGCTCCTGATCGTCAAACCCATGATCATCTTTATGCCGCTATTGCTCCAAGATTATGGTCCTTAAGATCAAGGTTCGATGCTTTACCTACAATCATCATTGATTGATTTCCAACTGTCTTTCTTTATTCTTTCTTTACTCTTACTCCCCCCCCCCCTTTCTCCTTTCTCCTTCTTTTACTTTGAAACCTCCTCGGGATTTCATTCTATTCTTAACTCAAAAAAAAAAAAAAAAATCAAACTTGTTTTGTTGTTTGATTGATAACATTTTAGTCTTACATATTCTTTCTCTCTATCTTGATGATGAAGAAGATGATGATCTACCTCCATTTTTATTCTAGTTCCTCCTACTCACCCTTTTTTCTCCTGATTTTCTGTATTAATAAAAAAAAAAAAAGAAAGAAAGAAAAAAAAAAAGCCTTCAAAAATGTTTGCATTTATTTATGTGTTTTATGTTTATGATTCATCATCTTGCATGATATATATTTTTTTCTTGTCTCCTTTCCTACTCAAAATATCACAATCTCATTTTATATTTCCGCCTAATTGAGAATCTGTTTCTTTTTTTTATTCATTTTCACATCCATTTCCCGTTTTGCCACTTTTTCAATGTTTCTATTTTCATTTTTGGCACCGAGACATTATCATCCCTTTTTTTTTTTTTTTTTTTTGTTCTCCTTCTCTTGATTTATTATTATTATTATTTTCTTTGTAAACCTGTCAATGTGCCGTTAGAAAAATGGTTGTACAAAAAAAGAACTAAAATAATCACCCAACTGGTATCTACAGCAAAAAACATTTAAATCACAGCTAATCATTTTTAAGTCATTCTTTTTCTCTTTTTCTTTCTACTTTATCCATCTAGTGTTTTTATTTATAGTGCATTCAACTCCTTTTTTTTCATTAATCCTTTAAACAAGACTACAATATGGATCTATTGGATAACATTAACAGACAGATTGGAAATATACGGTACTAGGTACTTTATAGGGTAGGATAATATACAATAGGATGGGGGCATACAATAGTTTTGGATGATGGAATGGAATACGTTATTGGATTATACGTACGGTGGAATATACGACTGGACAGTAGGAATGAATGATTACCGCGATAGCACGACACATACGATATGATGACAAAATACAACGCGACAATTCTCTTCTGGCTTTGTGTATATCATTTATAGTTAGTTCAATAGATAGTAGCTAGCATTTGGAATAAACATATGTCTGACTATTTTGGAAATATGTGATTTTTATATATATTTATTGGAAATGTATTATGGTGATGGTATGATAACGATCATAACAATATGATGCAACAAAACTGTTGTCATGGATATTTATATTTGCCAAGTAAGTTGGGTTTTGACTTGATATTTCTCTTTCCTCTCTCTCAATTCATATAAAAAAAACCACTGATTACCAGCAAGATGAATATTTTTTTTAACAATCCTGGATATTAAGAAAATATATCTACCATTGCTCATGTTTCATGATGAATGTTTTGATATGGTCATCTTTCATGCGTCCTCCCCATCGGTTTCTATTTTGTTTACATAAAAAAAAAAAAAGGAACATCATCAAAGAAAAACGTTCCACAGTATATTTATTTATCAATGAGTACAAAAGCAATATATATATATATAAGATACATATTATGTATGAATAACAATACAGTAATAATAATAATAAAAGGGAAAAAAAGTCATAATAATACTAATAAAGTTAAGGGATAGAAATATGGTCGATAAAAAAAAAAAAAAAGAGGGATGGGGAATATCAAATTGTTGAAGGATAAGCATAAATTTCTTGACGGTTAGAGGCAGCAGCAGCACGCACAGCATCATCGGCACTCCAATGGAAAAAAGCATAACGATCTTTGGGCAAAGAGAAGACATGATGAGAAGATTCAAAAGAGGAATGAGAATAACGAGGACTATTGACACCATCGAGATGAGTGGCAGTGATATTCTTGCTTCGATCATCACTTTTATAGGACCCTGCAGGACTGTGATAATAAGCTTGACGTTCAATATCTTCTTTGTTGATACTATGATTGCTCTTGTTATTGTTGCTGTTGTTGGGGGAGGAGGAGGAGGGCGAGATTGGTACCACTTCACTGGATGGATGATTACCATTGATACTGCTATTACTTTCATTTGTTATTGGTTGAGTAGCGAATCCACCGAGAATCAGATTCAAACGGACACTAGGATCAGTGATGTTGACAAAATGGAATTCTACATGATGACCACTATAACGATTCAATGCTGTTTGAGCATCCACTACAGCTTGTAAACCACTTGAATCCAATCGGCCTACCTTGGAAAAATCCAGAATCACAGCATGCAAAAGAGGAAGTTGAGCACGAGCAGCATCCTTGATTGGATTGGCATCATCATTCCATGCACGATCACCTTTGTTCACCACACCTTGAGCACGACGCGTAAAAGATTTGCAATGAGAGATAATCCGATCTGTCACATAGGCCGAATTGGGATATGTTAGTGATTCATCCACACGCACCATCAAGATACCATCCGGTAAAGGTTCCGCCAAATGTCCAAGTACGGGATCATTGTCAGGGACATAGAGATATTGCTGTTGATTGTCTTTGACTTCATCATCGCCACTTTTCCTATGACTATCCGTTGCTACTCTGACCAAGGCTGGATCCAGAGCAGGAGATGAGAGAGGAATACGTCCAATAGAATAGAAACGAGGTCGTGCAATACGGAACAAAAGTATCAGAATGGCTAGAGCAACCGAGGCGTAAATTCCATAATCTATTGTTGTGAAGAAAGTGACCACCACCGAAACTACAAATACCAATAATTCCCAGATACTAACTTGGAATAATCGTTTCAAATAAGAAGGACCGGAAACAAGATCCGAAACGGCATGGATAACAACAGCGGATAGAACGGCATCAGGAATATAATAGAATGCAGGAGTCAAGGCATATAATGCGAGTATGACAACAACGGCAGAGAAGATACCAGCAATAGGAGTTTTAACACCAGAGCGTGCTTTAATGGCTGTACGAGAGAAGGAACCGGTAGATGGATAGGCACTATTGTAATATCAAAAAAGAAAAAAAAAAACAAGTTAATAAAGTTTTTTTTTTTTTTTTTTTTTTTTTTTTTTTTTTTTTGTATGAGTGTTTACATACCCAAAGAAAGAAGCCCAGATGTTAGTGAATCCAATAGCGATGATTTCTTGATTGGGATTGATTGTATAGTCATTGATGCGACCAAATGATTTGGCAATGGCCACATGTTCAAGTATAAGGATTAAAACAGCAGAAGGAAGAGTAGTAGCAATTGCTTGAATGGCATCACTATCCACCCGAGGAACAGCCATAGCTTGAAAGCCAGCAGGTACAGTCTTGAGAATACTAATAGGCGATGTTGTTTTCCCAATATTTATCAAAAAGGCAATCAAGGTACCAAAGATGACGGCGAGACCATTACGAGTAATACTAAAGTAGAACAATAAACTGGCATATTTTGGGTAACGCTTGCTAAAATAATTACAAAGGAATCGAACACCATAGAGCCAGACCAAAGCAGAAAGTCCAAAGGCAACATCTAGTTTTGTATTGGGAAGTTCTTTGAAGAAATTGCCAAAAATGAGATAGGTAGGATCCTGAGTATTGACAGTTTTAATACCAAAGAGTTTTGGCCACTAAATAATACAGGATAATATTAAAATGGTTAGTCTTTATTTTAAAAATAAAATAAAATAAAATAATATGGATCATCATCAATATTTATTATACCTGTCCTATGCAGATGGTAACGGCACTAGCTGTCATAAAACCTGATACAACCGTCACTATAATATATATATATATATATATATAAAGGTATAAGAACACTTGAATCAATCCATCTTTTTTTTTTGTATCTAAATGTTGACCAACTTACGTGGAATAAAATCGACCAAAATACCTAAGCGGACCAAACCAATGAACATCGCAATAACACCTGTCAATAGGGATAAGGTGACAGCAATTTCAGGACCAGTGATATTTGGATTTGTTGCAGTGATATGAGTGATAGATTGACCAACCAAAAGAGACATAACAGCTAATATAATTTTAGAATAAACGAGTAAGAATATATCACAATACCAATTCTTTTTTTTTTCTTGTTGTATTATTTTTACCAGTTGGACCAATAGAAATATCCTTTGAAGTTGCGAATAAACAATATACAATCAGACCAACAAATGCCGTACTATATATATTGACGAGATAATAGGAAGAAGAAGAAGAAGAAGAAAAAAAAATAGTGAATAAATAAACCGTTGGAATCAACCCATATTTTTCTTTTCCATTACTATAAACCATATTGTGGAGGAAGTTGAGCAATTTTCGCATATCTTCAAAAAAAAAAAAAAAGTAAATAATGCAAATTAATAACTCATTCCATAGCATTTTGTTGATATATATTATTTACCCCATTGATTGAGGAACAACAACGATACCAACGGTAATACCAGCAATCAAATCTCGTAATAACCACTAAAAAACAAAAAGATTAGTTTTATTTGTATATACTGTCTGATATGATGATCTCTATTACCGCAATATTATATCGATGAATCCATGTTGCTATTGGAAATAGACTAACGGCGTAATCAACTGATTGTGTAGGTAATTCATGAGCTGCATTTTTGATTTTTTCTTGATAGGTTTCGGTTTGATAGTCGACTACAAGCACCTTCGTTGGATTGGTCATTAGATAGTATTAATATTCTATCTATATTGAATGATTGTTTGTAACTTTCTTCAAAAAAAAAAAAAAAAAGGAAAGGAGATATAGAAAAAGGAAGGGAAAGAAAAGAATGAGATCAAAAAATAATATTTTTGATTTTGATTTTTTTTTTTTATAATCTGTATGCGGGGTTTTAACAGTTTAGACAGGACAAAAAGGCATGAAGGTTGCACAGATTGCACCATACAATAAAACTATTACGCCCTTCCAAAAGAAACAAACAATAATACCTTATAATACTTGACAAAATTTAGCTCATATATATATTTATATATATATTAGAAAAAGATCATCATTATGATTTAATACCGAACAATCCAAATATGGAGTTACAAAGGCGTGATATCTTGCCCATCACCAATCAATGACTCGTCCGAAGATCTTGAACTGTTCACAATGACGCCTTATTTATTTCGTTTCGAATTAATACCAACAAATTTATTTTTATTTGTTAAAATAAAATGATCATTGAATTTGGCACTATTTTTTTTTTTTTTTTTAGGATCTTGATCTTTACACTTTATTCAATAAAAAAGAATTTCTTTGATTTACTAGTAAAACGTAAACATGATTTTTATTTATATTAATTGTCATAAATTGACGATGATGATGATTCCTGTGATAATAAAAATCAATTTCTATTTGATTCTCAAGTCGAATAATAAGAATAAAAATAATAAAAGACAAATAGAAAAAAAGGAGACAATAATACAGTTTATTATATGTATATATATATATATATAGAAGTAAGAGCAAAATTATCAAAGATAGAAGAGGGGAAGACAAAATATGTATACATATATAAAGTATAAAGATGAATAAGTATTATGCTGATATACTAGATGGAGGAGAATCAATAAAAGAAGATATATATATATATATATATATATATATATATATTTTACGATCAGTGAGGTGCAAATGGTAATGGAGAAATATCAGAGGGAATCGGTGGAGGAGGGATGTTTGGAGGTGGAAGAGGAGTAGTCATAACTGAAGATGATGGAGTTGTTGCAGAAGGTGGAATAGGGGGTAACGTATTTGAGTCAAACATCCATTTTTGCGGAGGTACCGGTGATTCATTTCTATTGCGTTGTTGTTGTGACTGATTTGTGGTATTAGTCGTCAAGCTGGTAACAATGGATGATGTTGATGCTGCCATTAGAGGACGGTGTAAATTTTCTGGAGATGCTGGTAAATAACTAGAATCTGATGATGACCTACGTCGAAGTTGTTGTAATTGCTGTAACTGATGATGTTGTTGTTGTTTTTGATGTTGCTGATATTGTTGATGATTATGATGTTGTTGTTGTTGTTGATGCTGTTGTTGATATACATTGACATTTTTATTGTTGATTCTATCCGAGGAAGAAGAAGACATCATGACTGGTGGAGGAGGATTGATTGGTGGAGGAACGCCACCAGCTTGTAAAATATAATTGTCTCTTGCTTGTACTGCATTTAATGGATCAGGATCAAGTAGTGATGTGTTGGAAACCATGATGCCAGAAGGAGGATGCCATTCATTAGTACGACTCTTTTCTCTAGTACCCTGTCGTTGATGATGTTGGGTTTGTTGAGCTGAAAGATGAAGGGCTGATTGTTGTGTTCGTTTCATTCGTTCTAATTCTTCCAATTTCAATATATCACTTGCTGATAAGGGTGTTCCAGGTTGTTGTTGAATATAATCTGCAACGCTGGTATTGTATGTGCCGGTAATTACTTTTCGAGAACTTCCTCTTGTTGGTGGTGATATACCTGGTTTTTCTATTCCATTTGTTTTCGCCATTTTTTGAGCCCATCGTTGTTGTTCCATTTCGGTTCTACGTCGTTCGTTTTCCTCTGGTTTGGTGTAATCAAAGGTCACAAATTTATCCTCCATCATTTGTCTTTCAGGGCTTGTTTCTGGTAAAATAACTTCACTACCATGACTTCTAAATGAGGTATTGGCATTGGATGTAGCACTACGTTTGGGTTGATTTCGTTTTCTGACTTTTAGTGGATTATCTTCTAATAAAATTTCTTCTAGTTCATGAGTAGGATCAAAATTTGCACGTTTGCTCTATTAAAAAAAAAAAAAGATTAAATTTCAAAAGTAATATATTTGAATAAAACTTACATCTGGTATAAAAGGAGGGACAGCTTGTTCTGATTCCAAAAGATCCCATTGAATATGTTGTAACCAAGGGTGAGCCATTAATCGTCTAAAACCTTTTTCACCTACTCCTAAACGTCTGTTGATATCACGAGTCAATAAACCAGTAATAAAATCTCTAGCTTCTTGAGAGATATGACTTGATTCAGGGAATGTAATATTATCATGTAAGATTGCCTGTTGTAATGCCTCATTTGTTTTTCCACGAAAAGGACGCTATCAATAAAAAAAATAAAAAAAAAATAAAATAAATTTAGATAATTTGTTTTTAATTTGATAATAAATAAAATTTACCTTTCCAATCAAAAGTTCATAACAAACTACACCAAGAGACCACCAATCTACAGATGCAAGATAACCTCTTTTCATTAAGACTTCAGGAGCCATATAAGCCATAGATCCAGCCACAGAAGTCAAAGGTTTTGATTCCGAGAATTGAACAGCAATATTGAAATCCGTTAAATGTGCATGACCTTGTTCACTAAGAAGTATATTATCTGGTTTCAAATCCCTAATTATTATTATTATAAATAAAATAAGAAATAAATAAATAAATAAATAAATAAATAATATATATAAAATGATTACCTATGTATAATATTCTTTTTATGAAGGTATCGTAAACTCCAAGCTACTTCAGCAGCATAAAATTGTACATAAGCTTCAGGCATAACACCAAGACGATCTAGATGAAAACGTAAATCACCACCAAGCATAAGATCCAACACCATAAATAAATTTTCATCGTCTTGAAATGCATACCGTAAGTTGACAATAAGACCACAGTCAATACGTTCCAAAAGTCGTCGTTCAGAAATAATATTTTCAACTGCACGCATTTGTATACAACGAGCTTTGTTGATATATTTCAATGCAAAAAGTTGTTTAGTACCTTTATGTTGAACCACACGTACTTTTCCAAAAGCCCCTTTTCCAACTGATCGAAGAAGTGCAAAATGAGACAAGTCAACTAAAATAATAATAGAAGTTAAAAAGAAAGAAAGAAATAAAAAAAGGGGGGTTAATATAATAAAGAGTTTAAAAAAAAAAAATAAAGTGGCAAAAAAAAAGTTTATTTTTTTTTTATTATTATTTATTTTTACCTTCACTGTTCAAGTCTAAAGAACTTTCTCTACAGCAAATAGCACCCATTCAATGTTATTTTATATAAATATATGAAGAAAGTTTGATGAAAAAAAAAAAAAAGGTATTTTTGGGGAGGAATTGGTTGTCAACAATATAAATCAAAGTAAAAAAAAAAATATATAATAACAATATAATAATAATAATAATAATAATAATAAAAAGAATGGCAGGGAGTTTTTTTTTTTTTAATAATAAAATATATATATGTACAAATCACTTCATGGAAAAAAAGAAAGAAAGAAAAGAATTAAAAGAAAAAAGAATAAAGAAAAAAGACAAAAAAAAAAAAAAGACTTGAACTTCGAGAAACAAAGTAATAGGCGGACTTTATTTCCTTTTTTGTGTCTGACTCTAATATTGAAACAAGCCTAAATCAATAAAATATATCATTATTATTATCATCATCATCTTAATAATGAAAAACTACTACAAAAATAATAATAACAAACAAAAAAAAAGAATTTAAATTTACAATGATATATATATTATTTACTATTATTATTATTATTATTATTGAAAAAGAAAAAGAGAATATATTTTATCATCTTTGCTGTTACATTTTTGGTAACACAAATGATAGGATGGCGGTAAGAGAAAAAGAAGAACGATAAACCCGAGGAACCTTACCCTTTACACATTTTATAACTATATATATAAATTATTCACACAATTACTATCAATTCATCCTTAAATATATATATAATCATTGATCATTTTTTATTTAACATGCATTAATATCATTACTCCTTTTTTTTTTTTTTTTTTTTTTTTTTTTAGGGTGTGTAATAGGAGAGAAAGAGAGGAGTTCCTTTTTATTACTGCACAGAAATTCCTCCTAAATCATCATTCATACCTAGTCAATTCATTTTAAAAAAAAAAAAATATCCTCCGTGCATCATCCAATTATAATAAACTTTATCATCCTCCATTGTTCTTCATCTTAATTTTTTTTTTTTTTTTAGTGCAGATCGTCAATGTCAAACTTCTATATATACATATATAATATATAGATAGAGATTTTTCAGGGGAAGGGCATCAAATTTTAAATGTTAGAAAAGGGCTCATCATCATCATTCTTTGAACTAGATCAAGTATCAATGCATTTTGGTGGCATCTGTCAAAATAAAAAAAAAATAAAATAAAATAAAATTATGAGGAAAGAACGAGTTTTACTTTTTTTTTTGTTCAAGGGAAAAAAAAATTCATTACCGACACACATCTAACTAAAAAGACACACGCACCACCATGCTTAGATTTATGATCTCGGGATGATCAAAAAAAAGGGAACTACCCCTTCTATATGATTATATGATATCTGTGTGTAAAAAGCTTGACTCTATTCCCCCTCCTTTTTTTTCACTCTCTTTATTGGCCCATTCATTCATTAGAGCATGGGGAAGGTAGTACCATAAAGTGAATCATTTGTCAATCAACGCGGGTAATATAAAAAGAGTTCTTCCATCTTAGCCCTTAACTTTCCCCTAGAAAAGAGGAGCTTGGAGTAAAAAATCAAGGGACAATCATCCATTACTTTAAACAATGGATTTCTGTTTGATTTCTTTTTCTTTTCTTTCTTTCTTTTTTTTTTTCTTTTCACTTTTTTTTTTTTTTTTTTTTTAATATCTAAGAATAAGTATTATGGGTTGCTGTCAATCTACTGAAGTTCTTGAAGAAAAACAACGTAATGATGCCATTGAAAGTCAGCTTAAAAGAGATCGTGCCAATTTAAAGCGTGAAACCAAACTATTGTTATTAGGTAAAGTGTAAAAAGTGAGGATGATTTTTTTTAGTAACAATTGATAATAATAGGTGCTGGTGAATCAGGCAAATCTACTATATTAAAACAAATGAAATTGATTCATGATGGTGGATATACACCTGAAGAAAGAGAAAGTTTCAAGGAAGTCATCTTTTCAAATACAATTCAATCTATGAAGGTGACTTTAGAAGCAATGCATCGATTATGTATTGACTTCACTAATCCACATAATGAATTTAATGCCCGATTACTAATGGAAATGCCTCCTCAAGTTGAACATATGGATCAAGATGTAGTGGATGCTATTGCTTGTTTATGGGAAGATAAAGGTGTTAAGAAATGTATCTCAAGATCCAATGAATTTCAATTGAATGATTCTGCAAAATAGTAAGTAATTTTTTTTTTTTTGGGAAGTTAAAACTCAATTTTCTCATTTTCTTTGTTTTTTCTTTCTTTCTTTCTTTTTTTTTTTTTTTTATAGTTATTTTGAATCTATTACGCGTATTGGTAGTCCACAATATATTCCAAGCGATCAAGATGTATTACGATCAAGGGTGAAGACAACAGGAATCACCGAAACAACCTTCGTTGTTGACTCTATGACATATCGAATGTTTGATGTGGGTGGACAGCGATCTGAACGTAAAAAGTGGATCCATTGTTTTGAAAATGTTACAGCTATTGTATTTCTGGTGGCCATATCTGAATACGACCAAATGTTAGCTGAAGATTCCAATGTTAATCGATTACAAGAAGCTTTGACTTTGTTTGATTCCATTTGCAACTCGAAATGGTTTATCAAGACATCTATCATTCTCTTTTTGAACAAAATTGATCTATTTGCTGAGAAGCTACCCCACAGTCCATTGGCCAATTATTTTGCTGATTACATGGGTGGAGACAAATATGAACTGGCTTGTCAATTCTTATTACAACGTTTTGTTTCTCTCAATACTCGTCAAAGTGTCAAACAGATTTACACTCACTTTACCTGTGCTACAGATACCAAGCAAATCAAGTTTGTTATGGCTGCCATCTCCGATATTGTAGCCCACGATACACTTAGGGATGTTGGACTCCTGTAGTTATAATATTTCCTTTTTTTATATATATATACATCTTCCTTCCCCCCCTTAATCTCTCTATCTTATCTCCTTCCTTTTATTCTTCATTTTATCTTCATAGCGTTTATTGGTTTTCCTTCTTTTTTTTTTTTTTTTTTTTTTTTGTATCAAGTCTCTTATTTATTTAGTTATTTATCTATTTATTTATACATTATCCCTCTTCTTGTAATGATCCTTACTATTTTCATCAATAAAAAGAAAAAGAAACTCATTAGTTGTTTTTTTTTTTTTTTGCCTTTATTGTTTCATCCTTATTCGTAACCCTATATATTTACGATGTTCTTCCCCTCCTCCAGGGTCTTTTTTTTTTTTTTTGATGCGCACCCCGCAATGTATAAAGAAGGAACAGGTTTTTTTTTTTTTACTTTGATCCCCTAACTACTTGAAGTCGCAATATACCTCCGATGATCTCCTCTTTCCGTCTTGGTGGTAAAAAATTAAAACGTTGCTTCCAATTATGATGGTGGTTGATGATGATTGAATGGCTGGTTAACTATGAGTGGATAAATGGATGAGTGGATGAGTGGATGAGTGGATGAGTGGATGAGTGGATGAGTGGATGAGTGGATGAGTGGATGAGTGGATAATATATGATGGATGATGGTATGATTGAATGATGACTGAATAACTGGCGGCATTGTATAAGTGATGCAATTGCTTCTCTATGATGGCGGTTCTGAAAGTGATGATCCTTGTTAAAAAAATAATGGCAGTGAATAATGATAGAAGATTAGATGTTTCCTATAATAATGACTGACAGCGCTTGTGATGATGATGGAATAATATAATAAACGTTACTTATAGAAACCGAATCTATTGTTTGATTCTCTATTGTGTAAGATTGCGCAACAAGACGTCTTGTTGGTTGCGGTATTTTAAAAGACATGTAATTTCGGAAGGATTCCATTTACAAGTGATAGTTCAATGGTCATTTTTTTTTCCTATTAGATAAATCATCATCCTCATTTAGAATAATCACAAGTATATATTAATTGTGATGATGAAATAAGTATATTAAGCATAGAAAAAAAAAAAGCTGACGAAAGAACTAAAAAAAGAAAAAAAAGAAAAGGGAAGTGGGGTATTTTATGCATCAGGTTGATTTATGACTTTCATCTGCTGATCAATTCCTGATGGGGATGGATTTCCATACAATTTTAAGTCACCGCATGAGATTTTCCTCGGGTCTCTTTTTTTCTTTCCTTTTCTTTTTTTTTTTCTTTCCTCATGACAAATTGTTTTAAAAATATGCATATTCATGACGTTGCGTACAATAATATTCAACAAGCCATTCAGATGATATCTCATTTACCTGACGATGTATATACAAGAACTTCAGTGGTTATGCCATATAGCACTATTGGGAAACATGTACGGTAATAAACTCTTTTAGAAATTATTATGAAAAGACGACTTGAAAAACTTTGCCAGTACTGATGAAGTTTACTATTTTTTTTTTTTAATTATCTTTCTCTCTTTTGTCTCTCAACCTTCATATCATTATTGGTTATTGATAGGCATTCATATGATCATTTTATTCAACTGATCAAACAAGCAAAAGGCGAACATTGGACCATTGACTTCGATGCAAGGGCAAGAAATGTAAGTTAAAAAAAAAGAAAGAATAGTGAAAATGGAACATGAATGTTAAACTGTTGATTAGCGTTATTAATATATGAATTATTTGTTGTATAACAACGAAATAAAAAAAAAATTTTTTTTGTCTCTATAGACACCAATGGAAGTGGATCGAGCTCAAGCTATTCAACAATTGAAACAACTACAACAATCCTTATTTGAAATACGTGACATACCACTAGAATACCCAGTGACTTTATCCGCCTCCATTGATCCAAACGATCCAACTCATTATCCTTTTGTTTCCTCTTTTGGTAGAGAACTTTGGTATTGTTGTATTCACGCGGTAAATATTTTTAATACTTAACATCAACTATTTTCTCATCTTTTTTTTTTTTTTTTTTAATAGATTCATCATTTTGCTTCTATAAAGGCTATCTGTATTGAAGCTGGACATACTTTACCTGCTGAATTTGGAGTGGCACCTTCTACTATACAAGATCATCGAAAACATTTATCATGATTCATCTAGATATCATCTCCATACCACTTTTTTCCTTCTTTGTCGTTAGTTATGCAATAAATCTTTTCTATTATCTTCATATATCATTTCACTTATTCCATTCCCTCCTTCTTTTTCGCATTATCCACCCCATCAGTATAGTCAAGATGTATTTATTTGACAATAATAAACATATTTCAAGTTGTTTTTATTGATAAATCTATAATTATTCTATACAATTTTATCTATCTATCTATCTATTGTAAACGACCATCACCCAGTTGTTCCATATCTTGTTCTGAATAACCAAGTAGAGAAAGGACATATTTCAAACTTTTTTGATTGATTCTTGCTCTAGCTTGTTCTTGAACCCTTGGTTTTGCATTGAACGCGATGCCAAGACCAGCTTTGTTCAACATCCATAGATCATTTGCACCATCCCCTACAGCAATCACTTGATTCAAGGTCACGCCTTCGCTTTGTGCAATCACTTCCAATAATTCTGCTTTTCGAATTCCATCTACAATAGGTCCAGTGGTTTCACCCGTCAATGTCAATCCATCCGATGATACTTTGAGCTAAACCAAAAGGAAAAAAAAATATCGATGAGTTCCTGTTATCCAATATGATAAACCCTACTATTATTATTATTATTACCTGATTCGCAAAGGCATAATCTAAACCTAATTCAGCTTTTACATATAAAGCCAATGGCATAAATCCACCACTAATAACTGCCAATTTGAATCCAAGTTTCTTGAGTGCACGACATAAAAATCGAGCGCCTTCGGTAAAAGTGAGGATTTTCTTGACATCTTCAATAACACTGACACTTGTTCCATTCAAAAGAGCAACACGACGACGTAAAGATTCCTTGAAATCAATTTCACCATTCATAGCGGCTTCCGTGATGGCCTATATATATATATATATAATTAGTAAAAAGTATAAAGACATATAGATGAGTTTTTTTTTTTTTTTTTTTTTTTTTTTTTTTTTTTTTTTTTAAAAAAAAAAAGAAAAAAAATTCTCAACTTACTGCCACTTTGTCCACAACACCAGCATATCTAGCGATTTCATCAATTACTTCTTGTTGAATCAAAGTCGAATCCATATCAAACACCACCAAACGCTTGTTCTTTCTAAATACATCATCAGGTTGTAAGGCAACATCGGATCCAAAGCTTGCTGACAATTCAATCAATTCTTTGCGTAAAATATCCATATCCACTGTGGTAGGCACACTGAGTCGTAAATCAGCACATGATAAGCTATGACCTTTATCCAATCGAGACAACTTCTCTACCGAAATGCGATGCTTCAATAACAGTTGTGTCCATTCGCTTAAAAAGGTAGCTTCCAGTCCATTTTGATTCAAAATACTGGCGGCATACTTGATTCGTCCAGAATAAGGCGCTTCTTCCAAAGATGCAGGCAAATAGATTTGTTCTTCCGTAATAGCAGCTATGGCAGAATCAGATTTCTTTTTTTCTTTGGTTTCACGATGACGAATAGAAGGTTCAGTTGCTTGAGAATCAGGTACATCAAAAGTCAAGGTAGCATCCCATTGTTGCGCTGCTTCTGCTAGATCACGGAATACGGTCACATTGTCAGATTGCAGGGTAATCAGCACACCAAAAGTCACGTTGTGATAAAGTCTTGATAACATGAAATCTTCAATTGCGCAAGGATGTCGAGCAAGGCATTCTAATACAGCACCAACAATATCTGTACCATGAGGACCAGATAAGGACACGAGTACCTTTTGATTGGGACCTACATAGGTAGGAGGTAGAGCTGCATTGGCTGTAAACTTGTACTGTGATCGACTACGAAGCATATTTGGTGAAAAAGATAACGATGAATGTTGTTCAACCGCTGTATGTAGTTGTTGAAGTTTGTTCATGGCGACCTGTTTCAATTGAGTCAAGTCTTCAGCTTTGACCAAAGGTAGTTGAGCAATACAATGCAGGTAAGGTTCCGATAAAGCTAATCCAGAATGACGATCGTTCTTTTTGAGGATTTTGGTGATACCAGTATAGTTGAGAAATACAAACCGTTCCAAGGTCAATATCTTTTGTAACAGATCAGTAGGTGTGTATTGATCAGTAGCTGTTTCCGAGACTAAGCGAGCAGATTCTTGTTGGAAAAAATCACAGACTTTTTTCACTTGAATATCCAGTTGGTCAATAAATTGTACTTCACATTGTTGAAGTTGACCTAGTCTCTGTGATACCAGTTGGGAAAAAGGCAATTGTTGTTGTTGAGTAGGATTGATCTTGATGGAACTAGCATAGACAGTTTCTTTCAAAAATAGTTTCAAGCCATTGTAGTCCAGGCAGTTGGAGGCATATTCAACAGGAAGATGTGCTTTTCGATCTTCCAGGTATTTTCCAAACTTCATTGATAATAATGAGAGAGAGATAAAGAAAAAAAAAAAAAAAAAAAAAAAAAAAAAAAAAAAAAGAAGGGAAAATATCAAATCTATAGTTTTGTTATCAATTTTAGATCACCGCGCAGTGACTCATGTCCAACCAACCTAAATTGAAGAAAAAGGCACAAGGTTTTTTGATCCACATACAATTTTTTTTTATATTATATATAAAAAATTGAGAGAGAAGGGAGAAAAAAAAATGTCTAAGCTATATACAAAACAAACAAATAAAAGGTAATCAATATCTGAGGTAATTCTATGATCTAATTCTAGCTAAGGTTTTGAGTTTTCGTAAAGTGACAAGGAAGGCACCAGCACCAGATACTAAAGCTATTCCAGATACAAGACCAAAAGCAAATGGATCATCTTCAAAGTAATTTTTAAAATTCATTCCAAATAAGGCACCATAAACGCTTATTACACTTGCTGATAGAGTCACCATAGTCAATCGAATATCAAACCACATCAAAGCATTCCGAGATATATCCAGTGTTAGTTGTACAACATCTTCAGTAGATTTCATATTAGAAATCAATCTTGATGTTTCGTTAGTTATTTCTTCTGTTTGTTTGAGATAGGCTTCTAATAAAAGTTCTACTTCTTCATGATCCGATGCGTCTCTTGGATGTCCAGATTTTTTCGCTGTAAGATACATTGCTGCTAAATCATCATCTATATTAAAAAAAAAAAATATTGATTAATATTCCATCTAGTTTATACTCTTATGTTACTTACCATATTCTAATAACTCATCAATAGCATCCCGAATAGAAGATACGTCATGTTCAAATTTGGACAATTTCTTTGATAGTTGTAATAAATCCCGTAATCTTTCTTGATTAACCCCTTCTTCAATATCCACCAATCCTTCAAGATCGCTGAGTAATCTATTGACAGGTCCTTCCAAAGCTTCCAGTTCCGATTGCATGGACGACGTTACTGAAATGAGAATAGCTTCCAAAGCTCTAAATATAAATAAATAAATTAAAATGTATTAGAATATATATATATATATATATAATATTTTTTTTATATAATAAATTATACAAAACTTACTTGAATTCAAATGGAAGTTGATCATTTTGTGATCGAAGTCGTTCTTGAAGATCATGGACAAACACACTTTTGTTATAACTATCTGTCGATCCAAAGGTATCAAAAAGAACCACCATATCACTTTTCAATAGTGCCCGCATATGTGCCATGTTGATCAAAATAGCTTCGGATCGTACAAGTATAGATGGTTTCTGGTTAAGGGAACGAGTGTCAATAGTGCGTAAATCTCGAGGCATCAATGAATGTTGTTGACAAAATTCTGATTTTCGAATATCACCAGCTGTTGTTTTGACTTTTCCATATTGATCGAATTCTGTACCTGTCAATATACGTAAATATATATATATAAGATTAGAAAGACTTGAATTTTGAAAAATACTATTCGCTTACAGCGTAATTTCAGATCAACGGTATTAGTTGGAAATATTGGTTGTCTTGTGGGTATTGAGTTTGGACGAATAAAACGTTTATGAATGGATAATGGTGGTAATAAAGATCTGCGAATAGGTCTACAAAAGACAGATAGCAGCATCAAGGGGGGGAAGGAGAGGTACAAGTGCAAAAAAAAAAAAAAAAAAAAAAAAAAAAAAAGGAGAAAGCGGAAAAGAAAACTTTTGAAAGAAACATTACCAGATTTTTGCTACCTAGCATGAGCGGGATATGAAGAGACTATGAAACCAAATAGCTTGATTGGTCACTAACTTATGGTCTTTATTTATTTAGAGAGTAAATCAATAGAGATAATATCAATCGTAAGTATTAAACCGATCATGTTAGTATTTCAAGTTGATGGATTCATACAGAGTTCATGATCCACGTTGTCACTTACAACAAACGGAAACAACAAATTTGATTGGTGCGGATATTGAACAGGTCATAGTCACCCTCATGCTCTTTCTCGACCATCTAAAAAAAAAAAAAAAAAAGAAAAAAAAACGCGCGCTGTAAAGCTCTTTTCCTTTTCACTTTCTTTTTTTTTTTATATACATATTTATATTGTGTACCTTATCTTTCATATCCAACGACCCATATTATCCTATCTCTGAAAGTAAATAATATATATAAAGATAAACAATTGGCTTTTGTATACTAATTATTTCATTTGATAGTATATAGAGTAGAACCAGTTCTTCCTTTTCTTTTATATATATATATCTTCCATGACAACTCCTCGTATCTATACAGCCGTCTATTCTGGTGTAGCAGTCTTCGAAATGGTGGTCAACAATATAACTATCATGAGAAGAAGAGTGGATTCACATATGAATGCTACACAAATCCTTAAGGTTGCTGGTATTGAAAAGGGAAAACGAACAAAGATTTTGGAACGAGAGATTCTACCTGGTGAACACGAAAAGGTGCAAGGCGGTTATGGCAAATTTCAGGGTACTTGGTATGTAAAACAAAACAAAAGAAAAGGATTATAAAAAAAAACCGAATGATAGCAAATGTAAAACTTTCCAATTCGTCTACTCTCTCTCTCTCTTTTTTTTTTTTTTTTTTTTTTTTTTGTTTCTATTATTTTAACTCTTTCCATTTTTTATCTTGGATAGGATTCCTCTTCAAACGAGTATAGATTTGGCCAAACGCTATAATGTCTATGATCTTGTCAAACCAATGATTGAATTTAACCCTGCAACGGCTGGAAATATTGATGAAAAGGGACACGTATTGACCAAAGAACAAGCACAACTCTATGACAAACAAACACAACCATCAAAGAAGAAACGAGAATTACGAGAACTAGCCATTGCCTCGGGATCTTCATCAGCATTACCATCAGGAAATTCACAACAACAACAACAACGACATATGGATAGTGGTGACACATCTCGTGTACAAAAGAAAGCACGTATCGATCTTCCTCCTTCCATTGAACCAACTGCCAGTGACAACTCTGCTGAATCCAAACATCGCGCCATTCTCATGTCTATCTTTCTTTCTGATGATAATGTTGATATTCCTGACTTGCTACGAACATCTGAAGGAATTGATCTTGATCTGGCATTGGATGAACAAGGGAATACATCACTACATTGGGCATCAGCACTTGCACGACTGAATACGGTGGAACAATTGATCAGCCATGGAGCAGATGTCTGTCGACAAAATTATCACGGTGAAACACCATTGATGCAAAGTGTAGCAGCTACCAACAACTTTGATCGAGATTGTTTTCGAAAATTACTCAAGCTTTTGGAAAATTCAATGTACATCACCGATCACAAACATCGTAGTGTCATCCACCACACTGTTCTCACCACTGGTATCAGTGGTCGCGACATAGCAGCTTTATATTATATGCATCACTTATTACATCACTTGGATAAAAAATCACCACCACCCGCACATCAATCATCCTCACCCGTTTCTCCTTCCGCTTCTCGTGGTAAATTGACTCTGTTGAATATGCAAGATTCTCAAGGTGATACTGCACTTAGCATTGCTGCAAGGTTGGAGTGTAAACGTATGGTTGAATTATTGGTGGATGCTGGAGCTGACCCTGCCTCTGAAAACAATCTTGGTTTGGTGGTAAATGATTATACAATGTCAGAGGTAAATATTGAAAGAGAAAATATATTTCAAAATGAATATTATCTATCTATTCAATTGACTTACCATTTATTATTATTTATTTGATAACATAGCAATTATCAAAGAGTACAAAAGAAACTACCAGTTATGATAACGACAATACCGATCAAACACTCAAAGTACCACCCTCTGCTACTCTTTTTGCCAAAAGGTCTGTAGGATCCAGTCAGCGTGGCAAAGAAATTGTTGCAAGTAAGAATTATTCAATTCAAGAATTCCTTTTTGTTTGTGTTTACTGATGGATCCTTTTTTTTTTTTTTATAGCTGTACAAAAGATTGTGGATGCTCTTGATGAAGAATATGGTGGCCAGCTATCAGAAAGAGAAACGCAACTGAAAGAAACAGAAGAACAATTGGAAAAGACAACACAAGCATTGGAAGCGGCAAGAAAAGAATTGGAAAGACGACAAGAACAATCACAACTCCTTGCAGAAGGACAGCAGAAGGTGCGAAATCTTAATCAAGCTTTGGAAACAGGATGGCATGAACTAGAAGTTTTACTACAAAAGAACAATGAAACATTGGACAAAGAAGCAGTGCTGCAATTTGATGTAGATCAGAATATTGACTCTATGTTTGATATCAAGAATGATAACGTGGATAAGGTGATTCAACTTCGAGCTCGGATTAGTGCTTATACTCTTAACAACAATGCGCTCAAAACATATGTGGATGGACTACGTGCAGAAACAGCAGAAAAGGAATTACAATGCAAACGATTGATTGCAGCATGTTGTAGTTTACCTATTGATAAGATTGATGAATTGGTGGAACCCTTGACTTTAGCTATTGAAAGTGATCCTCCTGATTTGGATTTGGCTCGTGTGATTGGTTTTATGGAAAAAATACGTCGACAAGGTGCTTTTAATGATACTGGTTCTGATGATCTTCCCCATGTGCTTCCTTCTTCTTCATCCAAGACTACTTCTCAGGTTCCTGCTTCTCCAGGCCCCTCTTCTTCTACAACGTCTACAAGTTATGATGGTTTATCAAGGTCAAGTAATAATGTCGCCACTAGTCATATTAGAACTTCTTCCCAACCCCTGCAAACAAATTCTCCATGATACTTTTATCTTTTTTTTTTTTCTTTGTTATTTTTTTTTATTTTTTATTATTTTAATTGTTTATTCTTGATGTTGATGAATGTATATAGTTATCAGGAAAATCAATAAAATCTTTTTTCTCTTGTTATGAACTATTACTTTTTTTTTTTTTTGAAAATTTTGGCTGTAAAAACCAATTGTCATCATCAGGCAAATATTGACAAAAAATCGGTAAAATTTTGTGATGCTCATTAAATGGCAAGGTAACTGATAAAACTATTAGATGATATTAGACTGTTTTTTTAAGAGAAATGCAATGATGATGATTTTATTGGATGATCATTGAATGACAATAATGACATTTATTTTTTTAAATTACTCTTTAAGAGATATCAAAAGTGAAATGAGAATAAGAATTCCCAACCATAGTTACTATACGATAGTGATTACAGGATGATATATTTGATGATGATTGAATAGAACACAGTTCCTTTATTATTACTATAGAAAGCTAAAAATACATAAAATACATAAAATAAGAAATACAAAATAATAAAAAATAAAAAATAAACTAAACTAAACTAAACTAAACTAAGCGAATCCATCATCACGTTCGTTGGATACTTTGTCAGAGACGATGGTTTCAGTTTCAATCTTGCGAGCAGGCTTGGGAAGCAACCAACCAGCACGTTGAAGAGCATACATGACAGTCACCAGGACTATCATCGCGGCAAGTAGAGACATGGTGGCGATTTTACCAAGACGGAAAGCAGGCGCATCTTCCACATACCAGAGCTTGACATTAGCGAAATTGGGAGCAAGATTACCAATAGAATTAGTCATGGCAATGGCCAAGGCACGAGTTTCCATATCAGCCGAGTAGAATTCATTGAGCCAAGTCATCATGATTGGTGAGATACCAAGCACAGGAACGGCCATAAAGGTACACACAAAGAGAAGAGGTACGGGAAGGTTACCACCGTTGACGGCAACCATGATGATGTACCAAAAAAGAGTCCACAAACCACCACCAACAATATGCCACACACGAGCACCTTTGTAGTCAGAAAGAAAACCTTGGGTGATGATGATAATACCAGCAAAGATCCAGAGAGGTGCTTGCATATAATTGGCAAAATAAGTTGGGTAACCCATTTGCTTCAAAATAATAGGGAATTGTTGAAGGATACCCATACCAAGTTGCATGATCGAGAATACCATAATATAGATGAGAATATAAGGAGATCCAAACAAATTGCGGAAAGTGACCCAGTTCAATCCAGATACCACAGTTTCCTTGCCTTCACGACGCAATCGCTTTAAAGCCAATTCACGGAGTTCTCCAGTAATGAACTTGGTGTTGTTAGGCATATCTGGCAATACAAAGAATCCAAAAATAGAGATGAACACAGCGATAAGTCCTTCGATAATAAACAACCATTTCCATCTAGAAAGTTAAAAAAAATGAAGAATAAGTATATTTCTATACAAAAGGTTCTCTTTTTTTTTTTTTTTATGACCTACCCTCTCATTCCATTATGACCATCCAAAGTAGTAGAGATTGCACCACTGATGATCCCACTGAACGCACCAGAAATTTGAGAGCCTAAAAAAAAAAAAAGTTATTGAAGAGTAAGATAAAAGTATTAACAAAAAAAAATATTTACCAGCTACAAATACAGCAGTTCTAGCACCTAATTCTTGTTTAGTATACCAAGATCCCAGTAAATAGACAATACCTGGGTAAAATGCCTAAATCAGGTAATAAAAGTTTAAATTATTAGTCAGCTAGTTCCTTTTACCAATCATATTTTCCCCTTAAACTTACTGCTTCACTGATACCAAGACAAATACGAAGACCATATAATCCTCTATAATCCTTCACCAAAGCCATAAAACATACAACGGCACCCCATAAAAACATGATGAATGGTAACATGATACTTGGTCGAACCCGAGTGATAATAGCATTACAAGGAATTTGAAGTCTATATAGATAGATTATTTTTTTTTTTTAAAAAAAAAAGGAAGGGAGAATGATTAGAAAAATAATAAAAAAAAAGAAATAGTTTTATGTATATGACATCTACTTACGTAACATAACCAATAAAGAAGAGAGTAACAGCCCAGTTATATTCATATTGTTGTAAATTGAGTTCTTCAGGCATACCACTGGTATAAGCGTTGGGCATATTGTTTCGATCAAGACCATTAGCAAAATATCCAAAGAAAGACCAAATCAATAAACGATAATCCAAGATTCTCACCAGTTTTTTTTCAACGGCTTTTTCATTTTCCAAATCTTCCTTGGTCATGGTTTCCAAATGTTCTTCAGGTTGACGTGCGAATGAATTGACAGATGCCTGGGAAACAAGTACTTTTTCGTTTTCCAAAGGTGTAGTCATGTGTGTATATATGTATTTGTATGTTTAAAGTAATAATAAAAAAATAAAATAAATATATAATTATAAATATATAAAAAGAAAAAAAAAAGTAAAGAAAGAGTGAAAGAAAGAGAAAAAAAATTTTTTGGGTAAAAAGGGTCCTCTTTTAATGACATAGTTCATTTTCCGATGCGGGTGAGAGCCATTCCACCCCGCTTCCCCGCACTTTACAGACAACTGAAGTGGTATTCTTTTAATTGCCCGAGTGTGAATTTACCTTTTTCTTCCCTCAAAAAAGTCGTACAAGTAGGAATGAACGGGTAAATCGGTTGAAAAGAAAAGGGATGACGATATGAATAAATTTCTTTTTTTTTTTACCATATATAATTATATTGATGATGATGATGATGATGATGATGATAAATTCATACTATTCTATAGTTGATGATTGATATGATTTCAATATGATTATAAGTAACATCATGATTTTATGAGAGAAAAAGTTGAAAGTGGGGGTGGGGAATCCTTTTTTGGTGCTTTTTCCAGGTTATTCCCAGTAAAGACCTTTGTGTAACAAAAAATAAAGTAAAACAAAGAAACGATATTCGGGAACGAAAGAAAAAAAAAAAATAGGTAGGCCAGGGTTACCCCAACTTGTTTTTTTTTTGTTGGTGGATGAAGGTAAAAAAAAAAAAAGTCGATGTTTCATTGATCCAATTTAAAAGGAGTGCGAATTTGACAATTACTATAACAAAAAAAAGAACAAAAGGAAACTTCCCTTCCAATGAATAGTTTATCTTTCATACTTAGGGATGATCTTTGTTTATCATTTTTCAGAAAACATCCTTTTTTAGATAGTATTATTACCTTTTTTCATATCTTTTTTTTTTTTTTTTTTTTTTTTTGGTTGCTAGTGATGATGATGACGATTTGAGTAACTCATTGGATCAACATGTGAAGTTTGATGACAAGAATATGTTAAGTAGTACACTGTATCACCAACATACTGGCCGGCGCCTAAAGTAAGGATTATGACGAACCAAAAAAAAAAAAAAGATTTTTTTACTATTACATCAGGTCATGTCTTTCTCCCTGATTACCCGAAGTATAGAACTCCTTTCGCAATCATTGGATGATGGTGGCTTCAGCAGTCGCTCATTGATTTGTCATACCCAAGAAAAGAATTGACACTTCATCTCCGTCTCTGCTGGTTGTAGATCAACCTTCAGTTGTCATGTTTCCCTATTCCTTTATGAAGATCAAGATAAAAAAAAAAAAGACATTCCAAACTAGTAATCACATTCAAAGAGATTAGACAAAAAAACGTTTCACACTTTTAATCATTTTTTTCCCGTTCTCCAAATCCAATCTAGAAAGTAGCATTAATCTCGTTGTCAGTGGGTTGTTCGTTTCCTTTTTTTGTCAATCTTGAAATCTCGTTTTTTCCTTTATCGAGAGAAAGACTTTGATCTTGTGATAGGTATATTTCATTTTTACTTTTTTTCTGTACTACAAATAAACAAATAGCATGAGAAATAACGATCATCATAAAAAAAAAGGTTTGAATCTGTTCTAAAAGATTTCCATGATTTATTCAAAAAAAAAAGAATAAATGAAGACGTGAAATGTATTTGAATATAACTGATCATGGACAAAATAAAATAAAACAAAAAAGGAAAAAAGAGAAAGGGGATATAACACTATATGATATAAAAAAAAAAAGAAAAGAAAAAAAGAAACTAATAACTAATAGTGTAATCATCCAAAATAGCATTTACACCAAATTCGTTCGTTCATGTTGCTGCCATTGAAAATGATGTTGATGATGAGAATGAGAAGTGTGATGATAATTGAATGATGACTTATATCGACTCCAAGGATCGGCTAGTCCATGTTGTTGGTTTCGTGAGTCTTCCGTTGATGATAGTTGATCTGACTTTGATATAAACGTACGTTGATGCGGTGCTTGATAACGAGGTTGCTGTTGTTTTCCATTTTGATAACCACGAGAGGATGATTGGGTACTTCCATAATACTGTTGTTGCTGTTGTTGTTGTTGTCGTCCACCATTTGACCAAACTGATTTCTTAGAGTTCCTTCGCCGTCTTCCACCATTGTCGTTGCCATTTCCAGAAGTAGATATGATTGTAGATAGTTTCTTATTTGTTGAAATAATGGGGAGATCGTGTGCAAGATCATCCATGTGAAACACATCTTCATAATTCTTGTTCTTTATTTTTTCTGTAGTCCGCCAACCTCGTTTTTGATATCGATGATCTTGTTTTGTCTTGTTTCCACTAATTGTTGTTGTTGTTGCAGTAATTGATTGTCCATTTTGTACACATGCCGTCAGTAATAATTGCCGTAAGTATTGATAGTCAGGTTGATCATTAAATCCAAGTCTTCGTGTATAATCAATAAAAGTCATAAATCCACTAGGAAGACCAGAACACAAATCAGCGATTTGAATATTTTCTTTCATCATATGCATACGGTCCCAACCAGCTTTTGAAGACTTAGCTTGTATTCCAGTCCAAGGTAAAGAACCAAGAGCAAGATCCACTAATAAATAACCAAGGCTTTCCATATCATCCCTTCGAGCAGGTGTTTTTCCACGATGTACATTGAGAGATGCATAACGCGCAGTGCCAGTTTTGTTTCGAATTCGTTTTTTGCATTCAGGGTAAGGTTGTTTTGTCTCCAAGTTGCGCCAACAAGATGCTAGACCTAGATCCACTACATACAGTTTTGGTTTTGTTTCCTTCCACGTGTCAAAAACTTGTTGACAAGATTCATATTCCCATTTGCGTTCTGCATTATTGTTGCTGTTATCATCATCATCATATTTATCGTAGCCTGGTAATCGACATGATTCCGAGAATAAAAAATTATCAGGTTTCACATCCCTTAAAAAAAAAAAAGGTTTCAAAAAAAGCAATGTTAATCCTTAATAATAATATTTCTTAATGATATGTACCTATATAATAATCCACGATTGTGTATATGTTCCAAGATATCGATCTATTAAGACAAATAAAGATAGTGATTAGGGAATATGTTTATATATTTAATATATCATCTTACCATTTGACATCCAAGATCCTTGATAATAGATAAAGGAATATGCCGTACTGACTGTCGTAACTGTTTTAAACTTGTCCCAAGTAGATCCATAACAATACAATCAAATTCTTCATGTCTTCCATACCAATGACATTGAGGAATACCAGCTATCCAAAAAAAAAAAAAAATCAGATCATGTTTTCTATATATACTTTAAAGGGGAGAAAGAGAGGAAATCTTACGTCCAGCAGCCAAAATATCATAAAGAATACTTTCATGTTTGATTTGAGAGAGATGTGAACGTGGTTCCCTTTTCACAGCATAATGGCGACCAGTATTGATATCTTTCACTAAACAAAAAAAAACAAAAAAAAAAAAAAAAAAAAAAAAGGTGAATATCAAAATAGATTAATATTTATTTTCTTACCTTCAAAGACTTCACCAAAGGAACCTTCACCAATTTTTGCCAATACAATCCATTGTTCACCAATAATAACATCTTGATCATTGATTTCAGATCGATTATTTTCCAAGGAAGAGTTTGTCAAACAATAGGAAGTTGATAAAGGTAGGATTGATTGTTGTATTTTGTTGTTAATAGCGGTCATTCAGGTAAAAAGAAAAGATAATAAAAAAATAAGATATAAAAGAGAATGGTAACCAAAAAAAAAGGAAGTATATAATAATACAATAATAAGTAAGGTAACTAATCAAAAAAAAAAAAGGTTGAAGGAGGTGATAACAGGGGAATAAATAATAAAGACTTAAGAAGTTGAGAAATAGTCAATTTAGCAGTGTGTATATATAAGGCTGTATCTTCTTCTTTTCTTTATGAAAAATCAAACTGCCGTTAAGCCGAATCGGCAATAGTGATTTTCAAAAAGAAAAAAAGCTGATTTCCCTATGTATACTTTCAACTGAAAGTGACCAATGAAGAAAGTGATGTACACAAGACGGTAAAAAAAAAAAAAGTTGTTGTATTGTTTGTTTTTTTTTCAATATCTTTTTATCTTTATATATAAAATAAAAAAGATAAAAAGAAAATAATAATAATAATAAAAATAAAAAAAAAGAAGAAGAAGTAATGTATATAATGTTTAGAAAAGATAAAGAAAAAAAGCAAAAAGAAAAAAAAAAAAAAGAAAAAAAAAAAAGGCCGGTGGGAATGAAAATGGAGGACTTCAATGCAGACGCACTCTGATCTTTTTTTTCTTCTGATGAACACTATATATATTTTGAACTACCGATTACAGCAATTTTTTTCTTTTTTTTTTTTTCTTTTCCCGGACAAATTTCATTTCTTTAATTTTTCTTCTTCTTCTTCTTCACTTTATTTATTCCATGCTTGCAACAACTCAACTATCAAACTCAAGATCTAATAGAGTTATTGAAGAACTTCAAGATACTTGGGAAATATTACAAAAAGATATGATATCTACTAAAGTTCAGGTAAAAGTTGTCAAAATAATAAATATTAAAATATATTGAACATGAATCATCTTATATATATAATAGTTAGAAAGTCTTCGAGAAGCAAAAATAAAAAATGAAAATGATGGCAAAGAATATGTTCAATCTAATCAAGAATGTAGAACTCATATTCAAGAATTAATGGAACTTTTAGAAACCAAAGAAGAAGCACTGGATTATACCAAAAAACAATCTCAAGAATTAGAAGCTCAAGTCAAACAACTCAAAGACGATGCTTTAATGTCACGTAAAACATTAGACGAACTCAAGAAAAAGGAAACTCAATTAGGTCAGGATCGGGATGCTGCTGTACTTGCTAAACTTAGAGTGAAACAACAACAAAAGATATTGGAACAGTCTTTACAAGATCTCGATAAAAGATATCAACATGAACAACAATGTTTGAAAAAAGAGCTTATCTCTATAAAAAAACAATTGGAACAAACTTTACTTCGGAATCAATGGTTTGCTGATATTATAATCAATCATGTGGAAAATGAAACTGAAACTCGACAACAATGGATATCTCAAGTCAACATTCAACAACAACAACAAATCAGAACAACTCAATTATTTGTAGATAGAATCAAGGCAGAATTACAAACTTTATTAGATAGCATAGAACTTGGTAATCAAAATGAAAAGAAAGATATGGATCAGGAAGTTAAATTATGTCAAGATGAAGTCAGTGGTTTAGTACAACGTATACAATCTTATTCTTTAGTCCTTCAATGAACCTTTTTTTTTTTTTTGATTCCCCTTTTTCTATCTCCTTTCTTCTCCTCATTTATCATACTTGTTTTTATTGATAATTTTTTTTAGATTATCATTATTACCTTTTATATATATATATCAATATTTATATATTTATGACTTCATTAATAAAGACTGTTGTATTTTACTCATGTTCCTGAATTCTCGACTTATTTGAAACAAAAAAGAAAGAACGAGTCAAAGTTTGTTGATTGGATAGCAATTGAATGACCGCTTGCTACTGAATAGAACTAGAGGACTGCTTGATTTTTTTTTTTTTTGGAAAAAAAGTTTTTTTTTTTTTTTCTTCCTTTTTTGTTCCCAATAAATTTATACATCCATACCCTATATAACCAACAACAAAAAGATCAACATAACTCTCGATATAGAACACATAGACAAAACAACATGGGTTTAGCCGGACAAAAAACAAAGCAACGTATATCAATGGATCCTAATAATCTTACCTGGAGTAATGATACATCGAAATTTGGTTTCCGTATGATGGCCAAGATGGGCTGGGCTCCTGGTAAAGGTCTTGGTGTGAATGAAGACGGCAATCAACAACATGTCAAGATCAAATTAAAGGATGATACTTTAGGATTGGGTGCCAAGAAGAACCAAACTGAAAATTGGCTAGGAAATACTGATGCTTTCTCTCGTCTTTTGGCTGATCTGAATAGTCGAGAAACAACTCCAGTGTCAAATCCTACTGAAGAAGAAGAAGAAGACAACGATGGCAACAAAGATGATACCAACCCGAGAAAACGAAAAGCAACTGATGACGACGAAGATGAAAAGAAGAAGAAGAAGAAAAAGGCCAAGAAGGACAAGAAAGACAAGAAGGAAAAGAAGGAAAAGAAGAATAAAAAGGAAAAGAAGGACAAAGCTGAAAAGAAGGCCAAAAAGGAAAAGAAAGACAAAACGGAAACACCTGTCCCCATGCCTTTGCGAAATGCGTAAGTAAACCAAGTGAATGTAAAATATTTAGTATTGAACTTTTTTTTTTTTTTTTTTTGACATAGTGCCCGTGCAAAATTCTTAAAGGCGAAACGAATGGCAACCCAACATGATCCTGCAAGATTGAACGAAATTCTTGGTATCAAGGCTTAAATTATTGCCTCATCCAGCATCCCCCCAATTTATATATTATTTGTAATTTAGATTCACATATTGATAGTTTTATTCCTTTCTTTTTTTTTTTTTTGGCATTTTATCATCTTCATCATAATATTCATACATAATTTTATTCTTAGTATCCCAAATAAACTTTCTCTGGCAATTCTCTAGAATTTTTTTTTTATATATATCAAAATTTAATTCAACATTCATATTGTTTACTCATGTTAGAAATTGAGTATGTCGATTAGTGTAGAGTCCCATCATCCATCACCACATATATCATTCATCACCTATTCATCGTATCATCCATTACTATGTCATCCATCATCATCCACTATCATCTATTGTTGTTAGTTTCATCCCTTGTAATATAAATTTCCTTTTGAAGAAAGGGTAAATTTTCTATTCTACAATGTCCAGATCTATTTTATGATATAAAATCAACGTTTCTTTTATTAGAGATAAAACACAACAGCAAATAAAAGCACTATATCTAAAGTGATAGAGCATCCGCAGCAAGGCTAAATCCTAATCGTTCTCGTAACCTAGCAATGATCGTATCAGAGTGGGATTGTTTGTAATACACTGCAAAGAATGCCTTTTCGGTAGGTTCCTTGGTGGCAACTTCTAGTTGTGACAATAGTTCTTGAGCTTCTTGTTTGTTTACACGTCGATAATCTGTGAACAAGAAGATAAAATCATTCATAAGATTTTTTTTTTTTTAATCATCACGCATGTTTCTTTTGTTTGTGACCCACTTACCTCGAATAATATCAAATATATCAACAAGTAATACAACACGGTATTTGGAAGATGCATTTTCCAAACTATGCAGTAATGTCATGATTGTTCGATAAGCATCATCAAGTTGACCCTCCTACCAGTATAATATATATATAAACAAGTTATTTCACGTAATCAGGAACGTCAATCCTTTTGCAACTTACTTTGATATTCGCTCGTACTTGAACATATCGACGGTAGAATGAATAAGGACCACTCTGATCCACTAATTTTATATACTTTGAATCAGTCACCACAGGCCGTAGAGTTCCTAACGTATATATAAATACATATGAAAACATATAAAATATGTATAAGTATATAATTATTATTAATGTCAAAAGAGAATGAATTTACCATTTCCCAAATAATATTCCAAATGTTTTGCTGCCAAGGTATCTAGAGCTTGGATATTGTTACCATCAGCATAATGAGTAGCAGCAAGGACAAAATCTTGATTGGATTCATACCGCGTTGCAATGGCCTTTAGTTTTCCCGTCATGTAAATATAAAGAAAGAAAAGAAAATCAACAATGATCAGTCTATTTTCGTCTACTATTTTGCATATATATATATAGACTTACCGAATGTAATACTATTTCAACTTTAATCAAATGATGTGTAATACTAAAATCTAATGCATTTATCAGGCAATTAATGTTTTCGGAAGCCAATGGAGGATCACCAAGTAACTATTTGTAAACAATAAGGATGATTAGTGTTGTTCTTTTTTTTTTTTTTTTTTTGTGTTGATGTCTTGCTTATGTTTACCTTTTGAATCCAAACTTCGGTATTAGGTTGACAAGACAAAAGACATTGCATTGCCTCTATCCACATACCATATTCCTGAGCTATAGTACTTGCATATAATTTGATCAAATAATGGATTGGTTCAGTGATTTGTTCTGATACGATTGTTTTTGTCACTAAAGATTTTTGTAATTGCTCGTCTTGACCTGATGTAAGATAGCCAGCCGCAAATAAGATATGACCAAAATGTGTTTGTAACCAGAGATAATCATCCATCGCGCCTAATAGTTCATGGTATCGACGAGTGAGTAAATAATAAACCAAAATATGTTCAATTGAATTATCCATATGATCATCAAAAGAATGTGTTGCTATATATGCCATATCAAATTGATGTTCCATGGGATCCGTATATATCAAGTTTGCCAACATTCGTTTATAAAAATCATCCTGGCCCATAATTGTGTCTTGATCACCCATAAGAAGTTGAATCGTAATATGAAGTCCATTCGAATCATATGAGTCCTCGTCGAACAATCCGGTCCTTTCATATTCTTTCCACACAAGTTCCACTTCTGCGTGCCACTCTTTCCAGAGAACTGTCCATCCTGATTGTTTACTGTATATAGAATAACTATTGGGAAGTTTTGGTATTTTGGAGAGTAGATTTACTAGTGAACTATATTCATCATCACGATCTTGTTGCTTGAGTTCCAAAAGAGCTTGCTTTAATTCAGCATTCATAATGAGACTTGCATTGATCAAAAATGAAAAAAGAAATCTGTTAAAGAGTGCATTGCCCTAGTTTTTTTTTTCTTTGTTCTTTTCTATTATTTACCTTTGAATATGTTTCCAATTGATTTTTTCATCCGAATCTGATACAGGTAATTCTGGTTGTACTAAAACGATAAGGAGTGTTAGTCATTTTCTATACCATTAATATTTTTGTTTTCCTTTCAATCTTACCAAATTCCATTTGATTCGTAACCCAAATGAAAAATTCCCCAATCACAGTCTCTTGCTTGCCATCCATGGATACTTCAAGTAAAATACGAAAGAGTGGCCATATAACATCGCTAATATGTAGGTTTTGTCTATATCTCTCCAATTCGTTCGGTTCCAAAGACTACATAGAAAGACATTAGAAGGGTTTGTTTAGTTGGCTTTTATCATGCCTTCTGAATCTATTTTTTTTTATTCACTTACTTGATCCATTTCCTTTTTAGATTCATGTACGAGTACCATATAGTCATAAACCAATTCACTTATTTCAGATTTTCTATTATTTTTGTTTCATTAAGGAAAAAAAAAAAAAGGAGGATAAGAGTTCATCCAAGTCAGAAGAATAAGTGGTATAATTTACTTACTGTCGATCTGTCATCATCATACTGGAAAGTGGCACCAAGTTTGAGTTTTCAGAACTCCATTTTTGAACCTTTTTGAAGAGTTCCATAGAGAATTGAGTGAACTATATATATATATATAAATCAGTATCAGATTCATTTTCGCCTTTTCTTTGTTATTTTACCTGTTTTGGTGTTTTGGTTGTTCTTTCACTCCTTTTTTTGAGAATATCATCAAGTAACGAGTTGTCGATCTATATAGAAATAATGATCAGTACAATATAAAGGAATGACAAATGTGTGTGCGGATCCATTCGGTTTTTTTTTTTATTTGTGACCTAAAAATACATACTTGTCTAGAAGAAGTCGTATCTTGAGAATGCTAATAAAAGAAAATATAGTTAATACAATATATCTTTTTTTCTTTTTTTTACCATGGTGCCTGATCTTCACTTACCGTGTTTTCTTTGTCGTCCATAGTCGAATGATTGGCAGAATCAGAATGGCTTGCTGTTGTTGTGCTGTCACCAAAAAAACCAACAGGATTTGTCTCTGAAGGTGGTACTGATAAAGGTGACATGATTATATTGAGTGAATTGGTGGGAGGTTGGTGAATGAACAAACGAAGAAAACAAAGAAAAAAAAAAAAAAAAATAGGTCTGTTGCTGGGTATGAAAACAAACCCTTCGTTCCTTCTCTCACAGGTGACTAGAGACTTTTTCTGTGCAAGCATGAATTTTTTTTTTTCCTTGTCCGGTCGGTCGAGTGTGGCTCAATTCTTCACGCTAGACAAAGTGATGATGTCCATATTTCCTTTTGCAATAATGTATGATGTTCTTGGCGATTCTTGATTACCTTCTTTTGATACGAATTTTCTAAAGCATTTTTCTTAAAAAGTGTGGCAAAAGGGATTTGGTTATCACGTAGGCCAAGAGAATTTATGAAGGTCATCTGAAATTGAACCAATAATAATGCAATGAATTTTAGACTATAAAAGTAAAAGATTTTTCTCATTTTTCTATTAGTAATTTCTTTTCTCTTCTTTTCTCTTTTTCTGATTACTTTTTTATTAGAATTTTATTTTTTATTAAAAAAAAAAAATGGGATTATTTTCATCAAATAAATCCAAATCATCATCATCTACTTATTCATCAGCACCTCCACCTTATACACCTAATCCTAATATGCAACAACAGCAATATGCGCCTCCATCTCCGCCTGGACAAGGAAATCCTGATACTAGAAACTTACCAAGTGGTTGGATTACACAATTCGATCCTTCTTCCAATCGATGGTTTTATGTCTATACTCCTACTGCCACTCGACAGTGGGAACATCCTTTGGATCGTCCATTAAATAGCTCGGATTCTTACAGATCATCACAACAGCAACAACCTTATTATGCTCAACCACAACAGCCTTATTATCCTCAACAACAACCTTATTATGTTCAGCCACAACAACAACAACAAGGTCGATTTGGTGGTCTTTTTGGAGGTAGTGGTAACTCTGGTCGAATGGGTGGTATGGGAAGGTAAGAAGAAGAAGAAAAAGAAAAAAAAATTCCTTTCTAATAGATATTATGATTATGATGGACTCATTTGCTATATCTTTCTTCTTTAGTACGATGTTGATGGGTGCTGGTGCTGGCTTACTTGGTTATGCAGTGGGGGACGCCTTATTCGATCATAACGACACAACTGTAGTGAATAATTATTATGGCGATGATTACGGCGGTGGTGGATTCGATGATGGCGGTGGCTTCGATTTTTAGTATTCTCTCTCTCTTTTTATACATAAGCATATTTAGTTTAGTTGAATTTTGTTTTATTTTCCCTGTAATATTATTCATAATTCATATCAGTTCATTTCTCATTCTATACATACACTTTTATCAATAAAAAATTTTTTTGTATATTCCTTCGGTGATCTTGCTACTGTATCAACATCATCATGATTATCGTCATCATCAACGGATGTTACTTTGTTTACATTATATCAAAAAATTAAATCAAATCATAAAGCAGAGATATATCTATACTCATAGATTCAATTTATCATTATCTAAAAATGAATGTTAAATTCTAAATAAAGTATAAATATCATCATCATCAACATCAAGATTTATTAATTGTCTATCTATAATGAAGTTTTCTAGTCTAAATTGAAGAATTATAAGTCTAATTAAATATGGTAAATAATAATAAAAAAAAAAAAAGAAATCTAACTAAAGGGAGGGAATAAGTCGAAGTACTTCTTCATATACCAAAAAGTTCAAACTATGGATAGGAAAGGCACGAATGAGAGTCACTGTCAAACCTCGGTATAGTCCTTTAACACCTTGACGTCGAGCAATATCTTTGGCACATTCAGTCGCATTCTTGTATTTTGGTTCAGTCATCATCACATCCTTTTGCATCACAGATTTGACTAAGTCTATAGGAAATACAAATAACCATGATAAAACACCACACATCCCACCAGCGAAAAAATGTGTCAATGGTCCTGATTCTTTAGTTGGTCCAGAGAGTAATCGTTTTGTTGTTTCATAACTGCCAAAGTAAAATGCTGTTCCAAGAGTATCCCTCGCTAAACAACAACAACAATAAATAAGATATAAATAAATCATCTTAAGTTACACATATGATAGCTTACCAGAATGACAGGGTAGTCCATTCCATAGACCAAAAATACCTTTTCGTTGAACTATTTTTTTTGCTGCTCGCCAACTAGATGATTCTACCGTAACAGCGTTACCTACTGCCTGTTGTTGTTTTAATAAAACTTGTTCCAATTGCCGTTGTATCTTGACTAGTTCTAAAGGACAACTAAGGAAAGCCACAAACGCACCACTACAACCACCACTGATAGTTGCTAAAGGGGTCATTGTTCGAAGAGTATCACCTTGTAGACTTGTATGTGTTCGAAAGAAGGTCTTGCTACTTTCATATACAGTGAATGAGACTGATTTTATCATACTGACAGTTACAAGAGGTGGTAAGATGCCTAGATAGATGAAAATTAGTAGGCAATATACTGTACTATTAATTATTATTATTATTATTATTATTATTATTCATTTACCTCTAAAAAATCCACGGGCACCTTCTTCCTTGTAAGTAGTCTTTACACATGCCATGATAGAGTCATAACTATGAGTTTGCATCCTTGTTTTCACAGAGTCAAACTAAGTAGATAAAAGAAGGAGAGAGAGAGAGAGAGTGTGTGTGTGTATGTGTGTATGCGTGCATGCGATAAAAAGAAAATTATAAATTTGTTAATAAGAAAAAGAATGTATTTGGAGGGGTACACTTACAGGAAAGCCTGACAAAACACTTGAGGTGGCCGCACATGAAGCAGCAACTACTGTCCTATTGGCTAAAATAAAATAAAATAAATAAAAAAAAAAAAAAAAAAGTTAAAAAGTTAGTTCTCATTTGAAAAGAGTGGTTTGTACCTTGAAGGATTTGACCAAAAAGGGACTGATGACTATAAAGGCTGCTATGTAGTGTTTGGTTGCTACAAAAGAAAAAAAAATATATATAGTATAAGATATATATATTTTTTTTAGTTATATATATATATATATAATATCACCTTAAATTTTTAGTCGTCATTTCTTTTTTAGTATAGATAAAAACGAAATGAACTAAACTGACATTGGTTCTTTATCAAAACGGTTACTGAAATCGAGAGAGAAAAAAAAAAAAAAAAAAGAGAGATAAAAAAAAATATATTTCAGTCCTTTGAGCCATTTTTTTTTTATTATTTTTAATCACCGTCTCTTTTCTGTTTTGCCATATTCGATCTTTTTTTTTTTTTTTTTTTCCTCTTTACTTTCTTTTTCTCTCTTGTCTTTTTCTTTTGTTTTTTATGACACCATCGGCAACGGAGAGACAGAAAGTATTAGATATTCTTTATAATGTTTTATCCAATCCTCATGAAACTATAGGCAATCCTTTGGCTTACATTATACTCGAAGCGAAAGAAGGTTATTGTGGAATAGAACTTCTCAAAAGTTCCGTAACCGAACTCAATCACTACCCGTCGCAATATATCAAACATTGTATCGAAAACACAAAAGGTACTCAACCAGTAGAACCACGCTTAGAACTCAACAATGACCGATCAAAAGTGCGTATCAAACGGACCGTTGACCTCAGCAAGGTATCAAATGAAACAGATCCTTTGGGATTTACCCTCAATGCATCGACTTCTTCAGCAACCTCACCAACACTAAAGACAGATAATATGGAACGATTAGCCAGTTCTAGCTTGTCTCTCTCTGAAGGTCAGTTCAAACCATATAAACCTTCGTACAACTTTCAAGGTTTCTACGATTTAGAAGACGAAGAAGACCATTCCGACAACAACTCAAACGACAATGATATGTTTAATACCAACGACAATCAACTGACTCTTTTACCCGTGGTTTATGATAATGGAAAGTTTTATCAAGATGCCTCTTTCTTCAATTCCCAAGCAAGTGAGTCAGTCAAATTGATTCCTATGTATGAAAAAATAGATATCCCTGCCATTGGTGGATCAAACAAAGGGTAAACAAAAAAAAAAAAAAAAAAAAAAAAAAGAAAAAAAAAAGTTAAAAGATATACAAATCTAATATTATAGATACATTTGTTTGATGGTAACGTAGATCTTTAGTAGAGATAGAAAAAGTCTGTTGGAATTGTGAATTACCTGGACATAGTGTACAATCATGTCCTGAACCATATGACAGAGAACAAGTAAGGAAGAATCGTGAAGAATATATGATGAACTCTACTGGATCGACCTTGACGGAAAGACGCTATTATCAGTATTTTGAACAACTACAACAAGTATCTGGGCTTTTGCCTGGTAGATTGTCAGAAACTTTAAGGGCAGCCTTGGGACTGCGGCATGCTAATGATCATCCTCCTTATTATAGACATATGGGACAAGTTGGATATCCTCCTGGTTACATTGGAACTCGCAAAGATCAAGGTAAAATCTAAGGAAAAGAAAATAAAAGAGGAAAAAAATACATATAGAAAGATCTCCATCCTTACTGTATCTTTACTATTCTTTTTTTTTTTTAATATCTTGTTTATGCAATTATATAGAACGTGTAATGAACCTGGTGACTGGAAAATTGATGGATGAAGACACACCAGACCTGAAGATATTTGACGATTATGATGAAAAGAATGATAATAACGACAACGATAACAAGGAATTGGAACTGACAAAGCAAATATGTGATTCTCAAGCAGAAGAAGTAACGGAAAGATTTCAAATGGTGAGCTATCCTGGATTATATGAATATCAAGCAGAACAACAGCAATTGAATATATACCGACAATTTTATGTAGAATCCACTCGCCCAATGAAACGCCCTCGTCAAGAACAGCAGGAAGAATTACAAAATTATTTTCATCATCATTTAACCAATCAATCACACTATCGACAATCTCGTTACCGCTCATATCAACCGCAAGAGTATGATGTACATCATCGGCATCAGTTTTATCAACAAGATCAGTCATATCAACAATCACAGTATAGAATACAGCAGGAACAACAGTATTATTCACAACAATATTCACAGTATATCACATATGGACAGCAGAACGAATATTATGGTCAATATGATTACTATGGACAACAATCAAATATTTATCAATCAGATCAATCCTCACTACCAAATAATATCCCTATTACATCATCGTCACCTTCTACTCCTCCTCCTCCTCCTCCTCTTAATGAACTTGATATAGATGATGATATTCCGCCACCACCACCACCTGCATAAAAGATTCCCATTAACAATCACTGTTAGATTATGAACCTTATTCCTAATTTTATTTAATTTAGATGATCATTCTCCCTCTCAACATGACTATCATTTATCGCTTTGTATATAGACAAAAATATATATTGTAAAATAAACAACCTATTATCAAAACCAAACAAGTAAACGAGTTTTTATTTATTTATTTATTTCATGTGGTAATATGTATACTAAACTAGACTAAATAAAATCAATCTATTTGGACAAGGCATATTGGAGAGCTTCGTACACTTCGACTTCGACCTTGGCAGCAGCCTTTTCAACTTCGGAACCGTTACCAGCAGCAACACGTTGAGCTTCAGCAAGAGAAGATTGGACACGTTCAAGAGAGAAATCTTCGAGAGGAGAGGCTTCGACAGCATTGATGTTAAGAGTAGAATCAGGATTGATAGTAGCGAATCCACCAGAGACTAAAAGGAAGGAAAAAAAAAAAAATAGAAAATAGGTTGGCTTTCATATATGATTTTAACTATAACCTCGTTTACTTACCAAAGAACTTCTTAGTCACATCACCAGTTTCAATCACTTCGACAATACCAGGGTTCAATTGTTCAATGGAAGGAACGTGATTGGCAAGAATACCCATGTCACCAGAAGTAGCAGCCAAGTTGACTTGTTGAACATCTTGGGCCTTGTAAATGGTCTACATTCCAAGGAAAAAAAAAAAAAAGAAACAAGGAGTCAATCCATAGAATACATTTTATTTCCTAAATCATTATGTTTTGAATTTTTACCTTGTGAGGCAAGACAAAAGTCAAACGAAGCTTATCGACGGAAGCAGGAGCTTCAGTAGCGTAGAAACGGGCTACAATAATAATAATAATACAAAAAAAAAAAAAAAGAATCAGTATCATTCATGATTTAATGTTCAATTTGAACATTACCCAAACTAGCAGGCTTAACAATGGCACGAGCGGATCGAGTGAAAACGTTCATGGTGGGCTTGTTGATATGTGAGTACGAAAAGAAGAAGAAAGCAACAAAAAAAAATATTGAATTTTTTTTGTTTTTTTTGTCTGGGCTGGGATTGGCTGGAGCTTTCAATTCATTTTGAAGCCTGTTATTTTTTTTTTTTTTAGGGTAACAGAGAGAAAAAAAAAGTTTGTGGTAAGGGGAGGGGTTGAGTTTTCATTGACCGACATGATGAAAAAAAATGAGAACAAGTCACTCACATAAAAAGTAAATAACTAAGTAATGGGAACTTAATACTAGACAAGATAACAAAGCGGAAGACAGACGTCAGCATATCAATATATATATATTTGAATTACATTTTCATCTTCATGTTTATTCTTACCTTTTCATTTTTTTATTTTTTTTTTTTATTTTGTAAAAGTAAGATGATAATCAAAAATAAAAAATGATATTTATAAAGGATATCTTATCATTATTTTTTTACTTCAAAGGATGACTTGATTATTTGATTGGGCCAATTCGATTTTATCTATTTTGCACATCAACCCTGGTTAGTTTTTGTCAAAAAGTATAAAAGATTTTTGGTTCTCCGATGAGGAAAAAATTTTAGTACCACTGGGATAAACAAGGTGGAATTTGTTTTTTTTTTTCTTCTTGTTTCCCTTTTTCCCCTCCTCCCCTCTCTTCATATAACCCTTCTTTCGACATGTACATTTCTCGTGCACTTGGTCGTGTGGCTACGAGCGCTTTCCGTGCTCAAGCTACCAACATGGCCGCTAGACCTCTTGGTGTCCAAGCCTCCACTAAAGGTATTGTTATCATGCTTATTTTTTTTTATTGTTTTAAAGTAGTAGAACACTTATGTTAACTTTTTTTTTCTTTTCTTTCTTTTTTTTTTTTCTTCTCCTTTCTATTATCGTATTGCTATTATTATTATTAGTTCGCAACTACGCTACTGAAGCCACTCCTGCTGGTCAAATTCGGTAATCATCTACACCAATTAAAGTTTGACAATATATCAACCATTCAACAAAAAAAAAAAAAAAAAAAAACTAACCTTTACTAAATATTTTATAACGCGACTTTATTATTAGTTCCGTCATTGGTGCCGTTGTGGATGTCCAATTCGAACAAGAAAACCTTCCTGCTATTTTGAACGCTCTTGAAGTCAAGGACCATGCTGGTGGTCGTCTCGTCCTCGAAGTTGCTCAACACTTGGGTGAAAACACCGTTCGTACTATTGCTATGGATGGTACTGAAGGTAATGTAACCTATAGAAAAAAAAATAAATAGGGATAAAAAGAGGAAATGTCAGTCAATGTACTCACACCAAAAAAAAAAAAATGATCATCATTACTATTATATTCATTAGGTCTCGTCCGTGGTCAAAAGGTGGTTGATACTGGTGCTCCTATTACTATTCCTGTTGGTAAGGAAGTACTTGGTCGTATCATCAACGTTATTGGTGAACCCATTGATGAACGTGGTCCTATTAACGCTAAGACCCACCGTGGTATCCATGCTGAAGCTCCTGAATTCGTTGATCAATCCCCTACTCCCGAAATTTTGGAAACTGGTATCAAGGTTGTCGATTTGTTGGCTCCTTATGCTCGTGGTGGTAAGATTGGTCTCTTCGGTGGTGCTGGTGTCGGCAAGACTGTATTGATTCAAGAACTTATTAACAACATTGCTAAGGCTCATGGTGGTTACTCTATCTTCTGTGGTGTCGGTGAACGTACTCGTGAAGGTAACGATTTGTACCATGAAATGATGGAAACTGGTGTCATCAAACTCGAAGGTGATTCCAAGTGTGCTCTTGTCTTTGGTCAAATGAACGAACCCCCTGGTGCTCGTGCTCGTGTTGCTTTGACTGGTTTGACCATTGCTGAATACTTCCGTGATGAAGAAGGTCAAGATGTGTTGCTTTTCATTGATAACATTTTCCGTTTCACTCAAGCTGGTTCCGAAGTGTCTGCTTTGTTGGGTCGTATTCCTTCCGCTGTAGGTTATCAACCTACTTTGTCCACTGATATGGGTGGTATGCAAGAACGTATTACTACTACCAAGAATGGTTCCATTACTTCCGTACAAGCTGTCTATGTTCCTGCTGATGATTTGACTGATCCTGCTCCTGCTACTACTTTTGCTCACTTGGATGCCACCACTGTGTTGTCTCGTTCTATTGCTGAATTGGGTATTTATCCTGCTGTCGATCCTTTGGATTCCAAGTCTCGTATTTTGGATCCTCGTATTGTCGGTGCTGAACATTACAAGGTTGCTACTGATGTCCAACAAATCCTTCAAAACTACAAGTCTCTTCAAGATATTATTGCCATTTTGGGTATGGATGAATTGTCTGAAGAAGATAAGTTGGTTGTCGAACGTGCTCGTAAGATCCAACGTTTCTTGTCTCAACCTTTCGCTGTTGCTCAAGTTTTCACTGGTTATGAAGGTCGTCTCGTCAAGCTTCAAGATACCATCCGCTCTTTCCAAGAAATCCTCGGTGGTAAGCATGATTCTCTTCCTGAAACTGCTTTCTATATGCAAGGTGATATCTCTGATGTGATCAAGCGTGCTGAAGAACTCGCCAAGGAAATGGGTGGTCAATAGGTTAATTGATTAGTTTTATTCTCTCTTTTCCTTTGTGTTTTTATTTATTTGGTTTTTTTTTTTTATTATTATTATTTTATACAACGCTTACACATACGTACACACACACACACGCACATTCGATCCATATTCATATTTTATCGAAAAAAAGATGCTTATCATCTTTGATTTTTTATTTTTGAAATAAAAAAGAAATAGTCATTGACAGAATTATTGTTACAAACAAAAAATCACTTGGGTTGATATCATTAATATATACACAGTTACGATATATATATATATAGTTTTTTTGAGACGTTTATGCTTATAACAATTATCAGGAACAAAGAGGATAGGCAAATCATCACTTTATTTTGATACACGCACTTTTTTTAATTATTACTATTTGATTTCATAAGCTAAACTAAACTACAAAAAAAAAATCTAATTTTAAAGGACACGATGCTTTCGTAAAGCTTGTTCAACAGCACCAGCGGCCCATTCTTCAGCATGATGGAAACCTTCTTCAGTACTAGAGCGAGCGATGGCTTGTTCATCATTGTAACAAGTCAAAACACCAAACATGACAGGTACCCCAGTATCCAATTGCACACGCATAATCCCATGAGTCACAGCATCACAGATATATTCAAAATGAGCAGTACCACCCTTGATCACAATCCCAATACAAATCACCGCGTCAAAAGGTCCTGTCTTCTTTGCCGAACCGGTTTGTTGTTGTGGAGCAGGTGAACCAAGTAAATCGTTAGCTGTGGCCGAAGCTTGCATTTTCGAAAGATCAATCAGTTGTTTAGCAGCCATGGGTAATTCATATGAACCAGATACTGTATCCTAGATAACACAAAATACAAGAAGAAAAAAAAAAAAAAAAAAAAAAACCGTTTGTGAGTTTATTATTATCACTTGTTTCCAACTCATCATAAGTCATTGTCACCTTCTCTTACCATCCTTTCATCTTTTGACACCCCATCCCTAGTTCATCCTTGTTGCTTCCTTTTTTTTTTTTCTTTTTTCTTTTTTTTTTTCCCTTTTTTCTCGTTGAGATAACTTACAGACACAATGTTTTCAGGCAAAACACCATATTTCTTAGTCAAAGTTTCATATACACAGTTATACAAGTTATCGACCAAAGTATGATTCCATCGAGTACGAATAACCGCAATACGAAGACCAGAACCATCAAGTTCAGATTGAGGAGCGGAGACACCTTTTTCAAAAGTTTTTTGAGCCATAATAAAGATTGTAAATAGGAAAGAAAAGTGAAGAAAGGAAAAAATAAAAAAAAAAGGAATTGAAAAAGAAAAAAAAACGGAGTCCAAATTGGGATGATCAAGTTTCTTTTGTAGTTTCCTTTTCTCCCTCACTCATCTCCATCATTCCTATCATATAAATAATCATCATCTTGATATTTTTTTTTATTTATCTTTTTTTCCCTTTTTTAACAATAGTACAATGTAATCTTCTTTCCCTTTACACTATTTTACACTTAGTATGCTTGTGTCACCCAGACAGATTCTGACAGATTTTTTCCCCTATGACCAGTGAATGACTAATACTCATTTTTATTTGACGATGATCGTTTATTCAAAAATAAACCATTTCTCTACATACTAAATAATGATTCATTATACTTTCATTGTTTGAGCGCGTACTGGGATCCTACTACCTATTGTTTGCTTCCTTTTTTGGTGGACTTTTGTTTTTTGTCGAATCATCATCGAGTTACCTGAAGAAGTACAACTAGATGATGATGATGACCGAGGACGGCGAGGAATCATCGATCCATTTGAAATATCGGCATAAGTGCTCGCTGATGTAATCACACTATATCTTTTCAAACCCTGTTGTTGTTTGTTATCGATGTATGGACGTTTGATTTTCTTTTCTTTTTGTATATTCTTTTTCACCATCACCATCGTTTCCTCGGAGTTAGGTATGATTGTTGATGGATCATCCTTTTTTTCAATCAGTGTTGATAGTGTTGCTGTGGTGTCAATAGCGGTGATGATGTTTCCTTTCATTGTTCCTGACGATGATGTTTTCTTTTCTTTCGGTGATGCTACATTTATGGTAGTAGTGGATGTGTTGGTACAATACTGATCGACAAGTATGATAGTATGACGAGGATGACATCGCTTAAATCTAGGTCGATGCATGTGTAAATTCGGTACCCAGCTTCGTTGCTCTTGACAGTCCTGTGTTAGAGGACTTGATATGCAGGAAGATGCTTGATTTATATTACTATGATCATCATCATCATCATCATCATCATCATCATCATCATCATCATCATCATCATTGTCATTATCTTTGGAATGATAAGTGAGAGTATCTCCAAAAGAAGAGGATAATGATAAACTTTGTCTTTTTTTTTTTTTTTTTTTTTTTTTTATCAATGGACCAATCGTTCAGAACCGCATAAAAAGAGAAAAAGGAGTGAGTTACACTAAAATCAGATAGGACAAAGAAACACAATACTTTCCTTTTTTTTTTTTTTTTTTTTTTTTTTTACCTTTGATCTGATTTGCTACTATTAACCTGTACCAGTGATGCTGCAGTAATATTTGTAGTGTCTACCAAAGTTCCCCGGTTTGATTCATTACCTATAAAACGTGATACTGGTAGCCATCCTTCTCGGGTGGGAATAAACTGATGATTATGATGATGTTGTTGTTGTTGTTGTTGCTTTTGTAGATGATGATGTTTCTGTCGTAATGTAGCAGGATGGATTGTATTACCATTTTCATCTTTTTCATAACCAATCAATTGAGGTAGAATGATGGAACTAAAGTCTTCTGGTAATTTGATATTCAACAAGTGATCATCCTTGACATAGATATCATTGTTACTATTGGTTTGTTCTTTTATATCTTCGCAGGCCCCTCTTTTAAATTTCTTTTTAAAAAGGAACATCATATAAATGGAGAGAAAAAGAAAGAAAAAGAAAAGGGGTTCAGGTAAAAAAAAAAAAAAAAAATTCTTTGCTTCCCTTTTTTTTTTCGCTCTGAAAGGGGCAGCAGAAGGGGGTAAAGAGTCATGTCATGCATTGAGTTGCATCTGTTCAAACATCACTACATCATCCGTATTTTCTTTATTTACTATTTATATGATTGCTTCACATAGCCATAAATAAAACCTTTTTTTTTTTTTTAAAAAAAAAAAAAAAAAAAAAAAAAAAAAAAAAAAACTTGATTCAAATTGACACAGATGTTGTGGAGGACAATAATTGATTCAATTGATGGGGATCAACTAAAGCTAATGTATTGTTGTAAATGTATTTTAATCCGTATCCTTCATTTTCATAGGGACCAAAACAGAGATAGGATCCCATTCTCAAAGAAGAATCCAAATCCTCCATTGTAAAAGATTTATCAATTAGACGCCATTGATGAGATGTCAAGGCAAAATGTTTCAGTAGATGACGCAGTAGAATGGAGTTGAGTAACACAAAACCTTGACCCTGATTACAGGAGAAAGGTGTTATCATTGAAATGCCGGTATCATCATCATTATTATAGCTGTTATTATTATTAGTACTGTTATTGTTTTGATCATTCACTGGAAGTAATAAAGGAGTAGTCTCGTCGAGTCGAATCATTGATGGAGGTTTGGTAAGTTGATCTAGGTATTTTAGAATAGCTTGGCCATACTGATCACCATTGAACACTGGATTAGTGTAAGCATGAAGTGCATCCCAAATCATCACCCCTCCAAATCGAGAATATTGATGAACTTGATCAAGTATTTTGACGAGCTTTTCAAATTCCAAATAACCAGAGTCATGATGACCTTGATTTCCAAGTATCCCAAGATATATTTTAGTCGCCTGTGTATTCTGTTCGGCCCAGTTATTCCACACGTCAAAATTGAAGCCAGTAGATAAAACTGTTTGATCCTGCCCTAATTGGGAAACTGAGCATAGATTATTATAGAATTGTATAAAAATCAAATCTGGATAAGCATCTGAGTATTGCTGTCGTGGATGTAAAATATTATACATGGCATTATTTTTATAATAATCCAGATCAGGGCATTGAGGTGCTGCAGTAATCATAAAATTTCTGGGTGGATAATATAATTTGAATAACTTTCGGATTTCATGCACCAGCTTGTCATAACCTTCTCCATTTGTAGCTATGGAAACCCCACATACATATACGCAAAAAAAAAAAAAAAAAAAAAAAAATGTTAGCGATACATCCCTCCATAATGAATCTGCTTTTTTTTTTTTTTAAAAAAAAAAATGAAGACTGCATCATCATCATTCAATCAATCATCATTCAACCATCATCATTCAATCATCATCATTCAATCATCATCATTCAATCATCATCATTCAATCATCATCATTCAATCATCATCATTCAATCATCATCATTCAATCATCATCATTCAATCATCATCATTCAATCATCATCATTCAATCATCATCATTCAATCATCATCATTCAATCATCATCATTCAATCATCATCATTCAATCATCATCATTCAATCATCATCATTCAATCATCATCATTCAATCATCATCATTCAATCATCTATATTACCTTCAGCATCAAAATCAATACCATCCAGAATCACTTCACCAAAGGGACGGCCCAATGTTCGATCAGTTCCACCTAAAAATTTATTCCACATCCACCATGCCAATGTATCACTTCGCCATTTCTGATGACGGTAAGGTCCAACTGCCCCACCCATTGAGATCAAGACCTTGATGCCTTGGGATTGACAAAATTCAATATCATTGCCTACTTCAGGACAATTATTCACGTCACGACAATGATCTGCCAAATTTAGTACAGGTGATCCCATTTCTCCACCAATGAAGTCGTAGATGAACGCTAACACCATGATACTAACGCCTGGTTGCTGACAATAATAAGATAATCTCTGTTCTTCTCGATTACCTTGGCCCCAATACAATACAAGGTTATTAAAATTTTTTTCCTATAAAAAAAAAGAAATTCCATGTTAGTCATGATAGTGATGATGTTGAATGAGATCAATGATGGATAGAGGGAATTACCTGGTAGGATGAAGGAAATTTCGCTGTATCATTTTGCACGTCTCTTCTTATCAATACACCACAATGAACTATCACAATGGGAATGAGAGTGATATATCCTAATAAATTTATCAATCTCATTTGATGTGTAAAATTAAAATTAAAAAAAAAAAAAAGTAAGAGGAGGAACAACAAATTTTATAATGACAGAAAATATTCATGATCTTCATAACCGATGATAAGTGGGAACGGATGATTTTACAATAATGTACTAATATTTAATGTGAACAATAGAAATCAATGGTATGTAATCATAAAATTGAATAATATCCGTTTCAACCAAGATTATATGGAATCTTTAAACAATCATCATTTTGGCCTTCTCAGTATTTCATAGTAAGACACTCCTATCTTATGATCATTCCATTAAAAACAGAATTTGTAAGCGTATCGATCAATCAATATATCAACTACTATCTTAACATCGTAAAAAAAAAAAAAAAAAAAAAAAAAAAAAGTAGAGATCACCATTCACTGTAGGAGGATAATCAGAAAAGTCGACATTCGGGGCTGGAAATCACATGTAAAACCTGAAATTGTAAGTACTGTTCTTTCTTCCCCTTTCTTTTCTTTCCCTCCTCTTATTCTTTGTTCTCATTACTTGGATTAAATATGCAACGTGATCAGAACTTGGAACGGTTACGTTCTACTGTAATGGAATCTGGTGGGCGTGAAGAGAAGGTAGAAGGTAAAACGTTGTTTCTCTCTTTTTTATTATTATTATTATTATTCATCTAGACTATTCTCTTCTTTCTTTTACTGATTTTATATTTTAGTCAACCAACGCCATCTTATCGATAAGATTCTAGCAAGGTATTCAGCAGAATATGTTTTATATAGAGAATTGATGCAAAATGCAGGTAAACTATCAATATTAGTTATTAATTCAACGGAAATGATATATATCTATATATATTCTTTTTTGGATATGCAGACGACGCTTTATCTACCAAAATAGAAATCCACTTTCATTCAACAAACCAAATGGAAAGTCCTGGAAAGTTACCCAATCTGACGAGCAAGTGTCATAGAATCACCTTTAAGAATAATGGTATGGCTTTTCGACCTGAAGATTGGCAACGTTTAAAGCGTATCGCTGAAGGGAATCCTGGTATGAACAACGTAATATCAATCTTTCAATATAACTTCTTACTCCTTTCTTTCTTTTTTTTTTTTTTTCTTTTACATCCACCTTTCTAATAAAATGATAGATGAACAAAAAATTGGTGCTTTTGGTGTAGGATTCTATTCTTTATTCTCTGTTTGTGAAAACCCATTGTAAGTATACTTTTACACAAAAGCAGTTCGATATCTTATTGTTATCTTTTTTTTTTTTTTAGTGTTTTTTCTGGATCACAATGTATGGCATTCTATTTCAAAGGGGATCAACTATTTGCCAAACGAGCTGATGTGTCTGAAAATGAACGTGATGATTGGACTTCCTTTTTGATGGACCTGCGGGAACCTATGGAAATACCTGATTTGGATCATTTTGCAAAGTTTTTGACGACAAGCATGGTAAACTAAGAAAAAAAAAAAAAGAAAAAAAAAGGAATGCGTCTAGTTATATAGCTAACTGTGATTATTCATTAATCATGTAGGGATTTACGGCCAATCTTCGGCAAGTCAGCGTCTATTTTGATCATCATCGTCTATTCAATCTCACCAAACAAACTGCTGATCCTCGTGCAATGATTGTTGATGCGAAAAAAGTACATACCAGTTCACCTCAACGAATGTTTACCATTGTAGCTGCTGATATGCGCAAAATCCAACTAGATGCTGAAAAATATGTACCACCGTCAATATTCTCGCCTCTCACTAATCTTTTATCAACAAAAACAACAACAACGACTGATGAAAAGAAGAACGACTTACCGACTGAAACTGCTAGTATCTTTTTACGTGTCGTGACTGGCACACTAGATGTCAATGTACCGGACAATTTTATACGTGAAATGGAACGATCAACAAAGAAGAAACCACCCAAAACAACAAAATTCCAACTTGTATATACCAGTAAAGAAGAAATGGATGCATCTGAAAATAAACATCACATATTCAAGGATCTTATGCCCTTTCCTAACCAAGGTCGTGTTTTTATTGGATTCCCAACTCATCAAACAACAGGGTGTTGTTCTCATATGGCTGCTCGATTTATACCAACAGTGGAACGTGAGAGCATTGATTTCGCTGATCGTTATCTTAGTATTTGGAATAAGGAATTACTCTCTGTTGGTGGATTATTGTCAAGATTAGTATACAATGATGAAATGGATCAGGTGGATATGCTTTATCGGGAATTGGTTGGATCGCCTACCGAAGTGGATAAGACAATCAACTACGAAAATGATGGTACTGGCAATGCGAAATTGATGTTAGAACAACGTGCAGCTCATACTCTACATTCCTTCACTTTCCAACCTTCAACGCCAAGTGATATTGTCAGCAAAGTACAAGAAGAACGATTTTATCAATCCAGCAGGATCCCTCTACGTGTGATGACCAGTCATGGCGTACAAATGGTAACAGTAACAAGAACTTTACCAGATGAAACATATGTTCTTGGCCCAAGTGTGACAGATTTACTTAATGTGTTTATCAAGACTATTCCTACAACAACACCAATAGTTCAAAAGGAATGCAAAGAAGGGATTCAAAAATTGGCAAAGGCAGGATTACTTCAATATCTGGGAATGATGGATGTACTCAAAGAATTGGACACAAGATCATTGACAAGTGATGAAATGGTGGCATGTATGAAATGGTGGATCGAATGCAACAAGATGAATCAGATGATTCCTGCAACAACATTACGGAATTTAGAAACAACTCGATCGAAATTCTTTACGGCGGCAGTAGTATCAGTTACTGATGGAAATGATGAACATCGACTTTTACAACTGGCAAATGCGAAATCATGGACTAATCCGAAACTTATTTCTTTAACTATGCCAGTTCCGGAATCTACGTTACCTTTCTCTGTTAGCAAAGCCTTTACACCTACCGATTTGACAACTTATTTTGGGTAAGAAAAGTGAACACTACGATAGATCAAGGAAGACTGACTTTTTTTTTTTTTTTTGCTTTAGTTTGACAGAATTATCGCTTTTAACATGGGGCAGATTTATTTCCAACAATTCAAAACTACAAACATCACCTGCATTTTCGGAACAAGTACTCTCTATCATTACTCGTGGATATAATCAATTATCATCACATGCTCAAGAGGAATTGTGCAGCCATCTGAAAACCAAGACATGTATACCTACCAAAACTGGAATGAAATTACCTTCTGATACATATTTTACTTCTGTTAATTTGTTTGATGACCTACCGATTGTTCAATTCCAACAACCAAGACATGTGGGAGATCAATTACTGACGATGTTGGGTGTTCGAAAGGTAAACACAATATATACTGATAATATATATATATACATATATATATATATATAACTTATCTCTTTTTGTATATAATATATAGCACGTGGATTTGCAACTTGTGTTCGATCGATTGATTTCTGATGGCAGTTGGTCACATGTAGATTTGGTGAAATATCTTACATCAGTACAATCAACACTTAGCAGTATTGAAACAAGACGATTAAAGGAAACCGCAATTTTTACAAAAGAAGGGGAACCAAGTCGACAAAAAGAAGCATCGCGACCTACTGGGAAAATAGATGAAGAAGGGAAACCCATTATGGAAAAATACATCAAAAAAGTTTATCGACGGCATAAGGCATCTGATCTCTATGCACCTTTGGAAACACTGCGAAGTTTGCAATTACCGTTAATCGATTGGAAAGGGACTGGACATACAAGATGGCGACAAGGTAGTGATGAAGCAAAATTTATGGAAATACTTGGACTACGATCATTTCCGCCGTTATCAGATATTTTGCGACTGGCGTCACCACAAACCAATACTGATTCACAATTGCAAAAGCGTGCTCTTACTTTCTTCATTGAAAATCATCAAAAATATGCATCGGAATATGATATCAATAAAATCGACATCGCCTTTTTGCCCTGCTTGAATGGAAAAACATACGCAACACCCAAGAATTGTTTTACAAACCGTGAAGTGGCTGTTTTGAACTTCCAAGTTTTACATCAAGATCTTATTCTTGTACGGGATAAACTTGGTGTCCAAGAAAATCCTTCTCCTGACCAATTGATCCAAGCCTTCCAACAACAAGTGACTACAGACATCAACAAGATGAAAAGTATCCTGGAATATATGGCAAGTCGAATGGGTGATTTTGGATATTCACATTGGGAGAAACTACGAAATATGAAATTTATACCTGTGGTGGACAAACGAAAAAATCTCGCAACGGCAACAACAGCAACAAAACCTCTTCTTGTACGACCTACGGAATGCTATTTTGAATCGGATGATGCCAACTTTCACAAAGAACTCTTTTTATACGTCAACTTTGGTAGCTTGGCAAACTCATTTTTACGCTCTTGTGGTGTCAAAGACGAACCTACGATTTTAGAATTAGCTTCAATGTTAGTGAAGGATCCTCAGCGATTTTGGGATTTATGTGGTGGTGGTGAACGATATCTTACAGTATTACGACAAATTGCAGGCCAGTACTACCAAATCAAAAATCATCGGGACTTGCTACAAGCTATGAAGACTCAACGATGCTTAGTGGGTGTTAAACGAAGTTCCATTACTGAAGATACTATGGGTAGTGGTAGTGATTCTGTACAAGCATTAAACAATAACCATGATGATGATGATTCAACAGTGGATGGTGCTAAGGAAGAAGAATTCGTACAATATCGACTCGCTAAAGCATCCGATATTTTTATCAATGACGATACTATGGGCCAACATATCTTTTCGCCACTATCTGCACCTATGGAACCCATCTTGGAAGAATTCTATGCAAATTTGGGCAGTGACCGATTATCAAAGTAAGTAATGGAAAATGATTTGAAAACAGTACGAACAATGACTAATGATATCATTATATATATATTTATTGTTTAGTCAAATCAAAGAAACGTTTACTTTCCGGGAAGCTGTTGGTACTAGTGCCAGATCCAAAGCTATTATGGATGTTATCTTTGAACGCACTGGAATTATCATCTATCAAATGAAACAAGATTATCCTCAACGACAAAAGGAACTTTATCGGGATGAAAATTATATCAAACGCAATTTGAAGGTATATATATAGTTATTTATTTATAAAAAAAAAAAAAAAAAAAAAAGAAAAGCCAGTAATACACAACTCATATCTATATATATTCTTTACTTCATTCAGGTTATCCAAGCTAAAGAACTTCGGATCAATCGTGTCTTCAAACACACTGGTGCAAAGGATATACAACCAACAACAGCCTGTGTCGATAGAAGCAAGTTCATCATATATATCTCTAGTACGGGTGAAATCGACTATTATGATGTTGCCAATGCTCTTTGTTATCTAATATTTACTCGTGTTCGATTCAATGATGCCATCATTGCTGAACGATATCTTACAACAAGTTTGAAAAATCTAAGAAGAAAAGGTGTACCTGTGGATCGCATTCTTAGTATCAAGAAGACAGTGGAAAACGACCATCATCAAACAAATGGTATAGAATCATCACGACAGTCATCATCATCACCACCGCAAACATCAATACAACCATCCTTATCTGCCAGTCAACTCGATGAGTATACGAAACAAGTACTACAAGTATTTAGTGATTGCCAAGTAGGTTATATTCGTCAATTACTGAATCAAGAACAAGATAATCGTGTGGAACGTGTTATAGAAAAACTTCTTCATCAAGATTATCCTCGATCTCAACAACACGAATCAAACATTCAAGAAGAAAAACCAACTTCAACTGGTACTGATACTTTGCCATCAATTACAGAAACGCAAAAACCACAAAGATTATTTGATAGGATACTTTCTTGGGGAAGACCAACGGTACCTCCAACCACTCCACCTCGCGACAAGGAATCATCAATAACAACAGGAAATACTGAACAACAAATACCCAAAGAGGTTGAAACGAAACCTGGAAAATCAAAACTACCAACTTCAACACAAACAATTACACCAAACTACACATCCAGCATCCAGCAAAATCTGCGTCGAGCGATTCATTCATGCAAACCGTACTCTGGACAGGATATGTTCTCTCCACCGACCATTAACAAAGTAGTGGAATCGACGCAATACTGTGACGAAACACCTGGACAGAATTTGACACATGTAGGACGCATCAAAGGTATCGAATTCTATGTACATCGAGATGTGGAAGCCGAACAAGTACTGACACAATATGCACAACCAATTCAACGTTTTGTACACGTCGTGACAGGACTCGCCAATCATGTATTTGAACTCAAACTCAACACACTTCACCTTTATTATGACACAGAAGGCCCAACCATTGCATTCAATAAAAGCGGCAGTCTCTTTTTGAACTTACGATATTATCTAGCACTCCACGAACCAACTTCTACTACGGATCCTGCTATCATGCTAGCCAAACGAAAAGAAGCTCTGATCTACTGGTATATGACCCTTGCCCATGAACTTGCCCATTCTTTTGTCCACGAACATAGTGCTGAACATGAATTCTACTTTTCTTCCTTTGCTGAAACTTATTTACAACCTTTGATTGTCTATATGACCTCTTCTTTACCAACTCCTTCTTCTCCTTCTGGTACCCCTCCATCAACCGCTCCAGATATAGATATGTAGCTCCGTTTATAGTCATTGTACATTTGAAAATAAAAAGATATATTCATATATAAAAGTTTTTATTAGTTCTATTGACGAATGGTTTTATTGTATTGATAGGAAATGATCTTCAAGTGTGTGTGTGTGTATAGGTGTATATAGGACGAAACAAAAATAAGTAAAGAATAGAATTACAAAGTATTCAAAAAAAAAAAAACATCAAATAGAAACGTATGATGTTGTGTGTATGTATAATTGGGAGAGTCGCAAAATAAAACTAAATGATATGTATTGAGTGTGTGATGGGAGAAAATGGGAGCAAGGAAGAAGTCCAAGGTTGTATGTTGTTGTATTCAATCTATTCGTCGTTTTGTTCCTTCAGAGCAGCAGCACGGTTTTTGTAACTATCAAAAGGCAAAAATAAAAAAAAAAAAAAAAAAAAAAAGAGAAAGTGGAAACAAGAGAGATGAATATGTGTATGATCTTTTGTATTCTTTTTCAATAAATACTTACTCGTCGTATTGACACTTTTCATATTCATGACGTTCGTTTTCGCACTTCCAGGGAAGATAATAGGTTTCACCTCGACACTTATTGAGAGAGATAAGCATCTTGGAACAAACATCTCTATATTCAATGGGCTAATAATAATTAAAAAAAAAAATATTAGGTGATATATTTTTGTATATTTCGTGTTCTTCCTTACCAAACGGGCCTTGGCCATTTCAACTTGAGTGGCTTGAGTGGCTAAATGTATAAATAAAGTAATAAGTGAGCAAAAGTATCATCTTTGAGTAAGAAGTCGAAAACAAATAAGAAGGAGAAAAAAGAAAACATGATGACCACTTACAAGGAACTGACATGATATAAGAATATATAGAGAACAGAGAGGGGAAAAAAAATGGATAGAAAGAAAAAACAAAAACAAAAAAAAAAATATAGACAAATCAAATTGTTTTCCCGTCTCAGGTCAACGATTTTTTTTTTCGACGTCATATGCGATTGGATAAAAAAAAAGTGTATGCAGTTCGGGATTTTTCCAAGTCAGTCGCTTTTCTCGCATTTTTTTTTTTTTTCTCTGCCTTCCCACACACACAAAAAAACCAATTTTTTTTTATTATTCTTTATTTACTTTTTACTCCTTTTCTTTCTTTTTTTTTTTTATACTTACTTTCTTAAAACTCCCTACTCTTAATATCGATATGAATCGCGCTTTACAACCTCTTCGTATGAATACGAAGCGTACGGGTGTTCGTTATCAATCCCAATTACTTGAACAATGGAAAGCTGAAAAGGCTCATGCTGCCGGTAAAAAAAAAATAATACTTTTCTTCTCAAACTAACCCAAGCTAATATATTTCATCTTTTTGATAGAGGCTGCCGATACTTGGAAGAAAATCACTCTTTATGTTGCTATTCCAGCGTAAGTCTATTTTATATCTGAAGAAAAAAAAAAAGTGGCGTCATTTATTCATATGCTTTTTTTTTTTAGACTTCTTGCTTCTGGTATCAATGCTTATAACTTGTATTCTCATCATGTACAACATCAAAAGGAACATCCTCATAAATTTGTGAAATATGAATACATTAACTTCCGTGTTAGAGTAAGTGATATAATTATTATGACTTGTTTGTGAAACTCATTGATTCATTTATTGTATTAGCCGTTCTTCTGGGGCAACAATTCTCTTTTATTTAACCCAAAGGTTAATTTGGATGCCAATGAAGAATAATTAGGATTGAATCAAGAAAAAGCAATATGATTTGTTTGTTATTAGTTTAGTATGATGATTTCCTTCGTTATTAGAACGTTTGGATAGAAAATTTATGTTGAATAAAATGATTTGTTGAATAAATAAATAAGAAAATATCTATAGTATAAAAAAAAACCGTCTTAGTTATAAGAATTAAATTCAATGCTATCATATGCTTTATCTCATTATTTTATTCTTAGATACCAAGACATCAAAACCTATCTGTTTGTTAAATAAATTAGATTGATACTCTCTGATCATCCTTCTTTCTATCATTTAGGAATGATCTTAAAAGGAAAGTCTATATGCTTCTTTTTGGGATTGCCCTAAAATGGAGGGTGGGGAAGGCATTCAAACTCCTCGGCATAAAAGGGTCCCAAGCTTGGCAAATTTCATTGGCAAACGGTGGTGACAATCAGACCCTTGGCATTTTTTTTTTTTTTTTTTTACCCTATACGCATGAAAGATCGTCAAAGGCTTTCAACATATATATATCACACATAAAGAATAAGATTAGGTATGTAAGAATTTATTATTTAATAATAATATATAAAAGTGGTAATAATACTAAGAGTAATAGATAAAACTAACTAAGAATTACGAGAAGAATACCCAATGACCTGTAGTTAAGACGATCATACTATATATGATAGATGTAACAATAGTCGCCAAGGCCATGATTAAATTGAGTTTTCCCCACCAGTTTTCATATTGATTCCAACTTCCCACACAACAACAAGCTCCTAAAAACCAAATAGGTGGACAAAACCTAATTAAAAAAAAAAAAACATTTGAATACAAGAGAATAAAACTTGACTTATTGTTTTACCATCCGAATAAGAAAAAAAGAGCAGCCAAAGGAAATTGTCGTTCGCGAGCCAAGTTACGATTCAATAGAGCAATATGTTCTTCTGGGCCAAACGAAGGTGTAGCTGATGTCGTAGTAATGACAATAGTATGATGTCGAGGCGAACTGCCATATTGTTGTCTTTGTTGTTGTTGTTGCTGTTGCCGTTGTTGTTGACGCTGTTGTTGCTTTTGTTGTTGTTGTTGTTGTTGTTGTTGTTGTTCTGTAGAGGGATATAATCCAGTTGGTGAAGATCCTACTGAGTTTGCTGGTTGTTGAGGTGGTTGTGGTGAGAATCTTGGATTATAAGGTTGGTCAGAGGATTCATCATATGAAGGGGGTGGATCACTATCAGGTGTATTTCTCGTCTTTTTGTCCATTTTTCAACCTGTTGAATACTATTGTTTGGTCTTGAACTAGTTTATACAAAAAGAAAAGAAAGAAAGGAAGAGTGAAGAAAATAATACCTTCAACTTTAAATCTTTTAATGCGGGCTTCAAAATCAAGAATAAAATTTGAGAGAGAGAAGGTAACTAAAACATTGTTTGTTATTTTTTTTTCCTGCCAATTCCCTTTCTCTTGTTTTTACCATTATATAACCTTGCCTATTTGGTATGCTACGATATTCTACACGTTCAATAAGATTACAACCGAGATTGTTAGTACGACAATTTCATCCGTCACCTTCTTTTGCTCAACAACACCAACAAAAGAAGAAACCAATCTTTGGTAAAATAAAAAAGAAAAAAAAACACACGAAAAAACAAACCAGAGACTAATCAATGAATTTATAATATAGGTCAAATTAAGGATGCTTGGAATAATACAGAAACAGTGTGGTACCCTATTCCAGTTGGTCTTGGTTTAGCTGTTATAGGATATATTCAATATCGTCATATACGTCAAAGGGAAGCAACAAAAGAAGTCGAAGAACAAACAAAACCAAAATATGTGGCCGATGGACCTTGGCAGGTGCGTTTTTTTTTTTTTTAAAAAAAAAAAAAAAAAAAAAAGAAAAGATAATTCATTTTCTTATTTTATTTCTTTAGGTTCATGTAGCAGCTGCTTTACCACTTCGTACAATGTCAAGAATTTGGGGAGCATTCAATTCACTTACTATTCCTACAGTTCTTCGTCCTGCTGGCTTCAAACTTTATAGTTGGATCTTTGGTTGTAATTTGGATGAAATGAAAAATGGTGATCTTTATTCCTATCCCAATCTTAGTACATTCTTTTATCGTGAATTGAAGGAAGGTGTTCGTCCTATTGCTGATTCTACTCTGGTAAAAAAAAAAAAAAAATGAATAATACATAAATGATTCTTACATATTTTTTTTTTTTTTTTTTTGGATGTAGGTGTCACCTTCAGATGGGAAAGTTCTTCATTTTGGCATGGTACAAGAACGGGAAATCGAGCAAATCAAAGGTATTACATACTCATTGGATGCATTACTAGGGTCTGGTGATAAAAGTGTAGTACCATCAGTAGAAGCAAGAAATTCAACACAATCATCAGTGGTTGATGAAGAAACATTTGCTGATGTCAATGGTATTCAATATTCTTTGGACGATTTACTTGGTATGGATCATCATGGTGGTATTGAAACTGATAGTAGTGTGGGACCAGATGGTTTATCTCGATCTGAAGGCGAAGTTCCTGATGCAGAAGCAAGAGAAATCATCAAACATGAAGAACTCCAACTCAATGGTAAACTGGATCATAAAGTTAAACCTGGACATGGTCTTTTCTTTTGTGTAGTTTATTTAGCTCCTGGTGATTATCATCGATTCCATTCTCCTGCCAATTGGGTAGTTGAAACTAGACGACATTTTGCAGGTAGGGAAGGAAATATATATATATATAAGAAAAGGATAGAAAATATTAGAAAACTGATATATATCTATATATTAAATTAGGTGAACTTTTCTCAGTATCTCCTTACTTTGTCAAGTTACTACAAAATCTTTTTGTATTAAATGAACGTGTGGTATTACTTGGTAAATGGAAATATGGTTTCTTTTCTATGATTCCTGTAGGTGCTACCAATGTGGGTTCTATTAAGATCAACTTTGATGAGGTAAGTTTTTCAAATCTAGAAGAATGGGTTTAATGTTTTGTTTGATTTACCATATCTTTTTATATCTGGATATCAGGCATTGAAAACCAACAAGAAAGAAGATTTACCAACGGGTACTTTTACCGAAGTGACTTATCGTTCAGCTAGTAAACGTCTTGGTGGAAAACCTTTACAGTATGGTGAAGAAATGGGTGGATTTTATCTTGGATCAACGGTTGTACTTGTATTTGAAGCACCATTGTCATTCAAATTTAACGTGACTGCCGGACAATCAATCAAGATGGGAGAAGCTTTAGGTGAAATAGAACAAAAGAAGGTGGAATGATGTTTATAGTATTATAGTTTAGATGCCTTTTGTATTTATTTTTGAACATGATTGTATTATCATCTTTACCCTTATAGAATAAAAGAGAGAATAATGATGAATTTTGTTGATTTATTCCATTCATAGAGTAGGTGTTGTTTAGAGATAATTTTATAATAGATGAATTAAATTATGTTTATCATAAAGAAAAGAAAAGAACGTAAGGAATAAAGTACACGTGTATCTAGAGGATTATTACAATCTGTCGATTGTCCATTAGGGAGTAAGTAAAGTTTGTCGTTATTCATAAGACGATCATTTGGTCATGAGGATAAAAGGTACAAACTTAATCCACGTTATATAGATCAAGGGGAATTACTTGAATGATATGAAAAATCAATTCAATAGATATTGTATATATATATATATATATATATATTTAGTGATGATGTAGAAATGATTATGATTATTTTGTAAAGTAAATATATATATACATATACCTTTTAAAGTTTGAAGATACTCGACGTTTTTTTTTTTTTTTTTTTTTTTTTTTTTTTAAGAAACCCTGAATCAAAAAAAAAAAAAAAATAAAAATAAAAGCAAAGGTTATATGATAAAAGGGATAATACACTTTATTCAATAATAATAAAGAAAGAATAGTGGCAATATTATCCACATTGGATCATTATCGGGTGCGATATTAAGGACTTTATGTCAAAAAAAGGGTTTCCTCTTGAGAATTCGGATGCAATAAGTATCATACACGTGGCGTAGGTACATCAATATTTGCATGTGTTGTAATGTGTATGAGACTCCTTTTGTTTTTTTCTCTCTCTCTCTCTCTTTCTTATCTATTTACTATATTCTTTATTTTTATTTTTATATTTCTTTTATTCTTATTCTTATTCTTTTTTTTTATTTTATTTTATTTTATTTTTTTTTTTTTACTCTTACCACTTTTTTTTTCTCCCCTTTTTTTACATTACCACTCCTTTGCAAAGAACAATGTAATTCTTTGTCAATATAGTTGTATTTTAATATATACTTGTTCACTTCTCCTTCCCCATTGTCACCCTCCTTTTTTTTTTTTCTTTCTCTTTTTTTTGTCTTTTTTTTTTCTTTTCTTTCTTTCTTTTTTTTTTTTTTTTTTTTATATTTATCTCATTCTCTTATATATTATAGTTAACTTTTTATGTCTACCATATACTGGTATTCTACTAATGGCGTGGACAGAAAACGTCTAGCAGATCGCCATGTTACTGCATTAGATCAAGCTTTTGAACGACAAACACGTGTACAAATTTATGACGATGAAGCTTTTGGAAACTTACCTGCCATTGCAAGTCCACATCTTGGAACTATGACCTCAGGTGATATCCATTATGGACTTTATCGACAACCTTCTTTGTGGGAATCTAATGACTCAAATATGGATAGTATGATGTTAATGTTAGGTGATACAAATGATCATTCAATAGATAACAATAATAATATGGAAAATGGTATTATTGAAACATCATCATCTACACTTCCTGCGATATCACAACATCTTTCGAAAATACATTCAGATCAAAGTAGACCATCTGATCATCGACATAGTACTACTACTACTATACGACGAAGACACTATATAAGAAGCTCTTTGGACACATTGTGTTGTTCTATTAGTTAGATTATTCTATTTTTTTGACGTTTTTTTTTTTTTTTTTTTTTTGTATATTTATGACAATGTAATTACACTTTTTAATAAATCTTATTTTATATATATATATTTGATCGACCAAAGTTTTTTTTTTCTTTTTTTTTTTTTAAAAAAAATGATCAGCAACTATTCTCTTTTTATAGATTCATTTTTATCAAAACACAGCAATATGCATATTTGTTGTGCTTTTATGGTGAACCTTACCATTTGACCTTTAAAATCATCCAAACAGCGGTATTCAAATAGTATCACTGCATAAAGGTAAAACGCAAAAAGTTCCCCTCTTATTTTTCTTTCTTTCTTTTTTTCTTTCTTTTTTTTTTTTTACCTTCTTTTTCATGTTATCTCGTAATAAACTTTTATTTTATAGTATCTGTATAACTTTTATATTTTTATGGTGGTTGTTTGAAACTTCTCCAGATTCATCTGTAGAATTACTCAATATATCTCCTCACAAAAAGGTACCTTTTTCATAGATCAACTTTAAAAAAAAAAGTACTAATAAGCTTCTTTATATGATGAAATAGTGCTCCCATATTGAAAGACATAAAGATGAATGTGCTTTTGTCAAGTCATCATGTACAGGATTCAGTGGTATATATTTACGCTTCTATTATTGCTCTCAACTTTGGAAACCGCTATCTGTCTCATTGATGGTAAAAAGATAAAACTAACTAGTTTTTTTTTTTTTTTTTTTTTTTTTTTTTTTTTTTTTTTTTTTTTTTTTTTTTTTTACTAAACTCACGTTTTATTCTTATAAAGTGTTTAGGCTTATTATTACTCTTTGGTGCTGTCAGTGTCGTGGCTTCAGACTTTTTTTGTAAGTTCCAAAAAAAAAAAAAAAAGATGGAATGACTAGAAATATCTCTGCTGACCCTTTTTTCTCTATCCTATAAACTTTATTAGGTCCTAACTTGCAAACTATATCTTCAAAACTCAAGTTATCTGAAAGCATGGTAATATATATATATAGATATATTTTAGTGATATAGATAATTAAATATAAGAGAACTATTAAGGAAATATTCACTTTTTTTTTCTGTCACTTTTATTAGGCAGGGGTAACCATATTGGCGTTTGGAAATGGAAGTCCAGATCTTTTTAGTACATTTTCAGCAATGAATAGCGGATCGGGATCATTAGCTATTGGTGAACTTATTGGTGCAGCCTTTTTTATTGTTGCTGTTGTCTCTGGAAGTATGGGTATCATCCGGCCTTTCAAATCAAAAAGAATTACTTTTATGCGGGATGCATCTTTTCTCACTGGGGCCATTACTATGATTACTTGGATTGTTTATCATCAACGTATTTGTTGGTATCATGGTGTTGCTCTTATTATGTACTATGTATCTTATGTCTTTATTGTCGTTTATGGTGCTTATCATTTCCCTGGTTCTGAAACGCCTGCTCAGTTAGAATCAAAGTCTTTGGAACCTTCAGTAAATGATGCATTGGTGACTGAAGTATCAAGGTTACTGGGTAATCAAGGTAAAAATATATAAGTAAAAAAAAAAAATATGGGTTTTCTTTTTTCTTTCTCAAGTATCTTTTTTTTTTTTATTATTATTATTATATAACCAATGTAGATCTCAATAAAAAACCACCACCTCTATCAATACCAGAACATGGATTTTTACTTGAATCAGGTTCATCATCTCAGCATCGTTTTGGAAATGTCATTCGGCCAGTATCAATCAATTCTTCACAGCAATCAATGAAGTCATCTTTACGTATCGATTCTATCTATGGAGCAAGAACTACCAGTACAAATGGATCTATTTCTTCAAGAATGTATCGTCACGCCATGGCACCACGTGTTGGGATCAGAACATCTTTATTTGGCGCTATTGAAGTAAGGAAAACTATACACAACAAAAAAGCACCTGCATTTCTGTTTAGAAAAAAATAAATAATAAAAAAAAAAAAACTCTAACTCATATCTATTTATTATTCATTTTCTAGTTCCAAGAACAAATTACCTCTATCCGAAGGGCAAATAGTACACAATTAATGCAAACGCAAAGACAACATGACCATTCGTCTATGTCATCCACATGGAAAAGACCTTTAGAATATTCTGTTCCCAACATACAATTTGTACGACGTCCAGATGAAAGTGAGGCTACACAAAGATCGGCATTTATAGGTGATCATTCTCCTCAACTTACATTACAACAGGTATCAACAGAGTCAAATGGCAAGGATGATTATTTTGCATATATATCTGCCAATCAACATCAAAACTCCAACCATATGGAATCAAAACCAACACCTTCACTATCAACAGCATCAGTACCTCAAATCAGACTCGCACCACCAACCAATAATCATCAAGTCAAACCAATAAAAGGTCAAGTTGAAGCAGATCCTATTTTATACACAACAGCTGGTGTCGATATAGAAGAGGATAATGATCATCATTCTATATCCGTGGCTTTACCTACTCCTGATTCTGTCAAAATTCTTCCTTCAACTCCTGAATTCTTACACTCGGATGATAAACCTTGTACTGTCATGGTAGGCCCTATTCCTATACCTATTCACACTTACTTGATGCTAGAAGATATCCTTTATACACTATTCCCAACATTACAAGATTGGTCCAGCAAAACCACTTTCGCCAAACTTAGCTCACTTGTTGCCTTACCTTTTGTCTTGATCTTCACATTAACTTTACCTGTGGTGGAAAGTGAAGATATCAAAATCGATGACTTTGAAGTGGCTGCAACAGATGAAATACTAGAATCTACATTAGAAACTCAGCAGCAACAACAACAACAACATCAAAACCATCAACGTCAATCTTATTATGAATCAAATGCGACTTCTTCTCAACACCTTACTATTCCACCCAATATACCCATAGCAACAAAATCCACTTCATCAAAGACATCATCCAATGGATATTTAGTTGTACCTGATGCAAACTCATCTATACCATCACCTGATCATCAACATCATCCATATTATTCCAATGATTCATCAGCTGTCGATAATTGTTCTATTGGATTGGCTGAAGGTGATGATTTTTTGGATACTCTTCCTGAATGGAGTCGATGGCTTATTGTGGTTCAAGCAATATGTGCATGTACTTTTTCTTTCGTGGTGTTGGCCGGTACAAAAAAAAAAAAAAAAAAAAAAAAGTGATATTGGCTGATATTGGTTTTTTATTATTAATATTATTTGTAATAGTGAATGGGTTTATTGCTTTTCAATATATCAGCGTTGGGACTGCCATAGGATGTATATTAGCATTGTTCATCATGACATGCACTGATTCAAGACAACAGCCTTCTTGGTATTGGCTACTTTCGTTTGCAGGTTTTGTCATTGCATTGAATTGGATCTTTTTATTGGCCAATGAAATGGTTGGGTTATTACAGGTAATATATATACATATTACATTATCAATTGGAGCTGAAGAGACTTTTATTTTACTCTATTATCTTATTTTGCTTAGGCTCTGGGTGCTATCTTTAGTATCAGTGAAGCAATCATGGGATTGACCATATTTGCAGTTGTAAGTCAAATCGATGTAATTATCAAATATCTATAATTATTCATATATATATATATATATTAATATTAATACATAGGGAAGTAGCGTTGGTGATTTAGTGGCAAACACAGCTATTGCAAAGGTAAAAAGCAAAATAATCTCATAATTTGTATTGATTCTTTTTTTTTTTTTTTTTTGATAGATGGGCTTTCCTACAATGGCCATCTCCGCGTGTTATGCAGGACCTCTTCTAAGTAAGTGATCATCATTCAAATATTACAATAAACCAATTATTTCTTTTATACAATATTAGATATGGTGCTTGGAGTTGGTATATCATCAACATATCAAACTTTGTTAACTGGTGTACCATATAAACTGGATATTGCACCTACCATCTTATTATCTTCTGCTGGACTTATCACTGTCTTATTGAGTACCCTGGTAGTTGTGAATTTGAATGGATACTGTATCAACAAGGAACTTGGTTGGTGGATGATTGGTGTTTATGTTATTTGTTCCTTTATGGATGTCTTATTGGAAATGGATATATTTTAAGTCTTATTATTCCCATATTTTATTTTTGAATAAAATATTATTTTTTTTTTCTTTTGCTTTGTCTCATATATTATCACAAAGCTCATGTCTCACGTGGAACTCGGAATTTAAAATTATATTTTGCTCTGTCTGTCTAGTTTGTTATTGGGTTTACATTTTTTTTTTCTGTTTTTTCTCTTTTTCCCTATTTTCTCCATTTTTGCTTTTGCCTTTTTTTTTTTCCTTCATGGATTCGCAATGGTAAGTACATATTATATATTACATATGAAGAGGCAGTGACGGAAGTTAAAATAGGTGGTAGTAGTAGGCAACAGGCAACTGATTATTGTTATCGTCATAGTTATATGGTTCGATTCATATAACCTTTCTTTCTCAACGGGTGTGTGTTTGTGTGTTATGGGAGGAAGAAAAGGACAAGAGAAATATCTCATTGAACCATTGATGAATTATTTACTCAATTACTTTTTTTTTTTTTTAATCCTAGGTCATCATATAAACAACAACCGCCGACAAATTCTAATGGCACAACCACCACTATTGATGCACCTCGAACTTCCTCAACAAGAAACTATCGAACGATATATGATCCTGAATTAGATCGTGGACGAACAAAACAAGGCTCACAACTGAAATATCAATATGAAGGAGATACAGTAAGCATAGTAACAAAAAAAAAAAAAAAGAAAAGATTGCTCTACACTGTCTTGGATACAATACCAGCATTAAAAAAAAAAAGCTTGTCGTTACTCATATGAAGTTTTATATCTTTTTTTTTTTCTCTTTTGTAACAATGTAGAATGATACAACACCACCTGAAGATCCTCGTCTAAATTTCTCAAATCGTGGAAAGGATTTATCCAAAGGTCGAAAAACCTACCGAACAGAACTTGATCGTGCCCATTTCGAGGTAAGAACAAAAAAGAAAGAAAAAAAGATATACCGATTACTAATATATCCTCTATTGATATAGTTTGATCAATATTCTATTGGACCCAAACCTCTTGCTACAGTACTGGTTACGAATCTTTCATCCTTGACTACAGAAACTCAAATTGCAACTTATATGTCAGTTTATGGTCAAGTGGAACGTGTTGACATTGAAAGGAATCCTGCAACTGGTGGATCACTTGGTATTGCCTTGGTTGGGTTTGGTGGAAATGGACATGCTGCTGCAAAACTTGCCGTAGAAAAAGGAAATCGTAGAAAAATGGGTCCTGCCAGTGCTGTCAAAATTGAATACGACCCAACTGGTAAAAGAGGAAAAAAAAAAATTCATTGATATTACCATATTGGACAAAAAGAAAATGCTGACACTAACCTCTCTTATTCTCTCCTCTTCGTTTTCTTTTTTTTTTTTTTTTTTAGGTGAAAAATTGAAAGCAGCTATACTTGAAGCCTCTTCAGAAAGCGACCCATCAACAAAAATAGACAGTGCTCTTGATAAATCATCTTCATTATATGATAAATCAAGAAATGTATCAGCTCAAACCTCATTACCGAATGACTTGAAAAGACGACAACATTATCATGAAGAAAACGAACTGGTAGACAAGGATATTTCTAAATGGTCAAGGTATGATAGTAGTTATCGATATCAACGTTCAAGGGAATATGTGGACAATCGATATTACAATGACAGTCGGTACCGGGGCTATTCGAATGGCACTTCATCATACTCACCGGCAACAACAGCATCTATTAGTGACTTACCTCCATCGTCATCCGCATTACCACCACCAACTTCAATGCCACCACAAGCACCAATGTATTCATCAAGCTCAAGGTATCCTATGCCTCATTCTTCTTACTCAAGGAACTATGACCTCGACCGATATGAATCAACATCGCGCTCTTCTTCTTATGGCTCACTACCTCCTCCAACATCATCTTTGAAATGGGATCCATCTTCAAAACATCATACTGGAATAACAAATCATTCAAGGTATAAAAGTCGTAGTCGCAGCCGGAGTCGTAGCATAGGACGGGAATCAAGTTACTACGAAAACGATTATCATTCTGGATCAAGATCTCGGTGGGACTATGATTCTGGGCGTGGTGATCCTTGGGAATGTGATTGGGATCGACGTAGAAAGCGAAGTGATTACAGGTCAACTCGCGATGATCGACGATTACGAGAGGTAATTTAATATTGAATTGAGACTAAAGTTAATTCTTCACATATAATCTGATTCTTTTTTTTTTTTTAAAAAAAAAATATATATAGGACCGAACATCTACATCTGAGAAACAACCATCTTTAGTCATTTCGAGGAAACATCTACCATTTGTGCGTGGCATCTTGGAAGAACTACGGAAAGTTTTTTACCACTACAATTTTTTGGAGGCAAGTCTCAGAAAAGGAAAAAAAAAAAAAAAAGGGAACAAACAATGACAGGTATATTATATTGTCTAACACTCAATTCCTCTATACCATTTTTATTAGATTTATCACGATGATGATAATTGGCAAGTTGTATTTGATTCAATAAGTACAGCAAATAGGGCATTGGCAGCGATAGATGGACAATCAATACTGGGATATGTATTACAAATGACTTTACAAGATCCAGCGGCCTCCAGCGAATCGATCACTGATGTAAACGATCAACAAGAAAAGTTACGGCAACAAAGTTTGGAAAATACGAATATACATCTACCTTCAACTTCGACCACGTCGCTGATAACTAATTCAAATTTGGAAGTCTCATCATCAGAGTCGACAACGAAAGATTCATCCCTAGTTAAATCTGAATCATCATCTTTCAACAACATCCAGTCACTCGAACCTGATCACCAGTTAGATGATCAATCTACAAAGTCAACTGACCAAGTTGCTCTGCATTCTTCAAATCAAGATCAAGTCGAAAGAAATAGCAAACAGACACAAAAATATGGAAACGTCATGGATCATGCCAAACAAATACTTTTCGATCAACTAGCGGATGTTTTTTTGAAGGATCTAAAGAATCGTGTGGTTGGACCTTGTATTTATGATTTTTTGAATCCCGTACTTTACAAACGAGCAACTACAGCAACGCAGACAGTAAAACGTGGGGACTTTGGAGTGTTATCAGCAACCACAATCAATGTTGGCGATACCTCTGATACATCTTCTGACAATAAACTGGTTGACAATGCCTTGGCGTCTTCGGCTCCATCAGTAACCGGAAACAATGGTAGTACTCTTCCCGATATCAAATCAGCAACATCTATCGATACATCTACTCCTATTAGTTCATCCAACTCAACAATAGATCAGCAAGATGACATCAAAAAAGATGATGGCGCTTTCTCTCTACCCAAACCTGAAGAAAAGATCAATGAAGGACCACTACCATCTCTCAACAAATTACCAAGATTCAAAAAGCGATCCACCTCAACTGCATACAAATCATCAACTACAAGTGAACATACTAGAAATGGATTATATCATCAACACAGTCGCTCATCCTCACAAAAATATAATAATTACAGCGGAAGCTCTGACAGCGACAATGATGACATTGGTCAGGGAAATGGTTATAGCTACGATGACAGTGATAATCAACAAGCATATGGATACAAACCTATGAAACACAAAAGAAAGCTATTTAGATCAACATTCACATCAGAAAGAAGGGACTCTAATGATACTGCATCATCACTGACATCGGCCATGGCATCCAATATCGAGAAATCTGGTACATTTTTTTCAAGCTCGGAAGAAGGGGAATATCAATCTGGAGCATCATTACCTTCAAGTGACCATGAGACTGGCAAGGCTTCTTCATCTACCACTATCGTCCCTACGGTAACAACGCCACGTAAAGGAAGCAAGATGATGGACAGGAAAAAACCTCGACGATTACGAGATTATCTTAGTGATGATGAAGAAAATGAACTCGATCAAGAAGTACACGATTCATTTCTCCGAAGACTCCACCGAGAAGATGATGATATTTTGGACGATTCTGTTATCAAGAAAGAGGAACACGTGGACGCAACAAATGGCATGGAATGGAATCATGTGGACGGGCAAACTAAGAGTGATAGTACAGGTGAACATAGTCTTGAAGATATGGATGAAGATGACGAGATTGGCGTGAAACTGGAGTGGCAATACAAAAAGCAACGGAAACGCAGCAAACAACGTCGAGATACTTCAGCTGACGATACATCAGATGTGGGCAACCAGCGAACACCTTTAAGTGGACATAAGAAAAGGAAGAAAACTATGGCATCAACAAATAACGCGAAAATCAAAAAGAATGAAGCGATGGATGACATTGATATTGGTGGCAGTACACCAGAAGATGACAGCACACTTGGCAATGGTGGTGAAGAAGATGTTACACTAGATAATCACAGCAACAGGATGATGATGATGAAGAAGGATGATGATAAGACTGAAATGGATCAAGAAACATATGAACGCATGTTGCTGGCACCTGATTCTTCGGATGACGAAATGAATGACTTGGAAGAAAACATCAAGGATGGAAAAGTACAAGACGAAATCCTTCAACCTGAATGGGATCCATTCCGACAAGTACAAGATGTGGAAGATTTTGAATTCCTACGATTGGCAATTCTGGAAAAACTTGGACTTGGAGCGAGCATCTCGGAAACGGAAAATAAGGAAACGACGACGTCGGATCGTGGTGGATGTGCAAGATCCAGAGGATATTATGTGATTTCAGATGCAGAAAAGGCAACCTATCTTCCCAAGAACAAAGCAGTACTGGATACTTCTTCTCTGACAGGCAGACTCTCTTCGCGTACGAATCGAGTGAACAATCGACGGTTTGCAGCTGGTATGGAAATGCAGAAAAAGGTCATGGCGGATTCGGATATCTTGAAATTCAACCAACTCAAGGGACGCAAGAAACAACTACGATTTGCCAAATCTCCTATCCATGACTGGGGTCTTTATGCGGAAGAACATATTGATGCAAATGATATGGTGATAGAATATGTAGGTGAAGTTATTCGACAACAAGTAGCTGAAGAACGTGAAAAAACTTATGGACGATGTGGGATTGGAAGCAGCTATTTATTCCGTGTGGATGATGATATTGTCATTGATGCAACAAAGAAGGGTAGTATTGCCAGATTCATCAATCATTGTTGTTCTGTAAGTTTTTTTTTTTTAAAAAAAAAAAAAAAAAAAAAAAAAAAAAAAAGGGATAGATATGTGATTCTCATCATTTTTATTTTATTTTGTTTTTATTTATTGGTAGCCAAATTGTACTGCCAAGATCATCACAGTGGACAAACATAAAAAGATTGTTATTTATGCTAACCGAGACATTGAACCTGGAGAAGAAATCACTTATGATTACAAGTTTCCTTTGGAGGCTGAAAAAATACCTTGTCTTTGTGGAAGTAAGGCCTGCAAATTGACACTCAATTAATGGACATCATTCAAGAACAAACATCTATATATACATTCCTTCCCTCTTTTTTTAGTTTTATCTATACATATTTATACTCATCGACTTCTTTTGACTTATTCTTCTCCTCATTTCATGTTTCCTTCTTAATATTTAGTTTATCCCTTCGACTAACCTGATTACTTTGTAGATACATTCGTCATCATCCTTAATAATAATAAGCATAATAAAAAAAAAAAAAACTTCTTATATTTATTTATGGTTGTACACGACGGAAACACCAAATCAAGATGATCGGAGCGCATAGAAATCAGAAACAAGAACAAAACAACGTCCTGAAAAGGGAATTGTTTATATTGTTGTTGTTGTTGTTGTTGTTAAGATAGTCAAAATTAGCGTATTGTTCCTCCAACCATTCACGTTGTTGAGCTTCTTCGGTCACGGGTCGAGCTGTATTATGGGTAATCTCCATGGAAATAGGTCTAGAATATCTTTTAATACTAATGGGAGATGATGATGGTGATGTTAAAGTAGATGATGATGATGATGATGATGATGATGATGAGATTAAATCAACCATGGGCGAGGCTACCTTTTTCTGTTCTAATTGATGCCAATCAAGTCCAGCAAACCATGGGTGATTGAAAATGGAACCGTCATTACTATTAAGTCGTTGATGTGATGATTTTTGTAATAACTATAAAAAAATATAAGGGAACGATCCTAATTTTTTTTTTTTTTTTTTTTTACTTACACCAGATATGAAATGAAGACATGAATTTGATACTTGACCATAAGCATGATCAGGGAAAATCAAAGGTTCATAAAGGATGGCTTTGATTAATAATTCGTTTGATGGAGCCGTAAAAGGACGCTATTATATTTATATATATAGGTGAGTGGATTGAAAAAAAAAAAAAAAAAAAAAAAAAAAAAAAAAAAACTTACAGTGCCAAATAATAATTCAAAGGCAACAATCCCTAAACTCCACCAATCGATGGAGGTGGTGTAACCTTGTTGTGAAATGATTTCAGGGGCCATGTAAGCCAAAGAACCAGCTTTGGACCATTGCAAGGGATGATTTGTTTCAAAGGTAATGGCGACATTGAAATCACTTAAATGAGCATGACCATTGTTATCTAACAAGATGTTTTCAGGTTTGATATCTCGATGACATACACGATGTTGATGAAGATAATGTGTGGATAGACAAACATCAGCAATGACAGCACGGACGTGAGATTCTTTCAAAGGATGATGATTGTTTTTTAATAACCATTGACGTAGATCACCTCCAGACATATAATCCATCGCCATATAAAGTTGATCATCATCTTGAAATGCATATCTTAAATTAGCAATCAAGGGATAAGATAATCGTTCTAATAATTGACGTTCGGCAACAATATAATGACAGCCACGACGTTGGATTGTTTTCTCTTTAGACATGATTTTTAAGGCAAATGTTTGACGTGTTCGCTTATGTTGAACTAATCTAACTTGACCAAATGATCCTTCTCCTACCACTTTTAATAAAAGAAAATCATCTAAACTAGGGGATGCTATAATAATGCAAACAAAAAGAAAAAAGTAAGTCTGTGCCTTGTTTTAAGCTCCGTCTGCATATTTTGTGTACTTTGTTTACCATTAGGATCCACTTTGTGATGACTAGTCCAACGCATTATTGTTTCTTTTTCAAGTATTATAAAGAAATAGAAAAAAAAAGAAAAAGAAAAAGAAGGAGAAACAAAAATAAAATAATAAAGAAAAAGGTTTGGGTCTAAATATAAAAAAAAAAAGAAAAAAAAAGAGTTTTATTGATTGTTGTTGTTTGAATGTTGAAACATAATGTTTAGAATAACGCTTCAGGTTTGTACAACCCACAAGGTGAATGAATATCTGATCATACAAAAAAAAAAAAAGTTATAACATCTTAAGTGGTTGAATAACCGATTTTGTCACATGTCAAATATAAGCAGAAAAAAAAAAAAGGGGAAGTTTATCTTTCTTTTACTAATATAATTAATATCATTTAGAATCATCATTATTATTATTTGTTATTATTAGTATTTTATCATGATATGATTATTATTCATACCTAATTCATTGTTCTTTTTCTCTTTTGTTTTATATTTTTTATCCCCAAACTATGGTGTAGTACCATCCAGTTCCCGCTCGGTCAAAAATCATATATCTGCTCCGATTTTGGTTTCTTTTTTTTTCTTTATTTTTTTCTTTCTTTCTTTCCCTTTTTTTTTTTTTTTCTTTTCTTTTTTATTATTTATAGAAATGGATTTCCTTCGACAATTACCTACACATGTTTATATAACTGGTAGTCTTGCCTTTCTTGTATGGTTTCGAAACTATGGTGGTTATCGATATCGATGTCTAATGGCTATTCTCTCATTAATATTAATGGCCACATTTGGTGTCATTGCTTCTCTCATCTTACCTATCTTTGGTCAAGCTGGATTGATCAATTATCTTGTTGCTAGAGGTTATCATTATATTGGTGGTTTCTTCACTGGTCTTCGTACTACTATTATAGGTCAAGAAAATATTTTACAATCACCAGCTGTTTATGTTTGTAATCATCAAACAAGTTTAGATATCATGGTTATGGGTTCTATGTATCCAAAGAATACTTCAGTTGTTGCCAAAAAAGAACTCAAGTATTATCCTTTTTTGGGCTGGTTTAGTAAGTTATAGATGATTTGTATATATATATTATATATTTATTTTTATTTTATTTTATATAGTGACATTAAGTAATGCTATCTTTTTGGACCGAAAGAATCGTACCAATGCTTTGAAAGAAGCTAGACAAGCTGCAGAAGATATTCATAAGAAAAAGGTAAATTAGAATAATAATAATAATAATTAGGGAAAGTGAAAGGATCATATGTTTACCATAGTGATGATTTTTTTTTAGATCAGTGTTTGGTTATTCCCTGAAGGTACTCGAGGTCATTCTTCCAAGGTAGATCTTTTACCCTTCAAAAAAGGAGCATTCCATATGGCTGTTCAAGCACGTGTCCCTATTGTACCAGTTGTGATTGCAAACTATAATGATATTTATTCTACCAAAGCAAAACGATTTCTTCCTGGCAATGTGAATATCAAAGGTACAAAAAAAAAAAAATGAACGAATGAATGCATGAATGATTGTTTTCTCATATTTATTATTATTTTATTAATAGTATTACCACCTGTTGTGACCAATGATATTGATGAAGATTCAGCTTCTATTGAAAAGCTCAGTATCCGTGTACGTGAATCTATGTTGACAGCATTGCGTGAAATCTCTCCAACCACCAAAGAAGAATAATAGGATTAAATAGAAAGGATTTTGTAGTAATAGTATCTTTTTGTGTGTGTGTGTGTTTGTGTAGTTTAGAGTATCCTTTTATATATATACTCAATAAACAAATCAAAATGATATCAACTAATATGTATTATATGGATTTTTTTTTTTAATGTACAATTTCGGTTCAATAAATCATATACACAAGCTTAGTTAGGTCGCCGTCACGATTTTGAATTTGAACCAAGAAAATGTCTCTCCCTTTTTTTTTTTTTCTTTCTTTCCTTTGTCTTTCTTTTTTCTCTTTCATACCATTTTTATCAAATTACTCTTCTTCTCTTTATATACTTTAGTATAGTCAAAATCAATTTTATTTTATTTTATATTTTGAACTCCCAGTCCTTTTAGTGCGTAGTAGTTTTGTGCTGGATCCCTTCTCTTTTATTCCTTATTCTCTTTTGCTCGTTCGTCGGATACGCCAATGGGCACGACGAAAAGTCGTAAAACAAGGCGAAACACCTCAAGACCCGCAGCCATCGATTTTCTTACCAATATACCTCTTGGCAATGCAACAAACACCAAAGAATCTTTACCTTATTCATTTAACACCTACTCTGACAATCAACAACATCACCATACTAACAATCCTGACAGTGATATTCTTGATTATACTGAATATCATGATCCTACTTTTGACGAAGATGGAGGACCTTCTGATATCGCTGGTAATAAATAATAATAATAATAAAAAGGGATCAACTTTTTTTTTTTTTTTTACTAATATTTTTCTTTTCTTTTGGTAAGCCTTATCTTTACATTCTACTGATAGTAGTTCAACTGATGACGAACACCATTCCTCATCCGCCGCCGCCGCCGTACCAGTGGAACGACAAGGACATTCATTATCACAAGCTTCATCCTTCTTGACATCTGGAGCCTTGGACCTTGTCACATCTCAAGGAGCAAGAAAGAAACAACAATATCAAGAACATCGACGACGTAGTTCGGGGGATTCTTCTCATGAACATCACAAATTGACCCGTGAAGATAGTGAACGACCTATTGCATCTGAAAAAATCAAAAAGAAATCAGCTTTATCTGGCAATAAGGAGGTAAAAAAAAAAAAAAAAGAAAAGAATTCTATGTAGTTATTGATTTTTTTATCTTCGTAGCATGGTCATGGAGGTGGTACCACCATTATGTCTGTTTTTCGATATTATACGGACAAAATCCGACAATCCGCTGGCAAACGAAAAAATGATAAAACATCAACACAATTGGGATATGTGTAAGTGACAAAAAAAAAAAAAGATAGTCCATTACTTTTTTCTAAACCTTTTTTTTTATTCTGTTAGCCAACAACAACTTGCAAATCATGATCATCACAAACGACGAGCTGGTCTTTCCTATGCTCATTTTCTTTCACCCATTGGAACATTATTGTAAGTAGATAAAATACAAAGAAATATATTGATATATTATTTCCTTTTTCTCATTATAGAGATGATACTACGGTAGAAGAACAACTTGAAGAAAATGCTTATGATCCTTTCTTTTTGGATAATGACTCATATAATTATATTGGCAACTTATCAAGCTCATTGGTAAAGAAATTTATAAAGATATATTGATAGATACCTAACTCTATCATTTTTTTTTAGACTTCTTCCACACAAAATGTTCGACCAGCGGATGCAAGAAAGGAACTAAATGAACAATTCCGATTGGCCCATCCTGATATCCCTAGTGAAATTACTCTTACCAAGATTCGATCCATCAAATCACATTTATTAGAAATTGGCAAGGCTGTGGATTTAGAAATCTCGACTTTGGCTCATGCTTATGTGTATTTTGAAAAACTGGTGATCAAGGTAAGAAAGGAAAAAGAGGAGTAAAAAAAAAAAAAAGATGGGAGTAGATCAAAGAATGAAAAAGAATCAAAAGAAATTTGTCTCCTCAAATGAATAATGATTTGATAGAATGTGGTGACCAAAAAGAACCGGAAATTGATAGCAGCATGTTGTCTATTTTTGGCATTCAAGATCAACGAAGCTAAAGGTACTCAATGTCAACCATTATTGGAGGTAAGTGATATGATCAAGATGGAAAAAGGATAATTAACTTTTCTATTTATAGGCCATGGATGATGAACTTGGTGAAGATGCGGAGGAAATTCATGAACATGAATTTGCTGTGTTTGCCGATCTTGAATTCAACTTGTATATTCCTCGCCGTGAATTCATGCCTCATTTCGAACGGATATTCACTCATTTGGGTAAGCCGATGACAGAATTAATATTTGCACATACTGACATCATTTTTTATTAGAAAACAAATCCATTGAAGCTTACCTTGGTGATTCTTATTTTTATCAAGTCCAACGTTAACATCTATGATAGTTTTTTTTTTATATAAATAAAGTGTATGTGATTAAACATTCCAGTGGAAGTGACTTTGACAAATTTCGATATCTGCAGTGATGATGATTTTTTTTCTTTTTTGCATCTTTGTTTGTTTTCTTTTTCCATCTTATCAATCCATCTCGGGTCAAAGAAAACAAGGCTTGACAGGTATTGAGATTAAAAAAAAAAAAAAAGGGAGAGGATGCTATGCAGAAAAAAAAAAAGGATTGGTCATTTGTCAATACATTTGGACAATCATCATCTATGCAAACCTTATGACGAGGAAAAAAATGGAATCCAAATGGTATGTCTTTATTAAATATGTTGTAAAAAAGGGGAACTAAATTAAACGAAAAAAAAAAAAGGAATGCATATCAAGAATACTATATGTAATGAGGAATGAATGGATCTATTCACGAAACAACAAGTAAAAAAAAAAAAAAAAAAAAAAAAAAAAAAAAAAAAAAAAAAAAAAAAAAACAAATTGGAGATACATGAAAAAAAAAAAAAGATCAAGAATGTTTCTGGGCATATTTGTTTTCTTCGTTTGTTGTTGCTGGTATTATTTGTTGGCTATTTTGTACAAGTGTTGAAGAGGATGATTATATATTACACAACTAATCGATGATGATTATTTTTTTTTTTTGTTGGGTCATTTTTCCAGTCGATCTTTTCCTCCATCATCAGCATCAAGTTGAGGATCGGAAGAGTCTGAAAGTTGAGAAGTTCGTTGTACTCGTCTGGTTAGTGATGTTGTATCGCATTGCTGATCTGTTTTTTTTGTTGGTATGATATCTACTGGTCTATGAGGTAGAGAGAGTGATCCGTTTGTTTCTGTACTATGTAAACTGAGAAATGTATCCTCTCGTCGATGATGTTGAAAAGTACGCCATGGTGTTTTGGAAAGTAACCGTTGTATCCACCGATTAGATGATGAAGTTCTATGATGTCGATCGTCATGATTATGCTCGTAGATAGCTTCATCCACTAACCTCGTTGATCCAAAGGGTTGCCGTTGTTGTTGTTGTTGTTGTTGTTGTTCATATGCTGTTGCTGTTGTACTAGAGATCGTCTTAGAAATCGTCTTTGTCAATGCTGTTGATGGGAATGAATATGGATGCTTTTCATCAGGCACATTGGTCTTATATTGTTGTTGCTGTTGTTGTTGTTGAGTATAATTATTGGTTAATGTAATAGTTTCTGATGAATAAACAGGTGGTCGAGAAGATGTAGGTGAATTAGCTGAAGTAGAAGTTGATGAGATGGCATGCATTTCCTGTTCAAGAGGGACAATTACAACTACTTGTTGACGTTGAATCTGAGGAGTGTCATTATCATCGTCATCATCTTCATCATCATGTGAATGAGACGTTGGATCAGGTTTGGAACTAAGAAGATAAACACCATATACCAATACACTAATACCAACAAAGACAAGAGAGATGGCCCAACCAGGATAATTACCAATTTCGTCCAAATAGATGATTGTATTCACCAAACCAACTGCAGTATAAGTACCATAAAATACAGGAACAACCACAACAGAAGTATATAATTTCAAGGCGGTATTCAAGCAATAAACCTAATAAAGCAATTATAAAAAAAAAATACATAAATGCATAACCTTTATAAATATGTACATATGATATGTATGATTTATGTACCTGTAAGATTGCTGTGATGATTAAGGCTAAAATGATGAATCGACTTGTGTTGTCTGTAAATTGATTGACTTGAGAATTGACGGACAATGTAAAAAGTTTGACACTATTGAAAATATAAAAAGTTTTATATAATAAAAATAAAAAGAAGTGAAACTTACCCACTTTTCGCCAATAAAAGAGTTTCACTAGCTAATAGACCACCATCCAAACTAAACATGAGACCAACCATCCTTCGCATCTTCTTAGTTGTCATACCAACAAAAACGGGTCGTTTTAATTGATCAGAAATAGCCCAGCGTGACCATATAGCAAAAGCCAAACCAGAAAATGTAACAATATTCAAAGCACTAAAATAAATGATGAAGATAGGTCTTGTAAATAAAGTCTTGAGATTTTCCAAAGAGATAGAAGCTTCCGCTATATAAAATATATATTAAAAACAAAAAAAAAAAAAACGGAAATATAATGATCAACAAATATAGTCATGTCTCCTTTTTATTCCCCCTCCCCCAAAAATAAAATAAAAGAAAAAAAAAACTTACGGTCTTCTCCATTATACATGCCACCAAAAACAACTATCCAGATCACAGAAGCTACAACAACTAAAGTACCAAAAACATCCTTTCTTGTAATGTTTGTTCCCACCAAAATTTTGGCAAAAATAAAGTTGTAAATCAATGCAACACTACCAAGAGGAGCTACCCACTAAAATAAACAAATAAAAAAAAAAAAAAAGAATTTGTTAGTATTGGTGGGGATCTTAAGAAAGGTGATGATAATATACATATATATAAATACTCCAATCACTCCCTTCTACTAACTCTTCCAAACCCCCCTTCACACTACCTGTCTATTTCTTTCTTTTTTTTTCCACTCTCTCCTTGTTTTTTTTTATTTATTTTTATTTTTATTATCTTGTATTGAATCATACCTGAGTTTTGAGATAATCTAATAAAAATGTAAAGAAAAAGTCAATAAAAATATGTAAATATGAAAAAAATTCAATATATATATTTCATGAGGAATAAATAACCTTACTTACTAAGAGCAATAGTACTACCAATAAGTTGACTAGCTACATAAGTATAAAGTCCAATATGCCATAAAGGACGTCCACAATCACCTCGTCGTGTTGGTTTATTACCTTCTTTGACATGATCTAGTTTCAATATATTCAAACCAAGAGCATCCATAAACGAAGCTCCTAAAGATACAAATACCCCAATCACAAAATTGACCGCGTTTTCACCGGCCATCATGTGTAAATGAATAATAAAAGGGTATTTTGCAAGGAGATAAAAAAAAAAAAGGAAGACCGAATAAAAGAATAAAATAAAAAAAAAAATAACCAACAAAAAACAGATAAAATGTGATTTATATATATAAGAGAGAAGGATAAAAAATAATAATAATAATAATAAAAAAAAAGAGTATATAAAAGAAAGAAAGAGGAAAGAAAAGAAGGGGTGATTATCGTATGTAAAAAATACAAGTATCAAGAAAAAAAGGGGTCACCAAAAAAGGAAATCGTACTTTGGGCGGAACACACTTTTTTGTTGAAAGATTCGAAACAGAACCAAACAACCAATATCATCTCTTGTTGATGTTATATATAAATGATGTTTATTTACAACAACAACAAAAAAAAAAAAAAAAAAAAAAAGAGATATTAAAAATAGATCAAAAAAACGAATGATGGGATGAATGGAATAATAACTATTAAATAATAATAAAAGAATAATGGTAAAATGATAAAATACGAGAAAGGATGGAATATAAAAATTGTATAAATTGGGAGTTTTTTTTTCTTTTTTGTTTTATACATATATAAAAAATGCATCAAGTGGTAATAGCTGTAGGTTGGAATTTATCATCCGAGATCAAAGAATAATCATCATCTGTCAATGCTAAATCATTCACATCATCTTCAATTTCATCTAACATAAGTGGTTGACCTATATATATATAGAAAAATCAGTATTATTTATAAATCTTTTTTTTTTTTTTTTTTTTTTTTTTTTTTACCATGAGGATGATGTTGTTTTTCTAATCCAACAATACTATTCGGTGCTGCTTCACGATAATTTACACTGTTTCGATTGCTTCTTCCATCTCGAAGTTGTAATGTAGGTCTTCTTCCAAGTTGACTAGTTTGACCAGTGGTTGTACCATTTGTTTCCTCCATAACCTTGACAGGTGTTTCGTATACAGTATCTTCATCATCCAATATCATTCTTGGTGCTGCATCACCATCTTCCGTTGTCCAAAAGATATAATCAAATTCACTCATCAGTAAATTGAAAATCGTACCAGGTATACCAAGTGTTGGTGAAAACACAATACTGACATTTCGCATCGTCATTTTGTTGACATCAGAATGTTGTACCACTTGAATCAAATGTGCTGTCAAGGCCCTTAACAATGTATAATTCTCTATAGGTAAGATAGAAACAAGTCGTCCAAGTTCATTCACTCGATCCTTTCTATCCAATAGATCTATAAAAAACAAATTCAATTAATAAATACGAAATTATTATAAAATAAATCAAATTTACCAATCACATGAAGGAAATCCATACGATGTTCACGGGTCAACACGCTAGTTGGCAATTCACGTAGCCACATTTTCAATAATCCAGCAATAGCATGTACGTCATATTCTTCTTTGGCTGCCAATAGATTGATGTCACCCTCTAAATAAATAAAATTAGAATAAGTATTAAAAATTTTTGCTTTTCCTTTTAATATATATATATATATATTTACTTACCCAAGTCAAATTTCTGTTTGAGTGATTTCATCATTATATTGCTACCACTTAAACGATAAAGTCCTTCTTCCAAAACAGCTTTCTTGGCATCCAAATATTCAATACACCGGAAAACAATGGATGGTAATTGATAAGTATCTGATACACGAGACGTACGCACTGATTCTTCGAGAGGAACACCAAATACAGGATGAAGAGGGGTTTGATTGGTTTCTTTACTGGAGGAACGACCATTTTCATTTGAAGGACGAGATAGAAAACCACGTAATCCAGAGGATGTTGATGCACTAGTGTTGCCATTTGCACCTGATGACGTTGATGATATGTCCAAAGTATTGTTGTTGGTCGTAGATGATGAGGATGGTGATGGTCGAGAAGGAACTACCAAGGTTTCATTGCTATTGTTGAACATTTTCTTGCCCCAGAATGTCATTCGTTTATGTTTGGTTTTCTTTTCTGATACTTCATCACTGAGTAATTCATCGCTATCACGGCCAAAAGCAGGAGAAGGAGATAATGCACGAGCAGGGAGAACAATTTCTTCATTGTTGGTATTGAGTAAATTCACCATGGAACTACGTCGAGTAAGATGATGTGGCGTACGTGGTTGTAAAGAATTATTATTATTGTTGTTATTTGATTGGGTATGAGAAGATGTCGCATGTTGAAGTTGATCCAAACTTGTACGCTGATCAAAGACAATAGGCGGTGCAGATGGCCATACTGAAGGTAATGATTCTGAGCTTTCATTGATGGATTTGGAAAAATCAGTAGGACCAGAAACAGCAACGCCAATCTCTGAAGGATCTTGCATCATGGATGGTCTAAGTTTATCAAATTCAGATTCATGAGAGGAGCCAGACTTCGTACTTGTACCAGATTTAGAAGAAACTGATTTGGAAGGTTTCTTTTTCATCACAGATCCACCACCATTATTGACTTGTTGTTGAGTAGTATCGGTTGATATATATGCTTTATCTTCTTCCAAAGTCACATTCTTGAATAACACATCCACCCAAGCATCCCGTTCTTCATCAGAATCAGCACATAGAATATGTCGAGCCACATGAGAAGATCCAGACCGTTTTTGTTCCACAATCAAAAAAGCATGTCGATAAATATTGTTTTCATCCGAAGTAGATGTTCCAGGTGTTTGGCGTCCAATTTGAGCATTGACAAGTCGAATGGTACCAAGGTGATTACCATCCTTTGATTCATAGTATTCTAGACTAGATCCATGTAGTACAAAGTAACGTGTTTTCCAACCACCAAAGTTCTTGCCTCGTTTTGTCAAATAGCCTTCTTTGCGTCCAGTACGAGAATACATCACATCATTGTCCACCACATTCGTACTTAAGAATTCACATAAATCAGAGATATCATCCATGGGCAATAATATAATATGTTGAAGATAATGTTCCAATGCTGCTTTTCGTCTATCCACTTTACTTGGTGAATTAGTGGTAAATAATGCTTTATCAGGTAATTTGGCAATACGATTTGCAACAGATCGCTGATTTGATTTCAACTAATAAAAATAAATAGATGATGTAAATATATATATATTCCTTTTTTTTTTTTTTTTTTTTTGTACCTTGGCATCCAATTCAAGAAAATGAGAATATAATTTTTCTACACGCCATAATTCTTCATATTCCAAATTATGTTCATCAGGTTTCTTGCCAACAGCAATAATAAAGGAAATCACTTCACGATTCTTTTCATTTTGACGTATATTGGAACCAAGTACCTTGACTGCAATGTTTGTAATACCACCAGCAAAAGGACTTGATGTTGTACCACCAGCACCAGTCATAGGTCCACCAGAGGAAACTGAGGAAGATGATGATGAAGATATAGTAGTTGCTGATGACATGGAAGGCATAGGTAGAGGAGGTGGAGGAGAAGAATTATTCATAGAATTGATATTGGAAGTCGTAGGAATAGGTGTGGAAGAAGTTCCTGAAGCTATAGGTATATTATTGTTGTTGTTGTTGTTGTTGTTATTGTTGTTGTTATTGTTGACAAGATCATGAGCGTCTAAAGATGGCATGGCAGGAGCATCCAAACCCACGGATGAAGATGCAGGGGGTGGAGAAAAGAAGATATGACTTTCTCTTTTTGATCTATTTCCAGTACGCTGAGCCATAGTAGTAGCAGTAGTAGTAGAAGAAGAAGAAATCGTAGGACCACCAACAGGAGGAGAGCAAGGGCGTAAATAAGAAGAAGACGAAGAGAAAGATGAGGACAAAGAAGAATCATCAGTGGGTGTGTTGGCAAAGACGGGAGAAGACACGCTAGGCATAGGAACTACAAAAGGTGGTGGTTTATTGATTTTGAATTTTTGTATATTTTGAGCATCTTTTTCCATAATCAAGTTTCGAGGAGAAGTTGGTATTTGTTGCTGTGTTTTTATTGTTGTTGCATTGAGAGTCGAGTCTGAAGTGTCAAGAGAAAAGTTGAGTTGTTTTCCACGTTGACGTTGTATTTGTTCCTTATGAGCATGTTGATGTTCAGGTTTTCCACTATTAGAACGATAAGGAGAGCGAGGTGGAGGCATAGGACTTGTTTCTTCATCTGGTTCTGTCATGGCTTTGAGAGCTTCAGGTGAGAAAAGGATGGAAGCACGTTGTTTTCGAGCGCGTTCAAAAGAGTTAACATTATCTTGTAAACCATCCCTTTCTGCAGCCAAGTGAGAATTTTCTTTTTGAAGGTTTTGAATCATGGAGCGTTGTCGTTCAATAATCTTCCATAATTGTTCATTTTGAGCTCGTAACTGATTGAACTCTTCAACATTGACAAAAGGAGCAGACATATAAAGTGTTGAATGTATAATGAATTGATATTTATATATATATATATATATAAAAATGATATAAAGAGTGGAATGGGATTAAGTATAAATAAAATAAATATATAAAGATATATATAAATATATATATATATAAAAGAAAAGAGAAAAAAAAAAAGAAAATAAAGAAACAAAAAAAAATATAAAGAAAAAGAAAAGACACCAAAATATAAAAGGAGACAAAGGAGAAAAAAAGCCAAAAAAAAAAAAAAAAATTATATATATATATATCCAGTCAGGTGTCAATGTTACACGATTTATATGTTTTTTTTTTTTTTTGTCAAGGCTTAAAAAGAGAAAAAGAGAGAGACATGGATCTTATTTTATATATGGTAACCAAAATGATTTTTCTTTATTCTTATATAAAAAAAAAGTATATATATCTTATATATAATATTAAATAAATCATATTGATATTCATATCGTTTCTTTATCATTTTTTCTTTTCTAACCCCTCTTAACTCCTTTTCCTTTTTTTTTTTTTTTTTATTTCATTTCTCTCTTTCTTCTTCTTCTCCATAATACTCTAAACATTTTGAATCGGTGCTTCAATATTCATTTACTAAAAGAAAATGTCACACATGATAAAACCTTACTTTACACTTTGAAAACTTTGGATGTCAAGAATAAAATATGCAGTAATATATAAAAACACGTTTCTTTTTTTAAGACAGATAGTAAAAATGGTATTTCTCTTCTTTTTTTATATATATATATAAATATTTTTTTTAAATTATCAATCATGATATATAAAACTAAAAACTAAAAATCAAAATCATTATACTAAGATAAAAGATCATCAAATGGAGAAGATGATTTTTGTTGTTGTTGTTGTTGTTGTTGAGGAGTCATCAAAGGTGAAGAATTAGCAGAAGCCCAATTATTCCAACCAGCATTGACACTTGTAGATTTCATAGCATTCATAGAAGGTCCAGTACTTGTCTTGTTCGTTTGATTATTTTTACCCAAAGAATCCAAAGATACAAAACCAGATGCTTGAGACCAAATACCTCCTGGAAGATCAGATTTTTTATTGTTATTGTTGTTGTTGTTAGTAGATACATTGGATGATGTTGTCATGTTGCTACTAGGAGTCATAGGTCGAGATGATGACGAAGATGTTGTAAATGTATTGGTTTGTTGGTCAAGTAACGAAGGTTGAGAAGCTACCATCGATGGTGATACAAATGTGGGTGCTGCTGAAGATGAAGTAAATGTGTCGTCACCCAATAAATCAAACAAATCATTCTTCTTTGCTGTTGTTGCTGATGTTTGAACAGTTGTTTTCGCTGTATTTGATACTGCAGGTGCACTTTGAAAATCATCAAAATCTGATATTGTTATTTAAAGAAAAAAAAAAAAAAGAAGAAATGAATATAGGTATATATAAATAACAGGATAAATTTTTACCATCATTTCCATTACTAGTACCACCAGTGGCAAAATCACCCCAATCATCATCCACTTTTTGTTCATTGCTAGGTTCACTATCACCGAAATCAAACAAATTGGCTTCCTTAGCTGTTGCAGGTTGAGATCGTTGAATAGGACTTGATGGGTTGCTAACTGTTGTTGTTTTCTTGGAAGAACGGCTCACATCGACATCATCATCATCATCGTATTTACCGCCAATATCATCATCATCATAAAAGCCATTGCTACCAATGCCTGAACTGCTGAATCCACCACCACTACCCATAGTAGGTAATGAGTCACTGCCAAATCCAGTAAAACGAGATCCACTTGAGCTACTAAATCCACCTCCACCAGATCCCATACCGAAAGAAGTAGATTCTGACCCAACACCGGTATACTTGTTGCGATTTTGTCGTGCCTTTTTTCGTTCAGCTTTGATTCTATCTATATCACTAAGTAAATCCGCCAATTCCTTTGCACGATTGCGAACTATAATAATAAAAGTAAATGACGAGCTATATATATATATATAATATATATATACTATTTTTTTTTTGTTATGATAATACTTACTGTTGATACCTTGATCTTTTCCTTTTTCATCTATATGATGAAAGTTTCTCATAATTTTGATCATGGAGATATGTGATCGAGCATCATCTACAACACGTTCAGAACCATTCTTGACTAAATATTCCAATAAGACAAGAGCCTATAAAAATAAAAGTGTAATAATAAAGTTAATGATTATCAAATGGTTGTTTTTATCTATTTCCAGTCTTTTATTATTGTGATACCTTGTAAATTTGTCTCCATTGACTAGCTTCTTTTTCCGTGAATCGTTTGTAGAGAGTAGGCATGATTTCATTGAAGTATTGACTATATAACATGAAAAAAAGAGAAGTTAAAGAGATATATTTTTTCTTTAGAAGGCCAACATGAGGAAATAGTTATTTCTTTACTAATTGAAAGTTCCTTGAGCGATTTCAAGCATCAAAGTACTAGAGGCACCCCAGGCTTCGTTGTTTGTGGCTTCATGGACTTTAGCTTCCATTTCGGTGTAATTGAGTACCACGTTCTTACTATTTTTAACAAAATAAATATGAGTATTGTTTTGTATTGGTTTTATGTTATATATTTTTCATCTATAAAGTATATGAACTGATAATATTCAAAATGACTTACACCTTGTTGATGACATCCTAGAATATAGAAAAGGAGACAAAAGGAAAGATGACAGTTCAATGATGAGTTTGATAAAAAGTATTACAAGATAAAAAAAAAGAACAAACTTACTCTAACTTCCCAAAGGTCAGGTATTTGTAAGTTAAGTTGAGATAAAGAGTTCATGATAATCTCACGTTCAATGTCTATTGAGTTAATAAGAAGTCAAAAAAGAAAAGGAAAGAAAGAAAGAAAGAAATAGAAAAAAGTAAAAGGAAATAAAATGAGAAAAAAAAAAAAAGAGCCTTAACTACAGAAAAAAAATTAAAAATCCGTCATCCCCTTTTTTTTTTTTTGTTAGTTTGATATATTGACAGCAATAAAATGATATTAGTAAAAAGGGAAGATAAGTAGTTTTATACTTCATTATATTACTTTTCCTATCTTTTTTTTTTCTTTCCGACAAATAGTATTGAATTTATTCTTTGGTTCTAGTTAATTTGTTCAAGAGGAAGTTTTTGCAAAAATAAAGGTGGCGGCTTTTGAAAAACGATCAATGAGGTCTCAGAGAGGGAAAGTGCTAGACATACAAAAATCAGCAGAAATCCAATTTTTTCCTTTTTTCTCTTTTCTTTTAACTAGTTCTTCCTCTTCACCCCCCCCCCAAAAAAAAAGAAATAGTTTATATCTATCTATTTATATAAAGTATATCAATATTAGTCCTCATGTCGTTTGCTAGAAAAGCTCCTACTACTGTTGGTACTGATAGACATCATCCTCATACCTTATCTACCTTGGTAAGTATCTTTTTTTTAAAAAAAAAAAAGTAGTAACGCGTTCCTCATCTTTTATCATCTCATTGCTTTTTCTTTCATATTTTCCGATGTATTCTAGGACTTTCAAAGTGCTAGTTCTGCTTCAGCTGCTAAAGCCATGAAGGTAGAATTAAGCAAGTTATGTTCACAAATCACTAATGAAGAACAACGCAAGGTAAAAAAAAAAAAAAAAAAAAAAAAAAAAAAGAATTTCTGAAACAGCTATCGGATGAATCCTTAACTTCTTTTATTTATTTACATATTTAGTTCCGGTCTCAAGAAATGGATGGATTTTATATGTTATTTACAAGATTCCTTGATGAACAAGCCAAAGGAACTAAAATGTAAGTGATTGATCAAAAATGGGTATTATCGGATAATCATGGGCGATCAACTGATGATTGTATTTTTTTTTTTTTTTTTTTTTTTTTTTGTATTATTTTTATCCCTTGTTAGTGATTGGGATAGAATTCAATCTCCTTCTGCTGAACAAATTGTACCTTACAAGGATATTCCTGAAGTCTCAAATTCCAATGATCTTGAAAAACTAGCTGTACTCAAGTTAAATGGTGGTCTAGGTACAACTATGGGATGTGTTGGTCCAAAATCTGCTATTGAAGTCCGTGGTGGAATGACCTTTTTGGATTTAAGTGTGCGCCAGATAGAGGTAACAATGCAACCCAACAAAAAAGAACTTTAAATAGACTCATTTTATTTTATTTTAATTAGTATTTGAACAAGAAACATGATGTCAATGTTCCATTTATTTTGATGAATTCTTTCAACACTGATGATGAAACTAAAAGAATTGTTCAAAAGTATGCTACTCATAATGTTGATATCATTACTTTCAACCAAAGTCGTCATCCAAGAATCAAAAAGGAATCTTTATTACCAGTACCTCGTACACCTGATTCCCCTATTGAACAATGGTATCCTCCTGGACATGGTGATTTATATGAATCTTTGTATACCTCTGGACTTTTGGATCAACTTTTGGCTCAAGGCAAGGAATACCTTTTTGTTTCCAACGTGGACAATTTAGGGGCTACTGTGGATCTCAACATTCTTCATCACATGGTTTCTTCCGATGCTGAATTTATTATGGAAGTCACTGATAAAACCAAGGCTGATATCAAGGGTGGCACTTTGATCGATTATGATGGTCATATTCGATTATTGGAAATCGCTCAAGTACCTGATGAACATGTGGAAGATTTCAAATCTATTAAGAAATTCAAGATTTTCAATACCAACAATCTTTGGATCAATCTCAAGGCTGTGAAGAGGGTAATGGAGGAAGAACAATTGGAATTGGAAATTATTGTAAATCACAAGACAACTGAAAGTGGTGAAAAGGTCATTCAATTGGAAACTGCTGTGGGTGCTGGTATCAAACATTTCAAGAATGCTCATGGTGTCAACGTACCTCGTACTCGATTCTTACCGGTGAAATCTACATCTGATTTATTCTTGGTTACTTCTAATCTTTATTCTTTGGTTCATGGTGAATTAGAAGTTAATCCTAAACGTATGTTTAATGTAGTTCCTTTGGTCAAATTGGGTGATCATTTCAAGAAGGTTAGTGATTTCCTCAGTAGATTCAAAACTATTCCTCAAATTTTGGAATTAGATCATCTTACCGTGACTGGTGACGTTACTTTTGGATCTCACGTTGAACTTCGAGGTACAGTTATTATTGTAGCAAATCATGGTGAACGTATCGATATTCCTTCTGGATCCATTCTTGAAAACAAGGTAGTGACTGGTAATCTTCGTATTTTGGATCATTAGTTTTTTTTCTTTTTTTTTTTTTTATATATATTTTAGTATAGTTTCGTTAGGGGTATTATTCATTCCTATTCATCTTCTTATAAACAATAAAAAAATAAAAAAATAAATAAATAAATAAACAAATCATCATTTTTATATTATTATTATTAAAGTTTTCTCCTTTTTATTCTCTATATGTATTAAAGTCAAATCAATATCTGATTTCTATATATTTGAATCATTAATCAAGCGTCCTCCACTATACTTTTTTTAGGATGGTGCCGACTTGCTTTTTGTGTCACTCAGTCCATTCTCATCCAATCAAAGAAAAGAAAAAAAAAGTTCATTTTTTGATTCAAGCTTGGCTTTTTTTTTTTTTTTCTTGTCTTTCTTTCTTTCTTTTTTTTTTTTTTGGATCCCCCTTTTCTTTCATTACTTAAACTCTCATATATATATATATATATAACAGTTCATTCTCATTATGGTATGGTTTCTTTCTTCATCCAACAACAGTAACAACAACAAATATATGCCATTCCACTCAGTCTGGAGTCGTCGCAACAAACGTGGCTTGATCAATATTATTAGATGGCTGGTGATAACCATCCTTTTTATCTTATTTTCCTTCTTGGTCATTTGTCGATTAGAATTGAATGCTAGACTTTATATTCGTCAATGGATTACCCCATCAAGACCTGTACAAAAAGAACCTCTCTCATCAACTTGTTTTGGTAATCTCACTCACGATACCTCCAAACCACCAAAAACTTATACATACAACTTTGTTCCCGGTATTCCTGTCTGGGAAGAATATACTTGTTATGATTACGCCTCTTTATTACAACCTCTTCCTCTCTCCTCTTCTCCAGTGATGACTACTTTTCACACCACTTGGTCAAGTCAAAACTCGGAACAACTGACTTCAGCTCACTTGGCGACATTTCAATCATTCTGTGCAACACAACCTTTGAATTCTTCACAACTTATACTTTGGATCCATCCTGATGATGAAGACAAACTCAAAACAGATCCTCTTTGGAAAAAAGCAAGAAATGACAAGGTTCGATATCAAGTGTACACTGAAAATCTGACTGTGGGCACACCTCTTGAACAACAAACAACTAGTACGATTATGTCTGATCTGGAATTGGTGAAACTAGCTGTTCTTTATCATCATGGTGGCATTTGGTTTGATTTAAACACTCTTTTTGTCAGGGATATGACTCCTCTTTTAGGACATGAATGGATCGCTCAAGGTAACTGTCAGTCATCAATGTCTGGGAATCCATTTGATAATACAGGATTGATGCACTTTTACTCCAAATCATCCTCAATATGTGAACTTTTATCTGGATCAACAAAACCTTTCAATAACAACAAGAACAAGATCGCAAATGCTATTTTTAGTCCTGGTAGTACGATCAAAGCCCGTGGTACAAGAGGTCCTGAATTATATCAACGTATTTATCACAATCTTCTTCGCAATGGTGTCAAGCCTTGGTCAACCTTACCTTGGTGTTTTACTAATCCCTCTCAATGCAAATCCTCCAATTCCTTACCGTCTCCTTTTGTTCAAGCCAATTTTAGTCCCCTTCGTTTACGTCAAATCTTTGCCTTCCACTTTTCCTCTCCTCCAAGAAAACAACAAGCTCCCTCTGGTTCCATTTACAGATATCTTGAACAATATCAACAATGGTAGTAATTATTTCCACTTTTTATCTATTTACCTTTTTTTTTGTATTCCCTTTTTTTTTTTTTTTTACTATTAGTTTATACATACACACCTGTATTTCCCTATCACCTTCCAACCTTCATTATCATCATCATCATCTGTCAAATATTCCGATTGCATTAGGCAAACATCTCTATTTTATTTTTTTTTTATCATCATCGCTAGTTACAATTATCTATCAATCAAATAAAATATTTTAATACCCATCGTCTTATCCATCTAGTGAATGTTTTTATTGTTATCGTACTTTTTTTTTTGGAAGTTATGTATTTCTTGATTCTACTCTTTAATTACGTTCCTCCTCGATGGAGTGATCACATTAATTGATTCATCTTATGAGAAAAAAATGATACGATTTCTCAATCTACACAAGTAAAATTGAAGTCATCGATTTGTGTCTCAAACAAATGAGAAAAATGATCCGAACATTAGCTGTCAGATGGCCTTTTTTTTGCATTATCGACAGATTGTCTTTTCGATCCACTAGCAAAAGAAGTAATCATAGATAATATACATATCTTTTGTTAATAACGCTTATCAAGCATGACGATATATTTAAGCTTTAAAAATGGGATTTAAAGAGTGATTAGAGCTGTGGATTCATTTTTTATTTTTTTACTTTTTTTTTTTATTTTTTATTTTTTTTGGATTTTACAGCCAAAATTTCGAATTCCCCAGCCAAATTTTGGCTGTAAAATTCAAATTGTCGAGTGGTCATCAGGCGATTTTCGAAAAAAAAAAAAAAAAAAAAAAAAAAAGGACAATCTCTTTTTCTTTTTCTTTTTTTTTGGATAAAGTTAACTGAAGGTCAAACTAATTTTATTGTCTCTATCCTCATAATTACCGTTTCTAATATTGTGATTCGTAATCCGTCTTACCGTTAATCATAATACCATATATCCAACTACTATGAACATACTCCATCCAGCGTACAATCCCATCATTCATCCAGTCATTACACATGTGTCACCCACTATTCTACCAACCATCATTTCTTCATATTGATATCATCTTTACATATAACATAAGATAAGAAGATTGTTTTATTTCATAAACTACAAAAATAATACATATAAAGTCTATCCCACTAAACATCATCATCATGGTTAGATATTTCGTTTCTTCATCAAGACCTTGAAACTATTTTTTTCCACCGTAAGAGTGATAAATTGACGTACATCCTTTGCATGTTCAAGTTCTTCTGGGATCGCCTTGAATTCGTATCGACGGATCAACATTGCAAGTGTGATACGCATTTCTTGAAGAGCAAATTGTTTTCCAATACAGTTTCGAGTTCTAAAAAAAAAAAAGATAAGTTATATTGGTATTAAAAAGAAAGACTCATTCTATCATTTCCCACTTTTTTTTTTCCTGCTTACCCAGCACTAAAAGGATAAAAGGCGTCCAAACAAGGAGGTGTTTCTGCATCATCAAGCCAGCGTTCTGGAAGGAATTCTTCAGCACGAGGCCAGTAAGCCGGATTTCTTTGTGCATGATTGAGACTACAAATCACAACTGTCTATATTTGTTCATGAAGAGATAAGTACCAAAAAAAAAAAAAAAAAAAAAAAAAAAAAAAAAGTGAATTTATTTTCTTCCTTACATTTTTGGGAACAAATAATTTGCCACCCAACACAATGTCCGAGTCAGTAATTCGTTGTAATCCATTGGAAGCAATAGTATTGAGACGCATAGTTTCGTTGATGACAGCATTGAGGAAAGGTAAGTGCTTCAGTTGATTGTGAGTATGTAATAAATTCTTTTCTTCCAAAGGTACTGTATCCACTTCAGCTCGTAATCTTTCCATTTTGTCTGGATGTCGTAAGAGTTCAATAATGGCAAACCCAGTAGTATTAGAAGTTGTTTCAGATCTAGATTTACAGGGACAAAAATTTATTTATGTTAGTATATGAATCACATCTATTAAAAAAATAGAAATATTACCCAGCAATAAGGAAAAGAATCACTTCACCAATGATAGCATCTACAGTGAGACGGTCTTCTTGATGTGATGCTTGTTGAGTATCGATCAAAATCTGTAGAATGTCATCCCGACGTTGATGACTTGTCAATCTTTTCGTGATCAGGTCACGCATAAACTATAAATGCATAAAAAACTAATATAAAAATCTTTTTTTTTTCATTTGTTCTTACCTTGTCAAATTGTGGGGAGCTGTTTAAATGGAAAATCTTGACCAGCGTACCGAGAAAGGGATACATGATCAACTTTGGAGCAAACCGCATACCTTTGCTGATGGCTAGAGGAATAAAATGATCATTTGTATCAACCATGTTGAAAGATTCGCCAAATGCAGTATTTCCAATAATATCCAGTGCTAAGCACGCCAAGAGAGACCATATATCAACAGTACCAAACCCATCTGGCTGAGACATTGTTTGTGCAATATCTCTATCTATCCTGTGTATAAATGCTTCAGTGCAAGAGTCCATAAATGGTTCAAGAGAGTTGAGGTATTTGATTGCAAATGCTGGAGATACAATTCTACGCTAAATAGAGTGAAGATAATAATGGAATTAGTTAGCTGGTTTATCTCGATATGATGATTTTTTTTTTGGATTTACACGTTGTTTGTGGAATACTTTGTCTCTTGTATTGAATAATGTCTGGCCATCATCGTCTTTAATATATATATATATACAAAAAAAAAAAAAAAAAGAACAAGTCAATAATATATAAAATATTGGAAATAAAGAAGGTAATTATACCTTGTAGTGAACTATAAGCGGGACCTTTAGGTAAATCATCTTTGACCAGTATTTCTTTGATCCAATCTTTATCAGACACAGCAATCGTAGTAGGGTTGATTTTCACTACAGTGCCATACTTTTCGTGCAAAGCCTTCATTCGACGGTAACTAGAATAGATTCAGTAAATATTATTAAATAAAAGAATTTTGTAGAGTAGTATTGTAGGATAAAAGTTCACTTTACCTTGTTCCACGTGGTATATCAGTAAAAGCTCTTGGAATAGAAAAAAACTTGGCATAAAACGGACCAGGGATTCCACTGAGATTTCCAAAGTAAGCATCATATAGTTTCTATCATATATATATTAACCACAAATTACTTATACTCTTCATTGAAAAGAAAAAAAGTACTTACAGATGTTATCTTATATGATATCCAAGTGATTATAATCGCTGAGCCAATCGTCTTCACTTGTTTCTTTTCCACATGTTGAGGCACATAAGATCCAAACCAATGTTCAACCTTATGTCGAATAGCAAGAGAATCCATTGAAATAAAAATAAAAAATGAAAAAGAAAAGAAGAATGAAAAACGCCGATAAAAGATGACTTTGTAGTAAAATCCAAAATAGGAAAATAGGTCTATAACGTCACACAGGCTACACTTCTTTTTTTATGATAGCATAACATGAATCAACATCACTTTTAGCATTATATAATAAATAATATGGAAGACTAAGTGTTACCAATGAGAAATAGTTTATATATATTTTGAAATAATGATCTCGAAAGCTTAGCAATGTTGTATTGGTCATAATATGATATGATAGTATTCCCTTTACAATATTTTTCTTGGCAAATGTTCTGAAATTGTAGTACCTTAACTTTTCCCCGTAAAACCCGACTGATGCCCTATGTAACAGTAATGAATAAAATCGGATGTAATGCTTGATCATACAAACTAGGAAAATATCTTTTTACTTCAAAATAAAGGTACATAAAAAAAATGTTTATTCAGATGGAAAGATATAATAAAAATATAAAATGAACCACTATAATCAATAATCTATTTGCCTTGAAGAATAGCTTTGAAAGCATCGCAAAGAGCTTTATCTACATTTTCAAATAATATAGAAAAAGTTAGTTGAATGAAGAAAGTCATGTAAATATATCTTACCGATAGGATTGGTAATAGTGGCATTAACAACAGGATTTGGTGGTTGAGATAGAGTCATAGGACAATCTTCACGAGGTTTATCAAGAGATATCGCATCTTCAAAAGTACCTATCGATGGTAATATACAATTTTTTTTTTTAAAAAAAAAGAATCAGTCTTTTTATTTCTTACTATATATTTTATTTTGTCTTACCAGCCCAAGCATCACGTTTAGTCAAAAAGTTTGGTAAATTGAACAACTAATACAAATAACATAGCCATTAAAATGAGTTTCCTTCATTTTATTTTTCTATCATTACCTTCTTAATTGTAGCAGGCACAGATGAATGTTCATAATGGGAATCAGGATAAGGACCTTTAGCTTCATGGATAACAGCACCCTTTTTCACCCAAGGAGAAATAAGAATAGCAGGCACACGAATACCCTATTTAAATATATAGGATGAAATCATCAGCATTAGTGATTATCTTTGTATTATCTATTTCTTACCAATCGATCAAAATTAAAGTCTGTGTGATTGATACCATCAGGGTTGGGAACTAAAAATCAAAAAAAGAAAAAATAGTGAGAGTCTAAATCATACCTATTTTCTGATGGGATTATCTTACCACTTGCAAGAGGAGTTGGATGATGATCATGGTAACCACCATGTTCATCGAAAGTAACAATAAGTAAAGTTTCATTCCATTGGGGAGAGGCACGGATCATTTCATATACTTCTTTGAGTAGCTTTTCGGCATCGGCAACATCAGAAGGAGGATGAGCATCATTTTCCACCTATTAGTAGATCCAACAAAAAAAAAAAAAAAAGGTTATTATCTATATTGAGGATTTTCAGTTTCATCTTTATTATCACTTACAATACAGTTTCCAATAGAAAAGTAAGCTGGATCAATAAAGGAAACGGGAGGTAATGTACCAGCAGCAGCATCTTTCTTGAGATGGCTCCAGTTCTTGTAATGACTCAGCGAACCCAAACGAAGTTGATCAAAAATCAATAAAGTAGGAATTTCTTGATAATAGTTTGCCCATTCAATTTGAGCATCTAATATGAAAATAAATAAATAAAAAAGAAACAACCATTAGCTCAATGTCAATTAAATATTTGATCTTTTTTTTTTTTTTACCATCCAAGTTATTATAAATGGTTCGCTGGGGATATCCTGGAATATATTTGACACCATCAGTAAACACTTCACCATGTGATGTTGCACCTTTAATAAGAATAAAAAAGAATATGAGTCTTTAGTCTGTTCATGTTATCTTTTTAATTTTTTTTTTGATTACTATGAAGGTACATCCTATTTGGCATTGTTGAACCAGGGAAAGAGGCAAACCATCGGTCAAATACTGTATAATTGGAAGCCAATTCATAGGTAATAGGAACACTACTTGGGTCGAATCCATCCATGATTTGGTGAAGAGCAGTAGCATTGTTTTTGATTTTAGGATAATTTTTAGCAAAGTTAGCCACAAAACCATCCATATTGGCCATTTTCACGTCGTTGGAAGAAAGAGAACCATTACCGCTAATTTGTTGAGTTGTATCAGTATATTCGTGTCCTGGGTCAAGAGGATCTTTCAAAAGACCTTTATTAGTAGCGCAGATCTTCAAGCTGGTCTTGTCAGTAGGATCCAAATAATTGCATTCGTTGCCAGTCAATCCATCCAGTTCGTTGTTGTATTTGAACCAACCCATTAAACGATCGTAGCTTCGGTTTTCAAACATAAGAATCACCACGTTCTTGATCTTTTCAGATGCGCCATTTTCTATCATAGACAAATGGAAAAACGGAATAACATGAATAAAACTATACTTCCAGAAATAAAATAAAAACAAAAATATAGTCTTACCAGCAAGGTCTTTGAGAATAAAAGGTGTGGCTTTGTCATCATTCTGACCCAAAGAAGGAAGATTCCACTGAGGAAAATAAAAAAAAAAAAGGAAAGAAAGAAGAGAGAGAAAAAAAAGAAGGAGTTAGGATATATATATATATATATATATATAAAAAAGGAAACAAGAAAAAGAAATTCAGTAACCGAAAGACTCACATTATTTTGAATTGTCTTGAGAATAGAATAATGATCATAAGGTACACCATCAGTAATAGAAGTTCTCTTTACAGGAGAACCTAACAATACTGTTAATACATGATTATGAACTGATACCAATGTTTCTTGCTTATCCCAAGTGATAACAAAAAGTGTATTCTTGCTAAAAGTAGATTGCGTGAGTTTGGGTTCCAAAAAAGAGGAAAGCCATTTGGATGCAGTTGCCAAATTGCTGTCTATAGAATTAAATTAAAAAAAAAAAAAAAAGGAATACAAAGGAGAAGAATAAGGCAATGAGTACCAAATTTGGAAATAAATTTTTAAAACTTTTTCTGCTTTGTTCTATCTTTTACTTCTGCCATTGTTATTCATCTATATCAAGGTTGTGAGAAAATGATTAAATGAAGAAAAGGTTAGAGTTTGCATAGGTACAACCGACATATATTTATATATATAAATCCATTACATTAGGAGTATAGAAGACAAATTGAGGAACTTGATTATTTTTGATATCATCATCCAATTGAGTACCAGGTACAATGTTACTGCAACGAGTAGGATTACCCGAGATATTGGTAAATGAGATGAACGGATTATGCTTGCGTGCATAATTACCAATGGATGTATCATTATGACACTTGCCGTCTATTTAAAAAAAAAAAGATCAACAATAACAAAGCGGTTTAATCACTATAAAATAATAATAATAATAATAATAGGATGATGATCATATCAATAATAATAATACCTGAAGGGTAATCTTCCTGATAAGCTTTCCACGAGATCTGTTTCTTTTCAAGTAAATCCACAATTGATTTTCGATCATCAATATTGGCATCGAAATCCAAATGAACTCCTGAAGTGGAACCACTAATCATACCGATCTATTTTTAAATAAAGAAAAAAAAATAATAAGATAGGATGTTGATCATTAGGAAAAAAAAAAGTATGCACTTACATAGTTTCCTTGAGACGGATGAGACAAAGCTTTATAATTTGTCAAGGAAATGCCATTATGTTTTTTTGCCAACGATGAGAGATAATCATCTTTCATTGCATCATCATAATTAGCATCTGAAAGGACAACAACTACCACACGATCAAAATTTTTTCCAGGGACAAGCTTAGAAGAAGAAGATGATGATGATAAATTATTGCCACTAACAGGAACTGCAGAAACAGATGATGAGGACAATAACAGTCCTGTTGCCACAATGGTTGTAAAAATAGACCACTTCATAAAAGTAGTTTGTTATCAAAAGGCAAAGGAAGAAGCAATTGAATTAAAGAGGAGAGTGAGAGAAAGTGAGGCTTTATAATTGCTTTTTTTTTTTTTTTTGGAATCCGTATCGGAGTGACAGGCATAGCAGAAACAGAGATGACTTTGTCTATGTAATATCATGTGAATAGGGGGATGATTCCTGTCAAAGGGGAAACAAACTATACTTTTGAGTTCAATTCATATTTAATGATAAAATTGTATACAAGATCTGTCACACAGGATTTTGTTATTCTTCGGATAGAATAATTCAAATCACTATTTTAGTTTTGTCATCAATATATAGTGGTAACTTTAATAAGCAAAATAAAATCATCATCATCATCATCATCATTATCATCTGTTCATTTTATATATAAAAGTTTCTGTTACCATGCGTACATTTACAGACTCGCTATAGGTAGATTCATTTGTAGCCACGCAGTGTAATATGTTTAGTGTAACTATTGTGACACAGGACAATAAAGGTAATAAATCTCTCTTCTTTAGATCTATTCTCAAAAGGAAAATAAACCCTTATGTTAGTCAAACTGAAGAATCAACTTTTTCCATTGTACTGCGGGAGAAAATAAGGTAGTACCATTAGTGCGTTAACACATTACGTATTTCTTCCTATTATCCAAACATTGATGAGAAATGAATATGATCATCCGTCTTTTTTTTTCGGGATGGTGAGATACCAGCAAATGATGATCCTGCTAAATAATCATTGATCATGCAGGCACGTTGTCATCGTTAATGGTAGTTTATTCACTTTGAATTGAGACAAAAAAAAAAAAAAAAAAAAAAAAAAAAAAAAAAAAACTAGAATAAAGGGAAAGGCGAATAAAAAAGGTATGTATACTGTAACATTGGCAAGTTCTATTAAGCCATAAGAGACGTGATAGGACATCATCCATCATTTCATGTCATTACCCTATGATCCCAGATATCCCAAAATATAATAAAGATATAAATAAAAACAATGAACAATTTTTATTGAATAAAAATAGAGAGAATACTAGCGCTAATACTAAATATCCAAAGTCGTTTAACGGTAACGACGGAGAGAAAGGGTGTTGCGTCTCTTCCAGCTGGCATGACGACCGGAACCACGAGTCTTGGTGAACAAATGACCCTTGCCCTTACCACGGGATTTCTTACCAATAGCAGTAAGACCACGAGCTTCACGACGCTTGTGAACGGCATTGACGATCCAGTTGATACGGGGATCACGACGGATGGCCTTGTGGGAAGGATCGACAAGGATAACTTCAAAGTACTTGTAAGTGGCATCTTGGTTGATCCAGTAAGAGTTGAGGACACGGAGGTTGGCACACTTGCGACCGACACGTTCTTCAGCAGTGGATTGGAGAGAGCGTTGATACTTGAGTTGGTTCACACCTTCGTTGACAGGCTTACCATAAGTAGCACCCTTGTGAACAGGTCGCTTACGGCCACCACGACGAACACGGATACGGTAGATAACGAAACCTTGCTTAGCCTTGTATCCCAAACGACGAGCCTTATCAGGACGAGAAGGACGAGAAGCACGATGGATGACGTTCAATTGTCTATATTAAAATATACATATATATAATAATGAGCTTAATTATCCTCTTTCTTCCTAAAGTTTCCTTTTATTTTTCATTGGTGTACCTGTATTCCCAACAACGAACACGGAGCAAGAAACGGAGGACATCCGATTGCTTCTTTCTTTGCAATTCTTCGAGATATTTGTAGGCTAAAGATAGTTTGGTTGAAAAGAAAGAGAGAAAAAAAAAAGAAGAGGTCAGTCAAATGTCTATAGATCGTCAAAAAAAAAAGTAGATTTCGATAATGTCGAATGAACTTTTATAACTTACCACCCATGATAAAGTACTAATCCTATTAATATAAATAAAAAAAAAAAAAGATTAGTCAGTTCCTGATTGTTAAATAAAATTTCATCGTTCCAGATATTGTATCGTTTTGCCATTCATCACACCCATTCATTCATCCATCCATCCATCCATTCATCCATCCATCCATCCATCCATCCGTCTACATAATCGATATCCAACTATCTAGGTAATATATATCGTTCGTCCCCAATAATCGTTTCCAGCCTTCTCTGCTATTCCTCAATTTCTTATATACCTTGTTATGGATATGGTTGGATGAAAAGAGGAAGATCCGAAAATGGACTCAAGCCCTACTTTGAAAATTGCAGAGGTATTTCAAACCCAGTGCCTTTGAAGTCAACTTTGAACCCTCCTTTCTACAGTGATAATAATAAGACATATCATTTTGCATGAGGGGAGAGGTAACATTACATAATAATAAGAACTAGCTTGAAAAGTGGAACCATGATTTTTGTTTTTTTGTTTTTTCTGTATAATCTTCTTCTGTATCTGGCAAGTATCAGTGTCACTGGTCATCAATAATAAAGAAATGACGTAGTTTTATTTGGTCGTTTGATTATTTACCACACTAGTTTATCCCTCATGATCAATGACATGTTTTGTTTTAGAGTATTAATAACAGTAATAGTAGTATCAAAAGGGGTATAGTAATAATAATAATAAAAGAAATCTATATTATCTGACACAATCCTGCAAAATTCAAATTCAGTGGTGGGAAAGAATTCCCTAAAAATTATGTTGGAAATTTAAAAAGCTTTTCTTTCTTTTCATTTTTTTTTTCTCTTTACTTCATTCTTGTTTTAATATGCTGGCGAATTGAAATATCAACGTCATTTATACCTATTCTATCAATAATGGAAGAAAATCAAACTACACTGACAAGTTTCAATTTTGATACACCCGAAATGGAACCTGATCATGAAGGTATCCTTTCCAAGTTATATGAAAAAGTCAAAACAGCAGTTTCAATAGGTCAACAAGATGAACATCCATCAATATACGATAAATCAACGTCTTATGAAGAATTCAACACTGAACAAGATATCAATATGCCTTCCAGTTCTGATTTGACTGCTATTCTACATCCTTCTTCGTCAAAAGTTACTTTGATAGAATCTTCTGATCTTTCCAAACTGGCAACTAGAAATTCTCAACAGCAAAAACAGTATACTCCACCACATTCTGGTAGTATAGACAATTTGGCTTTACATCTTTCTTCATCTTCTACAAGTTCCAACAATGACTCGACTCAATCCACTGCTGGTCCCACTCCAAATCTATCAACATCTTCAAAAGCTCCACCTACCGCAAGTGTAGTCATTACCACTGCAACCGCTCAAACCTCAGCAAGTACATCAACAACCTCTTCAATGAATGGAAACAACAATGGTAATGTTGATACCTTGACTTCGCAACCGCTAGTCGTCACCAAGTCTGATGATCACGTTCATTTTTCACCTTCAACAGCTGAACTACCGTCTCATCGTAGGAATAGCAAAACAGATATATCAACAGATTCTCAATACTCTCCAGAAATCAATCACACTTTACCTATGACGAAGTCTAAATCAATCGACAGTGATACCCAATCTATTGCTACCAATTTCTCTATCTCAAACACCAACTCTTTAGGAAGGATCATGGCACGTTTACGGGGACAAAAACAAGACAAGGAGTTTTGGATGCCCGATGAGCAATGCAAGGAATGTTACAAGTGTCGAAAGCAATTCACCATGTTTAGAAGAAGACATCATTGTAGGTTTTGTGGTAAGTGGATCATAATAAATATTTTTTTTTTTTTTTTTTTTTTTTTTTTTTTTTTTTTTTTTTTTTTTTTTTTTTTTTACATATTAATAATTAACAACATGATCTTTTCTTATACATATATATATATATAGGTCAGATCTTCTGTTCGAAATGCGCCTCTCATATCATTCCTGGAAAAATTTACAATCAAAAGGGGCAGGTTCGGATATGCAACTTTTGTTACACGGAACAACAATTTGGAAATATGAGGGACACATCCACCGTCTCAACAATATCTAGTCCTAGGCCACTCTCTTCATCCAAATATGACCTTGCAGATAATATGGATATTGGCATCAGCAAATCTATCTCATCAAAGGAACCAGAAGAACCATATAAACCTGTGATACCTTGTCAAAACCCACCGTTGGCAGCTCCTATGATGCAAATCCCAACTACCGCTGTCAAAAATTCATCCAACTCCAAATATGGCAACGAAAATTCTACCACATTAGCATTGGAAATAGGCGATCACGATTCAATGGCAATCTTGAGCGATACAATGACAAACCATCACAATCATCATCATCACCATCATCATCATCATCATCATCATCGCAATCAGCATCATCACAATCATCATCATCAACATCAGCATCTCCATTCTGGATTGGCAAAGGCAACGGATATTTCAGCTGTATCAACTACTCCAACAACTCCAGTAACTCCAATTCTAGCACCTTTTCCATCAGGTTCATCTATCGATTCACTTTATGCTCATGGGGAACAAATGGCGACTAATAATGACAATGATCCTGGTGGTCTCAAACGTTTACTAGACGCTGGCTCGTTTTTACTGAAACCAAGATCAAGATCAAATACCACTACCTCAATCACTGCAGATGATTTGCGACTTTCTTCCCAATATGGTCCAAATATGGTATCACGTAGAACATCAGCATCATCACCAACTATGAATGGAAAACAACAACAACAACAACAACAACAACAGCAACAACAATTGCGATATATGGATCATGGCGGAGGGACAGTTGTTACTGAAAATGCATTATCACCATACTTTTATAGAAGGGATAGCGATGAAAGTCAAATCGGATGGGGCGCTCAAGATTTATTATTTAGTAACAACAACTATGATGGACGACATCGATCAAACAGTGCACTTGGTGGAAGTATATCCCGACATCCTTCTGGTAGTTCTTATAATTTACACAATCCATTCCGTCATAGTTATTCAAATTCGGCATCTACGAGAAAGGTGGCTACTACAGATCAGATACATTCAGCAACTGGAAGCGACAGCGAATCTTATGATACACAACTTCGTGCCAAACGAACAGCAGAGTTACGAGGTAGTATGACACCATTACGCAAACGATCCTATTCATCTCTTAGAAGGCAAAGTACAAGCAACAGTTATGGGACTCGTGGGCGAAAGGATAGGTATGGGAATTTACAAGTAAATACATCCAACTTGTCAAAATCTGATGCTACCAATTATGAAAACTGGTCACCAAGTTCATTTTTATACTCTCAGTCGGCCTCTGGTATTGGCTATGGTCTTAATTTGAATGGAAACGACAATCCAAGTCTATTTGGTTCAGATATATTACTGCCACCATCAACATCAATACCAGCAACAGCAGCAGCAACAGCAACATCGACTTCAACACTATCTTTACCGACTTTGAGTAACACTGGAGGTATGAATGAACAGCAATTCACACAAGATATCAAGTCAAAAATGTGGGCGGCTAGACATCGACGACTTTCAGCACCAACATCAAATGCAGAACTAAGCTTCAGTTCTTTACGACACGCTCAAAGACTTTTACGACAGTTGATGGATGAAACTAGTTTGCAAGATTTGTCTGATGATAGGAAATCTGAATGGGAAACGACAATCATGAATCTTCTTCTCAAAATGGCGGATCATGTACAACCTGATGTATGTGCTGGTGACGACATGGATGTACGACATTATGTCAAGATCAAGAAAATACCTGGTGGACTTCCATCTGATAGCTTTTACGTCAAAGGTGTTATGTGTTCTAAAAATGTGGCTCACAAGCGAATGGCAAGGAATATATCACAACCTCGAATTCTTATTCTTTTATTCTCTTTGGATTATTCTCGGGTAGAGATGGGGAATCAACTTTTATCGATTAAACCAGTTATATCACAAGAACGAGAACATATCAGCAAATTGGTGGGTCGGATCATTGCCTTGCGACCATCATTATTACTAGTGAAATCCACGGTATCAAGACTGGCACTGGAAATCTTACTGGAGGCCAACATTCCGGTAATCCACAATGTCAAGTATAGTGTGATTGAAGCTGTGGCTCGATGTACTCAAGCTAGTGTGGTGCCTACTGTCGACAAACTACAAGGTGATCTATCTTTTGGACAATGTGGTTCTTTTGAAATTCGGACTTATTTGCATGAATGGATTCCAAATCGTCGTAAAACTTTACTTCTATTTGATGATTGTCCTCCTGATCTTGGCGGTACTATTGTATTACGAGGTGGAACAGAACAAACTTTGGAAATTATCAAACGGGTGATGGACTTTATGGTATTTGTGGTCAATAATCTCAAATTGGAAACCGCTTTACTTCGGGATTCTTTTGCTAAGAATCGTGGTCTGGAAGAGTCTCAAATCGTAGCTATCAAGGATGCTTATCTGAACATGCAAGACAAGAATGAAGCAGATGGAATAAATAGTAATGGCGGGAACGGCAACAATCAAGGTATTTTGGGCGGTTTATCGAATAATAATACTACAGCTGTTGTTCTGAAGGAGAGTGGAAACGATGGCCAACAACAACAACAAGTTGATGATATTCAAGGTGGACATAAATCCGAAGCTTTACAATCTTTTCTCAAAGTTTATCATGATACCATTTTGTCTGCATCTCAATACGTAGTATTTCCTCCTCCTTATTTACTGACAAGACTCAAGGAAACAGAAGACAAACTAGCATCTCTCAGGCGCAACGTTACCTTGCAACATCCTCATGGATCTGCGACGACAACAGCGATGTCACCAACTCGGAACACATTTGATCGACATACTGGTGATTTTTCTCTTCGTGGTCATAATTCTCTTCTATCTGCTCCATTATCATCTTCATCATTATCATCATCAGCATCAACATTATTAGGGTCACGTTACGAATTACTGGTCGCCAAACAACATCAATTGAATCGTGCTTGGGATGCCTATGTTCGTGAAAGTCCAGATTATATTAGTCCATTTTATCATCAAAATATTGTGGTGCTTTATTCCAATGTATGTACGGTGACAACAATGCCTTGTTATGGTCCTCAAATCCGTGTCTTTGAATATTATCGCTATCCTTCTGATATCCCACTTGGTCAATATCTTATGGATCTTTTTACTGATGCTTTGGAACCTTGTCCTTCTCCTATGTGTGATCATCCAACTATGCATCATTATCTATCATACGCTCATGGCGAAGCAAGAGTCAACGTGATTACCCAACAATTTGAATGTCCTATCCCTGGTATGAATGACAAGTTACTCATGTGGAGTTATTGTAAGGAATGCAAAAAGGCGACTCAAGTGGCGAGAGTATCTGAAAGTACTTGGAACTATTCATTTGGCAAGTTTTTGGAATTATTTTTGTATCAACAAGGTGTACATTGTAGAGCTGATATTTGTCCTCATGAAATGGGTCGTCATCATGTCCGATTCTTTGGCTATATGGATCTTTCAGTTGGATTTCAGTATGAACCTATTGATTTACTCGAAGTGGCAGCTCCTCCGACCAAATTATTTATGCTCAGTCAAGTACAAATTGCTCTCAAGGATGATGAACTCAAGTTATTGCGAACCAAGATTAATAAGTTTTATCAATCTATCATCGAACGTAATAAGGCTTTTCCCTATGATCTGGTGGATCCTTTTCAATTGGACGAATGTAAGGCTGAACTGAATGATTTATCTGATCGTAGTGAAGGTACAAAGAAGAAGGTACTTCAGATACTCCAAAACATCTATGCTACCACTGCAAAAAGCGACACATTGACAATCAACTGGGTGCGACGTATCCTTTATCAAGAAATGGTTGAATGGGAAATGGAATACACGGAACTAGTTCGACAATATCTATTACCTGAACGGGAATTACGAAAAATCACTGCTAGTCAATTACGAAAAATGTTTCCTCCAGACACAAACAGTAGTACGATATACGATTCGAATGATAACATCGATATGGTTGGGAATGAACGGATAAAACGCTCTTCAGAAACAGCAGATCTACCTCTTCTTGGCATTGGTTTGGATGGTGATGATGAGAATACAATGATTGGATACTTGCTTAGGAATACATCTGATGGTACTACTCATGCTTTGGATACATCTCCTACAATGCTACCTATGCTCTCAAGTTCACCTAGTGATGGTCAAGTGGATATGAATATGGCAATATCAGAAAATGATGGATCAAGTGACAATGATGAAAATCGTGGGGATATTTCTTCGGATCATCGACATTCTTTATTAAGACCTTCAATACGACGACAACTTTCAAGAGAATTGAATCGTGAATTACAACTTCGATTTAGAGTATCTGATGATAAGGATGAACGGCTATCACCAACCAATATACGTGCAAAAAGTCCAGGACCATCTACAGCTGCAATGACTCCTTCTCGTATTCCTATTCCAAATATCAATATTAGCAGTATTAGTCGACCTCAGCTATCACCTCCTATCTACGACACTTTGACAGCCCCAGGAGCCCTCAACAAAAAAATGATTCTGACCGGTGGTGGAAACAAGATACATATGGCTCCTCTGCGGGTTCCATCCTCTTTTGAATTGAATGTTACGACACCCAGACTACGTCTACCGACAAGCAAAGATACGGCTCATCGAAATGTGAATGGAAAGGAAAAACGGATTTTTGTACCTAGTGAAAGTCGTATATGTTTACCAACAGCATCTGGCAATGAAGGACCAAACAAAGATACGACATCTATTGGAAATGATACAGCATCATCATCAACAGTATTTATGCGACATCAACAACAAGAAAAACATCGTGATCGACATGAACGATATTTCGGCAGCCCACAGACGCAAAGTTTACAACATATTCCGTCGATGTTCAAAAGTTCGTATGCCAATAGTGATTATGACCGACGTGCACTTGGTAGTATTCGACGAAGAACTACTGGACCTAACAACAGCAATATCAGCAGTGATTTCAGTGGCGGTAGTACGGCATCCATGACTCGACTAAACTCTCGTCAACATCAGCAAAGTCAATTTCGATCAAGACTACCTCGGAAGAAAACATATATCCAAGTATACACTCAAGCAAATGATTTAGTCAAGGAAGATATGGATGATGAATTCTTGGTGAGCGATTTGGATGAATTTACTGATCATGACAATGCTTATCACGACAATGGCAGTACAAAACGAAAACAATACAATATGGATGACAATACTCCTTCAGAAGGTCGACAACCTCGTGGCAACACAATACTAGGATTGCAGCAGTTGACGGATTTTGGTGGTAATGACATTCATCAAAGCAGTAGGAATTTGGATGAACCTATTGATTACTTTTCACCCCAAGCACCCTATTCTGGTACTTCAGCAGTGAGTCCAAACTCAACTATCGATAAGGTCAAGGTGGATCAATCAGTAGCAGCAGCCATAGCATCGATATCAAAATCGCCACAATCACCTGCAGAGCGGACATCAATCACATCAGGAACAATTGATAGACCTGCATCCATATTGGAACGTTCAGATACAAGTGCTACGACTGATAGCGGCATAAGTACAAGCATCATTGATAATCAGCTGCCTTTAGCGTCTGAACTTCTATCTTCACCTGCGGCAACCACTCCATCTACTGAAACAAATGAACTAAGCAACGTAACAGCAACATCAACAGCAACTAGGGATATGACTGCGACAGTAGGAAATATATCGACATCGAATCAAACGAAAAAAATGGCTACAACAGACGGTTACAACAAAGAAATTGCAAACACGGATGATCAACTTTCTATTAGACTTCCTCGAAATGCCTTATTGGAAAGATCAACTAGACGAACTGTCGATTTGGATGATGTCAAACATCAAACGTTTGAAAAGACATCGTTTATGAAAACTATCACTAGTTTTTTGACGGATAGTGGAACGGCCAATCTTTTACCTCTGGAAAATCCAATGTAAGTTGGTATATACATATATATGTCTATATATAAAAAAAAAAAAAAAAAAAAAAAAAAAAAGGATGAAATGACATTCAACATTTTTGGTTGCTTTGAAATAGGAATCCAATGGAACATGTGCTGCCGGACTCATTTGTGATTGTACGTGAAGATGAACCAAGTACCATCATTGCCTACACACTTAGTTGTGATGATTATTTGAAGAAGATGAAGGAAATGAACGATTTAACAAAAGCGAATACAACAACAACAACAACAACAACAACAACAACAACAACAACAACAACAACAGATACAGCGTCAATGTTAGATGATACCAATACTATTGCGGAATCATTTGATGATATCATTTTGGACCAGTCAATATCAGGGGGTGGAGGATCAACAACAACAACAAATCATGGTTCTGGTGTGGAAACAGAAATGACACAAGCTCGTATTCAAGAAACGCTACTACGTGAATCTGGAAGTCATGTGCGCTACAGTAAGTGTTTAACAAATCAATTTTGAAAGAAACGTTGTTTATTTTCTTTTTTTTTTTTTTTAATATTATTATTATCTCGTTTCATATAGACTTTTCTGATGGCACTACTAAGTTTTTCTGTAAAACTTTCTTTACCGAACAATTTGATGCTCTACGACGTCAATGTGGATGTGATGAAACTTATATCTTTTCCTTGGCCAATTGTATCAAATGGGATCCAGTGGGTGGAAAATCAGGATCGGCCTTTTTGAAGACAAAAGGTATTGAAATTGCCGTATGATATCTGTAGATACTTATTTCAATTTCTTAGATGATCGATTTTTGATGAAGCAGTTATCTCGATTTGAATTAGACGCATTTTTAGGTTTTGCTCCAGCGTATTTCCAATACTTATCAAAAGCATTCTTTACAGAAGTAAGTTGAAAATCTTTCTGTATATGTTGAATCATGTGTTTAATTTCTCTTTTTTTTTTTTTAGCTACCTACTGTACTTGCCAAGATATTTGGATTTTATAGTATTGGTTACAAGAATTCAAGTACTGGAAAATCAATGAGAATGGATGTGCTAGTGATGGAAAATCTCTTTTATCAACGGAACGTGAAAAAGGTAATGCATCATCATGGAGAAGTGAAGGCAAAACAAGTGATGGAGGTATAACTCGATTTTTTTTTTTTTTTTTTTTTTTTTTTGGAATCTATAGATTTTTGATTTGAAGGGATCAATGCGGAATAGACATGTGGAATCTACTGGCAAGGAAGACGAAGTTTTACTTGATGAGAATCTCGTGGAACGTAAGTATTTGATGATGATTATACAGAATTGATAGATGAACACTTATCTTTTATTTATTTATTTTTTTGTTTTAAAGTTATATTCCAATCACCTTTGTTTATTCGTGCTCATTCTAAAGAAATCCTACGAAGTTCACTTCATAATGACACACTCTTTTTATCAGGAAGGAATGTGATGGATTATTCTCTTTTAGTTGGAATTGATGAAGAACGTCATGAATTGGTTGTTGGTATAGTTGGTAAGATACATCCCATCAAGAAGAGGAGGAGGAAGGAGAAGAAAAAAAAAAGTATCATTACATCAAAGAAACCATTCACTGAGATTTTTTTTTTTTTTTTTTTTTTTACCTTAGATTTTATCCGAACATTCACTTGGGACAAGAAATTGGAAAGTTGGGTCAAGGAATCTGTCTTCTTAGGTGGCGGTGGCAAAGAACCTACCATTGTGTCTCCAAGACTCTATCGCTTACGTTTCCGTGCGGCCATGGAACGATACTTTTTGATGGTACCAGATGTGTGGGCTCTGGCAAGGCAAAACCGATTATCCTATCCTAGCACTTATCATCACCATCACCCAACGGACTATGACGAAGACAACGAATCCCATTGAACGACTTTTATGAAAATCATTAGATATTATTATCTTACTGTATAGTGTATATTCTTTATTCAATAAAAGATTATTATTATTATTAATTATTATATACTATTCATATATATTCTCTGCGACATGATTTCAACAAACTAACTAAAATCATAGAATATCAAAGAATTTATTCCGATAAACACGGTAATACCAGTATGATTTTCTCTTAATGATGGAATACCGACGATATCGACTTCTCGTATTGAAAAGTCGATATTAGTATTCATTGTTCAATATATATATATATATATATATTTTACCGTGAAATACAATTCAATGGAAGGTAGAAACGTCATCTACTGCCTTTTTTTTTTTTTTTTTTTTTTTGTTCGGGTTACTGATTTTATGTCAACAGTCATATCCTATTCATATTAATGTACGTAGATAATAACAAAAAAAAAAAAAAAAAAAAAAAAAAAAAAAAAAAAAAAAAAAAAAAACATCAAACCAGTTGGCAAAGCATATTGCTGGTTTACTTTTTATTAACATAATGATCATGCATAAAGGAATAAAAGGAGAGAAAGTAGATCAAAATACAAGATTGAAGAAAAAGTAATAAATAAAACTAGATGGTATGTCTATAAGAGACTAAAAAAAGGGGAAGAAAATAAATGAATGTTATGTGTTGATGATAACCTAAGCCAAATCAAAAAGATGGAGATAAAACCCAACAATATTTCTATTCCCATTCACTTCCATCACTTTCTTCATCTTCATCTTCATCGTCATCATCAGCTAATACGGATTTCTTGCGGTTTTGTAAAGCATTGAATAAACTTGAAGTCAAATCATCGCCGCCCATAGGAGATCCTATACCACCGGCTGCTGCTCCTGCTGCTGTTCCCATACCCGTACTTGCCATGGATGAATTGGAGGAAACACCACTACGATCGCGCTGAAGTTCCTTGGGAGTCTTTTTCAATGATCCAATACCGCCTGCATTACGAATCGAATCTAGTAAAGCACCTCGTCCGCTCTCAGGAGAATTTGATGTTCCATTGTTTGATGATGGAGGTAAGGACGATGTTGTTGGAGCTGAAGGTGGTGGTGGTGGTGGTGGTGGAGGTGGTCCAATAGCCGAAGTTGTTGCTGGAGGAGGAGGAGGTGGAGGTGGAGGTAGTCCATTAGCTGTTCCTGGAGGAGGTGGTGGTGGTGGAGGTGGTGGTGCTGATGGTGCATCAACTGAAGTTGTTGCTGGAGGAGGAGGTGGTGGAGGTGGTGGTGCTGATCCATTAGTTGGTGGTGCCATTGCGGGTCGTTTTGGTTGAGATGGTCTAGGTCCAGATGGTGTAGGAGGAGGAGGACCACGATTATTTCTTCCAGGTAATGGTGGTGGTGGAGGAGGACCACGGTTGTTTCTTCCAGGTAATGGTGGTGGCATCGGAGCTTCAGGGGCTTCTGCTGCATCAAAAAATTCAGGTGATGAAGCTCGAGTGTTATCGTCGTAATCTTGATTATACGTATCATCAAACCCACCAGTTGATTGTGAGTAAGTAGGAGTAGATTGTACAGTTACTGCTGATACTGAAGGAGGAGGAGGAGGTGGTGGTGGTGGTGGAACAACAGAAATAGTGGACAGACGGTATGGATTGTTGGACTTTTGAGGTTGATACATATCGTGTTGTTCTTCATGAACAGGTTCTGTTGGTGTTTGATGATATGATTGAATAGGACGTTCATCAGACAAAGTTGGACTTGGTATCACTGGTGAGATCGAATAGGTTGGATGAGTAGCAGGTGTTGAGACAACAGGAGGTGGAGGAGGTGGAATAGCTCTTGCAGATGAGACATGATGTTGTGTTGTTGGTCGAGTAGGTGGTGGAGGTGGAGGATTTCTTCGAGTTGATGATGGTGGTGGTGGTGGAGGTGGAGGTCGACGACCTATACATAAGAAAAAAAAAAAAAAAAAAGAGGGTGTGTAAGTTTCCGGTGTTATTAGGTTAGAGGTTTCTTTAATGACTTACCGCCCACTGGAGGAGGAGGAGGAGGAGGAGCAGTGCGTCGAACAGGAGGTGGTGGTGGAGGAGCACGAGATTTCTTGGCAGAAGGTCGAAGTGGAGGAGCTGGAGGACCGCCTCTTTGATTAACAAAATCCTTGATAAAGTCTTGATTCTCCGTAATTTCTTGTGGCGATATTCCTAGAGACTGAAGTTGATCGAATAATCCATTCCATTCAGAATCATTATTCTGTACGCTGAAACCTTTTTCGGGAGTATAACCGATATGTCCAAGATGTCTACAAATAAATAATAATAAACAAAAAGACATATTCATCAGTCAAACTAAAACATATTCAACATGACTATTATCATTTATACCTAAATTCGGATGGCAACCCAATTTGGGCTTTGTTGAGCTTTCCTCGTGTTGGCTTTTTTCCACTTGTTTCTATAGAAGAAGAAAATTAGTCGTTAATATCATAATATAGTAATATAGGAATCAACTTTTTACCTTTGGTCTTTTTCTTCTTCGAGGGTGCTTCCTTTTCTCTTGTTGTAACCTTATTTAAAAATACAGACGCATCATCTTCATTGCTGAAAGACAGACCAGCCATATATTCCTAACGAAAGATAGTAAAACTAAAGCATTGAGTATACGATTTTCTTCTTCTTTTTTTTTTTAAAAAAAAAAAAAGTTGAACGTACATCGGCAGCAAAAGTGAAGAAGAAAGGTGTTTGCTTATTGAGTTGAAAACCATCGTATAGTTCTTGTTCCCAGATGACACCTTTATGATGCTAATTATAAATAATAAAAAGAGTAATAAGTATCGAGAAAGAATTTAGAGTAGGTTTTTTTCTTTAAATGATTACAATAAGGTCGACAATTCGAATATACAAAGAATGTTTCTTTTTATCCTTGAGAAAAGTCACAGCACCCCATATATTGGAATAGGCCCATTTACTCGGGTTTGGATAAGCTACGTAAAGTCTTGCTACAGTAGCCGCATATATTTTCTATTTTCAATGTAACAAATGATATCAGAAGAAAGGTATCTTTTTTCTTTTTTTTTTTTTTTTTTTTTTTTTTTTTTTTTTTTTTTTTTTACTTACAGCCGTTGGTAAAGCCCTTCTAACTTTATTCTTATCTTCGGCTGTTGTTAGAGCAGCAGAAGGCATCTTGTTAGAGTCTTAAAAAAAAAAAAAAGAAAGGAAAAGGCAAAAACTAAAATAAAAAAGTTCGGACAAAATTTATCAAAAAAAAAAGTCAGAGTACCAAATATGGAGGAGACAAGTACAAAAAGAGCCACATCCAGGATTGGAACATACTCAGAACGAGATAACGATACGCAAATGGTATAATAATATATCAAAAATGAATCACAATATGATAATAGTAATAACTTATTGCTATAATATGAATGATCATATACATCATTCCTTAAAAGAATGAAACTGACTGGGTTTTAATTCACTTTTTTTTTTGTTGCTTGTTAAGTCCCATATATGAACATGACGCGTTCTTTTCTTCTCTTTTACTTTGTTTCTCTTTCTATTGAACCATGTCTAATTTTTACAAGCTTGAGACTTCTCTTCATAGTCATGAACAAGATGTAAGTATAAAAACCACAATTTGATCAAATACTAATCAACGTCTTTCTTTTTTTTTTTCCCTATCTTTCTTCAAGGTCAAAGCGGTAGCCTGTCTCTCAAACGACTTCATCATATCAGGCTCCCGTGATAAGTCTGTGCGATCCTGGACACGAACGACTCTAAACAGCTTTTCTCCTCACAATACTTATCTAGCCCATGATCATTATGTTAATGCTTTGGTTGCCCTTCCACCAACAGAAAACTACCCTGAAGGAGGTAATATATATATATATATATATATATATATTAGTTTGTTATTTTATTAACTTATAAACTTCCACTACTTATTTACATTTAGGTCTTTTTGCTTCGTCTGGGTCTGATAAATTGATTCATGTTTATGAATCCTTTAGTCCATCTAGTCCTTTATATACATTAGTTGGTCATTCCGAGAATGTCTGTGCTCTATCTGTTACCCCTAATGGTGATATTATATCAGGATCTTGGGATCAGTAAGACAAGATTATCTTTGCTTTGACTATGATGTAACGGTTTCTTTTTTTTTTTTCCTTCCTCTCCTTCTTCTTCTTTACTCTTAGGACAGCTATTGTTTGGAAAAACTTTCAAAAAGCATACACTCTTGAAGGTCATACTGCTGCTGTGCTTGGTGTTTTAGGTTTTGAAAATGATACATTCTTGACAGGTACTAAATAAGAATAATAGCCATCCAATAAGTGTGTTCTGGAACTTATTCTTTTATTATCGACAATGATAGCTTCCGCGGATAAAACCATTCGATTATGGCAAAATGGAAAACATACAAAAACATTCAATGGTCATCAAGATGTGGTCCGTGGACTTACTCTAGTGCCAGGTGTAGGTTTTGCTTCATGCTCAAACGATGGGTAAGTTGAAAAAAGGAAGGAAAAAACAAGGTAAATGTCAATTCTTATTATTAGTGTTATTTTGATTTATAACTTATAGAACAATTCGGATTTGGAGCTTGAATGGTGAATGTTTACAAGAATTATATGGTCATACGTCATTTGTCTATTCTCTAGCAACTCTTACTACTGGAGAATTGGTATCCTCTGGTGAAGATCGCACAGTCCGTATATGGAAAGGTATTATATAGCAAAAAAAAAAAAAAAAAAAAAAGGTGATCATGGTGGATAAATGGTACAAGAGCTAAATGTATTATTTTTACATAGATGGTGATTGTATTCAAACTATTCAGCAGCCTTGTATCTCTGTATGGTGTGTAGCCACTTTACCTAATAATGATATTGTAGTCGGTGGTAGTGATGCAGTTGTTCGTCTATATACCCGCTCCAATGAAAGGGCAGCAAGTGCTGAAGATATCAAGGTAAGAATTAAAGAAGAAAGAAAAAAAAGATGGAATGATGATGACTGACGACAGATTATGAATTTTTTTTTTTTTTAGGAACTGGAAGATTTATTAGCGAATCAAGCTATTCCCTCGCAAGTCAAAAAAAAAATAACAGTTAGATATCTAGATTTTTCTAATCATGACTTCAATCTTTTTTTTTTTTTTTTTTTTAGAAATCAAATTGGTGATGTGAACAAAAACGATTTACCTGGACCAGAAGCCTTATTACAACCGGGAAAAAAGGAAGGGCAGGTACTTATGGTGAATGTGAATGGATCAGTCGAAGCACATCAATGGGACTCAACTAGTAAATCATGGCAAAAAATTGGAGAAGTAGTTGGTGGTGTTGGCTCTGGTCAAAAACAATTCTATAATGGGAAGGAATATGATTTTGTATTTGATATTGATATTGGTGCAGGACCCAATAGCATGTTGAAATTACCTTACAATCTCAATCGTAAGTAATGTGATGTTTTTTTAATTTATTTTTTTTTTTTTTTGATTTTTCTTCGACTGAATTTTTTTTTTATTTGTTCTTATATAGAAAACCCTTATGATGCTGCTCAGAAATTCCTTTTGGATAATGAATTATCACCAATGTATGTAGATCAAATTGTGGATTTCATTAGCAAGAATACTCAAGGTGTCTCTATTGGTCAATCTACTACTGAATATCAAGATCCTTTTACTGGTGGTAGTCGCTATACTCCTGGGCAGTCTGGTACTACAACACCATCAGTAGGATCATTTATTGATCCATTCACTGGTAGGAAAAGAAGGAGATGAAAAAAGCAAAACTTCGATCATAAGGATACTCTATTGATTAATGTCATTACTTCCTTTTTTATTTTATTTTTTTTTTTTTTGTATGTGAAATTTTAGGAGCGTCTGGTTATCATGGTTCTAATACTCCTACACCTACGACTACCCCAGCTCGTTCTCAAGTTCCAAGAAAATCTATTCTTCCTGTTGTAAGTATCAAATATATGGATGACTTTTTTTTTCAAGGGAAAATGCATATTAATTTATATTTTATTATGTAGCAAACCTATCTATCACTGAAGCAAGCCAATGTGGATGCTGTTGTCAACAAACTTCGATCACTTAACAATGAAATCGCTCAAGACAAATTAGACGAAAGTGAATTAGCATCTTTGGAACGATTAGTTCAATATCTCAAAAATCCGAATTCAACATCGTCAGTTGGTGAAGATGGCTTGTTTACGATTGTGAAAATATGTCAACATTGGCCTATCAAGGATCGATTCCCTGCTCTGGATATACTTCGACTTTTAGCGCTCTATGCCCCTGAGGACTTGATCTCTGCTGTACCCAATGGCAATGCAGTGGCATTCTTTTCAATGACAAGTAGGATTTTGGAAGCAGCTTCATCATCAAATACTTTGGACAAAGTGGCAGAAACCAACGCCATGTTAGGTTATCGAGGATTGGCCAATTTATTCAATCATCAAGTTGGTAGGAAGGCTATCTTGGATGAATTACAAACCTTGATCTCTACTGTACAAAATGATATTGTATTAAAATACAAAGCCAAGTCTACTCGATTAGCCATCAGCACATTATCACTCAAGTAAAAAGAAGAAGAAGGAAATAGACAGCCGTATTGATTTTTATTTTATTTTTACTTTATGATTAGTTTTGCGGTATTTTTGACAAATGAAGCAAGAGATGAAGATACAGAAATCAGCCTTACGGGTTCATTGGTGGAATTGATCAAACAAGAACAAGATGAAGAAAATCTGTATCGATTACTGATGGCTCTTGGTACTTTGGTAAGCAAAATGAAATCATAGATGATGAATTTGAATCTCATTTTTTTTTTTTTTTTTTGATAGTTCATCCATTCTCCTCCTTGTCTTGAAATGGCCAATATCCTTGACATCAAGGTGGAACTCCGTCGACTTAAACAAGCCATGTCAGGAAGAGATCGTATGCAACATGTCTTAGGTAAGAAAGAAAAAAGATAGGTCAATTGTGATGGCTAAATCTTTTTTTTTTTTTTATATAGATGAATTGGTGGCGTTATCAAAATAGATCATAGTTTAATGATATATATATATGTTATAATGAAGTTTGGTAGTTAGTTTTATTGATTATTTTGAAAAATTGAAAATAAATACAAAGAATGGAAATAAATACGGTATTGGATTTGATAAAAAGAGAGAGAGAGAGAGAGAGAAGGGCAAACAAAAGATGATTGGAAAGGGAAATGATGCCTATAGTATACTAAAGAACACTATATATCTATGTATATATACGAATGTGGATGACTGTGTGTATTGAGAGATATAAACTAAACTAGGAATCCATTTTGTGTTTCAAGTTGGCTAAAACTTGATCCAGTCTAGAAGAAAGTGAAAAAAAAAAAAAAAAGAAATGGTGAATATTTGTTACAGATCATCTTATGTATGTATAGAATGATTTACCTTGCAGCTCGTGATCTCGTTTCTTCAGCCTCTGATCTCACCAGTTTGGTCAGATCTTCCCAGTCAACTTGTAAAGTTTGATTCTTCATCTGCCATTCTTGCCGTTGTGTTGATTCCATGTCAAGAGTTTTCCTTATACTGTCCAACTGATCTTCTAATTCATTACATCGTTGTTCCACATGTTGTCTGGCTTTGGTTTCATTTTCTAATTCTGCTTTGCAATTGGACAATGCTTCTTGTAATGCTGTTAGTTTGAGTTGTGTATCTGAAGTATCCTTTTGATGATCTTCTAACAGTATCTATAAGAAGAAAATAACAATAATAAATATGAGTATATGATATATATGTAAGCGTCAGACATCATTGATCTACCTTATGTTCATCTTTCAAGGCAGACAATTGCTGATTTTTTTCCATAACTTGATCCTTCAAAGCTTGTTCACTTTCTTGTAAACTTGCATAGTCTGAGGTCCATTTTTCGCATTCTGCAGCCAATTTATCGTTATCATCACTACAATCACGAATATCTTGATGTAAAGTAGCAATCATAGTCCCTTGAGCAATGTTTTCTTGTTGACAGATTTCCAGTTGGCTTTTCAGAGAGTCGATTTGATCCCGTGCTTCATCCAATGCTACCACAAGTTCCTCGTTGCGTTCTTCCACATTCGTCACTTCTTCTAAAAGGCTTTGTTTGCTATCCTGTAAATCCCTTGATATAGATTGTTCGCTTTCCAAAAGTGCCTTGTATTCTTCTTGTTCCAATTCTAATTGTTTGTTTCGGCCGGTGAGAAGATTGATTTGTTGCTGTTGCGCTTCCAATTGTTCTTTCATTTCTTCGATTTGCTTTTCTTGTTTTTTGAGGAGAGCATCGGTTTCGTAGAATTCACTGAGAGGCTTTAACATGGCATACATTTTCCACCAAGGCCATTCACGAAGAGTAACATAAATACGAGCGTTACGTTGCATAACTTTGATTGCTTCAGTTTGTCTGGCGAATCTTGTAAGGTGACGACGGGCAATAAATCTTCGACAATAGGCTTGAAAATCGGTGATATAATCCCCTAATCGTTTATCTCTGACTTCTTCTAATTCGGCTAACTATTATATAATAAACAAGGGTAAACACAAACTTAATATGATTTCTTCTTTTTTTTTTTTTTTTTTGTGTACTAATCTTACCACTGTGGCTTTGAAGAAGATCTTTGTTGTTCCAATTCGATATTTTTCAGGTTCCAATTCCATCTGATCGAGTAGTAGTTGACAAGCACTTCGACCATCGATGAATTGATTTGGCTTCAAAACGTTGGGGCATAGAATTTCATATCGTTTTCTAAAGTCGGCAAAAGTAAGTCGATTTGGATAACCTTTTCTGCAAATACGAATGCCTTCCAATACACCGTTACAACGAAGCTGATCCAAGACGAGATTTGGCTGAATTTCACCAGAATGTTTTCGGTTGTTAGGAAGGATACATCGAACAAAGTGAGGATGTGTCATGTACAAGGTATTCATCAAAGAGAGGAGCTGTTGTTTGTGTCGTTGTCCAACTGTTCGGAAAGAGCCGCCACCTTTACGTAATTTGAATAAAGAGAGTGATGAGGAAGATGACATGTCTTTGTCAACATTAGAATCACCAAGGTAATCTTCAAAAAGGCCAGCTACGTGTCGCTGGTTTGAACGAGCCAATAATCGGGTGATATCTTCATTCAAAGGGTCCTTGTTCTTATCGATCCAACCAGTTGTCGAATATTCAACATTACCAGCATAATGTTTCACAATAAATCCATCCTTGAATCGGGTGCTTTTGTACTTTGAATCAGCTTCACCATTATCCCAAATCTTGCTTAGTTTTTCCAAAAATCGGTTGTCATTTCCACGAGGAGCCACACATTCTTCTTCAAGGCAAGATAATATACCAATAGGCTAAAGATAATAATAAATATCATTCAGATTCAATTCAAATTTTACTTTTCTTTTCATCACTTACATTAGTCTTTTCAATCAAATCAATTGTTGGCTGTAAATCCAGGCCAAAGTCAATATAAGACCAATTGATTTTTTCTTTTTGGTATTCTTCTTGTTCCAAAACAAACATATTGTGATTGAAAAATTGTTGAAGTTTTTCATTTGTATAATTGATACAAAGTTGTTCAAAACTATTGACCTGCAAAGAAAAATAACAAAAATATTAATTATGATCATTATGATAAAACGTTTTCTTTTTTCTCTAACCTCGAAGATTTCAAAACCAGCGATATCCAAGACACCAATAAAACCCAACTTGTCTGATGATTTCTTGCCATCGATCGCATGATTGACACGTTCCACAAGACTCGCAAAATTTCGTTCATAAAGGGTTTTTGCTAAAGCTTCCAAACTTGCTTTCACTTGAGAAGGAGATTTTGATTGATTAACCCAATCACGTCCAGCCTTGATACGAGGAGACAGTAGACTGTTTTTAAAATCTTGAGCAGGAATGCCAAGCAAGTGACAGACACGTTCTACTGATGTAAAATCACGAATATCCGCACGATCACCTCGATAATCAGGAGTCACTACAATATTTCCAAGATGTAATACAGCAGCAATGATTCGAAACAAGTCCAATTGGTCATTATATTCCAACCCCATAATATCTAAAGAATTCTATATTGATTGAAAAAAAAAAAAAAAAAACTTTTCCTTTAGATGATGATCATAGTTACGAATAAAGTATAATAATTTACCATAAGAGTTTTAAAGTCATCAGCATCATTGACACCTTCAATCACGGAATTGGAATCTCTTGTAAAGCCGTAATCTGAAGGTCGACCACCTCCTAAAAGTAATTGCTCTAATAAAGAATAAAAAAAAAATGAGATAATCATTAAAAAAGAAATAAGCGAATTCTGAAATTATTACCTTTGATAGATTCATCAGCATTCAGCAGTTGATAAAATATATGATAGTTTCGTTCTTTTGGAGATTGTTGATGGACGCGTGATTTTTCGAGTAGATACCATTCAATGTTAGCACCAGCGATTTGAGCTTGCATATTAAATTCTATACGAATAAATTTACCCTAGAAAGAATAAAGATATAAATATATTTTTGTTTTTAGTTTTTGGTAATAAACTTACAAAACGTGATGAATTATTGTTTCTAATCGTTTGAGCATTCCCGAAAGCTTCCAAGATTGGATTTGCCTGTAAAATTTGTTGTTCTAATTTGTTGTCTTTTTTTGTATTCGCAACAGCTGTCAAATATTGTATCACTATTTTGGTATTTTCTGTTTTTCCGGCCCCTGATTCCCCACTAAAAAAAAAAAAAAAATTAGAAAAAATCAAAAGGTACTGTTATTTTGTATTTACGTGATCAATATAGATTGATTTTCCTTGTCCTGAAGCATGTCATGGTAAGCTTGATCGGCTACAGTATAGATATGTGGTGGCATTTCTCCTCGTCTTCTTCCTCGATATGATTGTATACTTTCATCAGAATAAATAGGCAACTTGCGATAAGGATTGACTGCGACCAAGAATAGACCAGAGTATGTCTATTTAAGATTCAAAAAAAGGATAAATGAGTCATTTATAAAATGGTTATAATAATTAATGATATCTTACATAAACATGATCAGCTTTATATCGTACAGTCAAGTTGTGTATGACAGAGGGTTCATTTAAATAAGTAAGTTCAGCCATATCTTCAACCATATCAAATTTTGGAGGGTTCATCGAATATACTTTGTCGTTTGTCACTTTGGTTGTCTAATAAGGATAATAATAATAAATATTAATAATAATAATAATAATAATAATAATAATAATAATAATAATAATAATAATAATAATAATAATAATAATAATAATAATAATAATAATAATAATAATAATAATAATAATAATAATAATAATAATAATAATAATAATAATAATAATAATAATAAAATTAGTAAAAGTCGGGTTATTTATTGTTGCCGTCTAAAATAGAATAATAAAGAAGAAAAAAAAAATCAAATCAACAGTCTAAACTTACCAAACCATTATCCATTTCTACTTGTATATAGTCTTCTGTTTCTTGTATAATATGAGCTCGTATATAACCTTGTTGAGCATGTTCAATCCAAACCCACTTTTTTTCATTGAAGCGCGCTTGTTGCACTGCATCTAATACATCGTCTAATTTTGGTCGCATAAATACTTTAGTACCATGACTATGAATAAAGGACCCGCCTATACGGCTTTGTTGTCGCGGTAAAGAGGGAGAAGTTGCAGTAATCATAATAAAGATAAATAAGAAGGAGAAGTAAAATAAAAAAAGACGAAGAAGTGGAAAAATAAGAAAAAAAAAAATAAAAATAAAAAAAAATCTACGAAATAGAAAAAAAAAAAAACAAAAAGAGAATGAAATTTGAAAGGGGCATTGTTTACACTCTTTTATCCTGAAAAGGTAATGACGGTGTCTGAAATCATTATACGTGTATGTAGGACAAAAACATTCTTAAGGAACCATAAAGAATGCATTATGAAAATAACAATTTAACGTGGGACATACAAAAGAAATAAAAAAAACAGTAAAAAGGAAAAAAAAAAAAAAAGTTCCCTTTATATATATATATATATATATATTTCAAAACAATAATAAGTTGTAATCATAACATTAACGATCATGTTCTATCACTAAACCCAACCCAATTGCCCTATTAATCGATCATCTATTCCAACAGTATCTAATTCTGCTTCTAACTTCATACTTGGAGGACTATGTTGTCGAAGTTTCACCTTTGCTTCTGTAAACACCTTCGCTGTCATTTCGTCCATACCATAAGATTTCGAATATACAACTTCTTTGATTCCTTGTTGAACAATTTTGATTGCACATCCTATTAATAAAAATCATAATAATAATAATAATAATAAAAAAGAGACATTGATTAGTAAAATAAATAGATTTACTTTCCCAATATCTATCTATTAGCTACCTAAACATGGACAACTGATTAAAAAAAAAAAAAAAAAAAAAAAAAAAAAAAAAAAAAACTTGAGTATGTTATTTTCATATTATTTTTTTTTTATGAACGAACTTACGTATTACAATACAATACAATCCCATTACTAAAATCCACTCTTCCACGACCAGCTTCCAATAAAGCATTTTCTTCAGCATGCATACATAGACAACGATCTAATCCAGTTCCACAAGGGCTAGCTTCATTACATCGTTGACAACCTCCTTCATTACAATTTCGAAGTCCTCTTGGCGTTCCATTATATCCAGTAGCAATTACTCTAGAATCCTTTACCAAGATACAACCTACTCGTCGTTTCATACAGTTAGATCTTCTAGCTGCCAAATCAGATAAATGCATAAAGTAAGTATCCCATGATGGTCGTAGACGTTCCATATTGAGTAAATCGTATTGTTTCAGTGAAGTATATAAAGAGCAAATATCCTTGAATGCATTGGTGATAGTTACATCAGAAAGAGTCATCAAAGTTTGAAGAGGTGTACCTTGATTAATTTCTTCATCCATACTTGATATCTTGAATAACGTTCGGTCATCGTTTTTTATAAATGTTTCAAGATCTTGTATATCGTCACCTCTATAAAAGTGATACGTACACCACCCAACAACAACAACAAATAGTCAATCATTCGGGTAATAATATATATATATATATATATATATATATGATTATTATTATTATTATTATTATTTTCAAACCTTACCTTTCCATACTTCGTTGATAACGCATAAAGATAGGTGCATTCAAAGAAACAAGAAGGAAAAAGGGTCTCTTTCTATAAAAAGAAAAAAAAGTTGAAGATTAAAAGGTTAAACTAAACTTGAAATATGAACTTACTTCAAGTCCCAAATACCATGGGTATCAATATCGCAGGTAATAAAATGATCTCGCCAGCGTTCAGTTACGTATTGTTGCATTTCGTCCAAAGTGGCAAACTGTATTCCGTTGTCATAAAGAGAAGGTTGTGAGGATTGTCTTGGTTTTATATAAAGAAACGAGAAACCATGTTCTTCAACAAAATAGTTGCTAACAGTATGTTTTCCACTACATTGTGCACCTATGACACCGATGAACATGGTCAAAGCTATAATTCAATACAACAAAGGAGAAAAAAGAAAAGAAAAAGGAAAAAAAAAAGGAAAGGTAATGTTTTTTTTTTTTTTTTTCTCTAGACATACTTTCTGAGTCCGCTCAGAAAAGACGTTTTCTCAATGGATCGATGCGATATCAAAGCATACTTTCGTCTTGGGGACAAAAAGAATGATCCACTCATGTAAATATTCTAAAGAAGAAATCCTCATCATTTCATATATTAAAATCAAAAAAATAGCAAGTCTTTATAATCCAGATAGTGATGATCATCATCATGAACAGTATTTGGTGCTCCTCTCTTTCCCTCTTCTTTCCCTTTTCAATGAGATTATTTCATTGCATTTTCATATTACTGTCATCTATCGTGATTAAAGTATAATGTAATATATATATTCTGATTTCTATTGGAGTTATTCTTCCCAACGCTTTGGTAAGAGTCAATATGACACTCACTTTGGCTCTCCCCTCTTCTCTATGCCTGCATGAAAGAAAGGAAGAAAATAAAATCTGCCATGATGAAGAAAAAAAAAAAAAAAAAAAAAAAAGGAGGGTAAATGTAGATCAAGGAAGGGTATGATCAACAAATGGATATACAACAAACAATCAAAATAAAATGTTGAATCATTATTGTGAAATAAGGGTGAGGTTTGATTTCTCTTGATACGTTAATGCGCACACTTACAAAAAAAAAAAAAAAATGACATGGATCAATTTTATTTCAAAATATAAAATAATCAGAATGGAATAAACTATGTTCAATCACTGATTTTCAGTGGTTCCTAACTAATCATCCTCCAGAAGATGTCGCAGGTGTGAGAGAAGTGCCTTCAGTGCGGATGCTGACGTTTTGATGAAATGGCGAAAGAGGTGATCCATTCTTCATTGCTGATATCCCAGTCATTTTATTCACGCCCTTGACAACTACTACCATTAGTCTACCATGACACAAATAACGTTGCGAGCCACTCTTGTCGTACGAATCACTTTGCCGAAGCAAAAAAAAAAAAAAAAAACACACACAGGTCTGGCTTGATTGGTAGTCGCTTGTGATTGCAACTGTCCCTCGTCTTGAGTGTAATTTCGTATGCCATCGTCCTCCCCCCATTTGGAAATGGTCGCCAAGTCCAGTTAGGTCCAACAACCAGTACCACAATCACCAATTAACATGATGAAAGCCGTTCGCTTTCCTTTCAAAAAGTTTCTTTCCTTTGTAGCTTCGGTCCTTGTATCGTATCAGCGTACTCTATAAGCTTAAAGATAACATAAAAGAATGTATCGACATATAAAAAATAAAAAGTACACCAGAAAATGGAATCAATGAAATTATAACAAAAGTATAACTATTATATTGACATATTAGTTTTAATAGAAAAAAAAAAAAAAGAGGGAAGAAAATAAAGTGTATTACGCGTATCAAAAGATAAATCAAAAAAATAAAGCAACGGACTTTAAATCACCTCTTTATGTCTAAAAAAATCCTGCAAATCAAATCGACCAAACATAACTTTTTTTTATTCATTGCAAGATACATATATGATATTTTGTATGTTAACCAACAATTTAAAATAGTAAATATATACAATACAAAATTTATTATTAAACTGAATTAGTGACAAAGATGATCATCTACACAAGCTTGAAATCAGTCATAAAGATTATTGTACCTGAAAAAAAAAATATGTTCGTTACATCCATTTATTATTATGAAAGGCATCACCCGGGTTATAACTAGCTGTATTGGCATTATCTTGGGTATTAGTGTTCATATTCGATTGAGATGAATCTTCATTAGGAGTGTCTATAGTACCGCGCTTGTATGGGAAAAAGGGTATTGGAATATCATTTGAAGTATGAACGTCAGATTCAGGTCCATCATCAGGAATAGGAACAGCAATAGCCATATAAAAGAATGACAAAAGAACAATAGTAGCAAAATAGTTCATACTTGTTGAAGCGTTTTTCTGTTTTTCTAGATATTTTTAATTGTAATATTGAATTATTTATATACTGTTCATCATCTTTTAAATGAATGATGATTATATACCTCCTGTTATGCATCCCTACATTTTCTCCTACCTTGAAGCATGGATGATTTATTTATTTATTTATTTATTTTCAAAACCGAACGATCTCACAAAAAAAAAAAAAAAAAACAAGTTTGCAGACATATTGAGGTAGGGGGGTTCAATCACGGAGTGAATTTGATCTTGTGATTCTTAACTCAGTGATCACTCTTTGATGACAATCTTTTTGAACCATGCATAAAGATTTTATTCTTTTTTTTTCTGCAATTTTTATCCTTGACGATTAAATATTGTGAAATAAAAAAAAAATTGGTCTATTGTTTTAAGAAAATCACCTGCCAGTACCTTACAGAAACCTTCCAGGTTAAACTTTGGTCCTGATGTTAATCTTAATTGTTGTTTTACGTTATATACCTAACTTTATCTACAGTCTTCTTGAATAAAATCATCTGAAAATTACCTTTCCCACTATCATTATTGTCATTAACTTTGATTACCAGCCATATATATATTGACACTATCAATACAATGGTAAGCTATCATTATAGGAAATCATCATAAGGAATGATCAAAGAATGCAGTGAATATTTTGTTGTGTTACGATGATCAAGCTATGTTGATGGTTCAAATCTCACCAACCTCGCTTTGGGCTGTGTTTGAAATAGAGCAAATGGAAAAATTGGCTTTCGGCACGTATCACTTTTTTTTTCCTTTCTTTTTCTTTTCTCTGTCTTCTTTTTTACTCGTTTAAATTTAGACACCATCCACAAGAAAGCATGACTTCAGTACAATTCACAGTTGGCAAATTGGATGCTGGCATGGTAAATACATAGGAATAAAAAAAAAAAAAAAAAACTGAAAAGATATATGGAAAAGACCATCACTGTTTTTTTTTATTGACTCTATTTTCGGATGCCTTTTTTTTTTTTTTGACTTATCGCATGTATTATTATATATGAATGAATGATAGGCCATCTTACTTACAGAGGATCATCACCTTATTGAATTTCCTTCGTTACTTTTACCTAATGGTGTAGCATCTGGTAGCATTGTCAACATCTCTGTCAGTCGCAACACATCCGAAGAAGAACGAAAGATGCGCGAGTTTTGGGACTTGGAAAGCACCATCCTCGACAAGTTCGGCAACACACCACCTGAAACACCTACAGTACGTGTCAAAAATATCACTCAGACATCTCTTATTTTGGAATGGGATCCTCTTGTTTTACATACTGCCACACTTCGATCTTTGGATATCTTCAAAAATAATACTAAACTTGCTCAGGTAGTTAGTTATATGAAAATACATATGATTCTTATTGAATACTGACTAATGTCAAATAATATATGTAGCATGTACCAGGAGACGCCAATTTCATCAAATTATCTGGATTAGATGTAGATCAAGAATATAAATTCCATATTGTTATCAAGACGACAGCTGGTCAATACAAATCCAACCAGGCCACGGCACGTACGCACAAGATGGAAAATTTGACAGGGATCCGTGTAGCATTCGGTAACTTTGAACAGTCTGAATCGGCACTTGACGAATTGAAACAACTCTTGGAAAAGATGGGTGCCACTTGGACTGACGAGGTGAATCACGAAACAACTCATGTCATTGCTCAACGTCCTGGAACTCGAAATTATGATACTGCCGTCCGATACTCTATACCTATCGTTAAACCCGATTGGCTCATTCAATGCGACAAGAATAAAAAGATTCAGGTAAAGAAAATCATCAAAAGAAAGAATAAAGGTGGGTTTATTTTTATGATTGATCACTCATCATCCTTTTTTTTTTAATTTATTATTGTTCATAGCCGGCTCTTCCTTATTACATAGTCAACGTCCCGTCTAGTGACTAGAACTTCTTCTTTTTGTTTTATTTTATTTTATTTTTTTTTGAAAAAATCTATTCTTTAGATACTTTTGTTACTTTTGTACCCTTCACTACACTATTTTTGTTGATATTAAATAAAAATGATTGATTTTTTTTTATTATTATAAAACAATATATATATACAAAAAAAAAAAAGTTCTGTTCTATCCTAATCTTCATCATCAAAAACAATCTTGTTTCCAGTTCCCTGTCCACTAAGAGCCTTGGCCATTAATTCTTGTTGCTGTCGCTTGGCTTGCCATGAAGGATGGTATTCTTCCAAGTTTTCTTGCTTTTTCTCATCACCATTTGTCTTGAACTCGGATCGTCTAGTATTATCTTTTTTAAAGGAGGATGCTTCCCTTTGATGTTGTTTCTTGGCTTGTTTGGCTCTGCGTTGTTCTTGCACTGACTTTTTTCCTTCGGCAATATGTTTGGCATTTTTTCCATGAATAGCTTCCCATTTCCTGTAATAAACGTGAATTAATAAAAAAAAAAAATAAAAAAAATAATTTGGGATTGTTAGTCAACTTACATTCGTCGTTGTCTTTGACCAGGTCGGTTTTGTTTCTCTGGAGCACCATTGTAATACTTATCGAAATCAGGATCTTCCCATTCCAAACCTGATGTTTTCTTCATTGTTTTTGATTTCTTTTTATCATTGTCGACTTGCTGATCATCACCGCCCAAAGATGTTATGAATAAAGAGGATGCTGTATCAGAACTAGTTGTAGATGTGGTACGTGATCGCTTCTGAGGTTGATGTTCTTCTGCTGCCTTTCGTTTGGTATCCTTGATGAGTTTCCGTTGTTCAGATCCCAGTAGAAGCATTTCAATTTCACTGATTTCCTTTTTCATTTGTCCCGTCAAAATCTTGTTTCCTAAAAGTCGAGCTTCTATATTGGAGGTCAATAACATATCATCCGTTGAAGAGGTAGATTCCAGTGAAGAGGCCTTTGTTGTTGGTACAATGGTGGGTAAAAGAGTAGATATCATTTCATCCTTTTTAAGTGTCGCATTCTTCTGAATCAATTTGTTGAGAGCCTTGTCTGCTAATGAATCCAGATCGATTGTCTAAACAAATCAAAGTTCAACACATATATCAATATCACCTCTTTTTTTTTCTCTTCTTTTCTCTTTTTTACCTTGATGATTTCTAATTCCTTTTCAAAACGCTCAACATTCTGTGGAGTATACACTTTGATTTTCTTCTTCGTTGTCGATTCGTCTTTCACTATGGATTCATCATTTATTTTTATCGTTTCAGTTGTGATTGCCGTAGATGCGGATTCTTCATCTTGATTAATTGATTCGTTTGTATTTGTTGCTGTATTATTTTCTTTGGATTCGATTTCTATTGTCTTTGTTGGCGTTACTGTTAATGAATGTTGTGCTTCTCGTAACTTTCTAACTTGTTTTTGCAATTCAGCAGCCTTGCTTTTCTTCAAACAGGATCTTGTTTCTTTTCGAGCATGAAACTAGTCAAAAAAGAAAAAAAAAAAAAGTTGAATGCATATGGTAAGTGATTCATTTGGACTTACCAGTTTAGTTTCCAACTTCTTTTTTTTAGCTTCCATGAGTTGTTGCCGTAATAGTTCTTGATTATCATCATTATTGTCTTCCCCGGCTACAGTTGTTTTCATGTTTTGTCGTTTATTTAAAGCCGCTTTCTTTGCTTGTTCGATATGGGTATCTTCACCTGCTTTGGCTGCCAAAACGTTGATCTTCCAATTCAAATTCTCTTTGGTGTTACTTTTCCTTTTCAGTGCCTATTCATAAAACCAATGATTGAATATAAGTCAGTGAATATATATAATATATATAGTCCTTTATTTATAAAAAAAAAAAAGAAAAGATAAATTACCATAAGGGATAAAATATATGAATCTATAAATCGAGAAAAGAAATTAAAAAAAAAAAAAAGAAAAGAGAGAGATAGAGAGAGAATAAAAATGACCTCTCAAAATAAAAAAATTTTACAGTATAGGGCTAGACTCCGATTGAATGTTCAACTATTTCTGGGTGAGCTGTTAAATAATCAATGTAATTATACAAAGTACGAGAAGGATATGAAGCCAATTCTTCATCAGTAAGGTAAGTAAAATTGCCATCCAAATATAATGCATGTAATCCTTTTGGTCCAAATATTTTAGGATCAATTACTCTATCCTTTCGAGCTAATAAACGATAAATGATACTAGACTTGTAGCTATCTTCCATTACAAATTGACCACCACGACATATTTCAGAAATTGGCTTTGTGAAAACCATTCCTCTTTCTTCACCCATTGTCATCATCCAATTCAATGATTGATTTGCAAGTAAACAACTACCTTCTTCTTCTTCATTATCATCATCATCATCATGATCACTACTATGATTATTACAAAAAGTACCACCACCGACATCGGAATGAACACCAGGAAACCACATTTGTACTAATTCTTGTTCACAATATGGTTTGGCAGCATATTTCATAAGTACAGGTTTAAACCATTGTCGTTGTTCATGAATAGAAATAGCATGGAATGCTGATTGTACCCATGGTGATATGTTAGTATCATGAAATCGATATCGATCATAAAAGAATTGCTGCACTATAAATTCCAAAAATGGTATTATGGTCAAAAAAGGAAAAGCTTTTTTTTTTTTAATAAGAGAACTTACATAGGGATCCACCAAGATAAAAAGGTAATTTAGGAATTCCAAGCGATCCAACAGTATCAAAACAACCAAGAAAACGAATGATCGGTTGCATACAGTGATATTTTTTTCTAAATGCAACAGCCTTTGCACTTTCAGGGGTAGTCTCAGATGAGCGGTGCCGGTAAAATTCATAAGCCATTTTCAGCTTTTTAGGTGTCATTTGATTTGAAGGTAATAATCCAACATTGTACAACATCCCAACTAAACTTCTTGCTGCATAAGCTTTTTTTTTCGATGATCAGAAAAAAAAAATAATAATAATAATAATAATAATAATAAAAAAGGGAAGAGATGGATAAATATAATAACCTCTTCTATTTTTTTTTTATAAAAAAAAATTACCTCCACGACTGTATCCAATCACGTAAACTTCATCTTTTTTATCATCATGGAGGGTATTGCTAAGAAATTGATAAGCATCAAGGATTTGTTGATCAATCCCTTCACCAGTAACTGCACTAATTGGATCTTCTTGACCTCCATTAGTAAATCCAACACCTTGAAAGTAACCAGGTATTTGAATCCATTGATCCCCTTTGAAAATATGAGGCGACATATGAACATGCTCATACCATCTGAAGACATTCGTACTTTCTATAAAGTCAATGAAAAAAAAAATAATTGATTAATAATTGCAAAAGAAAAGATGATGATGATCATCATACTTGTAGGATCTTCCCAGGTACCATCCAAGCAAAGAATGATTCTACGACGATAAACTGATTGATCTTCTACTATTGATGACATTGATGATTATACTGTAGTAAAAGTGTATGTATATAAATATATTTTGAAAAAAAAAAAAAAAAAAAAAAAGAAAGAAAAAGAATCTTATCAATATGATAGCTTATTTATATCCTTTCATTGTGATTCCGGATGACACTGACCTTTTCGAGTTAAAAAGAAATATTAAAATATTGACATAAATAGGTAATTGTATCCTTAAAAAAAAAAGGAACTGGTTTACCGCGTGGTTCCATCTTTTTTTTTTTTTTTGCATTATTCAACCTTTTCATCATGGAATTAGAAAAACGAATATAAGCCAATATGCTATAAAAGGAAGTTGAAATTGAAAATCAAAGAGTCATGTCGTTCAACAAAAGAACAAGAGATAACACCCGTGATCAATACTACGGATTTCTTGTGGCAGAATAAAATAAAAAAAACGATGTGTGGTATCGTCAAGGCTTATAAATGACTTTAGAAAAAAAAAAAAAAGGGTCATGCTCTTACTATTATAATAGATGTCGGTCGATGGATGAGTTTCAATTCACCAACCAAAAGAACCACGTTTTTGGTTTCTCTTTTTCTCTTTTCTTCCTTTTTTTTTTCTTTCTTTCTTTTTTTCTTTTTCTTTTTTTTTTTTTTTTCTTATTCTCCTTGTTGTTTGATGCCGTTGAATTATCCAAAGTGGTAAAGATACGTCTTTCTTTTATATTGGTTACAATTTGAACTGACTCTTTTTTTTTGGTTTGTTTAGTTCGTTCATTCAATAAGGGATATCCACCTTCTTCACCTCATTCTTTTTTATTCTACTTTTTTTTTCATACTCTTTTGCATCAGTTATTCTCACTCACTCACTCTCTTTCTCTTTATTTGTCTCCTTGTGTGTATCTCATCCAAACAATATTGACAGAAAAGGCTGACTATTATGGATAGCTCACCAACAGCAACACTTGAAGCAAAAGTAGTTATTCTAGGAAAAACAGGCAAGTTGAAATAAAACGAAGAATTAATTATTTACTAATATATGAATAAAATAGGGGTGGGAAAAACATCGATTGCCATCCGATATATTCAAAGAACTTTTTCGCCAAATGGAACTTCCACTATTGGTGCTTCCTTTATGACAAAGAAACTGTAAGTGCTCTTTTTTTTTTTTCTTATTATATTTTTTTGATTTGTGTATTCATTAAATAGAAATAACAAAGTATAGTGGATCAATGCCGTGTAAGACTACAAATATGGGATACTGCTGGTCAAGGTAATATGTATACGTAAAACTTTGGTAAAATGAAATCATGATATCTCAATCCGTACCTTTTTTTTTTTTTTATCTTTTCGAAAATAGAACGATTCAGGGCCATGGCATCTCTTTATTATCGTGGTGCTCAAGCAGCTATCTTGGTATATGATATTACATCTAATGAAAGTTTTGATGATATCCATTCTTGGGTTGAAGGTAATATTTGAAACTGAATTTGATCTCATGACCCTTTGACTGACGTAGTGTTATCTTTATATATAAATATAGAATTGAAAAAGAATACGTCGAAGGACTTACTGATATATGTGGTTGGTAATAAAGTGGACCGTGCATCAGAAAGAGCTGTATCATTGGAATACGTAGAGGATTATGTACGTCATGTATTGGGCCATGTCTCTGTTTATGAAGTATCAGCAAAAGAAGATGATGGTAAGTATACCTTTTTTTATTATGATTATTTATTTATTAAATTTAGATGATTGATCTTGATTTATTTTTATAATAATTAGGTGAAATTGAAGAATTATTCCTTCAAATAGCACAATCTTTAGTCAATCAAAAATATGATCAACATTGGAAACAATCATGTCCATCCCTTATATCTGAATATGAAGAATCAGTTGCTCGATCTGGTTGTTGTGGTGGTTAAATACAAATTTTTTTATCCCTTTTATTATTAGTGGACTTCGTAGCATGGATCAGAAAAAAAAAACAACTTCTGTCTTGTGTAGATCTTTTCATATTAGTTACCTTTCTTTATGATCATTATTGTTACTACAGTTATTATTATTATTATTATTTACTATTTTTTTTTTACATATTATTTGTGCCTTATTTATTGTCTTTCTATATACATAAACACTATAGTTTTTTTTTTCATGTCCCTTGCTACTACAAAATAAAGGTTTATGTATGTCTCTTTTTTGGTTTTTTTTTTCAGACACCGAATCGGTTTTTTTTTTTCTTCTTTGTGTTGATCTTTTTTTTTTTTTTTTCGTTCCTTTTCATCAAAACTCAATGTGGACTGACAGTCAAAGTAAAAAAAGAAGGAAAAAAAAAAGGAAGAAAAAAAAAACAATATACTCATATATATTACTATTATTATTTTTATTATTAGAGATCGGTGTAGCACTGACTGCTTTTGGTGTTTTCTTCATGTTTCTGGGAGTCATCACTTTCTTTGATGCTGGCTTACTAGCGATTGGAAATGTAAGTTATATAGATCTCAAGTTGATATTGTACTAATAATGATATACTTTATAGATCTTATTCATTACTGGTATTCCATTGACCATTGGTACTCAAAGAACCATTGTATTTTTTAGTCAAAAGAGTAAAATTCGAGGTACAATTTGCTTTTTAATTGGTATATCATTGGTGTTTTGCAAGTGGACCATTATTGGTATGCTTGTGGAAATATTTGGAATTCTAAATTTATTTGGGTAAGTTAAAGAAATAAAAATAAAAAAAAATAAAAGATTAAACAATTGATTTTTTTTTTTTATTTTAGTGATTTCTTCCCTTTGGTGTTTGCATTTCTACGACGATTACCCATTATTGGATCTGTCTTAAATCATCCTGGTATTGAAAAGGTAAATCAAAAAAAAAAAAAAAAGATCAATTCAGGAACCATGGGCGGGAATCTTAATATGGTTTTTTATTTTTTATTTCTTTTTATAGATTTTCCAACAATTCTCATCTTCCTCCGTTTTACCAGTTTAGATGATGATCATTATTGTTTGATTCTATTACTATAAAATATTTCTATTGTAGACTTTATACATTTATTACATTTACTACTTTATTCTTTCATAATAATAATTAAAAAAAAAAACCCCCATAGATTAATACTACCTATTTTATTTTGAAAAATGTTTTCAGCCACTTTCATCTGTGTTACCAAATGATGCCATGATTTATCAAAAGTATGTCCTTTTTTGTATGATACAATCATTGATCCATCAAGAAAGTTCACTTTTGAATTTAATATTATAATAAAATTCTTTTATTCATTTAAATTTTATATTCTCCTTTGTTATCAATATCTTTTATCTAGATGAACAAACAAAAAAAAAAAAAAAAAAGTGAAAAAGGATGTCATCACTAGAAAATATAAGGTGGTACAAGAATCTATTTATATTTTCTGTGCCAAGAAGACTTATCCGACGGAGCTGATAAACGGTTAAGGCAAAAAGGAAAACCTTTAAAAACGATCGGTTTTTTTTTTTTTTCTTTTTTCTTTTTTTTTTTGTTTCTGTTTTCTCTTTATTATTATCTATTATGTCTAAACAACAGCAGTTTCAACGTCTTTTATATATTCTCTCTATAGCATCTCTTTTACTGTCCTTCTTACCCCTTTTGGAAGGTGCTCCTTTAGTTCCTAGAGATCCTACTGATACTTCTACTGTGACTTTGCCATGTAAGTGTGTATTTTTTTCTTTTCTGTTTATGATTGATTCACTAACCTTTTTATATATATATCTATAGTCACTAATTATAATGTATCAGTCCAAAGTATTGTTCTTACTGTCATCTTGTTTATTACTGGTGGTTATCTTTGCTTCCTTGGTGGTGTCCATCAACACTTTACCATGTTTATTGTTGGTTTCTATGTTGGTTCAAACGTCGCCTATATTATTTTATTGAATGCCAAGGAAGATTATGGATCCAATACTGAAACTATTCTACTTGTTGTTAGTGTGGTAGTGGGGATCCTTGCTGGTCTTTTATTATCTTGCTGTTTCTTCTTGGCCGTTTATTTGGTTGGTGCTTTGTTGGGTTATTTCGCTGCTCTTTGGTTACTATCCTGGGTCACTAATGGTTTGATTCAATCAAATTGGGGTCGTGCTATTCTGATTATTGTATTTGTCATTGTTGGTGTCATATTGATGGCCTTCTTTGAACGTATCTTGATGGTTATTGCTACTGCCTTTATTGGTTCATTTGCTATCTTCATTGGTGTCGATATTTACGTCAAAACCGGTTTCGCTGAATCCGTTATCAACTTTTTACGTGCTCGAAGTGTTACTTTGATCGCTCAAGCTACTCCTCAATTACGTGGTATGTTGGGTGGATGTTTGGGTTTGGCTATTGTAGGTGCTTTGATTCAATTCTGTCAACTTCGTCGTCGATCTAACCCTCCACCAACTTGGAATCAACAATATCCTTACGGTCGCTATGGATGGAAACGCGTTTAAACGATGATTCTCTTTATATATTTATATATCGTCATATATTTTATCTTCTCCCGCTATCTCTTTATTATATATTATCTTCATTTTATTCTCTTATCCCCTTACTCTTTGTATACTCTGTTTTATAGTTATATAACCCAATTAGTCTTATATGTATATATTCATTATGAAATAAAATATATAAAAAAAAAAAAATAAAAAAAAATACATCTCTTCAACTTAATTTTGTTTGATTTTATTCCTTGTATTTTACAAACTATTGCGCTGTTTCACTTTGTTGTGAGAATCAGTAATATCAAATGATTATTAACGAGTCCCATTGTCATAGATTTCAGTATGTTCTCAAAGTAAGCTTTTTACCAGCTGTTGTCAAGATCTTTTTTTTTTTTTTTTTATTTTTAAATCACCACAACATATTTGAATCAAATCAAGAATTATGCATTTTAATCATATGATAATCATCGTGGATAATATAAAATAGTATAAATAACCTTCTTCTTTTCTTTTCTTTTCTTCCTTTTTTTTTTTTTTTTTTTTCTTCAGTCAATTTATTTTTTTTTATAATAAAAAGCATCCTTTCATCCCTACTTAACTGTTTGTGGATTGATCATTTTGATTGGCTCAACCCCTTTTTTTGAAGTCAGACTAAGAACATATTTTATTTTTCTACTTTTACTCTTCTTTTTCTATTTTATCTCTTTTACTATACGTGTGTTTGCGTAATCAAGTACTGGTGCTCACTATAAACATTATTATCTTTCAATCATCCGAATTACTTTTTCAATTTTTGCCTTAACAACCAAAAAATTACTTAGCATGGCCATCTGAACCAAAAAAATCACATGTTGAAGAAATAAAAAAAAAAAAAAAATATAAAAAAAAAAAAAGAAAAAAAATTTTTTATTCATTTATTCTTTTCATATACCGATGATAGCATATAGGTCACATCCGTATCACATCCATATCACATCCATATCACATTCATCTCATGTCAATACCACCTATATCCCTTTCATCTATATGATCATTATATCTTTCATCTTTTTTTTAAAAAAAAAAGTATAAATACCCCATCTCCTTTCCCCTCTTCCTTTTTCTTTAGTTAATCATCAATATATTTTTTTAAATAAATCTTTACTTTTCATCCCTACTTGATTGTATTGTGGATTATCTATTTTGATTGGCTCACTTTGTTCTATATTTAAAGTCAGAACAATTTTAGTCTACTTCTATTTTCCAAATTGGGAACAAGACTTTATTTTTCTTTACTTTACTTTTCTTTTTTATTTTATCTCTTTACCTATACGTGTGCTTGCGTAATCAAGTACTGGTGCTCACTATAAACATTATTAACTTTCAATCATCCGTTTTACTTTTTCAATTTTGAACCTATAAACCAAAAAATCACATAACAAAAGAAATAGGTTGCCATCAACATCACGTTTGGTCGTCGTGATGGAGCGACCAACATTGACCAATCACATCCCCAGTTAAAAATAGTAGTTCAATATCAGTTAGGTTAAAAAAGAAACTATGGAGAACCTGGGCATTGATCCCAGTGCCTCTCGCATGCTAAGCGAGCGCTCTACCATTTGAGCTAGATCCCCAGATATTTTGTCGAGTTTCATAACTCCATTATCAAGCTCATATAAATTTCAGCCAATCACGTTCGAGTATTGGCAATTTGGTGTTACGGTGTCTTCATCTTGTCATGTCCTGTGACGATATATGCAATCGGGGTCCCAATTGCTGCTTTACGGTTTTCTCCTCTCCTTGGTTTCTCTTTTTTTCTTTTTCTTTTTTTTTTTCTTTATTTTCTTTATTCTTATCTTTTTTTTTTTTTTTTTTTATTGACTTCTGCTTTTTTTTTATATTTTTTTTTTCTGAACACACTTTTTTTTTTTTTACATTCTTTTATTTTTCCTGAATTCAATAAAATACACATACGAACTCAATTTTACCCTGTATCATCCTTAACATTTTTGCTGGAGAACCTGGGCAGTACTAAACAGCATTCCCTACAACAATGGCACTACTCAATTGTATTTGGTGATGGTATGCAAATTGAATGATTCTTATTCTTACTTTGGTGATTCACATTGATGTTAATGAAGCTTGATTTTATGAATTACTTTTGGACTGTTACTTTTTGGTTATTGGTTTACGTTTAGCTGAATGGTTTATTTTGTTTTATTATTTTGTTGCCATCGTTTGTGTTAGTACTGTTATTTTTTTATCGTTATTTCTTTTAGTTAGTTACGTTACTTCTTATTTATTTTATATTACTTTTACTCTTTCTTTTTTAACATCTAACTTTCAAATATTATTATGGCTGCAGCTCGGATGGATGAAATGGTGCGCTATCGTCAAGGGACTTCTCCATCCAGATTTATTTGTGTCAAAACATCCCTGGATGATATTGTAATAATAAAATTTTAACATAGAACTTTTGTGTAATTGGCTTTATTATAAAGAGAGAAATGTTGTTAATACTAAAAAAAAACAATGACGAAGTAGATGCTAATAAAAAACAATGATGAAGTAGATACTAAAAATGGTAAATTACATACAATATAAAGATGACAAATGTTGCTAATACAAAAAAAAAAAAAAAAAAAAAAAGAGCGACTACTTAATCATGTTTCTCTTTCCATTCATTTCTGTATATTTTCTTTTTGGTATAATCAATACAACACAAATCACACTTTTTTTTTCCATATTATTCAATTATGCAAATTATTTATTCCTCTCCACCAATTCTTATGAAAAAAACAGAGTCTCATCACAGATTATCCTTGTGCTGAATGAATGAACACTCGGAGAATGAACATTGATCAAAACAAAATTCGGCAGAAAATGCTCTCCAAAAAAAAAAAAAAAAAAGCGGATGTATATCTTTCCCCCTTTTTTCTTCTCACTTTTCTTTTTTTCTTTTTTTTTTTTTTCTTTTTTAATGTATCTAGCGTGACCATGTTCATATCATTGATAAGATCTCGTATATCACATAGTCCATCTGGTGGTTTCTTCACGTTGTGTTCATCACGTGTGCTACAACAACGACCTACTGTGAACAGTTCTCGATATATCGGATCAAGTCATTGTGAGGAAAAGACAAAAAAGACAAGCTGCTGTCATGGGGATAAGAAACAACAAGATATGACAATTTTTTCAAAGACTTTTTGGATGGATTCTATTAGTTGGAAAAGAACGAGGGTGAATACATTAAGGTAAAAAAAAAAAAAAAAAGCGTTTATTAGTTTATAGAAATGGGGGTATCGACTTTTTTTTTTTTTTTTTTTTTTTTTTTTTTTTTGTAAGATGTCTTATAGGATGTACGACAGGTGATTTTGCCACAATGTGGTACCTTCAATATTATTATCCCACCATATCGCCCATGATTTCTATGACTGCTGCTGTGGTAACGTGATGATAAAAAGAAACCGAATTGTTTATTGATGATGATTATTTTTCTAATGATTAGGCTGCTGGGTTGACAACTTCACTTGCATTGGAAACAGTTTTATTGAAAAGAACAATACCTGGCATTGGATACATGAGTGCATTCAAGACAGCGATGGAAATGTCATTTGCTTCTATGATTGCTATGGAAATGGCCGAGAATATAGTGGATTGGCATTTGATGGGTGGACAAGTTATATTTGATGATCCTAAATTCTGGATGGCGGCTTTAATTAGTACTGGAGCAGGCTATTTGGTACCATTACCTTATAACTATTGGCGTTTGAAGGCTTTGGGAAAGGCATGTCATTGACTGGATATGATTTTGAAATAGAATATAACTGTTAATTAGTATAGATATATATATGTAGAATAGAAAAAAAATATGATTCTTTATTTTCAAATAATAATAAAATAAAATAAAAAGAATTATAATAAACTATATACAAAAAAAAACGAAGTAAATAACTATATACTGTATATGTTGTGTGTAGGAGAGATAGAGAGAGAATAAAATGCGGAAATGAATTGAATTGGTATATCTGATATTGACATGATGCTATTTAAAAGAACTTCAATGTTGATATAACTGTAGATGATTGGATAGGTTGCCTATAGAATGGAATCGTCTTTGACAAGTATCACAACGGAAACCCGAAGAAGAACGACGGAAACCAGTTTTACATGATAAAGAAGTAAAGTTGATATGGTGTTGATATAAATTTGTATTTGAAGTATGAGTTGTAGTTGTCCAAGAGTCTTCCTCAAGTTCATTTAATGGCCAATAAATAGTTGAAGTAGAATATAAAGAAGGATCCATTTGTGGACACATCATGACAATTAATAAATAAAAAATAAAAATAAAAAAAGAGAGAGAGAGAGAGAGAGAGAAAAAAAAAGAAAATTGAGTGAATTTTTTATGTTAAAAAAAAAAAGAACGTGCCAAGGCGACAATCCATAAAAGTAATAAAAATCATAAAAATAGGTTGATGGTTGCGGGAGAAACCCTAAGCGTTTTAGATTTTTCTTTTTTTTTTTTTTTTGTGGGAAGAATCGAGCCATATTTGGTAAGTGTTACACTATGATTCCCATGGGCCAACATGGTCAAAGATTTCTTTTTGTTTGAAAAGCCGATACTAGAAACCCTCATTCTCTTCTTTTTTTTTTAAAGTTTAACATTCTACCATCTTTTTTTAATGCAATGGACAAATATTTAACTTTACATACAAGAAACATATAAATTTTTTTTTTGAATCTTTGTTTCGTACTGTCCCATTGAGAAATTCATGCAAAAACGATTAGTGATTTTCCCTATTCGGATTTTAAATTCTTTTTTTTTTTTTTTTGTTCTCCAGTGACTTTTTCCTCTTTTTTTTTTTTTCCATTTTCTTTTTGGCTCATCATAAGATTTTGCACCACTTTCACATTCCGTCAAAAATTGCTTACGTGGAAGCCACTCGCGTAAAAAAAAAAAAAAAAAAAAGAAAAAAAAAAAAGAAAAGTATATTTCCTTCCCATTTCTTTTTCAATTAGCATTAAAAAAAAAAACTTAAGGCAACATGGTAAATTAGTTCATAATAATATATATTCTCAATAACTTATCATTCTCTCTTTTATTTAATAGCAAATAACTTTGAAGACCTTACAACAAGAACAATTTAAATTAGAAGTTGAACTCTCTGATACGGTAAACTTTCACTTTTAGTATTTTATCCCTTCTTGTTATTTACATTCCTCCTTTTTTTTTTTTTTTTTTTTCTTTATGTCCATTTTATTTTAGATCCTTTCTGTCAAAGAAAAGATTGAAAAATTGAAAAGTCATCCTGTTACCAATCAAAAATTAATCTTTTCTGGTAAATAAAATATAGAAAAAAAAAAAAGATAGTGCATATTGACTCATATTTATCAATTTTAATAGGGAAGATTCTAGATAATTCAAAAACAGTTCAAGATTATAATATTAATGAAAAGGACTTTTTGGTAGTCATGGTGTCCAAGGTAATATTATTTTATATTTATTTATTTAAAATAATATTGATTTTAACGCGTAATTTTTTTTTATCAAGCCAAAGGTTACTAAAGCAACTACTCAAACCTCTTCATCCAGCAAAGAAACTACTACTGAATCAAACAAAACCAAAGCTTCAAACACAGCCGCTAATACTTCTACAGCAACTTCGACTACGACAGCTACTTCTGATGTTTCCTCAAAACCAGTTTCTGAAACAACTACTGATATTACTCCAACTACTACTACTACTACTACTACTACTGCCACTACCACTACTCCTCCTACAACAACCAATCAAGGATCAAGTGATAGTCAATTAGGTATGAGTTCGGAAAACAACAATGAAAAAAGAAAAAAGAAAAAAGAACTGATCATTTCTTTGGGTATATAGTTACTGGTGCAGAATTGGAAAAAGTTGTACAAAATATGATGGAAATGGGATTCGAAAGGGAACAAATTATGCGTGCTCTTCGTGCTAGTTATAATAATCCTGAACGTGCTGTGGAATATTTATTCAATGTAAGTATTATTTTTTTTAAGGAAAAAAAAATAGAATAATAGTCTGATATACTTTCTTTTATCTCTTGTAAAGGGTATTCCTGAAAGTGTTGAAAGGGAATTTCAATTTGGTCAAGAACAATCTCAACAACAACAACAACAACAACAACAGGAAAGTGAATCAACATTATCATCTACCGAAAATGCACCTACCTCTCCTTCTACCACAACTGCAAGTAAGTCTTATATATGAATCAAATAGAATTTATAATTTGACAACCTTTTTTTTTTTCTTTCTTTCTTTGTAGATCAACCTCAAAATTTATTCACAGCAGCTCAACAACAACAGCAACAGCAACAACAACAACAACAATCCACTGGTGGTGTTGACTTTTCTCAGTTACGTAATACTGCACAATTTCAACAATTACGTCAACTTGTACAAACCAATCCTACAATGATTGCTCCTCTTCTACAACAACTTGGTCAATCAAATCCAGAATTACTTCGTGTTATCAATAGTGATCCTCAAGGTTTTTTACAAGCTCTCACGGAAGAAGGAGATAATGCAGGTGTCCCACAGGGTTCTCAAGTTATTCAGGTACGCGATCATTCTTCTTCTTTTTTTTTTTTTTCTAATTATCTAATATATATATATATATATATATATTGTTTCATTGTAGGTGACTCAAGAAGAAAAGGAAGCTATTGATCGAGTAAGTATGAATAATAATGATGATGACAATAATAATACTTATAATTGCTTCTCTTTTTATTGATGATTTTTAGTTAGAAGCCTTAGGATTTGAACGAGCATTAGCCATTGAAGCCTATTTTGCTTGTGACAAGAATGAAGGTAAAATCAAAAATGGTGTATGAAGAAATAATATTAATGATGATTATAATATAGAATTGGCAGCCAACTACTTACTTGAACGTGGTCTTGATGATTTTGATTGAAAGGAAAGGAAAAAGCTGTTGGGGTATTAAAAAAAAAAAAAAGGGATAAAAAAAAAGGTTTCTTTTATCTTTTTCTTTTCTTTTCTTTTTTTTTTTTTTTTGATCCGATCCGTCTTTTTTTTTTTTTTTAACACTCACCACTTGTCCCTTTATTATTCATTATGTCTTCCCCAACCAATTCCCAATCTTCTTAGTTTGATAGTTGGGTTGTGTTATTATATTATTTCTTCACTCTTTTTTTTTTTCCTACTACCTTTTTTTTGTTTTCATTTTTTTTTTTTCATTTGAATAAAAATAAAAATCCATTTTTTTTTATTGTATTGTATTATATATATATGTCTTAATACTGAGAGTGTGTATCAAGTGGGGATGTATTGAAAAACCCAACAAACGAAGTAAAGCGGACTATGAAAACATTCATACGGGTGGATTTGCCGATGGTTGGAGCCTTTTCCCCCCAAAAAAAAGTCATTGACAAAATTTTTTGTTTTTCTTTTTTTTTTTTTCCTATTTTTTTTTTCTCTTCTTTTTTTTCCCTTCTTATCACTTCTTTTAATAGTCTCATTCGATTGAGTTCTTGATGGATCAGCAATCAGGTACAAACCAAAGGCTATATATCATTTATAGTATTTAACTTATTCTCTCTGTAGCATCCACTTTTTTAGATATCAAGAACACTTCATCCTCAGCACCTACACCACAAAATACACCTATCAACGCAGCTCCAATCACTTCAAGTTATCGTCCTACTTTTAATAGCATATCTGAAAATATGGAAACTCAAGGTAAACAATAGATATTAAAAAAATAGAAAAGAAATTACTATTATAGAAAAAAGGATTGGGATTAATATTTTGTTATTATATTGAAGGTACTCTTCTCGGTCGTGCAACAGAACGTATTCAATCACTTCCTACAAGTGTACAACGTCGACTTCATGGTCTTAAGTATTTCCAAAGCAAACATGCCGAATTAGAAGGAAAATTCCAAGAAGAAGTGTTGGCTTTAGAAAAGAAATATTTGGCATTGTATCAACCTCTTTACAACAAACGATCCGAAGTGATTACCGGTAAATACGAACCTACAGAAGAAGAAGTAACTTTGGGTAAAAAGGTGGCAGATGAAGAATTGGAACAACAACAACAACAACGACAAGAAGGAGAAGAACAAACGACAAAGAAAGAAGGAGAAGATGACGAAGTGATTGTCTCTGGTATTCCTGAATTCTGGTTGACCACTCTCAAGAACCATCCTCAAATCGGTGAAACTATCTCTGATCAAGATGAAGCTGCTTTGAAGCATTTGGTCGATATCCGTATGCAATACATGGAAAAACCTGGATTCCAAATTGAATTTGAGTTCTCTGAAAATGATTTCTTCCAAAATACTATCTTGACCAAGGCCTACTATTATCAAGAACATGCTTATGGTGGTGATTTTGTTTATGATCATGCTCAAGGTTGTGAAATACAATGGAAGGAAGGAAAGGATTTGACTGTTACCGTTGAAACTAAGAAACAACGTCATAAAGGTAAATCCTCAAGATCCACTTTTTAGTTGTATACTGATTTTTTTTTTTTTTTTTTAGGTACCAACAAGACTCGTGTTGTGAAACGTACTGTACCTGCTGATAGTTTCTTCCACTTCTTTAGTCCTCCTGTTTTCCCTGATGAATCTGAAGAATTAGATGAAGAAGAAGCTGAAGGTTTGGATGCCAAGTTGGAAGCTGATTACGAAATGGGTGAAGAATTCAAGGATAAGATCATTCCTCATGCTGTGGATTACTTTACTGGAAAGGCTTTGGAATATGAAGATTTTGATGGTGATGATGACTTTGAAGTAAGTGTGTGTGATATGGAGATCTTGATGAATTATTTTTTTTCCTTTTACTTAATTTATTATTATTATTATTATTATTAATATTATTAGGATGACTTTTATGATGATGTATCTGAAGAAGATGAAGATGAAGATGAAGACGATGATGACGATGATGATGATGATACTGTAAGTATATATTAATACACATATGGAATTGATTTTCTAAACTCTACTTTATCTCTTCTCCTTTTCTTATAGCAACCTGCCAAGGGTGAAAATGCTCCTGAATGCAAACAATCTTAGATTTATAGCCAAAGCATTGATCTCTTATTCTTTCTTTTATTATCCTCTCACTTAGTTTATATAGTATAACTCTTTCTTTTTTATATTTTTAGTTTTTTTTTTTTTTCAGCATTTGAAATAAATAAAATAAAAGAAACATGTATATTTTTTGAAAGCCTCATGGATGAATTAAATCATGCAATTTGATTGGATCTGTTGGTCTCCGGGGACTGAATATTTATCTATATATAAAAAGCGCAGTGAGAACAGAAGGAAAAAAAAAAAAACAAATTTTTTTTACTTCAACTTTCTTTCTTTATTATTATTATTATTATTATTTATATTTCATGGGTTACCATCAAGTTATTTTAAAGTCATCATCTGATACTATTTGTCTTCCATTCGATAATTTGAATACTACAGTGGGAGATGTGAAGTCTCATTTATGTGGTAACAATGCGGATGGAATGGATGCACTAATTCTTTCCAGTCTTGGGGGCAAGATATTAGACGATAGTACAATTTTATTTACGACAAACGATACTGAATATTTGAATGTTTCTTTACGACTAAGAGGTGGAAAAGGCGGGTTTGGATCCATGTTGCGGGCTCAAGGTGGACGGATGAATGCACAAAAAACAACCAACTTTGAAGCTTGTCGTGATTTACAAGGTCGTCGTATCAAGGCTGTCAATGATGCCAAAAAGTAAGGAAAAATAAACTGGAAAAATAACTAAAAAAAAAAAAAAAACTATATTCATATGACTTATATACTTTATATATAGATTGGAAGAAGAACTAGCTGCCATACCGATTCGGGAAAAAGAAAAAAGAGAAAGATTGGAAAAGAAGATTGAAAAGGCACTCAAGGAACGGGAACCACAAAAATACTTGTTTGACGATCATGAATTTTTGGATAGTCGTGAACAAATGATTGATGGGGTCAAGAATGCTCTCAGCGGCGCACTGAAACGATCACATCCATCATCATCATCATCATCATCATCATCATCATCTTCATCTTCATCAGCATCAGCAAACAAACGACAGAAAATCCAATCATCTTCTAGTAAAAAAGTGGTGTCGGTATTTGATGATGATGACTCTGACGACGAAGAAAGTGACGAAGAAGAAACATCAACTCCCATGACATCTGACAGCAAGGGAAAGGCACCTGCTATCAATGCAAGAGCAATCAAGGCTTAGTTTATTTTATCCATTTGATAGTCATCTCCTTTTTTTTTTTTTTTTTTTTTTTTTTCTATTATCTGTGAATAAAGCAGTTTTACCTTTTTGAAACTTCAATTATGTATCCTTTGGATTGGGGTTTTTTTTGAATTGTGTTTGTATGAATATTTATGTAGATGATAATATATATTTCCGTACATCTCTATTGTAAATAATGATAAAATTCTTTTGTCGTTGATGCTCATTATGAGAAGACTACGTTAATATATGATATGAGGAGGACAATAGGAGGGTATAACAACAACTTTTATTTTCTAAGCTATAAACTAAAATAAACAATATCTAAAAACGGCCCTTGAAAGATTTTGAATCCGCACTTGGTACACGTTCATGTTGTTGTTCCAGGTATGTTTCATTGGATCGATAATGGGCTCCAGTACTTGCCGAGTTGATGATTGGTATGCCGACAGATGGTAGTATTGTGGAAGATGAAGACGTAGATGCTCGTGGTGTAGGTGAATCCATAGTGCCACCATACGATGGTCCTCGGGAGATCATGGTTGATGTGTTGACAGATGAGTAAGCTCCATTGTTAGACAGGGGAGGAGGGTATATACGACTGTTGAGTAAGGACTGTTTATAAGAAGAAGAGAGTGATGTTGCTGAGTCACCATTGATGATTGTCATTTCAGAGAGTTCTACATAATTATATATCTATTAGCATCTATTCATATCTTTTTTTTTTTTCATTACCTTTGAGGTGATCCTTGATACCAAAACTATAAGCAACATCAGCAGCAGTAAAATGATCATTATTTTCCAATTCTACATTGCAATTTTCAGACTAATAATTATAAAATGAGTTTTATATCATCTAATTTATATATTATATCAAATGTTATCTTACCATCAATAGTTCCATCACAGCAGGATGTCCCCAAGCACATGCATAATGGAAGGCAGAGTTTCCTTCATTATCCGTGTGATCAATATCCACCGAAATTGATAAGAGATTCTATAAATATATGAAAAAAAAAATCAATATATTTCTTTTTCTATTATTCTTTATGCTGTGCTTACTCTAACAAGATTAGCATTTCCCTTTTGAGCAGCTATTAGTAACGCACTACTTCCATCTTTGCTGATTGCATGTATACATTCCCGATATCTTGACACATACGCATAATAGATCTATAATGAAAATATTAACTTTTGACATTTATTGATTCTAAATAATTACCTCATCATGGTCGTGCATGATAGCAAGCATAAGCACTGTGATACCTTTGTGATCCTAATAATAGAATAATGAAGAAAATAAGTTGTTGTTCATTAAAGTAGTTTGTTGTTTATTCTATATATTTTTTACCATTGAGATGACCTCTTCTTCATGACCCATTTCAAGTAAAAGATGAACGATATCAAGGTGACCGTATTTCGCTGCATACATTAGAGTAGTACTAAAAAAAAAAAAAAAAGTAAAATGAATAACTGTTGTATTGAAAAAAAAAAAGATTCACTTACTATCCATTGTCCGGGTCAGGATTCTGTATATTGGGGACCATTTTGATGAGACGTTTGACTGCTGCAATATTTCCCTCTATTCATAAAAAAAAAAAGGTATGAGTAAACATAATGTTGAATAAATCATCTTTTTCGAAAATACAATAATATGATAACTATCTTTACCTATGGCAGCCTTTCGTAGTCGTAAGGATGGACTTTCCCTTACAATAGCTGCTCTTTGTAAATCAAAAAAGGAAGTTTTTGGAGCACTATTTTCATAATGAATCGTGGGCATATCAGAAAGAACAAGGAGAACCGCAGAGGAACAAAAAAAAAAAAAAATGAAGGCAATATGGGCCTACTTATTTTCACCCCATTTCGGTGGTTGAAAAGAAGAAATGGAAAAATGGTTAGTGTTATGATCAACTAAATATTATTTGTATACGTGCACTTACCAAAAAAAAAAAAAAAAAGACCCTCCGGCTCTGAGGCACGGTCGCCACGCATTAACCCATCCAGGATGTGCGCGACGCAAAAGGATAGTATAAGTATCATATGGTAAAAAAAAAAAAAATCCAAGGAGCAAGAAAGAAAGACAGAAGACGCAAGGACGGACAACCAAATGCACAACGAGGACACGAACAGCAAGGAAAACGGAGAAACAAGAATCACAAACAAAAATGGGAGTGTTCTGTTGCGTTAACCAGGCGAACGGAAAAAAGAAGATACCAACAAGGAAGTAGTCAAAAAGAAGCAAATGATTTTTTTTTTTTGATTTTTTGGTTTCTGAATTTTTTTTTTTTTTTTTTGATTGCTCTTTTTTTTCATGATATCTATTTTCTTATATTCTCTATTTGATTATGCGACAATTATATTTTTTTTCTTCTGTCATTTATTTTCTATCCTTATTATATATTTTTATTTCCTATTTTTGCGACATCTTATTCTTTGAATTCCGTCAATTATTATTGAATAAAGTGTAAAATCATCATCTTTATTATTAGGTTGTATGAGCAAAAACTTGATCCATTGTATAATAGTAAAGGGTAAAAAAAAAAAAAAAGTATAGAGAAGATAAATAAATTAAATGAAATAAATGTAAACTATCAATTAAAGAAATTTGTTTTCTAGAGTTTCTTTATCGGCATTGATCATCCATTCTATATCTTCAGCAGGAGTCAAAGTGACAGCCTCTACACCAGTACCACCAACAGATGTTTGATAACAATCGAATCCTTCCTTTTCTAGCAATTCCATCACTTTAGTGATTGTTTCTTGATCGACATCTAATTGGAGAAATTGGTCAATAAAAAAAAATTCATCACAACAAATATCAAAACTAATTTACCATCCCGAATAATAGTAACAGCACAGCCACCACCACCAGCACCTGTCAATTTTGTAATCAAACCATGCGAAGCAGTGATACGTCGGATTTTTTCTAGGCTTGGATGAGTCACACCAAGAGCATACAATAAACAATGATTCATGTCGACGAGTTCCTATATCATAATAGTCAATAAGAGTATCATAAACTATTTCATTTAGACTACTTACCTCCAATTCGGTCACAAGAGAAAGTGAATCCATAGTTCCGTTTTGATATTCCAAAAAAGCATCTTTGCACCGAATTGACACACCATCTATAGCGTCCATGATAGGATCAATCACATGAGGGTATTTTGCTTTTCTGTTTGCTGCAAATTCAACAAGAGCACTAGTTGAACGGGGTACCTTGGTATTTGTCAATAATAATCGTAAAGACTTGAATCCTTCCAAAGTTGAGAATCCTTTTCCTTTCAAGAATGTTTTGGCACCACCTTATATATATGAAAAAAAATATTATTAGTGATTTTCAAAAAAAAAAAAATGAAATACTTACCAAAAGCAGCGACAGCATTATCCACACCACTTGGATTACCATGGATCACTTGTTCAGCCTTGAATGCATATCGGTTGATAGTTTCAAGATATTGAATCTTGTCACTGGAAGAAGCAAAATCCACGGGAATATAACCGAAAGTAATCAAAAGAGCAGTTGCTAACACAACGGAGTAGCTAGCCGAACTTCCTAACCCTGCACCCACCGGTAAAAAGGATCGGCAACAAATCTTGAAGCCAGTTTTTTCTTGTAAAGGAGAAACTAGTGTCATCACCAAATAGAGGAAAGCCATCAATGCTTTTTCTTGGGCTGGGTTTGTATAATCACCGGCCAATTCTTGTAATCTTTTTTTCAATGTTGGTGTCATATCGTTGATGGGATGATGGTCTATATAAGGAAAAAAAAGAGGTAAATCAAATTATATACTTTTGACGCCACATTTTATTATTATTATTATTTTTTTATCCATCTCTTACCATCATTTTCAACTTGAGCAAGGTCCCATGGGAAGTCAGATAATGACCATTGACAAGATACTGCGACATCAGATAAGTCCAAAGAGAAAATACTATCTTGAGTTCTTTCAATATATAAATGAGTACGAAGACCTAAGGAAGCAGCCACAGCATGCTTTAAGAAAAAGAAAAGTGGAATAATGGTTATCATCTTGGTGAATTCATCATTATATTTTTTTTTCTTACTTTTTGATAGACCACAGCATGTTCACCAAAAAGAATGACTTTTCCAGGTGCTGTCACAAGAATATTATTAGAATGGGTCATAGTATATATATATATTTTATAAATTTGGTAAAAGAAAAAAAAAAAAAAGAAAAAGAAAAGAAGAAGTAAAAAGAAGAAGAAAGGAACGAACATGATCTTTGACATGCGGAATTTTAAACTGTGTATCTCAGGAAGCCACCCAAAATATAAAGTAAATTTTTTTAAGGAAAACAAGGTTTTCTCCTTTTTCTCTTTTCTTTCTCTCTACAAACATGTCTCAAGTTGTATGTGCCTTTAATAAATAAATATATATATATATAAAATACGTATTTATTTCTCATTTTATAATAATAGGAAAAGTCCCAAAAGGTTGGTGTTGAAGAACACGTTGAAGCCAAGTAAGTCAATGGTTTTACATTTAGTACCTTATTTTTTTTTTAAAGAAAAAAATGAAATATTAACCTTTATTTATCTTTTTTTTTTCTTCTTTGTCTTATTAGGATTCACCGTATCCGTATCACTTTGACTTCTCGCAATGTCAAGAACTTGGAAAAGGGTACGTGTTATATCTACTGGAAAGATTTTTTTTTTTTTTTGGGAGGGTGGCTTGATCTATCTGGGTTTCTAATATATAATTTTTTTTTTTTACTGCTATTCATCTAGTCAGCGCTGATCTCATCCAACGTGCCAAGGACAAGCAACTTAAGGTGAAGGGTCCTGTTCGTCTTCCTACCAAGGTGTTGCGTATTACCACCCGTAAGTCTCCTTGTGGTAACGGTTCTGAAACTTTTGACCGTTTCGAAATGCGCATCCACAAGCGTTTGATTGACTTGCACTCTCCCTCTGAAATTGTCAAGCAAATCACCTCTATCTCTATTGAACCTGGAGTTGAAGTTGAAGTTACCATTGCTTAGATTTTAATCTGAATAGTTTTATCTTGATGTTTTTTATTTTTACAAATATATATATTTATTCCATGAACAATAAAAAGTCTTCTTGATATATATTAAATGAGATTAAAATGATATGTATTTATTTCGGTATCACTGGTAGAGAATCTAACTATAATGTATATGGAAGAATCATTCAGTGCCTTCAAAGTCAATGGGTGTTACTTTGTTGGAAAAGGAGAGTGGATCAATCAATTTCAATTCATCCTTGATGGCATTTCTTGCTAAAGCGTCCAGTTCTTTAGTGATCATAGAGAAAATTTTCTAACATTTAAGAACGAAAGTATATATATATATATATATTAGTAAATCAAGGATGATTGAATCTTTCTTTTTTTCTTTACCTTGAATTTACTATCACTTTTGAGTGCCAGCTCAAAATAGGATTGCGTACATTGAGATCCTTCCATGTCCATCACAAACTTTTGATATATGTCTGTCAGTATATCGCAAAGCGTAAAAAAGATTTCAAAATAATCGAGTTCATAAGGCTACATATAATATTAAAAGATAAAGTGAATAATATTCCTTTTTTTTTTTTATCTTCCCTCTTCTTCTCCAAACTTACGACGTGTGGTATAATCAAATGAACATATTCTCCATTATTTTCTTGATAACTTGCATCATCCTTGATTTTGGTTTTCCTAAAGATGTTTTTCTATCCAAAATAATAATAATAAATAAAAACAATATAAACCTTTTTTTCTAAATAAAATAAAATAAAAATAAATACCATTTTCTGTCGTGATGTATCGTTTGTATGATGTTCAAATTCAGTGAGAAGCTGTGCCAGTGCTTTAACGAAATCGATCGGATTATTGATATCAAGTAGGTTACCAAGTGATACACCAAGTGTGTAAAAATTGCACGACCTATTTTTAAATATAAAAAATTGAATTACGTCCTAGATATCTTGAAATACATCCAGGAAAAACTCTTTACTTACCTTTTCATCATTTTAGAATTTGGATACATATCTTCAAGATCATCTTTTGTCAGTAATATAGTATTGAACCAGTGAGTATTGCCATGATGTGTTTGAGAGAGGTATTGGATGGTCGAGACTCGTTTCGATACAAGGTCAGAGATATATTCTAAAAGAGTAGGTTGTTGCTGTTGTTGTTGTTGTTGTTGTTGTTGCTGTTGTACCTGAGCTACAGGTTGTGGTTGGTAATAATTTGACATGACTGACACGTAAAAAAAAGAACAGATGATAACAATCTTACAGTTTATTCACTAAAATTGAGAGGAAATATTAGTGACCTTTGTGTGTGCAGTGAAGAATGATCTTACCTAGTGAACAGGGAGAGTAAATATCCAAACTTTTCAGGTTTGGAGAAGAGAAAAGACTAAACTAACACAAAACAAAAAAAAAAAAAAAAAACGGGGAGACCAAGCACCACGAATCATTCTTGTTGCTGTTGTTGTTGATTGCTACGATCGAATTGAAATACCGCAGGTCTTTCTTGTCCAATCATTTCCAATCTTGCCAAGTAGTAAATGTTTCTACAAGCGTTCACATCACGATTCCATGTTGTACGACAACTGGTACAGACTTGTACAGCATGGAGAGTGATGTTATTGTCTACTTGTTTTTGGTTGAGGGTCCGGGTAAAACATTTTGAGCATACTTTGGAGGTAAATGATTCATCAATTTCAATGTACAAAAGCTTGTAATCCTTCTGTGCTTTCTTGAATGCTTTTCTTGCCACAGTTACCATACCAGATGGACGACCACGCATCGTCGGATTGTTTCCTCTATGTCCAACAACTAAAACAGGAATCTTACTATCATCATAATCGAATTTTGCTTTTTGATATCTAGTTCGGCCTTCGTCTTGTTGCTGTGAAGGTTGCTGTGGAAGTTGTTGTGCAAGTTGTTGCTGTTGTGGAAGCTGTTGTGATTGTGCAAGCTGTTGTTGTCGTTCTTTTCGGCGTCGACGTCTTTCTCCAGGTTTTCCAGCGTATTTCAAACCACCATTAACCAAACTATTGACCAGTTCTTCCTTCATCTTTTGACCACCAACGTAAGCAAGAAATTTGTCACTGGTAAAGCGTCCATCATAGAAACGAAGTAATTGCGTCAGTCGTTCAGAAATATATGTAACACGTTTGATCCACTTGTCTGGTGATGCTGTCGCTGCCATGGGAATGCTGGATTCAATGTCTGTGATACTGTTGTCCTTCTTCAGCTGCTGTTGTCGTAGTCGTCGTTTTCGATGCCCAGTTCCTGTATAGTATTCAGCAGTGCTTTTTGATCTTTGTTGATTGCTTCCATCTATACCATTGGTGGCCACAAAGATATCGCGTAATCCTGGATCTAGTCCCCACAACATAAAATGCTTGTTAAATACACCCATTTCTTCCGTTTGCTTAAGATCAGTGAGTCCGATGTCAATGGAGGATTGAGTGCCACCACGATGTGTAAGAAGAATGTCTACTCCATGCCCATCAGTACGAATGCAGTTGTTGAAAAGAAATTGAATGTTATTTTGTTGCTCCTCGGCGTCATCGTTGTTCTGCGTATATTCATCTAAATTGTTGACATAGTCGTCAATACCAGCCTTGTTAAAATTGAAGATATCATAGAATAATCGAGCCGTTTCTTTAATTTGGGCGAATTTTGGAATATGTTTCTTGACGGTGTGATGATCAATATTGGAATGTAGAAGGATTGATTGAAGAGTCCTGCCGTCAATATTGATGTATTTTCGTAAAAAAGAGAAGGATGGTGTTATCTTATATAGTTGATGTATCTGGAGGGCGTCACCATCAGTTACATATATAAGAGAGTTGTGTAGCTGCTGTCTTCCACGTTCAGGGATTTCCAAAATGCTTTCTAATAAATTAGGGTGAAGAGTAGTGCTGAATGTGAGAGTTGGTAGTATACTATTGCTATTGTCATTCCCATTATTGATATTTGTATCAACGTATTCAAAGAGCTCGTTCTTGATTTTTGTCTTCAGTCGCCGCCGTAGATTTTTGTATCTTTGGATTTTGTTGAGTTCCTTGACTAACCATTTTCTACTGATAGTGCTTGCAACATTATGACTTGCAGTGGTGAGTACTGTTTCATTTTCTTCTTCCAAACGTCGTAAGATTCGATACCACACCTGAATGTAGTCGTTCACTTTTGATACCAGACTTTTCGAGTTTATTGGTGTAGGGCCAAAATCTTCTTCGTTTACAAGTCTGTTGATGATTGTTTCCATATAATCCGTCTTGATCATACTATATGGCCAATGGGGAGAGGTTGCTCCAGCGATAAGGTCGTACACATGCAGAGCTAATGATTTCACTTCTTTTTTTTCAAAAACCTATGATACGATCAAAAAAAAAAAAAAAAAAAGGTTGTGAATAACAAATGCATACACTTCCTCAATTTGTTTTCCTTACTTTTGCATCATCTTGGTCAATAGACTGTATTCGAGTTTCCAAATAAACAATACATATCTTTTCAAAATTTAATGATATGTGATTTGTAAAAACAGTGGCAGCAGTTTGGCATAATTCAGCAAGGGCCAGAGAGGAACTAGCGGCAGGTTTGTTTGTTGCAATGTGTTCGTTGGAACCATGAAAATTCTGAGAATATTTTTGAAACAGGTATTCTATGTCTTGCTTGGGGATGTTGGATGCAGTGTTCGTAATAGAGCGCGCTCCTCTAATCAGTTGGGTGCAGGAATACCAGAAATTTGCTGAGAACATCGTATGATGAGGGCCAGAAAGATCCAAAGGTTCAATGTCGACAACATCAGCGGGAAGAGGACTTTGTTCAGAAGTAGGCAAAGCTGGATGATTCATACCGACGTCCATATCAACAGAAGTAATGGAAACACGTTGGTCCAAAGAAGCACACAAAGCAGTAATCTCGTTGTTGACCGAAGCAGAATCAGTAGTAACATTTGAAGCCGAAATTTCAACTTGGCTTGGTAATATCGAACCCCCACAGATGATTTCCTTTGTTGTTGATAATGAGCTATTCGCCATGATATTTCCACCAGCAAAGATATTTCCACATGTTTGAATGAAACCAGAAGCATTGATATCTTTAGCAGCAACGGTATTACCAGATGTTTGAATGAAACCAGAAGCATTGATATTTCCACCAGCAACAAGATCTTCAGATACCATGATATCGCCGTGTACCAAGATATTTTGTTTTGCAATCACATTTTTTTGACCAATGAGATCACCCTTGACAATTATATTTGCGTTGGAAAGTAGATTGTTGTTTGCCACCACGCTTTCCCCAGAAAAAAAAGTATCCATCCAAGCAGAGTTATCAGTGCCAGTACTAGTTTCCGCATTACCAACGATAGGATCTTGAACAGAAGTATCACCAATAAGAACAACAGTAGAAGCAGCATTGACATCATCAGCGACAACGGGTAATTCATCGCTAGCTATACCAATTTCCAGTTCAGTTGTGGTTACATCAGGAACAAGATTATCAACACCGGGATCCAAGGCAGGAAGTGGTATATTCACATTATTGTCAGAAGCGGAAACAGCGGTTGGATGATCATGCTTGTATTCAAGTTGGCTAAGAATGTAATAGGTCACAAAATGCTGCGTTTTAATCATAACCTCTCTGCAATAATCCACAAGTTCATTCGTTGTTTCCAAAAACTTCGATTTCTCCTCGTCATCTAACTTGAGTAAAGTGCCAAGTGTCGCCTTCCGGACAGTAAAAGTAAAAGTGTCACCGAGAATGTCTCTTCTAATATCGTCCATTGTTGGTTGGTGAAAAGGGCAGACTTTGGAACGCGAATTTGCATGTGCTGGGACAGCATCAGGACCAGTGAAATTGTTCGCCTGTAGACATTTGTTGCATTTCATAGATTCAGGATTAGATTGTTTATTCTTCAATTCTGATTTGCCTTCTTTTCGCTGCCGTTTGTTGTGTTCCTTTTCTTTTTCAGTAAGTCGTCGCTTGCTTGTTCTAGGAGTGGAAGCTAAAAAAAAAAAAAAAGGAAAACAATAGTGTTAGCAGTTATATTCGAATATTATTGGCTCCTTTTGAAACCGAACCTTTTTTTCGCATGGGACAATGAGAGGAACGGGCATCAGCATGACCTCGACCACCACATTTTGAGCAGATCACTAACAAAAAAGGAAATAGAGACGTCAGCACCTCTTTCGTCTATGGATTGTCAAAGAAAAAAAAAAGAGAATCTACTTACATGTACTAGGACCAGCTACACCTTGTTGATGTTCTTCTTGTTCTTCTTCTTGCTCTTCTTCTTGTTCTTCTGTTTGTTCTTGTTCTTGATTGAGACGCGACAATTTATCATGGATTAACTTGAGGATCTTTTCTTTCTTGGTCAAATGTTCAAAAGGATCAGCCATTGCAGAATGTGAATAAAATTGGTGAAGAATAAAGACATAAATGAAGAATAAAAAAAATAAATGAAGAATAAAAAAAATAAATGAAGAATAAAAAAAAAAAAGCAAAGAAAAGAAGAAAGGGAAACAAAAAAAAATGTTACTTTTTTTTTGTGGAAAATAGAAACTTATGCACTTTTTACGAGAACGGAGATCAAAATCGAGATCAGATCGAAATTAGGAATCAATCTTTTTTTGTCTTTTTTTCATCCCAATCCCCAGCCTTGCCAAAATCCATCCCCATTCAAGTGTATATCTTTTTAATTTTTTCTGCTCAAATAGAATTATAAAGGAATTTCACTTTCTGATTTATTTTAAATATCTATCTACATCCATAGTAGGATACAAAATACCTATGAGTTTCCACCTGGTTTTTTTTCTTTTCAGTACTTCTAACCTTAAGCTCTCTTCGTCATTAGCTGCACTGCTAAAAGGTATTTAAACATATATTTTGGCTTTTTCGTTGCTTAACTTGTTCATACCGAGAAATTAGATCCATGATGTCTTTTATGCTGTAACATCACTTTGAGTGGGCGCGTACCTATTTATACTTTTGTAATTCATCCAAAAAAATCATCATCATCCCTTCAAATTTGGATTGAAGATACATGAAGATATTCTCTTTCACTTGTCTCAGCAACAATTTATACCTTACCTCCCAATTTATAGAGTAAATTAAAAAATAAAAGTCAATTCAGTCATCTCTCATCCAATAATGGTCATCATCCAACAAAATTACCGTCATTGGATTCCTCTCAAAAAAGTAGTCAAAATCATGTAGTCCCATTTTATCGATTATCTTACTACCTAATGTGTGCAATGAGAATGAAGGATTTCATCGATTTTTCGAAATATTGCCTGATGTACCCTCGACGATTTATTTTTACAGCCAAACTTTGGCTGAGGAGTTTGAAATTTTTGGCTGTAAAATCCAAAAATCCATCCCATTTTTTCATGCTGGATACAAGCTTGAAGAAACTTTGAATTTTCCTTTCTCGCTCAGAAATCATCATTCATTACATCAAATTTGACTCGAACATAAGCAAACCAATTTATGTCACTCTTACCTTATTGAATTTATAGATGATCATCGTATTTATAGAGTAAACTAAAAAAAAAAAAGAGATATATCACTATCGCCATCATCCGCCATCATCCGTACAATAGTAGTGATGATTGATATGTAGTGAGAACTATTTCCAAGTAAACAGAATAAAAAAGTAATATGATGATAAAAAAGGAAACGTAATCCAGAGAAGGAAATAGAATACTATCACGTTGATGACAATTAGATAAGATAAAAAAAAAAAGGATGAAGGTTTCTATATAAAGATAATCATATGGTACAGTTGTGGGATTTGTTTGCTTGTTTGTTTAATCCAGGACAATCAAGTCCTTCGCAACAGTTGTATGGTAGTGGCTGAGAGTGGTGTTTTTTTTTTTTTTTTTTGTTGATGATCACCCAATATATATATATGATGATGATCAATAATAGTAGTGTTAAGATCTTTTTTTTTTTTTTTGTATGTTAAGGATAATGATTTAATATGATTGGATCATTGTACCAAATCTGGATTGAACATACATGAAGATATTCTCTTTCAATTGTTTTAATAACAATTTATACCCTATCTCCCAATTCATAAAGTAAATTAAAAATGAAATGTCAATTCCGTTATCCCTCATCTAATAACAATGATTATCATCAAAAAAAAAAGCCACGTAAGTGTATTGTTGTGTATCATAAAAAGCAATATAATTTTTAATTCAAACAAAAAAGTAATCCATATACTAACTAGTAAAACTATCCATTCTACTGTATCTGTTATATCAGAACCCTTCGTCCTAACAACAAGTCGCCATTCCTAACGAATAGAATTTTGACATCCAGTTAGTTATTCGTTCACGTTACCAATAAAATAAATCTAGGTCAAGCAATTCATATAAAAAAGGGTATAAAATATTTTTGCTATTACCTGTATTAATTCCTACATCCAAAATGAAAGGGTTTCCCCATGTATTTTGTAAATCCCTTTTTCAAAACGCTCCAAATCCAATAAAATCTACCATGAAAAGATCGCACAAACAAAGAGGACACCTGATGTGGAAAAAAAAAGGTGGATGGAGAAAAGAAAAAGAAAGAAAAAAAAATGAAAAAAAGCAAAACGCATGTAAAGGGCGTGATTAATTTTTGAAGCCCGTCCACTGATAACAGTCTGACATGATTTTTCTTTTTTTGATTTTTCTTTTTCTCGCTCCAACCCCAACCTTGCAAATTGATTTTTTTTTCCTATAGTCGATAGATTTCAGGCAAAACCTTTATATTCAGTCATCATCCATCGCCCATCATCCATTACCCATCACCAATATATTACATATTTCGTAAAGAAAAAAAAAAGACTTCTTTATGCATCCTGGTAAGACTGTCCAAATTGACGTGCATGACTTTAAACAGCCACAATTTTATGATTATTTCAGATATCAAATAAGTTTTTATTTTAATGGAAGGTAAGAAGCGTAATATTTTTTTTTTATCATAATAGTTCAAGAGAAATAAGAATAGTAAATGGCAAAGCAATCATCCATCATCCATCACCAACTAGAATCAATAAAAGACTGGATCAAATATAACAACGTTTTATGTCAGACAAATTATTAAAGAAATAAAATAATAATAGTATAAAATATATATTATGTGCGTTTTTTTTTTTTTAAAAAAAGAAGGTATTTCGTGTCAGAGGAACTAATCTGTGAATGTTGTTTGAGATGCTTGTAGTCGTCTTTGGCTTTTAGAATTATTTTGGCGAGTTGTCCCAGTGATCTCGATACATGTTTAGGCGTTCGCGCTTAAATTGTAAGTGAATAAAAAGATATCATCTGGATAAATATTACTCATTTTTTTCTTTCTTCTTTTTTTTATATGCAAACTTGGTGAACTCAATTGGTGGATCTCCTTTTTTTTTTTTTTTTTACGATATCAATGGCCGATGTCAAATGTCAAGAGGGGATAACGCTCTGACTATACTATCTTTTTGATTATTGATACTGGTATTATAGACCCTCTGCAGCTTCTGATAAATATATTTATATATATATATATATGCGTGTTTCTACATGTGTAACCGTATGACAAGGTAGCAAGACAGCAATCTGAACGATTAGGCGATCCAATTAAAACAAGGAAATAGAATATGGACTAGAAAAGAAGACAGAAAGCTTATAACATTATGAAAAGTGCGAATAGATGGAAAAATGAATCCAAAAAAAAGCATGGTACAGAATCAAGATTAACAACAAGATCAAGTCCAAGGACAATAAACCGTGGATGATCAATTGAAGAGTAAGCACGATAGGATATTCAATATGCTATTATGTATCATTCTACTTACTCATGCATATTATTTTCTTTGGTAGTAATCACAGTACGACGATGATTCTATTGTTATATGATTGTATACTATTCATTTTTGGTAAAAAGGTATTGATGGATGCTTTCGACAGACGTAATAGGGAGACATGGGAATCAGTTATAGATTTAGCTATTATTGTTAGTATATCGACTGTTACTCATTCTGAAATAAAGTTGATTTATATATATATAAATATATTGGTTTAGGGAAGCATAGAGGCAGAAAGATGGATGATTGGTGGCGCGTTGATATAATGCTGCATTGATGATGATGGGAACTGATTTAAGGAGTTTATAAGATTGTCAGCAGACACAAAGAATGAAGTTACATTTGGATATGTTGGATCTCACCAAAACTTTTATGGTAGGTGAAATCAACTGATGACCGGTAAATACGTTACATCTACTCCATATGCTTTTTTTTTTTCTCGTACTAAACTTTTTTTTTTTTTTGTTAGTGTTATTGTTGATCCGATTTGTTCTTATGACGTTTGACATCATCACTCAACAAAGATCATCGCCAGTATATAAGAGAGTGATATTATTTTTTGATCTTCATTTTTTCCAATTCTTTTCTTTTCTCAAAGACGTAACATAAAAAAAAAAAAATGAATCCAGAAGAACGCCAAAGTGTGGAAGGTAAATGTCTCTTTTTTTTTTTTTTTTTTTTTTTTTTTTTTACTTGAATAGTTTGATTGATCAATCATATCCACTAATCGTATGATGTTTTAGGAACCTCGCTCACTGATCAGCAAGTTCATTCTATTCCAAATGCCAAGAAGAACAAATCCAGATTAAGTCGCATTTTCGTTGGATTGAAGGAGTTTATTGACAAAGGAAAAACGGATGCTGTCAAAGCTGAACCTCCTCCAATTACAAAATTCGAATCTCATTAAATCATCCGTTTCAAATCTTACCATCAATGCAAAAATGAGATCCCTTGTCAATATTTACCTCCCGCTATATATTATAATAGCTTAATAAAAAACTTTTTTTTTCTCTGTTTTCTCTTCTTTCTATATATTGTCTTTATTATGATTTTGAAAAAAGGCTTATTGTTGTTATTATCTATGGCTGCTGTAAAAGCACAAGTCATTGATGATTGTGCTCCTCGCAATGGTTCATCTACCAATACGACTCATAATTCAGATGCTACTACTATGTGTCCGGTTTTAGACCCTCCATCCGATCAAACGAATTCTACCAATTCTACTAATGAACCTACCTTATTGTCGATCTTGAATTCTACAAACAGTCCAGTCCCTCACTTCATGACACTGTTGAACTCATCATCGGAATTCCAACCTGTGATTGATCTTTTGTCTAGCCCTGGAAATCATACTTTGTTCATTCCATGTGATGAAGCTCTTGCAGTATTGCATCCATCATTCAATCAGACTGGAAATAACACTCAAGGTGGTAATCAGACATCCTCAATGAACAATACTCATGTTACACATAAAATGGTAGTTAATCCTTTGTTCGCCAACTTGCTCTCATCATTTAATTTACAAAAGGATGAATCAAATGCCGCCTCGAATAAAACTAAAAATAATGCAACATCATCATCAGTGATCAGTCAAGGCGTAGGAAACTTTTCACTAGTGGATGTGATAAAGTATCACATATTGAATGGTTCTTGGCCTACCGATGCTATATCGAATGGAACGCATATCAATGATACATTAATGTCCAATCACACTGCCTATCCTCTTGCAACCTATGTACCAGTAGTCATCATCAATAATAACACCAATGGTAATGCCAGTTATGGTGGTACACCTAATACTACTGTTACTGCCACAAATACTACGATTGGGAACAATGCAACAAATAGTAATATTACAATTGGAAATGGAATTGGATATGCTTCTTTTATTGTGGCTGATATAATGGCTAACAATGGTATCATCCATATTATTGACAAAGGTAAAAAAAAAAAAAAAAAAAAAAAAAAATTTCATGGGTCAAATTCCCGTCTATAAATAGGATCACCGCCAATCAATTTTTATTTTTCTAACTTTCTTTCCCATTATTTTTTTTTTTCTTAATAGTTTTGGTTCCCCCTGTCTCTACTGTGAATACTATTCATCAACTTAATGAATCCAAAGTTGATGCTCTCTTGAACAAGTCTTCCAACTTGACTAACATATTGAATTCAGTCAACAATGTAAGTGAACTTCTTTATCTTTCTAGTGAAGAATATTCACCTTTTTCTCCTTTTTTTAGGTCACTATTTTCCTTCCTTCGGATGCTGCTTTGAATGCCATGTCAAAGAACAAGACTCATGAGAATGAATCTATGGAGGAAAATCCTAGTACTACCAACTTGGAAAACTTGGCAAAATCATATATTGTGAACGGAACATATACAACTACTAAGGTTAATTCAACTATGAATGTGACAACTCTAGGTGGTGACACCATTGAACTTCAACCTACTGGTAACCTCACGGCTTTCAAAGGTAATAATAATAAAAAAAAAGAGTATAAAAGTATATGAGAAATAATCTAACAAATATCATTCTTTCTTTTTTTTTCGATGTAGTTGACAATGCTACCATTACTAGATCCAATATTCTTACAAATAGTGGTGTCATTCATATTATCGATCAAGGTAATACAATAGAAACAAAATATAATCTAACAGTACATAATCAAACTCACGTATTCTTTTTTTTTTTATCATCATCGCCAAATTATATTAGTATTGCCACAAAATGCCACCTCTTCACCTTCGCCCTCTTCACCATCGTCTACTGGAGGTACAAAACCAACAAATCAAACATCTGGCAGTGTTTCCTTGACCTGGCGATCATCATCCGTGATGACCATCTTCTTGATTTATTTGACTCACTTGTGTATCTAGTAGTTTAGTATAGTTTTATAGCCTAGTTGTGATTAGTTCTATTCGATCAACAAAAAAAAAAATAATGTGGTCAGATTAATAAAAAATCATGTTAGGAACTATATATAAGAAGAATGATTATGTTAAAAGAAATGATATATCGTGCATCAAGTGTGCCCCAGGAACGGAGATTAAATCGTATATTTTTTTTTGCCCACTCTGTCCCCGTTGCCCTCACCTTTTGTGTCTATTTTTTTCTTTTTTTTTTTTTTTTTTTTTTTGGTTCTCCCTTCTTTCTTTTTTTTTTTCTTCTTTTTCTTGGTCTTCCTTTCTTTAGTTTTGACCGAAGAAGGGGAAGCAAACAATAAAATAACAAGCACCATTACAAAGAATACTCTTTTCATTATTGCTTGTAAATTGTATCTTCCCTCTATCCTTTTTCTTTAATTTTCTTCTTTTACATCTCTCTTTCCACACTACAACAGTTAACAACAAAGACAACAACGGCAGCAACGGACTACAACGGGTAACAGCGGCAATAGTATGAATTACGACAATATCATGAAGAAGGACTTATTGAGAACCAAATGTGACGATGTTCTTGGTTCTATGCAGTCTAGAGTACCTTTTGCTTTCAAAGGGTATCCTTCCTATGCAACTTTCCAACCACCTCCAATTTCTTCTGATATGGACGGCTCTAGTGGTGATACTCCTACTTTTGACAAACGAAACTGGGTTCCCGTTCCTTCTTCCAATAAACTGGATCGTCAAGCTCTCAAGACAAAACATCACTTTGTTGCTGATCCTGAATGGTTACCTCCTGTGCAAACTCCTCAACATCGTGTACCTCGTCCTCGTAGTCGTGGTGTCAAGTTACGGTCAGTAGAAGCCATTGTCAATGATAAGTAAGTAAAATAATAACAATAATAATAAAGTGACAAAAGATTTCCACTAATGACTTTCTTTCTTTTTTTTTTTTATGTTTGTAGTCAACGTCAAAGGGCTTTATCAAGTGAAGAACGTACTGCTTATATGACAGCCAGGACACCACCTCAGCAACAACCACCTGCACAACGACCACCGCCTCCACCTCCAAAATCTAAAATGCTTGATATTCTCAATGAAATCAAGGCTGTCAGTCGCCCTTCTTCATCGAGTTCTCCTTCTTCTGTCAAATCCTCTCTTACTCCAACAGCAACAGCTTCTCAAAATGGAACCAAGAAAACTCCTCAACCATCCACACCAAATAAAAAGATGGAATCTCATCAGGTTTTCAAGAAACCAGGTCATCCTTCCACTGCAACACCTCCACCTCCAACTGCTGTTGCTTCTAATGTTGTTACTGCTTCATCCACTCCTCGTTCTACTTCTCGCCAATCTGCAGGAGAAAAACAATTATCTACGAAATCAGCAAAATCCAAATCAAATGATACGACTTTGGTGAGTTAGAAAATATACAAACAGAACAATTCTTTTCTAGTTTTTTTACTCACCTTTTTTTTTTTTTTATTTCTTCCTCCTTGTTCAGGATCTCTTTCTTACCAAACAGTATCTACTTAATGATATGGAGGATCCTGCTGCTACTCGACACATTGAAGATCTTGCCAGGTATTTTTATATTTATCCTATACCTTTGTTACTTGGTGTATTTATTTTCTGGTTTACTTAGGTTGAATGTGATCAAGAAACGTCCCATCTTACGAGTCCGTATTCTTCTGAAAAAATCCGATCCGTCAAATGATATCAAGTCCAAAGATAATAGCAAGGTAATTGCGTATATTGATGCATTCTTTTTTTTTTTTTTTTTTTTTTTTTTTTTTTTTTTTTAGTTCCTTCATATTTATTTTATATTTCTTTGTACTTTAGAAGTCCAAAAATGATACCCAACCTACTCAAATAACTCAAAATGATACGGCAACGTTTAATTTACCAACTGGTACGATTCCAACTGAATTTATTCGATCCATTAAAATACGGAAAAAGGTGAAATCTGACCAAGTGACTCCAGTAACAACAACAATGCCTAAATCTACCAAGTCTCATATCATCGAATTAGAAGAAGGGGAAACAATTAGTCCATCACCATCTCCAAGGCGGCCATCAAGTACATCACCTGAACGTGCTACTGCGAAATTGGCGAACAAAAGACAACGTGAAGACCGTGACCATACGACGACGACAACAACAACAACCGATAGCCAGTCCAGACGAAGTAAAATATCAAGGAAAGAAACATCATCATCTTTATCTTCAAAACACAACAGCAACGAGGATGATCGACAGCACGATTCTAACATTGGATCAAGATCAACAACAAGAAAGGATAAACATCATAGTAATGATGACGATCGACGTTCTTCTTCATCTAGTAGCAAGCGACAAGAACGTAGCGGGGACGATTCCAGTGATAAACGTCGATCTAGACGGGAAAGTAGCAGTAAATATTCTCGAGATGATGAATACACCAGCAGCAGCAGCAGCAAATATCGATCATCACAACGATCATCTTCTTCGCGTCGTCATAGGTCATCTCGGTCAAGGTCTAGATCTCGGTCTCCTCTTCGACGGTCTTCATCTTCTTCTTCCAATACTCAATCATCATCATCATTGGAAAGATCAAGGCGGCACACTTCCAATACAACTACTACCTCATCAACAACATCAACAAAAGAATCACATAGATCTTCAAAAGAAAAACCAACATCTTCCCATACGAGCGATTCTACATCAGCATTGAAGGAAATGCCTATGAAAAACACAATAGCATCAATACCATCATCAACTTCGTCATCATCATCATCACCTGCGATGATCACCAAAGATCTGACAAAAGGAAACAGTTATAATGCCACTACGCCCATCGTTTCACCAGCAGCAGTGACAACAGTGAAGCAAATGACACCAAAAACAGCCATTGTGGAAAATCAAAAGCAATATCATCCAGCAACTGCAGAAAATGCCGAAACACCTGATCAATATAGGATATTCTCTATGATGTAAGTTTCCAAGAGTTAAAATCTATCTTTACCATGAATGAATTCCAAATTGACTTTTTTTTTTTTAAAACACTTAGGTTCCAAAAGTTAGCACTGGCTTATAAACGACGGGGTGATCATGCAAAGACGGAAATTGCCGGCGTATTAGATCATATGCAAGCGTTTTTAAATTATGTGATGGGATTCCATTATCAAGACAAACTTAGTAATGATCTTGGACAAAAGAGTTGGGATACACTTCACCCGTTCATTGATGTGGTACTCAAGAAACTTCGCGCTCGAAAGGACAAAGTCAAACAGGATGCGGAATTATATGGACTCTGTCTACGTATGAAGGCATTGGTTCTGTTTTATACATTCAGTCGACGTGAAATGAATGCACGGATCAAGGTCACACGATTAGGTGAAAAATCAACGGATATGGATGATACACGACGGATGGAATACAGTAAATCGGTGGATAAGGTACTGCAGGATCATGAAATGGCATATGCGGCATTACGTGAATCGGACAAGTATATAGCATTTGATCATATTCAAAGTCAATTCCCGGTGTCTTATCAAAATGTATGTGTACTTGGTCAATTGGGTCCTGGGATTGTTCTTGGTGGTGAAGCTGGCACTTCGGTGGGTCCCATGTTTCCCTTGGTACCCTATGCTCGTCTTCATCATGCTGCTATCATGGCCAAATGTATGTTACAAGAATATGTGGAGAAAGAACAACTGGATTATCATACTATCACCGAAACAGAAGATTATATGTAGTAGTAGTAGTTTTTTTTTTTTTTTTTTTATTTTTATTATTATTATTTTTATATATCTATTTGTTTTATTTTATTTGTGATCCCCCCTTTTTTTCTCTATATACTACTATATCGTTTTGACAATTTTTTTTTTACTACAAATTATTTTGATTGGTTTACTTCACATTGACCTTTACATTTCAGTGTTTTTTTAAAAAAAAAGAAAAAAGAAACTATATTAATAAAACGGATAAAAAATGAAATACATTGGATGGATAGTTTTGATTGATATTTTGTTGTGTATTGTGTTTTGGGTATAGAATAACGAAGAATAAGGAAGAAGAAGATAATTCTATGATGACTCGTGAGTGATCCCCTTCAACTACATTTGAGAGAAGAACAGTTGATTTGATATGTCTTAGGGTGATCATCCGTTTAGTCTTTATTTATTTGGATAGTAATAATAATAAAGAATGGTTGATTTTTTTTACATTAATCTACATTTACAAAAGGGATAAAGAAAAAGACAAAGAAATAAAAAAGGTCGAGGACGGTATTTATAGAAAAGAGTAAATTTTTTGCTGAGGATGCTAAGAATAAAATGGGGTGGTGAAGTCTTTTTCTTTTTTTTTTTTTTTTTTTTTTTTTTTTTTTAATCAGTGATCGGATGATAATGATTGTTTTTCAATGATGACAGAAAAGAGAAACAATGAAAAACAAGAGCTTACTTTTTCTACAATAGATTGATTCTTTTTCATGAGGATGCTAAGAATAAAAGGGAATATCCTTTTTATCAGTCATCGGATAAGGATTGTTTTTCATTTATTATAGGAAAAAAAGTGATAGTAAACAATGCAAAAAAGAACAGGTGTTGAGAATGATCAAATAATTGATTTATCTATAATTATTAAGAAGACTATAATAAAGAATAAGAAAGTTTCTATCATTAATCATCAATCATCCGTTTCCGTAATATAAAAAAAAAAGAATCACCACAAATATATGCAAACCCCAATGCAAACAGATCTCTAATCAAACGCAGAAAAAGAAAAAAAAATAAACGCGCTTCACATGGAAAAAACCAATAGCTGACTCGCTTTAAAGAATCCAAAGAGATACATTCTTTTTTTTCAAAGTAAAATTGGTCATTTGAATAATGATGATTGCTTTATTGATATATTCATGTGATAAGGAAGAAGGTGATACTAATACTAAAAATAAGAATGATTATATACTATAGAGAAGATGATGGCAAACAAGTACAGGTGAAGAATAATTACATACAAGTATCTGTACGTAGGACAGGAAAAAAAAATGCTTGGCAAAATGAATCTATTTAGACATACCGATGTTGCTGACGATAGTGTTGAGGATCAGGCATCACGGCCAAAGGTAAGACAGGCTGTTGCTGTTGAGGCGCAGCTGCATCATTATAATATGGTTGGTGCTGTTGTTCCTGATGTGAATAAGATGCAGATACTTGGGGTTGTGGTGGTGAAACGGATGATGGATATTGGTATTGCATTGAATTCATTGCAGAGGAGGGATAAGATTGACCAGCAAAAGAAGGAAGGTAAGGTTCAGAGACAGTGGCGGTCATTCCTTGATTAGTTGTATTTGTATTATTAGTAGTAGTAGTGATATTTGGCGAAATATTGGTAGCAGAAGAATGATGTAGATCGCTTGGTGGCATTGGATTAGTTGGTGTTTGTTGATTAAGGACTTGAGTATTATTATTGTTGATATCTTGATCCACGATTTCAGTAGTCAATTCCACTGTTTCTTGTTTAGATTGAGCTATCTGTTGAAGATTCTTTTGTACCAATTGTTTTTGTTTCCAAAATACTATTAGAGCCAAGATCAAAGTAGTTATCCATAAAAGACAGGTGAGCCAAACCAATGCGATGGAAACTCTAGCACAATTGCACTAACATAAAACAAAGAAAATATAAATAAATAATGAATATTTATAGATCAGTTGTGTGTGTCATTCATTCAATTCTATATTTTGGCATATAATCCCTTGATCAATGATCATCTGACATTGGTCTTATTACCTGAGCAGTCCAAGCAGAAGCATATCCACTATCTTTTTGATTTGAATCCAGTGAACACGTATCGGCATTCAATGTATATGTAGTAATACCGATTCCAGCTGTCAACCAAAGTAAAGAATAGAATCCAGTGAAAATAAGGTTGGTTCTTGGTTTCAAGAAAAACTTGCCACACCATTTCATTTTATTCTTGCTTTCATACATCCATGGGAAGAACACCAAAAAGATCGGTGTAAGGAAAGTAAATATGGCAACATACAAGGTATAGTTAGGTCCAGGAGCACTGTAACCCTATTATAAGAAATGAATAAAATAAATAATCAAAAAAACAAAAAAAACAAAAAAAAAGATATATATATATATAATATATATTTCTTACCTTGTATTGAATTTGTAAAGCAATAACAGGAGATATCATAGCAACGACTAAAAGAGTAGTGATAACTTGACATATATGTAACCAAGATCTAACACGAGGGAATGTATAAGGTTTGAGAGATGACTTTGAAGTAGATTCCTCTACTTGATCTATTGAGCTCATTATTTATGAGAGAGAGAGAAAGAAAGTAAAAAAAATAAAATAAAATAAAATAAAAATAAAGAAAAGAAAAGAAAAGAAAAGAATAGAAAAAAAAAAACCTTTTGAGATAAATTTACTTTGCCAAGGAAAAAAAAAATAAAAATGTGGCTACCCTATTCCAAATTGGGTTTGAAAGTAGTTTATGCTAGGGGAAATGTTTAGATTCTGAATATATGTGATTTTCATTATATGTCAAACAAGAAGATTATTTATTATAATCAAAAAGAAGGAAAAACTGAATTTAAATCTATACTACTGCCATTTCTTTGATTCTTGGAGGATGATTGACCAAACAAGATGCTGATTTGCTCTAAGAATATAAATAAAATTGCTTAGTCTCTTATGGAATTCGTTATCCGATCTTGGCTTTTTATTATATATTTTTTTACTTCTAATCCAGGTCTTGCTAAATCTAATCCTTCAGCAGAGAAATCTTTCCAATTTTGCCAATTGATAATCATAGCGTTAGGTGGAGGAAAATTAGTAACAAAAGATAAAATAATATAGATACAACCAAATACTAAACATAAAGTACCAGTGACAATATTAAGTACACCAAAATCTAGTGATATACAACCAAAGCTATAAAAATAATAAAATCATTTTTTTTTTCAAATAAATATGATATGATTGATTCATTATTTTCTTTACCCTACAATATAAATATCATTCCTCGACCACTATATATTGATACAAAACGAAAATACGTTAAAGAAATATCCGACGGTTTAACTTCATTGACTACTAGAACTGCTGCAATCACACTATCAAAAAAAAAAAGACTATTTATTATATCATAAAAAATAAAAAAAAAAGAATATATTACCCTCCATAAATTCCAACCATGATTTGAGAAAAATCAGCATGAAGGGATTTCATAATGACTGATACAATGACGAGTAAATATAAGATAATATTTATACAATTAAGGGTTAAAGTAAGTATATTTTCAGCTTTCGTTCGAGATATCATATTGTATGAAAAGAAACAGAAAAAAAAAAGAAGAAGAAGAAGAAAAAAAAAAAAAGAAAAATCAATTAATTATAATATTTATAAATGGTGGTATGTTTTCAATAACAAAAAAGGAAATCTCCCCCTTTCTTTCTTTTTCTTCCCTTTTTTTTTTTTTGTAGGAATGTATTTGAACTCAGAGGAAGCATGAATGTTGTGGCTTGGAACTGAATCTTACAACCTAATTTTTTTTTTCCTCTTTTTTCTTTACTTTTTTTTTTGTATATATATTTGAGTATGGCTAAATCTAATTTGAAACAACAACAAAAGAAAAAGTCAAGTGATCTTACAAAAGACAAGTCCAAAAAGTCAAAAGCTTCAAAACAACCGGAAAATGTGATTCCTGACGAAGAGACTGATAAATTACGTGAACAGATCTTATCTCTTGGTGGTACTCGAGGTGATCTCACTTTTTTGGAAAACGTTGACAATGACGATACTGATGAATTGATCACTACAACTGAAGATAAAAATGAAGTAAGTTAAAAAGAATGATATATATATATATATATATTCTAATCATTATTATTATTACTACTAGACTTCGGCTCTTCAGGATGAACTAAAAAACTTTATGAAGAATATGGGCTTCTCAGCAAACCTTTATGATCAATTTGATAAGGAAGAAGATAAACAACTTGAAGAAGCTGAACAAAACGATGACACCAATGAAAGTGACAACGAAAGGAATAATGAAAACGATACTAGTAGTGACGAAGAAGAAGAAGAAGAGGAAGAAGAGGAAGAAGAAGACAACACTGAAGACAGTGAAAATGATACTGAATCAAAACGTGTTCCAGAAACAACATCAAAAGTCAATACCTCCAACTTGGTAAGGATTATATATATAGTATTCACAATGAAATCTCAGTCTTCCTTCTTTTTTTTTTTTCTTTTTTTTTTTTTTTTTAATCTGACTTTAGCGAGTAGAACCTACACCTTACTGGTACAATACCGAATTACCTACAATTCCTATAACAAAGGGAAAACTCTTACCTACTCAAATTTCAAGTAAATATGAATTCGCCCGTAGTCTATTGGATCAAGAAAACGAAGATGCCTCGAAAAATTCCTCTCTTAGTTCATCCGATCGCAAATTTATGTCCAATATTATGCAATCTGGTACTCTCAACGATAAGGTATCTGCTCTTACTCTATTAATTCAAGAATCTCCTCTTCATGCAATGAAGGCTCTGGATACTATCATGACCATGACCAAGAAGAAAGGACGCAAGGAAGCAAATATGGCTATTCTCAGTTTAAAGGATTTATTCATTGGTTCTGTTTTACCTGATCGAAAGCTTCTCTATTTTGCTGATCGACCTCTTCATCATCCTGATGTTACCAACACACATTTGCTTTTATGGGTCTTTGAAGATTTTTTGAAGAAATATTACTTTGAATATATCCAACAAATTGAAGTAAGACCATTTAATTAAAATAATATGATGATAATATGATTAATATTCTCTCGTTTTTACTTATTTATAAAGGCACTCTCTCATGATACTCTGATGTATATACGTTACAGTATGGTGAATTGTTTACATGATCTTTTATCTGGAAAACCTGAACAAGAACAAAATTTATTAAAACTGTTGGTGAACAAACTTGGTGATGCTGAAAACAAGGTGGCAGCTAAATCATCTCAAAAACTTATCGAACTACTTGTGCAACATCCTGGAATGAAGATGTACGTTGTACGTGAAATTGAACAACTATTATTACGATCCAACAGTTCCCAACGTGCTCAGTATTATTCTGTCATTACGTTGAATCAAACCATTTTGACTTCAAAGGATAGCGCCGTAGCCAACAAATTAGTGGAACTCTATTTCTCCTTTTTCCAACGATTGATGAAATTGAATGACGAAGAAGATAAAGCTAGAGAAAAACAAGATTCGGATGATGATAACGAGAAGAATGATCCCAAACAGCGAAAAAACAAGAAACAATTGAACCGTGAAAAGAAGGAAGAACAACGACAATCTGAAGTGGACGAATACAATTCGAAAATGATTGCAGCTATTCTTACTGGTGTGAATCGTGCTTTCCATTTTGCAACTCTTTCTGATGAATTGTAAGTAATTGATACACATCATTTCTATATATATTAATCTTATTCCTTTTATATATATATATATATAGATTCGAAAAACATATGCAAGTATTATTCAAGATTACTCATTCTGGTACCTTCAATACTGCCATTCAAGCTTTATCTTTGATCTTCACCATTTCTCTCACCAAACATACTCAAACTGACCGATTTTACCGAACACTTTATGAATCTATGTTTGATCCTCGTTTATTGACAAGTTCCAAACAGGCTATGTATCTCAACTTACTTTACAAGGCTATCAGTGCTGATGAAGATATTCGTCGAGTCAAGGCCTTTGTGAAACGAACTGTTCAAATTGCAGGATACCATCAACCTCCCTTTATCTGTGGTCTGTTTTATACTCTTAGCCAGGTAATTTATATATAAATGAACGTATGATGATAATGAGACTGACCTTCAACCTTTTTTTTTTTTATTTTTGTTTCAGATTTTTGCAAAACGGTCTGGACTTAGAGCAATGTTGACTACTCCTGAAGAAGATGATGATGAAGAACATTTTATGGATGCTCCTGATGATGATGATGAAGAAGAAGAAGAGAGGATGACGACAAAAAAGAAAAGATCAACAAAACATCAACACAACAACCAGCTATTACCAGTTATGATGGACGAAAACGTGATCCTCAATACAGTAACGCTGAACGAACTTGCTTATGGGAATTGGTAAACTCAAAAAAAAAAGATTAAAGAAAAAATAATAATAAAAATAATTTGATACTAACAGATTTGTTTATCATTAGATTCCATTCAGAGATCATTATCATCCTTCTGTAGTCAAGTATGCTGATAGTTTATTCAAAGGTGAAGTGATTCAAGATAACCCTGATTTACATCATCACACTTTGATGCACTTTTTGGATCGATTTGTGTATCGTAATGCTAAGAAACATACAACAACTAAAGGTAGCTCTATGATGCAACCTATTGCTGGTCGTTGGGATGGTGGTGTCCTTCAAACTAGAGGTGGTGCTGGTATGGATCCAAATCGTCTTCCTGTCAACTCTGCTGAATTCTGGAGAAAAAAGATTGATCAAATTCCTGTAGATGAAGTAAGTTTTTTTTTGTGTGACATGGTGTGATACGATGTGATGGGAATTATGTCATGGGGAGAAAGAAAATTCCATGTAAGGATAAATACTCACGAGATTTTTTTTTTTTTTGATAGATTTTCTTCCATAAATACTTTACTCAAAAGGCCAAAGAACAACCAGAAAAGAATGACAAGAACAAATCTGAAGAAGATGAAGAAGATCAAGTATGGAGGGCAATGATGGCTTCAGTACCTGGAGGATTAGATGAAGAGGATGATCTGGATATAGATGAAGATGATTCTGAAGATGACGATGCTATGCGCGCACTATTGATGGATGATGACGACGAGGAAAATATGAGCGACAATGGATTTGAATCGGAGTCAAACCACGTGGATACCGATAATGAAGATATTGACTTTATGAATGCCTCCAGCATGGATGAAGAAAGCGATGAAGAAACAAGTCCGAACAAACGAATGATGGCGGAAGATGAAGAAGAATCCGAAGAAAAACCCAAGAAGAAAAAGCAAAAGCAACCTAATCGACCTACTTTTGCTTCCTATGAAGATTATGCTGCATTATTGGACAAGGAAGAGGATGATTTAGAATAGATATTATTAGTACTACTTTATATAATTAAAAAAGCATACACTTTTTTTTTTTTTACTCTTTTCTTTCCTTTTTTTTTTTTTTATACTTCCTTTACTGGGTTCGTTCTTTCTTTTCCGCTCGGAACGGTAGTGAAAAAAGTGAAACTAAACCAATGAAAATGCGTTGAGTATGATAGTTTGAAGCTGCCAGAAAAAAAATGTATTTAAGGACTTTCCAAGTACCTTTTTTACAACCTTTTTTTTCTTCTTTCTCTTTTTTACTCTTTTTTTTTTTTTAGTTTTTTTTTTTTTTTTTTTCTTCTTCTTTTTATTGTTGTACTTTTATATCTTTTATTCCCCCCAAACATGCCAGTACCTATTGATTACACCAATATTAGACGTATGAGCACCATTACGGTACCAAAACAAGATATCCACTTCGAGTAAGTTTCGTTTTATATATTATAAAATTATATACTTATCATTTTATTATTATTATTATTATTATCCTAGTGTATATGACTTTCAACAATGTAAACCACAAAACAATATTGATAACACATTGGAATCTCGTCAATTGGAAGCTGATTATTGTCGTGATTTTTCTTGTTGTGGACTTGTACTTAATGATCTTCATGACCTTTTGCAACATTATGAAGAATGTCATGTACAATGTGAAGAAGAAGAAATAGATCAAGACGATGACACTTGGTCCTGTACTCCACCTTTATCGCCTACTTTGGATATTAGCTCCTCTACTCCTTCTTCATCTGGTTCTCCTGTGGCTACATTGGATTCAATGAAAAGAAAAGCTGCTTCCTATCTTTCTGACGTTTGTAATCAATATGGTACTATGGATGGATATGATCTTACCCCTGTTACTCCTACTACTCCTGGATTTAATAGTGATTATTCTTTGCCACCTACACCTTCAACTGAAGAGCATCATCCTCTTTTGGGAAACAATGAAGACAATAACAAAGGTGAAGAAGATGATGATCGTATTTGTGGTAAGAAACGTACCTTTCAACAAACTTCATCTACCAATGCTATGGATTTATTGACTTTATCTGCTGCGAAGAAATTGGCTTTGGCTGCTGGTGATTCTTTTAATTCTTTGACTGATGAAGAATTTTTGGCTCATGCTGGTGTTTTACTTGCTTCTGCAAATACTTCTTGTATGTTATTGAGATGATGATTTTTTTTTATTTTTTTTTTATTTTATTTTGGCTAACCTGATCTCTCATTCCTTCCTAATTAGATCTCTACGCTGACAAGCCTTATAAGTGTGCAGTACAAGGGTGTGACAAGGCATACAAGAATCCCAATGGATTAAAATATCATAAGGAACATGGTCACTGTAGTTTGTTAGAAGACAATGAAACTCCCAAACCCTATCAATGTACTATTGGTGATTGTGGTAAACGATACAAGAATTTGAATGGATTGAAATATCATATTGAACATTCTCATATGGCTGCTTTGAATCATACCCTGGCTACGTTTGGCTGCTCTCTTCTTCAAACTCCTCCTGCGTCTGCTGCTACTTCCCCTTTATTAGACTCTTCTGATTCCTTTATTTAAAGCACTCACATACACATTCATCTTATCATACATACATCATTCTATTATTATTATTATTATTGTTATTATTATTTTTTTTCTTCTTCCTTTTATCATTCTCATCCTCATCATTTATTTATGCCAAACCTCGACAACTTTTTTTTTCATTACAAACTGTATATATTATATATCATCTCCCCTTTTTTTTTCATGCTATGCCATTTTACTTTAACTTCATTCTTCAAAAAAAAAGTTCTTAGATCCCCATCATTTTATTCATGCCTTATCATTGTTAGTTTATATAGTCTTATCAAAAAGTTACATTTTCTAAAAATCAATAAAATAGACAAAAAAAAAAAGAAAAACCAAATATTCGTGCTGTCCCAATTAAAGACAATGAAGAGAACTCTGTTTAGTAACTTCATACTGGTACGTGTAACATCAACTAAAAACCTTCTATTTCAGCGGCGAATATCTTTGAATCGGCGGCAATCTCGAATAAGATAATACTTTATTCAATATTCTTTTTTTTTTATTATTATTTATTTATTTATATCCTATATATATATATATATAAATAAAATCAAGTTAGAACCTTTGATAAAAAAAAAAAATGTAATCTATCCCTCCTTTTTTTCATTATACATTTAGCATAGTCATTCTTTATAAAACTTTATAAAGCCCAAAAGAAAAAAAAAAAAAAAATGATCGTGTTACTTTTTATATTAGTTTGGTTGACCAGAGAGATTGAAATTATTTGTTTAGTGTTACCATCATAATCAACCTAGTGTGAAAAAAATAAAGTGAAAATAATGAGGATCTTCTCCTTTTTTTTTTGACTTTGAAAAACTACTCTATTTTGCTGGATTATCTTTCTTTTTCTCCCTCTAATTTGGATCATCCCCTTTCTTTCTCTTTCTTTTCTCTTTTATTGTCTTTTTTCTAGAAGGTCTCTTTTCCCCCCTTCCTTTCTTTTCTTTTTCAAAGTGACATAGTGATTGTTATTACTTTCTTCTAGTAGTCCTTCATCCCCATCCTTTCTTTTATTACTCACTCAATCCATTTTTTTTTTTTTTACACTCGTTTGAATCATCTTTTTGTTTTTTTTTGTTGTTTTATCAACCATGCATTCATCTCCTGTCACGGCTACTACCTCTGCTTTGCTGGCTATTGCTGCCACCATTCCTGTCACTCAAGCTCGTTATCTTTGGCATCCTAACGAGTTACCTTTACACCAAGACTATTATAAACCAGCACAAGGTTAGACGATATACACATATATAAATGGTTGTTACACACTCTCACACAAACTTTCTTTTTTTTTTTTTTTAATTTGATTTTATATATGCATAGAGGAGCATCATATTGTAAACTTTGCAGCTGAACCCAGCTTTCAAAATGCAGAAACTACCAGCAACAAAGAAACGAGCAGTGCAAAGAAGGATCCATCACCATCATCATCTCATTCAGCGGCAAAATCAGCAGATTCCAATACACCAAAATCATCAGCACAAGCAAAACCAACAACTACACCAACAAATCAAGCTAGTGCAATACCTCATTCGTCTGGACATTCATCAGCCGCATCATCTGATTCTTCTCCAACAGCTTTAATGCCTAGTGGTACATCTTTATCATTATCTGGATTACCAAGTACCAGTGGATCATCTACCCCATCATCGACATCATCCTCATCATCTAGTGATGGTACATCAAGTGGAGCTATTGCTGGTATTGTGATTGCTGTTCTTGCTGTCGTAGGTGCTATTGCTGCCTTTGTTATGGTTCGAAGAAAGAAGAATAATCGTCGAAATATGAAACCTGATCCATTCACTATGGGCTTTGGAAGTCATGATCCTCCTCGACATGATCCTTATAACAATAATAATAATTCATATCAATACAATAATGGTGGAAATAATATGACTCAACCTTATCAACAACCTCAACCTGCTCATATGCCACCAGTCAGTCCAACTTATAGTACTCCACCTCCACCTTTATCACCCATGTCTGATGTACCTCCTTATCAACAACAACAATATTATGCTACGGTTCCTGCAGAAAAGTCTCAAGTTACTACCGCTGTTGGTGCTACAAATGATCAACAACAACAACAACTCCAGCAGGCTGGACAACAACAACAAGAACAACAAGTACCTCAAGGTTCATTAGGTGTATTCAATGTGGTGTCTACTTACTCTCCTACTCTTAGTGATGAAATCGATATTCAACTTGGTGATCGTATTGAAATTCTTGTAGAATATGATGATGGATGGTGTCAAGGTATTAATCTGACGCGAGGTAATATTAAAGGTGTCTTCCCTCGTCATTGCGTGGAACAATATCCTGGTGCTGCTCAAGAACAACAACAAGCCAAGAATGATGGTCCTCCTCAATTGGAATTAGGTAGTTTGAAGCGTGTCAGTTCCATGTACATGTCCTATACTTAAAATAGATTCATCACCATTTCCCTCCTCATTTTTTTCGTTTTCTCCCTCATTCCCTCCTTCTTAGTTTCTCCTCGTCAACTTTTTCCCCCCCCCCTTCTCTTTTTAATCCATTCAATTTTTTTTTTATACATCATCCTCATATCATGTCCCGTTCCTACCATTTCTTTATTGTCCCATATTATCTATTATTTATCTTTTTCCTATTCACCAAGTTATATATAACTATATAATAAAACAACAGCAATACATTTGATACAAAAAAAAAAAATTAATAATATTTATGTGTATTTATGATAGAGGATGAGATATATTTCCTTTCGTGCAACCCCCTATTCATACAAGAAAGAATCATCATCTATAATCTTTTCATGATATCATAGTAGATCACTGGGTGTATTTAAAAAAAAAAAAATTGAAATCCTCCATGTTTTTACGACATTTGTGCCATTTTTTTTTTTTAATCATCACATCATCATCCTTAAGTTGATCTTCCAGATAGGTCTCCTCTAAACGGTAACACATACAACCAGGAAAGAAGCTAACAAGATGGACCCTGAATCAAGCTGGCATTCAAAAATTCATTTGAATCTGTTGATGTTTGTTCCTGCAAAAATAATCAAAAGAAAAATGCGTCATCTATACTGTTCAATCCTATCCTCCATCAGAACAAGATACACAAAAAAAAAGAGAACATTCCATTGAATCGCCGGCCAAAATGGGTGTACAACGAAAAACCGAAAACTGAGAAAATCATTAGAAACTTTTCAATAGATTTTTATTATTTAATGTAGCAAAAAAAAAAAAAAAGTGTACATGTAATCAATATGGATGAAAAACAAATAAAAATAGGAATGGGGGGGTATCATATAGACAATAATAATAAAACATACATTAGAATGAAATCAAAAATAAAGGTAAAATGTAATAAAAAGTAATCAAAAACAAACTAAATGATAGGTGACTTTGTCAAAGATTTTGTACTACATTGGGAATCTTGTAAGGATATGGAAGAGCGATTGCCATGAGAGAAAGAGTAGGGAGAGGAATGATCTTGTTGTTCTTGTTCCTGTTGTTCTTGATGACGGAAAGCAGATAGAGTTGGTGATGATGATGGTACGGATACACGTTTAGAATCATTTGCCATATTTGAAGATTCACCACCGGTGGTTGTTAGATCAGCTGAAGTAAATGATATAGGACCACTAATACTATGTTGACGATGTGTTTTGGTTGGAGTCGTTACCCAGTGAATAGTAAGTACATTGATTGTCACATCGATTGTGCAGCACATCAAACAAAGCCATGATCTTTGACGTCCATACATGATCGTAGCACTGAGAGCATTGGCAAAAGAGGCAACAAGACATACTGTAGAAGCAATTAAACTACGTTTGGTGATTTCAAATAATCTTGATGATTTCCATTCAAAGGAATTAACACCACGACCAACTCGGATCAAAGGAATCACGAATAGAATAGTCATGTATAAGTTGAAGATCTAGTACAAAAAAAAAGGAGGGGTGACGTTAGTTGATATTCCTGCAGTGTCTTGTTGATGATGACTATTGTGTATTGTTGCACTTACGGTGTCATACACCTAGAAAAGAGTATAGTAAAAAAAAAAATGAGTTTAATTCGCTTTTTCAAAAAACTGGTTCCCTGTCCATTTTTTTTTTTTTTTTTTTTTTTTTTTTTTTTACCAAGACAGGAATGTTTGCAATAGGTTGTAATCCGATATAGCATTGACCAGTAGAAGTCATAATAGAATTATGATAAACCAACTGAAAAAAATAAATAAATAAATAAAATAGTATAAAAAAAGGTGAGTTTGAAGATATATATATATTTAATGATGATGACAATTACCATCAATACAAAGATACCAATATAGGGAGTCATAAGAAAAAGATTAAAACGATAAGACCAAGTATCAAATCGAGCATTTCGTCCATCACTCACAATATAAGCACGTTCGATCAACCTATATAATGAAATGAAAAATGAAAATCACGTACACAAAAAAAAAAAAAATAATAAGTTGTTTACCATAGATAGATAATCAATTTAGTACCACAATAAAAGAGATCGCATGTCATAATAGAGAGAAAACAAGACGTGTAATTACCTATTATTAAATTAAAAAAAAAAGAGTATGAAAGATTTGATTTAAATAATAATATATATAAATTTTTACCATTTGCAGTTGAAACCAATATAGTAGCAGTAGTAGTAAAAGCCCAAGAACAGATATAAAGAGCTACTACTAACCAACGAGCATAGGTTAACTGTCTATATTTAATTTGAAATGTTTTGACACCAAATAAACTACAAGTAAGAGTAATAGCAAAAAGAGATATGACTTGTGAAGAAAATTCTCCCCATTCCGGTTGACTAGTATAAATGAAGGAAGTTGTCTCCATGAAATATTATTATTTAAAGAAAGTTAAAAGAGAGAGTAAAAAAAAAAAGGGAAAGAAAGGAAAAAAAGAGATTTTTTGCTTTTGTTTCAAATAGGTGTGCATCAAAAATACCGGAGTTGAAATCTTTTTTTTTTTTTTTTTGTTGTAACATTGTCTATACTGATATTTCTCTCTTTTGGTTTCAAAGAATTATCTGCATTTTTTTTTTTGATTGATGATGATCCTCGGAGTACAGACATTAATAATAATAAATAGAATTTTTAACCCTTGATTTTTATATCAGTGTAACGGACACATCTTAACAAAAAAATGTAAGTCTAGTCTATTCTCTGGACTTTCTATTTTTGTCCAAAGTAACATTAAAAAAAAATCATATAATCTTTTCTTATTTTTTTTACTTTCTACCATATTATTAGAGAAAAAAAAAAAAAGAAAAGAAAGAAACTAGACCAAAAATAGGATACACTTACTTTTTCTTTATAAAAAGCATTTTTGACCCCGCCACACTAAAAAAAAAAAAAAAAAAAGAGACATTTGCCATTTCTATCTATCTCTTTTTTTTTTTTTTTTTTTAACTTTGGTTAATTCAAATTATCTTTTATGATGGTATCATCAACCTCTCATCATTTTACACCACTACCATCAGAAGATACTCATATAGTTGTTGATGATCAAGATGAAAATCACCCTACACCAATTCGATCAGTAGATGATATCTTGGATGTCTTATTAGGTAGAGTAGGTTATGGTCGGTTTCATACTACTTTACTGGTAAAGAATAAATAATAATATATAAAAGTTACTTTCTTTCTTTATTAACTAATGAATATTCTTTTTATTTTAGATTCTCTGTGGATTTGGTTGGCTTGCAGATAATGTAAGTTATAACTTTCCTATTCTATTATTTCATTAGTAACTCATTTTTTTTTCTCTTTTTCTTTCTCTCTCTCTCTTTTTTTTTTTTTTTTCCTTAAAAAAAAACAATAGATGTGGCTTCAGGTACGATAATTATATATATAAAGCAAATATAATCATGACTTCATATTCTTTTTTTTTTTTATTCTAAAAAAACTAGACTGTGGCTATTATATTACCAAGAGTACAAGGTATATATATAATTTGAATGGAATGAATGCATAAATCAATGTCTTACGTGTTATTCTTTTATCTAGAACATTTTCAAGTAGATGATAAGTGGATTGGTACACTTTCAAGTTCTTTGTTTACTGGTATGATGATAGGTTCTTTCTTTTGGGGAAGTTATTCTGATACAAGAGGACGCAAGTTACCATATACAATGACTTTAGCTATCACTTCTGTCTTTGGTATCCTTTCAAGTTTTGCCTTTAGTTTTTGGAGTTTATGTGTATTATTATTTCTTCTTGGATTTGGTGTAGGTGGCAATATGCCTACTGATGGTAAGTTTTGATAGATATTGAATTGAAATTCATATTGACTTTTTTCTTTTTTTTAATAGGTGCTTTATATTTGGAATTCTTGCCACGAGAATATCATTATCTCTTAACTTTTATGTCTGTTTTCTTCTCTTTTGGTGCTGTATTGGCTTCTGTACTTGGTTATATTATCCTACCTTCCACAAGTTGTCCTGAACCTACCCCCGAAAATCCTTTTCCTTCTTGTGTTTTGGCAACCGAAAATCGTGGATGGAGAATCATGCTATTCTCAGTTGGTATTATCACTCTTTTTATGTTAGCTGCTCGGTCCTTTTGTTTACGTCTACCAGAAACGCCCAAATTTTTACTCAGCAACAACAAACATAAGGAAACTATTATTGTTCTTCAGGATATTGCAAAGATGAATGGAAATAGTTATGTGGATATTCAAGCTTCCGATTTACATGGTGACCATCATGACAACAATGATGGTGGTGATAATGAACAAGACGGATTATTAGCAACAACTCATTTCACAAACAAGTCAGCCGATCAAGGATCAACAGATACTATGACACCATCCTTATCATCAGCAGACATGAATTCTACACAACAATATCAAAATGATAATCGACCGTTTGATGAAGAAATCCAGAACGCTAACTCTATCTTACATGCTGATGATGAATCACCTTCTCCTCCACCTCTTGATACCTTGAATAGCTGGACTATTCTTATGAGTGAAAAATGGCGATTGACAGTGTTTTTGGTTTGGGGTATTTGGATCTTTACATCAATGGCATTCACCATGTTCAACGTTTTTTTACCAAAATACCTGGAAACCTTGGGATTCGATGGTGAAGCTGTACCTACAAGAAAAGATGTATATTGGGATTATATGATTTATTCTATTGCTGGTGTACCTGGATCTGTGGCAAGTATCTCAAAAAAAAAAATAAAAAAGATATATCTATATATAGATTGATTCAGTACTAAATGTTTATTTTTTATATATATATATATATATATATATAGATGGCATCTTATCTGATTGAAACTCGATTAGGAAGAAAAGGAACAATGGCATTTTCAGCATTTGGATCAGCATTGGCGTTATTTCTATTCTCAATCATTGATTCTCGTATTACCATGCTAATCTCATCATCTTCTGTTTCCTTTTTGGCGACCTTGTTATATGCAGTGATTTATGGATATACACCTGAAGTCTTTGATACAGCTGTACGTGGAACAGCCGTTGGTACAGCTTCTGGATTAGGTCGTGTGGCAGGTATCATCAGTCCTATTGTTTCTGGTATCTTGTTGACCATCAGTACTTCATTACCTCTCTATGTCAGTGTGATTGGATTTATTATCGTTGGTGTTTGCATTGTGTTATTACCCTATGAAACAAGATCTTCAAAATAAGTAGTACTCCTTTTTTTGATATATATATATATATATATATATATATATATATATATATTCTTTTTTTTATATATATATTTTTATTATTAGCTTTTAGTTGTATGTATTTTGTCATTTAGTTTACTCATAGACAACACCCACATATATACTTAGTATTTTAGTTGATTCCCTTAAATATCCTCCGTCATTCTATTCAATTTTTTTTTCCCTTTTGTAGACATTTGTAAATAAATTAAAAAAAATAAAAAAGGATATCCTGATGATGATGAATATTTGGATTTGATATAAATCTACATAATTACTTTATTTATTTCCAATCGAAATCACATACTGTTACAAATATATATATATATATATATATATATATATCATCTAATCTAATGATTCAAACTATAAAAAAAAATAACTTTTCTATCTATCTATCTATCGTGACTTTGGGAGTGATTGACGTCGAATCCAACCTAAACTTGCTAATTTCTTTGCTACAGCAGGAGTTACAGCGGCAGTGAGAGAGAGTCGTACAGGTAATAGGACAGTTTTGTGTATACCATAGGCCAAAACGAAAATGGATGTCCAAGAAGGTCGAGGTTGTTGTATGGATGGGGTAAAAACAGGAGGAGGTTCCATACCTAAACTTGTTTTGACTTTGGTCACTACCCAATGTTCCAATTGTTCTACTTTATCAGCTCCCTTGATACGAATGGCGGCCATGGTCAAACCCAAATCGATAACACTGAATCCTAAATAAACACCTACACCTACATAACCATATTTCCTCATAAATGTCTTCAATTTGCCATTCTTTTGTTGTGTAGATGCAAAATATCGTCTTGGTGGAAAAGAAGGGTATATATGGTTGTATTGAGTGAATGTTAACCGTCGCAAAGGAAGGATATTCATATTGTTAAGTAAATAATAATAATAATAAAAGAGATTTTTATGGGCTGGGGTTGAATGAACTTTTTTTAAAATCTTTTTTTTTTTTTGTTTCAATTTATTTTTGGTTTCGAAACTTGTTATTTTTTTTTCTCTTTTCTCTTTTTTTCTATCTCTTTTTTTATTATTATTAATTTATAGTACTTCCATGCCTTTCGCTGATATAGCAAAGAAATCCATGGTGGTTTTACTTGCTGGCACGACAGGTAATATATATATATATATACTATAACATCAAGAATACTGACTGACTCTTTGTTGTAGTGTATTATATGGTCAATATTGGTAGATTAGTCAATGAAAGGAAAGAATTAAAGAAAAATAATCGTGTAGAAGAAAAGGTAATAATGATTAAAAGTTTTTGTTTTATGAAAATTGGTTTAATTCTTCTTCCTTTTTTTTTTTTTTTTTTAATTGATAAAGAACGAAAATCATATCGAAACACTTCACTCAGAGACAGATACCACACCTGTACCTCTTCCAAATCAAGATCAACCTGGAAATATGGATAAAACTCAACTTACTTCTTCTTAGAATATCTTTAGTCTATATGAAATAAAAGATAAAAAGGGTTTTTTTTTTTTTTTTTTTTACGTCTCGTCGTCACTTTGGAGCTCCGGTTTATGCAGATCATACTTGCCTTATTTTTTATACGATTGAATGTTTTGATTATCAAAGAAGAAGAAAGTCGACTATGTTTACCGAGAAGCAAATATCTCTTTTTATCTTCAAATATTATAATTTAACGCGACATAATATGCTTTGATACATTAATAAAGAACATAATCATAGATGATATACACATGTTTCATTAGAAACTGATATGGTTCTACGGGATTATTGACAAGCTATTTTTTTTATCCACTCGCAAAAGAAGTAATCATAGATTATATACACATCTTTTATTAATAGTTCTTATACTGCTATGATGATAGGTTTAAGCTTAAAGATAAGAATGAAAGGCTGATTAGAGTTATTTAGGGTTATGAATTCACTTCTTTTTTTTTGAATTTTCCAGTTCCTTATCCAAATTTTAGCTGTAAAAACCAGTCATCAGGAGGTGCATCAGGCGATTTTTTAAAAAATCAATGAAATTTTTTGGTGCTTCACATTAAGATAAACAACTAGATGATATTAAACTACTTTTTTGAGAGGAATCTAATGGTGGAGATTTTATTGGATCACTATTGGATGAGGAAGATATTGTCCTTTATTTTTTAATTTACTCTATAAATTGGGATGTTATTAGGCCAAGTGAAAGAGAACGATTTCATCTATGTTCAATCCAAATTTGATGCGATGATGATGAAAAGACAAAAAGTTGCTCTCCCGATTGATTGTAAGTTGAACAAATAGGATTGATTTCTCCATTTTTACTGTCAAAAATTGAAATTATGTTCTTTCTTGTTGAATATGACCAAGATTACGATGGCATGATGTATAACAACGGGATCATTATAGTTTTGAATGGTCAAGGTAAAAAAAAATAAAAGTAAAAAATAAAAAGATAATGATGATGATGATGATGTATATTTATTTATTTACATCCAATACCTTTTTTTTTTTTTTTCCTTCTTAGGTGTGGAATTGACTTTTTTTGTAGGCTGAGACGGAAATCTTCAATGTGTGAGTGTGGCTCTCCTTCAAATGTTTGATTCGACCGGGATTAGATATTACAGGGTCTTCCTATCTTTCCCGATCTAGACATGGTGATGTTATACTATGCTATTACTATTCATCTTGTGAAGCGTGATGTTACAATATTGATTTAGTTGACCCTTACTTAGTATAATAAAAATTTCTCTGAGGAAAAAAAAAAAAAAAAAAAGGTAGATCGTTCAAATTCCGCATCTCTTTTTTTTTTCTCTTTTCCTTTTTTTTTATTTTTATTTCTTTTGTATATAAAGTTTGTGACACTTGATATATGCTGACTGCTTTATCACGTTTACCAACTTTACGACATTGTTCTTTTAATATATCCAAAGTATATTTTCGATTCTATTCAAACAAACCATTTAATATGACTGCAACTATCATTGATGGCAAGGCTGTCGCTCAGTAAGTTAAATGTTTCTCAAAAAAAAAGGTAGGGGTTATGTATAGTTTTTGACGTTTTTTTTTTATTTTTATAGAAATGTGCGCGATCAAGTCAAACAAAATATTATCAAGACTAAGGCTAAATATCCTCATTTCAATCCTCATCTTGCTATTGTTCAAGTTGGTGGACGCGAAGACTCTTCTATTTACGTTCGTATGAAGGATAAGGCTGCTAAAGAAGTACGTGTCAAACTCTCCACCCTTCTTCTTTATATTAATGTTTCTTTCTATCATTCTCATTTTAGGCTGGTATCGCTATCACTACTGAAAAGTTACCTGAATCTATTACCCAAACTGAACTCTTATCCAAGGTCAAGCAATTGAACGATAGTTGGCATATTCATGGAATCTTGGTTCAAATGCCTTTGCCTAGTCATATTGACGAAACTGCTGTTATTGAAGCCATTGATTACAGAAAAGATGTGGATGGGTAAATAGTTTTATACTACTGAAAAAACAAGTCATTTAACTTTTTTTTTTTTTTCCTAAAAAAAATTGATATTAGTTTCCATGCTATCAATATTGGAAATTTGTCCAAGAAATCTGGAGAACCTCTCTTTTTGCCTTGTACTCCTAAAGGGATCATTACTTTGTTGAAATCAACTAGTAAGGATTTACGTGAAAGATGTGATTTTTTATTTTTTTAACCATACATATATTATGTCTTTAGATATTGACATCAATGGAAAAAATGCTGTGGTGGTTGGTCGTAGTGATATTGTGGTAAATGATTGTTATTTTTTAGAATCCCCTTGTCTTTTTTTTTTTTTTAATATGAATGAATATTCCTTGTTTCCTTTTTAGGGTGCCCCTGTCGCCTCTATGCTTACCTCTGAAAATGCTACTGTAACCCTTTGTCATTCCAAAACTGAAAATATTGAAGACATTGTAAGTACTTAATAGTATAAGAAGAAAAAAAAGGAATCGTAGAGTTGACACTTCTTTATAGGTCAAACAAGCCGATATCCTTGTGGTAGCTATTGGTAAAACTGAATTCATCAAGGGTGCTTGGATTAAGCCTGGTGCCGTTGTTATTGATGTCGGTACAAATGCTGTTTCTGGTAAGATTTGAAAAATAAAATATGAGAGAATGTGATTGATATTTTTTTTTTCAATAATCTATTAGACCCTTCCAAGAAATCTGGTATTCGTTGGGTGGGTGATGTTGAATATGCAGAAGCATCCAAAGTGGCAAATGCTATTACTCCTGTTCCTGGTGGTGTTGGACCCATGACTGTAGCTATGCTGATGGAAAATACTTACAATAGTGCCAAACGTTGGTTCGATTTGAGTCGTAAGCGTGATGTCAGTCCTTTACCACTTCATCTTAGAACTCCTGTACCATCTGATATCGACATTGCTATGGATCAAACTCCTAAACATTTAGCGACTTTATGCAAGGAAATCGGGCTCACTGAAAGCGAAGTGAGTACTCAAAAAGAAATATAATGATAGAAGGACATATACTGATTTTTTTTTTGAAGTATGAACTTTATGGTGCGCATAAAGCCAAGATTAATCTGGATGTTTTGGATCGTTTGAATCATCGAAAAGATGGTAAATACATTGTGGTCACTGGGTAAGGAATAATAATAATAATAGTAATAAAAAAGTAGATATATCTTGATATAGCACTGATCTAACAATTGATTTTGAATAGAATTACACCCACTCCTCTTGGTGAAGGTAAATCAACTACTACTATTGGTTTGGCTCAAGCTCTTGGTGCTCATCTTGGTAAAGCTACTTATGCTTGTGTTCGTCAACCCTCTCAAGGTCCCACTTTCGGTATCAAAGGTGGAGCCGCTGGTGGAGGTTACTCTCAGGTTAGTAATATACATACTAGAAAAGATTGAACTAGTGCATTATCTTAATTTCTTCTTTTTTTATATATAGGTCATTCCTATGGATGAATTCAATTTACATTTGACTGGTGATATCCATGCCGTTACTGCTGCTAACAACTTGTTAGGTAAAAGACATTGAAAATCCGGAAAAAAAAAGAATGGATCGATTTTTAATTTTTATGATAAATATTCCCTTCTTAGCTGCTGCCATTGATGCTCGTATGTTCCATGAAAATACTCAATCTAACAAGGCTCTCTTCAATCGATTATGCCCTGCGAAGAAGGGTATCCGAAAATTCGCTCCTGTTATGATTAAACGTCTCCAGGTAAAACTAACCTATCCGTTTCACTTTAAGCACAAAGATTCTAATATATGTATATATTTATAGAAACTTGGTATTGACAAGACTGAACCCAATGATTTAACCGAAGAAGAAATCGCAAGATTTGCACGTTTGGACATTGACCCTAATACTATTACCTGGCAACGTGTGATGGATACTAATGATCGATTCTTGCGCAAAATCACTGTCGGACAAAATACTACAGAGAAAGGACAAGAACGACAAACTGGATTTGATATTGCTGTGGCAAGTGAAGTAATGGCCGTGCTTGCATTGACCACCGGTTTACAAGATATGCGACAAAGATTGGGCAATATGGTGGTGGCCAGTTCTAAATCCGGTGATCCTATTACTGCTGATGATATTGGTATTGGTGGTGCTTTGACAGTATTAATGAAAGATGCAATCAAACCCAACTTGATGCAAACTTTAGAAGGTACTCCTGTCTTGGTTCATGCTGGTCCCTTTGCCAACATCGGTAAGTCTTTAGAAGAAAAAAAAAAAAGAGGAAATGAAATGCTTCTGACTTTTTTTTTTTTTTGTTGGTCATATAGCCTCTGGAAATTCTTCTATTTTAGCCGACAAGATTGCTTTGAAATTGGCAGGTACTGATGATGGTGATGATTCAATGGAACCTGGTTACTGTTTGACCGAAGCTGGATTTGGAGCTGATGTAAGTTGATCAAATATCATTCACATGGTTAAAAAGGAAACTCACTCTTTTTTTTTTTTTTAAAAAAAAAAATGTATAGATGGGTATGGAGAAATTCTTTGATATGAAATGTCGTACTTCTGGTTTGATTCCTGACTGTGTTGTACTTGTTGCCACAGTACGTGCGTTGAAGATGCATGGTGGTGCTCCTGAAGTGGTTGCTGGCAAACCTTTACCTGATGCGTACACTGAAGAAAATCTTGAATTTTTGGAAAAGGGATGTAGCAACTTGGTACGTCACATTGAAAATGCCAAGAAGTTTGGAGTATCTGTTGTGGTTGCGTTGAACCGATTTACGTCTGATACGGATGCTGAAATGGAACTGATTCGCAAATTATCCATTGCTGCTGGAGCGGATGATGCGGTGGCGTGTGATCACTGGACGCGTGGTGGACTTGGTGCGGTAGATTTGGGCAAGGCAGTAATCCAAGCATGTGCCAAAGACAAGCAGTTCAAGTTTCTATATGATGTGGACCAACCGATTGAAGCCAAGATTGAAACCATCTGCAAGGAAATTTATCGTGCGGATGGTATCGAATTGAGCGATCTCGCCAAGGAAAAGATTGCTGTCTATACTCGTCAAGGCTTTGGTCATCTCCCTATCTGTATGGCTAAAACTCAATATTCTTTCTCGCATGATCCCGAACTGAAAGGTGCTCCCTCTGGCTTCACCGTGCCTATCCGTGATATCCGTGCTTCGGTTGGTGCCGGCTTCCTTTATCCTCTGTGTGGTGCTATGCAAACAATGCCTGGTTTGCCGACCCGTCCCTGCTTCTATGATGTGGATTTGGATCAAGATGGAAAGGTGGTTGGACTCTTTTAGAAAAAAAAACAATGTAATTTATATATAGTTGTATCTTTCTTTTTTTTTAAAAAAAAAAATCAATGAAATAAAATAAAAAGTAAATGATAAACACTTCTGGAGTATTTTGAAATTCTTTTTTTTTTTTTTTTTTTTTTTTTGATGATGATATGAGTGAATGGATGGATGATTGAATGATAGACAAAAAAAAAGGGGATGGAAAATGGTAAGTCTCCATATATGGAAAAAACTGATTAAAAAAAAAAAAAAGAAAAAAGAAAAAGGGAATCCAAAAGTTTATATTTTTATTGAAATACATAGAGAAAGGATCATAAAATACATAAGAAATCAAACAAAGAATGACATCATGGAAAGGAAAATCATACAAACATAATCTACATAAGGGTGTCATATATATATATAAAAACATGTAGTAAGGAAAACAATCACATAAAAAAAAAAAAAAAAAAAAGAAGGGATAACAACAATGAAAAACTTGTATATTTTCAACGTAATGAAGAGACAGAGGCCAATCGACGTAAAAAACCATGACTAGATTTTTGACACAAGGAAACACCTGAAGATAAAATAGAAGGAGATGAAGGTTTATGTTTCAACTGAATTCTGGAAGGTGACTTGCGTATAGTTAGTTGACGATCATTTGTTTGTACTGTAGACCAAAACAATAAAGAAGGTAAAGGCGGCGGAGGTGGTGGTGATCCGATAGAAGTATGATCCAAATGTTGTAGTGAAGGATTGAATCGTTCATTGGTAGATGATAGGATTGTATCGTTTTCTTCAATCATCCATTTCCATAACAACGTCCAACATGTATTTGTTTGTATAAATCGTTGAATATCCTTGGTATTGAGTTGTTGATAATGTTGTTGTTGTTCTTGTTTTTTCGATCTTCTTTTGGATGATTTCTTTGTTGGGATCATTTGAATTGTTTTTTCCAACCCGGTGCAAACAGGGGCCAGGACGACGGCAAGAGCTTCTGGATTCATCATATTGATATGAGCATAATGTTGAATATGAGAAGTCAAGGTGAGGATCGCATAAAAAAGAATGCGGTGCTGATCGGGTAATGAGGAAATAAGATCAATCAGATGAATGATGGCTTGATCTTTTGGTAGTTTGGTGAGATTGGTAAATTCATCGTGGTATTCAACAGGAATAACGGCAGTGGGTAAATGATGAAGATATTTCTTAATGAAACTGGTAATAGAATGAATATCATAAGAAGACAGATCGATGGATGTAGTGTTGAATGATTGTTGTCGTTCAAATTCTTGTTTCAATTGGATAACTTCAGAAGTCGCACCCGATAATCGAAAAAGTCCTTCAATTTTCAATCCTAATACGTAAAATGTATATATTAAAAAAACTCTGATTTCAAATATGAATTTTTTATTTTATTTTATACCTCTTTTGATGATTTCTTCAAAGCAAAGTTTTACAGGTTCTGGTAAACTAAATCCATGTTCTAAAGGACTACCAAAGATACTCTGTTGAATAGGTTCTTCATATTTCTCTTTCATAAAATGAAAAATAAACGATTAGATCAAACTAACATATTTTTTTCTTTCTCTTATTGACATTTTTTTTTTTTTTTTTTACCTTGAGTAGATTGATTCCATTTTGTCCAAAGATAATAAATTGGATTTCTTGGTCGTTTTTCAGAAAAAGTAGGATTGGATATCATAGTTGGAATACATATAAAAAAGAAAGAAAAAAAAGAGTGAAAAGAAGGAAGAAAAAGTTTATTAAAAAAAAATCATTAGAAAATAAATGCAGAGGCTGAGTTGAATTATGTGCACTGGTAAAATCAAGAGTGGAAGGTGTTTAAGCTTAAGTTATAGCGTGGTCCAAAAACGGTGGAACGAAAACATATTACCTTTTTCAATTAAGTTACACCAGTACATTGAAACTTGTACTGAATCTCGATTTCAACGAAGAAAAACAACGGTAAAATAAAAAAAAAAAAAGGGGATTACATCGGAATTTGTTACATATTAAAATGATTAGGAGAACGGAAGAAAGAAAAATGATCAAACCATATTGATTCAAGATTACTTTCAATCATGATCATATGATTCTTCTCTGACTTGAGAGAATCAAAAAACAACGGAAGATCCCTTTTTGTTTGTTTGCTTTTCTCCTCTTTTTTTTCACATTTGTTTCCATTTTACCCCCTTTCTTTTACCACCAACCATCATCATCATCATTGGAAATGACTTTTCTTATATTCACTTTCTCTTGTCACCCCCCTTTTCATTTCTTTTCCCTCTTAATTTACTTCTTTTATCATCATCAAAAATGATTATGCGGGCGTCTCCCCCCCTTTTTATTTTTTTTTTTCTCAAATCAAAACACAATGGTAGATATCAATCAACTCAAGAGATTAAAATTCCGCTTTCCCTCCTCATCTTATAAATACTTATAATATTTTTTTTTTTTATTTATATTTCACGTTTCTTTCTCTCTCTCTCTCTTTTTTTTTTCTTTTTCTTTCTTTGATTTCATTTGTAACTTATTTCCAATCATGTCAATTTCATTTTCTGCGGAACAGCCGTTTGGAATCAAGCTTTATCCGTTGTTTGAAAAAGCATATGAAACCATTGTAGGACAACCTGCCAGTGCGTTTGCCTTTGCGCCAGGTGTGACACCTTTCGCTTCTACCAATGAAGGTAAAATTTGGATGATGATTACAATTCCTTTTTTTTTTTTTAAAAAAAAAAAAAAGTCATCTATTGACTTTGTATTGTGAATGATGATCAATGGTTTTTTTTTTTCTGTAGTGATGATCAGTTGTGTGGTCTATTTTGTTGCTATATTTGGTGGTCAATTCCTGATGAAACATTTACCAGCTTTCAAACCACAAATACTCAAAGTACCTTTCCAAATCCATAATTTTTTACTAACTATTGTATCAGGTACATTATTATTGTTATTGGCTGAACAAATTTGGCCCAAATATCAACAACATGGATTGTTTTATGCTGTGTGTGAACCATCCTCTTGGGATCAAAAGGTTGAACTGATTTATTATATGAATTACTTGGTCAAATTTTGGGAATTATTGGATACTGTCTTTTTGGTCCTGAAAAAGAAGAAATTAGGTAAAGATGACTTCTTTTTTTTATGCATTTTTCTTTACTCACTATTTTGTCCATGAATTTAGAATTTTTACATTATTTCCATCATAGTATGACAATGGTACTTTGCTTTACTCAATTGGTTGCCAAAACAACGGTGGTAAGGACCGAAAATAAAAAAAAATGCATGACCGAGGAAAAAGAAAAAAAAAGGGGGGGATGTTGATGGATATGAAAAATGCCGGGAAATAGGTCAAAAAAAAAAAGAAAAGAAAAGATGGGTGTAAAGGGAAGGGAGCATGAATGAATGAATGACCTTATTCATTTTTTTTTTATTTTGTTATCATCGGTTATTATGAACGATGATCTTTTTTTTTTTTTTAGTCTTGGGTACCTATTCTTCTGAATTTGTGTGTTCATGTATTGATGTACTATTATTATTTCCGTACTGCATCCGGTGCCCGTATCTGGTGGAAGAAATACTTGACAACAATGCAAATTGTCCAGTTCATGATTGATTTGGTGGCTGTCTATTTCTGTAGTTACACTTATTTTACCTATACTTATTATCCTTGGATGCCAAATATGGGATCTTGTGCTGGTACCGAACTGTCTGCTTCCTTTGGTTGTGCCTTGCTCAGTTCTTATCTACTTCTATTCATCAATTTTTATCGTATCACTTACAAGAAGAAAGCTGCTCTCAAACAACAACAACACCAATCCAAAAAATCTTTCAAGCAACAATAAAAAAAAAATTGGCCAATATTTTTTTTTATGCTCTAGTATTTTAGTTTAGTGGTTTTCTTTTTTACTTACCCTCCTTTTTTTTTTTTTTTTTGGTACCGTTCTCATTCTTCCCTTTTTTATATATATTATAATAAAAGTCATAGTAGAATCAATTCAATTTGATAGTCTTATGTTGTTATCTGTTGACATGCATCCTTTTTTTTTTTTTTTGACAGGAACTACCCCTTTAGATGAAAGGGATAAACGATTTAATAAATATTGAGATGTCATTCTTTCCGTCATACGACATGCACAAGATCTGATATCAGGAAAAAAAAATAAGGGCCACAAATTTGATACAATATTCATAAAAGACAAATATAATAGACAATAGATATGAATGATGATGATACTCTTTTTTATTTTATTTTATTTTTTAACATAGTACAATAGATAACATCAAATAATAAAACGAAGATGAAAGAGGTAAAAGAAGAGAGAGTAGAGAACAAGAATCAAACAAACGGAGAAGAAAATTTGCAATATATACAGATGTATGAGTGTAGAAGTATATGTATGTGAATATGCGTACCAGTAGGAGGAAAACCAAAGAATAAGAATAATAATAATAGTAATGATAGTAATGATAGTAATAGTAATAATAATAATAACAATAATAATAACAATATAATAAAAGATATCCTTCAACCAAGAGCGGCAAATACTTGATATAAAATATCCATCCAAGCATCCAAGGGTCCAGGGATACAATAACGTAAACAATCACGTCCACCCACATGTCCATCCGGTCTAGATTCTACCAAAGCAGCCAGGTCAACATACACACCACCAGCTTCTTCTACAATCGTTCGCGCTATCGCATTTCTTCGATCCAATTCTGCCCATCCAAATGGTAGTCGTTTCTTTTCATCATCCGTCAAGGGTTTAGTCAAGGGTGCACTAGCATCATCACAGTAAGGATGCCCGATGGCAGATGAGCGATAGATAATTAAAGCATCCGGTGTCATTCGTCGAATAGTAGTCATTGTTTGTATGAGGCTTGTGATAAATGTTTCATCATCTTCAACAACAGGTGATCGATTCAAGATAAGAATAGGGTAAGCTTTCAAGATATTGCTTGCCACAAAAGGCCATGTGATCACTGAGCCAGATGGAGCGCCATCATTGTTGTTATGCCGTCGATTATCTGCTAAAATATCATTTCGAAGGTATCGTAATCGTGTATCCGCCTCGGAGCATATAGTATGATCTATTTAGATAAATAATTGTTAATATACTCTTTTTTGTATTTCATTTGTCCTTATTACCTTTGCAATTCAATTCACCAAAACAAACAGTAGGTCCATCCCTTAAAGAATCTAAAAAGATTTCATGAAGTTGATATTGTACAAGGTCACCCACCAGTAAGATATGTCGACCATTCAAAACTTGACACCATTGTGAAGGAGTGGCTCTTGGTAGCACAGTTTGAGAACACATCGATTTGTCACCTAAAGGTTGCCATTGGTACTGAGTTTCTGGTCGAAATTCAAGGGGAGAATGAGTCTTATAAAAACGTTTGTCACATGTGGCATATAAAGGGTCCTGAACATGATGAATAAGTTGATCACTAGTGGACGGTATCCATTGTCCTTTAGTCCAACAATCAATCTTAGCTCGTAAGTCATTCACAGTAGTAGAAGTTTTCAAACTTGATCCAGGTATACCACCAGGTTGATGGAAAGGCACTTTTTGAAAAGCTAGTTTGGCTTGTAGTTTTGCTTGATCCACTAGGGATTGTTGCAAGTTGATTCGTTCAGTAGTAGTGAGATGTGTTGTACTAGCATTCCCAATCATAGTTACTCGAGGGTGAGGTTCTTTGTACCAAGGAAAATCGCGATAGAGAGGAGTAAATGAAGATGGAGATTGATTATCAAGATGGGTACGATTGGTAATGGTGTGGGTATCCGGTGATTGACTTGAAGAAGAAGAAGAAACATTAAATGAGACAAAGGTATGATAGAGTAAAAAAAGTAAAAGGAGATAGATAATGAAACGAGTCCATTTGAGTAAAGGTCTTAAGCCACCTTTTGAAATGGCCTGATGACGGACCATGGGTAAACGACAATGTAAAAGAAGAGAGAGAGGAAACTATAATAAAAAAAAAAAAATAAAAAATAAAAAGAAGTGTTATTTTTAGCGTTTTTTTTTTTTTATTACTCTGTTTGCACGGCGTTTGAAATTATCATGAGCAAAGATGATATGATCATTCAAAAAGAATAATATATATATATATATTATTATATGAAAAAAATAATAATATTTAAGTAAAAACAATTTTATTACAAGTCAAATACAATGGGTAACTGGTTAGCTTGGTATCTAAAGTTGGATGTACACGCGTTGATAAAAAGAATGTTGTTGTCTATAGTAAAACCATTGGATTCATGAATATGTCCAAATACACATACTTTGGGTTGAATAGCTTGAATCTTCTTTGTCAGGGCAGGACATCCAACATGGAGCTTGCGTCTAGTTTGATCCAAATAACCTCGTGGTGGAGTATGAGTCACAAGTATATCAGTTGATGCTGGTATTGCTTCCCAATAACCTATAATTCATAATCAGTTTATTAAAAAAAAAATAGTTTTCCATGGTTACCATTTCTGAATTGAGTATAAATAATTTTTTTTTTTTTTTTTTACTTTCAAGTCCATGTAAAGGCATAAATGCTCCACCAAGATGAACAGGTGCATAAGGTGATACAAATAGATGATGACCACCAAGAGATGAAGGTAGTTGAAAAGCTTCGTGTTCCAGATAAGTAATCCCAGCTTGTTGAAACATGGTGAGTATATGTTGTTTTTCGGTAATAAATCCATATCGTTCGTCAAGTATATGATCATGATTTCCTGCTGTCACTATTTTCACTCTATACAATATAATCAATAATCCTGTCAAAAATAAAGTTAATCTTTTTCTTACATACTTGTGAGGTAAAGATTTAATCCATTCTATCGTTTTATGATATTCCTTAGGGTCACTATATTTTGTCAAGTCTCCAGCATGAACTATTTTAAAAAAAAGGTTGTAAAGCTGAATAAAAAAAAGAAAAAGGAAAAGAAAAAAAGATAAAATAAGTGAAAATGTATTTACTGAAGACATCACCATCAGGTATAGGAAAGTTGAAAGAAGATTTGCCATGGGTGTCAGACATGCATACAAAACGAGTAGTGTTTGAATCTTTAAGGGGAAGATCCTGCAGTTCGTTACTAACAAACATAAAAAGACAAAGGGACGAAGGGATAAAGATAAAATATAAAAGAAAAAAAAAAAAAGGAAGAGAAAGAAAAGAAAAAATTGATGTATCCGCAGTTCCAAAAAAGGCTATGCATTTTGGGCTTAGGCGTTATTTCAAAGTCACTGGTAACTTTTGACCTTTTTTTTTTTGTGTGTGTGTGTGTGTGTAAGGCATTTAAGTAAAGAAATAGGGTGTGTATGTTTGATATATGTTATTAATAATTTTGATATATAATCCATGCACTTTTATACATTTCAAATAGCTTATCCCTTCAAAACTTTTACTCCTTTTCTATTTGAAAACGAGAAATCACAATTTGCGGACATTAAATTCAAGTGATATAATTATTTTGTGTTATATTGATCCTTTTATTTTCTCTTTTTCTTTCTTTCTTTCTTTGTTTTTTTCACTTTATTACTCTTTCTTTTGAATGACTGAAACGCATAATAATTTACCTACCTTACAACAGGTACTTACTCGAAAAACACTTCCACCAATATGTTTATACAATTATTATATAGTCATGCGGGATCGATTACATATGGAAGAAGTATTGGATTTTTATTTGGATGTACAACATCACGAACAACTTTGGAGACGATACGTAAGGTCTATGCACAAAACTGGAATGTTATCTGAAGATGATTTGGTAGAAGGTTTTCACTCTCCACGTGTATTAAGTCGTATATCACATCTATCGAATGAAACACCAAAACAACAAGAAGAAAACGAATCAATGAGACCAGAAACAATAGAATCAAAACTTCCTAATCGACAAGATGTTAGTGATTCAGCACAACATATCCTATTACGTTATTTGGTACCATCTGCATCTAAAGAATTAACACAACTACCTCTAGGGTTAAAGAACGCTACTCGAGCCATGTTAGAACAAGAAAAACGAGATGATCCAGCTGTATTTGCAGAAGCGAAGGATTACTTATTTGAATTAATGCAACGACAAGCATATCCGAAATTCCTACGTATCAAAGTTTGGGGCAATGTTACTTTATGGCAACAATTAGGAAGATTGATACTTGGTTTAGTGTCCTTATTAGCTGGATTTGCTACTGGATTTAGTCTCATCTTTTTGGGTTACTCACCTTGGGGTGTACGATGGTGGATTCTCTTACCTTTTTGGATTGGAATTTTGAATGTATTAGTATTTTTGACTGGATTGGATCCTTTATGGGTATTATTTTTCAATGCAAGGTAAGAAATATAATAAATACATTGATATTCTTTATTAATATATATATATATTTGAATAGTGAAACGACAACATTTCATTTCAATAAAATCAAGCAACCTCAAGTTAAAAGGATTTTATGGTCTAGATCTATTTGGTTATTGATTACAAGTTTGATTGTTTCTGCGGTACTTACTGTCATATTTTGTGCTGTTCCTTCAAAAAGATTATGATTCCCTTGTTTAGATTTTTTTTTTTAATATTATTATCCTTTTTTCTTTTTTTTTTTTAGTCTTACCTTTTTTTTTCTTTTTACTTCTCATATATCATTAATAAACAAGTTACCCCACTCATCATTGTACTAATATAAAAAGATCGCCCAACAATGACAGAAATGCAAATTCTCGATGCTGAAATTGAAAGTTTTTTCTTTTTTTTTTTCGGGCTCTCTATTTTGTCCACATCCTTTTTCTTTTCCTCCCTCTTTCTTTTTCAGTTACTCATACTTTTTTTTTTATCATGCATTATCCTTCAGCTATTTATCCTTTAAAAGGGTTTATATTCTTTATTCAACATCCCAAAGTAAGTTATATTTTTCAGATATCAGAAATGAATTATTCTAACTTTTCTTTTTATATATAGGAATTATGGCTCAAGACGTTGTTACCTTTACTTTTGACACTTGGATTTGGTATTGTATCTCTTGTGGTCGCCATTGTTTATCTTCTTCCTTGGCAAGTCCATTCTTTGGAACAAGCTCATTGGCCTAGTTGGATAGCTTGGTTTGTGGCTATTATACTTGTCATCCTTGAATCTGCCATCTTTGATATTCTTTGTTACGCCATTTTGCTTCCTTTCTTCCAAGATGCTGTATTTGATGCCACTCTTCAAGCTCGTGGATTATTGGATCGTATATCTATTGAACAAACCGATCCTATTTGGATTAAATGTGGTCGTAGTCTTTCCTCTAGTATCATTTTTATCTTTTTTGTAGTCTTGGCACGGGTAAGATAACTTTTTTTTCTTCTTTCTCTCTTTTCTCTGACCACGTTATGGAAAATAGGTCTTGGTTTTGATCATTACATTACCATTGAATTTGATTCCTATTATTGGTACTATTCTCACTTGTTATATCAATGGATTTCCAGCATGGTAAGTCATCAATTTTTTTTTTTATATAAATAAAACTAATTCTTTTCTTTTGATATAAATTTTATTAGTTGGGGATTGACAATTCATCATGATCTTGAACTGAGAGGGATGAAAGTGAGACAATCTCTTCGTGGAGCATGGTCTCATCGATTGGCATATATCAACTTTGGTGCTTTACAAACCTTTTTGGAATTGATTCCCATTGCCAACTTGATATTCATGTGGACTAATATCGTAGGTGCTGCTCTTTGGCTTGGTGATGAATTTGAACGTTCTGAACAAAGTATTCCTTCAAATGAAGCTTCTGTCACTTCTATTTATCCTTCTGTCCGTGGTGATAATTCCGTGGTACCTTCCATCAATAGTAATGAACATACTCGCTTAATTCAACAAAAAGATCAAGGTTATGGTTCATCTACAATTTAGATTCCCCTCGTTTTCTATTCCAGTCATTTTATCATCCCCTTCCTGATTGAATCCTTTGTTTTTTTTTTTTTTTTTTTTTTAGTATATCTTTTGTTGTTTCTACATTCTTGAATAAAATAAAATAACATATATATACATATATATCTTCAATGATTGTTTCAAAACTAGTATTTTATTGATTATATAATCATTCTAATTACTATCGTCTAAACACCAAAAAGTCCCCAATCATGGATTTCCAGAGCTTGAACGATTTGCTTAACTTCTTCGATAATCAATGCCACAGGAGCAATAGGTTCTATTTGATTAATATCGTGCATTTCACTGCTATTGGGAGCCAGTTGAATAGGTGCATTGAGTGAGATGATCAAATCTGTTTGTACTTTTTCCAATCGTACTACTGCCATGACTAGTTCCACATGATTGACAGCATCTTCATTGAATTTAGCAACATTTTGTATCCCTCGTACGAAATAAACCGTGGTATCTAATCTTTTTTTTTTTGTAGTATTGATAACAATAAAATAAAATATAAAAGTGAATAAATTTTATTATTATGATTATTTTGGAGATAGATAATTTTACTTACGGTAATTTTGGTGCTGCCACATCTATACTAACGTGTTCCACACCTTTGATAGAGTAACTTGTCGCGTTATTATGTTCAGCTATTTGTTCAAAATGGAATCTAAACGTCAAAAGTTGAATGGTGAGTATTATTTTTATTTTATAAATATAACCTACTTTGCTGCTTCTTCATTCAAATGTTCTACTTTTTCCAATAGTTCTATAATCAAACTTTGGTTTGTTCGCATATCCAAAAATACTTCTTGGTTATCGGGTACTTGACGCAGGTTACTATTTCCAAATAATAATAATAATAATAATAATAATAATATATTAAATAAAAAAAAACTATTTCATATATATATATATATATAGTTACCTTGCATCAATATAAGATGACTTGATAATTGTATAAATGCTACCACCAAATAAAGGTTGCTTATTCATTTTTATTCGTTTTAAACGGAAGTGAAAGAAAGAAGTGAGTATCACAATTTTTTTTTTCTTTTTTGCATGGCAAGATTACATCTCCGCAGTAGAGAGTGTGAATAAGGTGGCTTGGTTGTCCCATTTTCGCTTTACAATGGGAAATCTACTCCCTCTTTTTTCTTTTTTTTTTTTCCTTTCCTTTCATTCTACATTTCATTTGATTTATATACAACATGTCTGATAACGAAAACGGAGAAATCAACGAGTAAGTTATATATATAAAAATTTGAATACATTATGACTTGAAAAAGAATATGTTACCTTTTTTTTTTTGACTAAATTATTATTATTATTTTTTATTTCTTTTTAGTTACGAAGACAACTTGGACAATGTAAGGTTTGAAATGAGTTATTCTATAGATGATAGACAAAATAGGAAGGAATATAGACGGATAAAAAAATACTTATCATAAGATTCTTTCATTATATATAGTACGAATACAATGATTATGAAAACGAAAACGATGAAGTGATGGATGAAGAACAAGATGCTGTGATGATTCTTGAAGAAAATGCAGCCAATGGTACTAATAATAATGACTCTGTAGAAAATAAAGAAAAAACGACAACACCTTATATGACCAAATATGAACGAGCAAGAATCTTAGGTACTCGTGCTTTGCAAATTAGGTAAATTAGGATATGAATAAGTAGGATAGACAATTGATGATTTTCTTTTTGTTATAGTTTAAATGCGCCAGTAACAGTGGAATTGGATGGTGAAACAGATCCTTTAGTGATTGCTATGAAGGAATTAAGGGAAAAGAAGATTCCTTTAATTGTTAGACGGTTTATGCCTGATGGAACTTTTGAAGATTGGAATGTTAAGGATTTGATTGTAGAATAGTTATTATACATATTTATTATTTTGTATTTTGAAAATAAAGAAAACAATGGATATTATTGGATGAACATGTTAAATGGATCAAAAAAAAAAAAAAGAAAAAAAAAGGGCTAATATATGTATTATCTACTCATGCAATTAGTATATATATATATACATCATATACTACTATAGAAGAAGATATGTTATAATTTATATAGTAATGTCAAAAAAACTTGAAATGTAGAATGTATCTGATTGGAGCGGTTTATTAAATCCGTCAAGCTTTTTTTTTTTTTTTTTTTTTTTACGTGTCAGTTATTTTGATATTCTTATGATGATCAAAAGGTAAACTCCGTAACTTAAGTTAGTAATATATGAAGGGGAAGAGGAGGAGGAAAAAGATGTTCATAGTAAAAAAAAAAAAAAAAAAAAAAGATATAAGAAAAAGAATTGTAGAATACTCCTATTTCATATTATTTTATTTTAATAATTATTTCAATGATAAAGTCCAATTTTTTTTTTTTTTTTATTTTATTTTTATTTTTATTTTTTTTTTTTTTTATATTTTTATATTTTTTGATAATCCGATCATATAATAAGTAGTGACTCAATTTTAAATGGAAATGCATACTTTTTTTTTTTTTTTTGCAAGCAATTGATCTTCGGTTACCTAATTTGGTATAGTCATAAAAAAAATTATTTTTTTTTTTTTTTTTCACTCAACCCTATTTTTTTTTTTTTTTGACTCGGGAACTCTTTTTTAGAGTTCAAACGTTTTTGTCACACAAAAATCGAGGTTTACACCCCCCACAAACACACGCCCACTACACGTTATATTTCTCTCTTCCTTCTTTTTTTTTATTTCTTTTTTCTTTCTTTTTCTCATTTTTTTACTTTTTACTTACTTATATACTTTTTTTTATTATTATTATTAAAACAATAACAACAAACAAACAAAAAATCATTATCATTATTCTATTTTGACAACATCATCAATTGTATTCATCTTTTTATATATATCTTTACAACAACAAAAAGGTAATAATAATAATAAATAATAATATTTTATATATATATATATTCAGATGTGTGTGTGTGTTGGGTGGAAAGAAACTGATGGGGGGAGTTGAATTTTTTTTTTCTTTTTTGGGTTGGATGGGTGTGTATGTGTGTGGGTTGTGACGTATATATAATAACAATATCTAACTTTTTTTTTTCTTTTTTTTTTTTTTTTCCTCTTCTTTTAATCTTAATTCTTCTTCTTCTTCCTCACTTCTTTAGATTTATACACTTCTTCTTTTTACTCTTATTTTTGATATATTTACCAATAAACTAAACGAAAACAAATGGCTGCCACTGGACCACCACAGCAGCCTACTAACACAGCACAAAAGTTGGCTCATGTTAATGAACGAACTTGGCTTACTATGGGTAAAAACTTTTTTTTTTATTTTATTTTTTTATTTTATATATTGGTGGCACTCATCTCTATTTATTTTTATTATTATTTAGGAAACCTTGCCGAAATGATGACCGACTATGAAAAAGCAATGAATTGTTATGAATCTGCTTTACGACACAATCCTTATTCTATTAAAGCTTTAACTCAAATAGCTACTCTTTGTCGAGGACGTGAACAATTTGCAAGAGTAAGTTAAAATAAATAAATAAAAATTAGTGTGATTAACTTGATGATAATAATTTAGGCTGTGGAATACTTCAAACGTATATTGGCTATTCAAGAAAATAATGGGGAAACTTGGGCTGCTTTAGGTCACTGTTATTTAATGATGGATAATCTTCAAGAAGCTTATCATGCATATCAACAAGCATTATATCATTTATCTAATCCAAAAGATCCAAAATTGTGGTATGGTATTGGTATTCTTTATGATCGTTATGGTTCTTTGGAACACGCTGAAGAAGCATTCTCTGCTGTCATGAAAATGGACCCAAAGTTTGAAAAGGCGAATGAAATTTATTTTAGGTTGGGTATCATTTACAAACAACAACAAAAATTTGATCTCTCTCTTCAGGTAACAATAATTATCAACTGACTCAAAAATTTAATTCATTTTATTTATTTATTTTATTTGATTTTTTTTTCAAATAGTGCTTCCGTTATATTCTTCAATCACCTCCTCGTCCTTTGACTGAATCTGATATCTGGTTTCAAACTGGTCATGTTTATGAACAACAAAAAGAGGTAATTTTTATTTTCTCATCTCAATATGATTATACTCAGTTTTCTTTTCTTTCTTTTTTTTTTTTTTTTAGTATGAACAAGCAAAAGAAGCATATGAACGCGTTTTAGCCGAAAATCCAGATCATGCAAAGGTACTTCAACAACTTGGATGGCTTTATCATCAACAAAATACCTCTTTTTGTAATCAATCTTTGGCTATTCAATATTTGACTCGATCTCTCAAATCTGACAGCAATGATGCTCAATCTTGGTATCTTTTGGGTCGATGTTATATGGCCGAACAAAATTACAACAAGGCTTATGAAGCTTATCAACAGGCTGTGTATCGTGATGCAAGAAATCCTACATTTTGGTGCTCTATTGGTGTTTTGTATTATCAAATCAATCAGGTAAAAAAAAAAAAAAAGGTGTGTATTAATTAACTGATGACTAATTTTTCTTTTTTTTTTTTGTATTTTTTTTTTTTTATAATTGTTTATTCATAAAGTATCGTGATGCCCTTGATGCTTATAGTCGTGCTATTCGTTTGAATCCATATATTAGTGAAGTATGGTATAATTTAGGAACTCTATATGAATCTTGCAACAATCAAATTCAAGATGCATTAGATGCCTATCAACGTGCTGCCGAACTGGATCCATCTAATCTACATATCAAACAACGATTGGAATTATTACGCAAATCTCAATCTCATACTCCTCAAACGTAAGTCACTATACAAAAAAAAAAAAAAAAAAAAAAAAAGAGCACTGATGATTCATTTATTATTGATATATCTAGTCCTGGTAGTGTTCCTACTCCTCGAGATGTTAGCAACCCAAGTCAATATCAAAATGGTTCGAATGCTCAACCTTTGAATGGATCATCTTATGCTCAGGTAATAATAATAATAATAATAATAATAATAATAATAATAATAATAATAATAATAATAAAGAGGAAATCACAGGGCAGAAATGCATTAAATTGGGATTATGGATGGATTAATTTTTTCTATTTCATTATAGAATTCGGCACCAAGTGGTCCTCCTAATGGTATGGATGCCTATCATACTCAAGCTTCATCTCAACAAAGACCTGTTGAAGAACGTGGCCCAGCTCCACACTTACCCATGGTATGATGGATAAAGATTAATATTTTGAAATTGGGATATTTATAGATATCTTTCTTATTTTTTTTTTTTATTATTATTATTTTATGAATGTAGGCACTTCCTCCTCATGAAACCAACTCTGGTCCTGGTCGTGATCTACCTATGCCTAGTGGTCCTCCTCCTCAACAATCTCCTGCAACTTCTGGTCGAAGATCTCCTGGACCTTATCCACCATCTTCTTACCCACCTTCTACGACACGCGAAGATGTTCGTATTCCTGATATTGGTAATGGCGAAGGACGTGCTCCCACACCATCTGAGCGAACTCAAATGAATCCTATCATGCAAGATAACGGTAGATCTCATACTCAACATTCTCCCATGTCTGGTCCTCCTCCTCCTCATCATCTTCATGGTAGTCAATCTGGTTTACCAACAATGCATCAATCCCCTTATGGAAAATCTAGTTCTTCTGAAGGCATTCGCTCTCCCAATGTGTCAAATGATAATAATGGTCGACCTCATGCATTAACTTCACCACAATTAAGACCTACATCAAATCTACAACATGGTTCTTCTCCTAAACAATATGAATCTATACCTCAACAACAACAACAGATTCATCATCGGTCACCTGGAATAAGTCATGCCGAACAACAGCAACAACAACAACAACAACAGCAACCTTATTCATCGCATCATTATGAAATGTCTTCTCATCATCCTGAATATGATCATTCTCCTCGTCATACTCATGCACCTAATCGACCTCCTGCTGCTGATAATCATTATCCTCCTCGACAGGAACCATTACCTCATTCGCCATCTCCAACAACATATCCTCGACCAAATCAACCTACTGACTCGTATCATCGCGGTGGCGCCTCTGTCATCACTCCTAATGAAGATTCATCTGCATTACCGCCACCTCGACAACATCACCCTCATGGCGATATTAAACAACAAGAACATGAACGTACTCTTCGATCTCCTCATCATGATACGTCAAGAGAAACTAGTCATTATCAACATACGTCCAAAAAAGAAACTGAATCTTATAAATCAGGATCCATTCCAACTTCTCGTGCCAGTGGAAACCGTACAACAGATGATGATTATGATGCCAGTGCTGCTGACATGCTTTTAAGTATAGGTCAATCTCGAGGTGACAAACGTGCTTATCCTCCTGATGATAGTCAAGCTGTAGAAGAACCAAAACGAATGCGTCCCAACCAAGACGGTCAAGATACCGACCATCACATGACAAATGCCACTTCTGCTGTATCTTCACCATCCAAGGAAACAACTACATCTCAACAGCAATACACGCCTAGCACAACGGAAGACGTGACTGGCATCAAGCCTTCTGTGTCAGGACATTCAACATCACCACCTTCTTCTAGTGGACGACAACCATCATCACCGCCACCAACAGCGTCATCACCAGCAGGTTCTCCACAAAAATCTCCTTCTTTACATACACCCAAGTCTGAACCAAATTATGTCTCTCCCCCAAAATCTACTGCTCCGGTTGAAGCTTCCTCTGATCCATCAAAAGAAGTAACATCAAGTTCATTATCTGATGAAGGTGGTCCTGCTGAATCTACTACTACTACATCAACACCACCACCATCCAATTCAGAAGCTACTGATAAAAAGGCTGATGTACAAACGGAACAACGAACAACAATGAATGCATACGAGTCGAATAAAATGGATGAAGATGAAGACGAAGAGGAAGAAGGTGAATTACGGGATGATGCGGATCAACAAGTGGGTAACAAAAACGATGTGGATATGAAGGAAGCAAGTCCTGTGAAAGAGGATGAAAAAGAAGAAGGCGAAGTGACATCTGGGACACAAGAAGGTAACGACAAACAAGTACAGCAACAATCATCATCAGAATCATCTACCGTAGCATAGTCTTATCACATATTACCAGTATCCCTTTTTTTTTTTTTTTTGTTTCATCACACCCTTTAGTATTTATGCTTAGAAAGCGAAGATCCCCTCTCTCCTTTACTAGTAGTTAGTTTAGTTTAGTTAGTCATATTTGGTTTGATCCTTATTCTCCAAAAAATATATATTTCATTTAGCAAGATTTTTATTTTATTATATTATGTTGTCTAACGTGTCATTCCATATTGAAAACAAAATGTACGTCTGTTCACGTTTTTTTTTATTGAAGGAATTGATTGATATACACATGAAAAAAAAGGGGTGAAATGTGGTAAGGAGTTGGACTTTACAAAAGGGAAAAGAATTGTCAACATGTCATTTGAAGAATAAAAGAGGGAGAAAAAGGAGAATTTTGAAGGAATATAACAAAAAAAGTTCTAATATCTAGATGTATGATATAAAGATGAATTGTGAAAGATAAACTATTGTTGTTGAATACCATGATGCTTGATAATGTTGTCTTCATAAGGATGTTCGGCACCTTCAAAAATCATCAATCGATTTAATCGTACATCACGTAATCTGTTCTTTGGTAACATCCCCGACACAGCTTTACGAAGAGACTAAATAAAAATAAAAAAAAAAAGTTGGATCATCAAAATAATAATCATAATAAATAATCGTAATAATTACCTCTGTAGGATCCTTCTTCTTCAAATCTGCATAGTTTATTTCCTTCAAACCGCCAGGATGCATAGTGTGATGGCGATACAACTTTTGTTCAGCTTTCTTTCCAGTAACCAAGATATCCTTTGCATTTACCACAACTACATAATCCCCACAATCAGCTATTTCATCATAAAAAAAAGAAAAAAAGAAGTAAGTATTATACTATCATTTTGATTATTTACTTACATGCAGGATCATAAATAGGTTTATGTTTTCCCATCAATGTAGTGGCGACATTAGTGGCAAGACGACCTAAAACTCGTTGACGTGCATCGACAACATGCCATACACGAGCATATGCAAGAGCAGTCTATATATAAAAAAAAATATAAAATGAGTTCTTCTATATACATAGGATAAAGTCTATTGTATTTTACATTGCCAACAGCTTGAGACATGGTATATAATAGGTAAGAAAGAAAAAGAACAAAAAAATGTATTTAAAAAAAAAAAAAAGATCAAAGGGAACACCGACTGAGTGACAGGAGCTGAAAAGAAACTAGAAAAAAAAAAGTAAACAAAAACAGGAAGAGTGGCTGAGCCACCCAGGATGCCAAAAAAAAAAAAAAAATCCAAAACCCGTTTACCTTTTTTGGATATGGATTTTTTTCAACCTTACTTTTTTTTTCCAATCTCCTATGGATGCGCCAAAATGAAGTTTTTTTAACGTCTCCCCCCTTTTTTTTTTCATTCATTAAACTTCTCTAATCTATATGCAGGAAAGAAAGGATCGACTGGAATGCCCTCATCTGACATTTTTTTCCCCCTCTTGATTTGGAAAACTGAGTCCAATCATCATACTAAGAAAATCTATCATATCATGGTCTCCCTTTTTTTTTTTTTTAGAGAGAGAAGACGACATCAACCCACACACATACCATTTGCTCCTATCCATGCATATTCCCAATAATAAAAAAAAAAGTATAATTTTCATTTTATTGGAACATCAAATTAATTTTGACAAAGAACAACAAAAGATAAATAAGGATGAAAAATAAAATAAAAAAAACTAAACAAAATGTTTACAACAAAGGGGATAGAGAGAGATCGAAGAGATAAAACAAAGGGTATCCTTTTTTTTTTGATGTAAAAAAAAAAAAATAAGGGAGAGGGGAGGGGAATAAAATAAAATATCAAACGATGATACAGTATAGGAGAGAATAGGAATAACAAAGGATACATAAATAATACTAATATATCAAGGAAAAGGATAAAGCGGATGAGAGTTGCCAAGGATACCCATGTTGTAATTCAATGGAAGACCTGCCATTGTCGTCGGGTCGTCATGATGATGATGATGATGATGATGATGATAAGAGAGACCAGAAAGTCCTGTAGAAGAAGTAACACCTGTAGTAGTTGTAGTAGTTGAGGTGACGGGAGAAGTACCAGTACCAGTACCAGCGTTGTTGATGGTTGCTCTTAAGGAGGGCATACTTTGATAATGTAAGTGTTGTCGTTGTACATATCGTCCTTGTTGTTGTTCTCGTTGAATTTTACTATGAATTCGTTTACCATATGGAGTACTGCGAATCGATGCTAAATGAGGCCGAATCCTTTCAACCAACTAATATTAAAAAAAAAATTATATCAATATATATATATAAAGGAGTTCATCCTTTCTTGTTTACCTGCACTTTTTGGTCTTGATCAGCATAATCCAAACAAGTCTGAATGACATAATTAGCAAAAGAATCACGTAGTAATTTTTCCATGTTGGATTGATTGATAAGTTCAGAAATCAATGCACGTCGTATTTCAGGTTCAGACACACGAATACACTTCATTTAAAAAAAAAAAAAATCAGGGTAAAGTTCATGACTAAAATATTTTTTTTTTTTTGTTACCTTTTCAATGACATTGGAACTAAATTTCTGCACAGATAAATCACATACATGTTCAATCAAACAACGTACCAAAGCATCGGAATATTGTACTTCACCCAAATCAAGTACATATTGCACTACATAATTTCCAAATGGATCTTGTACCAATGGTAATACATTACAGGTCACTACTTTTACCAATTGAGACTTTTATAAATAAATAAATAAATAAATAATAATAAAAAAAAAGGTTAGAATAAAAGTGATCATCCTTAATTTTTTTTTTTTTTTTTTTTTACTTTTTGAATATCCACAGCATGATCAATACATCTTTGGAGTACACAACAACCATGACGATGAGTAGCCACTTCAATACAATTTTCAGATACTATATCATAGATAAATTGATTGTGTTCAGCTGATAAACGATGAAGACATTTTTGAATGACATGATTGCCATTAAGATCCTTGATAAGAGTGACCACTTTAGGATGTAAAGCTGCGGTAACTGTCTTGATTTGATGACTAGAAGAAAGATATTCAATCAATTTCTGAATAGCCCTAGTACCATGCATGCTCAAACAAATCTGCAACAAGTCAGGCGAGATAATGTCCACAATAGCTGTTCTTTGTGCATCATTACAACGTTCCACGAGTTTTTGGCAAAGATAATTTCCGAATGGATCTACAATAACAATGTAAGTATTCCTATCCTTCCTTTTTTTTTTTTTTTTTTTTTTTTTTTTTTTTTTTTTTTTTTTTTTTTACCCGTCATTAATTCCACAAAATGAGGATGAATTTCATCAAAGATAATTTGTAAATATTGTCCATTAGGATCCTCCAATTTCTTTTGTAAAAATCGACATCCATTATGATCTTTACATAGTTCATAGAGTTTACCATAAAAATCTTCCAATTTCGCTCCCAAGAATCGATTGGCTTCAGGATCAGCAATAGATCGACGTTGTTGTTGAGACATATCAGATAAAGAACCCATCATATCCATCTTATTATCCATGAATGATCCATCAGAATAATCCGTTCCATTTTGACTATTGTTGTTGTTGTTGTTGTTGTTACTGGCTAAAGAAGTCGTAGTTGTGGTAGTAGTAGAAGAAGATCCATAACGAGGCATCAATTTACTGGTAGGGAAAAAGGAAGAACTAGGATCATAAGACAAATTGGAAAAGCCCAATAAAGGATGTGTGGCTGTTGAATGAGTAGAAGGTGGTGGAGGTGGTGGATATTGTTGAAAATTTGCCAAAGGATGAGGTGAAGGAGTGATGGAATGATTAAAACCCATATTGGTAGTGGGACTATGAGAATAAGGACATTGTTCATCCAAAGGACACATTCCATATTGTAAATATTGATGACAGGGGATGATTTCCTTTGTATCGGTGGTATCATATGGTGAATGGCGATGAATATGTTGAGATGCTGTGGTATAGGAACGAGCAGCCGCATGCAAGTCAGAATAAGAATGAGACGTAGTCAGACGACTTTTATCACTAGTGGCGTTTGTGGTGAAATATTCATATGATCCCATTCCATCCATCATTGAAGGTGAAGCTGGCACGTTGGCATGAGAAGTAGAAGTAGGAGGCCAACCATAAGAAAATCTACGTTGTTGTTGTTGTTGTCCAAAGAAAGCAGCTTGACCACGAGAATTAGGTATTATCATATCTCTTCCAACCAAAGGGGATGATGTACTTTCAAGACATTGAGCCCATGATTTGCTACGTAAGGATTCCACACTTTTATTTTGTCGAGATGAGTTTTTTCTTAAAGAAGATACCATGCCTAAGTCATTTGAACCAGGGGAAAACTAATAAACAAGATATGATGGTATTAGTCATATATAGAAATAAGGGGGGGTTGAATTCCCTATTTTCCCTTAATCACTTTTTTTTTTTTTATATATATACATATATATATATATATAGATAAACAATTTATAATAATCAATTATATCTTACCAAACCATTGTATGAAGAATCATTATGAACCAAAGAATTCAATGTATCAGTAGAACCATTGTACCGTTGTAAGTAAGGATAATTTTGTGTGACTCGCGGAGTGTCTAAAGAATATAAAATCGTGTTTTAGCATTGATCCAGATCATTCATCATCATCATATATAATTTTTTTTTTTTTTTTTTTTTTTTTTTTTTACCTGCGTCATGATCAAATAAAAGACGTTGTGTGCCGTGAAGATCCGTAGTTTCAGCCGTCATTGAACCGATAGCTAATTTTTGCTTCATAGCGGCCTCGTCAATACTCAAAGAGCGGTGAGGAGTCAAAAAGCCCATAGAGTCTTGATGTAACTTGAGTTTACAATCAAAAGCATCAGCTAAAGCAACATCTTCAGCGTCAGTAGAATTTCTACGCGATCCAGGAACTGAGTAAGAAGCTTGACTTGTAGTAGGTAAACTGTCAGATGAAGAGAGTAAAGAATGATTTTGAATGACGTTTTCAGTAGTACCAATAGTAGCAGTTGTTGTTGAAGTAGTAGTATTTTTGATATTATTATTATTATTATTATTGGTTGATATGAGTCCATAAGGATCTACTTCGAATAGTTTCTCTCTTTCCATCTTTATATTAGAAAGAAGAAGAAAAAGAAGAATGTAAAATAAATATAAAAAAAAAAAAAGAGTGTAAAGAGAGAAAAAGAGAGAGAATATATAATAAAAGAAAGGAGGTGACTAAGAAAAAAGAAAATAAAAGAGGAGAAGAAGAAAAGAAAAAAGACATATTCAAATTCATAAATAATAAAAATAATAATAATAAGAAAAAAAAAATTTGGGATGAAAAAAAAAAAAAAATAGGGGTGATGGATCGGCACAAGTTTGGGATTCGCAAGTTGAGGTGGGATGGAATCATATTACTCCCCTTTCCTTTTCCTTTTTTTTTTTCCTCCTTAACTTGAGGCAAAAAAAAAAAAGAAAAAAGGTTAAAAAACAACCAAAGTTTTTTTTTTTTTCTCCTTCGTTTATATATATATATTTTGATATTCAACTATATTATTTCATTATATATTGAATTCACTTAAAATGAAAATGAAAAAAAAAAAAAAACGTTTTTATTTATCATGTCAAAAAGTTACTATGCTTACACTTTATATTCTGATTGGTCCCTCAATCATAGGAGATTGAAAGAAAAATAGAACATTTTTATAGGCTTCAATTCTTTTTTTTTTCTTCTCTCTCTGTTCCTCCCCCCTTTTTTTTTTCCTCCCCTTTCTTTCATATTTACAACATCATAGATAACTTTCTTCTCCTTGTCCTTTTTTTTTCACTAATATGAGTGACTTGGGTTATATAACATCAATGTTATATCTGTAATTATGTAATTGATATTTTTATATTAAGTTATTTTATCCTTCCTTTCATAACAGTTTGATATCCAAGTCAATTCATATAAATTTATTATTCTTCAACACAAGGTAAAACTTATATTATTATAAATATATATATTTATCATTCTTTTATAGTTCAATCTTTTGATACAGAAAAGTTTTATTGTACTTCCCTTTTTCAACAAGAAATTCCTACTTCCAATATTATTTTTGAAGTTACTGATATTAAAGGATGGATAAGTCTTTGAAGCTTCTCTTACTAATTCACTTCAGAAACTCCCTGTCACTTTGAAAGAAAATGAATGGATTGATTTCTTTGGTAAAATGACCTTCAAAATTGGCAATGATGGTAAGAAAAAAAGTGATCTTATCTCTTACTGTGCACACCAAATGGATATCGTATGTCTGTTTTTTTTATGGAAGAACTTGCTGATGATGATTAATTCCTATTTTTTTTTTTTTTTTTTTTTTTTTTTTTTTAGATCGATCGATTCGTACCCAAAATAGGCACGTGTCAACTATATCTCATGGACGTGTCAAATCAAGAAAAAGTGATATCACAAAAAGATGGAATGATGATGAAAACGACACTATAATGATATCAACATGAACAACAACGATGTGAAAAAAAAAATCAAGTATTCCAGATTTTGGTTTCTCTTCTTCTAATATCAAATTTATCAAAGATAATGCTCAACGGGAAATGGACTCTTTTTATGACAAGAATAAAACCTTTTTTTGATGATATCTCATGTGGAACGTATTGAAATCATCCAATGCCAAAAGGTAAAAATATACTTAAAAATGACTACATAATCTTACTGTGTTTCTTGCATAGATATTATTATCAGAAGAAAACACCAAATGAAAAATTTATTGAATTTGGAAATCATTTGGACAAACTTATATAAATCAAGAATAGAAATACTACAAGATGGTATACTATCCTATTGGAAATACATATGACATTTAGTTTTAGATGATCATTCTTTTTTTTTTTTTTTTTGTATAAAGAAATAAACTTTTTCTCCATATGTGTTTTACATGTCATTTTCCTAAAGTTTTTAATGTACCTGACTCATACAAAAAAAACGATGAAAAAATTCATTTTTGATTTGAAATACCTCCACCAATAACTATCAAGGATTATAAAAAAAAAAAAAAAAGACGGTGGTACATATATATTGTAGCTCCGGTATTTGGAAGAAAAGGTAGGCCCCTTGGTGTAATAAGAGCCAATTATTTAAATCAACAAAACTTTTTTTTTTTTTGTACTTTCTTTCCCTCACTTTTTTTTTTTTCCCTCCCTTTATTCTCCCTTCTCTTTAGGTTGTTTCAACAACACCTTTTTTTTTTTTTTTTTTAATTCATTTTATATTTATATTGTATTAGACCATGCTTTCTAGTCGGTCTAGAACAACAGCATTTCATTCAGCTTCTACTTTATTTGGTAGAGGTGTTCATCATGCTGCCAAACTGTCATCTCGTAGTCCTATTGAAATGATTGTGGTTGTTTTGATTTTGGGCTCTTTTTGTTATTTTTCTCTCTTCAACTTGGCTCGGTCATCTGATCTCTTTTCTGGTACCGTTACTCGTTTATACCCTACTTCTGTCTATGCTTCACCTGATGCGTCTCATTTCACCGTTTTGGATACTTCTGACTCGTTAGACGATGCTGTAATGGTTCAACTCAAACAAATTGTCGTGACTGATCCTCAACGTGGTAATGTTTTACACAGATCAACTCTTGAATCTGTTTTACAATTTCAAAATATGATTGAAAATGAAGTATATGTTCCCGATGACTCTCTTGGTGGCAAACAATTTGTGTATACCAAAGATTTGTGCTACAAACCTGCTCAATTTGAAAATAATCATCAATGCTTTGCTCCTTCTCCTACTGACTTTTGGAATCATGACGCGCAAATATTAAGAGATGATTCACACTTTCTTCAAACTATTTCTCGTCATCGTGATCAAGCTGGTTATCTGTTTGGTGATCTTAAAACTTCCACTGCTTCTTCTTTGGTTTTATCTTATGCTTTCAATGCTTCTTCAAAAGCACATCAATATTTGGCTGATCTTTGGATTCATAAAGTCGCAACCTTACCTCCTGGTGATCTGATTTCCTTATCTAATTCTGCTGCTGGACTTCAAGAAAATATTTTTGTTTGGCTTTTTATTATTTCTCGCAATGTCATCTATCGTATCAAGGAACTTTTGGAGGTATATATACATATATTGAGAATAGTTTATTCTAATCGTCTTTTTTTTTGTTTTGTTTATGTTAGTTGGCTGATAAAGTAGATATTTATGTTATCTTGACTGGTTACTTGATGATGATTGCCACTTTTATATCTCTTTACATCAATATGCGTGGAATTGGTTCTCGTTATACTTTAGGTAAACAAAAGAAAAACAGGTTTCTGTATTTATTTATTTATGTAAAATGTATGTATCTCATTCTATCTATCTTTATACCTTAATAGCCACTGCCGTCGTCTTTAATGGATTCTTTGCTTTTATGCTTTCATTATTGACTGTCCGTTCCCTTGGAATCAATGTATCTCCTGATGTTTTGGCGTAAGTTGTGCGTCTTCTAAGAAGGAGAAATGATATTCATTTTTTTTTTATTCTTATCATTGTTTAGTGAAGCAATTCCTTTTTTGGCTGTCACTATTGGTTTTGAAAGGCCATTCAAGCTTACAAAAAGAGTTTTCCAATACAGCAAAGAATCTCCATTGACCAAACAAGAAATTCGAAACACTATCATGCGTGCTGTTGATTCAGTGGCATTACCTATTGCTCGTGATTGTTTTATGGAAATCACTGTCCTTGTTTTGGGTGCTAAATCTGGTGTGGCTGGTCTTCGTGAATTCTGTCTTCTCAGTGCTATTCTTCTTGCCTTTGACTTTGTGTTGATGTTTACTTGGTATACCGCTGTGTTGGCTCTCAAACTAGAGGTATGAAAAGTAAGATTTTCAAATCGCTGATGACTGATATTTCTTTTTTTTTTTTTTATTTTCCCATCTGCAGCTTCTCCGTATTCGTGAAATCAATGGTACCTCCTCTACTAAAAATGCTACTCATAAAACCCCAACTACTGGTTACATTCGTCGTACGTTTATCAAGGCGTTTAGTGATGATAACGCTTCAGGTGCTAGCTTATCTGTTTCCCAAAAGTCTGAAGGTCCTATTATTGGTCGAGTCAAACTCATGATGGTAAAGTGTGAATCGCGGTCGTGGCAACACAATATCACGATACTTGATTATAATCATTTATTCTCACACATCTTTTTTTTTTTTTGTGTATTCATTCTTATTTTGGATTAGATTGTTGGTTTTGTTGTGATGCATATCTTCAATGTTTGTTCTACTTTCCAAGCACCTCAAGTTAATATTGAAGATCCCAATATTGATGGTGTCCTTCAACAATTGTTACAACAACATCGATCATCTTCTCTGTCTTCTCGACCTATTTTAGTAGAGGTGTTCCCATCCTTACCTTTCCAAGTTGCTACGTCTCACGTCAATTTCATTCCCAACTTTATTGTTGAACCTTTGGAATTATTGTTATCTGTATCTGCTGGTTATGTGCAACATCCTGTTATCAGCAAATGGCTTACTCTTGGTCTCTTTGTCTCATTATTCCTTAACACTTATTTATTCAAGATGGCTCGTCAACCTAAAGTTACTCATCAACTTACTACAACCCCAGCAGCAACTATAGAACCTAATCAACAACAACCTTCTGTCACCCGGCCCCGCTCACAGACAATCCGACGTCGTCGTCCTACCATCAATACTTCCAGTGTAGTCCGACCTTTGGAAGAATGTGTTAATTTGATGACGACTCCTGAAGAGTTGAATGATGAAGAAGTAATCATTTTGGTGCAATCTGGTAAAATGGCTCCTTATGCTCTTGAAAAGGTACTTGGTGATTTGGAACGTGCTGTGAATATCCGTCGTGCTTTGATTTCTCGTGCGTCTGTGACGAAAACTCTTGAATCCAGTGCTCTTCCTTCGGCCAATTATCATTATGACAAGGTGATGGGTGCTTGCTGCGAAAATGTGATTGGTTATATGCCTCTTCCTGTTGGTATTGCTGGTCCTTTGAACATTGATGGTGTCCAGATCCATATTCCCATGGCAACAACGGAAGGATGTTTGGTGGCTTCTGCTGCTCGAGGTTGTAAGGCAATCAATGCTGGTGGTGGTGCTTCAACAGTGGTGACGGCAGATGGTATGACACGTGGTCCTTGTATAGAATTCCCCTCCGTGGTACGTGCTGCTGAATGTAAACAATGGATTGAACAAGAAGGTAATGCTATTTTGACCAATGCATTCAACTCGACTTCCCGATTCGCTCGTCTTCGTAAACTCAAAGTGGCTTTGGCTGGCAAGTTAGTCTTCATTCGATTCTCAACTACTACTGGTGACGCGATGGGTATGAATATGATTTCTAAAGGATGTGAAAAAGCGATTAGTGTTTTATCTGAAGTGTTTACTGATATGCAAGTCATCTCACTCTCTGGTAACTATTGTACAGACAAGAAACCTGCTGCGATCAATTGGATAGAAGGACGAGGTAAATCTGTTGTAGCGGAAGCAGTGATCCCTGGTGCGGTTGTGGAAAAGGTACTCAAAACAACTGTGGCTGCATTGGTGGAATTGAACATTAGCAAGAACTTGATTGGATCTGCCATGGCTGGTTCGGTAGGTGGATTCAATGCACATGCTGCAAATATCTTGACGGCGATCTATTTGGCAACAGGACAAGATCCAGCTCAAAATGTAGAAAGTTCAAATTGTATCACATTAATGAAGGCAATCAACGATCATCAAGATTTACATATCTCATGTACTATGCCTAGTATTGAAGTGGGTACCATTGGTGGTGGTACTATTCTTCCTCCTCAACAATCCATGTTGGATATGCTCGGTGTACGTGGTCCTCATCCTACTGAACCTGGAAAGAATGCTCAACGTTTGGCTCGAATCATCTGTGCTGCTGTCATGGCTGGTGAACTTTCTTTGTGTGCTGCTCTTGCTGCTGGACATTTGGTCAAGGCTCATATGGCTCATAACCGGTCAGCTGTTGCAACCCCTGCCTCTACTCCTGCAATCACAACCAAAATGGAACCTGGCTCTTGTATCAAATCTTAAACATCCCCTCCTTCTTTCTTCATTCCCCATTCTCCACGTATATATTTCCAGATTAGAATCATACTCTCCCTTCCTTTTTTTTTTTTTTTTTTTTATCTATTTTTATATATGTCTGTTGTTAGTTTATCATTAAACCCTTTTTAGTTATCATCCTTCTAATGCCTTTTTTTTTTTATTTTTATTATTTTGTTAATCTTATTTGATGGAATGATATAAAATAAAAAAATAAAAATAAAAATAAAAATCAATTCATTGAAATTCATTACTATGACATTGTTTGGATTTTTTTTTTTTTTTTTTAGTATGATGAATGCTTTTTTTCTTCTTTGTATTACTGTGGATCATCCCCAAAAATAGATTCAGGTCCCAAAAAATCATGGACTTTGAACTTAAACTTATTAGTTCACAAGTAGGAAGTCAAACTTGTCAAGCTAAATAATAAGAATCAATTCTTGATTCCAAATGTGAAAACAAACTTGTCAATTAAAGGATGATGGGTTACAAGTCTTTTTTTTTTTTTTTTTTGGACTAAAAGACGAAAAATAAAGAAGAATCATTAAGAAGAAGACACGTTTCCTTTTTCAGTCAAGGGTGAAAGTTTTTTTTTTTTTATTGTATATATCATAAAAAGAATTCGTATTTGAAGCCAACACTGATCAACTACTGTAAAAAAAAAAATATAATAATAAAAAAGAGAGAGAGAGAGTGAATGAGAGGGAAAAAGGTCGGTAGGTGATGAAAGATAAAAGAAAAGTCAAGGAGGAGAGAGGCACAAAAAAAAAAAAAAAGATGGATCAAGACGAATAAAAATAAATAAATGTATAATATATATTTGAGTGAGTATCTATATATATACTAGATTATATAGAAAAAAAAAAAAGAAAAGTAATCAAACAAACTTAAAAAAAAACTAAATAACTAAAAAACAAACTAGACTTGGTTACCAGTAGAAGGAGCTTGTTGTTCCAAAACAGAAGCAAGATGTTTCCATTCATCAGCAGTTTGATACTTGGAAGCAATGGCTTGTAATTGTTGGATTTGAGCAGTAGCACCAGGAAGTTCAGTAAGCAAGTTGTTGATGAAAGTGGCGAATTGAGTCTTCAGACCACTCAAATCTGTAGGGTTGCTTTGCAGTTGGGTTTGGATGTACTTTGCTTCAGCAGCCATGGTCTTGATGTCGCTACCATTACTTGATGTTGTGTTGTCACCAGAAGTTTGATTTTCCATTTCATTCAAAACTGTACCATAAGAAGTATTGGGAAGTCCTTGTTGTTGTTGTTGTTGTTGTTGTTGTTGTTGTTGTTGTTGTTGTTGAGAGACATCGGTAGAAGGGGAACCAGTCGTAGTCGTAGAAGAAGTATCATCTGTATTATCAGTGTTGGAAGTATCAGTGTTGGAAGTATCAGTGTTGGAAGTATCAGTGTTGGAAGCATCAGTGTTGGAAGTATCAGTGTTGGAAGCATCAGTGTTGGGAGCATCAGTGTTGGAAGCATCAGTGTTGGAAGCATCAGTGTTGGAAGCATCAGTGTTGGAAGCATCAGTGTTGGTAGTATCAGTGTTGGAAGTATCAGTGTTGGAAGTATCAGCACCAGAAGGATCAATGGCACCACTATTGTTGGGAGGAGGCACAGTAGTACCGGCCGAGTTGGAAGGAGCTGCTGCACCAGAAGGAGTGGATGGACCAGTAGGAGATGGTGAAGCAGAAGCAGATACTGAACCAGTGGGAGTGGATGAAACAGAAGCAGATGCTGAAGAAGAAGGATCGGAAGAAGGTGTAGGAGGAGGAGGCACAGAATCAAAAGAATTGTTATCATCATAGTTACCAGGTGAAATAACACGAGCACAACCTCTTTGAGAGATACCAGTCTTACAATCTTCGGTGTTTTGACAGCAACGAATACAGAATCGGTTATTGGAAGGTTCGATCAAGCTGACAAAGAATGGGAAGTCTTGACAAGAAGCACCAGTAGGTTTATGATGGGCGTGAGAGTCGTATTGTCCACCTTCATCGGTTGCACTCAAGTTGTATAAAGTGCGATCAAAGAAACCAGTGATTTGGGTGTAAGTATCGGTCTTTTGATAATGGGCAGTAGTGATAAAACCTTGAGGGAAAGGTTTAGAACCTTGTACAGTGGTGGGATTCATACAATAAGGAATACCATTGTCTTCATTGATGGCCACTTCAAGTCCAGGAGCTGGTGGTAAGAATAGACAAAAATCATTTTCACTGGTAAGTTGAACTTTAGGATTGGGAGGTGCATCACTAGGTGTAGTTGTATTCTGTTGTTGAGCTGTCACCACTGATAATAAACCAGTGCCCAAGATAAACAATTGACTAATGGAAGAATAGTACATGGTTTACTTTCAAACAATAATAAAGAATAATAAATAAAAAGATAAAAGAAAGAAAAAGAAAAAATAAAATAATAAAAAAAAGGAGAGGAAGGTTATTATTGTTAAGAAAAGAAAAGGGGAGAAAGAAACGAAATAAAAAAAAGTAAAAAATGCATGTCCAGACCTCATTTATATAAATTCTACATTTGATCGTTTTGGCCTCCGCCCGCGTTCTTTTTTTCCCACTTTTTCAGTTAATATCTTTTTAGTATCATTTTTTCCCCTCATCTAAAAATAAGTTTCAACTTTTTAACACCTTTTTTTTTTTAGTTTGTGTTTTCTATTTCACAAACTTCATTTCATTGAACCTACTTGCAGTCTTGTGTTGCCTTTTTTTTTTTTTTTATCACAAGTGAGTCTAATGCATCCTTGGTTACTTTATTGACATTGAAATTTCTACTTTTTTTTTCTCTCTGATGATCATGCTTGTTTATTAACAAGTTTCTTTTTTTTTTTTTTTAAAAAAAAAAAAAATGAAGTTGGTCTAGTTTGTTCTTTTTTCTCCTTGGCATCGGGGAGGGGGCCAGTGAAATAATAATAAAAAAAAAAAAAAGATCGACTGTTCTCTTCCCCCTCAACTTCCAGTCTCCGAACAACAATATAAAAAAAAGACCCTAATATAGTAAAACTCGACAAATCATCTTACTTTGTAATCAATGTGAAAAAAGTAATTTGATCAGTACTGCCATCCTATTTTAAAAAAAAGTCCATACAAGGAAAAATGTTTTTTAACAAAAAAAATTATCGTTCTGGGTCCCCATCACTATTGTACTATTAATATGGATTGTGGCTAGAAATGATTAGAAATACCAAACTTGGAAAAAAAAATCATTGATTCCATAATAACGTGCTACAAAAAAAAGTAAAAATAATTTATTTAACAATGATGACAATGAATGAAGAAAAAGAAAGGTATTAAAAAAAAAAACATAAATAAAATGATAAACTATACAAATAAAATAAAATAAAATAAAATGGACAGACTATATATGTATACTAGGAGTTTTCATTTGTTCGTTCTTCCATCCAGAGAACTAATTGTTCCAATTCATGTTCCGTAAAGACAGGTCCTGTACCAGAGCATTTAGCAATTTTCTTGAGTTCATCGCAAAGAACATCCACATCAAAGGCATCAAATTTTGGATGTGCTGATAGAGTTTTCCATACTTTAGAACAAGGGATCAATTTGACATCAGGGATCAATGTATCAGGATGAGGGGAAGATAAGTCGAAACGTTCAGTTGATAAGGTTTCTGTAAGTCGATCCAAAAAGTACATAGGATCATCATACATATCGAATTTGTGTTGATCATCAACGTCATCATCATCATTAGTGTCATCCATCCGATCTGTCACAATAGGTACTGGTCGTTTTGTGATCGTTTCATTCAGGGATCCAGAGGCATCAAAAAGAGGTTCCGATAAGAGTTGATTGTACGCCGATGAACACACTTCTTCCTTTAATCGTTCACAAAATGAGATACCATCCTTATCACGAATACATGCCACTGCTGATGAAGGTGCATAAGGTGTCGTTGGTAAAGAAGTTGAAAATGTAGGTGATGATTGCATATCCATATCTTCACTACTGTCATTGTTAAAATCCAGTTTTTGTTGCAGTTGAATAGATTCCTTTCCACTAATGGTAGTTGCTTCTAATGCCGAAGTAGTCATATCCACATCATGATCATGATCTTTCTTTTTCGTCGGATCCAGTTGTTGTTCCAACCGTGCCACTTTTTCACGTAAAGATTGATTTTCTAGTTCTACCGCCGACAGAGCTTCTGCATGAGCCTTTTCCATTAACTTTATTTTGGTTTCCAATTCTTTAACATATCTTTCTTTTCGTTCGCGAAAAGCCCTTTGTGCTGCTCGATTTTGTTCTTTTCTTCTTGCTTTTTGGTCTGCTGTCAAAACCTATCATCCATAAATAAAATATTAATACCATTTTATATCTCTTCACTTTTTCCTTCTTTTTTTTTTTATTGAGTTGATAGTATTTACCTCATGCATGCCATCTATTCACCAATCGTAATAATAAAAAAAAAAAAAAATAGAGAAGAAACGATTAGCTCGTCTATTACAGTTCATTTAAGACTTTCTTTTATATTTACCTGGTGCGTCAAAAGTTGTATTGGAATGACCTCTTGAGTTATTATCTATAACCAAACAAAATGAAATAAAAATAGGTTTTTCAAATTAGATAATAAAAAATAAAAAAAAAACAAGGTAAAAAGTGGTTTACTTACGAAAGTGTTTCGCAGGGGAATCATTAGACACTGGATTTTCTCTTTTTCGGTTTTCCAAATCATTGATATTCCATGAAGTAGCAGGTGCTATAGAAGGTGCAATAGCTCTAAAAGAATGTAAGTTGTTTTTGGGTCGAAGTTGCTGTGTCATTATGTGAATGAAAGAACTAACGTCAATGAATAATAATAATAATAATAATAATAAAATAAGAGTAAAGAAAGAGAAAGAAAAAAAAAATCGAAACTGAACCAAAGAAGTGTTTAATTCAATTTCCGACTCCTTCTTCTTGAACTTGTCAGTAAGGTAGTGTTTCTATATAATAGGATCATCCAATCAAATCTATATTTATTATATATCCAGTAATGTATTCTCTCTGATAAAGGAATGAACTTATAAAAGAGAACAATACGACAAAACTATAGTTGTATTGTTCTCAAATTGAGTAATCAAGCTTTATGCGCGGACAAACGGAGAAAGAGAGACATATCCATCCAACGACGTGTCTCGTTAACGGCTAAAATACCATCCGAAATCAGATACACCAATTATTGGAACATAACATAGAAAAAGTAAAGAAAAAAAAAAAAACAAAGGGAATAAATGATAAAAATCAGACATAATAAAAAAAGACATATATAGGCACGCACATAAGAGGCATTAATAACATTAGTAATAATAATCATAATAGGATGATAAAAAAAAACACAGGAACTTTTTTTATTTACATTACTGTAGGGGATAAAATAGAGACTCATGGGGAATATATGATAGTAAGGATAAAGAAGCATATACACTGCTTACCAAAAAAAAAAAAAAAATCAATCATTGAAAGTTGTCGCCATTGTTGTTGTCATCGATGGTATTTGGATTCCTTTCTACAGAAGCTGTCTGATTATTATTGTTGGTATCCTCTTGATCAGAGTGGTTGTCTTCAGTTTCATGATATTCTTCTTCTTGGTGTTGTGTTTCTATCTCCACTCCATCTCCATCTCTTCGTTGATTTCCTTCTACAAGCCATTGACTATATATATAATAGTGTGAATATATATATATATCTAGAATACACATCCAGCACAAAGAGTATCATCTATTTTTGATCTCTCTCCTTACTTACATAATCCTTGGTGTACTCAGCCATCTTTTCCCACCACTTGCTGGATCCTGAGGCCATACATCTTCAAAAAAGTAATAGATATGACCAACTGCAATACCAAGAATATCACCTGTAGGAATATCACCACCAAGAACCAAAGAGAAGCAAAGTAAAACCCAAGGCAAATGAGGAGCACTGAACACTAACATACCTAAAAAGTTCAATCGAACATATGGATTACGACGCGCCCAAATATATACCATAGTGAATGCTAGTGGTGATCCAAGAAACGGCATATAGGCAAATGGTAGAATGATCTAAAATAGAAAAAAGGTCATAAGTGAATATCATCATAATACTCTCTTTTCTCTCCTTTTTTTTTTTTTCCTTCTTTCCATCTTACTGATGATAAAATAAGAATAGTCGCTGCGAATATCAGTAACCAAACATAATCTGCTGGTTTGCTTCGATAGAATCCTTCTTCCATCATACGACTATAACGAGCACTATAAAAAAAGAGAAAGAAAGAAAAAGAAAGTCAGTATAAAACACAATGACACTATTCAAGTTTAATATTGACCACTTACAGGAAAAACATGTGGAATAAAAAGTCAATGGAAAGAGGACCAAAGTATAAGAAGTTTGTGATCAAACGCCACCACTATAAAATAAAAAGTTGAGAAACCTATCATACCTTTATTTTCTTCTTCGTCTTTTTTTTTCTTTCTTACTTGACCGCTGGCAATACTATCATAATTAAGCCATAAGTGTAAAGGATGAACAAACCCCAATTGCTATAAACCCAGATTCATCATTAGATAGAGCAAAAAAAAAAAAAAAAAAAAAAAAAAAAAGTCAGTGATAAACATACCAAAAGTTTTGTAAACTTACTACTGCCAAACTAGTAAGACATGCAGCAGTTACATAGATACGAGTAATGGGAGGAATATCTGTATACCAAGTCTCTATAGGTGTTGGCATGACTTAAAGATAATCACAAAAAAAAAAGAAAAAGGTAGTGGAGTCATGAAATCAAGCAATCCTTTTGCACAATGATTTTTAAATACCGCAGACCTTAACATTAGTAAACTTTCTTTTGCTTATTTTTCTCTCCTTTCCCTTTCTTTTTCTTTTGAAGAGGGTAGAGGTTTCAATATTCGAATCAAAGGTCATCAAGAACAAAGTACAAGCAAACTCCAAGAATGTTTGGCCAGAAAATGCTCTATGATACTTAGTAGAATAGAAATAAAATAAGAATAGTTTCATTGTTAACAGTTGATTGACTTTTTATTTAATAAAAATCTATTGGATATTTATACTAGTTGATGTTTTGATGTTTATATAAAAAAATGTTAATAATAATAATAATATAAAAGGGATAATAATATAAAAAAAGGAAAATGGATGATAGTAAAGAAGGTTATTCTTGCCTTTGCCATTTTGGGTCTTTTGTACTAGGTCTTTTCTTGCGCCATTTAGAGCCAGCAGGTAGTATCATAGGCACTCCACGATCATCCACAGGAATATCACCAGTGAAGCCGACATCATCATCAATAATTAACAACAACTTTGATTCTGCACATCTTGAAAAGATCATGCGGAATCTCCATCCTGTGTGATGGTGAAGCTACATTAATTTAATGTAAGTAATAATATAAAAAAGAAAAGGACAATAGCATTAACCTTTGATTTATATTTAAAGTTATTCCTCAGCATACATTTTTCTTTTCTTCTTTTTTATTTAAATGAAGGACTTATTCTTCCTTGGATGATATAATAGATGATTTTTGATATGATGATGATATGTTGAATAGACAGTGATGAAGGACTTTTTTATAATGATGATCGTGTTAATAATAATTAACGATCATTGATATTACTGGAGACGATGACAATTACAATGAAAATTCCTACTGAGGATTGAATTGTAGCCGTTAATAATTTATTCTTTTTTTTCTTTCTTACATATATTTTACCTGATACATAGTTCCGTTTTTTTTTTTCTTTAAAAAAACATGCTTGTGGTTCATTTGGGGTGTCAGCCGGTGTTTGAATATCCAGCCTTCCATAAATACACAAATGGTCGTTTTACCTAAAACTTTTGTGCGATTTTCTTCTTTTTCTTTTCTTTTCCTTCTTTTTCTTAAATTCATATTTTATACCATGTCTGATATTGATACTGAATCACAATTAGAAACATCTTCTTCCTCCCTCATCAAAAGTAAAATAAAACAAAATGAACAACAACAAAAAAAAAAAGGTTTATTTTCCTCTGATCTTTTTTTTTTTTCCCTTCCTTCCTTTCTTTCTTAGATATTATTGAAGACCTCTTTTCTTACAATACTATACGCAGAAAACGAATTTTAGAATATTACTTTTTTGAAGATGCTTCTTTATCATCACCAGTGATGAGTACAGAAGGTGTGATGAATATTCAATAGTAAGTACACTCACCACTCCCCAACGCCTGTTACCCCCCAAAATTATCGTCATAATTTGAGGTCAGGTGTGATTACATATGCACCTCCTGCTTTATTAACTTTGTTTATTTTTTTTTGTTTATTCTAGTGTTTACACTGTGTGGCAAGCTCTCAATCGACAAGAACCTATTATTACCAATATAGTCTTTGATGGGTAAAATAAAATAATAATTCACCTACCGATAATAATCATTTTTTTCACATGTATTTTTTTTTTTTTGTTTTGCTTTCTTTCTATTACAGGAATACAGCCGTCATACATTTAATTCAAAACATTTCTCCTCGTATCTTTCCCTCTTTTATCAAGTTACAAGTACCATCTCTCACCACCTTACATTTTCGGGAAACTGAACAAGATAGTGGATTATTGAAGATTTATAAACAAGAAGATAGTTGGACTTTAGAAGGTAAAAAAAAAAAAAAAAAAAAAAAAAAAAAAAAAAAAAAAAAAAAAAAAAAAAAAAAAAAAAAAAAAAAAAGAGAGAAAATTATTTTGTATGACGGAAATCATATGAAAGTTCCTTTTTTTTCATTTTTTTTTTCTTGTTATTGAATATATTATTGATTCTTTACTATTTTGGTAATCCATTAGGTCTTATACAATCCGTACCATTGATATCATTTTGGTACAATCATGTGCTAAGAGTGGTAATGGGTAAATTGGTGACGGCCACTGGTGATTTATTGGATGCTGCTTTACAACATGCTCAAAAGATGTCAATGCGTGGAAGGGAAATACAACGCTTAGGTCGTGATCTGGCTATTGAAAACATGGAGAAATTGGATGAGTACAGGGCAAATCTACACGAAAACTATTTGGAAGGTGTTCGTGGATGGCGGGAAACTTATATAGACGACGATATTGACGATAATTTCAATCCTCATCATTCAGCAAAGGAACGTGGCAATTTGATCGAAGGTATGGTGATTTTGAATGAATGAAACCCTCTCTCTTTCTCTCTGTCTCTCTGTCTCTCTCAATGGTCAATCAAGTCTTCTTTTTTTTTTTTTTTCTTTTTTACTTTCCTTTTTTATTATTCTTATTAGTTATTATTATCTATTGTCATCATTATTATGTGTTACCTTCTCCCCAACTTAGTTATACCATACGTTCCTTTTTATTCCTACCTTTGTGCTTTTGTTACTATCCACCCATCTACTTATTTTTTTTTTATTATTATTCTTATTCGTTCCCATCATCATCATTATCATAAGCATACCATCAAAATAAATCAAATATATATATATATATATATATATATATAATAAAATCAGTACTGTATTGTTTTTTTTAGTTTATTAAAAAAAAAAAAAAATAGAAACCGACTATAATCTATTTTCTGTAATCTATTTTCTATATTGTCTATCAGATTGTATCCAATGCTAACAACTAATATCCCGTTTGCTTGCATCCTTGGGGATCCAATTTTGTTCATAGCCAAGTAGATAGTCCCAATGAGGATTGACGTGTTTTTCGGTTTTGTATGTCCAGAAGAACCAACCATAAGTAGAGGATTCAAAAGCAAACATTTGACGTGAGACAAAACTCATCAAGAATTGCTTGTAATCATCATCAAACTTTGTCCAATCTTCCTTGTCACCACATTTGCAATCTTGACATACAGCAGGTAGCTTTTTTCCATCCACTTCCAGAGTCCCTTCATACCTTGCTCCTAATCCAACACCATTCAAATATTTGCCACAATCATTTGTTGCTACTGAGAATTCACCAACCATGGTGGGCCCTGCATTTTTACTTGCTTTTCTTAAATCATTCAACCATCCAGTACAAGGGAAATTGGCTTGTTCATTCCTAGGCATTGATACCAATCCTTGATCAAAGATGAGATATGTATGTGTTTCTATTCGTCAAATAAATTTAGGATTAGATATCATCCTTTTTTTTTTTTATTTATTTATTTACATACCTAATATAACATGATCATGTTTGTTATCATTAAAGAATCCATCCCACGCACCTAATCCTAAAAAGCCTTCATGATAAGTAAGCAGAGGACCCTTGGATTTGTCATCTTTTTCAATATTGCGTAAAGCAGAATAACTTTCTTGATACCATGATTTAACTTTGTTCTTGTCCAAACGAAAGATGGCAGGTTCATTCAATACACCAAAAAGAGGAGTCACTGGAGCCCATTCAGGTTGACTAAAGAAACTAACCAATTCCTTGACGATTTCAAGAGTAGCAGCAGCATTTTCATGACCATGAGTACCATTTAAAAATCCAACAGCACCCATACGACCAGAGTGATTCCATCCATTTTGAGAACCAGGAGCAGTATGTAATTCTACCATCACACGTAATCCATATTTACGAGCCCATTGAATTCCTCGTAATAGATAGCGGAAGCTAAGATGAGGTACAAAAGGTTCATCTTGTTGTTGTTGATTGGTTTTCTTGACGGCCCAATGCCCAACAGGGATACGAACGTGGTTGAGACCCATTTCGGCAATCTTCTTAAAGTCCTTTTCGGTGATAAAAGTTTCATAATGATGTTCCAATTGTCGTTTCGCTTCAGTTGGTCCCAATTTTTCGCAAAGAGTCCATTCATCTACAACATGATCCGAAGGTTCAAATTGATCAAATAATCCAGGTGTGATAAAAGGTTCAATCACAAGCCAACCACCCAGATTCACACCACGTATCTTGTCCTTGCCTCCATAATCAAATTTTTCAGATAAAGCTGGCGTCATATCATTCACCCTAGCTGAATTATTAAATTTGTCTTTGCCATAAATAGTGTCATCGCCAGCATAATGATTGTCGTAGCTTGGTTCACCATATTTCCCATGATCACCTTTTCCACTACCATTGGACTGAGACCCATTGGCTTCATTAGTTGTAACCACTGTCGGAATCACTATCGCACATACCACTATCACTGCAAGAAGAATTGAGACTAAACCAACAGTTCGTTTTCCTAGTCCACAAATACGCCATTCAGTTTGTTCTAAACCTTCTTTTTGTTGGTGTTGCTGTTGTGGAAACTTTTCATCCATATCATCATAATGGTTGTAAAATTCTTTTGCCGGTGTAGGTAAAGGATTATTATCTAAGAAAATATAAAGTTCCATTAGTCCTTGTTATTTAGTATATTCTTCAAACTTTACTCATTTCGTTCATAAAACTGTATCACAAAAAATGTACCAGTTGATAGTTAGTAATCAATATCAACTAGAAGAAGAAGAAGAAGAAAAAGAAGAAGAAAGGAGAGACAAGGAATAACAAGTCGCCATGAACCAGAACAAAAACCAAAAGAAATAACAAATAAAAAATCAGTATTGAAAAGAAAAGAAAAAAAAAGAAAAAAAAAAGAGCGAAACCAAACGAGGTAAAAAAAAAAAAAAAAAAAAAAGGATTTTTGATGCAACGGAGAATGAATAAGGGACGCGTCTACTTACTGCTTATTTCATAAGACTATTTTGGTTTGCAGGTGATAAAAAGTGTGATTTGCATTGTATTGATCGTACTAAAAAGAGAATTAAAAAAAATGAATAGAAAGAGAAATATGATAATTAAAAGTCTTTTCTTTTTTTTGATACTTACAACCAAAGTTTAAACGTCGCAGGCTTTTGCTACCCGGATTAAGGATACAAGCATAGAAAGAATGGAATGACGCTAGACTTATGATTTGCCATAATTGTCCTCAACTTTTTTTTTTATTCATTGGAATTATTCATTGAATCACTTTTGATAGCCAAGCTTTCAAACGATCAAATTATTGATTTAGCTAGGATCATTAAGAAGAGATTATAATAAAGAATAAGAAAGCTTCTATTGGTATCATCCATCATCAATCATCCATTTCCATAATAAAAAAAAAAGAATCACCGCAAATATATTCAAACCCCAATCAAGTCTCAGAAAAAGAAAAAAAATAACGCGCTTCGCATGGAAAAAAAACCAGTAATTTTTTGACGTGAAACTTTTTTTTTTTTTTTTATCTTTCTGTCCCTGATCTTTCGCCATGGTAAATCAGAATTTCAAACTTTTATTATTATTATTATTAGTTTCATTTCAATGACTTATTTTTTTTTAATTATATACAACATAGTCTAGAAAAGGCGTTTCTGCTGAAGAAAAACGAACTCGAATGCTGAATATATTCCACGAAACGGTAAAAAAAAAAGTGTATACAAGACAATGATAGTTTCTTATAGAAGAAACCTTTTTCTATTTATACTATAGTGTGAAGTATATCAGTTGAAGGATCTGGAAAAAATAGGACCCAAGAAAGGAATAAGTATGCTAAAAAGTGTCTCCATTCATTGTATGTCCAACAGGCCCTTTTTTTTTTTTTTCTCTATAGATGCACAGTCTGTCAAAGATGTTGTACAAAGTCTTGTAGATGATGATTTGGTTATTACGGATAAAATAGGATCATCAAACTATTATTGGTCATTTCCTTCAGCAGCAACACAAGCGGTAATCAACATCAAAATAATTTTCATGTTCTTACTCTTTTTCTATTTCTATAGATAAGAAATGAAATCGATAATTTGCAAAAAATGCTGCGGATAGAAGAGGCCAATATGCATCAACTAGAAAAAGAAATGGAAAAAGAACAAGAAGATCGTGAACCATCTGTAACTGATAAAAAAAAATAAATAAAAGTGATGATGTAATATATAGACTCAATAATTATATCATATAGGATGATCGAGATACTCTCTTAGCAAAATTACAAGAAACTCTGAATATACAAAAGGAACTGGAACAAGAACTGAAACAATATACTGACTCGGACTCGGCTAATTTTGAATTAAAAGGTAAAAAACATTTATTATATTATATACCGAATATCAAAAACCTTTTTCTTTCTTTCGTTTTTGAATTATTTATTTTAGAAAAAGCGAACCAGGTGGCAAAGGAAGCCGTGAATAGATGGACAGGTATAAATAATACTATAAATGTAATGATTACTAATTTAACTTTTTTTCTTATATATGTATATATAGAAAATGTATGGGCCATACAATCTTATTGTGTCAACAAATTCGGAATGGACCAACAACAATTCAATCAAAACTTCAACATATCTGATGATTTTGATACCATAGTCTAGTTTCGACACAGTTGTTAAAATGCGGAATTTAAAATTATCTATCCACTTTTTTTTTTTCTATTTCTCACATTATTCCTTTTGTACATATTCTCTCTCTCTTTCCTTCTCTCTCTCTATATATAATTATCTCACAATATGTCAAATAAAAGACTTTCATTTGCCAACTTTCCAATACCTTTTGATCATCCTTACATACTTCCAACACTGGTTACTACAATGACAGTGTCCGCACTCGCTTATTATACCCTCCAAGCATCACATCACAGCGATATGATAGAAGCACTTCGAAAACAATCTATGCGAAAACGTCGTCATTTACATCGTCCAGAAGATCGATATGCAAGTTTACAAGTAAGTTTTTTTTTTTTTTTAATTCTTATTATTATGTTATTGATAGTCATTCTTTTATATAGATCGAGACAAGGTTTGTCAATCCCTTTGACTCATGGCGTACACCTTCTTGGAATGACTACTTACTTTATTGGATCAAACATTCTTGGAAAAGACTAACAACTAGATATCCGGAACCTAAAGTAAATCTCAAATTGATATATTGATAAAGTACTTACCCTCTCTCTCTTTCTCTCTTGATATTTATAGGAACTTGACAGTCTACTACCGATGAACAAACCTGAATTTGATCAAATATTTTCTTCTATTTCTTCTCATTCACCGCCTTCTTTGACTGAATCATGGGTCCAAATTGACAAGGAAAGTAGTCCGGCATGTTCAAAAACTACATTTACTTGGCTTGGGTAATACTAGAGAATGATTTATGTAATGATGAACCTAATTAATATTGTTGTGTATATAGACAATCCACTTGCTTGGTCACTTTGGACGGTCTTACTATCTTGACAGATCCTGTATTTGATGATTCACTGATGTCTAAAAAACATACTCGTTCTTTTCCTTGGAAGTTGCAGGAATTTCAATCCAATGTTCACATTGTCTTGATCTCTCATGATCATGCTGATCATTTAGGTAATTGAATTGAAATCAAATAATTTGACATACTGATTTTTTTTTTTTTTTTTTTTTTTTGTTCTCCCATCATTTATCTTATACAGATGAACATGTGGTGAATATATTAGGAAACTCGGTTACTTGGTATGTTCCACTAGGTCTTCGTGATTGGTTTGTCCATCATGGTGTAGAAAACGTAAGAAGTAGATGATCATTAGCTATTATTAGCACTATTTGATTCACACTATTGATTGATAATATAGGTCATTGAATTAGATTGGTGGCAAGAGGTACGACATAAGGAACGTCCTGAAGTGATTATTGCAAGTGTACCTTCCATGGTATGTGAATAAGAAAAAAAAAAAAGGATAGTATCCGTCTATTTTCAACTTTGATTTTAATTGTCAACTCATATTTTTCTTTGATTTTAGCATTCTAGTGGTCGCTGGTCCATGAACAAGAATAAGTCACTATGGAGTAACTTTGTTATAAAGTCTAAAGATGAAAGCTTTTTCTTTTGGTATGTATATAAGAAGAAGAAGAAGAAGAAAAAAAAAAAAAAGGATACACAAATTAACTGTTTTTAATTTCTTTATTGAACACGTTAGTGGTGCTTCAGGATATGATAAGGATTTATTCAAGGCTATTGGAAACGTGTATGCACCATTGACTTTGGCTGCCTTACCTATTGGAGGTTTCACACCCAGGACTATGAAAAAAGCACTTCATATGGACCCATCGGAAGCAGTCAAGGCACATCACCATCTTGGTTGTCCTACTTTATCTATTGGTATTCATTGGGGCACGTTTATACCATCAATGGATGAATCATACTTGGAACCACAGCGTATTTTGCAACAAACGTTGGAAAAACACCCACTACCTTCAACATTATCTGCAATCTCACCTCCATCGGCTACAGTATATACAACGACAGAAAATGAATCCATACCAACGTCATCGCTAACCAGCAATACCAACAAGTCTGAACATATTGGAAACAATGCTAGACGGACACTTTTTACAACAACTTCTTTGGGAAAGACTGTCTTTGTGGATAATCTTGACGAAAATGGATACAACCTTTCTTGATATTGCCTTATGATCGTTTTAATATTATACTTTCTTTTACCCTCTCCGTTGTCTTCGTGTTAGTATCTTTTTTTTTTATTCCTGTTTTTTATTGTCGCTATAGGATTATAGTGTATAGTTCTATTACCTTGTACCGCAGTTATCATATTATATTTAATAAAGATATTCTTCTTTACCTATCGCTTTTTTTTTTTTTTTTTTTTTTTGGATGATCTTGATGAACATATACAATAATAAACTTTCACAATCATGCTACTGATTTCTTCTCTTGGTAACATATATAAAGCAATGCCATCCATTACATTGTGAACAAATAAAAAACAAATGGTATCGACAGATGAACGTCAAGAGAAATGATATCAACATGAAGAGGTTTTGTCTTATTGCCCGAAAATCGATATAATATAACGAGTGATATAATAACTGAGGAAAAAAATATAACCACATAGTTTATTAAGATACAAAAAAAGAAGAAGGGAATGAATCATCGATTGACATAATGTCGTTCAATGATTAGTAAAGGGAGGATACACTATTGCTGAAAATCCCACGACCAATTCAAAATCATTATCACCACCGTTATCACCGATCATTTTTATATAAGTATTAACCAAAACCTTAAACTGAATATACAACTCTGTGGGTAAAATAGATTTGACCATATCAACTATAAAAAGAACGAATGATCATAAACTGCAGTCCCCCTGGAAAATACTTATCATTCTAAAATCATGACTTTAAACCATGATGATCATATTCAGCATCTTCGACATACTGTCAAGGTAGCTAAACGTGCCATGTCTATGGGTCGCCATCCATTTGGAGCCATCCTTGTTGGACCGGATAATCAAGTGATTGCTGAACAAGGAAACATTGATACTTTAAATCATGCTGAAAGTACTCTTTGTAGAACTGCTTGTAAGAAAAAAAAAAAGATCATAAAATATTAGCTATACTTATCTTTTTTTTTTTTTTTTTTTTATATCAACAAGATTCTAATTACCCTATAGATTATTTACAAAAATGTACGTTGTATACATCATTTGAACCTTGTGCCATGTGCTCTGGAAGTTGTTATTGGGCAGGTATTGGTACTATTGTGTATGGTATGTCAGAAAAAAGACTACTTGAATTAACAGGTAATAATGATAAAAATCCTACAATGTCACTTCCTTGTCGTGATGTTTTTTCTGCGGGTCAACGACAAGTTCAAGTAATAGGTCCTTTTCCTGAACTTGAACAAGAAATAGTGAAGGATCACTTGAATTTTTGGTAGTGATAGATTTTTTTTATCTTTTAATATATGCTAAGTTACTCAATAATAAACGATCCTCCTTTTATAGATGATGATATGATATGTGATGGTATGTGATGATAATATGACGATATATGATGATGGATGCATAGATGAATGATATGTGACGATGATATGATAGGACAACAGTGGATGACAATAATAAACAATGATAAAAAGATGATTCTATTTAAATAAGAATATAAAATAAAAGATACTATAAAACAATAACTAAAAGACTAAACTATTGAACAAACTAATATCCTTGATAAACAGTTGGATAAGAGAGATACTTTTACTAATATTTGACTTGCTATTCTTTATCCAGTATAAAACCTATTGTATTCCCAGTTGATCTTATTGTGTTTCCTATCATATATCTATCTACTGTATTTTCACATAAAGGATAAAAAGCCAGGAAAAAAAAAAGATTAGTTCATAGTATGAGAGACTAATAAGAAGAAGAAGAAAAAAAAAAGGAAAGAATAAGTATAGAAGTATAATCTGTAAAGAGTGACTTTTAAGTACATGAAATAGATTAGTAAAGTATCATTATGTATACTTGAAACTTACAATTTTCAAAGACTGATTAAAAAAAGAAGCAGAAAAAGCAAAAAGAAAAAAAAAGTGAGAGCGCGCCAATTTTTTTAATTTGTCCACTTTCCACTTTTTTTTTTTGTCCACCAGAAGAATTTTTCTGAAAAAAGCATATCTGACCCAATTCAAAGTGGAAATAAAAGTGACGACATTTTTTTTTTCTTACCACCAGAGTTATCGGGTCTCTTTTTTTTTTGTTTTCCTATTCTTGTCAGTTTTGCCTTCTACTCCCCTCTCTCTCTCTTCATTACATTCTCCTTCCCTCTCTCATTCTTTATAATATGCTTCTCCAAACAGTATTACGAACTCGTACTCCTTTACGTACCACCATGATGAAGACAGCATCTTATTCAGCTTTAAGAGTTCAACCCACTGCCAAATCCGTTGCTTCTCAAACTGAACAAGCACCAAACCGTCTAGACACCTGGGCTCCTGATCAACGTCCTAAGAAGGATGCATTGGTTGGTCCTCGTTTTGAACAAACTGACTTGTCTACTCAAGTAAGTCGCCAAATATATTCTTTACTATCCCATCATATATATATTAAGCTCTTCCTTTCTCTTTTCTTTTATTATTTTTATTTTATATAGCCTAATCCTATGGCCGCTATCGATCTTATTGCTGAAGAACCTATTCGAATTGTCAACCAACGTATTGTATCTTGTGATGGTGGTAAGATAGTGTTTTTATAAAAATAGTCAACTTGCAGGTCGTTACAAAGACAAAGATGTTTATTTTTCTTTTTTTTTCTTTTTTTTCTCTAGGTGATGCTGCTCTTGGTCATCCCAAGGTTTATATTAATTTGGTAAGGATTGTATATTATTTTGTTGCTATATTTTTACAAGCTATTTGGATATAGAAGGGTTATGTTTGATTTAGTAATATCTTTTATTAATCCTTAATCATTTTTTTTTTTTTAGGATAAGCCTGGTGCTCATGCCTGTGGATATTGTAAGTATTCTTTTTTTTTTTTTTTTTGGTTTTTACTGATAGTGATAAGGATTATTTTTGAAATATATTGTTTAACTTACCTTGATTTCATTATCATTTTTTTTTTTTTTTTTTAGGTGGCATCCGATTCCAAAAACCTGAAGATCATCACCATTAGATTGTTTATATTCGTTCATATAATAAAGTATACATCCGCCTATCTTTGTCTTGTCTCAATATTTAAGTATCTTTTATCACTTGCTTGGGCTTTATATGATGATGGTGGAGGTGGCTTGATAGGGAATGTGATGATAGTATGATTTCTTTATATGGATGTGAAAGTGTATATGTTTACGATGCTGGATTGAAATCTCTTGTCATATAGTATAGAAAATCATGGATTAAAGCAAAAGAAATAAGTAGACCTATGTGGGACAAGGTCCTCCTTCCTTTTTTTTTTTTTTTTTAATGAAGGCGTCCATACAATTATTATTTTTACCCATCACCAATATCACTACTTCTTAAGAACAATTGAAAATGAATATCTACCAACAAACCCCAGTTTTATATATCTCTTGGATTTTGGGCTTGCTCTTACTCGAACTGGATAGTTTGATTACGCCGTTCTCCCTTAGTTTTAATTTATTGATGTCTCCCCTATATATATATATATCAGGTCATGATTGAATAAAGATCTTAAGGCACAAATCATTTATAATCTCTGTAGTTTACTTAATGTTATTATAACAGTATGAAGTAAACTTTTTGTTTCTTGTGAAATAGCATGCATAAATCAAATTGAAATACCGAATGTAGTTTTTTTATTAAAGAAGATGTATAGAGTGACATTTTCATCAATTTTATTTTCGTCATGCATTTGAGTTATCTGATAAGAGGATCATCGATCATTTTTTGTCAAAGTTATTGGTTTTCCATTACCTTGCCAGACTGACTGGGTAGTGGCGACAATCGAGTGATTCGGTCATTGAAAACAGATCTCCCTCTCTGGGGAAGAAAAAAAAATATACGGTAAACAAATGACACCTGCCAAAAAATCATCTCTTTTCATTTCTTTCTTTCTTTTGTTCTTCTTCTTCTATCTGTAAACACAATGCTATTTGACGAACGTGAAGAAACCCTAAGAGAGGTGTGTGCACTTGGAAATACAAAAGCTGTGCAACACTTTATTCATGGTGGTGTCAAAATCAACTCCCAAAACAAGATGAACGGATGGTAAAATGACCAAAAAAAAAAAAAAAAAAAGAATAGAAGGAGAAAGTACTTAATAAATTTATTTCTATATTCGTCTTTCTCCCCCCTTTTTTTTGGTTATATAAGGACTGCATTACATTGGGCAAGTCATCGTGGACAAGAAGATATTGTACGACTATTACTTAGTAATGGAGCCGATCCCACCATCAAGACCAATAAAGGACAAACGGCATTGGATCTATGTAGTGATCGATATCCCAATATATTAACCATGCTTGAATCACAACAAGTAGAACGAACGTCTATTGGACCTGAACCTTCCTTACCCATTGTACCTGCTTATATGAAAGAACCTGATTTGGAAAAATCCTGGTTGATGCCTGATGAATTCTCAGAAAACAAAATAGATAAAGTGATTCGACAGGAAACAGCCAAAGATATGTTGAAGAACGAAGGCGACAAAAAATCAACCGCGTCACCCACTTCTCAAACGTCAAGTATAAAACAAAATAAAGATCAAGGTAAAAAGAAGAAGAAGTTAAAAAAAAAAAATGAAGGCGAACTTACTGATTCTTTCTTTCTTTCTTTCTTTTTTTTTTTTTTTTTTTTTTTGTGGATTAGAAAAAGAAGTACTGGTTTATTTGAAAACAAGATCTGATGATAGTATCCTTGGAAGTGTATTTTTAAAGAATGAAACGATGACAACAATTATTGAGCAACTGAAAGATGTAAAGTGAAAAAAAAAAATAGGATGATTAATGAAGAGAGACTAACGTATATATATAGGAACTGGATGATCTCCCTGAAGAATTTACGCTGGCTCGTCACAATGGAAAACTGAGTATTCCTATCAGTAGTAAACAGATGACCAAACAGTTTATGGACCTATTCCGTGGCGAAGACGATGTTTTAGTAATAGTACCTTCCTCTTAGTTTAGTTTTCAATTTAGCAATAGTTACAAACATTTACAGTGTCTCCAAAGTTTTTTTGTCAGGTCACAAGAAAATGCTTTTCATGATGTTATAAAATAAAATATCGGTGTTTGCCAAAGTGGATGTCTCATTACCACTTTTTATCTCTCTAGAGTATATCAAAACACATTGACTGATGATTGATGATGATACAGTATATTAATCATTCTCTTCTTTTTTTTTTTAAAAAAAAAGAAAAACTCCTTTGGTGTTTCCAATTCAAAGTGAATAATCAATCTGTATACAGCAACATATATAAATTATGTTATCACCTCTTAGGAGGATGTGTTTAAATACAAGTAAGTTAAAATAAATATATAAAAAAAAAAATGGATATATTAACTCAATATATTTTTTTTCCTATTATTCAGAATCTCTTACATTCAATGGAACTACTGCCAATCCTCTTCTTCTTCTTCTTGTATTCAATTTGGATTATGCGTCAATGTCATCTATTTTTCTATCCTTATTATATATTTTATTTCCTATTTTTGTGATATCTTATTTTTGAATTCCGTCATTTATTATTGAATAAAGTGTATAAGGTTTATGCCAATAAAACTATCGGATTTTTGATCATTTTATCATCTTTTTTTTATTTTCCTTTATTTCTCATTCTTTCTTTTTTTTTTTTTTCCTTTTATTTCTTCTTCTTCTTTATTTTTACCTTTTATAGGTATATATTATTCTTAATGACTTTGTTTGATAACATTAAGCAAGATGGTTCAAAGGCTAATCGGCGTCGTATCATTAACGTGACTCACCAAATACCTTTTGAAATTCATCACCAACCTGGCCGTACTCCTTCACCTTGGTACTTCAAATCACGTAGACATCATGAAGCTATGAACGGTGGTATTCATTCTTTGACTGAACATGGAACTTGGGATATTGTACATATTGGTTGGATAGGACAAATCCAATGGCACTCCGGTGAAGATACTATGACACGTCTTTTGACTGAACAAGATAAACAAGAACTACGCAATGAACTCTGGCAAGAACATCATTCTATTCCTCTTTTCTTAAACGCTGAAAGTATCCAAGGGCATTATGATGGTTATTGCAAGACAAGTACGTAGGTAACAAGGTTAAGAATAGAAAGATAAAGGACAACTAAAAAAAAAAAAAAAAAAAAAAAAAAAAAAAAAAAAAAAAAAAAAAAAAAAATGATCATACTAACGTCTTCTTTTTTTTTTTTTTTTTAGTGCTTTGGCCTTTATTGCATTACATTATATGGAATAACGCAACCGATGGAAGACTAGAATCAAAACAATGGGAAATATATGCAGCCGTCAATCAAAAATATTCGGAGCTTGTGATAGATTGTTATCAACCTGAAGATGTTGGTAAGGGGATCTTTTTTTTTTTTCCTTCTGTTGGGGGTGTATGAGTCACATGCATGATCATTTTTATCCAATTATTTATATTTACTGATTCCAAAAACTTTATTTGATCTACATGCTTTTCTGGATTAGTATGGATACATGATTATCATCTATTGCTCGTTCCACGTATACTTCGAATCAAGTTACCAAAAGCAAATATTGGTCTTTTTGTACACTCTCCATGGCCTACATCTGAAATTCTTCGATGTTTACCAAGTAAATTGGATCAATACTACATTGCTCTGTTTTAATGAAGTATGAAACTAACTTTTTTCTTTTTTTATATAATCAGAACGACAGGAAATTCTTAAAGGAATGATGGGTGCAAATCTGGTTGGATTTCAGGTACAAAAAAAAAAAAAAAAAGGACAAAAATTACTTTTTACTTACAGTTTTCCTATTAATTTTAAATTCTTGGCTATTAGACCTATGGTTATGCAAGGCACTTTATATCAACGTGTACAAGAGTGCTTGGATACGAAACAACACCAGAAGGAATCTATGATGATGATGGTTATTTCTGTTATGTGGGGACCTTTCCAATTGGTATCAACACAGTTAAGGTGGAACAAATGTTAGCACAACAACATACTTTGAACAAGATGAAAATCATTACTGATATGTACCCGGATAAGAAGATATTGGTAGCAAGGGATAAGATTGACTTGGTCAAAGGTGTTTTACAAAAGTTAGAGGCATTCGAAAAATTTTTATATCTTTATCCTCAGTGGCGAAACAAGGTTATTTTGATTCAATTGACGGATGGTTCAGCTACTTTATCCAAAAACGATGATACTGTCAAACTGGAAAACAAGATATCAGCAATGGTAGCTCGAATCAATGGCGTTTACGGTTCTCTAGAATTCACTCCCGTGTATCATTATCATCATCATGTTCAGGACGACGAATATCATGCTTTACTCTCAGTGGCCGATGCAGGTCTCATCACATCAAATCGCGATGGTATCAACACAACAGCATATGAATACATCATTTGTCAACAAAAGAGAGCGAGTCCATTAATTGTATCAGAACTGACAGGCACCGCAACCTCTCTCAGTTCAGCCCTAATTGTCAATCCATGGGATTTATCTGGTGTGGCAAAAGCAATTCATGATGCACTCAAGATGTCCGACATTGAGAAAATGGCAAGACACCGTGTAAGTATACATCATATCTTTCTGTCTATATATAAAATGATGTTTTAAACATTCATGATTTTTTTTTTTTTTTTTTTTTTTTTTTTTTTTTTTTTTTTTTTTTTACATGACAAATAGCAACTTCTGTATCATGTCAAGTCACATACTGCTGAATTTTGGGCAAGATCTTTTGTCAAGCGTCTGATGGAATCTATAGAACTTTCGGAACAATCAAGCAACACTACTCTTTTGACTGGAGAACAACTATTACCAAGATATCAAAAAGCGAAGAAACGACTCATTTGTTTGGGCTATGATGTAAGATTATTGAAGTGCCTGTCTTTTACATGGATGAAAAACAAAGCTATATATCAATTTAATTTTGTTCTCTTTCTAAATATAGGGAATATTGATACCTAGACAAAATCGACGAAAAATTGGAGCAAGTATACCAGCAAAAACAACACTTTTATCTCTACAGAAACTATGTGATGATCCACGGAATATTATTTGGGTGGTTTCTGGTCAAGATGAACTTACTTTGAGCCGGTCTTTGGGCAGCATCAAAGGACTTGGACTATCTGCTGAAAATGGAGCCTTCATCAAGTATCCCAACAGTCAACGATGGATTAACCTTATGCAAGATGTGGATATGGAATGGAAGAATGATGTGATCGAAATCTTTACTTACTACACGGAACGGACGAGTGGCAGTTTTATTGAACACAAACGAAGCTCAATTACATGGAACTACTTATTGGCTGATCCGGTATATGGTGCTTTTCAAGCAAAAGAATGTCAAAATCATCTAGAACATGCCATTTTGTCAAAATTACCAGTGGAACTCATCATTGGTAAGAAGAAGGTGGAAATACGACCTCGGATGACAAACAAAGGGGAAATCATCAAACGATTATTGAGCAGCAACAGCAATACTAAGTCTTCATCATCTTCTTTACGAGCAACGACAATATCACCGATAACAGGATCGGCTTCATTAGATGATCAGGTCATCGATTTTATTTTATGTTGTAGCACTTCTGAAGATATGTTCAAGGCAATCAAGAAACTAGGACGACAAGACGCAATGTCTGTGATGGTTGGTGCCGAAGAAAAAAGGAAGACATTGGCTACGTGGCATTTACCTACAGCGGATGATGTGAAAAATATTTTATTAGACATGGCCAATACTCTGGATACTTGATGTATATAATTTAGCAACCGTTTACGTGTCTTTATAGAATGGATTTTTACTTTTTATTATCATTATCAATAAAACCATGGATTTTACTGTTACTATTACTGCCTACTGTATACTTCTTTTTTTTTTTTTTACTCTTTCATATTTGTGTCTTACAGCGATAGTAAATGATTAGAATACTATATGGAATGATTATAATATCTTTATCATTACGGAAAAAGGCGAATACTTTGACAAGAAACCAAAATATCAAGTTATTTCTTACTATCGAGGTCGTCTTTAATCTGTCAACCCGTCGGAAAAATAACCGAAACGTTGATTTGATACTACAAACAGAATCATCATTTAAAATTTAACTTGCTAACATTGAGAGAGCACATCATCATCATCATCGCAGTAGGTCAGGCTGTCAGTATGGGATCAAGTCAGTGGTTATTCACTGATGAATCATCGGCAAGATATAAAATAGGGGCAATCCTTCCAACCCCTTGACTGAAAAAGAACTACAACTGGTAAACATTCGTTTAAGTGAGTGTTTGTATATCAAAGTAAAGAAAAAAAAATAAAAAATAAAAAATAATAATCCATCTTACTTTTATGTATATCCCCACGGTCCTTTTTTTTTTTTCTCCTTCGTTTTATCTAGTACGTTTACTCGGTTTATTTTAGTTTCTTTTATTATTCTCTCTTTTTCGTTAGTACGCTGTCTCTCTTTTTCATTTTGACTCTTCTCTCTCCTCCTCTCTCTCTCTCTTTTTTTTTTTTTTTTCTCTCCATTGATTTGGATGTTATTTGATTATTAAGTTATACCTTCTATCCTTGTACCATATAACAAAGTTATAAAAAAAGTAACCGGACTATGCCATCATCGCCCTCATTGTCATCTTCACCATCATCATCACAAGCACCACCAGTATCATCATCATCACCACCGGCATCATTACCATCATCATCGGAAAATATCGAAGAAACTCCTGGTAAAAAGAGTATATCCAAACCATCGGAAGTACTTCGAGTTGATACGAGTAATCTCAGAGAAGCCACAGCGTTAAATACATCACATCCGGTATCCTCCTCCTATCCTGTCAGCACCGCCCCAATTACAAGCAAATCAAATCGAGAGAAGAAATTCCACGATGAAAAAATAAAAAACAATGATGATGATAGCGGCGGTGATGATCTTCCTCCTCATGATGACAAAGTGGATGATGAGAATAATAATATTAAAAAGAAGAAGAATAACAATAATAAAAATACAAGCGAAGCGAACTTAAAGAGACGTCATACACAACAATCTACCGAGATAAAACTACCTGATGCGATACCACCAGAGAATCTTCGTCGCACCCATTATTTAAGTGTTGTTTCGGAGGCTCCTAAATTACCCAACAAAGAAAAAATAAATCAAGCAAGTTGCTGGACCATCAGTACGTGGATACTCACATGGTGGGCTCCTCCATTTATGTTACGTGCTTTTGGTAAAAAAGAATCTCCTTTTTTTTTTTTTTTTTAGCATTGAACTTTTTTTTTTTTTTTTGAAACATTAGGTCTTCGAGATCGACATATGCAGCAAGCTTGGAGAGAAAAAGTAGCATTAGTACAAGTGATTATAGCATTATGTGCAGCTGTAGGATTTCTAACATTTGGATTTAATGCAGCAGTATGTGGACGACAACCCAATCGGATTCGAACCAACAATGTAGCACCAGATCAGATCATCATTGCTGGACGAGCTTATGATTTGAAAACATTTCGACATCCTACTCCTTTTACTAATATTCCTGGAAGTGGTGATTTACAAGAAATGGGTATTGGAGGCAAAGATTTATCTTTTTTATTTCAAACAGTCAACCATAATTGCAAAGATATTTTAATACCTGTTGAAGCCGATGATGACAAGGGGAATGTGATGAATTATTTTCCTTGTGTTCCTATTGATTTAAAAAATCCTGCAGTGAATGGTACAGATAATCCGGAACGTAAAGGTTGTCATTTAAGCGTAAAATCAAGACGATCTCTTAGACGATTGGAAGTTGTAGGTGATGTTTATTATAATTGGACTGATATCCAAAAACCTGGAACAAGTTTAGTAGCATTCAGTGGGTAAAATTTTTATTTTAAAAAAAAAAAAAGCGCTACTTTAATTAACTTGAAGATATAAGTAACTCCCTATTTCTTTCATTTTTCCTTTTTCTTTTTCTTTCTCTTTTTTTTCTTTTTTTTTTTTGACACACTATATAGAAATGTACTCGATCTTTCTCGTTTGAATTATTTAACACCCAATATACCATTACCTCTACGTATTGCTCAAATATTTGGTCCTGGTAGTGCTTTCATTGGACGTGATTCAACTTACTGGTTAAGTTCAACTGCTGACCGACTTAAACTTGGCAAATGCTTGACAGATATTCTCAAAGTAGGTGTCTTGGATTCTAAATCAACTGGTTGTATTATCTCTGATATTGTTCTTTGGGTATCTCTTGCTGTGATTCTTGGTGTTGTCCTTATTCGGTTCTTTTTGGCTTTGATATTTGGTTGGTGTATCTCATGGAAACTTGGAAGTATACGTGAAGAAACTGCTGACGAACGACGAAAAAGACAGGATGAAGTGCTCCAATGGGAAATGAACAATGTAGAAGACATGCATTATCCAAAGACAAAAAGTATCACTTCAATAGATTTACCGCGTCCAGACGTAACACTATTGACTGATGATGGACGACATTCTCAAACAGACAACTGTGGAGGCTCAATTTCGGTGGAAATCAATAGTACCAATGGTAGCAACATTAGTACCTCTAGTTTCAGTGCAACAAGGTCTTTACACTTTCAACAACAGTTACCACCACCACAACAATATACACCGAAAAACAAACGACGTTTCTTACCCACAACCTCTCGGTTCACACAACCTCAATCTCCTGCTCATGGATCACGTAGCGCTGTATTTGGATCATCTTTTATCACACCAGAAAGTCCTCTTCGAACATGTTTTACACCCTCTTCACCAGGTCATGGACAGTATTCTATCGACTCACAGGCTCACAGCGTTGCACATGATACCATCAGCAACCACCATCAACAGCAACAACTGCAACAGGATCGTTACAACTTCAATTTTGATCTGATTCACACATTTATGGTAGTCACTTGTTATTCTGAAGGGGAAGAAGGCTTGCGAACGACATTGGATTCTTTGGCCAACACGGATTATCCAGCCTCACACAAAATGCTTTTGGTTATATGTGATGGAATTATTACTGGTTCTGGAAATGGAATGTCGACTCCAGATATAGTACTCTCAATGATGAAAGATGATGTTATGCCTAGAGATCAAGTTAGACCTGCATCTTATGTAGCTATTGCTGATGGTATAAAGCGACACAATATGGCTAAGGTATATGCCGGATTTTACCGATACAATGATGATACAAGCAAAGGCGCAACTGTACCTCCTGAAGAACAGCAACATGTACCTATGGTGGCCATTGTCAAATGTGGTACCGAAGCGGAATCCAAGGAAAAGAAACCGGGTAATAGAGGCAAACGTGATAGTCAAGTCATTCTGATGAATGCTATGCAAAAAGTGTACTATGCGGAACGTATGTGTAGTTTGGAATATCAATTCTGCAAGGCAATCCTTAAACTTACTGGTTATCATCCATCTCGTTATGAAACATGTCTTATGGTAAAAAAAAAAAAAAAAAAAAAAAAATGTGTATGACAATCTGAACAACTAAATTCTAATGTATATATTCACGTTAATAGGTTGATGCTGATACAAAAGTATACCCTGATTCGTTGGCGCGAATGATTGCATGTATGGCAAGAGATCCTTATATTATGGGTTTATGTGGGGAAACCAAGATTGCAAATAAGAGTGATAGTTGGATCACTGCCATCCAAGGTAAATAAAAAGATGATTAAAAGGAAAAAAAAAATTTATCCACTCATCATTCATTTTTTTTTTTTTTTTTTTTTTTGGATGATAGTATTTGAATATTATATCTCTCATCATATGAGTAAAGCGTTTGAATCCATTTTCGGTGGTGTTACTTGTTTACCTGGTTGTTTTTGTATGTATCGAATAATCGCTCCAAAAGGTGATAGATATGTACCTATCTTCTGTTCCTCGGACATTGTGGAAATGTATTGTGAAAATATAGTGGATACACTGCACAAGAAGAATCTGTTACTCCTTGGTGAAGATAGATATTTGACAACTCTTATGCTCCGGACTTTCCCAAAACGCAAGATGATCTTTGTTCCTCAGGCAGTAAGAAAAAAAAAATACAAAAAAAAAAAGGTCAACTGGAATTCATTCTTTTATTTTTATTTTGATTAGGTCTGCAAAACCGTGGTACCTGATACCTTTGGTGTATTATTATCTCAGCGACGAAGATGGATCAATTCCACGGTACACAACTTGCTTGAACTCGTACTTATTCGCGATCTGTGTGGTACATTTTGCTTCTCGATGCAGTTTGTCGTATTTATGGAATTAGTGGGTACAGTTGTCTTACCTGCCGCTATCTCGTTTACGATTTATTTGATTGTCATCTCCTTTTTTGTCACACCGGTGCCTATCATTCCACTGATGCTTTTAGCTGCTATCTTGGGATTACCTGCCGTTTTGATTGCTCTTACTACACGCAAAATGGTATATGTCGGATGGATGTTGGTATATCTATGCTCTCTACCAATTTGGAATTTCGTCTTACCGGCCTATGCGTATTGGCATTTTGATGATTTCTCATGGGGACAAACAAGACAAGTACAAGGTGGTGAAGAAAAACGAGAAGATCATGGAAGACGGGAAGGACAATTTGACAGCACTGGTATTATCATGCGTCGATTTGAAGATTGGGCCAAGCAAGAAAGGAAGGAAATGGTTGAAATGCGTGCAAAATCTTCTACTTTGATTCGTGGTTATCCTTCGATTTATTATGGACATTAGTTTTAGTATTATCTTCTCCTTTTTTTTTTTTTTTTTGTGTGTGTGTGTGTTTGTTTGTTTGTTTGTTTTTGTTTTGATATCTTTTGTAGTATATTTGAATCCATTTTATCGTTAATCATTATTAGATAAGCCATCATAGTTCTCCTTTCTTTGAAAATAAATAAATATAACGTTATGATGTACTGATGGAACTATTTTTTTTTTTTTTTTGACACCAAATAGTGTGAGTGGATATTGCTATTTTCATATGGAAGATTGGCAAATGATCAACGTATTATTACGAATAAAGAGACTGTTTTATTATATCATAAAATAAAAAAAAAAAAAAGGATCATCATCATTGACTAAACATTTTTTCATGGTCATCTGCATTATAGTATTCAGGGTATTCATTCACCAAGCGTATAAGTTCTTGTCGTTGCTTTATCAAGTTGGGAGGTAATTCATCATAAACATCGGTAAATAATTCATCCAAAGCAGGTTTTTTCTTTTTTTCACATGCTCTAAAAGTATCCATGACTTCTTTCTTGATCATCGTCCTCCATGCATCATCTTGTTCTTGAGACCAATAGCCTTGACGTGTCATATAATGACGTAAACGAGTAATTGGATTATCCATTACCTGAAAATGTTCCACTTCCTTTCGATCACGATATTTTGATGAATCATCCGAGGTACTATGATGTCCTACGCGGTATGTCATGGCTTCAATCAACACAGGTTTATTTTCTTGAGTAGCAATTTGTCTTGCTGCTTTAGTAGCATTGTAAGCAGCCCAGATATCATTACCATCAATGCGGATAGTGTCCATTCCATATCCTACTCCACGACTGGCAATACCATCCCCTTTGTATTGCTCACTGGATGGGGTGGAGATAGCATATCCATTATTACGGCTAAAAAAAAAAAAAAAAAAAAAAAAAAAAATAAGAGATGAATCATCTTTTCTTTTTTCTTTTTTTTTCTTACCAGATAAAAATAACAGGACATTTTAAAGTAGACGCCATATTCAATCCAGCATGAAAATCACCTTCAGATGCAGCTCCTTCACCAAAAAAGCAAACACTACATCGATCACCAGAGCCTTCCAATTTAAGAGCATAGGCAGATCCAGCGGCTTGAGGAATCTGTGTACCCAATGGGGATGAAATAGATTGGAAATGATGAGCTTCGGAAGTATAGTGAACAGGCATCTGTCTTCCTTTACCACCATCTCCAACATTAGCAAAGCATTGATCCATGCACTCTTCCATCGTAAATCCTCGATACAAAAGTGTATATGCCTCACGATACTGGCCATGTACAATATCAGTAGGTTTCAATGCAGCTGCTACTCCAAGCAATGCCTCTTCTCCGTAATGTGTCATGTAAAAACTGAAGCGTCCTTGCCGTTGTGCTTCATACATCACTTGATCCATAGTATTGAGTTGTACCATCAGTTTGTAAAGATCGATGATTTTCTCTTGAGATAACTCACTTGGTACGTGTTGATGTTGAGGATCCAAAAGTTGACCATCAGGTGTCATAACGCGATAAGCATCCATATGTCCAAGACCATCCACAAATTTCATTTGACTGGTATATCCATAGTTGGATGATGATGACTGATAAGCAATATCACGATCTGTATGATTGACTGTTACCGGATGATTGTATTTTGAACCAGAAATATGAAACTGTCGAATAGCTCCTGTCACCATCATCCTATGCAAATGGTATGAACGGAGGTTTAACCGTGATGATGATGATGGTAGTCTTCTTAAAACGGAGCCAAACATTTATAAACTAGGTATATATTGACTAGAGGAGAAAAGGAAGAAATATCAAAAGGAGGTGGATAAAAAAAAAAAAAGAAAAAGAAAAAGAGAAAGATCGTGAGAAAGAATGGTACAAGAATGGTTTTTATTTGCTAACTAAAGAAAAGAAACCGTGGGAAAGAAACTGTTGGACTTAATCACGCCTTTCTTGTCTTTCAGGTACACTTTTTTTTTTTTTTTTTTTTTAATTGTGCCACCAAAACGGAAAAAGAAATTCCGCTTAACATTTCGAAGAGAAAATCTAATCTACTCAGTGGTGAGATATGAGGTTATCAACAATATCATAGATTACATCATCATCATCATCATCAACGACCTTTTTTTAAAAAAAAAAAAAGGTATGTGACGAAAAGCTACGCGCCCCTCAAAAAAAAAAATTACTCTTTGCATATATCTGACTTTCGATTGATTTCCTTTTTTTCTTTTCTCTTTTCCTTCTACATCACTTTTTCCTATTTTGACTATAGAATTCTCCTTTCTTCTCTCCTGTTTTCTTTTTCTTTTTTTCCTTTGATTCTTATTGGGTAATTCTATATCATATCGGATATTGATTCAAATATATACTTTCAAATAATTACAAGACTTATTACTAGTAGTGGCATAGGTAATGACAAAAAAGACAAAGAGAATTCAGGAATTATCGACCAGATATATTAATCTATTTTTATCATTCTTTTTTTTTTTTTTTTTTTTTGGCAAACGGAAACCAACTTAACAATAAATTCAAGAGATGCTCTACTTTCTTTTTTGGAATGGAATTAGGCAAGTCGTTATCCTCTTTTAAAGTACATCACTTTCCAAATGTGTTACCATTTGTTTCTTGTTTTCGTTTTTTACTAATTCCTTTTTCTTCTTTATCTGTTATTGCTCTACTCAACAAACTTGTTCTTTTTTCTTTACTCTTTTTTTTATAGGGTATATGCTTCAATAGTGCACGAGTATACGAGTATACAATAGGATTCTACTGGATGGACATAGGACAATATTCAACGATATGGCTATAAGATGGAGTGACATAGGTCAGCAACTGAATGAAGCAGGATGGTTCTGGGACTTGATGATGGATATACAACAGCTGGAATTTATATATATGGATATACGATAATTAAAATTATGATGGAAAGACAACAGAGTTCAATAATGTGGATATGAAACGAGATTTTAATCAGATGATGAATTTACAACACGAAGGATATCATATTAGGACAGCAAATAAACTAATTGTTTGGATGGTAAGGGTTGTGACAATAGAATAGATATTTGTATACCTCCTCTTTTTTTTTTTTTTTTTTTTTTTTTTTTTTTTTTTTGTTTTGAAATTATGTATTCAATAAAGACAAACTTTTGTGAACCTGACCAACGAATAAAAAGAGGATGATTGATTTTTTCCTTTTGTTTATACTTCCGGAATGGATCAAGTTAAAATGCTACCCGATGATTGGTAGCTTCATCTCATTCTTTCCACGTGAGAAATTGTCTAGCAAACAAGAGTGAGTTTGTTCAAGAAGAAAGGATGAGTCGTTTTGATTGGAACTGATGATATGAAAAGACTGTAGAAACAAGGATAGTATTCCTACTAACAATTATTAAAAGGTAATCATCGTTTATTCCCGTTTTTCTTTCTGCTATCGTACTTTTTTTTTTTTTTGATTGATCGTAGGGTGACAAAAATGCAATTACGAAATCCTTTTTTATTCTATTTTCTCCTTCTCGGTATATCATCATGTCCAAAAAGGCGGATCCATTTATTTAATAATCCAATCTCTTTTTTTTTTTTTTTTTTTTTTGATCATCATAGTATTTTATTGTAGTCAATGTCAATGCGATCAACAGGAAAACATTGAATACAATGTAGTTGTTAATTCGATGACGGCACAGATGATGGTGGGAGTAGCAGTAGGGAATCAAGTGTATCCTTTACTACAGCATGAATCAGTACCCTTTCTCTATCAAGGATGGGCACCTGGAAAAAAATCATATCGATATGTGATGCTAGACAGCATAGATCCCAATACTGTGATTGATTATGAACCATTTGAAAGAGCAGCCATTTTTCAATCCGATCGGACGTTTAATGAAGTCTATGGCCGTCCTTGGAATAAATTGACTTTACCAGTATTACCAAAAGTCTATGATTTCGAACTTGGACCTGATAGTCAAAGTAATCTGAACCAACAACATCAAGACTTGGGTGATTCCAAACTGTATGAAGATGGGGTGATTGCCAATTTGATATTTCAATTTGATGAAGCTGATGTAGATCAGTTACATTTGAATAAGATGAACCTGAAAGCGAAAATCAAAGGCCAAATGACTTTTATCAGGTATGTAAGAATTTCAACCGGGGATTTATCATTTCCTTTTTTGGATTTAAATCTTCTTCCTTTTTTTTTTTTTTTTTTTTATTAGTTATGATAACATACAACAGTTTGATGATGTTTCTTTAAAAGTGGGTGGTCATTCTAGTCGTACTTGGGCCAAAGTACCTTACAAATTGAAAATCAAGTCACCTAATGGACTTTATAATCGATGGAGCTTGAAGATGAGACCTGAAGCAACGGATCCTACCTTGATCCGGGAGAAACTTTATTCGGATGTATTGCAAGCATCAGGTGTTCTTGCTCCTCGAGGTGCTTATGTTCGGTATGTGATGATCCTTTTAATCATCATCATCATATTCATACTAACCTTTTTTTTTTTTTTTTTTTTTTTTTTGTAGAGTCTATTTCAATGGTCGAGCTGCTGGTCTTTATTTATTGACTGATGACACAGTTGAACAATCGTGAAAGTATCTTATCCATATATATATATAGAATCATGAAAAAAAATAATAATAACTAACTTTTTTATTTTGATATGTTTAGTTATTTACAAGAAACCATTCATCATGGAAGTAGTAACGCCAGGATTGGTCCCATAATCAAAGGTGATGCAGGAAAAGGTGAATATGCTGCTGATTTACTTTATAGAGGTGATTCTCCTGAATCATATGATCCTAAAGTATATGAAGTTAAACCCGGAAATGAACCTAATAGTCCTGATCCAATGGAAGGTTTAGTTGAATTGACTCGATTTATTGCTGCTTATGATATATCCACTGCTCCTAAAGATGCTGCTGCATTCGATGAATGGAACAAGATGATTGATGTTAAACATTTTCTTCGTCAAGTTGCTTGTGAATGGTTAGGCGGCAATTGGGATGGTCTTGTGTATTGTAAGTTATATATGATCATTCATCATCATCCAATATTACATATCGTCTGTCACAGTATAATATATGAAACTTAGTACATTTACTTTTTTTTTTTTTTTTTTTTTTTTTTTTTTTTTTTTTTTACAATATGAAGCGGGAAATAATTTTATGTTATATAGACATCCTGATACCAAGCAATATATCACGCTTCCTATGGACTTTGATTTTACGTTTGGCAATGGATTGGAAATAGATCAACATAAATTAATGACTGGTAACTGGATAGACTTTTCAGCAGATCGTATGGTACATTCTTACCTTTGGGAAAAAGTGATCGAAATTCCTTACTTCCAACAAATGTATATGGATACTCTTCAAACCATCAATGCCAAGGTGATGGATCCTGCTATCATCATACCTCGTATCGAAGGATTGGCTTACATGATCGAGCATGATGCGGAATGGGATCGAAGTTTAGATCGTATGAGTGAGGGAGGTGAATCACGTAACTGGCCTGATAATATATATTTGCAATCTCTAGAACGTGGATTTGGAGCTGAGGATGAAAATATTGGATTGAAAGAATTCATTCGTGTTAAGTTTGAAGCAGTCAAGAAAGATCTTGCATCACTTGAAATCATGACACCTGAAGAAAAACAAGCCTTGATGTATAACAATGCCATCTATATTAAAGGAATACCAAGGGAAACATTTGAAGAAATGGAAGAAGAAACGGAGGAGGAATTAGGTGAAAATGCACAGGATCTAATCATTAATGCTGTAGGCACCAGTCAAAATACTGAATAGATTGGACTCCGAATTTAAGCAAGAACAGCTGATCATACATATATATTTTCCCTTTTCCCACTCACTTTTTTTTTTTTTTTTTATCTTTCTTTTTCTTCTTTCTCTCATCCTCAATTTCGCATTCTTTACATAATAAACAAAAAGTTCATATATACTATAGCATATTCTATTATTTACAATTACAATTGTTTACCACCTCTCATATTTCTTTTGGACTATTGTCGTTGTATTATTCTTTTGAGACATTCATGGACTTTTATTGATACCCTCAAACTACATTTATTCTACTTTTTTCTTTTTTGTGCCTCCATCTTATCCTTTTTTTGACAATATGGATTCCTCTTATTCGTCTTCTGGCTCCATTTCAAAGACAACATCTGAATTCAAAACCACTTCAGCAAACGATAGCGATGACCAAGATATTTCCTATCACTCTACTCATTCTTTAAGCAACACTTTTGACGACAGCACAGGTTTTCAACATTCTTCTTCAAAAACAACATCAGAAGTATATAATGATCATTTACCTCAACCTCAAAACAGCAATTACATCAGTAGTGCACCTCTCAAAGAAAAGCTATTGACCAATTCGTCTTATCTTGCCGCAGAAATACCCTTGAAATTTGGTCATTTTATGAATCACCTTTGGATGTCTGGTTCTGAATTCCTTAGTGATCCTACAGGACTTCACAATAGCAACAACCAACAAAGTGGAACAGAGGAACTTTGGCTTTTGGGTTGTAGATATGATATGCCAAACAATATTGGAATACAAATGCAACAGGATATGTTGGAAGCTCAAAAGGATGATTTATTCGTTGCTGATAATGACAACTATGCATCATCAACAACTTCATCATCACCATCGTCACCAGCACCACCAGCACCACCTCCACCAACGACAACGACATCATCAACATCATCCGTATCATTATCATCGTCCTATCACAGGGAGCCTATCAACCAACATACAGTAGAGTCATCTTCATCATCAAACACTATCAAAAGAAATACGACAACAGCAACAACAGCAGCAGTCATGTCTGTACTCTGGCCTCCTGATTTTTACTCTGATTTCACTTCAAGATTCTGGATGACTTATCGACACAATTATCCACCCATTCGACCTTCACATTACAAGACGGATATTGGTTGGGGTTGTATGTTGCGAAGTGGACAAAGTTTATTGGCCAATGCGTTACTGATCCATTTCTTGTCTCGTGACTGGCGACGTACCGATCCATCTGATCCTACATGGAAAACATATACAAAGGTAAAAAAAAAAAAAAAAAAAAAAAAAAAAAAAAAAAAAAAAAAATATTGAAATCATCACTCAATCTTTATTATTTTTATGATAGATTGCTCATTGGTTTTTGGATGAATTGTCTCCAAGAGCTCCCTTCTCTATCCACAGAATTGCACTACTTGGAAAACAATTGGGAAAAAATATTGGTGAATGGTTTGGCCCAAGTACCATCAGTCAGGTGATTCAGTAAGTGATTATCATGATGTGAAATCAAGAAAAGAATGGACATCTCATTCTATTTAACTATAGGGCTCTTGTATCTGATTTTCCGGATGCTAATATGGCAGTATACATTGCAACAGATGGTGTCATTTATCGAAAAGATGTACATGATGTGGCCACAGGAAAGAAACCACGAGGTGATTTTGGATACTTGAACACTAGAACACCAATGGATGTAGAACGTGAAGAAGCTAGAACAATATACACTCTATCCAACAGTGTGGATCAACACAACAACGATATATTCAATACTAATACCAATCAAGATCCTTCTCCTACTCAACCTCCTTTCAAGTCCACTTTGATCTTGGTGGCCATTCGACTAGGTATTGATAGTCTTCATCCAAGTTACTATCCTGCTTTAAAGGTAAAAAAAAAAAAAAAAAAATCAGTTTGAAATAATATATAATATTCTACACAGGATAGACATGCTAATATATTTTCTCCCCTCAGACATGTTTCCGCCTTCCTTACTTCGTTGGTATTGCTGGGTAATATACGAAAAATGTGATAGAAAAAACAAAAGGAGAGCAAGCCGTGGGATTAATACGAAAGCAGCAATCTTACTAACTACATATCTTTTTTTTTTTTTTTTTTGATAATCTTTCTCATTCGTTCACTTCTTCTCTTTGTATCTCTGCATATTTACGCTTTAGTGGAAGACCGAATTCTTCATTGTATTTTATGGGTTTACAAGATGATGAATTAATTTACATCGATCCTCATTTCTCAAGATCAGCATTGGAAACGAAAAGTTTAGTAGATTATACAGCAGAGGTAGATAAGGAATAGGATATTATTTGAGAGCAAACAAGAACCTAATGCTTATTATTTATTGTTTATAGGATCTAGCAACATATCATTGTACTATCCCTCGAAAGATTCATATATCTCAAGTAGATCCTTCCATGATGCTTGGCTTTTATTGTCGAACCCAAGATGACTTTGACATTTTCTGTGAACAAATCAATCAGGTAATTATTAATTAATAAAAAAAAAAGAGATGGTTTATACCTATTGATTGATTTTTTTTTTAATCGACTTTTAGATTGGTCAACGCTATTCTGCCATCTTTACCATACAAGAGCAAGCACCAGAATATGAAGAAGACGTACGTAGTGAACATGATTTTGGTGTGATTAGCGATGAAGATGATGAAGACAAGGATGAATTGAATTTAGTTAGTAGCCAAGTTGGTCAAGAAAATACTTTATGATAGTTTTGTCCCGATTTTACATATATATATTATGATTACTGCCCATACCATTATTTCATATTTATTAATGTGTTTATTCTCTTCCCATAAAATAAAAATCATTTATTCCAATAAACTGTTATTTATACAAATAAGAACAAAAATAATCTTTATCATTATAGGCACCATAAAAAAGGATGTATCGGATTTTATTGTAAAAAAAAAAAAAAAAAAAAAAAAAAAAAAAAAAAAAAAAAAAAAAAAGAGATATACAAAGAAAAGGATATATATACATAAAGAGCCATTTGAAGAATGGATATAGAATGAAAAAAGAGCAGAAATTAAAAAAAGTGAAAGGAAAAAAAAGGCGACAATATCTATCCAAATGAAAAAAATAACTAAAGAGGAGGGACAAAAAAAAAATATAAAAGAAGGATTAATTGTTGTTAGTAAAGGCATTCAAAGTAGAGTATTTGGCCAGCTGAGATTTCTTTTGCTGTAATAGAGAAGTTTCTTGACGCAAGATAGTTTCCTGTTCTTCCTTGCCGTATTGTAATCCAGGTAGATCTTGTAATAGAAGTCGTGCTTGGTCAATCCGGTCATTCAGTCGTACCACAGCCTTGCCAATCTCATCAGAATTGTCACCATTCAGAATACTTTGTACAATGCTATGCACTTGAGGCAAGAACGAAAACGCATGTTTGTCAAATGTTAAACCATGGTTACAATCATCATCAGGGTCGTCATTGTTGTTTTCGTTGTCTACTTGATCTTCTTTTTTAAGTTCTACTTCTTCCATTGCCACATCGCCTAAAACATCAGTCGTGTATAAAGCAAGATCATCTTGTGACCCGAACGATGAATCCATCATACTCGTATTAAAAAAAAAAAAAAAAAAAAAAAAAAAAAAGGAGAGAAAGGGAAAAAAAATCACTCTAGTCATTGTTTTTTTTTGCAGTTGGGTGTCCACATTTTCAAACTCCTCGGCATTATTAAAAATTTATTACTTGGATGGATACAAACAAATGACCTTTTTTTTAACATAAAGATGTATAGATGGGATGATTTCATAATGTCCCCATGATGATTTTTTTATTATTCCCATCAGTCCAGATAGATGACATTTAGTATGAGCACATGTGAACAGAACAACAAGATAAAACAATTGAAGTGAAACAAAAAGGATGATAAAACAATGATTTATTTGTCATAGATAAAAAGTATAGAAGGATATACAAAAATCAAATATATACAGGGGAAATAAAAGTGATAGGATATATAAAACAAGTAGGGATCAACAGGTTTTTTGAGCATAACAATGATGTAAATTCATAAATGACCGTTGTAGTTCCATTTCATTATCCATTTGATCCAATTCCTTTTCCAAATCTTGATCTGATCGACAATCACTTTCCTTGTATTGAGATATCCAGACTTGGACTGATTCCATTAAAGTATGTAGATCTTCACGAAACATGACACCAAGACGACCTCCCCAAACACCAATAGGTAAAGACGTGTATTTTGCAGATGTTATATGTACTGCATTTGATGATGTGGATGAAGTGGTGGAGGAAGTAGAAATAGATTCCATAATGATCTCTTCCAATATATCCGGTAAACGTCTTGCCAATCGGGGGTCCAATGATCGAGATTCCATCATATGAATCACTAAACCAAAACAAGATAAAAAAGAAAAAGGATGATTGAGTCCTTTTTTTTTCCCACGATCCATGTATGTTCCCCTTGTTTGTTTTTTTTTTACCTTCAGAATTCAAAGTTTGAATTGTTTTTCCCATCGTTTTTGGTATTTTACTATGGTACATACGCATATCCATTTCAATTAATTCGACATAACCTCCAATCTTGCATACTCTCCAACATTCTTTTATCAATTGACGATAAGTTTCAAAAGAATAACCTAATATCAAGCAACGTCCATCCACAAGATCAAACACGTGATCTGGCATTTGTTGTAAGGCATGCAGCAATGAAGGTGCACATCGTATCAATCGCATATTTCTTGGTTTGAATAATCCATTGCCATGACTAAGACTACCAAAACAAGTTGTATCGTCAGATTCATTTGCTGTTGTCATATAATGATCATATCCGTTCTCTTCCATCCCAATCACAGTCCATTTTGGATTGGCCATGGCCACATCAATACACCAAGTTCCATCACCGCAGCTATCATACAAAAAAAAAAAAAAAAAAAAAATAAGACATAAAAATATTCATGCGGAAGTTTGGATTACGTACCCGATTTGTAACACCTGCTTATCAGACCCTCCATTTTCTTCCAAAGGACAACTAATTGATCTATATATTATCACAAGATTTTTTGAGAAAGTCATCAGTTGAGAACACATTTATAAAAAAAATTTTTTTCTCTTACCCATTCAAAGCTAATTTCAATAAATCATGTTTTAATGTCCATCGATGTAAATGAGTTGGCAAAAGATCATATTGTTGAGAATTATTGTTATTGTTGTCCAAAAAATAATCATCTACATCTTCATTATTATCATCCCATAATTGTCCATCTTTCATAAAAAGAATCCGTGGTGAATCAGGTTGAGAAGTGGTTGTTGAATATAAAATGGAACCTGGTCGACTATTGTAGTATAAATCACCATTACCAGAAATAAGAGAGGTGATAGAATGGCGTTTTATCATGACAGAAGGTGGTGTTGAGGAAGGCATCAATGAAGAGGGTCGTCTTGGATAAGTTTCTTGATAACTGTTGGCTAAAGTAGGTCGTTCGTCTTGAGGTGGTGTACTATAGATACTTATAGGAACGGCTTGTCGATGTTGATAAGAAGAGGAAGGATGTCGATGAAGAGGATGATTATTAGTAGTTGATTGATGATGATGATGTCGATGAGGCCATCTAAATCTTGGATAATGAGGATGACGTTTTCTTGCTTTTGACCAAAGATCACCTAATCTAGATTTTTCTTCACTATCTCGACCGTGACAAGAAGAAGATGAGAATTGATCATCCGAAAAAACACTACCAATAGTTTGTTGTGATTGTCGTCGTTCCTGACGGTCTTCTAGTTGCCAACTTAGGAGATGCCGAGATGAAGGTGAGAGTGTATTATGTGTTGAAGATGATGAAGAGGAAGGTGAGATTGTCGTGGGAAGAGGTGGTGAAGAAGGTAAAGAGGATGGTGGTGAATTCAAAGAATTTTCATGATGTTTATTATTGTTGGTAGATAAAGTCCATTTGCTGATAGGGTGCCAATGAGAAAAAAGTGCAGAAAACCAAGACTTTGACTTTTGGTCGCCTATAGTAGAAGTAGTTGCTGGCGACATTGTATATAAATATAAAAAAAAAACGGAGATAAAAGAAATAAGGGGTTTGTAACAAAAGTAAAAAGAAAAAAAAAAAAAGAAAAAAAAAAAAAAGAAAAGAGAAGAAGAAAGCAAGAAAACAAACAAAAGAAAAAAAAAATCTCCTCTTTCTCCTGATTTTGCCACGACCAAATGGTGGGCTGAAGAAAGTGAACGAAAGAAATGAGATTCCGAAAAAAGACCAATTCTTGTTCCTTTTTGCATGAATTTTATAACGTCATCATGAATAACAATAGAAAAAAAAAAACAGATGACTTGATCACCAGTGTCAATCTATCTACTAAATATTCATATATTTTTATTACTTTTTTATTATTATTTTTTGAATTGGTTAAAACTAAATAACTAAAACTAGGATGAAGATGTATAAAAATAAATGTTTTCCCATAATGGTAAATAATCTCGTAAAACACCAGCCGCCAACTTGAGAATAGGCTTTGATTCCAAACGATTACAATATTGTTCCAATTTTGGTCTTGTGATACGACTGTAAAAAGCTCCCCGTACAAAGTTGAACCAAATCAGGTGTACCCGTCTAGACATCTCTTGATTTTCCAATGGCATCATGATGTTACGTCCATCTGAAGAAGATATAAATGCTTTTCGAAGTGCCAATTGAGATCCTATTTCAGCTGCTAATGAAATAATCCAAGGTTTCCATGATCTTTGTCCATATTTGAGAATACATAATACTATATATACATATATTAGTTACTATATCATCTTTTTTTTTATTATTATTATTATTATTTACCATAAATCAAAGGTCGTAAAATGTACAGGATTTCACCCACATTGCCTAAACCTGACAAAACATGAGTCATTTGAGGAGGTTGTCGTAATTTTTCTGGTGTCAACACTTTGGTCATCAAGAATGCATTAATATCATCAAACTTGTCACGTTGATCCAATGCAAAAGAAGTTTTCATGCTTGGCCATTCTTGTCCAGTGCGTTCTCCTTGATAGGTGCCTGTTCGACTAGTCTTTGTTTCCAAACTTGCAGGATCCACATCGCGTTGTAAATGAGTAGGTGATAATGTCATTCTATCCTCTGTTGTTTTCAATAAACCAAGTCGTAATAATACCCTATGTATATAAATATATATATATATATATCAATATATTATCTTTTTTTTTCTTCTTTTGAAAACTTACTTGAATGCTTCCAAAAATGCAATAATTTTCCATTGTGCACGTTTTCCCCATTTTTTCCGTACACCCATTTCAATCAATACTTGGGTATAAGCCAGAATAGACAAGATGGTTGATGCTGTATGATTCCATTTCGATCGTTGTTGCCAGAACAAGAGATATTTATTAAATGTAGAGTCTTGTGCTAATTCTGGTCGTTTAAGTTCCTTTGCTTTTTGTTGTGCTGCACGCCGTAAAATCGAATTGTGATAGAGTCCAACAAGGTTTAAAGCCGCATACACTATTCATAACATACGTGATTAAACTCCATCTTTTTTTTTTTGTTTATTTTCTTACCTGCTTGAGACGCAAACTCGGCATCATGGAATCGTCCTTTTATAATAAATTTCATTAGTTTAATACCATATTTTCTATTTTATTTGTTTTACCTGGTAAAATGTAAGTAAGAGATCTTAAAGATGATTCAAAACTTGTTATTTGAGCTGCATTCTTGATAAGAAAATTTTCATATTGGGCAAGATATTCCATCCTCGTTATGTAAGGAGAAGAGAAAAAAAAAAAAAAAAAAGAAGGGTAAAAAGGGCTGATTAAGTGGAAATAGGATGAAAAAGAATTTGCGGCGTGTGAAATACCGAGAGACTTTTTTCAAATTGTCAAATTCATTCAAACACAAAAGATTTCTCCTTTTATTAAATATGCCACTGAGATCCCCTTTTTCATTTAAAGGGAAGTTCATCCTAGTTTTATTTACGTTTTGATCAAATATATAAAATGACAGCTGAGATTGGAACACGTTAGTTTGGATGTTTCTCCTCTTCATATAACATCCTCCCCCATCCTCTCTTTTTTTTTTTTTTTTGATAAGGGATAAAGGAGACCATGAGACTAAAACTTTACATACTCTGAAACGATCCATTCAAATTGTAGTGATACCCCCTGCTTATGGAACTAGACGCTTGAACCAACCAAGGTACTAAAAAAGGAAGACACTTTAAAACTCCTTTCTCTAACAAAAAAAAATTCGATCCGGATGTTGGTTCAACAGTCATTTTTTTTTTCCTCTTTTTTTTTTTTTTCCACCACCAAGGGGGATGAACAAAAAAAATAAAATAAAAAAAAAATCTCTTCTTTGACATTTATTCTTCCTTTTTTATTCCTTTTTTTTTTTTTTTTATCAAACATGTCATTCTTCGGTGGTGGTGGTATGCAAGCTCAACAAGCTATCAATCCTCAAAACATTGCAATGGCTGAACAAGAACTTGAAATGGTGACTGATCTATTCAATCGGTAAGAAAAGAAACCATGTGAAATATATGTTGTCTTTGGACTTACCTTTTTTTTTTTTTTTTAAAAAAAAAAATAGTATTGCTGATTCTTGTTACAACAAATGTGTTTCCAAGACATATGAACAAGGGGATTTGACTCAAGGTGAAGCTGTCTGTATCGATCGATGTGTCGCCAAATTTATCGATGTCAATACCAAGGTCGGAGAGAAGATGCAACAGATGGGTCAACAGAAATAGATAGAGATCTTTCAAAGCTTCATTTCATCTTTTTGTATAGATTAGATTCTTATCCATTCTCATTGTACTTTCTTATTCCTTTCCTTCCTCCCCTACCTTTCTGTCGGATATATATATACATATTATTTTTGTTATTCCAATAGTTGACTATCACAATCCTCCTTCAGTGTACAGTTATATATAAAGATTCATTTATTTATTTTTGATTTATTTGACTATTTCATGTGAGTTAGTATGCGTATATGTGTGATTAACTCTGAGGCAAAGGTTCAAAAGTGAGATGATCAATTAAAAAAAAAAAAAAAAAAAGACTGTGTATTAGGAAACAATGTATTGGATTAATTGTTTATTATATAATAAGGAGAGAGAGAGATATATATGTACATGTAATAAAGAGAGAAAACGTATACTTCCAATATCTAACTATGGATTGTATAAATATGACACAATAAAAGTTACTACACTACTACTACCAATACCACTGATACTACTACTAATACTACTACTACTAAGGATTTTGGGAATGAATGGCAAATATATGTCAAATATGGGGAAATGATGGAGTGTATAACAAATGGACGTAATAATGATAAATGATGATGATGTAGATAATGATAAATTATAAAAATATACTAAAAATACTGGTTGATTGATTTGATGATTTGATGATGCTAATATTCTTGTTGTTTGTTTTATTGTATGGACCCACCACCACCCAATTCCTTCTTCGATTTGAGTTTCGTAGCAAATGCCGCACCGTGAGTATCAATGAATTTTTCAATCTTGCCCCGGAGAGCAGAATTCATTGCATGGACTTTCCGATTGGATTGTGTTTCCCGTTCAACAATATGATGTGTTAATTTCCGTGCCAATTCCTTGAAGAGATACTTGTCACCATTCCATAAGGCCTTATTTTTTGATGTACCATTCAAGTGTCGGATCACCACTTTGCCAACTTCCTTTTTCAGATCAGCTTCATCCAATCCAGTTGAACCAGTATCTGTTGATCCACTCCGGCTTGTTGAAATACCACTTGTTGTATGTTGTATAGGTGATGAAGAGGATGAAGGAAGAATGATATTGCTGCTAGTTGCCGCATCCAATCTTGATGTTGGTGTTGTTGATGCTGAAGATGACATACCCTGATGATGATGGGATACTGAAGAGGGACTACCATCCACAGAAGGAGAGTGTGACTTTCGTATAATGGCTTGATTTACTACATCCTCTAATCTTGCTGAATCTACCCCTTCGATTGAGCTTGCCTTTTCTTCAGGAAAAGTCCACTGTGTCTTGTTGGTAATCTTGTGATAATAGTATATACTACCATCCTCCGTTGTTGCTTGGCGCCAATTCGATGGTAATTTTGGTGTAGTTGTCGATATACTGCCGTTGCTGACATAAGGCTGTTCAATGACGTCTCCGTTTTCACCCATATTATCATATATGCCTTGTTGCTGTGATGGACCATAAGTTGTACCATAAACTGCACTCGTTGATGATGCTGCTGCAATCGCGTACATATCGTAATAAGAACCACTTGGACCAGTCGGAATATCTTCAGAATATACAGAGGAAGGAGGAATATGAGAGGAAGAATCCAATGGCTGTTGTTGTTCACTTGATGTAATTGTATCTTCACCGTTCATATCATATTCACCTGTCATATGGTATCGTGAAGGAGGTAAACCATACGCAAGTGATGATTCTAACATGGCTCTTGGGGCGGTAGGTATCGCTGGCATAGGTAAAAACTCCATTCTTTGTTGAATTTCTACAAGGTCAGCATTGTAAGTCAGATATTCGTAATAATCGTCGTCAGGATCAATATAGTCGCGTGATGATAAATAAGGTGGCCTTTTCAATGCTGGTAATAATGAAGAATCTTCATCCATAGGATGATCCCGTCGTTTAGTGTTACCTATTGAAAAGGAGATGATCAGTCATTTGAATTGAAAATATGTTTTTTAAAATTCTGATTTCATTACCTTGTTGATCTTCCAATTTTGGTTCTACATACTATATATTCATATAAAAAAAAAATAAATCAGATCAAATATATCTTCTTAACCATATCCCTCTCCTTCTAAATCACTTACAGCACGTTTTGGTATTCTATAAACACTTTTCAGTTCTTTCCAACCATCTAATACAGATATTGCTAGAGCTTTGATATGTTCGTTTTCATGAGTTGTATATTTGTCAACCACTTCAAAGAGTTTACAATCTTCTAATCCATTCCGATTGGCCAATGGTAGCTGTTCCAATACATGAAGCACCTAAAGGAGAGAAATATTTTTTTTTTGAATATACCATTATAAATAGCCAATATTCTATTTACCTTTTGAACAATTTCTTCATCACTTTTCCATTCAGTAAGCCAGCATTTCAACATTTTGAGTCCATGAAGATGTACAAATCGTCTCAAAACATCTTTTCCCAATGAAGAATTTGAATTGGTAAGTTCCAGAGTCCGTAACAATCGAATAACCAATTTGGGTTTCCCTTTTGAATCCAGCATCCGTTTGACAAATTTCTTGACCTCATCAGGTTGGTGTAAAGGTTCTGATTCGCGTCGCTGATGTAGTTTACCAAGCATCCGCTTCTGTGTCAAAGTCACTGCTTCCTTCATTTCGTCATCACCAATGCGGTCCAAAGATGGTTGATTCAGTAGACTGTATTCATTCATTGTGGAAATATCACTTGGAGTATAGACTTCTTGTTCTTCTTCTTCCTCTTCTTCCTCATCCGTTCCCTTGTTGGTACCACCAATATATCCTTTGCAGTTAGGTTCACCACAATAACATTTTTGAGCTACAGCACTATCAAAAAAAAAAAAAAAAAGAATTAATCACAATGATAATATCCTTTTGGTTTTGTATTTACCCATATCGTTCAAATTTGTAATCAAAAGTCAATTCAGAACCGGCTTTTACTGGTCGTTTCGTAAAGATTCCTATACGCATTGTCTTGCCCACCACCCATTTTTGAGTCACACTATTTGGATTGCAGGAATGGTTGATGAATCGTGCCAAGCATCCTTTTTTTGTTGCATCAATGATCTATTCAAAATAAGAAAAGTTTTAGTAACAAGTACCTTGATTCATATTATCCCATTTACTTCATCCGTCTTAAGAGTCATAAAGTAATAATGTTTCAATCCTTCCATTTCATATGCTCTTGTTCGTCGAATAAATTCGGTATTGGTGATCACTTCTCCAATATATTCCATAATAAAAGCATTCCTAAAAAAAAAAAAAAAAAATGCACATCAAAACGTTAGATACTTTGCTTTTTTTTTTTTTTCTTTTCCCCCCTTAATTAAAAATATTTCCTTTTACCTAGGCAAGTCTGTCAAAGCCCGTAATCCAAATCCTTTTTTTTCAGTTTTGATGACATCCACACGAGCATATTGGCGAAGTTGAAACCTACGGTTACGACAATATCGATCACAAGGACAGTCATCCATCATACATTCCATAAACATCATTCGGTTAATACATAAATCATCGTCTCCACAAGCTGCTTCCGGATCGTCCATCCCAGGTTCAAACTTGCATTCACAAGGCATCGATTCTTCTGCAATAGATTTCCCATTAGCAGCACCCAAATAAATATTATTGGAAATGTTCTGATATGTCGCCATCGCGTCTCCAGTTGCTGAAGGATAATAAAAACCATCGTCTTCCTCCACTTTTGTTGCTGTTATTGATGTTGTTGTTGTTCCATTCAAATGGTTGGTATCTATATAAAGAAAGAAAGATGAATATATAAATAATAAAAGATGGATCTATTATAATAGTGTCTTCTTTTTTTTTTTTCTATCTTATCCCATATCACTTCATATATATCCAATAGAATTTCTTTTTCTCTTCTTTTCAATCAAAATAACAATAATAATAATAATAATAAAACTTGTTTTCTTACCAACAGTAACTACATCCATATCCAACTCGATATCCGACTTGTATTCTTGTTCTTTGTAAACTGAATCATATTCTGCATCACCATTCGTTGCCTTGGCGAGCATAGCAGTTTACATAAAAGTAGGGGAAAAAAGGATAAAAGAAAAAGAGTATAGAAAAAAAAAGAAAAAGAAAAAAGAAAGAAAGAAGAGAAAAAAAAAAAAAAAGGAAGCGAAAAGAAAAAAAAAATCTAAATCCTTTTTTTTTTTTTCATTTCTGCTTCCATCTCTCTGGCTCTTCGTGACCGCAATCACTAAAACAAGGCAAGTCGCGGAAGTTCAATATAATTCTCTTCTTTTTTTTTTTTTTTTTTTTGCTTTATTGCTGCCCCTTACACAGATATCTAACTTGATATAAATATCAAATCTTGATTATTATTATTATTATTACTATATTGAACTTACGAATTAGATGTATTCACCTTTTTTTTTATTTCTATAGCTATATTATCAGAGATGTTCAGATTATCAAGATGGAAAAAGGCTTGGAGAGTCATTACGAGGTACTAACCTAAAGATCGTTTATGCATAACAATATATATACATATATATATGTAATCAAAATAATAATAATATGTCACTTTTTTATTTTCAAATTCAATCTATCACTAAAAAAAAATAATTATCACTAATACTAGATAACTATTTTGCAATTGTCGATGATGTTGATCCTTGAGCTGTTTTTTGTTTCTTCCGCGCCAAATAACGATCACGAGCACTCATGACCGCATCCTCTGTCGTACGTCGAACTGCCGCTGCTTGTTGTAAAGCCACTTGTTTATCTTCCATTTCTTGATCCGCCTTTCGTTTAGTCTCTACCATCTGTCGTTCAATTTCACGGCTAAGTCGTTCTCGGCTACGATCATCCCCTTTCCGTCTTGCTTCATATTCAGCCACTTTATTCCTTTTGTAAGCTTCATATTCTTCCATTCTTTCCTTGATTCTTGTATCACTAGATGCCAACGAGCCAAATGAACCAAATTTCGGTTTAGATGCCACGTTCAATCCTGCTCCTAACAAATCACGCTTGTCCACCACCTCGTTGTTGTCGTTGATCTTGATTCCTTTTCGTTTTGCTTCTTCTATTTGTGCTAATGCTTCTCTATCTTCTTGCCTTGATGATGATGATGATGATGATGTTTTGTCCTGACCTTGTTTTTTTGATAAAGTGGCTTCCACCATAGCTCGATGTTCAGCATCTTTCTTATCCAAAACTTGTTTGTAGAAGGATGTCAATGTTGATTTCTTGGCCGCTTCTTCTATATCATCATTCATTTAGTAATAAAGAGAAGCGAAACGTTAAAGAGATCAGTCATGGTCAAAATCATACAGGATACAAAGAAAAAAAAACAATATATATATTCTTACCTTCACGCAATCGTTCTTCTGCTTCGATACGCTCTAATTCCGCCTTCTGTTTCTTGTATCTAATAGGTTATATATGTATATATATATATATATATATAAAGGATAATGAGGAAATCAATTATTTTTTTTTACAAAAGACGTAAACAATAACTTACGATTCAGTTAGAAAGACTTCCTTGTCTGCATACTGGTCACCTTCCGCTTGTCGTTCTCTTGCCACTTTTTTTTCTTCAGCTAATAACCGATCCCGTTTCCGAATTTCAGCCATATTCAATAGATTTTGGATATATTTCGCTTTTTTATTATCATCACCATGACCGTCCTTTTTGGCTTGTCGAGCTTTTTGTTCTTGTTCCGCCTGCTTAAGATCATCATAAACTGCATCGTAATCAAAAATAGTTGGATCTTCTAATAATGCTTGCTCTTGAGCTTCCTTTACTTTTTGATTGGCGAGTGTTGTTCCTGCACTGGTAGTAAGTTGTTGATTGATCTTTTGTCGTTGTCGTTTCGCTTGTTCTTTTGCACTGAGTTGTTGGGTATCCTTATCTTCATCGTCATCGTCGTCATGCAAATTGAATGCAGCTGCTGGTGTAGATACTGATCGGGTAAACGTTGTCTTCTTTTTTGATAGATTAAGCCCAAATTTCATTGTTAGTATTATTAAACCAAAAAAAAAAAAAAAAAAAAGTCAAGCGAAAAGAAAAAAAGAAAATGAAGGGATTTCAGAAATGGGAAGAAACATCTGGTTCATTTGAATTTCCGCCATCTTTGATTTTAGGACGTACTTATTTTCTGTCGACGGCTAAATTGGCGGCTTCGGGAAATTTTTATCCGAAATCTTTTTAAGGGTGACTCCTCCTTTTTTTTTTTCTTTCACTCTTTTTCTTCACTTTTCTTTTTTTTTTTTTTTTTGTATTGACCTTAGTCTTAGTATATCATTTTAGTAGTGTTTATTAGTCTTTAGTAGTTAAACTTTTATTCAATAAAGACTTTACTTTTATTGAAATCACTTCATTACATGTCAATCAATTGATTCCATCTTCGAATGTACTTTTTTTTTTTTTTTACATGCGAATGCATTCCTTTTTATTTTTTTTTTATAGATAAAGTATGAAATACGCAAATACGATAAAGACGAAAGAAAATTGTGTGATACTATATTAGTGTTGTTGACGGTTTAAACGACGGAATTGACGCGGGTGTTGGTTGCGAAGTTCTTCGAATAGCTGAAGGTATTCCCTTAATGTCGTTTCCATTCTTGTTGTTATATCTGGTGACAAGTTGGGTATTCTTCTTGCAGCTTCCAAGTCTTCTCTTTGATGGTATGCACTTGTGATCATGGAACTAATCGATTGAAGCTGGGCATCTACATTAACGGCTTCAACAGCAACGTCCAACTCTTCTACAGTGGCTTGATGGTCGACTTGTACTTCAGCAATATTGCCATCATCATCATCATCATCATCATCACCAGCGATTGCATCCAGATCCATATTCACATCGGGCTCATCTACGAACAGAATAAGAAATGTAAGTTGTTTTTTTTTTTTTTTTTTTTTTTAGTACCATCTCTTGATTCCAGGGTTTCCATGACTTCATGAAATTGTATGTATAATCCCGTGTATCTTTTCAATATATACATATGCTTACATGGTGCAAGTCTCTGTTGAAAATCATCACAAGTGCACGATTCAATCAACGTATCATCATTAACCTTCACTCTATACAGGGAATTTTCATTTGAAAAAGATCTTACAGACCAAGTACCAATAGGATTAGAAGGGCAGCTACTATTATCACCATCTGGATTCGTTATCATAGTAGGCATTCTTTCGATAGCAACAATGGATGCAAGGTACAACCTACGAGCTTGTTGATTTTCTATAGGACCCATTCGACCGTCATTGATACTTATTCTTTCCCGTTCTGCTCCATTAAAATATTCGACATGATGAGTAAGAATAAACACCAAACGATCTAAACGTCTGTTTCGCAATCTTTGGAAATACTTTGTTTTCAGTTGATTGTGCCATGATTCGATATAATTGTTTGTGAACATGTTGTAATGGGCTGGTGAAAGGTACGCTTGACTCCATCGTGTCATTGTTTCTTCATCCTTAATCCATGATTCTTCGAAATAATCCAAGAATTCATACTGACCACTATACTCCTCTTGGAAGCAAGCAACTCGAGTATGAAATTCATCAATTTCCTTCGCCACCAAAATACTTCTCAGGCTGATCAACATTTCTTCTCGAAGATTAGCAACATCACGAGCAGTATGTGATCCATCTAATCGAACTTTCTGCTTCAATTGCCTCTTCCATGCTTGCATGACGTGAAAACCACAGTAATGGATAAAAGTAGATGGAAAGGCAGCTTTGATGGCATTTACCTCGGGTACGGAACAATCAATGGTGACATATTGAGGACGAAAATTGCTGCTATCGCGTAGATGAACCATCCATTGATTAATGGAACCAACAGAATGATCATTGGTAAACATGTATGCTGATGGATACCCCTTGCCAGTAACGCGATCTCTGATGATCAACGTGTACATAACATCCATGGATTTGGAGGAAATGCCATGAGTGGCGTCCAAGCAAAAGGAAATAGAAGTACCCATTCTACGCTTTTGATCTGGTGATTGAAAACCTAGGGCAAAGAGGCTGGTGTTGCTACTGTAGGCTTGTAAATTGCCAGTGAATATGTTGTAATTGCGTAAAGGGAGGACCCTATTTAACCATATTCCTAACGATGTCATATCATCTCGATGGAATTCGTACAACTGGTGTTTGATCTGATATATACGTAAAAAAAAAAAAAAAAAAAGAAATACTCTTAGTACAAGTCCGATTCATGCAAGCTGTGATATCTGTAAATGTGCGTGGAAGCCTTTTTTTTTTTTTTTTTTTTTTTTTTGCTGTTAATGACATGCCTTCAACATTCTGTTATAGACATCCTCATAATTGACTGGTCTCAAGCTGGGATTGCCATCGTTATTTTCAATCCAATCATCAAGTTGTCGCATGATGCTAATTCGGATGTTGCTGCAATTACCACTCTGTCTCAATTCCCTCGTAATCAAGTCAATCGCTTGCGTGGTCAGTGGTAGAGTCCTTCGATCACTTCTTTCACCAGGAACATGACCGCTGTGTCCTCTTTGAAGAACGAACTCCATTATGTCAGGTGTACTGGCATACTGAGTCACCTTCAAACTTCCAGAACAGCCGCATTTTTTGGAAGGTTTTTGAGCAGGACGTTGAGAACGCTCCCTGACTGGATACTCTCCACTTCTGTGGCAGTGATAGGTTCGACTGTAAAGCACAGTCGCAAGTTCACGTCTACGTTTATAAGTGCGCAAAACACACCACTTTTCACAACACAATTCCTGTATCTTCAATCGACAGGCGTCCCACTCGTCAAATTGAACGCAGATAGGAACTTCTAAAGGAAGTTCATAAACACCTCGTACAGTTGTTGGGAGCAAAGCATCGCGAAGGTTGTTGGCAGTGTAGATAGTTGAGGACATGTTGTTATTTACGTAGATATCACTATAGTAAAGAAAAGGAAAATATAAAGAAAAACAAAGAGTAGAAGAAAAAAAATTTTAAAAAAAGGGGTATCACTATTTATTTCACAAGTAGTGTGGCTTGGTGACGAAGTCATTGGTTTGTCGTAGTAACTAATCCACAATAAAAACTTATATCGAAGTGAAGAATATTGGAATCGTATCGTATCAGCGTTTCTCTTATCTATAAAAAAAAAAAAGAGAAAATAAAAAGGAATGCATTCACATGTAAAAAAAAAAAAAGTACATTCGAAGATGGAATCAATTGATTGACATGTAATGAAGTGATTTCAATAAAAGTAAAGTCTTTATTGAATAAAAGTTTAACTACTAAAGACTAATAAACACTACTAAAATGATATACTAAGACTAAGGTCAATACAAAAAAAAAAAAAAAAAAAGAAAAGTGAAGAAAAAGAGTGAAAGAAAAAAAAAAAGGAGGAGTCACCCTTAAAAAGATTTCGGATAAAAATTTCCCGAAGCCGCCAATTTAGCCGTCGACAGAAAATAAGTACGTCCTTGATTTTAACGTATCCCTCACCTTCACTCTTCTTGATTTATTCTTTATCTTTTTCATTTTATCGATTCATCTAGCCACTGTCTTTTTGTATTTTATTTTGGCAACTTTCTATCTTTCCACTGTAACATCACATAGAGTAGGTACTTACCTTCTTTATACTTTTGTAAATCACTGAAAAATCATCATCACTGCACCAACTTTGAACTGAACATAGAGGACATCTTTTTCTTTCACTTGTCTTAATAACAATTTATACTTTACCTCCCAATTTATTAAGTAATTTAAAAAATAAAAGTCAATTCAATCGTCTCTCATTCAATAATGATCATCATTCAATAAAATGACTACCATTGGATTCCTCTCAAAAAAGTAGTTTAATACCATCTAATCTCATTTCATCACTTATCTTGCAACGTAATGTGCAATAAATATTAAAAGGATTTTATCGATTTTTTGAAAAATTGCCTGATCTACCCTCGACGATTTATTTTTACAGCTAAAATTAAGCTGAGGAATTCGAATTTTTTGGCTGTAAAGTCCAAAAATCCATCCCATTTTTTCGTCCTGCATACAAGTTTGGAAACAAACTTTGCCTTTCCCTTTCTCTTTCAAAACTCATCATCATCGCACCAAAGTTAAACAGAAAATAAAAAAAAATCATTTTCTTTCATTTTACCTAATGTTTACTTATAATTTGCTATTTATATTTATAGAGTAAATTAAAAAAAAAAAAAAAAAAAAAAAGAGAGAGAGAGAAAAAAATACAAATTCATTATTTTCAGAATGAAAAACATTGATTAAAAATACTTTTATTGAATCGATAGATATGAAAAGGTATAAATATAAGGAATGATGATACTAAATCTAAATGGAGTGTAAGATACTTTTGGTAAAACTAAATTCATATAGAGCGTTCTGTCCAAGGTCTTTTCCAAATCCAGAGAGTTTGCGTCCACCAAAAGGTACCATAGGAGGAATCATATTGTACGTATTCACCCAGACAATCCCTGCTTGTAACTTGGATGCGATAGAATGAGCTGTAGAGTAACGATTGGAAAACACCCCTGCTGCCAATCCAAAAGGCGTTGTTCCATTAGTACGTTCTATTGCTTCTTGTATTGTATCGAATGGTCGTAAAACTGATAAAACAGGTCCAAATATTTCCTCTTGTGCTAAAGAATCCATATCGTCTACACCATCATAAACTGTGGGAGATACATAATACCCTTTTGTTGTTCCTGCCGTTGTTGATGACAATGTTGATTGTTGATCTCGGAAAAGGGGTGTGTAGGTTGAATGATCCAAATAATGTCGAACACGATCAAATTGTTGCTGATCAATCAAAGGTCCATAATAATAATAAGAAGAAGAAGAGTCGATTTCTGTTGTTTGATGTTCCTCATCGTTGATAACAGGTCGCCAGCGTTTTGTTTCTACTTTCAAATGTTCAAGAAATGCTGCATGGATACTAGAATGAACAAGAACACGGGAGACTGCACAACAATTTTGACCAGCATTGCTAAATGCACCTTGAGCAATATGGTATGCTGCCTTGGAAAGATCTGCATCCTGATCCACAATCACTGTATTTTTGCCACCACATTCCAAAGTCAAAGGTTGTAATCGATCTGCTGCTTGTCGCATGATGGCTTGTCCTGCTGGTGTTGATCCTGTAAAACTTGTCTTTTCTGCTACATCCACAATTGCCTGTCCTACTTCCAATCCACCAGTCACCACCTGAACAAGATCCATAGGTAGAATATTTTTCGCCAAATCTGCCAAAGCCAACGTTGTAAGAGGTGTTTGAGGTGCAGGTTTGATAATCACACTATTACCGGCTGCCAATGCTGGTGCCAATTTCCAACCGGTAAGCATCAAGGGATAATTGAATGAAGTGATAAGGCCACATACGCCAATGGGTTCTAATTGTGTTGTCATATGAAGTCCTTCCATACCATCATAATCAGTGAGAGATATACCTCGAGGCTTATCAGCATAACCTGCAAAATATCGTAGACAATTGATTGTTTCCTGCACTTCACCAAATGCATCACTAAAGGGTTTGCCAGTTTGTAGAATTTCCAGATGTGTCAGTTCTTGTTTATGATCCTCTGTCGCCTGTGCAAGTGCCAACATCATATCACGTCGTACACTACTTGAGAATGAAGCCCATGTTTGTTGTGCTTGTCGAGAGAAAGAGACCATGGAATACACCTGATTGACCGTGGTATCTTGTATTGTGACAGAGAGCTTTTGTCCCGTTCTTGGATTGATTAGTTTTCGTTGATGTCCAGTCGCTCCCTCAGTCCACATTCTTCCTTGAAAATATCCTCCAAGAGTTGACGTATTTTTCCAAGAAGGCCATATTCTTGACATTGAGCTGAATTGAAAAAAAAAAAAAAAAAAAAAAAGGAAGAAAGAAAGAGAACAAAATAATGTCAGTTTTCCCATCAGACAAAACCTTCGCGCGGATTAAAAAAAAAAAAAAAAAGGAATCTTCTACCTATCAAATAAAACTGTCAGTGATCATCATAGTCATCGTTATAAAAATTCCTCTTTTACTTATATATTTAGTAATTCAAATCTCTCTTTTTTCTATTATTTTTTTTCTTTTATTGGAAAGAGTCATTTATTGTGTTGAAAAGAAATATAAATTATCTGCATATGCTAAAAGGGGTAATCATTCTACTTTTTTTACTATGGTAATATCAGGTAAAGGAGGCTCAACACCACCTAAATCGGTCACATCCATCTCCTTTGCTTTCGGTGCTTTTTCTTGTTGTTGATTGATAATTGTAGAAGAAGTAACATAACCTAAACGACCAGCACGTTTCTTTTGAGCGATCATCAATGGTTTGTAGCTGATTTTCATAAGGAGCCATATCAATATACCAAAAACATAATGAATAAAGTAGATCTGCCGCCATACTGACCATATGGGATGGATGTAGAGCCCAATAAAGGCGATTGACGTAGTATTAATTACAAACATCGTCATGATGATGCCAATAAAGTCATATATTGATTTATAGATGCCCATCGGTACACTTTTCCCTTGCATATCTACTGTAAATGTAAAAGGCCTTAAGGTTTTGCGCATGATCCTTCCCGTATTTTGAAATAAGGCAGCTGAGAAGAACATCACTATTACAGAAAATTATATGAAATGGATTAGACCTTTTTTTTTTTTTCTGCACGATAATGGATGATGGTTGTTTGAATGATATGTGAAGTTTACCATAGTAACCAGGATAGAAACCATGCCAAAAAGCAGACACTGCATAGGTGATCAAAGTACTAGTCAATCCGGCCTTTTTGTCTGGAGGAGTAACCCGTAAATAAATATAATGTTTCAACCATCGATTGGCCCCCATATTCCAATAATCAGATAATTCTTTCAATGACTGTGGTAATTCACAATGCACCACATTAATATTTGTCAGTCGATCCCATCGTGCATTGCCTTTTTCATCATAACCAGCAAATCCAATTCCACATAAAACGCACGCTCCTTCGGAAAGTAACCATGCAGTATAATATTTACATCTTGCTACAAATGCCACCACTTGAATGAAGAGAAGTCTATTAAAAAAAAAAAGAAATAGAAATGGATTATTAGAATCAGTTTTTTTTTTTTTTTTTTTTTTTTTTTTTTTTTTTTTTTTTTTGGTAGATTGTTGACTTTACTTTCTACCAAATGACAACCCCTGCCATTCAGGCTTTAACATCAAGGAAAAACTATATTTCGAACTACAAGATAAGAGAATCACTATAAACAGTACACTTTTTGCCAAAATGATCAATGTTGGTTTGACGGAAGAAGGTGGTACATTATTTTGTTGTCGTCGTAGTGGAGTATAGTCTTGTGATTGATGAACAAATCGATAATAATCCATGTATTCACACGCTGGGCCTACCAAGTAACCCCCGAAAAAGAACATCCAACCACTAAATTCAAGTAAAGTAGGGTATGATGATCCATCTATTTTCATCTGATGATTATAAGCTGTTAACTGTTTTTGACCATTGTTATTGGATGCCTTATTGCCATTCAATTTAAATTGTCGACCGTCATATACGTTGAAACCAAACATCGTTAATTTTATAGTAGCTATCATCATCATTCCTGAGTAATCTAATGTTGAATCATCCGATATACCATGCAATTGACGTTGAATGTGACTAAAAGATAAACGAGAAAGAAGTGTAACGTGACGACCTTATTGAGTAACCAACTAAAAAAAGAAAAAAAGTGTTTTAGATTTTTTTTTTTTTTTTTACCATATAGACATGCTGGTCATGACAATGATAAAGTTGATCCAGGGACCATTGCTACTATGATTATATTTCATTAATATATAGGTAATCAAACAAGTAAGTGAAATATGAACAAAACCAGTATGCATCTTGAGGAAAACGATAGTAGTAAATAAGGCGATAATAACAGAATATAAATGTTTGATAGAAGCAGCTTGTGATGATGATGATGATGATGGAAGAAAACGATATAACCATGCAAAAAAGTAGGACGATAGAATAGATACTACTAATTTCAAATGATCACCAGTAATAGTCCCGCCTCCAATTTGATAAGCCAATTTCTCAAAGAAATTATCCATGATGATCGTTTGATATTCAAGTATAATCTAAGAGTAATGAATATGAAATGGGAAGAATAAAAAAGAAAAAGAAATAGAAAAAAAAAAGAAGAGGAAAATAAGTTATTAGTGGCTGCTGTGTTCTACATATCTCTTTTTTTTTTTCTGTCGTAGTAAGAAAATCTGTTCAAAAATTGGGGTTTTTGTCTGGGAATGTAAAAAATATTGTCTTTGTCAATCAATTTACTCGTTTTTTGCATTTCCCAATCTCAAGATTCAAGCATCAAATATTATTGGCTAAGAGAAAACACTGGTGACTGAAAAACATTACCCGATCTAGTCTGTGGGAGGATTCGTTGTTCTTCTTCTCTTCCCCTAAGTCTCTTTTTTTTTTCTTTTTTTTTTTATCACCCTTTTGAACGATTGATACTTTCAATATGACAGATCAAGATTCTCGGGATTGGATCAAACAACGAATGACTGTATTACGAAAAAAAGCAGGCTTTTCTTTTAACCAAGATGTATTTATCTCTATATTGTTATGTCTTGTTTCAGGGAAAAACAAACATTTGATTTTGATTGCTCCTTCTCGTCGTATACCCCAAGTAGCACAAATGGCCACTGAAGTAAGTGATCAAGGTTATATCTTATTTTTTTATATGAGTTAATATTATTTATATTGTAGATATGTCGAGGTCTTTTTGGATTCACCACGGCTAATGTTACTTGTCAGCAAGACCAAACAGTAATGGACTTTGTACATGGTTTATTCACTTCGTCTTATGATGATGATGAACGATATCAGTCTAATTATAATCAACAACAACAACAACAACAAAATGAAAGAAAAGATACCTCTGGACGGTCAAGACGTGGATTATATTCTTCAACACAGCAAGATACCATTTATCATAAAACATCAAGACTTGGCAACACCAATAACAACAGTAGTAAGGATACCCCATTTAATAATATTCATACTTCTTCATCTCCAATTAGTCCTGTGGACTTTACTATTCATGGTGATACTGGTGATCATCATCATCGTCGTCTTAATCATCATCATCATCATCGTCATCAACAGCAACAACGAGATCGACGTATCTCCTCCACTTCTACTCCAACTCACCATCATCAACGATTACCATATACTGAAGATAAGAAAAATGTTGTTTCATCCTCTGTAGTTGGTCCTTCTATGAATTTGACTGGTACCATGACTCATCGATTAGCTCAAACATTGATCATTCAACAATTAAATCATGCAAATGAATTAGTCCAGGCTGCTTTATTGGAGGTAAGAAAAAGATACCAAAATAAAGAACTTATTATTATTTGTAATATATTAATTATCATTGATTGATAGTTAATTGTTACCAAGGAAATCCGAATGACCAATGTACGCTACAATACACCAAAACCCTATTTTTTGAACATTGTTATTCTTCCTGAATCTGGATGTCATCAAACTATATCTTCACCACTGGTAAATTATCTTCTTTTTTTTTTCTACATATATGTGCATTGTATGGATAGAGAATGAAGACACGAATGGACTCATTCAATTTTTTTTTCCGCTGCATAGTTGGATCACTTTTTTATTAGTTACCATTGTAAAGAAGAATCATTTCAAAATTCACAACAACAGCAACAACAACAACCGTCATCATCTTCAATATCAACATCATCAGCATCATCCTCATCCTCATCATCAGCAGCAGCAGCAATGACAACAATAGCTAATGATTTAGACGTACCAACAATCATGTTTTGTCGAAGAGCCTCTCTTTTACGCAATGATGAAATCAAATCTCTGGCAGAACAAGCAAGTAAGGTTCATATCAACATTGATATCACAAGATACATTCGGGATATTATAGTGGGTATTAGAACACATCCTTTGGTAAGCGGTGGACTGACAGCAAGAACTTCTCAAGATCTAGTTTCTGTGACAAGGTAAAAAAAGGAAAAAAAAACAGAAGGAAAACAGCTCACTTCTTTATGTGATAACATTAGATCATTGGCAGCTTTATTCCGACAGAACTTCTTGACACCAGACTTAGTGGCAGTGGCGGTTGAAAAGGTGGTTGGACATAGATTACGATTACAAGGACAAGACAAAGAGCAAGTGACCAACAATGGTGAAGATGATATGATGATGAATGAACAGAATATCATCACTGATATTGTTGGTGAAATCTTACGTATAGTTTATGCCCCAGTTTAGAAACAATATTGAAATAAAATACCTCTTTTTTTGTCATGCTGAACCCCATAATTAGAAAAATGATATTCCGATCCTTGTTGTCTTATTGTAACGCCGAGATCAAGGAAATCACATGGAAGAGTCGGAACAAAGGATAATCAAGTTCAATACTTGGTCAAAAGTCTATCTATAATGAATAATTTGATTACTTTTTCTATTTCGTGTATATCGTGTATGCCGTTTCTCGTACCTGGAATAATAAAAAGTTGTAAATCATATTCTAATTTTTTAAAAAGAAAAAAAAAATGTTTGATTGGTGATGTACTATACGGTAAATTACGTGTAACAAGAGAAAAAAAGGATGATTGGAAGATAACGTTAAAATTCCGCCTTGAGTCATCAGTTCCCAAAAAAAAAAAAAAAAAAAAAAAAAAAAAGAGTATCTATAGAAATTACATTTATAGTTCTTCTCTCTTTTGGATTTCATTTTTTATTATTATTATTCTATAATCAAAGATTTCTTTTTATTATTTATAAAGTAAGTTTATATACGTTAAAAAAAAGAAGAAAAAAAAAAGAAAAAGGTTAACAAAGTGTAGAAGGTTTAGTACGAGGTTACATAAAGAGAGATTTTAAGGTTTATTCGTTGGTTGAATTAGTTTTGGGGAAAAAAAAGCCCTTCCTCTCCTTATCTGTTATTCTAATTGGATGGTTTTCATGACGGTAATTCAATTTTTTTTTTTTTTCCTTCTTCCAAAATGACTAACACCTTTTTTTTTTTCTTATTCTTTTCCTTTTCTCTTTGTTTATCCCAATCATCATAACCATTTATCTCCTCCTCCCCATATACATATTCCTTTTCCTCCTCCCCATCAACCATACTTTTATATATATTTCATCATGACCTCTACAGATGATTATTTATTATCACCTGATCTTTTCTTTGGTGAACAAGATCAACAAAACTTTGCTCAATTATTCAACGATAGTACCTTTCCATCACCTGCTCTAACAAACAGTGAATCCTTACCATCTCCTACTACTTCTTTGGATTCTTTCATGTCACCTGTTGCTAACCCTTTGGACAAACAAACTTTGGCTGCTCTATTATTATCAACAACGACAGCAACGACTCAACCTGAACAACAACAACAACAGGGTCAAGAATTAGACCTGAATCAATTTGTGACTTTTGAAGAAGATACTACAGTTTCTTGTTTGGATTCTACTGGTCAAGTCAAAAAGGAAGAACTCTTTCAAGATCTTTCTGAACAACAAGATGAAGTCTCAGAAACACCCTCTAATAATAATAAACCTACTAAGAAAGTACGTGCTCCTCGACAATTGGAATGCTTTAACTGTCATGTGACTAAAACACCATTATGGCGTCGAACTCCTGATCGTGCTCATTCTCTTTGCAATGCTTGTGGACTTTATTATAAACAATATGGAACTCATCGACCTTTACATGTACGACAAAAGCAACAAATCACCAAACCTAATGGAACTACTATGGTTGTGTCTACACCCCCTTTGACGCCTCCTTTTGGAAAATTGATGGATCCTACCAGTACTGCTTTAATGAACAAAGAATTGAAACCTTTGGCCAGTAAACCTTTATTGTTACCTGCTATTCACCATCATCAACAATTACAACAAATTCATCCTACTGGTGTCAAACGTTCCTATACGGCTGTTGATGGGGAGGAGGAAAATCTTTGGTTGGAAAACAAAAAACAAAAGGATTTGACGGAAGAAGATGATCGATTCAAAAGTCTATTGTCCCGTATGAACAAGGATCAAATGCATGGATTTTTGGATATGTTGGAACGCCGTTGTGTCATCTTGCGCTCAGTTCTTTCTCAAGCCTAAGAAGAATCTATTTGCTCTGGTCTTTCCCTCTTTTTTTTTGGTGTGACCCTCTGTTTTCTTTTTCTTTTTTATTATTTTTATTATGATTATTATTTACTTTTTGCCTTGATGGTATTTACTATTGGTGTTTTTTTCCCCCTCCCTTTTTTTTTATATTTATTCTTCCCCTTTGTGTATATTTCTTTTTGTTCTTATCTTCTTCTGTTTTATATATTTTTTTTTCTTTGCTTTTCTTCAACAAGGATCGCAAATTGTATATGTTCAACACATACCTCAATAGAGACTCAACCCTCTGCATTCCATCCCCCTATTCATATTTATAGTCATGTCATTATCATCATCATCATTTTATTTATATATTTAGTATTATCTTCATATTTGTATACCGTTCAACACTACATCCTCATTAATTATTTTTTTTTATCATTTACCTAAGAACAAAAGAAAAGAAATATACTTGTTTTCTTTCTACTTTTTTCAATAAAAAAAAAACTTATTTGTCTTTTTTTTTTTTTTTTTTTTTTTTTGTCATCTATCAGTTTGTTTATGTTAGTTATGTTTTCATTGTCTATCACTTTTTGACAAAAATAGCCTTTACAAAAATAGATTCTTTTTGGTTTGATAAAATAAAAAGTATAGACATGAGTATGATATATTGTGAAGAAATTCGTATATAAATCCAATCGACTAGAAAGAGAAAAAAAAAACATTATTCAAATATAACTTTTCTTTTTACTATACAAACTACAAACATGATTTCAAGTATTCTTTTCAAACTAATTGTGTTGGTGTCCTTCTTGCAATGGATGATGGCTTGCTCTGCTGGTCCAATCATGATGGATGATTCTTCTTCGGCCTTGATGGATGCATCTGAAATACCTCTTACTGCCAATGATGGAAATACTCAATTGGGCCACCATCATGATGATGATGATGATGATGATGATTCATGCCGTCACTATCGTCGAGATAATAATGCAGCTGAAACTATGGATGATCATCAAAAGTGGGCACCTCCACGTCCACGTCCTCCTCCACCACCTCCACCTGTCTGGCCTCCTCCTCCCCCACCTGTTTGGCCCCCACCTGTCTGGCCTCCTCCACTTCCACCTGTTTGGCCTCCTCCTCCACCTGTTTGGCCTCCTCCTCCCCCACCTGTCTGGCCTCCTCCTCCTCCTCGTTGGCCCTCTGATGAATGATGGGATCATTCTACCACCGCTCTCTTCATAATAGTTAGTTAGTCTATGATTCAATTAGTTGGTTTCTTTCTTTTTTCTTAGTTGATTTTTTTTTTTTTTTTGCAATAAATGGATGCGGATGGTTTTATATGAACAATATGATTTCACATGAAAGGTTTTCCCCGGACATTTTTAGACTTTACTCTTTACCCAACAAAAAAAAAAAAAAAAGAAAAAGAGTCAAAAGGGTCGCTGACCAATATTGATTGACCGCAACCAATCCGATTCGATGACTTGATCTTTGTCGTATTTAATCTTTTCCCATCTTGATTTTTTTTTTCTTTTTTACTTTTTCTTCTTCTTTTTCTATTGTATACCAAGTTCCCTTTTTTTTTGGATTTTATTATATAATGACTGTACCAGTTCAACAACCTCTTCCATTTCATTTTCAATTCTTAGCTGGTGCCGTTGCTGGTAAGTCGGGACAACCTTTTTTTTTTTTTCTGAAACAGACAAGGAAGGAACAAGGAACGTGGTAACTTGTCGATACTAATTAGTTTATTTTTTTTTTCTTTCTTGACTTGGATCATTTGTTTATACAGGTGTTACTGAAATCTTGTGCATGTATCCTTTGGATGGTAAGAAAGGAAAAAAAAAAAAAAAAAGGAAAAGAAGTTTTGATTGTTTTGTGTGTGTATGTGTGTCAAAAATAGATGTTCAAAGATATAGGATGAACTAACTATTCTTCTCATGGTTCTTGTTTAGTTGTCAAGACGCGTGCTCAACTTAGTAGTGGAGCTAGTACTGGTATTATTGAAAGTTTCAAAAACATTATTTCAAAGGAAGGGTAAGAAAATAGCTATAAAAAAAAATATGAATGATTGAATCAAAAAAAAGTGATACTAACATATATATTGTCTATTTAGACCTGCTACTTTATATCGAGGTATTGCTGCTCCTATTCTTGTTGAAGCTCCTAAGCGTGCAACCAAATTTGCTGCCAATGAACAATACACTGCTTTGTACAAGAAGATGTTTGGAATGGAAAAAGTAACTCAACCTTTAGCTATTGCTACTGGGATTAGTGCTGGTGTTACTGAAGCTGCTTTGATTGTACCTTTTGAATTGGTCAAGATTCGTATGCAAGATCCTCGAAATGTAAAGTTATATATATATTAAAATATAATTATAGACTAACCTTTTATTTTAGGCTAGCAAATATACTGGTACTGCCGATGCTTTAACCAAGATTATCAAACAAGAAGGACCTCTTGCTCTTTATAATGGATTGGAATCTACCATGTGGCGTCATGCTATTTGGAATGGTGGTTACTTTGGTACCATTTTTATGATCAAGGATATGTTACCAAAAGCTGAAACTAAGAATGAACTATTACGGAACAACTTTATTGCTGGAACTATCGGTGGTACTTTTGGTACTATTTTAAATAATCCTATGGATGTTGTCAAGTCTCGTGTACAAGGTTATTCTGGTGAAGGTCCCAAGAAATATAACTGGGCTCTTCCTTCTTTAGCTACCATTGCAAAGGAAGAAGGGTAAGAAGAAGAAGAAGAAAAAATATGGATATATATATATATATATTGATTCCCTTTTTTTTTTTGTTCTTTATAGTGTTGCTACTCTTTATCGTGGTTTTACTGCCAAGGTATTAAGATTGGGTCCTGGCGGTGGTGTCCTTTTGGTTGTGTTTGAATCAGTTTCCAGCTTTTTACGCAAGAATTTCATGGATCAAAAATAGATAGATTAGAGAGGGGGAGACGGTGAATATAGATTATTATTTTATTTTGTATCAGTTTCTTTTTACCTTCCTTTATTATTATTATTATTGTTATTCTCTTTATTTACAATTTATTAGTTTCTTTTTTCTTTTTATATTCATCCATTTATTTCATTCATATATCGTTGAATAAAAATTTTATCATTGTTGGGCATATGTATTCTACTTAAAGGATATTTTCAGATTTTGTTTTTAATCTGTTGATTGAAATTATTGGGTATACTTTACTTTACTTTAGGAAACATTCAAACTGTATCTACCGTATGATGGATATCAGGAACAAAGTTTATGCAATTTATCGGGTAATCTTTAGTTTAATTTAATATTTTTTACATTGTCAACCAACCAGAAAAGAAATTCCCAAATAAAGCATAACTCACAAAAGAGGTAAACCCCACGTTTGAATGATGAGACACATGGATGGTCCCAATTTTTTGGGCATTTTATATTTTTATGATCATTGGATCAGTTCTGCTCATCAATTGAATCTCCTGATCTATCCTGGAAGAAAAATTAATACAAAAAAAAGTAAAAAGAAATGGAGAGTTCCCTCATTGAAGGCCCTGACGGGGATTAAAACAGATGTCTGTTCGTTCGCGCGTGTGACCCAAAGACAAGGTTTTCGAAAAAAAAAAAAAAAAAGAAAAAAAACCGTTCTTGTCTTTTTCTTTCTTTCTTTTTTGTTTTATCTATTATCTCTTATTTTATATCATATAATACCTAAAACTTATACTTTTATTCTATTCTTTTTTTTTTTCTTAGTTTTTTAATTTTCAACTTTGTTTATCGATCGTTATAGACTTACCATTTATATTACTTTTTTTCTCGTTCCTTTATCTCTCATCTATATTATTAACCCTATCAACTTTTAAACACCAAAAGGATGATGGCACAATTACAACAACAAGATGACCGTATTCAATATTATGCAACTTTATGTGAACAACTTTATAATCCCAATTCTATACAAAAACAAACTCAAATCCAACAAGAATTAGAACAAGAATTCCCCACTTTCACTGATAACAGAGTAGATAGTCCAATACAAGTTTCTTCTTCTTCTTCTTTGGTCATTCAAACACCTACTGAAACCGCATCAGCATTACGTATTCTTTTGGAAGCTTCACCTAATCCTTATGTACAAACCTTTTGTTTATCTCGTTTGAAACAACTTATCACCAGTCAGTTCAGTATATTTGACACCGTGACTAAATTACAACTACGTAAGTATACTTTTTTTTATTTTATTTTTTATTTTTTGAATGACAGTGATGATTTTATGATATCATTAATTCAATTTTTTTTCTTCTTTTTTTTTTTTATGTATTAGGTACATTTTTACTTGAATATGCCTTTTTACATTCAAATATGCTTCCTTTTATTATTGTACAACTAGCTGGTGTGTTTACTCAATTGACTCGGATGGGATGGGTAGAGTTGGAAGAATATCAACAAGTGGAATCAGATCTTGATCAATTCTTACAAGCTTCTATGGATCATCGTATTCTGGGTTTACACATTTTATCGGTTGTGGTACAAGATATCAATACTACTGCTTCTCCTCGGTATGCTGCCATGTTTAGAAAAGCAGGTAATTAATAATAGTGAAATCGATATCCTTTACTCGAATAACTCACATCCATTTCCTTTCACTTTTTTTTTTTTTTTTTTTTTTTTTTTTTTTTTTTTAGCTTCAGGCTTTAGAGACAGTCAGTTATTAAGTATCTTCAAAATGGCATTTCGTACTCTAGAGGAATTGGTACACCATACTATTCGATTTGATAATGGTAATAATAAATCGTTTCAAATAATATTAATAACTAATCTCTTTTATTTATTTATTTATTTATTTATTAATATTATTATTAGCAGACCAAGAAGCAAGAATGCGTGAATATACTCTACGATTATTGGTCAATTGTTTATCATATGATTTTGCTGGTACAAGTGTGGATGAAGCTGGTGAAGATGTTGGAACAGTACAGGTAAATATGAAAGAAAGAAGATCGTTACGATACATTTATTGTGATGATCAATGGCTGATATTCAATTTTCTAGATCCCTACTTCGTGGAGAAGTGTATTTGAACAAGATCATTTTGTTACTACCTTCTTCTTAGCTTATCAAAACTTTACATCCCCTCATACATCTAAGGTAAAAAAAAATAGTTGTGGATAGAAAGAGTGTAACTAAAATTTTGTATTCTCTAGGCAATGGAGTGTCTTGTTCTTTTGGCGTCTACAAGAAAGGCACTTTTTACTGGTGACGCTGAGCGATCAAAATTTGTGGTGACATTAATGCAAGGAATACAAAATATTATAATTCAATCTCAAGGTATGGATGATAGTGACAATTATAATGAATTCTGTCGACTACTTTTCCGGTTCCGTGCAATTGCTCCTATAAGTGATCTCTCTAAGGAACAAGGTTATGAAGAATGGATATCCATGGTGGCTGATTTTACTATCAAGGCATTTCAATCATGGAAGGTAACGAAAAAAAAAAGCAATAAATCGAAATATACGCATATATGTACTTATTAGTCAAAGACAAGTTTTATGGCAAATAACTAACATGTACATGTATATATATAGTGGTCTCCTAATACGGCATCTTATTTACTGGGATTCTGGTCAAGAACGGTGGAAACAATGAACTATTATCAACAATTGGACGGCGCGATTATTAAAAAACTGGAATCTATCACAGTAGAATTAGTACGTACTTATATCTTGACCAATGTACAGAGCGTACCTACTCGTGTCGAAGAAATGTTAGATGGTAAATGATTTGGATAAAGAATAAATGGGATGATCATTGACATCACTTTTGTCTGTTATTAATTCGATAGATCCCCTTGAAGACGAATCAAATCTGGTGGAAACTTTATTTATGCTGGGAAAGATTGCTCGATGTCAATACCAGGAATCAAGTTCCACTCTTGTATCAGTCTTTGACCCTATTGCTATGGAATATCAGGTAAAGCCATTCATGTATTTCCATTTTTCAGAATGGTTGACACTTTTTTTTTTAGGAGTGGATGAATCAAGCAGGATTAATCAGTACAGAAGAATTCAAAGAAACATTAGATTTGATTGAAACCAAATTCGCTTGGTTAGTTTATTTTGCGGCAGTATTTATTGGCAACCGTCCAGCATTCCTCAGTTCTGATGATAGTGATGACATTGATGGGAAGATTACTACCAAAGTATTACAATTAATGCAAGCCAATCAGACCTTACAAAATCAACATGGAACTACCTTTTTAAACTCCAAATTGGATTCAGCTTTTATTTACTTCTTTCAACAATTTCGCAAGTCATATATTGGAGAATCGGCAAAAGCGGTAAGAAAAAAAAAACAGGGATATGGAAATGAATGATTCATTGACTTTCTGGTTATTCTTCCCTTTCTCTTCTCTCTTCTTTTTTTTTCAGGTTTACAATAGTCTCACTGAAGTATTTGGTATAAGCGATCAAATTGACATGTTGGAAATTATGATGCGGAAAATGTAAGGCTACACACACAAAAAAAAAAGGGAACAAGAGTTTGAAATACCGATTTATGCTAAGTGAAACTATTTTAATGGTAGTGTGACGAACCTGCAATACTGGGGAAAAAATGAACCTTTGATTCGACATACCTTGGAACTCTTCAATGATTTGGCAAGTGGTTATAGTGCTTTGAAAAACCTTCGGAAAACAGAAACAACACGATACTTGTTACAAAATCATATGAATAATAACACTGGATTATTTGGTCTATTTGATGATGATAACAACAACAATAGCGATGTCATCAGTGGGATGCATCGTCACAATCGTATGCTCTACTATCAAATTTTGTGCAAGGTGTTATTTGCTGAAGATGTGACTGATTTGGAATTTGATACCTTTATGAAAGGATTTGAACAACGTTTGGATGATTTGGCTCAACTCAATACAATTCAAGCTTTTCAGCAAATTCCAGTCAAGGTATATATAAAGAGAGCTTCACTAGTGGGTTTTTTTTGTATTAACAGATAATTTTTTTTCCTCTCTTTCTTTTGTTTTATGCTAGATGGCACTTCACAATATATTCCGCGATCTACGTGGAATAATGATGGCAATGCAAAGCAAACGACAATTTAGTCTCTTTTTGGAATGGTTTTACCCTGATTACATGCCTATTGTTTCAAGAGGTTTAGAAGCCTGGGCTCATGATGCTCTGATTACAACCACCTTGTTAAAATTTATGGCAGAATTTGTTCATAACAAAAATCAACGACTGAACTTTGATGTTTCATCCCCCAATGGTATTTTGATGTTCAGAGACGCAAGTCAACTTGTGTGTATATATGGTAACAAAAAAAAAAAAAAAGAAACCGAATGGGAAGGGAACCCAATGATATTCAGATTACTCATTTGAAATGAACAACATGATATTTCGTTATTCTCTTTTGACAGGACGTCATATTCTAGAAAAAACCGTGACTCAAGAAGACCGAAAATACCAAGAAAAGTAAGACTTTATTATATCAACGTATCTTTTTTTTATGATACTCATTTATATGTTATTTAATAGATACAAAGGGATATCCATCTGTTTCCAAATTCTTTCACGATGTCTCAGTGGCAAATATATCAATTTTGGTGTATTTTGGTTATATCAGGACAAGACCATCGATCAAGTTTTCCGCATGATGTTCCAACTTATGCTAGATATTCCAATGGATGACTTGATGGTAAAACTAAAACCAAAACTAAAGAAAAAAAAAGATCTATTTTAAGCAAAGACTCCTGACATTATTTCTTTATATATTTCTAGAATTTCCCAAAAGTGACAAAAGCCTACTTTCAGTTGTTGGATGAATTTAGTACAGAACAATTGAAAACGTTGCCGATCCTAGCCATGGAACCCTTTGTCTCAATGTTGGAAGCATGTGAACAAGGAATACAAGTACCTGATGCATATATTCGCACGCACGCCTGTGCCACTCTTGATCATGTGTTTACGATGATTTTGGAAGAAAAGGAGCAATGTCAGGGTCCTTCAACAACAAAGCAGCAACGGCGTCATCAACAACAACAACAAAGACGTTCATCTCAACATCATGCAGATTGGATTTCATCATCGTCATCATCATCATCCACTTCTTCTTCTGCCACTTGCACTGAACCTATTCCTATACCTACATCAACGACGAATAATAATACCACTACATCCAGTACAAAATCACCCTTATTATCTTCATCTTCAGTATCACCAACTCTCTCCATATTATCACACCCTACTACTCCTCATTGGTGTTTAGAATATCTGCAAGTCTCCCCACTGATTGCGGCATCTTTATTTGTGACATTGTTTGGATTGATTCTATTTGACGATAATTCTGATCAATGGCAACTTTCTCGACCCCTTTATGTACTTACTTTGATTCAAAAAGAGGTAAACAAAAAAAAAAAAAGGTATGCAGAAAAGAGGAAAAACAGGAATCAACTTACTACACTATTTTATTCTGTGTATTCAGAACGCCATGAAATATACCAATCGCGTCATACAGCTTCAATTACCAGAAAGAAGAGAATATGTTGCCAAGGTAACTCATATGATGGGATATCTGATCACTTCTTTTATTAATGATTTTTTTTTAATCTATTTAGGCAATGAATCAATTGATGGAAGGCATTGGATGGACATTGATGAAAAAAGATCGAGAACGATTTTCTCGTAACGTATTAGCTTTCAAGCGGGAACTCAACATGAATCAAGTGACATTGACGCCTTTATCAAATAGATTAGCTTTATCTGAATTGAATTAATAAAAAAAAATTTTTTTATATATATATATATCATGTTTACGTTTTGTTTTGTTTTGAATGAATGTATATGCATCTTTTCTCTATTTGGACTAATCAAAGCTGCTTACCCAAAAAAAGACAAGGTTTGAACTTTATATTTATATGCACCTGTCTGTGTGTGTGTGTGTGAGTGTGAAAATGTTTGGGTACACAACAAGAAAAACGTGTGCTGCACTAAACATCGAGAAGGGGGGGAGGATGAAGAATCCAAACTCAAAATTCAAATCTAAACTTAAATTCCCCTTTCATCAGGAAGGTCATACTTTCCCCCTAAACCTTAAATCTGTCTTATATGTTACCGTTTTTTTTTTTTTTTTTTGACACATGTTTGTTTATTGAAAAAAAAAAAAAAAACTATACATCTCCTTTTATGTTTCTAGCCACTTGACAAATTTTTTTTTTTTGTATTGATCAATATTTATATAGGTTTTTATTGTTCAAATTTGAATGGAAGCTAATTTCTGTTTCTTTTTTTCATTAGAAGGAGTAGGAGGAGAATGAGATGGTCGTTTGTATACATTGGATTGAGGTTGTTCATCAAACAAAATGGATGTTCTTCGAAGAGTTGGTTGTGATGATCGATATTCTTGTTTGATTGGATTCATGCGATCATCCATCGATGGTAATGGTGCTTTCCCTCCACCTATCCCTGCTAATGTTGGTGTCATACGTGTAGACGATGGTGGCGCTGGTAAAGGTGGTGGTCGGCTGTTGGGGTGACTGACTGGATGCGCTTCATTGGGGGTACTAGGATGGGCAATGGACGGAATGGGTAAATCACGAGAAGGATTTTCACTATGAGGTGACACCTACACAAAAAAAAAAAAAAAAAAAAAAATAAGATCATCCGTGTATGGTAATATAAGTAGCAGTTCCAAATTTTTTTTTTCTTTCATTTCTATTTTGATTTTGGGGGAGTCTTTTTTTTTTTTTTTTTTTTTTTACCAATGGTCGATCATGTCGTTGAAAAGGTGAACTATGTGGTTGTTGTAACAATGGAGGTGGTGAAGGATGTGATGATGATGATGATGGATTGAATGAGTTGGTATCGGTGTTATTGTTATATTGGTATGGATTGTCGACATCTTGAGGAATAGGTGTTGTCATTGCAGATCTAAATATATATATATATATAAAGGAAAGAAAGAATCATCACCTCAGTTACCCACTTTTTTTTTTTTTAATCGATCATCAAGCTAATCTACTTACGATACACCATGTTTTCTTTTAAGTAAATCCAAATGTTGTCGAATATGAGGATTCTTGGGGTCCAATTCACTTGCACGTTGATAAGCATCCAAAGCATCCTGGATCTGATTATTACAGGATTCATACAATGCACCAAGATCGTACCAGACCTCGCTGATGTAAGGATTTAATCGGATGGCGCGACTATAGGCATCGAGAGCATCACGATACTGATTGATTTGATAATACAACACTCCGATGGAGCACCAAAAAGTAGGATTTCGAGCATCACGATACACCGCTTGTTGATACGCCTCGTAGGCTTTACTATAATTTTGTTCTGTCATATAACATCGCCCTAGGAGATACCATGATTGCGCATCTTGACTATCTGCCTTCAATGATCGTGTAAGATACTGGATGGCCATTGTTTGATTGGTGAAGCTAGTATTTTGTTGATGATACAACCATCCTAATTGCTGCAATACTTTGGAGTGATCCGGATTCTCCTTTAATACCCTTTCATATGCTTCTTTCGCCCTTTCGTATTCCTTTTGTTGTTCGTATACGTGTCCTTGCTGAAACCAAATGTCTACTTCTGTCAAAGGTTTTGGAGGTCGTGATAAAATATATTGAAAGCACTAGTAAAGTAAAAAAAAAAAAAAAAGGTAATCAGTAACCCTTCCTCTTTTTAATGGATGATGGATGATTGAATGGATGGATGATTGAGTAAATGAATGATTGAATGGATGATGGATGATTGAATGGATGGATGATTGAATGGATGGATGATGATTGTTCTTACCTGTAAAAAAAAAAAAAAAAAGGATAATGAGTAATCCTTCTTCTTTTTTAATGGATCATGGATGATGATTGTTGTTACCTGCAAACTAAGATCATATTTTTGTTGTTGTTTGTAGATGATGCCTAACCTAAAATAAATTTCATTTGTTTTTTCAAATTGAGGATCCATCTTGGTAACGGCAGAAAATGCCTCTTCAGCGTGTTCAATGGAACCGTAACGATCATATAGAATCCCTATACCATACCAAAGTTTTGGATCTTTTGGATTGGGAAGATGATATAATGCTTGTTGATAGGCATGATAGGCTTCTTGTAAATGATCCATCATTAAATAACAATGACCAAGGCTACCCCACGTTTCTCCATTGGCTTCTTGGATAGCCAGTATCCGTTTAAAATAATCAACTGCTTGACTAAATTGTTCACGACCACGACATAAAGAGGCAATCTGAGTCAATGCACGAATACTATAAGGATTGTGCCGAAGTGCAGATTCATAAGCTTGAATGGCTTTTTCCCAATCTGACATCAGTTCTGCTAGGTTGCCTATAAATAGAATATAGAACAAAGTTACTTTTTTTGGACTAATCGTGGCGCGCGCGTACTCTTTTTTTTTTTTTTTTGGTTTTGTTTATAATCTCCATAAATTCCCTCTTCCTCCTATCCCCCCCCCAAAAAAAAAAAAATTCACTATCATCATCAAGTAATAGTTGAATGATTGGTTACACATGATATATATCACACACATATACACACACAGAGAGAATATTATATCGTTTTTTTTTTATGAAAAAAGCCAAAAAAGAGGAGTAAATCCAAACCTTCTTTTATCGATATCCTCTCCCTCCTGCCTATCATCCCCCCCTTCTTCTGTTCCAAATACAAAACAGACCGACTTTTTTTTTTCTTTCCGTTCTTTTCTCTTTTACATACCCAAAGTCAACCAAGCATGTTCGTTGGCTGATGCTAATTTTTGAACAATAGTAGAAGGAGACATCTTATTTGTGTAAAAATAATGATGATGATATTTATGATGATGATGATGATATACAAATGATACAATGATATGGTGGCATACACCCGTAGAAAAAAAAAAACAAAAAGGAAAAAAGAAGAAAAAAGAAAAAGGAAAAAAAAAGCAAGTCCATCATTAAATAAAGAGATGATATTATAGAAATGCTAAGGAGCAAAAAAACAAAAAAAAAAATCTTGGGGGAGCATCTATGATGGGGGGAGCATCATAACGATGACGATGTAAACTCAAAAAAAAAAGGGGGGAGAGGTAACTTTGTATTTTTTTTTTTTTTTTTTTGTGATGAATAACAAACTAAATGACAGCTGCGAATCATTCACTCCGGTGGCATTAAACTAAAACTATAATAAAGTGACACCAAAAAAAGGGTAAAAAAAAAAAAAAAAAAAAAAAAAGAACTACCTTTTTGTCACAAGTCATCCCTTCTTATCCCCCCTTGTCGGATATCGCTAAAATGGGGGTTCCATTTTCATTCGATCACATTTTCGTTGTAAACGGAGCCAACATAAACAAAAGAGTTGAAACGATTGAATTTAATCTTGGCAATTGCCCGGGATCCTTTCCCCCCTTTTTTTTTTCTCTTTTCCACTTAAAGAATTATCATGATGTATCAAACTATATATCATTTATATTTCTGATGATCTTCTTTCTGTTTGTAATAATGATAATATTTTTATTATGATTACAAGACTCTATGAAAATGATGATAATAAAAAATGTGATATTGGTCATCTTTATCTTCGTTCATTCAATACCAATAGGGTTATAGGTTGAATTGGGTTATTTCACATGCCGCCTTTTTTTTCTCTCTCTCTCACTTTTTCTCTCTCTGTTTATTCTTTTTTTTTTTTCTTCTTCCATCTTTTTTTTTTTTTTTTTGTACCTAGATCAATATATTACGATCTCTTGTCTAGTTTCTATTTCAGTCTATTAGATCGTCTTTTTGTTTATATTCCATTATTCACTCTTTTTAAAACAAAGGAAACCAATATAGTTGATGATGGCTCCACAATTCAAGACAGTTGTCACCAACGTACCTGCTTTAACCAAAGCATTATTGACTAGTGTATTGATGATCACTGGTATGGCCTCTATTTATATTTACCGTCAACAATTGAACTCTGATACCCCTCTTGTGTATTTTCACTGTCCTTTGCTTGGACTTGTCCCTGGCTTGTAAGTTTTCTTACCTTTCTTCTTTTTTTTTTTCTAACACTTCTCTTTTCTTCTTCTTAGGGTATTGTATGCACCATGGACTTTGGCCACTAGTTTATTCTATGAAAATACTTTACTTTCTGTAAGTCTGTGATAGATGTGTATATCAGATATTGGTTATCTTAAGATTCTCAACATCTCTCTCTTTTTTTTTTTTTTCTCAATGTAGTTTATACTAGCAATGGTGGTACTTCTTTTGTGCGGTAAATATTTGGAACGAGTATGGGGAAGTCGAGAGTTATTTAAATTCATCATGATTACTGGTCTTGTATCCAATATTGTTACCTGGTTTGCTATGGTGATGACTTTTTATATGACTGGCGATGATAATTATCTTTACAATGTCCAAATCAATGGTCTTGCTGGTGTCTTCTCTGCCTTCTTGGTTGCTTTCAAATTCTTGATTCCTGAACATAGACTCTCTCTTTTTGGTGGACTGGTAGCCATTCGTGTAAAAAATTTGATTGGTGTCGCTACCTTAGTAAGTATCATCTGTTTGGTACTATTCAAAGCTCTTGTTTTTTATAATTTGGTTAATATTGGTTGGGTTGTTGGTTGGATCTATATTCGTTTCTTCCGTGTGCAAGATGGTGTCCGTGGTGATCGTAGTGATGCTTTTGCCCTTGTCACTTTTTTCCCTCCTTTTCTCAGGTAAACTTCATTTGTCAATTTGAATCTCTCTCTCATATTTACTCATCAATCTATCATTTGTTTGTAGCCCTGTCATCGGTTTCCTTTCTAATGTCACGTATCAATTTTTTGTCAAGATGAACTTATGTCCTCCTATGTCTCGTGGATCAACAATGTATGATATGGAAAATCAACGCCATCCAACAACTCCTTTACCCGGAAGCGCTAGAGCAGAAGCAGAACGACGAAGAGCTTTGGCTTTAAAGGCTTTAGATATGCGATTATCGAAACCATCTAGTTCGAGTCAAGTATTATCATCATCATCAACATCAACTTCTGCCGCTATACCTACGATAGCAACAACGAATAACAATACCTCTGTTCCTGTTAGTACCAGTTCAAATATCAATACCTCAACAGTACAGGAACAACAACAATTGGTTAAAAATGATAGTGTATTATTTGATGCCACGACAGAAATGAACAAGGAAGGGTAGTTAAGTGTTGTTTTGTATAGTATTAGTATTATATATTATATAATTATTTTTTAGAAATAAAAAGATCCATTTATTTATCATTCTATATACAAAACTAGAGCACAAGAAGATTAACCACAATAATATTTTCTTTCTATAAAGTACACCATTAAAAACAATGAGCTTGCCCCTCGTTTTGATCTCTACCTGGTCGCTATTTATACTCCGGCTCAAAATTTTTTCTTCCAATAAAGAAAAGAAAAAAAAGTTTTGGGCGGGGAGGGCTTTCCAAACAAAAACAAAAAAAAAAAAAAAAAAAAAAAAGTCCCCTTCTCTTTTTCTTTCTTTTTTTTTTTTTTTTCCACTTATCCTCCAACTTTGTATCCAATCACAATAGCACTGATAGAAAGGCACGTCTCTACATGTCTTTTCCTTTACTGCTCCAACGACAAGGGGTACTACTACGATCGTGGCACCGGATCGCTCCTTCTCGAACATTATGTCGAACATGTTTATTAGCAAGACGACAACAACATACCCTAGTCACCTCCTCCTCTATGGTTCGCAGTAAAAATGGAAGAACTCAGTTATTATATTCATCAACTTCTTCATTCATTCAACAATTATTACTACAACAACGAAGACGCGTTCACTTCAGTGTATCGGAACCTGATCCTAGATTAGAAAAACTCATTTCTCTCCTTCAACATCCACCTCAACAACAACAACAACAACAGCAACAACAACAGCAACAACAACAACAACAACAACAGCAGCAACAACAACAGCAATTTCACCAGCATATCATTCGGCGTCGAAAATATAGAGTCAAGTTAGCTACATTATATGAAGACATTCGACATGATGATCAAGTATGGCGACAGTTAGAAATGCATCAGTTGATGACTCTGTACTCGGCGTTACTACCCTCCATTGCGGATCCTTCAACATCAATATTGACCAAGAATGCACAGCATGTATTACAAGACATTCAACATCATACCCCTCACAAATTCAACATGGTGCATACCGAAGCGTTATTAACCAACTTTAAAGACAATGGACAAGTCAAGGAAGCAATCGCCTTGATGGATTGGATTCATCACGAATCACGACTGGAACCTTCTGCTACTGCTTATGAACTGATGATCGCTACTTTGACTACAGCATTGACAAGAACCACAAAACGAAGGCGGAAGGAAATGATGACGATAGATCATATGGCGTTGGCATTATATTATTGGGAACAGATGGCATCTTTGAAAAGGGCAACGATGGATCAAGCTATGGGTTATATCATGCAAGGTTATTTGGCAAAAGGCGATCTAATGAAGGCAGCAACATGGCTTACATCACATAGCAACATCAACTCAAGTCACAAGCTACAAAAATTGATGGAACAGAAAGCAGCAATCAGCAATCATGGTGGTGAAGAGGATCAAATTTGGGCATTAGCAACAGTGGGATATGGATTGGATCAATTGATGCGACAGGTTATACAACGGAATTGGTTTCAAGACGCACGGCAACTTTATCGACAGCATTGTATACTTTATAAAAAACACTCAACTTTACTGGAACATCATCCTATAAAGCAGGCTATGGGCGGTCTGACACAATTAGTACATCGGTGTGTGGCAATCAAGCATTTGGGAATGGTAGAACGCCTGTTGGAAGATGCGATTGAATTAGGTCATAGACAAGGAATCAAAACAGTGGCACCTCTATTATTACAATCTTATTTGAACTCGGACAATATACGATATGCTATGGACGTTTATTTTCGACTGGAAAAACAACAACAACAGCAGATGAATGATCCTATATTTTCGATACAAGAAACAAACCCTCTTTTGCTTAAGGCTACCAAAGCGAAATACCAGACGGACATGTATCGACTTTACCAATCCTATGTCAGTCTTTACCCCTCAGCTTTGACCCTCCAAACCTATACCCGTGTTTTTCAAACTTTGATTCGAACAAAACAATACGACCAAGCTCGACAGGTATATCAAGATATCATTCACAAATTCAGCGAATCCAACAACTTATTGATGTCATCTCGTCCTGGTCATGTCAATCGATTTTTACATCTGGCTTATTCCCTCTGTGCTCAATTGGGTGATGTTAAACTTTTCCAATCCGTGGTGGCATTACAACGATTCACTGGTTCACACAATTTACATCATCATGCTTTGACATCTTTGATGGCTACCTATATCAAATCTGGACAACTCACATCTGCCAAAGCAGTATTCGACCACTTGGCACACCATTTACCTGATCATCAACAGCAACATGAATCACATTCCACTTATGATTCCAGTGATAACGATAACGACAATGATGACATCGAAAGCGGCAATAACAACGACAGTGGACATTTAGATGATACTCGGCCAAATGTGGATGTAGTGGACTTCAACTTACTGATACGTACCATTGGAAAGGAACATGATCGTTATCAACAACAAAGTGATGCTAACGACCAACTGGAACCAGTAGCCAATCGAATTTTGGATGTATTACGACATATGTCTATGGTGGATGTGCTTCCGGATGTGACGACTCTACGGACATTATCTGATTTATATCCTGAAGGAAGTGTAATGGAAGATGAAATATTTATCAAGTTATTGAACGATCCGACATCGACAAAACATGATGATATCTGGCTCAACAATATCAAACTCACCAAATGTATGTATGTTGGTAACAACAACAACGTTGATCGTGGAAAAGCGGCAGTGAAGGCGGCATATATTTTTTTATCGAACCAACGTAATCAATTGTTTTCAGCAGCAGGCGCGAACGAGCCCATTCTGGCCAATGGGATGACATACAAGCTTTTACTGGATGGATTGACACGACATGCTAGATTTGCAAAGCAGGCTCAACAAATATACGATCATATGCGATCTCGTGGATGGCGACCTCCTGTCACGGTATATGAACAAATGATGGATGTCTGGATACGGAAAAATAGACTCAACAAGGCTATGATGGTGATGGATCAAGCATGTCAAGATCTTGGTTTGGAAGTCGCTCCTACAAAATGGTATACTTTTATTTTGGATCGGTTGATGCAACACAAAAAATCTCATTTAGCAGACATTTGGGTACGATTGATCAAGGATAGGCAAATTGATGTGGATGATATATTGGCTCAACGGTTGATTCTTTATGGTTTTGATTCGTCTTCTCCTTCCTGCTCCTCCTCTTCATCATCATCTTCTTCTACTACTAGTGTTACTACATAATTTATTATATTCCCTCCCTTTTCTTTTATATTATTATTATTATCATCATCATTCTCTTTTGTACATTTTTTTTTCTCCTCTTTTCCCTCCCTTTATAGAAATAGACCCATCTCCCATACACCCTTTTTTATATATACATATTCATATATATATACACACATATCTCAATAAATAATGAATTCACATTATATATATATATATATGTATATAGTTGAATAATACAACACAATTAAAAAAAAAAAAGTCATATAGTTTTCTTTATTCTTTTCCAAAAAATAAAAGTCTATATACATAAGTGCAAGTGGATCCATCTATTTATTGATCTAACTGTAAAGAGGTATGTAACCAATGTTGAATATAATGTTGATGACGAGAAGGACAAGGCTGTTGTTTTTGTTGTAATTGTTGTCGAACCAATTGCCAGTGATCATCAAGTCGAGACTTCAATTCATCCTCAGATAAAGTCCAATGGAGAAGACAAGGTTGAGGTTCAAATAGATCAACTACACCATGTACTTGTGTTTTAGCAGCTTCCACCAGAGGAGGTAAATCAGTCGATATTAACGAATTCCACGCCTGTTCCACTTGTGCCTGCAAGTATGTTTCCATTGTAGATGTCGTTGTTGCTCCTTGTTGATGAAGACATCGATAGTTGTGTCGTGGACATTGACGTTCCATTTCCTCTTGTACCATCGTCTGTAACGTATTACGATTCACTTGAGATAGATGTCGATTCCAGATACCTGGTAACTTGTCTTCTAAAAATGCTAACAAAAAAAAAAAAAAAAAAAAAAAAAAAACAGATGATATGTGAGACTATATGAGTTTTTTTTTTTTTTTTTTTTTTTTTGTATTTGCTTTTTTGATCACATACATCCAACTGCTCCTTGGAGTTGACCCAGCAATACATTCAAATCAACACGAGTCATAAAGGTATCATTCCCGTCATTGTGGTCAATGCTATTATCATATATGTCGAGTGTCAATGAGGTTCGAATAGTGCTAGCGATATGTTGAGATAGCTGATATACAGAAGGGTCAACATGGTCAAAGAGAAAATGAGTCGATACTATTTGTGCCCAGGCATGAATATCCACAATAAAATCGTCGTTCTGATCAACAGAGATGGGTATAGCTTTAATCGTTGTCATCACCATGACCAATAAGATTAAAAAAGAATAACTCCATTTCATTTTCCACCTGCAGAAAAGAAAAAAGAAAAAAAAAATAAGGAAAGAGGTAAAGGGGAAAGAAATTTGAAAAAATAAAAATCGGGAATGAAAAAAGCAGACAGCACGTTAAAAAAAAAAAATGGAAGTAACCTGTGCCATAGAGATCACAACAACATACACGAGGGAAAAAAAAAAAAAACTGGATCTCCTTGTCATTCATTTGGGATGATCAGCAAATGAGGTTAGTTAGTTTTATCAACTTCATTTATTACTGTCTAATTTTTTTGTACTCTACATATCACTGGGTTTGGTAGTACATACATTTGTACTTCCAGAACTGAATAAAAATAATGTTTTGTGTCCCCACTCTTTCTTCCAGTTTATTTATTTCTATTCCATATAAGAAAATGATCGTTTTTTTTTTATATACTACTTAAGAAGATGTACCAAAAAAGGAAACATTCATGTCGCACACACCTTTGTTTTTTTTTCTTTTTCGGATGTAGTCAACATTCATGATGATGACTACTACTAAAAATAAGTCATCTTTATATCATCATGATCAATACAAGTGATAGAACAATATATAAAATGATTCTATTTTATTATCTGATCATGAAAAGTACAAATTCCAGAACAAAATTAAAAAAGAGAGAGAAAAAAAAAGAGAGTTATTCTAAAACGATATTCCATTTCAAATCAATCATAGCAGAAAAACAAAATGATTATTTCAATACCAAAATACGTAAATATCTATACTACATGTCTCTTCATCCAATTAGAAACAGTATCATATACTACTAATAATATCCCTCCTCCTGGTCCTAATCTAAGCACTTTGGGCACAAATCCACGATATAAACTTCGAATACTATGACGTTATTCCAAAAAAAAAAAAAAAAAGATATAGGTCAATTCATCTCTAGGTAATATTTTCCTTTAATTTTTCTACTTACCCTTCTTCTCTTCCGATGAGAATAATAGATGGGAATGTCCAATTATATTTCTTTGGTCCAACGCCAGTGTAACCTTGTATCCTAGACTTGACAACATCAGTTGGTGCATTCAGTATGGTACCAAAAATTCCTCCAACGGTACCTGCCACAAAGTTATTCCGTAATTGTTCATTTTTATTCTTCAAAAAAAAAAAAAAAAAAGGATAGATAGTTAATTTTCTGATATTCTTTTCTTATATACGTATATAGTTACCGTTGCTTCAGGTAGCGCACCTCTTACTGTGGATATCACCGAAAAATATCCTCCATTCCAAATAGCATGACGAAGAATAGTTGCTTCCAAACCATTATAAAGGGCGAGTACACCTTCATGTTGAATGATTTTCTTCAGGGCATCCAATGCATTCTTATATTTGCTTGCCTACATATATATATGAAACGGTTGTTGTTAGATGAGAAAAAAAAAAAAAGAACATATAAAAACTTACATTTGCTTTGTCTTGTAATCGCACCTTGACTAGTTCAAAAGGTACAATGACCGCCGCCTCAGTGATACCAGCACTTACGCCTGTTGCCATAGCCAAAGGAGGTGTCACATGGTCCAATCCAAAAAGTCGTTTGTAAAAGACGGTAAATTGTTCATTGGCAGCAAATGTAATGGCCCGCTTTGGTGCTTCTATGGATAATGGAAAAGCAATGCCACGATATAACGTTGGTATACTTATATAAAATCAAGTGAGAATATAATTCAATGATATTGATGATCTATTTTTTTTCTTGTTTCTTACCCTTCATTTCCAATGATATCTTTGAAACTAGATAACACCCCTACACTAACACCAGAATTTAGCTGAGCTCTTGTCTTGACAACTACATATATATATAATAAAAAAGCTTGGATTAGATACATGATAATTGACTTTCTTTTTTTGTTGTATATATGCATATACCCATATATAGTTTTGTAGTACTTACCGTCTAACGGATATAATGCCAAGATCTCAACAACACCTATCACCCCAAAAAAAAACAATGTCATGGAATGGTCAATATAGATACAATAAGATAAGCAGTAGACTGACAAGAAAAGGTTCAGACATACCAGCGATAGCACCACAAGTCAATTGTAGTGAAAAAGGTAAGTCTAAATACAATATATGAAATAAAAGGGACTTTAATAATCAGTCAAAAGTCATGGAAGATTCTCTCACAATGTTTACCTTTGCCATTATCTGCAGTGGAGGACATGTCAGTATTATAATAAAGTAATAAGTACAGAAACGAAGGGATTCTTAAAAAAAAAAAAAGAAAAAAAAAGAAAAGAAAAAAAGAAAAGAAAAGAAGAGCAAAAAAAGTAAGAGGAGGGTGGGAATTGAGATCCCATAAGAACCCATTGAATTCCTTCTCCGAATGTGCCTGCATTGATCGTAGAGTTAGAACTCGTGTTCATCCTTCTCTCTTTGATCTAGCCACTGCTTGTTTTTTTTTTTTTTTTTAATAATTTCACTGATGTCTCATTTGGATGATTCATTAACCATTGCACATAAGGTAGACATATACAGCATCCCTTTACGCTTTTGTAACTCGTTCAAATAGCATCATCACTGCACCAACTTTGAACTGAATATAGATGACATCTTTTTCTTTCATTTGTCTTAATAACAATTGATACCTTACCTCCCAATTTACTACGTAATTTAAAAAATAAAAGTCAATTCAATCATCTCTCATTCAATAATGATCATCATCCAATAAAATGACTACCATTGGATTCCTCTCAAAAAAGTAGTTTAATACCATCTAATCTCATTTCATCACTTATCTTGCCACGTAATGTGCAATAAATACTAAAAGGATTTTATCGATTTTTTGAAAAATTGCCTGATGTACCCTCGACGATTCATTTTTACAGCCAAACTTAAGCTGAGGAGTTCCAAATTTTTGGCTGTAAAATCCAAAAACTGATCCCATTTTTTCATCCTGCATACAAGCTTGGAAACACAACTTTACCTTTCCCTTTCTCTTTCAAAACGGATCATCATTGTACCAAACTCAAACAGAAAATAAAACAAATCATTTTATTTCATTTTAACTTATGAAATTTATAGATTATTATTAAATTTATAGAGTAAATTAAAAAAAAAAAAATGGGTATCCATATCGCCATCTTTGCTCCCGATCTTCATCCTTGGTGTGATATTTTCAATCTCTACGAACGAATACCCCAAGATGAAGTCTGCATTGTTCATCCACTCATCCATTTTCCTTTTTTTTTTTTTTTTTTTTTGCCTTCCGTCAGTAGCATGGAGACCTACATCATCTATCATTAACCACCGTCATCCATCATTTCGTATAACACAAAGACCAAATCAGACAAGATCAAAATTTGAGACAATATAGTTTTCAATGAATCATCAACTAAATACACCCCTTAATCTTTTCTTTTTATTAGTTGAGATAATAAAAATCATAAAATAACATGTAATATAAAAGAGAAAGATCATTCAAAAAAAAGGGATAATATAGATCAATTGATCAAAAAAAAAAAAAAAAACTAATCTAATGCAAGGATCCTAAGCAGAGTGAAGAGTTTCCAAAAACTTCTTGGAAGCAGCAGTGCTAGCACCCTTCTTGGTAGGTTGAGGTTTGGCGACCTTACCAGCTTCACGCTTTTGTTGAGCGATGATTTCAGCACGACGGAGGACTTGAGCATAGGGATTGAGACGATTCATAACACCTTGGTTGCGAAGAGGGTTCTTCTTTTGAGTGAAAGGACGTTTGACAATCTTGGGACCAGCAGCACGGACAACGGATTGGATTTCTTGAGAATTGATCAAACGAGAAACATCAGGGTTGGTCATGATATTATCGGGCAAGACATAGTTCTTCTTGAAGGTAGAGGGTTTTTCATAAGTACCATAAATATCATCCAACAATTGGAAAGCACCTTGAGTCCAAATGATGAAACGACCCAAGTGACCACCAGGAGCCAATTGCAACAAATTAAGACGACGAACATTGATAACTTCAACACCAGGTAAATTGCGGAAAGCCTTGACAATACCATTGTCTTCGTTGTAGATAACAAGAGGACCACGACGTTGGCGATGACGACGGTTTCGAAGCTTACCCTTACCAGCACGAATCTTACGAGAATTGGAGACCTTGACAACATCAGCATAAGCTTCAAGAGATTTCAAGAGGGCAACAGCTTCCTTGGTCTTGGTGAATTTTTCAACTTGATCGGAAACAACCAAGGGAACTTCTTCAATTTGTTCAACACGATGACCACGAGCCATAACCAAAGAGGGAAGAGCAGAAGCAGCCAAAGCAGAGGCAGTGGCATATCGCTTTTGGTTCAAGTTGGTCTTGATGTGCCACTTACGCCAGGTCTATATATAATGGAAGATAAAAATTTTCATAAGTTTCCTAATTATATTATTTATTATTTTTTTTTAATTACCTTGGTAGGAGCGAACATACGACCACCACGGCACATATTACCGAAAGCAGCTTGACCAGCACGGTGAGTACCAGAACCATTAACACGAGGAATACGAGCAACAGCACGACCAGTACCCCAAGATTCAGCAGAGGTTTGTTCACCAGCCTTGGAAGAGACAGCGTAAGGTTGACGCTTGTTCTTAGCCATGTTAGTGTGCACATGGTTCACGATATCAGGACGGATAGGAGCCTTGAACACAGCAGGAAGAGGGATAGTAGCATCGCTGGCTTTACCAGTTTCGGCGTAGACATTAATAATTTGACGAGTAGCCTAATGATAATAATAAAAGATTAAAAAAGGAATATGAGACCTTGATCATTTTATTCATCCACCGTATTATTCGTTCCTTTCCATTCAATCCATCCATTCAATCCATCCATCCATCCACCCATCCATCCATCCATCCAAATTCAGTTCAATCCAAAATTCACTGGTCACTCTTCTTTCTTTTCTTCTATATTTACCATTTGGAATATGTAGGTTATCGTGTACTGTAAATAGCAAAAAAAAAAAAAAAAAGAGGGGTTCAAAGAAGAAAAGGAAAAAAAATAATCGCCTCAAATATCATAAAAAATGGCCCGGTAGAATGAGCGCGGATTGAATTTACGTTTGTCATAATTTGACCTAACCCAGTGCCAATAGACAAATCCTCCTCTTTGAACATTTGCTAAACCATCATGGTAAAGACGAAATAATAGATATATATATAAAGATGATTAACATGGATAAATACGATGAATGGATGGATGGATGAATGGACGGATGGATGAATGAATGAATGGATGAATGAGAATGGATGGATGGATGGATGGGTGGATAGTATGGATATGATACTTGGAAATTAAATTATCGATATTGAATGATGGTGAAATGGTTGAATTGATAAAAGCATCAGAATTAACTCACTCTATCTTCTCCTGCTCTTTTATTCGATAATATATAGGGTCGCGTTCGTACCAAGACTGTCAAGAAGGCCTCTCGTGTCTTGATTGAAAAGTACTATCCTCGTCTTACTCTCGATTTCCAAACCAACAAGAAGATCTGTGACGAAGTGGCTATTATCACCACCAAGCGCCTCCGTAATAAGATTGCTGGTTTCACCACTCACTTGATGCGCCGTATTTCCCGTGGTCCTGTCCGTGGTATCTCCTTCAAGTTGCAAGAAGAAGAACGTGAACGTCGTGACAACTATGTTCCTGAATTCTCTGCATTGGATACCTCTGCTATTGAAATCGACCCTGATACCAAGGATTTGTTGAAGTCTCTCAACTTTGAAAACTTACCTGGTGTCCAAGTTACCAACCCTGTTGCTGCCAACGCTGATGTCCGTCGTCCTCGTACCCGTGGAAAGAAGATTGAAGCTTAAAATTTGCATCTATGGATAGTACTATCTTCTTCACCTATTTAGTTTAGTTCTCTATTTGTTTTTACAGCATCTTTTTTTGTAAAAATAAAAGCTATTCTATATATATTCATGTATTAAAAAAAGAATGATTGATTGATTTTATTGTATAGTGTGAGACTGATATATATGGTATTTTAATAATAGTAACAATAATAATAAAAGGGTGGAAAAAGTGTTTCTTTTTTTTTTATGGTCTACAATTGTACACCTTTGGATATGAGGTCAGTTTTAGCTAGTTGAATTTCCTATCCATAAAAAAAAAAAAGGATATTAAAGCGAATGATATGATATTATTCTTTCTTTTATCAAATATAATTTACCTGCATCAGTTCTGTATAAGCATCAGGACAATCACTAAAAGTAAGGATATGCCAACCAAGGTAACCCAAACTGTATGATCCAAATGTCATTAAAGCCCACCAAGGAAACTATAATGATATATAGATTTAGATTACGCGATTCTTTTCTTTTTCTTTTCTTTCATCACTTTTTTAATTTTGACTAACTTACCACAGGAATGAGTTTATCTTGTACAACTTCAGGTAAAGGTAAAAGTCCAAGGAATAATACAGTATATATAATGGTTACAATAACAACAGTTCTAAATGTTTCACTGGCTCTTGTCATGATAGTTTTTTTATGGGGACTGATTGTGTGAACAAGAGGGAAAAAAGGAAGGAAGAAAAAAAAAAACTGACTTGGAGAATGTTTCTTTTTTAGTTGGCACGCCTCTTCCAAATCAATTAAAACACCGGTCAATTTGATATGAAGGGATCTTCTTTTTTTTTTTCTTCTTCTTCTTTTTCAAATATCTTTCTAATATCATGGTAAACCGTGATTCCGATAGTTGACTTGTTATTATCTATTACTAACTTATGGAAAATACAAACTAGGGCACGGGTATAGATAAACTATCAGGCACAATTGGCTTCTTTTTGGCATCTGCTTTATTTATCTATTATACTGTTTGGGTTTTACTAATGGTATAAATATATATATATTAATAAAAACGATAACTCATATAGATTATTCTCTTTATTATTTATTTAGCCATTTGTGGATGAAGGACATTTTTTACATAGCTACTTTCCGGAATGGCACCACGCGATACGAATACCATTATTGATCATGATCACTGGATTGACAGCTATCTTTACTTTCCTTGGAACAGTCATGGTAAAAAGCAAACAGTCTAGGAAATGGGATTAAATGATATCATATATACCTTTTTTTTTTATTATTTTATTAATATTTATTATTATCAATAAAGCTTTTGTATTATATCACACTATTCTGTTTTTAATGATGAAGGATGATTGTTCACAATATTGCCCACTGCCAAATCATTTACAGTATTTTTTTCTTTTTGTTGTTGATGATACTTCGCTAATCTTCTTTTCTGTAGGCGAATCAAAGGACCTTTGACTGTATAACATATGATGCCACCGACAATGGTAAAGATATAACTGTAGTAGTAAACAGAGTGAAAAGCCACCATATATTTATCGGTAGTCAAGAGCATGAAAGAAGCACTCATAATATTGATGCTACTCACTGTAAGGAAAATCCCTATAACATCATAGATTGGTTTAATTACTGGTAATCCATGCTTCATATCAGGAGACAACAATAAAGGTCGTACAATACGTCTCATCAATCCAGCTACATGTTGAATCATTGCCACTGATAAGAAATAAACTAATCAAAAAAAAAAAAAAAAAGAAGGATGATTAAAGTTGATATGGAAAAAAGTGGGATGATCATTCATCATGATATATACCATAATATCCAGGGTGGAAACCATGCCAAATAGAGGAAATCACATAAGTAAGAAGCATAGGAGGGACAACAGGCTTTTGCTTTGATCCAGGAGGTGAGACAACGCGCATATAAACATAATGTTTTAACCAACGATTGCCTCCCGAATTCCATCTTTCTACTAACACCTTAAAACAAGGGGCCCAATCTGTATTCAAATTCGCATTGACAACACGATCCCAGCGTGGATGATCCTTTTCATCAAACCCGTTGAATCCTAATCCTACTACCATACATGCACCTTCGGCTAACATCCAGACAGTATAAAACCTGAATCGTGTTAAGGGTCCAACAATTTGAACAAAAATAAACCTAAAAAAGGAAAATCGGATGTTTAACTTTCAAGATGCATATGTAATAATACACTCCTGAGCAACATCTTTTTTTTTTTTTTTTTTTTTTTTAGTGATATACCTATGAACAAAGGGCATATTCAAATAATCTGATGTTAAAAGAGCTTCATAATTATAAGTAGGATGAATAAATATTAGGCCCATGATCATAAAAAACACTTTGAGGAAAACGATAGAGACTGGTTTGATACAAGATAAACGAATATTGCGCTGTTTTTCTGTGAGCGGTGAAGGGGAGGTTTCATTTAGGGGTAAAGTCAAAAGACGGATATAATCCATGTAATCACAAGCAGGACCAGCTAATACGCCACCAAAAAATAACATCCATCCAAAGAAAGTGATAAGTGAGGGATAATCTTGAGGGTCAATTTGCATACGTAGATGAAAGGGACTGATGGTTGATTTATCCTTGGTACGACCATCAATTACATTGAATCCAAAAGCAGATAATTTCATGATCACTACCATCAAGGCACCAGAATAATCAAGTTTACTATCACCTTTGATACCACTGAATTGACGATCAAGATGACTACAAATTAAAAAAAAAAAAAAAAAAATAAAAAATAAAAAAAAGGAATCAATTCGTATTATGATCATTGACTTTAATATTTATATTACCAAATAGACATGGAAATCATGATGACAAAGAAGTTGATCCATGGACCTTGTTTACCGTGATAGAATTTCATAAAGATCCAAGTAAATAAACAAGTAGACATGATATGAAAGAAACCTAACCATGATTTGAGGACACCTAAAAGTACATAGGTACTAAAGATGATGGAGAACAAATGTTTAAAAAAAGGATTAGGAAGACGATTAAAGATAAAAGCCGCTGGATAACAAGCAAATAAACAAGTCAATAATTTCAGATGATCAGTATTGACTTGACCTCCCATCATCGAGGCTAATTTAGAGAAAAAGGCATCCATAATGATTATAATTTAGATAAAGAAAAGAAAAAAAAAAAAAAGAGAAAAAGTAAATGGATTTTTTTTTATAGATTCTCCCTTATTCTTCTCCCTTTATTCTTCATCTTCTCCTTCGTCATTTGTAGTCTCTTCCTAATTTGGTTGCTGTGTTACGAAAGTAAATTTTGATTGTGTTTGGCTCAAAAATTAAAAAAAAGCTGGGCTTTCTTGTTTTAGTCTTCTTTTTTCCCTTTTTTTTTTTCTTTCTTTCTTTTTTTCTTATATATATTTCTTTATATTTGTATTACATATATTTACATACTATATATTACAATGGCTCAATCATCCGGCCCTTTCGATGATCCTAGTAATCCTTTTCAAGATCCTTCTATCACTTCAGCTTTGAATTCACAACAGCAACATCATCTTGAAGAACAAGGCACTATCGGTGGTTATGAAATGGACCAAAAGACAGCTGTAGAAGATGACTTTTTAACGGATACTTCTTTTCATCATGTACAAGGTGCACACGATCCTTTTAGTGGTAACGGTAGTAGTAGTAGTAACAACAACCAACATGATTTACTACAAGAACGCGAGGAAACTTTACGGAAAAAAGAACAAGAATTGGCTGATCGTGAACGTGCTTTGGAAGAACGACAACGACGAGGAATAGGACGTACAGGAGCCAATAACTTCCCACCTTGTTTTCCTATCATGTATTTGGACATTTCAGTTGAAATTCCTGACGAACATCAATGGACAGTATGGTGGTTATATCGTGAATGGTTATTATTTGAAATTACTTTGGTATTGAACTTTATTGCTTGTTTGGTCGTCCTTTTCTCTCATCCTCCTTCTGTTACAAGTGCTCCTACTAATATGGGCGTGGCTTTGACTGAAATGTTTACTCATACTGCTGCAAGTTTCTTTCTATGGTATCGACCTGTTTACAATGCTTATATGAAGGAAGTCTCATTATATTATTGTAAGTAATCTATTGATAGTAAAAAAAAAAAAAAAAGAATCCGACTGATTTTTATATATAATATTCAACATAGTCTTTTATTTTATATTCAATGGTTTTCATATTGCTTATACCTTTTACATGGCTGTTGGGATTCCAAATACGTAAGTTTAGATGATTTACATTTTTTATCAAAAAAGGAATTATACTGATATTTTATTTTAGGGGTGGAGCTGGATTGATCTTATTGGTGACACTCTTCAGTGATCAATACATCGCATCAGGTGTCTTCACTTTATTAGCGACTATCTGTTGGTTAGTGATGGGTGTAATGGCTGTATATCTATACAAACGTACTTATGATCATTACAAAGCTGCTGGGCACACTTTCAAAGAAGCAAAGCAAGATGCTATGGTTCATATTGGTAAATCGGATGTTGCACGTGGAGCTGCTGTTAGTATGGCAAAACAAAGTGTACGTAGATAAATAGCATTCATATTAGTGAATATTGAATATAGATAGTTTTTATTCAGTTTTGTTTTATCAATAAACTATTTTGTTGTATCATTCTTCCCTTCTACACTTTATCTTTGCACGACACGCTGTAATCATAGGTTTTCATAGTCCGGCCGACTTCCCCGCTTTTTTTTTCATTTTTTATAAATTTGTTTCTTTTTTCTTTTTTTCTTTCTTTTCGTTTCTTTTCTTCTTCCTCTTTTTTTTTTTTTACAGTATTTCTTTTTCTGAACAATAGAACATCCATACACCATCCAAAAGTTTGAAATATGACCAACGTATATTCCAAACCAGTGGACACTCATTCATGGGCATTGATGGCCTTATTACGCAAGAAACAAGTTTATGGTCCTCTCTTCCTATCTATAGCTACTGTATCAGCATTTCTTTCCTATCAACGAAGCACGAAATCGCAACCACAACAAAAACAAAAACAACAAAGTACTGATGCATCTCTTTTTCAATCACACAAATCCCTATTTCCTGTAGTTGACAATATGCAAAAAAAAGTGGGTGTCAATGAAGAATTCCGTCGTCAATTACGATCTTTGGCTGTCATCTTATTCCCTAGTTGGCATACCAAGGAAGCTGTCCTTTTAGTGTTACATTCTATCTTTTTAATCCTTCGAACTTATTTAAGTGTGGTGGTGGCTCGCTTGGATGGTCGAATTGTTAAAGACTTGGTAAAAAAAAAAAAAAATAAAATAAAAGAATATATGTAATATTATGCAAAAAAAAAGGATAAAGAACTTATATTATCTCTATAATTTTATATACTAGGTCAACGGAAATGGTAGAAAGTTTTTACTTGGTCTTGTGTATTGGTTTGCTATTGCTCTTCCAGCAACTTATACTAATAGCATGGTAAGGAAGAAAGCTATTCCAACACAGAGAGATAGGAGGGGGTGGAGGCATTTTTGGAAAAAAAAAAAAAAACTTTTTTTTTGTCCTTTCTCCATGTATTATTTAACATGTGAAAGTTCAAAATTGCGAATTATGCTTTCTCATTGGTTTTTTTTATTTTGATTTTATAGATCCGATATCTTCAATCCAAATTGTCTATTGGCTTCCGAACACGCTTAACTCAATACGTTCATGACCTTTATCTTGACAAAGAAAAAACATTTTACAAGGCTGTGAATTTGGATTCTCGTATACAAGGCACTGATCAGTAAGTATATACTATACAAATGATCATCAATTACCTTATTTACTCAATATGATATCATAGATTTATTACTACCGACATTGCCAGATTTTGTGACACCTTATCTTCATTGTATTCTAATCTTGCAAAACCATTACTGGATACCATTATCTTCAATTACCAATTGACAAGATCCATAGGTTGGTTGGGTACTTTTGGTTTGGGTGTGAATTATTTTGTCACTGCAAAATTGCTTCGAGCTGTTACCCCCTCTTTTGGAAAATTAGCTGCTATTGAAGCCAAATTGGAGGTAAAGATATATTATTTTTCATTTCCCAATTTAATTTTATTCTTTTCTAGGGTGATTTCCGAAATGCTCATACAAGATTGATTACTAATGCAGAAGAAATCGCGTTCTACAATGGTGCAGAACTGGAACACTCCATCTTGGACAAAGCTTATCTGAAACTCATCAAACATATCAATCACATTTACAAATTAAGAATTAGTTACAACATGTTTGAAGATTTCTTGATCAAATACGCTTGGGGTGCATTTGGATTGATTATGTGTGGTATTCCTGTATTTACTCCTGGTATTGCTGCTGCCGTGACACCTTCATCTTCATCATCATCACAATCTACAGAAGCAGAGTTGGTTGGATCTCGTACTCGAGGTTTTATCACAAACAAACGCCTCATGTTATCTTTAGCCGACGCAGGTGGACGAATGATGTATTCTTACAAGGAAATGGCTGAATTGGCTGGTTATACATCTCGTGTTTATAGTTTGGTGTCAGTTTTACATGCTTTACGAGTCAAGGAATACGATGGTCCTAAAGATAAACGACGTTATGCTCTCACTAATATTGAAGGTCAAATCCATACTACTGAAGCAAAGAATGGTATTATATTTGACAATGTCCCTATTGTGATCCCTATCCCAGGGAAAGATATGGTTGGTGATTCTCTTGTCAATGCTCTTAATATTCATGTTAAACCTGGTGAACATTTGATGATTACTGGTCCTAATGGCGTTGGGTAAGAAACCAAAAAAAAAAAAAAAAAAAAAAAAAAGATGGATGATGATGATATTTACATATATGTATATATATAGTAAAACTGCTGTTGCCCGTGTCATTGCTTCTTTATGGCCTGTCTTTGGTAAGTTCATTAATAATAATATATAGTACAAAGATTGACTAATACGGTTTTATTTCTCATTTTTATAGAGGGTGATTTGTCAAAACCTCAAGATAAGGATATCTTCTATATTCCTCAACGACCTTATTTGAGTTTGGGTTCATTACGAGATCAGTAAGTAAAAAAAAGGAGCAAAATGAATAGATAATTTATTAATAATAAACTCTTATAGAATTATTTATCCTCACACTGTGGACGATATGAAGAAGGCTGGTCGTACTGATGACGAATTGATGGAAATCTTAAAGGTGGTGCATTTGGCTTACATTCCTGATCGTGAAGGCGGATGGGAAACTCAAAAGGAATGGAAAGATGTTTTTTCTGGTGGTGAAAAACAACGAGTAAGTGAAAAAAAGATATATTTTTTTGATTTATTTATTTTAAAAAAACTGATATACTTTATAGGTATGCATGGCAAGATTATTCTATCATCATCCTCAATATGCTGTATTGGATGAATGCACTAGTGCTGTTTCTACAGATGTTGAAGGACTTATGTATTCTCATGCAAAGGATATGGGTATTAGTAAGTAACAATAAAAAAAAAAAAAAGAGGATTAAAATAATAAAGTTTGACATTCTTTTTATTTTTCTAATAGCTTTATTGACGATTTCTCATCGACCTGCTTTATTCAAATATCATCGATTCTTACTAAGATTGACTGGTAATCAAGGACAATGGGAGTATGAAACTATTGGCACTGTCAAGCAACAACAATCAGTAGCTAAAGAAATGCAAACATTGGAACAACAATTGGCCGAAGTGGAATCTATGAAATCGCGTCTCTCGAATATCAATAAAGAATTATCATTATCATGAATCACCCCTCTTTTTTTTTTTTGATTCCCTAGTATATCCTAGACTTTTTTTTTTCTATTATTATTACTACTCACTATTATAGTTTTTGTTGATACTAGTTGAAAATAAATGAACTCTTTTATTTGAACTACCGAACGGTATTTTCGAGGCGTCTACTTTTTTGTTTTCCTTTTTTTTTTCTTTTTCTTTCTCTTTCTTTTCTTTGTTCCTGTTTACATTAAAAAACAAAACAAACTAATATACCCCGTCTATTGCTCTTCTCTTTATATCTATTATCTGTTTTTTTTGATCTTTTTTTTTTTTTTTTGTTACCTTGTCTGTATACATTCCCTCCTTGTCATCTTAATTATATATACACTCATTCAAATAAGCACATATACACGAACACAAACACAGATACACGCATATATATATACTTCATTAACTGTCCAAGTGATGAGTAAGTATCCAAAATGAATTACTTTTTGAACTGTCTTTTTCTAAAAGAAACATTGTTTTTTTTACAGCATTATCCAGGCGCTCTACTACAAGACAACAGGGTAACCCCACTTCACCAACGACTCCTTGCTTAACGTCACAAACCGAATCAGGTTCATCTACAACCGCAACAGTACATGGCACAGGAACTTCAACAGCAAACAAGACATCTGAGGATGAAAGTTCGGATGACAATGCCGTAACCCGGTGTCCTTGCGGAAAAGAAAGTAAGTGAGGGGGTGTTTTTATTTTTTTATTTTTTCAAAAAAAAAAGGTACTTACCCTCTTTTTGTTGTGGCAAACTAGAACTACCTTATCTCTATGACAATGACATGGACGACGGAGATGAAGGTTTAATGGTACAATGTGATCAATGTGAAGTATGGCAACACTGCAAGTGTGTTGGACTTGAAGAAGAGAAGGATATTCCTGATCAATATTATTGTGAACAGTGTCGACCAGAAAACCACAAATCTGTTAAATCAGCTCATGGAAGAAGGTAGTAACTGAATTGACACATATATATATATATATTCAATTCTATTTTTTTTTTTGTATGTATGAATTAGATTCAAACGATTCTATAGTTCTGTCGGATTCACTCAAGGTATGACCCCTGAATTTTTTTTTTTTTGTTTTCAAATTTGTATTCATTTCCGTTTCTCTTTATAAATATAGACCCAAGTCAAGATCCAGTTATTGTCAACAAACCTGCAAAGAGAAGAAAAAAGACTTCAGAACCTTCTGGATCGAGGAAATCATCACGTCATACACCTAACAAACAAAAGGAAACATCATCAGCTCTAGTCGATCAAGAAGTAACGTCAGCTTCACCGTCGCCGTTATTTAATGATAACAACGATAACAATAAAAATAATAAAAACCTTGAAGGAACGGTAATAGAAAATGGCACAAGTGATGTTGATGAAGTACGTATTACAAGATCAAAACGATCGGTTTATTCCCCTGTGGCTGAATCCTTGGAAATGATTACACCTTCTTCTACTGCCTCGACTCGACGAAAGAAACCATCGACTACTCCTAATGGTACTTCACATTTGAATACCCATGCAACTGTTATTCTTTCTACGCTTACTGCCTCACCAACCTCATTAACATCAACCACTCATTCTTTGCCAACCTCAGGAAAACGGTCTTCCCATATATCATCACCAACAAGAAATGCTCAAGGAAGGTTTCACAAGACGGATTCTCGAGCATCCACACCTCATCCGACAACTTCGGGATTTATGCCAACCATGTCTCCGTCCTCGTCCTCATCATCAACAACAACAACAACAACCATTCATACTACCAACGTACGTCGTGATGATACATCTGGTAGTTATTGGAATGAAGATGGATTACCCAGTCGTGAAGGATCTCCTCCTGCTAGAGTCAAATACCCCAATCCAAAAATGACTATGGCGGACATGAATAAAAGAGCCAAGCAAATTATGGATCATATCAATAAGATGAAATCTACATTCCAACAGCAACAAGAAGAGAAAACCTCAACAACAACCTCGACAACGACAACAACAATTACTACTGCGACGTTGATTGATTCTGGATCGACCACAACTGTGTATAAAGCAACGGCGGACAACACCGAGCACTATTCAGGATCTGTACCACCGATGTATATTAATAGCAACACATCCGCAACATCATCCGCTTGTCATTCTACTTTATTTGCAACAAATAGTGATGATGACACTGACAACACAATCGACAATGAAGAAGAAGAACGTCCACGATCTTATTCTACAAGTTCAGTATCATCATCTATTAGTTCAGCATCTACAGTACCCCTTTTATTGGATGATGATGATGATCGACATACTTCATCTTCCTCATTAATGTTGTCAACAGGATCACCTACTTCGCCTATGCCATTGAATAAATTGTTTTTGGAGAAACAAGAATCGTCGTTGGATATGATGGATCGAGTGTACAGGGATCTTCTCAAGTTTCAAAGGAAGTTTGGTCGTATTTTCCAAGGCCATCAAGCATCCTCTTCTGTACGATGATCTCATTTTATGTGTACCTCCTTAGTTTAGTTGATGATACTTGTTTATTGATATTTTGTAGTAGTGATAGAAATTTAGTTAGTGTTTTTTTTTTTTATCTGTTGAAAATAGATGAATAAACAAATCAATTATATTGAGATCGTCCTCTGATTTTGAAATAGAAACAAATCTTTAGTGTGTTTTTTATTTTTTTTTTTTTTTGGATTGATAGAAACCAGTCAATATGATCATTTTTTTTTACTAGTATTGTGTGACATTTGACATATGCAAGCCTCGTCAATCTGTTTTGTTGCTGGAACACGCGGGGTTCATTGATTAGATTTGTATATATAAAAAAAAAGTTCATTTGTAGAAAAAAGAATATTCGTTATAAATATCACATTTTAAGTATAATAAAAAAAATGTTCTATATATAATTTTCACTTTATAATTCGTTTCATTCTTTTTATTTAGTTATTTATACAGAAAAAAATAAAATAAAAATAAAGGGGGGGAGGCTTGAAGCAATCAACAATAACAGAAAAAAAAAAAACCACTAAAAACAGCAAAATAATAAAAAAAAAAAAAAAAAAAAAAAGAGGAAAGAGAGATTGAATCAACCAATTACCAAATAAAATGACACTTTTTTAGAAACTAATAATAAATAAAAAAAAAGGCTTTGTACTACCCTACTCACATGTCCTTTTTGCTTAGAACAAAAAAAAAAAGAAGATCGTCTTTTTGGTTGAATTTTAACCTGGGAATCAAAGGATAAACAAGCGTGGATCACTCCAAATTAGGAAATAGCTTGAAAAGAGAAACTTGTATGTTTATTCAGTTGACTCCGCTTCTCAAACCTGACCCTTCCAGACTCTTGTTTCTAAAAATACTTGTTGATACTAAGGAGACTGAAGATTATTAGGTAGAAAAAAAAAATCAACAAAAAAAAAATTAGTGGATTATTATCATCATTATTCTCCTTTTGTTATGTATATTTAGGGTAATAAAGAGGATGAATGATTTACATTTAGTTTATGTAACTTTTTTTTTTTATTTGAAAGAAAATGAACTTTTTTAGGTTTCTCATTTTTTATATTTTATATTTATTTAGTCTAATTTATTCGTAGATTAGTATTTTATCTATTTTTGATGGTTTTAGGTGAATGAGACATTGATTCCCGCTTTCCGTGACCTGTCCCCCTTTTTTTTTTTTTTAGTACCTAAGCTAAGTTGCTAAGATAAAAATAATCTGTTCCCCGACAATTTTTTTTTTTTAAAAGGGGAGTCAAGAAAAAACTTTTTTTTAAAAGAATCTCTTTCTTTCTTTCTTTTTTTTTTTTTCTCTTTTTTTTTTTCTCTTCTTTACTACATTCCTTTCTCTTATTTTCTTTTGTTAAACATCTCCTTTCTCTATCTCGCTCTATCAACAAAAGAAAAACAACAACAACAACAATAATGGTTTGGAATTATCAAGTAGCTATCATGACTTTGGGCATGACAGCTTTATCTGCTGTTCAAGGTGCTACCACCAATTATTCTAGTACTGTCGATCCTACTAAACTCAACATTCCCAACATTCCTCAAACTACTTCTCACGATGTTACCACTCAATGTACTTATTATCAACCTCCCTTTACTTTGAACAAGGCTGATTGGCCTACCAGTTGGGATATTGCTACTTCCAACGGTATGAATACTTCTGCTGAATTCACTGCTCTTTACAACTCTATTGACTGGACTAAGGCTCCTAATATTCAACCCAAGACTATGACTCCTGCCGGTGGTTTGAACTTGCAAAGCTATAACACTGCTCAAGATCCTGATTGTTGGTGGTCTGCTTCTCAATGTACAAAACCAAAGACTGCTAATATTAATCCTGATATTGTTCAATGTTTGGAACCTAACACTTGGGGTCTTGTAAGTAATTTTGATTGAAATATTTTTATGGATTGAATCCTTTTTATTAGGGAGATTGAAAACTGGGGAAAAAAAGGAGATAAGACTATTGTTATATATATGTGATTCATATCAAAAAAAGGAGGGGGAGATTGTACAATAGACTCATTATATCTTTTTACTTTTATTATTAGACTTTCGATGATGGACCAAACTGCTCTCACAATGCTTTCTACGACTTTTTAGAACAAAACAACCAAAAAGCTTCTATGTTCTATATTGGTTCCAATGTTATTGGCTGGCCCTATGGTGCTATGCGTGGTTTGAAGGATGGTCATCATCTTGCTGGTCATACTTGGTCTCACAGATGTAAGTGAATCATCATTAATTATATATATATATATTTATCATATTAACCTTCTTTATTCTAGTGATGACTACTTTAAGCAACCAAGAAGTCCTTGCTGAACTTTACTATACTTCTAAGGCTATTAAGTATGTTACTGGTGTTACTCCTCTTTACTGGCGTCCTGTAAGTTCAAATTATCATACTAAAAAAACGTGAAATGATGCTATATTCGGGATAGAAAAAAAAGTTTTGGATTTTGTGCTCCGTCTCATTAATTATTTTTTTTTTTTACAATTAGGCTCAAGGTGATTTGGATGATCGTGTTCGATGGATTGCTACTCAATTGAACTTGACTGCTATTTTGTGGAACTTGGATACTGATGATTGGGCTGCTGGCACTACTCCTGGTGTTACTGCTCAAACTGTACAACAAAACTACCAAAACTTCATCACTATGGGTAACAACGGTACTTTCAACACTATCGGTAACATTGTTTTGAGTCACGAAATCAACAATATGACCATGGACTTTGCTATTCAAAACTATCCTAACATCAAGAAGAATTATAAGCATATTCTCGACGTTGCCACTTGTATGAATATTTCTAACCCTTACGTCGAAAAATCTATTACCTATCCTACCTTTGATCAAGCTGTCAACAAGAATGCCTCTACTGCTACTGGTTCTGGCGTTGCCCCTGCTGCTTCTGGTACTTCTATGGCTTCTCAAACTACCGTCAATGCTGCTCTTTTCATTGCCGCTTTGTTCGGTGTGGTTGCCTCCCTCTTTTAGATAGCTTTTTTTTTTATTATTATTATTACAACTCCTTTTATATTTTTACTCCCTCTATCTCCCTTTCCATCATCATATTCCGTTTGTTCTTTTCTTCTTCCCCCTCATTTTTTTTTCTTATTGTGAATCATTGATGTTCAAATAGATCTAAGTCAACCTGTCACACTCTCTTTTTCCTTTTTTTTCTTTTTGGCCCTTACCCAGTTTATGTTTAATTACAAAAAAGAAAATAAACCTTATACATATCAATACAAGTATATCTTTTTCGTCCTACATAATTAATTCAAATGAAAATTTTATAAGGTTTGATCATGATGTGATTTTTTTTTTATTGTTTCTTGATGATGCATATATATAAATAGTATAGTGATGATATCAATAAACAAAAAAAAAAAAGGTACTAACTACGGGAATGGGGTATACGATGATGTAAATGACTATTACTATTACTACTACTAGTCTTTTGATTGTCGAATAATGACGATGTCTTTAGTCCATTTTCCTCTTGATCCCAAGTTTCTTCTTGTTGTTGTTTCAAATATTCACCTAGTGGTACCACTTCTTGCGTGGTAATCTTGCCATGAATCATGCGTTTAAATTTCTTGAATGTTTCTTCAAATTCCATCACTGTTAATCTTGGATCTTCATGACTATTCCAATAATCATTAAATGTATGATATAAAAAACCTATTGCCATAATGATATAAGTTAAATAATAATAATAATAATAATAATTAATGACTTACAGTAAAAATCTTGATAAGTGTCACGAGATATACCATAACGGAAGAGCACATATTGTAATTGTCGAGTTCGTAAAATTTGAATGGTGAATTGAGAGATATTGATGCCAACAATAGCAAAAGGATACCTAATCCCTCATCATAATAAAGAATTTCCAAAAAAAAAAAAAAAGATGAATACATTGTAATCGATTCAATAACGGATTATTATATAAAATGATTTACCAAGACACAGGATGTTGAGAACTATGAAAGGTGCGCTGACAAGAAGTAGGATATGTTTTTGAATAATAAACCAAATCATCTAAACCTTGCATCCCCATTCCCCGGAAATCAGAAGCTGGATCATTACCTTGAAATCCAATTTCTCCCCATTGTCGAGTCAATCTTGCTTCCAATTCAACATCTGGCATCAGACTGTTCCATAACTATATCATATATATATATATGAGAATGTTTCAATCTTTTCAATATACTTATATTTTACCTTGAGCAACTTTTGTTCATGCAATTGGTTGGTGCCATCAAATTTGGTATGCGCACGTTCGTTGATCTCTCGTGTCAATTGATAAGTAGCTGCGATTTGGACTAAACATGCCTTTAACACCTGTGCTTCAGGACTAATATGACAAATGATCAATCAACATTTCCTCCTCTTTTCTGATCCTACATATAGATATTCTTACCTTGAAAGAGTCCCAGGGAATCGTTTCTTTGTCAATATTGATTGAGTCAAATCATCTATCAAACAATCCTTAGATTCTAATTGTCGTCGTTCCAACTACTCAAAAAAAAAAGATGAATAATGTCAGTTAATATTTTACAACAAATGGATTAGTTTTTTTTTTCTTACTGTTAACTGACTTGAATAAAGAATCGATCGATCTTATGATTGAGAAGAAATAAATAGTCAATATAATATCTCCATATATTCACCCATTTCTTTTTTAATATTTTACCTATTTGGAATACAATAGTAGGTGGAATAACAAAAGGTAGAGTTGATTTTTCTGAATGTTTCAATAAAGGAGTATTGTCGTTGAATTCGCCTATTTTTTCATCACTGTTGTTACTATCACTGTAATTATCACATTCACTATCAGAAATGGTAAACGTATGTTGTTGTTGTAACAAGTTGTCCCTATGGTCATTAACAACTCGGTGGCATATACGATAAATTTCGGTGGTGTTGGTAGTCCATCGTAAAAGACACTTGTAAATCTTATAGATAGATAATAAAAAAGGAGACTGATAGATCTTGTTAAAAAGAAGAAATATATACCATTCCATTTTCATATCAAGAAAAAAAAAAGATAAAAGGAAAATAAAAAGAGAATTTTCTTTTTTTTTTTTTTTTCCATGTGAAAAAGAAAGCTATGTTCGGATAATGAAATCAAAACCCTCAAAAAAAAAACAACAACATTTTTAAAGGGACAAAAAGATCAGTGCACATGAGAATATTGCTTGTCTTATTTTAACTGATCAGTATGAGTATCATCATCATCATCTACCTTTTCATCAATTTAAGGGGAGTAGGATACTTTTAACTGATGTATGAGATTGATTTATCAAATGTCATTTTTTAAAGGAGTTGATTTGACTTTTTTTTTTTTTTTTTTTTTTTTTTACTAATCTGTATAGAAAATGCATAAAGAATATGACCAAATATGGGTTATTCGTTTTATCGTATTCAACGATAACAAACAATAAAAACTTACAATATATGATAGCAGCAAGAAGTCTTTTCACTTGTTCATTTGCTCTGAGTATGAAATTTGAATTTTTTTTTTCTTCTTTTTGGACAACCAACTCATCAATCTTTCCTTTATTCTTTTCTCATTTATTTTGTCTATTCTTTTTTTCTTTTTTATTATTTGTAACAAATAATATGCTGAATCCTGACGCTACAGAATTCAAGCCAGTTTCCTCACTAGAGAATCTCACTAGTTCCAAAAAGATCAATAGTCATCACAACAATAGTGGAAAATATGTCAACAATACTAGTCAATCCTCCGTACAACAGGCTCCTTCAAAACCTAATCGCAGCCAACAAACTAAAAAGAAAAACGTCTCAAGTGCACCGTCCACTAATCAACAAAAGTCACTAGGCACCACACTCAAAACAACAGCAACAGTCAATATTCAAAATGCAAATCAACGTAATAAGTCAATCTCTTCTGGAAGTCAACAACGACATGATAAACCATCTCGACGAAAACAACAACAACGTCAAAGAGGATCACATGAACAACCCACTGACTCTTTAGATTCGATTGAACAGCAACCACCTACAAGTTTCATTACTCTTGACCATACTATTGATCCTGTTCATATCGTCACTAATACACTCCTCTTCAAGAATACGGTGGTTCATGGTTATGATCGCTATGTGGCATGGGTAAATGCATAAATAAATAAATAAGTAAATAAATAAAAATCATTATATAACATTCTTTTTTTTTTTTTTTTTTTTTTTTTTTTTTTTTAGGTAGAACGATGTCTTCAAACATATCCGGTGGTGACAATGGTGGGTATGGATCCTGTTTTGGCCGATTTGATCTCGTTGGTGATCATCATCCAACAGAAAGGTATTGGATTTTATCATGGTAAGTAAGAGAGAGAGAGAGAGAGAGAAAAAAAATCAAATATCGTTTGGTCTGACCTGTTTATTATATATAGAGTTAGAAACTTTTTCGATTCAAGAAGGTGGAAGACAACCTACAAGTGGTATACAAGTCAAATTACATAGAAATTAGATTCAGTAGATTTAGAATCAAATGATACCCGTCCTATTTTTTTTATATGTATTATTAATAAACCATTGTGATATACGATATATTTTATTACATGATCTTTATTGTGTTGTCTTGTAATTTTTTTTCTTGGTAAATCTCTAATTGAAACTCAGTATATGCCGTACATTCCTTTTTTTTTTTTAAACACTTCCTTCTTTTTTGTTGTATTTCTTTCTCCTTCTTCTTTTTTTTTTTTATTTTTATGCCATTGGATACTTCGTTTTCTAGTGATCTTGATGCTTACCTTCAAGCAACACGACAACGGATGCATGGTGCTACTAACTTAGAACTAGACGACAACAATCATGACAGTGAACAGATCTCATCAACAGAATACGACCGATATCTCTACAATGCAGATCGTGATATTTGGTATGATACCCAGACAAATACTTATTCCAAATATGATTCAACACGACAAATTTATATACCAGTGTCCATGGCACATGAGAACGCTATGATCAATGATTCTTCTCAACAACAAGATGGTGAAAGTGGTGATGGTGACGAACCTGAATCGGATGCGACATGTCGATTAGTTGTAGTGTCTTCTACGGTGATTCCTGTGGGTCAAGTGATATTAATGGATGCGAATGGCATGACAGTTGGACGAGACAAACATGAATGGGATACAAGACGACTTCGTTTACGTGATATGCAAGTATCTAAATACCACTGTCAGTTTTATTACGATCAAAAAAAAGATACTTTTGCGGTGACAGATGTTGGATCTCAAAATGGTACATTCTTGAACGGACAACGTCTCTCTCCTGCCAAGCAAAGTAGTACACCTTTTGACTTGAAACATTTGGATCAATTAGACATTGGTGTAACAGTGCTCCAGGTACATTTACATGATCATGGATGGCCTTGTCAAGAATGTCAAACGTCAGCTATCAATCCTCCTCTTCAAACTACAGATACCTCCTCCATTACTGAAAAGAAATCTCCTGAGAAATCACCTATGATCAAGAAAGAAAATCCAAATAAGCAGTGGAAACGACGTTTACTTAAACAATCAGATGACAATGATCGATCTACACATTATATTGATCGTGCTCAACTACGGCGAGAACGCACAACAACAAATTCAGAAGATGATTACCAACGTGATTTTACGGCGTTGATTGATGTACATACTCCTGTTCAAGGCAAAGGATACGACATGTTACGCAAAATGGGTTGGCAACATGGACAAGGCATGGGATCAAGTGAACAAGGAATAGTAGAACCTTTGACTCCAACAACATCGGTTTATGAACGTGCAGGGATTGGTGCTTTATCGATGAAAGATTGGCAATATCAACAAATGAAACAACGCTATAGTTCCAAATAGAAAACCATTCATCTTAGTGTATATATATTCTATTTTATTTTTATTAAATAAAAAAAAAAGAAATCATTTCATTTCAAAATGTAACGATTCTACCCAACATTCTACACCATTTTGATCAATTTGAACACTATTTTTTTTTTAATTTTTTTTTTAAAAAAGGAAAGGATTAGACACTATTTCTAGAATGAGTTATATATATAGACCGTTTCTTACCTATACCAGTATTGGTCTGGAAGATCTGTTTTGAGTTCATCTAGGTTGTATTGGACAGCGGTCACCTGAGCCAAGCGTTTGTGTTCCTGATCTTGAGCATCATTCCAAATCTGTTTACTAAGATACCAACCATTTTTCTTTTGTTTATGGACAAGAATAGTTTTCAAGTAGGATAAAGAAGTATGCTGATTTCCTAATGAATAAAAAAAAAAAAAAGCTGAGCCTATCAAGATTTTTGGAGAAAATATTCTTTCTTTACGAATGACAACATAGGCGGTGGGGTCTTGATTTTCGTCCACAAGGGAATGGCTAGTAGGATACAAGACTTGAACATCTTTATATATGTTGTTAAAAAAAAAGAGAATTAGGAAAGTCATTTTTTTTCTAAGTTCATCCACTGTCAGTCATCATCTATCCACTTATGTTTCACTTCATCATTCAATTATTATCATCCATCAACTAGTACGGATCATCATCACGCCATAATCCACCGTTATCAACAACTTACCTGCACAAAGTTCATTATCAATGGCTGAAGCATACACTAACGGAATGCATAAAAACCAACAAAAAAGACAAGAGAGTATTGTAATACAACTAGACATATACATTTAGTATGAAGGAGAATGTTTGTTATGTACAATCAGGAAACAAGTTAAAAAAAGAAAAAAAAAAAAAAAAAGACACGTAAAAGAAGAGATATATATAATATTTTTTTTTTTTTTACTGTCAAAGCCATCGAGTTAGTCATCTATTTATACAATGCTTTCTAAAGTTTTTTGTTTATTTTCAGTAAAAAGACTAAAAATAAAAGTGGTTACACGAATCCAGTTATCTAGTAGCCAAACCAGGGATCTTTTGTTCTAGAAGGTATCAAGTTTTTATTATAGTTAGGATGATGATGATAATGATGACAACAATTTGGTTAGTATGATGATGAAATAAAATACACTTTTTCACTTATCGAAATGAAATCCATACAGTTAATCCTGGTAGTAAAATAATAATCATCCATTGGCACTATATTTCTTCAATAGAACTAATACATAATATATACTGTATAGTTTAATCCTCTGTATTCAAATTAATTTGATACTAAATCATCCATCATCAATGTATCCAATAAGGTGTACATCAAGCAAATGTATTTCCTTGGTAGAAAAGTTTGACTTGAATATGCATAAAAGGCGGGGACCAAAATTACTACTCTCCCTTTTTCCCTCTCTCCCTTTTTTGGTTTATTTTCAACCTTTGGGCGTTTTTCTTTTTTTTTCTTTCTCTCTCTCTCTCTCCCTTTCTTGTTGTTTGAAGAAATAAAAGATATGGATTCTGATGAAATTATCTCTGTTTTGAATATACATGAACCATCTATGAAACTCGACAATAATGAAGATAATAACGATATCAGTACTAGTTCGTTAAAGGAATATGACAAACAGCTTGATCCATCTTGGTCATATGAAATTCATTCTTCTTCGCCACTTGACCAACGCATCAACAATCAATACCAATACATTACCTCGGAAGAACGCGATAGGGAACGTCGTAGTAGGGAATATGAACACTCAATTGAAGACGAAGACATATCAGTAATGGAAGAATCCCAACCCAATGGTGTTTATAACGATGATTTAGAAGACTTTCAATCTACAACTATACCCACGGTGGTTCCATTGAATTCTATTCCATCTAATTCTCTTAACCCTCGTCAACAAGAAGAAGCAGGTAACGTCCAATGAATGATATTGGCCAATAATATAACTATTTTATATATATATATATATTACTATAGATCAGCCTGTACGAGAAGGAATGCGTTATCTATTTGATAATAAATTTATGCGAGCCAAAGCTATCTTTCAAATCAATGCAGCAAGGTAAAGTTAATCACGAATAGAGTTGAATCAATGACTAACGAGCGTCCTGCCCTTTTTTTTTTTTTTTTTGTATGTCTAGTGATCCTCTTTATGCTCTTGGATTAGGTGCCATGGCATTCATACGAGCAATCATGGTAAGGCAACTTTCACGGACTATCTTCTATGTTTTTTTTTTTATTCTTTATATTATTGTTATTTTTATTATTATTAAATTGCTAACGAATACTCTATTATTTAGACACATAGGAACAAGGATATTCAAAAAGCATTGAAAATCTTGAATACAACTTATTTCATAGCAAAGGCACAAATCGACAATACCAATAAGAAACGGACAGTACCATTGATGCAATCTTTCACTCGATATTTTGGCGAGCAGAGCAACATCAATAATACCACCAGCAAAGATGCACAGAAAAAAACGTTTTTAATAAACAGTATATTACGCGCCAATGTCATCAAAGCCGAAGCCAGTTTATTGATGGGTATTTTATTATTAACTCAAGAATCTTTGATGAGTTATGTTAAATGTGGGTTCCATTTTAGACGAGGTAATTAAATGATATGTGTTATTGATTTTTTTTTTTTTTTTTTTACTCATTTCTTTTTTGAAGCTTATTATAGTTATAACCTGGTATGGCAGGAATATAAACGGATGGGTCAAGATTATACCAAGTATATGGATCGAGATACTGTATCAGGTATTCAATTTGGTATTGGAGCAGTTCAATTACTCTTATCTTCTATGCCTTCAAAACTCGATCAAATTAATTCTCTGCTTGGCTGGTCATATGATAAGGAACTTGGTTTTGTTCTTTTGAAATTATGTACAGAGGCACGTGGTATTCGATCAAGTCTCTCTTCTCTTGTGTAAGTAAAAGTTTATTCTATATTCCATTGTCTATATCTGTTGTTTATTATTCGTCATCTATCATCCATTATCCATTATCTGTCATTCATTATCTATCATTTATCCACTGATCAATATTATCCGTGCATTCATCAAGATTTGTTCGCTCACTCTTTTTTTTTTTTTTTTTTTTTTTTTTTTGCCATTAGGTTACTCGCCTATTACAACATTTTGACTTCCTTTGCACCACAACTTTATGGAAAAGAATGTATGGAACCAGCACTGAAATGTTTGACAGACGCACAAAACCAACACCCACGATCATGTTTCTTTTTATATTTTGCAGCCAGATTTGCACGAGCAGCACGCAATCTCACGTTATCTAGTCAATCTTTCCGATTTGCCACTGAAGCCAGTCGAGGTGAATGGGCGGAACTCGCGATGCAACCTTTATCTGATTATGAACAGGCATTCAATGATGCTTTACAATTGAATTGGGAAGATAGTTTGGCGACATTTACTGATTTGGGACAACAAGGTTACTGGTCGCCTGCTTTTTCAAAATACATGGTAGGGGCATGCTATGAAATGTTAGGACGAAGAACGGAAGCCATTTTGGCATTTGCTGAAGTACCACAATTGATTCAACGAACAATGGCTGAAGCTGGTGTCTCTACATATTCTCAAAATGACAACATCATCGATAATGGCAATAGTAGCAAAAGTACACGTGGTATTTTATATGTGGATACATTTATACAAAAAAGGGTGAAACGGTATCAACAAGGCGGATATCAGCATATGGATCTTCATTTACCGGCATTAGAGATGTTATTGATGTGGAATGTATACGAATGGATGGAAAAGGACGCATTAACACATTGTCTGACATTGGTACATCACGCCTTATCCTTAGTATATGAACGGGAAAGAGTAGAGTATGGTATTCGACAAAAGAAACTAGTGCCTTCCACTGCGCCTCCCAATTATTACGACAAACGAGCAGGCTTATTGTTGATCAAGGCAACAGTGTTGAATGGATTACGACAATCTCAAGAAGCTGTGGCGCATCTCAACTGGATATTGGATCATAAACGGCATTTTAAATACGATTCCTGGATTGTACCTTTTACTTATTGGGGTAAGGGTGGATATTCATGATATGATTTATTTTATATTAACATCATGCTTCTCGTTTTTCTTTTTATTTCATTTTCTATATCTAGAATCAGGGGTCACTTGCTGGCATTTAGGACAATACGAAAAAAGTCGACGATTATGGCAACAAGCACTGGCATATACAGATTATGATTTCGAACATCGGCTCACCATTCGACTTAGTCTAGCCCTCAATAAATGTGATGATCTAGGGATTCATCTCAACTCTATAACAAAAGGAGGTATTTCTTCAAATGGTAGGAAACGGATGCCCCTTGCATGATCCCTTTCTTCATCTTATTGTCTATTTATAAATCAATAAATTCTCTTTTTTATTCAAATGTCTTTTTATTATTGTGTCTATCTTTTGTGAAAATATCCAATGATGATCTTTCATAGTACCAACTCAAAAAACTAATAAAAGAAGATAAATTGAACTATTGTGGAGCTTTTTTTTTTTCATCTTGTTACCATTCAACTCTTTAAAGTTGAATGAACGTCCTTAAAAGGGAATCACCACGTGAAGTTATATCCAATTTTGACATGTCTTGTCCAACATTGCATACATGCGGCGATTCAACATCCCAACAAACAAAAAAAAAAAAAGAAAAAGAAAAAGAGTGTGAGTACCCGTAATAGTCAATTTAATGTGACACTGGCTAATACCAAAAAAAAAAAAAAAAAAAAAAAAAAAAAAAAAAAAAGAGGGAAAAAGGACCCCATTCCTCCACACACACACATATATATAACTCCTTTTATTATCATCATGACAACTATATAAGAAATAAACACTTCTTTATTCTTTGGATTCAATAACAAATTGTGTAAGTTTAGGGATGTTGTCAAAATAGTTTTATAGATTACTATATTTATACCTTTTATATATATTCAAGTTAATCGTTTATGCATCCAAAAATTGCTTCAAACGCACGAGGTCTAATTCTTTTCGTTACGATCTTCGAGAAAAACCAACTCCTCCTCAACTTTTTTTTAATTTACCTGTGCGATCTTGGTTTGTACTACCTACTTTTCAATAAACCATCTTTCATCTTTTTTTTTTTTATTTCTTTCACTCTTTCCTTCTTTCTTTCTTTTTTTCTCTTTATCACCCCCCATACATTCTTTTTTTTTTTATCTTCTTTTTCTTCTCTTATGAAATCTACACTTTCTTATCTTTCACTCATTCTCGCTTTAGCCGTCACCTTGTTGGCCGCTGTTGTTCGTGCTGATGGACATTACAAAGGTGTTGCCACCATGATGAAGTTTGAATCTTCTTCTGATGTTACTATGAATAAGCGTGCCTTCCGTGGTACTTGGTAAGGAAAAAAAAAAACTATAACCCGATACATATATATACTTTTCCATATACTTTTCCCTTTTATGTATTTTTCCACTGACTAATTATATATATATATATATATTTCAGGTACTCTGGTAATGATTTGAAGAATGCTGCTTGTTACGGTCGTAATGGTCTTCCTTCTTACTCTGCTACTATTCATTCTATGATTGGTGCTATGGTAACCTTAAAATAAATAATCATCCTTATTTAGACAATCATCTCATTCTCTTTTTTTTTTTGAAAGGCTATGAACGGCTTCGAAAACTGTTACAAGTGCATGAAGATTGTCAACAATCAACAAAAGCATCTCTCTGTCGTTGTCAAGATTGTTGACAAATGTGCAGGTTGCAAAGTGAATCAAGCTATCGACCTTACACCAAATGCTTTTGCTAAATTGGCTCCCGGTGGTGATCTTGGTATTGGTGTTCTTGACATTAGTTGGAAGCCCGTCCGTTGCCCTAACTCAAAATTGTATCCTAGCAAGCCCAAGGCATAAAATCAAAATTGTATTCCCTTTTTCCCCTTCCCTTTCTCTTACACACTGATTACAATAAATCAATCTCTTTTTACTTTAACTCTCTCTCTCTCTATTGTACTTTTTTTTTCTGATCAATCCATTTTATTTTATCTCTCTTTTATTTTGGAATAAACATATAGTGTACCAATAAATATGATCTGATGGAATGGCTCAATTAGATACGTATAGAGGGACCTATAAATAGTAATGATACTCTTGATTATCTTCTGGATTGATTTATTATTATCTGTTTAGCGTGATGATCCTTTGTGTATATGTGTTATTCTTATCGCCAGTCTATCATGAATACCCTTTTTTTTTTGTTTGATGGATCTTTTTTGTATTTTCTCATTTGACTTTTTTCATGATGATGATTCTTTCAGTTAATATTAGTCAGTTGGTTTTAAATATATAAAATATTATATTGATGTATTCTTACAGCAGTCGAGCCATTTTTCATACTTCACTATTGTCTCTGAATCATCATCCAACAGATGATTATTATTATAGGACCATGAATGAATATTTATAGATAGCTAACATCCAATCCATTCGAGCATACTATTATTTTATTACTTCATCATTATTGATCATAGTTGTTACTATCGATCATGCTGTTATTATTATCAACTAGCCGATCCAATCGAAGATGGAAAGGTGAATATTGATTTGTTTTTATTAGATTAAATTATTGTGAACTTTTTCATCATCATTATGGATTGACCATGGAGTCAACTTTATAGCGTTGTCATCATAGAAAATAAATCAACCAAGAACAAAAAAAAAAAAAAAAAATAAGAGGGACAAATATATTGAAAACAGGAGTTTATTTGAGTTAATATAAAATCATCATCTGAAAATAAAATACACTATATATCTATTCTGTTGTTTTCTAAACTAAAGTGAAAGGATGATGATAGTTCATTTAGCCGTTACCACGACGAGGTATTGACTGCCGATATTTTCTTTTTACAAATCTTTTATATTCCTTCCTAACCATACGACTTGATTACATCAAGCATAGATAACTACTATAGAATATAGAAGAAAAAAAAGAAGAAGTGATCTTGAGTAATAACTATTATATACTGTCTTCATCGTATAACGTTCTTTATATATTACCTTCCAACTCATGGCGCAAACAGATATGATTCACATACTATTTGAATCCATTTGATATCTTAATTGGACTTATATTTTGAGCATGATTTTGGATTAATTTGATATTTATGATTTGCGGTGATAGCCGGCTTGATCAAGACCTCGCTCCAAGACAAGATCATAAAAGGTCAAATTGATTCAAGATCAAATCCAAAATGTAAGTCCAAGCAAACATATCAAATAGATTCAAATATCTATTAAACCATCGAGAACTAAAAAAAAAAAAAAGATATGAGAGGATGAGTAGATTATTCGTAATATATGATATGATAAAATAAGATAGAGCACTTACATAGTTCTTGCATATAAAAAAAAAAAAAAAAAAGATATGAGAGGATGAGTAGATTATTCGTAATATATGATATGATAAAATAAGATAGAGCACTTACATAGTTCTTGCATTCTTTGCTTGTGGCAATTCAACTACAAAAGAAGAGTAAAAAAGCACCACACATAATAGTTTACCATACCAATTACTCTTTTGTCTTACTTTTACTTGTTCCTTGTATGTGCCTTGTTTATCCGCGTCAGCCAACCATAAAACATTGACAAGACAAAGAGGTGCTAAAAATCAGAGCTTCGTATGGCATCGATCGTACCTAGAATAAAAAGAGAAGGAAAGTTTGTATTATATAAATGATGAATTTCATTGATATTATTGCCTATCTTTCCTTAGAATCCACCATCATCACCATCACCCTTCATAGTTTCTTGTTTTGGAAGCAAAAGAAGAAGTCTGATCACCGTTTTTCTTTTTTTTTTTTTTTTTTGAAAAACTCTTCTCAAACCCAGATGCCAATATAACATAATAAAAAAGAAAAAGAATGATTTTAGTAACCATTCATTCTTGTTATCATAGGTAATGTTTATAGAATATATACTTACGGTGATAGTTGTCACTGGGACCCACACAGAATTCTTTTTTAGAATCTATATAATATATTAGATTAGTTTGATAATGAAGATAACTTTTTTATTATTATTCCTAATGTTACTACCTATTCATTTCCAGATTTAAACAAATGAAGATAAAAAAAAAAAGAAAGAAACTGTGAATAAAATAATAACTTGATATATTCAATAATTACTTACCGAACAACAAGCGTCTCCGAAAAGAGATGATTGTGAATGACGTGGTTACCAAAGGAAAAGCATAGTATAGGAACAACCTATATAATTGAAGAGCGATATGTGTTAGTAAGAATAGTTTAAAAGTCTAGGAAAAAAAAAAGAAAGAAAGAAAGAAAAAAGTAAAAAAAATAAAAATAAAAATAAAAATTCTTTGCTCTTAAGACCTTAATTTTTTACGCGTTTCAAACTCCACGTGTCACGTTCTATCTAATCCTCTTCTTTTTTTTTTATAGTAGTAGTGGTATACATATATCATTTCTTTACAATGAGAAAAAAAAATGTATTGATACTTAATGTCATGATGAGAAAAGGACTTCGATGATTTATGCAGTAGGACTTGTACTACACTAAATTGATCTACAGACTCTAGTATGTCAGGTTTGACTGGTCTAGAGATCCAAGTGAGCCTTACAAGGGACATTTTAAAATAATTCAGGGACAATAAAAAGTAAATGGATGATGATGATGATTATTGTATTCTTACAATCATGATATGATGATAATGAATCCTAAACTGTTTCATCATAATCTTAGTAGTTACATACAAAATATTAGTTAATTTATATTCTTCTTCTTTTAATAAAGTACAAATCATTATTGTTATTATTATTGTTTTATATCATTATATTATGATATGAATTTGATAAAAAGAGAAAAAGGTAACTTATCATCAAAAGTATATATTATAATACTATAGTTAATATTCATCTTGTTATGAATTATAAAATCATCATTTCATATTATTATTATTATCATTTACTAATAGTTCAATCTAAATCATCATCATCTTATTATTATTATTTATTCATCTTATTCTACTTTATTAAAATCATAAGTGTTTTCCATAAATGGTACAACTTCAAAGTCCGGTCTCAATGTGGGGTATGTTGGATCAAGAAAAAAAAAGGTCTGGAGGTTCCAATCTCAAAAAAATTGATCGTCGAGATTGAAAAAAAAAAAAAAAATTTGGAGACAATTGGAAAAGTTGGACCAAGCTCTGACAAAAGAAAAATTGGCGCGCTCTTACTTTTTTTTTTACTTTTGCTTTTCTTTTTTTTACTTTTTTTTTTTTTTTTTAACCACTGGCACTTTGGACATTGTTAAGTTACCATTATACATTACTTTACTTAATCTATATTATATATTTAAAAGTCGCTCTCTATATATATTATACTTTATACTTATTCTTTTTTTTTTCTTTTTCCTTAGTCTTTCATATTATGAACTAATCTTTTTTTTTTCTTTTTTACTCTTTTTGTGGACATATAGTAGATAGATATAGGAAGGAATATACAATAGGATTAACTGGATATTGGATAAAAGAATAAGCAAATTAGGTAAAAGCATCCAACTCTTTATCATGGAAATTAGTTTATTCAGTAGTTTAGTCTTTTGGTTATAATGTTTTACTTTATATTCACATTTAAAATAAAACCATATTTTTATTATTGTTTATTAGATTGTCATTTCACGATTATTTATCTATTTGTAATGGAAAGGCTATTGAACATATCTATCAATTATGGTTATCAAGCACAAACAAAACAAAATCAAGGGTATTATCTTTGAAGGTAAGACCTAAAATAAGATAATGAAGGATTTGTCAATCATTAATATCATCTTTCTTTTCTTTTCTTTTCTTTTTTTTTTTTTTTTTTTTGTTGATAGGTAGTGTCACAGATACAAGTTTAGCTGCTAATATGTTACTCTATTCTCTGTAAAGGCATCCTTCTTATCAAGATGGTTTGAAGTCTCATCAGTTAGCTATCCTCGTGTAAATTGATATCGTTATCATTACTATTGTTTTCACCCATCAATTATTATTGGTAAAGGTTCCAACTACAGTGGAATATATATTATACACATCAACCATTAAACATTTATTTATTAAATAGATAGGTTGTCATGATACATCGCCCATCAGTCTTATTATGTTACTATTATTCAATTGTTATGATCATTTTCAAGTATGGTCAATTACTGTATTCAAAGTAAGATATAAAAAAAAAATGAAAAAGAATATTTAAAGTATGACTCTCATTCTCTTTTTCTTCTTTCTTTTTTATTGCTTTGATGTATCATCATCCTATATATACAGATCACAGAACCAAATGAAAATTAGATTCATAAAAAGAATGAATAACTAATGTAACTACAGTATATTGTTAATAACAACTGGAAAGGGAAATCAATTTGTGTACAAATAGATGATATTTTTTCTATAATTTCTTTTAATAATAGTTTTAGTCTTATTATATTCTTTTTATATTCTTCTTCTTCTTTAATAAAGTTTATCTTTATATCATCATCATCTTATTATTATTATTATTATTATTAATCTTATTATTATTTATTCATCTAATTCTACTTTATTAAAATCATAAGTGTTTTCCATAAATGGTATAACTTCAAAGTCCGGTCTCAATGTGGGGTGTGTTGGATCAAAAAAAAAAAAAAAAAGGTCTGGAGGTCGAGATCAAAAAAAAAAAGTCTGGAGATTGAAAAAAAAAAAAAATTGTTGGAGACAATTGGAAAAGTTGGACCAAGCTCTGACAAAAAAAAAAAAAGTTGGCGCGCACTCTACTTTTTTTTTTTTTTTTTACTTTTTCCTTTTTTTTTTTTTTTTTTTTTTTTTTTTTTTTTACTTCTCTTTTTTTACCTTTTTTTTTTTTTTTTTTTAACCACTGACACTTTGAACATTGTAAGTTACCATTATACATTACTTTACTAATCTATATTATATATTTAAAAGTCACTCTTTATATATATATTATACTTACTTTATACTTACTCTATACTTATTCTTTCTTCTTCTTCCTGCTCTTTCATATTATGAACTAATCTATTTTCGTTTTCTTTTTTCTGTTTTACTCTATTTATAAAGATACAGTAGATAGATATATGAAGAAATATACAGTAGGATTAAATGGACATATAACAAGTTTTCTATTGGACAAAAGAATAGCAAGTTAGGGAAAAAGTATCCAACTCTTTATCATTGGTTTATTTAATAGTTTAGTCGTTTAGTTATAGATATTATACTCTCATTTAAATAAAAATCATATTTTTATTATTGTTTATTATATTGTCGTTTCACTATTACTTATATATTTGTCCTCGATCATCATCATTATCAAAAGGAGTAATAAGAAAGAATGGGTATGATTATCATTTTATTTTCACTAAAAAATAATAACAATAAAAAAAAAACTATTGTAGAAACAAGATTCATATACACATCAGTATCTACTATTTCATTTCATACATTACGTTCATCATTTTAAGCATATATATTCTTTTATTATCAACCATCATATTGACAATAGCAAGTTGTACCTGTATACTGTTGATTGTTCGTCTTCTCTCTTAACGAAAATAACGATGTCATTGATCAATTGCTTGGATTCAGCTGTCATTTAATTTATTCAAGGAACCAGGTACAGAAATGCATTGATGACTGTTCTAGAAAAATAATAATTATGATTTTATTAAAGAAAAAGAATGTAAATATATATAATTGATATACTAAGTACCATTCTAAACTACAATTAAAAAGAATCACTAACGATTCATAGACCAGAATAAATAAATAAAAAAAAGATAAATAAGATACTTCTAATCGATTGTATAATCCAATCCAGTTGGATCCTATAATATATTCTGTTCATCCATGTTTTCCACACCTTATGACAATAGCATGTATTCATTTCGTTTCATTCTGTGATCCTGTTGTATATATATCTATCCATTCCGCTGATAGTAGCCACTTCGCGTAATCATCCTATTGATACTATATTTAAATGATCAAGTCTTCGTGTAGCTAGATTTCTTTCTTTCCTTCAGACATATATTCAGTGATGATGTTTGTCAAGGATACCAATTATGAAGTATGAGAAGAAGAAAGAACAATAATTCTAGATGGATGTATGTTGTAGTAAAAAGATCAAGGTCAGAAGAACCTATATAATAAAAAAAAAAAGGTTAGAAAGAAAAAGAAGAAAAGCACTTGTTTACCTTTAATATGAGTAAATATTTGTAAAAATCACATAGATAATATGAGTAGGGTATAGTAAAGAAGTTGGAATGTATAAAAATAGAGAAATAAAGAAAAGAAAAAGAAAAAAGAAAAAAAGAAAAAGATTTATTTTATATATCAAACTGATCGGAGCCTGTTTAAAGAATCCTGCAAATCAAATCTACCAATATAAGGAATCACATAGGTTTAAGTCTCTTCTTTAGGATTGATTTTTTTTTTATTGATTACAGTAATATGATGATGATAATGATGATGATGATACTGTATACTAGAATAGGCACTTTCAAGTGAATAACTGTATCACTTATTTCTTATTCCTTGTATTCATTGAACTTTCAATAATCATGATAGCAAAGAAAGATTACAAAATAAAAAATAATATCAAGCATACAGTATAGGTTAAATCAATTTGAGTAACTTTTTATTAATCTGATGGAACATTAATCACATTCATATAGAATAATAAATCAGTTTAAATATCATAAATCGATTATCCTGATAATATAAAATAATAAAGTAATGAAATATAAATTATGAAAAGCGGTAGTTGAACATCCAAAAAAGGAAAGGCTCTATTCATGAGATTATATAAAATAGACCTCACTTTTTTTTTTTTATTTTCTCACACTTTCTTCTTCTTATTACTACTTTTTTTTTCACTTTTTAACACGATACTATAGCATTGACTAGAATAAGAAGGACATTATATGCAACCATGTAGTGTCAACTCTGTTAGAAGCTTGTTGACAACTGTGGTTGGGAATGGCAATTACTATTATTATATGTAATTCTTATGTTGACTAATAATTGTAAAAAATAAAACACCAATATTGACTCAATACTATTTCAATACTTACCATCTTCCTTTGAACAGCTATCACACTAAACTCTGGACGTAACCTTGTTCTATAGACAATAACAAGCAAATTTTATTACATCCAAAAGGTAAATCTGTCTTTATTATGCACTGATTCAAATTCTTTTTGATTGTTTAACTAAATAGATATTCATTTGGATTCTGGATGATAGTCAATACAAATACATATCGATGGATACCCGTGGGTATTCAAAAAAGGTAATATCAGCAAGATAAAGTGATGATGAGTTGAGTGATAATACTAATCTAATTTTTATTAATACCTTACTGTGTTCCTTCTATTTGTTTGTATCCAGGTTAATGTTTGGTCGATATTTGTTTCTTTTTCTTTTGTTTCTTTTTATTGACTTTTAGTTATATCAATCAGTAGTCTTTACTATTTATATTTTTATTCAATAAAGCTTTTTTTTATTTTTTATTACAACTACTTTGATATATATGTTGAACATGGGCATATTCTGGATGATTGTTGGACATGGACAATTTCTGGATGGATGGTGGACAAAGTTTGAGGCATTTTGTAGATAGTTCATGGATGATTGTTGGACGATTGATTGTTGAAGAAAAGTCATGATATATTTTATGGCTGATTGATGCACAGACTCATTCTATCATCCATTTTTTTTTTCTTTCCTTCTACTTGCTACGTTCAAAATGGTATGTATGGTGTATTGTTCTGTAAAGCTTGATCAATAGCAGGATCTCATTAGTTGGTTTGAACGCCGCATAATGCAATCACTCTCTTTATCATCCCAGTAAAACAATAGCCAATCAGAAATGGTAATTTTTAAGTTGAAAAAGGAACAACCACCATGCTACATTTTTAATCAACTTTTTATTTTACTATTTTATGTTCATTTAATATATATTTTGCTATATGTCTTTTCTTTTATACGCACACCATGGGTTTAAACACAACACTAACATTCATCATCCTCTTGTATTTCAGCTCCCGATGTCTCGAAAAAATCACATTGAACGTCAAATAATAATAAAAATTAAAAAAAAAAGGACAATTTGATAAAAGAGATTTGAAAAAAAAAGAATAAAGTCAGAAAGATAGGTGGAAAATAAGAGAGGAAGGATCAAAGTATTAGAGAGAAGTGGGGTGAGGTTGGATGTATCGTAAAAGATCGGGTGCCCAGTAACGGTTTCCGTTTAAAAAAGTCACAATCTGATTTTTTTTTTGGGGGTGGAAGTAAAGGTATAATTCAATCCAAAGCCAAAAAAAAAAAAAAAAGTTGAGCGTGGACTGAAAAAATTTTATTTTCCCGTAAAATCAATCCATTTTCCCAACAGAATTGCTTCTTTTTCTTCTCTATCTTTTTTTTTTTTTTTTTTATTTGCGCCATCATGTCATCTGCTAGACGCCAACTTTTTAGACTTTCTGGAACACTCTCTTCTGCTCGTGTCATGGCTACTAGAGCCACTGCTCGTGCTGCTCCTTTGTTGGCCAATCAAGCTCGTCAATTCAGTTCATTGCCAATGTAAATACTCCCCCCAAAAAAAATAACAATATTGGAACCTATTCTAATTATTATTTAACTTCTACTTTTTATAGGGCTAATATGACTGCTCTTCGTGCTGTTGCTACTCCTATGATGAAGGACATTCGTTTTTATAGTTCAAAGTGTAAGTTTATATTAACTCAACAAAATGTTCTATTAGTTAACTCAATTCTTCTTTTTTTTTTTTTATAGCTTTCCCTGAACACAACATTATTGCTATGCCTGCTCTTTCCCCAACGTAAGAAAAGTAGAAAAGTATATAAAAAAACGATATTGACTTATTATTATTTATTTACAGTATGACTCAAGGTGGTATTGGTGCATGGCAAAAGGCAGTCGGTGACGAAGTTCAACCTGGTGATGTTTTGGTGGAAATTGAAACTGACAAGGCTCAAATGGATTTCGAATGTCAAGAAGAAGGTTTTTTGGCCAAGATCTTGGTAGAAACTGGTGCTAAGGATTTCCCTGTTGGAAAGGTAAATAAAAGAGAAAAAAGTATACAAGTTGGATTGAAAAAAAAGGGGGATGACTCATACTACGATCTATATTTTTATATTAGCCTATTGCTGTCCTTGTCGAAGATAAGGATGATGTTGCTGCTTTCGAAAACTTCACTGTGGATGATATTGAATCTGCTGGTGCTGCTACTCCTGCTCCTGCTACTCCTGCCAAGGAAGAAGCTCCCAAGGAAGAAGCTGCTGCTCCTGTCCAACAAGAAACTTCTGCTCCTTCTGGTGGTAAGTTTGAATTTCATATATTGAATAATAATATTAAAAAAAAGAAAAAGAATGGATGGACAAAGAGTTAATATATAATAAATTCATTCTAATAGGTAATGTCAAGGCCAGCCCTTACGCTAAGGTAAATAGAACAAGGTTAAATTTTATATTCCGCATGTCTTAACTTTTTACTTTTTTTTTCTTCATTAGAAAACCGCTTCGGAACGTGGTCTCGATATCTCTCAAGTTCAAGGTACTGGTCCTTCTGGTCGTGTCGTCAAGGATGATGTGGATAACTTTAAGGCTGGTATGAACAGAGAGGAAAAAAAAAAAAAAGGAAAAACTGATTTCTTGTAAACTGATTTTTTTTTTTGAAATATATGTATATCATTAGCTCAACCCGCTGCTGCTGTTACTGCTGCTGCCACACCTGTTGCTGCTCCTCCCGCTCCTGCTTATGCTCCTCAATCAGCCACTGGTGAAGCATACACTGACATTCCTGCCAGCAGCATGCGCAAGATCATTGCTTCTCGATTGACTGAATCCAAGCAACAACTTCCTCACTACTACTTGACTGTGGAAATCAACATGGATAAGATCAACAAGTTACGTCAAGTACTCAACACATCTGCTGAAGGCAAGTATAAGTTATCTGTGAATGACTTTGTGGTCAAGGCTGCTGCTTTGAGTTTGAAGAAGGTACCTGAAGCTAATGCTGCTTGGCAAGGAGACTTTATCCGTCAATACAATACTTCTGATGTATGCGTTGCTGTGGCTACACCCACTGGTTTGATCACTCCTATCATTGGTAATGCTGAAACTAAGGGTTTGGCTGATATCTCATCTCAAGTTCGTGATTTGGCTACTCGTGCTCGTGCTGGCAAGTTGGCTCCTCAAGAATACCAAGGTGGTTCCTTCACCATCTCCAACTTGGGTATGTATGGTATCAAGAACTTTACTGCTATCATCAATCAACCTCAAGCTTGTATTTTGGCTGTTGGTGGTTCTCAACAAAAGGTTGTCGTCGATGAAACCTCTGAATCTGGCTTTGGTGTTCGTGATGTGATGGAAGTGACTTTGAGGTAAGTGATATATACAAAAAAAAAAAAAAAATAAAAAATAAGATAGGACATTGATTTGACTTTTTTTTTTCTTTTCTAGCTGTGATCATCGTGTGGTTGATGGTGCTGTTGGTGCTACTTGGTTGCAAGCCTTCCGTGAATACATGGAACAACCTTTGAAGATGATGTTGTAAAGAGACTTCTTAGTTCTTTTAGATATATATTCAAATACATACATACACACATTTTCCCCTATCATCTCTTTTTATTAGATAGTCTACTCTTTATATACATGCTTTTTTTTTTCGTTTACATTTTCCCTCCGCCTTGTTGATAGTCTACTTGCAAATCTTAATAAAGAAAAACAAGAAAAAGATTTAGTCTTATGATTTAAATTCTATTCTTTTGTGTCAGCGCCCGCATATTTTAGATCCCTTTTTTTTTTTTTTTTTTTTTTTTTTCTCTTTTTCTTTTCTTGTGAATTTTCACACATTGTCTTTTTATATATTCACCTTTTATTTTACCATGGCAGGACGAACAAAGACAGTGCCTTTTGATTCTAAAGAATATTGGGATGAAAGATTTAGCCATGAAGATCAGTTTGACTGGCTCTTGAGTTGGGATACCCTTCGACATTATCTGACACCCTATCTTCCTAGCCAAAAAGAACCTATTCTTCATTGTAAGTTGTTTATAGTTGTTGTTTCTAAGAACTCATTCATTTTTTTTTTTATAGTGGGTTGTGGCAATTCACCTCTTCCGTTTGAAATGGCAGATGCAGGTTACAAACGCATAGTGAATGTAGATTATTCTGCATGTGTAATTGACAAAATGGTCCAACTGGCTCAAGGATATGATCAATTGGAATGGTTGACAGCAGATTGTGTCCAAGATATAAGTCCTGTACGGATCCATGCACCAACATATGCCGTGGTTCTAGAAAAAAGCTTGACGGATTGTATTGCCTGTGGTGACGATGATCAACTGTCTCGACAACATGGTATGGCTCGCCAGATCGCTTCGATTCAACCTTCTCATGGTCTTTGGCTTTGTGTCTCCTTCTCTGACCAACGTCAACCTTTCCCTCCTTATCGTTTACTCCACAAAATCCCTGTCCTTGTCCCTCAACCCAATGATAAACCTGGTGCACCTGATATCTACTACTACCTCTATGTTTTACAGAAAACCTCGGACGATCTCTCAACCATATGATTACCCCACTTTTTTTTTTTTTTTTTTTTTTTTTTTTTGTACATCCTTCATCAGCATATCCATTTTCATCTTCATCCCTCCATTTCAGATACATAGATAGGTAGTTTCCTTTTCCTTTCTTTTCTATTTTTTTTTTTTTTTTTTTTTTTTTTTTTTTGTGTTGTTACTCTGATTCTTGTTTTTATCAAATTAATATACCTTACTTTAGCAGTTCCTCAAATGAATCCAAACCAAATAAAACCAATATTGACTTCCATTCAACTTTATTGATATCATTAGATACACGATCAATTCTTTATTATATAAATAGTGAACAAACATAGAGATAGGATATGTATATAAACAACAAGAAGATAATATGATAGTACTTGCAACTAATATGTATATGAAGGGAGAATACCGGAATCACCAAGCAAGATAGCCAAAGATACTTGAGGGGAACTTCGTCATCATCAACTTTCGAAGTTCATCAGCTGTCATGATCATAGCAGCCCAACCAAAAGGAATAAACCAGTATTGAATAGGAATGGGACTAGTACCTAGATAGACGTTGAAAACAGGAACGTACAGAATAATCAGAGTGATCGACAAAGAGCCAATCATGGCGGCAAACAAATACAAATTTTGATTGGGACCCCATAATGGATTAGTACGGAGAAGGGACAGACGACGAGTACGACTTGAAAGAACATTGCCCCATTGACAAATTACCAGATTCACAAAATAAATGGATTGAGCTGTGTTCAACAAGGTAACCATTTGATCAGCAGTATATCCCATGTAACCATCTGGACTATTAAATGCGCTAAAGGAAAGGAATACTTGACCAGGAGGAAGACCATTTTGAGCCAAATAGTAGTAAAACATAAACATCGAGGACAACATTTCCATCAGACCAATGAACCCATAAGCTTGAAGTAAGAGGCGACCATTCACCAAACGATCCTTCTTTGGACGACGAGGTAATCGATTCAGTAAACCAGCTTCAGGTTTTTCCATCATGATTGCCAATGATGGCATCAAATCAGTCAGAACACAGATCACAATCATTTGGAAAGAGGATAATGTTTGAGGAGAACCAAGGAAGATATTGACCAAGACGGGCCACAATTCAGACCAAGATCCAGCAGGTAGTAAATAAATAATCACCTTTTTTAGATTGTCAAACACAAGACGTCCATTTTCAATGGCAACCACAATGCTAGAGAATTTGTCCAATAGTACCATATCAGCTGCTTCAATTGCCACATCACTACCATTGCCCATGGCAATACCCACATCCGCCATTCGTAATGCTGGAGAATCGTTCACACCATCGCCTGTCATGCTCACCACATTGTCGCGTTTTTGAAATTCCTTGATAATACGTAGTTTTTGATCAGGTGATGTTCGTGCAAATACAATTTCATCATACTGGCAAACTTGTTCCCATTGGCTGTCATTAAGTGTAATCAGATCAGTACCAGATAATAAGAGTGATTTTCCATTCAGTGCTTTCATAACTGTACTCGCTGATCCAGTGCTTTCCTTGTCATTTTCATATGTATCCCTTATCATTGGTGTAAATGAGTTTTGCTGAGGAACGTATTGTGTCACTGTGCTTATATCCTTACTAGGGTCCAAATCTTTGATGCTATGTGGATGTAAAGTAGTAAAAATACCAATTTGTCGAGCAATAGCAGCTGCCGTCAAAGGGAAATCTAATAGTAATAATAAATAAAAAAAAATGTGAGTTTTAATTTCTTTTGAGTATACATGTAAATATATTTACCACCAGTCACCATATAGAAACGAATACCAGCATTACGACAGATTTGAACGGTTTCCGCACTTTCAGGACGAGGAGGATCAACAATAGCAATCAGACCAACAACGGTTAAGGATTGATTCATTTGAGTAGCCCAAGTAGAGAAGCGAGAGGAGGAAGAACTTGAATCAGAAGGAATTTGAGATTCAGGAATCACACGACGAGCTACCATCAAGACACGTTTTCCATCATTTGCCCATTGTGTTTGTGTTGCCACCAAAGCTTCTCGACGTTTTTCAGTCAAAGGTACTTCAGTTCCATCGACTTCCAAGACTCGATCACATCTTGCTAAAAGAACATCAGGAGCACCTTTGCATAAAAGAATCCAATCAGAAGTTGTCACTTCGTTATCAGTAGTAGATAAAATCTTAGCCAAACCAGAGGTAGAAGAGCGATGAATGGTCAACATCCATTTGTTTTTGGAATTGAAGGGGATTTCAAAGATAGGATTAGCTTGAGATCGAATGGATTCCACAGTCAGTTCGGGGTTCACAGATGTTGCATAACGAAGAATAGCAGCGTCAGTAGCATCACCAATAATAGCCATTCTATCCGCATTTTTGTCGGCATCAGACATGTCGAATTTTGCACCATTACATAAAGAACAGCTGACTTGCATTTGAATGATATGAGAGCGAAGAGTAGTTGCTTGTTCATCAGTATCTTCTTTTGGTTTGCCAATAACCACCAAATCCCGACATACAGGTGAGGTATATTGTTGATCAGATATGGAGATATCCGAGACATACATTTTGTTTTCAGTCAGAGTACCAGTTTTGTCCGAGCATAATACGTTGACACTACCCAATGTTTCTACTGTTGTCAATACTTTACATAATACATTGGCTTTTTGCATTCGTCTGGCGATAAGAGTCAAGCATAAAGTAACAGCCACAGGCATACCTAAGGAAAAAAAAAAAAAAAAAAAAGCGAAAAGAAGGTTAAAAACAAATGGAAAGATATGATTCTTTTTTTTTTTTTTTTTTTTTTTGTGTACCTTCAGGAACAAAAGCAACAATCACCGAGATAACATCAATTAAAGCATTGGAGACAGATAAATAATCAGGATAATCCACACGAAGCCAAGCAGCCCAAGTGATCAGACAAATAATACCAACACTGATGGAAAGAGAAGCAATAATAATAACAAAACGTAAAATTTCTGTTTGTAAAATAGTACGTTTTGCAGGATCATCCAAAGAAAGTCGAGCAATCTTGCCCATCATAGTTTTGTCACCAATAGAAATAACCACACCAGTTGCTTGACCATTCAAACAATGAGTACCCATCATAGCCATATTATGGGATTCAAGAACATTGTCATCAGTAGCATCAACAGTACCAGGAATAGCATCAGATTCACCAGTCAATATGGAACGATCAAACTTGAGATCATCAGATACTTGAACTAATCGAATATCAGCAGGAATCTTATCACCCATTTTGAGAAGAACAATATCACCAGGTACCAGTTGAACAGGATCGAGAGTTAAGGTTTGACCTTCATTACGTATGACTTGGCATTTGCTAGGTAACATGTTATTAATTGAGTTCATTACTTGACTAGTAGACCAATCTTGCCATGCGTTAAAGAAAGCTTGTAAGAAGACTACCATCATCAAGATGACAGCTAAGGCTAAATTGACTGGAGAAGGATTTGGGTTACCTAGTGGTTGCCATGATATCCTATGATATTAAAAAGAAAAAGACAAAAAAAAAAAAAAAGATAAGAAAAAGAAAAAGAAAGAAAAGAGCGGGCATTGGATTTTTTTTTTTTTTTTTTTTGTATTAGAAATTTACCAGCAAATGATACTTGCGAACCATAATAAACCACAAAATCCACCAAAGAAATATCCAAATATTTTTCTTGGCCAATTGTTTGGTGGTGGAGAAATAGCGTTTTTTCCATAAAGATCAGTTCGTGTTTTTAATTGTTCATTGTCCAATCCATGTTCCAAACTTGTATTATATTGTTGTGTGATTTCAGTAACAGTTGCCTTATGATAATTAACGTCCGCCAGATCTTTTCAATACAAATATATATAAATATATATATATATATTAGTGGATGATGATGATGATGATCATATATCTTACCTTCAGCTAAATTATAATCTTTCTTTTTTTTCTTTCCTAATCGTTTTGAAGATTTATCCACTTGTTTCTCAGAAACAGTAATAGATAAAGTTCTATAGGCGATAATCCCTTGATTTTTTGAAGTTGGTCGTTTGTACCCTTTAGATTTGGAATATCGATCATCATCACGAGCAGGTGAAGAGAATTCAACCTGTATTTTATTCTCTTCTTCAGCCATAATAAATATAGAAGAAGAAGAAAAAAAAAAAAAAGAAAAAAGAAAAGAAAAAAAGGAATAAAAATATGCGTTATAAAAAAAGGCAACGGAGATCAAAAAGAACAATTCTATCAAGGCTATGTAATGAGGCCTTTTTTTTTTTTCCCTCATGTCACACATTAGAATTTGCGTTTGTGAGTCGTTTTTTGCAAAACCTCTCATTTTTTTTTTTTCATCAATCACATCAAAGATCATTGTATCTCTTCAAATAAAATAAACGTTAAAATCAACCTGAGCTTTCTTAGCTTCTCATTATCAGACAAAATAACTATCCCTTCGAGGCATGATTGATGATTGGTTAAAAAGAAAAAAAAAGAGAAATGGAAGGATTCTATTCAACCTTTGTTATCAGTAAATAAACTTTTCATGTACAAACGTGATACATTCATTTGGTGTCAACCCTTATTGTTATGATTATTTACAACCATCAATGTACACTTTATTACTGATGTTAAGAATGTGATAAAATGAGGTATTTTTTTCTCTCTTTTTATTTGTAAATGATCATGAGGACCAAAGAAATAAATAACCAAAGTGAATCAAGGTAATCCTGGTCACTGGCTCGTATAAAAAAATCATAGATAAAAAATATCTATTTTAAACAACAAGGCAAGATAGGAAAAAAAAAAAAAAAGGTTCTCGTTTGTTACCCTCAACGGTAACGATCGCTAGCCAACCCGTCTCATGTGTAACCACTTCGGACTTCCAGACTTTATTCCTGCAAGTTTTACCTATACATTGAAAAGACTGTATGTGGCAAATGAATCATCGATGATGATGATCAAGACTAAAAGATAATCCGTTTTATTTCCAAATAATAATAATAATAATAACTATAATAATAATATAAAAGGCTAATAAAATAAAGATATAATATAAAGTATAAACTAATTATATTTACCATCATGCTTCAGAAAGGAACGCGTTGATAGTTTGACAAAATCCATTCACATTATCCGCTTGTCTTGCCCAAACTTGAGTATTGTCGCCTACTACCATGTTGATATTTGCTTTTGTGTTGAGATTGTATAAATAGAGTCCATGATTCTTTTCCATATCCACCAATGATTCTTGACAATCTTCGGTATCCAAACAAGATTGATTATAGTCGTAGAAAAAGTTATAGAGCCCTGCACCATAGATATATACATTGGATGAAGCAAGAGATCGTAAACCCCAAGCCATTGCACATCGATTCGGTGGTTGTATTGAGCTATTGTTGTTGTTGCTGTTGTTACTATCAAAAGTCCTACAATGTTCAAATGTTGGATCATTCCATGTATTTTGTACATCACCAGCGGAAACTTGTTGGAAAGGGAAAGGAGCAGCAGGGACAGGTTGCCAGTAAGGAGTTTCCGATTGGATCATAGACATCAATACATTCTTGGCATGCGAAATTTGATATTGATAGAGTGTGTTATGTTCAGATTGTACACCATAGAGCCAAACAGGACCTTCTGTTGATTCAATTAAAATACCACGGCCAGTATAAATGGAGACTTGTCGTTGTTTTTCACCATCATCAAGATCATGATCCGCTGTCCATGCCCATACATTTTCAAGATAAGCTGAAGAGGAAGAAGTTAATCGTAATAAAGTATGTACACCTGCACATGCAATGTTGTCCATATTGTTGTCAGCACTATGTGTTTTGGAAGATTGAGTCGATGTAGCGGTTGGGATGACAAACATGGGCCGTTCTTTCTGATGTCTTGTGATACGAGTTGACATAGCACCTTTCTTCTTTGGACACTGTTGATATTGAAGATCGGATCCTATCGTACCACCCACACGGAAATGTGTATCCCAAAGTCCACTGGAGCCTAAAGCTGAAGGTTCATCCCGCATATTCCATTCCAAAAGTACAGCACCAGGTTGTGCACCAGATGATGAAAAGATCAGATCACTCATTTCCACTATACCTTGATCACCTTGATTGCCAACTTTGATCATCGCCACTGGTTTATCCATATCTTGGAATACTTGTCCTTTAGCCATCAGAACCGACCAAAGCTCACCCGTTAGTCTTGATCCAGCTGGTACTGTAATGGTTTTGCTGATAATATAAGTACCGGCAGGGAAGAATACAATTTTACAACCTGCATTGTCATTGATCACCTTTTGAATGGCTTCCGTGTCATCTGTTATACCGTCTCCTTTGGCACCACCATCTTTTGTCAAATCAAATAACAATGGAATAGGTTAGTAATTACCTTTTTTTTTTTTTTTTTTTTTTTTTTTTTTTTTTTTTTTTTTTACCAATAACAGAGACAAAGGAGGATACATCATATTGTTCATATTGTGGTCGAGATTGTACATGAAAGGTACCATCATTAGAAAGTAGACTGGGTGACTTGATAGGAGCATTGGGTAAGTTTCCGCGTTGTAAAATACCTTGGCCACCAGTATCTGTATAAATAGATCCACTTCCCCAAGAACGAATAACAGTATTACCACCAGCAAGGATAACCTTTCCATGACCGTTTGCAATCATAGTATCAACGTTGGTTGTTTTGACATTGTCCAATAAAAGAGTGGCGGATGTATCAGAGTGTGTAGGAAGTGTACTTGTGAGTTTGATACCCGTGGTTGTATTGTTGAATTCGCCATCCAACACTAAGATGCTGCCGACATTAGAGATAGTGTTTTTGCCAGCAGAAGTCATATCAATCCCTGTATTGCAATTGTTGATAGATAGTTTTTGAAAAGTCCATTGCCAATTCTATGCATGTACAAAAAAAAAAAAAAAAAAAAGAATAAGATAAAGAAAAGAAAAGAAAAGAAATTAAAAAAAAAAAAGATTTACCCAGTTCATATAAATAGCAGTCTGACAATGATGGAAAGTCAGACCACGAGACAAAAATTGCTGATTACCGACCCACATACCGAATTTGCCACCTTCAAATACTAAATCAGACATAAAACCACCAGAGCCATTATCCATCCAAATACCTTGATGATTAGTTGTTGGATCCATGGACATGATGAAACGGAGGTTAATTAATGAAGTGGCCTGAGCAACTTGCCAATGAAGTCCAGTAGTATGTGCCTGTACAGGAGTGCCAGTCAAGTCAAAGACAAAGTTTCTGATCTGTCTGAAAAAGTTATTTTGATTGATATACCATTGACTACCATCGGCAAGGTAAGGATCAGAATCCACCATAGCCATGCCTTGAAACGAATTAGCAGCCACTAAAGTAGGTGGATTCAATGCATTCCCAACCAATTGTGTAAAATAATACATGATGATCGGGCTCGAGATTTTGTAACGACCCGAGGGGAAATAAACCAGTGCAGGTGTTAATGTTGAAGATCCGCAATTCCCTCCGCATCTTTGGCCATCTTGTATCGCTTGATTGATGCATGCTGTATCATCTGCTTCGCCATCACCAATACACCCATAATCTTTGACATTGCGGTACACTTTATAATCCAAGTTGCTATTGAACGATGATTTCCCATGTGTGATATGTGAGATCCACATTTCGTTGTCTTGACTACCCATCGTCATACATTGCTGTTGTTGCTCCGTCATTGCCTCTTTGTCCATATTTTCATCCAATGTTTCCTCTGTAACTTCATTCATCGGCATCATATCCACATCTTCCACATCTTCCACAATTTCTACGTTTTCTACATCTTCCGTATCATCTTCCATATCATCCACTTCATCCACTTCGTTCATGTCTTCTTCTTCATCTTGAATGTCTTGATTGGTTGACGGTACTTTGGTTTTTGTATGATCTGATGGACCGTGTTCGTTGATCAGTTCATCCATCACTGGAATCAAAAATGGATGAGCCCATAGTATTTCAAAACATAGCGACAACAGTAAGGTGATGATAATCAACTTCATTGTTATGAACGGTGTAAAAAAAAAAAAAAAAAAAAGAAAGAGAAAATGGGAAAAAATGAAAAAGGGAACTTTTTTTTTTATTTGGATCAGATACGTAAAAAATAAAGGTTCCATTTTTACCATATTTGTAATGCAATATTCTCCTTTTTTTCTTATTTCTATTGAATACTTATGCTCTAATCCATCTTTTTCATTTTCATCATTGGATGATTCACTCTCTGCATCTCTCCCTTCATCTGTATTTTTTTTTTTATTTATTTATCTAAAAGATTGCATATGATAGTAATGTACAGTTTTCCATCAAATACTTTTTGTCTCTGACTGATACTTTCCAACTTGACGAGCCCAAATAATAGAAAAGACGGAGGCGATCGACCAATAGAATCATGCATCTAAAATTGGAATACTTTTATTTAACCGGATGACATATTTTACCATTTACCAAACAAATAAAAGCAAGTAGAAGCAAACATCAAGAAGATTTCTTTTTTTTTTTTTTTTTTCCTTTTGATAATCATGACTTCTAATGGTTGAACATGTGTAGAATGATGTATGGTGCTATCTTATAAAAGATTGAAACAAAAGAGTCAAGAAAAGGAGATATCGCGGAATTCATTTTACTGTGATGTTTGTCAATGTAGATTAATACAGTTCAAAAAAATCAATTTCCCCCAAAAAATAACTACTACCATCATCAGTTTGAGATGAAATATATGATCATCAATAAAAGAGTTAGAGAAGTATGTAGGTGGATACAAATTGGAAGAATTTTCACATTTGTTTATTGATAAAATGTGTAATTAATGAGGTACAAAATTTAATTTCAAATGAAGTTGACCATGAGGTTTGAGAGACACCCATTGATCCACAGATTTTTGACTATACAATTCCATAAACTTACCAAAATCCTGTTCAAATATTCCCAATTCTACTGACGAACTAAACCTATTGTAATCCTTGACATGATATTCCAATACAGTTTCTTCAGGCTTGGTCAGTTCAAATTGAAAAGATTCATTCCTACAAAAAAAAAAAAAAAAAAAAAAAAAAAAAAGAAAATAATATGATGGTTAGTTTCTATCATTAGAATTTGGATCTTCTTCATCTTTTGCTTGATCTTACCATTCCGGATCCAACGATTTCTTGATTGCTTTTGTCTTATGTAGGGTATGATGATGGTGACGGACTTGAACAAACGGGTCACTAGTACCATTCTTATCTACTCCAGGTAAGCCACGAGCACCAAGAATGTACACAGTCACTGTACCATGAGGTATTGTTGTTAGGTTAATGTTATTGACTTGTTTGACGGTATTATCCATTTGTTGTTGTTGTTGTTGTTGTTGTTGTTGTTGTTGTTGTTGTTGTTGTTGTTGTTGTTGAGTATGTCCATTCAGAGTTGATGATTCTTTTTGATGACCTATACCACTGGCTATCGATGATGAATTTGATGGTGGTAATGGTGAGCTTGGTAAATCAAAGACCTTTGAACCAGAAAGGGATGTTGTTCTTCCGCCATAGGTCATTGTTCTCATAGTTGTCAACATGGAAGTATGAGTCTTGCGTGTTGTAAGTAATTGTGGTTGCCAAAGGAAGCGGACACGTACAAATCCAGATACACCAGCAACACCATCCAATGGAATTCGAACTTCACGAGCAACAAAACTTTCGACGTATTCATTCCGAATAGATATACCACCAGATCCTTTACATAATAACAATAATTAATAGTCAAGATGAGTTAAAGCCAAATCAAGAAATAAAAAAAAATTGTTTGTTCATACTATTATTTACCTAGGGGAGCATCGCCTTGGAATTGATTCCAGTCAAAGACTTCAATGCGGAAACTTGCAGTAACCCGAGATAACTAATTACAAACAAAGATTAGTTCCATTTTTCAAATTATCACTAGCCGTTCTTTTTTTATATATATATATATATATATATTTATTAATCGTGTATACTTACAATGGGTACTGTGAATTGAACATTTTTCCAAGTAGGATTAACAGTTTTCTTGATCACAGGACTCTTTTGCACACGTTCACCATTGATAGTGAATACCACATAAGGATCACTTGTACCTAAGTAATATGTAAAGAAAATAAAAATGAGTGGATAGAAGAAATTCAATATCTTGTAGCGTTTACCAGATTTATCCACTGCCATGAGATTCTTTCCACCTAGTAGAGTTACTGTCAAGTTTCCTTGATCTACAAAAAAAAAAAAAAAAAAAAAAAAAAAAAAAGACAATTATGAGACTTTTCTGATAATAACAATCCTTCTTAGAATCACTTACTTTCCAAACTTTCATCAGGATTTAATTCAAATCGAACAAGAGGAATATACCCAAAACTCAATCGGATTCGACCAGGTCCACCTTGAGTATCCAGTAAATCAAACCATTCACCTTGAGTGCCATCATCTTGTTCATCGTCATGATCTTGGTGTTCACCGTTGCTGGGGTTGTGTCGTTTTTGATACTGTATATGACGGATGATCTCTGTTGCTGAAGTTGTCCAATAGCCATACCGATCGTCATTCTTCTCATCCGAGTCCACATGTTTGATTTCGATCGCCAGCTTAGAAAAATCCGCTTCCTTGATAAATGCATCTGATGCTTGATTGAATACGAGATGACTACCTTTAATAGCCGAAGTCTTGAATTGAGAGTAGAGACTGTCCACCATCACTGCACAATAAGCGTGAACATTTTTGGAGAGTTGTACTTCATGAATCCGTATCTTCAGTACACCCGTATTGTACGCACTTAAATCCAAAAGACCATCTGGTGTCCATTTCACAGGTACTCCATTCAAATCCATCATTTCGTTGGCGTTATCCAAATTTACTTGATGTGTATTCAATTTTGGTGTTGACGATACTGCCTCCTGAGACAGATTTGCTGAGCCTTGTTGTGTATTGCTTTCGTCAATGCCTTCATTCATAGATACTTGACCGTCCTCTTTGACTTCATTTTGATCATCATTTTCAGGCTTCCTTAATGCCAATGTTGGATAAAATTCTGCAGTATATCGAAGTTCACCTTTGGTTGATTTCTTGTTTAATGATTGTAATACAGTCCACCTAACATTATGAAGCAAAAAGAAGAATGATTTAGAAATAAATCATAGTAATCACCCTTCACTCTCTCTTTTTTTTTTTTTTTTGTCACATACTTGTCAATTTTTTCGATTTGTTCATACCACTTGTTAGGATCATCCTTTTTGGGTCCAGAGCATTGTCGAACCAAGTCCTTGATACGTAGTGTAGTTGAACCTAATAACTTGTCTTTTGATTTTGCATTCCAATCCATTACTTCTAAAACCAAATCTTCACGTATAGAATGTACAGGTACATAATGGAATTCACCCCATTCAGGATAAAGATTGTTATCAATCACTTGAGTACGAGCACGTATTTGAGAACCAGACATAATACGTACATAAGGATCCGATTTTCCACCTGTGACAGCCTCCACGTTCCGTAAATCGCGAGCTTCCCATAATGAAAAACGAACCACACCGATAGGCTCCCCTATCAAATAGATAAAAAAATATGTTAAACTATATATATAGATAGATATATGTATAATTATTACGGTAAACAGAAGGTCCCATAGGTCCATGAATCAAACTAGACATCACGACAGGTTTCCATTGCACACTGAATCTAAGTCGACCAGATGTTTTGTCATTCAAACGTAGATCCCACCAGTAATCATTGTTGCTTTGTTGTTCCATGATGGGTACCAAGTAACAATCCCAGGAGCCCAAAACTGTATCTTCGCCAAAATCAACTCTATCCATGATATTAACCTGAAGAGAGACTTCTGTACGATCCAAAACCACCACTTCACCAGGTCGTTCAAATTTAGGATTTGCATTCCGCTTGAAGACGGGCGTTTTGACTTGTTGTACACCATTAACCTTAACTACAGCATAAGGATTCACCTTGTTGGATCTAAGGTTTCTGCATTCATGAACAGTGAAACGAAGGACCCCAGAATCTAATGAAAATAGATCGTTATAAGAGAAAAAAAAAACATGATTAAATGATGTGTTCACTTACTTGATTCAATCGCAGGTTCCACTGTGCCATCTTCCAAGGTAGTTGGTTTTGATACAGGTAAATAACGTGCTTCAAATTGTAAAGATGTGATTCGTTTTCCTTTTCGAAGCAAGTCAAGATCCCTTTCATAATATAATAAATACAAGTTATTTTTTTTTTTTTTAGTATTTTTTTTTTTTTTTTGTTAATGCTCACTTACAATCTTTCAACAGTATAATCATCTTCACCCAATTCTGATAATGGAAAATGGCCTCTTGCAATTCGATGATCCTTTAATGCATTACCAGCAGCATGATTGCGGAGTTCCAACGTCAGTTTTGAGTCCAAGTTATTTAGTAGTAAAAAGTGAGTTTCATTCCAATTAGGTTGAGAAGAATGATCAATAGCATTCGTTCGACCTAATTCTTGAGCCTTGTCCAAATAAAATCGAAGGTACATATTGGGATGACCACCAGGAATATCACCATGATTCACAGTACTAATAGAATATACAGTAACTGCAAGTACACCGTTGGCTTGTGCTACAATGACATACCAAAAAAGTTAGATTCATGAATAAAAAATAATTATTAACACACTTACTAATATCAAGTTCTCCAGAAAAGAATTTCTCCAAATCAAACGAAAAGACATTAGGATAATAAAACATAGGACCAAGAATAGCATGGGCTTGATCACGAACAAAACCTTGAAGACCTGGAATCTATAAAGAAAAAAAAAATAATGATAATAGATGATATGAATAAACCCCAATTGTTGATCAAATACAATAATAAATTATCACAAGCTTACATTGTTGACATCAAAACCAAAAGTATCACCTCCCAAAGGTTTCAATACATAATCAAAGTAAGGTTTGTCCATAAAGCAAGCTTCGACCAATTTTACATGAGGAAATTTGCTGATAAATTGAAGTTTGACACGTAAATGACCCTTGAAGCTCATATCTTCCACCAAAATTGGAATTGCAGCACCTACCATCCCTTTGCCCAGACGAATAGAGAGTTCCACACGAGGACTAATACGATCTTTGAGTTGTTTTTTCGACATGCCAGTTGTATCATTTGGTTCAAAGGTCACTATCCAATCCATACACTATAAAGATATATAATAATAATAATAATAATAATAAAAAAAAATAAGAATGAGTTATCATATTATTGATTATGCGTAATGTTGATTTACCACCACATCCGCTTCAGTATGTAAAGTTTTGACATTTTCGATCCGAAAAGGTTTGTTTCCCAAAGTGAATGTTGTCAATCGTACAGAATCTAGGAATCCAGGTAAATAATCCACAAGATAAGTATCGATATTTTCCACTACATATGCTGAAAGAACAGGTTCAAAAATCAACCAAAAGTTATGCAAGAAACTGTTCAGCCATTCGACAGGTTCAGTACTATCTTGCACATGGATATTGACCAATTCACGATTAATATCATCACGAACATGAAGTTGAAATCGTTTGGATGACATATAATAATAACTTGCTATACATAAAAAAAAAAAAAAAAAAGCTCAATAAAATATGTTATCTTTTTTTTTTTTAATCATATTAACTTACCCACAAAGAAACAAAGAATAATAAAAGTAACAGGACCTCCACCCATAATAGCCAAGAACCAAGAAAGAATCCCAATAGCAAAAATCACACCAGTTTGTTTCCACCAATCATGATAAAATAGAGTACTAAACAATACTTGAATATCATCTGTTTTTGGTTTTTCAGTAGCCGAAAAAGGTAGAGGACCACCAGGGTTTGTTCGAGTTGAAAATGCTGTCCAACCTACACGATACCAATCAGGAATTCTTTGTTGTTGTTGTTGTGAAAGATCTTCAGATGTTGTTGTTGTTGTTGACTTTTGTGATGTTGTTGATTTAGAACGCTTTAAAGTCGATAAAGATGACGGCATTGGTTTCCGTTGAGCAAGAGCTAAAGCATGCATAATATCCTGCGCATCATTGGTACCAAGTTCAGTTCGAAGACCTTGTTGATTCTGTCGGAAATTCCGGAAATCAGGTAGCATGTCGCGTGGCCTTGTTTCATATTGAGTGATATTGTCATTCTTAATATCTATAGTATCCATTTTGGCAGTTTTTGTCGGAGATACGTCGATGGAGGTTGATATGTCAGATAATGTTTGATTGTTCATACCTGGTGTGTCATGTTTTATTGCAGTATCAGAAGTAGTATTTGTAGAATTGCTCATGTTGGATGTATTTATATAAAGAAGGAAAAGAAGAAACTAAAAAAAAAAAAAAAAAAAAAAAAATGTTTTTCCGTTTTCCCTTCAAGGAGCGGATGTCCGATTTTCCCTCTTTTTGCGGGATTACAATGCCAGCCAAGACATGAGGTTGTTCCACAGAAAAGACTTAATCAAGAAAAACACTCAAAAGGGGTGCTTCGAATTCTACCGTTTCACAAAAAAAAAAAAAGAAAAGAAACAACAACAAAACAATACCATATGAACTAATGATGCAGGTCCGTCCCCATCAATCAATGCGTCAAAAAAAAGAAAATCGGTCACTCGCCAAGCGAACGGAAAAATCCAATACATCTAGGATAAATGGTTTTTATTAAATCGATGATATAAAAAATGATATAGACGCATGATATATAATAAAAGATCAGGGATAAACAAATCATTTTCCAGCCTTGTTTCGTTTACAACGTGTCTCTTCGGAAGTTGAGCAGTGTGGCATGATGAAGTTGTCAAAGGGATGGAGAGCGTTGTCAAGCCAAGTAGAGTTGTGACCATGATGTTGAGCAGCACCGGTGATTTCGTTCAAAACCTTGGTGTTGAATTTGTCGCATTTTTGTGATATTTCGTTTGTACCTAGTTCATCATATTGTTCATGTTCCACTGTGATTCGCCTGATGATCGAGTCACATCGTCGTCCGATTTTTTTTTTTCGGCGCATTGGCAAAAGCGTTCCAAGCTCGCGTTTCTGAGTCTTCCTGTCTGCCGATGCCTTGCTTTCATGTTCACCAAAAGAGTCCATGTAATCCCGGAAATCCACAGGAAGTTGTCCCATTGGTTTTCTGTGATATTGTCGTATCAGCGTATTCCGTAACCGTATCCATAAGATAAAGAATGCATTCACAAACAAAGAATAAAAATACATCGTAATATGGTATCACTTACACTGACGTGTAATAAAGCATTATTAAATAAAAGTATGACTACTATAGATCACTAATTGATGTATTAAGATTAAAGCATTATAAAGAAAAGAAAGAAAGAAAAGAAAGAAAAGAAAATCACCATAAAAGATAAAATAAAACACGGACTTTGAAAATCATTATGCTGATGGTCCATGATCACTACCAAGGAAGATACATATCAATGGATAAACACTCCAGGGCAGCTATCATGATTAAATAATTACACATATGATGATAATACCACATCAATAAGAAATCCATAGACTTACCGAGTATATGCTTTTCACAATGTCCCTAGCCCATCTTGATACAGGACTAGATTTACCGCTCGCCAGTGATTCAATTGGGAATAACTGCCCGAAGTTTTTTAAAAAAATTTCACGACGTCGAAGGTTTGGAAGGTGTTTTGAATATAAGCTTCACAAGACATGATACGAAAGAAGTACAGCAGTCCAAGAAAGAAGGGAAAGAAAGAGTTCGAAATTTACATGCTACCTTGTCGCGTCACTTTTTGATGACGGTATTTCACCCCGAAAAAAAAAGAGAAAAAAACGATACGTCTGAAATTTCAAGCCCTGGCACCTGATTTTTTTTTTTATTGTAGTGCGACATCGATTTCAAAAAAATGGAACAAGTGATCGTGGAAATACTGTAGTTCAAAAGGCGTTTAATGGAATAATATTACAAGGTGAAAATAAAAGAGTGAGAGAAGGGAAAACAAAAACTAATAATAATTAGGGTAAAAGGATAATATTATCTAATCATTAAGGGCCAGGAAGGGATGAGATAATAATTCTTGAGCTGTAGGTCTTTTTTCGTGATCACTATACAATAAATAAGATAAATATCCGCTATATTTAATCATCATTATTTACTTACAGTTGGAATGTACACTTTAAAAAGTCCTTGGCTTCTTCACTAATATGAGTCGGGATATCTGGTGCGGTATAGCTTCCGATCTATATATAAAATCATTGGTTTAAAAAAAAAAATCATTCTTTTTTTTTCTTCTTCATCTTCTTCTTTAATTACCTGGAATATAGCCTGCATCTGTGAGAATTCAGGGAAAGGATGATCACCAGTAAACATTTCCACCACCATACATCCAAGAGACCAAATATCTGCTTTTCGAGTATACTGAGTTTGTTTTACTACTTCAGGTGCCATCCTACATTAAAAATTAAAGTTAATGAAGATTTTTTTTTTTTTTTTTTAGTTTTATTTTATACCAAAATATAGACCCTTGTAAACTTGGTCGATGAGCTGCTGTTGCTGTCACTTGCATAATATCTAATATAAAATAAATAAATCAATTTATTTATAATGTATATTAACTTACTTACCATCTTCCACCTTCTTGGAGATACCAAAATCCGATATCTTGACACCACCTTTATTATCAACCAATACATTGGCTCCTTTGATATCACGATGAACAATATCTTTTCCGTGGAGATAAGTCAATCCTTTTAATATTTGTCGTACAAAACTTTTCACCAATGGTTCTTGGAATGCACCATAACTTGATAATAATCCAGCTACCGAGCCACCAGGTACATACTCCAAAAAGATACTGAAATGAGCATTATCAGATTGTGATCCTAAAAGAAAATCGTTCATTTTCAATCCAATGTTACTTTTTTTTTTTTTTTTTCTTTTGATCATACCAAGGTATTGAACAATATTTTCATGTTGCAGTTCCTGAAGTAATGCAATTTCCCGTCGAAGAGCTTCTACCTACAAGATAAAAATAAAATGAGTATATCTATTATTCTTTTTTTTTTTTTTTTTTTTTGTAAGTTATATACCATAGACCGTTTTCGTTCCACACTAGCAGAATTTTCCACCGGTAATTCAACTTGTTTGACAGCCATTAGTTCACCACTAAGAGGATTCAAACCAAGATATACATCACCAAATGTTCCTCTACCTATCAATGATCCCTTCATCCAAGGTAGACAAGCTCCATCTAATAAAAATAAAATATAAGTAAAAAAAAAAAATCATAATTTTACTCTTTTACTTTACCAATCACTGCTGGTTGTGGACTAGCTGGAGATGGAAGAGCCATAGGCAAGTTCCCATTACTATTGTTGTCAAAAGATATATGTGTCAAGTCACGTTGTTTGCTGCCATTCAAATAAGATAAACTCGTAGATCGATTCTGCTGTGCAATCAATTGTTGTTCAGAAGTCATTTCGTCTTGTTTATGAATATTTGATATTGCTGTTCGTTCGGTATCATTACTCTTCTTGTCATTCAAATTTTCTGAAGATACTGATTGTCTTTTTGAACCCTCCAATTCAGTTTGATGGTCGTCTTCCACTTCGTTTTCATCAAGATCTACCCGAGAAGCCATAGCCTTCTTTGCTGTTGAAGTATGGTCTTGGGAATCATCATAGAGAGACATTGAATCGCCATCATGATCGCTGGGAGACTTTTTGTTCTTGTTATTGATATCATAATTGTCGTTGTCGTCGTTAGCATCCTCATCATCATCCACCTCTTCGTCTTCTTCTTCCTCTTCCTCAAATTTGTCCATATCAACCCCAAGTACTGATACAAGTTCTGGTAACACACTATTCCTTGAACTACTTCTGCTATCATGTCGGCTAGCGGCTGAATTTCGTCGATTGGTTGATAAACGTTTGGCATTGATTCCTGCTGTTTCCAATAAATCGCGTTTATGATTGGGAAAGAAGGAGGTCAAGTTGGAGGAGATCACTTCTGAAGGCGGTCGTTCTCCAAAGAAGCGTTTAATACGTGGGTAGTTTCGAGCCCTAAAAGTTGAACCAGTTCGTGCAGCAGCGACGTCAGAGAGTTGTAATGAAGTGCTTGGTACATACATGCTATCAGGTCGTCTTGATGGAGATGATGATGCTGATGTTGAATGTGCTTGTATTGATGAAACTGGTGCTGATGATGATGATGTGGATGAGGAAGAGACGTGTGTTTCTTGATATGAAGTCGGTGAAGAGGGTATACCCGAAAAAGTGGTGCCTGTGATGATGTCAAGGGTCATTTGCTTATCCGGTAGCCATGCTGAAGTATTACTACTGGTCAAATTGTTGTTTAAACTATGTGCTGACACGGGTGAAGACATTGTCGGTAAATCCTTCATGGTACTACTGTTGGATATCCCACTGTTGGTTGTTGCAAATGGATTCTGCCATCGAGCATTATTAGTTCCTTTTCGTTTGAATTCTTCGTGTGTTGGATACAAATGTCGTTTTCGTAGAATAAGTCGTTCTTTTTCTGGTCGATTGGTCGAACGACATATATCTGTAAGTTCCGCATCAGACAAAGCTCGAGCTATAGGGGAAAAAAATAGTTTAATTAGTTGTCATTTTTTCATATTTTGATCATCTGATTATACATTTTTAATTATTTTACCTTCTCCATTGGTACTTGACCCCACAAAAATACAATATCGATCTGCATTACTTTCATCAATTCCAAATTTGTGTAAAACTTTGCCCATAACAACTTTGGCGCTGGTTGTATTGTGTACGTTGACAATCCTAGTTTGTCCATCTTCACCAAATACTTTGACGCATGTCTATAATAAGAATAATATTAATAATAGATTAGTACTTCAGCTTCTTCTTACTCTTTCTTTTCTTTTCTTTTCTTTTTTTTTTTTTTTTTTTTTTTTACCTGTTTGACTTTTTCCATCGACATGATGCCTCCTTCTAGGGAATTGCGCTAATATGATTATTACAAAATGGTAAGAATATCAAATCATATTAATATAACACACATATATATAGACTTCTATTCAGTTATTTTACCTTTTGAATAGTACGAGGACTTGGTGGTAATAAAGGAAGAGAATCTTGATTTGTATTTCCAGTGGATGAGTTTGAAGCATTTGCGGCAGCAGCTGCAGCGGCGGCAGCACGCGATTTCTTCGAATCAGACCGACCCAGGAACCGAGAGAAAGAGTTGGATCGATTCAATAACCCTTTTGAATCAGACGTCTTGCCAGTAGATTTTTCAGATGGAGTAGTAACATTGAATCCTTCATGTCTAGTATGTGTATCCATTTGTGGAGAAGATATGACAGGTACCGATACTGTTGATTGATTCACGATGGAATGATCGGTACGTTGTTGATAAGGACTATGATGATATGAGTGCTGATATTGTTGTTGTTGAGAGTGATATTGAGGTGAATAAGAGTTCGGATATACAGGTTCCGGAGTTCCTTGCTATTAAATTAAGAGAGGGGGAGACAAAAAAAAAAAAAAACGTACTGTGAATACAGGCTCTTGAAATAGAAATAGAAAAAAAAAAAGATAATTTACCTTCATTCTTGCATTAGCATAACTGGAACTATAACATTCCTGACGTAAGGATTTTACAGCAACAGATAGGCGCACCCTTTCCCCTACAGGAGTAATATCCATAGCTTTCAAAGATTCATTGTCGAGATCAAGAATGACGGCACCAGTAATTTTGTGTTCTAATGACAAAAAAAAAAAAAAAAAGAAGGAATTGAATTAAAAAAAAAAAAAAAGAGAAACGATACAATGATATTATTGTATACCTTTGAAACGAGAAATAAAGCGTGTAAGATTAAGTTGTGATAACCAATCAGCTACTTGATGTTCAGACCAACCACGAACTTCTTCCACTGTACGACGTCTATGGTAATCCGGATGAGTAGGAGTTGTTGGAGAACCCATGTAAGGTGAAGTTTGATAGTAAGTCCTCGTAGATGGTGATACTGGTTGTTGTTGCTGTTGTTGTTGCTGTTGTTGTTGTTGTTGCTGGTTTTGCTGACTAGGACTTGTTTGTAAAGACATGGAAGCCGGAAGAATGAAAGAAAGAGATGATGCTTGTTTTGTTTTTCTTCTATCTTTCCCACAAGTAAGTTTCTATCTTTTGTAATTCTGGGATTCTGTATCGTCTTGAGGAGTAAGAAAAAAAAAAAAAAAAAAAGGAAGGATAAACGGTATATCAAAGGGAAATAATAGTGCTGAAAAAAGAGAGAGAGGGAAAGTTGGAGAAACAAAAAAAAAAAATCAGCCTCCTGTCCGACACTCCCTTTTTTTGGAGCTCAACGTACATTTTCTAGTGTTTGTTTCGAACCCAGCCTTTTCTTCATTTCTTTTTTCTTCTTCTTCCTTACACCACATGAAATCTCTTAATAGCCGAACTACATTTCATAATAAAATACAGAAGAAATTGGGACATTATAAATTATCCAAAGATGCAGATATACTTGTAAGCACAATAATATAATATATATATATCAAAACTTACCTTTTATTAAAACCAAATAGATATACTTGAATTATGTTCTATTTATGAAAAGACTAGCTGAAGTCACCCATCAAAAAGCTTTTGACAAACACATACAAGCAAAGAAAAAAAATGCATTCGTGATCAGAGGCGAGAACATTCGTGAAGTTACCAAGGTAAAATGATTTATCAACATGTTTTAAAATAATATTATATACTCATCAACTATTTTATTAGGATGTTTTACGTGAATTTCGAGGTTAGAATAAGCTCTTCATTATTTTCTTACTGTATATCTTTAACCACAAACACATAGCGTACATAAATGTATATAATATATATTAATCTATTAGTATAATTCTTTTTTTTTAAAAAAAAAATGAATAAACAACAACAAAATCAATCAAATCAATCAAATTATATAAAATAAGACTTTATTGGTATATATAATTTATATATTGTCTACATCACTACTTATTTCTTGTCCTTTTTAGCCTTCTTTTCGGATCGATGTTTCTTCTTTTTCTTGCTACTGCTTTTGCTATGTCGTGACTTCTTGTTCTTCCGTTTCACCTTTTTGCTATCAATATCTTGATCAGAGTCAACATCTTTTGTTGGATCATAATGTTCGTCAAAGTATTTGTCCATAGAGGTTCCGTTCCTGATTTTGCCACGACCACGATATCGCATATGAGAATTTGCTTCTTTGATGTCATTATCATCAATATTTGTTTCGCTAATATTATCGTTGTCGTCGTTACTGCTTTCGCTTAAATCACTATGACTACTGCTGTCGCTGTATTGAAATCGTTGTCGTTTTGTGTCGTTTTCCTGTTGATCTGGAGTCCCATCATCATGTTGTGCATATTGTCTCTTGTTTGTTCTTTTCTGTTTTCCAAGTCGTTTTTGAAAAGCCCTTGCATTTTCTTCAGCTGCCCGTATAACTGCTTGGTTATGACAATCGGTTGCTTTGACAATATTCATTAGAAATCGTTTATTTGGTTTGAGTTGTGGAGTGGCTGACCTAAGTAAGAAAAAAAAAAGGAATGTCAATACTCGTATATATGTATATTAATATGATGCTTTTACTTTTCAGGAATTGGACGGTATGCTTGAATACCTTCTGTTTTGTATTTTGCCTGCTTGATTCGAGCTTCATTAGTAAGAAGTTCAGCAACATGCTTATCCAAGTCTTGATCAGGTAGATTTTGTGCACTTTGTCCAGCAGCAGATCGAATTAAATCATTGATAATCTTTGAAAATACTGTTCGAGGTTTCTTTTCCGAAGACATTTTGTAGAGCTACAAAAGAAAAGAAAAAAAAAAAGAAAAAAGAAAAAAAAATGAAAGAAGAACCAAAATCCTAGCGAAAAGACTCTGCTCCCAAAAAAGAAAAAAATCATGCAGTCACTGAATTTTTTTTTTTCTTTCTCTTCCTTTCTCTTTTTTTTTTTTTTTTTTTTTTTCTTTCCTCAATCTTACCATGTCTGATACTGAAGATATCCCTGAACTTATTCCTGCGTAATTATATATATGATTCAAGTGAAACTAATATACATATATATATATATATATTGACAATTATTTATTTTATATTTATTATTATAGTCAAGTACAACAAACTCAATTCACAGTTGACGAAGAAAAGGAAGTCGATAAACGAAAAATACCTGTTACCATTGTTACAGGTACAAAGCATTTTTAGTATACATTATTAATTAATGTGAAAACACTTACATTACTCTATTTTTCTTCTTCTTCTTCTTCTTCTTCTTTCTTTAGGTTTTTTGGGAAGTGGGAAAACAACCTTACTGAATTATATTTTAACTGAAAAACACGAAAAGAAGATTGCCGTGATTCTCAATGAATTTGGTGAAAGTATGTATATTTTTAAACAAAAAAAAAGAAAAAAAAAAGGACATCTCATTTATGTTTGATCAAGGTAGCGATATAGAGAAATCATTATCAATCAATCAAGATGGCTCTCTATTTGAAGAATGGCTCGAACTTCGAAATGGTTGTCTCTGTTGTACTGTCAAGTAAGGAATGCACATATTTTTTATACCTTTTTTTTTTTCTAAATGAGTATCTCTTTATATATTCTTTCTTCTTCCATTTGTTTAACCAATATAGGGATAATGGTGTGTTGGCTATAGAAAATTTGATGAAAAAAAGTGGAAAATTTGATTACATCTTACTGGAAACAAGGTGAGCAAAAAATAAATGGCATTGCCTTTTTTTTTAAAAAAACTTTTATTGATTCATCTTTATAGTGGATTAGCTGACCCTGGTCCTATTGCATCGATGTTTTGGTTGGACGATGGACTTGGTAGTGATATCTATCTTGATGGCATCATCACATTAGTGGATGCAAAGCATATCCGAGAGGTAAAGATCTAAAAATTCAAAGTGACGATGAAAACTAAACCTTATTTCTAATGAACATTATTATAGTACCTTGGAGAAGAAAAACAAGATACTTCCATCAATGAAGCTCTCAAGTAAGTTAAGATTATATATATATATATATATGTATATATACTTATTATACTTTTTAATAGGCAGATCGCTATTTCTGATCGTATAGTGATCAACAAGACAGATTTGGTATCAGCTACGGAATTGGATCAACTGGAAGAAGATTTATTGAGTGTGAATGCTGTGGCAGAAATCATACGTACTGAACGATCAAAGTAAGGAAGGATATAGAGAGTGTTGATTGAAAAAAGAAAACAGAATAATTCATGTATCTTCTTCTTCTTCTTTTTTTTTTTTTTTTTTTTTTGTAGGATTCCTTTGGATTTTGTTTTGAATATTGGTGCTTATGATGTCAAAAATGTGGATTCTATTGCAAGACAAACTCAGAAAATCGACGAACATGGCAAATCCCACGCTCATCAATTAAGTCATGTAAGATTGATACTAGTGTGACCATTAAAAATAGATGATTAATTATTTCAAATTTACTTTATATATATTGTTTATAGGAAGTTCAAACCATATGTATTCAATTCAATACGCAGCTTGACAGTTTAGAAAAATTAGAAACTTGGATTCAGACATTACTATGGGAACACGCTGTGCCTGATGTCAATACTGAAGTACAACAGGACTCTCAACTCACGGTACTCCGATTGAAAGGATTGGTGCAAATACCCAAGAATTATCATAGTAACAACAACAACAACAATAAACATTTGGTGATTCAAGGTGTCCAAGAATTATATGATATTCAACCAGGTTATCGACAAGAAGATAATGTCCCTGCTAGTGAAAACAAGATTGTACTGATTGGACGGAACCTTCAATCCGATAAATTGTTATATTCATTTATTCAATGGTTAGAATTAGATTCTTCTTCTGTTCATTTACTTTAATAAACAATGCTAGTTATTAATTTACTATACATGGATGGTTCATGCGTTGACTCTTTGCCACGTCATTTTAAACAGCGATTAAAACGACAGAGAAAGCGAACAAAAAATCTCTAATTTTTTTTTTCTTTGTAGACGCGCTACTCTTTTCCTTCCTTATATCACATTATGTCTGACTCTAGTGCTTATATGGTGGCCAATCTTTTAGAAAAGGTAATTGAGATAATCTCTTCATTCCAAACATTTATACCTTTTCTTATACTGTTGTTTTGACACACACATATAGATGGATAGTGAAGACCGAGACTTTCGGTATATGGCTTTGAATGATCTTATGAATGAACTTCAAAAGAACTCTTTCAATAATGACTCTTTGGTGGAAGCAAAAGTGGTGGCTGCTGTTTTGAAATTGATGGGTGATAAGAACACAGAAGTACAAAATCTCGCTGTGAAATGGTAAAACAATAAAAAAGTAGAAAAATAAAACAAAAAAAAAGTGCTCACAACCGTATTTGTTTATGATATAGCTTGGCTCCTTTGGTAAAACAAATTAGGGAAGAACATATGCTGGACATTATCAACAAATTGTGTCAATTTGCTTCTCAACAAAAGAATGAAGAACTTCGTGGGATTGCTAGCATTGGTAAAAATAGAAATGAAAGAAAATAGCATATACCTTTTTGAATTATACTTCCTTAACTCTTTATTGTTGTTATTATTGTTATTATTTATTCTTTATTGATATGTAGGTCTGAAAACTGTCGTATTGGAGGTCAATCCTAATCGTGGTCATCGTGTCAGTGCAAGCATTATTCCAAAGCTGTTACAAATTCTTCAACAAGTAGGTGTTGTTTTATGAAGGAAAAGATACTAGTTAAATATAGTGATTAATCTCTATAATTTGTAGGCTGAAGGTGACTATGAAACACAAATGGATACACTAGATATCTTGGCCGATGTTATATCACGTTTTGGTGGTCAAATATCAGCGGCACAACAATCATCGATCCAACAAACCTTGTTACCTTTGTTATCTCATTCAAGAACAACCATCAGAAAACGAACAACAATGGCTATTGGTTACTTAGTTGTCCATGTGAATGATGCGTTATTTGATACTACTCTGCATTATATATTGGAAGGACTAGAAAAGAATCAAAACTCTGATGACAAGCTACGAACATTTGTGCAAGCCAGTGGTATTTTAAGGTACTCTATATATCATCAACCATTCTCTCTCTCATTTTTCTTTTTCATTCCTTTACTGTCTTCTTTCTTAGCCGATATAGCCCTACTCGACTTGGAAAACATTTATCTGAAATTGTGCCCATTATCACAAAATATGCTCAGGAAGCCGATGAAGATGATGAACTTCGTGAAATTAGCTTGCAAACCTTGGAATCATTTGTTGTGCGATGTCCCACTGAAATCACTGTTTACATTGATCAAATTATTACTCTTGGTTTGGAATTCTTGAAATATGATCCTAACTTTGCAGATCATGATGTAAGAGAATTTCACTTTATTACTATCTTTATTGTATTATATTCTAATTATCTTGTTTACATAGGAAGATGATGATATGATGGATGAGGATGAAGAAGAAGAAGATGAAGAAGATGAATATGATGATATTGCGTAAGTTTATATACATATTAGAAAAAAAAGGGGGTTATATTGACTTCTCTTTTTTGATGTATATATATAAGAGAATATTCGGATGATGACGATGATATGTCTTGGAAAGTACGCCGTGCAGCAACCAAACTATTGACATCTGTGATTGAAACTCGTTCCGATCTTCTATTACAACTTTACGAATCAGTATCACCAGCTCTTATCAGTCGTTTCAATGAACGTGAAGAATCTGTCAGAATCGATATCCTCAACGCATTCATTGCCCTTCTTCGCCAAACAAACTTGTACAGCTCTGACGGACATTCTAGTGCCATGACGAATGAATTTGATCTTGAATTTGACATGCCTAGTTATGATGAAGGATTCATATTAAAAGCTGTAGATACTGTATCAACAACAAATATGGATATTACTGAAGGGTAAAGAAAAGAAAATCATGAAACAAGGGGAAAGAAAGATGACCATCTATTCAGAAACAAGATTAAACCAGGAAACCTTTTTTTTTTCCTTTTATTATGATAGTCCAAAACAGCAACTTCTTGCTCAGGTACCCAAACTCTGTCGCACATTGTCAAAGCAATTATCATCAAAATCAACTCAAACCCGTCAAATCGGCTTCCACCTATTACATGTGGTGATCACTGTACTACATGGTGGATTGGATAATGAGATTTCCTTGTTTGTTCCGGTCATTGAATCATCATTATCAACATCAACTTTGGATTTACAACAATCAGCCATGTCTTCCAATCTAAAAATTGAAGTCCTATCTTTCTTACGTACATTTTTACGCACTCATCCTGCGAACGTGACCCAACCTTACCTACATCAACTATGCCCTGCAATTATTAACAGCATCTCTGATCGGTTTTACAAGATTACATCGGAAGCTTTTATGGTTTGTATTGAACTTATCAAGTCTATCCGCCCTATTCAACGTATTCCCAATACAAATGAATACAATATTGCGCCTGTGAATCAAGACTATGTAGGTTATATTATGGAAATCTATCAATTGACACTTAAGGTACTTGGAACAAACAATGCTGATCAAGAAGTCAAAGAAAGATCTATCATGTGTCTTGGAGCTTTGTTGGCTCAAGCGGTGGATGTATTAGAATCAGAACAACGACATGCATGGAATGTCCTCTTGGAAAGATTACAAAATGAAGTGACAAGACTGATCAGTGTCCGTACTTTGGCTATTGTGTCTCAAAGTCCTGTGGCTGCAGGTGAAGAGTTGGCTCGCTGTGTTCTTACTGCTGTTGATGGTATTGCTCTATTGTTAAGAAAAAGCAACAGATCTCTCCGTGTAGCAAGTCTTGAATGTTTGAATATTTTGATCAAAAGGTGAAAAGAAAATAGATAAAAAAAAAAAAAAAAAAAAAACGAAATAGTAAACAACTTTTTTTTTTATCTTGAAATGATAGATTTGGTACCAAGATCAGTGATCAAAGCTATCAACAATTACTGACCGAAGTTCGACCTCTGATTACTGATTCCGATCTACACCTTTTACCTCTTGCCTTGCAACTCGTTGATTCTATCATTACTATTCGACCCACTTCAGTCACTGATATCAAGGTGTTGATTTTACCTACCCTTTTCCAATTGATTCAGTCACCTTTACTTCAAGGAGCTTCACTCAAGAGTTTGTTAAATCTTTTTGCTTCCTTGGGACGAGCCAGTCCAGCGGATTATGATGTCTTTATCAAGGGTTTGGTGGATCCTCTTTTATCTGCTCATACTGTTGGTGTTTCTGCTGGTGGTGTTGCTGCAGTAGCTAATAAACAATCTGCTTCTACTGTCGCTCAATGTGTCGCAGTTTTAGCCATCAACAACGATCAAGCCCATTGCGAATCTACAGTGCGTACATTCTTGGATTATATCAAAGTAAAATTTTAACAAAAAAAAAAAAGATTTATTTCCTTGAGTAATTGATTCCTGTTTTTTTATTTTGGCATATAGAATGCATCATCCAATGACTCTGTTCGCTATCTCAGTCTTTTGATCTTGGGTGAAATTGGTCACAAAGTGTAAGTATTGATTATAAGGAATTATAATGAATATTTTTCTCGATATCCACCATTTGACTTTTTTTTTTTTTTTTTTTTTTTTTTGATAGAGACTTGAGTAGTCATGATTCCATCCACAATGATATTCTTAATTTGTTCAGTGCTCAATCTGAAGAAGTCAAGTTTGCGGCGGCATTTGCATTTGGAAATCTTACAGTTGGCAATATTGGCAAGTACTTCCCATTGATTGTATCTCAAATCAAAGAAAAACCAAAAAGAAGATTTTTGTTATTACATGCTTTAAAGGAAGTAAGTCATAGAAAAAAAGATATATTATGATGATATCCATTTTTTACTGACATTTTATATAGGTGATTACTCGTTGTGATTATCAAACACCAATCATTGCACTTGAGGAAGCATCTGATGATATATGGACGCTACTATTGGAAAGTAGTGAATCGGACCAGGAAGAAGGCACTCGATCAGTAGTAGGCGAATGTCTTGGTAAACTAGCCTTGACCAATTCATCAAAGTATCTTCTTCAATTGGAGGTAAAAATCAATAAAAAAATCAATAAAAAAAAAAGTCAAAAAAATAGATTGATTATTTACATATTCTCTTTTCTTTGGTTTGTCTCGTCTTCGTTCCTTAGGCTCGATTGGCATCCCCTTCTCCTCAAGTACGAGCAACTGTTGCTACTGCGTTCAAGTATATTGTTGTTGATCCCATACAGAAGAATGATGATTTACTGAAACCCGTTGTCGCTCAATTCTTACTCTTATTGGAAGACTCGGATATTGTAAGTTCAAGAAATGAAATATAGTGTTACTACACTAACAGGTCTTTGCTGGATTGGATAGAATGTTCGACGATTAGCCCTACTGACAGTCAATTCAGCTCTTCATCGCAAAGCCTACCTCGTGCGTGATGTCTTACCTTCTTTGTTACCTCTCCTTTATCAAGAAACTATTGTCAAGGTAAGAATGAAGACAATAAAATAAGAAAAAAAAAATAAAAAAAGGGGTGATAATCTTGTTTTTTTTTTTTTTTTTTTGACAATCTCCTCATTTTGGTTCTATTGACCACGTAGGAAGAATTGATCCATACCGTAGAAATGGGACCCTTCAAACACAAAGTGGATGATGGCTTGGAACTTCGAAAGGTAAAAGGGGAAAATAAAGGAGGAAGAGGAGAAGGAAGAGTGAGGCTGCGTAGAACGTGGCATTACGATTGGAATGTTTATGCATCTATGATTATTTACTCTTATTTATTATTTTAGGCAGCATACGAATGTTTGTATACATTATTATCTACATGTTTAGATAGGATTGATATTCATGGTTACTTGGATTGTGTTCGAATTGGCTTGAATGATCAACATGATATCAAAATGCTTGTTTACTTGATGCTGATTCGGCTTAGCAAAGTAGCATCTACGGCAGTATCTCAAAGTGAGTAAATGAAAATAGGATCATGGAGGTCATACTGATATATATATATATATATAATTTATTGATTGGTTTATAGAACTGGATGATTTGGTGGCTCCTTTGAAGGCAACTCTTGATTTCAAGATTCGAAGCAATGCTGTGAAACAAGAATTGGAAAAGAATCAAGAATTAGTTCGTGCCACTATTCGTTGTATAGTTGCTTTGTCTGTGATCTCTGAAACTGGTAAGGAAAATTAACTAATAATAATAATAAAAAAAAAAACCAACCTCACTCTTCTTCTTTTTTTTTTCTTTGGGAAATGAAAATAGGGACTAGCCCCAAGTTTGAACAGTTTGTGGAAGAAGTACGATCTGGTCCTTTGGCAGATGAATACAAAACAACAGCATTTGAAGTTGGGAAACGGGAATCAAGATCTGGTGATTATATGGATCTTTCATCGTAGAATACTTACGCTCAACAGACGGATGGATTAGTATTAGCCTGTAGTACTTCTTTTTTTATTTTATTTTATTTTTTTATTTATTTTTATTTTGTTTTACTCCCAAAATAAAATATCAAATCGCGTTTTATTATATAAGAATGATGACTTTCAAATTGTTTTACTGCTGATTGATTCAAACAAAATGATAAGTGGATGATGGATGGACGTGCGACAGAATTGGGGGACTAAGATTCATTATAAAATAGTGAAGGTGAGGGAACATCGCCAAAAGTCAATAAACAGCACTGGCTTTCTTTCGAGAAAGAAGAAAAACTATTGCCACTTAAAAAGGACCAGGTTGCACATGGAATCATAGAGACCAAGAAGGAAAATCAGTGAAAAGAGATATTGCGGCTACTACTTGACATCATCACAAGCACGTTTTTAACATGTGAACGAAGACCTCGAGAATAGTAATCAAAAACAAAACAAAACAAAAGTGAAATAATATGAGAGATATGATACTCACTGCCAATCATCATCCTTTTTGTCATAAGTATGATAACAGGGTCCTATCAAGGGATTATCCTTAAATAGTGCCGAATGACTCTTGCCTGGAAACTAAAATAATAAAGGAGTAATGAGGATGCTGTGTGCTTGAAGAGAGGAAAAAGAAAAAAAAAAAAGGAGATTGATTTATCTGAGAAGACAAATATACAATAATGAACATATCTTATTATGATTGATTGCCTTTTTTTGGTTGACCTTTTTTTTTTTTTTTTGTGGTTGCGTTTGAACCAAATACACCTAATAAATCCCTTGTTTCTCCTTTACTATTGATGCAACTTTGAATAAAAGGGATGGATATGATTATAAGTCTTTTTTTTTTAGGATTATTTCATAATCGATGATATGATCATTGATATTATCTTGTGATTATCTTAATTAAAATGAACTGTAGCACTTAGCGTCAATAGAAATGAAAATATAACAAAGAATTATCGGCTGTTGTCATGATAACGATATTGAGTGCGACCATGCAAATCAAAAATGGTCAAAGTTGATTCTCCGCGGTCTGTCAGGGACGCAGATCTTCCTGGTCATATTCACCACTTTCGTACCCGCGTCTTTTTTTTTTTTTTTGGCATTCACCTCCTTTTATTTATTTGTATTCACAAAATCTTGATTGATTACTACTCCTAAAGATGGATTTCCTAATATATATTTGTATTTTAACCTGTTCTCTGAAAAAAAAAAAAACTTCAACAAAAGCAGTGAATCTCATAATTCATCTCTTTTCTTTTTTTTCCTCTCTGTCTCTCTTTCTCTTTGTTTTTTTTTTCTTTTTTAATCTCTTAATATATTCACACTATATAATGCAAATCGAAAGACTATTTCACAATAGTAGTTTTTCAAAAAAGAGACGATCATCATATCTAGGTGGGAGTAGTATGTCATCTGGCAATGGGGAATCCCTATTATCTGCTCGAACACCTAAATCAATTAGTAAATCAAGACGATCATCATTAGTGGCAGATGCTATAGGAGGAAGTAATGGTGGAAATATTGGAGGTAATCATATGATGGCATCCATCTCTACACATCACAATCATCATCATCATCATGGAAACAACAGTATTTATTATCGTAGTAATGATATGCTTGACGTCACTATGGATAACAGGCGGAGTAGTCTAGTGAATATAGGGTTTGGTTCATCAGGTACCGATTATACTTTTCCTCCTATCGAATCTACGGAATGTACAATGATGGAAGATGTGGAATCAACCAACACAATCATCACCACCGCCGCCGATACTACTACAATAATAACTAACCCCTCTACTCTATTTTTGGAACATCCCACATCACTGGAACAACAACAAGTATTTCTTTCAAGTTCTTCTTCTTGTTCTTCTTCAACAGCATCATCTTCATCTCTTATATCTACAATAAGCAATCCATTATCATCATCATCAACAACGTTGATATCATCGCGACCTAGATCATCTTCTATTACCAGTATGACTGCAGCATCAATGAAAATATCAATTCAATCGATGAATCTTCCTAATTTTGATATTCATACTTTATATAAAATCAAAAAACGACGATCATCTTCTGGTGACTTGGAACATCATCATAAAAATCAACACATGCTATTAAAAGACATTTGTATACAAGATATCCGAAAAGAGGGCCTAAAAACAATGTTGAAATCAAAAATACCTTTATGTTATTTCCTATATCACTTATTGGAAGAATATAGTTGTGAAAATTTGGTAAGATAAGAAAGGATATTATTGAGGGGAAACCAAAAAAAAAAAAAAAAAAAAAAAGAAAGGAATTGAGATGTTTGTACTCGTGCAGATAAAAGTCCTTCCTTTAGTTGAATGATTTTTTTTTTCTTTGTTACTCCTTTTGGTTCTCATTATTCAATTTCCTCCTTTTTTTTTTTTTTTTTCTTCTCATTCTTGTTTTTATTTGTTAGTTTTTCTTTTTAGAACTAGAACAATATGATACAATAGATTTTGTTTCTACTGTTCAACAATTAGCTACAGCACAACATATATTTGATATTTATTTATCAAGGAATAGTCAATTTGAAGTGAATCTGGATGATAAAGTACGATCAGATGTGATGCTAGCTTTGGCAAATCGTAATGTGAATGGATGTTTCCAAACAGCTAAACGTGCAGTTTATTTACTCTTGGAATCAAGTTTTATGCAATTTGTTCGTACGGATATTTGGAATCAAATGATTAGAGATTGTGGTAAAAAAAAAAAAAAAAAAAAAAAAAGGAACATTGGAATTTTTTTTTCTTTTGTCTTATTCGATTTCCTTTTATAGGTGAATCATCGGAATACTATGATACGGAGACTCGAGATAAAGCTGTCAATAATCTCATTGGTCATTTGGAGAGAATGCATGCTATGATTTATACAAATCCCCATACAGATACACCTATTTTTATGAATGTAAATCAATCTACAAGAAAACATCATGATATGGTGAAAGCCATGATTCATGAGTTTTGTTGTAGCGTAATAGGAGTTGAATTTGATTATTATCGATCATGTCCTTCACAAGACCATCTATCTATTCCACCTTCTCCAACTTCACAACAACAACAACAACAACAAAAGAGAGGTTTAAAGAATAAGCATGTAGTTTTATTCGATTTTTTTGGGAAAAAGCGTTTACATTGATACAATAAAGTTTTTCTTTCTCCACATTTCCCTATAAGGCAAGTCTACTGCTGCTTCAAAAAAAAAAATAAATTCCATTTTGTGTTTCGACTTTCCGCCCTCGTTTTTTTTTCCCTTTCTTTCTTCCCTTTCTTTCTTTCTTTCTTTATTTTTTTTTTTTTTCTATACCTTTATGACCACTAATGAATTTGGCAAATTATATTCATTAAAGTCTACTATTATACCATCTTCAAAGAATCACGATACCATGTTCTTTGTTAAAGATAATGATACTCTATATCCCTCCTTTATTGGTACCTCCAACGCGCGTCTACTATTTCAAACTGATGAAGCACATTTCGAGCAGAAACTTACCAGGTACATATATACATATATATGTATACTCTTCACCCCTTACATTGATAAAATAAAGGATTATTTCAATTATGACTCAATTCACCTTTTCCTTTTTTTTTTTATTTTTATTTTTATTTTTATTTTTATAGGGAACAGTATGACCCAATGGATATACACCTAAACTTTCCAAACTCAATACAGCAGGATGAAGATAATATCCAAGAAGAAACACTACGTAAGCTAGATGTTTCAACTATACCCACCATTCATGAAATTCTAGCAACTCCAACACAAAAACCATCCTCAACATCAGCCTCTTCTTCAAGAAACTTGTCTTTAACCCCTTCTTACCATCCACCTCAAGGTAGTCAGCAACAATGTCAAGTGGCCACCATTCCAGTCACAGCTGATGCTTCCACCAACGATCTTCCCATACACAAAGATACCATATTGAAAACAGGCCAATTATTATGTTGTAAAACAAGCATTTGGTATACCAGTAGACAACAACGAGATTTGAATCGATATCAGCGACGTTTTGGACGACAGCAACAACAGCAACAACAACAACAGCAAAGAGCAGTACAACGGCAAGAAACTAGACTTGCATGGCGTGAATTTAGAGCTGTATTGAAACCCGATTGTCTGGAACTATATCTTGTATCACCATTACTCTTGCACGGTCCTCGATTAGCTCATACCATTCAATTTTCATACACGAAGAAACCACTCAGAATCAATACCAACAAAAGTATAAAATGGTGGCAACCTACGTTATCCTCTAAGTCTTCTCATCTTAACTCTTGGCAATTTCAAAAACAACAACACAAAGAACGATATCATTCACAGACAAGTAGGGCCAAACTATCTCTAGCTTCCATGGCTGATTATACCATACGACTCGAATACCAAAACAAAACTGGTGGCACAACTGTATTTTTACTGCAAGCACCTACATCCATTGAATCTCAAGCATGGTATATGGCTCTTTATAAACAAATTCCCATGGTAAGCATGAATTTTGCAGCAACACATACGCCACAACATAATGTCAATCATCAACAGCACCACAATCAAAAACATAATCAGCAACTCACTCAGCTTTATTCTCATCAACACATCAGCAGCAAAAAGTCGATCCCACCTTTTCTGGATGTGATTATTCCATGTCTTCAAGAAAAGGATGATTATGGTGATACAATTACTCCCACTTTTGTCCGCGTGCCTCTGACTTCTGTGATGGATCAAGGTGCTCGATGTGTGATACGTGCGAATGATCTCAAGCACTGCCTCTTCAAAATGTTGAATGATGCCAAGATTCAAAAAGGGTGCAAGTATAAACTCATGGCTCCTGAAATGATGTCATTGTGTTGGCGACTTGGTCATCGTATCGAATGGATTTCTGATTCGGCTTCTTTGATTTGTCCACAGCTTATAGAAAAGGTATTAAAAAAAAAAAAGGACATATAGAAAATCAACACAAATCAAACTTATTTTGTTTTATATATTATTATTAGCAACATTCTTTGGAATTACGCAGTATGTCTCCTGATCAAGTATTAGAGGTATGCATTTATATTCAGACAAACTACAGAACAAAATCAATTGTATCTAATGATATTTCTATTTTGTGTTTTCCAAATGATTAGTCACCATTGTCTATGGAAGGTTTTTTATTGCAATCGACAAATGATAAAGGTCAATTCAAGCACAAGCACCAACAATCACAGATGTATGCTCTGATGGAGGGTCACTATCTCTTCCTTATTGATCCTTCAAAAGCCGTACTTCCTAATCAACAAGAAAATCAAAAACGTGGATGGAGTTTGAACTGGTTATCCGCTGCTACTTTGATGAACCTTTATCCTCGACGATATGGTAACGGTGGACAACAAAGACGACAACAACGGCAGCATCAACAACAGGATAATGGAGAAAAGAGCAATCAACATCACTTCTTTCAATCTATGCCAGGATTCTTTACAAAACAATCATCATCTTCACAGCATGGTCCAAGATCGTCCTTTTTCTTCCACCATTCTAACAAAAATACGTCAAATGAGAAGTCAGGGAACCGATATGGAAAAGGCAAAGTTATCAAAGGAACAGCAGCAGCTGTAACCAACAATCGCGATGATAATGGTGATCCTGATAGTGTTGATATGGACAATGATATGGAACTTCAACAGGAAGCAACAAGAATAGCGGATATGTTACGACGTGCTGGACAGGTTGGGTATGCGTATGCAGTTATTGATCTCAGCTTGGTCGATCGTGTACAACCTGTTCGGATCAAAAACAACAACAACAACAACAACAACAACAATAAGGAACCTGGGTCTTCAGCGACAACTCCTCCTTCAAGGACCGGCACATCAACTCCTTCGTCACCTTCCTCTCTTCAACATCGTACTTTTTCAGCCCTTTCTTCATCCTCTTCTTCTAATCAACTACTAAAAACAGAACTCTGCAAACGACAAAAACGACTATTTGAACTCGTGATGAATGACAATTCGACTAGACTTCAATTTGAGGCGACATCAGCACAAGCAATGTTTGAATGGGTACGCAGATTACGCAGAGGGATCACTTATGGAAAAGAATGTCAATCCAAAGGTATTGTACTGTCTCAAGCAATATCAAGTCTATGGTACAGACACATCCACAAAACCATTCTGGTAAGTAACCTTATATATATATATATATATATATATATATATATATATATATATTTGACTGATCAATCCAACTAAACACACTTTTACTTCTTTATTTCCCTATCTAGCAATCTGGTGTACTTTATGTTAGAAAGAATACGCAAAATACATTCCGACGGTACCTCTGTGTACTATCAAGAGGACGTGGCTTACTATTATATCGGTACAATCGACATGGTATAATGACAAAGAGACGTACAATTCGATTACAGCGCCAACAAAACAACAACAGTAGTACGCGGGCTACCTATGTCTATGGTGTGGATCATCCATCAGACCTGAAATCGAACGATGGACCAACAGCAATGATGACCTTGGATGGGGAACGATCAAGAAATGAAGGAATTTATCAATCTGCTTTTGTGGTGTGGCAACGTTACTCTCTTTCCAAGAATCATTGGATCATGCAAATCAAAGAACATATTAGTTTGTTGAAACTGGGACATCGACTTGGAAGAAAAGGTCATAGTTTTGTATTTCTGGCGTCCAATATGGAAGAAAAAGAAGCTTGGCTATGGGCGTTACAACAAGAACTCTCTAGTTAATTAGATCACTTTACGATAGTTCTCCATTTTATTTATTTATTTATCTATTTTGTACATAATGTAGACTTTCTTTTACTCTTTATCATGGACTATTGAGTAATAAACTAAATCTTTTTTTTTTCCTTTGACATGACTCCATTTTTATGATCTAGTCATATAATCATCATTCATCAATCATTGAAACTAAACTTGTTCATCACTCACTTTCCCGTATCGATCGTTTTGGCTAATATGGTTTTATATTTATGACACATTCATATTCAAATTAGAGTAATAATGGTAGAATATACATTGTTTATAATTTCTATTTGATCAGAATAAAAAAAAAAAAAAAAAAAAGACAGAATATAACTATATATAAACTAGGATGAAGAATGGTATAAAAAAAATAGACAATATATATACTAATTTTTTTTTTTTTTTTGAGACAACATGAATAACAACCAAAATCTAAGGTCGAAGGAAGTATACATAACCAGCATCGTCGTAAACCACCAACACATTTGATAAAGGATGACCAGCCATACCAGTAATTTCAGTTGTTGTCAGTTTTGTTTGTTTGACTAAAGTACCATTATTGGTCTGGAAACAATAAAGTACAGAGTTTTCATCCACACCATAAATGTATTCCCCTTGAGGTGAAGTAGCCGCTGTAATGAAGGAAGCATTGGTTCCACCCACTCCCTTTTCAGACTCATAGGTGAATGTTTTCAAAATTTGACCACGGATATTGATGATGTAGAGAATATCACTTTTGTTGCATACCAAATATTGATCTGTATGTTTCGGTAAAGGTAAGATTTGCTGTACACTTTGACTACCGAGTCCACCAATTGGATTCAATACTGCAGCCGCTGTCTTGATCGTATTGCTTTTGCTATTGCTGTCGATTTGAGGTTGAGGTATGATAGAATACAAACATGTTGTTGCCTTTGAGTCCCAGATCTTAACAGTTCCATCACTACTAGCGCTGAGTACTCGTGTATTGTCAGGAGAAAATAGTAAACTGTTGATAAATGACGTATGCCCACGGAATTCTTTTAATGTCTTTCCAGATTTCAACCCATGAATCCGAATAGAATGATCATAACTTCCACTGAGAATTTGTGTTCCATCTTTGTTGAAGCATAATGAGCTGACGCCTTGACTATGAGCTGAAGATATACGTCGTACACATACACCACTAGCAACTTTCCATACCTAATCCATCATCATACAAAAAAAAAAAAAAAAAAAAAATCTCATCACATATAAATAATAATGATAATAAAAAAATTGACTTACAGCAATAGTTCCATCCATAGATCCAGTTGCTAAAAATTCACCATCCATACTAAAATTCAAACAAGTCACCGCGTGATTCATGGCCATCAAGTTATCCTAACCATTCAAGAAAAATGATATAGATTTTTTTTTTTTAAGATGACATATTCTAGTTCTTTATTTTTGATTCTTACCTCAGCTTGGTATTTGAAATCCTTTCGTAGTTTGCCTGTATTATAATTCCAAAGTTCAATAAAACCATCCACAGTACCCGTCGCTAAGAACTGACCATGAGGAGCGAAAGCAGCGCATTCAGCATACGTCTTCTTTCCAGGAAACTTTATATAAAATAGTAATAATAATAAAATAAAATAAACAAAAAAAAAAAAAAGGATGAGATCTCAACTATTTTATAAAGTTTGATGAATGAAAGTTACCTTGATACTGACATAAGGTGTTGATACACAAGCATCCTCTGTAGTTTGAATAGGCATCATTCCTTTGAAAAGATCATATCCAGTTTCCAATTGGACACCATTATTTTGTTGTTGCCATAGAAGACTTTGACTCAATAACGTCAATAAGCGTGATGGTGGGACATCAGTAATTTCTTTGCATATATCTAAAATATAACGAAATGATGTGTCAGTTTAATATAAATTATTTGTATAAACATTACCTTCTGCCACCTTTTTGCGTCGTTGTTCTTTGGTACTATTCGAGTCATAGATATCACTAAAATCCACTTGTGGTAATCTATCAATGAGGTGATCTAGTTTACCATATCGATCGGTATCTTGTCGTCGTAGTGATTGTAGTACGGGACTATTTAGTACCATAGTAGCAGCATCCTTTTCACCTTGTTCAACCAATTCCACTAGAGCCTATATAAAAAGAGAAAAATAGATTAGCTATAAAATATATATATATATACAGCAGATCTTACCAATTCAAAGACATTGTATAGCTTTTCTATAGGTAGTTTCAATGTATTAACTTGTTTGAGAACACTAACCCATCTTCCTTGTAAGATATCTTGAGTAAATGCTTCTTTATTTTCCACAGTATTGAAAACAAGAGGTGATTCATTTTGTAAGGCTGATAGAGTTTGTTGCAAGTTATTTTCACGTAAGAATTGGATGATCAGTCGAAGAGCACTAGTTTAAATATAAAGTCAGTGATATGATTTATCAAAAGAAAAAAAAAAGTTTACTTACTCGTCTGTATTTAGAGCAAGTGACATTTCAAAAAGTGAATGGAAGAGGCAATGTTCTCTTTTTTGCACTTTTTTTTTTTTTTTTTATAATTTTCACTGCATTTCTGACACCGACAAATTTCATTTTTGTTTTTCTGTGTTGACTCCTTTTTTTTTTTTTTTTTATTTTTTCTTCTTTGATTTATTCTCAACATTTTATTTGGATGAAGTTGACAAGTCAGACAGATCAAGATATTCCTATTCATATTGTTTCTAAAGTCAGTGTACAACAAGCTCATGCTGAAGAAGGACTTGCAAAGCAACACGGTTCTATCAAAACTCGCCAAGGACAACGTGGATATTCTTCTTTTCATTTGGGACTCACTACTACCAACGATAACAACAAACAAGAATTTTATACAAACTTACAAAAACGTTACGAAAAAGACAAGGAACAGCAAAAAATACAGACATTGAAGCAACAAGAGCAACCAACTGGCAATAATGAACAACCAGACGAGCAAACACAACGTGCCATAGCAGAAGCGGAAGCTTATGCTCTCTCACGAACTACAACTACCAACCATGATATAGATAGTGAGGATGAAAAGGAAAATATGGATATTTCTGGTCGCAACATCTTTGGATTCTCAACTGTACGCAATAAATCTGTTTTGAATATGATGAAACGAGCCATTGATGACAACAACAATAACGATCAGGAAGACAGCAGTACCATGATACCCACCAAAAAACGTGGTCGACCTTCTCGCAATCAAAAAAAAGTGAATACGACACAAAGCAGCAATGATAAGCGACAACGTCTAGAACGAAAGATGGAACTTGTCAGTTATATACAACGACGCGAAGGCAAGAAAATGAATACACAAATGGGTGAGGATGATGGCAACAACGATAATGACAACGACAATGATGATGATAATGATGATGATGATGACGATAGCGATGATGAAGTAAAAGCAAGATTAACAGGATCATTACTTGATGAAGCTTCGGGATACGAGCGATACTTTCAAGATTTGCACGGCAGTTCTAAAACATCCAACAACACATTATCCAAATTACCTCTACTAGAACCACAAGAATTTCAATCGATTCTAGAAGCAGCCCCAGTTAAACATGGTCAAGAAAGAGCAACACTCACAGCACATCATGAACAACATTTCCCACAGTGGCTATTCGAATTACAATCAGGTTTTAATCTTGTATTCTATGGTTATGGTTCCAAACGCAAGTTGATCAACAAATTTGCCATGGAAGTACTGAACGATGGACCTCTGATTGTAGTCAATGGTTTTTTCCCCACAATCACGATCAAGGATATCATGACGAAGATCTTGGTGGGTGCTTTGGAAGCTAGCAATGTACCTGGAACACTTCAAGAACAATTGGCAATGATACAAGATTATTTTGCAGACGAGGACCGAGCGTATAAACGACTGTATTTGGTAGTACATAATATGGATGGGATGAATCTTCGGAATGACAATGCACAATCAGCACTGGCCACTTTGGCGGAAGCAAGCAATATTCACCTTGTAGGAACGATTGATCAGATCAATGCAGGATTATTGTGGGACAATGTACGAGCAACAAGATTCAATTGGATTTATCACGATGCAACGACATTTGACAATTACCTTGTGGAAACCAGCTTTGAAAATTCGTTATTGATGCGATCCAGTGAAATCGGTGGTGCCCGTGGTGTACAATATGTCTTGGCTTCTTTAACCTCCAATGCGCGTGGGATCTTTAGAGTCTTGGCCGAATATCAACTCTTGGAAATGGAAATGAACAACACAGATCGTGGATCGGAACACGTGGGTCTCCCTTATCATCAGTACTATGAAAAGTGTCGTGAACAATTCTTCGTTTCGACTGAAACCGGTATGCGTTCGCAATTGATGGAATTCAAGGATCACAAAGTCATGGTTACCAAACGTTTACCTGATGGAACAGAACTTTTTTATATGCCTTTGGATAAAGCAACTCTGATGGGGATCATTGAAAATATGGAATAGCCTTTTTTTTTTTTTTTTTTTTAGTTTAGTTATGTTTTATTTTAGTCATTCTTACTTCTTATTCATACATATATATATCATACTTTTGTAAATAAACAATCATTATAACAATAACAGCAATAACGATAATACAAAAATAAATAAATAATATTTCTTTACTTCATACATCCTGAGTCTTCATGATTGAAACAAAATTGAAATAGCATTCAATCATCCATAATGAATTAATAATAATAAAAAAAAAAGTCTTTACTATTGTGTCATAAAAAATAAAAAAAAAAAAAAGATAATGTGTACATAAATGTATATGTCTAGAGAAGGATGTGGGACAACGGCATATGGTTGAATCTTATCTAACTAATATTGTGTATGACCGATCATCGCCTGGTTGTCATGCTCCATCCATTGGCAGAGACAACATATTCAGCTTCTTTTTCATAGTCGTTTAAAACCTTTTCTACCATCTTGACTGCATTTATGAATTCAATCGTATCCCCTGCAACGAAAAAAAGAAAAGATTAATAATAATAATAATCAATGAGCCAGTATTGGATGGTTTGAAACAAATAAGTTTACCTTGTTGTTGAATAAAGTTGATTTTCACCAATCGTTGTGTTTTGTCTTGAGATAGCATGAAAGGGTTCAATAGTTGTTCCTGATCCTTTTCTAATTTGAAACGCACCAAATGATGTTTCCGTGAACCATCTAAAAATAGAAAAAGGGATTAATCATTCAATATTTGATGGAATAAAACATATCGTTCATACGTTGATGGAATATGGATGATCCTGTTGTAAGTAATGATCGACATTCAATATATCCTTTTCTTTTGATCTTTCCGTTGATATCCTTGCTTTCTACAAAAGATCCATTCATATGCTATTTTGCAAACAAATAATAAAATAACTAAGTATATTCTATATATACTTTTGATTTCTTACCTCTCGAATCACTTGAGCTATTTTTCCAAAAGCCTCTTTTTCGTCTTTAGCGATGCAGTTGATAGTACATACCTAAAATAGATAATAAAGACTATAAATAAATAAGAGTATAATGATATGATCTTATGTATTTTGCAATAGACGACCATTACCTTGGGTTGTTTGAAATGTAAGAGGGCAGGCAGCCATGATGATAACCGAGGGCTGTCAAACATTGGGGCCTTGAGAAGTGGAGAGGATGGTGCGACCCGTGGTTTGCTTGTTAATAAAGGAGATGTGCTGCACATAAGAGGGTGGGATGGTCGTGATTCGTGAATACCGGGAGAATGTAATGATTGACGAGAATGCTTTTGCTGTTGTTGTTGTTGTTGCTGATGATGATGATGTTGTTGTTGTTGTTGTTGTTGCTTTTGGTAATCAGGATATTGTTGTTGTAATAGTTGATCAATAGAGCATATGTTATTATCTTGAGGAATACTATTACTATTATTATCGCGATAGTTGGAACTAAAAAGAGAGTGCATAAATAGAGGAGCAGAAAGACGATTTTTGGCTTTCCGTAATTTTGGTGATATAATCGAAGTTGTCGAATCTTGGGAGGATAATGTAGGAAAACCAAACGAGCCAGTACGTCGAGACATATGTTGTGATAAACGTTGTATACGGGATCGCGTATCTGAACGTGGTGTACTTGTTGCTGGTGATAGAATAGGATAGGTTGATTGTTGTGGTTGTTCTATTGAATGATCCATTCCATATATTTGATGAAGTCTCTGTTGGTGTGACATGCGTTGCTGTTGACATTGGATGACTGATGGCGATTTTAATTCTTGCTTGTCTTTGTCTAGATGAATGCCCACAGAACTGGAATACCTTGTTTTCAAGGTTCGTCTTTCTGCCTTTGAAGATAGAAAATAAGAATCAAATATATTTTCGGTTGCTGAGGTTGACGCAGTTGAACGATGTGTTGACATGGTATATCTGTTCTTTCTTGTTGTAACTGATGAATGACGTTGTGGCGTTTTATAATGATATCTAGTAATGAAATAAAAGAAAAAAAAATAGAAAAAAAATTTGTCTAACAATCGGCTCTTGTTTTTCTTTATCTATCTTTTTCTTACTTTGATGTATCCACTTGCTGACAATGATTATCCACTTGCTGATAAGATTTGTTTCTGTTCCAGAGAGATCTTTTTGGTTGTGTTGAATTGGGAGATCGAATTGGGTAGAGCGATGAATCTATGGTATGTTTCCTTTGCAAGAAATTTCGTTGAACACCAGGTGAAGGAGGAGATATAATTTTATCTATTTCATTGCCTTGATGCAAGTTGGGTAATGCAGATTTGATAGAAGAAACTTGAGGACCACAAATAGTGATAGGGCGTCGTCCACGGGGTTTTGTCAAATTTCTAGATGAATAAGTGCTGATATGGCTTCCTTCATTATCGTCGTCATCATCATCGTGCTTTGTTTGCCAATAATAAGTTGAATGTCGTTGTAACAAAGTATACGCTACTTTCTCCATGTTGTATCTATTTTTTTTTTTTTAAAAAAAAAAAGAGAGGATCGATTAGTATCCTTATCTTGCTTTCATTCGACCAAGTATATCAATTCTTTACTCTTGATTCATCAATGCATCAATCAATTGTTCTTTAGAGCGATCCATCCATAGTGTTTGAAGGCTTTCCAAAAGGCGATCATCAATTGCTGATATGTCTTTGATTGGTTTGATGATTTGATCAGTACCGGAGAAAGAAGGAGCTAGCGTTGGGTTGACAGGAATACCATCCATCTTGAACCATTCATGATCCTGAATTTGTTGCATCTAATTTACAAGTAATAGAAAAAAAAAAAAAAAAGGTATCAATCAAAGTATTCATATCTAACTCTAATATACTATCCATTCCTTACCGTAAGACGTTTATCCGGATGTACGACCAATATCTTTTGAATCAAATCTTTGGCAGGATTTGACAAAAATTTTGGAAGGGTATACTTTCCACGTTTAACCTAAAGAGAATAACCAAGTTAAAAAAAAAAAAAAGCAATGAGTTACATAGAAGGTTAATGAATGAAAAAAAGTTTACTTTGTACAATAATTCACGAATATTGGTATCATCGAAAGGAAGGTGCCCACAGAGAAGAGCATATAAAATAACACCACAAGACCATATATCAGAAGCAGTACCATTATATGGAATACCCTAGTAAAATGGAGGAATTAATATATTACAAACTATTTTGAGACAGGATTCTTTACAGAAACTATTTCGGGACTAGCATAATGGGGAGAACCGCAACTGGTTTCTAATAAAGTACCTCTAGGTTGAAGTGACGCCATACCGAAATCGGCTATTTTAATATTTGAAGATTCATCGAGTAATAAGTTTTCTGGTTTGAGGTCGCGATGACTATATTGAAAAACAAGTAAGAAAAAGAAAAGAATAAATAAATAAATAAATAAATAAATAAATAAAATAAAACAAAAAAAAAAAAAAAAAAAAAAAAAAGAATTTAAGGGGACTTGCCAAATTAAGTGCCGATGACAAAAATCCATGGCAAATATGATTTGCTGAAAATGTTTCCTAGCATCTACTTCTGATAATCTACCATGATTGATCAAATACTCAAATAATTCACCACCTGGAACATATTCTAAAACAAGATACCTATAATCAACTCACCCCATGTCATAAAAAAATAAATATATATATATATTAATCAATATATGACATATATGACCTTTTTTTTTTTTTTTTTTGACATACAGATTTGGAGAATCTTGAACATCAATCACATCAATCAAACGCATGATATGCGGATGTTGAATTAGTTTCATGATAGCGATTTCTCGTTTGACAGCTCTTTCAGTAGTTGCATTAGATGCTAAATAACTTTTGGAGATAATCTTCACCGCTACCTTTTCTCCCGTTACTTTATGACAACCAAGTTTGACTCTTCCAGATGATCCTTTTCCTAATGTTCTACCAAGCCAGTAATTTCCCGCTTCTTTACGTTTTCGAAATCCATTTATCCCACTACTTTTATCACCTATGATTGGTGTTGGAATAGGTGTTGATTGTAAACGTGATGTAAAAATGGATAATGTCATTTATAATATAAAAAAAAGAAAAAAGAAAAAAGAAAAAAAAAAAAAAAAGAAAAGAAAATCAGAGTAAAAGGGGAAAGAAAGAGGAGGAAAGAAAAACCCAGTATGTGTTCCTTCAACTTCATCATCATGGTTTACCCTGAACCATTAATATCCGACGACTTTGGTAAATTGGTTAAATTACCCTTTTTTGTTGGGAAAAATAAAAAAAAAGAAAGTTAAGGGGTAGCTATACGACACTATTGGAAAGATTATTCTTCAAGTCCTAAGGAATGTACTATGTATTTTTTTTTTTGTTTTTTTCATCCCACAAAAGAATGTATCATTTTATTTGCAAAAGTATAAACTAAACTAAACTGCTACAAAAAGTGTAAAAAAAAAATATGAAAGGGGAGAAATAATGCATACTAAACTATGACAAAGACTATATCAAACAATAATGATGACACATATATATGAATAGATACAATCTTGATGACTATCTTGATACTTTTCTTAAGTACTTTCCAAATAGAATTGTTTAGATTTTTCATCTATATAAATATATAAAATAATAATAATAATCATGTTGAATGTCATAAGCATATCTTTTGTTAATCTTACCTAAAACTTTACCGGTCACTTGAAGTTTCTTGCAAAGTAAAGACCAAAGCCATACATCTACATAAAATAAGACAACGAGAAAAATATATTAAAATTTCTAATAATATCTTTGTTATCAGCAACCCCTTCCCCCACTACAAACACATATATATGATTCAAAAAAGGAAGTATTCATCAATTACCACCAGTATCTTGGGAAAGTAGATATTTGATATAAACAGTGTTTAGTTGACCAATTCTCTAAATACGTAAAAAAAAAAGTTAAAAATCAATTTCTATCAATTTGAATAAAGACTTTTTGAGTAACTTACGTGAGCTCGAGCTTCGGCTTGAAGAATTTGCGATGGATTGAAATATAATTCAGCAAAAACAACTAAAAGGTATAAAAAAGTAAGAATGATTTTATGAAACAATAGAAATATATTACCTGTATTTGCCATCTGTAAATTCAGTCCTGTATTGCTCGTTGTGATGCTAAGAAGTGCTACTCGTATTGTTTCGTTACGTTCGTTTTTTATTCCTTGGAATTTCTGACAAAGTTCATGACGAAGAGATTGCTTTGTATTTCCATCGATCCGTATATATGTAAACTAACAAAACATAATAATAATAATAATAATTAATAATCATATTTCAATTATACTTTTTTTTTTAAACCATCGTTACCTTGTTATTTTTCATCATTTCTTCAATGGCATCCAAAACAGCTTTATGATATGCAAATACAACCATTTGATCCTTTGTCGTCATTAATAAATTGTGAAGATAGTGTGTCACTGCAGGTATTTTGGCTACACCGGTTTCCATATACTAAAAAAGATCAAAAACAAAAATATATATTTTTTTTAATCAAAACAAATTTGATGATAATATTTCATTGTTACCAGTTCAATAGATTTTTGTTGACAGATAAATTCAGTTCCTGGACACGATCTCAATCTGGCCAAATCGGATTGTAATTTTGAAAGAAATCTTTTCTTACTTGGATCAATAGGCATCAACACCTTTTGCCGTACTAGAGAAGGAAGAGACAATGTATCCATTTCAATATTTTCCTTTAGTCTTCGTATCATTACCGATCTTTCCAGTAAGAAATGTAATTCAGATAGATTGGATGAACCTATTTGATTATAATAATATAAATGATTATTAAATAGTCAGTTTGTATAGTATATCTTGCTTTTATTCTTCTTGATATGCTATTTTTTTTTCTTACCATTATAGTTCCATCCAAACTTCGTAAGTTGTCCATTGCAATAAAGTAAACCATATTGATGCATATCAGGGAATAGATCTTTTCGCAATATGTAGAGCTGAGGATACAATTCAATTGGTCGTGACAAAATTGGTGTGCCAGTAAGTAGGATGACATGTTGTGACTTTTGTAATAAAGGTGTCAATGCTTTTGTACGTTTTGTCTAATAGATAAGATAACCAATGGATGAGTCAAATTTCATTCTTTCATTCACTTTTTTTTTTTTTTTTTTTTTTTGTTGGTCTACCTGTGGATTCTTCATATTATGACTTTCATCACAAATAATAAATTTAAAGTCCATATTTAAAAGTTGATCACAATGATTTGCTGCTAAATCATAACTGATAATGTAGAATAACGGTTGATCAAACTATTTCATAGAATAATATATGTACAGCAGTGAGTAATATTCAAACTATAATAATCATTTTTTTTGTTCAAACCTACCTTTTCATTTTTCGTATCATATTGGATATCAACATTGGTAGTAGTGTATTCATCAATATCATCCTCTGAAGATGTCAAAATAGGTTTCACGGTAGCTGGTGTATAACCAAAAAGATCAGATCCCTTGAGTGTTATACGTATATGATTATTTTTCACATTTGATAACCATTGTTGAATATGATCAGCCCAAGGTAATAAAAGAGATGTTGGACATATCACCAATACAGGCCAAGTATCGGGGTAAGCCATGGCCACAGCAAGTGCTTGAATTGTTTTCCCTAGTCCCATGTCATCGGCTAATAACACACGTCCATTCAAAAATAAACACTTTCGAACACCATGTTGTTGGTATTCCATCAGGTTGTTCCAAATCGAGCAAGGCTTCAAGTTATTGTAGATTCGTTCTTCCACTTGAGCTTCCCTGTCAGCTTTTTGTAATTCCCAATCAGTAACATCGTCACCAAAGTCATCATCCATCGTATTGGAAGCAGAGACAATAGAACTTGATTTAATATAGGCGGATTGATCTTGTCTGAGTACATTAATAACAATATCAGATAAAGGAGTACATTGAACATATCGGTAATATGGTGATGTCAGTAAGTTTTCATAGGCTTGGACATAATGATGATAGGTTGCTGGTAAAATCCATTCTTGGGTGGTTGAATCAAAACGAATATTTGGTAATTGTCGAAGGCATGATAAAAGTGAATAACCATTATCACCAGTACGAATGCCAATTTCGGTAGAAGATCGTAAATGGAATTTCACAGAAGTACGCCGATCACGAATAGCATTAATAACACCTGAACCTTCAATTTTAAGTTGTTGATTGTTCTGTTTTCTATCCATAATTGATTCATTGGATAAAGCCAAATAACGTTTTCCTTTCCATTTGAAATAACTACAAGATCTAGATGAGCACTTTTAAAAAAAATGAGTTCCAATCATGCGTTTTTTTTTTTTTTTTTAATGAATACTTACAACAAAAAACCATCGATTATGATTTAATCCAGGTTTTTTCACTTGTAACAAAGTTGTTGGTTTTCCACAGTAACATATACTTTCCTCCATTGATAAAGTACGTATACCAAAAAAAAAAAAAAAAAAAAAAAAAAAAAAGGAAAGGAAAGACAAAAAAAAAAAAAAAGGGTAGATCTATAAAATATCCACCAATCATAATCCATTTTCTTCAAAAGCATTGATGAAACATATTTGAAACCCAGTTTGTTTGTTTTTCTAACTGACTCTTTTTACTCCTTTTTTTTTTTTTTTTTGTTGTTCAATTTTTTCATTTTCTTTTTTCAGTTTTCTGTTTTGACAACTTTTGTGGATACCTTAACTAGTAGTTGTAAGTCAATAAAATAGAATATTTTCTTTTTATCTTTTTTCTTTTTCTTTTGTTTTATTATTATTATTATTAAACCTTTCTAATTGATAATAGATATGGATATCAACCTTTCAAACAAGGAAGCTAATAGGCTGTGGCAAAATATTACTAGTCCCACAGATAATAATAAACCTTCAAGTTATGATAAATTGGAAAATAAGGTTATTATCGTATCCAACCTCAACCGCCTTACAAAAACTGAAACTATACATGATGTCTTTACTCGATATGGTTATGTTTACAGTGTTGAACTTAGAAGTGACGACAATGATCAACTTAACGGTTCAGCTGAAGTCATTTTCCAGTAAGTATCTTGAAATATTTTAACTTGGTATTATTTATTATACGAATTTTGAAACTTACCTTTTTTTTTTTTTTTTTTTTTCTTTAGTTCTCTTCCAAAGGATTTGGATATCAATCGACCTATGAACATCGACGGCCGACGTGTATTACTTTCATATGGGGAAACAATATCCGAAGAAACCAAACCTACACAATGTAATGCAAAGTCTCTTTCACTTGGTATTTTCCTCACTCCTGACCAATTTGTTGAAGAATGGACGACAACCAAAGATGTCAAATTGACCGTACATTATGATAGACGTCAGATCAAAGTGGACTTTAAACATCTCAATCGACATTATTTTATGGAAATCAGATTTAAGGATATCAATAATGACTTGAAACTCGAGAGAGAAGGACGTGCTACTTATCTGACAATACCCTTGAAAGCACCTGCCAAGTTTTGGGGTTATATGGCCGATATGGAAACTATTGGAAGACGTACTTTAAATAAATCATCAAGAGTGAGTCTTATTCCCAAAAGTCAATTTGTTTCATCTCCTTCAGCTGGTGCACAGTTTCTTGGTCAAACATCTCAACAACCTGGTGCTGCTACTGGTAATACTCATAGATATCGGGCTCCACCTACTTTTGTTTGTACGGAGGATGATTATCTTCAACTAGGAAAATGGACTATTTACCGAATCAAGTTTGAACCTACCCATAATGAACAACGTTATCTCCAAAGGTTACTTTCTGGTATGGCCGAATACAATCTGGTGCCGCGCGACCCTCCAACAAAAACATCACTTACTGTTATTCCTGCTATTGATTTACCTACTCCGAAGAATCACTATGAACGAGCTCGTATCCTTGACTTTGATGTACTCTATCTACTTGAATGTAACATTACATCCAATTATCTTATGGAACGCAATTTGGATGACAAGTTTTACGATGTGCTCTCTTCTCTAGATCCGCCTATTGCATGTGGGATTTTGGATCTGATTGCTCAAGCAAAGAAACGTGTGTGGTACCCAATGGCTGCTCTTGAAGAAATATGGCAAAAATATGGCATAAAAGTTATCCACAAAAGACGAATCCCAGCTCACTGTTCAATGTTACGAAAGGTGATTGTTACTCCCTCCTCAGTACTTCTTCAACCTCCAACTCTTGAAACGACTAATCGAATTATACGTCACTTCAAAGCATATGCTGATCGATTTATTCGTGTCCAATTTACTGATGAAGATCAAATGCGAATCGGGCCATCTTTTAACAATACTTCTAAGAATTCTATTTATGATAGAGTCTACCGAACATTGAGGGATGGCATACAAATTGGCAATCGGCGATATGACTATCTTGGTTTCTCAAGTTCACAGCTTCGTGAACATGGTTGTTGGTATTGTGCTCCTTATGATGGCAAAGATGAACCTGGAAAACCTCAATTGGATCCCATTAACGCTGATATTATTCGATCATGGATGGGTGACTTTTCAGATATCAAGATTGTTGCAAAACATGCTGCTCGTATTGGTCAGGTAAAAAAAAAAAAAAAAAAAAAAAAAAAAAAAAAAAAAAAGGTCATATTTTTAATATTCAATTCACATTGTTTTCGTATCCTTTTCATCTGTAGTGCTTCTCATCTACAATGGCCATTATCGAATTGGAAAAACATCAAGTGGAAGAAATAGACGACATCATTCATAATGGATTCACTTTCTCAGATGGCGTTGGTAATATCTCTTCCGATCTTGCTGCTGAAGTGGCGAAAAGAATGTCTCTACGAGTTGTACCATGTGCTTTTCAATTCAGACTGGGTGGTGCCAAAGGCGTACTGATGGTGTCAAACAGGTTATCTGGCTACAAAGTTCAATTGCGAAAAAGTCAAATCAAATTCCCTTCTTCTCATTATATGCTCGAAGTTGTACGTACCTCCAATCATATCTCAGCTTATTTGAATCGACAAGCAATTACTCTATTATCAGCTCTCGGAGTCAAAGATGCTATATTCATGAGAATGATGAAAAATGTACTTTATGGATTGAATCGAATGCTTGCTCATTCTGATGATGCTGTCAAGATCTTACAAGGAAATGCTGATGAATTTGGAACTGCAACATTGATGATTAACTTGATTGGTGCTGGTTATCTGGAACGACAAGATCCTTTTATCAAGAATTTACTTAATATGTTTCGAATGACAATGCTCAAGAATCTCAAGGAAAAAGCCAAAATCCCTGTCGAAAAAGGTGCTTTTCTTATTGGTGTAGTGGACGAAACTGGTGTTTTGAAGGAGAATCAGGTCTTTTGTCAAGTCTCTAGCGGAGACACGCAATCTCTTTTGCATATTGTTGAAGGAGAATGTGTAGTTTTCCGTAATCCTTGTTTTCATCCTGGTGATATTCGTGTCGTGACCGCTGTGGATTGCCCTAGTCTCCATCATTTGAAGGATGTTCTTGTATTCGCTGGTGTAGGTTATCGTGATATTCCAAGTATGTGTTCTGGTGGTGATCTTGATGGTGATGATTATACGTAAGTCTCCTTATATATATATATATATATATAATGTCATTTTATTATCAAATGATAAAATAATATCTTGGATCTAACCTTTTTTTTTTAAAAAAAAAAAAATAACCTTCGTCGACTGGAAATTAGAATTCTTTGGGATGACACTCTGATGCCTGGAATCATTAATGAAACACCTATGGATTACACACCACAAAAGCCTCTCACGAAAGAACATGTGACTACAGCCGATATACAAAAATTCTTTGTGAACTATATGAATAATGACAATTTGGGACAGATTGCAAATGCACACTTGGCGACAGCAGACGATTGTGAAAAAGGTGCTATGGATGGTCGTTGCAAACGTTTGGCACAATTACATTCAATGGCAGTTGGTAAGAACCAGAAAAAAAAACACTGATTTTTGGGAACGTGAAAGTTGTATGAAAATATACTGATATAATATTCAAATATTTTATTATGTTAGATTTTCCCAAATCTGGTATTCCTGCTGATATGCCTGATGATCTAAAGGTACGACGGTTTCCCGATTTTATGGGCAAGGAAGATAAGCCTGTATATAAATCAAGGAAGGTACTGGGTGAAATGTTTAGAAAAATCGACAAGGCGGATTACGATGGTTATGAAACAAAATTGGAAGAAGAAACGTTATATGATACTCGACTTCGTTTGGATGGCATGGAAAGATACATTGGTGAAGCCAGAAAACTACGCAAAAAGTACAATCGAGATCTATCGGCTTTGATGAATCAATATGGTGTCAAGACTGAAGCAGAAATGATCTCTGGTTTCGTGATGACGTTCCTGATTCGAAGAAACAAGAAAAGTGAATATGATGTACAGAAGGAAGTGGTAGCAGCCGTGGCGTCCATGCGACAATATTGGAAGAATACATTTATGCATCCATTTGAAGAAAGCAGTGACAACAAAGGTCAAAATGGTAACAAGAACAAAAACAACAACAATGAGGATGAACTGGATTCTATTTTTCTTCAAAAAGAGAAACGGCAACAAATGGAAGCGAAAGCAGCGGCGTGGTACTATGTCACTTATCATCCGAACGAACGTATCCGGGACTTGTCTGTAGAAGGTGGTTTCTTCAGTTTTCCGTGGGTAGTCGATAATATTCTTGTTGATCTTGGGAAACGATTTGCGCACCGTATACCAAATGAAAAAGCGATGGAACCTGTTGATGAAGCTCTCATCAAGAAATTCGAAACAAAATCATCAAGTAGTGGAGTGCAAGTAGTACCGTTGGATGCAGATGATGACGACGATGACGACGACGATAGTGATGATGATAATACTGATGGTGACAACGACGACGAGGATGTGGAATATGGCGGTCGTGGCGGTGAGGGTCCTAGTACTAATGTGAATGACTTGATGGAATTTGCTTTGCACAGTACCGGCGGAATGAACAGTACGACAATCAACAGTAATGGCAACAATGGTAATAGCAATGATAAAGATGATGATAAAGTTGATGATGAAGACGACGAAGACAGCGACGATGAGGACAGTGATGATGAAGACAGCGACGACGACGACGACGACGATGATGATGATGATGATGAAGAGGATGAAACACCGATCGTTTCTTTTGATGATATTCAACTGCCCACCTATGAAGAACAACCAAACACATCTCAGAAGGACAAACCTGAAGTCGTACCGGTCAAGCGGGATCATATTTTTTCTGTGTCTGTGGATGCTACTGAGGATGATTTGGCCAATGCTCTCCTATGATTTTAGTTTAGTGATATCTTTTTTTTTCCTTCTTTTTTTTTCCTTTATTTCTTTCTTTTTTTTCTTTTTTTTTTTTTTTTTTTTTTTTTGTTTATACCCTCGTTATTACTTTTTACTTGTTACTATTATCTGTATATATCTTTGATGTAAATAAAAAAAAATTGTCCTGTTCGTGTAATTCGGTGATTGAATTGATTATAAAGTTTTCGCGTTTGTCGTGAAATCTTTTTTTTTTTTTTTTTTTGGTGCCTTTGTTTTTTCTCCTTTCTTCAGAATTGATCGATATGCGTAAAAACAACAAACCAAATTCGAAAAAGGGGACCATTCTTAACTTTTTCAAACCGCAAACTCCCGAAATTCCTGTTCCACAGCAACAAACGGTATATGATCTTACCAAGGACGATGACGATACTGAGCTGACAACTATACCTTCAACAAAACCTGAGTCAAAATCATTGTCCAGCAGTAATAACAACAGTAACAACAAACAAAAAGATCAAAATCATAACAACACGACGACAATTCAGCAGCATTCTTTCGATAAATGTACCTCTAGTAAGACAACCATAGAAATTACTGATAGCCAAGATAGTACCAGTAGCGATTATGCAAGCCAGTCTTCGTCAACCATATCAAGTCAATCAGAATCAGTTGTGGAAATGGAATCGTCCTCTAGGTTTAAAATGAAAGGAATGACAATGCCTCTTGGGAGAACTCGTCCTCGTTATTCAACTCAAGAACTTATTCCCTCTACTCAACCTACTATGACCAATATTCCAAAGAAGAAGAAAAGACTCTTGCCGATGGTTCCACAAACAGTGAAACGACCTGCCTATGCAATCAACAATGGCATTGGTTCTTTGAATACCACATCAAAATATCCTTCCTATCATATTGAAGATGATATTGTGCCAGAGAAATCCACATCCCCACCACCAAGGAAATTACCAATGTCATTTACATCTGGATCGACATTAATAACTAAAGCAACACAATCATCGACATCAATATCATCCGACCATAGTACATACCGCTCTGCGACCTATGTGGCACCCAACTTTTATGGCAACTCTCGATTTGGATCTCAATCAATCAGTAATCATACAACTGCCAATACAACAAGGGGCAACACCAATTATTATCGACCTCCTTCGTCTTCAGTAGCTGTCTCTTCAGAAAAACCATGGGAAACTTCACCACGACCACTCTTTAATAAAACACCATCTTATCAAGCCTTTGGTAAAAGTAGCTCTCTCTTCCCTACCCAAAAGTCGAAAAAGAAGAAAATACCGACAACAACAACTACAACAACAACAACAAAGCGATCAAACAACAAATCAAATGAGTATCGACCAGAACTTTCAAGTGAACAAAAAGCAGTATTGGATATGGTGACTCATCAACGACAAAGTTTATTCTTCACTGGTTCTGCAGGTAATTTTTTTTTTTTTGGAAAGAATAAAAGGATATTCACTCTATCAATCATTTATTAATTTATCAAATTAGGCACAGGGAAATCAGTATTGATGAGGGCAATGATTGAAACTTTACAAAATTTACATGGTGATGGTGTAGCGGTAACTGCATCTACTGGGATTGCTGCATGTAACATCAGTGGGATCACATTACATAGGTAAGTGAAAAAATATCGTATATGTATTTGACTGACCTTCTTTCCTTTTCTTTTCTTTTTTTTTTTTTTTTTTTTTTGTCAGCTTTGCTGGTATAGGAGTGGGCACTGATAGTTTAGAAAGACTTCTTGTTGCAATTGAAAGCAAAAAACATTCAAAAGAACGATGGCTAAAAACAAAAGTACTTATTATTGATGAAAGTTAGTGAATTGTTCTCCTTTTTTTTTTTTTTTTTTTTTACCTTTGAAAGTGGTAAATAGAAAAATTGACTTGTTTTTTTTTTTTTTTTATTTATTTATTGATCTAGTTTCTATGGTGGATGCAGCACTTTTTGACAAGTTGGAAGCTATAGCAAGACATTTTAAACAACGAAAGGAGCCATTTGGTGGGATTCAAGTAAGTAAAGGGTTATAAGGATCAATGCATCCGTGAGAAAAAAAAATGGAAGAAGACTAAGTTGGGTTTATTTGTTTGTTCGTTTTTTAGCTGATTGTCACTGGTGATTTCTTTCAACTTCCTCCTGTCAAAGCAACAGGATTTGCATTTGAAGCCAAAACATGGTCAACGGTGATCAAGAAAACAGTAGTATTGACTCATGTCTTTCGTCAAAAAGATCAAGGTAACGTAATGTTATGAAAACAAAAAAAAAAAAAAAGAGTTTTGGGCTCACGTTATTTATTTTTAAATATATAGTCTTTATAGATGTTTTGAATGAAATGCGTATTGGCCAACTTTCTAATAATGCTCTTCTTCTATTTAAGTCATTGGATCGACCTTTACCAGCATCAAAAATTGAACCCGCGGAATTGTAAGTTTCAATAGATGATCCTTTTTTTCCTTTTTTTTTTTTCTTAATAACAAACATTCTTTCTTTTTGTAGATACCCATTACGACGACAAGTGGAAGAATCAAATAATGCACGATTACAAGCTTTAGAAGGATTGATGCACGAATTCCACGCTACAGATACTGGAATTGATCCTCGGAAGATTGATAGTTGTATTGCGCCTGCTTTGATTCGATTGAAAAAGAAGGCTCAAGTCATGTTACTCAAAAATATGGATGCTACATTAGTGAATGGTTCTCTTGGTATAGTGGTTGGATTTGTTGGTGAACCTGGCTTCAAATCTGTACGATCTCTTCGAAATCGAATGGCGCCTAACAAAAGGGATTGTTCAGACCGTGATATAGAAGATTTACTTACAAGACCTTACCCAGTGGTACGATTTGCTGATGATCGTGAAATTGTAATTGAAAATGATAGATGGTCTATGGAACTTCCAGGTAAAAAAAAAAAAAAAAAAAAAAAAAAAAATGAAAAATAAAAAATAAACTTTAGAAACTAGGGAAAAAGTGAATCATTTTTTTTTTGATGCATACTAATATGGTAATGACTTTTTTTTTCCTTATGATTAGATGGACGGGAACTTGCTGCTAGATCTCAAATTCCTTTGATATTGGCTTGGGCTATGTCTATTCATAAAAGTCAAGGACAAACTTTGGAAAGAGTAAAAGTAGATCTTGGACAATCATTTGAAGATGGAATGGCTTATGTTGCATTATCAAGAGCAACCTCGTTGGAATCACTTCAAATTACCAATTTTAATCCTACAAAAGTGACGGCTTCTCCAAAAGTGGCAAGTTTTTACAAATCTTTAGAAAAAGTTTAGTTATTCTTCAATCAATAATAATAATAATAATAAAAAAAGTGTATGATTTTCTTTTTTTTTTTTTTTGTTCTTCAATTCTCTTTAGGAATAGATAGAAACAATGATCGTTCGAGAAGCCTGAGAATCTTGAATACGTTGTTTTGATTGGTGTAACACTTTTGTATTTTCCACCGTTTTGGATTTTCTCTTGAGCTCCCGATCGGTTTTTAAATTATCACTTTTTATTTCCTTTTCTTTTTTTTGGATTTTTCTTTTCTTCTTTCTTCTTTTTTTTTTTTATTATTATTATAATTTATTGTTCTTCATATTGCTGGTCAATTTTGAAAATGAATCAAGAAAAAAAACAAGATATTCAAGTGACTGAAACAGAAATAGATCAAGACTATTTTTCAAGTTTTCCTGCTCCTACTGAACAAGATTGGATTGAATTACGCGAAACGTCAGATACCATTCCTAAATCTGCTTTATTGGTGATCTTGGTAGAATTTTGTGAACGATTTACTTATTATGGTCTTAGTGGTCCTTTTCAAAATTATATTCAATTTCCTGATCCTCCTTTTTATCCTGCAACTCAACCTGGTGCTCTGTAAGTTACTAGATCAAAATAAAAATAAAACCAATAATTCATTTATTTTTATTCATACTAGTGGAAGAGGTCAACAAACTGCTACTGCTCTTACTACATTTTTTCAATTTTTTTGTTATATTACGCCAATCATTGGGTAAATAAATAAAAAAAAAATGTTAGATAATGAATTTGACGAATCCATATCTTCTTTTTTTTTTTTTTATTTATATTAGGGCAATCATCGCGGATAAATATTGGGGAAAATATAAAACTATTCTATACTTTTCAATCATCTATTTTATTGGCCTAATTATTTTGACTTTGACATCTATCCCAAGTTCAATTCAAAGTGGTGCTGCTTTTCCTGGTTTTGTGGTTTCCATCATCTTGATCGGTTTTGCTACTGGAGGAATCAAATCCAATGTATCTCCTTTAGTGGCTGAACAATATCAATCAAAAAATCCTTTTGTGAAAACTCTCAAATCTGGTGAACGTGTGATCATCACTCCTCAAGCAACCTATCAAAAGATCTTCAACATGTTCTACTGGGGTATCAACGTGGGTTCCTTATCTGCTATTGCTACTACTTCTTTGGAAAAATATATTGGTTTCTGGCCTGCCTATTTACTACCTACACTGATGTTTATTCCTGGTATCCTTACTGTCATTATCGGCAAAAATCAATATGTACAATCGCCTCCTCGTGGAAGTATATTTATTGAAGTGTTCAAAGTACTCAAAGTATCCTTTCAACAAAATCGTAATATGGAAGCAGCCAAACCATCCAACCTTGCTATTCATCATCCTCACCTCGCCGCCAAAGCTACTTGGGATGATGTCTTTGTAGACGAAATGCGACGTACATTCCGTGCCTGTGCTGTATTCTGTTGGTTTCCCATCTATTGGTTATGTTACTCACAAATGACAAACAACTTGATCTCTATGACTTCTACCATGCAAACTGGAACTTTACCTAATGATATTTTACAAAACATTAATCCATTAACTTTGATCATCGCCATTCCTATCTTTGATTCCATCATCTACCCTGGTTTCCGTCGACTTCGTATGCCTTTACGACCTATCATGCGTATGACCTTGGGTTTTCTCTTTGCTGCAGGTGCTATGGCTTATTGTGCTGGTATTCAATCCTATATCTATAGTCAACCTCCCTATTTTGATCATCCAGAAGGAAGAAAGAATGATGTGTCTGTAGCTCTTGTTGTGCCTGCTTATGTCTTGATTGGAATCTCTGAAATCTTTGCATCTATTACTGGTCTAGAATATGCATACAAAAAGGCTCCTAGTAAAATGAAATCTCTTGTGATGGCTCTCTTTCTATTTACCAATGCCGTCAGTGCCATCTTGGCCTTTGCTTTGGTCTCCGTTGCTGTTGATCCCAAACTCACTTGGTTGTATACTGGTATCGCTGTCGCCATGGCTACATGTGCTCCTATCTTTTATTACATCCATGGCAAGAATGACAAAACCGATATAGAAGATGATGCTATTGGATCTCATCAGAATCGATCGGGAACGAAAAAGGAACAAATGGAAGAATATACGCCATGATCAAATTTATTCAATCTATTATTTATCTTTTTATTTTTTTTTTTATTTTATTTCTTTCTAGTTAATTCATTAGTCTCTTGTATTTTTATTTATATATTGTACCAATAAAGTTTTACTTCTTCTTATTACATGTTATCAATGCAACTTGCTATCCGGTTCAGAAATTCCAGCGTAGGGAAAATTGATGAAATGCTATTAGATGACATTGGATTACTTTCTGGATGATGATCAATATTGGTTGATGAATAACCATTTCTATTTTTATTACTTTTATTATCATTATTATTTAATTTAGTCTATAAATTGTGTAGCAAGCTATAAGTGATGTTTAAATAAATATCAAGATAAGGTATTGTTTTATGTTTTGTTCAAATTTGGTGCAATGATGATGACTTTTGAGAGAGAAAGGGAAAGGTAAAGTTTGTTTCCAAGCTTGTATGCAAGATAAAAAAATGGGATGGATTTTTGGATTTTACAGCCAAAAATTTGGAACTCCTCAGCTTAATTTTAGCTGTAAAAATAAATCGTCGAGGGTACATCAGGCAATTTTTCAAAAAATTGATAAAATCCTTTTAGTATTTATTGCACATTACGTGGCAAGATAAGTGATGAAATGAGATTAGATGGTATTAAACTATTTTTTTGAGAGGAATCCAATGGTAGTCATTTTATTGGATGATGATCATTATTGAATGAGAGATGATTTAATTGACTTTTGTTTTTTAAATTACGTAGTAAATTGGGAGGTAAGGTATCAATTGTTATTAATATAAGTGAAAGAGAACGATTTCATTTATATTCATTTTAAATTTGGTGAAGTGATGATGATTTTTCAGTGATTTACAAAAATATAAAGAGGTACATATCTACGGCATAGGACGTTACAGTGGTGCAGAGAATGGTTCAAATTTTTCAAATAGCTTTTTCTCGTTATGGAGCAAATTAACAAATGGCGAAGAGTGACAGTGGCTCATACGGTATTATACTCGGTTCACAAATGACATTTTTTTTTTCTCTATATGGTAATCTAACCAATGAAATACGGTTATCAATGCGTTGGCTATTTTTTAACAGTGCAGTCAGTGCGTGGAGACATAAAGTTTGAACTTTAAAAAGATTGCATGTGATATCTTTCTATCCTAGCCAACGTTGTGAAGTCGCGTTAAACAAAGAAAAAAAACACATAAAAAAAAAGAGAAAAAAAAAAAGAGGGTGTAAATCACGAAAAAAAAAAACACATGAAAAAAAAAGAAAAAAAAAGAGGGTGAAAATCACGAAAAAAAAAATCACGAGAAAAAGGATGTTTTTTCAAAAAAAAAAAAAAAAAAAAAAAAAAAAGAATCGCTATAGGAATACGCGTAACACAACACAGCTTAATTTCTATCCCAGTCATTCTTAGCCCATTATATTGGTTTAAATTCTCGGTGTGGGGTCGTGCATGTCCTACTGCATAAAACATATATAAGATTCCGATGTCAGGTACAAATAGTATTTGTAAAGAAATCATCAATATCAGAACGTCTATTAAAACTACAAAAAAATAAAAAGAATAATAAATTGATGAAGTTTATCATGAAGCGTGGAGTTCCAAAAGTATGAAGCGCGTCGTGAGAAAAAAAAATTATAAAAAAAAACAATTATAAAAAGGGAGACCGCGTTTTTTTTTCTTTTTCTTTTCTTTTCTTTTTTTTTTTTCCTCTTTACTGCTTTATTATTCAATTTCCCATCATGATCCCTTGTATTTTATTTTTCGCAGTTTCTATACCCGCAGCTATTATTTCCTTCCTCTACTCTTCCCCTTCTTCTGTCGCTTTTTTCCCTTCCACTATTGAACCCGTAACTGAACCCGTAATGGAGCCCGTCACGCCTGGCATCACAGACCTTATAATCTATGTGCCACCCTCCGAAATCATTTCTCCTCCTCCTCCTCCTCCTCCTCCTCCTCCTCCTCCTCCTCCTCCTCCTCCTCCTCCTGCTGCTGGCACTGGTGATTGTGCAGATGCCTTTTGGATTCTCCCTTTGTTGTTTTCCCTTTCTCTCATCTCTCGCCTTCCTCCTTGTAAGTGACATTATACCAACAAGATCCATCGCAATGTACTCATCAGTAAAACTGAATGGTAAAACTGAATGTCTAATTTTTTTCTTCTCTTTTTTTTTTTTTTTTTTTTTTTTTTTACTTTATGACAAGTTCTCTCCTCTTCGTCTTGTAAGTAACAATGACAGTAGGGTAGTCATTAGCAGTATACTGATCAAGAAACGCCAACGATTAACCTTTTTTTTTTTGTTTTACTATGATTTACTTAGCTTCTGTCCGTCCCTCCACCAACGTGGTTGTGATCACTTCTCCTTTGTCTCGTAAGTAAAAAATAATAATATATCAGTTATTGCGTACTATATTGATTAGTTGATGATTCACCCTTTTTTTTTCCTTTTTTTTTTTATGTATTATTATCTGTTTTTAGCTGCTTTCTCTCCCTCCACCAACGTGGTTGTAACTTCTCCCCCCTTGTCTCGTAAGTAATCTTATCAACAGATCTTCCATCGTATACTGTATTGACTAGCAACATCAATGACTAATCCTTTTTTTTTTATTTTTTTCTGTATAATTATATATATTCAGCTTCTCTCTTACCCTCCACCAACGTGGTAGTGGATCCTTCTTCTTCCTCTTCTTCTTCTTCTTCCTCCTCATCTACGGCCGCTGGTGTGACCAAGGCAAAGGTAAGCGCACTTAACAACTCTCCACAATAATAAGCATCGTACCTGACCCTTTCTTTTTTTTTCTGGCTTATATGTAGATTGTGGATAATGACGCCCTTGCTAGTACAACTTGGGACCGAATCTATCAAGCAGCCCCCAAGCGCGATTTCCCTGTCCCTCGTCGCCCACCAAGACCAATCCCAAAGAGACCTCCTTCCTTCTCTTCTTCTTCCTCCTCCTCCTCCTCCTTCTCCTCATCTATGGCTGCTGGTATGACCAAGGCAAAGGTAAGTGTACTTTACAACTCTCCACAATAATAAGCATTGTATCTGATCCTTTCTTTTTTTTTTTGTCCTGTATGTAGGTTGTAGATAATGACGCCCTTGCTGGTACAACTTGGGACCGAATCTACCAAGCAGCCCCCAAGCGTGATTTCCTTGTCCCTCGTCACCCACCAATCGCAATCCCAAAGAGACCTTCTTCCTTCTCTTCCTCCTCCTCCTCCGCCGCTGTCACCGGTAAGTACTAATAAATAAATAATATGATATAGGTGCCTTCAATTGGAGTTTTCAAGATGATTTGCTAACCTTTTTAAATTTTATTTTACTGTATTATTTGTTATAGCCAAATTAAATCCGCTGGCCGGGTTTGATTCAAGCAAAAACTACCAGCAGGATCTGGAACGTCTTCTCGCTGCCTGCCGTCGTTAATCTCTTCTGTGTTTTTTTTTTCTTTGTCTTCTCCCATTTTTTTTTTTTATTTTATTTTTATCGTTATCTCTTCTTTGTATATATTATGACTTTATATTCGAATAAAAACCTATGTTTTGTTTAATTTAATTCTACTTTGATATTATGTATTTCTCTATGTGTACCATTCTTTGTTCTGATGATAATCATTGTATTGACGATGATGGATGGTAAAATGTCACTGTAGTATCAGAAATCCATCTTTGATACAAGAGTTCCTAAGCACTTGGTTTGACCATAAAAAGAAATCGACAATTCATTTTCAATGTCAGTTGCTTTATTTTTTTTTTTTTTTTTTCTTATACGCAGTGGCTGGGATCTTTTCTTTTTCTCTTTTCTTCATTCTTTTCTTTGCTGACATGACATCTTTAGCAAGTCTTATTAGCAATGTCAAAACCAACACTGCAAATAATTCTCTTCTTCAAAAAAACATGACCATTAGTCGAAAAAGAGCCAACAAAGAGTAAGCCACCTTTTCTTTTTGTGTGACATTATTTTGATCTTTTTTTTTTTTAATTGATCTAGGGAAGTTACTAGTCAAACTAAAAAGCCAAAGTTATCAACATCATCTACTTCAAATAATGCAACCACGAAAAAAGCAACCAAGACTAACAAAGGTAAAGAGACAAGAAACAAAGGATGGAAACTATGATAAGAAACGGTTTGAAAGTGAACTCTATTTTTTTTTTTTTTTTATTCAGATCCCAAGGTAGTTGTATTCGATGGGTCTTCATTAACCAAACGACCAACTCTAGAAAGCAAGGCTGCCAAGAAAGCATTCCTGGTAAATACAGTATATAGAAAATGAACATAAATTAGATCAATTCATTTTTTTTAACTAATTCTTTTTTATTATATCTAGGCTGGAAAAGCAAACATCAGCGATCTAAACACAACCACTTCGGATACTGTGACTAAAGAAGATGTGGAAGATGACATGTAAGTACATAAAAAATCACTCGGTTTCTTTTATATTTTATTAAATGAAAACTATATATTTAGTGAAAACAACAAAAAGGACAAGGAATTACAAGAATTATTAGCCACTTCGAAATTATTAGAAGAATACCGTAAGTTATTCATTTTTTGAAGAGGGATAGATCTAATGATATTTAATCTTTTTTTTTTTTTTTGTGATGAATGTTTATTAGAAATGGAAGAAATGACTAGTAAGGAAAGGCGGAAACACATGCTTGGCAAGTTGGATACCCTGGGATTGAAGGTAAGAAAAAAGATTGGAAGAACAGAATTGATAAAAAGGACAAATACATTGAACAATTTTTTTTTTTAATTAGCCTGCAAGTAGCGAAAAACGATCCTTGTCGATGTATATTGGAATGGAAAGCAAGAAGAAGGAACGACAACAACAAAAGTTACAAGAAGCCAAGGATACAGGATTATACGACAAATCATTAAAACATTTGTATGTGTCAACCAAGAAAAAGGAAAGAAAACGAGATCCTGGTATCACTAATGGTATTGGACGAATGAAAGGTGCTGTACTCACTATCAGTAAACAAGAATTGGGACGTATTCAAAGGCAAGGAACAAAACCTAGGGCAGGTGGCAAGAAACGAAAGTAGAAGATCTTTTTTTTTTTTGGTTATCTTTCCTGCATACATTTTCATATATACATTGTACTTTTTAGCATTAAACCTATTTTATTCAACCATTTGTCATCATTCCCAATAGTGAATCATAGTATAATTATTTTTATGAAATAAAACAAGATGTATCCGATATATGAATATACATAAAATAGTTGCACAGTGTCTTTTTTTTTATTATTGTTACATAGATAGAATGAGTTTGAACAAAAAAAAAATATAAATAAATCACTATGGGAAAAGATCTGAAATAAATTTTATTTTTCCTGAATACGTTTATTTTTTTTCCTGACTCGATTTAGTACAGACGTCCTTGATTTCTGATTTTTCTGAAATACATTACGTCGCTTTCACAGTAAATTAAATGCGAATTTCGGAAAAAAACGAAATGAATGTCGGATTTCCGAAATTCATTTAGTATTTTCATCATTGATTCCAGAAAACCGAACTTCATTTCTGAATACAATATACAGTCATCGGTCATTATAGACACGAAAGAGACTTTATTTCATTGATATAAATATAATACATAACTATACTACATAACTATACTACATAACTATACTACAAGGATAACGTTCACCAGTACGACCAGGACTAACACCTCCAAGATAATGATCATGACTTCCACTTTGGATATAACTATTTTATTTGATATGGATACTTCAATTGGCAGTCTAACAGAGTCATTCCGGCGAAGAAGGGAGTCGATCTTGGCTTGATTGTATAGTTTGCAACCTACAGATAAAATTAACAAACAGTAATCCATCATAATCCATCAACATCACTCTCTTTTCTTTTCTTTTTTTCTATATAAATGTTACCTTGGCTATATCATTGGATGCTTGTATCACCATTATTATATAGACGATAATCTAGCAAGCTACAAATAAAATCGCCAAAATGAGTAGTAATCCATCAATGTTTGTCTCTTTTTCTTTTGTTTTTCTATATAAATGTTACCTTGGCTGCACCATCGAATGTTTGCATCACCTTTATTGTATAGACGAGAATCTAGCAAGCTACAAATAAAATCAGCAAAATGAGTAGTAATCCATCAATGTAATTTCTTTTTCTTTTCTTTTTCTATGTACAAGTTACCTTGGCTACACCATCGAATGTTTTGTACCACCTGTAAACCCAATATCATCATAACAGTTGGCTCGGAGAGAAATAAAGGCTTGCCAAATGCAGATATCAGACAATTTCAGATCATCAAGAAAGATAGTTGTATCGTCTTACGTATAGCGCTCCACTATCAGTCATTGATATGATCCTCAATAATTTTTCCAAACCAAATACCGCAAATGTCAGGACTTACAAGGACTCCAGCATGAAACAACACGATCAACAGACAATAACTGAATTTCCTACGTGTTGCATTTTGCCCTCCACCTACTTGAGCACAAAATTCAGTCACTAGATTCATAAACGATTCTAGAGACTGATCATCCTCGACCAAGTCCATTGCCAGTAAACAAACAAAGATCAATACACCATGATCTTCGTCTGACCAAAAGCTAAGTATAAAATAATGATGACCATTCAACATTTGATTGTATAGACCGCTATCCTGAAACCTAACAGATAAAAAAAAAATAAACACAGTGAGTAGAAATCCATCGATCTTATTCACTTTTTTTTTCTTTTATATATACATATTACCTTGGCTACATCAGGTTCCAATATTGATGTAACAATCATAAAAACCAGCACCAAAGAGATAACCAAAAGCATTTTACATATAGTATAATTTGTTGACTTTTTGTCAAAGAGAATGGAGATAACCAAAGGAACAGGAGTAGTAGCCTAAGACCACGAGAGAGAATGATAATAGGGAGACACCATATCAAGCGGGAAAAAACAAAGGGCAAAGACCAACAATGCAGGAAAAAGATCTTGAAGAAATCACCAACCACAGTAGAGACAGATAAGAGGAATAGAGGGTTCAACCACCTGTGAAAGAAATATTGATGAAAACATCATTACAATAAGAGGCAGATGAGAGAAAGGAAAAAAAGGCTAACCAAGTATGAAAACAGATATTGAGGAAGACACCACCAGAATGAGAGAGATCAGTGCAAGAGAGTCCAACCAAGAGAAGAAAAAAAAAAAAGGATAGAGAAGAAAGTACCATGTTGGAAGACAGATAAAGTAGAGAGAAAGACCAATTACGTAGATAAGAGATTTGATGAAAAATACCATTCCAATGAGAGACAAATGAGAGAAAGGGAGAGAAAAAGAGAGTCTAACTAAATAGAAAAAAGAAATAAGATGAGCCACCTCTTGTACTTGTTGTTTCAAGATGTATTTGTGATTTCTACCACTTCTTCTATCAGGAATCGCACCAATTCATTTAATTCATTACTAAACGGTAATGGTATCCAAAGTGTTCTTCAACCAATATTTGGCTTGATAATGCTTGTGGGAATATGGAGGGCACAGAATGAGCTACAGTTTGTCATGTTAAAAAAAAAGTGAATTAAACAAGAAAGAAAAGCGAAGAAAAAAAGGAAATACGGTGGATTTTCCCTTTATGCTAATGACTGACTTTGAATCGACTTTACCATTTTTTTTTTCTCTTTGATTTTGTACCTGAAATGCATTTCATTTTTACGGAATCCAATTCAAATTTATTTTAGATCTTTTTCCCATAGTGAAGGGATCTGCGAAAAGGATACGAGTCCCAAAAACGTAGGTTTGGTTTAGGATTTTTTATTTTTATTTTTTTATTACAATAAACTTGTTTCTTTTTTTTTAAAAAAAAAAGGTTGACTTCGGACGAAATTCATTTCATTATAACGAGTTCCATTTCATTTCAAAATGAAATCAATTTAGGAAATCCGACATTGATTCTTGTAAAATAAAATGAAATTCATATTTCCGGAATTGATTTTACGACACGAAACTCATTTCGGATTTACGACATTGATTTCATTTTGAAATGAAATGTTTCCGGAATCAGTTTAGAAAAAAATTAGAAAACGAAATTAAACGAAATTCATTTAAGAAGAATACTAAATTAATTCAGGAAATACGAAAAGGATTTCATAAAATGTCGGAAATCTGATATTTATTTCGGAAATCTGATATTGCTTTTCCCATAGTGAATAGATATATGAATGAAGATGAAAAAAAAAAAAATAGAATAACAGAAGAGAATGATAAAAAGGAAGTATGTTCAGTAATAATGACAAATGAGTAACGAGAGAGTGTGTGTGTGTATAGAGTTAATTGGAGGAGAATGCTAAATATATCTAGAAACGTTCCTTCATACGAGAAGAAATGGTACGTAAAGTTGCATATACTTTCCCGGGAGGACTACCCAAGATCAAACTAACCACAGCATCACGAGCAATCTTGATATTTTGGAATGAGCCCAGAATGTGGATTTTGCTATATCATAAAAAAAAAAGTAAGAATCATGAGTTAATATTCCATTCATATTATGATGATCACTTACGTATCGGCCAGAACAATTCTTGTTTTACTTGCATTTTCAATAGTAAATTTAGTTTTGCCATCACGACCAGCAATACGACCAATGGCACGGGCTAAATGATCACCATGTAAAGTCTTAACATCCTTGATTTCAAAAGAGTCCAAATAGATATCATCCAGTCGTAACAAGGCCATAGCATCAGCAACTTCAAATCCAAGTGCAAATGCCCGAACAAAATCAGCTCCTTTTTGTAATGCCCCAGTATCTTCTGTTGAATCCGATGTCTACATAATTTGTACTTAGTGTTTATCCTGTGTTGTTGGATATATATATCTCTACTACTTACTCGAATTTCTACAGTTCTAGATTTGACATTCATTCGTACTTGTAATTTCATATGTTCAACTAAAGGTGAATAGATCTCCATCCAATGACGTTTGAGAGGTGACATGCGATGGTGAGGAATAGGGATTCTTCGATGTCCTTTGGTCACAGTCTATCATAAATAAATAAATAAAGAAAAAAAGGATTGAGTACAAATAAGGAAAAAAAACAACCAGTCAATGATCAAGACTACTCTTTCTTATCTTTTCCTCTCTCTTTTTTTTTCATACATTCAATTCAGCAGCACTGGCAGCAGCAAAAGAAGGCTTGGCTTCAGATCCTTCTTCCATAGTAACATCTTCTTGGGTAGTTGTACGTTGACTGGGTAAAGCATTGGGATCAATCATAACATCGTCGTCATTTTTTTGTATTTCTTTTTGTGTCTTCTTGCTGACAAGACTAGGTGCCTTGAGTGATTGTAATGATGCCATAGCAAAGAATAAAAAAAAAAAAAGTGAATAGAAAGAGGGAAAAAGAAGAATTTTTTTTTCTCTCTCAGCTCACCAACCCTCTTTTGTCTCTCTCTCTTCTCCCACTTTTCTCTTGTTAAGCCACCCAAGCGGAATGTAATTTTCTTGCCTTTTTTTTTTTTTTTTTTTTCAAGACAGATCGGCATATTGTATCACCATCCTTTCTCTTCAACTGGATGATCCAATTCCTCTCTAAAAAAGTCAAAAGAAAAAGGATAGAATGAAATAATTTATTAAATAATATAATTAAAATATATAGATAGATAGATGTGTATATATATGAAAGATCATGATGTATAAAAAAAATATTTAGATGAATAATAATATTAACTAATCACTAATGCCTAAAAGCTGAACTAGTTCAATCACCACATTCGTCAAATGACCAGCAGATGTATCCAACAAACAAAGAGGGTAAAGACCAGATCCATGTACGTATCCTTTGGATGCAGCGAGTAGGTGATGTAGAGCAAGAGCGTATTGTCGTCGTATAATGTGAAGTTGATCTTTGATTTTCTTGGTTGAAGAAGGATGATCATCATCCTCGCTCTCTATATTACTTTCTTCCGTATTACTGTCACTGTCGCTATCATCTTTATTCATTTTCTTACTGTCATTCTTGATTCCTTTATCTTTTCCATGTCGTTTCCCCTGTGATGCTATTTGACTTTGGTCCACTTGATCTGAGATTGCCTTGCATACCATGACAATAGATTTCATACAAGGTAAAATATCTGCCGGTTGACTTGACCTATACATTGTAAATAGATGAGATAATTTTGCCATACATATTGTTTTTCATATACCTTGATTTTTGTATGAGATCTTCAATGCAGGTTTGGTAATTGATAATTGTGTCATATGAAATAATTCCATGAGGACTGGATTGGATAGGTCCCAAAACATCCTGTTGATAATTCCATGATAATGTTTTTGTTGATATGGAAGATGATGATTTGCCTATAAGGACATACATTCAAATAAATTCAAATACGATATTAGTTTCATTCAATGTTGAAAGACAGAGACATTACCTTTGGATGCATGTAGTTGTCGTGTAACAGCCGAGTATTTTGATTGCCATTCCTTGGTTTGATCCTTCAATTCTTCCACAAGATCATATGCACGGTCTCGGTCAGCAATAATTTGTTCATTCTTATTAGATAAGGTATCAAGCTGATTCAAGAGTTCCAAAATTTCTTTTTTCACCTTGTGTACTGTCTATTGAGTAAAATAAATAAATAATAAATAAAAGAGATATTGGTATTTTTTTTTTTGATACCTCTTCTTGTTGTTGATGTTGAAGGACAAGTTGTTGATTTTGTTTTTCAAGTTGATCATTCCTAGTTCGAAGGTCGAATTCCACTTGTTCTAGATCCTGAATACGTTGGTTCAAGCAGTTGACTTTATGTTCATGACTTTGTTGTAATTCCTCAATTTCCATACGATGAGATGGTCTTCTTGATGTAGTCATAATATCTTTTGTTCCACTTGACTTTTTTTTTAAAAAAAAAAAAATAAGACGAAATCAAAGGTGAGTCATATTTCTCATCACTGTCAAAATAATAAGAATATCCCTATATTGCTTACCAGTTGATCTTTGAATTGACTATGAGGCCTGACCATAGAATCAATATCAGCAATAAGACTATCCAAAGAATCAGTCCAATCAGTGTGTAAGGAATCTTGATGATGAGTATTATTATTATGTTGTTCAGTTTCGAAAGGATGTTGAGAATAAGCATGATATTCTTGTTGTGATTGTTCCAATCCTCCTGAAATGGTAGAGATATGAGCCATACTTTTTTCAGGAATCACCGTTTGTGGAAACCATTCATGAGTATTTTCATTGGTGTTGTCAACAGGTAAAGGTAATGGAGGCAAAGCATCATTCTAAATATCAAAAGGAGTTTGAATTAAAAATCATGCGATCATAAAGTAAATGTCTAAAGTAAAAGGATCAACCCCCCAATCAAAATACCGTCTCCTTATATTTTTTTCATTAGTATATTGATCATATAGATGTATGTACCTTTTCCATTTTTGTATGAGGATACCGTCGACTAAGTTCATGATAAACATCACTTGCAAGGTCCATGAATCGATGTACAGGTAGTGTAGCTAATTTTTGTCTGGCTTGATTTCGTCTTGGATGGAATTCATCATGTACTGGTAAGAATGGTACTAAAACGAAAGGAAAAAAAAATGTCATTGTCATTTATAAATAAAATAAAAAATTTTCTTTCTTACCTTCTTTTTCATGTTTAGTTCTTCGAATCATTTCATCATAGACATCACGCGCAAGTTCTAGAAATTGACCTGCATTTAACTTGGAGAGTTTTTGTCGAGATGCCACTCTTTTGGGAGCAGCTCCATGAATAGTCTCTATCAAAAAAAAAAAAAAAAAAAGAAAAAAAAAAGTTAAAATAGTGATGACACTTTAAATCTGTCGTATACCTTTTTCTAGAAAACTGGTCAAGTAGGCTTTGAGTTCCACGCGATATAACTTTGTAATAGACAATTCACTGAGTGTCATATCTCGTCCTTGCTGACCAGAGGTAAATGTTGGAGATGAATACCAATCTTCATGAGGCGATTTTAAAGACGAAGGTGATTCAGGTATGGGCATATGCTGTAATGGTTTATTAATTGAAAACAATGATCAAGTGAATGAATGGAAGGAGAGAAAAAAAAGAAGAGAAAGAAAAATAGATAGAGTAGGAGAGAGAGAGAAAGAAAGAAAGTATATGTGAGTGAGTTAGAAGAAAAAAAAAACCAATAATGGGAAAAATAAGGAGAAAGGGGAGGGGGAAGAGAATAAAAAAAAAAAGGAACAAAGTAATAAAAATAAAATAATAAAATAAAACCAAAAAAAAAAAAAAAAGTGAATAGGGAGATCAAAAAATCACTATGTTTCAAAGGTAGAGATTCTCTTGTTCTTGATTTCATCTAATAATGTTTGTGCTTCGTCATGATACTAATAAAGAAACATATTAAACTTTTATATTCATCTCTCCCATTGATAATAAAATATTTTCTTAATTCTTACCGGAAAACTATATCCTAGAGCAATTTTAGCATAACGTTCTGCATCACCCAATCGATTCTTAGAAAACATATATCGTCCCAGTCGTAATCCAGATTCTGCCACTTCAATTCCATCATACTAACAATAATAATAATAATAATAATAACAATAATAAAATGATAAATAACATAACATATAAAGATAAATATTCCCTTTACTTCCTCCGTTTCATATTTTTCAATTGCACGAAGATAATAACGTGCTGCCGCATTAGGTCGTTCCATCTTGTCAAATATTCGTGCTAGTTGTATCAAAGCGTTGTGTCGACCATCCTTGTCACATTCGTTTACTCTTCTAAAACAATCTAAAGATTCATTATGACGACCCAATGCTTCATAACAACCACCTAAAGCTTGCCACATACGAGGATCATGAGGCCTATAATATCAAAAATTTAGTCAAACATATATATATATATATATATATATATATATATATAGATAAGGAGATTCATTTTTATTACCTTAAATCCGTAGCCTTTTGATAATAATATGTTGCATAATAGGGTAATTTCAATACTTCATAAGCCTGTCCCAGTCCATACCATGCTCGGAAATCACGTGGATTGTAATCTAAATGGAATATTCATAACATTCAATGATAAATATAAAAATATAATGTTATATCTTTTTTACCTGTTGCTCTACGATAACATTCAATGGCAGCATTAGCATTTTTCATTTCAATATAATCATGTCCTAATAAAGTCCAGACCCAATGGTAGTTTCGATTTAGCTTTAAAGCCCGTTTAAAGTATTCAATAGATAATGGAATTTCACGTTTAATACTATAGTAATTTGCTTGAAAAAAAATAAAAATAAAAATAAAAAGTTTTGAGCCATTGCTTTCTTTTTTTTTTTTTTTTTTTTTTTTGTTTTGTTATAATATTCACCAACGATGCAGCAAGTTTCCGGTCGAAATTTGTCGATTCTATCACATTGATGAGCCAGCACACTAAGTTTTTCTTTTGAATCTTTCAAATATAATAAATTGGAAAAAACGTCCATATCTTCCAGTCGATAAGGATTACTTCTTCGTAAATCATCAAATAAAACTTCAGATTCATTGTAATCTATTCATTATAAAAGGAAATAGTGAATAGATCATTCTTCTAATATCAATATCGGTTATACCCATTGTATCATAAAATGAAATAGCCCATTGTGCTTTGATATAAGTACTGTCAGGGAAGATAGCTGTCAAAGGTGTCATAATATCAGAATAGAATTGATGAGGTAGATGTAACTCTAAAGCGAGTCTTGCCAAAAAAAGATTCTTGATTAAAGACCCAGTCATCTTTGCATCTAAAAGTTTTTGTAGATCGTAAAACTATATATATTATTATATATATATAAGAAAAGGAATAGACGAGTTAACTTGAATTATTATTTTGTTTCTATTTTTTTTTTTTTTTGTCTTTCTCTTTACCATTTTCTTATTTAAAACCAATGTACCAAGTTCCATCCAAGCAGACCAGTTGCATTCATATTTTTTTAATGATTGAAGAAGGACAGAAGCTGCTAATTGATTATCACCACGTTTTCGAAGAATAATTCCATATCTATAATAATCATAATAGTATTTAATCATTTAATTTTGAATCATCAATTATTAACTACTTACAAATATAAACAAAACGCATCCATTGTCTGATTCTCATCATAAGCAGTTCTAAGTTCGTCGTAGATTGAATTAAGTTCTGGATTTTCTGTCAAAGAGTTATCCGCACTTCCTATGGTTATTAAAAAAAAAAAAAAATATTGCATGAATACAAGTTAATACTTTCATTTTTTTTTTTTTAAGAAAAAAAAAACTTACCAAGGATTTCTTGTGTTTGTTCTTCCTTTCGTTTTTCCCCAGCCTAGATAACAAATACAAACAAAAATGAGTAATCATAAAAGAAAAAGCATGATATTTTTCTTTTCCACTATTACCAAATATTTTGCATACAATCGAAGAAACTTCAATTTTGGATTTTCCATTCCTCGAAGAATATAACTGGCATTTTCGTATTGACGCATGTGAAATAATGCTTTGGCATACTGATATTTGTTATATTCGAGTTCATTGACCGAAGGAAGTGACGCGTCGTAACCTGTTGTAGTATGTTGATGTCCATATTGATTAGATAAATCAAGTGTTCCTTCCTTTACCCCATCGAGAAGTTCAGCTGACCTGGTTTTAATGAAATGATAGAATGTATGCAAGAAGTTATAGTTTCGATCATATTTTTCTTTAACTTTGTTACTTTTGTGTTTTCTTTTTTTACCATTTAGTAGCATTGTATAAACACCTATCTGCACATACTACAACTGATTCTTGTAATTGATGCTTAAAACGTTCAATTTCGTCGTGTTTATATATCATTATACACAAAAATAAAAGATCTGTCAAGACAAAAAAGAAAGAATAAAAAGAAGAAAAAAAAAAGGGTCGAAAACCAAAAAGCTCTCAATTTTTTTAAATAGTTTTCAAAGTCAGTTCATGTTTTTCACCTTCTTTGCATTTTAAAAAGATAAAAAACAAGTATTGTGGTGTGAATCATTTTCGTTTATATATAAATATATATTTTGTATGAGTAGATTAGACTTTTTATTTGATTTGATTCACTAAAATTTGTTTAATATCTGACTATTTAAGCATATAAATCATCATCACCAGCTTCTTGACCAAATCCAGAAGCGCTGTTATCAACAGTACCTTCTTGAGCAGCACCACCTTCACTTTCAGGGAACTTGAATGTACCAAAACCTCGTTGTTGTTGTAAGTTTTGAGCAAACATTTCATATCGACGAATATCACTGTCATTAACTGAACGACGAGCAAATCGCATAGCTTCTTCGAAGTGGGCTCTGTAAAATAAATAAAAATTAAATAAAATGAATATTTGACATTTTCAAAATTAATTCCTTTTCATTTTACCTTGTAATTTCAGCATGAAGATCTTCGTCGTTATCTTCATCTTCCATCATGTCTACATCTTCACCAGCTTCTTGCTTGGCTTTGCGTTCTCGTTCTCTAGCAATATCCTTTTCAATATCTTCACGAATAGCAAGCTTGGCGGCCCGTTGACAAATTTCAGAAAGATCGGCACCAGAGAATCCATTGGTATGTTTAGCCATCAATCCAAGGTCGACATCAGGAGCCACAGGAGACTTACGTAATTGAGCCTTCAAGATAGAAAGACGAGAAGTTTCATCAGGAAGAGGAATATAGATCAATTGATCCAAACGACCAGGACGAAGTAAAGCAGGATCGATTTGATCAGGTCGGTTGGTAGCACCGATCACAAATACATTCTTAAAAAAAAAAATTGATATATCAGGTCACTTGACAAACATTAACTCGATTTTTTTCTTTTTCTTCTTTTTTTTTTTTTTTAAAAAAAAAAATTACCTTTTTAGCATTCATACCGTCCATTTCAGTCAAAATCTGGTTGAGGACACGATCACCAGCACCACCAGCATCACCCATAGATCCACCACGAGCTTTGGCAATAGAATCCAATTCATCAAAGAACATCACACAAGGAGCAGCAGCACGAGCTTTGTCAAACACATCACGTACATTGGCTTCAGATTCACCAAACCACATGGTCAATAATTCAGGACCCTAAAAAAAAAAATAAGAATAGATAAGAATAGATCCAAGTGTTAATGTTTAAAATAAATAAATAAAATAAATGTGCTTACCTTAATAGAGATAAAGTTGGCTTGACATTCATTGGCAATAGCTTTAGCCAACATGGTTTTACCAGTACCAGGAGGACCATAGAACAATACACCCTTGGAAGGATTCATACCAAACTTCAAAAACTTTTCAGGGTGTTCTACAGGGTATTGGACTGTTTCTTGTAATTCTAACTTGACATTTTCCAAACCACCAATATCGTTCCACTTGACTGTAGGCACTTCCACAACGGTTTCGCGAAGAGCAGAAGGATTGGATACACCAAGAGAATACTATATAAAAAAAAAATTATTGACATCAACCATCATCCTTTTCCTTTCATATGATCAACTTACTCTAAAGTTTTCCATAGTTACGGCCAAGCTATCCAAGACTTCAGCATCAATAGTTTCTTCTTCCAAATCAATAAGATCCATCTTTTCACGAATTTGTTGCATAGCAGCTTCTGAACACAAGGAAGCCATATCAGCACCAACAAAACCGTGAGTTTCTGAAGCAATTTGTTCAAGATCGACATCATCATCCAATTTCATATTCTTGGTATGAATACGTAAGATTTCCAAACGACCAGTAGGATCAGGGATACCAATATCAACTTCACGATCAAATCGACCAAATCGACGTAAAGCAGGATCAATAGAATTGGGACGATTGGTAGCAGCAATCACTACTACATTGGATCGAGCCTTCATACCATCCATCAAAGTCAATAATTGTGAGACCACACGTCGTTCCACTTCACCATTTGTCTAATTTATTTATTTGTTTTTATATAAAAAAGGAAATAACCAAGTAAGTAATAAGAACATCCAATCCTTTTTTTTTTTAATTTCATTTCAATTACCTTTTCACGTTTGGGAGCAATAGCATCAATTTCATCAATAAAGATAATGGCAGGAGCATTGGCTTCAGCTTCTTCAAAGGCTTTTCGAAGATTACTTTCAGATTCACCAGCCATCTTGGACATGATTTCGGGACCATTGATTAAGAAAAAGAAAGCACCAGTTTCATTGGCCACAGCACGGGCAATCAAAGTCTTACCAGTACCAGGAGGACCATACATGAGAATACCTCGAGGAGGTTTAATACCAATGGACTTGAAAAGTTGAGGATGACGAAGAGGTAATTCAACCAATTCACGAATTTGAGCCATTTGTTTGCGACAACCACCAATATCATCATATCCAACTTCATTCAAATTTTGTTCTTCATCCTCTCGTTTGATAGGTTCACCTTCACAATGAATCACAGTATCTTGAGCAACCTAAAAAATAAATAAATAAAAAATATATTAATTTTTTTTTTTTTTTTTTGGAATTAATCATTACTTACAATACAATAAGGTTCTGGATCAGTTTCGACTACTTTGAATTCCACAGCACGCATACCACCTCTAACAAGGAATAGATCCCCTTTACGTACAGGACGATAAGCTTCCAAAAAGTAAGGCTTGAGATAAGTTTCAAATAAGTTTCCAGTTAATCCTTCCACAGTATCATCAATAGGTAAGACATGGATACGTTTGCCATACTTGATATCAGGACAAGGGTGAATGCTGATCACATCACCTAATCGAAGACGTAAATTGTTACGTACAACTATTAAAAAAAAAAGGTAAGTATTTTCTTCTCTTGTTTATAACTCTCTCTCTCTCTCTCTCTCCATATATATATATATATACGTGTTTAATTCTTACCTTTATTAATTCTTGCTTTATTATCTTCTACATCGTCATCAGCCAATACAATAAGAACAGTATCCCGTCGCTTCTTTCCTTTAACAATCACAGTATCGCCTCTAAATAATTGTAAGGTTTCCATAGTAGCTGTAGACAAAGTGATAACAGAATTGTCATCGTTAGTTGCGTCATCTACCATCAACTTGTTGGGAGAAGATTTGCGTCGTAGGATGGCTGTGGCAGGATCATGATTGGGATCCACTTCAGGTTGGTCACTTACACCAGCGTTAGGTCTATTAAAATATCAAAGAAAAAAGAAGACAAACAAAACGATATTTGGTTAAGACTTGGATAACATTATATTATCTTGTTTTTATTTACTTACAAAAGTTGATGTTTGCTTTCAGAATCAGCCATGTTTATTTTGGGTTTCTTTTTTGATATGTATAAAGAAAAAAAGAAAAAAAAGAAAAGAAAAGAAAAAAAAAAGGAAAAGAAAGAAGCGAAAAAAAAAAAGCAAAGAATGAAGCGAAAAAAATTGACACGTAAGCACATCGATGGTTCTCGCAGCTCAAAAGGTTTTTGCCTTGAGTTTCACACTCCGTCAAATTTTAGTTCTTTTGGTCGGTCGACATTCCCAAAGTTCGACCCCTTTTTTCTCTTCTTTTTTTTTTTTTTTTTTTTTTTTTCTGTTTGTCTCAGCTTTCATGACTAGTGGCTTTCAACCAGTCTTTACAACTTCAAACTTGTTGAACAAACATCGTCATGATGGTCATTTTTCTAAACTGACATGGCAACATGCTATTGCTGAACACCTCTCTTCTTTATTAAATAACCAAATAGATTCTGAATTACTTTGCAACAGTATCGAAACACCAAAATATGCTAAACATGGTCAGTTTGCCTTACCTATTCAACGAATTCACCATCTTTTGACAAGTGAACCTTGGAAATCTCAAAATACCACTGAAACCGCTAATTGGATTGCGAACAATGTAAAACTCTCAAAAGAATATGATCAGTATAGACTTATACTTACCTTTTTTTTTAATTATTTATTTTCATATCAGTTTACACCTAACGATTATGTAGAAAAAACAACAGCTATTGGATCCTTTGTCAATTTTGCTGTACCCAAAGCTAAATATACGGAAATAATCTTACAACAAATCATTGATCAAGCTGGACAGTATGGGTTTATGTCATCATCAACACCTAAAGCCATTAACAAGGAAAGCGACTTGACCACAATGACGAACTCTTCTTTAGTTGTCATCTCTTGTGAACTACCTTGTGTGCCTCATTTTTTGGATCCTACTGAATTCCGTGGCTTGGTTTTGGCTACTTTCTTACAACGCTCACTTCAAGTACAATCAACGCCTGTCCAACTTTATAACACAACGACCATCTGGAATGGAGAGTTTGGTAACTAAAAAAAAAATAATAATAATAATAATAATTAATTGAAGTATACTTATAATTGACTTTTTCATTTTACAGGTTATTTTGCATTAGCGTTTACAAAATACGGTGCCGATTACACTATACAAAAAGATTTACTTGGCTACTTCAACAAAATCTACGTTCAAATCAAACAAGATGCAGTTGCAGACAAATCTATTGATCAACAAGCACAACAATATTTATTACAATTGGAAAGTGGTGAGTAAAAAAAAAAAAAAATAGGTGCATAGTTCATTCCACTTACTGATATTGGGTGGCTATTTTCGATTATTCTAGGTCATGATGAAACTATTGAACTCTGGCAGTTATTACAACAACTTGTACTAAAAGAATATGAAACTATGTTATGTAAACGGTTGCCTATTCAGTTTGATCGTGTTATTTATGTTTCTCCTTGGGAAGATCTTGGTTCAGTATATGACCTTTTAAAACAGTGTGATGGATTGATGATAACCGAAGATGGTGAATGGAAAATGGATCTTACTTCAATTGGATTGGGCTCTCCAGTTTTACGCAACAAGGATGGAACAAGTACACGAGTGACTAGGGATATTGTACAGTATATCAAACAGCAAGAAAATATAAAGGATTTACAAGTTATAGAATATCATATCGCTGGGCAACATCTCACTCGACATTTCCAACAAGTTCACCATATTATTAACAACATCATGGGAGAAAAACAAAAACAACAACGAACTCATGTCTCTTTTGGAAAAGTGAAATATGATGAATCTTGTACTGGATTTTGTGTATCGGAATGCTTAGACTCACTTCAACAAACAATGATGGAAATTATGGAGGAAAATGAAGGAACTGAAAAGTATGACTCAATGATGGCTCAATTAGGTCAACTCTCGATTACCACCAGGAACAAAAGAATGAATGACATGGACAACAATAAAAATGGTCATAGTGAAGATACTAGTCTCTCTGTACAACAATTGGCTAAACAACATGCCGATAAGCTTGGTGTGTGTACTATGTTTGTGCATCAACTGACTCAACGACGAAGTAAACCTATGATATTTTCGACTTTATCTCATCCTGAAGTATTTGGTAATTCGGGAGTGTTTCTCCAATATGTACATTCAAGGTTATGTGGCATTGAACGACAACTTTTACAACGTGGCTTGATTATGGAAGCAGATAATGATATTATGTTGGCACCAACACAGACGACTTTGGGTATGGGGAAATTACTTTATCAGCAACAAGCATTTGATGTGGTGGATATTCTGACCTTTTTTCCACATATCATTCGACAAGCTCAACTTTCTATGGATCCTTCCACATTGGTGACTTATCTTTTCAAAATGGCAAGGGTGGCTAATCAAGCTCTTTACTGTCTTCGGATCAAGGATGTACAAAAAGATCTGGCTTTAGCAAGATGGACTCTGTTTTGGGCTGTCAAGCAAACTTTAGCCAATGGTCTGATGGTACTTGGTATTCAACCTGTATCCCGCATGTAATTTAGATATTATTATTATTATTTATTATAATTATTAGTCATATACAAATATATTATATATCATCATATCATTTTCTTTTTTAATAAATCATACTAAATTAGAAAACAGTTATTGATTCATCCACGTTCTTCTCAATTACTTATTATTTCAGTTTTACGGATAGCTATAGGATGATGACAGATGAATGACATAAACGAATGATGATATATGATAATAGCAAAAATCATAGCTTAAATTGATCGAGATCTACTTTAGGATTTTTAACATCGTCATTACCTCATACCAAAATTCGAATATAATATAGATTGTTTTCATATGTCATCAGATGATTTTCATTCATTTAATAAAATGACACTGGAAGGGTATTTGCAGTACACAGGCCATGATGCATGACGAGGGATAAATAGGAAAATGATTTTGCATGGATTTTTATTTTTTGCTTCATTGCAAACAGTAAAGATATACGATGATATTTTCCATTACTATAGGGATACAGTTCAAAAAAAAAAAATTGGATTCATCTCACACGCATGAATTTTTAGGTTTCATTTCTTTGTTATTATTAGTCAATTTCAGTCTCGTTTTTTAGTGTCAAATAGTAAACCTTCTCAGTTTGTACCACTGTCTATAAGAACCTCAATTTTTTTTTCCGTCTCTCTTTTTTTCTTTTTCCCTTTACCCCACTTTTATAATGTATTTTTCTCTGCCGACTAGTCAAGAAAGATTACAACAACAACACGTTCAACAAGATCAATATCGTGATGAAATGGACACAATAGGAAGATCCACCTTTTCTGCTCAAGTATCCATACCACACAGTAGTGTCTCACCGAATCAAAGTTATTCTTCTTCAAGTCATCCAAACTATTTGACGGACGAACGATTATTGGAAATAGTGGAAAACTTGGAAGATCATTGGCGATCTCCTCCCATCTTGACACCAACCACTGTTGCCATGATATTTAACAATTCTTACAATGGTATTTCTCCCTCAACGCCTTTTCGGACCATCGCCTCTTCTTCTTCGTCGTCGGATATGGTATGTCGATCCAAAACATCAAAATAAAAAAGGGGGAAAGTGATATATCAAACTATGAATAGGATGAATCATATATATATATATATATAGAGAGAGTGTGATGGTGGGGGGGGGGTATCTCTACTTGTGGGATTAATTGTATTCTCTCATCGTTGTTATTTATTATTTATTATTTTATCCATCTCGATCTTTTTATTCACTTATCCTTTTTTGGTATTTCTTTTTTTAGAGTAAAATATCAACAGCCTCATTACAATGCTTTTTATCTCAATTACAAAAGACCATGGATCAATTTGTTCCTTCATTGGAGAAGATCATCAAGGTAAGTTTGTTTTTTTTTTTTAAAAAAAAAAAGTCATCATTCACATTTTATTATTCTTATTATTTTGTATATAGGAAGATGATCTTCTTTGTCAAATTCGTCAAGGAAATCCTGATTCTATTCCTCTTGTGAATGCTTTGGATCATTTGACCCAAATCTTTGCTACTTTCAATCAATCTGCTGTCACCAAGGTTACGCAAGAACAATCCAATTCTTCCGTTGATTGATTTTACCCGTTCCACATTCATACCATTACTCTAGTTTATCTGTTTACTATACCATCATTCTTCCCATTTTATCACATTATCCTCTGATTTATACCTACAAATACAAATAAAAATAAAAAATAAAATAAAATACAAATAGTAATAATAAAAAAAGGACCGTTTATTAAAATTGATAAAAGACTAGGTATGATATAACAAATAATAATAAGAATAATAATAAGGTTAGTAAGAATAAACAATAGAAAGGTATCATCAACAGAAAAAACATAAACGAAGGAACTACATATTATCTAATTGTGACAAATCCACGTTTCCTTGTTTGAATTCTTGTTCTAATTCCTTGAGCAATTCTTCATCTTCATCTTTCAATAAAGACTTGGTTGATGATGTTGTTGTTGCTGTCTTACGTAAGGCAGGTAATTGGACAGGTCCACTAGGTAATACTCGAATGGGTGGTGGTGTTGATATCAATGAAGAGGATGATGATGGTGATGTTGCTTTCTCGAGAGCTTGTCTTTCGGCTTCTGTCCATTGTCTTTCAGCGGCTGGTACTAATAATTCGTCCAAAGTACCTTTTTCCACATGTTTGGCCACATCATCATATAACTAAAAATGAATAATAAGTCATTCAAGTTTTCTTTTTTTTTTTTTTATTTTTTTCTTTTTTTTTATTTTTTTATTTGATGACTTACTCCACGGAATTCACCACCCACAAACAATTGAGGTACTTCTTTGGCTCGTCCTTCACTTGATCCATTGTTGTTACTACGTTTCATATACTGTAATGCGGCTTCACTTGCTGCTACATCGATCAATTCAAATTTGACTTGATTTGATTCAAGTAATTGTTGAATATGTTCTTGATTTTTCTTGATCTACCAAAAAAAAAAAAAAAAAAAAAAAAAATGAATACAATGTCCTTTTTTTTCAGTTCCGTTCTTGTTTTGATCTTTACCACTGGATTACCACTGACAGTTGAGATATAAAGTTGAACTTTCTTGGTATCCAAAGGAGTCAAAATTGGCTCAGTTGTTGAAGATTGACTTGCAGCGAGAATGACACGGTTAACACGAGGAGATGGACCATTTGTTTTTCGTAAGGATGACAAAGGTTGAGGAGCAGGCCAAGAAATAGCTTGAGTTGGTACATAGCGAGCTGATGTGTAACCTTGAGAAGCACCAATTGTTTTGAGTTGATCCACATGAGTTTGTTGTAGATCAGATAATGCTGTCTTATGAGATTGTTCTAAATCTTGTAGTTGAGCAGTATGATTATGTTGTGCTTGTTCAAAAGCATGTAAAATCTTTTCCAATTCGGCATCCAAGTATTCCTGTTGTTGTTTGGCTTGATCTCCTTGTTGTTGCATTTGTTCTTGTTTGGTTTTTTCCACTTGTTGCATTTGTTGTTGTAAGTTAGCAATTTCTTGCTTGTGTTGTTGTTTGATCTTTAAAATATTGCCAGATTGATGAGTCTTGAGTTGACGTACACTTTCTTCATGTGATTCACGTAAGGTCATCATTTGTTGTTCTTGTTCCTTCAATAATCGTTCCTTTTCAACTAATGCAAGTTCGTGCTGTTGTAAACTTTCTTCGTGAGTTCGTTTTTGTTCATCGAGCTGTTGTTGTAATTTGATTAATGCATCAGATTGTTCTTCCGTGTGTGAGGCATTATTAGCTTGCAAACGTAAATTATCCAATTCCTTTTCTTTTATGGCCAACTGAGCTACAGCTTCTTCATTCTAAAAAAAGTAAATGCAAAAACAAAAAAAAAAAAAAAAGAATGTCATCAGATCAAAAAAAGGCTCTTCTATTTTTTTTTCCTTTCTCCTATTTCCGTTGACTTTCAAACTTACTTGGATTCTAAGCTTTTCCATCTGCATGGCTACTTGTTCCAAAGCTGACTGTTGTTCTTGTTCCACTTGTTGTCTTTGAGTTTCCAGAGCTAGTTCCTTTTCAGCCAGTTGTTTTTCTTTTTCAGCCAAATCAGCCAATCGTTTTGATTCTTTTTCTTCAGCAGCTTCAAGTTCATCAGTACTAGGTTCCACCACGATATTAGGTACATTCTTGCTTGCTTGTTCCAATTTTTCCTGCAATTCAGCTAGAGCTTGCTCCTTTTGTTTCAGCGCTTCTTCCTTATCCAATAAGGCTTGAGCTTGTTGTAAATCCGATAAGGTGTTAGAATGAGAGATAGGAGGTGTAGGTTGATCTGCTGGAGGTGGTAACATGGGAGTAGAAGGTGGTGAAGCTTGGGCCAATTGTTGTTTGAGTAAGGCAAGTTCGGCTTGTTGTTGCGCAATAAGTTGTTCATTGGCATCATTCTAAAAATATATATTTATAAATATGAATATAATCAAAAAAAAAAAAAAGTTTATTTACCTTCACTTTGAGTGTATCGAAATCTTGTCTCATTTGAGCCACAGGTGATTTTTTGACAGAAGCAGTAGAAACAGCACTAGTATTACGAGAGTGTGTTGGTCTTGAATTTGGTGTAGTATTACGTGCAGAGGTCATACTTTGACGAGGAGAATGTTGTGGAGATTGAGGACGACGACCAGGAGTAGGACTAACAGCACGTTGACTATTTAATGAAGTACGAGAGTTTCGTTGTTGAGATAAACGACCATCTACAGAAGTACGAGGAGAAACAGACCGTTTTGTTGTTGCTGTTGTATGATCAACTTTGCTAGGGGGTTTAAGTTTGCTTCCACGTTTCGTTGCGCCACTAGATTGATTGATACCTCGACTTGTAATAGCATCATCAGGACTAAGAAGACTTGACTTTTTCTCTTTTTTCCTAGGTCCAAGACACACCATTGGAAAAAGAGTTTTATTGCTAATTAAATAGAATTAGAAGATATACAAAAAAGAAAAAGAATAAAGAAGAAAAAAAAAAGTGGATGGAAACAAAAAGAAAAAAAGAAAAAGAATAAAAAAAAAAAAAAAGGGATTCAGCCTGTTGGATTGCCTTTTTTAGATGAATTATAACAAACGCCGCTTCATCTTGGCGATGATTTACCCTTGAATTTGTCACTAAAATGAAAAAACAACCAACCTTTTTTGAATAGGTTTAAACAAAAAAAGGAAAACAACGAGATTTCATAATTTTATTTTGATTGTTTCACACATTTTAGGGTAAATGATTGAAACACATCTTTTTTTTGAATAAAATTCTCTTTTTTTTTTCCTTGTACCTTTTTTGACCAACCAGGCAACCAAACCGGAAGATGAAATTCATGAGTCAAATCTGTTCACCCAAGCCATCCAAATTGTGAGTTTGAATTTTTTTTTTTCTATACTTCTTCCCCTCTTTCTTTTCTGTTTTCCCTGTTTTTTTTTTTTATCAATTGAAACCTATATTTCTATTATGCCTACCGTTAACGTAGATAAACAAAGATTGTTCGAAACTCTTGAACGAGAATACAGTAAGTATTTCAACAATAACAACATTAAACTTATACTAATATACGATTTATTTTAACTAGCTTCCGATGAATTCAATGAACTCTGTTTCCGTTTCGGTATCGAACTTGAAGAAGATGTATGTATACGTTATTATTCTATCATGTGTATTCTTATTTAATATATTGTTTTTCTCTATATTCTAGACTTCTGAAGATACATCTGATTCAGCACCTGAACGACCTTTATTGAAAATTGACATTCCCGCCAATAGGTAAATAAATATATATATATAATACAAAAACTTACCAGTATTTTATTAGATACGATTTGTTATGTGAAGAAGGTATTGGACGTGCTCTTAAAGTTTTCGAAGGAAAAGCCAAACCTCCTGTTTATCGTGTTATCAAACCTGCTAATGGAAAGTTGGAACAATTGATTGTCAAACCTGAGGTAAAATTCTATTATTATTTAATATTAATAATAATAATGATTAAACCATACTAAAACATTATTCACTTTATTTTTATTTTATTGCTTTTTTGCGGTGGGATAACTAGACTGCACAAATTCGACCTTTTGTTGTTGGCGCTATTCTTCGTAATATCACTTTTACACCAGCTAACTATGCCAGTTTTATCGATCTCCAAGATAAACTTCATAACAACATTTGCAGGTAACTTATCTAATTTTATATAAATAAAAATATCTCACATTTATATATATATTATTATTATTCAACAGAAAACGAACTCTTGCTTCTATGGGTACTCATGATTTGGATACTATTCAAGGACCTTTCACCTATGAAGCTTTGGCTCCCAAAGATATCAAATTCATCCCTCTTAATCAAACTCAAGAAATGGATGGTAATACATTGATGGAATTCTATGAGGTAAAGTATATATACACACATATATTTATAAACAATATGACTCATAATCATTACTCTTTTTTTTTTTTTTTTTTTTTTTTTTTGTAGAATGATCGTAACCTTGGAAAATTCTTACATATTATTCGCGATTCACCTGTTTACCCTGTGATATATGATGCTTCTCGTATTGTGTGTTCTTTGCCTCCTATCATCAACTCGGATCACTCCAAGATCAAACTTACTACCAAAAACGTTTTTATTGAAATCACTGCTACTGATGAACACAAAGTCAACACTGTCCTTAATACTTTGGTAGCCATGTTTTCTCAATATTGTGATGAACCTTTCACGTAAGTTTCTATTATTTTTTTTTTGAAGGGAATATCTAAACACTTAATACTTTTTCTTTTTTAGCGTTGAACCTGTTGAAGTTGTTTATCCCGATGGAACTATCAAGGTTACTCCCAATATGGATACTCGTGATGCTAGCGCTAAAATAGATTATATTAACGCATGTACTGGACTCAACTTGGAAGGGGACGATATTTGCAATTTGTTGAAAAAGATGACATTAGAAGCAACCATCAATTCAAAGGATGCCAATGAAGTCAATGTCAAGGTACCTCCTACTCGATGGGATATTTTACATGCTTGTGATATTATGGAAGATGTGGCTATCTCATATGGTTATGATAATTTACCAAGGCAGATGCCTGGTGTCAATACCGTCGGTGCTGCTTTACCTATTAATAAGATGAGTGATCATGCTCGACGTGAATTGGCTCTTGCTGGTTTTACCGAAGTGGCTCCTTTGATTTTGGTAAGATCATGAATGAATGAATGAATGAATGAATTCTAACTTTATTATTATTATTATTATTATCAGTGCTCTCATGATGAAAACTTCAAATTCTTGAATCGAGTGGATGACGAAAAGACAGCAATCAAATTAGCCAATCCTAAAACTGTGGAATACCAAGTAGTACGTACATCATTGTTACCAGGTGTGTTGAAGACTATTAGTTGGAATAAGAAATTACCGTTACCTATCAAGGTGTTTGAAGTATCAGATATTGGATTAAAGGATGAATCTCGTGAACGTCGTACTCGCAATGAACGCCATGTATGTGCTACTTACAGTGCCAAAACATCTGGATTTGAAGTGATTCATGGATTGTTTGAGCGTATGATGACAATGTTACATGCTTCCAAGGTGAACAAGGATAGCAAGGAATTGGGTTATTGGATTCAAGAAGCTGAAAATGGTACTTACTTCCCTGGTAGATGTGCTGATATTTATTACCGTTATATTGATTCTGTTACTAACGAACGTAAGGTGGAAAACATTGGATCTTTTGGTGTATTGCATCCTTCTGTATTGGCCAACTTTGAACTACCTTACCCCACCACTGCCTTGGAATTCAATTTGGAACCTTTTGTATAGATTATTAGTCTTTAGTTATATATTTGTATGCATTTGATGTTGTAGAAATAAAACACTTTATTTTTTTTTTATAATTATTATTATTTTTTTATAATTATTATTTTTTGTTTGCATGAAAATATTCAACTCGTTCTTTTTTCTTGGTGTGCAAAATGAAACACCGCGTGTATTTTTTTTTTTTTTGAAGGATTTGTCCCAATTTTTCCCAAATCTTTCTTTCCTTTTTCTTTTTAACATATATAAATCAAACTACTATAAATTTTAATGTAAAAAAAAAAAAGAATTGAAATAGGATTATTAGTTAGATACGAATAACTAAAAGAGTATTATTATCATTGTTATTACTATTAGACTATGGAAACAAGATCCTCCTCGCGTGCATCGCGAAAAAGCTCCAGTCGAACTAGTGGTGACAAAAAGAAAACTACCAAAGGTAAACAACAATCAACATCACGCACAGCCATTAAAAGAACAGATAAAGAATGGGCTCTTCTGAATCCAAAGACAAAGAATTACGAGTAAGATAAAAAAAAAAAAAAAAGAATATTCATAAAGATCACTTTTTGATTCATTTCCTTTTCTATTATAGATTTGGTGGTCCACTTGGTGCTTTTGCTATGGTCACTTGCTTACCTCTATTAGTCCTTCTCTTTGCTTTTGGGTGTGATGATACTGGTTATACTCCGTTACAACGAGGCTACCAAGTATTGTATGATATGGCGACTTTGAAATACGATTACAATACTATAATATCGACTTTGATTTCTTGGAATCCATTGTCCTTACTCTGTTATGTTATATTCGTTGCTCACTTGGTTACTTTTACTATCAGTTTACCAGGTGAAGATGTGGAAGGTACAGAACTTCGGGATGGTTCAAGACTCAAGTATCGCATTAATGGTAATAGAAAAGATTTTAATCATATTTTTTTTTTTTGATATATTTCTCATTTTAACGAATTTTTATTCTTTGATTTCTTAGGACTCTCTGTGTTTCAAACCACCTTGACAATGGCAATCTTGACGGCCAACACTCAAGGTCTAACACTTCCTCTCTGGGTCGTTGATCACTTTGGTCATTTTGCTGTGGCATCGTTAATAGTTGCTTATTGTATTTCAATTTTGGTTTACATTTCAAGCTTTTATGGACAAAAGTTATTGGCGCTAGGTGGAAATACTGGTAATGCTCTCTATGATGTAAGTCAAAAAGTAAAATTAGAAATTAGTACATCATCATCTTGGTTGCTTAACCTTTTTTTTTTTTTGTTGATAGTTTACTATTGGTAGAGAACTTAATCCAAGAATTCAAACATTTGATATCAAATTCTTTACTGAACTACGTCCTGGTTTGATTGCTTGGTTTTTATTGAATATTTGTATGGCATTCAAACAATATCATATTCTGGAAGGCCGGGTTACAAATAGTATGATCCTCGTTGTACTTTTTCAAGGTTTATACATTTTGGATGCCTTGTGGAATGAATCCTCTATCTTGTCAACCAGAGATATCATATCAGGTAAAGAAAATGAAAAATGGAAAAAAGAAAAGATTCACTAACATTTTGTTTTAGATGGATTTGGATTCATGCTTGCATTCGGCAATTTTTGTTTTGTGCCCATGATGTACACTTTACAAGCACGGTACTTGGCTGATTTCCCTTTGGATTTATCTTATTGGATGGTACCTATTATCGTAGCATTGGAAGTTGGGGGTTATTATATATTCCGTTCTGCAAATAATCAAAAGGATATCTTTCGACAACATCCTGACGATCCTCGAAACGAAGGTACAGACTATAATAATAATAATAATAATAAAAGATGCAGAATTACTAATAGATATTTTACCCACATTTTTATTATTATAGATTTGGAATATATTACAACTAATGAAGGAACTCGTTTGCTTATTTCCGGTTGGTGGGCTAAAGCTCGTCATATCAATTATTTAGGTGACTTGATGATGTCTTTAGCTTGGTCATTATCATGTGGTTTTTCCTCCTGGGTCCCTTACTTTTATCCTATCTATCTCATCATCTTATTGATACATCGCCAGCGTCGTGATGATGCCAAGTGTCATGAAAAGTATGGCAAAGATTGGGAACTTTATTGTGAAAAAGTGCCTTACAAAATCATCCCTGGTGTGTATTAGTTAGTTAGTTTATTATTACTATATTATTATTATTATTATTATTATTATTATTATTATTATTATTATTATTATTATTATTATTATTATTATTATTATTATTATTATTATTATTATTATTATTATTATTATTATTATTATTATTATTATTATTATTATTATTATTATTATTATTATTATTATTATTATTATTACTATTTATTTTGTTACATATATAATATATAGATGTTACTTAAGTTGATTATTTGAATAAACTATTTTTTGACTTTTTTTTGAAACAATCAATGCATAGAAAATAAAAAGGGTAGAAAAATCTCTGTGTTGCGAATGCATTTCGCGACTTTAAAAAAAAAGTCTGACCTATCTCATTCAAAAAAAAAAAAAAAAAAAAAAAAAAAAAAAAGCTTTCCCTTTTCTTTTTATTTGTCTTTTCTTCATTATATTCAATAATGCTACGAGAAAAGTCTGGGAATACGCTCTTAAGTTCTTGGTTGAAACAAACATCTTCACAACCTTCTTCTTCCATGGGATCACAGCGACGAAATGAAAACAGCGAAGAGGAGGATCAAGTACTTCAACGAATTCTCCATCAAAGTTACCAGGAACACCTGTTACAGCAAAAGCAACAATACGAAAAATTTAGTTCACAGGCTTCACACTTTTCAACACAACACACTTTACCTTCTATTGACAATGAAGAAGAATGGTTTCAAACTGTGTCGCCGCGGTTCCCTAAAAACGAAAAGAAATCTTCCACCTCTCTCAACAAGAAGAAACAAAAATCTGATCAGTCACCCGCAGCCAAACGCAAATCTTCTCAGCAATCTAGAAACACTATGAAAAGTAACAAAAAAGGCATAGAACACAAGGATCTTGGCAATATGATAGAACAAGGTACCTCATCCACCCATCAACAACAGCAAATACAACAGAGCAACGATGATCGTATGACGTTTGATACCCTTCTTCCTAATGAGACACAAGGCGACCATTGGGAAATAACAGATAGTCAAACACTGAAGAAAGAAGTAAAAAATGATGACGATTCTTGGGAAATACATGATAGTCAAGTACTGGAAGAAAGGGACGAAATCTGGGAAATACATGGTAGTCAAGCCCTGAAACAAGAACAAGACCTGGAAGAAGAAACTTGGGAAATACACGACAGTCAAATGTTACCAAAGCAAGAAGAGGAGGAGGAAGAAGCATGGGAAATACATGACAGTCAAACACGATGTGAAGATACATCAAATGCAACATCAGGAGTAGAAAGTGATGGTCACAACAGCAACCCTCTAACAATCGACAATACTATCAATACAAACGATGAAGAACTTGATCAATATATGATGGCAATTCGAAATCGCACCACTAGAAAACCACCTTCTCGAAAGAAAACACAATCATCATCTTCTTCGACACAACGCAAAAGGCCAGCTACTCAACTCGACGACGTTTTCCATTTGATCAATGACAAACCATCACGACGAAAAACAAGGGTAAATCTATAACAAATGAAGAAAAAAAAAAGATGTACTTATCCTTTATTTTACTTTACCGCTTTTTTTTTAAAAAAAAAAAAAAAAAACGCTTCTTCATTACTTCACTTGTAGGCAAATTATACGACAATAGAATCTGATCCATCATATAATCCGCGAACAACATATCAAACTCAAATAGATCAACAAAGTACAATGAATGCCAATAGCTCTGATTCGCCTATGGGAATAACCACCGATGAAATCGATGACAATGGTAATGATTCCGAATGTAGCAGTGTGATCGATCTTTGCTTACAAAGCGACAATGATATCAATGAGGAAATGATATTTCTTTCTGACAGCATGGATGACACTGGTATGTACGATGACTTGGATACCGATATAGATACGTTCAACCACAACTTTTTCGACAGCGACGATGATGATGATAGGAATGACAATACTTCTTTTTCCGGACCAACAGCAACGCTGAATGACAGTATGAACACAGCTTCACCCATGAACAATGAATCAATGGTACATCAACAACTAACATTGGATCATACAGAACATGGCGAGGAAAATACTGGATATTTATCACCTCTGGAAGGCTTTGTAAGTCTTTTAGATGTAGCCGACACAGAGATCCGGTATCGACCTTATTTCGATCAGCTGGCAATCCCTTCCGAACGAAAACAAAGACAAGCATCATCCTCTTCCCGGTCATCCACTGGAAAATCACGATCAAACAAATCTTGGCCCCGTTACCGCTCAAGATTTGCAAGAAAATCAAGATGATTGTTTCCTTCTTTAGTTATTTCATGTGTCATATACTGTATATATAATCCTTTTATCCTTCTTCTTTTATTCCTGTAGTAGCTTTTTATTTACCCCTCAATAAACAAAAACTTGGTGCTTTTTCGAAATATCAAATGTTCTATTTATTTATTTTTTTTTTTTTTTAGTATGGTAAATAAGATGAATAGCAAGAAGAAGAAAAAAAAAAAAGAAAATGAAATAGTAGTAAGAACTAGGATGATTTCAGAATAAAAATGTAGTCTAATAATTGTAGAATTAGCCATATTGTTATTATATTGAATATATTATTGGAAATGATATCGATTTGCTTATATATATATATATATAACAACAAGAAGAGTATTGATGAAAAAAGATTTTACTGAAGAAGAATGTGGATGAAAAAAAAAAATTTTTTTTATTAACACGTGTAAGTGTGGGGAGGGGATGGAGAGAGAGAGAGAGAGAGAGAGAGAGAAAAATAAATGGATAACAAAAGGACACAGTTTTTTTTTTCTGTTGCGTATACAAAAAAGTGAGGGGAATCAACAACAAATACAAGAAGAAGAAAGAAGAAAAAAAAAAAATACTATCACACGGAAGAAGAGGGGTTTAAACATGATATCTAAAGAACTAATATTCCAATTGAGGAGGGGGAGAGGATACATTTTTTTCATCTTGAGCTGTAGGAGACCAATTAGGTGTATCAGTACCAGGATTTCCATTGGTTGCAGGTGTCATTATCAAGGGAGACAAAGGTCGACGATAAGAGGAGGATGGAGGAGGAGAACCAGAGAAAGAGGATCGTTCAGATTGTTGTTGATGGTCATGATAAGAAGAATGGTAACGGTTTTGAGTTTCATGAGAATGACGAGCTGATCTATTGGGAGAAGAAGAGGTTGAAGATGCATCCATATCTTTGATGCCATCGCGTACTGGAGAAGGAGAAAGTGAACGACGATGTCTATAGCGATAAGAAGGAGGAGACCTTGAATAATGAAGATGTCGTCGTGCGGGCGGTGGAGAATGAGGTCGTCGCATGTCAGGATGATATCGATGATGATGAGGAAGAAGAGTAGGATATCTTGGTGGCTGTCCAGAATGATAATGACGATGGTGAGGTGGATAAGGTGGAGGAGAACGCGATCGACCTCGCATATAAGGTGGTGGTCGATCACGAGGGTATGGGCGGTAAGAATAAGATGGACGGCGATGACGATGATGATGATAATCATGAGTCATAGGAGGTGGTGGTGATTGATAACCTTCTTCTGAAGTAGGATGAATGATATCGTTGTTGGTAGTGGGAATTCCATCTCGATCGAAAGATGAGGCTATAACATGATCTTGAGATGGTACTCTTGCTGCTGATGGTGGTGGTGAAGATAACGTTGATGATGGTGGTGGATAATCATAGGAAGAACGATGTGGCTTTGGTGAGAGAGATCTTCTTCTATCACGAGGAGGTCGATCATACCGCCAAGAAGCACTGGGAGCATTCCGAGCCCACTTTCAGGTAAAAAAAAAAAAAAAAAAAAAAAAAAAAAAAAAAAAAAAAGTCAATATATATATATATATATATATATGTTAGTTGGCTGATATTAAGGATTTTTTTTTTTTTTTGGAGACTTACTTGTACACTAATGGTAAAAGCATCTATACGCCGACCATGCATTTCGTTGAACGCGTCTTCAGCATCACGGGGATCTTTGAATTCGACAAAAGCATACCTACGAAAATGTAAAAGTTTTGAGTTTCATGTCACTAGTTTCTATTATGGTTGTAATAGAACATACGGTTTAGATGAGAAACTCTTAGGAGCGGGTATATCACAACGTACAAGTCGGCCGTACCTAATACATAGTTGATAAAAATATATATATATAAAAAGGATTGAGAATACTGTTCAAAAACTAAGAGACCCTCTTTTTATGGCTTTCTGTCAATCTATGTCCTATCGTTCCACTCTATTCCATTCTGAATGATGATCCATTTTGATATTTGTCGATCCTTTTAAGTTTGTACGCCACAAAAGGATTCAAAAGGGGGGACAGGAGTTGAGAAAGGACATAAAAAGACAGCACAAAAAAAAAGACTAATAAGAGTTTTATTTACCTTTCAAATTCATAAGCTAGATCTACAGCTCTTGTCCTGGAACCAAAACCTGCTACGAATAGTGTAGAATGCATTAGTAAGTATGAATAGAAAAAAAAAAGAAAAAGAAAAAAAAAAGAAGACAAAGAAAAATAAAAAATAAAGTATATCGTTTTCCCAAAAATCCACACTAAAATTGATTGTCCGAATCACTTTATTCAAAAAAAAAAAAAAAAAAAAAAAAAAAAAAAACTTTGATATGAAGTCTAAACTATATTATATGGTAGTAGTAGTAGTAGTTGTTGTTGTTGTTGAATTCGATGATGATTCTACTGCTGTTTCTGGAGTTGATGTTGATGATCTTGATTGTTGTTTGGTTTTTCTTTTCTTTGTTCTTCTACCTGAATCATCCTTTACCACTAAAGAGGGATCAAATGGACAATCAATCACACGGATACCAGACAAGAGATAACCACCGCCCGAACTCATATTCATTTCAGGATGGGTTCGTCCAGGCAAAACCTATCAATTATTATTAGTTTTTTTTTTTTCTTTTTTCTTTTTTTTCTTTTTTTTTTTAAATAGTTCTTACCTGATATTGTCGTAAGAAACTTTCAGTGATATCAGCTTCAATAAAGTCCTTTGATTTGCGCATATATTGAGCACCACTCAAAAGAACTTCTTTCATATGACTATATACCACCACAGGTCTTGATCCAGATACATAAGGTAATAACTTTTCAATAACAGTTTCAGGTTGATAGAATGAAGAAATAATCAAACTACAAAATAAAAAGAGATAAGTCATATATATTTAAACTTTATTTTTTTTTTCCTTACCCATCAAAATCACCTTGGAATAACAAATCTCTAGCATGATTTCTTTGTTCCATAGCTTTCTTCCTTCGAGCAAATGCACGAGCAACTTCTTCCGTCATATTCTTATATTCTTCTTCTGAGCGTTCTTGCCACACCTCTAAAACAAGAAAGTAAAATTAGCCCATCAACAGTATATCTTAAGCTAATCAACTTACCATTGGGATCACTTTGATTCACCCGACCAATAGGGACTGAATGTATTGAGTCCAAAATTCTTTTGGAGAAATTCATATATCGTACTACATCAAAGTTATGATTTTCACCTTCATGTATACCAACAATAGTACCATAACCAGCCATACGTTCTGCAGCTGCTGCCACCAATAATCCTTGAGTATCATCTACAATCAATAATTTAGAGTTTGCACGTACATTGGCCTTGTTTAACAATTGTGATAATGTATCCACACGAAGAAAGCTAATATATATATATATATATATATATATGTATATAATAGTAACAATTAGTTAACCCATCCATTTTTGTTTTATTTTATTTCATTTTATTTTTTTAAAAAAAAAACACTTACTTGATTTTATCCGGATTCTTGGTAAAAAAGTAATTGGCAATGGAGTATAAAGTAGGTCGTACAGGAGTAAAAAGCTTCATGAATCTATTACAAAAAAATATATAAATTACCTTTTTCTTTTATAATGATTTCAGTCTTTACTTTTTCTTCTTTCTTTCAATATATTTGAATTTTGAGTATTCCGTTTTCTTGTCAAATTCCGAATGAGATTCCATAATACGTTGAATAATTTGTTCAGGTTGTAATATACCACTTTCACCTTCCTTTTTCAGTTTTTCCACTTCTTCATGTGTTAAAGCTTGAACTGCTTTGGTGTCTCTAATATTTTGATTGTTGGCCTTGGTTTCCTCTATTTAAAGAATAATAATAAAAAGGTTTGGATTAATCACATATTATCCATCTTTATTTTCTTAAAAATCATTTTACCTACTGCTTCTAAAGCATAATTTTTGATAGGTCGAATATTGCCTTTGTTGTCATAAATTTCATAAGATACACCAAAAGGTTGATCTATAAGATTATTCGAGTTGAAAGAGCCAAACTTGCCTAAACTCACAGTTCTAAAAAAAAAAATTACATGTATTAATATACCAAAACAAAAACTTGCCTTAATAAAATTTTACACTTACGTATCTTCTTTGAGATTCATCATTTTGACATTACCACTTGGAAGACAGATCAAGACATATTGGTTTTTGGTAACATGAGGAAATTCTTCTTCAATGTCGTCATGAGTAGCAGTGACAGGAACCAAAGACGTGGTTTCTTTGATTATTGTATCCTCCATGTTTTCGTTTTTTTCTTTGACTGGCAGATCAATGGGACGAAAGTGTACAAAAAAAAAAGAGGTGTAGAGAGAGAAAACTTTTTTTTTTGATATGTTGTGTATTCGGAACCCCGCCGAAAGCCTAGCCACTGGAGCATTCATCCAAAAGCGGAAATTCACTTATTCTTATACCATGCAATTCGTCGCTTTTCATAATCGTTCATAAAAATAACAACAAGCGAAAGAAAAAGATATATTTCCCTAGTCATTCTCATTTTCAGTTTCTACAGTCTAAAACAAAAAAAAAAAGGAGAAAAAAAAAAGACACATAAAGATACAGTTTTATGCGTGATTTTAAACTACCGCGTTTTTTTTTTATTATTATTGATTATGTACATGGCTTCTTCTATATATAAAGTTAAACTAAGTATATCGATATCCATTATCCGCTGTTCTTTCAATATATTCCCTATATTTCAAATAGAAAAATAGTCTTCATTAATATCATTCCTTCTCTTTTTTTTTTTTTTTTGTTATCATCTTATGCAAAATTTGTTTTCCACTTACTTTTCGATAAGAACTTCTATACGTTGTTTGACTTCAAGTGCCTAAAAGAAAAAAAAAAAAAAAAAGAAAAGAAAAGAGAGATTAGTTGATAAGTATTTTTTGATCTTTTTTTCTTTTGTATGATTATAGTGAGAATTACCGTTACTGGGAATCGAATCTGTCTTGTCACTTCACCCAATAGCGCACCATGACTGAGAGATTGTTTGGATTTCAGTATACGTACAATGGCCGCATCCACCTAATAAAATGATATTGAAAATAATAATATGAGTCATTCGAAGAACTAACAAAGAAATATATATATATATATATTCTTGATTTACTTGTTGATCTCGAGCAATAAGTACAGGTTGGTCAACGGACACACTATTTTCAATGGCTTCGTTTAACTTTTCAGTATTCATCCAAATACGAGTTTCTGTAGATTCAAAGTCGTGATTGTATATAAATTGATCTGTTTGTTCAACATCAGGGCTAGAAGGGTATTTCTTCAAAAGTGCATGTTGTCCGCAAACCAATGATTTCAATGTTCTTCGTAGCTCCAGTTCATCTAAGGTAACCATGTTAATACTTCTCAAAACTTTTTTCATCCCTTATGTTTTACTTACCCAAGTTTGTGGCCGCTAGTATTTCACCAAAAGAGAATTCTGATTTGCTTGTATTATTGAAGAGAATCAAAATAATAGTTTGCAATAAAGTCAATGTGATCATATAAGTTCCCTATAAATATATCCAAAAAAAAGTGATATCAGTATTATGTATATGCATTATTATTTTTTTCTTTTTCAAAAAGAGACAGAGAGACAGAGAGAGAAGTATTACCTTTGGATAATTCGATTCCACTTCACATACGCTTAATGCATTTAACCATTTCAGTCTTCTTTTTGGATACTTGTTAGTGTAAAACGTTTGAAATTCATCTTGTACCCTTTGGAACTAGGTATTATTTTTTTTTTTACAATAGATAAAAACATGAGAGATTAGTATCATTCATTAATTATCTACAATAACTAGTTCTAAGTAGTTGGTACCTGAGATGGCATCCTAATATCTATCGGTGTATATGATGGCCAAAATCCATAAGTAAGAACATTCACGTTCAAATCCATCCATGTGTCAGAGTCCCGGGTAACTTGTTGTTCCTAAAATCATAAATTGTTGTAAACGATAAATCCAAAGAATTTGATTAGTAACTTACCTTAAAATTCATCATAAGATCATAAGAGTATTTGATATCTCGTAACATCTTTTCCAGTTTGCTCGTATATGCCGGTCCAGAGTCTATAATCAAAACAAGAAAACAAAAACAGAAATCAGATCTTGTTTTTTTTTTTTTTTTCGTTCCTGCATGATTATTTTTCTAACACATTACCCTTTTTCATTCTTGCTAACATAGCTTTTTCAAACTTGACATTTCCTACATCTAGTATCAAACGCTTTGCAAGATCCTGCTTGTAAAGTATTTCGAATGTATCCTTGGTTTGAAGTAACCGGAAGAATGTCATACAAGTATCCAGTAATTTTTCATCCACCTAATTAAAAAAATCAAAATATTATATTTTCGATACGTTATATATTTTTTTTTCTTATTATTTACCTTTTCATTCCGTAAAACTAAGTCAATATAGTTGGCCAAGAGTACTGTAGTATTGTTTTGTCGCAAATTGATAAAGTAAGAGAAACTATCTTTACATCCATTAACAAACAAATCATCATCTTCAAAACTATGTCGCACAATAGAATCCACTCTACGCATAAAGGAAAGTAAAGTGGCGAAAAGATCCTTGTCCTTGGCATGATTTTTTAATATTGAAGTTCCTTTTGTCTATAACATAGTAAGGATGGTTAATGAAATATCTAGTAATAATAATAATAATAATCATACCTTAACATAAGTTACAAAGTATTTCGCACAGATATCTAATTTATCCACTTTTTGAAGTAATTGATATAATAGTGAGAGATCATCTTCAGATCGGTGATCCATAAAGTAATTGAAGCCTATATTTAATCATCAAAATTACAAAAATTAGTATATGAATTTATTCACTTTATTGTATATATATATTTCTAATACTTTTTTCCAGAATATCTTGTACTCGATTTGATAATAGTTGATCTTCAACAATGGTAGTAATGGCAGCTTTGGATGATTTATCGAAATATTGTTTCACTCTAATAATAGATTCTTGATGAACTCGATTTGCGATATGTTCTAAATATTTAGACATAGGCATTTCTTGTATCAGTCTGTCACCTTCATCTTGATAGAATTGTCGCGTTTGTTCCAAAAATCGTCCTTCGAATTCTGTGTAATACAGATGTAGATCCATCAACATTCGTAAACTATTTTTCAACAATACGGAGTCAATTTTCTTGTCGCATCTAAAAAAATAAAAAGCAAATCATTAATTATAAGACTAGATCCAACCTATTTGTTTTTTTATATCACTGTTATTATACCTTTCAGAAGTAATCATGTCCAATATAGAGTTCATCACCTTTTGTCGAATAAGTGACGATTGACTATAATATGATCGAAATAATTCTGTTGCTAGATCCCTATCATAAAGTTAAAAGAAATAATAAGATTCCTTTCTCATCTATAGAATTATTATCTAGAAATACTTTACATGATAGAGTGATGGGTACGATCCAAATATAAAAAGATACAGCGAATTTGATTCTAAAAAAAAATGAAAGAATGAAAAAAAAAAAAAGAAGATATAATTCAGTAACAATGAATAGAGGGAAATGACGATCCTGTTTTTTTACCATTTGATGACTGTAGGTAGACCACATATGACGTACATGTTCAAGATATGTCGTACCTTCAGAAATGTCACTATTTGGGCAAATGAAAAAAAAGAGATATAATGAGACACAATTTAATTTTCTGTTTTTTTTTTGGAAATGAATGAACGAAATCTTCTCCTTTTTTTTTACCTTTCCAATGAGAGAAACATCTTTTCAACATGTTCCTGACAGGTTGATTTCAAATGATCGTATAGTTGAGAACCTAGTTCATGTTGACAAAGGTTTTCACATAACTAGTAAACAAGAGGAAGAATAAATAATAATTATACGAGAACTTTCAAATTTCTTCCTTTTTTTTTTTTTTCTTTATACCTGATATAGTACTTCAAGACTTTCTGAAGGTGAATGGTTTTGTTGTATAGCATATATAGAGTTTTGTAAAGTTGACCATACATTATCTTGATATCCATCAGGTAAACTTGGACTATCCACTAAAATAATAATAATAATAATAATGATATTATTAAAAAAAAAAGTATCCTTTATTTATTAATTACCTTTTAAATCGTAGACAATAAGTTTCTTATCAGAAAGTTGATGTTTAGTTTGTCGACCCAAGTTGATGAGTACATTACTGAAAGGTCGTTCAGTCATAGGTATATCCACCATTGGTGATTGATAAGTGTGTATAATAGAGGATGAACTTTCAAAATTATCTAAACGTGGTCGTTTAGAATAGTCATGTTCCATTATTAGTTATAATCTAATTATTAGAAAGAAAAGAATTGAAAAAAAAAAAGAAGCGCGCGACCTTTTCTATTTTTTTGTCGTGACTTAAGACCAAAAGGCAAATCATTTGGAGTCAACCTTGGATTTCAAGAACCGTCCCAATCTGAGCTACGTATATCCCATTACTGAATATGGTTTGCCGGTGATAAAAAAGGGTGATTTGCATTGTATTGATTGTACCAAAAAGAGAATATAAAAAAAAAATGAATAGAAAAAGAAATATGATAATTAAAAGTCTTTTTTTTTTGATACTTACAACCGAAATTTAAACGTCGCAGGTTTTTGCTACCCGGATTAAGCATATAGCTCAGATATAGGAAGAAATGGAATGATGATAGGCTTATGATTTGCCATAATTGTCCTCAACGTTTTATAATAATTTTTCATCAGTCCACGGATGATGAAGACGATTGTTTTTTTATTGATGATAGAGAAGAGAAACAAATGAAAAAAAAGGGGCTTACTTTTTCTACAATAGTTTGGTTTTTTTTTTTTATGAGGATGCTAAGAATAAAAGGGGATGTCCTTTTTATCAGTCATCGGATGACGATTGTTTTTTATTTTACTAAGCAGGAAAAGATGATGGTAAACAATGCAAAAAAGAACAGGCTTTGCTGTTCAGAACGATTAAAGTATTGATTATGATCATTAAGAAGACTATAGTAAAGAATAAAAAAGTTTCTATAATTAATCATCGATCATCCATTTCCGTAATATAAAAAAAGAATCACCGCAAATATCTTCGAATCCCAATGCAAACAAATCTCTAACCATAACGCAGAAAAAGAAAAAAAAACACGCCTCACATGGAAAAAAAAAACCAGTAATTTCTTTTTTTTTTTTTTCTGCATATCAGATTTCCCTTTTTTTTTTTCTTTCCCCTTTTCCCTTTTTCTTTTTTTTTTTCACGAAGCCACAAAGCAATACTTTCTTTTCTTTTTTTTTCCCTTCTTCTTTTGGAAACATGGGTTTTTGTGGTGAAAAGACTTCAAACATATCTGTACGTCGTAAATTGGTTGTAGTAGGTGATGGCAATTGTGGAAAGTCATCTTTACTTAATGTCTTTACCAAAGGTATCTTCCCACAGGTATTGTTATCTTATAAAACTTCAATTTTCACATCATATTAATCACTTATTTTCTTCTTTTTCTCATCATTCAAGGTCTATGAACCCACTGTTTTTGAAAACTATGTTCATGAAATCACTGTGGATGGTCGAGTAGTGGAATTTGGTTTATGGGATACTGCTGGTAATAGATAAAAAGGATGTAACTCAGGAACAATAGATTCTCATTTAATTATTATATTTCTTTTTTTTTTTTTTTACTTAGGACAAGAAGAATATGATAGACTTCGAACATTGTCATATGAAAATACGAACGTCGTTTTATTATGTTTCTCTGTCGATAACCCGGTCAGTTTGGACAACATTTTGGAAAGATGGATACCTGAAATCTGTGATCATTGTGCTGGGGCTAAACTTATGCTGGTGGCTCTCAAATGTGATTTACGTGATGAAGAATCAATTACAACAGAACCAATTATGTATGAACAGGTAATTAATAAGATATTTACATGATTATTTTTATTTTTTCAATATTTTGAATAGGGAGTTGCTATGGCTCGTCATATAGCAGCAGTTCGCTACTTAGGTAAGGATGTATCTTCATTAATTGATTACAATTTGTTGGCCATTTATTTATATATATATATTTATTTGTTTCAATAGAATGTTCAGCAAAACACAACAGAGGTGTTCGTGAGGTTTTTGAACAAGCTGCAAGAGTGGCTATGCATGGTACATATATATATATCATAACATTGAAGAAAATCAATATATCACATGGTTTACTTATCTATCTATTATTTTACTATACTGGATATAGATTACAAGGCACGTCGATCAGATCGTTGTACTATCAGTTGAACCCAATGAAGAATACCAATAACAACAATCATTATCTGATTAAGACAAATATTATGGAATTTTATTATTATTCTTTTTTTTATCCATTATATCATATACACAGTCAAAAATATCCAATCCTTCCAAAAATAGTTACTTCTATCTATTCTTTCCTTTTTTTTTTTTTGAAATTATCGAATTAATAAAGAAACTATTTTTACATTTTATTCATCCATATATGTACAAGTCTTATACACTGTTATAAATATCAACAACTTTTATTACTTTCAATCCAAAAAAAAAAAAAGAAAATAAATACAAAGAAGAGGGTAAATAAAAAAAAAAGTACAAGATCTAAATGGGGACGATAATTTTACAATGACATTCTATATATAAAAGATAAAAAAAAAAAAAAATAAAGAGGGGGGAAGAAAGATGAGGGAATAAAGGGGATAATGAAATGAATTGAATATGATAAAAAAAAAAAACAAGGAGGGAGAATTCTAAATAGAGATATCTTGATTCATTGAACGCACCTTACGACCCAATCTATCGATTTCTTTCTTGTCCACACGAGATCGCACCAATGTCTTCAGTAAATAATGCCATATCTTATTATCTGGAGTCAAATGTTGTTGTTCCCGCATATGTTTAAAGATCAATAAAGCCATAGGAGCATTTCGGAAAATCGCACATCCTTGTAATAAAGCCACATAGGTTTCTATCACTGGTTCCACACCATCAGCACACATATAAGTAAATACATCCACTGCTCGTCGAATGTTATGTTTGGCAAAACATGCAATCAATGTCGTATAGGTGTAAACATTGGGTTGTTGAAAGCCTGTCATTTTGCGGAATAAAATATATGCTTGTGTTGGCCCCATTTTATTTTTTCCATTCATGCTGTTTCCTGCCGATGTTGTACTTGCAATACCTAGTGATGATTCCATATATTCTGCCGATATATGTGGTATATCTTGTTCAAGTGTTTTTTGTTGTTCTTTCCTTGCGCCTCGTTGTGATCCTTGTATACATGTTTTCAAAATACTGGTATATGCATGCAAATTGGGTTCCAATCCACTAGATTTCAAAGTTTGGAAGAGTCGCCAAGCCATTTCGTTTTCATCATTCATCACAAGTCCACGGATCACCATTGCAAAAGTAATATCGTCAGGTATGTTCTGATGTCGCATTTTCACAAATGCTGAGAGAGCTGCTGGTACGTCACGACATTTGAAGAGAGAATCCACCAAAAAGAAATGAGGGTCAATGAGCTGTTTGGTATCTGTACAAGTCAATGATTCATGTAATCCGAAGCTGTCCATCACTTGTTCTTTTTGCATTGTATCACCGTATCCTTTCACCAAATGATTGACCATAACTGCGTCCACATAATCCGTATTCGTGCTATATAATGTATCAAAGTAATCCCTTGCCTGATTTAAGTCTTGTTTCACCTTGATCCACATAACTGCTGACCGGAATTCATTATCCATCTTGTCTATCTCCAAACCCATTTTGTCCACCCATGTTGATAAAAGGCTTTGCGCTAAATCCAGTTCTCCATGTCGAATAGCATTTGTTAACACCGAAGTAGCCATCACTTTGTTCACTTTACCATTGTTTTTGAAAGTATGATTTTTTAATAACTTGACAGCTGCCTTGAGATTTCCAGATCGACCATAAGCTTCCGTGAGTGCAGTATATGTCGCTGTTGTCGGTCGTAAACCATGTTTGCGCATTTCATTCCAGAGAAGTCGTGCATTGGTAGCATCTCCATTCCGTGCCATTCCTGCGATCAAGGAGGTGTAAATGTGAACATTGAATTCGTTTGTTGTTGTTGGATCAAAAATTGTGTCATTTGGATTTTGGGTATCATTATTGCTCTTCTTGTTGTTCTTGTTGTCGTTTGTTGTCATCATACCGGCATTCTTCATATTAGTCAGGAACCGAACACATGCGTTCATATTGGATGCTAAAACGCTGATCATCACTGCACATGCTTCCTTTTCTATTGAAACACCACGATCCATTGCATCTTCAATGATTTCCAAGGCTTGTAATGCTAGTGCTGGATTCCCGTTCTTCTTTACTGCCACTGCCAGAGAGGTATACCATCCAGAACGTAATGTATCCTTAACGTCAGAATCACCAGTTAGTATAGATTGTTGTTGTAAAGACTTGAGTAAAGTGCACATCTCATTCACGTCCCCTTGCCTTGACATTCCAAATAAGACTTGAGAATAATGACGAGTACCGACCATCAATCGACCTTGTTGTTGAGCTGCTTTCATATGATCTAGAATGATCAATAATCGTGGAGTAGCCTTGGGAGTGTACTTGATGATATTCAATAAATGGCCATAGTGGTTTTCACGTAAAAGATCTGTAACCTGGTGTCGAATCATTGCTTGGTATATCATCCACGCCCCATCGTATTGATAATTGTTGACGTTATATAGCATACTTCGAAGTGATTTAAAAATAAAATGACTATCGAGTTCTGCAATAGATGCATCCAATTGTCGTAGTTGTTTTTCCATATCAATTGTTTTGTTGAACCACCGAGGGTGTAAGTGTGTTGGTGCCTTTCCATCTTTGCTTGATATTGAAGTTGTAGTTATTTTGCCATCTTCAGCTTGATCAGTAATAGTTGTAACCATGTATCCATTTGATGTCCTTGATATCATATCATCCGGGGATAAAGATGTTACTGAAGCCGCTGTAGTAGAATGAGATCCCAAAACAGGTTTTGATCGTGCTCGAAAGTGTCGGTGAGGAAATAAAGGTTGAATCAAATAGGTTGATTGATGATCTAAGCCTGCCAAAAGCCAAAGTTGAAGAGCCCTTCGTTCATGATTCAGCCTTGAAGTCGATCGTGAGGAAAAGGACCGATGAGAGATACAAGAGGAAGAATGTGACGAACCTTGTTGAGAAAGGACAAGATTTCGAAAGTAACAGAGCCATAGTGATTGCGCTGAAACATATGTTGAACTTGACTTGCTTCCTCTTGTAGGAAAGCCAAGCTTAGATCGCATCGATATGATTCCAGAGAATAATAATAATAAAGTAAAATGAACCCAAACAAAAGAGGAAGACAGGACTTTTTTTTTGGTTGGGTTCAAAAAAATAGAGATTGTGTAATGTGTGTGACAGAGAGAAAAGAAAGATTGAACGATTGACCCAACAATCAGAAAGTCGTAATAAGTAGACTATATATTATAGTAAAAGGAGATAATAAAGTCTAATAAATAAAGGGAAAATAGAAGAAAGAAAGAAAAAAAAAAAAAAAAAGGAAGAATGAGGGTATCGATAACACAGAAGAAAAAAAAAAAAGGAAAAAATTGTCAGTTAAAAAAAATGGCGCGACCTTCAGAAGGAGAGGAAAAAAAAAACACTGTAAAAAAATGATGTCACATAGAGTGAACTAGGAGTTAAATTACCGCTGTAAGCCTTAGGCGGACGTACTTATTTTCTGTCGACGGCTAAATTGGTTAAGGGTGACCCTTCCTTTTTTTTTTTTCTTGCACTCTTTTTCTTCCCTTTTCTTTTTTTTTTTTTTTTTTGTATTGACTTTAGTGTTAGTATATCATTTTAGTAGTGTTTATTAGTCTTTAGTAGTTAAACTTTTATTTAATAAAGACTTTACTTTTATTGAAATCACTTCATTACATGTCAATGCAATTGATTCCATCTTCGAATGTACCTTTTTTTTTATATGTGAATGCGTTCCTTTTTATTTTACTTTTTTTTTTTTTATAGATAAGAGAAACGATACGATTCCAATATTCTTCACTTCGATATAAGTTTTTACTGTAGATTAGTTACTACGACAAACCAATGACTTCGTCACCAAACCACACTACTTGTGAAATAAATAGTGATACTCCTTTTTCTAAAAACGTTTTTTTCTTCTATTCTTTGTTTTTCTTTATATTTTCCTTTTCTTTACTATAGTGATATCTACATAAATAACAACATATGTCGTATCAGCGTGTAATAAAAAATAAAAAGAATGATTCATACATATATAATACATCTTGTAGATGACCCCATTTATATGTAATAAAAATAGTTGTAATAAAATAAAACCTTTATTGAATAAAAAAAAAAATGTGTAAAGTAACGACTACACTAATGTATATAATAAAACCATAAAAAAAAAAGTCAATGGAAGAGAAAAAGAAAAGAAAAGAAAAAAATAAAAAGACTTCATCATTTTGGGTGAATTTACTCAATTCCTGGTCAAGCATAAACATTCATGCGGGAGTCCATCAGCTAAACAGTATGGTCCACTGGTGAATGCCAGTATCATTGTAAAAAAAACCCATTATCTAAATATAAAAAAGATAAAATACATATACTTTGATTTTTTTTTTCAAATCGAGTAACATACCATTACCTGATACTATATACTGGATACAACAGATAAATAGACATATGGATGGGTAGATTGAATGATTGAATAATAAAAAAGTTTGCTATACAGCATTTTATTGAAATAATATACTAATAATCATGAGTAAAATAATATACATATATAAAGATAAAATAAAACGAAGTACTCTTCCAACCTCTGGTGTATCTTGTGCACTTCAAGAAATTGTATTGCTTGCATATTGGGTGCATCCTTGAGAGTTTGTTCCATCTCTGGTTCACATCCTGATATCTTGATTGTTGATGAAGAGGACGGCAAGAAAGTAGTCATTTCAATATTAGTTGCAATCTCTAAAAGAAAAAGAAGAAAACCAAACGTTTTGATAAATGATGAATATAAATTGAGTTAACGTACTCACGTCGTTTTCGAAGTTCAACCAGAGGTGTTTTTGCACATTTAGTATTGCTTTCATATAGAGTCAATTCGTACTACAAGCGCATCACGTTGGTCCAATAGTATATTCAATCAGTTGATCTTGATCTGTACCCATTTAAACGTTCTCTATGCATATAAATGTGTACAGTAAATTAGAAAAAAAAAAAACAGGCAGAGTCCATAGAAAAGTCGAGATAACTTACCAAACAAAAGGGTTGCTTCACTACCATCAATAACAAAACGACCAAAAGACACCAACCTTCTATTATCCAATAGCAGATAATAACATACTATACAATTATAATATAATGGAAACAACAAAAAAAAAAAAAAGAAAAAGAAAAGAAAAGAGAAGATCCGAGCATTTGAGCCTTTTTTCGCGGAGTTGAATTTCCTTGATCGCATAGAATAATCATTATTTGATAGCTTCAATGGGATTGGAGATAAAAAAAAAACACTATAAAAGACATTTTTTTTTTATTTTCTCCTTTCTTTTGTTTTTCTTTCTTCTACAAAACACAAAAAAAAAAAAAAAAATTCAAAACCCAAAAAATCAAAAAAAAATTATTTGCTTCTTTTTGGCTGCTTCCTTATTGGTATCTTCTTCTTTCCGTTCACCTGGTTCACGCAACAGAACACTCTCATCCTTGTTTGTGATTCTTGTTTCCCCGTGTTCCTCGTTGTTCTTGGTTTCCTTGTGCCTTTGGTTGTCTGTCCTTGCATCTTCTGTCTGTCTTTCTTTCTTGCTGTCTGGATCTTCTTTTTTTTTTTTTTTTTTTTTTTTTACAATTATGATATTTACACTATCCTTTTGCGTCGCGCACATCCTGGATGGGTTGATGCGTGGCGACCGTGCCTCAGAGCCGGAGGGTCTTCTTTTTTTCTTTTTGGTAAGTGCACATATACAAATAATGTTTAGTTGATCATAACACTAACCATTTTTCCATTTCTTCTTTTCAACCACCGAAATGGGGTGAAAATACCGTCGATAGAAAATAAGTAGGCCCGCCTTAACGCATGCCATCAGCTGTCAAAAGAGAAATCAAAGACGATCTACTTCTTCCTCATATGCATATGCCCTTTACAATGAACATCATTATGAATCATTATAACTCATTAGTAACGTTGTTATTATGTCCCCCAAAAAAATATTAGTTTATATCATATTTAGTATTTTATATACACACACGCACACACATACATACATATATATATATACATTTTTTTTTATTTGATACCTACATTCTATTTCTTTCCCTATCTCCTCCTTTATATATATAAATATATCCTCATTTATCCTATTACATTTAGAAATAAAAAGAAAAACTTTCTCTTTCCATTCTGTTTAACGTACTCCATTTTAGATTATTATTTTTTGTGGTACCTTCATTGGCTGATGGTTGTTTTCACAATACACTTGGGTTGACGATCTCCCGCCGAGTTGTAGAAAACATAACTATGTGATCATCCTAAAGATCATCATTATGGAGGGAACAAAATATATAAGGTTCGTCGTCCTGGATTCTTATCTTCACGCAAAAATCATCATCATACAATCATCATCATACAAATCATCATCATACAAATCATCATCATACAAATCATCATCATACAAATCATCATCATACAAATCATCATCATACAAATTTTCATCATACAAATTTTCATCATACAAATTTTCATTGTACAAGCAGTAGTGATGATGATAGAAGTCTTTTTTTTTTTTTTTTTTTTTGCTTCATTTCAAAGTACCTGATTCAGTATGGTTTTTCTTAATGAACATATATCTTCCTTTACCTTTTTATTTGTTAATCAACAGAGTAAATAAAAAATCAATTTGTAAGAAGGTATTATATATGAAGCTATTGTAAATGTAATTCAGGGATCAATATGTGTCAGGAGACTGCATATCTTTTTACTGCTCTTTCTTAAATCCAAATGTATCCATTGCCTTCTGTACCTCCATATCAAGTAACTATCAAAAAGACAAAAATGTCTTTTCGAATCTATTAGAAAATATTATCATACCATCATCCATCACTCATCATCCTTCATCACCTTCATCAAATCCAAATATTCGCAACATTCCAAAAAAAAAAAAAAAAAAATGTTTATTCAAGTAATCAATCAATATACAAAATATAATTATAAATCTTATAAGGATAACATGTAAAACTATAATTTCAATCAGGGGCGAGAGTAGTCTTCTGGCGGGATGATTCCAGGAATACCATACTACGTGATCACAAAAAAAAAAAAAAAAAAAAGTCAATCATTTGTCCCCGCAATTATCAAGTAAAATTCCTATTTTGATTTTGCTTACCTGTTGTACACAACACATTACACCCACAAAACAAACCATACCAATAGAATGTAAAATCGTACGGCGTAAGATAACACCTTCTTTACCATGTAAACCAATTGTAGAAACACCAGTAGTAAGATTTTGAGGGGAGATCATTTTTGAACAAATGGCACCAGAGGAATTTGTACTTGCCATTAACACAGCAGAGAGTCCGATTTCTCGAGCTGCTACCACTTGAAGGTTACCGAAGAGAGAATTCGCTGATGTATCACTACCAGAAAGGAAACAAGCTAACCATCCCAACCAAGCAGAAAGAAAAGGGAAGGCTCGACCAACGGAGGATAAAGTCAATCCAATCGTATAAACAATACCTTGATGATAAAGAAAAAGAAAAAAAAAGAAAAAGGAGGAATGAGTATCAGGATGCGCTTTCCAAATCATATATATATATATATCCATCTTACCAGAATAGTTGTAGAGATATGCCAGTGCCATAATAAATGATACGGTAAACACAGGGAATATAAGCTGTTTAACCGTTCTGATGATAGCTTGAAGGAAAATACGAGGATGACCGCCATAAAGTAGTACAATGATGTTGAAAGGTACAGATGAGACAAGAATAGCTGTACCTGTGGCGAGAGGTTGAAAGCTCCAAATGGCATCATACTTTTTACCGTACAGAGTCAACCATACCTAAAATCAGAATAATGAAATGAGTTCACTATGTAGATATAAATACTTATATCTATTTATCACATCCAATTTTCTTTTACCCGCTGGTGTAAATTCGGCCAATAAACACTGACTTGACCTACAGCGCTGGCCTTGGTAAAAGTCCATCTATCAAAAAAAAAAAAAAAAAAAAAAAAAATATGAATCAATTCAGTATTCTCTGTTTGATTTTCCTATTTTTTTTTTCCTACTTACATGATCACCACTACAACTATAATAAGCCAAGGACTCCATGCTATAGCACCTTCTAACCAAGTAGTCTTTTTGAGTAAAACAGGTGATGGAACTTCACGAATTGTAGTTTCTCCATTTTTGATGTTGCTCTGAACGCTACTTCTACTGCTGATACTACCATTGTTGTTACTGTTGTTGCTAACGCTATTGTTACCGCTATTGTCGTTGTTACCGCTATTGCTGTCGTTATTGTTGTTATCAATCTGCTGAGGCAAGTGACCGGTGCTTGAGACTTCAATCTTTTCGTTTCCAGTCGTATCTATAGAATTATCCGAGCGATTTGGTGTTGAGTTTGATTCTTCATCAGTATTTGGTTCAGCTAATGCAACCTTGGCAGCAAATTCTGGACGATAAGGAGGTTTCCAATATTGTACAAAAATAATCAGCGAAAAGAGAGATACCAAACCAGCAATAAGATCAGGAAGTTCTATATAAAAAAAAAAGAGTAGAGGAAAAGATGATAAAATCATTTATACACACACAACAAGTATATCATCTTACTTACCAGGACCTACAAGGTTGGCGAATATTCCTTGAATGACAGCGAAAGATAAACCACCAATAAGAGCCAATGGCCAACATTCCAAGAGTCCAGCACGAGGACCTGCGAAGAAAAGCAAAGCATATGACGGTAAAAAGAGAGACATGAGAGGAAGTTGTCGACCCATCATAGCACTCAAGGCCAATGGTCTAAAAAAAAAAAATGTATAACAAGAGTCAAGTAGTCAATGATCACCCTATTGTTCTTAGTTCGGATTACTTACGATAAGCCAGTGAGAGTGGCCAATGTCGTAACAGGTATCCCAAGAGCACCAAATGCAACAGGAACTGAGACAGATAACAAAATGAGTTCATTGGTAGTTGTACAATACTATTCTTTTTTTGTCTTACCAGTGTCAAACACCAAGGTATAAACTAGAGCATCAGCCGGATCAAAACTAGTTCGACAAAATATATATATATATATATATATAAGGGTTGAGTATAATGACCTATCAATAACTGCTATTGCTTTTCAACTATTACCCGAGTGATACCATCATTGCGGAACAAATGGCACCAGGAGTACCCTATAGGTAGACAGACTTTAATAATTCATATTCAAGTTTTTTTTTTTTAAAAAAAAAAAAAAAAAAAAAAAAAAGAAAAGAAAAGAAAAGAAAGGAAAAAGAAAAGCAAGGAAAAAAAGTAAAAAGCTTACAAAACCTATGAAAATATAGATTTGTAAGTCAGTTAGCTGGAAAAGAGTACTTGTATGAGATAAATTATTGCCATTTTAAGGTTAATATAAACTTACCAGCTACACCTTCTAATAATGCACCAAAGGCAAATCTATGAATTTATATATAAATCATGTTAAATAAAATATTCCTTTTAAACAAAAAGAAAAAATCATTAACATATTTACCCGACAATTAGGAGAATAACGCGTTGATCTGGAGGTGTATTAGTGATCATCCATCTTCTAAAAAGATCAAAGATACCAGAAAGCACAGCTGTATTATATATAAACCTATCAATAACAGAACTTTAAAAAAAAATCTAAAAGAAAAAAAGGGGGGTGATGATGATGGATGAGTAAGCTTACATAGCGTTGACGACAATCCACATGATAGGCCAATTAGCAAAAACTATTCCATTTGCAATACTTTCAAAGCATTGTTGAGCTGGCATATGCCAAGCAAAAATAGCAATAAAGATACTAAAGGATAATACGTAAAAAAAAAAAAAAAAGTCAAGATAAGGATAAAAAGGATTCGTTTATATATCGCTTTACCAAACAATAAGACCAGCAGCGGATGCATAATGAGCAGGGGCTTTTATACCACCTAACATCACTAGTACAGTCAACAATGGAATAAGTCCAACAAAAAAAGATCCAACAAGACTACCTCCAATAGGAGTTAATTCTTGAATAAATAAACCTTCTTCATAGGCAGAAGCAGGAATAGGTGGTATATTCGATGTTGACATGATTATCGAAAAAAAAAAAATGAAAAACTAATATAAAAAAAATTAAGTATAAAAAGAAAAAGAAAGATGGAAAAGAAGAAGTAAAAGAAAAAGTATAAATATATAAGTATTAAAAGTGAGAGATAGTAGATCCCTACATCCCAACTCAGAAAAGGGGGAGGGAAAAAAAGGATTCACAAAAGAAGTGCATTTCAGTTTTTTTTTTTTTTTTTCCCACTAAACTTACCGAATTTTTTTGGGGAAACTGTACATCCTAGTTCTTGGTTCTGTAAAGTGGATTACAACGTGTGATACAGGAAATCTCTCTACTTCTCACGAACCACAATTTATTTTTCCTTCCTTGTGTCGCTATGACAACTTAAAAAAAAAAAATAAACCTTCAAAATCATGTGTATTGACACTATCTTATTCTTTATGTAGTCAACCTTTCTTTTTTATTTTAAGCATATGATAAGGTTGATGATGACTTTATTTTTTTCTCTGGATTGAATATATACTTGAAAAAAGATAATGATGGTATTCAATCTACATCCACAAAAAAAAAAAAAGAGAGGATATCATATTCAAGAATATCCCAATATTTAATATGAAGTCTTAGGGGAAATCATCCCCTTTAAGGATGATGATGAAAATGACGACGATAATGTTGACGATAATGATAGTGACGATGATGATGACGACGATGATGGTGATAATGGACGCATCATCCAAAATAAAAGTTTAAATTTCGTATCCCCGTGGGGACAGATATAGGGAATCTAGTTTTTTTTTTTTTCTTTTTCTTCGTTATTTCCATAAAAAGGTTTCATGATCGGAGAAATTTACTTTATTTATGTGGCTCAAAGGAAAAGCATGGATGATTTTTACTGGTCAAACATTTTTTGTTTAGAATTCTATAAAGAGCAAATGATGATTCCTTTTTATTTCCATGTCCAAAAATGACCAAAAAGAATATCACTTCCATCATCCATTTGAATATTGCAGGAAAAGCACTCATGAGAGTTCAATGATCCATTTTTAGGCGGCGAGATAGTGCTAAAATGATAGTTTCGCGCGATATGTATCTTTGAAAGACAAGTCACCTTTTCAAAAAAAAAAAAAGGGGATCCCCCAAGAAGCTGCAAATCATGAAAAAGGGCTTTAAACTAGGAGCAACATAATAATTTTGCCTTCTTTTTTTTTTGATCTATTCATTTCTCCTTAATTCATTTGTAATAAAAGACGATGATCATTCTCATATCAATACTTTTGATGTAGATTATTATATTTATGGTGATAAAGATAAGATGAACGAATGAATGAATGATTGGATAAATGAGATATGATTACTTGATTTCAATTGTAAAGTATGATGATAACGATCCATCCTTTCAACTTTGACATCCAATAGAAAACAATAAATGCAAGGATGTTTAATACTATAAAACGTAATTCGGAACAAGATCTTATTTTGGACAATTGTACTCCATCGGAAATCAAATCACCCTTTCTTTTATAAAAAAAAAAAAAAGGACTAAAAAAAATAATATAGCTTTACCTGCATCTATTGTTATATTATAATGTAGAAATAAAAATGTCAATCCTTTTATTATAACTAATAAATATGAACTAATGGTTATCTTTTATTTCTTTTTTTGGTTATTGACATACATTAAAAAAACAATTTGCATAAAGGTACCTTTTTTTTTTCAACTTGAAACAAGTAGATCCAAAATGTTCAATCCCCGCTTGCTTGGCTAACTATTCCATATCTTTGTTCCTTTTCCTTGATTTATTTGTTTTCTTTTTTTTTTCTCATACTTTTTTTTTTCTTGTTTTTCTTTTCTCTTTCTTTCTTTTTCTTTTTTCTTTCTTTTTGTTTTTCATTTTTTATTAGTATCGAATAAAGAATGACTTCTCAAGTATCATTAGATACTAACGGCAATGTGCCATCCTCTACGCGTCCTGTTGAAGAAACCGAAGTGTCAATAGGTTCAAATGAAACCACTTCATCTACTCCTATTGTACCTGGTAGTTTCAAGAAAGATAATTATGGTTTACCTGACTCATACAAGGTTGGTTGGACATCTTTCTCAGAACTCCCTAATCCTGGCAAAGAAGAACATTTGGAAGTTTTGAAAAAGTCTTTGGGTGATTCAACGGATGCCTTGGTGGATCGATACAGTACTTCACGTCCTGATAAGAAGGTTGGTCAACATGATTTGATTTCTCAATATCTTAATGAAGCTTATTACGGTGAATGGTATCATAATGCTGGTGTTATGCTTTTCGCAGTAGCTTCTACTTGGGCACAAACAAAACTTGGTGGTGGTTTGATGGGTTGTTTGGTGATTGGTGCCTTTTTGGGTAAGGAAAATAAATAAAAAAAACAATTGATAAAAAAAAAGGGATTCATAAAACATTATAGGGGGGGGGAGGATGTTGTTATTCTAAAATAAAATTTTATTTTTATATTTATATATAAAATAGGAACCTATTATCAAACTTCTGTTAGACGTCTTCGTCGTCGTATGCGAGATGATATTCAACGCGAACTTATGGCTACTCGACTTTTGACTGATATTGAATCTGCTGATTGGATCAACAATTTTATGTCTCGTTTTTGGCTTATCTATGAACCTGGCTTATCCGCTCAAATCATTTCGACTGCTGATGCCATTTTGATTGAAAGTACTCCTTCCTTTTTGGATTCCATCAGATTATCTACTTTTACTCTTGGTACAAAAGCTCCACGTATTGAAGGAATCAAGACTTATCCAAGAACTGAACCTAATGTTGTGGTAAGAAGCTTGGAAATGAATGTGTTGGTATTTGGTTCCAAAGATACTTATCTTTTTTTTTTTTTTTTTTTTTTTTTTTTAGTGTATGGATTGGAAACTTTCTTTTATTCCTAATGATACTTCTGATTTGACTAAACGTGATTTGGATGCCAAGGTCAACCCCAAGATTATTTTGACTGTTCGTGTTGGTAAAGGTATGATTGGTGCTGAAATGCCTATATTATTGGAAGATCTCTCCTTTTCTGGGAACATGCGTTTGAAATTCAAGTTATATAACGAATTCCCTCATATCAAATCTATTGAAGCCTCTTTCTTGGAACCACCTGAAATTGATTATTCTCTCAAACCTGTTGGTGGTGAAACATTTGGATTTGACATTAACATGGTAAAAAATTGTAATAATTTAAATACAATCAAAATTAAAATTACTTTATATCAATATATATATATATATATATATACATGTATATAGATCCCTGGTTTAGAACCTTTCATCAAAGAACAAATTCATGCTACTTTGGGACCTATGATGTATGCTCCTAATGTTTATACCGTTGATATGACCGGCAATGTTGCTTCTCTTGGTAAGTTACTTTAAAATACAACGAAATATTACAATATATATGCTTATTTTTCATATTTTATAAATTAGATGATGTAAATGGTGTTCTAGCTGTAACTCTTTACTCTGGTTCTAATCTCAAGGCAGCTGACTTCTTTGGTACCTTAGATCCTTATATCTCTTTCCATGTTGACAATATTCATAATGCATCCCTCAGTGAATCCAAGGCTATCGAAGATACGAATAATCCCAAATGGAACGAAAATCACTTTATATTGATTAATAACCTCAATCAATCTCTTTACTTCCAAGTCATGGATCGCAACTTTGGTCGTAAGGATGCTCCTGTTGGTGTGGCAAACCTAGAGCTCAAAGAATTTGAAATTGATTCTATTATGGAAGGAAAGTAAGTTGGCATTACTATCTTTAAAAGGTCATTCGCAATTATGATACTGATTGATGATTAATCTTGATTAGGAATTTGGTCGTCTTACGAAATGGAAAATCTGTAGGCGAATTAAAGGCTGACGTTCGTTATATTCCTGTATCCAAACCAGAAAAGAAAGAAGATGGTACTATTATTCCTCCTCCTGAATCAGGTATCTTTTTTTTTTTTTTTTTTTTTTTTGAAAAACCAAAAACTGATCGATTATATTTCTTAAAAAAAATTATTTCCTTTGTCATTAGATAGCGGTGTTTTACGTCTTTACGTTCATGAATGCAAGCAACTTGGTGGTGATACTCGTAAAGCGGCCTTTGGTCTCATCAAGTCAGATGTCAACGCGTATGCTGTGGTCAAGGTCAATGGTCATGAAAAATTACGTACCAAACCATTTAAACGAAGCTTCAATCCCACCTGGAACAAGTACGTTGATGTATTTGTTGCTGACAAGAATAAGTTGGATTTAGGTATTACTATCTGGGACTCTAGTGAATTTGCTGATGATAGTCTAGTTGGAAGATGGAGCTCAACCTTAACTCAATTCCAGGAACAAATTACAAAAGATTCTCAAGACTGGTGGAATCTCACCGATGGTGCTGGTCGTATTCATCTTAGCATGACATGGAAACCTGTGATTACTACTGGTATTAAGACTGACATTTCTGATGGTCGAGTTTATAGTAAGTTATATTTGTAGAACAAGTCAAAGAAATATCTATTGATTACTTATATTATTTATTTATTTATCTATTTTACCTTTGTTATTAGCTCCTCCTATTGGTGTTATCCGTTTGAACCTATTTGGTGCTCGTGATCTCAAGAATGTCGAAGCATTAACTGGTGGAAAATCTGATCCTTATGCTCGTGTGCTTTCTGGAATGCAAGTTCGAGCTCAAACTGAACGTATCGATGATAATCTTGATCCTGATTGGAATACTGTATTGTATGTACCTGTTCATTCGATCCACGAAGATTTAATCATTGAAGTTATGGATTACAATGATATTCAAAAGGATAAGAGTCTGGGTATTACTGAAGTTATCCTCAAGGATATTATTCAAGAAACTACTGCTGAAAACGGTCAAGTTGTGTATAATGCAAAGGACGCTTTGGATAGGTAAAAAAAAAAAAAAAAAAAAAGAAGAGGTAGACGAAACGATATAAGTCTAATATGTTATTAATTATTATACTATTTTAAATTTTTTTCTATATTAGAACTGTTGATTTGACCAATATTGAGCGTACGAAATCAAAAGGTACTATTCATTATGCATTGTCATTCCACCCTACTCTCGAATTAGCAAAGGCAGCGGAAGAAGACGACAAAGAAAAGAAATCAATTGGTGAAGGTGATGATGTTGAAGCTGAAACTAAAGAAACTGCTGTTGGGGATCATGTTAGTGAAAGCAAGGACGACACTCCACCTACTGATACCACTAATGATGCTGAAAAGACTCTTCCTGAAAAGGATGTCCATGGTGAATTGATCAAATATACCGAAGAAAAGAAGATTGATCTGATTGGTTACGAATCTGGTATTTTGTCGGTGACAATTCAAAACATCAAGTTACCTCAACGAAGCCGTGCTGTGGTGGATGTTTTGGTGGATTCCAACGATGCTCAATTTACTACTTCTCAACTCAAGGGTGTCGAATTACCTTATCATGAAACTGGTGATGCATTTGTCAAGGAAATGGACTTCTCTCGTTTGGTAGTGAATGTGAGACGTTGGTCTGACAATGAAAAGGAATACGAAGTGATTGGTTACTATACCTCCCCTATTCGTGATATTGTACGCCAAATCATGAGTGGTGATCATGATCCCAAGGTTGGAAAGGAAGTCAATTTACTGGATTGTGCTGGTGGGGTGGCTCGTCTCTCATTCTCCTTTACTCCTGTGATTCAATTCAAATTAGACCCTGCTGAAAGTTTGGAAAGTAAGTGAATATTTAATCATCTTTTTGTAATCGTAATTATATTCTGATGCTGCTTTTTATATAAATAGATCAAGGCAATTTGACAGTAACCGCATTGAAGGCTTCCAATTTGAAGGCTGCAGATCGATCTGGCACTAGTGATCCCTATGTTGTCTTTAGCGTTGATGATGTGAAGGTGCACAAAACAGAAACAATCAAGAAAACATTGAATCCTGTGTTCAAGAATGAAACTTTTACGGTTCCCGTCGTAAGTACATTAAAAGAAAAAGAAAAAAAGGTCATATATAGTTCATTATGATAAGAAATAAAATTTATTAATTCGTTTATTACTTTAATAGCAATCACGTTTACATTCTGTTCTCAAAGCTACGGTATTCGATTGGGATCAAGTTGGATCTGATGAATTTATTGGTGAAGCACTTATTCCTTTCTCTGGTGAACAATTGGAAAGTTTCGCTGCTAAGGACTTTGAAGTGAACTTGACAGAAGGTGGAACCCTCAAATTACGACTTTTATGGCAACCTCAGTTATTGGCTCGCAAACGTACTGGAACTTCTCTCTTTTCAGCAACCACTCGAATTTTCACCTCTGCTCCTGGTTCAGCGCTTGGTGCAGGAAAAACTTTTGCAGGTGCAGGAATTGGTGCTGGAGGCAAAGTATTGGGTGCAGGCTTTGATGCTGGAGGCAAGGTATTAGGTGCAGGTTTTGATGCTATTGGTAGTGGTATTCGTGGTATTGGCAAAATAGGTAGTAATGGAAAGAAGGCAGATTCTCCCGTGGTACCATCAACATCCTCTAGTGGTACAGCAGCCTCTACTCCTGATAATCATCGATTCAGTACGTCTACCATCAGCAGCAACAGTAACGGTCATGAAACAGATTCAGCTTCTATCTCCAATGCAGGTAATGATAAATATAAAAGAAAAAAAAATATAATAGATAGGAAGAGAGTACTGAATTTAACCTTTTTATTATTATTATTATTATTTTTTTTTGGAATAGATTTCGCAAACAAAACACTTCAAGTATCTCTTATTGGTGCTCGTGATTTGAAGGCTATGGATCGTGGTGGCACTAGTGATCCTTATGCTCGCGTTCGTATTGGTAATAAGGTTGTTTACAAAACGAAGCATATCAAGAAAACCCTTACTCCACAATGGTAAAAAAAAAAAAATAATGATGAAATCGTAGAATCTTATTCTCTCATTTTGCGTTTCTGATTAGGAATGAAAAATTCGTTGCCAAGGCCGAAAATGGAAAAATAGATATTAAAGTCAAGGATCATAATACCCTTTCTGACGTAGATATTGGTGGGATTGTGTTTGATGCAACCACTGTTTTACAAACCGGACAAGCGTTTGATGGTAAGATTATGAAGATAAAGGATGGATGAAAAATAAAACATATGTATCTTTTTTTAAATAGGTTGGTTGAAGTTATCTCCTGAAGGAACTGGTGAAATCCATGTACGAATTGGTTGACTGATCAATACAACTATGGTTAATAAAGTATAGTTAGTTTGTTAATAGCTAGTCTTTTTTTTTTTTTGTCTATTATTTGTTGTCACTTTTTTATAAAATAAAATATTTATTTGAACTTTATTATTGTCTACTTTTTTTCCCAGTTTTATTTCATCAAATGGATGATTCAATAGATGGGATTTTCCGGGTAGTGGAGGCGAAGGAATTACACTTTATTCAATATGGATGAAGATTGGCCCGCGGGGTTTCTCGAACAAGGCAAAAAAAAAGTATGATGAGGTGGTCAATTTTTTTTTTTTTTTTGTTTTCCCTCCCTTTTCATTTTTTATTTTTTATTTTGTATCCCGTTTTACGTATATATATATAATGGCTTCTCGTATATCAAGTTTACGAACATTAATGCCGAGGTCGACGATGGTAATAGCAGGAAGAGAAAAAAAAGAAGCATACAAACAAACATGACGGGCTACGCTAGAGTTACATTAACTGGTTTTGTTTTTACTTATTTTCTTTTTTTTTCTTCCTTTTTGTACATGGATAGGGTCGACGCCAGTTGGCTACAGCAACACAGTTATTACCTACTCTTCGAAAAACAGTATTACCCAATGGTTTTACAGTGGCAACTGAAGAAAATTCTGTCGCTCAAACGGCTACAGTTGGTGTTTGGATCGATGCTGGCTCAAGAGCTGAAAACTTGAAAAACAATGGATCTGCTCATTTTTTAGAACATATGGCTTTCAAGGTTTGTTATTTCTACAATAATAATAATAAAAAAAAAGAGAATATATTAATATATTTTGACTTATATTGATTTCTTCTGATAATGTAGGGAACAAAAACTCGATCACAAAGGGACCTTGAACTACAAATTGAAAACATGGGTGGTCACCTCAATGCATATACGTCTAGAGAACAAACTGTTTATTATGCCAAAGCATTCAAATATGATGTACCTCAAGCAGTGGAAATCTTATCCGACATTTTACAAAACTCACGACTGGATTTGGGTGCTATTGAACGGGAACGTGATGTGATCTTACGGGAACAAGAAGAAGTGGAAAAACAAATGGAAGAAGTTGTATTTGATCACTTGCATGCTGCCGCTTTTCCAAAAGAGCCATTAGGATTGACTATTTTGGGACCCAAGGAAAATATTCAATCCCTTACACGGGAGGATCTATCAAATTATATTCGAACCAACTATACTGGTGAACGCATGATTTTGGTTGGTGCTGGCGGTGTGGATCATGATGCTTTAGTTGATTTGGCTCAACAATACTTTGGACAATTACCTAATGTACGTGATGCTGCATCAAGCAAAAGTGCTATGAAAAAGGCTGTATTCTCTGGCTCTGAATTTAAATTACAAGATGACAAGGCAACTCAAGCTCATATTGCAGTGGCGGTTGAAGGTGCTAGCTGGACATCTCCTGATTATTTCCCTCTCTTGGTGATGCAATCAATCATTGGTTCATGGGATCGTTCGTTAGGAGCAACTGGACATATTGCTTCTGGTTTGTCATCCATGGTTCATAATCATCAACTGGCCAACTCTTTCATGTCTTTCAACACCTCTTATAAGGATACTGGTCTTTGGGGTCTATATATGGTGACAGAAAATACAGATCGTATTGATGATCTTCTCAAATGTACTCGTAATGAATTCCATCGACTTTGTACCTCAGTAACAGCGGAAGAAATCGAACGTGCAAAACAACAACTCAAGGCTGGTCTTCTTTTGGGCTTGGATGGTTCTACTCCTATTGCTGAAGATATTGGTCGTCAATTATTGACTTCTGGTGATCGCATGTCTCCAAAACAAGTAGAAGAAGCTGTTTCAAATGTATCGGTGAATGATGTTCGACGTGTGGCTACTCAATATTTGAATCGTGATGCTGCTATTGTTGGTATTGGTCCTGTGGAAAAGATGACCAATTTTAATCTTATTCGTTAGAAATATTTTTCCCTAGATAGATTATTTTTACACCTTCTTTTTATTATTTTTATTATTATTGAATATTATTTTTCTATTCTATTCTATATTCCATTTGTATTTGTTTCAAGCACCATTCAAATAATCATAATAAAGAAGAAGAAAAAAAAAATTGAAACTATACAACATATTGTGAAGACTTTATTGAAGTTCAAAAGATAAATAAGAATGAAAATATACATAAAAATAATGAAGAGAATTTTGTTGCAAATGAAGAAATAATAATAAAAATAAAAATAAAAAAAATATATAATTGTGTCTAAGAAATACAAAGTGGTATGGATGATAATCTTTGTTCTTCAACTACCCCACCAAGACAATAATCCGAGGCCATCTTCTTGTATCGTACACTATATATATATATATATATATATATATTACATTAGTTCATCCCTTTTTTTTTTTTTAATAGATTCTATTTCATCTGTTCACTTACCGTCAAAGCATACGGGGGTATCTTTATAGAATTGGCTACCAAATCATTACTTGCTGATAAATCGGCCACAGAATGTCGTCGTCCAGAAGATCCACCACCACCACCAGTTGGATGAAGTGTTGGTGTTGTATCCGTAAATATTTCGCGAAGTACACGAAATCGAATAGGTTCATCAATATCCATATACAATTTCTCTCCATCATAATTCCATACCCATACTTGTTCAGCCGGATCACTATAAAAATAAAAGAAGAAATTAGAAATCAACTACTATATTATATGTATTTTTTTTTTCTTCTTCTTTTTTTTTACAATTCTGAGCCCGGTTGAAGAGTTGCACCAGGGATATGTATATCATCAAAGAAGCCCATCGTCACTGTTTATATCATAGAATAAAAAGAGTGGAAAGTAATGTGAGTCAATTTTACTTCCTTGTATATATCCTGCAAACAATCATAATTCTTTGTTTCTCAAGTTGTTCTTTCTTTTACCTTTGACACCATTTGGAGAGCAACTTTTGATTCGTCCCGTTAATACTTCACCAACAAAAGGTCGAAAAACTGTCAATCGAAACGTCGCTAAAAAAAAAAAGTAAAGTTAATCGCAATATAGTAAATATCCATGTCTTTTTATCTTTTACCTTTGATATAACTACAACCATCACCATATAAAATAAATCCTTCAGACGTTGATAAAATATCATGTACACAGATGCATAATCCTACTTCTTGGACAACCTAAAATGAATGGTTCAGTAATAAAATAAAATAAAAAAAAAGGAATATACGTGACAGATATCTTTTATTTTACCTTGTTGGCGTATTTCACGTTAAGGGCATCTGTCACTGCATCATTATCGTTCTTCCCAAAATCATTTGGTACAATTTTCACAGTATCTTCAAGTTCAGCCAAAACGAACATGATACTTTTACTATTGACGAAGAACAGAAAAAAAAAAAAAAAAATGAAAGAGACAGAGAGAATTGGGAGAAAAAGATTCAACGCCGACGGAGTATATTCTCCAAAAAAGCTAAGCCTTTGAGAAGAAGGATCAAGGTTGAGATGATTCACCTTCCGAACACTTAGTAAATGTTGAGCCAATGGTTTGACTTGCATACAGCTTACTAACATATTGTTAAAGTGATATGATTCATTTAGCCAATGAGGTCAAAATAAAGTCATCTTTTGAGGTTATTAAAAAAGTTAAGATGGCAACTTTAACATAGTGATACAGAAAGAGAGGAAATCGGGTGAGTCTGGTGATAATGTAATTGGTGGTCTTTTTTTTTTTTCCTACGTCCCCACGAATAGCAAATATCCGTAGTTTAATGATTGTTCTTAATTTCCCTTGGGATTCTCATTATGCCTTTCAATCTCAGGTATATATACTTTGAAGACTTGTCAAACTACTGATAATTAAATTCGATGTTGAGTAGGAAGATCATCAATATATATAGACCCAAATGAATTGTAATCAGAACAATCATCATCCTCATACTCTTTTTTGTTTTTTTAAAAAAAAAATCACTTTTCCCACTGTACAACGAAAAAAATGTAATAAACAACTGACAACCTAGAATAGGAATATGTATTAGTTGGTAAGCAGTACAATTTATGCGAATGCTCAATTATGATTGGCTGAGTGTCTTAGTGAGCGCTTTCTTTTTTTTTTTTTTTTTTTTCTAATTTAAAAAACCCCATTTTTTCCCTTTCTTTTTTTTTCCTTTTCTTTTCTTTTTTTTTTTTTTTAAAAAAAAAATATTTACTTTAAATATGTCAAACATTTTAACTACATCAAACGGTAATCCTGTGGAAAACGATCAAACATCACAAACAGCCGGTGAATGGGGTCCTGTGCTTATCCAAGATTTCCATTTTATTGATAAAATCTCTCATTTTGATCGTGAAAGAATTCCTGAACGCGTAGTTCATGCCAAAGGTGCTGGTGCTCATGGTTATTTCGGTAAGCAGGAAATAATATGTGATGATGATGTTGATCATGATTTCTAACAAGAACAATATTCTACCTTTTTTTTTATTATTATTATAATGATTATTTAGAGGTGACACATGATACTACTCATCTCACAAAGGCCAAGTTTCTAAACAAGGTTGGAAAAAAAACACCTCTTTTTGCAAGATTTTCAACTGTAGGTGGTGAAAAAGGTAGTGCTGATACTGCTCGTGATCCTCGTGGATTTGCTGTCAAGTTCTATACGGAAGAAGGTAATTGGGACATGGTTGGCAACAATACACCTGTATTCTTTATACGTGATCCATCCAAATTTCCTGATTTTATTCATACACAAAAACGTCATCCTCAAACAAACCTCAAGGACGCAAATATGTTTTGGGATTTTTTATCACTGGTGCCAGAGTCTATTCATCAAGTCACCATCCTCTTCTCCAACCGTGGTACTCCTTATGGTTATCGTCATATGAATGGTTATTCATCCCACACATTCTCCTTAGTCAATGAAAAGAATCAAGTGCATTATGTCAAATTCCACTTCAAGACCGCGCAAGGAATAAAAAATCTCAAGGCAAACGAAGCTGATGCATTGGCCTCCTCCGATCCTGATTTTGCTACTCGAGATTTATTTGATGCTATTGATAAAGGTGATCATCCCGCTTGGAACGTTTTTATTCAAGTCATGGAACAAAAGGATGCAAAATCATACCGCTGGAACCCATTTGATGTTACCAAAGTCTGGCCCCACAAGGTAAAATATAAAATCATCATTCATCTATCATCTAACACTCCTTTTTTTTTTTTTTTTTTAAAAAAAAAAAAAAAAAAAAAAAAAAAAACCACTTAGGATTATCCTTTGCAACCTATAGGAAGAATGGTACTCAATCGTAATCCAGAAAATTACTTTGCCGAAACTGAACAAGCAGCCTTCTCTCCTTCTCATTTGGTCCCTGGTATCGACGTCTCCCCTGATCGAATGTTGCAAGGTCGATTATTCTCTTATCCCGATACTCATCGTCATCGTCTTGGTGTTAATTATCAACAAATTCCTATCAATCGACCTCTTAGTGGTATAAAGAATTATCAACGAGATGGATTTATGGCTGGTAAAATGATCAAATCAATTATGATGAATATGGAAATAATTTTTTTTTTTTTTTTTTTTTTTTTAGTGAACGGAAATCAAGGAAGTGGACCGAATTATGGTCCCAATTCATTCGATGGACCACAACAAAACAATATCTATGGAACCACGTTTGTCAGTCAAGCACTCCAGGGTGAAACCGGTCGATTTACTTATGCACTGACGGATGATGATTTTGCCCAGGCTGGTACCTTGTATCGTCTTCAATCCGAGGAAGAAAAGACAGATTTGATCAACAATATTGCTGGACACATCAGTCATGCGAAAAAAGAAATCCGTGATCGTCAAATTGCTCATTTCAAGCGTGCTGATCCTGAATATGGTCAACGTGTGGAAGACGCTGTCAACAACTTGGTAGGATAGATTTATTCCCCATCTCCTATTTTATTTTTATCGTTAGTATCATTTTTATTATTATTATTATTTGATGAATGTTTTCAACTTCTTCAATAAATATTATTTGATATGAAGTGATGATGATGATCATTGCATGTGTGACCGATAACAAATGGATGAATCAGTGTCATGATAGAGTAGTTGTGGACAATAATAAATAATAACAAAAATAAGATTTTATTTAAATGAGAATGTAAAATAAAAGAAAATAGAAAACCACTAGCTAAAGGACAACTACTGAATAAACTGATTTTCATGATAAAGAGTTGGATAAGAGAGGTAAGAGAAGCCACTCAGACCATCGTAGAAATACTTGTTGTCGCCATTTAACTTGCCATCCTGTGTCAAATCGAAAGACATCGTAGACCCGCATTTGCTATATATTCTTTCTGTTCTTTTGTTTCATATATTACATCTATCATTTTAAGCATCTGATGAAGAGGAGGGACAGGCTAAAAATATAATAATATATATAAAAAGAAGAACAAAAAGGTTAATCATTGAATTTTCTCGATCAATTGCTATTGTTATTTACATGATGATGATGTCTTGGTTTTTTTTTTCTTTCGATTGTGTTCCAAAAGGATCTATGGTGCATCAGGGAAAGAAGGTTCGAGTACCAAAGGGAGGGAGACAATTGAAGAAGGCGAGTCGGCTAGTAGCAATAATAAAAACAGTTAGTCTTCAAAGGTCCTTTGATCATCATAATGTACATTATATGATGTACTCGTTTCACTACTTACAAGAAGAAAAGAGGGAAGCCACATTGGTGGAGAGTGAAAGAGCAGCTAAACGTATAACAATAATACAGAAAAAGAAAAAGAGGTTGATCATTGACGTTACTAATCAATATAATATGCAGTAATTGATATGTCAATATTTACTTATGAGACAAACAAGAAGGAATCACAACCACATTCGTGGAGGGAGAGAGAGGAGCTAAAAATATATAATAATATAATATATATATATATATAAGGTTAATCATCGACATTTCTTGATCAGTATACTGCACAATAAATAATCTGTTATTGTCACTTACGAGACGGAGAGGAGGGAGCTTAACATAGAGTAAAAAAAACCAAAAAAAAAAAAAAACAAAAAACAAAAAAGGCTTAGTCATTCACATATGAGCACATTGCAATGGATTTGTTGGTATAATGTAACTTACATGAAGGAAGGCCAGAGATGAGAGAAAGCCAGCACAATAAAGGGAGAATCCAGAAAGGGTCCACAGAGTCACAAAAGCCAGCAGGGAGACGAGAATGATGGTGGAAGAATTAAGTAGACGATATATAAAGGGCATGGTCGGCGGATAAAGGAACAAGCTGACACATACAAAATAAGGTCTGGCAAAAAGGGGGACACGATTAGGTATGTTGTGTACTAATCGTCATCACAGGCAATCAATTTGTCCACATAAAGTCGCATACAACTTGTAGTTGTTGTTCTTGTTGTTGTGGTTGTTGTAGTTGTTCTTCTTGTTGTTCTTGTTCTTGTTGTTGATCGTTCGTTCCATTGTACAAACGTGCATTGTCGAGCTAACCCAATTGAACGGTTCCCTTCAACTTGTAAAGAGTTTTATATGTTCACTGTCATTATTCATCATGGTACTTTTGAATGGTACTATGTATAAGTAGCCGAGGAGACACCAAAACGGACATTCTACTTTCTTTCTTCAAGCATAACAATCCATGTTGCCAAACACTGAGTCAGAATAGTATGATCACATTCATGGTAACCAGGTTCTTGACCAATTCAATGAAATACTTTAGTAGATGTGTGCTTGTTCGTGGGGAGATCCAAAGACAAAAGTTGTATGACCAGTTTATTTCGACTGATTGTTCTGATATTGAGATACTGAATAACGCTGGTCATATCCACAATCATCTAGAAGATTTGCTGTATTAGTTCGGATTTCATGTATTGAAGGCACTAGCAAACGTCCTTGATCTTGTAGTTCCAAAAGTTGGCGGTGTATTCGGTTAGAGGATCCAGGTAGTTGTCTTCTAATGGGTGCATTGGCCTTTCTTTATAGAATGCCACTCTTGATGTTGTAAATTGATTCAATCTTGTTGGTAATTGTCTTGAGTATGGATTTTGTTGGCGTTATACTGGAAAACTACTGAGAAAAAAAAAAAAAAGGAAAAAGAAAAGAATCAGAATCACAACCATATCTAAATCACTTATTATTTTACTATTTCTTTCTTTTTTGAATATATTGTATTACCTTTGATAATGATAGTTCCATTGTTATAGTTTCGTGATCCATTGAATATATTTTGAAGATCTAGTTTGTAAAAGGGTCAAGAGGCATGGGATGACAGTATTTCTATAGCAAGATAAAAAAAAGGGAGAGTAGAGTTAATATACAATGAATATATAAAGTTTCTTTTACTGTATATTCACTTACTTTCTACATAAAGTTTTTTTTTTTTTTTTAAGTAATGATAAAAACGAAGAAGAAAGTGTGAGAAAATAAAAAGTTGCTCTCTGTCCTACTTTTAACCCTGAGCCTTCCTTTTTTTGGATGTTCAAATACCGCTTGTAAATGTGTAGCTCATAATCAAGTGGTTCATTCATGGCGTAACCTAGACTAATATGATTGTTCTTCCATCAGGTACTAAAGTTGTCAAATTGACTTGACCTATGATTTTTTTTTTTTAAGAAAAAAAAAATCTCTCTTTATTATCATACAGTTATTCGAGTTTAATAGGATATGATAAATAAGTGATAAATACATTAGTTGAAGGTATTCATTCTTAGTTACATCATCATCATCACGATGTTAATCAATCAATTCATAATTCTCCCATTTATCTTAAATAAGGGATTAAGCCAGTGTGATTCTTTATGATTGGTTGAATTGATTTGCATGATTTTTTTAAACAGGGTCCGATTAGGGTACTTTTCTTTTTTCTTTTTCTTTCTCTTTTCCTTTTTCTTTCGCCTTTTTTTTTTAAAAAAAAAATTACATTTTATCAAATAATACTATTCAACTTATTATGCATTCTTCTTGTAGTAAAGTCGATACACCAAGCAATTTCTTTGAAGCGACTATTCTTCCTGCTATTATCAGAAATATGCGGCAATGCCTTTAACAAAGATGATTCCAAAGGTCAAATTTTCCTCAACAAAGTCAAATCTACCTTTAATGATCATGTGAATCTCTTTTCTCTAAAAAAGAGATTGTGAATGACAACATTGGGATTTCTTTTGACGTAAGTTTGTTCCAGAAATAAAAAAAGAAAATGACGTACGTTTATCATATGTTTATATTGTTCCATCCCAAACATTTTATCATTTTGATCACCCTTTTTTTTATTATTGTTCATTTATATTTATATTTTTTTTTTGTTCCTGTTTATAGGTCATAGTGGTCGAACTGTTAACTGTCCGTCTGGCACTGTTGTTGATAATGATATCGTGCATCCGATCATATTTGATTTTTGTAAGTATCCAAATGATTGCGTATATTATGATGATATATTGATTTTTATATTCTTTAGATTTACAGTCCCACTCTATCGTTCAAGGCGCGTCTCGCCCAATTCATTATCGAATCCTCCGTGATGATAACGAGTGATCGGCTGACGAACTTCAGCAGCTAACTTACAATATATTAGCTCACGTTATCCAACATTACAGTCTGTACGGCATTATATTATGCTGCATTGTTGGCTACTCGTGCTGTGTCTATCAATATGGGAAAAATCAGGAAGATATTGATGATATCAGATTCATGAATCTACGAATGATGATGCTGCTACGACCATGTTTGGTGTTATCAAGTCAAACTTACAAAAAGTCATGTACTTTGTTTAAGTGGGTAGTTTAGCTCTTCTCTTTTTATTCTTTACTTTATTTTTTTCTTTTTAATAAACAAAAATCATCTTTCTCTCCTTTTATGACTTTTAATTGTTTTGAGGTGACAAATGGATGAATGGATGATCAGAGGAACTAACAAGATATTGAACAGGGTATTCCTCGTTTTTCTTTATTGTTAGTTTTATTGGATGAAACCTTAGGTTATGCCAAGGATATGAACAACTTTTTTTTTCAGCAGCTTCCTTATTTAATCTTGATTACTACCTTGATCCCCACTTGATCCAACAAGTTGAAATCAATCTGTTAGTCTCATGCCTACCACATTAATATTACACATAGATACATATACACAAGGAAAACATATTTTTTTTTCTTTGGGGGGATGATGATGTATTGTATTATAGTATAATAGAAGATGACATTTCTTTGTGTATGTGCGGACTTTACTCTTCTTGGCCTGCGAATTATGGAACCTAATGCCAAGCGCAAGAATCTTGAAAAGCTCATCTAGCAAAAAAAAAGAAAAAAAAAAAAGAAAAAAAATGAATATTTTTCTCTAATTATATAATACTACGAAGGATTGTGCTTATGTAGTTCATTCACTTTATATATCTCAATCAATATTTCATAAATTATTCCAAATTCTGTTGTATATATAAAAAAATCAAGATAAGTTCCAGGTATATTATCCGCTGTGTAACAATTAGTATATTGGGTAAAATAGTTTATTTGAATGCGCAGTTGACTAATACAATGATGAGGATAACAAAAAAAAAAAAAAATAAACATTGAATGAATGGAGAAAGATAAACTAAACTAATAATAAAATGACTATAAAGATTAAAAAAAAAAAAGGAATCAAAGGGTAACATAGGATGAAAGATCAAGATAATAAAGCAGACATATCGGTAGGATTCAAAAGCATGATTTTGTCCAAAGTCATCACAGCATTGAGTTCATGTAAAACAAGAGAGCGAGAAGGACCAGCCATCTGTAAAGTTAGGAACATACAGTCATCAGAAGTAGTTGGTGTATAAAGAAGAGAAATGATATCCAAGTATCCATGAGCAGATGCATATAAAAGACAGGGGTTGTCGCCTGAAGGAGAGATAGGAGGTGTGTGTCCAGCCATAAAGAGTTGTTTAACCATATCAATTTTCCCTTGTTGTAAAGCATAAAATACAATACTATTATCAAGCCATTTTTGTTGTTTTCCCGGATGAATACCTATTGTTGATCCTGATAACGATGATGATGATGATTGTCGTGATGGTGATAATGTGCCTTGTTGCTGTTGATGAATGTTGTTTCTTTTCCGTTCTTGCTGATACTGTAATAATCTTGCCAAGACATCCGACCGATTCCAAAATACCGTCAAATAAAGCCATTCATCCCGCTGCAATTCAGAGTTGTCATCATGATCCAATTCGCCATAGTGTTGATCGAATACAAGAGTCCATAAATGATCAGACATAGTTGTATATTCGCCAGTAGAATTGTTGCCACCAAGATTTCCAAAAAAGGGTTCCTTTTGTTGAAGCAAAACAACAAAATCATGTTCATCTAAAGTATGGATCAACCGTCGCACCAGATCCACATGATTCAGTAATAACGCCAATGCCAATGGTGTCACCCCCGTGCGATTCCTCGGAGAGCCAAACGCGCCATGATGGAGTATAAAATCAACTGCTTGGCATGAGTTAGACCGAACTCCGTAATGCAAAGGAGTAGAAAGAGAACTATCTACTATACCCAACCATTCTGCAGTCAATGATGATGATGAAGAAGAACGAAAATTGAGATCGATTTGTTCTTGTTGAAGAGCTTGAGAGAAGATGGATAATGCTTGAACCAAATTTTGCTGAGCCGCCAAATGGATTGCAGTAACTCCATTTCCTGTATTGAATGTCACCAGTTCATATACCTTGCCTTTTATGCCTGACACTGGTTGAAGACCCTTTTTCCTTTTCTTTTTATTATTGTTGTTGTTTTTCTTCAAAGCAGTATCTACCAAGAGTTGTATTCCTTGCAATGATGAGCACTTGATCGCCCAAGCAAGTAAACTCAATCCAGTTCCAGGGTGACGTACATTGTAATCTCCACCACGATCCAGATAACGTTGTAACAACGGCAGGTCGATTTGTTGTATTTGAGTCACAGGTTTAGATGATAGTAGAGGCCAATTCATCAGAGTAGCACCTTTAGCATCAGTAGGAGTGATAGGTGGAGTTGGATTAAGTGAGACAGGATGCATGTAGAGAAAAGAAGAAATAAAAGAATGATCAAAGTTGAAAAGAAGAGAAGAAGAAAAAGAAGAAATGGTGAGGTAGCATATATTTGTCATAGAAAGGTTTCATCATACTAAAACTTTTTTTGACTTTATGATATAGATCAAGTCTTGGCAAAGTGAAAGTATGTAACACCGTCATCATGTAAAAAAAAAAAAGTTACAAAAAAAAAAAAAAAAAAAAAAAAAGGAGGAAGACACTTTGCAAAAATCATAAAAAAAATCAGAACAGGGCGATCAAGGGAGACTGGGATTGAAATTACTTGTTTGACAATAGGACCCTTGTTTTCCCCCCTGAGAGCTTGCAGTCATAGAAATCATAAGAATGATCATCATTCGTTATCATCATATTCAACCATCATCATCACCCGATCAATCAATATTACTGATCGTTAAAATAAACCAAAATTCAATTATTTCAATCAATATACTAATAATAATTATAATATAGAAATGATATAAATTCAATTTTTATTAGAAAATAAACAGTAAATAATACAAGAAAGGAGGGGGGAAATGCACAAATAAAAAAAAAAAAAAACTGAAAATAATAAAATGGAAAAACTGTCAAAAAATAATATGGATATGCATAAAAAAAAAAAAAGAAAAGAGTAATGATAATAAAAGAATAATAACAGTAACAATAATAATAATAATAATACTTAATAAAAGAAGAATCTATGTATATATAAAATTAGACAGTCTTTTCAGTGGCAGCAGTACCCAAGATTTCTGCCTTTTGAGCTTGGTTCATGACAACAGTAGGATCCACATTATACCAACCAACTTGACGACCAATATCTTCAATAGACTTTTGTTTTGTTTCAGGAATAAGGAAGATCAAATAGAATACGGTGAGGAAGGCAATACCAGCGAAGATCAAGAACACATAGGGACCACAAGCGTTTTGTAAGGTAGGGAAAATCAAACCAATAATAAAGTTACATAACCAATTGACAGTAAGGGCAGCAGAGGAAGCACCAGATACAGCATAGGTAGGATAAACTTCAGCAGTGTAGATGAAAGGAATGATACCGAGACCAATAGCAAAGGAGGCAACAAACAATAATACACAAACGACTTGAAGAGGACCAACATTGAACAAGAGACCAATCATTTCGAGTACACCAAAGATACACATACCACCAGCAGAAAGAGTCAACAACATCTTACGACCCAAACGATCCACCAAAGCCAAGGCAACAAAGGTCATCAACATGTTCAAAGCACCCACACCGACAGTAGCATAACGAGCATTATCAGCAAAGGAGTTTTCGAAAATACTGGTAGAGTAGTACATGATAGCATTGATACCGGTCAATTGAGAAACAGCATGAATAATCATCACCTTGATAGATAAAATGGCCAAAACGGGAATACGCATGATTTGGAAGAAGTTGAGAGAAACTTCCATTTCAGGTTCAGCAGCAGGAGCATTTTGTTGGAAACCAGCAGCAGAATCAGAGTCACCATTTGCATTAGGAGCAGGTTTATCATCCTTGTTACCACCCTTAGATAAAGCAATCACCATATCAGCAAATTCTTCTTCAATATCACCATTACGTAACTTGAGTAAGGATTCACGAGCTTCATCAATACGACCATGGGAAATCAACCAACGAGGAGAACGAGGACATAAGGGTAAACAAATCATTTGAATGATAGTAGGAACAATAGTTAACATGACAACAATACGCCATCCAATAGCAGAAGAAGTACCAAGACCAATTAATTGAATAACAAAGATACCAATGGTCATGAATAATTGTAATAAGGAACCAAGAGTACCACGCCATCTTGGAGGAGATGTTTCAGCAATATACATACTAATCACCACAGTCATAAAACCAGAACCAATACCAACAAAGATACGTCCAATAGCAAATTGAGCACTACTTGTTGACAAGGATAAAAGAATAGCACCGATAAAGAAAGAGATATTGATGGTCCACATTGAATCACGACGACCTAACTTTTCAGCCATAGGACCAGCAAGTAAAGCACCTAAAAGACCACCAACAGCAAACATACCAGTAGCAACACCTAATTATATATAAAAAAAAATAAATATAAGTATTTCATTATTATTTTTTTATTATTATATATAATATGACCACTTACCCCTATTATCCAAAGTGATATCATTGTAGAAAGATGAAAAAGAATGAAAAGAAAAAAGAAAAAAAAGAAAAAAAAGAAAAAAAAAAAAGTTAGTTCCATTTTAACTCCGTTTCCCTTTTTTAGTAGTGATGGCTTTTTTTTTTTTTTTTTTTTTTTTTACCAAATCCAATCAGACATAGGAATACATTGAGGAAAAGGTGAATTAGGGAAGTAAGTGACTTCACCCTTGGGAACATTAGGACAATAACGAACATTATTTCCTGGGATATTTAAGGATGAAGTATTAAAACCAGAGTTTAATGCACCTAATGAGGCAATCATCGCACCAAAGATAACAATGGGCTTTAAACCACTATTACGAGAATCCATTTGTTATATAAAATAGTATAAGAAATGGAAAAAGGGAAAAGTATATAAAATAAAAAGAAATAAGCGATATATAAAAAAAAAGTGTAATGAATAAGAAAGAAACGGGAAAAATTGAAAAGAGACACGGACTATTTTTATATGATTTTTTTTTTCTTTGGTTTCCTTTTTTTTTCAACTCCACGATTACTCCATCATCATTCGTTGCTCGGGGAATGTTAGAATGGGGTGAAAAGAAAAACTCCGTTGTCAAAGATCATTTGGTTTTTCGAAGCGGGGGTGTCAAAAGAATATATTTCTCTTTTTTGGACTTCACACCACTTTTGAAAAGAAGGATGATTACTATTTAAATTTCCGCGATCATCCATCTTTTGTTATGTTTCTCGCTATATGCCCTTTTTAGCAAAATGATAGTAAAAAAAAAAAAAACTTAAAATCCTGATCGATGATACAAACTTTCTCTTCCCCCCTTTTCATGATGATTTATTTTAATCATTTTTATCCCTGAATACAAACTAACCCTGTTTATAACTTTATTCAAAGGGAAATGGTTGAAATGGAACTGGGAGAAAATGGGAAAATCGTTGTTAAAAATTTTTTTCTCTTTCTTCATGGAAACTTTCTTCATTTTGACAGGTGCGGAGATGTAATGTTTCGCAATTGGGTTCCACCGGGAAGTAAAGAAAAAGTAAAAAAAAAAAATCATTCCAGTCGGAAGCACATGAAAAAAAAAAAGACGTCTTTTCCTGGATAATAGGAATTCCAGTTTTTTTTTTGATGAGATAATAAGGGGGGAAAAGAAAGGTGATCGAAAGGTAATAATAGTGGAGTGGAAGAGGAGTTTAGAATCATCATCAAGTTAAAAAAAAAAAAGATAGAGGGATGACAATCATATTAGTAACATCTAAAAAAAAAAAAAGCGGAGGACCGGGGAACCACTTTGATCGTTAGTCATTTCACCCGCATTTCACCCAAAAATATGGATGACCCACGTTTTTTTTTCTCTTTTGGTTTGTTACTTATCATCCATCATTATTACTTGTCATAGTCAATATTAATATCATCCTTGTAAGAATGTATCAAAAAGGATGATGATGATGATTCATCCATCATGGTCAACAATAAACATCCCACATCCCAAAAGTGGATGGACCCTGAAAACTCACCAGATCTCCCCGTATATTATTGTTTTTCCTTTGTTTTCCTTCATTTGCCCGCCCGATAGAGAAGTGGTGCCGTTTTTTTTTTTTTTGTACCCGGCTCAATAAAACACCGATGATTATTGTTTCCTTTATTTCAACCAATCATAAAGATATCCGATGTTTGATATTTATTTTTCAAAAAAAAAAAAAACACATAATGGGGTGATAATGTAATAAGTGAATCCATGAAAAAAAAAAGAATAATAACAGTAATAATACAAAATGAAATTATAAACAAAAGTATATGCATGTGTGTATGTATATATGTAATAAGATATGTATGTGTATGTAAATGTATCTAACTATGGAAAGGAAGATAAACTAATGATAAAAAAAAAAAGAGAGACTATATTCAAAAGGCAGGAAATTTAGAACGATAGGGATCTATTACGTGACAAGATTGAGATTTTCCATATGGATGACCAGGTTCCTTGTATTTTGCAAAGCAAGCAGCATCACCATCGTTCTTGACTGAGGGTATATAGGGAGGTACCATTTGACGTTGGAAGACCAAATCAAAATCTATAGAAGCAAACCAAGGATGTTGTTTGATATCCCGATCATTTGTCAAGTCGGCACCATACCGTTTTTCTACATCTGGAGTCAATAAACCAAGTAAGAGATCTTTAATCACAGGGTTGAAATCTTCAGGCCAATCAATTCGACAATCCAAGATCTTTTCATATAGATTCACGGGATTTTCATCTTCAAAGGGAGGTCGGCCAACAAGCATTTCATAAATTAATACACCTAATGACCACCAATCCACTGAGCGAGTATATCCTTTTGATAAAATGATTTCTGGTGCCAAATAATCAGGTGTGCCACAAACTGTATATGTATAAGTTGGTACTCTTTTCGCAAATCCAAAATCAGTCAATTTGACATGTCCTTTTGCATCCAGTAATATATTTTCCGGCTTCAAATCACGGTAGATGATTTCATTGGCATGTAAATATTCCAAGGCAAGAATGACCTCTGCAGTATAAAATCGAACGGCATCTTCAGAAAAGTTCTATATTTTTTTTTTTAAAAAAAAGAGGTGAGTTGATTTCTTGTTGATCATTGTAATATTTTGATAAAAATACCTTTTGTCGTCGTAATATTCGGAACAATTCACCACCAGGTACATAATCCATTACCATGAACAAATGACTATCATCTTGAAAAGCATCCCAAAGGGTCACCAAGAATGGATGAGCGATATCTCGTAAGATGGTGAATTCATTGTTGGTATGATCCACTTGTTTCTTTCGTACCACATCGTGCTTATTGAGTGTTTTGATTGCATAATGTTTCTTGTTGAATTTGCTTTGAGCCAAATGAACTCTACCACATGCACCAGTGCCTAGAGTTTGTTTGATAATGAAATCATCTAAGCATAGTTTACGATGTTTGTTGCGTTTCACAAGGTATCGTTTTCGAGCAGCGCTGGCGTTGAAGGTTGCATGAGTTCCATACTTTTTACTGCTATTTGAACCTACTGTATGAATAGCTCGACTAGGTGATTTTAGAGCTGGTGTTGGTAAATGACTGGATGATGGTACTGATAATGATACTGATGGTGTTTTATTGGTTGTAGGTGTGCTACTGATGGACAATTGAGATTTTTCATTCATAGGTTGAGAAAAATAATCCTTGTCTTCTCCATTGCTAGCAGGCAATTCTTGTTGAGTATAAGGTGATAAAGGTGAAGGATGAGAAGGTGAAAGACATAAATAGTGAACTGGTTTAAGAGGAGCCGGAGAAGGAATGGATATAGACTTGGGAGGAGATTTATTGCTAGTAGACCTTTCCAAAGTTGTAATGGTGATAGGATCCAAAGCCAATTCAGAAGCATTACTTGGTGTTCGAACAGGAGTAACACTAACACTACTCATGGCACCTATAAAGATATGAATAAAAAGTTAAGAATAAACTCTATTCCTTCTTTTTTTTTTTTCTCTCTTTTATAAAACATTACCGTCTTCACTATCTAAACTACTTGCTGTACTTTGTGGTCTAGTTGGTGGTGGTGAACGTTCCTTGTTAAGTGACAAGCGTAACTTATCGACCCCCATACTGATAAGGTTCATTATTGAAGTATCAATATATCAAAATACGAGAAAGAATTAATTCCAACGTCGAAAATAAAGAAAAGGTCAAAGGGAAGAAAAAGAAAATAATGAGACAAAAGAAAAAGGGCACAACAAAAAAAAAAAAAAAGATCCATATGTGAGATAAGATTCGTTCGCCGCCTATCAAAAAAAAAACTTGGGCTCTATTTGGCTGAATTTCTTACAAAAAAAGAAGGGGGCCTATTACGTCGTTTTTGAACCATGAATGTAATCCCCTTAATCTTTTTTAGACAGCGGTTATCAACGTTTATAACAAAAATAACAATTATATTTTTAAAATAATTCATTATCTTTATTATTTTGATTAACCTTTCATTTCTTCTTCAATCCATTATTATTATTATTATTATTATTAATATCATCATCATCATCATCCTTCATATGATAATACCTATTAAAGTTTGATTTCTTCTTTTTTAAAGTTCATCATCATTATTGAGTTTAAGCATAATATATATTTAACCTTATAACAACTGTCAAAATTATTTCATTCTACATATTAACAACCTTAATTCTTTGTTTTATATCTGCATTTACACGCAATTCCTTTCTCTCCCCTTTTTTTTTCAGCAGTTGAATAGAAAGTTATTACAAGTTCGAACGTGGGGTAAAAAAAAATATTTATCGATAAACCTCTTTTTTTTTTTTTTTTTTTTTTTTAAATGGAGTCCTAATACCTGATCATTATCAACCGTTTCTTGATTATGATCAATTTAGACCTATTCCTATCAAATCACACTGCATCGGAGTCCTTCCTTTACACTATGTTAACCCAGTGATACAAGCCCAAAAAGAACAAGTGATTAAAATCCAGTTTATTTCATCATCGTCATCATCATTACATTTGTATACCTTTCATTATCTAAAAAAAGATACTTTTAACCCCACCCTTCTTTTTTTTTTTTTGATTGTTGGAGGGGAAAAAAATAATAATAATAAGGGAATGCATAAGTATAATAATCAATCATTAAAATATTTCGAATTAACCTTCCGTCAAACCAATTTTTTTTTTTTTTGTATTGATGTAAAACTTTTTTCCACTTTTTTTGACCAATGGTAGTTAACCTTAAAATATTAATACCCCTTTCTTATCATTACCTCATTGAATTTGCATTGAGACCTGGATAAGACTGATAAAAAAAAAAGAAGAGAATTCTCAATGAATCTTAATATTCAATCATCCATCAGCTGCATACTTTTGTAGCTCGCTCAAAAACGATCATCATCGTATCAAATCGGAATTGAACATAAATGAAGATATCCTCTTTCACTTACATTAATCCTAGTTTTTACCTTACCTCCCAGTTAATCGAATAAATTAAAAAATAAGACGTGATTTACACTTTCCAGATGCGATGGTACCCATCATCCAATAAAACTACCACCATTAGATTCCTCTTCAAAAAGTAATCCAATATCATCTAACAGCATTTTATCGCTTATCTTTCCACGTAATGTGCAATAAATACTAAAAGAATTTCATCGATTTTTTGAAAAATTGCCTGATGACCCCTCGACAATTTATTTTTACAGCTAAAGTTTGGCTGAGGAATTTGAAAATTTTGGCTGTAAAATCAAAAAAAAAAAAAAAAAAAAAAAGATGAATCCATAGTCCTAAATAGATTTAATCACTCTTCAAATTCCATTTTTAAACTTAAATCTATCATCATACTGTATAAGCACCAGTAAAAAAAAAAGATATGTATGTACATCTGTGATTATATTTTTTATTAATGTATCAAACCACCTTTACTACGAAAATTTTGCCTTGAACCATAAAAATTGGAAAAAGCATAACTCCATGTACGTTGAAAGAAAGCAGGACCAAAGTAATCTTGTTAGTTGCCGTAATTTTCATCTAAAGGTGTCAAAAGTAAATCGAATGAGAATAAGAATTCCTAAAAGAATGGTATCAGTCTTGGAAAGTTGGTTTGCCTAAAAAGGAAGGTCCAGTTTATGCTAGTATTTTTTTTTTTTTTTTTTAAAAAAGAGAGACACTGAAAACAAAATCATAAACATTATTTGTCATTTTATTATTATTCTAAATATAAACTATAAAAACTAACACTAAATGATAAGATGTCATTCTTCAGTAACGGCATCCAATGCGTGTTTGAACATGGACAAAAGATGATCACGATCTTCCAAACCGACACTCACCCGAATCAAATGACGTTCAACACCAAATTGACTAGCCCAATCCAATTCTGTGTAATGAGCAAGGATTGTATAGGGACTGGCTAAAGTAAAGTTGGTTCCAAGAGAAGGACCTTTGGCACAGTTGAGATTGTCGTAGAATTGAGTAGCTTGTTTTTCCCCTTTTAACATCAACGAGAAGAGTCCTCCAAATCCACCATCCACATTCTTGACTGCTAGATAGTGTTCCTTGGTTGTATATTTTGGATAATAAACATGTACCACTAAATAACCAAAAATCATAATGAATAATCTATCTGATTTTTTTTTTATATTTTTCTTTTTTTTTTTTTGTACCTTTAGGATGAGATGACAATAAATCACATATAGCTTCTGCATTTTCATTGATGATCTTGGATCGAGCACGGAAATCCCTAGAGTTACGTTCCATAAAAACAGCATCTTCACCCCATACTAAATCTTCATAATCAGATGTCAAAGCATTTACAAGTGCTTGATAGTGACGACGATTAGGATTTAATACCAAACTAAAAAAAAAAAAAAAAGGAATGAGTCCCTATTTCCTTTTTTGATCATCCATCTACTACTTTCTTTACCTTCCACCCATGACATTACTATCACCTGAAAAGACCTTGGTCAAACTACTAACCACCATATCAGCCCATTCTAAAACACTAACATTGCTAAAATTGCCAATGGTTTCATCCACCACAATAAAGAATCTATAAGTATCAGCCAATTGTCGAAGTCGTTTGATGTTGGGTGATTTCAATAAAGGATTCGAGGGAAGTTCACAAAACAGACCCAAGATACGTTCTCCAGATTGTAATAAAGCTTCCAATTCATCAATGTTTTCATCTTCTCCCATTCCATAAAAGTGGCATCCAGCTCCAAACTTTTGTAAAATTTTCAATGTATCTGTATAAGGGAATCTATTCCATATAAACCAAGAAAAGTAATTAGTAAAAAAAAAAAAAAAAAAAAATATGTATCCAGTGACAATAATATTTGTTCTTTATTTTTACCCAAAACAAACACTTGATCTAGAAGCATCACCAACCAAAGTAGTGGCAAGGAATGCATGGAAGATTGCACTCATACCAGATGGAAACAAATAAACATCATCTTCAGATAATCCTTTAATACCTCGATCGCCTTTTCTTAATCGTTGTTGTTCCAGATCTTGTTGAGTGGTTGTCAGAGCAAGATTAGTTTGTTCAGCTTCAGTCAAGACACCAGCAATGCGTCGTTTCAGGGCCCGCTTTGCCCGATCAGAGTATTCCACAGGTAAATTGCGTCCATAACGTTCTTCGACATAAAAATGTTGATCAGTATCTTCCTCATCTTGTTGATTTCTTATATTAGATGGTGTTGTTGATGATGAAGTGGTTGCTACATTTCGACGTCCATATCGTCCAGTTCCATGTTTTGGTTTAGGTTCAATGGTTTGAGTTGTTGGGAGAGTAGTGGTTGATTCATTTTGATCCATGATCCGTAAACAATATTCAGCCATTCGAGAAGAAATAATGTCACCAGTATGTTGCCAAAATTGTTTAGCAACTGAAAAAGCATCGGTTGGAAATAAGACAATAAAGATCGGTACAGGTTGTAGTTCGCAAGAAGGTTCCAAAGGGGCGATTTCACATTGAGCAATACGTACAATTCCCACACGATCATGAGCTGGTGTATAATATTGTTTCATAAACGTTCGACACCTTTCTGCTACCTTGCGTGAAGGAAAGAGCATGCCGTTTTCAGCTGGTTTACCAAACTTTTGCACTAGTCGAGTACATAACTATGAAATAATAATAATAATAATCGAAAAAAAGAACATAAATATATGGAGGTTTGTTATCATAAAACTTACTTTTTGAATGTAAGGATGAATGAAGAAACGAGGGTAGCCACATTCCATTTTTGAGGTCACTCTAGCATCACCTTCTTCGTAATAGACATTATCTTGCCAAGTGGGAAGTGTAACAGAAACTGCATGAGGTGTATGAGCAGGTATAGCAGCACCAACTTGAGTTGGAGGAGCTGGTACAGTAACCATGATACAAATATATCTGTATAGAAATCAAAAAAAAAAAAGTAGTGAAGAATAATAAAAAAAAAAAGGAAAAGAAAAAAGGAAAAAGAGCCTTTTTTGCATCTCATCCAAAACGATAGAATTTAACCCCAGCGCACATCTTTTGTCTTCTTACACCACAAGCAATCATTTACATTGGTCAATCTTACATCGGAGATGATAGTGTAATGAGTAAAGTTTACCTATTGATCTTATAAAACTTTATTCATTCTTGTTTTAACTCATCATCCATCATCACAGGATAACAGAATAATATTTATCATCCTTTTGATTTGTCTCGTATCGCTATTAGAGGACAGAGTAAATGTCTATCTCACTAGAAACCCATATTAATAACTAACTCATATTTGATTCAATAAAAAAAAAAAGCTCAGGGGAGCAACACCATGTTTTATTATAAGAGAAAAAAAAAGCTATGTATAAAATGATTCAATATTTTGAAGAAGATTTTGACAGAGTGAGAGTGCGCGTTTGTTTGTTTTTGGAATGTTGAGAGAGATTCTACAGCTAACAAAAAAAAAAAAAAAAAGAAAAGAAAATAATAATAAAAATAAACTAAGGAAAAGGAGAAGAGGGAATTCATAAATTGCTTCAACCTTGTCTTTGTCTAGATAATTATATATACAAAAAAAAAAAAAATAACCAGTAAATAAATCATTATCTATATCGTCCTTTACAACTTACCGAGGGGCACATCGAATGATATCATCTACACGAAGAATCATTTCGGCAGCTTCAGAGGCAGACAAAAGAACTTGTTTCTTAAGTTTGAATGATTCAGTAATACCTAATTCTCGAACATTAGCTACTACACCATTCACCATATCTAAACCAGCAGTAGCGTCACCCTTGTATTGAGCAGCACGTAATTGAGCAACCAATTCTGAGGAGTCGAAACCAGCATTATCGGCCAAAATAGTGGGCATTTGACGTAAAGCCTTGGCAAAAGCTTCAGCAGCAATGGCTTGCTTTCCAGCAATCTTAGTAGCGACTTCATCCACAGCCTTAGACATCAACATTTCAGAGCATCCACCACCTAGAACAGTACGAGGTTCTTTGACAGTTTGTGACAATACAGAAAGAGCATCATGTAAAGAACGTTCAGCTTCATCCAAAATTTGTTGTGTGGCACCACGTAGAACGATAGTACAGGCTTCACCAGCAGCCACTCCAGAAAATTTAATCAACTAGTAAAAAAAAAAAAAAAAAAAAAGATAAATATTTGATTTAATATAATCATGTTAAATTATACCTTATCTTCACCAATGATGATTTCTTCAATGAGATCACAATGTCCCAATTTGACTAATTCAGGATGTTCAAATGTAGATGCAATTTCACCACCAGTAACAAGAGCCAATCTTTCCACCCCTTCGAAATCAGCATGTTCGATGCTTGCAATATTAGCATCAGCCATCAATTGTTCAGGCCAGTTGTAAATAAGTTGACGATTAACAAAACAGTTAATTCCATGTGCCTTGATTTTTTCCACCTTTGCCTTCATTTTGTCACGTTCAGCACGTTCCAATTCTGCAAGTTTTCCAGTACTATCTACACGAACTCGAGCACCAAATATCTTGATCTTATCGGTATCCATGGCTATAATGATTAAAACAAGAGAAATGAGATTTCAATACTAAATTTAACTTATTATTCTTACGTGTATTGGCAATCAAGATGTTTGCATTTTCGATTCGTTTAGGGCAATTCACACCAATCTTCTTGTCCAAAATAAAACCTATAAATGTAAAGGACATTTATTAATGAACATCTTATTTCCATCACTCAACATTTTTTTTTTTTATTTTTTATTCTTTTTACCTTCGTCCAAGTAAGAATCCATCAATTTACCACCAGGTTTCTTGATAATTTGAATGTTTTCCAAATTAGTAGAACCTTTCAAACGTAAAACAGCATCTACAGCCAATTCAGAGAAGTATTCCTTGTCTTGAGATAATACTTTGGAACTAAGAGTAGTTTTGGCAATATTGATCAAATCTTGACGGAATAAGGCTTTATCTTGACTATGATCAATGGCACTAGCAGCTAATGTATCATATGCAGCTTGAGAGGCAATACGGTAACCTTCGATAATTGTTTGAGGATGAATACGTTGATTGACCAACCGTTCAGCTTCACGTAATAATTCAGCAGCAAGAACACAAACAGATGTAGTACCATCACCTACTTCATCATCTTGTACTTTAGAGATGTTCACCAATACCTTGGCAGCAGCATTATCTAAAGCAATGGACTTGAGAATAGTAGCACCATCATTAGTTACAAGGATTTCACCAGTACTTGCTGATTGAAGAATTTTATCCTATATCATCAAACAACAATAATAAAAAGTAAGTCTAGATGAAAAAAAAAAAAGACTACATATAATTTTTATTTTTGATGACAATGAATACTTTACCATGCCTTTAGGTCCCAAGGTACTTTTGACAAGATCACCAACAGCAATAGCACCAATGAAAGAAGACTAAAAAGTTAAATAATAATAATAATGATAAAGTTTAGTAAGTATGTCCTTATTATTATTTTCTTTGTATTCCGAGATGATGTAGTAAGATGGATGATCAACTTTACCAAACGAGCATTTTCAGCTCTTTCTTCAGTTGCTTGATCTTGGAAAATCTGTACTGGCGCTAACGACTATCAAAATAAAAGAAATAAACGTATGTAAATCAGTATATCCAAAATAGTTTTTATGAAATGAGTAAATAGTTACCATGATATAATATAAATTTTCAAGATGATATAGAAGAATAGAAAAAAGAAAGAGAGAGAGGAAAATATGTCAAAATTCTTTTGAGCCTCATACGCGCGTAATTTTTTTTTGAAGGGAGAAAAGTATTCCAAAGTCACGGTTAAGTGCGGAACTGAAAACGTACGCCCACAAAATTCAACTGGAGTGCATTATAGTAAAAAAATATAAAAAAAAGGTACCATAATCACATGATCTACTATTAATGATGATAATAACAGATAAAACGTAGTATGAATGTTCCCATTGGAAGATATTGTTAAGTGTTGCTATAAGTTATTCTTATTTTTAGTTCTTTCTATAAGAGTCAGAATGTTTTTATCCAAAAATATGTTATGATATAACGAAAAATAAGAAAATCTGCAAAAGAGAACAAGAAAAGTAGATTATAAAAGATGATTGAAAAGAGAAACATTTTCTTCAATTGGATAGTATATGAAAACCATGTCCAAATCAGGAAACTGTGTGCTGCTCGAGCCTTTTTTTTTTCATTTTTGTCTAAAGGAAAAAAAAAAAAAAAAAAAAAAAAAACGGGGGGAAAGGGTACAAAACCTTTTCTTTCTTTCTTTCCTTTTCTTATTATTATTTTTTTTCCTATTGACTTCTTTTCTTACATATATATATACATCCATTCTCTTCCACTTTTCTACTCCCACCTTTTATATAGTTATCTTTATATATATATATATATATATTTATCTTCCCTTTCTTCTTATTCTCCTCATAACTTTATATATATATTTACACTGGCGGCCAAAGTTTTCAATAGTAACGAATATGGTAAAGAAGTTCCTATTCTTCTTCACTTTGTTTGTAGTCCTGATGATGCAACCACGATCCAAATCAAAAAGGAAACAACACCAAGTGGTCAAGCTCCTGTAGTTTTGGGTATGTATATAAATGACTTCCCCTTTTTTTTTTTTTTTTTTTTTTGAAATCTAACCATGATATATTCTTTTTTTTTTTTATCAGTGACAGGACCTTATACCTCAAAAAACACTCCAGTCCTTGATGACCAACGACATGACCGTTCAAAACCTGTGGTATTTCTTGACCGTCGGACCCTTCGAGGTGATCCTCCAGCTTGGTTACCTTCTTATTGGATAAAACCTGGTGTATATCCTTTACCTCCTGGTGCTTCCCCACTCATTCAAATGTTACAATCCTTTCCTTTTGATCGAAATGCTATTACACCTTCTTCTTCTGCTTCTACTACTACACCTGCTCTATCTAACAACACCAACAATGTTAATACCATGCTTGGACCATCTATGTTTCAACCCAATTTCTATCAACAACCCAATATGTTTTATGGTGGAAATATACCGGGAAATATGATGATATCTCCATCTATGATGCCTGTTAATGATATGATGTCTCATTGGTTACAACAACAACGATTACAGCAAATGTTACAGTATCATCATCAGCAACAAATTCAAGCCATGTCAAATCCCACCGTTGCCTCTCCGATACCTCAACCATTATCACCTTCTTCTTCTTCCTCTTATACTCAACGAAAACCTATCAATACTCCTATACCCATGTATGGCTCTCCTCTTCAACCATCCCATACTTCTTCTTCTTCTTCTTCTAATCCTCAACGTCTTAATAAAGACAACATATCAAAAAGGCCGACCGTCACACCATCCACCTCTACTAGCAATTCAACACAACCAAAGGTACAAAGAAAGCAAATCAATCCTACAAAATCAAAACAACGTGTACGATTTGCAGAGGACCCTATTGTGGAAGAGTTTGAACCTTATAATCATTCTATGGATGAAGAGGAAGAACTTTATGACGACAACAATGCAACGAGATATTATGACAATGATTATTATCAATCTGAATATGATGATGACAGACAGTATTATTATAATGACAATATAGATGACAAATATTATGACAATGATTATTATCAATCTGAATACGATGACGACAGACAGTATTATTATAATGATAATATAGATGACAACAACGACAATGGTATGGATGGTCATTACAATGAACAACAAGACGATGATTATTGGGATGAAGAAGAACAAGAGGAAATCCAACGACCTTGGTCAACAGGACGATATATGGATTATGAAAGATCTCGACAACATTCTGGATATTATTCATCACAACAACGGCAACGAGTCACTCGACATCATTCAGTCCATTCACCGTCCACTTCACCATCCACTTCATCAACTACATTTTCTCCTCATCTATCACAACAACGACAACCATCGTATCATGACTCTTCTTTGACGCGTCGATCCACTACTACTGGTACTTCTTCAACTAATCCTCGGATGTGGCAACCTTCACGCAATCATCGACCTCAACAATATAATGCTTCGGTATCACGGTCTTCATCTATGGGTGCAACTTCTCGTCGGTTTAGGCAATTGGAGGAATGAAGAAAATGACTCACTGTATAACTTTAGAATCAAATATAGTTTAGTATACACACACACACACACGCGCACACAATTATTATTCATCCGTCATTTTTTATTTTTATTATTTTGAAAGCATATCATCCAGTACAAAAAAAAAAAAAATAAAAAAATAAAAAATAAAAAATAAAATTATATATATTTCAATAAAATTTATTCGTTTCATATACAAATGGAAAACTAACCTAACTGAACAATGAAGAAGAAGAAGAGATAAAAGATAAGACATTATTTGTTTTCTTGCTGAACCAGAGCTTGAGAGGATACAGACTAGAGTGATGTATAGGACCTTCGATGGCACGTTGAAAAGGAATATCTTCATTAACGCGGATGAGATAATCAGCAGCAACGATGAAATCAATGGTGAGAGGTAAGGAGACGGTATTGCCAGTGGAGTTGTTATGGAACCAATTATCGATGTTGTGAGGACCAAAGGGGACAAAGTTGATGCCTTGTCGCATCCGAGGTAGAGATTGATCCCATTGAATATCTTCTTGAAGGAATGCCACCAAGGAATCAATGACAGGGAAACTAATGTTGGGATGGAATACTTGTTGCACCACGATGGCCAATTGCGATTCAAATACTTGACGAAGCTGAGGTACTGCCAAACTGGCTTTGGTCAATGGTCGAAGATCAATCCCCTTGTATTGGTGATAATCTCCCTTGATAAGTTGCCGTAATGCTACAGGTCCACTACCCAGTACCATATCCATATCCCAGTTGATATATATAAATCGTTTCTTGATTGGATCCTTGTACAGAAAATAGTTGTTGGTGTTTTGCACATAATTATCAAAGTTACCCATCAAAAAGTCCATAGCCAAACTAGATAAATATATAAACATATTTTTTTTTTTTTTTGCAAAGGAAAGATTTATCAGTTCACTTTTTTTTTTTTTTTAATCTGTGGTCACTTACTTTAAAAAGTAGCCATTGATATCTATTTGGTCATTCCATGCATTGACGGTAGTATTCGAATTGACAGATCGTTTATCAAGTTTAAGTTGGTCATCAATAAATTTGGTAAATGAGATAAGATCTTCGTCCAAGTTATCTGTTGCTACCTTAGGCTTTTCAGTTACACTGTACGCGCTTGATTGATAATAGGTAGGATCGTTTCCATGAAAACTGAGGTCAGCGGCATGACGGTTGTCACGTTGCATTCCTTCCCCTTGATATAAGATACCGTTTTCATAAGAGGTCTTACCAGAGCCAAATTCATTCTGAAGCCAATTGTCATCATATCTTTCCACTAATAGAAACAAACCAACAGCACGATTATTAATAAAAAGACTAAAAAAAAAAAAGAAAAAAAATCAGAAATTTTTTCCATTGCCAAAAGCGGAGTGTTACCGAATGAAATTATTTCTTGCACCAGGTCGACCGACGGCTGATAACATATCATACGCCAATTTTTCACGAATATAAGAAGGATCCGTGCCACAAGCTCTTAATTTTATTTTGCGGTAACCGTCGATGCTTGACTTTTTGGGTAAGTTGATACTATAGGAAAGTTTGGTAAGCAGCCTTGTACTACGACCACTCAACTTCAATTTGGTGTCAGCAAAATGAAGTGCATCTGTTGATCTACAAAGAAAAAAAAAATTAGAAATAAGTGTTTTTTTTTTTAAAAAAAATAGATAAATAAAATAAAAATAATATATATATACATACGTGATATAAGTGATGTTTGCCTTGATATCAATATCTTGTAAATAGTAACCATGTAATCGATCAATATCATCTTGTGGGGCTTGAATATGGAAAGTAGGGATTTCATTGTCAGGATGTAAAATGGGAGCAGGTCGACGATTATAAGCTTGAGGAAACGCATCCACAGGATTAAATGTTTTAACAGTACGATGAGTCCAAGATCGACCATAGAATTCATTCAAACCATCATTATCATCACCATCATCATCCTTATCATTATCATCAGGTGTTCGATCAAAAGGTTCTGCTTCTTGTACTTGTTTGGTCGTGCGATCAATATGTACATACTTGTAACCAATTGTGGCTTTGGGGGCTGAGACTTGGTGCAATATACTACCAGGCACGATGGGTTCCATACGATAAACATGCTTGTCATCAATCATCACTCCCAAATCTGTCACAGGATCTGATTTTGGTGGACTGATTACTTTATATACCATTTCATCCGTTGCAGCAAAACATCCTGGTATAGTTGTAGAAGTAACAAATAATGCTACCAAAAAAAAAAAGAGAAGTTAATATGTAAATGTTAATCTATGGTATGTGTCAACTTACATAACACAATCAATAAAGTAGTACTGTATATCATCATCATGATAAAAAAAAATGGATAGGTACAAAAGGAAAAAAGAAATTCAAAAAGAAATAAATTGAAAAAAAAAGAAAAAAGAAAAAGTAATGGATGATGAAAAAATAATAACGAAAAAAAAAAAATTCAGTTGACTTTTTATCATGCTTTGAGGCGTTTAAAAAATTTATTATGACAGAAAAGACCATGCTGTATTTTTAATTTTATATTTTACCTATAGTTTAAGGAGTCTGTCGTAATAAAAATGGAACTATAAAAAGAAGAAACGAATAGTTTTATTCGGATAATAATAATAATAATAATAATAATAATAAAAAAAAAGAATATACAAAATATAAAATAAAAATAAAAAGGTATCCTAAACTAATGTATGTTCACTATCGTCTATACTAGATTCTATCCTTTTTTTTTTTCCCTTATAGTAAAAAAAAAAAAAAAAAAAAAAAAAACCATTTCATGATCCAGAAATTTGAAGAACAACCCAATCCAACCCTTCGAATAATCTATAAAGTTAAATGAAAATAAAAATAAAAACCGGATGTCAATTCTGTTTAATTCCCCTTCTCCTTGTATTTACCCATCACCAGAAAGTGCAGAGCATGCCTAAAAATAAAATCAAGGTAATGATCATCAGTCCATCATCGATTTCTCCCTATTCAATCGTTTCTATACCTGAATATGCCATTGTTTGTCCTTCAAACTACTAAGTCCGAGTACCTCTGAGATTTTCGCTGCTGATAACGCCCCTTTCACATCTTGTTTGTTGGCAAAAACGAGTAGACTGGCGTTTTGTAATTGCTATATATATGTATTATGAAGTTTATTAGTCAACTCTCCTCGTTCCTTTGTTTTTTTCTTTCTTTTATTTATCTTTATTTTTTTCCATACTTACATCACTTTCCATCATTTGATGTAATTCTTGTTTTGCAATATGTAGTCGATTGGTATCTGTACTATCAATCACCATGATCACCGCCTTAAAGAAAAAAAAAAAAGATGAGTCCAAGATGGCAACATTCAAAGGCAGTTTCTCGTTTCAAAAGCTGTCATCTTTTTTTTTTTTTTTTTTTTACCTTTGTATCCACAAAATAAGTTTTCCAAGATGTTCGTAAAGATTCTTGACCTCCAATATCCTATATGCCATGAATGATGATAAATAAAAAAAAAAAAAGGTTAATACCATCTTAACTTCCTTTTCCATAAAGTTCACTTACCCACATCATGAATTTGATATTCTTATATTGAATCTCTTCTACATTGCTTCCAATAGTTGGTGTTGTCGTTACCACTTGATCCATGAGTCTATATAAAAAAAAGTTAAGTTTTTTGTAATATATTATACTGGTTCACTTACAATTTATATAAAATAGTCGTTTTCCCAGCATTATCCAATCCAACAATAATAATCTTGACTTCTGCTTTAGAGAAAAGTTTGTTCCATAATCCACTAAATATGATCCCCATGTTAAATAATGGATGAAGATATTTACGTATATTTCTAAAACAAAAAAAAAAAAAAAGAAAAAAAAGGTGAAAATGGGATTTTCCTATTTTCCTCTCTCTCATCTCCAAATAGTAACACTTCTTTCAAACCCCGTTGGAGCTAGTTCAAACATGCAGGATTCATTTTTCTTTTTTTATCTTAACAAAAGGCCTAATTGGCTATATAATCATTGATTGATTTATAAAAATGAATCGAAATTCAGTTTATTTATCATATTTACAAAAAAAAAAAAAAAATAGGACAAAGGAAGGATGTTCAACTAGCTATTTTGTTTGGAATGTCGCTGGTGTCATGGAATAAACTATCAGGTTGTCATCCTCGTATTTCTTAATAAATTCAAATACTCTTGGTGAATATAAATCGTTAAGAGTACATTCAAAAACGCTATTTTTTATTGATTTTTGTTTTGATGGTGTATTGACAAGTTGTTGTTGTTGTACGGATGATTTAGTTGGACAAGCGTTTATAAAAGGGGTGGCTAATAAAAAGAAAAACATCATCGTTTGTGTGTGTGCACTTTTTTAGTATATGATAACTTACCATATTTACTTGATCTTCCTCTACCTAGTTCTGCCAAAGCTTTAGCTATTCTCACGGTTTTGTCTGCCTTTCTTGATGCTATCATTCAGTGAATCCATGCATTCACATTAAAAGTGATTTCTTACTAGAGACTCTATGATATTTTCTTTTGAGAAACTTCTTACCTTCTTCTTCCATATGGATGATGGAGTCTTGATAAAGAAAGCTGTTATTGAACCACTAGATAAAAAAAAAAAAACAAGGAAAGAAGAACAAAGAACAAAGAGAAAAAAAAAGGATGAGGTTTTTATATGCCGCTGTGTATGCTTTGTATTCTGATGAAAAAATAATTTTGATTGTTCTCAATGGTAGAGCCCTCTTTTTTTTTTTTATTGTTCTCATCATTTTCTATAATGGATGAACCAATCATCATCCAACGATTGGTCTATTAACAACCTTCAGTTCTTAGCATTTTTTTTTATGTGTTTGAAAGCATGATCATCCAATGACAATCTTTTTTTTCTTCCAATGAAAAAAGAGAAGATTATTTTTTCTCTAACTGATTTCCAATAAAAAAAGGATCACGTTATAGAAAAAGTAATCTTTTCTTGTTGTAAAACAAATTTTTGATCGAACATTTAAGAAAATGCACTGACACGTCGACCTGTCAAACTGTTATGAAATGGAAAGGGACGGAATTTTGAAAGACCGTCACCAAGGACAAAATTTTTCTTTTCTTTTTTTCTTTTCTTTTTCTCTTTTTCTTTTTTCTTTTTTTTTTTCTCATTTATTATCAAAGCAATCATGTCTGGTAGACAAGGTAAATCATTGGATCTACTTCCAAGTGATATGTTAACACACTGTTTTTTTTAGGTGGTAAACTCAAGCCTCTTAAGCAAGCAAAGAAGAAGGGTGCCGATTTAGATGAAGTAAGAAGGAAATCTTGACAAAATTATGTATTCATTCACTCATATCTTTTTCGTTCTCTTAGGATGATATTGCTTTCAAGAAGAAGCAACAAGAAGAAGCCAAAAAGTTGAAGGAAATGCAAGCCAAGGCTGCTGGAAAGGGTCCTCTTCGTAAGTAGAGTACAACTCGTTTTAATTCTCTCTCTGTCATTGACTTACTCTTTTATTATTATTATTATTATAGTTGGTGGTGGCATCAAAAAAAGTGGAAAGAAATAAAGATCTTATATATATATGGTTTTACCTATCTATTATGTCAAACTTTATCTTTTGTGTTGTCTTTTTGAAATGTTGATCTATCTCTTTTTCTTTTTTCTTTTTTTTTTTTTTTTTTTTTTTTTGGAAATAATAAAGATAGGCATATTATTGATCAAACTTTGTCTTTTTGTAGTGCGATTTGTCATAAAACATATTATAAGACTGATGAATTTGTTTTCGATTTTTTTTTATTTGTTTCATGGTTCTTCTATTAGAAAAATGGTGTGATGTATAATATAATAAAAACTACGATAAAAAACGGGAATGTGTGTAGTAAAAAAAAAAAAAAAAAAAGGAATGAATAAAACGGGAAGAGAGAGGAGAAGGGGGGAATAATCTAGGCAGCGGGAGCGCTTTGTCCGATGATAAATCCACTACAAATCAAATCTTGTTCATCCATATTCGTAGATAGTGAGGCTCCAGGTGATAATAAACATACTCGTACAAGTAAACTTCGTAATCGTTCATGAGAACTTCTGCAGCCAGCTACAAACAAAAAAAAAAAAAAAGGAAATGAGAAACATATTTATTATCATCATCATTATTGACTTACCTAAAGAAGCTCTCTCAAACCAAACTGTAGCCTGATGTAAATCCACATTACATCCAAGTCCCTTTTCATAACAATTGGCCAAATGGAATTGAGCAGCGGTATGATCTTGATCAGCAGCCCTTTGAAATAAAGCAAAAGCAGCCACTTCATCCTTTTCAATCCCTAGTCCTTGTTGAAGATGAACACCTAATTTGTCTAACGCCCGTGCATGATTTTGTTTCGCAGCTTGTTGATACCAAAAGACGGCCTGAACATGATCTCGATCTATACCAATACCGTTTGCATAACAAAAGCCAAGATTGCATTGAGCCCAAGGATTCCGTTGACGAGCAGATTTGTGATACCAATAGACAGCCTTGACACTATCCTTCGTTACACCAAGACCTTCTTCAAAACAAAAACCAAGTGAGTTTTGAGCCAGGGCATTACCTTGTTCCGCTGATCGTTTGAACCATTTTACAGCTTCATATTCGTCCTTGTCCACACCAATCCCATTACGATAACAATACCCTAGTGATAATTGAGCAGGAGCATGGTTTTCTTCTGCACTAAGATGATACCAAAAGACAGCTTCTTGTTCATTGACAGGTACACCAATACCGTTTTGATAACAATACCCAAGAGAGTGATATGCAAAGATATTTCCACGTTCGGCTGATCGTCGGTACCATTTTACAGCCTCGGATTCTTCCTTGTCGACACCAATTCCATTTTGATAACAAAAGCCAAGATTATGTTGAGCACGTGCATGTCCTTGTAAAGCAGCCTTGCGATACCAATACGCTCCTAGCCGATCATCCTTTTCCACACCAATGCCGTTTTGATAGCAATAACCCAGGTTACATTCCGCCCATGGATAGCCTTGTTCTGCTGATCGTTGATACCAAAGAGAAGCCAAACCAAAGTCTTGTTGTACACCAATTCCATCTTCATAACAATATCCCAATGAGTTTTGTGCAAAAGCATTTCCTTGTTCCGCCGATCTTTTGTACCAGATGACTGCCTCTACAGCATCCTTTTCCACTCCAATACCTTCTTCATAGCAATAGCCCACATTGTAGATTGCCACGGTTTCTTCTTGTTCGGCTGCTAATCGGTACCATCGCATTGCTTCCACTTCATCCTTGGCTACACCAAACCCTTCACCATAACAGTATCCAAGAATGCCTTGACCACGTTCATTGCCTTGTTCTGCACTAGCTTTATACCATCGAAATGCCATATGTTCATCCTTCTCTACACCAATCCCATCATGATAGCAAACACCCAAAGCATATTGACAAGCAGCATCATTGTCATTGACAGCAGCATCATGAAGCCATTGTATAGGAGATATTATTGTTGTTGATGAAGATTGTGATGATGATGTAGATGAAGAGGTTAATGGATAATAACGTCGAACACGATCAGCCCATTCTTCAGATTCAGCACGGTCGATTTTAATGTTGGGACGTCCATATTTTCGTAAGAATGCTAGTCGAGCCATACCAAGTCCATCGTGATCTTTTGCCGCTTCCAAATAATAATATTCTGCTAGTCCAAAGTCTTTTTCGATACCCAGTCCAAATTCATAACAAAATCCAAGTACACCAGCAGCTTCTGCAAGTCCCATGGCAGCTGCTTGTTGATAATAAGAGATGGCGACAGTAGGTTGTTTTTTATTATGAGGTGGTCGTCCGAATAAATATTGATTACCAGTGAGAAAAAGTTGTTGAGCTTCTTCTATTCTCTTTTGACTTGACAGAATTGAACTAGATGAAGATACTAGTAACGTTGTTGGTAATGAAGAACAAGATGAGGTATCAGAACAAGATGAAGTTGATATTTGTGTCAGACTAGGTCGATGTATTTCATTAGTAGTTGAATGTCGTTTTGGTTGCCATCTGGAGAATACATGACGAGATCGTTGTATAATATGAGAAAAAGGTAAAGATGAATGCGTCATAGGTTTGATTCGTATCCAGGTATATAAAGAATATATTTATATTAAATATATATATCAAAATGTGTAATTAAGAAAGAAAGAAAGAATAAAAAAGAAAAAGGAAGGAAATAAAATGTCAATAATAAAAAGAAAAATGATAGTATGAAGTATAGAAAAAAAAAAAAAAAAAAGGAAAAAGGAAGGTATAAGGGAGACTAGAGAAAGGCACAAACAAAAAAAAAAAAAAAATAAAAATTGAGGGAACTTCTTAAGGAAATAGCCCAACCAAATAACCAAAAAGTGAAAAATAAATTCAGTCTCCTTTTTTTTTTTTTTTTTTTTTTTTTGAAAACCGAAACCCACCTTATCATGCAAGCTCATTATCAATACATGGTCCTGATTGGGTAACTCGATATTACTATTTTCAGGGTCAATAATAACTTTTTTAGGTCTCATCTCCTTAAAGTTGCCAAGAACTCTCAATATATATATTATTCTATTCAAGTTTTGTTGTTGTACTTGATATAGATAAAAGTAAATTTATCAGGAAAAAAAAATAAAAACCATCTGTCAATATATTCTTCTTCTTTTTTTTTTTTCATTGTTATGATTAGAACTTATATATATATAAAAGGGAGAAATAAAAGTACAAATTCAAAAATGACGAGGAGAACTATGATCAACTCCGGTTGGATGAACATCAATAAATCATCCATCAGGATGAAAATGATAATCAAACTGCAATAATATATATATATGTATATATAGATAGATAGATAGATAGATATTGTATGATTGGTTAGATTTCAACATATAGTGTTTACTTGATAATTAGAAATATAATGACTTTTTGCTATCATTTTGGTCATCCTCTATATATAATAATATATTGATAGATCTTTAAAACGATCATCATCCATTGATGTATTTTGGATAAACGAAAAAGTTGGGGGAAAAGAAGGTCCTAATCAACCTATTCGTTGTCCGCCTAGTTCATATCCTTGGTCCCCCCTTTTTTATTATTATTATTATAATTACATAGAACATAAATAAAAACATATATCAAAAAATGGGTTCATAAAAGCATAAGTAAATGATTAATCAAAGTATTATCATCATCATCATCATCATCATCATTCATTTATAGTTGAATTATCGTCGTGGTCTATTTCTTTGAGGACAATTCCAAGCAATATGATTAACATCACCACAATAAGAGCAAGCAGATGATCCAGTAGCAAAAGTGAGACGAACATCTTGATGATGTTGATAGGTGGATGATCCAGGTTGCATTGTTATCTTATCTTGAAAAATCCAAGGAACTGATAAATTCGACCACTGAAAATCCATCATTCATTTTTAGCTGTATTTATATAAAAACACTCTTTTGTTTTGACCCCCCCTTCTTTTTCATAAACAAAAAAAAAAAAAAAAAAAAAAGAGTATATTCCAAAAAAGGATTTACCGACAGTATAGTACTTCATCATCAACTCAATATAAACACATACCATTCATCTTATAAGCAAATTTTCATCAACTTCTTTTTTTTTTTTTTAAAAAAAAAGGGGGAGCTTCCTTAACGTTAAATACAAAGGATATCAATGGTAGAGTTTATTCTTGACGGACCGATACAGAACTTTAATCATTTTTAGTTGTTTATATTCATGTATGATTATCATAACCCCAGTCTTCTTTTTATTCCTTTGAATTCTATTCTCATGGTACTCTGTGACAAACATACACCCCCCAAAAAAAATGCCCATAACAATAACAAATGTTGTAATCAATTTGACCTTAAAAAATATAAATAAACATAAATATACGAACGTTTCAAAACAAAAAAAAAAAAAGATCGTATTTTATTTCATAAATCATAACAAGATGTAACTAAAAAAAAAAAGAAACTAATTATAGAGAAGAATGTCAACTTTAATCATCCTTTCTATACTGGTACAGATAACATATTCATGATTTTTTCCAACATGGGATTTCCTCCCAATGATTGAATGTCATCACGAGCTTCCTTTTCCATCTTTGATAAAAATTGGCGACAATAATCAAAGGTGTTGGTTTTTTCCAATAGTTGTAAAGCGAATTGCTTGAGTTCGACAGATTGACTACGTTGTTTGAGGATATTCAAAAGTTGACGATTGCTTGGATCAGATCGAATAGAATGAATGATGGGAAAACTGAATTTGCCTTCAGTTAAATCTTCACAAAATCCTTTGTTATCTGCATACTAAAAAAAAAAAAAATGAATGAATGAATGATTCTCTTTTTTTTTTTTTTTTTTAACGGTCACTTACTGTTTTGGATTGTAAATTCATATAATCATCACGTACTTGGAAATGAATGCCGATCTTGCTAACCAAAGCTGTATAATCTCTATAAAAAAAAAAGAGTTAAGGTTTTTTCCACGCCTCCTGAATTCTTACGTTTCAGATGCACTGGCTGCTTGCATCAATTTCACCGCCAATCGTAAAAGTCCTCCAGTCTCTAATAAAAGTTCAAGAAGTGATAAAAAAAAAAAAAAGAATGGTTACCAATCATCCATTCCTTTTGTTTATTTCTACTTACTATTGTCCACCATTTCCAAGAATTCTTCTTCTGTAGGACAAGTCAATGTATCTCTCCAAAATAATTCCATACCTAAACATCATAAAAAAAAAAAAAAACTTGTAAATATAATTTTTTTTTTTTTTTTTTTTTTTACCTTGCCCACGGTGTAGATTGATCAATTCTTCTGTATAGATAGTCACCATGGTTGGATTATTAAGCGTATTGATTTCTTGTAAAGCCAAAAAATAAACATAATTGGCGCAGTTAATCGTTTGTGGAATTCCATAGAGATGATGCGCAGCCGGTACTCCTCGTCTTAAAACTGAATCATCTTCAACATCATCAATCCTATTAAAAAGAGAAGTCAAATCCAATTATTATTATTAATATTATCTTGTCTTTTCTTAATTTGAACATACAATAAACTTGCACTATGTAACATTTCGATCACTCGAGTAATCACTTTAAGATCCTTTTCTGGAACTTTAAGCCAAAGATCAAAAGCTTCAATCATTTTGGATCTGACATCTTTACCAGGATGAGCACATAAATAATGGAATGGTTCAAGAAGTATCTATGAAAACATGAAATGACGCGTATCAGTAATATAGGGTCCAAATATCATTTTTTTTTCTTTGATGTTACTTACAGAGTCCTTGTCTACTGATGTTTGCATAGATGATTGTTGAGTATTTGAAATACTATATAGTTGCTGATGATTTGGCATATATTTCAGTGGTGTAGATGATAACATATTCAAAATAGAAAAAAAAAAAAGAAAAAAAGGGATGATTTAAAAAAGTCAAATCTTATAGCTTCAGCCCCTGATTTTATTCCCAGTCCATAATGCAGGTACGTTTTGAGTTACTTTTCCATCTTTTTCTTTCTTTCTCTCTTTCTTTTTTTTTTTATCATATAAGATATTCTTTGTTACGATGAAAAAAAATAAATCAAAAAGTATATTCATAAACTCCATAGGATAGATATTAATCTATGGATTGTCACTATCTATCCAAATTTCTCGATCAAGAAAGAAAGATTTAAATCCTAAATCCACCATCATGGTAGTAGTTTGTACAACAAGAAAAAAAAAAACGAATTTCTATCTAATTTTTTTTTCTTTTATTCATCCAAAAAAAAATAAAATAAAAACAAACTATACTAATATAATCACACATACACATATAAGCATCTATATCTATTCAGCAAACATTACTAAAGATTTGTTTTCTTCCACCAAATCACCAACGTTGTACAGTACTTGGTCAACCACACCATCCATAGGAGCACGGATCACATGTTCCATCTTCATAGCTTCCAATACGATAATAGCATCACCCTTTTCTACTTTTTGTCCAGGTTTGATCATCACTTGGGAAATCTTGCAAGGCATAGGTGTTTTCACAGATCCTGCACCATCAGCTCCACTGACTCCTCCTGCAACATAGGCTGGCGTGGGTAATTTCATGTTGGTACGACCAAACTAAATAAAGTAAAAATTCATATCAAAGAACTGATCTTATCTTTTTTTTTTTTTATTCTTTCCTTACCTCATCGAATATAATCACATCATCATTGTGTAATACTACATTGGATTTGACCTTCTTGTTATCCAAAGATGAAATCACTAAACCTTCTTCATCCAAATAACTATCCACAGCTTCATATTTCTTAATAATATCCGTAGATCCACTTTGCTTGATTTCAACATCCACTAAATGAGGTGATTTATCATCAGCCTTGGCAGAAGTTGTCATATATACATCGTAGGATTCACCATCATGGCTTTGTAAGGTTGTTTTGGTTGTTTCCATGTTATTCAATCGAAGAGGTCGATCCAATGATTGCCATGGGCTTTGAGGATCTTGCTTATTGAATTTCAATTGTCGTATTTCTTGAAGCCGAAGTGCTGTTGCTGCAAGTGCCAATGTTTCTGGATTAGGTGCTTCAGGTGCTTTCAATAAATCCTTTTCAAATTGCTAATTATCAAAACAAATAAATAAATAAACATCAGACTTTTTTTTCCTTTATATATATATATATATCCATTTTACCTGAATAAAACCAGTTTCTACTTCTCCCTTGATAAATTCAGGATGTTCCGCCACTTTTTTGATAAAATCAATATTGGTTGTCAATCCCACTACTTGGTATTCTTCTAAAGCACGACGGAATCGGCGTAAAGCATCATTACGATCTTCACCACGTACAATCAATTTTGAAATCATAGGGTCATAGTGTACACTGATTTGATCACCTTGGACAAAACCAGTTTCTAATCGAAGATCTTCTGAAGTGGCAGGTGTACGTACATTAAATAATGGTCCAGTATCAGGAAGGAAGTTACTATCATCAAAAAAGAATTAATCATTCCATTTTTTTTTTTGTTTCACGATTATTATTATTTTTTTTTTAAAAAAAAAAACTTACTTTAATGGATTTTCTGCATAAACACGAGCTTCAAAGGCATGACCAGACAATTTCAATTGATCTTGATTCAAAAGTAAACGATTTCCAGAAGCAACTTCAAATTGCCAATGAACCAAATCTGTATTGGTAACCATTTCAGTAACAGGATGTTCAACTTGTAAACGGGTATTCATTTCCATAAAGTAAAATTGCTTATCAATGTTGTCCATAATGAATTCTACAGTACCAGCATTTTCATAACCCACAGCACGAGCAGCAGCTACAGCCTTGGCACCCAAGAGAGCACGAATTTCTTCTGATAGACCAGGAGCAGGAGCTTCTTCAATCACCTTTTGATGACGACGTTGAACTGAACAATCACGTTCAAAAAGATGAACCACATTATCATGTTTATCAGCAAATACTTGAACTTCTACATGACGAGGATGCTCCAAATACTTTTCCACCAATACCTTGTCATCACCAAATGATTTAATAGATTCACGACGAGAGGATTCCAACATTTCTTCGAATTCACCAGCATGACGAACAATACGCATACCTTTACCACCTCCACCTTTCACAGCTTTGATCAACACAGGGTATCCAATCTTTTCAGCTTGTTCCTTCAAAAATCCAACATCTTGATTTTCACCATGATATCCAGGAACAACAGGTACACCAGCCTTTTCCATGATAAACTTGGATTCACTATAATATAATTGTTAGATCATCTTATTTTATAATAATAATATTACCTTTTAGATCCCATAGATCTCATAGCATCACCAGAAGGACCAATAAAAGCGATCTTTTCATTTGTAACGCGATCAGCAAAATCTGCATTTTCAGACAAGAAACCATAACCAGGATGAATAGCCTAATTCAACGTCAACCGTGTGAAAATATAATAAGGGATTAAATCGGCGAATATAGTCTCCATTAAACGATATTACCTGAGATCCTGTCAATCTAGCAACATCAAGAATCTTGTTAATATCCAAATAACTTTGAGCAGAAGGAGCAGGACCAATCAAATATGCTTCATCAGCCTATGATAGAGATTATCCTTCCATTAGAATCAAGTTGGAAAATAATAAAAATAATAATAAAATAACATATTATATTCTTCGTTTTTTTTTTTCTTTACCATTTTAACGTGTTGAGCATGTACATCAGCTTCACTATAAACAGCTACAGTCTTGATACCCAATTTTTTGGCAGTACGCATTACACGACAAGCAATTTCACCTCTATAAAGATATCAAGAATAATAAAATATCAGTCTTCCATTCAGCCAAATTGTTTATTCTATTACCTGTTAGCAATAAGGACCTTTTCGAATAAAGCATTTCGTTCTATATTTAAAAAAATAAATAAATAAATAAATAAATATAATATTTATAAAGAACCAGATAGTTAGTTTTACCTGGTTGAGAAGAATAGTATAATTTTGTACAAGTCAATGACGGCAATGTAGCGCGAACACGAACAGGAGGACTTGCCAATGTTTTATATAAACGAAACATGGAAAAAAACGAAGGTGAATGAAAAAGAAAAAAGTGGTCAAGAAAACAATAAAATGAAGAGAGAGAAAAAGAAAAAAGAAAGTGGAAGTGTAAAAGTTGAAAGAAAAAAAAAATTCACATATCCGTGGGAAAAATTGGTTGAAGAAGTGGCCCCAAAAAGTCACAGCTTCTGCGTTTAAATACTTGGTATTTTGGGCAATCATCACAATGCATACAACAGAAAAAAAAAAGTAATAGAAATATGTTGTATCAGTCAATACTAGAAAATTTTGATCATTTATCTTTAATTGAGTATATTTGATTGCTGTATATATCTGATAACTGATGAGAAGATATAGTTACTCTAATAATGTCCTATTTATTTCCATCATCATTATCGTATTCATTTTAATGACAATCATCCTATCATCTATGATTAAAAGAGAAGAATAGTAATTCCATTATATAAAATCCAATGAATTAAGTAAAAAAAAAAAAAAAAAAAAGTTTGTATGATGAATCTGTATTTATATTAAAAATGGTTAAAAGAATGAGATAATATGGTAAATTATTTTATAAAATATTCTTTTCTTTTTTGATGGTGATTTATTGTCATCTTTTTTTTTCTCAAATAAGCTTTTTCCAAGGGGGCAAAAGGTGGGATGAAATTTCACGTGCATTGGTTTTCTCTTATTTTTTTTTTATCTTTTTTTTTTTCTTTTGTCTCTTTCTCTTCTTCTTTTTTTTTTTTTTTTTTTTTTTTTTTTTTTTTGGTTGAATTCAACTATTCTGAAGATGACGGATTCTTCCTTAAATATGTCCACGGCATCATTACTTTCTCGTTCACAACCATTAGAAGATCAACAACAAACACCCGATAACAGCAGTATATTCTCTTCTTTACCATCACTTCCCTCTCTTCCTCCCATAGACGATACAGTATTACAACATTCGGAAAATGATGAATATACAACATCACCAGTATCCTCATCTTTCGGTGTAAGTGGTTCCACTCATAACGGCAATAGCATTCGGGACCATCAAAATATCTCCACATCCTGGTCATCTTCACCTGAACAATCTAGTTTACCATCCAACAATAAAAACAACGATAATAATGGACAAAAACCTTCTGTGAATCAACTTGTATGGGGACATATCCAATCATTTAGTAGTATGGCGGGTCGATTTATGTTCAAGGACAATAATTTACCATTGATATTAAATGTGATTGGTCATCTTTTAGCAGCAAGACAATTATGGTTAAAAGGATCTGTGACACGATATACCAATTTACAATCACAACAAAAGACGGTGGTAATGGATCAATTCCGTAGCATTGGTGTGCTTCATCTGGCAATGGGGCTTCTGGCTGCTTTGGCGTTGAAAGAACGACGATTATCTACTGAACGTACGGCGTTATGGGTCCTTTCTCTGGCAGCTTGGAGTCAGACGTTTGTGCAAGCAAGAGCTTACCTACAATCTCCCTCTTTGTATACCCTCAAAGCAATTCAAGAATGGGGTGGCTTGAATGCAATCTTGACAATCATTACTACGGTGGCTTTACGGAAGACGGTACGAAGAACGGGTCGTTTGATCTAAAGGGGATTTTATCGATCTAGTTGGATTTGGATTATCCTTTATGTAGTTTTATTTTAGTTTCGATGATGAAAATCATTATCTGCCTAAGATGATGGTTGATTTTTATTTTTATTTTTATTTATATATCTATCTTTAATAAAGATGAATGATTCCTATAATGATGATGAGGATGTTATGATTTGATGGTAAAATGAATTGTGGATGATAATTTTTATTGAATGATGGGAAGAAAACAAAAAATTATATTTTTATTAAAAGGGTATTTTTCTGTAAAAATAAAGAGTTAAATGGTTCTTGAAAATATGGGAGGATGGATTGAAATATACAAAAGAAGAAAGCGAATAAACTATTCTATTAACAGGGGTTGAAAAGATCAATGTTCCTTTGGTGGGACCAGGCCTCTTGCGATATGATAATATAACATGGTTGCATCAGAAGCTACAATGGCAAAAGTGATTTTCCTATAGAATGAAAATCTGTGAGTATTTTTATGGTCAAATGATATAGCATTTTTTTTTTTTATTTTGGATACTTACTTCAGACACGTTAGTGATTCAAGTTCATTCGATATCTGTTCCTTATCCAACATTCTAAATGTTTCGTTTATCTTGTCCATGGATAATACTTGGTCATATCGTAGAGGCACAATAACAAGTCGATCGCTGATTGGAGTTCCGGGTTCATGAGCATGTAAGATACAGGTATTGAGACTCTCCACTGGTACGACATTGACTGTCTTCCATAACTTGTCTATGAAAAAAAAAAAAAGGATGTTAAGAGTGACAATGAATATAGTTCGTTTCGCTTCGTACTTAATACTAGATCTTTGTAGGTTTGTTCAATCAAGGTTGAATTATCAGGGAAAGCAGAAGCCAAAGTTTCAACTTGATCATACTATGAATAGAAGAGTGAAGAATCAAATATATAAATACACTTTGTCATCGTACTCTCTCTACAATACGATTATTATCAACATACTTGCGCCTTGAATGATCCTTCCATGGCTACGAGAAATTAGAACAAAAAGAGAGAAAGAAAAAAAAAAAATGTCAAGTTGTTATAAAATGCCGAAATATTTTCAAATTTTCCACATAAAAGACAAAAAGATATATGGTGTTGAGAAAAAAAAAAAAAAACTTTATTGATAAATATTGTAAAAACATTTTCACAGTAATAATTGAACTATATAAAATATAAGAGAAAAAAAAAGACACCATCAATTTGCATTTCATTTTTTGTTGTTGTTGTTTGTTCCTTGAGGAGAATAGGATGGAGAAGAAGGAGAATATGACCTAAATATATATATATAAAGAAATCAATGTTAGTATGGATGATATTATTTTTCTCAATGATGATCTTCTTTTGATAGAAACGATACAAACGGCGATGTAGGAGAATACGATGGAGATGAAGGTGAATACGATGGGGATGAAGGAGAATATGAACTAGATAACAGAAGAGAATCAAGTTAGTAAATAAAATCTACTGGAGAATATGACATTAAATTATTTCAAAGAAATGATACATACGGAGAAGAAGGAGAGTATGAAGGTGATGAAGGTGAATATGAAGGTGATGATGGCGAATAAGAACTATAAAACAAAATAAAAGATCGATTAGTTACTATTACAAAAAAAAAAATAAAATTAGTAAGATACATACGGAGATGAAGGTGAATACGAAGGCGACGAAGGTGAATACGAAGGCGATGAAGGTGAATACGAAGGCGATGAGGGAGAATAAGATCTATGAGAAAAAAAAAATAAGAAAAAAAAAAGCATACATAAATATTGATAAAAATCAGTATATATATATGATAACAATCGATGGATCAAAAAAGTGATACTTACGGAGAAGAAGGTGAATAAGAAGGAGAAGTAGGTGAATACGATGGTGACGAAGGTGAATACGATGGTGACGAAGGTGAATAAGATGGAGAAGATGGCGAGTACGAGGGCGAAGAAGGCGAATATGAACTAATAAAAAATTAAAAACGAAATAAAATTGAGTAACCTTATAAATCAAATACATAAGAATACATACGGTGAAGCAGCAAAAGGTGACGATGGAGAATAACCTGGACTAGAAGCATAAGGACTGAGTTCTGAACGCCAAGGACTTGCTCCAATGGAAGCACCAACAGCACCAGAGTTACCCATAGGAGAGAACATTGGTTCTGAAGGAGATGAAGGAGCAGAGAAATCAACCCAATCAGGAGAACGAGTATCATATGGTGTAGCCATACTTGGGGTCATGAATCCAGGACCAGGAGTAGCAAAACCAGCAACATCACCAGGAATACCATTTGCCAAAAGATGATGACGATGATCTTGAGGAACTGATTTGAGCATATCTTCATCCAGGATCACATCGAATTCACCTGTACCCAAAGGAGCCATTTGACCAAGCATGATGTTTTCAGCCACGCCGCGACAATCATCCAATTCTCCAACAGCAGCCGCTTCCATAAGGATTTCAACTGTTTCTTCAAAGGAACATCGCATAAGAGCACCCGTTTCAGCTCGATTGATACCATGACGAGTAATGGCCATAAGGTGACCACGATTTGTCATCACATCACAAAGAAGAGCCAAGTGACGGTAATTCACATAGGAACCATCAAATTCAATAACATTCCTAAGTTCCTTCAATAGCGCTTTGCGAGTAGCTTCAATACCCAGGACTTCCATAATTTCCACGGTGTTGTTCGAGTAAGTACGACGTTCATCCACACCATGTTGGCACATCACTTGTTGTAAATTAATACCATCAGTATCCAAACCCCATTCAGTTGTTTGTTCAAATTTGCCTTGATCATTAAGAATAGTATCCTTGCGTTCCACAATATACACCTTCTGAATTCTTGGAATACCACGCAGATTGATAGAACTAAGCATACTTGATTCCAGTTTGCGTAAAAAGGTATCTTCTTCGGTTCTTGTATCTTCATCTTCCATATCCTTATCCTCATTTTCATCAGACATAACTCTGCATCGAATAATGAGTTTTTCAGAGTTTTCGTCACTACCAATCACATGGAGATCATTCTTGAATTCATCCGAGATCTTTTGTACAACTTCAGTAATATTGAGACGTTTGTCGATCATCATACCACGGTTGAGTTCAATACGAAGAAGCCAGGGAGACACACGGGTAACTACAGGTGAATTGTCATCTTCCAATTGATAGTATGTATCCACAAAATCAGCATCTTCTTCAATGATCGTTGAACGTGGGTCAGGATCATAATAAATTTCTGATGCAGATGTAACCTTTTGTAAAGTAGTATGTTCAAGATGGACTTGGACTTCTTTGGCGAGTTCAATGTTGCGAGATCGTTCAGCATCCAACCATACTTCCAGACGAGGTGTTTTGATATTTTTGGCGACATTGATAATTTCTTTCAAACGAGGAACACCAAGTGTAACATTTTTACTTGACACACCAGCATAATGGAAAGTGTTGAGCGTCATCTGCGTAGCAGGTTCACCAATAGATTGAGCAGCAATAGTTCCCACCATTTCTCCAGGAGCTACAACAGATGTCAAGAAACGAGATTCAATTTCTCCAAGCACCCTAAAAGTAAATATAAAATAGTAATAAATAAGTAACATCATCCTTCAGTATACATATATATATAATTACCATTCGAAAGCTTGAGAGCTAAGATGGAATTCTTCAACAACACGCTTGACAGCGAATGTAGATCGTAGGAGCATTTGGAAGAGAAGGGTAGCATTTCGTTGAGTTTCAGCAGAAATCTTGTCAGAACCACGTACTACTACCAGACGTTCAGCTAGAGAGGAGATACCATCCACAATTTGAAGAGGATGTACATCAGAAGCCTTTCGAGGATCAATATGGAAGATTTGTTGAGCATTTGTAATGAGACGTTGAAGATTGACAGGAAGTGGCCATTTATCATCACCATTCTTGAAGATGAATTTCCGCATAAGATCACGATCTTCCTTGAGTTGTAAGAATTCTTGATCCAAAATTTGTTGAGCAGTTTCATTACCATCAATATCTTTAAGTACATCATATCCCAGTGCACCTTTTCGGAATCCACCATCAGCCAAATCAACACGGTAACGTTCTTCAAATTGTTTGTCAGAAGCTCTAAGAGGTACCAGCTTTTGTTTTTCAACAGAGCAACCATCCATACCATCTTCACCATAACTGAATTCAATGATATCACCAAGGGAATTTCGAACAGTACCATCATATTTCACCATAACATCTTCTAAAGCTTTCACTAGACGACGTTGAATATAACCTGTTTCTGCAGTCTTCACAGCAGTGTCGATCAAACCTATTCAAATAAAAATTGATGAATTTTCTTCATGCCAAGTATGTATTTTCCTTTTTTTTTTTTTTTTTTTTTTTTTTTTTTTTTTTTACCTTCACGACCACCCATAGCATGGAAAAAGAATTCTGTTGGAGTCAAACCTCGAAGATAAGAGTTTTCTACAAAACCACGACTTTCAGGACTGTGATCATCTTTCGAAAAGTGAGGTAAAGTACGTAACTTGAAACCATATGGAATACGTTTGCCTTCGACATTTTGTTGACCAACACAAGCAGACATTTGAGAAATATTAATAAAAGACCCCTTTGAACCAGCCATCACCATTTGTTTCACATTGTTGTCGTTCTTCAAACTTGTTTGAGCCAGTTTACCAGCATCATCACGAGCCTTGTTAAGGGTTTGATTGACCTTGGCTTCAAATGATTCACGTAATGTCATACCAGGTTGAATTTCCAATTTGTCTTGTTGAGCTGTGATGATGATTTCTTGTACACGTTGCTTGGCTTGAGCAATAATGTTCGTGATTGTCGCCATAGTCGATTTATCTGCAATTGTGTCACCAATACCGATACTAAAGCCATTTTGTAGTAACCAATAATTCACTACTTGTTGTGTTCCTGTCAAAAAGTTCTTTGCTGCTTCTGGACCAAGTTCATTGACAATAGTATGAACCAGACCACCACCAGCAGTACCGACAGTTTTCTTGCATACGATACCACAAATGAGTTCACCATTTTCTATAATTACGCGACTGTCACCAGGAGATATATACGTTGATTCGTCATCAGGATGGTTAAAGTAGAATGTTTGACAATTAATGCCTTTTGGAATGACCATGGATATGATTTGTTTGCCAGTCCACAATGGTTTTGGTTTGAGAATAGCAGGAGGAGGAATAAAGCCATCCCAATCAGGCACCCACATGACAATGTTCATCACCAAATCTTTTGACAAGAAGCAATCTCGTAGAGTAAATTTGCGAATACCAGCCAAGGTATCTTGTACAATTCCCATCACAGGTTTGTTTGACTGAGGTGAGACAATTTGTTTGGGTACCATACAGATTTCAGTAATTTCAGCACGAGTTTCCAGAGATTGAGGTACATGAAGATTCATTTCATCACCATCGAAATCAGCATTATAAGGAGAAGTCACAGACAAATTCAGACGGAAGGTTGAATAAGGCATTACCCGGATACGATGGCCCATCATAGACATTTTGTGAAGAGAAGGTTGACGATTGAAAATGACTACATCACCATCCACAATGTGTCTTTCCACCCTGTAACCATATTGAAGAGGAATTTCACCAGCACGTTTGCGATACCGTAAATCGATACGTTCACCATTATCACGAATAACATATTTTTGCACCAGGATGTTCCAAAGGACCATTTCGAACCAATGCTTGTAATTTATCAATATTGTAAGGTGTCACGATTTCAGGGTAAGTCAAATTCCTAGCGATACTTCGAGGAACACCAACTTCATCCAAACTGAGATTAGGATCACCAGTAATAACAGTACGAGCAGAAAAGTCGACACGTTTTCCCATCAAGTTACCACGAAGTCGTCCTTCCTTGCCTTTCAATCTTGCACGAATTGATTTCAACTAAAGATAATGAAAATATTATATATATAATATGAGTATCAATTGTTGTTGCTCTTTTTTTTTTTTTTTTTTTTTTGATTGTACAAAATTCTTCTAATCTTTTAAAAAAACAACCATCACTTACAGGTCTTCCAGATTTTTGTAATGCTTGAGGTTGACCAGCAATATCATTGTCCATATAAGTTGCAATGTGGAACTACATAAAATAAAAAAAAAAGAAAAAGCATTTATAGTGAGTTGAGTATCTGATTTGTTATTTCAAAAAAAGTTATATCTATCTATATATACCTGTAGTAATTGTTCAAATTCTTGGACAACGTGGACTGGTGCACCTTCAGATTCACATCGACGAACATTGGCGTTGGCCTTCAAAATATCAGAAAGCTTATGTGTCAGATCGTCTTCACCACGACTAGTACCATCCATTTGAATACTAGGACGAACTTGAGGAGGAGGTACAGGTAAAATTGTAGTAATCATCCATTCTGGTCGAGCATACTCTTCAGAAAGTCCCATATCTTTGATATCTTGATCCGTAATATTTTTCAGAATTTGAAGTACTTTGCCTGCGGTCAGTAGAGTTTTTCCATCATTACCCGAGTCCTATTCAATCAATAAAAAAAAAAAAATTAAGTATAATGTAATCAAATTATATTTAAAAGATACACTTACATCATTAGCCGAAGCACGGAACAAAGCATAAAGTTTGAGACCTTCCTTGCGTATAACAGGTTGTTTGTTACCACATCCACCATGAGCGTTTTTGCGTTTTCCATCCAAATCATCTTCCAAACCATCTTCATCATTTTCACCACCTTCACACACCATTTTAGCCTTTGCAAGTTCCCAAACCGCCTTCATTCTGGCTTTTTGATCCCTAAGTTTTCGAGCACGTACAAATCGAGGGTTTGACTATTAAAGAGAAAAAAAAAGGCTCGATTAATATATCAGTCTATAATAAATTCATTAATATTTACATCATCCACTTTGAGTTTGGAGCAATGGAAACAGACACATTCGAGAATTTTCTTGACTTTGGTAAGAAAACCTAAACAAAAGAAAAGAAAAGAAAAAAAAGTGATAAATTTAGTATTTTTTTTTTCAAATAACAAGATTGAATAAAAAGTGACTTTACCAATATGAAATACAGGTTTTGCAAGATCAATGTGACCAAAATGACCAGGACATTCCGCCATACCTTCACCACAAGTTTGACATTTATAATTTCGATCGATTGTACCCATTCGAGGATCCAGTAAACCACCAGCTCTTGGTTTTTGAGTTCCTTCGTCGTATAACTCAGGGAATTCGATTTTGGCCACAGACATTGCTTTCTATTTTATATATAATTATAAATAAAAAAAAAGATTATGAATAATAAAAGTTATTCAGTTTCATTGCATTGTCGATAATCGTAATATGTTTCGTTTTTCTTTACGATTTCATCAGGAGAAAGGATCCCAAATTGAACAGCATCAACACGACGCAAAGGTGCTGAAGAGAAGGCAAAAGGATGTCCGTTCATCTTCAAGGTTGAATCGTTGACGAATAGATATTAGATGAGTCGATGGTTCGGTCGAGTTTTGTCGAGTTTTTTTGTTGAAAATAGATAAAAACAAAAAAAAAAAAAAAGGTGTTGATTAAAGCTGGTAAAGAATGTGAGGTCAAGACTAGTACAAGATGTTAAACACTTTAATAAAGAAAAACAGTAAAGTTTTTGAATAAAAAGTATAAAACAATCTGGACAAGGAGCTAACAAAAAGAAAAGAAAAAAGAGAGAAAAAAAATGAAAAAATTTTGGAACCGCAGTGTTAACAAAAAAAACAATACTCAAAAGTATTACATGACGTGGAAAATAACATTAACTCTCCGCAGCCAATTATTTTCTTCAATTATTTTTACATTCCGTTTTTTTTTTTTTTTCTAAAGTTGGAGACTCACCGAAAGCATAATGAGAAGTTTGATGATGAACGTATTGAACATATATTGCATATGATGAAATGAAATCATATTAGTTTCTGGTTTTGGAGGAAAAAAAAAAGTACTTGTCTTGATTTCTCGTTATGGATCAAGTTATCATCATTGAAAAAGTGATAACACAGTGCAATGATCTTTAATATCACATTGACGTATTGTATTTGGTACATACAGTACTGTACAGTAATGTTGTAAGGTTGGCTTGATGATAAATGACTGGAGGATGACAATACGTGTGTTGATAACAACCGTCATTTAATGCTGTCTTCATTCTTATCTGCAAAACAAAATCAAAGCGTATCAGACATCATAATCAATATCATTACTGTAGGAACGATTACAAGAATCATTGAAGTCATAATTCATCATTTCTCCTTCTTTTTTAGATCATTTTGTATTTTTTTAATCGTAAAAACATCATTATTTTATTGTCACTGTCATCAAATAAGGTATCAATGCAAGATAGCTTTACAAAATTTACCATTTTTGGTCTGGCAAGTCACAAAAAAAAATCGACCATTTTTTTTTTTCGAGGCGTTTGAAAAAGGATTCCGCGATTCTTTTTTTTTTTTTTTTTTTTTTTTTTTTTTTTTTCAATTATCAATTTCCAGCACACCACAGCATGCGTAGTCTCCAACTTGTTGGTCATACGTCTTCTAGAATTGGATCTAACAATGTTCAAGCTCCTTCGTTTATCACAAATGATCCCGAGTCAAAGACGATCTATATTGCGTTAGAGGACGAAGTAGGCGGCGTCCGTATCATGGCATCAACTCCTGATCAAGAAGATGCTTCGTTTGTACAATTGGCTTTGACAGAAGGTCCAAGTGGCGGGATTATAAGTTTTACTTACTTATCTGATCTACAAGCCATTTGTCTCGGTACTCGCAATGGTGACATTATTCTATTCCACAAAGAACGATTTGACGCCGGTGACGATCCTGTAAGTTGAATACAAATATTTTTTTTTTCTATTCAAACAATCTAGTTCTCGAACTTACATTATATATATATTTCGTAGTTGGAAATAGTTGGTTCTGTTGATACAGGATTGGAAGCCATGACTTGGAGTCCTGATCAAGATCTTGTTATTCTTATTACAGGTATTCATACAACACAGAGGGAGCAAAAAAAAAAAAAAAGTTACTGATCCATTTTCTTTATTTGTAGGGGAAAAGAACGTTTTGGAAATGACCCAAGATTTTGATACTATTACTGAATTCCCTCTTCATGTTGGAGACCAAGGTCAAGGTAGGATAGAAAGCAATGAAAATGCTTTAAAAAAATAGATAGAATGATTCATTATTTCAATAGGTGTTCAACATAGTGTTGGATGGGGTAAGAAGGAAACTCAATTTCACGGTTCCGAAGGAAAACAAGCAGCATTACGAAAGGTGGATACAAGCAAATTTGGTTCTTCAATAGACGACGATAAACATGCTAGAGTGGCATGGCGTGGTGACGGTAGCTTTTTTGTATGTTCTGATATTGATCCTCGAAAAGGTAAGAAAATAATAATAATAATGATAATAATAATAATGGAAAAATTACGTAGATGTGTTCTTCTAACGTTAAATCTATTGGATTTTATAGATGCTCGTGTACTTCGTATTCATAATCGTGAAGGTGTGTTACAAAATACAAGTGAACCTGTGGATCAATTGGAACATGTGCTTGATTGGAAACCATCTGGAAATTTGATCGTATCAAGTCAACGTTTACCTCATCGTCATGATATAGTGTTTGTGGAAAGAAATGGTTTACGACATGGCGAATTCACTTTAAGAGAATCAGGAGAACATCGCCTTATTGAAGTTTCTTGGAATGCGGATTCAACTGTACTTGCTATTTGGTTGGAAACAAACAATCAAAAATCTGGTAGGTTATGATTATCATTTGCGAATTTTCGTATTCATTTTTTTTTTTTTTTTAGTTCAACTCTGGACTATGAACAATTATCATTGGTATATGAAACAGCATATTGTTCTCCCTCAAAAAGAAGACATCATTGGATTTTCTTGGGATGTGGAACTACCTCTTCATGCACATATCGTCAGTAGTGGTAAGTAGTATAGATAGAATGTTAGAACTGTAAACTCGTTACTAATATCTTTGATTTAGATGGTATCTATCATTCTTTTGATTTCATTTGGAATGTCTTGACTAGTACTTCAACTGATCACGAGAATTCTGGCTATGTTGCTGTTATTGATGGTGGTAAGTCTCTTGCATGAAAAGAAGGATATATGGTTTGATATAGTCACTGATCATTTTTTTTAAATATAGATAATGCACTTATGACTCCATTTAATTACCAAAATGTACCACCACCAATGTGCTCTTTGAAGGTCAATGCTAGTCAAAATATTCAGCAAGTCACATTCCATCCTTGTCCAAACGGTTCCCGTATGGCTGCGGTTACAAATGAAAAGTTGGAATTCTTTGATCTCCCTGTCAATGGCCATGGTAATGCCAAATCTTCTGGATCCTTAGTATTACCGTAAGTATATCTATTATTTGGAAATTAGAGACAGCTTATTTGACAGTGTTTTTTTTTTTTCTATAGCTGTCTCACCGATATTGCCAGTCTTCCTCGTCATATTACCTTATTGAACGATAATCAATTATTCTATGTTACGTACGATACAATTGGACAGTGTGATATTTTATGTTTGATCGATTATCAACAAACGGATGAAAACAGTGCATCCTCAACCACTACACCATTTGAAGGAAAGGTTGGACAAGTTTACTACAATGCAACCACAAAGGATCTGGTGATAGAAGGCATTGATGGTTCAGTATGGGATGGTAAGTGGATAGAAATGTCATTTTATCTCTATTATTTAACAAACATCTATACATCTGTTTTTTTTTTCTTATGTAGTTCAATTTGATGATAGTTTATCAATGACTCCTATCTTAGAATTACCTTCATTCTGTCCCTGGATTGCCACAGCACTTGTTGGAAGCACAAAGGAAACTGTTCAAAGAGTGATCATTGGATTGACAGAACGTAGCAAGTTGTATGCCAATGATCGCTTACTCTCATCTGAAGCAACTTCATTTTTCCTTCGTCATGACTGGTTGGTATTCACAACAACAAGTCATACTGCTCGTTTTCTTCCTTTGGATATTGAATTGGATGGTAAACAGAATAGGATACAATTATAATTGAATAATCAACTTGCTAACAGGTATTCTGTTTTTTATAGATTTTAAGCTTTCTGACGATGTACCTGACGCCAATGATGAATCTCATCGTCGTGTTGAACGTGGATCCAAGATTGTTTTGGCCACTCAATCCAAATCAAATCTTATCCTTCAGGTAATTACTGATTATACGGATTGTGGGACAAAGTTAACTTGTTCTTATTTCTTTTCTTTTTTTTGTTCTGGTTTTAGATGCCCCGTGGTAACTTGGAGACTATTAGTCCTCGTGCTTTTGTCTTGGCTTCTATTCGTGAAGATTTGAAAAGGTATGATATTAAAAGAACAGATATAAGCAAAAATGACAAAACTCAACCAGTCGTATATATAATTTTCATTTATAATAGTCTGAATTATCGTTCCGCCTTCATCACTTGCCGTCGTAATCGTATCGATCTCAACATACTCTTTGATGAAAATCCTCAACAATTCTTTGACAATATTCAACTCTTCATCACTCAAGTTCCTGAAGTAGACTATTTGAATCTTTTCTTGTCGAATTTACGGTAAGATTCCTGAATGGGAAGAGGAACCAAAAAAGAAGAAAAAAAGTAGTACTAATAATAAGTGTATGTGTTTTTTTTTTTTTTGGTTTCTTTTGCTTGTAGTAACGAAGATGTAACAAAAACAATGTATCAACATCGGGGTGCATTGGCCACTACTCATTCCCTGGATAGTACCTCGTAAATATTGAAAAAAAGCGGAAAGTTAGATGATTGGTTATAACATTTTTCTTTTTCTATACAGATTGGGCAATAAAGTCAACAACATTTGCGACGCTGTACGAACCGTTCTTACTGAAGCCGATCGTGATCAATATATTCAATCTATTCTCTCAACTTATGTACGAAGCTCACCTCCTGACCTAGAATCAGCCTTGTCCTTACTTGCAGAAATTAGGGAATCGAATTTGACAAAAGCTGAAGAAGCGCTCAAGTACACCATCTTTTTATGCAAAGCAGATAGTTTGTATGACATTGCTCTTGGCATGTACAACTTTTCTTTGGTGTTGATGGTCGCACAGCAAGCACAAATGGTAATACAGAATTGTATTGGTAGAAGTAATTCCATATACTGATTCCTTTTTTTCCCTCCTTCCTCTTTGTTTCTATTAGGATCCTCGTGAATATCTTCCTTTCCTTCAAGAATTACAGAATTTGGACAAGTATTACCAACGATTCAAGATTGACGATCACTTAAAAAGACATGACAAGGCGCTTCGAAATTTGGTTTTAGCTGGTGATGATAGATTTGACGAACTAATTGCTTATATGCAGAAACATACTCTTTATTTGACTGCTTTGGAAGAATACGCTAACAAACCTCAGCAAAAGAAGGTGAAGGAAAAAAAAAATGGCTGTGTTTTTTTTCAAGTTATTCATTATCATATTGATCTTATAGGTTGTTTTGGATGCTTATGGTGACTATCTGGATCAAACCGAAGCTTATGAAGAAGCAGGAATTGGTATGAGAAAAAAAAAAGGAGGAGAAGAATAACGAAATGATGATATGGCTTGATTAATGTGGATTTTTTTTTTTTTTTTGGTGATGATGATGATGATTAGTGTTCACAATGGCAAATTCTTTACAAAAGGCTTTACATTCCTACCGTTTGGCTGGATCCTGGCGGGAAGCATTCTCTCTCGCAAAACAAATGTCATTTTCCATTGATGATATACAGGCTTTAGCATATCAAATTATTGGTAAAGAAAAAAAAATAAGGAAAGAATGATTAGAAGAATATGAGGAAGATTCGAAAATGTCGCTAATATATATATATATATATATATAATTTGTAGGGTATTTGAAAGAAAAACGTCGATTCCAAGAAGCTGCTACAGTTGCCAATGATTACATCAAGGTAAATCCAAAGAAAGAAAAAAAAAAGAGAATGGGGATGGACATTCTGACCAACCAAGTTTATTTTATCATGTAGGATATTGAAGAAGCTGTGGATTGTTTATTGAAAGGAAGTCTTTGGCAGGAAGCATCACGTTTGGTAAGAAAGGGAAAAAAAAAGCACGATATTATAGTCCTTATATACTAACATTGGGTGGTGACATATCATGCTGATGCTCTCTTCTAGTCCTATACATACGATCGATCAGATCTCATTGAAACTCATGTGAAACCTGCTTTGATTGAAGGTAAAATGATAAAAAAAAATTAGAATAGAAATACATGTCGTGTTGTTTGACTCATCGATTCTCTTTTTCGCATTATAGGATATACTCAACTGGACGAAGATCTTGAAGAACTTACTGCTCAATTCAATAAACAGACAGAACGATTGAAGGAACTCCGTGAAAAGAAACCTGAACCAAGTATGATTTTTTTTTTTTGAAGACATGAAGAGTCACTAAAGTTCTTACTTTTTTATTTTTCTTCCTTAGCACAAGTACTTCCCAACGATGATACACTAGATAATATTGATATGTTTTCCGATACAACTTCCATGTTTAGTCAGTTTACCCGATATACTCAAGCATCATCTCGTGTATCAACAGTATCATCTCGCTCAAGCAGGTAAAAAAAAAAAAAAAAAAAAAGTGTTGATCTGATAAACTTAATTCTTTTTTCTTTCATTCTTTAGAAAATCATCCAGGCAAAGAAAACGGGATGAACGTAAACGGGCTAAAGGAAAGAAAGGAACGATCTATGAAGAAGAATATTTGGTCAATTCTCTCAAGAAGCTTTATGAACGCGCCAATCAACTTCAAAGTAAGGACCCAAACAGAAAAGACAAGGAGAAAAGAGACTGACCTTACCTCTTTTTTTTTTTTTTTTTTTTTTTTTTTTTTTTTTTTCTAGCTGATATTGGTAATTTAATCCGAGCAATGGTTCCTTTTGGTTATGTTGAAGAAGCCACTACAAGTCAAATCAAATTTGAAGCATTCCTCAAACATTTACAAGATGCCATCGATGTGATCTTTGTCCCACTCCAATTAGCCAATGTCCAAGTAAGTTGAAAAAAAAAAAGAGAAATGATGCTGATGGCACTCAATTTTTTTTTTTTTTTTTTTTTTTGATTGACCAGTTTGGATCAATTGAAGAATATGAAGAAGCTCAAAAGATCTCTTCTACTCAAATCGAAAAGCCTGTGCTCTCTACGGTGAAATGGAAATTACAAATCTTGTAGATTGTGTAGTATTAGAATATTAGTATCAAATAGTTAGTCATTCATAGAAAAAATAAATCATCATTATCATTCAACCGATAGTCAGCGTACTTTTTTTTTTTTTTTTGTCTCTTATATATATGTATGTTGCTGGGTTTGTTTGTTATATGGATCAAAAACAAAAAATCACCTCCAATCATAGTAAAAACAAAATTCAAAAAAGAAGAAGGGGGAATAAAAGTTGTATCTTTATAAGAAGTGAGAGGGCATGATCAACAAACAAGTAGATTGAAACTAATACTAAAAAGAGAAGGGGAACCTAATAACTAGTTTTAATCAAATGGGTGATTTTGACACTACCATCAGCACTTCCTAGCAAACAAGCATTGGATACACCTGTCCAATCAACTGTGGTGATCTTTCGATAAACGTGATGTTGACCAAATTGTAAAACAGGTTTACCTTCGGGACTTTGATATATCGTTCCTTGTGTTTCACCCGTGATTGCAGAAGTAGTCTTGTTGTTTTGTACAGAAGACTGAGATCCTGATGATAATGATGTTAATGAGGAAGATGATGACGATGATGAAGGTGAGTGTGATGACGACGAAGAAGAAGATACAGTTGGTGGTAATGCAATGTTTGTATTATTATTGTTATCGGTGAAGGAGGATGATGAAGTGGCGCAAAGAATGTAATCTGTATCAGCACTAAAGGCTACCATTTGGGATCGTGGTGTTACAGAGAGAATGGATTGATTGACACCTTCGTCTAACACTGAAGACAACCTAGCAGATCGAGATGATGAAATAGATGCACGTGACGATGTTGATCGATTGGATGAAGGACGTGGAGGTGGTAATGTTGTTGTAGGTGCTGACGGTGATGGTATTGATGACGATGATGAAGAATTGGCAGGTGAAGATAAAGAAGGATGAGGAGTTGTAACCAAGGTAGATGGTCGTGTTGACTGTGAAGAATATGCTGGTGGAGGTGGGAATCCTTGTAGATATGTGTTGGAAAGACTAACGCCAGGTTTATGAATGGACCATTGAGAGAGCTGACCGCCATGATCAACGGTATAAATAGAGTTTTCATCAAAGCTGAATTGAGCAATACATGCAGGTCGTTTTGATAATGTTTTCCATTCCACAATAGATTTCATTGTACGAACATCTATATTCAATTTTAATTTGTAATAAATGGTTAAATCTATTCATCCATGACATATTTTTTTTTGAACTCTTTCTTTTGAGCTTACCAAATATTCGCATAGTTCCGACACCATCGCCTGCCACCAACATTTGTCCATTGTGATTGTGTTTGATTGTGTTGATATCGGTACAGGTATCTTCAGGTTCCAACTTGAATACTCCCTATAAAATAATAATAATAATAATAATAATAATAATAATAAAAAGGAGAAGAAGTGATCAATATGAATTTGTCAATAAAGTTCAATGTAAACTTACAGAGGAAGACATGCTTTTCATACTCCAAGCAACCAAAGCACCATGTCCTTTTGAACTACGTCTAATCTTATCACCTGATGCTGAGCAAACTATGACTGGTTCAACAGGGTTGGAGGATAGTTGAGTTATCCTAAAGTAAAGATTGTATTGATGAGTCCATAGCCTTCTTCCATATATCAAATATATATATATATATATATTTTTTTACCATGGGTATTTTTCTGTCATGCTAAATTCCTGAACAACTGATCGATTTTCAGTATTATATACACGGATGTTCCCAGAGTTTGTACCAAGGAATAACTATTAAAATAGAGTATAAGTTTTGTAATATATATATATATATATATATATATATATATAATCATTTTAACCTACGAAGCGATCCGATCTTGCATCCCATTCCAAAGATAATATACTTGAAGTATTACTGGTAAGCTTTTGTGGACTATGTGATTGACCCTTGTAACTCCACACCCTATTAAATAGATATCAATGAATTTTTCTTTTTCCTATGCCCTCTTTTTTTTTTTTTTTCTCTTTTTCTTTTTCTTGTTACCGAACGATATTATCCATATCACAACTTGCTATCAAATTTCCTTGGATTGAAAATTTGGCGTGAGTGATGGCTGACGCATGTTCTGAGAATTCTTCTTGACTAACAATCACGAAAGGTTCATCTGTTTCTGTCAAATGATTTGATGTGTCTGCTGTATTGTTGTTGGTATTGATAGTTGAATCATGTGACGGACTGGTGATCGTAGCAGTAATGGGATTGATTGTAGTGCTAACAGTACTTGGGGTTGTGCAATTTGAACTGATGGTTGAATCGCTTCTTAATCCATTTGTCATGTTCTGTTGTGAACTAGTCATTGAAGCAGCTCGTTTCCGAATGAGTGAGATGCCATCTGTCATTTCTTTCCGGGTATCCAATAACTTGTAAAAACAAATAAATAATAGTTAAACATACAAAAAAAAAAAAATGTAATCCTATCATAATGATCCCTACCTCGACTTTGAGTTTAGCTATTTCGTTCTCTTTTGCGTCCATCATGGCTTTCATATTGTCCACTGTCATTTTCAGGTTTTCGATTTCCGCCTGCTGGGATTTTCGTTGACTTCGATCCACATTGAATGCAAGTAAACTAGGCAACGCTAATAAAGGTGGATAAATAAAAAAGATTAGATAACGATATAATGATGAAACATTATTTACTTACGCATTTTCTGAAAAATAGTCGCCAAAAAATTGTGAAGAGAGGTTGTATAATTGTCAACCCATTGCTTGGTAAAGAAAGATTCAAACACGGGATCAGAACTTGGTTGTTTCACATAAGGTAAGGCTAAAATCACATATAAGATGATCAGAATTATAATTATATAATTTTTTTTCTTAAAAGAACCTACCAAACCATTCAGACCATTCAGATAAACCATGTAGATCAGGACCATAGACTTCAAAGAATTCCTTGACTTTTTCGCGTTTCTTATGTTGAATTGCTGAATATGAAAAAAAAAGAGTCAGTAACAAATAAAGTAAGTAATAGATATGTACCATGTATTAGATAATGTCGTAAAAGGCAAAGTTCAAACTTTTTGATCGTTTGCTGAAATCTAGTATCAAGTCTGGAAAAGAATCGAATATCAAGATAACGATAATATTCCACTAAACCATTAACATCGCCGTTGGTGATAAAAGAGAGAAGTTCTTCAAGGATTTTGTCAACCTGTATAATAATATTGAGTTATATATTTATTAATATAAAAGTATAGATTATTACCTGAAAGCCTTTATCCTTATCTGTTCTACTTTCCGTTTCCAAAGCCCGAAAAGTATTGGTGAATCCTCGAAACTATGAAGGAGTAAAAAAAAAAAAAAAGGTCAAGAGTATGTTTAGTTCGTTTTTGGCAATGTATCTCATTTTAAATACTTTTCTATTTATCATTCTTCATTATTATTGATATTCTGTTCTTACCAATAGATATTCCTTGACAAGATCATCTACCTGATAAAGTGAGTTCATTTCAATCAAAATAAAACAACACAAAGGAAAAGAAAAAAAGAAAGAATAAGTCAGGAAAGAGAAGAGGGAAAAAAAAAAGAAAAAAAATTCAAGAGAATTGGTATTCATCTCCCGCGCAAACAAAGCTTGAACTTCATTAGACATACTTCTTTTACATTATTCGCTCAAAAGTAAAATCATCATCGCATCAAATTTGGACTGAACCTACAAAAAGTCATTCTCTTCCACTTGTCTTAATAATACTTTATACCTTACCTCCCAATTTATAGAGTAAATTAAAAAATAAGAGACAATTCAGTCAATCCTCATCCAATAATGATCATGATCCAATAAAATGACCACCATTGGATTCCTCTCAAAAAAGTAGTTTAATACCATCTAATCTCATTTCATCACTTATCTTGCCACGTAATGTGCAATAAATACTAAAAGGATTTTATCGATTTTTTGAAAAATTGCCTGATCTACCCTCGACGATTTATTTTTACAGCTAAAATTAAGCTGAGGAGTTCGAAATTTTTGGCTGTAAAGTCCAAAAATCCATCCCATTTTTTTCGTCCTGCATACAAGCTTGGAAACAAACTTTGCCTTCCCCTTTCTTGCTCAAAACTCATCATCATCGCACCAAAGTTAAACAGAAAATAAAACAAATCATTTTCTTGAAATTTACCTAATATCATTTATAATTTACTATCTGTATTTATAGAATAAATTAAAAAAAATGACCATCCATTCGCCATCAAGTTTTGCCCTTTTCAAATCCATTCAAAAGATAAATGTTTTTTCTTTTTTTTTTGGTTTAAATAATCAAAATCGTTCCATTCGTTTTTTTTTTATTTCAAAAAGACCATTATTTACATAGAGATATAATATAAAAAATAGATAAAAAAAAATAAAAAAAAAAGAAGACAAAAGATGTTGTAGGTGTTCAAAATAAAAACGAGAAGATAAGAAAAGAAACAAAAGTATAATAATCAAATGGGGGAAACTTCAAAAATACAATAAAATGAATCATTCATATTCATTCATTCCCCTCCAAACAACATATACAGTAGTAAAAAATAATAATAATAATAAAAAAAAAAAAGGGAAGTATATATATATATATATAAGTATATAAAAACTACCTAAATGTTTCCACCAGCATTGTATTGGTCATATAAAGGTTGTTGTCCAGGTTGTGCCCAAGGTCCAGTTGATACACCAGCATTACCAGCAACTTGTCCACCCACATGATGAGCTACTAGCAAATAAATAGATTTTGATCAGTTATTTTATTAAACTAATGTATTATCAATCACTTTACCTCCTCGACCATACATTTGACCATTATGGCCATTAACATGATGCCAGTTTTGTTGATGTTGTTGTTGGAAACCACCATGAGATTGCCATCCAGTAGGAGGACGATCCTTACCCCAAGAGAGCTAATATAAAATTATATTTAATTAATTTTCCTCATTCATTCATTCATTCATGCATTACCTTTGCAGGACGACCGTGAATATTGACATTTTGTAATTGAACCAAAGCATTGGCGGCATTTTCGTGAGTATCCATCCTAAAAAAAAAAAAAAGAAAAAGTAAAATGAAGAATAAAAATGATTAATGAAATATCTTTTTTGATTGAATTTTATGTTTTTTTTTCTTTTCTTTACTTGACAAAAGCGAAACCACGATCAGCTTGTAACTTGATTTCTTGTACGAAACCGAAACGTTGGAAAGGATGCAAAAGATCATTTTCTATTATAATAAAAAAAAAAGATCAGTTATATCTATTATCAAAGATTGTCTTTTTTTTTTGTTCTTACGAGTAGTTTCAGGTTGTAAGTTTCCAACATAAACACTAGTCACGTAAGCAGGAGTTTGGTGAACAGCGATTTCAAAAGGTAATTGTTGTCCAGGTTGAGGAGGAGGAGTAGCAGTTTGTCCTATTATTATTATATTATATTTAGAAAAGAAATTATTAATTTATGTTCATCAGATCAAGTTGAATTTCTTACCTTTTTGAGTAGCCCAGTTACAACGAATAGCACGAGAGCCGAGCCATTCACCATTCATAGTAGCAATAGCTTGTTCAGCATCAGTCTTATCACGGAAAGCGGCAAAACCAAAACCTCTAGATTTACCAGAAACAGGATCCCACATAACATGAGCTTCACTATATATAAAAATAAAATTAAAATGAATCATATAAATAAATAAATAAATTTATCACTTACGACATGGTACCGAAAGCAGAGAAAGCCTTGACTAACATATCGTCAGTAATTTCAGGAGCAAGATCACCAACAAACACGTGGAAGTGATTAGAAGTATCTTCCTTAGCAGCGGCAGTACCAGGTTGAGCCCAATTCACTTTGATTTCCTATTTATTTACATATTATAAAAGAAGAAAAATAAGTATGACTTATTTTATATTATATATAATTACATACATGATTGAAGATTTTACGACCATTCATATCTTGAATAGCTTGTTCAGCAGCACGACGATCAGCATATTCAACAAAACCATAGTTAACACCAGCCTATAAAATATATATATGTCCATATTAATGAATGAAACAAACTAAATCATGAATATATATATATCTATATATTACTTACATAAGGACCATGTCGTTTAACCTAATTCAATAAAAAAAAATAAAAAAAATAAATAAAAATAGGATTAAAGAAAAGTAATATAATATAATTTGAGTTATTTTTCCGTTTTATTACATTGACCACCTTGACTTGAACAACAATACCAATAGTAGCAAAGATTTCTTGTAACATGGTTTCAGTCACTCTAAATTATGTAAAATATAGAAAGATTGAGATAAATCATAATATATAAATATATAAGATAATTTCTGAAATACCTTTGATCGAGGTTACCAACATAGATGGCGTTTGCAGAGACTTCAGCTGTAGAGGGTGAGGACATGATGTTGATAAAATAATATAAAAACCTTGGGTGGCTTTTTTAAAATAAAATAAAAAATAAAAGAAAGAAAGAAAAAAAAAAAAGAAGAAGAAGAAAAAAAAAAGATAAAAAAAAATGGATACTAGATAAAAAAAAATAAACTCGACTGGAGAAGATCGATAGTTTTATACAAGTATGAGTTAAAGAGAGAGAGAGAGAAAAGAAGAAAAAACAGAAAGAAAAAAAAAATGCCAAAAACAAATAGGAAAAATCGAAGGCTTGTGAGAGAGAAATTCGTGCGATTCAAACACAGCTACAAAATTCAATAAATCTTCCCCTTTCCTTTTTTTTTTTTTTTTTTTTCTCTTTGTTTCTCCTCATCTCATATATTTACCCCACAAATGTTTCTTTGTAATAAAAATAAAAAACCTATTTATCGAAAATTAGTTGTTGTTGGTGATGGTAGTATAGGAAAGTCTTCTATTCTTAATGTCTTTACAAAAGGTTTTTTCCCTCAGGTATTCTATTTCCTCCCCAACAAAAAAAAAAAAAATTAAAACTAAACTTCTTTTTATATATATTATTTTTAGGTTTATGAACCCACTGTATTTGAAAACTATGTACATGAAATGACAGTAGATGGACAAACTTTAGAATTATCTTTATTTGACACGGCTGGTAAAATAGTAGAATATCAAAAGAAAGAAATAAATCAACTGACTTTTTTTTTTTTTTTTTTTTAATTAGGCCAAGAAGAATTTGACCGATTACGTTCCTTGTCCTACGCTGATACTCATGTAGTAATGATGTGTTACGCTGTGGATAGTCTTGATTCTTTGGAAAATATTCCTAATCGTTGGATGGAAGAAGTATCTGAATATTGTCCTTATGCAAAATTAATATTAGTTGCTCTTAAATGTGATCTTCGTGATGATGAACAAGCTATGAAAAAGATGAATGGTCGACCTGTGTTATATGAAGAAGTAGGATCATAGTTTTCATTTTCGGCTTTCTAATCTTTTTCTCTCTCTTTTTTTTTTTTTTCTTTTTTTAGGGATTGAATGTGGCTCGAAGTATCAATGCAGTTCGTTATCTTGGTAATTATTATATATAAAATGAAATCATGCATATATGCAACAATCAAACTCAACAATCTTTTTTTTTTTTTTTTTGTCATTTTAGAATGTTCTGCCAAGCACAATCGAGGAATCCGAGAAGTATTTGAACAAGCAGGTCGTGTCGCTCTATCAGGTACAATAAGGAAAATAACAATACCATTTTTTTTTATTAATCTTTCTTTTCTTTTTTTGTTCTAGTCCATTTAAAGACAAACAACGATACCTCCTCTTCATCTTGTATTATTTTGTAACAGTTATCTATATTCTTCCCTTTGTCTTTTTCCCCTTCTCTTCCCTTTCCTCATTCTTTCTTTCTTTTATTTCTTTAGTTTACCCTACAGTATCTTTTTTTTTATATATACCAACTTACATTATCATTATGCCAATACTACTATTACTACTATTACTTCTTTTTATTGTTATATTATTCTACATATTTACATTCTTCATTATGCCATATAGTAATATTAATAAAACAACAAAAATTGATTATTTTTTTTTGCCAATCGTTACGATCTTATTTTTCATTTATCCCTATCTTTTTTGATCATCACCGTTGTTTTATTTTGTTTGGTTCCAAAAAAAAAAAAGAGTATTCCTTTCAAGTAGATACCATAAAACTGTCACCAGATAATAAATCAGTCAATTCATTTTTATTTTTATTCATAAAATGTATAAAGTGTGTGGAAAAGCATAACCATATAAACAATAATGATAACAAAAAGAGAAAAAGGTAAAACTCTATTCTACACGACCTTGAATCTTCAAAATATCAGAGAAGATACCAAAAGAGGTAACAGCCGCACCAGCACCAGCACCTTGAATAATGAGACCATTAGGGAAGTATTCAGTGGTGAACTTGATGATATTGTCGCTACCTTGAAGAGATGCGAAAGGATGAGAGCCAGGGTATCTTTTCATAATAATAAAGAAAAAAAAAATATCAAATCAGTTCATTTATTTTCAAATCTTTTTTTTTTTTTGGAACTTACTTCAATAACTTGACACCACTTTGACCACCTTTAACATCAACTAAACCAACACAACGTAATACTTGATTTTCCTTCTTGGCATCTTCATTCAACTTGGCGAAATGATCATCATATTCAGGAAGTTTTGACATGAATTCTTCAGCAGAGGCAACAGATTGTAAAGGACCAGGCACGATATTTTCAACAGGTAAAGTAGATAAATCCAAATCGACACCAGCAAGACGACCGCAGATAGTGACCTATTCAAATATAACAAGAAGACATATATATATAATAATAAAAATAAAAATAAAATTAATTATCATCATCATCATCATTATTATTGTTCAAATATCGACACTCATATATATATTATACGTCAGATATATTATTACCTTGCGAGCTACATCCATACCATTCAAATCATCACGAGGATCAGGTTCAGTATAACCCAATTCCTTTGCGACCTTGACATTTTCAGAGAAGGAGCCCTTATCTTGACCAGACAGAGAAGAAAAGTTGTTGAAAAGAAAACTAAGGGTACCAGAGAAAATACCTTCAATTTTTTCTACCTTATCACCAGTATTCACCAAATCAGCCAATGTATTCAAGACTGGTAAGCCAGCACCCACAGTGGATTCATAGTAAGCAAAAGGCGCCTTACCAGTGCCATTCAAATTCCCAGCTAAGGATTGGATAGATTGGTACAAGGACAAGGGACCGGAGAAACCTTTCTTGTTGGGAGTGACAACACTGAGACCTAGTTCAAGCCATGAGGGATATAATGCAGCGACAGCATCAGAAGCGGTACAATCAACAATGATACCATGATCAGGAGCGTCAGAAAGATACTTGGCGAATACACCTAAATTGGCTTCAATACCTTGTTCTTGTAAATCGGTCTTCCATTGAGACAAATCGAGAGCAGTATAAGACGTGTCAGATACCACCATTTTCTTCGAAGTTGTCAAACCAACCACATTTAACCGTTTGGCTCCAGTGGCTTTCAATTGGACAAGTAATTCGGAACCAACTAAACCAGCACCAACAATACCAATATTCACCATTCTTATATATAAAAGTAATTGAAAAAAAAAAAGAAAAGAAAAAGAAAAAGAAAAAGATGGAACTAAAAAAATTTAATGATGAAAACACAGATCAATCCCGTCACGTCTTTTCATTGGACAGATGAGTCAACAGCATGCAGGCCTCAATCCAGTAAGCAAATGCCCGAAACAAAAACATCCACACATCATGATCATATAGTTTCTTTTTTTTTTATTATTATTATCATTAAATCATTCAAAATCATTTTCTACTATCTAATTCACTTTGAGTCTTCGTTTTCAATGTAAGAGCATGTAATCCTTGTTGAAGTTCATCACCCAATAACCCATAAATCATTCTATGTCGTTGCATAAGTGTCTAATCATATCAATCATCCAAAATATAAACAAGTGTGAGCTCATTTATCATTGAATCACTTCCTTTTTTTTTCTGTATTTGTCTTTTCCTTTTTTTTAACTTGCTTACCTTGCCTTCAAACTTATCAGATACTACTGTTAACCTAATAAGATAACAAAGACAAAGAACAATAATATTATATATATATCTTTCTTTATCTTTTCCTATCTCTTTCTATTTTTTTTTGTTTTACTTGAAATGAGTTTCCTTGTTGGTGACACCTTTCATAGCAGCATGATGAGCATGTAGATGAGATTCATTCACAGTTTCCAATATAGTAGGTTCCAAAGCTTCTGTTACCTTTTTTTTAAAAAAAAAAAAATAAAGAGATCAATTAAGGAACTAGACGTTTTATTTTATTTACCTTTTGTTCAATAGATAATTGAACAGGTCCTTTTTCCTTGGTGGCCATAAAGTCGTTTAAAAATCGAGAAGGAGCTGGTGAAGAGAAGAATCGACGAGATACTAAAAGACCTTGAGAAGGAGTCAAGATCGACTTTAGCATAGTTTATAGGAGAAAGGAAAGAAAAAAAAAAGATTTAAAAAAAAAAAACAAGATGAAATCTGAGGAACGGGTGGGTAAGGTTTACACTCCGGCTAACCTTTTTCTTGACGATCATGTAAACTGGTCATTGATTGATAAATATGTTTAGTTGCTAACTATGCTTCCGATGATAATATTATATGATGCTGATGACGATAATTCTTATTATTGCTATGCTTTAAATAATGATCATGATTCGTATAATAGTGTTCGATATATATTAGACTCCAGTTCTAAGTCTGTCTTATTATATTGTATCAATTTGTCACAAAGTAAAAAAAGAAAAAAGTCAATGACATAAAATTGAACTAATAATTGCACTATAGATAACATATATACTATTTTTCAATTGTCATAGATGATCATCCAAAGTTGTGTTCAATAAAAACCATACACTTCTTGCGAATTCGAATATGGAATGGATCCTCGTTTCGACTTTTGAAAAGAAATGGAAAATGGTTAGTATCGTGATCAACTAAATATTATTTTGTATATACAAAAAAAAAAAAAAAAAAAGATCCAAACAGCAAGAAGACAGACAAAAGAAGCAAAAGACAGAGTTTATTAAGAGCATAATAATGATCACGGTTAGATTATTAGGGGAGCCATTGTTTGGGACACTTGACGGACCTCCAAAAATGCATCCAATACTTTTTTTCTTCTTCTTTTTCTCTTTCTTTTCTCTTCTTTTTTTTTTTTTTTTTTACTCGTTTTTCCACTCTTTTTCCTATTTAATTTTATATATTTTATTTACTTTTTGCTATTCACAATGTGCGACTTTGATATTACTAGTTTCCGTGATAAATCCTCAACATCAAATACACAAAATCCAAATCAAGGAGAAAGTACATATACTGCTTTTTTGGAAAAACGTAAGTAGCCCTTTTTTTTTTTAGTTGCTATGCTTCCATTCACCACTAATACAACAATCAATCGATCATTCTTTTCGTTTTATCTTATGTTCATGTGATCAGGGAAATTATTAGGTTTAGACGACTCGGATTCAGACTCTGATTCAGACGAAGACTCAACTTCAAAGAAACAAAAAAAGAAATTACAACCACAACAACAGGACGAACCATCAAAACCAACGACATCGACAATAGACACCGATAAAAACAAAATAAACGACACTGTAGATATAATAGATAATGATAAACAACCCGATCAGATTGCATCAACATTACATTCTCAAGTGAAAACGGAATTGGTTAACAAAACATCAATGTAAGTATTGCATAAACCAAATGACTGAAATGTATATACTAACATACTATTTTATGATTTTTTTTTTTTTGGTTTATTTCCAACGCAATAGAGATTTATGCAATGATTCAACCGATAGGTAAGAAAAAAAAATCTTATTGAACTAGTAACAACATAAAACCATGAAATCATACCAACTATTTAAATTATTTTTTTTATTTTTGTGATATATTGAAGTAGCTCTGTGCCAATAGAAATTACTGATGCACCAATAACACCTAAACGACGAACGCCAGCACTGGAACTCAGTATATCTATGGATATTGAAGATTTAGATCCAGAACTTGCAGAGCTTACTGCTGAGGAAAGACATACACCCGCCACAACTGATTCTATAGGAACTGATACTGAACCTCAAAAAGTGCAAATCAAGGTTACCTATGTTAGTTTACTTGAAACGGTCGACCCGGTATTACAAAACGTTATTAACATATTATCAAAACCTGTCAAGGTGATCATGATGGATGTAAGTAAAGTGGGAAAAAAGTAGAATTTGCTGATCTCTCTTTTTTTTTTTTAATAGAATCATCGATTTGATACTTTACTTGGTGAATATTGTAAAAAGAAAAGATTAATGATGAAAGATATGATCCTGGTATATGAAAATGTACCTGTCGTTTTACGTGCTACTCCTTCAAGTTTATCCATGTCTACACTATCGGTCAACAAAATGGGTAAGGCATACATTTGTTCTATTTGTTTTGATTCACCTATCACTAACATTCATTCTATTTTTTTTTTTTTGGTAGAGGTTTATAAAAGAGATGAATTTGAAAGGAAGATGAAGTTGGAACAAGAAATCAAGGCAGCTAGATTGAGTCAATTAGCTGAAGAAGGATTGGAAATGGATGATGATTACCATGAAGATTACAACAACAACAACAACAACAACAATAGTGATCACATGAATAACAATGACACATCAATACCACAAGATAGTGATTATTTACATATCAAACTACGTGGAAAGGACAAGAAGGATGTTGGACTTCGTGTAAAACCGGTAAGTGGATAATCAAAAAAGAAAACAAAAAAAAGTTGGAATGGATGGTACTCATCTTTCTCTTTTTTTTTTTGTATTCATATATATGTATAGACAACAACAGTAGAATCAATGGTAAAACAATACATTCGGCTGATGGGATTGGATATGACACTTTTACCCAAAATACAATTATCATTTGAAGGGGAAACTTTGGCACCATCAACGAGGATAGAAGATACGGAATTGGAGGATGAAGATATGTTATCGGTGATGATTCATAGTTAAGTTACTTTTTATTTTATTTTTTATTATTATCATATTATACCTTTTCGTTACAAAACGAAATAAAGTTATTTTTTTTTTATTTTTATACAAATTGTTCAATATAATTAGATTATGGTAAATCAAAAGATATTTTTGATGATGAGAGATATTTGCTGCTATAGTTGGTCGGTTACTGAATTGAAAATGAGGAGTCAATGCATCGTCTATTGTTCTCTATAGAGTAAGCCAAAAAGTTTTCTCAACAAAATAATAGATAAAAAAAAAAGATTATTCTGTCATCCAATGTGACACATCTTCCTAAATAAGTTCATCAACTTTAGAAAGGAGAAAAGGGTACCCCGTTTTTTTCTCGATGACCAATTTTTTCATATGCAACCAAATCCCGCTCTTCACATGGCTGATAGATGATTATTTTAAAGTTGAATTTGTTTTCTCTTTTTTTTTTTTTTTGTTAACTAAATTAATTCAGTTTCTTATTTTTTTTTTTACTTTCTTTTTAATTATCATTATTATCATATTCATAATAGTAAAAAAAAAAAAAAAAAAAAAAGAGAAGGAAGGAAAAAAGAAAAAAAAAAGAAAAAGAGGGAAAACTATAGAACGAGTTTAAACGATTTGCCGCTGGAGATCATGATGACCTAAAACAGGTATCGGCTATTCACGGAAGATTCGGAAGACTTTAGTTGGTTGTCAATTTTCAAAAAGTGGAAAATACTCACTCAATATTGATTTTTTTTCAAAGCGACTTTACAGTCAAATGAAAATAAAAATAAATTAGAATATCATAGTGAAGTTATTTTAACAAAAAGTAAACAAAATTAAGTCATAAAGTCCTTTTTTTTGATAATTTTTGAACCGGTACGGAAGTTTAAATACTTAGTAAGAACGATTTGGTTCCTCCCCGTGGTTTGCTTTCTCCCCTCATTTTCCCAAAAAAAAAAAGGAAAACCTTCTATAAAATGATTTTAAACGCCGACCATATATTGATCTGGCCTCGTTTTTTCCATTCTTTTACTTCTTCTTCTTCACTCTATATACTTTTTTTTTTTGGATTCTCTTTTTTTTTTTTTTTTTTTTGTATACGATTTTTATTTTTCTGTTTGATTCTTACTTCCTTTACATATCTTTTTTTATTTATTTACCTTTTTTCTTTATTGTATGATCCTTTTATCCTTCCTTTTTATTACAAGACAAGTTATTGATAACACCAATCTTTTGATCTTTGTATACAATCGCCCTCTTTCCTAAAAAGAATCAAGATATTTATTATTTTTTTTTTTTACGCCTTTTTGATTCTTCTGCATTTTATTATTTACTTTTTCCTTTTATTTTCTTATATCCATTCCTCCTTTTCTTTCCTTTTCTATATTTATTCGAACCATGTCTTCCATGTTGTTACAAGAATTTATCGACGCTCCTTCCAAAGCTGAATCCATCTTGGCCACTCTGACAGCTGAACAAATCCAACTTATAGAAGCTACTATCAACAATGTCAAGAAAAGAAAACTAGAGAGCTCGAAAGTACCTCCTACTCCTCCGTCCGATACCGATGACACTATGACCTCTGATCCCACTTCTACTGATACTTCTGTCTCTGTACCTACTCCTAACTCTCATAGTTTATTACAAACTCCTACCAATACTACCACTACTACTACTACTTCTGTGGCTGCTGCAATTGCTACTGCTCTCGCTGCCGCTATGACCAATGCTGTGGCTAATACTTTACAACAACAACAACAGCAGCAACAACAACAGCAACAACAGCAACAACAACAACAACAGCAGCAACGACCAAATAAACCAGCAAAACTACCTATGGAACCCTCAGCAGAAATGAAGGATGGAGTGGAATGGGTATCTTTTGTATATTCTCATAACCGGGTGATGAAGAACTATACTATTCGAACAGATCTCAATTCAATTAGTTTGGATGATATTGATGATAAATTCAAGACGGACAATTGTGTAAGTAGGGTTTAGACATGGATTTGAAGGAAAAAGTATATACGGCTAAACTCTAATTCTTTTTTTTTTTTTTTTTTTTGTTTAGGTATATCCAAGAGCTAATTTACCAAAAGAACAATACAAAGGAAATCGATGGTCTTATGAAACTGAATGTAATGTCTTGGGATGGAAATTGGCGTGGCTAAATATGAATGATATATCTGGCAAGCGTGGATTGATTCAACGAGCTGTGGATTCGTATCGTAATCGATATCCAAGTATGCGATCTCGACGTGTAGCGCGTCAAGCAAAATTGATGAATGGTACTTTACGAAAACGCAAACAACGTGGTGATGAAGAAGATACTTTGATTGAACTTATGACTTCTTTGGCTTCTGGCTCTGCATGTGCAAATATTACCAACAACAATGTGAAACATCCCTATGTGACACCAACCACTTTAGAAACTGCGACTATTAAACCTGCAAATCATCCCAAAACTATTGCTATGGAAGATCTTGCTACTGGTGCTCGTTGTCGTATCAAGATTAATATCGAAACTGTTTCTTTGGACAACATACCTCATGATTTTCGCTTGGTGAATTCTCCTTTTCCTCGGCATTTACATTCAACTGTATCCAATGGTCGGACTCGTTCAATTGAAGAAAAGATATGTAATGAATTAGCATGGAAATTGGTAAGCAAAATCAAGAACGTGTGAATGGGTTGAGACTTATCTTTTTTTTTTTTTTAATATTCACCTATTAGGCTTGGCTTAATCCCAAGATTTTGGCGGGGAAAAAGAATATGTTACAACGTGCCATTGATCTATATCGAACCAAGTTTATGCCATCTATGCCTCCTCGAAAACATTCAAGTCGTCAACCATCATTACCAACTTTATTGAACAATCCATCCTTGATCACTCCTCTTACTACTTCAGCTTTATCGGCACAAAATGCACAATATCAATTGGAAGAAAAGGATACATCAAAAGCATCATCACCTTTATCATCATCACCCACAATGTCATGTGTTAGTGGAACAACAGCATCTTTGGATTTCACCGATTGTTTATCGCTGGTCGATGAGACAACATCACTGGGTTATACCAACAATGACAATGACTTTGTACTTCCTTCAGATTCATCATCACAACAACAATCACCTCATCTTCCACCTTGTTTTGATGAAGCAAGCACTACCATTAGCGCAAACAGTGAAACCAATAGTATGACTTGCACTCCCAGTCCTCCAGTGAAATCAGAACTCTTCCGACTTGCCATGGATGAAATGTATGATGCATTTATGTTACCACCAACAGCAAGTGTAGATGATCATGATACGTTTATGTATGATTTGAATACGACTTCCACCAATCCAACTTCCAAATTATTCGATCCAACTTTCTTAGCCTCTCCTTCTCTTCCTTCAAGTACTCTCCAACAAGATTTACTCGTCAAGCTCGAAACTACCGATGATTTTGCTGATCAATTACTGAACCCCTTCTTTTAGATTCTTTGTATATTTTGTTTATGTTTCATTAGTATATATTTATATTTTTTTTTTTTATTTTATCTTCCCTGCCTCTTTATCATCATTCATTCTTAGTTAGTATCCTTATTTACACTATTTTTTTTTTCCTATTTGTACTTTCATTATCTTTATGTCTATTGATGTATTATCAAAAAAAAAAAATTCTGCTGATAAATTCTTTACATAGATCTTCTTTTTGTATACAATAAAAAAAAAAATATAATACTCATCTTTATGATCATCATCACGTTTTTCTCTTCGTCTGATCTCATCTTTTTTTTTTTTTTATTATTAATGATCACTAATATGTGTTACCAGTTCACTTATTAGCCACATTTTTGAATGTCCCCAACAATCTAAAAATCATCATCCTCCAAAAAGAAATACCACCACAGGACGTTCAAAAAAAAAAAAAATCAACGCAAGTACAAACAATAAAAACATACTATTATGATTAATATTTTTTTTTAAAATCATGACTTTATTTCAATTTCATTTGTAAGAACTAAGTCTAAACTAAACTATAAAAAAGTTTATCTATGGGTACTAAATCAAAGAAGAAGAAAAAAAAATCCATGAGTTTCAAATACTTTTTTTTTTCCTATTCTCTATTTCACATATTCTTTATATGTACGTGTATCTCTTTCAGTAATAAATTAGGCAATACATGTTGTCTACAGTAAAGAGAGATGAACTCTCTTTTGCAGAACAGGTCTGTATGGTTATCATCACGTAGAAATACACACTTCACAACAAGATCAAAAAAAAAAAAAAAAGAAAGAAGGACTTACCAACTAAAAAGGACAGTATCACAATCTGTTCCAACGCGAAAGAAAACAACAAAGAGAGAAAAAAATCAAGGCAGTAAAGTTATTTTTATATTCACTCCTAAAGAATAAAAAAAAAAAATTTTTTTTTTAGTTGCCGCCTCAAGAATTAATGAGTTCTCTGGGACATATTTCCTTTTGTTGTATCAGCCACCACCATTTGTATCAATAAAATCTTTTTTTTTTTATTTCAATCTATAAGTAGAAAAAAAAAAGAAGCGAATATATATATATATAAATATAAATCTAAACTGATAATAATAATAACAATAAAAACTAAAAACTAAACTATAAAAAAAAAAAAAAAAAAACTAGGAATGCTTGAGTTGTTCTTGAGCCAGAGTCAAATCAGCCTCCAATTGTTGAATCCGAGTTAAATAACCCACTTCCTTTTGCAAAAGATGACTGTTATTAGATTCCAAAGCCGATAAACGGATCAAAAGTTGTTGATGTACCGCTTCTAATTCAGAGACACGTGAAGCCATGGTTTCCATCTTTTGTAATTTCCGTAATCGAGATCGTCTTGCCGCATCCGTATTCTTTTGTCGTTTCAATGCCAATTCTGAAGAGATAGGTTGTTCTTGTTGACCAGATAAATCACTTGTATTATTGGATGATCGCTTCTTGGGTGTTTGTTTCAAAGCAAAAGTAGGAGTAGAAGCACTAGTGATATGACTTGCCACTGCTTGAGCCGCTGGTGGAGGAAGTACCTTTCCTGTTGATCCATCCTTCTTATTCTTCTTCTTGTTTTTCTTGATATCAGTTGTCAAAGGAGAATCCAAAGTCATGATCATTTCTAAAGGAGGACTGGTTGTTGAAGATGGAGAATAACCAACAGAAGGAGAAGAGGAGTTGGATGTCTTGTCAACAGAGGATGATGATTGATCAGGAGATGATAATAAATCAAGAGAAGTATTAGGCACAACGAGAGTATCAATCAAATCATCTAATGGAGCATTCATCTTGTTTGAGACAGTAGTAGTAGTAGAAAGAGCACTAAACAAATCTTGAGGAGGAGAAGAAGGCATCCACAAGTAATCCTTGGAAGAACAAGGTGAAGTTAAGAAAGCATCTTGTACCAAAGAAGTAGTATCAACAGAAGGTTCAACTAATGACTCAAACATATCAGAATGACACCAATCATCCAATGGAGTCATTAAACTTGGAGGGATTGGTTGATAAACTTGTTGAATAAGATCATTGTTGTCCATTGGGGAAGGAAGAGCCATAGATTTGAAACAAGAATCTGATAACGAGGTAGGGGTAAATGTAGTCATAATAGTAAAATAATGAGGAAGTGAAGATAACAGTGGTAATGGAATAGAAGTAAAAAAAAAAAAGTATTTGTAAAAGTGAAAAGAAGAAGAATAAAAAAAAAAAGCAAAAAGTATCTAATTCAAAAACGGTTGTATATCAAGTATATAAAGTAAGAAAAAAATAGAGGATTTTCAACAAGGAGATTCTAGTTTACGAGACTTGGATGTCTTTCGAGTGAGTTTGCGTGTATGGGATGCATTGTTGGAGACCATTGTTGGACTGTTGTTATTGATTGTTTTTTGTTTTGTTATTGTTGATAAGTTGGTTAGTTGAATATAAAAATTACTTGTCTTGGTTATTGTTGTCTGTTGTTAAGTTCCGTACAAAGTTGGGTACGCGTTATTTAAATGGTGGAAGCAAACATAGTAGAAAAATAGAGAATAACTAGAATCAAATAGGGTTTCAGGAATGTATATATTAAAAAAAAGGGTTTCAAAGAGAAAGAGAATGAGTTAAAAAAAATATAGAAGGTGATTGAATAATAAAAAAAACAATAAAGATCTTTTTCTTTTTTATAAAGATGTTCTTAAAAAAAGAGAAAGATCGTAGTAAGACGCTACAACAGCAAAAAGGAAGACAAAGAAAAGAAAGAAAAGAAAAACAAAAGAAAAGAAAAAAGGGGCGAAGGAAAAAAAAAAAGTAGAAAAAAAAAAGCTAGTAACACTACGAAATTAACCAATGAGAAAACAGATCCCATGAATGAAATGTAAACCCAGCATGTACAGTCTTTTTTAAAGTTTGAATTGAAAAAGAGAAAAAAAAAAAACTAGGGTAACTGTCTACACTTGTATCATCGTCATCATGTCCTATAATATTACTACTAGTGGCTAGTATTGATCATCTAAATATAAAAGTGTAACTATCATCTTCATATAATGTTTGCTATACCGGTGATTGAAATCTTTTATTATACTCTTTATTTTATTTTTATACATTTCTTTTTTCTTTTTTTTCGGTCTATTGAATGGAAATGGCAGAAATACGGATAGATTGAGTATTAAGGAGGGAGAAGAGTAATCATCATTATCCCTCCCACCCCTTACTTGATAATAACAACAAAGAATTGAATAAAGTGTAATTCCCAAATCTAGATAAAATAAATACAAAACATTTCGAATCTTTGTTTAGTTGAAATCACCGCCAACGGAAGAAAAAAAAAAAAGAATTGAATTTTTTTTTCCCCTTTCTTCCCTCTTTCTTTTCCTTTTTCTTTCTTTTTTTTTTTTTATTGTATTGTATATTTATAAAAAAAATAAAAATAAAAAAGTTTTATATCTATATCTATATATCATGTACCATGACCATACATCTCCTATGAGTTCACCATTAGCTTCACCTATTGGTTCTCCTTATCAAAACCAAGGTGACTGGGATCAACTTCAATCTCAATTCTCTCAACAAATGTCTTTACAACCACCAAACACAAATGGCAATAATAATATTAATAATAATAATAATAACAATTCTAGTAATCAAGGAACATCTATTGAACAAGGTGATCAACAACAAGGCAATAAAGGAAACAATAACAATACTTTTGTACATAAACTTCATACGTAAGTAATAGAAAAAAGGTTTAGGATACAACAATAATTTGATTTTTTTATTTTATTTTAAAATTTTAATAGTATGGTAGGCGATATTCAATATCAACACTTGATTGCATGGACATATTCTGGTACTTCTTTTATTGTTTGCAATATTACTGAATTTTCAAGGGATGTCTTACCTAAACACTTTAAACATAATAACTTTTCAAGTTTTGTACGACAATTGAATATGTAAATCTTTTTTTTCCTTTTTTTTTTTTTTCTGGAAATACTAACTTTTTATTTTCTTATCAAGGTATGGCTTTCATAAAGTCAACAAATCACCAAGGGGACATCGTACATTAGCTGAAAATCAAATATGGGAATTCTCACATAGCAAGTTTTTACGTGGACGGGCTGATTTATTGGATGAAATTAAACGAAAAGCATTGGAAACCGATCTGGCAAGAAGGGAACATAATGGGATAGACATGAATTCTCATATGACAATGATGCAAATGGCTCAATCTGATATGCGTCAACAATTAGTACAATTACAAAGTAATTTTACTCAAATCGTCAAAGAATTGGAAGATACGAGGAAACAACAATCTATTCAAATGGATATGCTGAAAGGGTTGATGCAATTCATGTCTCAACAATTAGGTGCTCCTTGTAAGTATTAAAAAAAAAAAAAAATGATAGTGTAACTTTTTTTTATAAAGATATCTCATCCTTCATTTTTATACTCTTTTTGGTTTAGTACCACCTTCTCTTACACTAGATACCACCGATACCAATAAACAACAACAGCAACATCAATTTAAAAATAAGGCCGCAGAACAACCACCACCAATATATATTACATCACATGATACAACATCAAAACAGGAATCTTATTATGTCTCAATGTCATCCTCTCCATCAAACTGTTATTCTTCACCTTCATCACCTCAATTACCAACTCATCATCGTCCTCCTAGTCTGACTGTACAAACACATAACCTTCAACAATCTTCTTCATCACCTTCTTCACCTATTGGTCTTGATCCATCATCCCATCATCATCAACAACAACCTCCATTATCGCCAGCCTCATCCGTCAACTCCTATCATGCAGCCGTCAATACGCCATTACCACCAAGTCCCAGTCCAGGTGCTTTTTTCACTTCAGAAGATGATCCTGCCCTGTACTCCAATCCACATTCTCCTCATACGCCCTTCCTTCTGGATCAATCCCCCGAAGCATTTAACCAACGATTAACTATTGCCGATCCTTCATTTCAAGCAACTCATTTTTAGCTAGTTAATTTTGTTATATAGTATTCTTTTTTTTTTCTTTTTTTTTGGAAATAAAATTTATTCACCCTCAGATTCGAAGCACCTCTTTTCTTTGAAGGTTATCATTAGTTTTGTTTTCATGAATGATGTTACACACTTAACATAATAATGGATTTTTTTTTCTCATTTGTCTTAAATGGATGAATAAAGTGTAGTCAGCGTTCAGGCTTCCCTTTTTTGTAACTCAGTTTGTGCCAAGGTTTCTTAATATTAATTTTTGCAGTCTGGGAAACCTTATTTCGTCTCTTTTATTTTTTTTTTCTCACTCTTTATTTTATTTTATTTTCTACATTATTAATACTAGTACCTTATCATGAATTCACCTACAATCAAAGAAGAAAAAGTCAAACAAGCAAGATTCAGTTTTCAATATTTTGATGAAGCATGTGATGTAGGTGTGGAAAACGAACATGGAGAGCGCGTGCGAAAACGAAAACGACCAGGGCGAAAACCAAATCCACCCTCGCAACAGGAACGGCGGGAACAGAATCGTTTAGCTCAGCGAAACTTTCGTGAACGAGAACAACAACGACGTCAAGCAAGAGATAGACAATGGAAAGAATATATGGAAGAATTGGATTCCTTACGACAACGAGTGGCCGTTGCAGAATACGAAAGCAACTATCTCCGGGGTTTGATCTTACAACTTTTATTGGCCAGTATTGCTCAACGTGGTACTGTACCTCAAGTCTGGATTGATACAAGACGATATCCTATCCCACATCCTACAATGGTCCCTACACCTCCCTCTATAGATGAGAACGAAACTTCAAAAGTACCTGCCATCTTACAACTTGTATTGGACGATCAAACTCATTCTATTGTACATATCAAGAAAGCTCTGGAAATCGCTGATGGTCATCCATCTTCTTGTCCTCTTGTTCGACGTGCTCATCATGCTCGCCTTCGACAACAGCAACAACTTCGACAACAACAACCCACTAATATCGACATACCTTCTATTCCTATGCCTCCTCCAACGACCCCTTGTCAATTCAAATCCATTCAAGAATTGTTATCTTCTGAAATTGTCTCTTTAAATACTGATAGTCAAGATATCAGGCGGACATTCCCTGTATGCTCTTCCAACAATCAACGACGACAATCTTCGCCATCATCAGCTTCATCACCACCATCATCAGCATCATCATCATCATCATCATCATCATCATCACAGCAACAGCGTAAGCTCTCAAATTCCTGTTCATCCTCAAAACCAATGGTCAATATCAAAACCGAACCTACTTCTTCCAATCATGACGTTTACCACTCTTCAACAAAACAACAGACATCTCCTCCACTTTCTGTCTTCTCCCCTACTTCTCTTACCGATTCAGAAATCGACAGATGCAATCCATCTGATCAGAAAACTAGTCATCAACAACCTCAATCTATCTCACCCATCACTACTAAAACAACAACACTATCTGCAGTCAAAAGAGTACAATCAGTCAAAGGCATCATATCTGAATCACCAACATTGAAACGACCTGAAGATCTATCTCATATGCCTCCTTTACAAGCTCTTCATATATTACGTCTACAACTGAAAATTGCAAGTGTGATTGGAGAAAAAATTCCTTTTACGTTGACTCCAAGTAAGTTCTAACATTGAGTACAAAATGGAGACTCATCTTTTTTTTTTTTTTTTTGTGGATACAGCTGCATTACAACGGGTAGTGCCACATGATATTCGTATTGATTATGTACCATCTGGAGCTATACGGGATCGAATGATTATATTCCAAGATTACTTTGACATGGACGAATGTTTTCAACTTTTATGCAGCCACTCGGTCTTTGTAGGTGGGGATGTCAGAGACAGTCGGAATTGGGTATTGGATCCAATTATCACGGAAAAGTATTGGTTTTTCTCTCATCATCTATTTGATCATCATTTCGATGATTGTCATATGCCTGAAGAAATGGCTGATCTTTTGAAGGAATGGTCATCACAGCCGGAAAATCAACAACAACAACAACATCATCAATCACAACAAGATCATATTACTATATCCAAAGAACATCATTCTTCATATTCGTCATCGCAGCCTAACAAGGAAAATCAACACACCGACACAGATAACTCTACTGATTGCTCATCTTCTTCAGCCTTCCAATCTTTACCCACTCCTTGTTGACCTTTTTTTTTTCTACTGATGTTTATGATTCATTTGGGCTCTTTTATGTAGTTGGTTTTAGTTGATATATAGTTTTACTTGAACATCATTCCATTTATTATTTTATATATATATTTTACATATGTTTTTGAATAAATTAATACCCTCTTTTTTTTTTTTTTTTTTTTTAAAATAAACTGGTAAGCAGTCTTCGTCCAATCTCTTCCAATACAAAGACGTCTATGAACAAAGAGTACGTATGTGTGTTTTATCATGATGGTTTTTTTTACGATTACTTTTTTCATGTTGTTAATATGATAGACACTGAAATGAGGGATGATAGACTTGGATGTTCCTTTTTTTTTTTTTTTTTTTTGCTGCGAGGCACTAACAGGATTGAGGTTTAATCATCCAAGTGAGAGCAAAGTTTGTCTTTTAATTTCTTGTTCAAAAGTGATCATCATCACGTCAAATTTGGACCTAGCATATGTGAAATCATTCTCTTTCACTTGTTAATAATAGTTCATTATCTCTCAATTTATAAAGTGAATTAAAAACAACGGAACGTCAATATCCGTTCATCCAATAATGATCATCATCATAACTACTGCCATGCTCAAAGAATAATCTAATATCATCTGATCCCATTTTATTACTTATCTTGCCGCTTAATGTACAATGATGGCCAAAAAGATTTCCCTGCTTTTTTGTAATTACCTGATGAATCCCCTCGACGATTTGATTTTTGCCGCCAAAACTTTGGTTGTAAAATCAGAAATTTTCACAAAAAAAAAAAAAAAGACTCTAATCACCCTTCAAATCTTATTTTTAAACTTAAATCTATCATCTTACTGAATAATCACCATTAACAAAAGACACGTATATTATCTATGATTACTTCTTTTATTAATGGATCAAAAAAAAATCAGTTTGTCGATAATGTGGAGAAAATTGGAGAAAAGTCACCCAACAGCTAATCTCACTCTAAAAGAGAAAAATCTTCATATCCTATTTTGAGGTTCAAACCTTCAGTCCTACCATAAAACCTCTACTAATAAAATAAGCATATATCTTCTATGATTATCTTTTCTATTAATATATCAAAGCACTTACCTTTAAAATTGTCGCGTTAAAGTATAAAAAAAAATTTTTTTTAAAAAAAAAAGGGTAATGGGAAATGATTAGCCAATTGTATTACGTTCTCTTAAACGCATATCATGATGATGGCGATGACTCCAAAGAAATGTGCGATGGTAATACCGGGTATGATGACTTCCTATGATGGGTGTGACAAACCAATATTGATGGTGTTTTAAGGGACACTCCCAATTTGGAAGTGGTTAATTCTGGTGATGAATCTTTTTTTTTTTTTTAGAACGCTGAAAATAGTAACCAAGTTGACCAATTCAGGGCAGTGTTGCATAAAAAAGAAGCACAATGATTAAACTGAACGTGACCTTTAGAATGATGATTTTTCACGTTCATCAATTTAAAAAAAAGAGAGGAAAGGTGATACCTTGGATTAAAAAACTCCCTTTAGTATATGATCCTATTTCAGGTAACGTTTTCACCAAAAAGTCTTTTTTCATTATGGATGACTGAGCTAATAATAACTTTGTTTTCAACATGATCTGAAGTAAAGACGCAGCAAAAAAAAAAAAAAAAAAAAAAAAGATATATAAAGAGAGAGACGAGGAAGAATTTTATTGATACTCCATCATCTTTCCATTATTAATATAACAAAACAAATAGTTTCTTAACAAACCATGTCTTCTCTAGTTTATTCCATGTACTCAATGGTCCTTTTCATCGTGATGATGATGCTGATGGTCGAAGCATTACCTGTGGAACAAAAAGTACCAGCAGCATGTCTTGGTTTCCGACTCACATCGCCTGTGAAAACTGGTCTAACATGGACGTACGGTCAATGCTATTCTGCTGATTGGGATGTAGGTGCCAGTCAAGTGACCACCATCACCACGGTGCAATTGATCGATGCCAAATCCAAAAAGGTTATTACCACTGAAGCCAAGAATATCCCTGCATCTAAAGGTACTTCGGGTAATTTCCCTCTATTGATGGGTGATGATGTCAATCCAGGTAACTACTACTTCCAAATCAATGCAAAGACAAGCTCATCCAAAACTTGTTCTGTCACTTCTGCTACCTTCAACGTCATTGTCAATCCTAATTCTCCTCCTTCCACCCATTGCGACTAATAAAAGCAAATGATCATCTTAAATGTTGCCACCATTTCAATAAAAAGAATTCCATTTTATTATTATTATTATTATTACTATTATTTTTAACTGTTGGTAATATGTTGTGTTTCTATATTAAGGATGATAAGTAAAAATGATAAATAGACAAATTGATAAAAGAAAGAGATATATGGAAAAATCAATAAGTAAGGGTATATATATATATGTATGTGTGAGAGAGAGAGAATGATACTAAAAAAAAAAAAAAAAAAAAAAAAAAAAAAACTAACAAAACAAGACATCTTCCACAAAATCGCATTTCACTACTAAACTGGGGAGATCATCATCATATAATCCAGGTAAACCTTGACCATTATTACCAGTATGAATCCATAAAGGTGAAGAAGAACCATGAATACCTTCCGCCATATTAGAATCATAGCACGTGTACCGATCTGCCATTGTTTCCTTTACGTAAAGCCATCTGAGCCCTTGCGTTTGACTGTATTGCTGTCCACCAATAGATACATGCTTGATCCATAGTTGTTTTAACTTCCATTCCGATCTTTCCATAGTACAACTCTTGATTGTCTCTCCGCTGTTGTTATTGAGCACCACATTGTCAAGACACAAATGGGTCAAATGAAGTAATCGATGATGCATCAAGTCTGTCCAAGCTGTTGTATCATCCACATAAGAAGATTCCAATATCAATTGTTCAAGTCCATGTGTTCGAGAAGAAGGACGATGTTGTTGTTGTTGCTGCCTTTCCTTGATAAAAGTCGCATATGAAACGGCCAACACCCGTAAATGACCAAGACAATCAAGTAAACGATTCATACCAACATCAAAGCCAGGATAACATTTAAGAGAAAGAGTTGTCAAAACACCGTATTGCTTCAGTACAGGAGAGATCAAAAAAAGAGTATCATCCAGTGTTGTTTGTAGTAAAGTGCGTTTCATGAATTCATCGTTATGTTGTTGATGTGTTTTGTTATCATTCAGCTTGCCATTGTTGTATACATCAATTCCAATCCTTTCCAGTTGATGCCGAGCTACCCAAGTGTTGAGAATATCATTCAATCCAAGTGTATCATGCTGATTGTCCTTTGTTGATTGACGTTGGTATTCCAATTCAAGTTGACGTAAATGACATGGATGATGTTGCTTTCTTTTGTTTTTTTCAATATCGTCACAGATGACTGTCGTGATTGCTGATGGTTTCTGCATCCAATTCTTGATTTCTTCTGCTGGCCATATACTTGTCACGTACTCATTTGCGCCTTGAAAGTCCATTTTCAGTTTTGTTAAATGTTGATAACCTGATATCAATCCAAAGAGAAAGGATCGACTTTTTCGAAGATAGTCACATATCATGTCGCCTTCATCCAAGTCAACCATAGTGCTGTTATCATCGTGATTATCGTTGCCAAGTGATCGATCTATCATAGGAAGCTGTGTGTAATGTTCGTCAAAAACATATCCCAGATGAAGAGAAGTCAGCTGTGGATACTTGTTCAAGAGGTATGTGTAACATTCGGAATCGCATGATGCCAAGTCGGATATTGCCAACGATTTGAGAGTTGGTGTTGCTGTTATTGACGATATATTTGTATATGAGAACGAATGAGCATAAAGAGTTAAACGTACCAGAGATGGGCAGAGAGCATGCAAGTGATCCAAAGTTGCTGTTGTCATGCCACTAAAACCAAAGGCCAATTGTAAATCTACAAGGTCTGAAAAAATATAAGGTTGTCGTATTTTGCAGATCAGATTATTTGTTGGGTCATCATCATTTTGTATGTGTTGGTCTTCTAATAGAAGCAGAGAACTAAGATCATTGATAGTACATACCAGACTGGTCAATTGAGAGTGTAACACCGGAATCCAAGTGGATGGAGCATCGCCATGATAACCAGATAATCGTTTCAGATACTTCCAATGATGTAATAGTTTTGGATACAAGTATTTTTTCCCAAGAATATCATTAATGTTGCTGCTGTATGTACCACTAATATCAAAGGATTCTATTCTAGGACATAGATGCAAAAGAGGTAGTTCGCGTAGATCGAGATGAACCTGAGGATGAATTCGTACAGTTCGTACCAAACACCGGATATGTAGACATTGATATTCAAGTGTTTGAAGCCATCGTTTGTATTGTCGATTGGAATGAATGTAAATGGTATGATATAAACATTGTCTTGAAATAATAGCCCAAGTATGACAAACTAGCATAGTCTGAACCAAATGACGTGGAGCTAGATATGTAAGTACAAGTTGAATGATTTCAATAGGAAGGTCTGCCTTGTATGTCATCTAATAAAGAAAAAAAAAAATAAAAGAAGGAATGGGGATAAAAGTAAAAAGTAAAGAAAAAAAGAAAGACAAAAAAGAAAAAAAATGATGGGGTTAAGATGTTTTCGTGTAACTGAGAATTAAAAAAAAAGGGCGAATATGCAGCTGTAATAACTTTTATTGTAGAGTTTTTTTTTTTTTTTTTTTTTTTCTTAACAAAAAAAAAAAAAGATATAAAAATAAAAAACAAACAAACAAAAAAAAAAAAGAAAAAAAAAAGAAAGATAGTATCTACATAAGAGAATAAAAAATAATAATAATAATAATAACACTAATAGAAATAGTAAATAATAATAAAGTCTACCTAGAAATGGATTTTCCAGCCAATACATCTTTAATTTCTTGAGATGTCAGAGTTTCATATTCGATCAATGCTTTTGCCAAACGATCAAGTTCTTCCCTATGAGTCATAAGTATATGTTTTGCTCTACTTTCTGATCCTTGTACCAATTCCTTGATTTCACTTTCTATAAGTACTTTGGTTTCCGTACTAAGTAATTGCATATCTTCATCATCATAGTTCACAGGTCCTACTTTTGGACTCATACCAAAGAATCGTACCATTCGTCTTGCAACATCTGTAGCTTTGACAATATCACTATGAGCACCACTTGTCACATTTTCATCACCAAAAATCATTTCTTCTGCTACACGACCACCCATACAAACATCAATTTGAGCAAGGTATTCCTTTTTCGTAAATGAGTCCTTTAAAAAAAAAAAAAAAAAAAGGTTTGAATCATCATTGAAATCCCATTCCTATATAATCATTATTTCATTACCTTATCCATTTCAGGTAATTGTACAGTCATACCCAAAGCTGATCCACGAGGAATGATAGTAGCCTTATGAAGAGGCATAGCACCAGGAGTAAAGTAAGCCACCAAAGTATGTCCACCTTCATGATAAGCAGTAATACGTTTGTTTTCTTCCGTAATCACTGCACTTTTCCTTTCGGCACCCATGATAATCTTGTCTTTTGAATATTCTAAATGTTTCAAAGTTACTTCACGACTACCTTCACGACTAGCTTGAATAGCTGCTTGGTTGACAAGATTGGCCAAATCCGCCCCACTAAATCCAGGAGTACCACGAGCAATCACACTGATATCCACATCCCCAGCAAACATAATGTTCTTCATATGTTGTTTTAATATTTGAATCCTTCCACGCACATCAGGCAAAGGTACATTGACATGTCGATCGAATCTTCCAGGACGCACCAAGGCTTTGTCTAAGAGCTCGGGAAAATTAGTTGCTGCAATAAAGATCACTCCTTCTGTTTGAGAAAATCCATCCAAATCCACTAAAAGTTGATTAAGTGTTTGCTTCATATATGATTGATCTTTTGGGTTGCGTTTTGATCCAATGGCATCGATTTCATCAATAAAAACAATACTTGGTGCTTTTGCTCTAGCAGCAGCTATATGTATTTGAAGGAAGAAAAAAAAAAAAAAAGTTAGTCGATCCATTCTCTTTTTTCTATTCTTTTTGACTATATACCAAAGAGTTCACGGACACGTCTTGCACCAACACCAACATACATTTCATCAAATTCACTTCCACTCATAAAGAAGAAAGGAACATTGGCTTCGCCAGCAACAGCACGAGCAAGCATAGTTTTTCCAGTACCAGGAGGACCAGTAAGTAAGACACCTTTGGGTAACTTCCCACCAAGTTCGGTAAACTTTTGAGGGTTTCTTAAAAATTGCACAATTTCTTCCAATTCTTGTTTTGCTTCATCTACACCTTGTACATCATCAAATTTGACGGATTGTTGATTGATAGGTTCGTATTCTGTTTGTGAGGTTGCCGTTTTTAATAATCCAGAATTTTCCAAAGCCAAAGAGAGAATCGTCAAAATACAGAAGGCATAGGTCACTGTAACACCTAACCAACGAAGAACCTTCCATACCATGAATTTACGCCCTAAATGAATAAATAAATATATAAATACATAAATATATAAAACATACGAGAAAATAGGATAGATGATTCTTTATATATATATATATATACCTTCTTCAACTACCACATAAATTGGATTTCCTTTGATGCCAGATCCAGAAGCAATAGTAGCATTTGCACCATCTGAAGCCAAAGTTCTCCCAGCACCACCACGACTAGCAATGATTTGTTGAATGAGTTCTTTTGAAATTGTTTTGTTATTGCCGTTAGCAGCTATGGAATCTGATCCAGTCTTCGTAGCTGTTTCTGCCCATACGCCATTGCTGTGTTGTTCTAGTTTTTGCATTATCCGTGGTAAAATAGCCTCCGCCTTCCCCGTTTGAGCCAGTGCTGCGATGTAGTATTGCCAACATTCTTCATTTTGTGCAAAGTTGCCTCTTTCGAATCGGGTAATCACTGCTTGTGGATTCTTCGCTCGTAACCATTCCTAAAATATATGAGTGTGCATAAGTATCTAATCAAATCCTAGTTATTCTAAGTTTTCTTACCTTGTATAAGAGAGCTTGTTTTAAGGGATCTTGAGAATAATTATTTGCTTCTTGCTCGAGTTTAGCCAGTTTTCTAAAATTGCCAATACGAAAAGGAAACCCGGATGCATTTATTGATTGTGAAGTGGAAAAAGCTGATCGCTGTTGCAGTGATTGCCAACCTCGTTTAGTAGCAATATGATTGGGTATCGTAGTTGCATCAAGAGATAATAAAGACCGAGTTGTTGTTGCTGTTGATATAGAAGGTAATGATTGATATGTAAACTGTGTCCTTACTGATGGTGCTAGCTTTGTGATCTAGAAAATTAAAAAAAAAAAAAAAGACGTTTACATCGAGTTGAGTAACCCAAATCAAAAGAACAGGTTCCTTCTTGTTGTTGTTGTTGTTGTTTTTCCACAAAGTAATCTATTAGTTTTCTTTTTTTTTTTTTTTTTTTTTTTACCTGTTGACATAACTTGAGGTAATCATATTGAGGCATTGAATAAAGAGAAAGACGAAATGAAAAGGAAGAAAAAGGTAAAAGAGAAATAAAAGAGAAGAATAAGAAAAAACTTCCAGGAGACCATTGAGTGTGGTAGCCCCAGCCAATGACGTAAAAGCGATTTTTTTTTCTCGATATTGGATGTCCGTCACCGGCTCAAGGTATACAACCAAGGGCTAGATGATTCCTTCCCCAGTCAACCCAATCTATGGAGAGAAAGTTTCAATTCCATTAGAGTTTGAAGAGCCGATTCGAATCTAGTTGTATACAAAGTTAAAAGCAATATATATCAGTAACAATGAGAAGCTATTATCTATGATATAAATCCTTGCCTAGCAACAGATGAGGTAAATGAAATATTATAAAAGAAAGGTTATGAAATATAGATCGTATGATACTAACGAAGAACAATATAGGAGATATATGATTCATCATGAAACCATTTCTGTAAAAAAAAAAAAATCCCTTTTTACTACCGTTATGGCTGAAAAAGAAAACATAGATTGAAATAAACCGATTATACCTTTTTACCCCTGATTTTCCGGATCATCATGCTTTGTTTAACAATCATCATCAAAATCTCACGCTAAATACATTTCCTCAAACATAAATCAATCTGTCATCATTCATCCCCGTGTGCTTAATATGGTGTTATACTTACACAACATATAATTGACATACTAAACAGCAGATGATAGTATTATTTATCATATCCTGTTATTTAATCAGTACAAATAATTGAATTTTGTCCGATATTATATACTGATGAATAAAAAAAAAAAAAAAAAAAAAAAAAAAAAGGGAGTATCATAAATAAACTTTTCTGGTTCTCTGTGGCAATCATCACTCTCAATATAGCTATCTTCTACTTTTTTATCTTCAATTCCCGCCTTCCCGTTTTCTGACCCCTCCCATTTCCCATTTATATAAAAATCAATATTTAGTCTCTTTAGGATTCTTTTTCATTCTTTTTTTTTTTTTTATTAGTGTAAATATACTTTGAACACAAAAAAAAACTTTTACATATAAAAAAAAAAATGACTCTACCTATTATACATTATGATATTTTTATGCTTTTTCTTCCTTTTCTCGATTCATCCTCCCTTATTCAATATGCCACACTGTGTCATTCACTCTCTCAACCTGCTCTTCGTCAACTATGGCAACATCCTCATTTTGTAGATCCAGTACGACTTTCTTTATTTATTCAAACCCTATCTTTTTCAATACATGATAAAACCCCTCGCTCATATCATCAATGGGTGACTAGTTTGACTATTGCCTTTGATACCTTTCAACCTATACCTCTTCTTGATCAATTTCAATATATTTTATCACATCATCTACCTCGTTTAAATTATTTATCGTTGAATCACACATATGCTATATTTTCACCTTATATTTACACCTACCACGTTCAGTCTTGTCTTTTAGAACTCCCCTTATCCCGTACCCCATCGAATACCATTCAAGATCAATCATCATCATCATTATGGCTTGATTATTACTTTAATCAACGATCATCATCAGCATCATCATTATCCTCCATGCAATCAAAAGAATTATCTACAACTAAAACATCATCATCATCATCATCGTTCTCTTTACCATTGACTCATATATCGATCACACATAGTAGTCTTAGTGGGATGTTATTGACAGATGATCATTTGTACCGTATTGTCACGTGTTGTCCCCATTTACAAGAAGCTCATTTCAGTGGACTTTTCTCCGACAAAGGCCTTATTCATCTTGCCACTTATTGTCATGATTTACGTTCATTATCTATCGTTCTGCCAAACAGCTTGATTCAATCCAATACCATCACTCATGTTTCCATCGAACGTTTGGCTCAATCTTGTCCTCAGTTGACTCATTTTACTTGTCTCGGTCAAACTAGAATCGATCCTCTTCGATCTGAAGCCACGTTTAGAACTCATTGTCCATCTTTTATCTTTTGTAATTTTGGTGATCCACTTTAAAAAAAATATATATAATATCTTTTTTTTTTTAATAAAGATTAGATTGTCTAGAAAAAAAAAATATACATATTTTAATCGACTTACATTGTCTTGGTTTCTCTTTTTTCTCTTTGGCTACCCCTATTTTGATCCCCGATTTTCCTTTTTCTTTTTTTCCATTGTTTTTTTTTTTTTCTTCCATTCTTTATTTTCTTCTCTTTATAATATATAATCAATGCCTCTTCAACAAACATCAAAAGATACAACCGTCGACACTTCAGATACAGAAAATGTTAGTGTTAATAGTAAACGACCTCGGTCTGAAGATGAATCTTCATCATCAACAAAAAGTAAAATGGATGAACGTATGGAAAAACTAAAACAACTCAAACGACGAAGGGTAAAACAAAAACAAAACAAAAAAAAGATATAATGTTATTAAAATCAATGCTTTTTTATTCTTATTGGGAATTAGGCAACTGAAGTAGAACAAGGTAATCGACGAGATCGTAATCTTGAATTCCAACGTAGCAAAGAAAACCCACGACTGGAAGCCAAGTTGGAACGAAAACGAGAGGAAGCATTAAAATTACAAGAAAAACAGGCAAGTGGTTGAATAGAATTATAAAAAAAGAAAGACTAATGTATGTATGGTTTTTGATAGCGTGCTGAAGATGAAGGTGAAGATTATGAACGAAAACAATTCTGGAAATACTCTGCTGAATCAGTAGCTAATTGGGAAAAGAAGATGGCTAAGAAGGAACAGATGGCAAACCATGGATTCACGGATCATACCCAAGCAGCACATAAGAAATATGTGAAATTGGTCTCTGAACTCAAACCTGATATGACAGCCTACAACGAAAAGAAATTACAAGCTATTGAAAAAGCAATCCGGAATGGTGAAGATCCTGATGATGTTCGTGCTTTAGCAAATGATTTGGATTATGCTGCTGTGGATGATAAGCCTTCCAAAGATGCTGTGGATCGTTTGGTACAAGATGTGAAAAAACAGTAAGTACATAGGTTTGTAATAAAAATCAGTACTGATTTTTTTTATTTTTATTACTATTAGAATCGAAAAACGTGAAACTCGATCTCGGGAACGTAAAGATGTCAAATACGATGATATTTCTTGGATCAATGAAAAGAATCGTGTCTTCAACCAAAAGATTTCTCGCTTTTATGACAAATACACCAAGGAAATCAAGGACAATTTGGAACGTGGAACGGCTTTGTAATTTGGTTATCATTCTTTTTTTAATCATTACACTTTTTTTTTTTTTTGTTGGTCTCCTAGTTGATTTCTTTCATAGTTGTATATATATATATATTTCAATAAAACATATGCACATACGATGATGTTTTTATGATGATGATGATGATGATGATATTGTATGATGGTGGTATCTCTAATGATGATAACCCTATAGTGATGCTACAAAATATATAAAAAAAAAAAAAAAGAAAAAAAAGGATAGAGGTGGGAGGAATGATAACATGATGGACACAAGGATATTTAGATAAAGAAAAAAAAAAGTATTGTTTATTATACAGAGTGATACAACTATGGGAACAGAGATATAAAAATAAAATCAATTTACTAAATGAAGGGATAGGAACAAGAAATCTAATTTTTCGCCAAGGGAGGAGGTACCTTGCATCGCCAAATAATAAAAGGAGGTTCTTTGCCTTTGAAGCCAGGTTTGGTTTGTCTTTGAGGTCGACAGTAACATAATCGGTTAGATCCTTCACTTGCTTCCAAAGCATCAATCCCACCTTGTAATAATGCTACTCTAGGGAAGAAATGATGAACCAATTGACTAGCATACTATAATAATAATAATAAAAATCATAATGAAAGATCAACATCAAGATGTATTTGCTTTTTTTTTTTTTTTAGATATGTTACCTCTGCACCATCATCCTTTTCTGACATCACCACATGATATTTTCGATTCAGTTTCTTCAAAACAGAGGCATAGTTTTGTAGTTGTTGTTCTTGTACGTTCATGGAGGAGGGAATATGGCCACGGGCAAATGCTTGTTCTGATCGGATATCTAATACCAAACAGTAAGGTATCACACGGTATAGATCTGCCACACTGATTCTAGGAGATAATTCTTTTTTCTTGATTTCAATAGACAAAGGACGCTGCCACCAACCAACTTCTTCATCTTCAATGTCCTTGGTTCCAGTATAACCATTGATTAATCCATTAGTATCGACTGTCTTTTGATGATCTTGATCGTTATCATATATTCGAGCAGATACACTAGGAGGCGTCACCTTGCACATCGACATGGCATTCTGTACACATTTCTCAATATCCACCTTTGGAAAACTATCCGAAATCAACACAATACAATCATTGAATTCACAGGACAAGAGCATATCACGTATTTGTCGTAAAATGGCGATACCAGCAAACAATGGTAATGAAGATGGTCCTACAAGAAGTTTATCCCATAAATGATATATCTTGTCCAAAGGAAATACATCTAAAATTAAAAAAAAAAAAAAATAGGTTATATTATGGTTGAGACAAGACGAGTATGCATTCCAAACACACACACACACACACACACACTTACGGGTAAACAAGGTCAAGAACCATGGAATCGCATACAAATCAGGCATAAATCCAATTGTATCCAAATGGCTTGAAAGTTCAGGATCATGATAACTTAAAAGATGACGGAATACTGCCAAGTATTCCTGTAATACTGGTGCATTGTCGGATAAAAAAAAGTTGTTGAGGAATCTTGGTATAAACATTTGGAGACATGCAAATGCCATAGCTTCATCATTAAAATGAAGTGTCAAGAAAGGAGCACATAAAGAATCCAATCCTTGCCAATACACCAAATCAGGATTTGCAGCTACCCACGCTTTTAAAAGACGTCGTAATTTGTCATGACCAACAGAAGATGCTAGTAGTTGATTATATTGATGACACCTTGGTACGTCTGTAGAACGAAGAAAAAAAAAAAAAAAGATGATTAGAATAAATCATACGATTTTTTTTTTTTTTTTTTTTTTTTTTTTTTGCATCCCTTACCCACTTCAATTTGTCGTTCAGCGCTTACATCTACACATTTGTTGATATTGTTATATCGCTGATGTACATTTCCATGGACCCCAAGAATAGCAGCCCATACTTTTCCACGAAGTAAGGGAGGGATATCTACTTTGGCATGATGAATCAGTTCCTTTCTTGATGCTGGATATTGTTGTAATAGTGCTGAGAATAGAGCTTGCCGCCGGAATTGATAGTTGACATCTTGTTCACGTAAAAACAAAGGAAGTTTGCTATTTCCATTGGACTGGTTAGTATTGTTGTTGAAAGATGAATTGACAAGATGAGAAAGAGATGAATGGGAGCCAGAATTGGTGGAAAAGTTGGATGGTGTTGTAGTGACTGGTGGTGTGTTGCTAGTTGGACTTGATTGCGATAAAGATGAGGCTGATTCCGATCGACTCAAACCTGTAAATGAAAGTGTACGACGACCTGATCGAGAGGATGATGTTGCTGCCGGTGGTGGTGGTGTAGTTGGTAATGGGTTATTATTACTATGTTGTGGAGTCATTGATGTCGCTGTCAAACGTCCATTCGTAGGTATATCATCTGTAAATATGAATTCATCTTCCAAAGGGATGTCATCATTGCTGGTGGATGCATAATGTTTGTATTCTTCATCAAGTAAAAAGTTGACATCATCTTCATCTACTACCATAAAGTAATCTGTATCCCATTCAAATCTGTCTATGGATCCATTCACTCGTTGTTCTTCCCCTAGTCGTTGGTAAAGTTCTTTAAAACTTAATTCAAAGATCGCATCAGAATACAGTTGTGCAGTGTCCCTTGTCGTAGTGCCTATTTCTACACCTTCAGCCAAACCACATAGTCGGGGTAATCGTTCAATCACTGGTGTTGTCAAGAATGCATCCTTCTTTGCTGCATCCAATTCCACATCACCACCTGCTAGTTTCCACAGATTATATACTTGAGATATCGGTAAACCTTGTAGTAAATCAGTTGTTTGTTGTGAAGAGCGTTTAGGTGATGATTGTTCGTCATCATCAGACAGTGATTCCATCAAATCATCAGAAACAAGTGCAGGTCCTTTGATCCATTGTTGAGGATGATGCAAATTTATGTCCAGTGAAGATAAAAATGGTGAGGATAATAAAGAATGATGAGTTGCTCTCTTTCTAGGATTCACTTGTAAACAATCTAGGATGAATTGATGTAATAGAGATATAGTAGGATTTCCGTTTATTCCATTGGTTTGTTGCAGAAAACGTAGTACATTATCGTTGATGTCTAATGTACCAATGTCTTTGTGACGCCAAACATTATCAGTTGTTGCACTCCATTGAGTAAGTACTGCCATAGAGTTGAAGATCAAATCAAGATCAGAAGTAGTCCAGAATAGTTGTCGTGTATATTGTTCAACTAGAATAATCCCAAGACTCCATATATCTTGTTTACTTGTTCGTCGTTTATTCAAATCTAAAATACATTCCGGTGCAAGGTAGCCAGGATAACCAATAGGAAAATCAACATCTGCACCATCACCAGTCATATAGTTGAGTCCATAACCGAAAAGTTTGACATGATGCTATTAATATATATATATATCAGTAATCATTTGTTAATCGTTTATTTATTTTATAATACCTTTGGATCCAATAATATAAGATGTGGGCATAAACAACCATGTACGATCCCCACATCATTCAAAAATGCCAACGCTTTCAAGATTTCAAAGGCTAATCGTTGTAAAGTACTATAAAATCTATTAGTTTTATTTTTTTTTTTTTTCATTTGATTTTCATACTAACCTAGTATCTCCATATCCATTTTGCTGAGTTAAAGTACTTGCTTCAATCTTCGGAAGAGAGTTTTCAAAGTACTCAGATACAACAAATAATCTATCTTTTCAAAAGGAAACAAAACCAAAAAGCATAAGTTGACCATATAAAAAAGATAGGATTTTTCTTACCATGTTTGCCGCGATAAATGTCAACATAAGAACATAGATGAGGGTGTCGTAAAGTCTAATCCAAGCATGCAATAAAAAAAAAAAGGTAAGTATTTACATATACATCATAGTTTGTTCTTTTTATTCCTATTGGCACAGTACTATCAAACACCACTCAATGTGTTTTTTTTTTTCCTCTTTTTTTTTTTTTTTTTTTTTTTGTCAACAGTATGCTTACCTTGAGATACTGGAATCGTCCAATGATTTGTGAAGGTGCAGATAAAGCCAAATGTCCTGACTGTGCAAGTAGTTCAGTTGAAGACGCGGATGCCACAAAGTTGCAATAAGCTATGATTGGTGTTACGCTATCAGTACATGTTTTCAAGTCAATGTCATTGGCAAACAACGCCATGTTGTAATGGACGTGAAAGGAAAGAGGAAGAGATAATTAAAAAAAAAATGGCAATACAATTACATTTTTATTTTTATTTTACTTTTATTTTATTTTGGTCCTCATGGTTCAATCTCCGGCATAGATTCTTTTTTTTTTATTTCTGATGTAAATCTGGGGTATAGGGCAAAGATATATATATATATAACATAACAAGACAATAACATACTATACTAATGAGAGGGGGGATAAAAATGGGAAGCTTAAGGAAATATAAATTCATATAAAGGTTAAATCATCGTAAATCGTCACCAAAGTCACTGCCACCAATGTCGATTTCATCACTTGATTCGTCTTCTTGGATGGATGGGGAAGTTGGTAAGGATACTATAGGTTTATCCAAAGAAAGTATAAGAGGACAGTTGATCTTGTTTTCTTGAGGTGAATGGGATATATTTGGCATATGTTTTGTAGATGATTCGGCATCAGTTTGTGATTTTGTAGATGGAAATGTTTTTTGAGATTTGGATGATCTTCGAGGTCGTTTTGCAAGAGGTTTTGATTTATTCGTAATTGTTGTTGTTGGTCTTCGTAAACTGAGTGATCCAGCCCATGATGCAGATTTCTTGATGAATGAAGGTTCAAAATTCTTTTTCGATTTGTCGATGGTATCAATACTTTTGGAGGTTGATTTCTTTGTGTTGTTGTTGATAGGTAAACGTTTCTTTGATGATCGTATGTCATTGATGATATCAATATCTTTGTTCAATCGGCGTATACGACGTGAGCGTTGTCTTTCGTTGAAATCCATTGTAGATGATGATGAAGGTCGTTTTCTGCTACTAAAGTTTATTGGATGTTGTTTCGTAATGATGTCGTCCAGATCAGTGGCATCAGCTATGGCATTGATGGCAGCGTCCCGAGTCCTTTTCAGTTGAATTCGGACTTCTTCAATCTCTGAATCAGTATCTGTTCCTTGATCCTCAGAATCATCCATAGTATCAGTTGAATATGTCGTTGTTGTCGTTGATATGTCAATAGTATCACCTTCAATTGCTTCAGTATGACTTGCCAGCTGGAAGTTGCCTAGTAATGGAGCCTTGGGTTTCAGATTGGATAATGGACTTGAAATCAGCATTTCAGCAAGATGACCATCATCATTTTCAGTCTCGATAGATGTGATGGTAGAGTTTGTCGAGAAAACTAACGTACTATTGTCAAGAGTAGATTGAGAAGAACTGCTGGTATCGTTATCTACTACCCATGAGAATGGCTGATGTTGACGTTTCAATATTCTTTTTGTAGGTTGTCGTTTGATCACAGATACAGGTAAAGGATAAGGGAAATGCGCTTCAATGTTATCATCCAAGAAGGGACCTAACCGATGTTCAATAGAGCAAGTCACTGCTAATTCTTGAGCTCTTCGTAGAGGAATCCATGTACCATAGAGTCCACTTTTTTGCTTTCGTATTCGTATTCGATCCTTTTCCAAGCTGAAAATAACGCTACGTTCACGTTCTGAGTCAATCCCGCCTGCCATAAGTAATGTTGTCCCATTGATGTAATCTGAGTCCAGTCGTCGCATGATTCTATATTCAGGTGAAACTGATGTTTTGGCGAGTACAGCTACACACACCGCTACTTGATCGATTACTGTAATATATAATGTTGGATTTGTTTTGGTGATTGTATGTATCATCACAGGACTAGTTGATTGGTTATCAGTTGTATCCTTATCTTGTCGATTGTTGAGAATAAGTTTCAGTACGGGGAACCGGTTCAAGATAGTTTCCATATTGGCATTGATTTTCGTATTTGACATGTTGTCCACTATTGATTGAGAATCTTTTTCATTACTAGCTGCGTTTCGTCGGAGGTGTATCGCCAAAGATTGTACAAGTTCAGCAGTTGGCGCCAAATACATCAAGTGAGGGGTAGTGTTGATGAGACGCTGTAACGATGCAAAGTTGAGTTGTTGATCATGCATTAATTCCAATAGTTCTGTGAGTGATGCAATGCTAAGTGATATGTCCGAACTATTTGATAATGTTTGTCGAGGTATGTCATTGTCATTGTCGTTGCTGTGATCATATTTGATAAACATGCTGCTACTGTCTTCGTCATAGATATGCGCTGTCAAGGAAGAGGATTGGACAAGGGTATTTTTGGATTCATCTGATTGGAGATCGACCTGATCATTCTTTGGTTCTACACATATAATAAACAAATGTTAGTATATTTTTTTTTAAAAAAAAAAAAAAATGAGAAACAAATAAAAAAAATGTTGATATTGGTTCTTTACCTGATTCGGTTGTTTGACTTGATGAAGTAGACCCATTCAATAGGAGATCTTGTCCACTTGAAAAGTCCATTGGCTTGTTCCTTTGTATGAGATGAGTGTCATTTTTATTGAAAGTAGTATTGAAAAAATCCTTCGATAGTGATTGGTGTGATAGAATAGGCCAGGAATGTCGTCGTTGTCGTCTTCGTTGGTGAATAGCATCTTCATCAGCACCACCATTATCATCATTATCAAAAAAGTCACAATCATCATTTGTATCAGAACGACAGTCAGTTTGTGGGCGTTGTATGGATGGAGATGGAGTCGTATCTTTGATGTTATTGAATATTTGATGATTGGTTCTGGCTGCAGTACTTGCTGGTTGTGCAACTGTAGATATAGCTGATGTTGATGATGTTTCAGTTGTAAAATAGGTATCCAGTTCAGAAATGGGGACAGATTCTGGTGTATCAATGTTGAACGGGATATGATGAGCAGTTGAAGCATCTGGGACATATACAGGATCCTCAAAATCAGTTGCAAAAACGTTGTCAGATGTCCATGCATTTTGATCTGTTTCTTGTTGTTGATAAAAGTCCATTGGATTGTTGTCATTGAATAAGTTTTGCTGAGATTGTCCAGGTGATCCAGTTATCGGTGTTGGAGATGATTTTCCGTTTGACGCCAAATTTCCATCGTAAACAGCTGCTTCCTTGAGCATTTTCTCATAATAATCGGAATGTTCACCATCAGAATCATCATCCTTGTTCGATTGGTGTAAAAGTGAAGTTTGATTCCTCCTAATAGAGCTGTTAGAATCATTTGATAATGCTTTTGGTTGTGGTGACAATGACAATGGTGGTGTTGGTACAGGTTGCTTTTGTTTCTTTCGTGAAGTGTCATTGTATATGTACAAATCATCGTGTTTTTTGATGCGCAGTCGTTTGTCGGTTCTCTGTCCAGCAGGTGTTGTTGGTGACGTAAAAGACTTTTGAGTCAAAATCGACTTTTGCTGCGGTTTGGATATTGAAGTAGGTCTTGGAGAAGATGGACAAGGAGATTTGGCAAGAGAATAACTGAATTTTCTAGCGTGAAGGGCATCAGTATGCTTGGCAAGTAAAGGTGGTCGAGGTGGATTATGTTGTGCTGCTCTTTTGAAATGCTGAGAGATACGAGAAGATACAGTTGCAAAGGGCGTCGCCCCTCTATTGGAAAAATAAAAATAAAAAGAATGAGATTATTTAGATATCAAGTCTTTATAGTTTTTTTTTCTTACCCTAAAGTAGCATAGTCACTTTGTATAATAACATTAGCCAATTCCTTTGGAGAACTTGGTTTATTTCCCATCTTGAGTAAAGCCTTCAGGATGGCTGTGAATACTTTATCTTTGGCATCGTCTGGATGAATAGGTACAGGTAGAGTTTGTTGTTGAGTATCATCTTCGGACTCCGAGGTTTCCAACATTACCAGTATGTCAGAACTACCTTATGAATAATAATAATAATAATAATAATATAACGAATGTATAGTAAATAAAATATGAAAAGAAAACTAAAGAGTAAAGTTTCAAAGAAGAAGAAAAAGGAAGAGAAAAAACAAAGAAGAAAAAAAAAGGGAGGGAGGAAAGAGAAAAAAAAAAAGACGGAAGTTGAAATCATATGGCATTAACTTTGTTTATTGGTGCAAAATAAGAAAGAAAGATTGATATATAAAGTGTACAAGATGATAAAAATAAATCGATAATCCTAATCTAGTGGTATTGTCTTGTTTTTCTGTATTTGTAAATGTTTGATTTCATTTTGGTGTTGTTGTTGTTTCATAAAAGCTAATCCAAGTGATTCTATAGAGGACATCACAAAATAGCCAATCATCAAAGAAAGAAATGAATTCCAAGCAATTCCAAAATAATTCATCTAAGATATCTTTTCTAATTAGTCATCCTTTGATCAAATAAAACTATGATTTACCTTTTCTACTCCAGTGCTATCCCCTTTTCCAAGTTGTCTTGTTTGTTCAATAATAAATCGAGAAACATATCGATGTAAAGTTGGTATAGATGATTCCAATGATTCCAAGAAAACAGATAAGGTATCATGTGAGAAAGCCAATATCACAATGAATGCCTAATAGATTAAAAAAAAATATTATATATATATATATATATATATATATATGTTCTTTTTTTTTTTTTTTTTTTTTTTTTTTTTTTTTTTTTTTTTTTTTTTTTTTTTTTTTTTTTTTTTTTTTTACCTGTATTGCAGATTTGATACCAGCTTTGCCTAGTAAAGTTGCCCCAAAAAAGGTAGAAAAAGGAACTAAAAAATGACCACAAGTAATACCAGCCAAATCAAATAAAGGATTGGGAATAGAAGCAAATAAAAGAATACCAAAAAATCCCATACGTTTCATAGCAGAATAAACAAGAAAAGAGATGGATTCTTTCAAGGTACGATCTTGACATGATTTTTCTAAACTAGTTTCCAATTTTTTTAGTTCTTGATCCTTATCACCAGATAATGCCACTAATATTAACAATAATAATATGGTTATTGTTTTTTTCTCTAAAAAAAAAATTCTTACCTGCTCGAGCCATAAAATAAGGTGGTAATTCACCCAAAGCTGTTCCAATCCCCCAAGTCAGTGTTTCCATTGCAATACATTTGTAAATAGGCCATAAATATAAAGAAGATTCATTTGTTCCAATCGAAGATAAATGACATTCTAATCGATAACTATATATATATAAGAGAGAACAAAACGCTATAATTATCACTTTTTCTTTCTTATCTTTTCCTTTCTTACCTTGAAGAGTTTCTTACCAAAGTAGTTGTTGTACCACAATCATAGGCTGCCAAAGTCACTTCAGCAATATAAGGACCGAGAAATAAGATAAATGTATGTAATCCTGATCCTAAACCGATAGAGGAGGCAACACCTAATAATATCCAATAACCATACCATTTAATTTGTCGTTCCAATATTTCTACCCACTGTTTTTGACATAAAAAAAAAAAAAAAAAAAAAAAAGAGAATGAATCTTTTTTTGTACTTTGTCCTATTTCCCTATTTTTGATCATCGCAAATATACATATATATATATATATATATATATTGATACCTGTTGGTGTGGTCCGTCTACTTTTGTTACTATCCATAGATTCAATAAAACGAGTCCCAAAGTAAAAGTCGTACGTCCATGTTGATAAAAATATAAAAGGGCCGAACGTATTTCATAGAAAGAGTACATAACGAAATATGATATCACTAGTATTGGACTAGTCCAAATGGATATATGTCTATATTGATCTTCAAATTGTTGTTTTCGTCGCATAATATAATCTAAACACGATTGATAATAAAAAAAAAATTAGAGAAGAAAAAAAAAAAAGGTAATCATATCTACCGTCAAACTTTTCACCAGGAACTGCTCGTTTTGATATTCGACGTTGAGGTGATATCTCACTATCGGAAAGTTGATGTTCTTTGTTCTATGAAAAGAGGAAAAGAGAAGAGGAAAAGAAAATGAAAGAGGAAGAAAGAAAAGATTGACCGGGTATCCAGACAGATACAATTTTTCCAAGAAAAGAAAAAGTCCTGATGCGGTACTTGAAACGATTTCACGTGAATTAACCCTTTTATATCTTGTTGACGACATGCATTGTTATCATCTTTTCCTACTTTATTACTACTCTCTCTCCTTTCTTCTTTCCTCGTTGACAGTTGGGAAGGAGGGAAATAATGATCTTGTCATGAATACACATGCTAGTCAATAAAGTAAACATTTTTGTCAATCTCTTCTTTTTTCTTTTATTCGCTACTTGACGCATGATTCTAAAGCGGTCATTGAAATTATAGAGAAAAAGGGTACCTGACTTTGGATGATGTATATTTATTGCTCAAATAAAACCACTCCAAGTATCAAAAACTCATGTGCATGTGAACATCGCCAGAAAATCGTTTTACCTTTATATAGAAATGTAATGATCAAGAGACTCGCATCTGGTGCATCAAAGCGCGGTAGGGACCAATCCATCTTCAACAGAGAATGCATTATTCCAAAAAAAAAAAAAAAAAAAAATAAAAGGCTAACATGACTAGGTAGAATCCAACAAATCCATCTATATGAAGAGTAGAAGATAATAATACTAATAATATGGTAATAGCATAGAATCATCATCATATGTATTTGAAATCAACAAAAGACAATCAATAAAGTTTATTGTAAATACAAAACTACCTACACTGGGAAATAATAACAGGATGATGAATAATCTAGGAAGAAGACGATGATTGACCTTGCTCTTGAACAATTCTTGTAGTAAACTTCGGTGGTTCTTGGTGGAATTTGGCAATATAAGCAGTGTGTTTGATATCATCAAGTACCTATCCAGAAAAAAAAAAAAGAAAGTTATCTAACGTGTTTATGTTGTTCTCTGTTTGTGCCACTTAATAACTACATATAAATATTTACCGGATGAGTAACATAACTATCACAATCAAAACACCAAAAGGATAAGTCGGAATAACTTAAGCATACAGGATGTCGAGAGGAACCAACGTGTGCTTGCATATGTGCTTGTCTATATCTGGAACATAAAACAATATTACACGTAAGACATTGCCAGTTTTCTGTCTCGTCATTGCATTGCTGACAAGGTTGATCTAGGAAAACAGATTGCTCTTTGGTTGTTATGGGAAGATGGGGACAATCCAATCTTGGTTCAACCGCATAAGGGATCTCTTGCGTATCTAATTGTTGTTGTAGTTCAATAGCAAGTGCAGTATCCTTTTCTAATTGTGACATGATCTGAAAAAAAAGAAGACGAAGACGGAAAAAAAAAAAAAAAAAAAAAAAAAAAAAAAAAAGAGAGAGAGAAAGGAAAAGAGTATTTAATATCCGCAGGCTTTATTCACGAAAAAAAAAAAAAGCTATTGTTGTACACTATGCTGAAGAATATCTATAAATCGATCCATCACCAAAGTCACCTTTGCTTCATCCAAGGATCCATATTGCCAAACAAAACTAGCGTACATCACATTGTTGAGCGTGATGGTATTGAGTCCCAAAGCCATACTAAAAATCTGAGCAGATTGGGAAAACCAAAGAGAATCCAAAGTCCAAGGGTTGTTTTGTCCAGGATCATCAAACCGACCAAGATCAGAGTGTTCCAATCCACCCGCACGTCCCATCCGATGTTCCTTTCTGATACCTTTCCAATAATCGATATAGCCATTTGGGTAATCTAAGAGACCAAGAAAATGTGCACCAACACAGGATCGATGTTTTTTTGTTTGAAGTATAGTATGATAATGGTGAGCCAATCGCCAAACTAAGGGAACGTCATCAGTCAAAGAGGAAGGTGGATTCAATAGTACATCAGGTGTCCAAGCATGTTCATAAACACCAACAAAGTTACCGATTTCCAAGTGAGCATTGGCTTGTTGACGACAGTTGATTGGAGTTGTCATCATGGTTGCTTGATCAGGGTAAATTTCCGCCCAGGCCAACAAGAACGCAGCATGAACCACAGCATGGATCGAAATATTATTGTATTTTTGTTTCGCCAATTGTAACACCATCTTCCAAGCATCGCCACCTAATTCCCGGAGTTTGATCATCGTGCTGTGTGCCTCGCCGTCTACTGCTGCTGAGTCACCTTCCCAGAATTCCATTTGTCGTCCAAAAGGAATCCATTTCTTCAGTATGCCACCAAACAGAGACGCATAATCAAATACACTTGGCTTTGGGATATCTGATCGAAGTTCCATAGGTGATGGTAAAGACATTGGTGCAAGTGTATCAGTATGAACTAACCAAGAATCGTCTTTATTAGGTGATGATGTTTGAATAGTTGTTGAGATATCATTATCATTGTTCAATTCTTGTAGAAAGGCCGCCCAAAATAAAGCCAAACTCTTTCCATCGATGATAATATGATGTGCAATAAATATAATAGTACATTCATCAAGCTTATCAGGTTGAACCAGAATGTGTAATCGCCAGGGAGGAATATCGGTATCAGAGTCCGTAGATAGTAATTCTTTGTCACAAGCTGAGGCGATGGCTTCATCTAATGGTGGTGGTGATGTAGTGACATGGATCATACTAGAAAGGGAGAAACTGGAGACATGAATAAAGTGAGCTGTAGATTGACCAAAATCGCGGACAACAAGACTAAGAAAGGGGTATCTTTGTACTAAGCGAGTGATGGCTGGGTGGAACTGAGTCAAGTAAAATGTTGTAGCGTTATCCTTGCGTTGTATTTGATGACGAACTTGTGCTGTACAAGTTACCGAACCATAGCCTTGAGTCAAAGTCTTGGATGCTTGGTACTTTTCCAATAAACCGAGATTTCGTTGCTTTGAAGAAGAGTTGCTGGAGGAGATTGTCATTTAAAAAAAAAAAAAAAAAAAAAGGTGAAAGAGAGGAAAAAAAAAAAAAAGTCGGAGCACTCTATTTAAGATTCAGGGTCGAAACACAACAATAGACACAGCCTTTCCTTTTTTGGGTTCATAAAGGGATAAAAAAAAAAAAGAGAGATTTTTATTGGAATAAGGTATACTATTAGTATCTATCTAGGAGTATCATTAAGTAAAAAATGGCATAATCTTTGTTCCCGATCATCTAGCTGAGCATGAGTATCATCTAATTGTCGTTGTAATTCGATGATGGTACTTTCAAGACGTCGTATAGTGATATACAATTCGTTCGTTTGTTGTCCTGTTACTGATTTTCCAGAGTTATATGACTTTGTAGGTCGTGATGATTTTGATCTTGAGAGTGATAGAGTAGTATTTGATAGTCGAGGTATGGATGAAGAGCGACTGACTTTGACAACCGGTTGGTTTCCATGCAATGATCTAGATTTTCCAAACCTATCTTCCTTGTGTTGATGATGATGTTGTTCCTGATTCCTTGATAAATGGTATGATCCTTCTTCTTTTTCGTTCCTTTGTAGATTTGCTATTGTTGTAGAGGGCACTGTTTCATCTTGATCACCTTCCACGCCTTCCAACGTCCTTGAATCATTAATGGCATTTTGCTTATCGGTTTCCAAAGTGATCGATTTCTTGTTATCATGTTCCAGTTTTTGCTGTTGTTGTTTTTCCTCGTTGGTTATATTCTTTTTGTTATCGTATTCAAGTTGTGCGATTTCTTTTCGTAGTTCTTGCTCTTTTTGGTGCATTGTCGAAATTTCCACTTCTTTCTCGCTAAGTTTGACACTTAAAATTGAGATTTGTTGTTCCATATCGGCACATTGATCCTGTTGCTGTTCCAGTTGCGTTTTCATTTCCTCTACTTGCTGTTGGTATCCCAAGGCGTAACCTGCTACACGCTGAAGCTCATTGTTATTTTCCCGCACGAATAGTTGCAGATGTTCCGTTTTCCTCTTTTCCTTGTTTAATAAATCTTGCAATTCCTCTTTTTCACGTTCTGCTTGTTGGTGCTGATCATTGTTTTTGATAGTCAATAGTTCTTCTTCCAATTTTGCTATCACCTGTTGCTTTTTATCTTGATCAAGCTGTAAAGTATTGATTTGTTGTTGCCATTTTTCCATTTCTTGTCGATAATGATCATCCTTTTCATTCATTGTCGTCAGCTTTTCTTCCAATAATCCTTTTTCATGTTGCAAATTCCCAATTTCTTGATGGAGATTGTCGATGTGTTGTGCAGAGTCCAATTGTTTTTGTTCCATTTTTGTTAATTTTTCATTTGCCAATCGGTTTTCTTGTTGTAAATTGTCGATGATTTGTTGTGATGTTTCCAATTCTTGTCCAAGTTGATCCTTTTCTTGTTCCAATACCTCCTTTGTCTTTTCCCATGTACCTTTGTCTTGCAGTAATTGATGGATCTGTTGTTGGGCTGTTTCCATTTGTGGTAAAAGTTGATCCTTTTCATGTTCAACTGACGAAACCTTGTGCTTTAATGAATCCGTGCTTTGTTTCAAAAGGGATAGTTGCCGTTGTAACTTCATTTTTTCTTGATCTTGGTCCAGGCATGTCTGTCGTAGAGTTGTGATGGTATCTTCCATTGAGAGATTAGTTTTCTTCAAGTTTTCCATGTGTTCACGTAGAGTAGTTTCCACGTTTATCCGAGATTGGTATGCTTTGTCTAATTGTAGTTTCTGTTCAGTTTTGTATGCTTCAAATTCAATACTAAGCTGGTCAAAATTTTGTTGTGCCTGAGTGAGCTGAGATAATCGTTGATGTTGTTGTTGTTGTGTTTGGTCCAGTCGCAACTGTAATAATAGCTCTAATTCGTCCGTATTCCGCATAAGCTTATGATAGACTGCTGGCCAGTTGGATTGAGTTGTATTGATGGTATTGATAACGTTGGTATTGTTTGTAGTATTCTTATGATACTCGTTTTGTTGTCGTCCTTTTTGCCTTGAATGAATCCATAAAAGTGTTGTAATACTGATGATGACGGGTACTGAAGTAGGAGTATGTATAAATCCAATGATGGAGATCATGAAGCAAAAACCATATATATAAAATGTATTATTTGGTAAGAAGCTATCTACCATGATAGTGGTATATATTTTCAAACACAAAACTAATAAAGAAAGAAAGAAAAGAGAAAACAAAGGAGCCAAAAAAGTACATATATATTTTTGTTTTCATTACAGTTTTCGATACCCGATCGTTGTCGATCAAAAAAAAAAAAAACGTTTTTTAATGTTGTGATATAAAACGATTGTGTATATTCAAAACTAATAAGATAAGAATAAAAAAAAAACAAAAGATCATCAGATAAAGATACAAAAAAAAAAAACAGTAGAGAGACAAAGTGGAAAAGGGTATGGAGAAGAGAGTAGTACAAAGTAGGAGGATGTGATAAAATCAAATAAAATAAAAAAGAAAACTAGAATAAAGTATGCTAATCATGAATCAAAGGGCATTGACCACTAACAAAGACTTCAGCAACATCAGACCATAATTTCTTGACATCATTTGAATTTTCATCATCAAAGTGCATCCTACAATCAGCATTGTTTACACTGTATTCTAATAATTCAGTTTCTTTGCCCATTTCAGAACCAGTAGCAGTAGGACGATAAGCTTCACGGAAAGTCCAACCCATATCAGCACGTTCAGGGAAAGGAGAAGGTGCATCAGGATCATCTTGTAAATTTAATTGTTGCAAATCCATCAAAAATCCAGAAAGACGTTGACTTTCACCACCAGGGAAAGAAGCAAATTGCATACGATTACCACGAATACCACCCAAACCCATAGCTGCTACTTGATGAGAAATACGAAGACGAGAAGCAACGATAGCACATGTTGAACCACAACGACCATCAGATAAAATCAAAAGATCTTGAGCTTTCCAAGGAGTAGTGATATTCTTATCGATGGTTAATTCAGATTCCCAACGATCACAGCTAAGAGAGACAGGTTGAGAAAATTTGACTTGATCTTTGCCACGAGTATAAGTATTTGTTTGTGTAAACCAATCAGTACCATTATACTTTGCATTCTTGTAATCACCCCATTTAGTTCCTTCCGTTTCAGCAGCTTTCTTGATCACACGTTCCAAAAAGGGAGAATACTTGATATCAGATGGATAATCTGGAGTAGAACCAAAGAAAGTATTGATAATAAATTCACCAGCGCAGGCATCACCACCTCCATTTGAAGACAAGTCCAAAATGATTTTCTTGATTCCTTTAGATTCAAATTCCTTGAGTCCATTATAAAAAGTATCAATAAAATCTTGTCGATCATTTGAATCAATAGAGAAGCTTTGAATATCAATCACACCCACTTCAGCTTGAGGTTTATCCAAAGTAATGAATTCTACATAAGGACCCTTTTTCCCACCGGCAGCAGCATTTCTGGCAGATTCAGGAGATAGATCAAAAGCTTGACCTTCATGCATCATACGCAATTCATCAACATCCAAGTGTCCAATAGCACCACGTTTGGCATAATTTGTATGAGAAGATTGACAATAGTTGTTCCAATAAGAATCAGCATCATTGAAGTTGATGGGCACTTGAGCTACCCAAGGTACCTTGACAGTAAAAGGAGCATCGAATTGGTCTTGAGAGGGAGTAGTCCCATTCTTAGGACATCGCATAGTGTAGGTATGCATTTCTTGAGCTGGTAAGAATCGATGATAACCAAGATCATCAGCACCATCATCCCATCCATGGAAATAACTTTTCGTATTCATGATATTGTTGAAACAGGTATTAACATCCTTGCTTTCACCATTGTTGTTGACAGCATAGTTTACCACCATATCCAAAGCTTCTTGATCATCAATATGAGTTACTTCACAACCAACCCAAGATTCTTTTGCTTCAGGCCAAATATCATTCTTGACATAAGCAACATTGATCACTGATTTTTGATCTCGTACAAGAGCATTCAATTGAATAGGTTGCCAAAAGATGAATTGTCGATAACAGAAAGGTGAATATACCTAATAATAAATAAATAAATAAAAAATAAAAAAAGGTTAATTTTTATTATATATATACATAATAGAAATTTGTTTTTGTTATTATTTCTACATACCAAATGAGTATCATGAACTTTATCAAGTAACAAAGCAACGGCTTCTTGGAATTCACGATCAGATTGCCATTTTTCATTTTGAATAACATCAAGACCATGTTGAATATCGACAGGTACAGCTGATAAACCTTCAATATGAGGAGGAGAACTAGCAATTTCCTGTATAGAAAAAAAAAAAAAAAAAAAAAAAAAAGAAAGAAAAAAAGGATGAATATATAAAAAGTAATATTGTGGCTGTACATTTTTTATTTTTTTAATAAATAGAGAATTTCTTACATTGAATACATAGAGTTCTTTTGTTACTTTTCGTACAGTATCCAAAGTTTGAGTAGCAATGGATTCGTTGAAAGGAAAATGATCTAAACAGGCTTTTGCTTCATGGAAAGAGGCAGTAGTTTGACCAGCAATAGCGGCACATGGATCGTTACTGTTGTTGTTATTGTCGTTGGTTGAGACAGTGGCATTTGGTGCAGCAGAGATAGTTGAACAAATAAGTGAAATAGCGAATAAAATGGAAGTTGTTCTTTTGGCAAAATAGCCAGGTTGGCTATTGACCAATTTCATAATAAAAAAAAGAAAGGATTGGACAGGGAAAAAGTAATAATAATGAAAAGAAACTAAAGAAAGAATAAAATAATTTTGGGTCCAAAAGATAAAAATAACAAATGTTACACTGACCAACTGAGTTCAATTTTCCTTTCAAAACTAAATCAATTTGGCGGAAGTACTCTCAGGCACCTAAACAAACGAGTACAGTTTATTCACTTTAAATTGAGACAACAAAAAAGTAAAAAACAAATTTGTTTTATTCAAGACAAAAAAAATCTATACAAAATTATAATACACCTTGTGAGATACCTTTGGCAAAAAATTGAACATTATTATCTAATATCTTGTAATGCATTGATTGAGGCTGAATATTGATAGATCTAGGTAAATGTTTTGGTCCAACTATAATCGAAAGCTAAAATAAAATGTTTTTTTTTTTAATTGATCAAATTTGTTTATTGTGTTTTTTTTTTTTTTTCTTATTTTACCTGACCATGAACATCTTTTGCTAATCCACTTCCTAAAGGTTGTACTTGTAATATTATTTCTGAAGATTGAATCACAGACTTGACAAAAGCATCTTGTTCTATATCATCATTTCCTTCTTCATCCGTATGAATCAAAGATATTAAAGTCCCATCCACAGATTCCATTAAAACCTTGAGTTTATTGATAAATGTACATGTTTCAGCCAATCCAAATCCATTTGATAATAACATACTGACATCATCCAATATTAAAAGTGGTTGTTCTTGTTGTTGAATATATTGTTTGATAATCATATAAAAAGTTTTCAAATCTTGATTATTTAATGTGTCAGTTGGTGTAGTAGGTGTTTTCAAAGGTGGATAAGGGGTATCAAGAGAATATTCGTTTAAATGTGTTACACCATCAATAAAGACAAGTCGACCGTTTTGTTTGTAAGGTAAAAGATTGGTACCCTATATACAAATATATATATATATATTAGCTTTTATATATATATATATTATATATATAACATATAACTTACAAGTTTTCGACTAATCAAAAAGTAATGATTAAAGATTTGAGCTAAACCAATCAATATAACTCGACGTTGTCCTTTGAGTTGATTAGTGACAAAATGGTGTATCAAAAAGTTGGCGTCCGACTTTAAAGTATCAGTAATAACTAGGTGTGATTTTGTTGGAGGAAGGTTATTTACAAAAGCTAAAGCAGCATCTAAAGAAGCGTATCCCATTCTAAAAAAAAAAAATAAATATAATCAAAGATAAAAGAAAATAAAAAAGAGAGAAAAGAAAAAACAATGCTTTGAATTGGGGTTTTCCTACTGGAAGTGATTAATTTTTTTTCAAGTCACGCTCTGACCTTTGAAGTTCAAACTATATTATGGAAGGGGGGATTTCATGCCGCAAATACTTAATAACCAAACTTTTCAACTCTACACGTGTTACGACCCAAAATGACAAGCCAAAAAAAAAAGTGTGGCGCGGATCAATTGTTACTACTTTTCTAGACGATGATTCTGTGTAACACTTTGACCATCATATATTGATATTGAGAAACTTTTTTTCTTTTTCTTTTTCTTTTTTTTTTTTTTTTTTTGCTCCTTTTCCTTCCCTTTCCTTTCTTTTTTCCCTTTAATATTAGAGATGACCATATTACTTTTTTGTTTGTTGGGTTTATCTTTGGTATTTGCACAACAAATACCTCAGGCACAATATAAACAAGGTAGGATCACATATTGTCAATTACCTTTTTTTTTTATTTATTTTTTTATTTATTTGTTTACTTTTTCTTTTCTTCTTAGGATGTGAACTGTTGGGAAAAAAAATTTATTGTTTTGGTGGAGCTATAAGGGATACCTCATCCAGCTTTGCTCAATATGCTGATTCATTTAATAACAATCATTATGTTCTTGATCTCACTAATTTTACTACCGATAAAGATGCTGCAAACTTGGTAAGTTTATAGTTACATTTTGTGTTCCCCTATTTCTAACCTGACCTCCTTCATTTTTTTTTTTATATGGACGATCATCATCATCATCATCATACAAATCATCATCATTACCATACAAATCATTATAATCATACAAATCATCATCAATATCACAATCGTACGCATCATTCCTTCTTTTTTTTTTTTTGGTAGCAATGGCAACAAGTACCTCCTCCATCAAATCAATTCGTTTTAGAACCTAGAGCTGATTTTGCTCATGTCAAAGTCTCTGATAATTCTTATATTGTCTTTGGTGGAGCTGGCTCTACTAAAACTTATGCTGCCAATCCTAATCTGAAGAATCTCACCACTATATACTTTGCAGATCAAAACTCATGGCAAACAATCCCAACTGGTCAATTACCTCCAAGTACTATTTTGACCAATCAAGGGTAATAAAAAAATTATGAAAAAAAAGAAGTATTACAATATTAACTATAGTTTATTTTCTTTTATAGATTTGGTGGAGAAGCATTGATGGATGGTAATGGTACTGTTTGGTTATTTGGTGGTATTCCGTAAGTTTAGGTTTTCCCAATATCTGACTTTGAAAAAAAAACTGATCTTCCCTTTTTTTTTTTTTTTTTGATATTTTTAGTCCTAGTCCACAAGCAACTTCATTTAATCTCAATTCCACTATTTTGAAGATCAAAAATCAAGCAAGTCCTTTATTTCTATTTCGAAAAAAAAAAATCGCTAACTCTATACATATTTTTTTTTTCCAATAACCTTGATAGAACCCTCAATGGACTGCTATCTCTGCTACATTGAATCCTCCAGCTGATGATCCTTTTTATCCTTCATTCCATCATGGTGCTGTCTCTATGAGAAACGGTTACATTTACTCATATGGAGGCATTTCTTATAGTTTTGCCTTTGGTAATTATCAAAACAACTATGCTGATTCGAACGGATTCTTCAAACTTCCAACTGTCAACTCTGAAATGTACGAATTTCTTGTATACAACAATTCCGGTAACGACACCAAAGACTTTGATTATAACTATGTTGCTCCTGTTCAAAGAGAACTACATACTTTAACTGCTTGTAAGTATATAGGCTGTTATTATTATTATTACCCTCTTTTCTGATGATCTTTTTATTATTATATTCAATATTATATAGTACCCAACTCTGATACTTTCCTTTTATATGGTGGAGTCAGTGGATCCAATAGTAAAGAAAATTCAAGTGATCATCATCATAGACAATAGACTAATCCATTTTTTTTTTCTTTTTAAATTTAGTTATTAGCGATTACTGTTATACTTATGACACCATTAGTAACTTATGGACAAAAATCACTTTCCAAGGTGGTGGTCCTGGTCCTAGATATGGTCATTCTGGTAAGCTTCAATCTTTTAAAAAAGATAGATCCAAAAGTGGTTTATGATTGCTTGAAATTGACTTGTACAATCTCTTTTATATATAGCTATTGCTTATGGCAAGGACTCTGTATTTGTTATGTTTGGTGCCAATTCCAATGGGAATATGTTGAATGATGCCTATGTTTTGAATACGACAACCTTTACTTGGACTAACATCCCTACTGCTAATAATGGAACAACATCCAATGATTCATCCACTGGATCGTCATCTGTTCTTGGAGGAGGCGCCATTGCTGGTATTGTTATCGGCTCTATTGCTGTTGTAAGTTGAAAAACAGAATGATCTCAAGAGTTATGTTTCTAAAAATCGATTTTTTAACTTTTCTTTTTTTTTTTTTTTAATAAATAGATTGCAATCATTGCAGGTGGTGGTTACTTTTTATATAAACGTGGTGTTTTCAATACCCAACAAACTACAGCTACATTTACTCCTCCTGTTTACGGCAATCAAGATGATGATGATGATCTCAATCGACCTACCACTGAAAAATTCGCAAATCCTTCTCCAAATGGTCAACAACAAGCACGCGCAATGGATGTATATCCTGTACCTCTGGCTCATTTGAATACAGCAAGCCAGTCATCACATGCCATCAAACCATTAGAACATGATACCTTGTCAAGTCCTGCTGACACTGATTACAACGAACTACCAATGAAACCAATGTCCAATCATTATGGAGATATGCACTCTAGCAGCTACGGGGATGGATCTGTCAAACCTCATGATGCAAGATTTTCTGATGAAATACATTCTACTTCTACGGCGGATTTGGTCGGATCTTCTGGTTATCCTCATCCTGTTAAACCTCATGGTTTTGAATAGATAAAATACTTTAGTTTATCGTCATTTTATTCTCTCCTATTTGATCATCTACTTTCTATCTTTTATTATCTATTACTTCCTTTACGCCTTATTTACATCAGCGTAGTAATGACTTTCACCTTTTTTTTTTTTTTTTTTTTTTTTTTTTTTTACTATAAAGACAATTTCCTGCCATACACAAAAATAAAAATAAAAATATTCATTTTTCAGCAGTGGTTTGTTATATATGATGTGACATTCTTTGTTTTGACACTTTCGAAATAACTCTATATAAAGTGATTTTTAATAAAACAAATATTGTTTTTTGACAAAGAAATGAAAATAGCCGAAACTCACTCTATACTTACCATCATTACATATCATCACGTATCATGTCATCATCACATTTTTATTGAAACCAGTTGCCCCTTGCATAGTTGGGTAACAGACTCAACCCGGTGTTTAAAAAAAATGGAAGAAATGGTTCAAAATGATCATCACATACATATTATATATATAATGTGGTGGAATAGAGGTACGTATCTAACAATCCAGGATGAAAAATATCAAAGTATTGATTCATCATCATCATGACAAAATCATGAGACAAAAAAAAAGATAAGAATGAGTAGAGCAAAATGAAGCCATCCAATCAGGACAACGAGTAAATGGATGCATCACCAATGAAAGAAATGTGCAAGGACAAGATATAGGATTATCATTCTTTTCGTTGTTTTTTTTATAAAAGAAAGGGAAAAAATGAGTTGTATAGTCTCTTTTTTCTTTTACTATTTTCTCATGATCATGAAGCTGTCATATCCCATGATGACTCCATTCAAAGAAAAAGTTTCAGGATTATAGACTCATCAATAAATCAAATTGTCCTCTTAATATTATAAAAAAAACAATATAAGTATCATCATCCATCATCATATATCATCACATATCATCAACAAGGAAAAAAATCCTCTCTAAAGAGTAGATACTACAACGTAAAGACGGGATATGAAAATTTCGGTACCTTTTTATCTAAACTTTTTTTATTTGCCAGTGTTCTTTCCTTTCTTTTTTCTTTTTTTCTTTTTCTTTTATCAACTCATAATCTTTCTTTTCTTTTCTTTTTTTTAAAAAAAAAAATATGACAACGCTTACAGATCAGTTAGTGACTATTGTATTTGGACTTGCCGACCTTACTATTTCTATTCCACAATTGAATATCTCACTTCCTGTATTGGAACTTATACATGCTCTACTCATCAATTATGCTTATCGAACTGGTCTCTCGATTTCTCACACGAATATTGGTTGGGGTCAAGGTTTTTTAGCTACTATAGTTATGTGTGCTGGTGGTGGCTCTACAGTTGCTCTTTTACGTGGTGAACCTCTTGGTATTTTGAAAAGCAATCGGTTCTGGGGTATCTATGGGTAAAGTATATCATAAAAAAAAAAAAAAAAAAAAAAAACTTGTCTGTGTTCACGTGGTACGTGTGTGTATTCAGGTAGATCAATCATTCTAATATCACCATTTTTTTTTTTTAATGATTAGAACAACATATTGGCTCATGTTTTCCAATCCTTATGTATATCCATTTGTTGATTACTTGTTTAGTATTCCAGCTTTAGAACAAGTGCTAACAGTTGCGGATGGTATCTTGCGTAATTTTGCTATTACAAGAGTTGGTATCGAAGGCGTAGCTCTGAATCCTTTGTTGGGTGATGACAAATGGGTTGCCAAGTTGATTTGTGGTACTTTGGCTGGTTGTGGTGGAGGCTTTTGGATTGGTAAGAATAAAAGAAAAAGGAAGAAGTGGGAAGAGAAAAAATATATAAAGCGAGTTATTGATTATGATATATTTTTAGATACTTTCAAATTGACTCAAGAACATTGGACTTTCTCTACTCCACGATTCCTTCATAGTCCTTCTATTGATATGAAAGCAAGTTTTGCGTCTACTCTGTTTTACTTGATCTCCACCAACTCTGAACTAGCTGATCTTCTTGGATTCACAGTTCTCTCTCAAACTGAAGCGCAAGCATGGAGTGCAATGGTCTTATCTTCTGGTCTTGTATATAAATCATACATCAACAGACTCAACAATAACAATCGATTCAACAAAACTGTACCGACGACTCAAATTGACAACACAAATGAAAAGAAGGATGAGTAGTAGGATAGGTTGTTTTTTTTTGAAATAAAGTACTTATATAGAATATTTTATTTTATCAAAGTCAATGTTCATTAGAGAGGTAAATGAAATATACTATGCTTATTTAATTTCGAGGACCACGATAGACATAAGGACATGTTCTATAAAATAAGAATAGTTTGATTATGTTCAATTATGTATATATATACTTCATTTTCTTACGAATAAGTATGACACTTCTTTCCGCAAAACATACAAGGCATATGAGAATGACAGTGCATTTGTTGAGAAATAACCATTATAAGAAAAAGTTGTATTGATAAAAAAAAAGGTAGTAATAAAGAGTAGGTATCATTCTTTATTTATACACTTTTTTTTTAAATGAATTATTGTCATTTGTGGTCAAAAGTGATAAAAGCAGCTATGAACAATGCCCCCCTTGCTTGTCTACCAAAAAAGCACAATTGCTGATTGGAAGATGGGTTTCAATTTATTATTTTTTTCACTTTTTATTTTGTTTTCATACAAAAAAAAGATTGTTTCCCTTTTTTTTTTTTTCTTATTGAATTCAAAATGTTGTCAACTTTTACAAAACATTGTGTGAATCGACTTCCAGTTTACACTTCTTTTAGATCTCATATACCAAAATACACCACTAGTTTTAGACCAACCCTTCAAAGTAAGATTTATTATCAGCTCTTCATTTAATCATACTCATTAACTTGTTTTTTTTTTATATACTTATCAGATCGTTTCCGTCAATTTGCAAGTGAAGTTAAGAGTGCTGCTGATATTGAAGCCAAATATGCTGACAAATTGAAAGAAGCTGCTAAAAAGTAAGTAGTATTCAAGTAGGGGAGAAAACACATTTTTGAGTACAGTATATATCAACTAAATCTTTTTTTTTTTTTTGATAGACGTGGTTTAACGGTTGAAGAACTCAAGGCCAAGGTATTGGAAGAAGCCAAACAGCGACGACAAGCTGCCAACCCTGTAAAAAAACCAACCAAAACGGCAGCAGCATCAAAGTCAACTAGTGCAGATAAAGTAGCGGCAACAGTAACAGCCAAAGCGAAACAACCTTATGATTCTTCAGCACCTGTATGTCTCAAATATATATATATATATATCTTTTTTTTTTTTTTTTACTTACTCTTCTTTTACAATACGTAGACTTTGGATAAAATTGTCAAGTTGGAATTGCTTGAAAAAGAAGATACTGAAACTATCGAAAAGATTTGGACACAATATCATGCTGATAAGGATTGTATCACAGCTATTATTCCAAGCGATATTTATGATACTTTATACAAACGTAGTCAAGAATATCCTATGGTAATATTTAAAAAAAAAAAAAAAAGTACTTCTCATTCATACTTATTCTTTTTTTTTTTTTTTGTTATAGTTCATTGTACCTATGCCAAGAGAAACAGGTATCGAATTCTTCGTAATGCAATTTCGATTCCATCAATGCCATTTCACGTCTTTATTGGAATACAAGACAAAAGGAACTGAAGCACGACCTTTTTTCACTATCACTCATTTCCCAGAATTGGCGACTTCCAAAGGTATTGTGCTAATGCGTGGTGAAATATCAGATGAACCTCGTATGATCGATACTCAAAATGCTCAATTCTTGGCCTTTACTCTTCAACAATTCTACGCAACTGGAAATGAAACGAAGTTCAACATGGTCGAAAAATTCCACAAGGCTCCTCAAGATTTTGATTATCAAGCTTTGATCAATGAAGTAGAAAGGGTCATCTAAACTTTTTTTTTTGGATCTTATCACATGAATCAGATAGAATGGATTAGAACAGTATCATTAGATTAGAAGTAGTTTTTTTTAATAGAATATTTATGTATATTATCTTTTTTTTATTATTATTATATTTTTAGAATAAAGATCTTGATGTGATTTTTACTTCTTCAACCTTGATAGTATTGATAGAAAATCAATGAATGGAAGGAATGGATTATATGAATGGGGATGAACGGAACGAAATGATGAATGGGACGAATGGCTGATATCATGATATCATGAATGAATGATGATCACTTCATCGAAGAAGAAAAAAAAATGATAAGAGACAAGACAATTGAAAAAAAGAAGGTTTTTATTTTATTTACAAAAAATAAGAACTATATACAAAAGATGTGATCTTCCTTTTTTTTTATGTTTTAGTTGTTTCCACCTGGAACATTACTATAAGCCGACTTCTTCACATTTTCAGCAGTTTCTTGAGCCTTGTTCTTCATTGTTTCGGCTTGTTCACCAGCTTGTTCACGAGTCTCTTGCAACTTTTGACCGACATTTTGACGCAAGTCAGAAGCATTTTGTTCAGCTTGTTGACGAGCAGATTCACTTTGGGCAGCAGCTCTTTCAGCCGCACCTTCCGATTTCATCTTTTCACTTCCAAACATACCACCCAAAGTTTCCTTGGCGTGACCGAGACCTTCCTTGAATTTAGATTCCATATTTGCTAGTAAAAAAGTATTATGAAAAAAAGTACTATAAAAATTAATCAATACAAAAGAAAAAAACAAAAAATTAAATTAGACAGGGAGGTTTTATTTATAGTAAAAAAAAAAAAAAAAAAAAAAAAAAAAAAAGGAATGATGCAATATTTACTACTTATCTGCATGAATCTTCTTCATCTTTCTACTTCAAGGGTTTGAGTTAATAGTTTGGGTGATGATGAGCCATAACAGTGTACTGGTTTCAACATAAACGTTAGTTTTCAATATCCGATGCTTTTTTGATCGATTATTTTAGCATGAAAAAGATGATTCAATCAGATCCAATCAAATCATCATATAGGACCCATAGTTTGGAAAATCTAAGAAACCGAAGTAATAGTCTAACCAATGAAAATAATAAACATTAATCCTCTTTTTTGTTCCTAAACATCAAGTATAGCAATAAACATGTGAAGCTCCTAGACCATATAGAACTGAATAATCATAAATTTTTTTTTTATGATTCTTTTGTATACAGATTTTTTTTTTTATTTTTAAACTGAAACCATCAAATTATTCTACACTAGTCGTAACTTCCTGGTCGCCAGAGACAAATAGAGTCACCAGAATCCAACTGTCCAACAGATGCTAATCTTTCTTTCCATTTGATGTTTTCTTCAGCAGATATGCCTTTGGGTTCATTGGTCCATGATAAAACAAGATTTCGCAGAGGAAGTAGATAATTTGCATACCAATAATGAAAATGATCATAAGCCACCTGATAATAAGAATGGATAATAGTTGGACATATAAAGAGAAACAAAATTATGAGTAATCAATTAGATTTCTTCTTTAGTTACATTTCCAATTGTTCTACATGTTTCTTTTCTTTTTTTTTTTTTTTTTTTTTTTTTACCTTGACGTTCGGATTAATAAAAATATTTGTAAAATTCAATGCACGAAGATCAGAATGCACCAAGCAACATTCACTTGCTTCCAGTATCGGTCGAGGATTATCAGGCCAAAGAGAACGAAATGAGAGTAATGGAGTTCCAGTAGTACTGTTGACCATCAAAAACGGAGAAGCCTTGAAAGACACCATACCTCCCCAGCAACTATAAACAGGAATCAATTTTCTATGCTTCAGTAGATCACGACTTGTTTGATCTTTAAAGTAAGGATATTCTCCAGAGCCCAACCAATTAGTGTCGATTTCACGTGTAGCAAATTCATCATAGTATTGTCCAAAGAAATCCATACTACAAACAGCATCATATTCTTCGTCAATATCCATGCTATTGTTATTGCTATATCCAGATTGAATCAAACGTACTGCATCCATCCAGTCAAACCAAATATCATTCAAAAATAAAATCTTGTCATAGTCAAGATCCCGTCGGTAAAGAGGACTAAGAGCTTGATTCCTTCGATTTGCTAACATTGGTATACGTCGTTCTGTGTAATCCTTTGGGGTATCATCTAATATAATGGTATGAGGTATATTTTCCTGGGTCAACCGGGTTTTGAACTTGAGTAATAAAGCCTTGGTGTTGTCAGTACTACCTGTTGTATAAAAATAGAAACAGAATATTTAGTGCCAAACTAACGATGAATAATTTCAAAAATACTCAGCGTTTTCTTTTTATTATATTCTGTTTTACCGTTTTCAAAGATGGATATATATGAACGATTAGGTCCAGCCCATTGTGCTAACTTTAAAACTTGTGTTGTCCAATGATCGAGAATATCTTGATTATTATATAAATTGGCAGCTATAAAAAGTGTTGGTTTCTTTTCTGACAAAGAAGAAGACCACCTAGACAAAAAAAAAAAAAAAAAAAAAAAAAAAAAAAAAAAAAAGAATCTGTGAGTGTCTTTCCAATATTTTTCTTCATATGTACCTAACAGAAGTAGCTGACCAAAAGAGATAATATAAAGACCAGTATATCAATATCAAACTACAAAGGAAAGGAATAATACGACGCCTCCTTGGCAACAAGAACATTCCAGTGATCAATAAATAAATAAAAAAGGGAACGAAAGAAAAAAAAAAAAAAAAAAAAGGAGAAACTTTTAGACAGAAATATAAAAAATAGTAGAAGCGGAAATTGAAAGTGAAATCAAAAAGTGTGTCAATTTTATTTAACATTTTTCAACTAGACAAAGGAACAGGTCGTCGACGCCATTGTTGTTGTTCTTCATCAAAGTAATACCATTTGTGAGTTACTTGTACATGACTTCGTCGATATCCTTTGAATTCATTTTCACCATAAATATCGCCTTGAAGTAATTGATCTTCTTTCACATCTGATTTATGTGTCAGACGTTCATGGGGAAAGAACCGATCCAAATCCGGAATCTGACAACGATTATGTGGGGCTAAAAATAAAGGGATCGAGTATCGATTTTGATTCTTGTTATTCAATACGCGATGTGTCGTAGCGATGAATCTTTTTTTCGTTAACTTTTCAAAGATTTCACCGATGTTCACAACAAAAGTGCCTTCAATGGGTGTTGCATCCTAGCAAAAAAAAAAAAAAAAAAAAAAAAAAAAAAAAAGATTAGATGCCAGAAATGGAAATCATCGATGGTTAAATTTTTTTTTTCCTACCACCCATTGACCGTTTAAGAGTTGTACTTGAAGACCACCAACTTTATCTTGTAATAATAAAGCTAGAAACCCATAATCCTAGATGTACAAAGTAATTAGCAATCTAATCCACATTTGTTATCATCATCACATATCATCATCACATATCATCATCACATATCATCATCACATATCATCATCACATATCATCATCACATATCATCATCACACATCATCATCACATATATTTACTTTGTGAGGACCAACTCCAATACCGTGATCAAGAGGTACATCCTTTTCATTGTCCATTCCTGGATAATACACAAGTTTCATGCGCATTCCAAGATCATCACCAAACATGTCCATAAATTCTTTTTCATTGATATCTAGACTTTGAGCCATGGCTCGCAGAACACGTAGACCAACCTTATGCATAGCTTCCAACAACTGAAGGATGATTGGTTTAAAGGATGGTATCTGTGTTGGCCATTGGTTAGGACCACGTAAATGTGTGTAAGCTGGTGCATCTAATGGTCCTTCGGGATATTCACGACCAATATCAAATGTTTCTCTGTTGTCTTGTTTATAATCGGTTGTTTCACCATCTATTCACATAAACCATGATCGTCATCAGATACTTGTTTTTTTTTTTTTTTTTTTTTTTTTTTGTTCGCTTACTGAGTTGTGTGAATCCACGATAATGAGGTGAGTTACCCATATCGACCTTCAATTTATCTTGCAAAGGTAAATCAAAAAATGCTGCTGACGTTTCTAAAGCGGCTTCAATCAATGATAATGGGACACCATGACCACGAATATAAAAAAATCCGATATCGTGCATAGTATCATAGAGTTGTTTCAAAAAATCGGTAGTGATTGCAGTTTTATCCGGATCATCGGGTTGATAAAGCTCAAAATCAAGAATAGGAATGGATGATGGTTTTTCCACAGAGACCATGGTTAAAAAAAAAAATTACACACAAGTATCAATGAATGAAAGAAAGAAAAGAAGAAGAAGAAAAAAGATGAAATCTTATCATCACATGTTTATATACAGGTGATTCTTCGTTTGTCATAACCATTGCGCCATATATTGCTTTGGTGATGCGAAAATGCTCAATGTATACTATGCCTGGGAAAAAACCAGTTTTTGTGATTTCTTTTTTTTTTTTTGACACGGTTTACGACCGCAGCCCATCGCGCTGGGAACCAAAAGAAAAGTTGCAAGAAAAAAAGGTCGATCTTATTCTTTTTCTCTTTTTCTTATTACTTTTTACTTTATATCATGACTGCTACACAAACTCTACGATCTTCTATCAGAACAAATAAAAAAGCTTCTCCTTATTTCAAGAAAGGAGAGAAGAAAGTATTTGTAGCCAATGACGACGACGTCTCAAGTAATGACAATGCTTCACCATTACCATTGGTTCTCAACTCTATTCTTTTTCTCTTACCATAGGTGTCATTGTATTTCCTTTGACAACTGAAGAACGAGCAACATATATCAACCCCAAAACGAACCGAAAACTTACTGACTTCCATTACAAAGTATATGATCTAGTAGCCAAGGTAACCAAAAAAAAAAAAAGACATTACTTGTATATATAGACTATGGATATTAACCTATGATCTTTTATTCTTATTTCTATATATATATATTTGATATTTATCAATCTCATGATGAATGTTTTTTATATAGATCCCAAAAGGACAAGTGACAACTTACAAAGCACTCAGTGATGCTTTAAATTCCCATCCTCGTGCTGTTGGTCAAGCTCTCCGGATCAATCCATTCTGTCCTCTACCTATCCCATGTCATCGAGTGATCATGTCCAACAAAGCTATTGGTGGTTTCAATGGTGGTTCCGGTGATTGTCAATTTGTTGCTAACAAGAAGGCGAAATTGGCAAATGAAGGTCTCTCTTTTGATGAAAAGAATTTTTTGACTTCAAACGTGAACGGTGACAACTCAATATTTACTGATTTTTAGTATAGTCTTATCATATTAATATTCTTAGTATTATGTCCAAATATAAAAATAAATCAATAAATAAATCATTCAATTGGGATGTTCATTTGGCTTTTTGTTGACAACGGCTCTTAAAAGTACTGACGATGATGCATGAATGGCTTGATGATTTATGTAGGGCCAATATGTGATGATGGTAGGATGTTTTGTATGATGAATTTGATTGTGTTGAAATGACTAGAGAACTACTATTTTTTTCATAAGAGAGATTAGATCATTTTCCTAAGTTAAATAATATGGTTTGCAGGTAAAAAAAAAAAAAAAAAAAATTGTGATTTGCGTTGTGTTGGTTGTACCAAAAAGAGAATATAAAAAAAAAGAATAGAAAGAAATGAAATAATGCTAGGCTTATGATTCGCCTCGCCACAATCGTCCTCAACCTTTTTATTCATCGGGATGATACGCAGTTTTGAATCACTCTTGATAGTCAAGCTTCCAAATCTTTCAGGTTTTGCTGCTGAAAACGTTTAAAGTATTGATTATGATCATTAAGAAGACTATCATAAAGAATAAGAAAGTTTCTATAATTAATCCTCGATCATCCATTTCCGTATATAAAAAAAAGAATCACTGCAAATATATTCAAATCCCAATGCAAACAAATCTCTAATCAAACGCAGAAAAGAAAAAAAAATAAATACGCTTCACATGGAAAAACCTGGTAATTGTGTAACCACTGGCATCCGGAAAGAATCAAAAAAAAAAGTAGTAAAGAAAATCAAATTGAATAAGGCATGAATACTTTGATCGATATAATAAAAAGAAAAGAAAAGAGTATGGTATCAATGAGTATACAAATTTATTATAGGATGAATAATAAAAAGAATCGCAGTAATAAGACTAAACTAGATAATGAACAATTGCCCATAGAATAAACACAGTGATAATAAGTCCACCAAAAAAGATCCATTTATCTTGAGTTGTTCGTCGTTCGATATATCGTATCACATTTTGAGAAAGACCCAAAATGTTCGCTGTATCCAATAGTTTTCGTTGTGCTTTCTATATATGTCAAAGAATTAATTAGTTCTATACTTACTTAATATATTATTTTTACCTTCAAAATGCCATGTTGATCTGTTAAATTCTCTAGTAATGTTTGTGCTTGAGTAATAAAATCGTCCAATTGTGATTCAGTATGATCACCAAACGCCTGCTCTCTTTGGGCAAAAGCTGATCGTGTCATAGGCTGATAAGGATGTTCTGGCTAAACAAAAAAAAAAAGGTGAATAGAAATGGACTCTTTCTCTTTCTTTCCCTAATGATTTATTATTCTCTTTGATATCACTTACTGCTTCTGCATAATGTCCACCTTTGTTCGGCCGTCGTGCTAATAAACTTTCCCTGTTTTGTTCCAGTCGTAAATTTTCTTGAATTTTCTTTGTTGATTCAAATCGAGTTCGCATTTCTTGTAGTTCCTGTCGAAATTTCGATACACGTCTAGTAGACAATAAGACAAAAAAAAAAAAAGATGAATATTACATTTAAATGATATTAATTCTATGTAATATAATGGATATTATATTGTTTAATCTTACGTTATAGCAGTTTCTTTTTTTACTGCCACCATTTCCCGTTTTGCCAAATTATCATAGTCATCAATGGAACGCTGTAAAGATGAGAAGGAGGCAGCTATTTGACCTATAAAGTAATAAATCATTTGTTTTGTTTAATATTTAGAATCCAAACAGGAATATCTTCTTTTTTTTTCTGTTACCTTGTAAACCAGCAGATAAATCTTGACCAGAGGCAAACTCTATAGAATATGAAAAAAAAAAGAAAAGATTATTAAGGTGAGTTAGAAAAAAAAAAAAAAAACATGTGAAAAGTATTTACTGTCTAAATCTCTCTGTAAGGCATGACTTTGCTTTAAAGCATGGTTGTAAAGGGAATTCATCAAAAAAAAAGAAGAAGAAAGAAAAAAGGAGAGAGGATGAGGCAAAGGAAAGAGAAGAAAGCGAAGAAAGAAGAAAAAAAAAAAAGTGCACGAGCTTCGATCAACCTTTTTGGAGACAAGTGGAAGTCCGCCAGAGGTACTTTTCAAAAATTTATTTTAGTCAATCTCCAATTGGACACTAATAATTATGCGTATAGATATGAAATGTTTTCTCCAATCAGATTATTTTCCAAAAAATTGATAACTTAATGTTTTTTATAATCATCATGAGATCTTAAACAGTTATTTTTCTCATCTGATCAGAAAGTTTTAAATCAACTGATGAACCTTCATATATTGGAAGAATATGTAATAGAGAGCTTTTTTTTAAAAAAAAAAAAAAAGAAAAAAAAAAAAGGAAAAAAGAAAGAATGATTCATTATTCTTCTTCATAGTTAAATTTATTAAATCACTTTAGATTTTAATTGGTTACATTGTAATATACTTTGTTTGTAGAAACACTTTTACACTTTATCATAGCAAAAAAAAAAAAAAAAAAAAAAAAAAAAAAAAAGGTTGAATTTTACCTTCAGCTTGACTGTGGCTTGGGATTCTCAATTTTTTTTTTTCTTTGATTCCAAAACCCGTATAATATTTTTATTTTTTCTTTTTCTTCCTCTTTAGCTGTAACCTTTATCAAACATGTAAGATTGAACGAAAAACAAATAAAAAAGTTTATACTCTAATATTCTATTTTATGATATATAGGGTCAACTTGCGTATCCAAAAGCGATTGGCAGCTTCTGTCCTCAAGTGCGGTCAACGAAAGATTTGGCTCGATCCTAATGAAGTCAATGAAATCTCCAACGCCAACTCCCGTAAGTATATTCATTATACCAATATAGTAAGATAATAAACATCACTAACAAATTAAATATATATATATATATATATATATTAATTAGGTGCTAACATTCGCAAGTTGGTGAAGGATGGTTTGGTTATTCGCAAGCCTGAAATTGGTGTTTCTCGATTCCGTGTCCGTGAACGTCATGCTGCCAAGCGTCTTGGTCGTCATATGGGTCATGGTAAGCGCAAGGGTACTGCTAATGCTCGTATGTCTCGTCAAGTCCTCTGGATGCGTCGTATGCGTGTACTCCGTCGTCTCCTTCGCAAGTACAGAGAAGCTGGTAAGATTGACAAGCACTTGTACCACAACCTCTACCTTCGCAGCAAGGGTAACTGTTTCAAGAACAAGCGTGTATTGATGGAATTCATTCACAAGGCCAAGGCTGAACAAATCCGTACCAAGAACCTTTCTGAACAAGCTGCTGCTCTCCGTGCTAAGAACAAGGCTATGCGTGAACGTAGAAAGCAACGCAATGAAGAAAAGACTGAAGGAAAACAATAGATTTTTTTTAATACATTTGTATTAGGTCAATCATTATTTATATCATTCAATTTGTAATAAATCATACTCTTCTCCTGTCTTTAAGATCATGTTTTATTGAAAAAGGGCTCCGACTTTTTTTTTTCCTCCTTTTCTTTCTTTTCTATCACCCTTTTTTTATTTTATTTTATTTTATTTTATTATTTTTATATCTATAACAGAAATATTATTTATATTCTATGTTAAAAATATGACTGATCCTGCCTTTAGTATATTTACTTTACCTACCAATGTGGACTCTTATATTACACCTTTTTGGACTTCTGTAAAGGAAGATACTTATTTTTTATTACAACAAACCAAAACTCAAAAAAGTGCCATCATGCGAAGTGTTCTCGGTACTTTACAAAATGTGTAAGTTTTATTTTATCTATTTATTTATTATATTCACTCATTTTATATATATATATATATGTTTTAAATAGACTGGATACAAAACAACCTACTTATCGTATATTATATCGTCGCGTGAACGGTAGCTGTTTGCAAATTGCTTCTGCAGAAACAGAAAAACAAGTTGATTTGGCCTGGCGCTGGATTAATGGTAAAAAGATAATTTTACTCAAATATATTATATTTACATTGATATTTATTTCTATTTCTTTCATCTTCTTTATATATATATAGATAACTTGAAAATACCTTTAGATGCTTTGGACGATACAGAAAAGGAAGCCTTTGTAGTCACCAAAATTAACTCTATTGTCACACGAAGAGGTAATATCATTATTCAAGAAAATATCATTGTATTAACCTAACCTTCTTTCATATTGAAACAGATACTGGTACAGACGATATATCAACCGATGAAAAAGTTAGAAATGCTTCAAGAAGTTTCCGTCAAACTTTTGATATTCCAATGACAGAAAGACTGGTAAATTGTAAGTTATCAAAAATTAAATTTATTTTCTTTTTTCCTTTATTTAATATATATATATATGATTTATAGATTATTCTGGTGCTTACCATACGAATCGACTCACTAGTCAAGGTTGGCTCTATATCAGTGAAAATTATCTTGGATTCTATTCTTATCTTTTGGGTTTTGAAACAAAACTTCTCATTGAACTTAAAAATATTCAAGATATAAGAAAGGAAAAATCAAAACGGGGAGTCTTCTCAGATGCTATCAAAATTGTCATGAAAGATAAACAAGAGGTAAATATATATATATATATATATATATAAAAGAAAAGATGATAAATTTATTTACTCATTTATTATCAAATATATATATTTGGCTTAGCACTTCTTTTCCAATCTCTTCAAACGTGATGAAGTACATGGAATCTTGGTACAACTTACTGGGTTGGCTATGCAACGTCTTTTGAAAAGTACAGCATTGGAACATTCTCCTGGTGGTGAAATTGCTATTGATATTCGTGATAGCGATATTGACGCAGCAGAAGATACAACACAAAGTACCAAGGAAATGATTATCAACACAAACAACAATAACAAAGATGGAACACCTTCATCATCGAATATCAACAACCTATCACAACCTTTGAAAACTAACTTGGAAGCTCAAAAACGTGATGATCGATTCAGATTCCAATTTCGATTACCATCAACTGAACATTTATTACAAAGTGTGGATGCTTTCTTTCTTGTGGAGGAACCTTCAGAGAATACTGACGAAACAGCATCTCGAATTGTACATTATCGTGGAAAATTATCTGTATCAGAAGCCTATCTTACCTTTTACTCAACTAATCAAGCTTCTCAGTATCAATCTGTTCTACCATTGTATACCATCCGACGTGTGGAGAGACTCAGCGATAAAGCTTATTCCTTGAAAATTCTCAATTGGCATCAAGCAACAATTCAATTTGATCTTCAAGTGTAAGTTCATTTACATGTATATCATTTCTTATTAATTACCTTTTCTTGTTTTATTTTTACTATTATTATTATTATTATTTTAGCACCAAAACACAATTCGATTCGTTTACAACATTAATGACTGAAAACTTACGCAACCAAATTAAGTATATGAAAATGATGAAACGGTTTCTTGCAACTTGCCCATCTACAGCATTGGTGGCCGACAAAGGTTATGAAGATATTGATAAAATGCCTGGAGGTTTGGGTCTCGAATTTGGATTCCCTGGTGACGCACGTCAACTTAAAGATCGAAGCAAAATGAAGCTTTGGAAGAAATTCTTTAAAGGTACATTATATATTTCCTTGAGAGTGAAAGATTATTCTTATATTGACATATTACTGCTTTTTTTTTCAAATATATCAATAGAATATGGTCGCAATTTGACCATATCAAAAACTACTCGGTTCTCTAAACTTATTCGCGTTGGATTACCAAATAGACTTCGTGGTGAAATATGGGAAACGTGCTCTGGATCCATCTATCTTCGCTTTATGAATCAAGGTTTATATGACAAATTATTGGAAGACAACAAAAACAAGAGTTCTCTTAGTTTGGAAGAAATCGAAAAGGATCTCAATAGGTAAGAATTATATACATCAAAGAATTCTCTCAGATGTTAACTCAATCAAATTGAATCTTTTTTTTTTTTTGTGTATAGATCTTTACCAGAATATTCAGCCTATCAAACACCTCAAGGGATCAATAGTTTACGACGTGTACTTAGCGCTTACTCATGGAAAAATCCTGAACTTGGGTATTGTCAAGCTATGAATATTGTTACTTCTGCAATTCTTATGTAAGATTGATGATGATGCTGAATGGTGTTTTTCAAAAAAAAAAAAAGGGGGGGGTTTGTAGTATAACGCTTTTTTTTTTTTTTTTTTAGTTATATGAGTGAAGAGCAAGCATTTTTTACTTTGAGTATACTATGTGATGACATGTTGCCTGGATACTATAGTACGTCCATGTATGGTGCTCTTCTGGATCAAATCATCTTTGAACATTTATTAGAAACGACCATGCCAATACTACACAACCATTTCAAGAAAAAGGATATTCAACTATCAGTCGCTTGTTTACCATGGTTCCTCAGTCTATATATCAACTCTATGCCATTGTTACTCGCCTTTCGTGTACTTGATTGCTTCTTTATGGATGGACCAAAGGTTTTATTCCAAATTGGTTTAGGTAATAGGTTTATAGAATGAAAATGAGAGATTAGATATTTTTTTTTAACTTGGCTTTATCATATCTTAGCTATTCTGAAAATCAATGGAGATGCTCTCTTGGAAACCTACGACGATGGTGCTTTTATCAATGTACTGAAACACTATTTTAGTCAATTGAACGAACCTCTGTATCCGGATTCGGAAAACCCCAAAGCAAGACATTTGACGGTAAACCGTGACTCTATCTTATCTCATGATGGCAACAAAAAAAAACTCACGTCATTCTATTTTGTTTATTTACTCTTTTGATAGAAATTCAATGAGCTTTTACTTGTAGCGTATCGCGAATTTGGAAACATCACTGATGAAAAGGTACGAGAACTGCGGCAAACACATCAACTTAAGGTGGTAGCAGGTATCGAGTCATTCACCAAACGATCAACTATTCGAAACATTGACAATACGGCGGGTCTCAACAAGGATGAGCTCAGTGTCATTTACGACAAATTTTACAATGTTTTATATTACAAACAGCATCATCGACATGATCGTTATGATCCTTCGACACCATCCTCTTCCTCCTCCTCAAGCTCAGCAACAAATACCAATTCTACTGTATCTCGTATGGATTTGACTTCGTTTGAAACTTTCTTTGGATCTTTGGCAAATTGGGCAAAATTGACAAATCAAGACTATGAACCTGAACGCGAAAGGCAGCTCAAGGTTGGGAAACTTTTACTGGAACGGTTATTTGCACTATTTGATGTGACTAATTCGGGAACTGTCAGTCTTCAGGTAAAAATATAAATAAAAAAAAAAATACTTTATCGACCCTTTTTTTTCAATTAATATTATTCATTTCTTTTTTTTTTTAAAAAAAAAATTGCTTTAGGATGCCATATGTGGTATTGCTTCTATTGTGAAAGGTGATTTGAATGATCATATTCAACTTTTCTTTAATCTACATGATTTGGACAAGGATGGATTATTGAATCGAGAAGAAGTACTTGAACTTTCTGAAACACTATTATGGATATTCCGAGATACATCTGATGAAGATCATTTAAATTCGGTGTCCACCTTTTTACATCATGCGTTTGAATATGCGGAAATCAAAGACTCAGGCGCTGCGGACAAGGAATCACAAGATACTTTCTTATCAAAGGAATCACTCAGGTAATCTATCTAAAAACATGACACAGGAACATTTATATTCACACTGATTTATTATCCAAACATAGGATGATCGTCTTGGCGGATGAAATATTGGAGAACTTCTTTGATCATGAATTTGCTCAATCATTCCAATTGGTTGAAAAGGTGGTTGAAAAACAACGAAGTCTTGGTCGTGAAATCTTTGAAAACTTGCTTGCAACTGGTGCCAGATTTACCAATGGCAAGTCTTCTTTATTACCTAGTGGTCGAACAGCCTCTCCTGGTGTACCAACTTCACCACCTTCCAAATCTTTAATATCAGTATCAAGTAGTAGTCAACCTTCAATTTCTTCTTTGGCGAGCTCTGTCAACGAAGTTGAACACAAATCAAATTTGGACAACGACAACGAGAAAAAGGAAATCAAACTCGATGATCAAGATATTTCTTCTGGTGATACTTTCAATAAGGAAATTGGTGATGGTAAACTAGATGATACTCATGAAGAAGATGAAATCACAGACAAAGAAAATCTATTTGGATTGGATGAAGAAGAAGAGGATGATGAAGGTGGTGACGTTCTGGAAGAAGTGGAAAAGCTCTTACAACAATATAATGGCAACGCGGATGAAGAATAGATTCCCTTATTTGGACATATTACCGAAAGCTTTATTATTGTTATTATTATTATTATTACTATTATTTTATTCCCCTCTATTGTTGATTAGTACTATTGTTTGAATTCCATTTTATATATAGCTTATTATTTATTTTCTTTTTACCTTGTTAAAACAACTATTGGTTGTAATTTGTGATTTTATAAATAAAAATCGAAATTTGACATTTTTATGGCTGAGTCAAAATATAGCCTATGATATTTGTAATTTTCTCGGGCTTTGGTTCATCTTTTTGGTCTATTTCTTTCAGTCAGTGTAAAATACACTTTATTTTTTTTTTTTTTTTTGGCCTTTTCCTTTTTCTTTTTTTTTTCTTCAACTCTTTTTTTTTTTTTTTTTTTTACTTGACTGTTCTTCTTGTCATTCTTTCTTTTGCCCCTCCCACCTGTTTTACATCAAGATGGTGCCCCTTGCGTCTTGCAATTATGCCATCAATGACAGCGGAAAGGAAAATGGCAATGATAGTAGCAGCGGCTCTTCTCGGCATTCTCACACAAGCAAGAGTACAAGTAGAACATCTTCCTTATCAATACTTTCACGCTCTCGATCTCAATTGGCAAAAAATCCAACTTGTTCAGCAAATGCTACTCGATCTCATTGGGAGACAATCCATGTTCGTGAATCTTTATTTGATTCGACCGCTCATGGCAATAACACTATATCAACAAAGCATACACCAATTATACGACAATCAACTATTTATCCTTATCTCCTATCTGTGGTGGCTCAGGAATTTATGCAACGTATGGTTCTCAATGATCGTATCAAGAATAGTATTGAATACAAGAATGTTTTTGATGGTCAACAAGCTGTGGTAAGACAAACTTCAAGAATGATCCCATAATCGATATCTTTAACACTTTCTTCGTCTATTAGGATAAATTGATGATTATACTTGGTACCCGTTCTCGATGGACAGCATTGAAAGTGGGTCGTGCTTTAGGTGATCAAGGTTGCTTTCATGATGTACTATACGAAAATGTCTTATTGGATTCGTCAACCGATATCTATCAATTCAAAGATCTCCTTTTTTATAACCAACCCAATTATCGGCAGCAACATGGAACTAGTACTTCAACAACAATGACATCAACATTGACGCCAGCTTCAGCAACAACAACCTTGATAACAACCAATAGTAGCTACAATAGTAACAGCGATAATCAAAGCAGTACTACTTGGGCTGGAACGATCACAACAGGAAGTACAATTAGTGATTATTCAACAACAACTGATGATCGAAATACACTTGCCACAGCAACAATCACAACGCTAGAAGATGAAGATGTGAATAACGACGACGACGACGATGACATTGGGTTATATTCGACCGCAGCGATCACCAAAAAAGAAAACGCCACACCTACATTCTTTGTGAATGGTGTATTCACGCCATTGACCCGATGTTATGCATCATCATGTGACAGTATTCATCCATGTTATAGTCCTTCATGTAGAGAACGACAACAAAAAACCTTTACCGTATCCAACTTATCATCATCAACAACAACAGGAAGTCGAGGTACCGAAATCAGTTTTGATTCTAGATCAACTCCACATACATATTTGCGACAACGAGAACAAATGTCCTGGGCAGAAATGGTATCTGATGATGTACTGAACTCTGTATCAACTTTGGAACGAAAACGTCAAGAAGCAATATGCGAACTTATTTACACTGAAGTGAATTTTGTGATGGATTTGGACTATTTAGGCAAGGTAATTCTCCACGAATAGTAATAGAACATCATCATCATCATCATCATCATCATATCTGACTTGTGTTTATATTTATTTATTTATTAATTTATTATTATTGATAGATGTGGATCGAACCTCTTTTATCAGAATCTATTATTCCATTGACACGGCGACAACTTTTTGTGGATAAAGTATTTTCCAATATCACAAATATACATCAAGCACATGCCAAACTTGCCAAGAAACTAAGAAAACGACAAAACGATCATCCTATTGTGGTGGAAATTGGGGATATCTTGCTCAAATATGTCGACTCATTTGCTATGATCATTGATTATGGTGCCAATCAACATGAAGCTAAATTTATCTACGAAAAGGAACGTTATCTCAATCCTAAATTTGATGCCTTTGCAGAAGTAAGTATGCCTATGTTTCTCTTTTTTTTTTTCTATTTTTGACATTAACAATGGTATTTTATTTTCCGCACTTAGTATACAGAAAGACATCCTTCTTCACATAAACTAGAGTTGAATGGTTATTTGACAAAACCAACTACTCGATTAGGTCGCTATCCTCTCCTTCTAGGTGCTATTTTGAAACGTACTTCTCCTGAACATCCTGATTATGATACACTATCCAAAGTCATGACTACGGTCAGAGAATTCTTAAGCAAGGTCAATGTGGAAGCTGGGAATGCCAAAAATCGTTTTGATTTGGAAAACATTCATCATCATTTGTCATTTAGACGGAAATCAGATCGATTAGTAAGAAGAGAAGAAAAAAAAAAGAATATTAAAATTGAAAAAAAACCACACACATATATATATACTTACTAATATATCTTTTTTTTTCCAATTATAGGATTTGAAACTATTAGAACCTGGAAGACGGATTGAACGTGAAGGGTTTTTGAACAAACGGCCTAATTTGGATGCTGCAGATTATCAAGTGATTTTGTTTGATCATTATCTTGTGGTAGCCAAGGTCAAATGGGTCCGTGCTGAAAAACATTATCTTGTAGTTCGAAGAGTAAGTAAATATAAACATTTATGCATTCAATTACTTACCTTTTTTTTTTTTTTGGTATCTCACCAGCCACTAGCCATTCCTTTTTTGGCCGTCTCTATACCAACCTACTTGCCATCTCCTCAACGAACCAGTAGTATATTGATGTCTTCACGTCATAGTCAACAAAGAAGAGGATTGATTTCAACAGAAAACGACAATGCCGTATTACCAATGGGAACACAAGGACATCCTCTTCTCTTTCAACACTTGGGCCGGAAAAAGCATGGAGATTCTCAATATGTTTTATTTGCATCATCTCAAGCATCAAGGAAACCATGGATCGATCAAATTCACCAATTACAAGCTTACAACCATTCACCTAATGCAGTTATGACCATACATACAGCTGTGCAACCTGGTCAGTTCAAACATAAAAGCATCAATCAAGTAGTACCATTCCGTAAGTGAAGCATTTCAATTTATATATATATATATATTTAAGAACTATGCTTGGCTCACTCTCTTTTTTTTTTTTTTTTTTCTTAGAAAATAATCAGCTTCTTGTGTTCGCAATGGATGATGGCGTTTATGCCGGCAAAAATGATAGCGATGGTGTTGTACACAAAGTATTACATTTGGATCACGTCACACATATTCATGTCATTGAAGAATTTCAAATGTTACTGGTATTGGCAGATAAGATACTTTGGCAATATAATTTGACAGACGTAATGAATGGGAAATTGGGTGTTGGCTATAAAAATCAACCGATTGGACGAAAAATTCAAAGCAATGTTCCATTTTTCTATGTTGGTACATGTCTTCAACGCACTCTGGTATGTGTACCTAAAGTATCCCCTTTGAAATCAGTGATCACGATGTTGGAACCATGTAAACCTCAAGCAATGACGGACAAGAAACCTACTCTACTGAAACGGCTGGTACCTACAACAGTGGCTGGTGCTTCTTCTTCCTATATTATCTCTTCCACAGATATTTATTTAAAAAAGTTTAAAGAATGCTATATACCTTGTGAAGCTTGGGCTGTGGAGTTATCAAATACGAAATTATGGATAACTGGTCATCGTGGTATTATGATTGTTGATATGCAACGAACAGATCGAACACAACGTAAGTTTGTTTTATATATACATATGTAACATTAATCTTCTTTCTCTTCTCTTTTATATATATATAGCAATGTTGGACCCTTATGATCCACAATTGACTTTTATTACTGATCGTGAAAAGCATGAATCAAGACTGAAAATTCGATTACCAGTGAAACATATCTCAGTATTCCGGACTCCATTGAATGACTATCTAATATGTTATGATGGTAAGATCTCTCTCTTTTGTTTTTTTTTTTTTTATGTTCATCAAGAGAATCTAATTCTCCACATATTTATTTATTTTAGAATATGCATTTTATGTCAATGCCAAAGGAAATCGTACTAGATCCAATTTTTTAATTGAATGGGAAGGATGTGCTGAATCTTATGCTCTTATTTGGCCATATGTAGTTGCGTTTGAAACTTCGTTTATTGAAATCCGTCATGCCATCACAGTAAGTTTTTTTACATATCAATTATCATTCAAAGATATTTACTTCTTTCTTTTCAATAGGGACAGTTGGATCAAGTAATACGTGGAGAGCGTATTCGATGCCTTCAACATAGGATTGGAGATGTTGTCTATGGTGTGATGGCCGATCCTGATCAAACCGATGGTGAATATGTATTCAAATTAGTCTTATTGAATCCTCCTTCGATCACTACAACTTGTCCAATATGAACTATCATCATCATATTCCCTCCTTCCCTCTATTTATTATTATTATTATTATTATTATTATTGATTTGATACCAATTTAGTCATTTATTCTTATTTGTATTTCTTTTACTATTACTACTTAATACTTTACAAAATAAACTTTTTATAATAATTAATCATATGCAATTGGTTCTATTAAAATGATTCGGTCTTTTATTGATCCGGTCTGATATTCTCATTGGCACATCTTTTGCTGACAAAAGCAGAACCCAATATTACAAACAAGGACTGCGGCAATTGAATATTTTGCTTTTTTCTTGGAGCAGGCGTTTTTGTAGATAAAAAAAAAAAAAAGCTTCCACCACCTTCTTTTTTATCATTTGTTTGCCTTTTTCTTTTTATTTTTCCTATATAAAATATATTAATGTCACAAAACATCAATCCTGACCGTCCTTTACTTGTAGGTCCTGAAGTACCTACCGACCCTTACCCATTTACTATCTCTGGTACTGTCGTGAAAGGTTTTGGTCGAGGGTCTAAAGAATTAGGGATTCCTACAGGTAATATATATATCTTGTGTGAAATTTTTTTTTGATTGTTTCTATGGATTATTCCTTGACGCGTTTTTATTTTATTTTATTTTATTTATTATTGATTACTGATTTACTTGTTCTTCCTCTCTTTGTATTTATCTCTTTTTTTTTTTATGTAGCCAATCTCAATGAAGAAGCCTTGGAGAAAATGTATAAAGGATTGGATGTTGGGGTATATTATGGATGGGCTCAAGTTGGACCAGTAAATTCAACAGTGTATCCTATGGTAATGAGTCTTGGATGGAATCCTTATTACAAGAATGAAAAACGATCAGCAGTAAGTGGAGCATAAAAAAAAAAAGGTAAAACAGAATAAACTGAACTGGTTTTATTCTTCTTCTTTAGGAAGTGCATATCTTACATGAATTCCCTCAAGATTTCTATGGTAGTGAAATGCGTGTGATTGTAATGGGATACGTCCGTCCTGAGCAAAATTATCCTTCACTTGGTAAAGTAGCAATATAGAATGAAATAATGAATGATTGAATGATTTTTTTTTTATTTTTGTATCTGTAGATGCTCTTATCTGTGATATTCGAACAGATGTAGAAGTAGCGAAACATTCTTTGAAACGAAAAGCATATGATGAAGCTCGAAACAATCCATTATTCACCACTGAACAACAAAATTAGTTTAGAAATACCACTCTACACTTTATTTAGATTAGACTTCAGTTTTTTTTTACTTGAAATTAGGATAGATTACATTTTTTTTCCTCTTTTAGATGAATAGAAAATGGAAAAACTGAACCATAAAGAAAATATTCTTATTAATAGTACAATAGCTTTCTCTCTGATCTAATCTATGAGCAATGTAATCAAACTATAAATGATTGTTGATGATGGAGATAACAGTTGAAATAGAGTAGAGATGTGTACTTCTTTGTAGCGAGCAACACCTGAATTTCAACATCCGCGTCAAAAAAAAAATTGGCAGGTACAATCGAAAAAAAAAAATCAACTTCTTTTTCTTTTCATTGATTGATTGTCAAATTATGAACAAACGATCTGTCAAAGATGATGTTACATTATCTAGAGCTCCAAAACAAAATAAAACTTCTTCTTATAGTACAAATGAAGTGAAGGCATCCTGGCAGCATTATTTTGAAGATGGACGACAAGCATTCGCGACCTCACAATACAAAGAAGCAGTGGATTACTTTACACGAGCAATCAATTTGCAACCCTCTCATATTACCTTACTGGATAGTCGCTCAGCCGCACTGGAGAAGTTGAAGGATTGGGAAGCAGCTATTAAAGATGCCAAGGCTGTCGTCAAGCTTTCGCCGTGTGTATCCAAAGGTTACCTCCGTCTTGGTAAACTTCTATGTTTACAGCAACGATTTTCTTTAGCACTACAAGCCTATCGACGTGGTTGTGAAAAGGTGACTACAACAGATACAAGATATCCATTATTAGTCTCTCTGAAATCCGACATGGAAAACAAAATCAAGTTGAATTCTCAAAAGATGCATGGCCAACGAGACCCTATCAAGATCCTACCGTACGATGTATTGGACCTTATATTTACTCAACTTCCTTTCCACCGACGTGTGGCCTGTATGCAAGTCAGCAAGCATTGGCAACGATTTTTACTAGGTTGGTCTGGTATGTGGCGCGACATGGATTTTATCACGGGAGCCACCAAACATAATGCTGTGTCTCGTCATACATTGAAACGTTATTTCTCATACAATTGCGGTCGTCACCTTCGTCGATTCTCACTCTCTGCAAATAACACCAAGACGGATTATGCTCTACAACTATTAGTAAATCAAGGTTGTCAATATGTAGAATACCTTGGTAAGAAAAAAAAAAAAAAGAAGAGATGACTGGATGATTTATTGTAGACGAATCCTTTTTTTTTTTTTTTTTTTTTTTTTTTTTTTTTTTTTTTTTTTTTTTTTTTTTTTAGGACTGGCTGATACAAAATTTGACTTGATGGTGTTCAATCGCGCTTTACGATTGATAGGAAATCATTTGACTCATCTTTACTTGGATGGATGTGGTCACGCTCTTAATCATATTTATTTACAACTATCAACGCTATGTCCAAATCTTACCCATTTTTATTATGAATCAACTCCAGAACCCACACGCTTTGAATCACAGGATCGTGCCCTCTTCCGCGATATACCCAACAACAAACATTTGAAACGACTTTATCTAGTAACAGATATGACTTTGGAAGATGTGGATCTTGTCCTTTTGTCATGTCCCAATCTCACCCATTTGATTCTACCTCGTACTCTGGATATTTTGGAACATCGCCTTCGTATTCAATCATTACCCCATCTACAGCTTTATCACGTCGGTACTCTGTTATCGCCCAAACTATATACTTGGCAACCATACGCATTGGACGACAATGAATCCTCACGAAAAGGTTTATCCGAATTCACCGTGATGCATTCGATCTTAAAGGATGAGGAGTTTTTACCGATTATAGAAGCACACCGTACTACCCTTGGCGTGATCAATCTCAGTTACTCAAGACTAAATAGTAATGCATGGTGCTCACTTTTGACTAGTGTCCCTGGCTGTCCTCTCCGCGAACTCTATCTGGATGATTGTATTGATCTAAGTGAACAAGATCTCTGTGATCTTATTCATCATTTACCTCAACTTCAAGTGGCGTCTGTCGCTTTTTCTTTTGTTCTCACCAATACGGTTCTAGATGCTTTCTCACAACTTGTACACTTGGAACGACTGAATGTCTCTGGAAGCCGTCAAATCACTGGATCTGGGTTGCGTCATCTCGTGGATCAACGTCAAACAACACTCAAGAAACTACAACTCAACGACTGTACAAGCATTCTGCCTGATGCCATTGATTATGCTCGAGCAATTTTAGGACAAAGAGCAGTGGAATGTTCTTTTGGCAATCGACGACGACGATGATGATTTGTTTAGATTTAGTTTAGTGTATATATCTTTCATTCATATTACAATAAAAAAAATTTTATTCAATTTATGAAAAAAAAAAAATTGAAAAATCAACAATTAGCAAATAACATTTTTGTCTATTTTTGGTCTCTTTGCTACCTATCCACATCACCCAATAAAAAGTATGTCTTTTACTCTTTCCAATTTTTTTTTTCTTTTTTGTCCCTGAGTTTTTTTTCTTCCTTTTTCTGCCAGAGTTTTTCTTTTCTTTTCTCAAAAACAGTATAAAGACTGGAACTTCAACTTTTACACCAAGATACGTCTTTGAAAATGAAACCTTTGGAAACCTCTCAAAGGCATGGACCAAACTTAGTAAATTGTTAGAAAACCGTTATTTATGTTCTGGTGCTAATCATAATACTTTTTGTATCCTTATAGGTTGTTTATTTAATATAAAAAAAAAGGACTCTTGTTTTTTTTTTTTATTATTATTATTTTCATGTTTGTGATGAGATGATCGAAAAGAGTGGAAGAAGAGTATATATATACGTGGAAGGAAGATAATAATAATAAATAAATAAAAAGTGCTGATAATGAGAAATTGTCTACGACTAGAGTAATATATTATTTTGTAAAAGGGAGAAAGAATATCTAAACTAAAACATTGGATGGATATTTGATATGATGTAAAAAAAAAAAAAAAAAAATAATGGGCAGATCATTGTTTGTTTTCTTGAATAATGTTGACAAGCCTAAATAGTGAAGGAAAGATAATAAAAAAAAATGAATACCATTATATATCAATCGTCCTTTTTTTTTTCTATTTACCAGTCTAATCCTTCAGTTAAACCTTCACCTTTAAGGGCACTTGTTTTGTAAATGGAGTATTGTCTGTTTTTAAGGGTGGATAATCCAAGAGCATCGGCTACTTGAGCTGAAGATAATGCACCTTCCATGTCTTGTTTATTGGCAAAAACGAGTAAGGCGGCATCTTTGAGTTCTTCTTCTTCCAACATGGCATGTAATTCTTCCTTTGATGTTTCCATTCGGTCCTTGTCCACACTATCTACAACATAAATCACAGCATCGGTATTGGAGTAATAACATCGCCAGTAAGGTCTATATCCATATATATATATATTAGTAAAGTCATCTTCCTCTTGATTTCTTTTTTTTTTCTCTAACTTTACCTTATACTGGTTTGTCCACCTAAATCCCATACTTGGAACTTGATATTTTTGTAAGTCACTGTTTCCACATTGAATCCGATGGCTATAAAAGAAAAGAGGGGATTAGATAAAACAGCCTCTTCAGTCTTTATATATATATATATATATATATATATATATATATATATATAGCGATGAATAAAAGGTTACTTACTTGGGATGGTAGATACAACTTCTCCAATCTACAAAAGAAAAAAAAAAATAAGAGTCAGTTCATTTTTGTTATTTTCAGTGGAAGAGTATATCCATCATTGTTTCCTAAGGTCCTCATTGTTGTTTCTGATTTTATTTTTATTCTTTTTTTTTTTTCTTTTTTATATACCTGCAATCGGTATAAAATAGTTGTTTTGCCAGCACCATCTAAACCTAGAATAAGTATACGGACTTCCTTTTCACCCCAGAGACTGGACAGTACTTTGCTGAATAATGCACCTAAGAAAACCAAGATCGTTTTTTTTTTTTTTTAATTAGTAAAAAGGTTGGATGATAAGAAAATCTCTTTTGGTCCACTCTAATTTTTTGTATTAATATCAAAATTGTTGACGACTACTTGCTTACCCATTCTTTTTTTTAGATGTATTGTATGGATATAAAAAAAGCCGGTAAAGAAACTTAATAAGGGAAACGAATAAGAAAGAAAGAAAAAATAAAGAAAAAAACACGCAAGGCAATACGGAGACCCAAATATCAAACTGCAAAAAAAAAAAAAAAATCCAACTTTTTGAAACACTTCTTTGTTTCTTTTCTCTTTTTTACTCTTTTATACCCGTTCTTTTTTTTTTTTCTTTTAATTTATTATGAACTATACAAATAACAACCTTCCAGTTGTTAAACTGGAAGACCAAAGTAAACTTTTAGATACTATCTTAAACACGGTTAAAATACAAAGTCATCATATGAGAAACTGTTTAGTAAGTAAAGCATGTTATATTCAAATTTACTATATACTTAATTATATTTATTGTAGAATGAAAACAAACTTATGGATGGTTTGAAATATGCATCAAATATGTTAGCAGAACTACGTACTTCTAATCTCACTCCTAAATCGTATTATCAACTTTGTAAGTATTCTTTTTCAATATATATATATATATATATTTAAATATTATGTTATTTATAGATATGGCGATATTTGATTCTCTTCGACACTTGACAGCTTATTTTGTAGAAGTTCACCAAACAGAACGACACCACTTGGCAGACTTGTATGAATTAGTACAATATGCAGGAAATATTATACCGCGTCTCTATTTAATGATCACAGTTGGTGCCGCTTATATGAGTATGCCTGATGCTCCTGTTCGTGAAATTATGCGTGATATGATGGAAATGGCTCGTGGTGTACAACATCCAATGCGTGGCTTATTCTTACGATATTATCTTTGCGCACTTACAAGGGATCATCTACCTGTTTGTCCTCAAGTGGAGTAAGTTTTTATTCATTTCATGTGATAAAGATTATTAATTATTATTATTATTATTATTATTAGTGTGGAAGCAAATATTCATGAATCTATTCGATTTACTTTGACAAATTTTATAGAAATGAATAAACTTTGGATACGATTACAGCATCATGGTCATTCAAGAGATCGTGAAAAAAGAGATATTGAAAGACGGGAACTACGGATTCTAGTTGGTACAAATTTAGAACGCCTGAGTCAATTGGATGGTGTTGATCTCAAGATTTATAAATCTGTAAGTAAACTATTTTTTTTTTTTTTTTTTTGGAAAAAAAAAATACTGATTTCTATTTTAGGCCATTTTACCTGAACTACTTAATGAAGCTGTCAATTGTCGTGATGTTCTTGCTCAAGAATATTTAATGGATATTATCATTCAGGTAATCAAATCAAAATATGGATTGTTACTGGTTGACTCACCTTTGTTTTTCTTCGTAATAGGTGTTTCCTGACGAATTTCACCTTCATACTTTGGAACCATTCCTCAATGCCACAGCTCAATTACACCCAAAGGTCAATATCAAATTGATTATTATTGCTCTTATCGATCGTCTAACTGCTTATGCCGCTCGTGAAACAGAAATGGAAATGGAACTGGAAAAACAACGACTACAATCCGGTGAGTCGGTGGAAAAAAGGAATGTTAATACTAAACAACGGATGGATACATCGGAAAGCACACATACAAACTCAACACAAGAGGCAGAAAATACCAAGTCTGACGATAAACAGTTGCCTTCAGACGATCACTTGGAAACTGATACAAATAACAAGGAAACGCTTACTCAAACAGAAGGTGACACAATAAGCAACAAAGACATCGATCATAATACCGACAATGTGGAACAACAATGTGAAGAAACAGATGTTGCCCGGAACAAGGAAGAAGATGCTGACAATGATATAGAAACAATTAGAGGTATCCCTAAAAATGTAGAACTATTCGCAATGTTTTGGCAAAGAATTGTGGTACTAGTCAAGGTAACAAAAAAAAAAAGAAGAATTAAATCATCAACATGTACTAATAATTATATTTATATATTTTTATAAATCATAGGCCCGACCGGATCTTACTATTGAAGATATTACAGAACTCCTTGTATCGCTAATCAATCTCTGTCTTTCTTGCTATCCCAACAAACTGGAATATGTGGACCAAATACTTTTATACTGCAAGGAACAATGCACAGAGCATGCCAATTCTAATCTCCTCTACTCCAAAACGACGGAAAACCATTTGATGACATTACTCTCAGCACCTATTCAGCAATATGAATCCACACTGACTTTGTTAATGCTAGAAAATTATGGATCTCTACTTCAACAACAACCTTATAACACTAGACGCCGCTTGGCTTTGGCTATGGTGACAAATGTTTTGGCAAAAGGTACTATCATTGACACTCCCGAAGAGGTCCATAACATATTGGAACTATGTGATGTATTGTTACGTGACCAAAAGGATGTTACTGGGCACTATCATGGAGGACAAGCAACAAAATCTCATCATTCTTTCCCACCAATGTATGAATATGAAGACTCTTTATCTGAAGAACAAGGTGCAATTGCAAAACTGATTCATCTTTTCCGATCTGATGATGATGATACTCAATTTTTGGTAAAAAGTAAAAAAAAAAAAAAAAAATTAAAAGTGTAAAACTGACATAAGATATTTATTATTTCTAGTTACTTTCAGCTACAAGGCGACAATTGAACGATGGAGGAAAAAGAATTCGTTTTACTTTCCCATCATTGATTACTGCTTCCCTCAAATTATCTCGACGATACCAAATACAAAATACCAAGGTACTACGAACATGAATATCCATTAGAAGGACTAACATCATGATGTTTTATTATGTAGGGTGATATTTGGGAAAAAAAGACGACTACCTTGTATCGTTTTATTGATCAAGTTATCACCATCCTGTATACCAATTGCGAAGAAACAGCAGATCAATGTTTGCGATTCTATTTAATGGCAGGGCAAAGTGCAAATACTTCTGGATTTGAAGAAATGGCTTATGATTTTTTCGTACAGGGATTTAGTGTATATGAAGAATCGATTTCTGACTCAAAAGCGCAATTCCAAGCCATTACGTATATCATTGGGGCGTTACACCAGGCAACAGCAAATGGATTTACTACTGACCATTATAATATACTCATTGCTAAAGCAGCTGTACATGGATCAAAGCTATTGAAAAAACCAGATCAATGCCGTGCAGTCTATATGGCAAGTCACTTGTGGTGGAAGATTAACAAGGATGGTGATGATGGCGACAACAAACGAACATTAGAATGTCTTCAAAAGGCACTAAAAATTGCGGATAGTTGTATGGATATGATCACCACTTTGGAACTCTTTGTTGAAATTCTAAATCAATGTATTTACTATTATGGCAATGACGATGATGCGGTAAATCAGTTTAAAAAAAAAAAAAAAAAAAAAAAAAAAGTCATCTCAATAACTTTATTTTTTTTTTTTCAATATAGATTACAGCCGAATATGTCAATGGATTAATCGATATGATTCATACTCATTTATCCAATTTGGATGACGCTGATCTCTATCCATTCACATCAAGTTCTTCCTCTTTATTACAGTATGAAGGAACATCCATGGCAGAACATATGCGCCGTCACTTTATGTCAACATTACAGCAAATCAAACTTCGTCAAGATCCAGAATCAGAAAACAAGAAATTCAATAGTATAGTAGTTACAGTTGATTAGTTATATTATATTATTTAATAAAACTTCTACATTTTATCTATTTTTTTTTCTTAAACATACACACACACATACGCAAAAAGATTGTATATAAAAGTTTATTTGATTTTAAAAAAACAAAAAAAAAAGGGAGACGGAGGGAAAGAATGAAAAGACTATAATTCTAACTAGCTAAATATGCATAGTGTATCAGAGTTTATTTGGACATCTACCATTGACAATAACAAATAAATAAAAAAAAAAAAAAAGACACGTTAATGATTTGAACCTTATAATAATCATCTTTCTTACCATCATCTTGACAAATTCTTCATAGTTGATTTGACCATCACCATCCACATCAGCTTCTCGGATCATTTCATCAACCTCTTCTTCAGAAAGTTTTTCACCTATAATAATAAAGAAAAAGAAAGAATAGAATGAGAATATTTTCCATTGATGAGGAGAAAGGAAGGGGAGGAAAGGAGGAAGAATTATATATCATCAGGAAGAAATCAGTATTTACCAAGAGAAGTCATGACGTGTCGTAATTCAGCCGCAGAGATATAACCATTTCCATCCTTGTCAAACACCTTGAATGCTTCTTGAATTTCTTCTTGAGAATCTGTATCCTTCATTTTTCTAAATCATCAAATGTTAGTATATAAATAATCGTTTGTTTTGTCTTTTTTTTTTGAAATTACCTAGCAAGCATAGTCAAGAATTCACTGAAATCAATCATACCATTTCCATCACTATCAACTTCATTGACCTAATATCAAAAAAAAAAAAAGTTAAAAAAGTATATTCTCCCCAAAGATGCCAAGACAAAATGATCCCTATTTCTCGGATTCCAACATTCCCTTTTTTTTTTTCTCCCTTCCTCTTCTAATATCCCTTTTTATTTTTCTTCCAAATCAAAAAGATCACCCTCTCTTTTTTTTTTCATTGTCTATCAAATAATATCCCTTTCGCGTTCCCCGTCTCTTTCCAAAAAGAGATTCTCCGAAATGCACAAAAAATTACCATATCTTGAAGTTCGGCTTCAGTAGGATTCAAGTTGAGAGAACGCATGACAGTACCAAGTTCTTTGGAGGTAATGGAACCATCACCATCCTTATCAAATAATGAGAAAGCTTCCTTGAATTCGGCAATTTGTTCTTCAGTAAGTTGATCAGCCTATTATTTAAAAAAAAAAAAAAGGTATCATTAATATGTAAATAGTATAAAAGATATATTGTATAGTTAAGGTCACATCTTGTGACATATGACTTCGAAACCTTTTTTTTTTTTCTCTTTTTTTTCATCTGAACCAAATGACCTGAAACTAGTTTGTTCCTTACCATGATAAATAAGATAAAATTAGTTGTTGAAGTTAAAAAAGAGTCAAAAAAAAAAATATAAAAAAGAGACTAATAAGAAAAGAAAATACGAGAAAGAAAAAGAAAAAAGAAAAAAAAAAAAGAAAAAAGAAAGGAAGAGAAAAACAAAAAGGAAGAAAAAAAAAAAAAACCAAGCTGCTCATCTTAAAGACTGACTTTTAAACTTTGCACCACCTTTAGTTTTTTTCTTTTGCACTGGGGCCTCTAAAAGAAAAAAATTGTCAATTTAAGTACCATTCAAAATGAATATTAATATTCTTCTTTAGTAACAAAATTTGTTTATTTTTTATTTTTTTTTATTTTTCATACTCTTATTAAACATAACTATTTTATGAGGTAGTTTGGATTGATTTTTGCCAATCAGAATAATGTTTTTCAAATCAATTACATAAATGATGAAAAATATATATATATATTATAGAATGACATATTTATCTATTTTTGAATTAATCATTATAAAATCCATTAAAAGATAACAACATTTCATGATAATAAATTCAATTGTTCTTCTTCTTGATAATCTACAGTAAAAATCATTTTCACCTTATCCCTTTTTGGATCATGTCCATATTTGGTATCCGATGCATAGGAGATTCAAAAAAAAAAAAAAAAAAAAAAAAAAAAGAAGATATGATTGCTCTTGCTCTTTCTGTTTTTTTTTCCCTTTTTTTTTTTTCTTTCTTTCTTATTCTAGAATACCATGGTAGATCAAAAAAAAGTAAGTATATTCTCTACACATAATATAAAGAAAACAAAGTTTTATATATATATAATATCATAACATTTATATATTTAGCGAAAACAAACAAAATCCTTTGATAACCAATTCTTATCTGGTCCTGATTATGATCGACAACGTCCTGGAAAACAACAAAAAACAGTAAAACAAGATCAACCATTATTACACAAACCCATTATTTCTGGTGTTCCTCGTTCATATACAGTCAGTGTTGCTATTCCAAGTAGTATTATTGATGCTTGCCCTACTCTTGATTTGAAAACGATCCTTGCTGGTCAGGTAAAATAACACACATATGAATATATGCCCAAATAATAATGAATATTTTGTTAATATGATAGATCGCACGTGCTTTGGCTATTCACAATGTGGATGAGATTGTGATCTATGAAGATCGACCTTCCAATAAAACCAAGCAACCTATTAATCCAAATTTATTCTTGGCTCGCATTTTTCAACATATGGAAACTCCTCAATATATGCGCAAGACATTAGTCCCATTTCATGAAGATTTGAAAGCAGCTGGTAAGTGTGAACTTGATATTTCTTTTTTTTTTTATTATTATTATTATTTCTTTTGTGTAGGTTTATTGCCACGGTTGGAAGTCCCACATCATCCAAGTATGGAAGATATGACGCTTTATAGAGAAGGTGTGACTCTTGGACAATACTTCAAAGAAGGTGGTACCTTGGTAGATATTGGATGTCTTCGTCGTGCAAAAGTAAATCAACAATTACAACCAGGTGTTCGCGTAACGTTGGAATTGGCCACTCCAGTAGCAGCAAAAGATACAAAAAAAGGTCAGATCCCAATCTCTGCAACTATCGTTAGTCCAAAGGTACCAAGAGAAAAGGCAGGTTTATACTGGGGTTACAATATTCGTTTGTCATCTTCCTTTTCAAGAGTGATTACTGAATCTCCCTATAAGGTAAGATAATAATAATAAAAGAAGAGAAAAAAATGAATTCACTAATACATATATAATGTATTGATTATATTTAGGATGGTTATGATTATACAATTGGTGTTAGTGATCATTCTGGAAAAGATATATACGAAAGTGCATCTAAATCAAAATCATTCAAGTAAAGGAAAAAAAAAAAAGAAAAAGAAAATAAAATGGGATATATGTTGTTGTTGTTTTTTTAATATTTATGTTATATTTTCCATTATAGACATCTTTTGATTGCATTTGGTGCTCCTGGTCATGGATTAGAAGAAGCTATAGAAGCGGATGAAGATCTCAAAGTGGGTTCTGATGATGCATCCGAGATATTTGACGTATTTGTCACTCCTGGTCAAAATATTGGAACTAGAAATCTTCGATTAGAGGTAAAGTTACAAATAGTAATTATGTTTGATAGGTAATACTGATACTTCATTTTAATATAGGAATCATTACCTATGGTATTGTCTGTTTTCAAACCAATGATATTGAAGAATGGATCTTAGATATGTCTTAGTGTAGTAATAGTTAGACAAAAGAGAGAGAGAAAAAAATAACTGTAGATTAACGATATTATTGAAATAAATAATAGATTCCTAAAGATGCTTAAATAATTATCAGTAACAAATGTGATTTATGCTTCATGGGCAAAAGAAAATGATATGATTATACAAAAAATGATCGTTCAGTCTTCTTGTATCAGAAAAGGAAACATTCTCGATTTTTTGATTAAATTTTTTAGGTGTCCGATTTGTTGCGGTAAGTCCTTTTTTTTTTTTTTATTTTCTTTTCTTTTTCTTTTTTGACCACTGGATATTTTTCTTTTTCTTTTTTTTTTTTTCATGGCGTCTAATTTGTCAAGTATATTCGATGAAACGGAACGACAAAGACTTATCGATTCAATTCCCAAGTTTGAAGATGTGGAGAACAATCTTGAAAACATTCAACCTTTGAAAGGTGGTAGACGTGCCCGTGCCTTAGTGGCATCCAGCCTGGCAACTGACGATGAAAGACAGCGTATGATTCAGCAAGAACGTGATTGCTTTGCTTCCAAGCTAGAAAAACTCGACGATATGGATGATCCTTTGGATGTTTATGTTAGACATCTTCAGTGGACTATACAAATGTTTCCCGAAGGACAGAATCATGAATCTCAACTGGTGGATCTTTTAGAACAAGTTACAAACAAGTTTCAAGACGACCCTCGATATATTTTAGACCCACGCTATCTCAATTGCTGGATGGAATATGCAAAATGGACGGATGATCCCAAAGATGTCTTTTTATTTCTCAAGAAAAAAGGCATTGGTCAAAACCTAGCCCTGTTTTACGAACAGTACGCTTTTCTATATGAAGAACAAAAGAGGTAAATCAATAGAATGAACGTGACTCGAACAAAATACATTTGAAGAAACTCAACATTACTTTTCCTTTTTTTCTTATAAGGTACAAAGAAGCAAGCGATATTTTAAACTATGGAATCGAACGACGAGCACAACCATTAGGGAGATTAAAAAGAACCAAGGAACAATTTATTCATCGTTTACAACATCGAAAACAACATGAAGAATCCATAAATACTTCTAATCCAACTCGAGATCAAATGCAATCTTTACTTCGAACAGGACAACGAACAATGCTTGGTCACAAACTTGATACCCGTCATCCGCAGTCCGTATCTAGGAATGTTTACAACAATATGCAAAACAACTCGACTTTCATTCGGGACAACAGTAATACTTCTTCATCTTCTTCAGCTAGTCGATCTTTTGGGAATTCTATTACAACTTCTACTCCATCCAATTCGTTCAAGTTTCAAGTCTTTACTGATGATGGTGAAGGTCCACAGTCAACGTCTCCATCACCACCATTTTCCTCACCAAGTATCGATACATCACCTTCTAGTACACCAAATATGTCTATCTCAGCTTTTTCTCGCAAACGACAAGAGAACATGGTACCTGTGGAAACATTCGCTGGCGCAACTTTACCACAAAAACAAACTCTTACACGACCTTCTATACCCAAATTCAATGTGTTCCGAGATGATGTAAGTTCGAATGATGTAGGAAATATTCAAAGAAATATTAAATAGGACGATACTAACTCCAATTTATATTATATACTTAGGCTGGACAATCAGAGGAAATAACCATGGATGCATCAGATTATGATCAGACTGATGAACGACATAGGCACGTTGATATGAACGATGACTTGATCCGTAATGGTTCATCCAAGCATACTTACAGCGACTCACGCCATCACTCACACCATCATTCTCGATACAATCGTCAACAATTAGCTGATGATGAAACTATTGGAACCTCATCACTCCTGATGATTTTACAGGATCGATATCATAAATTAGGCGATCATTATATCACAAGCACAGACACCTCAAAGAAACCAATGACAATCGCAGCAAAAGTGGAATACGAGTCATCCAATGGACGTACTTTACCTGTCAGCTTTGATGAAGTACGAGCATATCAACAAGTGAATAGAAGAGGTCAACCACAGATCATCAATATTGGTGCTTTTCAGAAAACGTCTTCTCAAACTGAAGGTAACAAAGTTTTAAATTACCTTTTTTTTTTTTTTTTTATATGTTACTAATATACTTCTCTAGCTACTATACCTTGCTCTGTCCAACGAGAACCTACTATGGATTATACAACTGAAACTCTTGCTGCTCAACAATCTATTAATGCCATGTTCAATAAAAGAAATGATGATTTGGATTCTGAAGATGACGATGAACAAGTATGGAAACGACCAAAACGGGAATATGCAGATGAAAATATTTAGCTTTATATATATATCAATAAATCTATTGTATTATTATCATTTTATTATTTTTTTTTTATCTCAGTAAACCTATTGTAACAACACACTATTCTGATGATTTTTTATATTGTTTTTTCGATTGACTACATTGACAATGATAGGGAAAAATAATCCAACTGGCAAAATCGGTAAAGATAATGTAGCCGGTACAAAAAAAAATAGGGTAATTGGCATCATCACTTATGATAAATAAAGCAATAATGTATAAGATCTACACTAATCCAAGTCTCGTTGATCCAAAACTGTTTATCAATAACATGTAGCAAATGATGTTTATTTCTTTTTTCTTTTTTTTTTTTTTTTTCCTTATATCTTTAGACTGATCATGGATGATTGGGAGGATGGATGACCTGGATGATAGATGATGATGATGATGAATGGATGATGAACTATTGATATAAAAGTTAGAAGGAATTTGTTAATACTTTACCAAAGGCCCCTAAATCTCATAAAGATGATCCATCTCACTAATTTTTTTCCTCTTTCGGAGCTCCCTCTCAAAATAAAATATTTTTTTTTTTTTTTTTGCTTTCTTTCTCTTTTCTTTTCCATTGACTCTTTATAGTTTTATTATACTCATTAGTATAGTCATTAGTTTATCTGCTTTTTATTCAATAAAGCTTTTTATTTGGTTGTAACTACTTTGTTACATGTCAACATGATTGATTCCATCTTCACCATGTATCTTTTATTTTTGAATGCATTCTTTTTATTTTACGCATATATTATTGGTACAAGATACGCTGATACGAGTAATCTAAAGAGAAATAGGAAATAATAAAAAAAAAAAATGTGGACACTTTGTATCTCTGTGAAATAGGTGTAGATATGCCGTTAAAAAGTAATAAGATGGGGAGGGTCAATGAGGTTTTTTTTTTTTGAGATCAAAATTTTATTTTGTTAGATCAAATTTTAGTTTGTAATACGATTATACAGAACACATTTATTTTTCATTGATGTGATGAATCATCATGTGTGTAGTGATTCATTATATTAGTTGCCCTGTAATGTTTATACATTGATATGCATCTTTCTTGATAGTATCAAAAAGATCATGAGCATGATGACTTTCAAAGTCCGTACTTTTATTTTTTTTATTTTTTATTTTTTTTTTTTTTTCATTTCTTTCTTTTCTTTCTAACAACTTTAGTTATAGTATATCAATTAGTAGTCTTTAGTAGTTATATTTTTTATTTAATAAAACTTTTATTTTTATTCCAACTACTTTGTTACATGTCAATGTAATTGATTCCATCTTACGATGTATTTTTTTTTTATTCTTTATTTGTGAATGCATTCTTTAGTTTTATTTTACGCATATGGTTACGAAATACGCTGATACGACAGTATTACAAACTAAAAAAAAAAAAAAAAAAAAACAAAGAAAAGAAAATTCGGTCACCAATCTTAAATACTGTATAAACCAAAAAAATACCTCAACACCTTATTTTGGCCCTGAAATGATCAATTTTTGAGCAAACTGATCAATTTTTTTTCCCTTATTAACAATGAGGTTCATAATGAAATTTAAGAATCTGACAATTTGTTAGGGCACCTGCGGGAGAAGTGAATGAATTGAGTCGAGAGAGAAGGAAAAGTCGTTTTTCAAAAAAAAAAAAAAAAAAAAAAAAAAAAAAAAAAGAAATGAATGTAATGTCGAATAAATAAAAAAAAAGAATGAATGTAACGTCCAATACACAAAAATATAACCAGAATGAAGACCACAAATATAAGTTTATTGTTTATAAAAAATTATTAAAAGATAGATAAAGATAAAAAAAAAAATGTAAAAAGAAGAAAAAAAAAAAAAAAGGTTGAAAAGAAAAAAAGAAAAAAAAGAAAGCCCTAAAAAGAACCCAGTCCTAAAGGTCGAATGACCAAATCCCAAAACCTGGTAACCAAAAATAGAATGAATCCAGTATGAATTGGTCCAGCGTGTCACCAAGATGCAAATACTACACGATGATTGGCTGAAATTTTAGTTTGAGGTTCATAATGCAATTTAAGAACCTGGATTTCATGGGTCGCTTTGACCGAGTGGTTAAGGTGATGGCCTGCTAAGCCATTGGGCTTTGCCCGCGCAGGTTCGAATCCTGCAGGCGACGATTTTTTACATTTTATTGGACGCTGAGTTTAAAATCGATTTCTAAATATGGTATGTTAAAGACTTTTTTTGGACACATGATGATTGAATAATTAAATTGATGGATGATACTTTTATTATAACAGTATCAATGATGATTGTTCGTAGTGAACACTAGTTCTTTTATAAAAGAAGAACAAAATATAATATTTGATGATTTACAGCTTGATTCCAAATTTAGATATAGATGTCTTGTAATGATCATACTTGATGATGATGAAATAATATAATATAATAACTTGAATATAACTTGATAATAAAATAATAAATATAAAACTTAAGATGATTGATTTCTTAAGAATGGCCAAGATGATTATACAATCTTTTATTGAATTTGATATAATAAAAGTTTGACAAAGAGAGAAAAATATTTTAACTACTAGATAGTCTAGATGAATATTTTCATTGACATTACGATGATTTGTTTATGATGATTTTTATTTTTTGATGATGATCACCTATTGTAATGGATGATCAATGATTGTTCTTTTTTTTTTTTTTTTTTTTTTGTATATAGTCAAATAGAACAAGATGATGTTTTGTTAATTAATAAATACAGTACATACTGTACAAAAAATAGAAATAGATTGGAGTAAAATTGTACTACGTGGTCATTCTTGATGATAATTAAAATAACTTGACAATATTACGACAGATGGATGGATGATGAATGACATAATTAATGTATAATTGAATGAACACAATAAAATCACCAAAATCAAATCATATTGTAAGTAGGAAAATGAATCTTTGTTTGATACGGAATTTTTTCATCTATTTCACACACCCAAGTAATATTGAGTTACATCTTGTCAAACAGTTCCAAAAAAAGAAAAAAGAAAAAAAAAAAAAAACGAGGATGAACAATCACTAATGTTCATATATTAATTTATTTTGTTTTTATATCATATTAGCATGAATAATAATGACAACAGATAGAAAGAGATATTGATTTTGACTAACCTTGAGCCATGATCATCATATTAAAAAAATAAAAAATAAAAAATAAAAAATAAAAAATAAAAAATAAAAAATAAAAAACTTTCTTTGATGGGAATCTTTCATTAAGGGTTAATTTTTATCCAGAACTTCATATAAACTCCAACTTTTTTTTAATTTCATCTCTTTATCTTACATGGATAAACATTTGGAAAATCTTTGGGACGTGATCATTGTTGGTGGAGGTAATGCAGGATATTCAGCTGCTTTGAGTGCTAAAGAAAATGGTGCTAAACGTGTGCTTATCGTTGAAAAGTCAAATAAAATCAATGATTATCGTGGTGGAAACAGTTTTTTCACAGCTGGTAAGTCATTTTTTTTTTTTTTAAATCCCCCTTTTTATTTTCTATCGTTTTTCTATTCTTCATCTTTTTTTTCTTTTTTTTTTTTTTTTTTTTTTTTTTTTTTAAATCCCCTTTTTTATTTTTCTATCGTTTTTCTATTCTTCATCTTTTTTTTTTCTTTCTAAAAGGCGCTTTTCGAACTGTATTCGATGGTTTACAAGACTTGCGACCAATTCTACATGAACTTAATGATGAAACAGCTTCCTTGATCGATATGGATCCTTATACTTCTCAAGAGTTTTATAATGATGTTATGCGGGTGACATCGGGTCGTGCTGATCCTGCATTGACAGAACTGCTGGTATCGTCAAGTCGGTCTACTATTACATGGCTTGCTCAACTTGGTATTCGATTTCGTCTAAGCTTTCACCGACAAGCTTACAAAGTGCAAGGAAGATACAAGTTCTGGGGTGGGATGGTTTTATCCACAGTTAACGGAGGAAAAGGTTTAATGGATCAATGGGAACAAGCTGCAACGCGTCAAGGCATTCACATTCAATATGGAACTCAATGCATTGGTTTGGTATGTGAACCTAATCATATGAGGGTCTGTGGTGTTCAAGTGCTCGTTCAAAGCAAGTCCTCTTCTTCTTCTTCTTTTCTTCATGTTCTACGGTGCAATGGTGGTGTAGTGTTAGCTTGTGGTGGGTTTGAAGCCAATGCTTCTTTACGTGCTCAGTATCTTGGTCCTCAATGGGAATTAGCTCATGTTCGTGGTACACCATACAATACAGGCGACGGTCTAGTGATGGCTCAGAGGGATTGTCAAGCAGCAACGACAGGTGGTTGGAGTTCATGCCATTCAACTTGTTGGGATCTCAATACATCACCTTATCGTGGGAATCAAACACTGACCAATCAGTTTACGAAAAGTGGATATCCTTTGGGTTTGATGATCAATAGTGATGGTGTTCGATTTGTAGATGAAGGAATGGATTTTCGAAATTATACTTACGCTTTCTTTGGCAAGGAAATTCTTAAGCAACCTGGTGGTGTGGCATATCAAATATATGATAACAAGGTAGCGCATTGGTTACGAAAAGAAGAATACGATGATTCTGTAGTACAGAAAGTAGTGGCTGACACTCTAGAGGAACTGGCAGAAAAGTTGACAATGGCAGAAGACATCAATGGAAATAAGAAGAAAGGCGCGTTACGCAACCAACAGCAGTTTTTACAAACCATCCGACAATACAACGAATGTGTCTATGCTCATCGATCATGTGCTCCTCATCTTGTTTGGGATCCAGCAATCAAGGACGGTTTATCTACTCAATCTCCAGACAAATCACTCTCTATTCCAAAATCCAATTGGGCACTACCAATTGATGAAGCTCCATATATTGCTGTCAAGGTGACTACTGGTAATGATCATGTCTACATATTGTCATGTAAAAAAAGATATCATACTTATTTAATCTACTTTTTTTATTTATTATAGGTATTACTTTTACATTTGGCGGTCTTTCGGTGGAACCTCAGTCATCTAGTGTGCTTAATACAAGTGGTATTCCTATTGATGGTTTATTTGCATGTGGTGAAATGGTAGGAGGTGTCTTTTATGAAAATTATCCTGGTGGAAGGTATGTGATGGAAAACAGAAATAATAATAATAATAATGATGATGATTGACTGATTTTTTTAAATTTATGTTGTTTAGTGGATTGATGCTTGGATCTATCACTGGAAGGAATGCTGGATCATCTGCTGCTCGTGCCAGCTTCAAAAAACAAGAACATATTGGCAAATTATAGTGAATAATTTACTGGAATAGGATAGTTTTTTTATTTTTTATTTTATTTTTTATGATTGATTAGTAGTATAATATGTCAATAGGAATAAAAAAAAAATGATTTATTGATAAATCAAAAAAGAACAACTGTTAAAAGATAACAATAACGATGCTTAGGAAAAAAAAAAAAAGAATTGAGCTAACTACAGTCATGATGATATATTCAGTTGGTCAGAAGATTCTTTTTTTTTTTTTTCTTGATGATTGTAAGTCCATCAAATATGGGTAGAGTCACTGATTGTACCCTATCATCGTTTCTGACGTGTTCATTGAATGCATGCACCTTGCGAGCCATTTTGTTGATATTTTTCGATGCTGGTATGGGTTGATCCTGTACAATATAAAAATGATAAACAATAATTAGTATGAGCTTATTCATTATTATATTAACTTACCTCAGGGTAACCTGCTGTACGATGAACTTGACCAAAATAAAGCACTAGCATCATACAGTATGAAAGAAGGAATAATAATAATAATAAAAAGGGTGAGAAACATTGACCGATATATTTTCTTCTAGCTACCATTATCAGCTAATATGACACCATTATCAGCCAACATATTGTTTTCCAAGATAAAGTCATAATATTTGATGTAACCACCTTTGTCAGCATCTATAATCATATAAAAGATCAATATTTTTTTTTTTTTTTTTTTTTTTTTACTTGTAATATAAAGCAGAAGACTATACCTATGAAGATCAAATCAAATGGTATCTTTTCATTTGCCAAAGTCACCAAACTAACATAGATAAATAGAGAGAAAATAAATAAACAAACAGATAAATAAAATTGTGAATGGTGAGATATCTTATCAAAATATGTCGTCTAATGACAACATCTATATATATATATATATTTTGTTGTACCTGTCAAAAGCGTCACCTTGCATAAATTTCACTTTGGATAATAAACCAGCTCGTTCCAAGTAACGAGAAGCCATTTGTAAACAAGTGTTGTCTTTTTCCAAAGAAACTAATAGAGTATCGTTTATAGTATTTTGTTGTTCATCCAATGCAGCAGCCATGGCCAAAGTACTATAACCAGTAAAAGTGCCAATCTCCAAGGTACGTTTAGGCTGAAAGAGGTGGATCCATTGTCGTAAAAGTAAAGTGGCAGTCTTACTATTCATCATATGTGCGTTACTGAATTCCTTGATTGTTTCCAGAGCCAGTTCGTTCATGAGCTGATCAATATCAATAGAAAAGGGAGTACTATGATCACTACAATAGTCATCTTCCATTAGTCGTAATCGATTATTGTGATTACTGACACTTTGTTCAACACCAATAGTAGAATGCCAATGCATAGTTGTTTTGTTGATACCAGTAAAAGAAGGTCTTGAGAAAATAATAGAGTTTGATAAAAAATGTTTGGAAAAAAAACGAATCATCTTGAGGACAGTTTCATATTTTTATTATAAGGAAGAAAACAAAAAAAAAAAAAAAAAAAAAAAAGAAGACAAACAAATAAAAGGCCTGCCATTTTCCTGTCATTTTCGGATTCCTCCCCGATCAAAAAAAAAAAAAAAGGAAAGTTTACCCTATTTGGAATGAAAATAAAAAAAAAATAAATAAAAAAAAATAAAAATAAATTATCTTTATAAAGATATTATATAGTAAAGATAGTTTTTTGTTTTCTTATGATTGACAACATTTTTTTTTTTTTTTTTTTGAAAACACTATTAACGCTTAATTTCTTTTTTGATTCATATTGCTTGTTTACTTTCGGTTTTTTAATTTTTTCTTTTTTTCTTTTTTCTTCTTTCTCCAGTAGATTGATACCCTCTTCCCAATGTCTACACAGCAAGTTTATACAGAAACAAACGAAGCACTTGATACTTTATCAGAAGTATGGGAAAGTATGTTGAAAGTCCTTAATCAAGTCTCGGCTGCTGCTGCCTCTTCTTTTACATTAGACCCTGACTTGGACCAACTTTCAAAAACACGAAAAGAATATGAAGCACTCTTGACTCGATTGAAAACAAAAGTAGCTTGGATTCAAGACAATCGACCATATAACAATAAACAACAACAAGAACAACAACAACTTGATCCACTTCTTCTAGAAGAACAACAACAATTACGACAGGTATGGAATAAGACATATTATGAATTATAAACTAATACTCTTTTTTTTTTTCTTTATAGTCATCTCAAGCTGTATCAGATCAACTCAAGGATATACTTAGTCAGTCTTACGCTCTTCAATTTCAGATAGATATGTTATTATCTGCTTCACATGATCAACCAATCCAATAATATATATATATATGTTTTTATTAGTAATTCTAAAATAAATAACTAGTGTAATTTAATATGATGTTCGACTTGAGTAGAAAAACTTGAAAGATGTCCAACCAACCAACGAGAGAGTAAAAATAATAAAATAGTAAAAATAATAAACAATTCAGCGATACAAAAATGACTAATACTAGTACCAATTTCTAACCAACTACCATAATCAGAGACAAAATAAAAAAAGTTGATAGTTTGAATATCAGTAATAGCCACTACACAAAGGAATAAACTAAAAGGAGGTAAATCCAAACTAGTAGTCAGTACGCCAAATACAGATGAGATCACAAAAAAGGGAATCAACACTTTGGTAATCAATAATGCTCCCATCAAGAAAGGACTGAATACAGTAACAAATCGATATACACTTTCTAAAGTAAAACTACTCATCGATGCCACATTGCCTGTACCAAAGAAACCAACATTGATAAAGAAGAGGAAGAGAAGTACCGTACGAATGTCATTTGATTGTAATGATCGCTGTTGCATACCAGGTTGTCCTTTTCCTTGATAGAGTCTACGTTCCAATTCGAGCCAAGTTAATACTGTCATACACAAGCAGACATAAAATAACATTTCATAAGATACACTGAGAAGAGTCATCAATGGTGCAAACGCAAAACAGATGGTCAATAGACGAGCTAGATAATCTTGATCATGTTTTCCACGGTAGATAAATGGAAACACACTGCTAGCACCTAAATATCACATATTAATATGAATTAATAAACGTCTAATAATATATGTTATGGATCACATAGATAATATATAAATAGGTCACTTACCCACAATAATCCAGTTACTGATTTGATTCAAAAAAGGTAATCTTTCTTGTTTGCCTTGTTGACTGATAGTAACTGAATAAACAAGAACAATACTCAATCCATTGGCCAATAACTAACATATAAATGATCATCGTTAAATTAAACTGTTTATACCTTTTTTTTTTTTATCAATTACCTGACAAAGAAGCAGAGTAGTGTCTTGATTATCAATGCGATTATTTGATTTCAAGGACCAGACAAGAAGAAGACCAAGAATCAAGCCAAGTAAGCCACCCCACACTCTAACGTCCACAAACAGCAAATATATATATATAAATAAAAGAATAATGAGTAATTTCAAATCATAGATCAAATGTCCATTAAACATAATATCCTTCTTTTTTTTTTTTTTTTGATTACTTACACTAGCATGATATCAGCATCCTTTTCCACCGGTAACATTGTAAAGATACTTGTACTCCAACAACCTAACATCCAAATTGCCAAGAGAGAAATATGGTTCTTTTTCATCTTGTCTGGCATCACCAAGGGCCAAAAGGAGATTAAAATAAATATGACGGATAATATTTCTCTTTCGAAAAAACTGTATACCTAAGATAATAAAAACACATGATCAGTACACAAAAAAAAAAAAAAAAAAAAAAAAACTTCATCCTGTGATTTTTTTCCCTTTTATTTCTTACCAATGCTTCAAGAATCAGTAATGTGCTCATCACAGTCATAACCGGTTTGAAATAGCCTTGTTTTAAAACAAGATCACCAGAGATTCTAAGAGTACCCACATTTTGAATGATTTGATTCCAAAAGAAGACTGGGAAAAACACATATGCGTAGTAAAGGGATGGCATCTTTTGTATCCAAATCATACCAGCCAATGTCAAGAATACCAAACCTGATACAATATCCACCTATTAGGAAATAAAATCAGTATATACGTTTCTTTCTTTTTTTTTTTTTTTCCTTTTTTCATAGACCTACCATTGTTTTGATCCCATACGACCAAACTGAGATTGGTGTAGAGATCAAGTATTGTCGAAGGACAAATTCAAGACAATAGATACACCAACCAACAAATCCAGCCGTGATGACCCCTCGAAGGAAAAACCAATCATATGTTTGGAAATACCGAAGACCTTCTAAAGACAATGCAATCAATTGACGAGACATTTTTTCCGCACCAATGTAATCTTTCGAGTCGATTAATTGTTGAATAGAGTTGATGTAAAAGGTAGGACTATGTTGACCAGAGAGTGGAGGGAAAGATTTAAAAAAGAGTTCATGATCTTGCTTTTCATCTATAATAATAATAACAACAACAATAATAATAATGAGTAAAGAAATTTATGATAATATAAAATCGATTACCATGCTTCATTTCATATTGAGCAAGAATTTCCCGGGCATTGGCAAAAGCAGCTTCGGCTTTGGTATATTCATCCGCATCCAAATAAGCCAAAGGTAACTGACCGACTGAATTCGCAGGGTATTGTATACCAACCAAATGTGACATAAGAGGAGCAATATCAGCCTGTAAAACATCCTGTCTTTCATATTGATCCAGTTTCCAAGTTGCAGAAATATCGTCATGACCACGTGAAGATAAAATAGGTTTTCGAATACCTGCACCCCAAGCAATGATAGGAGTTCGAGTATTGTCAGGATGTCCATCGCCATGAGCACCTCGATTGTTCATACCATGATCTGCTGTAAAAACATAACTTGTTTTACCGTCATGACCATAAAAATTTTCGATTAGTTCTACCATATCCTTGACCCCACGATCCACCAAGCCAATATTATCATAGTATTCTTTCGAGTAAGGTCGATGAGCATGACCATTGGTATCCAGGCCCAAAAGATGTAAAAAGAATACGTTCTTGTTTTGACGTAGTTGATGATCTAATTGCTTATCATGAGTAGCATTCTTAAAGAGTGTTCTGACATGATCAAATACCCAAGTATCCAAATGTGATGCATCTATATACACAAAGAGAAAAGGCATAGTAAACAAGGTTTATTAAGTCTTAGTTTCACCCAAATTATTTTTGTTTGTTATTACCTCCAGAGAATTCTTCAAACTCGTGTGGATACATAAATGCATCCACCCGAGAAATATCACTAGCTCCATGTTGAAACATTGGTAAAATATCAGGTGAACCAAAAGACCAAGTGTGACGAGATTGATTGAATACAGAGTCAAAGTGTACAGGGTTCATAGTCCAACCGGTAGTGACAGCACTGACATCTTCATAAAAACCAGCAATGATAGCAACATGACCAGGCCGTGATTCTGTTGGTACACGAGTGTGTGATATACCCCATGCTCCTTGTTCCTTGACGATACTTCGTAGATAAGGTGCGCGACTTGATCCATTAGTTTCCAATTCAAAAAGTTTATCTGCTCGTAGTCCATCGCCTAAATAGGTCCCAAAAAAAAAGAAAGGAGATTCTGTTAAAAAAAAAATAGGATATATACATTTATATTGTTTCTTTTAAACTTGCCTACTATTAGGACAACGCGGTCAGCAGGTGGAGGAACAGGACTTCGGTGATGATTCATGCCATGAACTAAAGGTGAAGTAAAGTATATATCAAATATACTAAAGAGATAGATGATATGGAAGACTACACCAATCACCAATAATGCTTCACGCGATAACATTAGTGGTATGAATAGTATATCTATATTAGAATAATGAAATGAAAAGAAAAGCAAAAGAGAAAAAAAAAAAAGGGAAAAATTATCATATATTGAGGATTTAGAAATTGAAGCACCGATATTTGACATTTTTTATGATTGTAAGGTTGGCCTTTTAAACTAACAACCTGATATCCGACAATCACAACCATTTTATTCACGTGGAGTTCATCTTTTCAGTATCTTGTTGCATATTATGTTTTATATATCTATGAGGCGAACTGATGATAAAGGAAAAAAAAGAAAAAAAAAAAAACTATCAATATAAAATCATATATGCTAACTCAAGTGAGATGAACTCTTTTTTTTTTTTTTTTACTTTCAACTCCCGTCGCTTTAATTTTTCCCAGTGTCTTTCTCTTCTCATTTTTTTCTCTCTTTTCTCTTTTTCACCAATTACTTTTTTTTTTCTTTTTGATAGAATGTTTACACGACTTGGATACAATAGTCAATCGTTATTATCTTCAAGATCTTATTTATATAGTCGTTTGGTATTTCGTCGTCAGAAACCTACAACAGCATGTTTACAGCGACGCAGTTTGATACAACGACGCAAGTATAACACAGATAAAGATCCAGCGGAGAAAAAACCACCCGTCAATGACAACAAGGACAATAAAGATCAACAACCAGCAAATATTCCAAAAGGTTTTGAAGGTTTTTTTGATAATAAAAAGAAGAAAGGCACCAATGCATGGATCAATCAGGCAGCAGAAGAAAATCGAAAACAAGTTAGCGATCGTATACCGAAACCTCCACGACCCGACAACAGCAATAAGAAGAGTAGTACTGGAGGAAATAAACAACCAGAAGTCAACAATAAATTATTATTTGGTATTGCTTTAGGAAGTTTGGCTCTCTATAGTTTGATGGTACCCCCGGAAAATATGCGTGAAATGACTTGGCAGGCATTTAGAGTACAACTATTGGACAAGGGTTTAGTAGATCGTTTGGAAGTATTGAATCGAAATCGGGTCCGAATTTATCTACGACCTGAAGCAAGTTCTCTTGGTGTGACACCTGGGATGGTATTTTACTTTAGTATTGGATCCGTAGAGGCATTTGAAAACAACTTGCAACAAGCACAAAATGAATTAGGCATTCCTCAAGAAGAACGTATTCCTGTCTCATATCATGATACGATCAGTATCCTTGGTACAGCATTACAATTTGCTCCTACTCTTCTCTTGATTGGTGTGTTTTTATATGTGGCCCGTCGTAGTGCTAGTGGTATGGGTGGTCCTGGTGGTGGTCCTGGTGGTATATTTGGTATTGGGAAGAGTAAAGCCAAGATGTTTAATCAAGAATCCGATATACGTGTCAAATTCAAGGATGTTGCTGGTGCTGATGAAGCCAAGGAAGAAATTGTAGAATTTGTCAAGTTTTTGAAGAATCCTACTGCCTATGAACGATTGGGTGCGAGTATTCCAAAAGGAGCAATTCTTTCAGGTAATATTATTATTAGTTTTTTTTTTTTTTTTTTTTTTTTTTTTTTTTTAAAAAAAAAAAAAAAATATGAAGATTATATTAAATGATGATTATTTATATATATTTATATTAGGTCCTCCTGGTACTGGTAAAACATTACTTGCCAAAGCAACTGCTGGTGAAGCTGGTGTTCCTTTTCTCAGTGTCTCTGGATCCGAATTTGTAGAAATGTTTGTTGGTGTAGGTCCCTCTCGTGTACGTGATCTCTTTGCAACAGCCAAGAAAAATGCACCATGTATTATTTTTATCGACGAAATTGATGCTATTGGAAAAGCACGTGGAAAAGGGGGTCAAATAGGTGGTGGCAATGATGAACGGGAAAGTACACTCAATCAATTATTAGTGGAAATGGATGGTTTCAATTCTGATGAACATGTAGTGGTATTGGCTGGTACGAATCGACCTGATGTCCTTGATCCAGCTTTATTACGTCCTGGACGATTTGATCGACATGTTCATGTAGATCGACCTGATATTGGTGGTCGTGCTCAAATATTCAAGGTACATCTCCGTCCTATCAAGACAAGTGAAGATGTGGAAGATCTATCAAGGAAATTGGCAGCATTAACACCTGGTTTCTCTGGAGCTGATATTCACAATGTATGTAATGAAGCAGCACTTATAGCAGCAAGACACAATAAGGATGATGTTACTGGAGTTGATTTCGAACAAGCTATTGAACGAGTGATTGGTGGCATGGAAAAAAAATCAAGAGTCCTTTCTCCTCCTGAAAAGAAAACAGTTGCTTATCATGAAGCTGGACATGCAGTGGCTGGTTGGAACTTACGTTATGCTGATCCTTTACTCAAAGTATCCATTATTCCTCGTGGTGTGGCAGCTCTTGGTTATGCTCAATATTTACCCAAGGATCAATATCTATATTCAGAAAAACAACTCTTGGATCGAATGTGTATGGCTCTTGGAGGTCGTGTATCGGAACAAATCTTTTTTGATTCTATTACTACTGGTGCCCAGGATGATCTACAAAAAGTGACAAAAATGGCATATGCTCAAGTGGCAGGTTATGGTATGAATAGCAAGGTTGGTCCTCTTTCTTTTAGTGATTCACAACAAGATAATCAATTTCAAAAGCCATACAGTGATGAAACTGCATCTTTGATCGACAAGGAATCTCGAAATTTGGTGGTGACAGCATTAGATCGTACTATTGAACTATTAACCAGAAAAAAGGATGATGTAGAAAAGGTAGCCAAAGTATTGTTAGAAAAAGAAGTAATAACAAGAGAAGACATGGAACGATTACTAGGAAAACGACCTTTTTCTGATATGGATAGTGTATATGATGAGTATATTCGTAGAAAGGTAAGTGAATATCTAGAAAAGGAATATTATATATGAAATTGACCTTTTTTTTTTTTGTTGTTGGTATTATATAGGTAGAGGCTCCTCCACCCTTTGCAGAAGATGATAATCCAAAACCGGCTGATGGACCCTCAGTAGCTTAGTTTTTTTTTTTTTTTATATTATTATTATTATTATACATAAATAAAATAGACATGTTATTACAAATAGTGTATATGTTATTTTTGATATAATAAAAACTACTTTTTTGTATAGCTGGGATTTCATTTTTTAATTTTTCCGCCTTTTCTTTCCTCTCTTTTTACTCCATTTTTTTTTCTTTTACTTCTTAGGTATTCTCTCTGTTTTTTTTTTTTTTTTTTATTCTTCATTTCCTCTCACTCCTTGTGCCTTTTCTAGTTTTTATATTATTTTTTTTTTCTCTTTTCTTTCTATCCACTAGAAAAAAAAAAAAAAAAGGGAAAGCAAATGGCTGGCACTTTTCACACCAATACTTCATCAATCAATAATAATAATAATAATAACAATAACATCAATAATAACAATCATTCAATATTAGGCAATACTATGGGCGGGTCAACAAACAATTATCCACTATCTTCCTCTTCCTCGGCGGCATCGGCAGGACTTTCTTTGGGACTCAACGACTCTACAACATCTAACACTGATCCTACCTTACCTTCCACAAGCGATCTTCAAAAGATCGTAACAGCTTACTTTGAAAGAAAAGGTTATACACCGGCAGATATGGCCTTGTTACGGGATGTCAAAGGAAACACAATGACAATGGAACAATTAGTACAATATATTAGAACGAATCATAGCAAGAATAATGGCAGCAATAACACTTCAACCTGTTTTTCCGTCCCGTTATTACAGCATCTCCTCAATACGAACGGCGACAATGACGATCTTCTAGGTGATCCTGACGCGTATACTACAAGTTATATTCAATTACGAGAATGGGTAGAAAATGCTCTTGATTTGTACAAGGTAACAAAACAAAAACAAGTATATTATTATTATTGTTATTATTATTATATGGGATATATGCGTGAAATATTATTATTTGGAGAGAAATCTTTACATATAAAAAGTACTTATTATCTGTATTACTCTTTTGTTTTATAGTCTGATTTGTCAACATTACTCTATCCTATATTTGTCCATATATATCTTGATCTTGTTAGCAACGAACTACTGGAACAGGGTAAGTAAATACACAGAAAGTTTCAATGATGCTTACTTATTATTTGATGGTTTTTTTTTTCCTTTCTATTTGACAGCCGCATATTTTATCAAAAAATTTGGATCAGATCATATCAACATTCACGAATCTCAGGAAGTGGAACAACTTGGAAACATCAATACACCTCAACAAGTAGCAGAAAATCCTCTGTCACAGAAATATAGAAATAACAAGTATCGTATCACTATGTTTCGAATTCCATATGAACTCTTTCTAGATTTTATTAAAGAAAACAAACGATCCAACTTGTTACGAATTGTTAATCAATATCTCTCTATTGAAGGTAAGTTCATGATGATAACAAGAGAGGAAACATTTGATTTATATGTTATACCATTTTGCATAGTGACACACGAAAAATCCGCAGGCGGAGCAAATGATTATCAAAATGGATTTGGTATTATGGATCGAGAAACTGAATCATCAACCGTGGACAATTTGAAAAAGGAAGATGTAAAGGAACATTTAATATACACAGAGGTTGAATGTTTTTTAATTGAATTGATTTTTTTTTTTTTTTTCGTTGGTAGGATTTCATGGAAATTGATGGAACTGGGCCCTTTGGTGGCACGCTCAAACATGTCAAACAAGAAGTACTACCTGACAGTCCAGTGTTAGGGGATATATCTGCATCTCATTTACCATCGTAAGTCTTTTCTTTTATCGTTATTATTATTATTATTATCATCATCATCGTAGTCACTGATATCGAACTACTATTCTTTTTTTTTCCTTTTATCTAGTCAGTCAGTGGATATACAAATGGAATTGGACACACTGAATGATCTACGGAAACGGATATCTCATGGATCAGTCTCTTTACCAAGTGTTTGTGCCTATACATTTCACAATACTCATGATGGGTAATTAAAAATTACAAAAAAAAAAAAATGGAAATAAGTATTCTAATAGAATGGTTAGTCTCAATTGTATAGAGATATCGGATGATGCAAGCTTAATCGCAGGTGGATTTTCTGAATCATTTGTCAAGATATGGAGTTTAAATGGTGATCCTCTTCGAAAAACAAACAAAGACAATGGTAAATTATGATGATTTGACAGATAGGAAACAAAAATGGAGGACTTAACCATTCTTATTTGGCATTATGTTATAGGCGATGGTGAAGACAAGGAACAAACAACGGATTACGTTAAACTCATTGGTCACGCTGGTGCTGTCTATGGTGCAAGTTTTAATCATGATAATGAATACCTGATATCCTGTTCTCAAGATCAAACAGCTCGATTGTGGAGTACACGTACCTTTGAAAATCTGGTTGTCTACAAAAGTCACAATTATCCAGTATGGGATGTTGATTTTGGACCTTTTGGGTTCTACTTTGCTACTGCTTCTCATGATAAGACGGCAAGATTATGGAGTTGTGATCGTATCCATCCGCTTCGTATTTTTGCTGGGCATCTTTCTGATGTGGATGTAAGTAACAATTTCAAGAGGTTGAAAAATCTCTCTTTCCTTTTTTGACCGTTTCATTTTTTTTTTTTTTTTTTTTTTTTGTAGGTGGTCAAATTTCATCCCAATTCAAAATATTTAGTGACTGGCTCAAGTGATCGAACGGCAAGGTTATGGGATGTACAACGAGGTTCTTGTGTTCGTGTATTTACAGGTCATACAGGTGCTGTCAAGACGGTAGCCATTTCTCCAAATGGTCGAATCATGGCATCAGCTGGTAAAGAAGGATCAATGATTAGATTGAAACCATCCAAACTTATTCTTATTTTTTTTATATATATATAGGCGAAGATAAAACGATTAATTTATGGGACTTGGGATCTGGACGACGATTGAAAACAATGACAGGCCATACTGATTACATATATGCAATGGATTTTAGTACTGACAGTCATACACTTGTATCAGGTGGAGCAGATGGAACAGTTAGAGTGTGGGATGTGAATGCACCATCAGGACCAACAACATCAAATTCAACAACAACTACAACAAAAACAGCATCAACATCATCAACATCATCATCGTCAGTATCATCATCAACAACGAGATCAAATGATATGAAAAGGATTCGATTGGAAGAAGCAGCAAGGAAGGAAAAAAATGACAATAACAAGGCAGATGATCATCGACATCCCAGTAATAGTATTCTGGAAAGGTAAATAGATCAGAACTAACTAACAAAATATTAAATTTTTTATTCATCTGCCTTTTTCTGTTTTGTAGTAGCAATCATCTTGCTGTATTCCCAACCAAACAAACACCTATATACACTGTCCAATTTACAAAACGAAATCTTTGTCTTGTTGCAGGCGCCTTCAATCCATGATGTACTATACTCAACCTTCACACATATACACATACATATTTTTGTCCTGTTTTTTACTATATTAGCTAGCCTCTATAATAAAGTTATGTCCATCCAGTTACAAAAAAAAGTCAATATTTCCTCTTCTGTTATTTTTCGTTGTGCTATTGTAAAATAAAACAAAAGAAAAAAAAAGTATAGTAATAAAATGGCGTTGTACAGGCAATCTATCAGAACAAAAAAAAAAAGGGTTTCACTTGACAACCAAATAGAATCTTTCAAACTCCACATTCGTCAGGGTGTCATCAGGGTAATTTCCCTTAATGGATCACCTGTAGGAAAAAAAAAAAAAAAAAAAAAAAAAAAAAAAAAAAAAAAAAAAAAAAAAAAAAAAAAAAAAAACTTTGTACCGAATTGAAAAGATGGAATGATATTATGTATTCATCTGTCTTATCCTCAATCATCTTCTTATCATTGGTCATACAATCAACATCATATCAGCATACAATCAACATCATATCAGCAATAGGATACATTTGTCATCATTACTAAACTATGAAAGTTTCAAATGCGAAACGCTTTTTTTTTTTTTTTTTTTTTTTTTTTCATTCATGCCCACAATAACGATTGCTTTTTATAGAGACAAGAAATCTATATATAGAATAGATAAAAAAAAAATGGAAGATAGGGAAAAATGATTCAAAATTACAATATTTGTTTTATTGGTTTTTAAGATCAAAGAATTAAAAAAAAAAAAAGAGTACACAAGTTTCGAAGTGTATGTAATCATGCTAAAATTAAAAATAGTAATAATAATATATATAAAAAAAAAACAACGTCTAGATATATGAAGAGAGGGTTTTTTTTTGTTGTCATGAATAAAATGATATGAAATAGGAGGGGGGGTGATAATAAGTGGAAAGAAGAGAAATGAGAATAAAATAGATGGGTAAAAAAAAAAAAAACAACTATATATATAAATGTCAATGAACAGAGATGGTCAAATTCAAATATTTCCCCAAGAACTTTGTGGTCGCATCATGGTACTCGTTGGTCGGCCAGTGCTGCGGCTAGTGGTCATCATTGGTAAATTCAAATGAGAGGATGAGGAAGAGATCAAACCTGGTGTAGAAGCAAGAGCCATACTTTGTCGATATATATGTGGTTGTTGTAATCCAGGGGTACTTTCACTTCGAGTCATTTGCTGTGTTCGACGCCATTGTTGTTGCTGTTGTAAAAGATATTGATCAGATAGATTATTCGTCATCATCATTGGTGTTTGTGAACGTGATTCAGGTATCATCATTGATTGGCGAGAATACTGTTGTTGTCGATAATGAGGAGTACTTCTTCCAGCCATTCTATCAGCACGATCCTTGATGGTAGCTGCTTGTTGTTGGAAGCTAATATTGTGTTTACCTTGCTCTTGAACTTTTCCCAATAATCCATCAATTTGTGCCTTGGAAGGATCAATTCGTTTTGGTTTCCGCCTTGCCGTCGATTTCGCTTCTTTTTCTTGTTCAATTTGCATCATCATGTCCATGGCAGATATACTTTTCACTTTGTGTCGACGATGATTGTCATATTGTTCCATCATCATGTGTTGTTGTTGTTGTTGTTGTTGTTGCATCATCTGTTGTTGTGCTACTTGCCAAGCCGCCTGTTGATATTGCATTTGAGCCATTTGTTGCTGTTGTAGCATTTGAAGTTGTTGCTGTTGCATATAATACATCATATCCATTTCGCCCAATGTTGTTCGTCGTCCACGGGTACCTGAAACTGGTCGCGCAGGAGTAGAAGAGGAGTCTTGATTGGATGGTGTACGAGAAGATTCGCTTCCAATAAAAGAGGATGGTGATGATGATGCAGTGCTATTGATGTTTAATGCTGGAGTAGACGCTGGTGTTGTTCCAATTGAATCCACAGCATCGAGTACTGTTTGTCGCCACTCTTCAATACCACCATTTTCTTGTTGTTCGGATTGCATTGGATTCAATGGAAGAAGTCCGTTGTCGATAGCCACGTCTGCTGTATACACCTTTTCCATAGCACCGACTGATCTTGATCGTTTGTGCACGCTTGAACCACGTTCTAATTGTCGTAATGTAGACATGCGTCTCGCTTTCATATGAGCATCTTCTTGATCATCGTCTTCACCACCAAGAGGAATTGTCCATTCATTGAATACATGTCGATTTCTATGAGATTGATTTGTTTCATCTTGTATTTACCAATATATAGATATAAGAACAAATTAGGATTCATTATTCTCAAATATTTATTTCATCTATTTTTACCTTGACTTTCATTAGAGCTTGCAATAGAGTCATCATCGGATTCATCATCACTTGCCACTGGAGTTATTTTCTTCTTTTTATTCAACATGTTGGAACTAGAAGTAATAGGTTGATTTTCTTGTTCTGAAGTGGGCATCAAGTTGGTATGACCAATATCTTTGAGAGGAGGGACTTGTGATGATTGATTTGTTGGTACAGAGGATTGTGAACTTGCGTCGTCATCTTCTTCTTCTTCTTCTTCTTCGTCGTCATCATCACTTGAAGCATATAAATGTCGTTGATTTTTTGGAGAGCGTCGTTGTTGTTGTTGTTGCTGTGCCATATTTGATGATGGTGAAGGTGTTTCTTGTTGTCTTTGTTCTTCATGACCTAATTTGTGTGACACAAAAGAAATATATACATAAGTTTTTTTTTTTCCCTGAAAAAAAAAGGATCTTTAAATAAAAATTACCAAGTTGAGACTGAGAAACTAAGCCAAAGGTACTTGCTGGTCTTGACATATTTTGATATGACTTTTCACGTCGAGTGGTATTTGAAGGTTGGTCCAAAAGTTGACGACTATGACGGTGATAGTCTTGTTGTCGAGATGGATAACTTCTTTGTTGTTGTTGTCGTTGATGATGACGACCATGTTGTTGACGTCGTTGTTGTTGTTGTTGAGGATTCATCATATTTTCACGCATACCAGGGGAAATATGAGATTGGTGAAAAATAACACTTTTTGTCCAAGGTTCTGACTCATCTTCACCAGTATCAGGTGTCTTGATAGCTTTTGCCAGAGCTAGTCGAGATAGACTGACAGATATATTTTCAACAGACATGCCAAAAAGGTGAAATAAAGAAAAAAAAAAAAAAGAAAAAGAAAAAAGAAAAATTCAATGAATCTAAATAATAATAAAAAAAAAAATTGGACGGTTGATGAATTCCCAAAATATTATTTTGTTCGCGTTTCTATTATTAGCGCCCCAAGAATGGTTTCCTTTTTCGTCATTTTGCCGCTCTTTTCATTCATCAATAAAATTTCTTCTTTTCTTTTATTTGTTCAAAATAATAATCATAAATATAAATAATAATATAATAAAATAAAAAAAAAACTTTTAGAAGATTACATAACATCTTCACTACCAGTATATCTTCCAACAGAACCCATACTCATAATCTTGAAACCACCACCACCACCTTTGATTCGTACAATACCATCATGACTATCTACACCAATCAATGATCCAAGTTCGCCACGATGATCACCAAGAATAATCTTTACATTGTCTTTCTTGCTTGGTCGTACAGGTTCTATAGCATCATATCGTATATTATCCACTCGATTCTTTGTGTCATATACTTGAACACTACATGTCCTTGATCCATGTTGTACTGATATAATAGATCCAATTTGTCCTGAATTGATTTCACCAACTGACTTTACAAATTGGACTTCAACTTCTTCAATCGGCCAGTCACTTGATACATCTATTTTCAAATAAATAAAAAAAAAAGAATATTATCAATATAACAAAATTCAATTTTTATAATTTTCTTTTTTCAATTACCAGGTTGTTCATCTATATAACCATAATCACCACCAGTAGGCATAAATGGAGTTTGAGCTTGAAGTCCTGCCGGTGTTGCCGGAATATATGATCCTGGAGTAGCTGCTGTCATCATATGTGCTGCAGGAGTTGGTGCACTGAGACCCGCTGGTGTAGCTGGTACCAAACTAGCCCCTGGTGTAGGAGCACTGTCGTAAGGTGTTTGTGAGAAATTGACAGCTGGAGTTTGTGGATATGGTGCAGGAGAAGGAGCAATGTGACCATAACTTGCCTATAAAGAAAATATTATTTAGTCTCATCATATATCTACCTTTTTTTTTTTTTTTAAAAAAAAAGAAAAAATAATCATCAAAAACTTACTGCAGGTGTTTGTGCTGATAATGCATGAGCTGCTGGAGTTGGTGCAAGATCATTGTCGTTATATCTACTATTCCACATGGGAGTTTTGTTGCCAGAATCACCAAAACCAGGAGTCCTTGCACTATTGCTATTATTCCACATAGGTGTTTTACTACCAGAATCCCAAGCAGGAGTTTTTGATCCATCTTGAAAAGCGTGAGGATTGGGGGTCTTGCTACCAACATCCCAGGCAGGAGTTTTTGATCCATCCATAGCATAAGGATTAGGTGTTCTTGCACTAGAATTCCATGCTGGGGTTTTTGATCCAGATAAACTTCCGTGATGCATTGGAGTCATAGCACCTTCACCATAACGTCTAGGTGTTGCTGATGGTGCTGCAAATTCGTTGCGTGGTGTATTGAATCCTTCATTGCCTTCCACAGCAGGGCCAATCGTACCACCTCGAGAATCGACGAGAACCAGCTTCGCCTTGTCCACATTAATGATCTTACAATTTGTATGAAGTTCTACTCTTGCCATAGAATCCGTTGTATCCTTGACAATGCCGAGATAACCTTTATGAGGACCTTGAGCAACTCGAACTGTCTTTGCCACCAGATTATCACGTCCACCACGACCACGACCATAGAATCCACCACGTCCACGCCCACGGCCACGAGCATCTAAACCTCCACGTCCAAAACCTGGAGCACCGTAAGGTTGTTGTTTCGATAAATCGACGGATTGTGTTGAAGGCTAATGATGATAATAATTCAAAAAAAAAATGAGTAATGTTTGTACTTGTAAGTATACTAATACATATATTTTTTTTTTCAACATACCACAGCTCTAGAATTTTGCGCTGCAACATTGACTACTTGTCGAGTAGGTACCACCCATACACCAAAATTTTCAGCATTTTCCCGTGAATGTAAGAAGACCAAATGTCGATAAAGATGTAGGATAATACAGTTTCGTTTTTCGCCGCCCACTTCAATAACACTGTCACCAGAGCGTATACTATTGCCTGCTGCGTCTGTTGCCACAGCTCGATTACTGTCACGTTTATTGGTGATCTGATGAGGTTCTATTGTACGGATTTCACCACTTTGAGTTAATACCTTGAATGAGTTGCGATCTACTTTGGTAATGACACCAACAGTGTGGAAACTATCAATAGAATAAAATGTTGTTAATAAATAAACTAAAAAAAAAAAAAAAGACTTGTATTGACTTACTCTAATTGCACCAAATCATGTAATTCATAATTGCCAATAGTGGTTTTCCCAAAAGATACATCCATAGCTTCACGTAAATCCTTCGCAAATACCTTGACTTCTTTGAGAGTAGCATCTGATAAAATGGTGACAATATTATCCTTGACGTTGACGATCATACCACTTTCATCCTTGTATCGACCATGAATCACCTTGACATGATCACCTTCATTAAATTGTTTTCGAATATGTTTTGGTGGGAATGGAACTTGCTTGGTAAATCCTTCAACATTCAAAGATACTATAACAGAAGAATCACTAACACTAACGACGGTACCAGTACTGTGGATCAGATCACCTTCAATGACTTCAACTGTGTCACCATTTTGAAATAAGGAGGATGCTTGTACATCGTTCACAGATTGGACTGAGAGAGTTGCCAAATCTAAAGTACGATCGCCATCTTCAGGATTCAAATCACCATCACCAGCGAATTTTGCAATTTCATCCAAAGAGGGATTTACATTTCCAGTCTGTAATGTTGCCACCTTCATTCGCTTTTCCAAATAACCATCACGAAAATGATCACCATTGAACACCCAGTAAGGTCCCTTCTTTTGTAAACTTGAAATGACGTGTTTACCAAGACGCTCAGGATTAAACATTTTTTGAGAAGGACGAGAAACGGCATTACCAGAAGTTTTCTTTCGTTGTCCATAAACATCTTCATCACGTTGAGAGTCCAAATCCAATCGAGGTACAAGTTTGATTAGAGCGGTATCTTGAGCATCAGATAGTTCCAAGACTTGACCCAGATCACCAGTATATTTTCCACGTTTGACACGAACCCAACCACCCATAGGGATATCCTTTTCCTTGCGTACAATGTTGATTGAATCCACCATTTCCTTAATTGGCACCAGATTGAGTGATGTTTGATATACAAAGGGAATATTCGCCAATGCCTATCAAAATATAAATATATAAATTAAGTGAGAAAGAAGGAAAGATTTATCTAATTTAGGCCTATGTTACTTTTTTTTCTTTTAACTTACTTGTTGTACATGTGCTTGTCGTCTTGCTTCAATATAAATATATCCTTTCAATGAATCTTTGGAGAAGGCAGAAAATGTTTCCAGAGGATTATCACTGTATTGTCGATCAAAGTATCGTTTCATCATGCCAAAAATAATATCCTTTTCCTTGCCAGGCTATATAAATAAAAGATAGAGAATTAGACTTCATTCATTGATATAACATTGTCATTCCTTACCTTGCATTTGACCACCCACAAGTTTGGATCACTAACACTTGGTAATAGTAATTGCTGTGGGACATCTTGTGATGTCTTGAAAGCTTGTGTTTTGCGTCCACCATATTTCTTTGCATAAAAGGCAGCCACTTCTTCGTCATCCATATCTTCTACTTCCCGTCGTCTTCGGTCAAGATCCAAGTGTCGTCGTTGTATATCTTTAGCTGAAGGTAGTTCAGTAGTTTCTTCTTCAATAAAACCGTCTATTTGAGTTCCATAAATTAGTGGATAACAATAAGTAAATAAATAAAAAAAAAAACAAAGAGTTTAATATACTTGTATTGAATGGTATCTTTATGTTTTACCTTCTTTGGAATAGTCGTCGTCCTCTTCTTCTTCTTCTTCGTCATCGTCTACAATGGCCATTTCATCGATGAAGGGATTGAATTTTCGTTTGGAAGGACGCTAATTATATATATGTACACAAAGAAAAAGAACAAATTAATAAAGAATGCATGCAAAAAAAAAAATCCATCTTTTTTTTTTTATTCATTACCACTTCTTCGTCTTCATCTTCGTCTTCGTCCTCATCTTCGTCGTCTTCATGTTGATCGAAAGGCACTTCGTCTTCTTCCTGCATTTCTTCTTCGGTTCGTTTACGAGCCATGGTTAAAATAATAAGCGATTTTCAAGAAAAGTGCTGTATATGTATATATAAAAGTGAAGAAAGAGTGAAAGAGATCTAACTTTTTACTACTTGTCTTTTATAGAACAAGCTGGAAAGGACAGAAAAAGAGAGAGAGCGAGAGCAAGACAGAAAGAAAAGAAAAAAAAAGAAGTGAATTTGAATCACCGCGCCTGTCGTCACTGATCGCACTGTGAGACTGATAGATCACGTTGGTCCGGTTTTTCAAGCATGTGTCTCTTCTCTCTTAACAGACTATAAATGATAAAAAAAAAAAAATTAAATGTTGGCTGCGTTAGGCTGAATATCAATCTGTCTCAAATTGATCTATGTAATAGAGAATATGAAAGTGTGGTTAAATGGATCATTGTCATTTATGTCCTTCTGAATGAGTCTGGTTTATTACACCTCTTGAGTATCCTTTGTATTTGAGGTATCCATACAGAAGTAATCAATAATGATGATTCATTTAAGAAAGATAACTCTATTAAGGACGATGATCTACATTATTATTATTATTATTATTTGTCTATAATGCCTATGTTGAGGTCACTCATTTGATTTCTATATTGATGATGATCATGAAGAAAACATCTTTCAACAAGATGATTGAGATCAAAAAAAGGAAAGACTATGATTAAAGCAAAAGTTCTAAATACCAAGCCACAGTTAATTATCAAGTGATTTTTTTTTTTTTATTTAGGATGATCATCCATCATATAAAAAGAGTTGGTTGAATAATGGCATAAATAGATCATTAGATATTTTGATATACTGCGTTAATGTTAGTTAAAGAAAATGCAGATAGCATAAACTATAATAAACTCAAATCTTATGAATTGTCATTTTTTGACATTTTGCCTTACCATAATTAGGACGGACAGTGAAATGGGCCAAGGTGAAAGGAAAAAAAAAAAAAAAAAAGTGACGTGAAATAGCTGAAAGTTAATTTGTTTTTCTTTTTTTTTTTTTTTTTTTTTGTATTTTCTCCTGTTTCTTTTTTATTTTTATTTTTCTATTTCATTTTTTTTTTTTTTTTTTATTATTCCACTCCACTCACTCTTTTAGTTTTCTTTAATGTTGCGCATAAATCCCATACGATTAGGACAACAAGTAAGACCAACAGTACGTTCTTCTTCCTTATTTGCTATTCGACATGAATCCACAACATCCGATGCTCCTACTCAGAAACCAACTTTATCTCAACGGTTGGGTGGTAGTGGTCGTGGTAAATTAATGCCTTCTAGTGGTCAAGAAACTGATGTCTTTGCCTCTTTTTTGGCTCAAGCACAAAAGAAACAACAACGATCTCGCAACAAACAAAAACGTCCTCAACAAGCTAAACCTGGCCAATTTGACGATGCTGTTGAAACATCTTCCAATAAAAAAACTGACAACAAGCAACAACAACAACAACGACGACAACAACAAAAAACTTCCTCTGGTAAAGGACAACAACAACAACAAGTTGAACGAAAACCACGTCAACAACAACGTCGCGATATCAAGAAATCAACATCCTATGGTTCTCCTTCTTCTGTACCTGTTCGTCGTACCACTACGTTTATCGACAAGGACTTTGATTGGGCTTCTTTAAATCCTGTGATATCAACAAATAATGTGGAAGAAACAACCATTGATCCTGAAGAAAAAAAACAAATGGAAATGGAGTTGAATGATGGTGATTATACTCGGTTTATGTCGATAGGACAATCGATTCAATGGCCTAGTTCTTTGGATACCCATGCTTTGGAATCTTTGGTGAGTAGCAATGCTTCTTATGGTTTGGATCAAAAGATGACCTTCTTATCAACCGTGGCCAAGGCTTCCAATGTTGGTGGTGCTGCAGCAAAAAAATAGGTTTCCTCAATTACCTCTCTTCTTCTTTATCCAGATCTCTTGATTCAAAACAATTGTACATTTTTCATTTTACTTTCTCCTCCTTCCTCTCCTAGATTAGATTATACATTCTTTTTTTTTTTTTTTCTCTTTACGTGATGCTCTTCCTGTTAGATATGTATTGTATTCTATCCCTTTCAAAAATCTTTTCTTAATAAAAAAAAAAGTATTATTAGTTATCATTAATGTCATCATAGTAAAATGCCACATGTAGAATGAATGATTGCTTTCTTTATTCACAAAATATAAGGTAAGATTAGACAAGATATATATATATATATATGAAGTGCGTCGATACGAATGATATTTAAACAAGGGAGATATCTAATACTAAAAACATAAACAAGTAGACGATCAAACGTATACTTCTTGTAATAAAATAACAACTATAACATGATACGTGTGGTGTTATGACCTGAAGTGAGCTATGCTTCAAGGATTACTAAACAATAATCACTTGTATAAACCTAATCAATAAAAAAATAAAACAATGATCCATTGACAAGTAATCACAAACGTCAAAAATAACAAATAAAAAAAAAAAAAAAAAAAAAAAAAAAGTGATCAATTCCAGATAAAGATGTTTATTTAAAAAAATAAAGGAAAATGAAAATAAGTAGGATGATGTGTCTAAAAATAGAAGACATGACACTTTGAGCTTCATATACAAGGTCACCATGTCACAGCGTTCTTCTGCTAGAGCTTGCAGTCCAATCCAGAGGAGAGCACGAATAGAAGAATGTCTGCATCCGGAAAAAAAGGGGCCATATACGAGATCCATTGAACTATTCCATTCTATACAAAACAGATATTATTGAACTTTCATCTTCATCTACTATTACTATTATCATTGTTTTTTTTTTTTTTTTTTTTTTTTTTTTTTTTTTTTTCATTCGATTAAATTACCTTGTCCAGGTCACATTCGTTTGCATCTCACCCATTTTTTCGATCATCATCCATCAGAATTTGCCAAAAACCGGAAGCAGAATCCAAAATAGAAAACATCTCTAGTCCATCAAGAGCACTCAAGATATCATCAATATGTGGTAATGGGAAAGCATCCTTCACCATGTTGTCATTCAATTTTCTGTAGTCGATCACCATGCGTAGATCACCACCCTTCTTCTTTGTAAAAAAAAAAAAAAAAAAAATGCAAAGGTCCAGACACCAGTTAGAAGTGCGTATCAACCCACCTTATTTTGCCTATTAGTTCTACCAATTGTCAAGAATGTTGATTGGTAATAATTTGAGTAAATTGATTCAATGATGAAAGTATAAATAAGAAGATAAAATAAAAATAGACATCACTTACTGTGTTCAATAATAATAATAAATAAATATCATACAAGTCGATGTATAGTAGTTATGTAGATAATTCAATGAGGATAATTATAAAAAAAATATAAAGTTGGAATAAAAGATAAAAAAAAATTACGTGTATGCAGATGAAGAAAGAAAAAAAAAAAAGCTGACTTTGAAAATTCAAGGTACAAAGTTTCCGTATCATACAAACTGGTTTTTGTATGACAAAAACTCGAATACTTGATGCTGATTGGCTAGAATTAACGATTAGATTTATAATCAAGTAATCAGTTTTCGAAAAACATCTGTCAGTTTGTCCGAGTGGTTAAGGAGTGTGACTAGAAATCACATAGGCTCTGCCTGCACAGGTTCAAATCCTGTAGCTGACGCTTCCTTTTTGTGATTTTTAGTATTGTTTGTGTAACGATAAAAATGAAACGGAGATGTGTTTGTTTAATAGTTGATAGGAGATGTGTTAAGTGATTTTTTGGTTTATAGGTTCAAAATTGAAAAAGTAAAACGGATGATTGAAAGTTAATAATGTTTATAGTGAGCACCAGTACTTGATTACGCAAGCACACGTATAAGTAAAGAGATAAAATAAAACAAAAAGTAAAGTAAAGAAAAATAAAGTCTTGTTCCAAATTTGGAAAGTAAAAGTAGAGTAAAATTGTTCTGACTTTAAATATAGAACAAAATGAGCCAATCAAAATAGATAATCCACAATACAATCAAGTAGGGATGAAAAGAAAAGATTTATTTAAAAAAATATATTGATGATTAACTAAAGAAAAAGAAAAATAAAGGAAAAAGGTGGGGTATTTATACTATTTGAAATTTAAGGTTAAAAAAATAAAATATGAAAAAGAAAATGAAAACGAAAAGAATAAGTGAAATAAAAAATAGAATGAAATAAAGGGAAAGTAAAAATTGAAAATAATTTTTTTTTTTTTTTATAATTTTTTTTTTCATTCAACATTACTTTTATTCGCCTTTCTTTATCATTAATATTATTATTATTTTTTTTAAAAAAAAAAAAACAAAACATGGAACAACAATCAACTGGTAGTGCTTGGCCTGAACCACCTAAATTTTATAGACGATATACAAAAGCCAATTTGGAACGTTTAAAACACGCTCAAGCCATCAATGACTATTCTGAAGAACCAATAAAACAACCACATATGGTCGACTTTTCATTAAGATCTTTAGAACCACCAGAAGTTCCTACTGATGATTATGTAGTATTTGATCAACATTGGAAGGTAATAATAATAATAATTAGAGGATGATATATAAATTAGTTTTATTCTAACTAATTCTTTCTCAATTATTATTATATATCATTGTATGCATATATTCTAGGTACAAGATCGACTACCTACCCTACAAGAACAAAATATCAAGCAATTATTCCCAAAAGATAAGATAGGTATTAAACATCATCATAATTCCAACTTTCTTTTTTTTTAAAAAAAAAAAATTTTTTTTTTGTATCCATCCGTCTTTATAGATCGTGTAGCAGAATTGAAAAGATTGAATCGAACATTACTTGTACAGTTCCTAGATCTTTTAGAAACTCTTGCCAAGAATCCTGATGAAGTAAGTAACAAAAAAAGAAAAGTATGAACAAGTGAGGATAAATTGATCATTAAAATTTGATATATACGCCCATTATGATAGTATGGAAAACAAATAGAAAACATCAGCATTATATTTATCAACATGCATCATATCCTCAATGAATACAGACCACATCAAGTAAGTCTTTTTTTTTTAAAAAAAAAAAAAAAAAAAAGTTGATTCTCCTCAATAACTTTTTATTATTGACTTTTATAGGCACGAGAAGCATTAAGGATTTTGATGGAAGAACAATTGGAAAAGAAACGAAATCAAACGGCACAGATAAAAAGGTATATTAAAAAAGAAAAGACTTTTTTTTTTTTTTTTTTTTTTTTTTTTTTTTTTTACAAGAACTAAGCTTTTTTATTTTTATGTAGAAAAACACAAGAAACAATGGATATGTTGAAACAATTTGGTCACAGCATTTCATCATCACCATCAGCAGAATCTACAAAGCACCAAAAAATGGATGAAGAGTAGAATAGATAGTTTTGAATGAATGTTTTTTTATTTTTATTTTTATTTGATGTTGATGAATAAAAAGACAATGATTTATTGAAATAAATACTAATAAAGGTATAGAAAGGATGGATTGAATATGAAAAAAAAAGCTATTTTGACATATATATATACATACAGACTACAAATGCTAAACTAAATAATAATACTGTAATAATAATACTAATATAAAAAAAATCATAGTCCAAAGGGTATTCACCTATCATAGTTTGCTGGTGAGGAGGATGTTGGATTTGTTGAAGTTGGGGATGATATTCTCTCTGGATGAGATAGGTCACTTCTACCCAAAAGTGTAGCTAATGAAGTGGGTCGACGAGCATCTCCTTGATGATGATAATGTGTAGTAGTAGTAGATGATGGTTCTGGTGTCTGTGATTCTGATTGGTTAGAGTGAATGGTTGTCCATCGATATTGACATTGTTGTGGGCTACGTCCATGAAGAGCACTAGCTATTTTATCCCATTGTCCAAAATTCCCATATAAAGAAATTGCTTTTCGTAATTGTTCATCTTCTTCAGGTGTCCAAATAGTAACATTATAGATCTTCTTATTGCTAGTATCATTTTCCTGCTCTATTAATAAGAATAAAAATAAAAAAATATGAGAGATGCATCATTTTTTCATAGTTTCTTTGTTACCTGGGTTTTCAGCAATTGGATAAAAGGATGAGGACAACATTGGAATGGATAAAAGAGCATTAGCAGAATCAATGGAACGTTTTGATCTTTTTTGTTGTTTGGCCAAAATTGTAGGATCCGAATGATCACCATTATTATTGTTATTCAAAGTAATCCATGGTACATCGTCTAAAGGTTCTGGTGATGAAACTTCCATGGAATGATGATGATGATGTAATGGTGATGATGGTAATAATAACGTTGATGATGGTGGTTGACTTGATTTTGGCCGTACTGGTGAACGATGTTTTTGATGTTGATATTGCTGATATTCTTCTTCTTCTTCTTGTTGTTGTTGTTGATACAAAGGGAGAGTAGTTGATTGTTTCAAAGGTGAAGAAGCCATTGTAGGTGATGCCTTATTATGTTCAAAATCAGGATCACTAAGCATTTGATCAGCTAGAATACCTAGACTATCAAGACCAGAAAGTTTTTGATGATGTCTATGACTAGGAGAAGGTCGTACACTACTTCTCATTTTTGGTGAATATTGCTGTTGGAACAAGTAAGGTGGACCTTTTCGACTGAATTGAGGTGTTGGAGATCGTCTAGTAGTTTTATTAATATCAGGAGATGGTGAATTGTTGTTATTTTTAGAGTTACTTGTGTAATATTTGATTGATGATGATGATGATGATTTTTGATGTTGTCGTATAATATAATCCATCTCTACATCGCGTGCTGACAAACGTAATTCTGTTAAATGTAATTTCCGTAAAAGTTGTTGTCTTTCTTCCAAAAGTGATTCCTTGTCCATATGAATAGTCTAAAGATAAAAATTAAAAAAAAAAAGGATAGAAAGAGATAAATAAATAAAAGAGATATAGGAAGGTGAATAAACATACTTCAGATGAAGGTTCTATTGCTTCAACAGTATGTAAAATATTGACCAATCGTTTGAGTTTTCTTTCAAGCATTTCATTTTTCTTTTGTTGTAGTTTGAGTTCAGCAGTGTAACGCACTTTTTGTTCATTTTCCTATTGAATAAAGTAATCATTAGATTTATGTTTCCATTTCCTTTTTAAAAAAAAAATATAAAATAAAAGTAAAAACTTACCATCATCAAGAATAACGCACGCATGGTTGTAATAGCATGTTCAGCTTCAGGTGAAAGATATTTTGAGTGTTTGATTTGTTCTGCTTGACAGTGTACTATGTTCTGAAGATGACGTTCACGATCCTGTGCAAGCTTCAACTTTTTTTTTCCAAGATAATAATAATAATAATAATATAATTAGTTTTACAATAAGAGACACGTTTTTCAATATCATTTTTTTTTTATCTTCTAGTTTTACTTGGTGTTGTATTTCATCCGTATAAGGTTTTGGCCACGTTTCATTTGCTAAAGGAACGACAAAATCCCACTAGAAAAAAAAAAAAGCAACCAAGGAAATAATCGGTTAGTAATCACATGATTGGTTCAAAGAAAAAGTGGACTTACAGGATACTGAGTTTGAGGTGAAACGGAGAGCATTGATGATTGCCCAGCAGGAGAAGAAGGTAATGAATGAATAGGAGGAGATTCATCGTTGAGTAATTCAGATAAATGTGTTGATTGATTATCCATAATAGTTAGTTCTAATTTCCATTTAAATTTTTCATCCAAATGTTGAATCTAAGATAAAAGAAAATTGAATAAAATTGAATAAATATATATATCTTTTCTTTTTAACTTTTTATTACCTGAGACGCGATATTTTCAAAGATAGAGTCAAGTTTATTTGAAGAAGTATAAACTGTTTTATTCGATGATAAGTGATTAGTTCTTCCAATATGAGTAGAAGGTGATAAACTAGAATGTTTATAATGAGCATTCATATTATTTGTTAAGTGGTTATTGTTAATGAATATAAAGCATAAAAATAAAATAAAAAAGACTGTAGAAGTATGTAAAAAAAAAGAAGGAAGAATATAGTTTAAAGTGAATGAGAATATTATATATAAGATAAAGAAAAAAAAAAAAAAAAGAAAAGGAAAAAGAGGGGTGTGGAATTCATATTTTTTTTTCCCTTCAACGCGTTCTCGTTATGAAGTCAGCTGATATCCAAATTGAGGTGATTCTCTTTCTTTTTTTTTTTTTTTTTTTTGAAAACCGAAACAAAAATGATACAACATTGCCCTTTTTTTTTTTATTTGTTTTCTTCTTTCTTTCTTTATCTTTTTTTTTTTTTAATACCAAATGTCTATATCGTTAACAGGACAAAAGTATTGGGAATCTACTATCAAGACTTGTGAAGCTGCTCTCTCTTTATTATCTGTATGTGAAGACCAAGGTTTTTGTTTAGTGGATGATACTATTACTTCTTTACGCAAATTAGTTCACCATGGACGTACTTTGGAAGCTATCAAGAAATATCAACCACCAGTACAAACAGCAACAACAACAACAAAACGTGATCAAAAGAAACAACGATGGAAGTCTATACAGTCAAGTACAAACTGGAATATCAAAGATAACTCTACTGTCATTATTTCTGTACGCGACCAATCTCTGATTACTGCAAAAGCTATTACTACTGAAGAACAATTGAAAGCTATTGTTCCTGAAATTGAAAAAGCAAGTTGTTTTTCCATTGATTGTGAATTCTTGTCGGTGAAGAAATCTCAACCTAAACTCAAGGTATTACAAATCGCTATTTCCAAAACTATTGGTTATGCTATTATCGTAGACTCTTTTCAAGATATTGGTATCATTCGGGATATACTAGGTGATGTTCTTGAAAATGAAAATATTCTACGTATTGGATGGGCTGTACGTGCTGATGCTCAAGCTATTGAACAAACTATACCTGGTATTCGTCTTGGTCGTATTTTAGATTTACAATCATTGATTTATTCTGATGCTGTGGATACAATGAACCTAGCAAGCGCTATGACAAAATATGCTTCAAATTGGGAAGGATTGGATGAATTTACTTATGCAAAGAACATGGCCTCCTCCTTTAGTTTTAGTGAAGATGACTGTATTTGGACTCAATTTCCTTTGCCTTCTTCTGCTCTTGTTTACGCTGTTTTTGATGTTGTATCCTTGTTTGCTCTTTACGAAAATGTTAGTCATATCAAGATTGAAAATGTTCATCACTGGCCCGACAATATCATTTCCAAGTTCTCACCCAAGTCTCTACAAAAATGGTATCGTAACCGTGCATGTCTTGCTGATTCATCAGTGGCTCTTTCTGATGGTGATATTATCAGTTTGACTGATGATCAATCAAATCATCCAATCATCGACAACAACAACAACAACAACAAACAATCCGGTTATGAATCATTAAGGATGGAAGACGATATTGACAATGACAATGATCCTGTATATTTGGCGGATTTGGAAGAAGCGAAACGAAGGTCATTACTACAGTATCAAGAGATGAATGCAAGTTCAAGTTCAGCATTGGAATCGACTAGTACAACAACTGGAAATCTTTCTCCACAACCAACACAAAATCCTTCATCCCAAGAAACACTGAAACGCAATGTGGTTGTCGATGAAGAAGTTAACTTTGATACCCTTGACAATATCAGCGTAGATTCCGCAAATATCACATCCGACAATGAACATGATAAGTTTGCCAAGGACATATATGAACCATCAAGGAAGTTGGCCTATGAAGAATTACCAAAAGATACTTGGGGTGAAATTGACTCAAACCGGTTGACTGAAGAAAGGTGGCAATTTGTTACAGACTCAGTATCCTCAGGCATTAGCAAAGATGACAACAACAATAGCACACAAGATGATGGTACTAGTGGCACATGGAGTTTCAAAGATATAGGACATTCCGATACCAAAACAACAACAACAACGACAACAACAACAACAACAACATCATCAGCATCATCACCAACTCCTCGTCAACGAAACAATAACTGGGGAACAGCATACTCTGATTTCAATACTGGCATGTTTCGAAACACCGACCCTGAAGCTGATTGGAATCTATTGGTAAAGAAATCAGGTGATTCATGGAAACAAGGCAGGGATATGAGGATGGAAGAATTAGATGAAAATTGCGAAAAGGTAGAAAAGAATCGTGGTCAAGCTAGAAAATTCAATACTACAGCGGGGCCAGCACGCTTCAATCAATGGGCTACTACAGGTGGATGGGAATCAGTGGATGAAAAACCAGACTTAATGCAAATGCCTTTGACGGGTATGAAAGCTAGAAAGACAAATGGACCAAGAACGATCAATGTGTTTGACTCAGATGGTGATACGGATGGTGATGATGATGACGACAACGATAGCGATGATCACAACAAAAATGGTGATGATGATGGAGCAAATACGAAGGATTCTTTGGACCATGGAAGTAGCAACTGGGGTGCAACCATAGGAGAAACATCAACATCAAATACAGAAGAATCAGATACGTTTAGGGAATATCTACCATTGGATGATGGTCAAGACATAGCATTACATGAAATAGTTCGGTATGAACAATTGGAATCCTTGTTGATCGAAGATATTGATGACCAACCTCTGACGATTGCTGTATCGGTTTATTTCCATACCACTCAAAATCTCGTGCAATACAAGGGATTATCAATTACAACGAATACTGGTATCTCTTACTCAATAGCATTGGATCAAGTTATTTCAAGGAATTGGCAATCATCGATGGATTCACGACTAGCTAAATTATTGACAGATCCAACTATTCAACGGATCTCATGGCGACCTGGATTCTTCCTGGATGGATTGAGTCAAAAATTAGGATTCAAGATTGGACCTGTTGCGGATTTATCAGCTAGATTACCCCTGGAAGAAAGAAAATGGAAAATGGATCAAATATTGGACAAATATCTTGGTAATTGGCAAGGATTATCTCAATATCGAAATGCAAAAATGGAAGTTGAATCCATGGAAAAGGGTAGACTGCGACGAATGGATGGATCAAGTTGGGATAGACCAAGTTTACATTATGCAACTCTTACTTTCTCTGGTGCTCAAGGGGCTATGTTCCTTGCTTTAAATCAAATTCTTACTTAGTTATATTATTATCTTTTTTTTTTTTTTTTTGAAATAAAAGATCCTATTTTGTCACATTTGATTATTTTTTAAATAGGTGGGTCAGTTACCATTTAGGGGAATTCTTCATTAACGGAATCGAAACAACAATGAAAAGAAATAGAAAAATAAGGGAGGTTAATAAAAATATATTCAGGGTACAAAAAAAAAAAAAAGAATCATCCTTTGGGAAGAAATTGACAATGAAAAAAAAAAAAAAGAGGAGAAAACGAATTTATATACAAGGAGTTTCAGTGAACGATGATGGAGATAATAAACTAGCCTGAAAACTGGATCTTTGAATCAGTTACACAATGCTCATTTTTTTAAATTCCGTTGACTCTAATTTTCTCAAAAGGGGGGGAGTATAGTAAGAGGGGGAAACACTTTTTTTTTTTTTTCTTCTTTTTCTTTTTCTTTTTTTGACTTTTTTTTTCTTTTCTTTTTCTTTAATCTTTCTCAGACAATTCTATTTTATATTTTCTTTTTATTAAAAATCATATAGTCGAAAAAAAAACTAATAAATAATCATTATATGGGGAATACAGCATCAAAACCAACTGCACCAAGTCAACGACATAAACAAAAGAAACCTACGAAAGAAAGTCCACCTACACGATCACCTACTCAACGAACCATTGATGGACGTATTTATCATGCTGTAGAAGGAAGTCAATATTTATTACCAAGAGACGATCAAGAAATAGATAGATTACATGAAACACATTTTCTCACTAAAGAACTTTTGGGCTGGTAACTATATATATATATATTTATATATAATTATTAACCAATTTTTATTTTATTTTATTTTATTTTATTTTTATTTTTATTTTTATTTTTATTTTTATTTTTTTTTATTTTAAAAAAAAAGTAATGTAATGGCTGGTGCTATCAAACAATTGGATTTTCAATCTGGTGGATTACAAATTTTGGATGTATGTTGTGGTCCTGCCACTTGGTTATGTGAAACAAGTCTTGATTATCCTAGTTGCCAATTTGTTGGTATTGATATGTGTAATGTTTGGCCTCAAGTCATTCGTCCTGCTAATTTGGAATTTATTGAAGCTAATGTATTACGTGGTTTACCTTTCCCTGATAAAGCTTTTGGTATGATTGATATATATCTAAAAGAAGAAATTAATATATATTTTATTTATATGTAGATTTTGTTCAATTACGATTCGTATCACTTGCATTCAAAACTACTGATTGGGCCTATGTATTGACAGAAATTCGACGGGTATTACGAGATGGCGGGGTCCTGCAATGTATAGATTTGGACATGCAAATCATATCGGATGATCCTGATGTCAAACGTTATTTACAACATTGTAAGTTTTATCATTTTTGACATATATATATCATTTTAATATTTCTTTTTTCTTTTTTTCTTTTTTTTTTTTTTCTGGGATAGTTGATGCTTTATGTAGTGATCGTGGTCTTGATCCATCTGCAGGTGCCAAATTGGATATGATGTTGAATGATCATGGTCTTAACATACTACAATCAGAATACCGAGAAATTCCTTTAGGTTGGGGTGGTCCTATTGGAGATGGATTTATGAATATTTTTAGCGCAGAAGTACAAGGTCTGGCACCATGGATGAAAAGAACAAGTAACTTGAACGACGAACAACTTATCGCTACTCTACGAAGAACTTTACGTGGTATGATTCAATCTAAAGCATATATGGGATTGTATGCTTTCTTGGCTCAAAAACCTATCGATGATTAATGGATGACAACAACACACATACCATAGAAAGTATTTTTTTTTTCAATATTCAGTAGTAGTAGTAGTATTATTATTATTAGTAATATTAGTTACATTTAACAAATTATATATATATTATATATATTCCTTCTTTTTTATTATTATTATTATCATTTGTTAGTTATTATAATCATCTTTATACTTCTTTATTCATATTTATTTTGTATCATATCCATGAAGAAGACGTTTTATATCAATAAAAAAAAAGAAAAGCGGTGATTTTTTTTTTATTTTCAATATGTATGGTTCAATTGCTCAAAAAGGACAAGTAGCACACGATTGAATACGGAGTTAAAAAGAGGGATCTTGTTTCGAGTTTGCTTTGACTTTAGGAGTCATCATTTTAGATGTAATGTATTTGAATAACTAAAGGATGTGTAACATTCAAGCATGATTATCCCTTTTTTCTTTTTCGTTCTTTTTCTTTCCCTGGAATCTCATTTTTTTTTTTTTGAACCACTGATGACCAGACTCCGACCACACGAGAGGTTCGCGTTACCAATAATAAAAACAAAAAAACAAAAAAAAAGGGCCTGACGCGACTGAATTTCTATTTTCTTCCTTTTTTTTTTCTTTAATCATATTTTTGAATAGATTTGCTTATCATGACTGAATCAAAAACTGACATGAAACAAGAAAACGAGACTAATTTGAATCAAGACACAAAGGAACTGATGAAACAAGATACTAATGAAAAGTTGGAAACGCCATCAACTACTGACGACTCTTCTTCTACACCAAAGAGAAAAGGCCGTCCCTCCAAGAAGGCAGCAACCGATGACGTTGAAGGTACTACTCGTGGACGTAAAAAAAAGATGACAACCAACAAATCAACTCCAAAATCCAAAACAGTATCCAAAGCAACTAAGGTGAAAAGCAAAATGGTAAGAGTTTTTTTTCTTTGGTTATTGAAATAGAAATAGACAAAACTTAACACCTTTTTCTTTTTTATTCAAAACAAACAATGGGATATACAAAGGGGTGTCAATTGGAACGTATGAAAGAATTGACTGAACGTTATCCTGACAAATTCTGGCAATATCATGCGGATAGTGGACATGCTATGATCGATGCCATTAATGAAAATCACGTTTTAGAACCTGTCCAATGCAATATCAGTGATCAAGGTACAATAAATAAGAATCAATCAATGATTTTACACCTCATGATTTATTTATTTATATATATTAGGTGCCATTACTGGTCTTACATTATCACCCAATGGATTACTTTTGGCGACATTTTCAACTATTGGTTCTATTAAGATTTGGGATATTGGCAATGATTTACGAATGGTTCGAAAATTACGAGATGCGGATGAACCCAACATTGATGAATTCTATTGTGGTCAATTTGTAGCTGATGCCCCTGAAATCGTGGTTGCGGCCGGTAAATTGAAGGATCGTCATCAATGGTCATCAGAAGACGAAGATAATCATATTTTACCATGTCCTATCAAGGTGATATTTTTTTTCTTTCTTTTTTTTAAAAAAAAACCTAACTCATGTCTTCTTCTTTACATAATTAGATCTTTAATATGGAAACTGGAAAAGTGATTGCTAAATTGGAAGGTCATGATGAAGAGATTTTATGTATCAAGGCTCTTCGTTTCAATGGGGAAAATTACTACATCTCTACAAGTCAAGATGGACATATCATAAAATGGCGTATGGCGGACGACTGGATTACCTTACTCGATTGGAAGAAAATGGAGGATGAAGAAACATGCATGGCTTTCACTGTATCCTTTTTACCAAACGCTGGTAATAAATACTTTTTGGCTGCATGTGATGAACATTTAAGACTTTATGATTTTGAACATGGGAAGGTAAAAAAAAAAAAAAAAAGATTATTCTTTTCAAGAGAGTAGATATTGGATGATTGATTTTTTTTTTTTTTTTTGTTATTGCTATAGCTCATACAAACCTTTGAAAACTTATACTCGTCTTATTGTGATTGTGGTAAATTCATTAATTGGCTGGATGAATCTTCATATTGGGATACTCTCAAGGAAACAGCATCAACCAAGGCTTCTCGACAACAACAACAATATGCATGGTTTATATCAAGAGGAGCTGAATTATGTGATGAATCTGGTGGCATCAGTAAGTAGCATGGTATAATCCGCTTGATTGTTTTTATTCATTATCATCTCTTCTTTCTTTTTTTTTTCTTTTTTCTTTTTTGTTATTATAGCGTCACCAAATACATGTACACTTCATAGATTGGTTTATCCAAATGAAGAAGATGGATTATTTACTCTTGAAGAAATCAGACGTTATAAGCATGAAGAGTAAGTTGATTTTGATACAGATTAGTTTGTTTTTTTTTTAACCATTTTTCTTTGTTGGTAGTTATATTGCAAATTCTTGGTTGGTAAAAGTAGCATCGAATGGTAGATATATGTTAGCTCCCACTATGTACGGACAAGTCTTTGTATTCAATCTGTTATCAGGACAACTGACGGCAATACTCAAACATCATGAGGGTAAATGAAAACATAGATAGATATGATAGAGATCGATTCTCTTGAATGACTTTTTTTTTTTTTTTTTTGTATGATTGGGGGCTTATTAGATATGGAAATTCGTGATGTGGTATTTCATCCTTACGCGCCACTTATGTTTAGCTCTGGTGATGGTAAGTGAATTTTTTTTTAATGTAAAGCCATTAATATCTTTTCTCTCCATCAAATAGACGGCGCCGTGAAGGTTTATTCTTACAAGTCGGATGATGCCCAACAAGAAGATCAAGAAATGAAAGAGGCTGATACTTCTAGGACAACCGAACAATCAGCCGATGACAAGATGCATAAAGATTTAGATGTAGGTGCACCATCATCAACTTAATTATCGTTAGAATTAGCTAGTGAACGTTTCTTTTATCATTTGCTCAGTTTTCATTTATTAATAAAAAGATATTTTTTTGTATGGATCAACGTGGGATTATGGAAAAGGGGATCATTTGAATCTGAAGAAAAAAAGAGGATGGATGGGTTATTACTACTCGCAGATAGTTACTACATGTGATGAATGATGTAAAACGCGTGACAGATAAGAATAGATTTTGAATGACTAAAAAAGAAGGTACTCATTCTTTTTTTTTTTTTTATTTGTCTAAATGTAAAATAAATAGAGCTATTCTATAAAGGATTATGTACAACATATACTAATAACACTCTAAACTACAGGATAAAGTTGACCAACGCACCATTCTTTGCCATGATGGATTTTCGGATAGGTCGATCTCCCAACCACTTTTGTCCTTGGGGTGAAGCCCTAGCCAGTTGTTCAATCTTATCCACATTCGTCATTAAAGCCGCAGGAATTGGAACAGTCAATCGAGTTTTCCCATTTACTTGAATCACACAGTTCACGGTATCTTTTACCAAAGCTTGAGCATCCCACTTTGGCCATGCTTGTTGAAAGACACTATTGTTGATCGATGATGATTCTGTCGATTGTGTCAACACTTCCCAACTTTCCTCTGCAATACTAGGTGCCATAGGAGATATCATAATAATCAAGGAACGAATGGCATGTTGATAAACTGGAGAGTGGGTTGGTACATTCGATCCACTGATAGAATTACTGAGCTTGATCAAATCGGAAATGGCCGTGTTGAAGCTGTATGTATTTGTCATGGCATCTGTCACTTGCTTGATGGTTTGATGTGTCGTACGATGTATATCCCGTTCCATCTCTGTCATGGTGTCCAGTGGTGGTATGGTATTAGGATCTTGAGTTGATGTACATGATTGAGCTAATTTGAGTACCTTCGCAAGCCAACGTTTCATCCCAACAATACTGGTATCATCCCATTCAAGTACTTCAGATGGTGGCGCCTTGTATAAAATATGAAGTCGAGTTGCATCAACTCCTTGTTCTTCAACAACATCCTAAAATTAAAAAAAAAAAATAATTCGCTAAAGCAATCTAAAATAGAATTCTATTTTTTTTTTTTTTTGTTTATTACCACAGGATTGACACCATTATATTTACTTTTGGACATCTTTTCATATGAAATCAAGGTTTTCTTTCCTGTAGAAGCCACTTTGGGGTTCGCCATATCTATACAAATGTAAAATCACAGGTTAATCATCTTGCCTTTTATGTGTTAATCCAATGATTGCAAATTGACTTGCCAGTAAAATCCACTTCTTCAGGTTTCAAAAATCGATGAGTCTCAGGATCTTTGAGTGTTCGACCATGAACCATGCCCTAAAAAAAAAAAAAAAAAAAAAAAAAAATTAATCAGTAATATTTCTAATGTGGATGCTATGTTATGCTTTTCTTTCTTCTTTTACCTGAGTTAACAAGACATTGAACGGTTCGCCATTGCCAGGTATGGTTTCAGGAGTACTTTGATAAGCACCTTGTTTCAACATGAATTTGGAAAGGAAGCGAGAATACAGTAAATGCAAAATGGCATGTTCTACACCACCAATATAGATATCCACAGGCAGTCGAGAGGATGCTTTATCGTAGTCAAAAGGTCTAATTATCATCGATAAAAAAAAAAGATTATATATTTACCTCTTTTTGTTATTCCTTGTATTAGATACTTACAATGTGATATTTTGAGGATCTGTGAATCGCATAAAATACCATGATGAATCTACAAAGGTATCCATTGTATCAGTTTCACGTTTGGCAGGTCCCTGGCATCTATGAATGAAAGAAAGTCAATTCAGACCTTTTTTTTTTTTTTGAAATAAAACGGTCGATATGTTTTTTTTTTCTTGATTTACTTACTTTGGACATTTACAATTGACCCAGTCTTCCATACGAGTTAATGGAGAAGTTCCACGACCAGTGAATTCGACATTTAGAGGAAGAGTCACAGGAAGATCTTCTTGAGGAACAGGTACCACCTATATATCATGAGAGGAAAAATATAATTAAAACAACGTATCCTTTTGTTATTATCAGATTTCTTTTCTTACCTTGCATGATGGACAGTGGATGATTGGAATAGGAGCACCCCAGTAGCGTTGACGCGATAACAACCAATCCTTGAGACGATACTGAAAAGAAAATATATAAGTAAATCGATTAACATAGATATCTTTGTACATTACCTGGGTAGCTGGCTGACCGAAACCTGATTGCATAGCATCCTTTAACACGGCCTTCATGGCTTCTTTTGATTTCATTCCTTTGTATTTTCCAGATAGTTCAGTGAGAATACCTTGACTAGTGAAAGGTTCATCTTGAGAATAAGATCCATCCACCGGTTGAATACTAGGCTCTACAACGAACTTGACTTTATCAACCACATTGTTCGCTCGACAAAAATCCCAATCACGCTTGTCATGAGCAGGTACACCCATTACAGCACCAGTTCCATAATCTGAAAGTACATAAGGAGCCACGTAAATTGGAATATTTTCTTGAGTTAGAGGATGGGTTGCGTATAAACCAGTAAAAACACCTATTAAAATAAACGAAAAAAAAAAAGAAAAAAGAGTGTGAGAGAGAATTCATCATCAGGATCAACAATGACATTATTGATTTTTTTCTGTGGTTACCCTTTTTGCTTTGTTCAGCTTCTTCCATATTTTGTACTTTTTCAAGATCTTGTACAAATGACAAAGTTTGTTCGGCATGTTCAGCAGGTAGTATATCTTTGTTGATAAGAGGATGTTCAGGTGATATTACTAGGTATTGTACGCCATAGATAGTATCAGGACGACTAGTAAATACTTTTAGATGATTGTTGTTGGAGACCTAATACAATAAAATTAATTAGTTCTCAATAATTTACCTTTTTTATTATTATTATTTTTATCGAAGAATCACTTACTATAGGAAATTTGAATTCGACACCTTTTGATTTTCCAATCCAATGACGTTGCATTTGTTTTACACGTTCTGGCCAGTTTTTCAACAAGTCAATATCCTTCAATAAATCCTGATGATCGAAATACAGTGAGAAAAAAAAAAGGACAGAGAAAAAAAAATAAGGTACAAGATATAGAATATTTTTCTTTTATACGTTTTGATATGAAATCAACTTACATCAGCGAATTCAGTCACTTTGAAAAACCATTGCTTTAACTTTTTGCGTTCCACTAAAGCCCCCGATCGCCAAGATCGTCCTTCATTATCCACTTGTTCATTTGCCAAAACTGTTTGATCCACAGGGTCCCAATTCACAACCGCTTCCCTTTGATATGCTAAGCCAGCCTTGTAAAGTTCCAAAAAGATATACTGAGTCCAACGATAATAAGACGGATCACATGTCGCCAATTCCTAAATTAGAGATAGTATCCAAACATAAACCGTCAATCCAACGTACAACACATCTTCTTTTTCTATCATTGACTAATAAATATGCATCAATGTCTTGTAATACCTTTGACCAATCAAAATCTAACATCAATTTGTTCATTTGTTCCTTCATAATCGCAATATTCTTGACCGTCCATTCAGCAGGAAGAATACCACGTTCAATAGCAGCATTTTCAGCAGGTAAACCGAATGCATCCCAACCCATAGGGTGAAGTACCTAATGAGAATAGACAAGAAAAAAAAAAAGAACAGGAATAAGTAAGATAGATCTTGTTGTGGAAAAGGATAATATACATTATAACCATTCATGCGTCGAAATCGTTGAATAGTATCACTAATGGTATAAACGCGAACGTGACCCATATGGAGCATACCACTTGGATAAGGAAACATGGAGAGTACATAGTAGTTGGGTTTGTCGATTGTATTTTCGTTTGGTCCTTGACGGAAAGGAGGTGTTTGAGTCCATCGTTTTCTCCATTTGGCTTCTATTTTAGTAAAATCTATAGGTGTTTTTTGAGTGGAAGCATATCTATAAGATAAGTTTGTCGTCCGAAAAGGTAAAGGCTGTGTTAATCGTAAGAATGACATTTTCGCATTCTTCTAAAAAAAAAAAAAAAAAAAAAAAAAAAAGGAAAGAAAAGTGGCACCTTTTTGACACTCTCCCAAAAATCAATAAACAATCTTGAATTTAACCTCCGTCATTTTTATCTAGGCAAAGCCAAAGGGAAAAGCTTATAGTTTTATTCATATCAGCTGTCAAAGCAAATATTTATAGTGAGTTGCCGAGGTGTGTGTGAGATAAAAAAGAGAATATTTGTAATACCCAATTAGTATCATGATTTATATATATATATAAAGAGGAAATAAGGATTACAGTTTTATAGAGCCTTTTTCTTTCTTTCTTTCTTTTTTTTTTTTTTGTTTTTCAATTATTACCCTTTTCTGATCATGTTTGGTGCATATAACGATCCTTATCAACGAAATTTTAATGCTTTTAATCATCATCACCCTACAATACCTATGAATTCGTATACTCCATATACAAACAACAGTTTCTATAATCATCCACAAGGAATATCTTCTTACTACCCAACAAGTAGGATGAACCATTATCATCCACCGTATGATCAGCCTCCACTTGAACCATGTAAATAGTCAGATCGAAATATTATATATATATTTGCATGAATGATTAAATATATTGGTTCATAGATTCAAGACATCCTTATTCCATGCCACCACCGATGATTGATCCGTATATGCAATATCATGATCCAATATATAGAGAACCTTCCTTGTTCGATAGGTAAAAAAAAAAAAAAAAAAAAGGACACTATAGAAATTAAATTGGAGGGACAAGTCAGATGATGATCGATAATAGTCGGCTTTGTATATGATTATTTTATATATGATTATTTTTTTTTGTTTTTCTAGTTGTTGTCCTCCTAAAAATGATTATTTTGAAGACCACATGTTTCCCCCATATCAGCAACCAATGCGGCAATCGAATCAACACAATCATCAGCATACTAACAACAACAACAATACTAATAGTAATCAGGATCAAGCTATTAAAAAAAATCATCGTCATTCATCATCAACACAAGGTCATTCCTTAACAAGACAACAATCACATCAGCAACGATATTGACAAAATAGTATTCCTTTGTAAAAACAGATATTTTTTTATTCAATAAAAGATTATATAAAAAAAATTGTGGAAAGGATAAAATATATTTAGAATACGAGAGCAGCACCCTTGGTCTTCTTGTCACCACCCAATTCGAAGTGCTTACAACGCTTGATAGGAAGTTGCATCTTGTACTTGCACTTGGTACATTCCAAACGGAGCACAATCTTCTTGGTAGTCTTGGCCTATTTATATAAAAAATACCACATTAGTTCACATATTTTTGCCATTTTCTATATATATCATTTTCATTCTTACCTTCTTGTGGAACACGGGCTTGGTTTGACCACCATAACCGGATTGCTTACGGTCGTAACGTCTCTTACCTTGAGCGAAAAGAGAAGCCTTACCAGCCTTGTATTGAGTAACCTTGTGAGGGGTATGCTTGCGGCACTTGATACCCTTGCAATAGGTGTTTCTGGTCTTGGGAATGTTAACCTATACATAATAATAAAAGGATATTATTAATATTCTATATCAAGCAAAAGATTATCATTTTCCATCCTTCCATCCTAGATAATCTCGTCTATTTCGTTCCATTCGTTAATAATAATAGGATATAAATTTCGATTGATCGTGAAAGTATGTATTTCGTTCATGTATACGTAAGATAGATAGTGTACAGACAATGTGATCAAAGGATGGATGGATGGATGGATGGATGGATAGTCGAACTCACCATTGCTTAAAACAAGTATGTCAAAGAGGAAGAACCTTTCAAACTGCGGCGTGATTTTCCAATTTTTTCTACATTCTCTTCCTCTCTCACTTTTTTTTTTCCTTTCCTATTCGACCCGGATTTTCCATTGAATTTCAGCCACTGATTGTTCCAGGGAAAAAGTAGCTTCCTTTTTCTTTTTTCTCCCTTGTCAATTTCTTCCAAAGTTACATACAATGTCAACAGCAGCCAAAGTGACTCTTGGTACTTCCATAGTATTTTGTTGTGCTTCTATATATGGTGTTCACTATATACAACGATATGAACAAGAAGTAAATAAACTCTTGAAAGGGATATCTTTTTTTTTTTAAAATGATCTAATGTATTTTTTTTTTGATAGCTTATGCGGCAGGGACTAGTGAAAGACGACGAACGACGTTTGAAAAAGGAACAACAACAAAACAACCAACGTGAATTAGACGAACAACAAGCTTTACATGCCGAGTTATTAAAAACTCAAACTGTCTCTAAATTACCGTCAAGTGAACCAGCTTCAGAAGATTAATTAGTATAGATCATTTAGTATATATATAAAAACTAGTTACCCCCACAATGTACAGTATTTGAAGTGAAATAAATAGAATGATGATAATGAATAAACCGTTTTTTTTTTTATTATTACTATCCATATACTAACAGTATACAAAAATAGAATCAAAAATCAAAAAACTAGTCTACATATTACTAAACTAAACTATAAAAGATAGTCCAATAAGAATTATCTTCTTGTTTAGGCAGTTTCATCCTATAGTAAAGAAGTAAAGAAAACATCATTAGTTATATCAAACTATTCTTCTTGTTCTTCTTCTTCAAACTTACCTTGAAAACATAAGTCAAATGACACTTGCCACAGTATTGACGGTCAGAGTGCGAAGCCATAAAGACACCAGCACCACAAGTAGGGGAAGGACATTCACGACGGAGACGAGTGATCTTACCAGCTTCATCGACCTTGTAGAACTTGAGAATAGCCATCTTGACCTTCTTGCGCTTGTGCTTGATCTTCTTGGGAGTAGTATAAGTCTTCTTCTTACGCTTCTTACCACCACCCAACAATTCAGCATTGAGATGAAGAGTGCTGTTGTCTTGAACACCAAACAAAGTGAGTTCACCATCAACCAAAGACTTTCCAGCATATGACAAAAGTTGAGCATCACAAGGAATACCTTCACGAGCTTCAATCAAGGACTTGACTTCAGCAATAGTAGAATTGTTGTTGACATTAAGAGCAAGGGTGTTGCCCGCAAGAGACTTGACAAAAACTTGCATGTTGATAATATTAATAATAAACAGATAACTCGATTAGATTTTCCACAAGCTGTATAGAGAGTCGAAAAAAGAAATCTAAACAAAAAAAAATATATATATAAATATCATAATCAGTTAACCATTCCATTTTATTTTTTAAAAACAAAACCTACCTTCCTCACTATCTGAAGTAGTTTAAAAAAAAACGGGGAAAGAAAAGAGAAAAAAGAAGAAAAGTGTAAAAAAAAAAAAAAAAACAGATCAAAAAGAAAAAAAAATTTTCATTGGCCGAAAAAACCATTGTCTCCAAATCTCTCTCTCTCTGCCAGTCACTAGTGAAGGGAGAAAAAAAAAATTCAGTTTTATCACTTGGAGACAAAAAAGGGAGTGTGCAGTTTTCTTCCCAATTTCTTTCCTTATCCTGTCACAACTTTCACACTTATTTTTTTTACTTTTTCTTCATTCTTTATACCATGAAAAATACATCCACTTCATCTAATCTTGGGAAAAGAAAAGGTCGACCACCCAAGTCAAAAAATCATAACTCTGGTACTGTAGATGATATCAACTTTTTGGATGATGAAAGTGATTTATCATTTGACGAATATATGGATACTAGTGATGGTGAAGCAAGTAACAAGAAACGTGGGCGTAATACAAACAAACCAAAACAAAATGAACAACCTTATACATTCAAAGAAGAAGAAAGTGATATTGACGAAACTGGTGAAACTAAAGTAGATGCTGATGGACATTTATTGGATGGTAATATATATATACTTGATATTATGATAAACTTATCATCATTGATATATTATTATAGGACGACAATATCGTGTACCAACTTTTGAATTACCTGAACGTGGAAGGACATTATTTATGTTTGCAAAGGACCCAGCAGCACTTCTTGGTTTTCGTGATAGCTTTGTATTTATGAAGAAGAATCCCAAATTAGTTAAAGTGTATTTACGTGATAGTGAAAAAAGTCATCTAGTGGATACAAATCGATTACGGTCAACTTTTAGAACTCGTGAAGTCTCTGTGGTAGAAGCAAGATCAGTCTACAAAGTATTTGGACACAGAGTGGTGAAAAAAGGTCGACGAGGACGAGATGATTACTATTATACTGGTGAATACGATGAAAATGAGGAGGTGGATTCAGAAGAAGACAATAAAGCACAACATCATATGACAGATGACAAATTGTTATCAGGAACAAATACATCACTAAACTCAGCATGGGCTCATCCTATACAACAACATCAACAATCAGGTTACAATTCAAACATGCTTCCTTCACATTTTATTGGTACGGCAGGTTCATCACCAATGACTGGAGGAAATATGATGGGATCAGTGGTTTTAGGTAATAGTATTACTGGACATCCTATACCTAGTCCATTTGGATCATTATCAGCAACAGCACTTGCACAGCAACAAATGGTCGCAACAGCATCCTCTTCTGGTGGTATTATTGATCCCTTGACAAATACACCAATAAATATCAAGCAAATGAACGTACCTGTGTCTCTCAAATCAACTTTACAGCCTCTCAATGCTAATAACTGGTTACATCATGCAGCTGTCTCTGTACGTGATTTCAGCGCTCAACTTCATTCTTACCGACAAAACAATACCACGTTTTATGATATTCACACCAATGTTTACCAAATCCCCCATGCAAAACAAGCTATTCCTTCTCCAAAACCTTACAAACGGCCTTCATCTTTAGCATAGTCATCATCTACACATATACATTCACTTTTCTTTTTAATACCTCCTTTGTCCTTTTATTTATCTATATACTTTGGAATAATAATAAAAGCAATATCTATTTGATCATATTGTCTTTTTTTTTTTTTTGTTTTTATTGATGAATGAAGTTTCTATATACTAACTAATTATCTACCAATCTTGATCAAGATGAATATATATATATATAAAATAATTTCACTAAACTCGTCATAGTACAAAGAGTTGTACATATAAAAGAGTCACCGTCTTGATTTACAATCCTAAAGTCTTTCTTGCATTTTCACGTACAATAGCATCATACCTTGCACGATCCGTACGCCATACTTTCTACTCGACACAAAAAAAAAAAAAAATAAGACATCACCTTTTTTTTTTTTTTTTTTTTTTTTTTTTTGGTTGTTCAAACTTACACAAGCATCTACGTTGGCGCCACTTTCATCATTGGGTTCTGCTAACATACTGACCACACTTAATAAGATCTTTTCTACACTTTGTACAGGAGACCATCGTTCTGAGCTACTTTCATACATGTTGGGATCATCACCAGGAGGATGAAGGATTGAGATGCATACTGTTCCATTGGCATAGACATTAGGATGGAAGAAATCACACGTGAACTTCATGGTAGGAGGACTTAGTGGATAATCCTTGGGAAACGTCAAAGTTGCTGGGAATAAACCTCCTTCGAAAGGTGTGCCATCAGGTCCTCTAATTAAAAAAAAAAATAAGATGAATATAAAATGGTATAAAAACAGATTATTGTTTTTCTCTTTTTTAATTATTCTTTACTTACGCAATCAAAGCTTCCCATTCAAAGAAATTGTTTTCATCAATAGGTCCTGTTGTATTTTGGAACAAACAAATAGATAAAAAAAAAATATGAATTTCCAGAAACTTAGTCAATTGTCAAGTGTTTTTTTTTTTTATTCTATTTTATTCCATCTTACCTGCAGTGATGCCTTCAGGAGCATTGAGTGTCAATTCTATTTAGTAAAAGAAAAATAGGTTAACCAATTAATAAAAAAAAAAAAAAAGATAACAACAGGGTCATTAGTTCATACCTCTGTATTCAGTCATCAGTCGCTTCAAAGCTGTTGATCCAGTTGTACGAGGAGTATACATATTGATATATTTTTTTTTCTAATAAGACGTACTTTCTCAAAAAAAGAAAAGAGAAGAAAAAAAGAAGAAGAAAAAAAAAGGAAGACGAAGAAGAAAGGGAAAAAAAGACAAACTGAGTTTCAAATGGTTGTTTCTTTATTCAATACAGTATTCGACCGTAAAGGTTGTATCAATCCTACATCATCAATATCTTCCCAAAGGAGTTCATCATCATTAATATAAGTATCTATATTTCCATTGCTGTTGTTGTTGTATGAGCCATTATTGTCATCCATATAGTCCGAATCACTTCCAGAATCATAATAATAGAATGAAGGATGTATTCCTGCAGATGAGATAACGTCACTTGATTCTAGATCAACAGTGTTTGTTGTGATTGCTGTTGTTTCTTCTACATTATGATGATATTCTCCTGACAATTCATCCAACATCTTCATTCGTTCCTCTATAGATATTTCACGTACTAAATAACCTTCAGAATCTCTTCTAACCAATTGAGTATGATTTGATTGTTGTTGATACTGATATTGTTGTTCTTGTTGCTGATCGAAGATAGACGGTCGTAAATCATTTGGATCTCTTGGTGGCCAATAATAAGGTAATTTTGGATCTATAAATAAAAAAAAAATTGAATGTGTCATCTAGAACCAGTGCTATGACAGAAGAATTAAAAAAAAAAAAAATAGTGATTACCAGTATTGGGCAATAAAGTATATGTCAATCCATCTCCTATACTAGACAAGGGAAAAGGCCAAAGAAGGATATTGTTTCCTAGTACAGAGGCGATATTTCTAAAGGGTCCAAGATCATAAGGAAAGTCGACCTAATTTTATATGTGATTAGACTAAAAATATATCATTGATTTGTGTCTTACCGGCATGATTTTCTTCTTTTTAATCAAATTCTTGACTTTTGATCTTTCCCAAGCTTCAATAGTACTTTGACCTTTGATGACACAATAACCATGATAGACAGAAAGGATTGATACTGAGAAAACTGTGATAAAAACACCAACTATATCAATCACCATAAAAATCATTTCCGTCCTTTTCACAGGTCTAAGAGCATTTTGCTTAAATAAAATGGAATAATAAAAAAAAAGGTTATCAGTTTGACCTATATTTAATCATTTCTCTTTCCTTACCAAACTATTCATATCGAGGATTTGAATCAATCGCCAGACTAAGAGATACAACGCATAACCACAAGTCAGACTGACGGAGAAGACGAAACGAATAAAGTGAGGATAGTTTCCATGACCAACACAATTGTTTATCCAAGGACAATGATGATCCATCTTTAACACACAACGTCGACAGACACGGCAATGATGAGCACGAGGAGGTTTATAAGCATCACAAGAACGACAAAACCTAGGACCAGTTTCACCTTTACTTGATTGGACTTCTTCAGGTCGTTGTATCAATGAATACGGAGGTTCCTATTGTTGGTAAATATTCCACACATGAATATTTGAAAGAAGAATTGAGTTTTGGAATATAAAAAAAACAGTATATTAATATCTATATATATATTTACTTACCCAACCTTCCGGTACTTTCCCAGGATCAGTAACAATGGCCAAATAATAATAATAGGATAGAACCAAAATACCAAGATTCAAAGGTCCAAGAGACTTGAGTGTTTGTGGTGAAGACCAACCTCCTAGAGAAGGTACTAATACAAACCATTGTGTAGTCAGAGCAAGAGTACCGATCAAACAACATACTCCAAGAACAATATATTGTCCATTGATCGTTTCCAACATGGCCACATGGAGAAAGAGAGAAAGAAAAGAAAAGAAAAGGGGTTAGACCTGACGCCCTTGGTTTTATGGTTCGAATCCCGCTACGAAACATATAGAAAAAAAAATAAAGATTAGGAACAGTAGGGAAATAAAAAAATCATTCAAATCAAACCATTTGTAATACCAATATCAAATGAATGATGCAGCCAAATAATACATAACTTTTTGTTATTTTTGTATAGTGAAAAAAAAAGGAAAATAGGAAGACGGTGATTGAACTATTCCAGCAGACAAAGCTATTTATGGATATTGATTTGATCAAAAAAAAGAAAAAGGGGAAACGAAAAAAGCTTGGCTTTTTTTTTTCTTTTCTTTTCTTTTCTTTTTTTTTTTATTTTTATTTTTTTCTTTTTATTTTTTTTTTTATTTTTTTTTTATATAAAAAAAGGTACTCAACTCAACAAATGGGTCGTCCAAGTTCTTCTTCTTATCATAGAGCAAACTCATTTGCTACAAACGATATGCCTAATACCTCACAATCTATCCAAGGATCATCTTCAAACTTGCCACAATCTCAAGATCATCAGCACCTTTCAAACGGTCCACCACCTCCACTACCTAATCATCAAATGTCATCGCCTTCACAATCATCTCATCCTGTACCACCTAGAAAACTTACCAATGAATATTATCCAACTGATATTGAAATGCAAAACAGAGCAATGTCACCTCAGTATCAACAACAACCAATGTATTACAACAATATGTATCCACCACCACAACAACAACAACAACCAGTCTATTTATATCCACAAGAAGATATATACAAAGGTCATCCTCTGAAACGTGCACTTTTAGGTCCGATACGACAACCCATCTTTAGTCATCTTAGTGCATTGGCTATGCTAGGTGTACTTATTTATGAACTTGTACGCAATTACCAATTGACAAGCAGTGTGATCCAAACTCAACCCATGTTTAACGTGATGATTGGTCCTTCTTTTTCTGTCCTCATTAATATTGGAGCCAAGTTTACTCCTTGTATGCGTGCTTTACCCAATATCTCAACATCCAACGTATATGGACAATGTTTTGGTCCTAATGATACTTGTACCTTATCTCAAATGTGTGGTCTATCTTCTCTGACAACGATCCCCAATCAAGCATACCGATTCGTGTCTCCGATCTTTATGCATGCCGGTATTGTCCACTTTTTACTCAATATGTTAACTCATCTTCGACTTGGTGTGGATCTCGAACGTAGTCTTGGAACTCCTCGATATATGCTTTTATATATGGCGTCTGGTATCTGGGGGTTTGTGCTTAGTGCCATGTTGGCGAATGAAAATACCGCATCTATGGGTTGTTCGGGTGCACTCTTTGGTTTGATTGGCTATATGTTTATTGATGTTTTAATCAATTGGCGTGTGATTCAACATCCTTGGCGTGAACTCATCAGTTTATTTATCTCCACTATTATCTCTCTTGTACTTGGTCTCTTACCTGGTCTGGATAACTTTGCCCATCTTGGTGGTTTTGTCGTTGGTTTGGTCATGGGTCTTTTGATTGCTCCTACTCGTCCTATGGCAACAAAGAATATTATATTTCTTACTTGGATCGGTCGGATTATCGCATTGGCTATCATCATTGTCATGTTTGTCGTTGGTATCAAACAATTTTATGAATCTCCTGACCCTTCTTTGGTAAGCAAAAAAAAAAAAAAAAAAAGTATCAACTGTAAATGACAATGAACTGACCTTTTTTTTTTTTTTTGATATGCCACTGAAATAGATCTGCCCAAATTGTAGGTATTTGAGTTGCTTACCAGTGAATGGTTGGTGTGACAATTATCAAACTCGGTCATAGCTATAGTATAGATATATATCATCATTTATCCATACATTATTTACTTTATATACATGTTCAATTTTTTATTCCCTCAAAACAATAAAATATACTTGTTTCTTTTTTTACTATCTATAAAGGAAAACAATAATTACAATGGAAATCATTACTATGTATTAATCATCATCAACCAAATCATCATTTATATATGAATTATTCTCCGCTGAGCGTGTCATACATATTCGACGCGGAGCAACGGGGGAGAGATGATGACGAGGGGGATGGGGAACGTCCAAGATCAATGAAGATTGAAATTTGATTGGCTAAGGAGGACGCTGACAAAGAATTTGACATCATCTATTTAGTTTAAAAAAGCAAATCGCACGCGGTACTTTTTTTTTCTTTCTTTTTCTTTTCAACTTTTTTTTTTCTATTTCACAACAACAATAATAAAAAATGGTCAAAGCTGTCTGTGTCGTTCGTGGTAATACCGATGTTACTGGTACTATTAAATTTGTTCAAGAATCTGAAAATGATCCCACCACTATTGAAGCCTCTCTCTCTGGTTTGACTCCAGGCAAACATGGTTTCCATGTTCATGAATTCGGTGATAACACCAATGGTAAAAAAAAAAAAAAAAAAAAAAAAGAACAAGATATTTAAATAATTGTGGATTCTTTTATTAGGTTGTATTTCTGCTGGTGCTCATTTCAATCCTTTCGGTAAAACCCACGGTGCTCCCGAAGATGAAAATCGCCACGTCGGTGATCTCGGTAACGTTGTTGCTGATGCTAAGGGAAATGCTACCTTGAAAGTGACCGATAATCAAATCAAGTTGATTGGTGTCCACTCCGTCATTGGGTAACGTCAATATATATATATATTAAAAAAAAAAGTTGGATTGCGTGTAGATGGTCTCATTGCGGGGGGTAAACAATTCACCGGAACATTTGTTTATTTATTTATTTATTTATTTATTAGTCGTACCATTGTTGTTCACGCTGATGAAGATGATCTTGGTAGGACTACTCATGAATTGTCCAAGACTACTGGTAATGCCGGTGATCGCTGGGCTTGTGGTGTCATTGGTGGTAAGTATTGTTGAATGTGTTAGATGGCGGTGATTTAAAACAACCAGGTATATTTCTTGGGGTTCTCATCTACTTTATTTTTTTTTTTGTCTGTTTTTGGTTTATTTAGTCACCAAATAGGTTTAGTCATCGACTTTTCAAACATGTAGCAAACTGGATGTAAATAGTTAGTTAGTTAGTTAGTTAGTTTTGTAGTAGTATGAGCACTGATTTGAATCTGATGATTGTAATAAAAAACAAAAACCCTCTTTTTTGAATACGTTTTGAATACATGTTATGATTATTATTATTAATAAGATTTTGAATATGATTTGATTATCATCTTTATTATCGAATATATATATATATATATATAAGATGTAAAAATACAATATAAAAACTATAAAGAATGAAATCAACTATATATCTATTCTATGAATGAGGTTGAAAAGATGCTCGGAAAGGATTGTTTGAATTGATGGGTGCAGTATTCACGCCAACTTGACCAGCATTATTACCGTTTGATGTTGGTATAGTACTTGATACAGTGACTTGTTGTCGTTCTGGTCGTGGTGGTGGTGGTGGATGAGCAGGAAAACTTGATATGGAAGATGATTGACTTGCTGTACGAAGATGACGACCAGAATCTACTGCTAGTGAAGAAGGATCCAAATAAGGATTAGAGTGATTTTGATAATTGGTTAAAATGTCGTCAGGAATGTGAGGGTTCTGAGGTTGATGGTTATCTGCTGATACTGGTGGTTCATAAACAGGTGGTGGTACATCCTCTAATCCAACATCCGTTATTGAAGGCGCTGTCGCTGTCACATTTGATGATCCATAGTTTGAGGATATCGCACGATCAAAAATACGTCGCCGTTCGTTATATAGAGAAGCTTGCGTTGTTTCCTTTGCTGTTGATAATCGTTCGATAGCCCCTTCTGTATAACGTAGATAATGCCGTACCCATTGCATTGCACTTTGTATATTCTTTTCAGCCGTCACTAATACATTGTAACCTTGTTGTGTTTTTGCTAAAATGATTCATCAATATGAAAAAACAAAATTGTATACAAATTAGTATGTAATCATAGTGAATTTTATTTTTATTATACCTTTCCATGCAATATCCACATAACCACCATCAAATCGTAACCCTAACATATGATTGTCATTGACCACATCCAAAGTAGCAGGATAAGGAATTTCAGGTAAGATTCCACGAGCCAGATTCAATCTACGTTGACATTCCCACGTATTTCGTTGACAAGCTACAAAAAAAAAAAAATTAAAAACAGGAAAAGGAAAGGAAGAAGAATGGTAATTTGTTTCAAAAAGTTATTTACCTTCTATATAAATGATTTGTTGATCATCAACCAATTGACTAGTAAAAAGATCAAATGACACATAATTGATAGCCACTTTGATCAAATCTTTTGTCTTTGTAATAATACGTAGAGCTTGTATCAGATTATGATCAGTATCACGAAAGCGTTGTAGATCACGAGTTGCCTGTATAGATAAATAAATATAGATATATCAGTATGATCATCCATTCTTTCTTTCTTTACTTACCAGATTAGCTTGGTCTATATAGTTTTGTAATTCAGCACGAAGTTGAGGTTCTCTGATTTCACTACCATCAGGCTCAGCAAATACCTAAATAAAGAAATATATCAATCATTATTATTATATAATCTATACTTGAATTACCTCATCTAATAATCCATTCAATTGACTTTTTATATTCCGTAAATGATCTTTTTGTTGTTTAAGTTTTGATTCCTAGTATAATAAGAGTAAAGCATGAATATAAAATATAAATATGGTGTATATATTCTCTCACCTGTGCTGTAAGAGAAGCTAGTTCTGCAGAAACGATATCAACTTGACGTTTCGCCCTTTGTTCAGATTCAAATGCTTGTTGGTATTCTGCTTCTTCCTTAGCAATCAAAGCTTTCTTCTTTCCTTTCAAAGTAGCAGCTGCCGATCGAACAGAAAAATGTCTTGCTTTGTGTAAATTGTCATAATCCTTTTTTCTAAACAAAAAAAAAAAAGAGTGAATGCCAATTTAAAAGTTTATATTAAATACAAATATATATAATACTTACGCACTTTTCTTCAAAAAGTCAAGTTCAAGTTGAAGAGTTTTCAATTTTTCAGATACTGCTGAACGTCGAGTGGAAACATCTTCATAAGCTAATGAGATATCATGTTCTTGTTGCAAATCCTGGGTTAATCGATGGTATAATTGAGCATTGTTTTGCAACCTTGAAGCTAACGAGTCCATGTAAGTTGCCCAGTAGATATGTCTTTGTTGAAAGAATGGTAAGAATGGATAAGGCGCTTAAAAAAAAAAGAAGAAGAGAAAAAAGTGAATTCAATAAAAACGGAAAAAATAAAAACTTAAGCTTGTAAAGCTGGAGAGTCGGTAATTGAATTCAAGTGTTCCTTTGTTCACCTATTTGGCATGAAAAAAAAAATATGTATAATTTTACTTACAATAATGATTATTATATATAGAATAAAGCATCATGAAATTATTTCATTCTCTCTGTCTCACTTTTGAAGAAAGATAAATGAAAGAAAAGATCAAAATTAAATTATATTCAAGCAACACAAAAAAAAAAAAAAAATGTTAGACAGTAAAAATATCTCATGTGATATGCATTATCACTATATAAGAATCATCATAATATACTAATATTTTATTTTATTTTATTTTATTTTATTCTATTTTATTCTATTTTATTCTATTTTATTCTATTTTATTCTATTTTATTCTATTTTATTTTATTAATCACCTTTTTGATGAAAAGATCAATAAATGATGATAAAAAGGAGTATAAAATCATCAAATACTTATGAAAAAAAAAGAAGAAAAAGAGATTGAATAAAGTTAGATGAGAAATATGGTCTGAGCGTTCATACATCACACAAAAAGTGATCTTCTGATATTCAGGCATATAAAAAAAAAAGTTTTATTTTCAATATAAGAAGGTGGGGTATATATATATATGGATAAGCTACTATGGTTAAGGAATGATTTTATCTTGAGAATCAGTGGTACAATGTTCAGCATATTCTTCCAGAAGGATACCTACAAATATCATATCCTTTTTTTCAATTTCTTCTTTCTTTTTCCTTTTTTTTTTCTTTTACCTAAACAAAGTAATGCTGGTGCATCGAAACATTCTTGCACGATTGGATCCTGTGTTACTGCTGCTATGCTATGTATGCCTTCCAGGAGTTTCTATAAAAAATAATCAGAAAAAGTGAATATATTATCCATTTAACTTTTTTTCTTTTCTTTTTATTACCATAGAAGGCATATTTTCAGGACGCTTGTTTTCTAAGTTAAAGGAGAATACATCAATCTTGTTAGATCAAAATATTATGGTAATCTTACGTTCTATTTCAACTAGTTCCTGTGATTTTGGCCTTCCTGTGTCAAAGTAAAGATCTTGAGATTTAAATAGTATTTTGTTTCGTCGAGTCATTTTATAAGTCAAAGGCTTAGGATAAGTTTTGGTAACTTTAGTTTTATCAGACATGATGATATTGATCGCAAACTATGAAGAAAAGAAAAAATCAAAAGAGGAAAAAAGGCAAAGAAAACAGTGGGTAAAAGTGAATGAAAATTTTCTTTTCTTTCTCCGCCCTGAATGGTTTTTTTTTTTTTATTCTTTTTCACTTCTTGACCTTTTCCTTTTCTTTCTTCTTCGTAACAAGTCATCATGTCTCATCAAAGTGGTATACAAGGTAATATTACTATATTCTTTTCATAGAACATGCTAATAAATAGATTGATCTACTTTATTTATTTAATAGTTTCCGAAGAACTGACCAAAACTTTCAATGAAGCTGTCTCCAGTGGTGACACTCGTATTCTTCGTGTTTCTATTGTTAATGGTAAACTTATTCATTTATAATATCTATAGTTTTGTATAAAACTGACTGACCTTTTTTAATAGAATCCTTGGTTTCCACAGCTATGACAAAAGTAGAAGGTTCCTTTGATGAAGGTACTGCGAAACAAAATATGATGACATTTCATTATATCATTAATGCTTTTTTTTTTTAGATTACAACAAAATTGATACTCATTTGGAGGACAAGACGCCTGCTTATTTACTCGTCCGAACTGATGAAAAAACAACAGCTGGAGAATACAATTGGTTATTTTTATGTTATGTACCAGATGGTGCTAAAGTGCGTGACAAAATGCTTTATGCTTCAACCAAAGCTACTTTGACTAAGGAACTTGGGGATTCAAAATTCACAGACTCGATTTATGGTACTCAAAAGGTATTTTTATATTTTTCATTTTACTTTAATATTTATGTGCCTTTCCTTTCTTTTTTTTTTTTCCTTTAGTCTGAATTCTCCAAAGATGGTTACAAGAAACATTTAGCGCACAAGAATGCTGATGCTCCTTTGACTCAACGTGAAAGAGAATTAGCTGAAATCAAAGCAGCTGAGGTAAATGATTCATTTGAAAAATATGATAATTCTCATTATTATTATTATTGTTATTATAATTGGTAGGCACAAGCAGTGACAGATTATCAAGGAACAACAACTCGCAAGACGTATGCACCTGGAATTGCATTCCCTTTGACAAATCCTGCAGTGGAAGCACTTGGCGTATTGAAACAATCCAAATCAGAAAGATCCCATAATTTTGTGACATTGGTAATATACATAAATATATAAAATAGATTGGAATACTAACAAGAGTATTTTGATGGAATTATAGTTACTTGATAAAGAAAAGATTGAATTGGACGGAGCATCTACAGTGGCAATCAAAGACATCAAGAATAAAATCAATGCCGATGCACCACGATTTACTTTTTACTTGTTTGAACATGAACATAATGGGGAATCAAAGGAGGCTATAGGTAAAGTAAACAAATTGAATAGAAAGAAAGAAAGGTGCTGATTGATTTTTATTATTATTATTATTATTAGTATTTATTTACACTTGTCCTCCTACATCCAAGATCCGTGAAAAGATGTTATATTCATCTTCCAAAGCAAATGTTATCACTGGTGCAGTCAATCAAGCTGATATTCAAGTGATGAAAAAGGTAATAAAAAAAAATAGCATGAAGAAAAAAAAAAAAGTTGAACCGAGTATTATGGGAAAAATGAACTTATATATATTGTGGTGTTACCACTCTTATGTAGTTTGAAACGAGCGATCCAAGTGATGTGACGGAAGATTATCTATTAGAAGATCTTTATCCTGTGACACCAACAACGACAAGTTCAACAGGCTTCATACCAACTGGCAACAATGTGAATGATCGAATTCAAATGTTAGGTGGAACTCGTGGAGGATTTAAACGACCTACTGCACCAGGAAGAAGAAGACCTGCTACTCATACCCAATCTTAGGCATCTATTATTATTATTATTATTAGTTCGTTAGTTTTTTATCCCGATTGTTTTATAGTATTTTGAATAAAGTTTGAAGATACAACATGAATTTACTGACATAAGATGATGTTAACTCACTCCACAATGCATTTACTTTAATTGGTGAAGATTGGATAATGAACAAAATAATCTTATTAGGAAAAGCATGACAAGACTTTTTTTTTTGGTTGAGAATGGACCAAACAAAAAGCGGGGATCTGACACGTTGAATATAAACGCTACAGAATGTAAATGTACAACGTATGCTCAGAGTCCGCCTTCAGATTGGTTGATGTTATTAGAGAGAGAGAGAGAGGGAGAAACACTGATTCCCTTTTCAAATGATAAGGAAAACATTACCACATACAAAATATGACAACTCCTTTTTTTTTCTTTCTTTCTTTCTTTCTTTCTCTTTTCTTTTCTTTTCTTTTCTTCTTCCTTTTTTCTTTTTTTTTTTACTTTTCCTTTCTCGGTTCTTTTTAAAGAGAACCCATATAATTCGAAACACGGAAAACGAGACGAAATCACCGAAAAAAGTCCCGCCTTATAATCCTTCCAGTCACCTGATAGATCAATTAAAACAAAAAGGAACAAATCATCCCTACTATTTCTTTTTTTTACCTTTTTTTTTTTTTTTTTTTTTTTTTGATGGTCAAAACTAAATTCATGCAATTAGATATTGCTGAATTCCCTGTACAAATACTAGTACATATAGTATCAGATTTATTGGAATCCATCATTCAAACCAATGATGAATTGATGATCAATACACCTTTAACTCGTTTTCATTCAAGAGCAAAGCCTAGTATTACTATCCACGCTTACTTGACAAGAATTCTTAAATTCGCCCCTTTTTCTAATGAAGCCTTATTATCTCTTTTGGTTTATTTCGATCGGATCGCTTCTAAAAAACAATATGCTGTTAATTCTTTAAATGTACATCGTTTACTTATTACAAGGTAAATTATTTTTAATTCACGCTTTATCCCCTTTACTCTTTTTTCTAAAAAAAAATTCTTCCTTCTTTTTCTTTTTTTTTTTTTCTACATAGTGTTGTCGTTGCTTCAAAATTCACTTCTGATGTTTATTATCCTAATAGTCGATATGCCAAGGTAAGAATAATGATAACACCATTTGTACATTCCACTCACTTTATCATCTTTTTCTTTTTAATTCAGGTGGGCGGATTACCACTATTGGAACTTAATCAACTGGAATTAGAATTTCTTTTTCTTTGCGACTTCCAACTTCATGTTCCTTTAGAAGATCTTCAAGATTATGGCAACCAACTTTTATACCATGCCGTTAGCAAATCTTCTCCAGCCTTGGTTTCAACGCACTTATCTTTGCCACCATCTCCTATAGAACAACAACAACAACAACAAAATCAAAAACAATCTGTAGTCGTAGCTGTTCCGAGAACACCACCTACTCCAGTTACTATCACTGCACCTATCAGTCTTACAACAACAAAAAGTAAAAAACGACCTTATCAACAACAACATCAACAAGTAACTTCTGTACGAAAACGATTTTGTCCTTCTCCTCCATACAATACCAATGACACTAGAGCCACGAAGACCAAGACCGCTATTAATACTACTCTCTCTCATTGATATCCTCTATATCTCCTTTTTTTTTTTCCCTCTTCTGTATATTTCTTTTTTTTTTTTTTTTTTTGTATCTCACATTCAAAAACACACACACAAAACTTTATACAACATATACATATAGTCTATCTTAGGTTCTTATAGTTTATAGATGTATATGTCCGTGATACCATTTTGTACATTCTATCTCCCCCCTCTTATTTCCTTACAGCTTAACCATCTCCCCTCTTTTTTTTCTTTTTTTTTTTTTTGTTCTTCTTTTGTGTATATCTTCCTTTTGCTCCTATTTCAATTAGTTTTTTTTTTTTTTTCTTCACTTGAATAAAAGTAGAGATTTGTTTTACCTAGTGAATAATTTTTTTATTTTATTTTTTTTATTTTATTTTATTTATCTATGATGTAGATTTTGTTTGATGATTGAGGATATATCGTTGGAATAGAAATAATGATGGACAAAGGTAATTTGATGATGATGATGATTATCGTCATCATGATCACGATGGTAAATGATCGAATAATTAGAAATCAGGGGGAAAATTCATGATCTTTATCGTTTATTTGATGAATTGTTTCGGCATGGATGTCATAGTAGCAAAGGAGGTGATAATAAAAATGGGTACCATCATTGATGATGAATGATGATGATGATGATGATGATGATAACTATTCCTATCCAGGTGATTGCTAAAATGGATCTGATTGGAGTAAAAGTGATTCTCCCAGACCAAAAAAAAAAAAAAAAAAAAATTGCCTTCTCGGTTTGACTATATTTATGATTGTTTGTATTGACATCAAAAGAGTTACCATTTCATTTTTGTTTCCACGTGTTCCATTCTTCCCTACTATCTTCCCCCTTTTTTTTTCTAATAGTTTTTAACATCATACTCTCAGGGTTTCACGTGGTCCAAAAATACAATTACCAAACGCATTAATGCATTGGCTGAATAATAACTATACAATCATTTTCATCAAACTTTGCTTCAATGAATAGTTAGTAAATATTCCAATGAGACTATCCTTATTTTGTTTTACATTTAAACTACATTATATATATTCGATCATTAATCATCGTTACGTATCATTCATCAGTTAATAATACATTTACTGGTTTTTTTTTTGTTTTTTTTTTTACCTGCTACATAAATATCCATATTCGGTATATGCCAGTATTGTTCTTCAAATCATCACCCCTACCCAACAAATCGCATACCCTTCAAAAAAAAAAAGTTCATACCCATCGCCCAAAGGTTTTGATGAAAATAATGTTTTATTAATAAAGTATGTTAAATAGTAAAAAAAAAATATATAATATATAAAACTATTATATCTGAGTAAAGAAAAAAAAATATCATATATATAATTAAAAAAAAAAAAAAAAAGAGAATGGGAGTGTATTATCACTAATCAAAAGATGGATCCATATGATTGATTAGACATTTTGATCACTCACATCAGCATGTTGTAAGATAGGAGTTTGATAAGCAGGTTGTTGAGGTTGTTGAGGTTGTTGTTGTAAATTACTTGGAACATGAGGACTACCAGGTTGAGCTTGATAAGGTTGTTGTGACATATGAGGAGATTGCTGTCCAACAGTATGATACACAGATTGATTCAAATTATATGGAGATCGTATAGCATGAGTTCCTTCACCAGCAGCTTCTTCATCACCATCACCATACTTGCCACCATAAGTGGGACCGACTCTACCTGAAGCTTTCTTGCTTTTTCTTGATGTAGCAGCACCTTTACCACCAATACAGCAACATGATCCACCATAACTAAAGAAAGCAAAAAGAAGAGATACCACCGAACCAATAGTCAACCAAAGAGAATTTCCTGCATGACCAGTCCAAGTAGGATCAACACTGTGTAAAAGATAATTACCACGGATGATAAACACCAATTCCATAATAAGAGCAGTCAACATCACAAGGAAGGTGATGAATGTAAAAGTGGACATGGAACCACCCACAGCACGATGCTTAACACAACAAAGTGGCATACTAATAACCCAAAGAATAAAAGAGAAACAAAGTCCAATGATGAAAAGAATAAATGCACCCAAAAACAGTCCTTTGCTTAAAGGAAGACTTGACAATGTTTGATTAATAGCAGGTGTATCGACCCAATTGTAACCAGGCGTCGGATGAGAACAAGATTGAACACCTTGATCATTTGATGTACAATAATTCCTGTATAAATTAGATATAAATAAATATATATTCTATTTAAAAAAAAAAAAAAAAAAAAAAAAAAAAGAGTATTACCATAAACCAAGATTATAATATTGACTTGAAGATAGATGATAAGCTTGGGCAAAGTAAAGTCGATTGATAAAAGCTCTGTTGCTTAACTGGCCAATCACAATAAATAAATTGAGTATAAAAGAGGCAAATGTAAAAAAGCTACCTAGTGACGAAAATAAAAAGTACATAATAGCTGAATAATATATAAAAAAAAAAGGGAAGAAAAAGAAAAAGAAAGAGATTAGTATTCAAGGTAAAAAAAAAATAAAAATAAAAAAAAAAGAATATCAATAAAGATAAAAAAAAAAAAAAAAAAAAAGGTGATTGAAACCCTAGATAATTCAAAAAGTATAGTAACAAAATAGAAAAAGCCAGCAACTATCGTTACTTGGGTTTCTTACTATATTCATCACTTATGACCAGTTCTACCCCCTCCCCTTCCTTTTACCAATAAACTATCGATTACCCATGTCCCAAATAAAAAAATAAAAAAAAAAAAAGAAAAGAAAAAGACTTACCCCTGTTCAATCATTGATCAATATACCAACAAGTACAGGTACCAATATCACTTTCTTCCATTCCATTATATCCGTCAAAACAACATGGGATTATCAAAGAAGTAATAATAGGAAATATAGAATAGCCATTCAAAAAAAAACTTAAGGTCAAAAAGTAAAAAAAAAAAAAAAAAAAAAAAAAAAGAAAAGGGGTTTCAACAAAATCTTGTAAAAGCGCCATTTCAATATTTGTCACCCAAGCATGACTTGCCCCATGCATCTCTTTTCTTTTTTTTTTTTTACTTTTTTATCATCCATCCATGTTTAATAAACATTATAAATCATTAATACTCTTCTATTTAATTATTTTTTCAATCAAAACCGTATGAAATCTCATTGGATTTTCCTTTCACTTTCAATAAATATAATAAAAACCAAATCTATAGAATAATTACCGTCTTAACGAACTAAATCATCTCCTATCAACTATTAAACAAACACATCTCCGTTTCATTTTATCGTTACACAAACAATACTAAAAAATGACAAAAGGAAGCGTCAGCTACAGGATTTGAACCTGTGCAGGCAGAGCCTATGTGATTTCTAGTCACACTCCTTAACCACTCGGACAAACTGACAGATATTTTTCGAAAACTGATTACTTCATTATCAACCTAATCATTAATTCTAGCCAATCAGCATCAAGTATTTACAGATTGGTGTTACGTTTGCTCAATTCTAGTTGAACAAGATCATCTGTTGCGAATGATGGTGTCATGCCAGCGGGATTATAGTTTTGGCTCTTGGTTCTCTTGTCCTCTAGGGTTTCATTTTTTTTTCTTCCTCTTTTTTTTTTTTTTTTTTTATCTATCTTTTTTTTCTTTGAACTTGGGATTATATATTTTTTTTTTTCATTTTCATACCTATTTTTTATTTTTTTTTTTTTTGTTATCTTTTATATTGAACAATAAACTTGTATTCATCGTCGCTTCAGTCTGTCTATACTTTTTGGGTTTTTCGACATTACATTCAATCCTTTCTTCTTTTTTTTTTTTTTTCTTTTCTTCTTTTTTTTTCTTTCCACCACTTTTTACTTCTATCACGCAATACTAGTTATAACGTGTAGTTTAACTTATATTTTTATTTTATTGGATAGTTATTAGTCTATTATATTAGTGAATTACGATATTCTTTTAGGACGAACGATATCTATTCCGTTTTTTATTATTATATATATATTCATTCTTTTTTTATCTTTTTTTTTGATTATTCATTATTCAACAAATTTTTTTTATATCGTCCTTTTTTTTTTATTCCTTTTACACATTTATCATTCCTACACGTTTCATTTTTCGATGACAAGTTACTTCATTATGAATCTAACTGCTATTTTTGTTTTTAATGTTTCCTCTTTTTTTTTCCATAAAATACATAATCATCATTGATAATAACGTTATGGATAAATGAAGAATCCATTATATAATATGTACACTAAGTTTGGTATGAAAAAAAAAGTACATCTTCATCCTTGACGACAGTCTTCGTTAGTTTTTACCACTGTGTTCTGAGTATTTCGGAAAGAACGGAACAGACGGAACAGATGGAACAGCAGTTGCCTTTTTTGGTCATGCAAACAGAACAGATCAGGCTTTTTTTTTTTTTTTTTTTCTAAACATATAGTATTACTTTTGATTTTGGATGAATCCAAGATGACGTATCTGTTGGACTTTGGATGAACATTTTAACTTGTGATAATCATTGTTTTTTATAACCCGAAAGATTTACAAAGTCGACATGATTTTTTTTTAAAAAAGAAAAAAAAAAAGCCTAAACTTTATTTTTTTTTTCTTTTTCTTTTTCTTTTTTTCTTTCTTTCTCATCTTTATTTTTTATGAAGTCCATTACTGTTGTTGGAAGCGGTGTTACTGGATTGACAACAGCATTATTACTTGTCGAAAAAGGATATAATGTGACAATAGTAGCAAAGCATTTCCCTGGAGATGACAATATTGAATATACCTCACCTTTTGCAGGTATAATAGTAAGAAGAGGAAAATATTATGATACTCATTTTCTTTTTTTTTTTCTTTTAATTATAGGTGCACATTGGCGAACATTGGCATCGAACAAGGATGTTTTAGCACAACGTAAATACAATATAAGATAATGTTAAATTCATGACTCTTTCTAAGGCCACTTTTTTTTTTTACTCTCTTCTCTCTTTTTCTTTTCCCCTAAATTAAGGTTTTGATAGCATAGCGTATCAAAAATTTTTATATCTTGGAAGAACAATACCTGAAGAACAAACTGGAATCATGATTGCTCCATCGTATGACTATTACGACACATTGACTGAAGATACCAAGAACCCATGGTTTAAGAATGTGGTTGAAGATGTAAGAACCAAACAACATCTCATGCCTAGAAAATAATTGTTTTTTTTTTCTTTTTTTTTTTCTTTTTCAGTTTTCCTACATTCCTCATACTGACTTTCCTGATTCGACCATTAAAGTTGGACATCGTTATACCACAGGCAAGTTCAACAAAAGGAAAATAGAATAAAGTAACACAGGTATATATTTCTGCAATATCTATCTAACTATTAGTATATAATTTGAACCTCACAGTTTTGATCAATCCTCTACAGTATTTGCCATGGTTATTGAAACAAGTGGTATCCAAAGGTGTACAACTAAAACGTCAAACAATCAACAATATTCGTGATGCCTTTACAGTGGACGATGGTGATGGTTGTATCAAGTCAGTGGATGCTGTGGTGAACTGTACAGGATTAGGATCACTTCATCTCGGTGGAGTACAGGATCAGAAACTCTTTCCAACTCGCGGACAAACAGTATTAGTGAAAGGCAATCATATCAAGAAATCTGTCTATTATGTTCGTAAGTTATCTACCGCTATAATAAATATGTTTATTTTCTGTCTCTTTCTCTTCTCATCCTTTATTATTATTATTATTATTTATATGCAAATACATATCGTCATATAGGTAATGGTATTTTTACTTATATTATCCCACGAGCAGATGGAACAATCATTCTTGGTGGAACAGCAGAGAAAAATGATTTGTAAGTAGTGACAAGGAAAAGAAAAAGGATACAGAGATAAACTTATCACTTTCTCATATGATTATTGCTTTTTTAAAATTACAAATCAGTAATGCACATGTAGATCATTCGACCACGGAGGCCATCCTCAAACGAACAAAATCACTTTGTCCAGAATTAACAATTAATGATCAACCTTTGGATATTGTTCGAGAAGCTGTTGGATTTAGGCCTACAAGAACAGGAGGTGTACGAATTGAAAATGAACGATATGGTAAGGACAATCAAAAAAAAAAAAAAAAAAAGGAAAAAGAAAAAAAGAAATGATGATAATACTTACATACACGCACTTTTGATGGTTGAATATTTTTCTATTATAGGTATGACAAGTGGGAAGGATATGATAGTGACTCATGCTTATGGACATGGTGGTTTTGGATATCAATCAAGTTGGGGATCATCCGAATATATCGTTAATATGGTGGAAAAAGGTTTATATCAACCGAAACTTTGATGGATAATTGTATTTTATATTTATGTATTTTTGATGTCAATAAAACAGTTACACTTTATTCAATATTTTATCCAAAAAAAAAAAAGGATTGTGTAATATGGTACAGATAGTAAAGTAGTAGTGGGAGATTTATATGGAAAGGAAATAATAGTGTCGAATAGATTATCCTAAGGAGAATAAGATATATCTATATATATATATATATATATGTAAAGTAAATGAAGAAGAGTTAGAGTAGGGGGGGGGGAGAGAGAGAAATTGATCACTAAAATATGTAAGATAAAAAAAAAATGCAATGTAATACAGGTAAAAGGAAATAAAAGAAAAAAAAAAAGAAAGGGGAATGAAATTGTGGACAAGGTAACTAGTTCATTTTTTCGGGAGAAGAGGCATTGACCAAAGCTACAATACCATAACTACATGCGGCAGCCACAGCACCTATAGTCAAAGTTTGAATTGCACCTATGATAGCTTGTTTTGGACGAAGATAAATACTCTTAATATATCCAAAGGCAAAAAGAGTTATAGAAGTGACCAGCACGGAGAACCATAAAGCCTTGTTTGTATCGATAATAAAGAAGTAAGGTAACAAAGGAATAAAACCACCAATAAGATATGATGTACCAATAGTCAATGCTGAGATCTATCAAATATATATATATAAAATTGAATACTCATCTATTCCTGGAGTTCTTTTTTTTTTTTTTAAAAATATATAAAACTTACCCAACTTCGGTTTGGATCCGGTAGTTCCAGATTCAATTCAAATCGCATCATAAAGTCCACAAATTTTTCAGTATTTTCCCTAAACTTGACCATCATAGGTTCCATAGAACTACGATCTAACCCATAAGGTTCAAATAATTCAATAATTTCTTCTTCTTCTTCCAAAGGATAAAGTTCGACTTCGCGTGCTAGAAAACAAAAAAAAAAAGTGAGAAGAAAAAGAAAGAAAGGGAAGGTAAAGTATTGAATATCCGATGATATGTTGATTGATCACTTGTTTACCTTCTCGTTCCCTTTCCGTTTCATAATGTTCTGCTTCTGACTTTGCAGCCAAATAACCACCCAATCCCATAGAAATGGCACCCGAAACAAGTTCTATTGGTGATAAAAAGAAGAAATAAAAATAAAACCGGGTATGAATTAGTAAAATTGATAGAATGATAATAACCCATTCACCATATATGGTATTTTGACTTTAATCTCTCCTTTTTTTTTTTTTTTTTTTTTTTTTTTTTTTTGAAAGAGTGAATCTTCTAATTACCTGCTAAACCACCATAAATAACAATACGATTATCACCGAGACTACTTAATCCAGCAGCTAAAGCAAACTAATGATAAAAAAAAAAAGTAAGTAACTGATTATTTTATCATAGGATTTGTTTTATATATTTTTACTGGGACAGTCAAACCATCGGCCAAACCAAGAATACAATCTTTGACAAGTTCAGGTCTTGAAAAATGTTCTTCTACATGATCTTTAAAAATCTTTTGATTATGTCGATGAGGAATCCTATGTTCATTCAATTGTCCAAGTTCAAGATCAGAGACTTCAGGGGAGGATAGTAAACGGTCTTGACTAGCTCTTTTTTCGAATTCAGTAGAATATCTTTGAATAGGTTCATATGAAGCCATCTTTAATAAGTAAAATAAAAAATAAAAAGAAAAAAGAAAAAAGAAAAAAGAAAAAAGAAAAAAGAAAAAAGAAAAAAGAAAAAAAAAAAAAAAAGAAAAAAAAGAAAGAGGAAGGAATAAAATAAGATAAAAAAAAAATAAAAGGATAAAGGAGGTAGAAAGTGACTTTTTGGGATAAAAAAGAAATGATAATAGTATCTTTTATTCGAAATTGGGCGGCGAAAATAAATATGATGATACCCAACCTTACAAGCATTTTATGCAACGTGGGATCAGATCTTTGTATTACACACCTGTAATCAATTAACAAATTCTATTGATGCGCTCTATGAAATCATTTTACTCAAATTTTAACATTCATCATAATATTTTATAGGCACGTGTGATAGAATTTGATTAATAGTAAAGAAGTAATGTAGTTAAGTAGAAAACTCATATTGAATTGTGTGGGAATATTTTTTTTTCATTTTATGTACTTTTTTTATCATTATTATAATAAACTTTGTTATAATATTTCCCTTCACTCTTTATATAGCTTAAAAACTATGAAATAGACTTAATATGTACATTCGAGTTACTCACATTTATCTATTAGTGCATGTCACACAAACCATTTCTTTAATGTTAAACTATTTTTCCTGAACCATTGGAAAAAAATCCCATCATCACGTTTTTACCCATTGGTTAAAATAAACTATTCAAAAAACTGAGGTATTAAATTCAATCCTCCCTTTTTTTTTTTTTTTCTACCTAACCGATAATGCGGACATTTTTTTCTTTTTTCGAAATACAAAAATGAAAAAAAGAAGCCAATGATAATCATTGATTACATGATAAAATACAACATTTGTCCCTTTTTTGGCCCTTCTGTCCCTTCTTTCCCTTTTATCTTTTTGTATGACATTTAATTTCAACTTTACTATATAAGTAAGCTTTCTTTCAATCCTTTTTTTTTTCTTTTCTTCTCTAAAACAGTAGATTCAATAAAAAAAAATGAAGTTGATTTCTATAACAACAGCTTGTGCATTTATTTTAGCCGGTGTGGATGCTGTAAAATCCTCTTCCACTAATGGTCGATCTCAACTTCCTGGACTTGAAAAAATCAAACATGTGGTATATTTTATGCAAGTAATTCATCGTTTCATTTAATGTTTTCCAAATTGATATGATAAACTAATTTTATATATTTATTTATTGCCATTAGGAAAACCGAAGTTTTGATATGTACTATGGCACTATGAGCGGAGTCCGTGGATTTGCTGGTAAGTGACAAGAAAATATGTTTGAATTGAAAAAAATGAAATTTTTCTGATTTTTTCTTTTTCTTTTTTTCTTTTTTTTTTCTTCTTCTTTCATATAAAAAGATCCTCACGTTGGAATCCAAAGCAATGGTCTCAATTTATTTTATCAACCTGACTCTCATTCTACTGATGTCAAGAATGGTACCAAGTATTTACTTCCTTATAACTTTAAAGGAAACAGAGCTGGTTGTACTGTAGGTGGTTCAAACGGCTGGTAAGTTTCAAACAAAGACAATAAAGGGTTTTATATACAAGTGGTTAATCGAACTATTGCTTTTTTTATTTTTTATTTTTTATTTTTTTTTTTTTGTATAGGGTAAGTGTTATGTCTAGGCATCTATTCATATCATTCATACTAACCTTTATTATTTTAGACCGCCAACCACAATGCTATTAATGGAGGTGCAAATGACAATTGGCCAAATGGAAATGCTCCTTCATCTATGGGTTAGTACTATTATAATATATATATATAAAATACTCAAAATGCTCATTTTTTTACGCGTTCTCTTTTCTATTTTAGGATATCTTGAAAGAAGTCAAATTCCCTATCACTTTGCTCTTGCTGAAGCCTTTACTATTTGTGATAATTATCATCAAAGTGTTATTGCTAGGTAAGTCATACATATATATATAAAAGGTTATATCATGATATCTTATTTTTTTTTTTTTAATTTAGTACTAATCCTAATCGTGTCCACTGGATGTCAGGCTCCGTTCAAGGTAAATGTCTGTTCAATGATGATGTTTTCTATGTTTTATATCTTTATAGATAGTATATATATATATTTACTTTTCTTGTAATTAGGTCCTCCTAACGATTATGTTCTTGAAGACAATACCGAAACAATTGGACTTGGTTGGGAAACCTATCCTGAAGCTTTGACCAAGGCTGGTGTCGAATGGCAAGGTATGTCACATTTACTACTTTATATATGTTTTTTTTTTGTAATTAAATTTTCAATATAGTTTATCAAGATAAGGACAACTTTGATGATAATCCATTGGCATGGTTCAGGTAAGAAAAAGAAGATTACGTACAAATAATAAGAGAAAAGAATGATTTTTACTAAAAAAAAAAAAATGATATATACTATAGTTACTGGCGAAATATCAAAGATGGACCTGAAAAACAAAAAGGACTTGGTGTTCTTGGTCTTCAAACATTCTATGATCAAGCTAAAAATGGTACGCTTCCTCCTTTCTCCATTATCGTTGGTCCTACTGAACTCTCTGAACATCCCAAGTATGTTTGAAAACAACAGAGATCAAAATCGAAGAATATATCCTTTGTATACTTATATCATTATATATTTATATATTTTTAGCAATACTCCTGCTGCTGGTGCATGGCTTCAAGAACAAGTGGTGAATGCTGTGATGCATGGAAAGAATTGGGCTGATACTGCTCTCTTTATCAATTACGATGAAAGTGGAGGTTTTTACGATCACGTTCAACCAGAATTGGCTCCCAGCAATAAATATGTCAAGGACAAATTCAATGGAAAAATGGCTCCTCTTGGTTTAGGTATAAAAAAAAAAAAGATACGACAATTTGTATAGTATATGATACTGATTCTTAAGATAATATATTTTTTCCATTTATATATAGGACCTCGCGTGCCTATGGTGATTGTATCTCCTTATACTAGAGGTGGCCATGTCTTCTCTGATGTATCTGATCACTCTTCTACATTGATGTTTATGGAAGAATGGGTTGGAAAATTTGCCAATGGTTCTTATGCTGCTCCTGCTGTGAATCTTGATAGCTGGTACCGGGGTATAACTTCTAATTTGGTGAATGCTTTTGATTTTGCCAATCCTGATTTATCTATTCCTAACCTTCCTACCAATCCCAAACCCGCTGTGGATTCGACTGGTAAATGGGACCCTACTGAAATGTGTGAAAAATTGACTGATCCCAAATCTACTCCTCCTGTAAGTTTTTTTAAAAAAAAACAACAAATGATGGATACATGGTTAATTCTTTTTTATTATATATGTATTTTTATTCTATATGTTTAGTATGGTAATCAAACTTTTCCTACTGTAAGTCAAAATATAGATAATGGAATAATTATTATAGAATGCTTATATGAATATTTGAAAATTAGGTGGAATCTGGATCCAAGAAACTCCGTGGCTCCAATCCTATTGGTCGTAAGTTGGCACTTATCCAAACCAATGGAAAATCTTTGCAAGTAACTTCAACCGGTAAAAAGTTGATGGCTCGCCGTTTACAAAAGAGAGATTTGAAGAAAAATGGAATTAGTCCTAGTGCTCATTTCAAGGCTGTACCTGCAGGCAATGGCAAGCAATATATGCTCCAATCTATCCAACAACCAGATCACTGTGTCGATGTGTGGGGAACTGAAGTTCAATTGAATGAATGCAAAGGAACATTATGGGAATTAGATTATCACAGTGATGATGCTCATCATCATATCAAACATGTTGGATCTGGAAATTATCTCAATCTTGGTCATAACGGTAAGATCAACTTGGTTGAAAATCATCATGATGCTCACTTTGAAGTATATTCCATTACTACCTCCAATTAAATTAACTTTCTACTATTATTATTATTTATAAATAAATAAAACGAATTTAATAATCAACTTATGACCTTTTTTTTTTTTTTTTGACTTCATCTATATAATAACTCTCCTGAGAAGAAAATTTTGATTTCTTAAATCAAGAAATCAGGAGTTGGTTTGAATTACCGATACACAAAAGTTCGTTTCACAAGAAAAGAAAAAAAAAAAAAGATTGGGTTGCTCTATGCCTCGTGCGCTCTATTTTTATTTTTTCCTTTCTCTTTCCTTCACTTTATATTTTTCCTTTCTTTCTTCTTTCACTTTATTTGTTCTATATATTCTTTCATCAACCAAATGTACAAAACAATAGATCCTACCGAAAAACCAAGACGACAATATTCAAAAGAACAATTATTGGCACTACAAAAGAGTCCTCTTGTGTCAAAACCAAAATCCTTACCTCCGTTATCCCAATGGTTCAAGTGAGTACAAATCTTTTTTTTTTTTTTTTTTTTTTAAAAAAAAAAGGGAGGTGGAGTATATATATATACGTGTGTGTGAATGAAAAAGGGAGAATGAAAGGATTATATCGTTTATCTCATCCTATCTTCTTCTTATTATATCCATAACTCCAATCTATTATTATCATGTTCTCAACAGTACCAACAACTTATCAGGTAAAAACATAGGTGACAAAAAAAAAAAAAGCAGACTGAAATATTCAACATTGATTTTCAATTTTTTATTTTATATTATTTATTTAGGTGCTCGATACTTTCAACCAAAAGCCAGTGTCAGTACTCCATTACGATCATCAAAATACTCTACAAATGCCTCAAATCAACAAGTAATAAATATATTAGAAAAGGATGTATCTTTTATCTTTTTGGGTTACTTATCCAACTTTATCTATACATAATAACAGCGATTATCGCATAGTAGAAAACGAGAAAAATCATCAGGTTAGAAAATCATCTTCCAATGGATAAACATTGAAACTAAATTAATAGTCTTATATAGATTCTATACATCAAAATCAACAATCATCAAGTAGTCCCAAGAGTCATTTATCGGACGAAGAAGCAATACCAGAATGGATGGATGACAATAATCCTGATGGATTGACCAAGGAGGAACAAACGGAAAAAATGGTATCGGATTCATTTCAACTCGAAGCATGGAAATTACGTATGAAGGAATTGGACAACAAGAAGAACAAAGATAATGATAACGACACAACGGCTTCTTTATTGGCATTGGAATCTATTCATTTATCGACAAATGATCTTAAAGATGATATCAGCGTACTTCCGACAAGAAAAATCACTGTGGATGAACTCTTTCAACATCATCAATTACCACCATCACCTCAACAACAACAACAACAATCATCCGATACTTCTTCTGGGGAGTTTCATTCCAATAATAGCTCTTCACAATCGCATGATCTCAGTGATAATCGTCATACTTCCTCGACAGCCTCCTTTTTAATGTCTTCTCTTGATGATCAAGTCAGATCTTATGGCCAAAATGTATCCAACCAAAATAATGCTTTAACCGAGGTAATTTTATTTTTAAATCAAATTATCATCAAAAGTTTCTCATAGTTCTTTTATTATTATTATTATTATTATTATTTTATTAGAATAATGGCACATTTGTGAATCAAGGATATATGAATGGTAAAAAAAAAAAAAAAAAAAAAAAAAAAAAAAAAAAAAGAGAAAAAAGAAAGGTGTTTATCAGTTGATGTTCCTCATCAGCATGTATATACATACACACACTTTAATATCATTGATCTTGATGTACGACTTACTATAATTTTTTTTTTTCCTATCTAGCTGCTCAACGTATACCTCCTGGTTTTATGTTACCAAGTCCTGAATATCAACCTGCGATTAAATTAGGACCCAACATGCCTTTGTTACCTGGTAACTTTTCTATGGGTGATGCTCCTCGTCCTCCACCTTCTTTGGCTCCTTCTTTTTCAACTGGAACAACTGGATCTCAATATCATCATCCTCGGCCTATGTTGTCACCACCACCCTTTTTATCAAACAATAATAACAATTATGGAATGCCTTCTTTTCCTATATTCCCTCCACCCCCTCATCCTTCTATGTTTATCAACAATAACAATGATAGTATTATGTTACCACCACCTCCCCCTCCTCCTCATCAGCATCATTTTATACCTCCATCTCTTCCTCAACATAGTTTTATTCCTCAAATGCACCCATTCCCTTCTCAATTTCATCATCAACCTTTAGTCGGTGATCTCAATAAATGATTCGATGTAGGGTGTATCTGAACGATGGATTTATACTCCGCATGTGATTTTCGAAACAAATATCTCTTTCTTTTCTTGCACTGCCTCTTTCCTTTTTTTTTTTTCTCTATTTATTTTTTTTACTTATATGTGTAATGCATCTTCAACATGAAATAGTCTCTGTCGCGGTAAAAGAATAAAGAATGGATGATAATAATAATAAAAAAAAATAAAGAAAAACACGGAACTAATGAAATGAATGTTTATTCCATTGTTATAGGAAAAGGAACGAAATTGGTTATTAGAAATATTACCTGGAGTGCTAATAAAATTAAAACACCATCTTGATGTAAGTAATCGCAGAAAAAAATAATTTGAACATAGGTAAACCTGGTTTGATACTTTGTTTTTATTCTTCTCTTTGTTATATAGAAGAGCTATAGTTTATTATCAACTGTTAATAAAGCAGACGCCTTGCCCTTATCGACAACACAGTAAGACCATTTAATAATAACAATAATAATAATAATAAGAAAAACAACAACAGCTAGATACTAACTAAGTTTACCTTCTATAGAAATGAAACAATCAAAGGATATATTAATCTTAGCGGATGTCATCTCAACAAGGCAGTAAGTTAATAAGATATTACTGTTTTCCCCATATAATAGTTTGCTGCATTGTGAAATAGGAAATTCAAGTCAGACTGGCCAATTATCATGCCGAACCAATCAAGGCTACCATTCTACCTTCTTCACCATACTTTTTGGAACAAGTAATAGCAACTTTTTTTTTTTTATCTTTATTCCATGAATGATGATTGATTAATAAATAATTTATATAGGTTCAACAATGTAAAAATTATATTATACTTGCCAACAAACATATTCAAGAATGTCACGAACCATTGTCTAAGCCAAAAGCTGTAGCAGTAAGTCATACAAGATGAAATAACAAAAAAAAATAATTTTTTTTTTCCTTCTAGCTAATTTGACTTTGGAATGACTTTAGTTTCTTGATGCCATGTGCCAATTAATGGATCATGCTTTACATGCATTGGATTATCCAAATGAATCAATGCTATTTCCTGGAAAAGTGTGTCATACAAATGTAAAATAAAAGGAATGAATAGACATATGAAATGATCTAATATATTTATATTTTTATATAGTTGTTTAACCCTCCTCTTAAGAATGATTTGGTGATAGAATTCTTTATTAACGGTGTCTTTATTGTATGCAATGTACTTGCTATTACTCACCATTCTCGCAATATGAAATTGGATCGTCAACAACATCAATATGTGTAAGTTGCTTTTTGTTTGTGTTTATTTCAGGGGCAAGAAATCCAAAAAAAAAAAAAATATAGGGAGAGGCGGCAAAGACATGTCAGAAAAAGAATAAACAACTAACAAATATTATTAATGATTCATTAGGACATACAAGGATAAGGTGACCGAAATATTGGATGAAGCTAGAACTCAAACGCAATCTCCTATGTTGACAGATCTCAAGTCGGCTTTGATATCAATACGGGACTCTTGCCAAACTTACAAAAGGATGTTGTTGCATATTCAAGCATAGTTCGCCACGCCAACAAGACCCTCAAAGCTGACCTCCTTTTCTCTCTGTTATCTGTGGTATATATTTACATATTCACCCCTTTTCTTCCTTTCTCCTTACCCCCCCTTTTTTTTTCCTCTTTCTTTATTTATCATTATTGTTACTTTACCCCTCCTTTTCATCAAACTCACTTTTTATTTCTTTTTGTTTCTCTGTTTCCTTTTTTTTTTTTCTCTCCTTCACATATCCACTTCCTTTTATTATTATTCTATTATATTCGTCATGTCACCCCATCACCCTTCTGTTGTTACAAAGTTGGATGACCCTGAAGATCTCCTATTATCTTATTTGAACGCGGATTGCCTAGATACAACTACTACTCCGTCTATTGATACCACTGATACCAAGAGCACAGCTTTCCCTTCAATTACTTCCTCTCATGATGAGAATCATCCTTCTTCTTTATCTCCATCTTTCAATTATCAATCATCGTGGTCTTCCTTACCTTTCTTACTGGATATGGGTTCCTTGGCCAATGTTTGTATGGATTCACCTGGATTGATGACAAGTATCTCTCCATCCTCTATATCTCGTGTTGGCTCACCGTCCTCGGCATCTCCTGTTTCTACTTTGCTATCATCATCCATGTCTGCCATCGCCTCTTTCTCAGCATCAGATACGACTTTTCCCGTTCCTCAGCTTTTCGATGCAAATAGTCATCATCATCATTCATCCGCAATCTCGTCATCATCTTCGCCAACTATCTCATCAGCATCCTCATCAGATATTGAAGAACCGAAAAGAAAACGCGAACGCAAAAGACAAACAGGGGCGCGACATAGTTCCTCCTTCTCTACTTCTCAATCAATTCCAGCAATGCACGCCTGCAAACCTATTCTTCCAGCCGCATCAACTACTCATTGTAGATCTATCAACGATCAACAGCAGCAAATGATCGCTACAAGTCAAGACCATCAAGAGTCTCCATTACTAACCGTCAAATCAGAACCTGTAGATACTGATACTTCTATCCTTGCCAGCCTGGATAACAATGTAAAGACACACAACAACAATTCTCTACAACAACAACAACAACAAGAAGAAGAAGGTGGAGGGAGGAAAAGGATTAATATCAACAACAATGGTTCTCAAAAACAAAAAATATCGGCAGCAGATGCGCATAACAAACGACAGGAACGACTGATCAAAAACCGGGCAGCGGCTTTATTATCTAGAAAACGAAAAAGGGAACATTTAATTGCTCTAGAACATGAACGACAATGGCTTATTAAGGACAATGATCAATTAAAATCAAAGGCGGACACTTTGGAGGCGAAATTACTGCAACTGGAAAAGGATTATCAGCATCAACAGCAGCAACTTTTATTATTACAACATCAACAGCAACATTCTTTATCTTATGGTACGCCGGGTTCATGCAGTAGTGATAGTGATTCGACTGATTTAGTACCACCATCGTCACCATCAATGGATCCTCTGTCCAAGGTCACCAATATGCTCATGGTATATTAAAAAAGAAAAATGAAAAAAGAAATGGTGTTTTGATTGATTTCTTACAGTGTTTTGATTGATTTCTTACAGTTGGTTCTTTCTTTTTTTTTTTTTTTAGTTCATACTTTTATCTTTTGCTCTTCTGACATTACCTGTGACATCCAATCATCATTTACTTATTACTGAAGACAAGAAATTATTACCATTTATAAGGTAATTTGACAAAAGGATGAAAGTACACATTTTTAACTGCTATATATATATATATATATATATATATATATTTATGAAATCAATTTAGTGCATCAAATACTGGGAATAAAGGATTTCCTGATATGCATCTGACACTTTCGTCATCTCAGCCACCGTCACCACTACAAGAACAGCAACAACAAAAACAGCACCATTTCACACGTCAAACGCCCTACCTACGCCCTCATACGCCCATCACTGACCATCATGACGAGAAGGCCAAATTCGCTGTATTATTATCATCAAAACAATATCCACTTGGAAAACGAAAACGAAAACAAACCAACGATTTAGTATAGTCATTCCTATTCATCATCAGCCCAATCCTATAGTATAGTGTGTATCTTTCTTATACATACATTCATATATATATATCTTGTCATCTCATCTTTTTACAAAATAAAGCTACTTTTTTGTTAACATTACCCATGCATATTTTTTTTTTCACTACCATGACGAAGAACAAAACAAAAAAAGTGAATATAAAAGTGTTTTTCTTTTATTTTATCTATCTATATAGACTAAACTAGATGTTTTGATCATCATCAGTTCATTCCCGTTCAAATACAGCAGCCATACCCTAATCAAATGAAGAAAATTGTCTTAGTATGCTACTATTTGATCATCTTTGTATATAGTTTTGAATGTTTTAAATACGTGCCATGCCAGTACCTAAGAAGCAGAATAAAATAAAATAAAATAAAATAAAATAAAATAAAATAAAATAAAATAAAATAAAATAAAATAAAATAAAATAAAATAAAATAAAATAAAATAAAATAAAATAAAATAAAATAAAATAAAATAAAATAAAATAAAATAAAATAAAATAAAATAAAATAAAATAAAAGGAAATCATGAATTCATTCTTAATATTTACATCTTTACTCTTTTTTTTTTTTATTCCTTACCGATACACATTGAGGTCACACCCACATTTTTCCCTTGACGTTGTAAAGCAGGAAATAATGTAGCAATTTGACGAGCACCAGTACAACCAAGAGGATGACCAAGAGCAATAGCACCACCATGAATATTCACTATGTATCATTTTTTTTTTTAAAAAAAAAACAAATCCAATCATGATAAATATATAATACTCTCTTTCCAATTCATTAAGATTACCTTTTTCAGCAGGGATATTCAATTTTTCAATGGAATAGACAGCTTGAGATGCAAAAGCTTCATTGATTTCAAACAGATCAACATCCTTGATGGTGATTCCGGCCTTTTCCACTGCGGCAGGAATAGCATAAGCAGGACCAACACCCATGATACGAGGAGGAACACCAACCACAGCCGAAGTGATATATTTACCAAGAATAGGAAGACCAAGCTTTTCAGCTGTCTATACATATATATATAAAGAAAGAATCAATGATCATCCTTATTATCATTATTTTAAAAAGGTACCTTTCGTTTCATCAATAACACAGCAGCAGCACCATCAGAGACTTGAGAAGCATTCCCAGCAGTAGTAGATCCTTCATCATCAAAAGCAGGAGCAAGTTGACTTAATTTTTCAGCTGTTGTTCCAGGACGCACACCATCATCATGATCCACTATCACCTTGGTTTCATTACCATCCTTATCTTCCACTGTCACTTCTACAGGTACAATTTCAGATTTGAACCATCCATTCTTTTGAGCTTGATCTGCTTTGCGATGGGATTCTGCAGAGAAAGCGTCTTGTTTTTCTCGGCTTACCTTGAATTCAGCGGCAACATTTTCAGAAGTGATACTATTTGAATAAAAAAAAATATATAAGTAACATTTTTTTTTTTGTCAAGACAATTCTTTTTTTTTTTTTTTTTTTTTTTTTTTTTTTTACCCCATAGGTAATGTACAATCAGCAGCTGATTCACAATCATCAGCAATTGTATCAGATGTAGGTGACATGGAGGTAGCACCATAATTTAATGTCATTGATTCAGTGCCAGCACCAATACCAATATCAATCAAACCAGTTTGAATAGCAGAAGCAATTTGCACCACAGCTTGAAGACCAGAAGAGCATTGTCGATTTACGGTACCAACCGATGTAGATTCAGGGAAACCAGCATAAAGAGCTGCCATACGAGAATTAGTAGCCAAACCACCTTGGGCCAAAACAGTACCCACACAAATATCGTTTACCAATGCAGGATCGATCTTAGTTTGATTCAACATGGTTTTGAAGACACCAGCCAACATATCTAAAGAACAACATGTATTCAAAAAGAAATGAGTATATCCGGTTTTTTTTTTTTAAATAAAATACTTTCTTTTCTGTACCTTCAGGAAGAGATGCTTTAAAGCCACCTTTACGAGCACGAGTGATGGCAGTACGAAGAGCAGATACGATCACAACATCTTCAGGAGATTTAACACCGATCTTGGTAGGGATATTGGAAGAATTGGCGCCACCAAGGTGACCAGATACTTGTTGTAAACGAGAAGAAGGAGTCATAGTTATTATTCTTTTGGAGACGGTGAGGAATAAAAAAAAAAAAAAAAGAACGTTTACAAGTAGATTCATCCTGTTATTTAAATTAGAAAAAAATCAAGTCAGCGAAAAGCCTGTCAGCGTCAATGCTCTTGTCAAATCACACGTGAACATCACCGTATATTGTTCCCCCCACAACTTTTTTTTTTTGTAACTCACGTGTAATAAGTAATCAATTCGTTGGGGAATCCTGACAACAACAATAAAAGCTATTCCACCAAGAGCCAAACCAGATTCCAGTCGTCAGATATTGTTGATCCGTTTTTTGATGTTGTAATGCGTCCTCCAAGCCATCATATCTAGTGTTATTGTGCCATAATAAAGGTAAACCTTCTTGATCCTCCATCATAGATGTAAAACCATCATCTTCACCATCATCATTATGAATGTTGTATAATGTCATTGGTGGTTGTTGTGAATGGCGTTTTATCCGTTCCAATTTGGATTCTATATAAGGGTTTATATGAATATTTTCAGTTTGATGGTCTTTTTTTTTTCTTTCTTTTTCTTTCTTCTTACCCATAATACGAATAGCTTTTTGTTCGTCAAGTTGTTCCTCTGCTGTCTGTAATTGCCATTTTGGTACTTGTTGAGTTATATTCCTTGTCTGCCAAGATGATGGCATATCATTTTCATCCTAAGAAAACCACAAAAAGTCAGAGACTGATTCAAATATACCTTTTTTTTTTTTTTTTTTTTTTTTTTTACTTTATGAGGTTGCTGGAAAGGATCATTATCAGATGACGGCCAAAGAGATGATGGTGAATTGTTTTGCATAGGTAAAGGTTAAGAGGGGAAGAAGGAAAAAAAAAAGTCAACAAAAAAAAAAAATGGTGCTTTTGAAATGGCGCCTCTTGTCCATTTTCATTATATATTTTTTATTTTCATTATATATTTTTTTTTTAGTGTAAATAGCTCTTCTTTTCCTTTTTTTCTTTTTGATTTTTTTTTTTCAGTCTTTCAAAAAATATATATCTTTTTAATAAAACTCTTCTTCTCATGCACCCTTAACTGAATTGTGGATTATTACTGTTGATTGGCTCACTGTATTCTCTATATCAAGACATTTTACAAACTCCTAACTTCCAGATTTGGAATCGATCTTTATGTTTTCTCTACTTCACTTTTCTTTTATTTTATCTCTTTTCTTATACGCGTAATCAAGTACTGGTGCTCACTATAAACCTATTTATCAATCAATCATCACATTTACTTTTTTTATTTTGGACATCTGACAAAAAATCATTTAACAATGGAGAGAGAATAAGAGTATAATAGAATTGGACCAAACGAAGTTTCAATAGACAAGGCCGTCAAAGCTAGAGAAAGAGATGGTAAAGCGATGTCGTGAAGCGTGCGGAGAGTCGGGAGATTCAATACATAAACGGTCGAAGTAGATTTCATATACTAACCAACCTTGCAAAACACAGTAACCTTTGTTGTTAGCGTGGAAGAGAGACTAAGAGAAAACCAAAGATAAAATAAAAGTTGATGTTGTCGTAGCCTATCCAGGATTAGTCGTACACCTTGAAAAGATCATAGCAGGCCAATGTCAAGGGCGTGACAGGAGAAATGGTATAATATAAGTATCATGACAGAAGTATACACGAAGATATATTAGTTATTTGATGTAGAAGAATAAAAACAATGTAAAAGACAAAGAAAAAAGGGATAAAAGAAGGAAGAAGAGAATAAAATCATCAAACTCAGACAGGTGTATGATTTTTTTTTTTATTATCATTTTTCCTACAAAAAAAAATAATATTTTTTTTATCATTTTCATTCGGATGATCTGATTTTCTAGACTGTATATTAGATCCAAACAAAAAATCGTCACATTCTATTGAGTAAAACCAAGTTTTTGATACCATATATATATTATAAAAATGAAAATAAAAAATTAGGTACCCGGGGAACGATGTCTTATGATCTTCTTTTTTGATTGGATGAGAATAAGTAGAGATAACGCGGTGTTTGAAGCATATTACGAAGAAAGAAAAACTTAAAAGTGTACTGTTTGAATTAAGATTAACAACAAAAATGTAGAAATCTATATATTATCATTATAAATCCTAATAATTTTTTTTTGTTTCATTAGTATTTTATACAAAGAAGAAAAAAAAATAAAAAGAAAAAAATAAAAAGGTAAAGTGTACAGGGGATGAATGAAAAACTTGGGCTTGGGGAAAAAAAAAAAACGGTTACTAAATTTGATTGGTCATCAAGTTGCCGGCGTCTAAAAACAAGAAAAATTTTTATTATTATAAAGGGGCTAGTTCAATTTGTTATTGATTTCTTTTTTTTTCTTTTCCTTTGTTCACTTTTTTCTTCCTCATCCAGTTTATATACAAAAGAATATTGTTTTTTTATATATTCTTTTGTTCATTTTATTACACGCTTATTTTTATTTTATCATTTTTTTTATTTTACCTTTGAAACCCTTCCTCTTTTTATTACTTGATTATTTATACGTGTGCATCTGAATCGTTACAAAAGATGCACTCTATGTTTTAGTTTTTTTTCCCTTTTTCTCCCTTTTTTTATATATATAAAAAAAAAGTTTTTTTAAAAAAAAGTACACCCTCTTTCTTTCTTCTTCTGAAAGAAAATCTCCTCTTATAAAGATGGCTTACTACTACATGTTTAATGGAAAGCACGTTGGAAACGATGTCGATTGATACAGAAACAAAGCAACAAACAAGTATATACTCAAGTGAATTACAACAACAACAACAACAAAAAGAACAACAAGAACAACAAACGATGCCTATAGCTTCGCCTACAACAACAACAACAACAACAAACAATAATATGAATAATACAACAACCAATATTGATCCTTTTGCATTCTTGGATGATGACAGTTCATTATTTCAACCTTTGGACTTGTTCAACAAGGATGCATGCTTCAATCAATTCTTTTCCGACCCTTCATCACCATCATCACTCTCATCTATCAGCATGGACAGTCCTCCCAGTGCTCTTTTACAAGATTCTATGTTTGGTTTGACCTATTCAAATTTGTCTTCTCCTGTGGATCAATTCCTTCAATTAGATGAATTGGATATGTCTTCAAATTCTGCTCCTACTGATACTATGACAACAACGTCTATGGATGTGACCCCTCTCAATACTACCACCAATAACAAATCTTCTTCTACATCTTCTTCATCTGGTGTATCTAGTCCTGTCAAGCGTACCATTCGTAAGAAGACTCCTCCTCCTGGTCAAGCTACAATGCCTATTCGTGTATGTGCCAAGGCTACCCGTCCTCCTCGTCATATGGAATGTTTCAATTGCAAGGTAACCAAGACACCTTTGTGGCGTCGTACTCCAGATCGCAAACAAACTTTATGTAATGCCTGTGGATTATATTACAAGCAATACAATGCTCATCGTCCTCTTCAAGTTCGTCACAAAATGCCTAATCGTCCTCATCCTTATGCCAATGATCGTCCTATTATTGATTCTATCAAGATGGTTGACAATTCTACTATTACCTCTTCTTCTCCTTCTGCTTCATCTGATGATACTCAACAACAACAACAACAAGAAGATCAGGAACAAGATAGTGTTCATCAATGTGTTAACTGTCAACAAACCAAAACTCCTTTATGGCGCAAGAATGAACGTGGTGAATCAGTATGCAATGCTTGTGGTTTATATTCAAGATTACACCATCGGGATCGACCTGCTAAGATGCGAAAGACTACCATTCAACGTCGACGTCGGGATTGTTGGACCATGGAAGAAGATCATCAACAACAACAAGAACAGCAACAACAAGATATATCCCTTCATGGAAATGCTTTGATGTCTACTTTTTCTATTGCTACTCCTATGATGATCAAGTCAGAACAACAACAAAATGAACCAGTTCTATCACCATCTACTTCATTGACTTCTTCTCCTTCTTCGCCTGCTATGGACGATATTGTGATGACAACACCAACTTCTACTCCTCATGTAAATGACAAACCTGTTTTGGATTTGAATGAAGATGCACGATTTGCTTCTTTATTGGTACAAATGAATCGTGATCAAATGCAAGGCTTCTTGGGTATGCTGGAACAACGATGTAATGTATTACGCACTCTCTTGGATTTTCCTGAAAATGTTTCTCTTTAGATACTATTTTATCTTTTTATCATTATTACTTTTTTATGATTATCAGTATATATTAGTTTTTTTTTTTTTTTTTTAATCAGTCATTTATACATTATTTTTTTTTCTATATTAAATAAAGGATTTCTTCAATATCATAATGAACATATGGATGTAAAGATGGTGAATTAAATATTTTTTTTTTCTTTTTCTGTCAAGAACCAATGGTAAAAAAAAAAAAAAAAAATGCCAAGTGAACGATAATCCCCATTTGGAAAGTCGTTAAGATATTTGATTGCAAAGTGGCGGAAGGTCTGGCCAATAAAGAATTTAAACCAATCATGGGCTGGACTCACCATTGGTGTTGATTGCCTGAGCAACCAATTGGAACCACCAAAATCTTGTTGAGCCCAAATTTAAATTTTTTTGTTTCAGCCCCGATACATGGATTCATTTTTTCCTTTTTTTTGATAACCCTTTGTCCTTTTCTTTCCATTTCTTTTTCCTCTTCTTCTTCTTTCTATCTCTTTATATTTTTTTTTCTTCCATCTCTTTTCTCATACGTTTATATTCCCCTCTCTCTCTCTCTATCTGTCTCACACACATCATCTTTTACAAACCGTGATGGATAAATCTATTCACGACTATGAACAAAGTTTGGTTGACCTAAAACGACAACAGGAACAACTTGAATTGGTAATGCAGAAAATGGGTGAAGAATGGAATGAAAGGTGAGGAAAAAAAAAAAAAGAAATTTGAATAATACTCATATTAGTACAGTTGATTCATTCTTCCTTCTTTTTTTTTTTTTTTTTTTATTTATTTAGTGGACCTGGGATAAACTGGCTCAAAACATTACAATCACCTCCATTACAAACCGATGAACTGACGACTAAAACTTCCACCATCAGAGACGATACCGATCTTGTATGCTTAGCCAGTCCATCAACTCCAGATGATAATATGACGAATACTGAAGAGAATGACAGATTATTTCATATTTTTCAGCAACCACAACCATCTCCTGAATACCTTCAATCCTTATTACACGTCAATGAGACTTTGCTGGCTCAAAGTCTTGCTTCTACTGCTATGAATGACCATACTTTGGAAACATCAAATGAAACATCAACTTACTCAACATGTCAATTTACTCCCATTCTTACTTCAACAGTGGCTAATTTGAATACACCTCCAATGACACCAAGTGATGAAGAAAGTGGAAATCCTAGTATATTTGCAGCCATTACTTCTCCTGGATCTACAACAACCACCAATGATATATCATAGTATCTTCTTTTAGTATAACACTACAGTTATCCTTTTTTTTTTTTTTGTGCATGATTAGTTTATATACGTATATTTCATTGTTTACCCTTCCTTCATCTTTTTTTTTTTTTTTTACTCCATCCTCATCTTATAGTATGTAAATAGCCTATTTGTAATGTGTTATACCTCTATATCATTTTGTCAAACACCATTTCTGTAATTATTTTATCATCATTCAATAAAATATATATTTTTTTTTTTGACATAAAGTTAAAACGCATCTATATTACAATTTGATTGACTTAATTTCAGATTCATTTAATTCTTCCAGTGAGGTTTCCAGATCTCGGGGTTTCTAATGAACGTGTCCCCCGATTTCACCAGTACCTTTTCAGACAGGAAATATTTCATGGGAACGCGAGGTCACCTCAATCCTTTTTTTTTTTTTTTTTAACGTCTTCATCATATTATGATTTTGCATTCAAACACACATAAACAAATAAACATGCACATATATATATATATATTCAGGAATCATGATATGGAGAAAATATTGATATATACGATAGTATACAATTATTACTACTGGCATTTTCCTCTTTGTAGATGATGAAAAAGAACCCTGTTACCTATTTCCTTTTTTGATTGACCATATCTGATGTTTCCATCCAAAAAGCTTGTTTATTGAAATGTACAAAAGTAATAATATACTACTAAAAGAAAAAACTATCCTATATGCAATCAATCCAAAAAAAAATACCTCAATGTGGATGATGGCATTGTCGTTGGTTGAATAAGAGATCCTTGAGAACTTGTGATATCAATCCATGCATGGCTTCAGTGGTGATTTTTGAACTAAAAAAAAAAAAAAAGGGGGAGATCATTAGATCCATATCGGCTTGTCACCCTCCATCAATCCATTCTTTCAATCTATATTCTTCCTTTTTTCTTACCTATCCTTTGTAACCTTACTTAATTGACTTTGATCATTCTTCTTGCGATCACCATAATAACCACCCATACGACCCAACATACCATAGTTTGTTTGTTCCAATTTCTGTGTTAAATCAGCCATTTGTCTTATAGCATACTCCCGATTCTAAATTTGAAAAAGTATTAACGTAAATATAGATTTTTCTTTTTCATTTGTATATCAACTTACGGTCAAAAGAGGAGATTGTGATAAAGTATGTACCCAGTATTTGTTCCATAATACTTCCAATAACTGATTATCCAATGATGATTTAAAGTGGGAAATCTCTAAAGGATAATATCTATAGAAGAAAAAAAAAGAGAGAGAATATGAAGAGGGATGAATTCAATATCTTTCGTTTTGTATGTAAATATATGTGCAGAGAAGGTTGATGATCAAAAAAAAAAAAAAAAAAAAAGACTCACTCTTTTGCATGAACACCAAAGTCTTCAATCTTGTCCAATGGAATGGTTTGATATTCAGAAGGTTCACTGTCGGTTGGTTTGTATCCCTATATATACAAGTATATAGATGGAAGAATTAATCCATGTTCATTCAATAGCATTTGTAATTTTTTTTAATACTTTGGGATATGTTCGAAAAGCACCGATTTCTACTTTGCCAGCAGACATGGTTCGATTAGGATCAATCTAAAAAAAAAAAAGTTGAATGATCATCAAGGAAAAAAGAAAAAATGTATCATGTCATTAAAAAAAAAACAACTTACTACAACGGCCACAAAAGGTTCTTGATATTGTTGATTTAAACTTTGAGTACCCACATCAATCCCGGATAACCAACAACCATAACCAGGATGAGAATGATACCAACCAATGACATTTTCCAATCGACCAACTTGTTTGCTTTGTTCCATATAAGTCACCATGTATTCATACGCCTCATTTTGTGCATTAACGCGAGTTTCTGTACCTTCTACTGGTAACGCAAACGCATCCATTACAATCATAGTATCCCCTTGTACTTTACCTTGCATCAGTCCCATCACCTCCATGTTCCCTCCTGACCGTGAATGCATTACCTATATTTATCAACAATAAAATAAAATAAAGGTAAGATAATGCTTTTTTTTTCTTTTTGAACCTCTTACCATCTTGATCAAAGCTATAGCAGATATTTTGACATGTTTATAATAATGAGGACTAATAACAAAAAAAAAAAAAAAGAGAGAAAAAAAAAGTTCAGCATCTTTAAAAATAAATATTCAATAATAATAATAATAAAAAACTCACTCTGTTTTCCATGGTTTTTGATTAACTTGGTCTCTATTTTGTTCTGCATCGTAATAATAAAGTTGGTCTTGAGTATCCACAATGTTATTTTCCAATTGCCAATTTTTTAAAGCTATTTGTTCGTCCATCCTATTTAGGGAGTTGGTCGGTGTATATATATATATAGATATATAGATATGTGTACGTGTGAATGAATGTAGGGTTGAGTGGTCGTACTATGGAATAAAAAAAAAAAAAAAAAAAAAAAAAAAAAAGAAATGAAAGAGAGTGCGGAAACTGAAACTTTTCGCCCCAAGCAATTGAAAAAAAAAAAAAGAGTGAGGGTCATGGTCAAAGATACGGACCTGATTGTTCCCCCCTCCTCCTTTTTTTTTTTCTTGTCCGCTTCTGTAAGACCAAAATAAACAGATCTGAATGAAAAGAAGAGGTAACATTGATCAAAACTTCCGTTATTGTAGTACAATCACACAAGGCGTAGTCATGCTTCACTATACATGGTGATGATTTGTTACCTTTCATTGTTGACAATCATTACACAAAAAATGCCTCAACCTATCCTTTTTTTTTTGTAACTTGATGCTGGTGCATTGTGCAATGTATCATCAAAAAAAAAGAAGAAAGAATGGAAAGGGGCCTAGAAACTATCTTCCCTTTTTTTTTGAAAGCATGGTAGAAAATCCAAAGTTTCTATTGTGGAGTTTTTTTTTTTTTTTTGGATGATCTGATCATCAAAAAGAAACTCGGTCTCTTCTGAAGTTCCTTACAGAAAAATAAAAAAAAAAAAGAGAGAAGATCAGGGTTACATTTTGAAAGAGAAAAAAAAAAAAAAGAGAGAAGAATTGACTAACCGCCTCCGACCCGATGGAAGAAAAAAATTTTTTTTTTTCTTTCTGTTATACTCCCCCCCCCAAAACAACATTCATAACAACTATGCTTTTAAAAAAAAAGTAGGATGATGAAATAATACACGTTTTTATAATATAGATTATTTTTGTTTATTTATTTATTTTTTGTTACCATGTGTAGGATGATTGAAATGTTATTTACTTTTCATTGAAAATTATGATTAACGAATGGGAGTCAAAAGAATAAATTGAAGACTGGAGATTGAATCGGATAAGGGAAATGATTGGAAGAAAAAAAAAAGCGCCATCGCGGGGTGACATATTATAAACTGATTTTCATGGGACCTTTTCTTTTTTTGATTTAAATAGACAACATTTCCCTTTTCTTTTTTTTTTTTTCTTTTCTTCATCATTTCATTTTATATTCGTTTAACGCTGGTCGTTTTTTCTTTTTCTTCTCTTTTCATATCAACACTTCCCAATCCTTTTTCATTTGATTTGTATATTACCACCCATTACTAGCATATACACATACAACAATGATGCGTTCAAATATTTTATTCGTGATGATGATGATGATGGTTACATTGATTGTAGCTGCACCTATTGATTTGGAAAAACGTGGTGGTAAAACTTATACTGGTACTGGTACTTGGTTCCTTCCTGCAACTGAAGGTGGTTCCACTGGTGCCTGTGGTCCTAAGGAAGGTAACAATTCTCCCATTGTAGCCTTGAATCATCCTCAATACGGTAGTTTGAACAAGAAGAGCAAGTATTGTGGCAAGAAGATTCGTATTACTGGTCCTCATGGTACTGCTACTGCTACTATCAATGATGCTTGTCCTGAATGTAAACATGGTGATTTGGATTTGACTCCTGTACTTTTCAAAAAAGTCATTGGTGACATGAACAAGGGTGTTGGTAAAATCAAGTGGTCTTTTATCTAATCACTCCTCCATCCTTTTTTTTTTTTTGTCATTCTATTATTACTTTTGTTCATAGCTCATTCTTTTTTTTTTTTTTTGTATCTTTATCTATTTGTATTCATTTTTTCTTTTATTTGTATTCTTCCATCCCATTCCTTTCAATAAAATCAAAAATCAATTAAAAAATAAACATATTGTATCTATCATCATCATCATCATCATTTTTTTTTTAGTTAGTGATTTCATATAAGGTAGTCTCTCTAATTAATGTGACACAGAAAATAAACTTGCATTAGGTTTTACATGATGAAATCCTAGCTTTTTTTTATATATATATTCCTGTTGTATATGCACCATTGACGTTATTATCATTATTATTGTTATCATTAATTCATCATCCTTGATGATTCATGATTGCTCACTGTTTTCACTCATTGTTCTTCATATTAAAAAAAAAAAAAAAAAAGAGGTATATGGCTGATGCATGTTTCAAGAGCCGCGCCACTTTTTTATATTTCAAGCCAATCTTTTTTTTTATCATTTCACCTGTGTAAGTTCCCTTTTTGGTTACTGTTGAGAGCAAAAATGGTAATTTTTATTAGTCCCTTTTTTATACACAATTCAAAAAAAATGACATCGTCACCTGATCATCAATAAAAAAAAAAAAGTAAGAAAAGAACTATCAAAAAAAAAAGAGAGCTATCAAAAAAAAAAGAAAAAATAGAAGGGACAAGAAATAGACAAACTAAAGTAAAATTCATTTGCGACAGCAGCCATAGGTGGAATAGGATGGTTTATTGGAAGTAGGAATAGAAAAATCAGGCTTTTTTTCTTCAACAGGAGAGGTTACAGTAGGAGTAGTATTTGCACTGAACGTATCACTGGAAGCAAGAGTAGTATCATCACTATTATTGGAAGTATTTTTGTCAAATTCATATCCATCTTTGTACACATAAGGAGACGCAGATTTGGGTTGAGTAAGAGGACGACCACAAGAAGAGATACGTTGACAACCAGTATTTGATTTCTAGAAAGAAAAGGTAAAAAAAAAAAGGTTATTAAATAGATAATGATGATGGATGATAACTTACATTGTATTGAGACATATTAATTTTGATGAATATAAAGAAAAATGAACAAGAGAAAAAAAGAAAAAGGACAGAATAGAAAACAGAGTATTATCTATAACAAAATATATAGCTTTTTTTTTTTTTGAAACAAAATAATGGTAAAGTGGGAATTTTAATGAATATCCATTGTTTTCATATGACGTGCATTCATTTATGCGAAGTTTTGATCAATCATCAAAGAGAGAAAGAGCATGATGTTCCTTTACTGTTGAGAAAAAAAAAAAGAAAAGGCAGTTCCGAATTGACACTTTCTTTTACATGGGTTTCATTTACAATGAAATTAATCATTTTTAGAATAAAAAAAAAATATACATATATATTTTGTTTTTGTTTTTAAAAGTAAGAAATATCAATCAGGATATATATAAAAAAAATATAATATTTCAAATCTCAAACCAAAATGGGAAATTCCTTGAGCCGAAAAAAGTTTATCCGTTGCACGCATAAAAAAAATATTTTTTTTTTTTTTTTTTTTTTTACCCACCTCACCCATTTTTTTTCTTTTTTCCTTTTTTTTTTCCTTTTTTTTTTTTTTCTTCACCTATTTTTATTGACCTTTATTAAATACAATGTCCCTTAGTAACTATTACATTGCTTCCATGACTGAAACGAAAAAGTCTTTTGTTCCTACAAGGAAAACAATTGAATTATATAGTCCTCAATACTTTTTGACTTGTACTCTTGGTGGTATTCTTGCTTGTGGGTAAAATAACTTGAACAGGGGTTTTTCTCTAAATACATTAATATCTTTTCTTTTTTTTTTGTTTTCCCTTTGTTAGGCCTACTCATGCTGGTGTGACTCCTTTGGACTTGGTCAAGTGTCGTTCACAGGTAAGATATATATAATATCTTTTCGTATTGAAGCTTATCTTTTTTTCTTTTTTTTTTTTTTTAAAAAAAAAAAATACAAAAGGTTAAACCTGACTTGTATAGAGGGATACTTGACGGATGGCGTACGATTCTGAAAACTGAAGGATTTGGTGGGATTTGGGTTGGACTTGGACCTACATTTGTTGGTTATTCTATGCAAGGTGCTGGAAAATACGGATTATATGAATTCTTCAAGTATTATTATGGTAATCTTGTTGGTGAAAACAATGCTTATAAACATCGTACCGTTTTGGCCTTGGCTGCTTCTGGAACTGCTGAATTCGTTGCTGATGTCCTTTTATGTCCTATGGAATCTATCAAAGTACGGATGCAAACATCTTATCCTCCTTATGCAAAAAGTTTTGGTGAAGGTTTCAATAAATTGAAAACAAATGAAGGTCTTCGTGGTTTTTACAAGGGTTTAGTACCTCTTTGGAGTCGACAAATTCCTTATACTTGTATGAAGTTTGCTACTTTTGAAAAAACAGTGGAATTGATCTATTCTACTTTCTTATCAAAACCAAAATCTGAATATAATAAATTCCAACAGGTAAAGATAAAGTGTATTTTGGAATTTTTATCTAATCTTTTTTTTTTTTTTTTTGGTAGTTACTTGTATCCTTCACAGCTGGTTATACAAGTGGTATTTTAGTTGCACTTGTCAGTCATCCTGCAGATGTGATTGTAAGTCGGATGAATGCTGTATCCGATATTCCTGGTCAAAAGAAGATGACAATGGTCGATATCGCAAAGGATTTAGGTCTCAAAGGAGTATGGCGTGGTTTAGGTACTCGTGTACTAATGATTGGCACTCTGACTAGTTTCCAATGGTTAATTTATGATACTTTCAAGGTTTATATGGGTTTACCTACAACTGGTGGTGCTGCCAAACAAATAAAATAGTTTAGTTTTTTTTATTATTTTTATTGTTAGACTCGAAGTGTAGATATATCTTTAATAAAGCAACACTTTACCTTTTTCCTTTTATATATATATATATTTGATTGGAGATCGGATGAATCATCTTTATCTCCACATAGTAATTATCTATTTTGTTAAGGTTGTCTGTACTAAATTCAAGGCGTTGATATTTCACTTCCCGATTATTTTTTTGTATCTTATCTTCCCTCTTTTTTTCCGTTTTTCTTTTCTTTTTTTCTTTTTTTTTCTTTTTTCTTTTTTTGATTGATATACCTAAACTTGAAAAACATATTAGATAACATGACTGAAACATTGGAACGCTCTCAAGATCTTGAATCTCTCTGTTATCTTGAAACCATGTAAGAATATACTTTTTCTAAATTTTCTTTTCGATGACTAAGCATAACTTTCTAATATAGGTTTCAAGAACATGGTTTTGATGATGGTTATCGCGATGGGGAAAAGTCGGGTGAACTTGAAGGACGTATTTTCGGTTGTGAAAAAGCATACGAATTAGGACGTGAAATTGGTTTTTATTCTGGATGTATTGATACTTGGACTGAATTGGCTACTCTTCATCCTGATAAGATTAATCCTAGGTAAGGACAACGAATAGCAACTTGCATTTTCTTACCTTTTTTTTTTAAATATATCTAATAGAGCTCTTCGACATATGGAAACCTTACGCACCATGATATCTGACTTTCCAACTACTAATAGTCCAGACGCTGATATGTATGCCTTACGTGACAAAATGAAAAACAAAATGCGTGTGATCACTTCTTTGCTTAACGTTCAACAAAAATATATCATGACGGAACCTCCCAAGATGACCTATTGAAATTATCTCCTTTCCCTGCTTCTATCTTGGTGGATCAGCACCACACTACTGCGTCCTTTTTTTTTATTTATCCAATATACTCACATTTACTCTTGTTTAACAACTCAAGTGTCCAAAAAAGTACAAGTTGTGCCTTTGGTTATGAAATGCGTGTATCAAATGGTGATTGGATGTCAATATTGTGTGGATAGTTAGTAGTTCGTATCTATGATAGGTTTTAGTGCATTTTCTTTTTTTCATATCTTTTTTTTTAAATAAATTTTGGTAAATTCATGCTTTAGATTGTAAAGGACCTGTGGCTTTTTGTGGTGACTTTTTTTTTCCCGCTTCAAATAATATTTCACCTCAGAAGGATCTTAACCCTATTCCCTCACATTTTTTTTTAACTTTTTTTTTTTTTTTTTCTTTTTTCTACTCTTGATTCTTTCTTGACCTGTCAACGAACACCAATGAATATTTCCAATCCCATTGGTGCCGAGATCGATTCAGTGTCGTTCTCTTTTTACGACCCTCAAGAGATCAGAAAGATTTCTGTCAAACAAATTGTCAATCCCGTCCTCTTCGATGCTCTTGGTCACCCTACTAAAGGTGGTTTATACGATGCTGCTCTCGGTCCTTATCAAAAGTCCCAAATGTAAGAAGAAAGAAGAAAAAAAAAAAAACGAGAAATAAAATACGATAATAATAAATACTTTTAACTTTGAAAATAGTTGTGGTACTTGTACTCAAACTTACACCAATTGTCCAGGTCATTTTGGTCATATTGATCTTCCTATTCCTGCATACAATCCAATGTTCTTTGACAATCTTTATGCTGTTTTACGTGCTCACTGTGTTCATTGTCATCACTTCCGTCTGGGCGAAACCAAGGTAAAATTATTATTCATAAAGTAATACGAAGCGTATATCTCAACTCCTTTTTTTTTTTTTCTTTATTTTTATTTATAATAGCAAAAGAAGACTTCGGCTCAACTTAAACTATTAGAAAATGGTTTAGTCCGTGAAGCTCAAGCTATAGACGAATTTTATGTCCAAATCGATACATCCAAATCCAAGAAAAAGGACCCTGAAAATCTGGAAGATCGCATGGAAAGGGGTGAAGATGTCTTTGCTTCTGCTGAAGAATATGAAGCTCATTTAGGTAAATCATTTTACCAAAAAAAAAAAAAAAAAAAAAAGAAAAAAGAAAAACCATCATAAGCATATATGAAACTCATTTTTTTTTTTTCAATAATAGACAAATATGTCAAAGATTGTCTAACTGATCCTGAAATCCGAGCTTACTCTGCTGCCAATTACAAAGTCACTGTCATCAACGAAGTACGAAAATCTATCATGATGGATTTTATGCGTCGCTGTCTCGCCACTCGTCGATGTGAACATTGTAATAGTATCTCACCTCCTTTCCGTCGTGATGGTGCTGCAAAGCTTTTCCAAGCACCTTTACCCAAGAAAGAACAACATTTGATGGAAGCCAAACATGGATCTCACAACAAAAACAATCCTAGTGTGCAACGTTTTTTGACACCTTACGAAGTACGCAAGATGGTACAACAACTTTTTGAAACTGATTCATCTATGACCACTCTTCTTTTCGGTGCTCGTAATCCTCATGTTCCAACTCATATCAAGAAGGCCTCTTATCATATGTTCTTTATCGAAGTCTTGGCTGTATCTCCTACTCGATTCCGTCCTCCCTCGGTGATGGGTGATAAAGTATTCGAATCTCCTCAAAATGATTTACTTAGCGCTATTCTTCAGAATGCCCATCAAGTACGTGATTACTCAGACTCATTACAAGCTGCTGCTGATGAAGATCCTATGGATAAGGAAAAAGTACAACGTCTTCGCACTACATTTGTCGATGTGATTATTAAACTTCAACATGCTGTCAATTCATTTATTGATTCTACGAAGAATCCTACTCAAGTTCCTCAAGGTGCAACTAATCCTCCTGGTATTCGTCAAGCTCTTGAAAAGAAGGAAGGTTTATTCAGAAAGCATATGATGGGTAAACGTGTAAATTATGCTGCTCGTTCCGTCATCTCTCCTGATCCAAACATTGAAACTTCTGAAATTGGTGTTCCTCCAGTCTTTGCCAAAAAGTTGACTTATCCTGAACCTGTGACTCCATATAACATCAATGAAATGCGTCAAGCTGTGATCAATGGTCCTTTTCAATGGCCTGGTGCTACTCATGTTCAAAATGAAGATCAATCTGTGGATGTCTTAGCCAATCTTAGTATGGAATCTCGTATTGCTTTAGCCAATTCGTTGCTTGCTCCTCAAGCCTCTACTGATGCTCAACCTGGTGCCAATCCTTATCCTACTCGCACACAAACTGTTAACAAAAAGGTGTTCCGTCATTTACGTAATGGTGATATGCTTCTCCTCAATCGTCAACCTACTCTTCACAAACCTTCCATTATGGCTCATAAAGCTCGTGTCTTACCTGGTGAAAAGACGATTCGTATGCATTATGCCAATTGTAACACATACAATGCTGATTTCGATGGTGATGAAATGAATATTCACTTTCCTCAAAATGAAATTGCTCGTGCTGAAGCTGCCTTGATTGCTAATACCGACAATCAATACTTGGTACCCACTAGTGGTGATCCTCTCCGCGGTTTGATTCAAGATCACGTTATATCTGGTGTATGGATGACTGCTCGTGATACCTTCTTCACTCGTGATGAATATCAACAATTACTCTATGGTTCTTTACGTCCTGAACAAGATGGTACTGGTAATGGTCGTATTTTGACTCTTCCTCCTACTATTTTTAAACCTCAACCTCTATGGACTGGTAAACAAATTGTAAGTGAATAATGATCATGATGATGAAGGATGATATAAGATTTTAACAATCTAATCCTTTTTTTTTTTAAATATATATGTGGAATATAGATTTCTACTGTGTTGATGAACTTGACTTGGGGAAAATCACAATTGAACATGACTTCCAAAAGCAAAGTACCTGGACGTTATTGGGGTCCTGATGCTACTGAAGAAGCTGAAGTACTTGTGATGGATGGTGAATTGGTGCGAGGTATTTTAGATAAATCTCAATTTGGTGCCACTGCTTTTGGTCTTGTACACTCTGTTTATGAATTATATGGTGCTGAATCTGCTGGTAAACTTCTCAGTATCTTTGGTCGTCTATTTACAAAATACATTCAATTCCGTGGCTTTACTTGTCGTATGGATGATTTACTTTTGACGACTGAAGGTGATGCTTGGCGTCGTGATTTACTGGATAAAGGTTATGCTCTTGGTAAAGAAGCTCATTTGGAATATCTTGGTTTGGCAGAAACAGCGAAAACAGCTTCTAGTGAAGTACTTGAAAAAGGTAATACAAAAGAAAAAAAAAAGGAAATAGGATATCCAGGTTTTTTTTTTTTTTTTTTAACGTATTTTTTTTTTTTTTTGGTATTAGAATTTAAATTACGTATGGAAGAAGTGGCTAGGGATGATGATAAATTGGCTGGTCTTGATAATGCTATGAAATCCAAGGTGAACAAATTAACAAGTTCCATTACTGAAAAATGTTTACCAAATGGTCTTGTACGAAAATTCCCTGATAATGACATGCAAATGATGACTGTATCTGGTGCCAAGGGATCCAATGTCAACGTAGCACAAATCTCATGTTTATTGGGTCAACAAGAATTAGAAGGTCGTCGTGTCCCTCTTATGGTATCAGGTCGCTCTTTACCATCTTTCCGTCCTTATGATACAAGCGCTCGTGCTGGTGGTTATGTTACTGGTCGGTTCTTGACTGGTATCCGTCCTCAAGAATACTATTTCCATTGTATGGCTGGTCGTGAAGGTTTGATTGATACAGCTGTCAAGACATCTCGTTCCGGTTATCTTCAACGCTGTTTGATCAAACATTTAGAAGGTTTGAAGGTACATTATGATCATACTGTGCGTGATTCTGATGGTTCAGTATTACAATTCCACTACGGTGAAGATTCCCTGGATGTGATCAAGGCCAAATATTTGGAGAAATTCAGCTTCTCTGCTCATAACTTTGAAACCCTATCTCAAAAGTACAATCCCAAGGCTGCTTTATCAAGTTTGGAAACTAAGGAAGGTGAATCTTATGCAAAGAAGGCTCTCAAGAAACCCAACAAATATGATCCTGCTTTATCTATTTACAATCCTGGTAAACATCTTGGTGTCGTATCCGAACGATTTGCTATGGGTATGCAGAAATATATCGACAATAATCCCGACAAGATGCCATTCGAAAAAGATGCAGTGCTCACCAAAGAAAATGAACGTTTCAACAATTTGAACAAGAGCAAATTCAAAGCATTGATGCATCTCAAGTACTTACATAGTTTGGTCGATGCTGGTGAAGCTGTAGGTCTTTTGGCTGCTCAATCTGTTGGTGAACCCTCTACTCAAATGACCTTGAACACTTTCCATTTTGCTGGTTATGGTGCTGCTAACGTAACTCTTGGTATTCCTCGACTTCGTGAAATCATCATGACTGCTGCGTCTCAAATTAAGACACCTACTATGTTGTTACCTCTTCGCACAGATATTCAAGATGCCAATGTTGCCAGTCAATTCTGTAAGGCCGCTTCCAAGCTCACATTAGCTCAACTGGTCGATGATGTTGCTGTCACCGAAACCACAACTGCTAAATCATCTCTCACTAATTATCGACGCTCCAAGGTGTATACCATCCGACTCAATCTGTTCGCTGAAAGTGAATACACTGAAGAATACCGTGCCACCAAGAAACAGGTCAAAACTACTCTCGCCACTAGCTTTATCAAGAGATTAGAAGAAGCCATTCGAAAAGATATTAAGGGCCGAAAGATGACAAATATAAATGAAGGTCAAAAGACTTCTGGAGCCGACAAGGAATATGCTATGAATGAAGATTTGGGGGCGGATGCAGCACAAGGTAAAATTAGAAAAAAAAAAGGTCATCTAGTTTTTTTTCTTAACTTTTTTTTTTTTTTTTTGAAACAGCTACTGAAGAGAATGATGGAGATGCTACTGATGCTCGACTTGCATCCAAATCCAAACAGCGGGCATCTTATGATGACGATGATGAGGATGATATAAATCCTGCAGACAAAACATTGGAAGATGAAGAAGCCGAATTGGAAGATGCCATCAACAAGGAAGGTGATGATGACGATGATGATGAAGATATGGAAAATCGACGTACGAAGCGAAAGGAATCTGATAGTTTGGAAGAACAAGCTGTACAAAGAGCCAACTATGTGACTCGATGGTCCTTTGATGATACGAATGGTGCATGGTGTGAAATGGATATGCAATTCCCTGCTGGTACTAAGAAGATTTTGATGGTCAATTTGGTGGAAACTGCTTGTGCCAATGTCATTGTACATGAAATTCCTGGTATTCAACGATGTTTCGAATATGTTAATCCTACAGAAAATGATACCTCAGTAAGTTTATAAAAAAAAAAATGGAAACAATTTTATATATTTACTTTTTTTTATTATTATTCTTTATTAGAAACGACTTCAAACTGAAGGTGTGAATTTACGTGGTATGTGGGCTTATAGTGATTTGATTGATATTGATTACCTCGACACAAATGATATTGCGGCCATTTTACGAACATATGGTGTGGAAGCTGCAAGAAATGCTATCATCAAGGAAGTGGCTAGTGTATTCGGTGTTTATGGTATCAAGGTGGATCGTCGCCATTTGACCGTGATTGCGGATTATATGACCTTTGAAGGTGGATACAAACCATTCAGTCGTATTGGTATTGGTTCCAATGTAGCACCATTCTTAAAGATGAGTTTTGAATCTACTTGTAAATTCTTGAACGATGCAGTGATGTAAGTCCTTTTTTTTTTTTTTTTTTTTTTTTTTTTTTTTTTTTAGAAAACGATCTCATATTGATTGATTGAATTTTGTTTTATTATTTTTGATAGTGCTGGTGACTATGATACTTTAGAATCACCGTCATCTCGTATTGTACTTGGTAAAGTGGTAGAAGGGGGTACCGGATCATTTGAAGTCTTACAACCTTTGGTGCAAACTGCATAGATATAGACTACATAGTTTTTTTTTGTTATTATTATTATTATTATCATTTTATTATTTTTCTCTTTATGTTCATACTTTTTTTTTATCTCTCATACAAAAACGCATTATTTTTTTTTCTTTCTATAGTACTACTTTATCAGAAATGTGAAATAAAAGAAATCAGAAAATTCATTCATATCTTACATGCATTTGACTCACCACTTTTTTTTTTTTTGGAGTTTGCCTTTTTTGGAGCAAGGGTTGAAATGGCGCCATTGTTGTTTATTTTTCATGATCATTTTTTCATTTTTCACTTATTCCTTTTCTTTCTTTTTCAAAAATTAAAATAAAATAAAATAAGAATAAAAGGGAATATGTTGAAAATGGAATTAGATGAAGACTTACAAAATATCGCTCATGAAAATTATGAATTCAAGAACTGGGCAAAAACCTTTAGCTGTCATCCAGAATTACTTTTTACACCCAAAACTGAACTTCAAGTGGTCAAGGTAAACAAACAAATAAAACAGTAATAAAATCATTCTATTTTCCTGAGAATATTTTTTTTTTTACTAAACTTTTACTTTTTTCTTCTTCTTTTTTTTTTCTTGTTTACGACATGACGACATTTAAAAGGTGGTACAACTTGCAAAACGAATGAACAAACGTATCAAGGTATTTGGCAGTGGACATTCTCCTTCAGATTTGGCATGTACAACTGAATTCCTTGTCAATATTGATCATATGGATGGTTTACTTTCAGTGAATAAAGAAAAAGGAAGGGTGACTGTTCAAGCAGGCATGTCTCTTCATAAACTTCATGTAGTACTCAAGGAAAATAACTTGGCTCTGAGCAATTTAGGATCCATTTCTGATCAATCTGTTGCTGGCGTTATGGCTACTGCTTCTCATGGCACTGGTGCTCATTTTGGCTGCTTATCTACTTTAGTAAGTTTTTTACAATGTATTTTTTTTTTTTAACCTAGTCCATATGAATAATTTTTTTTTTTTTTTTTTTTTTTTTTTTTTTTTTAGATTGTTGACATGACGATGGTGACAGCTGATGGCGACATGGTGACTTGTTCATCAAGCGAACATACTGAACTCTTCAATGCTGCCAAGTGTAATCTGGGCTGCTTAGGAATTGTGACTAGAGTGACCTTGCAAACCGAACCAGCATTTCGATTGGAAGCCATACAACGACCCTACAAGTTCCCAGATGTACTTAACGATTGGGATGCTACGATTCATTCAGCCGAACATGTACGTGTGTGGTGGTATCCTCATACAGATGATTGTGTAGTTTGGCGTGCTAATCGAACCGATAAACCAAAAACAATCGATCTTCAGACGATGACAAATACAGCAACAAGTTGGTGGTGCGAACGAGTCTTGGGATTCCATATTTATCAAGGTCTACTCAATCTGACTCGATATCAACCCGCCGTTATTCCTACATTGACTCAATTCATGTTCAACAAGGTTCATTCTCGTCCTTTACATGTGGTTGATGATTCTCATAAAATCTTCAACTTTGATTGCCTGTTTCCTCAATATGTTAATGAATGGGCTATTGATTGGGACGATGCTCCTGCCGCTTTACGACAACTTGACCGATTTATCAAGGAAAACAATCTCAAGGTTCATTTTCCTGTTGAGATCAGATTCGTGGATCAAGATGATATTTGGCTCAGTCCTGCTTATGGAAGAAAAACTTGTTATATTGGTGTCATCATGTATCGGTAAGTTATATCTCTTCAGTATTATAGAACGATGGTGATATCTCTTACCTTTTTTTTTTGATTCTGTAGTCCATATGGTAACCCTGTACCTTATAAAAAGTATTGGAAAGGCTATGAAGATATCATGAGACAATATGGTGGTAGACCTCATTGGGCAAAGGCACATGGACAAACGCAACAAGATTTACGACAATCATATCCAAAGTTTGATGATTTCTTACATATACGACAACAAATGGATCCTCAAGGCATGTTTTTGAATAAATACTTGGAACGACATATTATTCAACCCTCACAAAAATCTTCTCATATATTATCTAGACTTTAGTTTTTATATTTTTTTTTTTTTATTTTTAGTTAGACCTTTTCTTTTATATATATATATATATATACTTATATTTACATTATCAATAAACATTCCCCCCTCCTCTTTTTTTGTTTTTAATACCATGATTCATGAGACCGTTGTATAGAGAGTAGCATATCAAAGTGTTTTGGATTGACTGGGGTAAGAAAAAAAAAACTTTATTGTTTGTATGTAGAAGAATGTAGCAAACGATATACTAAAAAAAAAAGGGTGATCATTGTGATGAAAAAAAAAGAAGAAGGATAAGGATAACAATAACGATAATAATAAGAACAATAATAATAAATAATGATAATAGTAATAAAAATGTTGGTGAAGAGGGGTTTGATGACGGGGGTAAAAATAGGATATTAATGTAGAGTAAAGTCCAAGTGAATACAAGTAACAGGATGTCCGTGTTGATCCGTGATTTTGATATCACCCTTCAAAGGTAGTTTTGGGATGTCCTTGGGAATATATGCTAATAATAATAATAATAATAATAATAATAATAATAATAATAATAATAATAATAATAATAATAATAATAAAGAAGGATATAAGCTTATTGTTCAATACTTTTCTTTATACATTACCTTTTGCATTCAGTATAATATCACCTGCATTCAGTGGACAACTTGACTTGACGACATCAGATGCTAGTATTGTACATAAATCCAAATCCCTTTTGATTTTGATCATATTCATCAAGGTTAAATTGATACTAGCTTTGCCACCAGTAACGTCGGATACTATCATACAAAAAATGGTCATGGGAATAGAGTTTAGTTTAATTTTATCATATCATTGAGTTTTTCTCACTTACATAAATGACCACCGATTTGTACATTGATATCTTCGCCAGTTCGAGGTATAGGAGGAGTAATGGAGACACTACCTTGGTATCCTTTCAACATATGAGAGTCTGGGCTACCACATAAAGACCAAATATCACCATGATCTTCATTGGTCATGAAGACTTTTTGTTCTTCTATAGGAATGGCATAAACGAGAGAGAATAAGGCAACTATTATCAAAAGGAATAAATGCATTAGCTATTATATTATTGAAAGAAATGTTTAGGAAATAAAGAAAAACCAAAAAAAGAAAGAAAGAAAAAGAATGGGAAGAAAGAAGGAAATGAATAAAAAAAAGTTTCATTCTCCGTTTCATCAGGCGGTGGCAAACTTAAAGGAGAGGGTACGTCTGGAAAGTCGCATCCATCCCCGTTTCTCTTTGGTCTAATCATTTTTTTTTTTTCGTTCATTGATTATTTATCCACTATTTCTTTTGGTAATTTTAATAATCTCACTTTGACCTATTCATCAAAGATTCAGATCATTCTCTGCAGGATCTTAACCTCACATGAGGTAGATATCTTTATCCTTTTGTAATTCACTCAAAAGTCATCATCATCGTGCCACATTTGGATCGAACATACAGGAAATCATTCTCTTTCACTTACATTAATATCAATTTAGAACTTACCGCCCAATTTATAAAGTAAATTAAAAAATAAGAGTCAACTCAGTCAATCCTCATCCAAAAAATGATCATCATCCAATCAAATGACTACCATTAGATTCCTCATCAAAAGTAGTTTAATATCATTTAATATCATTTCATCACTTACCTTACCATCTAACGTACAATGATCACCAAAAAGATTTCATCGTTTTTTCCAAAAATTGCCTGATGACCCCCTGACGATGGATATTTACAGCTAAAATTTGGCTGAGGAATTTGAAAATTTTGGCTGTAAAATCCAAAAAATCGATTCCATTTTTTCATCCTGCATACATGCTTACAAAAACTTTGCTTTTCTTTTTCTCGCTCAAAAGTCATCATCATCACCCCAAACCTGAACAGAACATAAAACAAATCATTTTCTTGAAATTTACTTAATATCATTTATACTTTACTATTGTACTTATAGAATACGTTATATAAAAAAAAAGAGCATTCAATAGCATTCAATATGATCGCCCAAGTCTTTGGCTCTTCTCCCAAAAAAAAAAAAAATAACAGATCAGAAAATTATGCAACGGAACATCACTATCTATGGCAATAATAATAAAACAATTTTCATCGAGTCATGATAGTAGATATTTAAATACGTATATGTGCCGTCAAGAGGATAAAAAAGTGTAAAATGAAGGATCAGGCAAGTATTTTCATTTTCATCTTTTCCATCAGGAAGCAGAACGACGTTGATGATGAAAGGTCGGAGAAACGGACGAGTGATGATGGTTTGAAATGCTTTGAAAGGTTCAGATGAAAAATCTACACAATGCGATATATATTGATCTGATTGATTTTTGATAGCTTCGATGATTTTAGTCACAATATCATGAAGAGGAAAAGTTTATTAAATATATAGAAAACTTATTTTTGAATGACACTGCGGACCGTGAATTCTCGAAACAGTGAAGAGAAAAAAAAAAAAAAAAAAAAGGAAGGTTGAATTCAATTTTCGACACGTTTCTTCTCTCTTTCATTATTTAATCGTTTGCCACCTTCTTTTTTCTTCTTTTTGTTTTTGAACGAAACCATGAGTAATGCAGGTGCACATCTTGGTCAAACTCCATTGAATATAGCAAAATTACGTGATTTATCTCGAAAGAAATTACCTGAAATCTTAGATAAAGTAAGTATGAATATCATGAAACAAAGCACAGTTCTAATTTTTTTTCTTGTTTATATATATATATATATGCATACAAAGGTACGTGGCAAGAAGGGCTTGGTATTGGATCCTCAGCTCACTGGACCACTTAGTTTATTGACAGAATTCAAACTATTAAAGGTAATAATAATAATAATATTATTATTCAAGTTTCTTTTTTTTTTTTTTTAACTGATATACAACAACATAATTAGGATCATGGTGTGGAAAGAATATATCATTTGGATTCTTCCGAAATGGATAGTGACTGTACTGGAATGATCTACATTTGTCGACCCAAGATGGAATACATGCGTTACATTGCCAATCATATCAAGCACTGGACCAGAGTTGGGAACAAAATTGATTGTTGGTTATTCTTTGTACCCGAGCGAACCTTAGTGTGTGAACGAATATTGGAAGAAGAAGGTGTTAAAGGTGATGTTACTATTGGTGATTATGCTTTGGATTGGATTCCTTATGAAGATGATTTGATTTCTATGGAACTGGATCCTGCCACTTGGAAAGAAATTTACTTGGTAAATGATAAAAATAAGGTGATAATCATTCGCTGATGAATCTTCTTATTGTGTAGGATGGTGATACTACTTCTATCTATTATGCAGCGAAGTCTTTGATGAAATTACAATCAATCTATGGTTTATTTCCTCGTATTCTAGGGAAAGGAGATGCTGCAAAAGTAAGTATTCCATCATCCTCTCTCTCTCTCTCTTTTTTTTTTTTTTTTTTTTTTTTTTTTTTTAAAAAAAAAAAAAGAAGGCACTGACTAATCTTTTTTTTTTAGCAATTGGCAGAAATGTTATTACGTATGCGACGTGAACAAGCAGTGGTGGAAGAAGTCTCAGTATCAACAGCGGTCAAAATGCCTTCCTTGCTCAACACAGTGTCCAATCATATTGATCAATTAATTATCATCGATCGAAACGTGGATACCATTACACCATTATGTACTGAATTGACATATGAAGGATTAATCGATGAAACAATGGGTATTCGTCATGGTTTTGTGGAATTGGATGCTTCATTGATCAATCCACCGACAACTCAACAACAACAATCACCAAACTTATCAGGTTCAGGTCTTCCAAAGGTCACTCCTACAACAGCTGGTCAACCTGGGAAAAAGAAGCAACAAGTACTCAATTCATCGGATAAACTATTTACTGAACTTCGAGATCAAAATTTTGCAGTGGTGGGTGGGATGTTAAATAAACTGGCGAAACGGATCAATGAGGACTATGAAGTAAGTTATCATGACACACACACACACACACACACACGCACAAAAAAAAAAAAAAAAGAGAGAGAGAGAGAGAAGATTACCTAACTACTTTTTTTTTCATGATGATGATGATGATGATTATAGGAACGACATCATGCAAAGACAGTGGCTCAAATTCGTGATTTTGTTAGTCGATTAGGTGATTTACAACAAGAACATCAATCTCTTCGTATACGTAAGTTTTATTATCATATCATGTTGAATGTCTTATTTAACATCATATTTTATTTTATATCATAGACACAACAATTGCTGAACAAATTATGGAATATACTATTACTGATGAATTCAACAAGATTTTGGAAGTTCAACAAAGTAAAAAAGAAAAAAGAAGATGTCATACACAATAACTCATCTTTATATCGTATATTTCTATAGATGTGGTAGCTGGTATTGATGGAAATAAGGAACTTGATTACATTGAAGAAATGATTGATAAACAGAAGCCTTTGATCCAAGTACTCCGGTTATTATGTCTTATGTCTTTAGCACAAGGTGGTCTGAAATCCAAAGTCTATGATCATTTTGAACGGGAAATTGTTCAAGTAAGCGGAGGGAAAAAGAAAAAAGGGTGGATTTGTTATTATTGACGAATTTTTTCTGTTTTATTTGTATACGGATTTATTCTAGACTTATGGTTATGAACATGTTGGTACTCTTCATCGTTTAGTCAGACTTGGGTTACTTGGTCGCAGAACAACTTCAGCTCCATCACGTAGTGCATTTTCTGCAAGCCGGCGATCTTTACGATTGATTGTGGACGATGTAGATGAATTTCATCCAAATGATATCTCTTACGTGTATTCTGGTTATGCTCCTTTGAGTGTACGATTGGTACAATGTGCGTTACAGAAACTGGGAACGGGTTCATCATCATCTTCTATTCCAGGAAGTGGATTATTGGCCACGGGTGCAAGTACAGCTAGTCTCTTCTCATACGTTGGTAGTGGAGGAAGTACCAACAATGGCAAGAATGGTAATAATGGTTTCATAGATTTGAAGCAACCTGGTATAATGAATGGTAAATCAGTAATCAATGGCACAACAGTGACAAGTGGATGGCAAGGACACGAAGATACTCTAAAGGCATTACCTGGTAAAGCATTTGAAATCGATCAAACAGTGGAATATGGACCTGAAACAAATGCAGCTTTAGCAAGAGCAAAAAGTAAGTGATTTAAACTAAAATGAAAAAAAAAATACTAATGAATTTCATGGTTGCATATATATATATGATCGTAGAACATGGCCTTCAACATACAAAAACAACCGTAATATTCTTTTTGGGTGGATGTACACATACTGAAGTATCGGCTATTCGTTTCTTGGACCAACATGATGAAAGTAAAGATAGGCTAAATATATATACTATGTGTAGGATTGATGTTAACTGACTTTTTTTTTTTTTTTTGTTCAATGTTAGGTCGTGATTATCTCATTGCAACTACACAGATGATTAATGGAAATAGCTTTTTGGAACCTATTATTGAACATAGTCAACGTCCGGAAACAGATGACATTGGATATTCTTTGTAGTTATCATAGTTAACATTCATGTTTTATATTTTTGTCGTCATACCCCATCTTTTTATTCATCAGACTCATATACAGATCAAAAAATAAAAAAAAAACCTGTTCCTTTTTTTTTTTTTTCTTTAAAGCGGAATCCCATTTTTAATATATATTTTGTCAGGTCACAAGAAAATAGTTTCGTGATGTTATAAAATAAACTATCCGTTTTTACCAAAATGGATGTCGCATTACCACTTTTTTCAGATATCGCTCTAGAGATGCTGGTAGAATATGTCAAAACACATTGATTGATGATTGATGATTGAGTATATTAATCATCCTTTTTTTTTTTTTTTTTTTTTTGAAATCTTCTTTGGTGTTTCGAATTCAAAGTGAATAATCTAATTTGTAACAGCAACATCACTTATTTGCTTTTCTACAGGTAAGTTAAAATAAATATAAAAAAATGGATATCTTGCCTAAATATATATATATATTTCTATTATTCAAAAATCTCTTACATTCAATGGAACTACTGCCACTCCTTTATCTTTTTTTTCTTGTATTCAATTTGGATTATGCGACTATACTTTTTTTTTCTTCCTTGTCATCTGTTTTTCTATCCTTACGATATTTTATTTCCTATTTTTACTCTTATTTTTGAATATCCGTCATTGATTATTTGAATTATCATTTCTCACAATATTGATCTTTTTAACCAATGAGAAGACAGCAAAATTGCAGCAACTTAAGGCGGTCATTTAAAGTTTTTTTTTTTTTTTTTTTTTTGTATTCTCTTTCTTTTCCCTTGTTTTTTTTTTCCACTCTTTTTTTTCATTTTTTTTTTATCTTCCCTTTCTTACGTTCTCTTTACACGTTTATATATATATATATATAGTCATATATATATATTTAAATACATATATTCGTGTAGATATATTTTTATATATACACTCTTATATACCGAAATGGCGCCTCTTATCTTGAAGATCAAAGGCAACAAATCCTTTTCTCCATTCTCCAACCTAGCTTCCGAAGAAGATCTCTCAAAGACATGGCGAGTTTGTACCAAAGTCAAAGATTCTTTAGAAAATGGTTCTCGTTTAGAAAATTTATCGTGGCGACTCTGGTTTCGACAACATGCTCTGAATGAAAAATCGGCTGGACCATTCCAAAAACTATCCAAAAAGACAACTTCTCAACTTGATCACCTTCAAACAAAATTGACTCCCCTGAAAGATAACAAAAAGGTCAACAATAAGAAAAAGTCTACTCTCTCCAACAACAACAACCTCTCATCAGTCACCTCATCATATTCTACCGAACATCTTGAACAAACTTCATCCAATGCAGCCATGATTATACCAGAAGAAGGAAAGTCGTCTCCAAGTAACTGTATTTACCAACATGAAGAAATCAGCCTGGGTCCACAACAATATCAACCGATTGCACAGCCGCAACAACCGGATACCGTCCCGCCATCCACTGATGCTACAACTTCAAGACATTCATTGATGATTGACACTACTCAGACCACCAACAACTTTACATTACACCAGTTCACTTCGGATCAAGCAAGCGACCAAATGATTGAATTGGAAGATATTTTTGATGCTTTTCAAGGTGACTTTTTACAACAAGCAAATACAGCAAGTATCACGATGGAGGGTACTGGTTGGGCTGATCTAGTGGGAGCAACAACTGATGCAACAACCACACCAACTACAACTCCTTTCAATAACAACAACAGCAACAATTACTTTACTCCCGTGACATCTCCTTTGCAATCACGCACTTATCATTCATCAATGCAAATATCACCTGTTTTTAACCATTCTCAACAACAACATGAGCATCAACACCAATTTCAACAACAACAACAACATCGTTCACTTCAACAAGAATATTCACCATCAGCATCTAGTTACGATATGCCTATGTCTCTACCTTCCAGTCCATCTCTTTTACCGCAACAAATGCATTTGAAAGTTGATCGTCAGTCTTCGACAACACCTGCTACAGAAAATGGAGCTATGTACGTCGCCAATTCGTCATCGATGCCACCTCCACTTCCAACGGGAACATTGGGAATGAAATTGATAGCCAATCGAGGTTTGACACCGCAGCAGTCGCCAACAATAACAACAGTATACGGAAAAAGCAACAATAACAACAATAACAACAGCAATAGCGATAACCCAGTTCTGACAACACCTCCATTATCTACCTCATCGTCATCATCTTCATCCACAGCTACTTCCAACAATATGGATGACTTTACACAGTAAGTTTATATTTAGTATCATACCGAAAGATACTTGATTCTAATTTTTTTTTTGTTTTTTATATACTATTTTTTATTTGTAGTCGAAATATGGGTAACATAAGTGCATCCACTTCGGTAACACTTGCAGAGAACAAACAGGATCCTACTCAACAACAGCAGCATGTATTTCCAGCATCAGCACCAACTACACCTGGTCAAAATAGCCAACAACAAAACAATCCATTTGACAAGTTGGTCAATCCAACAAGTGATGAACTCTCTACAGAGTCAAGACCTATATGTACCAACTGCTTTTCTGTTTCTACTCCTCTTTGGCGACGCTCACCGGATGATCAATTGTTGTGCAATGCTTGTGGACTTTAGTAAAATATTAAAAAAAAAAAGATGGAGAAAGAGAGAAATAAAAGTGAATGAATGTAAGGGGTGGGATGAGGGGTATAGGAGATGGTAGTTGAATTTATTATATTTCTTTGATATGATACGAATATACTCACTATTCTTTTTTCTTTTATAGTCAAAAATTACATAATGCTCCTAGACCTAAATCTTTGAAACCTCATAATTCAAGAAAAGAAGCAAAGGAAGAAGAAACCATCCAATTGACATGTAGCAACTGTGACACATCGACAACTCCGTTGTGGCGACGTGATGATGAAGGAGCACCTCTATGTAATGCATGTGGATTATAGTAAGTAGTACAAAAAAAAAAGAGAGAGAGGGAAGCATATACACTTTCAATGTGATTTATACATTTCTTTTTTTTTTTTTTTAAAGTTTGAAACTTCATCATGAAAGAAGGCCAATCAGTATGCGAACAAACGTGATTAAGAAACGACAACGATATGAAAGTAGTACACAACAAAAAGGGCGCAAGATTGGGAAAAAGACCAAAGGAGACTTGTCGATCGCACCATCATCATCATCGTCTTCATCATCTGCACCTACGTCACCCGAAACAGCCGCATCCGCCATTTCACCGACAGCAATGACCATGGGAAATACTACGCCAACATCGACTGCATCGTTGAATATAGTAGACGAGGATTATCCAATGCTTCAACAGCAACAACAACAGCTAGTACCTCCTGATCAAACATCTTCGTCATCTTCTTCTACCTATATAACCTCTCAACCTCCAACACCTACTAGGCACCAGTACGGTTACATTCATCATCATCATCATCAACAAGGACAACAGCAGACACAACATCATCACTATCAACAACAACATTATCAACAACATCTTCAATATCAACAACAACAACATCAACATCATCATCGTCAACTTCAGCAGCGGCATTTACCGACATTTATGAACTGAACGAAGATTTTTTTTTTATTAGATACCTCTATTCCCTACCTCATCATCTTATTTTTTTTTTTTTTTACATAAATACATCTATTACTTTCTCATGTTGCTATTTATTTCAATTCTTTCATTATATATCAATTCATTCATTTCATTAGTCATTTTTTTTTTATATTTTTCTCCCCCTTCTCATTTCTTTTTTTACCGTTAGTATTTCTTTTAGTTAGTTTTATCAAAACTGTTTTTTGTTATTACATCCCTACTCTCGCAATTTTGAATAAAATGGAAAAAAAGCATTCTTGTTTTTTTGTAATATAAAACCAATATTAAAAAGTGTCATCAAAACAAACAAACTCTCTATGATTGACTATGAAGAGAGAGTGATCAGGTCATGCGATACATGCGGACATCCACTCCTTTCAGATATTGATGATTGCATGATTACTTTTTTTTTTTTTTTTTTTTTTTTTTTTGAAATCACTCTTTCTTACCATGTCATCAAGCTAATACTATCCATTAAAAAACAAACTGTTCCATCATTGGTGAAAGAAATTCAATCATCCAAACTCTGGTCCGTGCCATCTTCAAAGTAGGTGTGACGGAGAAAAGATATGACAAATCAGGGTTGTTCAAAAAAAGAAACATCCCCACATCATTTATATTGTTTGAAAAAAGAGGAGATAAAGAGTAAGAAAAAAAAATTGATAAACTTCAATAGAGATGTTTATTGGGTAATATATATATATATATAGATGTCAAATTCAGTGACAAAAAAAAAAAAAAAAAAAAAAGGAAAAAAAAAAAGAAAAAAAAAAGAATAAAAAATATATAAAGGATAAGGGAAAAAAACCTAGACAAAGGGACGTCGTAGGGAAAAAAACAACCTAATGATAATATAATAATAATAATATAATAATAATAAAAAGATGCATCACTTTTTGTTCAAGGTGCAGTAAAAAAAAAAAAGTCTAAACGAGGGGGAAAGAAGGTGGAGAGGGGAGGTTCAAACAAATAAGGAAATCCAATAAGTATATGTAAAGAATAAACTATATAGTAAATAAGTATATATAATAAAAGTATGTTGCTGACTTGCTTGATCCATCGGTAGACCAAAAGACAGAGATAGAGAGACACAGAGAGAACATACACAAAGTTGTTTTTGCTTCTTTTTCTTTATCTTGATTTTTTTTGTTGTTGTTGGTCTTTTGTTTGTAAGTTTTTGATTGGTTGAATTGGTTGATTTTTTGTTGTTTTGGTGAGGATTTTTTTTTGTTGTATATAGGATAATAATAATAACAATAAAGATAATAATAAGAATAAAAAAAAAACATCACAATCAACATCATCCAAAATGTATGAGAATCATTCACACCAAGTAGGGGTAGCACGAAGAGATGGTGGAGGGGCAATGGAAACATGACGTTGATAAGGATGGAATGGTTGATGAGAATAGAATGATTCACCACATCGATCAGGTCCTGTTGAATACCTGCCACTTATAGATTCCCAAGGTGATGAGCGGCGTTGAAATCCAGGTGGAATTGAAGTTGACCGATAGACTGACGACGCACGATGTTGATGTGATGATGAAGACGTATAAGCTGGTCCAGTTTGCATATACGAAGGTAAAGATCGATGATGACTAGTGGACTGTTGATGTCTTGCGGTGGTAGAAGAGGTGGTATCGGTTTGTTGTTGTCGACGTTGAAAAGGAGTTGAGGTAGAAGAGGAAGATAAGGAGAGTGGAGGCGTAGTGATCGACTGACGATATTGTTCTTGTTGTTGCATAAGATACAATTGATATTGTCGTTGAGATTGCTCCAATTGAACACGAGTAGCGGAGGCAGCTGCAGACCACATGGCTCTTTGTTGTTCTTCCTGTTGTTGACGAAGATTATGTTGATGATGCATCATTTGGAATAATTCTTCTTCATCATCCACTTCGTCGTCGTCATCGTCGTCATCATCATCTGTTTCCACAAAGTCTTGACTATTTTGTTGTTCATCCAAAGGTTTATAAAGTCCCAAGCTTTGTAAAGTAGATTGAATCAATTCTTGGCGTCGAAAAGGGTGATCCGAAACGGCCAAATATTGATGTTGTTGACGACAAGTATCCAAAGTTGTTTTCCAGTTCATATAATCATGTTCTCGAACAAAGAGATTATATTCCAAGGCTTCCAAGAATTCGGCTTCCATAATATTGAGATCTTGTACCTTCATCCCACTGACTTCGGACCATGTTTTGTTGGTAAAAGTATTATCATCCAAGAATTTGTTGGCCAACATCAAAGCAACAATGAACAAACGATATTCAGACCCTTCGGCACCTTCAATAGACGGATTAGATTCCAACAAGTTGGCGATATATTTGAGAGCCAAGAAAACCGCCGATTCCGATAATTGTGTTGCAGTCAATACCTATTATCATCATCATCATCATAAGAAGAAGAGTATTAAGGTTAATTTATTTCCGCTAATTTTTTTTTTTTTTTTTTTTTTTTTTTTACTTGAAGACAAAATCGCTTGAAAGCGGGGCTAGCATTCCCAGAGACTGAAGAAAAAGAATGTCGATAAGGAGATGAAGGTTTCGTAGTGTTGGCCATCAAGGAGGGTTTTCTTGCATGCCACATCAAGTAAACAATAGAAGCAGCAAAATCAGCTAATGTTGGCATTCTATCCATATGAGTCGTAGGTGTTGATGGAGGTGAAGGCGGTAATGATGATTTTTGTGCATGATATTGCTGATGATGAAACAATGGTTCAAATGCTGATGAGGATCGTTTGACACTATTATTGCAATAAGAATAACCAGATTGTTGCTGTTGCTGTTGTTGTTGATATTGATGAGGATAAAACAAAGGTTGATAACCCATGGTGGAAGGTGGCGGTGGTGGTGGTTGAGGTGGAAACATGGATTTTGTTGGAAAAAGAGTATAAGGTTGTGCTGATTCCACTCGTAAATGCATTCGTATGTAATAACTATTATAAAGAGGTTTTATAATAATAACGATAATAATAATATATTAGTTCATCAATCTATTACAAATCTTGTACTTTTTTTTTTTTTTTTTTTTTTTTTTTTTACCTTGTTGAAACCAGAAGAGTTGCTATATATATGTAGATATATATAAAAAGTTGCCACAAAGAGAAACAGTGAAGGTGCCCAAAGTGATGTTGTTATATTCAGATCAAACTAAACTACAAGAGAAAAAAAATAGGTATTGTAGTAGTAGTTTTTCTAACAAGTGAACAAGTCAATGTCCAATGAAGAGAGGATGGTAAAGAAGAAAAACGTAAAATAAAAAAGAGAAAAAAGCCCAATGTTATGTTGGTACTAATTGTTACAATGAAAAGAACCAATGTCTTCCAAAATAAACAAAAAGTGAAGTAAACAGAACAGTAGAAGCTAGTTTCGTTTTTCAAAGTTTTTTCCTTTTGATTCCTTTTTTACAAGAAGAGTATAAAAAAGGGAGGAAGAGGAGGAGGAAGGGAAGACGAAGGAGGAAGGGGAGGGGATGAAGGGGAAAAGCTTTGGAGATGGACTTCAAAGAAAACAAGAAGCAAAAAAAAAAGAAAAAAAGAAAAAAAGAAAAAAAAGATTTGGATTTATAGAATGGGCCAAATCCAGCCTTCTGATTGGCGAAGGCTGGGCTACTTTTTTGTTTTTATCACTGTGAAAATTTTTTTTTTACTCCCCCTTTTCCCAATTTACTACTGGGTCCTTAACTATACAAAAAATGACGGCTGGGTCCCCCCCTTTTTTTTTTGAGACTCATTGATATCAGCTGTTTGTATTAAGATGGTTTCACAAATACAAAGTCATACAACATTAAACTATCTTCAATATCAGTACAACAAGAACCAAAACACTTTGAATATTTAATAATAATAATAATAATAATAGTAAAACAAAAAACTTTTTTTTTTCTTTTTAATCAGCAAGAGAGTATTCCGAAACAGGGGAGCACGGAGATGATTCGGTTGTGGATACGGTGTTACTAATACTAATACTATCATCTAAACTATTACTATGGTGACGTTGATGTTGGTTGTGAGAGTGATGATGATGATGATGTTCTTTCACTGGTGGTAATGGGAATGCGTGGATATCAGAAAAAGAGGGATCAGATTTGATGATACGATCAGAATAACGCCAATCCTATATATATAGATATATATGAATGTATGTAAGTATATACATATAAGTATGTAAGTATTTACAAATATTATATATAAAGAGAAAAAGATAGTTAACAATTTTTCATTCATCCAAAAGTAAAAAAAAAAAAAAAATTCCCCTGAATAAGATTAAGATACCGCTTACCTTTTGTAAATCCAATACTTCTAATTCCATACGTTCAAAATCCTTTTCGAGTTGACTAACTATAGCATCTTTCATCCTTAATTCACTTTTGAGTACTTCGGCCACATCTTCTTTTTCTTTTAATAAATGACATAAATCCTCTTGTTCAGCTTGTAATGCTTCTAAACTTTGTCGTAATCGTCCATTTTCTTGTTCTAATGAGCTAGCGAGATCACCTCCAGTAATATTGGAATGAATCACTGGTCTACAAATATGTTGAGCTTCAGGTTTTTGTTCTTCAGATTCAGGTGGTAAAGTTAAAACTGAAAATCCTTGACTAAGTGGTAAATTGGTATAACAACAAGTCTTATCACAACTACTTTTTCCATCTATCTATAAAAAGTAAATGTTATCTCAAATTAGTATTGTATTTTTTTTTTTTTTTTGATGACTTACTTGTCTATAGAGTAAGTGAATCATTTGTACCAAGTATTCATATTCCGGTCCCACGTTTTTCATTTGCCGGATTTGATCAGCGCGTAATGAATGTAATTCTTCCTGCAGAAAAAAAAAAGGACTGATATATTAATAACAATAATAAAAAAAAAAGTCATAATCATATCGTTCCCTCTCTCTCTATTTATATATTCCTTTACCGTCTTTATGTTCATATCATCTTGTAAAAGTCTATTACTTCTTTGTAATTGTACATTCATTCTTCGGAGTTCCTGGATTTCTTTTTTGAGTGCTTCGGTTTGTTCATCCACCAAACGATCACAGTCCAATTTGAGAATACGGTTTGTACGAAGAAGTCTAACGTTAGATAAAGTCAATTGTTCCATATCATGTTCTAATTGTCGTAATCGTGTATGTACATCAGCATGTTGTATTTGACGTTTAGGTGGTGGTATATCATCAGGTAACTATTATTATTAAAATAATAAAGTATATATATATAAGATGGAGTAAAATAAAAAAAAATAAGCGTTCTTACTTCTAGAGATGTCATTGAGTTTGGCATAGAATAGTTCATAAGATTATGAAGAGTATCCAAGTTGGTATGACTAAATTGACTTTCATTTTCATCAGGTAAAGGATCCATACAATAATGATAATAAGGAAATAAGTAAGAAAAAAGAGAAGAAAAAAGAAAAAAGAAAAAAAAAAGCATGTTTGAATCAAGTATCAATTCAATATACGGACTTAGAGCTGTATTTTAATTTCGGCGAGAAAAGCACCTTTTTTTGAGATCACTTGTTTTCTCTTTTTGAACTTTTGTTTTTTCTTTCGTTTTTCTTTCTCCTTTTTTTTTCCAATTACTATATATATATATATATAAAGAAGAAAAACGAAAAAAGAAGTTATACTTTATGGAATTAAACATAGTACATAGAATATTATTATTATTATTATTAAAAAACTAGATGCTAATTATGCTTTATTTTAATTGGTTAGAACGATCATCATCATAGACTTACAAAAGATTATCGTCCCGATTCATTGTCTCCTTTATTATCCAAATTATGGTTATGTTTTCTTCAACATATACATAAGTCCATATTAACACAAGATGATATATTGGTATATATATATATATATAATAAAGATCATCATGATGATATATATATTAATCTTTTCATAATATTATTTGTTTTTTTTTAATAGACTACCATAAGTTATTGTTTCAACTTACCACCAACGTTAACTGGACAAACACGAATTTTATTTGATTCCTTCTTCGCAGCAAAATTATTGTTACTCAAGCATAATAACAGCGACAATAACAACAAAGATGATTCTATTTACTACGTCATAGCTTCTCCACAACAACAAGATCAATACGCTCAAGGATTCTTAGTTGGTTTCTCTCATTGTTATGCAGCTGGATGCAAACCAACACAACAATCTTGTTATTCACCAACATGTCCTCACAAAATTTATACCCAATGGCTCTCCATTTATAATCATCATCACCAACAACAACAATCATCCACAAAGGTACAATTATTTTGTTATTGTTTGATATTAGAGTTACATCATGTTGTTATTATTATGGGGCGGGAAAGGGACGAATGAAAACAAACTAAACCAAATTGGGTAGTTTCATTGGGAGAGATCACCTGTATTAACTTGTTTGTTTTTTTTTTTTTTTTTTTTTTTTTTTTTTTTTTTTATTTTGTAGGAAGACTCATGGACTGAGCATGTGCCACGTTATATCCTCAATACTTATCCAAAACGTGAAATCAAACGTCAATCAGCCATTGCCGAACTCTTACAATCTGAACTCGACTATTGTCAAGACTTGACTATACTGAATGATGTTTATGCTCAACCATTTCTCACTAGTTCTACCAACTTGATAAATCCATCTGATCGTCGGGACAAATTTTACGCTATAGTGTTCGAACATGCTTTGGGACTCAAAACTTATCATCGTCCTCTTTGTTATGAATTAGTACGTCATCGCCAAGACCCATCCTTACTCTTTGTTGATTTTGTCGGAAATGCTTTATTACAACACACTTGCTATCTCGTAGAACCATATATCAATTATGCCGCTCGCCAAATAGAAGCAAAGTATATTTTGGACAATGAAAAATACAAAAATTCGGTCTTTCGTCGATGGATTGATACTCAAGATGACGACAGCCGCGTACGAAAACTCGACATCAAACACTTTTTATCTAGACCAACTATTCGTATCACTAAGTACAAACTACAACTGGAAACAATTATTAAATATTCGGACCATATGGCTGATCAAGTGGCCCTCTCTGCTGCCATCGACACGCTACATGATCTTCTACAACAAATGAATGAAGCCATTCGAAAAGCAGAAGAACATATTCAACTCTTACGTATTACTTCCTCTTTGGTACCTGCTTCAACTTCCGCTGCTTTGGGTTTATTACCGGATCTGGACTCGTCAACAACAAGAAAGGAACAACAAAAATCTGTACAACTACTACATCAAGGACGATTTCGTTTGACTCGATTCTTCTCTCATTCTTTGCGTGCCCAAGTCTGTCATGTCTTTTTGTTTTCACATGTCCTCCTACTCACTAAACCACGTGGTGAAGAAGGTCATGAGAAATTTATTTTGATTGGTAGACCCATTCCATTGCCAATGCTTAGTGCAAGTATTCATCGATCATCTATCATCCGTCGCCTATCCAATCGGATCATCACTTCTCAACAATGTCATTCTCCTACATCAAGACCTGTTCGTCAACCAAACGCCATCATCAACAACAACAACAACAATAATAATAATAGTAATGATTCTGCTTGGAGGACGGATTTACGACATCGGTTTAGTTTGACTTCAACAACATCATCATGGTCTACAGAATCGGAATCATCGACATCATCAACTGAATCTTCTTTATCAGTATCATCAGATTCACCTACAAGTCCCAACGACACTAAATTATCAACTTTGTCCAAATCTTATACTGCATTGGATTGGGTAAATCAACCTGTTACCGAGTTACCTACTTTGACTGGATTCCACGTACGTGCGCGCCTGGCTCGACAATGGAGCTATATCAGAAAAACTCATCAGGTTTGGCCCGAATCAACCACTCCTATTTCCGATCCATCATCACCATCATCAACAACAACGGCAGCAATAACACTTCGTAACTCTAATCACAACAACGAAAATGTGTCATTTTTCCCATCTATGGCTGCTACAAAACCATGTTCACCTTTTGGCCCTAGACGTAAAAATTCACTCTTTCGACGCACATCATTATTACTTGGTCGAAGTTCTTCATCAGTATCAACAACAACTACAGCGATATTATCTACAGGATTACCATCACCCATATGTATGTCAACCTATTTATTCCAATGGCCAAACCATCAGCATCAACAGCAAAGCCAATATCAACACAATGATCAATTGTCACCAAGATTGGGATATAATGGACAATTTAGATTAACAATTCGACATCTTGCTTATCCAGAATACACATTTGATTTACGATGCAGAAATGTTCAACAAAGGGATCAATGGTACGATTGGATTCAACAAGCTTTGGATGATTCTGCCACTGCCACTTCCAACATTCAAAAACAATACAACGATATTCATCACCAAACAACCCTTTTTCCCGCTTCAACAACGAATGACGTTAACCATCCTCCTTTTCGACTGGATCTTATTTGCGAAGTACCTATTGGCTCTACTCATCCTATCAATATTAATGGTGATCGAAAATTACCTGCCGGTTGTGGAAAAATATACTGTAGTTTGCCCTTTGGTAAGAAAAGAAAAAAATAAAAAAAAAAAAAAAGAAATCGTTCTGTCTACAGAAACAACTATAATTAACCATACTTTTTCCTATGACTTCTTTTTGCATTTTATTTATAATAGCTGCATTACATGGAAGGCCAATGATTGCTTTAGGGACACAGCACGGACTATGGGTAGCAGCAAGGGATGGTATTGAAGAGGAATTCCAATTGATTGAAATGATCGAATGTCACCAAATGGCAACATTGAATGGTCATTTAGTGGTACGGACACATCGCACGTTGAAGTCATACTCTCTGTCACAACTAGCTTCAGTCATGATCAAGACACCCAAATCAACAACGACAACAAGCACAACAGCAAAAACAACAACAACAACAACATCATCATCATCAACTGAAAATTCAAATGTCAGTTCTGCTTACCCCTATGATTCAACTTCATCTACTATTTCTTCTTCAGAAACAATCGGATCTTCCCCAACTTCAGCAACAGCATCCACCTGTTTTCCATTGTTTATATCATCTGTCACTATTAAACGAACATCTGTGGTGGATTTTTCCGTCGGTACCCTTTATGGTTGTCAAGTCCTTTGTTATTTGGCCTGTAGTCGACAACGAAGAAAATATACATTTCATCAACAATTGCACCATCGCTTATCACAATCTCCTTCTTATCTGCGGCACAGCTTTAAATGGATCCGAGTCTTAGTCATTTACTCCGTGAAACCCTCCTCCTCTTCCAGTAAACAGTCTTCTGATATTTTATCTTTGAAAAAAGAAAAGGTGATAAACCAAAAAAAAAAAAAAAGTTCACGTTCTAATTCTTTTATTTGTATTTTACTTTATGCTAACGATTGGATGGGACAGGTGATTCCTTTATTATTAGAAGATGGCATTAATGTCAATATCCATAACAACAAGGTGTACGTACGATCTGCCACTCAAGGTATTGAATGCGTCAATGTCATCACAGAAAAATCAACTCTTGTCTCATTTGGTGTAGCACATATGGCTCAGTCTATGGATGATACACAGGAAGAAGTGGAGACCAGTAATGATGAGGATGACGATAATGACGATGATGATGATGACGACGACGATGATGATGATGATAGCCATTCGTCAGCTGGAATCTTTGATGGGAAGGCAAAGACAAATGGAAGTGTCAACAGAACTCAGAGCAATCATTGGATGAACTTCAACGAAACAGCAATAACGCGAAAAATAGTATCACCATCAACAACCGCACCAATGCATACTTGGCTAGATATGATACATTTACCTTCCAACACGTATAGCGATAGTGACAATGAACTAGCATTACTATGCACACATCAAGCAGCGTGGATGATCAACAAAGACAGTTTGACGTTTAAAAAACAAGATCCTGTGATACGATTTGAATGCAATGTAAAAACAGTAGCTCTTGTCTATCCTTATTTGATACTTTTTTCCCCTTGTATCATCGAAATACGACACATAGAAACGGTAAGTGCAAATCCTATATATATAGAAAGAAAAATAAGTTCATGTTTTTCTTTTTGATTGCCTGATTTTTATAGAAAGCTATGGTACAAGTCATTCCTGGTCATCATATCCGGTGCATTTATATCTCTTCTTCTAATCAAACAAATGAAATTCCCATTATTCATTTTACCATGTTACATCATCCTGACGAACGTGTAACTAGTGTATACCAACTTGTATTATAGAAATTATTATTACTATTATCACCCCTCCTAGTATCATTCATCTTTTTTTTTTATTCTTGTCTTTTTATCTGGTTGAACTCCTTTCTTAATTTATAATAAAAGAATTACACTTTATTACAGCATCAAATCTTCGTTATATTCATATATTAGGATTAAAGGAGATCCGTAGCACACATAATACTGTGATCACCATATGAAATGATCTATTAAAGTTTCTTGTAGTAGATAAATAGTATAGAGTCAAAGGCGACGAACAGGAGACTGGTGCAAAGGTTTCTATTGATGATCTCTTCTGGTCTGATTAACTTTATTTTTTTCATTCGCTTCCTTTTGGCGTTTGATGCTTTTATTGATGGGTTCGTAGTAGTCTTAGCAGAGCATGTAATCTTTTTTTTTTTTTTTTTTTTCGTCTGAGGAGTCAACATCAGTTTACTACCTTCATTAAGATAGATTCAAAAATTATCGTCATAAAACCATAGACATTCCACCATCACCATTATCATCATATTCGTAAGATTGTCATCAATCAGTCATCGAGTAACAAAAATCATCTATCCACCAAACCACTTGATATTAGTTGTTCACGTAAAAGTTACAGTCAAGCACGAAGAATATTTATTAAAAAAAAAAAAAATAAGAATAGGGAATAGAAGGGTAATACAGAATAAAGGGTAAGGTATAATACAGAATTAGCACTGAAAAAATAAAAAATAAAAATATAAAGATAAAGATAAAGAGAAAAAAGAAAAGAAGATAAAACTAAGATAAGACGGGATGACGAAGAAGTCAAAGAATAAAAGTTGTTGGAGCCAGTCCCACACAACATAAAAGGGAGGAAAAAAAAAAAGAAAAGGAGAAAACTAAATATCATGCACTGTGCACATATCATTATTATTATTGTTGTTGTCATGGTGATGATGAACAGATTCATTTATGGCATCCTTGTAAACTTGTACCATTTGTTCCATAGCATGCGTCCAAGTATACGAAGCGGCAACCTTTGCAGCATTTTCTCCCATAGTGATTCTTGCATCGACATGTTGAATCAAAAACATCCAGTGTTGTTTGTACTGTTGACATTGTTCGGTAAAATCCATTGTTGTTGTATCCAGAAGCAGACCAGTATATTCATGCTGTACAAGATCACGCACACCTTCGGCCATCAGTCCAGATACAGGTAGTCCAGATGCCATGGCTTCCAAAACAACTTGACCAAATGTTTCTGTGGTGGAAGGGAAAGTAAAGATATCCGCTGATGCAAACGCAGTTGCCAAGTCGTTGCCGTACAAATAACCAGTAAAGGTCACAGGAATGGTTGCTGATTGTTGTTGAACAGTAGTGAGTGCAGGTCCATCGCCTACAACAACAAGGTGACAAAGCGAATGATCCATCAATTTGTAGGTTTCCATCACTAGTTGTAGATTTTTTTCATACGATATACGGCCTACATACAATAAAATGGTTTTGTCGACAGAAGTCTTGAGCCATTGAGTGCGTAGACTAAGGGAGCGATGTTGACGAGAAAAACGATGTGGATTGACACCTCTTGGCCATAAGCGTACATTGTTAAAACCATGGGAGACTAGCATGTCTCGGGTGGATGGAGAAGGACAAACAGTATAACGACAAAAGGAATGACAGAATTGATTCCAACGCCACATGAGAGGAGAAAAAATACCCCAGCCGAAATGAGTACAGTAAGTGGCAAGATTGGTATGATAAGAAGCCACAAGAGGAATGGATTGAAGTTGAGAGGAGAAAAGTTTGCAAACAGCTAAGGCTGCAGCACCAAGCCAAACGGGATCAACAAGGTGGATAACTTGAGGATGGAACTGAGTAAGCTTCTTTGTAAATGTGGGTCGCCATAGATTGAGCTTGAGTTCTGGGTACGGCAGGAAAGGGATACCAGTAGTTCCAACTAGTTCAGCCGAAGCATATTCTGTTTGACCACTATCTGGACAGAATAGCATGACTTGATGTTGTCCTTGTTCAAGATGTTCTAGTAACTTGGCTACTGTTCTTGTTACTCCATCAACTTTGGGAAAGAAGGACTAATAGACAATTAGAAAAATATGATCAGTTCTCTTTTTTTTTTTTAAACAGCAAAAGGCTTTTTTTTTTTTTTGAAGTCAATGTACCTCTGATACTATGAGTATCCGCATAATGAATAGGAGAATGAAGACCTAAATCATACAAAAAAAGTAATAAGTAAAAAAAAAAAAAAAAAAAAAAAAAAAAAAAGAGAGTAAGTAACCACGGGAATTGTATTTTCTTTTGTGTAATCCTTACCAAAGGGTGTATCCCAATAAGGAAATAATAACTCCCATTGTATGGAAAGATTCAATGTATTAGAAGTAGTTATTTTTTAACCAAATCTAACAGGAAAAAGAAAAGAAATGTAGAAAATTTTACAAAGCTGAGCCTCAGGGAAAAAGGGATCCTTTCCATTTTTAGATTCAGTCTCCGCCTTGGACCTTTTCCTGGTTTTCGCCAATTCTTTTTTGTTTCCTTTTTTTTTTTTGTCTTCTTGTTCTTCTTTTTCTTTTTTTTTTCTCTCTTTTTCTCTTTTCTTGTCATTGCCAAGACATATTTTTTTTTTCTTATCATGGTATTTAAACATAACTTATGTTTAATACTATGTATTGTTATACTCGCTTTTGTTCAGTCTATTCAAGGTAAAACTAAATTCTCAGGTCAAAAGTTACAGTATGACAGGATCCAGGGCAACCTAATATTTTTTTTTTTCATTAGGACATAGTTTGAACAATAGAAGACTATTAAGGGTTGAAGCTTTAACTAAAGTGAAATTAGATATTGCACCTCGACCTGATTCCTTTTTCACCAAACGTAGCTTAACACCCAATCGACAATATCAACCACGAGCACAATCTATTGAACATGACGACATTTTACGACTTGCTTTTCAAGCATATAACCAAACACATCACTTACATCTTGTTCCTAATCAAGATTTATTTCATCCTGAAGCAGTTACAGTTATCGACGGCAAACAAACCTCTCTCAATCATCAAGAATACCGTGTTTATCGAGGATATGTGGTGGATCCAAAATTATCAGAACAACGTTGGACAGAAGATCAAGCTGGATTATGGCGAGATTATGCTATGGAACAAGATCATGGTATTTTAGGTTGGGCTCGTATACTTGTACGTCATGATATCAAGTAAGTTTTTTTTTTTTTTAAAAAAAAAATATTTTTTTTTTTTTGTTTATATAACGATGGTTTATTTTTAGACATGACTTGGCATATCCGGTGTTTGAAGGAGCTTTTATGGTGAATGAAGATACTTATCATGTAAAGGCTTCTCAAAACTATCAACGTGTGAAGAGATCTGATGATGCTGATCTACATCATGGTTATGATACAAAGAATGATGTCCATATGGTGATTTATCGTGACTCTGATACTGTAGTGGTACCTGTGGTAAAGCGTGATGGATCTATCGATATGGGTGATAGCTGTGGATTTGATCGATTATTGTACAACAATCAACATGCTCGTTATGACACTTCTTCTTCCTTACTTTCCAATTTGGATTATACGAATCCTTTCCAACAAAGTCAAGATATACAACGTCGACATCACTATGACAAATTTATTGGTATTGAACATAAAGCAATGATGGGTGCATTGACAAAACGTGCTCCTTCTGGTTGTCCAACTACCAAAAAGAGTATGTCTCATACATGACAATTCAATTACTTCAAACTCATCATCATTTTATTTTTTTATTATATATATTAGTCAACTATATGGGGGCAGCAGCTGATTGTACCTATACCAAATACTATCAAAGCGATGTACAAGCTCGTATGCAAATCATCAATGATTGGAATTCAGCCTCTGCAGTATATGAACGTCAACTCAATATCGGACTTGGACTTATCAATATTACTATCATGAATTCTGTTTGTCCTACCTCGGTTGATAGCAATAATCCTTGGAATCGTGATTGCTCCGATAGTTATAGTATCTCAACTCGGTTATCTGATTTTAGTCAATGGAGAGGCAATATCGCAGATCAAGCTGGATTATGGCATTTGATGACAAATTGCCCGTAAGTATATATATATATATATATGTATACAAATGACCAAGCCTAACATGTCTATATATAGAACCGGAGCAGAATTAGGTGTGGCGTGGACCAAGGCACTTTGTCAAACAAAAGCTACAGCTCAAAGTTCTCAAACACCTGGTGGTGGTACGGAATATGTTTCTGGTACTGGTGTATCTTCTGTTGGTAAGTGATCTTCATTATTCTAATATCATTATCGATCAATGTTTATCTATTTTTTTTTTTGTTTATGTTTAGTTCGTGATGAATGGAAAGTGGTAGCACATGAAGTTGGACATGGTTTTGGTAAGAGTCCTTTTTTTTTTTATTTGTAACTAAATCTTTGTACTGATCCTTTTTTTTCCTTTTTCTTTCTCTCTTTTTTTTTTTGGCTTTTGGTTTGATAGGCGCCATACATGATTGTACTGCTCAAAATTGCCCTTGCAGTGGTTCTGGTTGTTCTTGTTGTCCTCTTAGTAATACCCAATGTGATGCTGGTGGCACTTATATTATGAATCCTGTCAACAATGCTTCAGCCGGTGAATTCAGTCCATGTACTCTAAATACAATTTGTGGTTTATTCCCATCTATTGGTTCATGCTTAAAAGGTAAATAGAAAATATAAAGAAGATACAATGAATCTTTTGTTCTCAATTTCATTTTTGTTGTTGTTGCTTTTTTTAGATCCTGGTACACTTCCTACGACTGGGTTGAAAATGTGTGGTAATGGTATCAAAGAAGATGGTGAAGATTGTGATCCCAATGGTCAAGATACTCCTTGCTGTGATGCAAAGACATGTAAATTCAAACCTGGGGCAAAATGCGAGTACGTTATGAATATAAATAACCATCATAATTTGACATATCAACTGATATTTTATTTCTTTATTTATTTAATAGTGATTATAATGATCTTTGTTGTAGTAATTGTCAAGTACGACCTGCCAATTATACTTGTCGACCTGCAACAGGAGGATGTGACATAGCTGAAGTATGTGATGGTACGACTGGTAATTGTCCTGCTGACAAATTCAAGGATGATGGAAGCGACTGTGGAAATGGATTACAATGTGCCTCAGGGCAATGTACCTCTGTAAGTATTTTTGAAATAAATGTGATAATTCAGTCTATGATAAATTGACTCATCCTTCTTCTTTTCTTTTTTTTTTTTTTTTTTTAAAAAAAAACAAAACTTTATTCCCAATCATAAAGCGTGATGCTCAGTGTAAGAGTCGTGGATCTGCTATGAATATTACTCGTTCATGTGGCGGAATGACAGGAGGTGGAAGTTGTCAAATGTCATGTGCTGATCCTCATGGATTTGCTAGCTGTTATATCTTTACTGGTTACTTTTTGGATGGAACTCCATGTGGTGTTGGTGGTGCATGTAAACAAGGAAGCTGTAGTATGGAAAACTTTGGTAAGAATATATGTTTCAAGTTGAACGAAAAGATGAATTGATTGAATGAATGACTGACGCGCGGATAAAACAAAAAAAAAAAAAAATTGAAATTTATAGGAACCAATGCTAAGAATTGGATTGATAATCATTTACAAATTGTGATTCCCGTGGCAATTGTGGTTGGACTTTTACTATTATTCTGTATATCTCGATGTATCTTTAGTGGAACACGTGGATATCGAAATATCAATGGTGATAGCTACGTTGTAACCACTATCCCTGGTCAAGCTCCCGGTATCTATGCTCCTCAAGGTTATCCTCCTCCTGGCAATGGTCAATATTATGCTCCTCCTCCTCCTCCTCCTCCTAATGCACCTCATGGTTGGGTTGATCCATCCCTTTATAATGGACCTTCACCTATGGCACCTCCTCCATCTTATACACCCAACTCCGGTAATCGAGATGTTTATGAAATGAATCCTACCAACCAATGGACAGGTCAAAACAATAGTACCTCACCTTCACCTGCTCCTGTTACTCCACATTCTCCTATGATCAACAACAGTAATAATCATGGTGGTACTCGGCGATATAACGAAGGCGCTGTATAGTTAGTTACTTTATTAGTAGTGTTTTTAGATTATTATTATTTTTAGTATCATTTGTTGTATACCAGTTCTATTCATGTCATTATCTCTTGTGTATATTTTTTTTATCATCATCATTATTATTATCATCATTATTTGATGAGTTCAATTTCAATAAAAATGACTTTTCTTTTTTCTCTCTCTATCTCTCTTTTCTTCTAACATCTTTCATCAAATCAATGAATACATGCCAGTTTGAAAGCCCGTCTTTTTTTTTTTTTTTTTTTTTTGCACCAGAAAAAAGAAAATTACAATTTGGAGATTACTCCTTGCTCTTCTTCTTTAATTGTCTTTCCGATCATATGATGAATAGTACACCATTACCGGAAGCAGATGTCCTACCACTTATCATTAGGTATACAAGAATCATACAACAATACAATGATCTCATACATATTATAGCCATGAATAGAAACTCATTTTTTTTTTTCTCTCAACTTTTTTATATATGAATCTGGGTCGCGTATTATGGTTCCAATCAAAGTCAACTGATAGCTTATGGATATTCTGCCATTGCTCAAACAGTAGCTGATGCCACAGGAACTAGTTGTGATATGTTACCTAGTTCCAAATTATCCGAATTACTTGGCCTGGGAAAAGAACGACGTAATAGAAAAAAAAAACAAAGTGGAAAACAAACAAATGATCATTGACTATTTTACTTTTTATATATAGATCAAGAAGATTCCGATACCGATATGCCTGAAAAACAAACTGGAGGGAACGATATCGTGACCAATGACTCTACAAGATCTCACACTGGCTTTGATCCCGAAGCTATCCATTCTCGTAAAAAAAGAAAAAAAGAGAGAAAACCTTGAATATGAGAAACAAATCGTACTACAGTCAATACTCACTTTTATTATTATTATTTTGATAATAGAACCGAAAACGCCAGTGGCATATACACAACTTTATTATACACAACACAAAGGACCATGTCGTACAGCAATTTTCAGCAAAGATGGACGATTTGCAGCTACTGGATCATTTGATGCATCATTAAAACTCTTAGATGTGAACAAAATGAAGAAAAGGACGGGAGGAGCCAGCGACAAACCTGTGATTAGGACACTTTATGATCATACAGCGCCTGTCAATGATATTGATTTTCATCCCAATGGTTTGGTACTTGCTAGTTGTGCCGATGATCAAAGTATCAAGTTATTTGACCTTTCCAAATCCAATGTGAAACGAGCATTTAGATATCTTCAGGTAAATAAATAAAAAAGAAGAATACAAAAAAAATTCACGCTCTGATTAATTTTTTATTGGGGGGGGGAGGAATAAAATAGGATACTCAACCTGTACATTCAATCCAATTTCATCCATCAGGTGATTTTTTACTGGCTGGTACTCAAGATCCACAAATCCGTATTTACGACGTCAACACACTTCAATGCTATACCAACCGTCAACATACAGAACGGCATCAAGCAGCAATTAGTCAGATACGCTATGCTCCAGAAACAGGTCGTATGTTTGCTTCCTCTTCAGTAGATGGTACTGTCAAGATATGGGATGGAGTTTCTGGTCAATGTATCAAATCTTTAGAAAAAGTTCATGGTGGTCTAGCAGTATCTAGTGTCCGTATTACGAAAAATGAAAAATATATCTTGACAGCTGGTATGGATTCTTCTTTACGATTATGGGATATCTCTAGTGGAAAACTGATGATGGAATACAAAGGTCATGAACAACGATCTCAAATGTTACAGGTAAAAAAGAAAAAGAAGGGTTTAATCCAAAAATAATCATTGATCTCACCATCAAAAAAAAATATAGCCTGACTTTAGTTACAATGAAGATTTTGTAATGATTGGTGATGAAGCTACGACAGATGTGGTTGTTTATGATACACAAACTGGTGTACTTGTCAAACGAATAACTGGTAAGAATCAAATGAATAAAACATTGAACAAAGAAGAAGATTTGATTTGTATTATGTTTTATTTTGTAGGACAAAATAATCTTGTACGGTGTGTTGCGACATCTCCAATAGATGAAGGTGTTTTATCTTGCAGGTAAGAAAAGGGATAGTATATAATGATTTTTATATTGAAAAATTTTTATACTTTAATAGTGATGATTATCGTGCAAGGTATTATGGATCAACAAATGACATTACAATATGAATGATAGACAAGAAAAAATATCGTATGACTACTATAGTTTAGTCCTTCCTTTTTTGGATGACAGATTCAGTCTCCCGCGTCTTTTTTTAGAGTGAAAAAACAATAAAAAAGAAAACCCATAGTGAATTTTTTGTACCAGTCGATTTTGGCGTTCTTGTGCCTTTTTTTTTCTTTTTTCTCTTTTTCTCTTTTTTCTTTTTTTTTTTTTCAATTGTATATATATCTTTTTTTTATTATTATTTATTTACAGTTATTGTTTTATTTTGTGAATAGTTCAAACTAGATATATATTATTTTGTCGGTGTGAATTCCCTCTTACTTCATCTTACTATCTTTTCCTTTTTTTTTTTTTTTTGTGTATAAGCATTTTATATATTCACCATCATTATTTTATCATGCCGCCTTTTGTGGAAAGTGAAGTTAAAGAAAACAATCATTTTCAAGTCAACAAACGAACAACAAGTGACCAAGTAGAGGAAAAACATCCAGACTACCGGGCACCCCTTTATCTTGGCGGATGGAAAAGGTCCATTCCAGGACGTGACAGTGATTTTGCTCAAGATGACATGGATGAACCTCATTTGAAACGCAAGCATACCATTCTTCGCGCCCATCCTCAAGTGGAGAAATTATATGGTACAGATATTCGAACGTTTTACGTGACGGTGGTGATCAATATTGTACAACTTGGACTCGCATATTACTTTGGACATCACGTATGGTCATGGTGGCAGTATCTTTTGACGGGGTATGTGGTTGGTGGTACGTTGACGGCGATGTTAGGAGTGGTGATCCATGAAGCATGTCATTGTTTGATCTTTCGTTGCAAGTCGTGGAATCGATACGCTGGTCTATTTGCAAATATATGTCTTCCTGTACCGATCGCTCAATCCTTCCGAAGATATCATATTGAACATCATACGTGGCAAGGTGTGGATGGAATGGATCCTGATTTACCATTGGACTGGGAAAAGAACTTGATCAAGGGAAATGCATTGACAAAACTTCTTTGGATATTGATCTATCCTGTTATGTATGTGGTACGTGGAGCTGTGATGCAAAAGGATCGTAATTTGACCCCATCCAAGTGGGAAATCATCAATATTATCTTCACTATTATCTCGGATTATTTGATTTACCGTGTGTGTGGTACCTATGGTTTGTTGTATCTATTGATGTCTCTTTGGTTTGGATACTCTTTACATCCTGGTGCTGCTCATTTTATTCAAGAACATTATACCTTTGTCGATGGTCAAGAAACTTATTCTTATTATGGTATTTTGAATGTACCCTTTATGAATATTGGATATCATAATGAACATCATGATTTCCAAAAGGTAAAAACTAATAATAATAATGGATAAATTTCTATTTTTTTTTTTTATTGTTTATTCATTCATCAATACTTTTTTATTTTTAATTTTTAGATCCCTTGGAGTCAATTACCAGCATTAAAATCCTTGGCTGATGAATACTATGACAAGTTATCCTATCATACATCCTGGATCATGGTACACTGGAAATTCATTACTCAATCTACTATTGGTCCTCAATCTCGTGTGATACGTGATTATGGTACCTTTAAATGGGGACGATCTCTCTTGGGAAAAATCAAGTTATATGAAGAAAAACATCCTTATCATGATTAGTAGATTTATGTTAGTAGACAACTAGTTAATAAAAAACGCGGTGTTTGAAAACGATGCCAGAGTGTGATCCCATTTCTTTTTTTTTTTTTTTATCATATTTGGTTTTTTCTCTCCCACTCTCTCTTTTTTTTTTTTTTTTTTCTTAGGACATCCAGGGTGGACGGATGGCAAAGTCAAAAAGGAAAAACAATGGTACGAAAACAGAATCACAACGCGGGGATATTGACAGCAGCAACAAAAAGTCAACAACGGTAAAACAGCAACCATCATTGTTAGCCAAGTTTCCACAGCTCATAGCAAAGCATGGACTTAAAGTAGAACAAGTGGAACCCAACCAAATATACTTGATTCCTCATTTCTTCAATGCAAAAGAATGTGAATCCTTAATTCAATATTTCGATACCCACTTGACACCACAAACTGTATCACTTTATCCAAAACCAGGCGAAGCGTTCCGTAGCAATGACCGACAATCGATGCAAGATCCAATATTGGCGAACAAGATCTGGGAGTTGGGATTAGACAAGCTCTGTGCACAGGAAGAAGGAATCAATCAGGTCTCGTTGCCTCGACAACCCTGTGGATTGAATAGCAACTTGAGGATTTATCGGTATCGTCCTGGACAACGGTTTGAAGCTCATTATGATGATACTGTCAAGGATACAGCGACTGGTTATTGGACAGATTGGACATTGTTGATCTATCTGAACGATACAATGGAAGGTGGTGAAACAGTATTCTACAAGGATCATGGAAAGAAGAAAAAGAAGATGTCAGATCCTGTGGTGATCCGACCGCAACAAGGTTTAGCTCTCTTACATCGACATGGTCAACACTGTCTTTTACATGAAGCTTTGGAAGTGACGCGTGGCAACAAATGGGTTTTACGATCAGATGTCCTGATTGGTTGATGAATTAGTATAGTTTGATATATCTTTAGAATGAATTGAAATAAAAAAGAAACACTTTATGCATGTATGACCTTTTTTTTTAAATCCGTTATGATGATGATTATAGTTTTAAAGCAACGAAAATAGGGTGTAGGTCAAATGATGATTTCATCTTTTTACTAACTAGCAATGTTAAAAACGGGAAATTGTTTTGATTCAATCCTAAAAAAGGTAGTGGCAAAAAGGCTCAGCTTGAACAAAAGGAAAAAGGCAACGACTTCCGATATATGTCCATTTTGTATTACAAAGTTTGAAACTAATATTCTTTTTTTTTTTTTTTTCTTTGGACATTATTGATTCCAAATGAAATAAATAAATAAAAAAATGAAAAAAAATAAAATTATTTAATAAATAGAATGATTTCAATCAAGACAAAGGGAAACCATGAAAACAATTTTTTTTTTTTTGGTTTAAATTTGTATTATTCTTTTTTTTTTTCAATTCAGGGGGAAAAGAGCACAATCAATATCACATTACAAAGTGGGCGTAAAAAAAGTACCACCTTATTCTGCGGCACAACGAAAACTTTTTTTTTTAAATCATTGTTTTTTTTTATTTTTATTATTATTATTATAAAAAGGGACTTTTCTATATTTTCCCCTTTTTCTTTTCTTTTCTTTACTTTTTTTTTTGAATGATGGCAGAAACACCATTAGCCACTTTATTAACGACTCCTTTTAACAATAGAAAAACCATGGTTGATAGTACACAACATTCACTAACTAGTATGGGTTTACTCTCTAGTTTTTCAGTTAACAATAATCTCACTTCTTTACCTAAAACTGATATCATCAAAACAGATTCATCGTTACACAATTTGACCTCTTCATCCAACAATACAACAGAAACAACTCGACGTAAACCTTCTGAATTAAAATTTAAAATTGAATCCATTGGCGTTCAACCTGAAGAAGATGATGATTTGGATATGTGTCCTGCTCGTACTCGTGCTATTTGGCCTCGTCAACTTCATCCTTGGTGGCAACCTAGTCACCCAAAAGATAAACCTCCTTATGCCTATGCTACTTTAATTGCTTATGCTATTTTGATTAGTCAAGATGGTCGTTTATTACTTAGTGATATCTATCGTTGGATTTCAGAAACTTATCCTTATTATGCAATGGACAATCGTGGTTGGCAGGTAAAAATAAAAAACAAACAAAAAAATGGATATTTAAACAATTTATTTTATTATTTTCTACAGAATTCCATTCGTCATAATTTATCTTTGAACAAAAAATGGTTTCTCAAAGTGGATCGTCGACCTACACAAGCCAATCCAGGCAAAGGCTGTTATTGGACTTTGGTACCTGGCACTGAACAAATGTTTATAGAAAACATCACTGAAGCCGGAGGTCATACTCGTAAACATCATGATATTGGACTAACGGCAGAACTCTCCATGGGACACAGGAACAATCTTATCGCCAAACAACAACATTATCCTTCTTCTCAATTAAATCTACGTCAATCTTCTGGTGCCACTTTTTCTCATACCAACATGAAAATCATTCGCCCTGAAGATTATCAACAACAACAACAACCTGGAAAGAAACAATCTACCGCTATCTCTGAGACCAAAAAATCATCATCAACCACAATGACATCAAAATCATGCAAACCTGCCCCTTCCTTGGGTCCAATGTACTCTACTCTTCGTATGACAAGTACTACCTTGGAAGCGGTTCCACAAGAACTATCCTTACAAAAGAAACGCCAACATCCTGCTGATGATGCTCCTATTACCCACAAACGTACAAAATATACTAATGATGAAGATGATGATCGATCGGATTGTGATTCTGGTGTGGATGTTAGCAACGAACATGTGGATGGTTTTGACAACAAGAAAACACAAGGAATCAATCAAGATCTAGAACTACACAATGTATTGGAAACTTTCTTGGATCAACTACCTACAGATGCCTCATCATTGATGTTACCCACTTCCTCTAATGGATTACTCAACATGGACAATAATAATAATAATAATGGTGATATGTTTCCTTTCCATCCTGTGGATGTCGATCCTGTTTTGGGTTATCCATCTTATGATTATTATTCTACCTTGGGCTTTTATTGTGATGACAACGCTTTCCAACAACAAGAAAATATGTATCCAACTCTTTTGACTTCAAGTTTCGATCCTACCAACACCATGACGACGTTACTGAACGATACATATGACACTACTTTACAAGATGATACAAAAGGCCCTTTGGTGATTCATCTCAATGGCAATGCAACTGATATCGCGGCTACTACTTCTACTACTTGCTTGGAGGAAATGACGGACGAATTCTTGAAATTTGAAGAAGACGACGTGGTTAACTTGGGGATTGTGGATTCAACTGAATATGGTGCTGATCGTTATTTGTTTTGAACATTTACTTTTCATTTCTCTCCTCCATTCTTTTTTTTTTTTTTTGTAGTATAGCTTTTCAGTAGTATATAGTAGAAGTTTTTCCCACACCCAGATCTAGTTTTTTTTTTTTTTTTACCTTCTATGTTTGACTGATATATTTATCTTATTTTATTTGCCTTCCACTCCATTTTATTATATACCTTTCCATGCATCGATCTTTTTTTTCTTTTCCCTCCCACATATGTACGTACAAACGATTATTTTATATATTGACAAATGTAGATAACAATAATAAAAGCTATTTTTTTTTATTAAACAAAATGTATGAGTCTAAAATCTACAGGGTCATATGGTATTCTAAAGGTCTATCTACAGTGGGAATCTAATAACAATCTAACATATGTGCATCATCCATGGGGTCACTGGGTTGAGTCATCATGGTGGGACTGATCTCAAATGCTTCTGAGTATAAATCTTCAGGATCAGTGGTACGTTTGATATGAGTGAGATCCAAATCCAGTAGTTGTTGTATAAACGTTGTATCATCATCATCATCATCCACTCTTGTTCGTTTATCGCCTGTCATTGGTGTTGTTGATAGGGTTGAAGAACTAGCTAATATATGTTCCACTACTTTGATTGCTTCCCATCGTACCATCCTTTGACTGTCCTTTACCTAATAAAAAAAATTAATAATGAGAAAAAGAGGAATGAATGGAACACTTTTTGCTATTATTTTCTAATAGTTACCGCCTCTAATAACCAATGATCTCCTTGCAAGAGATAAAAATAAGGCAATCGACCTTGTCTTGTTTTTGAATGTTGCTGCGACCGATTCCTTTCGTGTACCCTGAGTTGCCATAAACTATCCAACAATTGACACAATCGGATCCGAACCTCGATATCATCATCATTCATTAACATGGCCAAAGTATCAGAACTAAGTTGATATTAAAATAAAAAAAAAATATCTAACTTTTGTATTTCTATCCAATATTACTTTCCTTCCTACCTGAGAATGTCTTTTTGATCTGTTGTTGGATCTTGGTCTGGTTGTGTCAATAGTAAGCCTTCACATGATCGATGTTCAACAAGGCAATTCATAGCATCCAAAGTGGCCCGTCGTACAAATGCTTCAGTGTCATATAATAAGCGAGGCAAAGTACTTGATAAATTTCGTAATCGCTCATGTTGTTGAATGAAGATCCAGCCTGGTCCAGTTTTCATCATCATCTAATGTGAAGATAAATAAAAAAAAAATTGAGAATATGTATCAGATTTTCTTTTTTTTGTTAGTTTTACCTGCACAGTTCTTAGAGCAGATGCTCGCACATAAGCTTCTTGATCTTTAATACGATCTAATACCAATAAAGGAAGGTCCAACGAGATTGCAAAATTTATCTTGTTGTTCTTTTTTTTAAAAAAAAAAAAAATAAAAAAGATATTGAGTAAACTAATTTATATCCTTTTCTTTTTTTATTTACCAAACTGATATGGTCATTTTCTCTTGATTCAAACAGCCCAGCAACAAATTCAATCACAGCATCACGTACATCCCATTCTACATCAACAAACTTGAGCCTAATCACATCCATCAAAGGTCTTGTCATTTCCTATAAATCAAATTGTCATCATCAATATATCAGGTGTTTGATATATATTTTTTTTTCTTTTTTTTTTTTTGGTTACCGGTTGAAGTAAATATGCTTGAAAAGGCTGATGTCCCAATAATTGATTGAATGTTGATAATATCAAAGCCAAATTTTGACTATCCACGGAATCATCATCCATCTTACTAATTAATAACGTCATGAACTAAAACCAAAAAAAAAAAAAAGTTAGTACCTTGTGATACTACGCTTTATTACCAAAATGGTATCTTGTTATTGTTGCTTTACCTTGAAAAAGGTAGATTGTAATTCAAGTGAAGATACTTGATTTGATTGACAGTGAAGTGATGTGATGACTAGCTGCAGACACTCTTTCAAAAGTTTTTGATCACGAGAGAAGGAAGGTTCCGATAAAATGGTTAAAGCGGCTTCTAAACCATCAGCATTCTATATGGATATACATAAAGGATGGAAAAATGAGAATGTATTCTTTTACAGTTTATGTATCACCTGTTATTATCTTACCTTGACTTCTAATGTGAATGTTTCAATCAATGAATTTAATGCCTTAATAATAGCTTGTAACAACTTGCATTGCAAAACCACGGGACGATTGGACATTTGTAACAGATCTATCACCTAGACGGGAGATATGAGTAAGGCTTGTATTGCATATACGGGAATGAAGTTCCATTTTTTTTTTTTTTTTTTTTTTTTTTTTTTTACCTTTGTCATATCAATACCATCAGTAACGGAATAAGCATCGCCATTTTTCATTATACATAATCCAAGTAAAGTCATTAATAAACTGCTGATTTCGTGAATATTCTTCGTAACACAAGTCATTCGTTGTTGTTCCTTTAATCGCCCTAAGAGTTCCAGTGATACTTGAATGATTTCCACACCGGTACAAGCATCATCTATTGAATTAGGTTGGTGTATGATCATATCGTTGTAGATCGTTTGAATAAATGTATATGCCTTTTCCAAATGATGATCGTTGTTTTGTTCTTGAGTAAAGTCGTCGTTGGAAGTTAAAAGTCGGATAGGAGAAGGCGAGCATCGGCACACTACTGATAAGATTTCAATCATTCTTTTTCGAATCATTTTGTTATTCACTTTTAAAAAGAGATCCGGCAAGGGGAACAACTAAAAAAAAAAAAAAAATAGAAGAAGGTAGCATTAAAATCATTCATCCTTTTATTCCTTCATAGATGACTGACCAATTGTGTTTGCTCCAAATAGTTATAAACAGATGGACAAGTAGAATTGGCAAAAGTCCAACAAAATTCTAATGCAGCGATAAGTAGAGATAGATGATGATGCTGGAGTAAAAAATGTTTGATTTGAATAGAAGGATCCATATATTTACTTAATTCAATGCATGCTTGAGAATTTGTTGTCTGTTCCATGAGTGATAAATAGAATCGACAACCTTGAGTCACCACCTATGAGAAAAAAGAAAATTAATTCAACATGTATTTATTGGAGAATAAAAGCCTGTATAATAACTTACATAGATACTTTCATCCATCAAAGATAAGGAAATAAGTGATTTGACATCTTTGTTTTTCAAAAGCCTATAAAAATAGTGTAAAACAAATGAAACTGTTCAAACCCAATGCTGCTGTTGTTCCTTTTTACCATAAAGAGCCTTGTGGTACATGAATCAACCCTTGACACGCTTCCAAGGACGCACACCGTAGAGCAGGTTCAGAAGTACGCAAAGCAGAAACCATCAATGTAAGTAAAGAAAGATAATGAGTTTCTAACTTGTAAAAAAGAGCATCGTCAGAGACAGAGATCCATTTGCCTAACAATCGAAGACAGACAGAAAGTACGCGATAATCTTGATCTGGTTGTTGACAAGCCTATAAATATAAATAATTAAGTTAAAAAAATGAAGCATAATCATTAAAACACTTTTTCAAATATATACCTCTTGTAAAATGTCAAATACTTGCCATTCGTCCAATAACTGACTGTGAGAAGTATGAGAATCTAGGAACGTAGTCAAAATGGTCAAAACTTTTTCATACAAGGTATCGTCAACAATGGTTTTGGACATGTGTGGAATCGCCCCTACTAGATCTTTAATATTATTTATATTTGTAGAGTCGTGTTGTACATGTTGTGCCATGGTCGAAGACAAATAAATAATAAAAAAAAAAAAAAAGTTAAAGCACGACGAGGAAAGAGAAGAAAAAGGCATTTTTTCATACTTTTTCAAAAAAAGAAGCAAGGGTTAGCGGAGGTTGAACATGTCTCCATTCTTTTTTTTTCTTTTTCTCCCAAACCTTTAACTCTTCTTTCTTCTCTTTCGTTCCCTTATCACACTTTTTAGAATGTCTCAAAAGGAAATCTCACGCAACAAGGCATTTGGTGGTCATGTAGTGAAATATGAACACGAATCCGTTGAATTGTCCTGCAACATGAAATACAATGTGTTTCTTCCCAAGGAAGCAGAACAAGGCAATGTGCCCGCCATCTATTTTTTATCTGGTTTGACATGCACTGAAGATAACTTTATTCAAAAAAGTGGTGCTCTTGCTGAAGCTGCGAAACATGGTATTGCTCTTATTGCTCCTGATACTTCTCCTCGTAAGTTCTCTAACGGGATATTATAAAGCGATCAACATGTGCATGTCTGTGGACGCGTGTTAATATTAATATGGTCTCTTTCTTCTCTTTATTCTTTATTAGGTGGCGTCAACATTGAAGGGGATAATGATTCTTGGGACTTTGGAACTGGTAACCCTTCTTTCTTTTATGTGTGGGGTGAATCTCGGTATGATTGACGGTGCCTAATTTTTTTTTTTTTTTTTTTTGTATTATGCTTTTGATACACATCTCAAGGTGCCGGATTTTATCTTGACGCTACAGCACCTAAATGGGCCAAACATTATCGCATGTATTCTTATATTACCAAAGAACTCCCTGACTTGGTGAATAATCAATTACCTATTGTAAGTACGAATAACTGACTATCTAAAAATTAAAAAAAAAATGTGTTGATCATTCATCTTTTTTTTTTTTAAAAAAAAAAAAATAGGATGGTTCACATGTTTCGATTATGGGTCATTCGATGGTAAATATAGATGGCAGCATTGGATATGCTAAACTCATTTCATTCGTCCATTTATTGGTTCTTTGATTGTATGTAGGGCGGTCATGGTGCATTGACAATCTATTTGAAGAATTTGACATCTTACAAGGTAAAAGAAGAATAATTTCAGTACACAGAACATATTTACATCTTTTTTTTATTTCATCATTAGACTGTGTCTGCATTTTCACCTATTGCCAACCCAATTAATTGTCCTTGGGGTCAAAAAGCATTTTCCAATTATCTAGGTCCTAATCAGGATGAATGGAAACAATACGATACGGTGGAACTACTCAAGAAATTGAATAATCTCAGAATTAATGTTCTGGTGGATGTGGTAAGCTAAAGGATACTAAAACATTTATAAAAAAAAAGTCAATAACTTGTCTAAGTCAATAACTTGTCTATACTTTTGTTGCTAGGGAACGGCGGATAACTTTTTAGAACGTGAACTCAAGATTGACACTTTGAAACAAACTGTACAAGACCTTGGTCGTTCTCATGAATGGGAAATTCGCTATCAAGACGGTTATGATCATAGTTACTTCTTTATTTCTTCTTTTATTACTGATCACATTCAACATCATGTCCAATATTTGAAACAATAAAAACCATTTAGATCATCTATGACTACTATCATTTATATTATTTTTTTTCCTATTTTAATTTCTTTTTATGAATACAATATTATTTCGTAATCAAAAACGCATATAATATGATATTTTATTTTATTTTATTTTCTAAAAGAAGGATGGGGAACATATCTAAATACTATAATCGGGAATCTATATTGAATTTAGTGTGGGAGCCAGAGTAGCAGATTTGTCCATTCGAGTTGTAGATCATAGAACGAATACTTGCCAAGTTCTTGCCTATTCGGTTGGCAGTACATACGATTCGGATAGTTTCACCAGCAGGAATACCAAGAAAATAACTGACTGACAAATCAGTGGATACGCCCATCGATCTCCATTTAGACTTGCCTATCATCAACCAAAGGAAAAATTATTATCAGAGTTTTCAATTCTCTATTGTCGAAGAAAGAAGAATAGCATCATCAAGATATTCGTTTTTTTTTTCTTTTACCTTCATGGGCCAAGGTAACAAAAGAAGTACAAATATCAATCAAAGTCGCAACACATCCACCATGAAGATTACCAAGTCTATGTTATCGCAGAAGAAAAAAAAAAATAATAATAATAAATTCGATGTCAACTAGAATACTATGGTTCCTCTCTTTTTATCCTTTCCTTATCGAATACTTACTGGTTACAATGGGATTCCTTGACTTCCATTTCCCAAACGACTTGTCCCGGAGTCACTTCTGCCAAGACTAGATCTTTGGAAACATAATCAGTCCAGTGGGGCGCTTTACCCTTGTTATGGAATTCAACCATTTCATAGACTTGGGGATATGTTTTTGCTAATGAAGCATCAGCCTTCATTGTGTCGTTGGTAACAAAAAAAGAAAGAAAAAAAAAAAAGTAAAAAGAAATGTAAAAGAGAAAGATAAGAGTGAGGGTCAGGAACCCCGCGTTCCCAACCTTTTTTTTTTTTTTTTATTTCTCACAGCCAATTCCCGATGACTAGCTGCAATATAGTGTCATCGCCAAATACCAGAAAAGGCAACCCAAATACTAGGGATCACAAAGGACAAGCAGGCTGAAAAAGCTTTTCTAATTGTTTTTGATGTGATCAACAACAACATAAGGTGATAACCAAGGTACGTCAATAATAATTATAGATTCTTCATTTGTTTTATAATTACCTATTTTTTTTTTTTTTATTTTATGATTATTGCTTGCTGATATCAAGAGGTAAAAGGTATGATAGATATCTACCTTTAGCACCTGGTTATGTGTGGAAAACAAAAAAAAAAGGATCCGTTGTCCTGATGATTTACGCAGAATAGTTTGAATATTATTTATGCCAATATATTTTTACATTGAATGTGTCCATGAGATTAACCAATCAAATTGTCTCTATTTTCCAAATGCGGTGTTGGGATCAAACATGCGGTGACTCGTTTATCGAATTTATTTTACAACATTTCTTGTTGACTCTCCTCTCTTTCTCTTACCGACCTTTCAATTATCTACACTTTTCTAAATTACAACACTCATATATAAAAAATGTCAGACGATCAAGATTTTACAAATTTATTTGGTTCAGACGATGAAGCTTCTGATATTGATGACGGACGGTCTCAAACATCTCAACAAAGTCAAACCTCACCACAACCTCCATCTTTAACACAACGACCACAAACAACTGTTTCTGACAATGACGACGACGACGACGACTCGGACGCTGGTAGTGATGCTATTATGTATACTCGACAACAAAATACAGTAGACGATCTGTTTGGAAGCGAGGAAGAAGAAGAAGAAGAAGATATTGTAGCCAAACGACAACAACGACGATTACAAAAACGCGCAGAAAGGTAAAAACATCAAGTACTTTTGACATATAGTTTGGAGAAAAGAAAAAAAAATACTCATGGCTGCTTTTGATAGACATACTATATCCGATGTTGAAGAAGATGAATCTCGAGATCAACAACAAGAAGATGGAATTCTCTATGATGAAGAAGAAGAATTAGGCGAAGATGAATATGATATGGCTCGAAAACAGCAACGTGTGGAAGTGGAACTGAACATGCCAGCATTACCCATACCCAATAGTGAAGATGGAAAGGTAAGAAAATAGGATGATGAAAAATCAAGTTATATTAATCTTATGGGACTATTATTATTATTTTTTTTATTTAGTATTTTTTGGCCAAATTACCACGATTTTTGGATATCGACATGAAGCCATTTGATGCCAATACATTACAACTTGAAGTGGAAGAAGGAATGACCGAAGCTGAACAATTAGAATCCATCCGACAACAAGTAGAATCTACCATACGGTGGCGTCAACGATTTGATGAAAATGGAAATGAGGTATATAGATGAAGACTGTGGAAGATCATCGTTTGTATCTCATCCTTTTTTTTTATTATTATTATTATTATTATTATTATTATTTTGATTTTCTATTCTATAGAAAATAGAATCCAATGCTCATTTTGTGGATTGGGAGGATGGATCAAGATCACTGATGATTGGCCAAGAATGCTTTGACGTAGTGACCAAATCAATGAGTGGACAAGAATACACCTTTTTACTAGCACATCAGACCTCATCCGGCGTACTGGAGAGTCATACCCAATTCACCGATCATATGACCTTCCAACCAAGTCATGTACATAGTTTGACTCATCGACATCTGACGGCACATATTGCTGGCAAGCACGTCAAGAAAACAAGAACAAAAATGTTCTTTACGGATATGGACCCTGAAAAGCAAAAGCAAGAATTGGAAGCTCAAGAAAATGAACGATTACGTGCAGCCAAAAAACTAGAAAGTCAACGTCGACGTGCTGAATTACAATTTGACGATAGTGGGCGACATCAAGATTACGACTATGGCGAAGATGAAGAAAACATGGGTGGAGGACGTCGTCGTGGTAATGGTGTATCTTCTCGTGTTGGTGGTATACGTGATGAAGAACGAGGTACTACAGCTGGTGGTTATGTAGGTCGTGGCGATGCATATGATGAAGACTTTGTGGTGGATGATGAAGATTACGATGAAGAAGAAGAACGGGAACGCGAACAACGTTTAGCACAGGTCAAGCAAAGTGGTATGGATAGATATCGACGTCGACACTCGGATGAAGAAGAAGAGGAAGAGGAAGAAGAAGAAGAAATGGAAGAAGAAGAGGAAGAAGAAGAAGAAGTAGTAGTAAGGCGACACAAACGACGGCATGTAGAAAGTGATGATGAATAGAATAGTGTATATTTTTTTAATAGTTTAGTTTATTCTTTTTGATCTTCAATAAATCATTTTATACTATCTTTTTTTTTTTTTGTTGTTTTTGATCTTCAATAAATCATTTATACTATTTTTTTTTTTTTTTTGATTGAAATGTTTATTTTGTTTTGGTTTAACTTTTTCGATGGCGATTAGATTGTGCATTGACCTTCTATTCTCATGGATTTTGAAAGACCGGAAGTGGAAAAAGAAAAAAGAGTAAGCATCTTCCACTGATTTTATTTCTCTCTCTTTCCACAATTACATTTCTTTTATTATATGCTTTATAATTGTAAGATTCTTAGTATCGATCAATTACTGTTTATCACATGTGACATTTGTACAAGCAAAATCATACCAGTAGGACCAACCAGATCAACAGTACAACAAAGACAGCAAGCTGCAATAGGACCACCAGGCCAACTACAACAACAATTACAACTGGAAAGGAAACAACAACCCTATCAAGATGACATGAATTATTACTGCAATCGTTGTTTAACTCATCCTCCAAAACGATACCAGTTTTCCCTACGAATGACTGTTTTCTGCCCGAATCAAGATCATCCTTTGGAACTGGCCATGTATGACGCCAATGCTTCTCTTCTTTTTGGTTGTACTGCGTCTGACTATATCCAGGTAATATATTTTAAGTCATATTTTCTTTTCTCCATCCTTCACATATACGTATACAAAAAGAGTATTTTTTTTTTTGGCGGTTGTCTTTATTAATTTAAATATCAATATATGTATTATAGATGGTTAGAGAGGACAAATCGTTGGATGAACAACTGGAAGACTATTTGACTGAAGCGACATGGGATATCAAACTGAAAACAAAGGTAATGAGAAAGAGTAAATAATATGATGATGATATAAATAACATTGTATTGTATATTGACTTCTCCTTTTTGTTTCCACACCAAACGCTAATAGAAAAAGAAATCGCCAACTAATATCATAGAAACTATGACACCAATTCAAATCGATGGACCTACTGAATCTATTATACCCTTTTTACAAAATAGAAATACACATTCTTCAACTCTTAGATTAGATACATCCCTTTCTAAATTCTTTTGAATAAAAATCATAATATATCATTACCATACCATAATGACAGATTGAATTTTACTTGTTTCCTTTTTTGGTTTGGAAGTCAGCTTATAAAAAACAGGGTGAAGTATCGCCTGTTTTTCATTTTTCATTTTTTTTTTTCTTTCATTTTTTTTCAACTCATCCTACAACAAAAAGAAGAATAAGATGGATGACCTGCTTGACCTTAACTGGTCAGACAACAACTTTTCCCAACAACAGCAACGAAAACAACAACCGAAGCAATCGAATGATGTCTTTGCCGACCTGCTTTCTTTTTCTTCTTCAAAACCCAACACTGCACCTTCCCTCAATCAGCAGCGTCTCCAACAACAAGAACAACGACAACAGCAAACAACACTTATTCCTTCTTCTTCTTCTTCTTCTTCTCCTTCTATTACTCGTGTATCTGCTAACAACTCAATTTCATCATCTTCATCTACAACATCCAGTATAGCAACAACACCAAGACCATTACAACAACCACTTGCTCCAAGTCCAAAAATATCAAATAATATATCGTCTACAACAACATCAACAACAACAACAACAACAACAAATGCTCTTGACTCTTTAGATGAATTGCTGGATCCTTTTGGCAAGTCAAAGTCGAAACAACAATCTAATCTTCCATTGAATGCTTTGTAAGTTCCCACCAAAAAAAAAAAAAATCTAGGACTTGACGTTTTTCTAACCTTTCCTTTCATACCTACTTCGTTCTTTTTCTTCTTCATAATATTAGGCGATCCCAAACAGTAGAAACTGCTTCGAGTTCAGGTGCGAGTAGCCCATGGAATTTTGACTTATTATCTCCAGAAACTGTCAATGTAAGTGATAAAACCAACAAAGTCCAAAAATAGTATATTCATTTCTTTCTCCCCTTGTATTTAGACTTCCTCTGTTACTTCTTCCGTTGATCAATCTGATCATAACAACAACAACAATAATAATAATATACCATTGGATCCGTTCGATATGGATTCCTTGATGAACGTTACAAATACAGTTGATTCCAATCCATCATCCAGTGTCCCTATGGAATATGGTGAATATAATGATGACGATGATGATGATGATGAAAGCAATCCTCTAGGTCTTTTGGCACAACCTGTCAGCAAATCAATCAAGCATATTGTAAGTTACTATATGTTATCCTCTAGACATTCAACTTATTTGAGGTTTTGTTACTATAGGACAATTCGATTGATACACTTGAATCCAATGATGACTTGTCTCAAAGGTCATCCATTCCTGATCCAACAAAAAAATCCAATCAGAATAATAATGAACATGGTCGACAACAACAACAACAACAACAACAACAACAACATGATTCGCTTCTTGCGCAGCTGGTTGATATGGGATTTGGTGTGGAAGAATCTCAAGTTGCATTGGAAGCCAGCGGTAATATTGATTTACAATCGGCTATTGATCTCATAGTACAACAGACGGAAGCTCTAAGACGACAACAACATGACAACAAACAACAAAAGACTAATGTACAAGATAACGATGATGGAACCTCAACGCCTTCCTCAGCTACATCAGAAACTTCTTTCCAACAACAAAAAGAACGACTCGTCTCACAGGCAACTGAATTGGGTGGTTATTTTTACAAGAATGCTAGTCTCCTTGTGAAATCTGGAAAACAAAAAATATCAAAAGCCATGGAAGAATACAAAGTACAACAAACGCAACAACGACAAGGACGACCCAAGTGGATGACGGAAAGTAATAATGATGACGAATCTTGGTCAACAACAGATGGTGTTATCAATGATAGCAATGGGTCGGGCACTATGGAAAAGTTTGTTGACAGCGATGACGATAACGAAAATAGCAATGATAGGCCGGATAGACAAATGATTGAAAGGATGGAAGAGGAACGACGTCACCTGGAAGCTTTACGACGCAAACAACAAAAGGAACAAGAAAGACAACGCCAACAAAAACCTGTCTTTAGATCACGACTAGTAGCAGATGATGATGATGATGATGATGATAAGCAGTACATTTCCCCATCGCGACGACGACAGCCTCAACAACAACAGAAACAACAACAACAGAAACAAACTCCTTCAGCAATTAATGGAACAAGAACTGCACCTGCAACTAAACAACCTACTCGAACTATTGTTGAAGCCTCGCCTACTGTTCTAACATTAGTAACAGAATGTCGTCAGAAAGGAAACGAACTCTACAAACTGGGACAATTTGGGGATGCGGAAGTGGCCTATTCAGAAGCAATTGAACTATTACCTACTGGACACTATCATTCTATTCTTCTCAGTAACAACCGCGCTATGACAAGATTGAAAACGGGACATTACAAACAATGCATTGAAGATTGTGATATAGTTCTGGATATAGCTGGTGATATGGCAGAAGGAAATGTGATGACACAAGGTGGTATTGAAATCAATGCAAAAGATCAAATCATCAAGGCATTACATCGAAAATCAGAAGCTCTGGAACATATGGAAAAGTACTCACAAGCTTTAGCCACGTATGAAGAATTGACCAAATGGGAAGGGACTGGCAATATCAAGGTGAATCAAGCGTTGGCAAGATGTCGAAGAATTGTACACGGATCACCACCTGCAAAACCATCTCCAGCTAGGAAAAAAACACCTAAGATTGTTAATGATTATAGCGAGAGCAAGGCAGTATCAGCAATGCGAGCACAGGCGGCACAACAAGATGCGGATGATGCAGAAAGGTTGGCCAAGACAGATCAAGTGAACGAAAGAATAGCGAAATGGAAACAAGGCAAGGAAACAAATCTGCGGGCATTATTGGCAACTTTGGATACTTTACTATGGTCAGAAGCAAATTGGAAAAGTATTCAAATGAGTGAATTGATTCAACCCAAGAAATGCAAAATCAATTATCTCAAGGCTATTGGAAAAGTACATCCTGATAAGGTAATATATATATATATATATATATAGACAATAGATAGATTGTATTCTGATGATAATCTCTCTCTCTCTTATAGTTACCAGCAACTGTGACAGTAGAACAACGTATGATTGCTAGTGGCATATTTACTGTTCTCAATCAAGCATGGGATACTTTCAAGACAGAGAACAATTTGTAATACTCTTTTGGTTATTGGTTTGGTTTCCGATTCATTTTTATTGGCCATCCGGTGGCTTATTCCTCTGTCTCTTTTTTTTTTTTTTTTATACTCCCTTTTTTTTGGCTGTGACACCTTTATTCCCTTTTTTTTTTTTTTTTTTTTTTTTTTTTACTCCTCCACTTTTTTTTTATTTTCCATACCTTTTTTTTTCCTTTTTTTTCTTTATTACTTTTTGATCCATAGATGGTAAATATTATACATTCTACAAAATAAAATAAGAAAAGATGATTTAATATTTTATTTGACTTGATCTATAACACTCATTATTCTTTGTTTTTTTTTTGTAGCCTCAAAACGAGCATATTGAAGAACACATCAAACGACATGGTCGTCGTTTCGATCATGAAGAACGAAAGTAAGCATATACGGTGGAAAAAACAAGGATAAATGGATATTAATATATATTTTCTTTTTTTTTTGTAGACGTAAGAGGGAAGCACGTATGGCACACAAGAACTCTCAATTCGCACAAAAGGTTCATGGATTGCGGGCCAAACTTCACAACAAGAAACGACATGCGGAAAAGATTCAAATGAAGAAAGCCATCAAGCAACACGAAGAAAAGAATGCCAAGCAAAAATCGGCAGATGCTATTCCTGAAGGAGCCGTACCTACTTATCTATTGGATCGTGAAGGAGAAGATCGTGCCAAGGTATTATCCAATATGGTTAAGCAAAAGCGTAAGGAAAAGGCTGGTAAATGGGCAGTACCTCTCCCAGCTGTACGTGGTATGGCCGAAGATGAAATGTTCAAGGTGGTGAAAAGCGGAAAAAGCAAAACCAAGTCATGGAAACGTATGGTCACTAAAGCTACCTTTGTTGGTGATGGATTCACTCGAAAACCTCCAAAATACGAACGATTCATTCGACCTATGGGTTTACGATTCAAAAAGGCTCATGTTACTCATCCTGAACTCAAAGCTACTTTCCAATTACCCATTATTGGTGTTAAGAAAAATCCTCAATCTCCTCTGTATACTCAACTTGGTGTTATTACAAAAGGTACTGTCTTGGAAGTCAATGTATCTGAATTGGGTTTGGTCACAACTGGTGGTAAGGTTGTTTGGGGGAAATATGCTCAAGTTACAAACAATCCTGAAAATGATGGGTGTATCAATGCTGTATTATTAGTATAGTTTGTCCCTATTTTTTTTACATACATACATTTTTTTTTTATCTATTCCTTCTTCTTTTTTGTGTATTATTCTATTCTTTCATCATCATTAGTTGTCTTCTATTCGTTACCCTCATCATCACCTCTTTTTTTTTATTTATTTATTTATTATTGTTACATACATTATCATTTTATTATAGTTCATCATTCAATACACTTTTATTCAATAATAAATGACAGAATTGAAAAATAAGATGTTGCAAAAATAGGAAATAAAATATTGTAAAGGTAGAAAATAGATGACAAAAGAAAAAATCCAAATTGAATACAAGAAGAAGAGGAAGAAGAAGAAGAAGAAGAAGAAGAAGAAGAAGAAGAAGAAGAAGAAGAAGAAGAAGAAGAAGAAGAAGAAGAAGAAGAAGAAGAAGAAGAAGAAGAAAAGGAGTGACAGTACTGTTTTTTTCATAAGAATTGGCGGAGAGGAATAAATAATTTGCGTAATTGAATAATATGATTTGCGGGTGAAAAAAGTGTGATTTGCGTTGTATTGATTATACCAAAAAGAGAATATACAAAAAAAAAAAAAAAAAAAAAAGAATAGAAAGAGAAATATGATGAGTAAGTAGTCGTTTTTTTTTTTGATACTTACAACCGAAGTTTAAACGTCGCAGGTTTTTGCTACCCGGATTAAGCATATAGCTCAAGCATAGAAAGAAATGGAATAATGCTAGGCTTATGAATCTCCCCGCCGCAATCGTGCTCAACCTTTTCATTCATTGGAACGACGCACAGTTTCGAATCACTCTTGATAGCCAAGCTTCCAAATCCTTCTAGCCACCGAATATGATCCAAAATCATCTTTTTATTTTTCTCGCTGAAAAAGAAAAACAAAAAGACGATTTTGGATCATAGAATCACTAATTCAAAAGTATATATAAGGAGTTAGTTTCATTCTTCTTGTTGACCAAATAAAAAAAAAGGATCTTACCATAATATGATTTGTACGATAGATGATCAAATAATATATCAAGACAGTGTATGAATGTCAAATAAGAAAAGGATAAAGAAAAAGACAAAGAAATAAAGAAAGATCATGGAGGAGTATTTTATAGAAAATGATAAATTTTTTGCTGAGGATGCTAAGAATAAAAAGGGGTTGTTAATTCTTTCTTTGTTTTTCTTTTTTTTTTTTTTTTTATCAGTCATCGGATAATGATGGTGATTGATTTTCATTCATGATAGAAAAAAAGAAACAATGAAAAAAAGGAGCTTACTTTTTCTACAATAGTTTGGTTCTTTTTCATAGGGATGCTAAGAAACAAAAAGGGTATGTTCTTTTTATCACTCATCTGATGATGATTGCTTTTTATTTATTATAGGAAATAGTGATGCTAAACAAATAAAAGAAAGCTTCTATGGTAAGTTGGCTCTTTTTCATGGGATGTTAAGGATAAAAGGGGGTGTTCTTTATCAGTCATCGGATGATGATGATTGTTTTATTTACTATATAGGAAAAGGTAATGAAAAAAGATCTTGCCTTTTCTATAGAGGGTAGGTTCCTTTTCATGATGACGCTAAGAATAAAAGGAGCTGTCCTTTTTATCAATCGTCGGACGATTGTGATTGTTTTTCATTGATGATAGATAAAACAAACAAATTTTTACCTTTTCCACAATAGTTTGGTTCTTTTTCATAGGGATGCTAAGAATAGAAAGAGATGTAAATTATTATTATTTTTATCAGTCATCGGGTAATGATTGATTTGCATTGATTATAGAAAAAAGAGTGATGACAAACAATGCAAGAAAAAAGAACAGGTTTTGCTGTTGAGAACAACCAAATTATTGATTTAGCTATGACCATTAAGAAGACTATAATAAAGAACAAGAAAGCTTCTATTGATATCATCAATCATCAATCATCAATCATCAATCAATGTGTTTTGATATACTCAAGAGCGATATCTGAAAAAAGTGGTAATGAGACATCCACTTTGGCAAAGACCGATATTTTATTTATAACATAACTATTTTCTCGTGACCCGACAAGAAATTTTGAATCAATTAATTAATCTATCTACAAACTGTATCTAATCTATATAAAATACTAATTGTAATCAAACAAATGCCCAAAAGCATAATCCACGTTGTGTTCAGTCATCCATTTTTTCAACATGACCAAATCACTATGATTTCGAAATTTGCCCGAGGTATCAAACTTGAGTTCCTGCATATTCTTGAATTTTCGAATGGTTTGATTGAATGTATCCATATTATCACATTCAAATCGTTCTTGATATTTAGTCGAAATCTTTTTATGTCCAGCTGGAATATCTGCCCATGAGATGGTCTTGATATCGTTAATGAAAGATGCCACCGACTTGTAATAAAAAAAAAAAAAAGTGAGTTCAATGAATTCGATTCAAAACATCATAATCATTGCTTTTTTATTCCATTTACCTTTTCTGTTCCTTCCAAACAAAGCATGCCTGGTTTTCCACTCATCAAAATGCCAGTGATATCATAATTGGGTGCCCAAGAGACAATATGACCTCTTTTTTCCTTGGTATATATCATGGGTAACCAAAGCCATTCACGGATACATTTGACAGGACCAGCTGATTCTTGTTGTTGTTGTTGCTGTTGTTGTTGTCGTTGCTGTTGAGTATATGCTTCTAGAATAGGTGCCGCTATAGTTGATAATTCGTCTAGAACCATCATAATCAGAGATGCACGGTCATCTTTGTCGATATGTTCTTTATAATGCTTTTTCCAGTGGGCGTCAAAAAGAGCTGATAACTGTTCATGGAGGGATCGATGTAACCAGGGGCTCTGTTGCGTCGTCGAAATCTTCATGTCACATCGTTGTGGTTCAGTTAGCCATATCATGATATCGACCACCAAGATCAAAGGAGTTTCATCGTTGTCGTCTGCGAGATGGATACTGACTTGGAAAGAAATGGTATGTTCTTTGATATTATCGAGTCTATCTTGTAAAGTACATGCTTCACGATATTCAACCAGTTCGTCGTATAAAAGCTGGTCGCTCTTGTTACGGAATCGGAATTCATCCCCATAATATACAGACTGGATCAGTTCAATGGTTTCTATGGCATGTCCAAGTGAAGATTCTGTCACGAACATGCTTGGATGTTCAGATCAAAAAACAAAAAAAAAAAAAAAAAAAAAAAAAAAGAAAAGAAAAGAAAAGAGCAACTAAAAAAAAATGGCGGGAAACAAAAGGGAAATAGTTCAAATAGAGCAGATGAAGAGTGATTCGAATTCTAACACACACACACACATACACAGATGTCACATACACTCACACTTTCTCACTTAATTGGTCAAGGTAGGATTCTTTTGAAATTAACAAGAAGAAATCATTGGCTTCAATGACCCTGTGATATTCTACTGATTTTTACAAAACAAAGGTTTTTTCATAAGCAATACCAAAGGAATCCACTGCATCTACTATAATGATCATCTCCTCACATAATAGAAAAAAAAAGCATGGGATGAATAAGGAAACGGAAACCCTGAACACATCTCAACACCAGTCCGGATAAAAATAATACTTTGTTCTATAAAAGAGAACAAGGATGACTTCCGAAAAAATCGTCTATTGTTTGATGAGACTGTTTAGAAGCATTTATATCTATATATATTTGTCATGATCAAAATATAGATTCCTTGTTTATTTTATTATTATCCTTTTGTTCATTTTTATTTTATGAACATCCTCCTTTTTGTTGTCAAGTTGTCCTCATGGCGTGGCGGAAATTCAATAGAGTTCAAAAGCAAGCCGAAAAAAATGAAAAAAAGATTTTCCTACCAGAAAAAGGGTTCAACTCCCTTTCTTTTATATATAACACCCTCTCTTCTTCTTCTTCTTCTTCTTTTTTTTCTTTTTTTTCTATTTTTTTATTTTTCCATATATATCAATACATAGTTTACTCATGAAGGAACTTGACAATAATGAAAAGGACACAACTCAACTAGGCATCATTGGGGCTGGTGGTATGGGTAGATTTTACGCGCAACGATTATCAGCTGCTGGCTGGAAACAGTAAAGTTGAGATATATATTTATCAAGCTTTTGATCTTTCTGTTTTTATATTATATATTTATTCGCTTTTTTTGTTTTGTTTTGTGATCTATATAGAGTATTCGTTTGTGATTTACCTGAAAAATATGAAGCTCTCAAGGAAGAATACAAAGGTAAGAGTAAATTGACTTGACAGGAACAGAATATATATTCAAGGATACACGAATTTTATATATTCTTTTCTTTTATATAGATAGCGACATCAAAGTGTTACCTGATGGTTACCATATCTCGAGACGATGCGATTGGATCATGTATGCTGTAGAAGCTGAACATATTGAAGCTGTTGTGGCAAAATATGGACCTGGTAAAGCAAACGTTAATAGAAGAGAGCTATACATAGAAATAAAACATGACTTATATTCTATTTGTTTGTTTATTTCTTTTTAGCAACCAAGATAGATGCCATTGTTGCAGGCCAAGTAATACAAAAAAATTATACCCTGAAAAAAGAAATGAACTAAATTGTATTTATTGATAATAGACATCTGTCAAACAACCTGAAGTGAATGCTTTTATCAAACATTTACCATCTGATGTTCATATTATATCTTGTCACTCTATGCATGGCCCTGGTGTTAACCCTAAAGGACAACCACTGGTGGTAACTCGCGCTCGAGCCACAGATGATAAATATGAATTGGTGCTACGTATTTTGTCATGTTTTGAATCCAATATGGTACATCTCTCTGCTGAAGAACATGATCGAATCACAGCTGATACTCAGGCAGTTACTCATGCTGCTTTCTTAAGGTAAAATAATAATGATGATGATGGTAGCGATGACTAACTTTTATATATATATATATATATAGTATGGGAAGTGCATGGAAAGCAAATAATCAATTCCCAGTAAGTTGAGATAAAATCAAATAAAAGGATAAATGACTGTAATGATTTTATATATATTTATATAGTGGTTGATTCCTCATTTTGTCGGTGGAATCGAAAATGTTAAAGTGAATGTGGCATTACGTATCTATAGTAATAAATGGCACGTTTATGCAGGTAAAAAAAAAAAAGATTACGGTAGGGGTCGATCGATACTTATGATACTTTTATTATTGTTATTATTCTTATTATTATTAGGTCTTGCTATTATGAACCCAATTGCCAAGATTCAAATTGCTCAATATGCTCGTTCTGTTGCGGATCTATTCAAACTTATGATACAAGAAAAGGAAACTGAATTCCGTGCCAGGATCCAAGCGGTAAAGCGAAAAAAAAAGAAAAAAAGAAGCAAGATACTAACGTTTTTATTTTGCATAGGCCAATGCATTTGTATTTGGTGGATTACAAAAAGATCATGTGCCTATCTTATTATCAGATGAAATTCTTGATGAATTTTCATTATCCAAGATGCCCAAGGAAAAACGTGAACCTAACTCTCATTTATCTTTGTTAGCCATGGTGGATTGTTGGTATACTTTAGGTTTGAATCCTTATGAACATATGGTTTGTCAAACACCCTTATTCCGATTATGGATGTAAGTGACAACAAAGAACTAATTAAGGGGAAAGCTAGAATTAATCTTTTTTTTTTCTTGATAGGGGTATTACTGAATATCTATATCGAAGTGAACATATGTTAGAAGATGCTATTCAAGCAGCATTATACCGAAAAGAAATTCGACCTGATGATATGGAATTTGTTACCTGTGCACGTGGATGGGCTGAATGCGTAGAATTAGGTAGTATGGATGGATATGAAAAACGGTTTTCTGGCACTGCCTCCTTCTTTCAAGATCGATTTGCTGAAAGTAACGTGGTGGGGAACAAGATGATTGCCATGATCTCAAAGAATGTGGAAAAAATTTAGTCTAGTCTTATCAGTTAATCTATATAGAAATCAAATAAAATGTTTCTTTTTATAGTATTTGGTATTCTTCTTTATATATTTATATTGTAAACAGTTTATTGTAAAAGATAACAAAAAAAACAATAGATACATGTCAAAATAAATAAAAAAAAAATTCAGGGTATGAAAAAAAAAAAAATAGGTACTGGCCATTAAACAGCTACAGAAGGTTCAATAGAGCATCGGTTATTGCATGAGTATAGTTTTTCGGATTTATCATCTTGAACAATCATATTCGTTGTTGTTGTTGCCAATGATGGTTGATGAGGTTGACTAAAGATAATTTGTTTCATTTCTTGATTAGCTCTATCAGGATGATTTACATAATCGATTCTACAAAAAGATAAGAATGATGAGATTATTTTTTTTTTTTTATGATTGATATTAATATGGAAACAGACTTACTTTGTTCGATGAGTGAATTGATAATCACCATTTTCCAGCATAGAGAAGAATCGTGGAGTCCATTGTGTACCATTCTTTTCCCGTTCCTGACGTAATTGACGTTGAGAATGTTCAATAGCAGTTTTCGCAGCGGTGGCACCATCCAAATCATTTGTTTTCAATCCTTTTGTCACCCCAGACCATAATCTATCATAATGAATAGAAAATATTCAGTATATTCAATCATTTTTCATTTTATTATTACCTTCTTGATTCATTTTCTTCTTGATTTTCCTCAGGTTCCACTATCTTTGGATGTATCACTGCCCCTTTGACTGTGAACAGCGGTTCCTTAACTTTGTTCTATAAGCCCAACCAAAAACAATTGCCCCATGATCACATACAAAAAAAGAAAAGGAAAATTATTAATGTATATATACTATGATAATGATGATCCTTTCTTTTACCTTGACAGATTTGATAAAAAGTTCACTTGTCCAAGTACCAGAGATTTCATATAATAATTCTCCAGTCGATGCTTTCTTAATCTTACCCACAACTGCATGGTATTGTCCAGAGAAGAATCCTTTGGTTTTGAAGTCCAGCTCCGCAATCAAATCACTGGTAACACATTTCACAGTACATTGATCCCCCAATTCCATCAACATCTTTCCAACTTAAAAAAAAAAAAGATGGGAAGGAGGAGAAGAATGAATAGGGGAGGGACAGAAAGAAAACAAGAAAGAAAGAGGGAGGTTAATGCATCAATTATTCTATAGATATTCTCTTTTTATTTTTGACTTACATAAAACACCCCTAGCATAAACATTTGGATTGGTGATTTCATAAGTTTCATTATGATGCTTAGCAAAAGTAAGACGAGAATAACCACACATGATAGTAGCAGCACTATTACCAAGGAATCGAGCTTTAGGTCTAGCTTCACCATCAATAATGATACCATGTTCAGGATTTGCATAATGATAAGCCGATACAGGAGGATGATGAGATACTTGTTCTGCAATATAGTAAGCTTGAGATCCATCTTTGAATTCATATCGACATCTAAAAAATTCTCCAAGAATAGGATTGTATGGTTTTTTCACACCCTAACAAAAAAAAAAATATAGAATTAAACTATTAAATATATATATATATAAAAATAATATATAATTACCTTTGGTTTAATATGCCATCCAGATAAAAAGTATTTCACCACAGCAACAAATCTTTCCGTTGGATCGGATAAAACAGAAGCTCTATTATATATTTATGATAATAAATAATAATAATAATAATATCAGTAAGAAATATAATGTATAATGTATTAAATATATTAAATATATTTTAACTTACTGTTCAGCTAATTCAGGATGAGCCATAAAGTCAGTAATCTTTTCCAACATACTTCTTGGTTCCAATACAAAGGTAGGTAAAGTAACTCTTGATAAATCCATATCTTTACTAAGTTGTTTGATAATACCCATCAATATACTTCTTGAACCTTCTTCTAATACTTCAGTATTTTCAGCATCGTCCGTTGGGATATCACACACATCAGAGTTTTTTCTATTCATTGCACAAAAAAAAAAAAAAAAGATGGGGGAATATATGTATAAAAGAGAAAAGAAAAATTAAATAAATGGAAAGAAAAGAAGGAAAACTAACAAAAAAAAAAAAATCAGATCCTAAAAAAAGTGGATAACGCCGGAAAGAGAAAAGGGGAGATCGAGTGGTTTGCATTCCGACCGAACCATTCATTGGTTAGTTGGTCGAAATATATCGTGTGTCCACACTTTTTTTTTTTTTTTCCTTCCTCTTTACAAAATTCAAGGTAAATGATCTATACCATTCATCCATCCATCCATCCATCCATCCTATCTTCTTTTTAATTGATTTTCTTTATATAAACGATTCAAAGAAATTCATATACACATTCGATATCATTATAATATATACATACAGATAAACTTCGATATTGACCTATAGAAATCTTCTTTTTTTTTTATATCTTTATATATAGTCATGGTTGCTTTGAACTTACCTGCTGACGTCTTGGCCAGCGCTGATGGCTCTCGCAAGCTTTTCAACAAGTGGTCTTATGAAGATGTTGAAGTTAAGGATATCTCTCTCCAAGATTACATCCAAGTCCGTCAACATGTGTACTTGCCCCACACTGCTGGTCGTTTTGCTGCTAAGCGTTTCCGTAAGGCTCAAGTAAGTTATAAATAATTTAATATATATATATATATATATATTATATGATATTGATTCCTTATGTTATTATAATTACTATTTATTTATTATTAGTGCCCTATTGTCGAACGTTTGACCAACTCCCTTATGATGCACGGTCGTAACAACGGTAAGAAGTTGTTGGCTGCTCGTATTGTTCAACATGCCTTTGAAATCATCAACTTGTTGACCGACCAAAACCCCGTCCAAGTCCTCGTCGATGCTATCATCAACACTGGTCCTCGTGAAGACTCTACTCGTATTGGTTCTCAAGGTACTGTCCGTCGTCAAGCTGTCGATGTTTCTCCTCTCCGTCGTGTCAACCAATCCATCGCTCTTCTCACCACTGGTACTCGTGAAGCTGCTTTCCGTAACGTCAAGACCATTGCTGAATGCCTCGCTGATGAATTGATCAACGCTGCCAAGGGATCTTCCAACTCTTACGCCATCAAGAAGAAGGATGAACTTGAACGTGTTGCCAAGTCTAACCGATAAATATCTTTTACATATTTATCATTCATTTTGTATACAATTTTTTGCCCAGTTTTTTTTGATATTTACAAATAAAAAACCGTTTTTCCAATAAAATGTATGCTTGAAGGAAAGGGGGTAAAATGATAATGGTTAAATGGTGATATTTAGGTGAACTGATGATGGATAATAACGGGTATGGTGATGATGAACTTTTTATCAATGGACAATGGGCGCAGTTTCAAAGTGAAGCTTACAAGGTTCAAAGATTTCTGCTTTTCTTTTTTTTTTTTTTTCTTTATTCTTTTTTTCCGTTTTTTTTTTTTTTTTTTTTTTTCTTTTTCTATCTATTTCTTCACCTCTTCAGTTTCTTTGGCATCTTCCAAATGAACCATTGAATACTGGTTTATTTTGACATTTTATTTACTTGTACTGTTAACAAGAAAAACAACACATGTAAAGCGAATCATATATATGAATATAGCAAAAGACCTTCTCTTTTTTAGATCCTAGTTAACCTTTTTTTTTTTTTTTTTTTTTTTTTTTTTTTTACTGACACTTATTTTGATAGTACTTTTCTTCAAAGCAATAAAAAATAGAAATATAGTCTGGATGCGATGCCAAAACCTACCAACCGTGGAAAGATACATCCGGAAACTTCCTTCCATTCAAAACCATCTCGTACCCCTCTGACTACTGACGACGACAATATTATTATACGCTGTCCATGCGGTTATAAAGAAGATGATGACTTTACTATCCAATGCCAAAAATGTCTTACCTGGCAACATGGCAATTGTATGAACGTTACCTCTCAGCATCTTCCTCGACAATATATCTGCGGCTCTTGTATATATCAAGAAGGTGATCCAATGGCTACTGAGACTACGACTGCAATATCAACAATTCCATTACGACAACAACAACAACAACAAGAAAAAGAAGAGCATTCAACAATAGACATACAACAACGAGAACAACAACAACTTGCTGTCAAACAGAATAAAATACATCACCTGGGCAAAAAACTATTCGGCAAAAAATATACAAAAGGCGACCTTCGGGATATTTCCAAAAATGTATTTACAACTGACACAACAACAATCAAGCAAGAACTTCCGTTATCCAATAAAAGGCAATCGCTGAAACGACGTTCAATACTCTATGATGATGATTTGAAAAACAATAATGAAGATAGTGAAGATGATGATGAAATAGTTACCCCGTATGACTATTCTACAACTTCAACCCGAACAAGAACCAAATTTGAACAGATTTCTCGAAATATTATAAAGTCCAAACTGGTGAAACAAACAATGAAAAGAGCTTATGATCAATGGCAAATAAACGGTATTCATACTGATATGGTTACAAATATGGATTCTTCGACATTAGCCCCCTCCATCCCAAAGGTATCTGTACATCCTATTTGGAAATCTCTTTTGGGTAGAACGAACAACAAAAACGATCCCTCTGTCCGCAATGGTGTATTTGCTGAAATCCATGTACCTGAACAACGATTTTTGATGGAAATCAATGGTGAAATCTCTATCAAATCTGATTATAAGAATGATACTACTTCCCTGTATCAGTTATTACATACACCTGAAGATAAGATGTTCTTTTATCCTTCTCTGGACTTGATGATTGATGCTAGATGTTGTGGAAACGATTCTCGATTTGTACGGCGCTCATGTTACCCAAATGCTAGGACAAAGTGTATCAATTTACCCAACAACAAGGACGATCAAACTGTGCATCTTGGTTTGTTTACTATGGAAGATATTGACAAAGGTGAAGAAATATCTATTGGTTGGGAATGGTTACAAGGATCTGTTATATGGGATATTTTCAACTTTTGGAAAAAACAACAACAACATCAAAAACAACAGCAACAACAATTTTTTATTATGGATAACACCAAAAATCAACAATTGAAGAAGATGTTAGCTGTATTCCAAGAAGAATTTAGCGAATGTGCCTGCCAAGATAAGGATCAATGCTTTGTGGAATACCTCAAGCAAATCTGCTCGAAAACCACCAAAAAGGAAAAACAACGACAACAACGAAGACAACGAACGAATAGCAGTAGTGAGATTAAATCGGATGATATTACCACTATCCAACAACAACGACGATCTAAAGATAATATATCGACAATATCACCTTCCTCCTCATCCCAATATGATGAACATCAACAACAGCGAATTTCCAAGACCATTGGGGCAAATAAGCGTCGACGTAGCAAAAAGAGTCATGCAGATATTGCAACAACTAGTGTGGCCGCCAAAAATGATCTCTTCTTCGCCTCTTTACCAAGTTCGCAATCAACAAATCCTGTTCAACATCACAAATATTCTATACCACCATTAGCACATGTTACAACAAAAGTGGAAGAAAAGAAAACAATCGAATCACCAATACAACTTAACAAACAAGAACAAAGCTTACCAACTGGCAGATTACCATGCAAGAAGGCTTGGATGAAGGCTTATTTGGCAGAAACCGCAAATTCACGACCATCAACACTACCTTTTGAAAGTACACTTGATCGAAAAAAGAGTATGACTGATGGTAAACTTGACAAACAAAAAAAAAATATCTTTGTAGAATGTGATTAACACTTTTTTTCCCGGTTTTTTTTATTAGACTTTTGGAATGACGAACACACTACTTTAATAAAATCACCTGGTCCAACAAAATCATCATCGATTAGTGGGATGGAAAAAGATGAGGATCATACTGCAATAACAAAAGATTTAGTGATAAATGACAGTTCAACTACTCTCAATACCGTAGATTATAGTGATGATCCAATCACAGCGATGACAGCAACCACTACTATTATTTCAACATCAAAATCAACAACATCAACTATGTTTACCAACTCGGCGGAATCTTCATTACTCAACAAAGACCACGGATTAGATCTCACAACACCTGCAGCCAAACCTGTCAAGGCCAAATTATCTCTTCAACAATATTTATCCATGCATAAGTTATCAAATAGCAACGACAGTAAACTTCCTTCAAGATGACGATCCTATTGACCTTTCCTTATCCCTTAGTATACAATTAAAAAAAAAAACTCAATACATACACATTCTACTTCCTCCCTCTCTTCCTCTGTATATATAGTTCCATTTTATATTCTACTCCTTGATTCTCTTGTATATTTTAATTTTTTTTTTTTTCCTTTCAAAAACCTGAATTTTTTCTTCTAATAATTATTTCGATTAAAGACAGTATCATATTATATTATTTCGATTGAAGACATATTATTTGTATTGATTAGTGTACAATTTCGATCTACTTTTCGTATTTTTTTATTCATACTATGATGTTTCAAAAAAAAAAAAAAAAAAAAAACTATGACTAGGAACGATAATCCGCATTGATAGTGACATATTCATGACTGAGATCACACGTCCAAAACTTGGCATCACTAGATCCCAAACCCAAGTCAACTTCGATCCATAAATCTTCCATCTTGAGAATTTCCAATGCACGGACTTCATCCACAACTTCGGGTTCACCTTTGATCATCAGCGGTAAGGGCTTGGAACCATCACTAGGTATAAATGTCACACTGACTTTGGTAGGATCCACGGTAACACCACTGTGTCCCAAACTTGCACAAATACGACCCCAATTAGCATCTTGTCCATAAAGAGCAGTCTTGACGAGTTTGGAGGTTGAGATATGAGAAGCCGCCTTTTTTGCAGATTCAAAGGATTCACCATTCTTGACATGGATAGTGACGAATTTTGTCGCGCCTTCACCATCACGCACCACCAATTGAGCCAATTCAGCAGCAAAATCAGTCAGACGATCACGGAATAATAGATAGGAAGGATGGGTTTCATCATCAATGATCACACCACTAGCACCATTTGCCAAGACAGAGATAGTATCGTTGGTACTCATATCCCCATCAATGCTGATAGCGTTGAAGCTCCGATCAACTGCATAAGTCAAAGCCTTTTGTAATAATCCAGGCGCAACATGAGCATCCGTGACCACAAAACCAAGCAACGTCGCCATATTGGGATGAATCATACCAGCACCTTTCGCAATACCCGCCATGCTGAACGTACCATTGTTAACCTTGAAAGAACCAGACAATAACTTGGGGAAAGTATCCGTCGTCATAAATGCCTCTGCCGCTTTGATCCAACCTTGATCATGATCTGCTGATAAGACTTGGTAAGCCTGTCGAATTCCAGGTTCTAGTTTGTCCATGTTGAGTTGTTGTCCAATAACCCCTGTTGACATTACTAAGGCCGAGTTGACATGACCTGTCAATTCATCCATCACTCCACGCATCCTTTGAGCATTCACCATACCTTGAGCTCCCGTCACTGCATTGGCACATCCAGAATTCGTCACTACGCCATAAATGTTCTGGTGATCATTGTCTTGAAGTGTTTGCTTGCTGACCATGACAGGAGCTGCCTTGAATGCATTTGTCGTGAACACCGCCGCCGCTGAACATGGCCGTTCAGATACCACCAATGCCACATCCTTGTTGCCATTCTTCTTAATCCCACACGCTACACCAGACGCTCGGAAGCCTTGAGGATATGTACCCGTCTTGGCAATAAACGATTGCTTTCGTGCACTAAGATGGCTATACCCTTGACTACTGTACCATAATCGTTGTCTGCCCAATGTCATCCATGTTGCCGTCGTTGATGTACTATGAGCTGAAAAACGTGTGAGAATAATCATGTTGATTGACTTGAGGTATCAAACTTAAAAAAAAAAAAAAAGAAAAGAAAAGAAAAGAAGAGAAATCTTAAAAAAAAAAAAAAAAAAAAAAAAAGGAAAGAAGAGAAATTTAAAAAAGAAAAAGGTGGAGATAAAAAATTAACGTTGGGAGAAAAAATGACTCATCGGTTTGATAAAGACACCAAAAAAGGCAAGTCCAGTATCCAAAGAGTAAAAAAAAAAAAAAAAAAAAAAAAAAAAAGAAGTATGCGCTATTTGCATTATAATCACTCGGTCATACAAAAGAATATTCACTTGTCATCGATAGTTTTGATTCTACACAGCGTTTAATACTTTAATATCTCATCTTGTACGTAGAATAGAAGAAGATAATGTCTCGTCGATCCTTTTTTTTAGGAGGAAATGTCGAGATACTGCTGTATATGGAATGATTTCTCTTTTAAATCTATTCCAGTCTTTTCGTTTGACTATAGCTCTATTTGTAGCTTTTATTTGATTATCACAGTATCATTCGTAAAACAAATCATCCATAATGTATCCTAGGTTAAGTTCTGTTGTAACTTTTTCACGGTTCCTAACATGAACAATATCATCATCATTGGCAGAACTATTCATATAAACAATTCCGTCCCATTTTCATGTATAAAGAGTATTTTTATTGTCACAATGTATATGTATATAAATCAAATATAAAATAGACAGTATCGTGAATGCTGAATGATAAGTTCATATGTAAAAAAAAAAAAAAAAAGGAAATGCGAATTCGTCAAAGAGAGAGAAGTATGTTCCGATGGGTAAGAGATATAGAATGTAAATGAGTAATGTATAAAATCAAAATAAAATAGAGGGTGTTCTATGCGCGGCTACGATCTCGACTACGTTCCAAAGCTATATAGAAGAAAGAAAGAAAGAAAAAATCAATGTTTGTCCATCAGGAGTTATTGCTATTTTTTTTTCTCACAATGTTCACTTACGATTATAATGTAAAAGTTTTTCGATCAGATCAACATGAGTAAGTACCATACGTCTACAACAATAACGCTTCAATCCAAGAGCATCCAGTGCTTCACTATAATATCAAATAAGAGTTATTATAAAGTTGATGTTTATATAACTTCTTGTCTTCATTTACCCTTCAGTGTATTCAGCTTGTAATAAGGACAAGTAGTTATCCCATTTATTACCAATGACCTTGCCACAAGAGAAACAGCGAACAGGAATAATCATGATATCGAAATTGTTATAGTGAAGCTGATATACAAAACAAGAAAAAGAAAAAAAAAAAAAGAAGGTAAAAACAGTTTTTTTTTTCCTTTTTCTTTCAAAACCCTGTCACGCCTTTCCTATTTCAAAGGCCGTTTTCCATATTTGGATGTTCGATGACATTTTCCTCCAAGATGAAAGAGTCATATTATTACAATGCTGCGCCCTATTGATCTAATATAAAATGAGGCGTTCCTCTTTTCTTTTCTTTTTTTTTTTTAATTCTTTCATCTTTTCTTTATCACTTTATCAAAAAAAAAAAAACCAGTATCAATGGAAACATTACAAGGAGAAAGTGTTACATTTGGTGATATGATCCTCATCGGAGATGGTCAAGATAGATACTTAACAGTAAAAACACCTGAAGATACAGAAATGACCTTTCAACCATATGATGAAACAGGTAAATCTCAAAAACTTCTTGTTTGTGGTAGTGGATCAGACAAAGATCATTTTTATTTGACATTCAAATATGCTCGAGGATTTCTACATGTGGATGATACTACATCCAAGGCTAAAAATGGTGCTCCTTGGACAGAAAAAACTATTTTTGATGTTCCACTTTTGAAAAAGTCACTTGGTGTTGACTCTCTTACATTTCATATAAAGAATGATGAATAGAAGAAAAATAGCCCCCGTGAGAAATTATGTGATTCAGTACCCGACTGTAATATTGAAATCAAATAAAAACCCACTCTTTTTTTTTTTTTCTCTTTCTCTTTTTCTTTTTCTTTCTTTCTTGTATATTCATATACTTGTTTTTTTTTTGTATCATACATTATGCGACCTTTCTCATTAGCAACAAAACGACTGGATCAAGTTTTTCGACCAATGATGGCACGACAGGTAAATTAAAAAAAAAAGAATCCTTGTCATATATAATGTGTTCTTATTCAATTTGAATATTCTTTCTCTTAAAAACTAAGGTTCGTTGCTTGTCCACACCTGTGCAAAACAATTTTGTGAAAATAGTTGAAGTAGGTCCTCGTGATGGTCTTCAAAATGAAAAACAACTTATTCCTGCTGAAACCAAAATTGAACTTATTGAACGATTGGCTAATGTTGGTTTACCTGTGGTAGAAGTCACTAGTTTTGTTAGTCCCAAGTGGGTACCTCAGGTATATACATATATATATATGGAACAATCGAAAACTCTCAACCTTTTTTTTTTTTTTTTTTTTTTAGATGGGTGACAATAAACAAGTATTTACATCCATTACCAAGAAACCTGGGGTCGGATATCCAGTGTTAACACCTAATCGTCGAGGATTAGATGGTGCGATTGAAGCTGGTGCAAAGGAAGTGGCTATGTTTACAGCAGTGACCGAATCATTCAATCAAAAGAATACCAATTGTTCTACCGATGAAGCTATCCGACGATTAGCAGAAGTGGCCAAGCATGCTTTGGACCAAAATATTCGCGTTCGAGGTTATGTTTCCTGTGTGGTGGGTTGTCCTTATGAAGGCTCTGTAGATCCTGTCAAGGTAGCTGATATGGCTCAACGATTATATGAAGCTGGATGTTATGAAATAAGTTTGGGGGATACTATTGGTGTGGGTACTGCTGGTTCGATGGCTAGAATGTTGGATCATGTATTGAAGGTTGTTCCTGCTGAAGCTTTAGCTGTACATTGTCATGACACTTATGGTCAAGCCTTGGCAAATATCTTGAAATCTTTGGAATATGGCATTCGTGTAGTGGATAGCTCAGTAGCTGGTCTGGGTAATTTTTTTTTTTTTATATTTATTATTATTCTTTTTTTTTTTTTTTTTTTTTTAGTTTGGTGAATTAAAATGATTCATTTTTTTTTTTAAATAGGTGGTTGTCCTTATGCTCCTGGTGCCAAAGGAAATGTTGCTACTGAAGACGTAGTGTACATGTTGAATGGACTCGGATACAAGACTAATGTAAATCTGGATCAACTTGTGGATGTCGGTAACTGGATCTCTGACAAACTTGGACGTGAAACCAATTCTAGAGCTGGTGCTGCTTTGACGGTGGCTCGTCTTAGAAAGGCTGCCTTGGATTCAAAATTATAGATAGATTAATTGTATAGGATCATCAGTTGAAACGTTATTCATTTGAAATAAAAATGTTTCTTCATTATTGATTATATTTTTTTTTTAATAATTGAAGCAAAACTTGAGTTTTTTAGAGTACTCTTCCGTGAAGGTTGAAAATATCAATTAGGATGATAGAGATGACGATATGGACGATCTATCTTTTTTTTTTTTAATTTACCTATATGTCAAACTGACAGTCTATCAATTTCATAAGGTAAAGTGGAAAATAATGGGTTGTTTGATGTTCTGGTTCAATCTGGTGTGATGATGGTGATTTCTGAGCGAGAAAGGGAAAGGCAAAGTTTTTTGTAAGCTTGTATGCAGGAAAAAAAAAATGAATGGATTTTTGGATTTTACAGCCAAAAATTTCAAATTCCTCAGCCAAACTTTGGCTGTAAAAATAAATCGTCGAGGGTACATCAGGCATTTTTTTGAAAAATCAATGAAATCCTTTTAGTGCTTATTGCACATTAGGTGACAAAGTAAGCGACAAAACGATGTTAGATGATATTAGGCTACTTTTTTGAGAGGAATCTAGTGATGGTAATTGTGGTGGATGATGATCATTATTGAATGAGAGATGATGATATTGACATTGTATCTTTTAATTTATTCTATAAATTGAGAAGTAAGATATGAATTATTATTAAGGCAAATGAAATAGAATGATCTACTATATGTTCAGTATAAATTTGGTGCGGTGAATGATCATCTCTGAGCGAACTACAAAAGTATAAAGAGGTACATGTCTACTCTTGGAAGGTTGCGGAAATTGAAATGCCCCATTTCAACAAAAGAGAAAAAAAATATCTTTCCTTTTTTTTCTCTTTTCTCTTTACATGATATTGTTTGATCCATGCTTCGATGGCAAGAATCAAGAATGAGCCAAAAGAAGATATCATTCCTTTACCTATTAGTGTTACTGGCAGTAGTGGCATAACTCATTGGTACCTTAGTTGGAAAAATTGGCTTTTTTCTCGTCCTTCTCGACCTACTGGTATTTATGTAGATTTTGGCAAGTTTGTTTGGATTCAGCAAGAAGACCATCAATTATATCAACAAGGTTACTTTGGAAAAGGCACTCTTTCTAGAAGCGATCCTACTTGGTATTCTCGTCTGCAACAAGCTCATTGTTAGTAACAATTAAAAAAAAAAAAGACTCCAATGGAATATCATTAGATTAATATACATATGTTTTTTTTTCCTAGCTCAACAACAAATGGCACCAGAACAAGTGACGGCAGCAAGAAGGAAGCAAAGAAAGCAGCAACGCAGAATGAAAGCTCAAGGACAAAGCGTATCTTTTTCGGTTAATCAACCAGTGGATGAATCCGAGAGTTTTGTGGATGATCAACGATCATTGCAGCAATTAGCAGATTGGACTCAAATGGAAAATCAAGAATGCTTTCAGTTAGATCTATTTGAAGCTTTCTTTTTAGTATATGGAATTGATGTATTAGATATTCAGGATAAGGTATATAAGTAGACAAAGGAAGAAGAGGAAGAACAAAAAAAGTACTAATATGAACCTCTTTTTGGACGGATGCAGGAACAACGACTATTAAGTATTGAAGACTGTTGGAATTTATTTAGCCATGCGTTTTCATGTCAACTTCAACCGTGGTGTCAACCTCCCTTAGGAACATCATCAATGAATATGTATGCTGTGAATTACATTGCCTATCACTATTATCGCAGTCAAGGTTGGGTTCCAAAGGATGGATTGAAATTTGGTGTCAATTTTGGTAAGTAATAAATAAGGGATCATCATACATATTGACTCTTCCTTTTTTTTTTTTTTTTTTTTTTTTTGATAAAAGTACTCTACCAATTAGGACCGAAATATCGACATGCAGAATTTGCTGTTTTAGTTATACCATGCATCATGTCAACAACAGAACATCATCACAAGCAACAACAAGACATACTTTATAATTGGACTCATCTTCTCCGCATTAACCGTATTTGTAGTCAAGTGAAAAAGACACTTGTCCTATGCTATGTGACTCTTCCTCCATCTGATATTTGCGATACCTGGCATCTTTCTATTATGAACCACTGTACTGTTAGACAAGTCATTTTGAAACGATGGTCTCCTGAAAGCAATCGTGATTGATTAGACCACAGAAAATGTTGTCAGTGATATTATTATCAAATAAAAAATAAAAATCATGCGTACGTCTGAGTTCTATTATTATTTTATTTATTTACTTCTTGTTTCTTTTGTTTTTTCTCACCTTCTCTTTTTCTTTCTCTTCTCCTGTTTCCTTCCTGTCTCTTTTGTCTCTTTTTTTTTTTTCCTCCTCATTACAACAATGATACATTATTTGGTCTCTCCTTTCTTTAGTTTACATATAAATACGTTATTTTATTTCTACAACAATAAAGATAACTATCTGTTATCTTTGGTCAACAATCACTTTTACATTGTTTTATTCCTTCTACAACAAACAACTAATACATTCCCGTAAGCATTTATATAGTTACTTCTGTTTTCTGTCTGTCTCTCTGTTTACTGATATTATACCATTTTTCCTGTCGTGTTCATGACAGATAGTATTTTTTTTTCTTTTTACCTACATTCTTTAGTCTTTAGTTTACTCTTTGGATGATTTTTATTTATTTATTTAACCAATAAAGTCTGCCAAAAGAACAAGATGCCATCAACAGGGCAAAAACTGGGACAGCACGATGATATAAGGGAATCGACAGATATGGAAACCGAACTGGCATCTTTTGGTTATGTGAAAAACGAATTGAAAAACGTAATATACTACTTGTAAACTGATAGTACTGTATATATTCAATAAAGTCGTATTCCCTCAATAAAGTTTTTTTTTTTTTTTTTTTTTTTTTTTTTTTTTTTTTTTTTTTTTAATAAGAAAAATTCATTTTTGTACTCTTGGATTTTTTAATATACTTTATTTCATCGATCATCTGAATAGAAAATAATCAAGCTGACCTTTTATTTTTATATTTCAGATGATCCGTTTTGAATAGCGAAAAAAAAAATAGTTCTTTAGAATGTAAATAGACCATCAAATGAAAATAAAATAAACATCATTGATCATCTAGTTTATTCACTACATCCTCCTTGCCACAAAATAATAATAAATAAAAAAAATGTCGATTTTTCTTAAAATAGAAGCTACCAAAAAACCAGGCTTCGCCGAGACTCGAACTCGGATAATGAGATTCAGAGTCTCATATGCTAACCATTACATCACGAAGCCTTTCACAGCCCGCGAAACACAACTTTCCTATATATTCTCAAATCCAAATTTGCGCAATTTGATTGGCTGGAAGAAATATCGGGCCGAAAATTTCTTGCTATTGGTTCAAAAATGGAAGCAAATTCTCTAATTTTTTGTACTTTTTTTTTTTTTTTTTTTTTTTGGAACAAAGGGGATTCTCTTTTTTTTTTTTCATTTTGTTTGTTATATTCAATATTTGTAAAAACGTTGATGAATTCCGAACGCTTTGACTTGGACACGATCACCTTTGTTCTTGTTTAGAAAAAAGCAAGCATGGATGCAATGGTAAATGAATTGAACAAGAAGAAAAAAAAAAAAGATAATGCATCAATTATTCTGGTTTTCTCACTACTTTCTATTTGATACTAATCGTAGCAAGGATGCAGAAACAATGCCAAATGAAAAACGTCTCTCAACAAAAGTTCATTGAAACAAGCTACCATTCCAAAAAAAACAATGCTAAAGATGGTTTTTTTTTAAATTCTTCGCGAACGGAGCATCAACCAAGGTAGATGATTTCAACAAACAATCGGGATGAATTCAACAGATTGAAATGAACGCTTACTTGGACGATTAGATTGTGATTGCAGATTCTCACTACTTGACCTCTCAGCACGTAAATCTCAATTTTGTAATCTATTCAACTTCAATAAGTCCCACCTTTACCACAGCGAATAATGGAACAGCATGATGACAACACATCGATGACATCAACCGTACTCTACTTTTTTTTTTTTTGGGTGGTAAATGGTTTGTTACTCAATGGTGGTTTATGGCAACAACTTTTTCATTCTGCTTCCAGTGTTTATATATAGAGGTAAGCAAAAAAAAAAAAAAAAAAAAAAAAAGAAAAACCAACTAATATAAAGAAGAGCAAGTACTTATTACACTACATTGTTTTTCTAGTTTTAGGGAATCGTGCGAATGGATTCTACGTCTTCAAAAATTGGACGGATATTGGCTTCTTCTTGGCGTCTACCTGAACATCATATCATCATTTGTTTATTTCTTACTATTATTTACATGATTAGTCTAGTCAACACTTTTTTTATATATTTTGAAATAAAAAAAAAAAAAAAGACTATTTATTATGCATTTGTTTAATTCATTTCCAATGAAAGTGACTAGAGGGAGAGATCAAGATGAATATGTCGCTTGCAAGGGACAATCAAAAAAAGAAGGAGAAACATCAACAGTGTGTATTTGTTTTTTATTTTTATTTTTATTTGAAGGAAAGAAACAATCTACAACTAGTGATGACTACAAGGAAAAGCTAAGGGGAAAAAAGGGATACTAGATAAGATAATAGAGAATAATGATTAGATATATAGATATAAACAGTAAGACAAAGGTTAAAAAAAAAAAAAAAAAAGATGAAACTAAACTGTATACCAGAAAAAAAAAAAAAAAAAAGGAGGATTAATCTGAAGATGGGTGCGAAGAATCCATGGTATGAGTCGATGCAGAGATATTTGTTGCAGTAGCAGTTGCCATTGTTGAAGCGGGATTGGGTGGAGGAGTAGATGAGATAGGAAGGGCATGCTGATGAATCATCAATTCAAAAGGTGAAGGTGAGCCTACCAGGGTTGTAGATAACAATCCATCATGTCCAGTTGATTTACGTTGTCGTAAAGTGGTATGACCAGTGATAGCGGTGGGCGTGGTGGGTGATGTAGTACTATGATGACGATTGATATTGTCATCGATCTGTCGATCTTCATCATCATCATCGTCTTGTTCTTGAGATGATATCCTAGGAGTTGGATTGCCTGCCTCTAGACGATGTGCTGTTTCCGATGATCCCATTTCCATATCAGTATCTGAAGTCACTACATCATCAAACAATGAAGTCGATTGATCGTGTATATCTGGTGTTCCTGAAGTCGATGGTTGTGTCAAAGTTGTATCATTTGCTGATGCCAATTGTGATGTGCCAATGCCTGAGTTGTTAGTTGGTGCGTTGTTCTTTTTCCCATTGATCTTTTCATGATCCATTCGCAACATGTTTTCCACTTCATCCTTTTCGATCGCAACAGTTGCATCCAAATCAGAATAGGTACGACATAAGGGACAAGAGAATCCAGGGAAGTTTTGAGTCAAAATAGGTCGTAGACAACGATAATGAAATATATGAGAACAAGGAGCAATGAATAAAGCTTGACTTGGACCCATGGAATATAAACAGATACAACATTCTTGAATTTCCAAAGAGGGAGAAGAAGAAGAAGATGATGATGATGCTGATGATACTGAAGATGTAGATATCTGTGGTTGAGGAGATGATGTTGAATCAGTAGTATGTTCATTTTTCTTAGTTGTTGAGATATCCATCAGATGAGTTGATGTTGTGTTTGTGGTATTAGTCATGCTTGAGCGTAAACAGTGCTTCAATTGACGAAATGCTGCCCGACTAAACGCAGTTTGTTTTAAAGAGGGTGATCGGTCGACTTCAAAACGCATCCTAACGGCTCGATACATCGGCTGTACTCCACCTTTGTAATCCACACCTAATTGAATGAGATCACCATCTTGAATAATATAAGGTCGACTACTTGTATTAGCAGGGCTTAATCTTGCACGATTCACAAACGTTCCACTAGAGGACCCAGAATCTTTGATGTATATCTAACACAATAGTAATAATAAAAAAAAAAAAAAAAAAAAAAAAAAACATAAGTATCGTTGGTTTTTCTCTCCCCCTTTTTTATTATTATTATTATTTGGCAAACAATCACTACATTCTCTTCCCTTAAATAACAAAATATCTCCTTTATATATATATTTATATATTTATAAATATAAATATAAATATAAATATATATCCCATCCCTCCCAACCTATCCCCTCGTCTCCTTTGACGATGATTTGATTACCTTTCCATCTTCTTGCCAAATTTCAGCATGACATCGACTAACCACTTTTGATTTGAAGGATAGTCTATCAGAACAAGCATTTCGATCACTATAGCGGCCCAATTTCAATATCACACCAGAATGAAGAGTTCGTTCAATCACATCAAAAACAAAACATCGAGTAGCCATACCAACATTAGGAACAAGTCGGATTCGATGTTCATGAACTTGACCTTGAATAGGATCAGAGGAAGGACCAGCAGAATTCATATCTTCAGTTTCCATAATAGATTCCGTTAGTGAAGTTTGGGGTAAAGAAGCGTCCATTACAGCGATGGTTTGTCGTTGTTCTGTTGCTGAAGCTGTATGACGATGTGAACGACGTAAACTGGCGAAACCTCTTGACAATAGCGGAGAATGTGGTGTAGATGATGGTGGATGAGATGAACTTGTTGATTGACTACGTAGTCTTCCACTAGGCATGATATAATAATGTATGCAATAAAAGTATGTACTGTTGTTGATAAAAAAAAAAAGTTGTTTATTGTAAATGCTTCAAAGTATGATAAGTAAAAAAGAAAAAAAAAGTGAAAGATAATAAGTAAGGTAAAAGAAAAAAAAAAAAAAAAAGAAAGGAAGAAAAATAGAAAAAAGAAAAAAAAAAAAGGAAGGAAGAAAAAAGGACCAAAAAAAAATCAGTTCCAAACAAAATAGAACCCCCTACTTTTTCATATATATACAAAATGATGATAGTCTAAAAAAAAAAGTATTTCATCCCTTTATCCCACGAGAGAGAGAGAGAGCATCCATCAAAAGCCTAATAATTTATAAAGAAAAGTCAGCCCATATGCGCGTTTGCATTATCCTTTGTCCTACATACCATATCGTTTTCGTGCTTGCTGTTTCGCAATTCGTTCTTGAGCGTATCTTTCTTCCAAAGTAGATTCCATACTTTTTGCTTGAGCTGCCAAAGCCATAATATTATTCTTTTTCTTCTTTAAAGAGTTCACTTCGAACTATCATCACAAAAAATAAAAATAATAATTAGTATATATCAACTTCTTTTTTTTATTTTTATTCTTACTGTTTCTGTTGTTACTGGTAACTTGGGTTGATATGCTTCAGCTTGTCTTCTCCATTCTTCAGTAGGAAGCATATCTGATTGATTTACGTCTATAATATTCACACCTGCATGTTCACCACGTCTTTTCCCGCCTAACTGATTTAACTATTAAAAGAAATAAAAATAGGGAGGTGAGTTATTTTTTTTTTTTTCGTAGTAGATCAATGTGATTTCTTTCCTTTTTTTTTTTTTTTATTACTTACAGCTTCAACATCTAATGTTCCACTATTTCCTGATTCATCTTCAAATTGTTGTTGTTGATAATAATATTGATAGTAAGCATTAGGATCGGCACCATATGCATACATTGCATTTGGATCCTCAAGAACAGGTAGTGCTTGCTGTTGTTGTTTTTGTTTTTGTTGATTTTGTGTTTCTATGCTGTCCTTTCTATGATCATCATTATAATGATTCTCAGCTTTGTTGGTTGTTTTGGCAGGTTTGATGACTGGTTTTTCTTGTAAACTTGATCCTAGGAACCAGAAAAAAAAAAGTCAATATAAAATGTCAACCCCTACAATATATATGAAAAAAAAATTACCAAGACGAAAGAAGGGTCCAATATGTGTTGATGCCTTTTTAGTGGTAGTTTCTGGTTCTTCGTCACTATCTTCTTGTTCTTCTTCTTCACTGTCTACTGTATTATCCATTTTTTTGCCGTTTGTTGGTCCTTGTACTGATTTGTTTTGCTCTACTTTGGGTATCGATTGCGGAGAAGATGTCGTAACATTTGTCTTTGCTGTTGTGTCTGTCGTTGCTGATGTTTTGAGGAAAGGATTTTGAGATCGTTTTGGAGCTGGCAATAGATCAGCTATATTGGAAGAAGTTGATCCAAGTTTAATTCTTTTGGCTGGTTTTTCTTCTTCTTCTTCTTCTTCTTCGAGATCCTTGGCAGAAGGGATATAAAAGATTGATTTCTTGGTCGTTGATGTCTTTTTTGAAGTTTCATTTTTGGGAGGCGGTAAAAGTTGACTTAATCCAGTACTACCACCAAATGTTGTATTTTCCTGTGTTAAAGGTTGTTGTTGTTGATCATCGTCTTCAGATTCGGAACTACTACCATAATCAACTAATGAAAGAGACATATTTTTATTATGTAGAATGGGAAAAAGAAAAAGAGATTTGAGTCACGAAAGCCCCAAAGTCCCATAGTGTAATTTCTATTCGAACACCGATTTATCATATTTTCAAAAACTGACACCAATTATTTTTTTTTTCTTTATATATTCTTTTCTACTTTCTTTCTTTTCTCTCTCTTGTCATATCGTTCCACATTTCCTTTTACTTTACATAAATGGCCTCTGCAGGTAATGGAATTCTATAATTAATATGAATATATTAGTATTGAAAGATAAGAAATAAAACTCATATATGTTTTTCTTCGTTCGTTACATCAACATCACCCTCTTTTTGGTCATCATCTTTACTCACTTTCTCTTATTTTTATGATAGTATTTATTTTGGATTTAAAGGGAAAAGTTCTTATATCTCGGAATTATCGTGGTGATATTCCCATGAGTGCTGTGGAAAAGTTCATGCCTTTGGTAAGTCATTATATAATAAATCTTGATATAAGAGAACTCACTTTTTTATAATTAGATATCTGAAGCTGAAGATGAACAAGTACCACTTCCATGTTTTACCCATGATGGTATCAACTATTTGTATTTGAAGCATAGCAATCTTTATTGTAAGTATCTCTTTCCTTATCCAACAAGAATAAATGGGTTATTTATTATTATTTTTTATTAGTACTGGCATTGACAAGAAAGAACACGAATGCGGCTTCTATCATGTTATATTTACACAAGCTGACTCAGGTGTTTGCAGAATATTTCAAGGAACTAGAGGAAGAATCTATTAGGGATAACTTTGTGATTGTATATGAATTATTGGACGAAATGATGGATTTCGGTTATCCTCAAACCACGGAAACGAAGATTTTACAAGAATATATTACTCAAGATGCCTACAAACTAGAAGTTCAAGTTCGTCCTCCTATGGCTGTCACCAATGCTGTCTCTTGGCGTTCTGAAGGTGTCAAGTACAAGAAGAACGAAGTATTTTTAGATGTTATTGAAAGTGTCAACTTATTGGTAAGTTTATATTATATTGAAAGATCATGGATACTCATTTATTTTTTTTTTTTAATTTATCATTTTTATCATTAGGTTAATGCTAACGGAAATGTATTAAGAAGTGAAGTATTGGGTGCTGTCAAAATGCGATGTTATCTTTCTGGAATGCCAGAGTTACGATTGGGTCTGAATGATAAAGTGATGTTTGAAGCAACAGGTCGTGGTGAGTAGTTATTAACAAAAAGGAAAAAAAAAAAAGAGAACAATGTGAATCTGATGATCTATGATCATGATTTTATTTTTTTTAGCCAACTCTGCAAAAGCAATTGAAATGGAAGATGTCAAGTTCCATCAATGTGTCCGATTATCAAGATTTGAAAATGATCGTACCATTAGTTTTATCCCTCCTGACGGTGATTTTGAATTGATGAGTTATCGATTACAAACAAGTGTCAAGCCTTTGATCTGGGTAGAAGCCGTTGTGGAAACTTACTCTGGTTCACGTGTGGAATATTTGGTCAAGGCTAAGGCTCAATTCAAGCGCAAAAGTACGGCAAATAATGTGGAAATTGAAGTACCTGTACCTGATGATGCTGATACACCAAAGTTTAAGGTAAATAAAGAAAGGGAAAAAAAAGAAAAGAAAAAGATGACTAATTACTGGATATCTTTGGTTATATAGTGTAGTAGCGGAAATGTATCTTATAAACCTGAACGATCCTGTTTGGTATGGAAAATGAAACAATTTCAAGGTGGCAAAGAATTCATCATGCGTGCTCATTTTGGTTTACCGTCTGTTCAAGCTGCAGAAGAAACCGAAAAGAAACCGCCTATCAATATCAAGTTCGAAATTCCTTATTTTACTGTCTCTGGTATCCAAGTACGATATTTGAAAATTGTAGAAAAGAGTGGTTATCAAGCTCTTCCTTGGGTTAGATATATTACTCAAAATGGAGGTAAGAAAGAAAAAAAAAAGGTGAATGAATCAAAGAGATTAAAAGTTTTTCCTATAGATTATCAAATGCGAATGCCAGAAAGTATCAAGGCGAACAAGCAAAACACGGGCGGTTATTGATTGATTTTTTTTATTACTATTATTACTATTATTATTATTATTATACATGTTTGTCTTTTGTTTCTCTTTTCTTCTTTCTCATACTTCCTTTTTTTTTTTTTGTTTATACCTTGATTATTTATTATTATCTTCGACCCTTCCTCATCATCAAAATGGCAATAAAATAAAACTAACGAAATGTGTATAATATGATAGAAAAAGAAAGGTTTATACTGATTGAACAAGTTTCTTTATTAATTGATCGGTTCAAGTTTTACCGACCGATTTTTTTTTTTTTCGAATGCATAAGCGCATATCTGTGAACCAACGGAGTTTCTCTTTTTTGTATATATATGACAAATAATAAAAAAAAAAATTTCGTACCCTTTTGTTTCGCCCTTTTTTTTTCTTTTTATACATAATCATAATATGGAAGACGAACAACGACAAGGTTATTCACCAAAGCGATCAAGAAAATGGTTGTATATAGGCATTGCTATTGCAGTTGTGGCAGTTTTAATTGTCATTATAGTACCAGCAGCAGTAGTCACGACAAATAAGAAAAGGCAATATCAAAGCGATCCTTCCTCTTCTTCTTCTTCTTCTCCTCCCTACGCAAAGGCTCAATCGAAGTATTCCAATCTAACTCGAGTCAAGCAATTGAATGAACTTGCCAACAAGAGCAGGATCTTTGTCTTGGGTGATGTACATGGTTGTGTAAATGAACTGGCAGCAATGGTGGATCTACTGAAATATGATCAAGACAATGATGCTATGATCTTGGCGGGAGATCTCACTAGCAAAGGGTATGATAATCCTGGGGTTATACGACTGGCAAAGGCAAAGAATATGTATTGTGTGCGTGGTAATCATGATGACTATGTGGTTCGTTTCAAGACGTTTGAAAATGAAAATGGTGCTCAACGTATGGGTCCTCCCAAGGCAGTTCTTCCTGAAGGCAATGTAGCGGATCCTTTGAAATTTAAAGATGAACATGCAGATATTGCAAGGTAAGTATTAAAAAAAAAAAAAAAAAAAAGAAAACCTATTTTATTTAATATATGATTTTTTTTTTTTTTTTTTGGAGTAGAAATTTGACAGCTGAAGATTATGATTATTTGGTACAATGTCCTATGATAATCGATTTACCATTTTTGAATGCTCGTGTAGTACATGGCGGATTGGATCCTGAAGTGACAAATTATGTTGATAATGATCCATACACTGTTTTCAGTATTCGTGATATCAAGGATGGCGTTCCCACATCTGACAATAAAAAAGGTGAGCATTGGACACAAAGTTACAATAATGTGCAGAAAAACAATACACCACCAGTCAAGGTTTATTATGGACATGATGCATCTCGCGGATTAGATCTGGAAAACGTGACCTTTGGTTTGGATAGTGGATGTGTATATGGTGGTCATTTGACAGCTATTGATATTTGGACAAATAACTATACTCAACTCAAGTGCAATAGTTTTGCAAGTCTTCCAAATAGCAGTTTGATAAAATAGTTAGTTAATTAGATATTTTTATGTATATATTTATGTATTTAGGCTCCTTTTAATAAATTAGATCTAGTTTTTTTTTTTTTTTTTTTTTGTATACATGTATCTATGTGTATATATGTTTACAACAAACTATGTATGGTTGGTTAGGTTGTACAAAATCAGATGGGATCATAGATATGTTGTATGCGGAAATGCCGATGAGCGAAAGAAATCACACGACGTATTAAATTGCATCTGTTTATTTTATTATCATGATGATGATGATGATGATATCAACATTGATTATATATATATATAACTATACAACATTCGCGGTATAATTAAAAAGAGGAAAAATGAAATAAAAAAAAAAGAATGATTACTTTCTTGGTCCACCAAAGATACAAGTGAAGCAATACCATAAGGAACCAAATAATAGTCCAATCATGGCACCAAGATGCATCCATACACAATCACCCAGATGACCATACGCATTTACATTTGCTTCCCTTGCCCCATTGATGCCTTTGAGAGAAATGGTCACTAGTATGATAAATGTCACTAGCATGACAATAAAGCCTAAGAAGGTGGCTAATGATGCCAAGAAATCTACACCACGACCAAAATGATCCAAGATCGTAATGGCTAATGCTCCTAATGTGATCCCAAACGCAATCCAAAATAATATATAATTGGCCATATATACTGTATCCATCCCTGTTAGTCCGGTTGTATATGTTTTAATGTAAGGTGCCGTCGCTAAGATTAAAAAAAAAAAGGAAAGGAATCAGTTTTTTTTTTTTTTTTTTTTTTATTTTAATAATAATAATGATGATGATGATGATGACTTACACCATACAAAAGCAGCACTTGGTTGACTACAGAAAGTAACACCTGTTTTTATGGTACCTGTACAATATCCCCTAAATAAATGATATATGATGATGATCAGTTACTTATTACTTTTCTTTTCTAATTTAATATACTTACCATAATCCAAAGTTGATGAAATTATCGTTGAGCGTGAATTGTACATAATAAATACTTTTTAAAAAGGGTTGATTATAGGTGGATGCTAATAGAATAAAGATTTCCAGCACTAATGCACCAAAAGTAAAAAAAGTCGCCAAATAAGCAAACATCAATTATATATGTACAATTTCTAAATAATAATAGTAAAAAAAAAAAGAGTAAAAAAAAAAAAAAGATTAACCATCTTATTTAAATAAAAAAAGTGTAAAAATAGTTTGACACTCTGGTATCATGCTTTTCGATTTAAGGTTATTGTTGTACTTTGTAGATGAGAAATAGTTTGCCGCGTGATAAGCCAAAAACAAACTCCCAAACGAAACTGGATGAGAAAACATTTTTTTTTTTTTTTTACTCTTTGGAAAAGGAGACTTTCCAACGTATAAAATACATATCATTGTTCCTCCCTTGATTGTCTGCATATCATACCAATAAGTTAGATGATTCATTGCAACATCATCATAATCTATGTTGGTTGCCATGACTTCCCCTCCTGTGAGCCTTTTTTTTTTTTTGGTTGTTGATGGAAAGTCCCAAAAAGGAAATCGGATCGATAACCCTTCCAAAAAGAATAGAGAGTATAACATAAACAATAACTTGATCCTTTTAATGGAAAGCCTTTTTCTTAGCCAACGATCATCATTCTATTCTTTTACAACATTAAAAAAAAAGGTTCATCAGGCATATACAATCTTAACTTCTAATGATTTCGTACTCAGATATCATGCACCATCATGAACACTACCACTTTTTACTTTTGTATATAATTCTCTTTTTATTTGATTAGGTTAATAATCCTTGGCATAATCTTTTCTTTTTTTTTTTAAAAAAAAAAAAACAGACAAAAAGACTTGGCATTGTTTTGATGGGGAAGAATAACGTAATTAAAAGTAAGGATCATGTCCACCTTTTTCCTATCATGCCACTTATAATCAACAACCATCGTCATAACAAAAGAGTTGAAATGAATTTATAAATTAAATGCTTTTTGTTCTTTTATCAGGAGGAGACGAATCAAATCCTCTCAAAAAGGAAAATAATTTAAAACACCGTAGTGAGTGAACTAGTGAGTGAATCGTTTTTCCTTTCGCTTCTCCAACTTACGTCACGGTCAACGACTCCATTTTTTTTTTTAGATATATCTTCCTCTCTTTCTCACTTTTTTGTCTTTTGATTACACACATTTCATTCCTTTATAATGGCTGCTCCTACGACACAAGCACAACAACAACCAGTAGATCCTACCAAAAAGACAGGTGCTCAATTAGGAGCACTCGAAGAAGACGATGAATTTGAAGAATTTGCTGCTGAAGGTAAAGAAATATCTAAATAAAATGGGACAAACACGTTCTTCTTTGGTATAAACTCGTCTTTTGTTTCTTTTATATAGATTGGGCTGAAGAAGACGAAGATAAGGACGATACACATTACTGGGAAGATAACTGGGACGATGATGATATTGAAGATGACTTTTCATTACAGCTCAAGTAAGTATATCGTTGATCTTTTTTCTTCTTCATAGATTGATCTTTTTCTTTTTTGGTTATTAGGGCTGAACTGGAAAAAACCTCATCGGATACAGCAATGAAGATGTGAATAATTAGTTATCCGCGTTTGTTATAAACTTATTTACATCTTGATCTTATTTTTTTTTTTTTGATCGTCATTCTCTTTTACGTCATTCATCAACATATCACTTTCTCGTTTTTACCATACTTATCAACCAAATCACAACACCATCCCTTATCATTTTTATATTATTACTTTTTTATATATAAATATATATATATAGTTTATCACAATAAAAGAAATAGAAAAAAGTTGGAAATAGGATATAGAAGAATCTTTTATTATTTGTTTGTTTTGATTGTTTTCAAATAACTTTGTATGCGTCTATGTTGTGTTTGAATCCGATAAAGAAGATGTTTACGATGTGGGTCAACCAATAGAGAGGTGATCGATATGTGTGCGTGTTTGCGTGTGTGTACCAAAGTGTCATACTTTTATGATGGGACCCATTTTTTATATATAAATATTTTTGTTGACCGCTCTCATTTTCTCTCTTTCTTTTTTACTTTTTTTTTTTTTTTTTTTTTTTTTTACTTTTCTTACAACCGACTCACTTATTTTACTTATTTTTCAATAATAATAATAATAATAATATCAACAAACAATATGGTCGGTGGTTCAGAACAACAAGCCAAAGACCTTATCGCTCAAGCACAAAAGAAACTAAATTCTTGGTCTTTTTTTGGTCCATCCAACAAATATGAAGATGCAGCAGAAATCTATGAAAAGGCTGGCAACATGTTCAAGCTAGCTCAACAATGTAAAATATAGAATGTAACAAAAAGGGAAAAAATAAAAAGTTTTTTGTTATTCCTCATCCTTTTTTTTTTTTTTTTTTATTTTAAAATATATTCTAGGGACACAGGCAGGTGATGCTTTCACCGAAGCCGCCAAATTATACCAACGTGGTGGAAGTGCAAAGTTTGAAGGTTCAAGAGCATATGAAAGTGCAGCGAAATGTTACAAACGTCAAGATCCTGCAGGTAAAGAAAAAGAAAAAAGTGATGGTGTTATATGGTAGTATGATGGAAGGCGATGAACTTACCTAGATAAGCTTCTCTATTTACCCTCTGTTTTTTTTTATATCCTTTTTTTAGGTGCAGTACAGGCCCTGAAAGAAGCTATTGCTCTTGATCAAGATGGAGGTAATTTCCGTGCAGCAGCTCGACATTATCAAGAAGTGGCGGAATTATATGAAGGTGAACTGGATAATGCAAAAGGTGCTTATGAAGCTTATGGTCAAGCATCGGATTTGTTTTTGGCTGATGATTCTCCAGCGTAAAAACATTTATTATTATTATATATTATGTTATTAAACTGAATTTTTTTCTTTTAATTTCTTGATAAATAGTTTGGCCAATAAATGTATGCTCAAGGTAGCTCAAATCGCGGCAGAATTGGAAATGTATGAAGTCGCCATTGAAAAGTTTGAACGAGTGGCTGCAGCCTCAGTAGATGATGCTTTATTGAAATGGTCTTTGAAGGAATACTTTTTGAAGGCTGGGTTATGTCATTTGTGTACTGGGGTAAATAATAAAAAAACAAAACAAAAACAAAAGCAAAATGTCTATTTGTGTGTTTATTAAAATAATCACGGTATTTTATTTGAAATCTATAGGATATGGTTAGAACACATCAAGCTCTGAATAGTTATTGCAGTATGGATATGTCTTTTGAAACCACTAGGGAATACACATTACTCAAGGTAGGATTCTTTTTTCTTTTTTTTTTTTTTGGAATTCTAATAATATTCTATTTCTCTCAACAGGGTGTAGCAGAAAGTGTGGACAATGGTGATGTGGATCAATTTACTCATGTGGTGAAAGATTATGACAAGTTGACTCGATTGGATAGCTGGAAAACGGCCATTTTATTGAAAATCAAAAAGACTGTTGACTCGGATGATCTTCGCTGAAATAGCTCGTTTAGCTATTCTATTTATTAGACTAGTCGTTTTATTACTCTTTTTTTTTTTTAAGTTTATCATTTCTATTATATTATATAAATATATCTTTAAATCTCTCTTTTTTTTTTATATATTACAAATCTTTATCTTTTTTTATGATTTATTGAAATGGATGATTTGATCATGTGTGGTCATGGCCTGAGATAGCGTATGCTGGGATGATGTTGATTATGGCGTGTATGATTATTTCACAAACCCATATGATGATTCCTATAATGATCCATAATACACTATTTGTAAAGTTTTTTTTTTTTTTTTCACAATGGTACGATAATGGGTCATAGGTTGAGATGGATCAAAAAAATGAATTTATTTCAATATAAAAGGAGCAAAATAATTGAAGTTAATAATATACAAATGAGGAAGACACTACAAGTCAAAGTGATAGGATAAAAAAAAAAAAGAGAGGATATTATATACTAGAATATGGGTAGGATTACAAATGTCATAGGAATATCTATCTATGGTTGAGTAGTTTGATCATTGTTCATTATTGTTGGATGAGATATAGTACCATTGATAGCTGGATTCCCTTCATGTCCTCGTAAAGGCATTTGCGTAACGATTGTTGGCGAAGGCGGAACTGAAGAAGAGTGAGTTGAAGTGGTGGGAGATATAGGTTGAACAACCATGGGAGGTGTAGGAAAAAATCGTTGCTGTTGATGATGTTGCTGTTGATGATGTTGCTGTTGATGATGTTGCTGTTGTTGCTGTTGCTGTTGTTGCTGAGGTTGTTGTTGTTGCTGAGGTTGTTGTTGTTGCTGAGGTTGTTGTTGTTGCTGAGGTTGCTGTTGCTGTTGCTGTTGTTGTTGTTGTAATCGTTGTGGGACTTGCTGGTATGTTATGGGCTGTGCATTGGCTTGTTGTTGTGTTGGAGATTGTCTACTATTGTATGTAAGTTGTCGTGCCATGTCACAGACTCCAGGAATTGTAGTGAGTACATTAAGAACGCCTTGTAGTTGTGCAATGGTATCCGTTTTGGCGTCGTTGCTTTTTGTAGACTTATCCAATTCTTCGCGTGTATCATTCAGTGCTTTGCGTGCGTCATTCAGTTCTTCGCGTGCGTCATTCAGTTCTTTGAGTTGTTTCATAAGTTCCACTTCCATTTTCTGTCGCTGTACTGCCCCACTATGCATTTGTCGATCTTTTGCTCGTTGTGAATCTCGTGCCGCATTAAGACCTCTTTGCATTTCAATTATCTTTTCATTTAAAGCGCGTCGTTCGCTCTCCATTGCTGCACATCGCCCTGCTTGCTGGTTACTTTGCACTTTGAGTTGGTCACGTTCTTGAGTAAGTTGATATTTTTCTTGTATAAGTTGATTTAGTTGTGTTGTATGTTGTTCTTTTAGTCGTTGCAATTCGAGAGCCTGTGTTGTATTTTGTTCCTTAAGTTCGGTGACCTCGTGTTCTTTTTGCTGTAAACTAATCCTGATATCTTCCATTTCAATGTTCAATTGTTGTCGCAGACTGTATTGCACTTTGTAAGCTTTTTCCAAATCTTCGTAATTGCTTTGAAGGATCATAGCAAAGTCCTTATAAAGATAGTCGTGGTTAGCATTAGTATCTTGTTGTGGAGATTTCGTCTTGTCACGGGGAGGTGAAGCTTGCTGTCGTAGTTGTTGCTGTTGCTGAAGTGTTGTTTTCAATTGTTGGAAAAAATGTTGATAACTTCTCGGTGCTTCATTATTTTGACCTTCCTTTTCGATGATACGGGCGATACTATCATGATCAATTGGCATATCTAATATTTTGAAACCAAAAAAAAAAAAAAAAAAAAAAGAGAAGTCAACGTTTAAGATCAAACCATTGCAGTAATACTTATTCAATTTCACTTTGTCATTCAGGCTTACCCAAATCTTCCCATCGTAAGGACCAACTAGAATTTGGCATTGATGGCATTACGAGAGTACAAAAAAAAAAAAAAAAAGTGGTAAAGAGAAAAGAGAGAGAAAAAAAAAGAGAACGAGACAGCAACGATATTAGAGCATATCTGTATCGTTTCATTTTGGATCACCGCTTCTGATTGAAATTTGTTATGAAATGATAGTTTTTATTGGTAAGTTTTAAATGAATAGAATCTATATTGGAAATAATAGTATGTAGGAGAGTAATAATAAAATACATAAAGAAGAGAAGGAATAAACTAATTTAAAGATAGGAGGCCTATTATTAAGAAACAAGAAAAAAAAAGTACAAAGAATAAGTATATCATGTTCCAACTTAAGTATTCACCTTTTTTTTTTTTTTTTTTTCTACATTACACGTCTAGCGGCTTCTTCCATATCAGTTTCGGATACAATATTTTTTTCATCTTCATTTGGAATTTCATAAACACCACCCAAAATGACATAAGGTCGATAGGCAAAGCTTGATAATTCGCTCATATCAGTAACACCAGATAATACAAGAACAGGATCAATTTCAGAAGTGATACCAGCCACAATACTAACAATAATAATAATAATAATGAGTCATATATTCTTCATTATATAATTAAATCACTTACTCTGTATCCATACGGTCACCAATAATACAAGTTTCAATACGACTTAAACCAAGAACACGTTGAGCATAGCGCATGATAAGGGCAGAAGGTTTACCGCAATAGAATGCTTTAGTCTTGGTCACTAATTCAACACTGTAAAGGAAAAAAAAAAAAAGAAGACAATCAATCAGCAAGTCCATATCATCATATTTCATCCACCATCAATCATCACACGCCAATCATCACATATCATCCATCATTTCTTCTTACCAGGTAGTAAAGGCACCAGTAGCAGGAATCTTTTGACCCTTAGAGTTCAAGGTTTCGACATCCAAGTTGGTTGAAATAAGTTTTGCACCATTTTGCACCAATTGCACAGCCTTGGTTAACTTTTCAAAGTTGTAACTAGCACTTTCACCCAAGACAACATAATCAGGATTATGATCATTCATAAAGAAACCCATATCGTACAAAGCATAAGCAAGACCAGGTTCACCAATAACATAACAGGTACCACCTTCAGGCATTTGAGATTTCAAAAAGTAAGCAGTGGCTTGACCAGAGGTAAAGAAGTGGTCAGCAGTGACATCAATACCAAGACGTTGTAATTTGGATTGTAATTCACGGGGAGTAGGAGCAGAGTTGTTGGTCAAGAAAAGGAACTTTTTATTATTTGCTTGTAAAAAGTCAACAAATTCTTTAGCGCCAGGCAAAAGATTGTTTCCCTAGGAGAGATAAGACATATTAGACAATTATCTTAAGACACACACACAAAAAAAAAAGGAGAAGACTTACATGATAAATAACACCATCCATATCAATAATATAACCCTTCTTTTGACGAATAGCATCTAAACGTTCATTGTGAAGAACGGGATCTCTGAGTAAAGCATAATCCTTGCTTTGATGAGCGGGTTCTTCACTGTTACTAGCACCACCAGAAGATAATTGACCAAGGCTAGCAGCAAAATGAGCAGCCAATTCACGAGTATCAGTAGTACGTTCAGGAGTAGTAGGAGTAGCACTAGGAGTTTGTTCAGCAGACATGATTATATTATAATAATGTTATAAAAGAAAGAAAGAAAGAAAGAAAGAAAGAAAATGAAATTGAAAAATGCAAAAAAATTTATGTTCCAAAAAAAAAAAAAGTGGGAAGAAGCGGAGAGATTTTTGGAATTGATTGGTTTGGATGCCCGTGTCAAGTAACCCGTTTCTTTCTAATCTCAGCGTAACTTTAATTGGGAAACTGACAGCTCATTCACTAATTGAATCAAATGAGTTGTTGGGTTCCTGTAAAACAAAAAAAAAATCAATCGATATAGAATTTCATTCGTTGTTTCAGATTTGAAATAAATAAAAAAATAAGGATGTAAAAAAAAAAAAAAAAAAGAATATATGAATACTATTACTAAAGAAAGTATGCTTATATTTTATAATATATAAAAAAGGTACAGGAAATAGGTAAAAAGCACTGTGTTGTTTGCTATGACGTAATGAAATAAAGAATAATAATAAAATAGTCAAAGCGGGGATAAAGAATAAATGTAATCATCGCATCAACAATATATCATCATCGATAGCGCAGTTACCCGTTAGTGGCGGTGTTTCGAATGGATAGATAAACTAAAACTGAAGATATCATGGGTCACCTAATGGATATGAATGGATAAAGAACGTGTACATTAAGTCATCAACATCCCATCAATCTTTTATTACTTGTCAAATAAAATGAATGAGAAGATAGATTATGATCATGACATTGAGTAATCATGACCCTGTCAAGTTAGTTGATAAACGGTATATTGTTGTTGTTGTTCTTCTAACAATCTATCATAAAATGATTCAAATGCCGATTCCAAAACAACGTGTAAAATTTGATCAATTCTTCTTCATTATCAAAAAAGAAAAAATGATATCATGGGTTTCAAAAGTCATTTTTTATTTTATCATATATATTTATAAAGATAATAAATCAAAAGAAATTCATATTATTATCTACTTTTGTCATAAATATTTCATTCCGTTCGCATGTGATTCCTTGCCAATGATCAAAACTAAGGTTCAAATGCTAAAAAAAAAAAAAAAAAAGTCGATCATAAAACCTAGTTTTATAACACCAAAAAAAGTACTTTTATTTGAAGAATTCCAAATCAAATAGATTTATATACTAAAAGGGAATAGCGTAGGGAACCTAATCTATCGATCTATCTATCTATCCAAAAAAAAAAAATTTCCCTGTCCTCTTTATTCCTCTTTTTCTTTTCCATACATTGAATAACTTGAGAGCATCTTCTTGACTTGATATTACCCAAGAGAAAAAGGTATTAGCCTTCATTAGTAAAAAAAAAAAAAAAAAAAAAAAAAAAAAGAAGGCGTTCATTTGATTTACTGAAAAAAAAAAGAACTTACATAGAGTAAATGTTGTCTGGTGATATGGCGAATACAAAGGACGTGGTAAATAAGTGACACATACATTCACTTGGAGCTGTCTATTCTAATATATCAACATCATCATCGTGCGTTAATCACTAAAAATTAATCAATTCAAGAATATATATAAAAAAAAGGAACTAGATCTATGATTGGTTGATTTGGCTTGCAGGATTTTTTTTAAACAGGCTCCGATCAGGTAGACATATAAAATATTTTTCTTTCTTTCTTTTTCTTTGTCTTTGTTTCTTCGCTTTTCTTTTTTTTTTTTTTTTGTATATGCGTTTTTTTTCTAAAACCGTACTACAGTCATGATGGTTCTTGATGTACCATTTGTCACGTTCTCAGCTTGAAAGATTCCCACGGTGGATCGATCCTTTGTTTACTCCTCAAGATAGATTCCTTTACGCAGTGGTACTGGTAACTTCCTCAACTATTGATGTTACTGTATATAATGACTTCTGTCTGTGCTCACAGTTATATCATTTTTTTAGGCACTTCCTTGTCAAATATTATGATCAATGTTCAACCGATAAATAAAATCCAAAAGTCATTGCACAAATTACCTATTTCAACTAGACGCGTCAGTGGCATTCCCACTTTTGGTGTTCTTTGGGAAGAAGCACATATGTTGACTCATTCTCCTTTCATTCTCTACTCGGTAATCCTTACTTCAAAATAACACGTCTCTTCTTTCTGATTGTAAGCGAAAATAAATAAAAATTCTTATACTTCGTTTTTACTTATTGAAATGCTATTATTTAGATTTACATTCTTGTTGTCAACTTCAAGATAATATTGATATGTAATGTGCATACCGATAATTTGATGATGGTGTCATAGGGGTTGCTGTGAATTCAATTCTATCAAGTTTTTCTTTGGTCATTGAAAAATATCTTGATCAAGTTGGTAACAAGTAGGAAAAAAAAAACAAAAACAAAAGCAAGTCAATCATGCACTGAAATACAACGATCACTTGAAGAGACGATACGAATGATGCCATAGATCAAGAAATGAAGTAGCTCAACCTATACGACCTCCGTTGGATCCTTTTGTGATGATTGATTGTGATGCTGTTGGACCGGTGATTCCCTCAAAACAAGGTAATAGATACATATGACTCGATGATGACTCGTCAAGTTGCTCTTCTGTTGAATTGCCTCCACGTTTAGAAATTGATCATGCCAAAGACGATACGACAGCAAAGCAAGGACTAGAATTTATTGAGAAGTTTAAACGCACACACAAAGGGCGCATGGATTGGCGTCGTTGCTTGAAAGATGGAGAAAATCTGTGTTGGATGATGGATGATGGATGATGGATGATGGATGATGGATGATGGATGATGGATGATGGATGATGGATGATGGATGATGGATGATGGATGATGGATGATGGATGATGGATGATGGATGACGGATGATACGTGATAACGGATGATTATATGTTGGATGATGGATGATGGATGTTGGATGACGGATGATATGTGATAACGGATGATTATATGTTGGATGATGGATGATGGATAATGGGCTTTTCCCAGCGGTACAAGTCAGCATCAAGTTTTCGATGCTTCTATAATCGACATCAAAATTACTGAATAGCCTCTTTTATTTATCTTTTATATGTATTTCTATTTTTAGTGCAGTACTCTATCTCTTTATTATCGTTATATTACAAAATTCCAATAAAATCAACTTTTTACAACTCTAGCTTTCGTGTGCCTGTGAATGAGGAATGTAGTTTATTGAATACTATTTCGATGGTTGTTATGAAAATCTGTGTATATGTGTACGTGCTTGGTACGTTTGATTCTGTACCATTAATGTCAACGACAAACAGTACAGTATGATGGATATGTGACGATGGAATGATATGTGATCATGACAGGGTAATAGTGAATAACAATAGTAAGCGATGATAAAAATATGATTTTATTTAAATGAAAATGTAAAATAAAAGGATAATATAAACAGTAACTAAAAGACTAACCTATTGAATTAAATAATTTCCATAATAAAAAGTTGGATAAGAGAGACACTTTTTCCTGACTTGTTCATTCTTTGTCCAACCGAAGACCTATCGTATATCCAGTTGATCCTATTGTATATCCTATCGTATTTATTCATATCTTCATAGAAAGGGTAAAAAAAAAAAAAAAAAAAATCAAAATAGATTAATTCATATTATGAGAGACTAAAAGAAAAAAAAAAGAAAAAAGAAAGAATAAGTAGAGAGCAAGTGTATAGGAAGTATGAAGTATAGTATTATGTAAAGAGCGACTTTAAGTATACCGATTAGTAAAATATCATTATGTATAATTGTAACTTACAATTGTTCCATTGGTTAAAAAAAAAAAAATAGCAAAAAGGAAAAGAAGGGTATAAAAAAAAAAGGGTATCCAGATTTTTTTTTTTGATTGATCAAACCACACACGTTTGAGATATACCAGAATCTGAATTATACCATTTATGAAAGAAATCTTATCATCAAAGAAAGTTGAATGAAAATCATCATCATCATCATTTCATCAAATATAGATCGAAGATACATAAAGATATTCTCTTTTAATTATATTAATAATAGTTTATATCTTACGCTCCAAATTATAGAGTAAATTAAAAATGGAATGTCAAAACCATCATCATCTCATCCAATAATGATCATCATACAATAAAATTACTACCATTAGATTCCTCTGATCGAAAATTATGTCTTTTGGGAATGATTTGATTTTAATCCTATAAACCTGTGATGATTATTTTGAACAGCGTACGGTTCCAGTGTACTAAATATCAATACTTAAAAGACAGGAACCGTTTTCTCTGTCAACTCACTTTGAAGTATGGCACCTACTGCTACGGAACATTCTTTCATTAAATGGATCAAGAAATGACTATGTCAAAAACAAGAACAATCGATGATTATACGATGGTAAACTCCTTTTTTTTTTTTTAATGAAACGGATGAGAACAAATAAACATTTTACTCATATTATTATATATTATTACAGTGAAGCAACAGTTGGATTAAAATGAATCATTCTTTATATCCATGAATGCTAATGTATTTGTGATATATAGTAGATAGTTTAGTCCTTATGATAGTATCGTTCGATGGAAATAAAATTGATATCATGTTGTAGTTTGAAAGGGATTATACTCACAATGCTGTCATACTTTCAAATGTCAGATGACTCTATTTCTCGGTGATTAAAAGTATATTGTTTATATGAAGTGAAGATTTTATCAAAACAAGATAAGCAAGTTGATTTCTCTTTCATTATTATTGGTCATCACGTAATCTACGTTACGTACTGGATGATCATCTATTTATGTTGTACAATGAACAGACTTTTAAAAGAGGAATGGTCAAGTTGAGAGAGAAATAACGATCTAACCAGAAAATAAATATAAATATATTTGAAATAAAAAAAAATGGATTTATTCATTTCTACTGAAAAAGTTCATGATAGGATATGATTGTATTTTTGATTTCTATGACGATTCATATTACAATTGCATGTAAGATTCTTTGAATGAACTAAGGGAGAATTGGGAGGGGCTGAGTCAGGGATATGCTGGATGATTGGAATTGAAATGTTTTTTTTTTTTTGTGTTACTGATTCCTTACAAATTATGTGTTATAGTTTCAAAAGCTGAATATTTACAAAATGGGATGTTATCAACTTTTTTTTGTAATAGATAGAATATTATTTTATTGGTTTAAAAAAAAAAGTAATTTGGAATGATTATTTCATTGTAATAGTTAGTATCGGTTCCAACCATAAAAGACAAAAACTAAAAATACCAAATAAGGACCTTTTCTTTCTTTTTTTTTCAATCCCCGTACGTTTTTGGTGTGTGAAGTGAGTTTGTCAAAGGAACGATGATTTTTCTCACTCTCTTTCGACCAAATTATTCTTTTTTTTTTTATTTATCTTTTTTAGTTCTCTCCTTTATAATCATTATTTGAAAACATTCTAAAAAGAAAGAAAATTCAATCAAGGTGAACATATTTGTTCTTTTTTTTTTTTGGTATCTATTATGAATCCAGGATGGGTGGCGCTTGTTTTGGTTTTGATAGCCATAATGAATACAAACTATGTCTTAGCCGAAGAACGAATGGATCTCACTGACGAACTCACTATGGACGAATGGCCAATAGAAGAGGAAATTGACGGTAATGAACTTGACCTATCCAGCGACGAAAACAAGAAGGATGAAATACAACAACCATTACAACAATGGGAAACTGATCAGATCGAGAATGATGAAGAAGAGGAAGAGGACGATATTGACGATGACGATCAAGTTGAGGAAGAAGATGAAACAATGGATATAGTAGAAAACGAGGAGCAGGTCTCAGTGATGGATGAAAACAATAGCGAATATTATTACAACAATGAAAAAGAAGAAATTGATAAGACTATACTGTCAAAAGAAGATTATCCATTTGATTCAACATCTCGGTTACAACAACAAGAAGAAAGGATATTGGCAGAATTGGATCAATCTATATTGGATACATTAGAAAAAGCTATTGATATGGTGAAATACGATCGGCCTGTGCGCTATATACCTCTACAAAATGCTACATCACCTTTATCATCAACAACAACAACAACAACAATAACTTCTTATTCTTGGTTTACATTTTGTATTTTGGGATTGATGTTATGTTTGATGGTGATCGCTGTAAGAAAATTCAAGGTAAGAACGGAAGAAAAAAGAAAAAGGAAAGAAGATCTTTTTTTTTTTTAATTTTAATTGATATATAAATATATTTTAGCAACGACAAGACCATCGATTACCGGTAAAAATAGAACAAAAGAAAATTCATGGTTATACTATTCAGCTAAACTTGTTCTATTTTCTTTTTTTTTAGAGTTATTCTGTTTATAAACAAAAAAGTAGTGTAGATTGATATTCCCCATATTTTGTATTATTATTATTCTCAACTTATTTTTATATATATATTTTAGTTTATTATCACTTTTTTTTTTCAATAATAAATAATAATAATAATAATAATAAAAATATACTTTTATAACTATGTATATAATAAAGATGATTTTCAAAGTCAGGAAAGTAAAATCGGTGAAGATGAAGGGAGGAAAGATATATAATAATTTAGTCTCTCTTGGCAATAATGAAAGGGAGGAAATGGTAATAAAAAAGGCTGATATCCAGAATGGGGAAAAACCATGTGATGTTTGAAAATGCAGCCATGGACTGCATGAAAATATAAAGAAATAAACCAAAAGTTTGAATTTTTTTTTTCTCTTTTTCTTTTTATTTTATTTTATTTTATTTTATTTTTCCCCTATTCCTTTTTTTTTTTTTTTTTTTTTTTTGGTCTTTCCCCTTTCTTTTTCCTCCTTTTTTTTTTTTTTTTTTTTTTTTTTGGTTTGGTTGGTTGTTGCTTGGAACCATGTTGCAACAACCAAGTATTCAAACATCTATACGTGATATAAAAAAACCATATTTATCACCAACTTCAATTATCAAAAAACCTTTACCTTCTTCACCTAATACTTCATCAGTCACTCCAAGATTACCAACATGTAAAGAAAAACAACAACAACAACAACAAAGTTTATTACCATTAAAAACTTCACCTTTACCACCAACACAACAACAACAAATATTACCTTCTTCACCTACTAGTATGACCTATTCTCCACCCATGTCACCTATTCAACAACTTCATTCTTCTTCTTCTATGAGTTTATATTCTATGGGTAGTGAACAACTTTTGGATCATTCTCACTTAAAACCTGGAGATAATGCTTCCTTATTATCTTATGCCACCACTATCAACATGTATCGTGCTAATGCCAAAAAAACAAATGATATGGAAATACAATGTGATTTTGCTATCTTTTTAGTGGAAGCTGCTAAACGACTCATCATGGAACAACAAGAAGAACAAGAATCATCTATACATGCCTATTTAACCGAAGCTGAAAAATTGTTGAAACAAGTCGCTGTTCGTGGTCATAGCCCAAGTCAATATTATTTAGCAAACATGTATTCTTCTGGTCTGTTACACAAATCCAACAAGTATGAGTTTGACAAGGCTTTTCCTCTTTATGTTCAAGCTGCTAAACATCATCATCCAGATGCCGCTTACAGGTAAGACCAAAAATAAATAATTTTTTATTTTTTTTTATTTTTTATTTTATGCTGATGAAATTTTTTTTTTCTATTAGGACAGCAAAATGTTATGAAGATGGTTTAGGTACTCGACGTGATAAAGGAAAAGCAGTACAATTTTACAGGTAATTGAAAAATCAACTCAATTTTCTTGTTTATGGGATGTTTATTTGTTTATTTATTTTGTACTTATTTATTTATATACATTTTTTTTTTTTTTCGTGGTGATAGAAAAGCAGCCACGTTGAATCATCCAGGAGCCATGTATCGACTTGGATTAGCGGAAATGAAAGGTGAATTGGGACTCTGCAGCAATATTCGTGATGGACACAAATGGTTAAAACGATCAGCAGAAGCAAGTACAGCGGAATATCCTCATGCATTACACGAATTAGGCCATCTTCATGAACGGGGGGTAGCATCGATCATATTCCAAGATCATGATTATGCACTACGATTATATCAAGATGCTAGTGATCTAGGGTACGCACCGTCCTGCTTCCGATTGGGTGAATGTTATGAATTTGGTCGGTTAGGCTGCGCAGTGGATCCAAGGTTATCAATGCATTATTATGGACTAGCGGCTGAACAAGGTCATCCTCATGCGTGTTTTGCTTTGACGGCGTGGTATTTGATTGGTGTACCTGGTGTGATGGAACCCTCTGATGAACAAGCTTTTGCATGGGCTTTACGTGCTGCTCATGCTACTCCTGGTTTGGCGAGGGCCGAATATGCTGTTGGCTATTTTTATGAAGTGGGGATTGGTATTGAAAAGAATCATTCTATGGCTTGGGATTATTATCAAAAGGCTGCTGAGCATGGTGAAAAAAGAGCAATTCAACGTTTACAAGCAGGTCCACATCAACTCAATATCGATCAACCTTATCAACAAACGCAACAATCTTCTCCTTCTACACCAACCCTTTCTTCTCCTGCTTTTTCTTCTTCTTCATCATCATCATCATCATCTTCTGCACATCAACAAAAACAAAAACACAGATATTCTATTCAATCCATCAATCAAGTAATAGATACCAATTGGGTCAAGAAATGGAAACAAAGACTCTCAAGGAATATCAAATCATGAATGTAGTGTAGTTTTTTTAATTTAGTTTAGTTATTTTTTTTTATCATTATTTTTATCATTTTCATTTTATCATCCATTCCCTTCATGATTCTCTTTTTTTTTTTTTCTTCTTCTTCTTCTTCTTCTTCTTCCTCGATATGCTACTTCACTTTCTCTTTGTTATTTACTACAGATTATGAATGGATCATTCCTTCTTTCCTTTTAAAATATACTTATCTTATATTTACCCATTTATTCCCCCTCCTATCTTTATGCTGTTGCCTTTTTTTTATATTATATATATATATATATAGTTATATTCTTTTGATTCCTATTTGGATCTCTCCTCTTTATCATCAGAACAACAACAATAATAATAATAATAATAATAAAAAAAGGTCATTCAAAGAGAATTTTTGTCTTTTGATAAATATATATATTTATAGGTGATCATACTTAGAATAATTTGATAACTAGATTTATAGCGATTCTCAAGATTTACTTGTCATTCATCTCTCATTTCTTTATTCATCTATTTTTTGATTTATCCTGTCTATCATCCAGCATCTACGCGTATTATCATCATCATTTTTTTATCATCTATAAAGAGGGTACGTTGATGAATTCTTCACATATATTAAAAAATAAAAATAAAAAACAAGAAAGGGAGCTCGGCATGCATCTGTTTAGAAACAATAGAAACGTCTTCTCCTTTATGAAAAAGGGGCGTGCATTTATTTCGCACAAAAAGGATGGCAAAAGGTTGCCCTGAAAAAAAAAAAAAAAAGACATTAAAAAAAAAGGGTGTGACATTTTCAGTGTGTTAGAAATTCATTATATATTGGGCACAGACAATCATCTGTCTGTCTAAGAGGTTCATTCCTTTTTATCGCATGATCTATTATCATTACTATAGTTTTGTTTCAGTTACATCTATGTTTCCCTCTTCCGGAATCAAAAAGAATCACAAAGGCACGAAGATGATTTGTGGATGATTCAAACGCCGGTCAAGTTTGGGGGGGGGGGTAATGTTGGTTCTTCAAGCAAAACTTTTTTTTTTGTCTTTTTCTTTCATTTTTGTCAAATATACTTGTCTTGAGATATTGTTCATTATTATATGAATCATCATGTCGTCTGATCAAGAAAAACGAAAAAATGATACATCGTCTTATACTCGACCCTTATTGGTAGGTGCAGCTAGTGCATTTGCAGCTGGTGTGTTTGGTGCTATTTGGTACACGAAAAGAAAACAATCCAAACACGATGCTTTAATTCAAGATCATCTCAACAACACTGCAGAATTGAAAACTAATAATGGTACAACTCCTCCAAAGATGACCCCGGTTGAATATGAATTGGCAAAAAAGCAAGCTAGATTCTTTGCTCTCAAGTCTTTAGGTTATGGTACTTTATTGGCTCTGACAGGTGCAGGTGTATTAGCAACAGCAGTAGGTTATTGGTTAGATGTACGCAATGTAAGTTTCCCAAAAAAAGGAATGAAGGTGTGATGCTCTTTTTTTTTTTTTTTTTTTTTTTTTCCTTTCTAACTAACCATATCTTGTTAATATTATATATATTCATCCATAGTTTCAAGAATTCTCCGATAAACTGCACATCATCGTTCCTCAACGGACTGCTCGATTACGACGTTTTTTAGGTGGCAAGGATTTGGAAATGACAAAAAGTGAAGAGGAAGAATTGGAAGATTTATTACAAGATATTACCATTGATGAATAAAGTAGGTTTAGTCTTGATGACAATTTTTTTTTTGTTTTGGTTAGATAATTATTTTGGTGTTTAGATAGACAAATGGTATATATTCCCCCCCCCCTCCCCCTCATCCTTCACTGATTTGATGATTTTTTTTTTCGTCTTTGTATATATTCATTTTGAACAATAAAAATTGCAATTTTGATGCCATACTATGAAACCTTTTTTTTTGATAGCCTTAAACGAAAAAGGAAAGCCATTGGTTACTTTTTAAGCTTCCAGTCCACAGTAAGATGATCTTAGATGATCCGATAAATCAATTTTTTTTTTCTAGTCTAGTCTTTGATCTCAAGATGGGAATGATACCATCAAGTGATTTCATATTTGGAACCAATTTGCTTGTCATCATTTTAGATGAAATTAATTGCGGATGATTCAATGATTATTCTTATTGCGCAACCGACCACTTCCGTTTGACTACTTTCTTTGTGAGTTCTGTTATATCAAAATTTTATCTAAAGACCAGTCAAAAGATATAATACAAGAGTTTTCTTTTATTTCATTTATTTGTAGGTTTAGAAATAATATAAAAAGAATACAGAGGTGACGACACATATCAATGGAATAGAGAATAAACTAAAATAACGTATAACAAAGGATGAGCAAAGAAACATGATGATGATGATGTTGATGATATCACTGGCACCATCTTCCCAAGACATTGATACCAATATGATATTGTTGCAATTGAAAAAAAAAATGAATCTGTATAGTTGTTGATAGATGTTATTGCGTTAGTTGCCTTCTAGACGCTGATGATGATGACAAGAATTAATTGAATTGGGTATCTTGTTGTAAATGATTGATACAATGGTAGATGATCGAGGCAGAAAATAGTAAAATAATAAAAAAAAACAAAAAACAAAATAAGAACAAAAACGTTGACATTAGACATCCTTTTTTTTTTTTTTTTACAGAGGTAATCGCTTACTTCTCGGCCTTGTTGGGGTATATACAGACTATTTTGTTTGTGTCCAGTGAAACATCCGTTGTACCGTCGAATCTTTCCTCTGCAAAATAAATATAGATAAAGAAGTCTAGAGGTTAGCTTGATTTTTCCTTAAGGTCGATTGTATACACATATTCTTATCAATGATATTACAGTACCTTTTCATGATGTTTTCCTTAGTTCCATAGGATTGTAAATAAATCGAAACAGGACAAAAAAAAAACATTGTTGTATTGTAATAAAGACTTTTTTTTTTTTTTTTTTTTTACTATACGGTCATCCTGCGGAAGCAAACATATTCCTTCCGGTCAAGTTCCTTCAATAATAAGAATAATAATAAAAAAAACAGTACATAACATGATCAGTAAAACATGATTACCAACGATATATTAAAAGTTTTTGTTTCTAAAGAATAGATTTACCTTCCACATTATGGTACGATTGAATAAAATAAAAAAAAAAAAGAGAAAGAAAGAGAGAAGGAGACAGAAAAAACCGGAGATAACCTTTAAAGTTATCACAAAATCCCAAAAAGGAAACAACAGAGAGAAAGAAAGAGAGAGAAAGAAAAAAATTTTTTTTTTTATTTTTATTTTTATATAAACAAATAACTAACTAATAAAAAGTATGATTTATCCAATACGTCTAGCAATCAATACAGAATTAACAACATCATGATGTGGATGAAGTTCCAATACGATTTCCAATAGACCGACCAAGCGAGGATTTGTATGAAGATGAAGAGACGGGACCAGAGCGGGGTATAAGAGCTGCCGTAACCCATGAGCACTACGGATCAGCAACCAGGCACCAGGGCGCATATTTTGGATCACTTGATAGATCACGTCTAATTTCCCATTGTCATCCTCCATGTCACCCACCAAAGCACCAAGACATACCACATCGGCCAGATGATAATCAGGATAGGCGGAGGCATGGATCACATGATGATGGAATCGAGATTGGATAGTGGACGGCCATGGCAATCGTTTGATCAATTGGGAGGAGAGTTGAATGGCCTCAGGGCTAATGTCAATCATGTCCATTCGACGTAGACTAGTATGATGTTGCAGCATCATTTCTATGGACGACAAGGGTAATGGTCCACTTCCCACCCAAACAATATGACCCAAGTTAGCTCCCACCCCTAATAAAGCATGACATTCCAACCGTGTGAGATCCACATAGTTCCCATAGTAGGTAAATGTCGATAATTGTTGTATCATAGCCTTTTCCCACTTATCATCTTTTTCTTTTTCTTTTTCTTGTTGTATATACATCCTTGACCAATTGGATTCCAGTAAGTATTCCCCTTGACTACAAAGTTGACGTAAATGTGATTGGACTTGACGAATAGTAGGATGAGCCAAGACTTGATTCAGAGTGGGCTGATCAACAGGCATGATACATATTTGCACCAGTTTGGAAAATAAAGCATTGATATGTTCACTAGGTTGAAGATGAGGGGCTGCTTTGGCAAGTTGATGATAAATATGATTGATTTCTGTTACCAACGTGTTTACAGTCGAGCATGATGATTCGTCCAAATGACTAGAAGATGATTTCAATGACCTTGTTGAATAATCGGGTGTTACTTCAGATAATGTATGATGTACCATTGTTTATGGGGGTATCCAGAAATAAGAATAACTAAAAGAAGGAAGAAAGAAAATTTGTTCCTTTTTTTTTTTTTTATGGGAAAGAAAAGAGAAAGAAAGGTCGACCCTGGAATCTCATTCGGCATATAAATTTGTAACAAACAAGAGAAATTTTTTTTTGGTGCTTGTACAACCATCTAAAGATGATCTATTACCTTAATCCGAATGTTAAAAATCCATCATATAAAAAAAAAAAAGAATAACCGTCAAATATAAAACACATCCCCATATTTAAAACTTATTGTAAAAGATAAAAAAAAAAAAGAATGACGTTTTTAAGTTTTGTATGACCATGATAAATGATGATGATGATAATAATGATATTCTTTATTCAAAACAAGATAATATATAAATATATAAATATGTATTAAAAAAAAAAGAAAAAGAAAGGTGAGGTATCAAACTATTGTATAACTAACTAACCCAACTTCAATGATGAATACTTTTCCGATCTCGTTCCCGTCTTTCCCTAAAACTACGTGTACTTTGCTTTTTCCGAACACCTTGTAATGACATGGCATATTCTTCACTGAGACTAGTCATTGCACCTTGTTGTTGTTGATCATCCATCATGGGTAAAGAATGTAATCCATCATCAGTAGGTGTAAAAGAAATATCCATCATTGGACTACTTGGAACCAGTGGAGATCCTGATATACCCCTGTGTTGTTGTTGTTGATATGTTCCAAGACTTCTTCGTTTTCTAACTCTTTCTACCATATTGGTATCATCCAAAGAAGGTGGGGAACCGAGAGAAGATGTATCCACCAAAAATCCAGCTCTTGATGCCAAATTATTTGTTGATTGTGATCGCCATAACAAAGGTCCGCCAGCAGAATCCTTCTTGCCAGCAAAACGTGAAGTGCGGTGAGTATCAATAGATAAAGTGAGTGGTGAATTATGATTTTCCTGGGTTGTTATATTATGATTCATATTCTTGATAGGTTGATTGTTGGCAATATAATGGGTATGTTGTTGTTGTTGGTCATTGTTTGAGGGATTGGATATCATATCGATACGGGTAATTGGTAATAAGTCACGATCAGCACCATCAAAAGCAGGTTTGACCCAATCTGGTGGTTCACCAACTGTACGTTTAACCGGGTCCTTAAATCCTTCATACTTTTCAAATATAGTAAAATCGAAAGGTTTGAATTTTTCTTTGATCATCGTTCGATCTCGTTCATGTTTGCTTGTATCTGTTGATTTTCGATGTCGATCATTCAGTCGATGATGATGTCTTCCTCCACCATCTTGTAAAGATCCAAAATCATCTACTACCATCTGTTCCAGATCAAAAGTAGGATCAAAGTTGTTTTGATTTGTTGCAGGTTGAAAAGGTGGTGTCAATGTTTTTGATTCCAAGCGTCGCCAATCTACTGATCTAAAAAAGGGATGTTGTACTAAACTGATCCATCCATGATCACCTTGACCAAGTCGTTTTGTAGGTACCATTTCTAAAAACTAAAGATATATATTTATATTAACCGGAGATTAAAAACCCTGATGTTCCTTTTTTTTTTTTTGTGAACTTACTCCTTGCATGACAGATAGACATTCACCAGATATAGATCTTTTACTATTTGAGTAGTGAACATGACCACGTCTAATTGCTGCTGATAATTCGTCATTAAGTTCATGATCAAATGGTTTCTTCAAAAAAAAAAAAAAGAAAAGTATTTTCGTACTTTATGAATTTCATCTTCTTTTTTTTATTTCAATTTCATTTTAACTAGCTTACCTTGCCATATACACATTCATATAATGTCACACCTAGTCCCCACCAATCCACAGCTTCATTATATCCACCACCTTTCAATACTTCCGGAGCTAAAGAAAATAAAAAAATAAAAAGAAAAATGAGATGATAAAATGATTTATATATTTATTATTTTTTTTTTTACCCATATAATAACTTGTGCCTGATCCAGAAGTAAGAAGTCGATTTGAATGTAAATAAGTAGCTATATTGAAATCGGTTAAATGTACATGTCCCCATTCATCCATTAATATATTTTGAGGTTTAATATCCCTATCAAAATAAAATAAAATAAATAAATAAAACATAAAAAATAGATTTATTTATTCATTTTACCGATGTACTACACCATTGAAATGAAGATATTTGACAGCAGAAGAGAGTTCAGCAAACCAAAATCGTAAGACATCTTCCGAGAAATATTGATTTGCAGATATATGATAATAGAGATCTCCGCCCAGCCTATATTTTTTTTTTTTATATAATGAATGAATATTATATATATATATATATTCATTGATTACTTACATGAGATCAGTCACCATATACATACAAATATTATCTTGAAAAGCAAAACGAAGTCGACATAAAAATGGATGATCTAATTGTTCCAATATAGTTCTTTCCCTGATAATATTTCGTACAGCATCCATTCGAATACATTCTTCTTTGTTAATATATTTCATGGCATATAGTTGGCGAGTTTCTCGATGTTCAACGATACGAACCTATCATAATAATAATATCAATCAATTTTTTTATAATAATAATAATAATAATAATAATAAAACTAATTACCTTTCCAAAGGCCCCTCGTCCAACAACGCGCATTAGTTTGAAGTGAGATATCTGAATAGATACTAATGAAAAAAACAAAATTAGATTAAGAAAAATACAAAGAGGTAATAATGAAGTATGTTTATTGTTCTTTTTTATTTTATTACCTTCTCCGTCATCAGGTCTTTGGTTGGCGCCCGAGAACGCGGTAGAGAATAATCCAGTAAGAAAACGAATTTTGTAAGTTAAAGAAATGAATACTGATGATAAATAAATAAAACGAAAAAAAAGGTAGGAATAAAAAGGAATGGTTGGGGGGAATGGAAGCAGGGAAAAAAAGTAGTAAAAAGAATACAAAAAAAAAAAAAAGAGAGAGAAAAATAGGGGAAGACGAACTTTAGGGTCCAAGAAAATAAAAAAAAAAATAATTAAAAAACCGATATTTTTTTTCTTTTTTCTTTTTATTTTTTATTTTTTTTTTAATTGATTTTACCATGTTATTACGAACAACAAGACAACTTGTTCAATTGAAACCACAACAAACTCAACTTATACCAACTTTAGTTTCTTCTTTTCGACTTTATTCAACTAAAATTGATAATACTCCACCACCTTCTTTTGGTACTTTCCGTGAAACTCCTTCCATCCTTGGTACAAGAGATCCTCCTGTTGTAGATAAAAACTCGTGGCTTCAACGTAAAAAACAAAAGTTACAAGACTTTACTGATTATGAAAAAGCCTTTGCTGCTCATGCTGCTGAACGTCGTCACTTGTAAAGTATTATTATTATTATTATCTCATAATGTCCTCTTATATTTTTTATTTTTTAATATATATATATAAAAACGATCCAGGGTCGAAGAAGCTACCAAGTCCTATTTTGCCGATGTTCATGGTAACTTCGTTATATACAACTTACCCCTTTTATATTTATTTTCTAATTTTTTTTTTTTTTTTTCTAGAAATGCGAAAACATGGTGGTAAAATGTATTATGCCTCTAACAAGTTAACTAAACCTGACAAAGCAGGATATATGCCAGATTTCGAAGTGGCCAATGTGAATCGACAAAAGATACATACTACTGAACTACTTTTAGGTCATGTTACTCTCATGTCTTTTGTCTATGCGAAATATGGTGAACCTCATGTTAATTCCTTTGTAAATCCCTTTTTGGCCAAATTCAATAATACCGATGGTGTACAACTTGTAGAAGTAAGCAAACATTTGAAAACAATTGCTTACATACTTATCCTTTTTTTTTTATTGTTATTATTTGTTTATTAGTTAAATGTGCAAGAAAATGTATTGAAACAACTGGTATTAAAGGCATTTATTCCAAGTATCCGTAAAAATCTTCCTGAAGATCGCAAGGTAAAAAAAAAAAAAAAAAAAAAAAAAAAAGAAAGAAAAAAAAAAACAGAAAAGAACTTTTGTAATACTTACTCCATTTTATTTCGTAACCATTAGGATAACTATATGTTTTTATTCAAAGATATCACAAAAACAAGAAAAATGTTGGATATGACCAATCAATATATCGGCTATGTATTTCTAGTAGACGAAGATTGTAAGATTCGATGGACTGCTCATGGTGATGCGACCGATGAAGAAGTGGCTAATATGTTAGCCATGACCGATTATCTGAACAAAAAACGAACAAACACCATTGACAAGTTGGAAGATAAGAAATGAAGATTGGATTAGAATAGATTAATATAAAATAGAATAAAAATAGAATGTTAGTACTAGTTATTGTCTTCGTTTGATGTAAATATAAGTCGTGAAATAAAACTGCACACTTGAGTATATTTTTATAAATAGTCTTTTTTTTTTTTATTATTGATGATATGTTGATAGACAAAATAAAAATAAAAATAAAAAAATATTAGGATGATTTTTGGCTATTACTACTACTAAGTTGATCTATTTTCTGAACTAATTCTACAATTTGAGATCGATACATTTCTTTTACATCCGCAATATCAGCTTGAAGCTCTTGTACTTGTTCTGTTTTTTCACCCAATAATTCCAAGGATGCATGATATCGTTGATTGATATAGTCATATTCTTTTTGGAGTTGTTGCATCTTTTTACATTCGTTTTGCCTAATTCAAAGTGAGAAAGAAAAAAATGAATGAATGAAATCATGTTACCATCTTCACACACACACATAGAAAGAGAGAGAGAGTATTTCTTGTCCACTTACAATCTTTCTATTTCCTTTGTTTCTTCGATTGTCGAACCACTTGTCACGCCGATATGACCATTATCATTACTAGATCTTGTACTTGTACCTGAACTCTGTACCTAACATAGAAAATAAAAAAAAAAATGAGAAAAAGATAAAAAAAAAAAAAAAAAAGAAGTTTTCACTTACATCTAGACGATTGGAGGTAGATGAATCCTCTTCGTTTTGTGGTGAGGCCAAAGATGAGCTTTGTTGCTTAATTTCCCATAGTTTCTTTTCTTCTTGTAATCTTTCGCGCATCAATTTTTGATATTGTCGCTTGATATCATCTGCTGTTTTGATCGCCTTTTGTTTTTGATCTTCTAATTGCATTTGTCGTTCCTCCAGTTTTTCTTGTAACGTCTTGATTTCCTGTATTTTTGATTCTAATTGTGTTGCCATTTGATCTTTTTCTTGTTGTAAATCCATTATCTCCCGTTCCTGCCGAGTAGATCGTTCCTTCTAAAAAAAAAAAAAAAGACAGTAGTTGAGCTACTTGTCGTATCTTCCAAATATTGATTCTTACCAATGTATCAAGTTCGGTTTTGACAATCTTGTATTCTTCCACAGCTTGTTTGAGTTCCTTTTCAGCTTCTTGTAACCGAGTAATGATCCTATATAAAATAAATAAGTTTGAGAATCTTGTTTGATGCTACTTTCATTCTATATATATATATATATATATATATATATATATATATATTTCCTTACCTTTTCTCTGCTTGATCCCGATTCTTAATAACAGTAGAATGTTGAGTTTGTAACTCCTCAATTCGACGTAAGAGTGGAGCAGTTGCTTCTTCCACATTACTTGAGACATCATCAAATTGAGCCCCAAGTCCTTGTAGTTGCATTTGGAGATCCTATTATATAATATGAGTATTGATTCATTTTTTTTTTCACTTTCTTTTATATAGTTTACTTACGGCTACTTCACGACGTAGATTATCTTCTCTCTGTCCAGCTTGCGATTCCAATGTCTGTAATGCAATTTGCAGTTCCCGGATTTCTGTACGTAATTTGGTTTCCAATACTTGAGCTGCTTCCTTAGTCGTTGTTAATTCTTTGTGAAGACGTCCATTGGCTGCCACCTAAAATAAATATATTTTTATTAAATATTGCATCCTAACATTCCCTAAAAATTACCTCTTTTTCCAATGCAGCAGCATGTATTTGTTCAGATTCGACCTTTGCTTTATTCCTTTCCATATCCAAATTTTCAAGTGTAGATGTTAATTCAGCCTGTATAAAACATAATAATAGTGAGTAACCTTCACATTTTCGACTTTTTATTCTATTAATACCTGTAGTTGTTGATGTTGTTCCTTTAATTGAGAAGATTCCGCTTCCAATTTGTTGATATGTTTTGTTTGTTTTTCCGTCATTTCTGTTAACATCTTGATCGATTCTAGTTTTAAGTTAGATTAGAAGCTGACAGGATAAATTATAGATAAGAAATGATTTTTCTTTTTTCTACCTTTCGCTCGTTTTTCATTTTCTGAAGATCGCTTTGATTTTGTTGCAGCATCAATCAAATCGGCATTGATCTTGTCCAACTTTTTTTGTAAATCTGCCAAACTTTTATCCTGATCTTGTTTTTCTGTACGTAAACGCTTGATAGTGGTGGCCTGTTTCAGTTCGTTTTTGGACAATTTTTCACCTATTGTCAACATAAACAAATACAATTTATTACATTTTATCCAGTTTTTTTTTTTTTTTTTTTTTCTGTTTCCTTACCTTCTTGTAATAATCCCTGGATTTGTTCTTCCTTTGCTCCCAGTTGTTTATTTAAATCTTGAATTGTAAGTTCGTATTTCTTGATATTCTTTGATGATCCTTGAGAGGTTGATTTTTCTGCCAGTTGATTTTGTAAAGACTTGATGAGTGTTGTAGACTGATCGCCACTTTCTTGCAAGCTATGAATCTGATCATGTAACTTGGCAATAGTTTCCATAGACTGTAATAGCTGTTGTTCTCGTTGAGCCAAAATCCTATCCTTGTCGATATCTCCAGTAGTAAGAGGTAAAGAAATTGTTCCATCATCATCATCATCATTATTATTACTGGAAGACTTTGGAGATGTAGGTACCTTATTGTCGCTTCGTTCAGTTGCTGTTTCTAAAGAAGTTGAATTTGTAATGTTATCCAAGCTATTTTGATTGTCAGTAGATGATGAATTGGTGATAGCTGGTAAATCTGTTTCTGCATGTTTTGACGATGATGCTGACTTGGTAGCAGATGATGAGATTGGTGCTGGTATAACAATATTCGATGTATCAGTGGTCGAATTGGTGACACCAAGATCAATACTAGTATCGCGTAATGGATCAACTTCTTTTAATACATCTACTTCGTTTGTCACTGTTGCTGCTGTTTCTATCTCTGGTGATTTAACCGAGTCCGTTGGATCTGTTTTCTCTGTATCTTTTGTTTCAGAGGTATCGAGGGTATCGGTTTTGCCACTTGAAAGATCCAATTCTTCATTATCTTTACCCAAGGGAGGTGGAAGCTGAGCATTGCTGTTGTCATCCTTAACATTAGTCAAAGAAGCCTCGCCATCGTCATCAGTTGATTGTGTTTTCGATTGTTGTTGTTCTTTTTGGTCGATAGTACCAGTTGCATCCCCATCTTTCTCTGGATCGTTCGTTACTTGTGTCGCAGGACTGGGTGTTGAGGAATTTTCTAATGATGAAGTTGTGGAATGAACTGACGCAGGACGAGAAGATGAAGTGGAACTGCGCGCCTTCTTTTCATTCATTACAGCTGCTAGTCGTGCAGAGAGATCACTTTGCTGTCGTGGTAGAATAGAAGGTGAAGAAGTCGCTGATGCTACTGATTGTGGTGTGGAAGGCCTTGAGCGAGGTGTAGACTTTGGTGTTGCTGGTGATGTATTGCCGGCTACTTTCTTTTTCTTTGCAACAGTGGTCACCATACCACTGATAGGATCCACATATGTTTCCGTCTCTTCATCTAAACAAATGTTTTCAGCAAAAAAAAAGAAAGATATATACCACGTATATTTTTAAATATGATACATTAGCAAAGGTAAACTGTCTGTTGAATTTTCTTGCCTTCTTTTTTTTTTTTCTTTTTACCTGGATTGTTGTTTGGAGGGTGTTCAGATTGTTCTAAAAGAGTATCAAATGTCGTTTCTACGTTGGATATAGCTTGCTTTAAAAGACCACCCCATTGATTGTTACCACCAAAAAAACTCATAAGGCAAAAGAGTAATCAGAAGAGCAAGTGATTTGTTTTAGTAAATAAGCAGGAAGGTAATCAAGAAAAAGGAACAAAAAGAAAAAAGATGGATTTTTCTGACCAGAAAAACCTCATCGATTGAAGTTGAGTGCGGTGTCTGAAATGTTCACCTCCTTACAGTTCAAATACTACTACTGTCATGAATGCTCCTTTTATCACATCGAGAGTTTTATTAATACTTCAATAAGTACAGTCATAAAGACTGGAAGACATAAAATCACATTACTCATGTTATTCCTTATGACGATCTCTAATGACGATGGATGTCCGAATGTACGGATGATTGAATGTATGGATGATTGAATGTATATGGATGATTGAATGTATATGGATGATGGATTGATAGATGAATGACGGATGATGAGTCAAAGCTACGTTTGATTTTGTTTCTAGCGTAATAATAATAATAAAAAAAAAAAAAGAATGATCTATAATTGTAAAACTTTGAATGACATATAAAAGACGGATGATTTATTATGAGTATATAAAAAGTAATATAAAAAGATAAAAATATAAATACTAAATAGTAGCATTTCGTACAACCAAAACAGGACAAGGGCATTCATGTACACACTTATCAGAGACCGATCCTAAAAACACACTTTTAACAGTACTCAAACCACGAGAACCGACTATCAGTAAATCCACCTGATGAGATTGAGTATATTTTGGTAAAGCTTCCTTTGGATCACCCCATAAAACGTGTTGTTCGCTTGATATATTTGAACTTTTGAGTTGATCAGCCATAGATTGTAATAAATCCCTTACAGGACGAGCAAAAGGCTGATTTTCCTTGTTCACTTGTTCAATAGCTTCATTGATACGAGTAGGTGTAGTACTGATTATAGGTAAGTTCTCTGCACTTTTACCAATTTTTGCTCCAGAAGGACTTGTACGGGATAATGCTGAAACCAGAATGACATGATCTGTTCTAGGGTTGACAATATTTTTGATAGACCAATCAAATAATTTACTAGCGTCTTCAGTACCATCATAAGCAATCACAATACGTCGTTTTTCAGTTATGGATAATTCACTCATCTTGTTTGTTTTTAGAAAGTGTAGACAAACAGAGAAAAGAAAGAAAAAAAAAAGATAAATAAAAAAAAGTGTCTCCCCATGTTATATTTATGCAAAAAAAAAAAAAAAAAAATATGATGTTTTTGTTTCAGCGCTTTCATTGTCTCCCTTATTTTACCTACTGAGACATACATACTCCGGGCCTTTTGTGCCACTAAAAAAATGGCATGATTTCTCTCCTTCTCTCTGTTATAGAAAAAAAAACACCGCTGGTAGACTTTGTTGGATTAACAAAAGGAAAACAACGAGATTATGATCACATAAAAAAAAAAGATCCGTTTCAAACTGAACCACGTAATAAAATCATGAATGATATGATGTTAGCTTATTTTTTTTTTTTTTTGAGATTGATGTCAATCATCATTCCCTTTTTTTTCAGTTTTTCCCTTTCTTTTAACTCTATCATCATCATCATATTTTGTTGGAGAGAATATTATAAAATCAAAATCGTCAACCTAAGCGGAAAGTGAAACGCGACTTAAAGAATGGTTTCACTCCCATTTCGATTCCAAGCATTTAAGTTCGATGGTATCTGTCAAACAGTAGCTTTAACATTATGTCCATTGATTGGAAAGTACGATGGCATCGAACCATTTTGCTATTCTCGTAATGTTGAATTTGCTGGCATGCTCATCTTTCAGCCTGGTAAGATTTTCTTTTCAAGACATCATCTGACTGACTTCTTTTTTTTTTTTTTTTTTTTTTTTGTAGCTACGCTAATAATGGATATAGTCGCAATATGTATGGCAGGAGTAATGATTTATCATGTCAAAACAAAATATACAGCTGTCGGTAATGTAGATATTATCATCATCATTCTATCATACCGCTATCATCCATCATCCATCATCCATCATCCATCATCACATATTATTCATTTATCTGATCATCCACTGCTCGATCAATCCATCATCATCATATATCATGTCATCATCCATTCATCATTACTTTTATAGAGTGTGATTATTAACATGCATTAAAATTCTTGGCATTTGATCTCTTTTTTTTTTTTTTTTAGGTCGTAAAGAGATCACCATGTTTTTTCAGCTTTATTTGGTGACAATGTTATTGGAAATGTTATTGGTATCTAGCATCATCCCTACAGCCTCTAGCCTATATCCAGTAAAAAAATAAAAAAAAAAATGAGGGGTCCAATCAATCATTGACTAAAAAAAAAAAAAAAAATCACACTAGTTTTTTACATCAGCTCATTTAGGTTTAGGTAGTGTAACCTTTTGGTGCTTGTTACTGAATGGATTCGTTGGGTTTCAATTCGCAGAGGATGGGACACCAATCAGTTTATGGGTAAGTATGATCACGCATCAAAAAAAAAAAAAAAAGAAGACCTTTTATTTTTTATGCACATTAATGCAATATTATATTTGCTTGTAGTCCATCCGCATTACATCATTTGCTGTCTTTTTTATAGTAGGGTTTGTTGGTATGGCAACGTTTAATAATGTTGGTCCATTCAACTGTACATATCCTATAGGACTCTGGGTGATATATTTCATTTTTAATGGAGCCTGTTTTATGATATATTTGATCTCACAATTGTTTCTTGTGGCTTATACACTTGATGATCGATGGCCATTAGGTGATATTGCATTTGGCGTATTGTTTTTCTTGACAGGTCAAGTCATTATGTTTATATTTTCACTTCCACTTTGTGAACAGATGAAACATTACATGGATGGACTCTTTTTCGGTACAACATTCAATCTATTAGCAGTGATGATGGTATATAAATATTGGGATTCAATCACAAAGGAAGATCTCGAATTCTCAATTGATTCTAAACATCAAGAGTGGCAAACTTTACTAATACATGATGATATCAATTATAATGAAAAAAATAAAATTTGAAATGAAAGAATGGAACATCATCCATAAAAAGAAAAATAGAAAAAAAGAAAAAAGTCAGGAGCTTTGTTTCTAAAGAAATCGGGTATTCAAATGAAAAACTGGTGAGTGTGCGTGTGAGATTTCTTTTTCATTTCTTTATTTAAATAGAATCATTTCCCACTCGATTTTTTTTTATTCTTTTTTGGTTTCTCTTTATACGCTTTTTTTCTTATTCTTATTTTTATTTTTATTTATTTTATTTTATTACAATCATGGCTATCGTCTTCCGACATTTTCGACCTTTTGTTTCTGAAGCACCAAGAAAAACATCAACAGCTCAAAGAAAAAATAGACAACACTTGCAAGTGAAGATCAGTAAAGAACCACCTACTATTCTTTATTTTGAACGGTCTCAAGATGAACAATGTCATGAATGTATATTTGATCCTATGGTACGACATGATGAAGAAAAGGATCATCCTGATCTTTTTATATCCAAACATCAACCATCTGAATTGAAACCTTGGCAGAAACCACCCTATTGTAATGCTCCTACTGGTGATCATACTTTGATCAAACGTTTGACATCTATGATGCGAATCAAATCATCATCCACTCATCAACCCCCATGTGTTGTAGTCTAGACATAAATCATCATACCTCACAATCATAATATTCGATCATTGTATTATACACCTTATATACCCTTCTTATGTAGTATAGTCAACTTTTTTTTTTTTTAGTTTCTTCCCATCATACAAAAAAAGAATAAATAAATAAATAAATAATAATAATATTTTCTCTCTTTCTGTCTTTGATCTTTTCTTTACTCATGACACAACTTTTGTGTCCTAGCCAATCGGTGTAACAGTTTCCTTTTTGGGTCAGAGGTCCTCCCTCTCCATTGGATCACAAAATCTAATAACATCCCACTGATACAACAAGGTATCCACTTTGTACACTTTATTCAATAATAATTGACGGAATTCAAAGAATAAGATGGCGCAAAAATAGGAAATAAAATATATAATAAGGATAGAAAATAAATGACAGAAGAAAAAAAAAATATAATTGTCGCATAAATCAAATAGAGAATATAAGAAAATAGATATCATGAAAAAAAGACCAATAAAAAAAAAAAAAAAAAAGGAAATCCACCAATTGAGTTCACCAAGTTAACATATATAAAAAAAAATAAAATAAAAAATGAGTAATACTTATCCAGATAAAAATATTTCACTAGCTTACCATTTAAGTGTAATGAGATCGCCGTAGCGAAAGTAGGATGGCGATAACCATCCCGGAATTGTTGAATATAAGAAAAGAAAAGGCTGACCGTAACCACGCAGATGCGCATTAGCGACCACGGTCAAGCCCAAAAACAAAATAGAAGCAGGTCAATTGAGATACAGATAAAGGTGGTTGAACGATAAAAGAATACTTGTAAACAAAAAGATAGATCAAACGAAAAGAAGGCAGACAAAAAAGCAGGCAGGTAGGCCAAAAATGAGGCAGGTAAGATGAATGTAATGTAAAGAAATAAAAAAAAAAAGTTAAATCAAAGGGATCCTTTTATAAAAAAATGAATCACCCTTGCAATTATGAGCTAACTTTAGTTGATAAAATGATGAGACAAGATGTAAGCGAGTTTTATCATCTTTTTTTTTTAAATATTAGCAACATTTCTATCTTTATATTGTATCTAATTCATCATCATTTTTTTTCTTAGTATTAACAACATTTCTTTCTTTCTATTGTATTTAATTTATCATTGTCTTTTTTAGTATCTACTTCATAATTTTTTTTTCTTTTTTTTAGTGTTAGCAACATTTCTCTCTTTATAATAAAGTTAATTGCATAGATGTTCTACATTAAATTCTATTATTACAATATTTATGTACTAAGTGATACATGGTACTGACTTGTTTTTGCCGTGTTTTAGTTTAATGACTAGATTTCTTTTTTTTTAGTTGTTCTATTTTAAATGATAGTATGATTGTGCACAGCGTACTTATTATTGCCATTTTTTAATTTCCCTTGATGTGATGAATCATCATTATTATATTGATTTATCATGTTGGCTGATAAAAGAGTGTTTTGACATTTTTCAAAGAAAAAAAGAAAAGAAAAAGAAAATGTTGTTCTGTCAGAAGGTAACTAGAATGAAGTATTTTGTATTTTATTAGAAATTTGTACAGTGATTGACGACAATGTTTCATCATCCATCATACAATCATACAATCATCCAATATATAATCATCCATTATCACATATCATCCATCCTGTAATCATCCAATATACAATCATCCGTTATCACATATCATCCATCATGAATCATCCATCATGAATCATCAATCAATTGATACCTAAAAAAGAATGGACAACACCCAAAGCTGCTAAAAATATGAAAAGCTTATGTTAATTTTCTTCTGTGTCTTTTATTATTAATAAACAAGTTATCATCAATGTGTTGTGTGTTTTTAATGTACTCTACCGCCATCTCTGGAGCGATATCTGAAAAAGTGGTAATGCGCCATTCATTTTGGGAAAGTACGATATTTTATTTGATAACATCACGAAAAGCATTTTCTTGTGACCCGACAAAAAACCTTGAAAACTTTGTATTTCCTTCACACACACATTCATACAGTGACTGATTAAACTTGATTCACAAACAATAAACATTACAACTATAAAGTAATCATATGTACACTTTATTCAATAAAAAATGACGGAAGTTCAAAATCCAAGAGATTAAAAAAAAAAAAAAGAAATCCTTGGTTAGACTGTGACTCGTGCAAAAGTGTTGGCTACAAAAAAAAAAAAAAATGCACGATCGGGACGCGGTCAATTTTTTTTCTTTTACTCCTTTTTTTTCCTTCTATCTTCTTCATTTCTTCATTATAGGATTTCTTTGATTACCTTGAAGACATATTTTCTATAGTCTGTTATTTTTTTATTACTTCTTTCCTTTGAAAGTACAGAATAGGTAAAAAAAAAAAAAAAAGAAAGGAAAAGAAAAGAATTAGTTTCTTCTATATATTACTTAAATATTTGGTGACTAATCATCTATTCGTTAGAAATTGTCTATATATCATGTTAGATACCCCCAACTCATGTTTACTTGACGTGACCAACAACACCACCATTACAACTTTAGTATCGATTAGTAAAAATGGAACATCACAAGACGAGTTTGACCAAGCACCTCCTCTCTCTTCACCATCCTCAGTCTCAACTATTTCTTCACCATCGTCCTTGACTGAAGTTTCTATGACTAATGCCGCGACAACACTTGTTAAAAGACCATTTTCAACACCTACTGATAAGAATGAATGTTATCTCGATAGTGTTACACCATCAACAACAACCGACATTGGTCAATATTACTGGTGTAGATATTGTAATATTACAGAATCAAGTCTTTGGCAACATGGACCTTTTGGAGAGAACACGTAAGCTCTTTAAAACATGCTTAACAGAAAAGGATATAATCGAATATTAATACTGATATTTTTTTTAGATGTTGCAACACCTGTTATGAACGAAAAAACAGCGAGGATCAACGCAACTGTACCTTGGATTGGGGTATCAACTATTACCCAAATCGACCTTTGGATCAGTCAAAAGCTGAATCAACCCCATTTTTATCATCTACAACTGTTTTGAATAACGTTACATCCAAACGAAGGCGTATCATTGAAAGTCCACCTGACGAATCTTCCACAATTGCACCTACCACCACTTTATCTTCACAACAGTCAACATTGACCTCTTCTGATACTGTCCATTATCCTATTGATACCTCAATTTCCACTACAAAGGGAAAAAAGTCTACAATGCGATCCTGTGATCTATGTCAATCCAGTCAAACACCAATGTGGAGAAAGGGTCCTGATGGATTAAATACGTAAGTTTTTAGAATGTGTATTATGATTCAAAAGCTCTAGGAAAATGTATACTCTTATCATCACTGATAATTACCCCCCCTTTTTTTTCTTTTGTAGACTATGTAATGCTTGTGGGTTACGCTATTCCAAATTTTGCCGTGGTATCTTGTCAGAATGGAAGACAGTTCGGCCTTCATCATCATTATCATCGATATCATCACAAAATGTCAAATCAAAGAAAAACAACAATATATCAACACCCATTATAGGAACGACGACGAAAAAGTTAGCGAAACAGGCAAAAACAGATAATATACGTGATAAAAAGGTATTTCTCAAAGCTGGCATGTACTCTAACAGTATTTCTCGTCAAAAGAACAAACACAAACAAAAAATGGATCCTTCTTTGTTCAAGTTCTCACTACCTTTACATCAAGGCTTGATTCTCTTGGAAACTCAAATGGATTTTCGATTACCTTTCGACATTATGGAAGATTATGAATCTGGACGATTGTTTAATTGGGTTGATTTGTCTGAAAGAAAGAAACCTTCTCGATTTGTCCGTATCCTTCACAGTAAGTGATTTAATTGAATAAGATCATAATGTATTGTTATTAACTGCAACAATTTTTTTATTTTGTTCACCTTTTTTAGATGCTTATGTAGAACGAAAACCACGAAAAGAACCTAGTGCAGTATGTCAATGTAGTCCACCAAAAGAAGGTGGTCGTGCTTGTGGCGAAGATTGTCTGAACCGAATGATGTTTATTGAATGTGATCCTTCCACTTGCCCTTCAGGCGAACTATGTTCAAATCAACGTTTTAAAAAACGAGAATTTGTCAAGCATTTGGAAATTTATCTTGTAAGTAGAATCTAAATTCATCATATTTTTATATTCAGTTGTTTTTCTCTTTTATATATAGACTGATGGAAGAGGATGGGGATTACGTACAAAGGAACCTATTCAACAAGGTACATTGATCACGGAATATCGTGGTGAAGTGATTTCGGACAAGACATGTCAAGAACGTAGACGGACGATATACAAACATCAAACGAATTTTTACTTTTTGGATTATCATAAAGGTGAAGTCATCGATGCTTGTACCAAGGGCTCTGAAGCAAGATTTATCAATCATGGATGTGATCCTAATTGTCATATTGAAAAATGGTAATGATAAAAAAAAAAAAGAAACAAAAAGAATCTATTTTATTTATTTTGTAAACCATATTTACTGATCATTTGTCATTTTTATAGGAGTCGTCGTGGAGAATATCATCTTGGTGTATTTGCTTCCAAGAACATTCCTGCTAATTCAGAATTGTTTTATGACTACAACTTTTCTTTATTTGATACTGAAGCTATTGGTCAAGAATGTCATTGTGGGAGTGCTAACTGTCGTGGATTCCTTGGGAAAAGATCAAGCAACTCAAAAAAAATAGTATAGTTTATCTCTTTAGATTAGTTGTATCTCGGTTTTTACTAGTGTCTTTTCTTTCATCATTTATTTTTTACAATCATATTTGATGACAAAGATATATGTTTTTTATTATTTCTATTCTTTGATTCAAAAACAAAATAATAAAAGGAAATAGTGATGATTGGTAGTAAATTTGGAAAGCTGGTAATAGGGCCTACTTATTTTCTATCGACGGTATTTTCACCCCATTTCGGTGGTTGAAAAGAAGAAATGGAAAAATGGTTAGTGTTATGATCAACTAAACATTATTTGTATACGTGCACTTACCAAAAAAAAACAAGAAGACCCTCCGGCTCTGAGGCACGGTCGCCACGCATCAACCCATCCAGGATGTGCGCGACGCAAAAGGATAGTGTAAATATCATAAATGGTAAAAAAAAAAAAAAAAAAAAAAAAAAAAAAAAAAAAAAAGAGAGATCCAGACAGCAAGGAAGACAGACAGACAGCAAGGAAGACAGACAGACAGCAAGGAAGACAGACAGACAGCAAGGAGAGACAACCAAAGGCACAACGAGGACACGAACAGCAAGGAACACGGGGAAACAAGAATCACAAACAAAAATGAGAGTGTTCTGTTGCGTGAACCAGGCGAACGGAAAGAAGAAGATACCAATAAGGAAGCAGCCAAAAAGAAGCAAATAATTTTTTTTGGATTTTTTGGGTTTTGAATTTTTTTTTTTTTTTTTTTTTGTGTTTTGTAGAAGAAAGAAAAACAAAAGAAAGGAGAAAATAAAAAAAAAAAATGTCTTTTATATTGTTTTTTTTTTTTTTATCTCCAATCCCATTGAAGCTATCAAATAATGATTATTCTATGCGATCAAGGAAATTCAACTCCGCGAAAAAAGGCTCAAATGCTCGTATCTTCTCTTTTCTTTTCTTTTTCTTTTTTTTTTTTTTTTGTTGTTCCCATTATATTCTAATTGTATAGTATGTTATTATCTGCTATTGGATAATAGAAGGTTGGTGTCTTTTGGTCGTTTTGTTATTGATGGTAGTGAAGCAACCCTTTTGTTTGGTAAGTTATCTCGACTTTTCTATGGACTCTGCCTGTTTTTTCTTTTTTCTAATTTACTGTACACATTTATATGCATAGAGAACGTTTAAATGGGTACAGATCAAGATCAACTGATTGAATATACTTATTGGACCAACGTGATGCGTTTGTAGTACGAATTGACTGTATATGAAAGCAATACTAAATGTGCAAAAACAGCTCTGGTTGAACTTCGAAAACGACGTGAGTACGTTAACTCAATTTATATTCATCATTTATCAAAACGTTTGGTTTTCTTCTTTTTCCTTTAGAGATTGCAACTAATATTGAAATGACTACTTCCTTACCGTCCTCTTCATCAACAAATCAAGATATCAGGATGTGAACCAGAAATGGAACAAACTCTCAAGGATGCACCCAATATGCAAGCAAAGTGTATTATTATGGCAGGATTCTTTTTTTTTTTTTTTGGAACAAACCTTGTAAGAAGTATTATTTTCAAGCTGATGGTGATCTGATGTATTTTTTTTTTATTATAGGGTACTTTTTTATACAAATAATCTGTATCTTACCTGAAGTTATGATTGCTAGTTGTTGTCAATATGATATAGAGGAATTCTATGGGTCAAATGATTGTTATTGAATCAAGTTGGAACGCATTGTAGAGGACAAAGCCGATGGCGTCGAAGCTGATATTACCCACAGTTTACTGAAGTTTGTGAAAATGTGATTAGCAAAAAGGATCAATGCCAAGGGTAGTTTCTGCATCAAGGCACTTCCAACAATGGTTATACGTCTTATTTGAATTCCTGCTGGTCTTACTACATTCTCTTCTCTGCCTGCATCTACGACTATCAACAACAACGACAATCGAATACAATTTCTTGAAATGCACCCACAGGTTGGAAGAGTACTTCGTTTTATTTTATCTTTATATATGTATATTATTAAGTATATTATTTCAATAAAATGCTGTATAGCAAACTTTTTTATTATTCAATCATTCAATCTACCCATCCATATGTCTATTTATCTGTTATATCCAGTATATAGTATCAGGTAATGGTATGTTACTCGATTTGAAAAAAAAAAAATCAAAGTATATGTATTTTATCTATTTATGTAATGAGCTTTCTTACAATGACACTGGCATTCACCAGTGGACCATGCTGTTTAGATGATGGACTCCCGCATGAACGTTTATGCCTGACCAGGAATTGAATAAATTCACCCAAAATGGTGAAGCCTTTTTATTTTTTTTTTCTTTTCTTTTCTTTTTCTCTTCCATTGACTTTTTTCTTTATGGTTTTATTATATACATTAGTGTAGTCGTTAGATTACATACTTTTTTTTATTCAATAAAGGTTTTATTTTATTACAACTATTTTTATTACATATAAATGGGGTCATTTCCATCTACAAGATGTATTATATATGTATGAATCATTCTTTTTATTTTTTATTACACGCTGATACGACATATGTTGTTATTTATGTAGTTATCACTATAGTAAAGAAAAGGAAAATATAAAGAAAAACAAAGAATAGAAGAAAAAAACGTTTTTAGAAAGAGTATCACTATTTATTTCACAAGTAGTGTGGTTTGGTGACGAAGTCATTGGTTTGTCGTAGTAACTAATCTACAGTAAAAACTTATATCGAAATGAAGAATATTGGAATCGTATCGTTTCTCTTATCTATAAAAAAAAAAAAAAGTAAAATAAAAAGGAACGCATTCACATATAAAAAAAAGGTACATTCGAAGATGGAATCAATTGCATTGACATGTAATGAAGTGATTTCAATAAAAGTAAAGCCTTTATTGAATAAAAGTTTAACTACTAAACACTACTAAAATGATATACTAACACTAAAGTCAATACAAAAAAAAAAAAAAAAAAAAAAAGAAAAGAGAAGAAAAAGAGTGCAAGAAAAAAAGGAAGGGTCACCCTTAAAAAGATTTCGGATAAAAATTTCCCGAAGCCGCCAATTTAGCCGTCGACAGAAAATACGTCCATTGTAATATGCTGGCGGGACTTGAAACATAATTTAATACATTGCGTGTCCCTAAACAAAACTCTTCTTTTCTCTTGATCACTCTCGGCTTTATGCTTATCTTACTTCTTACTTACATTCACGCCTGCCCTCTTACCAATTGTTACTTTGCATCTCATGGATGAAATCATTGATGACCGGATATTGGAAGTGTTGGAAATCACACAAGACCAAGTAATCCAAAGCGAAATGAATACCAAGACATGACCCCTCAAGAAATTATTTTGTATAAAAGAAGATACAAACAATAGCAACTGCTGATTTATGACGGTAAGCACGACAACAAATGAAACCAATATTGTTGAAAAAGTTTACTGACTTATTTTTCTTCATATATATATATATATGTACATATAGCACAACATCAATTCGCGCGCGATGGTGATGGTGATAACGAAACTGGCGAAAGTGATAGTGATGGAGACAGTGATGGTAAGCCCGACCATAAATGAAACCAATATTGTTAAAAAGTTTACTGAACTATTCTTTTTTTTTTTTTTTTTGATAGATACCCATGAACATCAATCGCAACCTCTTGTCACATATGATGTCTCGTCCACTGCCGACAACAACTCTACTGAAATCAATGTAATGGACTCCCTTCGTGAACACATGGAACTTAACAATGTCTCAGCTATTGTCCGTCTCACCACCACGGCTGTCACTGATCCCACTCCTGCTATTCCTGCCCCTACTATAGTTGGCCGTGATGTGATTGATGACGCTGTTATGCGTAAGTGATACATATTTACATCTAAGACTTTTTCTTCTTTTCTTTTCTGACCCACTTTTTTTTTTTTTAATTAGATAATAGCCACGAAATCCGGCAGCTAAGTACAGCCCGAACACAAGAAGACGAAGAAAACAAAAATGACGAACACAGCAACGACGACAGCAGCAGTAGCAATCACCAGTAGATCAGCAAAGTAGGTCAAGAAGGTGTGGTAATGATCACCGAACGAATCCACCTGCTCAAAGAAACACAGCAAAAACGTAAGTTTGACTGATCGAAAATACAGTGATATTAATTTTTTTTTCTTATATAGGAAATGGAAAAAGTCTTCAACTGCCCGTGAATTGTTAAAGATTTCAGTGGTGGTCTTCTGGAATGCATCGTTTGGTCGCAATACATTCAAAAGCAAGCCTAGTCAAGTAGCAGACAAATACCGAAAACTTCTCAAACAGGCGGACAGTCAAGGACGCTTAATAGTGATGGACATGGACGAATACAATACATCAAAAATGTGCTCTGGGTGTGGAAGCAAGAACTTGGGTGGATTGGAATTGAATGAATGTAATCGCATGTATTCAGTGGTAGTTTGTAGTAACTGCCTCACTGTACTGGCAACGGGACGTCAATGCTGCTCGAAACATTCGTAGTCTCTTTATCAACATGGTCCAATTTGGTGCAAGACCTGGTAAACTGGCAAGACCTACTCCGCGTAATGAAGACGCGTTTTGACGTTTACAGTGTAAGTTCCAAAAAAAAAAAAAAAAAAAATGATGTCGTCCTATTCGATTTACTAATCTTTTTCAATTCTGCTCTTCGTTGGTCCCTCTTTTCCCAGTTTACTTTTCCTCTCGTCCGATTTTTTTTTTTTAGTCGTCTGATTTTCCTGTCATCCATTATCTGTTTTGTCCATCATTCATTCTCTATCCTTACGATATCTTATTTCCTATTTTGGTGGCCTCTTATTTTTGAAACTGCGTCATCTATCCGTTTCTTTTCTCTTTTTTTTTTCTCTTCCACTTTTTCTCGTTACTTCCTTCTTATATTCCATAACAATGCTTTTTTCTAGACTTGCTCCATTGTCAAGACCATTATGGCAACAGACGAAAAGTAAACAAATTTTTATATAAAAATTAGAAAAGAAAACAATATTACAATAAAAAAATATACTCAGGGTCAAACTCATGATATTGTACTTTTTTTTTGTCTTAAAAAGATTCACGCGTGCCTATACTTGTTTCTTCATGGCGAATGCTTAGTACATTACAACAAGAAGCTCGTTCAAGAAGAGCTTTATTTTATGGTAAAGAAGAAAAAAAAAAGATACTTAATATAGTTACTTTAACCTTGTGATACTAATCGTTATCATATATATATATATATATATATATATATTTATAGTACCGGGTAGCGATGAACGGAAAATCCACAAGTCTATATCCATTGGAGCTGATTGTGTAGTATATGATTTGGAAGATAGTGTATCGGCAAATAAGAAAGGGATAGCTCGTCAACAGACTATTGATGCTTTGGAGGTATGAAGAAATATAGATAAAGAAAAAAAAAACAAATTAAACTGACATTATTATCTTTTTTTTTTTTTCTTTACCTTAGGCTTCTGAACATGGAAAGGCAGAAAAGGCTGTTCGTATCAATGCTATTGGATCAGGTAATATTATATTCTTGTTGAACGCGAGTTATTTATGCTAACATCCCTATTTTTTTTTTTTTTTTTTTTTAAAAAAAAACAAAAAATCAGGTCACGAATTAGATGACTTAAATGTAATCGTAAGTAGTATACTGAGAAGTATCATGGGTTTACGTGTATGTACTCAATCTTTTTTTTTTTTAAAAAAAAATAATAATAATCAATCTATATAGCTTCACTCAAAACGATTACAAGCTATTGTGATTCCCAAAGTACAAAGTGCCAAAGATATCCAGTTTGTTAGTAGAATGATTGACGCTGTCGCTGTGGATTCTCAGTAAGTTCGAAAATAAACTTATATATTATATATATTTTGGTGATGACAAATAATATCATCTAACGCTGACTGATGATGATGATTACTTATAGAAAGCAACGTATTCGACTGATCGCATCGGTGGAAAGTGCTCTTGCACTTATGAATATCAAAGAAATTGCAACCGCAGATGAACGATTAGATGCCTTGATTGTAAGTATTTCAGGAATTGAAATTATTGAATTCAATAATTGGGAAAACTAGAGATATTTATATTTTTTTTTTAAATTCTAGTTTGCAGCCGAGGACTATTGTGCAGATCTTGGATTGATCAGAACTCCAAGTCGGAAAGAAATGCTTTATGCTCGTCAAACCATTGTCAACGCTGCAGGTGCATATGGATTGCAGGCCATTGATTTGGTTTGTGTGGATTATCAAAATGAACAGGTATTACTGGATGAATGCAAAGAAGGACGTGAATTTGGATTCTCTGGAAAACAAGCCATCCATCCTGCACAAATCGACATTATTCAAAAGCACTTTTTACCCGATGAAATAGGTATATCTATAATAGATAGAAAGAAATTATAAACTTGATATTGATTTTTTTTTTATAGATATCAACAGAGCGGCAAAGATTTTGGAAAAATATCAAAGTTATTCTACAAAAGGCATCGGCGCCTTTGAACTAGATGGAAAAATGTAAGTTGAAAAAAAAAAAAGAAAAGAAAAAAAAATAGCGTTCGTGACTTTAAGTGGTATAGTATATTGACAAGGAATGTTTTGTTTGTTGTTTACTCTGAACGATTTAGGATCGATATGCCTGTAGTAAAATGGGCGGATAAAGTGATTGGCAAGGCAAAGGCGGGTGGATTGACAATACCCTCGTTTGAAGAAAAATCCCAAAATGAAAAAAAATAGCGGTAGTTAGTTAGTTGGTGATAGTTTATGAAAACGCTGTTTACTTATATACTACAATAAAATTTTTTTTCTTTATCTTCCAATCTTAAGCGCGTGGTTGGTTTCAGGCTGCATTGGAAAAGTGCATTATATGTAAAATGTTTTAGATCAATATCTTTTGTTGAAGATTCAGGACAACAAACTTTGTTGATTATAACTTTTGGTTCCACAGTGACAAAAAAAAAAAAAATACCATCTTCAGCCAACAAAAGTAATCTTATATACATATATATTTATATGAATCTATTTTTCAAATTTGTTCTCAACGCCAAATGCCTTGATTATTATCATGATGCAATATGCAAATCCCTTTTTGTCATAGTATCAAAAACAAAGAGGATGATCCCTTGGCAATTTCCTTCTCGTTCTTTTTTTTTTATTTTATTTCTTTTATCCATTTTTTTTTATTTTCTCTCTTTTTTTAAAAAAAATACACCATGATCGAAACGAACGAATATCCAGCATCGTCGTCACAAATAAGAGGGATATCATCGACTTTACCACAATCATCATCAACATCATCGGCATCTACCGCGTCACCTCCTACTCCTCCAGAGCATCATTATCACCCACCTTACCAGTATCAACCACAACTAGCTAATCATCATGAGCATCAAGTTAGTATTTCAAATGAATATTGTCCAAGTCCTATCTTACCAAGTTATGAAGAAACTGTACAGCCTACAAGAGGTCATCAAGGTAATGAGATTATTTTTTTTTATCGATGTATGAATTGACTCACCGCTTTTTTTTTTTTTTTTGGGTTGTAATATGGACGACAAATTCATGCAAAACAACATGTGATGAAAACATTCAGATATAGAACAACCATCCGAAGAAATGAATATCACACAAGATGCAGAAAAATCATCAAGAGATATACATAGAAAACAAGCGTTAAAATATCTTTGCTGTATATGCTGCCCATGTTTTTCTTTATGGATAAGATGTCTTTGTTGTTTCTTTTTATTTGCCATTATTGTATTTGCCATTGCAGCAGGAATCCTTGCTGCTTTATTCCAAATGCCAACTGTAACGTTCAATGGTGTGACGGATGATCCTTTAGGTTTACCTCGATTTCAAAATCTGAATGATAACATAAATGGTTCCATCAGTCCCTTCAATATCAATCTAGGCTTAAATTTCACTATTCTCAATCCAAATGTTGAAGGGCTTATGTTTGATAAAATCAGGGCCATCGTAAGTCAAGAATTTTTCTTTTATTATTATTTTTTTTCTGATATTATCCTTTTATTGTTTTGATACATAGGCTTATTATCCTACGAATCCAACACATTCTTTGGGAGGTGGTACTATGACAAATTTAGGAATCAGTTCAGCATCAACAACACAATTTATTTTTCCATTCCAAATCCATTATGATCCACTAAGTGATTCAAGGTTCAGTATATTGAATGATATTTTAACCAAGTGTGGTCTGATGGGATCAACTGTCAAACAGGATATTATGGTGAATTATGATTTAAAACCTACTGTACGTGTCATAGGTTTGCCGATCTCTCCAACCATTCATCAATCTGTTTCTTTTCCATGTCCTATTCAGGTAATAATATAATAATAATAATAAGGAAGTAAAGTAGGGGATTGGTTCACTCATCTTTTTTTTTTTCTGGGGAAATAGAATGGACAAATCTTTATTCCACGTGGTTTACCATCAATTAATTGATGAACAAATTCATCTCTTTTATATCATCATCTTATAATATGTAATGCAATGTGTATCATTTTTTTTTATATATGCCATTTTTGTTACCCGGTCAATCACACCATTAACGAATAAAAAAAAAAAAAAACTTATTTTCCTCCGCCATCGCTTGTACTTTTTTCCACCGATTTTTTTTTTCTTTTCCTTTTCCTCTTCTTTTCCTTTTCTTTTTTCTTTTCAATTCTTTTTTTTTTTTCACTGTGAATAATGTCTCAACATTTGACTAACGATTGTATTTTTTGCAAGATCATTAGGTAAAACTTTTCTTTAATACAATATATTATCATGGTGATTAACAAGTCTTTTTGTATCTGAAAAAAAACACAGGGGTGAAATTCCTTCTCACAAGATTGCCGAAACTGACAAAAGGTAAAACCAGTGTTCGCGTTTTTTTTTTCTTTTTCTTTAAAAAAAAAGTTACATGATATTAACAGTATTATTTTTTGTCTTCTTTTGAATGAATAGCTATGCTTTCTTGGATATTAATCCTATTAGTGAAGGTCATACAGTAAGTAAACCAATAGTTAGAGAATACAAAGAATAACTAAACGCGTTTCTTTTAAATATCTTGGTCTAGCTTGTTATTCCTAAATGTAAGTGATTTAAAAAAAGGGTTGTTTTTGTATACTTACTCCTTTTTTTTTAAAAAAAATAAATAAATAAATAAAATAAAATACATAGACCACTCGGAATTCTTCCATGAAGTTCCTGAAGATTATCTTGCCGACCTTCTACCTTTGGCCAAAAAAGTAGCTCTTGCTCATGGTTTTGAACAATACAATTTGTTGCAGGTAATGATAATAATCATTTCGATTGAAAAGGAAAGTGAAGGGTTACTAATCAATTTATTTATTTTTTTTAGAACAATGGTCCTATGGCTCATCAAGTAAATAAATAAAAAGAAAAATATAATTTCAACTGTTTTCAAAAAAAAACAACAACAACTGATGATTGTCTTCTTTTGTATTATTTTTAGGTCGTCAAGCATGTTCATTTTCACATCATCAACAAACCCAATAGGGAACAAGGTCTCGGTGTAGGTTGGCCTCAACAACAAGTGACCCAAGATCAATTGAAATCTACTCTTATCAAGGTGAAAGAAAAGTTGTAAAAGCACCTATATATTTTAGATAGTCCACTTCTAGTTTACTGAAATATATTTGTTGCTAATAAATAAATTTACCTTTTGAATGCTATATGCCTTCTTTTTGATTTTTTTTTTTTGGATTCCGCGAGCATTGATTGAAAATGGGAGTGATTTTTTTTTTTCGTCTCTTTCTTTCTTCTTTCTTTTTATACCTAAAATGTTTTCGCCATTACGAGTTTATCCTCTTATCAATCAACGTTTATTACATGTATCAAAACTATATTTATCTACACTCTCAAGTAATCGACATGGTCAAACTGAACCTAGTAGTAACTCAAAGAAGAACAATTCAAACGATCACCATGCTGTTGTATCTACTTTTGATTTATTTTCCATTGGTATTGGTCCTTCTTCTTCTCATACGGTAGGTCCTATGCGTGCAGCCAAGATCTTTATCAATGATTTAAAAGAACTTGGTATCTTGGAAAAAGTATATTCACTTCGCGTAGGTATGGTATAAAATAAAAAGGGAAAATCGCCGTCAATCGGACTCAATGATAAGCGATAGGTTTGTTATCATTATCTCAAATTTCTAAATTTAGACAATTCCTTTTTCTTTTTTCTTTTTTTTTTTTTGACAGATCTATTCAGCTCATTAGCACTCACTGGAAAAGGACATGGAACTCCTGAAGCTATACTTATGGGAATTGAAGGAGAGGTAAAAATGATGAATTACATGAATCATATATCATTAATAAAAAAAAACAATTCTTTTTTTTAAAGACACCATCACAAGTTGAAACATCAAGCATACAATCTCGAGTCAAGGATATTTACAATACAAAATCAATTCGATTAGATGGACATCACCGTATCGATTTTGATCCCACACGACAGCTAATATTCAATTATTTTCAATCACTTCCTCAACATCCAAATGGCATGCGACTTTGCGTCTACGATAAAGATACAAATCTTTTGGCTACCAATGAATATTTTAGTATCGGCGGAGGGTTTGTAGTCAATGAAAAAACACAAATGGCTCACGGAGAGAATGTTTATTACAAAAATATCAAAAGTAGTAATGCACTTCCTAATCGTCGTGAACAAGATTCTGCTGTGGTGGCTCTACCATTCCGAAATGCTGAAGAATTATTGGTAACCTGTCAACAAAAGAAGATGACGATTGCTCAGGTGGTTTTTGAAAATGAACTTAACTGGCATACTGCTGATGAAATTCGAACCAAGCTATTGACCATATGGAACACCATGGATGAAAGTATCAAGAATGGCGTCACTGCTTCATCATCTGGTAGGCTAAAAAAAAAAGATAGAACTTATTTGGGATGTGTCTATAATTTATCCTCTTTTTGTTTTTTCTTCTTCTTCTTCTTCTCTTATTTATTTAGATTTCTTACCTGGAAATCTCAAGGTCAAACGCAGAGCACCAAAACTCTATCAAAAATTACTCAAGGGACTCTATGGACCTGTTCCTTCCAAAGATTCATTTTACAACGACTCTAAAATTCCCATCTCTCCAGCACCAATGATTCCAGAATCTATCAATTCTTTTGGCGATCATCCTGTCGATGAAAAGAAAAAAACTTCCTTTCCTTTGTCTCTCTCTGTGCTCCCAAAACGTCAACGAAAAAGATTTTATTTACCAGGTATCATTTTTTTTTTAAAAAAAAAAAAGTATTTAAAGATAGGTTCATCTTGCTCATACGATCTCTTTCTCTCTCTCTCTCTCTTTTTTTTTTTTTTGGTCCTATATCTTGTTCCTGGTGATTCCTTAAATATTAGCTCTGGATTATTTATCAGTGTATGCCATTGCCGTCAATGAAGAAAATGCTGCAGGTAATCGTATCGTCACAGCACCCACAAATGGTGCAGCAGGAACGGTAAGATATATATATATATATATATATATAATTAAAATGGATAAATGAAATATACTAATATCTTTGTCTTTTTTTTCGGGGGGGTTGGATATATTGTGAACGTAGATTCCATCTGTTTTAAAATACTATCTAGAATTCATCTCGGACAACCCTGAACACGATGTGATGGAATTTTTACTGACAACTGCCGCCATTGGGATGTTATTCAAACGTGGAGCTTCTATTTCTGGTAAGAGCAAAAAAAAAAAAAGTTGTTGAAAGCAAGGACTATACTAACTAGACAAATGACACTCATTTTTGCTTCTATTTCTTATTTTTGTAGCTGCCGAAGTTGGATGTCAAGGTGAAGTAGGTGTTGCTTGCTCTATGGCTGCTGCAGGATTTACGGCTGTGATGGGGGGAACAGTGGAACAAGTGGAAAATGCGGCTGAAATTGGCATGGTAAGGAAAAAAAAAAAAAAAAAAAAAAAAAAAAAGGAAGTTAGAATAGGATACAGATAACGAACCACTAATCAACCTCTTTGTTTTCTTTTATGTTGTAGGAACATAACTTAGGATTGACTTGTGATCCTATTGATGCATTGGTTCAAGTTCCATGTATAGAAAGGAATGCGTTGGCAGCAGTCAAAGCTATTGCGGCAGCTCAATTGGCTTTGAATGGCGAAGGTGATCATCGAGTGTCCTTAGATCAGGTCATTGAAACCATGCGGCAAACGGGTCACGATATGATGTCCAAATACAAGGAAACAAGTCAAGGTGGATTGGCTGTGAATGTGCCCATATGTTAGATAGATCATTTAGATTCGTTCTTTTTTTGTAGATTAGTTTTTTCATTATCAAATATATCTATATATGTACCCATTGAATGCTTGTATTATTTTGGTGCTTTGGTTTGATTTTTTTTTTAACAGTTGAAAATTGTTGTCAAGGCTGAAGGAAAAAAAAGGAATTTTAGTTTATTTACACTTTTATGTGTGTAGGATCCCAGGTACGGATGATACGTGATAATGAGTATGATGGACAATGTTGTTGACAGTGGAGGATGAATTTTATAGATGATGATGTGTTGATATGATGATTTGATAGCTGGATGACAATAATAAAACTTTATTTAAATGAGAATGTAAAATAAAAACAATATTAAGTACAAATCACTAGCTATTTACTGATAAAATAATCCTATAACAAACCAAACCCATTTTTTCTAACTATCTAATCGCATGCGATGAAAATGAATAAAAGAGTGATTGATTAAAAAAAGGGGAGTGTGTTTTTATTTTTGTTTTCTATGCAGTTCATTTTGATAAATGAATAGTGCAACCAGCGGTTTTTCCACTGGTACACTTCAGCTGCAAGTTTGCGATGCCTCTACAACAGACACCGAAATTATTGAATGGTTTTCTTTTTTTTTTTTTTTTTTTTTTTTTTACTTACACTATATATGTATTGCTTTACTATTCTAGTATCATATTTCTCTCTCCCCATTATCATTATTACAAACTTTCAATAAAATCAACGTTTACCAGCCCTTTTTCTTTTCTTTTTTACTGTATTACGAATAAAGAGTGTAGTTCCTTGAGTATTCTTTTGATGGTTGTTGTGCAAATCAGCTGCTGAGTTTGATACGCTTGACACATTTGATACACTCAATACCATTAATGTCAACGACAAGCAGTATGGTGGATATTGGGTTATGAACGATAATGTGATGATAGGAAGATGTGATCATCATATAACAGGATAATCGTGGATAACAATAAATAATAAAAATATAACTTTATTTTAAATGAGAATGTAAAATAACTAAAATATAAAACACTAGCTAGAACTACTGAACAAACTAATTTTCATAAGAGAGGGACCCAAAGAAGAAGTATACTTTTCCCTGAATTGCCATTTTCTATCCAACCAAAAACTTATTTTATTCCAAGTAATCTATTATGTATCCTGTCATTATCCGTCTACTGCATTTTCATATAAAGAGTGAAAAACCAAAAATAGGTTTGGTCATAGTATGAGAGACTAAAAGAAAGAAAGAAAAAAAAGAAAGAGAGCGTGTACAGTTAAGTATAGGAGAATAGTATTAAAGAGTAAATTTAAGCGTATAATGTAGATTAGTAAAATATCATTATGTACAGTTGTATACTTATAATGTTCAAATAATCTGGTTAAAAGGAAAAAAAAAAAAAAGAAAAAGGAAAAGAAAAGGAAAAGAAAAAGATCAGCGTCCACTTTTTTTTTTTTTTTTTGGATTTTACAGCCAAAAATTTCGAATTCCTCAGCCAAACTTTAGCTGTAAAAATAAATTGTCGAGGGGTCATCAGGCACTTTTTCAAAAAATCGATGAAATCTTTTGATGATCATTGTACAATAGTCGACAAGATAAGCGACAAAATGGAATTAGATGGCATTAAACTACTTTTTTGAGACGAATCGAATGGTGGTGGTTGTATTGGATGATGATCATTATTGAATGAGCGATGATGATACTGACATTTGTTTTTTTAATTTACTCTATAGTTTGGGAGGTAAGGTATAAACTGTTATTAATACAATGAAAAGAGAACATATTTGTCAATGTTCAGTCCAAATTTGATACTATGATGGCCATTTTTAAGCGAGAAATGAAAAGGTGGACTTTACTGTTTGAATGCAAGATGAACAAATTGGATAGATTGCTCCAAAAACTACCCAGCCGTATTTTGGTTGTAATGCAATGACAAAAGGTATCCTGTTTGATGCTGTGAATTGTCTATCTGAAAATGAATGTCAATCATCATGGGCAACTTTCTTTGAATTCTTTATCAGCAATAGTCATTTTGACGATCTCGCACTGTGGATAATTAATTGTCTTAATTAGATAAAACACTCTCCTACCTTTGCTCAGTATCAAACAATAAATCATATCAAAAATAAAAAGTAAACAAGAGACGGAATTTTGTGATAAAAATGATTATTTTTATTTTATTTTGAATGAATAAATGCATGAATGAAGAGAAAAATAAACAAGTCAAAAAAAAAAAAAAGATTGTAAGCATAGATATGTATACAGATGGTAAATTTTCATGAAGATTTTTTCCATTGACTCCATAATTTCAATGTAGCATCATCGATAGAATCATACCGCCAGATAAAGCCATCTTCGCCACCACAGAGCACTTGTCTAAACAGAAAAAAAAAGGAAAAAAAAAAAAGAAAGCATCCATAGGCATGAGTTTCAAATACGACAATAATAAAATAAAATATTCTATGCTTACCGACAATCGCGAGAGAATATACAACATCGTACAGATTTTGTAGATCTTCGATGAGCCAGTTCAGTAATGATCTTCCCACTTTCCAAGCTATATATATAGATGCTTCCTCGACTTGTTCCTACACAAAAGTATGCTTCATCCAAACTGACATCGAATCGAGAATGGTTTTCACCCGTCTTGACACGGAATGAACGAATCGATTGTTCATTAGTAGCATTCCAATATTCCAAACATCCATTAATTGATTTTGAAAGTACATTTCCATTGGCATAACGAATACAGTCTTGTTTGTGAGGGCAAAGATAAAAAAAAATATTCAGATGAATACTGATATTTACTTTGACACAATTATATATATATATATATATTACCTATAGTACTTTCACCATGCATTCTTTTCAATAATCTAGAGTTGCTTTTACCCACCACCATAATACCATCATCATCGTCATCCATAGGGGTAATAAAAGTAGGAATGGTCCATTCACGAAGTTCACCCTTTGTAGTACCAGTAATAAATGTTTCACCAGAAGGATGGAAACACTATCAAATAATAATCAAAAAGATGTTTTGACATCAAAATAATTGTCATATTTTTTTTTAACTTACAGCCACATTGCATTCGTATTCAAACATAATGATGCATTTTTGAGTTTCTAAATCCCATAATCGCATTGTTCCATCTTTGCTGACCGAGAAGATATACTTGTCATTTTTAGGATGACTTTGTAAATCTAGAATCCGTTCTATTCATTTGATAAAAAAAATATCAACCATATATTTTCTAATATTTTATCTGGTTATATATTTGTTACATTACTTGTGTGACCTTTCAATATGGCAATTTCCTTAGAATTGGCGATACTAAGAATATGAATATCACCATCCATACCACCGGTAGCTACCACCGCATCGTCTTCTTGATAGATCCAACAAAAGGTATGTAAGAATTTCTTGTTGGGTTCTTCATCCGCATTCAAAGTACTTGCCAAGTTAAAGTTTGACATGATATCCAAGTGATCACCACAATGTTCATTATCATAGACGTTCATCTAGAAGAAGAAGAAGAAAAAAAAAAGATATGAATATATAGATCCTAATTTGATACTAATCCTTTTTATTATACCTGTGCTCCTCCAACTGTACCAACAACGTTGCTTGTATCATGTTGTTCTCGTTGTACCGCCCCACGTTTATCAAAAGTTTTGTTGACATCCAAACCGACAGGACCAGCAAAATTCTTATTGTTAAAGAAAAATGCCATTTGATTAATGTCTTGTCCATGGTTTTCTTTCACAATACGTTTTAAGCGCATATTAACAAACACTTTTTCTTGTTGTTCCTTTCGAGATGTTTCTTCATTGGATGGATTAATATTTTCTTTAGATGGAGCATCACTTGTTTGAGATAATCGTCGCTTTAAGGTATTCACCATGTTGTGTTATTTTGTTTGTCTATTGTTTTTTTTTAAAAAAAAAAAATAGTGGAGTCGAAATGGAATGAAAGAAAAAGAGAGAGAGAGAAAAAAAAAATTGGGAGTCGCGTTTCCATTTTTCTCTTTCGCGCAAGGATTGCACCGACAGCGGCGTATCAAACACGCGCTATCCTTCAATCCACACAGGGCAAAGATTTCAAAGTCATGCACCAACTTCCAAAGACACAGAATAGCTTTCTCCCCAAAATAGTCAGCTAAAAAAAAAATCATCATCATTATCATCATGATCATCTTTCAAAGGGATCATGATTTTGTATAAAGGATAAATCCACGAAAGAGTCCATAAATGATAAAGGTAAATATATATATATATATTTATTGATATGTACAAAGCGAATCAAAAATGAATCAATCTATCTATTTCTATTTTTCTTGTTTCCAAGGTACGAAGAGTAGAAGTCAGGTTGGAAGTGGATTTCTTCAGTTCACTATGCAGAGATCGTATCAAATGGTTTGCCTCCGCCAATTGTGCATGTAAACTTGATATGATGTCATGTTGTTCTTTTGTCTTGTGTTTCCAGTGTTTTTCGGCGTCGTACATTTTCTGATGGCTTGATGATATAGTAGGTGTTACTTCCATCGTCGTCTGTGAAGATTCATCACCATTCTTGCTTTCAGTATCTTTGATCATCCCAGTAGATTGCTGTGCCAAAACCTGTTGATGTTGTTCTAGTTGATCCTGGGCAAAATCCAATTGACGAGTTAGCGCTTCTATGTGATGTACATTGATAGCTTGTTTTTGTTCATCCGTCTGTGTTCGTTTTTGTAATAGATAGAGTCGTTTCAAAGTAGTATCGTAGGCTGCCTGATGTTGTTCTGCCAATCGGTGCTGTTTTTCCAACTCATCATCCGCCATCTGCCGTGCTAGCTCACTCGCCTTGACTTGTTCTTGAGTACTAATCAACATTTCCTTTGTAGCCTCGTTATCTTGCAGCACTTGGTCCAGTTGTTTTTCCAGTCTAGTTATTCTTCGACTTCGTTGTGTTTCATAAAGTTCCATTCCATTGAAATTCTTGTGCGAGTCTGATTCCAAATCCTCTATTGCCTGTGCATCATTCTGATCCCATCTCTTCACAACGTCTTGTAATGTCCTATGTGTTGATTGTCCACGGTATAATAACATCGCAGCGCACATTGCTTTGTAGTGATTGGTTTCATTCAATGCAGCTTGTTGTATCCGATCTTCTTGATCCAATTTCTTGCATACAGGTTGACAAGCTGTTCGAATATCACGTTTGATATGTCTTATTTCTGTTTTAGCCATTACTAGTTGTTCAAAGAAGAGTTGTTTGGTGTATTTTCTTGAGATTTTGTCGGATTTGTGCTCATCATCGTCATCATCTGAAAAATGTAGCAGGTATTCATCGTGGCTTTCATCGTTGTCCATCGTTCCCATTGGATACTTGCCGATCCCTCTTGCTTTCTCTACCTGTGTTCTCCACCAATGTTCCTTACTTTTCATTTCGCTTATCACAAGATCCCTGGCTTTGATCTCTTCCAAAAGTGTAGTTCGTTCATCAATATATTCCATATTTGCAGAGAAGGATGGTTTTCTAGTCGTAACATTGTTGGGGATGACTTGTCGTGGTTTTCGATAATCTGATTCTGGAGGGATGTTTGTTGATGGTGAAGCTGGTACTGATGTTGAATTATTCGTCGTATTATCCTTAGAAGACTGAGATACTGTTCCTAATTGCTTTGTATGGTGTATGCCAATAGATGAATCCGTGTTTGTTCCTGCTGTTGTTATTGTTGGTGTTTTTATCATGATAGGAGAGCAAGTTTGTTTGGGGGACGAGCAAGCAGAAGAAGTGGGTGATATCAATGGATTAACTCGAAGAGATGTTGATCTTGATCGTGACATTGGTAAGTGAATAGGTGTCGACTGTGATAGTGCTGGATAAATGTGAGATTCCATAAGAGTGGACGATATGGGAGTGCTTCCAGATGCTTCAAGAGGTGTATCCATAGTAAGAGTAGTAGAAGGGTCACGGTCTCCAGGTGGCAAAATAGGAGATGATGTTCGACGTTGTAAATAAGGTGAGGACTCCATATCTTCTGGCGGGTATGTTACTTTTTCTATCATTGAAATAAGTGGTTAGTATAAGGCCATAAAGGTGCTTTTAAACTCTATTCTTTTTTTTTTTTTGGGTTACCATTGTTAAGAATGTATATAGTAAGAGGATCATCAGGTTTTGTTGTAGAATTAGTATGAGCCCCACCGATAATATAAAGCTTTGTTCCAATAGGAGTCATAGTATGGCCAAATCTTGCAGAAGGAGCTTGACCCATATTTTGAAACATATACCAGCAATGATCTAATAAAAAGAAAAATAAAGTATGATAAGTAAGGAATAAATAATATATATATATATTTATTTTACTTTTGATCTTGAATCCATACAAGTCTTGTAATTCTTGACCCTTTTCATCCTTTCCACCATGAATATAAATAACGCCATTGACGAGAGAAACCGAACAATAATGACGAGGAGAGGGTATGAACCCAACAGGAGAAAGACACGCCCATTTTTTCAAAGGAATATCATATACCCATATATCGTTAAAGAGTTTATCGTTATCACTACCACCAAAACTAGATATTAATAAGAAAAGAGGAAAAAAGGAAAGTGAGTGTGAGGGATTAAAAAAAAAAAGAAAAAAGGGCAAGGGCGGTAACTGAATATTTTCCCTTACACAAACATTTTGCTGTCAAAAAGAACAGAACAATGGTTCGATCTTGGAAGAGGAGCTGATCCCTGTGGAAACACAATGCGTTCCCAATCACCATACTTGCCTATAGAGGAACAATGGTAAGATAAAAAAAGAAAATAAAAGTTAAAAAAATGTCAATCGTACCTTAAAACTTTTCAAGATGTAGTTATTGTATCACCTTAAAATTTGCTGAAGTGACTACAATAACAGATAAAAACAATGTGTTCACTTACCATTCCGTGGATGAAAGATAAACAGATCATTCATATATTCATTCGATGAACTTTTACCACCCCATATGTAAATTTTGTTTCTAAATGCTACCATAGAATGACCTGATCTTTTTCCAATTTGATGATTGATCCGTGTTCGTGTCCATCGCTTGGTTACTATAGAAAGAGAATGATTTAATATTTTATCATCATCATCATCATCATCATCATTACATAAACTTAAGATATAAAGACTTGGATCCCATGGGATATCGGGTGTCATTGGTTCACCACCATATACTAAAAGAAGAATTTGAGCATCATTTCGTTCATTACGCACTAACCTAATAGTATGATACACCATGTTCTACTTACAAATAACATAATCTCCAATAGATGCCATCGTCGTATATAAACGTTGAGATGGTAAATCACCAGTTGTTGAAATAATAGTGGTTGTCATGGTTGCTAATCAAGAAAAAAAAAAAGAAAAAGGAAGAATAAAAAAAAAATGTTTGAATTATGCAATATCGTTATCATCATCATCTTTTCAATCAAAAATATAGATCTGATATTTATGATGATCATCATTTACCTGTATCAATGGCGAATAGTTCTTTCTTAACATGACCTTTGTATTTTCCACCATAAACCAATAACCCATATTTTTCGTGAGGTATAGCAGCATGACCAAAACGTGGTAATGTTCTTTGACTGTTCCGTAACTTTCTTTGTGACCAAGGATATTTTGATGTGGAAACCGATAATCTTGATTCAGTTTTATTTGTACTTCTATGTCTTTTGGTTGACCATTTATGAAGTAAGGTTGACATAATGATCGGTTGATAGAAAAAAAAAAAAAAATAGAAAAAAAGAAAAAGAAGAAAAAGAAAGAAAAAAAAAACTTTAACTGGATGCCTTTTAGTCAAATAGGGCAAGCAGGGCAATTTGTGTAACACATAATCAAAGAAATAACCGCAAGTTAAGACAAACAAAAGAACGCAACGCCAATTACCATTTATGGCAACTAGGGGGGATAGGCTCCATTTGTTAGAAATTGAACCTGCATATCATCATCTATCTATAGGGTTTTTGCATTCATGCAAAATTTTTCCTTTATGGCTTTATGTATATTGTTCACTCTTTTTTCTTTATTGTGCTATTATGATATTATCATATTTTTAGTTACAGATTTTGTTTCATATCATACACATGTTTTCATTCTATCATCAAGTACCATAACATATGGAACAGATAACAACAATCATTTATTTCGGTATAGAAAGATAAAAAGACATGATATATATAAACTAAAAAAAAAAAACCTAATTAACTATTTCACTGTCTACGTTCAGGATCCGCCATTCGATGTACAGTAACAAGAGGACCAGGTACCATGTTACTTGCATCTATTGAGAAAAAGATAAATCCGTCAGTACAAATTTTTTTCTGTTCTTATTTTTTATTTTGATAATCTTACCTTGTGGTGTAATAAGAATATATTGAGATGCAGTATCATAAGCAGCATCCATCTATGTTGAAAACATATACAAGGTGATGTTCAATTTCAATTGATATCATTTTGGATAATTAATCCATTTTTAATATTTTTCTCTTACCATCATTTTCATGCTTTGTTTACGGTTAACGGCATCCATGTAAACATCAAATTCATCAAGACTATTACGAAAAAAAAAAGGTAAAATAAATTAGTAAAATATATATATATACTCTGGTTATCATATATACTTACCAAAGAATTGGAGAGCTGATACCATCCCATAAAGATAAAAGAAGACTGATTTGAGAAAATGATTTTTCCCCTCCTGATAACGACTTGGAATCCTTTCGTCGCCCAGAACCTTCTTGAAATTGATCACCAGTAGAAACCTAATTAGAAGTAAATAAAAAGTTAAAAGACGCAGTCGGCAAAGAGTAATGATGATGCAAGTAATTTTTTTTTTTTTTTTTTTACTTACTCGAACATCCAGGGTTTGTTTAGAATGATTGAATCTAAGAGTTCCTTTGTCACCACGCTTGTGCATATAATATCCGAATAAGAGTTTGGGAGCAACAGAGAGATACATACGAAAGGCATTCCAACGATCCATCCGTTTGTTGAGTGATTCTTTCATTCTCTATTTTGCCAATAATGTGAGGAGAGTGATCAATACTATCAATATCACTTTGATCTGCATTCTAGTTTCATAACTTATTTTTTTTTACCTTGATGAATGTTTCCATGGTACTAATAGATTCTTTAACAGAATTGTATTCAGTAACTGCTTGTATGGCTTCTGCTTCAGCTTGTTCTATTGACATGCCCGCACTAAATCAAAACAAGAATCCATGGATTAATTCTCATTTTTTTTTTTTTTTTGAACTTACGATCTTTCTCTCTCCTCCAGTTTCCTTTCCATGTGTTCGATATTTCGTTGGATTTCCTCAGGTTTTCGTTCGGTTTCCACTCTATTTGGATAATCTTCCATTGCTTGTCGTGTCCATTCCTATTAATAAAAATAAATAGTATTTATATAAATCTATCTACAATCATCAAATTGACTATTTCTCCTTACAGCGATAGTATTGTCCAATTGTTGTTGATCCTCCAGAGCCTGTTGATAACGATTGTATCTATTGGTTCGTGTGCTTTCGTCCGTAATCAATTTGCCTTTTTGTGCATGTAGCAAGCCTTCCAATTTTTGTATACCCTCCTACAAGTAAAATGAAATGAGAATGCTGAAGTCAAACATTGAGAAAAACAACAAGTACTTACTAGGAAACCAGCTATTCTTCGAGAAATTTCTTCATCGTTGTCATCCAACTGGTTTATTTCTTCCTGTAATTCATTTGCTTCTCTGGCAAGATCAGCTTCATCAGCTTTGAGGGCTTTGTAAACACCTAATAATTGCTTGGATTTCTTTTCGTAATCCTAATACAGTTCCAAAAAAAGATAATAATAAAAATAATAATATTAGAAACCTATTTATATCGTTGATTGTTCGTCTCATACATCCAAATCTTCTTCCAAGGCACCAAGGTTGGCAGGTTCGTTATCCTTCAGAGTTTCTTGCAGATGCGTGATATCTTGTATATTACGATTGATTCGAGTTTCCACTTGACGCAAGTTTTCCTATTAAAGATCATATTATAGAGCAGTCATTGTGATATCACGTTTGTATTTTTTTACTTTGTATTTTTTTTTTTTTTTTTTTTTTTTTTTTTTTTTTTTTTTTTTTTACCTTCAGGTCATTCAAAGATGCTCTTATGGTTTTCAGTTCCTTGTCTGTCGTAATTATGGATTCCTTCACAGCTTTTTGTTGTTGTATAAATTGACTCATTTCTTTTTGAATTTCCCTATAACAATATAACGTATTAAAAAAAAAAAGAACACTTACAATGTATATATATAGTAAGTCAAGTTCTTACCGAATATCTGATTCCACATCCTTTTTGAATCTAGTAGGTCCCTTGTGTCGCCGGAGTGATTCAGTTCGCATACCAGATTTAGCTCCAACGTTCTGACAATCTTTGGTGAAGCAAGCCTTGACATTGGTTGGTTGTTGGGTCATCAATTCTTCAGCTTCAGCACGTTCAGCCATGAGTATTACCTGATGGATGCTGTTAGCGATAATTAATTGGCGTTTCACATATTCATTGTCAAAGTCAATGGCCCGAAGGATCGTCAAAAGGTGTTGATCAGGTTCGTCCGAGCTGTAATCAAAGAGATCCTTCTTAGCTACCATAATATTACATCTTCCCAAATCATGACGAGCCAAAATACGTTTCAATAGAGCTTGATCTTCAAATGTTTCCACAGCGAAATTTGATAATTGGTTTCCCAAGGTGATTTCCAATACTTCAGCATATTCAGGATATTTGAGATTCATATATTGACCAAAAGGTCCCACCGGTGGTTGTCCACGCCAACGTCGTTCATTGGTGATATCTTGAAGTGCTTCTGGCATTTTTTGTCCAAAGGCCTTGAGCTTGTTTTCCTTTTGTGCTTGAAGACGAGTGAGATTGTGCTGAGATTCACGGTAATTTTGCTGAAGGCCATCATATTTTTCCTGGAGTTTCAGTGATAAATTGCGTTTTTCAGTATAATCATTTTCTGCCTCTTCACGTTGTTGTTTCAATGAATTCGCTTGTTGTAATAGTTGTTCTTTTGTCATTTCCAGTTGCTCTATTTTGTCATTGATTTGTTGAATCTTTTGACGATTATTTGATTCCAGTTTTGCTGTTGCTTCAGCGATCTCTTTTTGACACGCTTTTGCCAGATCTTTATATTTCTTGAATTCTGAGTTGGTTTCCCTCATATCATTCTAAATCGAATAAAGAGTCAAATAGACAAATATCACATTAATATCTTTTTTTTTTTTTTTAATTTCGTGCTTCTTCTATTAGCATTGCCTTTTACCTTGAGATCATTGGATTTTCGTGTCCACTCGGTTTTTCTTTCGTTGAGTAAATTCCTTTTTGCCGTATCAGGTGGGTTGTTCTGTCGATATGCCTTCAACTGTTCTTGCATTTCATGAATTTCATCTTGAAATCTTGATATTTTGGACTACAAAGAAAGAGTTGTGATTTTAGTACATGCCTATTTCGAACCCATATATTCTATAAGGAAAACCTACTTTTGCAACCTGTATTTGTTCATCAACTTGACTCACTTGTTGTTCACAACGGTCAGTAGCCCTTTTTGCTGCTTCAAGATCTTTTTCCTTGCGAATGATTTGAGACCATACCAGTTCGTTATTCAAAACATCAATTTGATTATCCAATTCACTTGATTCCAATAGCTCTTTATACTTCATTTCTGCTTCCTTGGCTTTTCGATGCAATAGAGGTAGATGTTCAGATTTTCGTTTGATAGTTGAATCCGTAGTTTCGAGGGTTTCCCGTATCTTATCAAAGTCTGTTGCTAGTTGTGCCAATTGTGTTCCACGCATAAATAACTATAAAAATGCGATTAAGAAATAAAAAAAAAAGTGAATGATCATTTCCATCATTTTATGTAAAGACATTCACTTGTCTTTTTACCTTGTATTTATCATGTGAGGAACTTGAATTCAAAAATTGTCTTGCATTATCTTGACTCAGCATAGTAAGGGGATTGTCCACTTGGATTGACATGTGATCACAAATAGCTGTCAGTTCTTCGCGTTTGGTAGAAATAACCTTGCCTTTGGAGTTCTTGATTTTGAAAGTATTTGATCCATCACGAGCCAATCGTCGATCCACAATGATACGATCACCATAAATATCATGTTTGTATGCATCTGGACCTTTGTTGGTAATATGAATCGTTACCAAAGCAGCACTAATCAACACATATATTACCCAAAAAAAAAAAAACTATGATAAGCAAACGAACATATACCAATCAAACTATTTTCATTCTTCTCTTACCTTGCACCTTCACGAATTAACTCGCCAAGTTTCTTGCCACGATTTGTAGAGTTTGCTTTTGCACCTAGAGCGACGACCAAAGCCGTCAAAATAGCACTTTTACCACCTAAAGAAAAACAAAGAAAAGAATATAAGAATACTGTATCAAAACTGTATCATGTGTAGAGTAAAATACTTACTTCCATTGTGCCCAATAACAAAGTTAATCTTGGGTCCAAAATCCATTTTCAAGTACTTGTGGCACATAAAGTTGATAACTTCAATCTTAGCGATAGTTCCAGATTCAGAGATATCCTAAAAAAAAGATTCATATACAATATGTATTATATATTGATTAGTATTAATATATGTACACCAGAAACACTCAGTTTAAGAAGAAACTGTTTTCATTTTACCGATGAACGACTATTGTTGATAGAGTTGTACTGGGACAATAGCTTGTCTTCTTCTTCTTCTTCTTCTTCTTCTTCTTCGTCTAGTTCGTCTTCGTCATTGTCGTTGCTGTAATACTCAGTGTCAAGATCGCATTCGTTTTCTTTATTTGCTTCTTCGTCCGAGTAATCAGTTTGTTGAATAGAAGGTACTCGACTTCGTTTGCGAACATTGGCCTAATATATATATATATATATATATATATATATAAAGTGGCAACAAAAAGAATACTTAGTTTCAATTCATATTCTTATAACAACAACTACTTGTTAATTTCACTGATAAAAACATTAACAAACCTTTGAAGCACTTTCATAATCACTTGATTCAGATTCCGAGGACCGTAGAGGTCTTTTCAAAGAGGAAGGCATATCGAAACTTGAAAAGTACAAGTGTAGCTGAAAGGAAATAATTAAAAAAAAAAAAAAAGAACAACGACAAAGCCAAAAAAAAAAAAAAAAAAAAAAAAAAAGGAAAAGGACTCATCTGGGAATTTGGACACCGCGATACCCAAAATAGAAGTCCCTTCAATAACGCGGTCGCGTTTGCCTTTCAAATGCACAATCAAATCACCTTTGTCGCGTAAAATACTGTTCTTATATTCACTACGTCAACATCATATCATCATATCATCATATCATCATCATATCAACCTCATATAATTATTATCTAGCATAAAAGGTATTTAAATAAGGAGAGCTTTGGAGGAACGAAAGATAGTATTTGGTTTTTATTGAGGGGACCAAAGTATAAAAAGATTAAATAGGGAGCAAAAGTTAAAAGAGAATCGATATACAAATAAAAAAAAAAAGGAGAAAGGTAATCATGTCTTTTCTTTCAAGATAAAGCTAGTAAATATGCGATATATATATAAAAAGATGGTATGGACAGATGATCAATATTAAAAAAAAAAAACCATCCTGTTTAGAACAATTGAGAGAGAATAATCACAGCACCAGCGACCACAGCCATATTCTTTCCAGACAAAGAAGACAATTGAATAGCAGATGATCCAGTTGGGGAAGATCCAGCGGCAGGAGCTTTGGCGTTGGAAGGAGACGCACTTGGAGCACTGGAGTGAGCAGAAGGAGCGGAAGGAGCGGGGGCTGGATTGCTAGAAGCAGCTGGTGCACCGGGAGAGACTGGAGCAGATGATGTAGCATTAGATGAAGGGAGAGTACCGCCTACACCACCTTCAATAGAGAAAGGACCTGCAAATGCAAGATCTGGAGATGTACCCAATTCAAATGCGTCTATCAAAATAATAAAAAAAAAAGATCATGCCATTAGTATATATTGTTTTAATTTGCATCAAAATGAAATCACTGCATATATATATATATATATATATATATATATATATATATATATATATATATATATTTGTGATTTACTTACATTCATTTCCATTTTCGATTTCATAGGGAATCTTCCAGACATACTTTCCTCCAGCAGTATCGACGTTTGTAGCAATGGTAGTAACAGGTTGTAAAGCAGTGGATGGACCCTTAGCTAAAACAATTTGAGAAATAGTAGGTACAGTAGGATTAACCCAGGAGATGACAGCATCAGAGCCAGCCTTGAGTTTGGTACCAGATAATGGAGAGGTAATGGATACAATTACATCACCAGAGACAACGGCAAACAAAGCAGAGGAAATCAATAATGCAAACTTCATTTTGTTGATATATGTCCGTAAAGTATGATGATATAATAAAAAAGAAAAACGATAATGTAATAAAGCAAAAAAGAAACAATAATGAGTTGAAAGAAAAAAAAATCAATGGCTTTATATGAGTTTGACATCTTTTAAGGAGGGTAAACTCTTTCGGGATTAAGGGGCGAACCAACATCTCTCTTTTTTTTTTTTTTTTTTTTTTTTGGTCAACCTGTATTATCATTATTTCTTTCTCCTTGATTGGCCTCTTTTCCTATATCTTTTTCTTTTTTTTATATTCTCCTTAACATTCTATATGACAATTGAAAATAAACGAAGTTGAACTACTCCTCATTGTCTTCTTTTTTTATTTTTTATTTTTGAAATCAAATTTACTACGATGACTATAGAGAACTGTTTTCTTCTCTCTTCTATGTTTTCTTTTTTTTTGGGATATGATGATATGCAATGATGAGCATGTAAATAAATAAAAATGTATGTTAGTTTGTGGTCTATTCAGAGAAGATCGACATTGAATTGTAATCAATAATGCAATAATCGAGCATAACTCATTATCCAATCTTTCGAAAACAAGGGGCTCATCCTATAGTGATGTAAAATGAGAAATGGTTGCCATGACAAAAATATTCTTTTTTTTTTTTTTGAATGACAAAGTGGTGTCAACCATTGAAACGCGAGAAGAACGGGAGTTAAAAAACAAATGGAAAGGAGGGAATGGAGGGGAAGAGGAGGATCAAAGTATAAGATGGAAAGAGAAAGAGAGAAAGAAAACTCCTTTTTATAACTAGTGTCTTTCTATATGTGTCATTGATAGATCATCATCATTACAAAACATGCGTATAGAGTTTACACATGATGATTGATAAATTTTTCTTTTTTGGCGTTGATATATCATAACAATAAAGTACGCTATACAGGTAGTTCTTGAATTCTTCCCCCTCTTTTTTTTTTTTTTTTTTTTATAGTCTAGCTATAAGTTTAAACTGTCCCCATTGATTATTTTCTGACAAAATAAAAAGAATATTTTTGCATGAATTTTACTTCGATGGTCCTATGGCGGCTTTCTTTTTTTTTTTTTTTCTTTTTTTCTTTTTTTTAGTCAGACATACAGGATGATTCAGTAGGCAAGAGTACTATAAAAGGTAAACAATCACATCAACATGGTAACACATACAATGAATAGATTACTATTATTTCTGATAATTCAGCTTTTCGCTGTTAAAAATAATGACTTTGCTTATTGCTAAAGGCTGAGTTGCTACTGAATCATGGCAGCTGAAATCGAATAATGTCTGTGCAACTACTTCTATTTTTATAACGATCTTTTTATTTTTATTTTTATTCTTCTTTCTTTTCTTTCACTTTCTTTTTCCTTTTTACCTTCATTCATTATATTATCCTTTATTTTTATATATATATATATATCAACATGACATCAGATACCTTAACGTTACGCATGGGAGTCATTGAAGCAAGAAACTTAGCAGCAGCGTAAGTTAATCCCTTATATATTAGATTGACAACTAAAACTATCCTTTTTTTTATCTTCAACTATAGAGATAAGACTGGTTTCTCCGATCCTTATGCTGTTATCCGGATTAATAGCAAGAAATATACAACAAAAGTAGTGAAACAGACACTTGACCCTGTATGGAACTTTGAATTCGACATCAATATGCATCCTGGTCGATTACCAGCACTGATCAACATTACTGTATGGGATAAGGATACCTTTGGTCGTGACTTTTTGGGTGAAGTAACTGTACCGTTTAAGAACGTATTTGATAGAAATGCTGGAGGTTCAGCTGATGGTGTGGCTCGACACTATGGGGATTCTGAAAACCAATCAGCCTGGTATACTTTAAACAAACGAACTGAGAAGAACAATGTGTCTGGGGAAATCTCTCTTCGATTTGGTTTTATGGAAAAAGTTATTCGTCCTTGTGAAGAGTAAGTGATCAAGTTCTCTTTTTTTTTTTTTTTTCTTATAATATATATTGATCAATCTACTGACACTTTTTTTTTTTTGACTTGCTGTACTTTTATAGGTATATGGCGGCTTGGGACCAATTGATAGTATAGATATTAAATTGAACAAACACACTTACCTTATATATATAGTCAACTTCACTAGATTTTTTTTAATTTTTTTTTTTTTTTTTTTTTACCTTTATCATTCATTGTACCATCTCACTTTATATCATGCATTTCGATGTTGTTGAAAACAAACGTTTGAGTCTAACCCAATAAAAATGATCAAGCTCATTCATTGTGTAGCCTTATATCCAAATCCGGCGAACAAAAGAAATAGGAAGGGGCAAAATCTTTTAAATAGCCTCTATATATATATATATATATCAATAGAATGTTGTGAATCATTTGATAATGGCAGAATATCTAACAACTACGTACATTGATACCCATCATCCATTATTACCATTATACACATATTTCTACTCACCTGAATCTTCTCGACGTGATAAAATTAAATCTATCATTTTATTGTTACATGGGGCAGGAGGCGATCATCGACAATTTGATGATGTTTTCCCATTACTTGTTCAAGAGGGCTATCAAGTGATGGTATGCGACATACGTTATCATGGAAAATCTCAACCTGCTAATGATACCCTCTTAGACAAACCGATCTTTGATTTTCATGTCATCATCAAAGATATAAATCGAGCACTCACATGGTACATCAAACAACAGCAACAGGAATCAGAGTTGACATTTTCTTTGATTTTAGGTGGTTTGTCTATGGGAGGAATGATTGCTCAAAGTTATTTATATCAACACACAAATTCTTTGCAGGCAACCCCCAACGTCAAGATTCACGCCTTACTAGCATTTGGGTGCTCAAATATCCTCATATCTGATCCAATCATACCGTGGATGATCTTTTATAAAGATGCTTGTTTTGATGATGATAATGTTCAAGCCATCATTTTATCAGCTAGAAAAGAAATCATTGATTCTGCATATCAGCCGTTGACAAAAAATCAAGTGCATTCAGCTTTGACTCTTGTGAGTGATAAAATATTATTTCATTGTTTTTGTGCTTGTGCCAACTCTTTTACTTTTGTATCTGACAAATCATTATCCAACATCCGTCAGTTGCTTATCAGGGGTGAATATGATCTATATACTAAAGAGGTCATGGATGCATGGTACCTGAAACGACGAAGATTACATGGGTATATGGATGTTGATTACCATGTTATTCCAAATACTGGTCATTTTGTCACTATGGAAGCCGGAAAACAGGTCGCTCAACATGTCATCACTTTTTTATCATGTAAAACATAATTTATAATGTACTTTTTTATTCTTATTATTATTTGAATGGATGCTATTCTAATAAAATACTAGGCTACAATTCTATAAACTATACTATTCCATCATGATAGTTCAATCCTTTTTCTTTTCCGCCATTCGTTTTTGAGACTGTGAGATCAAGATTGTGCCTGCCAACATGAAACTTGCTCCAATCCACCACCGTAACGCTAAAGGTTCCTGAAAAATAATCCATCCCATGATAGCCTTAAAAAAAAAAAAAAAAAGGAAAGATAAATTGATTTTTTTTTTTTTTTTTTTGATGTGAAAGATATAATAACTTACAGACGTGGCAAGATTCATCGCGCCATTGATTATAGTGACTTGAATAGAAGAAGGAGCATCATGAAGAGCTTTAGTGAAAAGAGTCCACATAAGAGAGTTACAACCAAAGATCAATAAAAAACATATACCACGGATAGCAAGTAGAATTACCTAATAATACAAGATTGAATTTCAGTCAAATTGATCAAGATTACTTGAGAGAGAGAGAGAGAAAGAGAGAGAACTTGCCTGGGTGTCTATTTTAAGAAACGTGTCGTACTGAGAGTAATAGTTAGTGAATGTATCAACTAGGATCGCAGTTCTTTCATCGGTAAATAATTTCGCAAATACTGAGGACAAAGCAGCAAAGAAACCAGATAATAGAGAAAAGGGTATAAATGAAGTAGACATTGAAAAAAGGAAGGAATATATGAAAGAAAGGAAGAAGTGAGAAAAAAAAAAGGGGGGGAAGGACGAAAAAATGATTGCTTTTATTTTATTGGCAGCTGTGTTCAAATATCCAAGTTCAAAAACTAACCAACATTTCCATGGTCCTTTCTTTTTCTGTTTCTTTTTCTTTTTTTTCTCTTTTAGTTCTTTTACTTGTATTTGACCCTTTTATAAATTCATATTTTTGATTCCTCATGCCATCAAAACTATTGAGCTATAGATTTGCTCTAGGCTTGGTGGTTTTCCTGCTATGTGGAATTGCTATTTCCGCCATGAAAAGAGAAGATTTCAAGACTTGCTCTCAATCTGGTTTTTGCAAACGTAATCGAGCATACGCTGATGATGTACTATCGCAAGGCAATGACTTCCGGTCTCCTTACAATGTTATTCCAGACTCTATTCAGCTCCATACTGACAAAACTGATAAGAGTCATGTACAAGCAGACATTGAAAATATGGATACAAAGGTTATATTTACATTGGATGTGACTTTACTACAAGACAATACAGCACGCGTTCGCATCAACGAAAAGTCTCCTCTTCGACCTCGATATGATGACCATGCCAGATATACCTTACAACAGGATCCTACTCCTCTACAACCGAAACATATGGACAAGAATACCGACACCGGACTCGTCACCGTCACTTTGGATGATACACGTAAACTTATCATCTCTCCCTCTCCTTTCAAGATGGAATTTTTGGTCAATGATGCACCTGTCATCACCTTGAACGATCGTGGTTTTTTCAATTTTGAACATTTACGTACCAAGGATACCCACACTCCAAGAATGGTTACGCAAACAAACTCGGAAGGTGTATTGGAAGAACAAGAACATGAATTGGAAAGCACCTTATGGGAAGAAACATTCAAATCATGGACTGATCCTAAACCAAATGGCCCTGAATCTATTGCTCTTGATATATCTTTCAATGGTTTTTCTCATGTATATGGTATTCCGGTAGGTTTCATATCATTAAAAAAAAAAGACCATATGAGCGTCAAAAAAAAAAAAAGATACTCATGAGGTAATTATTGATATTGGTTATGTTTTTAGGAACATGCTTCATCTTTATCACTCAAGGAAACAAGAGGTGGTGACAATGCATATACTGAACCATACAGGCTTTACAATTTGGATGTCTTTGAATATGCTCTAGATAGTCCTACTTCTCTTTATGGTGCTGTGCCTTTTATGATCGCTCATCGTAAAGATATTTCCGCTGGTATATTTTGGATGAACCCTTCTGAAACTTGGATAGATATCACTAAAGAAAAATCAGATCACAAGGTAACAAGAGGAAACAGAGAAGAAAAAATGACGAAAAGAAAAAAAAGAAAAACTCAACTAACGTTTCATTTTATAGAACGCAATTCACAAGATTTTGGACTTTGGAAAAAAGAGTGTTGATGGTGATGATACAACGACACAAACCCATTGGATCTCAGAAGCCGGTGTACTTGATCTTTTTGTCTTCTTTGGTCCTACTACAAAAGATGTTCTTCGTCAATATACCGGATTGACTGGTGCTCCTGCTATGCCTCAAATGTTTGCTATCGGTTACCATCAATGTCGATGGAATTATATCAACGAAAAAGATGTATTGGAAGTGGATGCCAAATTTGACGAAAACGATTTCCCATATGATGTGATTTGGTTGGATATTGAATATACTGACGATAAAAAGTATTTTACTTGGGATCAACCCAAATTCCCCAATCCAATTGAAATGGAAAAACAACTCGATCACAATGGCCGACAGGTAAATAATATATATATATATATATATTAAAATAGTATTTTGTGAATTAACTTAATCCTTTTTTTTTTTTTCCTTTCTAGTTGGTTGTGATCGTGGATCCACATATCAAACGTGCTCATAATTATCGTATCTGTGATGAAGCTATTAAGGAAAAACACTTTGTTCAACAACCAAATGGCAATGACTATGAAGCTTGGTGCTGGCCTGGACAATCATCCTGGGTGGATTTCTTTAATCCGGATACTCGTGAATGGTGGAAGAAGCAGTTCTCTTTTGACAAGTTTACTGGTACTCGCGAAAATGTATACCTCTGGAACGATATGAATGAACCTTCTGTATTCAATGGACCTGAAATTACAATGCAAAAAGAAATGATTCACCATGATAACTGGGAACATCGCGTACTACATAATTTGTATAGTCTATTATCGGTAAGTGAACAAACATTACGTTTTTAATATTCTTTTGATGTTAATCTTTTTTTTTTTTTTTTGGACAATAGCATGGAGCAACAACTGATGGTGTACGTGAAAGAACAGATATTCAAAAAAGACCTTTTGTATTAGCTCGTGGCTTTTATTCTGGAGCTCAACGATATGGACCTGTATGGACTGGTGATAATATGGCTAACTGGGATGCGCTTACTTATTCAAATCCTATGGTATTGACAAATGGTATGGGTGGCATTCCTTTTTCAGGAGCTGATATTCCAGGTTTCTTTGGTAATCCATCTCCTGAATTACTTGTACGTTGGTATCAAACTGGTGTTTTTCAACCTTTCTTCCGTGGACATGCTCATATCGACACCAAACGCCGTGAACCTTATTTGGTGGATGAACCTTATCGAACCATGACACGTGCTGCCCTTCGTCAACGTTATGCGCTTCTTCCTTATTGGTACACCTTATTCTATGATACTTACAAGACTGGTACACCTATGATGCGTCCTATGTTTATGGAATTCCCTCAAGATGAAAATCTATATACAACTGAAGATCAATTTATGCTTGGTGAAGCTATCATGGTGAAACCTATCACAAAGGAAGGTGCTACTACAACTGATGTTTATTTTGCTGGTGATCAGGTAATTTATTACAAAAAAAAAAAAAAAAAAAAAGGATATTGTCTTACTCATTTCTCTTATTTGTAGCCTTGGTATGATTTAGAATCACATGAACGTATATTGCATTCAGGATGGAAACCAGTAGATGCCCCTCTTGAAAAGATTCCAGCTTATTATCGTGGTGGTTTTATTGTCCCTCGTCGTGAACGTGTTCGCCGTAGTTCATCAGCCATGAAGTTGGATCCATTTACGTTAGTCATTGCACTTGATAGAAAGGTAGGAAGGGAAGAGTCAAGTATAAGATAAAATGTGATCGATATTGGAAAATAACCATGAAGAAATCTGACTGTCATCTTTATATATGTACTTTTTTTTTTTAATTGTAGTCCAACGCACAAGGCACTTTGTATCTCGATGATGGTGAAACTTATGCTTTCCAACAAGGTAGCTATGCATACACTGAATTCAGATATAACCGTGGTACTTTGAATTGCATTTCTTTACACGATGATCCTACAAGTTCTGCTGCTGTCTCTTTTGCTGACTCGATGAAACAATTGCGAATTGAACGTATCCAAATCCTTGGTCTCAAGAAGAAGCCTGTACATGTTCGATTGGCCAATGACAAGAATGATCAGTATCAAGATTTGGCTTTTGAATATAATGATACCAAGTCTTCTTTGTCCATTCGTGATCCTGGAGCCTCTGTGATTGACTGTGCATGGTCGATCAAAATAGAATAGTGATCTAGCAGTTGATTTTGTGTCACTCAGTATTCTAAACAAATAAGATGATTGATTTGACTTTTATTATTATTATTTTATTGTGATGATCTTTTTAGAGTGATGATCCTATGATTGATTATTTTATTACACTGTGTAAATACGACAATTTAGACAAATGCAACATTATTTGATAAAGAATCTGTTTATTACGATGTAGTTCAAAATGAGTGAATTGTAATATATATATATGAAGTAATGGAAGATGAATAATATACAGTCTATAGGGATCTAATGTAACAAAAGATAACAGGGAAAAAAAAAGGGGGAATAGTAACAAAAAAAAAAAAAAAAAAACAGGATTATTGATGACGACCAGTTTGAGCCATAGATACCGAACCTTGTAAAGTATGCATTTGATGTTGCCCTGCAGTAATCAAGTTCTTGATTTTATCCTATATAAATTAAAATATATGTTAGAAAAAAAAAAAAAAAAAAACGCAAAACCCTATTTTTTTTTTCCTTATTTTAAATCCATCAATTTGAATTCATTTCTTCATTACCAAGTCATGTTCATGTCGATATCGTTCAAAATCGGTCCTTATCCACTGTCGTAGTTCAGTAGCATCGTTTTTATTCATGCCTATTCAAATTGGAATTTTTTTTTTTTTTTTTAGTTCAAAACATGGGAGAGATATGAATCCTATTCCTACCTTTTGTACATCTCATGAACTTGCGATATAAGGAGATCACTTGGCCTCGAAGTAAAAACTAACCGAGATTAAAAAAGAAAGAAAAAAATAATGGTGAGTGAAGGCAATGATCTATTTATTTTTATGAACTTACATGGTTCAAAGACATATGATTATCTTTGAAGAAACGAGGAACAGCAGGAGCTTTTGATAACACTAATAATGTTGGTTTCATAATAGTATGTGAATGCTGTGTATGAGAGAGAGAAAGAGATGAAAATGTGAATTTTCAAATCCAGTTATATGTTTTGGCTCTCTTCCAAAGTCACAAGCACAAGAATTCAAACCTAGACAAAAAAAAACACTTCTTCCCCTTCTTTACTTTTTTTTTTTTTTTTTTTCGTCAACAATAACAATTACCAATATGCGTCAAAACTTTGTAGGAATGGTAGTTAGCAATGCTATGCAAAAGACTGTCAAGGTCAAAGTTATTCGACAAAAGTTACATCCTGTTGTGTTAAAGGTAATCACCATTAAACTTTATAATGAATCCACTTTATTTTTTTTTTGGTGACATATTGACATAATGTTATCTTTATTGACATGTAGACCATGAAAACACACAAAAACTATCTCGCTCATGACGAAAATCAACTATGTGGATTAGGTGATGTTGTTCGTATCGAAGCCTGTCGACCATTAAGCAAGCACAAGAAATTCACTGTGGCCGAAATCGTTCGAAGCAGCAAAGCCTAGATATTATATAGAGGACTTAACTAGATAGAAAATTCAAACAAACAAAAAATAGCTTTATGTACATATATCATTTTTTTTATTATTATTATTATCATTATCATTATTATTATGAATGCCATTTTTGTTTTATTATTACTGTTACAACATCATATATTGAATAAACTGACACAGTTTTGATTCCATTCTGTTTTGAACACCTGTTGAACCGACATACCATCGTATTATCTTGTATAAATTGTATATCACATGCACCCCCTTGTCTTCACAACATCTGTAAGAACAATATGTTATAAAACAAGAATCAAACTTAAAGTAAAAGAAAAAGGATAATTGTACAATTTTTATTCAATCAAAAAAAAAAAAAAAAAAAAAATACATGCTAATCAAAAGGAATAGGTCTTGCTGTCATCTTGTCACGATTTTTCAATCCAGCAGCAGCTATGGCACTAGGAACAGGGATACCACAACAATCAGGATATTCTTGACCAAGAGCAAATACATCTTCCTTGTTACCATCACCAACCACAGCAGTCTTATTATGTACATGACCACAATCATCATGCATAGTGGTCGCTTGTTCTATTCCACCTTCGAAATGAATAAGAGAACCAAACATAAAGTGTTGCATGATAGGTAATTTTCCAAGCACTTCAGCCTTGTACATCTTAATCATTCCTTGATTCACCTTACTCCATACTCTACATGCTGAGATATCGTCCAACATTGGTGAATGCCATCGTAATGATGCCGTGGTCTTGACTGTGTTAATAAATTTGATACAGGCCAAATACATATAATCCTTGGAAAATTCATCCACCACTTCATGATCATGAATTGATTTAGGTTTGATGTATTTGTGATCTATATATATATACATATAAAGAAGAGAGTTAGCGCATACAAATTCATCTTTATTTTCCAAACTTACCAAAGAGTTGCGAAGCGCCAAATAAAAATGGTAGGAAATGATAATCATCCAAACCCCACACACCGTGTGATCCAGCTGGTTCAAGCCAATATTCGAATTGTAACTTTCGCATAAGAGAAATATATCTATATCAACAAATATATCAGTATCTACTTTTACGATATTCTTTCATCCACTTACGATACAAATATACGTAATACTACTGCTTGATCATCCTTTATTGTCAATACACCAATCTTTTCCAGGCAGAGCCTACAAAAAAAAAAAAAAAAAGGATTATATATATATATTGGTATTAAAAAAGGAAGTTTTTCATTTAACAATCGATTTCATTTATAAAAGTAATCACACTTACAGCCATGCCATAAAATTTGCTTCGTGACCTGTACCATAGTCAATACGTCTACGATTACCAAAGCTTTCAGTAAAGTAGACAGATACTTCTTTCAAAGCATCAGTAGGAATGATACCTTGAAACAATTGATCGAAATCCTATTCATAATGATCAATGAGTAAAACTATTAAACATCTTTATTTATTCAACTTACTTTTTGAACTTTATCATAAAAGTCTCGAAATGCTGGGTTTCCAAAACGTGATTTTGAGTTTTCAGTTGGAGGTATAGTATCCACCAAATTAGATAATGTAGATAGAACATCAAGTATACTTTGAACAGTCTATATATATATATATATAAAAGGTAAATATATACATATATATGTATTTGAAATAAATGATTGTTGTTTTTACCTTTGATACGTAAACTTCAGTGTTGATCTTTGTGTTCTTGACTGCTTCATTGAGTCTTAGAATATAATCAATGTATTCGTTATAGGCTTGAGAGCTCAGAAAGTCATCTAAATGTTCCTTTGTAATAATACGTTTTACTGGTACTTGATACGACATGATGGTATAATATATATATAACGAAAAGATAAAGAAACGAAAGAAAAAAAAAAGAAAAAAAAGAACTGCGTTCTCCTGTCATTTGGAAAAAAAACGGAGATTGAAACGATTCTACTTCGAAGAAAAAAAAAAAAAAAACTTTTTTTTTTCGTTGTTACTTTCTTTCCAAACCGAAAATGACAGATTGGTCTTCGGAGAAGATCGCCAAGGCATTGAAGGGATCTGGCTTGAATACCAAAGAAAGGATCAATATAGCAATAGATGCTTGGAATAATGATAAGATTTTTTTTCCCAACAAGGACGACTTTTTATTTGATTGGCTCTGCTTTGCTTTAGCTTCCAAACCCAATACAAAAAAGTAAAATAAATACTACAATAGATCTATATAGATCCTGAACTAATACTTTATTATTATTTTTTAGTTTGTTAGATTCACCTATATTTGAAAAACTCTATTGGCAATTATTGGTTGATCTATTACAACATTACAATAACATACAGCCTACGACCATGAAACCTACCGCGTTACCTATCATTCGTGTACCTTTGATTGCTACAGTATCTACAGTTTTGAATCATATCTATACGACATATAAGGATGACAACAATCTTCGCTTCACATTAGTTCGAGACATTTGTTCTTGTGTTCAACTCTTGATGTCTGACGTTTTTCGACCTTCTTATCACCCTACTTTGGAACAAATGACAACACTGGTGGAAAATATATTGACAGCATGCTCATATCAAATTCAACGCGTACAACAACAAAAGGAAGAACCAAAAGATGAAGTAACAACCTTGAAATCCTTGATAGAATTATTTCGAATGATCCTTATACGCTATACTGATCAATTAGTCCAAGCCGGTAACCAGAAAAAGGTAAACAAAGTTCAAGAAAAGAAAAAGTCATAACTAATTGATTGCTATTATTATTATTATTATTATTATTATTATTAGGTGGCTACGATGGTGATTTCCAAACTGATGCATATGGGTTTACACGTCCGACGACAATTGTTATTGATGAAGGATGAAAAGTATCTGGTGGTGGCTCAACATTTTACGGATATGCTTTGTCACGTTTTATTCCATACGGATACTATCATGGAATATACATCTGTGTTGAAGGAATCTACTAATAATAATATCAACATCAAAAATGCAAGTTACGTATCCAAGGTATTTGAAGAATTGACTGATATGGTGATTGGATCAGACAATATCGATACTTTAAAGGATGGTAAATAGAGAACTATAATATATATATATTGTTGATGGAACTTATATTGATGACCTATTATTTTTATTATTATTATTATTTTATTAGCATTGGATGTCTTACCTACTTTATTATCTCAATTCATCAAAAATTATCGAGGGAAACGAAATACCATTATGGCTCCAACTCAAGATGTACATCGACTGGTGGAATTTGGATTTTTTATACAATCTTATGACATTGCAGAAAAAGCAAAGATCAAATCTATGGATACATTTTTGAAAACGGAAGCTCAATTACTAGAACAAGTCTTGACATGGAACGTCTTTACTGCAAGAAATGATGACATTTCAAAAACGCAATACGAGTATTTGAATAGCTTAGCTTCTGAAAGTATCGAATATTTGAAAAACAAGCAAGGTAAAAGAATATCATCATAATTGTTATTTATCAATATCTCTTAACTCTTTTTTTTCTCTTTAAAAAAAATGTTCTATATTAGAATGTGATCAACTCCTTGTTTTGGATATCATCAACTTCCTTCTTCAAATTGATATTAGTTTAATTGAATCACGTATGGGATCGATATGGCCAACCTTGTTGCAAGTAAGAAGAAAAAAAATAAAAAAAATCAAATAGGTAAAAAAAGAAACGAATCTAACCTTGGTAACATTCGTTTTGATAGCCCTTGGAACATGCCGAATTTTCTTGTTTGTCTCTTGGTCGCATGGTCTTGAAGACATACGCAGCCTCTCGACAACTCGATGTCTTTATAGATGAACTTTTAAATGCTATTAGCCACTCTGATTGTCAAGATATCTATTCAGTACTAAGAAAACCTTTATTCAGCAAATCCTTTTTACAAGAGTAAGTCCTGCAAAACGAAACAAAAAAAAAAAATATATTAAACGAAATTTTGCTTTTGTCACCTTTGTTCTCTCATTTTAGGTTTTCCTCTACGATTGGGAAACACGTTCCTGTACCTCAGACATTGGCTATATTCGAACGATTTACCAAATCTTTGAAAAACAATTTGAATATGCAAGCATCAGCTATCAAGGATTCAGAGTTGCAGCCGAAATTGAAGAAAGCAAAACTAGCTCAACGATCTCATTATTCGAACACCAAACCAACATCATTACTCATCACAACATTTTTTGTGGAATTCATCAAATCTCTTCGACTTGGCCAACATCAGCGGCAGGCATTTGAAAGAGTATCTATTGATCTTTTTAACTCTTATGTGAAACCAAGCTTGTGTGACACTATGGATATAGGACAAAGTGTATTACCCGCTCTTCAAACACATTTCGCTCTGTCTAATGCTTTTTACGATGCATATTGGTTAAATCTATCATCAAATTCAAGGAACTGGTTGATTTCCGAACTCAAGTCTCTCTTCAAATTAGAAAATGATGGTGAAACTCAATCATCTAGAATATTTATGGTATATTGTGTAAGTCTTTAAGATAAAAATAGAAAGAAAGGAGAAAAAAGTACATGATATTGATTTTTCTTTGTTGTTTACTATAGGCAAATGCTTTATTCCAACATGTTTACTTTTCAACGCTCAGTGAAAACAAGGCAGCATCCTCTGGTCAAAATTTCGATTTGGTCTCAGTAGTCCTTGAACTGGTACTAGATGGTAATGATGATCAATGGCAATATACTACATGGGATGGACAGTTGGTGTCTTTAAGTGATGTAAACAAGGTGAAATTAGCATTATGGAAACTCATTACGGATGAATGGTTCGTGCCAGTTTGGTATGTACATTTGAATAGATTTGCATTGACAACGCTGTACGATTATACTTACTTTTCTTTCTTGTTTTATTACTTCTTTGTATATTTTAGTCATGCTGTTCAAGGCCACGTGGAAACGGCTCGTTCATTGACTTCCTTGGTTCTACTCTCTAATATTCATCAACAACCATCACAGACTATTTCATCAAACTTCACTATGCAAACTGTCAATTCTGTGTTACTTCGATCTGCTCACTTTTATGAAACTACATGCTTCCATGGTAAATATGATTTTTTTTTTATTCCTTACCGGTATTAAATAATATTGACTTTTGATATTGATTTCTGAAATTTAGACCAAATCATCTCTATGTTATTGGGTAATGTCATTCACTTATTTCAAGACATGGCCGTGACTGATGACAATGGAATCACCAATATGATCGTAAAAGAAATCAAGCAAATTGATCTCTCTGTGCCGTTTATTATCAACAAAGAAAAATGGGCTGAAATTGGAACTACGTTGACTTTATCATTGACAGAAAGAATGGATAGCGATGAACAACAAACATACCAATCTTCTGTTGATTCAGTTTGTCGTCTCATGAATTTACTCTTACTATTCCCTATTGAATATTTCCGCAAGCAAGAGCGGTCATATGTTCTTATGATGTCCTTCCTAGTTGATGCTTGGCTTTTATCTTGTGAAAAAGCTAGTCTTCAGTCTCGTATTCATGGATCTCTTGCATGCCGAAGCCTTTATTTAAGATTCATGAATGTTGCTGGTAATAGTGTTCTGGTAAGTTTACTTTTTTTTTTTTCCTCTTCAAATTTCAAATTCAAAAAAAAAGCATCAAGTTTATTGTTTACTAATTTATTTTATTTTTCAATTCTATTTAGGGCTCAAGTCCTTCTATTCTTCAATGGTGGGTGCATGTTCTTGATACCAAAATCTCTGTTGATGATGATGTGACAAATCCATTGAAATATGATATACACGCTTGGATACAGGTGACAAAATCCATAGACCAAAAAGTGGAAAGGTAACCTCAAAACACAATACAATGCACAGACATTAGATTGACTGATCTATATAATTTATAGTACAATGTTGGCAATGGCTAGTGGTAAAAACTCTGATTCTGGCACAGTTGACTTCGTTCGTGATACCCTTCAAGACAGAATTAGAACAATGGATGTGCATAAAAAACTACCTTTCTCTTTCCTGTGGACTCTTAGCTTTATGGATGCTTTAGTCAAATCACTTCCAAACTACAAGAAAAAGTACGAAATGGTCAGTTATGATTCACAATTGATACTAAACTGTTATATTCTTTTTTTTTTTTTTTTACATAGACACGAAAATATGGAAGAATCTGATATTCTTGGTACGATTCCAAAGGTCACCATGTTATCCAATTTTATCAATAAGAAACTTGACAAATACAAGCAACGTATCGATCTTACTCTAAGCAAAAACGGAAATCCTACCACTATATCCTATTCTGAATTAGCACAGTTATTCCATGGTGTCAGGGTAGTACAAGATTATGCTGGTATATTGAAATCACATAACCAAGGTTAGTATATATATATATATATATATATATATAGACGGAAAGGGTAGAGTTTAACTCTTTTTTTTTTTTTTGATGGTAGGTGTGGATGCTACTGAACTATCTGAAACAATGGTAGGATTGATTTCTCCTATGGTATCACTGTTGAGATCTTGTCTTGGATCTAGAACAACTGAAGCATTCAAAGATGTACTGGACATGACAACTTCCTTTGTAGGTGCTGTTTGTACTACACTTTCTCGAGATGATCAATGTGATAGTACAAAGCAAGTTCTTTCTGTGGTATGGGTGGTATATGGTCTAGTGTATGAAGCAAAGAACACAAATGCTACTGAATCTATTGGCAATCTGTTCTCAAAATGGATACAAAGTCTTAATAACGATCAATTCTCCTTACTTATCACCAGTTTTGTGGAACAAATGAATACATTGGAAATACCAGCCAAAAATGATGAAAGCAGGAAATCACACCATATATTCTTATCTCTGGCATATATGCTTTTTGCTCACGGTACTGAAGGTAAGAGAAATAATATATATATTCTTTTTCTTGTATTTGCTAGATTGTATCTTCACTCACAATGACATACCTTTATATATTACCTATTTATGAATTTTAGCTCAAAAGCAGCGGTTACGTCCTACACTTCCGTCATTTATACTGAAATTGGCATCTCTTATTGGAAATACAACAAATATTGAATTTTTGGATAAAACATTGGACTTGTTAGTACATTTGACCAACGACAATGTAAGTGGATCATACAAAAATATAACCATAAATAATTAATACCTTTCCTTACTCTCTTTTTTTTTTTTTTTTTTTTTTGTCTCGCTGTAGGCATACGGATATCAATGTTATGACGTGTCACTTATCCTTCTCTGCTTACAACAAGTCATCCATCCAAACACGATATCTTTTTTGGCACCTCAAGTCGATGATAAACTGGCTCATTTGTTATTTGAAAAAATATGTCATATTTTGGGCAACCTTGCACGTCTTCATCGGGATGGTCTCTCTGATACGATGGGACCATTTGTGGCACTATTACAATCTTTGTTACTATGTTTCAAGTCAGCACAAGTCTCTTTGATCACTCAAACAAAGAATTCAATCAGGAAACGAAAAGCGAAAGAATCATCAACGATATCGTCAGGATCTTCGACAGGATTATTGGCTTCTCATGCACCTTTAGGAAACTTGGCAGCTGAACAGTACGCACGAGTCATTACCCAGCTGGCAACCAAATCAACAGGATCCAAGAAAAATGACTATGTATACCTTAATATCTCAAAACACATGCCTTACATCTTATTGAACTATTTCACCATACAATCCGATCCTGTGATGAACATCACTCTTCCTGCCCTCAAAACAGCGCTGTCATTTGGATGGTATGAATTACTGAATATGTGCACCACCTCGGATCGATCGATGATCATGTCAGGATTGAACTCTACGGGACAAGCTATTTTCAAATCATTCTACAACAACTGGAATGCCAATTACAAATATTCTGGTCAATAGAACATAGATAAATAGATAGATCTTTGAATTAGTTTAGTTGTGTATTTCTTTTTTATTTACTCTTCATTTCTCCTATTTTTATTTTTATTTTTTTATTTAAACCCATAACTGCATCATACAATAAAAAAAGTAAATAAAAAAAAAAGTAGCATTCAATCACACTTGTCCCATGATACTCAAAATGTATCAATAAAAGACCTTTCCCCCCTGCAGTTCCGCTTTATCATCTATTTACTTTGAGAATCATGCATAAGCAAAAACGGATAGAATAAATAAAGGTATTATTACTTTTTATTATTAACTTCATCAGACTCTCATAAATTACGAACTATACTAAAAAAAAAAAAAAGAAAAAAGAAAAGGTCATCCATGATGGCAATGACCATCTAACTAATCATATCTAATAATAAATAAATATATACAAATATATATATACAAATTCTATACTACAGTGAGAGATCTTGACGCTGCCAAATAAAGGATCGTTTATTGCGCACCATTGTATTTCCAATACCACCAAAGCCAAAAGCAGGACCAATACGACCAATACGAGCGACAGCACTTTTTAAATATTCAGCACGGATCAATGTAGCGCGTTGATGGACAGAAATGGCAGGACGATTGTAGAGATCCAGGGCCAATAGATGTAAAGGTGTACTGATGAATTGAACCAAGGAAGGACAAGTTAATTGAGAAACCACGGCAGAAGTACTAGGATTACGTTTCCAATAACCGTCGGTCTGTTGGAGCCAAGAGGAGAGAAGGACAGGTGCATTGAAACTAGCCGCCACAGTTAAGGAATCACGCATGGCAAATAAGAGATATGAAAGAACGGGGAAAGACCTTGTAGCCACTGTGCCAAACATACGTGTGAACGAACGATCCTTGTACATGCATACTGACATGTTGACGGCCGTCGTGGCAATAAACTTGATCATTGATGTCTTGGAGGGATCCATACCATAGTATTCTGCAGTAGTGTCGACAATGTTAGCTGTGGCGTAAGTACTGAAATAAAGTCCAAGTACAAGATGGAATGGTCGTGAACTCATAAATCGTTGTGGTCGTGTCAACACCATTTTTGCTCCATACACTAAACCTGGTCCTAGTGATCGTTTGCCATTCATATTTTCAATAATAGCTCTAAACCCGTCAAGATACGAATAATAAGTTAGAAACCATAGATACGCTTTTGACAGAAAAAAAAAAGTCTTCTATCTTTTTTTCCTTACCTGTCAACCACAGTGATAAACGGTGATACCATTGCTGAAGAAGATAAAGCTGATACCAGATCGAACCCATACAGTTTCGCTAGAGTTTGTACTGAATAAGGTCTATTTTGTTGAACAGGTATTGACATTATTATCTTAAGTACTAAATACTAGAAGAAAAAAGATAATGTAATAAAGGAAAAAGACAAGGAAGAAAAAAAAAAAAAACGATAAAGATGGGAAAAAAAAAAAAGTTTGATCGGGAAGGAGTTTCAAAAAGAGAGACTCCAACGGTTTGTCCAAATTTGCACAAAAATAAGACAAAGTTTGTAAACCTACATGCATATTAATAAAAAGGCATTAAAAAAAAGAAAGAAAAAAAAAGAAAAGTACAATATCGTTGAGGAAAAAAAACAACCATTCATAAAGGGAAAAAAGAAACATATTTTATTGAATATCCTAAGAGTTAAATCTATTCGTCATCGACAACAGTGGTTTCAAGACCTAAAAAAAAAAAATTGAGTTCCCTAACCCATATCCAATATTCATTTTTATTCTTTTTACCCTTGAAGGAAGCAACAGGAACGTAGGTAACATAGGAGTAGAGCTTTTCCTTGGCGTCTTCATCATCGTTACGCTTACGAGCAATACGAACACGGATACGGTGATCAATGTGCTTAACACCACGAGCCCACAAAGCCTTGTTCAAAGCAGGATCGAGACGGACATCAGAGGTACCCATAGCCTTTTGAGCAAATTCCTTGACAGCCTTGACAGCATGAGGAACACGCTTTCTCAAAGCACTAATATAATAATAATAAAAGTTATTAGGTCGTATTCATTATCAATCGTTATGTTTTCATACCGGCCAAAGACACGCTTGTGCATGTGAATGGTGTATTCACGAGTAACGACATCAGCGAGGGTGGAGCGCTTGGTGGTCTTTTGATCCTTGGCCATCTATATAAAAATAATGACATTAATTCATTTTCCCCATTCATTCTCATTCATCATGGTCATCCATCCATCCATCCATCCATCCGTCTAATTCATCCAATCGTCCATTTATATATCCATTCCAAGTAAAAAAGTCAATCGTTCTATTCGTTTCGATCTAAAACTAATGATAGCTACTTACTGTTAAAATCAAATGGATATGAAGAGAGAAAGAAGAAAATGGACTGATGAGGGAAGTCTCTCCAGGAAAAAATCCCCCCCCCTCTTCTTTCCATAAGCTCCGCTTACCGGCCATTGCCTTTTTTAGACTAACTTTCAGTTGTGTGATAGTTTCATGCAAAAGAATATGAATATGAGCATCCACTTCATCTGTTTTTTTTTTTTTATTATTATTATTTTCTCTATCATACGACAATGATGATTATGCATGAATGATGATCTTTGATTATAGTAATATAATAAATAAAATACATTATCATCTCTTATCATAACAAGTATTCATTATGGTATCCATTGCCTTTCTTCTTTTTGAAAAAAAAAAACTTGTCTATTCACGTCTTCAACCATGCTCCTCTTTTTAGAACTAGAATATCTCATTAGATTAATATGATAATGGAATGCATCAGATGAATCAACCTGGAGTTCAACTTGATAAACCCTTTTTTTTTTTTTTGTGATCACCGAACGTTCACCTATTCTCCTCTTTCCTTTTTTTTTTTTTTTATCGTTGATCATCCATATTTCTTAATCACCTTCATTATAAGACTTGAGATGATATTATTATTCTACTGATTACGGATCATTTCTTTTATTGAAACAGCTTATTGATGTTTGACAAAAAAAAAAACTTTTGTTGAAGAAAATGATTTGTGGTGATAGAATAAAAAAAAATTTATCAAAGGAGTAACATAGTTCAACTGAGATGAAAATGGAGAAATCTAAAAAAAGACAAGGAGGATGATACATTGTATGTGCGCATGTTGGTTAAACACGAGTAACCCTCCTTTTTAAAATGACTTTCTTTTTTTTTTCTTTCAGAACGTGCTATCATGTTGATTTTTTTTTTCTTTTATGATGCGTGTTTTGACATGGTATATCCCCTCTTTTAAGGTTTTCAATCGAGATTAATTTTCAGATCGTCGATGGGGAAGCACTGGTAACAGGGTCTATTGTTGTTGTTGGCAGTGTTGTTAACTAAGTTTTTATTCGATGATGATTAGTCCATATAGGTATACTCAATCATCATTGTTCTTTTTTTTAAAAAAAAAATTATCTTAATTTGTTCATTCTTCTCTTTTTTTTTTTTGGTAGTCATGGCTCGGATAGTATAATGATAAATTATAACGTTACGCGTATGATGACTATATAGTATGAATACCTGTTTAGGTCATATTGTAAAATGAAATCTTTTGAGTGTTTAGAAGGAAAAAAAAAAGGGGGAAAATTATAAAAATGGAAAAAGAGAGATCGAACTCGAAATCCTTTTTTTTTTTTTTTTTTTTTACTCGAGTTTCTAGTGGAGTGTCTTACTGCTTGAAATAGGAGTTCCTTTTTTTTTACATACCTCCTCTTTAATTTTCATTATACATGATAAAGAAGGGGAAAGAATAAGAGTATGGATTTGTAAGGGGCAATGCACCATTAACGAGGAATTTTTTTGTCTTTTTTAGACTTTGTATTCCGGGGTTTAAAAATCATGCATTTATAATGTAATCTTGAGGGAATTTTTCTCTTTCTTTTTCTTTTCTTTTCTTCCTCTTTAAAGCTTCTATCATATATGGATCATACTTTTGATCAATCATCTGCACCTTTACTTTCCGAAAAATTACCAAGTATTTCCGTGTTACCATCATTAATTGAACAAGAATCAACTGGATCATATATGGATCATCAACAACAATATCAAGCACGTTTACCTTTTCAAACTGGCATCTATCAACAACAACAACAACAACAACAACAACAAAACGTAGTATCACCTCCTTTGACACCTGTAGTATCACCATCATCTATGTTATTGGATAATATGAAATATCAACGAAAATATTCTGTGGATGTGGGTCCTTTTGGTTTTGGGAGTGGTAATATCATACTTCCTCATCACATGCTTCAAGATGAATATAGACGCAGTTCAACATGCTCAAATCTATCACTATCGGACATGAATCAATCTTCCATGAATGACAACAATACTGATTATACTTTTCTCAATGCATCCATGGATCCATTTACAATGGCGAATGGTGATGCTTCTATTATGCAAAAATCTGCTTCTGGTGTGACACAACAACAACAAAAACAACAGAAATCCCGACGTTCTCGAATTGGTCAACCTGGTCCCAATACTCAACATAAACATGTTTGCAAGTATGCTTATTGTGGATGGAGTTTCAAGCGATATGAACATTTGAAAAGGCACATGTTGGTCCATACTGGTGAAAGACCTCATACTTGTCCATTTCAAGGCTGTGGGAAATGTTTTAGCCGTTCTGACAACTTTCACGCTCATTATCGAACTCATACAAAAAAACTTCAACAGCATCGACGACCTTCTACAACTAAATCATCAAAGAAACAAAAATCACCTCAAAATGATGATGAACAGAAACAACGGCAACAAAATATGTGCATGCCCGATTTTGATCCAACAAGAATGAACCCCTATGGTATTTATGATCATCGTCAGTCTGTTTATTCAATGGAGGTAATAAATAAATAAATAAATAAATATAAACAAAAATTTAAAAAAAAAAATAAACAAAAAGTATAAATATAAATTTAACTAAAATTATATATATATGAATAGGATCATCGACAATATATGCGACCATTCGACATGAATCCAGGTTATTCAACTACCACAACTAATGATGATACCATCCCAACGTACCAAGGTCCAATGTTGAATAATAATGAAGATAAACATCATGGATATATCGACATTCATCATGATCAAACCACAAACCAATCATCCAATCAAGGAATCATATCTAACTATCAACAATCACAAGAAACATTAGCTTCACCTTATTCCAGTTCGCATAGTGTATCATCCACCTTTCCTTCACCTACCTCTTTTCCTGGTCAATCTTCATCCAAAGAACCACGCCCAAGTAGTAGTAGTAGCAGTAGTAATAGTACTTGTAGTAGTAGTAGTACCAGTAGTCAAACCGATCGTCGCCATCGTAGTAATAGTATTCTATCAACAGTTCAATCAACACAATCATCAACAGAAATCAAGAATCATATCTGTCCTATTTATCAATGCCAAAGACGCTTCAAAAGATTGGAACATATGAAACGACATATGAGGATTCACACCTTGGAAAGACCATTTGCTTGTACGTTTCCCAATTGCAATAAGACGTTCTCCAGAAGTGATAATCTTAGTCAACATCAAAAGACACATTTACGACAACAACAGCAACAATCAGGTACTGAACGGAAACAAGATACGTGGTCAACTATGAATGGTTTTCAATGTTGAAAAAGAAGAAGGAAAAAAAAAATTATTGTCTTCACTCTTTCTACCATCTTTTTTTTTTTTTTTTGATCTCCCGCCTTACTTTTCTCTTTATGTGTCACACCCTTTGATACCCTAACTCATCCTTTTTTTTTTCTTTACATGTCTTTTTTCTTTTTATTGGTTTTTTTTCATATATATTCTATTGTTTGATTTTCTTTATGCTTTTTATTTTATTATTATTCTCATCTAGTGATTTATATTTTTCTTCATGTTTTTATTTTTGACCTTTTTTTTTATTTTCCTGTTAGTTTATGCACTATAATAATTCATATCATTTATATATCCATTCTTCAATTTTTAGTCAAATCATACATTTAGTTTATAATACCCTCCAAAAAAAAGACAATCTTTTTAATAAAAAAAAGAACCAACAGTTTGTAAATAGAACGATATGTCTTTATGTTTTTTGTTTACTTACATAAGATCATTATATATATCTAAAAGAAAAGAGCGTTTTTTTATTATTACTATTATTATTATTATTTACTATTATAATACAAATGTCATCCATGAAAAAAAAAGAAATAGAAATGGTATAAATAAAATAAAAATAATTCTAAAACATTAACTATCTAATGCTAACTAATTAAAAAGTACGATATTGAGATGAATCCACTGGAATACCTTGTTCTTCTGCATTGATGATTTCATCTTGTTGAGATGGATCCAATGTTTTGGTACGACTGATCACAAGACATCGGATACCAAGGTACCTACAAAAGCCATCAATCACCAATATTACCCAAGCACCATAGATAATCACATATGCCACAAGTTCCGTCCATAATAATACAAGTTCCAATCGTCCAGATATAAGTTGACTATTCATAATAATAATAAAAAAAAAAAAAAAAGAGTGAGTTTGTTTGGTGCATAAAAAAAAAAGTTAACTTACAGACCAATCATGGCAGGAGCATTGACCAAAACTGCCATCATAATCACAGGACTTATCATGATCAATAGATTAGGAAAACGAGCACAAGTCAAATGAGCCAAAATGATAGAAGAAGCCATTAAACCAAACAAAGTTCCATTGGCAAGAGTAAATAAAAAGAAATGTTCATTTGACAAGAGAATTGAATAAGGAGACATACACCAATAATACTGAGCCATCCCAAACACTGCGATAGGTAGAATTGATTCACTAGCTGCTTGACCAATATGTAATCCTTTTTTTTGACATGCCACATACATAGAATGAAACACCATCGTACAATGCGTCACTACAAAGAAGAATACAGTTCCCCAAACAAATATTTCTGCTCCTGTTGTACGTGCTGGTAACCAATGAGTTAACCATGATGCGCTAGGGATTGTATCCAATGGTATATGCCAAGAAGATGCACCTTTATAAAAAAAAAAAAAAAAAGTAGTCAATGTCCCTATTCTTTTTTTTTTTTATTTTGTGAACATATTACCATATAACCAAGACCATAAGAAAGCAGCACATGTAAGTAAAATACCTTCAGTAGGACCGTTGACAATACCAAGATAGAGAACACCAGTATAATATTCTTCAGCAGTAGAAAGATAAAATCCAATCATGGTTGTAATAAAGAGAATCACAGCCAAATGTGATTGACCTAGTCCAAGTGCCACGATTTGTAGAATAGCCACATAAGTCGTATTCAAAGCATCACATCCATGATCAAATAATTCACCCAAAGGACTCGATGTTCCTGTCCGCCTAGCTTGTTTTCCATCTACATTATCAAAAGTCGAGTACAACCAAAGTCCAATCGCAAATGATAAATAGATCCATGATGGTGCATTCATTCCATCCAAGTCAGGTGCATAGATATAGACGAGTAAAACATTGAACATCATGAAGAAGAGACCAATCAACGTAATCAAGTTGGGACTAGCAAATATATATATATATATATATATATATATATATTAAAAAAAAATAGATAAAAGAGAAAAAAAATAACTTACGCCATCCATAAAGGAAACCATTCTATTGCCCAGTTCCAATAATGTCTTAAAAAATATTTGGTAATATATGATTTATCCACAGCTGCATATTTATAATAACGTAAATATTCAAGTCGTTCTTGACTAGGGAAATCGGTATCTAAGTATTGTCGAAGTTGAGCAGCTATCGACATTGAACTATAGTTGTAGAAAAAAGGCAAAAGAAAAAAAAAATTTTTTTTCTTTTACTTCATTCCATCTGGCTTGACACTCCGCTTTGACCCCTGAGCAATTTGTTCCTAATCTATTTACTTATGTTGACCTGATTAACTATTTTTCTTTAAACATTCATCTCTTTTATTCTAAACACATCATCATATGGTTGAACCTCCTTCTTAAGATAAAAGTCATTCTATTTGTATGTGATCATACAAAAATAATACATCTTTCTATATGACTTGATTTGTTCAATATATAAGAGACTTCTAAATAAAGTATGAATGTAATGAAAATTGGAAAAAAAAGAAAAGAATCCCTTTTATAAAACTTGTTTTCATATGAAATCATTTGTGGGGAAAATGAAATGAAATTTAAAGTTCACTCGCCACGCAAAGTACTTGTATTATTAAAAAGTTTATTTCCAAACTAATGGAAATGTTCACTATCAAATGAACGCCACCTCCCCCCCCAAAAAAAAAAAAAATAATCAAAAGGTAAACGTAGTGAACCATATTTTTGGATCAGGTATTTCCCGAAAAGAGACTAGTATTCTTTTAATAAAAGAAAAATTAACTAGAAAAAATGATGTATATCAACACGTTTTTTTTTTCTACTTGATTGCAGAAAAGAAATAGGGTATACATGACATCATTTTTAATATTACTTGTGCCTTTTTCCTTTTCCAGTCTTTTCTTCAAGTCTTGATGAAATGATGAATATATATATATATAATCATTGAATGAGAATGAATAGGATATTCCATTATCTTATCATTCTAATTTGAATCATTATGATAGAAAGATGACCTTCAAGAAGAATTAGAATCAATCAAATAAAAAAGATGACGTTTTTTTTTTAATTTAATTTAAAACAAAGTATGCGGAGTTGATGGTTTATCTACAATAGTTTAATTACTTTTTTTTTTATTTCCATCTTTTATCCTTTCCTCCTTTCCTTTCCTTTTTGTTACTTTAGACACTATCCTCCCCCCAAAAAAAGAAAAAAAAAATACAATGGCTTCATGTTTTACAAATAACTTGGTTATTGGAGATCATATACCAGACTGTATTAAAAAAAGTTATCAACAACAACTATTACCTATTCGGCAACAAAGTCTTCCTTCTTATCAACCTAAAAGAATAGATCCTCCAGTAAGAAAATCCAGTATATCAGCTAATACACATGATCCTCGAAAGAAAAATCGTCAAAATAGTGTGAAGCATGCAAAACGAAAAATATCAGGTAAAAAAAAAAAAAAAAAAAAAAGATGATACAACATGACGCTTATTATTATTATTATTATTTTGTGCAGTACGGTATCGATCTAGTAAGTAAATAGGAAACAAATTTGGCAATTCACTTCATTCACAGCAATAACGATTATTCCTATGTATTATTAGATCATGATGATGACTTTTTGAGTGATTACTATCAATACCTTACTATGTCTTTTGCAACAACCTTATCTCATACTTGTTATCAATCTATGGTCTTGAATGAATTATATCAATACAGTGATGATCAACCATATTCTTCTATTTGGGCCGGTTCTGAAATAGTCGTAAGTTTTTTTTTTGGTTACCATATGCATGTGTTTCGGTCAGGGCCTTTTTTTTCAAATTTGATTTTCCGCTTACCATTTACTTTTTTTCGTTTCTCTTTTTATTACCTTTTTTTTTATGGTGTATAATGCAATTTAGAATCAATTATTGGAAATATTGGGAATAAATGATCGTGATATAGCTTTAGATTATGCTGGTAGTTTGCCTCTAATACAAATGAATGGACCTCCACTGGATCTTGTTTCCGATACTTGGGATATCTTTTATCGTCTACCTACTTTATCTTCCAATCAACAACAACGACAGAAAGTATCTATACTATCAGGTAAAAAAACAAGGATAGAATACAAAGACGAATTTATTCTTTCTTATTTGATTTTCTTGATAGAGCTTTATCAAAGTGTCTATACCCCACTGACAAAATGTTACGCTCCTTTATGTACACGTGACCGACCTTGTTACAGTTATTACTGTCCCAATAAAACTGTAAGCGCCAAACACTGTCTTTTTTCGTTTTCTTTACCACTTTTTTTTTTTTTTTTTAGATCCATGTCTCCAAGATCAACTCCAATTGTAGATCATCCTCAATAGAAACCAAAAAGGATATGTTACGTCAACAAAAACATTATTTATGGATCCATTCAGTACCTCGGACGTTAGTATACAAGACGTGTGCTATGGAAAGACATCGACAAGAAGCTATTTATGAACTTATTCAAACTGAAATAGACTTTGTGGATCATCTCCGATATATCAAAAAGGTAAATATCACAAGTTTTTTTTTTTTATTATTATTATTATATTTGGCTCAGCAAAAAATAAGGGGGTAGAGATTGCCTCCTTAAAAAGAAAAGAAGAAGAAAAAAAAAACTCACACGATATTTTTTTTAGGCTTGGATTGAACCATTATTATCATCAACAGAGATAGTTCAACCATCTATTGTGAAGCATGTGTTTTGGAATTGGCAAGATGTTTTACTCACCAATACAAGATTGATGGAAGCACTTGTGGATAGACAAAGCGATCATCTTATTTGCCACGTGGGCGACGTGTTCTTGACTCACTTGACACAATTCGAGCCATTGATTATTTATGGGACCCATCAAATGATTGGTCAATTCTATTTGACTTTGGAAAAGAAACGCAATCCTCACTTTGTTCAATTTATCAAGGTAAAAAAAAAAAAAAAGATTCTTTAGTATGGAATTCAATTTTATTATTATATAGGAAATAGAACAACAACCTGAAGCAAATCGATTGGATTTGAATGGATATTTAACGAAAATCACGACAAGATTAGCCCGCTATCCTTTGTTACTGACTAGTATTCTACAATCAACAGCTTTAGAGCACCCTGACCATGGTTGTTTGACACGTGCTGTGGAGATCCTTCAACAATTACTATTACGGTTGGATCAGCAAATTGATCAAGTTGGTCATCAATTTGAATTGAAACAAATCTCGGAACGTCTGGTTTATTCCAAATCATCTGTACGACCTGTTCTGGTAAGAAGATATTGTTTATGTACAAGTATGGTTACTGAATAGACGTCATGTGATCTTGTTTTGATAGAATCTAGAATTGAATTCACCTCATCGTCGATTGATTCATCAAGGTAGAATGCAATTATTACCAACCGGAGGTGAAATTCATGTCTTTTTATTTGATCATTTGATTTTATTTACAAAGATCAAGGTACAAGATGCTTTGGAATATTATCGACCTTTTAGAAAGGTAAAGAAGGAAAAAAAAAAAAAAAGAAAGAAAGAAAGATTAACGATTATTATTTGCGGAAATAGTGGATTCCTTTGTATGCCCTGACATTTGCAATTCATGATATGGAAGAAAACAATAAGAAAACAAATAAAGAACGACATCATCTTTACATCATCGCTTTCCAATATCGTATGGAGGTCCCCATCACTTTGGTCACACCAAACGAAAATAGTCGGCGTTTATGGGTGGATAAGATTACACAGTCAATGGCAACCTGCGGTGATTCAACCAATGTAATAAAAAGACAGTAGATAGTATAGTATTAGTAGACCCTTTTTTTTTTAAAAAAAAAAAAATAAAGATTGATTTGAAACATATATTCACAGCATTTAAAAAAAATAGATATCAGATCTGTTTGTGGCCAGCTTTTTTATTAACATAAAAAGGAATAAAAAAGAAAACAGAAAACTTTCATAAAAAAAAAAAGTGAGAGAATGGAGAGGAGATGTTTAGCTAAGGGTATATACCAAAAGAAGAAGGGAAAGGAGAAAGTATCATAACAAAAAAAAAATATAGATGATCATGTACAAAATGGATGTTGAGATATATAAATTGTATAAATATAAACCTTCTATAGAGAGAAGAAGAAATGATTGGATGGACCAGCATAATAATAATAATAATAAAAAATAGAGAATGACAAAATAAAAAAAAAATTCGATCGATCGATAGAGAAAGACAAGGAGAGTAGATTGACAAAAAGGACATTTATGCATGAGGACAATGGCTTTCATGAGAGAATTGTGAGACATCAACACCACATTTAGGACAGAAACTAGAATGTGTATGGTGATTGATCATCATCGTAGTAGTAATAGTCATGGTTTGTATAAGTAAAAAAAAAAAAGAAAAAAAAAGTAAAGAGAAAGAAGAAAGACAGGGAAAAAAGGGGAAAAGGGTTTATATCTGTTTTTTTTTATTTTAGATGCCGCTCGGCATGCGTCTTTTTTGTTGTTGTTTGTCAACGTGGGCAAAAAAAAAAAAAAAAAGTGGGGGGGGGGGGAGGAGGGAAAATTTGGGCAGGCGGCATCTTAACAACATTTGATGGGTCAAATGTCGTACAAAATTCTTTTCTCTCACCCCCCAATCTAGGGTTACTTTTTGACAGCCATCCATCGTATGATGCGCCACACCAAGAGTCATTTTTCTTTTTTTTTTTTTTTTTTTTTTTTTACTTGTTCCTTTTTAAATCTTCTCTTTTTTTTTTTGAAGACTTTCTATTTTTTTTTCTAAGGATGACAATTTATTTCTTTATAAATTTCAAACTTTAGATGATGATTCAATTCTTTAAAGAAAAAAAAAAAAAGAAAAAAAAGAGTTGCCAATGAATGAAGATAAATTACCCAATAATTGAAAACGAATAGTTTAAAAAAAAAAATACCGAGTCGACCCCCCAAGCCTTTCCTTGATTTTTTTTTTTTCTGTAAAAAAAAAAAGGGGAATACCAATCAACACTTTCGGAGTATTTCCAATGTTGTAAGCAACTCTTTTTTATTGACAATACCATATTTGGTAACGCTCTCTCTCTCTTTTTTTTTTTTTTTTTCTTATTTGCTTCAATCAAAAAAAAAAAGTAGCACTTCATCGGACTTGTTTTTGACGTACCCCCAAAAGATAGAATGATTGCACAGCATGATCACACGCACGATATCCATCATTCCTACATACTACTTTGTTCATTTAATCTTTATAGCATGAATCTATTCTTTTTTCATCAAATGATATTAAGATCCCGGTAGATTAGTTTTTTTGAAAGGTGATACAAACTTTTATGAACAAAAGACATAATAAAATCATCATCATCATCATAAAGGAGTTAGTGTGACATTAAACAATTGAGGGTTGTTCATAAAAAAAAAAAAACGTGAATCTTTCTTTTTTGTTGTACTCATCCAATAATGTCTCCATTTTTTTAAAATTTATTTTTTTTTTTTTTTGACAACGTGTCATAAAAGAATTGATTTTCCGGAACGGGATGATTTTTTTATTTTATAGAGATGAATGTACCCATGTTCCCCGATCTTGAAAGGATGGTCAAAAAAAAAAAAAAAGGTCATCCGATCCCATGATGATGATCTTCTTGGATTCGTTGAGTTTCTCTTTGATCGAATGAGAGAACTAAATCATTCATCGGTATCATACTATTGGCTGACACCTAATATAGAAGGAGTCGATGGAACGGGGTGTGAATAATGCTTTGGAAATTCCCCTTTTTTGTTTGTAGCACTGCAAGAAGTTGTCAATAAGTCTTACCACCTTCCTTTTATGTCAATATTCTCTCTCCCTTTTTGTAAAGACACTCTCTGACAAATGATGATGATAATACATTGATTATTATCGCAAAAAAAAAAAATCTATAGTGATTTTAGAATATGATATATCTTGATAGTGTTGATTAATAAATGATAAAAAAAAAAACAATGATGATGGGACACCAGTTTATTTTTTTTTTAAAAAAAAAGATAGACCACTATATTACTAACTATTGATGAAGGATACGATAAGAAGCCAACGGAAAGAAGATCATCAAAAAGGTTTCCTTTGCTAGAACCTCTTTATACTTCTGTAATTCACTCAAAAATCATCATCATCGTATCAAATTCGGAATGAACATGGATGAAATCATTCTCATAGTAACAATTGTCTCCCATCAAGGAAATTAAAAAAAAAAATAAAAAGTCAATATCGTCATCAATAAAATGACCGCTATCTCTCAAAATCATCATCAAATACTGTCTAATTCCATTTTTTACCGCGTATCTAATGTGATAATAAATGTCATTTCATCGACTTTTCAAAAAAAAAAATGATTGGAGAATTGGAAATTTATGGCTGTGAAATCCTTTTTTTTTTTTTTTTTTTGAAAAATTTCAAATAACAATGAATCATGACTTTTCATTGGTTAGCCTGCTCCATAGTGAGAAAGAGCCATTATTCGAACCATTCTCCGCAATCACTGTAACTTCATATGATTCGGTTGCTAAGCAATACATAATGACTTAATGAAGAGACATTCGGAATTGAACTTCATATAGCACGACTAAAACAATCGACATTTATCTACTAATATAGGATTCATATGTAGAAATGATAATCTTCAAAATAAAATCAATTAGATAGAATAGATAGTTTTTATTTTTGGAAAAAAAAAGGATAAAAGAATAGTGGGAGGATATACAATATAGATATAATGATAATAAATAAGATAATAGTAATGATAATAATAACAAAAGTAATAATAATAGTAATATGACAATAATAATAACAATAATAATGATAATAATAATGATAATAATATAAATGAGTGGAACAATATCAGTTTAATATGAACTAGGAGGAGGATAAGGGAGGAGGTTCAATAGTCAAACTTAACTGTCGAATAGTGTCAGTATCCAAGGCATCCAAGTGAAGACAAGATGTATACAAAGGATCCAATTGTTCAAATGAGTAACGTGAGGCTAAATCTTGGAAGGTCAAAATTCTCTTGATGATGGTAGCGATGATGCGATACTTGCGAAAATTGACGAGTGGTTGACGAAGCAATGGTGATGTGGTGGATTGTTTGGTATATGATTGATAAATCTTGTGATGATCATGGCTAGGTTCCAGGTACGAAGGTTGCTCCGAATTAAACACCAAGTCCGAAAGATATAGGCCCAGGAACGGAATACAGCCTCCAAACGGTAACTTGATTTTGGGTTTATTCAGTTGGCGGTCGATCGAGCCAGGGAGTTGGATTTGCACTTCTTTAGGTGACATGCCGTATTCATCTGCTACTAATGTCATGTTGTCTCGAATATGTTTCCAGTTCTTCATGGGTGATGTGAAAGAAGAAAGCTGTTCCAATAATCGCATTTCAGTGTCTGATACCCGAGCCCATGTTTTACGTAGTCGTGATACTGATGGTGATTGAAGTCCCAATAAGATTTGTACGAGTGTTGCAAAATTGGAATATACTTGACATTTCTAATAATAGGAAAATGTTAATCAAAGTTTACATATTTTTTTTTTTTTGTATGTACCTGGGCCAACCGAATAAATTTTTCAATCACCAAAACACGATCATCTAAAACTGGAGTACGTACAATTTCACTTGATACCCATTGACATACTGTATTGAATCTTTTGATCAATTGTTGGACACCACCTTCTTGTTCTCCACGCATCAATTGAAGTTGTCTTGTTTGTCGAGAATAATAAGTAGCGTGATTGTCATCTTGATGAGAATCCATTTTTAAACCTTCATCTTCTTCCATCATAGTTGAGAGATTGGCCATCTTGGTCCATCGACAATGTACCATTTCTTCCCAATTGACTTGAAGCAAAACTCCTCTTTCCACTAAACATAATTGTTGAGCCAAGTCATGTGAGCGATACTGTAACACCATTGAAGATCGGAAAAATGAAGCTTGTGATAAAGAGGCTGGAGCATGATGAGATGAGCCCCATCGTGGAATATCCAATTCAATCATACGGCGTTGTTGATGATGTTCTTTTGAAGGAAGATCAGGTGCAGGTGGTAAAATTTCATCCAAAGACGTGCGTAAATCTTCCAGTTGATGAAGGTTGCTTTGATTCCAAGTTGTATCATTATGTGGTGGTGCCGTTTGTCGAGATAGTAAAGAAGATTCGTATGTTTGTGGTACAACAACACTACTATGACTGACGCTGCTTGGTGCTGTGGATGTCATTTTGGGTTGAATAACTGTTGCTTTTGTGGAGCGAATACTTCCTGCTGCTCGGAATGCCTTGATTAAACGTTGTGATAGCTTTCGTTGAGGTTTGTTGTTGGATGATGAATGTCGTTGTGTTGAATCTGAAGTGATACTTGTTGGACTTTCCATCAATGTTTTATCTTCAAAAACTGGTGACTCCAATGCTGTTTTTTCTCCTGTCTCTTCTAGGTATGATTTTGATATTCTGTTATTATTGTTGTTCCAAGAAATTCGTCGTTGATCATTAGAAGTGGTTCCTTTTCCATTATTCACAGGCTCTGTTGTTGTGGTGGTCGTCGTTTCCAATTGTAATGGTGGAGGTAATGGCTTTTCTAATGATGATGATATATGCTGGTTCAACACGGGTATAGCATTGTCGGGAGAATATGTTGTTGTTGTAGCATGAATAAAGGATCCATTGGGTAATGCTATTGGACTCAAATCGCAGAGTTCTGCATTGTATACAGATCGTCGATGATTGCTTGGTAGTTGTCGAATACTGGGTTGACCAGGCGTTGTACCAGGAACAGGACAAATTTGAGGACGTTTATTTTCCATAGCTAGATCATCATTATCCATACCAGAATCATCATCATTTCCATCATCATCGTCATCATCGTCATCATCATCAGTATCGTCGTATAGTTCATCATCAGTGGTGCCAGGACTAACAAGACTTTCCAAAGAAGCATCAGTGATGGTGCTACTTTGTTCAATAGGGTTTCCATTATTTTGAATGTCATGATCGTGTGAGGTGGTCATCAACTGTTGCTGCATCAGTCTTTTTTCTTGTTCCATACGTCGTAAATAAGATTCTTTGACCTTGGCCTTTTGTAATTCTTGTTGATTGTGATGAGGATGGAGTCGACTTATAGAGAATGCTGAAGTGGCGTACTTTGCGATAGAATTTTGAGATACATTTCGATTGCGTTTCCTGTCGCTACCATTGGAGCCTATCATAGTTGTAGGTGGATAAGAAGCAGGAGACAAGGGTGAAGTAGATTGTGAAACTATCATTTGTTGTTGATCATGTTCGGGTATTGGAGGTACAGGTGTTGATGATGGTGGTAAGGGAGATTTATCGGAACTTCCAATCACTACGATATCAGCATGACGAGCATCTTGAAAAGCGACATTTCCATGATGACGATCTTCCACTTCCATTCCTTTTTGAATCAATTCTTCTGTCTTACGCCGTAGAGGACTTTGAGATAGTTTGGCATGTAGCATATTTCGGACCTGTTGTTCATCGTATAGTGGAGGTGGAGGAGATATGACTTGGACATGTTGAGAGCTACGAGGATAATGCACCTTTTTTAGCCTTCGTACGACTCGTTTAAGACCCTTGACAATGCGTTGATCCCTTGGTGAGTTTTTGATGGATGGATGGGAAGGTAGAGTATTCAGAAACACGGTCAAGATTTCACGAAGTTCACGAGATGGCGTAAAATCATGTACAAAGTAATTCAGAAGCCAGTGTCGAATCACTACAAATGTTCTATAACAATAAATAAATAAGATAAAAGCGAGATGATATATATATATATATTAGAAACAAAAAATAGATAATAATATAGTATCTCATTTACCTTATGCGTACAATACATCGATCATCTTCATTGTTTTCCAAACCCCATCGGAATCGTAATATCAATAATTTACATAGTTGAATTGGTGAGAGGAAAGTACGATATGTCAAAAAGAAATCGGTCATAAAAGTATAATCTAAGTTGATAAAAGAATATAATGAGATCATTTTTATTTAAAAGAAAATCTTTTTTTTTTTTTTTTTTTTTTTTACCTAATGTCACCGTCAATTTTTCCACCAGTTTTTCAACAGTGGCAGCTTCAATAACCTTGGGAGTCATGGTAGTTGTAGTTGAAGAAGAAGTTGATACTGTTTCATTTGTATGTTTTTGTTTTGTAGAGGATGATCGGCGTCCAAATCGAGCACGTAGAGTTGTCTTTTTTTCATCATAATCCTTTTCATTCCAGTATATGTTATTTGATGAGTCCAATGTTGAAGATTGTATTGATTGTTTCATTTTATTAATCCATTTTGATCTTAATTTCTTCTTTCCTTGATCAGATTTTTCTGAATAAACTGATGAAGTTGCAGTTGTATTTGAAGAAAAACCCATAGTGGATGGTTTTTGCTGAGGCATGATAGCAATACTGGAAGATAGATTTGTGGCTTCAGATGCAGGAATAACTTGTGGATCGGGACCCCAGATAATAATACGATCATCAGTATCAGATTTGAGTAAATCGAATATAGCAGGTGGATAACTAAGGAAGACTAAAGGTGGTGCAATTTCTAAATCCATCCATTTGGTATCATGTTGTTGCCGTTGTTGTTGTTGTTGTTGTTGTTGATCAATCAATGTTGTAGGTTTGAGAGAAGGTGGATATATTATAGTAGCTTTGGAAGATGTTGTCAGCCAATCATCAAATTTACTAACGACCGGAATATCAGGTAAATTAAAGGTGGCAGTATTATTATTATTATTGTTGTTGTTGGTTGGCATAGTTGTTTTAAACTGGTTTTGACCGACAGTATCTAATGCTGAAGCTACATAAGATGCAATACTTTGTTGTGTTGTTACAGTATCATTATGTTGAGAGGGTAATAATTTGAGTCGTTGCGTATTGTTGGGGGTATGAGTACTCGCTAGAGGATTACTAACTACAGATTTGCCAGTAATGGAGATATAACCTTCTTGAGATATATTAGATGTATTAACCAAAGCAGCATCTTCATTATTGTTGGCGATAAGTTGACGTTCCCATAATACTTTTGGTTCAGTATATTCACGTACACCAAATACAGTCGCTAAAGCAGCTCTTTCCATTCCACCTTCAGAAGGATTCATCAACTCTTTTGGAATCAGAGAATGATTGCGTTTTCTTTGTGCTGGTAATGCTGTTTCTTGAGGAAGATCTAACTTTGTTGTTAAAGCTGCCGCTTCTTGATATCGATTATCTGTTGCCATAATACAATTTGTATGAATAAAGAGAGAAAAGGAAAAAAAAAAAAAAAAAGGAAAAAGAAAAAAAAAAAGAAAAAAAAGTAAGGGGCGGGAGAAAAGAGGATAAAAAAGTATAAAATTTTAATTTTTCGTGTTACCTTCTAGCCAACATAAACAGCTATTCACTTTTGTTTAACTTGAATATAACTTGTTTTTTTTTTTTATACTATAATAAAATATCATCTCATAAAATAATATATATATATATATATCTAATATAGTATGCAAATAGATCATCATGAATACAGTATATAAATTATCATTTTTCACAAACCTAAAAAAAACGAGGCACATCCAAAAAAGGCAGGTAAAAAGAAAAGAAGCACTTTTTTTTATTCCTTTATTAATCAACTCTAAAAAAAAAAATCATATTTTTATTGATAAAGATCTAACTTCTATAGTTCCATTTTTGTGCCAAATCTATCACTTTGATCCAAAATCCATCCCAATAATCAAATTCATTCTTTATCTCAGTTTCTTGTTGATATGGTACCATCTATATATATATGTATTTAAATGAATTATTCCTTTTCTTTTCTTTTAGTTTTTTTTTTTTTTTGTTTACCTTCATTTCTGCACGTCTAGTACGACTTTGTTGTTCATCTACATATCGTAATGTCACCAAATTGTCATCAAGTCGATACCTAGATTCATTATTGAAGGTTACATCCAATAACGTCATTTCACCTTCGTCGGATTTCCAAACAGTGGGGCATGATAATTCGGAATAACTATCTAATCGACAATTATTCACCAAATCCAATAATGAAGCTGCTGTTTTGTTCATTTCGTTCATTTTGTTATCATAAATACTATATTCCTTTGCTGTCAATCGAACATCTACATTCCTAATAAAGATTATGAGTATATAACTCTCATTCTTTTTTTTCCCCTTTCTTTCTTACCCTGATACACCAAGAAGATCTATTGATTTCCGTTCATGTTCAGCAATCGTTCGTTGATATTCCAATGTTCCATCATCCTTTTCAATAAATTCAAGTTGTAGTCGTTGTAATGAAGATGTTAGTAATGGTGATTCCGGAATAATATCATTCACCATTAATTGACAAAGAAGAGAAGAATCGATATATCCTATTCTAACAATACGTTGATGGAATTCATTATTTGAAGTTAATGGAAGCAAAGATGGTCTAATATTGCTTGGAGGATATCTATATATACAAACAAAAAAAAAGTAAATAAACCCATTATATATATATATATATATATATATAAACCTTACCCACTGAAAAAACGTCGATGACAAGTGGATGATTGATACAACTTTTCCAAATCCTTCAAATTAAAACAACCACGTATTTCTGGTATCAAAAGATTGGTTTGTCCAGGTACAACAGTAGGATTTTGAAAAAGAAGTTGGCCAAATCTTAAATCATAATAAAAGAATCATTCAGTCCAACATGTCATTGTCTTTTTTCTTTGTTTTCTCTTTCCTCTACTTACGTTGCTTCTATAGATAACTTTTTGTCAGTGGTTTTGAATGTTTCTTGTAACATGTCCTTGATTTGTAATGGAGAGAGTTCACTTGATGACGATGATCTGTAATATATAAATAGATATATAGACATAAAAGTGAGTTTTCTTTTTTTTTCATTTGAACTTTACAAATATTATTGATATACATGTATACCTATCACCACCTAATAGATGAAAATGAGAAGAAGCATCTGACTTGATATCTCGTTCTTCACCGGTACGACAGACTCGGCTCCATCCAATTGTTTTCATGGCCAATGGCATTGAAGGTGTATCGTGCAAAGGCAAAAAGATCAATGGATCTGTTTTTGATGTTGAAGATGTTGGAATATGTTGTATTGCGGTATAATCAGATGGTTGTAGAGATCGTTTCGACGTAAAACCAAACTATATAAGAATATAAATAAATCAATTCGGAATAATATCACTTATCACTTACATCAGTCAAGAATACAGCCAATTTCCGTTTCGCATCGCTCAAAGATGTTTTTGTTGGTGCAGCTAAAGAGATCTACAAAAGAAGAAAAAAAAAAATTCATGTTCAGTTCATTTGGTAAATAAATATGTAAGTAAAAAAAAGAAAAAAAAAATTACCTGATTATTGTCCAAAGAAATATAAGCACCAGATGTCTTTGATAAATCATCCAGTACTCGCTGAGGTACCATAGCTAGTGTATCAGTTGTTAAATTGGCAGTAGATCGATCATCAACAAGTCGCACACGTTGTCTTTCCAAAGTAATGGCTTCCCGAATAGCGACCAAAGCAGCAGGTAACTGAGATTTCTGACCTTCCAGTGTACACATCAAATCTGTGACACCAATCCTAACACGCACCTTGTATTGTTGTTCAATATCACGAATCATATTACCATTGTCTTGAAGAATAAAGAACATTTCATCCTGTTGTAATTGGAATTGGTCTCGACTATTGTTTTTCCGTTGCGATAGTTCCTTGGCTCGTTTCCGTTCTGGGGTAGTCAGTTTCCAATAATCTACCATAATTTGTTTGATCAAGTTTGATTTGCGATGACTGGGAGTCACACCATTGGATTTGAGATAGAGTTTGAGTTGAGGTACAGTGTAGGCTACATGGATCATTTGTTCAAGTTTTGCAAAGGCTGACTCAGAGATGACTTGCTTGGTTGGGCGATGTCCTTCCATTGAATTTAGAAGAAGATCAGTATTTGTTGTGGTAGTAGTCGTGGTAACATTTTCTTTTGGCATTGGATTATGAGATATATGTAACCTTTGTACTTTGTATTGTTGTGGGTGACAGATCCTTGAACATGATATCCCAAATAATCGATTGGTCAAACTAGATCGTAGTTGTAATACAAGTAGTCTTTGTCCAATAGATCTACTTTTTACTATACAGGAATGCATAGTCTATATAAATCAAAACAACAACAACAACAACAAAAAAAAAAAAAAAAAAAGAAGAAGAGAGACAAAAGTAAGAAGAATAGTGTTTTTTTTTTTTCTATTTTTTTATTTTTTTCAAATAACGACAATAGGTATTCAAAAAGAATTAAAGAGTACAAATTCAAGTCACGTCAAAGATCTAATAATACTAATATAAAGTAATACAAATGAATACATATATCAAAAAATAAAAAAATAAAATAAAATAAAACTATTGAGGATGTTTACAAAAAAAGCGGCGAAAGGAGAATCTATGATGTTTGTGAGTACAAGGGTCTATTTGAACCGAGCCAAAACTATCACGACTAGATCGAGGAGAAGTAGGTGAGTCAGGAGGTCGTACACCCATCATCCTTGCAAATTCTTCAAAATTGACCACACCGTCCTTATTTTCATCCACTTCACTAATCAGTTGTTCAGCTTCTTCCATTGTAATCTTATCTCCAAGTTGGTGCATCATGGCTGTCAGTTCTTTAGCATTAATAACACCATCTCCGTCCCGATCAAATACTTTGAATGTTTCCAATAATTCTTGTTGTCTCTTGGTCAGTCGTAAAGGTGTTCGAAGTGTTGGTCGCATTAGCTTTGCAAATTCTTCAAATGATAAGTTGCCCTGGGTATCAGTACGCACTTTACTAAGCTACATTTGTATATTGAATTATAAGTTAATACATAAATAAATAAAAAAAAAAAAAATGAAGTAAAGTAAAAGTATTATTATTAAACCCAGTTTTACCATAGCATCAATTTGAGGTTCATCAATACCAGTAGATCCAAGCATATTTCGTAGTTCATTAGAAGATACTTTTTCATCATGGTCTTTGTCAAAAGTATTAAACATATCCTGTAGTTCTTGTCGGTTTTGTTGACTAAGAAAATGTAAAGAAAAACTAGAATGTTTTGACATTATATGTTGAAGTATACAAAAAAAAAAAAAAGAGTGAAAAGCGAAAGAAAAAAAAGGTACCAAAAGAAAAAAAAAATTACAAAAAAGAAAAAATTACAAAAAAGCCCTTTATACCTTAATTAGTTTTTAAAACACAGTTGTGTTCAGCCCAAAATGTAGTTGGATTAGAGTCACATTTTTCATTTTCTATTCTGAAAGATGCAAAGGGTTTCAATTTCAATGTCCACTTTGATCGCATGACCATGCTTAAAAGGTTATGGCATAAAAAGGTAAAAAAAAGAAAAAAGAAAAAAAAAGTTCTCTTTTAGTATTTCTCTTTTTTTTTTTTTTTTTCTACATTATTGATATAATGGACAAAAAACATCAAAACGACAAGGACAATACAATGCTCCATTTGAATACACAACAAGCAAATACTGATGATATGGGAAAACCTATCCAGACCGGTAAAGCTGAGCCTCGTCGCCGTTCAAGTGTGGATAGTGGTATTTCTCCCACGTACATGGATGATCATGGTCATATCATTTCCACTTCACCTCAAGGGAGTTCTTATGGTTCTCCTCTCTATGGTGATGCCAATCGTGTCTATTTTTCTCATCATTCAACATGCATTTGTAGGTCCCCTTCTCTTCTTTTTTTTTTTTTTTTAAAAAAAAAAATGCGTTACTCAATACTTCCCTCATACTTTTTTTTTATTTGTAGGTAAGGGATCTGGTGTTGGCTGTGATTGTTCCCGTACTTGTAGTTGCTGAGTCTGTATTATTAGTACGTTTTATATCCTTTTTCCCCATGTTATTTCCTTATCTCTCCTTTCATGCCGTACATATTTCACACACAGACATATCCAATGACACACCAATAAATCGTACTATTTTTTTTTTTTTTATTAAGGATAAATGATGGTTAAACCGAAGGATACATGGTAGTAGTATTGGATGATAACTCTAAGATGATAATAAAAGATGACTTTATTCATTTATGATGAGATGATATTTGCTTTATTTTTCATATTTCTCTAACAAGATGTAATTTGAATGAGTCGATAACAAACTGAGGTTTGATTTCAGCATATCATTATCAAGTACTATTGTAGATTCATCATTGCAGGATCATCATCAAAGAATCATTATCGAAAATAATCGACGTTTTTTTTCCTTACTATTGTAGTCTCTTTCATTACGGGCATGTCAGTGTGTTTGTTGTGCACCATCATAGAGAGAAAGTGTGTATCTAACATGACAGAATGAATTATTTTGCATTCAAGTTCCGTCGCTACCTAACATTATATTCGATCTATGTACTGCTTTCGTTTTTGTTACCTTTCTCTCACACACACACACCATTTATTGTCTATCACCATAGTAGAAAGGAGAAAATACTCGTTTCAACTTGTAAAAAAAAAAAAAAAAAAAAAAAAAAAAAAACTACGTCGATATAATACAATTTCATCATAAGGATTTTTGATAGTAAGTTGGATAATCGGTTTATGGGTTCAAGTATGGAAGAAAACGTGTGCACGGGCCAACCATGACGCTGTGGATTTCCTTTTTTGGTTGGATTCATGCAATATGTATGTCTCCGATTCATTCTCTTTTATAAAAATGAATGTAGACTAGTAAAAGGGATGTTTGTTGTATCTTTATTTTTTATTTTTTCTTTTTTTGAATAAAAGAACAATAATCTTTGAATAGAAAAAAAATGGGTTACGATAATTGATTCAATTGAAATTAAAGTTAAAACAGTAGATGATGCTCTTAATAATCATTCGTTGGATACGACATAGAGAATCTACAAACAGAATCGACATAAAAAAAATAGTAGTATAATTATTTCTAAACATTTGTTTTATTATGAATAATAATTTGAATAAGAAGAGGCATGATAGGGGCATGGAATAAATAATACAAATGAAATATCATTAAAACTGAAGCATGGATAAATCATCATAAAAAAACGGATGTTCTTCAGCCTATGTGAACAAAATAAATAAAAAATGATTAATACTTGTATTTTATTTGTGAATCCATCATCCTGTTTGTTTACCTTCTGAGCAGATATCCGGTTATAAGGGTCATAAACAAGTAAAGACTAAAAATCGAGGGGTGAATATTGAGAATATGTGTCATATATATAGTCATTTACCTTTAGCAAATCAATCGTCAAGTCATTCACTTCAAGAGGATTTTTCTCTTTTGCCAATCGTTCTTTGATATCTACAGGTTTCCATGCTATTCATTATTGGAATCATAAAAAAAAAATAAGATATAGATTCGTTTATATATATATATATTGTGTAATTTTAAAACTTACGTGGAAAGATGGCATTGTAATCAGGTAATGCCGTCACACCAGGCCACATCGCTTCTGTAGGTGTTCCCAGTAATCGAAAGATTCTAAATAGTTCATCAATTTGTGAATCCCCTTTTCCAAAAAAAAAAAAAAAAAAAAAAAAAAACATGAAAATATAAATAAGTATCTGAAGATATATACCAATAACTTCTTTTTTTTTCATTTTTACCTGGAAAAAGAGGACGCAAGGTGATCATTTCAGCTAAAATACAACCAACACTCCACATATCAACTGCAGTAGAGTAATGAGGACTTCCAAGTAAAATTTCTGGAGCACGATACCATAGAGTGATGACTTGATGAGTATATGTTCGCATAGGTACCCCAAATGCCCGTGAGAGACCTAGATCAGCAATAGTTAACTTGCCTGTATGATCGATCAATAAGTTTTGTGGTTTGAGATCTCGATGAAGAACACGGTGAGAGTGACAGTAATGTAGACCACGTAGTAGTTGATGAGTAAAACTCTATGAACAATGTAAAATGGAAGATGTTAAATACATATATATGTATATATATATGAAAAAGATCATCCTCCTTATATATGTACTAACCTTGATATGTTTGAGTGTCAACCCTTCTCTACCCACTTCATCCATATATTTTCGTAAATCCTAATAAATTCAATAAATAAATAAATATTAATGTACATTGTCTTCTTCTTTTTTTTTATTTTTCTTCTATTTACCACATCACAATAATCAAAGACAAGGTATATAGTAGTATCGAAATAGATTAAATCAATCAATCTAAGTTGTATAGAAATAAGATAAGCATAATCATCATAGTAAAACGTAAGTTACTAACTTACCGAATAACATTATGGTGTTGAATTTCCTTGAGTAAAGCGACTTCACGAATGGCTGTAGTGGGAACGCCGCCTTGACTGATATTGAGTTGAACTCGTTTCAAAGCAACACAGGTATTTGTTTTTTTGCATAATCCACGGAACACTTCACCATAAGTGCCTTCACCAATCTTGGCCAGTTTCTTGTATCCTGCCACATCAATGTCATTGTCCTCGGCTTTTTGCGCTTCTTCCTCTCTTTCATGTTGTCTTTTCAATTCTTCCTGTTCTGCAAGTGCTCCTGGTGATAACACTTCTTCTCCTTCTTCTTCTTGCTGTTGTTGTTGTTGTTGTTGTTGCAGATTCTTTTTATTTGAAGATACGTAGTGGGATGGTTGTGATGGACGTTGACTATGGTTGGTAGTGACCTGCTGTTGTTGTTGTTGTGGACGAACTTTGTCTTTGTAAACTGGTATTTTCTGTGCTGTTGTTGTAGTTACTTGCGCCAATCTTTCTTTTCTATCACGTGTTGCCATTGATCGTATTGTGGTAGAAGACGAATTTTCAGTTGTTGCTGTGATACTTTTATTGGGAGTAGGAGGAGGAGAAGATGTCGCCATAATATAAAATTTATTTTGTCTTTGTATATTTACTGGTATGGATGAATGATCATATAAAATGGTAATAACAAAAAAGAAGATGACAGGGTAGTAATAGTAGTACTATATATATATATGTGTGTGTGTATATGTGAATATATGTGTATAAAAGAGTAAGATATCGATCGAAGGAGACAAGAGACAAATAGGTAATACAACGAAAGAAAGAGATAGAAAAAAAAAAAAGGATGGTAACTAAAAAACAATTCAAAGGCGCGTTGAGTTTGAAAAAGGCTTCATTTTTTTTTTCTTCCTTATTCTGCGAAAACGCGCGTTTGTCCAATATATACATTCGGCTTTTTAAAAGAGGACTACAAAAGAATATCGTTTTATTATATTTACATAAAGAGAGAAGGATGGATAAACTTTTTCTAACTAGATGAGCTACTAGTATAAATAGAGTGTTGATAAAATATATAAATATAAAGAATGTCTTGATGGAAACAGGTGATACGGTGGAGGAAGGGAGTCTTGACGATAATGGCAAATACAGCATCTATTTCAAAAGAATATTTCAGTAATAGTATCGATAATCATCACTATCATCTTCTCTATACTTACCAATAACCACATTGAATGATTTGTAAATTAAAGTATGTCTGGAGATATGTTCGACCTATTGTAAAGAAATCAAATCAAATGATAACCATTATGATTAGGAAAAGAAGACGAAGAAAAAAAAAGATCGTAAATACCTTTCTTGATTGATGATTCTTGAATACTTGAGGCAATAAAAATAAAAAGTCAAAACAACGGATGATTTCTGACAACATATGAATTATAGTGCTTCCCCATGTAGATAATCCGATATGCCAAACACAAAGACAACACAAAAATACTGTGCCTAGAGACTTGACATTGCTGTATTCTGGTAAAGGTGTTACTTTCATGATCATTGTCTCGTCATTGTTGCTGAATAATCTATCATTATTTGTTGTTGTGGGCCAATTTTCATCAAATGTTGATGATATCATTTGCTGCTGCTGCTGTTGTTGTCGTTGTTGTCGTAGTTGTTGTTGTGATGATGATAAAGCCTTATCCATTTTCCAAGCATGAATCGCCATAGAGAAACCGCGGGTCAATAAGAGTACCAAAGGAAGTCCAGTACCTCGATGTATTTCCATCAAATTCAGCAGTAGAATCACATGTGCCAGCATTTGTAGTTGCATTCCAAATATTGATATACCTCTATCATTGTTCTTGGTTTGCCAAAAGAGAATATCTACCATGTATTGTTTTACCAAAGAAAAAAAAACGGTAATCAGTTACATCCTTTGTTATTATTATTATTATTATTATTATTATTATTATTATTATTATTATTATTATTATTATTATTATTATTATTATTATTATTATTATTATTATTATTATTATTATTATTTCTTTTTTTTTGTTTGCTTTCTATTACCATTCTGAAAGGCCAGGAAAGAAAAACAACCATATAAACCACATAATAGTAAGAGAGTACATAACCAGGTAGGGTTCATTTCCAGAAAAAGACGTTTAACTTGTTCCATTTCCTCCATGGTCCCGCCAAATGGATTGGATACATCTTCGAAAGCAGCCAACGTATTAAATTTCCACATCGCCATTGGTTCTACTTGAATAGTCAATGGCAGGTGCCTAAAAAAAAGAGAGAGAGAAAGAGAGAAATGAGCAAGTAGTTTATTTGTTTATTTGTTTGTTTTTCTTTAATTAGCTGTTCCTTACGTTGTATTTTCATTTACTGGATATGCATGTCGTTGAAGAGACCAAAAATCATTTGGGAAGACAATAGGACGATAAAACCCAATTTGATATCCATTGACACTAGCAAGAAGGGGAGGGTGTTGATGGATGCCTTTTTCCTTGGTAGTGATTCTCTCCAGTGAGATATCTAAAAAGAAAGGAAAAAAAAAAGGATTCATAAATCAACTAGCATATATCTATATGTCTTTCCTTTATACTTTACATTTTAATGTTGCTGGCTGCAACGCTGCTTTTGGAATTGCTTCTCTTCCATCATTAACAAGAGCAATTGTCATAGTGTCTTGCCAATATGATACTAAAGAAGTAGGTTGTGATGATGCATGGTCATAATGATGATGCGGAGAATAAAATGCATATTGCATATATGATTTCAACATAACAAATGGACTGGAAGTGTTTTTGGTATAATGCTTCGTCAAACCTGTGATCACAAAAGAAAGAAAGAAAGAAAGATAAAAAAAAAGGAATGATGAATAGATTGTACTAAAAATAGAACACAAGGTGATACTTACGGTGTCTTTTGTAGACAATATGATCTGGATTGAAACCAACTGCCTGAGGATGAATAGGTGATTCGGTTCTTGTTAGAAAAATATGGGCGTATAACGTCAAATTGAATTGCACCTATAAGATAAAGTATAAATAAGTATATGTTTTTTAAAAATACGATCGTATCATCATATGAACTTGCATTAGAAAGTGATATGGTCAAATGTCTTGCTTGAATATCAAAGGATTGACCTAAAATAAGATGACTGATTTTGCATGAAGGAGATAAATGATAATCGGTAAAGTATTCATTTTGATTGATATATACAATGAGGTCCATTTCAATGCCTTGCTTCCATAATCCAACCAAAGCTTCGGGTAAATCATGCATAGGTGTTTGTACAGGGTGTGGATTATGGTAAACCCCATCTGGTAACGCGACGACGGCACTTGGTGTTCCTGCTTCGGCCGGTCTTACCAACGTAGGAGATTCAAACGATTTAGTACTAGACGGGGAAGGTAATGTGTTCCCTATCAAGACGAATGAGTTATTTTTCTAAATGTCAACACGAACATCTTTTTCTTTTTTTTTTTTTTCTTACCTGAGAAAAAGAGATATTGAATATAGATTATACAACAAGGAATGACTACATGTCGATAATGAGACTTTAACCATGAAAGTATTGATGGAAGGTTAACAAAGTAATAAGTCATATACGTATAAATGGTATAGAATAAATAGTTAAAGAATCAATATAATAATAATAAAAAAAAAAAGGAGGAAGAATAAGTAAAATAAAAGAGAAAGAGGAAAAAAAAAAAAAAAAAAAAGGAGCTCGTCCAATTTTTTTATACATATCGGGAAGAAAGTAAAGCCCTCCTTAGGTGTGTCTACTCAGCATTGAAGGGTAATACAAAGAGCTTTTTTTTTTTTTATTTGACACTAATCAAAACAGACTGATACTATTGAGGGATGTCTCATCTTTTTCCAATAGAATTCGTTCAGTCATCGTATATTAGAATAGAATAGATTTTTATTTTTATTTATATAAATTATCAAAATATCAAAAGAATCATATTTTATTAATGAAAGAACCGTGATAGATACTTGTCTCATAATTAATTTTTCGTTATTTATCAGTTGCTTTTCTCAAAAAGTTCATCTAATGATTTTTTCATTTGACCATTTATTATCATCCTTCCTACCATCATATTCTTCATACAGATTTTTTTTATTATCTAGACCCAAATGATTTAAATAGTTTATAAAAAGCAATCTTCCAATAATATTAACTCTCTTTTATAGAAAGTAAATCCAATGATCATCTACATAAATATTTGATTTTTTCATATTTCTCTCTTTTGTATCATTAAAGGTTGTCCAGTCTTTCCACAGTTGGGAGAGAAAGAGTATCAAAAAATGGTTGGGCGTCCTTTCACACCCCGCTACTTTTGTATTTTTTTTCCCACTTTTTTTTTTCTTTTGATTGCTTCCCTTTTTTACTACTTTTTTTTCGCCAAGAAAAAGAAAAAAGAAAAAGCGTAAACACCTTACAACCACAAATACCATATTCTTTATCTTTTATTATTATACAACTTCTTTTCTTTCTCTTTTTCTCTTTGTACATCTTAGTTTATCAGTATACCGTCCTTTCTCAAATAAAGAAAGACACAAACCAATAATGTCCAACTCAGAATTCCTCTCAGTAAGTTATATTTTTCTTGTCCTTTCTTATGTCATCTTTGTTAATAAAGAACAAGCTTACTTACTTATTGTTTTTTATTTATTATTATTATTATATTTCCTGACACGTTTACATTACTTTTTTTATAGAAAGCTATTGAAATAGTCAAAAAAGCGACAGAAGAGGATCATCGTGGAAACTACAAAGAAGCCTACGCACTATATCAAAATGCCTTGGATTATTTTATGACAGCTATCAAATGTAAGTATTAAAAAAAAAACTATCCAGTGATATTAAATTCTCACCTTCTTTAATTATATCCTAGATGAAAAGAATGATCGTTTACGGGAACCTATTCGAAAACGTTTTGTAGAGTATTTGGATAGGGCAGAAATGTTAAAAGACTATTTAAATGATGAATCCAAGAAGAAACAACAAGAAGCCATTGGGGCAAATGGATCACCAAAGAAGTAAGTATAAGAATGATATAAGATTATAATGAGAGACTCACGTTTTATTTGATATTTCTATAGAAAGAAGGGTGATGGCAATGAAAATGATACAGATGATGATGATCCTGAAATGAAAAAGATGCGATCAAGTTTGACAGGTAAAACGCGAAAGAATAGATTTCAAATGATGATAACTAACCATCTTTTTATTTTATTGTGATGATTATAAATTGAATTAAATAGGAGCGATTTTGACTGAAAAACCAAATGTACGTTGGGATGATGTGGCTGGATTGGAAGGGGCAAAGGAAGCTATCAAAGAAGCTGTCATACTCCCCATCAAGTTTCCTCATTTATTCACTGGTAAACGACAACCTTGGCGTGGTATCTTATTATATGGACCTCCTGGTACTGGTAAATCATTTTTGGCAAAGGCTGTAGCTACTGAAGCAAATTCAACCTTCTTTTCAGTATCATCTTCTGATCTGGTATCCAAATGGCTTGGTGAAAGTGAAAGGTGAAATTTATATAGAATAGATGGTAATGGATGACTCACTAAATATCATCTTACTATTATTATAGATTGGTCAAACAGCTATTCCAAATGGCAAGAGAAAATAAACCAGCCATTGTATTTATTGATGAAGTGGATTCATTGTGTGGGACTCGTGGTGAAGGTGAATCTGAAGCATCACGTCGTATCAAAACTGAATTCCTAGTGCAAATGAATGGAGTGGGTAATGATATGGATGGTGTTCTTGTACTTGGTGCAACCAATATTCCCTGGGCGTTGGATTCTGCTATTCGAAGACGGTAAAAGAAAATGATATGATTTAAAGTGATACTCACTTTTTTTTTTTTTTTTTTACTATAGATTTGAAAAACGTATATATATTCCACTTCCTGATGCTCTTGCTCGTGCCAAAATGTTCGAATTGAATGTGGGTACTACACCTTGTAGATTATCGATGGCAGATTACAAACAATTAGCAGATTTGACGGATGGCTATTCTGGATCTGATATTGCTATTATTGTTCGTGATGCTTTGATGCAACCTATTCGAATAGTACAAATGGCAACACATTTCAAATGGGTAAATAGCAATAAAAAAAAAAAGAGGGAGAGATACAGAAGAGAAAGAAAAAGGATAACTAATATATTTATTTTATTGTACAGGTAGATGCACCATCACGGCAAGATCCTAGTGTGATCAGTCCTCATCTTACACCTTGTTCTCCTGGTGATCCTACAGCTCAAGAAATGACATGGGTGGATATTGAACCTGATCAACTATTGGAACCTGAATTGACCATCCGCGACTTTCTCAAGGCTGTGCAAAATTCTCGTCCTACAGTCAATGGTAATGATATTCAACAACACGTCGACTTTACAAATGATTTTGGACAAGAAGGATGATAGGCAATATAGTTTAGTTTAGTTTTAGTTTTTGATATTTGAATAAAATTGGAAAAGGATACCGTGTTTTTATACAGATATATATTATAGATTGAGTCTTTTTTGATGTTTCTTAATAACTCAACATAAAGGAAATGATGGTCAATGATGACTTTAGAGATCGTTGGCAGTTACCATAATTATCCTTTGGCCTTGATTGTTTTTTACTACTTTAAGATGATGACCTCACTTTTTTTTATTGTAACGTTGATCATTAAAAAAAAAAAAAGAAAAGAGGGCAAAAAGGGAGGGAATTCATTTATTATATGGGGGAGTATGACATAGAAACAGTAATGGTGAAACAAAAAACAAACGTTACGCAATTCTTAGTTGTCCCCATGTTCCGATTGGTGTTCAACAAGAAGTTTAAATTGAACGACGATCACATTAGCATGGGGGGGGGGACTGACTGGTTGGATGATTGAAGATAGATTTAATGTTTGTTCCTTTTTTTTCATATAAATAATATTTTATATAATATAAAGAAGGATTTCCTTTTATATCATCGATAAAGTCAGAGGATAAACTTCAAACAAACGAGGATGATTGAATATATATATTTTTTTTTTAAAAAAAAAAGCGATGCTTCTCATTTGACAAGTTGATGTAAAAAGACAAGATGATTAGCTTTTTTTTTCCTTTTATTAATTGAAAGCATATGTCAAATAGTGCATGCTTGGCATTTTGAATGGGAAAGCAACAAAGAGAGAGATAAGGTAATGTTGATGATCATATTCATATATATATACGTGTGTGTATCCAAGATATTTTATTGTTATCATTGCTCAACTTTAGATCAGGTCACACTACCTCTACTTTTAGAATTGATTTACCCCACCCAAGTTTATCTATTAACCTTTGTTCTCAGCGAGCCATTATCTTTTTGTGGCAATCCTCCTTGTTATTTTTTTTTTTTTTTTGTTTTCACCTTCATCAGTATCAAATAAAATCAAGAAATATATAGTAAAAAATTATTCTGTTATTATTTTCATTACCATCATCATCGTCTCCTTTTTTTTTTAATGATAAACTCTATGTTTAGTTGAATCAAAGGAGCATAGTAACCAGTAGCGGACAATGAACATGTCGTCTCTTCCCCTTTGTTCTACCGATGATCATCGTCTTTCTCTCAGGGCAACCAGCATCAAGTGAACAGACATTTTTTATTTTATATATAAAAAATAGTCTATTGTAAAATGAATGGGACCAATAAAAATTTTCCCGATGAGAAAAAAAAATCAAGGTTTATTGGCTTTTGTGGAGAGATGGGGGGTGATCTTGAAACGTTGCTGCAATATGCGGTCTCTTTGTGTGTATATATGTTTGTGTGTATGTGTTTGTGTGTGTACCCCCGCAAAATAAAGAAACATCGTACAATGGAAACTTACCAATCTTAAAGGAGAAGAAGGAAATAATAATAATAAAAAAAAAAAAAGAAAACATTGTGGGGGTAGGGAGGATCCGTTACCATAAAAAGTATTCATTTTTATAATAATAATTGTTTGATATATAAATTTATATATAAAAAAGGCCTTATATGGTTACATGCGCGCGAGAACCTGTCGAATTTATCCATATATATAAATTTGTGTGTGTGTGCGTATATATATATATATATATATATATTCTAATATGTATAAACATACATGTGTGCTGTTTTATGATGTGGTGTTTTTTTTTGGGTGACCTTTTGTTATTATTGGCTGGAAATTCATTGGTAACACAACACGGTACCTTTATATATAATATATATGTTATACGTATATTTAAAGGAAGAAACTAGGGACACACTCAGGATCATCATCATCATCTTTCAGTTTTCATATTGAATATCATCACAAAGTAGTAACATAAAACAAAAAAAAAAAAAAAAAAAAAAAAAAAAAAAAAAAAAAAAAAAACTGGATTTTTTTTTCATTTTAGCTTGTTTCATCTTTTTTAGAATAGTGGACCCATTTGTGAAATACCTTTGTACAACGTTAAAAAGAAAAAGCAAGGCTGGGTTGAATGACAAAAAAGAAGATTCTAATCTTCCACCAATCCAAAGGCAAGGATCACAGATAATACAACCATGTTGATTTTACACTCCGTTGTAACTGATTAGTTGCTTGGGTACCATTGGTGAATAGTCAACATTTCGTAACATGGCGCTATTAAAGAATACCCAAAAAAAAAATATCTTATCTTCTACTTTATTTTTATTAATAATAATCATCATCTAAAGAACAATATTATAAACATGGATGATTTCTTTTTTTAATATGATATTAGAGATGATGGTACATATATATATATATAAATGAATGAATGAAGTGATTGATGTGATCGTCTGTGTTCATATAAATATATATATATATATATACGTGTCCGCGTGTGTGTGTGTGTGTGTGTGCGTGATCGTATTTGGTATGAACTGATAACATATATAAAATACAAAAAAGTTTATAATAAAAAGAGAGGCGGATACCGGGGGGAATAGGTTTAGTAGAATGAAAGGGGGTTGAAAAATTTGGGGGAGGGGTATGAACCTTCTTTGTTGTTGTGCAAAGAGCAAGAAAAAACGATATCTTTTTGGTTGAAAAGGTGCGGAAATTCAAATCATGAAAGTCTATATAACCTTGGCTTTACTTTTTTGGGATATTTACTTTTTTTTTTTTTCTTTTTTCTTTTTCTTTTCTTTTTTCTTTCTTTCTTTTTCTTCTTCTTTTTTTTTTTTTTGTTACAACAGAAGTACTTTTTATTTTGACTTGTATTTCTCTTTATTGTTTATTTGTTTGTCTCATTGTTTTATATATTGTATTCATTCTTCTTCTTGTTCATTCAATGGTGAAAACGGAAGACTACTCGACTGCCGAACACCTTTTTACAAAAGAACCCTTCTCTCACCTACTTCAACAGTCACTACCTTCTCCTTCTTCTTCTGATGGTCAATTATTCAGTACTTTTCCTTCACCTACTTCTTCAAATGATTCTTTAGATCATCAACATCAACAACAACCTTACTTTGGCAGCAATCCACATCAAGCTATACCTTACAATGTCCTTCAGGCCCTTTACTGTGGACAATCTCCTTCCAATGAATCAATGACTTCAAATTTGGATTTATCTTCTGCTCCTACTCTTTTGGAAAATTTTGATCAATTTGTTCAATTTGATGATGATGGGCATTCACTCTTTCATCATCCTCACAAACAACAACAACAGCATCACCATCAACAACAGCAACAACAGCAACAACAGCAACACCTTCATCAACACCTTCATCAACATCTTCATCAATACCAGCCTTATCAGCCACGTGAATCTACTGTCACTCCTTCAGCCATCAGCAAAAAGACAAACTTAGCAACAACATCAACCACATCCACCAGTCAACAACGGACTCGACAATTAGAGTGCTCAAATTGTCATGTCACCAGTACTCCACTTTGGCGTCGTACACCTGATCGGGCTCATTTTCTCTGTAATGCATGTGGTCTTTATTACAAACAATATGGAAATCATCGTCCTCTGCATGTACGACAGAAACAACAGCCACAAAAACAAAAGCCAACTTCTTCTTGTACTCCTCCTCCTTCTGCTGGCGGTGCTACATCTTCTCCTTCTTCTTCATTGGACATATCAGATTGTAAAGAAGAACAACAACAGCAAAAAAAACAATCTAATGCAAGTGATTATGGAAGTCTTATTATTGGTACTATGTCTTCTCCCACTATTTCTCATTCAAGTATGACTATTCCCACTGAACACTCCTTGAATCAATCAACACCATTATTCGTATCCACCTCAACAAAAGATGATCCAATTTACAAATGTATCAACTGCTCACAAACAAGGACTCCTCTATGGCGAAAGGATGGAAATGGTGAATCTGTATGTAACACTTGTGGTTGTTATCCCAAAATCGAAGAACAGGATCAGTCTACATATATGAAAAAATCAAGACCGCAAAAACGACGAAAAATCATGGAAAATGGACAACCTACATCACCATCAACAACGTCCCCTATATCTCCTTTATTATCTACCATGTCATCACAGCCATCATTAACAGCAATCCATCCTTTATCTCCGCCACAGCAACATGGACAACAATCAAAGGAATGGAATGAGTTTGACGACACTCGTTTCAAGAACTTACTTAGTCGAATGAATCAACAACAAATGTATGGGTTTCTAGGTATGCTTGAAAGGCGATGTGCTATTTTACGCTCCATTCTCTATGCTGATACTACTACGTCTCGATCATTTTCCCATCCTCCTCCTATGATGACTGGATCTATTGATACTGCGACTATTACTTCTGGTGCTATCTCTGCTGACATGAACCTCTCTCAACTATGAAGCCTTCAAGTTAGTTAGTTTTTTTTTTTTTATTAGTTTTTATTATATATATAGTTATTATATCCATTTTATAGTATATCTTTTATTTTATTTTTATTCTTCTTCTTTATACATACTTACGCTTAAAAGGTAATTGAATCCGTCGATCGGTTGTTATCCTTTCCTATTTACTCTCTCACACCCACACTTTTTTTTTTTTTTTGTCTTCTTCCCCCTTTGATCTCCTTTCCCCCTTTCTTGTATACATGTTTTTTTTCCTATTTTCCTTTTACTTTTTGTTATTACCCAACATGATCCCGTTTTACCTGTTTTATTGTTTTACCCTTTTCCTTTCATATCATAATGAAAGTCAATATATATATATTTATCTTCCAAAAAAAATGCTCAATAAAAAATCAACTTTATTTTATATATGTAATACAAACAATCTTTTTATTTTAGATGAATATGGAAAGTATAACGATCTTCATTTCTATATAGACTTTATCTTGTTTAGAGGTACAAACTCGATGCATGAAACCTTAAGTGATAAACAATAGAAACGCATATATATGAAACTGAAAATAGTCTAGACTTGTAAGAGGAGCCTAGTTGGGATGAAGATTCTACAAAGACTCCTTTTTTTTTTTTCTTTGTCTTCGATGAAATCATGTGGTTCTTCATTTAGCCCAATCACAATTAGAAAATTAAGGCCTTTGAATGATACATTTTTGGTTTTATTTGCATCATTCAATGAAAAAAAGAAAACAAAAGAAAAAGAAAGGAAGAGGATTACCTTTTTTTTTTTCCTTTGGTCATCATTCATCTCCATTGTTTCCATGGGCATCCCATAAAACCCACAATAAAAATAAAAAAAAGGACCATAAATTTGTTCAGTTGTTGCATTTTTTTTTTTTTATTATTATTATTACTATATGTCAATTTATAAAAACGTGAGATATCAAGACAATGGGATGAGAATGAAGTAAAAAAAAAAAGTGATAAATATAACATTTTGGAAGAAAAGAAAGAAATATGATAAAAAAAATATACGTCAAAATGGAAAGGATTTGTATATAAAAAGGATTCATTGGGGGGTTATTCTATAATCAAATAGTTATACATCCACCGTTTCTTATGTATTCAACATCTGGGCTGCATGGTTTGTCTATTAAAAAAAAAAAAAAGGAATGAATACAGTTTCTTTTTCAGATGATCAACTAATAAAAAAAAAAAAAAAGAGACATACCTGAATAGAAGAGAATCGACGCATTTCCTTGACATCAGTACTCATACGTTTGTTCATACCAAGTAAACGTTTTCCAAAGTTTTGAGGACGTTCCAAAGATTTCAAAGATCGAGTGCGATTGGCATAGTAACGAGCAGATGAAGTAGCAGAAATGGCAGAAGCACGACGAGAGTGACCACCAGCTAAGGGTACATGTTTTTCTTGTAAAGTATTGGTTGTTGGTTCAAAGAAGTGTCTCATACCAAACTTGATCAAGTCCATAGGAATAAACCAGATCACGTTCCATACCCACACACATGCAGCCCATGTCCAGCCACAGCCACGTACCTGTGTAAATTCCCAATCAGCATATACGGAAATAAAAGTCGCCAGAAGTTGAGCCACAACAAAGGCACACATCAACATCATCGAAGGGCGTTCAGTAAACCACATGCCACGAGATCGTGTCACGAAAATCAAAGCTTGAGAGATTGTCGATACTTGAAGGTACACAATGGAGTGGTACAAAGGTTCGTTGGGATCATCAAATCGTTCTACACCAAAGTGATTCTTGAAAAAATCAGTTTTGAAGGCCACAGCAAAGAACACCACTGTAGATAATGTGAGGTAGAGACCATATACTATAGCATAAGAGAAAATTTCCCGGAGATTCCACGTATCAGGATAAGGAGAAGGCTTGACACGATCAGTAGAAATGGTCATAATAGTTCCATCATTCAGAATGGCAATAATCAAGACAAGGAAAGGAGGGAAATCATGTTCAAAAGCCCAGCATAGAATGGAGAAGCCTACCACTACGCGAACGGTAACAGAGCAAGTATAAATCGAGTAGTTGCGCATACGTTGAAAAATCTGGCGTGATCCAATAATAGCTTCCACAATCACAGACAAACCAGGTTCCGTTAATACAATATCAGCAGCAGATCGTGCAGCATCGGAAGCATCAGCAACAGCGATACCAACATTAGCTTTGGAAAGAGCAGGAGCATCGTTGACACCATCACCCGTCATTGCAGTCATGTGGCCCATTGCTTGTAATCGTTCCACAATTTCGTACTTGTGTTCAGGATAAACACCAGCAAATCCATCGCATTGTAACACCATTTGATCGATATCAGCATAACCAGAACCTGGAGGAGGACCTTCCTTGAGTGTTTTGGATAAGAACATGTTGTCACCCATACCAAGGCGGCGACCCGTTTCCTTGCCAATAGCTAGTTGATCACCAGTAATCATCTTGACTTGAACACCCAAAGCAATAGATCTATCAATAGTTTCCTTGGTATCAGAACGAGGGGGGTCGTAAATAGGAAGTAAACCAATCAAACGAAAACCTTTTCCTTCACCATCCACTTGACCATTTGGGACTTCATCTACAGCTACAGCAAGAGCGCGCAATCCACGACGAGCAAATTCATCCACATCATCATTCAATGCCTTAATTTGTTCATCCGTTTTGTCTCTTGAGCAAAGGTCCAAAATAGTATGAGACATACCCTTGGTGACACGGCAAGTGATACCATCAGATTGGCGAAGATAAGTGATTTCAGTACGCTTAACCACAGGATTAAAAGGCTTGAATTCCAATTCTTCAATACCAGCACGGGCCATTGCAGGATCAGGCAAAGAATTCGTGATACAAAAGTCGATAGCATCTTGATTTTCCGTACGACAAGCAAAAGCAGATAATTGAATAATTTCATCACCATTGAATTCGGCATAGGTTTTGATGGTTGGTTTATCCACAATCAACTTATTCAAAGTAAGTGTACCAGTCTTGTCCGAACAAAGGATAGTAACAGCAGCCATTTCTTCAATAGCAGTAATACGGGTAACAATAGCTTTGTGTTCAGCAAGCTGTTTGGCACCAATGGCAAGTGTGACTGAAAGAACAGTAGGCATAGCAATAGGGATACCACCAATAAGTAATACCAAAACGTTGTCAATACCACGACGATAAGCATAATGGAAACCAGCATACATAACAATGATTTCAATCACCAAAAAGATTCCAATGGTAACAAGACAAAAGTTCCCAATTTTGGCCAAAATAGTTTGTAAATGACCTTCTTCTTCTCCTGCTTCACCGACCAACTTGGCAGCACGACCAAAGAAGGTATTTAATCCAGTACCAATGATAATAGCTTCAGCTTCTCCTTGTTTTACAGTAGATCCAGAAAAGATTTCATCACCTGATTCTTTTCCAACTGGTAAAGATTCACCGGTCAAAGCAGCTTGGTCAATAGAAACTTGTCCATGTGCCTAAAAAAAAAAAAAAAAAAAAAAGTCAGTTCTGGATTCATGTTACACATTTCCATTTATAACTCACAGCAATAAGACGACCATCTGCAGGAATCACATCACCCAATTTGATAGAAATAATATCACCAGGCACCAATTCAGCGGCTTCCATTGTTTTCCATTGACCATCACGTTTGACTTTGCATTCAGGAGCTAAAGATTCCATTAAAGCCTTGACAGCATTTCCAGCTTGACGTTCTTCCATAAAACCGATGGTAGCATTTGCCAATAATAAAAGGACAATACCAATAAAATCAGGATAATCAGGAGGTCGATTATCACCATTTGATAAAGCAATAGATACAAGAGCAGCAGCTTCCATTACCCAAGATAAAGGATTCCACATAAAACCCAAAAATTGCCAGAAAGGATTGATTGTTTTTTGTTCTAATCGGTTAGGTCCAAATTTTTCAATTCGTCGTAATGCTTCATCTGTTGTTAAACCATTGTTTGTAGTCCTAGAAAAAAAAAAAGAACAATCAATATATTAAGAAAAATAAATAAATAAATAAATAAAAAAGGAGATTATATTTATTACTGTAATAGTTCAAAGACATCACCAGGTTCCATAGTAGATAAATCAAATTTGTCCTTGTCATATAATTCCTCTACAGTAAGAGATTGAAGGTTTCCAACTTTTTCCGTCATTGTCCAAGAAGATCGAGATTGCAAGAAAAGAAGTGAATGAGGTCGAGAATAATGAAAGAAATAATAAAGGGGTCCGAGAACAAAAAAAAAAAAAGAAGAAGTTGTATAAAAGGGGAGTTGGGGGTGTATGAAGACAAATAAAATATAAGGGATACACACACACGTCTATTATATAACAAGAAGTGAACTAGCTATATAGAAATATATACAAAAAGGAAAGGAATAATAATAATAATAATTCTTTTCAGAAAGATTTCAATATGGATAAAGAAAAGGACAAAGGAAAGAAAGAAAGAAAAAAGAAAAAAAAAAAAAAAAGAAAGAAGAAAGAGATTGGAAAGTAAGGAGTGTGGTTTTTTATATATGAGACGGGATTTGAAATATTTCCAAATGGGGCTAAAAGCGAACTGCAAGCAAGAACTTCTATCGAATTATACTCTAAAAAAAGGAGGATAACTAGAGATAACGTTATTAAAAATAAAAATAAAATAAAAAAAGTTATTCTAATACACACATACACACTCCTTGTTTGATCCGTTAAATTGACCGATCAATCTTTCTTTTCATTCTATGATTCATCCCTTTTGAGAGTACGCCACCATCGTCAATGGATTTTTCAAGTTATTAACATGATTTCCTTTTGTCCTTTTTATTCAATTAACTAATAAATCATTAGTTTGACACTAATTGGAAAAAGAAATTTCTTTTCTTTTCTTTCTTTTTTTTTTCTTTTTTTACCTGGTTCATACCAAATAGACTAATCAAGTAAATAGAATTAGTATGACATCGTTCCACTACATTTTTTTATGCATCTTTTTTTTTTTGTAAACATGAACCATAATTGATTATTTTCCCGTTCTCCTCTTTTTTTTTTTATTATTTATTATTAACCAGATAAATAAATAATAAATATCTATCATCATAAGAAATCATCTGTCATTTAGTTAGTAATACTTGAACACAAGATCATATTTTCTAATGTTTATGATCATTACTATCGTCTTTCTAATATCATCTCAATACAAATTCATTTATATGTCATTCATATTTGAATTTATCATCTTCATTATTATTACAATTATTATTATTATTATTATATTTCAATGATAAAGATTCATTATCTTATATATATACTGACTTGATCGATTATCCGAACTCAGGGGATCAAATGGAAAAAAAAAAGAATACCTTGTTTAGAAAAAAAGTTGGGGGAAGAGACTATTTTTTTCATGGAAACACTAGAAGCATATTTCTCATTTGTAGGTTGTTGATTGCTGATCACAAGCACTTTTAAACCTGCATGAATGACGGACCTGTAATCACCAAACTTAGAGCATCAACCTATTTTTGATAGACGTAGGTTTATAAATAGCTAATTATTGGATATCATCCATTCACTAAAAGAATAGAAGAAGAAAAAAATTATATATATAAAAAGAAGAAAAAAAGAAAAAAGAAGTATGATGATCTATCTTTATCAATAGAAAGATAAATATAAAAAAAAAGAGGCATGTTCACCTACTATATTTGGTACAAACAGTACTAATCATATCTCTATAAACTATATTATTTTTTTTTTCTTCTTTCCATATGAATAATCAACAAAAAGACAATTCATCTTTAAGGGGGGGAGGAAGGGGAGAGGAGGATTTGTATAAATTATATTTTACCAGTCATCCTCCTATTTTCACCTATCTCCTGATAATCAAGCTTGAATATTTAAGCCATCCTTCAACATCCAATCATATCTATCCACTGATCCCTTTCTTATCCATGTTTTCCTTTCCTGCAAAGTCTGTGTTCAATAACATGTCATATAGATTATATATGTACCAAATCAAGTAACAATAACCTAAACATACATCCAACTCATTATATATTTGATTGTAATACCGATCCGAGTCATGCCCGATATCTCTAAAGAACAATAAGAAAAAACCAAAAACTAAATATATACATATGTATAAAAAAAAAAAAAAAAGGAATCTTCATTTGTTTTATTAGGTATATATAAATAATAAAAAGTGGTCAAAAATAACTAAGTCCCTACGATTTTCTTTTCTGGAAAATCATTGAATGCATTGTTCTATTTCCATCTTCTGTTGTATCTAATCTATCCACCAATATAGTCAAATCCATCCTTCGAGCAAAATCATTCAATTCACCTTTTCGTAGTCGTTTTTCCTTCTTAGGTTGTTGATAATCACCAATATCCACAAAATGAGAAATCATCAATATTCCTCCAGGTTTTACAAAGCATGGTAAGGTCCATAACACAGGCCGAATGAAAAATCGAAATGTCATCACTAGATCATATTGTTGTTGTTGTTGATGATGTTGTTCGCTTTCTATCCTTGTCGTCATCATTTTGGTTTTCTGATCTTTATGATATGAGTTGAAGTTTTCGTTCTTGTTGTTGGAAACAAAAGATGTCATCATTCCACCATCACCCTTCTTTTCATTATGTTGGTGTTGCTCCATAATATCCAAGTATTGCCAAGTACCATCTATTTGAACTTTGGCTCTAATGAACTGGACCCTGTCTTTGATCAAAGTTGTCATCGTTTCAAATCGTTCACGTGCCCCTGAAAGATAATCCACGCCTGTCGCACACCATTTGCGTTGATGTAGTAATAGCCAAGTTAGATCGCGACCTGATCCACATCCAATATCTAATACTTTTCGCCGTTCATCCATATTGTTGTTTTGTTGTAACGTAGTGACAATCAAATCCATATAATCCTTGAGTAATGGATGAGGACTAAACATAATCCATGATTGTTGTTGTTCATACTTTTCATTCACATAACCTGCTAGTCGAGCCTTGGGCCAGAAACAAAGTTCACTGTTGGGTCGAAATATAATACGTGGTTGCCAACCTCGGTCTAATAACCATTGTTCCCCAGTTTTATATTCAGTTGATAAAAATGAATTGTTTTGTACTATTGTTGTAGTCACCAAAGCAAACGGAATATGTTTTGGTGGTAATTCAGCCATTCTTTTATGAAGTTGTTCCAAAGGAATATGAGTAGAAGGTACAAGATGTTGTTGGTTGTATTCAAACGTACTTCGAAGATCAAGACATAAATGTTGAAAAGAGGAATTTTTCCATTGATTTAATCTTGATTTTAAACATATCATGTAAACATACAGAAAAAAAAAAAAAAAGGAAAGAGGAAAGAAGGATTGCAGGTTTGTTTTTTTTTGTTTTTTGTTTTTTTTTTTTTTCTTTTTTTGTTGTATTTTTTTTAATATCCGCTAATGCTGACGAATGGAATGGTTGCACCACCCTTTCGCGCGCTTTTGGTTTTTTTGAAAGCATCGTACCATTCAATTTTCGCGCGATCGGGAACTAGAGCTAAAAAAAAAAAAAACCTTTTTTCTTTTTAAAAGGGTCAATGATATTTTTTTTCCTTTTTTTTTTTTTTCCTTTCTTCCTTTTTTTTTTCAATAACAAAAAAAAAAAAAGAGAATGCCTATTCGACTTGGTTCACTAGCACCTGATTTTACTGCTCACTCTACTAAAGGCGATATCAAATTCCATGAATACCTTGGGGACAATTGGGGTATTCTTTTTTCTCACCCTGCCGATTTCAGTAAGTTGAATGAATGAACATGAGCTTCACATAATCTAATTTTCTTTTTTTTTTTTTTTTATGATAGCACCTGTATGTACCACTGAACTAGGTTTGGTAGCAGCCTTACACGACGAATTTGAAGCACGTAAAGTCAAGGTGATAGGTTTATCTGCTAATGGCCTTTCTGAACATGACCAATGGATCAAAGACATTAACGAAATCAATAATGTCAAACTTGACTTCCCAATCATTGCCGATGGTGACCGCAATGTTTCTACTTTATATGATATGTTAGATAATCAAGATCCTACCAATGTAGACAATGATGGTATTCCATATACTGTACGATCTGTGTTTGTGATCGATCCTACTAAAACTGTCCGTTTGATCATGACATATCCTGCCTCTACTGGTCGTAACTTTGATGAAATCTTAAGGGTCGTTGATTCTTTACAACTTGGCGATCAACACCGTATTACTACTCCTGGCAATTGGAAACGAGGTGATGATGTGATTGTCCATCCTGATCTTTCTACTGCTGAAGCTCAACGTGTATTCAAGGATGTCCGTGTTATCAAGCCCTATTTACGTTTAACCTCTTCCCCTTTTTAATCTCTCTTCCATTCTTTTATTCCCCTATTTAGTATGTATTATTTATTAGTGATCGTTTTATTTTTATTCTTTATCTTCCCCTCGTTACTCTAGTTTTTTTTTTTATATGAATTACGAATCCTTGTCTATCTAGTATGCCATTCATCAATATATTTGATACTTGTATATAACAGTAGTAGTAGTAGCAGTAGTAGTAGTAGTAATAACAGTCGTTTTATATATAGATTTGAATATATTTCAATAAAACATTATGTATATCGTAAAAGGATCACATCTTTTTTTTATTATTATTATTATTATTTTATCTTTTCCAAACATATGACTCATGATCAATTCCAAAGTAAACTGAGCTAAACTATATATAAATTGACTATTATCCAAAACTTCATTCAGTAGCAGGCTTGGGTTTTGGGCTAGTTGGTTCCTTGGCTTGTTTCTTGACAGGCACTTCGGATTTTCTTGAGTATAAATAGATAGCTACGAACAAAGAGACAATGATACCAGTGGAAATAATGAAGGAAGGTGATTGGAATCTATCGAATAATAAATAGAGAGAGCAAGGATCAATAAAAATGTTCATTTTAATCAATACCAACAACTTTTTTCTTTTTCTTTTTTCGCTTACTGGGCAAACCGATCCGTCGTCAAGGCATTGTCAGTAAGTTTTCCAGTGTTGTCAAAAACACGTCGATTGCCTGGTTTGACATCTAATAGTTCCACATCAAATACTAAAGTGGCGCCTCCGGGAATTGCACTACCAGCTCCACGATCGCCATAACCCAAATGAGGAGGAATAAACAATTTACGTTTTTCACCTACGCACATACTAGAAATACAGAAAAATTCTGATTAGTCTTTTTTTTTTATTTCCAAAAACATCAATGATCCTTTTTTCATTATAAGCAAACACACACACACACATGCATATATATATATAAGTAGTACTTACTTCTTCAATCCTTGATCCCAACCTTGAATTACTTGACCAACACCAAGGGTGAATTCAAAAGGTTGATTACGATCCAAACTACTATCAAATTTGGCCCCTGTTTCGTAAAGTGCACCAGTATAATGCATAGAGAGCTTGTCACTAAGAAGGGAAACAAAAACGTAGGAAGAGAAAAAAAAAATAAGAGTTTTGCTTACCAACTATTTGCTTTTTCACTTGGAAAAAAAATTTTTTTCTTATCATTACCCATCGTGAGACTTTTGTGTACATTGTTCTTCAGGAACGCGATGCTTCACACCTAAACCAAACAAGAAGAAAAAAAAGGAAGTTAGTCATTTTATCTAGTGGTACTTTTTTTTTATTATTATTATTCTTTCCAAAAGAAAAAAAAATAAAAAGCGCGTCTTCTTACCAATCTGTAAAGAGGTAATGGGACGTTTTGGAGCATCAGCACTAACCAATGCTAAAAAACCTGCCAATAAAAGAGGTACCACACGCATTATTTCAAATAACAAGGAAAAAGTGAAAGAACGAGAAAGAAAAGAAAAGAAAAAAGAAAAAGGCATTTTAAAGAGTCAAGCCATTCCCAGTGTGGAGACTTCCCATTGGTGGCGGCTGTTGAATCGTTTCCCTATGCCCATGTTTTGGGACCATTCCCACAGCATGAACGGTAGCAGCACAACTACCCTCTTTTATTTGAAATAGATATGCATAAAGGGATGATGATTGAAGTCTAATGCTTAACAGATAATAAATCATGATGGATGAAGTTTATTCGAGTGAAGTGCTACACTAGTTAGATTCAATTCTAGATTAAAGATTATTTAAGGTATTTTTTTTTAGAACTTGATGATCCATAAGGATGACGCCAATTGACATTATATGATGATAGAAGGAAATAGTAACCATTTTAAGGTATGATGCTTTTATTTTATTTTATTTTATTTTATTAATAGAATTTTGAAAGAATAACAAACTGTACAGAGAATTGAATAAATAAGAATAAAACTAAAAAGACAAGAGAGAGAATGTTTGGAATGATGATGATGTTTTTTTGACTTTGTACACTATCCAAAAGGGGGGGTAAAGAGAAAAGAGAGTAACCAAGGGCAATCTTCACTTCTTTGACATCATCATTATCAAGTAAACTAATAAAAATCAAAAACCAAGTGGATAAGAGGGAGAGGGGTAGAATATATGAATATATGATTGAAGTATTATGGGGAATACAAATGGAGAGAAAGAGAAATGAGAATATAGACAGAATCTGGAATCCAAAACTAAAGGTCATTGGTCGCAAATAACGGTAATCGTCCACCAGCTTGTTTTTCTCGAATCATTTGTAAAATATGACGCATTCCTTTTCGAGCCTAAAAGAAAAATAGTAAGAAAAATAATCATCAAAACAGTGAGTAGAAATAATCACATGATACTATATTATTATTGTTTATTACCTTGGATGCATTTGCTGCAAAACTTGATTGACCAAATCCTTCGATTCGACTAGTCATTCCCCAACCAAATTTAGAGATGATACGAGCTTCTGTTTTACAAGAAGTCCAGTCGCCATTGGACCCACCAGTTGTAAATGTTTGAGTTTCTTCAATTTGCATAATTCGTACATGATTCAAATTCTTGGTACGAGTTACCATAGTTTGTGTTTCAGGATTTACTTCAGATTCTTCAATCACAAAAGCTTCAGAACTTTTGAGGAACTATTAAAAAAAAAAGTAAAATAATTAGTATATTCGATCTAAGAATATATATTGTACTTACTGTTTGAGGAAACCATTTAGGAGCTTTGCCTTTTTTCAATACTAATCGTGTTGTTTTTAGTACTCCACGTTCGTCCACATATCGATCTAAAACATCAACTGCAAGTACTATATTAAAACGGACAGAGAATGAAATCCATGATTAGAAACAAAAAAAAAAAAGAATGAAATATATATATATTCTTATGAACTTACCATGAGAAGCAAAAGGATTTGGGTATCTAAGCCAAAAGGCCAGGGTGACACTTTGCCATGGATACCTATTTTATTTAGTATAATTAGTATCAAAAACATAAGATCTTTTTCCCAAATGACTTACTCGTAATTCGTACTGTGTTGATAAAATTTGACCATTGAATAATAAGTAAAATATAGGTTAATTGATATATTTTGGAGTTCCCAAGCGTCAAAAAATAATAAAAAAAAAAGTAAAAAGAAAAAAAAATAAAAAGAAAAAAAAAGAGTAGGTAAAAAAAAAAAAATATGACCTGACCGGGAATGGGAAAACAGAAAACCCCAGAAACTGATTTACAGTTGAAAGTTGTGGAGTGGAGAATGAAAAAAAAAACAACTTGAATCAAAAAGAAAAAAAAAGCCGTCCCAAACTTTTCATTTGTCATCCAAGGCATAATTTGAATCTCATTTGCTCTTTTTTTTTTATCATTCTCTTTCTTTTTCTTTTTATTTCTTTTTTTTTTTGGATATCTCTTCTTTATATATTTATTTTTTAAAAAAAAAAACTTGACGACCTTTTTATTATCATGGCCTTTACAAATTCAACAACTGGTAATGATATCAAGTTAAACTTGAACCAATCTACTTTAGACTTTCTTAATGCCGCCATAGCAAGTCATTCCAATACTCAACTACAACAAGTTCAAGAACAACTATTATTATCTTCTGGTATTCAGTTAGGAGATGATAAGAATTCTATATCACAACAACAACAACAACCACATGGTAAGAAAAAGTAGATAAGAAAAAAAATAAATAGGAACAGATTTTATTGTTCGGGAAAGCAAAAATCTTACCCTATTTTTTTTTTTCTCACGCAGGTATAAGCAAAAGATCTATTGATAGTACTGATGAGAGTAAGTATATATATATATATATATATATATAAAAGGAGGATGATCAGTGAAAAATAGGATAAGTCTAAAAGTAGTAGTTGCTTACGTTTCTTTTTTTTTTTTTATTTTCTTTTTTTTTTTATCCAATTAGATGATATACCTGAGGCGGCGACTCCTAAACGACCTGGACGAAAACCATTGGAAAAGACCTCCACTGTGGTAAGTTTTAGGAAACACAGCCTCATTATAATCCTATAGGATTATATGCTATTGTTTGATTTATGAAATTGACATTAATCTCACATGACTATTACTTTTTTTTTTTTTTAAACATTACAATTGTTATTATAGGATCAACCATTAGATCCAAAACAGAAAAGAAAGGCTCAAAATCGTGCTGCGCAACGTGCATTCCGTGAACGTAAAGAAAAACATGTATCAGAACTACAAGCAAGAATCAAAGAATTGGAAGAATTAACATCAAAAACGGATAAGGATTTGATTGAAGAAAATAATCAACTTAAAGAACAACTAAAGAAACTTCAAGAAGAAAATTATGCTCTGAAGGACGCCAAATTCACCTTTGAATTCCCTCTTTCTGATCAACAACAACAGCAACAAAACAACAACAAAACAAGAACAACAACCACATCATCACCAACATCCAATGTCCAAAATAATACAAATGATATCCAAGATGATGCTTCCGGGGGCTCCAGCAGCAGTGGTACAGAACAATCACCTCTATCATTGGCACAAGAAGATGACTCCGATACTCCGGCTACTAAGACACCGACCAGTTTCCAAGATGCGTCCAATGCCTTTTTACCTTTTGGATCTATTGCTGCATCACAAGACTTTGACTTTTTAGCGGTACCAGGCGGAAAGGATACATCGACTTCTCCATCTTATGATCTCAAAGAATTATTCCATGGCAAGAACGATATATTTACAGGTTATCGACAACCTTCCACATCTGACGAATTCGGTACTGATGACTTTTTATTGGATAACAGTGGACTTCCTGCCTTATTTGGAGGTGATGATTTATTTGGATTTACACAGCAACAAGCACAACATGCTCCCTTCTTATTGGATCAATTTTATATGCCTCATGATGTGGAACCCCGGCCTCATATTCGAAAGGAGACTTTGGAAGCCTCTTTACAACGTGCTAAACAAGAAGGTGTACGAGCTTATGAAGTCCAAGAACAACTCAAAAACTGTCCCGATTTCAATTTGGATGCTTTATGTGAAGATCTCAAGGCCAAGGCTTCTTGTTGTGAAAGCAAATATGTATTGACTGAACATGATGTAGAATCATACTTACAATGTTTCGACCAAAAGCTGTAGATTAGTATCCCCATTATTTTCCTTTACTTATTATCATTCCTCATCATCATTTTTATATAAATATATTTTCATCGACAACTAGTAGCATATCCCTCCTCTCTCTCTCTCTCTATTTTTTTTCTCTTTTTTTTTTTTTATGGCTTCACTATGATCTTTCATCCCCTACTCCATCATTCAGTAATATGTTTATATATATATATATAGTATAGTTTTTTTTTTTTTATCATTCAATGTTATTTTATATATGTATGCAATAATAATAATAATAAAAAAAAAAGGATGAAATTCAATACCAAAGATAAATTAAAACTATATGGATTCTTTAGCAAAGTACATGGCTTCCCATCTAATTAATGATGATCAAAGGATAAAACAAAGAATGAATTAGAGAACATGATCATATGTAATAATTTCTTTTTGATTACCTTGATGATGATTGGCGGTTGATGTGTATTTGGTCTTGAAATCTCGGCTAACTCTCTGCCAGCCTAGAAATAGATATAAAAAAAGAAAACTTTCAATTCCTTGCACTGTAACTGCATGATGATGATGATGATGATACTTACACTCCATGTACCAGCTTCCATTAATTGACTTAGAGAAAGAAGTCGACGATTAAGTTGTAAAGCGTCCCGTACATTATCAGCTATCAAGTCCAAATAAGCGATGGTCAGTGCACGCCATTCCACCACAACTGGATCCCCTATTTCAAACAAGGGAGCCACTTCGACTTTGGATTGACCAGGCAATAATGCATTTTTCCGATAATTTTCTACTCCTCGTTCATACTCTTCAGCTTTTAACGAAATCAATCCTGTATCCAACAGAAGACCGCCTTTTATTTAAAAAAAAAAAAAAAAAAAAAAAAAAAAAAAGATGTGAGCTTACTATTCTCTACTTTGGTCTCCTTTTATTTTTATTTTTATTATTTTTTTTTTTTGCGTTACCATGACAATAATCAGGAAGAGGTGTCAACATATCTTTTCCTTCAATGGTTGCACCCAATAAACGTTCCAAAGGTTCAATTAAAGAATAAACTAACCATTGAGTTAGTTTATGAAAAGGAACAAAATGATCAGTGGAATTGACAGTAGCAGTATGATTGACATCAAGGACAGAACATGGCCATACGTCACCCAAACCGTGTGATCCACCCTTATTATCTTGTGCAGCCCAAAATTCGCCCATTTCCAAAACAACAGGCCAGATGGTTTCTAAAGGAATAAGCGGACCTTTTTTGGTTTTGATCGTGGATGAATGTGACAAAAGGTAATCTAATGATTTTTTTTTTAAAAAAAAAAAAAAAAGAGTAGAATGAGTACTACTAGAGGATGACAGATGGCATATAATATTATGGATGATGACGATGATTAAAAAAAAAAAAAAAAAAAAAAAAAAAAAAAAAAAAAGGAGCATACCTATCATGTTACCCGGTCTTGCTACAGGAGACGTACCAAAGTAAGTATTTTGTGAATTTAAGACTTGACTCAGATGTTGGATCAATTCTAATCTTTCTTCCACACCAATCAATTGATTTTGATGATCCAATTGAAATCCTGCACGAAAAGTATCAAGGGATAAAGTAGTCAACGCCTCGGCTAAAATAAGGAACCAAAAAAAAAAAAGTGAGTAAGAAAGGACGATGATACTATTTGTTTGTTTTCTTTTTTTTTTTTTTTTGGTACCATCAACACGATGAGGATCAGTAGGATCACTTGAAAAGACACCAGCAGTAAACATATCCAAGACAGCAACAGCAACACCTTCAGTACCACCAAAAGTACGACCAGTCACCTGTTCAGAGTACGACCAAGATTTACTATGACATACAGCCTCGACATCTAGAAGGCAAGCAATGATAAAAAGGTCGATGATCCTTCTTGTTTGTTCGAGAGGCGTTTGACCTGCAGCAGCCCATGCATGGATGAGATTTTGAATCCTTGGACGACCACCTACATCAAAATGTCGCCATTGACCATATGTAGGCATTTCAGCTGGATTGGCATTATAATCTCGTTTGATCAAGGATACAACAAATTGAACGACATCATCCATTTTGCTCAGATCCACATCAAAATGATTGAGTTGATTCTTATTTGCAACTTGTTGAACTTTGAAACATCGTTCACGGACAGCTTGTAGACTAGTAAGATAATTTTCATTATCACAGTATAACATCATCGTTTTTTTTTCCCCCAAATGGTTGTTACAGATGATGATACGTAAGATAAATAAAAAAAAAAATAGAGAGAAAGAAAAAAAAAAGGGAGAGAGAAAAAGAAAGAAAGAAAGAAAAAAAAAAGATGAAGAAGAGAGTTTTTATCTATTGACTTTTTTTATTTATTTATTTATTTATTTATTTCCTCCTGAAGATAAGTAGATGAAGTTACCTCGGGTAGAAAGGATAAGTTCAAAAAAAAAAAAAGGGACAACAGATACTTTTTAAGTTTTTTTTTTTTTTTTTCTTTTGGCAACCCTCATGGTTAAGATTTACTCCACACGCAACACAAAAAGTATATAGCATGTTCATTAATTCATGTCGATCAGTTTACACAAAAAGGAAAGTCTCCTTAAGTCTCAAAAAAAATGATGATAAGCGGGCTCATTTAATAAGGAGACAATTATTAGAAAGAGCCTTTTCCCCTTTTTTTTTTTTTTCTTTGGACAGGTCATTGATTTCAACTCAACTCTATTTAAAATGAAAACTAGAGTAAACATCAAACCCCGGAAGAGATAACAATAGATTCCATCGTTATGATTCTTGTTCTTTTTACTCTCCTTCTTTAGATTCCTTCTTTAAGAACATTCAAGCAAAAAAAAAAAAAAAAAAAAGGATCCAGAGTCCGGGAAAAGATGAGTCTCATCAAAATAGCAAAGCGGTATTCGAAATAACTAGGTCAAATCTACTGATTGTTTTTTCTATCTCTTTTTTTTTTCCTTCCTCTCTTTGTTTCTATTCACTTTTTATATATAGTCGGTTACAATGAATGTAGAACAATACATTACTGACTATATGATGACAACTGGGTCTTCTTCTACAGAAGCTCTTCATGCTGCTGATCAAGTTGTTGAAGGTAAGAAGGAAAAAAAAAAAGAAGCTATTGTTGTCCGAAAGAGAAAATCTTTTAAACTTTTATATCTTCGAAACCTAGTTGTCAATCAGGGTGCCATCCAAGAAAACCTATTACAAATGATTCAAGCCATGGGTGAATACTTGACAAGTGACGATGATTTTGTTCGATCTAAAGGTAATATATATATAGTCTTTCCTAAAGTCTTCTTTCAAACGTGTATTTATATATATATATATATATATATAGCCATTGGACTTTTATCTCATACGCTTAGCTACATTGACAAATCAAACTTCAACGAGACAGCAGGTACAAGAGAAAACATTTTAAACGAAAGACGGGTATTCTAAATTCGTGTTTATTGTATAGTATCGGTACTTGTCAGTTTTTATTGTGATCGGCTGTCAGAACAAACATGTGTACCTACTATTCTAGAAGGACTCGTTGCTCTTACTGGATTCCCTCATTTCAATGGTGTCAATGCTGTCTTAGTAGCTAAACGGTAAGAAAATAACTACTTACCTTGTTATTGGTTATTAACTCATTCCTCCTTATATGTCATTTGTAGACTTATAGAATGTGTCGATATGCAACGCTATCCTCAAGTGACCAGAAATTCGGCTTATCATGTCATTCAAAATTTAGTGGATAAATATGCTAATGGTAAAAATGAAAAAAAAAAAAAAATGATAAGAGGCTAAAAGAAAACTTACCATTATTACTATTATGTTAGCTTTGAAATCAATCAATAATGAATTCGTTTTTGGGTATTGTCAACTTATGGATGGTGAAAAGGATCCTCGCAATTTGATGTCAGCATTTAAAATTACACGATCTATCATCGAACAATTCGACATTACATCACATGTGGAAGATCTATTTGAAATCACATTTTGTTACTTTCCTATTACCTTTAAACCTCCTCCTGATGATCCCTATGGTATTACTGCTGATGATTTGAAAGTTAGTCTAAGGTAAAAATGAAATATATATATATATATATATATATATATATATATAAATGACTTGGAAGCATATTCATTTTTTTTATTTATTTATTTATTTATGAACGACCATATAGAATGTGTTTGGCATCTACTCCATTATTTGCCAAGTTTGCGGTTCCTTTGATTTTGGAGAAGTTGACATCTACTTCTGGAAGTGCAAAAAAGGATTCAATGGAAACATTAGCTTTATGTGCACCTGTATATGGATCGACCGCTTTATTGCCCAATGTAGAAGAATTACTAGATTCCTTAAAAATAGAAGTATTCCATGCCTCTGATCAAACTCTTGAAGATGCTGCTGTCGATAGTATCCGATCTTTGGTGGGTGCCATTAGTTCTGGTGATAATTCTACTGATGTATCTGTGGAAGATCCTTTAGCAAAATCTTTGAAATCTCTCCTTGATGAATGTCTTGCCAATTTGAAAGACTCTGAGTCAAAGAATGTCAAACAAACAGGTCGAATTTTACGCGCAGTTGCGTCTGCTTCAGGTAATAACATACCATACAGTGGATTTATATAGAATATACTTGTGAACTAGTTCTTAATAATTTTTTTTCCCTTGTTTAGATCATGCCTTCCATGTCATTACTGATTCGGTGATGCCATTGTTGCTACACAGTTATAGGGAAACGGAGATAGCTACTCGAAAGAAAACCATCATGGAAATCTTTTTAGAATTATTGGAAGCAAGTCGAGTTGTCTATGGATCGGCTAATGATGATCATCAAAGTAAGAAATTAAAAAAAAAAAAAAAAGAAAAGAACTCGATATTTAATCATATCTTTTATTTTTATTATTTATTTTTTTATTAGTGGATCAGGATATCATTTCGCCTTTATTACCTTATAAAGACCGCTTCTTTGGTATGTTTGAATCTTCTCTTTTAGCCTCGAACGAATATAATGGTTTAAGATTATGTGGACTTCACGGTCTCAAACTTATGATTCTCCATGCCAATTATCTTACAGAAAATGAAGTAAGCAGGATTGAAAAGAAAAAAAAAATATTATTTCTCTATTAACCAATTTCTTTTTTTTTTTTTTAATCTAGGTCGGTGTGGCCATTCAATCGTTTAATAAGATCATATTAGAAGAAACCGATGATGAACTTCGAAGTGCAGCACTGAACTCACTTGAATCCATTTCTGTTGTTGATCCTTCATCTATTGCTGACCAGACCATTCCTGCCATTATTAATCGTTTACCTCAAAGTTCGTTGGAAAAACAAGTTATTGGTTTCCCTCAACTTTTATATGCACTGAAATCTCTTTGTCCTGAACCTACTGTCTTCAAATTTGGATTACCTCTATTGATGGAAAAGTTTGACATCATATGTGAAAGTGGTAGGTGAAAGAAAAAAACAAAGTGAATACGGATTGATATTTATTTTATTAATGATAGAAACGGATGCTCATTATGCACAAGCGATTATTTCCACTATCCTTGATATCATTCATATCAAAAGTACACAAGATCATGATGATATTATCCCATGTTTCGAATCGATTGTTTGGTCATTGATTACCAAAGTCGTCATTGCTTCTTTGGGTGCTAGTAAAACAAAAGTAATACTTCTCTCGGATATTCTGGAAACGATCTCTCTACTTTCTGCCATCATCTATCGAAAGCTGGACGCAAGGTAAGTTATCATCCTTCATTGAACTCCTTGTGTTGACCATCAACCTCCCTTTTCTTTCTATAGTCAGCAACAAGTCAACGTGGATAAATTATTCAAACTGTTTTTAGAAGGTGACATATCAGTGATAGGGTTATCTGCAATGGAATTTGCACCTCTCAAAGTAAAGAATGAAAGGAAAAGGGGAAAGAATAGGAGGGTGTTCTGTACAACACGGGATGATCTAAAATCTATTTATATGATATATTTTCATAGGCAAACAGTAGTGAAGCTCAACATGATACAGTTCAATTGTTTGGTGCAATTGTGGCGTCTAGTCGAAAAGAAGTAAGTTGATCGTGGTTTTTTTTTTCTCCTCTTCATTCCCCTTTGAACGACATGTTTTTTTAATGACTGTGTTGTGTGTCATCATTACGTAGGTCTCCTTACCAGTGAAATCGATTCAATCTTTCTTGGATGATCTTGTATCTTTGACTTTAAGCTCTGGTAACACTATCTTACAAAACTCCCTTGTCCGTATTATTGGATCAGTGATCAACAAATTAAAATCAGGTAAGTTTTATTGTACTTTAAAAAAAAAAAAAAAAAAAAAAGGAGAGAATAAGGATATGATTACTGATTTTTTTTTTATTATTATTCCATTAGATGAATCATTATCAAGCTATATTCAAAGCATCACGGCCAAACTTGAATATTGTGTGGATCAAAGAACATCTGAAAAACAAAATGCATTATTGATTTATATTTGGGTAAGATTCACAAGAAATAAAAAACAAGGATGACTAATACCAAAGTTTATGTGTTTATTATAGATCACCAAAGCATTGATTATGAAGACTCAAACATTGGGATATCAACTCACTGATAAACTTATTGAATGGTGTGGCATACCAATAAGTGAATTGAATACCCCTCAAAATTTTGATAGCTTATTAGGTGATGATCATCTTGCATTAAACAAATCTTGTTTTTCAACTATGACTGTAAGTGATGGATGATAATGATAAAGGCAACAGAAAAAGGAAAAAAAGTACTGAACACATTTATTATTTCTTTATTTAGATATTGTACAAACAACGCTTTTTTAGTTTTTGTCTCCCTAAATTGATTCATGGTTTCCGGTCTTTCGATGAAGGTATACAAAAGAGGGGACATATCTACATATATTAAGTTTATGAATTATTATTATTATTATTATTTTATGTAGATATCAAGTATAATTATCTGATAGCTTTATCTTATTTGTTAAAGAATGTTCCAAAACAAATTCTATTGAATGAACTTCCTCCTGTAAGTTAAAGATAATGAATGCTATTTGTCAATTGATTTTTTTTTTTTTTTTTTTTTTTTAGTTGGTACCATTATTGATCTTATCACTCTCCTTACCGGAGGCAACATTAAAAGTATCGACTTTAGAAACATTTAGTATGGCTATTACGGAAGCACCTGAAGTGATTGCCAGTAATGTCCAATCATTGATTCCTGCATTATTGAAATTATTGGAACCTGAAGCAAATAATTTGATGAATGTTCGAGTGGCGACTTTAAAATGTCTTGGACAATTCCCTTCAAGTTTATCTCGTGATGTAGTACTGCCACATACTTCCTATGTTATCAAACAATTGGGTAAAACTTTGGATGATAAAAAACGAATTGTACGACGAGAAGCTGTTGATTGTCGAGGAAAATGGTAAAAAAAAAAAAAAAGATAAAAAAAAAGAAAGGAAAAAAGAAAGTAATGATATGTTTTTATTTATTATATAGGTATACAATTACAAGTTAAAATAGTTAGATTTTTGATATATATTAGTTAAGTTTAATAATAAAAATATTACAATGACTTTTTGAGACTTGTCCAACCAGATCATTCTTATAGAGTTGGTCCCGCCAAAAAAGAAAAACCATTTTTTGGCTCAGGGCATTTTGATCTCTGTTTTTGGAAATATTATGTTTGATTTTCCGCTGTAAATTGGCTAGATGGTCTATCTAGAAACTAAGTCTCATCTGTCTCACCTCAGTCTCAAAAAAATTTGGCGGGCCGTTCCCAAAAAATCCGTATTTTGATGTTGTACAGGGCCAAAATGCAAAAATACTGATGCCAAATACTTCCGTATTTTGACCTCTCGTTCTCATCTGAATCTCCCTTCTGTATTGATTAGTATCATTTGGATAGGCGATGTTTCTTTCTCCACTTTCATATGTCTTCTTGATGATTTGAAAAATAAAAAATAAAAAGTAAAAGTCTTTCCTTTTCTTTCTCTTTTGTTTTTTTATTTTTTTTTTTATTTTTACTTCTTTACCTTCTTTCGATCTCTTTGATTTTTTTTTATTCCATATACATATATAAGTGATCATGGATGATCAACAAATCCAACAAGACAATGATGTCCACACATTGATGAAGTATCAAAATGAAGTGACATTGACAAGAAATCGGGCACAATATCCGATCAACACGATTATAAACCATTTACCAAAACAAAAGAAATGGCAGCTATGTCATCTCTCTTTTTTGATTTACAGTATGACGGATGATGGATGATGATGGATGATGATGGATGACGGATGATGGATGAAGGATGATGGATGATGGATGAAGGATGATGGATGATGATGGATGATGGATGATGGATGATGGATGATGGATGATGATGGATGATGGATGATGGATGATGGATGATGGATGATGGATGATGGATGATGGATGATGATGGATGATAGAGGATGTGTTTTTTCCACAACTTTATATAAGCAATTCGAAGATCAATTGCTAAAAGCACAAGAGAATGATGAACGAGCTTTCACTTCAAGTCAAAAATCCAGTTAGCTTTACCTGAGTTATCTTCACGATTGACCAGTGGGTTTGAATCAATTACTGCAACAATCAAAGCTATGAATCATGATCATCAGTCAAATTTCCTTCCTCTTTATATTTCTGTAGTTCCCTCGCAACCTACCATCATTGTATCAAATTTGGACTGAAGATGCGTGATGACATTCTCTTTCAGTTGTATTAATAGCAATATACACCTTGCCTCCCAATTTATAAGGTAAACCAAGAATGAAAAGTCAATTCAGTCATCCCTCATCCAATTAATAATGATTATCATCATCAAAAAAAAAAAGAGAGCCATGGAAGTGTATTGTTGTGTATCACAATACGTAATATAATTTTTATTTCAAAAAAAAAAAAAAAACCACATACTGACTAACTAAAACTATAACTACATGTATCTATTATAGTACCAACCAGAAGCATTCGTCCACCACCGAGATCCTAACAACAAGCTGCCCTTCCTAACCAAAAGAAGCTTGTCATCCAGTCAGTTTTTCGTTCAAATTACTAGTAAAATAAAACCAGGCAAAGTAATTCACATCCTATTATATATATTTTCTGTCATGACCTGTACTAAATCCTACATCCAAAATGAAAGGCTTTCCCCATGTATTTTATAAATCCCTTTTTCAAAACGCTCCAAATCCAATAAAATCTACCATGAAAAGATCGCGCAAACAAAGAGGACACCAATGTGGAAAAAAAAAAGAAAGAAAAAAATTAAAAAAAAAGCAAAACGCGCACAAAAGGATTTTTTTTGAAGCCCGTCCACTGACGACGATTTGACATTCTTTTTTTTTGCCTTGCCAAAGTCCAAAAGTCCATGTCTACTCAAGTGTAGCTCTTTCTAATTTTTATTCTCAAATAGAAGTATAAAGAAATCTCATTGTCTGTCTTACTTTAAATATCTATCTGATTACACTCCACCCATAGTGGATTACAAATGCCTATGACTTTCGACCCCATTTTTTTTTTCCATTACTCCAAACCTCAAGCTCTCTTCGCTATTGTCTGCATTGCTAAAAATTAGTCTAAACATGCATAATGACTTTTCCTTGCTTATCTTGCCCCGATACTGAGGAATTCGATGAGCAAATTTCTTTTATGCTGTAACATCACTTGGAGTGGACGTGCGCCTCTTTATACTTTTGCAATTCATTTAAAAGTCATCACCATTATACCAAACTTGGATAGACTATACCTGAACGCATTCTCTTCCTCCTGCCTTAATAAAACTTCGTATCTTACCTATATTACCTTCTAATTTATAGAGTAAATTAAAAAATAAAAGTCAATATCAACATCTCTCATCCGATAATGGCCATCATCCAATCAAATTACCGCCATTGGATTCCTCTCAAAAAAGTAGTCTAACATCATCTATATCTTTCTACCTAATGTTGAATGATCACCAAAACATTTCGTTGATTTTTCTAAAAATTACCTGATGACCCCCTGACAGTGGATTTTTACCGCCAAAATTTGGTTGAGGAATTGGAAAATTTTGGCTGTAAAATCCAAAGTTTTCAAAAAAAAAAAAAAAAAAAAAAAGAAAGAAAGAAAAGAAAAAAAAAGAAAGAAAGAAAAGAAAAAAAAGGAAGCTTTTTTACTGTATAACTTGGTTTTTTCTTTCCCTTACTTGGTTTTTTCTTTCCTGTATATATGGTACTTGGGTACACCATTGGACGTTCGCATCACTGTTACTGTATAGACGACAATCTTTCAAGTACTGTATAGATAAAGACAGCAAAATGAATAGAAATCCATCAATGTTTATTTCTTTTTCTTCTCTATAGTGTAATCAACGAAATTAATCCAAACAAAACAAAACGTTCATACAAATATTTGATTTCAAAGGTTGCAATGGAAGACAAGATAATTTTATTAATGTGTAAAATGAAGATAACTAATCAATATAAAAAAACAGTACGCTGATATATGGATGCATATGTAAATTAATATCGTAAAGATGATAATAATAACTATATAATAACTACCTATGCCGTGAGGGTGGCCAATTGGACGTGTACTAGAGAGGGTAAAAGACTTGGAAGTTTCATTGCATCAAACTGAAATGCATGCGTTCTAAGAAAAATCAAGGCTTTAGTACTGTTTCTTTCTTTTTCTTTTTTTTTTTTAAAAAAAAAAGAAAAACCAACTTACCGAGCCAATATCAATAAGCGTTTCAATTCACGAATAAAGCCTTGGACCATATTATTATGGACATTATTTGCAAAGTTGACAATAGACCGAGAACGGAGGTTGGCAGTCTTTCCGACTTTCTTAACACGGAGATTCCAAACACCACTGATAGGAGCAGAGGCATCTTTTTGAGAGGAAATATGGTAGGTGATCTTTGGAGTAGGAAGAACATGAGTCTTGGTCATGGCCATTTCGATCTTGATATTGACACCAAATTGTTGAAAGAGCATACGCTCTAAGAAAGGCTTTAGTGTTTTTTTTTATTTTTATTTTTATTAATTTTTTTTTTACCATGTTGCTCGACATCAAGGTAATACAGCAAACTATGACGACTGTCCTTTCGGGTGACCAGATCTTGAATTCGGTTGTAACTACTTTCGACAATGTTATAACTTGACAAGAATCTACCAAAGTGCAGTTCAGATAGGAATACTCCAGGGAAACAGCTACCATTAGTCAACATCTTGATCGATTTCACTTTACCCTGATGAAACTACAAGTCAAACAGATACGATGCCTTGCAACGTCGTAACAAGATCGACTTGCAGATCCAAGTTGCTTGAAGATACCATCAGAACGGTTTCCTTCTTGACGATTGGCCTATAAACAAGGATAAAAATGATGAATATAAGTCAACCAATAAAAAAAAGGATGATTAAAAAGATAATAATGTTGGGGGGTAGAATAATAAACATATGATAAAACGTACGTCATTTTTTTTACTTACTTCAGAGGATATACCACCATTATCATCACCGCGCTTGAGACCTTTCGAAAAAAAGATATTTGGACGACCATCAAAGATAGGGTTGATCTTGTTTAAAAAAACTTGAACTTTGGGATTATCTTTAAACCATTGCCACGTCTTTCTGAGAAGAGTAAAAAGATCATCATCAGGTAAGATTTGGATATTCATGTCTTGAACATTTTGAGATGGAAGACGAGTCACTTCAAAGGAATTACTTGGTATTGGTGTACTGACTTTACCAACATTGGGACACATATTAAATTGAATAATTGAATCACGATGTTTGATAATAATAATAATAAATAATAATAATAAGTAAAAACGAAGGAAAAAAAATGAATGAAAGAAAGAAAGAAAAAAAAAATTTTTATGTCTCTACCTGATCGGAGCCTGTTTGAAAAAAAAAATCCTGCAAATCAAATCAACCAATCATAGGAATCATAGAAGTTTATGTACTGCATGTACAATATTTCATCGTTAAAACCCCGTTAGCTCAATTTTTTTTTTTGACACTGGGTGCAAAACACTAGATGCGTCAAGTTATAATTTTGAATATTTCTTTCTTTCTTTTTCTTTTTATATTGACTTTATCAACTAGTAGTATTTTAGTATTGATACTTTTTATGTAATAAACCTTTTTATTTTTATTCCAACCAATTCGTTACCTGATTCCATCCTCTTCTGATATATCAATATACCGTTATTTTTTTCTTTTTCTCTTTTTTATTGGATGCATTGTTTTTACTTCACGATAGTAAAGGAATACTTTATACGACACTTGACAACAAAATGATACATTGTGACTTCTACGCAAAATTTTTTTTCTTATTTACGAAGCTTACGTGTCGTCCTCTTTTTCAACTCACTCTTTACGTTATTTTTCTTTTTTTATTGTACTCCATGGAATCTCTACAATTTGACTCATCTCATGTTTACTTTGGAATGACCAGAAAGGAAATTATTCTTTATAAAAAGCGGAAAAAGTTGCTGCTCTTGGTAAGTAGACTTCTCCATGGAAGCAGGGTCCAATAGATATATTTATTAATCATTTATTATATTTTTTTTAATATAGGTCTGCCCATCCACACTGGCTCGTCATGGACTACCTACCCGATTGACTGGACGCTGTCGTGATATTTTGAAGAGAGCAGAACGTCGAGGTGAACTTATCGTCTTAGATGTCAACGAATATAACACGAGCAAGGTCTGTTCAAGATGCGGTGAAAAAGCTTTTTTTTTTATCTGTCGGTGTTCTCAATTTCAAATGGAAAAAACTCTATCATGAGTCGCAATTTCTGAACTAAAATAGTGTATCTGTTGTCTTTTTTTTTTGAATAAAAAATATATCTTTATTAATATAAATTCATGCACGTTTTCAATAACGGATGGTCTTGTTGCCATTTGTAAATTATATGTTAATTGATTATAGGTAAAAGGTGGATTACCAATCTAACAACGATCATTGAATGGTGATGATGGATGATTTATTGTAATTTAGAGTTGATAAAATACAATAGCCAACTAAGCATTATTGATGCATCAGTGCAGTATTTCATCGTTAAAACCCCGTTGGCTCAATTTTTTTTTTTTTTTTTTGACACTGGGTGCAAAACACTAGGTGCGTCAAGTTATAAACTTGAATATTTCTTTCTTTCTTTTTCTTTTTATATTGACTTTATCAACTAGCAGCATTTTAGTATTGATACTTTTTATTTAATAAACCTTTTTATTTTTTATTCCAACCAATTCGTTACCGGTCAATGTATTTGATTCCATCCTCTTCTGATATATCAATATACCGTTATTTTTTTTTTTTTTTTTTGGATGCATTGTTTTTACTTTACGATAGTAAAGGAATACGTTCATACGACACTTGACAACAAAATGATACATTGTGACTTCTACGCAAATTTTTTTCTCTTATTTACGAAGCTTACGTGTCGTCCTCTTTTTCAACTCACTCTTTACGTTATTTTTCTTTTTTTATTATACTCCATGGAATCTCTACAATTTGACTCATCCCATGTTTACTTTGGAATGGCCAGAAAGGAAATTATTCTTTATAAAAAGCGGAAGAAAGCTGCTGCTCTTGGTAAGTAGACTTCTCCATGGAAGCAGGGGTTCAATAGATATATTTATTAATCATTTTTTTTAATATAGGTCTGCCCATCCAACAACAACAACAACAACAGTATTATCATCCAGAAGAGTATCACAAAATCCTAGTTATTGCTTTCGGAGCTGCACAATTTTCCAACACAATGCATGGACTACCTACTGGGTTGGCTGAACTTTGTCGTGATATTTTGAAGAGAGCAGAACGCCGAGGTGAACTTATCGTCTTAGACATAAATGAATATAATACAAGCCAGGTATGTTAAAGATGTGGTGAAAAAGCCTTTTTTTATCTTATTTCGATTCCCCACCATTTTATTTTACTTTTTACTTGTTTTCTTTACTTTTTTCCTTTATTCATTCCTCTTTTGATCGTACTGAAATTAATCATATCTTTTTTTATCTGCCCATATTCCCAATTTGATTTATATTTATCACAAATTCAAGTGGAAAAAAACTGTAGATTTGACTGTTGAAGAACGTAATCTATCATCTGTGGCTTACAAGAATATGATTGGTGCTCGTCGTGCTTCCTGGAGAATTGTATCTTCTATTGAACAAAAAGAAGAAAGCAAGAATCATAAAGAAAATATCGCTCAAATCAAGGAATATCGAAAGAAGATTGAATCTGAATTATATGGTGTCTGTCATAATATTTTGGACTTGTTATCTGTCCATTTGATCCCTGCTGCCCAAGAAGATGAAGCCAAAGTATTTTATTTTAAAATGTAAGTAGGTTATGGAATAGAAAAAAAAAAAAGCTTTACTAATTTGATTTTTCATATTTATAGGAAAGGTGATTACTATCGGTATGTTGCTGAATATGCCACTGGTGAAGATCGTGAGAAAGCTGCTACTTCTGCTAATGACGCTTATAAGGAGGCTACTAGGATTGCAGAAAGTGCCCTTGCCCCTACTCATCCTATTCGTCTTGGTCTTGCCTTGAACTTCTCGGTGTTTTATTATGAAATCTTAAATTCTCCTAGTCGTGCTTGTCAACTCGCCAAGCAAGCCTTTGATGACGCTATTGCTGAATTGGATACTCTTAGTGAAGAATCTTACAAGGACTCTACTTTGATCATGCAATTATTACGGGATAACTTGACTCTTTGGACTTCTGATCTTCAAGAAGGTAAGTGAACAATAAAATAAGGAATGGATGGATGTGATATATACGGTTTACTGGGGATATTTTTTTTTATGATCTAATTTGTTTTATATTTTATAGAAAGCGACAAGACCGACGAGTCAAGATCTGAAGAAGAATCCCAAGAATAGCCTTTCTCCCTCTCTTATCTCCATTTATCATCACTTATCTTTATTTTATTCATTCTTCCCGTTTATATCTTGCCCTCCCTCTTGATATCATAATAAAAATATATGTTTTTTTTTTAAAAAAAAAAAATGACAACAGATATTTTAGTTTGGAAATTGCGACTTATGATACAGTTGTTTCTACTTGAATTTGTGATAAAATATAAATCAAACATCGGAAAACTTTACTATGACGGCTAGGGGACTCCTATACAATTTCTAGGCTAGATATGCATTCTAAGACCTCTAGGACCCCCCCTAAATAGATAGGATAGAAATAATAAAAATATTTTGACTTCAATAAATCTATGACAAAAATATACTAAATCTAGGTAGGACACTGTTACGGTTGAAATATAGTTATGGTCGGTCTCCAGAACAAGGAATTTCATTTGATCAGTACAAATATTCTATTGAAATCATGATTTTATTTCATCACTACAAATATTCTATACTACATAACTATACTACATAACTATAATAATAAGTAACTACACTATAATCGATAATATCCATGAACTATGACCAGAATCACAACTAATGCCATTACCAGGATAACGATCATGACTTGCACTTTGGGTAGGATTATTTTATTTGATACAGACACTTCAATTGGATAACAGAGCCATTCCAACGTAGAAGGCATCCGATCTTGGTTTTGTTGAATGGTTTGCAATCTACAGATGAAATTAACAAAGTGCATAGTAATCTATCAATGCTCTCTTTTCTTTTTCTTTCTTTCTTTTTTTTTCTTTTTCTATATAAATGTTACCTTGGCTATATCATTGAATGTTTGCATCATCATTATTGTATAGACGATAATCTAGCAAGCTACAAATAAAATCAATAAAATGAGTAGTAATCCATCAATGTTTATTTCTTTTTCTTTTTTCTATGTACAAGTTACCTTGGCTGCACCATCGAATGTTTTGTACCACCAGTAAACCCAATGTCATCATAACAGTTGGCTCGGAGAGAAATAAAGACTTGCCAAATGCAGATATCAGACAATTTCAGATCATCAAGAAAGATCGTTGTATCGTCTTACGTATAGCGCTCCACTATCAGTCATTGATATGATCCTCAATAATCTTTCCAAACCAAATACCGCAAATGTCAGGACTTAACAAGGACTCCAGGAAGAAACAACACGATCAACAGACAATAACTGAATTTCCTACGTGTTGCATTTTGCCCTCCACCTACTTGAGCACAAAATTCAGTCACTAGATTCATAAACGATTCTAGAGACTGATCACCCTCGACCAAGTCCATTGCCCGTAAACAAACAAAGATCAATACACCATGATCTTCGTCTGACCAAAAGCTAAGTATAAAGTAATGATGACCATCCGACATTTGACTGTATAGACCACTATTCTGATAACTAACAGATAAAAAAAAATAAACACAGTGAGTAGTAATCCATCGATGTTATTCATTTTTTTTCTTCTTTTTACATATACATATTACCTTGTATCACGCGCCAGTGTCAATGTATCAATAACAATACAATAAAAAGAAGGATCTAAGAAAAAAGAAAGAAGCAGGTGATTGTATGTAATATCGATTGATCCTTTTTTTTTTGTACAACTTACTAGTTCGGCTCTACAGACGACAATCTTAATATCTGCAGATACAAAAAACAACAAAGAAAAAGAGTCCAACCAAATAGCGAAGAGATATTGAAGAGAACATCATCACAATGAGCGACAGATGGGAGGGAGAGAGAGAGAGAGTCCAAACAAGTAGAAAAGAAATTTTGAAATATCATAAGGAAGACTAACCAAGCAGTAAAAAGGACCTTCAAAAATACATGTGCATGACTCAATTGCATTGGCTGTGCAATGGAATCCGAAGAAAGAGAGAGTCCAACCAAGAAGAGGTCTTGAAATTGTAGATACCAGAAGAGTCATGACTTAACTATAGTAAGTAATTACATTTTATACTGTTTTTTTTATTTATTATTATTTTATTTTATTTATTTTTTTAAATTGACAATAATAAAATAAGAATCCATTGCTTGTCATTGTATTTAATATATGTTACCTATCATGAGCCAATATGGAGACACGAACAAAATGCGGAGGAGTAACGAAATAAATAAAAATGCAACGAAAAGTCCGACTAAGTAAAAGCAATGTGCCAAAGTAATATATAATAGAGAGAAAGAATATGTTGTAATGTACTAATGAGAATAAAGTATTTACAAAGAAGTAAGGTTAGTTTTTAATATTAAAGAAAAAGTGATAAAAAATATATGAAAAAGAGAACGACTTCATAATATATTTCTTTTTTTCATATCATTTAATTTATTTAAGGAACACAGGTACACAAACAGTTGTTTGCAAGGAAATGATAGATAACATTAAAAAAAAAGTAATGATTGTAAATAGTGACAATGAATATAATTTTATTAAACAAAAAGAATGTAAATGTGTATAATTGATATACTAAGTATGATATTAAAAAGAATCACTAACGCTTTAATCCAGAATAAGGTAAAAAGACCAAGAAGATATCTCTAATTGATTGTAAATCGAATCCAATTGAATCCTATAATACATCCTGTTCATCCATTTTGTTGATCCTTTTGTATGTCCATCCATTTCGCTGATCCAAACGAATAGCCACTTCTCGTAGTATCCTATTGACATGACACTATAATGATCAATCTTCGTGTATCTAAATTTCTTTCTTTCTTTCAGACGTATATTCAGTAATAATCATTACCCAGGATGCCAAGTAAGAAGGATGAGAAGAAGAAAGAACGATAATCCTAGATGGACAGATGTTGTAGTAAAAAACATCAAGGTCGAAAGAACGTGTATAAAAGAAAAAAGAAGAGAAGTGAAGTTAGAAATAAGAAGAGGAAAAGAACTTGTTTTTGAAACTTACAACTAATAAGAGTGAATGTCTGTAGAAGCACATAGAGAAAAGGATATAGCAAAGAGGTTGGAATGATTTATGTATAAAAAGAAGAAAAGGTTAGAAAAAAAAACAGTATCATTATCTTTTTTTTTTGTTTGTCTTACTTCAATCGTCATATTTGTCTCTAGAATATAGATTCAAATAATAATAAAAGAGAGAGATCAATATCATATAACGTTGGTGGCATAATGAAATGGATTTACCTTATTAAACATAAGTAATACAGCATATAAGAGGTTAAAGGTACTTGTGTTCATTTGTTTTAACTAAAAGGCATAAACACACACAGCAAACAAGAATGATTCAGTCAGTTCATGAATACAATGAATATATGTATAAACAATCGTTTATTATTATTGTTTCCATACCTTACTTTGATTTGTCTTAAAAGGTCAACGTATAACAAAAAGAAGAAGAAAAAAGAACAATAATGTGATAAAAATAAAAATAAGAAGAAGAAGAAGAAGAGTAAAAATAAACAAACGTCCTTTTTTATTTGGCAATGCATAATTTTCGCTCAGTGAGCCTGTGGGCAAAATATGCTCCTTCCAAATTAGGACTGGAATATCCAATTTCTATTCAACTCTACATAGAAACCCTAAATTCTACCTAGAAAACCTAATTTTTATTCAACTCTATATAGAAGTCCTAAATTCTACCTATTTGACCTAATAATTATGTTTATTACAAAAAAAAAGGTAAATCTACCTATTACAGTATATGCTTTCTAGCCTAGATAGGAGAAAAGCGATATGTGATGGAACAATTTATTTCACTTTACTATGCGCGATGTTTAGGATCGCATTTATAGAGTAAATTAAAAAAAAGATGAGTATCAGTAATGCTATGCTTTCTCTCTATCATCCTAATTAGCATGAATATTTTCCACGAATGATGTAGGATATGTTTTCCGTATTGAAACATAAAGAGTTTTTTTATTTTTCAAAGAAGAAGAAAATGAATTTAATTTTTTTAAAAAAAAAAAGAATGGTACAATTGATTTTTCATGTACCATCATTGTCTAAAGCTATAAGGTATAAATACAAGGTGTATGGATGGGGGGGAGTATAAATACTAGAATAAAGAATATGACTAACTAATCAAGAAGATCAATGGAAGCTATAAGAAACAAAAATAGAATAAGTAAACCTGATATTATACTCTTTTTTTTTTTTTTTTTTTTTTTTTTTTTTTTTTTTTTTTTTTTTTTTTTTTTTTTTTTTATCAACACCTACATTGTAACACCAAACAAGCCAACATGATACCAAGCATTCCTAAACCATTAAAATTAGAGAAAGAAGCAGCTGACAAACCGAAAAAGACAATAGCATTCAGGAATCTTGAACCACAAATAAGTCGCGACCATTTTGCTCTAACAGGCGTGTTCACTAGCTTGATCAATGCATTGATACATAAGATAAGTCCACCTGTAATCCAAAACGCCTTGTAAACATAATCTAAACCATCGCTGTTTCCGCCGAGTTCTTCGCATGCACTAAGTAAATCAGAAGATGTACTTTCACTAGTTACAGCTTCAGTCGATGCCATCATCAAGGATCTAGTCAAGGATTCTACCAAAGTGAATGCTGCATGTTGAGTTGGTGCTTGTGTTGTTGAATGTTCTAATTGTTGACATTGTTCATGGAAAGCCAGGGCTGCATTTTCAGGAATATCGAGTTTCAATCTATATGCCGTGATGATATCCGTCATAGCAATACCATAGGCCACTTGACACAAATGGAGCGGGAAATGCAGGTACATCCAGATTTGACTAACTTGAACTTCACTGAGAATCTATATCCAATAAATAAATAATAATAATAATTTAGAATTGCTTCCATTCATCTCTTTTTTACTTGTATTACCTCTTTGGAGAAATCATCAAAATACATAAAGAAGAATAAGAAAATAATCACCAAACCAAACATATTGGCCACCCTAAAAGGAAAGTATGAATGTGAATAAATAATGATGATAATAATAAGAAACGTATTATACTTACACAACTCTAACTTCAGCATGAGATTCAGAAACCATCTTGATAAAACCAATACAGTTTTCACCTAAATAACAAAAAAAAAAAAAAAAAAAAAAAAGAGGATGAGATGATTTTGGTAATAAAGACATTCTCTTTTTTTTTTATTACCAAGAATAATAATAGTAAAGAGACCAAATCGTTCAGCCAAATGACTTGCAGCCAATGAGACTTGTTTGAAGCGTTGTAAAGACATATTGACCAATACTTCGATAACAATACTAACATACCAAAGAGCAAGACGAATCGTTTTATGTTTTGCTTCATCATCAGCTGAAGAACCAGATTCCAGAAACAAAAGGGAGACACCCCAAAGAATAATAGCTAGAGCATTGACAGCAACATAGATGGAAAGTGGACGACGCGCAAAAGATCCAGAGAGTGTAGCAGCCCATAGAACGACTCTATATTGAATCAACAAGACAGCCTTCATAACTATGTTACAATAATAAGTTTTAAACAAAAGGTAGACTTGTCAGTATTTACATTTAAATAAATATATGAATTGTATCATTACCCATATAACCAATAATAAAACCTTTGGCAGAAGAAGTTTCATAACCATCAGAAGCACCAGCCATACCAATTAAACCACAAAGATCAATGATCTTGTAAATATGATGCATAACATCTAGATCAATAAAGAAAAAAAAAATAGAATATATTTAGCATATATGATACATAAGTTTTATTGTCCACTTACCGCCATTATCATAACGAGCAGAATATCTATTTAGATGACCAGAGAAAAAGATAAGTATTGATCATCCTTGATATTACCCATAAATATAATTATCAAGTTGTTAACTTACAAAGCACTAGAACACCAAGTCCACCACATGACTACAAACCAACCTACATAGATTGACAGAGACGAAGAATCCACCATATGATGAGCATGAGTAAAAGAACTATAAGAAGAAAATCAACCTATAAGTATTTATTGATATTCTTTTCATAATCATTCTTTACCTTAACCAACCCACATAGAACACATCACTGAATAATTCAACCCAAGTAGCCGAAGTTCCTTGTCCAATTTCATCCGATAAATCTGGATCAGGAAGTCTGTAGGAAAAGAAAAGAAAAAAAAAAGAGATCAGAAAATCCACCTATCAAACTAATATTTTTTCTCACTTACGCAAAAATGGGACGTCGAGTACTTTCTGGTAGAGTTTCTACTTCTTCTTGAATGACCTTAAGTTCTAAAAAGACATTTGAATTAAGTTCAATGGCACCTTCTGGCAAGACTATAGCTGGTCCACTATCCACAGTTTTTTCCGATTCCATTGTATTTTGTCTCAACTTGATATCTATAAAAAGAAAAATATATTAAAAAAATTGAAAGTAAGTTTTTTTATTGTTAACTTACGAGCACGCTCTTCAAGTTCTTGCTTCTTTTCTTCAATTTCAGCCTTTAATTCTTCTTTTTTTTGATGCAAATTGACAGTTTTGTGAATCTTGAGAGAATAGTCGCGTTTGGTGCTATGGAAGAATTCTACCAATTCATCAGTATCGTTCACTTTGTATAATCGTAAAATTTCATCGGCAGTCAGTGAGAGCTATTAAAAAAAAAAAAAATGAAAAGATAAAAAGAAAAAAAAAACACGTTACATTTTTTTTTCTCTATCATGTGTACGGAGATCCAATTGCGATTGCTCTTTTTGTCCATTTTACCAGATCCATTAATTGGTCAATGATTGGCTTTGTTGAAAAATGGTTTTCCATTCCTGTAGTACGGTTTGTCGATGATGTTGAATGGCATAATCCGCTCGTTGACCGATAAACATGATAGCCCTATTCGCCGTAGTAGTATCCAAGAATGAGTCACGAGGTGAGGTGACTGCCGATAAAAGATCATTATTGTTGTCATCATCAAATGTATATCCAAACTGTTTTGTTATCGAAGAAAGTAATTGATGGATATGCCAGGAATTCTTGTTTTTCCACCATTGTTGATAATGAGCATCATAATCGATATCACCATCTTGTTGTAATCCATCCCCATTGATATAAGATGATGAAGAATGAAGAAAAGGATGAGTATCATGCGGAGAATACTGTAATTTTCGAGCCTGTTGTTGTTTCACCCACTCCCATTCCTCGTACGCACGTTTCACTTGATCATTGCTACAGAGTCATAATATGTGGTTGCATCCAATAGTTTTTCGATCGATTGTTGATAAAGTTGCCTTAGTGATATAGAGAAATATAATCGAAGTTCCTGATACATTTGTTGCGCCAAATAATTTGGTTGTTGTTGGTGATAATGGTAGTGATGGTATTGATGTTCGCGTCCTTGTTGTTTTTGTTGAAGTGATTGAATTTTTTTAGAAGCCGTGATCATGGTTTTATAATATTCTTGGAGAATCATCTTTTCCAGTCGATTCAATTGATTCATCATATCCTTTTGTAGACGATCCAGCAAATACTGATATTGAGCATTATTATATTGTTCCAAAGGTTGGGATATCAGATCATTTTTCTTGTTGTCATAGTTATCATTGTTGTTATCTGTGAAGTCATCTTCGTAACCATAGTTGCATTTTGTCTCTTGTTGTTTCATAGGTAAAAGCCGAATAACCGAGTATGATGGGCGAGAATGTGATAAGCGCTGGGAAGCAAATGGGTTGACCGTTTGAGATGAAGAAGTAGAAGAAGAAGAAGAGGAGGAGAAAAGAGATGATTCCAAAGAAGTACCAAAAGGAGAGATTGAGAAAGGAAAAATCACATGCGGACAGGATAAAGCATTATTGTTATTATTTTTATTGTTGTTGTTGTTATGGGATGAAAGGGAAAGAGCACCATCTAAAAATTGATACGCCGTTTGCATATGATCCAACCATAGTGAATGAGAATGACTAATTGCTTGAGTAGTCATTGTTGATGCTTTTGTTGCCCATTGAATGAAACGTTGTTGGAATCGAAGTGTGTGTGATCGTTCTTCATAGGTCATTTCTTCGAATAATGCATCCACCCTTTGTTTCAAACCATTTTCGTCCAATAGTCGTTGCTGATCCATGCATAAAGTTGTACCTAATACATCGTGATAACATCCATTATTATCCGGTACATTGCCTTCCAAGTTGATAACGTCGTTGTTTGAACCATCATAACCTTGTTGCCAAGAGAGATAACCAGAGAAATAATGTTTCCAGAGTACCACTAATCGTAATTTGGCAAGATGCCATTCCAAAGCAGGAGCCTGTCGCCAATCTTGTAATATCCATTGTACTCGTTGTACTGTATCATAGAATCGATAGCCAAGTTCCCGCACAGACCAGTTGTGCATTGAGATAAGGTAACGTACAAGATCATCATGAGCCGAATGGTAAATTTGTCGTAGCCAAAGTTGCCATGGTCGATTGAGAAAAGAACAAGTTGCCACTCCTCGGTCTCCTCCGATTCTTTTGCAAAAATTATAAGAGGTAGTACTGGTGACTGAAACAACAGAATAATCTAGTGCAGTAGGTCGCGTTTTATTGTTGGTATCATGTAGAGTTGCTACATATAAAGGAACATGAATCTGATCAAGTCGTTCTGATATATCTTGATTGTGAATGTTGTGATCGAGTTGAGAAGGTAGTGATATATTGTCTGAGCAGATAACAGTTCCGATAAAAAGAAAAAATAGAAATACCCGAACAAGTAGTATGTACAAATTGGACATGACATATTGTAATAAAAAAAAAAAAAGAAAAGGAAAGGAGTAGGTAACGAGATATGTAGAAAAGAGTGGTATATACAAAAAAAAAAAAAAAAAAAAAAAAAAAAAAAAAAAAAAAAAACTTGCCCAGCCAGACCCAAATTGGTATTTTTAACAAAAACTTTTTTTTTAAAAAAAAAATGAAAGGAAGAAAATTGCCCATATAGATCTATAATTATTTTTTTTTGTTCTTATTATGATGATAGGCTTTGGAACGCAGGATAAAACAGGTTAATCATCATTGACTATTATATATCGAATAATAATAAAAATAAAAAAAAGGAGCAATCTATTCATCAAAAAAGAAAAAAAAAGTGTGATTCATATATTCATTTTACCTCTTCGATTTCCTGTTGATTTTTTTTTTCTATCTCTACTTTTTTTTTTATTTCTTCCAACTTCTCCACTAAAACACAACATGGAAAATCTACTTGAATCTCAACGACTGTAAGGAAATAGGAGGAGAGGAAGAACAAACAAAAGCTAGAAAAATAATTACTTATCCATTAACTTTTCTTTTTTCCTTTTTTCGTATTTATTCTTTTTTTTTTCATTAAATATCACTTTATTTCAAACAAAAAAAATATAGATTGTACAATGATGATAAAAAAAATAAGATAAAATAATAATAATAATAAAAAAGAATAAGATAAAAAAAAGAAATTAAAGTTCATATGACAGGAGGACGGAAGATATGAGGGCGACCAGCACCAAGAATGGACGACATAGTGATGCCATGGATGTTTCTGCTAGCGTTGACATCGCGCTGCCACAGTGTACTACAAGATTGACACTTGAGCACACTGCGAAGCTGGATGCCAACGCTAGCAGAAACATTTTCCAAAGCTTTTTTACCGCATCTTGAACACACCTGACTCGTATTGTATTCGTTGACATCTAAGACGATAAGTTCACCTCGGCGTTCTGCACTCTTCAAAATATCACGACAGCGTCCAGCCAATCCGGTAGGTAGTCCACGCATTGTGTTGGAAAATTGTGCAGCTCCGAAAGCAATAACTGGGATTTTGTGATACTCTTCTGGATGATAATGATGATCTTGTTGTTGTTGTTGTTGTTGTTGTTGTTGTTGTTGTTGTTGTTGTTGTTGACGATACCGACGGCGTCTAGTGTAGCGTGGAGGTCGAGCAGGTCGGTGTCTTGACTGTAAACCAGATGTGCCATACTTATACCCACCGTTTAAAAAGATATTTACACACTCTTGCTCAGTTCTTTGTTTTCCAATATAATTCAGAAACTTGAGTCTTGAGCTATCTTGGGAATAGAATTCAAAGAGTCGCGTTGAGGATTGCAAACAAGATCGAATAAATGAATTAATTGAGTTCAGTGATGCAACCTTCTTGGATGGAATGCTTGATTCAATTTCTATGATGCCTTGATTTTGTTTCTGTTCTAAAAGCTTTCGGTTTGTCAATTTAAAACCAGCCTTTGTGTAAAATTCGACGGTAGAGAATTTTCGAGTTGTACTTCGAATATGTTGATTACTTCGCTGGCTATCATCTTCGTCATCGTCGAAAAGACCTATAACAGCACCACTAGAAACGTTACCACCATTACCAGCAGAATGATTATCAGGGTCAACGTCCATAACTCCAGTACCAGTATCAGCACCACCAGAAACATCACCGTCATCACCAGCAGAATGATTATCAGAATCCACATCCATAACACCAACGGCAGTATCAGCACCACCAGAATGATTATCAGGGTCAACATCCATAACTCCAGTACCAGTATCAGCACCAGCAGAAACATCACCGTCATCACGATCAGAATGATTGTCAGAATCCACATCCATAACACCAACGGCAGGAGAATGATACGCCAAATGGTCAGATGCATCGCTTGCTACAAAAATTTCTTTCATTCCAGGATCAAGACCCCACACTTTGAATATCTCCAGTTCCCAATCCTCGAAATCAGAAGGCTCCAGATCCGGTAGTTGATTTTCGCTGTTTGCTTTTTGAAAAAGTACACTGACTTCGTAGCCATTTGTCGTCAAAGTGTTGTTGAAGATAGCATCCCTAAAAAAAAAAAAAAAAAAAAAAAAAAATGAACAAAGAAGTTTTGAATCAGTGAAGACAATGATGATTACCTTATTCCATTCAGTTTTCGAAAATTAAACACATAATGAAAAACCATTGCATCCTTCTGTAGTTGGTTAGCATTGGCATGTCGTTCCGCACTAAAATCGTATCCGAGGCCACCACATTTTCTGATCAACTGCTTGAGGGTCCGGTTGTCAATTTGAATATGTTTGAATGCCCACGATGGTGAAGGAACCAAATTAAATCCACGGGTCTTTTTCACAACAGTCCATAGTTCTGGTAAAAAGCATTCTTCGCGATCAATAGCTTCCGAGTTTTGAATATATATGAGTGAGTTGTTGATCTGGTGCCGTGTTGTTATGATTAGTTCGTGTATTTGAGCAAAACAATCATCATCCATATAGTCGACTGAAGTTCTTTCCAATGGTTGATTGTCGTTCACAGCACTAACAATTCTGCGCACCAATCGAGACCGACGCCGTCTTCCTAGTGTTTGCAATCCATCCATATTCTTTATCACATTATATGCCCAGCTACTGTTGGCTTCTGTCTGTACATCCGCAGCAAGCTGTATTTCATTGTTGTTGTATGCTTCTATATGTTGTAACATTCGATAAAGAATCTGTAGATACACCTGGGGATTTTCAGTGATCGCATGTAGTGTCACACGTTCTGGACCTAGATCCGTTTCATCCAATAGTGTTGATACCGAATTAAAAATAACATCACCATCCAAGTTATGTGCTTCTTGCGATAAAGTAGGAAAAACCGCGTCATCATTTGCCAAAGTTTCATATACGAAAATACCAAGTTTTCTTGCATCACCTTTGTTTATGCCCTATTCCCCCGAAAAAAAAAAAAAATAATTTGGTTCAGTCAGCCATGCATGATACTCTATATGTGGATAATAATATAATAAGATATACCTCCACCAATTGTTGGATACGCAAAGTCAGAAAGGCAATACTGCGATTTTCGAAATTCTCCACCACGTTACTTAGAAAGTTTGTTGCTGATTGTTCCGCCGTATGTGCCAAAACGTGTGAGTAAATTTGATTCTTTGGTCTATCCGCCGTCTGCATTAGTTCACCGAATGTTTCCCGATAATTGTTGAAAGTGTTGTTGATATCAGTGCGTAAATCTTCGTTCATTTCATTTCGGTTGGTGATTGGTCTGTTTAGGATAACTTGGAATGTACTGTACCAGAACTGTTGATTGAAGACCTTCTTTGATATGGGTTGGTTGCGGTTGCACTTGTCCAAAATATAATAGGTAACAAAAAGATGTGATTTCACCACTAGTTCCCGATGGTAGGCGACAACTTCTTGGATTTGATTTTTCAGTGCTTGCTTTTGTTGTAGTGGTAGATTGATAAAGCTGTCTAAGCCAATCTTTCTTGTAAAAGAGCGTTGATTAGTGCCAATCACGTTTTGTATCATCATAGCCTTTGTTGGTAAATGGTTTGGGCACCGAGGATCGCGTCTGGATGAGTGAGGTACAGCATCATCATACTGATTATGATCAACACAGAATTTGCAGCGTTTACTTGTTGTTCTTCGAGAGCTATCTTGACGACGCTTTTTTGCTGAGCGCTTTTTCCCCTTTTGTACACTAGATTGCTTCCGTCTTTTCTTAGTTCGCCTATGTGCTCTTGGTCTTGAGGGACCTGCTTCTTGTTCTTCTTGTTCTTCTTCTTCTTCTTCTTCTTCTTCTGAGGAGGAGGAGGAGGAGGTAGAGGAGGTAGAGATGGACGGTGGTGGTGACGAGCCAGTGTGGATGGGCAGACCTATATTAAAAAAAAATATAATAAATGATTAATAAATATATCTATTGGACCCTGCTTCCATGGACAAGTCTACTTACCAAGAGCAGCAGCTTTCTTCCGCTTTTTATAAAGAATAATTTCCTTTCTGGTCATTCCAAAGTAAACATGAGATGGGTCAAATTGTAGAGGTTCCATGGAGTATAATAAAAAAAAGAAAAAGTTGGTGGTGTATTGTCGAAAAAGTAAGAATAAGGATCGTAAACAGTGAGTTGAAAAGAGGACAAGACGTAAGCTTCGAAAACAAGAAAAACATTTTGCGTAGAAGTCACAATGTATCATTTTGTTGTCAAGTGTCGTATAAACGTATTCAGTTACTATAAAGATGTGCGTAAAGTAAAAACAATGCATCCAAAAAAAAATAAAAATAACAGTACATTGATATATCAAAAGAGGATGGAATCAAATACATTGACCGGTAACGAATTGGTTGGAATAAAAATAAAAAGGTTTATTAAATAAAAAGTATCAATACTAAAATACTACTAGTTGATAAAGTCAATATAAAAAGAAAAAGAAGGAAAGAAATATAATGGCGGTTATTGACGATTCGTCCCTTAGAGTCACCGACTCAAGTCACCACCTATAATTGGACTTGACGCAAATAAATTTTTCCCTTTATAAAAATGTAAAGTCCGCGGATGCCCTTTTTGTGTGCATTATTTTTCAATTTCCTTTTTCTTTTTGTTTATTCGTTTTTATCTTCCTTTTATTTTTTATTGGTACTTTGTCTTTTCACCTTTTTTATTGGTACCTTTCTCTGATAGTTTATTTTTCATCTCTATAAATACTCGACGGTACCTTACTGCTTTTCTTAATTCTTTTTTTTTTTTAATAAACTAAAACTTCAAACGACACATATGGCTTCTTCTTCTTGTTCTTCTTCTTCTTGTTCTTCTTCTTCTGGTTCTTCTTCTTCTTCCTCTTCTTCTTCTTCTTCTTCTTCTTCTTCTTCTTCTTCTTCTTCTTCTTCTTCTTCTTCTTCTTCTTCTGGTTCTTCTGGTTCTTCTTCTGGTTCTTCTTTTTCTTGTTTTCCTTCCGTTAATCGCCTTGGACCAAGAAGATATACTGATCTTGCATCCTACAATTATGAATCTCGTCGTGCTTTGCAAGAAAGTGAATTAGAGGCTCGTATGGCAAGACCCAAGAACACGAAAACTGCCTATGGTTCCAAGCAAGCTGAATTTCTCGAATGGTGTGCAACTCTACCCGAAGATCCTATGTCCCGCGAACTTGTTACTGGTGAAAAGCTCAACCTCTTCCTCCAAGAGCAGGTAAAAAAAAAAAAAAAAAAAAAAAAGAGTGTGGAGATTGTCATGTTAACACTTTACTTATTTAATTACCATATAATAGGTACGTGATCGTGTTTCTCGTAACAAGCGAAAGGATGGAACCAAAACGCAAATCAAGTACGTAACAGTTCAACAGTATGCTGCTGCCATAGTGGATCTTTATCAACAACAGCGTCAAGCAGGTGCAAACTCTCATCCAAACCCTAGGCCTTATGTCAAAGATCTTCTGAAAATGGTGAAAAACAAGGAATATGAAGTAAGCCGAGGAAATTATGAAGACCGTGGTGAAGGTACGTTGGCCGATGGATACACAAGCAACGACCAGGTTGCCGATGTGGTGAAAGCTTTCCTCTCAAGAACTCAACGTCATGGTGAACAACTTCGTGGTGCTTTGGCCTTTCTTCTCTCACATTACATGCTTCTTCGCGGTGAAAGTATTCGCAAATTGGAAATGACTGATCTCCAAACGATCAATCTGGAAAATGAAGCGGCACGTCAAGGTATGGATTGTCCTGCTCTAGTTATGATCATGCGTCAAGGCAAAACGAACAGACACAAGCAGACACAACCGATTGGAATTGGCGGGTTGTATGCGTAATATCCGAGTGGAAATCTGTCCCTTCATGGCTCTAGGCTTTTATTTCTTTTGGCGCTTTCATTTCGAAAACGAACCGTTTCCCAATATGATTTCTTCAAGGACTTGGTACGACATCAAGGTGTTTAAGGCTCAACAAAACAATAACACGGACGAATGGTCATACGAGGCACACAGTAAATCAGTGCGACGTGCATTAGAACGGGCAAATATTCGGTCAAAAAAATCAACTCATACTGGTCGTGGCTGTGGTTCTCGGATGGCTCATGTTTATGGTGTGAATGAAGATCAGATTCGACAGCAAGGAGGGTGGAACAACACGACAATGAATGGTGCTTACCTAACGACTTTGCCTAGAGAATTCATGCGTACCATGGCTGGTTTTCCTAACAGTCAAGGTTCCTTTTTTCTGCCCCGTGCCGCTTTAGATCCTCCTGAAGAACTTTGTCGAAAGGTGTTTCCCGATGCCAACACGTGGTATGACCGACTTATGGCCAAAGATCTCAATCCGAATGGTAATGATGACATAGAAGTTACTGTGGCCGCTGTTGCTTTTCTGAAGATGCTGTTTGTTATCCGCAAATCGTTTATTCAAGATTCTGTCTTTATGATGCAATTGTACCCAACCCATCCTCTTTGGACTCTTCAGTTTTTTAGTGATCCATTGTACGTGCAATTCAAAACGTAAGTTGTTGTTTTTTTTTTTTTTTTTTTGTGATTTGATAGTGCATTGTAGGTATAGACTGATCTTCTCATCTTTTCCTTTTCAGTCAACTTCTAGGTATCGCTGTTCAAGAAGATGATCCAAGTTCACTCTTATTGCAACGTTGTGTACCAATCATCGAACAAAGGTTACGAACGATCCACGAGGATCTATCACGTCAAAATGGAAGCTCATCGGTCAACATCATCTACAACAAACGATTACATCTCACAGTTGGTGACTGGAAGGGCAACACTCAGTCTCAACATCAACTTCAATGACGGTAATTCCTCTATCGTCGCAACTTCAACACCAGTGCCATCCTCTCATCAACATGTCTCAACATCATCCTCACCATCAATGCCAAATACAGATGATCAGGTGCCGCCTCTTTACCGGATGAATCGTGCTCTAAAATCACTGGGTGACTTGTGGAGAGAATGGTACGTTGGGCTTGCTGGTGGTTACGCAGTGGATGATTTAGAAAAACGTTGGGGATCGCAGTGGAGGAAGGACAGCAAGGAAAGGAAGTTTTACAGTCGAAGACGCCGGATTATCGACCAGATCAACAAGTACTCTGTGGAAAGGAATGTATCGACAAGAACAGCCCTGGAACGTGCAGAGGAGCGACGCGCCCGTCATGGATATTCATTACATTACTTAGGTGAAAACCCATGCATGATCTATGAAGATATGATATAGCGTCTTCTGTTCCCTTCTTTTTTTTTTTTTTATTTAATGTATTATACTTTTTTTTTTTACATATATATAATAAAGGATTATTTGTTTTGAATCATTCTTTCTTTTTCTCTCAGTCTTTTTTTAACATATATCAATTGTTGTCTTTTTTTTTTTTTTTTTTTTTGTGAACTTTCGCTCTTTTCTTTATGAATCTCTCTACATATGTCAAAATATCGCTTCAAAAATAAAGTAAACTGTGATTGTGTTCAAACGTTTTCATTTTCTCCATTTATTCTTATCATATTTAACAAAATACGACCATCATCATTGATTTTAATACAATATCGGATTTTCCCAAAATGAATAGCGCATTTCCACTATTATAGATATCGCTCCAGAGATGTCGATTAGAGTATATTGATGGATGGATGATGGATCTTTTTTTTTTTTTTTTTTTTTTTACGTACTCACATTTATGAATATATGATATAGGCAACTCCAGTAACAAATTGACCTCATAAATGTAAAACTGCATAATGTTACTTCTTTTTTTCTTCACATACAAATAAATTTCTTTTCACATGTGAAACCTATATAAAGTGCCATTTCTCTCTTTTTTTTTTTTTTCTTTTTCTTTCTTTTTCTGTCCTTTTTTTTTTGTCTTTTCCTTTCTTTATCTTTTTTATATCAACTTCTAAACCTCTCTACAAGCTACAAGTCTCTTTATCTTCAAATCCATATCAAATACAAGTTTTATCTGAAGTACAAGTATAACGACATCAAGACGGGCTAAGGCCTATTTGCTCCTCTTTTCTTGTTGCTCTGTTGTTTTGATCCACTGTTTCCGCTCCTCATCCTTTTCTTCTTCTTGGTTGGCTGTATCTTTGTCGTAGGATCAAGATCTCAAAAATCATTACCTTACATGTGCAGATCAGTCAACCCTCGCCTTCCTCTATTTCCACCAGTGGTATCAACAACAACATCAATAATATCTTTTTGCGTGTCTCTCTCTCTCTTCTCTGTGGCTCATACAATTTTTCCGTGTACTGAAAACACGTGGATGTTTACAGTTTTTGTAAGTTTTTTTTTTTTTTTTAATTGATGAATATGATGATGGATGATGTACTAACGAATTTTTTTTTTATTTTTCCAATATGATCTCTCTTTGGTATTTCCAATTTGATTTGTCCTTCTATCTCAATTTTCTTTTTATGCGTCATCCATTATCTGTTTTGTCCGTCATTCATTCTCTATTCTTACGATATCTTATTTCCTATTTTGGCGACATCTTATTTTTGAAACTGCGTCATGTATTAGTGGACAAACTGTAATGCTCGTGATACCATATATAATATATATTGATACAGTTTGTTTTTTTTTCTTTTTTTTCTTTTTTTTTTTTTTTTTTTTTTTTTTTTTTTTTTAAACTAACACTTCTTATTCATCATGATGATTCCCATCCTTGTACAGACGCAAATGGCATTCCATGATTTATTTGATGGAATGGGTTTTTGTAAAGCTGATACCTTTGGAGCTGGCCAAGATATCTTCTTTGACTTGGAAAGTATATCTGAATGAATGTTTTTCTTATAGATCTCCTTATGATGCTGTTTATATATTTCGCTAGTTTAGTCCTTATTATCTTTTTTTTTGTTATATTTTGAATAAAAATTGTTCTCTTTCTATCATTATTGTCTTCCATTTTTAGCATTACCACATTATAATTTTTAGTTTAATATTTTGTTATAAAAATAAATTTCTATCACATCTGCTTGCCAAAAAAGATAAAAATAGTTTTTTTTTTTTTTTTTTTTTTTTCTCGCCCCTTTTGTCCATTCGTTTTTTTTTTTCTTTTTTACATTCTTCTCTTTTCTCCTTTCAAACCACAAAGTGTTTGACGGTTCACCTCTTTTTTTTTTTTAATCATATTTTCCCTTTCCTTTCGTTTACCCTCCATTCTTTTTTTTTTTCATTCCTTTTCATAGCTATTATTTAGGTCGAACGAAACCCTTCCAACAAAATTATTATATGTCACCTTTACTTTTTGTTTTCTTTTTCTTGTCTCTTTTGTTACATATCATGGCTCAAGATCCTTCATCACCGTCCATGCCTGTAGCAACAACAGCATTTAATCCTAATGATGGCAATGTGACCTCACAACCTGAACAAAGCTGGATTCTACGCGATCACCATTATGTGATTATCATTGTCATTGTCCTTGTTATTGTCGGTCTTGTTCTGTATTATATCGTCCGTAGTGTCCGTGGTATGCGAAAACGATTGGCTCGTGAAAATGAACAACAATTACAAATGATCAATCAAGTTCGTCAACCTTACTCACCTATCAATGAAACCGTCATGATGGATGGTTACAGCAAATATCCTCAACAACAACAACAACAACATCAACATCAACATCGATATTAGTTTCTTTTTGTGATGTCCATAATAAACAACATACATATATTCATTTCCTTTCGTTATTACTTTTCAATTATATAGTTGTTTTTTTTTTTACATACTTTATATATATATATATTATCACATAGTTTTGAATAAAGTTTATTTTTATTTTTAGTTTTTGTTTGTGTTGATCATTTACTACAAAAACTAGACTAAACCCAATATATATATGAACTATGTTTCTTCCATCATCATCACATCGGGCTCTACTTTTTCAATACCATAAAGTCGAACAGGTCGCAAGTGTTCCATATCTAATTTAAAAAAAAAAAAAAGATCAATCAACTTCTATATTACTATTCTTTTTGGTTTATTTACCTTTTAAGTAATGTAAGCATTGGAGACTGACACCAGTACGATCCAAATTGAGATGAGTGAGATTGATTAAATCTAAAAGATATATGAAAATAAGAATGAACAAGAAAATGAGGAGTGAGTTATATGATCATCACTTACTAGCTAAAGCCTTAACTCCACGATCCGTCACGGCACTACAATCTTGTAAATTCAACGTATAAAGTTGTCGTGCATATAGCGTTTCCTCAAGATCACTCATGGCAATCAATGCTTTGTCGGTAATATGTGTTCGTCCCAATGATAATGTATTCAGTTTAGTCAATCCTATCAAAAAGATAAAACAAGTATATATATATATATATTTGTATCCTGTAATGATAGATCTTTTTTTTTATTTATTTTACGTTTGAGATGACCTAATCCTTCATCCGTGACATTGGTTTGATCCAAATAAAGTTGTTCAAGATCTTGCAAGTCTAATATTAAAAAAAAAAAAAAAAAAAGATTCATCAATACGGTTTCGTATTCTTCATTTCAAATGAACTTGCCTGCCAATAATGCAATACCAGTATCTGTTACTTTGACACCAGCCAAGCTGACTTGGCGTAGTTGGCCCATCTTGGCAATATGTTGTAATCCAGTATCCGTCAACTGTAAAAATCCATTTAGGAAGAGTCGCCGTAAAGGAAGATCTTGAATAAAGAAGAAGCAGTGAGATTGAAAATCAAATATGAGTGTGATTATCAATATTTTACCTGTGAGACGAGCCAAAACACCATCAATATCATGTTCTCGATTGGGGAATTGTAAATCTTCGAGATGTTTCGCATCTACAATAGAAAGAATCAGTATCACTTTTTTTTTTTTTTTACTTACTTCCTACAAGACAAGAAAGTCCTCGAGTGGTTATGGAAAGACATCCTCCTAATTTTAATTCCAATAAATGTCCAAATTCACTTGTCAATCGCATCAAATCTTGATCCGTCATTCCTGTACCGCTGATATCCAATAGTTCCAGAGTGTCGTACAGTTTCTTCATTGTTCCAGGCTTCAATTGTTGTTCTCCCAATTTGGTACCACTGACTGACAAATGTGACAAGGAAGAGAAATCTAATCATAAAAAAAATCAATCATACATAGTTTTAATTTTCTACTTTTTTTACATATATATATATATATATACCTTGTAACGAGGAGATTGTTTGATTGGATGTGATTCCTTGACATCCACTAAGTAGAAGGGTTTGCAAGGAGTTTTGACATTCTGTATGAGAGATGAACCATCGGAATCCTTTATCAGTGATATGAGTTTTTGACATGTTGAGATAAACAAGATGAGGTAACTCTACAGAAAATGATGTTTGAGTTATTTCTAACAGAGAAAAAAAAAAAAAAGATCATACTTACTTGCAATCGATTGGAATCCTTTATCAGTAATCTTGCAATTACTGACATCCAAATATTCAAGATATTTGAGACCTAGATTTTAAAAAAAAAAAATATTTATTTGTTTTCCTTGAATAAAAAACTTTTTTACCTTCTAAATGTTTGATCCCAGAATCAGTGATTAAATCACAACTGCGCAATACAATCTTGGATAATGTTCTTGACTGAGATAATTCTTTTAATAACGAATCTGTAGCATAGACATAAGAACTCAGAGTCACTTGTTGTATATAGCTTGATTCAAATAATATAAAACGATATTTAGTTCACTCGTTGAACCACTTCAAAACTTACCAATGCCGTGCCAACTGAGACATAGATAGTTGATTCAAGTTTCTTGTTTCCACCAGTTTGTCCACCAGAAGAGTTATCAATTCTGACGATAAATTGGTCAAATAACGCAGCAATCGTAAAGTATCCTTATTTGACGAGGATATAATAGCTAGAAGAAGAAGAAAAAAACATGTTAGTCACTTCAGATCTTTTTTTTATTTATGCCTAGTTATTACCTGCTACTTGAGAAATACATAGATCTTTCAGAGATCGAGCATTCCATTTCAATTTTCGTTCGTATATATTGTTCAAATTATCGTTAGTAGTATTTTGTGACAACCGTTGTTGGATAGTTGTAAGTATATGTTGTCGCCTTTCATCATTTTCATCTACAGAAGGAAAAAAAGATCAATATGATATATTATTTTATAACGAGTTCGATTAATGCATTTTTACCTTGCTGGTCAAGAGTACTAGATCGATTGCTTGTATTATCGTCATCACCAAGTCGACGTCCGAGATGATGTAAAAGCCAGTTTGGATTAGTGACTCGATTCTGACGTGCAAATCTTGGATGAGTAGTATTTCTTCGAGAACGATGGGGATCTGCCACTGGTTGTCTGATAAAATTACTAACATCATCATTGTCCTCTTCACTATCACTATTCATGCTGTCATCTTCATCATTTGTTTCCATAGGCATTGTATTTGTTGTCTCTATCGATGAGGCAGATTCTGCAGGTGATACTCGGGAAACATTCAATGATACGTTAGGCATGAATCCTAAACCAACTAAAGATGAATATTGTACCCTTTTAAGAATTATTCTGACATTATTTACCTGCATCACGTACTGAAATATTACTTTCTTCACTACCAAAAGTACGTCGAGGGAAAGCCTTGAATAAAGAAGAGAGAGATCGATGAGTAATGGTTTAAATGTTTGCTTTTTATATTTTTTTTTTGTAAGCAATTTTTTTTTTATTTTCATGATTTACCGATATCAAAAGCACTTGATCATCAACGCCAAAAGAATGATTCCCACCTGCTTCTTGCTCTTTGACAAATTGGAAAATATCCTGTATCCGTTCATTAGCATCAAAAGAATGTCGAACCGTCTGTCCGTTTCTGAGTTTCAACTAGGAAGCATAAACAGATCAAATCAAGATATGAGTTCCATCCATGATACATAATAATATGATTCAAATTTACCTGAATAAGAGCAGTTTGTGAGATGGTATCATTCATGTTGTCGCTGTCGTGATGTTGTTGAGAAGCAGTCATTTGAGGTATCTGGTTTTCTTTTTCCACTGCAGCTAGTGGATTTGATGCAATTGTTGTTGCTGATGATGTACGAGAAGAAGAGGGTTGTTGTAACTTTTTTCGTTTATCCAATCGGTCCATTTTGATTTGATCCAAAATACGTTGTTTCGCTAGACGGTCTAATTGACGCTGTTTCTTGATTTCTTGTTGATTATGAGCCAGAATGACTTGATGGGTATCGAGATGATGAGACGTTGGTGTATTTTGAGAAGGACTTATAGTTGACTTTGGTCTGATTTGATTGACATAAGCACGATCTTCTTTTATATCATTAAGGGCTCGTTGTCGCGCTTGTTGATCTAGTCGTCTCTGTTGTCGAAGTTTCAAGGCTTCTTTTGCTGAGGCTGTTCTTTGTCGTTCCAGTTCTTGCTGATCTTGATAAGAATCATTAGATGTTGTAGTAGTATTTATGAATGGAGTATTGTTCCAAGGTATTTCAACCTGAGTCAATGGTGTTTTTGTGTTTTAGGTTAAAAGAAGATAAAACAGAAGTCCATATACAAATAAAGAAAGAAAGAAAGAAAAGATAAATAAAATAGATGAATAAAACAAGTGATAAATGCCGACCTTTTTTTTTCTTCTTCTTCTAACTTACATTACTAGTTGTAGTACCATTTTCCTCTTGTAAAGTCAATATCCTTGAATAAATAAAGGATAAGTAAGTTGTACCAAAACAGTGTCTATCTTTTTTTATTTTACCATTCAATTGCTTGTTGCACATCATTATGTTGAGATAGAGCCTGTATACATAATTCATGATCAAATCCTAAATTTAAAAGTTGTGATAGATTAGCATCAGTCAAAGACATTAGGTTAGCTAATCCCGTTTGTGTGAAAAAAAAAAAAATGGAAGGCAGAAAAAAAGAAACAAAAAAAAAAAAAAGAATCTTTAATGCGAGGTCATTTACTTTCTTGCGTGTGGTTTTTCAAACATTTAACATCCGTCATAAATTTGTCAATCCCATGCAACTTGCTTTTTTCATATATATTTTGTAGGTTTAATGAGACACTGTAAGGATAGCTGGTGATAGATGATAAACGATAATCATTGATGATAATAATCATTGAGGATGAAATGAACTTTTTTTTTATTAGTGGTCAATTTGGAAGAAATGGTTTGATATTACCTTTTTTTCGATGACAGGGCAAGTCAATGTAGAAATTATGTCTCAAAGGAATCATCATTATCATCAATATCTACATAATCATCTGTCACCAAAGGCTGTCAATAAAAAAAAATATTATCTTGTCTTTGACACGTTCAATCTCTGGTAGATAATGAATCTTTGTGGTGTAACATTTTTATTTTGAGAGTCAGAAGAATTGAAAGTAGAATTTCTCGGCATACAGATCTTGGCATTAATGTTAAAAATAAGATAGAATACTATAGTAAATTAGGATTTTATTAAAAATCAAAGAGAGAGAGAGGGGATTAATAGGTAGAAGATAACAAATAATAATACTAATATATGTAATAATAGAAAAAAAAACAAAATATTAAAAATGGATTATATGTAAAAGAAAAATAAGTTGTAGAAAGAGATGAAGAAGAGGGAATGATGAGTGTATATATAAGTAATAATAAAACATATCAACGATGAAACATCAATAATCTATTCATTCGTAGTCATTGGGCCATATTTCAACACAGTACCAAAGATAACATCCCATAATTTAGAAGTAATACCATAACCATCTTCATAGTTCTTGTAATGATGCGCCATATGATACTTCTTCATTTCCTTGAAATGGAATTCAAATACCTTTGCATGATGTAGATAATAATGAATACAATCATACATCACATAACCCAAAACACCACCAGAAATAACCGCATATGCCATGATAGGAGGGAATAAAAAGTGACCCAAGTTGATTAAAGGATAGGCAATAACAATACCCAATGTAGGAGGCATCACAAGTCGTAATCTAAGAATTTAAAATAAAAAAAAAAAAAAGATTGTCAATCATTTCAAATAAAAACATCTACCTTCTTACCTATCCATTGGTAAATAATGATGAAATCCATGAAGAGTGAAATGTAATAAAAAGGCAATCTGATGATCAGGTAAATAATCATCAACATGGAATAAGAAACGATGTAAAAGATATTCCAATAGAGTCCAAATCAAGATACCCAATACAAAAGAGAAACAAGTCAAAGGAATCATGTCATAAGTACTGGAAATATACAATTGATAGGCTGAAAAAGGTAACCAAAGTAAAGGAACCACATACCACACCGTTTTGCTCAAGGGTTCCAACAAAGGATGTCCAAAAAAGATGGCAGGAGTGGGTAAGTAACGTGGTTTGTGTACTTGTTCCAAATAAAATTCCTTGGTAAAAGAACTAGTGAAGAATTGAGGAATCAATGCTTTACGAAGATCCAAAAACTGATGAGTCTTGATGTCTGCATTAGCATCCGTTTCCTTGGGATGGAAGTCCGCCATACCATACGTCTTGCTTTCTTCTAGTTGTTCCAATAATTGCATGCGTTGTCGATGAAGAGCTTGCTTTTTATCCACTGTTACTGATGATGAGAAGCATTGTTTGTTGTCATCCAATTCACCAATACAATAGTCAGCCAAAATATCATAAGCAGCTTCAGAATGTTCGTGTTCCATTACATCCTTCATCACAGCTGTAACATCTTTCCCAGCATAGTCCAAAATAAGATCATCTCCACCTGGATGATCCATCATAAATTCGGTGACATCGTATACTTTCTTGTCATAAATAACCCAACAAGACTTGGTAGAAGTATGATTAGCTACTTCATTGAAGGTATATCTCTTCATCTTGTAAAACTAAAATATATGTATATAAATGTCTAAAAGTTAAAAGAGAGAGAGAAAAGAAAAGAAAAAAAAAAACTTTTTTTTTTTTTATTCAACCTGGCAATCAGAGACAAGGATTTTTGAAATACCGCGATAATTTCTTGCCAGTTGCTGACCACTGTCGATTGAATCAAATTTAGTATATGAAACAACAGGAGTTTAATTCATTAAACAAAAATGGAATATAGGAGTTGAGTGGTAGTGTTAAAAAAAAAAGAGTAGAGCTTTTCTACCCTTTTTTAATTCATTGTCGGCTGACAAGTTTCCATATTTTTGGCTTGGAATCTCTCATATGGGCTGTAACATATTTTTACTAGAAGCTGGGCTTCTATTTTCTTTCTTTTCTTCCTTCTTTTTTTTTTTTTTTTATTTTCTTTGGTACGAAACGGTCATGTTCCTTGGTGATACTCCCTTCTAGTCTTTTTTTTTTTCCTCCCCTTTCTTTCCTTCACTCTATTACTTTTCCTTCTTTTTTTTTTTTTATTACAAAAGATGCAACCTCATGTTATTCTATTAATACTATTACTTTCTTTATGGACTTACCATTGTTATGCAGCCTCACAATGTCTTAGTTTGAATACGTCATTGGTATGCTCAGCTTTTCAAGGATACAGTGTAGATATATGGACCGGACCAATATGGATACGAAATAGTACAACGATTGAAAATGTAGATACTCGACTAGATGCTTATTCGAAACAACAGCAGTGGCCAAAAGAGATGCCTTGGTGCCTCTCAACGACAACAAAAGTAATGACAACGGCAACACCGGCACCTTATCCGAGGTATGCAAATACTATATTATGTGCTCAGTTGATACAGGAGTCACCTGCTTGTAATCCAGCCCCCTCTTCTCCCGTGCTATGTGATGATACTTGTACTGGTTTTATCAAGTCAATCAACACTTCGTTCTGTCCTACTGTGAATCAAACAAGTTTTAACCAACATTGTCAATCTGGATCATCCTCTTCTTCAAACTACATATCTGGAAATTCGATCTGTATCAAAGGTGACATCAACGAAATACAATATTGTGGTAATACTACAAAAAAAAAAAAAAAAAAAAAAAAAAAAAGACGATCATTACCATTTGATTGACATCACTTTTATATCCTATTTAGGTTGGAAAAAGAAAAGTGATGTTTGTGCATCCTGTCAAGTCAATCAAGAAGATCCATGTTGTACGACAATGCTATCTAAGTGTCCTACCTTTGAACAATCTCGACAGGTCATTGGTGCTATCCTTGGTTCTGTGATCGCATGCTTCATTATTTTGGGATGTGGGTTTTATGGTTGGTATAGAAAGGCTAATAAGAAGAATGATGGTGATGATGAAACGAAGGTCGACAATAAATCCAGTGGGTTGGTACAGCATTTATCAATGGATGGCAACACCAGTGAAAGTACTCTTATTGGACGATACTCTATCGAATCGGACAAGAAACACGAATACAATAATAATGATAGTGATGATGAACAACCACTTTCTTATACATTAGCCAAACGACATGAAGATGATCATTGTTTCTACGAAGCTATCTATGTCAATGTTCCCCGACGACCATTTGATATTGTATTGAACAAAGGGGATCTTATTCATCTACACTGTTATACGGATGAAGACTGGGGTATTGGGTATAATTTGACAACTGGACAACAAGGAAGTTTCCCGATGATATGCATTCGTACTCTAACTCTGGATCAAGCATGGAAAAGGATTGATGAACAACCTTTGGAAAAACAACAAATGATACTTAAACACCGTGTCTGTTACTTTATATCATCCAATGAACAAGAACTTGATTACAATGGTGATGACGACGATGGCAACGATGATGATGATGATGATGATGATGAAACAACCTCACCTACAACTCCACCTATTCACAACAATATGATCATCACTAAAAAATAGAATAGAATAAAAACAGCAAAAGAAAATACCAACCTTTGATTCCCTTTGTTTTTTTTACAACATGCTCTGCAAACAACAGCGTGGATTTGATTTTTTTTTTTTTACCCTTAGTTACTTGATTAGTAAATTTACTTAATACACTTTATTGATATACATATTTATACATATTTGATTCTACTGTATTTTGAAATAAAGTAATAAAAAAAAAAAGGTTATTCCCATTTTTATCAAATCGCCATACACTCAATTAGCTACAAAAGGAGCGTAGAGAAAAAAAAAAAAAGGAGAACCCTCCTTGTTTCTATATTACTTATATTAGTTATAAATAACACATGGGTGTGGACAATGAACTTATTTGCTATAGACAAATGAGAAAAGGAGTGATGTTTAATAAGAGCACGCTTCTTCTTTTTTTTTTTATTCTATTTTCCTTTGTGATTTAAAATGATGATGATTTTTTTTATTCAATTGTACTTGCTGCTCCTAAAATGAATCTCCTTATAGAACTTTAATGAAAGAAAAGCGCCAATTTTTTTTTTTAAAAAAAAGAATTCTCTTCTTTTTTTTTTTAATTTCTATCTTTTTTTTTTTCAATGACCAACCTTTCATCATCTAATACGAACACCAACGAAACAAGATCTACATCTTCAGCATCAGACGACCCAACTAAAAAAAGAATGACACACTTGACGATGCGACTAAAGAATGTCTTTCGGATCTCTCATCCACCCTCAAGTGTTTCAACCAGTACGATAAAACGACCATTATCATGTGTTATTGAAAGACCTAACGATGGATTATGGGATGATGATCAAATGATGGAAATTGATATGGATGCACCTTCACTTATCGATTCGGCTTCGTCTTCCACCGTGTCAGATGAAGATAACTCCGCTCAGGGGCTGATGATCCTACCCACAGACATAAAACAAGATGAGGATGATCTTTTTGAATATGAACAACAAACACAATGGGTCAATACTGCCAAACATTGGTATTCCGATTATATTTTCCCTTTTCATAAATCTAATGAAATCAATCATCCTTCACCCTCATCATCATCTTCTTATCGTGAAGGGATTTTAAAAACGCCACAACCAGAAGAAGAAGAAGAAGAATCGAGTTCCATATTAGGCAAACGACAAATGACATCCAGTCCTTCCTCCATCACGACTTTTCATCATAATAATAACAAAAAGAAAAAAAGAATGCCTGTCATTCGATTTGATAAAATGGTACAAATTCATGCTACTTATTCACAACAAGATTATAATCGTCAATCTGATCCTGATGCTATCTGTACTCGATTAAATGCTACCTTGGCTCATCAAATCAAACAAGAATTGAATCTTTTCAAAACTACTGAAATGCCTATTCATGAACAAAGTCGTGTTTATACTCATTTTTTCTTTTAAAAATCATTTTTATCTATAATAATAATAATAATAATAAAAAGTGATCATCGTGAATCTGATGGGAAAAAAAAAATTTTTTTAATGGAACGAAATTTTGTGTTGTCAGTTCCAAAGTGAATTGTTTTGATGTTTTCAGGGGAAAAGATCCAAAAAGGCAATCGTCAAAAAAAAAAGTTTTTTTTTTTTTGTTGGCAATCCAGAACAATCAAGTTTGAAGGCAGGTCATGAAACTAATCTATTTTATATAATAAGAACCCCATGGTTTATTGTTTGGATTGGATTGTTCTTTATTATTGTGTCATTGTTTATGTTGGCCCATGTTGGGTCTTTATTATTGATACAAAGTTTAAGGGGCAGGATCATCGGGTCAAAAGGATGGTTGTTTATTGTTTGGTTTGATGTTTCAAAATAATTACACTTTTTTTATTTATCATATGAAAGAATAGGAAAAGGAGAATAAGACTATATGGATTTGAATGATAGGATAAGGAAGGGGCATATCATATATATACATATATATATATATATATAAGGAAAGAGAAGCTATATAAAAAATAAAATAAAATAAATAAAAAGAATGGTAGGTGAATGGAACAGTAGATATATAAATAATGGAATGAAATGGAATGGGAAACAAAGAAATATAGTGTTGATACATATGATACAAAAGGAATGGGTGGAAAATACAAAAAGGGAATGGAATATGTACATATACCGAACATCACATATATAAAAAAAAAAAAATAATAATAATAATAACAATAATAGTAACAACGATTGGTTGGGCCAATGAATAAAATAAAAAAAAAAAAAAAAGATACAAAAGAAAGAAAAAAAAATACTGTCACTAAACAATACAAGCCATGGTCATCCCTTGTTTTCGTTGCTTGATAACGCGTTCAATCATACCTAAAGATTAAAAAAAAAAATTTTGAGTTCAACTAAAACATTGATGCGTCATCTACATTTTTTTTTTTTTTTTTTTTTACCTCGACATCTACGTTGATCCACCAATGCACGAGGGCAATCATATACTTTCAAACCATTATGAGTTTTGACATCCAAGAGAATTTTTTCATGACGAATCAAACATTCCACAGTAGACCAAAGTTGTAAAGTAGCAGCATAATGAAGAGGAGTCCAACCATCTTGATCCATTGCATTGACATCAGCACCAAGAGAAATCAAACATTTTGCCATCTTTTCTTGTCGGTGTAACAGAGCCAAATGAAGCATGGATGTGCATGGTTGATAAATAGATGCTTGTTGTTGCCATGTTTCCAATATCATCCAAGTTGTTTTTGTTGAATCTTGTTGTTGTTCTTGTCGTACAAGTTGCATCACATCTTCCACGTCACCACGGATACACGCATCCAATAAGATGATTTCTGGATGAAAACGCACAGACTTTTTCGGTTGTTGCTTTTTGGTCGTACATCGTATACTTGTTTTTTTCATCATTAAAACTGGTGCTTCTTCCTCTTCTTGATGTTCTTCCTCCTCCTCTTCTGTTGTAGAAGAAGAAGGTGGTGGTGGTGGTGATCGTAATGGAATAGGTCGACGAAGATGACGATGACAAAATGACGTGGCATCCATTGGATTGGGAGACATTGTTGGTTTTTCATCGGATGATTGATAATGAGGTGAACATGGTGGTGTGATAGGAGGTGTCCAACATCGATCATCTTCATCATCATCATCATCATCTTGAAGATCTGGTGGTAAAGGAGATGGTGGAACAATAGGAGACAAAGGTTCATCCAAGGAAGATAAGGAAGAAAAAGAAGATGACGAAGTAGATGAAGAAAGTACCAAAGGAGGTTTGGATAAATGATGATCTTCTGTCAATAAGATAGGTAATTCAGAGACATGTTGTACGGCCTTTTTCAATAACATAGAAGTACGTGGTAAAGTAAATTGTTGTTGTTGTTGTTCTTCTTGTTGTTGTTTGATGATAGTCGGAGAAGGTTCATCTTGTTGTTGTTGTTGTTGTTGTTGTTGTAACAATTGAATACAAGCAAGGTTGGTGCAACCATCCAAAGGACCGCGTTGTCGGGTATTCCGAAGAGTTAAGTTAGCACCACAATCCAATAAGAGTTGTACTAGATGAACCATGCCGGAATAAGCAGCCAAATGTAAAGAAGTATTCTTTTGACCCCAAGTATGATTCACAAATTGATAAAGATCTTTTGTATTCACTTGTTGTTGTAAGAATAACAAAATAGATCTTGCCATAACTTCATGTCGTAAGAAGAGTGCCATTTGTAAAGCATTGAGATCACGAACTGATGTACCAAAGAGACGAAGAGCTTGTTGTTGTCTTTGTTGAGTTGAAAAGTCAAATTGTAAAACACGATGTTTATGAGAAGCAGGATACATGGCTGGATCATTCACAAGTCGTTGAGTCAATAATACACGCGCCACATGTGGTGCACGTCCTTCCCCACATAATCGTACAAATTCTTGTTCATTGCCCGTTCGTATAATCGTTTGGATTTGTCGCCAAAGTTTTGATGGTGAACAACACGTTCCATTCCCACACGAATGATGCATATTTTTGATAGGTAACAATAATGACAAATTTTTTTTTTGGAGAATAAAAGAAAAAAAAAACAAAATAGAATAATAATAATAATAATAATAAAGAGAGGGTATATATGTCAAAAAGGTTGATTGAAAAAGAAAGAAAGAAAAAGAAAGAAAAAAAAGAAAAGGGAAAAGAGAAAAAAAAAATAAATAAATTTTATTTTGGTTGAACTTTTTTTTTTTTTTGAGTAGACCCGCTATTTCCATATTTGGGGATAAAATGGATCTTTGCCCTCTCACTTTTTTTTTTTTTCTTTAATAGAAAAAATGAACTGAGCATGTGGACAAATTCAAATAAGCTGTGAAATACAAAACACCAGGCATCACTCACCCTTTTGAGTTTTGTGCTAAAAAGAAGATACTACCGTGATTAGTGTAACGTCAGACGACGGTCAGGATATTTTAGGTGATTCCATAAACTATATTATTATTATTATTATTATTTTTGCTTAGATTTCTTTTATCATGTTATCTTTGTGTATAAAAATCTATAAAATAATAATAATGATAGATTAATATTTCCATCTATTTTATTTATTTATTTATTTATTTATTTATTTTATTCATATAAAAGATGAGCCAATGAAAGGTTGTATTCCCCCTTCTCTCTCTCTCTCTCTCTCTCTCTTTCTTTAGTTTCATTTTCCGCTCAGTAAGCTTTTTTTTTCTTTTTTTCCAGCGAAAACTATGAACAAAAACAAAAAAAAAAAAATCACACTTCTGTCTTTTCCCTTTTCTTTATTTTTCCCTTTCTCCTTGTTTCATTCCCCCCTTTTTTTTCTTTATTTTTTTATTTTTTTATTTTTTCTTTTCTCCCTCACATTATATATCCTCACTCTTTAGATTTTGCCTATACAAACAAGTTACTTTTTCGAGTGACAGTTTTTATTATTATTATTATTCTTTTTCTTTATTATTTTTTATATTTTTGAATGTTATCTTCAGAACTAATGAATAGAAATAGTTCAGACGCTGATCAATCAACAAGAAGAATGTTTGAAATACAACAAAAAGATAAAAAGTCAAAAGTAAGTTTTAATTATTTTATTTTATTTTATTCATCTTTTTTTTTATTATTATAGTCATGGTTTCGGTCACGGAATTCTATATATTTAGGTATTGTTGCCATCTTTGAAGCTGTAGTAGTTATTGCTTTACAGGCAGTTATCTTTGCTCAGTTTCAACTACATCAAGCTGAGTAAGTTCCTTTTTTTTTTTTTTTTTTTAGTGTATTATCAATTACTTATTTTATTTATTTTTATATTAGAACACAACATACTACTCAAGGCACCGGGATTCCAGTTTATTTGATGATATTTATTTTTTCTCAAGTCTTTCAAGTAGCTTTAGCTTGGGATGCGGTAAATATATATATATATATAATATATATATTAAAATAATCATTTTTATATATATTTAACTCTTTTTTTTTTTTTCTTTTTTTCAGGTTCGAGCTCAGAATACCATTCAAGTGATCGCCTTATTATTATTCAATTTGTGTTGTTTTATTTACAGTATCTTCCAATTTAAACAAATGTCAAATGTAGTGAAGCAACCTTCATTAAGTTTATTGATTACAAGGTTATTGATTGTTAATGCTGTGGTGACTGGTATTTGTGAATTGATTTATCTTTATCTTGGTGCAAGACTTTATCAAGAATTTGGGTAAAAATAATGGTTTTTATTGTTTTGTTTCTTTCTTACCTATTTTTAACTCTTTTTCTTTTTTTTTTTAAAGTTGGAAAATATATAGAGCCATTGGTGCGGATCCCGAAATACGAAGTAAAAAACTTAGAATGATTAAAAAAAAAGAATGAATCATTTCACTAACATCTTTTTTTTTTTTAAATAGATATGTATCGATGGTATCAAATTTTATTGTCATTATTAAAATTAGATATGTTCTTTTTCTTGGCTTATTCTATTCAATATTTGGTATTGGTGTTACAAATGACGGATTATGAATTTGCTTTGACCATTGTGGCCTTACCAGTGACCTGTCTCTTCTTGATTTTAATTGTTTATGCTGTTCGTCATGAATCTAGATATTTGGTATATCTTTTTTTCCTTGGTTTAGCGGCTGGATGTGCTTATTTTAGTTTCAAAATCTTCCGTATGTGTGATCCTTCTCAACAACAAAAATTCATGTATGTTCGTGAATTTTTAATCTTTTTTGCCAGTGTCTCTTTAACCTTGGTGGTTTTGACCATTGTGAATACTGCTATCTGTTTATTCAATTTTGACAAAGGATTAAAACCTCATTGTAAGTGAAATGATTTCTTTTTTTTTTTTATATGATGAGGATTCAAGATATATATGATTGATTCTTACTTTTTGTTTTTTTTTTTAATAGTATTACGAAATCAAACGAAATCAACAGAAAGTACCAACCAAGGTGATCGAACGTTATCATTGGATTAGTTAATATTATTCCCCTTTCCTTCCAAAACTTCTCGAACTGGTTTCGTTTCTTACTCTTACTAGTACTTTATTATCATTATACTATTATTATTACTATTATTATTTTGTGAATGTATCTCTCTTTCTTTTTCCCCCATCCACACATATACATATATATATCTGTCTTGTTCTTTTTTTTTTTCCCTCCCTTTACCAACTCATTACTCTTGGTTATTTTTTTTTCTTTTTTTGTATTTTATTTAAACACATACACACACATATTATCATCATCCCCCTTTATTTATTTTCTTCTTATTACTCCTTTTCATATACTTCATTTCTTGTTTTGTCTTCGTTCCTTCATATTAATTGTATAAAGACGAATAAAAATCAATACGAACATATATCATTCATTTGGTTCTTTCTTTTTTTTTGGGAAGATAGCAATGCTAATATACTAAAAAAAAAAAAAATAAGGTGAAAACAATAAAATCCAACTCAATGTCTATAGTTGAAGATTCTTTTATTTTTTCAAAAAGTAATATGGTATCAAGCAACAAAAAAAAAAAAAAAAAGAACTAGCCTATCAATGAATAATAATAATAATAATAATAATAATAATAATAATAATAAAAAGAATAATAATAATAAATAACACTAAAAGACTTACTATACTAAACTATGATGACCACATATTCCAATGAGCTTTCCTTGCTTCAGACGTCTTGACCCATTTTTGCCATTGAGGAAGACAAGTGTCATAGTAGTTATCATGATCGATACTTTCTTTGGTAGTACCTATAGGACAATTGCAACGACATCCAGTCTTTTTTGTAGGACAATGACGATAGAGATCATGTTGGTATCCAATATCTTCAAAATAATGAATTTGATCAGTTTCCAATAATAATCCAGCACCCAAAGAATGAACTATACATCAAATATATATATAATAAAAATTAGTTCATTTTGATTTTATTTTTATTTTTCTTCAAAATTTACCAGGAGCATCTCCCCAACGTTCATAAAAGAATTTCCCGGTTTGATCCAAATAATGGAAGAAGTCACGATAAGCAGGACTACGCCAAAGGTTCAAGGACGCAATTTCAAAGTTGGACCAAAAATGACAGTAATTGTACCCACTATTGTTTTCATCTTTGAAATAAGGGAATAAAAGTCGACTTTTTTCTGAAATATCAATTCGTCTTGATTTAGCATACTCCATCACCGTATCCCAAAGAGTCGGTATCGTATTTGGCATTTCCTTTAACGTTACCACAAATCCATATTGTTTCTTATGTTTTTCCATATATAAGAATGGATCATAAGTAATATCACAGAAGAATTGTACACCAGGTTCCACACGCCAGTACCAATCGTAACTATTTCCAAAATGAAAGAATAATACATATATATATATATATATATATATATACAATCAGTTTTATCCATCTATATTCAAATACATATATCTTTTTTTACTTACTTGTCCAAAAGAGGATGATCAAAGAAAAATCCAGATTGAAATCGACACATATGATGATAGCTTTCCTTTTCACCATACATGACACCATCCATAAGCATTTTTTCGCGACACTCAGCTGCATATGTTTCATTGACAAAAGAAGGATATCCCCAATGTTGTTGTTTATCAATCAATCCAAACTTCATAACTGCATTGGGAGAAGCCCGAGTCATAGCCATCTTGAATTCTTCAGTAAAAGGTTCTTCATTCAAAAATACATAGGGATAATGGAAATTCTTATTGAATTTGTCTTCGAGATTCATAATACTAGAAGCAATGCCTTCTTGTTCACTAACAAAGGAAAAAAAAAAAAAAGTTAGATGAATACTTTTTACTATATATTCATTTATACCTATTTCGAACCAAAATAACAAAAGCAGCTTTTGCTTTTTTCTTGGGAGGTTGGCGAGTCATATGAAGTTCAGGAAGACATACTGCTTCATCATAATTATCGTAATATGAAGTAGGTTGCATCGTTTGAGTCACTTTTGGATGACTAGCTACATGATATAAAAAGATGAACACAGATACAAAACCTAAAAGTAATAACGGTTTCCGTGACAAAGAGGAAAACGGTCGCATCTTTAGTTTGTTCAGTACAAAAAGATAAAGAAAAAAAAAGTTTTTTTTTTTTTTCTTATAAAAAAAAAAGCATCATCCTGAGCAAATCAAAAAATTAGCGGGGGATCAAATTGGAAATTATACAAAAAAAGACTTTTTTTTTTATTATATATATATATATCAGATCAAAAAAGTATAATACATAAATTCTAACCTAGAGAACAAATCTAATCTAATTCTTCTTGGTAATAGATGTCCAATGATGTTCGACTTGTTCCAAAGTAGGCACAGAAATCATTGATCCTTCACGCTGTACTGCAAGGGAAGCTGCAAAGTTGGCTTGTTCCAATGAATGTTGTACTCTGACAAAAAAATCTTCATTTTCTGCACTCACAAATGTTGATAAAAAGTATCCCTATAAATTATTATCAATAACATCAAAATCATCAGAAATGATATATATATATATATTATATGATTTATAAAAAAAAAAAAAATACTTACAACAAAAGTATCACCAGCAGCTGTTGTATCCTTGACTTTTACTTTGATACTAGGTACTTTGAAATCACGTACTTTGTCTTGATATCTAAATTTAGCTACCACACCTTCACCACCAAGTGTCACTACCAAACCTTGCATTTGATCAAAATGTTTGAAGAGTGCTGTTGCCAATTCTAATCCTTCTAGATTCGAATCACTTCCTTGTAGTTCCTTGTATAAATCAGCAGCTTCATGTTCATTTACCACCAAAATATCGATCTTGTTAAAAGGAAAGTCATTTATGATTCCTTTAGTCAATGGTGCCGGATTGAAAATAATAGACAATCCTATATAAAAAATATAAGTAAAATAATAATAAAAAAAAAATTATAAATAGTTTACCTTTTTCAGCAGCCAATCGCATAATATCACCTCCACCACTTATTTCATTTTGTTGTATAATCCAATCTCCAGGTCCAAAATGTTCCAACACCTTGACAGCATCGTCACCAGTATACGTAGCATTTGTTCCAGGGAATAGGACAATACAATTATCCCTAGTTTCCTCACTGACTTGAATAAAAGCTCGTCCGTTTTTCTATGATGATAAAAAAAAAAAGCACTTCAGATATAATAATATCTACTTTATTTTTCATTTTTTAAAACTTGCCTGATCCTCTGCAATTTCAGTTAATGACATATCCACACCATATTCTACCATTGTATCACGTACCTAAGGGAAAAAAAAAAAAAGTAGAATCATACTGAGTATAAGCAATTGAATTTAGTTTATACAATAAACTTTTCCTTACCCATTTGGCATCACCACCCATTCTTCCAGCATGGAAAACTTGACTGCCAGCCTGGAAAGAAAAAAAAAAAAAAATATTTAGTAAAGGACGAATAATGACAAACCCTTCATCAATAGTTTTCCATTTAAATCTTTTCTTCCTTTCTTTTTTTTTTTTTTTTTACCTTTGCCAAAGCAACAGATTGATTAGCACCTAAGTTTGATGAGAGAAAACAAGTTGTATAGGTTAAATCGCGTCCTAAAGAAAAGAAATGTATTTAATTACCTTTCCCACCAGCACGAACAAAGTAATTGGTGGACGAGAGAGTTTCACCAGACTTGCAAATATGAGGTACACTGAAAAATTCATCGATATTAGTTGATCCATAATTCAATATTTTACCCATGGTGATATATATATATATATATATATAAAAAGAAAGTCAAAAGAAAAGAGAGAGAAAGAGAAAGGAAAAAAAAATGCGCTAAATATGTAAAGCGTTCACTGCCTTTGAAATAAAGCGACACTGTTTTGATGTTCCGAATATCTGTATTGAACTTTATAGAAATAATGATATTATTTTAGGTCACAAACTACGAGATGACCTCGATACTGTACCAATGACACTATTATTTGAATTTCCTGCACTTTAAGGTTTTGTCCTTTTTTTTTTTTTTAGGATGTAAAAAGAAAGAAAAAATAACTGAATTATAACCTGAACAACGTCTGACAAACCATATAGTATTTGTACCATTATCTTATGTCTCCATACTACAATATCATCATTTTAATATCCATTCCTTTATTCAAGTGACATGCAAACATTTTATTGATCATCACTAAAGATGATCCTATTTTTACATCCAAATCAATCATCTATTGGATTTATCGAACAATCATCATATTTTTATTCTATTGAATTAGAACTGGCATTTATTATTTTCAGACATTATAAAGCATCAAAATCAAGTTACTGTATTTACAAAATTCAAAGGTAAAAAAAAAAAATAATAATAATAATAATTATAATCGATCACAAAAATTATCCTCCTGTTGGCAACGAAATTTACAGTGATTAGCTGAAAAAAAAAAAAAAAAAAACCTTCTCCATTCTGCCATTCTGTCAATTCTTACCATTGTGCCAATTCTCACTATTTGTATATTTTTTTTTTTATCGGTTTGACTTGGTTTTTTTTTTTATAAGTTGCAACTAGTTATTATGATTTTTTTTTTAACTTGGTTAAACAGATCTTTAATTTTTTCTTAATAAACTTTAAAAAGATTTAATCAAATCGTCTTGCCACTCTTAAAGAATCAATCATCCTAAGCTTTATTATTATTTTATTCTTTTCAAGCAATAATCACGCTTTTTATTTTCAAGTTCTTTCAATTTTATTGATCATCATCAACTGTGATCATAATAATCAAGACATTCATTTCCATATTTGGAACATACACTTAAATTTATTTTATATTATTTTGTTCTTTTTATAAAAGGAACTGATGATCACTAAAATCAATCTTCATAGATATTATTATTTTAGGAATGTCATCCATCTGTCGTATTTGCGTATTCCGTAACCATAAAACAAAAAATAAAGAATGCATTCACAAATAAAGAATAAAAAATACATCGTAAGATGGAATCAATTACAATGACGTGTAATAAAGTAGTAGGAATAAAAATAAAAGTTTTATTAAATAAAAATATAACCACTACAGATCACTAATTGATATACTATGATTAAAGTTGTTATAAAGAAAAGAAAGAAATAGAAGAAAATAAAAATATCTAAAAAATTATATAAAATACGGACTTCGAAAACCATTATGCTGATGGTCCATAATCACTACCAAGGAAGATACATATCAATGTATAATCTCTCCAGGGCAACTATCGTAATGAATCGCTATACATATGATGATAACATCACATCAATGAGAAATAAAATACTAATAAGATTATACTCCCTATATAACGGTATTACAAACAAAAAACAAAAAAAAAAAAAAACAAAAATAAAGTTTGATCATCAATCTTAAATATAGTATGATGATACTAATATTACGTATCACTCACCACGTACTTATATATAAGACCACCAAAACTTTTTGTGTAGATACTTTGTCTCTTTTTAACTATTTTTCAAAATAAAAAGAAATCTCACAGACTTGTTCTTGTCTCCTTTTTTATTTTTTTTTATTATCACTAACCATATTTACATTAATTCCACACCATAAAGAAATCCCAAGAAAATCAAAAAAAGGCCATGGACAAGAAAATCATCGAAGATATACGACAATGGAAACCTCCTTTCAAACTTGGTAACATAGTGACATTGTATAATGGAATCAAGGCAAATTCATGGGCAGGAAAAATATCTGACAAGTGGGACGGAATCTATATTGTACATCAAACTCTGGGTAAAGGAACTTACCTTATCAAGTCATATCAAGACAACAATCCTAGACTGAAACGAGTACATGGAAACCGGTTAAAGCTGTATCAAATACCTGATGTCTTTTGGAACCACTCCTTTGAACGCACCCTTGGAGATAATCTATAAAAAAAAAAAAAAAAAAAAAAAAAAAAAACTATAAATAAAAAAAAAAAAAATGAAAGTGAAAAAAAAAACAATAATCAAAACAATCATCATGACCAATTACCTTGATAACCTCTTAAAGTTGGAAAATTTTCAACCTGGTGAAGACAAACCGTCGAAGGATGCAACACAAGAAGGATTCTGTACCATGTTGAATCCCCACACATTCAAATTATTATCTACAATTAACAATGAAGTGGTTGATACCTTGCAACTCTTTGAAAATGAACCATCACTTGAAGAGGATACAACAAATGGAGAATGGACTACAGGAAGAAATATGAATATTAACGACAACCCATTTTTCAACCCTACCACACCTTTTAATCTAACGATTGAAGAAAGTGATAACTATCCGTTCCTAAATCCAAACAAGGCCTTCCAGCTTGATAACGAAGATGCCAAACATTTGTTGCGTATATTAATTCCCCCGTACCTACACAAAATCAAGGAGCTTCGGGATAAGCGAAAAAAAAAAAAAAAAGGGAGTAAAACAACAAAAAAAAAAAAAAAAAAAAGAAAGAAGATTAATTAAGCATCATGACTAATAATATCATCACTCCAACCCAAGACACCACACCCGAAACCTTTGACTGGGGCACCATTAGCTTTCCTGTAACCGAAGACTTACTTATTTCCATAAATACTAACACAAAGGACTTACAATCTATTGTCAATGGTGATGAAATTGACACACAGCAACTGTTTGTTCCTGACCAAACAACTGACGACCTCGTTTCAAATGACCTAATAGAAGAATGGAATACTGATAAAGAGATGAATGTTAATCCATTTCTCAATCCTGACAGACCCTTTCGACCCAGTGATGAAGAAGCCGAAACCTTGTTGCATATGACAATACCATGTTACCTATACAACCTAAAGGAACTGAAAGAAAGACAATTATATCTTCGAAAGGAGGAAACACTTAATCTGATACCTGTAAAGGAAAACAAAAAAAAAAAAAAATTGATAAAAACAAAAAAAAAAAAAAAGTTTTAAAGGTCCGTTTTTATTTTGTCTACAAATTTCATTTGTCTACAAATTTCGTTTGTCTTCAAATTTCATTTATAAATTCAATTTTGTTACAAAATCTTTTATATAAATAGTCCACCTTTTCTTTTCCTTTTTCTTTTTGGAGTTCAATCAGTCAATATATATTTTATTTTTTTGATAATAAAAAACATCCTTTTTCGTCCCATCTCAACTGTATTTGTGGATTACTATTTTTGATTGGCTCACTTTGTTCTATATTTAAAGTCAGAACAATTTTACTTTACTTTTACTTTCCAAATTTGGAACAAAACTTTATTTTTCTTTACTTTACTTTTTGTTTTATTTTATCTCTTTACTTATACGTGTGCTTGCGTAATCAAGTACTGGTGCTCACTATAATCATTATTCTCTTTCAATCATCCGTTTTACTTTTTCAATTTTGAACCTACAAACCAAAAAATCACCCAACACGACACCTTTGTCAATCATCACTAAGTTAGGATGGCCAAAAAAAAATCTTTAACGCACTTGATTGGTACATTTTCATATACCGAACAACATCAAAAAATAGTAAAAGAAAGCCCTACGGGGGGGTCGAACCCCCAACCTTGAGATTAAGAGTCTCACGCTCTGCCGATTGAGCTAGCAAGGCTGAGATATTTTCTTAGACTGGTAAGTACATTATCAATCTAATACCAAAATCGCGCAAAATGATTGGATAAAATTAGCCGTGGCGGCAATAATAAGGCCAATGAGAGGTAATGGATTATTTTTGGGACCATGCAGAGCAAATGTTAGTGTGATATTTGATTTTTTTTTTTTTTCCTTTCTTTCTTTTTCCCCCTTTCTCTCTCTTTTTTTTTTTTTTTTTTTTTTTTTTTTTTTTTTCATCTTTAGCAAATCATGAACTTGGCAGATTACTTTGAATGGACTATTGTAAGCAAAGGATGATTTAAAATATATAGGATGGATACGCGTTCTTTTATTCTCTTTGCCTTCAGTATTCACATTATTTTCTTTTTATTAGGACTTTGAAGGTCAACGACTTGCTGAAAACTTGACATATTATTTATTGATTGCTGCATCGGTAAGAAGAGGGCATATGGATGATAAAAATAAAAAAAAAAAAAGGAAGAAAAAGTTGGGGTGATTCATACGGTTGATACTTTTTTTTTTCCATTTTTTTTCCTTGTTTATATCATCACCATAAAGTTAGTAGGTTTTATTACTGGTTATGCTCTTGAATCCATTCAACTGACAGTATCCATCTTTGCTATTGGTTTGGCGGCTACTTTTTTGGTAAGTTTTTTCTTGATTGACATGATGACAAAACCTACATGGTACTCATTTTTCTTTTTCTTTTTTTTTTTTTTTTTTTTTTTGTTTTTGAATGTAGTTTGTCTTGCCACCTTGGCCAATGTACCGTCGTCATCCTATTAATTGGAGCAAAAATGAAAATGAATCCGCTGCCGACAAAAAGGTAGACAATAAGTCTGCATCAAACTCATCATAGGATGATACCCAAACAATAAGGATGATCTTTGTTATATTTGATGGATAATAGTTGATTCAAAGATTACATAGTGTATATTGAATTTTTTTTTTTATTTGATAACAAAGATCTGTTTGAATAAAGATGATGATGTTGAATACAAATGATGATAATGATGGGATATGACTACAAAAAAAGATAATGGATATGCTAATGAAAGATGGGACAAAAATAATAGAATACAGCTAAACTATGACACTATACTATTACTACTACTACTACTACTACTACTACTACTACTACTACTACTACTACTATTATGAGATCATTCATCAATCCGAATCATCCGTGTCGTCAAGATGAGTTGCTGATAATGCCATAGCACGTTGGAATTCTTCTGCAAATTCGGCAATAGAGCGTCCATCTGATAGATCAATCACATCCTTCGGAACCATATTAGTGGCAAATCTTGGTGCGTTGCAAGCGATTTCTGAAGCTTCAATAGTGGAGGCAATGATCCTGATTTCAGGTTCTTGATTATTCACATCAACTATAAAAGACAACTATTTTATAACCGTACACTAGGGTGAATTATCTTTTTTTTTTTTTTTTTAAATCTTACATGTTAACAATTCATTCCATGAATAAAGTAAACCATCCGTTGTTGTATCAAAAGGATTGAAATCAACTAGCCATACTTTTTGTCGATCCTGTTGAACATAAACATCAAATACATCTAGACACAAAAAAAAAAAAAAATGAATGATCAATTTTGAAATGAAATGTTATTAACAAGGATATATCTTCTTTTACTTACATTCTGTACCAGGGAATCCATCACGAATATGATCTTCGAAAAACTCATATATCTTGGTTTCCAGTTCTTGTTGAATGTCCAATAAAAAGTCATAATATGTTAAATCACGTTGAGAAATACCTATATTATATATATAGAAAAGTTAAAGTCGATATCTATATATACATGTATTTGACTTACCAATCAATTCCTTGTTTTTAACAAAACATCGAAATTCCAGAGAAGGTTGTAAATCATGCCATTTTCGAAGGATCAAGTTATACGATATATTAGTAGGTTCTTGTTGCTGGCAATGATCAAATGCATGATTGAGATCGTGATTGATAAAATCGGATGATTTCAGTAATAGATAGACATCAAAGGGTGAAGTACATTTCAGTGATTGTGTTGCTGTGATCCAAGCAGCATCCTACCAGAACATAAAAAAAAAAAAAACAGTATTAATAGAAACTACTTTTATTTATTTCTTTATGAATACCCTCGGAGAGCTCCAGTTTAGTTTTGGAAATACGGCACCACCGAATTCATCGATCGCTTGTCGAATAGCTTGTTCTACTTGAGGAAAGTGAGGAATCTGTAAGAAGAAGAAAAAAAAAAGAAAATGATCAGATGTAAGTATATCATGTCAATATTACTTACGTTTTCTTGAGTTATATCATTGGTAGCATCGTCTTCGTCAGAGCTGTCAAGTTCTTCAATGGTGGCGGCTGCCTGAGGTTGACTAGTAAAGAAAGAAAAAAAAAAAAAAAAGAGAAAAGTAAATATGTATTTCCATTATGAAGATTAACTTACCCATCAGTTGGTAAATAAATACCATCGGCATTAAGATAATCGATGAATTCAGTTGATAAAGGAATTATTTTTGATTTGAAGGTCACTGAGCGAAATGTGTCATACCATGAAGAGAAAGAACATTGTTGAATGTTTTCTACAGTTACTACAGGATTTGTTGCTTCGTCGTTAAATGTATCAATGATAGTAGAGGGAGTAGGAATAGGTTCAGTCGGTACAGGCATTTCAATAAATAGAATAAAATAAATTAAAATAAAGCGAAAAAGAAAAAGACATAAAAAAAAAGAAAATGTTTTATTGGAATAAAGAAAGAGAAATATTGAAACACAGCATCAGCGATAAGTTTTTTCTAAACCATGTCAGCAAAATTCTTAGGAACAGGGCCAGTAGGTTCACCTTCAGGAGTCTAATATAATTTTTGTTAAAAATGACATTTTATGATAACTTTATTTCACTTACTACATAAGCAGCACTTAAACCACCATCCACACGGAAATCAGTTCCAGTGACAAAAGAACTTTCATCAGAAGCAAGGAAAAGTGCACCATTAGCTTGTTCAATCGCTTCACCTATGATTATATATATATAATGTAAGAATTTGTTTCAGCTTATTATTCATCTACTTACCAAATCGACCTTGAGGAACATGTACCAAACGTCGTTGTTTCTTTTCTTCAGTATTCAAGAAATCCATCAATAAAGGTGTGCGAATAGGACCGGGACATAAAGAATTGAATCGAATATTTTCACGAGCATGTACCATAGCAAGTTCACGACTATCAAAAAAAAAAGAGTTGATTATCATCTTTTCTTTTTTTTTGAATAATAGTTACTTACGTCATAGCAAGAACAGCACCCTTTGAAGCAGTATCTATCCAAAAAAAAAAAAGAGAGATTAGAAAATAAAATTTTCAATGGTATATAAAATTACTTACAAGCCAATTGAGGAGTAGCAGCACCCATCAAGGCAACAAAACTAGCAGTATTAATGATAGATCCACCTCCAGTTTTACGCATAGCAAGAATGGCATGTTTACAACCAAACCAAACACCTTTCACATTGATATCCATAGTCAAGTTCCAGATCTTTTCTTCAGTATTCAAAGCATTATCATCTTGAGGATGCATAATACCAGCATTATTGAACATCACATCCAATTTACCTATATATAAAACGCGTCAATGAATTTTCATTCATCTGTTTTTTTTTTTTGACATTTAAAGTTATTACCAAAAGTAGTGACAGCTTGTTGTACCAAAGCTTCCACTTGTTCCTCTTTAGAAACATCTACCTTGACAGCAATGGCACGGTTGGGACCAAAAAGGTCAGTGATTTTTTGGACAGTAGCTTCAGCACCTTTATCATTCAAGTCAGCACATACAACCTTGGCATCTTCACGAGCAAATAAAAGAGCTGTTTCAAATCCAATACCACTTTTTTTTTTCAGGTTAGTTAACCATTTACTTTTTTCCTTTTTTTTTTTTTTTTTTTTTTTTTTTTTTTTACCTTGCAGCACCAGTGACAATGGCCACTTTTCCAGTAAGACGATTACCAAGTTGCATATTTATTAATGTGAAAAGAGATATAGAAAAGAGAAAGAAAAAGGAGAGAAAATAATAATAAAAAAAATAAAAAAAGTGTGGGAAAGGTTTTTATTTTCCTTGTCGAAGCTTATCGGGACTTGAAGGTTGGGGCAATGGCATATGTAATAAAGTTCAACAAGTGTGAAGATAGGATAGAGTTTAGTTCACGTTTGATCTATCTTTGTGGAGAATGAAAATAAAAATTGTTTTAGTTTCATGGTTACCAATGAAAAGAACGCGACAGTTTAGATAAATTATGGTGAGTGTAACCATTCTTTTTTTTTTCACTCTCACACTTTTCTTTAAAAAAAAAGAAAAAGAAAAAGGGGGGGCGGGATTGAAATTGACCACTACAGGCACACACACACACGCACACATCTTACCAGCTCCAAAAAAAAAAAAAAGATAAGATATCCTTTTTTTTTTCCTTTTCTCTTTCCTTTTCTTGAACTCCTCTTCCAAAATAAGCAATCTTTTTTTTTTTTTTTACTATGCAGTCTTCTAACTTTTATCACCATCCACCTTCCTCTTCCGCACAAAACTATCATTTACTAAATCAGCAACAAGATGATAGATTCAAATACCCAACCTCCTCTGTTATGCAACAACCTACTTCATCTTCTACAATACCAGATAACAATATTCATCCTATGGTACCTCAAGATATAGAAGATGACGATGATTTAGGTGAAGAAGACTCTGATGATGGTAAGAAACCTGGAAAACGTTCTGGTAGAAGAAAGATCAAGATTGAATATATTAATGACAAGACACGCCGGCATATTACCTTTTCAAAAAGAAAAGCTGGTATTATGAAAAAGGTAATAATATATATTTGTTTATATGTAGAACTTAACTATATATTTTCTTTTTAGGCCTATGAACTTAGTACTCTTACTGGAACACAGGTATTATTATTAGTAGTCAGTGAAACTGGTTTAGTGTAAGTCTATATAAAAAAAAAGAGTGTGGGAAAGGATACACTATATACTAAGAAAATATAGTATTTACCTGGAAAATACAAAAAAAAAAAAAAAAATATAGACTTATGAATTCATTTTATTAGGTATACTTTTACAACTCCAAAGTTACAGCCATTGGTGACCAAACCTGAAGGAAAGAATCTGATCCAAACTTGTTTGAATGCTCCTGATTCTACTGATGATCAACAAGAAACTTACAATGAATAGTATTCCCCCCCTCTTTTCATTTATCTCCTACCCCACACATTATATATTGTTGTTATTTAGAGATATTCACCACAAGTACATCACTCCATCAATGATTATTCTCTCTCTCTTTTTTTTCCCTTCCCTTCAAGTTTGCAAATCTAGTCATCAATTATCAACCATATTTGTATTCCCCCCCCATTTTATCCCAACATCTTCTTATTCTATTTTTTTTTTCTTTTGGCAATATATATACACACATATCTATATATTTGAATGAATAAAACATAAATTTTTTTATTTTTATTATTATTATTATTGTTTATTTTCAAAATGTTTGGGTAAACTACGAATGTATACTACAAGTGATATAACTGCGTAAATTGGTATAGAGTGGATGGAGACAAACTGCGTAGAGTAACATATATAAAGGGTAAATCCAATTTCAAATGAATCAATACAAGATCTTGTTCTAATGCTTTATAAGCCAAACATTCCTGTTGAACAGTATCTACCACATTAAATCGCCATTGATCTTGTAACCATCGAATGATCCTTGTTCTATCGTCGTCTTCTTGTTGGAAAAATTGATGATAATGAGAAGAAGAAGGTGCCTTGAGTTGACATTTATGTTCATGTTGACAAGATAACCAAAATGAGCCAAATTCATCCGTTGTCATTATCGTGTCATTTCCATCTTGTTGATCCTTTATTTCCATATCAATCAGACTAGAGATCATCGATGTCTATACATATAAATAAATCAATCCATAATCCTTTCATATCATATTTAAATCAGTCTTACCTCTATACTTTGATCCTCTTTCTTTTCATACAAAGAGCTCATGGACCATTTCTTCTTCTTCTGATCGTCAGTACTACCACCACCACCAATATAGATGAATGGTAGGAAAAAAAAAAAGTCAGTGACATTTGATTAACAAATATGGTATACAACAAGCATTTTCATAACCTACCGCTCGGACCACTTTTTGCCTCGATATGGATTTGATTGTGCCTGGAAATCGGAGAATGATTCCTCTTCTTGTTGAATATCGTCATCTAATAGTAAAATCAATAAATAAAACTTGATCAACTTTCATGAATTCATTCTCTTCCATACCTGATTGAATTTCTTGTTTTTGAGATAATTTTTTTCCAATAGACTTGTCATTTAAAGGTATATTCGGACGCGTTTGTATGTTCTTGACAAATTCCATGTCCTTCAAAAGCATCAACATCTCACGTGCAATCTATATATTTATAAAAAAGATATGGTTAGTGATAAATAAGTCCAAATTTGTCTTGTTCTTTTGCCTCTCGTTTTTCACTGATAACTGAGTGTAAAAAATCGGTCTTCAGAATGGATTCCAAACTTGATAGATAACATTTGGATCGTATGACACATCGTTTCACAGCCTGTAAACCACATACTTGTAACCAAGGATCTTGTAGGAAAAAAAATATATATTAATGACTCCATCCTTTTCTCCATATTTTTTTTAATACCTTGAACCAACATGATATGTTTCTGTAATTGTTCCATGATTTTGATTTCCGTATCTTCCGTCGAAAGGTAAGCATATTCACCTAATGTCTATAAAAGTAAAAGTCAAAAAATTGAGTCGCGTGTCCAAGTCTGCTGATAAACATTTTGACTCTAATCTTTTATATTTTATTTTACCCAAAACGCAAATTGTACCAAATAGGGCGAAAGATCATCATTTTGGGATCGACTTGTCAATAAGGTGCACATGCTATCTACTGCAGTTGTTCGTAACTTTGTGTCATTCATATCATCCAATAAAACTAAAAAAAAAAAAAAAGAAGATCAATAATATATGATCTGAATGGAGGTATGAGATCTTACTTTGTTTCATTGTTGCACATCGAGTTTCCATATCATCATCCTCCAAAGTATTTCTAGTTATGGCCAGAGTCATGATCATTGTTTTTATCCACCATTCATTCATATTGTCCTTGTATTTGTCCATTTGATTGAGAAACCATTGAGAGAGAGAAAGAATGGTGATGTCTTCAGTACTTTGTCGAATAGATTGCATCATATTTTCATGGATAAGATAAAGAGTTTGTTCCGTGGTGACACAAATATCTAATACGGCAAGCGCCTAAAAGAAAGGTGAGAAAAAACAAAAAAGAATATACTTTTTTTTTATGTGTTATAAACTTACCTTGGATATTACAACAACGTCATCTACACATGATAATATAATATTTATCACTAAAAATCCGTCTTTCCAATCATCATGCCATAATTCAATGGATTCCAGTCGAGTCAAAGCAGTCAAACCCAAATAATTCATTGTATGGTTTTTGGCCTTTAAAAATGGATCCAAAATATAAAAAGGATTATCATCATTGTTACAAATAAGATTTGATAGTAAAACAGTATCCATGGAAGAGAGTAGTTTCATACATTCAAAGATAATAGCTAAAAGAGGTAAAAAAGAGATTGTATGAGAGAGATAAAACAGCGTAATCCTTTTTTAAAATGTTTTTACCATAAGCAGCATCTACTTTATTTTCCACCGCGGATAAGCATTTCATCACAAAGTCGAATAATTCTTTTTGTGACCTATTAAAGTTCATAAAAGACAAGTATTAAATACAAATGAAACTATAACTTTATAATATATGATCTTTACCCAATATTATGCTTAAGATAAATATCATAGATTTGTAAACAAGTGATTTGAGCCCATGGAGCAAGTACACCATGATATATAAATCCAGTTTGAACATGTTTATTCAAGATTTGTTGATGGATTTGTAGAAACCTTGGTAATAAATCTTGATATAATTCAACTTTTTCCTAACAAAAAAAGAATAACAGTTGAATTTTTGTCATCCCCGAATCCTTCCAGTATTATCTAATAAAAACGTACCAACAAGATTGCTTTCCATATTTCAAGAGCAGCAAAAACAACACTAATATCTTTATCCAGCAAAGCCGCTTTTAATAAAGGTTCCACTTGACCCAATAGATTTGGTGATCGACGATAAAACCAGTAGAGCGCGTAAACGCCTTTTTTCCGTACTACTTGCCTTTATTGATAAAATAATAAAATAATGAATGAATGATAATATAATGATTTATATATATATAACATACTTAGATGATTCCATAGTTTTCATAGTAGGTTCCAAAAGATGATCAGCCATTTCCAAATGATCCATATAACATATTGCATTTAAAGCTGCACAATTATCCAAATAATTTGTACTTTTTAAATCCTAGAAAAAATTTCAAATCAAAATTCAATATATATATAATCAATATTTTTTTTTTTTTTTTTTTACCCTTTGAAGTGTATTGATAAGCATTATACCGAGATCATGCTGTTTGTTTAACAATAAAGTACAAACCAAGTAACCTATTTTAATACAAAAATTATCATTTACTATTCATCATATGAAAGTCTTATTTTATTTATTTACCCACGCGTCTTTGAGCTGGAGTATCTCCACTTTGAGTTGTCATAATAGCATATATTAGTCCCATATCCACATTATAACCAAGAAGAGAACAATGAATAAGTTCAATCAAATATTCATTCATATCAGTCTATAAATATATTTATATATATATATATATATATCAATATCATTATTAAATGACTTTCTTTTTTTTTTTTTTTCTATTTTACCGAAGTAACATCAGGTTCACCCATTTTTTTTGATAAAATATATAATTCATTATTAACAAGGTCATATTCTTCCTACATTACATATAAAGTATATATAATTAATAAATAATAATAAGAATAATATTAAAAAAAAAAAACTTACGGCTTTTGTTTTTGCTGAGGTAACTTTTTTAATAAATTTATAAAAGTTTCTACTACGACCAGAAACAAGATATTCTGATTGAAGATAAGAAGTATGAAGTGTGGATTCAGTCATGAAGTAAGAGAAAAAGAGAAACGACCTAAAGTAGCGGTATTTCAAATATGATTGGAAGGCATTGTCTTCCAAAATAACCACGTGGTGTCAAAGAAAAGAACACAAGTAATAATAATAATACAAAAAAAAAAAAAAGATATAAAAAAAAGTTCCTTTTATGAAAAAGGAATAAAAAGATAGGGAAATGGTGCTACAGTGAGAAAAGTATAAAAAAAAAAAAAGAATGCAGGCTTATTTGGTTGGATAATGTAAATTTTAGGAAAATGATGCCTAAAAAAGTCATTCAGTGGGTTACATCTAAAAAGTATAATTGGATAAAAAAGAAATCTGGTTCCTTCCTCTTTTTTTTTTCTTCTTCTTTTCTCTTTTTTTTTTTTTTTTTTTTTTTTTTTTTCTTCCTTATTTCTCTATATTGATTATACGATAGAAAGGATGTTTTATGAAAGTACAAAACGACCACGTCATCGTCAAATGTCAATGGATTTATCATCACCTACTTCAGATATTGGATCTACTTCAACATCATCATCATCACAAAGTCTTTCTTATTACATGGATCAACATGATAATAGATATCATCAATTAATGGATGATCTTTCAATTATTGATGATATATATAATACTTATGATCATGATCAATTGACTTTAACTATTGGTAAATTCTTAGATTCTTTTTGTGTTACGTTTATCTTATCTTTTTTATATATATATATTTTTTTAAATAAATAGATAATCAAGTAGCTTATTCTACAAAGAATGGTGTATTAAAACAACAATTAGTACAACATTTGATACAAACAGAAACACAATTTTTGGATGATCTAGATATATTTCAAAAATATTTTGTCTCAAAATTACCTTATTTTATGTATCCTAAAAACAAATTGGCCTTTCAACAAGAAGATTGCGACATCCTATTTAAGCCCGCCACAAGTCTCATTTCGGTTCATCAAACTTTGTTGGAAGAATTGCGTCAAAGGTACTGATCATACATCATCACTTTTTTTTTTTTTTATTTTACTTTATTGTGTCGATCTTTTTTTTTTATACATTTATTATTTTATTTTATTTTTTTTTATATAGACTTTCAATTTGGGGTCCTACTCAACTATTATCTGATCTCTTTTATCGATTTGTACGTCCAATATATATATATATTCTTTTCTCATCTTTATCTTTTTATTATTATTATTAGTATGATCACATGGATACCATTTATACTAATTATATGACTAGTTTTTCTTCTACTTTGATGACTTTGGATCGATTACATAAAACTCCTGCCTTTTTAAAATTTTTGGAGGTAAAAAAAAAAAAAAAAAAAATTAAATAGTTCCGCTCATCTCTTTTCTTTTTTTAGTCATGTCCATTGGAACAACTTCAAGACTTTGGTTATTATATTCGACTTCCTCTTACCCGTTTATCTTTATATACACAAACTATTTGTCAATTTACACAACTGAGTGAACCAACTCATCCTGATTATAATCCTTTAGTTCATATTTGTCACAAGTTTAAAACAAGACAACATCAATGGCAAAACATGTAAGTCATATTCATTTTTTAATTTTATATATATATCTCATATTTTATTATTATTATTATTATAGGATAGACAATTGCTTATCTCATTATAGAGTATATGAATGTTTTCGTCTGGTACAAAACTCACCTGCTCTTGTGACACCTACACGTCGTTTACTCTTACACAGCGAACTGATTCATGTAGATCCCAACTCACCTACCGATACTTCTGATAAACGCATCTATATTCTTTACAATGATCTCTTTATCTTTTGTAAACGACAAAAAGACGGAAAACTTCACTACAAAGGTATTGTGATTCTTGACAAGACAGTACTCAAACCCATGGATCCCAAGATTGTCAACAAGATCTATGAGAAACATCAAAAGTCAGTTCAAGGTAATGGAGGAAGAAAACTCTCTATTTTTGGATCAAGGCGGCAAAATCAAGCCACTCTTACTACTACTAGTAGTAGTAGTAATAGTAGTAGTAGTAGTGGGTCTTCAACAACATCATCAACCACAGAAGAATTTGGTGTGTATGGACTTGAACTTTTTTTCCAATTCATTATGGACAACAATGTGATCAGTTATTCCAATCCTATCGGTGGTTATGGAGGTGCTTCTGTCAGTAGTACCACTTGCTCAGATTCTATTCGTCGACATATTTTACGCACAAGTTCCTTGGAAGAACAAAATTTATGGATGGATCACTTACGACGTGTTATACAATCTGTTACTGCCGCAGGTCGATGATCTTGTTTGTAATTCTCTTTTATTTTTAGTTATTTATATGTAGTCTATGTATCTGTTATTCATTCTTTTATTCTTTACTCTGTATATTATTTTATTTCTCACATACTATTTTTTATTCCTTTCCTTTATCATGTTATCCCCCCAGCTTAGGAAAAAAAAAGTTGTATTATATAAATTTGATCTTTTTTTTTTTGACATACTTCTCTTAATTATTAAGTTTTTTCTTGATTGTAATTTTATGAAGATAATATCTCTGATGAACCATTGATGAGATGATGGTTGATATGTTGGTGGACCTTATGGTTCTTTCTGTTACATGTCAAGATGATTTTAAACATGATTGATTTCTTTTTTGTTGAATACGCTTTTTATTTATTTATTTATTTATTTGTTTTATTGTTGATGATGAAGTGACTATATAAAAGTTTGATATAAAGTGTATACATATATAAATAAAGAAGAATATATATATATATATATATATATATATAAAAGAAAGACTAAAATACTAAACTGAGTGAATGATGAGGAGGGGAAATACTATGATTAATGTTGAGACCATTGGATACTCTTGATATCAATTCCTTCTTGATACTATAATTGGATAAAAAAAAAAGATTCATGATGAGTGGATGATTGCTTCTTTTTTTTTTTTTTTTTTTTTTTTTTTTTTTTTGTTACTCTTACCATTTCCCAAAGAGGAGACATTTCACGTAATTTGTGTACATGTTGTCGTACTTTTTGAACCACGAAATCGATTTCTTCTTCAGTGGTGAAACGACCAATTCCGAAACGAATAGAACTGTGAGCCATTTCATCATCGGCACCCAAGGCACGTAACACATAGGAGGGTTCCAGAGAAGCAGAAGTACAAGCCGAACCTGATGATAATGCAATATCCTTCAAAGCCATCAATAAAGATTCACCTTCCACATATGCAAAAGATAAGTTTACACAACCAGGATAGCTAGATTCGGCATCACCATTTCGTGTCACTTCTTCAACGTGGGAGGTAATACCATCAACCAACCGGTTGGCCAATCGTTTGATACGTTCATGATCATACTATAAAAAAGATAAACAAATGTCAATATCATAGATTATTCATATTTATATATATATATAAAGAAAATAGATATAAAGAAAGCCTCAAAACCCCTGCACATGAATCATAGCAGTGACAAAAATTTCACCACTCTTTGTTCAAATACGTTTTTTTTGTTGATCATGTTTTCCGTGCACCCAAAAAAACAATAAAAAAGGGACACGATTCATCATTGGCAAAATATATCTATTTTCCTTTCCTTTTTTCTATTTTCTTACCTCCATTTCTTCAGCAGCAACTCTACAGGCTTCACCAAATCCAACAACAATAGGAGTAGGGACAGTACCACTACGAATACCACGTTCTTGACCACCACCGGATTGAACAGCTTCCAAACGAACACGAGGACGGCGACGAACATAAATAGCACCAATACCTTTAGGACCATACAATTTGTGACCAGAGATAGACATTAAATCCACATTCATTGCATTGACATCTAAAGGAATTTTGCCTACAGCTTGAGCAGCATCTGTATGGAAGAATACCTTTTTACTACGACATAACTTTCCAATTTCTTCGATAGGTTGGATCACACCAATTTCGTTGTTAACAGCCATGATGGAAACAATTGCTGTATCGGGTCGGATGGCTGCTTCCAATACCTTCAAATCCACAAGACCATTGTTTTGTACGGGTAAATAAGTCACTTCGAATCCTTCTTCTTGAAGTACACGACATGAATCCAAAACACATTTATGTTCCTAGTCAAATAAAAATAAATGAATCATGATATAATCAATTTTTTTTTTTTTGGTTCCTTACAGTTTGAGTTGTAATAATATGCTTTTTCTTGTTCTTGTAAAAACGAGCAACGCCTTTGATACTCAAGTTATTTGATTCAGTAGCACCAGAAGTAAAGATGATTTCCTTAGGATCAGCACCAATAAGCTTAGCAACATACTATATAATAAAATAAATAATTTATCAGATTTCCATCTGAACCGAGATTCCCCGCAGCAACCATCTTGACACATGCCCAACCCTTTTTTTTTTTTTTTTTTTTTTTTGTCTATATCAGATTTTTTTTTTCTTATCAAAAACTTACTTCACGAGCCTTATCCACAGCCTTTTCACTTTCCCAACCATAAGGATGAGTTCTTGAATGAGGATTTCCATAGATTTCAGTCATATAAGGTAACATGGCATCCAATACTCGAGGGTCCATGGGACTTGTTGCTTGCATATCCAAGTAAATAGGTCGTCCTGCAATTTGTACTGATTGAGATTCGAAGCCAAGTGAATCTATCATTAAAAAAAGAGAGAGAGAGAGAGAGAGAGAGATCAAACAAGGAATTGAGTATATTAATAATAATAAAAAAAAAATAATGATATTTACCAGAACTAGGTGTGATAGTTTCAGTAGCCACAGCAGCTTGATGAGTCATGGTAGAAGTAGAGAATGAATATATACTTGCAGGTTTCCATGTTCTTTTCAAAGCCATAGCGAATTGACGATGTAATAAACCATGTTGTTGAACAACTGTTTTTTGTAATCTATTTCCAAACATTGTTGTAAAAATATGGGAATTTAATAAAAGAAAGAAAAAAGAAAAAAAAAATAATAATAAAAGAATAGTTTTAAGGTGGGGGGCGGAAAACAAAACAAGTGCGGATTGGGAAGGAAAAAGAGATGTTTATATGATTATGTGTGACTGAGAGCCAAAATTGGTTATTTGTTAGCGAACCAACCAATGATGAATGATTTTGACGAAATAGGTGTGTTGCATGCCTGAACGAGGTACTTTGAAATGAAAAAAAAAAGACTTCTATCATCATCACTACTGCTTGTACAATGAAAATTTGTATGATGATGATTTGTATGATGATGATTTGTATGATGATGATGATTTGTATGATGATGATTTGTATGATGATGATTTGTATGATGATGATTTGTATGATGATGATTTGTATGATGATGATTTGTATGATGATGATTTGTATGATGATGATTTGTATGATGATGATTTTTGCGTGAAGATAAGAATCCAGGACGACGAACCTTATATATAGTTATGTTTTCTACAACTCGGCGGGAGATCGTCAACCCAAGTGTACTGTGAAAACAACCATCAGCCAATGAGGTACCACAAAAAATAATAATCTAAAATGGAGTACGTTAAACAGAATAGAAAGAGAAAGTTTTTCTTTTTATTTCTAAATGTAATAGGATAAATGAGGATATATTTATATATATAAAGGAGGAGATAGGGAAAGAAATAGAATGTAGGTATCAAATAAAAAAAAATATATATATATATATGTATGTATGTGTGTGCGTGTGTGTATATAAAATACTAAATATGATATAAACTAAAATTTTTTTGGGGGACATAATAACAACGTTACTAATGAGTTATAATGATTCATAATGATGTTCATTGTAAAGGGCATATGCATATGAGGAAGAAGTAGAGCTAGCCGGATCGTGATGTTGTTCATAGAGTAAGGAATGTGTTGTAGTTGTTGTAGGAGAAGAAGTCAACTGTTGTTGCGGAGGAGGTACATATGAACAGGCCAGAACAATTGGATCAGATACAGGCATATGATTGGCAACCGCAATAGAAGTCGAGAAAGATGAAGACGAAGAAGGTGATGATAATATTGGCGATGACGAGGAAGATGACATGGGTACAAAATTGGTAGGTAGTTGATCTGGTGATATGGGTGTTAATTGTGCTGGAGTTCTTGATGTCGTAGTCATAGGATAGGAAGAAAAAGTCATAGTGGATGAATTCCATTCATTAGGATGAGGTGATGAAGAAGAAGAAGAAGGTATAACGGTAGAATAGACTATAGGAGGTGATGCCATTTTTGTAGCCGTTGTTAATAAGGATGGAATTGATTGCGATACTGATGATAAAGAAGGAGAGGATGATGATGATACTATGGTATTATTCTTTTGTTGTTCAGGCGAAGGTGCTGAAAAAGTAGAACGAGGTGGTTGATGTTTCTTTCGATGAATTGCTGCTGTTCTTGCCACAGGTCTTGGTACAATGACACCAGCTGCTTCGTGACCTTTGACGTGTTTTCGAAGTGATCGAGAATGAAAATAGGCTTTGGTACATCCATTCACAGGGCATGAGTAAGGGCGTATATTGCTATGTGTTCGAATATGACTATAAATAAATAAATAAATAAAAAATGCTCAATGTTAAAAACTTGATTTGGGTGAACTGCATGTTATTTCCATTTTTCCTTACGTGTTCAACGAATCAGGACGAGAGAATCGCTTGTTACAATCTACATGATACAAAAAAAAAAAAAAAAGTCATGCATGAGTATATGCAGAGAATGAAGATAACAAATTCTTATTACCAGGAACAGTACAAACAAAAGGGCGTTCACCAGTATGAGTACTATTATTATCAAAAAAAAAAAAAAAAAAGGTTGAGTCAATCAGTGATAGTAGATGATAGATATTCCATTCCATTATTTTTTGTTCTTTACCGAAGATGATTATGCATCTTGTGACGTTTCATAAAGGGTTTCTTGTTTCTTGCACAACCAATCCATTCACAATGGTAAGCAGCCTATATGATAAAGATATAATAGAGAATTAGTAGGAGAAATTTGGGACATTGAACCACTATTATAGTTTTACCTTGCCACTGCCAATATGTGTTTCCCGGAGATGTGTAATCAATTCATCCAATGTAGCAGTTTCGGTTCGGCAATTGATCCAGCGACATAAATGGATATCTTGTACTTGGCCTGAAGATTCATCCTGGGAAGATTCTCTTTTTAACTTCTTTTTTTCTATAAAGAGCAAAAAGAAAAAGATGGTGTGAGAAAAAAAATTTTTTTTATATGATCTTACTTTTGAGGACTTACCCGATAACCAATCCGATGGAGAAGCAGATACGGAAGAAGAAGAAGAAGTGGTACGTCTTTTTTCTTGTTCAAGTTTGACCACTCTTTCAATTAATTGAGCTTTTGACAGATGACCAAATAAGGAAGAAGCAGATGATAAAGTATCTTGATCAGCATCTGAAAAAGAAAGTTCTTCTATGACAGATGATGAAGTACAGGAAGAAGATGTTTGATCCAAAGTAGCATTCATATCATCCACGGTAGTACATAAAGTAGAGGAAGAAGAAGGAGAGGATGAAAAAGAAGTTTGGTGAATTCGATCTTCTGTCATGCCATAAAATGTCGATGAAGAATACGGAAGAGTGTGACGTTCGTTTCTGGCTTGGGTACTCGTTGTTTCCGTTGTTGTAACACAGTTTTGAGCACATTCATTGGGGCTCTATTTCAAAATAAGAGTGTGATAAATATAGAAATGAGTACGACTTACAAAAAGGGAAAATGAATTTTTGATATCCCCCAACTTTTTTTTTCTACTTTTCTATAGTGTGCTTACCTTAGGATGTTTCAACTCCAGTTCACTAGGGAAGTCGGCATAAAAGGGCAAACTGATATCATAGGCAGATTGATTGAATACCCCAATAGGTGAAGGTTGATCCATATTCAGACTAACAGATGGTGATTCCTCAATACTTGTATGTGATAAAAAGTGGTCCAAGTGTGATTGAGATGGTATCATCATAGCATGTTGAATACCTGTTGAGACTGGTGTAGCAGGTGGTGTGTGCGACCATTCATGATTATGATCATTATGGGAAATCACTTTTCCTATCGTCATCATCATCATTGTTCAACAAAAAAAAAATAAAAATTAACGTTTAGCGAAAAGAACCCTTGTGAAGTAATTTTTACCTTGAGAATAATCGTACAATGGAAGTTGAGATGGGTATTGTAACTTGTATGATGTTTCGTTTTGCTGTAGTGGCTGAGGAGATGAAGGGATATTCATAGTATGAATATAATGGCAGTGGATGATCGATTGAGTTTATGATGAGAAAGGGTCTACTGAGAAAGAAAAAGTAAAAAAAAAAAAAAAAGTGTTTCATAAATAAATAAATACTTTCACGTAAATAGTAGTTTTGCTTAAAAATCACCTTTCAAAATCAAAGCAGGAAAGTGATTCAGCCGAGATTTTTTTTTTCCTTTCGTTTGATTGACAGAATGTGATTTGAGTCTAAAAAAAAGAATAAATCAGTTGACCTGAATTTTTTTTGTATTAATAACAATGGGCGCACAGACAATTACCGGATATCAAATTATAAGAAAACTAAAAAAAAAAAAAAAAAAAAGAAAATAGTGGAAAAGGAAAAGAAAGAAAGAGAACGAGAGAAAATAAGAATGATCAAAAAAACATAGGCTGACCCTTTTATATGTAATTCAAATTCCGCTTTATAACTTGATTGGCTGATACGGCAATACGATTTTAAAGAGATTGCATAATGTTTACTTATATATAAATTTGTATAGTATATATTTACCGCAATAATAACATCTGATATGTGGTATGATATTAATGATATCGTCAACCAAAAAAAAAAAAGGTTGATATTTTCACTCTACCTTTTTTTTTTCTCTTTTGGCTCAGTTAAATGAAGAACAAGTTTTGTCTTTTTTTTTTTTTTTATCAATAGGTTTCGAAAAAGATTTTTTTCACATGGTTTCCATATTTACATGTCAACTCAAATACAAACAAATCCATTTTCTTTTTTTCACGTGGGAGAGACATTACGGAAGCAAGATTTTTTAAGTCCGGCGATCTTTTTCTTCATTAAAGAAAAAATGGGAGTATGGTAGTTCCTCCGCTTTGATCTCTATCAAAAAAAGCTAGATAGGCTCGAGCGCATTCTTTTTTTTTTTAAAGCACATGTTAATCGAGAAATATCTTTTTAAAGTTTTCCTTCATTCATTTCTTTGGTGGCAACACGTGGTAAATTAAAAAAAGAGAAAGGATATGAAGCCTTGATAATATCTTTCATCATCATCAACCCACTTTTTTTTTTTTTTAACAAACAAAGGTTAAAGAAAGTCTCATGTCATTTTTTTTTTTTGATTTACCATATAAATCATCATCTGCTCTTACCTATTATTATTCATCATTTCTCCTCCATCACACATCTACCTCAATCAAACATCAGACATCAATCATCTATCAATAATCATCAAGCATAAACCCACTAATCACCGACCAATCAACCCAACTTCATTGTTTACAATCAGCAACGTAGAAGCTTCGAAATTGAATGTACATCTTTTTTTTTTTCAAGCATAATAATGACCTATTATATTTCACTTCACCAAAATCATAATTGAGATCATATGCTGACAACAACAACTTGTTCAGGAACTGTATAATAAAGGTAAACCCAGTAAGAGACATGAGAATAGAGTATAACAAGTTTTTTTTTTATTTGAGATATATATATATATAAAAGGAAAAAAAAAGAAGGCGTACACTGAAATGTAAAACGATCAGGATAGGAGGGGTTAAAAAAAATCATATAGACGAATGAACTTGAAGATAATAGTAAATAATAACAAGAATGATATAAGAAAAAAAGAGGGTTAAGTTCAAACAAACAAAACAAACTAATCAAGTAATTAACTAGTTGATCCTTTGATATGCAGCCATGACGCCAAATTGGAAAGTGAATCATTGAGACGAGATTTGAGCGAGTTAGCCAACGGGATGATTTTTTCTGATAAAACGGGTTGGACCAAAGAATACGTACGGTCGATTTGATGTTGTGACCAATCGATGCAATGCTGTTTGATGATCAAGACCTGTTGTGTTCCAGTCCCCACTGCCTTGGTTGCCACGGCGCCACACAAATACCGAAGACGTTGGTTGATTTTTCTTTGTTCAATTTCCTTCCTGTCATCTTGATAATCTACAAGTCCATGTTGTTCCATCCATTGTTCTACATCATCCAGATGCTTGTTGATTTGTAAAGCGACTTTGGACCACGGTTGCATGACCATCTTCCATGTATGATCAAGTTGAGTTTGGGCTTTTTGACGAGGCTGTACCACCAACGTATCGATAATAGTTGCTGTAGATTGTTGAATCAATGGTACCTTAGTTTCAATCATATCCAAAGAAGAACAGGCCCACCCATCCATCGTAACAAGAGATCTTTTCAGATACCCATCAGAGCGGAAGTAGTGTTGATAAGTTTGAGTATCTTGTGTCTTGTGTACTACTTTTGTCAAGTGCTGGATCAAAGAATGTGTTTGACCAAGGAAGAATCGACCTAATTTAAATTGACTAGCTATAGCTTGTGTGTTGGATATACCTTCTTGAATGATGGGAAGCGATGTGACACGAGTTACAAATTGTGTACTTTGTCCATTTTCCATACCATTGCTATATTGATACTTGTTATTTGTTTCGACTTGCTTATCCGTCATCATGTTTCCATTCATTTCTTGTTGATAACCTAAAAAAGATGGACAAAAAAAAATATTTGGATTAGTTGTCTGTCTGTGTGTGTTTGTTTAGAATAAATAACAAAGCTAGATTAGCCGGTGGGAAAAAAACATGGCAAAAAAAAAATAAGACCATCAAGGAGCAGCTCAAGCAACATCAAGTAGCCTGATATGCGATGATAGTAAACAAAAAAGTGATGGTTATCTTATCAAAAGGGAAAAAAAAAGATATCCAAAGTGGGAAAAATAATAAAAAATGAAAATAAAAATAAAAAAAAGAGGAAGAGAAACATATATAATAAAGGAAAATATTGAATATATAAAAAAAGGGTTGATTACATACCATTTTCTTGTTGAGTCTTCATCTTTTGATATCTTCACAGTAGATAAACACGTAAAAAAAAAAAAAAAGAATTGTTTATTGGTATTGTAAATAAAAAAAAAAAAATAAAATAAAAAAAAAATAAAATAAACAAATAAAATAAAAGAAAGAAAGAGACAAAAAAAGAAGAAAAAGTGGAGAGACCAAAGTTTTTATAAACAATCATCAAAAAAAAAAAAAAAAAAAAGCGGACACTAAAATAACACTGCATAACTAGACATTATTGATCCATTCTTGTTGTTCCATCAAACGTTGTAAGAGTTCTTCCCTTTCATTTTCACTCTTTGCAAATTTACCCTTGATATCCTTCAACATAGTTTCCATATCAGTCAATTGATATTCTAATTCAGAATTCTTATCCACCAAATTCATATTCTTTCCAGCTAATGTATGTATGCGTTGCTTCAATTGTTCTTCAATTTCAGCCGGTAATGCATCCAACGCCTTTTTCAAATCAAATGATTGTTGTCGTAAATCATCATTCAGTTGACGAGCACGTGCTAATTCCATCTTTGCATCTATTAATTCTTTAGCTGCCTGAGTTTGTTGTTTCGATAAAATATCTAATTGACCTTGTCGTTGTTTAACACTTTCCATCAATGTCTTATTTTGTTGTCGAGCAAGTCGTAAAATTTCCATATCATTCACTGTTGTTTTTGTCGTTGATTTTGTAGAGATAAATGTTGTTGAGAGAGAACCTGATCTTCTTCGAGACATGGAAGAACTAAATACTTGTTGGTGATCTTTGGATAGTTTGACCAATCGTTTCTTTTGTATTTTGAATGCCATAGCATCTTGCATCCATTTTTTCGTATCGTCCTATTCCCACATATTATAATAATAATGTATCATTTAATAAGCATCTTATATATATATATATATATTAGTATTTACCTTGTACGCATCACATAATTGATGATTTGAAAGATATTTGATCAATTCATCTTGTTCATCCAAACCTAGTAATTGATCTTGATTCACTTTCAATAGAGCTAGACCAAATCCAACAAGAACATCCGTACCTTCTGATAACAGTATGTCATAAATAGGATAAACAAGCTCCAAAGATGGAGACACCGAGACAAAAAGAGTAGCGAACCAAGTTTTGGCATAATCATTGGGGTGCACACCATATGTATTGAAATGTTGATATAATCGAGGTAAATGTTCCAGCATCAACCCATCTAGTTGAAAGAGATGTCGTGATAATCCATCCATAGGTGGGATATATAATGTTTTCCATTGATAGACTCCATTCATCAATTCAACAAAGACACAAAAAGCTTCTTCTTCGGGCATCTAGTCATATAAGCGAATTAGCAAAAAAAAAAAAAAAAAAATAAAGTCGATATTCCTATTGTATAATATTTTAACTTACATGTAATAAAAGCGGAAGAGCAATAAAGGCAAAACCTTTGGAGTAACCCACATGATCATCATAATTTGCATATGCTTTTAACAAATGGAAGAGTGGATCCTTTATGCGATTGGCATGCGCTAAAAACACACCATCTTGATCGGCAAAGAGTGAATCCAGATCCCATGTAATTGCTTTTTCATAAATGTTGTCCTTATTCAATAAATCTACATAATCCTTCTCTTTTAACGGTGTCTTCACTGGTCCAATATTATTGATATTGTTGCTGTTATTTTTGTTGTTTTTTGTTTGTGATAAGATAGGCCATATGGTACCACGTAAAGAGGGTGGAATACCTTGTCGAATATGATATGTAAATAGTTTGTTGGATTTGATGATTTGATCCGCATTGGAAATCACATGAGACCAGAACTCTAAAAAACCAAAAAAAAAAAAAAAAAAAAAAAAAGAATTGAGAAAGAAAGAACGACTTTATTGAAAATATTATTTTAACTTTACCCCAATCAATATCCTGTTTCATTGGATCTGCTGTAAATGATGATGTTGAGAAGGATGATGCTGTGGAAGGAGTAGTGGATGATGTAGAACCAGGTGATGATGATGATGATGGATAATTTGCCAATATATGCATATTGTGGCCCTTGGAAGTGGTGGTAGGTGCAGTGGAGAGAGCAGAAGAGAGTGGTGAATCCAATCGAGCTAAAAGCATATCATAGTTGGTATCATTGGATAGTAGAGAGCTGATAGAGGTTACTGTTGATCTATTGCTATGTATATGGGTGTGTTCATTATCGATTTGTGAATCCAAATCTGAGTCAAAAGGATCGTCTTCGTTCATGATGTCTATTTTCTGAATAGCGTGATGAAGATTGTCTTGGTCGTTTAATGGTATTGTCGATTCGTTTAAATCTTTTTGGGTGATAGTCTGACTTCGGGCGCGTTGATAAATGGTATCATTAACAGTAGCAGTAGTAGTAATAGGCGATTGATTTACATCATGGCTTAAAGTCGTAGATACCTTTTGTAGATGATGCGATAAATGGAGTTCCTTATTTCCTTGTTCTATGCTGATATTATCAGTATCAATAGCTTGGTTCATAAAAAAAAAAAGAGAGAAAGAAATAGAAAAAAAAAAGAAGAATAAAAGGTAAGGAGAAAACTGACGCTTTACAGAAGCAAAAAAAAAAAAAAAAAAAAGCAGGAGGCACCGGGCTTCGAAATCACCGATTTCTCTTTTTTACTCCAATCTTTTTTTTCCTTTTTTTTTTTTTTTTTTTTTTTTTTTGGATAAAGTAATCATAATATGTCAAAAGAAACTGGATTGACCGACATTTTACAAAAATATGATGAATTTATCAACTTGAAACTCAAACCCAATCTCAAAGCAGTACTCGATTCTAGAGACGAAGTATTTAACACAATATCTGAATAGTAAGTTAATATAAGTCTTGATCGCGTTTTCATTTTATATTTCTTTTTTTTTTTTCTTTTTTAGTCAAAAACTGAAAAGTCAGATTGAATTGATTCAAAAAGGTGAACATAAGGAACTGAAAACAATGGTTGATCTTGGTTCTCAATTTTATGTTCAAGCTCATGTGTAAGTATAACAAAAGAAAGAACAATAATGATCACTACTGCGACTTTAGTTTCAGCTACTAAATAAGAAAGAATAAACTCTTGTTTTTTTGGGAATAGTCCTGATACCACTTATATTTATGTAAATGTTGGATTTGGATTCCATGTACAGTTTACTTTGGATGAAGCCAAAGTATTTATTGACAAGAAGGAACAACGATTACAAAGGTAAATTTTTGATCATACAGTTCCTCTATTCTTTGTCGATTCACTTTCAACTTCATTTTCTAGCTCTGTAGACAAATATACTGAAGAAGCGGACAAGATACGGGCTCATATCAAAATGGTAAAAAAAAAAAAAATACTGTGATAATATAACTAAAACAAGAATTATTGATGTTGTTATGTTTTGTCCCTCTACTCTAGGTCTTAGAAGCAATGGCTGAAGCCATGGATAGCACCAAGTAGATATTCATCTTTTTTTTTCATCATCATTTTAGAATTCCATTACATATTATTCTTATCATCAACATTATCATCATGTACATATTATCTATTTATTAATATATTAGAAAAATAACAATAAAACCTTCCTTAGTTTATAAAGATTGTATTTATGAATTTTACAAATAAATTCTTTGAAGTGTTTCAAAACCAAATATTTGTGCGGATGTTACCTTTAGTAATGAATGTTTCTTTTATTTCATTAATGATGAAAGATTGTTAGTAATTATCTTCAGTAAAAAAAAAAAAAAAAAAAAAAAAAAGGAGAGATATTCCACCTATGTATTTATTGACAAGGAAGAGAAAAAGAAATGTAAACTACTATACTAGCTATTCTTGATCTTATCCATCTTTCTCATTGTCAATTGGTAGAGCCATCGTATCACGCCTGCCAATATCACCAATCCAATTATCAGAGTGATCAGTGTTAATCGTCTTGCAGATGGAGGTAAGCTTGCATCAGATAAATTCGCTAATTGAGATCCTGCCCATACTTCAATCGTTACTTTCCATGACGCTATCAATCCTGTCCATATATAGTCTTGAAGAGTTACCGTTGGCATCAAAGAAAGAAACATATTAGTGAATTGCCATGGAATGGGACATATGCGTATTAGAATCATCATCTAAATAAAATAGGAAAGTATGATCAAAATGTCGTCAGCTATACCCATTGTTTCAACCACCAAAGAAAAAAAAAAAAGGATGTATGAGTGTATATGTGTGTTTTCCTTTTTTCTCTTACTTTCCAACCACCGTCCTGTATAGCTCCTTGCATTGCTTGATATTTCTTTTGTTGTGAAGTTGACATAGGAATAAAACGATCCATTCCAAGACGTCTTATTAATCTGAAGTAAGGAAATGTTAACAATTAAATAAAAAAAAAAGGTATCTATTCATCCTATTTGTATTACCCAAAACAAATCAAGGATCCCACAAAAGCACCTAAGAAAAAAAAAAGAGAATGAATATCAAATAATAAAAAATTGTCTTTTTCTTTTTTCTTTTCTTTGATTACCAGATACAGCAGGTAAAAGACCTTTTGGAAAATCATAAACAAATCCTGTCATCATCACCATAAAAGTGAATCCTAGAATAGGTGGAGTTGACATAAGAGCAATGATACCAGCCAAAATAAAGGGTCCATATATATTGGTTCGCATATCCAGAGCAAATTGTTGAATCACTAACAAAAAAAGAAATCAATAAAAGAAGGGTCCTTGATTTTTTTTTTTTTACCTGATAGAATCCATTGTCTATGTTGTAAAAAATAATAGACTCCAATAGCAAATGTCCCTGTCAAACTAGTCGCACCAACAATATAAGAAGATTTCATTAGATGTTTCTTGTGCGTTGGTATCAAAAGAAAAGAAAAATACAAAATAACAAAAAAAAAAAAAAAAAAAAAGAAAGGAAGAAAGAAAAGGAGAGAAGATAATAATAATAATAACAAAAAAAAAAGAGTCTATTTTATTTTGAAACGTACAAATAATAATAAGAAGGGGAAGAGCCGGGTTCTTGTTTTGGCAACACCGAGATCAATTTGATTTAAATTTTGGTACAAGAGCATTCGAAACACGTCGATAAGAGTCAACCAATAAAACTAGAGGAATCAATAAATAAGGACTGTAGATGGCTACCAATGTCCATCGTTTCATCATATCTTGTTCAAGTCCTACCAATGTTGGATTTAATAGTAATTCAGCCAGGACAGGAACAACTGTTGTTACCACATGTGAGCCATACACTAAGTTCAAAAAATAAAAAATAAAAATAAAATAATGTTAGCATATATATATTTTTTTTTTTTTTTTTTTTTTTTTTTTTTTTTTTTTTTTTTTTTACCAATAAGAGGGAGTCGAATGAAGGGCATATCTAATGAAATAGTAAAGGGAAAAAAAAACAATGTTAAGTTATTTTCATCAAAGATTTAATGTTCTTACTATAATAAAGAGCATAACTAGCTACAAAGAAGAAAGGTAATTGACATAAAGCTTCCATGGAGACAAGAGCTTGGAACCAATATCTTGGAATAGCTACATTCATAAAGGGGTCGTTGGTTGTTTGCGCGTAAAAGTTAAGGATTTGTTGAAGAACAGAAGGTACAAGCCATTTTGGATAAATACTTTGAAGATCAAAAAAGATAGTAATAGGAATATGAGTAATAAAGAATATAAAAAAGACAAGATCTAATCGTCTTTCAGTAAAAGTCATTTTTTTTTTGTTTTTTCAGGGAGAAAAAAGAGCTAGCAACAAAAACCAATTAAACTCGTCCCAAAGCGAGTGCATCAAGTCGAAGTCGCTATTTGAAATTTAGATCACTATTTTTTTTTTTTTTTTGCATTTTCAAGCTCTGCATTTTTTGTATTCTCTTTCGCTTTTTTTTTTTTTTCTTTCTCACTCTTTTTTTTTTTTTTTTTTTGACTAGTTATTATCACTTGGATAACAACTAATCTCTTTATACTCTTTTTTTTTTTTAATATATATATATATTTATCTTTTCTCTTTTGTTTTGAAAGTACATATAATTCTATAGTTTAGTTTGTATATACACTTCCTATACGCATAGTTTAGTCATTTTTCTTTTTATAGTCTTTCCTCTTAATTATACACGCTTTTCCCTCAAACTTTATTCTTAATGGCGACAACTGAAGGACGTAAAACAGGACGAGTCAAGTTTTTCAACTCGATGAAAGGTTATGGTTTTATCATTCCAGACGATCAAATGGGTCAAAACGACGTAGAAGGTAAATCATTTATCTTTCCAAGTCGGTGCTTTTTTTTTGTTCTAACTCATTGTTTCTATAGTTTTTGTGCATCATACTGCTATACAGAATGCTGGTGGATTTAAAAGTTTAAACGAAGTAAATATAGAAAAAAAAGAAAAGGTTTTATTCTAGAATGGAAGAGAGTATGATTTTTTGATTGATCGTACATTTGTATTTTTTTTTTTAGGGTGAAGAGGTAAAAATGAGAAAAAAGGAATATATATATATATATATTATATATAAAGATTGACAGATGATATATTACAGGTGGAATACGACTTGGTTCAAGGTGGTAAAGGGATGCAAGCAGCAATGGTAACTGCAATTGGTGGTGGTCCAGTTAAAGGTGATGCTCGAGCTAATCAACGAACTCAATATCAAAAGTAAGTATAAAATAAAACAAACATGTCATCGTATTATTTTATCAACTTTTTTTTTTTTTATGATCTTATCTAGTAATGGAGGAGGTTATGGTGGAGGACGTAATCAATATAATTCAGGTGAGCCTTAAAAAAATTGGAACTATTGACAAAAGGAAAAAGAGACTCATCTTTTTTTTTATTTTATAAGGTTATGCTTTTAATCCTTATCCAGATTATCGTTATCCAATGCCTTATGTCGGCGGTGCTGGAGCAGCTGGTGGCAATCAAGGACCTCTTCAAGGATTTCAATATGGGCAACCAATGGGTATGTATGGTGGAGGACAACAACCATTTGGATATCAACAACCTACTTTTGGATTACCTTCACAACATCAGCCACTTCAACAACATCAACAACCACATGCTTATGGATCACCTCGACCTGATTCTCCTGACCATCATCATCATCATCATCATCAAGGTCATTGATTTGATATCTATATGATTCTATTTTAGATTAGAGTATCCTTTCCTCCAATTCATTTTATTTACTCTCTTCTACAATAGTTTATTATAAATATTTCAAGAAAAAACATCAGTCTTCTAATAAAGTTATTCTCTTTTTTTTTATTATTATTATGCCCAATTACTGTTAAAAATAAGTTTTTCTGTGTCACCTATAAATGATATATTACCAAATTTGAAACGGCTCTTGTCATTCCGTCCATTATAATCTTTTTTTTTATAATATACACGGAGACTTTTTTTTTGTCATGTAGAGACCATCATATTCATTTTCACACAGAAAAGTTTACTCTGATTTTTCAAATGCCGTCAGATTCATTTTTTTTTTTTTTCACATTGTTGTCCGGATTGCATTTTTTTTTTCCCCAACCATAAGCTTTCATTCCAATTTCCGCTTTGGTTCAACCGGGGGGTAATTCAAAAAGAATCTCCTGTAACTTTTTTTTTTTATATTGGACTTTGTCTTTAAACTTTTTCCTCTTGCATCCATCCATCCATCCTCCCTTTTTATAGAGGTTTTTTTCTTCATCCATCAGAAAATCAATCATGTCTGCCTTCTCCAAGAACCTCTTTTCTCTTCTTAGTGAAGATGGTGAAGTGCGCCCTCAACCTGCCCCTGTCAAGGAAGATACTAAGCCCGTCGTTGAACAAAAGCCTAAGAATGACAAACGATCTCCCAAAGCTGCTGGTGGTAAGTTCATGTTCCTTTTTTTTTTTATATGTCGACATTTGTTATTTTCTTTTGTTTTATTTTATATATACACGCTCGCCCACCATTACGTTCTTTTGTTTATTATTACTACTATTATTATTTATTATTATTATTTATTATTATTATTATTTTTTTTTTTTACCATTCAACAATGTGGACAACACCAAACTCGAAACATTAACCCCGAAAAAAAATTGACGAACAATGGAATGGAAAAAAACGATATTCACCATATGATTTTATTTTTCAACCTTTTTAGCCCAAAAGCGTGGAGGTGACAAGCGTCGTGGTGACAAGCGTCAAGGTGGCCGTCCTCAACGTGGTCGTCAATTCGATCGTCATAGTGGTACTGGTATCGCGTAAGTGATATGAAATCTTTTCTATGAGGATGAATAATAACTGATGATCCCCTTTTCTTTATATAGTGATTCTGAAAAGAAGGAAAAGCAAGGTTGGGGTCATCCCGAAACTGCTGAAGCTGAAGCGTAAATACAAAATATAATTAAATTCTATGGTAAAGTAATCTGATCATCTTTTTTTTTTTTATTTATAGTGCCAAGGACTCTGTCAATCCCAAGGATCCCGCTGCTGCTGAAGAACCTGTGACTCCTACCGAACCTGAAGAAGTTGTCAAGACCTTGGACGAATATTTGGCTGAAAAGGCTTTGAAGAGCTTGAAGGTTGGTCTTCCTGAAGCTCGTAAGGCTAACGAAGGTACTGATGATGCCAAGTGGAAGGATACTGTTGCTTTCCAAAAGACTGAAGAACCTGATTACTTGCCTGCCAAGGTAATAATAAAGAAAAAGAGAGAGAGAGAGAGAAAAAAAAAAAAAAAGAGAGAGAGATTGAAATGGAATTGAACAAAAATCAATGACTTTTTTTTTTTTTTTTTGTGGAATATAGGAAAAGACTGTTAAGAAGGAAAAGACTGCCAAGGCTGGTAAGGTCTTTGTTGACATTGAACAACGTTTCCAAGAAAAGCCCCGTTTCCAACGTGATCAACGTTCTGGTCGTGGTGATCGTCGTGGACGTCAATCTAACCGTCGTGGTGGTCGTCAATCCAATGGTCCTGCCGTCAACATTCAGGATGATGCTGCTTTCCCTTCTCTTGGTGCCACTACCGCTTAAATTAACAAGCGTTATATTTTTTAGTACAAAATAAGGATGGATCAAGTTGGTTATTTTTTACTTTTTACAAATGCACACACATTCTCTCTCTCACACACTCTCTCTCACAATTTTTTTTTTCCTCTCTTTTCTTTTTTATATATACATATTTAACTTTTTGATTAGATTTGAAAAAAAAAAAATAAGGATTTGTCTTCAATAATAAAAAAAAAGTGTTTAAAACAAAAATTTATTATCTTGTCTCTTATGTCTATCTTTTATATGATTGTTTAGAGTAGCATTGATGATCGGATCATTGTATCCACTTCATATAGTTATATATAATTAAAATCATTCTTTTATATCCATGAATCGGAACTGAATTGACGTTCAGGTTTTTTTTTTTTTCAAATTTCCCCTCAAGTTAACCATTTTTGTTCTCTCTCTCTCTTCTTTTTTTTTTTTTTTCTTTTTCTTTTCCTCTTGCTTTTCTAAATGACAGTTACAACCATGGAACTCCAAGGCAGACTATTCATGTATCACCAAGGAATGAGACTTACTGCCTTCGAATCTGGTCCAGTGAATAGCCGAAAATCCGTTATCATGGTGGTCGGTTTGACTGACGGATATGGAGGTGTCCCTTACCTAGGTGTTTTGAATGACGCGTTGACCAAGCAAGACTATTCTTTGATTCAAATCCAAACAACATCTTCTTACAATGGCTATGGTGCTTCTTCACTTGAAAATGATGTCAAAGAACTAGATTACTTGATTGAGTTTTTGAAACAGACATATCATAAAACACATCTTGTTGTCATGGGTCATTCTACAGGTTGCCAAATCTCTGTTTGTCATAATAAGGTAAAACATAACATTTATATTTATGTATTTGTAACATTTTTTTTTTTTTTTTTTTTTTTTTTTTTTTTTTTGAATTCAAAGTCTGGAAAGTATCGTCAAGATATCGCAGGTTATATCTTACAAGCACCAGTATCTGATCGAGAATGGTATTCGGCAGTGGTACCCAATCATCTTCAACATATTCAATTGGCTACGACCATGCGTGAACAATCCCATGGCAACGAATGGATGCCTCGTTATTTGGATAATGCACTTCAGGCCATCGATGTTCCCATTACAGCGGATCGGTTTTATTCCCTTTATGCTCGTGGGCAAGTCTAGTTTTTATTACTATTACTACTATTATTAACCTGAACTTATATTATTTTATGATGATGTAGGGGGGATGATGATCTATTCTCTACTGATTTGACCGATGAAGAATTGAAAAAGGTCTTTCAAGGTGTCCATCAACCTATGTTACTTTTAAATGGTGCGCAAGATGAATTCTACCAATCCTCTATTGATCCACTGACTTTTTTGGAACGTTTACAAAAACTGTGTCCTGCTATCCGTGATATTGGCATTATTCCTGGCGCCAATCATAAAGTCGATGATTTAAATGCTCAGCACATCTTGGCTTCCCGTGTTCTCTCCTTCTTGGATACCATCTGTCTATAGTTTATTCCTTTTGTAGTTTGTTTTTTTTATTTTATAAATTGATGGATTGAAATAAAAAGGTGATCTGGTTGATTTTGTAGATGAATATTCTATTGATTTATTTGTATTGAAGAGAGAGGAATCGATTGGATGATAGAAAAAAAGGAATCATATTATGTTACTTATGTGCGTAACAGATCAATTTATCTAAAGTATTGATATTGTAGATTCTATTTTCTAATCTGTTAAATTGATAATATTAAATCAAATTGGATGAATGTAGTTTATTTCAAAAAAAAAAAAAAAAAGGTGGGAAGTAGATGTTTTTATAGTAAGTACTATTTCTAATGTGATATAAACAAAATAAAACAAAAACAAACCAAGAAGGGAATACAATGATAGAAAAAAAAATTTCATAGTAACATAGAACGATCCCGTAATAAGCGAGAACCAGCTTCAAGCCATTCTGATTCACCAATCCACATATCCTTGGCAATATCCAGCTTGCACAATACAGACGCACCTTTCCACACCAGGATTTGAGGATCTAATTCACGAGGCGCTGGTAACACTTCCACATTGTCGACCATGGATGATCTTGCAATCACCGTAGACAGAAGCCGATCTTCCAACACTCTATCAAAGTTGCTGATCTTACCACCTCCTCCAACCACAATGATATTTGTAAAGTATCGCTTGAGTCGATCATCAGAATTACCAGATGCAGACTGGATAGATTGTGCAATTGCAACGTCAATAGGATAATATCGATAAACGTTCGTTTTTTTCTTTGTGCTGTTATTCATTAGTGCCGTAATGGAAATGGTTGTCGCTGATTCGGCTAATTGCGATGCTGTAGTTGGTGTTGGCGCAATCAATGTTGTTGTTGTTGTTGTTGTCGATGATGTCGGAGCTGGTGATGATGATCCTTCGTTGGTTGGTTTAGGTGTTGGTGCTTGAGACGTTTGTTTGGATCGTGCAGTTGAGGAGGTATAACCTGCCATTTGTGATGTCGTATTTGTTGGACCATTCTAAGAATAATACCAAATAAAATTAAACTCAATTTTTTTTTTTGTCATTGACTTACATTAGGTTCTTCTGCAATATCATCAATAACGCCGTTGGAAGTAAAACCATTATACATAAGATCACTGTTTTCATCTTCCATATCATCCTTGTGATTGTTCAGAATAGCAGGATATACCAAACATAGAGGAGCCAAGAAAACTTCATCGTATACTTTGCATTGATATTTGTATGTATGTTGATGAGGTGCCCTAACAAAAAAGTCATATACTTGAACACTGATTTCGGCTTCATTCATAGTACACCATTTTTCCTTGAGTTCTTCCACCAATCGCCAATCATAGGATCTTGCCAAGTTCAAATCATGATAAGGAAATTGATTATCTTGTAAGAAAGAAGTGAATGTTTTGGTGATGTCATCGCCACCAATATTGATTGTCATTCTCGAATCCACTATAGGTACTCCTTCATCCACACATGTAATTGTAGTAGTTTGAGCTCCAATATCAACCACACATGCGCTCGAGACACCTGCTCCAAAAGTAGCACATCCAGACGCCTAAAAAAAAATAATAAATAAAAAAAAAAAGGTAAGTAAACTTTTATCCTATTTTTCGTACATCAAATCTTTACTTGTTGGACTATGACACCTCTAAATTTCATGTGTTGTAACATCATCGTAATCAATTCACATATATAAGATCGGTGAAAGATATCCGGCACCACCAAAACCGCATTAAAATTCTACCCAAAAATGAGAAAATAAGATAATCCGAGCATGCATGTTCTTTTTTTTTTTTTTGTATTACCTCAAATGTATGATCTTCAATATCCAATTCGGAATGAATAACAGAAGTCCAAATAGTTTGTAAATCACCCAAGACAGCATATAGAGAAGAATAATCCATATGATTCAAAGTACCGTTTCGCCAAGGATAAAATAACCGATAATCCGATTTATCATCATCACCATCAAGAGGGACTTTGAGTGCCTTATCAGCCACATAAACATCCTGTAATGCTGCCGAGTCCTTGAGATCAATCCAATCTACACGGTATGGATCATTATGATCTGGAATAGTTTCTTTGGGAGCGTTTGTGTTGAAGCTGATAACTTGATTATCGGCATTTGGAATAGTTCTTCGTTTTGCATTCTTCATTCGCCAATTTAGTTCGTTTCGCATTTCTCGGATAGCATCATCATGTTGTTCTCTTTTTTCTTCATCATCATCATCATCGTTATTATTTTGTTGTTCTTCATCATCCACTTGCATAGCATCAATATCGCTTGTTGTTGTTCTTGTTGCTGTTCTAGGTTGATTAGTATATTTCATTCGTCGTGCAATAACGTGTGGTACAGTAATAGGATAAGCTTCAGAAGCCAAACCAATGCGAAGATTACGTGATCCAGGATGAATAATAATAGTATCATGCCATTCTTCTTCAGCCTAAAAGGTAAAAGATATATATAAAAAAAAAGAAAAGAAAAGTGGGAACAAAGTCAGTTTTGAATAATAATAATAAAAAAAAAAGTGTTTTATAATAATAAAAACTTACGTTTGGACATATAGCATCATCACCAGCTTTGTTCCCTTTGACATAAGATATATCAGATCTTACAAAAGAACTTGTAATATTGCGAGTTGGTAGAATAGTATAACCTTTGAGTGGAAACGTAGTATATCTAAATTTGGGTTGATTCAGTGTTGATGTGTCGCGTGTATTCTTGATGGTGTCTTGATCGTTTTCATTATTGTCAGTATTATTAATATTTCTATTGATTTCTGTTGATGTTGATAAAGGTTGTGTTGATAAATTGAATGAATCAGATGAACTGTTTGTTTTAAAAGTAGGAGAAGTTGCTTCCTTTTGTCGTTGTTTTTTTCTTGGTTTAGGTGAAGATTGCTTTAATTCCTTTTTGTTTGGGGAACCACTTGTATCTGAACGTGAAGGAGATGTAATGGTAACTGGTGAAGAAGTAGCATTTTCCATCCAGGCATACTTTTTTTGAGATAAGTTTTTCAAGTAAGATCGACTATCGGACATGATATTATGTATATATATATATATAAAGAGAAAAAGAGAAAAAATATATATATTCTTTTTTTTTTTTTTTTTGTTGTTGTTGTCCCCTTTGAAGACTCGTTGATTTGAAACACCGATTTTTTTTTTTTTTCTAATGCTCATCATGCTTATAAAATATGGTTCTAATATTCAATCATACTCATGCTTTTTTATTTTATTCTATTAAATATCAAAATGCCAAGAATAAAAACGACTAATTATGGGAAATATAAACAGAAAAGGAAAAAAAAGGGAAATAATAATTCATTATCAATGTTGAAAGGGATATGCTGTTTTATTTACAGTTAACATAAGAAATCATCACTTCAAAAAATAAATAAATAAAAAAAAGGAGCAACGTGTATGCTTTGTATGTTTATTCCTATCATCCGATATTATTATTTTTTTTAAAAAAAAAAAAAGAAAATGAAAAATAATCAGTAGAAAAAAACCCCCTTTTCTCAAGCATGTGAGGTCAGGTGTGTTGTATTGCTAGATATAACGATCTACATTTTGTATATAGTGAAAAGATTTAACTCAAAGACAAACTGTAAACTTAATCAATCAATGGTTTTAAACTTGAAAAGTGCAAGATTACAAATATCTTAGTGTATATCCTTTGCGGAATCTTAATACATGTTTTTCCTTTTTCAGTGGTGATGTGTCACCGGTAATCATCATCATAAATAAATAAATAGAAAAAAAAGAAGATAAATGATTATCATCCTTTATAGTTTCGAGAAATTGGTAAAGTACAAAAAAACTTGTTTTTTTTTTTATTATGAATGGAAAATAAGGTATAGAGGAAAAAAAAAACTATAAATTGATATGGATGGACTTTTAAAAATTTATAAACTCTTCTCTTTTTTCCCTTTTTTTTTTTTTTATTTCTTCATCTTTCTTTCTTTCTTTTCTCACTTTTTTTTTCTATATTTTTTTATATTTTATTTATTAAATTCAGAACTATGTCTAAACCACCTCTGATTATATCTGAAACAAATCACAATACTATTGATATAACCTCTCTTGCTGACGGAAAATTATCTATTGAACAACAAATTGAACTTCATGGTAAAAAGTTAATTTTGATTGGTTGATTACTTACCTGATGGATTATCCTTTTATCTTTTTTTTTCTTTTTCTTTATTGTTAATATTATAGTTCATGATCTATTTGATGTGAAGGAAAATAAATCTATCTCTCTTGATGAAGTTCTTGAAGGATTACGTTATGTAATGGATTATCGTATCAAAGGTGGATATCATCCTCGTCTTGATGGTGCATTGATGAATCGACTTTGTGAAGCTCTTTTACTGAATACCGGGCATACTGAAGGTCATATGTTACGGAAACGACCCACATCGGCTGCTGATGTTGCTTTCTTTTTATTTGGTGATTTCCTTGAAGAAGGTAAAACAAAATGACGAAGAAGGATGATAGAATTATAATGATGACGGATGATGATACAATTGACAAATATCCCCCTTCTTTTTTTTTTTTAGTGGATGAATTCCGTGTAGCGGTTGGAAAAAGGGATATTTATGAACTACGTCAACAACTCAAGATTCATCATCGATGCCAACCTTCCAGTACGGATGATCAGAAACGTGGTGCAATAGCAATGATCCAATTGATGGCCCAATTTGTACAACTTAGTGATTGGCGTGATTTAATCAAGGAAAGTGAACAAGGTGACATGGAGACTCTATTGAAATCATCAATGGCAACTGAAATCACCAAAAAGCAAAAAAGCAAGATGCCACCTTCATTTCTTTCTTCGACCCCGAACTTATTCCTTCCCCCGCCTCCGCGCCTTTATTTTGACCGATCTGTTGAAAAGATCTTGGGAATGTTTGCTCATACGGATCCTGAAAACGGCATTGCTTCTAGTTTGGTACCTTCTTTACGTGAACATTATGGTGGTCTCAACAAATTACCTGATCCTCCAAAACCAAGTGCACTCAAGATGTTATGGACTCAATTGACTGACTTTATTGTATTGATCTTATTGGCAGCTGCCGTCGTTGAGGCCGGACAACAGGAATTCAATAGTATGGCTGTCTTGTTGATTGTTGTAGTACTGAATACAATCATTGGATTTAGTCAAGAATGGAAGGCAAGCAAAACTTTGAATGCTTTGATGAATCTCTCTGTTCCGATGGTAAGTAAAATGATGATAAATTTTTATCTTTGATTCGTTTGTTTATCAATGTGTTGTGATCTCTTTTTTTTTTTTTTTTTTTTTGGTTTATTATTTATTATCAAGGCTCAAGTGATTCGTGATGGCGAGCAACAAATGATTGACTCTGAAGAATTGGTTCCTGGTGATTTGGTAGTTTTAGAAGAAGGTGACGCGGTTCCCGCTGATCTACGTTTGATTCATGTGGCTCAATTAGAATTGGTGGAAGGAATCTTAACTGGTGAAAGCATTCCTGTTCAAAAATCTACTCAAGCTATTAAAGCAAAAGTAAATGGTAGGACAAGACTGGTCATGTGATACTCATTGTTTTGTTTCATTTTTTTTTTCTAGTCAAGGCGGATACCATTAGGTGATTGTAAAGGAAATGCATTCATGTCTACCACTGTTGCACGTGGTCGTGCAAAGGCGATCGTTGTACGAACCGGTCTTCAAACTGAAGCAAGTATCCTAAAAAAGAAAAAGAAGAATGAGAAAGGTTGTACATAGTCTATACATTTTTTAATTTTTTTTTTTTTGTCTATTAGATTGGAAAAATCAGTTCTGCTATTCATGCCGGATCGAAAGGAAAAACCAAAACACCCGTACAACGTAAACTGGATAAGCTCGGCAAATATTTGGTCCTGATTGCTATTCTCTTATGTGCATTGGTCGTCATCATTGGTGTGGCCTGGAAAAAAGATGTGCGAACCATGGTGAATGTTGGTCTCAGGTAAAAAAAAAAAAAAAAAAAAAAAAAAAAAAAAAAAAAAAAAATTGAGTCAGGATGCTTTATTTCCATCCATCGAATTCACCGATTCTTTCTTCAAACTTAGTTTGGCAGTTTCTGTTATTCCTGAAGGTCTTGTGGCAGTGACTACAGTCACTATGGCGTTGGGCGTACGACGTATGGCTGCAAAGTAAGTTATCGTCATTCTATTAACTTACTTTTACGGTTTTAATATTTTTTTTTATCTATATTACAATAGCAAATGTATCGTTAGAACTTTACCGGCTGTAGAATCACTTGGAAGTGTAACAGTAATTTGCTCTGATAAGGTAATCATTTGTTCATCCATCATCCAATCACTGTAAAAAAAAAAAAAAAAGGAAGGTAAACAAAATTACTCATATCATTCGATGATCTTTTTATTTTAGACTGGTACATTGACTGAAGGCAAAATGGGTGTAGCGGAACTCTGGACGGGGGATAATACATTATATCGATTTACAGAATCTACTTCATTGAATCCAAATCAAGGCCAAATCATTCAAGAACCTGCAGAATTACGGCGACGAATGATCCATTTACATCGACCTTCCAACAACAACCATATGTCGGGCAATCAACTATTATCACCATCATCGATCCGTACTACACAACAACAGCAATCAACAAATCAATTGGGACCAATTGACTATGCAGCTTTACGACCTCATTCAATGGATACACAACATCCTCAACTTTATCCCTGTCATTTACGTTATGCATTGATGATTTCTGGACTTTGCAACAACTCAGCAGTAACGATGGATGAAGATACCAAAGAATGGCTTCCTGTAGGGGATCCCACCGAAATTGCACTCACCGTGGCATCACAAAAGGGAAAATTAGGAAGATCTGTATGGCAACAACAAGGATTTACCAAATTATATGAACGTGCTTTTGATAGTGAACGCAAGCTGATGAGCACGATTTATCATCATACCCAACAGCAACATGATAAAAAGGAAACATCAACATACTGGGTGCTTTGCAAAGGTGCTCCTGAAGAATTATTGGCCAAATGTTCGACTTATTTGATCTCATCTTCATCAAGATCATCAGCATCAACAACAACAACAACAGCGACATCAGGAACAACACTATCAATTCCTTCGTCTTCCTTTTCTGATGATGATACTCCTCAATTCACACCACTGACTGATGATTTTGTGGAACAAGTGTCCAATCAAAGTTCCATGATGGCATCTCAAGGATTACGTGTACTTGGCTTGGCATTCAAGAAAATTTCTTCTTCTAGTATCACAACAACTGAAAAAAAAGATGATCCTCTTTTGGCAGAAGATGATTTTGGATTTGTCTCTTTGATTGGTTTGATGGATCCCCCAAAAGCTGGTGTCAAGGAAGCTGTGGCAGTCTGTCAACAAGCTGGAATTAGAGTAATGATGATTACTGGTGATCATGTGGATACTGCAACTGCCATTGCTGAAAAACTTGGTATTTTCCAGAAAAATGTTCCTGGCTTGGTAAGGCAACTTTATATATGTATGTATCATGGTATTTATCCTTTTTTTTTTTTTTTTTAATATTGATCATGCTAGAATCGAGCTATTTTAGGTCGGGAACTTGATCTACTATCCGAAGATGCTTTGATTGAATTGGATCCTTTTCCTAATGTATTTGCAAGGGTCAGTCCAGATAACAAGCTTACTATAGTCAAGGCTTTACAGAAAAGGGGTGAATTGGTTGCTATGACAGGTGATGGCGTCAATGGTGAGTTTTCTGTTTTCATCATTTTTTTTTTTATTTTTATTTTGATCCTCATTTTTTTTTTTAATGAATGTTTTAGATGCACCGGCGATCAAGAGTGCAGATATTGGTATTGCGATGGGATTGGCTGGTACAGAAATCACCAAACAAGCAGCGGATCTCGTGTTATTGGATGACAACTTTTCAACAATTGTAGCAGCTGTTCATGAAGGCCGACATGTGTTTGATAATATTTTGAAATTCATTGTATATCTTCTTAGTTGTAATGGAGCAGAAATCTTTCTCATGTTGATCTGTGCAATGGCCGATCTGGAAACTCCTTTAACAGTGATGATGATTTTATGGGCCAATATTATCTCGGATATCCCTCCTTCCATGGCGATTGGTGTTGAACCCAAAGAAGCAGATCTCATGAAACGTGCACCAAGACCTCCTGGACGCGGTGTATTGACCAAAGTCAGTTGGCTGGTGATCTTTTGTCAATCCTTGACTATTGCCGGTTTGACCGTGGCGGGATATTGTGTGTCCTTGTTTTACTTGCATCATTCTCTAGAAGATGCACGATCACTGGCATTTACTTGTATCACCATGATGCAACTTACCAACTCGTTCACAGCAAGATCAGTGCAAGCTTCTATGTTTACTATGGGTGTTACTGGCAATCACTGGCTCGTGATCGCTTTCTTTGTGTCATTGGGTTTCATGCTATTGGGTATTTATTGTCCTGGTATTTCCAGTTGGTTGGAACTCACATTTGTCGATGGTTGGTCTTGGGTGATGGTGGTGATTTGTTGTATTATTATGCTCTCTCTGGTAGAATTGGAAAAATTACTCATTCGTAGATTACATGGTGTTATTTGATTGAATTATATCTTTTAGTTTCTTTTTTTATTTATTTACCATCTCAAATAAAAATATAGTTTTCTTTTTTTTTTTTTTTTTTTTTATCATTTCAGTCATGCAGTTATTGGATTAATATCATTTTTATTTTGTTCACCGCCAAAAGCGAAAAAAAAAAGAATTCTTCTTTTTTTTTCCCATCCCTTTCTTTCGTTCCTTTCACTTTTTTTTTTTCTTATTCTTACATTATATTCCATCATCTCTCATTCAACTTGTATTATTTTTTGATAAATCTATATACGGCATGACGATACAAACCAACAACAGTAACAACCACAGCAACGATAAATAACAAAGTTGATCACTAAAAGGAGATGACATAGTACACTTTATTAATGAAGTTTCCCATGGGCTGGTTGATTAAGTGGATAAAAGTCTATTTTTACGATTGTTATGTGACAGAAGGTAATTGATTAAAAAAATGACAACACGTGGTCACCTTGCATCAGTCTCAAATGATAGTTATTTTGTTACAATAGAACCAAAGATAGATGGAAGACACGGTTAAATGCATATATGAACTAGATATATGGATTTGGAAACTGGATAATTGGACATGAATGGTATATATTTTGATAGTATTTTTTTTTTTAGTACCAAATGATGATCATGAATAAAAAACATATTTATGAAACAGGTGTTTTGTATAGCGTGTACGAATGACGAGTTAAGGAGAGTAAAAAAAAAAAAAGATGTTTGTTTCATGCTGATTAAAATAGATCATTTATTTACATGATGATACTCCTGAATAGATGTGGTAGAGAATGAATACATAAAAATGAATGTGATGATAACAAAAAAAAAAAAAAAGGGAGTTAACCAAAGGAAGGAGGATAGGTAAACAGGATGATTATTTTTCTTTTTTTTTGTAGTCAATGAAGACTATACCAATTCAAGTACAAAATGAAGAGGCAAAATATCCATTTACGTTGAATGAACACGTCCCAGGCAAGAAATTTTTTTTTTCTAGCTGTTGTACGAAGAATAAAACTTTATTTGTACTTTTTTGCTCGATCGGGTGGAAAAAAAGGGAGGGGAATTTCAAAAATAATAAAAAAAAAAAAAAGAAAAAAAATCATTTTCTTTTCTTCTTTTTCTTCTTTTTCTTTCATAACCTTCCCCATTCCAATCCTTTTTACATATATATAATCATGAAGTTCACTCTTGTTTCAGTTGCTGTTGCTGCTATGGCAGCTCAACAAGTCTTAGCTGGCGGTCCTATTGCCGGTTGTTTACAAACTCATATTGGTAATATATTTTGACAACATTCACTTTAATTTGAATTCATACTCATCTATTCTTTTCTTTATAGTCACTGCTACGGATTCTTGTGATGGTATTGCTGCACAATTCAAGTTGACCCCTGATCAATTCTATGCCATGGTATGTATATATAGGATTACTATATGTGATCCAGGGACATCTATTATTATTAATTTCATCTGATACTCATTTGTATTTTATTTGATTTAAATCATTAAATAGAACCCTGGTCTTCATCATGCTGGCGATCATGTAAGTTGTAGATTTTTTTTTTTTTGGTTCAAACAAGATGATTGACTAACTTGATTTCACTATTGAAGCTTTGTGATAACTTGGACAGCGGTAAGGCATACTGTGTTTGTACCAAGAAACCTTGTGTTGCCGAATCATCTGCCTCTGCTGGTGCTTCAGGATCTGCTGGTGCTTCAGGATCTGCTAGTGCTTCAGGATCTGCTAGTGCCTCTGTTGCTCCTTCCAGTGCTGCTGCTTCTTCTGGTAATGCCACTCTTTCTTCATCTGTCTCTGCCAGTGCTAGCCCCGTTGTCGCCTCTGGTTCCTCCTCTGCTTCTGTTGCTGGTGCTTCCTCTTCTTCCTCTTCTTCCTCTGCTGCCACTTCCTCCAAACCTACCAATGCTGCTACTTCCTCTGCTCCTGCCGCTGCCTTTGCTTTGGGTGCTGTTGCCATGGCTGCCGTTATTTTACTTTAAATCCCCCTCCCTTCATTCATTTTTTTTTTTAGCTTCCAACTCTGCTTCATAAATGTAGTGTGACCTTATTTATTAATTGAATTTGTCTCTTTTTTTTTTTGCCCAAAAATGTCTTAATTTTCCCTTGTTCTTGGATTGTTTTTATTCTCGTGTTTGTTGATCTCCGTCTTAATCACTTTGATGATATCTATCATGATATGTATGTGATACATGATGATGATTAAAAAAAAAAATAGTATTTCTGATAGTCCTTTTTTTTTTATTGTTGTTGTCAGTCAGATATAGAAAAAAAAAATGTCTTTGCCCAGTGTATTATTCTTTCACCTCGATTGTGATCTAAATGAGTATCAAAGGGATGTAACGTGACACAATGTAAAATGAAGTACTGAATAAGGGTTTGATCTTATTTTTTAATTGCAGGAAATAAAAAAAAAAAGAAATGAGGGTAAAATGATCATAAATGATGTATATTAATGATGATGATGAGAATAATAATAACTACACAAATTATTTCATTATTGAATTGAATGATCCATCTTATCGTCAGCGCCTGGTATCTTGTGATCAGCTGGATTGGCATTGGCTTCATATACTATAAAAAAAGCATGTCTCGTTAATCATATACATAATTTTTTTTTTGTTTTCGATTATTACCAGTGATGATCGGATCCCGTTTCATCTATAAAAGAGAAATAAATAAATAAGAAAAAAATCATGCGTATTTTCAACTAGATATATTCTTACCTCAGTCCATTCTCCTTTGAATCCTAGATATCGAATCACAGTTGTGTCACCACCGAAATTATCAGGGAAGAATAATGTTAGATTCCGTACATTGGTAAACTTGGCCACTCTAGATGAAGAAAAGTTGTGATTTAATCCAATGATTAATAACGCTAACCACTTTTTTTTTTGTTACCTTGTTCCATATTCTGCCACATCATCATGTTGTCGAATTAATTCCCATGTCTGCGTTGGTATATAAGATTCTGCGGCGTCAAAATCCATATCATCACGGTTGATGAACCTATTTATTTATTTTGATAGTGATCAGTACTATCCATCTATATATATATATTTAAAAAGACTTACACCTTCATGGTAGCTGGCGCTTGATCACCGCGATCAGTATGAAGACAAATCGTACGTAGTTTGATACTTCCCGTGAATCTATTCCAAGAGGAAAAATGATTATAGATAACTTTTCAATACAGAACCTTTTACTTACGGAACATAAACAAGTAATTGTTCATCAGCATCACTTTCCAAGTACTACCACCAAAGTTATCAAATAAAACAAAGTTATATAATCTTTTTTCTTTCTGGTTATTTCTAATACAAAAAGTTATCTTACCTCTGTATTTGTTAAACGGTCGTGCCAAGGTCGGATAATGCGTTTCCCACTATTAGGTTCAAGTTCATTCAAACATCGTACATTATCTAGGTCAATACGAGAATACAAGGAGAATTGGTCACCAGAGCCAGGAATATCTTCATGATCATGGTCGCAATGTTCGTCGTGACAATGACTCATAGTTTAACAAGATGGATAAAGCATATAATGTGAAAAAAGAAAGAGAAAATTTGTTCAAAGGAATATTAAAAAAAAAAAAAGAAAAGAAAAGGTATCCTATTTCAAAGTCAGCATCCCCTTTTTTTTCTCTATAGACTGATAAGAACACAAAATGATGATCATCAATATATTATAATTGTAAGTGGTTACGTGGGGATTTTTATGTTTTGAATATTAACTAATGTATGTTTGAATTCAGTGATTCATGCATGTTCTCAAAGCAAGCGTAGAGGATGAGTACATGTCCTATCCCAGATCCGCCCGTGACTTGAAAAATTGGGTCCATTTTTTTTTTTGATCAAAACAAAAAAAAAAAAAAGAAGAGGAAAAGTGCGAGCGGGGGGCCTGAGATTTTGGTAGTGGGGGAAAAAAAATATGAATTGAATTACTTTTTTTTTTTTTTTTTCTTTTCTTTTCTTTTTCGACTTTATCCCTCCCCACTCTTTTTTTTTCATTATATCCAAAAAAAAAAAAAGAAATATCATGTTGTCTCGTACATTCACCAACACTTTGGCTCGCACCACTCGTATTACCAACAACAAAAGCAACCTTGTTAGTTTGACACATATGCCCATGTTCTCCAAGGATGAAGAACAACGTCGTTATCAACATACCACCAATGTCCCTGACTTTTCCCATTATAAGAAACAAAACAGTAGTGCCGATGCTAGTCGTTCTTTTGCCTACATGATGGTTGGTACCACTGCTTTGGTATCTGCTGCTGGTGCTCAAGCTACTGTGTCTGATTTCTTGGCCAACATGTCTGCTTCTGCTGATGTTCTTGCTTTGGCTAAGGCTGAAGTTGATCTTGCTTCCATTCCAGAAGGTAAGAATGTCACCATCAAGTGGCGTGGTAAGCCTGTGTTTATTCGTCATCGTACTCAAGATGAAATCGCCGAAGCCAATCAAGTCAATGTTCAAGAATTACGTGATCCACAACAAGATGCTGAACGAGTCAAGAAACCTGAATGGTTGGTCATGCTTGGTGTCTGTACTCACTTGTAAGTATATAGTGCTCAAGTTAATATATATTTTGATTACTGATTTTTTTTTTTTGATTAGGGGTTGTGTTCCTATTGGTGAAGCTGGTGATTTTGGAGGTTGGTATTGTCCTTGTCACGGTTCTCACTATGATATTTCTGGTCGTATCCGTAAAGGTCCTGCTCCTCTTAATCTTGAAATCCCTGGTAAAGTTTTATTTGAATAATGTTTGAATGATTTTTTTTTCTAACTTTGTATTTTCTCTTTCTTTCTTTTAGAATATTCCTTCAGTGATGACAAGCTCATCATTGGTTAGATCCTGTTTGGTTGAAACTTTTTGGACAAACTTGTGCTCTTTCCCCCTATTCTATTAGTTATATGCACCCTTTCCATTTTGTTTTTATTAGTATTATCATCATTCTCAATATATTAGATAAAAATGACATAGACTTGTTTCTTTTCTTTTGTATTCCTACAGTTGACTCTCTTTTTTGTTTTTGTTTGGATCATGATACGAAGGATAAATAGAAGAGGAAAAAAAAGGACTTTATATGAATGAAAGGATTATTTGTTGATTGTGATGTGAAAAAGACAGGCGGATTCAAAAGGAAACGGTAAAATGAATTGATCTTTGAAGATGACAAGAGGTACAAACAAAAACTTTCCGAGTAAATGAGTCTTTTTTTTTTTTTATTCTTTAACCTTTTCTTTTTTTTTCTTTTCCTTTTTGTTTTGTGCGTCAAGTACATTACATACATATGAAAATCGCTCTTTCATTGATCTCGTTATCATTATTTGTCATCTCGACCATAGCATGTGATAACAATCCATTGCAAGTGCCTCTATATATATCGATATAAAGAAAAGTGCTGATGTTTTTCTCATTGTTTTTCTTTTTTTTTTTTTAGATTTGATTTGTGTAAGGAAACAGCTTCCAGAGCAGATGCCATATGTAATAAACAAGAATCACCCAACTTATGTCAATGTTCAGTACAAAAGCAGATGTTAGCATGTTATGCAGAATGTCCAGAAGACACGGATGTCTCCCGTAAGGTTTCTTTTTTTTTTAAAAAAAAAAATAAAAAAAGAGAAAGACTTGATTTTTTTTTTCATTTCTGGATGATTTAGAACAAACTCAATTAACAGCAACAGCATGTACTGAACCGAATGCAGAACCTGAAGCCGTCATGGGTTCCAAGGCACGACCATCCGAAGTATGGAATGTACCCATCAATCTCAGTGAACCTTTCAAAGCCAAAGCGAAATCAAAAGAAGATCCTACCATTATTGGCGCAAGTACCACCAAATCAAAGGAGGAAGGGGAGGAAAACGGTCAAGAAGAACATGATAATAAAGTCTCAAATAAGAGCCCTTCCAAGAAGATACATCATCATCATCATCGACCCAAACCGGATGAAGCTTCGATCAATGGTGCTTCTAGTACAGTCCATACTCCTTTTTGCTTGTTTTTAGTCACTCTTCTTTTTCTCTTGGTTCATTGATAAATAAAACTAATTTGTTGCATTTATTCCTATCTTGTAATAACGGTATCATCATTTTTTTTAAAAAAAAATAGGATCATGATGATGGTTTCTTATGATGATTATAATTGCTTTTGATGACTGATAATGTATCAATAAGTAGTATGCCTTAGCATTTCGAAATGAAATCATTGGTACAAAGTTGAAATACCGCCACCAACCATTTTTTTTTTTAATTTTTCAAACTTCTTTCGTATTTTTTTTTTTTTATTTCTTTTCTCCAAATGATTTACTCATGAAACCTGTGACGTTCGTAAAAGGTACTTTTAAGAAACAAGATCAGGAAGAAGAAGAAACATTATTATCACAGGAACAAGATGGAAGATTAGGAGCTCAAGTAGCCAATATTTATCAATCTATAATTACACCAACGACTACCGCAGCAGCCATCCAGACACAAAAGCAATCGATTGAAGAAAAAGTAAAAAAGGATAGGCGAATGAAGACGATATATTGTGAAAGCTGTGATATGGAAGTACGGGATCCAAAACATTTCAGTGGCACAGCTCATCTTGTCAGTATACAAAGCTCACCACCATCACAATCCATCTCACCGTCTACCAAAGGAGCAACATTGACCCGACTACAACTGGAACATGGACAAACACGGGCACTACAACTAATGGAGAAACAAGGCTGGCGACAGGGACAAGGATTGGGTAAAACAAATCAAGGACAACCGTATCCAGTAACGACCATTTACAAACATGATCGACTTGGGATTGGACATCCTCGAACAGATCGCCGGCGAATTACTCATCCTTCTGTCACTTCACAAATTGGAAAGAACAAGACATTGATAAAAGGGAAACAATTGGTGGCGGATGCAAAGGCTGAGGCTACGTTACGATCTGCCATGCTTCATTATATGAATCATTGAAGTCAAAGTTGGACTATGATATGGATAGATAACTTTAGTTAGATTAGTCTTTTTATACCCCCTCCTGATATAATATTTAGATAATTATGTACTTACAATAAAATGAGTTTATTAGATTTAGTTTTAATTCTTGTATGAGAAATGACTGTCCTAATGCCTAAAGTGTGGGTAAATGAGTGATATGATATATTATTTTGTTTCTAATGTCAAATGAAGATGATTTCCAAAAAAAAATATATATATATATCATCTTGACAATCATTATTTCCTTAAACTCGGAAAGCGGACATTGCTTATCTACGGCCAAACAATTTTAACCTTACCTCTTTTTTTTTTTTTAAAAAAAAAATCAGACGAGTGTCTTTATTTGGAAATACTTGAACGAAAAAAGGAACCCTTTTTTTTTCTATTGATCGTTTTCGTGTAACTTCTTGATCATAGCAATCACTTTCGGTTTTTCTTTTTAGACCCGAGATGATCTTTTTTTTTTTTTTTTTTTTTTACAAGATAGATGGAAGAAGAGATGGAAAATCTTTTGACAATCAGAATTACTCTATGAGATCTTTTTTCTTTTCTTTTCTTTTCTTTTTTTTTCTTTTTTTAAAAAAAGAAGACATCATCAGGATATATCGGTCTAACTCTATTCATTATTTTTTTTTGTGGCTTTACTCCCTGCATAAGCCTCGTTTTCACAAGGTATCACCTATAGCTACGCATAATATCATTTACCAAGATATTTTTGATCAAGTGTACTGTTGTGTTTTATGTATGAGATGAGATGTATTGATAATGCATAAGAATCTGATGGATGAGATGATGCTTAATGGATGGGATAAGAAGTGATAGATGATATACCACTAGATATCTGACACTGGACTCTATATGATTAAGAACGTACGTTATGACTGGAAAATATAAATAAAAATCGATTCTATAGCTTAGACTAAACCTACCTAGTGATTGATAGGTCAGACAAAGCGGAGAGGGGTGATGATCAACCAATCAAGGTAATCTCTCATCGGGTGATATCTAACAAGGTTTTCCCTATCCGAAAAAGAAAGCACGATCTGGAAATGATCTACATTTTTTTTTTATCATGAATCACTTTAGTCAAAGAACTATTTCTCACAATGTTTTTGATTAAAAAAAGAAAAAAGAGTGATGTATTAGATTGAACATGGATGAAGGAGGGGAAAAGGGGCGGTCATCATCTATCTTCAATCATCTTTTTTTTTTTTGCTAAGATATGATATGAACAAAGAGAATCGAGTTCTTTTTTTTTTATTTTTATCTCGATTAAGCTTTTTTCTTTTTCTCTTGATGGTACGACAAACATCATCCCTATACGTATCTTACATAGAGAATAAACAACAAAAACCGGATTCTTTGTTTTAAAGTTTCAAGAATACTATATATTCCAAAATACGTATCATAAAGAAAAGGGAAAGGGGCGGAGATGACTTTCTGGGTCATGATTACTGAATAAAGTAACGACTAAACCCTTATCAGGAACAAAATGCCAAAACTTGACAAAAAAAAAAAAAGAGAGATCCCCCATTTCTAATAATAAGAATCATATTCATTGTAACGATGATCATCAATAAGACAAAAAAAATATCATAAATAAATGTATATATAAATGGTTATTTATTGATCATTTTAATGGTTAGTAAAGAATGAGTGAATGCGGCTATAGATACAAAATAGGAAATCATGGTATGATAGGATATAAACATAAAAAGAGATCTGGTAAAATCAGAAGGATAGGGGAGGGGACGCAAAAAAAAAAAAAACAAATATCATCAATATCGACATCATCATCATAAAAAAAAAAAAAAAAGAATACAAAGGAAAGGAATGGGGGGAGGGATAAAACGATAAACTATAAAAAAAATAAGGTTGACTGTTTGGAAAAGAGCACTATGATGTTTCATATGGAGGCGGCATTGTTGTTGTTTAAAGATGAAGGAGGCGAACCAGTGACAGTATTGGCAGCAGCAGCAGCCTTCTTTCTTGCCAATTTAGCATAATCTATAGAAAAAAAAAGGTTAAGCTTACGAGATATATATAAATGTGTTTTGAGTGTGTGAAAGGAAAGAAAAAAAAAGTTCAACTTACGTAAACCACAAGCATTGCAAAGAGTTCTTGCTCCATCAGGTCCCCGACGCCATTCTGGTGTTTCTGATATATTACATGAATGACATCTACCTTGAAAAGTCGAACGTTTCTAAACAAAATAAAAAAAAATAAAACGATCAGTAAGGTTTTTATTGCCCCTCTCCCCCCCAATAAAAAGAGAACCCCCCCTCTCTTTCTCCCTATTTCCTATTTTACTTACGCCTCTTTTTCTTTGTCTTGATGGTATACTAGTAACTGAATGATTTGACATAGGTTGATAATGAGATTTTGGCCAATCTCTTTTTGTGATTGTGATTTGTGATGAAGTTTTTGCTGATGATGATTGAGGTGATGATTGAGGTGATGATATAGAAGTATTAGATGAATTGGAGGAAAAAGATGGATGATGAGAAAAAGAATGTTCATGTTGATCTGATTGAAGAGAAGTTGTAGGAGTGACCGCCATTTGTTGTTTGCGTATTCGTAAAAGAGCATTTAAAACTTGATTTGCTTTGCCAATCATTTCATCCATCCAAGGTCGTAATTCATCATCATGCTGCGGGTTTGAATCAGAAGATAATAAATAAGGCTTATAATGAACCATGTTATCATATAAACCATGGGCATGTTGTACTACTTGATCTATATCTGATGATACTGTTCGTAAATTGGTGTTTTTATTACTATTGTCCGTGTTGTTGCTATAAGGATAAAGAGGTGAATCCATTTTTTCAAAAGCAGTACGAGGTGGTGAAGGTGGATGATGAAACAAAACAGGACTATGACCAGACGAGAAAGATGATGATGATGTAGATGATGGTGTAAAACTACATGGTGGTGATAACATAGTGATACTGTTACGTTTGGGGATATATTCTTCAAGTGTACTGATTGGTGGTAAAACAAGTCGTTCTGTACCCTGACTAGATATTCAGAAAAGGTAATCAATGTCAAATTAAAAAAAAAAAAAAACATAGATGGTAACTTACTTTTGATCATTCATGGGTGTGAGCATAATTTGCGGTGATGAAAAATAAAAAAAAAAAAAAAAAATGATGTCAAGAAAAAGGAAAAGAAAAAAAGGAAAAAAAAAAGCAGAATTTTTTTTGGTTTCACTCCCTCTTTATATACTATCGGTAAGCTGCTAAATTTTGATTGGTTGATGCTGATTGGCCCAAGACATTACTTTTTTTGATAGATTTATACTTAAAAACTGAACCCATCCCAATAGCCTTAGATCACATGCCACTTTTTTTTTTTTATTTCTCACTTCCCTTCTTGCTTATCATGACAAGATGATTGGTCTGCCACGTGGAGCTTAAAAGGAAATAAACATCTATTTTATAAACCTTTCCATGATCTTTTTTTTTTTTTTTAAAAGAGATTGATCTAATTCATCTCTTTAGTTCATTATTTTAAGGAGTCAACTTGAATATTTTATTTTTAATATGTATCTTTATATAAAAACTAAATATCTTTTCTATTCACTCCGCTGGTAAAGGTGGGGACAATCTATGGTTGTGGGGTTTTTAAGCCCTGGTCTGAGATAATAAATATAATAATAATCAATGGTGATACAAAAGTATATCTTAAAGGAATCTCTTTTTAAATCTAATTTACTTGCAATAACAATGATCTTTTTTTTTATTTTTTTTTTTGTCTTTGGTAATCTTGAGAGAATCACGTTATACTTTTCAACTCTTTAGTACTACATTGTCATCATTTCACCGAGAGAAACTAAGCTTATTTACCATCTACCAAGTTAAAATCCATGAATAATCACTTTTTTTTTTTGATTGTTAGCAAATTATTATTCCCTTTTATGCGATAAATTCACTATCATGTGCTCTTATAGTAATAATAATTATCATAACAATAATATGATGATCATGAATAAGAAAACAACAATCAAAGTTTATTCCCTGTACGGGAAAAAAAATTATACTTTCTTCCAATTTGTTCCACTTGAAAAGTCAATCAAAAGTGGAATGGCTTCTCTAAAATACCAATCATTTTAAATAATGGGAATAGATAGTTTGATTAGGTTCTCTCCCACCCAAATCTTTCATTATCCGCCACCAAATAATCTGTCCATTGATCCGAATTCATTCTATAGGATATTAATAGTGCTTTTTTTTTTGATATAAGAATAGAAGAAACCTTGAGATGATCAATCTAAAAAAGATCATCATGCTGAAGCATCCTGATGACTAAATTATTTTAATCATCCAGCAATCTGACCACATTGGACGATTTAATAAAAGGAGTAAAAAAATTGGGATGATTTGTCTCAACAGAGATGACATCATCTGATCTCTTTTTTATCAGCCTTTACAATGATATCAATGCTCCTTGTTATCCAACAATAGGAGATGAAATCGTCGGAAATCTAATCCGTTTCAGCAGCATGATCATCATCATCGTGCAGCATCAATAACATAAAAAAAGATGCGGTGGAAAAAGAAACCTCACTAATGTAGTGTTCATGTACAATCATTCATCTATTTTGTTTTCCTCATTTTTCATACATATTTTTTTTTCTTAGTTATCGTATAGATCACTTATTCATCCAGTATCCAATTTCAGATCATACCATTGTAATAATAACGTATACAAAAGAACTCTATCCGCATAAACTGCCTTCACTAAAAGCTTTTTTTTTATTTGTAATTTGTTCTATACTAAATACTAATCTAAAGACTAAGGTTCTTTTGTTGTTCGTTCCTTTACTAAATCTATTGTTCTTCTATGCAACCTTCCAACTATTGTCAATATGATATTTTGGGTTCATCCTAGTTACAAAAAAAAAAAAAAAAGCGTCGACATGGAAATAATAATAATCATGACAATAGTTGTAATAACGAAAAAAAAAGAGGTTGGTATCGAGTAGTGATATGTATAAGACTCTAATCCATTCCAATGGTAGTATATCTACAATTTTTTTTTTTTTTTTACCTGTTGTCTAGTTGGGTTAGTTGCAAAGATAATGAGATGACCTAAAAGAAGAGATAAGAAGAATATATTTTACTATCCATACTTTCCTGTATCTATTTTGACTTATATAAAATAAGTCGCCAATAAACGTTTATATCTTACCCTAAGACACCTACTATATCGTTTTATCTGTATATCTTCTACCATATTACTTCCCAAAAAGAACTTGAACGTATTTGTCTGGTGTAGAGAGGTTTATATTATATTTTTCTACATCGGCTCAATAGATTGGTATTGTTGATATAGATAATGAGGAGGATGACAGGCGTTTGTTTTTTCTCTTAAGACAGTTAAATAAATAAATAAAAAAAAATGAAGGAAAGAAACAGAGAGAAAAGAAAAAAAAAATGCGAACCCTATTACACTTTATTCAAAAAAATCAACCAATCAAACATCTCCAAGCTAAAAAAAAAGAGAGTAGCATAAAATGTAATGATTATCAATTTTATTAAATAGCATGGATCATCCTAGTGCCATTTTCTGTGTTCTACATTTTTACAATCTTAAAAACCTCATCATTGAATCATCCTCTATGTAAAATGTATTCTTTCGAGATCTATTTACCTTACTTGTATGGCCTAAACGTGATGAGATAGTACAGTGATGATGTTTGATAATTTACAAAAATCTCGGGATTCAGGCACTCATTTTTTTGATCAACTTGTATACGCCCCCTCTCTGGTGAGTAAAGATGGATGGGTGTGAATTTTTTTTTTTTTTTGTAGTGTCGGATGTCAAACACGAGTAAATTATTTGGTGGAGGTGGATCTGTCTGATTGGTTGAAATAAAGGGAGGGAGTGGAAAAAAAAAAAGACCAAAGAACGCAACCACAAAAAAAAAACAAGTCCAAATTTCCCTACTTGTCAAGGCTTTTTCTTTTTCTTTCTTTCTTTTTTTTTTTTTTAATTCATCTCTTCCCCTTCGTTTAATCTTTTTATTACATACACAAAACAAAGATGGGTTGTAAGTGATCTAAAAAAGAAAAAGAACAACAAATATGAAACATGGATTCACTTATATTTTTACTTTTTTAATTTCTAGTCAGAGTGTTACATCTCGTACGGCCCTTCATGGCTGTACTGCCAGAAATCGCTCAACCTGACCGAAAGGTAAGAAAGAAAACCAAAAAAATAATAATAATAAAAGAAAAAAAAGGAACAGAGATGAAAGAACATTGGTATATTAGATGTATGTTGTCATCTATAGAATTATTGTTTAATTGGAAAAGAGAGAGAGAGAGAATATAATCGCGTAAGAAATAGTTATACGATTTATCTTTTTTTTTTTTAATAGGTACCTTTTAATCAAAAAGTGATGTGGACTGCAGTGACTTTGTTTATTTTCTTGGTTATGTCTCAAGTCCCATTATATGGTATTATGTCTAGTGATTCTTCTGATCCTTTATTCTGGATGCGTGTGATTCTTGCCTCTAACCGTGGTACTTTGATGGAACTTGGTATCACTCCTATTGTAACCTCTGGTATGATTATGCAATTATTATCTGGTGCCAATATCATTGAAGTGGATTATAGTTTGAAGGAAGACCGTGCTTTATTCAGTGGTGCTCAAAAATGTAAGTACAAAAAAAAAAATAAGATATTTATAAAACATAAAAAAAATGAATTGACCTTATTTTATATACATAGTGTTTGCCATGATTATCGCTTTTGGTCATGCTACTGTCTCTGTATTGACTGGTTTATATGGTAGTCCCAAAGAAATCGGTGCTGGTGTCTGTTTGTTATTGATTATCCAATTGGTTGTCGCGTCTTTAATCACTATGTTATTGGATGAATTACTTCAAAAGGGTTATGGTCTTGGTTCTGGTATCAACTTGTTTATTGCTACCAATATTTGTGAAACTATCTTCTGGAAAGCTCTTTCTCCTACTACTATTAACACTGGTCGTGGTGATGAATTTGAAGGTGCTTTGATCTCTTTAGTTCACTTGGTTATGAGCCGTAAGGACAAGACTCGTGCTCTTAAAGAAGCTTTCTATCGTACCAACTTGCCCAATGTCATGAGCTTACTCTCTACAACTGTTGTATTCCTGATCGTTATCTATCTCCAAGGTTTCCGCGTGGAATTGCCCGTCAAGTCTAACCGTCTTCGTGGTCAACGTGGTACTTATCCCATCAAGCTTTTCTATACCTCTAACATGCCTATCATGTTACAATCAACCATGACCTCCAATATTTTCATGATTTCTCAAATGTTGTACAAACGTTTTGAAACCAATATTCTTGTGCGTATTCTTGGTGTATGGGAACCTGTTGAAGGCTCTTCTCAATTGTTTGCTCGTGGTGGTATCGCTTATTACTTGTCTGCTCCTCATAGCTTAACTGATGCTCTTTTGGATCCCATTCATACTGTTGTTTATATTGGTATCATGTTGACTGGTTGTGCTTTACTTTCCAAGACTTGGATCGAAGTGTCTGGCTCTTCTCCTCGTGATGTTGCTCGTCAATTGAAGGATCAACAATTGGTCATTGCTGGTTATCGTGATACTTCTATGTACAAAGAACTTAAGCGTGTTATTCCTGTTGCTGCTTCCTTTGGTGGTGCCACTCTTGGTGCTGTATCCGTCTTTGCCGATATGATTGGTGCTATTGGTTCTGGTACTGGTATCTTATTGTGTGTCACTATTATCTTCCAGGTATTGTATTATATTTTTTTTTTATATATTAACATACTCATTCATTTTTTTTTATTTTTATTTTTTATTTTTAGTACTTTGAAATGTTTGTCAAGGAACAAATGGAAAATGGTGGCGGTATGGAAGGCATGATGATGAGTCAATAGATCGTGTCTTGGATTGAATAGGAAGATCGACATTGTATATACACTATCTTTTTTTTTTTTATCCTTGTCACTCTCTCCTTTAGTTTTAGTTTTCTTTTCTTTTCTTTTCTTACTTTAGTTATCATTCATATATTCATATACGTATACAATCTCACTTACTGTCGTACTTTACTCTCTCCCAAAAAAAAAAAAAAAGCAAGAAGAATAAAAAAAATCTCTGTATATCTATGAATTTGTTGGGCTAATATAGATGATTATTTCTTTGTTGATATATGTTTTATTATGTAATCAATTAGTATCATCTCGAACCAAGTTGATTTTGATTTTACGATCTTGGGAAAGAACGGAAGGGAAATGGATATTGAGAGGAGAAGTAAGGTGCCCAAAATCAAAGTCTTCAACCAGGCTAGATATCATGGAATCCGTTGGATAGTGATTGTTATCTTGTATCGAGGGCGATGTGGTGTCTTTGTAGGGTTGACGTGCATGATGGAATAATTTTTCCATGGAATAATTAAAATCCAAGCCATCTTGGCGACTCATCTGTCCCAATGATGATACAGTGTTGTTTTCAGTACGTAGACTTCCTAATGCTGTATTCGTTCTTATCGGTGATGATGGGTGATCCATCATGATGATTGATGTTGGATGACGAGGTAACATGGACGGACGTGATAGATTATTTTGATCATCATCCTCATTATCATCCTGATGATGACTTTTTTTTCGTGTACATAAGCCAAGAGGGGGCTGTTCCTCTTCTTCTGGTGGTTGTCTTTGTTGTTGGATACGCCATACAAAGATCCCTCCTGTGATACCCGCAATCATTAAGACACCTCCAACACTAATCAGAGCCGTGCCCACTTTACCTAAACCTGGACTTTCTTCTTCTTCTTCTTCTTCTTCTTCTCCAAAAGCTTCATCATTCCCAAAGCCAACTGTTCCATCAATGGCATCCACTGGTTGGAATGATGAATGACCAGATGGATCATCACCCATTGAAGGAGGAATATAATTGGGCTGTGTAGGACGATCTGTGTTGTCCTTTTTTTTCTTTGCCAGTCGAGCTTCATGAATGGCACCATCTGTCAAATCATCATTGGTTTCATTCCGAGGATCGTTTCCATAGTGATAGGTGGATGATTCTCTAGGTGAAGCTTTCTGAGATAAGATCCGTGATAATGGTGCTGATGATGTTGGTGTCGCGACTTTTTTTTTTTTTTTTTTTAAAAAAAAAAAATAAAATCAGAATAAAAGTGGAGTGGATCTTACACATGATTACCTAATGAAACATGATTGTCTTCATCATCGGATGAATCCTCATCATTTGAAGTTGCTCTCACATACAAAAAACAAAGGAAGAACCATAATAGGAGATAAAGTTTTGATTGTTTCCTCCACATCATCATTATCGTTCCCCAAAAAAAAGTCTTTGATTTGATAAAAGAAAAAAAGAAAAAAAACTAGATTTACGGATTATTTTTCCTTTTGAGACTTTATGACATGATACAATCATACTATCCTCTTTTTTTTAAAATATTGGAAAAAGCACCAATGTTCTTTAAAATAAACTTTAAACAACAAAAAAATATATATTTTCTTTTCTAATAACCTCGTTTAAAACCTAAGTGTTTCTCTCTTCAGATCACTTTTCAATAATTATTTTGAATATCCGGCCTTTTTTAATTTCCTTTCTTTTCTTTTCTCTTCTTTTCTTTTTTCTTTTCTTTTCTTTTCTTTTCTTTTTTTTTTTTTTTTTGAACAACGATGGCTACCACTTGTCCCAGCGTACCAGCATTAAAAGATCGAAAGCAACGTTTGAATGAATTGAAACATCGTCTTTCTAATTACAAGACAAAGCATCAATGGGTGGTAAGTATAACCAAGCCAATGAAGACACAATGCACTAAATTTACTTTTTTTTTTGATTGATTCAGTTGAAAAAGGAACAAGAAATGGAAAGAATAGAACACGAAGAAAGAGAAAGGAAACGTCAGGAAAAGGAAAATGAAGAAAAGTTGGAAAAAGAACGAGAAGCATTGTACAAAGAACTTCAACAACAACAGCAACAAGAACAAGCAGCAAGGACAGCAGCATTCTCGTCTCATCCCATACAAGCACCACAGCAGCAGCAACAGAATGTAGTTCCCTTTTCATCAGCACCCAATTCTTTTGCTAAGATATCGGAACAAGAGGCTATTGCTTGGTTACGACAGCAATGGTAGACCGTCAATCTTGTGTTTTTTTTTCTCACTGTTATTTTAGCTAGTTTATTACTTCCTAATCACCATGTAATAGACATTGTATTTGTGTGTAGATAGATTTTATTTGTAGTTTTATAACAATAAAAATTGTATGTATATATTTATTTATTTGAACTGTACAAAAGAGAACTATGATATAATGAATTGGGATGTAAAGAAAATATGCAACAAGGGAACCTAACTACTAAAGATTGAGATGTTCTTCACTTGGCAGATTGCTTGTAGCTACTTGTATCCAAGATCTGTTTCCCACAAATTGCGCAAATACCTTTCTTGTAGCTACAAGCTATTACATTTGAAATAAAAGATGTCAATATCAAAAGTGAGCTCCCACTAACCTATTTTCTTTGTATTTATAATTCTTTTTCTTTGTTTACCTTGACAGTAATGCGCCTTCTCTTGATGAACCTTGGATTTACATAGTTTACACTTGGCTTCATAGGGATTGAATCTATGAATATTAAAAAAAAAGTGGTTAGTAAAAGGGAAAAAAAAAATAAAGCTTTGCCACCATTCAACATAAAGTTTAAAACGGAAACTGGTAATCAATATCTTCTCATTTATCATCCGTTCACTTGCCTTATTTTCGCCGACTTTGATAACAATTTGTTTTGGTTGATCTTTCGACCTTCTTGACCAGCTAGATAAAATCAGTATATACAAACAAAAAAAAAAAGTTGAAAGATCAGTTGAGGTCATGAGAAAAATCAATCTATATATATATATATATATATTTTTTTTTACCTTTCACATTCTTAGCACCTTCTTTCCACTTATCAGGGGCTGCTAATAAGGTGCCAACCTTCTTTTCACATTTCTTGCAAACCATAATACGTGTGTAGATATGATATATAAAAAAAAAAAAAAGAAAGAGTAAGAAAAAGGAAGGTTAGAATCAACGTTTAGCTGCGGCATTTTAAATCCCCCCCCCCTTTGTGCGCGCTTTTGTGTTTTTTAATTTTTTTTCTTTCTTTTTCTTTTCTCCATCCACTTTTTTTTCCACATTGGGTGCCCTTTTTGCTTGTGCGATCTTGTCATGGTGGATTTTATTGGATTTGGAGGGTTTTGAAAAAGGGATTTACAAAATTCATTGGGAAACCCTTTCATTTTGGATGTAGGATTTAGTACAGGTAAATAACAAAAATATTTTATACCTTTTTTTTTTTTATGAATTTCTTGGTCTGGATTTATTTTATTGGCAACGTGAATGAAAAACTGATTGGAAGACAAGTTTCCTTTTGGTTGGGAATGGCAGCTTATTGTTAGGAACTTGGTGGTGGACGAAGGCTTCTGGTTAGTACTATGTTACATACAGTTGAATGTATAGTAGTGATAGTTTTATGAAAATATGTTATTCCCTCTTTTTTTTGTAGCTTTAGTTTTAGTATTACATGTATATATAGATCATCATATGGTTTATTTATTTATTATTATAAAATCATCATTATTATTACTGCTACTACTATTATTGCTTTTAAATTGGATCATCATTGAGCATTGATTGTATTATTCTCCTTTCCATTCTGTATTCATAGTGAAAAAAAAAAAAAAAAAAAGAGAGAGAGAGAGAGAGAGAGAAAGTTAGGCAGAATCTTTTGATCCACATTGAAGAAGGGGGAGAACAAGAAGATATTTACATTTATGTGCAGACAAAGATCAATTGAATGTGGAAGATTCATAAATATGTCTAAAGTAAATCATCGGCTCTGTTTACATGAGTCTAAACCAAACAAAGTTTAACTAATCTTTTCCTTTTTTTTCATATTACACTTTTTGAGCCAATCATATTGCTTCTCATTTTTTTTTTTTTGGTGCCAAACTTCAAGGAGGTTTTTTTTTTTTTTTGAAACCCGCCAAAGACGAAAAAAAAAGAAAAGATCACACTCTTCTTTATTTTCTTTCTTGTACTTCTAATTTTAAAACTTCTATTACACACCTCATGTTTTTTTGTTTTACTTGTAAGTTACCTTTTTTTTTTTAAAAAAAAAATAAGACAAACAATAAAAGTTTGATACATTGAAACTGTATGTAGAAAGACTAATCATGTTCTCCTTCTTTTATAGTTGGCGTAGAAAGGTTCAAACGAAAATCAAGTGGCCACGTATGGACTTGTCCCAATTGTTCAGCAAGAGATGTTTATTTGGTCAAGAACAATGATTGTTTTACGTTCTGTTTTATTCCCATTATACCTTGTGGTGGCACGAAACAATACTATGAATGCTTCACCTGTGGTCGAGTCAATGTTTATCAACCTCCATACTAAGAATTCTATGGATTTCTTTTTTTTTTTTTTAGTTACGTTATTAGTACCAACAATAATATATCTTTTTTATCATCCAATAGTTATTATCTCTCTCACTCCTTCCTTGTGTCTACATATGTTTGTTGTCTTTTTAGCTCACACTTTTGTACTCATAGCATATAGTCTCCTCCCTTTTTTTTATCCTTCTTCCCATCTATTTTATTCTTATTATCGTTATTTATTCATCACATCAAATTAATAAAATCAAACTATAGTATATATCCATGACTATCAATCAATCATCACTATTACCAAATAATAGACATTTTAGTGATTGATCCGCCTAACTACCCGGTTGACTTAATATCCATTGGAGACTTTATAAAGAATTGCCAAGATGTCTTATATTGAGCTCCGCAAAGCGGCATTAAAAAAAAAGCTTATAGGTGATTTGATAAAGACGTGACAGGATGCTATTGTAATAGCCGTACGCTTCTTTCTAGTATCTAGAATGAAATACAAAAGAAATACTCTCCGTGATTTCCCTTCTTCCCCTGCCTCTTTTTTTTTTTTTTTTAATATACAAGTATAGAGAAAATAAAAAAAAGATCGCCTGACGTGATGAAGCGCTGGATGATAGATACTTCCAGTGAAGCTATGTTAGTAACATATACGCGTTAAAAGTATAAATCAAACCTCTCATCATTCATTAGTGTTATTCAGCCACCATTTATTATCACATATTATCCATCATCTATCATTAACATAGTAATCCAGAATCAAACATTGATGACGCACGAGAGTGGGGTAGGAATCCATGCTGCTGACACACAAACTTACTATACTAGATAGAATATTGTAGCATAATAGTAGTATCTTTGCATCCTACTATGATCAATGTACCATATAATGGAATAAATTAAATATTAATATGAGGAGATTTAAATAAGACATCCGTTTATCTTTTTTTTCCGTTTTGAGCAATGAATAGGTAACAATAGGGGAGAAGGAAAAAAAAAAAAGATAAAATCATAAATATAGAAACCTCCTTTTTTTTTTTTTTTTTTTTTCTGTATGGCAATATAATTTTTCTCTCTCTCTCACTCCTTCTCTCTTTTATTATATGACAGAATTGTTTTGCTTATACGCATGATCATCATTCAATCATTCACTCAGCTCAGCTTTGTTGGACAAACCTTGCATTCCTATTTTTATCATCAGCTGTCAAATAAGGGCAAATAAATGGAGCACATTACCCCTTCTATTTTTCTTTATTCACAAACCGAGGACCCTTTTCAAAAATGTGACCTTCTTTTTTTTTTTTTTTTTTGTCAAGATAAATTTATGATGATCTCTATTGGATGGTGTATCAAAGCTGTATATGGCATAGTGTATTAGAAACAACATCAATGTCCTGTGTCCAAAATGGGAAGACGAAGGAGGAGTGGTCACTGAGTTTCAACGTGCAATAAAGAACATACTTAGTGAGTTGGTTACTCTAAATTTTTCATTTTTTTTTTTTTTTTTAGTTTCTTATATAAGGAGGGAATCTTTCAATACGTAGTTATTGTAATAGAATAGAATTTTTATTATCAAAAATATCTTCTTAAAAAAAAAAAAAAGGAAAGGAAAGGGAGTCAAAGATCAAATTGTAGGTTATAGTGAGAAACACAAGAGTCAACAATAAAGAACTCCGCTTGTGTTGCCTTTTGTGTGCTATCAATAAGGAGGGGGGTGGACTTTTTTTTTATTTTTCTCTCTTTCTGTTCTATCTTATTTCTTTGTTTTCTTTCATCCTTTTTATTTTTTATTCCTGTGAAGACATTTCTCATTGACATATTATGGCTGCAAGTCGAAGAGAAGAAATAGTGGCTCGTCTGGAACACTTCAATGCTGGAGATCAATATGAAATTGTTGATGTTGTAGGTGAAGGTGCTTATGGTGTTGTTTGGTAAGCATTCTTTTATATATATATATATAGATTCTCCCTGTTTTTACTTATCGTTATCATTTTCATCTCTTTTTCCATCTCTCAACGTATGTTTGGTGTTCCTCTTTTTTTTTTTGCCTTTCTGTAGCTCGGCCATCCACAAACCTACTGGTCAAACTGTTGCCATCAAACGTATCATGCCTTTCGACCATGCCATGTTTTGTCTTCGAACTCTTCGAGAAATCAAACTATTGAAGTATTTCAATCATGAAAATGTAAGTAGAACTGAACAGTAATGGAACAAGAGTTTTTTTTTTTTTTTAAAAAAAAATTCATCAACTATCTCCAAATATATACATATAGATTATATCTATTCTTGATATCGTCAAACCAAGATCATATGAAGAATTTACAGAAGTGTAAGTAATGAGGATAATATGAGGTTTTTTTTTTTATTATTGTATAAAAAAAAGGGGGTTGATCGACATTGATTTTTTTTTTCATTTTATCACTTTTATAGATACCTTATTCAAGAACTCATGGAAACAGATATGCATCGTGTCATTCGAACTCAAGATTTATCTGATGATCATTGCCAATATTTCACTTATCAAACTTTGCGTGCTCTCAAAGCTATGCATTCTGCCAATGTACTTCATCGTGATTTGAAACCAAGTAACCTACTATTGAACGCCAATTGTGATCTAAAGGTATGTAAATCAAAATAAAAGGGAGAAAACAATAGATTCAAATAATTTATCTTTTATTTTTTTTAAGATCTGTGATCTTGGGTTAGCACGATCATCCAACTCGGCGGATGAAAACAGTGGATTTATGACTGAATATGTAGCAACACGATGGTATCGTGCACCTGAAATCATGTTGACATTCAAGGAATATACAAAAGCTATTGATGTTTGGTCTGTGGGTTGTATTCTTGCGGAAATGCTCAGTGGCAAACCTCTTTTCCCTGGTCGTGATTATCATCATCAACTAACTTTGATCTTGGACGTTCTAGGAACTCCTACAATGGACGACTTTTATGGTATCAAAAGTAGAAGGGTAAAAAAAAAAAAAAAAGACTTGGTGATGATCAATTCAACTCACTATTTTTTTTTTCTTTTTCAATAGGCACGAGATTATATTCGAAGTTTACCATTCAAGAGACGAATTCCATTTGCAAGACTCTTCCCCAATGCAAATCCATTAGGTATGACAGATATATAGATGGAACAGTCTTCTAACAAGTTCATTTTCTCTCTTTCTTTTTTCTTATGATAGCCATTGATTTGTTAGAACGTTTATTGACATTCAATCCTGCCAAACGATTTACAGTAGAAGAAGCATTAAAACATCCTTACTTGGAACCAGTAATTGAAAAAAAGGGTGATCAAATTCATTGTCTCATCTCTTCTTTATTATATAGTACCATGATCCTGATGACGAACCTGATGCTCCTGCCATTCATGAAAGCTTTTTTGATTTTGACAAGTATAAGGATCAACTCACCAAAGAAGAATTGAAACGTAAGTATTAGAACGGAGAGAGTTGGTTCAAATGGATAAGAACTAACTCTATACATTTTGATAGATATGTTATATCAAGAAATCACCCAATGAAACCAAGAAAAGTATATCTTTTTTTTTTGTCACATCCTATCCCCTTGTTTTCTAGTTTTATTCATACTCTACCACCTTCTTTATTTTTTTTTTTTTATTTTATACCTTTGTCATTATCTGATTTCAAATTTGAATTTATATGAAATAAAACATTCTGATATTTTGTTGGAGGTTTTCGAAATCAAATGATTTTTGTTTCTTCTTCAAGCTTAATGTGGAAAAATAGCTTTCTGTTGGTCGAAAAAAGAGACACAATTTATCGATGAATCTTAAAAGACAATTACCCATCTATATAAAAGACACAAAGAGAGATCATCTTCTTTATTTTCTTTTTAAGTACCATCTGTCATCATCGATCATGCAAAAGATTGGTGACTCTCCTGCCCCATAAATGAGTATATTTGATGAGAAACCTTATGGCGATATTTTTATTTATTGGATGAGGAATATATAGATAATTTATTGTTAGTAAATAACGGATGAATGATCTTGACCAAGCGAAACTTTTACGAATGAGATTCAAAGTCAAAATAAGGGGTGAAATATGAGTAATATCAAACATTTTATTGTAATAAGGGAATATAGAAAGGAGGGGTATGATATAAATATACAAAGGACAAACTAGATTAATTTGAGTAAAAGGAAGCTATTTTTCGTTTACTTGAATTGTACCGGTTTCGTTCCTCCATCGTAATCAGATTCTTGATTTTCATCTTCAGTAAAGCTAATCTTGTTTTTGTTGCCCCTTGGGGTACTTCGTATTTCAAATCTTCCAAGGTGACAGACAATTCGATAGAGTTAATATAGGTGATCACATCGGTACGAATCTTATCTGACATACTACTAAACGAGTGGGATAAAAAGAAGTGTTAAACATGTTAGCATTTTATGTAAATAACCATAAAACTCTCTTTGTTGCTAAACTTACTCTATATCTGACAGTAATTTCTCCAATTCGTCAAGAGTAGGAGAATCAATAGCACCGTATTCCAATCGATCCGTAATCAGTTTTGTTCGACACATCGTTTGGATACTATACTTTGGATCTTTGACTAACCAAAAAAAAAAAAAAAGTCAATGAGTACGTATCATATCTTAATATATATATTTATTACTTACCATTTCCAGATGTCAAGTAGCCTATTGTTGGAAGAAATGAGATAGTTGGATCAGCTACGGGGTCTTCTTCACATAGGCGAATACCAAGATTAACTGCAGGTGCATAATGAAGTAACGTACTAAAAAGGAATGACAAGATGATGATATTAGATCAAAAAAAAAATATGAGAAATGTTATGACAAACCTACCAAAGTAATTCAGGGTCTCCAACTACTTTTTCAGCAGTATCAGTCACGATTTGTTGGATTTTCAATTCGCAGATTTGTTTGTCTTCCTTGTTATCACATGTTTGAATCTCGGTGAGTACCTGATTTAACCAAAAAAAAAAAAAAAAAAAAAAGATAAGCTAATCTTCTTGCGATGATTGTCATAGTTTTTTTTTTTCTTTACTTCCAAATAGGCCTTGATGATATATCTATCCATTGGATTCAAATTGTAAGCTGCTGTCAATTGATTCTTTGCCTCTATAAGAAGTTGATCTGTTTTTTGTTGTTTCCATTCATCATATAAGATCATTGCAAATAACTTGATTGCCATCGGGTCATTCCCATACAATTGGGTATCACTAAGAAAACGAAAATATAAATATATGAGTAAAATGTCAAATCGTTTTGTCTTGATCTTCTTTCACTTACCTTCCTAACTGTTCTTGAACTGGTATAAATCCTTCGTCATCTAATAAGTGAATGATATATTCCTTTAAACTTTCAATATTCTAATACAAAAAAAAAAAAAAAAAGAAAAGACAATTCAGTTAGACCATTGTCTTCAAATTCAATCGATCTATTTTTTTTTTTTTTTTTTTTACCTTGGGATACCTGATCCCAACCATGGTCCGTTTTAAAAAGGTGGTCAACTCTTCAGGTTGACAATGTCGAATGATATCTTCACCAACCTATCAGCATAAAAAAAAAAAAAGAGAGGGAGGTATGTTCGTTGAATATCGCTACATCCTTTTTTTTTTTTGTTGTTTATTTCTTTTTATCAAGTGAGACTTACATTCCAATACATTAAAGGTGAATACTTGCAAGTTTCGACCAAAGCAGCCAAGAGGGTCAGACTAGATCGATAGTCACGATGCTTCAATAAAAGTAACAATCGTTGACGTGCTCGTTGCATAATGGCAGAAAACCCAATGGTAGGAATACGACGTACAATATCTGGGTCGAAAGCAGTATGATCCAAAATACTAGGATAACTCTTCTTCTTGCTACTACTTGTCACATTGTTCGTGTTGGTAAGATCGATTGTCATTTGAGGATGAAGAGCGTTCTCAGGGACGGTAGAGATAGAAAGATGACTGAGTTGTGGATCAATTGTGGCTGGCATTGCTGTTGTAGATAGAATGGATCAATGCAGTCGATCACACAAGTGAAAGAGACGAAAGAAAGAATGTAAGAAAAGAAGTTATAAATAAAAAAAAAAATTGTAAGGCGGGAATTGAAATATGAGATTTTTTTTTTTATGTTAGATTTATGTACAAAAAAAAAAAAAAGACAAAAAAAAGGAGGGGGAAAACATTGTTTATCGTACAAATAAAATAAAAATAAAAATAAAGTATGTATATAAATATAATGGTAACAAAAGTATGTATATATATATAATATGTATTTCAATCATGATCCATCAAATACGGGTCATGTGTTGAGGATGGTTGTTGGGAAGTTGTAGATGCTTGTTGATGATACATGCTTTGCTGTAACGAAGAACTATTGGTATTATTACTATTATTGTTGTTTCCGTTGGATAATGCTGCTGCCATCTGTGTTGCTCGTTGTAATAATAGTAGTTGTTGAATTTGTTCAGATGTAAGAGATAATAAAGGTGACTGTTGTTGCTGATGATGTGAAGTATCCATGCCACCTGAATGCTGTTGCTGTGCTGCCAATATTCCCATAAGTGATAAATTGGGCGCACTTCCAACTGTTGGTAAAATTTCTCTTGGTTGTTGTTGTTGTTGTTGTTGAGAATTAGGTAAAATCACTCTAGGAGTATGATTCGTTATTGATGATTGTTGAAGTTGTTGTTGTTGTTGTTGCTGTCGCAGTAAAGTATCACGGAATCCACTATTATTTGAAGATTGATGATCGGGTAATGATCCAGAAATCATCATTGCAGGAGGTGTGTTTGATAATGAAGGCGAAGATGTGGATGGTTTTTCATTTTTCTTTGTATTCATCGAATGTCGTCGTTGTCGTTTATTCAAAGTTTGATCACTAAATCGAGTCTGTGCAAAGGTAATAGGCCGAGTAACAATTGGTGTTGTTTGTTGTGATGTGGAGATCATAGAGGTTGTTGAGGAAGGAGTGGATGTAGTTATTGGTGTATTTGAATTAGGAGCTGATCTGGCGATAGAACTTGCCGCTGACGTTGGGGGTGCCATGGTGATTGGTGTCATTCCCTTGTCTCCAAATCCACCTGAAGATATACTGATCATACCCGTTCCACTTGATCGTTTACCTATCACGCCCATAGTTGATCCATTTGTTGGTCCTTTGGAGCCAGTAGTCGACGATAAAAATGAAGCTGATGATTTCCCTTTGACGCCACGCCCACCATTATTACTATTCGATTGAGTGTTGCCGATGGTGCCAGTATTATTATTATTATTATTATTACCAAGCGAGGATCCAGTAGTTCCAGTCGTACTACCGCTTCGGTTTCGTTTCTTGATGACATCTGTTTTCAGACTAAGGGGACGTACTACACCATGTAACTTCAAAAACAAACCACATGCATTGCAAAGAGGATGTCCTTCGGGATCTCGTCGCCATAGAGGTGTCGTAGTTGTTTTGCAGTTGGTACAAGATGTAATAGTTGATGATGATGCATTAGTAGTATCCTTTTTTGAAGCCGAGTCATCCGTTTTTGTCTCTGTCGAAGGTGATGTGGAATTTATATTGTCATTTTCACCAGTTGCTGCACTGTTTGATGTATCTAAAAAAAAAAAAAAAAAAAAAAGGTAAATAAACAAATAAGCATACCCCCTTTATTTATTTGTTTATTTTTTTTTTTGTTACCTGAAGAAGAAGAGGTTGATCGAGTGTCAGTTGGAGTCACTGGTAGATGTGTGTTAAGAAGTACAGGTGAAGTATCATTATTGTTAGGAATAATTTGTTGTTGTTGTTGTTGCTGTTGTTGTTGTTGAGGTTGATTAGCATACATATGAAGTAAGGCTTCAAAACTGAGAGATCCAGGATGAATAGTAGATTTGTCAAAAGAGGCAGGCAAAAGATTTTGTTCATGTGAACCTGTAGCAGAAGGTTGCTGCAAGACGGTATAACCCAAACGAGGAAATAATGCTGGTTGATGTTGAGATGATTGATGATGTTGTTGACTGTGATTAAATCCTATTGATTGATGATGATGATGAAGTTGCTGTTGAGTCGTGGGAACAGAATGACTTGAAAAGGTCATGCCCTCATGCGGAACATAAGATGATGATGATGATGGTTGGAATGACATTCTAAAATCTTCTTCATTGTCTTCATCCATATCAGAATCGGTTGGTAAATCTACGGGAATTGTGATGCTATTGGTGCCATTACCACATGTTTGAGGGAATAATCCTGTACCGCCAGACTACATAAATATTTATAATATAAATATATATAAATATATATATATATAATATATAATATATATATTTTTTTTTACTTACCTCGTTACTATAAAAGTTTGTATCAGATTCATGAGAAGGTGATAAAGGTGAAGAAGCTCGTGCTGATCCATAAACAAGTACATTTTTGTTGAGTTGAGAAGCTTTTGATCGTGGAGGAGGAGTACGTCTAAAAACTGGTCCACCACCCATAAAATCGATTGTATAAGGAGGTGCTGAGGAAGAAAGCATAGTAGTGGTATCGTCAGGAGCAGGTGGTGATGAAGAAGATATATTATCAATATTTGTATCATCCATATCAGTGTCTTCTTGTTCCGATTTGACTTTTTCAGTAGCTTCTTTCTTTTTTAACGTCATTGCCATCATACGCCATGTAAGGTTTTCCAAACGTGAACCATTAGGTAATGTATCTTTTGCTTTTGTGTATAATCGCCATACAGATGTCGCTAAAGGGTCTTTTTTACTTGCTGTATCACTATCTGTATCGTCAGTATCTGAATCGTCCATATGGGTATTTGGTTTTGGTTTTCGTGGAGGAAATAAAGAATCTGAAAGAAGTGCTGCTGCAACTGAAGGTGGTGAAGTTAAAGTTGATGTTTTGAGATCTATTTTCTTGTCGTTTTTACTATTGCCTTTTCTCTTTTCGGTTGATTGATCGTTCATTTCGTTCCAAAAAAATAAACCGCGAATAAAACTGATAAAAGAGGAAAGGGGAAGAAAAAGAAAAAAGAAAAAAAGGAAGAATTGAAAAAAAAGAAAGTGAAAAAAAAACAAGAAAAAGGGTATAAACGGAAACTTGCTGGGTTTCAACTTTTTTTTTTTATTTTATTTTTTCTTGTCCCCAAAAAAAAAAAAGGAAACCATCATCCCAACCTATATAATAAAATAACATCAAAAATGACATAGAAAAAAGTCATCCATTTTTTTTTTTAAGATGAAATGTAATACAAAAAAAAAAAAAAGAGCTTGATGACGATGGTTGTTTTTTAAAAAAGGAAACTGGAATCATCGTCATCGATTACCCTTTCCTCCAATCACATGGAATCCTCGTTCAACTCTAAAACGACATTCTTTTTCCCTTTTGTTATACTAAAAAAGGGAATTGTCTAAACCAATTGACCAATCATATCAAAGAAAATATCCCTATCGGATATTCAATTTTCCTCCAATCTTTCTTCTTCTTCCTCGTATAAACCTATCATCATTCTCTTATTTACACTTTATTCAAATAATAAATGACGGATATTCAAAAATAAGATGTTGCAAAAATAGGAAATAAAAATATCGTAAGGATAGAAAAATAGATGACAAGAAGAAAAAAATGGAAAGTATAGTCGCATAATCCAAATTTAATACAAGGAGAAGAAAAAGAAGAAAAAGAGTGACAGTAGTTTCATTGAGTATAAGAGATTTTTGAGTAACAGAATATATATATATATATATATATATGTATATATTTAGTCAACATATCCATTTTTTTTATATTTATTTATTTTACCTTACCTGTATTAAATACATCCTCATGAAGAGGTGATAACATATGTTCATATGTTGCTGTTTACAGTTTGATTATTTACTTTTGAATTGGAAACACCAAGGGAGATTTCATAAAGAAAAAGAAGAAACTGATTAACATACTGTATCATCATCATCAATCATCATCATCAATCATCATCACCATCATCATCATCATCATCATCATCATCAATCAATCAATCAATGTGTTTTGACATACGCTAGAAAAGTGGTAATGCTACATCCATTTTGGGATATTTTATTTTATAACATCACGAAACTATTTTCTCATGATCCCACAAGGAACTTTGAAAACACTCGTATATCCATTTAAAAAGAAGTGACATCAAACCTTAAAATGATCTTAAAATAATAAAACTATATAGGAATTCTATATATATATATATATATATTATTTAAATACTTAAGACATATATATATATATATATATTTCATATCAAGTGATGTTACCATTTGATCCAGTCACAGATATTCGTACCCCTCTTTCTGGAATCCATCCCTTCGGTTTGTCAATTGGGAATCCCCCATAAAAAAAAAAAAAAAAAGAGTGAGATGTATGTCGGTCATTAAAAGTAGTTTGTAAAAATGGCATGAATCCATGGAAATTATGGATTTGTGAACTAGATCAATCATTTAAGATTTTGGATTACATGTAAGATAATTTTTATAACATTTCATCAAAATATTGATTATATTGTGTATTTATTAATGATTATTCTATATAGACATAATTTACTTAGGACAAAAAGGTATATCTACCTAGAAAAGGTAAGGTCACACTTTTTTGATTCGTAAAAAAAAAGAGGACGACAAGAGCCTAAGCTGTCTGGGTTCCATTTTTTTTTGGGTTCATTTTTCTTTCTTTTTTTTTTTTTTTCTTTGTATCCTTTCTTTCCCTCCTTTTTTATTTATTTTCTTTATCAAATTATATGGATCGACTACCAGACGAAATCATTCTTCGTATTATTTATTTTATTGCAACTAGTGAATGGCAACTATTAGAGTTAGAAAAAGTATCCAAGAAAATACAATGGTAAAAAAAAAAAAAAGATTTTTTTTTATCTGAAGCAATCTTTCAAATATATCTAATATATATATATGTTTTATATAGTATTATACAAGACCAAACTCTTTGGTATCAACTCTTTCAACAACATTATAAAACTTGGGGTCGTCATGTATCTTATACTTCTCGACGAAATATAATGGACTGGAAATCTTTTGTTATTCACCTCGCCAAACAAAAACAACGTAACCGTTCATTCACCTTTGATTTTGTATCTGATAATCATTGTATTGAACCACCCATTAACAGAAAACGAAAACTTCATGAATTAGCTCGCTCTACTTCTTCTCCTTCACCACCATCCTATAAAAATCTTTCTCGACATCAAGATACCCCTTTGGATAACTCTACTTTTTCTTCTTCTTCTTCCATACCTACATCTGAACCTTCGTTTGATCGTCAATCACTACGATACATGCTTAATCGTAATACACCCATGCCATTTCGTATTCAGGATCCGCTGGTAGTGGATATCAATCGTATGACTCGCACTGGAATTGTGGCCACTGGAAAACATCGAAAATCAACCTTGCGCAGCAATCATTATACAAGACGTTCCGAACACAAAATTTTATTCTGGGAATATCCTTCATGGCGTCTGGTACGAGAATTGGAAATTACTTTTATGCCTCCTGATATCACTTGTCAAGTGGTTGGTGTACAATCTATTTTGATTAAATCCCCTGATAACACTACCCCTCAACGTGTACGGTTCTTTGCCCTGGCGATTGGAAAACCGGCTGAATTGCATGGACATATGCATATGAATGATCTGGATGATCCTGATGGAAATGATGATCGTGTGGACTTGTGGCAAGCAATATTAATCTATCGTTTATTCGACAATGGTGTTACTCAATGTTTGGCTCATTTACCTTTAGATGGACGTTTTATGGGAAGAGAAGTCTTTTTCTTTTCCGATTATTCTTGGACTTTTGGTGATGATATGACTTTTACTGACCCACGACGGAAGATGAAAGATTGGTTACAAATAGTAGCTCCTGAACATACTGATTTTGATCCTCATTATACTCTGTTTATGTTGGCTATTGGTCCCACTTATCCTGAAGCTGATGGTTGTGGCAAACTCATTCAATTTGATCTTCGTGGGCATGCTAATGTCTTGGATCCTTCTTTAACACCTATGACGATGAACCCAACTTTACAACGCATTATACCTACTAGATATGGATCTGTACCTCGACAACAATCTTTGGACGAAACGATGGCAGATTTCAGTTCACCACCACCTTCAGCTAAAATCATCCATACTGTTTATTTAGGATCTCATGTTAGCTGTATGATCCATTTCAGATACCCAACACATTTGAATCATTTGATTTGCAAAGGAAGTTACGAAAGCAATGAATTATCTATTTACGATTGGCGTTTTGGTATCAAAGTTGGTACTTTACCATGGAAAGTCGAACAAGATCAAGGATTACAACGACAGCAACAACGACAGCAACAACAACAGCGACAACAACAGCAACAGCAACAACAACAGCAACAACAGCGACAACAAGAACAACGACAACAAGAACAACAACAACAACAACAACAACAACAACAACAACAACAACAGCAACAACAGCAACAACAACAACAGCAACAACAGCAACAACAACATCAACAAGATCAACAGCAGCAACGAATAAATCGACGTCGCTTGTTACGTCGATCTCAAATTGTACATGCGCTAAATCCTCCTCCACCACCGCCGCCGCCTACACGACTGGATGAATTAAATCAAATACCATTACAAGCGGAAGAGCCCATGTTGGATGACACTTTACATCTTCCTGATAATATGGTAAAAAAAAAAAAAAAAAAAAAAAAAAAAAAAAAAAAAGAGATGTCAATTTTCACTCACATTATTTATGAATCATTGTATATAGAATCAAAACCCTGAAATTGGGCAACTTATGGCAAGATTGGCACAAACAGCTTCAAGGGTGGTATCGGTAAACGGTAACGATATTGATTTATTGGATATGGAAGAAGAAGAAGAAGGAGAAGAAGAAGAAGAGGAAGAAGAATTTGAACTACAATTTGAAGTTCGACCTTGGGGATTGGAATCGACTATGGTACTACCATCTTATTGGGATCAACAAGCAACTAGCAATGAAGATTTAGCACATCGAGGATTTCGACTTATTGCGGTGGGAGATAATCGAATGAATCGTTTGGAAATCAAGGTATGGGATATTTCATTTTTATTACGGCAAGAATGGGATCCTTTATGTCATGATCATGTTTTGGAGGATTGGACATCAACGACAAATATTGAAGATTGGTACAAGAGAATCGAATGGACGAAATTTTTCCCTTGGTGGCGACGTGGTAATGGACAACTCTGGCACTTGGGGTTACGTATGGTACATGAACGAGTACAATCAGAAGAAGGACGATACATCTCTTCAGTCATACCTTTTGAGTTAAGGCGTTTGATGAAACAAGAACCTGGATTACAACGATTGGCAAGTACAATTCAGTGGCCATTTTCACCTCCCAAACCTAGTATGCTTCTGGCACATGCTTTTGATAAACCAGCGAATGGAATGGATGATGTGATGACAGTCAAATATACAGCATACAACGTACTTTATACCTCCTTGTTTTTACTGACCGAAGATGGCAAGGTGACGGTAATGGATATTGAAACTGGACAAGTGACAGGGACCATTGACAATGTGGCTGCTATGGCGATGACAAATGGACAAATGGATAGGACAAGATCTGGTAGAATTCGTGGTATTGATGTGAATGTGGTGGCTGGTCGTGAAATAGTTGTAACAAGTCGTGAAGGTTTACTCCGTAGTGTGATGTCTTAGACATCTATCTATCTTAATACTATATATACATCTATTTTATTGATCTTTTTTACTTGTAGTCATACCTTCTGTGTTTTTATTGTATACATTTTTTTTTAAAAAAAAAAAATCAAATGAAAATAAAAATATCCATTTTTTGTATCTTGTTTATTATATCAGTAAAGGAAAAAAGAAAAGATCGTTTGATATCTTTAGATAGTATGATGATATTGGTAGTATGATGATGAGCGGGTGGATATTCTTGTTCCAGTTTGGAGCCAACTTGATGTGCATTGAGGAGCTTGAAAAAACCAGACAAATGTCCCCACAGTGTTCCTACTTTTTTTTTTTTTTTTTTTTTTTTTTACATTAGTTCAAAAAAGTCGTACATTATCTTATTCCTCCCTTCTCTTATTACCTTTTTTTCATATAACAATGTCATCCACGGACACAAACTCTTCATCACGAAACATTATCTACAAAGTATATGGTATAGCGAACAAAGTACAAGCGATAACAGCGATCGGGTTTTCGACGTTTGCAGTGATTCATGGTTTACAAATAGCGGCTGGAGCGGTGGGAGGTGTGGAAGCGGCAGACCAAGCACTTCTTCTTGCACGACCCATCTATCAAGATGCTCATCTTGAAGGATATATGGTAACGGGAAGTGTGGCAGCTCATTTATTGGCGGGCTTAACAAAATCAAGTCTGGACTATTGTTATTTGAACAACAACAAGAAGAACAACAAGGCAACTGGCTATTATCATGGCATCACCGGTCAATTATTGATTCCTTTATCAGTGGGACATTATATCTTGACGCGTAGGATGCCTATACAGACCATGGGTGATTCGGCATTTGTGGATTTTGGTATTGTTGGATGGGGACTTCAAAATAAACCATGGGTAACTTGGACTTGGCATGTGGCATTGATTGGTGTTGGCGTGTATCATATGGTAGGTGGTGCTCCATTGGCTTTCCGACGGACATTCGGTGGTAAAACAACTTCCAAGAAAGAACAACTGGATGATAAGAAGGGTAGCATGGTGAAATTTATTCCTTTGGTTATTGGCATCAGTACCGTGCTGGTGGCTGGCTTGGTGGCAACAAGTCGATTGGACAAGATACCTTTACGCCGTGAATATCAAGCTATTTACAATCGTTTATTACCTGGATGGATCATTTAGTTTAGATTTTTATTTTTATCTTCAATAAAATATATATTTATTGATTTGGAATCAAGTAGTGGATAATGTGTTAATGACGATAATACTAATATGTATGATCATATCGATAAACGAAGACTGTGATGATTGATTGATGATGATAAGATTTATTGTAGTGTATTGATGGAAATAAAAATACTACACAAAAAAAAAAAAAAAAAAGAATGCGCACACAGCGAAACAAAAAAAAAATCTAATGTACAAACAAGGATAATAGCAATAAAAAGAAAAAAGTAGAAGGACAAATAATAAGAATTCTAAAAAAAAAAAAAAAGAAGAACTAGGCTAAAGTATCATTCACCGAACTAGAAAGAGGGGTAGTACCAGTCACTGAAGAGGACGAAAAGTTCAATACATTGCTGATCCAACCAGTAGCCAGTTTGTATACTTTTGTCGAACCTTTAATCTTAACAAATCGAAGAGCTACTACATGAGGCGATATATCAGGTTCACCAGTTGTCGATGATTTGTTGCTATTTGGAATAGAATAAGCCTCCATGGTAAACATCGCGATACCGTCCTTATTCTGAGCCTTTTCATCATCGTCTTCATCATCATCAATATTCAAAGGTTGCTGCTGTGTGGGTGGGTTGAGTTGTCCAAATGTAGCCGTTGTAGCACCACTACCATTTGCACCACCTGTAGTTGTCTGACTGGGACCACCGATGGGCATGGATGAATGCAAATGAAGAGATTGAGATGACCAAGGCCATTGTTGAAAGGGTGCTGAAAGTCGTTTCATATGCCGACTCCATCGACTTGTGTTGCTACCATTGCTGATTCGATCCATTGTACTGCTTCTTGATGTATATGTTGAACTGCCACCATAAGATGGTTGTTGTTGTTGTTGTTGTGATGATGTAGTAGATGATGCATCCTGAACCAAATTGGGTGATGATGTCGCAGTTTTCAGTCCATGCTTTGATCTCTTTTTTGTCATTTTGTCAAGTTCAGACTTGTGCCGAGCTCCACTGTCCCGCCAACCTTGTAACCATTTGCCCTTCCTTCGCTGTGATGATTCCTTTTGTTGTTGTTGTTGCTGCTGCTGTTGTTGTTGTTGTTGTTGTTGTTGTTGTTGTTGTTGTTGTTGTTGTTGTTGTTGTTGTTGTTGTTGTTGTTGTTGTTGTTGTTGTTGTTGTTGTTGTTGTTGTTGTTGTTGTTGTTGTTGTTGTTGTTGTTGTTGTTGTTGTTGTTGTTGTTGTTGTTGTAGCTGTTGTTGCTGTTCTCTCTGTTGCTGATCCTCCATGGTATAATTTCGTAAAGTCAACACACATGTAAGCTTGGTTTTCGATTCATGTTGATAAGTAACACCCAAAAGTTGACATGCAGATTGTACTAATAAGATCAATTCACATTCATCTTGCTGTTGAGAAAGATCATCATAGAGTGGTTGAAGACTGAATCGACCTGTTTTTGCTGATCCAGAAGCGGAATTTGTTGGTGGAAGGGTTGGCGTTGACAAACTGTTACTAGCAGAAATGGATGAACCTGAAGAGAAAGAAGACAAGACAGTAGCTGAAGATGATCCACGAGAAGTGTTTTGAATTGTATAATAGTTGATATGTTCCTTGGGTCGGGTATATAGACTTGCCAGACTAAGAGTAGAAGTTGTTTTCTTTAGTCGAGAGGAGAATCCACCAGGTGAACCAGTGTCAGGTTTGGTACCAGCCGCTGATGAAAGAAAATTGCTACTGATATTGTTGCTACTATAGGCTGCAGAGGAAAGTGTCAAGATAGATTCAGGTCGTTTCAGTTTTTGGAAGAATTGATGTATTGGAGAATGACCATTGGGTGGTTGAGAGATTGGAGTCAATTGTAGTTGGGAAAGCACCATCTTGACTTCGGCCAATAATTCCGCACGTAGTAATTCTTGTGTTTGAGCATTGTCATCCATATGTGGTGAATAACCACCATTTCCAGTAAAATAAATAGAAGAGTTGATTGGGTGATATATAACAGTTTTCTTGATATGATGACCAGAATTTTTTTCTTCTTCCATATCTTTCAAACATTGTCGTTTCGATCGTTCTCGTTCCATTCGATGTCGTACAGATTCATCCAATTCAGTCGGTACCCCATTGATCAAGAGAGGTTCGTTACTATTGAATCCACCATAATAACCTGAACTTTTCTCAAGAAAGAGATCATCTAATCGACCATTGTCATTCAACCAGGGATCATCCTTTAATGCTACCCGAAGTGCGATTCGTTGTCGTCGATCTACCGATAAACACTTTTGTATGGTTTGTTGTAATTCTTCACTAAAATGTGTTGGCATAGGATAATTTCCATGTATAACATCTTTTCGTAATTCCCCAAAAGCTAAATTATAAATAGAAAATAAAAAGAGGATTGGCTTAGTAAAAAATTATATCTTTTTTTTTTAACTCTGATATCATCTTTTATGGCTTACTACGAGCATGAGAGAATGGTTCGAATCCAGAGGTCATTCGAAACAAAGTAACACCAAGACACCAACAATCGACTTCTGGACCAATATATTTTTGTTCGCAAATGATTTCAGGACTATAGTATAACATGGAGCCTAAAAAAAAAAAAAAAAAAAGATAAGAAAAGAGTATGAGAAAAATAAGCACCTTTGGAGCACAGACCAAGTCATAACGTGACCTAAACGTACCACACATTGTTCGCAATCGCTGCAAACCAAAACGATTTCCCAACCCAAAGTCGGCTAATTTCACTTGACCATTGGTTTTCAATAAAACATTCGGTGCCTATAAACGATATTCATTAGTGAATAATAATAACAATAAAAAAAAAACTTTTATTATTTACCTTTAGATCACGATGTACGACCCAACGACTATGACAATAATCCACAGCTGCTACCATTTGTCGAAATATCAAACGAGCTTCATCTTCATGTAATAATCCATGTCGTTTTTGTAAATGTTCATCTAAATTAAATCCAGGAACATATTCCATTATCAAGTATAACGAGTCGGCTGTTTCCACAGTTTCATACAGGTGAACCACATTAGGATGATCTAATGCTTCCATTAATCGAATTTCCCTTACAAGTCTTGACATGACTCGATATTCATGAACTCTTTTGTCAATGACCTATATGATGAGAATAATAATAAGGTTAATTGATTGCATAACAAGTGATCATGAATAATTTATTCTATCATATCCTTTTTGATCAACTTTGATCATTCCCACTGACCTATCCCCCTATATTCATCCACTCATTCCCCCCGTCACTCCTTCGATTTCATACTTCTTTCTCCAACTCTCCCTTAAAAGTCAAGATAATCAATGAAAATATAATTTTTTTTTTTGTACCTTGATAGCAAATTGTTCACCAGTAAGATAATGTCTCGCCAACATAACTTTACTAAACTTGCCATGACCCAAAGGACGATCAAAGAGATAATCACCAATACCAGCCAATAAATAATCAGGACTAGGAGCTATTTCTTTTGTTTTCTTCTTCTTGTCATCTTGTTTAGATTGTTGTTGAGGTGATCGCGTAATATCATTGTCAGTAGATGGAGGAGTAGGTAAATCAACTGATTTCGTCCGAGAAGTACGTTTTTGTTGCCATTTTGCTTTTAGTTGATGAGTCACTGACCTAAAAGGCATGATATAATGAGAATGGTTCAAATAAAAGGTATAAAAAAAATGAAGAAGGTATACAAAGTTTGTTGTTGGGGACAGGGAATAATGATGAAGAGGGAATCAAGTATAAAATGGTAAGAAACAAAAGGAGGGAGAAGGGGTATCAAAAAATAAAAATAAATAAATAAAAAGAAGAAAAAACAAGTAACAAAAAAAAAAAAAAAGAAAAAAAGAAAAAAAGGAAAAAAGAAAGAAAGAAAAAAAAAGAATAAGGAAAAATAAAGGGGGGAGTTTATATATATTTTGAGTAACAAATTTTAGACAACGGTAATGTCAATCAACTAAATATTATTGAAGTCAAAAAAAAAAAAAAAAGAAAAGAAAAGATCATCATCGCCACCTAAATCAACTACCTATTTTTCTCCTTACCATTTAAAATCATCTCCTTGTTACTTCTGTTTTGTCATTTAGAACAAGGAGAAAGAAAAAGAGAGAGATCAACTTTACAAAATAAACATGTGATAGAAGTCAATACTAGGATATCTTCTTTTTTTTTTTTAGCTTTGGATTCGACCATCAAGGGAACACAAAGCTTCTTTTTTCTTTTTTTTTTTTTATTGTAATACAAGAAAGAAGGAGAGTGAGAGAGAAAGAGAGAGAAGGAGTGAGATAAAAATAAAAGAGTGTAGACAGCAACATATACAAAAAGATAACTACTATGAAAAATAAAATTAAAATAAGATCAAAATAAAAAAAAAGAAAAGAAAAGGAAAGGTATACAAATGATAAAAAGGAAAGGACTACGTAATTGAATAATTTCAAAAAAAAAAAAAAAAAAAAGAGTGACAGTAATAATGATATAATAAAAAAAAAAAAAAGAAGACTATCTAAAAACTATCGAGATCACCAAAAAGACCATGTTTTGCTAGAGTACTTTCAAAATGACCAGGTACTTGTTTGGATAATTCTTCTTCACGTCGTTTATCCATTTTCTTAGTAGATAGAGCGCCTAATCCTTTCAAATAATCCACCAGACGTTTGTGTCCTGCTGATTTTGCCAAATCTAGAGGGGTAGACACCTTTCTTGGTACATAAGCATTACAATCCAATCCAAATCTTTCGATCAATAACGTCACGACTTCTAATCGCCCGTGGCGTACCGCCCAATGAAGAGGCAGTTCCCCTTGGTAATCTGCTTGTAATACGGGTACTTGACAAGTTCGGGCCAATAACGATACCAGATCCGTATGACCTGAAGCACAAGCATAATGTAATACAGTTGCACCTATATAGAAAATAATAAAAATAAAAATAAAAAAAAAAAATAAAAAGTAAAGGATTAGTTCCAAATATTATATTGTATATCTATATATTTACTTACCATGGGTATCTACTTGATTATTCAATTCACCTTGAGTCATTTGAACAATATATTCCACTACAGCTGCATGACAATGTTCAGCTGCAACATGTAACACAGTTTTGTTCTTGTTTCCACCACCTCGACTTGTAATAAGATCACCACCAGCTTGAACTAATTTTTGTAAACCGGGTAACCATCCGACTTTGGCAGCCAAATAACAAGGAGAACATTTTTCTTCTTCTTGAGTACTAAGTGTCATTGCATTTGGATTAGCTCCTTGTTGTAATAATAAATCCAAAGATCCAGGTGCTTTGGTCACAATCAATGCATGAATCAGTCCATAACCAGATTTAACAATTTGTGATGATGAACTTGATTGTTGTTTTGCTGTATTGGGAGATCCACCACGTCGAAGGAAATTACTAAACAAAAAATAATAATAATAATAAGAATAATGATAATAATATATATATTAATTCTTCATATCCTATCATTCTCCCTAGAATAAAAAAGATCCCCCCTCCCTCAATTATCTTCTTTTCCCCTAATAGTAGTTGTTTTATATTTTGACATTTATTTCCAACTCCTTTTTTTTTTTGTATGTTCATTTACCTGATGATCTTTTCTACCGTAACATCACTTCCTTTGCTTTTGGCAATTGTATCCCATAAACCATCAGCACCACCAAAGATCAAAGGATCTACACGACGTTGTTGAATTAAAGAATGACCAGTATATCCAGAAGTAGTTGTAGATGATCGAACAGGAGTCATAGGAACCGAATGTATTGAGCCACCACCATTAGAGGAGCTTGCTGTGCGAACAGAAGATGCCGAGGTTGGAGTCGAGGAGGATGAAGGAGTTGAATGAGATGGATGGCGTAAGGATTGCCACGAAGAAGACTTTCCATTGTTGCTGCCTAAACTTCCGTTGCTTTGATGTTTTAATTGTCGTTCAGAATAGGATTTGGTACTATTATTGCCGTTTGAATAAATACTTTGATTGTCACTAGATGTTGTTGTGCTGTAAATGCTACCTGTTGTCGCTGAATTTTGTCTTGTACGAACAGAGGAAAGAGTTGAATCAACAGACTGAAGAGGACCACCATGTTGAGGTAAGGTAGTAGTAGTAGTTGCACCAGAAGTCGTATGGCCAGCCATCAGAGCAGAAGAGGGTGAAGAAATAGATATTGAAGAAGGTTGAGGTAATGGAACACAGTCAGAAATAGCTGATGACGCAGTAGTGACCGAAGTTGCCATAGAAGTAGACCAATGAGAAGATGGTGCATAAGAAGATGTTGTACTAGTAGATCTAGAAGCCATTGAAGATTTTTGTCGAGAAAAGTCAGGAGTAGGGTCATAATCTTCAATAGTAGATAAATGTTGTTGTTGTTGATGTTGATGTTGCATTGGCGAGTTGGATAAACTGGAAGAGACTGGAAGAGGAGGAGGAGGAGGTAAACCATGGTAAGGAGGCTCGTTTGAGAATTCAGAACCGTAGGATATATTGGAAACGTTAGAAATAGAGCGTTGACTTGTGGATATAGTAGTCGTGGGAGTAGGAGGAACAGCACCATTTGCATTCATTTCGTTAGCTATCCGTTCATATTTTTTGCGAAAAAATTGCATTTCCCGTACAGCCTTTTCATGTCGTTGTTGCATAGTTTCCAATGCAGCTTTCAAATCTTCATTATGGTTTTCGAGAAGTTCAGAACGTTGTTGTAACATATTGACGAGACGGTCGTGATCACCTAATAAACGTTTGAGTTCAATCTTGAGTACTTGTCGTAAATTATTGTCTTCTAATTGGTCTAATAAGCCTATAAGACATTCTCTGGGATTCAATGGTTGTTCTTCGTTGACGCGTTGAAGTCGTTTCGTCGCCATAGTATCTTCTACAAGTGGATAAGTATAAGAAGGTTTTGAGGGCATCAACAAAAAAAAAAAAAAAAGTGAAAGAAAAAGGGAAGAAAAAGGAAACAAAAAAGGTTTAGTATGGGTGTGAAAATATGAATGAAAAAGGTACAAGCAGAAGGAGTTCGAATTCTCTTTTTTTTTTTTTCATTTGAAAATTTTCTTTGGGGGGAGAAGAAAGTGAAGAGGAGGACAAAAGAAAAAAAGAGTCTATAGTATAGAAGAAAAAGGCACATGTGGGGAAACAAATTTTAAGACACGACAACTAGTTAAAAATGCAACAAATGAATACAAGAAACACGAGACTAGTTACCTGATCCAATCATTTCCTTTTTCTTTCATTTTCCTCTCTTCTCTCCTTTCCAGGCTCTCTCTTTTTCTTTTCTTTCTCTCTCTCTCTCTCTCTCTCTCCTTGACTTTAAGCATCGCCTGTTTTCTATTATCATCAACAAAAATACTCCCCTTGTCTTCATACTTGTTTGGTTGATCCTTCCAATCAAATTGTTTATATTGTTGTAAAAATGACAGGAGTGATCCCTATTGTTCAAAAAAAAAAAAAAGCTCTTTTTATTCCAGAGTGATACAATAATCTCATTGTCCATCATTATTATTACTTACTACTACCTAGATAAAAGTTGTCTGGACTTGGAACGGTATTCTAAAATCGTCATCATTTGTAACAAAAAAAAAAAAAGTTTATTTGCTTAACTAATTAATTCCCTTTTGTTGAAAAAAAAAAACGCGGGTAGTAATGGTCATCTAAAACTAGAAGTGATGGAACTAATGAAATATTTGTTAGAAAAATAAGAGTAATCAGATCTAAATATATTTTAATCATTATCATATTTACAATGCATATCTTATATTAATAAATGATTCTTATATGTATAAATGCATGCAATATTAGATGATGACGATAGCACCGACTCTTTAACAAAAAGCTTAGACCAACCCTTTTTCTTTTCTCGTATCTTGATTATTGGGATAAGGTTTGGATTCTTTTTATTCGCCGCCGCCTCTCTTGTCCTACCATTCACTACCGTTGCTTTTCTCAGGAACAAAAAAAAAAAAAAAAGGATGACCTCTCTCCTTAATCATCATCATCATCACTATATGAGAGACAACATATATATATATATGTTTTTATGTGTATACAAATATGTGTGTTATCTTTTTTTTGTTATTCTCCTTTCTTTTGTTCTTAAAACAAATATTGACTTTTATTGCATAAACCGGTTTCGTACTCCGTCTTGACAACTCATCTTTTTATTAATCTTATCTTCATCATCATCATCTAGTCATCATCATCATCAAGGAGAAAAGGAAACAGATCAGTAGACCTCATAGTTCTTTTTTTGGAAGAAAGTCGGACTGTCAAACGTGTAACCAATGTGATGGACACCCTTTTTTTTCATCGGCTCGGGTTATCATCACCTTTTTTTTTTTTTTCAAAGTGACCCAAAGTAATAAGTAAAAGAAAATCAGGGCAAATATTAAATAAAGGTAAAAAAAAAAAAAAAAATTGAAAGCTTGTTTTTTGTCAAACAAATCCCAAAATATATTCAAAATATTGTATGAGAAAAAAAAAAAAAAGAAAACAGTAAATCAACTTGTTTTAACTTCATGTCATCCGTTCCGAGATTGCCGAAGTGAAATTGATTTGACAAGTGATGATCTTTCAGTTTATAATCCGAATGATGAAAGAATAAGAAGTAAACTTCGGGACCATAACAAAAGGATCAGTTGAGAGCTCTTGTGACACCTTACTTTTCTTCAAAGATGAACTTCGCGTTATATCACATTGCTTTAAAGAATGACTACAAAGTTTTACATAGATAAAGTGAAGATTGTATGTATCAGGATTGATCATCTAGCTAAAAAAAAAAGTTCATATTTAGGTATCTCAACATATGAATGGATTAATAATAGTATGTATGTCTCATGAAATCAAAGTTTTTTTTTTTTTGACTTTTTATGAAAGTGTAAACAAACAACCTTTTTCTATTTCAATCAAAAGAGCGTGAGCGGACTAAAAAGTGTCGCCTTTCTTTTTTTTTTTTTGTCTCCCTTTTCTTTTATTCCTTTTTTTTTTTATATATACCGTGAAGACTTTTTTATATCTATTATTTTATATACTTTATCACTGTTTATATATATATATATATGGGAAGCAAGTTACGTTGGCAATCTTGCTCCAAATCTGATTTTCCATTGAAACGTAGTAAAGTGGCCAAAGCATGTCAGGGCTGTAGAACCAAGAAGATGCGCTGTGATGGCAGTAAGTTAACACGACTCATACATATAATACAAAAAAAGAAAGGAAAAAAAAATACTATAAAGTTTTCTTAGTTTACTTATCTTTTTATATTATCATTGTTAGAAAAGCCTTGTACTCGGTGTGAAGCAGACAGAAAGCATTGCGTATATCGACCAACTAGTCCTTCATTTTCTAGAAAATCCAAATCATCTCCATCACCACTTCTTTTTGAATGGTCAAGACTTGACAAACTAGCTTTCCATCAAGACTTGTATATCGCTTTAAATCTATCTTCACCAATTTCACGAACAAACAGCAAAAAGGATCGATTACCAGCATTGTTATTTGAATTTTATCATTTAACTTCACATCCCATTACGATTTGGACAAGGTTTTACACTCTTTTCCAAAAATGGTACCGTTTACAGAAATCATCCTCTCTCAAAGACGCTCGTGTTCCTGCCGATATTGCCAAAGAAGCACTCCGACTCTTTTTACGATACAATTCTCTTTATACCTTATTCATTGACGCGACTGATCTCTTACTTGTTCTTGATCAACACTCGTTTTTCCCCACAACCGGATCCTCCACACCGCTCAACAACACATCAACCTACTCGATTGATGTTACCTTATTATTATTGGACACCATCCTTGCTTTGACGTTTTTAGCTGCTGGTCAAACTCTTGGTTCCGATCTTCTTTTAGACATTGCTCATTCTTTTTATGATACTGTACACAAACGTTGGTTAACTATGACATTCCTTTCAACACCTTCAACTCGATCACACTCCTATCACACATCATCATCATCATCATTATCAACTCCAATATCTGCATCACCATTATCGACGTCCTTAACATCAGTATTAATACCAACAACTTCAGCCGATTTACCAACGTCATCGTCAGAATCACCATCAACATCAGCAATAGCCACATTATCACCTATACCAACTCCAACTCCAACTCCAACAGCAGACTCACTGCAACTTCATGATAGCAGACCACTGGACGTATTAGCTCAGGCATCCATTTTACTAATTCATTTCCAATGCACGGCTATTTGTGAACAACAAGCATACATGACTTCCAGGATTGCTCAAGGATATGTGGAACGCCTCATTTCTCAAACAGAAAACAAGGATGGAATATCTGAATCGGAAAATCATATAACTTTACAGTATACTCTTCATGCATGGCAAGTTTGGTTTGCGGTTTACTTATATGGACATCAATCTTTGATATCTCCTATGGTAGCCTCCTCTTCCTCTTTTCCTATGCCTCCGCCATTTCCCACATTGGTACCGTCTCTATCGCAAGAAGAACAACAAATTCAACAACAAGTATGGACCTGGTCAGTACTCACTCAATATATTCCTTTCTTGGAATCACTCTTGAAATCAAATAGATCACCGCAAATAACAGTTCAAGAGTTGATGGTAATTTTCTTTTTTTTTAAAAAAAAAAAAAACCAAATAGATTGAATGAAAAAAGGAAGTACTCATATTCTCTTTTTTTTTTTTTTTTTTTTTTTTACATTTAGGAGAAATGTCAATCCCTATCATCACTATCGACTATTCACAACAGTAGCAACAACAACAACAAGATGGCAACTTCTCAAATCACATCTTCAGAACAATTGGTGGCACTTTATTGTACTATGTTGATCATCCAACTATTTTCAAGTCAATGGTTACCACGCTTGGATTTTTTTACTCCTGCCATTCAAAGAAAGAAAGAAAAACAAGAAAACGGGCATGAAAACGGTGATGATGATGACAAACATGATTCTATTATTACTGGCGCTGAAGATAATGATGACGACAAAATCAATAACAAGAACTTATCCAAGAACGTATGCATCCAAACCAGCCAACGAATTATTCAGATGATAACCACTATGATGATGACTGGCCAAGATATTACAACACACCATAGCTCATCTCCGTCATTATTACCAGTCCGATATCGTGCTCTCTGTCTTGCAGCCACCATACTAGTACCACTTGGTCAATACTCATCCAAATCAACAACATCTTTAAACCAATCCTTACAACAATTGAACCATATATTGAAAAAAGATATCCAGACTTGGTCAGTGGCACGACAATGCCTTTATCATCTACAACAACGCCTACCAACAGTGTTTGCCAACCAAAACGACGATGATTATAATGAAGAAGGAATATCAGGTACCCACAACAACATCTCACAGCATGGACAATCACAACTATTGACACAACAACGTCGAAACTCAACGATGATGAAAAGGGGATATATGGATCAAGAACAGCTAAACAAGTTATCAACCTCTATTGGAAAACGGAAGTGGGAAGAGCAACAGCACACTATATCGTCATTTGAGGAACAATCAAATGGAATCAAGAAGCGGCATCGCACTCATCCAACGCTCGATGGTTGGTTACCAATGGATCCTATTTATGAAAACTCAAGTGGTGGACCCGGTCCTTTCTTGGAATTGACTCAATCTCCGACTCCCTTACCCTTATCATCCAGTATCTATCCAGCGATGACAGAACTGATACCTTCTCAATCAATTATTACGCCCATGCCGACCATGTATTCTATAGCAAACGATGATCATGTAGATAATAATGATGATAAAAATGACAGCACATCATTTCACATGATACAATCTACGCCAATCATGTCACCCTTGACGTACCATCATCAACAACCATTGGCGCAGCAAAAGCAACAACAGCATCAGGCAGGATCAACAACAACAACAACAATGGTATCATCACCATTGATCACCAACAGTAGTAGTGGACTACCTTCATATCAATCAACATTCAACAATTACAAACGTGGGATATCTTCTTCATATGTATCAACAAGACAATCGATTCATGATACTTTCACGGCTTCCATGATGGAAACATTACACACACCTCTTGATCAATCATCTATTCATACCAATATGGAGGCAAGTAATACATCAACAGCAACGACTTTTCTTGTTGACGAACCAATACCCAGTAAAACAAATGCTAAAATGATGATGACTATACCAGGGAACAATTATTTACTATCGGATGACAAACAAACAGAAGAAGAATGGATGTATTTTCTTTATCAACAACAACAACAACCATCATCATCTGATCCTTTTATATTATTCTCATCTTCAATTGAAAAAAAAGATTAATAATTATAATAATTTGATAGAAAGTGGGATTATTATTATTTTTTTATAGTGTTAATTAATAAATAAAAAACGTATATATTTTTTTGGATCATCTGACACAAAAAAAAAAAAAGCTACCTGGAAAAAAGTAAAAAAAAAAATTTTTTTTTTCTTTGTGCGTTGCATTGATGCGGCCAAAGTTTAACCGGCCGGAGAATGAAATTTACCTATGGATAAGTGAGGATGAATCAGCTGCGTCTTCCTTATTCTGCTACAACTGCCCGGTCTCTTTTTCCTTTTTTTTTTCTTTTTCTTTTTTTCTTTTATTTTATTTTTTCTCTTTTACATCCAATTTTATTTTATATTACACACACATACACTTTTTTTCTCTCTCTCTCTCTCTATTTTTATATATAAAATGAAGAACTGTTGTTTTTGCATCAATCTAAGGTAATTCTAACTATTATTATTATTTTATTTCATTTGAAAAACAACTATTTTCTTGGCAGATGTATTTACTAATATATTAATATACAATATAGAACGGCTACATTATTTCTAGCAATACTTGGTACAGTGACTCATTTTTATAGTGGGTTGACATTGACGACCATGTCAGATGCTTTCCAAGACTTTGATAATGGAACCATTTTTGGTTTGACAGTGTATTCGTATCTCTCAGGATTAGCTTGTTTGGCTGGTGCTATTGGTGTATTGAAGGTAAAAAAAAAAAAATATGTTTCATCTAATAAGGAGGAAGAATAAAAATAAAAATAAAAAAAAAAGGAAGTTCGATTTTTTTTTTTTGTAGTTCTTTCCTTCTCCTTTTTGAGTTTCATTCATGTTATTAATACTTTGTATGTATTATTTTTAGAACAATGTCAAGAAATTACGATTCTTTAGTATGTATTATTGGTTGGATCTTGCTTTACATACAGGTTTCGCTGTTGCTAGTGCTGCTATGTTATTTACTTTACATACTGATATTTGTAAAGAAATCATTCAAGATGAAAGTATTGACTTGGATTTGGAAACTTGTGAAGCCGTTTATATTCAAAGTGCATGGATCATCACTATTGCCATGGCCATCAATATGTTACTCAAGGTAATGAAAAAAAAAAATATAGGAGAATCTCAAGAAATTCATTTCAATCTTTTTTTTTATTATTAGTTACATTTCGCATTTGCCATTCACTCTTATCTTAATCGTGTACAACAAGAACAACAACAATTATCTCATGACACCATTGTCATTGATTATGCTCCCATCAATCCACCTTATCATCAAGACGTTATTTATGTAGCTGGCAAGGAATTCATTCCTGATGACAAGAAACAACAAGCTTAGTTCCTGTTTGTCTTTTTTAGTTGCTCTCTTTTTATTATTATTATATATAAATATATATGATATTATTATATTATTTATTATTACTGTTATTTTTTTTTTTTTTTTGCCTTCTCTTTCTTTATGTGAATAAAATTGAACTTTTTATCAAAACAATCTATGTGATCACCAAAATAGGATTATTATTATTCTTTCTTTCAATTGATCTAGATGTATTATTTTTAGTTAAGTGTGGACAAAAGTAGACATCATTAGACCAACTTTCTTTATTAATCATCATATATATATGAAAAAAAGTTTTTTTTTTGAATTTTTATTTTTGAATGATAATAATAATAGAAAGATAGATATAAATATATATAAATATATACAAAAAAAAAAAAAAAAACTAAAGCATGACCAAAAAAAGCGAGACGGAGGTGGGGGTATCATTGTTACACACATCTACATACGCAATACAAAACAACCCGCCTCATTTTTGTCTTTTTGATGGTACCGTAGAAGAAGATCGCCACCAAGAAGTTTGTCGTAAAGAAGAAGATTTGATTTTAAATGATTTCCATTTAAGAGCCAAGGAGGAAGATTGTTTTGAGTTGACATCATTTAATAACCAAGTTTCATATTCTCGTAATTGATACATCAAAGAAAGATTGGGATTGATATGAGGTGCACAGGCCTTAACATGACGTATGGCATCCGACATGGAATAATGAAGCATATACATGACATAAGCAATCACGACGGTGGCTGAACGAGCTAACCCACATTGGCAATGGACCAAGACGTTACGACCGGTTTGACGGACACGCATAATATCCAGGACAGCAGCATGTAGTTCTTGTTGAATCATTGTATCATCATCCAGAATATGATGGTGCCATGATCGTTTCTTATATCCCATATGGCTAAAATCATCATCATGTTGAATACTTGTGGGTGTTGTCATAGGTGAGGATTGAATGGAACAAGACGAAGAAGAGGAAGAAGAGTTGGATAATGTTGGACAAGGCACATTATTGTTCAAAACTTGATCCCAAGGTTGAAACTGATCATGATGAGGATGGTTGACTTCAGCAGCGACATTGATCATAAAATGAATATTCAGTTGTCTTAATTGTTGTACATTGTTTGCATTTTGTTCATCGCCTAGATATAAACCCGGTAAAACGGCAGTAGGACCCTGTTGGTAATAAAAACGACGTTGTTGAGATTCGGTTAAGAATGGTGTGGATGGTGGTGCACTTTTATCAGAAGGTAATAAACAAAGGGATAAATTTTTATTATTACGCCTTCTTTGAGCTAGTGAAGTAGGAGGTGGTGATGATAAATTGGCGGATAATGGTCTTTTTGGGAAATCATGAGTTGGTAAAGAAGGGGTACTATAAGTAGTGGAAGGTATCATCATATATATATTAAAAAAAAAAAAGTGAAAAGAAAGTGAAAAAGGAAGAAGAATTAAAAAAAAAAAAAAAAAAAAAAAAGAAAGAAAATGAAAAAATGAAAAAAAAAGGTTTATTTACAAAAAGGTATAAACTAAAAAAGTAAGCAAAGCAATTAAAAAGAAGGAGGTTTTTGCTAGTTTTTTTGCATAGACAAAAAAAAAGCCGCCAAAAAAAGCCCGTTTTTTTTTTTTTTTTTGATGAGCCAATTTACCAAAAGGCGGAAATCACCAATCAACAAGCATCATGAGTATCAAATTTGTACTACATTGATAACTAATTTATTCTTGGTTCATAAAAGTAAATGGGGTATTTTTCTTTTTTAAAAAAAAAAATCATTAATCATCATCATCAACAGAGATAAAACAATATAAACATTTCATTCGTCATCAGTTTATTTATCTTATTTTATTTATATATATATTTATATATATATATAATGAATAAACTATAAAAAAAAAAACTAAACTAAAACAGATACTAACCAAGGGTTGGGAAAGCACTAGCATCAGAAAGATTGACACTATGTTGATTTCTACCACCACCACGTCCACGACCACGTCTACCAGTATTACCTCGACTTCTATCATTTCTTCCACCTCGTCCTCGAGTAGGTTGATGTCTTGGTGGATCAATATCAATAAATACTTTTTCCTTTTTGGTTCTTATACGGGTCTTGTTTGTTGATTCCTATAAATATATATTAGTTTTTCATTCGCCGATTGTTTCTTTTTTACCTTGCCAGAATAATAATCATCAGCATCAGCACGATGTACTATAATCCCATCCTTCCATTTGGGATCTTCTTGTCCATCATTGGCTTCACGAGGAGGTGGTAAAGACGGTTTAGCTGCAGGATGGTTTTTTCTGTATTCATCCAAAGTCATCACATTACTTTCTTCTTCTGGTGCTGGTGATTCAGGATTTCCTTCTCCAGCAGGATCACTAGGTGCAGGTGTATCTCCATAACTATCCATTCAAAAAAAAAAAAAAAAAAAAAAAAAAAAAAAGAAAAAGAATTAAAAAAAAGAAAAAAGAAAAAAAAAGAAAAAAAATTTTTTACTTACGCATCTATTTGAGATTGACCTAGATGACCCCAACTTTGTTCATTTTTCTTCTTGGTTCCACTTTAGAAAAAAATCATCATCAACATAAGAGTGATCATCATTCATTTTAATTTCTATGATACTTACAGTGCACCAACTTCTCCACTACGTCGATCAAAAACACGACCACGTTCATTAGGTATGATACCATGACGACGAGAAGCATCTCTTCCTTTTCGTTCACGATCATCGGGTTGATGTTGTTCTTTGTGTAAGGTTTCAAAAGTATCATGATCTCCACGAGCGCGTCGAGAAGGGGGTGACACTATAAGAATAAATAAATCATATAATCAAAAATACATATATATATATATATATTTTTACTTACTAGCTGGTTGATGTGTACGACGAGGTCGTACTGGTCTAGTATCTTCCTTGTCAGAGGGTTTGGTATTCCCTAACTTGTCAACCTCAGTTTCTTCTTCACCTAAGAGCAATGCTCCAAAGCGGTTGGTAGAATAAGCAGACATAGTCAACAAATATATATAAAAAAACGTTGAGTATCCTTATTAATAAAAAAAAAAAAGACCTAGTAAAAAAAAAAAAAGTAAAAAGGAAACAAAAAGGAAAAAAAGAATTAGAAAAAAAGGCTGGGAATCCAAAAAAAAATAAAAAAAATAAAAGAAAACTTTGTTGTTTCTACTCTTTGCATGGGTTGAATATTTTTTTCACACAAAAATCCGCACTATGCAAATAGAAAAGCCAATCAGATCAATAACAGGATTTTATAGGTTTTAGATACTTTAATCACACCTACTCACGTTTCAACCATAATAAACAAACATTCTTTTATTTCAAATAATTAAACTACAAGTGACGCGTCTACAAAACTAAAGTCCCGAAAGTGTGCTTGTGTTTCTTGATATATTGCATTAGAAGATGATCCAATAGTTTGATTTGTGAATTGAGGATCAAAATTTTCTGCTGCTTCCGGATTCGTCTATAATAATAATTCACCCGTGAGATTTTTCTCTTTTTTTTCTTTTTTTTTTTTTTTTTTTTTTTTTTTTTTTTACCACAACAGGACATATAGGAGGGGTCACCTTTCTATTTTCTAAATCTTTCCAATGAATTTTCGAAAAGAATCGATGTTTTCGAACAGCATCCGATCTTTTGGGTTTGGCACCTAATCGTGCATTAGGATTTTTTCGAAGTAACTAAGAAATAAACTGTCAATTTCTATCTATGTTTTCTATTTTTTTTTTTTTTTTTTACCTTTGATAATAAATCTTTGGCATCTGAGGTCAAATAATATGGCAAATAAATCTTTTTGGAGAGAATAGCATCCATTGTTTTTTTACGTTGACCACTAAAGGGAGGCTAAGAAAAAAAAAATCAGAATAGTTATCAAGTAATGAACTTTTGCTCTCCGCTTCCATCATCACTTACAGATCCTGTCAACATATCATATAATAAAATTCCTAATGACCACCAATCTACAACGTGATCATAATCTAATCCCATCAAGATTTCTGAAAAAAAAAAATGTGTTTGAAAAAAAAAGTCAATATGGATTACCTTTTTCAATTTACTTTACCTGGTGCCATGTACTCAATGGTTCCACAAATCGTATTCGTCTTCCCATCCATAGATACCTAAAAAAATAATAAACAAATGTCAATAATGATAATGATTTTTTCTTTTTTTTTTTTTTTTTTTTTTTTTTACTTTTGATAATCCAAAGTCAGTCAAGATGATATGTCCTTGAGCATCTAATAAACAATTTTCAGGTTTGAGATCTCTATAAACAATCCCAAGAGAATGTAGATGATCCAAAGCAAGCACCAATTCCGCTGCATAAAAACGAGCCATGGGTTCACTAAACATACCCTCTATTATAATATAAAAATTAAATAAAAATAATAATAATAATAATAATTCTATATTACCATGAGTAAGATGTCTAAATAATTCACCACCAACAGCATATTCCAAAACCATATGTAAATCATCAGGAGTTTGAAAAGCATAATACAATTTGACGATAAAAGGATGTCGTACTTCTTCCAAGATTTGTCTTTCTGTTTTGACTTGATTGGCTTGTTTCCCTTGAACAATCAATGATGCCTTTTTCAATATTTTCATTGCATAAAGTTGTTGACTTTGTTCATGTCGAACTAAATGTACCTTGCCAAATCTAATTATTATTTTTTTTTTTAAAAAAAAAAAAAACATCAATAACATAATATATATATAGTATATAATATACTTACGCTCCACGTCCAAGAACACATAAACTCTTAAAATCATCTTTGCCTACTTTTCGTATTCTTGTTTCTGTGGAAGAAGAAGTGACTGTAAGAGGATCAACCAAAGTAGAAGCTTCTGTAGAATAAGATGCAATATAATCTTGATCTAAAGCAACAATCTTTTGTTGTTTCAAAGGTTTTTGACGAGGTGCTGGTTCATCGGTATCACTATTGTATTGACTAGAAGTAGTGGAGCCATCATCCTGTTGAAGTTGCTGAATCATTTGTGGCTGCGCTGATGGTAACTGCGGTTCTTGATTTGGTTGAAGGTCGTCCTCTTTTGCAGTATTGTTATTCAAGGCCACATCTTGTAAGCGTTCACTTAGACCCAAAATAGCTTCTTCAAAGTCAAACATGGAATCAAAGTATATATACGTATATTTTTATGTTAAAAGAAAGAGAATGTCAAGTTTAGATATATATATATAAGAAAAAAGATCTTTAAATCAAAAAAAAAAAAGAAAAGAGAGAAAAAGTATATTGAAGGGAATGAAGGTAGGTTTGTATTTAGATAAAAAGATCAATGAATAAGTGAGTAATAAGATCAAAAGTAGAATGAATAACAATAAAGAACATTGAACAAGTTGTTTAAAGGAGAGAAGTACGGAGACAAAAAAAAAAAAAAAGAGAACAAGGAAAAAAAAAAAAAAACGAGAACTGGAAACTGAGTATGAAATATAGATCCATGATTTTTATTCAAAAAAGACTACCTTTCATTACATGTTTCTATATGATTTTCTTCACTAAATGTTATCATTGAAGGAACATACCAAGCCATTTGCCTTTCTTTTTGAGTAAATCCACATTTTTCATAAAAAGGAACATTCTAATATAATAAGAGTTAATAATAAAAATTCATTTTTTAATATATGAAATTACCTTGAGAGCACAATCCAAAATGATTTTATAACAATTTTGTTTTATACCAATATATTGTAATGCTTCAATCATTCGAATTCCTAATTTTTTACCTTGTTGATCACCAGAAACAGCAATATCTTCTATATGACCCACTTTTCCATTATAATGTACAAATTTACGTTCAATCAAAAGAGTTCCTACAGCCACCACTCTATTACATGATTGATCTATTATCACCAAACTAAAATCTATCATATTTTTTTTAATAAGATATTTTTATTATGATGATGATGATTTTACTTACATGTATCATTTCTTTTTTTCATATAATAAAATTGATCTAACCAATCTTGAGAAGAATCATGACCTACTAATGTTAATTCACTTAATACTTGAAGATGTCCACGTTCATAATCTCTTGAACCCAATGGTCGAATAATATAATTAGATGGTAAATTTGATTGAACTTGTGGTGAAATAAGTTCTTGATCATCAAAAAGATAGATATCTATAGTCATTTTTAATAAATAAATAAAGAAAGAAAGAAAAAATTAAAATATGAAATAATCTTCCACCTTATATCTTTATATATATATATGTTATAAAAATAAACGATCCTCGGAGGTAAGATAATGCAAAAAGATTTCGTTCTTTCCGCGGAATATCTAAAAAAAAAAAATTACTTTTCATTCATTCTAAAAATAATAATAATAATAAGTTAACTTTATTTCATTTTTGATTTCTATGATCTAACACGTTTCCTAATGATTGATTCATTTCTTCTCTTTTCAATTGTTCATTTTCCTCTATAATCGATAATAATTGTGAATCTTTTGGTAGTTCTTGTCGTATTTTCTTCATTCCTTGACTCATTCCCAATAATCCACCAAATGCTAGACCAGTAAAAGTACCCACTATATCAATTGATTTTAATCATACTATTCTTTTATTATTCTTATTATTAGAACTTACATATAGTAGGAATCGCCGTTCTTTTTTTCCCTAACGTTTGTCTCGATTTGGCTAGAAATAGAATAAGCAATAATAAGGAAAAAAAAGTTTGTTCATAAACTTTTATATTATCAACTTACACCACATACGCCCTGACATGCCTAATGCTGCTGCTCCAACCGAAGCTATAAAGAAAAAAACCAAACAAATGAGTATAAACGCGTATTATAAAAAAAAGTTTGTTCATTCATACCATAAGTAATCAAATTAAAAATAGCTGATTTAACTACAGTTCTTTCTTCATCATTAAGTCGATAATTGGCTATTTTTTGTTTAATAATATCTTCTCTATTGGTCATTATATGAATTGTAAAAGGAGAAAAGAAAAAAAAAGGTAATATTTTTTTTTTGTTGTTGTTGTTTTTTTTGACAATGAAATGATTTCACTTCCCGCCAAAGACTCTTGTTTTTCTAGTGCATGATTTGAACAAAGAATTAAACCATCCTTCTTGATCATCATAATAATAAAATTGTTTTTTTATTATTTCATCTCATTTTTTTGTTTTTCTTTCTTATTCATCTACTAATGATGATGATGCGATCCTTTTATATCTTATTACTTTTTATTCTCTTATTCAAGATGACATATGGATCAATGACTAATGATCATAATATAGATCATCAAAATCATCATATCATATGTAAACAATTTCCTTCTTCTATCATCACTACCTATGATAAATTTTCAATGGATTGTTTTCAAACCAATCAACATGAAAGACGATCATCATCCCTACAGCAAGGTAAGAATCATTCTTAAAAAAAAAAAAAAAGTTAACATATGATGTTATCCAATGTAGATAATCAACAACCTTATGGAGAAGGTATTCAACCTCACTGGATCATCGTAGCCACTGTTTGTATCATCTTGGGCCTTTTTTTCGTTTTTGCTGCTTTTCAATATTTTATGTATACAATGGGTGCGGTTGGATTCATCTTTGCCAGTAAGTTAAAAAAAAAAAAAAAAAAAAAAAAAAAAAAAAAAGGATGATGATTACAATTTGGAGCACTCACCTTTTTTTTTTTTTTTTTTTAATTTAATAGGCTCAGTCACATGGTTGATTTTAACATTGGCAGAACCAAAGGAAGGGTATCCATCGGTTGGACTTGTGTACGTGGGCAGTTGTATGGGAGCAGGGCTAGTGGTTTCTCTTTTAGCGATGTATTTTTGGCCAATCACACTTCCATTGATGGGCTGGTTGGCAGGCTTTGTCCTTGGGATGTATGTCTATATGTGGCGTGAAGATCATATCTTACTCAATATCTATGCTCGGATGTTCACGGCGGCAGGCATGGGCACCATCATGGCAATACTGACATATATAGTGGAATCGATGATCGTGGTCTTAGCTACATCCGTCCTGGGTGGGTTTTTATTTATCTTGGGAATCGACATGTTGGTGCATACCGGTCTTGTTCAGGCCATTCGTTCTTTATTCAATGCCAATCCTTTTCATACCGTGGTGTATCATGTGGATCATAAAATCTATGCTATGCTCAGTGCCATCTTGGTCATTATCTTCATCAGTGTGGCTTTACAAATGCATGTTCATAATGGTAGGCGATTTGGTATCAATCTTATCCCAGTGTTGGAACCTCCAGTTCAAGGTTAAAAAAAAAAAAGGATTTCAGTTCATGCTGATTCCATATCGGGAATTTTTTTTTTTTTTTTTTTTTTTTTTTTTTTTACTATCGGTATGCCTTTTTTTCTTTATATACGAATAAATCTCTCTTTGAACTTTTTTTACAATTCTTTTCTTTTTTTAAAAAAAAATAATAATAATAATAATCTTTGAGTCGACGTATGGATGTTCATGATTCAATCGAACGATGATGATGATAATCATCTGAATACAATGTTGGGAGTCACAAACGCAGTAGAAACTTTAAAACCTCAATTCATCTTCACATTCGATCAATATAAACAATTGCAGTTCGCCACTATTATCTGTGGGTCACTCAGTCTTCTTGCTGGGATCCTTGTATTACTTGTTTATTGTTATATGGTGTATATTCAACCTCGAGATGCAAATCGGGTTTCGTTACATTGTGTAATAGCTTCGATTATGCTTTCTATGCTTGAACATGTGCTCAATATAGCATCACTGTACACGAACTATAATGCCCAATTTTGTAAAGCTTTTCGTTACCTAGATGGCATCCTCCCACTTATAACCCCTTGTCTTTTGGGCATGGTGGGTGTTCATTTCTTGTTGGTATTTTATTTCCATGTACATACATGGCCATGTCGACCTGAATATATCTTGATACCTAGTGCTGTTATTTATGCTATCATTGGCAATATATATTCTTTTGTATATGATAATTCACCTCATGAATTTCATACCTTATTTTTCCCATTAGCCCACCAATGCTGGTAAGTACCAAAAAAAAAAAAAAAAAAAGAATATTCTTTATATCTTACTTTTTAGGTATTATACCAATTTCATTGATCGACTTTTTAATCCTGGTGCATGGTTGTATTACTATTCTTTTTTGTTCTGTCTCATCGTGATCTCCTTTTTTTGCTCAGTGATTGCCATGTTAACTTTATACCGAGATAATAAGAAAAATCATGCTCATCTGGCCAAGATCGCCAATCATAATCGCGATGAACAATTATCATTATCATCAACATCATCACACACTTCATCAAGAAGAAAAACCAATCGTCGTAAAAATAAATCATCTGTACAAAGGCAAAATGATGTTATTGATTCATTCTTCAAAGTTGTCATAAGAAGTCTATTATATCCATTGAGTAAGTGAACTAACATATATACTATGAATTTAAATTGATCTTTATTTTCTTTATTTTTAGTTCCATGTTTCGGTAAGTAATCATGATGATTTATAAAATGTAACTTGTTTTTTTTATCTATTTTAGTAAATATCTGGGGATTTGGACTACAAATGCATTTACAAAATCCAGATCATTTGGCTAATTTCGGTATTTCTATGATGGATACTGTTCTCATTCGTTTGGAAGGAGTATTTATAGCATTGATCTTTTTCAGTGATCCTACTGTGGGTTCCATTGTGAAAAAGATCTTTCATCTGGGTCGAAAGTAGTTTCAACATCTTTTTCCTGTTCAGCTCTGTTTTTGACCAAATAAAAAAAAAAAATCAGGAATTTCTTTTTTTTTTTCTTCTCTCTCTCTCTCTTTTTTTTTTTTTTTTATTTTTATTTTTCATTCCGAATACCAAGAAACTAATGTTAGGTATTTTGTTTTACATATACAACTATCATCAATGGTGAAAACAAGTCGGTCGTAAACAAAAGACAGTAACTAGAAACTGATATATACATTTCTTTTTATTTTCTTTTCTAGCTACAACTCCTGTTTTTTTTTTTTTTTTGGTGTCTACTATTAGACACTATATCTCATTCTATTGATATTATTTCTCTCAATGATATGGGTTGACGGATACAAATTGATGTTTCAGTGGATGAATTATTGGCTTTTGGGACAGCAATATCAAAACCTTATACTATTGAACTGGGACAATCTCAAGAAAGTGCCTTAAAACGATATCAAAACACACATATTCTGTAATAACACAACTCGACTTTACTGTTTTACTATAATGATGGATAGTACACTTAAATTATCTCCTTCTCTCTCGTTTGAATGTAGGAACATTACTCTGAAACCATTATATCTACTTTTGGATATCACCAAGTCATTTTTGACAAGCCTGAAATGGAGCAGATGAATAATGGAGACACAATTCGATTCGAATGGATATATATATATACGGCAAGATTCAAGTGGATGGACGTACGATATGATTCAGTAGAATGGATACACGCGTGTGATTCAAAGAGATAGATATGCAGTGTGATTCAGGGGCATAAAATACAGGACATGGTAGAATGGATATACAATAAAGATCAATTGGATGGACTATAAAACGATTGAAATGATTGGTAAGTCAAATAGATGAAAACTTTTTTTTTTCTTTCATTGATTCATTGGGCAAATCATGGTATCAATACTTGATATTGACGCGTAGGGATGATGGGTTGAAAGGGAAAAGGTATACTTATGAAGATTACTATTCTGATGGATCGTAAAAATTCAAGCTATATTTATTATTGGTGAGCTAGTTTTTCGTTTGAACTGACTCGTTTGTATCTACTGGTTTGTACTAACAATTATCTCTTTTTTTTTTTTTTTTAGGATTGATTTTAGATCAACTTGTACGACAAAGAATATCTATAGTCTCTGAATGAACAAGATGAAAATATCATTGTACCATTGGACACCCACAGAAATCGGTGCTACGAGGGATGGTAAGAATTCTTTTTTTTTTTTTTTTTTGCGAATAAGATGAAAAACGATGATTAATCTACTAATGTCTATATTAGCTATATAACGTCACTCTTCATCTTATTTAGATATGACAGCAACATCAACTTGAGAAATGATACCAAATGTGCTCAACCTTACCGACTACAATGCGATACAGTGGGTAACAGCCAAGTCCAATATACCTAATCTAAATTTAGTTGGAAGTACAATCAAATATGGATGCAACCTCTTCTTGGTTTTAGCAAGCCTCATGGTATAGAATAACATTCTTTTTTTTATTTTATTACTTGGTTTATTAAATATATCACAATAAAAAACAATCTCAATTCATGTTTAATTTACTATTAAGAAAGATGATGATGAGAATTGATACGTTGATTCAATGATAGTAGTAGATAAGAACGCGAATATTACCGCATGTCATCAGTGTCAGCAGGCAAAACTTATTAGATGATCATGCTGAAAAAAGGATTTTCATTGGATGGAGTTTTATTTTTTTTTAAAAAGAAAAATGTCAAGCCGATTGGAGACCCTGAGCGGTTTCAGAAAACGCTCAATGTACTATGATAGCTTTGATCATTCTACTTTTTCCTCATCATTGAAATCAAAGTAAAAGTCATAACGAGGCAAAATCAAGATTAGAGAAAAACTCTCTGCAAAAGATATATGAAGTAAGAATGAAATAAAGAATCCTTTGTTTCAATAAAAGTTCATATCCTCTTGACTAAAACCCTAGTGGAAGAAAAAGGTTCGATGATCTTTCTAGAAAAAATTAAAATTCAAACTTGCAGAGTATTTTCTAGATTTGAAAGTGAAATTGTGGTACGATGAAAAACGTGCATTATTTTTTGATTTGCTTGTTTTTAGAGAGGAGTCTTTATGTGAGTTTTAAAAAACAAGAATAGTTCTTGTGTAAAAGATCCAGACCTCCAAAAAAAAAAAAAAAAAAAGAAAGAAAAGAAAAAGAAACAGAAAGTTTCATCAGAATCAAAAGAAAAAAAAAAAAAAGAAAAAGAATGAATAAAGAGAGATTATAAACAATGGGAAGAAAGGAAAACAAAAGGGGGCATTTCCATTTTTGGACTGTATGTCAATCTGTAAGACCGCCAAAAAAAAAAAAAAAAAAAATAAAAATCAACTCACACGTTCCCCACTTTTTTTTTCATTTCCGTTTTTTTTCGAACTTTCCCCACAACTCCCGTCTTTTCTTTCTCTTTCTTTCTTTTTCTTTCTATTTTTTATAATATTAAATGTGGCTCTCAAACTTGGAAGAACAAGGTAAGAAGAATGACCAAGTATATGCACCATCAATAGTGATTCATTTCTTTTTTTTTTTTTAGATTCAAATCTCAGGAACGTTATGTTAAAGGGAAATAATTATTCAGCAACGACAATAAGCAAACCAATATTTGAATCAAGTTATGACGAAGAAGAAGGAGAAGAAGATACAATAGTGACAGGCCCTACTCTTAGTACCATTATGGATCCTGATCTTTCCTTGACAGATACTTTTCATACACTTGACATGCCTTCTTCAGTATTGGCTAAACGTTTTGAAGCCGATATTTTGAATCAAACAAGAACAATAACATCCTCTTCTTCTTCACCTAGTCGAAATACTTATTTTTTAGATGGTGGACATCGATTTATTTCTGTAAGTTTCAATCATTGTATTCTTCTTGTTCTTTCTTTTTTTTTAGGGGGATGAATTTACCATTTTTTTTTTTTTTTTTTTTTTTTTTTTTTTTTTTGGTTTTGCTTCCGATAGTTACCGACATTAGGGACTCATACCAAGACAGCGGCACATATCTCCAGGGTATTTGAAGAATGGCTACAAAACAAATTATATCATCAACATATGGCTGATGATCGATTACCTATCTTGGAAGACAGTGTGGACTTGTTAGCCGAGGATATCATGAACAAACTGAAATCAAGACAATCTGTACGTGGTCTTATTGGTGGGGTGGCGAAAATCATGATCAAGATTCGAACAGGCCATATGTATTGTTTCCATCAACAAACCGATAATGGTCTTCCTTCCATCGAGGCAAATGTCATGGACTTTATACAACAATTTCCTTTGTTTTTAGATACCGTTATCTATGTCGTGCCTACCTATACCGAACATGTCCAGGATGATTGCATTCCTATCCTCATTACCATTGAAAACGTCAGTACCAATCCCTCAGATCCATATTATCTATTTGAAAATGTATCTCTTTTAGGGTAGTTTCTCTTCTTTTTTTTTTTTTCCATTTGCATATCATTTCCTAGTTATTGTAGTCATTACTTTTCCTTCACTACTCCTCCCCTCCTCTTCATGTGTGTATATATTTTGAATAAACAATTGTTTGTTTTGTTTTTTTATTGATATGATGATATGTGATAAATGAGATGTATGATGTAATAAAAAAAAAATAAAAAGGGGGAATAAGACAAATTTGACTATCATACTAGAACTAATCAGAATCAGGGTAATTCACCAGTGACATTTCCACCTTTTTCTTCTTGACTGGTCGAACAGTGACTCCATGTAGTGATGATTCTGTTACTGAAGATGCTGATGATGAGGGTATAGAAGTATTGTTGGATGGTTTCTTAAAGCCTGTGTCTTGTAAAAAAGGATCTGTCTTCCGTTTTGTATGTAATAATGCACGTTGACCCAATACTTGCTTTGGATGGATAGTTGTTGTACTCTTGTTGTCTTTTTGCAATGCTGTTCGATGATGATTGACTCGTTTGGTTGTATCAGAGAGGGTAGATGTATTGCTGCCGTTGTGGCCGAATAGTGGCGCAGTTGAAGCTTGTAATTTTTGCTGCTCAATCCTTGTACGACCAGATTCTACACAAAAGAAGAAAAAAGTCAGTGATAAAAAATGATGATTATATACGCATTTACCTGAAAAATCCACCATCTTAGCTTCCAGAGAGTCAGTTTCTGATTCTGGCAAAAGATCAATATGTAATGAATGTTTGTCCTTCAATTGATTTGTTTGTTCCAAGATTTGCTGGTCCTTCTTTTTTTCTTGTCTGAATTTACGCCGTAGTTGTTGTGATTGGGTATAAGGATCCTTCCATTGTGCATTACTAAGTTGCTGTAGCTGTGTCAAGACTGGTACATTGGATAGTCCCACTGATTTATCTTGAAGACCATGTTCTAATCTGTAAATAGGATCTTCTGCTAGCTTTTCCTTAATCGCTTCGTCATTCAATGTTGCAACATGATCATCCTTGTCAGCCGTCCACGTTTCCACTTTTTCTCTAGCTCCACTGACCACCACATAAGCTGCATTCTTAGGATCCGTGTGTATTTCAATCCAATTGTTGCAAAGGTGGCATTTCATTCTAAATTGTAATATAGGAGTACTGTAATACTTGCCGATCTGTTTCTTCTCTGCATTGTAGCGAACACCTATCATCATTACAATTATAATAATAATAAGAGAAATATGTTAAGAGATCATCAAAATATTTGTAAACGATCTAATATTATTTTTACCTTTTCCAATATGATTATCACAACCAGTACACCATATATTAAAAGGTAGTTCGAAACTATATAAAAAAAAAAAAAGTAAAGACATGAGTATCTCTATCTGTATGCACACAAATATAACATCATTTGTTGACATCTTACCGAACAATGAGAATCCCTTTATCTAGTTTTCTTGCACGATCGCCCAAAGGATGTTTTCCTACAAACTTGTTCGCTGTGCCCTAGTTGAACAATTTTCAAAAAAAAAAAAAAATAAATAAACAAGGACCGATTATTGACTCGTATATCAGAATTCAACCTTTTCTTTTCTAACTTACTTTATCAGGTGTCCAATCAGGAGGATAATATTTATTGAACGGTTGCATGTTGTTCCAAAAAAAAAAAAAAAAGGTAGAAAGACAAGGAAGAGAAACAAAAGAATTGGATCTCCAAAAAAAAAAAAAAAAGCATAACCGGGGTTCAAAAACATAATACTGGAAAGCATAAGAAAGAAAAAAAAATGTTGTGCAAAAGAAAAATCTATAACAAAACTAAAAGAAAGGGAAAATGGATAAAGGAATCATCCGATCAATGCATTTGAAAAGCCATCATGTCATGTTTGTGATGATGATAGATTGTAACAAAGATTTCTTACTCCGGTTCATTCATAATCAGGTCATTTTTTTTTTTATGCCATCATTATATATATACACCATATACCTTTTCTTTTTTTTTAAAAAAAAAAAATCTACCTTTTCAAGTTTTCTTAAAAAAAAAAAACAATGGCATCCAAACTAGCAGTATATAAACAAGATCAACTTTTGGTTAGTATAAAAGAAAATGAAATATATGGACAACTAAAGATAAATAAATAAAAAAAAAAAATGATGTATCCATAGAGAGCCAATGGACCTATTCAAAATGATGCACCTATGCGACTAAGAATGGAAGCCTATGTTAAAGATTTACAAAATAGAATTGTAGAGGGGATCGAAAAAGTAGAAGGAAATAAAAAGTTCGAACGTACGAGTTGGAAAAGACCTGATCATGGTGGTGAAGGGATGACATGTGTGATTCAAGATGGCCAAGTGATGGAAAAGGCAGGTGTGGCCGTATCCGTGGTATACAGCGAATTATCCAAAGAAGCTGCACATCAAATGAGACATGATCGGGGGAAATCCTTACCTGATCGAGATCATCTCCCTTTTTTTGTCACTGGTATTTCTCAAGTGATGCATCCGAAAAATCCAAATGCACCTACTGTTCATCTTAACTACCGCTACTTTGAAGTGTTTGATCCTGATACTGGTATGCCTTTACTCTGGTGGTTTGGTGGAGGTGCTGATTTGACACCCATCTATCTGTTTGAAGAAGATTGTATCCATTTCCATTCCATCTACAAGCAAGCCTGTGATCTAATCGACCCTGATTTCTATGGCCAATTTAAAAAAAATTGTGATACTTACTTTTGTAATACTCATCGTGGTGAAACAAGAGGTATTGGTGGCGTGTTTTTTGATGATTTGGATACAAAGTCCCCTGAAGATTTATTTACGCTGATACGTGCTCTAGGTGATCGATTCTTACCATCCTATGTCCCTATTTTGGAAAAACGTCATGCCATGCCCTATACAGAGGCCATGGTAGAATGGCAACAAATCCGTCGTGGTCGTTACGTTGAATTTAATTTGATTTGGGATAGAGGGACTAAATTTGGTCTACAAACACCTTGTGCTCGTGTGGAATCCATCTTGATGACTCTACCGTTGACTGCTCGTTGGGAATATATGTATCAAGTCAAGCCTAATTCAAAGGAAGAAGAATTGGAATCTGTTTTGAAACATCCTAGAGATTGGATTCCTTTGCATTAATCATTTCATTCCCCTCCCCTTCTTTTTTTTTTTTTTTTTTTATAATTTTATCTACATCCGTCCCCAACCATCCATATAGAATCATCATCATCATCATCATAATAATAATAATAAATAGTATTCGATTGATATATTTATACATAAAATAAAATAAAAAAAAATGGTAATTTATACAATTACGCAAAGAAATATCATTCATCATCCAATATCCATCCGTCCCTTCATCCATTCATGAATAGTAAAAAAAAAAAAAAAAAAAAAAAAAAAAAAAAAAAATACTGAGAGGCAAATCATAATGTCTTTTAATGAAAATATATAAAAAAAAAGTCTATTGTAAAATATAATCTATGATCTATAAATACAAAATCTATACAGTAACCAGGTTGACCATGCCCAAACGAGGATTGATACTTGATACCCGTACATCCAATACATCCCCAATATCGACATTATCTTTCAAATGTTCAACTCTAGCGCGAATGCCCAATTCTAGAATAGTTGCAGTAGCAGCCAACATGGATCCACCCAAAGCTGTTGTTGTTGGTCGACATTTTTCATGAATCATACATTTCCAAGTCATGTTGCTATCATATTCCAAACGTTGAATCAAACTGAGTACCCAGAATTGTAATGATCGTTGTTGTAGCATGGACATTTGCTTTTCCTGTAATTCGATCTTTGGTCCAATATGTTGTAAAGCCGTCCGACTAAAAGGAAGCGATTGACCTAAGAGATGGGCTTTGATCTGCCAGTGAATGATCATATCCATATATCGTCGTAAAGGAGATGTTGCTTTGCAATAGCCATCAGTGATCCCCATCAAAGCATGCGGTTGGCCACTAGTAGTCGTCAGTCCAGCTGCAGGCAAATCCTTCATATGTTGTAATAAATCTTGGAATCGCATCATACCCGTCTCTGGATCACGGTTCGCCATCATCGTTTCTCTTGCTGCTTGTTGATGCTTGCCCCATTGTTGTGTTCGGAAAGGAAGAACTATACCATGTTCATGTGCATATCGACTAACAATACGTCCACCCATCATCATCATCTCTGCCACCATCGTACGTGAAGCCGATATTGCCGATTGATCCAAGGAGAGATTAATTGGTGGTAATGCCGTTGCGTACTGGTATCCATCATCAAAAGTCAAGCTTGGTAAATCCAAACTATCAGATCCCAAGGAAATCACAGGATTGGGTCGTATAAAATTAATCGCTCCGTTGCGTACTCGTTGTTGTGAATGTTGCTTGGTCAAGTGATAAATATCCATCAAATCCCTTTGTATTGCTATCGATAAATCTTGCTGAGGTGTTGCTTCTTCTTTTTCTTTTTCTTGAAGTTGTTGTTGAGGATGAGAGTAGGTGGATGTGAGATCGATGAGTGGATCCAAATTGGTGTTTGGCGGGAATTTTGTTGCAAAGAAAGCATCGACATCATCGTAATGAAGTTTGATGACGTTTCGTACTAAGCTTGGACGCACTTTCCATTCAGATAATTGACCTTGATCATTCAATACTGCGCTAAAAGTGAATGCATATTGACCTCCTTTCTTATCGACTTGTTGAGCAGTGGATCCCAAACTGAATGTTCGTGATGACAAAGTTTCTGGTAACATTGGGAAATGGCGTTCTGGAAGATATAATGTTTGAATACGATCGGCCATGATGGAAGCTAAAGTATGATGAGGAGGTACGTAGGCGGTGGGGTCAGCGATATGAATATGTAACCAAGTCTTATCCTTTTCATTGTTTGTTCCAGGGATATGTTCAACAGAAATACCATCGTCAATTTCTTTGGCTGAGGGATCATCAATCGTATACACAGGCAAATTACCAAAATCATGTCGTAGAGCATCACTAGGATCTTTAGCATAGAACCCTGCCTTTTTCCATTGTTGTCGATCTTGATCCAAAAACATATTTGTGTATTCATTCATTGTTTTGTCATATTTTTCAGCATCAGTGGACCATACAAAAGGACGTATCGAGGCTGCTTCTTCCACTAATCCAACATTATCCCAAGGACGGAACATACCTATTTGCTTCAAGAACGTGATTGCCAGAGATTGATCCACAAATAATTCATCATAACATTGTAAACCCTTGAGAATAGCAGGTCCAAAAACTTCATGAGGCGATTCCATAATTACTTTTGGCATCTTGATCCAATCCACCATAAAATTTATAAACATCTTGTCAGTTGCTGTTAATTGTACTTTATCGTTGATAGTTGACAGTATATCAGGAGCGATAATACCAGTGTGTTCATCTGCATTTTTTCGATAAAAGTTGACCAATGTATTTGCTTTTTGTAAAAAGTCTGTATAATGTGTATCTCTTGTTCGAATCCAATGAATGACTTGACTAATAGGTTCCACTTGATCTTGAGATCGTAAAAGCCAAGTACCAGATTTCAATATATTTGCACCGGGTATAAAATGAATATTGTTCGCCACAAGATACAAGAATGTCGCATGTCGATGAATAGGTGTTGTTATTTTTTCATCAAATGCAAATCGAGTCAAATCCTCCAATGTTGTCGATGATGATGATGATGATGATGAGTTGATGAAATGATCATACATCTTATCCAATCGTCGGATACCCATACCCTTTTCCAATTTGACTGTTCGTTGATAAGATTGAATCGCTCGCATGTATTCAGTAGGGATGAAGTCCATTTGTGTTGCTTGTCGATTAATCGTCACTGGGGTACGTAGAAATTGGGTCACTGCAGGACTAGATACAAAATCCGATATACTAAAAGCAACATCACTTGTTCTACAATCAATTGTTTTACCATTTCGTAGGAGTACTGTTAGTCGTTGTTGTCGTCCACTTATAGCCTGTTGAGCCACTACAATACCACTGAATTGTCCATGTCTATTACAATTTATTTATTTAAAAAAAAAAAAAGAAATTAGTTTTTGAATATGACAGTTTGAATGTATGCAGCGTCATTTTTTTTTTTTTTTTACTTGAATGCTTCCACATAATCACCAATATATAACTTTGGAATCACTTCTTTGGAAGATAAAAGTCGTTTTTCATCAGGAGTCAGTTTGTTTTCAGGATCACCCACAAGAGCAGATACATATTTGTGTTCATTGGGAGTTTTCAATTTGTTGATTTTGACATTGGTTGATTTATAACGTCCAATAAAGTGATTTGAAGAAGGTAACGGTAATTGAAGTAGTTTAAATGTACTTGCTTTCTTCCAGTGACATACTCCTCTAGTTGCTCGGAGCATCGATCTTTTATTGTGTATAAAAGTGACAAAGAAAGAAAAAAAGAAGAAAAAAAAAGGTAAACAGAAAAGAAAAAGAAAAAAAAAAATAAAGCTAGGACGGAAGTCGAAAACTTCTTTTTCGTTCCAAGCTTTGTCCCGGCACAGTTCCAACAAGGGCTGATACAATGACTAGAAAACAATAATAAATATTCAAATGAATAAAATCAATAATTTTATTATAAGAAAAAAAAATGAAATAGTTGATAATGTGAGAAAAAACTACTAATTTTAGTATGTATTTTTATAAGTACATGTAAAAAAATATTAACAGTCAAAGAAAAAAAAAGCATGAATCAATCTGGCTTCGAAAGAAAATGATCAAATTTCAAGACGCCTTTTTCACTTTGGTCTCCCTTTTCCCACTCATTTTTTTTTTTTTTTTTTTTACTTTTTCTTTTTTTCTGGCTTTCCTCCTTTTATTTCCTTTGTATTTTCACTTGTTTTTTTTTTTCTTTGTTATCTTAAAGAGTCAAACCTCTCTGTTACGGTTTAAACTAAAAAAAAAATATTTTATTTCTTTTTCTTTTATTTTATTAAATACAGAAAAAGAAACAATTTCGTCCAACTTGTATTCAGATTCATCCTCTTCGACAGCAGCCTCTGCTGCGCATCCTACTACAAGCTTTTCCTCTATAGATCACTCTTCTCCAGAATCGTCTTCTTCTTCACCGTCGTCTTCGACTTCTTCACCATCTGCTAGTTCTTCATCTTCATCTTCAACTCACCCATCCCGGAAACGTCGACGTACTCAAACAATACTTCCTGGTTCTTCATCCATGTTATCTATCAACTCTTCTAATGGTATCTGTACTTCGGTTAGTCCAAGAACTTCCGTCACTAACAAGAAACTGACTCTTACACAACAAAATGGTTCTTCAGAAAAGATAAAAAAGGGTGAACTTGTTCGGTTGATCATGCAATCCCTTCAAGATCTTGGTTATCAGTAAGTCATACTAAGTTTATTGAAGGAAATATCTTATTTAATTATTATGATATATATATAGAAATGTAGCTCAACAACTTCAAAAAGAGGCAGAGATCGAGTTGGAATCCAAAACAGTTCAAGATTTTCGACAAGCTATCTTATCTGGTCAATTTCCTTTGGCTGAAGAACTCTTATCGACTTTGACTTTAGTTCAATCTCAGCAAACGATGGATCATGTCAAGTTTTTGATCCGAGAACAACGATACTTAGAATTACTGGAGGCCAAAAACACTATGAAGGCTTTACAAGTGCTACGACAAGAATTGACTCCTTTAGGGCAAGATGTACATCGACTTCATCAACTCTCAAGGTAAAAAAAAAAAAAAAAAAAAAAAAAAAAGGAACATGTGATGATGAATGCTGACACTTTTTTTTTTTTTTTTTTTGATTTTCCGGAAAAAAAAAGTTTGATTCTATGTTCTTCACCTGAAGATGTCAAATCTCAAGCAAACTGGGATGGTGCGGAAGGAAATTCTAGAGAACAACTATTACAACAATTAGAAGCCTTTGTTGATCCATCTATTATGATTCCAAAATCAAGAATGACAACTCTGATACATCAGGCATTTGAATGGCAACAACGGCATTGTTTATACCATAATAGTGAGGTTGCTGAGTACTCGCTATTTACTGACCACAGATGTGATGAGTAAGTACAATATGGATGGTATATAAATGATATTGACTAATTTTCTTATCTAGACGGCATTTTCCAACTCGAACAATTAAAGTACTACACGATCATACAGATGAAGTTTGGCATATCTCATTTTCTAGGGATGGGGAACGAATGGCGTCCGTGTCGAAAGACTCTACATGTATTATTTGGGATGCAAAGGTAAGAACGTCATTTATTTTCCGTTGGATTATCGTCGTTGATGTCTATATTTTATTCTTTTTTTTATTTATGATTAGACTTTCAAGAATCTATTTGTTTTAAAGTCAAATCAGCCTGCTACCTACAGTGCCTGGTCACCTGATGGTTCTCTCTTATTATTATGTGGTATTGATTCAAATTTACGTTTATGGGATACAAATGTAAGTAAAAAAAAAGAAAAATTATTTATTGTTGCAATATAATCATGAATGTACCTCTTTTTTTTGTAGACTGGAGAATTGTTATATACCTATGAAGGACATTCTGATCAAGTGACAAGCTGTGTTTGGCTTCCTAGTGGAAAACATTTTATATCTGGTGCTTGTGACAAATTGATGTGCCTTTGGGTAAGAAAAGAAAGTAAAAAAAAAAATTAGATAATGAGAACGTAACAAACTAAATGTTTTTATTTTCTTAAAGAAAACTGATGGTACTATACTTAGTCGATGGCCAACGCAACGTATATTGGATATGAAGATCACTGATGATGGAACTCGTATGGTGACCATGAGCTATGAAAAAAGCATCACTATCTATGACATTGTACAATTACAACTTAAGGAAATAGGGTAATCACTTCTTTTAAGAAAAAACAAGTGAGAATGATTATTAAAGGATATACTTTTTTTTTGGATTTGCTAAATAGTCAACTACAAGAATCTTATACTATGACTTCATTATCACTCACCAATGATGGTCGATATGCTCTTACCAATTCACAAAGTCCGGATGAAATTCACTTATGGGATTTAGATGAACGAAAATTAACCAAGACATACTGTGGACACCAACAAGGAAACTTTATCATACGATCAACATTTGGTGGACTAGAACAATCATTTATTCTTAGTGGTAGCGAAGACAACGATGTATATGTGTGGAGTCGAGAACATGAATATGTATTGGAAGTGCTAGAAGGTCATGAAGGTAGAGTGAATTGTGTTATATGGTATCCTGGTCAACCTATGATGTTTGCTTCTGCTAGTGATGATCATACAATTCGAATGTAAGTATCATGATGATGATGATGATTGTTTTTTACTTACTTATTTATCTTGACTTTTTTTATTTTTTTAGCTGGGGTCTGCCAAGTGAAAAAGAAAAAGTCAATGGACAAATGAACTCCAAGGGGAAATTACGGATCTGAATGATAGTTATAGCGATAGTTTTACTTCATATCCTATCTCCTGAACTCCCCCTTGTTTTTTTTCGCACTTTTTATACATATACATATACACACATATATATTTTACTCAGTTGGCATTACTTCCCGCTCTTCCTCTTATGTTTCCCTTTTAGATATATGTTGTTCATATGTTTGTCATATACACCTTTTTTCCTCATGATTACCTTTTTTTTTTTTTTTTTTACTTTGTTGTATATCCGTCTTCATTCTGATTCGTCTTTATCTTCAAATTTGAAATAAACAATTCTATATGTTTTCCACAGATATTCCAAAAGAATATTTTTTTAAAACTAGGATGATTGTAAACATCAGATGGATTCGATGAAGAATAGAACTGCTTCACCTTATTATCACCCTCGTCAAAAAGAAAAGAGTAAGCCATATACGATGACAAGACCGCCCCTAGCTGTACCGTATATTTTACTCAGACTGAAACATGCACTAAAAAAAAAAAATAAAAAAAAAATTAGGGTCTGTTTTATATATCAGATGGAGGAAGACGGGGTCTGTGCACACTATTTTTTTTTAAAAAGTACTAGCAAGTTTATTGTCAAATGATGAATCCATTTATCCTCTTTATCTTTCTTTTTTTTTTTTTTTATCTAATCCACATGTCACGGAATAAAATTTACACAAGTAATAAAAATAAAACAACAAAAAAAAACGAAATCATGTTTCTCTCTTTAAAGTGGAGCCAATAAGAATGCAATAGGGTAATGTACGGTTTGATTTTGAACCTCCATTTATAAAAATAACTTTATGCTCAAGCTTTTCCCACCCATGGGATCAAAAGGACATACTTTTCTTCAAACGGCGACACCTTATTCCCTATTTTTGTACTACCAAAAAAAAAAAACTTTCATGATTTCTAAAAACGTGTTTACACAACCATTATTATGTATACAAACAGGTTTAAAACAAAAAAAAAAAAGAATCTAGTATAAAAAAGGTATTACAAAGTTGTTGATTTTTTATTGAGAAATTAATAATAGAGATAACACAAACAGAATGGTAAGAAAGAAATCATCATATATAATAAAAGAAGGAGGAAAGAATAAAATGATATACTGACTAAACTACTGACTATATTTATTTGCTTACATCAAAGCAATAGCGGCAGCACCAACGATGGCCATGGCAGAGACAGCAACGGGGGCAGACTTACCAGCAGCAGAGTTGGCAGGGCTGGAAGAAGGAGAAGAGGAAGGCTTGGAAGCAGCAGAAGAACCAGAAGAACCAGAGGCAGCAGCAGAAGAAGAGGATGAACCAGCGGCAGCAGAGCTAGAGGCAGGAGTGGAAGCACTGGAAGAACCAGAAGCAGCGGAACCACCAGCAGCATTGATGGTGAATTGACCAGAGTAGGAAAGGTTAGGAGAGATACCGAGAACGAAGGCATCTAATCGATGATGATTATGTTAGTAATGATTACACAAAAAAAAACCAATCATTCTATCACACGCACACACACATATATATATAGATTTTTTTTTTTTAGTTTGAAATACTTACAGTCGCTACCAGCGGCAACGGTAGTAGGAATGTTCCAGGTGTATTGCATATCCTTGGCAGAAACGTTAGTAGCAACTTGCAAAACGGGTTGAAGGGCGGTGCTAGGACCCTTGGACAATTCGATTTGAGGGATCACATCGACGGTAGGGTTGGTCCTTTATATATATATATAAAAACAAAAGATGTAAGAAGGATGATACTTTTTTTTTCTAAAAAAAAAAAAAGAACACTTTATTACTATTACTTACCAGGTGATAGTGGCTTGACCACCAGCGGTATAAACGTTGTTACCAAGAGGAGAGGTGATACTAACAATGCTTTGAGCAGAGACGAGAGCAGCAGAGGCAATAGCAAGGAGAACAGTCTTGAACATGATGATGATGATTATATTAAAGAGAAGAAGGGGATGATTAAAGGAAAGTAAATGGGAATAAAGAAGAAAGGAAGAAAAGAAAGAAAAAGAGAAAAATAAAATGACAGATGATTTTTCTTATATATCGAGCAAATTCAATAACCGAAGCGGGGAGTTAGGCACGATCGAGCCAATGAAATGAATGATCAAGTAAGGAAAAAAAAATTTTGAACTTGCCCTGAATAACTACTTGTTTCCATAATTTCTCTGTAACACATTGGTTTTCCGGACGTCTGTGTAGCCACCAAAATAATAATGAAGTCTAAATAAGTCTCTTTTTTTTTATAGAATATTTTTAAGATAGTTGATATTAATAACAATAATCATGACTATCAAATTCTCCTTTTTTTTTTTCTTGGCGAAAAATCAAATACAGGACCAACTGAAATTAAAGGAAATAAAAAAAAGTTGAATTCAAAGAGGTGTCCAATTTTTTCAACTCAGTAGGTAACACGACTGTTGTTGATGGTGATACAATATGAAATTGGAAACTTGATTGACAAAAAACCATCTACTAGGAGCGAGTTATAAACTATTTGGATTATTGATAAATTATTTCAAAAAGTGATATATTATAAGATGTATCTCTTTTTATATTTGATTTTGTCTGTGCAATCATAAATAGAAAACAACAAAGAATAATGTATATTTTAGTGTGTTTGTTCTATGCACTTGATAGAAAGATTAACAACAAAAAAAAAAAAAAAAAAGATGAAAATTCATTCTCCTCCGTTTCTCTGTCTCTCTCTTTCCCCTTTTCTCCCCTTTCATTTTTCTATTTCCTTTCCTTGTTCTCTCTCAGTCTCCTTCTTTCTTTTATTTTATATATATATTTTTGATCTTCTTCCACTTCCCTATGGAATTGGTTAATGCTTATACAACTGCAACAGATTTACCACCATTATCTCCTCAAGAAACTTCATTAGACGATCTTCCTTTTACAGATGAAGAATTCACTGAAGCTGACGTTCTCCCTTTTTTGTTACAAGCTCAAGATATAATTGCAAAATTGGAATCAAGAGTTGTAGAATTAGAAACTGATCTTTCTGTAAATATTATTATTATTTATTTATTTATTTATTTATACAACTGATTTTATTTTATTTTATTTTATTTTATAGTCTATTCATCGTAAATATGAACATGATAGGCATGACTGGCTTGTTGGTCTCTCTCAAAAGGATCAGTTTATTCATCATCTATCAAGTAAACTACAAAAATTGGAATTCAATGGAAAACAAGTGATTGTACTTTTGAATGACTGTATGAATACTGACGATAAAGTAGACTTGACTTCAACATTATCTTTATGTCTCAGTTATTTACGAAACACAAACAATACAAACAACAACAACAGCAGCAACAACAACAACAATAACAATCATGTTAAACGTATTAGTATTGATGATGAACTAGAGGAAGGTGAATTAGAACGTAGACAAGCTGCAACTAATCAATGGAAACAACAACAACCTACTCGATCACTCTCTTCTACTACTTGGCAACCAGTAAACTTGATGGATGGTCTTGATTCTTCTTCACATGGAAATAGTCTGGATGATTCCGATTCGTCACGTGTGGAGACCGACTCTTCCATCACAAACAATACTATGCATGCATCTCATGGTGGTGACCTTTTTTCTTCGCATACATCTGTTTCGTCAATGACAAGATTACCCTCATCAGAAGACAACACTCCAACTACTATTCATGATGATGATCATTCTCATCCCATTATGATGACACCACCACCTCCTCCTCCTTCATCTTTAGATCATTGTGCCAATTGCAAACAACTCTTGACTCAACTTGATCAACAAATTGAACAAAAGGCTTATTTGAAACGTGACCTTGGCGCTCTGGCATCTGCTTTGGCTGAAGAAGAACAAGTACGTGAATCAGTGGAACAATCTCGTTTAGATTTGATCGAAGATATTCAAGACATTACTTCTTCGTTATTTGATACTTTGAATCAAGTTTTGATGGATGATGTGACAGATAGGGAAGGTCTCTTACGATTGAATCGGGATCTGGATGGTGCTTTGATAAATGTTCTTCAATCTTGGGATATACGTGATCAACGACTCAAACAAATCAAGGATCTCCTGGTGGATTTGGATGCTTCAGCACATCAATCAACAACCATTGATCGTTCTCTTTCTCTTGGACATGATGAATCTAGTACTATTCCCTCCCTATATCAATCTCAACATTCTAGAACTATGTCTTCCACTTTATCAACCTTGGATGAATCTCTCTTTATTGGTACTTCTTATGACAAGTCAACTGTTCGCCTAGATGGTGTGAATTTCCGTGAGTTCCAAGATCATTTGAAAGCTCTGAAATCCAACAAGAATAAAAATAGCAAAGTGATATTACCATCCACTACTTTTATGAAACGTGTACTTGCAGAAGATGTGGAGCCTTGTTTATTCCAAAACAATGGAAATTCTTGGTGGAAATCTCCTTGGTTCAAACGCAAGTTATTGGATGCCATTGCCAACAATAAATGTGAAATTCAACATGCTGTACGTCCTCTTCTTCAAGGTACTGGAATTACAACAACAACAACGACAACAACAACACTTTCATCATCATCCATTTCATCTTCATCTACTACATCACCCAGTATCGCATCTTCTGATATTCCCATGCCACCCAAAACTAAATGTACTTGCTGCGGATTATTACGAGTATGTGAATTCAAAATGCGACTTCATCATCCTTCGACTACAAATCTAGCGACTAAACAACAACAACAACAACAACCTTGGTTACCCATAGATCGATTCTGTAGAGATAGGTTGGTGGCAGTTTGTGATTTCTATGGATTTGTATCTCATCTTCCTCAAGCAGTGACTCAAAATACCCCTGTGTTGGTCATGTTTAAACAATCCTTGGTATTCCGGCGAAAAATGGCCATGGCTAAAGTTGGTAGTATTGGATTATTTACAAGTGGGGATCTCTATGGGATGGAAGTAACTTCACCTGGGTTACGTACGGTACGACGACGTGCAAGTGGTTCAGTCAAACGACAATCTCGATCATCCAAACGGGAAAGCATTGTATTGGATCATTCCGGAAATGCAAGTGATACTGGTAGTGTGGTTAGTCTTAGTGATATTCAAGGCTTGGATGGTACAAGTCAAATCGTCATAGTCCATTGATCTTGGTTTATTTTTACTTATTGTTTATCTCCTTTTATATCCTGTGTATACCCTATCCTTTTTATTTAGTCCCTTTATCTTACTTGATAATCAACCTTTTGTAGAATAAAAGCTCTTTTTTTTCAATCTCCCTTCATTCCGCAGTTTTTTATGTGACTCTTCCAGACCCAGATAAAACGGCATTTCTTTTCTTTCTTTTTTTTTTTTTTTTCCTTCTTCTTCCTCCTGATTCTTCATCAGTCTACTTGATTCTTTAAACACTTTTTTTTTTTTTACAACATGGCCAAAGGACAAAGAGGAAGAGGTCGTGGACGTGGTAGTCGTGGCGGACGTGGCAGTCGTGGTGGACGTGGTGGTGGTGGTCGAGGACGGAATCGTACTTTATATCCTTCTAGTTATGGTTACGTTTATGAACTTGGTGAACAAGACACTTTGATTGATGACGATTTTCGACTTTTTGGACAATTCGATGATGATACTACGGATACCGATGATGATTTTCAATCCAAACGTAAAAAAAAAAAAAAAAAAAAAGAAAAACTAATGTCATTTGGACTTCTTTTTGACAAGCGAATCAATGTATACTGATAATTATCTTTGAATGGTGAAAACTTGTATCGATAGATTCTCAAAGAAAAGCCAAGATCAAGAAAATGCAATACAATAAGAACAATGGTGATTTGGACACTTATCAGCAAACTATCAGTGATAATAAAACAACCAAGAAGAAGAAGAATGGTCGAAAGGCAACAGGGGAATATCTTTCTATTACTGACACTTCCACTCATTTTGTTCGATCAACATATGACAGTACAACCAAGGAATATACAAACAGTAGCGATGATGAAAGAGATGTTGATCTCAATAATCTTCATTTGGATATCGGGAATCTGGATATTGATGATGATTTATTGGACCAATTATTACCTGAATCTTGTGAACCCAAGAAAACAAAAGAACAATCGCAACAGCAACAACAATCGCAACAGCAACAAGAAGAAGAACGGTACCATCCAGTCAAAACGCATGAACAGGACAGTAGCGACGAACAAGAAGATGATGATGATGATGACGAAGATGATGATATACTTGAGGGAGACGATATGGCAGTGATGCGGGATTATATAGAAAATATCAACTTGACGGATCAAGATATTTTACGCATTTTGGATCAAGATGATGACCATTTGGATGTAGATGAATTTTTGAAAAATATGGATCAAGATGAATTGGATCACTTGGATCAGGTTCTGCTACAACACTATGGTGACTTGAATGAACTTGAAGAAGAAGAAGAAGAGAGTAACGACGACGATGACGATGATGATGATGATGATGATGATGATATCTTGGCTTATGAACAACAATATTTGATCAACCATGGATTGGATGATGTGGATGAAATTTCACCAGATATGTTCAGAATCTCTTTGGAAAATGCTTTGGCGGATGTACCTCCTGGTCTTAAACCTGGTAAGTTCCTTAAAAAAAAAGTAATGGAAATAGAACTCATATGATTATCTTGTAGGCATACGAAATTGGATCTCTCATGACAAAAAAGAAGCCAAGAAACAGAAACGGTTAGAAAAAAAGGAACGCAGAAAACAAGCAAAGGCGAAAAAGATGGCCAACAAAGATAGGGGTATGAAAGATGATACTTCGGTGACATCTATAGAACTTTTGAAGATTGATAGGTAAGATATACATATTGGAGATATACATACGGGAAATGAGAATTGGAGGTGATTGTATACTCTATAGTATACAAATGATTACTGATTATTATTATTATTATTATGATTGTGAATAGTCGTATACGTGATTTTATCAATGATGACCAATTGAATAGGTAGGATGATTATACGTAGTATCTTGTCAATATTAACATCATTTTCTTTTCTTTTTTTTTTTTTTTTTGGTAAAAGTTTTCAATTTGCTCCCATGGGTAAGAGTAGTCGTCGACAACTCCATTTACTTGCAACTGCATATAATCTCAAATCACAAAGTGTTGGTACAGGCAAATCAAGGTTAGAAAAAGTTAAATTTATTTTTCTCATTCTTTAACTAAATGATTTTTTTTTTTTTTGTGGGAATAAAAAATAATATAGAACACCTATTATTACCAAGACGGACCGAACATATATACCACAAGATCGACGATACATTGATCGATTTATTGAAGAAGCCCAATCCACACTCAATGCACAAAGTAGTGTTTTACGGAAACATCGCATGGAAACCAATTCATCCAATCGCAACAAGGGCAAAAAGAAGGGTGGGAAAGATCAACAGCATGGCCAAGGATCTACTAAATCAAGACAAAAAGCAACAGGTGAACTTGGTGTTTCTGCACATGGAACTGTAGTGGCCTCCAATGCTGCTCCTATCACTGAATCTAATGTTGGTCATCGTATGCTAGCTGCTATGGGGTAAGTCGTATCTTTAACATCTTTTTTTTTTTTCAATTGCTCATATTTCTTTTTTTTTTTTTTTTTTTTTTTTGTGTAGATGGAAAGCTGGAAATGGACTTGGCTCTAATCAAGAAGGTATTACGGATCCAATTGAAGCCATCATTCGTGGTAAACGTAGAGGATTAGGCACCTAATTTAGAAAGTCAAATAATAGATTTTGAAATCAATAAAGTTTATTTTGATGATATTCATTAGAATTACAAGAATCGTTTTATTTTATTGAAATAATGAAATTGATGATATCTACTTCAAAAAGAAAAGAGGAAGAAGGAAACTTTCAAATAAAAAAAAAAAATCTATATACATAAAAGGAAGAAGAGAGAGAGTGAGAGTGGTATGTTGTTATAGAATGATGAGAAGGATTGGAATATATATGAGAGTAAGGTAAGCTTCTATTTCCAGTCTTGTTTGCGCACCTTTCGAAGTTCATGTTTTGCAGACATGCGTTGTACCCGTACTTCTTCCTTATCTGCTACCAACAAGGCACGAGCTGTTTTCTTTTGTTTCTTAAGATTCGCTGCCTTTTTCTTGATCCCTGTCTTGTTGGACTTGATCTCAGTGGGTTGGAGTGTTTGTTTCCGTAAATGAAGTAATTGAAGTTCTGCATTGACCCGTTCTTTGGCTATAAAAAAAATATATATATAGTTAGGTGACAAAACTTTTTTTTTCTTTTGTTTGTATTCTATTTACCAGTTTTGGCTTCATCAGGATCTATGGCTGCAGCATGTTTAGAGATATTTTTAGGATCGAATTGATCTATATCAAAAGATAAATGATTATCCAACGAAAATAACAAGTTTATTTTTTTCTTTTTACTTACATTTTTGCTTTGTCGATTTCGTTGCTTTACCCATGGTATTAAAAAAAAAAAAAAGAATATGGTAAAGAAAAAGAAGAGAGACAGAGAAAAAAAAAGGGGAGACGGATTCAAAGAGTGAAGATTGGCGGAGAAGGAACATTGAGAAGTGGCTTAAGTTGCACTGAGTAAAATGGATTCATGCAAAACTGGTAGCAACTACGTATATGAACTGAAATGGCATCATACACTAAAATGAAATGAGAGAAAAAAAAAAGCACATAGTTCATTTTTGATTTTCTTCCACTAACATGGGTAATATACATACCCTGCATCTCATTGAAACTACAAATCAGTATCAACAATAACAAGTTATCCTTTCTCTTTTTTTTTTATTATATATTTTGTTATCATACATTTCAATAAAAAAAGTAAATACGTAAATAAAAATGATGACAATAATAAGTAGCCTGCATTATAGAACCCATGGAATAATTCATACCAATAATAATAATAATATCATCTAACATCATCATCCAAAATAAACTAGTTTGTAATCCATATTAATCTAAACAGCACCAATGCCTTCATCCACATTTTCAGTTCCGTACATTGCCAAAGCGCGTTTATGGGTGGCATAGATATTAATGTAGTATGTCATCAAAGATACAACAGCAATCCTATCAAAAACACAAGACTATAAGTAAAACTATCCGATTGATAACAAGTGATATAACCTTTTCTTCAAAATAAGAGGTTATATAACGAGTTGTTCTTCCTCCTTTTTTTTTTTTTTTTTTTTTTTACTCTCGTATAATCTTCTATTACTTACATGGCACCACTACCACCAAAAAAATCACTACTTTTCACAGACTTGCGACTATTCAAAAACGAAGCCAGACCAAAGTAAGCAGAAACCCAAGGAAGTGCCAAAAATTGGTTCTATCACCATTCAAAAAAAAAAAGTCAGCGGTGAGATGATGATGAATCTTTTGTAATCAAACAACTATACTATTCTTTTTTCTCATCCACTTACTCTTAAGAAGATACCAGCCATGGCTAAATTGTACATAGGTTATGTATGTTTGATAAGAAGAAAAGTTCATATAATAATAATAATAATAAAAGAGATGGAAGTCAGAGTCCAACAAGGAGGCAATTATAACATTTCATTTTCTTTGATATGTATAAGCTTACCGGTATACATAGCAATATTGCTGTTCCAATCAGATGCTTCATCCTCAGGTACTGGAGGCATATGGAAAGCGACAACTTTATCAGGACGACGAGGATCAGCAGATGACATGTTTTATAAGTAAGCGAAAGAAAAACAAGATAGATTTGTTAAGTTCATACAAACTAAATTTTTGACGGGATTTCAATTTGGCGTTTTTTATTTTTTTTTTCCCTTGATGGGAACAATGTCATAGAGATCATGACAAAAACAAAAAGCTAGGACCATCATCGCACCGTCATCATCTCCATTAAAAACAATAATAATCACGAATAACAACTCATTATGATTGGTTTTTTTTCTCTTTATCCACTTTTTTACTACTGAGACCCGTCATCAGTCTATATACAAAAACATGTTTTCTCAATGATATATAAAAGATTTCTTTCTATTCTACTATGGTGCAGATTTGGTAAATCATCCCTACCAAGATGAGAATCGATTATATGGTGATCCAATACTGTGAAAAAAAAAGAACTGTTTCTATCATATGGTTGCATCCTACATAATTGTTTCTCACATCAAAAAGGGAAAAAAATCATGTCACTTTTATAATCTAAAATTGGAAGCAAAGATTCTCATTTTACCCATCACGGGAGAAAACACATCCGATTTGGTAAATCAATTCGTAAGTGGAAATCATCTAAGCAAAAGTGTGTGGGGTTGATTTTTACACACCGCAAAAAAGATGAAATGAACTTTTTTCTAAATTTATTCATCTTTTCTTTTTTTTTTTTTTTTTCTTTCACCAATATGGCGCCCACACGATTTCCAAAACATCTCAAACCAATAGAACCTCAAGGTCAAGTCTTATTACAACAAGAAAGAAGTAAAGCTAATTTTGATATTAAGCTATTGACCGAAAAGATCTATGGACGTAACTACTTGGAAAAGCACAACAAGATCTTGTCTATTCTTATGAACGATCCTATTCTTGGTGACAAGTCTCATCGCTACTACAGTGGACGTGACATTCGTTTCAAAAAGGCCATGGCAGCAGCTAAACGTATGTCTGAACTAATCAAGTAAGTAAAAACAACAAAAAAAAAGTGGGAATGGTAATGGGAACACATGCTGATATATTTATATATATAGGGAAAACAATTGGACGCCTGAAGATATCAATATTGCGGATGTACTTTTTGATGAATCCGGTCCTGTAAGTGTGAATGGAATATGAATATATAGAGATTTTTTTTCTTTAAAAAAAAAAAAAGAAAGTCATTCATTTTTTTTTTTTTTTGGTGCAATGATGGATAGTTCCGGTTACACCGATCCATGTTTATGCCTACTATTGAAGGTCAAGGTACTGAAGAACAAAAGCGACTCTTTTTGGCTCCTGCGCAACGATATGAAATTATTGGATGTTATGCACAGACAGAACTGGGTCATGGATCCAATGTACGTGGATTGGAAACTACTGCTACTTATGATCCGACTTTGCAATCATTTATTTTCCATTCTCCAACATTGACTTCTTCGAAATGGTGGATTGGAGGTCTTGGCAAAACAGCAACACATGCAGTCGTCATGGCTCGTCTCATCACCAATGGTAAAGATCATGGACCTCATCCTTTTATTGTGCAAATTCGTGACTTGGCAACGCATGAACCTCTTCCTGGTATCACCGTAGGCGATATTGGACCTAAGTTTGGATTTGGTACTGTGGATAATGGATTTATCATGTTCGATCAGCTTCGTGTACCTCATGTGGCTTTTCTTGCTAGATTCTCTCAAGTTGACAAAATAACTGGAGAATATATCAAACCTCCCAATGACAAACTCTCTTATGGTACCATGGTATTTGTAAGGGCCAACATTGTTATGGGTAAGTGTATATACAAAAAAAAAAAAAAAATAGAATGCGCGTTGATATTGATGAGATGTTTTTTTTTTTTTGATCATTAGAATCTCGTTATGTTATTGCTAGAGCAGCTACTGTGGCCATTCGATATTCAGCAATTCGATCTCAAGGTTCTGATACAGCCAATCCCAAGAAAATTGTCGATCAACAAGGGAAGATCAAAGTGGTGGAAACTCCTGTATTGGATTACATGATGCAACAATATCGACTTCTTCCCATTCTTGCCCAAGCTTATGCCTGCCATTTCACTGGTCAAGCAATGCATCGTATGTATTATGAAAATCAAGCACGAATGGCGAAGGGTGATTTCTCTTATCTCGCTGATTTGCATGCATCCTCCTCTGGTTTGAAAAGTTTAACTACAACGATGGCGGTGGCTGCTATTGAAGAATGTCGTCGTGCTTGTGGTGGTCATGGTTATCTTCTTTCATCTGGATTAGGGCAATTTTATCAAGATTATCTACCCAAAGTTACGGTAAGAAAAAAAAAAAAAAAAAAAAAAAAAAAAAAAAAAAAAAAAAACTCAACATACTTATCATGTTAGTGGGAAGGTGATAATTATCTTTTGACACAACAAACCGCTCGATACCTTCTCAAGACTTTTCGATCAATTCAAGCTGGAAAGAACAATGACAACAATTTTTCGGTCCAATATCTAACGGAATATCTTGGGCAACGCCAAAGCCAATGTTCTGTTGTGGAAGCTGATGATTTTACCAATCCTGAAACGCTTTTAATGATCTTCAAATATCGAGTGGCGTTTATGGTTGAACAAGCAGTGCAAGGACTGGATGTGGAACATCGATCATGGAATGATATGCTTGTGGAAATCTATCGTATTAGTCGCGCACATTGTCAATTGATTATGGTCTCCAACTTTTTCCAAGGGGTGTTCGACGATCCTGTATTTCGAGATATTCTTGGTGACCTGGCGATTCTGTATGGCTTGACGACCTTGGAACAAGAGGTAGCGGATGTGTTGACGTCAGGCTATATGACACCGGCTCAGTCATTGTTATTGAAACAACAAGTGATTACAATGTTGAAAAAGGTACGACCCAACGCGGTAGGTTTAGTCGATGCGTTTGCTTTTCCTGATTATCTCCTCAACTCGGCGCTTGGTGAAGCTCAAGGTAAAGTGTATGAACGACTCACAGAAATGGCCGAAGCTGAACCTTTGAATCACCAATCTGTCGTCGATGGCTATGATGATTATTATCGACCTCTGATTCATGCTGGCAAACGAAACTGGACTTTTATCGATGGTGTGGCTAAATTACAAGGTTATGCTGATCTTCCATTACATGCAAGATTATAATCCTTTCATATTAGATAGAAACTTTAGTATAGAATTGGTTTCTTGTATTTTTTTTTTTATTTTTATGAAATAAAACACTTTGCCACATTTTGAAATATGTTGCTGATGGATAAATGAGTTGACATGGGTGGGAGATCATTATTAAAAATATTTCAAAAATGATCATCATCACTCTAAATTGATTGGAACTAGAGCATAGATCAAATAAATCCTTCTGTTTTACTTGATGCCACATCTTATCACTCAATTTATATAGAGTAATTTAAAATATATATATATATATAAAGATCGATATCACCATCCTTCCTCCAGATATGATCATCATCCAATAAAATATCACCGCTCGATTTCTCTCTAAAAAATAGTTCAATATTATCTAATAGCATTTTATCTATTGCTTTGAGTTTTTTTTTTAATGGATGATCAGACTAAGATGATGATCAATGCCAAATGACTCCTAGTACGTGAGGTAAACATGGATCGCAGTTAGCTCGTCATCATTGCATCAAAATTTGGATTGAACATTCTCTCTTTCACTTGCCTTAATTTACACCTTACCTCCCAGTTTATAGAATTAAAAATGAAATATCAATATCGTCTTCAATAATCATCATCATCCAACCATTAAATCCCTCTCAAAAAAGTATCATCAAATCCCATTTTATCGCTTGTCACATAACAGACAATAAGCATGAAAAGACTTTATCGAGTTTTCAAAAAACCGCCTGATGATTTATTTTGACAACTGTAGAATCCAAAAAAAACTACAGGCCTAAATAGCTCTGATCTATAGCAACTTTTTTTCTTAGTGGATCCAAAAGATAGCTTGTCGATCATGCGTAGAAAATGGCAGAAAGGGCTCATTTTTCTAATCTCACTCTAAAAAAGACACTTTCAAATCCCATTTGAAGTCTACAATCACATCATATACTAATAAGATATGTCTATATTATCTATGGCTCTTTTTTTTTTTTTTTTTTGCTATTATTATTAATATATCAAACCACATTTATCAACAAAAATGCCAAGTTGAACTATAAAATTTGAAAAAAAGAAAGGTTGTTTACCTCTTTGGCTAAAAATCTTCAATGAACAATCTGAGGGGTCGATGTGTATCTTGACAAGACAACAAAAAAAAAAAACAACTAAATTTATTGGTTCAATTTTACCTAGAGAGTGTTGAGCATAAAGAATTCCTCTCGTTTTAATCTCCAAATATGGTCAAGAAAAATAAGTTTCTTTGGGACTGAGGTGATACAATGATGAAATCAAAACTTTAGGTTGTTCCTCGATTTCCAAGATCAAAAAAAAAAAAGAAACAAAATGATAGACAAAAAAAAACCAAGAAAGATCGCTCGATGCCTTTTACCCGGTACATGATGATTCAACTATGGATATGATTGGTCATGATGAAGTGAAAGGTCGAATAGATGCTTAGGAAAAGAAAAGATTACAATAAAAGAAGACATGTCAACTTTGACTAAACATGCCAGTGGTCGATGATGATTCCCTTTTTTTTTTTAGATTAAAAAGTAATAAAAACGTGCACAAAATAATCACTATTCCGATTTTATTATATATGATGATTAGGATATTCAACAAATAGACAACTATCAAGAATGATGAATAATGTGATAATCATTGATGACAAAAAAAAAAAAAATAAAATGTAAACTTTATATATAACGTAAAATGGTATGAAAATAAAAAAGGATGAAAGACATATAGAATACAATATAATAATAAGAATAATATTAATAATAATCAGCTTAACTAGATATAAATTTGGGGGCGTTGGAACCAAAGGCAAAGAGAAGACCAGCCAAAAGACCAGCACAAGGAAGAGTCAAGATCCAAGAGAAGAAACACCATCCGATCATTTTCCAGTTGATAGCACGCCAGTTACCATTACAAAGACCCACACCAGCTGTAGCGCCAGTAATACAATGAGTAGTAGATACAGGTAATCCTAACTTGGAACATGTCAAGACTGTTAAAGCAGCTGCCAATTCAGCACAGAATCCTCGAGAAGGAGTGAAATAGGTGATATTGTTACCCATTTTTCGCATGACCTAAATAAAAAATCAAAGATATAAATCAACTTTTTCTTTTTTTTTTTTAATATTATTACCCTGTAACCCAATGTGAGTAAACCAATATCAATAGCAATACCACCATAAGCAAGAATCCAAATAGGAACAGGAACCTTTCCAGTGACATCCACAGTAGCGGTATTCCAGAGATCAAAAATAGAAGCCAAAGGACCAACAGCATTAGCAACATCATTACTACCATGAGCAAAGGAAGCCATACAAGCAGTCAAGACTTGTAAAAATGAGAAAAGATATTCGGCATCATCATCATAAAGAATAGCAGCAGCATGGACTTCTTTCAAACGCTCACTTTCCAAATTTCGAACATCTTGACGAAGACCATGCATGGCAGCATTGATTGCTTTTTCCTTGTATTGGGCGAATTTGGACTTTGGGACTTGAGGTTGTTCGTTTTGAGTTTCCATGGTTTCGAGTTCTTCTTGATCTTTTTGAATTTTTTCATCTACAGTTTCGGTCACAGTGGAAGCAGTAGGTGTAGTTGCTGTAGGAGCATGCATTTCAGGATCGGCTTGCTGAAGGGTTTGACGTTTGGAAAGAAAAGGAATAATGAAGACATGATACCATTTTAAATCTTCATGTCCCTTGACACGGCGACGGACCCAAGGAACAAAGAAGAACCAGGAGAATAAAGCAAATACAGCACCAACACCAAAGGAGATACCAACAATTACACCGACGGATAGCTTGGCCGCATCAGTACCAGGAGCACCTTTGTAGATGATATAAAAAGCGTTGATGGCCACAGTAAAAAAAAAGTAGGCAGGTACCAAACGAAGACCCCAATTGAAACTATCAGCTCTTCGTAATACTGTATATTTGGTAATAGTATATAACAAAGCAGCAACCAATCCAGCTGCAATAGGAGATAAAAACCAAGAGGTAATGATACTAGAAATACCACCCCATTCCCATTTGAGAGAATTACCACCAAAACTATTTTAATTAAATTAAAAAAAAAAAAAGATGAGTATTAGCTATATATATATATATATATCATGAATGAACTTACGCAGCGATACCAACACCACAAATAGCACCAACAATAGAATGAGTAGTACTAACCGGCCAACCACGAGTAGAAGCAAACACTACCCAAACAGCAGAACCAAAGACAGCACACAACATGGCCAGCATGAGCATTTCTGGTTGGCCTACAAAGTTACTAACGGAAAGAATCCCACCCTTGATAGTTTCTGACGTGCCTGAACCTAACAAGAGAGCACCCAAGAATTCAGTGAAACAAGCAATAATAGAAGCTTGAATCAAGGTCAATGATCCAGAAGAAATGGAAGTGGCAAAAGCATTCGAGACATCATTAGCGCCGATACCATACTATATATAAAGAGAATAGATCAGCATAAAGAATATATGTGTGACAAAAAAAAAAAAAAAAAAAAAAAACTTACGGCATCTAAAAACGCAAAGACCATCCCAATACCAAAGATCCAAGTAAAGTCACCAGGTTGCATCATTGCTAGTGGTGTATATATAAAGTAAGCTGTTTTTTAAAAAAAAAAAAAAAAAAAGAGGACTATTAGAAAAAAAAAAAAAGAGTCCTTGAATAGGGTAGTATTTATATCATTGTGTAAGTAGTTGGAAAGAATAAAAAGAAAAATAGAAAACGGAGAAGAAAGAGAGCCATTGACCAGGTTTTTGTCGGCTTGAAAGAATTAGAGAGATCAGCCAATCAGATGCTAGATTTTCTCCACGCTGATCCCTTTTTTTCTTAATCATTTTTTATAAAGGAATTCGTAGAAAAGACAGTGTTTCTTTTTCACAGGAATAAAGAGCACGATGATACCAATAGTATTCAACTGGTCTTTGTCGTGGAACTGTTTTGTTCTTTGTTTCTCCACCAATCGTTATCTATCAATATTAAATCAGCATTGTAAAAAAAAAAAAAAAAAAAAAAAAAAAAAGACAGTGTGACAATAAAAAAGGTCAAAAAATAAAAAGACATTTGGTAAAATATTACTTTATTGAGATATAAAATACATAATATATATATATATATATTGTTCTAACTAATCATCATCATAATAAAATCACACCGCTCCAGTAATACCCTTACCTTTTTTTTTAAGCCCAATTCATAAAACTAAGATTCCATAGCTTCCAATATCATTGTTTGATTTACTCCATTGTTGAGTTCCCAAATCATCACTCGTGTTGATCTAACTCCATTATTGAGCACACATCATCCAATGACATATTGAGAGCTTGATCCAACCCATCCATCCCAAATGACTCAATCACTACGCAGGCATTATCCTGGTCAGCTAAATAAGAGTATAATCTCAGCCATCAATGAATATATAATATTCAATGAAGGCACCCCTTTGAGTCATGATAGCCAAATCAATTGATACCTTTATTCCTATAAAAGTCTAAATAAAAATAATATATATATATAGATAAAAAATAGATAAAATGGAATAAATAATATTTTTTGTTTCTTAATATATCTTTTTTTTTTTTTTGGTATACTTTAAACTTGATCCAATTTTGCACCAAAAAGAATTTCCATTTCTTCTAAAGTCTTTCCTTTTGTTTCTGGAATGAAACTAACACCAATCAGACAAACCACACAACAGGCACCAAAGAAGAAATACACACCAGACACCGTAGATGCCATGAATAAAGGTACACAGTAAGTAATCAAAATAGAGAAACCCCAATTAAGACCATAAGTTAGAGCAAGACCTTTTGCACGACAACGCATATTAAATATCTATAAATAAAAAATAAGTTAAGAACTGAAAAATGTCCATATATAAAACATACCTCAGCAGGATAAAGATAGGATGCCATACCATAACTAAAGGCAAACGAGGCAGTAAAGATATAAATAAAGGCAATGATGGTGTTCCGAGCATTAGTATTCACAACTATAACTTCGCCAGTATCCACATTGACAACAGTATAACAAGCAAACATGGCTCCAACTACAAACATAGAGATACCCATCAAACCAGCACCAATTTGGAAGACAGGAACACGACCCAAGCGATCAATCATGAACTGAAGAGAAAAGAAAGTGGCGATGATGGACAAGATTCCCGAGGCACCAGAAGTGGCAATGGAAGCCGAGACATCCGAAAGACCAGCACTGGCCATAATTTGAGGAGAATAATACCAAATAGCTACAGAGCCAGTGAATGAGGTGGAGATAGAGATAAAGAAAGCAATCAAAGTTCGTTTGAGATTGCTACCAACAAAGAGTTCACCATAGGTACGATTGCCTAGAGATTGTTCAAATTCAATTTCAGTCTTGATTTCATTATATTCCCTTTGTACCGCGGGATGATCTGTTTGTAATTCATTGAGATCAGCCAGGACGTCAAGAGCTTCATTTGTACGACCTTGATCCACTAACCAACGAGGAGAAAAGGGTAATGTCAAAGCAAATACACCAAAAAGAGCACCAGAAAATAATTGAACCATCCAAGGTGCACGCCAACTCCAGTCTGTAGTCAAGTAACTTGTACCAAAGGTCACAAAATAACCAATCACCTGCCCAAATGTACTCATCAATGTAAATAGACTAATAAGTCGACCACGGATATCAGGTGGACTAATTTCAGAATGATATCTAATTTTTAAAAGAGAAAAAAAAACGTATTTTTTTTTTTGGTAAATACAAGTGGATATTCTCTTTTTTTTTTTTTTTTTTTTTTGTTTCTTTAGTTCACTTACAAAGGTATAGCATTGGTCATCAAGCCAGCACCAAACCCAGTTACAAGTCTTCCAGCACATAACAAAGCAAAATTATAACCAATGATTTGAAATAAAACACCAATACAAAAGATAAGAGAAGCACCAGCAATAGTATATTTGCGACTAAGGCGATCTATTGTAAAATGGTGAGATGTTTGCCACCAAGTTAATATATTATTATTATTTACCACAAAAGAAACCAGAGAAAAAAGCTCCTAAAGCAGCTGTCATCAAGTAAAAAGCCAATAATAAACCTTGAAGATAAGTATAAGTATCCTTGGTGAAGAACTTATCGATAAAGATGTTCATGGCAAGAATGGAAGAGATAGCACCAGTATCAAAGCCACACAAAGCGCCACCTAGAGCAGCCACAGTAGAAGAGATATATACTGATTTCCGAAAAGGTTTAAGATCTTCGTCATATAAACTGATAGATTCCGTTTGTTGAGTTGAAAGATAATTAGGTTGGTCAAGTTGAATCTTTGAACTTGACATGGTAACAAACTGAAAAAGAGAGAAAGAATAAAAAGAGAAAAAAAAATGAAAAAAAAGAAATTTTGGTCCCTTTTACCTTTTTTTTTTTTAATAGACTCCGATGTCCTCAATTTTTTTTCGATTCAACTATAAGAGATGGAATGATAACCATTAAAGGTAAATTATCTTTTACGATTCTCATATCGAATTGATTGAAAACTCTTTTTTTTTTTTTTTTTTTTTTTTTTTTGTAAGAAGATCACCTTACTTTTAGATGACTGAATTTAAAGCTCAAAGATATTAAATCTTTCAATTTCACACGCTTTTAGTTTTTTCAGGTGCCTCTCTTTTTCTGTTTCCCCACATTTTTATCTTCCAATCTGTCGAAAAATGACCCCCTTGCGTCTTGTGGGTAATTTAAATTATATAAGAAAGAACCCTTTTCTTTTTTTCTTTTTTCTGACTTTCTTTCTTTGTTTAAGCTACCTCAAGACTCATGTCCACATCAACAAAGCTACCTATTCGTTCTTCAGCAACGTAATGACTTCCTTTTTTTTTTTATTTCCATCTACACTTATTGACATTTTTACTTCCTTTTTTTTTGGTTTTTATTGTTTAGTCTTATTGTGGCAGCGCCTATTCCAAGCAATGTTCAGAAACAAGGTGAATGTAACTATAGGATACTTATGATGAAACGGTAATACAAAAAAAGAACCATGATATTTTACTAAATGGTTTTCTTTTAGTAATGGCAAAAGTAGTTTTGTACATGCTCATGTATTTCCTGGTGGAGTGGTAGATTCTTATGATAACCAAGACGACTGGAAAATCAATATATCAAACACTATGTCTTCAAATATGTATGTATTAAAAACATGGATTCCTTTTTTTTTTAATTCATATTTTATTATTGGCATAAAACAGGTTGATCCACAAGATTTGTGCTATTCGTGAAACTTTTGAAGAATCAGGACTTTTATTGACAACTCCACCAGCACATACGATTCCTGAACTAGATACCGAAATATGGCGACATAAAGTTCATGAAGATGCATCTCAATTCAAATATATGTGTGATCTTTACAAATTACAACCTGCTGTGGATCGATTGATTCCTTTTGCCAATTGGATCACTCCTCCGTTTGAAAAAAAGAGATTCAATACTCTTTTCTTTTTAACTGTCTTACCTCAAACCATAAATGAAGAACACAAAGAAACTATCAAGGTATCATCAGATGGTAAAGAAACCGTTCAATTAGATTGGTTCAATCCAAAACAAGGTAAAAAAAAAAAAAAAATTAATGAACAATGAAAAAAAAAAAAAAATTGGGATAATAAAAATGATTTTTTTTGGATTAGCTTTGATGAAATATTATGAAAAACAAATTGTTCTTTTCCCACCTCAATGGTATGCTTTATATTGTTTTAATGGTATTCAACGACATGAAGAATTGATTGACAAGGCTGGTATTGGTAGCCTTCGAACAATTTCTGGTGATCCCATTACAATTCGACCACAATTGAATGTACTTGATGACAAAACAAAACAAGATGAACATCGATATGATTATGATGGCTACCTCGCTTATCCAGGTGATGAAATGTATTTGACAACTGGTCATCAAGACAATTTTAAGGATCACATACTTCTCTCTCCGGCACGAAAAGGTGATCGTCATAGATTATACTTCAAGGACAAGATGCAACAAGTTGATTTGGAACGTAATATAGATATATCCCAGTTCGTTAGATCTAATTTATAGTTTATATCCTTCGTTATTCTTTTTTTTTTTTTTTTTGTTATCTATTTTTATGGGTATGGTTGTTCGTTCTTTTTTTTTTTTTAATCTACACCCAATCCTTTTTTGATACAATTCTTCAATAAATATTTGTGAAAGAAATTACAATTAAAAAAAAAAAAAATGGATAGACTTTTATGGAAAAAAGAAAGTACAGTAGAAGGATGATAATGAAAATTTTGTTCATGATCGACACCCTTTTTGTTTCATGTAGATGATGATACTGTTTCCATTTATAGACAAAAATTTATAACCTTGTAAATGAGATCTATAATAAAAGATAATTCTTTATTGATGCAATGTTGTAAATAAAAGAAGACAAGAATGGACTTTGGAAGTTTTGGGAGATAACTTGGATATATATATATATACAAATAAACTAAGTTTAAACTATGCTGAAGGAATGGAATGGATAATGAATGAATGTATGAAGAAAAAAAAAAAAGAAGAGAGAGAGAGAGAGGATGATTTGTCTATGTACAAATAAGAATTGTAATGATGATGATAGTAACAATGATGATAACAAATAAATAAATAAAAAAAAAAGAGGAGTATTTGATCAAGAAGCATTGGATTTGGCCAGGATAACATATTGATGTACAGAATGAGCCATGGAATTGGAATTGTCACCATCGTTAATAAAATCCAAGATATCGTTGATATTGTTCATATTTGACCAATCGGGATGATCTTGTAAGGAAAGAAAGGACATTTGTAATTGACTATGAGGAGGTAATAAAAACGTATTGAAATGATGTAAAATGGCACGAATATGATTGTCGGTCAAATGAAGAAGTTGAGGCAAATCCTGTTGTACAATATCCATCAATGTAGTTTGCATATGTTGTTTGATATAACCATCCACCTTGGTAGAAAAATCCATTGCATTCTTTTGGAAACATTCATGACTTATCATAACGTTTTGTTCAAGTGGTTGTTCAGTGGTGATAGCTGGGCAATATTCTAATAAAGTCGATTCCATAAACAAACGAAGAGCAGAAGAATCCAGGGCAGCAAAACTACTATGTCCATACCACATACTTGGTAATTGGTCTTCTACATAAGATCCAACAGCACCTCGAAGTTGTTCCCGAAGAAGTCGTACATCTACATCTTCATTGTTACCATCGTCAGTATGAATCCACTGTTGTTGTTTTTGATCAATAGAATACAATGGTGTATATTGTTCAGTGATGAGTTGTACCGAGTCTTGAATCTGCGCAGCCAATATTTTTGATAGCGAAATAACAGCGTTTTCCAAGTGTTCAACCATAATATGACTAGATAAGAGTTGAACAAATCGATTTAAATCCAAGTCGAAATCATCATTGTCATTTTTCTTGTCTAACTGAGTTGATTTTAATATATCGTCGTTATCTTTGTTGGAGAAAATAATGTCGTTTGTGTCGTTACTATTTGCAATATCGTTACTGTCAAGTTGTTGTACAGGTAATGTGGACACCAATAAAGGAAAAAGAACAAATAATCCAACAATGGTCCACCATTGTAGAAGAACCATTTGGTCAAATTATATATATATGAAAAAAGTTATAAAGAAAGAAAGAAAGAAAAGAAAGAAAAAGAAAAGAAAAGAAAAAGGGAAAAAGAAAAAAGAAATTGAGATTATAATGAAAAAAAAAAAAATCTCTTCTAGAATAATTTGGCAGATAGAGAGCTGAGTTTAGTTTCTTTTTTTAGTAATGTACTACCCATTCATAAGGGGATAATGATGAAGGGAACTCCTTCTATGCTCCTATTTAAAAAAGACCAAAATGTCTTTTTCTGGTAGAATGAGTCTCATAACACAGCCGCTCCAAAAAATCTAACTTTGATGCCATTTGATTGGAGGAAATCCACTTTCTAGGTAGATTTTTTTTTTTTTTTTTTTTAAGATAGATATGGTTGTAAATCGATCCTTGCCTAAAACAGTAAAACAGTATAAATCCGTTTAGCCTCTCTTTTGGTCCCAATGGATTAAAAGAAGTGTCATTTATTTTATCGAACTACTAGAAACATACACAAAAATAATATATTTTTTATATATATATACAAATAAAACAAAAAAAAAAAATTACACTAAACCAAAATCACACTAAACCTAAAAAAAAAAAAACTATCTATCATTCCTAATATTGACCGGTCGATCACTATACAATATAGCTGAGAATTCACCACTGACATCTTGATCATGTGTAGCAAACACAATAATATAACCTAATAAGAGTAATAATCATCAACATGAGTTAGAACTCTTCCCTTTTCTCTAATTTGTCTTTTTTTACCTGTTTCATTTTGACTAAGAATAACATCACCTGTGGTCACACCCTATATATATATATAAAACATTTTTGAGTTATATTATCATACATTAATATTATTATCATTGTTACCTGAATAACATTAGTGTATGGACCAGATGTTGCAATTTCTTGACCAAATAATTCTGTAGGATGACGTTCATATATCGTAACATTGGTAGAAGGAACTGGATCTATCTTGTCTGCTTGAAGTCGGACTCTATATGATACAAAAAAAAAAAAAATGGGTTTAGTATTACAATTTTTGATAAATTCATCTCCGTTTCTGTCCATTCCACAGAAAAAAAAAAAAAAAAAAAACTAAGCATTTTTTACCGTATAGTGGTTAATTCCCTCACTTCAAGTAAATACCGAGGATTCTTCCCATAACTTCCATAACTAGGACATCCCATTGCACTGTACCCAAGTATCCTATTCGCAGTAAAATAATCATTAATAGAACATATAAATAATTTTCTTCCCTTACCATTCTCCATTAATGATTTTTCGAAACATGCCCTACATATATACATAAAAAAAAAGAAGGCTTGGTTTAATAACTTACCTTTTATGTATTTCTTATCTTACCGCTCCTTCAGCAGGAATGGTTTCAATCGTCAAAGGTATATTGCTTGATGCTGTCAATACAAATTCTCCAATAAGATCTGCTTCAAATGTGGATGCTACAACAGTATACACTCCAGCTAAACAAAAAAAAAAAAAATACGGTAAGTTCCAATATGAATGACTTTTTTTTTTTTTTTTTTTTTACGTTTGATCGTCTCCATTTCACAATAGCAAAATCCATGTCGATAAGGTCCAGACTCTACCAAGATATCTCGTACAGATACACTAAAAACAGAATCATTATAGAAGATTCCTCAGTAACCATTGCTAGATAAAAATAAACCAAAATATTTGCTATTTTACACATTACCTTGTAGCGCGTTTTCCACCTTCAACTAAAAGTAAATGAATTGCAAATGTTTTATCTGCATCCAACATTAACAAAAGGCCAGTTTTCGAATCTTCCAGATCAGTTGGTGGTATTGTGATCTTCCATTGAGGGTTGTGCATATAACTAGCATTCGATGCATTGCCACCCGCAGTTTGATCAGTCCATTGTCCTGAGATCTAAAAATAAACATAAATTTGAAATGCTACATTTTAGAAGCACATCATTTTTTTTTTTTTTTTTACCTTTTGTTCAATTGGGTATCTAAATGGGACTTCACAGAGTTTGAAAGGAGCTAAAGAATATGCCCGTAGGGAAAAGAAAAGAGATCGTTTCTTTTCGTGTTGTGATACCACTATAGTATAATTACTTGTACCTGGCGGAGCATTGAACCGGACCTATAAAAAGTAATTCATAATGTTCCAATTTCAATTCACAATAGTCTATCCCTTTTTTTTCTTTTTTTGAGTCACCTTACCAAAATATGTGGACTATTGACATATGTGCCCTAATCAAAAATAAGTAATAATAATAAAGTCAAATGTTGCATATATTGAAAACATACCAAAAAAAAAAAAAAAAAAAAAAAAAAAAAGGTTAAAGGGTTACTTACTTCCTTAAAAGGTTCATCAGGATAGTAAATTCGTTCACCATTGGTATCATTGTAAACATGTAAAGTAATATAATCGGTATTTTCCTCTGTTACCATGATATGTTTAGAAAGTAAGAGTCGTACTGCGGCTGGTTTTTGATCTGGTACTGTCACAGTTAAACTGAATTGAGGATTGTAGCCTTGGATGATAAGAGTAAATAAAAAAAGTAATAAAAATAATAAGAGTAATATAAGCGATCGTAACCAACCTGGAATAACACACACACACTAATCCTTTCTTACCCAAATTGTACACATCTTTTTTCGGTCCAAAGTTTTCCAACCAGACACTAGTGGAAATGAGTTATATTATCGTTAGTAACAGATATGACAAATAATTAAAATTAATGCAACGATCATATTGTAGTATTGTGTCACTTACGAATGAAGCACCCATCGATAAGTAAAAAGTTCAGGATTCCAATTCAAATGAATAGATGTAAAATAATCACAAACAGATTCCAAATCAATCCAAAAAATACCATCATCAATTTGTTCAGCAACAGATGGATCAAAATTTAATGCTTCCATTAATTCGGGTGTCCATTGTGTTGTATCTAGATGACTGTAAGGCCCACACCATCGTTTGTGACTCCAAGGGTTTTTCACTTGCAAGAATCGAACACCCATAACAGATTTGATATCTAATAATAAGTTTAGATAAGGATATTCGCTTTTAACATTTTTTTTTCATTATCATTTTTCTCTTTTACCTATAACGGCATAAGCATGTGTTGGTACTAATCCAGTCTTGGTAGCCTCTTCTTCGGTCATTTCGCCAGTTGCAATGGTCACAAGCACATCACCTATATATCAATAAAATATCAATGATAAAAAAAAATACGAATCATTAGATAAATAACGACGAAGAAGACGATATCACTAGTGATTATTGGATGCTTACCATATTTGGCTCCATCTAGTATACGATTCCATACTTTATCAGGATTGAATTGTTTGCTAAATAGAATTATCAAAGAAAATGAATATCAATGATGATGACGATGATGATAAATGATGAAATATAAATAAAACTTACTCATTAATAAATATATGTTCCGGAATCCATCCAGTCAAGCAACTACAAAAAAAAGGAACGATTAAAAAATAAGAAACAACCTATAAATGTATGAATAACATCAGTGTATGATGCTTACTAAAGATCAATGCCTGAATTTCTATTTAGATAAAAAGTCATAAAAACAAACCAATTCATTAAAAAAAAAAGATCAAAGGGAATTCAAGTTATAATTAATGCTACTTACGAACCAGGGAAATCGTAGCCACCCATTAGTTTCATATACTATATAATATATATAATGAGATAAGGATGATCTCTATCGTATTGTTAAATATTTTTTTATATGTCAACCTACAGCCTTTTCGATGATACTGGACCAAATTTCTTCCTTGTTGGTGGAAAAGGTACACATCAGAGTATTTTCGCGGGATATCGGTAAAAGGTCATCCACAACTATATATATAAAGTAAAATTAATTGAGTATGATAGTTTTCTACTGATAGAATTCTGTCAACAAATTATTTTAGCCCTTTACCAATCTATAATAATGATCAAATAAGATAAAGGAATATATACATTAGAATAATTCAAAAATACATTTTCAAAAAAAAAAAAGATTACCTTTCGAGCAATGCCGTTATATACAAGCTTAATAACATACTTCCCGCTAGGGTTGTAGCAGGGGATGCCTTGTTTGTTTTGAGGGTATATACAGGAGGTAATTAACTATACAAAAAGGATGAAAGTAATATAATAATATAATATTTAAATCATAAAGGTTTGACAAAGGGATAATCTAAGAATTTCTTTTTTTTATACAATCAAGTATTCATGCATCATCATTACCTGTTTTCCAAACTTTCTTTCGTAAGCAGCAGCGACACAAAGCGAGGCGACAAAGGAACAGTCAGTCACTACATCTTGGATGATGCTTGTACTATAGAAAGAATCTCAAATAAGTACATTATATAAACAATGGAATTGATTTCGTATTTATTTATTTTTTTTACCTTGAAATCAATCGAATTAGTTCAGGATGTTTCATGAAATCAGAAGGTCGTTTCCAAGCACCAAAACTTGATAATTGTTTTTCCGATAGCTTGAGTGGTCCATCCGAATCCCTAATAAATTCAAAAAAAAAAAAAAAAGAGAATAAGAATGAACGTGTATATTCTACTTTGAACTTAATGTTTGGTTGGGATACATACAAAAACTTATCGGGATAAGAGAAACATTCTTTCAAATCAGATTCATCCATCCATGGTAAAAATACTCTATTGTTGACATTGGAAGTGGTTTTCAATACTTCAATTTCGGCCGCTGACAATCTTTGTGTTGCAATATCATCTGTTGGATTTGAAGGTGATAATGAAGGAAAAGGTTGACTTGAATGTGATTTGATTGATGACGCAGCAGTAGATGATGTACGTCGATGAATGCTATTATTTCCGCCATTTGGATGACTAGTATCATTGCCATTCATTAATACCGGAATATTGCCTTGACTAGAAGAACAGGAAGGAGATCTTGATCGTGCTGAAGACGGTTTGTCATTTTGAATAGCTAACAACAGAATCAATGATGAGTAAGAAGATATGATCGATTGGAAATACTTACATAGTAGAGAGGTCGAATGATGAAGTTTGTTTTGTTGTAATGTTTTTAGATTTTCGGCCTTCTCCATTGCTTCTAAAAAACGTTCCCTCATTTTTGTCCTAGACCCATTTTCCACGTCTAATGCTATTCCATATAAAAGTCAAATCATTGTTAGTTTCCTTTTTGATCAAGTCATACCAATTGCTTCTTTTACCTTTGAATGCTTTCAGGTACCATTCTGCAGCATCCGAATAATACATAAGAGCATTATCCAAGTATTCCTTGTATTCATTCAGTTCGCCTTGTCCCATTGAGAACTATCATTATATTTGAAGGAAAAAAAAAAGATCAGTAAAAGAATCATGAAATCTCGTTTTGACCCACACACAAAAAAAAAAAAATTACCTGTGCTTTTTCCACTGCAATATCTATATCTGATCGTTCAAAATCTTCCTCTTCTTCAGAGTGTTCTTCAGCAGTAGCGTCTTGTTCATTTCCAAAAGGTGAATGGATTGTAAAATGAAAAGCATCAGGATGGCTGCTAGTAGTGGTTGCTCTAGTATATCGGTCCAATTGTTTTATTCGAAGAAGGTATTCATTAGATTTCTGTAGAATTTGTTCTCTATTGACATGACCATTCATTCCCGCACAATCAGCTATAAGATATTTGTTCAAAATAAAGAAATAAAAAAATGTTGAGATTTGTTGTATAATATATTGCATATTACTTACAAGTCAACACAGTTTCAAATATCTAGAAAGAAGTTTTAAAAAGAAAATAACAACTGATTAATAAAGGAAAGAAAGAAAAAAAAAAAGCTTGTTTGTATAAAAACTTTATACTTTACTTGAATAACGCGATGGTAAGCATGAGTGGCATCCTTGTATTGACCTAGAGTATCTAAATGAACAGCATCACGAGCAGCAGCAAGAGCAGGTATCAATAATAATTCAGAGCAACTGTCAGGCACCAGACCTTCACAAGCAAAAGAATAGAACAATAAAGAAAAAAGGAAGATGAAGTTTAAAAAGAAGAAATAGAAAGAGTTTATAAAATAAAAAGATGGATTTTTACTACTTACAGACAGTGGAAGGATGCGTCTTTCCCATGAACGCATAAAGATGTGAGAAGAAAAGGAATTGAAAGAAAAAGAAGTAAGGGAAGGGAAAAGAGAAAAAAAAAAAAAAGACGCAAACCCGGGACTACAACAGATCTTTTCAATTTTGTAATGCCGCCTAACGGATATATATATGATCTGGAACTTGTTTTAAAAGTGATATATTTACCCAAAAAGAAGACAAATCAGATCCTCTTGAGATCGCTGCTCGCTATCTATATGTAGTTGATCTTGCTACGGTCATCTCGTTGGCATCTAAATGGATCAATTCACTATCTATTATTTTCATTTCTTTTTGATAAAAATAAATTGTACTTTTTATTATTGTATTGATTGAATTCTAGGACTATTTACCATCAAATAGAAAAAGGATATATATAAATATATAAAATGTAAAAAGGAAATAATCTATTTCTAGTGAGATAATCTACTCTAATGTTCTTCAGCATCACAATGAGCAGCATAAGCAGTTGCATCCATCAAAGTATCCAATTCTTCAGGATTGGAAATCTTGATCTTGGCCATCCAACCTGTAAAAAAAAAAAAAAAGATCAGTACATATCTCCCTTTATATTTTACCTGTATTTTACCTTCTTCTTCAGGGCTAGCATTGATCAAAGTGGGATCATCACCCAAAGCTCCATTGACATCAATGACTTCACCAGATACAGGAGAACAGACATCACTAGCAGCCTTGACGGATTCAACAGCACCAATAGCATCTATAATATAATATATCAGATCAAAATATTAATTTTATCTAATTTCATTTTGTTTTTTTTTGTTTTTTTTACCATTCTTCTCGACATTGTCACCAACAGCAGGAGTTTCTACAAATACAACGTCACCCAAGGCACTTTGCGCGTGGTCAGTAATACCAATGGTACCAACACCATTTTCAACAGAGATCCATTCATGTTCAGCGGTATATTTCTTGGCTAAAGATAAAAAAAAAGGGGGGCATATTCAATATATATATATATATTAAGTATGAAAAAGGATGACTTACTGGCATAAGCGCGAATAGCAGCCAAAGAAGCGCTATTACGAATCACAGGAGTATAAGGACGGAATACACTTGCAGACAAAAGACGAAGAGCCATTATAATACAAAAAAGAGTGGGGTTATTTAAAAGAAAAGAAAAGAAAGAAAGAAAATAAAGAAAACCCCCAGCTTCAAAATAATAAAGATAGGTTTTTTTTTTGTCTCCACCGAGTTGTTAAGGCATTACCATAAAAAAAAATTGGCTTAACCAATCAGATGAGGCGGCATTGAAAACCATCTAAACATCTTCTCATCTCCGTGGTTTGAAATTAAAAAAAAGAAAAATGTCGTCGCATGCATTTTCCTACTTCTTTTTTTTTCTTTTTATTTTCACACACTTCCTTATCTTTTACAATTCATAACATGAGTGGTAAGTTTTCTTTTTATTTAAAAAAATCTAACATATTGCCAATATTCAATATTAAACTTGCTTCTTTTTTTTCTACTCGTCTACATTCTTCTACTCCAGTTTCCAACTACATTGTTACTTTCAAGGCAGATACTCCTCAGCAAGTCATTGATGAACATATCAAGCAAGCTGAAGCTGCTGGTGCCACTATCAAACATAGATATCAATCTGCTATTCGTGGTTACTCTGTTTCTGTACCTGATGATGCTGTTACTGCACTTGACAATACCCACCCCCAGTTGGACTTTATTGAACCCGATGGTGAAGTTACCACTCAAGGACAAACATATTTGAAGTCTTAAGATTTTCAATCTAGTTAGTGATTACTGTGGTTACCTCTTTTTTTTTTTTTATCTATCGTTTTATAATGGTTGTTTGTTTATATTATGTATTTGTTAGCGTTTGATGAATCTTGTGACAATAAATCATACAATCTTTTTTTTCTTTTACCCTTTATCTTTCTTTTTGGATTTCACTTTAGTGCCTTTTTTTTTTTTACAATCTATTAGATGGAAACAAGGGATGGATGGAACGGTTATTTAGTACATGATGGCAGAAACCTAAATTATTGAACACCAATGTTCTTAGGGATGAAACACGAAAATAATACGCAAGCATAGTAACCAAATTGAATTGTATCGGAGCTTGCATTCGATGTAACTCCCATAATAGAGCTTGTCTTTGCAAGAAGCATGAATACATTGATGACATGAAGAAGCTACTATTTCATATTAAAAAAAAAAGAAGAAGAAAACTCAATGGAAGTATCATATTCAGCCTTTGATCTTATTTTTGCTTCTTCTTTACCGAACATCATCGCTTTGTTCAATCATTCAATCATCCTATCATTCTATCATCCTGTCGTCTATCATTCCATCATCCCATCATCCATTCTATTGTCTACTGACACATCTTGAAAATTGCCACAGAGATCATCGCAAAAAAAACTATCACTATTCGAACCTCACTATTTTAATTACAGTATAGCGATCATATTTATTGATCATCATTGGTATAGTACAGAATTAAATGCAGGATCATCATCATACAAATCATAAGACAATAAAAAGTCACCGTCTTCACTAAAAAAAAAAAAAAAAAAAAAGAATCTTCCAGGGACATGTATAAATACAAGATGAAATGAAATCATGCACGATGTACCTGAACTGTCAATAAATCAAAATCACTTTTTTTTTTTCAATCAAACCTACAATTCTCGTCGTTGAAAACGTTTATCCTAAAATCGGTAATTAAATCAATATTATGTACAAAAAGATTACAATTGAAGAAGACTCGATATGTTCGATCTTTATTTGATTTCTCTCATTGGTACAATTTCAACATAAAAAAAAAAAAAAGATAGAGAAAAGGAAATGTCCGTGCCACATACCCCCCTGGCTTCGATGCCAGGGTTGACGGAGGTCCAATGATTTTTGAATAATGGTTGGAGGCTTTTTGGGCGGATATAAAAAATTTTTTTGATTGCTTCCCCTTTTTTTTTCTCCTTTTTCTTTTTCTTTTTTTTTTTTATATCTTTCACCCCCCACTCTTTTTTTTTAATTATATATATCAATAATGGTTGACGGTAACGCTACTGCTGGTGCTAAGCTCTTCAAGACTCGTTGTGCTCAATGTCACACCGTTGAACAAGGTGGTCCCCATAAGGTCGGTCCCAACTTGAACGGTATCTTTGGTCGCAAGTCTGGTCAAGCCGCTGGTTTCTCTTACACTGCTGCTAATGTCAACAAGGGTGTTACTTGGGATGATCAAACCTTGTTCGATTACCTTGAAAACCCCAAGAAGTACATTCCTGGTACCAAGATGGCCTTTGCTGGTTTCAAGAAGGTAATTTTTTTTTTGTGATAAGAGGAAATAGAATGTGTATGATGATGAATGATGATCTATGCGTATTTGGATTCTTTTTTCTAAAAAAAGAGATATGAACTGATTCGTTTTCTTTTTCTTTTTTTTTTTCAATAGCCCAAGGACCGTGCTGATGTTGTTGCCTATTTGAAGGAATCTTGTTAGATAGCTTGACTGAATATCCAGATAGATTAGATAATATAAACAAATATTCTTTTTTGTACCATTTTTTTTTTAGAAAAAAAAAACGCACTCTCTTCTCATTATATCATTCTTTAGAATAAAATAAAACGGTAGATTTGTTTTATTGTTGTCATTTATTGCTTTTTTTTTGAATCATCTTTTTGTTTATTATTGGACTATTTGGCCCTGTCTTTTTTTTTTTTACAAGTGTTGGGGGGTATCGAGGGCTGACTAGAAAATATGATCTTATGTTCTTGATGAAACTTAAGCCTGATCATTGGAGCGGAGAAGAAAAGGAGAAGTAACTAGATCAACCAAAAAAAAAAAATGACAGTCTATCATGATCACTCAAATCCAAGATCAGCCACCCTTATACATAATATGAAAGAAAGACAAACTAGGAAAATGAAAAAGGGGTAAGTATATAATGCTTTATTTCATATTAGACTTTCATCTATCCCTGGTGTCCCTGCTGACTATCCCCCCCTGTCATCAAGTAAATTATCTTTCATCAAACCAAATGATCTTCAAAATCGTCATCATCATAAGGAAATTAGTTATTATAGTATGAAATCATCATTATAGGAAAATCATATATAGTATCATTTATCATCATCATAGTCATCGTCATTCATGCATTAATGGAATACAAAGTGTAGTGAGAATACAGAAGTGGTTATTGCTGATATATATATTAAAAAAAAAAAGATATAAAAAAAAAGAAATGCAGTGATGAAACATATTTCAAGTCCGCATACTATTATTATTTTTTCTTTTCTTTTTTTTTCTTTCTTTTTTTTTTTTTTTTCTTTCATTCTTATTTCTTATTTTGTAATTTATTCATGGCAAAACAGGATATAATAACTGATGACGTGACAAAGACAGAATATAAAGACTGTTTACCGTGCAAGTTAACTGGAGCAGCAGCGTTTAGTGGATTAGGTGGATATGCATTACATGAAGCTTGGAAACTGAATAAAAAACCTGGTAAATTGAATACAGCAGTTGGAGTTGGTGTTATTGGTGTAGGTAAGTCATATTATTATTTATTTATTTATTTATTCTTTGTTCTTATTTTTATTTTTTTATTAGTATTTATATCAGCAGGACTTTATAGATTAGCAATATGAATATATAGTTTAAAATAATAAAATAGTTACGTTTTATTACATGTGGGTTGATTCGATATCCGCAATAAACTATAAAAACTCTTTTTTTTTTTTTCTTCGATGACTTTCTCCTTTTTTCCTTTTTGCCTCCCCACTTTCTTTCACCTCCCTTCTTTTCTTTCTTTCTTTTCCTTTTCTTTTTTTTTTTTTTTAACAACTTCATATCATCTATTTATATTTTATCTCATTACAACTTTCATTCCTTTTTATTATTATTTATTATTATTATTATTATTATTATTATTCAAAAAAAGAAAATAATAATTTTATATACCAGCTTAGAAAAAAAAAATACACACACACACACACACACACACGCTTTTCATCTTATAAAAAAAAAAAATAAACCTCCCCATTCCTTTTTTTTTTTCTCTCCATCTTTCTATACCCTTTTTATCAGTCCTTTCATTTCACCTTCCTATTCTTTATATATATATAATGGATTCCAATGAAAAGAAAATGAAACGAAGTAGTATGTTGGCTTATGTACCTGTACATCGACGAACCGATAGTCCGGATCAAAGAACAACTCAACAATATCAAGAAAATAATAAACGCAACTCTTATGGACAAGATTTTAATAGTATTCGATATAATACTGATAAACGACTTTCTTTACAACAACAACAACAACAACAACGTGGATGGCGTAAACATAATAATGGTAGTAGTGGTGGATCAGTTGAAGATGAAGATAATTCAGAAGATAATAGTTTTCCAACAACTCCTGCTATTCATCGTTATTCTAACAATAACTATCACAGTAACCACAATTCGATGTCTTCTTATGATCCCAAAATGGAAAAGTTAGGTGCCATGCTAGAATCCTTGTCTCATGATGATCATCGACATAGTTCTGGTCCTGAAGAGTGGGATGAATTGTTACGCCAATATGATCGATCGGATGAAGAGGCAGCTATTTTAGCAAGAAAGAATAAAAGGGCTAGTCGAATCATGGATCCTTTTAGTGAACCTCCAGGTAAACAAATCCTATTTTTAATTTATTCATATTTAATTTATTATTTTTATTTTAATATAGCACAAGTTCCCGTGGTGGATGAACCTACTGTTGTATTGGATTGTCGTGATTTCCCAAAATCATTCAAAACCCATCATTTACATGATATCTTTAGGGAGTATGAAAATGTTCGTGGTGGTTACAGAATCAAATGGATGGATGATACCCGAGCCTTGATTATCTTTGAACATCCTGCTACTGGTAAGAAAAAAAAAAAAAAAAAAAAAAAAAGAGAGATCTAGACATATATTATTCACACCTATCTTTTTTTTTTTTTTTTTTTTTATTCTTTTTGAATTTTCTTAGCCAAAAAAGCCTATATCGACAACGTTGCTCATGCTTATGCTAAAATCCGCCCATATGAAGGGCCAACTGATTTCTTGTCCAGTAAGTGGTTAATACAATATTATTTCTTACAATTTTTATTTATTTTTTTTTATCTTTTTATTTAATATGATAGATCCAAGCACTCAAACACCTCGACGATCCATGAATTACGATACGAAACGACACAGTGGAATTGTACCCAAACCTTTGAAATGAAAGTATATGGATAACAAAAATAGTGTAGATTAGTGATTAGTTTTGGTCGTGATGACAATGATGAAAAACAATTCTTTTTTTTTTTTTTGGACACTCTCTTATATATATACACTTTGTTGAAAATAAATCTATATATTTACTGTTACTGGATAATGGATGATGGATGAATTTCTTTCTTCCTTTTTTTTTTTTTTTTTTTAGAAAAACAATTCTTTTTTTTTTTTTTGGACACTCTCTTATATCTATATATACACTTTGTTGAAAAAAATCTATATATTTACTGTTACTGGATAATGGATGATGGATGAATTTCTTTCTTTCTTTCTTTCTTTTTTTTTTTTTCTAAAAAAAAAAAAAAAAAAAAAAAAAAAAAGAGTGAATGGCTTTGCACGTACCATATTTTTTTTTTTTTTTTTTACATCTATTTGCTTATTCGTATGTATATTGATATATTTTTTTTTTTTTGTTCTTTACAAGAAAGGGTGATGTATGAATAAATGATGATTGAATAAAAGTGAATGACAAATAAATGACCTTGATAGCCAAGAGCATTATTATTGGTTGTTTATTGCCGACCGGCTATTTCTAGCCAATCAGAGTTGCGTATTTTCGGATTAGATTTATATAGGTCATATAAAATTTTTGTCGAAAATTAGCCATCATAGCGTAATGGATTAACGCACCGGACTCCTAATCCGGAGATTGCGGGTTCGAATCCCGTTGATGGTACTGTTAATCATCTATGAGGAAACTCAAGAGCATTTTGTTAAATTTTGAAAGCGGAGTGGAAAAAATCATTTTCAAGAAGAATTGGTCATGTTTAAAAAAAAAATATTGGCGGTCACCTCTTTCTTTTCTTTTTTTTTTTTTTTTTTTTTTTAATATTACAACGTTAGTTTACAATGACCTCTAAATCGTCAAGTAGAGGTGACTATATATGTCGAGTACGATACAGAAACCAGCTACCATCGATACCTTTTCCACCAAAACTACTTACTAGTCAACCTCTTGTTGCACGGAATGCTCAATATACAACTAACAGCTTGATTGAACAAACCCCCCATCTTTTGAATTTGGATTCTTCTTCTGGTATTCCTTTTGACAAGTTATTAGTGGATTATTTGGATATGATGGAAACGAACCCAGATGGTAAAGCAATCAGAAAGAGAGAGAACTTGGTCATCTTACTCACCTTTTTTTTTTTTTTTTAAAAAAAAAAAAAAAAAAAAAAAAAAAAAAAAAAAAAAAAAAAAAAAACTTTTTAGTTGTAAGAATGAATGCCAATGTTTCAGATGTTGATAAATTATTAATGACACCACCACGAGATGAAAAGGAACTTAATAAACAAGGACGAAAACCCAATGTGACCTGGTTACGACGCTCAGAATACATTGCGTCTACGGAACGAAAACAAAAACAAGCCAATGTACCAGAAATTCGCTCCAAGCTTAGTCAACAGGATATGGAAGCTCATACTTATCGAACACATCAAAGTCAAATGGAGGGAGTGGATGCGACATTTATTCGACATGATTTAACTACACTGCGCCATCCAAGGACGAAGAAACGAGCCAAGAAATTAACACCTATATTACCGGATATGACTTGTTGGGAGAATGTGTACACGATTGGACAGTTTCCTTCGGATCCTGCTGACAATCATCGACTGAATAAACGTCAACGCCTGGATGCATCATCAAAACAACCTAGTGAATTGGATGCTGCCGACCGTGGTATCTTGCGCCCTATTTCGAATCCACATGATCCAAATGACAGTTATTTGATTTGGTTCTTGCCTGATGAAGACAGCTCCAACGTATTGAAACAACAAAAGACTGACCCTCAACAAGTGCTAGACAAACCTCTCAACTTTGAAGCTGTTCGAGACTACACATATCGAAATGACAATGCACCTGGACATCAAAATCTATTATTGGTTTTACAACATGATGAACAGCAGCAACCTGTTATGTTATACAGTCTTGTGAAGAGCAAATTGGTGGCTCAGAAGAAACGTGCTTTGGTAAGTTTTTTTTTTTTTTTTTTTTTTTTTTTTTTTTTTTTTTGGATGTGGAGTAAAACAAATATTCATCCTTTCTTTTTTTTTTTTTTTTTCCTTCTCTCTTTATCATCATTTAGGCTCCACAATATAGATATATGAATGACTATGAAAAACCCAACGTACTTAGTGTGACATACCAATAGTCTTTATTTTTTTTTTTTTTTTGGTAGAAATACAAAGATTCATGAATGATGACAATAAAATATATTATTATTATTATTATTATTTTGAAAGATACAAAGATAGATAACTGAAATTGATTATATTTGATGTGTACAGATTGATATTTTTATTTTTTATTTTTATTTTTGAATGGTTTTTAAAAAAAAAAAAAATAATAACAGTAGGGAACTAAACTAGGAAGATTTAGTCTTGTTCTTGGTCTTCTTGGTCTTCTTGGTCTTTGTACTGGGAGATTGAGAGGGAGATAAGGATTCAGCGTTCAAATTGACGAATTCTTCTTCATCGTTTTCAGTTGTTTCCTTTGTCACTTTTTCATCCTGATCCTTGGTAGATTTCTTGGATTTCTTCTTGGTTTTTTCATCCGTCTTTTCTTCTTCGGTGGTGTATTGGAACACTTGAGAAAGTTCACCACGAATGGCAGCAGTGATCAATACAGAGAGAATGCAAGCAGGAGACAAGTATAACAAGGCAGGTTGGGCAGCATGGAAGATATGCATGACAGCCATGGTCGTCACCAATCCTAAAAAGTAAGCAATCAAACAAGATGTGAAATAAGGCTTGCTAAATTGAGTAGATCGGAAATCACCAGATGGATTCTTCTTCCAAGCCATATGTCGATCATATCTTAAACATAATGCAACGAAAATACCTACCAAAAAAAAAAAAAAAAAATCATGAATTTTCTCTATCTACTTTTTTTTTTTCTATCTTATATATATTACCAGGAATGACAATATCACCAAGACCAAGCATAGCAAAGGTTGTTTTTGTATCCGAGTTCAAAACATAATCAATGATATCACGAGGCCAGATCACCTTGATAGGAGCATCAAAACTCTTTGCAACACTAACCATCACTTCAGTACCAAACACCCAAAAGATATCATACAAGAAAAGACCACTGAGAAGGATCATACCAGTCTTGAAAGAATCCAACGACAATAATTGAATAGCATTGATGGAAAAGGCAAGACCAAAAGCATTAGAAGCAATCCAGTTCTTTGTCAATGAATAATAAACCGTCAATACCACAGAAGCCAAAAGTAAGAAAAGATGAACAATTGTCAATTTTAATCTAAAAACATCTAGAAATCCATCAATGAATATCATAACTCTCCCTTTTTTTTTTTTTTTTTTTTTACCTTTTCCTTTTGTACTAAATGTAAGTCTATAGGGTTGAATATGTTGAAGAAGAGATGTAGGAACTAATTTTTGTGCAAATAATAATCCAGTTTTTGCCATAGCCAAGGTACCCATCAATCCAAAATAAGCTGTGATCGCCAAATTGATATATTCCTTGTCCACATAACGGAAGATCAAGTAAAGAGAGAAGAGAGTGATAGATCCCATGATTGGAAACATCCAAGCATCGTTAGCACTAAGCGTTTCAGAGATACTTTCTTCATCATCAGAGTCTTCCAAAGGAGAGGTTGATTTCTTTTTGGGAGCATTCGCTGGTCGTTTCATACCTGATAGAGACGCGAAAGAACCAATATAAATAGGTACTACAGCCATTGTCAACAAGGCACCATAGGCTATCTTGAGTCCAAGTTCTTGTGTATCACTAGAACTCATTTTTTGCAGATTAAATAAAAAAAGAAAAAGAAAGAAAGTAAAAAAGAAAAGAAAGTAGAAAAGAAAAGAAAGTAGAAAAGAAAAGAAAGGAGGCTCAGGTTGATTTTTTTTTTCCTTTTTTTTTAAAAAAAATTAAGTGTGCAACGCAGCGCTCAGCTATTGGCTTAAAGCTGCTGCCTATTTTTTTTTTTTTTTTTTTATTTTTCTTAGCAAAAAGGTTGAGTTCTTGATGATCCGCCATTTTCATAACAGGAGTGCATTTGATCACTGTTTATGGTATTGCTTCGATTTTAAGGAGAAACATTTTTTAAATGATGATCAACTACAACAGATTTTTTTTTTGAAAAAAAAAAAAGAAATAATCAATTGTTTTATCAAGTTTACTTCAGGCATGAAAGGTAGGGTGAATAACCAAAAAAAAAAAAGGTGGTGATATCGGAGTGTGGAAGCACTTGTCTATCCTTCGGCAAAGGAACTAACCAGTTCTGAACAATCTCTTTTTGGTCTTTTTTTTTTATTATTATTATTATAATACTAATGAATTTGATATTTTGTTCGTCACATATTCGAAAACATGTAACCCTATGTTTAAAACGAACTTATTCTACCATTGAAATCAAAAGACAACAAGCTTTTCAAGGTGGTGGAAAAGAAAAACAACATGCTCAACACAACAAGGTAAAAGTTTTCTTCTCTCGTACTTGAATAATACTAACACCGTTTCCTTTTTTTTTGATAGGGAAAATTGACAGCTAGAGAACGGCTTACCTTATTACTCGATACGAATAGTTTTAGAGAATACGATACATTTGTCGAACATCAATGTCACGATTTCGGCATGCAGGATAAGAAATATGCAGGTGATGGAGTAGTCACTGGTCATGGAACAATTCATGGACGTCGAGTGTTTGTCTACAGTCAAGACTTTACTGTTTTAGGTGGAAGCTTATCCAAATCGAATGCTCAAAAAATATTAAAAATCATGGACCAGGCTATGGCAGTACGCGCTCCTATCATTGGTTTACAAGATTCTGGTGGTGCTCGTATACAAGAAGGTGTAGACTCTTTGGCTGGTTATGCTGATATATTTCAGGTAATAACAAAACATCATCATCATCATTACATAAAATATAGTATGATTCATTCTTATATATATATATAGAAAAATGTATTAGCTTCTGGTGTTATTCCTCAACTCTCTCTCATTATGGGACCATGTGCAGGTGGTGCAGTCTATTCCCCAGCTCTGACGGATTTTACATTTATGGTTCGAAATACTTCACATATGTTTGTTACTGGTCCTGATGTGGTGAAAGCTGTTACAAATGAAAATGTCTCTCAAGAAACTCTTGGTGGTGCCAAAACGCATACAACAAAGTCAGGTGTAGCTCATAATGATTTTGCAAATGACATTGAAGGTTTACAAGGGTATACAACAATTTATTAATGGTTGCAAACGTGTCATCTCATTTTTTTTTTTTTTTGGATTTATTTATTTGTAGGATGCGTGATCTTTTTGGTTATTTACCTTTACACAATCAAGATTCAATACCTACTCTACCATGTGATGATCCAATAGATCGTGCAGATCAAGCTCTAGATACCATTATTCCTAGTGATCCATTCAAAGCATATGATATGAGAGAAGTGGTAGATAGGGTAATGAATATATATCTCAGTATCTTTGAAAAAAAAAAAAAGATTCCTTATTTTTTTTTTAATCTTTAATGTAGATCGTTGATAGTCATTCATTTTTTGAAATTGCTCCCAAATTTGCCCAGAATATTATTGTAGGATTTGGTCGTCTTGGTGGACAATCTATTGGTGTCGTAGCGAATCAACCATTGATATCATCTGGTGCATTGGATATGGATGCATCGGTAAAAGCGGCAAGATTTATTCGATTCTGTGATGCTTTCAATATCCCTTTGGTGACTTTGGTAGATGTACCAGGATTCATGCCAGGCACTCAACAAGAACATGCAGGTATCATTCGACATGGAGCAAAATTGGTATATGCCTATTGTGAAGCTACTGTTCCCAAACTGACCGTCATCACAAGAAAGGCTTATGGAGGTGCTTATATTGTCATGAGCTCAAAACATTTACGTGGTGATTACAAGTAAGTATTATTAATATCAAACAAAAGTGAACTAACCTTTTTTTTTTTGATGGATAGTGTTGCTTGGCCATCTGCCGAAATTGCGGTGATGGGTGCTGCTGGTGCTGCTGATGTTGTGTTTAGGAACCATCCTGACAAGAAAGCAATGGAACAAGAATATAGGAACAAGTTTTCAACCCCTCTGATGGCAGCAAGTCGAGGTTATTTGGATGATATCATCGAGCCCAGGTAAATTAAATAAAAATCATTTGATTTATTTCCTTCCATGAATTAAATATATATATTTTATGATTAGATCTACAAGAACTAGATTGATTGAACAGTTGCAATTATTGAAAACCAAATCGATTCAAAATCCCTGGAAGAAACATGGCAGTATACCGTTATAATTGTAGATATATTATTTATTATTATTATTATTATTGGAAAATAAACGTTTTGACGATCTATTGGTCTTTTTAATATCAAGAGTTAATGTGATTGCTCATAGATTGGCGATGATGACGGGTTGATGGCACGATGAGTAAATAGTGATAAAAATAATGATATACAATACGGATATGAGTTTATTTGGAATAACAAAAAAAAAAAAGATTCTATTCTAATCTAGTACTGTATCCAAAAAGTGTCTAACAACCGTTTCACCATCTGGTGTCGTATGTATGTTTTGCCTACAAATGATACTGCCATGAGCATTGAATGAGTGTATACAGACAAGAACCGTTTGCCAAGGTAGTTGAGATAAGTTCTTTTGAATGTCCATGACGCAGGGATCAAACTTGAATTCCGGATATTTCTTCTTCAAAGATTCAGACGGTATGACATTACACCAATTACCTATAAACAATAATAACAACATGGAAGAAAGAAATAAAAAAAAAATAAGTAAGATATCTCATTCGTTCCTTTTTTTTTCTCTTTGCAATCTTACCTAGTCGATGTGGGGAAAGATGTTCTGTGGGATCTTGAACGTTAGCCGAAATATTGATAGCATCCAAAGTTCCAGATAATACAGGATTTTCATTGTCTTGATCAATGGTGGCGTCGGATGATGTTGATCGTGATGATATTGCTGGATGATCGGTAGGAGAAGATTTGGAAACACCAGAAATTGCTAAGGATGAGTTGAGGATTTTGGCGACACGATATCGAGAGATAACACCTTGAGATCCAATGTAGATGATGGCAAAAAGCGCGAATATAGGGAAAACAATAGGTGCCAAAACATAAAAAACTGCTTTCCAAAGATATTTTTTCTTTGAATGTTTCATCTTTTTCGATTTATCGGCGATATCATAACCAGTAATGATGGCTTTGTAATCTTGATCAAGGGCACTACAAATATTAGATTAGATAAAGGAATATATATATATATCAACTATGAATCCAGGAGTATTTTCAAACTTACATATCAATTTTTTCTAGTTCTGAAAAATAGTTCCCCGTTGTCATTGCCGCTTTCAAACCAAAAAAAAAAAAAAAAAAAAAAAAAAGTGAGCGTTCATATTTTGTCCTTTTCCCTACTTTTATATAGTGTTTTCTTAATTTACCAGTCCAATATGGTACAGTACGATCATTCTTAACATTGGCATAGGTTCGAATAATTTCAAATTTTTCAAGTGCCTGGTAATAAGGTTGATCTAAGAAAAAAAAAGTCAGCTTGATCATTTTTACAAAAAAGATAAGGTTTTTTTTTTTTTTTAATACCTGGCGAAGCCAAGACACAGAGCAACGGCAAATTTTTATCAAACTTGTCAATTAATTGTAGTTGTTCACCAGTCCGAGATACCAATCGACCACTAAAGAAATTGAAAGCTTTGGAAAAGAAGGATGTTTTTGGTCGTCGAACGCCCATATGTGGTGTTGCAAAAGTAACGAAAAACTAAAACAAAGGTTTAATAGATAAACGTCTCCTTTTATTTTCTTTACTGTTTCTTACCACTGGCTTTATAGTATTGAAAAATCCATCCTTGTACAGTAATCCCAAAGCATACCGAGATATCAATCCACCCAAAGAATAACCAACCATACTAAGCTTTCTGACTATCTTATCTTCCTTGGCAAGTTCATTCACCAATGTTTGAATCTATCAACATAAAGTGAATGAATTAGTTAATAAATGTCATTCTTCAAAAAGCATGTCCCTTTTTTTTTTTTTGTGCTTTATATATATATATATATACCTTCTTTGCTAGTCGTTCACCACACAAGTCTATCCCATCGTAAGTATATTTGCCTTCATTGACTTTGGAATTGAACTACACGGATAAAATATAACCGAAGAAAACCAGCTGAGTAACTGACCAACCTCCCCTCTTTCTTTCACTTACTATTTCGAATGGTTGATCCTTCAGGTGTTTGTGTAGGTTTTCTTCAATATAGTTCATATGTGAACTTACACCCCATAAGCCATGTTGAAGTACGATGAGAGTAATGTCAGGCATGTTGAAATTTCATGTACAACACAAAGAAAAAAAAAAAAAAAGAAAGAAAGAAAGAAGAGTAGAACTTCCAAAATGGGCTGCTATTTATCCCAGAATTGATTGAAATGCCGCAGAAATCCTGCTGTATTGAATGTATGTCAAAATTTAGAGGCATTTTACTTAGTTTTTTTCATAGACACCTTATCTATGTTGATTAGAAAACAAATAAACGTAATTCACAAGAAAAAATCCAGTAATAAAGTTTTTATTAACAAAAATAACTATTGCATACGTATCTAATCTACTTTGATGCTACCAAAGATCTTGCGTACAAATAAGAGACAAGACAAATAACCAGTGGCACCAGTAAGAAGAGCCAACAAGACACTGATGATAGCAGAATAACCCAGGTATAGAATGGTACTTGTAATTGTATTGATATCCAACTTTGTAAGATAATACAAAATGGAATATAGATAGACATAGAAACCACAAGCAGCAGAAGTCAAGAAAGCACGCCATGACCAATGATAATCTTCATTACACAAATGGAAGTAACACATCAATACAGTGACTTGAGCACAGGTCAAAAGAAGAACACCAAAGACCAAGAACAAGAACCCAATACCATAATAAATACGATGGAACCAAATACTATTCATTACAAAGTATAATTCAATGAAGATAGCACAAAAGGGAAGAATACCTCCCATAAGGATGGATGGAATGCTTCGAAGGTAGAGAGGTTGATCAGGAATTTGTCTTGGGATTTGATTTGTACGGACAGGATGTTCAATACGAGGTTTTCGGAATCCAATGTATGAGCCAGTAACATTCAAAGGTAAAGCAATAATTACCCAAAGACCTAACACTGCCAACATAGTTCCAAAAGGCACAGCACCTGAAGAATCAGAGCCAATCAAAAAGAAATTCAATCCTGTCAAACTACCCATGATGATACTATACAAAAAAAAAAAAAAGTAAGCAACAAACATCTTTTTATTTGTTGTTCAATATCCTTACCCAGGGAACAGAGTTGAGGATAACAAGATATTCATTTTCCAAGCTTCACCACCATTCATCTTGTAAATGCGAGCGGAAGTGTACCCAGAAATACAACTGAATACCATAAAGAAGATTACCATCATTGTACCAAGGGACCCACGATTTGAAGGAGAAAGGAATCCAAGAACAGCAAAGACTAAAAATAGTAAAATGAAGTTTAGTATTGTTTATCATCAGTTGATAATACTCAAATAATTTTGTTTTCTAAATATTACCCAAAGTCAATCCAGTCATAGCAATTAATTGAGAACCACTACCAACAAGAACTGATAGAAGCATAGGTCGAGTAGGAGGACGGAATACATCACCATGAACCAACTTCCATCCATAATCTTCTTGGACATCTTCCTAATTATTTTTTCAAAACAAAAAAAAAAAAAAAAACAATAGATAAGTCAATCTGTTGTTTAAATATATATATATATATATAGACATACCTGAGCATCAATGGCATTATAACGAGAGATATCCTTATGTAAAGCACGTAATAAGATCATAGCCACCATACCAGTCAAGAAAAGAACAATGACAATCGAGTTGACAAGAGAAAACCAATGAATAGAAGGATCCAAAATATGAAGATAACTATCCCATCTTGTGGCCCAAGCGGTTTTAGAAGGCTATAAATAGAAATAATTCAATAAAGTCATATCTTCCCAAAAATAAAAAAAAAGTTACTTACAGTCCAGATAACTTGATATGTGTATGCAACTCTGTCAGTACCGTCTTCTTTCAAATGGAAAGCAACATCTTCAGTACTACACTTTGCACTCTTTCCATCAGCAGAGATTTCATGGTCTCTACTGTAAGGATATACCAACACACCAACCACACGATTCTTGTTTTCACCACGTTTGTGATAACGAATGTCGATAACAAAATGATTGTTGAGAGCAGGTTTGGTATCAGCCATAGTTCCCAATTCAAATCCAATACGATAAAAGTTTTCACTAGTATGTTCATCCGTCACTTCGTAGGCAATAGGTAATCCGTCCACCACACCGTTAACACCATAATCGTCAGCAATACGTTCATTGATAAATTGAGCATCTTCCTTTGGAATAGGTTCAGTAACACATAAAAGTTTACATGAAGAAGTTTCTTCACCCATTTTTAACTATTTCATCATTTTAAATAATAATAATATTTTTCTTTTTTAGTACATCAAAGATAAGACTAATTTTTTTTTTTTACTTACTTCAAAAGGAGAAGTGAAGATACGATCACCAAATAAGATACTACCTAAACTTTCCGTTTGCTTTTGAGGTCCATCTTTAGGTCGACAAAAATGAAAGCGATCAAAATAATAATCATAAGAGATCACAGACTTCACACGAGAGTTGGACATGGGTGTAAGAGAATTGACATATAAAGGTACAGTTTCACCATCAGCGTAATCATGAGGAGCTACACCAGGTAAATAGAAAGCTTGACTAACTCCAAATAAGACTGCTAAGACAAGTAATTGTCTATAAAGCATTTCTTTTATTGTCATAACCACAAAAGATGAGGTAAAAAAAAAAATAGATGAAGGAAAAAGCTAAACTGGAAAGAAAAGTAAATGAAATAAAAAATAAAAAAAGGCTAAAAATAAAATAAAAACTTTAGCCAATCCGGTCATCAGCTTTTCTTTCCTACAGTTGAATGTGGATCACATAGCCCGGTTGAGCGGTACTTCAATTATGTATTCCTTTTTTTGGACGAGTTGACATCAGGAAAGGACTTCTTCAGCATTCCATATCCTATCATATCAACATGAAGTAAAGATAATTGAAAATTACACCCATCCATCCATCCATCCATCCATCCATCCATTTATCCTTATGATTTTAACATAATACCTTTTTTTTTTTGTTTGATATTTAGGCTCGAGATTTGCTCCTTCTCTGGATTCAAAATCTATCCTGCCAAGGGTAAGACCTACGTCCGTATTGATAGCAGGTAAAGAACCTGAATGTCGTGTAATACAATTGAATGGTTTTAACTCTTTACTTTTTTTTTTGTTTTTATAGAGTACGTATTAAAACGCGATAAAACGATGAATGGAATAGAAAACGATGCTCACCACTCCTTTTATATTCTTTTTAGACCTTCAAATTTATCAATGGTAAGGCCGAATCTTACTTCCTTCAACGTTTGAACCCTCGCAAGATTCGATGGACCACCATTTATCGTCGTTTGAACAAGAAGGGTGTTACTGAAGAAGTCGCCAAGAAGCGTTCTCGTCGTACTGTCAAGCATGAACGTGCTATTGCTGGTGCCTCTTGGGATGCCATTCGTGCCAAACGTAACCAAAAGCCTGATGTTCGTGCTGCTGCCCGTCAAGCTGCTATTGCCAAGTCTAAGGAAAGCAAGAAGGCTGCTCAAGCTGCTAAGAAAGCTTAAATCATTTATTGGATTGCTCTTTCTCTCTCTATCTCTCTCCCTTTGCCTTTCTATCTCTGTATTAAAATATGCCTATGGACATTTTCGATCCCGCACCTTATTTTTTTTTTTTTTTGTGAATAAAAAAAATTTCAAATTTTCCTTTTCCCCTTTTCTCTTTCTTGTTCTTTCGTCCTTTTTTTTTTTTTAATAAAATGACTTCTCCCGTTGATCAGTTTCGATTATGTCCTGTAGGTTTATTAACCAACGAATATTATGATAACATCGATACATTTGTTCAAGAAGCTTCTGAAGCTGGACATGATTTCGTAGCTACTCCTATGGCTCATCCAAGTTTCCGTCGCGTACTTCATGAAGATAAAAAGGATATCAACAAGTCTGCCATAGATCAATGGCGCAATGCTCCCGTATTTGATCGTCAAGATCTTATCCTTCAGTCAGCTGGTAATATATATATAAACGTAGATTGGATCAGATCTTTACAACCAACGTAAAATTATCTTTTGTATATACATAGGTTGTTCAGATATTGTAGTTGGTATGTTAGCTGAATGGTTACAACTTGATTCTATCGATGAATCTATTCGAGTCAACTCTGAATTGGTAGGCTGAAAACAATGAATTTTACAATAAAAAGAATGAACCATTCTCATTTATTTATTATTTTAGGCATTGAAACAAGAACTGGCGTGGGCAAGTCATCTGGGTCTACTTTCTGTCATTTATCCTGGATTACCAAAAGGTGCCCTGTCAAACACTGCACGTGCTATTAATCATGCGACTGGCTCACTATCATTCACTCAAGTAATGCATTATTACCAAAAAAAAAAAAATATAACATACAGATAAGACCCATTATATTTATAGTACCTTTATTCTTTTCAATCAATAGTTATGGGTTCGAATACCTATCAGTGACACAGAGAATATGGAAAAAAACAGTACTTGGAAACAATGGAACAAACTTCGCATGCTGACGGAACAAAATACCAAAATCTATGTTGCATTGGAACTCACTGAAGACCTTCCTCATGATGATATACTAGATATGTGGCTTGCTGAACCTGTCAAAGCATTGATCGTCCCAGCGGAAGTGTTTATCCCCAATGCCAAAGGCTTTCCTGTATTACCAAAACGTCATCAAGCATTTGTGAAAAAGGTTATGGATAAGGTATGTTACTATAATTCACAACAAACGACATACCGTAACTGATATCGTTTATTTCTATAGTTACGGCCAAATATACTTGTCACCGTTCCAATTGTTCATATTCATGCTAGTGCTACCCCATCTACCTACCAAGAATATATCAGGTACTTGAATCGAAATCTACCCGAATTGGATCAGGTCAATCAATTTGCTACTGGTTATCAAGATTATCTTCAGGCACCTTTACAACCATTGATGGATAATTTGGACAATAATACTTACGAAACATTTGAAAAGGATCCCATCAAATATCAACAATACGAACAGGCAAGTACGCAATCATACTTTATTTTTGGAAATACTTATTAACACTCATCTTTTAGGCTGTGTACCGTGCCTTACTGGATCGTGTTGAACCCGAGTCTGACATTACTACGTAAGTGTATATATATATATATATATATATACTTCTTTTGTCGTTTATATACTTAAATATTATATTTGTATGCTATGATGATCTTTTTTATAGTATGATCATGGTGGTTGGTGCTGGTCGTGGTCCTTTGGTAGATTGTTGCTTGAGAGCTGCTTCCAAATCTGGGCGCAAGATCCATTTATATGCTGTTGAAAAGAATCCAAATGCCTTTGTCACGTAAGTTATTATTATTTTTTTTGAATACAAATAAAAAAATGATCATCATTTTTTTAATACTGGATATTTATCATCTTAAATTCTAGATTACAAAATAAGAAAGCAAACGAATGGCACGAAAAAGTGGAACTAGTGTTTGCAGATATGCGCAAATGGAAACCGTCAAAAAAATGTGATATTCTTGTTAGTGAATTACTGGGTTCTTTTGGTGACAATGAATTATCTCCTGAATGTTTGGATGGTGCTCAAAAGTTTTTGAAAGGTAAAAACAGAAAAAGAAGAAAAAAAAAAGGACAAGCTGATGAAATGTGACGCATATTAAACTTTTTTTTTTTTTTTAGATGATGGTATCTCTATCCCTGCAAACTATACGACATTTGCAGCACCACTGGCATCTACCAAACTCTACAACGAGGTGGCGGCTTATAAGGATTTAGAGCACTTTGAAACACCATATGTAGTGATGTTCCAACAAGTATGTGAACTTGGCCCTTCTCAACCTCTTTGGACATTTGAACATCCTAATCACAACTATCCTACGATGGACGATGATCCGATCAACAACCTTCACAATATTCGATATAGCCAGACCAAATTTACTGTGGACAAGACAATGACAATGCATGGTGTGGCTGGATACTTTGAATCCGTACTTTACAAAGATGTGACGATTTCCATTCATCCCGATACCCATTCTCCTGGTATGTTTAGTTGGTTCCCAATCTTCTTCCCTATCAGAACACCATTACAAGTTCCTCAAGGTGCACAAGTATGCTTGGACTTTTGGCGACAAACGGACAAGAAGAAAATATGGTACGAATGGGCGGTAACGATCTCCAAGGACAATGAAGATTTGGCCATTACACCAATTCACAATGTTGGAGGACGATCATACTGGGTTGGATTATAATCATATTAGATAGTATCTCATTTTATTTGATCATTATTATTTTCATCATTGACTTTATTTTGTTTTATTTATTTATTTTATCATTGTTTTTTTTTTTTTTTTGTACCTTATTCATTTAGCATGTTTCAATAAAAACAAAACAAATCTAGACAACCACTTATCTTCTTCCTTTTTGTGTTATCATTTTCATTGTCATTACATGTTATTATTAAAGGCATCATGGATTCATAAAAAATCAACTCAACTTAAGACTGTCTACACTAAAAAAAAAAAAAAAAAAAAAAAAAAAAAGAGTAGAAGAGCATGAGATATCCAAAAAAGGCAACACATATATGATATGGTAAGATAAACTTAATGGTCTTTTTCTTTTATTAATGGGTTGTATTAAATGCTTCAATAGAGATAAATGGACTAATAGATAATAATAATTACAATATAATAATAAATAGTAATAAATAATAATATCAAATATAACTAACTACCTTAATCCTATCCTAAGGCTTGATCTTGTTCCAATTGTATCGCGGATGCCGTTGCAGCTGCCACAATCCATTCAAAAGAATCCGATGGCAAGTTCAATGGAGGTAATAAGGTGGACATGGAAGTAGGCTGAGATATTGATGAATCAGTTGCCGGCATTCTTGTTCTTTGATAATGGATCTTCCAGCAAGCAGTAGAGCAGAGTGAGACCTTGCAGACAACGGAAGTATAAGTTTGATACGCCCTGACTTGGATAGCCGAAAGCCATTCGATAACGCAGGACTTGCCACACACATCACAAGGATTGCCAGTTTTCAAATCATCAAGGATGGAGCTTGGTATATTGTTGTAATCGTTGTTTTCTTTATGTTGGAGGTCCATAATGTAACGCATCGTCAATTCCCGTAAAGAAGGAATCCATGATTCCCCCTTTTCTGTAACAATCCAATCTTGCAATCGATCTTGTTGATCATTCAGTACAAAAAGAGGTAATCCATTGGTTGTTTGATGATCGATACGAGGACTAGATTGATTCAACAGATCAATAAGAGCCATATCCATATAAAAATCATAATGAGGTGTAGAATAGACTGCCATTTTCGAGAGATCACGTAATCGTTCAGCATATATCGTGGTTGATTTTCGATGATATTCCAAAGCAGGATTGCCGGTCAGAATCACACGAATACAGCTATCCAGAACAGAGGTGGGTACAATGTAGATGTTGTTGTTACTGACATTGAGAACACGAAGAGATCGATCATCACCATAAAAGCCATGTAGAAACGGTAAGAAAGCCAATCGATTCGAAGCCATATCAAGAGTCACTAGATCTGGACATTGTAGTAACAGGTCATGCGGTATATCTTTCAAGTAATTTCCTGGCATCTTGAGATGTTTCAAACCAAGTGGTAGATGATTAGGCCATGATTGTAATTGATTATTCGATACATCCAATTCCTTGAGTTGTATCATTCCCATAAGATCATCAGGTAAAGATTCCAACCGATTCCCACCGCATTCAGATCCTAACTGCAAAAAAGTCATATCTTGCCACATCGCTATTTTGTCATCAAGTCTTTCTAGTCGGTTGCCACTCGCTCGTAATGTTCGCAGGTGTGGTAATACCATAGGAAGTGAATCCAAATCCACCAACTGATTTTCAGTGATATCCAAATGTTGTATTGTCGGCAAGTTATTTAAAACAGAGTATGGTAACTGAGTGAAGAGATTACAAGCAAGATTCAATTGACGAAGACTACAGAGTTGGTTCATGGCCAAAGGTAAATCAGATAGATTGTTTCTTGATAAATCCAATTCGACAAGAAAATGAGACATATTTGTAAAGGAAGATAAGTATGGTAATATATCTTTGGGTTGTTCAAGATGTTGTCGACGTAAGTTCAAGCAATCCAGAAAACTAGGGCATTCTTCTTCAGTAGGAATATGTTCACCATTAGCAGATAAAGAAGACAAACTAACCTTAGTATCATGCGTACCAACACCGTGTAGTATTTCACCATTCATTAAATAAGATGGAGACATAATGAAAGGGAAAAAGATAAAAAAAAAAAAAAAGTAAAAAGTAAAATAATGCACTGAAAAAAGAAAAAAAAAATAGAAAATTCTCTCTTTTTTTTTTAAGTTCAAACCCCTCGCCATGCATTAGATATGCTTGCTGTTGTTTCTTTGATGTATAAAAAGAAAACTTGTTAAAGTTTCCGAAAAATCACTTATTTCTCTATATTCAATTTTCATATAATCTATAAAATCATCTCTTCTTTTTCAATATGTTCTCATTTTTCTATATCCTATATAATATCATCAGTAGTAGATAGATGCAAGGAAAAAAAAAAAAAGTGGATTCATCGGGACTTCAAATGTGGCCTGTCTGTGTGTATGAAAAAAAAAAAAAAAAAAAAAAAAAAAAAACATCGACTTTGTCTTCTTGCTCGGTAACTTTTTTTGTACTTTTTTTTTTTGACATGATAATAATGAAATTTGGGGTCGGCAGTATACGAAGGATTGGACGGTTTTATTCTACTAATAACACAGTGACGGATAAAGTACGATCTATGATGCGAAAGGTACCTCAACCTGTAGTAGTAGTGACAACAGCAGAACAGAACGAACCTAGTCATCGACGTGGTATTACAGTTTCTTCGTTTACTTCACTTTGTCTTCATCCTGAACCTATGGTATCTTTTTGTGTACGTATTCCTTCAAGAGCTTCTGATGTATTACATTCTTCTGGTAGTATGGTTGTCAATATGCTTAGTCGAGAACAAGTATCACAATCGATTGCGTTTTCATCACCACAAGCCGAACAATTCAAGGATATTCCATATTACGACGATTCAGCTACAGGTCTACCGGTATTAATGGGTACTTTGGGATCTATGCATTGTAATAAAGTACAAGTAATAAAGACAGGTGATCATGAACTTTGGATTGCTCGAGTGATCAAGGTAGAAGAAGGAGTAGGCGGACAACGTGGTACACGACAAGAAGCGCAACCATTATTATATTATGAACGTGGTTATCGAGCTGTTGGTGAAGAAATATTTATGAATGCATATGAAAATTGTACACTGGATACTAGACATTGGATGCACCGGGCACATTTACGAATGGCATGGAATTATTTACGAGAAACAGGGGATACAAACAAAGCAACATCACTGATCAAACATCAATTGAAAATTCATTTTGCCAAGAATGAACAACTTGAATATCATGAAACAATTACTAGTTTTTATATTTATTTAATAGATTTAGCGATCAAGACCAATAGAAGTAAGGATAAGGATGATTTTTTTGAATTGATGGAACGATATCCAATATTAACAGATCGACAATCTATACAACACTATTATTCCCCACAATTATTAAAATCAGAATTAGCTAAATCCACTTTTGTTTTACCTGATTTAAAACCTTTACCCTTAGAATTAATAGATGACAATCATAATAATAAAGAACATTGATTTTTTTTTGTTTTTTAATATTTCAGGGCTGAGTCTTTATTGTTACACATTCCCCTTCTTTTTTTTTTCATTTTCATCCCAATATTATTTTTTCTAGTCTTCTTTTTATTTTTTATTTTTTTCTATCTCTTTTCTTTTATTTTCTATCTTTCTTTTTCTTCTTTTCCAAAAACCTTCTTTTTTTTTCTTCTTCTTCATTCATTGGTCTTCTTTTAGTTTATTTGAATGGCGTTGGTATCTCCTCAAGATGTAAGTATACGTCTTGCTTTGGATGAAAAAAAACCTTATTTTCCTGGTGAACATATTCGCGGTACAGTTTTATTGGCCTGTCCTCGAGCCGTCAGTCCTCATGGTATTCGTTTGATATGGGCTGGTGGTGTGACTATTCGACCTTCTCCTCAAGATCAAGAAAATTACTTGTATTTTAGACGAAACTACGCTATCAACAACGACAAGATGGAAGGGAAAAAAGTAAGCAATGGTGTTGCTTACAAGTCATCAGCTTTTGTGGAAAATCAGGATACAACTACACCTCTTTATTTTGTTATGGAACAATCTGTTACTTATTCTTTTGCTTTTGACGTTAAAGTACCTATTGACGTACCATTACCAAGTAGTACTGAGGTAAAACTAAAAAAAAAAAAAAAAAAAAAATTCTTATGATTACTTATATATTTGTTTGATCTAGGCTGAAGCTTCAATGTTGGGTGGGAAAATTGTTTATACTATTGAATGTTGTTTAGATTTGATTATGAATGATCCTCATCCTGCAAGAGCTCATACTATGGTGACTGTATTGGAAAATATGAATGTTGGTATACCTGAATTGGCTGTACCTAGAACTGTTGAATCTGTTTATGCTTTATGGTTAACTGGTAATTCCAAGTCAAATCAATGTGATTATAGAACTGCAATGCGTGCTACTCTGCCTGTTCAAGCTTGTGCAAGAGGTAATGTATATATATATATATATTATAAAAGATTTGATCTCATTCCTTTTTTTTTTTTTTATTTTTTATTCGATTACTATAGGTGATAATCTCACTATTGTTATCCATGTTTGGCACAGTGCTGAATTTCAACGACCTAAAGGTGTTACTGTTAGTCTTGTTCGCTTACGTCAATTACATTATCATGGAAGGTAAATGATATCATAGTTTGATTTGATTATTTACATTTATTTATTTATTTATTTTTTTTTTGTTATTTAGTGATTACGCATTCCCGGACGAAACCATTCTTTCCATGAGGGCTGATGTGGATCTACGGCAAGAAAAACGCTATGTACAAACCTTAAACTGTTGTCTACCTATTCGACCAGATATCACTCCCAGTATCGGCGCAATTGCAAAACTTTTGGAAATCTCTTACAAGATACATATCAAGGTGCAACTACAAGAAGGAACTTATCAAACTCCAGCAGGTGATACTCAAAGCTTTATGTCTGTTGAAATTCCTCTCCTTATTGGTACGGTACCTCTAATAAAAGGCAAGAAAAAGGTCATACCACGCAAAAATGTGCCACAACCAATCACCCCCGAATCAAAGAAAAGTGATGGATCAAAGGGTAACGATAATCAATCAGTGGGGTCATCAGATACAAAGAAGAAACAAAGTTATTTTGGTCGAAAATCATCGAAGCAGGAAGAGAAAAAGGATGGAACACTTCGAAGGATTATTCCCAGCATGTTCAAGAAACCTAAACCATCTAATGATACAGCAACTGAAATTAGCAGTACTCATTCCAACAACCATGCTGATGATGAACCTATTCAAAACAATAGCGGTATATCCTCAGCGAAGAACACTGATTACGACCAACGCAATTCTTACCACAATGGTTCTCAACATTCTCAATCGATCTCATCACCAAGAACAGAAGATATTAAACTTACGAGTCAATTACAAGGTATGCAAATTGGAAACCAACCTACCAAAGCCACGGATTCGGAAATGGAACTCAAACCTGATGAAATAGACGATGAGATATATGATCTGGAATATCTGGCAGCAATCAACAAGGCGAAAGAGGCTAACCGTCTGGACTCAATCAAGGATGCATCATCGACTGGTCTCCCTGGAAATGATTCACTACCACAAAACTCTGTTACTTCCAACAGTAATGATGAAGAGACAGGCGTTAAATATCACAGCATTCTCCCATCATCCGAGGACGAAGATGCAGGTGTCGATTATCACAACATTTTCCCATCATCCGATGACGAGGACTACGAACTAGACGACATTACTGACAAAGTTGACAATGAACAAACCATAAAGAACGAAACAACAAGTAACAATGACAATAACCCCTTGGAATCCCATTTAGTCACTACTGTCTCATCTGATGAAGAAGATAACAGCAATATGAAAAGCAACAATATGCACCACATTAATAATACCAGCGAAAATACCAACACCAGCCATTTGAACACACGTACTCTGGAAGATACAAGCGTCATCAAACCCACTGAAATTGAAGAATTGCAAAAGGATACACCACCATCCACCAGTTATTATCACCAACAACTTCCTTCGCCACCACCAGATAGGGTACAGCATCAATTCAGAGGTTTGGACGATGATTTCAATAGCGACAGCGATGATGAATTTGATAACTCACCACTGAATCTATTATCAAGAAAAATACGCCAAAATCGACAGTAGGATTACCTTTTATATATTTTAGTATTATTTATTTATTTATTTATTATTTATTTATTCACATGTATTAGATAGTACATATATTTGGCTGGATGATCTTGTCAATATGTTGTCTCTTTTTCTTTTATCAACTTTTTAGTGTAGTTGTTTAATACTTTTATTTCTTTTTTTTTTTTTTATCTTTTTTGTGTGATTATACTACTCTACTCATTCATATACTTTTGTTTTTAAATTGTTTGTTTTACAATGTCTTCTTCCCTTAAATGAATAATAAAAATAAACCATTATCATACCAATACAACTCCTTCCTTTTTTTTTTAATATGACCAGTGGATTAGCATATGATTTCTCTGTTTATGTGCTTCTTTTTTTTTTTTTTTTTTTTACGGCCGTTCGCACGAAATATATCTATATTGACCTGTCTAGGTGCATAATGTGGGCTTTGATTTGTCAACGAGATTACCAAAGATGGATATTTGGTGTTATCACCGTCAAGATCCTTTTCCTTTTTTTTTTTTTTGGTCATCATGTGATATATATTTATCTTTTTTTTATTGTTATTATTTTCATTGTAGATTCTACCAAACCATGGATGTATCATATGTGCTATCACACTAGATTGATACGACTTAGTACAAAAAAAAAAAAAAAAGATAGGTTCAAACTAATAAATTCTCGGCATCATCCCTGATTTAATATTTTTTCCCCTTATCATACCAATGAAATTGGTTGGGGCAAAATAAATAAATACCCAATTATGAGATTGAATGTAGCTCTATTTATCAAGAAAGTATCTTTACTCAAAAAATCAAAAATGAAAGAGTTGGTGATTGTATTTCTAGATGATCGTTATGATGGGAGTATATCGAACGTGATACTGGGTTTATCTTAATGACTAGCATGATGTTTACTTTTTTAAGAGAGGGGTCTATAGTTAAAAATCAAATTCAACATGGGTTTTAATCCGATATCATCAGTTAATATGAACTTGACTAAATGTATCAAGGCTATACCTGTTTTCTTTTTCTTCATACAAAAGAATTCTTCCCAATGGGAGAGATACGGTGTTCTAAACCCGTACGTCATTTTTTTTTAAGAGGTTTGTCCGCCTTTTTGGCTGCTTGGGGAGCTGTAATTTTTTTTTTTTTTTACCATTTTTGTTTTTATTAGTTCATTTCCTTTTTTTTTTTTTTTTTTTTTTTCTCTACTACGGTCTGGTTTACCTAAAAGGTATATCTTGAATCCACCTTTATAGGCCAAAAAAAATAACGCGAACAACAGCGACCATTTACTTTTTATACCGACATTAAGAACATGAACAATCCTCAAGGTCCAGATAATACTCATCAATATGTACAAAGTCATCTGATGCATAACACCAAACAATTACAATATATTCGATCGTGTTTTGCTGCGATTGCTGGAGCGGCCGCTGGTATTTTAGGACTCACAAACTGGTCTGGTTTCCTGTTTTATGCGCTTTCTTGGTCTGTCCTGTGCATTCTGTTATTACTCATCAAAACGTCATCACCGTCGCAGCACTTTGTAAGTGGTTGGAGGGATATCGTCATCAATGGGGCTATGAATGGATTATTATCATATACTTTATTTCATACGTTACTTTATGGTCTTGTACATTTATATCAATAAACTTGTTTTTTTTTTTATGAAATCTTTTTAAATATCTATCAATGTTATGTGCACGGAACAAATGATCATGTTGATATTTTATTAATGAATGTGATGATGTGTCTGTGATGATGATGGTTTCTATGGTGATATATCTAATAAAGCAATTCATCATTTTTTTTTTCTAATAGATAGATGAATTCATGTGACTCGTTCATTGAATATACTGTATAGATGCATATTCTTTTATAGGATTGATATCGATCGATTTGATAGAGCAAAAAAGTGAGGTTAAGGGGAAACCATATTTGGAAAAAATGATTTGATTGGCTCTTTTTCAAATGATGTTAATAGTATAAGCCTCTTTTTTTAGATTTCCCAGCCGCAGCAAATGAGGGGGGGATGATAGTTTTTACGAAAGGTTTTTTTGTGTGATATGAATGGCGAAGCGGCAGGTTACGTGTGAAGCTGAGTTTCATTTTTGTCCTGTGCTCAACAAAATCAATTTTTTTCTCTACGGGAGTCCTTCTTTTCCCTCTTCTTTAGTATTTTCTATTATTTCAGCATGTCTTTCAAACAATAACTTCATAGCGATTCTATCGAATTCTTTTTTTTTTTTACTACCAACAACAACAAACTTACCTTTTTTTATATCTTTTTTATACGACTTTTTCCCAACTTCCCTTTAAAACCAATACAACAAATCAACAACTCTTTTATATTTTTCTTATTATTTTTTTTTTTTTTACTTTCTCTCTGCTACAAACGTTTTTTTTTTTCTTACACAATCTGCTGACCACGGTCTTCATTTGAATACAACAAACTCAACAAACGCTCTTCTACTTCTGAAAACCTTCCCCCTTTCTTTTATATACATATCATTTATATATATAAAAAAATGGTCCTTTCAGATGGACTTCCTCATCCGATACCTACCGCTACGCTAGCGGCCTTTGATCCGCCAAGCTATCTTCAACAACATCATTCAAGTGAACCAACTTTCTACTGCCTCAATAACAACAACAATAACAACAATAACAAGAGCAATCCTATTACCGCGATTGCCACTCCAGAAGATGAACAACATTTACCTTGCGACCAATATAAAGAATTTTTGGATGCTTCTCACAACGAACGTGTGGATATGATTGACAATTTAGTGGGTAATGATAAACAAAGAAATAAAGTGATCATCCTTACATAAAGAAATGAATGATGATTCTATTATCTTTTATGATATGGATAGTTCACTGAATTCCTTTTTTTTTTTTTTGTAGATGTCTCTGTAGACATTATTGATTCTATTTGGCCTACACCATGTCATGCTAAGGTGGTTGCTACTAAAGGATTTATCCGGGAAATTCTCAAACGATCCAAAACGACCTATTTTATGCTTCAAATCAGTCTCTTCTATATCTTTCGTGTTAAACGTGTAGTGCAAGCAAAGCTTCGTATGCCTGCTGGTGAACGACGATACAAGGATGATCTTATGTGTTGTGGCCGACGTATGTTTCTTGCTTCTCTTATGGTGGCCTCCAAATATATTCATGATAAAAGTTATCGAAACAAAGCTTGGGCTGATGCTTCTGGTTTGACCTTGGAAGAAATCAATGCTTCAGAGTCAGTCTTTTTGCAAATGATCGATTATCGTTTATATGTTAGCAAACCAACTTTTGAAAAATGGTATGGAGTCCTCAATCAACGCTTGAAACAACGAAAGCAACAACATCAACAATCAGATATACAACGATATACTCCCCCATCACCTCCTGCTTCAAGTACACCAGTGGCATCTCTACCACGTCATGCTCGATCGTTACCGACAGTGACTCAACAACAACGCCATGCTCGTCTTCATCATCCTTATCTTACTCCTCAACACTCACACTTTATTCACTCATCATCAGTCGACAAAAGTGGACTGAAATCACTGGAATAGGTCTTTGCTTCTCTTTTTTATAGTTTTATAGTTATTATTTTTATTATTTTTATTATTATTATTATTATTATTATTACCATTCGAAATCAAATAAATAACATGTCTTTTTTTCTTTTTATTCCTTCTCATGTCTCTTTTAGAAACAAACGATCCTATGTGCAAACGATAACTGAATCATTAACAAAGTATCAAACGAAATCTACTTTTACAAATAGCATCACCATCACCTTCGTCATCATCATCGTCATCATCATCATCATTTTCATTATCATCGTCATCATCATTACCGACCTTCGTCAGCATCATGAAAATCATCCATAGTTGATATTATTAATAATATCCTTGATATGAACTCAACTGGCGCCTCATCTACTGCGCCTACTCATTAATATATATTTATTTATTTATTTTATTTCATCATCATCATCTATCATGGTCCTTTTTCACATAGACAAAAAGAAATCTCATTCAATGAAAGGCTCATAGAGTAGAAAAACAAATTGATGTATAAGGATAGATATATATATATATAAAACCAAGTCATCAATGTGTGGGAAGGGAACCCAAAAGTGGGGGAGGAGGAAAGGAACCAAGAATGGGAATCAAAGCACGATGAGACGGAGATACCTATATATAAAAAAAAAAATGTGAACACTGCAACGTTACACCTTTCCGATGATGATTCATGTTACGCAGGCCCAGTTCACATCATCATTATTCGTTTCTCTGTGTGTGAGAGGTTACAAAAAAAAAAAAAAATAAGAGACCATATGACTTTGTCTATACCAATTCTTTATTTTTATTTTGAATATTTTGAAAAACAAAGAGAATGGGTATCAAACAAATAAAACCATAAATATATATATGTAAAAATAAAATCATAAAATAAAATAAAAAGTTTCTATACAGAGACATTTCTAACTACATCATCCACAGCCTTGGCGAAATATTCCACGTTGCTTTTTGATAAGCCTGCCATAGAGATACGACCATTGTCTGTGAGATAAATATGATATTTTTCAATCATCACTTTGACTTGAGGAGCTACACACACAAAAAAAAAAAAAAAATCAATCACCTATTGAATTTTTTTTTTTTTTTTTTTTTTTTACCTTTGAGACCAGTAAAAGAGAACATGCCAATTTGATCTACAATATGATTCCAAGTTCCTGGAGTCTTCAAATCCAATAAATGTTGATATAAAGCCTTGCGCATATCGATGATTCGATTGGACATGTATTTCAAATTTTCTTTCCATTCAGCATACAAAGCTTCATCATTCAATACAATATCCACAATACGAGAGCCATAAGCAGGAGGATTGGAGATTTCGGATCGTTGAAGTTTTTCCAATTGAGATAAGACACGTTTGGTATCTTCAGGTGTTTTCAATACAAATGTCAAATTACCAGCTCGTTCACCTAAAGAAGGAAATATATAATGGTTTTTTTTTTTTTTTTTTTGATAATGATTATAAAAATTAGAAGTCTATTCCCCTCTTTCTTCTTCTTTTTTTTTTTTATATTTACCATAAAGACCAAAGTTCTTTGCAAAAGATTGAGCAACAAACAATTCAAAACCTTGTTCAACAAAATAACGAACAGACCAAGCATCACGATCCAAATCACCTGAAGCAAAGCCTTGATAAGCACAATCAAAGAAGGGGAAATGACCTTTAGCACGCATGGCTTGAGCAATGCCTTTCCATTGTTCCACAGTAGGATCGACACCAGTAGGATTATGAGCACAAGCATGAAGAATAAATACACTACCATTAGGAGCTTCTTGAATGGCTTGGATCGTACCATCATAGTTCAAACCTTTTGAGTTGGGATCCCAATAAGGATATTCTTCTACCTTGAATCCAACACCTTCAAAGATATTACGATGATTTGCCCAGGTAGGTTTAGAGATATAACACTTGCCACTTCCCTTATAATGTTGAGCCAAGAAGGCAGCACCAGTATGATTGGCCCCTGTACCAGAAATGGTTTGTACTGCACCTACACGTTGTTGTTGAATGGCTGGACTGTCTTTTCCAAGAATGAGTTGACTGGCAGCTTTGGTGTAAGAAGGTTGTCCTGCAATAGGTTGATATTCATGGTCCAAAGTTTGATCATTAAAAAGAATAGCATCAGCCTATATATATATATATATATATATGTAAGTTAATAATATAATATAGAATATATAAATAAAATGTTACCTTTTTAACTACAGGAAGAATATAAGGCTTGAGTTCATCAGTTCTAAAAGCACCAACACCAACATTAATCTTTTGAGGATGAGTATCAGCTTTATAACCAGCAGTTAAACTAAAGATGACATCAGCAGGAGCTTGAGGTACGTTTTGAAAGACAGAAACTATAAAAAAATAATAATAATAAATAATAGAATAATAATAAAAAAAAAAAAAGGATTTACCAGACATATTATCAAGGTGAGAAGATATTTGTTCTAATCGTTTGGAAGGAGAGACCATTATTCAAAAAATAAGTTAGAGAAAATTCTTTTTATGCAGGTGAGCTGAAAATTCTGGGTGGCGTGGTCTTTTTTTTTTTTTTTTCTGACTCGGGACTTTTTAGAGCTTATGAGTGGTCAATAAAGAGTGACAAAATATGTGTTATTTTCCCCTTTTCTAAAAAAAAAAAAAAAAAAAAGTTTCAAGAAGAAAACAAAAGAGTTATTAAAAAAAGAATAAAAGAAATAAAAAAGGCCGGAAGAGAAAAGAAATAAAAAAAAAAAAGGTTGCTCTTATTACAAGTTGAGACTACTAATTTCATGTGATTATCATAGTAGAAACGGAAAATCATTCATCTAACAGTATTTCATTAGATATCTTATATTTTTGAGTCTATTCGTTTTATTATTAAAAGAGTTATTTACCCACTAAATAACTAACTATTACTTACTATTTGTCCCTTCCACTTGTACCCTGTGTGAAAAACAACATAATAATCGCTAATTTCCATTTTCAGTCAACTATTACTAAACCTATTGTCCGAACAAACAGGTACTCTCCCAGTTGCCTTTTTTCGATTTCCCAGGTCTGGATCCACTTTTCTTCTCTCCTTCACCATAATATGTTTTCCCTTTACCTTCCTATGATGATGATTATTCGATATTATTGATTGATATTATTGATTGATATTATTGATTGATATTATTGATTGATATTATTGATTGATATTATTGATTGCTTAATGGATGACGATGGTTAAATAAGAATTATTATGATCATAACCTCGATATTATACCATGATGATGATGATGATGATGATGATGATGATGATGATGATGATGATGATAACATTGTATTATGATACTATGATAACAAGGACAATACTATATTACGATGCTATAATGATGACAATACTATGATGATGATATTGTAATAAGATACTCATGACGATAATGATGCATAGAAGAAAAACATATATCTTCTACTCTTTTGTTCAAACAAGGTTTGATTTCCCGTAACGGTGTTGTAATCTATAAATAGAATATACAGTTTCGAACATTAGAAAAAAAAAAAGAATCTTTTTGGATACTAGAATATTACGAATAAGAGGGTAAGAAAAAATATATATAAAAAAAGAAAAGATGAAATGATGATTAAAATTAAACTATAAGTTTAATTTTTCTATAAAAATAAATATTCTTTTTGATTCAAAAAGTAATATAAAAATTGAAAACTAATAAGGATGATTGGATCACCGATTAGTAAACTAATGATTTTCTTTTTTCACATGTAAGTAAGAAAAAAAAGAGATATATAAACCCATTGTTTTTTTTTTTCTCCATTTCGAAATACCTTTTTCATATTTTGAATTGATAGATTGAAAAGGTAAATCATTAGGATTTTACATAATTGAGTTTTCCCTTTTCCTCCACTTCCTTTTACTTTCATACATAATGATCTAACAATAACTCATAGAGCGGAAACTAAATCAATCCTAAACAGTCCTTTTTTTTTTCCAGTAACAACAATTCTAATCATCATTTCACTCTGTCATCACCATCATTATCATTTTAAAAATGAGTCATTTAAATACTGGTTCCACATACGGATTTAAACAACATTTCTAAAGTTTAAAAAAAAAAGGAAGAAAAACTTTACTATAAAAGAATGATTGACGGAATATCAATAGATTTTAACGAGATTTAGTATCGATGATACGCACGTTCTTTCATTTATCAATGATTTTTTAATCGATAAAAGGGTCGAGACGATGATGTTTGTTACACATTTGACAAGACGAGTTGGAATGTTATGGGTTTTATGTATTCCTTGTTTTGTACACTGGTTCCCACACTTTTTTTTTTTTATATATTGATGTTATCGCATTTTTATATGATTTATTTCAAAAGAAGAATGATGATAATCAGGATAAGAAAATATAATATTAATCATTCTCTCTCTTATATAAAAAGTTCATTCATATTTCTTTATTCATTTTTCTCTCTCTTTCTCTCTTTTTACACTTAGTACATTTTTATCTTTTTTTTACCCCTCTCTTTGTTTTTAGTGCCTATTGGAACTCCTCATCCGTACTTTTTTTTTTTTCTTATTTTAGACTCCTCATCTTTTTTCTTTGTTTCTTTCTTTCTCTTTTTTTTCTTCTTTTTTTTTTTTTCTTTTCTTGTATTCCATCTCTTATTTCTTTTAATTATTATTATTATTATAAGGATAATGGCTCTCTTTGTTTCGAGTCATCCTTGTTCTCCTACTTCAATTCAAAAAGGTACTGACGATATGGAATCTCTTGATTATCTTGAACCTTTATTCCCTGAAATAATACAATCTCACTCTATCGACGATAACTCTTTACATTCATATCTTGACAACGATATGCCTTCACCTTCTTCGTCATCAAGTGCCCACGATTCTTCTTCAACTACAGCAACCCCTTCTCCTGCAAGTCAATATGATATTTTACACTCTGATAAACATATCATACCTTCCGATCTATTAACTGTTGATAAAGTATGTACATGTTACAATGTAATCATTATTTCTTATTTCTTTTTTCTTTTTTTTTGTTATCAATAGAATCCATCGTCTTCTTTTTTACCAATGTCATTACCTGATAGTTATCATCAATTAACCAATGAATACTATGCACGCAATGTCAATATGTTGTAAGTCACTTGTTATTATTAATATTGACAACAACATGTTATATTCAACTTTTATTTATATATTTATCACTCATAGCAACTCATCTGTTCATACAAATATGAATGATAATTTGGAAGAAAGGTACATTATATAGAATATCAATCAAAAATAATTCAATCTTCTGAACATTTTCTTATATTTTTCTTGTCATAGTTTACAAATTCGCGTTCTGGGCGTGCCAAGTCTTGGGGCTAAGTCCCGTGTTGAAACTCAAATCAAGTTATGTATTCAGTTATTATCACCTACTGGTACCAAAGTACTTAATTGGTCTTATCTTCGATTACCTGAATGTATGTTAGCAAGGTCAAAATTACGCAAAACTCAACAACAAAAGTTATTGGATGGAAGTGTAGCTACTATGGTATCTGATGAATCCAAAGTGTTAAATTTGGAAGCTAAAGTCATTTGCTCCACAAATACTTCAAAAGCTGTTCGCATGTGTCCTGGTTGTGTCAGACGTGAAGTAAGTATATTATTACTAAACTAACTCCTTTTTTTTATACTTTTAGTTATGCTAACCACATTTTTCCTTTTTTTTTTTTTTTTTTTTAATCTTACCTTATAGCGCAAACGAGCTGAACGCACTAAGGATGGAAAACCTCGTTATGAAACTGATATCATTTCTGACTCCAATGAATTAGATCCTCAACGACGTGCTGAAGATATTATGGAAAGGGATCGTAATCGTATTCTGTTATTCAATTGTAGTCCTATGGTCAACTTTAGTTCTGGTGATGCTATTTTACCTACTCGTATTACTTGTTATTGTCGGCACCACAATGAAAAAGTTGGATTCAGGTAACTTTAATAGATGGGGTGAATAATCTGTGGGGGGATCCGATTGTGTGACACTTACATTACATATTTATAATTAGGATTCAATTTGTCATGCGAAATGATCAGGGATCTATTATTGCCAAAGGATGCTCTCCACCTATCATGATTACTGATGATCACAAAAGTTCAAAACAACGCAACAACAGTATTTCCGCTACCCATCCGAACGATGACAACAACAACAACAACAATAATAATAATAATAATAGCAAACATTCTAGAAAACGTGGCCGATCGGATTACGAAAATCATCAAACACCAGATACTCCAGCTCCATCACGTCGTGGATCCCTCTCTGACAACAACAACAACAACAATAATAATAGTAATATAGTAGCAACACCATTACATTTAAATCCATCAGCCTCTTTTGTCATTCCTTCATCGACATCAAGTCCTAGTCATTTCGATCATCCATCTCCTCCTACCGATGGTATTACAACTCCCAACAGTTCATTATCATCCTCTCCTCAAACTATGCTTATTGGTAGTGACCTTGCTATGACACCACTTGCCATGGATGAATCTTTATCATCTTATCAATTCCAGCAACATGTATCACAAGGTACCATGACTCATTTATTGAATACATCAACAGATATGAATAGTAGCATGAATCGTCTATTATCTAACAACAACAACAACAATAATAATAATAATAATGACAACAGCAATATCAATAATACTAACGAAGAAACTTGGCCTCATAGCCGTCGTAGAAGAGTGGCGAACAATGGTGGTTATACATCAGATGACATGCCTTTATGGCGATCGGATTATACTCCTCAACTGGAACGACTCGTGCCATCACAAGGTCCAACATATGGTGGTGTTGAAGTGACTGTATTGGGTTCAGGATTTTACCGAGGTTTGACCTGTCTCTTTGGTGAACATGCTGCAAGTACTGTTTATTGGAATCCAAACACGTTGGTCTGCGTGTTACCTCCTGCTGCCACTCCTGGTCCCGTTGTTGTATCTTTCAAGGAGCATCCTATTGTATTGGAAGGACAAGATGTGGCTCTCTTTACTTATTATGATGCAAGTGATCAAGCTTTATTAGAACTGGCCTTACAGGTGGTGGGATTAAAGATGACTGGAAAGTTACATGATGCAAAACATATCGCTATGCTTATTGTTCGGGGTGATCAACAACGATCACAATCACAATCACAATCACAACAGCAAAATATAGAATCTATGGAACAACCAATCGACGGCAATGATGATGATAGTCAATCTACCTTTACAGACAGTTCTGATATTAGTTATGACGACGATGACGACGATGACGACGATGATGATGATGACTCACTTGATGATTGGTCTTGGCGTGACAACTCTGACTTGGAAAAACATGTTATCAACGCATTAGAAGCTTCTGATGCACATGATATGATGCATACCAACCCTAATGGACATACCATGTTACATCTCGCAGTTTTATTACGTTATGGTGCTCTGACCAGATTATTACTCGACAAGATAGATCGACGTTTGATTGACCAAGCTGATCGCAATGGATGTACAGCGCTTCATTTTGCATGCCTTCAGAATAATACTCCTATGGTTCAACTTTTATTGGAAGCTGGTGCTCAACCAACGGAAACGTGTAGCATTGGATCAACATTAGAATTGACAACCGACAATACCATCAAGTCAATGTTACTTGAATCACCATCATTATCATCAAAATCAATTGAATCTTCACCATCATCATCATCAACAACATCAACATCTCTTTCAACACCAAGACGTCTTAGCTTCAAATCTCATGTTCGACGATTCTACTTTTTGAAACAACAGCGAGGTGATAATACAACTGATAATACAAACCAATCTATTGATACACTGGATGATAATGGACTTGGATTTGTACAATATAAAAGTGATCGTAGATTATATTTATTCTGGTTACCATTATTGATAGGTAAAAAAAAAAAAAAAAAAGGAAACAATTTTATATTGACAATGACCTTTTTATTACTATTATTATTTTAGTTACTATTGGTCTTCTTTATTATCAAATTTTGGGTGATCGTACTCTTCTTACTCTATTGCAAGATATAATTCCTTTCCGTCGACATGGATTAAGTTCTATAGTTGGATACTAGTCTTGGAATGTATGTATGATTTTTTTTTGTTTCTTTCTTTCCTTCCTTTCCCTTCCCCATCCCTTCTTTGTTTTTTAATTCTTTTTTCATTTATTTATTTATTATTATTCCATTTTTACATATATATATATATATGCCTTTTTCTTTCCTTTTATATTCATGCTTTTGTTTTATCAAGTTCCCTTACCTTCTTCCTTTGTCACTTTTTTTGATATTGTATTATTTGGATACCATTTGATTGTTATATATAAATATATATTCCTTATTTCTGCTTTTTTTTTCTCATCAATAATAAAACCTGATATTTTGTCCATATATAACTTTTTTCTAGCACTGGGTTTGAAATCACAAAACAACATTCTCGCGTTTTTGATTGCAATTTTTTTTTTTTGACCTCTCTCTCTCTCACACACACACTTCCAACTTGTTTATATAGCATGTCCTTTAGCCGGGATGAGAGAAGTGGCTCTGCCTTTTCTGATATATTTTCAAGCAAGGTGTTACCAGGTGGCAATGCCCATGAATATACAGTAGTATCTAATCGACCTTTCATGACAATGAAGGACATTATGATTCTTCTCTTGATGATAGTTGGTCTTTTCATTTGGATGAATAAGGTAAGAAAAGAATAGAAAGAAAATTATTATATTCCCGTTTTTCTTCTTCTTTCTTTGTGTAGATGGCATTTAAAAAGAGAGATTGATAAATGGTATTCATTTTTTTTTTTTTTTTTTTTTTTTTTTTTTAGACGACACACTGGGCCTGGATGATTGTGGTTGGATGGATATGGATAAAATTAAAAAATGTCAAACAAGGTAAGATGGTTTTGGTGGATTCAGGGCAAAAAGAACAAGTAAGGATTTGACCCATTATTTATTTAGAATCTTTGTTGATCATGCGAGATATTGGCATCCAAGTCAAAACAACTTATTGGAGTGGTCGAACAGAATCTAAATTTATCAATCGATTGAAAATCCAAAACGTGGTCATTAATGAAGGGATTCATCTATGGCAAGTTAAACCTTATATGGCCATTCTGGTCAAGGATCAAGAAAAAATGTTGATTGTGTTTGAGGTAAAAATAAATAAATAAAAAAAAAAAGGTTTCATGGAATAGGTTGTTTACTTTTATTATTATTAGAATCTTTTACCACCATTACATCCTGTATTGTTGACAACATATCGTGGAACAAGACGTTTATTATTCCCATCCGATGACAATGACTAATGGTTTTATCTCTGCTTATTCATCATTGTTATTATTAATGGTATTATTTGCTCTCCATCGATAAACTCAAGCATCTTACCCCACTTTCAGGTTGTATGAATGAGGTTCTGCCAAGTGATCCTATTCACTTATCCATTCCATATTATGGTTTGGGCAACCTTGTGAACTTGTAAATAGCTTTAGATCCCCATCTTGTATCCACCCTTAGTTTTATTTATATTCCTTTTTTAATTATTATTATTATTATTATTATTATTATCCCCATATGTATATTTGTGATCCTAATAAATTATTCATTTCTTTTATCATATATCTTTTCAATAACAAAATACAAAAAAATAAACCATCTATCAAAGAATCATATTTCCCAATATTTTTATTGTTTCAAAATAATACACTATAACTAAAACTAATCTGATTTCTTGACAGTACCCTTGAAATACTTTTTGCGTTGCACCAACATATGAGAGAATAACACAGGGAATCCTATCAATAAATAATAAAAGAAATAAAAAGGTATTAGCCAGAGAATGATTATAAGACTGATTTTTTTTTTTTTTTTACCTGGGATATAAGTCAAAGCACAAGCGATCAAGATATAATAATAAGCAGGATGGACACGGGCAGCATAAGGTAAGGCTTGATAAATCATCATCAATTCAGAAGATACACCAAGAGGATACAGGACCAAAAAGAAGTTATAACGAGCCCAAGAAAGAACAGCAGGCACAGAGCCACGTTTCAAATTGAAGGCATAGAAACTGTAACGCACCAATTCAGCAATACACCAAGCAATGATCATGGTTGTATAAGACCAATGGGTATGAATTTCAGGGAACAATGCATTGACACCCCATACTAGTAAAAGTCGAGATAACACTTGCATCAATGTCGTCATAAAAGGAGCACGTACCCAACCTACCAAACTATGAAAGACCTATATATAAAAGAGTTAAAACTCTGGCATCACTTTTTTTTTTTTACCTCAAACAATGCAGCGGTTTGAACGACTTGAAGTACAGGCCATGTAGCATCAAATACATGGTGCCAATCTCCTTTGGATAGACCAAGTTGAATCAAGGCCACTTGAAGAATATGGAACCAACCTCCCCATGAGACAATATTGTAAACAATCAAATAGGTTTGCAAGAAGGTGTTTGGAGCCTTTTTGGTAGTAGGGGCTAAATATATAAAAATGAGTTTGACAATAAAGCGTCATTATCCTTTTTTTTTTTTAATACCTTGTTCAGGCATGATCAGTTAGACAATCGTGTTAAGTTGTAAAAGAAAAAAGGAACAAAAAAAAAAAAAACAACTAGAAATCAAAAGATATATTTGACGGAGACTGAACAGCCGCCAAAAAGTGAGGCTGTTGGGGCTTTCATGTGCAAAAGTCGTTTTCTTTCCTTTTTTGTCGTTTTGAATTGTCCTGATGAATTTTTTTATTGAATGAATCCCATATTTATCTAAATGCACTGTTCTTCCTTTCAAATAATATACCTAGCCTTTTGAATTCAACTAACTACATGGTTATACAATGTGGTTTTATATTGAGACATTTCGAATTATTGTAGTCAAAAGGAAAACTCGTAATGGGATACTTTAACTGCAATGAAAAAAAAAAAAAAAACGCATCATCCAGACATCATCATCACTTTTGATTAACTCATATCTTATCACAAGTAATGAGACTCATCATTTCCCTATTCTTTTCTTTTTATCATGAATCAATTCATTTTGTGATTGCTTATTAACAGAGTAGGATCCTATTATGTATTCAAGTTTTTCTTTTTTTTGGAGGGGGGATGATTAGGTACTAATTAACTGCAGTGTCACATTCTTTTACGGTACCATTGTATTATTGATATGGCTGTCAAAAAAAAAAAGATAATTGAACAGATCGCTGTAAACAAAGAGAGAAATAAAGATTCTTGATTTACTATATATTGACATATCTATTCTTTTAGAATCAAACTAAAAAAAAAATTGCTCAACAGGTTAATATTATATATATATATAAGGTATATGTACTGGAATTTCATAGAAGTATCATTCTCACTAAGATGAGTTTCGTCTACATTGGTCAATGTCCTAAGAAAAAAAAAAAAGAAAAATTCGAAGCCAGCTTTCAATCAAACTGCTCAAGGAGAATAACTGCCAATAGAAAATTGTTCAGAGGCATTTCTATTTTGGTGCCTTTTCTTTTTAAACTTTTTTTTTTTTTTTTTTTTTTTTTTTTACTTTTTTCTTTCCTTTCTTTCATTCTTCATTAGTCTAATTAATATACAAATGTCCTATTATCTTGGTATTGACGTAGGAACAGGGTATATGAATACTAGTTCACGTTGATGGACACGTTCATTGATTATTTTTTTTCTTTATCGTTGTTTAGATCTGCGCGGGCTGCTGTTATCAATGACAATGGTGAAATCAAAGGATATGCGGTAGTCCCCATCACCACACATCATCCTATGCACAACATTTATGAACAATCAACACAAAACATTTGGAATAGTATATGTCAAGCTGTGCATGACGCTATGGCGACAAATGACTTGAAAGGACAAAACATCAAGGGTATTGGTTTCGACGCTACATGTTCACTCGTTGTCTTGGATAAACAAGGTTACCCACAATCTGTTGACGAAGCTTCTGAATTTACTGACAATACATGGAATGTTATCTTATGGGCTGACCACCGGGCGATCGAGCAAGCTAAACGAATCAATGACACGCGCCATGCTGTACTTCAGTATGTCGGCAATACAATCAGTCCTGAAATGGAAATCCCCAAGACGCTCTGGCTTAAGGAAAATTTACCTGAAGAAAAATGGAATGCAATTGGCCATCTGATGGATCTACCTGATTTCTTGACTTTTCGTGCCACAGGTAGTGTTGCTCGATCTACTTGTTCCTTGATCTGCAAATGTTCTTATCTGCCTCGTGGAGTAGAAACAAATCTGCCTGAAGGTTGGGATCGTGATTACTTTGAAGCTATTGGATTGGAATGTTTAGTGGAAGAACAATGGAAACGCTTGGGTGGTAACGAACAAGATGAGGTGCTTCATGCTGGAGATCGTGTTGGCAATGGATTGACAGAACAAGCTGCTTTGGATCTTGGACTTTTACCTGGTACACCTGTGGGTTCAGCTGTCATTGATGCTTATGCTGGTGCAGTGGCTACTTTGGGTGCTTCATCATCATCATCATCATCTCCTTTATCGAACAGATTAGCTATTATTTGTGGTACTTCTAGTTGTCATATTGCCATGGCACGTCAACCTATTTTTGTACCTGGAGTATGGGGTCCTTATCATTCGGTTTTACTTCCTGACATGTGGTGTGCTGAAGGTGGGCAATCATCCACTGGACAATTGATTGATTATACTTTGAATACACATCCTGCCATTCAACAAGCAAAGGAAAAAGCGACGGAAAAAGGATTGAATATTTATACTTTTTTGAACGAACATCTTGCACAATTACAACAACAACGTGGTCTGGATTATTTGGATCAATTGACACAACAACTTCATGTTTATCCTGATTTCCATGGTAATCGATCTCCCTTGGCCGATCCTACTTTACGTGGCTCTTTGGTAGGTGTGACATTGGATCAAAGTGTGGATGACCTTGCTTTACGGTACTTGGCCACATTACAAGCCATTGCTTGTCAAACTCGACATATTTTGGAATCCATGAACCAACGTGGTTATCGCATCGATACGTTGTGCTTATCCGGTGGATTATGCAAGAACAAGGTGTTTTTACAACTGCATGCTGATGTTACTGGTTGCCAGGTGGTTTTACCTGAATCGATTGAAGCTGCCGTGGTGATTGGTGCTGCTATTTTGGGGGCAAAGGCAACTGGAAATGATGATCTATGGCAAACCATGTGTCGATTGACCCGTGCTGGTGATGTGATCCTTCCTAGACAAGATAAAAACATTCAACAATTGTATGATAGACGATATCGTGTTTTTGGAGAATTATTGAAGGATCAAAAGAAATATAGGGAAATCATGGATGCTTAACTTTGTACCACGCTGCTGGATTCCCAATTTATCTGATTGTAGTTTCTCTCTTTTTTTTTTTTTTTTTTTTTTTTTTGATATTATGTTATATTTTTATACTATACAATAAAATTCTTTGTTTTACTATTTATCAATTTATTTATTTATAATGATGTGATTTACAATGATGGTACCTTTTTATATATATATATGTTGTGTATTTGTTTTTAATGTTTTGTTTTTATCAGTTCACACCATGAAAAATAAAAAAATGGGATGGCAACAAGGGTGTTATGGTGATTTGATTGGTCATCACAATGAATTAAAATTGGATGTCAGCATCTGATAAAAAAAAATATTCAATCAAACAAATATCCTAATTTCTTTCTTTATTTTTTTTTTTGTTTATCATTATTATTTATTTGTAGATATAAAAGAAGTGACAAATTGATAATAGCAACTCTACCCTTCCTTTCCTTCTTGGTCAACATTTTTATATAATGTCAAATACATATAATGAAACAACTCCATTATTACAACAACAACAACAACAACAACAACGGTTGCCCACAGTACAATCACCATGGAGTGCTCCTGCAGCTTGTTGCTCAACTCGAAACAAACAACCTTCTATAGACGATGACGATTATTGTCATCTAGCCGATCAAAAATGGGAATATAAAGCAACTGCTTTGGCTTGTGCTCTTTTTATTGCAGGTAAGTGTCATTCTGTCACTTTTTTTTTTTTTTTTTTAAACCTGGAGTGTCAAAACTGATCTGCCTCTCTCTCTTTTTTTTTTTTATTAGTTGGAAGCCATTTTGCTGCTCATACCCTTGGTGCCATGAAGAACACCATCAAAGAGGTAAAAAAAAAAAAAAAAAAACCACGATTGTGTGTGGAAAAGACAAAATCTCATCAATATGTTTTTCAATAGCAATTTGGTATTAGTAATTCAGAATATGGGGTGATCCAATCTAGTGTGGCGATTGTGAACACGATTTTACCAGTGATTGGAGGGATCTTTGTCGATGCATTTGGTACTATTCCTGGTTCATTACTTACTACATTGTTGATCACGTCTGGCAATATCATGGTGGCCTTGTCCACATCAAGCAACAACCTGACTGTGTTGATTTTGGGTCGTATCTTTTATGGTATTGGTAGTGGTACTGTCGTGATTGTTCAAGAAACTATTCTTAGTCAATGGTTCCGTGGACGTAGTTTAGCAGCTGTGGTTGCTTTAATGTTGACAGTCAGTCGATTGGCTTCATTTTTGGCTCAAGCTACAGTGGTACCTATTGCTGATTGGACAGGTTGGTATGGTTATAGTTTCTGGGTAAGTTGGATAGAAAAAAAAAATCATTCACACACACACACTCTGATATTTTTTTTTTTTTAATAGTTTTCTGCCATGCTTTGTGTTTTCTCCTTTGTCATTAATTTGGTATATATCATACTTTTACGTTCAGTCTCGGATCCATCGGCAGTGGCATGTCGTAAACAGGTGGAAGTCATCAAACGAAAGAAATCATTCAGTTGGAAGAAATTGTTATTTTTACCACATTCATATTGGTTAATTGCAGCGATGGAATTTTTTCTTGGAGGTGGATGGGGATGTTTCTTACATTTGAATAGGTACATAGAAAAAAAACATTATCATCCTCATAATATATTGATTTTTCTTTTTTAATAGTGAATTTGTCAAGTTTCGATTCTCCTATTCCAATGCACAATCAGCTGCAACTGCAAGTGTTGCTCAAGTACTTCCTGTTGTTTTGATGCCATTCTTGGGAATGTGTGTAGACAAATATGGCAAACGAACATGGATGAGTAAGTAAAAAAAAAAAAAAAAAAAGAATAATCATAATCATATGATGCTCACTATATATATATATTTTCAAGTGGTTGGAAGTGGTGTTTCTATGTTAGTATCCTTATTGCTTTTGGGTTATACTAATTTGGCACCATTGGTTGGTATGTTGATCTTCAGTCTTAGCTTATCATTGGGACCAGTAGGACTTGTATCATCTGTACCTGTGATTCTTCCATTATCACTTGTAGGCACTGGTCTTGGATTGATCAAAAGTTGGACAAATATTGGATTGGCTCTTTTTGATATTGTCACTGGATGGTTACAAGATCAGGATCCTAACAAAGGTTATGATGGCGTGGTGCTCTTCTTTCTTAGTATCTCCGTCATATCTATTCTCTGTGGTATTATCTTAACTTTTATGGATCACAAGATTTATAATCATATTCTGGATCGGTCTGCAAGAGAAGCTCATCGGGCAAATGAATACAAATTATCCAATGCTGTACCATTGAAACAAAATAATGCCAATTGGATCTATGGTGGAATCTATGTGTTGATGGCTGTGTTAACTTGGTTATTATTCTTCCGTTTTGTATTATTGATTTAATTTTTTTTATCGTTCCTCGTACTTTTTAATACCTCTTTATACATAGTTACTATATACCCCCCCCTCTTCTTATACACAATTAGATTTAGCCAGCATGAAATGTTGTGACTGACTTTGAAACCTAGTGTCAGCCGGTTTTTAGTGAAAAAAAAATAAAAATAAAAATCGATTTTCCTTTTCTTTTAATTTTTTTTTTTTGTCTTTTCAACCATGTCTGAACGTAAAGTCTTGAATAAATACTTCCCTCCCAACTTTGATCCTTCAAAGATCCCCAAGCAGTAAGTGAATTAAATAAATCTCAATTGTTTTTTATATTAATGTCATTTTATTTCATAGAAAGAAACCCAAGGATCTTCAACACAAAGTCCGTCTTATGGCCCCTTTCTCTATGCGATGTGAAAGTTGTGGTGAATATATCTATAAAGGAAAGAAATTCAATGCTAGAAAAGAAACCGTACAAGGTGAAAAATATCTTTCTATTCAAATCTTCCGGTTCTACATTAGGTAAGTTTTTTTTTTTTTTTTTTAAAAAAAAAGTCTTTTCGGGAAAATCTCACTTTTTTTTTTTTTTTTTTAAAAAAAAAAAAGATGTCCTCGTTGTTCAGCAGAAATTACATTCAAAACGGATCCAAAAAACAGTGACTATGTACCAGAAAATGGGGTGAGCCGCAATTTTGAACCATGGCGTGGGGATGACGGTACAGTGGTGGAAGAAGAACCAGAAGAAGAACAAGATGCCATGGCGTCGTTGGAAAGCCGCACGTTGGATTCTAAACGGGAAATGGAGATTATGGATGCGCTGGACGAAATACGAACACGGAATGCACGTAGTGAACGAGTCAATGTGGATGATGTGTTGGATCAATATTCAAAAGAGGTGAAAGATCAAGTACAACAACAACTTTCAGCAGAAGCAAAACTGGATGAAGAAGAAACCGCAGCTGCTTTTCGATCCGCCGATGGCGAAACCGTACGCAAAGTCACCACTGCTCCTGTCGATGCCATTTCACTTGTACGACAAAAACAACAAGAAGAAGTTAACAATGACTCATCTTTTGCCAAACCATCTGCATTCAAACGAAAGGAGACTCCAAACAACTTTGGCATTGTCGTCAAAAAGAAAAAACTGGACAACACTACCAACAACAAGCATACCCAATCCAATGCACTCTCTTCACTAGCTTCATACGACGACGACTCTGATTCGGATTAATTTAGTTTTATTTTCATATATTTTATGTAGACTTGTAATAAATAACATATTCTTTTACTCATTTGATATTTTTTTTTTCTTTTTTGATACATGCATTATTATTCTTAGATCAAGATAAAATAAAAAAAAAGGATGATTTTTTATTGGATTTTGTAGAGAAAGGAGTGGAACACGCAGTATGAGATATGTACATGATAAAAACAAAATAAATGGCTGATAGAAAAGGTGGAAAATAAGATGACGGAAGGGTAAAACTAAGAGACTAAACTAGTAAAAAAAAAAGGTTGATCTATTGTTCTCCAGGTCGTTTGGCATTGCAAGCTACAATCTTGACTTTATCGGATGATATGGTATCTTGATCAAACTTAAAGTTGGGATTCTCAATGATAAATGTCCATACATCGTCACAGAATCGATACGTATGTAAATGTCCCTAATAATAAAATCAGTAAAATAAAAACATTCATAAATGTTTTTACCTTGACTACTGCACGATTTCGAACCAGCTGAGAAAGTCCTTCAGAGATACTCTTGTCAAAAGTAGTCAATACTCGCATAGCTAGTTGAGGATTGAGATGTCCACTTTGAATAAGTTCATCTAATGAATCGGTCAGTGCCATTCCAATACTATCAAAAAAAAAAAAACAAGAGAAGTCAATGACATATGCAAAAATAAAAAATAAAAAAAAAAGCATGGATATACCTGCTTCGTCGATATAATTCATAAAATGGTGTTGACATGATTTATTGATTATGTGGATGTATATTAAGAAAATATGGACAGAGAATAAAGCCAATAAGAAAAAAAAAAAAAAAGCACAATAACAAAAAAAAAAATTCTGATAACAAAAATACAATCGGGGTGTAAATTTCATTTCAACTACTACAATCCTAATCCACGTCTGCGACGAGGTGTTCCAATAGACATGCGTGACCCAGGTGTTGCAATACGAGCTGTCCTTGCTGTTGCCAATCTTGATTCTTCCTTTCTATTTTCTTCTTCTTCTTCCCTATCACGAGCTGATGATAAAAAGAAAAAAAAAACATAAATTTAGTAAAAAATAATACTAATAACCAATATGTATTTACCTAATTTCAGTTCCATTTCCATATTGAGTCGAGATTCAGTGGCAATATTAGCCAGTCGTTTTTCCTATAGAACAATAAATCAATTATTCCCGTTCATTTATTTAAAAAAAATCATTTTACCTTATGTCCATAGTTCCTGTCTCGATCACGAATAGAAAAGAACATGGGACCCATTTCTGCCAACCAAAATGGATCCACCGCCGTAACACATTGCATATATTCCTTGGACGTCATAATAAGTTCATGATAGACAACATAATCTGGAGTAAATCCAGCACCATAGAGTGCACTTGTAGGATGGAGATGACATTTCATACCACTACGACAATTGACGTATTCCCCAATACCTTTGACTCTAGCAGCTTGATGGAAATAGGCTGAACAAATACATTTTCTATATATAAAAAAAAATAAAAGTTTAGAATTATGTATCTGTATGAATTTCTTTTTTTTTTTTGTTTCTTACCGAATGACATCCCAATCGGTACCACAAGAGACGTATGGCATTTTCAATGTTTTCATAATATCCAATAGTTGTGATCGTACTTCACGGGCTTTGCGCATGGCCTTGGGATGAATAAAGTGTTTGGTGCACCAACTGTCACGGTAACTACATATATAAAAAATATGGAAACAAATTGAGTATCAAAAAGGATAATGATAATAATATTCATATTATCTTACTGGTTTGATTTCCATTGGGTATAAACATGAAGCAGGGTAAGATGATCACTTTCAGGAACAAAGAATTTTTCTCTTGCAAGATCACTTTCTTCCATACGTTCTTTCGGTCGATAAAACACAGATGGTACTGATAACATGGATACAATAGTCTAATAATAATAATAAAAATAAAAAAAAAAAGATAGAATGAGTGATAAGACACAAATCATTGAAGGTAGTATAATTACCAGGACTTCAGCTGTACAGTTTTGATCTTGGGCAGTGATCAACATCTTGGCTAATGAAGGATCCAGAGGGAAATCATTCATTTTAGCACCAGCTGGTGTCAGTTCCCCAGTATTGTCAAGTGCGGATAGAACCCAAAGTTGATACATAGAATTGAGAATGGTATCCTAATATTTAAAAATAGATGAATATGATGATTCCTACAAAAAAAAAAAAATCATTATTACCTGAGGAGGAGGATCCATAAAATCAAACTCTAAAAGATCTTTTACACCTAAAGATTTGAGAAGTAACACCACACTAGCAAGATTGGTACGTTGGATTTCAGGAATAGTATTGACAAACATTTCATTTCGATAAGCTTCTTCCGTATAAAGTCGATAGGCAACACTATCCAAAAAAAAAAAAAAAAAAATTAGATATTTTCATCTATGTTACTATATTTGTATTTTTTTTTCCTTTACCCAGGTCCAGTTCTACCAGCACGACCACTTCGCTGATTTCCATTTGCTTGACTGATTGGTGTAATTTGAAGAGCATCCATACCAATACGAGGATTGTATACCTTGAGCTTACAAAATCCAGTATCAATAACATACATGATACCATCAACTAAAACAAATAAAATGAGAATGAATATTTGATAATATAATAATAATAATAATAATTATACCTGTCAATGAAGTTTCAGCAATGTTGGTAGCTACAATCACCTTTCTAGCATTGTCTTCTGATCGCTGGAAAATCTTTGCTTGTAAATCTGCAGGTAGTTGTGAATAAATAGGAAGAATAGCCAATGGTGGAGGTTCATCAAGTTGATCAAGGCGTTCTGTATATGTGAAAATAAGGTTAATCAGTATTCCCATTTGTTTATATCATCTGTAATCCTACCTTTTAAAACTTGACAAGTAATTTCAATATCTTCTTGACCAGTCATGAAAATAAGGATATCACCTTGAGGTTGAGATAAATGGATAGCCAGAGCTTGCTTGACAGCACTATCGACATAGTCTTCACATGGTGTTTTGCTGAACATCACATCCACAGGGAAAGTTCGACCAGGAATATTGAAACACACCGCATTTCCAAAGAATTGTGAGAACTATCAATTATGAATAATAAATTAATATCAATTAAAAAAAAAATTCAACTGAGTCACTTACGCGATCAGCATTCATCGTAGCTGATGTCACAATCAGTTTCAGATCTCGACGTCGAGCCAACACTATTCGAATAATAAAAAAGAAAAGAGTTCAGACACCATTCTAAATTTTTTCATATTGTTACTTACATTTCTTGAGAATACCCATAAGTACATCCGTATTCAAGGCCCGTTCGTGAGCTTCATCCATAATGATGGCACTATATTGATCCAAATCCGGAGAATTGATAGATTCACGTAAGAGAATACCATCCGTCATATCTATAAGATATATAGTTAGTAATACAATTTATAAACCTCCCATTGATTAACTTACATCTGATAAGTGTATTTTCCGAAGTTTGATCTTCAAAACGGATCGTATAACCAACTAGGTCACCAAGTTTTGTCTATCATATAACACACACACAAAAAAAAAAAAAATCAGTCATCATAATCATTCATCGTTCATTCTATCTACTTACACCCATTTCTTCAGAAACACGCTTTGCAACAGACATTGCAGCCACACGACGAGGTTGAGTACAACTGATTTTGCCATAGGTTGTATAACCATCTTCATGTAAATATTGAGTCAATTGCGTTGTTTTCCCTGACCCAGTTTCACCAACAATAATAACAACTAAAGAAAAATAAATTAGAGAAAAATAGCATATATTAAAAATTCAATTTACCTTGATTATCCCTGACCACCTTCAATAATTCTTCACGAACACCAAATACAGGTAAGTATTCACGTTGTTCACGCATAGATCGAGTTCTTGCAAAATCGCTAACAGCTTCAGATGATTTGAGATGAGAAGCAAACTTGGATTCACCACGTTCTTCATTTTCCCCGGTTTGTGCTTGAGTCCGTGATTCTACAAATTAAAAAAAAAAAAGGTAAATGAGTGATTAATAACCTTTATATGTTTTTTTTTCTTCTTTTGATTATATCTTACCTTCATCTTCCTTATTTTTCACTCCCATTACATTGCCCAAAGTAGTTCCAGCTAGTTCAAATTTGGTCCCTTTTGCTCGTTCAGCTTGTTCTCTTTTTTCCCTGACAAGTCGACTACCTTTGCGAGAGATGATGGCCATATCAGAAGTTGGATCTCGAACATGTTGTACAGCTTCTGTTTGCTTGGTATATACCAATCGACCGTCTAAGAAAGGAGGTTTGATATCATGAACAAGGACATGAACACGATTCTATAATAAATAATGATATTAAAATTATACATTCTTTCCTTTTTTTTTTTATGTACTTACTTCACTATCATCATCAAAGTCCGTATCGATTTCTCGTCGTTGAGCAACACCACTGCTAAGCATTCGACTTGCTTCCCACATTTCTGTATCTCGATTGTATTGAGCTTGTCTTGCTGTCAATTTCTTCAATTGTTTTTGAGCGAGTTCTTCTTCTTTGACCTTGTCATGTGTTTCGTATTCAGCAAATGGGTTGTGTGTTTCATCCATGACCTAAAGAATGGATCATAAAAATAAAAGAAATAATAATCAGTCAACTTTCCTCTAATGCCTAGACTTGACTTTTTTTTCTTGTAAAACTTACTCCATTTTCTTCCATTCCATACCAATCACGATCCAATTGTGCTTGTTCATCTTCCCATCGTTGTCGATCTTCTTCATCACCTGGGTATTCTTCAGGATAATCTAAAGCAGCCTCGTCATATGCCGTTGATCGTACACTTGGAGTACCAAAATCCCAATCTGAACGTGAATCACCCACTCTAGGAGTCATGCCACCAGTAGATAATCGTGGAGTAAAAGGTTCTCTATCGTCTTTTGGAGTCATACTTGCCCATTGATCACGTTTGATAAGTCCACCTCGCTTTGGTGTTGCTGAACCGCTTTGTGGAGATGGTGATAATGATGGTGTCCTTGATCCTCTATCGCGATATCTATCGTCTCGTTCACTATCACGTCTTCGATGATGACGATCATTATCTCTTCGATATCTGTCATCATATCCGTCACGTCCTGATCTATCATTATCACGATCACGTCGATACCGATCATCCCTTGATGAGCCATGTAATCCACTATCTATTGATAACAAAAAAAAAAAAAAAAAAGAGAGGGAGAAATTCAATTATCTAGTTTCCCATTCTTCATTTTAGACTTACTTCGATTTCTTTCGCGGTCCCTTCGTTTCATACTTTCCATTCTTCGTATGGCCGATTCAGATAATCCACCTGGATTCGATGGTGTCTCCATTCTATGTGATCGATATCTTCCTTGTTGTTTTGGCATATCTACACAATTCATCAAATGGAGGTTAAAAATAAATAAATAAATAAAAAAAAATAAAAAACTTTGAATAATAATAATGATAAATATCTTACCAGTATCATCAATAGTTGAACTATCATCATCCCATTGTGAAGTTGATTCTAATTTCACCTTTTTTTCTTCATGGACTATATCAGATTTATTCTTTGCTGCTTCAGCTGCACGTTTCTTTCGAGCTAATTCGTCCAATCCAAGTAGAGATTTCGGTGCAGGTGCTTTAAAGACGGGTCGTTGCTATAAATAATAGATTAAATATTGTTCATTATTAAATCATTTTTTTTTCATCACTTACTTCATCTGATTTTGAAGATTTGTTGCGACCAATAAGACCACCAGGTAAGTTGTTTCCTAAAACTAAGACTTCACCTTTTGTATCTTCATCGATGGATACCGTTGGACCAGAGAATTCTTTTTGAGAAGATGTTTTTGCATGATCGGTAATCTTGGTGTAAGTAGTTTGTAAAAAGTCATTGTTGAATCTACCAAATGTTTTACAGGCTAAAGAAAAGATGAAATAAAATAAGTTGTTTGCATAAAATAAATACTGGTTTCAAAAAAAATAATAATTTTTTTTTTATATTACCTGAGGCAAATTTTTCAAAACTTCTATCGTTTGTTGCTATTTGAATAACACGTTTGGCAAGTTGATCATTAGGATTAGGTAAATTGAGTGCACGAGAGAAATCAATAGCGATTTCATGAGTGAACTCGTCTTGATTTGACATATTTTTAAATAAAAAAAAAAAAAAAAGAATAAAGAAAAAGTGAAGAAAAAGGGAGAGACACACACTCTCACACACATATATATAATATTATGGGGGATCATATTTCAAATACCGCCTGCTGTGTGATGGAGAAAAGGAAGCCACTGTTTTCTGTCCAACCATTGGTCCAATTCACTCTCTTTTTTTTTTTCTCAACATCGAAAGCCGATTTTTTTTTCTTTTTTTTCGCTTCTTTTTTTCTTTTTGGTATTTTAACTCGTTATACATTTATTACAGTCATTGTTGTTTATTTCAATAGAAGAACAAAAACGAACATTTTAGTTATTCGATTACTTTTTATTAAGTGAAGAATAGAAAGTTACCTTTTTTTTTTTCTTCATTCTTTTTTTATTATTATATTTATTATTATTATTTTTTTTCCATCAAACCCTTTATTTTATTATCATCCTTACAGTTTTACTTCAAATTCACTTGGATTCTTGAACTGAAACATACACCATGTCAAGTCAAACAAGAACTGTACGTCTTACTGTGATTGCTGCTGATGGTTTAATTAAGAAAGATCTTTTCTTTAAGTTGCCTGATCCTTTCGGTACATGAATTACATTTATACAGTTTGTCGTCGTTTTTTTTTTATCTTTTCTTTTATTAATATTATTTCCCTCTCTCCTTTTTTATGTATCTATTTATGTAGCTGTGGTGACTGTGGATGGTGAACAAACTCATACAACAACTGTTATGAAGAAAACTTTAAATCCTTATTGGAATGAAAGTTTTGATTTGTAAGTACTAAAATAAAATAAAATAAAAAAAAAGGAGAAAAATCAATACTCATTTTTTTTTTTTTGATTGTGCTATAATTGAAATTCTATAGACAAGTCTCAAATCAAAGTGTAATTGCAGTACAAGTCTTTGATCAAAAGAAATTCAAAAAGAAGGATCAAGGCTTTCTTGGTGTTATTAATGTTCAAGTCAGTTCTGTATTTGATCTTGATGTTGGGGGTGATGGTAAGTTATATAAAAATGGATCAATTCTCTTGGCCTTTTTTTTTTTTTTTGTCCTTTTTATTTTTTTTTATTTTTGTCTCACGTTTTCTTTTTTTAGAAATGCTTACACTGGATTTGAAAAAGTCAAATGGCAACGAAACTGTACATGGCAAATTGATTCTGAATATATCTACTAATGTCAACGCTCCTATTCGTAATGGTACCAATACCCTTGCTCCAGCATCAAATAATAGTACCAACGTTTCAAGTTCATCTTTATCTCGTCAAGCCAATGGAGAACCATCTACTTCTTTTCCAGTTTCATTGGATACCACAGAAGCAGCCACATCTTCTTCTTCAACCAATACACCAACTCCACGAACAGATGAAAGACATGCTGATTTACCGCCAGGGTACGTTACAAATATACTAATATAATATATATATTCTATAAACAAACAAAAATTGATGAAAATTTTTTTTATAGTTGGGAAAGACGTGTAGATCATCTTGGTCGTCCCTATTATGTTGATCACAATAATCGAACAACAACATGGAAACCTCCAACGTAAGTAATTAATTAAAGTTAAAAATTAGATCTTACTGATATCATGTTTTTTTTTTATTAGAGCAAATACAGTACAAGATCAACAACAACAAACAGAAAGGGAACGACAACGACATAATGCACGAGGACTTCCAGAAGAACGATCAAGTGCTGCTACCAGTGCCACCTCTCTTGACAATCGACCTGCATCTACTATTTCTACATCTGGTGCTTCTACATCTACTGCACAACCTTCTGCTCCAACTTCCTCTCATGCATCAACGACTACACCAAGTGCACCCAATGTTTTACCTGTTCAGAATAATATGACTACTGCTGGATCTGGTCCATTACCAGCTGGTTGGGGTATGTATTGATATTTTACATATCTTTTTTTTTTTTTTAATAATTCACCATTTTCTTTTCTTCTTCTTCTTATTAGAAATGCGAACTACCGCAGAAGGTCGTCCTTATTTTGTTGATCACAATACTCGAACAACTACTTGGGTGGATCCAAGACGACAACAATATATTAGCACCATTGGCCCTGGTTCCAACCTTCAAGTCCAAGTACAACCTGTATCATCATTAGGTCCTTTACCTTCTGGATGGGAAATGCGTTTGACATCTACTGGTCGTGTTTACTTTGTCGATCACAATACTAAAACAACTACATGGGATGGTAAGATATTTGATTATAAATGAAACAGATGATTAATTATATTTCTATGATATATATATATAGATCCTCGTTTACCAAGTAGCCTTGATCAAAACGTACCTCAATATAAACGTGACTTCCGGCGTAAATTGATTTATTTCCGATCACAACCTTCTTTACGACCAGTACCTGGACAATGTCATATCAAGGTTCGTCGTGAAAACATTTTTGAAGATGCCTATGCTGAAGTAATGCGTCAAGCTCCTGCAGATCTCAAGAAACGACTCATGATCAAGTTTGATGGTGAAGATGGTTTAGATTATGGTGGTTTATCAAGGTTTGTATTTCACAACTCAAACCTTCTTTATATCGAAACTCATTTTTTTTTTGTTGTTTGTTTGCTTTATATAGAGAGTTCTTCTTTTTACTTTCACATGAAATGTTCAATCCCTTTTATTGGTAAGAAACTCACGATAACAAAAAAGAAAAAAAAAACATAACATTGATTATTATTATTATTATTATTTTAATTCTAGTTTATTCGAATATTCTGCTCACGACAACTATACATTACAAATCAATCCTCATTCTGGTATTAATCCTGAACATTTGAATTACTTTAAATTTATTGGTCGCGTGGTTGGTTTGGCTATATTCCATCGTCGTTTCTTGGATGCCTTCTTCATTGTTTCTTTCTACAAGATGATTTTGAACAAACGTGTTACTGTGGCTGATATGGAAAGTGTGGATGCCGATTTCCATCGAAGTTTGATGTGGATTCTGTAAGTGGATGATTGAAAAAAGAAAAATCATAGATAAATGGCTAATCTTGATTATTATATTATTTTTTTTTTTTAGTGACAATGATATTACCGACGTACTTGATCTTACCTTTTCTACAGATGACGATCGATTTGGTGAAATGGTGACAGTGGATCTTAAACCTGGTGGTCGTGATATTGAAGTTACTGAAGAAAACAAGAAAGAATATGTCAAGTAAGTAAAAGAGACTAAGAAAAAAGAAGTGGAGGAAAGAGACTTAATTTTTTTTTTTTTTGAAGTTTGATCACTGAATGGCGTATTTCAAAACGTGTGGATGAACAATTCCAAGCATTCAAGGAAGGTTTCAATCAACTTATTCCTCAAGATTTGATCAATGTGTTTGATGAACGTGAATTGGAACTATTGATTGGTGGTATTGCCGAAATCGATGTCGACGATTGGAAGAAGCACACCGATTATCGTGGATATACTGAACAAGATGATGTCATCCAATGGTTCTGGACTTGTGTACGCTCTTGGGATAGTGAAAAGAAATCTCGTTTATTACAATTCACTACTGGAACTTCTCGTATTCCTGTCAATGGATTCAAAGATTTACAAGGAAGTGATGGTCCTAGACGATTCACCATTGAAAAAAGTGGAGAGGTAAAAATATAAAACATGTTGACAACAAAACCCAAGGACAATCATTAATATCATGATCTTTTTTTTTTTTAGGTTTCCCAACTTCCAAAGGCACATACTTGGTAAAGAGAGAAAAGAAAAGGGAGAGTGACGTGACTATACTAATATGTATTTTTTTTGTTAATCATTTCAATAGTTTCAATCGGATAGATATGCCTCCTTATCAATCTTTCCAAAGTCTAGTAGCGAAATTGACTCTTGCTGTGGAAGAAACAATGGGCTTTGGTCAAGAATAGAAATATTATACAACTACTTTTTTTTTTCTTTTTTTGGTTTTACACAATCTTCCCGTCATACAACACCAATATGTTACCCTCAAACAATTGACTCGAATCTATTTAGTATATTTTTTTTTTTTCATTATCATATAATTCCCTTTTCCCCATTTCTTTTTTTTTTTATCTAGTAACAGTACCATCTCTTTTTTTACCTTTATTTTTCTCTCACACATACTATTCTTTTTTTTTTTTTTGATTATCCTGTTACTTACATATTCTTTATCCCCCATTGACAGTTGTACTTTCCCCCTTTTTATTTTCTCTCTTTTATTTGTCAATTCGATGAAATAAAACAAGATCAACATTACTTTTTAACTTTTTTTTTTGTAGATATGTCTATATAGAAAAACAACATGACCTAATAATCCTTTACTAATACAATGTGAAAATCTGAAACGGAAATTCGTATAATGGTGAATAGAATATGATCATGATAGAGAGCATGATAATACAATAATAATGAGACATGAATATCTTTATTATTAACAACAAATTCTAAACTAAAAAAAAAAAGAAAAAAATTAAAGACGATGCCATTTTTTCGATAAAAGATCAGCCCTTTTCCACGATCCATGGGGAGGCGAAGATTCATTAGATTTATCCCAAGTCACCCGACGATCCTTTTCCAATTTCAAGAGATGTAACAAGACGCTATGAGCAGCAGGCAAGTGAAGAGAGGCAGGATAATCACGATAAAGCACTTGCACGATTTCCATGGGAGTAGATGGTTTGTTCAAAAAATCCAAGACTTGTTGTTCCCGTTGTTCACGATGAGCGATATATTCCTTGATTTTCGGCAGAGCAGGTTCTACAATAGGGCCATGGCCAGGGTATAAACGCACAGGATGTAAACGCAAGATGGATCTCAAGCCCTCTAGATAGGCAGACAGGTCTTCAAAAACAGCCGTGCCTTGACCTAAAATACAATCGGCTGTAAACACACTTTGTTCCTCTTCCAACCAAAACGTGCAGTGATCTTGTGTATGTCCAGGAGTATGCAATACTTTCAAGGTGGCGCCTTCTGTTTGAAAGACTTGCTGATCATGCAATGGATGGACGTGAATATCAGGTGGGAAATGTTGTAAATGACCAAGGTCAGCGGTATCTATCACGGTAATGTTGTCATTGGTTATTGAACAAGAAGAAGAAGAAGAAGATATGGGGAATTTGTGCACACGAATTCCTTTTCGTTGGAAGAATGGTGTAGATAATATTCCTTCCAAACCACCAAAATGATCCTTATGTCCATGAGAAATAATCACATCCGAGATATATGCTTGCGGCGAAATGGCCTGTAATGACTGTTCAAGTAATGGTACATAGTCAGGAACACCTTCTCCACAATCCAATAGTAATTTTCGTGGTCCTGTACCAATAAGATATGTATTTGTACCTTGAAAAAAAAAAGATATCGTCAGTTCCCACATACTATTAGCTTATCAATCATAATTCTTTCTTTACCTTGAAGAGTGAAACGACCAGGATTGCCACCCAACACCCGCCATACTCTATCTGATAAACGAGTAAAAGGTGCTAACTTTGTAAGAGTTTCAGTCATAAAATGTATTAAATAAGTGGAATAGTTAAAAATAAAAAAAGAAAGAGAGAGACGAGAACATAAAAAGGATGGGGAAGACAAAGAAAAAAAGAGCTGAGTTCATATCCTGACATTTTTATTGTTCATCAAAAACAAAAAAGGAAATCCAGTCGTAAAATACAGGAAAAACTAGTTGATATAGAAACTAATGATTTTCTATTGTTACCCCATTGAGAGCAGCTTCTTCTTGAATGACTATGGCAAGACGACGTAAAGCTTCATCCGCTTCTTCATAGGATACATTACTAAACGATAATCTGACATAAGGTGTCATCCCACCATTAGGTAAAAAGGCCTAAAATACATAATAATAAATAAATAATAAAAAAAAAAAATAGATCAAATAAGCTTTTTGAAGTATATTTTTCATCTGTTTTTCAAAAAAAAAAAAAAAACTTTACTTCACCAGGAACAGCCACTACATTTCTTGCTGTTGCTTTTGTCATGATCACTTCCTTTGAATCCGTAATACCACCAAGTAATTTCATCCAAACAAACTAATACAAAAAAAATAAAATAAAAAATAAAATAATATATATATATATATATATAAGATTGAATATCATAATAGGAGAATACTTTTTTTTTTTTTTTTTTTTTTTTTTTTTGCTTCAAATTGTTACCATGCCACTATCCGGAATATCCCATTCAGCATAACCTTTCATATGCCGTTCCAATAATTCAATAAACGCCTTGGCCTTGTCTTCATAAAATGATGACACTTTTCTTACATGAGCATCGAATCCATCATATCCCCACTTTTCCAATAATTCATAGGCTGCCAATTGTGATATACCAGAAGGTTGTAAATTTGTTGACTATTAGTCATATGTAAAAAAAAAAAAAAGTGAGTATATTTATATTTCTGATTTATGTATTACCTGTGAATGTATATTGATTTGATCTATCAATACTTGAGGACCAGTAGCAAAACCAATACGTAAACCAGAAGAGAGAATCTTGCTCAAACTATCAAAACGAAGAACACGACCATCTACATCAATGGATAAATAGGAAGGGATACGATCTTTGCGAAACTATTTCCAAATATCAATCCATCAATAAAAATAAATAAATAAATAAAAAAGAGGTTACCTGTAAATAGTAGTAAGGATCATCTTCAAGAATCAAAATCCCATATTTTTGACAGATAGAGTAAATCTCTTGTTTTCTTTCAAAGGAGGCACTAACACCAGAAGGATTTTGACCGGATGGAATAACATAAAGAATACGAGGACGAGGTTTTTCATGGATAGGCCATTCTTGAAGAATACGTTGTAATTCATCAGGCATCAAACCCGAAGCATCGGTGGAAACACCGACCAGCTGACATGGCTGTGATTTCAAAAAGCTTAATACACCGGTATAAGTAGGATTTTCTACCAAAATAGGAGTACCAGGATTGATGAACATTTGAAGTGCCTATGGAGAAAAAGTATGTTAAAAGTAATCTTTTATATATATCATCCCATTACCTTTGTAATAAGATCTTGAGATCCAACACCAATGGTAAGTCCAAATTCAACCTTGGGTTTATGTTCCACTTGTTGTAATCCTTTTAACCATTGATTCAATGGACTAAATCCACTCTATAAAAAAAAAAAAAATCAATTCACACAGCATGAACCCCGTGAGAAAAATAAAATCAAAAACTTACTGTCAAATCATATGAGAGACATTTCTTGAAGTGTTCCGCGTCCACTTGAATAACTTGACCTGTTTTCAATGTTAACTGCATACTTTCATAAGGAAACGTATCTGGATTAGGGTTACCAGCCCCTAAAGAGATCTAATGGTAATCGAGTTAGTCATGTTGTTCATGTTATTCTTTTTTTTTTATATCGTACCATTCCCTTCCTTGCCACAAAAGGAGCAAGAGCGCGAACTATTATCATATAATTTGTCATGAGCTTTGTCATATCATAAAAAAACATAGTACTTACTTGGAGATGGTTGTCTATTCTTGCTTTCATCGCTAAGGTAACTACGATAATCCATGGTGTTAATAAATAATAAGAATAATAAAGAGAAAAAAAAAAAAAAGAGAAAGGAAGAGAAAAAGGAACGTCAGCCATTTTTTTTTCATTATTATTATCATTATCAGTTGCCTTATTCCCCAAAAGGAAATGCGAAGGAGATTTAAACTTTTCTTACACTTGAACCTCCAGGTCAACACAAAACTTGATGGTGAATGATATATGTAGTTTTAGTAAACAAACAAGGGATGGAAATCAATAAATAGGAATGATGATTATAATTACTTTTTTTTTATTATTGAACAATCAATGAAGTAAATAAAAATGATAATAATGTAATATAAGATGCTGGGGGGAGAAAAAAAGATACAGTAATAACAATATAAAAAAAAAAATCTATTCTATAGGAATACCAGCATATTCATCGAAACCAAGAGCCAAGTTAAGATTTTGAACAGCTTGAGTGGCACTACCTTTAAGAAGATTATCTATGGTAGTAATAATGACAGCACGACGACCTTCAGGATGAACGGCGAACCCACCGATACGAACAAAATGTTTGCCAGAATTGTCACGAACATAGGGTTCACCTTGATCCAATACATGCACTAACTTTTCATCTTGATAATATTCCTGGAAGGCCGATTTGATATCACGACTGGACATAGGCTTGGCCAAAGGAACATTAACAGTCAAAGAGATACCTTGGAACCAAGAAGCAACATGAGGAATAAAGTTGACCCGAGTACCCAATTGATGAGATACTTCACGTTCATGGATATGGCCTGTCAAGGTGTAAGGTAATAAATTATCATGTAAAACAGCAGGATCATTCTTGGGAGAAGGTTTGGTGCCAGCACCCGAGTAACCTGACACACCAAATACTGTTGGAGAGGATAACTTGTCCAAGAAAGGTAATAAGGGTCGTAAAGACATTTGTGCACCTGTGGCATAACATCCAGGATTGGAGATTCGATTAGCTCCTTGTAAATTGACTCGATTGAATTCTACAAAAAAAAAAAAAAAAAGAAAAAAAAAGAAATCAAATAGAAGGTTAGGGGGCTACGTTTTTTTTTTTTTTTTTTTATTATTTACCAGGTAAACCATAAGTCCAAGTATCATCAAATCGATAATCAGCACCCAAATCAATAATCACTTTGTTCTTTGAATCACCTTCCTTGACATCCTTTTCAATTTGATGGACAAAAGGAGTACAAACGCCATTAGGTAAAGCCATTACCCAAGCATCGACTTGTTCTTGTGCCTTGAGATCATCAGGTTTCAAATTGACATAGGTTAAATCAGCCTTGGTGTAACCTTCTAAAGGTTTACCTTCTAATTCACGAGAGCTAACATGGGTCAAATTCATATGGGGATGATTGTTGATGATGTTAACAAGTTCCTTTCCAGTATAGCCACGAGCACCAATAAGACCAATGTTCTTTTTTTGATGTGTAACTGTAGCAAATCCTCGACGTTGTTGATAACCCAAGGTAGAATAAGCACGAGTACCAGAAGGAACGGTTTGTCCATTGAATCCATCCAAAGTTTGCTTTACCTTATCAGAATCTTGAATACCGTAGAAGAACATGGTACTTCCATCTTTGGGGTTGCGAAGAGAACCATCAGCACGTTCGAAATGCCATGATCGATCCAAATTAGCTTCTCCTTCCTTTGCATCCACACGCCAAGTCAATACATTATGATCTTTTCGAATAGTGTTCCAAAGATTGTCAGGTACATTGTTGAGAACAGCTGTCTTGCTAGCTAATAATTTTTCTAATACTGCAGGTTGACTTGGATCAGAAGGATCACTTGTAACAACAGCCAAAACTTGTCCAGGTTCATCAGTGTAAATATTGACTTTAGGTTTTTGTTGTAATTCACGGAGATAACTTGCTACAGAAGTTGTTCCAGACTTGACCACATTATCTTCAGCTTCCATGATACGGCGGAGTTTGTCAGGATCAACTTGATCCAATTGGTCATACTTGAATAATTTGTGTCCTCGACGAATCAAAGTACCAGCACCAGAGTCTGTAAATAATTCCTTATGAAGATGACCGGCAGAGATGATAGCAACAGAAGAAGATCGAGGAAGTCCATCCAATAATTCCTTACATTGACGAATCTTGAGTTTTGTACCATATTTAACCCAAGGTTCTTTGAGTAAATCATCATATTCCTAAAAGAAAAAAAAATAATAAAAAAAGGTCAGTAGAGTGATTTTTAGATTTGTGTGTATGATGAGTGATTTGAAAGAAAATGCGTGATTTTTTTTTTTTTTGTAACTTACTTCATCCAAATTGATCACATCAATTTTCTTTCCAGTAACACCATGATATAATCCATTCTTTTCATTCAAAAAGACAATTTTCAAAGGTTCCAAAACAGTAGCTAATTCAGCGGCAGCAACGTCAGCATTCACATTCAGGATTTGACCATCAGGTGTTTCAGCCAAAGAGGTTAAAATGGGGAGAGTACCAGCACGGATAGATGATTCGATGACTTCCTTATTGACACTCTTGATTTGACCCACATAACCATACTTTTCTTTATCCAAATAGTCAGCAACAAATACACCTCCTGGAATAGGACGAGCACGAGTACCATGACGTTCCAAAGCATCCACGAGTTTCAAATTTTCAGCCAAAAATACCTTGCGAGCAATTTCCAATGTTTGAGGGTCAGTAATACGAATACCTTCTTCATATTGAGGTTCAATACCAGCATCGTCCAATAAGCGATTCAACTGAGGACCGGCACCATGTAATACAATAGGATATAAACCAACACGATTCAAAAAAGTTAAAGCTGATGCTAAGGTTTCAAGTTCATCTGTCAATACGGCACCACCCACCTTGATGACAGCAAACTTTTGAGATTCCACCGAGGAGAAGTGACGAAGGTATTGTTCTACTTCTTTTCGAGAGCCAATATTGTAAAGAAGTTTGACAATTGTTTCCTATAAAATAAAATTTTTCTTTAGTATATATATATAATTTTAATTATAGTATTTCCTTTACCTTTTCAGAAGTAGCACTGGCATCTTGGTTACTGTATCCTCGACGACTTTGTAAACTAGGTTGTTGATAAAGGGTATTGACAATAGCTCGACTAGTTAAACGAGCACCTAATCGATAAGTCAAAGGTCGAGAGGCTACTATTTGTCGAGCACTAGCAGAAAGCATCTCCAACAAATAATAATAATAATAATAAAAAAAAAAGAATAGAAATAAGAAAGAAAAGAGAATAATAAAAAAAAAGATGAGACAAGACCTTTTTCCTGCCTGATCGGAATATCAATTCTGATTTTCCTTTTTTTTTTTTTTTTTTTTATCTTGATTGAGATAAAGGTGTAGAGTGACTTGCCCAGTTTGTACATAATGACTCACACTTGGAAAAAAAAAATCTTGAAAATCTTCAAACTCAAAAAAAAAAAAAAAGATAGAGATAATACACTAAAACCTGTTGACTCATTTTATAAGACTTCTTTTTGATTAAAATTTTTTTTTCTTTTCTACTTGAATAATAATAATCAATCTTCTTTATACATAAATCATAGTAAAATTGTTTATATTCATCTTTATAAGATTTATTAACCATTATTCTCTCTTTATTACCTCACTTTGTGGGGTAAAAATTGATAATCGTAGCTGATAGTGAATAATACCTTGAGACGGAATGATCGTAAGCGGACACTCAATATTGGCTTCCCTTTTTTGCTTTTAAAAAGGCCAATTTTTTTTCTTCTTTTTTTTTTTCTTTTCTTTTTCTAATTCAATACTTTTTTTTTTATATATTTCTTAAATATTTTTTTAGTTACATAAAACACATATACAATGGCTGGTGAAAAAGGAAAGGTTCTTCTTGCTTATTCTGGTGGTCTTGATACTTCTTGTATTTTGGCTTGGTTAATTGAACAAGGTTATGAAGTCATGGCTTACATTGCTGATGTTGGTCAAGAAGAAGACTTTGAAGCTGCTCGTAAAAAGGCTCTTGCAGTTGGTGCATCCAAGGTGTTTGTTGAAGTAAGTACTTGATATATATATATATATATAAGTCTAATATTGACGTGTTTTTCATATATATATTCTTTTTAATTCTTAATAGGATCTTAAAGAAGAATTTGTTAAGGAACTTATCTTCCCTGCTATTCAAGCTAATGCTATCTATGAATCTGTTTATCTTTTGGGTACTTCTTTGGCGCGCCCTGTCATTGCTCGTAAGCAAATTGAAATCGCTGCTCGTGAAGGTTGTCAATTTGTGTCTCATGGTTGTACTGGTAAGGGTAATGATCAAGTTCGATTTGAATTGGCCTATTATGCTTTGAAACCTGATATTCAAGTCATCGCTCCTTGGAGATTACCTGGTAAGCAAAAAAAAAAAAAAAAATCAAGGATAGAAATGGTTGTTTTTGATGGCTTTGGTTTGGTTGAGTGATTCGTGTCATTGGTTTGAATGCGTGTGAAACTAAACTCAAATTTTTTTTTTCTATCTTAGTATTCTTTGAACGATTTGCTGGTCGAAAGGATTTATTGGCTTTTGCTGCTGAAAAGGGTATCCCTGTTGTTCAAACTGCTGCCAAACCTTGGTCTACTGATGAAAACTTATTCCATATCTCATATGAAGCTGGTATTCTGGAAGATCCCAACGTGACTCCTCCTAAAGATATGTGGAAATTAACTGTTGATCCTGAAGACGCACCAAACACACCTGAAAGAATCACTATTTCTTTCGAAAAAGGTATTCCTGTCAAGGTTGTTAATCACAATGATGGTACTGAAGTCACTGAACCTGTTGCCTTGTTCACCTATCTCAATACTATCGCTCGTCGAAATGGTATTGGTCGTATTGATATTGTGGAATCTCGATTTATTGGTGTTAAATCTCGAGGTTGTTACGAAACTCCCGGTGGTACTATTCTTCGTACTTGTCACGTTGATTTGGAAGGTCTCTGTTTGGATGGTCAAATGCGTGCTCTTCGTGATCAAAACATCACTGTTCCTTACTCTCGAGCTCTCTACAATGGTCTCTACTTCTCTCCTGAATGTGAATTATTGAATCAATCTATTGCCTTTACACAACGTAACGTCACTGGTGACGTGAAAGCCAAGCTATACAAAGGTAATGTTATTATTGAAGGTCGTGTTGCTCGTGGTGATGGTGCCAAGTTATATGATATGCAAGAATCTTCCATGGATGAACAAGGTGGTTACAATCCTCAAGATGCTGATGGTTTTATTAAGATTCATTCTATTCGTCTCAAGAAATTCACTCCTGCCAATCAATAAGATTGACAATTATACATAGTTCCGTTTTTCCCCCCATTTTGTTTCATCTCCTTACTGCATTTTTTTTCCTTTGTTTATTCATTTGTTTTATATATTAATAATAAAGAAAATGTTTCGTTTTTTTTTTAAGTATTGTATGTACAATCTATTGATATTAACAACTGTAACTTTTCTTTGTTCTATTGATGGTTTTTGAATCATCCACTTTTAAAAAACGGAAGAAAGTCATATACAGTTAATATTTTTGGTAGTACTATATCTGAATTCTACCCAGATTTTCCCATCTGCATATGATACCATTTCATTTCTTTACGCAATGGGAAAAATGAAGTAAGATGGAACAGAATAAACAAGACTGAATCGCGTTTACTTTTTTTTTTTTCCTACTCTGTGATTAGAGTCTCTTTGTATCGAGTTGTTTGATGAATACATGAAATGTTCATAGACAGATTGATGATTGATTGTCGATGATTGATTGTCGATGATTGATTGAACGATGACAGATTGTTGATGATTGATTGATGATGATTGGATAATATGGATGATAATATATGAATGATAATATGGAGGATAATATGATATCTTATTACGATGACAAAAATTTCACGATGATTCCTATGATGGTAATATTGGCATAAAAATAGATATATTAATGTATTTTATTTTATTTTATTTTATTTTTTAATCAAATTTGGATAATAGATACAAGAATATAAAACAAATAAAATAAATTTCAATAATATAAACAGGATAAATACAATAAAAAAAAATAGAATAAAGAAGAGGAATATGGTATCATGTATATAAAAAAAAAAATCTATATATAGTTGTTCAAAAGTGTTCCACAAATCGACTAGTCTTCAAGGATCCTTCACGCCAACTGTTTCTTGCAGACTGAGAAGCACTACCCGTCACGTTGGATGATGCAGGGGGATGATTTGTCACTAAAGATTCTTGTTGTTGTGAGTGGGTCGTTAGGCTACTATCATGAAGACGATCGTGCATATTGTAATCGTCGTTGATCTTGATCATAGATTCTTCCGCAGGCTGATGCATTTCCACTTCTTGTGGTGCTGGTCCTGGTGCTGGTCCTTCTGATCGTATTAACGCGGATGATGTATCTTCTGCTGTAAGTGGGTTGGAGACTTTTCGTTGCTGTAGTTCTTGCTGTTGTGGTCGTAGTCGTCGAAGTATGAGAGATAAAGATCGTTGAAGTTGATTTGCCCAAGTAGTTGCATTATCACCATCGTTCGTGTAAACATTGTGTCGATGTTCACCTTGTTGTCTTGATGTAGATCCAATATTTCTTTCTTCATTTCTACTTCGTTGTTGCGTCGTCATAGGGTGAGTTGATTGTTTTTTTTTGTGACGCCACCATAGTAAAACAAGTACCAGTAAAAAAGCAGCTCCTATTACTCCCAAAAGTGTTGACAATACAATAACTAGGGTATGATTATCGTCATTATCATTTTGTTGACCGTCGGTTGGAAAAGGGGATGGAGAAGGGGAAGAAGAAGAGAGTAAAGTTGATAGCCAGGCTGGAGTGGTTAAAAAAGTGCGATCGGTTATATTCCAAAAGCGGAGTGAGAATTGATTGCTTGATGAAATAGTTGACGATGATAATGATGATGATGATAATGATGATAATGATAATGATGATGATGATAATGATGATGATGATGGCATGTCACGGTCATTCACACTGTTCCCACCATAAAATATAATAGTATTTTCCACACGCGTTGCTGATCCACCGTTGATTGAATTAAAAGAGGAAGTGGATGATGTATCAGTTGGTTGCCATGCTAAATGCACAAAAGGTAGAGAAGACGATGATGATGATTCGGTTCCAATATCCAAGATCCAATATCCGTCAAGATGAGTAGCATTATTATTTGTATCTATTTTTTGTTGACGTTGTTCCCTGCGATAACCTGGAATGTCTTGATGTATTTGTTGTTGTTGCTCTGCATCAAAATGAGTCACGTTTTCGTCCAATGTTGCATTAATCACCGTGTCGATCCAGGCAGGCACAATCAATAAAGTATCGTTTTTGTTGATATCATTTGTGTTGTTATTGTTGATCATAACAGCTTGGACGTGATTCGTAATACTGGTAAAATTCAATAGATGACCAATCCAAGCCATGGAGGAGATATCGAAACAATAGATCGAGACATTATATAATGATGATGATGATGATGATTGTTCCACATTAAAAAAAAGAATCCATGATGATGTTGTAACTAAAGTTGCGCTATTCAGATGAATATCGATATTCAAAGGTATAGATGAAGATAATATCGACCAAGTCCATTGTAGTTGATCATTGCTTGCATCCAATAGCCATGTTGATAATGAAGTGTTATTTTTCGCAAGAACTAATACCGTGTCATCATTCATAATCGTTGCTGCCACTGTGTCTAAATCGGGTGGAGATGTTTGTTGATTCCCTGAATAATCTACGGATGATGTTATAGTCCATGTCAAAGAATTCAGATCGATGGTAGCATTGTGTAATAAGGATGAATAAAACAGAATGGCTTGTCCGTAACTAGTTACTGTACAAATAGATGCTGCTATTGATGATGATGATGATGATGGATTGGGAATCCATTGTATAGAGGGTGTCTGTGTTGAATTAGGTGTGAGAGTGTCATTCGAAAATCTGAGTGATAATGATGTTGAATTAGTATCTTGACCTTGTAATATAAAAAGGGTATTATTGTATGATAAAGCACAATGATTTTTCCTAGGTAATCCAAGAACTGTAAGAAGATTTTGATTGATATCAACTGCATTCGCTAACATCATTGGCCAACAACAAAATATACTAAGCCAAACAAAAACATTCTTCCTAGAAACATCAACAACACGGTTCAGTAGTGCAATGCAGTCAATATCATCCGATATCGTCCGACGTGATGTGCATAGCATGGCGATAGTAGTGTATGATGATGTTATTGGTGATGATAATGTTGTTGGTGAAAATGAAGAGGAAGAAGAGAAGGAAAAAAGAAGGAACGAACAAAAAAAAAAAAAAAAAAAAAAGAGACATAAGTAATTAGAAATCCAGATTTCAACTTACATAAAAAAGGTCAAGCCCAGAGCCACATGACGATCGTTAGGGACACAAAGACGCTGATGTATATATTTATAACAACATAAAAGGCATGAATTTTATTTTTAAAACAAAAAAAAAACAAAGGCGTTTCTTTTATTGACAAAAAAAAATGTGTATGATGTGACAAAGAGGGAATTGATATCTAAAGAGCAAGATGAAGAGGGTAGACTACCTACAGGTCAGAAATAAATGTCATATATTCTTTCTTTAGTTGGCAGCCTTGTAGCTATTTTCAAAAAAAAAAAAAATGGTGAGATGATTTTTGAGTTTGCCACAATTCCTTTTTTTTCTTTTAATAATCAATCTTGGCCCGTTTCCTTAGCCACTCTAATCTAATTCAAATCATTTCACTTACAATTGCCAGTAAGCACCTAAAAAAAAATGAACACAAAGGATACAAATAAGTATGACATGAAAACTATTTTTAACTGAAGTTTTTTTTTTTTTTTTTTTATGTTCTTACCAAGGAAAGGAGCACCGAAACCCAAACCGAGATAAAGAGTCATCTTGATGGCAAGAGCAGCACGGTTCTTGGTGCTGAAAGGAAGGTTCTATATAAATAAAATAAAACAAGGTCAGTATTTCTGATTGAATTAAAGTGGCACTCATTAAAAAAAAAAGATCCTTAATTGTTTTTCAATGCTTACTTGACCGTTGCTGTTTTCAAAGTGATACAAGTCGGAACGCATGATTTGACGAGTAGCCAAGCGAGAACGGATGGCGGAACGAGCAATAACGTTGGAGTACATGATAATAGTAAAGAAAGAGTAGGGAGGATGAAGAGAAGGAAAAAAAAAAAAAATCAAAAGTGGAAAAGGAAAAAAAAATTTTGTTTTGTGGTTGTTGGCCGGGGGGAATTCCAAAGGTTTGAAATTCCGAGTATAGTTGGACCAACGTCACTTTGGACCTCACTGATCAAAAAAAAAAAAAAAAAGGGACGTGTGCCTCAGATACTACTAACAAATTACCACCACACTTTTATAGATTGATAATGAATAAAATAGAATACTAGCAGCAATTATTCTATAAAAAAGTAAACAATGGTTATATAGTCACAGTAAGGATTTTATTACCAATGAACTCAGCGATCTAGTGAGAGGTTTACACAATTCATCATAAAAAAAAAAGAAGATAATCGTTCATTGAATGTAAAAATGCATCAATTTTGAAAAGATTTCCATCTTGATATATAATCCATAAAAGGAAAGAGATCCTTTTGAAATAAACTCCGGAACCTTTTATAAAATTCATAAAAACTATCAAATTTTACGAGTTTCTCTTTTTTTTTTCCATTCTTCTTTCTTTCCTTCTTTCTTTATTGTTATTATGTCTGAAAAGTAAGTCTTTTATATTAATTAAAAATAGTTAATTAACTTTTTATTCACTTTTTATAGAAAGATTCTTTTACTCGGTTCTGGTTTTGTTGCTGCTCCTGCTGTTGAATACATTCTTCGACGTCCTGAAAATAAGCTTACTATTGGTAAAAAGGAAAAAAATAAGATAAAGATAACCTAACTTTTTTTTTATATATATATCTTATCTTTTTTTTTCAACTTTTATTCTTTTATTAGCTAGTAGACGTCTTGAAAATGCTGAAGCTCTAGTTAAACAATATCCTGCTGCTACTGCTGTTTCTTGTGATATTAACAATGAAAAGGCTATTGAAGATTTAGTGGCTCAACATGACCTTGTTATTAGGTAAGATAATATAACAAAGAACGCGTTCATATAAGTAGAATGAACTTTATTCATTCCAAATTATTATTGATTTGGATTTTATTATCTTTTTCTAGTTTGATCCCTTATATCTATCATGCCTTGGTTATCAAAGCTGCTGTCAAACATAAGAAGAATGTTGTCACTACATCATATGTATCTCCAGCTATGATGGAATACGATCAAGCGTAAGTAATCTTTTTTTTTTTTTTTTTTTTTTTTTTTTTTTTAGTGGAGACTGTGAGAAAAAAATCGGAGTTATGATGAGAATCCTTTGTATAAGGTATACTAACTAAACCTATTTTTTTTTTCTTTTGTTTGTTTTCATTTTAGTGCAAAGGATGCTGGTATCACTGTGATGAATGAAATTGGTCTTGATCCTGGTATTGATCATTTGTATGCTGTTCGTACTATTGAAGAAGTGCATAATCAAGGTGGAAAGGTAATGAATGAAAGATATAAAATATGCATAGTACTTACTCATCATTTTTTTTTGTTAGCTTCTTGAATTCATTTCTTTCTGTGGTGGTTTACCTGCTCCTGAAAATTCTAATAATCCATTTGGTTATAAATTCTCTTGGTCTGCTCGTGGAGTCTTGTTGGCATTGAAAAACACTGCAAAATATCTTGAAAATGGCAAGGTGATTGAAGTATCTGGTACTCAATTAATGGATTCTGCTCGCAAATTGAACACTGGTTATCCTGGATTTGCTTTTGTTGGTTATGGTAATCGTGATTCCACTCCTTATGACAAACGTTATAATATCCCTGAAGCTCAAACAATCATCCGTGGTACTCTCCGTTATGATGGTTTTTGTCAATTTGTCAAGGCTTTGTTCAAACTTGGATTCCTTAGTGAAGATGTTCAAGCTCATTTGACCAGTGATGCTCCTGAAATTGCATGGAACCAAGTGATTGCCAAAGCATCTGGAGCTAAGAGTACTCACGAAAATGATTTGAAGGCGGCTATCATTGCCAAGTGTGAACTTGAAAACGACGACAACAAGGCTCAAATTTTAGATGGTATGCGATGGGTCGGATTCTTCTCCAACAACAAGGTTCATCGTCGTAATAACTTGCTTGACACATTCTGTGCTACTTTGGAAGAAAAGATGCAATATGAAAAAGGTGAACGTGATTTGGTTTTCTTACAACATCGATTTGAAATTGAATTGAAGGATGGTTCTCGACAAACTCGTACATCTACTCTTGTTGAATATGGTAAACCCGATGGATTCTCAGCCATGGCCAAGACTGTGGGTGTTCCTTGTGGTATTGCAGTACAATTGATTTTGGATGGTAAACTTAATAAAACTGGTGTTCTCGCTCCCATGTCATCTGATATCAATGACCCTATTATTGAATTGCTTGAACAAGAAGGTATTGGTATGGTAGAAAAGATCTTGTAAATTTAGATTAGAATTAACTTTTCAAATAAAAAAATTGAATATGTTATCTGTCGTTTAAATCTTTGATTGACATTTGAAAAAATCGGCTTTTTGGTCATGGGTGGGTTGGTCATCGGGAATCAATAAGGCGGCAAATCTTTTTGACGATGGCCTAACAATGTTTTTTTTTTTTTTCAGCGATTGGAAAAAAAACTTTTTTCATTTTTTTCCCGCTCTTTCTTCTTTGTTTTCTTTCTTTCTCCATCAATACTTTATCATGTTCTTGTCTCGTACCGCCGCTACCGCTCTTAAGGTCAACGCTTTGTCTGCTGCAAAGGTAAAGTGAAAAAAAAGGAAACAGTTTACGATCAATACTTTTTTTTTTTTTGAATGGTTTATCATAGTCATTATTTTTTTTTCTCTCTTTGGTTTCGAAACCCCTGGTTTTCTAACTATTATCTTTTTATCTCCCTTTATTTTAATAGTTCAACGGTATTCGTGCCATTACCACTGCCACTCCTTCTCTTACTCAAGCTTTCAATGCTCAAAAGAATGCTAATGTAAGTATTATCAAAGTAATTGGTTATTTGTTATGACGTTTATATTGATATCTGTGTACGAAAACATAGGGCAACTACTTGGTGACTTTGATCCCTGGTGATGGCATTGGTCCTGAAATCTCTCGTTCTGTCAAGGACATCTTCGCTGCTGCCAAGACACCTATCGAATGGGAAGAAGTGGATGTTACTCCTGTTATCAAAGATGGTAAGACCGCTATTCCTCCTGAAGCTATTGCCAGTGTTCGTAAGAGTACTGTTGCTCTCAAGGGTCCTTTGGCCACTCCTATTGGTAAAGGTCACGTCTCTCTCAATTTGACTTTACGTCGTACCTTCAACCTTTACGCCAACGTTCGTCCTTGTCGTTCCATTGCTGGTTACAAGACCCCTTATGATGATGTCAATACTGTCTTGATCCGTGAAAACACTGAAGGTGAATACTCTGGTATTGAACATGAAGTTGTCGATGGTGTTGTCCAATCTATCAAGTTGATTACCAAGGAAGCTTCCGAACGTGTTGCTCGTTACGCTTTCACCTATGCTCAATCCGTTGGTCGTGATCGTGTCACTGCTGTTCACAAGGCTAACATCATGAAGTTGGCTGATGGTCTCTTTTTGGATGTTTGTCGTCAAGTTTCAAAGGAATTCCCTAGCATCAAGTTTGATGAAGTGCTTTTGGATCGTGCCTGTCTTCACGTAAGTTAATCATACAAAGATAGAGGGAAAATAAAGGATGATATTGAGATTATATTTTATAAAATAGATTACCTCTGATCCCTCTCTCTATGCTGACACTGTCATGGTCATGCCCAACTTGTATGGTGATATCTTGTCTGATATGTGTGCTGGTTTGATTGGTGGTCTTGGTTTGACTCCTTCCGGTAACATTGGTCGTGATGCTTCCATCTTTGAAGCTGTCCATGGTACTGCTCCTGATATTGCTGTAAGTTTTTTTTTTTTTTTTTTTGAACTCTCAAGTGGATAGTAACTTTTTCCTTTTTTTTTTTTTTTTTTTGTTCCTTAGGGTCAAGATAAGGCTAACCCTACCGCCTTACTTTTGTCTGGTATCATGATGTTGAAGCACATGCGTTTGAACGAACAAGCTGCCAACATTGAACAAGCTGTCTTCAAGACCATTGCTGAAGGAAAGGCTTTGACTGCTGATTTAGGTGGTAAGGCTACTAACAGCCAATACACTAAGGCCGTTATTGATGTAAGTTGAAAATATGAGAAAAGGAAATCATCTAATGAGATATATACTTACTCTTTTTTTTATGTATATAGAACTTGAAATTCTAAGCAAGTTATTTCTATTACCTATATCGATCACAATCTTCTTCCTCGTTTTTGATGATTTTCCCTCCAACTTTCATTTGATGTATTCATTAGTTTATCTCCCTCCTCTTTTTCCTTTATATTGAAAATCACACTTCATTACCCTTCATTCTTTTTTTTTGGACGTTTTATCTTTTTTTTATTTATTTATTCAAACATCTTTTGTTTGTTTTTATATACAAGATCAAATAAATCGTTTACTTTATACATAGAGATTACAACAAAAAAAAAAAAAAACGATACTCATATTTATTGATTTTGTCTCTCTGTGCTCAAAGTATGTTGATAACAGTGTTCACAAATATATATAATAATAATAATAATATATATTTATATACATATGAAATTTTATTGACAAAAAAAAAAAAAAAAGGATGTACTATACTATCGAATAGAGATTTATTCCTTCATGCTGATTTCTTGACCTTTTTCTTCTTTTTGGTACCTTTCTTCTGAAAATCTCGCCAACTATTCACACGCGTTTCCTATAAATCATATACAAGGAATGAGATTATCAAAAAAAAAAAATAACATCGATCATCTATCTTTTTTTCCTTACTCTAGAGTTCTCCCATTCTTTCAATTCATCCGCCTTGCGTTTCTTCTCTTGAGCAGCCAATTCAGCTTTTCTTGCTTCAGCGCCTTCCATTTCCAAATCCCTTTTGATGATCCTGCGCCGTCGTAGTTCCAGCTCAATTAGTAATTGTTTGAGTCGTTGTTGGATATCTTGTTGGCCTTGAGGGGAAGACAAATAAGGATACAGATCATCATCCACCAGCGAGGTCTCTTGTGTTTGTTTCATTTTCACCTTTTCTCCACGATCTTTCAAAATCGCGACCTTGGCTTCTTGGATCAAGTCAAGTAAAAACTGAAGTTGCGATGGATCCGTCAGATCGGATTCGGCCTTTTTCAACTTGGCAAACGCTGCTTGGGCATCAGTATGTTGTACCTTGTCGGGATGGATTTTAAGTGACTTGGACCGATACGCCATCTTGATGGACTTGCTTGTGGGTTGACTGTATGGTAGTTCAAGGATACAGAATGGATCTAGTTTGAAACTGTTCATCACCCGCTCAATCTCCATGTGTTTCTCGGACAATGAGAAGTACTTGTCCAGATCCGCATCTGTTTCTACTTCACCCGCCATGTCTAATGTTAAGTATATGTGTTTTGCAAGCGATGTAAAAGAGAAAAGAAGTGAATGCCTTTTTTTTTTTTTTTTTTTTTTTTTTTTTCCTTTTCTTTCTACGCAACAAGCTTGAGTCGGTTCTTGAAATCGAGTGAACCTGCGAGAGAGACCAAAAACCTATTTTCTTTCATTCTTCTTTTTTCCTTCTTTTTTTTTTTTTTTTTTTTTTTTTTTTTTTTTTTTTTTTGTTGGTTGGACATCGAGTCGATTTTACTATATGGTAATGATAACAGATAAGTAGTTGGTTAGCAACTAGGATGTTGTAATATATTATTTATGATTCATTCTCACCATTTTCTTTTATTATTATTATTATTTTTTTTTTTTTTGTTGGTAGTCTGTTTTACTCGAAACATCAGTAGGTGACATTGTGATTGATCTACATACAGATGAATGTCCACGCACGTCGTTAAACTTTCTGAAGCTATGCAAAATCAAGTATTATAACTATGCACCATTCCACAATATTCAAAAAGGGTTCATGGCGCAGACGGGGGATCCCACTGGTAAAGGTGATGGCGGATCGTCAGTATTTGGGGTGATCCATGGTCCACAAGAACGGTACTTTCCAGCGGAAATCAAGCCGACACTTAAACATCAACGTCGTGGGACGGTGTCGATGGCGGTATCAGGAGGCAAGGATGACGATGATGAAGGGGGACGAGTTAGTGGCAGTCAATTCTTCATTACACTGGCTGATGATCTAGATTACCTGGATGGCAAGTATACCGTGTTTGGTGAAGTGGCAGAAGGTTGGGATGTATTGGACAAATTGAATGAAGCATATTGTGATGCACAAGGTCGACCATACCGTGATATTCGTATTCGACATACTGTGGTGCTAGATGATCCGTTTGACGATCCTGAAGGTTTGCAAGTACCTGATCAGTCGCCTCTACCGACCAAAGAACAACTGGCTTCCATGCGTATTGGAGAAGATGAAGATATTGAAGAAGAAGGGGATCCAGAAGAAGTGGAACGACGCAAACGTGCAAGAGAAGCCAAGGCACAAGCATTGACGTTGGAGATGGTAGGTGATTTGCCGTTTGCTGAGGTCAAGCCGCCAGAAAATATTCTTTTTGTGTGCAAGCTCAACCCTGTGACTCGTGATGAAGATTTGGAACTTATTTTTTCAAGATTTGGTCGTATCAATAGTTGTGAAATCATTCGTGACCGAACCACTGGGGATTCCTTATCTTATGCTTTTATTGAATTTGATGAAAAAGAACATGCTGAAGAGGTAGGAAAGAAAAAAATATTTATATACATGCTAACTTTTTTTTTTTTTCATTGCAGGCTTATTTCAAAATGCAATCTGTACTTATTGATGATCGACGTATTCATGTAGACTTTTCACAATCAGTATCAAAACTTCACAAGGATTGGATTTCCAAAAGGATGCAAGCAGCTGCTGGACAATCTATGGGTGGTTTTGAAGATTTACAAAAACGAACACGATATCGAGAAGGCAATGGCAGGCAACGAGGCGATCATTATGATCTTGTATTTGATGATGATCATACATCCAAACGATCTCAGCGATCTGATAGACATTCTTCTGAGCGTAAACGTAGTAGACATGATGATCATTACCGAAGCAAATATCGTGATCGATCACCAACCTCATCATCATCATCAAGACGGGATTACAAAAGCAGTAGCAGTAGCAGGGATTACCATCGATCAGATCGAGATAGAGACCGACGAAGGGATGATAAGGATAGAAGACGGCATTAGTTAGTTAGTTAGTTAGTTTATTATTTTTATACTTGGATGGAAATAAAAGCCGTTATTTTTTTTTTTGGGGGATATTTTGAAAGAAAAAGAATGATTTTTATTTAATAAACAATGTTCAATCTACGCTATGATTACAGAAAAAAAAAAGAGTTGTATAAAAAGGGAAAATAAGAGAAAAAAAAGTATGTGATATAGAAAAAAGGAAAGATGTATAAAAGAAAACAATATTATACAAATGAAGGGTGACAAAAAAAAAAAAAAAGAGACGAGATGGACTAACTAACTAGACAGTGGCCAAAGCAGATTCCAATACACCAACAGCACTTTTTTCCACAAAGACCTTATCGTAGGTAAGTAAATCCAGTACATTTGTTTCTTCCACATAGATGACTTCACAACGAGGGATATTGCGAGCGGCCAATTCCAATTTTTCATTTTCTTCGTTGATGATCATGAGTATGGTACTATCATGGTTGTAAGTGTGTTGCAACACTTGATTCAAATCACGTGTCTTATGAGAATCGATGGTTTGAAAAGAATCCACCACTGTCAATTGATCTTGAGCATATTTGGTACTTAAAGCCACCCGTAAACCGAATTCTTGTACTTTGCGAGGTAATTCCGTTCCATGATCTCTAGGTTTAGGTCCAAATGCAATACCACCTATATATATATAAATCATGGTTAAGTAAAACACAACAATCATCCATATCTATATAAAACTTACCGCCTCGGAAATGAGGAGCCTTCATGTTACCCACACGAGCTTTGCCTCGACCTTTTTGAGGAGCTGCCTTCTTACTGGTTCCTCGGACATCGGCTCGACCTTTGGTAGATGCTGTACCTTGACGCATATTATCCCGTTGCCATACTACTACACGATGTAAAATATCTTTACGTAAAGGAGCACCAAATACTTTGGCATCTAGATCCATAATAGACATTGGTTCATTGGTTTTGAAATCACGAAGGAAAGCTTGTACATGAGTTGCCACTGGACTGGCTAAATAATGCCGATAAATAAAAATATATATAAAAAAAAAAACAGGGACTCAATATCCAATATAGATCTTTTTTTTTTCATGTTCTTCTTTTTTTATTACCCTTGATCGCAGTTTCTGTCACAGAAGCAAATGTACGTTGTTGTAAAGTCTACATTCAAAATAACAAAAAAAAAAAATAACATGAAACCAAATCATGATACTAACAAGGACAATATCTTCCTATTGAATAATCCATTACCTTCAAAGCAAAAGTATTCGATGAACGAGCAGCAGTTGTAAGAGCGTTGAAGAATGACATTATAGGATACACTAAAAAAAAAAAAAATTGGAGAGAACAAAAAAGAAAAAAATAAGGGCCAGCCCTTGAATTGGGAATTGGATTTCAAAAATTCAAAGTCATAAGCCACCATTTCCTGCGAGATTACTTCCATGAAAAAAAAAAATATATTTTTTTTTTTATTCAGATTTGGGTTTTTTTGAATCAGAAGGATTATCACTATTACTATCTACGATTTCCTTGACCTTACGTTTGACAAGTGTGGTCAAATCATGCACAGGGGCAGAAGAGTTTACTGATGTAGTACTTGTTTCATTTGCCATTCCACCAAGTAGGCTCTTCAAAAGTTTTTCCGCTTCACGTTCACTTTCTTGTCGGTTTGATAATTCTACAACCTAGTGAAAAATCAAATCAGCCACAGTAGTATAGATGGATCTATCACTTACCTTTTCATCCAGATCAGAAATTAGGTCTTGAATTTCAGTGATTTCCTTTTGTTCTGCTTCGGAAGGAGTATATTTCGATTTACCCTTGTTGTCATCCTTGATATCACCCTTTTCCAATGTTTCAATACGATTTTTCAATACAGTTTTGGTTTTTTGTAGTTCATCCAGTGCTAAACCTTGTGAATCTGAGGAAAGTTCCAATGCCAAAGAATATTTGTAATGAGCTTCTGCCAGTTGTCGATCATCCGGTTGTAAGAGGGATTGTTTGATATCGATAGCCTTTTTGAAATCTGGTAAAGCATCATTGAATTTTTCTACATATATATAATATAAAATAATACATGTCGCGTCAGAATGATATCATCTTTTTTGAGTTGTTTCTTACCTGTTTCAAGAGATACATCACCCAAGGATAGTAGAACATCAGCCAACTTTAGTTTTGATTCATCGTCTTCCCCTTTTTCAAAGATCACTCGAGCTACATCCAAGACGTCCCATGCAGTTTCGAAATCGTCTTCTTGATTCTCATTATTCTCTTCTTCTTCTTCACTGTCATCATTGTCTTCCACATTGCCAGCATCGGATACAAACGTTGGTTTTTCATCAATCTGGAATCGAGGATTGGAGTTTTCTATTCAATAAAAAAAAAAAAAGGTAGGTCAGCTTTATTATTAGACCAAACAACTCTTCCTTTTTTTTTTTTTTTGCTTACCTGAAGAGACCTTGGCTTCGAGTTGTTGAGTTTCCACTTCTTCGGCTGTCGCTTGAGCAGATTGACCTAGAACAGCATTTTGTTGAATGGCGTAGTCTAATAAAGCGCGTCCATAAAGGAAGTACGCGTCACCGTTCCTAGGATCCAATTCACCATGAAGTACGTCGCTACAAATACAAAAAGAAAAAGTTCAAGTCAGTTTAAAATAGATGGTAACATAGAAATGGATTCTCATTGGAATCAGAAAAAAAAAAAAAACTTATTCAAACTAAAAAACTTACAGTCGTTGACAGGCTTCTCCAAACTTGGTAGTACTTGTTTCATAATCCTTGCTCGCATAAGCCTTGTTCCCTTCCTCTAATAATGTTTGGATTGCAATATTCTCTTCTTCACTTGTCATGCTTAAAATTTGTATAAGATAGTTATTGAATGGAGAAAGAGATCCAAGAAAAGGAAAAATCAATACTTTATATAAAATAGACTGCGGAGACTGAATACAGGGCAATTACCAAGTACCCCAAAACGAAGTAGGAAGATCTCGTTTAGACAGAAAGCATCGATATACTCCAAAACCTTTCCAAGTACAAACTTAAATCAAAGAAGAGACAATATCTTTCTTTATTGATGATATATATATATAAAGAGAAGAATCATGAAAAAAAAAATAATATACACAAAAGGTCATCTAAACAAAGTTCATAGGGCTCTTTAGCCTTCGTTCTAATTCATACAAATATTGCTTCAGTGTTCCATCGACAACAGCGCCTAGATCTACATAATAAGAATGTTTTTTGTATTATGAGTTAAACAGAAGATTGACCTGACTTATTGATAAAAATCTATGTATATATACTATATGTTCTTTTTTTTTTTTTTTATACCTTCAGCACCTCCAAGAGATTTCACAATACCCTTTCTTGCTACCATTTCTGACCAAGTGCTTCCCAAAACAAACAAGTCACCTCTATATATATATATTAAATCACATGTTTAGTCGCTGTTTCAGCATTGTTATACATAGTTTCACTTCATCCATATTTGCTTTGATTTTTACCTGGTAGCTTCACGATTTGCCAGTACTTGTTCCGGTATTGTTGGGATGATAAATGGTTTCCAATTGAGAGGAATACCAACTAAGGTATCATTATAAGCTTGGATTTGTTTGTTGACCAAATGAACAGCTTCTTGTACAGTAACTTTTTAAAAAAAAGTATTAATATTACATCCACATTAAAAAAAAAAAAAGAGTTGTACAAGTCTATTTTTGATATTTACCTCCAATTTGAAGTTTACAGGATGCTTTTTCAACTGCAAATGTCAATGCACGGATTTTACCTAAAAAAAAAAAAAGATAGAAATATATATATATGAGAATTATAAAGCATAATACATAGGATGAATACAAACATACTAGTAATAATGTGATTTGTCTTCAAAGGTTGGTTGATCACAGTATTTTTGCACAGCCAATGTATTTCTTGATCTAATCGTTCCTTTATGGTGGCAGGATTCATCACCAAAATATGGAAATCAGAAATAATATCAATATTTGTCACGTCGAGTAGTTTTGGTATCTATATTTTCAAAAAAAAAATATATCAATACTGTCATATTGTTTTTCTCTCTTTTCGGTCTTACCTTGGCAATCATTTCCTCCAGTGTTGCTGTGTTTGGCCAATAAGTAAATACAAAAGGTATGCGAACTTGAGGATTGTATCGTTTCAGTGAACTAGCAAATTCTTGTAATCTTTCCTTCTCTTCCAACCAATGGTCATTTCTACAATAATCATTAAACGAGTAAGATATAATATATATATATATTTATATAAAATTGACTTACGCATTGATATCGTCACAGTTATCATGTCTTAGTTCCGATAGAGAAAAGATAACAGCACCTAGTTCATCCACAGCCTTTTCATATCAAGAAATAAAAAAAAAAGAAGAAAAAAAAAAAAAGGAAGTATCCATTAATATAAAATGCAGATCCCTCTTCATTTTTTTTTTTGATCTCTTATTACCTTTCCATATGTAATATCTTGATTAGTAAGAGAACGGATGGTAATTCTACAATCACTGTAATAATGAACTCGTCTTGAGAATGTGTCGTCCAGACCAAATTTTGCTTTGTACCAATGAGATGATGATAAAGATTGATCTGTTACACTAATCCATAATTGCCATCCAGGTTGCCCACCATCTTCTACCATTCGGGATCGTATCCTATCCCATTTTGATCGCACCAAAGGGTAAATGAATTCAGCATATTCCTTCATATTCCATAAATCTTGAGGGTTGGTATCAACAGACTAGGATAAAAAAAAATAATAATAAATGAGAAAAGAATATGTAGAACAAAAAATGGAATCATAATGACATACATCGTAAGAAGATAATACTGAGGATTCTAATTGCAAAGATAATAAGGCTTTTTCTTGAATGATGTCGTCCATTTGAGGAGGATTCAAGTTGGATGAAGTTGTCGAATTATATGCTAACAAAGTATCGCGTTCCATTGATTGATCTCCAGAATAAAAGCAATTGCTGAATTTGCAAAATTGTATACGTTCAGCAGCTTTTGCCTGTCGTAGTGTAATCCGCTGTCGAGCACGTTTCAACCATGGTTGAGCATATCGTTTTGCAATGATTTTCTTGCGTTGAAACTCGTTGATGATCTTGCTACTTGCTTCTTGAAGTACAGCTGTTACTAGTTGATTCATATATCGTTTTTTCGCCTGAGAGATCACCACCGCTTTGCGTTGTATAGCTAGTTCGTTGTCTCGGATTTCCTTTTCACGTCGAGCCTTTTCTTCATCTTCCAATCTTTGTCGTTCAAGTCGTGCTCGTTCTTGCGCTGCCGCTTGTTCAGCTGCTTGGAGTTGTTGAGCTAATTCCAGTTGCTTGCGTTCCATTTCCAGTCGTTGGCGTTCCTTTGTCTCACGTAGCATTGTCTCCCTTTGTAGAATTTCCGCTTGCCTAGCTTTGAGTTCAATATCAATTTCTTGTTGTCGCTGTTTCACTTTTTCTGCAAGCATCCTCTGTTGTTGAAGCTGTTGTTGTTTTTGTTGTTGTTGTTGTTGTTGCAATTGTTGCTGCTGTGAGAAGGATGATGTTGACGATTGGAAATCAAGTGGACGTCCAGCAAAGATATGTTGTTGAGATTTGAGTGTACTTGTAGGTATGACCGTCGACAAGGATGGCGTATATGTCTTGTTCACACCATCCACAATTTCTTGTAAAGTTGAATCACCTTTTTTGGGTTCGACCAACAAAAGAGACTGTCGCTGTTTAGGGTTCGATAACGGCTCTAATATAAATAATCAGATAAAAAAAATAAGATCAGTTAACCCTTTTTTCCAAAACATCTTATTATATCATCCATATTCATCAACAAGACTTACCAATAAAAAATGTCCCTTTTTTTGCAAGATGTTTTTCATGAAATCGGATAACAGGTTCATCAGCAACAGTATCCACAGTGAGTCCATAGATTTGAGCCTCTTCAATCACCGCATCCACCGTGTCATAGCCAAGTACTTGCCGAATATATTCCACTTCTACACCTCTTTGACGATATGCTGCATTCATAGCCTTGAAAGCACCTTTTCGAACATCTGGAAAATGCCATTCTAACATACACGCCATTAAAAAGGGAGTATCGGAATCACCCACAAGCTTGAAGAATCGAGAATAAAAATTTTGACTTGCTTCCACATTGCTAGGTTTATTCCGTCTAGATGATGTTTCCTTGATTTCATTGTTTCGTTGCATTAAACCATAAAATTCCAAAGCACGTTGTATATATGGGTGTAAGAATAAATGAGCTGGTAATGTTTGAACTTGTCGTACAACATCTGGATCACGAATATGACTGATAAGGTGATATGCCCGAAATTCTGCTTCATTTTTCATTTCAATTCCTTCTTCCCGTAAATCCTCGTAGAACTCCATCAAACTAAGAAGTACTATAAAAACAAAGTAATCGTTATGAGCTTTATCTGTAGATGTAAACCATTTAAATATTATACGTACCTTTTCGTAGTTGTTCCGTTTCCTGTTGTTCGCTGAATCGTTCTTCATCTAGTTCACACATTTCATGAAGGCAAAGGATATGAAACCGAGCAATACGTTCGTGAGCCTCCACTGCTGCCTCATCGCGGATATTTTGAAGTGTAAAATCTTGTCGAATAGATCTTGTGCGATCACGTAAGAATGGATGACATTTTTCCAAGGGTTGTTGATTAAGGATGGTTCCCATCAAATAGTTGAGAGTGCTGATTAATACATCAGGTGGTCTTACATCACAAGGAAGAGGTTGTTCATTACCAGCAGCAGAACGACGGTATGTTTTCACTGCTTTGCTGGGGTCCAGATTCCCTTGTTCGTCCTAAATAAATACAAATCAATAAAAATAAAAATTAAAAAAGTATGAGTCATTTCAAGATCATTATAAATATATATATGCGTATATACCATTTCCAAGGCATCCAGTCCATTTTGGATATCACGTTCAATCATTTCAAATTCGGGACACATTGTTGAACAAGTACCACGGAAATCAATAGCATCTTCAAGTCGGGTTGGAGCATTTGGATCAGGTATGAGACCATTTTGAATCGCCAGTCGTCGTTGTTCAATTCGATTTTGTTTCATCTAAACATGAGAGAAGTCATATGAGTTTTATGTTTTCATAAAAAAAAAAGTAAAGGTTTTCATGCTTACTTCTTCATAAGTTGCAGATTTCGTTGTTGTACCAAAACGTGCTGCGCGGTCTGCTTTTGTTGTTTGTTTCTTTCGTTGAAAGGGTGATGAGTTTAAAGAAGTATCGTCAACATTATCATCTAATATGGTTATATCATCAACGTCATTGCTGTTTCTACTATTGTTGTCTGTCGATAGACTATCCGGTAATCGTTTTGTGTTTCTTTTCCAATATTTATTCTTATTGTCGCTAGCTTGATTATTGTTGTTTCCAGTGTTGCCAATAAACTGAGTCGCTTGGTATCCAAAAGTCCCACCATTATTATTATTATTATTGTTGTTGTTGTTGTTGTTTCCAAAGTTACTGCTGTCACCAAACTCTACGTTTCCTGAGAATGGTCCACGAGTCATATTATTGTTGGAAGTGTCACCTTGAGAAACATCAAATACAGAAGAGAGACCAGAACGTTGAAAAACGGAATGATTCCCACCTCGGATGTTGCTATTATTAGCCCCTCTTCGGTTTCTCTGAGGAAAAGATCGACCTACACCAATATTGTTGTTATTGTTGTTATTATTGTTGTTCCCCCGTCCGCGCCCGCGCCCACGTGTTGTTGGTATAGGTGATGATGTGTGGTTCGTAACTGGAAACGGTGAGTTGCCAAACATAATGAGTTGAAACACACACGGAAGTCTTTGAAGGAAGAAAGAACGAATCTAACAAAGGTATAGAAAAAGGAAAGAGAGAGAAAGAAAAAAAAAAAAAAAGAAAAACACACACAAAAACCTGTAGAAGAAATCAAACATTGATAGATAGTGCATTTGGAACACCGACAGTCAAGAGAAGAAAAAAAAATTGTGTATGATAGAAGTAAGGGCACTACCACCTATTGACCTTTTATTTATTTTATTTAACAAGAGAATGATCATCCATAACTAAACTAGAAAAATCACGTCCTTGAGACTTTTCAGCCATTTCCAATAAAATATCCAATTCACCAGATTTTTCGCACATGGATCTAAATACACCGTTTGTATTTTGTAGTAAAGCATAAGGTGAGTCGTTTTCCACCAGTTTACCATGATCCAAAACAAGTACTTTATCATAATCGATAATGGTTCGGATACGATGTGCTATACAAATCAAAGTCGAATCACTAAATTCTTGACGGATAGTATGTTGAATTTTTGCATCAGTTTCAAAATCCACGCTGGCAGTTGCTTCATCCATAATGATCAGTTTGCTGTTTTTCAATAATGCGCGTGCGAGACATAGAAGTTGTCGTTGACCTTGACTAAAGTTGTTTCCACCATCAGATACTTGTTGATCCAAACTGTAGATCACATTATTTGAAGCGGATGATTCATCAATTACTAAATCTTGCTGAGAAGAAGAAGAGGAAGCTTGTTGTTTCTTAGGACTAGAGGTGCCATGATTACCAGTACTGAGATTGGATCGTACCAAGGATTCCCAAAGTTCAGCATCATCATGTTCTCCAAATGGATCAAGATTGCTCCGTACTATAGAAAAATATGATTTCCAAATATAATATAAGTATATACGTATATATATATATATCATTCTTTACCTGTCCCACTAAATAATACAGCTTCTTGAGGAATAATTGTAATCTTGGATCGTAAATCTTGTAAACCAATATGACTGATATCAATACCATCCATAATAATGGATCCTGCACTTGGTTCTAAGAATCGGAAGAAACTAAGAGCCAAAGTTGATTTTCCAGAAGCTGTTCGACCAACAATAGCCACTTTTTCATGAGGTTTGACATCAAAAGAAATTCCACGAATAACAGTATCCAATTCAGGGGCATATCGAATTTCGAGATCTTTGACTTCAATAGCAGCAGTGGTAGGCCACGCAGCAGGCGGTCGACGACCTTCAACGACAGATGGTGCTTCTTGATCAATTTGTAAATATTCTTGAACTCGTTCTACACTATTGAGATCCATTTCCACTTGAGTATATTGTCGAATAAACCAATAAACATTTTCTAAAAAGCTAAAAGCGTAAAACAGAGAGATACCAGCCATACCAGCATCAACACGATCCAAGTTCAACACAATAAAGACACCAGCTGATAAGGTTAGAAAAGCACCAGTAAATTCCATACGACAATAAAGCCATCGATTCGTCATCCAAAGAAGATAAAATGGGGCGACATAAGTATCCAATTTGTCATACATGGTGAGGAGGAATTTTTTTTGTTGTCCAAATGCTCTGATTGTTGTAACACCAACAAGGGATTCGGTAAAATGAGAATAGATTGGTGATCGACTGACAGAGTTTAATCTTTTCAATTCACGAGAAATACGAAGATAATAGGTCCCAATAAGGAAGTATACACCACCTATGTTTTTTTTTTTTTTAAAAAAAAAAAAAGAGGATGAGTATAAAAGAAAAATTATATATCTATCTTATTATTCAATTGTCACTCACTAATTAGCACAGCCACGATCAAGAATTGTGGAGTAATCAAACTAATGACCAAAATCGACTGAACAAGACCAGTAACGCATTCCAATAAAAAACTTGCAGAACGAGCCATACGAAGGTCAACAGTAGTAACATCTTTTCCAAATCGATTCAGGATACGACCAATAGGAGTGGTATCAAAAAATCTCATTGGTGCATGAATAATTCTAGCCAACATGGAATCAAACAAAATACGAGCACCACGAATAGATCCCCAATAAAGTAAAGCACTTCTAAGTGTGTCAAATATCACAAAAGACAAGCACAATAAAAGATAGATACCAATATAATAATCTACATTGATTTCTTGAACCACATTTCGTAATGTTTGGAAAGTCGTAAAACCAAAAACAGTTTGCCCAGATTCCACTATTTGTTGCTTGATAGGCGTACTATAGGCAGCAGCCCAGATTCGTAACCACCTAATATCATTAAAAATATAAAAGTAGAAAAAAAAATATTGTATACTAAGTATTTTTTTTTCTTTAAAAAAAAATCTATTGCTTACCAATTTTCAGCAAAAGTAAAGAATCTGGATACAATATAACAGGCGATTAACAGTAACCAGAATGGCCAACCACCACATGCAGCAAGATAAGTCTTGTAAACATCATATTTGACATGGCCTTTAGCAGATTCTTCTTCAGCAATCAATTTGTTTATAGCCGTTTCCTTGTTGATATCATAATCTTCCTCTTCATCATTCAAAGATCCATCACCACTGTCATCATCAATCAACTTCCCATCCAGATCGATTATTGCTTCTTCACCAAGAAGTTGAACCAGTTGGCCTGTTTTCTTCAAATCATCCACGAGTCCATAACCAGATATAAAACCATTTTCCAATTTGACCAAGTAATGCGCGCCAGGTAAACATAAACGGACATGATGTGTAACAAGAATGATGGTACGATCTTTCAATAGATCTCCAGTGATACAATGACGGAAAATATGCTTAGCCGTATGGGAATCGACAGCACTAAGACAATCATCCAAAAGGATGGTCTTTGCGTGAGAATAAACGGCCCGAGCGAGCGATACCCTAAAACAAATGTGTAACCCCAAAACATTTAGTAAGAAGTGATGAACATTGCAATAGTCGATTACCTTTGTTTTTGACCACCACTTAAAGAAATTCTAATACAAACAAAAAAAAAATTCGAGATATAGAATATCAATCAATACTTGTTTCTTTTTTTTTTTTTGAGTTTGCATTACCCTTTTTCACCAATTTCAGTCTGATCACCATCAGTAAAGACATTCAAATCCTTGATAAGAGCACATTGTCGTAATACTTTCTTGTATCGAACAGGATCAAAAGGTTGACCAAATAAAATATTGTCACGGATACTAGCATGTTGAAGATAGGGTTGTTGAGCAACATAAGCGACTTCATTCACACGTAATCCAGAAGTTTCTTCTACAAGTGAATATGGTTCATCAGTAATAACGTTATTTTTCGAAGGTAAAAAGACTCTTCCAGATACAATATCCATTTCGCCAAGCAGAGCATGTAAGAAAGAGGATTTGCCACTTCCAGTAGGACCACATACGATACTGAGTTCACCCAATGGAAAATCAAAAGCAGGTACATTCAGAGAGAAGGATCGTGTCACAGGTTCAACACTTTCGGCCAACGTTGTTTCTTCGTTATCGTTATTACTGGATGATGACGCTGTCGAAGAATCAGTTGGTGTTGTCGTAGATGATTTATCTTGTTCTTTGATATCGGTAGGATTTCCAGAATGCCATTTGAAAACAGATTTTTCAAAACCAATTCGTGCAATCACTTGTTCCACACTTTTGCCTTCAGGTACCAACATTGGAGGATTGTCCACACCATCACCAACTTCAGGTTCTTCCAGATAGTTTACAATACGCTTCAAACTGATATAACATTCTGTCAACGTAGTAAAACAATCAGGGATCAAAATAATAGGGGCCCGAAGCATATCAAATAAAGTGATACTAACAAATACCACACTATGGTTAAATAAATAAATAAAAAAATGATTGTGCATAAGATCAGTAGCTGATTTTTTTTTTTCATCATCAAAAAAAAAAAATAATTACCTTGCTGTCAGTTTATTTCCAGATACTTTTGTATACCATACAAAAGAACTTGCTGTGACCAAAACAGGAATGGAAAGAAAAGCGACATTTAAAAGGACATCATAAATAACCACCCAAATCAACTTGTTAACTTCAGATTTTCTAGCATCATGAACACGTTTATTCCAATTGGGTTCCCAAGCAAAGTACTTGATCATTCGGATACCTTGTAACAATTCATTCACTAATTCATTTCGTCGATCCTTGGCATGAGTAAGAGCTTCATAATTGTCTCCGATACGTTTCAAAAGGAACAAAGTGACAGGGAAGAATAAGATCATGACACCCAAACCCACAAAGGCAGCCACACCTAATAGATGATAAAGATAAGTGATAGCAATAACCAATTCCACAGGAGCATTATAAAAATTCTATTTCCAATAAGCAAAAAAAACATTTAGTTCATTATCTTTTCACTATGTTTTATACATATATATATATATCTTACAAAGATATATGCTGGTAAATCACCAACACGATCAGCATCCAAACTCATCAAATTTGTGATTTTTCCAGTACTACTAACAGATTCTTCTGAAGAACCATCTTTCTCATCATCCACTTTTCCTGACATATCCTTGCGTTTCAACGTTTTTTCATAGATTTCGGCATCCAACATACAAATGGTTCGTACATTCCAGCGGCGACCAGCATAAAGTTGAATACTATTGAAGAGTAACTTTGTCAAACTAACAACAAACATACCCAAAATAAATGCATAGGCGGTCTTGATAGGTCTTCCATTGGGATTTTCAATGTATTCCAAAAATTTCTGTTGGAAGAATGGATTAAGATAACTGACCATCACTGCAGTAATAGAGCAGATAAATTGAGTCCAGATGGATCCTTTGTTGGCACTGTAGATACGACGTAAGACTTTCTTTCTTGCTATCCATTTCTTTGTGTCCACAAATTCCTTGTATGTAAACCTAGCAAGATGATTGTATGTAAGAGCATAGATATCGTTGCGTTTCACAGGGTTCTTGTAGCCAAATACAACCAAGGAATTCACCTATTTTAAAAAAAAAAAAAAGAAAAAAAGAAAAATGAGCATAAGTTTTATACTATTCTCTAGTCAATTTTTTACTTACCCACTGGAAACAGGCCCAAGAAAAGATACTTGCTTGAGCTTCTGGACATAATAATAAATCCTAAATAGTGATAGTAATAAATATGTGTATCCATCTGTTTCCTTTTTTTTGTTAAAAAAAAAAAAAAAAACATGATAGACTTACATTTCGATAGATTTGACCATTCTTGATTTCGACTTTTTCTGAGTCCAAAGCTTCGAGGTTGATAGGATTGATTGGCAGAGAAGTAGTACCATGAATAGTAGTCAAAACTAGAGTAATGGCAAGATTGGACCAAATAAGATACAAGAGTGAATCACCAGAGTATTCGAATAGAATATAAATGGCATGAACAAAGAACAAAGCATAAATGGTGAAGAAAAAAAAGATATAATGGCGTTGACTAAAGAGAAGAGCTGAGGGCGATGCCGCCGTGATAACAAAAAGGGCAGCCTTTTTAAAAAGGTGAGAAATTAAAACAGCGCATCAGTAAACCTTTTTTTTTTAATACTTACAAATATAAATGCAAAAGCAATAGGGTATGCATTACAATAATCATTCTCATGAATATAAAGATACAACCATCCAATCAATTCAATAGGTATTAAAACTAATTGAATCCATTTACGATATTTTACAGATATAGCGAATTGTTCGTTGGACGCATTATGTTTGGCTTTTCGATGAAGATACGTATAAAATACCAAAACAATAGTAAATATAATAAGAGGACTCAAACTCAATGGTAATCTAATCAATATAGATATTATAAACATATAAGAAAATAAAAATCAACCCCTTTTTTATGATGATTTTTATTTTTACCTATCTCTAATACAAAATAGATCTCCCTTTTTTTTTAAGAATACAATATGTTATGATTTGTTTCTTTATTATGATTATATTCGTGATTTTACCATTTATCCCTGTGTTTCAAGTTCAAAGTAAGAGAAGAAGAAAGAAAAGAGGAAAATGTTATTTTATTTTATTTTATTTTTTTTTGGATTGAATAATATATGGGGTTTTTGTTGTGTTTGTGTCTTCCGGAGTACAGTTTGTTGTTGTACCTTTTTTTACTAATACAGTAATTCTTCCCTCAATTATTCTTGAGTATCACAACTGGTGTCATCTTGTAGTCATATAGGCATATCATAAGCAGATAAAACATGTTACACGATCTCCACTCCAAAAATAGACTTCATAAAACTAAGGTTTTGTTTTACTATATTGTACTTCTAAACTTTGTAGATAGGACAAGATAAGAAAGACATAGTATTGCAGAATTGTTCCCAGTTTCCTTCAATAACGTACTGTACATACATAAAGATTACAATAGAATGAATTAAGGTACAAGATCAATAGGATAAAAATACAATACTAAAAAAAAAATAATATAACAACAACTTTATTTTCCAATAAAAATCTAACCATGAATCTATGAATTTCTAATTCCATCCGCCACCATCAAATCCAACAAATCCAGCCAACAGAAATACAGGGAAATAAGATTTGCTTTCAATTTGGGAACACCCTAACAATATATAAAAAATAAATCAGTCATCTAATCCATTGTTTTAAGCCTTTTTTTTTTTTAATCAACTTACAATTCCAAGCAGAAGTTAATCTTCCATCTATACAACTACCAGCATCATAAAAGTTATCCGCACCTGAACCATCAAAAGCACCTCTAAAGAAATCCGCTGCGGATCCCAAAAAAAAAGTTCCAAATTAAGTAAGATAATGGTCATTCCCTTTTCTTTATGTTACCTAAGATTTCCTTTCGGCATTGAGCTACGCCACCAAACTTTCTTTCAATATACTTTTTCAGACCATCGTTATTCGAGATATCATCCAATTGGTCCAATGTGATGCAAATTGGACTAAGAATACGTGAAACTTGATTGTACTAGATATATATACATAAAAGAGGTGAATGATAGAAATATAATTGTATATATAGTAAAATCATCCTATTTTGTAGAATTTACCTTATCAATAAACATCAAAGCATTTGGTACATTCTTGTCACCTAAATGAATCACGCTACTACCAATCCAAGTTTTTGCCTTTTTTTGTGCCTTGAATAATGTACGATGCATTTCCCTGGAAACTGCTGGACATGGTTGTACTCGATGAAGTCCCTGACCTGTTTGTGTAAGTCGATAAGGATTATTTGCACCTAGTATATCTTGATCCGCCAACATCCATAATTTGAACATATCATTAAGGATTTCCCGCCATAACTTTAGTGTTTGATTGACATAGATGTATTGAGTTTCATGATTATGACTAAGTCTATGACCCTGAGCTCCAGCATGAATTCCAAGAGGATACTCTTCTTCTGGTTTTGTGGGATGGAAATAACGTTCTAGGTAACGAAGCATCTTTTCACATGGATCACTAGATAGAAAAAAAAATAAATAATAAAAAAAGATCAGTTACCAAAAAGAAAGAAAAAGAAAAAAAAAAGGATGCTTCCATCTAAGGATCTATATTCTTTCATTTCATAAAACTTACCGATTGCTCCGTAAGTAGGCATTGTTGTCACCAATACTATATAAACAATGTCGGATTTCATCTGCTGATAATAATTTGGATTGGTATCTACGACTAAGGGATTCGATAGCCTTTTCTTTTCGTTTGATTTCTGCCTGAATTTGAGAACGAGGTTTACCATCTGGAATGATTTCCATAGTTGCTAATAAAGTGATTTCTTCATGTAATATCTTGAGCCCTTGGCGTTCCTTCAAATAGCTATACACTGTTTTGATTGGTACCACACAATTGAATCCAAGCATCTCTTGAACTTCTGGAATCATAGAATCCTAACAAGATATATACGATTCAGTACCTTTGTCTTTCCCTCTCTCTCTCTCTCTCTCTCTATATATATATATATATATATATATTGTTTTCCTTACTGAAAGTAGATACATCAATTTCCCATACGCAGATCGCATTTTTTCAGGATTCATGATTTTATGTCTAAATGAAGAAAATAATGTAAGCATAATGATAAATACCTGTGATTTCAACTACCTTCTTCCAATTTCAAAGATGGTTTGAAAGAATTCTTCATTTTCTTCATAACTTCTATCAGCAAAGAGTTCTTGTCCACGTTTATAATCACAAGCCAATACTAGACCAGTCAATACTGCACATAGTTCTTTGATTTGAGCCACTGTACGTTTTGCTTTGCCTGTATGAGATACATCATCAATCTTGTCTATATATCATCAAAAAAAAAAGATAGGGAAGAGCAAATGAATCAATATTTTTCTTAATAATATAGTCATCATTATTACCAGTATATTCGGTCACATTGAGAGCAGCTTCTAGTCTAAATAGAATATATATATATATATATATCATGTTAGTAAAATATGCTATTTTCGCAAACATCGTCATTATTTACAGTCGTAGATATTTGCGTTCTTCTAATTGTAACCGTAAAGGGATATATTTGGCTCTATTTTCCATCCATTCACCTATATCGAAATCCGCTTTTTTCGTAGCTGTAGTAGCAGTTGTAGTTCCTGTAGCTGTATCCAACTGTATACAACATAGTAAACGTGTGAGCATATCTAGTATTCTTATTTTCATTCTTTATTTCCAGTACCTTTTCTGTATCTGCGTTCGTTTCAGAGTCTTCATCCATTTGATTATCATCATGACCGATTGTATGTTTGCTGTATGGTTTTGAAGTATGATTGACTCTTTTACCAGTTCGATGGATCATACCTAAAAAAAAAAAAAAAAAAAAGAAACAGGAATCCGGGTGTCAGGTTAATCGGTCATAGACATTTATTTATTTTTTATTCTTTTTATTTCAATACGAACCGAAACAAACTTCACAAAATATTTCATCGCATTGGGTACAAAATAGATCTGCCTATAAAATATTATGGTTATTAAAATTTGAGTAAAAATATAATATATATATTTAGTTTTACCTGTTGATCTTTGCATTCAACACAGAAACCAGGTTCAGCTTCAGTTTCTTCCAAAGTTTGATCAATATCATCGGTTTCCATAATGGACACCTTATCTGATAATATATCATCCAGTTGATGCTTCTTTTCAGCTTGAGTATGCATGGTATGGTAAAGAATGAAGAAGGAAAAAGAAACGTGGAAAAGTGATGTGAAGTGAAGAAACAGTTATTTGACACTCCGTTGGCCGATTTGGTTTGGCACTTTCAAAAAAGTCACAGAAAAAAAGGAAAGAAAAAAAAAAAAAAAAAAAAAGAGGCTGGATTTTTTTTCTTTTTCCCTTTTTTTTTTTTTTTGATCTATTTTCAGTATTGAAAGAAATGTCACCAAGCAAGTTGGAAAAGGTATGTCAAAACAAGATAATGAAGTAAGAATATGAAATGTTTTTAATGATATATGTTTATATAGCGTAAACGTACCGAAGATCTTGTTGATTCTCCTATTGATTCTGATACTGTCAAGAAGATCAAGAAGGACAAGAAGGAAAAGAAGAATAAAAAGGACAAGAAAGATAAAAAGGACAAAAAGGAAAAGAAGGATAAAAAGGACAAGAAAGAAAAGCATTCTACTACTAGTGAAGGTGGCGTATCCCAACAAGAATCTGCTGTTTTGGAAACTTTGACTGACTACAAATATGAAGAACATCCTGAACTAACAAGCTTGCCTCAATCTACCATTGATGCATTCAATAAGGAACATGCTGTGGAAAGTCATGGTGATCTCAAGTTGCGTCCTTTATTAAAGTTTGATTATACTCGGTTACCTGAAAACATTATGCAAGTCTTCAAAAAATTTGATAAACCTACACCTATTCAAGCTACTACCTGGCCTATTTCTCTTTCTGGTCGTGATATCATTGGTATTGCTGAAACTGGTTCTGGAAAGACTTATGCTTTCACTATTCCTGGTTTGGTCCATATTTCATCCAAGTTACTCAAGCAAAAATCATCTTCTGATAAAGTTAGAAAACCCACTATGCTTGTTGTATCTCCTACTCGTGAATTGGCCATGCAAAGTCAAGAACAAGCCTTAGAAGCTGGAAAATCATGTGGTGTGACTTCATGTTGTTTATATGGTGGTGTATCCAAGATTGGTCAACGTGAAGAATTACAAAGAGGTGTGGATATTATTGTGGCTACTCCTGGACGTTTAATTGATTTGATCAATGAAGGTTATTGTGATTTATCTGAAATTTCGTTTATGGTATTGGATGAAGCTGATCGTATGTTGGATGATGGTTTTGAAAAGAACATTCGTGATATTATGGATTACACACCTAAGAATCGACAAACTCTTATGTTCTCTGCTACATGGCCCGAAAGTGTTCGTAAACTTGCTAATGAATATCTTTCCAATCCTATGCGTATCTCCATTGGATCAACTGATTTGGCTGCCTCTCAAAATGTCACTCAAATTGTACAAGTAGTGGAAAATCCTAGGGACAAGGAATATAAATTGGTGGAATTATTAAAGAAGATCCATAAAAGTCGACAAAATCGAATCTTGGTATTTGCATTGTATAAGAAGGAAGCAACTCGTGTGGAAAATACTCTTCAACGTAGTGGATTCAAAGCTGTGGGGATTCATGGTGATAAGAGTCAACAACAACGAACCGAAGCATTACAACAGTTCAAGGATGGTTCTTTCCCTGTGATGGTAGCAACAGATGTAGCAGCTCGTGGTCTTGATATTCCTGATGTTGAATATGTTATCAATCTTACTTTCCCTCTTACTATTGAATCTTATGTACATCGTATTGGTCGAACTGGTCGTGGTGGTAGAAAGGGTACTGCTTATACATTCTTTACTCCTATGGATAAGGCACATTCTGGTGAACTGATCAACGTTTTGAAACAAGCTAATCAAAAAGTACCTGAAGAATTATTGAAGTTTGGAACTACTGTCAAGAAGAAAACTCATGGTGCTTATGGTGCTTTCTTCAAGGATACCAGCGATGCTCCCAAAGCTAGCAAAATTGTATTTAGTGATGATTAGATTATATATTTTTTTTTTTAGTTTTATTTTTAGTTATATAGCTTTATTTTTTTTTCTTTTTATTATCATTATTATTTTACTTTTATTCATTTTTATTATTATTCTTATTCATCTCATACATCTTTATATATATATATACATCCATCATAGATTTGTATTACTCAATCAATAAAAAATAAATCATTTTTACAAACTGTCGAATTCTTTTAATTTGTGATCATATTGAGTTTCAACACGATTTTAAAAAAGTAAGGATGGTTGTTGGCCAATCAAAAGCGAGCACAAATTTTCCTTTCAGCGTGATTTAAAAAGACCTGGAAAAAGTAAGAGAATCCTCTCTGTCACCTTTTTTTTTTTTTTTTTTTACGTTTCTTTGTCTGGTTTTATCCAAAAGTTGGGAATCAAGGTAAACTAATAAACCCAATAAACAAAGAAAGAACTTTTTTTTTTCTTCTTTACATTGTGTTTTTATTATTTGACTTGTTATTTTAGTCTCTTTGTTGTTTTCTTTGTTTTTCTATAGTTAAAAAAAAAAAGGACGTACGTATTTACAGATTATTATTATTTTTTTTTTTTTTTTTACATCTAGTACAAGTCATCTTTACTTACTTCGGTGAAATGCAGCATCCCTCTCAACAACCTTTGCAAAGACCTCCACAGTCACCAGGATCAATGATGAATCCTAATGGTATGGGACGACCTCCTCCTCAAGGTTTTCGACCATCTGGCGCGCCTCCCGTCACACAGCAACCTATTGGTGGTCCTGGTTATAGACCTTCTCCTACAATGACCCATCAACAATTACCACCTGGCATTCGACCTAACTTTTCTCCTGGTCCTCGTCCTCAACAACTACCTCCTCATCAAGGAATGCCACCTCAACAACAATTCGGTAGACCTATGCAACCTCCTCTAGTTGGTGCTCGTCCGCCTCCACTTCCACAAGGTGCTGCTCGTCCACCTCCTATGATACGCCCAGGTGCTCCAGTTTCACAATCATCATCTCCGTCCCAATTATCAACCCCTATTACGCAAGGTAGTCCTAATGGTGTTCCTTCTGGATTCCTTCCTGCTCAACGGCCTCCATCCAGTCCTAGTAAGAATCTTGTGAACGCCACGATAGTGCCATCTAGTCCACAACAACAACCACAACAACCACAACAACAGCTTCAGCAGCCTCAGCAGCCTCAGCAGCAACAACAACCGCAACAACCGCAACAGCTTCAACAACAACAGCTTCAGCAACAGCAGCTTCAACAACAACAACAACAACAACAACAACAACAACAACAACAACAACAACAACAACAACAACAACAACAACAACAACAACAACAACAACAACAACAACAACAACAACAACAACAACAATTACATCAAGCGCAACAGCTACAACAACAGCAACAACAGCAACAACAGATTCAGCAAGCTCAGCATGTACAACAACAACAGCAACAACAACAGCAACAACAGCAACCTCTTTCACCTACGATGGAGGCGACATCTACTGTCTCGGATCATCATAAACGAAAGCGAATGTATCCAAAACAAGCATACTTAGATGAATCCACTTCACCTGCCGGGTATAGCGCGCCTGGTATTCCAGGTCCTGGTATAAATCAATTTGGTGCAGGTGGATATCAGCAACCTCAACAAATGACAATGCAACCTCAACAAGCACCAATGCAACCACAACAGCAACAACAACAACAACCCAACTTTATTTCACCAATGGCTCCTCAAGTTCCTTCTTATGGTCAGCAACCTCAAATGCAGCCTCAAGTGCAACATCCACAACAATATGGTCAGAAAAGCATGGATGGGTTGACAAATCAATTCGGAAATATGAGTATGGCTCAGGTAAATAAATGAAAAGAAAAGTGAATTCCACTTGAATGTATTTTATTCTAACTCATATTCTGTTATTGTAGACAATGCCTGCTGTACCTTTACTCGGAACTCCTCCACACATTGTTGAACTTTCTGGTCCTGGTCCGAAGATAAACCTTCCTGCTAACGTAAGATTTCCTCTCTTTAACTAGGTAATAATATGGACTCATCTTTTGATTTAATTTCTTTTCATATAGGTGTCCATCACAAACTCTCCGTATGCTAACTGTGATCCTTCTTACAAATGTTGTACTCTGAATGCTGTTCCTGCCACTGAAGCTTTACTGAAGAAATCAAGGTTACCCTTTTCTCTTGTCCTTGCACCATACCGTAGTTTGAAGGAAGAAGACGTAAGTAAAATTGTGAGAGGTTGTTTGATTGGAAATTGATTTTTCTTGTGTTTTTGGAATAATATATAGGAACCTGTTCCGGTTGTATCTGATAGTGTGATTGCTCGTTGCCGTCGTTGTAGAACTTATATCAATCCATTTGTCACATTTGTAGAAGGTGGTCAACGATGGAAGTGTAACATGTGTTTCTTATTGAATGATGGTAAGATGAAAGAAAAATAATAATAAAAAAAAAGGATGAAATATATAGGAATTGCTAACTAATATATATATATATAGTACCTGCTGCGTTCGACTATGATGCTCATACCCAACAACAAGCGGATAGATGGAAACGACCTGAATTGAATTATGGTTGTGTTGAATTTGTAGCTCCAACTGAATATATGGTACGACCTCCTCAAGCTCCAGCGTTTGTGTTTATTTTAGATGTGTCATATTCGGCAGTACAATCTGGAATGTTAGCGACTGCTACCCGTACATTATTGGACACTCTTGACCGTCTTCCCAATGAAGAAAACCGAACAAATGTTGCCATCATCACTGTCGATAGCGCTCTCCATTTCTATAATTTCAGTGATTCTGTGGAAGAACCTCAAATGTTAGTCGTGGCTGATCTAGAAGATGTATTTTTACCTCAACCTGTCAATTTGTTTGCCAATCTAACTCGAAGTATGGATGGTATCAAGTCGTTATTAGAAAAACTTCCAGAAATGTTCAAGGATACTGTCAATGTCAATAACGCCTTGGGTCCTGCTCTTCAAGCTGCTTTCAAAATGCTGGTAAATATTTATATATAGATCTGTATATATATATATGTGTGTGTGTGTGCTATGTAATATATTGATACCTCTTTTTTTTTTTTTTTTCTAAAATAGTCTGCTAATGGTGGTAAAATTATCTGTTTACAATCTACTCTTCCTAATGTGGGTACTGGTGCCTTGAAATCTCGTGAAGATGTCAAACTTCTTGGTACTGCAAAGGTAAAAAAACAAAAACAAAAAAAAAAAAAGGAAACGATATATATTTTAAGATTATTTTTCCTGGATCACTAACTACGATGTGGTATTACTACTCTAGGAAACAACCTTATTGAACCCTGCATCACCTTTCTACAAGACATTTGCTGTGGATTGCTCTAGATCTCAGGTTGCATGTGATATGTTGATTTTTGGAGGACAATATGCAGATGTAGCTACTCTCAGTAAGTGCTCAACAAAAAAAAAAAAAAAAGAATCTTTTTAGAAAAGAAAGAATACCTATTAGTCCTAACTATTATTCTTTATTATTATTATTATTATTATATAGGCTGTTTACCTCATTATACTGGTGGTCAAACATACTATTATCCTGGATTTAATGCAAGTCGATCAGAAGATGCTCTCAAATTTGCTCATGAATTCTCTGAACTTTTGGCTGAACAAATTGGTCTTGAGGCTGTGATTCGAATTCGTGCATCCCGAGGATTAAGAATGAATGCATTCCATGGCAACTTCTTTATTCGGTCCACTGATCTTTTGGCCTTACCCAACGTTCCTCGTGATCAAAATTATTGTGTAGAAGTCGTGATAGAAGATGATTTGAAGACTCCTACTGTATGTTTCCAAACTGCCTTATTACATACTTCTTGTACTGGTGAACGTCGTATCCGTGTGGTTACTCTATGTCTACCGGTTAGTAATAGTATGTCTGAATTATATGCCAATGTGAATCAAAAAGCTGTTGCGGATTACCTTGGTACTAAAGGTAAGGATGAAAAGATTTATTGGAATTTTTTTTTCTTCTTTTCATGAAACTAACTTTCATATTTTCGTTATAGCTGTTGAAAGGGCTTTGACTTCTAAATTGGATGATGCTCGTGATGCTATTGTGAATAAATTGGTGGATATGTTTGGTGTTTATAAGACTCATGTACTTGGCTCTGCTCAAGGTTCTACTCCTCAACTGACTGCTCCTGATAACCTGAAATTATTACCTATTCTTGCTCTTGGTTTGATCAAACATGTAAGTTATATATATATAAGGTTATATTTAAGCAGAATGAATTAACCTATCTTTCCAATAAAATATAGGATGGATTACGACAAAGCTCACAAATACCGACTGATATGAGAGCCAATGCCATGAACCTTTTACGGACCATGCCATTACAATTGTTGATTCCTTATATCCATCCCAACTTTTATTCCCTTCACAATATGCCTCCTGAAGCTGGTGAAGTCACTGAAACTGGAGTCAATTTCCCACCAGCTCTCAACCTTACTGCCGAACGTATTGAAGCTCATGGTTGTTATTTATTGGAAAATGGACAAAATATTTATCTCTGGGTTGGTCGTGGTGTGGTACCACAATTGTGTATGGATCTGTTTGATGCAAATTCTTATGAAGCTTTACGTGGTGGAAAGGTATATATATATCAACAAATAGATTTTCAAATCATTCATTACTAATCATCTTTTTTTTTTTTTTGTAGTATACATTGCCTGTTTTGGAAACACCTTTGAACAGAAAAGTCAACATGATCATTGGAAAGATTCGTGAAATGCGACGTGGGAATTATTATCCAACTCTATATCTCGTCAAGGAAGATGGCGATCCATACCTCAAGATTTGGTTTATGTCTCATTTGATTGAAGATCGTACAGAAAATGTCATGAGCTATCAACAATTCTTACAATTCATCAAGGATAGGGTAATAAGAAATGTTTAGACTAAAATGATCAGTATTCACAAAAATATATAACTTTTTTACTTTTAGGTTGGATCTGGCTCTTTCTAAAGAAATGGTCCCTTTATCATATTTGTTATGTACACTCTTACACACAAAATTTTTTTTTATTATTATTCTTATTATTTATCTTTTCCTTTTTTTTTTTTTTTTGTTTTTTTTATCTTACAATCTACTATTTCTTTATTTCACAAACAAAACAATAAAACAATACATGAATACACTGGAATAGATATACCAATCTCTGTATTTTGAATGATCGGAATATTATTGAATTTTCTGATGTGGGGTTAAAATATAATCTACTTTCTGATCAGTTTCTTGCAAAGGGATAACACCAACATCCACCATTTGTTCTTGCAACGCTAGTGCCACTAGAGTACAAAGATTAGAATTCCATCATATCATCCTGATCCAATGATTTTACCTGTTTTCACCATGGGTCGATGATTGGTATTGGCCCAATCTTGATATTTCAACAAGTATCGATCATAATATCCTTTACCATGACCAATCCTATTCTTTTCCTGATCAAACGCTACACCTAAATAAATAAATAATAATCCATGTCAGTTTCAAAATTAAAAAATGATTGATAATTTACCTGGTACAAGTATAAGATCTAATCCATCCTTCTCCAGAGCTTTTATTTAATATTATTCAAAAAAAAAGTTAATATGACATACATAAAAGAAAAAAAATATTATTATTATTACCATTTTCTCTTGGTTCGTCAAGTGGTGGTTCCGGAATATCCCATTTGTTGATAGGTAAAGAAAGATAATCTTCCCATGAAGTAATCTTGACCATATCCATAGAGTCCTTGGTACATCTTGGAATATAACATGTTTTATCTATACAAAAAAAAAAAAAAAATTAATGAGCATTGTCCGTTTCTATGTATCTTTTCACCCTTTGGTTTTTTCCATTGACCTGCTTGAATAATATGTTGAATCATGGCACGCGTGTTGATTTCACAAGTGGGTGTACTGATATATACACTAATGTTTTGGCTTTTTTGGAAGATGTCCAGTTGCAGTAATTGTTGAAAGACAAGATCAGCTAAAAAAAAAAAAAGTGGAGAATAAAGAATAAGGAAAATGTATCATTTTGTTTGAAAAATGATAACTTACATTGAGTTGCAATAGATTCACTAGAGACTTGTTTTAATCGGGTTGTCATATCTTTGCGTAAAGTACGTTTTAAAAGTCGAAGGCTAGTTGTCATCTTGAGTCTAAATAGGGAAAACACTAAGAAGAAAAGAAAAAAAAAAAGATCTTAAAATTACCCCTATTTTCTATTTATACGTGTTCCCCGACTGGACAAATTTCATTGAAGTGTGCCAATTCAAAAATGTCAAAAAGGGTCTACTAATACTAATCATCATTGTTTATTATCAACATCATAAAAAAACATCATCATCACTGACAGAGAAAATTATGTTTTATTGACAAAAAAAAGTAACAATGATAAGAAAAAAAAATAAAGATAATTTGTCATGATTCAATATATATATATATATATGAGAGAGAGTGGGAGAAAGTAAGGAACTACAAAAATACTAGGTCACATAAAATACATGATTTTTTGCATTTCGGGCTTGACAGTAGAGAAGTTGGCCATTTGTGTATCGATATCAATGGATTCAGTTGTTTCAGAGTCATCCCAATGTTCACCTTTAAGATGGAAGCGAGCACGGGCAGCCATCAAATCAGCATAATAAGCAGGAGGACAGATGGAAACAGAGCGAGTAGCACGACCATAGATATAACATAAACGATAAGTGAGTTCTTGTAAATCATCCGAAGTGAATTTGTTATCGTCATATAGAACATGATAATGAGTTGGACGTGATGTACCTTGAAGTCCAGCATGAGATTGCAAATCTAAATAAAAAAAAAAAAAAAAAGAAAAGCAGATAAGCATATCGTCCTAATAGATTATCTACGCAATCATTTGAATACTTACAAAAATCAAACTCAAATGGATGGACAATACCAGTATCAACAACTGTACCAGGGTGACAATTACCAGTTCGATCGCTATCACGAGTTTGAATAGGAAAGAATCGAGTATGATGACGTTTTTGGACAACTACAAAGGTGACAGGAGGTTGGTAAGACTTTTCAAGAGAGGAACAGGCGGCATGGATAGCGGTAACTTCATTTCTGAGTACTTGATCAAATTGACCTTCAGAAACACCATCACGATAAAACAAGACTTGTTGAGGTTTTTGACCACAAGTTTGATAGAAGACCTTTAACATTTCCTTGACCATGTTAGCTAAATCTGCTATGATTTCAGTACGGGGGGCTTGAACACGGACGGTGGAAGCATAATAGGAAGCATGAGCATCCATACTTGCAGTCACAGCAGCGATAGATGGTCTGTCCGTATTACCAGAAGGATGAGTAACATCAGCACCAAAGACAATAGTAGGTTTGCGTGAAATAAAAGGAATTTGAGATCCATCCATAAACAAGTTGATACCACCAAGTTTCATATTCACCTTCAAACACACGTTGGCACAATATTGTTTTTTGGGATCAGCAATATGCTTACTTTGTACACATTGACTAGCAACACTGGTAACTATAAGAAGAATATAAAATCAAAGTTATAAAAACAAGAAATCATCATCACCTTTTTTTTTTTTTTTTTTTTTTTTTTACCTGTGTCACAAATGCGTTTGATTTCAGCGTAGAGAGGAACACCAGTGTTAGGTAAGATACAGAATATCAATTGAGGTTTAGCCTTGGCAGCATTACCAGCCTTCAACCAAGCTTCCTTGAGAATACGTTCAATATTACCCTGAGGATTAGCATGAGTAATAGGTGGTTTTCGATTGATGACATTCTAATTTTGAAATCATAAAGAAACAATAAAGCTCAGTACCTGATGGTTCTTTTCTTTTTTTCTTATTAAAAAAAAAAAAAAAAAAACTTACCAACCCAGTATCCACAAATGTTTGACATAATTCAGGAATGAAACGTTGGATCATACCATCATGTATTTTGCTTGCAAAATTTACGATAGACCAAGAACCCAAGTTGGCACCCTTTGCCACCTTTTTTCCACGAAGATTCCAAGCACCACCAACAGGAGCAAAAGTAGCGTTTTGAGAGGAAGGATGATAAGAGATCTTTGGCGTAGGAAGAACACGAGCATTAACCGTGGCCATTTCGGACTTGATATTAACACCAAATTGTTGAATGTATGGGTTATCCTTGTATTTGAGAAGATTGACGGCTTGATGGATTTTATTGGCACGGACAGTGGGCTTTTGGCAAGTAAACTTGATCATTTCGGCGGTTTGCATTTCATTCAATTTCTTCAAATGACGTTGACCAGGAATCACTTCACAAACTTCCATAGGTAAAAAGATATCTTTCTTGACAACAACACAGGGTAAGAAGGGATAGGCCAAACGTCTGTTGTATGTTTGTTGGAAATAGTGCGCAACAGTCATTTCGTTTCCATCTTTACCTTTGAATAGAGTGTTTTCAGCAGAGGTGGGCGTGAGTTTGTTGATCTTGTATTTCAATTGTTTTTCAGCACCACGATGGACAACAATGATTTTGAGATTCTTCAGAATTTTTTCGACCTTGATGCGTTCATGATCAGGAATACCACGACGAAGGTCATCAAGACTACGACGGTTAAGAATCTTAGGGAGCATTTCATGAAGAGGACCAGATTCATAGAAAGCAGTAGCACTAACATCAAGGTTGATCATCATTTTGCCTACCAGTGAAAAGAATAAATATTAATAACAAAAAAAAACACAATATTGGTATTTTTTTTTTTATGTTACCTTGAGTAGGACGAACAGATTGATAGAAGCCTTGCCATACTTCTGCACCATTGTGCAAAGGACGTTTGTCTTGAGGAGTGAAAAAGGATCGACCGATCGTGGGATACATCATGCTGGGAAGTTGATGAATTAATACATCCAACACCATAATGGCTTTAATATGTTTCAGTAAGCAACCAGACAGGAAAAAAAAAAAAAAAAAAGGTGAATGAATAAAAATACCATAAATAATGAAAGATTTTTTATTTTTTTTTTTTACCAGTTAAACAATTGTTGGTAATGCCAGATCTGCCATCCAAGAATAATTGTAATTCACTCATGTTGATTACACCTACAGGCTTGATATTTAACTTAAAAACACCACCAGAACGATTTCCTTCTTGAAGATTGACCTATAAACAAGAATAAAAATGATGAATATAAATGAACCAATAAAAAAAAAGAGTAATTAAAAAAATAATATCGTAGGTGAAACAAATGATATAAATATTCTTTTTTTTTTTTTGGAACAAACTTACCTCAAAGGAGATACCAATATTGTCATTCCCACACTTGAGTGGTTTTGAAGAAAAAAGATTCGCACGACCATCGAAAATAGGTTTGACATTATTGAGAAAAGATTGACCTTTAGGGCTATCTTGAAAAAATTGCCATACCTTTCTGAGAAGAGCAGGAGGATGACCATCAGGTAAGATTTGGATATTCAAATGTTGGACGTTTTGACCAGGAAGTGTAAGCATTTCGAAAAAATTACTTCGTACACGTATTGGTGTACCAGCCTTACCAATATTAGGTCGCTTGACCAGTTGAGTTAAATTTCTGTTTGAGATATTTGACATAATAGAACAGTAAAAATCAATTAAAAAAAAACAGAAAGAAAAAAAAAAAAAAAAAAAGAACTAAAAAAAAAAAATCATATTGTATATATATGGCGATTTGATCGGAGTCTTTACAAGAATCCTGCAAATTAAAATCAACCAACCACACAGGTTCAATCCCATTTTCATTGTCTTTATCATCGTCGTCAACAAGTGGATTTATATCATTGAATTGTCATTATCTTTCAAGTCAACATCAATATATAATATACATATATCTTCGTGTCACCACACATACAATCATAAAATAAATCAATCAAAGAAAAAAAAAAAGGAAGGGACACAGTCATATTGAAAAAAAGAGTTTATTTTGAGTTTGTATAAAATCATCAATAAAATAAAATAAAATATATTCTACTATTTTCTAAACTAAAAGGAATAGTTCATTTAGCCGTTACCTAGAAGCCACCACGAAGAGGTAAAACTAAATATTGGCTCCCAATATTCTTTTTTTTTTTTTATTTGTTAACCTTTCGTACTCCTTGTCAACCATACGACTTGATATCATTAAGCGTAGAAAGCTACTATAGAATATAGAAAAAGAGAGATTAATCTTTAGTAATAACTACTATATATTATATTCATTGTATAGTATTCTTATATATTCAAACACATATATAAAAACAAAGATTAGAGGGTACAATCTACTTTTTATTTTTTTAAATGACTTACCCGCTGCTTGGAAAACCAAGACTCCATCCATGTTGTTGATGTCGATAGCATTCTTGCCGAACATTAACCAACCCGTACAATACCCTTTCCGATACTTGAAGACTTGTTGATATACGACTTACTCTTGACTTCACCATATCCACGATTGTAGTCCACGCAATATCCGTTCAAGCACCGAGATTGAGCTGTGAAATGTAACGAGACAATAAACAGAAAATTTAGAGCATAAAAGAACCTATAAGTTTATTTGAGCATAAGAATCATAATTATTAAAAACATAAAAAAAACAAAGGAATGTACTTACCGTGATGATACACGGTTCAAATAAAAAATATAAAATAAAATAAATAAAGACTAAAATAAATATAAAGAGAAAGAAAAAGAAAAAGAAAGAAAAGGGCATAAACTAACTAAGGGCATAAATTTCAAATTTCAAAAAAAATAAAAAAGTCATAAATATTGTCCGCCATCAAGCTGTCAGGGCGACATCTGCTTATTGTTGATGCTATCTGGTGTGCTTCTTGGTTCATTGTACCGTGCCTAACAAAAAAAAAAAAAAAAAAAGAAGGAATCAAAGTTGGAACATCAGTGTTCAAAAGCAATCCACAACATCATCACTTACTATCTAAACAGGAAACCATTCTGGGGATCGTCAAATAGAAGAACCAGGTAGGCATTCAGATATCTTGATAATAACTCTAAGTCATTTGATTCTTCGTTCAGCACGTTGTTGGGTAACATTTCAACCCTAAATACATTAACATAAAACTATCAGTACACCGCTTTTTATAAAAAAAAAAAAAAGAGAATACTTACATAGCCTTGACAGATTTGATGACTTTATATTCTAAATGGACTTGCTTCTGGTTTCAAAGATAACAATTCCAGCACAGTATTATCTCGATCTATTTTCCCTTTGTCCAGACGCTGGATTGGATAACAAAATGAATTGTCAGAAACATGTAAAACGCATCGAAAAGTTTATAGATATTATTTGATCTTACCTTGAGATATTCGTGATCTTATTCGCCCAGCTGAGAGAGAATTCGAATTTATCAGAATCAAAACTGTAAAGCCAAATGATCACAAAGAGCATCCACCGAAAAATTGATAAGAAGTCGATTCCTTTTTCCCCGTCATGATGCTACCGCTAAACGTCGTTTCATAATCGTCTCTTCCATTGTCACGAGCAAAATATTGTGGTATAACACGCTTGTAGGTGAGACGGCATTGTGTCCGCATGTGATTGCCGATTGCTTGAGGTGTGATGTCTGAATATCTTTCACTTCCTGGTACATCAATGATAGTTTGCTGTTTCAACTGGTCGAAAATAAATAGCGTGTGTTCATCGAGAAGCTTGCGTTGGCGACCTTTTCTTGGCCACTACGAAGCTTTTTGTTTTCCATTACCGACCGAATCGTTCCATTGCTTTACCCTTTGAATTGCCGTTGATTTCGGTAGTCCAACTTGTTTCGCGCCGTCCCTGATGGATAGATGCTCAAATTCGTGAAGAAGATTGATTAGTTGTCATCGTTTTTTTGTTTGATACTGGCCGCGTTGCATTGTCGTTGCTGTTTCCCCTTGTTCAACCACAATGGCATCTCCAAATTCTTCACCTTCTTTCCAGTGCTTGGACCTTCCCAATCCATATAGGTTTGAATAAGTACCGTTTGTTGAGGCAATGATCATTATTTAAAAACTGAAGAGGGATTGATATAAGAGGTAATAGTGTTAAAAAGTGAGAAAAAAGCGGAAAAGAAAAGCAAAAAAAAAAAAAAAAAAAAAAAAGAACCTTAAAAAATTCACAGTAGCGCGACCATCTTGACTCACTTTCTCGGAGTTGACAGTTATAGCAGTAAAAAAAAAAAAAGAATATCTCTTTTATCCAACTCTTTATAATGAAAATTTATTTTATTCAATAGTTTAGATTTTTTAGCTAGTGGATTATATTATCAGGCTTACATTCTTATTTAAATAAAATCATATACTTTCCATTATTATCATGTACTCTATATGTATATCCAATCATCACTGAAAAAAAAAAAATAAGAAAGACAAGTATATTTCAAACAAAAGGTTTATTTGATTTGTATAAAATCAACTGAATAAAATGGTTTATATATCAACCAATTCACTATTGTTCACGTACATATTATAAGATTCCAGATTCACATATTTTCCTGGTTCATCTTTCTCAATTTCTTGGCCATTCTTGTACCATGTTTTTGTTCTATACATAAAAGGAACAACCAAAGTAGCCTGACTGACCATCATTTTGATTTCCCCTTTTTTTCTGGGAGGAACACTGACTTTGGATTCACCGGAAATACGACGTTCTTCTCCTTTTGAACCACCCCAATCATGCGATGCCTTTGCCGTGACAGCAACATCAAAGCTACCATTTGCAAGGAAGGGAACACCTGCATCGATCGTAGCGCTAACCGTCAATTCGGCTCCCACACTATTATTCCAAGTGCCTACTTCAGATTTCGTATATTCATATCTCAACGTATTTTCCGAGGATGCTTGACGATCATGATTCTCGACTTTCAAACTACCAGCTACAAATGGAGTTTCACCCCTTGTCTCTGCCCTTGATAAATCATATTTGACATCGATGATTTGTTTTCTGAAAGATGGTTCTTCGATCGTAAATTGGGAATCCTCGTTAATCAAAGTTGCATTTGCCGCCAGAAAGGTCCTTCCATCTCGACTGTGAACACGGGCAAAGTAACCGTTATCAGCCTTCAGAGCAAATTTCTTATTATCCAATGGAATCACTTCAAATACGGATCGTCTCGTCCATGATCCCCACAAAACACCATTATCATTGCATGAAAAATAGGCACCGTTGTCCAGTTTAAAGCTGATTTTATTTGTACCCTCCTGTTGTTCATTCAATGTCATATAGCAAGCATCATCAACTGTGCATTTCAGTAAATAAACACCATTTTCATATGCGCCTGTACTATTGTATCTTTTTACGTAAACACCACCGTTACATTCGTGATGAATAAGAAAATATTTGGGTAGAATAATAATTTTTGAGGACATTTTTCAATAGTGAGAAGAGAAGATAAGGAAAAAAAAAAAAAAAAAAAAAAAAAAAAAAAAAAAAAAAAAAAAAACTAATTTTTTTTTTGCTTTAAAACTCTTTACACTAAAACTTAAATTTGTACGTGTTTCAAACAACACGCAATACGCTCTATCTAATATTAAAAAAAAAAAAAAAGAGTAAAAATTCTTTTTCCTTTAAAACCTTAATTTCTACGCGCTTTATATACTTTTTTTTTGTAGTAGATGTATCAATAGTATAATATATATATATATATATAGGAAAGAGAGAGATATTGACGTATTGTCAAGATGTCTATCTTTTATGCAGTACGACAAAAACTGATCTACAGTTTTAATTTGTCAGGTTTCTAGCGAAAAAGGAAATATATTTTCATGTTCAGGGACAACAGAAGTAAAAGGATGATGATGATCGTACGTTTACAATCATGATGACTCCATGATGATGATGAAATCTAAACTCTTTCATTATATAACAAAGGTGAATTATCACATGATATGGACTTTTTCTTTTTTAACGAACAGTCTACGGGTTTAATCACCCATTCATATGTGTGTATCTGTACGATGGACGTTAACCCTGACAATCACTGGAGGAAAAGCAATAGATGATGGATGCAAAAATACACTTTGGTTGATATGACAACGTGAATCAAGAAAGTCGCGCTATGATTGTCCCCAACAATTTAGGACTCGTGATATTTTAAATCTATTTGAAGTTAGGCCTCTTTCTTTGTTTTCTCTTTTCATTTTTTTTTTTTTTTAGCGCCTTAGTGTATTTCTCCCATCCCACACGCTATTGTATGTTATCTTTCAATGATTAAATGGAATTTTAAAACACCAAGATTTATCGCTGTATAATATTTTATTGGAACTCTTCTGCCTTTTGACTTTAATCGTTTTTAGTTTTTTATGTGAATGAGAAGGAAAAAAAAAGGGAAAAAACGAATCACGACACATTTAAAAATAAAATCATGTTTTTCGTCTCATATCCACAATATATAAATCAACAAAGAGATGTACGTGCTATCATACAAATTATAATATCTTTTATTGATTTACAATGTAATAGTAATATAATATAAATTCAAGAGGTATATATGATAACTAATCTAAATACACTAATAATAATAAAAGAAAATCAAATTGTATTCTACACGTTTTCGGATGGTTTGATCGTTGGTAAATTGGTAAGTCTAACGAATTCAGTTTGAGGATCATGAGGTTTGGTGGCTGGATAGGAAGGTGCAGGTTCAGAATATTCCACTGAGGGAGTTTGATAGCCATCCGTGTTCAAATGATTATTGTTGTTGTTGTTGTTGTTGCTGTTGTTGTTGCTGTTCTTGTCAGTATTTTCGGGAAACATGGTAGGAGGAATATCGTTGTTGAAATCTTGAGGTGGCGGTACATAATAATCAAATTCATTTTTGTTTCGATTTCTTCGTTTTCGATAGCAGAAGAAGGCAAAGGCTCCAGCAATCTAACAATTTAAACAAATAAAATTAATTATATTAGCTACATTTCATGATTTTTTTTTTTTTGGTCTTACTCCAGCAGCGGCTACTACACCAACAACAATACCAGCAATGCCACCAGCACCAATACTTCCATTACTGTTTGTACTCGTTTCATTTGTTCCATTGTTGGATACTACAGAAGATTGACCAGCCCAAACAGGCATTGAAGCATTGGAGACATCCAAGATATGCGTATCATCATTTATATTGCCACTTCCGTCATAGCCAAACATGATAAAAATACTTCGATTATAAAGAACCGCTATATATTTAAAAAAGGAAAATACAATTGAGCATATGAATCAGTTGCTTTTTTTTTGCATTTACCAGAATGACCCATACGGGAACCAGCACCATTGCCTGCCGACAAATCCAACTTGGTATATGCATGTTGATCCATATCATAAAGGTAAGCGTAGTCCGAGACAGGTAAAGCTATTTGAGTATATACATAAAAAAAATCATCATTAAGTCTTGATCTATGGTTATGGCATAGTACTGTTTTCATTTTTACCTTGTAAATTGGCCTTATTTGTTCCACCGTATATCAACACTTTCCCAGTACCAGGAACTAGTACAAAAAAAAAAAAAAAAATTGTTAGCATTATATTCAAAAGGAGGTTCAAAATGAAAACTATCACTTACTATAAGTTGCAGTATGAGCCTTTCGGGGCGTAGGAGTGTCACCCGATGCCGTGAGACTTCCCCATTGATCTGTGAATGCAAATATATATATATAAATATATATATAAAGGATCGATCAGTAAGATAGATGACTATAATATAGGATTCTATATTTACCGGTATGAGTGTTGTAAAAAGTGATATTTTGCATTGGAATAATATTAGGTTGCAGATTTACTTCAGGTAACTCCAAAAAGCCACCAAAGAAGTTGATGACTCCATTTCGACAAATAGCAGCATATCCATATCTACTAGTGACTGGTACACCAAGACCATTTGGAAAAAGAGACCACATAGCAGGCTATTACCAAAAAAAAAAAAAAAAAAAAAAAATTGAGTATATGAGTTTATTTTCATCTATTTTCTTTTTCTTACGTTTTTTGACAAATCACCTTTCAATATTTCGCTTTGAACAAAGTTTTGAGTACCATTCCTATGAATAAGTGAGGTTAGAATATAGATTTGATATGATAATAAATATAGGGTACTAACTTACAATTTTCCACCATAAGCCCATACGGTATTGTTATCTGTAGAAATCATGAAGCCTTCTTTCCTATATAATGTAGAATAAAAAGGGAAAATAGCGAGTATGAGTGAAGGATAAAATAGTAAAAAAAAAAAAAAAAAAAAAAAAAAAAGAAAAAAGAAACCAAGATTGTCACTTACATATAAAAAGGAGGATCAGAGACAGTTGACCAAGTATTGCTACTACTATCAAAGATGAGAGCTGGATTGTTGAGAGCAGCATTATAACTTCCACCAAAAACCATATATCGTGTATTGTCAAGTGATGCCAAAGACATGGAAGCTCTAGGTTCGAGAGCAGGCGTATTAGAATTAGTTGAAGGAACAGGAGTCCAATTAGGTGAATAAGTAGAAGAGGTCAAATCAGCTTGAGACATATCAAAAGTGAAATGGTCAGTGGTCATATTGATAAAAACACTATTTGCAGCACTAATGTATCCGCCATAACAATATACATTGTTGCCAACGGCCGTGCATCCTGAAATATATATATATATATATATATATAAAAAGGAAAAAAAAAAAAAAAAAAAAAAAAAAAAAACAGAAAAAGATGTTAAATCGGGCATTGAAAGAAGACTAAAAAAGCTTGATTTCTGTAATTTGTACCTTGAAGAACTCGACCAGGAATAGCGTGCACAATTGTGAAAAAGAATAAAGTAGAGAGTGATAGTAATATAATCATCAACGTTAACAAAATCTATAATAATAATATATAATAATATATATGAAAGGAAGGAAGGAAGAAGAAGAAATAAAATAAAAAAACATGTCGATGTTATTTTTGCAATATTTATTTAGCTCGTGTAACAAGGTCTACCTTAGCCACACACACGTATAACATATCCAAGCCTTTTACAAAACTTTAAGGGTTGACAATTAGAAAAGTGGATTCCTTGTACTCGGATGAGTTTACCGTTTCTTACTTTTGATGTGGTTGATTCTCCGAGGTTGGACACAATAGGAGAAAAGTGTTGTTAAATTTACTAATAAGAATTCAAATAATACAGTAATGATAATAAAGGGAAGTAGAAGTATAGTAGTTTATTACAGAAAAAAAAAAAAAGCGAAGCAAAGTAAAGATATATCTAAATAAAATATAAAAAGAAAGGATTGTATGCTATCTTAGTTCTTGGAAAGAACAAACTTGTAAACAAGGACACCAGCAACAACAACAGCAGGAAGAAGAACACGAAGAGCACTATGATAAAAGAAGAAAAAAAAAAGTAGTTAATTATAGGATGATGATTATTTTATAAACCTACGATCCAGATTGCTTTTGTTCAGGAAGTTCTCCAGCTCGAATAGGATCAAACTTGTGATTATCGACACGAGACTAAAAAAGTAAAAAAAAAAGTTTGTCATTCATTTAAAAAACCGATCATCATTAATACAAAATAAAAGATAAGTATAACTTACAGCTTCATCCAATTCACCAATAAGGTACTTTTCCAAGATTTCACGAGCTTCATCAGAGTGGCCAATATCTTCAAAAGATTCGGTAGCATCCTTACCTATTTATAATTACCCCCTTGAGTTTGAATAAAAACTAGCTATATTTTTGAATAGATATAATTCACTTACCAGCTTCATCAAGTAAAACTTCTTCACCACCAGGATGCTAATTCAAAAACATCAATAATCACAATAATAATAATAAGAATAAAAAAATAAAAGAGTTTACATTGAGTTCATGTATAAATAGTTATCTTTTTATATACATACTTCAACCACAAATTCGGTAATATCATAAACCTTGTTATGAATCACAACATAGAGGTCACCTTTGCTTTGATGAGCATTAACATCGGCCATAGAAAAGACTTTAGACATGATTAAATATAATAAGAGTAGGGGGAGGAAGTTAAAGGATAATGAATAATATAATGAAAGAGAAAGAAAGAAAAAAAGAAAAAAAAAAGAAAAAGAATGGAAAACAAAGAGACCAAAAAAAAAAAGAGGTGAGGAAAAACAAGCAGGGACGAATAGATTTACAACGCCGTTCAAGGTCCCGGACATCCGAGCCAATGAAAAAACATGGAACAATCCAACCTTTTATACCTTGTCTAAGGATATTTGAAAATGCAGCCAACGATGACAATTCTTTAAGTCTGCGGAGCCTAAAGCATCCATACGTAGTATTAGATAAAAAAGAGTGTGAGAAATGTGAGCGGAGCTATTGCTTATCACTTTAGCATGTATATATCATGGGAAGAATTTTCTTTTTCCTTTTTCTTTCTCTCCCCTTTTTTTTTTTTCTTCTTTTAAATCAATCGTTTTTATTATGACTAACAACCCCTCAAAAGACGTACTTGCTACTCGTGAAAATATTGAATTATTATTACAACATGACACCAAAGTAAAAGTGGCTGTAGTTGATACTGATGGTTTATTACGTGGCAAAGTAATGCACAAGAACAAGTTTTTACAAATTGTCGATGATGGTTTTGGTAAATAAAATAAAATAAAAATTATAATAGAAGAATTTCTATTCATTCTTCTTTTTTTTTATATATATAGGTTTTTGTTCAGTAGTATTTGGTTGGGATATTTTGGATAAATTATATTCAACTAAAGTAGAATTTGGTGGTGATGATTGTCAATATCCTGATCTACTTGCTAAAGTGGATTTAACTAGTTATCGTCGTATTCCTTGGGAAAACAATATTCCATTTTTTTTACTCTATTTGGTTCATCCTACTACTAATCAACCTTTATATTGTTGTCCTCGGACCTGTTTGAAACAAGTGGTAGATGATTTCAAAGAAATTGGTTATACTGCTTTATCTGGTGTAGAATTTGAATTCTTTTGCTTCAAAGGTAATAATATGATCTGAATTAAGGTTCACAGATGATAGTGTAAGCTGACATATTTTTTTTTTTGCTTATAGAAACCGCGTCTTCGGTGGTTGAAAAAGGTCATACCAATTTGTTACCTTTAACAGTGGGTATGTGTGGTTACTCTTTATTACGACCTTCTCAAAATCAAGATTTTTACTATAATGCTTTTGATTGGCTTAAGGATTTCAATGTTGATATGGAAAGTTGGCATACTGAAACCGGTCCTGGTGTTTTTGAAGCTGCTATTGCTTATACTGAAGCTAAAGAAGCTGGGGATCGTGCTACTCTCTTCAAGACAGCTATGAAACAAATTGCTTTGAAACATGGTTTTATGGCTTCCTTTATGGCAAAACCCTATGAATCCATGCCTGGTTGTTCTGGTCATATGCATTTCAGTCTTAAAAACAAGGATGGCAAGAATGCTTTCGCTATTTGGAACAAGGATGATGAAAGTCATATTCCTAATATGAGTATCACTATGGTACATTTCTTGGCTGGTGTTCTTCATGGTTTACCTAGTATATTGGCCATCTTGGCTCCTACTATCAATAGGTAAAAAAAAAAAAAAAATGATAGATCATATGATACAAAAAAAAAAAAAAATTGGGTGATCTGATTTCTTTCTATTCATTATTTTTAGTTACAAACGTCTTGTTGAAAATTATTGGGCTCCAGTGACTGTATCTTGGGGAATAGAAAATCGTTTAGGTGCTGTTCGAGTCATTGCTCCACCTACTTCATCCAAAAATGCTGCTCGACTTGAAATGGTAAAGAAAAAAAGAAGAAAAGAAAAGAAAAGAAAGAAATGAATGAACTGATTTTTTTTTATCTATTTAGCGAGTTGGAGGAGCAGATATCAATCCTCATCTTGCTATGGCGGCCGTATTAAAATGTGGTTATTGGGGTATCAAAACTAAACAAGAACTTCCTGTTGAGGCCATGGCTGGATCCTATCAACCTCAAGGTCAACGTTTAGCACGTACTTTACAAGAAGCAGTGGTGGCAATGGAAGCAGAAAACTCGGTGGCTCGTACCGTTCTTGGTGATGAATTTGTTAATCATTATACAAAGACAAGACAACATGAATGGAACTTGTGGCAAAATGCTGTGACTGATTTTGAACGTCGTCGTTATATGGAATTAGTATAGAATTTTTTTTTATATACTTTAGTTATAGAAATAATAATAATAAAATAACAACTATATGCGTTTTATGTATAATGATGTATATATTGATATATTGACTGTGTTGATGATAATAAAAAAGATCTGTAAAAACATAAGGAGAATAGTTCCCGCCTAAGAACAGACCTGCATGCGTTTTGTTTGTTGAATATTTTCTTCTTTGTTAAACCAATGGAAACCCGCACCCCACGTTTTACCCCACACAGAGTCATTTTTTTTCCTTTATTTTTTTTTTTATCGTAAACAAAACATAAATAAAAACAAAACAAACCAAAAAAAAAAAAATTAGTATAAATAATTTGTTCCAAAATTTTATTAAGAATGATGTATCAAGTAGAGTGATGATAATTAGAACCAAAGGTTGATTTTCATAATGATGATGATATATTATTTAGATTTTAGTAAACCGCAAGTTTTCCGGATATGACCATACTTTTTATATTATTTATAACCAGCAAGAAAAAAAAAAAAAAGAGATTGAGTAACCTGAAATGTTGATGATCATCTTTTCTTTTCTTTTTTTTTTTTTCTTACCTGTCCACAATGATCACTATCAAAAGTAGATATAATATATATATAAGATTAGACGAAAAAAAAATGAATATAATATATTATCTTTATTATTCACTTACCATTGACCACCGGAAAGATTGACAGGTTGAACAAAGTTGACAGGACAAGTGACCGATGATGATCTCATTCTTTTATATATTATTATTATTATTATTATATTTTATTCTATATTGAGAAGGAAGATTGAAGTGTATAAAGAAGAAAAATTTCAAGGAATGTTAGGTATTAAAATAAATAAAAAAAAAAGTGAAAGAAAAAGAAAAGAAAAAGAAAAAATATCCCTTTTGTGGCGTTCAAGAGAAATTTTGATCTGATATATATAACACTGATGGTGATGAAGCATGTTCCCATCTCCGCTTGCATTTTGTTATTTTGAAACAATTTGACCTTGTTTCCAATTCATAGTCTTAAAAATGAAACATTTCATTTAAACTGACTAAATAAATTGACATTCAAAACTCTTCAATAAGTGTCAATCATCGGAGAGTCTAATCTTATATATGCGTGTGTGTATATTGTGGACAAACAACATTGTTTATTTTTTTAACCAATGATAACCTCGGTACCTATTTGACGAAGAGTGATCTACTTGCCATTGGAACAAAATCCATATTTGAACTCCCGATTGCTTTGAAAGGCCCCTTTCACTTTTAGATGTTCTTTTCTTGTCCTCTCCCTTTTTTTTTATTTTTCTTTTTCTTTTCTTTTTCATCTTGTATACCCTTCTTATTCAATTAATATTGACTTATTATTATTATCAATATACACCAAATATAACTCTTGTCACCATTATTATTATTATTATTATCAATAACTATAATTATTTTAAATCATGATCTCAATAGATAATACAATGATAGATGATGAAAAAAAATGGATAGTTGATGAACAAGCTTATGTAAGACGGTTAGATAAACGACTTTTGGCTTTTGCTATGTTTGGAAATATGGTTAAAACTTTGGATAATTCAAATTTAGGCAAGTATTTTATATAAAAATTATTCTATTTTAATGATTTATCTATATATAGGCAGTGCGTTCATTAGTGGAATGGAAGAAGAATTAACTATTACTGGTGTACAATATAATTGGATGGGTGTTCTTTTTATGATTGGTTATTTATCGTAAGTCAACTTATCAAAAAAAAAAAAAAAAAAAGAATCGATTTATTTATTCATTCATATCATATTAAGTATGCAAATTCCTTCCAATATGTTATTGGCTCGATGTCGACCCTCTATCTATTTACCGTTATTGGAAACTACTTGGTGTATTTTGACTATTTCTATGGCATGTGTGAATTCAGTACAAAGTGTTTATGTGATTCGATTTTGTTTAGGCTTGGCTGAAGCTGGTTTTTATCCTGGCGTAAGTATCTACATTTAAAAGAAATAGATCTATCTAACTATATATATATATATATCAAATGATGATTATTGACGACTCAGCTTTATATATATATATATTTCATTAGATTGTATTTTTACTTGGCACTTGGTATACGAAAAGGGAATTAGGTAAAAGAATGGCACTATTAAATCTTTGTGGAGCTCTAGGCACTGGTATGTCTGGATTAGTACAAGCTGTTATGTTGAAAACCATGGATGGTGTATGGGGACTTAGTGGGTAATGTAATAAAATGAACTAGATGCACTGATCATCTATTTAGATTTATCTGATTATTCCTTTTTTTTTTAAAAAAAAAAAAAATGATTAGTTGGAGATGGATGTTTTTATTCGACGCTCTGGTTACATCTATTCTTGCTTCTTTTGGTTACAATTATTTACCAGATTATCCAACAACAACATCTTGGTTAAACAAATCGGTAAGACAGAATGATTAGCTGAGTCATCTCAACAAATAATATTATTATTTAGGAAAAGGCAATTGCTATTCAACGTGGTGAAAATAATTCAATTTCAAGAGATATCAAAAAAGATGGAGGAAATCGATGGGCCAAATTAAAAATATTGACAACCAATAAATATATTTATCCTTTTACACTTGGTTGGGCTTCACTACATGTAGCTCTGGGAGCTTGTCATGTATTGGGTATTACTGCAAAAAAGTTGGGTTACGATGCTGTTACTGCCAATCTACTAACAACCGTAAGTGATTCTAAAAAGTAAAAAAAAAAAAAAAAAGAATGAATTTGATCTTTGAACTTCTCTTTTTTTTAAAAAAAAAAAAAAATTTAGCCTGATACATTGATTACAATGGTAGTTGGTTTGAGTAATGGATTTATTAGTGATAGATTACAATCAAGAATATGGTGTTTACTTCTTCCTGCATCTGTTGGTTTATTTGGAACTTTGTAGGTTACTCAACGACTGTTTATATATATTTTAACCATTCTCATCATTTGTTTTTGTTAGGTTGCTATCTTCCTTTGTTCAACCTTTTGGATTCCTTTATTTTGCTTTTATTATTACTCATGCTGGATTGGGATCTGTTACTTCGGTAAGAAATAATAATAATAATAAATAATAAAAATGGGGGGTTATTAATCATATTAAAAGGTGGTAATGACATGGGCAAGTGAAATCATTACCCCAAATCCAGAATTACGAGCTATGTCAATAGCAGCTATGAATACATTTTCTTCTATGATGTGGACTTGGACACCTTTAGTATTATGGCCAGTGACAGGTAAATAAATAATAAATGATGATGGATGATGAATTAACATTATTATTATTATTATTATTATTTTATTGAATGAACTAGATGCACCTCAATATCGTAGGTTCTTTTATAATGAATATATCAAAAATTATTGACTATTTATTATTATTATAGATATTGGATTCCGTGGTTCAGTATTAGCCGTGATTTTATTTTTATTATCAATGACATCCATTTATTATATGAATCAACAAGAAATTAGATATGATCGAATTTTATCAGATGAACCATTTATAGAAGAAGAACAAGACTCTTTAGTTTTGACACATTTACCTGACTTGATTCAACGTAGTACTAACGAAAAACAACCATAATAAAAAACGATCAAAATATTATGATGTAAAACTGACTATTTGTGTAACCAATGTTGGTCTTCTTTTCGGTCCTTTTTTTTTTTTCACTTGACCTTCTCTTCCTCTTTTTTTTTTTTTTTTTTTTTTCTTTTTTTTTTCTTTTTTTTTTCTTTTTTTTTCTTTCTTTTATTTTTATAAATTCTTTATTGTATTGGGTTTATCTTCTCCTCTTTTTGTGGTTTTTCTGTTTTTTTTTTTTTTTTTTTTTTTTTTTTTACTCCTATTCTATTCTCAATTGTACCATATATATATATCCATATAGCATTCCATTCGCTCAGCTCCATTTACAATAGACCTTTCTTATACATATATATATTAATGTATCGACCGGTTCGACATGGCTTTGACCATTCTTCTTCCTCCTCTTCTTCTTCTTCAACAATACCTTCCTCAACCATAACAACAACACCAAGTTCTCTTCGACTTAGTTTACGTAATGAACAACCATCCAAAGACACCAAAGATGACCACAAAACTACTTATCCTTCAGAACCAATGACTGACTATCCTCAAGAAGTGACTTGGCTCTTTTTTCGAGATAATCAATGGGTTCCTTTTCAAAATGATAATCATTATAAAATTGAACAAGCCTTTACTTTTGGAGGTAAAATATACCAATAAAAATAATCTTTTTTTTTTTTTTTTATTTATTTTATTTTATTTTATTTTATTTATAGGTATTTATGTAGACATTAAAGGTAAATGATATATAGAATTGATTTTGGTCTTGAATATTTATAACTTTTCCTTTACATAGATAACAACTTTCCTCAATTGAAAAGTATTCGTGTATTTCCTACAAGATTTTATTTATCTTATCTTGGAATGAAATACCGTCTTAGTTGTGTGATTCAAGGTTAATGCTTCATATTATTACTCCTCTATTTTTACCTTTATTTTTATTATTGTCAATTATATTTTTTTTTCTTTTATTATTTACCTACTTGTGATTCCGATGCCATATTACTATTAGTTTAGTGTTATTCTCTTACTGCATATTTTTTTTTTTTTTTGTTTCAACCTGTTGAATTCCTTACATTGATTCCTCCTTTTGTTTATAGTCCCTTTTTTCCTTTCTTTCTTTCTTTCTTTCTTTCTTTTACCTGCGTGATTGTGTTATTTCTATCTCTTTTGTAGTGTATTTGAATTTTATTTCTCTTTTGTATAGTTTTTCTTGTATCCTCCACTCGTCCTTTTTTTTTTTTTCTAATAATACAATCCATTTTACGTTTTTTTTTTTTTTGTAATAAATACCTCTCTTTTTCTTTTTTTATTCAATTCATTCAAAATATTTGACTAAAGTACGATTCAAATAAAAAAAAGGTTAAGCTACAACTATGATTTTATCTATACAACTGTTTTGGGTGATATATTTATAGAGAGAGAGAGAGAGAGAGAGAGAGAGGTTAGTGATCTTGTACGGTAAGACAGGCCAATCCAGTGAATGCATCATTCAGTGCACGTTGATGAGCAAATCTGGCAGAATAACCCCCAGCTCGGGCCATCTTGTTATTTACAAGGTAATCTGTCGATCTATAGAAGGACATGCATATATAGAAAAAGATATAAAAAAAAATTAACTTACATATTTCAATTCTTTTTTTTTTTTCTTAACTTACGGATCAGTATAATCTGTTCGTAATGTAAAGCCAGAAGGATATCGATATTGTAAATCAAAAGGATCAAAGTTTTGAGCTTCTGTATATCTAGCATCGGAATCAGTCTCCATGGCGGATGTAATCCATGTTGGCATGGCAAGTCGTGGTGATGATATATTTTGTGGTGAATCTGTTTGTTGTCGTAATGCTGAAGATCGTTTGAGTGCGGCAGATTGTCGTGTGGCCATGATAGCTTGTGCTGATTTGTTGGTCGATGCCTAATATTTTGCATAAGAATGAGTAGCACAATTTTTTCTTTTTTTTCTAATTTCATCTTACCAATTCTTTGATCAAATCCGATTTTTCTTGTTCTTTTTGTCGTCTTTCATTTTCAAGTTGTTGCATATATTCTTCCCTTCGATGTTCCTTTTCTTGTTTCTCTAATTCTTCTTGGTATGATTGGAATCGATTTTCATTTACCTTGAAAAAAAAAAAATATGAAAGGATTAAAAATAAAGTTAAAAAAAATCATTCATAAATCAAAAACTTACTGATCTTGCTTGATTTGCTGCTATACTATCCTTATTTTCTACTTCATATGCGTTGATTCTGGCTTCTGTTTCTGCAACATCTACGTCGTTCATCAAATTGAATGCTGAATATGTAGATAAGTAAAGAGATAATCCTATATCATGTATAACTTACTAATATCTTCCACTTCTTCTAAATAATCATTATATAATCGCAAACTTGGAAAGTCCTCTGGTCTTTTGTTGAACCTACATAAATAAAGGTATTACTTAGTACATTAACAAAAAAAAAAAAAGATAACTCTTTTATCCATCAACGTACACTTTTGCCACCCGTTTTCGTATCCTCACTTCCTTTTCTACAGCAAGATCTTCAAAGATTTGAGACATGAATTGGTTTTTTCGTAATACTAAGTGACAAATTGGACAAGGAGCTGGTCCAGAACCAAAAAGTCGTTCAATACATGATTCACACCTATCAAGATCAAGAAAATAATAGAAATGTTAATATATAAAACATATTTAAAAAAAAACAACTTACATTTTATGAAAACAAGGTGATACTAATAACTTCAAATTGGGTGTCAAGTATTTATCACTTTTACAAACTGGACACTGCGCATCTTCCTCCTAGAAGTTAAAAAAAAAAAGAATATCAATGGTCATTTATTTGCAATAATTGATATATTTGAATGTATTACCTGGTAAGATACTACAGAAGATCCAGTTCTTCCAATCATAAGAGTTTGACTACGTAATGTACCCATGCTACTCATTGCATAAAAATTAGACGAGAAGACGAAATAAAAATGAAAAGAGATAGAGAGACAAGAAAATTTGGATCCTTTTTCTGCGGAATGTCAAATAAGGACTGTTCCAAATCCTTCAAATAAGCAAAAAACGTACACTCCAATTTTTTTTATTTTTTTTTTTTTTTTTTTTTTTTGTCTTCACCTGTTTTAATCTATATACATCATGTCGATGCTCAACAAATTAAAACAGAATGCCAACAATCCTGTATTTTTAGATGATGACGACGATATCGATAATATGGACTTTCCTTTACCTTCATCTTCAAATAACAACAATGCCGGTCCCAGTCGATTACCAGGTATGCCCAATATGGATATGAACGAATTATCACGTATGATGCAACAATTCTCAGGTGGTCAAGGAATGCCTGGTATGCCTGGTATGTCTGCACCTACCCCTGCTCCTTCTCATGTTGCTGTAGCTTCTGGTCCTAATGGTGTACAACGTTTAGATCCTTCTGAATATAAAGAGTAAGCATCGTTGACATTGAATATACACATCAAACTAATTTTCTTGCTTTTATGAAATAGTTGGGTTTGTGTTTATCCTTGTTATATTGATGTTGACAAGTCTGTCAATGAAGGACGCAAGATTGTAAAGGAAAAAGCCGTTAAGAATCCTCATGCTTATCATATGGCTGTAGCAGTACAACAACTTGGTTTGACAGTGGTTTATGAAGTAAAGTAAATTATGTTTATTTATTTATTTATATTTACTGAACAACTTTTTTTTTTTTTTTTTTTTTACTACTTAGGGAAAATGTCATCCTCGAGATTGGGCTAATCCTGGTCGTGTTCGAGTACAACTGAAGAACAAGAATAACTTTTTCATCAATAATGACATTATCACAAGTAAGTAGGATAGAGAAAGGATGAACACGGAATAGAATACTAACAAGAATACAATTTTTTTTATGATGATTCATTAGGGAAACAATTATTTTATGCCATTGCTGCTAGATTACCTGAAGCTCAAAAGAATAATGAAATCCCAAAGCATGTTATCTCTCCTATGACAAGTCTCGCTCAAGTCGAAGCATTAGCCGATGAACAACGTAAAGCACAAGGTCTTCCTACTCTGGCAGAAATGAATGCTCAAGCTGCTGCCCAACAGCAACCTGTCAAGCCTACCATGCCAAAGAAACAAAAGATCAAGTATGTCCGTGGGTAGATAGTGAAATTGTAGTTTAGTTTATTATTATTTTTATTGTTATTATTATTATTATTTTGGTATTCGAATGGGAGGCTATGTACGAAAGTGCAAACTTCCTCCTCTATTCTTATATATTATAGTTCGTAGTATTATTTCTTTATCGTAGGATAGGGTTAAAATGATACTTCTGTCTATATATATTATACTCCAAAAATAAAATCTCCTTTTTTTTTTTTTGATCCACTGTATTATGCAAAATCTCCATCTTTTTTTTTTTTTAATCATCGTCATCTTCCATAAATGGCACTACCAGCAGATGAATCAATCATCACTAAACGTTGTATTGCCCAAAGTTAATAATAGTACCTAATGGAGTCATCCTTTTGTCCAGCATCAAATTCAAATAAGTTTTAAAGTACCATCACTCGTAAAGAATTAGTACAAGCACTGACACAAGAGTTTATTCATAGAAAAAAGAAAAGTGTCACGTACAAACAACAATAATAATAATAAAAAAAGGGGGGTCTATCATCAATCTAACTAGACTAGTTCATCTACAATTATACTATACAGATGTACCAATGAGAAAAAAAAAAACTATTTGCCAATGGATCCATCAACACGAAGAGCTTCAATCTTGTTTTTGTCATAACCAAGGACAGTCTTCAAGACTTCATTTGTATGAGCACCCAGTAACGGAGGAGGTAATCGGATGGATTGCTTAAAACCACTGTACTTGACGGGAGGACCAACCACTTTGATTTTGCCAGCACGTTCATGATCGATTTCTTGTACTAGTCCACGGGCCTTGAGTTGAGGATGTTCAAAGGTTTGTTGAATATTATTGATGGGAGCAAAAGGGAAGCCAGCACCATTCAATTGCTCCAGCCAATGTGCTGTGTTTTCCTTGGTCAGCCTTTCCTTGATCAGTTCCACCAAAGCATGTCGATGTTGTACACGGTCACTGTTCGTCTTGAATCGGTCGTCTTCCAAAAGATGTGATAATCCTACTTGATGACAAAACTTGGCAAATTGTCCATCGTTACCAGCCCCTATCATCACAAACGAATCCTTGGTTGGGAATACTTGATACGGTACAATCGAAGGATGTGATGTACCCATTCGTTTTGCTTCACGTCCGCCAATCAAATAATTGGACGCTATGTTCGCCAATGATGCCACTTGAGATTCTAATAAAGAACAGTCGATCCGTTGTCCAAGCCCAGTCACCCCACGTTGAATCAAGGCCGCTAAGATGGCACTTTTGGCATAAAGTCCAGTAGTTAAATCTAAATATATATATATAAAAAAAAGTAAGCATATAAAACACTCATCTTTTCAAATTTACAAAACATAGGATTGTATTTTTTTTTTTTTTTTTTTTTTTTTACCTGTAATAGCCACACCCACTTTAACAGGAGATCCATCCGGTTCACCAGTAATATGCATCAAACCTGCCTCAGCCTATGAATATTAAGGTGAAAAAAAATGAGTAACAAAAAAAAAAAAAGAGGATATATATTCACTTATCTACCTCGATAATCACATCATAACCTGGTCGATCAGCATAAGGTCCATCTTGGCCATATCCTAAAACAAAACAAAAAAAGAAAGTATCATCATCAATGAAAAAAAAAAGACCTATAACAAAACCTATCTTACCAGTAATCGAAGCATAGATTAACTTTGGATTAATTTTGGATAATTCTTCATACCCCATTCCCATGGAATCCAACTTGCCTGGTAAATAATTTTCCACCAAGATATCAGAATGTCGTACAAGGTCGTGAAGCAGTTGACGCCCACCTTTCGTTTTCATATTGACAGTAACTGATTTCTTATTGCGATTAGCACATAAAAAGTAGGCGGATTCTCCATTGGTATTGTCGTTTATATCCTTATTATCAGCGAATGGTGGTCCCCATGCACGAGTATCGTCACCACCTTTTGGATGTTCAATTTTTATAACTTCTGCCCTATATTAAAAAAAAAAGAAGAAGAAAAAGAAAACGTGTAAGAGGTACAAGTTAAACTGTATATATATATCTTTACCCAAGATCACCAAGCATCATGGAACAATAAGGTCCAGCCAAGACTCGAGTTAAATCCAATACACGTATACCAGCCAATGGTGCAGGATTTGTAGTGGGAGCAATGTACGAACGAACAGAGAGTGTTAAGTATTGTTGAAAACCAGTTCTTATAGAAGCTTGAGTACGAAAAGAAGAAAGAAAAGACTGCATGGTGGTGGGTATTCAAAAAAAAAAAAAAAAAAAAAAAAAAGAAGAAAGAAAGGATAAACTTTTACGATTGTGGGGTACAGATTTTTTAGCTTTTTTGTCTACATTGTTGAAACCCAGATTGGATTAAGGGAAAAATCCACCAATGACTAATCATGTAGAATAAACGACCAATAAAGACAATCTTTTTTATTTATTTTTTTAAAAAAAAAAATCAAGATAAAATATATATATATAAAAAAAAAAAGACTAAGTAGCAGGACTAAATTCAGCAAAAAGATGAGGTACACTTCCTTCCTTCTTGAAGAAATTGATACATTGAATAGCCACCTCTGCCACATGTTCAGGGGTGATCTTGAAAAGAGCATAGACATCGGTGTATTTTCCAGAATTACCAAAAGTAGTCATACCTACTTGAGCGTGAGAGTACTTTTGCCAGCCAAAGGTAGATAAAGCTTCCACAGATACGACAGGAACACCCACCTTGAGAACAGATACACGATAATCACGGGATTGTTCATCAAACAATTCAGTACAAGGCATGGATACCAAACGCACTTTGATTCGATGTTTTTGTTGCAAGAGTTTGGCACCTTCCATAGCAATCGACACCTCGGATCCTGTAGCAACCAAGATAACATCTGGATTCGCATCTGATTCAGGTTCAAGAATATAACCCCCTTTGCGTACCGCCTCCACCGAACTGCCTTCCAATTGAGGTATATTTTGTCGTGTCAAGGCGATCACGGATGGTCCATCATCCCTTTCCAAGGCTACCAAATAAGCACCTGATGTTTCATTGCCATCTGCAGGTCGAAGAGTCAGCATGTTGGGCGTAGCGCGTGTCAATGCCAATGTTTCAATAGGTTGATGTGTAGGTCCATCTTCACCAAGACCAATGGAATCATGGGTCATCACATAAATCACTCGTGTTTTCGATAATGCTGAGAGACGAGCTGCACCCCATGCATAACTATCAAAATGAGTTATTATTATTATTATTTTTTTTTAAAAAAAAAAGAAAAGTCAATCATCATCATCATCATTCATCATTTATTTTATCTTACGTCAAAAAATTCAAAAAGGTTCCCGAGAATGGAATCACTCCTTGATAAGCACCAATACCATTCATGATGGCAGACATACCATGTTCACGTACACCATAACGAATATAACGACCAGCATAATCACCTAAGTGAGTACTAGGATGTTGGAAATCTACCGCCGTCTTCCAACGTGTATTGTTCGAAGGAGTCAAATCCGCCGAGCCACCCATCATTTCAGGAATTATGTCTACCAATTTGGTGAGAACTGCTTCTGAGCATTTACGAGTCGCCATTTCCTTATCATTTGCCGTAAACCGTGGTAACACATTTTCCCATCCATTAGGTAGTTGTCCTTTGAGACGTCGTTTCAGATCGGCACCAAGTTCCGGATACTTTTGACAATATTGTTCCACCATGTCGTACCATTGTTTGCATGCCTTTTCACCACGAGCTCCAATTGCATGATACAGATCATAAACTGCTTGAGGCACTACATATTTTTCATCCGGATTGAATCCAAACTTTTCCTTGACTTGTCTGATATCATCCTCTAAATAGAATGAATTCATATATATATATATATTTATAAAAGAAATGTTTGAGTGTTCATTTCATTTTTTTTTTTTTTTTTTTTTTTTTTTTTTTACAATATTACCTGACAATGGACTACCATGGACTGTTTCTTCACCTTGATGTAGAGAGCCATATCCTAATTGATATAATAATAAGAACAATAGACAATTGAAAAAAAAATGAATATAAGAAGAAACAGATTTCACCAAAACGTACTGATCCTTTTTTTTTTTTTTTTTTTTTAAAAAAAAAAAAAAAGAAACTTACCAATAGTGGTTCGAATTTTGATGACAGATGGTTTATCAGTTACTTTTTGAGCAATAGCAATAGCTTGATGAAGTCCCTTGATATCCGTATCACCATTTTCAAGGATTTGAACATGCCAACCATAAGCTTCAAAGCGTTTCATTGAGTCTTCAGTAAAAGAAAGAGCAGTATCACCATCAATAGTAATATGATTATCATCATAAACCGCAATGAGTTTCCCCAATTTAAGATGACTATATATAAAGAGGAGTTTTAATACCATCAATCCCTTGCATTAATTTTTTTTTTTTTACCCGGCCAAAGAACAAGCTTCTGATTGAACACCTTCTTGTAAACAACCATCACCCATGATGACATAAGTAAAATTATTGAATATATCAAATCCAGGTTTATTAAATGTAGCCGCCATATGAGCTTCAGCAATGGCCAATCCAACTGCATTAGAAATACCTTGACCAAGAGGACCTGTGGTGACTTCAATACCATCCGTATGTTTTCTTTCAGGATGACCAGGTGTTCTATTAAAAAAATAAAATAAAATAAATAAATCTGATACTTGTCTATTTTATCAATGATGATGATGACTTACAAACTATTGGCATGACGAAAAGCTTTGAGATCATCCATGGATAATTTGTACCCCATAAAATGTAAGATAATATATTGAAGAGCACAAGCATGACCATTGGATAATACAAATCGATCACGGTTTGGCCAGTGAGAATCCTTGGGATTGGCCATTATATAATCCTTGAAAAGAACATGTGCTAAAGGAGCACATCCCATAGGTGCACCAGGATGTCCAGCATTCGCGCCACGAACAACATCGGCGGCAAGTGTTCGGATAGTATTGATACAGAGACTATCGATATTTTGTTCTTGAGCCATTTTATATATACGTATTGAGCTAAAAAAAATAATTCAATCAAGTAAAAAAATAAAAAAAAAAAAAAAAAAAAGAGAGGGAGTGAGAAAAAAAAACCCTTTTTTTTTTTTATTTCATAAAATAAACGGAAGGGGTTTGGTTTCAAAAAAAAAAAAAATGTACGATGCATATAATTTTTTTTAAACTATAAAAATTTTGAGACGGAGTGTTATTTGGGAAAGAATAGTTTGGGATAAGAAAGAATAATTGATACAGGGGAAAAATTGGCATGGGAGAGGAAATGTATGGGGGGGGGGGGAGAAATAAAGTTGAGACAATAAGGATGCTGGATAGAAAGAAAAAAAAATGGTGATTAATATAAATAAAACATCATACAAGATTCACTTTTTTTTTCTAACTTACTATAAACCATCAACATACGCTTGATATGTGTGGATCAATCAATGAGTAGGAGGAGCTCGAGCTAAATAATCAGGTCTTCTTCCAGTGCTAGCAAGGTTGAAGAATAGAGAATACATATTCTGGGAGGCATTCACATCGCGTTGCCACAGAGTATGACAGTGATTACACATTGACACTGCATGCATGTATCTTCGCTTTTTCGCCAGGTCTTAGGAATCACGTTGTCCGATGTATGTCCCACATTTTGAGCATACTTGTGATGTCAAATATTCGTTTGTCCTGATCAATACAATAATAATTGTTGATATTTATCAGCCAGTGATATAGCACCCTTTTGATTTCGGCCAAAACGAGCATCACCAAATACTACTACATTTGTTATTGTCATTCGTCAATTAGCGTTTACTTCCATTTTCTATATGTATCAACAATAAAATCAATAAATATCAGTATATAGTGTGCATTCATTTTCAATCAAATAGCCTTACCTTGTTTTTAGTGGGGTTACATTGGTATCTTGCTAATGTTGAATCTTGGTATTCCTGAATCTCTACCATTCCTATCGTACGATTGGTAATGATAGTAACTTCAACTGTGCGAATTGCTTTGTTTTGGCGTTGTTAACCTTGTTGGTGCTTCGTTTGACCGCATTCAATATTCCACAGATGGTAGCTTTCTAATTTTTTTGTCTTTCATAAAAAAAAGAAAAAAAAAAAGGAAAAGAAATAAAAAAAGGGGGAAAAAAGGAAGTAAAGAAAGGAAAAAAAAAAAAGAAAAGAAAAAAAATTGTTCCACATGAATGCGCGCTGATCTTTAATTCACAGCATAAACAAAGTGTCACCTGCTGAACCATCATCGCAATTCATTATATGGATGCCAGGAAGAAGAATGTGACAATCAGTAGTATGACTGAAGAGCTACATAAAAATGATTAATTGTACAATGTAAAGAACTGCATATGGACCAATGATAAACTCGTAATGGTCAATGTGCATAAATCAAGATTAAAAATTCTCATTTTCATTTCTCTACCCCCCATGCCAAATTTCTTTCCTTTTGTTTCAATTTTATCATCCTCTCTTTATCTTAGTATATAAAACATTATTATCAATAAATAAAAAAAAAAAAGTTGGTCCATTTATCAGTTTAAATTTATTTTTTTTTTAAAAAAAAATTTATAATAACTAGACTAAAATAGTAATGATTTCAGATTCTGTCAATACCATCAAGATTCGATCAAGAATCAATTGCACACCTAAAATATCCACATCATGACCTTGTGTCAGATCCACCAAAGTTTGCTTCTCAATCAACCGATGATCGTCATGTCGGTAATAAATATAACAGTTTCGGCTACTTTCCACTATGGTAATAAACCCAAGTCCAGGATCATGGCGTACAAATCGGCTGTCACGTTTAGATGCTTGTACAAATCCAAAAGCATCAAATGTAGCTGTATGAGTCAAATTGTGTTGATTATCCCATGTATAGACCAATCCATCCACATCACTCTTACATACAACAGAAGGAGGAACCAAACCTTGATAATGATGTTGATGATGTGTTGTAGGTGATTCAAATGCATTACTTAGCCACTCTTGTCCACTGGATGTGATTTCTTGAATACATTCACCATTCATATCAAAGATTTCAAACGTAATAGGTTGACCATGTTCATCCACGTCTTCATCCATATCCGTCGCTGCTGGGTGTTGTTGCATCAAAGGTCCATTGTCAACAGTATCCGACGTGAATTTTTCCATTTGTTTTGCAATTTCTTTTAATCTTTCCTTGTCAATTGTTTCCAAAACACCATCATCGGTTTCAAATATATGAGGCCATCTTGATCTTGCATCTTGTTTGACAATAAAAAGGGATAAAAGTCCAGAAGGTTCAATTGTCCATGTAGATTCACCAGGAATAATATTAGTCCACCATTTACGATAAGGAAACGAGAATTCCACTTGTTGAGCACGAACAATTAACATCAAATGATCTCGAGTAATTTGACAACTGATAGCTGCAGATGGTGTTCCAGCAGGAAGTTCAAACTGTATGGTAATATCTGATCCATCCTGTGTCCATTGATATATTGGTTGTTGTGTGTCTATAGAATGTTGTCTAGCTTTGTCGATTTCCATCTCTGTTGCGGTTGATCTAGTGTCATTCTGATCAGGTGATAGACGGCTATATCGAGCCTCACTTCCATAAATACATTGAGATCCATCCGCCGTGATTGCACAATAAACAGGTACTTCCAGTCCTTGTTGAATATGTCTAGTAGTAAGAGGTAGATCTAAAGTAGTAGTAGGTGAGGTCGGAATATCCATTTCCAATGTTGCAATATTGAAGCGTGTTTTCTTAGTAGCTGCTTGACTATAAACCACCATGATCACTTTGGATTTGATTCTTCTTGCCGCCAAAAGCACACATGGGACGGGAGAGATACCTTCATTACCTTCACCTTCATATATAGCATGGGATAAAGTGGTACCAAGAAGTTTATTTTGTCCTTGTTGTTCTATACCTATGAGTTCAATATCACCAACACCATTACAAGCTAATACTAATTCTGGACCAAGTGCAATTAAAGAAGGATATTCTGGACATAACGGGACAGTTCGATCAGGTTGTGCATAGTTGGGAATACCATGAAGTGGTCGAGTCAAGGTAACAAGTGTAGAAAAATGTGTGGTTGAATCCCTCTATATAATATAATGTATGTTGTGTTAATAATACGTGACTTTTATGCAAAATAAGAACTATTTGTTTACCTTATCAAAAGTAACGGCCTTTACTGTATATTCTTCATCCACAAAGTAAGATACACCAACATGTTCATTTATTGGACAACCATAAGCCAAATGATTAAATCGAACACGAGCTTGTAATTCACGGAAACCTAATCGAGTACTATGTTGTTGACCTTCACGAGAGACATCCAAATTACCTGAAGGTAAAGGAGTTCGAGTCAAATCGGTAGATTCTGGAAAAGGATAAAGTTTGTAACCTTCAAATTTATTGTTAATGTGTTTGGGATCCACATGGAATCGAGACTGTATAGCTGTATTATTCTTTTGATTGGACATGCCTATAAAAAAAAAAGAGTGGAAGAAAGCGAAAAAAAAAAAAAATTCATTAGAGGAAAAATGTTCTCGACGCGGAATCTCAATTTCCGAAGAAAGCCAAAAAAGAAACTGTGTTTCTTTCCCTTTTTTTTTTTCTACTCTTGTACTCTCACCTTTTTTTCTTTCTTTTATTATTTATATTCTTGGTTTTTAGAAACTCAATGTCAATTCAGTCATCAGTCAACAGTTATATTGATGAACGCCTAAACGACCTATCTAATATCAATACAGCAGCCTTGGAAGCTCTTCTGAAGGAAGAGACAAGAGAATATCAAGAATTACAACATAAGGTAAAAAAAAAAAAAAAAAAGGTAGAAGAAATGATAAATAAAAGAAACTAACACATTGTTTTAATAATAGTATGAGGAATCAAAAGAACATGCAAAAAATATGCTAGACCATTCTTTACAAAAGACTCTATCCGATAAGTCTTCGCTTGACCATCTGTATGTAGCTCTCACCACGACAAAACATCAACTATCTCAAATATGCAAAGATCACGAATTTGACCCATCCAATCATGGCAACAATAATAACAATAGCAACGTTAATTATATACGTACTTTGGCAGATATGGAACAACGTTTACGAATTCTCGATAGTGCTATATCTTATATCAAGACTCTTTTCGTCGCAACTCACCTTTGGTAAAAAAAAAAAAAAAAAAAAAAAGGTTTCCATGTTCGTTCTAATTTTTTTTCTTTTTTTGTCTATGTTAGGACTCAATCTATTAATGTTGTGGAAACAGATCATTATGTTGCAGTACAAAGATATATACAGTTATTGAAATTTGTTCGACTGATATGCAAGCAAGACGTTGTACACCAAGGCTCTTTCAAAGACTTGGGGTCGTACCTTGAAAAATGCCAAAAAGATCTATGGGAAACGTTGAACACTGCCATCACAAAGTAAGTGATTTATCTATCAGAGGGAATCCTTTTCTTTTTAACAATGGTTTGGATGTTTAGGGATTTTGAAGCTTCATTACAAGCATTGGATTGGCCTAATGCTATTCGACCACCCTATGGACCTCTAGTTTTATCAAAATTGGAACGATTTGAAAAAAATTTTCGAAATCTTTTATTATTGGAGGAACCGTAAGTGATATACACATAAATGTGTATTTGTGTGGTATTGATTATGACTTATTTTTTATATAATATATATATAGGTCGGAATGGAATAAGGGACCAAACGAACCAAAACTATCATCTATCATTACACCTATCCAACTTTTACTTGCACCTATTTCTTTACGATTTAGATTTCATTTTGAAGGATCAAGACCTACAAATCGATTGGATAAAGTAAGTGAAGAGAAAATGACAAATACGAATGAGAAAAAGAGCTTAAAAATATTATCTATTGTTATTTTCATTTAGCCCGAATGGTATTTGAAACATGTCAAAAATCAGATATCGACCCATCTTCCTTTTATCATGACAACAATACAACCTATTGTTGACGAAGTATTTATTGATCACCAACAACGTGTATCAGCAAAGGATTATTTTATCGAAGGATTATTAAAGGATGTAAATCGCAAAGTACACCATAGTATACCCAAACTTACGTCTCATCCTAATTGGCTCAGTCATACCATCCATGAACTATTACAATTTGATCAATCTTTACGGGATGATTTTGGATTTAACCCATCATTGAAAATGCAGGAAATCAACAACAATCATTTATTGAATCACGGACTTGTCTCAGATGCTATATTGGAAAACAAAGAAAGTTATGATGCATGGTTTACATCCGAAAAGCAGTGTAAGTGTTGGAGGAAAAGGTTAGGTAGATTTACTGATATTAATATATATCATTGATTTAGTTGCTCAAACACGGTATGATGACATTACCGCCAGCACACAAGCATTTGATTTATATGAAGGCGATGTGGATATGACAAAAGACGAAGGATACTCGGTGAAAGCAACTCAATCATCTGTGAAATTGATTCATCTATGGGAAGGTGTGATAGGTAAAAGTTTTCATATATATATATATATATATATATATATTTAAAAAAAAAGGGGAGTCATCTTTTCTAATTCAACCTTTATGAATAATAGATACCTATAAACTGGTGCCATCCACTAGACAACAATTCCAATTCTTTGTATATATCCAATTGTCACTCCTAGGTCAATATGAATACCGGATATCTTCTGCTGTTGATTCCTTTGATGCGATGAACTTGATTCGGTCCGTTCAAGTTCCTGGTGCACTTCCAGATTCAGTGACCGGTGTGATGACAGCCACTGAATCGAATGGATTGGTTTCTGTCTTGAAAAAATTGTATCGATGGTGGACAAGTGCTCAAAAATTGATGGAAGCTATTCGGGATTGGGAAGAAGATGAAGTAAAAAAAAAAAAAAAAAAGAGAAAAAAAGTAGTGATGTATGAACGAATTGCTCACTTTTTTTTTTTTTTTTTAAAAAAAAAAAAATAGTTCTTTTTGGATTTGACCTACAAACTTGAACAACAGCTTGATATTGTGGCAGACATTAGAAACGATTTGATTGCTCAGGATAAGGTGTGTTACGTAGCGGAACCATCATCCTTTCAAACCAAGGGACTGTTTGGTGATATTTTGATGGCCTATCGACAGTTGACAGATCGAATCGAAAAGATCTGTGTTCGCATCATCGTCAAGGAATGGACAGTGGATACCAAACTTTACAGTAAAAGGTAGAATAAAAGTAGACATCAAAGGAATATTGTTTTCTCATCATTTTTATTATTAAGGGACATATGGTGGCAAACAATTAACGAAACAAGTGTGGAAGTGTCTGATAGTCTTTACCAGCCATTACAAGGATTTTGGGTATCATGTCATTATCTACAAAAAGCGTATCCAGCCTCCGACTTTTTATCCATGTACAAACACATTTCTCTTGGTATTGAAGATTGGTATTGGAGAAATATCATCACAAAAAATCAATTCTCTCCTTATGGTGTACAACAGCTGGAAACTGATTTACGATTAGGACTTTGGAAAATAGGAAAACGATTGGTCAGCAAGCCTGAAAATTATACAAGAAGGTAAGTAAGAAAAAAAAAAAAAAAGACAATTTTTTGTTTTAATTTCATTTTCTTTATATGATGCTATATTAGACTCAAGGAAGCACTTCAAGTATTCACATTACCTATCTCCTCATCATCTACTACGGATTATTTACTTGGCAAGGAATTAATGACATCTTTGACAGATACAGACAAACATACTCAAGTACAAGCAACTCTGGAATATCTTGGTATTGATACTCTCACTAACAGTGAAATCCGGGATGTCTTACGCCGTAGAAATGATATGCTGAATAGTTGGAACTGATCTCCGTTTAGAATAGAATGTTTGCTTTAGTTTAGCTGTGACTCTGAGACCAATAAAAACTCAATTTTTTTTTTTTATTATTGTCATTTGAGTCTATGCAAGTAATCATTTATTTCATGATATGAATGGATGATCCACACATACATAAAAAAAAAAAAAAAAATCAAAAAGAAGTCTCCATTTTTTTTTTATTTCTTTTTTTTTTTATTTTTATTTGATTGGGGGGAAGGAATGAATGATATAAAGACAAAAATATATATATATAGGATGACAAGTCAGATGAGGGACGAGTGGATAATGATTGATATAAGATTGAAAAAAAATGGAATGAATGGTGTGAATAAAGTATATATATAAAGATAAAAAAAATTGAATAATAATATGAAGAGAAAAAAAAAGAAGTAATGAATGTAAAGAACTAAACTAAGAGATGGGATCATAACTCCAAATACGAGCACGATTATCACCAGATCCAGTAGCAAATAAGGGTCGACCACTTGGACTGATAGCAACAGAAATCACTAAAAAGTAAAAACACGAATATTTTTTTTTTTAATTCTACACATAAAAATACAATAATAATTATAATTTACCTGAATTCTTGTGGCCTTGTAACATGAATTGAGTTTGACCTGTACGAGGATCCCAGAATTGTACACCTCGATCCTTTGATCCAGAAACCACCCAATTTCCATCAGGTGTGCAAGCAACAGAGAGAACAAAGTCCTGATATATAAAACAAAAAGATGGATCAGTTCCATTTTTATTTTTTTTTATATATTTCTTTTTTTTTATATATACTTACCTTATGCCCGACAAATGTCATCTTACAATGATTTCTTGCTCTGTCTCTGTCACCACCAAGTTGCCATAATTTCAAAGTCTTATCCAAGCTTCCACTAACCAATGTATTTCCATCTGGCATGAAAGCAACAGAATAAACACTATCCTTATGTCCTTCCAATTGATCCAATAGTTTTCCATCATAAGCATCCCATACTCGTACCATCTTATCCAGACTACCAGCAGCAACAAGTCTACTATCAGGAGAAATTGCAACGCTAGTCACACCAGGATCTCTTTGTTCCTTATCCTTGATCACTAATGTATGAAGTAAAGAGCCATCAGCCATATCCCATATTCTTGCAGTACAATCACCAGAGCCTGATACCACAATACGACCATCTCGACTGAAATCCAAAGAATAAATGTCTTGTTCATGGCCTGTCAACTTGAATCGAATACGCCTTTGTGCAATGTCCCAAATCTACACAAAAAAAAAAAAAAAAAAAAAAAAAGAATTAGAATGAGAAGACTTTTATTTTGTCCTTTATTACCCTAATTTGTTTGTCTTCAGCACCAGTGGCCAAATATTTGCCATCAGGACTAAAGCATACGGATCGAATATACAAGTCACCTTCAGAAGATGTATTTTCATCTTGAAGAACACTATACAAAAAAAGAAAAATGTATAAGAAAACCATCCATTTCATCCTTATGTTATATATTTACCAAATCCTTTGAGCAGTAGCAACATCATAGATAAAAGTGGATCGATTACATCCAGTAGCCATATATCGACCATCTTGACTGAATTTGACACAACAAACAACACTTGAATGATCCAATGTATGTACCAGGTCCACTGTGAGATAACGATTGGCTTTTGGATTAAATCTATCAAAGATGTCTAACATTAGATCCTATTTTTTTTTTTCTAAAAATAATAGTAATAATAATTTAAGATTATTCAACACTTACAATGCAAACCAATCTTGACCTTCAATTTTCATATTTGCAGGAACCACTTCAGGATCCATATCTGCCAATGCACCAGAAGAGTTTGTCCCAGGACTTTTCATGGGAAGATTGGATCGTCCACCACCACCACCAGGAGTGATAGCTTGAGGTTGTTGTATATTTTGTGGAGGATAAGCAGATGGAGGAGGAGGAGGACCAGATTTGCGTTTCATATCACTAGGTAACAAAGGAGCTGATTGATTCACTGGTGTCCCTGCACCTTTTTGAGGAGGATAAGAAGAACCATATTGTACTAAACATCAATTCAAAAAATAAAAATAAAAAATGAGATATATATAAGATTATATATATATATATATATATTTTCTCTTGTTATTTACCTGGAGCACTTGAAGGATGACCTATAAAAAAAAAATACAAAAGAATAAACATGAGTCCCTTATTTTCTTCTTTCCATTTATTTATTTACCTTGATTTGAAGCTGGGGAACCATTCATATAACCTGGAGGAGGAGGAGCTGGAGAATAACCAGGATGATGGGATGGAGAAGGTTCACCCATTTGTGGAGGGGCCACTAAACCAGGAGGACCTTGATTACCATGCGCGTTCATAATACCTCCAAAATAATTGGATCCTGGTCCGATATTAGGAGGAGGAGGTTGATGTGATGAAGGATGACCAACGTTAGAAGGACTTGATGACATAGGCGTTTTAGGTGTGGCCATAGGATGGTTTGCACGTGATTGTGCTTGTTCCAATTGCTGACGAAGTCGAGCAATTTCTTCTTCATAGCTATAACATAAAATAAATTAAAACAATATGTTTATAATTTTTTTTCAAATGACCTACTGTTTCTTTAAGCCTTGTTGAGTACGTTCCAATTCCAAAAGGTTTTGTTGAAAACTAGACATTTCTTGAATTTGTGAATTCACTAATTAAAAAAAAAAAGCATAGATTAGCATATAGTTTGTTGACTTCTAAAGGACATACTTTTAAGTTCAAAATCGTCTCGTTGAGATTTGCAAATATAAGCTTCTTGTGTCAGTTGATCAAATTCATTTCGAATAGAATCCAGCATTTCCACAAAACGGTTAACAGGAGTGGGTACCATAGGACGATGATTATATACCGACATGATGAATATAGTAGATCGTAATTGTTGTTGTTTTTCCTATGATAAATCAAAAGGAAGAATAAAAAAAAAAAAAAAAAGGTAAATAAACAACAAATAATAACAAAGAGTACAGACGCGCTTAAAAAAAAAAAAAAGAAGGATTTGAAACTCACCTTTTTAAGAAACTAAATGTTTGCTATAAAGATGTTTGAGTCGAACTATATATATATGTTGTTGTTGTTATTGTTGTTTTTCTTGTTGTATAAAGAAAAGATGTATAAATACTATTAACCGAAATACAAACAAATATAGTAAAAAAAAAAAAAGTGGATTCTTTTTGTTCAAAGAATGAAAAAGACAAAAATGATATAAAAGAAACTTTTTAAGATGAGTAAGAATAGAAATATAGATGTTACAATAGAATGTAAACAAGAAAAAGGTGGAAAACAAAGAAAGAGAAAGAAGAAGAAAACAACTTTTTGAACCCAAAAAAAAAAAAAAAAAAAAAAAACGGAGTACGAATTTTATAGTGTAACCTTTATCATATCGTTGATCAATGTGAGCCTGTCAATTACACTAAAAAGGCAGAGAAATAGAATGTTCATCGAAAAAAAAAAAAAAATAATAACTAAATACCTTTTTTTTTTTATTATTATCACTTTTAAAGAAAACAAAAATAGAAGGTTATTTTGACTTTGAAACTATATCTTTCATTATATATTTATGATCCTAATTGGGAATAAGTATATTGTTTTCTTCATTTCTTCAGTCAAAGGTAAATGTAAAAAAAAAAAAAAAAAAAAAGTCAGTGAGGTTAAATACATAAAAAATCAATACATCATCCGGTTTACGTTTTATACATACCTTGTGTTCGCTTCGATCTAACTTCATCGGATGTCGAGTATTCAGGAAGAATAATGGCAGGATTGGTGCCAAAAACATTAGTCAACCAAAAAGAATCGTCATTATCATGGTCTTCGGAGGGATCACTTATAATTTTGAGCACCTTGGAAACAATTTCTTTTGCATGCCTTGCGAGAAGGAATAGTGTTCAGGGTCGTAGTCATCCTCGATCGTGCTGACGACTCTTGTATTAATATAATAATATTATTGATGATTGTTCAGAGTGAGCACCAGTTCTTTTATATAAAAAGAACAAAGTAGAATAAAGTATATTTAAATATAAGTTAGAAGATTGATTGCTAATAAAATAATAAATATAAAACTTAAGATGATTGATTTCTTAAGAGTGGCCAAGATGATTATACAATCTTTTATTCAATTTGTTATAATAAAACTTTGACAAAGAGGAAAAAAAAATATATAAACTACTAGATGTATTTATACTAAACCTGTTTTAGATGATGATGATTAATCATCATAAGAAACAATGAGAAAATAAAACGGATGAAACTGTGTAAGAGTAGTGATTCAGATGAGACCAAAAATATAAAAAAAAAAAGAAGGTCTTGGTCAAAAGGGTGAGAAATGGTCAAAAGTGTGTGAATTGGACAAATGTCAAGATTTTGACAGATAGCAAGATAATAATAAAAAAACTGATTCATAGTTAACTTTAAATTGATTTCATCCCAACAGGGAGCACCAGTCTTCAAACCCCGTCATAGAATTAAGATGATGGCGTCGTTTTCGTTTTTTTTTTTTTTATTTTTTCAATTCTTTCTTTCCACTTTTTTTTTTAAAGGAAAAGCGTAAAGAAGCCGCAAGACAGGACAAACTGTTCCACTTCTATTGTAGGATGGGTGCTTTGTTAGTTTCTCATTCGAGACAGACGCGTGATCTACCCATGAATCAAAAAAAATGCCTGTTTGTGAATACTTCTTCTATTCAGCGTCTATTATTGGTTGTGGGTGGTATCATGAAAAGCACAGAGTTTGGCTCGTCATTGACTTGACTAGAATGTATTAGGGTGATTCCAGTATATTCTCACTTACTCTAACAGGCTTGTAATCGTCCCATAAAGCAGTGTAGGCCACTGTTTGTGAATACCTCTTCTATTCGGTCTGCTTATTTACTGTTTATGGGTTCGCTTATTCAAGGTCCTAGTTTTCTTATGCTCCTTTGTACAGCAACAAGAATGATGAAGGTCAGTTACAATGAAAAAAAAAATCCAACATGAATATGATACTAACTAAATTCTTTTTTTTTTTTTGGTTTATTTCGGAGACTTGGAAGAACCTTCGAATGTGCTGCTGTGGCATAGGGAGACTGCAGAAGGATAAACTGTTCCACTTCTATTGTAGGATGGGTGCTTTGTTAGTTTCTCATTCGAGACAGACGCGTGATCTACCCATGAATCAAAAAAAATGCCTGTTTGTGAATACTTCTTCTATTCAGCGTCTATTATTGGTTGTGGGTGGTATCATGAAAAGCACAGAGTTTGGCTCGTCATTGACTTGACTAGAATGTATTAGGGTGATTCCAGTATATTCTCACTTACTCTAACAGGCTTGTAATCGTCCCATAAAGCAGTGTAGGCCACTGTTTGTGAATACCTCTTCTATTCGGTCTGCTTATTTACTGTTTATGGGTTCGCTTATTCAAGGTCCTAGTTTCCTTATGCTCCTTTGTATAGCAACAAGAATGATGAAGGTCAGTTACAATGAAAAAAAAAAATCCAACATGAATATGATACTAACTGAATTTTTTTTTTTTTTTGGTTTATTTCGGAGACTTGGAAGAACCTTCGAATGTGCTGCTGTGGCATAGGGAGACTGCAGAAGGATAAACTGTTCCACTTCTATTGTAGGATGGGTGCTTTGTAGTTTCTCATTCGAGACAGACGCGTGATCGACCCATGATTCAAAAATAAATGCCTGTTTGTGAATACTTCTTCTATTCAGCGTTTATTTTTGATTGTGGGTGGTATCACGAAAAGCGCAGAGTTTGGCTCGTCATCGACGTGACTAGAATGTATTAGGGTGATTCCAGTATATTCTCACTTACTCTAACAGGCTTGTAATCGTCCCATAAAGCAGTGTAGGCCACTGTTTGTGAATACTTCTTCTATTCGGTCTGCTTATTTACTGTTTATGGGTTCGCTTATTCAAGGTCCTAGTTTCCTTATGCTCCTTTGTATAGCAACAAGAATGATGAAGGTCAGTTACAATGAAAAAAAAAAATCCAACATGAATATGATACTAACTGAATTTTTTTTTTTTTACTACTAGTTTAGTTTTATCATTAATCTTTTTTTCATGTTGTCAAGGCAATGCCGTGGATGAAAATCAAAATGCACCAATAGAAGTACCTGACGATGATTCTGACGGTGGCATTCGACTGGAAAACTTGGGGACTATGACATCCTACTTGAGATAGCAAAAGGATGATGGGGACGAACAACTGGGCATCATGGACGAGGAACGGCGATAGCAGCGACACTATCAACAGAAATCGAAACCCTATGTAGTTTTTTTTTTTTTTTTTTGTTTTACCTGTAGTTTAGTCCCTTTAGTTTAGATTTACTTGATTCTTTCCCTTTATATCTTATACACCTAATAAACCATTCCATTACTTATTTATATACTACTTTTTTTTTTGGTAGTCATGCCAAAATATATAAAAAAAAAAAAAACCTATTTGGCACACACGTGATGATGGTCAAAAAAAAAAAAAAGTCAATTGTTTTACTATATTTTATTTTTATTTTGAAAAGGATTTAGCATCTGCAGTGTACTCGATATGGCATAGCATGATGCTACAACAGGAAAAAATAATAACCATGGCTTTGATTTTTTTTTTTTATTTTAACTTTTTTTTTTTTTTTTTGAGCCAAATGAAAAGATCATAGCACCCCCTTTTTTTTTTTTCTCCTCCTTGACTTGGGTCTTACAAATACCTATCTGTGTTCAACATCACTAAAAATAAAATTCATCTTTGTTTTTTTTTTCTTTTTCTTTTCTTCTTTTGCTATCATATTCTTTTAAGTCTAGTTGCAAAGTAGAGCAACTATGCTTGTTCTTTTACTATTTTCCATTCCTTTATACTATCTTCCATTGATAAATGCTATTCCAGGTCACGTTTTACAAGGTAACAGAAAATAGAGATCATTATTTTCTGCCTTTTTTTTTTTTGATTTCCGATATTTTTTTTTTCTTCTTTTTATTAGACTGTGTTCTTTTAGGCTCTAAAGTATTCTGTTATGGAGGTTATTCACAAGCTGCCAATGGTGGCTTTACCAACATGACCAACATGCATATTTCTACTGATTTGTCACAAGCTACATTTACTGAAGCTTTATTTACACCCAATTGGAACATTATTACTAGTGCGAACCCACCTCCTATTGAAAATAGAGCAGGCTTTGGTATGACTCCTCTCGATAATACACGATATATGATATTAGGTGGTGCTCATCTCAACGATACTGTTATCAATCCTGCCGTCATTTATGACTCGAACGCCAACACTTGGACAGCTTGCCCAGCTCCTCCCTTTTATGGGTAAAAGAAGAAGAAGAAGAAAAAGTGTACAACTCATATTTATCTATTTTTCTCTCTCTTTTTTTCTTCTTTTTTTTTTTTCTCTAGATTTCAAGGTACTCTGGAAGCCAGTGATCCTAATACTGTATGGGGTTATGGTGGACAATTGTAAGTTGTCATTTTTCTTTTCTCTTATCTTTTTCTGACTTAATCATATCTTTTTTTTTTTTTTTTTTTTTTTTTTTTTTTGATCGTGTCTATCACAGGAACGCAAGTACTAATCCAACGCCAGCCAATACACTGAAATTTGATTTGACAACAGCAGTAAGTCTTAAAATGAAGAGCAATAGAAACTAATAAAAGACGATGATTTTCTTTACTTATTTTCTTCTTTACTTTATTGAAGCCTGGTCTATGGACACTTCAAACTAATAGTGCGAATAAACCTGCTACAAGTCGATTTGGTCATGCGTCTGTTATACGAGGTGGAACGATTTCTTATTTTGGTGGTTTTATGTATGCTGCCAATCCTACTGATCCACCAACGCCCATTCCATTCACTCAAGTCGCTTTTTACAACACGGTCACCGGTAATTTAATATCAAAGAGAAAAAAAAAGGTATTGTTCTACTTGGATGATCCTTTTGTTGACCAATATATATTTTATTATTATATATAGATATATGGGGTATGGTAAATGCTGTTGGTGATATTCCTGAATCAAGACAAGGACATACTGTCACTTTGAGTAAGTTTATTTTGAATCAATGTGTACTTCTCTCTCACACTCATATTACTCTTTATTTCCCATGTAGTTAACAATAGTTCCAAAGTACTGATTTATGGTGGTACTTCGAGTACAAATCTTCAAGGTAATCAAAAATAACAACATATCATCCAATATGATTAATTTACCCTTTTTTTTTTTTCTTTAGCCTTTCCTTTATTGAATTATACTTTTGTTCATGATTTGGGTACGCATAATTATACTAGAATCGATTTTGGTGATGGACCTTCAGCTGGCCCCCGATATGATCATTCAGGTAAAGAAAACATTCATGAATAAAAAAAAAAAAGAAAAAAAGACGAATTGACATTTCTTTTTTTTTTTTTTTTCGTTGTAGCTGTGGCATACAAACAGTATGTCCTTATTCTTTTTGGTAATGACAGTGGCGGCGGTATCCAGAATACTACTTATGTGCTTGATGTATCCAATCCTCTCAATCCTCAATGGGTGGGCAATGTCTCTGATCCATCTCCATTACCATCATATCCACCATCATCATATGATGGTCATGAAAGCACTGGTGCTATTGTTGGTGGTGTGATCGGTGCGGTGGCCTTTTTAGCGGTAAGGACACCAAAAAAAAAAAAAAAGGACTATGTAACAATAATGATTATATACTAACACCTTTTATTATTATTTTATTATTATCATTCGAATGAGCAGATTGTAGCTGGTGGTGCTTATTATTATAGACGCAGACAGAAAATGCGGAAAAACAATGATTTTGAATATTATCCTCCACCACCTCAAAATTTCAACACAACCATGGATGGATCATTACCTACAGGATTTACTGATGACACGGATGCTAGTAAAACTAGAGATAGTCAAGATCCAGTACCTTCTTATACGAATATCAAGCCAGATGATAGCTCTCAAGATGCCGTCATGCTTTCTCGACTTCCCAAGATCAAACCCTCTGCCAATCAAGAGGTGTAATGCTTTATATATTCTTATCATACTGCTATTTTTTTATATACTTTATATATTACTACTTATTACTTTGTACTCTTGTTTTTTTTTAAAAAAAAATAAATAAATCCCAAGATTCCATTGGAACTTCTCCCAAATCAAAAGTTTAGATCTATTTGTTTTACATCAAAACGTTCAAACTCCTCATATCAATCAATTTGATTTTGGCCCTGACTACTAAAAAAAAAAAAAAAAAAAAATTCAAATCTCTCCATCGCCTATTTATTTCTCTCTCTTTTTTTTTTTCTTTTTTCTTTGCATGCTATGGAGAATCCTTATGAACAGCGACAAAATGCCCTTTTGAACAGGATAGTGACCAATGTGGTAATTTGATTATGAATGAATTGCAAATAGAAATTGGATTGATTTTGTCTATGTATATATATATTTTATTGAATGATAGAGCAAGTTGAACACATCCATCACCGAACTCAATGAACGTTTGGAGGTAAAGAACTTGTGTCATTTACACGATATTAACATGTATGTTTGATAGAAACTAAACAAGGACAATAATGATGTAGCTGTGATTGCTCAAATGTGGTGTTCCTATGACAACTCTGTCCAGATCCATTTGGAAAGTACAAAAACATTCTCGGCTCCCTTATAGCGTAGCGTCTCTTCCCATCAACACTACCTTAATTTATCATCCCTCATTTTTTTCTTTTATTTATTCTTTTATTACTCTCATTATCGTTATTATTATGATGTATATAAAATCTAATTTACTCTTCTGTCTAATGAATTTGTCTCAACACGTTTTTGCCAGTTGGTAGTGGACGGAATTTAAAATGCCAAACATAATAATACCACAAGGGACGCGTTCAAGAGTCTTTTTTTTTTCCTTCTTCTTTTCTTCTTTCTATTTTGTAAAATAAAGAGATTGATACCCATTTTTACCATGCTTGCAGTCGACGAAATCAAACGAGAACAGGATATGGATATCACCATGGACAATGCGGAAGATCAGATGATATCACTCAACATTGAACAACAAGTGCAAAAGGAAAAGCATGACTGGATCAATCAATTACGGCTCAAGTTCTGTATTCGACCTGAATTTGATGTGACAAAGAATATCATTCATCCTGATGGCCAGTTAAATCAAAAGTAAGTAAATTATATATATATACACATGATGATTGAGTATCTTTTGACGGACATCCTAGATATTTTCGACCTCCTAAGGGTTACAAAGCAGAACTAACAAGCAAACGAAAACAACCAAGGATCAAAAAATAACACAGCCATTCCAAGGGAAATTTGCAGATACCATTGTCTATTCTATATATTATGTAGGTAACCCCTCTTTCCTCTTTTTCTATTTCAGTTTCTTTTTTTTTTTATTTACATTTATTTACTTTATCATTTAGATACCTATACCATTGAAAGAATAAATTGAATTCTTTTTAAATCATTTTGTCGAAATTACACAAGTCCTCTTATTTCTTCTCTGTGTTTCTCTCTTTTCTTTCACTTTTAACAGTGCTCCAATGTATCCATCGCCTCTATAGTTGTCGCCTCATAGCTATCGCCAAACATCGCCAATCTACCATCAACGATGTCAAAAATGAATATGTTGAAGCCGACATATACCATTATCCCGATGTCATTCTACCAAATAAAAAGCCAAACCAAGCTAAATTTATTTTCTGTGGCGATTACCTTCATTTTTTGCCCATTTGTCGACGTCCACAAGGAAAAAAAAAAAAGGACAACCTTCTAGAAAATGAACCGGTGTTGAAAAAAAGTTGTTGATTCATGATATTTCAAGGCATGGTATTGGAAATTTTGGTCTGATATCGAAAGAGTCCATGTCGAAATGAGCAGGTAGCCTATACGAACGATTTTTTATATTCATGCGAACGGATGATGATCTCATATCTTTTTTTTTTTTTTTTTTTTTGAGTAATCTACAAATCATCTCTGAGTGAAATGTATCCCGTTGATTGATCGACAAAATGATTCGTGGATGGAAAGACAATACGGAGGATGCTGATGGCAATGATGATGATAACAACAACGACAATGATCAAGATGTGGAAACGGAACAATAGTAGCAATAGAACTATTTTTTTTTTTTTTGGCTTGACCCATTATTTTTGTCTCTGTACATAACATAGCATTTCTTTTATCAATTAATAAATAAATTATATCATCAGTATTTTGTGTTTTCATATTGCTCACTCAACATCCTGGTGTGATATCTTAAAATGGGACATCTATGTTTGGGAGCTCCATATTCTATAACATGACAAAAACTTTGAAAAGGCTGTACTGGCTTTTTAGTTGGCGTACATCATAATTGGCTTGCTGTTCAGTGTTTGTACATCTGCGGAATTTGAAATACCAAACACGAGAATAGGCGCGTTCAAGAGTAGATTTGTTTTCTCGTTCCTCTTTTTTTTTTTTCTTCTTCGTCTTTTTTTTTTTTTTTTTAATACATATATATTTTTACCCATTTTATCATGCTTGCAGTCGACGAAACCAAACAAGAACAGGATATGGATACCACCATGGACAATGTGGAAGATCAAGTCGTAGAACCGCTCACCCCTGAACAACAGGCACAAAAAGAAAAACATGATTGGATTAATCAATTACGACTCAAGTTTTGTATTCGACCTGAATTCGAAGTGACCAAAAATATCATTCATCCTGATGGTCGATTAAATCAAGAGTAAGCAGAATTATTATTATATTGTTATCATAATGTTGACTTTATGATCATTCTAGTTACTTTCGACCTCCCAAGAATTACAAAGCAGAAGCAGCAAGAAAATGGACCGATGTAGAAAAAGAATTGTTGATTCAAGGGATTGCGAAACATGGTATTGGTAACTTTGGTCTGATATCGAAAGAATCAATGCCCAAATGGGTAAGTTGTTTTTTTTTTTTTTTTTTTTTTTTTTTTTTTTGTATATATAAATGATTTTATACGTATATCCATATGAACTGATGATGATGATTTGATATTTTTTTTTTTTTTTGGGTAGTCTACAAATGATCTTCGGGTGAAATGTATTCGATTGATTGGTCGACAAAATTTGCAATTGTACCGTGGATGGAAAGGCAATGCGGAGGATATCGCTCGTGAATATGAACGCAACAAAGCCATTGGGTTAAAATTCGGCACATGGAAACAAGGGGTTTTGGTATATGATGATGAAGGGAACGTTGAAAAGGAAATCTTGGCAACTGAACCAGACAATAGGAACATCAACAACAGTAGCAGCGATACTGGTGGTAATGATGGTGATAACAACGACGACGACGACGATGATGATGACGAAGATGATGATGATGATGATGTGGAAATGGAACAACAGTAGAAGTAGAATTATTATTTTTTTTGTTTGTTTGATCCATTCTTTTGGCCATCCCTCTTCTTGTACATAGCATGATGTTTTTTAGTTTAGTTATACAATAAAATAAAAAATGGCTGATCATTTTTTTAAAACTCAAATAAGCCTCTTTGTCATAGTTGAATCCCAAAAAAAAAAAAAATCATTCTCTCTCTCTCTTATACTTCATAAATTATGGAACTCTCTGATCAAGGCAACAAAAAACGACAACATTCACCAGAAAGCAGCAACACTAGCATTGAAGAAGATGTGAAACGAAGACAGATCGATCAAGTGGAACAAGATGGCGATCTCTTGGCACGACTGACCGAGATCTTGAATGAAATCAAAACGACGCCTTCGACGGGTGAGATCCCAGCTGATCTGCTTGGGCAACTTCGACGATTGATGTTACGCATTGAAGCACTAGCGGCAGATGATAACAATACCGAAGCTAGACAACTCAAGGATGAAAGTGATACATACCTCGCTCTATGGTTGGATGATCTCGTGGCTCAATGTGAAGCGGATGATCAAGAAGAAGAGGAAGATGACGACGATGATGATGAAGAAACCATTGCTTTGGCATTGGCATTGCAAGATGAAGAAGAAGCTGTAAATGATGATGATGAACAAGGTGAATTTGCCGTCGTGCCTATGGACGATCCTACTGAAGTCACTGGTTGAAAACAAAAAAAAAAAATCTCGACCTTCTTCCCCATATTGAAACTCTTTTGTTTTTGTCCTGATTGTATACCCCAGCCTTTCTCTCTCTTTCACCTACATTGTAACGTCGATATACCACACCTTTTTTTTATCTATTTGTGTATCATATCTTCCAAACATTATAGATAGACACCCCGTTATAGTATGTTACCTGCATGTAGTTTGTACAAAAATAGAATAAATGATTGGTTTATTACTGTTATTATTATTATTATTTGCTCTTGACATGACCATGGAAAAAAAAAAATAGTTATATGATTTTTCATGTGAAATATGACTGATAGAGTGAAGACTTTTTTTTCTTATTCTTTATTGATACAGTAATACACAAATATTTTGATATACATCTACAGTAAATTCACTAGCTAAATTCATTCAATAATCATATCAAAATTCATTCATATTCTTCCACCTTGAGTATCATCAGCAGGATGGAGAGTTGCATAGTAAGAAGAGGCAAATTTCAATAAAGGATCCAAAAGACGACCACCAGGTTCATCATATCTTGGCTCCATGACAAAAGCGGCTGGCTGACCCATGGGAGTATCAATGGCTTGATAGGAACCATCAGCTTCATATAGTTTACCAGTCCAGAGATGGCGCCATGAGATGTTACGATTGTCTCTGGGGAAATAGACCTTGACATAGGATGAGGGTGATAATGTGGGTGCCACCATCACAGCTGATCCAAGTAAGAATTGTTGCCATGTCAATTGTTGTACCTTATCATCATCAGGATAATAGAGAATCAAATGTCGCATCACTGGCCATCCTTTTGTTTGTGCTTCCTTCAATAGTTGATTGCGATAAGTTGCCAATGCTGTAAATAATCGTGTTGTGTGTGCCAAATGTAAATAAGATTCTATTCAAAAAAAAAAAAAAAAGATCAGATCCTTTCTCTCCTTCCTCTTTTATATATCTATATATAGATTACCTTCATTATCATAAAACTGTGCATTCACAAAAGGAATCGATCCTTCCGAAGTTCGGAATACAGGAGTAAAAGCCGCCAATTCCATCCATCGATAAAGTAGTTCTCGATTTCGTATCATCCTAGTTCCAGGGATTCCACCATCAGCTGTTACGTAGCCACCAATATCACAATGACTGACGGAAAATCCTGACATACCAGCATTCAACATAGCAGTAACCTAATGATATATAAATGATTCAATCATTCATTTTTTTTTTATCTTCACCCTTATACTTACTGCACTTTTGATACCATCATGTTGATCCCATGTTACATTTTGATCACCAGTCCATAAGCCTTGGATTTTCCCTGGAGAACGAGTGAAGCCTGATCGAACAAAGTAAACTGCATTATTGTCATCCAAATCATATTCTTTGAGAAGTTCCATGTGTAAAGCTGCCCAGTCATCGGCATATTGATTATGATAAGATGCTGCATCTTGTTCTGAAAAGAGTTGGATTTGATTTGATATCATTGGTAATGTGTTTCCGTAATCCGCCATATATCCTAATCCAAAAAAAGAAAGAAAAAAAAAGTTAGTATCGACAAACAAAAAAAGTGCCCTTCTTTTTTTTTTTTTTTTGATCACTTTACCTGATAGACCAGTATCAAAGATATGTTTCTTGATTTCACCCTTTAACCACTGACGAGCTTCTGGATTAGACAAGTCGATCATTGCAGCTGCATTACCTGGTTGTGTTGATATCATAAAAGGAAGTCCATCTGTTGTCTTGACAAGGTAATTATATTGTTTGGCATGATCAAATAATTCAGAAATGTCAGTTCCTTTTCTTTCTGATAACAATGGACTGATATTGACCAAAACACGTACAGGGGGGATGTCATCTTTTGGTTGTTGTCGATCATCATCATCACCATCATTAGAGGATACCATCAATGTTGCAGCACTAGAAGTTGCACCAGTTGTTCGTTGAGTCAATTCATGCACTAGACTGATCCAATCAGGATAAGTGTGAGCATCATGTTCCAAAGTATAGATCCTCTTGTTATTGATATTGGTTGTACTATCGCGACGGCTTGGAGGAGATGATGATATATGATATCCAGTCCAGTCAGAAATACAAATAGCTGCTAATGGTACCTGGTAGTGATGAAGTCGTTGTACAATCTGTCGCACTTTTTCTGGCCCGCCTTGAATTTCAGTAATAGCACCTTGATCAATCCAAGATGGCATAGGTTGAACACGTCCTGTAAAGCTAGTATATTCCGTAATAAGATCTAATAATGAATCACCATCAAGGAGTCTAGCTGTCATTGTTGTTGCATTCACACGAACCACCACACGTTCTGGATGTTGAAGATCGAAACTTGCATATTCAGTATTTGTCAGATAAAATCCACGATGATCGTTTGTCATATAAAAAGGAACAACACAATTGCTGGATAAAGGATCACCTGATAAAAGACTAAGTGTGGATGACCATAAAGTAGTAGCCTAAAATAAAAAAAAAGTGAGCAAAACGTTACCTAAAAAGAATAATCGTTTTTTTTTTTTTTTTTATGCATTACCGAAGAAGATACTCGACCCTTTCCTTGTTCCCTAGTAATAATAATAAAAAAAAAAATAGATTGTTAGAATAAGATAATGATTTTTTTTTTAAAAAAAAATCTAAATATAATAGAAATTACCTGATAAGAATGGGGATTTTCTGTCCTTTGTGATTAAAAGAAGAGTATTGCTCACCAAAGCCATAAAAAGCTTCTTCTTTCCGACTGGCACCTATGAGGATCAAGCGTTTATATTGTTGCATAGATCGATCACAACCCAAGACTTGAATAGAGAATATTAACTGATGAGGAGTGATTTCTTGAAAAGAGATTTTGTAATCCATATGAGTAGGTAAGACCAATTTGGTGCCCAATCCACCAAAGATATTCACTTTTTTCTTATCTTGTTCATCATAAGCAATCTTGGTAATGGTTTGAAGTCGGGTCGTCAATGTATCATGTTCCACAACAGGCGTAAACACCCCAGCCAATGTTGTTGACGGTCCAAATTCGTCTTGACCCAAAGAAGAAAACAAAAAAGGTTCATTGTGGATAGCTATTAAAGTTATACATTTCAAGATCATGAGAATAGAGTTATTATTTTTTTTTTCTTTTCTTTTCTTGTTTTTACATTGCCAAAGAACACGGCCTTCTAAATTCTTCACGGTAACAAGCATTGTTTGTGTATTGACTTGTATCTTGAAATGTCCTGTTGAGAATTCACCATCCAATACTCTGTTTCCAATGGATAATCGTGGTTGAATATAATCTTCTACTGGAGCAAGTCCTACTGCTTTTAATGCATTGGCCCACATGACAATATAATAAAGAAGAAGAACAAAAAAAAAAAAAAAAAAAAAAAAAAAGAAATAAAAAGAAAGTGAAAGGAAAGATACTACAAAAAAAAAAAAAAAAAAAAAAAGAGCCGCGCATAAAACATTTCCACATGGGAAGTTTTTCACTCTCCTTCTACTATATGTTTCAAAGGTCAAAAGAATTTGGATTGAATTTCTTTTATTGATTGAAATTTGATCGATTGAAGAATTGATAAAGAAATAAGGTATATGTATATATATGTAAAATATATATATGGCACTGGTAAGACATTGGTAAAGAAAGAAAAAAAAAGACATAAAAAAATATAAACAAGGGCGGGGGGGAGGAAGACAACGAAAATATAACAGATGGGAAGTAACTAAATGGGGTAAAACTAGAAATGATAAGGAGTGAGAAGGGGCATAATAACTATAGTAAGAAGAAATCAGCTTGTTCATCCAAGGTCTTGAATCTGCTACTGCTCATATCAAGGTAGCTACGATTATGAAGTTTGTTACCAGATGATGATGATGATGATGATGATTTTGTTGGTGTTGGTGATGTTTTGGATGGTGGTGATGGCATAGGTGCTTTTCCTTTTCGAGTGGAATCACGAGTGGGTGATAATGATCGCATAATTCGCATACCTCCAATTCGATCACTTACTAGGATTTTCTTGGTTGTATGTTGTGTACTTTGTCCAGCAATGTCTTCATATAAAGGTCGGTTTTGATCCACGGTAATTTCTTGTAAAGGAGAGGGACGAGGAGGTTCACTTCGGTAAATGTTCACATAGCCAGCGGGGGTTTTTGTAATAGTGGTTTGACCAAATACTTTTGTCCATACATCGGGTGCTACGTTTTCAATATTGACGAGAGGACCATAATCAGGTTCAACCCATTCTTGATTATCGTTTTGTTTGGATAAAGGTAAAGGGTCGATATAGATACCTTCAGTAAAATCAAAGTCAGGATCATAGTGAGGATCGGCTAGTTGTCGCATTCGGATACGATCTGCTAAGAAATATTCATCGTCGTCGTCATCATCGTCATCGTCGTCAGTTCGTAAGCTGAGGTTGTTGTCAGGAGATAAGGGTTGACTATCGGGTGTAAAGGCATGAGAGGAATCATCTAGTTCATCTTCAGTTGATTCTTCATCAGACATCAACATAATAGGTGTTTTGGGTGGATGATCCTTCTATATAAATATAAAAAATATTCAAGTTAATGATTGATTAAAAAAAAAACATTAATAATAATAAATATATATTACCATTAATTGATCAAATGTAATTTTGTTTTGACCGAGAACCATAGTCAAGTTTGGATGTTCAGGAATATCGTCATCTTCATAAATGCTTGACATGCGATCATTGAAACCAACAGAAGGACGACGACAGTTCACAGGTTTGATACGGTCGCTTGAACGAGAGTTAATGTTCATGTAACTCATCTTAGTAGCTGGAGTAACAGTAAGACGACTTGTTGGTGTCGGAACCATTCGATGAGGTGTTGCAGAAGTAGTAATTGTATGTTCGAAGGCATGAGCTGAGAGAAGTAGGACAATAAAAAAAAAAAAGTGGGTGAAAAAAAAGAAAGAAAAAAGGAAAAAAAAGGAAGAAAGAGAAAACAAGGAGATTTTCATTTCAGATTTTCATGTGCCGCCACACCTGACCAATCAAATGGCTTAAATCGCCAATCACGCTGTGTGTCGCGCTCATCAGAAAAAAAAATTGAAAAAAAATTGAAAAAAATCTTTTACGCGGTAATTTGGCGTCATAGCTTTTGAACCCAGCGGGTCTCGACTTTTTCGCGTTATCAGTGGTCGACTCTTATAGAACAAGGTATTTAAATAGGATGATGAATATCATATGTTAGCATTAAAAAAAAAAAAAAAAAGAGTAGATAAATAAAAGGGCATTATAGTAAAATAATACTGTATGTAAAAAAAAAAAAAACGGAAAAAATGGATTTTAGTTTGTGGAGATGGTCCGTTCGCATGTATACTTTGACCAAAAGCGGGGATGTCGTATCTCCAAAATCTAATAATATGAATGGTTCCCCAACTGATCTTTTTTTTTTTTATTGTTAACCTATTCGGCTCCCCCCCTTTTTTTTTTAATACAATGGAATGATCTACTGCGTTTATACTCTTTTACTGTCCTATAATGAAAGATCAACGTTTTCTTTAAAAAATTATCTTCCTAACTCTCCTTTTTGATGATGAATACCTTTGGATGATGAACTATGAATAGATGAATCATCATGAATATATTTGTATAAATGGTGTTTTGTTTATAAAGTCATCTGCATATTCGTGATTTTATATGATATTGTTATTGTTAACCCAATCGAGATAGTGGCATTCTCCATATCGGATTTGTTTGTTAACTTATTTTGTATAGATTGGAATGTTCAACAAAAGCATCTAGAAAACGACTGGATTTCAAACCAATTATCATCAGATGAATGATATCATTGCGGTATATGAACTGTGCTAAGAATATGTACTACCATCATCATCATCATCATCATCATCCTTCTCTTTACATCTTGATAATGAAGTTTATAAATTTCTCTCTGTAATAGGGTTATCATCGTATGAATGAGCGTGAATATACGCGTTTTTCTTTCAAATTCTTTTTCTTTATTCATTTATTCATTCATTTTATCCATTGCAAGCAAGAACTATTAGTAAAAATGTGGAGTATTAATGAGATGTTAGTTACAAGGTGATCATCCTTGAAGAAGAAATGCATCCTTTCATTTTGAACTCAGACATCATCTATCTTTTTCTCTCTCCTTTTTCGTTTTTGTTTCTTTCTCTTCCTTTCTTTCTTTTTTATAACTTGGTTTATAAGATCCCATGTTTAAGAAACTTATCGCTATTAAGTTCTCTATGTGCACGAATGAATTGGATACAGAGTAAGAAAGAAAGAAAAAAGGGAGATGAAAACAAGGGACGAAGAGAATAACAAACGGTTTACCCATTATCTTTTTGTTTTTTTTTTTTTTAAAAAAAAAATAGCTATTATGCCAATAAGACCTGTTGATAATATAACTTTACCACTATCTCCATCTCTTCAACAACCTTTCATGGTAACAGCTCATTGCTCTTATGCAGGTATGTATACATAACGAAAACTTGATTTGTTCAAGAATGACTTATTCTCATCTATCTCTATGGTCTTTTTTTTTTTTTTGTATTAGGACATGGATCGAATCAAAGTCAAGAGAAAAATATAAATGTATTTAAAAAGAATATCAATCATTCGTATTAATATTTACTGTCTCATACTTTTATAATATGATATTCTAGAAAAGTCTCGATCTCCGTAACGACTGTAGGACAAAACAAGAGGACCAGTAACAGAACTCTATAGACATGATTATAGATATAACTAAAATTAGATAGAACATCCTTTTGAATTTATTTTATTTTATTTTATCAATAAAAAAAAATAATCAACAAACAGACGAAAAAAAAAAGAAAGATCGATGATGGTTTATATAGGCAAAGGGCTTGTTTTTTTTTTTTTCTCATGTACTTCCCAAGACGACCTTATGATACCCTCATAATAAAGATGATGATGACGGGAATAATATAAATGTGATTTTATTCAAGATAACCTAATCGAGTATTTTGTCAATAAAAGAATCATCAATTTCAAAAAGGTGATGCAACTCTTGAAAGTGAGTAGACCGAAAAGGTAATCAAAGGTTTGATGCATTCAGTTCTTTTTTTTTCGGATGAAGTCAACTAAGGGAAGAGCATCACTTTTGTTTGGCAGTATTTGAAATATTATCAATCAAGCCCTCTTTCATATGCGTCCTTATTTTCCAAAAAGGCGTTCATGAACATATGTCATGTGACTCGATGTCTTCTTATTCTTGATGATTGATCTGTATTGATAACAAATCCAATTTGATAAATAGATAATGTACGTTGGTATCCATTTCAGCCAATGAATGGATGATATTATAGTTCGATTCAAAAGGCTAAAATTGAAACATCATGTCATGTCGCATAAAACCATGTAAATGGCCATTCGTACCATAGCAAAAGTAAGCTTTTTTTTAAAAAAAAAAAAATGTATATAATTTTTATTTGATTAAAAAGGAAGACAATGAGACAATTTTCTATTTACACTAACTAAACAATAACTAATCTATAAAAAGAGAGGAAGAATAGAATTTGATAGGGAGAGAATATAATAATAAAATAATAAAAATAAAAATATATCATTTTTACAAAAATGGAGGAGAAAGAGTTGAGAAAAAAAAAGGTATAATCAAAAGACAATATCATGTCGCTTGATGATGGTTGTTCATTTGGAACGATTGAAGTCATCACGAAGATTTTCGATTGCCTCTTTGGAACCAAAGACCACACCTTTAATGAAAAAAAAAGAATAGAAGAAGTGAGTACTTGATTTGTTGAAGGCAAGTAAATGAATATAATTTTTTTTTTTTGGGACTTACCGACAATACCAAGAAGAAGAGTCAAAGCACAGAAAGCCAATTCATACCAAGGTTTATTTCGTACTCCGGTGAGCTTCAAGTAGCAGAGGATAGGTAAAAGGAAGACAAGACCACAGTTGGCCAAAGCACCAATCAAACCCATAAAATCATCAAAGAAAGGAATAAAGATAGCAAGGATAACAAGAATAGCCATAGTTGCAGTACGAATCACAGCTCTAGCAACCCAAGCACCAAACTTGCCAAGACGATCTTCATCAGCACGAGTCCACTTTTCAAATTCCAAAGAAAAGGAGGTTGTATAGATAGGAATAGCCAGAATAACGTGAATGGTCATGACAATAATAGCAATAGTTTGACCAGCACCGGCAGGTAAGGAATTGTAAATAGGACTTTGAGCGCCTCTACCAAAAGAATAATAAGCAGGAATACTTGTCAAAAAGTATAAACCGGTACAAGTAGAAAGACCAGCAATCAAGGCATAAGCCCAATGATGAGGCTTTTTCAATGCATGTTCAACATCTGTTTAAAGTATTGAAAAAAAAATGAAGTTAGAGTCATCTGATCGTTTGAATATGTTATGTAAACTTACGAGGATAGGTATTATTTCCACCATAGGAGAAAGCAATGGTAGCAAGAGCACTAGGAAAACCCTCCCAGATAACACCATCACGCACAACATCAGGATGAGAGTTGTGATAAATAGGAGATTCAATCAAAACAATAAAGACAGCGATCATAGTACAGACAGCTCCAACGGATGAGATAATGGTGACTTCGCGAAGTGTTTTCAAAAGTAAGGAAGGAATAAGTAAAATACAACCAATAATACAGGTCCAAGTTGTTTGAGTCAATTCTCCAGACTAAAAAAAAAAAAAGAAATTAAATATTAATATGGATAAATCAATACGAATTAGATGATTCCTTACTGTTCCTTTCAATAACGTCCTAAAGTTGCCAGCAGCCAAAACAATATAAAGAGCGGGACAACCGAAAAGATTGAGCCAATGTAAGGCGGTAGCAATGATATAACCAGTAACACCAAAAGCAGCAGTACCCATTCCTTTGTAATCATGAATTCGATGACCAGGTTTATGATAGAGACATCGAATCAAAACGATACCAGAATAAACAGCCATTCCATAAGATAACATTAAAATCAAGATGCCTAACCAACCACCTTGAGCAAAAGCATGAGGAAGACCTAGCGTACCTGTACCAGCAACGACCTAAAAAAAGAAAAAAATAAAAAAAAATTGAATAAATATCGAGAAAATAAAAAAAAAAGTGATGGCATGGTGATCCACTTACACAAGTGACATTGAAGTACGCCGTTAAAAATGAACCATTACCACGTCCAAATTCATTAATGGAAGATTCCGAACGAGCATCTTCTTGGTAATCTACTTCATGTTCTACTTTACTTCGGATACTAGGTGCTTTTTCTGTTTCCATAAGATGACTGGTCGATAAATAAATAAGAGTAGGGGGAAATAAAAAAAAAAAGAAGAAAAAAAGGTAATAATAAAGAAAAAAAAAAAAGAAAGAAAAAAAAAAGAGAGAAAGAAAATGATCGGACGGATACAAATATAAAGAAAAAAAATTTTTTTTTTTTTTTTTTTTTGCCTTGGTGACTATTTCGTATTCAGATGACAAAGTAGGTAAAAACCGTTTTCTTAAAAAGTCAACAAAAACTATTCATCCTTCTCCAACTCTTTTTCCATGTGCCACATTAAATCAAAACAATCATCAAAATAGTCAAAACATCAATGAATATATCATCATTTTTTTTTATTTTTGTTCCTGCCCCTTTTTTTTTTCCAATGTGAGATTCTAATTAAACGAATCAACCAAATATTCAATAGATAAAAATGAATAATACCAAATTCTTTCAATTTTTTTTTTAACTCAGAGTATCAAATGAAAGTTTGTGAGGGGAAGATAAGGTTTCCGATCCTTACGAAAACTTGATCCTTTTTCTCACGCTCCCCTTTGCCAAACGGTACTTAAATAAATTGAAGAAAGATAAACGAATGGTAGAAACTTTCATATGACGGAGCTTATTTGTCCTAATTATTTCAATGGGAAAGAATAAAAGAAAAAAAAAGTATACATTTTTTTTTTACCCCACTTAATTATCTGTCATCACACAATAGACAATGATCCTGCATTTTCATTTGTTTTCTCTCAATAACGCCATCTTCTGACATTAGTTTGTTCCTATTTTAGTGCTTCCCACAATTGTTAGGGCTTTTAAACTACATGTTCATGATTGGTGGACTTATTCAACTCCGTTCCGGTTCTTCTACATGTTATGTAGTTCGAAAAAGGAACAACTGCGGTTGAATCGGAATCATCCAAAGTAAATCTTCCAAAAGTAATCAAAGTCATGATGACAATCATCCATCGGTGTATGAATCATCCAAGCCTTCCAAAAAAAAAAAAAAAAAAGACTTATCATTCTCAATCGCAAATAAGAAAAACAACGTGGCATATGTCATCATTACCATTGACATCCGCTTCTTTCTCTTTATCATCCTCATCATCCTCCCCTCTCTTCTTCGTCATCATCATCAGTACCATTATCATTATTCTGTATTCGTACTGACTATCTTTGTGTATTCCAGTTCATTCATCATACTACTAATGATGATTTAAGTCTTTCTTTTCACTTTTTTTTTTTTTTTTTTGCTAATGAAGGCCGCTTTCCATTTTCGGTGAGGCGTAAAAAAAGATGTATTACCAACGATTCCAAAGGTTTCATCCGTCTCCCCCTTTTTTTTTTTCTTTATCAACCAACAAGTCGAGAATTCCAAGTTTATGACGGTTAGTCAATAGTAACATAAAAAAGCATATATATATATACCGTTTTGGCAAGTGCTGTCAAAAAAAGAAAGAGAAGAAAAAAAAAAAAGAGGAGACATTATACATCTGGCTCTATCTATAAAAAAAAAAAAAAAAAAAAGATCATCTATAATTGGAGGTTATCTCCCTTTTCCCAGTGAATATACATATATATATATAAAAAAAGGGGAGGTAATTTCAACTGTCATTGCTTCACCATTCTTATAATGGAAATCAGATCCCAAGTGTTACTCTCAAATTAGAAGTCCTTTGATTTGATTGGATATCAAAAAGGTACCAGTGTAACGCAAAGGTGACACGCGTGGGGAGAAGAATCCCGACAATGGAGCAGAATACTATAAAAGATAAAAAACATGGCTTTTCACTGTGATACGAAACTAGACTTGATCATTAGCGGGAATGGGAAATCTTTTTCTATTTTCCCGTTTTCCTTTCTTCTTCAAAGGGAAAAAAAAAGTTTTCTTTTGAAGTTTGCTGAAAAAAAAAAGAAGACAATGATTGCTGGAATACAAAATCAAATAAAGTTTTTTTTATCACGTATTTTTCTCTTTTTCTTTCGTCTTTCTTTTTCTTTTTGATCTTATTACTTTTTATTACTTTGTTTTTCTACAACTCTTCGTTTTTGTGTGAAAGTGGGATTATTCTTGGTGATAGGAAATAGATTGTATTTTTTTTTTTTTTACGATCATGATCATCTTATCGGATTATGCTGCTCGCGTCGTTCAACGTATCAATTTCATTGGAACATGGGTTGCTCTTGTTATTTGTTGTCGAAACTTTATGATGTGCTATGCTCAATATAAACGATCCAAAGGAAAAATGTAATTCATCATCTATTCTTCATTATTCTTTCATTATTATCATTTTTATCATCGATCACATTCTATTATTTCAAAGTCGCACTCGATGATCGTCGTCATACCACTACCATTTACTTTCACCTTTTATGTATTAACTCTTATTATTTTTTTTTTTTGATGTTGCAATTGTAACCTATAGTCACCTGATGAATACGGCTCAGGTTACAGTCATCTTCATACATCGTACGTTATACGGGATTATACCTTTATTTGAAATCACTACATGTGCGTATTTCCCACTTCTCGTTTCGTAAGTACACATTCAACGGAGTTAACTCAAAATAAAGAAAAAAAAAAGTTTTTATTGATCCCTTTCTTCCCTACTTTTTTTTTTTTTCCTTTCAATTATGAAAACTCCGTTACTCCCATATTTTTTATTTCAGACTATGGCATCTCGGTAAGTATTATCTATGAAAAAAAAAAAGATTAATCCTTCCTTTTATTATTACTATTATTATTGATTTTTCCTTTCTTTCATCATCATAGCATATATGCTTTTTTATGTTGGTAATTACAAAAAAAAAAAAAAAGGTTAAAGTTTAGAGAATTAAAATCTTGTTTATTACTACTTAGTTATGTTCCAACGTCTGATTATTTTAGAGTCAGATCGTCATTCACGATGGATCAAATTAGTTGGTCTATTGTTGATTGGTGTTCGATTTGCAGATTGGCCTTATGAACTTATTGCTCATCAACTCAATACTGACACATCAAATTCTCAGTCTATCTTTACAGGGGGAAGTTGTTGGGCTCAATGGTATTAAAAAAAAAAATGTCTCTTTCACTATCTCTCCCCACAAATATCACTCTCAAGACAATACACGGAGTTCTAACCCAAACTCTCTTTTTTTTTTTTTTTTATTCTTCACCTCTCTTTCTCTTTTTTTTTTTTTTTTTTTTTTACGATTTTCTTTTTTCACTGATAGGCAATTAGGTGTTCTCATAGTGAATTTTATTGGTGATGCTGTTGCCAATATCTTTCTAAGTGGCATGTTTGTTCGTCGCCTCTATAAGCATATACGATCTACACAATCAAGTGGTACACCTCAAAACAAAATGATCTCTTACATTGCTCGCAAGTCTTTGTTATGTTTGATTCTCACATTTTTTGTCAATTTGGCTATGAATTTACTCAAAGTAACCACTTTCCTTGGAGAATATTCTGATGTAAGTAGAAACCCATTGAACAATATATATATATTAATTATACTCAATTATATAGGCGTTTACTGTATTTTTTGAATTGGCTGAATCGACCTTACTTGTTGAAGCGTTACGTGTGGATGATCAATTGAAAGCCACAGTGGGATGTTCTCAATGTGGCAAATCATCTGGTCGAGTCGATAGTGGTCGTCATCCACCACCATCTCAAAAACGTAGTATGTTAGCTCCCTTTGGTTCTTTTGATTTTGTACCCTTGGAAGAACGACAATCACCTAATGATCCTTTTCGATATCAACCTAGCAACCATCCTATATCTTCTTCTTCCTCGACTGGACGACGTGTTACTTATTCTGATGATGACACTCTTCGAATGCGATCTTCTATGGATCCACCTACAACATCGACTAAAATGGATACTACTGGTTATGTTTCCACCAAGAATAATGATGATGATAATGATGATTTTTTGATGTCACCTACGAAATTTGCTCAAGCAAGTCCTTTGACATCACCACCTCCAACACAACTTCATCATCATCATCATGAAGCGAACGATATCGTACGGCCTTTGGATACACTATCAAGTTCTTTGGTTTACCATCCGGAATGGAATAGCAATGATTATAGAACATTTTGATATATCCCTTTCTTTTATTTTATATCTTTATTTTATATATTTATTGTATTTTAGTCTTAGTTTTACTCTTTCCCATTATTAATAATTATAATAAAAAAAAACCCAACAGAATCTTACCAAAAAAAAAAAAGGTTTGATATCAGTAATTTTTGAATCAAATGAATCAAATTGAACCCTCAATAAAGACAAAAGATTGTATACATTTTGATGTCTATTTTCCATTTATTTCTACAGATGATAATGATGTTTGATGGAGAGGGAATAATAATAATAAAAAAAAAGAATAAAATGAAAGAAGGGAAAAAAAAACAAATTATATAATAAAGAGAGAGAGAGAGAGAGAGATGCGTATTGTAAATAAATATATATATATATATATATATAATGCATGATTGTTGATTTGAATGGGATGATCTAAGATTGATTTGATTTTGTTGTTTTCTTTTCAAATGGTTTGGCCTTCTTATCTTTTGCTGATTGTGCTAACCGAGCAAGTCGTTCCTTTTTCTTTTGTTCTTCCAACTAAAATAAATAAAGTAATATATTATTATTTATTTATTTATTTATTTTGTTACTTACATCTTGTTTATGTCTTTCCATTTCATTTAATAATTCTTCTTTGAATGGCCAACTATTAGGAATACCAGGATCTTTAGGAGCTCCTAATATAAAAAGGAAATGAATATAAACTCTTTTTTATTATTATATATTACTTACTTTTCTTATGTGGGTTTTTCTTTTGTTCCTTTCTTAACTTTCGATGATGTTCCCGAACTCGTTTTTCGATCTTATATCTTTCTCTAGCTGTTCCTCGCTTGCTTTTATATTCTATTTAAAAATAAATTAGAATATAGATAAAAAAAAATAAATTGTGTATAACTTACTTTTAGGTACCATATTATGTTGTGAGATAAAGAAGGAAGGAAAAAAAAAAGTTTTATTGGTCCAAATGGGTATTGTTCAAGAGAGAGGAAAAAGCCACAGCGGGGTTACAACATCGGCATCAATTGATCGACTATTATTATATTAGAAAAAAAAAGGAAACCTATTTCAAGTCCATGTTATTATCAATACAATAGAAAAAGGGTTAACTAGGTGAAAAAGGAAAGAAAAGAAGAAGAAAATGAAAAAAAAAATTGATTATAAGAAATTTTTTACGTATTTTTTTTTTTTTTATTCAATCAATTTTAATCAGTCATGCGGTTACCAAGTTGAAAAAGAATTGAGACATTTTAACCAAACAACGTCAGCAATAACCTCATTCGTCCGACGGAGATGAAAACTGGCGTCAAAGAGAAAAACAAAAAGAGGTGCTCAAAAGTATTTGTTTTTTCCCTTTTCTTCTCTTTCTCTTTCTCTTTTTGTAGATTTTCTATTTTATATTATAGTTTAATCAATTGTTTTTATTTTCCCCCTTTTCTTTCTTTTTTTTCATTTTTTTTTTTTTATATTTTCTCTCTTTTATATATATATATATACACGACTTCTTCTTCTCTCTCTCTCTCTCTTTTTTTTTTTATTATTATTTCTTTTTTGAACCTATTCTTAATACGTTACTTGATATCATCCAACCAAAAACTCGTACTTTTGTCTTATTATTTTAGACTCATCTCTTGAATTATTATCTATTACAATAACTGTTTTTTTTTTTATTTAACATTGGTGGATTCTTACAATGTCAGCACCTTACAACAATCAACAATTAAGGTATAATAATAAAAGAGATGATTCGGGGGTGATATTTGTCAATAAAGAAAAAAAGAAGAAGAAAAAAAAGGGAGTTGGGATTATTATTATTATTATTCTTATTTACTTTTCTTTTTTTTTTTTTAATTTTATTTAGTCATGAAAACGATAATTGGAAGAAAACTATGGTTCTTCCACCAAAAGATACTCGACCTCAAACCGAAGTAAGTTCTTATACTTATTAAAAAAAAAAAAAGATCTATAATATATTAATATATCTTTTTTTTTTAATTAATTAGGATGTGACGGCAACGAAAGGCAATGAATTTGAAGATTACTTTTTAAAACGGGAATTACTTATGGGTATTTTTGAAGCTGGTTTCGAACGACCTTCACCTATTCAAGAAGAAGCTATTCCTATTGCTTTGACTGGAAGGGATATTCTTGCACGTGCCAAGAATGGTACTGGTAAAACAGCAGCATTTGTTATCCCTACTTTGGAAAAGATCAACAATAAGAAATCCAAAATTCAGGCTTTACTTTTGGTACCTACTCGTGAATTGGCTCTTCAAACTTCTCAAGTATGCAAAACTTTGGGTAAACATTTAGGTATTCAAATCATGGTTACTACTGGTGGTACTACTCTCAAAGATGATATCATGCGCTTATCCGAAACTGTACATGTGGTTGTGGGAACTCCTGGTCGTATCTTGGATTTAGCTTCTAAAGGTGTTGCTGATTTTAGTGAAGCTACTACTTTTGTTATGGATGAAGCCGATAAACTCTTGTCTCCTGAATTCACTCCTATCATCGATCAACTCATCTCTTTCTTCCCCAAGGATCGTCAAATCATGTTATTCAGTGCTACTTTCCCTATGATTGTCAAACATTTCAAGGATAAGTATTTGGTCAAACCTTATGAAATTAATCTTATGGATGAATTGACTTTACGTGGTGTTACTCAATATTATGCTTTTGTCGAAGAAAAACAAAAAGTACATTGTCTCAATACGTTATTCTCAAAGGTAATCTCAAAATATATATATATATTTATATATGTTCTTAAATGAATCATTTTATACTTTTTAAAAATAGCTCCAAATCAATCAATCTATTATATTTTGTAATTCAACCAATCGTGTGGAATTATTGGCCAAGAAAATCACTGAATTGGGTTATTCTTGTTTCTACTCTCATGCCAAAATGTTACAAAGTCATCGTAATCGTGTATTCCATGATTTCAGAAATGGTGTCTGTCGTAACTTGGTATGCTCAGGTAAAAAATCAAAAAAAAAAAAAAAGGATGGAACAAAGGACTGACTTATTATTATTATGATTAGATTTACTTACTCGTGGTATTGATATCCAAGCTGTTAATGTGGTGATCAACTTTGATTTCCCCAAGAATGCTGAAACTTATCTTCATCGAATTGGTCGTTCTGGGCGTTTTGGACATTTGGGTTTGGCGATTAATTTGATTACATATGAAGATCGATTCAATCTATATAAAATTGAACGTGAATTGGGTACTGAAATTCAACCTATTCCTCCTACTATTGATAAGCAATTGTATGTAGCCCCTAATGCTTTGGATGAAGCTCAAGTACAACAACCTGATCGTGAAGCTGCTATTGCTACTCGTCAACAACAACAACAACGGGAATCTCAACCTCAAGAACAACAACAACATCATCATCATCAACAATATCATCAACAACAACATTACACGCATTATCAACAGCATCAACAACAACATTATTATCAAAATGGACGTGGACGTGGAGGATATAGTGGACGTGGTGGTTATAGTGGACGTGGTAGAGGACCAAGGCAATCTTATCAACAACAACATCAAGTCCCAATGAACTAAATTGAATCCCATAGTGTGTAGTTCCCTTCTTTTGTTCTTTTTGTTTTTTTTTTTTTCCTGTACATAGTTTTTTTTTTAGGGTCATACCTATTTTTTTTACAAGTGCTTTTTTTTTTATTTTACTTTTTTTTTTTTTTTTACTTTTTTTTTTGGTTGTTGTTGGTGACCTCTTCCTCTCCTTTTTTTTTTTTTTTCTTTTCCACATATTGTTTATTTCTTCTTTTCTATTTTATATTATCCCAATCTTTACCCATCCGATATAGGCATTGAAAACAAAATCTTCTCTCTCTCTCTTTTTTTTTTTCCTCATACTCTTCCAAAAAAAACAACAACTCTTTTTTACATTGATTCAATAAATAAAAAAAAAATGCTCGTCGCCAACCTCAATGATAATCTCTTTTATACATACAACTAAAATGATTAGAAAAAAGTGAAATCAATCATGTCACTTTCAATTACAATATACTTCCAGATGTTGGTCTCCTGTAAAAGGAAATTCTGACCTTTTTTTTCTTTTTTTCCAACCATCTCATATGCGCATTGCAAAAAAAAAAAAAAAAAAGGTCATTGCTGTATATTATTGCCGGATCATCTACTGCTGAAGTTGGATGACTAATACGGCGAATGGCTCTGAAAAGACAAAATTGAATTAATACAGTGATCATTCCGTTATCGCCTTTTTTTTTGATGTCAACCTGCCAATAACATTTTTATTCATTGACAAGGATTCCTATGATGATGATGATGATAAAGCTGGGGGATGAGAGATAAGAAAGTTATAAAAAAGATCAGCCCATGTAATGTCGCGGTATTTCAATACATTCTAAACGAGATCAATGAAAAGCATAGGATGCATTAAAAGAGAAAAAGAATCTTTCTTTTTTCTTTATTTATAAACAGGGCACATATACAAAAAAAAAAGAAAAAAAAATTCTATAAAATAAAGAGCTATATACAAAATATTAAATAATAATAAAATTAACAATGATATCAACTATCTTTCAATAAACACAAAAAAAAGGGGGAGTTTAATAAAAAAGATCAACGAGCAGCTTTTGATGGTTTTTTGTTGCGACCATGACAAAAAGATTTGATTCTAGACTTGAATGAAGTATCAGAAGGAGAGTAAGAACAAGTGACACAAGAGATGGATGATTCAGAACATGCTTCCATAGGATGACAGCTATCTTGCGGTGGTAACACATAATCTTGTTCTTCTATGGATGTCATGGAGTAGCGTTGTAACATTGTACATAATGCAGCATCTTTGCGATAAATCCGCTGACCAAAGAAGTGTTCTTTGAATTTCGATACAGGTTGCATTAAAAAAAAAAAAAAAAAAGATACAAGTAAGAAAGAAAAGAGTAAAAGAATTCTTTTTTGGAAGTCTTTTCATTTCATATCGTTTTCTTTTTTTAAACTCATTCCGTTGGTCAGCCGCCTTTTGTCCAATCATGCATGCTGCCGTTATACCTTTATCCGACAATTTTTTTCCTAAAATGGATTATCCAGTGGTATGATTTTTTTTTTTATTGAATCAAATATATAAAATAACTACAATCAAATGAATACTATAAACAAACTACTAACAACATTTACTACTACTAGAATAGAAAGACTGTTTGTGTTAAGGGCAAAGAATCAACAGGATCACATACACATACTTGACCATTGGCTGTGACCTTATAAGTTTCAGGATCCACTCGAATGGCAGGTAAGGCGTCATTCAACTTCATATCTTTTTTCCCAATGTTTCGGCAATTTTTGACCGGTTCAATTTTTTTGCGTAATCCGTACTTTTCCACAGTTTTGGAATCGATTGATAATTGTGATACAAAAGCCATACAAGTATTACCAATACTTGACGAAAAGGCACCATACATAGGTCGAGATATCACAGGTTGCGTAGTAGGAATTGAAGCATTGGCATCTCCCATTTGACCCCATACAATCACACCACCTTTCAAAATAAGTTTTGGCTTGCTACCAAAAAATGCAGGTTCAAAACATACTAAATCAGCCACTTTACCTACTTCAATGGATCCCACTAAATGACTAATACCATGTGCAATAGCCCTAATAACAAAAAAAAAAAAAAAAAAAAAATCAAATGAATGATAAAAAAAAAAAAAAAGAAACTTACACATTGATGGTATATTTGGCAATATAACGTTTGATTCTAAAATTGTCCCCATCATCTTGTTCATCTTCAGGTAAAACACCACGTTGATTCTTCATTTTCGATGCTGTTTTCCAAGTTCGTAAGATGACTTCCCCAATTCTACCCATGGCTTGAGAATCTGAACTAATAATACTGATGGCACCCATATCATGTAAAACATCTTCTGCTGCTATGGTTTCTGCACGGATTCGACTTTCAGCAAACGACACATCTTCAGGAATCTGTTTTGAAAGATGATGACATACCATAAGCATATCCACATGTTCATCCAAAGTGTTGGCTGTAAAGGGTCGAGTAGGATTGGTTGATGATGGTAATACATTTGGTTCACTACAAACTTGAATAACTATAACAAAAAAAAAAAATGATGAACATATAAAAAAAAAAAAAAGAAAAACATTAAGAACCTTACTATCAGGTGCATGTCCACCACCAGCTCCTTCACTATGATAAGTATGGATGGTTCTTCCCTTGAAAGCATTGATGGTAGATTCCACAAAACCAGCTTCATTCAATGTATCAGTATGAATGGTACATTGCACATCCAAATCGTCACATACATCTAAACAAGTATCAATCGATTTTGGTGTCGTTCCCCAATCTTCATGTAACTTCATTCCTACACAGCCAGCCTTGACATGATCCACGATTTCTTGCTTGCTAGAACAGTTGCCTTTACCAGTAAAACCAAAATTCATGGGAATATCATCGGTTGCTTTGAGCATGGTTTCAACATGAAAAGCTCCAGGCGTACATGTGGTAGCATTTGTGCCAGTGTTGGGCCCAGTGCCTCCACCAATCAAAGTAGTGATACCGCTTGCCAATGCTTCGTAACAAATTTGAGGACAAATGAAATGCACATGCGCATCGATAGCACCTGCTGTAAAGATCTTGCCTTCCCCTGCCAAAGCCTCCGTAGCTGCACCTACCGTCATCCCTGGCGTCACACCATCCATGACATCTGGATTGCCTGCTTTGCCAATCCCCACAATGATACCTTTCTTGATACCGATATCTGCCTTGTAGATGCCGCTGTAATCGATGATCAATGCGTTCGTGATGACCAAATCCAAAGCTTCTGGTACGTTGGTTGCTTGTCCCATGCCTTCACGCAATACCTTGCCTCCTCCAAATTTACATTCATCCCCATAGTGAGTATAATCCTTTTCCACGCGTGCCCATAAATCAGTGTTGCCAAGACGAACAAGATCTCCCGTGGTCGGTCCAAAATGATCAATATACGATTCTCGATCAATGGTACGAACAGGTGCATGTGGTAAAAGAGGTGTGTTGTTGTCATGTAAAAAGCCGCGACTGGTCAGTTGGTCTATAATCATCGGTAAACGTGCAAAATCAATAGGTCCTGTTGCTAATCCGTTGCCGCCACTGATCACCTTGTTGCCCCCGATTTCCACAAGTGTCACTGTTTTGAAATCTCCTGGTTCGAAACGAACCGCCGATCCTGCTGGAATATCTAATCGCATACCATAAGCTAATGCACGATTGAAAAACAAAGCCCCATTGGCCTCAATAAAATGAAAATGTGATCCGACCTAATATGAAACAAAAAAAAAAAAAAAAAGTCAGCAATGTAAATAGAAGATAACATTTATTTATGTACCTGAATAGGACGATCACCATGATTTGTCACCGTCAATGATAATCGTCTTCTATTTGGACAAAGTTCAATCATAGAATCTTGATAATTTGTTTGATGACCCAAAGGAAGAATCATACCAGGAGGATATCTTTTGACATGTGTTGAAGGAGTAGGAGTGCCATCATCTTTCATCACTTGATCATCAGAAGAAAGAGGAAACTTGTCTGATAAAGGGATAGGTAAGAAACTTCCATAAAGCGCCAGTTCCAAATTGCCATTATCAGTACAAATAGGATCATGCACTGTGACCAAATAAGTTCCATCCGGAAAAGTTCCTTCTACCTGCACTTCATTTACTGTATCCTGTGCATCTGCTTGTACATGGCGTCTACCTAACATTTGTTTTCCCATATCCATCAGTTGAGCTACAGAATATATTCCATCACGCATCAATTCGAGAAGTTGTGATGCAATCAATGCAGTTGCTTCTGTATGATTCAATTTAACACCCCGCGCCAAACGTTTTTGTGCAAGTTCTCCCACTTATCAAAAAAAAAAAAAAAAAAAGAATCAATAATTGCATTTTCATTTTTTTTTTTTTTTACCTTGATGTAGTAAGAGTTTATCGATTTCTCTTGGTATAAGACGCATATAATAGATGGATGATAGAATGAGACCACAAAAGCCTAGTTTTCAAAAAAGAAGAGAAAAAAAAAAGAAAAAGAATGAGAAATCTTTTTTTTTTTCATTTGTCTATCATTTTTATGATAAGCACTATCAAATTACCACTTTTATAGTTTTTGTGTTACTTTTTTCAAAGATAAACGAGTCAAGTCACACCACTATCTTAGACCTGCAAAACAATAAAATGAGAATAAAATGAGTTCAAGTGACTTTTTGAATAAAAATAAATAAACTTACTAAAGAAACGGAGAGGATATATCAATAAAGAGAGAGATTCATAGTAGGAATGGTCAATTAATGAAGTTAATGTATTATTCATATGTTGATGAAATAAGTAAATAGAAAGGAATACATAATATAAAGTGAAAGAAATGGGAAAAAAAAAAAGTTAAAAAGGTCCAAAAAACCTTGTTTCTTCTCCTTTTCCCTTTCTTTCAAATCCCGCACTATTCTTTGACGCAAAAAGACGGATGCCTCTGTGCTGAAGGCAAAACTTAAATTGTACCCTAAAATTCAAGTTTTGCTTCTTTGACAATTGTAAATGTTTTTTTTTATTAATAATAACCAGTAGCATATAACAAAACAAAATAAAGTAGGGGGACAAAATAATCAAAAAGACTTAAATAGAATCAGAGAAAGATGAGATAAGAGTTGTATACTAAAATCTATTACTTTCCATGAAATACAATGATACATCAAAAAAGAAAAGAAGGAAGGGTAATACTAGTCACTAAAAAAAAAAGAAAGAATGGGAGGGAGACGATAGATAATATACATTATAATGACCTATGATTTCATATCCAAAATGACCACCTACAATAACAATAAATAAATATGAGTTTTACTACTTTCATTTTCTTAAACTGTTTACCTGTTTATTTGATGTGCACGCTGCCAATTTAGAACCGTCCTTATTGAAATGTACTTCAAAAATACCACCATCTGCCTTGAATGTTTTTTGTAGAGTACCAGTCTTCACGTCCCATACATTGAGTAATTCGTCAAAACTACCCGAAGCCAATAATCGTGCATCAGGACTGAATGAAATAGAGTATACCGCTTCCGAATGGTTTTTCAATACATGTAAACAATTTCCTGTCAATGGATCCCATAAACGTATTGTCGCGTCAAAACTACCGGTAGCCAAAAGGCGCCTTGGTGGTCGTCGTTGCTTTTGTCGTTTCTGTAATCCATTATTGTCCATATCCACATCATCATTCGTATCGTCATCATCGTTGATCGTAAGAGGTGCCCATTGTAAAGTATAGATTTGAAGTCGATGTCCACGGATTTCTTGAATAGGTTCATCAGAAGAAAGTGACCAAATCTTAGTTGTCATATCATCAGAACATGATGCCAAATATTGTCCACTGGGATCCCACCGCACAGCATTGATTTCATCTTCATGGCCAACCCATTTTTTCAGTGGTTCTGTTGATCCTACTCGACATACATAGATCGTTTTATCCGATGAGCATGAAGCAAAGGTTGTATTATCCATCCAATCCACGTCTAAAATAGCCACTAATATCGTCATGAAAGAAAAAAAAAAGGATGAAAAATCAACCACATGTTTCTATATATATATATATATATATATATATATGACTTACATGAATGTAATTCAAATTGTTGTTTCATTTCACCAGTTTTTGGATCCCATACCACCGTAGTTGTATCAGCACTACCACTAAGTACCAAATCACCTTTCATATTCCATTTCAGTGAGAAAATTGGTCCTCGATGTTGTTCCATTACAAATCGAAGTTGTCCTTTTTGAGTCCAGATACGAGCTTGTCCATCGTAAGATCCTGAAGCTAATAAAGTACCAGTAGGCTTATAGCATAGAAATAATAAAGAGAATAAGTATACTTTCATTTCCACAAACACATATATATATATATATATATATGTATATACTTACATTCCAATCAAGTGTTGTTACATCCTTACTATCATTAAGATTTGGTAAATGATTCAATACGATAGGTTCTGTCGTTTCACCTTTAGCATCAGGTACTTTCCATAATCTTGCCGTTGCATCACCAGATCTAAGAAAAAAAAATCAAGATTGTGTTGTTGGTTTATACCCTTCCCTTTTTTTTTCCTCTTTCTCTCTCTCTTACCCAGAGGCCAATAGGTTGGAAACGATAGGATTCCAAGAACAAGAAAACACTTCACTTTGATGTCCAGTCAAGATCACAGCATCGGAAGAATCAATAATAGTAGGTTGTGTTGTTGGTACTAATTTCTCGGACTTTGGTTGTTCTATTCATAAATAAAATAAAATAAAAGAAAAAAGAAAAAGGATCAGATAAAAAAAAAAGTTTAATAACCCCCATTCACGTATTTCTAATTTACCGTCACCGCCTGCAGTGGTTGAGGATTCTTCTTTTATAGTATGACCATTAACTGTTGATGGTGGTTCTGCTGTTGATGATAAAGCTGCTGCTGTTGTTGTTGTTGCTGTTGTTGTTGTTGATGATGATGATGATGGTAATGATGATACTGGAGGTACGATCTCGGTCTGATCCAATTGTGATGATGTTGGTGGAACTGGTATTGATTCTACATTTTCCATAGTATCATCCTTTCTTGGTCGTTTTTCCCGTTCTTTCTTTTCTTTGCGATCCTCTTTTCGTTGGCGTTTGGTACTCGGTGTAGGTGAAGATATTTGTGGTTGTTCTCGATAACTATTACCGGTTAAATCACATTCATGATGTCCTAATAGAGAGAATGGGGCATTACATTCGACTAATTCACCTTCCTAATGATATATATAAAGAAAATTATTAAACATAATAAAGTTTGAATAACATTTCTTTTAACTTACTTCGTTCATATGAGCTTCAATATCCATAAATTGTAATCCTTTGTGAATCACATTGATAAGCATCCCAGGTTGAATGGTGGCATCACGATATATAGATTTTTCTACTTGACTTTCGTATTGAAAAGCGAATGAAGAGTGGCGAAATCCTAAGTGAACGAATAATATATAAAGTTAAGTTAGGAATATTTTTTTTTCTTTTCATCTAAAAAAGAAAAAAGACTATTAGATTCACACGTTTTCCTTACCGGATTCTTGTAAGTATCTATATACTATAGCATTGACTTCTTCACTTGTAAGTGTCATGACAGTACTGTTTTATCGCGTTCGTATATATTATGAATAATATAAAAAGAAGAGCTGGAAGGTGATAATAATAATAATAATAAAAACAATAAGACGGTGTGATTTTTTTTATAGACAAGAGTACTGGATCAAGCGTAAAAAAAACTGGAATAAGATAGATTATTTCCTTTTTTTAATAAATTAGTGTTTACAAAAAAAAAAAAGATGAATAAAAAAAAAAAGAAAAAGGAAAAAGAAAAAATAAAAAAATAAAAAAAATAAAAAATAAAAAAAAACCCTCTTACAAAAAAACCATGACGATTTTATTAGTGTGGAGTTCAAATTCCTAAAAAAAAAAAAGAAAGTTGTTAAAAAAGCCCTGGGGGTCGCAATCTTGTCCGGAAAGAAAGAAAGTTTTTAGATCCCAGCTTTGACTTTTTTCTCTTTCTTTTTTTTTTTTTTTTTTTTGTATTTCTTCTTTTTCTCTTAAAAAAAAAAAACAACTTCATTTATACTATCATGTCCTTTGTCCCTCTTCGTCAAGTCGCCATTCGGTCTGTTCGCCAAACATTCGTGAGTTCTCGAGTATCCACTCCTTTCTCTTCTATCCATCGTACATATTCTGCTACTACTGAAAAACCTCCTAGTGCTGATGATGCTGACAAAAAACCTGAAGAAGCCACTGTCAATACTGAAGAACAACCTATTGAAATCAGTCCTGAAGAAGAATTCAAGAAACAACTTGCTGAAAAGGATAAAAAGATTTCTGAACTTCAAGTAAATCAATCAAAAGAAAAAAAATAGACCGGGGGTGGATATTTTAACTCACTTTTATATATATATATATATATATATAGGATGCTTATTTACGTTGTTTGGCCGATCAAGAAAATATTCGGGAACGTAGTCGCAAAGAAACAGCTGCTGCAAAGGAATTTGCCATTCAAAAGTTTGCAAAGGATTTATTGGATACAGTGGACATTTTAAACATGGCTTTGACTTCTGTACCAGAACCTTTACGCTCCAAGGAAACCGCTGAAGCTGAAGCTGTCAAATCACCTGTGAATTTGGCTGATCAATTGTCCAACTTGTATACCGGTGTCTCTATGACTGAAACTGAATTGGTCAAGACTTTGAAACGTCATGGTGTGGAACAACATAATCCTGAAGGTGAAGTCTTTGATCCTAATCTCCATCAAGCTCTTTTCCAAGCCCCTATGCCTGACAAGGATGCCGGTATCATCTTCTCTGTACAAAAATTGGGCTATACTCTCAAAGGTCGTGTCTTACGTCCTGCTCAAGTAGGTGTGGTTGCTGAAAAAAATTAAAAGAATCAAAAAAAAGGTGACCCAAGGGACGATTTTTGTTAGTTAGTCGTGTATAGGCATTTATATGTAGTATAGATTGTTTTAGTTATAGTCATTTGTTATATAGATTCTTTTTTTTTTTTTTTTGTTTTTTTACTTACTTTTCCTCCCCTCTCTCTTTTATCATTACTATTTTATTATATTATATACGCAATAAAAAAAAAACAATTTTTATTATACTTCTCATATTCTTTTCTCTCTCTCTCGTTTTTTTTTTTTATTATTATTACAACTATCATTATAGATACCTCATGGGACTTGGTGAAAATGGTTGACTATAAGAAGTATTTGCTCAAAAACTGAAAAGATTCCTTAACAACATCTTATAAATAATTGATTCTCTCTTCAATAATACATTCATTATGCCTTTTTGTATACCCTTTAGTAAACAATCAATCGGTTTGAATATCAAGGTATCCCATAATGCCTTTCTTTTATCCGAAAATGGCATGGGCGGAATTTCTATACCCCACATTATTTTTTTTTCCCTCTTCTTTCATTGCTTCTCTTTTTTCTTTTGTTTTACGAAAAGCAGCTATAACAAACAATGTCGCTGGCCGATGCTTTTACAAAACTTCGTACTATCTACAAATTACGTCAACATGATAGTACTGAATACCTTTCAAATAATTGGTTCATCATAGCGGTAAGTCAACAATAATAAGGAACCTTCAACAAAAAAAAAAAAAAAAAAAAAAAAAAGGTTAAATAATACTTACTAATATACTATTGTTTTTCTCTATATCAGGCAGTGGTGATTAGTACTTTGAACCATCCTGAAGATATCCAACAACTATATGCATTGATTAATCTAGATATCGATACTATGGAAACTCTGTCTTCTGATGAAAAGCTCAATTTGAAAACCAAGGTGGTGGCGAAACTAAGGGATGCTATACTCAAAGGTTTTATTGCAGGAGGTTTTCCAAAGGTAAAATAAATAAAAAACAAAAAAGATAGAAAAAAGTGGAAAGGGGAAACTCGTTTATATTATAAATATTTATCTGTATGCAAATAGAGATTTGGAAGGTGGGATACTTTTAAATTGAATATTCATTATTTCTTATAGACAATCAATGGACTTCAACAGCTACACAAAGCAACCCCAGAAGCTATCTTAGACCGACTACCCAAGCAACCTATAAGACAAGAAGATACATGGGAAAAAGTGACAGCACAAAGACAACGTGGAAAGAAACTTTTTGATACAATTTATGACCGACATACCGACCGTGTTATGAACATGATGGCCACCAGTTACCCCGATCTTGCACAAACGGCTCATTATCATCTCTATGGTTCTGTTTTATCCGACACTACGACTGTTTCAGCAAAGGAAACAAGTTTGATTGTTGTGGCCGGTTGTTTTGCTCAAAATTTACCTTCTCAACTTCGAGGTCATGCTTATGGTGCTGTACACAATGGTGCCTCTCAACAAGATCTTCAACAAGTCTATGAGTCAGTCGTTGTCCTTTGCCGCCATTATGGAACACCTGTACCCTTGATACCTCCTCCAATCGAAAGCAAATTATAGAATAGTATATATAGAATTAGTTTGTATATTATTGATAGTTTTATTTAAAATCTTTAAGTAAACCATCTTTACACATGATTGATCTTATCATCAATAGGATTCTTTTTATTATTATTATTATTATTATTGTTATGAATCAAATTATCATTCAATCTCTTCACAATAGTAAAGGGCTTAGTATTTATTATCAAAAAAAGTAGGTTATGTGTTTTTTTTTTTTTTAGTAGATACATGTAAATGAAGATTTACCTTCTCACGTGAAGGAACTGGTAACGGGATTTACAGTACCAGGATACTGGATGAATACCTTTTATCATCATCTTGCATTTTCACAGGTATTAAACATACAGATTTCCTCAATCTAACATTTCAATGAAAAAAAAAAATCATCCAGTATCCTTTTTTTTTTTTTTTTTTTTAGAGTGATCATTCGAAAAACAAACGATCGTCTTCGTTTGCAACAAGACATCCAACCAGAGGGTGACAAGGTCTATTCATATATATATGTATATAAATATGGTAACCGTCTTCTGATCTACCGCGATGTCAGATCATAACAAAAAGGGTATGATCGATCATCGATCTTGTATATAATACACAGTTAGTGTATCTTTACTAATGTAACCGGCGAGGGAGTGTGCAATGATTGAACCGAATTCTTTTTTTTTTCTTTTATCGATTTAATAATATACAAATAAGGGGATATCCTTTGCTTTCTTCTTTTTTTTTCACAAATTCATCAGGAACTAACAGCCATGCCTTTGATCAAGGTTCTTTCTAACATTCGCAATATCTACAAGGTGAATCTTTTGACAAGTAAGAAGTACCTTACCAATAACTGGTTCACAGTATCGGTATGTCAAACGATCTAACCAATTTTTTTTTGTATGCAATATTAACAATAAGCACCTGCTCATCATTTCATTTTCTACAGACTGTTGTGATTACTGGTTTAAATCGTCCCAATGATTTAAAACATCTGATGACGATGATGGATGAAGATATTGAATCTATGACAGATCTACCAACCTATGAGAAGAAACTTCAATTCAAAGCTAAAATCATATCCAAGCAACGAGATACTATTTTTAAAGGTCAAATTGCCTATGGTATACCAAAGGTATGGAGAATATATTTATATATATTAGATGATGTTACGTTCTTATCTTTTTTTTTTTTTTAAAAAAAAAAAGGCAATAAATGCACTTGGAACATTATATGATCTAACACCTATTGAGGTTCGTGACATTTTACCTACAAGTCCCATTCGGCCAACCCAGATATGGCAAAAGATGATAGAACAACGGCGACGAGGCAGAGAATTGTTTGACAAGATTTATCATCCTAATCCCGACAAAGTGATGAATGAACTTAATCTCCTTTATCCAGATCTTCATCAACTTTGTTATGACTATGGATATGGGTATATCTTGTCAGAACCCTCAGTGATTTCAGACAAGGAAACAAGTTTGATTTTATTGACAGGATGCCTTTCTCAACAAGTGATACCTCAATTAAATGGACACATTCGAGGTGCATTGCATAATGGCGTCTCTCATGAAGAACTTGAACAAGTCTATGATGCTACCTTATCACTTTTTGAACATTATCAAATTCCTCCACCTGAAAGACCTATCACACCTAATGTTTAATTTTAATAAAAAAATAAAAAAAAAATAAACGTTCAAAAGGACATTTTCCTATTTTGTTGATATTTTCCAATTCTGTCAAAAGAAAAAAAAAAAAGAATTCATCTCGCGTCTACTACGATGTCCATATTTGGAAATCCGTTGATGAAATTCCGTGGACGCGGTATTCTTTCCTTCTTTTTTCACTTTTTTTCTTTTTTTTCTTTCTTTTTCCTTTTTTTTTTTTTTTTTTTTTTTTTTTATTTATCATCAACATGAAAACCGATCCTAGTAGTTTATCGAATCTTACTGAAATAACAACAACTCATTTGCATTTGAATTGGGATATTTCTTTTGATAAAAAGATTATTCAAGGATATGTGGTTTTGGATTTGAAAACGTTAGTTGATAATGTCAGCAAAGTGGTATTAGACACAAGCTACCTTGATATTCATAATGTGGAATACAATAACAGCTTAATTCAGGTAAACTTAATATAACGACTTCTTTATTATAATAGTGTGTATATTCATTCATATTCTTCTTTTTTTTTTTATAGTTTAGTCTTGCTGAAAGACGAAAAGCTTTGGGTTCAGCATTAACAATCAACTTGCCTGATGTTCTTCGCGCCAACACAGCCTTTCAACTCAAAATCATGTATGCAACAACAGAAAAATGTACTGCTGTTCAATACTTGACTCCTGAACAAACTCTTGGAAAGAACCATCCTTATCTCTTCTCTCAATGTCAAGCCGTAAGTCAGTGATGAACAAATAGAAGAAATGAAATGAAACTTAACTCTCTTTGTTTTTTTTCCCTTTCTTTGTAGATTCATGCTCGTGCGTTTATTCCTTGTCAAGATTCTCCTTCTATCAAGTTGACTTATTCAGCTAATGTTACTTCTCCTTTACGAGTAATTATGTCAGCTTTGGAACGTGGTGTTTCTCACGGTGATCGTCCTGGGGTCTCAACTTATTCTTTCCATCAACCTACCACTATGCCTACTTACTTGATTGCTATTGCCTCTGGAAATTTGGAAAGTCGTGAAATTAGTCACCGGTCCAAAGTATGGTGTGAACCTGAAATGATTGAAGCTGCTGCAAAGGAATTCGAGGTAGGTAACAATAGAAAGAAGAATATAATTATAATATTATATACTGATCTCTTGTTTATAATATAGGATACAGAAAAGTTCCTTGCCGCTGGTGAACAATTATTGACTCCTTATGACTGGTCTCGTTATGATCTATTGATTCTCCCTCCTTCTTTCCCTTATGGTGGTATGGAAGTAAGTGTATATACAATATTGTTTTGTAAATTGACTGATCATTCTCTTTATCTTACAGAACCCGTGCTTGACTTTTGTTACCCCTACATTGGTTGCAGGTAAATAAGAAACAACAAAATGCTTTATACTCAAGATACATCTTTTTTTTTTTCTTTAGGCGACAAATCTGGGGTTCATACAGTGATTCATGAAATTTCTCATAGTTGGATGGGCAATCTAGTGACTACAAAAGATTGGGTATGTAATAAATATCGATATAAACTATCTTTTACTGACAGATTGTTTCTTTGTGTGATGATGATCATTAGACACATTTTTGGCTGAATGAAGGACATACCAAATTCATTGAACGAAAGATTGTGGGTCGACTTTATGGCGAACAAGAAGCTCAATTGAGCTGTATTATAGGATGGAAAGCTTTGAAAGAAAGTGTAGAACTCTTTGGAAAGGATTCATTGGCTACTGTATTGCAACCAGATCTCAGCAATGGTGTTGATCCTGATGATTATTTCTCCAGTATTCCGTATGGTAAAACACAAAACAATGCTAAACTGGTCGATTGATATATTTTTTTTGGAAAATTTTAGAAAAGGGGTTTAATATGCTTTACCATGTGGAAACAGTTGTTGGTGGACCCAAGATTTTTGAACCCTTTGTCAAATCATATGTACAACATTTTGCATCAAAGTCGATTACTACGGATGACTGGAAGAATTACTTGTATGAATATATGAGAAGGGTACATGGACAAGAAATGGTGAACAAACTGGACTCTATTGATTTTGATGCTTGGATTCATTCACCTGGCATGCCACCTATTCAACATCCGGAAACTCTGTTTGATACAACTCTTGCCGATGCTTGTTATTCACTTGCCAGCCGTTGGAATGCGTCCCGCGACAAAACCGATTTCTCTGATTTCTCTTCTAAGGATATTGAAAGTTTCACTACTGCTCAAAAATGTAAGTTACAAAAAAAAAAAAAAAAAAAAAAAAAAAAAAAAAAAAAAAAAAAAAAGAGCTCGTTATCACTATCTCTTTTGCTTATTCTTTTATATATACATGTTTTTTTTTAGCTGTGTTTTTGGAACGGTTATCTGATCAACCTAGTTTTCCTGATCACTTATTGAAGGCAATGGATGGATTCTACCATTTGACAGATGTACGTAATTCTGAAATTCGATTCCGATGGCAACTGGTATGTTTGAAGGGCAACTATAAACCTATATATCGTCATGTTGTGTCCTTTGTGACTGAACAGGGCCGCATGAAATACGTACGACCTCTTTATCGACAACTTTCTCTTGCAACCGATGGTGGTGCTGAATTGGCAAGATCAACATTTTTAGAAAACAAGGATTTTTATCATCCCATTGCTTCTCAATTAATTGCTAAGGACCTAGGATTATACTGAATATATATATACGTTGGGTAGATTAGTTTGATTTAGTTTAGTTATTTGAAAAGTAGACAAATAAAAGGAAGATGTTTTATTTATTATGACTTTATTAAATATGAAGTGCAAACAAAAAGTGTATAGAAGCATGGATAGATTGAATTAAAAAAGAAAAAAAGAGTATATTAAAGACGATAAATAAAATTAGGATCTTCTTTATCAGTCAAATCAAGCGTGATATCACGATCATCTTCTTTAAATCCAGGCTGTGCGCGTTTACGTTGATTAGCTGCCTTCATCTCCAATCGTGCTACAAACAATAAAATACAGGCAAGTAGATTACAGGCAAGATAACCACCTAGAGGAGCAAGATAACGAGGTGCACTGTTATCATTCATGAAAAATGGACCACTATTACAAAAAAAAAAAGAAAAAGATTATTACATTCATCCAAATCATTACTCCTCATTGGTTTGGTCACTTACATAAAATTGCCAACTATATAAAAAAAAAAATAGATTAGTCATGAGCAATGATGTTTCTATTTTGATGATGTTTCCTTACGAGTATAAAAGACGAGTTGTAGACCTTGATAAAAGATTTTCTTGGTATAACCTGATGCATTAGTGGCAATGGCGGTCAACAACATACAATAACCAGATCCATACTATCCAAAAAAAAAAAAAATAGATATTTTTTTTCTGTCTCTAGATCATATATATCAAAATCATCCGACTTACGACATGAATCAAAATGGTACCTAACAACTTTACTTTTCCACTAGGAATGGCCATCAAGATAATAATCCCTAGAGCAGAAACAAGAAGAGCAGTGATGGCGACATAGATGATTTCATTGAACCGACGACTAGCCCACATCACGGCACATACACCTAGGACAGAAATTGCACCATTTGGCATTTGTAAAAGAACAGCATTCATACCCTATAGAAAAAAAAAGATTGAATATTTTTTCTCCTAATCATCCTCCCATCTTACACTAAATCCAAAAGAGGCTACAATGATCGAACTATAAATGGTGAAGAATCCATTGGTGATCATCATGAACATGGAAGCAAAACAAAAACACCATAAACGAGGTTCCTTGATGGCTTCCCAAATATGATGCCATTGGAATTGTTTAGAACGTACAGCTGCATTATCACGGATACGTTCATTCACTATTTTTTCTTCTTCAGATGTCAATGATAATAATTTTGAATGAGGATGATCGATCAAGAAAAAAAACGTCACGATACCAACAAAGACTGTGATGATACCAAAAATAATAAAGATCCTAAAAAAAAAAAAGATGAGATCATTGATTTTTTTTTTTTTTTTAGTTTTTTACCATTGCCATCCATCATAACCATTGACACCTACTAGATGAGCTGAACCATAACCAATCAAACCACCAAATGTACTAGCAAGACCATTGGCAATCCATAAAGCACCAACCATGGTAGCATGTTCACTACGACGAAAGAGAGTGGCGACAAGAAGTAAGACACTTGGATAGGACCCTGCCTCAAAAAAACCTAAGACGAATCGAAGTCCACCCAATGTAGAAAAATCTCGACCTTGGGACATACATGCTAATACCACTCCCCATACCATCAATAATCCACCCAAGTATTTACCAATAGGTAATCTTTGTAATAGATATGTATTTGGAATCTTTCATCCATATTAAAAAAAAAAAAAAAAAGATGAGCTTTCCATTTTGGGCAATACTTTTTTTTTTTTTTTTTAATACCTGGAAAACAAGATAACCCAAATAAAATAAAGATCCTAAGAAATTGAATTGTGTACTATCTATATGTGCATCTGTTTTTAGACCTAACACAGCAGACATGTTCAACGTATATTTATCAATCCACTTTTTTCAAAAAAAAAAAAAAAAATAGAGTGAATCAAAATATCATTCATATGTATTTTTTTTTCTTTTTCTTTTTCTTTTTTTTTTTTTTTTTTTTTTTTTTTTTTTTTTTTTTTTTTTTTTTTTTTTTTTTTTACCTGTAAAAAAGTAATGATGCAGGCCAATGGCATAAACCGCCATATGATCTTTCGATAAAGTCGTTTTTCAGCCTCACTTTTTACAAAAGGCGTTGTTGACGGGATAGAATCCTCTAGTTCCAATTTTTCAGGATCAATGGTATCAGTCTCGATTTTATCAGTCATTTCTATCGTTCACACAAAAACAGGAAAAAGAAAAAGAAAAAGGGATGGCACATAGTTTATATATATATATTGTGTGTGTGAAAGAGCAAGCATGATGATATCAAATGCGATTTTTAAAGTTTTTCGCGTAAAAAAAGACAGAATGGCGTCAACAATGATGAATGGTAGTACATGCTCCGAGTCTCGGATGTTCAAAATAATCAAATCTTTTATTTTTCTAAAACAACAATTCTACAAAACTATACTATTCAAAATAAACCAGCAAAAGGATCCGATTTGGTAGATGATGATTGTTGTTGTTGTTGTTGTTGTTGTTGTTGCTGAGGTTGAGGCATGGAAGAGAAATCAAACAAATCTTGCATTGGAGAGGATGTGGGTTGTTGTGGTGACGGTGATGGTTGCATAAATGCGTTGCTGGAGACAGGAGAAGTCATCAATGTAGGTTGTGCTGTATTAGATGATTGATTGTATAGTTTCATAATATCATCCATACTGTTGCTAGATGTTGGTTGTTGTTGTTGTTGAGAACCTTGTCCATCAAGAGACATCAAATCTCCCATATCGTTGTTAGCCATAAGTGATGTTCCAGTTGCTGCAGGTTCATCCCAATCCAAATCCAACAAATTATCAATATCATTGTTCTTGAGTGCCTCTTGAATTTTAGGTGGTGGGGCAGTGGCATCATCTTCATCATTAGCGTGTCTATTGATTGAACAAAAAAAAAAAATGAGAATCAAGTAAAAAAAAAATAATAATAATAAAAAAAAGTAAAAGAGATAATAAGAAAAAAATGACTTACTCGCTGACAGTTCTATTGACATTGTCTGCTCCATATTTCTTGCCGGCAATAAAGGTTTCTGGAGGTTTGTGATAAACAGAAGCCAAAGTACCAATATGATACAGGAGATCATCAAGAAGAGCAGGTGATAATCCAGATCCTTCACCTACAACAGGAGGTTTATCTGACAATACCACCGCCTACAAAAAAAAAAAAAAAAAATTATATATAAATCAATACAGTTTTTTTTTTCTCGAGTTGACTTACCTTGGCTGCTTGAGGATCTGTAGATAATAATCGCCAGTAAACATAAGCACGATCACGAATATCAGCGTTATCACATTCATTGGTAGCAATTTGTAGTACACGTTGTACAAGATCTTGATTTTCATTTGGTTTCTTCAAAAATAGTTTGACTGTGGCTGTGAGAAGTTGTAATTGAACCTAAATCGATCATCATCATAAATAATAGTATCAGTCTTACATCTGTTTTTTTTTCTCTTTCTCTTCTTCGCTTTGCTTTACCTGGGCGTTTTCTTCTTTAAAGTTTTCCAAGAAACTGCTGATCAAATCATCCGCATTTTCAATACGTTCAGCATATTCACCAATGATCCAAGTCAAAGAAGCCTTTGCATCAGGTTCATCCAAAGCATCCAAATTTTCACACAGGGTAGGAATAATCCCTTCGTAAGTATGAGGGTATTTGCGGAAGATATCCTAAATATCGAAAGGAGTGATGAATATCGATATCATTATGTTTAATTACTTTCACTTACTTTGATTACGACAATGGCTTCTTGCACAACATAACTAACACCAGTATTGATCAAATCCAATAAGACATTAATACATCTTTCAGCAGCTTCTTCAATCTTGATAGCACATCGTCCAATAGCGTTGACCGATTTTCGAACAAAGTCCACATCCACTTCATTAGCGTATCTATAAAATGAAAACCATTTAAATCTAATGAAATTTTTTTCTTATCAATCACTTACTCTTTGAGTTCACTTAGCAATTGATCCACATTACGATCATTACAGAGACGAATCATGATCTCAAGTTTTTCCAATTTGACATAGGGAGGATCATTGTATTTGCAAAAGAAAACACGCATTTCATTGCTGAGAACTTCAGGACGTCGTTGTAAAACCAGATTGATATTTCGCAAGGCAATATATTGTACTTCAGGAGGACTAGACAATAAGGTCACTATAAAAAGTTGGTTAGATCATACTGGATTGTTTTATTATTATTTTTATTTTTACCCAAAGGAGGAGCCATTTTTCTACACAAATTTTTGATAATATTGCCATCCTTGAGATAACGCATATTGATCATAAGAACCTAAAATAGTAATAATAATAACGATATGAGTGATAAATTTGATATAGAGACGTTATTCCTTTTACCTTGACCACGGCTAATACTACGGCACCATTCGCATGTTGAAGTCTTGGCAAAACACGTTCACATACACTTTCAGCTTCTTTGGTTGAGGTCACTTTGTAATCGGCAAGAGCCGTCAATATAGCAATTTGTCCCCATCTATATATAAAAAAAAAAACAAGTTTCATGAGTAACTTTATCATTTACTAAGCATCCTGACTAACTTACTCTGTACATTCATTCAAAGCATTTAAAAGTTTGTTGAGTGTACTGCCATTGATGACAAAGATATCCTTCTTGTTGGAGATTTCGTGTATATCAGCCAAGGCAACAACAGCATTAGCCACCACCATGGGATTGATATCAGATACCATTTCCTTTACATCCTTTACAAAATCTTGTTCCACTGTAAGTTCGGGATTCAGTTCGTATAATTTGGCAACACATAGAGCAGCAGTTTTTCGTACATAGGGGTTTTCATCCTAATGAAAAATAAAGTATATAGTTTATTCTTTCTGTTTTGATTCATTTAATTATTACCTTTAAACATTTTCGAAGAGGTTCAGTCAAATAGTCCATGATTTTATCAACACGTAAACAACCCATAGTACGAATAGCCAAAGCGCGAATCAAAGGATTTGGGTCGTCCGAGTCTTTAACAAAAGTGTTGACAGCAAGAATGACAAGTTCAGGTTGTGATTTGGCGTAGTTCATCAAGTAGAGATAGACCAATTTCTTGAGTTCAAGGTCTTCAGTTTGCATATTCTTCAGTACATCCGGGAATAGTCCTGATACATCCTTCCCGACTGTCATATTGGCTATCACCTTTTTCACCGCATCCTTTCGTACATGTCGATATTCACTATTCAATTCAGCCTTGAGTTCATAGTTTTCACCTAAAAATAATAATAATAATAACAATAACAATAATAATAATAATAATAACAATAACAATAATAATAATAATAATAATAATAAAGAAATAGTTAGTTATGACACATTTCAATGGAAAGAAAACAAGATGAAAAGAAAATGACTTTTATCTTTTCATCTGTAGTTGTTTGTTCATCCTTTTCATTCGAGCATTCTTTTGTTTTCTATTCATACCTTTCTTGTTGGTTGTAAAAAACTTTGGTCGATTCATTCTACAAAGTTATATAAATACGCAAAAAAAAGGAAAAAAGGTTTTGGAGAAGAGAAAAAAAAAGAAGAGATTGCCAAAATTTTGAGTTTGTGTCGAAAATATTAGCGGAGTTCAGTTCCCAATTGATATCCTCATAGTTTTACAAACTGAGACAAACAGTAAAAAATAATCTAACATGATGAAAAGGAAAATAGTAATATGAGAGAGTCATGGTGTACAAGTTTTTGAATTTAATTGACTTGCTTATTCCTTATAGATGATGATATGATGACAATAACTGTGTAGATTCTGCTGAACGACTGTACCTTTTTCTTTTTCTTTTTTTTTTTTTTTTTTACGCGTACATAGATATCATGCATCAGTAGATCAGTAGTAGCACAATTAAGTTGTCTACTGGATATTATAGTTATGTTATCCATCATTATTTTTCTTCATGTAAACGTTTTCTTACTACTGCCATTTATCGATCATTCATGATTGTTCCTATTCAACATATATATATATATATATATATACGTGTGTGTGTGACAAAACGTGTACGCGTCTGTGTAGTTGTGATTACGACATCTTGTTACTGAATCAATAATCATCTTTGTACGTAATAACAAAAACCTGAAGTGTTTGGATTTTTCATCAACAATCAGATACAATTATACCCCGCGGATCCCTTCATATATAATAGAAAAAAGAATACGGAGTATTAATTCAACCTGGATTACCTGTCTATATTAACCTTCTTTTGGCTAAATATACAAGTAAAAAAAAGAAAAAAAGAACTTCCAACTTTTTTTTTTGTCTTTCTTTTTACACTTGATTTTCTTTCATTAGTTCATTACTGTTATCGTAGTTCCCCTTCAAGCGGATACATCATATACATGATGATGGCACAACAGAATGATAATAAAACATCCATTGAATCATCCCATAACGCGACCAATCAAATAAACGAGGATGATGATCATATCGTTATATATATTTATTCGCCCAATTCATCTAAACAAAGTCATTTAGAATCCATTCTCCATGAATTTGATTCCCGCTGCACGTAAGTAAGGATCTTTTTTTTTTTTCTTTTTTTGGCGGTTGGATTGACATTGACAATTTCATTTTTTTTTATTTTTTTTTTCATTTAAATAATAAGCGTGACTTATTACAGTACTGATGATGATGATCAAAGAATTCATAGTGAAGGATTTACCAAGGCTGTCATTGGGTCAATACGATTTCCCACGACGTTTCAAGGTACAATTAAAAGCTTCTTTAAACAGTAAACTTTTATACTCATTCTCTCTCTCTTTTTTTTTTTTTTGTTTCAGCTGAAAGAGCATATGCATTTTTGAATGGAACTCATTTATCAACAAAAGAATGTAAAGATAACGTCATGATTGAGTTAAGATATAATCCATTTTATCAACAAATGAAGGACGAAGATATTTATCCATTGATAATCCAATCTACTACAGAATCGTCATTATCATTGCTAGAATTATATGATATCTGTCGCAAATATGGACCCATTACTCAATGTATCCAATCTATTGTTGAAAGTAAAAAAGTGATCATTCATTATCTCTATAAAGAAAATGCTATTCAAGCTCAGGATCAATTAGATCTTTCCTCATTGGGTGACAGATTATCAATGTAATGAAAATGATACCTTTCAATCCTTTTAATTTAATTTAATAACTTTGTTTTTTTTTCTTTATTGTAGAACAGTCAAACTAGATTCTCCTGTGAAAAGAAAACCGGGTTCATTCCCCGAAGAGGTCTTTTATTTTTTTTTTTTTTTGACCTGAAGTTAATCCTTTCTTTCCTTTTTTTTTTTTTTTTTTTTTTTTATCATAGATTCGAGCCAACCAAAAGAAAACTAGCAGTAAGAAACGAATATCATACCATGAACAGCAGTATCAACCTTTACGTGTGGAAATCAAACCAACAATGGATTTATGCAATTTATATATCAAAGGTTTATCCTTGGCCATGACCAGTACCGAACTCTTCAATCTCTTCAAACCTTTTGGCCGTATCATCAGTGCACGTGTGATGGACTCTGATCGTGGTATTTCAAAAGGATTTGGTTTTGTCAGTTTCAGTCATCCTTTAGAAGCAGCATCAGCTTTAGTTCATTTACATCGACAATACAGTATTCAGTTCCATGAACCCAAGATGACAAGACCTGATCATGATATTTTACAACAATATTGGTGTTTGGCTCATTCCTCTCTTGCTCCTTATTTTTATCCTTCTTCGTCTTTCCCTTCTACATCTTCTTTGGTTTCAACTACCACTGATCCTACCATGATACCTTATTATCTTTATCCATCACGTCATTATCCTTATCCTCCTTCTACTCCCACTTCTTTTTATTATCCACCTACCCATTCTTATTACGCGTCTTCTTTTCCTCCAGCTGCAGATATTTACATGTCACATCAGTACCTTCCACCACCTTTACCACCAATACAACAACAACAACAGGATCAAGTCATGACTGGATCATCATCTCATGTCACTCCACGAACTCGGATGCAATTAGCGGTACAACAAGCACTAGTCAATGATAAGGAACAACAAACTATGGTGGATATGATGATGATGTTGGATCAAGCTGAACAACAAAAATGTCTACAAGATCAAGCTTATTTGAAGGAACGTTTAGATGAAATCCGTCAAAGTCGATAACATACTTTAGTGTAGATAATAACAGTGAATAGTGATTTATCTTTTTTTTTTTTTTTGAATATATATATACTATCTTTTATATTATTGATATTATTATCATTTATAAATAAAGATCAACTACAATGTTTTATTAGATAAAAGAAAAGGAATGATAAGGACAAGGCCAACCAGTGTATATTTCTTCAAGGCAACAAGGAGGAAGGGGAGATTGTAATTGATCTGAAGGTCGTAGAGTAAAAGGATCCAACCATGACATGGATTCTGAAGACCAATAAGGAGAAGGGCCATGTTGCGTACTGGTCGCATGATCAAGCCATGACGGTTGTTCATTATCGGGTTGATTTATGCAATGGGAAGGTGCTTGGATTGGTTTTTCCTCTTGTTTTGGATGACGTTTTCTTTTTTTCTTTTTTGTTGGATGAGATGAGGTTTTTCGTTTTCCTTTGGCACGATGATTTTGAAACCAAGTGGTGATGATCCGACGTGTAGTGCCTATGGTATCCGCCACCGCTTGCAATTTATCCGTAGAAGGATTCATGTCTTCTGTATATACCGTTTCCAAATAATCCACTTCCTTTGGTGAGAAACGTCGACGGGACTTGATGATCGGTGACCATGATCGATGAGAGCCATTATCATCATCATCATCATCATGTTCGTCGGTAATATTTAATTCACTGTTCGTTCTTTCTTGTCGCTTTAAATGATGTGAGGTGTCTTGACTGCTTTCTCCTTTCATAGTAATAAATCCCCTTTCTTCTTTTCTTTTTTTTTTTTAAAAAAAAAGAAAAGACTATGGTTTCAACTTTTATTTCTGATGTTGGATAGAAATGGAACAAAAAAAAGATAGAATAAAAAAAAATAAAAGAATGAAAAATCGATTGAAATATAACGTTTAAATCCTTTATTGAATGCATATTGATGGAGTCCCTTCTTTTTTTTTTTTTTTTTTTTTTGCTGGTTGTAGTGTGATGAGATAGGACATGCATCAGAGAAATAATATAAATGATAAATTTTTTTTTATTATTCTGTTTTCATCAAAAGATAAACTATATTAATATATATAAGTATCTATATATGGGAATCATAGTAAATGTACACTATATGAATAACTAACTAACTAACTGAAGAAAAAAAAAAAAGATATCAAGCCATGGATGTCATGGAAATTTGTACGTTGAGAATCCGCCGACATAACAGATGGAATACACAAGCCCACACCCAAGAATAAAACAAAAGATAAGTTCCAAGTACTAAGCCAAAAGATATAAGGATCATCCATACAAAACAACAATGAAGCCAAGAGTAACCAGGAGAATGCTTCCTCGGAATGACATCCAGGTACAAGATAGCATGAATCATCTGTAAAGTCCGCTCTGAGCCAATGATACCAGACACACCCACGACATAGACCAAACCAAGGAGTGCTTCACCCGCCAATGCTGTAACGAAATGAACCAAGTTTAACCAATCTGCTATTTCTTGCATTTCATGATCTTGCCAATTTTCATCACCATCCAACTTTGCCCCCATTTCGTTCCCTAATCCTAATTGATCCAATGACCTACCTAGAAACGATAGACCATACACCAAGCCCAATACAGATGCTAAACTCAATAAGTGTGCACAACCTACCATCACTCGCACCCAACCTAATCGCCAACGGATTCGATAGTTGTTGTATCCACAGTTGCCACATGCATCACCTAGTTTATCTGTCGTCGTATTGATCACTGCTAGACAAGATCCATGAACCTGACGTTGACCACATGTACAAGTTGTGATCCAGTATATGCGACGTTGATATTGAATAAGATAGGGTCCCATAGCTGTTGCTTCTAATAATGGTTTTTTGTTGGACAATGGGGGAGGGTCATGACGAAGACATAATAAACATTGTCGACGGCGTTTCTTGTTCCTTTTTTGTCCAGTAGGCTGGGCTGATTCTATTATACTTGTTCTTTCAATGGTTGCTATTTCAGTTGTATCTGTGGGTATTGTTGCTTCTGTTTCCATTATGGTATTTGTTATTGGATAAGGTGGTGGTTCTGTATTCATTACAAAAAGGTGAAGATAAATCGAAACGTCATGAATATATCTTTGGAAGAATAACCAAACAAAATCAAACACAAAACAAAAAAAGAAAAAGAAGTTCCTTTCGCTCCTTTTTTTTTTTTTTTTTTTAAGAAAGAAAAAAAAAGAAAAAGAAGAGACATTTTGGGAGCATTTGGCTAAAAATAAAAAGGAGGACTGGAAGACGGAATTCGAATAAAGCAAATATGCTTGAATTTTTTTTTTCTTTCTTTCTTCTCCTTTTATTTCTTTATTATATGATCATGTTTTACACAAGTCCTTGAGGAATTCACTATTTCTCTTTGTATTGATATTTTTCATTAGTAACTATCGTAAAAGAAGATAAAGAAAAAGAAATGATAAGAAAAACATGCACATATACGTATGAACTGAATAATAATTCTTTTAAATATTTTTACCAAACAAGTAGTGCAAGATGGAATCAATTGTTGACTTCCTGGTGCTTGATATACTTTGGCTGAAGAGTCTAAAGGTTTATGACAAGAATGACAAGCAAGACAATGACGATGCCATTTAGCAGCACGGGGACCTGTACGCTCTTCATGGACTGACACAATACGTTCTTGACAACCAGGACATACTTTCACGGTACCAAATTGTGGCAATGGACGATATACTTTGGATTTCATCAATTGAGAAGGTTGAAATATAGTAGTTTCTGTTGGTGCAACCATGGTATCAATATGTGGTGAAGATGGTGATGATGTAAGTGACGTTGATAAGGAAGAAATGGATGAACATGATGACATGGATACAGATAACGTAGGAGAACTATTATTAGGGTATTTTAGTTGCAAGATAGATCTTTCTAGATCATATGGTTGGGGTACAATTTTCCATTGACCGTCGTTTGTGATGGTATGTTGATCTTCTGGGAAATGGGCTTGATGACATGGTCGACAATAGATTTGATCATGATTGTTTGGTTTTGGATCCTTATGGCAATAGATACTGGCAGATTTCAAAACAATATCACAACCAGTACATCGGAAACACTATAGGTAAAAAAAATAAATAATAATGAAAAAAAAAAAAGATCAATGATAAAAAAAAAAAAGGATTGATACTGATATTTTTTATCTTTAATTTAGTTTACTTCCAAATGTAATATCGATGTATGGATAGACAAATACTTTTCAAGAATAGGATATTGACATTTGTCACATGTTTTCTCCACCACTGGCGAGATGGCTGCACACTATGGAATTAAATAGGATTAGATTAGGAAGAGTGATGATTAGATATTATTAGATTAGATTATATTATTTGTTATTACTTTGGGATGATAAACTTGACTTTGTGAATTCAAATAAACTTCAGTGGAAAGAAATGGTTCTTTACACTCATGACAAACCAGACAAGACCAATGATATTGATTATTATCATTACTATTATCGTCATCATCAGGTAATTGGACTATTTTACCGGAAAGTAGTTGATGACAATGAGAACACGTTGAAGCAGTTCGGGTTGATTTTTTCTTATGAGTGTCTGGTACCAACGCTGGTAAGATTGTATTCCGTGGTATTCTTCTATTCATGAATGGTGATGGACGTTGTTGTTTCTTATGGATAGTACATTCTTTTACTTTATTCACGACATCATCGACATATTTACTAGTATGAATTAGAAATCAGATGAATAGGTTCTTTTTTTTTTTTCTTTCTTTTCTTATTACCTCGATTGCCAACGGTCTACATTGGATATTCGAGAGATAATGGATGAATCTAATTTATATATCGGGAGATTAAATGATGAGTACGCATGATTTTTTTTTTTATCATTTTGTGGATACCTACTTGAGATCAAGGTAGTTCCACACTTTAAACATTTCTCTGTTCTTCCTAATTCTCCACAGCGTTGACAGTATGACATGACTCTTCACTCTTAAAAAAAAAAAAAATCAATGTCCACTTTCTATATAATTTATATAGGTTGGATATGATTGAATCACAGAAAAAAGATACAAGGAAAGAAATAATAAGAATAAAGAAAAAAAAAATAAACGAAGCATCAATGTTTTTTTTTTTTCTTTTTGGTATTCGGGGACATTTCAGATTGGACAAGTAAAAAGTCTTTCTTTTTGATTTGTTTGCCCCTACATTCTTATATATGAATAATATAAATTCCATTTTCGGATTCATTTTTTATTGGGTAATGTTGTTAAATTATATACACTTTTATTATTATTATCAGTTTTCAACCAAAATATAAATACAAATATCATCACTAATCTACTCTAAACACTAATAGTAGTATGTTCCATGGCATCCATCACATTTCTTGCATTGGTATAATAGTCCTTTTCCTTTTTCATCATCCAATCAGGTACAATCATAGGATCAAGAGTAATACTGTCTGAAAGATCATCAGGAATGGTAGGTGGTTGTATAACAGGAGTTTCCATCAGACTAAATACATGGAACCATAAAGCATCTGGATGATGTTGATAGAGTGCCAGATAAAGTTGAATGGTAAGATCTTGCAATTCTTGACGTACTCGTCGTCGTGATAAAAGCCATGTTGTCGCTTCCGCCATAGCAAGTGCCACTTGTTGAGACATGTGAATATGTAAAGCAGCAAGAATCAATGTTTTTAATATACAGCGTTGTAGGCGATGAGGATAGGAGTAAGTGGAGTAAATGGGCGTGGAGGATGTTGTCATGTGTTGTTTTGCTTGGGCTAGGTGTGGTTCAAATCGTGGCCATACATTTTCTACAAATCGTCGAGAGATAAATTCACCGCTAGTTTCTGTTAGTGCTTGGACAAGTTCAGCTGCATAGTACGCTACATAATGTGTCGGATCATCCAGTCGATGCATAATAAGAGGCCATACTTGGTGAATCAGAGGGTCCAACTTATCCGTTCTTGCCGCCAAAATACGAGTGCCACTGGTGAAGAGTTGGAGCATTTGCGCCTTCAGTTGTCCAGAGGGTGATGTCAAAAAGTGAATAGATTTGGTCATGATTTTCAACGTCAGATCTTCCATATTAGAAAGAGGGATCACTTCGTCTGTCGGATGGTCATCGTCATTTTCCTTATCATCATCCATCATTCCCTTTCCAGCCTTTTCAGTTTGTGCCATCAATTCCAGGAGGTCTTTGTCTTGTTTTCCAGCTTTGCGTTGATCCATGAAAAACTTGCCGATCTCTTCCATAGTTGTAGGTGTATCATTCGTTTTGTTTTCATTCGATGATGCATATTCTTTTTGTTGTCGGATAAAATCAGCGATCGCAGGGGATATTTGTATGTTGCTAGTACCTTGAGAACCTTTCGTTGTTGTTGTTGTTGTTCTTGATGATGATGATGATGATGATGATGGTATTGATGCTGCAGCTGTTTGTACAATTTCAAATAATGTCCCACATAGCTGATGACATGCCCAATCATGTAAATGGTATCGATCCAGAGCATCAAAAATTTCTTCCACAGAATCTTGCAAATAGTTCAAGGTATCAATACCACCAACACGGACCAAAGCTTTAAGTACCAAAGGAGCCTGAGGATTTTCATACAAGAAGGAGATACGTTGTGAGATAGCATTGATGATATAATCCATATTTCCCATTGCCAGCAATCGACCATTTTGTTTACCACAAACAATTGCAATATTGTCCAGTGAGATCAGAGCATAAGTGTGAATTGAAACATTTGTCGAGCCGAGATGTGCCAAAACGGGATAAAGTAATTTGATCAAATGTTCTTCAGTACGATCACGACCAATAATATAAGCTGCTAAACTAATGATTTGTAAACCCAAACATATAGTCACCACCTTGTTCCCTTCCAATTCTATCGTTGTTGAGGGGTTGCCAGAAGTTGTAAGTTTTGTTGATTTCTTAGCCTCTTTGCTCTTGTTGACTGTAGTTGTCATTGCTGTCAATGTTTCTGTCATGTCCGTCAAAATACGATGAGCTTGTTTCTGTAATTCCAATGTTGTAGTTTTTGTTGTTTCTTGAGTATCGCCAGTATTATTTTCTTTGTTATCATAGAGTATAAATTCTCCCACAGTTGTTTGAGATCCAGGTAATGTCATCGTACTTGTCACAGCTCCAGCCAAGAGAGAATGTATAATGAATGCTGCTTCAGGTTGAACTTGATCTAAAGATATTTCCTCATCATCCACGTGAATGTAAGCCATAAAGTGAGTAAGCCATCGTTGAAGAGGTACAAACTGAGCTATAATGTTGAGCATATGTGTCGCTTGTTCAGCTGTTGCTGTAGTAACCAAATGTTTGAATCGTAATGCTGGAAATGCAACTGTCCTAAGCGATCGCTGTTGTCCTTGTTGTAGTTGTTGTTGTTGTTGTTTTTGTGTTGAAATTTCATCATCTCCAAGTTCAATATATCGTGTTGATTGCTTTTCCTCTAGTACGTTCAAACTATGTTTGTCGATTTCCAACGCAGCCATCCATCCGTCTGAAATTCGATTGAGTGCAGCATCAAAAACAGTTCCAGCGTGGTGTTGCAAAAAGTAGGTATAACCAGTGATTCGTCGCATGGCATATAATTTGCTTTGTTCATCACCAGAGATCAGATGTTGAGGTAGAGTCATCATGGCTGTATAAAGTCCTTCTTTCAAATCAGGCATCAATGAAGTTTCAAAGTCATACATACAATTGAGATCGCTAATGTGCTGTTTGCAAGTCGAAGCCACTTGAGGGTATTCATCATCCACCAATTGAACTACCGTGTTGATAAAGAGAGGGATACAGTTGTCCAAGGTTGCCCAACATTTCTTTAGTAATTTGTAACACAGGTCGACAAATGCCAGTCGCACTTCCCAATGAGGATGATTGCAAATTTTCAATACACCTTTCAGTAAGTTGTAGAGAGCCTCTTTCGTTTGCTTGTACCGTTCTTGTGTCCAAATGGTCGATTTTGTTGATTGCTGTTCATCGGTTCCACTATCAATCTTGTTTACACCTGTTGATATATCATCCTTTTTCTTGTTGTCATTTTCGTCATCTTCATTGCCTATAGACATTGTTTGCCAAATATGTTTCAAATCTTCCAAAGAATGTACACTGTCGAGAAAATCCTTATTCCTGCTGATTTCCATGACACATTGTACCATATTGCTAATAATATCCAGTGCATAGATGATCACCTGATGATGCTCCTTTTCTTGTTTTTGCCATATCACTTTGCATAGGGTTGATGTCACACCTGGTAAAAAAAGAGAGAGATAATCAGGTTCTTGTAGATTGTCGAATAATAATTGATGAAGGGTATCGAGTGCTGCAAGTCGCAAGGTAAGATCGTGATCACGTTGAATAATGGCAAGCAGTTCTAATACAGTCTCACTCAGGATATATTTGAAGGGTTCAGAATATAATACTGGTAAGAGATGAATGTTGTGGTGTTGAGGTTGATCAATGGCTGCTGTTGATATTCGAGAAGGAGGAATTGGTAAAGAAGCAGAAATACATTGAATTGCAAGTAATTTGATAGAATCTGTCGCCCCAGAAGTAAGTGACCTATCGCTTTTGTTGTTGTTATTGTTGTTGTTGTTGAATCGCTTAAGACAATTGGTATAGAGTACAATGGATTGTTTTGACATGGAATTGCTGAATGTACATGACCATAGCGTGTTGTTCAGTAGGAAACGTAGACAATGTAAAAGACCTTCAAAAACGGTATCAAAATAAAGAGAGTCTTGGACTACTTCCTTGAACAATCGGAAAAGAGGATAGAGGATGGCATCAATAAGGACAGGATCAATAACTGCTTCAGGATCGGACACACTTTCCAGTTTGTGCAATAGTTCAGTAAGACAGGATGTAGCGATCCTACCAAAGTCGCGTGTCATAGACCCAGTATGTTTAATAAGTGGTTCACATATGATCTTGATTTCCATATATAGTTCACTTCTAGTATGAACAAGTTGTTCGTCCAAAACTGACATTGTTCAACGGAAACAATAAAACACTTTGCAAATAATTGTATTGGTTAAAGAGAGAGAGAGAGAGTGGAAAAGAGTTTTTGACGACATTGATTGAAAAAAAAAAAAGTCGGTGCTTCAAAACCTGATTTTTTTTTCCACTGTTGATAAAAAAATGGGGGATTTCTCGGTACATTCTGAGTCTTTTGTCTTTCTCTTTCTGTAGCTTTTTTTATTTATTTTTTTTTTCTTTATAGATTCTCTTTGTTACTTCACTTGATTTGAACATTATTCAAACTGGCTAGCCAACAGAACAATACCGAAGAAAAACAGGCTTGGTAAGATGATAATAAACTATTTTGATTTTTATATTCTTTAACTATTGTGTATTGTAGGGATCAAGCAGCTTGGCAACAATACCATGAAGCTTACGCCAATGATCCTGCTTACGCTGCTTATTACCAACAATATCATCAAGGTACAGATCAACAAGCATATTATAATCATTATTATCAACAACAAACAGGTTATACAGCAGAACAACAAGCTGCTGCAGCAACTCAACAAGGATACCAGTATGATTACAATAGTGCTTACGGACAACCGGTTCAAAATGCTAACAATTATTATACTCAAAACTATTCATATGGTCATCATTATTCTCAACCAACAGCAACAACAGTTTCGCAGCAACCAGCTCACAATTACTATCAATATCAACAAGCACAGCAACCTACTACAACATATACTCAATCTGTTACAAAATCTACTACAAGTACAACTGCGTAATATACATATCAAAAAGAAAAATATATTAATGAAAAAAATATATATATGTACATCTTCTCACATCCTACCTTTTTTTTTTATTATTATTATTATTATGATTAGTAAAAATGTAGGAGCAACTCAACCAGCTTACACATCTTCTGATGTGACAACATTGACCGGATCAATGTCAACAACAGACCTTGATGGCGTGACACCAGGCAAGTAAAACAAAACGAAACAAAATAAAAAAAATAAAAAAAAGAGGTTGCATACACTATAATTATAACTTTATTTTTAGGTAAAGTAAAAATGACGATATTGAAAAATGGAACAACAAAACCATCACAAGTTGCTGTTCCATCTTCTGCAAATAGTACCCCAACAACAACAATAACAACAACTGCAAAAGCAAAACCAACAACAACAACGACAACAACAACAACGAAACCGAGCCAATCTGAACCTTTGTCAATGGAATCTTGGCCTCCTTCTTTAAAGTAAGCTGGAAAAAAAAAGATATAAAACTCAATGATGATTATATTAATTCAAAAAAAAAAAAAAATTAATTGAATGTAGGGCCTATGTTGAAGATGTCTTCCGGTATAGTTCACCTGAATTACTAGATGTGGTACAAAATGAACTGCGAAAATTGATTATGGAAAAACACAACGAAGGCACACTTTTGACAACGGATTGGTCAGAAATGGATTTACCAAGGTAAGAAAGGGAGACGATAAAAATAAAAACTGAACACTGAATCGAAATTTTATATTGGATATAGTTCATGTGAAGCACCAGCAAATAGGAAATCAAAGAAAAAAGCAAGTAGTATTAACAATAGGAAAAAAACAACATTATCAATTGTGGAAACAACTGAAGAGGAACAAAAAAGGAAAAATAGATTACGACGATTCCAGGAAAGCAATAATTTAGCAAAGCAAAGATCTTCTCCATCAGTACAGTTACCACCACCAGCGGCTATTGTAAGTTGTATAATGTAGGTATATATTTATAATTAACTATCCTTTTTTTTTTATTATTATTATCATTTAGGATGAAATGGATTGGGATCGACATATTGTTATTGGAACTGCAACAAACTTAGAAAAGAATTACTTACGACTAACATCAGCTCCTGATCCATCTACTGTTAGACCTTTACCTGTATTGAAGAAAACGTTGGAATTATTGAAATCAAAATGGACACAAGAACGAAATTATACTTATATTTGCGATCAATTTAAATCATTACGTCAAGATTTGACTGTAAGTGAGATTAATATTATATTGATCATTACTTAGTAATCATTTCTTTTGTTTTTAGGTTCAACATATCAAGAATGAATTTACTGTTCAAGTTTATGAAATACATGCTCGTATTGCGTTGGAAAAGGTAAATAATATTAATTATATTACAACTTATATTTTTAACCTTGCTCTTAAATTAGGCCGATCTTGGTGAATTCAATCAAAATCAAACTCAATTAAAATATCTTTATGCACAAGGAATACCAGGTCATGTAGAAGAATTCACTGCTTATCGACTTTTATATTTTTTACATACACAGAATTGGGCAGGTACGTTATAAAGAAAAAAAAAATTGTACAGTATAGCACTAATTGACAATGTTTTTTTTTTTTTTGTTATTATAATGATTAGATATTAACTCTGTTATGGCAAGTATTACTGAAAAACAAAAACAATGCGCGGCAATAAAACATGCTTTAGATGTTCGATCTGCACTGGCGACTTCAAATTATCATCGACTTTTCAAACTATACGTTACGGCACCTAATATGGGAGGATATTTAATGGATCAATTCATAGTACGGGAACGTGTTCAAGCAATGATAATCCTTTGTAAAGCGTAAGTGATGATTATTAATAAAATGATGTTTCTAGTAGACTAACAATATATATTTTTTTCGGATAGATATCGTCCCAATCTGGCATTATCATTTATCATGAAGGAATTGGCATTTGAAAATTCTTCACAAATGGAAAAGTTTATCAAGGAAGAAGCTCTTATTCCAGCGGCACAATTGACTTCAGGATTCTTGGATACTAAATTGGCAACAGCTGGACTGACGGAAAGCATGAAAAAGTATAAAAAGATTGATATCAAGGGTCAACTGTAGTATAGTTTTAATTATCTAGTGATTTTATTCATGAAATAAAAAGCTTTCATTATTCATTACAACAAATGATGCGAAAATATATGTAACGGAGCTACGCGTTTGATTTTTAAAGTGAACGCGCGTGTCGTCAAATGAATTTTTTTTTATTTTTTATTTTTCGAAAATATTTTTCTTTTCCTTTACTCTTTTCCTTTATTACATTATTATATATATATGCCTTCTCCTAGTCGATCAAGAGAAGAAGAAGAAGAAGAAGAACTTACTATTTCTTCTTCTCCTTTCCAACCTGGTGCTGCGGTGAAGAAACGAAAAACGAACTCTGACAAGGATAGTAGTCAACCTACTGGGTTCGAAGAAGAACTAAGGATCTTGGAAGAATCTATGGATATCGATGCTATATGTAAACTTTAAAAATACCAATCAATGTTATAATTTACTCATGATGCTTTCTTTTTTGTTTATTTATTATATATTTAGCTACTTGGGCACGAAATCCTGCACCAACGATCGATCCTAAAACTGACAAATTATGTAAGTTATCTCCCTTTCTTTTTAGACTTTTATATAATTGATCCTTTTTTGTTCTTTAGTATTCCAACAGATCGAAATGGATGATTTTATGGATATTAAAACAAGACGACCTATTGTTCGCTTTTTTGGTATTACTGAAGTATGTTAATAGATCTATACAATTTATCTTTTATTGATTTTTTTTTCTTTCTTTCTTGATAGAATGGTAACAGTGTTGTCTGTAATGCCCAAGGTTTCCTTCCTTATTTTTACTTTCCTGCTCCTATTGGTTTGAAGAAGTCCCACTTACCAGCATTACAACAAGCTCTTTCTGTAAGTTAAGATATATGCAAATACACCTTGAAACTGATCTTCCATTATTAAATAATAATATAGAGTGCTGCTGGAGAAGCCAATATTATCAGTCACCTTGAAATTACTATGAAACAAAGTCTATATGGATATAGAGGTGATACGAAATCTCCATTTGTCAAAGTAACAGTATTTGATCCAAGAAATATCTCCAAAGTGAAAAACAAGGTAGAAACTGGTGTCGTTGTTCCTGGTCTGGATCGCAAATGTCAATCTGATACAACTTATGAAAGTAATTTGGCCTATCTCTTACGATTCATGATTGATTGTAAGGTTAGTGGTTGTAATTGGATAGAACTACCTCCCGGATCCTATACTCTTGCTGAAACCCATTCATCTCATGCACAAATTGAAGTCAACACAAGGTATACCAAAAAAAACAAAATCACGATATCTTATTCATTGATATATTATTATTGTTATTATTATTTTATAGTTATGATAAATTCATCAGTCATCCTCCTGAAGGTGAATGGTCATCTATGGCTCCTCTACGAATTCTTAGCTTTGATATTGAATGTGCTGGTCGAAAAGGTATCTTTCCAGAGCCTGATCAAGATCCTGTAATTCAGATTGCCTCCGTTGTTAAGGTTCAAGGTAAATCAAAAGATAGAAAATGATTGACTAAAGTATATATATATATTTGGTGATCATATATTTACCTTTTTTTTTTTTTTCATTGGCATAGGTGAAAAAAATCCATTTGTCCGAAATGTGTTTACTCTGAATGATTGTGATCACATTGTGGGCACTGATGTTCAATCATTCTATGATGAAAGGGAGTTGTTACAAAAATGGGCTGACTTTTTTATTGAGGTAAGCAAGGAAAATATATGTCTTGTAAAGAGTAAGAGCAGGTGACTGACTATCTATGCTATTTTTTTTTAATAGGTCGATCCAGATGTTGTCATCGGTTACAATACAAGTAACTTTGATTTTCCTTTTTTGTTGGATCGAGCAAATCATCTTGGCGTGGCGAAATTTCCCTACTTGGGTCGCATCAAAGGTACGCAAAAAAGTTTAAACAATGGACAAGATCACTTATATTGAAACATTATCTATAGGAATAAAAACTGAAGCAAAGGATACAAAATTCTCTTCAAAGGCATTTGGTACCCGGGAAAACAAGGCTATCAACTTGGAAGGCCGATTACAATTAGATATGTATCAGGCCATACAAAGGGATTACAAATTACGATCATATACTTTGAACTCTGTCAGTGCCCACTTTTTAGGTAATCAAACATAGAAAAAAAAAACTTTGGTTAACATCTTTGTGGATCGTTATAGGGGAACAAAAGGAAGATGTACATCACTCAATCATTACAGAATTACAAAACGGAAACTCAGAAACTCGTCGTCGATTGGCTGTTTACTGTTTGAAGGTAAGAAAAGATGAAGAAAAAAAGACAAGATATTTGAGATGCATGAAAAGAAACTCTCTTGAAATAACATTACTTTATTTCTTTAATACAGGATGCTTTTTTACCATTACGACTTTTGGAAAAATTGATGATGTTGTTCAATTATACTGAAATGGCAAGAGTAACAGGAGTCCCATTCAACTATATTCTTGTGCGTGGTCAACAAATCAAGGTGATTTCTCAACTTTTCCGTCGTGCTTTAGAAGAAGATTTGGTGATTCCAGTGATTAAATCAGAAAGTAAGATAAAAGAAGAATAAAAAAGTCGATGAATATTAATATACGATTTTATGTTTTTTTTTTTTTTCTAGTTGCGGAAGAACAATATGAAGGTGCTACTGTGATTGATCCTGTCAAAGGTTATTATGATGTCCCTATTGCCACTCTTGATTTCACGTCTTTGTATCCATCTATTATGCAAGCACATAATCTTTGTTACACCACATTACTCACGCCACAAACTGTCCAACAGCTGGATCTGAAGGAAAACATTGACTATGTAGTTACTCCTAACAACGGTAAACCTCTATCCTACATATTATATGAGTATTAATATGCTCACTGTTTTTTTATTACCTTATTAGATATGTTTGTCACGGCAAACCGTAGAAAAGGTTTACTTCCTCAGATTCTTACAGATTTACTTTCAGCAAGAAAACGGGCCAAGAATGATTTGAAAAAGGAAACGGATCCCTTCAAAAGAGCTGTATTAGATGGTCGTCAACTTGCTCTCAAGATTAGTGCAAACTCAGTATATGGTTTTACCGGTGCAACAGTTGGTAAACTTCCATGTCTTCAAATCTCCTCTAGTGTCACTGCTTATGGTCGTCAAATGATTTTTAAAACAAAAGAGGTAACGATCTATTTATAAAAAAAAAAAAAACAATAGATGACGAACTGATTATTTGATTGAATAATAATAATAATAATAGACGGTAGAATCACATTTTACGGTGGCGAACGGATACAAACATGATGCTAAGGTTATTTATGGTGATACTGATTCTGTTATGATCAAATTTGGTGAACAAGATCTTGAAGAAGCGATGAAGTTAGGTAGGCAAAAAAAAAAAAAAAAAAATAGGGCTTTTGACAAAAAAGAATGAATACAAGTGTTCGTTTACTAAATTTTTTATTTCTCATTTTACTTTTTACTTTTTAGGTCAAGAAGGTGCCAAGATAGTTACTGATCAATTTATCAAGCCAATCAATCTTGACTTTGAAAAGGTGTATTTCCCATACTTGTTGATTAGCAAGAAACGATATGCTGGTCTCTATTGGACAAGACCTGATAAATATGACAAGCTAGATGCAAAGGGTATTGAAGTAAGTATCAAACAAATATGAAGAACTGAAAGTCTTTATCATTTTTATATTGACATTCTATCCATTTATTGCTTATAGACTGTACGCCGTGACAATTGCCGATTGGTATCCAATGTGATTCAAAATTGTTTGAATAAACTGTTGATTGAACGTGATGTGGACGGTGCGCAGACGTAAGTAGCATTTCCAAAAAGAAGAAAATTATCATTATTTTTTCTCTTATTAATTTTTCTTCCTGTATTGGTATGTTGTGGTAATAGATATGTCAAACAAACTATCTCTGATTTGCTTCAAAATAAGGTGGATTTATCTCAACTGGTGATTACCAAAGCGCTTAGCAAATCAGATTATGCAGCGAAACAAGCACATGTGGAATTGGCAGAAAGAATGAGGAAACGGGATGCTGGGTCTGCGCCTGCTCTTGGTGATCGTGTTGCTTACGTGATTATTAGGGCTCGAAACAACGCTCCTGCTTATGAACGGTCCGAAGATCCTATCTATGTTTTGGACAATAATATTCCTATTGATACCCGGTATTACCTTGAAAACCAATTATCAAAGCCTTTATTACGTATTATGGAACCTGTCATGGGTGAAAAAGCAGCGGAATCTTTATGTAAGTTGTCAAAATCATTCTATTGATAGGAATATTCATTTCTTTTTTTATTCATAGTAAGTGGTGCTCATACACGTTCGGTAAATATTGCTACTCCTACTATTGGTGGTTTGATGAAGTTTGCGGTGAAAACAGCTACTTGTTTAGGATGTAAATCTCCTCTACCCAAAGGTGGTAAGTATCAAAAATAATAATAAAAATAATAATCTACATGATGATTCATGCTTTCTTTTATATATATATATATATATATATCTGTATGATAGATTCATCACCTGTTTGTGTCCATTGTCGTCCACGATTAGCCGAGTTATATAAGAAGCAGGTAAGTCAAAAAAAAAAAAGAAAGATCGTAAAGGTGGGATGACTATAATCATTTGTGACCTTAACCCCATATATGTATTTTTTTTTCTCTATTTAGGTTGATTCTGTCAGTGAACTTGAAGTTAAGTTCTCTCGACTTTGGACTCAATGTCAACGGTGTCAAGAATCTCTTCATCAAGATGTCATTTGCTCCAACAATGATTGTCCAATCTTTTATATGCGAAAGAAGGTGCAAAAGGATATGAATGAATCAACAGCCAAATTACAAAGGTTCTCCAACGTGGATTGTATATAAAATTCAAGCGTTTGTTTGGTATTCGACTTTTTTTTTTTTTTAGTTAGTATTAGTATAAGATGTTCCCCTCTTCTTTTTAATGATATATATTTTATTTATTCCTTTAAAATAAAATAAACAATCGCCCTCATTCTACATATTCAATAAATAAAGTGAAATACAAGATGCTCTGCAATGGATGAAAATCACTAGAAAATTTTATCATCGATCTTAGGATAAATCATACAGAACATCTAAAGGTTGGGGCGGCAGCGGAAATTATCAGCCCAACCAAAATGATCCAAACTTTGACACTTCAATTGAGCATAGCCAAAGGGGATCTTAAAGTATGGAGAAGTTGATGATGACCATGCAAGTGATGTTCATAGAAAAGATGGATCATACAAAGATACAAAAACTTCAGTGAAGGAATGCATGCCATTTTTCGATCCTCACATTTCATTGGCTGAGGTTTCCAAACTTTTCAGTTGCTACTACGCCCTGTTTTTCCCTCGCGTTCTTTTTTTTTTTTTTTTTTTTTTTTTTGTCCTTATTCTTGCATTATTCCAAATGACCAAACGACTTCGATCTTCTGATGAATCAGACGTCGCAAATGTACTAAGGCAACGACATAAACATGATCCTATTCAAAAAGAAAAACAAGGTAGGCTATTATTATCCAAAGCAAACGAAACTAATTTATTATTATTATTATTATTAGGACAACACACGTTTGCACTCATGATGCGCGCAGGACAGAAACAAACAACATCTTTACCATCACCTAGTCTATTTGAAGTACAATCACCAATACCACAACAATTATCATCACCGTGTTTTCGATGTCCAACAGCTTTACCGTCTTGTTGTACCTGTACCTTTTGTGAACAAGCCATCTGCCAACATTGTATTCAACCTTGTCAACGTTGTAACTCTATGTTTTGTACTGCTTGTAGTGTTATTGAGTAAGTTTTACTTTTACTTTATTTTATCTACCTATATTGACTATACATTTATTTCTTTTTTTTTTCTTCTTATTATTATGCCTACTTTTACTGATGACTTCTTCAAGTTACTCGGCCGCTATGGAGCAAGCCTATTGTCTATCTTGTTTCACATCTTGACTCTTTATACTATATTCACACCAAAACTACATCACCCCTATACCAATTTTTTTTTTGTTATCATTATTATTATTATTGGTATGGGTATTGTATACATGTTTCATTCATGTAAAGAACGACACTATTGCAGTACAAACAATACACATTATTCAACAACATACAGCATCATACACAACAACGCATTCAATAAACATAATTCATAGTCAAATAGAATAGTCAAAATGGATAGTTTTATTTATATTTCAATTAGAAACGCTTCATTTGATTGTTCTTTTCGTACGCGCGATACCCCACAAACAACACACCCACAAGTCCAGCTGCAAGAAGAATCTTCAACAAGAAGGTGAAGAATCCACCGGATGTCTTTTTTGGTTTTGCTGGTGCCTTGGTCTATCATATAGATACATATGTATTATTTAGTATTTCTTCTTTTTTTTTATATCAAAAATAAACCATGTCATATATCTCTTCCTCTTTTTTTTTTTTTTTTATTATTATTAATATTCTTTACCGGTTTAGTTTGCTTTGGTTCTGGTACCAATGTTCTTGTTGATACTGAAATAATGTCGTGATTATCTATGATACATGTATTAGTACTAGCACTCTATTGATGTTCTATAAAGGATTATTGTCCTCTTAATTTCTTTCTTTCATTTTTTTTTTTTACCAGTCAATTCACCAGTATGAGCAGAGAATCCAAGATAGATTTGATTTGGCAACTTGACATCATCTACCTGAAAAAATCAGAACGTAAAAAGGACCAATTGTTATTATTCATATACAACAAATCTTTCTCGTCAAGCAAATGCCCCCGCTTTTTTTTTCTATGTGTATCTTACCTTGAAACATTCATCCCAAGTATCTTCATCACGCCACATCACATCCAATTTAAGGTAATTGTTCTTGTAATAAGACAAACGGGCACGTGTAGGGAATGTTTTTGCCCGGAAATCCGCTTCACAACCAGCCAATTCCGTTGTTCGACCATCCTTGTCATTGTCATAAGTAGTGGCACCATCACCAAGCATGGCACTAATATAAGGGAATGTATGACGCTATTCAGTCAAAAAAAAAAAAAAAAAAAGAATTCGAGAAAGAATTAGTTTTCTATAAATATATACAACATCATCAACTAAATCATATCACTTACATGAGCACGTTCATTATCATAGGTATCGAAGAATACACCAAGACCATCAAATTGATTCTTTGAACCAAATACAGTTCCTTCAGTGGCTCTTTCCTTTGTCAACCACACTGATGCATACAAAAAAAAAATTGATTAATATATCATTACTTGAATAAGATGCATCAGCCATAGAAAGGCAATGAGTTTTAATCCAATCCTTTTAAACTTACTTGCAAAACCATCACCATACAAATGACCAGCAGGACCATCCACGTTGAATTCAAATTCCACTTCGAAATCAGGAGCAGTAATAGGCTATGTCAGCAGAGAAAAGAATAAAATAAGTAAAAATCGTGAATAAGTATATAGATATATCCAATAGTAGTGTTGTTTCAACTACTGAAATTAACATGATATCCATTCTTTATTGATTTTCATCTTTCTTACCAGTCTAGACCATAAGTGACCAACTTGCGATTGACGATTGTTTGTTAAACGAATATGACGGTTAGTGTTAATGATAGTATCGCCACCAAAGTCGAACCAACGATTTTGAAGTTCATCATCTATATAAATAAAAATAAAACGCGTTTAGAATATCATTCTTTTATATATATTAAAAAAAAGAAAGGTTCATCATATCATCGCTTTTAGCCGATGGAGTTTTTTTTTTCAATGGTTTTACCAATATAAGGCATAGAGATAGAATGGGTACGTAACATGACACTTGAAGATACTTGAGCTATAGCTGCTGAAGCCGAGGCTAAAACAGTTATCACCAAAGGAAGTAAATGACGCATTGTTTATCTTGGTATTTTGGTCGAGATGAAGAAAAGAAAAGTGCACGTTTTTGATTTCTTTGACCTAGCCATGAATTCTCAGATGTGGATTTTTTTGTATTCTATGTAGCAATTGATTCTCCGCCTGCTGTGTTGCCCAAAACGCACTCCACGTCATTGGCATGATTGGCTGCCAAAAAGGTGAATAGAGTGAAGATGCTAATTTATATTAAAAATACACATAAACAATAGATACAAAAGATTTATTCATCAAAAAAATAATAATAATAATAACAAATAGACTTCCTTTTTTAGAGATGTGTATCTAAAAAGATTCTGATGTGAATGGTAGCTGTCAAATGGTTATCAGCAATAGCTTGAACGCGGGCTTTTAACGTCCCTGTGGCTTGGTCTTGAAGAAAGAAAAAAAAATATTTTTTTCCTCTCATTTGTAGTGGAAAAAAGGATCAGCTATTAAAAAAAAAAAATTGTTTTAAGTTTCCTCCTCTTTCTCTTTTTGTTCTTTTACCTCTTACATCACTACTACAATGGAAAACTCTGAAGGCAGACTCGTTGATATCTACATTCCTCGCAAGTGGTAAATATATAAAATATTAAATATACGAATATAGTTTATTGACATTCAGTTATCTTGAAAAATAAATAGTTCTGCCACCAATCGTTTGATTGTTGCCCACGATCACGCTTCTATCCAATTGAACGTTGCTGATGTCGATGCTGAAGGTCGTGCCACCAACTCTTTCTCCACCTATGCTCTCTGTGGTTTCGTTCGCAAGGAAGCCGAAGCTGATGACTCTATCAACCGTCTCGCCACTCAAGATGGTTACTTGAAGAACGTCTGGTCTTACCAACAATAGATTTAGTTAGTCAATCATATTTTATTGCTTTCCATTTCTTCATATCTTCTTTTCTTATTATTATTGTGAATTACATAAATAAAAGTATATAGTGCATCAACAAAAATTTGTATGATTGTTATGATAATTGGTGTGATGGGGGAAAGTGATAGCTGCTAATTGATGGTTCACTTTATGAGTTGATATTTTGATGATGATGATATTCATTTTATGATGGGAATGATAAATAGTTGATCGTGATTCTATAATGGATGATAGTACATTTGGAAGAATACGCTAGGATTAATAATTGCATATGGGTTGGGACCACTAGCGAACAACAGGTACTTGATATTACTCTGATTAGAGATATGATTATTGAAAGAATATTATTCTGTTGTGTACAGCATATCATAATGAATAAATGACATAAGAAAAAAAAAAGACATAATCGAATAATGTAATCATGTTTATTAACCGAGAAATATGAGGTGAGAAGAGTAAAAAAAAAAAAAATAACTACAGGGTAAATCATATAAAAATCTGTACAAGTATAATGTTATGTAAGTTATTCTAGTTGGAGAGATCAAAAGTTATACATTCACTGGTTTGTTTTGCATTTGCTCCATGAGAGAGAGGTTGAGTTTGATGAATTTTTTGAGATCGGTTGCTTGATTAGTTTTGTACTTGACAACCTACCATAAGGAAGATATATAAAATAAAAAATATGAATTATCGTTTTCGAATCATAATTATTTATCATATAGATTGTTTGTATATTTACCGTTTGGTCATTGGTCACCTTCAGGACAAGTTCGCCAGCAGCACCGTGAAAGGTATGAACGTAACGTGTCTAGATTGTAAAAATAAAAATAAAGAAAACAATAATTAAAGAATCAATCATAAATGTATATTCTTTTTTTTTTTTGTATTTACGGTATCTGGTGAGGAAGCATAAATATCTTCAGCTGCTTTTTGGAAATCATCCCAGTTGGTAATGTACATATTGATGGAACAAGGGGACAATACAACAAATAGAAGAAAAGAGAGAAAGAGAATCAGAAGAACGGATGAAGGACACCATAAGTGAAAGGCATTCATACTCCGATACTATGATCATGAATGTCTATCAAATAAACCAGTAGTGTTTTTAGCTTGATGCCTTAGACACAGGGGAAAAGGAGGATACAAGATATTGATTCAACTATCTAGACTTGGACGGGTTCAATCATAAAATCGTGCTATAGACCAAAGTGAAATGATCCCCTCCTCTCCTTTTTTCATGTGAACTTCGATTGGTCATTATATAAAATATGTTGACAAAAGAGCAAAACCAATCTCCGCATTTTTCGTCTTTCTCTTTCCCCACTTTTTTTTTTTTTTTGTTCTTTCTATAATAATGGCACGACCTCCATCACAAATACCTACACCAGAATGGAACGATAATTGGAAACAGATACAACCTACCTTATTAAAAATACGTCGGTCTATGGCTTCATTACGTACTTCTTCCCTCAAAGTCATGCGTGTCAGTCAATTGGATTCTGATATTCTTGACCTTGAACTATTTGATATCTTGAAGGAACAATTATGGAATGCCTTGTCATTGTTTAAAGTAATTTAAGGAAATACATTTTAAGTAATAAGAAAAAAAAAAGTAAATATCCTCATTTCTTTCTATCTCTCTCTTTTATTTAGCCTACCATTAAGGAAACTTTTGAACCAGAAATACTGGGTATACTTAATCTTGTTTTATTCAAATTCTCCATTTATGACTCTTCTGCTACTTATGGTGCTCAATTACAAAACTTGAAATATAGAAACGAATGGCAACATGGTGGTATATGTAAGTGTATATGAATACTCAATACAAAATAATAATAAAAAAAAATACAACAAATGAACTTAACCTTTTATTTATATATATATTTGAACAAGTGGAATCTATTGCAAAAGACGCTCCTTTAACAAAAAAACAAAAGATTATTTATGGTATATTGACAGTGGGTGGACAATATGCATGGACTAGAGCAAATCGGCTTATTACTGAAAATGGTTGGGGTGAATTGGATGAGGTAGTAATATAAATAAAAAAAAAATAGTCATTATATCCTTATTCATTCTCTTTCTCTTCAGTCGGATACTCGTAACAAAATCTATAGGATATTACAAAATGGAGAAAAATATTGGAAAGCATTTTCTCTATTAAACTTTTTGATCTTTTTATATAATGGAAAGTAAGTGTATCATTCAAACAAAAGTGAAAACTCATTATCTTCCCTATTTTTTTTTTTTATTTTATTATTATTAGGTATCGAACATTGATCGATCGACTCTTAGCCATGAGATTGGTCTATGCCAAAAAATCTTTGAATCGTCAAGTCAGTTTTGAATTCCTCAATCGTCAAATGGTGTGGCATGCATTCACAGTAAGTGATGATTATATAGTAATTGATTACCTATGATATCTGATGAATACTACTTTTTTTTTTTTGATTTCTTCTAGGAATTCTTGTTGTTTTTGGTACCATTGATCAATATAGAAAAACTGAAATTGAAATTGACAAGGATGCTTCTCCCAAAATCTTATTTGGTGTCTTCCAAAGGCTATGATAAGTTACCAGACAACCAATGTGCTATCTGTCATGATAATAGTTCTTCCAGTGATACTTCAAATGATGGTACCTCTGCTCCAATTGGTCAAGTACAAGACTACTCAGTACATAATCCTTACAAGACAAGTTGTGGTCATGTCTATTGTTATTATTGTATTCAAAGCAAAATGGTTGTTTTTGGTGATGAATGGCCCTGTCTTCGATGTGGTGAAAAGGTGGAATCCATACACAAGCTGGTCTGCAAAGTGGAAGACACTGATGACGAAGAAAAGTTGGATGTAGCATCATCAACATCACAGGATACTGATGGCTCATAGTTTAGTTGAAAAATAGAATAGTTTTTTTTTTTTTTTGTATGAATAGACATGGAACATATTCGATTTGTATGGAAATTGATTATTATTTTTTGTTTAATAAAGACCTGAAAAAAAAAAGAAAGGCTATTTATGATTTCATTGTTTGAATAAATAAACAATAAAAAAAATATGGATTTGTCTGTTGGATTTATTGGATGTTATTGATGATCAATTCATTGTTCATATATATATATATATATATATACATATTTAAAAGTAAAGTTTGAGTTAGGGTATTTCGTGCTAAGATAGTTTATTATATTGAAAAGAGGATTGATTGTTCATCGTAGTGAAAATATAAAAAAAAAAAATATGTATATTATTTTCTCATTTTTTAAAGCACCTGTTATATATTATACCTCTATAGATGGATACCCCTTTTATCATTCACTGGCTACGACAAGCCCGCGCATCTTATGGTGAAATTGTTGTCAATGTTGTTTCCTTTCTATTGTTCTCACAGCAGCTACTCATGTACTTTGGAATAAGCCCACAAGAGTTTATAACCATTATAATTTGGACTGTGGATACAGTGATGATCGTCATCATTGGTGCTGTTGTAGCACTCATTGCTCTGCTCATGGCATCTTCTATTGTGGCCATTGGGTGCATCGTTTTTGTAGGAGGTTTCATTGCCATTGTTCGATATGCTCTCTTCCTTGGTCATCTGGGACAAAAGATGGTATGGATCTTTGGGAAAATGACCATCTCACTACTGGCAGTTTGTTGTATTTTGGTACTTTTCCTTGCTTGGTGTGTGAGATCCTTTAGTTGCTTTTTGATGACAACAGTATGGGAAAACTTGACCAAGATAACTGATCCTGATGCCTTGATCATTCCTTCATGTAAGTGATCTTTTTCTTTAAAGATTATTTTTTTTTCTTATCAACCCTCTTTTTTTTTTTTTATTTTGTCTAGCATATATCAATGCTTCTAACAGACGTAAGTCAATCACTTTCTTTTCTTTTTTTTTTCTTCCTTTAAAAAGTGTTAACATGTCCCTCATCATCCTTTTCAATTTGATTATCTAGCCTCTCTATTGCGGCGTCCTACTGCTGATACAATGATCAATGCCCCTTCTATTTCCAGACGTAAGTCAACTTTTTACTGCGTGTATTTTATTTAAAAATATTAAAAATAAAAAATGGTATTTTTTTTTTTTTTTACCATCCTTCCGTTTGACTATTTAGCTTCTTTTTTATGGCGATCTTCTGGCTCTCATGATTGTGGCATTTCCAGTGATAAAGACTCTTACTGTAAGATGGCTCATATGTCCACTTCAGAATTATACACCCATCCCATCAATATGAATAGACCATCATTTTTACCACCATTATCATCATCATCATCATCATCATCATCATCGCCATTACAAGCTTATGGGAGGGGATCAGGGATAAATATTTTTTCACTCGTTGGCCGTGATACTAGAACCTCTTTAGTACCCATATCATCAGAATCTATCATCATCGTCAATAAATTATATTTTTAAATTTAAACGAGTTCCTGTTAATTTATTGAAGATGAGTAACGTAAAGTAGGTTTAAAAAAACATAAGTCTTCATTCATATCTTCTCTAAAAAGAAAAAAATGATAAAGTAAAATTTGATTTCTTCCTTTGGTTGAAAAGAGGTTAATATGATATAATATTATACTATCTATAAGCACTCTATCGATTCTTTTTTTTTTTTTGCATAAAACATGTTTGAAAAAACTGGCAGGTAATCTTACTTTTTTTCATCAGGGGCTACTACGGACTTTTTTTTTATATTTGCATATTCTCTTTGTTATTTTTACTCTTCTTTAATAAAAGCGTCTTACTATTTTTATTATTGTTATTGTCGTTCTGGATATCATCCATATCCATAGTTCCAAAAGAATAGACCAAGCCAAGTGGATACCTTTTACAAACTCAAATAGAAAACCGGTACCAACAAGGATGATAATGGGCAGTAACTTCAAATTGGATAGGATGAAGTTTCTCATGGACTTTCCAGCTTGATGTAAATGATATTTTGTCGCTAGATTGAGTTTGCAGCCAAGTATAACCATTTTTTCGTAAGAATCTTTCAGCATCTTTAGGATACGCTTGTCACCATTCAACATGAAGTACTTCCACTGCTTCAGTTTATTTCCATCCTGTTCTAAAGATTGATTATTACTATAATGATGATCATCATCATTCGATATCCCATTTGTTGTGTGATCCGACTGCGTCGAATATTGCGCAGGATAATATCCAACTATGAAATAAGGTGTTTTGAAGCCATAAGGAATATCATCGGTCCTCAGGGAAGGAAAGAGCCATTCTTGATGATGAAAATTAGAGAAGGAGAATAAAAAGAGGGAAGCGAGAGAACGATTGTGGATTGAAGGTTGATCACGTGTATGATTGTCTTGGTATATAAAATCCACCATCGATACATTATAATTATTGAATAGGTAGCCATGGATTGAACTCTTGGATGAATTTATACTAGAGAAATAATCAAAGAGGGTATTGATGGTCGACATGTCTAAACAGTGACAACTATGAATAGCCAAAAAAAGAAATACAAAGTAGATCGAGTAATATTTAAACATGATTGGCGAAAAAAAAAAAGTATTGAAAGATAAAAAGAGAAAGAGAAAAAGAAAAAAAAAAAGATATATGAGCCTTGATTCAATCATAACAATCAACCTCCTTCTTTTCTGATGTGAATGAACAAAGTTCATTGTTTTTTTTTTTTTTTAAAAAAAAAAAAAAAAAAAAAAAGGATAATGAATAGGAGGAGGATGATGTCTCGTAGCGGATGATCTTTGTCGTTGTTATTACGCTTTTCTGTTTGGTTATAATAAAAATAAAAAAATCCATTTTTTTTTCTAGAATCAAGATTTAATAAAATAGAGACAAGGAAAGGAGAGAGAACAATCAATGTTGTCTTACTGGAGTATCCATAGTGAAGTTTGGCGAAAGGGCATGATACATCAGATACTTTAACACGATGATGATGATGATGATGATGATTGTATATTATGGATAAAGGATGGCATGTAGATAGTTCATCTAATTAGTTTTAAATTAGTATTTTAGCTTCAGTATTATTCATTGTTTTGTAATCATCACGCAATCAAATGGACAATGAATCCAGGCGTACTTAGATTATTGATTCTATGCATCTTGGACAATAAATTCATCATCTCGAATAAGAATATATAAAAAATACTCATCATTTTCATTTGATTCATATTTCTTTCCCCTTATTACACATACGTAGATATACTTGATATATCAATGGTTATCTGTGATAAATGTAATCGTCGCTTTCGGTCTGCCGTAACATTGGACCAACACAAGAAAGAATTACATAGTGAAACTATTACGTGTTATTACCACGATATTGCAGGTAAGCTTCCAAGTTGCGTAAAAAAAAAAAAAAAAAAAAAAAAAAAAAAAAAAAAAAAAAAGTGATGTTAATTGATACTCATACCTAATATGCTTACTTTTTTTTATTTTTTATTTTTCTTTTTTATTGAATACGTTGGCAATTACAGGTCGACGGCAAACCATCATCATAGATCGATATGCTAATGGGTTTATGTGTCCCTTTTGCATCAGTGTGATTGCAACAAAATCCAAAATGGAAAGACACATCCAACAAACGAAATCCAAATGTATGATCAATCGACGTTATGGTGATATTTCTTTCAACATAACTGATCATCATCGTCATCAAGAACAAGAAGTTGCTTTACCACCCATACTAGCTTCCACCTCGACTCGGATATCATCTGTAAGTCCATCACCTTCTTCATCTAGATTTACGGTCTTTTGTTACACTTTTTTCAGAAAGCGTCTACTTTATTTTCTATACTCCTGTGTTATTGTCATCATGGCTTATCTCTATATGCCTCGTATGGAGACTGTTTGTTATACTTACATTTACAATGACTAAGGTCTCTATCTCTCTCTCTTTTTTTTTTTTTTTTTGTCATCACCATACCTTAGAATTGACTTACCCTTTCCTTTTAAAAAGTATAAAACGATCATTTTATATCATATATCTTTTATTGTGGAGCAACATATATACTTAACATGTATGGTAGTATCTCTTTTCAATAAAGTCCTATTGATGGTTTATCGTACGATTCCTATTTTATCATCATCCATCTAAATCTAGATGAAGCCGTCGTAGTTACTTTACAGTGAGAGTGCTATTATGCGTCAATGGTATGAAACATCTTTCCGAGCCAATCAGAATCTTTTTTTTTGCGTCAATCACCTTTGACACTCAGCGTTTTAAGGGGGGAGGGAAAAAAAGTATTTTCTTTATTCTTTTTTTTTCTTTTTTTTTCTTTTTTTTTTCGTTTTGGTCTTTACCGTCTCTCTTCTAGTTTATATTCTATGATTTTTACCTAGTTGAATATTCGTTGTATTCAGTTTCTGCCTCTCGTTAGGATATGTGGTCTCAAACATCGTCCAAGTTACAAAAAAATCCTTAACATAGATCCATTCATGGCCTTAACCCAATCATTCGAAGTTGCTCATAGGTACGTATTCTTTTGTAAATCTTGAAAGCGTCACTTATTTTTTATTACATTATTTGATATAGTTCCAACTTTATGTAGAAAGCAAAACAAGAAGCATAGAACTCTTCACCTATATGAATACGCGTATACCTTTAGAGAAAACCGTTTACTGGGACGTGCCGACAACGCCCTCCTGACGCACACAACAACATTTGCAGGCCTTCTAACCGTGATATCAGCCATTTGCGTATGGACACCTGGTAATCTTCCTATGTATATGACAACGCCAACCTATCAACCAACCAGAAACGAAAACTCTTCATGTTTCACTTGGATCATCCTGATATATCACTTTTATTGATAAATAACTCAACAATCACGCTACAACCTTTTATGATAAATTCATTATTCGACATGGTATTCCTGAACAAACCCTATCAGACAACGCTGTACTTTTCAATGCACTATTTGGCAAGCAACTCGTAGCTATGATTGGATCAAGACAACTTTTTACGCCAGCCTACTATCCTTCGGCCAATGGAGCGATAGAAAGATTCATGAAAACTTTACGATGACTATCCTATTCACATACTGCAATATCAAAGATCTCACTGAAGTAATGTTTAATTCCAAGTCTATGTAGAAAGATGGAAATTTGGTTCTATGTGACGCAAAACGTGGTCTAACGACGTATATGACAACGCTTATTCTTCACAATGGTGGCAACGGAATCAAGTAAGTTTTGACAAAAAAAAAAAAAAAAAGATAATAAAAAAGGATATTTTCTTATAGATATACAAATGTATACTACGTTTATTAGGATTATCTGGAATCGATTAGTTACAAAGACGTAGTGATTCTTGCTCTGATGATGTCCTCAGACCAGACAACATTGAGTAATTCAAACCATGAAAACAAGTCTTGGCCGATTTAATTGAATTTAGGTAATTCACTATATATTATTGTAAATGTGTAACTCTCTAACTCACTTTTAGTCAATTTACTTATAATAGCAAACATATCGAAAAGTACAAGAAACAAGTCAGAACATCATCTTTGTTTCTCCCTTCTTTCCTTCGTTAAAAATTCCTTTTAAAATATCGTCATCGCACTTTGGGATTCCTACCTGTTATCAATATACCAAGACAATGGAGAACAATGACATGGATCACAACTTGCAAGCAGACGGTATAACAACACTACTCAAAAAAGAGGTTGGAACCCTTTCAGAGCGAGGAGATGAAGTAAGTGAATGAAACGAACTGATGATCTTTTTTTTAACTAACTTTTTATGTCTTTAGTATCCTGGCATACACAAACCAACAGGAAATAATATAGGACTGAAATCAACGTTAGCAAGAATGTGCATGTTTGATCTGGGGACATCACTTTTATTTCCAACGAGTGTCGCTAGATTATTGGGAACCTCTTCCAGCTGTTGATGAATACAAGTATATATTGGTAGTTCTTGATACTTTCAAAAGATATATGGAATTGTTTCCTACAACATCGACATATAAATGATGAACGTGGGCGTTCTCCTGAAAACACTTTACCTCAAATGTCTTCACCTCAACAGCAACAATCTCAGGATGTCAATTCACAAGCACAAGATTATTCCAACTATTCTGCACAACCTTCATACAATGTGACAAACAACAACAACCATCAAGGATACCCTCTGCACATTACAGTACATCTTCACCCATTCAACCAGGTACATATACTGCTTATCCTCTGCAAGATCATCTTCAATCAACACCTTATCATGTCTTCTACACCTCAACCTTTGTAGAATCAAGCAACCCCACTATCCGGATATGCCGTTCCTCCTGGTAATCAATCATACAATAATCCTCCTCCTCCTCAACAAGCACATGCTCAAAACTTTTTAGTTTGGATTAGTATTTAGTTAGTGTTTTGGTATATTAGCGGTTATATGTGAAATGTTTTGGGATTAAAATCAATAAAGTTGGATCCTATTATTTAAAAAAAAGACAGTGGTCGTGTCCATAAATCGTCTCAGGGGTATACAACAAAATGTTCTTATTTAATTATGTGAAATATGTAAAATGTTACCAAGGGATGACGAAACAAGAAGAGATTTTATTAAGACTTTAATCTTTTTTTTTCCTTTCTTTTTTTTTTCTTTTTTTTCATCTTCTTTTTTTTTTTTTTAATTTGTGTCTGTGTGTTTGATCCAGACTTATTCAAGAGAAGGAGGGGAATGGTTCGAAAATGTCACATTCCTACCACTTGGCGCCTTGTTGTCTCTCTTTTCCTTACCATACAAGGCATTCAATGTATCCAACGTGGAACCACGGTGACCGATAGTAGTTTATATCCATTTTATGTAATGTTAGGGAATCCTCATGTCTGTGGAGGCACCATCCTTAGTCTGGATCCACCCAAAGTCTTAACAGCTGCTCATTGTGTACTAGGTAGTCCTCCTCCTTCTAGTTTTATCAACAGCAACTTGAAAAACCCTTACTTTGTCGGTTATGGTCATGTCCAACGACAACAACAACAAACGCTTCATGTCATTGATTGGACAATCCATCCTGCTTATCTTGCTGACCCACTTCAACAACAATATGATATTGCCATTTTGACTTTACAATCACCTCTCATTCCCTCTAAATTCGTGGCAAGAGCCGCCATATGGTCTCCACAAAATAATGATTCTCTACCCTATTTGGAAGGTAATCACTGACAAGTTGTTGTCATCATCAACTGGGGAATGTATATATATATATATAAAAAAAAGAATCATGAAACTCATCTCCTTTTTTTTTTTTTTTTTTTTGTCTGTGTGGCAAATAGGGGCATTGATTGGTTATGGATATAGTGCAACCAATGAACCAGAAGCAGCCACATTACAACGTATGACACTTGAAGTAAGTAATTATCAACCACGAGGCGATAATATGGTCAATGCCGTTGTTACTTTTGATGAGGATCATCGTATCGCCTGTCATGGAGACTCTGGTAGTCCATTGGTAGTGCAATTTCCCATTCTCACAGCATCATCATCATCATCAACATTATCATCAACATTATCATCAACATTATCATCAACATCGTCATCATCATCACAATCATCACTATCATCGCCATCATTGTCAATATCCAGTCCAAATAGAGATAGAGTGTATGGTGTACTTCAACCCTATATCATTGGTACACTAGCAAGAATCTTTGGCGTATATGATCCTGATCCCAGTCATCCAACATGTCCAACCAAAGTCCGTCCAAATGCCACCACCATTGAAAGTTTTGTCAATCTCATCCCTTTGCTCCCATGGATTTCACAAGCAACACATCAATCCATAGAGCAATTGACCACACCAGATATATATGATCTCGATGGGAGTATAAATAATAATAATAATAATAATAATAATTATAATAGTAATGATGATGATAATGCGTGGGGTTCAGTGACAAGTCCTTATATCGATCATATCATTTCATCCTCCATCACTTGTATTGGTCGTTTGTTTTTCTTCAACTCTGCATCCAACAATAATCCTCTCCTTTCTGCGTCTTCTTTGGGTATTGGCTATGCTCTACTTCCCAACACTTCTCCATCACCATTTATATCTAATACCATCTTTTGTACTATTTGGTCTCTTCTTGTAACCCTGTTTGTTTCTATCATGTAACACACCTTTCTCCTTTTTTAGAAATAAACTTGAACCAACTGTACATGCATGAATACAAAAATAAGACTCCGCCTTGTCCTTTCTTTAGTGTCAACATTATTTTTTTTCTCTCTCTCTCTTTTTCTTTCTCCTTTTTCTTTTTTTTTTTCTCTTCATTGCTTACGACAACAACATCTTAAGCTCTCAAAACGGCAAAACACCCATCATTAAAACACATGCTATCAACATGAATGTTAAATACCAACATAGATAACAAAAGTGCTTTCAACAGCCTTTCAGAATGCGGCAATACGAACAAAACAACATCTACGCCTAGATATCACTACACATTTACACAAAGAAGGAAAAATCACTATTAGGTTGACTCCATATTTTTTTAAAAGAAAAAACAGCCTTGGCAATTGACGTGGCAACATATGATACCAATAGATTTTATAGTTGTAGGGTTATCATTGTCATTGAATGGGTTACAACAAAATAGTCGAATGCAACAGCAGGATCAACTCGTTGGAGAAGATTTGATTGGAAAATAAAAAGGCAAGTCAATGGTGGTGAAAAGCTCTCTTTTTAGATGATCTACTGGTTTGATTGATCTTCTGTCTCTCTCTTTTATTATTGTTACTCGTATTATTATTTGTGGCTAGCAATAGACTTATTCATTACTTATACATTGTATACAATTTTTTTCTTCGTTTTTCTTTAATAAAATCATACTCTATGTTTCATCCATGTTTATTGTTGTTTTTTCTTTGTTACCATAGAAATGCGCTTTACGACCGTCTTTTTTTTTTTGTATTGCACGCATCAAGGTCATGCATCAAGGTCTTTTTTTTTTTTTTTTGGCAAGGCTTTAAAAAATCTCAGAATAATATCTCTATCTACCCATCCATCATACAACCAATCACATATCAACCATTATTGTTCATTCTAATCTTATTATACAAAAGAAGTAATTTATTGATGAAGGGTAAAACAACAACAAATAATAATAATAATAATAATAATAATAACCAAAGATATTAAAAGAAATTATGTCTAATAATGAAGTTCTTGTTTGTCATAGGCTTCAAAATCAGGGTGAGGGAAGGTATCACGGGTAGTAGCATCTTCTGGAATACTGTGTTCTTCATGAGCCATTTCCATTTCAGGCTGTTCGTCGTCTTCAAATTCATATTCATCCTCATGCCATGGAATGGGATTACCACTGACCTTACCACCAATATAACGGATCCAATGAGGAACAAATGATCGAGAGAAGGTACCTACCCACCAATTTTCCATAGCACTATAATCAGGTTGGATACGACCACGACTAAGTACATCGATCAATAAGACCACACCATTAATAATAATATAGGAGATGATACCACCAATCACACCATAAGCAATAGAATAAGTGAAAGGCATGACAGCCAAAGTGATGAAAGCTGGAATGGCATCACCAGGATAATCCCAATTGATGTTGCGAATACTTGAAGTCATCATGGAACCTACAATGATCAAGGCCGGACCTGTAGACCAAGGAGGGAAACTGGCGAAGATAGGAGAGAAGAAGATAGATATAAAGAATCCAAATGCAACCGTAATGGCTGTAATACCTGTACGACCGCCTTCAGCAATACCAGCACCAGATTCAACAAAAGCTGTACAAGAAGAACTTCCAAAACAAGATCCAATACTGATACTCAAAGCATCAGCCATGAACGCACGAGTAGAATGTTCAAAATCACCCGTCTTATCGGTAAAACCACCGTAACGAGCCATAGAATACATTGTTCCTGTTGTATCAAGAATATCCACATACTATTATATAATAATAATAATAAAAAAAAAAAGGAGTAAGAGAAATGATTTCATTCTATGATTTGTCAAAACTTACCAAGAAAGTAATCAAAGCAATCCAGAAATCTTTTCCAGTAAGATTAAAGTCAAACTTGCCTAAAACACCATTTAAATGATGTACTGTTACGACCTTTTTGAAATAATCAAACATAGCATCACCTTCAGGAGTATAAGGGAAATAGGTCACCTGGCTTACACGAGGCCAAGAAGTAATAGCAATAAAGAGGATCCCCATCAGAATAGCACCACGAACACGATACATTAATAAGATAGAGATGATTACCAATCCTAATAAACCCATGTATAAGGTCGGTGATTCCATATGGCCCCACTGACACACACCATCTGGATCTTTTGCAGCGGCAGGACATCCACCAAGAGTAACTAGAGTTGATTTATCCAGAGAAACAAGACCAATACCTGCAGAGGATTGTAAACCAATGAAACACAGATAAAGACCAATACCGCATCCCATAGCTACCTTGATACTCATAGGAATGATTCGTGCAAACCATTGTCGAACACCAAAAATAGATAATACCAAAAAGATAAAACCTTCAATAAATACAGCAGCAAGAGCTTTTTTTTTTTTTTCAAATAATAATAATGAATAATAAAAGAAAGTGAGTTGAATTATGTCAGGATTTTTCTTTATATATATATTTTACCAGTTTCATAAGAGATTTTGCCAGATCCATGATAACCAACAACAGTATAAGTAAAATAAGCATTTAAACCCATACTATTAAAAAAAAAGTGTAAATCAAAACTATACATTTTTCTTCTGAATATATTATTTTTTTTTTTTGATGATAACTTTACCCAGGAGCCATACCAATAGGAAGATTTGCAAATACACCAATCAAAACACTTGAAATCATAGCAATAATAGTAGTAGACATAATCATTTGAAGTTTCAAATCAAATACACAAGCAGCATAAGCAGTATCATTATCACAAACTGGATCTTCAGCTGTTTTTGGACAAACACAAGTACCACCACTACTACTAATGATCGATGCATTCACTGAAATAATATAAGCCTAAAATTATATAATGAGTTCAATTGATATATTCTAACCGAGATTCTTTTTTTTTACCATAGCAAAGAAAATCGTGACACCTGCACGAAGTTCTGTCAAGAAACGAGTTCCCTTTCGTTCTCGTCGAGCACCTGAACCTTCCAATTGGAAATGTCGACCAATTCTAGAATGTGCTACTGCAGTATTGATCCGATTGGCCCAAGCCATTATATTATTATTATTTTTTTTTTAAAAAAAAAAAAAAGAGGTCAAGTATATAAAGGAGTGGAAAGTCGCAAAACGAAAGAGAGAGAGAAAGAAAAAGAGATAAAAAAAAAAAGTTTTGGTAAGGAAAAAAGTTTAAAAAAAAAAAATGACAAAAAAGTGAAAATCGGATATTGAAAAAAAATTTTCGTTCCCTGTAGTAAATTGAGCTAAAACCAAATTGGGAGTGAGGAAAAATTACTGTTGAATTGCCACTTAAACATATCTACGTCAAAGTGAAGTCGTAAAAAAAAAAATATTTTTTTTGACTTGGTGTTATATTTTAGTTGGTTCCTTAAAGTACATCATGTTGTATCCGTTGTATCCGTTGCGTTCATCGGATGCAAAGGAAAAAAAATCTTCCATTTGGGAGAGAGTTCACTCGAATTTGATTTTTGGTTTTCTTTTTTTTTTTTTTTTTTTTTTTTCATACAAGCCTGTTACCATAAGGCAAACTTAGGAGCACATGAAATAAAGATAACAAGGTATCACGTTTTATTGCCAGAAAAGTTTTTTTTTGTTTTTAATACGAACACACAAACGCGAAAATTAGGGAATAAGAGTAATGGATGATATATAGAGGAATGGATAACATAACTATAGTGAGATAAAAAGAATATATTATACAAGAAAAAACTTTTTTTTTTGGTGGTAGTATACTAGACAGACAGATTGGAATAAACTATATTAGAAAATTCATTTTTTGGTTTGCACGGTAAAAAAAAAAAGGAACGAATGCCTTCGACAGTCGAAAATCTTTGTTAAGCTTTTTTTTTTTTCTTGGGCCAGCGCTAAACAATGCTTCCAATTCATCTTGCCGATTTTTTTCCTTGCGGTAGTTGATGATGAATTCAAGATCATCTTGCACGTTAAAATCTTCTGTTGTCGTTCCCCTGAGGCTGTAGCTGATTATCTGATCACACTTGATGATGATCAAACAAAATAATAATAAGTTGAATATAACTTGATAGTAAAATAATAAATATAAAACTTAAGATGATTGATTTCTTAAGAGTGGCCAACATGATTATACTGACAAAGAGGGAAAAATATATAAACTACTGGATGTATTTATATACAAAAACTAAAGATTATTTTTAGATGATGATGATTAATCATCATAAGAAGCAATGATAAAATAAAACTGATAAATGTGATAAAAAAGTAATAACGGATGAAACTGTGTAAGAGTAGCGATTCAAATGAGACCAAAAATATAAAAAAGAAAAGAACGTCTTGGTCAAAAGTGTGTCAATTAGACCAATATCAAGATTTTGACAGATAGCAAGATAATAAAAAAAAAACTGATTCATAGTCAGCTTCAAAGGTTGATTTCATCCTAACACCAATGAATACAATAGGTCATGAAAACAACGGATACAGCGTTCACAACGAATGGAGATCAAAGATCTGTGTCAGGCGCAAATTGTTACACAGGATATGCACAATAAGTTTCTGGAAGTTTTATTGGGATCTTTGCTTGCGTTTATTTATTTATTTTTTTTTCTGTTCTGCGCTCTGATTAGATGCGATGATTCCTTTTACGGAAATAAACGATTCGAAATGAACAAATTGATAATTGATAAATGATCGATAAATGATAGCCGATGATGGATAATACATTGGAATGAATTCTTCCAAGTGGATATCTTTATCGCTTATTTGAAATAAGCAAATAAGTTATTTCGTATTCCTTGTATTCATTGAACTTTGAAGTAGTAAAGAAAGATTAAAATACAAATATCAAATAGAATAATCTAAGTTGAATCAATTTGACAACTTTATTATAAAATAAAAAAATAGAAATCATTTTGTTCTTTTTCAAAATAAATAATTCTATTCTACAGTAAAATAATTTATTATCATGGATGTCGTTATTAGGCAGGTTAGGCTAATTCGGATTCGGATAATCAAATGTAAAACGTGCACAACATTAATGACGATAAACTTACTACAAGTTCCATATAATATATGTTTTTTTTATTATCATCAATAACTAAAGGGGAGTGACATAGGTAAAATTAGTTGGTAATAATATTCTATCTAAAATCAAAAATAACCAACTTCGAGGTTCAGTATAACAAGATTGCCATGAATGACATCCATGTGGATCATTCCATAAACCATAACTAATTGGAGGAGTAACAATAGCATAACCAATACAACTTGATAATATCACTAAACAAATACCAAAAATCAACATCCAATACCATCCTCGATGATTTGATTTTTCCATAGTATGATTTATCTAATGTCAAATAAAAAAAAAAAAAAAAGATGAGTCAAAGAAATAAATAATCATTTTGTAATATATCTTACCAAACGATCCCCTGATAAGACTTCAGTACGTAATCTATCTACTACTGTTGCTTGCACTTCCAATTGTTCACACATCGCTTCCAAAAGTTTCTTGTCCAATTTATTTGTTTTTCTTTGATGCCAGAATGAAAAGAGTCCATGACTAGTGGTTGGATCCTCTTCTACTAGTCGTTGCTGTAATTCTTTGTTTTTCTTGCTAAGTAAAGCAAGTTGATTGGTTGTTTCATTCACTAATGCTTCATAGGATTCTTTTTCTTTCTCCAGTCGATCCACCTTTTCAATTTCTTCGTGAATCTATAGTTTGTTTCAATGAAAAAAGAAAAATAGAATAAATGTCAATGGCATTCTTTTCATTTATTATTTACTTACTTGATCAGCTGTCATGCCCTCTGGTATAAGTCTATCAAAATCTTCCACCTTTTGTCGTAATTTCTAAAAAAAAAAAAAAAAAAAGATATAATGAAAAGGAATATAAGAAAAATCATATTCATTATCCTTCATTTCCATCCTTTTTTTTTTTTTTTTTGTTCATCTTACTTTGACTTCCTCTATCTGTTGATCTCGTTCTGATTTGATTCTGAGTAAATCTTCTTTATAATTAGTCAAGTCAGATTGTGTTGTTGTCCATTCCTTTGTTCTTGTTGCCAATGCATCTTTCAAAAGCAAACTATCCTTTTCAGATTTATCCAATGATTCTTTCAAATTCAAGTTCTCCGTTTCCGACTTATTTAATGTTTCTTTCAAGTTCAAGTTATCCTTTTCAGAGTTATCCAATGCCTCTTTCCAATGCAAACCATTATTCCGTGCTTCCTCCAGAGCTTCTTTTAGTCGATCCATTTCATCTACAATATATATAAAAAAAAATCATTCAACATTATATATTATCAATTTTATTCAACTTACTTGAGTTGGTATGTTCCAAATGTCGGTATTGTTGATTAAGTTCATCATATTTCACCTTTGATTTTGTATTATGAGCTGTCAACTAAAGAAAAAAAAAAAAGAGTATGTAAACAATCAATATAATAATGAATATAAATAACTTACTTCATTGATTTGTTGTTGTTGTAAGGATTCAAGTTCTTCATGATGAGTAATCTTTTGTCGATATTCTAATACTTGTTTTTGTAAATCCCGAGTCATTGCATCCAATAATGATATCTTGTATTCAAGTTGTTCTTGTTGTTTTCTTTCTTGATCTGCTTCAGGAGAATATTTTCCGTGTGAAGATGATGACCGACTACCATTTCTTTTATTTTGCTTTCGATCTTCAGTAGTTGTTGTAGATGTTTTCTAAATTAAAATCAAAAGAAATAGATGAGTTACATATATAATATATTGTTGATAATCACCTTACCACAGAGTCGGAGATATGTATTGATTCATTCCATCTAGGATGATTAGGACTTGATCGTTCATACCAAACCATATCTACACCATTTCTTTTATCTCCTGTACTTAAACTACTAGTACTACGACCCAAATGATGAACATGTTGTTCTTCTTCTTCTTCTTCATCATCACTTGTCATAGTATTGTTCCTTATATATTCTCCAGAATGATTCTTCTTGTTGTTGTCATCGTTATTTTCCTTTTCGGTGTTTTCAAGTAAAGTTGGATCAATTGATACTTTCTTTCCTTTGGTTTGAGAACGAGATTCTATAGATCGAGAAACTTCATCTACACGTTGTGAAGTAGAAGATATAGCACGTTGTATATAATGATCAGAAGGAGTAGGTGATATTGGTTGTTGTTGTTGGTTTTTGAGTATACGAGTTGAAGAAGAAGAAGAAGAAGTAAAAGAGACTGGAACTATTTCTGATTTTAATATCATTGAATATAAACAAATGACTTGGTTGGTATCTAATTCCAAGTCGTCGTTTTTTGAAGCATAAGTTTCTAGAGATTGTCGTTGAGCTTTATTCAGGGCGAGTAATTTTTTTAATTCGTTTGAAGTTTCAATAATAGTCATCCATTCAGTAATAGTTGAAGTACCACGTGAAGCTTTGGGTGTTTGTTCTAATGCTTCTGTCAAGAGTTTTTTTAATAACTCTTCTTCTGCAGACTTGTATTAAAAAAAAAAAAAACATGAAAAACAGGTTTATTTATATATAAAAGATATGAACTTACGTCTTCAAGATCAGTAACACTATATCCATAGTGACCAGTTGACATTTTTGTTTTGATATAAAAGAATAAAAAAAAAATAAAAAAAAAAGGAAAATAAAAGAAATAAATAAACAATCAAATCTTTTTTTTTTTATTCTTCTTCTTTTCTTGCAGAATAATAGAACAGGAGAGAGAAATTCATTGACCGCTTTATGATGATGAAATAACATTCCTTTTTGTTTGTTCTTTTTCTTTTAGCCAATCATATTTCATATCAAGGTTTAAAGATGTTCACATGGTCACATGGATATCTTTTATTTTTTACACTAAAAAGAACAAAAAAACGATCATTATTTCTTATCGTCCGTCTTCCCGGCATAGCAAACGTGAAGGAAAAGAAAAAAAGAAAACATTTTTCATCTTCCGCTTGTCTTTTTTTCATTCTTTCCCCTTCTTTTTTCTTTTTTTTTTTTCTTCTTTTTTCTTTTCTTCCTTAGTTTATTTTTTTTTTAATGGCAACAGAAGGTGCTTTATTAGCTATTACAGATGGTATTCATAAGAAACCAATTAAAAGACGTGCTCGTATGGCTTTATCATGTCAAAGGTAATATATTATTATTATTATTATTAAAAACACACTAAAACAACTTTTTTTTTTTTTTTTTTTTTTAGGTGTAGACGACATCGATCAAAGTGTTCTAGAGGACGACCTTCTTGTGAACAATGTGCTTTAGCAGATGTAGCTTGTGAATATTTAGATGCTCCAGGTGACTTGGAAAGTACTGCCTTACGGGATCGTTTTGCTGGATTAGAAGATCAAATTCATTCTTTATTGGGTGAATTCGATATTTTGGAAGCACTAGTAAAAGAAACCAACCAACCAGCACTTTGTACCAAGGCTCTCAACGGCTGGGATATTCAAAACAAATACCCTCAAGGTTTAGCTATCGATACACACTTGGAAAATGTTGAAGATATTTACAAATGTATTATTCAGTTTGCTCTTGATAATGAAGCTCCACAACCACCTCCTTCTGGACCTCAACCTGCTTGGTTACGACGCAATAATGCTATATTCCCTACTATACGACTTTCTCATTTTACAAGTTTACAACCTGACGAAGAAGCTATTATGACCGACGATGTGGAAATCACTCATCCTCCACCACCATTACCACAAACCATTGTTAAGAACTTACTTCGACTTTATAAAACATGTTTGCTACACGGGGCTGTACAACCTTTCAACGTATTATTACAAGATATGCTTTTGGATCAAGAAATTCTGGATGCTACTCCCTCATTACAATTATTATATGCTTCTATTCTTTGTCACATGTTACCGCATGCTTATTGTTGGCATCGAGAAGCCTTTAGCTCACTTCATATTACTGAAGCAGAATGTGTTAGTTTAGCTCAACAATATTATGGATGGGCCAAATATCTATTGTCATCGCTCTACTTTGAAACTCCCAACTTGGCAACGTGTCATGCGATCTGCAATTTAGTTTTGTATCACATGGAAAGTGGCAATACATCGGTGATCTATCTTTATTCTGGTATGGCTGTGCGTATGGCGTTATCTTTACAACTGTATCGAGAAGAAGCATTGGATGGGATTGCACAAACACATCATGAAACCATTTTCAGGAATGCCAATATTAGATATATAAAAGGTTATGCTCGTTCTTTACTTTGGTTCTTGTATTTCTTGGACACAGCTACCTCTCATTTCCACAACAAACCCTACGAAGTCCATCTCAATAGTGGCGAATCATCCACCACCACTGCCTTCAATCCATCCTTATCTCAAGACGATCGTCAAGCTTTGTTTCAATGGCTAGAATTCCAATCTTGTCAAATCACACGCGATATCCGTCGAACCTGTTTTGCCAACGATGCCGAACAAACACCTTACCGAGAAATCGAACGTATCGAACGTAGTCTGACCTCCTTCCGTGCTTCCTTGCCCACTTTACCTATGAAACAAGCATCAGTGTGGAGCACTCGTTGTTTGTATATGCATTGGATTCGTTTCCATGGCCAATGGATTCTTTTACATCAAACTTATTTACCCACACCTTTGTCTCTCCAAAGATGCACCACTGCTGCTTTTGCCTTGGTTCAACTCTTCAACAACTGGATCATCGACATTGATTGTTATTTCCGTCCCTGTGTACATGAACTCAAACAAGCCTGTGATATTCTTCTTTATCATGTCGACAACAATACCGATGTCAAGATGAAAGCCCTGGAAGGTCTTGCTCAATTGATTCAAGTCATCTTACTTACTCCTGTCAGTGATATCGCAAAGAAACGTCCTTTTGTCCAACGTGTACAAGAAGCTTTACAACAAAATGGTTGGACCTCTGTTCCTGGTTGTTCGTAGTTCTATTTGTTTATTTATATATACATATTATTATTATTATTATTTAGTTATTCTCTTTATTTATCTCTATTCGTTTTATGAATCAGTATATTTTTTTTTTTTGTTTTATATATATATATGTATGTTTTTGAAATATAAAATAAAAAAAATAAAAAAAAAAAAAATAAAAAAAAAAATCATCATCACCTTACTTTTTTATTGTCTTGCGGCGGTCAAACTCTTTTGGAATTCTTTTGCTTTTCTTTTCTCTTAGAGAAAAAAAATATATGATGCCTCCTGTAGTAACTATTTTAGGAGGAGGTATTTCTGGATTATCAGCAGCATATTATCTTGCACGACTTGCACCGCAAATACATATTCGACTATTGGAAGCAACTGACCATGTAGGTGGATGGATCAAGTCTGAAAAAGTCAATGACAAGGTTTTATTTGAAGCTGGACCACGGACATTACGACCAAAAGGTACAGGTGGAGCTATTTTACTTGACATGGTAAGAAATAAAAAAAAAAACTATTTATTATACATACTAATCATACGGCATTGTTTTAGTTAAAGGATCTCCATTTGGACCAACATATTGTCAGTGTACCGAAAAAACATCCATCAGCACAACATCGGTATATTGAATACAAGGGTCAGATCAACCAGTTACCTAGTGGACTTTCGGATCTTTTATTCAACAGTCCTCCCATCATGGACTCAGTTATGGGAGCTATCATGAAGGAACCATTTCAACCATGTCCCAACCATGTTACGGATGAATCCCTCTATGACTTTATCCAACGACGGTTCAATTCTCAGGTTGCTTTGAATTTAATCGGTGCCCTGGCTCATGGCGTATATGCAGGTGATTGTAAGCAACTCTCTGTCCAATCCACTTTCCCTCTATTGGCGGCTTGTGAACAAAAGTATGGTAGTGTCGTCAAAGGTATGATGCGAGGTGGTGTCTCTCTCGATACAACAAAAGAACTGGCTCTGGCTGCGCAATGTGAAGCTCGCTACCCGATTTGGCAACACGAAATGCAAAATGCAAGTGTCATTGGTCTTCAACCTGGTCTAGCTGCTCTTCCCCTGGCCTTAAGACGGTTTTTGATGGATCAACCCAATGTGGATTTATTGACTCGACAACCTGTCACTCTTCTTGAATCATCATCATCCTCCTCCTCCTCTCTGGTAAGTATTTACAACGACAACAGAAAAAAAAAAAAAAAAAAAAAAAAAAAAAAAAAAAAAAAAAAAAAAAAAAAAAACTTAACCATGTCATTTATCTTTTTGTCTTGTTATTCAATAGATAACTACACAAAGCGGAGAAAAGTATGAATCACATCATGTTATCTCAGCACTTCCTTCTCATATCCTGGCATCTATTCTTCCTCCATCATCATCATTACCTCATTTGACACACAATCCTCGTGTCGATGTAGCAGTGGTCAACTTGGCGTATAAAAAGGACGATGCGAATACACAACTGGATGGATTTGGTTTCTTGACACCACATCGTGATACAGGATCACGAGTGCCTGGGGTACTTGGTGTGATATTCGACAGCAATAGTATGGGTATACAGGACAAGGATATGGTTCGATTTACAGCCATGATTGGTGGTAGTGATTGGGATCTTGCTTTTGGAAACTTAAAAGAAGAAAAAGAGGTGGCTACACAAGCTTTGGCTTTGGCACAGCAAGCAATGTCAACGTGTTTGGGAGTCGATGCATCTCCAACGTATCATCAAGCTCATGTATTACGACAATGTCTTCCTCAGTATTTGGTGGGCCATTCTAAACGTATGCAGGAACTTCATTTGGCTTTACAACAACGTATGTGTCTTAGTGTCACTGGTGCAAGTTACTTGGGTGTCAGTGTACCAGATTGTGTCAAACATAGTCGATTATTGGTCGAAGATCTTTTGGAAATAGGTGCTTTGGGTAATCAATCCTCTGTCGTGACTGGATTGGAAAAAACAATGATATCACCATGGTAAGTTATTCTATATAGTGCATAGATAGATAGTGTGTTTGTATACAATCAATAAAAACCATATTTAAAAAACAGTGAATTTGAATACATTTATTAGAAAAAAAAATAATCATATTTCTATATACTATGGATAGTCCATTCATGACAGGGTGAATACAAAAAGAAGAAGAACAAAAAAAAAAAAAAAAAAAAAGATGATATACACTAGATTATATATAAAAAAAAAACTAAGAATAAGAAGGAGGCAATTCGGCTACAGTAAGAAAGGAAGAGGAAGGAACATAAGGAGTATCACCTAGAGCCTGCAGATAAGTAGGTAAAGTATCGACATGACACCTCGTTGGCGTGCTCGTCAGTAAGGAGCGTTTGGAGGCCCAGGCGGCAATGACGAGATGAAGATATTCTTTAAATGAATCACGACGTGCATAGTCTTGTTTCTTGAAGGATAAGGTGATAATGACAGGATCAAATTGGTTCTGGACTGTGATGCTCAGCATGATTTTGTGGCGTTTCAGGTGACTTGTGCGTAGAGAGAGGGTGTGCTTCAAGTCCAGTTGAAAGGAACAATCTTGATCAAGAAGAAGAATAATCAATCTTTGGTCTGTGATATGGACAGAAGTATGTGGAAACACTTGATTCGAATACGGTGCTAATGTTGAAGTAATACAACTCTTGACATTGTCTTGATTGAAATAGAAACTTTCACCAGGATGAGGAACTGGTACTCGACGACCATTGTTGGTTCGTGTAGGTGTTTCGTTGTAAGATGCCATAAAAGTTATATATAATAATGATAATAAAAAAAAAAAGAAGAATATATGAGAAAAAAAAAAGTGTTGCGTAGTAAAATAAAAAAAAAGGTAAAAGAAAAAATGAATGAGAAAAAAAAAAAAAAAAACGCTTTTGAATAACACTTTGAAAGAAAATAAGGTCCGCAGAAGATGATTTTTCAATAATAATTAGAAATGGTAAAAACCTCAAGTCCAATTAGGATGTTTTATCTCTTTGTACTTGCTCACGAATGTTTATTATAAATAATATATGACATGATAATGTGGTCATTGGAAGAGAACAGCGGAGATAAAATTATAAGCATAAATCTTTACTCAATGATGGATGGTTTTGGTTGAAATGACATTTCAAAATTATAATTGATTTATATATATATTTCGATAAAATTAAAATGAAGTTTAAATCTAACTAATTTGATCTAATGAGAAGTATGATGATTTTAGAAATTATCAAAATATATATATATGCATCAAAATGAATAACCATATGATAATAATATTCTCTATATATTCACTTTATAATATATATTGCTTATTCAAATCTTTTTTTTTTTTTTTTTGAAATTCTATAGTTTTAAAATCTTTCTTTTTCAAGTAAACTTATATATACAAACAAAGCATATGAATGTTCCATGCGTCTTCCCACATGTTTTTCGAATTCCGTCTTTTCGCGCCCTTTTTTAATCTACAAAGAAAAAAAACCTTGTTCCTTTTTTCTCTCCTATTTTTTCTTTTTTTCTTTAACATTGAACCATGACCCCTCATTTCTCCTTGTCTACATCTTCTTTAAATCATGCAGTAAATGAAGCTTCTCATTGTTTTTCTTTTATGGATTCTTTACCAAATGATAACCTGATTCATCCTCGTCAAGTTGTACCTGAACATAGAGACATTACTTTTGAATTGAACAATACAACAACGAATAAACAACAACAACAACGACGAAAAACAAGAACACTTCCTTCATTATCATTGAAACATTTTCGTACCAAACCTTCTCTTGTTGGCCGTCACTCATTACCTTCTATGACTTCAAGAAAAAAGAAAGATAGAACAACTAGTATGACAGGTGGACTCTTTTCTTCATTCTCTTTATCAACAACAACAAATCCAATGTCTTCTTATCGTTTAGAACCTTTTTCTTTTGAATCTAATCTTATATCACACTCCTCCTCTTTGTCTTCTTCCTCAGACTCTATTCATTCATCATCCTCCACAGCTTCCATGTTACCTTTACTGACCACATCCTCCGAAAACAACAACAACAATCTGACAACTTATCCCGTAGGTCAGCTTTTATTCGGTACATCCATCACCAATGATCCGACATTTTTCGAAAAAGAATTGGATTCCATGATTGATTATCATCAACCACGTAAAAGTGAATCCGATCCTTTGGTAAAGTAAATATATGTATTACAATTTATCAAAATAATTAACTCTATTTTAATTATATATCCATTCTTTAGGAAAATAATAATGATGATGATCATCGACGACGACGGCAAGGTCTTTTATTACTCAAGACTTTGAATCTACAACGCTTGATGGATGATTGTACACAAATCGAGCAACTGTTACATGAACTAAACGATGATATGATGATAGAATGGAGTTATACAAATTGTCATCGTATATTTGAACAATACAATCGACTCTTGGTCCCAGATCATCACCCTTCTTCTGTTTATGGAAGTAAGACTAACTCATATCTACTAGAAGCACTGCAAGAACGTTTGGATTGTTTGGAAAAAAAGATGATTGATGATGATCGTTCGACTAATGCACTCGCTGACCTTGTAATCAACAAAAAAAAAAAAAAAAAAAAAAAAAAAAAAACTCTTTTTTTTTTCTTTACTAACTTGCATACATATATTTTGATTTTATATATATATATATATATATATATATATATATATATATATTTAGGTACAGGCATTGAAGCAACTGATTTATCAAGGTATTCTATTGACGAATGATCGACATATGGTAATTCCCAGCAAGAATCATTGGATTGAAGGAATGAATGAGAATGGTAATATGGAACAACTACAATCACAATGTATGGAAAGAAGAAAATATATCAAAGTAGATCATCGATATGAAGAGGCTTCATGGTATTCTGATTTCTTTGTGGGTCATTCCTATTTCACCTTTGTTGGATATCAAACTGAATCAGATCCAGTGGTACTGACCATCGTATGGGATGAGGATGAACAAGGATATAGGTGTATTCTTCGATCAGGTTCAGGATGTGATCTACGACGCTTGGTCAAGTTTCCTCAAAAAAGGAACTATACAACATCAGTAAAAATCACAGAAGAATGGCAAATGGCAATTGAAGCAACACTGGGGGTTGACTTGGATCAATTGACATTATTGAATCATTCGTTTGTAGTCAGTACTGGTATAGAACAAGATCTTCTTCGATTGGATCATAATTTGGTAAGTAATACCTTTTTTTGATCTAAAAACTCATTCATATCTCTTCCCTTTTTTTTTTTTTAAAAAAAAAACAATGTTTCTTAATAAATAGATCCAAACGCAATTCAAATGTGGCGTACTATGTATAAAAGATGGTCAAAGCAAGGAAGAAGACTGGTTCTCTAATGAAAATACATCGAATTCATTTACTGAATTTCTGGATTGTCTTGGTGAAAAGATTACTTTGAAAGGTTACCATGGGTGGGCAGCAGGTCTGGACACAAAAAGTAAACAAAAAAGAAGGATAAAAAAGAAAAGAACACCATCATTAATATAGTTCTTTTTTTTTTTTGGTCTGAATGGAATTAGGTGGTGATTCTGGTGAATATACAATAAAATCTAAATGGCAAGATCAATATGAAGTAGTGTATCATATTTCTACTTGGATTCCTTCTCTTGGTGATAAACAACATATACAAAGAAAACGGCATATTGGCAATGGTAAAAAATGAAAATAAAAGAAGGGCAATGAACTCATATGATTATTTTGTTGATTTTAGATGTTGTTTGCATAGTATTTGTAGATGGTCATCAACCATTTGATCCTGCAGCCATCAAATCACAATTCTTGCATGTGTTTATAGTTGTACATCAAGAAGAATGGGATGGAGATATCTGTTGGAGGTAAAAAAAAAAAAAAAAAAAAAAAAAAAAAATAGGAATAAGACTATGTGTGAGAAAATGACCTTCTCTTTTTTTTTTTAGGGTGGAAGTGACTGGAATCAAGGATGTACCTCTTTTTGGTCCACCACTAACGAAACAACAAATGTTTTTTGATAAACAAAGTCTTCATGATTTTTTGTTGGCCAAAGGTGAGAAAAAAAAATTTGAATAAATCGGAACGGATTAATTGGAGATGTTTCCTTTTATAACATAGTGATCAATGCGGAATATGCTGCGACTTTGAAATCATCTAAATTTACCAACTTATTGGACCGTGCACGACAAGGTACTTTGATGAATGTAGTGAATTCTGCTTTGAAGAATCATCATCCTATTGGAAAACAGAAATCCTTTATTCAACCTTCAAGTTTTTTCAAGGATTTCATCTCTGATAGAAGACGTAGTACTCAAGATGCATTTTCTGGTAAATCATCATGCAAGTAAACACTTCATTGTTCATCTCTCTTTTTATTATTAGGATCCAAAGTTTTAGCTTCCGATATTCGAGCTTCCCGATCAAGTCAAGCTGTTTTACAAACTGAGAAGAAAAAAGGTAATAAAAACAATAAGGATCGGAATGTCCCAAGATTTTACGATTTGACAACCTTTTTTTTTTTTTCTTGACATAGATTGATCAAGATGACATTCTTTGAAGAAGTTTTTTTATCATTTAGTATTATTTTACGTTTAGGATCATTTTTGTTACATTTTTGATAATTATATCATTCTCTTTTGTTCTATCTTTTTACTTTTCAATAAATAAATAAACAAGCATCCTCTCATTGCAATTTAAACCAAAAACAAACAACTTTTTTAAGATGTATGGTATGATCGGTTCAAGTTTCGGAGATCACATGGATAAAAAAAAAATCATTTGCACGCACAGACTAAACAAATCATCTCTTTATTTTTTCTTTTTCACTGACCATACAGGCATGTGCATATTTCCTTTTATTGACAAATCGTATTTATATCGTGGCAAAAACTAAAAAAAAAAAAAGAAGATGGATGATAAAAAAAAAAAAAAAAGTGAGAAAAAAAAAGTTTCGGTTTATTTATCCAAGTAGTATATATAAAAAAAGTAGTTCATCACAAAAAAGGGCCTTTCCATATGAATAAAGCTCCCCCTGAAACCTGCAACTCCTCTTGACCCCCTTGCTGTCCCTTTTTGTTGCACTCTTCTCATTTTAGGTAAAGAGAGAAAAGAATTGAAGGGGGGATGATTTATACGGGGTAACTACATATATTATTAAATGTTAAGATCTATCTTATCAAAAAAAAAAATTGAAACAAAAAGTGTTTAAAAAACTATTTTGAATTATTATTCATACATCTTCTGACCGTTGTCATGATTTCTTTCCTTTTACATTCAAAATCAATGAAAATGAGGATGATTTTATTATTATTATTATTATTATTTAGGAAAATGTTAGTTTGATGAGTTCAGAGAGTTTTTTTTTTCCCGCCAAATATTTCACTTGTGATAACATTCCCCCTGTTTTTGGCTTGATTTGATTTCATTTCTAATTTTTTTTTTCTCTTTTTATTTTTTTTTCTTTTCTTTCTTTTCTTTTTTATTTTTTTTTCTTTTTTTTTTTTTTTTTTATATTTATTTATTTTTCTCTTTTTTGTTGTAATTTTATTTTATTTATTTTTTTTATAAGAACAAAGCCAACACAAGCTAATTTTTATATATCGATGCTTGCCATGAAATATGAACCCGGGCTTTGTATACAAAACAATCCTATGAACGCCACGTTTATGTACCCAGCTGATTATTCCATCGGTTCACCTTCATTCTCAATGTCATCTTCATCACCTACAACTTCTACTTGTTCTAGTCCAACTGATGACCTCATAGAAGAGAATATGGATTACCTTTATGATCAAGATCAATACCCATCACCAGAAGTCTTTGACGCCATTGTACAAGATTACCTTCAAAATCTATCTTCCAAAAAAAGAGATAAAGCTTTGGTGGATCAACAACGTTATGGTTTGATATTACAAGTCTTGAAAGATCCTCGTAATACAGCTATCAGTACCGCTCAATTCCGATTTTGGGTGAAAAAGATGTTCCATCTTCATGGATCAACTGTTTGTCATGATGATAAACCTGTGGCTATGCAAGAACAAATTTATCCTATTTTAATTCGTGCTCATCGTGAAGCTCATCATGGTGGAAGAGATAAAACATCAGCTTTGGTAAATAAAGAAACAATGATCCATTTTTTTTTTTTTTGCTTATCATGCATTTCTTTTTATAGGTCCGCAAGCGATATTCTTGGATTCCAAAAGAATTGATTGCTCGTTTTGTACGTCGTTGTCCATTTTGTATTTCTCGTCGAAATGGTCATCTTACTCGTCAAACCATTCCTTCCAAACCGACAAGGAAAAAACGTGATCCTATCTATTATTATGATCAACCATCTGAAACCATTTCTTCTTCTGATTGGACCCAACAAACCACTCCATCATCGATAATGGCTGCCACTATCGCTACTTCTGCCGCCGCTTCTGTTGTTTCCACTCAATGGATGCAATCTTCGTTTTATTATTATTATTCTCAACCACAGCATCAACTTATCTCTTCTTCTTCTTTTAGTGAAATACAGAAAGATCCAATGTGTTCAACGCAGCAACTAAATACATTTTATACGGATCTTCCCTATGATGATCAATCAACAAAACCAACTTCATATGCTTCTTCTATGACTTCCAAACCAATGTATGTGTTGAATCCAGACTCGATGGATTTACTTTCTCATGGTCCTTTTGTCTGAACTTCTTCCATTCTTGTACATATCTTTATTTTATTATATCTTCTATTCCAACGTACATACTTTTTTATTATATTATATTATATATATATATATTCTACCAATGATTTCTCTCTGTTTTTTATGATTCCTTTTTTTTTAAACATTATATGCCTTTTTTTTTTTTTTTTTTTTTGGTCATTCAGTATATATTCATTTTTATGATGATTATTACCGCAGTTTATTTATTTTGCATATTATATCATAATACTATTAATAATAAAATATGTTGTTTATTTCAATACAAAAGAATACTATATACAATTCCAAAATATATCTATACGTAAAGATAATTTTTTCTTTTTCCTTTTTTTTTTTTTTGGTTCTAAGTGGTATCATCCTTTTCTTCATCCTTGGTCTTTTCTTCATCCTTGGTCCTTTCTTCATCTTTGGTCTTGTCTTCATCCTTGGCCTTGTCTTCATCCTTTCCAGCATCTCGATGTTGTATGGCATGAGCACGATCTGCCTTGACCGTTTCCAAAAACGCAGGAACCAAATCAATGATACATTGGATAGGATCGACATGAGCTTGAATACTATCTAGATGAGAGATAAAGAAGTTTTGAAGTTCGGCAGGAGTCACATAATTGACAGGAATCACATTAGCAAATCGATCTACATCCTCCAATTGGGTATCGTCTTGTTGTTTCTTCATATCATCATCATCATCATCATCGTCATCTGTGACCACAGTGGAGCTAGTGGAGAGTGTAGAAGATTGAGAGGAAGTCAACACCATGGGCGTCTTAACATCATCTTCATCGTTTTGATCCATAAATCGATGGTACATTGCCTTGATTTGATCACGATCCGCATAACCTAATTCCATCTTGAGATCAATCCGTCCAGGTCGAAGTAAAGCAGGTTCGATTTCATCCATATTATTGCAACTCATAAACACCATACTACCTTCTTGAGCCGTCACACCATCCAAAGCATTCAAAATCCCTGTCATTGTCAATTGTCCATAATTACCATTTTCCTTTGGAGCCGCCTTTTCCTTGCTTTTGGTCTTGAATCCATCACAATGATCGATATCTTCAATCAATAAAATACTGTTGAAGGGTACCGTACGTAATAAATATTGGATCGTTTCGTCGTCCATGTTAGAAGTGATGCTGAGAATGGCTACATTCATATTCAATTTGCTTGCAATGGATTGTACCAAGGAGGTCTTGCCAGTACCAGGAGGTCCACTAAGTAAAAATCCACGACGATGAGGAAGACCTAGATTGGCATACCATTTTTCTCGTTGTCGAAATAATTGAATATCTAAATCATACAAAATAATATAAAAAACCCTATTTAGTATAATGAATAACATGATCAATGTTGACTTACCATTCAAAAGTCTTTCTTTTTGACCTTTCTTCAAAAAAACAGAGTCAAAGTGTCGTAATACTTTGGTACCAACTTGAACCCATGAAGTTCCACAATATCGACTATTGGAAGTTTTGTAAATAGTTGTCTACAATAATAAAGATCATACTGTTAGTCAATAGGAAATCCCCTTTGTATTTAAAAACATTATTTACCTTTCCATATCTTTTTTGGTGTTGTATTTGAATCCATTCTTCCAAGAATCCATGTAATAGAGATGTTTGACGAGTTTTCATAGTAATAGACATCATATTGACTTGATTGACCATATTGAGTACGTCTGACAATTGACTACCATACGTATCGACATTTTCAAAAGAATCAGGAGCTTCTTTACCAATATTGACCCAGATTTTATATCCCTTGTAATAGAAAGTATGACTCTTGTCCGCTATTATTAAAAAAAAAAATATTGTCAGTCATGAATGATTATATATAACAGTTATACTTACATGGAAATAATTCCAATTTGGGTGCCTGTTGTTGTCCTTCTCTGTCTTCATTAAAGTCCTCATCTGCTGACTTATCCATTACTTTGGCTTCCACATTCCTAAAGTCTCTTTCATCCAATTGGGTTGCAATAAAGCTTTGTAATATGTTGTAGACTTCACTTTCCTTTTGACTTATTTTGATCGTAGTGTACCAATAACTATAAAATCGTGTAGTGCTGGTAGCAATCAAACTATTGAAAGGAGCGGTAATCATGGCTATTATTGAAAAACACGTAAAAAAAAAAAAAGACTAGTATCAATTCTGTTCATATTTTTTTTTATCATGAATTGGAAAGAATACTTTACGAGTAATATAAAACAACATGCCACATAAAACAACATCATTGCCAAAGTATCGTTTCAATAATTGAAGGAGTCGATCACCAAAAAGTTGTACCCAAAAAGTTTCTTCCGTCAATCGCCATAACCATGTTAAAATAAGTTCACCCCACACACTGATGAGTTCTGACATGAAGAGAAAAAAAAATAAAAAAAAAAGGAAAAGAAAAGAAAGAAAGAAGGATAAGGTCTTTTCTTTTTTTCTTCGAATCTCTAAGTATTTATACTTTGAATTCCCGAGGAAAGGTACACCAACAGTGCCACTTTTACCAATTTTGGTTGCAAACCCTATCCACCGCAGCTTATGCACTTTTTTTTTTTTTTTTGTTCTGTGAGTCAACTCCGCTTCTAGTTCACCACCATACCAAAACTGCGGTGCAAAGTAAAAAAAAAATTGCAAATTATTTGATTCACTCTTAATACAAATCTTCTTCAGAGCGAATGATGTCATCGATTCTCCTATCATAACCATCAACCCTTGCTTCATTATCTGGTACAACTTGACACTCTACTACGCATCCTTCACTTTCGTGTCTCGGTGTAACAAGGCTTGTCTAGATGATAGAGTACATCAAGATCAGACAAGAAAAAGGTAATATATAAAAAAAAAAGGACTCTAGCTCAATATTTGTGTGTTTCATTCAAGGATAAATGGAAACCATTTTCATAGAAATAAAAGGAAAGGATGATATGAACGATAGTAAGCCACACACTTACCATATGAAGCACAAGGTAATCCCATGCCAAGACTCATTATTATGAAATGGATGATTGGACCCCTTTTTTTCTTCTTGACTCTTTCTCTTTATTTATCCTTTCTTCCGAAAAGCTGTATACACGTGAAAAACTCTATTATGAAGTGAAAAGAAGATCCATTTCGATAGGTGAGCCCTTGATCTACAAATTCAGTCAAAGTTAAACCTTTGTTAAGCATTTGCCACATTTTGACAAAAGATCTTTTTTTTTTTAAAAAAAAAAAAAAAAAAAAAAAAAAAAAAAAAACTCAAACGATTATCAATGTAGACTAGTTGGAAAAAAAAATAACTTAATCACTTGACATGATCTTTAATTGGTAAATGTATCAATATCATCAGAGCATTGTGGGAGAGAGAGAGATGTCAAATCAAATCAGATGAAATATTATCAAGAAGATATAAAAAAAAAAAGATATTTCACATAATTGGCCTGTGATGTATTTGGAAAGAAAAGCCAAAAAGAAGGATAAACAGAGTTTCATATATATATATAAAAACTGTCAATGAAGATCCCTTTTTCTATTGCTTGTACCTGATTGCTGGGTTACTTCCATCCAAAAGGAGTATCCTGTTTTTACAGTCCGCATATTGCCACCAGTATCAATATTTCTTTAGAGAAAATAGGCATGATGACAATTAACCATTCAAGGAAATAATAATAAAAAAAGTGTTTATGACATTTTTTTTTAAGTAGTCAATATAGTGAATAAACTCAGGGGGTGTGTGTCAAATGAAATCAAAAAAGGGTCTCGACTTGATTCAAAAAAAAAAAAACTAATACTATAATAAGACAACTGATTAAACATTCATACTTTGCGATGATCATGTCTTTATTACAATTATTATAATTATTATTACAGTATTATTAATATTTGCCATTATTGTTATTGGTATATTATGTTGAGGCACTAGCGGGGACTGAAAGGCGATATATCACAATCAAGGTGATTTTCTTTTCACACACAAACAACACGGAAAAATCTACTTTTTATTTTTTTTTTCTTTCCTTTCCTTCTTTCTTATTTTCTATTATATATCAATGGCATTAAAGTCACCACTTCGAAAGAAACGTAATTTCAAAAACCTTACTTTGGAAGATTCACCTGTGGTGCTACATACCAGTCCAAGAACAGCAGACGAAGAAGAATATGCCAAACTATGTGAACAACTTGGTGACCTTGAAATCGGTTTGGAACTTCAACTTGACTTGCGACCGGATGACTTTCAAACTTTAGATGAACTTGGACGTGGTAATGGTGGTGCAGTTTATAAGGTATTACATGAACGGTCAAATACCATCATGGCAAGAAAGGTAAAAAGAAGAAAACATCTATTCTTTTTTTTTTTTTAAGAAAGTCAAAATTTTTTAGGTAATACATGTTGAAGCCAATATCAATGTTCGAAAACAAATCATTCGAGAACTTCATTTTATGCATGATTGCAACTCAAAACATATCGTTAGCTTCTATGGTGCCTTTATGCATGGTGGAGATATTTCGATTTGTATGGAATTCATGGAAGTAGGGTAAGAAACATAATTTTAATGATTTGTAATAGAATAACTAGACCTTTTTTGTTTGGATTATAGATCTTTAGATCGAATTTATAAGAAACTTGGGCCTATTCCATTAGATGTTTTGAAAAAGATCGCTTTTGCTGCAAGTAGTCTTTTTTTTTTATGTTATCCTTGATGACTAATATTTATTTTCTACAGGTTGTGGATGGATTGATTTATTTATATGATGAACATAGAATAGTTCATCGAGGTAATAAAAAAAAAAAAAAAGAAAAAGAAAAAGAAAAAGTACTTAATTATTATTATTATCAAATGTAGATCTGAAGCCATCCAATGTGCTTGTCAATTCTCAAGGTCGTATCAAATTATGTGATTTTGGTGTTTCAGGACAATTGATTGATTCATTGGCAGATACCTTTGTAGGCACTAGTTCTTATATGAGTGTAAGTAAATAGAAAAAAGGCAAAAAAAAAAAAAAAAAAAAAAGACTCATTTTTTTTTGAATGTTTATATCGGTTTGATAGCCGGAAAGGATTAAAGGATCACCATATACAGTGACATCCGATGTTTGGTCTCTTGGTATTATGTTGATGGAATTGGCCATGGGAAGATTTCCTTTTCCTCCAGATGGTGATACTTCTTTATCCATTTTTGAAATGTTACAACATATTGTCAACGAACCTGTCCCATGTTTCCCTGATGATAAAGAGAAATACCCTACTCCTTTAGTTGATTTTGTTAGTAAATGGTAAGAGATAGAAAAGATAAAATAATAATAATAATAACTTATCTCTTTATTTTTAGTTTGGTCAAGGATACATCATTACGTGCTACACCTGGAGATCTTATGGTAATAACAAGTAAAAAGGAATATAGGATGAAAAACTAATTTTATAAAATTTTTATATCATTAGAATCATGCATATATTCAATCATCCATACATGAAAAAGTCGACTTGGAAAAATGGGCCAAAAAAGTACTAGATAGTATAGAATAGAAATCGTACCATATTTATATATATTTATTTCCATACCCTTATTTTTTTTTTCTACATTCATACCATTCAAATACACCAAAATCAATAAAAAGATATCTTTTTTTTTTATTATTCAAAAAAAAAAAAAAAAAAAAGAGAGAGAAAAGAATAAACTATAATGGACCTTCCAAAGCACTACCACTATTATACATAACAGGATCCAAGAATTCATCCTGTTGTCGATTAAAAAGACCACCCCAATACTGAATATCTGAATATTCTGGAAAAAGGACACCACCACCATCGACAAGATCCAAATCCTTTTTAGGGTCATACATGTCATTGATATATTTTTCACTATTCGAGTTGATATAATCCCATAAGCTGTAGGTTTTTGATTGAGGATGATGATTGGTACGTTCACTTTCACAGTTGAATAAAAAGGTTCCAAATTGACAGGAATAGACATGATAATGTAAATCAATCAAAAGTTGTTCATTGAATTGAAATCGAGTGGGGAACTGTTGGAGTAATTGATAGACACAATCCAGGAATTGATGGAATACAGGACTTGTTTCCTTTTGATAATAATTGGATTTGTAAAATTTGTTTTGCATGTCCTTAATTGTGTTCGTTGCTGCATTACCACCAGTATTTGCCAAATTCACAAAGTACTTTTCGTTTGATAAATGTCCACATCGATCCGCAAATTTGTGTCCAAATGATATCCACTCTTTTTCGATCAAGATCTGAATACCTCGTAATGTACGGTAGTAAGGATCTAAACATAATTCGCTTATCGATACCAATTGAGCCGTTCTGTCCCATCCATCTGAGCAATGTACCAAGACATGTGAATTATATACATGAATGTTTTTTACAATCGCCAATGTGCCTTCTATCAGTGTACCAATATGTTTCAACCAATTCGATCGTACCAATCCTGCTCGATTTACTTGTCCATTGTTGTCAGTGCCTTGCATTGCTAATCTCCAAAAAGGATGGTTAATAACTAAATTTTCTCTCCATTCCTTTTAGTATTACCTTCACTCATTTTTGCCAAACTATCACGCATAACATGAATATTATCCACAGCAATATAAATTTTTTTACAATTTCGATAGTTATCCATATTTTCCGTTCCAGCACCACGAGCAACATTTCCCATTGCATTAGCCATAGGTCGAGCATCTACAATCATATTTGCAGCTGTTGATCCATATACAGTTTGTCCATTCGGTGCTGTAGGTACATTAGATGCAAAGATAGCTTCAATTAATTTTTCATCTTGAATAGATCTTGCTTGTTTGAATCCAACCATAGGTTGACTACTTCGAGTAATAGTTGCCTAATCCAAATTATATATATATATATAAAGTGAATAAATGTTTTATACATATATAATAAATCTTTTGTTTTGTGTGTACCATATTGTGCCAATGAAGATATGATAATGCTGGAATTCTTGCCTTACTACGATATTTTGCTGCATAATTCAATACATTATCACTAATTTTTGTTGGGACAATCAATGTTCTAGGGTATGTTGGAGAATACTAATTGTAATGAAAACCAAATGAATATAAAATATTTCTACTTTTTTTTTTTTTCTTGTTACCGCTATTTACCGAATAACCACGATTAATAGTAGAAAATCGCCAAGCATCAGTTTTACTACCTACACCCATTCTTGCATATTCTTGAAGGGGATCATATATTTTCCAACCATCAGTAGAAGTAAAAGGTGTACAAGGTTGATAACTATATGCATAAAGTTGTTCCGTTGAATCTAATTTTTTTTTTTAAAAAAAAAAAAAAAATTTAATAAATCAAAAAAAAAAAAAAAATATGAAGTAAATAACTTACTGATACAAGTCAATTTTTGGATACTATCAAATACATCTTGAGCTTCTCCATCTTTTAATAAAGCAAGGGTAACAATCAAAAAGTCACGACACCGTATAGTAAGAGGATGACGACCAGATTGTAAGGAAGGAGGTTTACGTTCCACTGTATGAATAATGGGATAGGGTATCTATAAATAATATATTAAGTTATCTATTATCCATCTTTTTCTTTTCTATTTTTCTTTACCCATAGTTCTCCTTCAGTATGATTGAATATAAGATTATGTACAGTAAGATGAAGTGTACCATTGAGTATTTCTTGTCCTTTTTCTAACTGGACATCGCTGACCTACAAAAAACAGATAAAAGATATCATTTTATATTATTATAATATGTTTTTTTTATTATTATTTATTTATTTACCTGAGTTATCTTGAGTAAATCAATACGACTTTGATGCATCAAGTAAAATATTGTTGTTATTGTTGGATTCGAGAAACTATTCAAAAAATATATATATATGACGAGTGGTTTAAAGGAAGTACCACAACGAAAAAAAAGAAAGGAAAAGTAAAGTGAAGGGAATATTAAAGTCAAAAATATGATATGAATAGAAAGAAATTAAATACAAATAAAGAAACAATCAATGTATCTAAAAGGTGGGAAGATAAAAGAATTGGCATACAGTAAAAGAGGGAAAAAAAAAAGGAAGAGGTCCGTTTTGATTCGGTGTTGAAAATGAAGTTCTCACGTGTACATCAGTCCATCCTACACCTTTCTTTTTTTTTTTCTTACTAGGTTAGATTATGATATGTTTTTTTTTTATCAATAAAGAAAAGTAACTAATAATAAAAAATTTTAGGTAAAATCATCTTTCTATCTATCTTTATCAATGATGAATCAATTCATGGCAAAATAGTAATAGACACTGTGGAGAAAGTGGATGTCGGACTATGAATTGAAGTCTTTATTTTTTTCAGTTCAAAAACTATACAGCTTGTCTGCTTACTTCTTCAGTCATCTTTGTATTCCTTTTTCCTTTAGGACCAGATTATGGGTAAGAAAAAAGAAAATCAAAATACAGTGGAAAATGGACTATTGAACTCTTTTCTATTTTTTATTTGTTCCTTATCAAATAGATCTGGTCGAATTGATACCTTGATAATTTACATACATATATATAGATATATAGATAATATTTATTCACCAACCTAAATTATATACAACGAAATGCCAATCAATAGAACAACAACAACAACAACATCATGGTTGACATTTTCTCATCTTCTTATAGCATCTATCCTACTTCGAGTGATCTTATTACTTTATGGAGAATGGCAAGACGCGCATATGACTGTCAAGTACACAGATATTGATTATATCGTTTTTACAGATGCAGCGCGTTTCGTAGTACAAGGCGGCTCTCCTTATGAACGGGCGACTTATCGATATACACCATTATTAGCTTGGCTTCTCACTCCCAACATTATCTTACATCCTTCGTTTGGTAAATGGTTATTTGCATTGGCAGATATTGGAGTCGGATACTTGATACATCGTATTCTTGTCCTTCGAGGCATGCCATCGCAACGAGCACTTTGGTTTGATTGTTTATGGTTATTGAATCCTATGGTGGCAAATATTTCTACACGTGGAAATGCAGAATCATTACTAGGCATTATGGTTCTAGGTACCTTATATCTGATGTTGACTCGACAGTTTTATCCAGCTTGTGCTCTCTTTGGTTTGTCTGTCCATTTCAAAATCTATCCCATTATTTATGTCGTACCATTACTATTTTTGTTGGATAATGATCGTTATGGACAACCTACTCACTCCTGGCCTTCCCTTATGCATTCCTATCAACGACTGCGTCTTTATCTTTTACATGTCTCCTTACCTCGTTTGGCTATCTCCTTGGGTGTATCGTCTCCTCTTACCAAAACTACTATAATGATCAACATTGATGATAAGAAAAAAGAAGAACAAGAGGATGATAGAGTGGTTGACAAGGATGGTTTTGGTTCCTTTTCTTATTACTTGGTGGAAGGTTTAAGACAAATCATTTTATTTTGTTCACCTACTCGACTCATGTTTGGACTTTGTAGTGGTGCTGTTTTTTTCTTATTTACCTGGACAATGTATCAAATGTAAAGAAAGGATTAATTAGAAAAAAACTATGACTTAACTCTATATATGTATTTAAAATAGATATGGTGATGACTTTATGGAAAATACTTATTTATATCATATTACCAGAAAAGATCATCGACACAATTTCTCTATATGGTTTTATCAGATGTATCTTGGATTTGAACATCCATGGATGGGATTATTAGCTTTTGTACCTCAACTGGCGATGGTAACTGTGACAGGAATTGTGTTTGCCAAGGATGTCTTTTTTGCCTGTTTTATTCAAACTTTTTTATTTGTCACATTCAATAAAGTTTGTACTTCCCAGGTAATTGAACAAGGAAAAAAAAAATCAAATGAATGACAACTCAATTTTATTTAATAGTATTTTATGTGGTATATATGTCTTTTCCCATTGATCTTACCATCTACTGATATTCAATTGAAATGGAAAGGTATCTTTTTAATATTATCTTGGATTGCTGGACAGGTAATAATAATAATAATCATGATTAGAATTTTGGTTATATTGACTCAGCTTCTTTTTTTTTTTTTTTTTTTTTTTTTTTGTTAAACAATGATTAAAGGGACTTTGGCTTCAATCGGCGTATCAACTGGAATTTCTTGGACAGAATACATTTTTTTCATTATGGTTGGCAAGTCTCTTCTTTTTCCTAATGAATAGTTGGATTGTAGTATCATTGGTCAGACATCATGAATTTGAACCTGTGTATGGGAAAAGTGGTAGAATTCGTTGGGTATGGGGAATGGGTGATCCTGTTACTTTAGATTCAACGAAGAATGCTTGAAAAGGGAAACCTTCTATTGGTAGTATAGATAATTTGCATTCTATTTTCAGCGAATAGGCTATCATATATTTTGATCATGCTTATCCCTTTTCTCTTTTCTACTATCATTTTTAGTTTAGCTTATTTTTTTTTTCTATATACTCTCTAATAAAGATCCAATATGAAATGAAATACATATCATGATCATCCCTCATTTGACTCCTTTTTTTTTAAAGTTCCAAAAAAAAATGATAGAATAAAAGTCGTCATTGTTAAACAAAATAAGAGAATGATGTAAGTGCACGCCAAGAAGCATAAAAATAACGCTTACTCGTGTCTTTTTTAGTTTGGCCAAGCAGCGCCGTTTCAAAGGTGCTATATAAAAAAAAAGCACTATAAAAAGAAAAAGAGGTGGGGAGATCACTTTTTTTTTTTCTTTTCCTTTTTTTTTTTTTTTTTTTTTATTCTATACAACCTATTCTCTATTTATCAACATGAGGTAAAATAGATAAAAAAAAAAAAGGAAATCATTCATATATCGATTGTTTATGTTCGATATAGTCAACCTATTGCTATGCCCAACACTGAAGCTTATCCTGCTCCTCAAGTTACTATGACCACTGAACGTCAAGTCAATGCTACTGAACAATTGAAGCAACAAGATGGTAAATAAATAATCATTTTCATCTATTCTTTATATCATATCATTCATTCTTTTTTTTGTTGTTTAGAAAATGCTACCAACTCCTTGTTGAGGTAAAATAAGAAATGAAACAAGGGATTTATCTCCTTTATTGATTATCTTTTATTTTTCACTTTGCAGATTGAGAGGTGGTGGTTGTGTTAAGGGATGTTTGGAAGCTATCTGCTGCTGCTGTGCTCTTGAAGCTATCTGGTAAGTTACCAAAAAAAAAAGAAGAGATATTTTTTGTGTTTAAAGGAAAGAAGAACTGACATTTTTTATTTTTTTTATTTGTTTTGATGATTAGCTGTTGTAAGTTACCCACCCTATTAACCGAAAAGAAAAAAAATATATAAAGGAAATAGCTATGTGACACAGTGTTTTTGGCGGTATCACAAGGTCATTTTATGTTCTGGAATGACTCAATTTTTTTTTTTTTTTTTTTTTGTATAGGCGAACTTGATGAAATCTGCTGTTAAGTTGATCTATTTACTTTATTTACATACCAATTATCCTTCTTAGTAGTTTTATCTTATTATTATTATTATTATTATTAGTATTTATAGTAATTGATTGATGTCAAAACAATAAAATTTGTCAATTGATCTACCCTCTCTGTATTTAATTTCGGCTGGTATTTCAAATGGATAGGTTTCTCTTTTTTTTTCTATATTAGAACCTTTTTTTTTTATGAGCTCCGTTTCATATGTTGTGGCCAAGGTAAAAAAAATTCTAGTTTTATTTTGATCGGGTAAATAGAATTCCGTTTAAGTTATACATCGTTTGTTGCCACAAATTCATCAAAAATAAATTTAGTGTAATGTAGAGTCTTATCGTGATTTTAAACGTAATACGCCATATTATAAAATATTCGTAACACAGAAAAACAAAAACAAATAAAACTTGTTCGACATGATCTTATTTTCAAAGTTCCACAAAAAAAAAAAGATCAGCATTAGGCATAGGTTTACCAACATTTCAATGATTAGTACCACTTTTTCTTTTCCAAATAAAAGAAATGTTGTGATAACAACAGCAAACAATAAGTAGATCATACTTGTCATCATCATGTAGTCATCAGGGAATCATCGTCACAGAATCATTATCATAGTGTTGTCATCATAGATACACTTTGGAGGATCATCATCATCTCAAAAAAAATAAAAGCACTCACATCCAGATGCTCTCTACCATTACCCCATTCCCCTTTTTGTATATATTACTCTTGTACATGTATATAGTTTTTTTTTTTTTTTTTTTGATCCCATCACATAGTTTAGGCTATAATTCCTCAACTTGACAAAATTAGAATAGTGAAGATTCTCTGCGTCTTCTAAATCCTAATAAAAGAGCTTCTTTTATCACCGTCATTATCTTCATAAACTATAGATTTTATTATTTTTACCCTTATATCCTGGTATCGTCATCATCATCATCGTCTTTGTTCATCAATGCTCCTCTGCTTTTCAGTAAGATTGTTCAAGTAGTTTGATCTTACAATCTGAAGAGGCGTGAATGCTCGTAACAATAACAATCCCTTTCATGGTCTTCTGCAGTGATAAAAGGGAGCAATACCCTGCAGCCTGCGAAATAAAAATAAAAAAATAAAAAGAAAAAGAAAAATCTGGAAAGGATCGTATTTTCGTGCTCTCTCCCTCTTTTCTCTCTCTTTTTTTTTTTTTTTTTATTTTGCAGACTGCAGGATATTATGATTATCCATCATCATTTTTCATCATAATTCGTCATAATTCATTTACCATTCGTCATTACTGATCCATCATCATCATCATCATATTCATAAACTTGGAGTTTATCAGTTTTACCTTTGTATCATGGAACCATCATCATCTTTAGTCCACCTGCATAATGCTCTCCTGCTTGTCAGTATGATGGTTTAAGTAGCTTAGTATTGCGTCTAAAGGTATATGAGTACTCATGACAATAGCAATCTTTCTCTCTTGTATGATGTTCATCAGTGGTAAAAGGGAACAGCATCACGCAGTCTGCAAAATAAAAAAAAAAAAAGGACATGGAGGCGATCTTATTTTCATACTCACTTCGCAGTTTCTCTTTTCTCCTTTTCTCCTTTTTTTATTTTTTATTTTTTATTTTTTTTTTTTTGCTTGTATTTGTCTTCCCCGCCTTACATAGTGTATTGTACACAACAAATCAGCAGCATCGAATTAGCATACATCCACATGGAGTTCGTCGTAGTTGGTGGATACTTCTAACAAACAAATTACCAACTAGATTAACATTACGACATAAACATAGGAGATGTTTAGACAGACTGGAGATCAACGTTTTGATTCTCCTGCTTTATAGATTTTCCCGGTACTGTAAACCCACCTGAATTCTGGAAGATTAATTTTTCTTATATATATTGCTTTGTTTTTCTACCATTGAAATAAAAACAACATTTGTCTTCCTTAAATTCATTTTTTTTTATTCGTCCCTCATTCAACTACTGCTCTTGGTTAGAGTGATGGGTATCATGAACACGAAAACAACTTTATGCTTGATGCTTCTAGTTTTTAGTTTTTTACTAAAAGAAGTCTCTGCCAATATTTATGCCTGTCATACTGGTTCAACTATTCTTCAAAGCAACTTATTGACAAAATGTGTATGTAACTATTTAAAAAGAAATAACTGGTGGGACCTCTATTACTTTAGACAAGTTTGTGAAATTGACCCTAGTGAAATTCAAAAGTTTAATGACTGTTGTAAGAACCCTGCCTTATGTGCCGAATCGTGTCATACATCTTAGGAATAATAAATAGAAGCACATTTCTATTCTTATTTTTTTTTTTTTTTTTGCTAATAAACTCTCTGATTATCAGCTTGAACTTTCAGAAATCAAAGATTTATATGACTGTTTAATTTTGTTGAAAAGGTATGGGCTATTGACATGTGGTCCTTATATTCTCAATGAGGACATAGGTTATAGAGCCTTTTTTTTTTTTTTGTTAAAATTAATTGGCACCATCCATCATCGTCCTTCATAATCCGTCATAATTCATCGACCAATTGTCCAATGATCCATTGATCCATCATTCTCGTCATTATCATATTCATAAACCATGGAGTTTGCCATTTCTACCGTTATCCTATAGAATCATCACCGTCTTTGTTTCACCCGCATAATGCTCCCCTGATTTTCAGTATAATGGTTAAGATAGTTTAATATTATGATCCAAAGAAGTATGAGTGCTCGTAATAATAGCAATCTCTCTCTCATGGTGCTCATCCTGCTGAAACAGCTGAGTTCAACAGATATTGTGACAAACATAGCACATGTGTCCCTGATTGCCTTATAGCCCGCTCATTTTAGTTAATAAGAAATAAACATCACATTTATAAAATCATCAAAGAATGAACAAATTTACTAGACAAGAGATTAATATGTGAGATAAAATATACATACAGACGAAAAAAAAAAAAAAAAGAGAGAGAGCTTGTTGCATTACTGGATGTTTCCTTGTGGATTGTATTTATTTTCTTCTTTTCTGTGCTATGACTAGAGACTTGTTTGCATCAGTGTTCGAACATACTTGATGTTCTAATCTGATTTTTCCCTTCGCTCTCAATTTGATTTTCTCTTCTTTCTCAATTTGATTTTCCCTTCATTCTTAATTTGATATTCCCTTCACTCCCAAATTGATACTCCCTCGCTCTCAAATTGATTTTTCCTTTGTCGGTATCTTTTTACTCTTTTTTGTCTCAATTTAAAGTGAATAGTCTGAGTCAGAATTGATTGTTTTATTTTATTTTATTTTTTTATCATATTTCTTCCACTCCTTTTTTCTTTTTGTTTTTATCACCTTCTCTCTTTTCTTTTTCTTCGTTTTATCTTTTGTCTTCTCCTCATTCCAACTTTGATAGCTAGGTAGAAGTTATCTGCACTTTTCAAATCTAGTTAGCAGCAGATGTACAAGTGGAAGCAACAACGTCGTGGGTATATACGGTGGTGAAATCCTTTCGCATATTATTTTAAGGCCTCGAGGACATAGGAAGACGACGACGATCAAGGGCTTGTACGTAAAGTCAATCAAGCCATCAACGACAACATTACATTAAATCGTCAACAACTACAATACATGAATGATGACTGCTTCGCTCGACTGCGAGAAATGATCACAAACAATTAGACAGCAAATCGCCAACTCTGTCCTTTATTTGCAAAATACTGATGTCATCGACCGTGTGCAATATCTTTTTTTCCAAACTTTGTCAAAGATAGCAAGAGACAGAAAACAGCGTGACCAATGGGATGTGTGCTTGGCGGATGCCATATTAGCAATACGAACGATGCCTAACGATGTCACCAAGTACAGTTCCTCATTTTTACTCTATGGATATGAATTACGCACCCCTGCTACCTGGCCTGCTCCAAGATCGGATTTTGTAGAAGGTGATGATTTTTCCTGAACATTGGAATACCATCAAAAAAAACTCATGGGCTTTCACTCGTTTCTTTGCCAAAATATACTATGCCAATTGGTGCGAAGAGCTAATGTCGGCTATGATTGTGATGCTGAGGACAAAAATGACAATCCTTTGAAAAAAAAGAAGCTATGGTGTTTAGACATGCGTTTGACTTTAGAAAACTACGTGGCATAAGGTAAGCATAATCAGCCTATTCTCATTTTATCAGCAAATACACTCACAGGTTCTTTTTTTTTTTTTTTTTTTTTTTTTTTTTTTTTTTTGGTTAAGGCGTCATCCGTTGTCTATTACGCATTATTTTTATTTTGCCAAACTATTAGTGGACAAAAATTCGATTGACTCGCTGTCTGGAACCACTTTACCATCAAGCCTCAAATCAACTGCAACTCAGGCTCTTTCTACTAATCTTGATAATATTTGGAATGGACGGATATTCGAAAGACTTTTTGGTTATGTTTTACGAATCCTTTTGCATTTACACTTGGCGCATCATCCATCATCCATCGTCCATCATTCATCATTCCATCATAAATCATTATTTAGAAAATCCAGCGTACTTTATTATGTTAATAAAATGTTTCATTTATTATATGATTCTTCTATTATTCATATCCCAAAATTATTTCGTTTTTTAAACAGTTAAATTTTACTTTATTAGAATGATGTTGAGATACACAACAAATATGAGAGACTCTTTTTTCTAAAGAAAAAGAAAAGATTTCGGTTAAAGATGGATCCATTTCGAGGTAATGACTACAAACATCAATATTAGAAGCACAATTAGGGCCACCTTATGAACTAGGAGGAGGAACGGTAATGTTAATACTGCCAGGATCAGAACCAGAAGCCAGTAGCATCATATGCAGAAGAATCAAATACCAGCAGCAGCAGTATCAGAAGCGATAATAACACGTCTAATATCAGGAGGATTGTCACCAAAAGCTGCAAGAGAACATCTTTTTAATTTAGCTTTGTATTTATGATTCTTTTCTTTGGAGCTTCTCTGGTTGGAACCATAAAACAGCTCAGGATCAAAAGAAAACATCTTCAAGCATACATATAAAGTACTATTTGTATTATACTATGGTACGAGAGGTTTTTTTTTTTTTGGCAGGTTTCGTATTGGGAATATATAATAACGAGAGAATGATGGATGGTAGATCTTGGTAGATGATAAAAGATGATAAAATGATATTCTTTTTTATTATGAAGATATGATACAAATCGAATGATAAATAAAATAAAAAAAAAATGAAGATAATAACTAAATAGATAGATATAGGAAGAAAGTAGATGATATAATATAAAGTTCGAAGAAAAAAAAAATGCACTACTTGTTTTTTTTTTCAGATGTCAAATCGAAAGTCCAATCGTTCACTGCCTTGATGCTTGGTGGTCAGTAAATAATTGTTTTTTTCGTCTTCGGTCATTGCATTCCATTTTCGTTCGCGATATTGGTTGGTATATTTGTATCGGAAATGTTGGAAGATCAATAGAATAGCACAGGCCACAGTAATACCAACAAGAACCCAGTTTCCGGTATGGTAATATGGAGCATCCTTGGTTTCTAATGATGATGATGACGATAAACGGAGAACATCGTTAACTTCCAACTAGATCATTCATTTTTGATAAAGGAAGAACTTACGGTAAATTTGAGATCCAGGTACACCACAAATATTTGCAAACCCAATAATAGCACCTAATGCTAAGGTTCTTTTTCCAATGGGAGCCAAATTAGCAGACATCCTACCATAAGATAAAAAAAAAAAAAAAGAGAGAGAGAGAGAGAAATTGAATATATTAGAAACCTTTCTATTCTTTTTTTTTTCTAAAAAAAAAAACTTACCACGCAATATGTAAACCATGAAAGAATGGAGTAGAGGCAGTAAAGAGAGCCACAGCATACATTCCCCATCGGCCAGTAGTAGGAGGGACGAATTCAAGGGCCAAATAACCAACTGTACCCCAAAGGACCTGAATAGCACTGATAAAACCCATATAACCAAATCGTTCAGAAAACCGAGCCAAGGCAATGGAGATGATCAAACTGATGATATAAGAAGGAGCTGTCAAAAGATTGGCAGTGGTAACATCGAATCCATAAGAGCGAATCATGGTAGGCAAGTAAGTTCCTATAGGAGTGGTGGGCATGACACCTAAAAACGTGATAATCAAATGTGTCCAAAGATTGGTATCCAAAAGTGCCAGTTTGGCATCTGACCATTGTACTTTTTTCATTTGTTCTGTCTTGGTGAGATCATCTCGTACTAATCGTGTCACAGCAATCTTCCGTTCTCGTTCCGTGAACCAACCTTTTTTGCCCCAAAGAACGGTAGAAGTCTTTCCAGGTCCAGAAGGCAAATATAAGAAGGCAATCAAACCAATCAATTGGGTGAACAAACCATCAATCAAAAAGAGCCATTTCCATCCATAGAGTCCTCCTATACCAGCTAATCGGAATACGCCAAAAGAAATCAAACCAGAAACAGCGCTTGCAAATGATTGAATGCCTAAAAAAAAAAAAAAGAGTCAATCCATCTGAATTCTATATGATTTTTTTTTCCTTTATTACCCCAGAACCATGCTAAACGAGTTAATAATTCTCTTGAAGTATAAAAACCAGTGAGATAAGCTAAACAGGATGGAATGAAGCCAGCTTCAGTGATGGAAATAAAAGCGCGTACTGCCAAGAAGGAAGAAAAGTCCTAGATAAATAGATGAGTTGATTTTCAATACAAGCTTTGATTGTGTACTTACAGTGATAAAAATATGTGCCCAGGTGACAATGGCCCAAGAAGACATTAGAATAGGAATCCATAAATGAGCACCTACTTTTTTGACAATGGCATTATTGGGAAGAGTTACCACAGTAAAGAGTACTAAGAAAGAAAAAAAATAGTTATTCTATATGGTATCTTTCTTTTTTTTTTTTTTTTTTTTAGTACCTGAATGTAAAAGAGTACCAGTATTCACACCATCGTTTGTAAAACCAAGATTAGCAGCCAAGTTATCAGATACAGCATTGGCTAAAAGAAAAAAGAAAATTATAAATAAAAGAACGGAGTATAAATATGATTTTTGCATTGAAATTAGACTTACAAATATTAGTTCTATCCATATTCAACACAAAAGTCATTAATAGAACAAAAGACATCAATCGAATATCAATTTTGTTTATAATACGACGTTCTTCTTCAGGAGACCATTCCAAACCAGGATCATAACTATCATCCGTTTCAATACTTTCCACATCACTACTCTTTTCTGATGATGTTAAATATCTATCTACTTTATCATTGATGGCCAGATTTGATTTTTGTTCCAATTGATTGATTTCGATCTTTTCATTCACTATATTGTTATCTACCATTTTTGTTTTTTTTATATAATGTATCTGTATTAATATATATATATATAAATAGAAAGATAGATAGATAGATTGTAAGATCGATGAAAGAAAATAATAAAAAAGAAAAATTAAGATGATTGGAAAATAGAAAAAAATCCTTTCTTTTTATATATGATTCCAGAATATGGGATAAAATTACATCTTTTTTTTCGATAATATCATTGATATCAAAATGGTATCATCTACCTTTCTTTTTGTTTTCTATCCAGTTGTGTGTCGCCAGTGGATTCAAAAGGAAAGGTTAAGTGAAAATTATAACCTTAAAAAAAAAGGGAAGGACTATGAACTCAGGAAATTATTATCACGTTAATGATTTGTTAACATGTTATCATTCACTAAAAAGATGATGCGATTGTTCACATAAACTTGTATCATTTTGGTGTTGCCATCATTGAATCACCGCCATTTCCTCTAGTACGGTAAAGAAAAATGTCACTTTCAAATTGATAAAATGACACCATTCATGATTGATAACGTTATATTTTCATCCCATCTCTTTTCAAAAAAAAATAATTCTTCTTTGAATTCCTTAGTATCATGTTACACTATAAGTCTTTTTTTTTTTTTTTTTTTTTTTTTGCATTGATGTCTTTAGAGGTGGCTTTTTGTTCATTTCCTCACTGTCGGAATATGAAAACTACAGGGTTCTTTTTTTTTTTTTCCTGGACAACCTATTATCAACTTTGGGATACAGCGTTAAAAAAAAAACAAGCGGTAATTGTTTTTTTTCCACTTCCTTTTTTTTTTCTTTACCTTTTCCTCAAAAGTGTTAATATACAACAACAAACCATAATAATGTTGCTTTCCAATATTGTTCGCTCTTCACCAACCACATGCAACATTCGTTTATTTTCAGCCACCAGTACTGCCCTTGTTGGTCGTCAAACAGGTCGATTTAGAAAACCTGAAAAAAAGTTTGACGTAGATCATATGGAACCTTTTGCCTTTGACGATCAAACCACTATTGGTCACAACCTTTTTGAAAACATTCGTCATGTACGACAATATCTTCGAAAAACCAAATATGAATTACCAAAACTAGGTGGTAAGTCATTATTTATTTATTTATTTATTGTTAACTTACTGTTCTATTTTATTAGGATTTGCTCAACCGTTCGTACCTCCTACTGCTGATCAGATTGTTCAATATAAAACACATACTTATTGTGGTGAAGGACATCCTGTAGAACGCAAAGTGGTTCTTTCAGTCAAAGTGACAGATTTGAAATTGACTCCTTCTCAACGACACAAGTTATTGTTGCTTGCAGGACCAAGATACCATGTGGATACAGATGAATTGATCATGTCAAGTGAAAAATTCCCTCAAGTTAAACAAAACAAGAAATATGTTACTGATATTTTAAATACTTTATTGAAGGAAGCAAAGGTAAGTAAGAAGGAAAATAAAAAAAGAAGGATTCAGTTAACTTATATATCTCTATTACTAGGATGACAAGGATACTTTTGCTGATATTCCTCTCAACTTACCGCAACCCAAGAAGAAACTGGTTTTCCCCAAAGAATGGGCTCGTCCTCCTCAACAACAACAATCTCAAAACGATCAATTAGAATAATTAGACGACAACAACTTTTCTTTATGATAGATCATTGATTCCTTTTTTATATAATAAAAAAAATTAGTTCTATTTCATTTATGAATGGATTATTTATGGTTGACACTAGATATAGTTTATACTAACTATTTAACAGGATTGAGAAAGATCTTGCATTGTGATAGGTGCTTTCAAATGGTAATTGGCATCCATGATCCCAAATGAACCTTCCACACCGGATTTATAAGATTCATCCATAGCAGAAAAATAAAGAACATCAACACCTCTCTTTTGAGCTTCACATAATACACCTTTGACATAACTAGATCATTCAAAAAAAAAAAAGAGCCAATAATCATTATCATCTTTTTTTTTCACATAGATAGAAAAGAATACTTACGTTCGTTGGTTATCAGGAGAAGGAACGGATGCTTGAAAATTAGCACCAAGAGAAGGCCAACCGGTTTCCGAGATCTTGATATCTTTGCCATTGACACGATTGGCTACCGCATCATAATGTTCAAACAATTTGGCAACGGCTTGATCGATCTGTACGCCTTCCCAATAAGGAAAAGCATTCCTATTTCATCCAAAAAAAAAAAATAAGCGTTTATGTCCATCAATATATATATATATATATATGCATACATCATCAAGAAATCAACAGTATCGACAACTGGGGACAAATATATCTGACTATAGAGTTCGGAGGTAGTGACCTTGACACCAAGAGGATGGACCAAATTAGCCACGCGACCAATATAATTGGCCAATGTCTGGGGTGTGGCGTCGTTGCGATAGAGTACTTCTGATCCTACGATGATGGCATCTACATTCTTAAAACTAACACCACTATTCACTAGTTGTTGTAGTCCATTGAATTCACTTTCAAATGTATCGGAACGACCCACCCACATACCCAAGTAAATGTTCATCCCTGTACTTTGTGATGCTTTCAGTGCCAATTCACCTAATCAAAAAAAAAAAAAAAAGACAGGATGATTCCCTTTGTATATATATATATACATATATGTATGTATCATATGATACGATATGATTCTTTTTTTTTTATTTTACCTTCATTACAAACGGCCATAGCGTAACTACGAACACGATTTGTATAAGTCTTGATCTGATTGAATTCATCAATATAATGTTGTAATGCTGGGCAATTGTTTTGATCGATGCCAAAATTCAGTCCATAAAAGGATGCTACGCATACATAGTTGCATACAGCAACAAAGAAGAAAAGAAAACACCAATATTTCATGAGTAGAAGTCAATTTGATAAATAAGGGTGTCAAGAAAATAAAAAAGGTTTCTTTTATAAGGGAACGGAGTCTCATTTTTACTTTACTTGGTGTGGAGCATTAACAGTTAACTAGTAAACTAACTATAAAGGATCAAGGTTAAGATTAAGATAACTACAGACGATAGCATGAGGTATGCTTCCATTTATAGTCAAAAGGACAATCTCACACACAGCTGTAGACAGGGAGTTATTTTTTAAAGCAATCTTTTTTTCATCCACGTAGTTTACTCACTCGCATGTTTTCATCGAAAACTCTCCTTTTTTTTTTCGTTGGTACTTGGAACCAATTCAACAGGATTTGTCCCACTATCCCAATTTATTTTTTGTATTTTTTTGTGATTATAGCATAGATATGTTACATCGATATCATAATCTCGATACATCTTTGGTAATCTAATTTTCAATGCATCAGCAAGACCTCTATACAAATCATTTCTAAGATTTTTTCTATACATGAATTCAATCACTTTTTTTTTAAAGAAGGCATGAATTTTCCTGCAGAACAAAAAAAAAAAAAAAAAAAAAAAAAAGAAATAGAAAGACGAATTTTTAGGCACTATACATCCTAAAATTTATGTGTGAACATAAATTTTCATTCCCCACTTCCTTTCTTTTTTTTTTTTTTTTCTTTCCTCCTTTCTCTCTCTCTTTTTCCTTTTCTTTTTATTGCTTTTTTTTTTCTTTCTCACAGCATCTTTTTTAAGACAAACTTCTTTTCAAACTAACTGTGTCATTACCGTAATAGAAGAATTAGGCGAAGGTCTATGCGTTGTAGAATAAGCACTTGCCAAAATCGAATGAGTAGATGAAATGGACAAAATAATCAATATGATTGAAAAAAAAAAAAACGGATGAAGCCCACCAAGTAGAACATCAAGCATCTTTTTGAAATTGTCAATGGAAGAAGAAAAAGGAATCAAAGTAACTAACTAGCAAGTGGTCATTGTCTTATCAAAAATTATAGATTCAAGTCAAGCTGACAAGATCTAGGGGAATGTCAAGTCAATGGCGGTAGTGATAGTGAAGCCATTGAAACAAGAAGGTAATATGATGTCAAAAGGCCTTCAAATGCTCCAGTATCCCAGTCAAAGTCTAGCAAATGGTAAAGAAGAACGTCAAATCCAAATTGGCAACAGCTGGAATAAGAATTGACTGCACTCAAGAAAAATGGATTTCAAATACTCTGCTTCGTGACAAATCGGCAAGCCGTGTGGAATGATCAGTAAAGATTGATAGGCTAAGACATTTGATAACCACTAATTATTTTGATCCTATTTTCTTTTTTTATTGAACCATCATCATCATCGCTGTCATCACTAACAATAACACTCAATACCAAGAAAGTTGACATGCATTGGACCTTCAACAAGAAAAGCAAAACAGTCATCTTCAGGATCATCATCAGTAATATCGTTATCAAAACCATGTAAACATCGAAGATACCAATTGTAGTATAATTTTTTTTATATTCCATATATTATTCTGGTAGCATACAATCTTTTATTCATAATAGAGAAGCACTCATATATATTTTGTATTTGATCGTGTATATATCCTGTATTCATAATAAAAACCCACGATTAATTCTGTATTTGATCCTGTAAATATCCTGTATTCATAGTAAAAATACGCGATTTATCCTGTATTATCCTGCAATTACGGGGTCATTTTTCCCAAGGTGATGGTTTATCTGTAGAGAACTATAGTAACTTTTATTTGTTTTTAACAGGGTTGAGAAAGATCTTGCATTGTGATAGGTGCTTTCAAATGGTAATTGGCATCCATGATCCCAAATGAACCTTCCACACCGGATTTATAAGATTCGTCCATAGCAGAAAAATAAAGAACATCAACACCTCTCTTTTGAGCTTCACATAATACACCTTTGACATAACTAGGTCATTCAAAAAAAAAAAAAAAAAAAAAAGAGTCAACAATCAGTATCATCGTTTTTTTTTTCACATAGATAGAAAAAATACTTACGTTCGTTGGTTATCAGGAGAAGGAACGGATGCTTGAAAATTAGCACCACGAGAAGGCCAACCTGTTTCTGAGATCTTGACATTTTTCCCATTGGCACTACTGACCACCGAATCATAATGTTCAAACAATTTGGCAACGGCTTGATTGATCTGCACACCTTCCCAATAAGGAAAAGCATTCCTATTTCATCCAAAAAAAAAAATTGAGTGTTTATGTCCATCAATATAATATATATGCATACATCATCAAAAAGTCAACAGCATTAACAATAGGAGGTGAGAAATCATAATAAACTTCGGAAGTAGTGACCTTGACACCAAGAGGATGAACTAAATCTGCTACACGGCGAACATAATTGGCCAATGTGGCAGCATCCGCCTCTTTACGATAGATAACTTCTGATCCTACGATGATGGCATCTACATTCTTAAAACTAGCACCACTCTTCACTAATTGTTGTAGTCCATTGAATTCACTTTCAAATGTATCGGGACGATCCACCCACATACCCAAATAAATGTTCATCCCTGTACTTTGTGATGCTTTCAGTGCCAATTCACCTAATCAAAAAAAAAAAAAAAAGGATGATTCCCATATTGTATATATCATATGATACGATATGATTTTTTTTTTACCTTCATTACAAACGGCCATAGTGTAACTACGAACACGATTTGTATAAGTCTTGATCTGATTGAATTCATCAATATAATGCTGTAATGCTGGGCAATTGTTTTGATCGATGCCAAAATTCAATCCATAAAAGGATGCTAAGCATCCATAGTTGCATACAATAACAAAAAAGAAAAGAAAACACCAATATTTCATGAGTAGAAATCAATTTTGATAAATAAAGGTGTCAAAAAAAAAGAGATGATGAAGAATCGTTCCATTTATAGTAAAAAAAAAAAAAAAAGAATATACTGTGGACAGGGAATTTTTTTTTTAACCATGTCTTGAGTCAATTTTTTTTTTTTCGCCCGAGTAGATTACTCACTCCCAAGGTTTCATCCAAAACTCTCCTTTTTTTTTCTTTTCGTATCAAAAACTTAACAAGTCAGGAATTGTTCTTGACGTTTTGTTCTTCTTTTGTCGGAATGCCAAATGTCTAAAAATAAAACTACCATGTTTGAGAAGACTGATCATACAATTTCTTTTTTTATTAATGAAAAACAATGAGATAATAAAAATAATAAGAAAAAAGGTACATAACAATGAGATGAAAAAAAAAAATCAAAAAAAAAGCAAATACAGTATGTACAAAAAAAAAAAAAAAAGGTATACTAAAAAAAACAATAATCAAGAGATGATACATTCGGATTCGGTTTGTAAGTTTTTTGATTTCCGTTGACGCTTGTGATCTGCAGATGATTCGAGACCAGTGATGGATGATTGCTTTTGAAAGAGAAAGCCTGATGATGGCCTATAAGGATCTATTTTCTCTTGATGAATGCGAGACTCTAGTAACAAAGATGGGACACTTTTGGCGGCTTTCAGTGCGTGATAGATTGGTTTGTTGATACAAGCTTCTGGTTGTCGTTGCTTTTTACGAATGCCAAAGAGTCGCTGGAATTTGTTACCCGATGATGGTGGTAAAATCAACGGACTGGTCGTCGTCGTCGTCATGGCTGGTTCAAAGGTCGTCACTCCATTAGGTGATACCGATGCTATCCAAGAAGGTTGTGAATTCTTGCCTTGATATTGTTGCTGATATGATTTGACAAAAAAAAAAAAAAAAAAAAAAAAAAAAGGAAATAGTTAAATACACAATTTTTTTTTTTTAAAAAGAGATACCTTTTGGTCAGGGTTAAACACACATGACTTGGTTGTATTGATACATGATGCATGACAAACTAGGCTACAAACTATAAATATAACAATAGTTTAGTTGCATCCCCCAGAAGCTTGCCCAACAGATGATTTATTTTTCTAAATCTTTACTTACCTTGACAACGACTGGCAAGATGTCCAATCTCTTGGGAACAGCTGTCGCAAGTGATCCCTAATATAAAAAAGCCAGAGATAGGAGTGAGTTCCTTGTCATCTATTTTCCTTGCATTTGTTTCATATATATGCTATATGATAAACCTACTTTCATTTTCCACTGAAAGACGAATGTTAATGAATTGGTGGTGGGATTGTCGAGTGGGTGTTGGTGTTCCAGAGGTTTTACCAGTCAAAGTCAAGAAATCCTCTTCACAAGTAACAATGGTCAATTGGCTTTCATCATCATTCATGATACTATTGTTGCTAGTTGTATCTTGTATTTGTTGCAATAACTTCAGTCGTTTCATTGTCGTTTGTAAATGTATATTTTGATTTTCCAGTTTCTTTTGCCGTGATAATGTAGATCGAGTTGAATCATACTTGACTGTACGTAACCAGGGATGGACGAGTAATTCAGCTGCTGTAGGTCGACATTCAGGATCTTTCTTAAAACACAATAATAAAAAATCGCGTAGATTCTATTCTCCCCAAAAAGAAAATCCATCAGTCTCTCTCTCTCTCTTTTTTTTTTATCATAAAACGAAAGAATGACTTGCCTTGGATATATCATTGGGTAATGGTGGACAATCATCTTCTACAATATGATACAAAGCCGACATGGAGATAAGATCAGCATAAGGGGGTTTACCAGACAAGAGTTCTGTAATAGTACAAGCAAGAGACCAAACATCAGATTTCGTGGAAGCTCCTTTCATTTCAATGACTTCAGGAGCCATCCAATTGGGTGTACCAGCAGGAGTGCCTTTCCCATCTTCTTTTTTGATTTTCAAATTCAATGATACACCAAAATCAGTCAATTTGATATCACCTGTCTTTGTTGTCAGAATGTTCGCAGCCTTTAGATCACAATGTACTACATCATGATTATGAAGATATTCCAATCCTTTTAAAATCTTGTATGTATAGGATGCCACTAACTTTTCAGGTAAACTGCCAAAGGCTTTGAGGGTAGATAAGAGTGATCCATTTTCAACATATCTAATATACATATATATATATATATATATATATTTAAAAAATAAAGTGAGTCATTATATTCAAGACATAAAAAAAGGAGCTTACTCTAATACAATATTCATATATGTAGTATCCCGAGCAAAACCAATATAACGAACAATATGAGGACAGGTCATTCCACGTAAGAGATTAACTTCTTGCTATATAACGGTATACCATTACTATTAGATAAATATATTCTACTTGATTATCCTATTTATTTTTTTGATTTACCATGATTTCATCTTCTACTTTTGCATCTTGTACCAGAATACGTTTAATTGCTACAATTTCACCAGTTTGCATATCCAAAGCTCTAAATAAAAAGGAAAGGTTTAAATAAATCGCCCACCTTAAATTCTTCTTGACTCAAAAAAAAAAAAAAGGAACATTACCTGTACACAGATCCAAACTGTCCTTTTCCAATACAATCACCAAGAAGCTATGAATAAAATAAAAAAAAAAAGAAAAAAAAGACCAGTATGATCAAAAACAATGAATATCAAGTAACCCATTACTAGCTGTTTTAGTGACGTTCACTTACAAAGTGAGTACTGCGTTTGATTGGTTGTCCATGTTTCTTCATTGAGACCCGTACCGTAAGTCGTTGTTGTTGTCTGTTATTTTGATGAACGATGTCCAATGATTCATCAGAGTGTGATCTTTGATGATGAATTCGTTTTGTTACATGTTTTGAAGCAGGTGTTGAATTCAGTGATGGCGGTGATTGAGTCTGTTCTTCAGACAAACATGATATTGAAGAAGATGGTTGCAGGATTGGTATTGATTTTGAAGGGCAAGAAGTAAATAAGGATGTATTGGTATCTTTTGTCATCGAAGATAAAGGAGTTTCTTGATCTTGAGTCAGAGATGTTTGACTAAACCTTTTCCGTACAATCATAGGACCACCAATGACTTGTAAATGAGAGATGTCTCTTTTGTCGCATAATAATAAATGATCCGTTGACTTGATTCCATCAGCAGTAGAGGATGTAGTATCATCATGTAAAGCATCCATGATAAAAGTAGGTGTAGCACTCAAATAGTGTCGTTGTTGAGATAAGGAAGCGTATCCACTATCATTGGCCATCATCGATTGTTTGTTATCCATACTTTCATTGGTGATAAGAGACAAAGATGAAGAGAGAGAGGAAGATGATGAGGATGGAGGAGAGATTTTTCTTAGAGAAGTATGCTGTAATTCATCCTGCTTTCTATTGATTCCACCTACAATATCATTACAATTGGTTGATGATGATTGCTTGAAAATATTTTTGACATGTCTATGTGTATGATAAGCTTGCTGATGAGAGGAAGGTTTACTAGATTGTTGAATAGTAGTAGTAGTAGTAGTATTAGGTGCCATTGTTGGGAATTTGGTATCAGGTTGTTTATATTTCCTAAGCGTCACTATTGATTTGCCATCTTTACTGCTAATCCTTGCCAAAGTCAAAATGGTGTTGATGACCTTAAAAGATAAAGTTAATATCATTGTTGTGATATATATATATATATTTAATAAACTTACAGCAGTCATATCCTTTGCTTCATATAAATCCACCGTTTGGAATAAATCCGAGTTTTGTAATCCCAACTAATAAAATAATTATCAGCATACTTAAAACTTGTATTATTTTTGACTTACATCCTTAGCTCCTTGTAAGAACAAACTAATATTGGCCATCTATAAGAAAAATTGAATCAATAATAAAAAAATAAAAATACAAAATATAAATATTTACTTTGACAAAAGGAATATTTTTTCGTCCAATAGAAGAAATAGTATTTGGTTTGATACAATTGATCAGACTACAAAATATAAATAAATAAAAATGGTTTATAAAATAATAATAACAATAATAATAATATACTTACGTGCATAAAACAACCCCGTCTTGAAGTTCTTTGTGCAAGTCATCACCAAGAGTAGTTTCTAAAGTAGATTCCAAAAATTGTTTTGCAGCATATTGATTGCTCTTTTGTTGTTCCCCTCTTAAATGGTCACATAAACGATCACAATGACTAAAGGAAGTAGGTCTTACTTTTCTTTTATACATTGTCAATATAATAAAAAAAAAAAAAGAAAGAGGAAGAAGAAAATATTAAAAATAAGAAAATAAATAAATAAATAAAAGGACTGTTCCTGACTTTTTTAGTGATTCTGTTTTGCAATACCTAATCCAGACAATAGATAAACATTCGCATTGTTACACCAATATCCTTTTTTTGTGTTAAGTTGTTGTATTCAATGCATATGGGATCTTTTTATTTATTTCTTGAAAATAAAATGGTGATAGAAAAAAAATAAAAGTAAAAAAAAAAGACAAATGAAAAAAAAGGGAAGTATAATAATAAAAATAAAAAATAATAAAAAAAAAGAATACAAAAATAAAAACAGTGTATATAATAAACTAAGCCTAAAAAAAAAAACCTAAACCTTTTGTTCCAAGTTGGCAACAATATCTTCACAACGATTGATATTTCGTAAGAACCAATCAGCATAACGACGACCAACCTTGCTTTCAGCAATATGAACCACATCTTGTTTCAAACAAAAGTTCAAATCAGAAGTAGGCATATATTCACCTTGTAATACATCTCCACTAACCCATTTCAATTGTCGAGATTTTTGCTTGAATACCAATAAATGCATTTTGAGTTCTTCAGCATCCATATCAAGGAATTTAGCCAGTTTATCAATACCCATAGATGTATACAATTTCATGAATGATCGAAGAGTAGGAAGCATAATTTGATTACGAATATCAGACATAAAGATCTTGACTTGATTTTGATTAGGATCCTAAATTAATATAAAAAATAAAAATAACAAATAAATAAATAAACATTAACAAAAAAAAAAAAAAACTTACAATCAAATGATCATTGGGTCCTTTGTTCAAATTCACACCAGTAGCAGAAATAAATTTGGGACAAGCATATTGCCATAATTCTTCAAAAACAACTAAAGCTTCTTCTCCTTTTTGCATCTTGAATAATTGTTCACCATACTTTTCACGTAATTGAGAATGAATGGATTCATCTAATCGAGTAGGACACAAAGCAACACAAATGGCCAACAAAGCATACATTTGATCACCCTTCTTGGCAATTTGATCAAATTGATAAGATCGAGAATGATACTGTTTAGTACGTTGAATGAAGGACAAAATAGTAGAGAAAGCCTTGATAGCATCAGCATAACGACGCATCATCATATAAGCAAAACCAACATAATAGAAAGTCGTCACATGACAGGCAGTCACCCTAGCAAACATGGCCTTTTTGTTTAATACAATGTTATCCATCATCTTCAATGCTAACATATAATCACCCAACAGACAGTGAACACGTAATAATCCAATAATAGAGAAATAACCAAGCATCTTGTATAAAGGTCTAGATCCATATTCACCAGCAGCTTCCATCATATCACCACCATTCTTGTTCACCAGTAATTGTTCATTGATACGTGATTTTTGAATAAAAGTGTACAACACATTCAGAACACTATAACAACTCCAAATTTGAGGATTGTCTCTTAACAATGTCCATTCTTCTTCTGACTTGTTACGAAGACGATCACGATAGTTACTGAATGATTGGAATTGGAAAATGAATTCGTCAATAATATCCCAAAGCCATTGATTAGGTAATTCCAAGTTGACAGGTCCTTCTGAGTCTATCCAATATTTTGATTAGTTTTGTTTTTACATATATATATATATATATATATATATATATATATTTACTTACTCAAAATGTAATTGAAAAGATCACAATAATTTTCATAAGAATGTAAACGGTGTTCCCAAGTAGGTGTCAACCGAGCATAAATGTGACGGTAATAGAGTTCACGGTACAAGGTCAAAAATACTTGATCTATATACAAAAAAAAAAAAAAAAACATTAATTCGTTGCACTTTTTTTTTTTCATCAAAACATGTTTATTTTTTATTACCATCATTAACAAGAGGAGCGATGAGTTCAGCTTCAGGCCAAGGTTGTTTTTGATAATACTTGTTGGTGAGCTTGTTGAAAGAGCTGTCGTATACGTTGTGAAGTTCGTACACGTTGTTTTCCAAAACATTACGGTAAAAGTACAAGATAAAGTTACGTACACCATCAGGGATTTGTACAGTCGAAGGTTGAGGAGTTGACCCAGGGACATTGACTAGAATAACAAACAAAAAAAATAAAAGATGTTGCTACAACGTTTAAAAAAAGTTACAGTCTAGTTTTTTTTACCTTCAGTTTCAAAGCCATCATCCATATCATTGTTTTGAGTGAAGCTTTCTTGCGCCACTAATTCAACTTCGGCGATGAGATCGTCGTCTTCAAAAGTGTCTTGATACATTATATACTAAGAAAATATGTACGTGATGTAAAAGGGACACGATCAACAAGAGAAGGAAAAAAAAAAAAAAAAAAAGAGAAAAAAAAAAACTTTTGGACTTTGAAAAAAACAGAAGATCGAGTCACGGCCCCGCTTGGTAGAACGCCAAAAAAAAAAAAAAAAGATTAGCACTGACGATAGAATGATGATCTTTGATCAAATTATCAATAATAATAAATCCGATTATTATATATCAATCAATCATCCGAATACCAAATATTTCATTAATCATAGCCATTTCGTTTACAATCGTTCTATATGTATGATGAGCATTTATTCAAGTGGACAAAATCACCGTAGAAGTTCCATTTGTGAAGTGAGATATTGATGACATTTCTTTTTTTTAATTTTAATTTACTTTATAAATGTAATCATCTATAAATTTCATAAGGTCAAATGAGAAAAAAAAAATAATTTGTTTTATGTTTTGTTCAAATTTGGTGTAATGATGATGATTTCTGATCGAGAAAGGGGAAACTTCAAACTGGTGTGCAGGATGAAAAAATGGGATCAGTTTTTGAACTTTACAGCCAAAAATTTCAAATTCCTCAGCCAAACTTTGGCAGTAAAAAATAAATCGTCAGGGGATCATCAGGCAATTTTCAAAAAAAAAAAAAAAAAAAAAAAGATGAAATCTTTTGGTGATTATTGAACATTAGAGCGGCAAGGTAAGCGACAAAATGACATTAGCTGATGTTAAATTACTTTTTTGAGAGGAATGCAATGTTGGTGATTTTATTGAATGATGATCATTATTGGATGAAGTACCATGAATTGATTCTTATTTTTTTTTTTAATTTAGTCTATAAATTGGGAGGTAACGTAAAAGTTGACACTAATACAACTGAAAGAGAATATTTTCATGTATTTTCAGTCAAAATTTGGTGGAATGATGACGCCTTTTAAGCGAATTACAAAAGTATAAAGCGAGGCATCGTTTACAGTGTAGATAGCATTCCATAGTTCAAAAACTGTAGAAAAGAGAACACAAGGGATGATGACAATTGATTGAATCATGATTAAAAGATGATTTAAATATTAAAAATGAAAGATTCCATATTGAAAGATGATCTTTATTGAACTATTTTAATTTTTTTTTGTCCCAATTCAAAGTGTATTCAATTTTGAAGCCTGAGCGGAGTAAGTGAAATCTCTGGGAAGCCCTTGAGCTCCACAATTGTTTCGAGTCAACTTTTTTTTTTTTTTTTCCTTTTCTTCTTCCTTTTTCTTTCTTTTGAACGTGTTCTTTCTATCATATCCTTTCTTTTTCAAAACATATCACATTACTTTTTTTTTGTTTTTCTTTTTATATCTACATTAGAAGTATATTTGTCAACATCCTTCCTCTTTTATTGACAAATTCAATATGAAATATACTTTTGTCTCGGTGCCTGCTTTGGGCAACTCACAAAATACATTTTTGAACATCAAGGCCAAACTTACTGAATATGCTGAAACAAATGCTTTTCCTATCCCAGACTTTAAGGTATAACTTTTTTTTTTTTGGGAATTAGAATATGACTTTTCACCATCTCTTTTTTTTATTTATTTTTGTTCTCTTTACTACTATTGTGGTCATATGATATTATTATAGATTGGTACTTTGGATACATTGGTTTTGTTATCAGATGACTTGGTGAAATATGATGCTGTATTTGAACAATCTGTTAATAAAGTGGCAGATATTGTACGTACCTTTACTCCTACTGCCAAAGGTCATGAACAACTTTTATTGGTGAACGAAAGTAAGTTAAATTTGATAGGGAATATTTTATGATATCTAACGTGCTATTCTTTTATTTAATAGAATCCATTGATCAATATATTCGAGGTTTCCAATGGAATACTATGAAATATCGTACTGATAAGTCATTACAAGAAACAACTGCTACTTTGAGTCAGGTAAAAATAGATCATATAAAGATGGATTATCTTTTCTAAACACTTTCTTTTCTTTTTTTTAAAAAAAACAATAGGAAGTCAACGCTATCGATGCTATTATGAAAGCCAAGTTGAATACCTATACCCAAAACAAGAATGCTCTTCAAACTCTTCAACGAAAGCAAACGTAATACATATATATACCATACAACTTGATCTATTCCAGATACTCAATTCTCCAATCTTCCTTTTTTTTTTTTTTTTTTTGATAGTGGAAATTTGTCTGTCAAGAATTTAAATGGTATTGTAAAGAAACAACATTGCGTCTTGAATTCTGAATACCTTACTACATTGATTGTTGCTGTACCAAAGTATGGTCTTTTCCTATATAAATATAGATCTATAATCATTCTAATCTCTCGTCTTTTTTTTTTTTTTTTTGAATTTAGATCTCTTTACAAGCAATGGAATGGAAAATACGAAACTTTGACGTCTATGGTTGTACCTCGATCTTCTATCAAGATTGCTGAAGATGATGAATTTGGACTTTTTACTGTTACTTTATTCCAAAGAGTGGTTGATGAATTCAGTCACAAGGCTAGAGAAGAAAAGTATGAAATATAGGAATTTGATAGTCGTGGGAGAGAGAGAGAAATGGAAAAAAAAAAACGTCAATCACGCATATACTCACTCATCCTTTTCTATTGTTTATCCTAGATTCATTGTACGTGATTTCAAGTATGATGAGGATGCATTACAACAACAACAAAAAGAATTGGATCAAGTCAGTAGTGTGGAAGCGGAACAACAAGCAGAATTGGTTCGTCTGGCCAAGATCAACTTTGGTGAATTGTTTGGCTCATGGGTACATCTCAAAGCTGTTCGTGTATTTGTGGAATCCGTTTTACGTTATGGCCTTCCTCCTGATTTCACTTCAGTCACTATTGCCGTTCAACCCAAATTTGAAAAGAAGATCGATGAAACTCTATTGGCTCAATATGGTCGATTGGGTGGTGTACACGGCCAAACTCTCAAGAGCAATCAACAGCAACAACAACAACAACAAGATGAAATTTTGGATCATGACCTTCAATCTGTCAATGATAGTAGTTATAGACCTTATGTGCAATTTGATCTTCAATTTGATATGGAACGGGCATAGGTGTTCTTTATTTATTTAGTATTATTCATCCTTTTATATATATATGTATATATATATACGAAATAAAAAGAAAAAGCAAATCAAATATTTATTTCTTCTTGATGGATGATCATATTTGTTATTGGAAATTATTTATATAGACAAGATTGTATTTCAAAAGTTAATCCATACAGTGCACAGAAAGAAAAATATATATATCATGAGGAAACTGGCGGTAAAAAGATCAAGTCAACGAACGCTCTTCAATGCTTTGCTAACCGCTGAACTACTATGCCACAGATAGCCTGTTCATTGACAACATACAGTCAAAAATAAAAATGATAAAAGAATGTTGTTTATTGAGGAGGATATCCTCCATATATAGGTTGTTGCTGTTGTTGATGAGGAGAAGGCATAGTTGGTTGTGATGGATAATTGTATGGTTGTTGTTGTTGTTGAATAGGTACTGGAGATGCTTGTTGTGGTTGATAAGGTTGATTGGCATATCCTTCTTGTTGAATAGGTGCTGGAGATGCTTGTTGTGGTTGATAAGGTTGATTGGTATATCCTTGTTGTTGAATAGGAGATGCTTGTTGTGGTTGATAAGGTTGATTGGCATATCCTTGTTGTTGAATAGGTGCTGGAGATGTTTGTTGTGGTTGATAAGGTTGATTGGCATATCCTTGGAACGTACCATCAACTGTTGGTGCTTGATAATTGGCCCCACCAAATGATCCATTAGGCACTAAAATGAAGAATCGTTAGAAAAGATCCCTTTTTATTATTCTCTTCTATTTACCACCAGGAGTTGAGTATCTTGCAATTGAATCATTAAGCATATGATCATACATAGTACGTGCTTTCAAGAACTTTTCATTTAACGCCACCAATTCATCTACAAGAAAAAAAAAGACGTTAGCATAAGTTCATCTTATATTTTTTTTTTATATATATTTACCTTTCTTCAGACTATATTTTTCAATAAGTCTAACCAATTTCGGACGAATGGCCAAAGAACTGTTGTACAAATTTTGAAGTTCATCATTTTCAGAGAATGCATCTTTGTGGGGATCGATTTTCGATAGAATATCCAAGAGTCGTTCCACATTTCTGATTTCACTCATCACTTCGGATTCCATTTGAGCTTCCTTCATCAAATCAGCATGAGAAGGATCGACAATTTTTTCCTAACATGTCCAAAAATAGAATGAATTCAACTAATTCGTCCCTTTCTTTTTCATTTCTTACCACATAGTTCACAGGAAAGATCCCAGTTTTGCCTCGTAATTCACCTTTCCACCAATCACGATAAACACTTTCAATCACACGAACAATGTCACCTTTTTGGAAACCAAGTTCACCTTGTTCTGTGGGTTGGAAATCATATAAAGCTCGAACACGAGACACTTTGGGTTCTTCAGTAGTCTAAAAAAAGAAAAAAAAGAAGAAAAGTTAATATAATCTATATATTGAATTTCATCCTTCTTTCTTACTTCAGCAGGTTGACTTGCATTGGTATTGGTGGTAGTAGTAGTGGTATTGGTACTAGAGCTTTTTGGAGCAGCTGTGGATGTTGATGATGAAGCCTACAAATAATAATAATAATAATAATAATACATTAGTAACTCTTTCATATCATTTAACTAGATATCAAATAAACATACGCGATAAGTTGATCTATTTTCAGTTTCGGATAACGATAATGCCAAAGCCAATTGAAATTCCTCTTCTTCCTTTTGTTTGTCCAATTCTGTCTATAGTTGATAAAAGAATAAGTTTAAGGAATCGAATAATAATTCTTTTTTTTTTTTTGTTACCTGAGTGAATTCCTTTTTTGGTTTTTGAGGATTTGCGAATTGAATACCTTCAGCACGTAAAGAGTGATAGACATCATTCATCAATCCAAGAGAAGAATCAGCCCTAAATTCAAAAGAGCATGTTTGAATCAATTCCAAACATCTTTTCCTGACTTGTTCATGAGTAGACTAAATCGAATAAATAATAATAATAATATATGAGTACCTCATTTTCACTACCATATTTATAGATATGTATATATATATTTTACTTTACTTTTTCATGAATCAATTTATTCAAGGTGTTTGTAAATGATCTAGAAGAGATTTCCCGATGAACCGTAATATCACAATTCTTTACCAAAGCATCAGAAAGCTATAAAAGATGATGATTAGTATTCCCGCAAGCTGAGTGTATTTTTTTTTCTTTTTACTAAACTACTTTACCGCTAAAGCATACAATTGGACATTGGCGTTTCTATGACTTAATCTCTTTTGTACAGCAGCCACACAATCTCGTGCACTATTATTTTTTTTATTATTGTTAAAAAAAAAGAAGAAAAAAAAAAGATAAATGGTTAATAACAATTGTTCTTCTTTTTCATAGAAAGCATGTTCTTGATAACGCCAAGCTTCTTGGCGATATCATCAGTAAACTTGTTTTTCATTTTCTTTTTTATCTATAGTAATAATATTCTATTTTTTTTTTTTTTTTTTTACCTTTCAGGAGGACTTTTGGAAACTCTATCACATACAATGAGAATGGCTTCCCAATTTTCTGAAGTAAGGTTTTCATCCGTAGCAGAGTCTATTCATAATATATATTTTTTTTAAAAAAAAAAAGAGTTAATTTTCAAATAGAGATAAAGTATTTTGTTGTTTTTTTCAGTATAATTACTTACTAACAAGTTCTTCAAAAGGATTGGGTTTCGAGAACATGATGAATAATAGTAAATAAGTTTTTGACTAAGTAGCGATAAAAGGTGAGAAAAATATAAAAGAGAAATAAAGGAAGTGGTAAAAAAAAAAAAAAAAGCCTACCATATAAAAGAAGAATAACACTCCGCAGCTCACCAGGTGCGGCTCACCTGTCAATTTCCTTTTTGTCCTTTTCTTTCTTTTTTATGAGTAACTCATGTTGAAATCTCGACTCTTATTCCCCAGACACAAAAGACAACACATTTTATACCAAACTTACTTCTTTAATAGTAGTAGAAGAAGTATTACGTCTACTCCTTCACAAATCAGACCACGACCCACTCTTTCTACTGTGTCTGCAAACCATGTCAATACAAAAAAGATCAAATATATCGATGATTTATCCACTGCTGATTACTATTTTGAAAAAGGTAAGTTACTTATATATCTAAATATCTTATTAATGCATCTTTTTTTCTTTCTTTCTTTTTCGAACATGACGTAGGATTAAGAAAAGTGAAACCTTACTATTTCGATTACCTTGCTCATGCCAATGATCGTTGGATTGGTAGACCTTGTTTACAAGTTATGAATACTGAATTTAGAGATCGTAATGATGCCTATTTTGTAAGTGACAAATAATAATAATAATAATAATAATAATAATAATAATAAAGAATACGTTTATATTTAACTATTTTTTTTTTGATGCAATATAGAGAGAAGCGATTGATACGGGGATGATCACTATCAATGGTAAACGAGTGGATTACGATACATTATTCAAGAAAGGAGATACATTAGGACATCGAGTACATCGTCATGAACCTCCAGTGACAGCGGATCCTATTCAAGTAATCTATCGTGACGATGAATGGATGATGATCAACAAACCAGGTGGCATTCAAGCTCATCCTAGTGGAAGATATCGGCATAACTCTGTGGTTCATATTTTAAGGAAACAATATGATTTATCTAGTCTCTATCGTAAGTTCCTTTTTTTTTTTTTGTTGTGTTATTATTTTATTTACATTCTTTTTCATAACTGATCTATACTCTTTCTCTTTTTTTTTTCTTTTTTTTCTTGTAGCCATCAATAGGTTAGATAGACAAACATCAGGGTTGATGATGATCGGTTTGAATTCTCAAAAAGCTCAACATATACAACAACAAATGCAAAATGGAAATATTGAAAAGGAATATCTATGTAGAGTCCAAGGTGAATTTCCAAAGTAAGTTCATCCAAAAAAATATATAAAGGAGAACTTTTATAGAATCCATATATACAATATATATATATACTAATCTCTTTCTCTTTCTCTTTTCTTTTTGGATACTGATATACTTATCATGGTTAGGGATCAAGTGACATGTGATATACCGATCAAACCGATGGGATTCAAATTTTCCTTCCAATACGCAGATTTCCATAATGGCAAACCCAGTAAGACATTGTTTGAACGAGTGAGTTTCAATGGACGTACTAGTGTGGTACGATGTCGTCCCATTACAGGTAGAACACATCAGATCAGGGTCCATCTTCGTTATCTTGGTTATCCTATTGTCAATGATCCTGTTTATGGACCTCATACAGCATGGTCGACTTTATTGAATAGGTTTGATCCCGCCGATCCTTCTGGTTCTGTTGTGACACAAGTGTTGGACAAGATGATGGAAATGACTACCTTTGATACTTTGGATACTTCAGATGGTCAAGCTCGATGTCATGAATGCCGAAGCTTGCTTAGCTCAGATCCTTTGCCTGGACAATCTTTAGGGATTTGGTTACATTCTTCTCGTTATTCTGGAAATGGCTGGTCTTTCTCCTCCACAACTGGGAAGGATATTCATGGTGTTGAGCTCAAGCTTCCTTCATGGGCAATGGATGATTTTGACAAAGACATCGATGTTTTACCCACATTTGTATAGATAGATTAGAATAGATTACTTTTTTTTTCTTTATTTGTATATAAAATTTTGTTGAATTAATAAAATAAAAAAAAAAATCAATTGGCACTGTAATTGACTGAATACGCGTGTGTTTATTTTTTTTTATTACTATTAACATCTTTGTGAGTGTATAGAGAAAAGACGAGTTGGGGAAAAAAGGGAATGGGAAAAAAAAAGGATAAGCTAAACTAAAGTGTGTGTGTTGTGTGTGATAAAGAAGAAAATGAAAAAAATAGAAAGAGATAAATAAAATGGAGAGAAAGTAGGTTAAGATTGTACTTGTTCGGTTGTATTGTCTTTCTTGTCTAAATCTGATTCCGTAATTTTCAATTCTTGTTCTACAGAGTTGGTCAAATGGATGAGATCTTGATCCTTGACAGTATCTTTAGTTGCACTTGTTGCAGTTTCCGTTTCTGTTGTTGTGGTAGTTCTAAATGAAATATAAATATATATAAAAAAAAAAGAACAAAATACAAATGAGAATCACGTATTGATAATAGATCATTTTTGATCACTTTACTGGTAAGCAACGGGAGTAGAAGAGGAAGGATTCAAAGGATTGATACCAAGCATTGTTTCAGGAGTGATAGGCATCATATGGCGTACTGGAAAACCAGCCATGGGTTGGAATTCGCGAGATCGAATCATTCGTTTGCGTGAAGTTTGATTTTTGAGTCTTTTTTGTGCAGGTGAATCAGCAAAACGTACTTGTAATGGCGCAGAGGATCCAGCAACAACATGACCGTTGAATCGTTCAATAATGGATACCGCAGCAAGTCGATCACTCATCCTATTTAATAATATAATATAGTATGAATAAATAGAACAACCTTTTTTTTTTTTGTTTTACCTTGCAAAACCAACACCACGACTTAATCCAGATTGAGGGTCACGTAAAATGCGATTGGATACTGTTTGGAAAGGTTGGAACAACTCTTCCAGTTTCTAATCATCAAACCATAAAGTAAGAATCCTTTCCTTTTTCTTTATATAATTATCACTTACTTGTTCCGTCATATCCAAAGGTAAATTGGAAATATAGATATTGGTAGATGTTTCATCTTGAAGATTTCGTAAACGAGAGCTAAAGGAGACTTGACCAACACGAGCAAATGATGCTTGAAGACCTGCATTATTCAATCCTTCAATCGCAGTATGACAATCTTGTTCCTTTTCAAATAATGCAAATCCATATCCTTTACATTCGCCTGATTTCTGATCGAGGATTGCTTTGGATGAAGTGACTGGACCGTATCTGTTCAAAAAAAGAATGAGTGAATGGATATATAGATGGAGATACAAAAAAAAAAAAAGAAATACTTACGCCTTGCATAATTCCAAAAACGATTCATCAGTAGTAGATGAAGATAATCCACGCACATAAACATTTTGAGGATGATAATTCATAGATAATTCCTCTTGAGTTGCTTGTTGGTTGTAAGAGTGTTCACCAGTATGATTACGTTGTTGTTGGGATTGTTGAGGTTGACGTTTTCTTTCATACTGTTGTTGCTGTTGTTGCTGTTGCTGTTGTTGATGTTGATGATGAGATGAAGGTAGATGATGATAAGGACCAGGTAAAGCCACCATTTGATGATGAGGAGGAGGAGAACCAACAGGTGTTCCAGTCAAAACAGGTGAAGAAATATGCAAAGGAGGAAATGGTGGATGCACAGAATGAGGTGGAAGAACATAAGTAGCATGTGATGTAGGAGATAAAGTGACACTACCAGTACTGTTGATGACACCTTGATATTGAAACGTAGGACTGAAAGGAGGACTAGTAGGATTCATAGGTGGAGATTGAGGATGTAGTGCAGGAGATCCAGGATAACTTTGATAGTCAGAATAATAAAATTGTGGACTGACAGGATAAAAGACATATGTTTGTTGTTGACCTGGTTGTTGTTGCTGTTGTTGTTGTTGTTGAGTATCATTGGGATCATAACCATTTGGTTGAATTTCATATACCATATTCGGGTCAATGTAACCATAAGGAGGATAAGAAGGTGAAGCAGGTGTATTCATACGATGAACGTTGGAAGTAGGAGATGGTCGAGTAGAAGTGGTAGTTGAGGTGGTAGTGGCTGCTGTTACTGTAGGTGAGTGAGTCACTTCTACACCACTAGAGGCTGTTTCACCAGAAGGAGCGGCCATTTATAGAAACTAAAAAAAAAAAAAAAAAAAAAGAATATAAAAGGATTTAATATGCGTGTTTATGATGAGATGAAAAATAAAAAAAAAAAATAAGATTTCATCTGTCTTTTTTTTTATCTTATACAAGATGAGTTTCTTTTTTTTTTTATTTATTTATTTTTATTTATTTTTTTTTTTACCTTCTTCACCAAACAAAGAACAGAAATATAAAGGGGAAAGAGAGAGAGAGGGGGAGAAATAGTGTAATAAGATAAAGAAGAGATAAAAAATATACAACCTATTAAGAATGAAAGAGATGAGCCAAAAAAAAAAAAAAAAAGAAATAAGGGGAGAAAGAAAAAAAAGAAAAGGGAATTTTAAATTTTTTAAAGTGTCCTCGGGTGAGATCACCAAAAATGGGGATTTCAGGTCCGGACTTACCTGTTGTGTTTCCAACCTCTCAATCACCGGACTTCTTTTTTTTACTGGGAATTAAAATATACTTTTATTTTATTATAATAAACAATGTTAATACATTTATTACATATTATTATTATTTATTATAAATTATTATATATAATTATATAAAGAAGTCATCATAACTTTTAATACTAATTAATCAAAAGAAAATTATCTTAACCAATGAAAAGTAGTTTCAAAACTACTTTATATATATTCAATCTGATGGCTAATGTTTTCTTTGCATAGAGTGGCTGCATGAATCCTGTTTTTCATGGTCCGCGATATAGTAAAAAAAAAAAAAAATACATTTTTTGAAAGTACTCTTATGATCTTTTTTGTTTATTATTTTTGTAGTTTTAGTATATCATCGTTTTATCATATTGTATAATAAAAAGTTGTCTTTTTTTTCTTTGTAAAGATGATTGATGCTTAATGATTAATGATTACCGCCACTTTTCAAAAAGGATAATTCTACAATCCTCACCTTCCCAAAAAATCAATAGTCTATACTTTCCAATCAAATCAGTAGTTCACATTCTTTTTTTTCAATAAAAAATAAACATCCATATAGATCAAATATTTCGAAATTTCTTTATTGAACACACAATATATAATATTGATAATAAGTAATAAAGAGTAAACAACTAAAATAAAAAAAAAAGTACCGCGTTAAGATGATCCAAGCGATAGGGAGAGTTTTCGCTTCTTTGGTATTGGATAGGTTGGCGCTGTCATAAAGGTAGAACGATTGCGAGGTATCCACTAGCAATTGGCTGATATCATGATAGGAAAGCCTGCAAAGACTTTCGTGTAGATAGGAGAGCATCTTTAGGGCATCAAAGCGGGCAACTAAGTTCAGTAGATCTGACTTTTTCAATGGTATTTCCATGCTAGCAACTTCTGTGAAGGTGTACAAGTTCTCATGCTGAAGGTTTCATAGCGAAAAATGTAATTGTTTGACCTACAAATAAAAAAATATTAAGAATGGAGACAATCATCTTTTTTTTTTTTGTTACCTGATAATATGTTCATTATTAACGTGATTGGCATAATCGACTTTGGGGGTATCAAAAGGAACCAGTATATGATAGACAAGAGTATTTTATCAGGGCATCAGGGTATTTTGCTATATTCCGGGCATTGTGGATAGTTGATACATTCTTTTTTTTTTTTGGCCTTGCTGTTCTCATGGATGCACATTTTTCCTATGTATATTGAATATATGTTGTCTACCTTTTTGCAAGGTTGAATATTTGAGTTACTAAAAATGAAAGAAAAGAAAGAAGATTCAAAAAAAAATAAGAAAAGAGGTTCAAAAAAAAGAAATTTAAATTCAGGTGATTGGCGTAAAAAAAAAAAAAAAAAAAAAAATAAACACCGCAAAAAAAAAAATGCTTTTCATCTCTTATGGATAACGATCTTTATAAACAAGCTTTTGAACGTATTAAAGAATATGAATTATCAACTGAAGAAATACAAGCCATTGAAACAGCTAAAAAACAACTAAATCGACATGCTATTATTGGTGGTCTTGGTTTATCCTTAGCTTCTTTTGTCTTTGGTAACATTTATATTATAACAAAAAAAAAGAAGTATACTCATTACAGCTATATATGTATATCATAGGGAAAAGAAGACAGTTGAACCCTCTTCCACTTGGTTTAATGACTGGTGCTGGTATGTTGATAGGTTCCCAAATAGGTTTCGCGTCTGGTGCCATGGCAGGAGTTCGTACTATCAAACGTTTACCTAATCCCGAACGACTAGTAAATCTTGTCAAGGATGTTCAGTAAGGGAAAAAAAAAAAAAAAAAAGAAGGAAGAAAATGATTATATACTAACTTAATAAAATGATAGAACGGATATGCTAGCCTCAAGAGGTTTAATAGTCGATGGACCCAATCGACCACCTCGACCTATGACAGAAGAGGAAAAACTTCAATATCAACAAAAAGTGAAAGATAGACGCGAAAATTACCAGAGGCACAAACAGTTAAACGATGATACTACTAGTTCTTGGGATCGATTACGTAACAGTACACAACAGACAGATATGTGGAACGATACCAAGGATGGAGCAACAATGACTGAAAACGAATGGATGGATCAAAATGGAGCATACCCTTCTTCTACATCAAAACCGGCCAAGAATAAATATGGAGATGATTTATCTTAGTCCAGTTTTTTTTTTTATACTTATTATTCAATAAACATATATTTTTAATGCAGAAGAAAAGAAAATCATATACATTGTTGTTTTTTATTATTTGGTTGGAATTATGTGATATTATCGAATGCAAAAGAGTAAAAAGCCTATGTTGATGAAGATAATGATGATGATCGTGATGCTAATGCTGAAGTTAATATTGCAGGTTGTTTTCCAAGATAACGACTGGATGGTCTTTGTTCCATGGGTGGGACACGAGAGAAATTTTCATTGACTATATCGGATTGACGAATATCATTTTGTCCATTTGTTACAGGTTCCTCTGATGGAGTAAATGCGCTACTCTTACTCAAAGGGAAAGGATACATATTGGCATTTTTCTTTTGTATTTTTTCCATATGAAGTAATGTGGCTGCAGCTGTTTGAGGATGATGAGAATTGACATCATAGTATCCGATATCACTACCAAAAATAAGATCGATCTCTTCCAATGATTTACCCTAGTTATCAATAATAATAATAATAATAATAATAATAATAATAATAATAATAATAATAATAATAATAATAATAATAATAATAATAATAATAATAATAATAATAATAATAATAATAATAATAATAATAATAATAATGAAGTCCTATTTGTGATATGAATGATTTTTTTTTTTTGGTTTTTCCTTGTTACCTTTGTCTCTGGAAAGTAAAAATAGACGACTAACGTAATGGCAGCACAGCAACAAGCAAATACAATATAAGAATGACCTTTGATATTGACAAACATAGGTGTAGAGAATTCAAAGACGGCAAAGTTCAGTAACCAACCAAAACTAGTTGATATCGAAAGTGCCTTGGCTCTCACACCTGGGAAATGTTTTTTTTATCATTCATTATACATTTGAAGATTCCCTTTTTATTCATATTTTTATTTTTATTATTATCTTACCTTGACCATATAATTCAGAAATGTAAATCCAACCTAAAGGACCCCATGTAACGGCAAAAACAATAACAAAGAAATATTCGATAGCAATAAATGCAATGGCTTGATTTCGTGCTTGTTGCATAACTGGTATAGCGGAATTATCAAATAATGGACCTTCACTGGTGCTATCGTAGAAATCAGACCGAGAAATGGTGCTTGTTATTATCGAAAGAACTGACATGATGATGAGGCAGATACATAATGTCCCTGACCCTATTAACATGGCCCGTCTTCGTCCGATGCGATCTATCTATATAAAAATTGTTTTAGAATGGGATATAGTCACAAGAAAGATGGGTAATGGATGATGATATAAAGAAAAAAAAATACATTTGTTAATATTTATTATTTTTCATTTCCCACACATACAAAGAAAATAGCAGGGATGGTGAATATAGTATTGACAGTGGCACCAATGGCATTAGCAAATAAAGAAGAATAGGCACCCGACAATCCAATAGATTGTAGAATATGTGTTGCAAACACTCTATATTTTTTTTTCAATATATAAAAGGTGTATAATAAATAATCCATTTGAATTTACTCTTTTTTTTTTCTTATCCTATTGATGATGATTATTTACAATATAGGATTGATACCAGTAAGTTGTTGAAAACTTTGAGTCAAGATCCCTAATAATAAACGTCGTCCATTGTTCTCAGGTGCTTTAGATAATAGCCTACTATAACGTCTGAAGTCTGTAAATGTACGTTCATAAGCAATTGTCTGCTTGATAGATATATATTCCATATAAACTTCAGGATGACTTGCAGATCCATCACCATGTATCTTTGCTAAGACATTTAATGCCGCAACATCATGATGTCGATACATTAAGTACCGAGGACTTTCTGGAATAAAACATACTAGGATCACCATTACAAGACAAGGAATCATCTGAATACCGATGGGTAATCTGAAGAATAGGGAGGATATCAAACGAAAGTAATCATTCAGAATACATTTCTCCTTTTTCTAGTTTACCTCCATGATGTGTCATTGGGTATCTTTATAGTTCCATAACAAATCCAAGATGCGCAGAGAATACCAACAGTAATGGCAAACTGATGGATAGTAATCAATCTTCCACGTAAGTTCTTTGGTGCGATTTCACTTATATCTTAAATGTATCAATAATAACAATAATAATAATAATAACAATAATAATAATCAGCATTGGAAATCCCTTCGTTGTCATCATCCTATTATAGTTTTTCCTTTCTTGATTGCTTACATAATGGTACCAGCATGGTGAATACCCTAAAAGGATGAATATATAACGACAAAGGAAAGAATAAAAAAAAAAAAAAAAAGACATGAGTTATACTTTAAAAGGAGGATAAAGTTTGATATGAATTACCCCACAGAAAGACCAGTGATGACACGACCAACTAAGATAAGAGCTTGATTGTTGCCACCAGTTTGGAAAAAACTACCCACTAAAAAGACGATGCCACTCACAATCATAGATTGTTTGCGTCCCATGCGATCGGCCAATATTCCACCAACAACAGCACCAGCAGCAGCACCCAAGGCCATAGCACCTGAGTATATCCTTATCTGAGATACTTCTCCTATATCCTCTTGGAAGAGAGGCATACCCACCACGATGGCTACCACATTGAAGTTATATCTGTTACAATATTAATAGATTATTTTTGTTTTATTGGATACATTTATTGTCTATTATCCTTTTTACCCAAACTAGCCCATAAAAATAAATACATAAAATAAAATAAAAATGAGGTGATGATAATATAGTAATCCATACTGTCATCTTTTCTTTTTACCCCTCTTACCAGAAAACCACCTAATGATAAAAGACTAAAAAGGACAAATAATAGAAAGAATCCTTTTTCTTTATGAGTTCTTTATTGATGATTCTATGATGATCATATTTGTCTTTTTTTTTTTTTTTCTCCGGCAACTAAATTACAAGTTGGGATTTGTCCCTTGTTCTTTTTTTTTTTTTTCTTTACCCGCAATATAAATATATACGATTAGTCGCCGTTAATTGATGAGGATGCATATACAGTGATGATATATTGTATAAAAAAAGAAAAAAGAAAAAAGAAAAGAGAAAGAAACAAAAAAGAAGAAATAAGTAGAATAGTAAATGAGCATGCACCGATATTTGAAACAAAGAGTCATGCAATAACTTCTAGTGATCATTTTTTTTTAAGTCCTTTTGTGAGTTTTGTAAAAAGAAAAAAAAAGTTCCGATGATTGCAATACGTCATCTTCAAAAAAAAAAAAAAAAAAAAGGTTGACTAACAAGAAGAAAGACTTATCTCATGTTTTGTACCTTTAAGGTCTCATTCATCCATTAACAATAGGACTTAATCATGAAAAAAAAAGTCATCTTCTGAGTAGATAATAAGAGAAAGAACAAAAAAAAGGAGTATGTTCGGCTTTTTTTCCGTCCTATTTTTCATGATGACGAAGATGATGATCTTATTGATTCGATTGGATTACATGTCATATGTCTTATGTCACCACCACAAAAAATAAGGGTCCATTTTTTTTTAGTGGGGGAAAACGGAAACGGAATTGGAAAATAATGCTTAGGTAAGCGTATGTAAAAGTGAAACCTTAAAAAGAAAACCCTTTTTGACTAGGGATGATAATAAATTTGTTATCGTATGACATTGAAAGAAAAGAAAAGAAAGGAAAAGAAGAAAAAAAAATATGTAATCTTAGATAAAAGTGGGGTGAAAAAAAAAATAGTTTTCTTTTTTTTTTATGATTGAATAGAATGAAAACAATAGGCTAAGTAAGATTCAACTGAGTTTTTTTGATAAAAAGGGATTCTTCATTAACATTAAAGAAAATATGAATGATTGAATAAATTGAATTATTATTATATATATATTCTTTTTTATCTAATCATTAAAAAGGGTCCTTTTAAAAAAAGAAATAAATAAATAAATAAAATAAAAAAGTTGGTTGGACCCAGGCAATCCCTGTTGTCACCAAAAAGGGTTGATTGGGTCATCCCCTTTTTCTTTTGCCCTGCTTTTTAAGCACCGAATTAGTTTTTTTTTTATTTTTTTTCCCCAGTGAGTAAATCGCCCGAGACCACTAAATAAAAAAAAAGAAAGACTTTTTTATTTTTCTTTTTTCTCTTTTTTCTCTTTTTTGTTACTTATTTATTATAATGACAGAAATATCAGATATATTATTTAAAAAACTTGAAAGTGAATTCATTTTAAATCGTGATCAACTTGCTCCTATTGTAAATGGTTTTCTTAATGAATTTCAAATTGGACTCAAGACTCCTTCTAAAGGACTTGCTACTATGATTCCATCTTTTGTTACTCAACTTCCTACTGGTAATGAAACTGGTACTTTTATGTCTTTAGATCTTGGTGGAACCAATTTACGTATTACTGCTGTTCAACTTTTGGGTGATGGTCATGTCAAAGTATTAGAAGTTAAACATTCTCCTACTAAAGAACTTAAAACTGGTCCTGGTGAACTTTTCTTTGATTGGATTGCTGATGCTGTAGAAGAATTGATTACTGTAAAAGCTCGTCATTTATTTCAACCTGATCAAGTCAGTGGAAAAGAAACTTTAGCTTTAGGTGTTTGTTGGAGTTTCCCTGTTGAGTAAGTATTATATATTATTATTATTATTGTAACAAAAAAAATGAATTTCTTATTATTATTATTATTATTGAAATAGTCAAACAGAAGTAAATCGTGGTACAATTTTACGTATGGGTAAAGGTTTTACTTTACAAAATACAGAAGGTCGTGATTTGGCTACTATGTTTCATGAAGCTTTTGAACGCAAGGTAAAATTATATTTATTTATTATGTATAAAACTCATTTTTTTTTTTAATAAATAATAATATATGCAGGGGCTGAATGTGAAAGTGAGTGCCATATTGAATGACACTGTGGGTACCCTCGTGGCACATGCATATACTAATCCACGTTCTCGTATTGGGTTGATCTTTGCTACTGGTGTCAATGCTGCATATCCTGAAAAAGTGGAAAATATTATAAAGTTGGATCAACAAGTGCGTGACAAGTACCCGGCTGGTACGGAAATGCTTCTCAACACTGAAATCGATATATTTGGAAATGAAGATTACTTGCCTTTAACCAGTTACGATATTACAATGGATAAAAGTCACAATCAACCTAAATTCCAATTATATGAAAAAATGATGAGTGGAGCTTACTTGGGTGAATTGACTAGATTGATTGCCATGGATTTTATCAAGAATGATGCTTTATTCAAAGGTCAAATTCCTGAAGGTTTTGATGAACCATGGAGCTTTCCTACTATGTATATGAGTGCTCTTGAAAGGTAGATATTAAAGAAAACAATCAATCATTTTTATTAATTATTATTATTATTTTTCATTTTTATTTATTTATTTATTTAATAGAGATGTCACATCTACTCGTCAAGTTAGTTTGGAAAAGATCTTGGGAAAATATCATTTTGAACAACAACCATCATTAGAAGATATCGCCATCTTAACTCGAATTTGTCGTATTGTATCAACTCGAAGTGCTCTTCTTTGCTCTTGTGCCATTGCTGCTTTGATAGAACAACAAGGATTAGTAACCAAATCTAATGCTGATATTATTGTTGGTATGAATGGATCTACATATGAATTTTATCCCTTTATGGAAGAACGTTTACATAGAGCTTTAAGACAATGGTTTGGTGTGGAAATTTCTGATCGAATTCGTTTGGAAATCACTTCTGATGGTGGAAGTGTTGGTGGTGCTTTGATTGCTATGTTATGTTGTTAGATAGATTTTTAGAATAGATTGATCCTTTTTTTTTATATATTTTATTTATTGATTTATTTATATGTTTTGTGATGTATTTCCTTTTTTTTTTTATCTATTATTATTATTATATCTTATTGAATAAAATCATTTATTTATTTCTTTTATCATAGCTGTTAAATTAAGGTGCATGATCAAAAAGCAATAAACTGCAGCGGAGATAGAAAACGTGTGAGCTTGGGATATAATTGAGAAACTTACTCTCGCGTTTTTTCATGTCTTCTATTTCTATTATTACTCACTTTTATTTATCATGCTTGAAGCTCTTGTGGCTTCCATTCTTAATCGCGTACTTGGAAATTATGTATCGAATTTGAATTATGATCAATTAAAAATTGCTATATGGAATGGTAAATAGAAAAAAGAGAGAGATACTTTCCCCTTTGTTTCTTTCAGACCTTTATTGACTTTCTCTTTTATTATATAGGTGAAGTGAATCTTCATAACTTGAAACTTAGAAAAGATGCCTTGGATAAACTTAAATTACCTATCAATGTAGTGGAAGGTATAAGTTATCAAAATAATAATAAGATACTAAAATTGTAATATTTATATATTTATATATGAAAGGTTGTTTGGGTGAACTGACACTTAGTATTCCTTGGTCTAATCTCAAAACGAAACCTGTCAAGGTTCATATTCGAAATGTTTATTTACTGGCAGCACCAAAAACAGAAACAACTGTAAAATATATATTAAAATAATAATATAATAGTAATACAAACTAATTTATATATTTTGTTTGTTTGTTTGTTTGACAGGTCAATGTAAAAGAAGAAGAAGTTAGAGCACAACAATTGAAACGACAAAAGTTAGAAACAGCTGAACTATTAGATACTTCTCGCAACAGCAAAACCAAAGATGATAACACTAGTAGTAGTGATGGTGGTTTTATTGGTCAACTTACAACAAAAGTGATTGATAACTTACAGTTCTCCTTGGAAAATATTCATCTTCGATATGAAGATAATATATCATGTCCTGATCAACCTTTTGCTGCTGGTATTACTCTTAAGGAACTTAGTGCTATTTCTACTGATGGAAATTGGGAACCGGCCTTTATTGGTGAACTTTCAAATACTATTCACAAGGTATACATAAGCTAATATATTTCTTTTTATTTCTAACATTTCTTTTTTATATATATATACTTTTTTTCACTTTTTTTTTGTAGCTTGCTAAACTCGAATCTCTCTCTGTTTACTGGAATACTGGAGCTACTTCCTTAGTAGGATTATCACCTCAAGAAGCATCCAAAATATACACTAATCTGGTAAGGAATATAACTATATATATGTTTAATACGTACAACTAACTATTCCTTCTATCTTTCTATTGTTTTTAATATATATATAAAAGATACCCACTGCAGACAATGCCACCGAGAATCATCAATACATTGTCAAACCTGTTTCTGGTACTGGGAAGGTAAAAACATCTAAACAAAAGAAGAAGAAAAAAATCATGCTTTACAAAAAAAAATCATGCCTTACAGATTGAACTAACCGTTTATGGTGTCTAGATCAAATTGAACAAGAAATATGGAAATGAAAATGCAAAAATTGATACCACTTTGATATTTGATGAACTTGCCTTTGCTTTGGATGATGAACAATACCGTGATGCTCTTCTTTTAGTGGATCAGTTCCATTCCAATCTCAAGAAACAAGAAGTAAGTTTTTAATTCACAAAATAATAATTTAATCTAATTCTTTTTTAATTTCTCTCTTTGATTGATATTTTTCATTTAGTATCTCAAATTTCATCCTCCTGTTGGTGTCACTCCAAAATCAGATCCCAGGGCCTATTTCCGATTTGCTGGTCAAGCTGTTTTATCCAAAATACATGAACGTAATTACAAATGGACATGGGATCATTTCCGAAAAAGACGTGATCAACGACTGGCTTATATTGAATGTTATTCGGCGCAGAAACGAAACAATGCTACTTCTCAACAAAAGGAACAGTTCACTGAACTTGAAGACGCCTTGTCATTTGAAGATATTAGGTTTTACAGAAGTATTGCCAAAAGTCGTCTACGAAAGGAAAAAGTCCGCATTGGTAAAAAAACAAAAAAATGAAAGAAGGATAATATAATTACTGATTATTGTATTTTATTCCTGTTTTAGAGGAAGCCAAGCAAAAGAATGCAAACAAAGGATGGTTCAGTTCCTGGTGGGGTGGTGACAATGATTCTTCTGCCACTGATGCAAAGGTAAAGTTAAAAAAAAGGTTATAGGATGACCTTAATTTTTTTCCCCACAAGGTAGAAACAAAAGGCCTGATTTTTTTTTTTTTTTTGATTCGCTTGTATAGGATAATGACGGTGACTCCATGGTGTTAACTGAACAACAAAAGAAAGAATTATATGATGCTATTGATTATGATGAAGACAAAGCTGCTATTGAATCTTCTATGGTGATGCCAAAAGATGTAAGTCTGGTGATAAAAGAAACAAGGACAAACCGAACCGCTATCATGCTCACTTATCAATTTCCAATTACATTTATAGACAATGAAATTCGTTTTATCTACCAAACTCAATCGTGGTTCATTCAGACTTGTACAACATCCCCATACAAAACGACATCAATTGACCAGCGTTGTATTTGAAACTGTCGGCATTGAAGTGGTACAATATACTGAATCTTTAAAGGTATCCGCTAGTTTAGGTGATTTACAATTATATGACGGATCAACTGAGAACACACTCTATCCGCAACTCATTGGCGTTAAGAAAGGATCTGGTAAAGGAACGTAAGTATCATCATTGATATAGTACAATTTATTATTCTTGCTTTTGACAATCCTCGTGTTATTCTTTCTCCAGGCTTTCACTTTTGGACTCGAATCATTATTGTGATATTCAACATCAACGTGATACTGATCGATATTTGGAACAAGGTATTGAACAACAACCTTTCTTAGCTATTGTGTATCAACGAAAACCTTTGGATAAAAAAGCGGATCAGGCTATCAAGGTGGTCATGCGTCATTTGGAAATCATTTATAATCCTACAACAATTCAAGGCACCATCTCATTCTTTACAGCTCCAAGTGCTCATAGTGAAAGTTTTGATGCTTTAATCGAAGTAGCTGGTGATACTTTGGAAGGATTCAAACAACAAACCCGCGCTGGCTTGGAGTATGCTTTGGAAAACCATTCAACACTAAATCTCGATGTGAATATGGATGCACCTATTATCATCATTCCTGAAAGGTAATTTGAAATATTTAACTTTTTTTTTTAAAAAAAAAAAAAAAAGAATCACCATGTCATTCTTTTTCTCACTTTTTTTTTTTGCTCTTTCACTCTATGTATACAGTTGTTTACAAGAAGACTCACCAGTGATGATTATTGATGCAGGTCATATTTGTATTGACAGCGACCTTGCCAACCAGGAACTAGCTGAACAATTCAAGACGAATACTGTAAAGGATTTTGGTCCAGACGATTACAAACGATTGGAAAACTTGATGTATGACAAATTCAATGTACATTTCACCCAAATTAAACTTTTGATTGGCCGTCATGTGAAGAAATGTCTTGCTCAATTGGAAATAGAAAATCATAATACCTCTGATGGCGCTAGTGATGCTCATGTTCTCCATCGTATTGATATGGATTTATTGGTGGAACGATGTATCCTCCCTGGATCGGCTCAATTTACTAAACTCAAAGTCACTGGTCAACTTCCTTTGGTATCCATCAACTTTTCTACTCAAAAATACAAGACTCTAATGAAGATGATTGATCTGGTTCTTCCTTCCTCTGCTGATGATGATGCATCTACGATGGAACAACAGCAACAACAACAACTACAGAAGCATCAACAGTCCCCAGCACTATCACAAAGAAACTTATTTGCACAACAGTTATGGCAAGATGATCAACAACATGAATTGATACTTTCTGACGATGATGAAAGTATCCACAGCAGCGTTCATAGTAGCAGTAACCTATCCAAGACATCTTCAATCGCATCTGGAATCTCGAAAATGGAAATTGCTCGTGCACAACAAAACCAATTTAAATTCGATTTCAAAGTGGGTCAAGTATCAGCACTCATATATGAATCAGCAACTGATCCAACCTCAAAGGACAGTTTACTTTGCGAATTGATCTTGGAAAACTTTGGATTGGAATTTATCAATCGACCTTATGATATGTATGTACATGTTTGGTTAAAGGCTTTAACGGTTTTGGACAAGATGGAACATGGCAAGGAATATCGTTACCTGGTGACTTCTGAAGATGCAAAAGGGACCTCTGGACCTAAAAAGGATCTCGTCGATGTCAAGTATCAACGTGCAAATCCAAAACATCCGTTATTTGAAGATTCTTTTGATGGATATGAACAAACAGTAGATGTGCTTTTATCCACTCTGACATTTGTCGTGACACGAGACTCGGTGCTAACTCTTTATAATTGGATCATGGTGACTTTCACAGGTGGTGACACTACGGGCCAAGCAAGCGACAGTGATACTACTGATCAACACCGTGCTGGTATGGAAGCAATAGTGGATGATATTTCAAGCCTTCAATCAAATCGATTATCTCTACTTGCCAAAGGAAAACAATCCACAACTTCTTCTTATCAACAACAGCAACAACAAAAGTTAGATACTCAGGATGCAGATACTGGATCGATCAAAGTTAATGTTCAAATGGTAGGCGTTCAACTTATCTTGAATCAAGATGGGATCCGTCTAGGTACTGGTATTCTTTCGTCTGGTGATGTGACAGTTTTGTTACTTCCTTCAAGGCTTATGGTGATGGGTAAATTTGGCAACTTTACACTTACTGACGATACAGGTTCAGCAATACAAACGCACGATGATGACCATATCAAGGACGATACTTATTATCTCAAGAAAATCTCGGATGGTATTTCTGATATCAAGATCTTGAGTATTGAGGATGATCAACTGTTGGACTTTACCTATGGAACAATGGATCCTCGTGACGATTCTTTCCCTGGTTATCATCAACATCTTTATATGCGCATGGGTGCTTTCCGTCTACTCTACGTTGATGCTTTGAAACCAATCTTGGATTTCCTATCTGAATTCTTGGCTATGAAGACTGTCTATGATTCTGCTCGAATGGCTGCTAGTACGATGACTACTACGAATACAACAACAACAAGAACTCCTATTGATACCACTACTAATCTGTCACAAGTTCAAGTGTCAGGTCAACAACAGCAACAAGAAGATGAAGAATCTCTATTTTGTTTCGATATTGTGATGCAAAGTCCTATTGTGATCTTTCCGGTGGGTGATGTTTCTGAGAACAATGTGGTGATAGCACATCTTGGTGAAATCCGTGCCAAGAATGAATTTCTTACTTCTGCTCGTCCCAATCTATTATCTGGAGAAACAGCTCATATTAAGATCAATCAAATCCAATGTGGCCTTTATTCCATTTCTCTTCGTTCATCCATTTATGGTGATACAAGTGGTCATGGTTTACCTATGCTTGATAATGTCGACATTTCAGTGTGTATTTCAAGTGCTTTGCAACGACAAGATGCAGGAAAAGGTATGATGATGGGTCCTCAAACAAGCATTCGTGGTCGTATCTCCAATGTGTTAATGTACTTGACGGAAAACCAATATCGCTGGCTATTGGAAATCGAAAATAGGTTGATGACAACATTTATGGGTTCTTCACAGGAATCTGGATCCGAGGATGAAGATGAAACTACAGCAACAACAACAAATTCAGCAAAAGCGTCACAAACAACTAACCGTGAAGAAGTGAAGAATAGGCACCAAGAGTCAACAAGTCGTGATATTCAACTTGATTTGTGTTTCAACATGGAATTACTCTGCTTGGAAATCTTCAATGGATCTGAAAGGGATGCAAGTACTCGTGAACAATATGCATTATGCCGACTATCTTTCGATGATACAGCAATGAAATTACAAATGATGACTGATGGACCTATGCTGATGGAAGTACAAGTACGATCAGTGAACTTTTATGATATTCGAAAGGATTCGACCTCATCCTTCAAAGATATCTTACCGGCGGGTAAACAACTGGGTGGACCTCAATTACAACTACAGTACAAGAGTGGTACAACAACAAAGGAAGGACAAACAATAACTGATATGTGCGTCATCGTAGACCGACCACAATTGGTACTTTCTTTGGATTATTTGATGTTATTGAAGGACTTTTTCGTATCTCCATTTATGGCCAAACCGCCTCCTACTGAAGCTCAAGCATTTGTGGAATCTCAACGCGATAAAGATCTTATTGCTGCTCAACAACAACAACAACGACAACAACAACAACAACGACCTTTATCCAGCCATTCAGGTAGTCATATGTCTACCGCAAATAGCCATGCAACTTCAGCTAGAAAATCGACAACAACAGCAACCACGATGTCTACATTCCGATACAAGGTGAAAGTGGTTGATTTGGAGATTATCTGCTTAGCGAAACCTGATGTGATTTCTTCTGAAGCAATGGTGATCTCTTTCCAAGAATTATCAGTGATTCAGCAAGAAAGCTTTGAACTTCGATTGAATGGGATTGGAGTCATGCTTTGTAGAATGGACAAGCGAGATGAATCGCTGATGCATTTGGTGGAACCATTCAATGTGGCAGTGGACATGCAGCAACAAGCATTGACAGAAATATCTGGACTTAGCAATACAAGCATTCATGCGACTATTCAGCCCATTACACTTCGATTGTCTTATCATGATTTTATTTTATTGATGGATATTATTAACAAGGTAACGACTTTACTATCTACAACTGCACCAACAACCACTTTGGATCAAGAAGGCGGATCAATAACGGGTTCTAGTATGGATGATGATGAACTATCCCTAGATCAAGAAGCTGAAGGTGACAGATACCCAGGATATACTTTGACAAGACATGAATATGAGGCTACTCAGAATATCCAGGATCAACAACAAGGAACTGATCAGCAACAGGCAAATCGATTGATTGAACCTTATATTGTCATGTCCCGAGAATCAGTAAGGAAAAAAAAAAACGACTCTTTGATTATTTACTCGCATTCATGTTCTTTTATATATATATTTGTATAATAGTTAGAGGCTTGTTTTGAAGGATTTCAGCTGGTGATCGTAGAAGATTTACATGATTTACCATTTATGGATTTGATTGTCAAGCCTTTTACTGTGAATGTATCCGAATGGTCTAGAGCTGTAAGTCATCGTGATTATACTTTGTAGTGGCTTTGTCATGATCTGATTTATCCTTTTTTTTGGTTTTGTTCTCTTTCAATATATAGCTTGTGGCAAACGTCAAAATTTGTACTCGTTGCAATAACTTTAATTTCAAGAATTCACACTGGGAACCATTGATTGAACCGTATACCTTCGATATAAATGTAACCCAAGAACCTACAACGAAAAGTCTAGATATTTCTGTGGAATCAAAAGAAACGTTGGATTTGAATGTGACTCATGCCTTTTTGGAAACCTTGATGTCAATATCTTCTACCTTGTCTGATATTCAGGTAAAATGAAGGAAAAAGAGAAAAAAAAAATTGATAGGAATTAATTATTGACTGCTCTTTACATTATTAGCCCCTTCCTGAAAATGCACAAAAGCAAGTGAAACCATTTATCATCAAGAACCGGACTGGATATGATATGCGATTTTGGAACATGTCTGATGATGCAGAAGATGGCGATACCAATATATGTTTGATGAAAGACGGACAAGATCAAGATTGGACGTTTAGAGATTGGAAAAAACGAAAGGAAGTAAGTTCTTTTAAATTGATTTTGTGAGATTTTCTAATTGCGAACTCTTGAATCTAGTCTGTCAAGGTGAACAACAATTTATTGGGAATAGAAATTCTACATATGGGATGGGAAAGTATTTTACATATTCCTTTGGATATTGAAGGACAACAATCGTATCTTTTAAAAGGTGGTAAAGATGGTATTCCTCATCGAGTAGTAGTGGAAATTATGCTCAAGAATCATGTCAAACATGTGATTTTCCATGGTGGACTAACATTGGACAATCAATCTGAAAATTCTATGCAAATGACCATGGTAGATCTATCAAGAAGAATTGTATCACCTATTTGGACAGTTGGTAAATATATCATACTCTGAAAAAAAGATACTATTATTTTCTAATAATGATGATTAAATTTTTTTTTGTTTTATTTTATCATATTAATCCCTTATATTAGAATCAAAACAAGTCTTGTATGTTCCTATTGGATTATCGTATCGTCCTTGGTTTGTCGTTCGACCTTCAGGTAATGTCACAAAATACATACATGTGTAGTTTATTCTATTTCATTTATATTCCTTGTAATTATTTTTGTAGATCAATATCATTGGAGTGACAATTTGATACATTGGTCAGACATGATCCATCCCAAGGCACCTAGCATTGCATCTTGTAAACTTCATATTACGGATTCACCAAAATATGTTTATCATCTCAGAGCTATCTTTGACAACAAAAATTCACTTTGTCGACAATATCCTATCATGAAGATTCAGTTCGGAGCGCCCATCAAGATCGTCAATCACCTTCCCTTTGACTTTAAATGGACAATGATGGATCAAGATACAAACCAATATATCTCCACAGTCATTCAACATGGTGAATCTGAACAAATTCATACATTCAGTTGTGATGGCAATCTAGCTTTTGTCCTGGATATTCAAAAGGAAGGCAAGCGAATGATTATTTCAAAAGAAAAAAAAAAGGAATAGGTAGAATTCTCATTTATATATTGTTGATAATTGATTTTAGATTATGAACCTACGGAATTGACGACCATTCAAGTCAATGATAATGGACCGGAAGAAGGCGTACCATTAGTTGTGAAAGACAAGTCTGGGAATACGATTTATTTACGAATGATCTTGGCGTAAGAACTATTACTTATTATTTTATTAAAGTTATTTAATTACTGATAATTTGTATTTTTTTTTTTCATTTCTAGACGATCTGAAGATGCGAAGAATGCTCTCCGAATCAAAATCTATGCGCCTTATCTTCTTCTCAATAAATCAGCTCATCGTTTGGCTGTCCGTAGTCGAGACTCAACTTATGGCTATAAATCTACAACTGCTACCCATGTCATTCCAGCATTTGAAGATCAGGTAAACTCAAAAATATATCAAATGAGAAACTGCATTATAACGATGATTTCTTTTTTTATGATAGGTGATTCCATATATGTATTCTTATCCAATTATGGACCGCAAGAATCGATCTGAAATTTCTATTGACGGATCCAAATGGAGTCAGGTAAAATAGTAATGAAAAAGATAAAACGTACATATATATATAATTATCTTTTGTTTTTAGGCTCTATCTTTTGAAGCTGTTGGTAGTTCTGTAGATGTACGACTCTCCTGCCGAAATGGATCTGAAATTCATGCTGGTATTCATGTGGAAGAAGGCGAAGGAATAGTAAGAAGAAAATTAAATAATTACAATACGGAAAAACTTTATACTCAATTTTTTTTTTTTTTTTTTGAAAAATAGTACCACTTGACAAAATTCATTACTATTGCCCCTCGTTTTGTTATCAAGAATAAGACTCATTACAATCTTAAAATTGGCGAATATGAAAGTAATGAAGCATCTACTATTGGTTCTCAAAAATCTATTCCTTTTTATATGACAAGAAAATCCAGATCCTTCAAATGGTTATGTCTTCAGTTGGATGAATTAGAAAATACATGGTAAAGATCGAGATGAATGAATAGAATTGATTGTAACTTGTTTTTTTTTCTATAGGTCCACTCCTTTTGATATTCAAGAAATAGGTGATACATTTATCAAGGTACCAAAGGGAAATGATACAAGACCTATATTGATTCAAGCCTCTATTCGTATGGTTAATGCTACTATCTTCATCATATTAAAACAAACCAATGATTGGCCTTATATGATCATCAATCGTTCAAGCACTGATATCACTTTTTATCAAGAGGTAATATAGTTAGAGAGATAAAAGGATGATGCTAAATTTTTTTTTCTATTATTTATTTAGCCTTCTGAAAATGATGAAGTAAAAATCAAGAAACTTCCAGCTAAAAAGTATCATTTGACACCAGAACAAAAATATATGAAATACTCTTGGGATATGCCTGCCTCAAAAGAACGACGATTAATATTGGATATTGGTGGAAAAACTCGTGTGATTGATTTCCAAGCCATTGGATCTCAAATTCCTTTTAGATATAAGGTAGATAAAAACAAAACAAAAAAATTATTATTATTATTATGTAAGATGGATTTTAATAATACATTTGAATTTAGAAACACTATCGAGGACCTGGTAATGGTATAGTATCTATTGATATAGCGGCACGTGATTCGGCATTGGTACTCTTATTGACAGATTTCCAGGAAGAAAACAGTTTGTTCCGACCTACTAGCTCTTCAGCTGAATCCACTTTGGCTCCTTCAAGAAGTTCAAGAGAAAGCAGTAGTATTCGTGATCATTTTGAAACTGTGGATATACAACTGTTTATCAACTACACCTTTAGACTTCAATTACATGGTATTGGTATATCCGTAATTAACGGTCGTTCTCAGGTAAAATTAGAAAAGCTAATTGAATGATGATCATCCTTTTAAAAACTGAATTTATTTGATATTCTAGGAACTTGTTTATGCTACTATTAAAGATCTTGATTTCAAATATACCGACTCTAATCTATATCAATCTATTCGTGCCGGCATTCAATGGTTACAAATAGATAATCAATTATTTGGTTCAACATATCCTATTCTCTTTTATCCTTCAACTTTACCCAAGAAAGCCCCCTCTGGTGCTGATGTTCATCCTGCTCTTCATCTTGCCCTAGATAAGGTCAAAGATAACAGTAAGTATATATTCAAAATTTGATTTTTTGATTTCAGTATCTTCATTCATGGAATTCATCTATCTATCTTTTATTTTTCTTTTTAGCTCATGGTGTATCTTATTTCAAGCTATTTTCTGTTTTAATGCAAGAAATGACGGTAGAAATAGATGAAGATTTACTATATGCCTTGATGGAATTTGCTCAATTCAATCATCTACAAGAACAGCCCACAAAAATGTAAGGCAAAAAAAAATCAGTGATGATGTACTATATTTTTTTAATTTATCTTTTTATTGTTATAATTTTCTAGTGATCCTCATCTATTTATAGTCAAGATGGAATTCCCTGAAGAAGAAGGCAATCAAGATCTACTCTATTTTGAAGAATTCTGTATCCAGCCTATGAGATTAAATCTTTCTTTTGTTCGTACAACCCGGGTCAGCACGGCAGATGCGTAAGTAATTTTCTGATTTCACTTATGCAATATTCAACTATATATTATATTTTATCTATTATAGAAGTGAAAATACTCACTCGGCGGTTAGTTATATCTTTGACGTCCTGACTATGACTATTGGAAATGTTAATGTAAGTCATTTAAAGGCAAAAGTGATTATTATAATATACTAGTTTGACACATACATATTATATTTTAGGATGCTCCTGTCAAACTGAATGCTCTTATTGTGGAAAATTTACGTGCAAGCAATCAAGATTTATCATCTAGAATCATGATACATTATCGTGATCAAGTAGTTTATCAAATTCATAAAGTAGTAGGTAGTGCTGATCTTATTGGAAATCCTGTTGGTCTGTTCAACACTCTTAGCTCTGGATTTGGTGAACTATTCTATGAACCTTATCAAGGCTTTATTACAAGTGATAGACCACAAGATCTTGGTCTTGGCATTGCTCGGGTAAAATGACGATAATCAATATATATAAAGTGATATCAATTTATATTTATAACTGTTTTCTTTTTTTTTTCTTTTGTTTTGATTATTAATCATATAGGGCGTTGGTGGATTATTGAAGAAGAGTGTGTTTGGTCTGACTGATAGTTTGAGTCGGGTAACAGGAAGTCTAGGTAAAGGATTGGCAGTAGCAACCATGGATCGAAAATTCCAAGAACGAAGACGTATAAAGTTGACTCGTAACAAACCTCAACATGCTATCTTTGGTGTTACTCAGGGTGTCACTTATTTTGGGACAAGTGTGGCTAGTGGTTTTGCTGGTTTAATCAAACGACCTATCGAAGGTGCTGAGGAATCTGGTGTTAGTGGTTTCTTTGGTGGTGTTGGCAAAGGATTGGTTGGGTAAATGAACTATATATATATATATAAAAGAACATTATATTCTAATAGACTTTTTTTTCTTTCTTTCTTTCTTTCTTTCTATAGAATGGTGACAAAGCCTGTGGTTGGACTCTTTGATTTGGCATCTAATGTTACGGCTGGTATTCGAGAAACAACTAATATGTTTGAAGCTGGTGCTCTTGTTCGTGAAAGATTACCTCGATATATTGGAAAAGATGGCACACTCAGTGTAAGTGTACCCAAAAAAAAAAAAAAGGAAGAAACAATGTACTAAATAGGAACGTTTTTTTTTTTTTTAGACATATTCACAAAGAGAGGCTTTAGGACAGATGTGGCTCAAGGAAATGAATGATGGTTACTACAATCAAGAAAAATATATTGCTCATGTTTTAGGCAAGAATGACGAACAAGTGGCCATTTTGACCTGGCGTTATATCTTCCTAGTTCATACTCGCAAGTTACAAGTACAATGGTATGAAAAATTAGAACTTGTGGAATCTTGCCAATGGGTAAGCAATGGATTGGAAAATATCGAAGACAATGGTAGTCAAGTGATAGACGCGGATGATGTTGATCAAGACAATGAGAGCTTACTGATGATCAAGACAAAAACAATCCCAACAAGGATCAAGACCATCGGTTTTATGGAACCTACCTCTGGTGCCTGGTTCACTACCCAATTACAAAAGGCAATGGAACAACTTCGAGAAGACAAGGATCGTCAATGATTGTCCCTAATAAATTAGATGTATATCCTCCTCCCTCCTTATTTATTGTTTTTTAGATGGAGAATAAAATATGTATCTTTTTATATCATTATTTGTTTTGATTCAATGTATCATTATTATCAATATTATTATCATTATTATCATTATCATTTGAAAAGAAAGTAGTTCGTACATCGGCTTTTGTAAAGTCCCACCCCAGATAACATTGTTTTTTTTTTTATTATTTGAGACACTAACACGATAGTAAACTGTTTTATTGATTCAACAAGTAACCTTTAATAGATTCTCCTTGATTATGCAGCCAACGAACTGGAAGATCCATACACCTATCCACAACGATCAAAAAAAAAAAAGATCATATGTTAACGTTGTTTTGACTCTTCTAATGAATACTTCCTTTTTTTTTTTTTTTTTTTTTTTTTACCTTTTCATCGAACGAAGGGGCCTTCACTTGCTTCCAAGATGAACCGCCAAATGAATAGGAATTGAGTACCTTGAGCTGAACGGGAGCAAACGTATTATCCTTGTCATTAAGACCATGAACAGCAATGGCAAGATGATTATTACCATTGGTATTGAGAATACCAGGAGGCACTGGGAATTCAAATTGAGGACCTGCAAAAAAAAAAAAAAAAAAAAAAAAAAAAAAAAAAAAAAAAAAAATAGGATGAACATCAAAATCGAGTATAAAATGTTAAGAGTGACCTACCTAGATTAGGAATCACTTTGCCAAAATTCCATCCATTGATATAAAATTCGGCGCGATACAGTTGTTTATCATCTGGTTTATCAAATGTCACAACCACAGGGTTATCTGTACCTTTAGGGAAATCCAATTTGAAATCAGTAAAATACCAAGCAATGCCAGCAGGGCCAAAGCTATATAAAAAAAAAAAAAAAAATCAGGATATTCGTCTTTTTCCTTTGAAAAAAAAAAAAAAATCTTACTTGTGAGGGAGAGTGACACCATTTGTAAAGTTATTTTTGCTGGTGGCAGGGAATCCAGGAAGATGCCAGCCTTTACGTTCACCATATTTGCCACCGACATTAAAGGTACCACGACAGGTATCGACGATATTTTCACCACCCAAATTACCTTGTAATTTCCATGTGATGGTGGATGTAGATTGTTTTGAAGAAGATGTCAAAAGCCGAGCATCATAAAGGCCACGGTATGCTTTGAATTGATCAGTGCCTCCTTCTTCATCTGAGCCCATACCATCCACAAGAATAGAGATTACATTGGAACCATTGGAAATGAGAGCAGTAGAGGGTAATTTAATCAAATCTGGAGTAGCACTAGTTTTGGAATTAAAAGTACCAAGATATTGACTATTGAACCAAATGGAATACACGGAATGATCACCACCTTGCACAGTGACATTCAATTGTTTTTCATCACCAGTTGCATTGAAATGACCACGGTACCAAATATGTCCAACATGGAAATCATAATCATCAGCATAAAGTACAGGTTGACCATCAGGTTGAGGAATGGGATTGTTGGTAGTCGTATGATCAGCAATTGTCCAATCATCATCATCAAACGATGATAGCCTTTCAGGTGCTTCATATCCAACAGTCCAACTAGAAAGCTTAGGAACAGATACGGATTTAGGACCTTGAAGTTTTCCTTTAGAAGATCCATAGCTAGTAGGAGACATCTTGATGTTATTTCCATTCCACGCGATGGTCTTGAATTGCTTTGATGCAAATACTTCAATGTTACTTGTAGTATTTGTATCTCCTCGAATCGAAAGTGTGGATCCAGAAGTAGATGATAGTCCTCGAACCAAATACTTCAAGAAAAAAAAAAGAAATGAATCAGCATTTACAGGAAATAATAATGATAATAACAATAAAAAAGAATATACTTACACTACCAAATACAAAAGCAGGGCCATTATGTGTATCCAAACGCCAGAATTGATAAGCATTATCCAAATCAGCCACCAATATCGTTAAAGGATTGTCAATGTTGGTTATCTGAATAATGATCAATCCTAAAACCAAAAAAAAAAAAAAAAGAAAGAAAGAAAGAAAGAAAGAGAAAGAAAGAAAAGAGAAGAAAAGAAAAAGAGTTTAGGCTACAAGTGTCCTTTTTTTTTTTTAGTTACCCTTGACAACATAGTTCAATCGAAGTTTGCTATCTGATACAGAAGCTTTGCCGTTGTTGGAGGAACCAAAGAATTGGACTTTTGGTGAGGAACCATGAGGCATTTCCAAAACAATTTCACCGTCTTCACCTGAAAGACCATGTAACACCAAAAAGTCAGTTTGATCAATAGTACCCCAGGTCAGTACATCGGTTGTAGCATAAATCAAATGATGATTGAGGAAATCAAGGTTGGCAGATAAGATTTTAGAGTCACGTCCATTCAATCTGATTTGAGTTCCTGATTCTTGAGGCACAGTAATATTTCCGATCAAAAGTGAAAAACCAGTGTCAGCCAAGCTTGTTTTATCTTCATGACGCAAAATATGGAATTCAGAGCCAGTTTGAGGATTACGACGAATATCATCACGCACGGATTTATCAGAAACATTGCCTACAAATGGGTGCGTTTCTGCCAGTTCCTTGGCTACCAACAGGAAGTAATTGAGCAATTTTTTTTCATACAATTTTGATCCGATTTGACGTGATTCATCAATAGGAGCACCATAATCATAACTTGTGTAATCAGAAGGGAAGCGAAGGTTACCCCAATTGGTGCCACCAAAAGTCATGTAGATACTTTGCATGGTGAGTCCCATGGCCAAGTTCCAACGATCATAGAGTCTTTCATAAAGATTGTTGGTATGTCTTCGGCAAACATCTTCTCCTACTCCACCCCATACCTATAATTACATAAAGATGAGACACATATACTTTCTTTTTTTTTTAAAAAAAAAAAAAAGAACACTTACATCAAAGGCACCACCACCTAGTTCAGGAATAAAAAGAGGCACTCCTTGCTTATACTTGACGATTTCGGTGTAAGGAGGTTTATAAGGTTGACTCCAGTCAGAGGAATTCAAAGGACAATCTCCCCATCCAATCGGATAAAAATCATAACCTAATAGATCTGTAGAGCCAAGACCAGCTGACCAAGGACTCTGACCATTACTAGGTGCATTATGAAAAGTAGGTACATAGATGCCAGCATCAGCATATACTTGCTCAAGTAAAGCCATGTATTCTTTGCCTGCTGTTTTATCAGTCCAATATTCATTATCGATTTGCACAGCAATCACAGGTCCTTTAGGATATTGATACTTGTTGAAAAGTGTAGCCATCTTGGTGATATAAGGTTTCCAAGCAGCTGTCCAATCAGGGGCAGAAGTACGAGATGTACCTTTGAGTTTCTACAGTTAAAAAAAAAAAAAAAAAAAAAAAAAAAAAAAAAAAAAAAGGAGTATGAGAAACATGATTGACGTTGTTTTGATGTTTCTTTTTTTTTTTTTTATTCTTTCTTACCTTGCTCCAAAGTGCAAATCCTCCTGCTGTTGTCTCAGCATTACTAAGAGGAAGAAAATATTTAAATGGATCTACCTTCAATCATACAACAAATATAATATATATATATATATATATATATTACTTACATATATGGTCCAGGTCGAGCTGAGACATATAGACCAACTTCATGAGCCATCTGCAAAAATAATTCCATGTCACGGATCCCAGTAAGGTCAACTAGCAAAAAAAAAAAAAAAAAAAAGATCAGTCTACATAAATGATCTGTCTCATTTTATTTCATTTATACTACTTTACCTGTTTGATTATTCCAACTATGGAAACCCCAATGAAAATATGACTGAACAACATTAAATCCAGATGCTTTAACTGTAGACAACGTAAAAAAAAAAAAAAAAAAAAAAAAAAAAAAAAAAAAGAATAAGTATGCATGATTTCTTTTCTTTTTTTTTTTTTATGATGCCTCTTATTTTCTTCTTACTTTTCTCCAGTACGTCAACCCAAAGATCAGGACTAGGCAAACGAAAAGGATGAAATTCTGCACCCCAAAAGAACACACGTTCATTATCAATCTTCAAAGAATAATCATCCCAAGTAATAGGATTGGTCCAATTCGCTGTACCTATTTTTTTTTTTGTAAGCTTGATTATAATACTTTTATTCCGCGGGATCCCGCTTAATGGACTTACGCGATTTGAGAGAGACAATATGGGAGTCCAATAACGGCACAGCTTGCGTGATTGAACTTAAACAAGCAAGTGAAGCAATACTAAAGCAAATAACTTTTGTCAGTAAAGTCATCTTGCAAAAAATATGAAAAAAAAAGAGTCTATGAATGTCATGTAAATGAGTTTTTTTTTTATAACTAATCTACTTACTGGTAAAAACTAAACTTCAATTTTGGGTGGGAACTTTTTTTTTCATTTTTAATAAGAATGTGATACAGAAAATTATATAAACAAATCATTCCGAGGATGTTGTTGGGATTACATAAGAATGAATGAAAAATAATGTGGAGATTACCTCAGATGAGGTAGTACCTGACAGCTGTCATACCAGAAATTAGAAAGAAAAATAAACCGTTCAATTTTTATCCATCATACAATCATCCCTTTCGTTTAATCATCATATAATCGTCATCATCATGCAATAGCCAATCATCCATGCAATAATATCAAATGATCATTGATCATTGCATATCGTCACATAGATCATCCATCTTCAACCATCATGCAATTATACACTATGCATTTTCATCTATTGCATTGTTTGAAATTAATGAATAAAAAAAAAGGCTAGATTTTTCTTTGTGCAATGTTGTATCTTCCCGGATTTTTGTACGACTTTGTGGAGAAAGTTTTCCAACGAAAAAAAAAAAATCCGCATTTCATTTAGAAATTTGTATCGATCAGTTTTAGGTTTGTTAAAATATTACTTGCTCTATAGGTATATATATATACTTATATTAATGATGGGAAAATGCCAATACAGATGAAAAGAAATCAAAAAAGAAGAATCATATGATACTTTTTCTTTGGATATAAAAAAGAGAGGATGTTTTCATCTGATGATGAGTCAAATCAGATTTATCATTTCAAACATGAAGTTTCTGCAAGTAATGATGTTGGCATTGTCAAGTGTTGTCATGGCCATACCTCTGGAAAAGCGTGCAGCAAGCAAATCCAGCTCTTTCTATTATGGACATGATATTTCATCTCTTCCCATGTTGGAAAATAAAGGTCAAAAGTACTATCTTAATGGAGCCCAGGAAGCTTTCGACAAGATCTTGATTTCTGGCGGTGCCAATTTCGTTCGTTCAAGAATCTGGGTCAATCCATCTGATGGTGTGTATGGATTGGATTACAATCTCGCTTTAGCCAAGCGTATCAAAGCTGAGGGATTAGGCTTCTATCTTGATTTCCATTATTCAGGTACACCAAAAAAAAAAAAAAAAAAAGATCAATCCATGCTCACCTTTTTTTTCTGTTGGTGTCATTTTCCTGATCATCATCATCATCGTCCGATAAGATACTTGGGTAATTTTAAACGAAAATATTTAATCAACCATCTTCTCATATTCTTTCTTTCTTTCTTTCTTTCTTTTTTTTTTTTAATGCTGCCTAGGCGGATCCAAGCGCTCAAACTATTCCCAGCGGATGGCCAACCGATGTTTCCAATTTATCATGGGAGGTTTACAATTACACCAAAGCTACAGTTGAAGCCTTTGTTGCTGCAGGTGTACACATTGATATAGTTAGCATTGGGAATGAAATCAACAATGGTTTGTTGTGGTAATATTAATTAATTTATATTTCATTATAAAAATATACTATCACTGATTCTTTCTACCTTTAACTCTATTATTTATTATTAGGCCCACTGGTACAAGCTCTTCTTTTTCAAATATTGCTCAAATCTTACATTCTGCTGCTTGGGGTGTTAAAGATGGAGACTCATCAGACACACCTTATATTTTAGTGCATACAGCTAATGGTTGGGATGAGTCCACCCAGACATGGTTTTACTCCAGTTTATTGGCTGAAGGCAGTTTTCTTTTGACTGATTTTGATCTCATTGGGTTTTCATTTTATCCTTTCTATGGAACATCTGCTACTATTCAAAATCTAGTGACTACTGCAAACAAAATGATCAGTTTATATGGAAAAGATATTGTTGTATCCGAAACCGATTGGCCCAATTCTTGTTCAGGTGTGACCCTTAGTGATACTTCCATTCCTGTTAGTGCAGCTGGTCAATCCACTTGGGTTCAGGATGTTGTTACTGCTGTGAAGGGATTGAGTAGTGGCAAAGGCAAAGGTATAAAAAAAAAGAATTCATAGGATCTTTCATTTACTCTTTTTTTTTTTTATCATTCAAGGTGTCTTTTATTGGGAACCTGGATGGGTAGGCAATGCCGCTCTTGGTTCAAGTTGTTCCAGTGCAATTTTGACAGATAACTCTGGAAATGCATTATCATCTGTGAACATGTATTCCATTTATTGATTGTATTATCATCAAACATCTTAGTGGTTTTTACTCTACAATTAATAAAAATAGCTTTTTTTCTCCTGATTCCAAATAAAATATTTAGATTGGCCCTTTCCATTTTGATCCACATTAAGACAAAAAGAAAAATCGATCAATTTATCATTCACTGCAACCCACAGAGCCAATCTTCTATCCTAATAAACTGCTCTTCCATATGAATCGATAAAGTAAATTTTCACACAAATTTGATTCCCAATAGCTCAAAAGGAGTGTCATCTACTTTATTTCATACAAGATATGAAGGAAAAAACAAGATAAACTAAAAACTAAACTACTATCAGATGTCAAGGTCTTGGCGTTTCTCCATTGCAGACTTCGCTTCGGCGGCCAGGTTCAACACGGTACACTATAGCAGAAAAAGTGTCAAGATTAATATTTTTGATCAGCAAGCACTACTCTACCTTTCATACCTGGTACGAAAACAACGAATCAAGGGTAGTTTTGAATTCGATAAAATCTTTGGGAGATTTGGGTAACTTCAGTATTCCAATTTTTTTTTCCAAAGTAGACAAACGTAACACGAGAAATGGTATAATATCAGAAACAGACAGACAGACAAAACATAATTAAATATATATATGTGCTTATGAGAATATAATAGTTGTTTGATGAGACATTGTAAAAAGTAATGTTGACCGAAGATGACAGATAATTCTTTTTTTGATATAATAACGTATTTATATCTAAACTAAAAAAAAAAGAGAGACTAATAACTACTGTATCAAGGTTGTAATGAGAAGAATAAAACCTGATAAAAGAAGAAAGAGAAAAGAGGAGAAGAGAAAGTGATAAAACACAAAAGTGAAACAAAAAGGGGAAAAAGGTAAATACATAAAATAATAAAACTCAGCTAGCCGCATGATTTTTCGTACCTTTGACAACAATAAAAATGAATATTAAAAAGAGAGAAAAAAAAATAAAAGCAAAAGAAAGACGAAAAAAGGAGACTTGGGGAATTAAAATTTATGCTCACACATTAAAATTTTAAGATATATAAAATTCATTTTTTCTTTCATTCTTTCTTCCTATTTTTCTTTTTTTTTCTTTTTTTTTTTTTTTTTTCTCGTGAAGTCCTTTTTACTTTTTGCGTCATGTCAATTAAACAGAAACAAAAACCACTTAGTATTCGATACGGTATGATATCACCTCCTGATGAATTGTCTGTCCCAAAAGTTTATTCCTCGTTTGCTTCCTCTTCTTCTCTTTCTTCTATGAAAACTATTATCAATAATGATTATGCAGTCTGAAGATCAGGTATGATCTTTTTTAAAGTATATATTTAGACTAACTGTGTCTGATCTTTTTTTTTATTGGCTAGCTTTCTCTTGGATATCAATGAGATTTTGCACGAATATGAAACAGTTTCTGACCATTCGGATATCAACACCAATATCAACATCAATACAAACATCAATACCTTCTAACGATGATACTGATATTGATATGGTATTTGACGATGGAGCACTGAAATATACCTTTCCTGGAAATTACCACGTCATATCAATTCATTATTTTACTCGTAATCAACATGTTTTTGGGTCAAGATATAAAGTTGCAGCTTTCTGGTGATATTGGTTTAGTGTAGTCCCTTTTTGTTTTATTATTTTTTTGTAGTGTATTAGCAACTGTTTTTTTTTATTATATAATAAATCATTTTTATAATCTCCTCCCTGTATATTAGTTAGTTATTTAGTAATTATTCGTGGTAGTTCTTTATTTACTAGATTCTGGAATTACAAGCTGTATCCCGTATGTCAACTCAATGATGCATTCTGTATATACCAGATTTTATCTGGGATCCTGTAATTACAGGATATATCGTGTAGGTTAACTCAGGATTTATCCTGGATATTCAGGATTTCATCTGGGATCGTGGAAATACAGGATAGATACTGTAAATTTTCCAGGATTTTTACCGGATTTATCATGGATAAATCGTGTACGGGATTTTTACGGGATAAATCGTGTACTTCATCCTGTATTTGCAGGATTTTTACAGGATATTTCGTGTATAGCCTGTATTCACAGGATAAATCGTTTATTTACAGGATCATTTTTTCTAAAGTGGTTGAAGACGAGAAGAAAAAAGCGTGCCACATAACTCATCTTTTTTTTTTGTGCGTGTGTTTGTCGCACCAATACACCATCAACAGTGTGTTACACATTTCAAACGAGAAGGTTCCGAGCTGTTAATGCTCTTTGGGCGTTCCGTTTGTATATTGTATAAACACACCCTTATGTATATGAATACAGAAACAAGTGTAAAACAAACCATTATCATCATCATAATAATAATAATAATAATAATAAAAATAGGCAATACAAATATAATTTATTTTCAATACAATAACATTAACACTGACTAGAGAAATATATCTATCACTACCATCAAATCAATGTCTGGATTCGAGTCGTTAACTTGATCCCACATCACTTGTCGTTTCATTTCGCTATATACAGACTGTTTCGTAATATTTTCGGCCAAAGCATGCGTCACAATGTTTGAGTACAGTATCATCATTGAAGAAGGAAAGTGCGCACGCTTCTTGAATATCTTTAATAGAGATCCTAAAAACATCAATTACTGCAAAGGCCAATGACAAAGAAAGAAAGAAAAGAAAAAAAAAAGAGGAGAGTTTGACTTACCTAAATAACAAATGCAGAAGATATCATTCGCAAAAATGACACACAAATAGCTGTTCAACTTTTGACTTACTCTAGGGATTTGTCCAGCATGCCACCACCAAGCATCTTGTTCCAACATACGCTAACAGTAGTAACCCATATCGCGATAATATCGTTATATGAACTTTACCACCTCACTTGGGTCGCCTACATACTTCAGCATACTATCAAGTCCATGCAATGCAGACCTGTAGATTCCCTTGTCAGACTAAGATGATGGTGAAGCCCAGTTCGTTGTACCTATAGTTGAGTTTTTGCTCAGAATAAAATAAAAACAAGAGATTGGTTCGTATACAGTCGTTCAAAGTAATAAAATAATGTGCTTACCTTTACAGATGTTTTCCTACGTACCTTGGTCCAACATGCGCTAACAGTAGTAACCCATATCGCGATAATATCGTTATATGAACTTTACCACCTCACTTGGGTCGCCTACACACTTCAGCATACTATCAAGTCCATGCAATGCAGACCTGTAGATTCCCTTGTCAGACTAAAATGATGGTGAAGCCCAGTTCGTTGTACATATAGTTGAGTTTTTGTTCGAAATAAAATAAAAACAAGGGATTGGTTAGTATACAGTCGTCCAAAGTAATAAAATAATGTGCTTACCTCTAGGGATTTGTCCAGCATGCCACCACCAAGCATCTTGTTCCAACATACGCTAACAGTAGTAACCCATATCGCGATAATATCGTTATATGAACTTTACCACCTCACTTGGGTCGCCTACATACTTCAGCATACTATCAAGTCCATGCAATGCAGACCTGTAGATTCCCTTGTCAGACTAAGATGATGGTGAAGCCCAGTTCGTTGTACCTATAGTTGAGTTTTTGCTCAGAATAAAATAAAAACAAGAGATTGGTTCGTATACAGTCGTTCAAAGTAATAAAATAATGTGCTTACCTTTACAGATGTTTTCCTACGTACCTTGGTCCAACATGCGCTAACAGTAGTAACCCATATCGCGATAATATCGTTATATGAACTTTACCACCTCACTTGGGTCGCCTACACACTTCAGCATACTGTCAAGTCCACACAATACAAGACAAAAAAAAGAGAAAAAGAAAGACTAAAAAAAAAGCGACAGCAAAAAGCTAGATTGCGTCACATGTCGGCGAATAAAAATGTCAATTGCATTGGAGCGCCTTGGCGTCTTCAAATCTCAACTTTTTTTTATCTTTTTTTGATAACATATCAAATAATCATGGTCTATCTCGGACACAAAGGTAAATTCGTTTTATTTATATAAAGAAACGAAGTTTCATTGTTTTAGACTCTTATCATCCTTATTTTCCCCACAATTATTGTTAGAATTATGTGAGTTTGTTCGCAACATACCCACCCCATCATTCAATAGGTTTGTTGTGCAACATTTGGACGATATCCCATATTGGTCTCTGGATTCCTGCGATAAGGACGCTAGTGAATTGTATGCGATTTGGAAACGGCGATTTGCCCTTGAAATAAAAAACTGCAACAAAACTGGTCTTATATTGAGCAGGTAAGTTATTGTGTCTTGTCAACCAAGGATATTCATAGCTTTTTTTTTTTGATTTAGTCAACTGAAGTTCGATGTGACGAAATGGAAATTGATCAAGGCTTCGGTGGATGAATTGGTATGTCGTTAGTTATACTAGAGTTATAGTTTACTGGCGAACTTGACACTGATACATATATATATATATATATTTGGCTTCTTTGCAACACATAGGTACATACAAAAATGGTATTTCAAAAGGATGCAGTCAAAACCTTGGGTATAGCGTCATCTTCCGCAACGAACCTTCTCAGCAAGGCTTTAGAATGTGAGCAGCCTCCACAAGAATGCCACCAGGATAAACAAGAACACCAATCTCGCTCAGAAGACCAACCTCAAAAAGAAAACCAATCTCATTCAGAAGCTCCTCGTCTTGAACAAGAACACCATCACCAGCCGCAGGGAGAACGTCAGTCGCGCTCAGAAGATCAACCTCAAGAAGAACACCAAACTCATTCAGTAGGCCAACCTGCTCACTATGAACACAAATACCATCAAGATCGGTCATGTCACCACTTAACAGATTTGGATACAGTAGAACAATTTCTGCATGCCACTGCTTACAAGAAGGTAACATGATTATAAAAAAGGATGGGTTGTATTTATGCATATTCATCACTATATGCTCACGGTGCTTTTCGTTTTTTTTTTTTTTTTTTTTTTTTTTTTGTCAACCTATCAGCTATCAGGAGGTTGTTTGGACGATAAAGAAAAGCAAATACTGGCACAGATCGACAACAACACCACGCTTAAGAATATGCTGATGTCACTGGCCGCAAAAACAATTCAAAAAGAAGAACTAATCACCTTGGATGAAAGCCTTATCAAGTACGTTGATGTCTCATTTATATAAAAAATTGGATCATGGATCTACTTCTGACTTTTCTCGGTCACTCATTCTTTTTTTCTGCTTCTTTGTTTTTTGTTAGGTTATCGTTATCCAGCATCATCAATTTTATAAATCCATCCATCAAGACAACCATCATGGACCGGGTAGGACCGTCATTAAAATTGGAATTGGAAGATGCGAAGTTTGGCAATATTGCCGTACGTGGGTTAAGCGTGGAAGCCTCTGATATCTTTGACAAGGTCGTGGAATTGGGTGATGGGATGGAGAACACGGATACCATGCTCGCATACATACTGAATATGAAGGCCGCTCTTATTGGACAAGGTCAAAGACAGTCCCAGGTCTTCCAAATGCTGTCAGTGTTGGAACAAGTGTAAGTACCGGCAAAAGAAAAAAAAAACAGCATTATGCATTTGCTAACCGATATCCTTATTTTGCCATTCATCGACGGTCTCACACATCTTTTTTTTTTTCTCAGGATCGAAAATTTTGGTTTGTGGGAGAAAGATGATCATGAGTCTGAAATGACTTTTTATCGTCGATTTGCTACGTTACTGGATATTCTTTTCAAAGGGACACAAATTGAACTGGCAGAGTAAATAGATACATACATAAAATCAAGCCGTTAAAACATACACTCAAATCTTCATTCTCTTTTTTTTTTTTTTTTTTTTTGGTGGTAGTGGTGAAACGGGCTGCTCTTCCACAAGACCGGCGATTGAAATGAACAAAGCAGTTTTCCAAGCGATTGATTCGGGTGCGGCGTACTGTAGAAAGATTGACTTGCTGATCAAATTTGACGGTACCGAGCGTTTGGAATTGTGTTCGAACGAATGGAAGAAGTCGAATGTATCTGCAAACACCGTCCTCAAACAACAATGCAAGAATCTCCGTATCAATGCCACCATCCTATCTACTCTGATTAGCAAGTACGGTGACAAATTTGACAAGTTGATGGCAATGGATTGGATTGGTAAGAAAGACATCGATGCAAAATGTGGAGTATCATGCGGACTCACATTTTTTTTTTTTTTTATTTTTGATAGGACACATCGGATATCTCTATGTCTTGGAAAAACATGGTGATGTGTTTGTGTCGTCGCTGCTCGCTACAATGATGATTCCAAAGGAAGCCGCTCACCTTGCACAAATGAAACCTACACTTGACAATCTTTTTTTATTCAAGGTAAAAGATAGATATGATATGGATTGATTCAGTCGATAGTATTGACCTTTTTTTTGAGGGGGCTCTTGTAGAACTTTATGACCACCATGTGCTGTCAATTAAAAACAAGGATGTATGAATATGAAATGAACAGACGGCTTTTGGACATCACCCACATACAACCTATGGATGATACTTCTACACCTGTATCCCCATTTGTTTTTTTCACACCAAGGACTCCTCGTATCAAAAAACGAAAATTACAGAATTTGGAAGATGATGATTGAATGATGACCGTTTGGTGTTCCTTTTTTTATTGTATATATATATTGTTGTTTCTGTTCATATTTTATTTTTTATTTTTTTTAGCCAATAAAAGTTTTATTTTCATGTATAAGAGTAAAATAAACTATCATCATCATAATCATTGTATTTAATGGATGTAACCTTTATTTTCTTTATTAAATATAAGAACAAAATAAACTACTGTAGTAAACTAAAGCCAAAAGTACACTGATTTGATAGGCACAACACACCATACAGAAGATACACCGATGTCATTTTCTTTCCGTTCTGTCCACTAACCATAGAAGATCATCAAGTAGTACTTTCTACATTCATAAAAGCCATGTTAGCCTTTCTGTGAGATATCACGATGACGGTTCTTTTGTACACTTACCAATTAATCGCCTCCTCCTTGTCGTGCAATAGACTTTTCGCTTGTGAATCATCACGTTCCATTCATATCTTGCCCTAAATCTGCTGTAGATACTTTTTTTTGTTCCTCTTCCATTCCAGTTACATCAATATGATAACCAGGATATCTCCCATTCAAAAAAAAAATCTTCGTCCAATGTTGCCATTGATCATATCCTATCTTTTTTTTCTCCAAAAAAAAAAAATCAGTTTAAATATCATCCCGCGTTCCAATCGATCGAAATATGACATCGTACATACTTGTATTACCTTCAAAGATTTCGGTGGTCCCATTGGTACATTTCCTTGCAGAAGACTTCTTTCCCTTTTTTTTTTTTTTTCCAAAGTCGACACAAAGAATAGTAAACAAATATTCACTTTTTGATACCTTGAGCTTTTACGTGAGCCACTTGCTGCCCGACTGTTATCATAAATGAAAAAAAAAAAAAAAAAAAAAAAAAAAACTTCAAAATCAGTACAATCATTGACCCTTGGGATAAATGTCTTACCTTTGTGTGTCTTCTTTTTTTCTGGATTAGCTTTCTGTATTCTATTCTAGTGTACGTTTGTCGTTATTGTGATCGAAAATATAACACCATGAGAAAGCATGCTAGCAAACCACCATATGAATGGACTATTAAAAAACTATTGATATCATATTGCTGTCGCAGTTTCATCAAAGGGTAGATTTAAAAAATAAAAAAAAAGTGGAAAAGAGAAAGAAAAAGGGAAAAGGGCGTCGAGGAGAAATTCTTTCGTTTTAAATATTCAAGCGCTTGTCTTCACGCATAATCCAAAAATAGAAATTAAAGAAATACTAATCTAGCTTAGTTTATTAGAGCTACCCATTGACTATTATTTAACAAACTATATTCATCATCATCATACTTTTATTATTATCTATCCAATCAGACAACCAAGTCCTTGAACAAACATTAATTAATTAATAAGCGCGAAAGGTGTAATTCTTATTGATATGAAGTCGCGGAGACAATCTTTCATCATTCTCGTCAAATGAGCACAGTATCCAAACGTTCTTGTTCATGTTCCCTAGAAGCTGAATTATTGTGCGGTTAAACGTACCATCAAGATACTCATCACCAACATAAAAGGATGGAATTGTAACCAACTTGAAAGACTCATCAACACTTCCAAGGCCCAATTGCATGAGTATTCTGTCATATATTCTGGTATCATACAGTTTCTGCAGTAACGAGTTGGAAGGCGCATGCAGATGGTACCTTTTAGGCCGCAGGTGAAGACACGGACCTTGATAGTCTCTACTGTTGCTATTCAGTTGGTTGGGTTCGAAATGGATAGCGGAAGAGTCGTTAAAGTCAAAGTTGAACTCGAACGAAGTGCTGAAGGCCTTATAAGGAAAAATGGGAATCGTATCCGTAATGCAAAAGTTTGAAGCAAAGGTGGGTAACAGGGTATATGATTGCCTTGAGCAGAATTGAAGCAGATGAAGCTTGTCCTCCATATCTAGTATTTCATACAACTTCAATCTGACCGATGTCATATCCGATATGTTCCAACCAGAGATAGTGTCTTTAGATCTTTTGATCTTGCTGTATTTTGGTGATAAAGGTAGTATGGCATGGAACCTATCTTCGTTTCTGGTGGCTCGAGATCTCATCATCATGTCAAGAAACGGGCGCTTGACAGTATTACGTATGATTGTATCGTGGTAGATGGAAGCGAGTAAGGAGCACCAATGATGGTCGAAATAGGGATAGTTCTCTTTTGTAAGATTAAAATCTAACGTAAAAAAAGGCTCACCATTAAAATCATTGCCCTTATCGAGGTGAATGAACCAGTATTTCATTTTTCCTTCGTTCTTTTCTTTGGCAATGCTGTATTCACTGATCACCCACGCTCGATTTGCCCAATCCAGAAATAAATCTTGCAGGTAATGGATGGCATATATCACTTGACCTTGTCTACTATCCTCCAGTAGCTTTTGTGCGAATTGCTGATATTGGATTATCCGTTTTTGTGTATTTCGGTTGCAATCATCCTTGTCTTCAGGATCTCTTTTGGATAAATTGTTCAAGTGCTTGATATTTTTGGCTTCAGAATCCAATAGACTCTATCGAATGGTTGTCAATAAAATAAAATAAAAATAAACAACCCCTATGCAATCGCCGATTGTTTCACTCACCCACCCAAGCTGCATTCTCTCATTATATCCTTGCCGTGCGCCATCCGATGCACTATGCAGTTTGTTCCTCCAATCATTGTCAAGTCGACACAGCTCTTGGGTGTTTCCATGGATAAAATGGTAAAGATACCATCTATATTTCTGGATCTGTTTACGCATCCTTGCATTCAAGTCCCTGATCGCGATCAATGACCGCATGTGTAGATCAGGTACGGCAACAATATACGTCGCGTTCTTGTAAATATCCGTCATCCGGTAAATCGTAGCCTTTTTACGTCGATCGTTCCCTTGATCGACACAGATAGCATCCACCCATGCGTACTTGATGTCTTTCAAATCAGGTTCATTAAGTATACGCCAGCATAATCTAAAAAAATCGTTCAAATCAAAGGAGATAATGCGGGCACAATAATCATCTGTGACCGGCGTAACCTGCTCGTCAAGCTCTCCCCATCGATAGGACAAGGCAATAAAGTTTACTGCCTGCGCTCCTAACAGTTTTATTTTTTCACAGCAAACACGCTCTTCTTCCGCCGTTTTTTGGATATCTACTAGAATAATATCGAACGGACATCGATCATCTGCACTTTGGAAACATTTTTCTAATTGATACAACTATTAATATAATGCGGAGTGTGTCGTGCACATGTAGGCAACCAAGTTTTTTTTTTTTTTTTTTTTTTTTTTTTTTTTTTTTTTTTTTTTTTTTTTTTTTTTAGCAGTCTCTTCAAGAACAACCATTTGATTGTTTATCGTCAACATGGCTATCTTACCTTCGTCTTCATCACAAGAATAATAAATTGATGAATTGTCATCTCCAATGAGAGTCATCGTTGCATAGAAACACAGAGGTAGGTAAGAAGTATCGTTATGCCATTTTATTTGTTAATACGTAATTTATTTTAGGTTGTCTTACACTACCTTCATTTTGTAGTACAAAAATATCTGGGCTAAGCCCATCGTGTAAACCAGCAATAAGGATACTTCATGATAATATCAGAGTTTATTGCATGGTTTCATGAAGGGTGCGAAAGCAGATTTTTATTGATAAATAAAGAGGCTAAACTACAACTAATACTAATCTATGATGATGACCTTCAATAATGCTAGAACTATGACTAGGTATGTAAAAGAATATATGTGAAGATTTTCATTTTATTGCAGCCCATGGCGAGAATAATAATAATAATAAAAAGGAACAGAGTAATGCAGAGCAGAACAGGAAAGTTCCCCTGAACTTCTTGATTGTCCAATCGTTCATAATGATCAAGTCAGAACGTCTCCACACTAACCAATAAAGTAAATTTCATTCACATAAATTTGGTTTCCGATAGCTCCAAAGGAGTGCCACATACTTTATTTCATCCAAGTCATGATCAAAACCAACATAAAACTAAAAACTAAACTAAGATCAAAAGCATACTAACTTGATATATATATATATATATATATATATATATATACCGTAAGGTTGGTCAATATACGCTGTGCAGCCATGCTGGGGATTATTTGAATTTTGATGCTTTTCCTAATGAATATATATAAATAAAAAAATAAGATCTTCTCAGTAATCATGCATAACACTGATCCACGCACTTACGAACTAATTCCATTCACCATTTTCGAGCTTTAATCCAGCTTGTTGTGCATTGAGATTTCTATTGACAACCATTCATTTGTACCTTGTTTAAACTTGCCTTTTTGTTTCTATTTCATGTGGTAATGATGCCACGCCCTGAAGAGGATATCCAATAATGATCCAAAAGTCCACCAATAGTCACCTTTTCCTTCCTTTTGTCGCCAAAATTGACCCATTGATACTTCCGCTTCGTTGTTTCCATATCAGTGTCGTTGAATATTGTCATCTAACACTATGAAGGGATCTTTGATAAAAATAAGATGTGATGTATCAGTTTTAATGGTACTCTGATTCCAATCCATCTAATTGTATATTACCTACTTTACAATCAAAAAGTGTTAGGAATAACTTGGACAGATATTCTTGTAGACACCTTCCTTCCTAGTACTAACTAACAACTGGTTCACATTTTGATATGGATGCCATATTTCTTTTCTTGATGACGGGCCAAGAAGAGTTTGTTTGACATATACCTAACACATAGAAAGAGATGGGATCAAGTAAGCACATCACCATCGACTCCACCTGCTAATATATCCATAACGATTGTAAAAAACACTTGTCAGCTTTGTTACCTCAAAACCAAGTAAAAGTAAAAGAAAATTCTCGCCAGTACCATGAATAACCAACCATTGCCAAACCTAGACCATGAGATAACAGCAAGAATGAAGCTGCCTTTGACTGGATTAGGAAGTGCTCATCAATGAACTACAAAGAGAAGAGTTAATTACAATGCGTGCATTATTCACCTTTGGAATAGCATATTTCCTCTTATCAGCTTACCTCCTTTGTTTTGATATTGCCTTGATTACCCTTCTGTATTTTATTCTAGTGTCCGTTTGTCGTTATTGTAATCGAAGATAACACCATGGAAAAGTATGCCACTAGCCACCATACGAACGGACTATGAAAAAACTATTGAAATCATATTGCTGTCGATGTTTCATGAAGGAGTAGATTTAAAAAAAAAAAAAAAATGAAAAAAAAGTGGAAGAAAGAGGAAGAAAAAGGAAAAAAGGGAGTCGGGGAAAAATTATTTCCTTAAAATAGTCGAGCACTGTATTGCCCAAATAGAGAAGCTAAACAAAGATACTACTTTAACTTGGTTTACTAAAGCTATCTATTGATTATATTTAGAAAACTACCATCACCATCATCATATTTTTTGCTATCCTATCCATATGATAATACAACAAAGTATAGTTTTTGTTGATCTAATAAACGCGAAAGGCATAATCTTTATGGTAGTGGGAGCTCCGGGATAATCTTTTGTCATTTCCATTAAAGTAACATAATATCCAAATGTTTTTATCCATGTTGCCAAGAAGTCGAATCAAGGTGGCATTGCGCTCATATTCAAGGATATCACCATCGCGGTTAACCCGACGTAAAATGATATCGCTATCATCATCAGTACAATGTAATGAGATTGTAACAAACCTGACACTCTCATCAACACTTTCAAAGCCAAGCTTCTTGATCGCTCTGCTGTATTCATTTACTTCGTCCATATCCTGTAATAACAAATCAATGGGTTCATGTATGTAGTACTTTTTCGGCCGTAAGAGAAGAGACGGACCTTGATAATCCCCACTGTTACTATTCAGACGGTTGGATTCGAGGTGGACGGCGGAACGATCATTAAGGTCAAAATTGAGCTCTTCTGCAAAAAAGGGACATGTACCAAATTCAGGTATCATAAACGGGCTAGTGTCCGACACAAAGGTGGGTAAGCGAGCATGTGATTGTTTGGGACTGGATAGAAGAAGAACAAGCTTGTCCTCCGTGTCTAGTATTTCATACAACTTTAATCTGACTGATATCATATCTGTTATGTTCCAACTGGAGATGGTATCTTTGGATCTTATGATCTTGCTGTACTTTGGTGATAAAGGTAGTATGGCATGGAACCTATCTTCGTTTTTGGTGACGCGAGATCTCAGTATCTTGTCTAGAAACGAGCGTTTGACAGTATGTAGTATGTCATTATTGTAGTAGATAGAAGACAAAGCAGCACTCCAATGGGAGTCGCGATCGGTATAGTCCCGTTCACGGTTAAAATCTAATGTAAAAAAAGGTTTCCCGTAAAAATTATCTTTGTAATCGAGATGGATGAACCAGTATTTCATTTTTCCATCGTTCTTTTCTTTGGCAATGCTATATTCACTGATGACCCATGCTCGATTTGCCCAGTCCAAAAACAAACCTTGTAGGTATTGCATGGCATTAAATATTCGATTTTCTCTATCCAGTTGCAACATTTTTTCTGTGATCATCTGATACCGGGCTGTCCAGTCTTGTTCGTCCTTGTTCTTAGGATCTTGTTCGGGTAGTGACGGCAAGCCATGCCTTTCGGCGTAAGTAGTTTTAGTATACAACAAAAGCTATAATAAAGATCGTAAGGTGAGCAACTTATATCCTACCAAAAATCATTCCACTTGCCGTATTAAAAGGCTCCATCGTTGCTTCAAGCTCCCTTATGGGGTAACGCGAAGAAAGAACTTCATTTCTCCAATCATCGTCAAGTAGACGTAGCTCTTGAAAGTCTTCACAGATAAGATGGTACAGGTACCAGCTATAGTTTACGATTAGATATCCCATTCGTTCATTCAAGCTGCTGAAATTGATCAACGACGCCTTGTGTAGGTCAGGTACGGCAACGATATAGGCAGCGCTTTTGTAAATGTCATTCATCCGATAGATGGTGGCCTTTTTACGTTGATCATTGCCTTGATCGACACAGATTGCATCCACCCATACGTACTTGATATCTTTCAAATCAGGTTCGGACATCATTCGCTTGCAGAGCTCATAAAAGTCATCCAAATGAAACGAGGTGATATGGGCGTAATAATCATCTGTGGCGGGTACAAATTGCTCATCAAGCTCTCCCCATCGATAAGACAACGTAATATATTCCACTGCATTTCCCTGAAACTCCATTTCTTCACAGCAAACCTGCTTTTGTGCAACTGTTTTTTGGATATCTACAAGAACAATATTAAAAAGTTCGCTTTTGTTTGGTGTTTCGTCCTTATGGTTAAGCCCTTCGCTTCCTTCCATGGATGAAAACAGTGTAAAAAGGATGAGTGTGCATATATGAAGGGAGATAATAATGATTCCTTTATCTCCCAGTAATAACCAACGCCGTCCTACCTTCGCCTTCAGTACAAGTCATCGCTTCTCAAAGAAAAAAAAAAAAAAAAAAGGCCAACGTTGATAACTAGAAAGGAAAAATAAAAAGAATGCCCTGTAATTCACATCTATACTCACCTTTTTTACCTTTTTTTTTTTTTTGTTTTGTTTTGTATTTGTGGCAACAATGCAACATCAAATTGAAGACTATGTTACACAGCGAAACGGAACAGGACCCGAGTTGTAATGTTTGTAGACACTCAAAGCGAAAACGATGCGTGATTTTTTTTCTCTTTTTTTTTTTTTTTTTTTTTTACCTTCCTTTTCGTTTTCCATCACTTTTTTTTTCCCTAGTTTATTAGTTTACCTCTTTTTTGTTTATTACCTAGGCATGTTATTAACTGTCATTTGTGTAGGCACTCAAGAGGAGTAAAGGTAAATTAGAAAAGAAAACAAAAAACGATCAACAAGGTACTAATTTGTTACCGTTTTTTTCTTAAGATCTTTATTATGACTCATAGTGAATAGACAATATCTATAAGGTGTACTCATATTTCCCTCTTTGTTTTTGGCAAGTTATCTTTTCTTCCTCTTCCTTCCTACATAGTCTGACTTTGCAGAACTTATGCACTGTACTTTCTTTTTTCGTCTCTCAATAACTTCTTTTTTTTTTGTGATATAGGTTACCAGTTTCCTTTTTTTTTTTTTTGCCTTATCACGATGTATTTACTTCTACATGGATCAATATGTGTGCTTGGATCAGTAGGATGGAAGTACAACTAGATCAACAGGGCATGTATTTGACGGCAGCAACAAAATGAACGCATGATGACATCAACTCCGGATAGATATGAAATAAACTATACAAAAGAATATGACTGGATTGGATGCGCGTAGATGAATGAATTACGACAAGATTGATAGATTGGATACCAAACAAATTCAACTAGATGGATACACTACAGGATCGGCAGAATAGGTACACTGATGGTGAAGTCAAAGACAAGTCAATGGTGGGAAGTTGATACATTTGAATTTGACACTTTTCTCATTATTATTCAACATTGTTTGTATATATATTGATTTACTTTACCCTATGAATAGATCTTTGAACATTAGTGGAAATAATTGATGGTATCCTGGTGAATTATTATTTGGAAATACAAATCAAGTTCAAAGTCTTCCTCTTTTTTTGGGGGAAGTCTCCGGGGATTGGTTTAGATATATATATTTTTTAATTTATTATTATGCTTTTAATAAAGATCAGCCTTTTTTATTATTACAAATGGACAAAACGATGTAACAGATATCATGAATTGTAGTCAACAAATGTCCCGTCCATCAAGACAAGATATCAGTCAAACACGACCCTTCGTTTTGCATATTGGTATCAATACAAGCACCCATTTACACATATTAATACAGAACAAAGTGTAAAATAAACCATTATAATCATTTATCATTGCATTTAATGGATTTACTGACAAAAACTAGAAATCAATCTCTTCTATAATAAATACATCATTATTTTAATTTATTAAATAGGGTAATCAATAAAATTCTATATATATATAAAAAAAAGGATATTTGATTCTACCAAGGGACTTTAACTTGAATATTTTCTTGACGACCAATACCATCTACTACCACTTTTTCAGCACTTGCTACACAACCTTCCAATAAAGGAATACCACGCCAACAATAAGAGCCTACAAACCAGATACCATTTGTACCTTGACAATGACCTAAACTGACTTCGCCTTTAGTCCCTTTTTTCAATGGAAAGAGATCTGATTCAATGGCACGTTTGGATGCTAAAGTGACAGTAGCTCGTTCAAACCAAGAAGCGGATAAAATATGTTTAGGATCAGGACTGATACAAGGATTTGTTGTTTGTAAATAAAGATAAGAAGAAGATTGTTGTTTGGTATGATCACCTAGTCGAGAATAAGTCCAGTTGAGAATATGTGTAGTCATTGTGGTATCATGAGGAAAAGGTACAATGAAGCGACTATCATTCATAGGATCAGGTTGAATACTTTGATCCACTCGAGCAAAATTCAGGGCACGCCAATGTCGTCGATCGCTGGGTAATAAACGGCTATCGGTATGATTGATGACCAATGATGTATCATAACTAAACTGTTTGAGCATGGATATTTGTGCTTCTAATGAAACGAGTGATGTATCCTTTTCTTCTTTTTGTTGTTGTTCAAGATGTTGATAATAGGTTTGTAGCATAGTCAAGGCTTGATTGGCTTGAGTGGCAAAGATGATATGATCACACTCGTACGTTTTATCTTGATCATCTTTAAGAATATATTTCCTTGATGATTTGCTGGGTTGGATGGATTGTATCTGTACACCAAGGTGAATATCTGTCAAAGGCTCCGATAGTCGGTCTACTACTTGTCGTATTCCCTGTGTTACTACATATGATTCTTGGAATAACCCCAGTGCCATATATTCTATACAAAATCAAAAAAGGAAATATACGTCAGCCTTTTGTCTTTTCTTTTTTATGAAATGATGATTTTCTTTTATTTTATTTTATTTTTTTTAAAAAAAAAAAAGATGCTTACCAAGTACTTCAGTGGCAGGATAATTTAACATGGCTTCCCAGGAATTCGTACATACAGCGGCAAACAAAGGTACAAAAACTTGATGAGCGAAATAAGGATGAATATGATAATGTTTGAACCATTGACCCAAAGTCATATTGGCAATAGGATGTTTTTCATTTCGAAGATGACCACGATGATGAAGCCATAGAGTGATGATCATTAACCATGTATAAGAGAATGCGACTGTTAACATGATCCACCATGACATGAATAAATCGTAAACCCAAGTATTCCAAGAAGATTTGATGGAAGTTGATGATGATATTGATGATGATGATGATGACCATAATGATGAAGTTGTTGTTGTTGTTGTTGATGATGATGACGATGATGATTTTAAAGGAGATGTTGATAAGGTAGATGATGATGATCTTAAAGTAGCATTAAGTCGACCTACAGTTCGTGAACCACTATAGGTCAAATAAGAACGATTATCGGTATATGAAGCAACGTGTTGTGCCGGCATATTAATTGGATGTCGAGATTCTATGCTGTACCAACCATAACTGAAACTTGCTGGTTTGACTGGAATATCAAGATGTTTATATAAACGGATGAGATGAGCATAATAACCTAAATTATAAATGTTTATATTAGTTAGACAGTAAAGGTCGGCGACTGATTTTTTTTTCCCTTTTACCAGACATGAACGACCGCATGGGCACCTACAAAAAAAAAAAAAAAAAAAAAAAAAAAAAAGCGGAATCAATTCATGAGTGAACTCTATATATATAAAAGATAATCATAACTCCTTTCATTTGCCTTTTTGTCCTTACGTCAATTCTAACATCATCATCATCCGATTTAATTGATATAGAAGCAGCATCCATCCCAATCATACAGTTTTTTTCGAAAAGGTGAACATCAATATCAACATTCTCCTGGTCTTGAGTCCCTTTCTTTAATAAATAAGCTGCTGATAACCCGGCCAAACCTGAACCTATGACTGCTATCTTGACAGATTTTTTCTCCTGAATGGAGGAATCCATTATACGTCTTTTGCTTTTTTTTTTTTTTTGAGAAAGGTAAGGTAAAACTGAGTAATAGTAAAAAGAAAAAAAAAAGAAAAAGAAAAAAAGAGAAACGATCAACTCAAAGCAAATCAAAATACTTTATTTAAAAAAAAAAATCCACTCCTCCTTCATTTAAAGTCCGTGATTTTGCCCAATATCTCAAGGGTGATTAGAAAAATAAGAAAAAAGCTCCTCTTTTCCAACAAATATCATTTTATCATCATCAGGTACTGATAAATAAATGCTAATCTTCTCATTTTTATCAAAATATTCTCATCGTATTTTTTTTTTCATCCTTCTTGAAAAAACGATTTGAAGGATTCAACATTTGTAATGATAATAATTATGGATCATGCTTTCACCCAAAAAGAGAAACTTCGAGTGAGGTCATCCGCTTTCTTTTTCATTCTCAGTAATTCACAGTAAGATGATCAAACACGGCAACCCTTTCACCGTGCGGCATGTATTATAACCTGTTTACCACTTTGTTTTTTTTTATATTATCAAAATCATCATTCATCAATCATTCATAGGAATCAATTATCTTTGAAATCACTACTCACTTTTTATCTAATTTCACTTTGTTCTTTTTTTTTTCCTTTTGTTACTTCCCCAAAATATCGACGTCCATAAATATTCTCCCCCCCTAACATTAGATTGGTTAAATTTCATTATATGCAGTTCTAAATCAGACACATTTTTTATTTTTTATTCAATAAATATTAAAAAACTAATGTTGTTCATCCAAAGGTACATGATCATTGAAATCTTTCTTGACAGCCTTGTAATAACTTTCACTAGTATAAACATGTAAAGCAGTCAAAGCCAATGACTTTGAGGCTAGCATAGTATCTTGATGAGCTTGAATGGTTTTAGCCGCCTTTGTGAATTCCACTGTATGATTAGATGCTGTTGTATGGATTGCAAACATAGGATGAATAGAAGGTACTACATAACTGACATTACCCATATCTGTAGAACCACCACCACCTTGTTCTTGAGCTTGACGTGGTGGGAATTGAACACCAGCTTTTTCCATGTATTTTCCATAGGTAGCGGCCATGATGTTGTTTTGAACCACATCTTTAGTAGGAGTTTCACGCCAAGTCCATTTTACCTTACATCCTGTCGCAATGGCTGCTGCTTCAAAACATCCTTCCATTTTATCCATCACTCGTTTCAATTCAGTGTATTTTGGTGTACGTACAAAGAAGAAGGCTGATGTATGAGCAGGAATCACATTTGGCTACCAAAGAAAGAAATAGGAAAAGAAAAGGAGAAAATGATGAGTACAATAAAAATAAAAAAATTGTTCATCCTTCTTACCGCTTGACCACCATCAGTCACAATACCATGTACACGATCAGTAGGCATAAGTTGTTGTCTCATCATACTAATATTATTCCATAATTGAACCATGGCATCCAAAGCATTAACACCTTCCCAAGGAGAAGCAGCTGCATGAGTTGGTTTACCAAAGAATTCTACCTTGACATCTTGAACAGCAATCATTTGAGCATAAGGAGCACCAACAGCACTAATTTTTTTTTAAAAAAAAAATATAAAAGAAAAATGAAATTAATCATCTTATTTGTAAAAATATATATATATATATATAATTACGAAGGATGAAGCATTAAACAAACGTCCACATTATCTTGAAAAGCACGTTTATTAACAAGTTGAATTTTTCCAATAGATAATTCTAATAGAATAATAAAATAATAAATAAAATAAATAAATAAATAAAATAATATATGATTTGATTGATAAATTACCTTCAGCAGGAGTACCAAATAAGATAACTTTTCCTTCTACTTTATTATTTTCCATAGCAGCTTTAATACCAATAGCAGCAGCAAGACCACTGATAGCAATCAAATTATGACCACAACCTTGACCTAATCCTGGTAAACCATCATATTCAGAACAAATACCTACACGACGTCCACCTTGACCACGAGAATATTCAGCCATAAAAGCAGTTTCCATACCATAAGCATGTCGAGTGATTTTAAAACCTTGTTTTTCCATATATCCAGTTAAAAGATCATGAGCGTGTTTTTCTTTCATACCTACTTCCATATGTTCATGAAGCTAATATATTGTTATTATTAATATTATATATAAATAAATAAAAATATTCTTACGTCAAGACTAATAGTACGAAGGTCCTTATCTACTTTAGTTAAAGCATCTTGCACAATATTTTCCAAAATATTATCTTGTTTCATATCTAATTGTTCAAATGCCTAAGTTAAAAATAAAATAAAAATAAAATAAAATAAATAAAATAGAAATAATAATTATTATATTCATACCCTAGAAATACAATCTTCATATGCAGGCAAGTTATCCATAGAGGGAATAGCACTGTAGGTATAAGGAGAGAATGACTTTTTTTCTTCATCAGCAGAAATAGAAATCAATGTTTTATTGTTATTATTATTAGAAAAGAATCGAGATAAACCACAACAACCAGTTATATTATCTTCTTCTTCTGTAGGTAAACGAGGCATTCTTTTTTATTATTATTATGAAAAGAAAAAAAAAAAAGAAAAAAAAGAAAAAAAAGAAAAAAAAAAAGGAATTCACACAGTATTGGATACAAAAAGTAGAATTTTTAACTCATATGTTCCCCCGGCACTTCGGTGAAAAAAAAAAATAAGAGGATCTTTGTTGTTATAGTGTCCGTCTATTCGGGTTATCTGTTAAAAAAATTATTATTATATATAAGAAATAAAGAAAAAGAATAATATCAAATGATAAAAATATAGATAATAAAAAATAGATAATAAAAATCATCATATATATATATTTCTTTCTTTAGTAGGTAAAAAAAGGACGAATCATTTTCTAACAACACGATAATGGTTTATTCTTATTGGATGAACTTATTCCCTCCTAAGAAGATAAAAATAAATATAAAAAAAAAAAATTTTTTTCTCACTTCTTCTTTTTCTTTTTTCTCTTTATTTTATTTTCTTTCAAACTGTCTTCTCTAAAAAAAGTAGAATAAGGAGTAGTGTTTTTTTTTTTTGTTGTTGTTCACTATAGTAAATATTATATATTCACCAAAATATGATGAAAACAAGTTCAAATCAACAACAGCAACAACAAGAACAACAACAACAACCAAAAGAAGGAGCAACACCATCTGTAGTAGATGCTTTTATTTCAGCATTATTTGCTTCCAATCCTTCAAACGACGACGACTCAAAACTAAATGAAAAAACCAAAGATATTCCGAATAATAATAATAACAGTTTTGATACTAAACCTATCAATACAGAAGAAAGGTTAAAAGTAGATTATCAATATGCCGCAGCAAATAATAATCAACAAATACCAACCAAACGTGAAAGAAGTATTACGGAAGAAGTGGAAGCTTATGACCAATTGAGGAAAAAAATAAGCATTGGAAAAAACCAAGATCATCATATTAGAGAAATAGGAGATAATAATAATAATATTAATAATAATCATGATGATGATGATGATGTGAGACCAAGTCATTCTAATAATACAGCTCGTGTATTAGTTTTGGAACCTGTTGATTGGAATCATATGATAGCTGAATGTCGTATGTTAGTCAGACATGTACCTTCTCAAGTCACCAATAGAGATTTATATGATCATTTTATTCGATATGGTACTATTATGGAAGTAGTCATCAAAAACTCTAGAGGTTTTGTCCATTTTAAACAACTTGAAGCTTGTCAAAATGCTGTGAAATTTGAAAATGGTAAATCATTCAAAGGTCATATATTAGGTAAGTAAATAAAAATAAAAAAAAATAAAAAAAAATATTCTTTTAACTACATTTTTTTTTCTTTCTTTTTCTTTTCTTTTTTCTTTTTTCTTTTTTCTTTTTTCTTTTTTCTTTTTATTTATTTTTTTTATTTATTTTTTATTTTTTTATTAATGAATAGAATTGGAAGTATGTCGACAAAAACCTCATATTGCTCGTGGAAAACGTGAAGGTCCTCGTGATACTTCTTATCAACAAAAATATCGATTTAACCAACATGGACAACGAATGGAAATGAATCAAACTAATAAACAATTATTATCAACAACAACAACAACAACAACAACAGGAAAGGTACATCTTATAGTATGGGACCAACCTATTTATGATTACGCCAATAATATCAAACGACTATTTGAAGAAGCTTCTATTGATATGGATATATCTGCAATGAAAAATCGATCTATTATAAACTATTCTCAACTTTTGAGTATAAAGGCCAAACAAGGTGTTAAGGTACTATTGGAAATGGACCCAAGTCATGAAACAAAACAAACTATTGATTTACATATACTTGATCAAGGTCAAGATTCAGTACGATTTGAACGTAAGTAAATAAAGAAAAATATATATATATATAATAAATAAAAAAAAACACTTCATTAAATATATATATATATATATATATATAATTTATATAGGTTATGATTCTATCTCTCTTTCTGATGCTATCAAACTTACCAAAAAAGCATTAAATTCAAATAATGATACTTCTTCACCTCCTCCTCCTTCTTCATCATCATCAATTTCACCTATCTTGAGTCATCCTCCATTGGTTCTTCCTCCTTCCCAACAACAACAACATAATATTCAACATCATGGTATTGGAGATTTGACAAATACTCTTCAATTATTAGATACGGATACATTGGCAGCTATTTATGATTTAGTACACGTACATTTGGAAGCGGCTATTCAATCTATAACGAATTCTAATAGTCATCCTTCATTATACTCAAATCAACAATCATTATACCCAACTTATCCACAACAACAACAACCTGTTTATTCTCCATCTCTTCCTCATTCTTCAAATATCAATCATTTTATACAATCTACCCCTACTAGTTCTATTCCTTCATCTTCTATAAGTACTCAACAACTTTATACAATTTTATCCTCATTGAATAAATAAATAAATAATGATTATATCTATTGTACATGTCATTATTATTGTGTATTGTTTTATCATCATCATACCATTCACTCATTCATTCATCCGTTCATCTGTTTTTTTTCATCATACACTACAAGACCGTGACAAAAGAGAGACACTTTGTTGTCAAATTATCATAAAAGAAACCTAAACAATATATTATAGTTAACATTCAAATCTTATGCAATCCTAAGGTTCTTCCATAAATGGTATACATTCAGATCCCGATAAACTGAAATTCAAAACTGAAGAAGCTTTTTCTCCAATCAAATTTTGATTGGATAAAAACAAAGACGTAGCTCTTTTTTTTTTTTTTTTTTTTTTTTTGTTTTCTTTTTCTTTCTTCTGAACATTATTCTCTTATTTATTATGGATGAACTTGAAAAGCTATCTCTAGTAAATAAAGTAGTTAGTGAATTATCAAATCATATTGGTATTGGTGAAAAGGTTTTAGGTAAAGTTATTAATAATAAAAATAATAAAATATTCATTTTAATTTCTTTTTTTTTTATTTTTATTTTTTTTTATTAAAAAAATTAGCTGAATTTATTCTACATTTACACGATCAAGCCAATGGTTCTTTACAAGTCTTTAAACAATCTTTAAAAAATGCAGATGCTGACTTTCCTGATAGCTTTGTGGAAAATTTGGATCGTATTATCAAAACAATGAAACCTACCAAGGTATCTACTATGGCTGTTGAAGATAAAGTATCTCATTTTCCTGGTCTTTCTATGGCTGATGATCCAGATTGGGTAAATAAACGTCAACAAGATATGGCTGTAGCAGATGATATGATGGCTGAATTAGAAGGTTTAGCTGGTTCAACAAATACAACACAAGAAAGACGTCGTCAAAGATCACCATCACCTCGTCATCGTTCTACTAGTCGTCGTCATAGATCAAGATCACCTAGTCCTCGAGATCGTCATCAACGTCGTCGACATCGTCATCGCTCATCAAGTCGTTCACCTCCCTCACGTTATAATAATAGTAGCAGAAATAATATGTTAGATGATACACCAGTATTATACAAGATATACAATGGACAAATCACCAATGTGAAGGATTTTGGAGCATTCGTACGTTTAGATGGCATTCGTGGAGGACGTGTAGAAGGTTTAGTACATATTACTCAAATTGAACCTGGTAGAGTGGAAAATATTCATCAAATACTTCATCGTGAACAACAAGTTAAAGTCAAGGTCATGTCTATTACTGGGAACAAAATTGGTCTTTCAATGAAAGATGTAGATCAACGTACAGGTGAAGATCTCTCTCCTCATAAATCAGTCTCTTCTTCAGGTTCCTCTTCTAATGCTATACCACTTGGATCAAAAGATTTTGATGCAATTGAACGACAACAACAAGGAAAACGACGTCAACAACAACAGCAACAACAACAAAATGATACAAATAGATCAGCAGTGAAACGTATGTCATCACCTGAACGATGGGAAATCAAACAATTAATTGCTTCTGGTGCAGTCAATGCAGCTGATTATCCTGGTATTTATGAAGATTTGGATGCAGCCAATGGTCATCAAGAATTAGAAGCTGAAGAAGAAATTGATGTTGAAGTTCGTGAAGAAGAACCTCCATTCTTACGTGGTCAAACAAGACAAACTTTAGAACTTAGTCCTGTCAAGGTAGTCAAAGTTCCTGATGGTACAATGAACCGTTCAGCTTTGGCTGGTGCCGCTTTAGCTAAAGAACGTCGTGAATTACGTCAACAACAACAAAATGAAGAAATGGACGCTGTACCCAAAGATGTTAATACACCTTGGTTAGATCCTATGCCTGAACCTGGTGAACGTCAATTTGCTCAAGATTTACGTGGTATTGCTGCTAAACCTAGTCAAGTGGCCGAATGGAAACAAAAAACGTTCAATAGTGCAACAAGTTTTGGTAAAATCACAAGTCTCAGTATCCAAGAACAAAGGGAATCATTACCTATTTATAAACTTAGAACTCCTTTGATACAAGCTGTTCGTGAAGTAAGTCAAAAACTCATTCCTTTTTTTTTTTTTTTTTGAGAAATATAAACTCATCTTCTTTTTTTTTTTATTTAATAATAATAGAATCAAATGTTGATTGTGGTGGGTGATACTGGATCTGGCAAAACAACTCAAATGACACAATATTTAGCTGAAGAAGGATTTGCTAATCGTGGTAGAATTGGATGTACTCAACCTCGTCGTGTGGCTGCAATGTCAGTGGCAAAACGTGTGGCTGAAGAAGTTGGTTGTCGTGTTGGTCAAGAAGTTGGATATACTATTCGTTTTGAAGATTGTACAAGTCCTGAAACTCGTATCAAATACATGACTGATGGTATGTTATTACGTGAATGTCTAATTGATCCTGAAATGTCCCAATACTCGGTGATTATTTTGGATGAAGCACACGAACGTACTATTTCTACTGATGTCTTGTTTGGTTTATTGAAACGTAAGTTTATATAGATGAATATTGAAAGAAACAAAGAGACTTAATTCATTTTCATTTGATAAATTAGGTGCTGCGAAAAAACGTCCTGATCTCAAATTGGTAATTACTTCTGCAACATTGGACGCTGACAAATTTGCTACGTATTTCAACAACTGTCCCATTTTCACCATTCCTGGACGAACGTATCCTGTTGAAGTATTATATACCAAGGATCCTGAATCTGATTATTTGGATGCGGCTTTGATTACTGTAATGCAAATTCATTTATCTGAACCACCTGGTGATATTCTATTGTTTTTGACTGGTCAAGAAGAAATTGATACATCAGCAGAAATTCTCTATGAACGAATGAAGGCGCTAGGTTCGGATGTTCCAGAATTGATCATCCTTCCTGTGTATAGTGCTTTACCAAGTGAAATGCAATCCAAGATTTTTGAACCTGCTCCTCCTGGAAGTCGTAAAGTAGTCATTGCAACAAACATTGCTGAAACATCAATTACTATTGATGGTATTTTTTATGTGATTGATCCTGGATTTGTCAAACAAAATAAATGGGATGCTAAGCTTGGTATGGATTCATTGGTGGTGGTACCTATCTCTCAAGCTGCTGCACGTCAAAGGGCAGGTCGTGCAGGTCGTACTGGTCCTGGAAAATGTTATCGATTATACACTGAACCAGCTTATCGAAATGAAATGTTACCGAATACCATCCCTGAAATTCAACTACTCAATTTATCTATGACCGTTTTGACCTTAAAAGCCATGGGTGTCAATGATTTACTACATTTTGATTTTATGGATCCTCCTCCTGAAGCCAATTTGATTCAAGCGTTGGAACAACTCTATGCCTTACAAGCTCTGGATGATGAAGGATTGTTAACTCGATTAGGAAGAAAAATGGCGGAATTTCCTTTGGAACCTCAGTTATCAAAAATGTTGATTCAATCCGTAGATTTGGGATGTTCTGAAGAAATCCTTACTGTTGTTGCTATGTTGACTGCTGGTAATGTATTTTATCGTCCCAAGGAAAAACAAGCTCAAGCCGATTCCAAGAAAGCCAAGTTCCATCAACCTGAAGGTGATCAATTAACTCTATTGACTGTCTACAATAGTTGGAAAGCAAGTAATTTTGCTAGTCCATGGTGTTTTGATAACTTTATTCAAGCAAGAAGTATGAAACGTGCTCAAGATGTTAGAAAACAATTGCTGGGTATCATGGACAGGTAAAAAAAAAAAAAAAAAATAACAATAAGTATTCAATCTTTGGGATATTCATTTTCCTCTTTTTTTTTTTTTAATTAGATATAAGCACGATATTGTATCTTGTGGAAACAACTATACCAAAGTTTGTAAAGCTCTTGTATCTGGCTATTTCCGAAATGCTGCAAAAAAGGATCCTCAAGAAGGTTACAAAACTTTATTGGAAGGAACACCAGTATATATTCATCCTTCAAGTGCATTATTCAACAAAGGACCTGAATGGTAAAAATTGAAAACAACTAGAATGATTATTTTCTGTTCTTCTAATTATCTTGTTATTATTATTATTTTTTAGGGTTATCTATCATGAAATTGTATTTACTTCAAAGGAATATATGCGAGAAGTTACTGTGATAGAACCCAAGTGGTTAACGGAATCAGCACCTACATTCTTCAAGGTAGCTGATGCCAATAAAATCTCCAAACGCAAACGACAAGAAAAGATTGAGGTAAGTACAAAAAAAAAATAGAAAAAGGAAAAAACAAAAGGATGATATTCATTCTTTTTTTTATTATTATTCTTGTTTAGCCACTATATAATCGATACGAAAAACCAGATGAATGGCGTCTTAGCAAAGTCAAACGTGGTGGAAGAATCAGTCAAACGTTTGGTTAGATATTCCTTTTTTTTTCATTCTTTAATTTGTTTAGTTTATACAATGTTTTTGTTTTTTAATAAACTGTATTTGTTTATTCATATCAATCATTATTTTGATCATCATCTTATGTAAATTATTTACAAATAAAAGTTATCACTAAAGCAACAACATCTTCACATTTTGGATGTTGCCTTAAAAGCATATATTTGGTTGGAGCGTATGATGTTTCAAAGACCGCTTTGCTTTTTTTCTTTCTCAAAGACAAAAGTTCATTTCTTTTCTTTCTTTTCTTTTTCTTTATTATACCAATTCTTTCAATGAGCTTTCAGTCTTTTACAAAGTCTGATGACTTTGTTCGTGACTTGTTACCATCAATACCGGATGAACATCAATCTCGTGAAAAACCTCTGGTGAACAATGAGTCACTTTTGCATTGGTTATCGGGTTTACAACAATCCTCGTCTCAACTTTGTCAACAACTACAGCAACAAGTAGCTACTCATGTCAATGAAACTTTTCTACCTACTTATCAACACAACGAACAAATCTATCAACGTGCTCAAGGCCAGATTCATGAGGCTTTAACTTCAAGTCAGGCATATCTGACAATGGCAACCACAGCAACAACTCAATCTACATTAGCCTGTTCAGAAACTCAGTCTCTCCATCAACAAACGAAACAACGACAACTCACCGTAATCACTTTGACTAGATTGATTGAAATATCCAAAGATCTTGATCAGGTAGATACTTTTTTACATCGAGGTCTTATTGTAGAAGCCACGCGACAACTATTATATGTATTGGAACTTCAAGACAATGATGAACAAATGGACCAACCTCTGTTATGGTATCAATTGAAAACAAGGGCTCAACAATACAAGACTCTTTTAGCAAACACAATACACGATGGTTTGGTACAGACTATCAAGATCACAGTACACACTCAAGACCAAAACCTTGTGCGAAGCTTGCAAGTGCTACCATCTGTCTCTTTTGCCTACGAAGGAACTGCCGACTCGACTACTTTTTGTTTGAAAGATTTATTATTGGCAAGTTGTTTTCTTCAGACACAACACGTCGAATTAGCTTCTCTCAAACGTCATATCATGAAATTGTTCTTCCAACCTATGTTTGATCATCAAGAACAGCAACAATCTAAGTATGATATAACTCGGACAGAATGCGATGATGATACTCTTCGACAAGTCAGTACTCTTACATCTGACAATAACAACAACGGTGACGACTGGACAGAATCTACTATACACCAACATCGATGTTCTTATGCCCATTCTTTGATGCAGCACACCGATGATGTCCTAAGGTTCCTCTTCGATCGACTGTTCTGTGGTGGTGACAAAGAATTAACATCTGTACGACAACTATTTGGACGACTTATTTTACCTGATGTATTGGGTTCTTTGGTTACCAATGCGATTGTATCGACTGTTCCTTCATCAACAACATCTGTATCTCTACTATCTGGTTTGGATTCGATCGTTATCGCAGCTACTCAATTGGAAAAACGATGCGTTACGGACTATGCACAAATTTCATCATCAACGAACTCGATGACACCAGAAGAACTTCCTTTGACGAGTTATGTTAATCACTATGATCAACATGTAGCTTCCCAAAGACGATCTCATCTTTTGAACAATGCTAGACAAGTGATGTTACGACGTATATACGATGCGGAAAAGGATGACAATAATGGACCAAGTATCACACAAACGCCTAAGATCCTACTAGCCATGATTCAAGAAACGATCAACGAAGCCAATGCTCTGGAACAGCAACAACAGATACATTATCCTGTGACGATCTCCACCTTACGACGAACCGTACATGATATTTTGGTATTGTACATGTCCATCATGCCTAGTATTCATCGATCGATGTTCCTGCAACATGCATCTCATGCCATTGTGTTCAAAAATGACTGTTATTGGTTGGCTTCCAAGCAAGATGTTTACAAAGATATCAGTGATGCCGGTAGCAAGTTGGTGCAATTGGGTGATCTCTGGCAAAAGGTGGTGATCGCTCAGCTTATGAATACAGTTGGATTGGCTTTGGACAAGACAAGCGAATGGCAGCAAGATGTGAATTATCAACAACAGCAGCAACCATCTGATATCAATGACGGTAAAAGTGGCTTGATGGAAACTGGAATCTCTCCTTCTATTTCAACTCAACAACAACAGCAACAACAACAGCAACAACAACAGCAACAACAACAGCAACAACAACAGCAACAACAACAGCAACAACAACAGCAACAACAACAGCAGCAGCAGCAACAGTACGATGATTATATCCCATTGGAAGATGCCATTGAAATGATTGTCAATCAAGTACAAGGTTTGGTCAGTTCTATTCGACCTGTGATGACAGACGATTCATACAAAGCGATTCTTATCCAAATCATCGATAATGTGGTGGGTAGACTTATGCGGGATATTTTGGCTATGCAAGACATTAGTGTGGATGCATCTCAAACTATGGCTCAAGCGCTGAATGGAGTGGCACAATTAGCAAATCTTTTCTCGTTATCTTCTTCTTCATTTGGTACAAAGGAGGAAGATACACTTGTTAGTGAATTTCAACTACGACAGTGGATTCCTCATTGGCAAGGCTTTTGGACTACGAAGGATATGTTGGATATGACTATGGTGGATATTTTGGACGCTCTTCATCGTGGAGATCTACATATGTTTACTCATCAAGAATTGGTTCATCTTGTATGTGCCTTGTTTGCCGATACTCCTCGTCGTGATGAAACCTTACGAGTGATCAAGACAAGCGATCTTTCCGGTACAAAGTTCATTCCTTCTCAACATCATGATGATGAGGATCAACCAAAGGCAAGTTCTCTGTTATCACCTTCTTCTTTTGCATCCTCTTTAATGACACAACAACAAGAACAACGGACGCCTAGCAGCAAAATCAGTAGTGGTAGACTGCCTTTTGATATGGAAGAAACGGAAGACGATGGCTGGAATCATGATGGATGGTCTGCTGCTGAAGATGATGATGATGTTATGGATATGGTTGGTCAGCTCTCTACCTCACGAGATAATGAACTTCAGGAAACAAACAATACCCGTCAAGTGGAAGGTATGTAAAATAAAACACATAAAATATTTACTTTTGGCTCACTTTTTTTTTTTATTTATTATTTTTTTTTAATCATTGATGATACAGATACAGACAAGTTGATGGAAGAAGAAAAACCAGTACAACGAAATGACCGTGATCTGGCAATGAAAGCTTCTCCGGAAAGTGACAGATCAAAGTCGAATGAACTACCTCCAGCAACATGGTCGCCACTAGAAGAAGATGGTGATGATGGTAAAGCGTTACAATCAACAAGATCAACTGAAAAGTCAGGCGTACTTGATATGCATTCCGAAGAAGTTAACACTGACTGGATGGAACAAGATGAGCATGATAATGATGCTGGATGGTCTGATGGGGATTCTATTGCTGAATTACTGGAAAGCGAAGCACTTAAACTTAAATCCAAAGGTGATCAACTTGACATTGAAAACAACACTACACCTCTACTGGACTGTATGATTATTGACTCATCACCACCTGCCACTGAAGTAGATCTGGAACAAAGATTCTCACCATCTCTCTCTCCACCAATGCGACAGCAACAACTTATTCAAACTTCACCCATTCCACAGCATCAGCAAGAACAACAAATCAAACAAGATCAAGAGACCAGGCTGGATGATATGACTGTTGACCAAGGAAATGAAACCATAGACAACTGGATGGATGATAATGGATGGTCTGATGGTGATTCGATTGCGGAATTATTGGCGGCAGAACAATTCCATCTCAAACCTATTGTGAGTGACGCTACGATGCCATCGTTGAATCATGAAGAAGAAGAAGAAGAAGAAGGACAAGAGAAGCACCTAACACTAGTTTCACCGTCACTTTCATCATCATCAATACAGCAACAACAATATCAACACACAAAATACCATGTATCTAAGACTTTGGCGGGCGTAGACACTGGAACGGAAACAGAATCGATACCAAAAGAAGAGAAGCAGCCACAGCGACAGACACAACCTATCGATGCCACAAATACAATTGAGAGCACTTTGAATGAAGAAAAGGATACCAATATGGACTGGATGGAGGATGCAGACAAGGAAGGCGGATGGTCAGATGGAGATTCTATTGCTGAACTGTTGGCGGCAGAACAACTTCGGTCAAAAACCATGGATGATATTGACAATGACGATAAGATTCATGCTTCTACTGAACAAGAGGTCCTCCCTGCAACGGAACCTGTCGCCTCTGATATCTTGGTGTCCGCGACTATTACCGATACTGATGCTATTACCACTACTGATACTACTACTGCTGCTACGGATACTGTTACCACAAATATGGATGAATATATACCATCAACATCGCCATCATCATTCTCTCAACCACAACAGCAACCACAAGGACATTCTTCAACATCAGCGACTGTGGAAATATCATCATCATCATCGTCACCATCATCACCTTCGCTGCTACATCAACAAGAGCAACAGCAACACCAAGAACAGCACTCTTCGTCTCAACCAGGATTGACATTGCCACAGGATTCGCTGGGACAAAATGATATGGATGATCTCCTCATGACGATTGGTGACGACGAGGAAGTGGGTGGTGGCTGGTCTGATGCTGAAAATATACTGGATTTTGACATGCAACCCTTACCCAAAGATCATGGCATGATACAGAAGGAAGAACAGTCAATCACTCTCACAGCAACAAAGATAGCACCAGAACCAGGATCATCAATACCATCGACGAAGGAAGAAAATGCTGGACAGAAAAGCAACAATAATAACAACAACGACAGTAAAAATGGCATAAGGTATGATCAATCCAAGGATAACATGATTACCAAGGTGGATATGAATGCAATCGCTATGGGCAAGGATACTGAAGGTTATGATGACGATGGTGGCTGGTCTGATGCTGATGAAGACCTCTTCTAGATATAGTTTATTATTATATTAGAGTTTTGTAGTTTATTGAAATATTATTAATAAAAACATTGTGTTGAATGATTTACAACAAATGATGATTGATTATTATATTTTTTTTTTATGAATCATGATGTTGTGTGGAGAACGTTTCAATATGAGGCCATCTCCTTTTTGTGGCATTCATCTAAACAAGAAGCCAATCATCACTTATGGTGGTAGCCATTGATATACGCGTCTCCACAATTTTGCACAAGCTGCAGACAAGCAAGTGAAAACGAATGCTGGACGTCGACGCTAAGAACAATACATTATTGTAACGACATCCACAAAGCACACAACATGTGAAAAAATACCATGCATCATGATCATATTGGAAATATAAACTACTGCATCAGTAATAAGATCAGGCATGTATTCCCTGTTATCGTACCCCACGTTCTTTTAAACACGGATAATTCCGCCTGTCGTTTCATCTCTATACTATTGTCACTTTTTAATATGGATGCAGTATTCCCTCTCACTTTAGAACTCCAATAGAAAACGATATGGATATGATCTATCTGTTTGTATGAAGTAAAAGACCGTCCAAAATCCCACTTTACTGTCTCTTCTTTAAAAAAAAAAAAAAAAAAAAAAAAAAAAAAAAAAAAAAGCTTCATTTATTACACGGTGTGAGCAAGAGCTGAAGACGTGTTGCTGTTATCCGTGATATATAGAGTAAGGATTTTGATGTGGTGCAGGATAAACCATCATGTGTCATACCGTTTGGGCTGGCGAAAAATGCGGTGGCACAAAAAATGATTGATGTTACTCTAAATAATAGGAAAATAGCTACAACACCGAAGATGGTTGACGATGTACTTAATTACAAAAAAAAAAAAAAAAAAAAAAAAAAAAAAAAAAAAAAAAAAAGCTGCAGCGCCAGAAGTGGTGCGGTTCAGGGGAAGAGAAGGCCGTTACATTTGCACAAAGGCTTGGTCAAAAAGTGATACAGTGCCACAGTCTACGCAGAAGCTTCTGAAAATCTCAAAACATGATACAGACATAAAACGTCTAATCATATTGAACTTTCTCTCTTTTCTTTAACAAATCTGCCATGGTTGATAATATATCTGCATTACACAGTAACATCGATCCAAATTCTTTAGTACATAAAGGAAAGAATTTTGATCATTTGCGCAAGGTCAATGACTACAAAGTGAAGGAATTGATCAAGCAATTAAAACTGACGTCTGAGCTTCCTCTGATTGAGACCCTATCGCAGTCATTCCCTCCCAACAGTGATGATGTGAGAGCAGAACAAACTGAAGAAACGCAGCTGTTAAACTCTGGACAATCCAAGGTAAAGGATTTGGCTCTGTCGATAACTCCGGCGGTATCTTTGGAATTACAGTTGGGATTTGCTAAGATGACCATTAACTTGGATAAAGTAATTGATGAATTGGGCATCAGTGTAGCTAAACTGGCCATTGGTATATGGGGAGGTGCACGCACGAGAAACGCACCTGATATCACGGTTTTTGGCTATTATCTACCCTTACTGAAGCCATTTATTAATCTTGGTCAGCCTATGTCATATGAAAGCTACGAGATTTTCTCTGAAGGGGAGTTATTGCTTACAAATCCAAGCGTAACGTTTGAATATTGGACGACAACAATGCCAATATTTAATGCAATCGTGTTTTGTGGACGTGCGATTGGAGCAAGCGATCTCAGTGCGGGAACAACAATCAGAAGTGGTTTTATTCATGGGTTACTTCCAGTTGGGGCAATTGGTATTGGTCGCATGCAGGCTTTGAATTTTCTGTCAGAAATCGTTAATGAACTTTGGATAAAGGGAGGATCTGGTCAAGATGATCCAATGTGGCAAGAGTGGTCAAAGAAATTTGTACGCTCTAGTGGATGCAAGGCTACTGTCATTCGTGATCTGGTACGACTAGCGAAGGAAGGCAACGAAGCAGCATTACAGGTATCTGATATTTGCACTGCTGCGGTGGCATTTGGATTAGCTCAGGTCAATCTTTGCAAGATTATGGCCCTGGACTTTGGATCAGGTCCCAGAATCTACAGAGAAAGTGACTCCGGTTTCAAAGGACTCAAATTGGAAGCATCAGTACGTGAAAACAGTTATATTCCGTACCCTTACGATGAGCGATCCATTATGTTCCGCTCCTGTGGAGTTCCAGAAGAATCATTGGAAGTATTGGTAAACTGGTTGGACAATGAAATCGCAAACACGACACTACTTGGAATTGAAAACGGTGACCCCCCTGGTACGGTCATAATGGTACCAAGCTTTTGGTCATTGGTGAGAACAGGCGCAATCAAGTCCTTGGGACCTATGGTAAAGAGAATTGGTATGGACATCGCAGAAAATTGCATGGTTTGCGAAGGAAGTTGCACAAGCTTGGTGCACAAAGCCTCTCTTGGAACATACGTCGGCTGCCGTACTGTCCTATTTCTTAATATGCTCGTCTCTGTCTACGTTGGCGGTGTTCTGAAAAAAGCTGGTATGGCCATTGACCTGTGTCTACTCGCTGGTGATCTGCCAAGAACCGTCAAAAGTCTATGGGAGCTAAGCAAACATGATACCTTTGGACTTGCATCATTTTTGACTAGCTGGTATGTGCTACGTTCCGGCGAAGAGGCTCCTCATATGGACTATGGCACAGTATTAGGGCTTGAAATGGATGGTCAGATCCATGGTCTACGAAATGCAGTAAAGCCAGGAACGACAGGATCTCCTTTGGTTAGCTTTGGGGGTCACATACAACATGGAGCGCATACGTTTGCCTGTCTTGTATTCGGCGAAAGAAACGAGCTTCGTCATGATCTAAGCAAGGCCCATCTCTCGGTCATCAAAGAGCAACCACCCGATGTGACCCCAGCGCCAGCTTTATTCGTTCGACCAGAACCAAATTACATTGCGGTTGACACTTTCCTGATATATTCTGGAGAAGAACAATTACAAGTAGACCTCGGTGCATACGTGAATATGACGAACGTGCACAGATGCGGCGAAACGGCTGTAGAAATGGCAGTTCCTTTACAGGTTTCCCAATGTGTCAACGGATACAGTGTCGTGGACCTCCATGAAGCATTTCGGTTTGTACTTTATACATATGGCAAAGAAACTTTACAATCATGGATATATGGTGCGTTTCCTCCTGGAACGGCGTGGTTCCAAGGCTGTAGGCCTTTGCATGCAGCTCTTGCGCTTGTTGGTCCGGGCGAAATACTGATCCAAGGAGGGCGCAAGAATCTGATAAAGGAATGAAGAGGAAGCTCGTGTTTTTGCGTGTCAATTACGCTGTGACTTGTCAAACGTTCACGTTGTTTTAAATTGAATAATTGAATAAATATAAACTATTAAGTTATTGTTGTTGAAGTAAATGTGGATTGATATAAGAAAAAAGATAGTAAGAATCAAAGTGGTCTTTTATTTCGTACAAACAGACAGGTCATACCTGTATCAATTCCGGACAGAAAATAGACTTGGTTATTTGATATCGATGGTAAATAGTGGTAGTATGGACCATCAGCATGATGGTACAAGAAAAATGTACCTATAGGTCCATAGATGGATAAATATAGATATTCACAGTGGTGGTAGTTCAGAGGATCCTTTTTTATATATATATATATGTGTGTCAATAAGTATGCTAAGTGGGTTCCTTTTGAAACCAAAAGATCGTAAAAGGTTCATTACGATCAGAGGCAGACCAGATTTTCAGCATTCGATCATATTTCATCAATGGGCGACAATAATACATAGGTAATAAAAGATCATTCAACTGATCAACATAATATTTATTTATTGTTGTATACAAAAATAATAAAAAGAGAGAGAGATATATAGGGGGGGAAGAAAGAGGAAAGTCTACAAGTCAAGTAAAAGATCTACGCCTACGGATGTTTGTTGTGATGTTCTGATTGGCTGTTGTATACTGATATCGGTTGCATAAGGATTCACTGGTTGTAATCCATTTGTGCCATTGAATGAGAGCCTATAGTAAGAGAATGAATAAATACATAGTTAAAAAATTTCCAGTTCCGTTTTCACTGTTTAACATACCTATTCGCTGCCATGCTGTTATAACCTTGATCAATGGCACCTTTTTGTAACTGTTGTTGTGTTGATGGAGCAAAATTGTTACTATTTGTTGTTGACGAAGGTATGTTTGGCAACGCGGCGGATGATGATGCTGCAGAGAATGAAGGGCGTTGGTGATATGTTTTCTGGAGTACAGGTGAAGGTAATAGGAATCTTGGTTTATAATGATGAATAAAGGTTGTTGGACTCTTGTGATAAATAGAAGCCAAGCTTGAAATATGAAGGAGAAGTTCATCCAAAAAGTTGACATCCATATTATCACTTTCAGTAGAAATGGAAGGTTTGTCGGAGAGAACAATGGCCTTGTTGGATCAAAAAAAAAAAAAAAGTATATATTAATATTCTCCAAGTTCAGTGATTCATCCCCATTTTTCAGATTATTATATTTACCTTTGCGCTTGCAGGATCAGTGGAGAGCAAACGCCAATAAATATAACCACGATCACGTAAATCCGGGTTCACAGTTTCTTCAGTAGCCCATTTCAATACTTTAGGTACTAATTCTTGACCAGCTGTAGGACGTTTGATAAACAGTTTGACCGTCGCAGTGAGTAAAGCCAATTGCACTTCCACAGGTTCATCCAAAAATGAATAAAGAAAGTCATCCAATAATTCATCGGCATTTTCAATACGATCGGCATATTGACCAATAATCCAGATCATTGCTGCTTTGGCTTCAGGTTCATCCAAATTGTCCAAATTTTCACAAAGTGTACCAATGATACTTTCATATTGGTTGGGGTATTTACGGAAAATGTCCTAATAATAAAAAATAATGAAATTAGTTCCAATCTATTTCGACTTTTCAAAGTAAATAATACCTTGATTACTACAATAGCTTCTTGAACTACATAATTGACCTTGGTATGAATTAAATCTAATAGAGCTGTAATACACCTTTCAGCAGCAGTTTCTATTTTGACAGCAAGACGACCAATAGAACGTACAGCTTTTCGTACAAAATCCACATCCACTTCAGTAGCATATTCCTTCAATTCACTTAATACTTGATCCACATTGTTACTATTTGCTAGACGGAAGATGATTTCCAATTTTGCCAATTTCACATAGATAGGATCGTTGTATTTACAAAAGAAGACTTTCATATCATTTCGTAAAACTTCAGGTCGACGTTGAATTACTAATAGAATATTTCGTAATGCGACATATTGTACTTCAGGACCGGATGATAGTAAAGTGACTAATACATATGATAATTAGCAACCATCTCATCTTTTTTTTTTTTTTTTTTTTTTTTTTTTTTTTACCTAATGGTGGACTGAGTTTTCGACAAAATGTCAAAATATCATTTTCATCTTTCATATAATTCATCAAATATATCATCACCTTGACACAAGTTAAAACCACAGCAGAATTTGCATGTTGTAAACGAGGAGCAATTCTTTCAGCCAACATTTCAGCATCACCTTGTTCTTGAGGAACATAATACATCAATGCTTCCAAAATATAAGTTTGACCCCATCTATAAAAAGAGAATAATTATTATAAGTTTTCATCATATAATCCTCCTTTTTCTTTCTTTACTCTGAGCATTCATTCAATGCAGCAGCCAATTTGCTTGAAATAGTATGATTCAATTTTAATTGAATATTATCTGATCTTTCCGAAATTTCCGTCAAAGCTGCCACAGCATTAGCAATTACCTATAATAAAGAAAATTAGTTTTATACTCACTGTTATTATTATATTTTTTTTACCGTTGGATTTGGATCATTCAAAAGATCACGTAACATATCAATAAAATGTTCACTTTCTACCAAAACATTGTCGTACATATATAATTTGGCCACACAAATAGCTGCAGTTTTTCTTACATATGGGTCTTTATCTCGAAGACAATGGCGTAAAGGATCAATAAGACAGTCTACAATCTTTTCTACTTGAATATAACCCATAGTTCGAATAGCCAATGCACGAATTAATGGATTAGGATCTTCCACATCCTTATTATAATATATAAAAGTTAGTAAAAAAAAAAAAAAAAGAATATTATTATTATTATTAATTATTCTTTACCTTAATAAACATAGTAATAGCCATCATAGCCATATCAGGTTTACTTCGAGCATAGTTAATAAGATAAAGATATACCATTTTTTTAATTTCTAAAATAGGTACATTCATAACATTCAATATATCAGGAAATAAAGAAGACATATCATTTCCCATAGTCATATTGGCAACAATCTTTTTCATCACTGTCTTCTTTCGTTGATGTTTTGGATCGCGTTTATCAGAGTTGAGTTCAGCTCGTAGTTCTTGTGTTTTCCCTAATTAAAGAAAAAAAAACAATAAATATATTTATTATATTTTTAATATTATTTATTATTACCTCGTTGAAAATACTTTGCATCAGACATGATGAATTACTCAATTAAAGAAAGGAGCAAAAAAAAAAAAAAAAAAAAAAAAAAATCAAATATCATCTGGTGTTCAAAAGGGAAAAAAAAACCAGCCAATGGTGAACGGAATATTGATTTGTCCTTTTGTAAAAGGCAAACAAGAGAGTGATTTCTCATTTTCAAAGGAAGAAAAAGATATTTCGGTCCGTTTTCGACAAAAAAAGATATATTCTATATATAATAAATGTAGTTTTTTTTTAATTAATTGAAAAAAAATAGTAAGATTTTCTACCGGATGAGCGGTCTTTGTGACATACTGCGGCAAGTAATATTCCAAAAGTTGATAAAAAAAAGAATATGTTTTCTGATGATCCCCTCCCCATTTAAGGTTTCATTTATAAATCTGACATTATTTTGAAAGTTGCCGCAGTAAACCCCTCTTTTCCTTTATAAGATCAATTATTTTTTTATGTTTTTCTGTTTAATTCAGCAGAAATGACTTCATTCAAACAAAGATTTCTACGTCAACTCGAAGAATATAATATCAAATTGGATGATGATACCTTAGAATACCTTGGTGGTATGTTGACTGATCTTACCTTGCATCCAGATCTAGATGAAGTCCGAAGCAATACTGAAGCATTTCTGGAAGATGCTGATGTGGATAATACTACTATTAATGATTTTTACCGACAACTTTCTCAGGGCACTAACCAACCTTCAGCAATCAAGGCATCCAACAATGTTTTATTACCCACCCATTCTCCTTCTTCAACGACCTCCTCTTCTGAAGATCAACACCAAGTCGATGTCTCTGAAAAAAAGGTATTTATCTATAGAAAAAAAAAAAAAAAACTAAATGTTTTTTTTCTTTTGTAGAAGGTAACAAGTAAAACTACCCGAAGAGGAAGGCGGCAACGACAATCCGATAAAAATGTGACTGATCCCAACGAAACGCCAACAATTGTCGCCACTTCTCAACAAAGTCGGTTTCATGCTGAAACGTTAGAGACATTGAGCAAAGAAATCGATCTCAAGACGGTGAATATTACAATTAATCAAGTCGAATTACTTGTAGATGCTCATTTACGCTTGAAAGAAAATGTTAAATATGGCCTGGTAGGTCCTAATGGTAGTGGAAAATCAGGTAACAACTATTTTTTTTTCGTTTTATAAAATCCTATCATGAAAACCCATTCACTGACTTTGATCATCTCTTCATCTTTTTTCTTTTAAAAAAAAAATAGTATTGATGAAGTGTTTGGCAGAAGATATTCTTATTGGACTTCCTCAAAATTTACAAATTTTACATGTGGCTCAACTGCAAAACACTGAAGATGGTCGAACTATTTTGGAAGAAGTATTATCATCTGATCGAGAAGCCATGTTGGCATTAGAAGAGTATGAAAGTAGGTGATACAAAATCCTGATTTTTTTTTATTTCACTTTTATGTTGATCAATTTCCTTTTTCTTTTTTTTTTAATTCGGAAATCAGTGGTGAATCGAGTGATTGGAGATCATTCATCTGCATCCAAAGACACTGATTTGAATACAGTTGTTCATCAAATCCTAGTCAATCGATCCAAAGAGAATCTTCGTAAAGTAGATGCAATTGCAACCAAACGATCCGGTACCCGAGGAAAAATAGCACGTAATCAACTGATCGAAACTGAAAAGGAGCATGCTGAATTGTTGAAAAAGGATCCAAATCAATATATCACACCAAAAATGGCAAATGATCTGGTGACGGACGTGATGGCCAAGGCTGCTTTGACGGACTATGAAGTGTTGAAATCCAAGGCGACTAAGATCATGAAAGGTTTAGGCTTCACTGATGAACAGATCGGATCCAAGGTCTCTAAATTCTCTGGTGGTTGGAAAATGAGAATTGCCCTTGGAAAAGCTTTATTTATGGAACCCAACATTTTACTTCTTGATGAACCTACTAATCATCTGGATTTACCGGCCATTTTATGGTTACAAGAATATCTGCTCAATTTTACGGATGATATGACTGTGGTTGTTGTTTCCCACGATCGTGAATTTCTGAATAATGTCACTGAAGAAACCATCATTTTGAAGGACAAGCAACTCAAGTATCATCAAGGTGATTTTCAAGATTATGAAAAGAATACAGAAGAACAACGTATTCGAAAACAAGCTTTATTAGACGTAAGTTCAAGAATGTCTGCCTTTTTTTTTGGGGGGGGATTCCAACTTTATAACTAATCATCATCATATATTATAGAAAGTAGAAATGAAAAAGAAGAAAATTGAGACAAGTATTCAACAAAACATCAAACGGGCAAAGGCAACAGGTGATGATAAACGATTGGGACAAGTGGCATCACGCACCAAAAAGTTGGATCGTCTTGGTATGGAAAAGACGGAAGATGGAAAACGATTCAAGCAAAGTTACCGTTATGGTTATCATTTTGATCAGCGGGAAAAGGTTGTCGTGGAACAAAAGGAACGAACACATGACATTTATATCCCTAATCCTCAACCTTTACGTACAAAGGGTCCCTTCTTAATGATGGAAAATGTCAGTTTTAGATATAACAATCAAGGTCCCATGATTATCAAGAATGTCACTTTGAATCTGGAGCCTACTTCTCGTATCGCACTATTAGGTAATAATGGATCTGGCAAGGTAAGAAATGTCTTAACACCATCATCATCATCATCATCATCATCATCATCATCATCATCATCATCATCATCATCATCATCATCATCATCATCATCATCATCATCATCATCCATTCCAACGATAGAACAAAAAAAAAAAAAAAAGGAATGACCAATTCTCATTCTTTCTTTTTTTTTTTTTTTGGATAGTCCACTTTACTTAATTTGATGACAGGCAAGATTCAACCCGTCAGTGGCCATATCCAGCGAAATCCCTTACTTCGCGTTGGTTACTTTACCCAAAATGTGGTGGATTCATTGGATATAGAAAAGACACCAGTAGAACTTCTTCAAGAGAAACAACCTTCGTTATCTGAACAAGCGTGCCGTGCTCACTTTGGTTCAGTTGGCGTGGGTGCCATTGGAACAAGACCTGTCAAGTATCTTAGTGGTGGGCAACGTAGTCGAGTGATGTTAGCTATCCTTCTTTTCGACGAACCTCATGTTCTTATTCTGGATGAAATTACCAATCACTTGGATATGGGCACCATTGATCTTCTGGTAGATGCATTGGCTGGATTCTCTGGTTGTCTTGTTTTGGTCAGTCACGACTTTTGGTTTTTAAAGCAACTGATGGAACAAAATGGGCGAGATGATGATGACAATGATCCAGAGGACGAAGAAGCTTACTTGGAACGACTCAGCAAGAATGAAGTCTATGCTCTTAAGGCTGGTGAATTTAAGCGTTGGGAAAAAAGTTTAGATGCTTATGTGAACACTACTTTGAAAGCAGTTAAAAAGCAAATGGCTCTATAGTAGTTGACGACAACTGTGATAATAATAATGATAATAAAAAACTGGGTCATATATTAAGGTTGATGATTGATGATGATGAATAATTTATTCCTACGATGATGATTATTGATGATGAAGGAAATGATTGAAGGTGAAAATAAGAACAATAATGTTAAATCATCATCACTATGATGACAAAAATGATGTAGGACAGTGACGACTACTAAAAAAAAAAAGAAGAAACGATGATATAGTGTTTTATTGTTTTATTTTCTACAGAGGCTTAAAGAGAAATCATTATCTATGTAACTAGTCGTAATAATCGATGAGAGATAGGAGGATTCATTGATTTGATGATTACTCGCAATTGATTAGATAATTCAGGTGATTTGACAAATCGAGCTCTGATATGGTACAAAAAGTCAAATACTTGTTCAAGAGCCTGAGTCACCCAACCATCCTTCATATCCATATGAGCTGTTACTTGTTTAACAATGTTCATCAGTTCGATCATGAACTGGATTTTTTTTTTTAAAAAAAAAAATTGCGTTAGTCATCTGAAAAGATTTTTTTTTTTTTTTTTTTTTTTTTTTTGTATCCTTACCTCTGCATCAGTGGTTTCCAATTTTTCAATACGATGCAAAGCAGGGCCAAGAAGGAAGCAGACATAAAGTAATTGAACATCAGTGCGTAAATTTCCAGAAACGCGTAAGGAACGCAAATATTCCAAAAAGAGAGTAAATCCATCCAGACTAGAATAATGTAAAATACTATGGAATAAAGTCAAGAAGGTGTTAGGAACATTGGTGCTATAGTTGTGAAGGTTAAAGGTATAATCATTGAAGATATAAGGGAACATCATGGCTTTACGGAATCTTGCGCTCATTGAATCCTTTAATACTGCAGTAGTTGTCAAATCAGGTAGTGATTGAGACATGACATATTTTCCATTGGCTCGTTTAGGTACACTACAGCGAATCTATTTTTTTATATTATATAAATAGATTAGAACTTGAAAAACCATCTACGTATTTTTAAAATAGATATGATTTGCTTACCAAACGACAAGGTTCAGACACCTCAAGTAAGCTAGCATCCATCATGATAGTTCGATTCAATTCTTCAAAAACAGGTCGTAAAAAGGCTTCAGGCGGTAAGGATGAGATAAGTAAACCCACAGCATGGATAGATAAAGCAGATACACCCACATAATGCGATTCACGAAGTAATGTTAAGTTCAATATATGCTTGATCACATTATCAGGCTTAACAGGTGTCAACATGACTTCTAAAATAGCAGTTGAAAGGCCTTCAATCGCTGGGCTACCAATTTCTCGGAAATGTCGCTCTGGAAGACTGGATTTTGTTCTTGGTGCACACTTTTGAGGATTCAAATCTATTATATAAAGTACAGTAGAAAAGTAAAAAATAAAGAGTTGGTTATAAACTTTGATCATGAAATGTTTCATTTAAAAACTTACTCCCAGACAATTTGTAGATAACACGATCGAAATAACTAGCATTAAACTGATGACCATCGGCATTGTCATCCATCACATAAGCAATGGCTTCAGGAGCAATATCGTATTGATCGAAATCTATAAAGGAAGAAGATTAAAAAAAAAAAAAAAGAAGAAGAAAGGGGATATTACTGGTTAGTTATTTCTTTTCAAGAAAGAAAGAAAGAGAGAGAGAGAGAGGGAACCATTGGATGACTTACCAAGTAATCTAGCAATACGTTTCACGATCAAAGGATGGTCTCGAATGGTATGTGCAGAATAATAATACAAAAGGATATTGCATACAAAGGAGAGAGGGTATTGATGGTGACGGAAGAGATGGCCATACTTGTCTAAAATATCTGCAAGAAGTGAAGGCTGATTGTGTTCAATGAGATGTGAGATGGTAGTTTCCAAACAAGTAACAAAATCGATGATGACGTTGGTGTGATAGATAGGCATAGCAGTTTGTAAAGGAGGATCCAAAAGAGGATTGGTAGTTTGACCATTGTTTTTAGCAAATGCTTCAAATTCATAATATTCAGGATACGCTTGATGATACTCTACCAGTTTATCGTACCCATTTTCCTCTGTCCATGGTCTTGAGCTGAATTTTAAGGAATCCCATTTGGTTACACGTTGCTCAAGTTCATTGGATTGGAGTAAAAGATAACGAACAAATTGGAATGATTTGATAGCTCGTTCGCCAGTATTGTTACCATTGAGTAATGCCAAGATCACATCATTAAAATTCACCCATTGATGTTTCCATATCATCGTATCCAACAATTGAAAAGGCTAGCAAGCAAATCAAAAAAGAAAATAAAATGATGATTGTGCTTTAGTACCTTGATTACATTCTTTTTTCTTTTTTTTTTACCAAAGCCAATGTAGTATGTGAATAATCTATCGATAACATAAAGTCTACAAAGTCGATAACACAAGTAGACATTCTAGATGGTGGTATTAACAGCAATAGCTTTCGAACACCTGTATAGTAAAAAAAAAAAAAAAAAAAAAAAAAAAAGGAAACGATAAAAATGAACATCATTACACCTAATCTTTCTCTCCGCCTATGTTTCTTTCTTTTTTTTTTTCCTGGGAGACATACTTGGCATATGAAAGACATCCATGGAGGATCTCATAAATCCAAACAACCATAATAAACATAGAATAAGCGAATGATGTTCCAAAGTCGAGAAGTAATGCAATAAACCACGTTCATTATCGGTAATGCCTTGTTGTAAAAAGTGAATAAATGCTTGATTTGATGTAACAAATGGGTTGATCGTCGCCATAGCAACTGATGGGCGTATTGATGTTGATTTTGATGGCTGTTGTTGCGGATTGGTAACACCATTTTCTTCCTCTAATCTATAAAAGGATTGCACCGCTTCAGGGAAGTACTGCATTGTTTCTGGCGACCATTTTAGTCGATATTCGTATAAATGAGATAGTACACGATGGATTTGCTCTGTTTTTATATCAGCTTGACCTCTACTCTCACATAACAAAGCAAAAAAAAAGGTATTAGTATTTATTGAGAAATGTATCATTATCTTTACCTTGTTTTAATAAGCCTAGCAATGTTACAAACCATTGCCCTGGCCAGTTTTTCAGACTCTGCAAACCATATGGATTTTTCTCGATTAGGATCATCCAAAGACCGAAGGAGTTTGACATCAACTTGTGATCGCTAAAAAAAAAAAAAAAATCATCAAAAAACGTAACACAAAAAAAAGTCAATTGATTGTCCACAAATACATATATGTATATAATTATTACCGTTGTGTTCAGAACAAAAGATTCCAAGACTTGATATACTTGACGATGTTCCAAATAAGAGATAGAATAACGGACGTAATGGAACATACCAGCAGAAAGTGGCGAATATTTCAAGAATCGAATAAAACGATAATTGATCAATTGAAGCATCGTATGCATCCATCGCATAGTTTGATCAGGGAGGGGTATATCGCTTTTCGTGGTAGCTGTGGTTGAGTCTAATGATGGATGATTACTGTTGCTATGTCGAAGTTTGATCAGTTTGTCACATCGTCGTAGCTTGTCAAAAATCTCTTTGATCATGAGTTCAGCACTTATATACAAAAAAAAAAAAAAAAAAAAAAGAAAAAAAAAGATTGATCGGTTGATTGTTAGCAAAAAAAAAAAAATAAAATTGAATCATCCAAGTAAAAACTTACGAACATGGTGCACTATAAAGTAATTTGTAGACAACGTCAAGAACATAGGGAGGTACACATGTAATAATAGAAGGTGAATTATTTCGTGGTGGTTGCGGCGTTGATGGCTGAGGGGATCCAGTCGCACCAGCTGTTGGAGCCATAGGTGTATTGGCTTGATATCGAGGTCCTAGTTCACTATCCAACATCATCTTATAAATCACTTGTAATAATCGATGTTTAGCATTGATACTAAGGAGATCAAGTAACTTGTAACTCAAAGTACCACCTTTGACATAAGTGGCTGCAGGATGACCTAATGTGCCGATATCTGGTTTGGTTGGTACAAGGTAGACATATAATGCATAAGGGACGATATCTTGTCTGAGTTGGCTTTCTAAAGCTACCACCGTCATTTCTTGTAGATTCATGTTTTGGAAAAGTGTCGAATTGGTAGGGATATTGCCTAATGAAAATCACAAACAAACACATTTATATATATATAAGTGATCGTTAACAAACATATCTTTTACGAAAGAATCAAGGATAATGAAAATTCTATAACTTACTATGATAATGATTACTAAAATAAGCTTGAATCTGATAGCATAATCCCGCATAACGTAAAGAAGCTGCTACCCCTGGATGACGTTGTTTAATGTTGGTAATATCCTTGATGTTATCCTTCTGATGGTTAATCTGTCATTCAAAAAAAAAAAAAAAAAAAATCAGTTAACAGAATATGGATATCGTTGCAGATATATTTCAACTCGTTAAGTCTCTATTCTCCCTTGGAAACTTACCGCGCATTGAAGTGATAAATCACGCAATGAAAATCCATCTTTGGTCATCATTTGATCCTCATTATATAGTTTGACCAATTTTTCGAATAACCGTTCATCTTTCTCGAAATCCTTTTCAATCACATTCGTAGATACACGATCAATATCTATAATTGGGAAAGAACAAAAAAGAAAAAAGTAAACATCAGAATTCTTTTTTTTTTTTTTTTTTTTGTTCTGAATGATCCTCTACTTACAAAATAACTGCAAAATCAACCACACAAGAGAATTATCCTTATTTACATGATTCTTGGTACCTGCAGGATAGGGTTCGTTTTCTTCGTTATAAATCAAATTGTAAAAATCCTGCAAGATATCACTATAAGAAAAGAAGCTAATATAAAAAAAAATATGAGATGGAAGAATGGATTGAAATAATATTGTCATTTCACTTACTCTGCTGCAACAAAACTATATAATTGATCAGCTGTTTCTGTCATCAGTTCCCACAGGTTGATATTATCCGGAATAACCATCTTAATATCTTCACTACGAACCATATAAGCCGATGACGTATGGAATGGCGTACGATCCTCTTCTGATACTGTAAAAGTACATATATACCATCAATCAGGGTGATGATTAGTCATCGTCCTCTTTTCATTGGCATTATCATCACTTTTCTTTTTTTTTTTTTAACTTACAATCACGTTTTTCAGTGGAACTATAATGTTGAATACATTGTATCACATCATGAACTTTTGATACCATGGCTTTTCGAATCAACGTGGTATCCAAACCGGTTTGAGTCAAAGACATTGCTAATTGGCGAAATTCATCCATGGAAGCACGTTGAAATAACATATCTCGGAAATGGGTTTCAATATTAGTGGAGTTGCCTTCTTTCACAAATTCAATCTTTTTATCCGCCAACAAGTATCATCACATAAAAAAAGAAAAATAAAAATAAAAAAAAAAGAAGTAAGAATTTTGAGTGCATACTAAGATGAACTGACTTACCAAATCTCCTTCAAACATATGGTAACTTGTACGTGTTGTCAAATCATTGAATTCATGTCGGCGACTAAGTTGAGATATCAAAGGCCAAGAGGCATCTTTTTTTTTTTTTTTTATCCAGCAAAACGTCATATATTTTAGTAACAAGGATAAATCTGGATTAACAATGATAATGAATATTCTTACCTGGTGGCATCATCAAGAAAGCTAAATGACGTCTTCGCTTTCCTAATTCATTGATAAATTTTTCCATCGTCCAATGAACACTTTGTGCGAATGTACCCCTTAGAAAATGACCATACACATCAGGCAACTATTTTGAATATGTAAAAAGAAAAAAGAAAGAAAGAAAGAAAAAGAAAAGTATTTGAGGATGAATATATGTCATCAGTAAAGAGAAGGTTGTTTGTTTTGTTTTCCCTACCGCTAGAATTATATCGTAATACTCCACGACTCCTACACCATCCCCAGAAGGACCAATCAACAATAAATTAATCAACTCTTTGCCTTTGTTCAAACATTGAGCTTGTATCGTAGTGAGGTTTGAGGGTAACGTATTGATTTCTCGTAAAATATGTTTGATGATATTGATGGCAATGGCAGTAGGAATACGTTCCAAGAGTCGTGGTTCTTGTTGAATGGAGAGAATCATATATCTTAATGTCATTTTCCATATGTTTGCATAACTAATGGAAGGCTGAGGTGTCGTTGATGATGGAGGTGCTGCAGCATTTAAAAAATGTCCATAAAGTTCAGGGAACTTTTTTTTAATATAGAGTGATAAAAAAAAAAGATATATGATCTACATTAGATAAAATGATACAATCCTTATATTTTTTTCTAATTACCGAATATATCACATCATAGTAAGAAACAGTTCCAATAGTGGTAGGATATGAACTATACATTGTAGAATGACTGATATTGCTGGAATTGATAGTATTATTGCCATTACTTGTTATCAAATGATGATGATGATGATGATGATGATGATCAGGTCGGACCAAAAATAATTCAAGAATTTCTTGACCAGTTTCAAAGCAAGTCTTTTGAAGAACATTTATATTGTTATCATCACTGTTGTTGTTGATATTGTTATCATCACTGTTGTTGTTGATATTGGGAGGTAATCTCGTCAACTCAAGTAAAATGTGTTTGATGATACCTAGAATAACTGGAGTTGTCACCCCAGCGTTGTAAAGATGCTGAGGACTATGATTACGTAAACAAGATAACATAAATTGAAGAGTGATGATCCAAGAAGAATAAATAATTGTAGTATTCATGATGTTGTTTTGCTGTTGCTGTGGCTGTTGTTGTTGTTGTTGTTGTTGCTGTTGTTGGGAAGTTGTACGTAAGGAAAGTGTTAATGTTAAATCCTCTAATACTTGTCCAAGAGGAAAGGGTTTCATGGATGATGATGATGCATGGATACCTGTTGTCATAGTATTAGAAGTAGGTCTGTTCGCAGTATTCGTTCTAGGAGTGATCGGCACGACAAGAAGTAACTGATGCAGAAATTTCAATAATCGAATCGTCTTTGTTAACAAAAAAGGTGGTTCACGATATTTCAATAGGATCACTTTCAATTGTTCGCTCTACAATTATTAAATAAGTTAAAATAGGATCAAAAGTGGTGATCATCATCACGAATACATAGTTCGTTCAGCAAATATTTCTTTTTTTTTTATGTATACAGTACCAAATTGCCATATTGAGTAGCTCGCATAAAATCGTTTACTAAAGCGTCGTAGTCCAAGTGACTTGTATGGAGAGGTATAGGAATCATAGAATTGTCATAGGTAGCGAAATCCTGACCTAAATCCGGATGTAATAAATGAACTCGTCGTCGTTTATGAGGTTTCCGACTGAACAACCTAAAAAGAATGGTCAAGTTAAATTATATTATGTGTACTGAAAGTGTTGTTTCATTTCAAACTATTCTATATTATATTCTCTAAAGTACTTACCCATTATAAGCTTGATAATCTCCTTCAATAATAGGAAGACTCTGAAAAAGAACATATTAATAATAAAATAGAGAAAAAGTTAAAACAACCGGTAATCACGATGGTAGCATAAAGATAACAAATAAAACTCGTCTGTTGTTGGTCTTTTTTTTCTTTTTGGTTTTGATAAACAGCAACTTACCAGTGCAGTACTATCATGAGCATCCGCAAAAAGTCGAGCAATCACAGTTCGTAGCGGCTCCATTTTCAAATAAGAAAAAGAAGGAAGCTATGGTTTGAATACACAAGAGTATACAAAAGAGGTAAAGAAAGAGAGATAGAATAGGTAGTAATAAAGGATACTGAAAAAAAACGTGGCCTTTCACCCGAGAAAGCTTGTTAAGGAACTGTTCCCGTCCTCCACTCATCTTATCTTCGCTCTTTTAAATCTTTGTCTCCCCACCGTTTCTGGTATGTTAGCTTTTTTTTTTTTTTTTTTTTTTTTTGGATCGAACAAGAGAGGCTTAGCATCAAACACTCGCATCCCGCGGTATTTCAAATGGTCAAATACAATTGTCTTTCACGAATGATTAGTATGATAATATTATATCTATGTATGAAAGAAAATAATATGAGCTATCTATAAAAGATGACCACTTGATGATAAAATAAATTAATAACACTGGATTTCATCTTAGCTGCGTTCCAAACGCAATTGAATTCTTATTTCCTTTTTTGGTGAAATCGCAGGTTTATATCAATACAAGTTTAGTAAAATGGATAAGTCAAAAAAAAAAAAAAAAAAGATCATAGAAGATATGATAATGTTGATGGATGATGGATAAAAGGTGATAATGATGACGTTTTGCTTTTTTCTTTAAAAAAAAAAAAGAAGAATGAACAAATGGAACAAAAGCATTAAGTTTCTTTATTCATATAATTGATCAGCGGGACAATGGTAAAATATAGGATGATTTGGACTGATGTAAAGTATCAAAAGAAGAAGAATAGTAAAAAATGATTATATTACTTATTGGAAGGGTTGTAAAAAAAGATGTTGCAGTGGCAAGGACATATGCGAGCATGTAGTTGATACGAAGAGGGAAAAGTACATAGATAAAACTTAAGTGTAAGATACACTTGTAACTATTTGAAGTAAATTTTTGCCAGACGTCAGATGGATAAAAATAGTGACTGGATATCGTGGTTAACAATAATGATGTCTCTAAAATTACAAGTCTTTTCTTCGATGACAAGTAATGAATTCATATAAACAGAGTTGGAGATTAGTGATGACCAAAAAAAAAAAAAAAAAAAAAAAGAAGAAAAGCAACTTACAGAGTACTATATGTATGGATATGACTTGTATTTGACCAGAGTAATAAAATAGAAGTAAGGTATTCAGGATAGATATTAACAAAATATCTTTGAGTAGTGTCTAAACGAGCATCCATGATTCTCAAGTTAGATATATAGGTATAATCGGATTCTGGATCAATGAAAATAGATTCTTGTTTGATATTATTCATTCTAGTGATTATACGATTGCCTACAAAGAGAAAACGTCTACCATATAGAATAAAAATTCTAAAGATATTTAATGAATAAATAACAATTGTTGTAATAGCAAGACAAAAAGCAAAGATATCCAATGGAGTATTTATAAACTTGAAAAACAGATCAGAAAGTGGTGATATGAATGAATAATGTATAAAATGATAATGAATGATGATTGGAATTATGAAAATAATACCATGATGAAAAATCCAATCAAATGTTTTTTTAGTCACTTTGGTGGATAACATATGCAATTTTATGAATTTACAAGAAAAAAAAAAAAGATCAACACTTCTTTTATATATAATAATCCTCATTTTATATTTTTATAAAAAAAAAAAGAATCTTAAATAATGAACCTCTTTGTTTTTTAGAAGAGAAATAATACTTTTTTAAATGGCTCATTTTATTGATTTCTTTTCTTTTCATTGCATGAATAATATCATCTGAATTTACAGTCTGAGCAAATCAAAGAAAAATTCAAATTGCGTCACTCCAATTTTTTCTTTTTTTCTGTTTCTCTTTCACTTTTATTTTTTTTTCTTTACTTTTTCTTTCCTAAAAAGAAATACGAAACCTTAATGTCATCTGTTGAGTATCGACAAAGATCACTATCACCTTATTCAAAAAGGAGACAGTTCGATGAAAGGTCTACCTCACGAAATAGAAACGACGATCATTATCGAAAAAACAATTATAACGATCATTACGACAATCGACGAGATTCTTACCGCAGCCGACATGAAAAGGAAACGAGTAGTGATGAACAATACAGACGTCATGACAACAACCGTTATGGAGATCGACAACGTAATCGAGAATATCATGATGAAGATAAACGACAACGACGACGTTACGGTGATGGCGAAGGTCGTCATCGTGATTCAACCTCATTTGCTAGCATTCAAGGTGGACCTGAAAAACTACCTGGAGAAACCTATATGGAATAGTAAGTATATAATTGTATATATACAGAGAAAAGATTACCGATTGATTAACTTGGTTTTATTAGTCGACGACGGGTACGTGAAAGTAGTGACAAAACCATTTGGATGGATCACCCGCCTAGAAAAGAAGTAACAACAGATGCATCCTCAAAAAAGCGTCGATCTCGTAATGACAACAGTGACAGCCAGAGCAGTTCAAATGATGACAGTAGTGACGATAATAGTGATGACGAAGATCGACGTAGAAAGAGTCGACGACACAAACATCGAAGTGATCGTCGTAGTAAGAAACGTTCCAAGAAACACCATCGACATTCCTCATCAAGAAAAGAACGTAGTAGACGACGACGATCACCATCACCTATCTCTTCTGACTCTTCCGATAGTGATCAAGAAAATGAAAAGGTAGCATCAGTATCATCTCCTCCAGCACAACAACCTGTATTGGATGATCATATCAATTTGGATTCAGAAGATCTTTGGGTTGAAAAACAAGGCAAGTTGAAAATAAGGATTGGATATTTCTTTTGAAAGAACAAGAATCTAATATAAATCAAATCTGTTCTTATGTATTATTATTATTATTATTATTATTATTATTATTATTATTATTATTATTATTATTATTATTATTATTATTATTATTATTATTATTATTATTATTATTATTTGTTATTTTGTAGTGGACTTACCCGATGATCTGGCACCTGTGGGACCAGTACCATTATCCAAAGATGAAAAGGAAGATGAACGAGCGTAAGTATTAAATAACAAAAGAGATGAAATGTTGGGTGCTCATGGAATGACATTAATTACAATATATAATTTTATTTGTTTATATCATTATAATAGTTATGGATCAGCTTTACTTCCCGGTGAAGGATCTGCTATGGCTGCTTATGTGAAAGAAGGCAAACGTATTCCTCGTCGTGGTGAAATTGGACTTTCTGGTGATCAGATTGCTGAATTTGAAAACGCTGGTTATGTGATGAGTGGAAGCAGGTAAAGATAGAAAGAAATAATAAAAAAAATATATATATATATCCTACTAATCCTACTCACTTATGGTTCTTTTCTTTAATAGACATCGTCGTATGAATGCTGTTCGATTACGAAAGGAAAATCAAGTTATCTCGGCCGAAGAAAAACGATTATTATTACAACACGCCTCCGATGAAAGAATGAAACGGGAAAATGACATTATATCTGAATTTAGAGAGATTCTTAGTGACAAATTCAAAAAACCAGAATGAATAAAAAAAACCAATTTTTTTTTGTATTATTGTATGCATATGTGAATAGACTGTGTAGTATTATCATGGATATATTCTTCAAAAAGAGTAATTATAACATAATCTTCATTCTTTATAATAGATTGATTTTTTATTTATATGAGCAAACAACAATAACAATAATAATAGAAAATAAAAAAAAAAAGATAAATACTATACTATAACCTATTGACATTTCGTTTCGATAATGGAAGGACCAACTTCTTCATATTCTTTCTTGGAAATCCAAAGTTGATGGAAGGTACCTAGAGACGCTAGAATAGATCCACCCAGCCAACTGCTACATTTTCGTTCTATTTGATTACCAGCAGCATGAAGTTTGATTTTGCTCTGAATATTCCGCAAAAAAAAAAAAAAAAATGAATGAGTCAACAAGATGATGATACGTTTTGACAAAAAAAAAAAAAAAAAAAAAAAAGACTTACTCCTGGAGCCATCATTGGTAATTCATAATTCAAACGTTCATTGAAACCAGGAAGTAAAGAATTACCACCCGTCACCACAATATTGTTGAAAAGTAATGGACGCAAATCGATGTCACAATTGGAAATACTTTGATAAACCATTTGATGCATTCCTAAACTATCATTGATTTGTTGTTGAGTCATTCCTAGTTTTGGGATCACTGTATCTAAACTTTCTGAAGCATGATTTGGCTAAGAGGAAAGAGAAAAGAGCTTAAGTTTCTGTGTTTTCTTTTTTTTTTTCTTGTTTAATATATATTTACCACATTCAAGAATTCCTTGGGTTGGTATAAGAGTTCAGGAAGTCTATATCTGCTTGCACCAAATGAGTTATTATATCCATCAGGGAATTCGAATGGCTTTTGAGGACGAGAAGCCATAATCCTTAAAACACACATAAAAAATAATAATAATAATCGATCAATCAGTTTTAGTGGATGATAAATCATTCTCTCTATTTCCCACTTTACCCTTCATCAAACGTCATTTCAGATACTTGGCATACGGATTCCTTATATTCCAAAATGGTTCTCTATGGTAACATCAAAAATATATATATTGTTAGAATGAATCAATATTCTCTTTTTTTTTATATATACACTTACAGCTACTTGGAAATCACGGAAAGAAGATGTTACTTCCAAATCTGACCGTAATTTCGCATCGGCAGGTTGTCCAGCTTCTACGGGTTTCTTGCTTGCAACTTCATAAGAAGGAGTCACCTTGAAATGAAGATCTTGTTCCAATTGATCCAAAATTTGACGTGTGAGTAGATCGCCTGCAATCGGACTACGAAGAATTCCCTTCTTGAGAACGTAACCATCATATACAGGTACAGCACTAGTAACACCCGCACCTGAATCCAATACAAGTGCTGTTGCTCGTCCTACAGAAAATGCGGTCATCACAGCGTCTTTTGCAAGGTAGAAAGCAGGGAAATCGAATTTTTCAAATGCCAGTTCTGCAAGTTTTTCTCTACTTTCCGTTGTATTCCAAGCTGGTTCTGTGTATAGTAAAGGATGTTCTTGAGGATTAACGCGTAATACAGTATTGAAGGTCCAGTCCCATATGGCTTCCATAGCATCCCAGTCCTTTACTAAATAATACAAAAAAAAAAAAAAAAAGATAGATGTCAATAAACACAACACAATAATCAGAAGACCCCCCCCCTCTTGAATATCATGATATTTATTTCTGTTTATTTCCTTTTTCTTTTTCTTGTTTGACATACTTAAACCATCTTCAATAGGATTTATGATCTCCATATTCTTGCGAGGAGTGTTGATTCTGTTATCACCAATATAGTATTGAGAGTATTTTTCAGCTTTTGTTGTTGGTTGATTGGCATCGGTCATTTCTACGTCTGTGTTGTTATCACCATTGTTCAAAGTCGTAGGAATATAACCTATTGAAGAAGGAAACATGGCTTTTGGTGTGTCTTCCCCTGCGTAACCTGCACGTACGTTGCTGGATCCAACATCAAGTACTAAAGCGTTCACTTCATCTACAGAGTTGAAAAAAAAAAAAGATCAGGTTTGTTGAGTCAAATTGATAAGCTTGAATTTTTGATATACAAGTTCAAATTACCTCCTCCATAAGTTACCATGATATTTCTATATAAGTTTATTGAAGCTGTTGTGGCTAAAAAAAAATGTAGAAGAGAAAAAGAGAAGAAAGACGGAGTCTATTTGAATGTGCCCAAAGAACACAAAATTGTTTTACAACAAGAATTGGGACAATAAGCCTCAGAAGATGTCGCACAGGGCATCTCATTCCAAATTGAAAGAGAGAGAGAGAGAGAGAGAGAGAGAGAGAGAAAAGGGATATTCTCCCAACAATTTCCTTGATAGGACTAGACGAAGGATGTTGGATACAATAAAAGATATTATCCAATATATTTCTCAATATCATGAGTCCTTGGTAGTATCATTTATATTGGCTATTCTAGCTGGTCTTACAGCAGTAAAAACCATACCGCGACTGAAGCAACCTTTTCTGAATGCAAAACTGTCAGGCATAGATATTCTCAAACCTAATAAACCTATATTGTAAAGAAAAAGAAAATAGTATGTTTATCATAAGGTGTATAGTCTTATTCACCAACACTAACCATCTTTACTATGTATTAGACCTGAAACACTTGGTTTACCCATTGCTATCATCTATCTCATCACCATGTTTCTATTTATTCCAGTTCCTTTTATTGATTGGTTTGGTGGAAAGTTCTTTTTTTCAGTGGTACATGATGAAGCACCTCATTTAGGTACCTTTCCTTATCACAAGGTATATATACAGACAGTCTTCATATAATATATAGATATATTTTATTCATTCGCTTATTAAAATAGTGTTCCTTATTTTTAATATAGTTAGGCGAAATATTATCAGCTATATTGGCTATTCAATCTATGGTATTACTTGGATTCGCAGATGATGTTCTGGATGTTCGATGGAGATATAAAGTATGGTTTCCAGCTATTGCAGGTATACCGCTACTGATATTCTATTATACCAATTTTGGTGTGACATATGTTGTGACCCCTATTCAGCTACGTCCTTGGTTTGGCGATATGATTCATCTTGGTAATAAAAATGATACCTAATAAGAAATGGTCTAGAATTCTAACCACAATATCATCATCATTATTATTATTATTATATTGATTAGGACCGTTATATTATGTATATATGTTATCATTGATTATATTTTGTACACATAGTATAAATATTCTTGCTGGTATCAATGGTATTGAAGCAGGGCAAACGTTGGTGATTTCCTTATCGATCATCATAAATGATTTGCTTTATATCTACAAGAATCCTGATCAAAGAAGTGTAGAAGTTCATCTCTTCAGTCTATACTTTATGTTACCCTTCACTGGTGTGACTTTGGCCCTTCTTTATTACAACTGGTAAAGTGAATGATGTTAACTTTAGACTATGATGTTACATAATAACTAATGAATAATTTTACGACTTACTTTTTCGTTTTACATATATAAATGATAGGTATCCTGCCAAGGTATTTGTTGGTGATACATTTTGCTATTTTGCTGGTATGACAATAGCAGTAGTAGGCATACTAGGTCATTTCCCAAAAACGTTGGTACTGTTTTTCATTCCACAGATGTTTAATTTTTTATATTCATGCCCTCAACTTTTTCGATTTGTTGAATGTCCACGACATCGAATGCCCAGAGTCCTTGTCGATAATAAGAATGATCAAAGTAAAGTACTTCTCCACTGCTCAGTAGTGACATTAAATCAAGAAAGGAAACCTACAGGTAAACTTGGACGTGCCATGCTGGAATTTTTGAATGTATTAGGATTACTACATGTCATTTCAAGAGATGATCATGGACGGATATCACAATGCAATAATCTTACTCTATTGAATTTGGTTCTCAGTTATACTGGCCCAATACCCGAGAATCGTCTTACTTGTACTGTACTTCTCATTCAGATTTTGTGCAGCTTACTTGCTTTCTATATTCGATACAGTCTAGTTAAATTTGTTTACTGACATTAATATATATATTAAAAAAAAAAAAAAAGATTTTTGATACACTTCTTTGACTCATTGTCTCATCCATGAAAAGGTCTTTTTTTTTTTTAGCCCCAATCTTTAAATTTGGAAATTTGAAAGTTTCTATTGATGTTTCCTTTTTCGATTTGCTCTGAGTCTGAAATAATCAAATCTCATTGACCTACACTTACAGCCAAAAAGTCACGTACACGTGGTGGATCATCCATACTTTTGCTTGACCCCTTTTCGCTCTCTCACTCTCTCTTTCCTTTTATTTTCTTTTTCATTTTTGTCTTCCTTTTATTTATTTTATCTTTTTATCATTTTGACGTTTTTACCCATCACTCTTGTCGTCAAACTATATTAAATAAAAGAAAAACGATGAATATATTTCGACTAGTTGCAGATTTGATGCATTTAGCATCTATTTTCATTCTTCTATTGAAAATCAAAACTACTCGTTCTTGTGTTGGTAAGTTTTGGATGAAACTATGAAAAGGACAACAACAATACTTTATAGGTGGCGTTTTTGCTTCTCTTCTTGAATACTGTTGAACAACATCAAAGTCTACAGTTTTATTCAACTTTTCTCTTTTTTTTTTTTTTTTTTTTCTTGTAGGTATTTCTTTTAAATCACAACTACTTTATGCTATTGTTTTCCTAACACGGTATTTGGATTTATTCGTTAAATTCCTCAACATATATAATTCCTTTATGAAAGTCTTCTTTATTGCAAGTTCCTTGTATATTCTATTCCTGATGAAGATCAAATTCAAAGCAACTTATGATGCTAGTTTGGATACTTTTCGCGTCGAATATCTTCTTGGTGGAGCAGCTGTATTGGCATTGTTGACTACTGAAGATTACACTGTGCGTGAGGTAAGAATAAATATAGAAAAAAAAAACACGTATATAAATATAACTTTTTTTTCACAACTATCATTCTATTGATATAGACTTTATGGACATTCTCAATTTGGCTTGAATCTGTGGCAATTCTTCCTCAATTATTTATGCTTCAAAGAACAGGAGAAGCTGAAACGATCACAACTCATTACTTGTTTGCTTTAGGTGGTTATCGAACTTTATATATTTTTAATTGGATTTATCGTTATGCTACTGAAGGTTATGTGGATTATATCGCTTGGATTGCTGGATTATTGCAAACTGCCTTATATAGCGACTTCTTCTATATCTATTATACAAAGTAAGTATTAAAAATTAAACGGATATATGAGAGATTATATAAAGAGAGATTGATTGATTCTTTTTATATTCTTTTTTTTTAAATAGGGTGATGAAAGGGAAACGATTTGAATTACCAAAGTAAGTACTTTTCCCTGAAAACATATACACACACATCCATACAGATGATTCAAAAGAAGTTTGGAAAAAAGTAATTATTTAATTAATATAACCTTTTTTATTCTTTTTTTTTTTTAATATAGGATGGTATGAAAGAACAAGAAAAAGAAGTAAAAGTAGTTTATATACATTTGTATACAATACCATTGTTTTGTCCCCATTGAAATAAAGTTTATTTATTTATTTTAAATATCTACAATCTGATATGTTATATGTATTAAAAGTATAATGATGATCTCAAAGATGGAAATATTGTATATTGAATGCGAGTTTTTATTTGGAATTTAAAGAAGTATAATATAAAGATACAGTAGAAGGTGTTTGCATTAAACAAATAGATGCTAAAATAGGTAAATGGTATAAAAAAAAGGCCTAATAATCAAGTTGATCCAATAATAGCAGAAAGTTTGGTGGCACACATCTATAAACAAAGTCAATGTCAATGCAAATGAGTCTCTATGATACCATACACACACAAATATATATTTTTCTTCATCTCCATGTTTTATCCTTCATCTAGACTTACATTGAACCAAACTGAATCATTTTCTTGATTGGATGCATTGGATGCGACTTTGATTAGAGAATCTACCTTATTCACATATTCTTGCATGACCACTACCATTTCTTCGGGTTCCAAATCATATGCCTTTGAGACCATCACATCTACTTCTTCTGCCACAGCTTTTCCTTGAGCCAAAAGTGAATCCGAGAATGTACATCTCTTTTGAATTTTTTGAAATAAAAGATAGGTCAATCCCACCAAAGAGACACATTGTCTAGCCACTTGGGGGTCTACATCCATATCCATAGCCATGTCATCTTCATCTTCTTCATCCGCAGCAATACCACTATCATGATCATCATTCATTTCACCATCTCTAGGTACCATGTCATTTGTTTCATTTTTCACATCATCCAGTGTTTCCAATAATACCTTCCATTCAGCTGCCACGGCTTGTTGGTTATTGGCAGGTAGATGAGACGCAGATTTACAAGTTTCCCATAAAGCCGCAGTAGACAGCATAAAGGATGATGATGATGATGAAGAACAAGCAGCCGCTCTATCTGAATCCATAAAACTGACAAGTAAACTAATCGCCCCACGTAACAATCTGTCGATAAATGTTTTATATGCCTTTCGATAGGTGTTTATCATATATTGTCCATTCAAAGGTATATCATAATAAAAACCAACAATACGATAAAGAGTATTGCTCATTTCTATATATCATCAAGAAGAAATATAAGTCAAAAAGAAAACTTCTTTCTTTCCTTAAATGTTGTTTATTTTTTACCATCCACCATTTTGATAGCGTCTTGTGGTTTTCTTGGTGGTTTGCAAGCTAAGGTTAATTTGGTCGCGTCATGAGATAAAATGACACATAACTTTTGCATTGTATCTCGTAATTTATCTTGATCAAAAGAAGATTCCTTTGTACTGTCGTCTTTAACTTGACATTTAGCCATGTCTTTTTGGATCTGTTCAAGTTGTCGGCGATCGTCCATATCCTTATTGTAGAGTTCTTGAAGGTTGGAGGTCAACATGTTATACCCTTTTTGTAATTTTTCTGTTTGACATACAAATATAAATAGTAAGCTATTTAATTCGTTAGATTATATAATGAATATTCATACCTTGAAAATCAGTTTCATTTGACATCTTTATAGTCTTCAGAGATCTTATAACAAAGCAATTGAAAAGTATTCGAGAAAAAAAAAAAAAAAAAACAACGTGATCAAAGAAAAAAAAAAATTTTACCGGTGTTTCAAAACCTAATTTTTTGCATAGAATCTTGATCAGACAACAAAACGAAATTAAGGAAGCAACTAGTGATAACGTACAAACAAGCTCTCGGTTTCTTTAACAAGTTTCAAGCAAGATCCTATGGTAAAAGATATTGTTATGCTGATGAATTCCGAATAATGATACTCAATATCGAGAATTCGCAGAGACAGCTGAGAGAAAACAAGATGCTGCGATAAGATGATAATAATTCTTATTCCTTTTCTCGTGTATGTTATTGAGGTATGTCTTTCCACATCTCCTAGATGATATATTCTACGTTAAGTGTGTTCATATTGATTCATATCTGTCGAAATAAAAACAAAAATGTTCATATAGTTTGTCTTGCTTAGTATAGGGGATATTCATTACCGAAGCACGGTCCAAAGACTTGAAATTTGACATACATTTGACTCTGACACTCGAAAATCGACCATGATAGATGGATTAGTCAGATTTTATGAAAATTGGGTTGGAAAAACCTTGAATAACCTAGTTTATGTTATCAGTGGCAAGTGGATCAGGAACAAAACCTGACAGGTGTTATTTTCTACTTATGGTACTAGAGTATCATATGGTGTCTCGACTTATTCTATAGAACATGCAAATTGGTAACACAATGATCTCCTTTTTTTTTTTCATTCTTGCATATAGATCAAATCTCAAACTCTTTTTACCATTGGCCACTTTGTTAAAAAGTAGCCAGACTTGGAATTACTTCCGACTTTTGTTTGATTACTTTGTACAAATCAGGGTAAAAGTGTTTTTTCTGTAGTTCACCAAAAGGAAGATATTGTTACTCACTTAGCGTATTGCCCAGAAGGTGAAGAAGATACAATTCTCAAGAAAGAAGGTTTCCAAAGAATGTCATCGGCTGTCAACACAAAAAATCAATCAATATCGCCAGGCAAAAAAAGCCTTATCATGGATTTTTCGTTTTATCCATACCCATTATTTTTTTTTTGTCCCACGCACATCTATTTCATGACAATCCTCTTTATATCCTGGTTTTTATGTGAAAGAGTATAGTTAGACGATTAGGATCTTGTGAAATGAGAATTATTCTGATCTTCTACTTTTTCATACGTCTTGCTTTGGTTTTGTGTTTGTTCAAGCTGTTTAATGTTTAGTACCTGGATTTTTCCAATCGATTAATGTGTGCCAGAGTAGTGACGATTAGCATAACTCAGAAAAAGGCTTCGCATGTATCACCATTGATTTGCAAGCAAATATTTATTTATTTTGTATGTTAAAAAAAAAAAAAAGATCTTGCCAAGTATCTGGAAAAAAAAATATAATTTATGTCATCGCTATTTATTTCAAGCCTTGGGTGAGAAAACATCCATTATTTTGTTAACTGAAGGAGTAACAAAATTTCGATTTTCGTGTTACTTTCATCATCAATTAAAATCATCAATTATTATGACGTCTTTATTAATTTTTTTTATTAGTTTTTTTCTTTTTTGTTGGAATTGCTCCCGCTATTATAAATTGATGTTTCTTAGTAAAAGTCTTCGACGCTGAATAATCTGTAAATCAAGCTAGCAAAAGAAAAAAAAAAAGAAATCAATAATAAATCAGAGTTTAATTGTTGTTGACGATGGTGAAATGAAATGCAAGCATGTGAAAAACAGAAAAGGATAAATCTTGTATCACTTCTAGTGCGACATACATATTCAGGAGAAAGCCTTAATTATTTTTTTTTACCCTATATTCTTAATATATTAACAATCAACCTTCCAGATCAGTCTATTGATAGTATCTTGTCATTTTCTATCCTCTAACATGATCATATCACTTTTTTAGTGAAATAGCCTTTCTCCCCAACACCCCACACCGGAAAATAATAATCAAAATGGAAAAATAAAAAAAAAGACTCCACTTTTTTTTTTCTTCTAAACATATAAATAGGCTTCTCTCTCTCATATCCTCTTTCTTCAAATTCAAAATTAAAATAATGTTGGTCATGTCACGATTTGATTTTTCTTCTGACAATAGTAACAGTACTATGCCAGCCAATTATTCAACAGATATAACATCAACTAATGCTACTTGTAAAGAAGAAGAAGAAAAAAAAAATCAATGGATTTGCGTCTCATCTTGGTTGTATTTTTTTATTATTATTATTATTATTTTATACCTTTCTATTGTAATAAAAATAGATGATTCCTTGCCCGAACCTAGATCCATAGTTCAGTCATCATCATCTTCTCACATCGATCATCAGTTTCCTTGGTTCGCTCCAACCCCGCCACCACCACCACCGCCACCTTATCCCATAGTAGCAGCAGCAGCAGCAGCAGCAGCTTGTAATTTTCCGTTTGATGCCAATATGACCTCTCCTACAGAATCATCATCATTATCATCACCATCTAGTTTTCCATTTTCCTATTTACCACCGCCACCGCAACTATTAGAACCATTATGTACATCTCCATTATCTATACCAGAACGGCAGTTTAAAGGTCATCGTCAACGTGAGCGGCGATCAAGAAAGGCAGCTCATGAATTGTTAACTGAAGCAGAGAAAAAAGCGAATCATATTGCATCTGAACAAAAGAGACGTCAAAATATTCGAATGGGTTTTGATTCATTGATTGAGGTTGTACCTACTCTCAGTCGGGGTAATAGAAGTGAAGGTTTGATCTTGCAAAAATGTAAGTAATATAAAACCGAAGGGAAAAAACTTTAACTAATTCGGATGTCTTTTTTATTTTTTCTTTTCAAGCCATTGAGCACATTCAACATTTGGTGACAATGAAGCATGACCTTAAAAATCAAGTGCGGGATCTTCAAACCATTCTTGGTGATCCGTATGTATACAATTTTTATATATGAAAAAAAAACAAAGTGGTCTCATTCCTTCAAACTAATATATATACTTTTCTTTTGTATACATATTTCCATGCGTTTTTAGAAATTATGAAGAAGATGTAAGTTAACTCGAAAATGAATTTAAAGTATGAAATTTAATGTCTTTTTTTTTATCCTAGTCATCCGATGATGACCAGTTTTACAAATGAGTCAAAAGATAGAACGATTCCCTTTGCTTATACATATATATATACTATTATTATTATTTATAAACTGCAATGTGATGGTTTGCTGGGCAAATCAATCATATATTCATTCAATCATCATCATCCATTCTTTGATTATTTACTCATATTTTATATAAAATCGATAAAAGTACTCAAAAACAGTGCCACCAAAGTTTATATAGCACAATGTATTAATGTTTTTATTAGAAATTTTACAAACAGATACTTTTTAATTTTCGGTGCGTGAACAAGCAAGAATCAACCATCAATGAACCCAGTATAGTGTAGTCAATGAGGATGATATTATTGGAACACTCATAAATAATGATATTTTTGAATAGAAAGAAATATCTGTTGATATCCATTGTTTATTAATCTTTATTTCTTTTAGTATCATACGAAATCCACCACTTATTTAAAACGTACTTCATTTTATTTTTATTTTTTATTTTTATTTTTTTCCTATTTTCTTTTTTTTTTTTATCTACTTTCTTTTTAATCGTAATATGGCTTTATTTAGCTATTACACTTTACTTGCATTCTATTTCATGTTCCAACAATACTTTCATTCTGTTTTTGACTTTCTATTTCGTACAATCATTTATATGATAATCATACTTCTCACTCTGATTTTCCCTTTACTGTTGATGACAATATACAGAGTGATGAGGTTCATTCTTTTTGGAAAGGCGCTTATTACCATGCGGGAAAGTGAAGCTGCTTGTTTATTTTATGGAATGCCGATCACCCTCGAAAACCAATACACCTGTTTAAAAAAGTTACGTAATGATTATGTGGACGGAGAATTGGTATTTGGTACAGACCAAGGTAAACCTGAGATCGTTCCTAAAGAATATATCCATCATGATAAAACTGATACCTGTTTACATCGCTACCGACCATGCAACTTGGCGTTCCTAAAGGCTACTGACTATATGAACGAATATCGAGACGTGGAGTCATCACCGTCTAAATTTTGTACAAATCGACCTCCACCCTTTCGATCATCAGCCTCTTATATTGCCATGTTACGCAATTGCCACGACAAATCTCTTTGATTCTCTCCATTAGGAAAGAAAAATAGTTAACACTCCAACAAGAATTTGAATGCTTCTCTATCCTATTTTTTTTTCTTTTCATTCTTTTTATTAGAAATATGAATATTCTTTGTTTGTAAATAAAGAGTAGCATCTGATAGTATTTTTAATCCGTCTACGGATCAAGATGAACCATTTCATAAATATTATTTTCATGATTTCCCTGATGGACACAAAGAACCCCGCCAGTCGCCCCTGAATAATAGATACAACAAATAAAAAAAAAAAAATAGATGGTAAACGCCATCGTAGCAACAAAGCTCATCTGATCTAGGAGAAGAAATAAATATCCATTACTTTGGGTCTAAATATACAGTTGAAACAACTATAGATCATGAAACTTTATTTACTAGTTAATTTGATTACAACTGTCAATCAGTATTTCTACTTTTTGTTATAGTTTCTAAATCACTGAAAAGATAAAAAGTCATACAATTTTAAACAATAACCAAATGATCTTAATAACCTAGTTAGAGAATGTATTGAATTGGGCATATTCTAGCCATTCATATCCTTATACCATCGGTCTGGATTCAATATAACAACAAAATTGTCAGTTTAGTAATCATATGAAGCAAAAGTTCTAGAAAATCAAGGAGAGGAACAAAGACAAAGAAAATATTGCATAAAGAGGTGATGAACAGGTAATTTGTCTATACTTTTAATCCACACACATAAATATAAACCATAAATATGGTCCAAGTTTAACTTTTTTATTTATGATCCCTTGATATAGATGGGTTTTCTTATTTTCGAAAGAGTAGGAGGCATGTCTGGTGATTATAAAATTTCCAAAAAAAAAAAAGTTGTCATCAGCATCCTCGAACCCTTCTTTTTTTTTTCTTCTTCTTCTTCTTCTTCCTTTTTATTTCATAATCATTATTTCTATTTCAGCTCTTGAATAATGTACCTTCCCCAGACCTTCATATTTCCTTCAAGTAGTCCAAGTATGGTTGATCAAAATGAGACTATCAACATGACTCCTGCACCTGATTCTCTCAAAGTTGGAAAAAAATCACGGTTTATCCATTGTATCTATTGCTCCAAGAAATTCAGTAAACCAAGTGCGTTGAAATCACATACTTTTACTCATACTGGTGAAAAACCTCATCATTGTCAAATGTAATGTCATTTTATTTTATTTTTTAGTATTCATCATATCATTAACATATACAGTATATGTAGTGCTGGATGCGGTCGTTCATTCTCTTTAATCAGCAATCTTCGTCGTCATATGAAAACCCATAAACGTCCTGAACAGAGGCTGCCATCCTTTCCTGTCCAGCCAAAGACACAAAATCGAATATTAAGGCCACGGTTAGCTTTTGATGATAAAAATGCTAGTCCAGAAAATTGGAATTTTCTACCTTGGTCGTCATCAACACTAAATTCATGCATGTCTTCCAATGGCAGTGGTAGTACTATAGGGCAAAATTGTTATTCTCTGCCATTAGAAAATGTATCCATCACTTCTACTTGTCAAAGGCCTTGCTTCTCATCATCATCATCATCATCATTACAATTATCACCCTATACTTTGACTAATAACACTATGTTGATGACAACCTCAGAAAACTACCATTTTTGAATGTTTATAATTCATCATGGTAAAAAAAAAAAAAAAAAAAAAAAAAAAAAGGTGATGTGTTTAGGCTAATCTAGCAGTTAAGACATATTTTCAGAAGTAATCGATCATTTACAGATAAAAGCCTTTTTTTCAATATGTGAATTAAAAAAGAATAAATAAATAAATAATAATAAACTGTTACTATATACAAGAATTTCTTTTATTAAATACTAAGCTTTTTTTGTACTATATCTAATACCATTCTTCGTCGAATACTGGTCATATCATCTTGAGAAAAATCAAATCCTTGATTTCGAGTCAATCTTTCTGCAAAAGTACAAGTAAATACACCACAATCAGAGGAATTGCCTTGTTGAGGGATATCGGATGCCATGATACCTTTCCAACCACTAGCGTCAAATGGAGTTTTCTTCTTGTCCATATGTTCCAATTCGAGATAGTTCATAATAAGCTATTTGATGATCAACAAAATACAAAAATTGAATTTTTCATTCAATCCAAAAAAAATTTTTTCTTTCGTTACCTTGATAGTTGGTCCATGGTGTTTTCCATTCAAAGAATCATAGATTGTGACATTCTTTCTCTTCATATCTACTACACCCAAAGTCCAATGATAAGATTTATTGATAGGTATCAAAAGTAAATGTTTATTAAATATATCCACTTTTTTGGTCCATCGTCTGACTTTGTCATAACCTTGATCACGTAAGGAAGAGCAAAAGAATGTATTGAAACAGTGAATAGAAGGTAAATCGACATTTGTTGAATGATTGTTGTTATTTGCACGGTCCATCAAAAGAACCATATAAAAGTTGATAATTTCGTCGTTCAACCAAGTTTCTGGGTATAATTTGTATATGTCCTTGAATTCCACAACAGCAGTTTTGAATTGAGATACCATGCCATTTTGATTTTTTCGTAAGATATTATCTACCTATAACCAAACATAGATAATAATATAAAGACATTAGAATAAAAAAAAAATTCATTGACTGTACTCCTTTCTTACCAATTCATTTTCTTCTTTAGTCAATTCTTTCACTCCTTTTGGTATTGGAATTTCAGTTTGAGTATATAAATAATCATATTCTTCATCATTATAAGGTCCATTGAGTATTGTCTATAAAGAAATGGTCAGTATAAACGTCTTAGTATAGTATCAAATAAAAATAAATCAATTCTTTCCTGTTCTTATGCCTTACATCACGCAAATCAAAGGCTAATCGACTTGACTTTATAATCTAATACAAAAAAAAAACAATACAGATCAGTTAATGATGCAGATAAATACAAATATATATATATATATATATTAGTTAATTTATTTACCTGACTTCGAAGACGAAAAGAAGGAGTTGGTTCAGCAATAGATTTGCAACTGGAGGAACCTTCATCTAAATCAAGAGCTTCCAATCTGTTAAGGAGAGCTTCTACAGATGCTGCATTACTGTGAATTGTTGAACTGTTGACTAAATGTGATGGTCGAGCTGGATCGTCATACTCTTGATTAGCGGAACTGTGGTCTGTAGGTATTATGTTGGTTGTTGATTGCCCTAACTTTTTGTGTTTTTCCTTATCACAAGAGAATACTGAAGAAGCCATAATATCTATAGAAAGCTGCTTTCGAGATTGATCTAAAGTATGTTGATACATGTCGCTCATCATCAACGACACACTACAGGGATCATCAAATTAAAAAAAAAAAAGAAAAGAGAAAGAAAGATATAAAAAATGACTGCACTATTTTTTTTTTTTGTTTTTTTACGAGTAACGGAAGTTGAAAAGTATACTGTTGCTTTCCAAAATAGGCGATTTTTTTCTTCAGCATGCTAAAAGTTTCTTCTTTTTTGCTTTTATCCGTTATATTACTCAGTATTGATCTTCATTGATTTTGTGATGTATTGTACTGATTTTATGAAGAGAAAGAAAAAGAGAAGATGCTTTAATGATATCACTATTGGTAATAATAACGGTTGTTGATCCAGAATCGAATACTGTATAGATGATTGTGAAGATGACCTTTTTTTAAAAAAAAGAAAGAAATACAGTTAGTTTATGTTCCAATGACTGCATATGATAGATCAGGAAAATGACAACCTAATAGCATCATATAAATTACTGTAAATCGAACAATCATCCATTCTACGTAAGGTAAAATACAGTGAATGGTTAGTGGTATTGTGTAACCAACAGAAGAAAACTCGGTTTTACTCATTTCCTTTTTTGAACTGTTTGTTTTTTTCATTTTCATTTTCATTAGCTTGTTTACATTATCCTTCTAATGGATTAATGGCCACTTTTTCTTTTAACTTCTAACATGATCATAATATGATTATTCCAGTAATCAATAGAGAAATTTTCAGTTAGAAGTGTGTTTGTTCAATACCATAACATTGTATTTGGCTTTGACATTGAAAATATCAAAAAACCGCGAATTCAAAAAAAAAAAAAAAAGGGTGCTTCTATTTTTACTTTGCCTAACAACCAAAGACAGCAACTACCCAAAGCCAAAAATAAATAAAAATAAAAAATAAAAGTTTTGCATTCGTTTTTAAAACTAAAAAAAAATTTTTTTTATCTTTTTCTTTTTATCTTTCTTTTTACTTTTACCATTTTTTTTTTCATTATCAATAATTATTTGTATATACATATTATCATATTTGGGTCATAATACCTCAATAACAATAGAATGACTCCTTCACTTAAATTCATATGGACAATATGCCTTTCTGGCTTGGCATGTTTCATTCTTTTATTTATAAAAATTCAATGGCAAACTACTGATTTTGTTATTCAAATCAGTAGTATACATAACAACAATTACTTTTCATCATCATCATCAATCAGTGACGAAAAATTCATTACTTATCTTCCTCATTCTGGATTACATAACCAACGTATTGCTTTGATTAATGCTATGGTACTTGCTAAACAACTAAATCGAACTTTGATTATGCCAGAATTAAATATGGGTCGAGCCAATTACTGGAGAGAATCTAAAAAATTGGAACGTCAACTTAGTGAATGTCCTTTACGAGCTACTATCAATAAGGCAGCAGTTGGTCATGGCACATCTTGCTCCGGCTATTCTCGTTATGTACCCAGCACTGTGTCCAATGTGTTTGATCTATCGGCGTTAGCGCCATTGGGGATTCGGGTGACACAAAGATACAACATGGGCTTGGACTATTTTGAACGTGTCTATGGTGCATCTCCTTCTGACATGGTATATATTCGTGATTCCAGTCGATTTTCTTATCGTATTTATGATCATCGTAACAATACAATGGATATTAAGAATTTTGAACAAAGAATCGATATTGAAGATTTACAAGCACGATCGGAAAAGATCATGGTATTTGGATCTCTTTTCAGTTCCTTCCGTTTGGCTTTGGAAAAACCAGAGTGGGTGTGGCTTTGGGATCATCTTTTCACAGAAGTAGCTTTTCATCATCCTACTGTTATTCAACAATCTTTAGATATTATTGGTAGACTTGGTGGTCCTGGTCAATTTGTAAGCGTTCATGTACGAACAGGTGATGGCGTCTTCAAGCATGTTATGGATCAAACCTTTGAACAAGTACGATCCCGTTTATCCTCTAACATGGATAACAATGATTTGGCGGTGAACGATACAACCTTATCATTAGATACTCTTGATTCATTAGAATCTATACAAGATCCTACTGGTCGATTAGATGCTTGTTTACGATTACAACCACTAAATCCTTTTATCTCCAAAACCAACAGTACTCTCAATCCTCGATTACGACTTATATATATGGCAACAGATGCTCCTGATCCTCGTCGTACTTTACATCTTCTTTATACTGAATTTCCATGTCTTTTCTCATTATCGGATTTTCCTGATGTTATCACCAATACATTATCAGCAACAGCTCTTAGTCCTTTTGTAGAAGATCAACAACCAAGTCGATTAGGTCCTCTTTTGTTCCCTTTGATTGATGCTGAAGTAGCTTCTCATGGTTCAGCCTTTGTCGGTACAGCTAAATCTACCTTTAGTAAATATATCTCATATCGTAATAATCGTTTTTTAAATTTTTATCCAATTCCTAAAGAATTGTAAAAACATTGTATATTATTCTTCTTTTTTATTTTATCATATCATTCTTTTGTATATATATATTTTTTTTCACTTTCTATTTACAAAATAAATAAAAAAAAAACTTTCTTTTTTTGACTTGAACCGCTTAACCAATCATCATTGATGACGGAAGAAATAAAAAAGATTTGCCGGAACTCTTTTCATATGAGACAAAAAAAAAAAAAGTTTTGTGGAGAATCTTGAGGATGATTGGAGAATATGGAAAGAATCGGAGTCATCGTTAATATAAAAATTTTACTTATCTCTTCTTTTTTTTTCTTTTTTTTCTTTTTCTTTTCTTTACCTTCTTCTTCTTCTTCTTCTGCTTCTCCTCCTCCTCTTCTTCTTCTTCATTTAGACATCTCTTCTTTTCTTATTATGAAGTTGTTCAAAAGTATTCATGATTATAACTACCAATGGGATCTTGTATCAGCGGCAAATTGGCAAAAATATCCCAATGAAAATTGTCCCCATGTCCAACATGTAGATGTTTTAAATCGTACTGTGGATCCTGAAACTGGTATTTTGACAACTGAACGTTTGATTACTGTTGAACAATCAGTACCTAGATTTATTCTAAAGGTAAAAAAACAAAAAAAAAAAAAGCAATTGAGACTCTATACATATACTAAACTAATATTATAGTTACTTGGTGGTGATACTACTCAATATGTACGAGAAATCTCTGTTATTGATCCAAGAAAGAAAACTTTATCTATGGAAAGTGTTAATCTTACAATGTCCAACTTTTTATCAGTTCATGAATCCATTGAATATAAACAACATCCTGAAGATATTAATAGGTAAGAAATAAAATAAATAAATAAATAAAAAAGGAAGGAACTATATAGATATAACTAATCAATGAATTACGATTTACTCAATACAGAACACAATTCTCTCAACAAGCAGCTATTACTGCTGGAAGCGCATTATCAAGATGGGGGAACATGTTAGAAGATTTCTCATTAAAACGATTCACGGAAAACGCATCGATTGGTCGGGAAGGATTTACTCAAGTCTTGGAACGTTTTGTGGTTATGGCTGAAGCAAAGGAATCCTCTCCATCTTGTCAATAGTTTTTAGTTACTCATTATTGTTATTATTATTATTATTATACTTTATAGATTTCATTCTTCTTTTCATTCATACTATTTTTTTTTTACCCTTTTTTGCATTTATTCATTATATTCAATTGTACAGTTTTTATATATACTTATATAATAAAATATCACCTTTCATCATATTACAAAGTCAAATGGTCTTTTTTTTTTCTTGTTTTATTTATTTTTTTTCTTGATGATTGTAATGAATGATAATAATAGATGGTACTAATAAAAAAAATAATATGATGTATATCTATATAAAAGAAAGAGGAGAAAAATGAAAAAAAAAAGAAATGCAAAACATGATACTCTAAGCTTTGATGGGAGTGATTGATTTATTTTCTGTTTGTTTCCTTTCTTTTTCCTTCAAATCTTGTTCCAACTTGGCCTGAAATAAAGGTTTCCATTGTGATTGTGATGCAGCCTATTATATATATACGTTGATAATGGTGAGTGAATGTATCATATTTTTTCCTATTTAAGCACTTACATAGCCAGGGAAATCATAATCAATGTTCAATTTTTTCAAAGCAGCACGTTTCTTGTCTTCCTTCTTCACTAAAGAATCAGCATGTTTCAAATAATATTCCATATCATGATCTTTGTTGCGTTTTTCAGCATATTGTTCCCTAGGATTTTGAATCTTCTTGATTTTTTTGCCTGCAATTTTGAATGTTTTACGGTGACGTAGTTCAAGAGGTATCACTTTACATTGAAGAAGTCGTCCATCCAAAAGATAATTATCCATTGTTTCAGCTACAATTTCAGCCACATCCTGAGCCAAGAATTCAATAAAACCATAGTGTCGAGATTTACCATACTTGTTTCGACTGATACGAAGATTTACAATGTCACCGAATTGTTCAAAATAAGTACGCATATCTGATTCTGTGAATGAAGTAGGAATACGACCAACATATACCCAACCTGTTGTTGAAGATGGTGAAGTCGTAGAAGTGGATCGTTTCTAAATAAAGAAATACATATAAACATCATCCGTATCTTTTTTTTTAATATTATATATATATATATATATATTTACCTTGGTTTCAAGTGGTTTTTTGTTCTTTGTCAAAGGTACAATATTAGCATTTTCACCAATAAAATCATCTTGATCATCATCCGAACTGTCTTCGTCGTCGTCTTCTTCTTCTTCGTCATCATCAACTAGATCACCCAAAATTTCTTTGCGTAAAGCTTCTTCTTGTTCTTCAGTCAAAGCTTCCAAAACGGTATCATTAGCAACCTCAGGTTGTTCTTCTTCTTCTTCTTCTTCGTCCGATGAGACTAATTCTTCCACTTGCGTAGTGTCCTTCTTATTGTTGGTGTTGCGAATAGCAGGCTTTGCTTTCTTTTTAGTTTCTTCTATTTGATCATCGGTATCTTGGACCTTACGCTTCAAAAGAGCCTTATCCTTGTGGAATGTCTTGACTCGTTTCTCTTGAGCAAAGGTGACTTTTTTATTGTTTTGAGTACTAGTAGTAGTAACATTCGAATCTTTTACATTCTTCGATTTTTTGATATTATTGTTGTCTTTATTGGTGTTGATCTTCTTAGCAACTGGCATGGTGTTTTAACGGTTGATCAAATATTAAAAAAAAAAAAAAAAGGAAAAGGGAAAAAAAAGATCTCATTTTTTGCATCCAGTCCTTTTGATGCAAAAAAAGCCACATTTTTTAACGATTGAGCTTGAAAACCACACCTAAAAAAGAAAGACGACAGAAAGGAAGATATTAAAAAAAAAAAAAAAACCAAATGATCTGATTCTCATAATTCTTAATATAAAAATAAAACTTTTTTAAATGTGAAGTAGTTTTTTTTATCACAAAAAAATAAAATAAAATAAAATAAAATAAAAAAATAGGAGCATAAACACTATATTTTTTTTATTTATTATTCGTCAGAATCATCATCACTAGATGATGAATCACTTTCGCTACTAGATGAAGATACACTTTCACTATCACTACTCTCGTTGTCATTATTCTTGCCGGTCATTTTGTTGTCGTCACCACTGCTGCTATTGTCATTGTCGCTACTGTCGCTAGTATCACTGCTATCACTGTCGCTACTCTCATCATCATCAGTATTGTTGCTAGTGCCTTTATCGCTATCTTCATTTTTAGCAGTTGTTACAGTTGTAGGGAGCTTGCTTGACTTTTTTGCTTCATATGCTTCCATTTCTCGTTTGAATCGTTCCTTGTCATCAAGTGCCATTTTTGTATACTTTGCTTTTTGTTTATCAGACAACTTGTTCCACATTTCTCCAATTTGACGAGCAATATCACGAGGTGAAATATTTGGTTTTTTCTTGACAATACTTTCTCGTACTTCATTACTAAAGTGAATATAATTACTCACATTACGATGAGGAGCATTTGGATCCTTGATTTTTTTTTCCTTGACTGTACGCGGTCTTTTGGTATCGATTTTGCTGTCCAGTTCCAAAAATTCACATGACTGAAGAAGGTTGGATAAAGTTTGAAAGTTTTTTGCCACAAGTTGACAAGCTTCATTAATATCTGATTTTCTTTTTGTCATCTTGTATAAAAAAAAAAATAATAATAATAAAAGAAAAATAAAATAATAAAAGAAAAAGACTTGAATAATAATAATAAAAAAAAAATAGGAGAAAATGGCCACATTGAACCGCGTACATATATTTTACCCCAGCTACATGATTGTCCGACCTACCGGGATCCTTCCCATTGAAGAAACTGTTGAAACTCTACTGTGTGCTACCATCCAATTATTCAAAATGATAAGATTCAATTTTTTTTTGCTTTATTGAATAACAATATATTTTATTCATCGCATGTTAAAGCAATGGCACTAAAATTTGATTCTTCAGGATCACGTTCCATAAATCCTTTCATCACAATTGCTGCATCCTAAATAGATATATAATAAAAAATAAATAAATAAATGAGTGTTTCATTTTCTTCTTCCATACATCATTAATATATATTATAATCCTTACATATAACAAAGATTGCTGGATTTTGCCATGATTGATTGGAAAAGCTTGACGACCATCCAACTCATATAATTGATCATTGATTTCCACAAAACAAATAAAGTGTAAATAAATTTGTTCTTCCAAACTAGGAGCTTCAGTTTGACCTTGTTGAGCTCCATCCGAATGTACTTGCGCCAATTCAGCACATCCTTCCAAATAAGTTGCCCGTTCAGCTGGTGTCATTCCTTTCGTTTCTTTGATGATTTTTGGGAAAAGTTTTTTATCATCATTGGTATTGATAACATCATCATTATTAGCAAGAGAGTGAAGTAATCCAATCATCCCGCATGCATTGGAGATAGTTTGTTTGAAAAAATGAACATGCTTCGTATCTTCATATATTGTCGGTTGTTGTTGAAGCACAGTTTTTTCTTGATCACGTCGATAATTTTCATAAGCTTCGGTAATAGGAAATAAAAAGATAACTGCCTTCACTGGTTGTGGTACCATAGCTAATAACTCAGGGTCAAAACCTATATATAATAAATAGAAAAGTAACATTTAAATACCTTTTTCACTTAAAATCATCCTTTTTACCATAAACATCTGTATAGCTCCACTTTGAATCGACACCATGTTGTTGAACAATCTATTCAAAAAAAAAATAAGGATACATTGAGACTTTTTACTAGTCCAAACTAATTTGAACGCGTCAGTCTCCCTACCTTTGTCCAAATCTATCGTAAAAAAAAAAAAAAAAAATCAAATTGAATATAAGCTTATGGTCATAAAAAAGGAATAGTGTTATATTCTTACATCTGGATTGGCCTCAAGAGGTAACCACTTGATTTTTTGCTTTTCAATTTCAATAACCATGAATACAAAGATATATAGATAGGTATGACGAAAGCAATACTAGAAACTTTTTCTGCAAACTTGTGGTCTGTCAAGTGAGTTCATTTTTTAACACTCCGTCTTTTCTTTAAAAAATAGCCAATAAAATCGCCTTTTTCCTGCTGTCCTGGGTAACTCGCCAAAATAATTCTACAAGCCAAAGACAACTACAAGCGTCTCAAACAACATTCACAGATTAGTTCCTCTGACACGAAATACCTTTTTTTTTAAAAAAAAATGCACATAATATATATTTTATACTATTGTTATTTTATTTCTTTAATTTCTTTAATTTGTCTGAAATAAAAAGTTGTTTTATATTTGATCCAGTCTTTTGTTGATTCTAGTTGATGATGGATGATGGATGATTACTTTGTCATTTACTATTCTTACTTCTCTTGAACTATTATGATAAAAAAAATATTACATTTCTTACCTTTCATTTAAAATAAAAACTTGTTTGATATCTAAAATAATCATAGAATCGTAGCTGTTTAAAGTCATGCACGTCAATTTGGACAGTCTTGCCAGTATGCATAAAGAAGTCTTTTTTTTTTCTTTACGAAAAATGTAATATATTGGTAATGGATGATGACTGAATATAAAAGTTTTGCTGAAATTTATTCGACTATATGAAAAAAATCAATTTTATTGGCTATTTTTTTTTTTTTTACCTTGGGGGGTGAGAACAACAATTTCCTTTTATGTCTCTACTTTACTTTTATTGGCTAATTTTCAACTCCAGCTTGGGAGGAGGGGTTGGGAGGATGGCATCGTGAGAGCACCCTGAGGGGGAGGGGTGAAAATAAGAATTCACATTTTTTATCATCATCGTAGTTATTTTTTATTCTTTCTTCTCTCTATTTTTATTTTACATTATCACCTCATTACTTCCCTTCCGAATAACATTGTTTCTCTTTTGTCACGCCAGAATGTAAAACACAGTTTAAGAAATTAGTATAAAAGTAACTACTATTCGATTGAAATAAATAATTATCTTTATCACGAAAAATAGTCTTATATATAAACTTTTATTTTATCTTTGGTTTTCTCTTAGTCTCTCTTCCCGCTAACAACATGACAAAAAGACACAGCGCCGCTTTCAATATGGTCGCTCATAATTTTTAACTCTTATTCTAGCACACATACTTCGAATTTCTTCCCTCAACTAGCAGTAGCAGCAAAGTCCAACATCAACCTATCAAGATCACTGGAAGCAATGCAAACGTGATTATTGCAAAAGTCGATTTTTATTATATATAATGAATTTGGATGCAACGACAAAGTAAAGATCAGCTTTGACCACCACAAAGGCATCTTTGGCACAATGGCGATGTTGAAGTCAATTGCGGATCAATACCCATATGCAGTAGTCAACCTATTTGGCAAGATCAAGGTTTTCTTCTTACATGGTGCAGGTAATAACTAAGACTTGTACAATCAATCGCGTTGCTTTTAACTTTTTTTTTCTTGCCGACCACAGATGATCAACTACACTTGTGGAGTCTCTCTTTTAAGCATGATGGAATATACGAATTGTTGAGAGAAACACACTTAACCATTTTACCATCATTTGATGACAAGGCCGACCTATTACCTGACTTACTACGGTTCTACTGGACAATGAATGTAAGTCATGAACCCGAAAAAAAAGAAAAAACATGCATACTTGTATGCAGTGAAATGTATACTATACATTATTTTCCATTCATTGATGGAAAATGATTCTTTTTTCGTTTGTAGGAACTTGTAAAGGAATGTATTCAGAACATTGCCGAACTCCAAGAAAGCCATACGTCGTATCTAGACTGATATTATTGTGTAACTTTAAGATTTCAGCTTCTTGTCATTTAAGATTGGATTAGAATAGTTTTTTCTCTTTTTTCTCTCTCATTCAATTCTTATTGAAATAAACATAACCAAAGTCTCATCGTATTTTCGATTTGTCTTTTTTTCTTATTTTATATTTTCTCAATCCAATCAACTATCTTAATGGCAAAGGGATGACCGACCTTGGACCCTTTTATTCTCCTGTCCATTCACCTCTTCAGTCGCCTATCCTATCTCCCATCAATATACCCGAAAGCCTCAACAACGACTCTTGATTACATTGTATATTCCTTTCGTCCGAATTTCTTTGCCCTAAACCTTTTCTTATATATTATTTGTTTTTTTCTATTCATTCCATTTTAGTTTAGTTTTTATATTACTGGGTCAAGGCGCCCTTTAATCCTCTTCTCTCTTTTTTTTTTATGTTTCTTTTTCGATCTTTTTTATTCATGCCTTGACCTTAAAAAAATAAAAAAGGTTTTAAAAATAGATGGATGTCTTTGTGTCTGTGACGATAGTCATCATTCTATCCTTTTTCATGATAGCAGCTACAAATGTTGTAAGGGGTTGGATCCAACGTTCGTGAAGCCGATGATGTTCATTACCTTATAGAATTTCATTATTGGATGGCTATGTTCAGCAACCCCTTCTAAGTCCAGAAGCTCCAAAGCGTCGGCATCCAACGCTGTACCTGCGTGAGCAGACACTATCATTAATTGAAGTTCATTATAATAGATCAACATTGCCGATGGATATTTCTTCGGATTGATAACGATTCATTGATCATCATCCATGCTCAGCACAGTAAAAAAAAAAAAAAAAAAAAAAAAAAAAAGGAATTATAAAGACATATGTTCACCTATTTTCCAATAAAAAGTCCGGAGTCTGTGGGGGCCATCAGCATTACATACTATACTGTTAGCTTTGATTTATCTAGTTTTACACCTTCTGCTGTAGTTTGTAGTTCCACTCACATTCACAGTATGCTTTGGAACAGCAGAATAAAATAGACCAGTTTCATCATAGTTATATATGCGTGGAACATCTTTTAGCTCCTTTTGCATAACTTTGCTTTAAACGCAACGTCCTTCTCCATTCGGGAGCACTGCGATATTCGCCAAGTAAGATTAGCTCTTTTCAAGTCATGTCGAACCAAGAATCGCGTAACGCAACCTGTAGTCAAATTTAGTGCGAGGAAAAATTAAATCAACTTTGTAGTGTAAAACGCGTTATCAAGTATTCGTAGTTGCTGCAGAAGAATGTTATACGAGTTGCTTGTCATAAATCCAACCAATCAGACACTCCTACTCTTTTCAACTGATCTAATTTTCGGGTTACATCAACTGGGTTTCCCCCTATTTTTATTTGGAGATTCAAAAAGCCACTATGTTAGAAAGCCACTTCCGACTAATCTGGCCAACTTTTCGCCTTCCACTTATTTTTACCTTTTTTTGCAGGCACATTCTTTCTTATCTTATCCGTCATGTCCACAACGCCGAAAAGTGAAGAAAGTGATAATTACTCTAATGACGGAAACAATAAAAAACAAGTTGAACTTGATAGCTTCATCATAGATCTGTTAAGCAAGCCTTCAGAAAGGATGTTTCTTTTGAAGTTAGAACAAGACTTGATGCAATTTATCAGAAATCATCAGCAAGTATCCTTAAAAAAATATATATATCCAGTTTATATTTAGCAAAGCATATTCATTTATTTATTTTTTTTTTTACTGACCTTTATTACTATCATTATCATTATGTTTATTTTAGAATGTATCGATTAGATTTACCTCAAATGAATTCATATCAAAGACTTATGGTTCATAAAGTGGCTCCCTATTTCCATCTTAGTCATTTTTTTGACCCTTTACGACAATCCATTTTTTTATGTAAAAACCCTCATACGGATGTGTAAGTTATGGTCTAGGATTTACTATTAGAAAAAAAAAATAAAAATAAAATGCGAATATTAAGGGAATTCGTCTTTTTTTTTTCAACCTAATAGGCCACCAGCTAGCTTTATAGACTTAGTTAGCTCACCCGAAGAGCAACAACAATCACAGCAATCTACTTTTAAAATCATGAAAAGGACACCGTTATCATCACAGCATCAACGTCGAAGGCAGCAACAAGATAGTAATCAACAAGATATGTCAATAGAAGAACGAAAAAAAGGAATGACTTATGAACAAAGAAAAATGGCTTATGAAGAGGCAAGAGCTAGGATATTTAGTGATTTGGAAGAACAACAAACACAACAACCATAGCATCTATCATTTAACACTATATTACCCATGTTTGACCTGCAAAAAAGTTGGGAGGATTATTTATTATTTATTATTTAAAAATGTTGTCTTCAATAAACCAATATTATGCTTTTTGAACATCAATAAAGAATCCATAGTATCTATCTATCCTTCTACATATATATATATATATATATATAATATGATTTCTTTCTTGTTGATTTCCTTCATGTGAATTATAGTTGAGGGAAAAAAAAAAGACTATTGTTATATTCTGTCACTACTATGCTAGGAGAAAAGGTACAGAAATATCGGCTTATCTTTTTCTTTTTTCTCTGGTCACACACACACAACAAAAGCGGATTTTGGAATCACACAATCACAAAATTGAGTTGTTCCATATATTTTTCCCTTTGAACTACTTGTCCTACTGATGGCGTATAAGAAAGGAACCCAAGCCTGGTCATCAAATTTGCGAAAATATGTAATAGTTGCTGTTATCTTTTTTATATTTTATTCGTTTGTTATTTCTCCTTTACGCAACTCTTCAGGGCAACAGCGACTCAGTCAATTTGGCAAAGACAAAGGAGATATCGATCAACTACCTGACGATGTTGATTATCATCTTAAGGACATAAAACTATCGAACCTGTCACCAAATATATTACAGCAAAATCAACAACAACAAAAGGAAGAAGATATTCTTCAAAGACAAAGTGTATTCGACAGTACCATGTTCTCATCATCTACTAATGATGATCCTCTGAAACCTATCACTGCCATCTTACTAAGGAAAGCCAACGACGAGCAAGCTATTGAGCATCTTATTCTACAGCTATTGAGATATCCTTTCTTTCGAGAAATATTCATATATAACACCATAACAAGCCGACCCATAAACGAGGTATTACTATAATATTGCATAGCCATGTTGATCAAAGGGGATAGAATACTCACTTTTATATAAAATTCAATAGCGATCATTTGCCGATAAGAATGTAGATAATATAAAACTACATATCATCAACGTGTCTAAAAATGAACGACTGGATACACTATCTAGATATACTTTATGTGCATCAGTGGCATCTTATGATCACTGCTATTTCCAAGACGATGATGTTGGTATCTATGATGGCAAGAACATAGATGATACTGCTTTAGGAAATCCAGTTAATACCTACTGGGATACTCTTTATGTCAATTTCTTACGATATCCCTCATTGATTCACGCCAATGTTCAACCGTCTCGGTTCATTGATCATTATCGGTGGCGATTCTATAATCAAGGTATGTAATATGATTATTATTTTTTTATAAAAAGTTACTGGCTGTACAAGGAGTAAGGAAGAGTATATAGTTCGACCATTATTACTAAAACCTTGAAAACGTTTTTTTTTTTAATAGGAATCAAAATGCATGCTGGTTTTGTCGATTTAGCGTTCGGTGCTATTGTTCCAAAATGGAAGGTACAACACTTTTTGACGCAGCTAGGTAAATCTGGATTAGGTAAAGATAGAATTTATGAGGCCGATGCCTATTTTTCTATTTGGTCGAATCAATATCCATGGCTTCTCGATAATCCCCTTCAAAATTCAAGTCCTACTGATGGTTTGATATCAACCACAACATCTGATAGCGATAATGATGTATCGACCTTTGAAAAAGTGATGTGGCCTAGTCCCCATATAGGAGACACAAGACGGATGATATATGACGCTGCACGTAGGCTTCATCGTACCTTGTTATCCGATTTGACTGCTAATCCGAAAGACTATATGGACCGTATAGAAGAAATGCCTCCAATGCATCAACGAGATACTCGGTAAAGTAAAATGATACAAGGAACTTTTACAGAATTTCATACTTATTACTATTATTGATTCTAGAGCATCTTGTATCAACGATCGGTGCTTGTTTATTTCAAACATTGATCCCATTCCATCAGAGCAATTGGATATGATACCAGCCTTTGATAAAGCCAAATATACAAACCCTAAGGATTGGGATAATGTGTTAGATGAATATTTAGATCTACCTAATAGTGATACTTGGATTGATGAAGGTTATCACAATGCTGTGGATCAAAGAAATGACACCTGTTGGAATACTAGATCCAGTAAGTATCATTTTTATTCGAAAAAAGAAATGGAAATAAAAAGCAACTGATAATCAACAAAAATTATTATTATTATTATTTGTAGATCCTCAAGTCAATGATTACTTTGGATTAATCACACTTGGTAATGGTTTACCTTCTCAAGTGGTAATAACAACTTCTACCAGTGTTCCTGCTATGACACCTACCAATCAACTATTTAAAGTCAGTCGCTTGGAAAATAAAAACGATTGGCTGGAATGTAACATCCTACATCATTCAACATCTGCTAATCCCACAAACAATATTGAAAAAACGATCATCACAGATATTCGTCTAGATATTGATTGTAACTATGAAGAAAACGATCAACAAGATAAACAATATATACATGATGCCATTCATGCTCTCAAGATCACTTTTTTACAAAACTGGAAGCAATCTTTTAGCTTATGTGGAATGTCTATCAATTCCCTCACCATCTGAAATAAACACTTTCATTCCCCCCCCCGACATTGTTCCTTTTGTGAGACTACTATTTTCAATTTTATGCCATAACATCGGGTTGACTGTGATGAAAAAAAAAAAGGCAAGACAATATAATAATAAAAAAGCACTGTCAAGAGAGAAAAGAGGAGAAGAAAAGGGTGCCAATATTTTGTGGCGGATTTTAAGGGGAGTCGGTACTTTAGAGGTACTTCCAAGTCACTTTTATAGCAATTGGAGGTACTGCCAAAGCCCGTCAAAATTGTGAGGTATCTTATAATCTTTTTTTTGTTTTCCTTTTTCAAATAATAATAAAAAAATCCTTATTACGCAATATCTACTCTACTAAGCGGCTTTCCTCATTTCCATGATGTTAATGCAGACATCACCATTTCCTCTCCCCGTATTAACGTGTAATTGACATTGCTGCCATGGATGTAGGGTGGTGTCTTAAACGCCAGAAGAGCTGTTTTACGGCCTTCCAGTGGTAAAACCGTCACCAAGTTATGTCTCGGTTCTGTTCAGTGTATCCAAAAGGGCTGTTCCTTGTATCAAGTCGACCAAAGACCCCGCTCGAGTGTACAAGCAATCGAAAAGCAGTGTGCAGTAGGCTGCAAGCACTGCGGAGAAAAACTGACGCATGTTGTTTGTGGAGTGAGAGTGAAGTTTCAGTTCGGCGAAGATACTTGTCGTATGTTCTGCGAAACTAAAGAGCATTCTCATACACATGGAGAATTCCCTCCCGTGCATTTGCATAAAAAGAACGTTGAGGAACTTGAAAAAGTAGTACTCACCTATCCAGATGCCACAGCAAAGGTACTAGTTGTTGGTACGCCCTCTGACATTGGGGTGATCAAGCCAGTCAGATCAATTCTCCCTAACCTGCAGAATCTTGATCGAACAAGATACGAACGCAGGAAGATCATGAAGTTACGTGGATTGCAACAATCAATGCAATTATCCGTCAAAGATCTCTTGGCCTTGCAACAAGAAAATCGCGAGATCTTCAGAGTATGCAATGTTCACATAGATAACTTCATGATCTCTTTAAAGTCGAACTTGGTGGAAGAACTTTTTTAAAGATCAGTGAGCTTCCCATGCTAACTGATGTTGTCTTCAAGGTCTTCCAGGACTATGGTTTCTGTTCCTCAGTTATCTACAGTAAAGAACTGGGACGACATGTCTTGATCTACGCCGCTGTCATACGACATTCAAATGCTTCTACATTTGATGTACTCAATATTGCAGCCCACTGTTACAAAGTAAGTAACCCTCAAAACGTTTTTGCACCTTCTTACTCACTTTCTCTCTCTCTCTCTCTCTCTCTCTCTCTCTCAGGTTAGGAAATGATCGATTGACTCTTTTAGCTGTTACATATTGTCATATTAGATATAAAATATATCTGAGAATAAATTAATAAAAACTCATCTTTCTTTCACATAAAAATTCTCACTATACTACAATATACTTTCGGAATTACAAATAAACAACCTTCATCTCTTTCGAAGAACAAAAATCACACAAATATTACATGGTGAAACTACCAGGAGGACTGATGGCTGACTATGATTTTCAATTTTTTCTTTCGTTTATTTCTTTAGTTTTTTTTATTTTATTTTATTTGAACCGTGACACTTCACGGTAAGTGCATTCTTTTCTTTTTTTTTTTTTTATGTTTTTATATGTTTATGATTCTTATACTATTAATAAATTATAGGTCACGTTCTTGACAGGAGTCGATACTATAGCTTACAAGCCTCACTCAATCCGTTCAGCATCAAGTACAAAAGCAGTGGAAAGAGGTCATTCGGTACAAACAGTCAAAGAACATGCCAACTGGAGCTTGAACACAAACACATTTGAAAAATACTACTACAAACCGTCTACGCAAGAATCATCTAGTACTGCAATCACCAATTCAATTTTATCATCAGAAAAACCTATCACATTGGAAGTCGGAGTGGAGCCAACTGAGATTGTCATAGGAACGACTTACAATCAAAATGTTGGCGAAACGAAAACAGAAAATGTGATAGATGCCCGCCCTTGGTATCGTCGTCTGCTTAATTAAAAAAAAATTAGTATTAAAAACACACAACTTTTTCCGGGATGGTTATCGCCATCCTACTTTCACTGCAGTGAGAAATTGCTGCAGTGATCTCGATACTTGTTTAGGCGTTCGCGCTTAAATTGTAAGTGAAATGAAAAGATATCATCTGTATAAATATCACTCATTTTTTATTTTATTTTTTTTTTCTATATGCTAACTTGGTGAACTCAACTGGTGGATTTCTTTTTTTTTTTTTTTTTTTTTGGTGGCTCTTTTTTCATGATATCTATTTTCTTATATTCTCTATTTGACTATGCGTCAACTCTCTCTTTTCTTCTTTCTACTCTTACTATATATTTTATTTCCTATTTTTGCGACATCTTATTTTTACAGTGTTTCCAGAGTTAGATGGCGCATGGGGGGAGAAAAAATGGCGTCCTATTTGATTTTTGGATGGCGGAGTTTTTGATGCTAACCTGGCGTATACTTTGAAATCTACTTGTCGCATGAATACGTCCAATCTACCATGGCGTTCTAAGGTACTCTTACATTTTTTTTTGAATGATAATAAACGCTCTGGCGCTCCGCTGGAGCTTTTCTAAATCGAAGATTTGTGTGGACTGTAGATTTTCTTTGGAAGGTGTGGATTATAGATTCTTTTTGGAAAATGTGGATTATAGATTCGATTGGAAGGTGTGGATTATAGTTTTTTTTTTTTTTTTTTTTTGAAAGAATATGGACTATTGATTTGACGAAAAGATGTGGATTATACATTTGATTGGAAGATGTTGATTATTGGTTTGATGGAAAGGTGTGGATTATTATTTTTTTTTTTTTTTTTGTTTTTGAGGGAGGCGTGAATTATTGATTTGATGGAAAGATGTGGACTACAGATTATCTTTTTAGAGGATGTTTTCATTAATCATCAATCATCATCACTAACATCGTCAAGAGGAGGAGAAAATAATTTATTGCTTTATTGGATATTGAATATATTATAAAAAAAAAACTATAGAAGGACGTCGCGATATACAATATTGGCAGTTTGTGGTTGAGAATTGCGAACTGGTTGTGGGGTTGCCGCTCGAAGATTTGACGGATCTCTTGATCGTGAGAGAGAGCTACATACAGTTGTCCATGGGCAAACACTTGATCTTTCAGATACAGCATCATGAAAGTAAATCTATCGTAAAAAAAAAAAAAAAAAAAAAGAGGTTAGTGGATGATGATTTGATTTAAAAATATTAAATTTATATACTTGCCTGAGAAAAATTGAAACTACGAGCAGAGGTTTAAGGATTAATACTTGTCTCTTATTCACAACCGGATGTCTTTTTTTTATCTTATTGGTTGGTAACGAAAAAAAAAATACATACTAACTTCGCATTTCTTTTTTCTTTAATTCGGTAATATTGCAACCTTGCGTTATATTGGTATGAATACAGAGAATGATCAGCAGGTATCCTAATCTCAATAATGTTTGTAGTTTCAACAACATAAACAGTGATCAGTATCGATCGACTATCTATCACGGATATACCAGGTTTATTCACCAACGTCGATAAATATCCGTGATATATTATCCGTCAGCATCGGTGGGTACTGTACATAAACGGCATCATCATCACGATCTTTGTGAGCATGATAAATTGTTCACAGTAGGACTTATAGGCAAATGTGTCGTATCTAGACTGATATTGTGTAACTTTAAGATCTCAGCTTCTTGTCATTTAAGATTGGATTGGAATAGTTTTTTCTCTTTTTTCTCTCTCATTCAATTCTTATTGAAAAAAACTTACCAACAGTCTCATCGTATTCTCGATTTGTCTTTATTATCATTTTTTGTTTTATTTTAATCCAATCAACTATCTTAAAATGGTATATTTACAGCTATCACATATAATTCTTATTCTCCTTCTCTTGCTTTATTGTTTAGTGTGTCATCGAATTTTTTTTTCACCATTCCACTATATGATTTGTTACAGACAGTACGAATAAGGCAAGACGAAAAAAAAAGATAAGTGTTGTGTTTCTAACATCAACCTTCCTCTTTTTTTTTATCATCTTAAGTAAATCATGCAGCGAGTCTGAGTCAGAATTACCTTTATTTTATTTATTTACGTCTCCTTGTTTTTCTTTTGTTTTTTTATCACTTTTTTTATCACTTTCTCTTCTTCTCTTTTTCTTCCTCGTCATCACGACCTTTTGTTACGGTAGTTAGTCTCTCCTTGTTTAGTTTAGAGTATCAATATATTGTTTTATTTCTATAATGTAATATTGTGGAAAGACATGGTAAATAATAATAATAATAATAATAATAAAGAGAATTCTACATAGGTTTATCACTAAATACTTGATTTTTTTTTCTAGCTTTACCTAAAGATCGTCAAACTTTGTTATACAGTGCAACATTCCCCAAAGAAATTCAATTATTGGCAAGAGACTTTTTACGACCTGGTCATTTGTTTTTGCGAGTTGGTCGTGTTGGTGGAACCACTACTAATATGACTCAAAAGGTTTGAATAAAATGAATAGAAAGAAGAAGATGATATAGAAAAACGCTTAACAAGATTCTTTTTTTTTATGGGAATAGGTGATATTAGATACTATTGAACGGCTACTTATAGAATCATCAGGGTAAGAAGGATATATACAGTATATATCTAAAGAAAAAATCATAGGTAAATAATTTATATGTATATGTTTGATAGGGACGACTCGACTAACCCAGAAGCAAACAAAACGACAGCAACAATCAAATAGCATCATTTCTGTCTTCGATGGTGGCTCCGTTGATATTAGCTGTGGCAAGCCACTTGAAATGTGAAGGACCAGATCAGATTATTGAACGGATGTATTCAACCGGGACGACTACCAGAAAGTGTGATTCACCGTGGCAATCCTTCACTGAATGCTTGGACGTATTCCCTGGAAACTCTCTTTATGAAGTCATCGTCCAGTAAGTCTTTTTATATCAAAAAAAAAAAAAAGGATACATGGACATGTCTTTCTCATACTTTTTTTTTTGATCATCTATAGGGATTTCTACTATTTGAACGTATACCAAGTGATTATTAACTTGTCTACTGTTGGAGAAAAACCTTTTTCGCCTCTTTAATTAATTTTTTTTATTTTTATTTCCTTCTTGTCCTTTTTCCCTCTCTCAGGCCTTTTTCCTGTTACACGCTTCCTTATTGATGATTATAATTTTTTTATAAATAGTGTAGACTTTTAGTTTTTTTTTTTTTTAGTCGTCAATCTTTAAAATAAAAAAAGAAAAATATTATTTTATCAAATATAAATCACTTTGGCCACTCTATTGGAAATAATCATCCATTGGTTTTAATTATATTAACAATCATCACATTTATTATTATTATTTTTTTTATATACCAATTCATCAAGACATTTGGTATCTTTTATTTATTTTCTTTTATCTGATCATCATTTACTGTTATTGCAAACATCCATCCATTTCCTTATTTGGATCATTTTATTTTTTTCAAAATACGTTTTATTACTTTTTTATAAAAGTAACTGGTGCTCACAAATACAAACCATCCTAAATATTATTATATTAATAATAATATCCATCTATCAAGTTAATCAATCATCCATCCATTTACGAAAAAATACTTAACACTACATATACATCGCAGATCTCTTTTCTCCTATCTAGGCTAGAAAGCATATAATAGGTAGATTTACTGTACCTTTTTTTTTTTTTTTTTTTTGCAATAAACATAATTATTAGGTCAAATAGGTAGAATTTAGGACTTCTATATAGAGTTGAATAAAAATTGGTTTTCTAGGTAGAATTTAGGGTTTCTATGTAGAGCTGAATAAGAAATTGGGTTCCTAGTCCTAATTTGGAAGGAGGGGTTTTGCCCCACAGACTCGCTGAGTGAAAATTATGCATTGCCAAATAATAAAAAAGGACATTTGTTTATTTTTCTTCTTCTTCTTCTTATTTTTATTTTTATCACATTATTGTTCTTTTTTTTTTTTTCTTTCTGTTATATGTTTACCTTTTAAGACAAATCAAAGTAAGGTATGGAAATAATAATAATAAAAGATTGTCTATACATATATTCATTGTATTCATGAACTGACTGAATCATTCTTTTTTGTAGTGTGTTTATACCGTTTAGTTAAAACAAGTGTACACAAGTATCCTTAACCTGTTATATTAGTTATGTTTAATAAGGTAAATCCATTTCATTATGCCACCAACGTTATATGATATTGATCTCTTTTTTTTTATTTGAATCTATACTCTAAATACAAATATGACGACTAAAGTAAGACAAACAAAAAAAAAAGATAATGATACTGTTGTTTTATAACCTTTTCTTCTTTTTATACACGAATCATTCCAACCTCTTTGCTATATCCTTTTCTCTATGTGCTTTTACAGACACTCACTCTTATTAATTGTAAGTTTCAAAAACAAGTTCTTTTCCTCTTCTTATTTCTAACTTTACTTTTCTTCTTTTTTTCTTTTATACGCGTTCTTTCGACCTTGATGTTTTTACTATAACATCTGTCCATCTAGGATTATCGTTCTTTCTTCTTCTCATCCTTCTTACTTGCCACCCTGGACAATGACTATTACTGAATATACGTCTGAAAGAAAGAAAGAAATCTAGATACATGAAGATTGATCATTATAGTTTCATGTCAATAAGATACTACGAGAAGTGGCTATCTGTCTGGATCAGCGAAATGGATGAACAGGATATTTTATAGGATTCAATTGGATTCGACTTACAATCAATTAGAGATATCCTTCTTGGTCTTTTTATCTTATTCTGGCTTAAAGCGTTAGTGATTCTTTTTACTATCACATTTAGTATACAATTATACACATTTACATTCTTTTTGTTTAATAAAATTATATTCATTGTCACTATTTACAATCATCACTTTTTTTTTTAATGTTATCTATCATTTCCTTTCAAACAACTGTTTGTGTGCCTGTGTTCCTTAAATAAATTAAATGATATGAAAAAAAGAAATATATTATGAAGTCGTTCTGTTTTTCATATATTTTTTATCACTTTTTCTTTAATATTAAAAACTAAGCTTACTTCTTTGTAAATACTTTATTCTCATTAGTACATTACAACATATTCTTTCTCTCTATTATATATTACTTTGGCACATTGCCTTTACTTAGTCGGACTTTTCGTTTCATTTTTATTTATTTCGTTTCCTAGCAATTTTCTTTTTCTACCTTCTCTTTCCTTTTCTCCACGCTTTTTTTTTTTTTTTTTTTTTACTCCTCCGCACTTTGTTCGTGTCTCCATATTGGCTCATGATAGGTAACATATAAAATACAATGACAGAAATGGATTCTTATTTTATTATTGTCAATTTAAAAAAATAAATAAAATAGTAATAATAAAATAAAAAATAGTATAAAATACAATTAGTTACTTGTTTTATAGTTAATTCATTCTAGTGTCTACAATTTCAAGACCTCTTTTTGGTTGGACTCTCTCTTTCTTCGGATTCCATTGCACAGCCAATGCAATTCATTTATGCACAAGTACTTTTGAAGGTCCTTTTTACTGCTTGGTTAGTCTTCCTTATGATATTTCAAAATTTCTTTTCTACTTGTTTGGACTCTTTGTCTCCCATCTGTCGCTCATTGTGGTGATGTTCTCTTCAATATCTCTTTGCTATTTGGTTGGACTCTTTCTCTATGTTGTTTTTTGTATCTGTAGATATCAAGATTGTCGCCTGTACAACCAAACTAGTAAGTTGCACAAAAAGAAGAAAAAGGATCAACCGATATTACATACAATCACTTGCTTCTTTTTTTTTTAGATCCTTCTTTTTATTGTATTGTTATTGATACATTGACACTGGCGCATGATCCAAGGTAATATGTATATGTAAAAGAAGAAAAAAAATGAATAACATCGACGGATTGCTACTCATTTTGTTGATTCTTTGTTGTCTGTTAGGTATCAGAATAGTGGTCTATACAGTCAATTGTCGGATGGTCATCATTACTTTATACTTAGCTTTTGGTCAGACGAAGATCATGGTGTATTGATCTTTGTTTGTTTACGGGCAATGGACTTGGTCGAGGATGATCAGTCTCTAGAATCGTTTATGAATCTAGTGACTGAATTTTGTGCTCAAGTAGGTGGAGGGCAAAATGCAACACGTAGGAAATTCAGTTATTGTCTGTTGATCGTGTTGTTTCTTCCTGGAGTCCTTGTTAAGTCCTGACATTTGCGGTATTTGGTTTGGAAAGATCATTGAAGATCATATCAATGACTGATAGTGGAGCGCTATACGTAAGACGATACAACTATCTTTCTTGATGATCTGAAATTGTCTGATATCTGCATTTGGCGAGCCTTTATTTCTCTCCGAGCCAACTGTTATGATGACATTGGGTTTACTGGTGGTACAAAACGTTCGATGGTGCAGCCAAGGTAACTTGTACATAGAAAAAAGAAAAAAAAAAAAGAAATAAACATTGATGGATTACTACTCATTTTGTTGATTTTATTTGTAACTTGCAAGATTATTGTCTATACAATAACGGTGGCGCAAATATTCAAGGGTATAATCAAGGTAACATGTGCATAGAAAAAAAAAAAGAAAAGAGAGTGATGTTGATGGATTACTATTTGTTAATTTTATCTGTAGGTTGCAAACTATACAATCAAGCCAAGATCGTCTCCCTTCTTCGCTGGAATGACTCTGTTAGACTGCCAATTGAAGGATCCATATCAAATAAAATAATTATACCCAAAGTGGAAGTCATGATCATTATCTTGGAGGTGGCATTAGCTGGTCTTGGTCATGGTTGTGGTCTTAGCCGTACTGGTAAACGTTGTCCTTGTAGTTTAGCTATTTATTACTATAGTTATGAAGTATAGTTATGAAGTATAGTTATGAAGTATAGTTATGAAGTATAGTTATGAAGTATAGTTATGAAGTATAGTTACGTAGTATAGTTATATTAATGAAATAAAGTAACTTTCTTGTCTATAATGATCGATGATTGTATATTGTGTAAAGAAATGAAGTTCTATTATGAAAATACAAAATGAATTTCGGAAATCCGATATTCATTTCGTTTTTTTCCGAAATTCACATTTAATTTACTTTGAAAACGACTTAATGCATTTCAGAAAAATCAGAAATCAAGAACATCTGTACTAAATCGAGTCAGGAAAAAAAAATAAACGTATTCAGGAAAAATAAAGTTTATTTCAGATCTTTTCCCATAGTGAGAGTATTTACAATTAAAATTGGAAGCTCAACTCGATACCATATAGTTTATTGATCTATGAAATAAACTAAAAAGAATCTCACTGACTTATTACTAGTCTCATATTTTTATACATTCAACCTACATACAATTTAACATCCCCTTTCCATCGAATGAATAGTCCATACCTTCTCCCAAAAAAAAAAAAAAAAAAAAAAAACCCATAACCCACACAAATCTTCGATGCCAAAAAGTTTCAGAGAAGCACCAGAGCATTTATTCAATATATACATATAAAGAGGATTATGCATAATACCATTGTTCCCTATACTCAACTATTCTCCCCATCATTCCAGTATCGTCAAAAAAAGTGTTGTCTTCGGTTTATTGAATATATAAAAAAAAATCGTAATTTCACAAAAAGAACATTGTATTCTTCAATTCAGGTTTTATACAACCGAAGGTTGCTAGTTCGTTATTTATCAGTTGGTTTGTGTTATCAGTAACGTTATTCCAATTTTTTCCTTTTTGGTAGTACCTGGCTCTTTCGGCTAAGATTCCTGCGTAGTATACTGGGGCACATATTGAAAGTGCATTGGTCGTTGTTTGACACATATAACACAGACGATAAGTGAGTTCTTGAAGAGCATCGGCAGAAAAATTGTTGTCATCATAAAGTACATGGTAGTGAGCAGGACGAGAGGTTCCTTGAAGACCAGCATGTGATTGTAGATCTAAGAAAAAAATACACATATATAAATATATATATATCAATATATCATCCTAATATATATAATCATTTGAGTAAGTACTTACAAAAATCAAATTCGAAAGGATGTACGATATCAGTATCCACGACAGTACCAGGTTGGCAGTTACCACTTCGATCGGCATCACGGGGTTCAACAGGGAAGAATCGAGCATGATGACGTTTTTGAACAACCACAAATGTAACAGGAGGTTTGTAAGTCTTATCCAAGGAAGCACAAGCAGCATGAATAGCAGCAATTTCGTACTTGAAAACTTGATTAAATTGAGTTTCTGGAATGTCCCCTCTGTAGAACAAAATTTGTTCAGGTTTTCGGCCACAGTTTTGATAGAATGTCTTCAACAGTTCCTTGACCATATTGGCTAAATCAGCTATTATTTCAGTATGATTGACTTGAGGACGGATAGCGGAGGCATATCTTGAGGCATGGGGATCTAGACTTGCCGTCAAACCAACAAGGGTAGGTGTTTTCGTGTCACCAGTATCAGGATGAGCAACATCAGCACCAAAGACTATAGTAGGTTTGCTGGAGATAAAAGGTAATTGAGAATAATCCAAAACCCAATTGACACCACCAAGCTTCATATTCACTTTCAAACTGACATTGGCAATATACGTTCTTTCGGCTTTGGCAACATATTTCGTTTTCACACATTGAGTGGGGATACCAATAACTATATAAAAAGGATATGAGATTATTCGTAAAAATCATCAACATCGTCGTCATCAGTATCACCTTTTCTTTCTCTATGTTTGCTTACCTGTATCACAGACACGCTTGATGTCGGCATAGATTTGAACACCAGTGTTGGGCAAGATACAGAAGATTAATTCAGGTTTAACCTTGGTAGCATTACCAGCTTTCAACCAAGCTTCCTTGAGAGTGCGTTCGACATCGCCTTGAGGATCAGCATGAGTAATTGGTGGTTCAAGATTGATGACATTCTATATTTTTAATCATAAAAGAAATAATAATAGGTGAAAGATTAGTATAAATCATGTTTTCTTCTTTTCTTAAAATAAATAAATAAATAAAAAAGAAACCAACTTACCAAACCTTTATCAATGAACATTTGACCTAGTTCACGAATAAAAAATCGTACCGAACCATCATTGATACTGCTTGCAAAATTGACGACAGACCAAGATTTCAAGGTGGCACCGTTTGCGACTTTCTTACCACTGAGACTCCAAGTACCACCGACAGGAGTAAAACTAGCATCTTCCGAAGAAGCATGAAAAGAGATCTTTGGAGCCGGAAGGACACGAGCATTGACCATGGTCATATCAGGCTTGACGCTGACACCAAATTGTTGAACATACGGATTGTCCTTGTGGTCGAGGATGTCGATACCTTGATTGATCAAGTTGGCACGCGCATTGGGTGTATTCCAAGTAAACTTGATCATTTCACCTTTTTGATAGTCATTCGGTGTCTCTACAGGGCATTGACCAGAAACTACTTCACAAACTTCCATAGGCAAAAAGGTATTCTTCTTGACAACAACACATGGTAAGAAAGGGAAGGCCAAACGTCTGTTGTAAGTGTTTTGAAAGTGTTGAGCAACGGTCACTTCATTTCCAGTATCATCCTTGAATACAGTGTTTTCAGCAGAGGTAGGAGTGAGCTTGTTAATCTTGTACTTCAATCGTTTTTCAGCACCACGATGGACAACAACGATCTTGAGATTCTTGAGTATTTTTTCAACTTTGATACGTTCACGGTCAGGAATACCACGACGAAGTTCACCAAGACTGTGGCGGCCAAGTAGTTTGGGTAACATTTTGTGAAGAGGACCAGGTTGATAGAAAGCGATGGAGCTAACACCAATATTGACCATCATTTTGCCTATAAACAGTAAAGAATGAAATATTAACAAAAATCTTAGGATTTTTTTTTCTTTACCTTGAGTAGGGCGAGCATATTGATTGAAGCCTTGCCACACTTCAGCACCATTGGGTAATGGACGTTTACCTTGGGGAGTATAAAAGGATCGACCCATGGTAGTATAATAGATATATGGAAAGTAATGAAACAATGTGTCAAGGACTCTAATGGCTGTAGAGTGGTTTTAGAGAAGAAGAGGATAAAAAAGGGAAAAGAAGTTAATAAAAAGAAAAGGAGATAATCATAATATTCTTTTTTTTTTTTTTTGTTTTACGTACCCATCAAGCAGTTGTTGGTAATAATAGACTTTCCATCCAAAAGTAATTGTAATTCACTCATGTTGATTACACCTACAGGCTTGATTTTTAACTTGAAAACACCTCTAGAACGATTTCCTTGTTGAAGGTTGACCTATAACAAGAATAAAAATGATGGATATGAATGAACCAATAAAAAAAAAGAGTGATCAAAAAAATATAATAATGTTGGGGGTGAAATATTAAGCATATGATAAAATGTACGTCATTTTTTTTATTTACTTACTTCAAAAGAAATACCAAGATTATCATCACCACATTTGAGAGGTTTTGGAGAAAAGAGATTTGCACGACCATCAAAGACCGGTTTGATCTTGTTGAGGAAAGCTCGACCTTTGAGACTATCTTCAAAACATTGCCACAACTTTTTTCGAACAGGTAGAGATGTACCCTCCGGTAGGAATTGAATATTCAAGTGTTGTATATTTTGAGTTGGAATACTAGTCATTTCAAAGAAATTGCTTCGTACACGTACTTGTTTACCAACTGTGCCAGTATTGGGACGCATAATAAGTTCAGTCAAATCTCTGTTGGATGCTTGAGCCATGATGTTCGTTTATAAGGTGTATAAAAAAAAAAAAAGTGAAGAAAAAAGAAAGATAGAGAAAGAAAGAAAAAAAAAAAGTGAAGAAAAAAGAAAGATAGAGAAAGAAAGAAAGAAAAAAAAAGTGAAGAAAAAAAAAAAGAAAGATAGAGAAAGAAAGAAAAAATTCATTAATTTTACATGTCTAGGTGGTCGGAGCCAGTTTAAAAAAATCCTGCAAATCAAATTAACCAATCGTAAGAAATCACATAGGTTTAAGTTGCTTTTTTTGAATTGATTTTTATTGATTAACATCATAATGATGATGATGATAATGATATTAGAATAAGCACCTTCAAGTGAATGTTTTTATCACTTATTTCCTATTCCTTGTATTCATTAAACTTTGAATAACTATAGTAAAGAAAGATTACGAACGAATATGAGCCGTAACTGAATATCCAAAAAAGGAAATCCTCAATCCATGGCTCAGCGTTATGTAAATTATTTTCTCATACTTTCTTTTTCCTTTCCTATCGCTACTATTATAGACATCTTTTCTATTTTGCATAGAAAGTAAGGCAGATGACACTAAAAAAGAAAGAAAAAGACATTATATATTCATTTTATATTATTTGCTATAGGTATATGACTCATGATTTTCTACAAATAACTCCGACTGCAACGCGCATATTGACAAGCAAGTGAAATCCTTAATTGCTTCTCTTTCTTTCGCTTTTTTCTTTTTCTTTTTGAACTCTTTCACCAAAGGATGCTTATACTCCATGGAACAATTGATTGAAAAAAGAACGCATTACGATGGTATGACTGTACACGAAATCATTATGTATAAGAAACTATTTAAACAACAACAACAACGTAACGGTAAGCGTGATCACAATTGAAACAACAATGTTGTCTTTTTTTTTTTTTTTTTTTTTTTGTTACTGAGTTACTTTTTTTTTTTTTTTTTTTGCCTTTTACAAATATAGCACAGCAACCCCATCAAGGTGATGAAGAAGATGATGACAATAGTGATGTTGACGGTGATGACAATAGTGATATTGACAGTGAAGATCATGAAGGTAAGAAATATTAGAAATAAAAGCAAAATATTATTGTGAGGCTACTGGCTTAACTTTTTTTTTTTTTTTTACTTCAACAGGTGATGATGGTGACCATGATGGCGATAACTATGCTGCTGCTTCTTCCTCTACTGCAACACGTTCAACAGTTTCAAAACAGTTATCAGGGAACAAGCGTAAAAGACAACAATCTCGGCAAGAAAAATCAAAGAAAAAACAAGCGTCCATTGTTCGGAAGCAATCATCATCCAAGCACTCTCTGACACCCTGCCCGGTATGCCTAGAAAAACGTCGATTTGACACCGCCTACTCTCACTCAAGATCTACAAGCAAATTATGCCCGTTCCGACAGCCAAGCAGAAAAGAACGACTACGGCAGCAAGTGGGACAAACAATGACCGTATGTAGAAAGATTGGACTGAACTCACTATTATCTATTGACAATCCTGATCACAAACAATTACTCATTGATCGACTGAACGATGTGGCTACATATGCTCGCGATGTTATTGTGAAATTACACCTTTTTATAACTTACTTTGTATACCACAAGCTCAATGATGGAGAAATCATCAACAAACAAATCTTCACCAAAAGCTTTTTTTATTCGGTATTTCAAATCGTTACTGGCGGCACCATCACCACGAACAACACCATTGATCATCATTTGGCAGAAGAAATCCGACGACAATACAATAGCATGAACCCCACTGAAGCGCAGGTGCAACGATTCAAAGTCAAAAAGATCCATGGCGGCAATGGATATTCCGAAGTCATCTCATCACTATTGGACCAGTATGTTTCGGCCTTTGTGAATAGAATCGAAAGTGACATGACACAGTGGATGGCGAATCAATATTCCTTACATGTTCGTCATCAATTACAACAACATCAACGTCAGCCACCATCTCAACCACCTCAACATCAAGAGCAAGAATCTCAAGATCAAGTAAGTGACGATAAATAGATAGGTTATAAGACTAAAAATGAAAACTTACATGGAATTTGTGATTATTATTTTTTTCAATTTCCTAGACTCTGAGCAAAGTGGATGCAGACAAACTTGGGCTATATATTCTTGAAACTGTCATGCACAATCCTGATTTCCCGCCACGATTACCAAAAATACTTTCTGATGGTGAAAACGATGTCCTCAAAGAATGCGTCGCTACAGTTTTGGATGAAGCCCGTGTTGATCTATTAGTGATATATAATCTGGCCAACTTGGAAGCGCATATGGATACAAGTCGCCGCCTGCTGGAACGCTGTTATCGTAGTCTCCAAGAACGAATTGTAAACCGCCAAAATGGGATGCGAATTCTTATGCAAAATGGGCTAGATCAGTTACAAGAATTACAGGAAACCTTAGACACCTCAAACAATTTACAACTTCTACCTGGAATCATACGTCTTTCAGAGGTTTTACTAGAAAATCTCATTGGTCATCAACGTTCTGTGCGTCTTATAATGCAAGTGGCAACAAATCTAGGATTACAGGAACTTGTCTCTGGTGATATCAATCAATCTTTTGGTGATCATGTTATACGGCGTTTACAGGACTCTCTTCCTGTGCAACAACAGGCAGTCAATGATAATGATTTAGTTGGAAACAATGATTTGGACGCTTTGAATATTGTAGGAAGCCTGGAAGCCATGGCATTGCAAATACAAGGGTTCAATGACCGGTTGATGGAACAGCAACGTATGTACGATATGATTGATCGCCAATATACAGCCGCTATGGGAAGATATTACGCCAACAACGATCTGGGAAATAGACAAGTGCTTCATGACATTCATCACTATTGCGAACAGAGCAACACAGTCATTATTCAAGAAAATGATCTACCATCGTTGACACCAGCATACATTGCAGGCCATTGTCACTTATTTAGCAAGTACGGATTCAACATTGCAAAGTATATGAATTCATTCAACGAGGATCAAATACGCGTTGCCGGTCTGGTAATGCAAAGTGCTCCACGGTCATGGTGTTACAGCGTCATTCGGGAATTAGAAGAATTCAAGCACATGGGACGACGGCGACGGTCATCTTTGGCGCGATTTTTAGATAAAGCTATCAATAACGACGAACGATTGGATAACTCTAGACTCAATTATCTGTCTCAAGAATCATTGGAAAACCTGGAAACGATCATCACGGATACTAAACATCAAATCAACAATTCCAAAATTTACTTGAATGACCCTGATAACAACGATCAACTTTTTGACGATTGTTTCAAACCTGAGCTACACCATGTCGTAAAACAGCAACGGTTATTTAATCTTGTGCCAAAACCTTCAGTCATGAAAAAATATATCAAGATCTCCAACCAGGTTAGGCTGTCGCTTTTACGTACCCCAGGTCTAGATGTGTACAGAAATGGCGAACAAACTCTTTCTGGTGTTTTGAATCTTTCGAAAATAAAGAAACATAATGATATGGTCTTCGCAGGATTTATTTGGACGGATGGGTTTGCGGTCTCAATTCCATATGACAGACCAATGTCTTTGCAACAATTGCCTCGATTGGTACCAGCTGATTTTGAAGAATGGGAATTGAAGTACTTTACGATATGGGGTGCCGATCCTGGAGTTACAAGCATCTACGTTGCTAGTGATGGTAGTAGTGATGCAGTTTATAATCAAGCAATGAACAATGAGGGTAGGTGGCATTAAATTTTAAACACGTACATCTTTATTTACCTTTTTTTTTTTTTTTTTTTTTTTTTTTTTTTTTTTTTTTTTTACAGGTGCCCATGATGCTTTTCCTACCACGACCACCGATCAGCATGACTCTACTGATGTTAGTCACGCCATCACGGATATCGATACTTCTACCACCACCATCCATCAACATGACTGTACCGATGCTTCTCACATTACCGCCACTTCCCGACATGGCCCTACTGATACTTCCACTAACGCCGCCGCCGTCCATCGACATGACTCTACTGGTGCTCCTCATGCTACCACGGATACTGCTGCTTCATTGTCAAAAATAGTTACCGATTTGTCAAGCCTAGCTTCGAATGTTTCCATACTGGCAAGAAACTCGTGTTCTAGTGGCACTAATTCTCATATTTCTGAACGTATATCATCACTTGCGACAAATGTCTCGTCTCTGGCTTCGGATGCGTCTAATTTAGCAAAGAAGGAAGGTGTAGTCTGTACAGGCAATATAGATCATCAAGGCGATTTGATTGAACCTGGGAATATTGTGATTGTTGGCAGTCTAGCGACATCTGGTAGCATTGAAACGAACGAATCATTGACTGTGAAGGATGCTCTCACTACTGGGGGTAATATCAAGGTTGGAAAGAACATGGTTACTGGCAGTTTAATGGCTTGTGGTACTGTTGAAACGAACGAATCATTGACTGTGAAGGATGCTCTCACTACTGGGGGTAATATCAAGGTTGGAAAGAACATGGTTACTGGCAGTTTAATGGCTTGTGGTACTGTTGAAACGAATGAATCATTGACTGTGAAAGGTGATGTTACGACGATGGAAGACGTCAAGGTGGGAAGAAATATGATCATCGGTGGTAATTTATCCTCAAGTGGCAATATTACTGTTGGACAAAATCTACTGCTTCGCGGCTCTGTATTTGCTGCTGGAAACATTGTTGCTGGGGGCGCCGTCAATACCAATAATTCAGCTGAAGTCACTGTAATTGGCTCAATTCAAGATCACCAGGTATCCGCTACTGATGTCAGTCATACTGTTCCTTTTGACACACCTACTGCTGTCAGCCACACTGATTCCTCTGCTATTGTTAATCCTACTCTCTCCACTGTGCCTGTCGGTAAGTGATCTATGACAATGCAAACATTATTTTACTATTATTTTCTAATGCACCTTCTTTTTTTTTTTTTTTTTTTTGATAGGTGAATCTCATCAAGTACGGCAATTTAGCTTGGCTCAATATTATACTGATGCAGGTTACAAGAAATCCACAGCGAGAATCAATTTAACTAAACCTTCCTCACTACAAGTACTAGAGTCAACCATATCAACGCACCATACTGTAACCATGCAGGGGATACAAGATTACATCGCCACGACGTTGGACGCCTTGGACCCAATGAAAGAATTTTATGACCAAGATGAGATTCGTGGTTTGAAATTTTCAAATTACAAAGGAAGACAGCGCGTAGATGCAGAGATGGTGAACATACTCGTCGATGGCGGTGAAAAGTACAGACCTTATGGAACAAGACGAAGACGAAAACGGAGAACAAAGCGGCGACAACAAAGACATGGACAACAACAAAGACAGCGAAGAGGAGGAAGAAGAAGAAGTAGAAGACACCCTCACAGCGAAGAAAGAAATAAAATGTCGTAAGTTTGTCTGATCGAAAATACACATAAAAATCATACTGATCTTTAATTTTCTCACATAGAAAATGGAAAAAAGCTGAAGCTACTCATCATCCATCCAAGGTCCCAGTAATTGTTTTTGGTTCTTCAACATTCGGACGCAATATATTCAAGGGCAAACCTCCAGGACTAGCCGATAAATGCAGAGCTCTACTGAAAAAAGGTGATAGCCAAGGAAGACTGATACTTATTGATATGGACGAGTTCAATACTTCTCAAGTTTGCTCTCGGTGTGGGCATAAGGACATGGAGAGACTAGAGTTGGAATCAACGTCACGTATGTACGCTGTACTAGTGTGCAATCACTGCAGTACAGTGTGGCAGCGTGACGTTAATGCTGCTCGCAACATTCGTAGTCTCTTCATGAACATGGTCAAGTTTGGACAACGACCTGGATATTTAGCAAGACCTTCCTCCTCCGCGTAATAAATACGTGTGACGCTTACAGTGTAAGTCCCAAAAAAAAAAAAAAGTATGATGCTTCTATTCGGTTTACTAATCTTTTTCAATTCTGCTCTTTCTTGGTCCCTCCTTTTCCCAATTTACTTTTCCTCTCGTCCGATTTTTTCTTTTTTTTTATGCGCCATCCATTATCTGTTTTGTCCGTCATTCATTCTCTATCCTTACGATATCTTATTTCCTATTTTGGCGACATCTTATTTCTGAAACTGCGTCATCTATCAGTGGAGAAACTGTAGAGGCATTTTTGTGACACACGATATTTTGGTTTATACAACTTTATTCAATAATAAATGAGGTAAAGTCCGTCACAAAATTGGAGGTACCTCCAAAAACTTTCCACATAAATCTTTTAGTTTTTTTTTTTTTTTTATATATAGTTTTTGCTACTTTTTCTATATGTCAATGAGCAATCATGATCTTCGTGGCAAAAGAGACATTCTACAGTCATTAGATTATCTGCTTTATTGTTATATAGCTTATCTCTATTTTCTGGATGCTTCATTTATACTATTACTTTTTCGACTCTTTTTACAAGTGGTAAAGACAGAGAAAAGAATAACTACCCTATTTTTTGGATACTAAAAAGTGAACATACTCTATTTTTCTATCTTTTTCTAAAGCAATTACTTTCTTCTGGTGTATTCCATAAACTTTTACATGTACCACTGATAATAACAGTAGTTGTCTATATACTTAGCACCTGTTTTCATCTCTTCTCCACTCTTGGTCAAACTGGTATTATTATTGACTTTGTTGGGAACCGTAAGTTATACAAAAAGGAGCACCTTTTTCTACTCAAATATATATATATAATAATTTTACTAAGCTCAAAACGTTTATAGATTACCTTCCTAATGTAACAAGACTCTGTTTACTAGATATCCTTATTTTTACCTGTCAAGTAATTCGTTTATATGTTGCAAATGATCTTGCTTCACATACTCTGTATCATGGTATTGGAAGTTTATATGTTAATGATGGTAATAAGGCAAAAATTATTGTATAGTCAAACCACTTTCCTTATACGATTTTCATTTTCAGCAGGTCATGATCAACATCAACAAAATCGATTCATCGTAACATCAAATATTGCATCACCACCACCACTACGGTCATCAGCATCATCGACAGAAACAACTATTTCTTCAAACATAGGAGGATATAATAGAAGTAATAACTCTAGACAAAATAGTCAAGATCATCGAGAAGAAATTGAAAGACATGATGATACCATTCCTACGACACAATTGGATGACACATTTTACCATGATGATATTGTGATGGGAATATCATTCTCAAATCTGTCTCAAATCATCAACTCTCGACGCCGTCAATACGTTCAGGATGATGAAGATAGTACTCTGGTTTTACCTACTTGACATTTCTTCATACTGTCATTCCATTATACCCATAATCTAATCTGTTTTTATGAGATATTCAAATAAATCGATTACTTATCTTTTTCTTTTCTTTGTGCTATTATACAATAAAAAAAGAGTTCTATTGTGTTGTAATAATAATGGGTATTGATTGATACTTTGGAGGTACTCCAACTTTGTGACAAATCTTGAGGATACTTCCAACTTTGAGAACCAAATAAACCAAAGAGAGGGATGGATGTGATTTTGAAAAACCTCCACGAATTAGAATCGTGCGGTGCGAAAAGTTGCAAAAAAAGTCAGTCAGGAAAGCCGTGAGCGTAACAATCCTGTTTCTTTTCTTTTCCTTTCTATGCTTCTTGCCTTTGGAGTATAATTTAAAATGAACTCTAATAAGATACTTTCGACCAACTTGCTCAATCCACCGGAACAGTTTGGTATGGTAGAACCAGGTGTGTTTCGTTCCGAGATGTTACAACCTGTTCATTTTCCTTTTATTAAACAGTTTGGATTTAAGACTGTGCTCATGTTATCACCTGAACTACCTAATCGTGTTACGTCCAATCTAATAGAGGAAGGAGGAATTCAACTTGTAAGAAACAAGTTAAAAACTGAAAATGGAAACGATATGTCTGATTCTTTTTTTCTTCTTTTTTTTTTTTTTTTTTTTTTTTTTTGTCCATTCGCTATCTGTTGATCGAATTGTCAAAGGTGCATTTGGGTATGGCCACTTGGAAGCCAACACAGCCATCAACTTGGCGACCGGTATCAGAGGAACTCATCAAAGAAGGGTTAGAATTAATTTTGAATGCTAACACATATCCGATATTGATTATGTGTACCTCTGGAATTCATGAAACAGGAACCTTGGTAGGCTGCTTAAGGAAATTAGAAGGGTGGAACTTCAGTTCCATTGTCACAGAGGTAAAAGAAAAAAAAAGGGTTTGCGGAAGTTTATCATCAATAGAATACATAACATATATTCAACCTTAGTATCGATCATTTGCTGGAACAAAGGCAAGATATGTCAACGAACAATTTATTGAATTATTTGATTTGGACTTGGTCACTCTACCAAAGGATTTACCAAAATGGTTTTTACATCAACAAAAAATGCTTGTAAGTTGTCATATTTCATGATCATTTTCTGATTTGTATTTGCACAACTTTAATGATATTTTTTTTAATACCTATTTAGGAGGATGAAAAAAACGCAATCACATAATTGTAATCGTAATGATAATTTATAGAATTTGTAATATACCCGGATATTGATATAAAAAAAGAAGTGTCCATGCATAGATGACATTACTCATAGTTGATCCTTCATTATCACATCCACTTGCCATAAAGTCTTCGATGATCCAAATTTGCTTTCAAAAAATAAAAGGTGCAAAAGTTCGAAGTTGAAAGATTGCTTTTTGAGCGCGCAAACCTCCATTCTTGTAAAATGAATTTGTAAGTTACTGATGCCAGTTATATCAAGCATCAGCTTCCTGACATGAAAGGCAAAATCAAAATTCCTTTGGCAGGCAGCTCAGTCCATGTTGACAAGAAATTTCTTGAAAAGGAAATGTCTGGCATCGTTGATTATCTTCACTACCGTTATTGGTGCTTCATTTTTTTTAAGAAAAAAGCCCTGATGTAAGCATTGTCAAGGAGCTTACTAAACGATGGTAAGCAGAGAAATGACAGGATCTAATAATGAAAGCAATCAAAAAAGAAAAGACTTTGTATTCTTCCATTATTGATACTTTTTTGGTTTCAGTTATTGGAAAAAAGGTATCCTGAGGTGGCCAACAGTATGATCAAGCGAAACAAGCATCGGTACACTAGACGACATCAAAGAAAGTATCGACGAACTAAAGTATTACCGTCAGCATGTTTTTGTACAAAATTCATGATAGGGTTCCGATCAGAATACGACTAAAGGGGTAAAGCTTTAATTCTTGCTACTCGACTTTTTAAACCGTATACTCATTAATGTGCTCCTATTTCTTTTTTATATATTAGTATGAAATGTACATAATACGGTGTGAGAATGAAACGAATTCTAGTCCTATCAAGGTGGTTAATGTAGAGGACAAGCGTGTCTTCAATGATTTATTGCGCAAGTTCTCTCATTTTGCTTTGAATGTTTTGGTCAATGAATACGGCATGAAGGAAAAAACGCTCACTGAACAATCTGATGACATATGCTCTATCATCAATACGTCAGTACAATTCAAAACCGCCAATTCTTCTCGTTTTTGCCATCGCATCTATCAAATCTGAAGTACGTAGTCGAGTCAAACGTAGCAAAAACCATCCATATTTACTACAATACAATTGTCATCCTTGGGCAGAACACTGCTTCTTCGTTGATGATCACAGCCTGGCTTCTAGTATGACAGTGCCTCTTGAACCATTTGTGGCTTTATCATCATTCTTTACATGCCAAGCTAGATCTATATTGGACCACCCTTTTCGACAGGATACCACCATCCAAAAATTATACAGCATTGCCAAACAAATATTTTTCGATGATATCACCAACCAAGAAACGATCACAAATGATATCCGGGACTTTTACCGCCAAACACGATCGACAATGGAGAAAGCCCTCACTTGTTTACGTGAAGATGTCCCCGATGCTCAACAAAGAATCCGCGTTGAAGATATCCTGAATCATGGTTTAGCGACCACCCATGAATACATGGCACAACACAATGAATCCTCTGTTTCCTCTCCTGAGCGAACACTCTCACCTTCTGCAACTGAACCCCAACGACAACTCCAGCAAGGCAGTAACAGCAACTGGGACTACATTGAAAGCATCACAGGCGACAATGAGGTTAGAAACTGGGAATCTATATTTAGAGATGGTAAAATGCTGGGATATTTTGCATCATACAGCAAGGCTGCAACCATGAAGTCGGCTTATTACCGTTGGAAAAGACGGAAAAGAACTTGCGGAGCCCAGTCCCTGAAAATATATTGACATCAACTCCTGAACCAGGTAATAGTAATCATATATATGTATATGCTTAGTACTGAATCAATCCTTGTCATGCCAGACGTAGTAAATCACAATGGCTCCCCCATTTTCAGTGATTTGCAAGATATATTCGGTGACACTTCACCTCTACTAAGCAACGACATCAGTAATACATACAAAAAAAAAAAAAAAAATGCGGGGTCAACAATAATAGCGGTAACTAAATCTTCCTTTTTCTTTTTCTTTTTTTTAAAAAAAAAAAAAAAAAAAAAAGAAAAAGAAAAAGAAAAAGAAAAAGAAATAGAACACAATGGTGCAGTCTCCAGGAATTTTGAAGACATTGGGTTTGATATTGGTCCTCTACCAGGTAAGATATTAATAAAAATAAAAGCAATAATAACAACTAAACAAAATCTTGATATGAACAATGTTAGGGAACGATGAGATCATTCTTTTGAGTGATGCTGAAGAAAATGTTGACGATATTGCATCTCTCCGCAACAAAACGTAAGAAATAGAGTAGATAAGCTGCTTGAAAGCACGGAAAAATACAACATACTGATAACTTCTCTGTCATTAGGATATACGGTTTACACAATGTCACCATTTTCCCTTTTTCGCCATCCAATCAAGCGGTAGTATGCGATGACCTAGATCTCCCATTGCCAAATCAAGCTATGTCCTGCCACATCGACTGTGTCATCGAACTTATAATGCGCGTTATTCTGAAGCGCTGTATACAAGAAAATATTCCTGGGAATTCTGAAATGGACACTTTCATGCAGTGTCTTCAGAATTATGCAATTTCTCGTCAATATGCTCAAGGTTTGGAATTGGCTAGGAATTTTCTCTGGACTCACGGCTTCGTCTCAAAAAATGCAATGGGTGATTGCCGGGATGTACTTCATGTGCTGTTCGACAATATCAAAGGAACCCCTCTGTACACCAATCAACATGCTCTTCAATCCCAATTGTGCGTGCAACTACGAAACTCTGAAGGAGATGATGAGCAGTTTCTTGGTCCATATATCGCTTTGTGTCCTGATGATAAGGCGAAAGACTTTGAACAGTTGGTATCATCTTCCATCGAAAGGATGACAAGAAAAGATGTAAGCGACTGTTTGATGCCTCAGTTCCTCTTCCTTTCTGATCCTGTGACAGCTGAAAACATTATTGACTACCCGCGTACATTATGGCCGTAGTAATTAGTGGGCCATTAGCATAATGATTTTTCAAAGTCCGTGTTTTTATTTATTTTTCGTTATTTAGATACTTTTATTTTCTTTTCTTTTCTTTCTTCCTTTCCTTTATAATGACTTTAGTTATAGTATATCAATTAGTGCTCTATAATAGTTATATTTTTATTTACTAAAGCGTTTATTTTTATTCCTACTACGTTATTACATGTCAATGTAATTGATTCCATCTTCTGATGTATTTTTTATTCTTTATTTGGTGAATGCATTCTTTAGTTTTATTTTACGCATATGGTTACGGAATACGCTGATACGACAGCCGTTCTTTGAATCCGAAGAAGAAGTTTAGTCATGTTGTTGGAGTAGATTGGGTTGGTAAGTGGAAGAAAAGGTGAAGTGTACCAGGAAACGAATCATTTCTTTTTACGTCAATTATAGGCTCTATTGGTTACATGTATGTCTTGGCAGGTATTGATAACCTCTACATTTTATTCAATAAAAAATGACGGAATTCTCTCGCTCCCTAAATCTCCTCATGACTTCGCTGATCTGAAATCGACTTTGGATTTACTATTTTGCTATCAGGTAAGAATGGCACTGGGTGAAAATGATAGAAAACATCATCAAACTGACTTCATTTGCATAGCATTTTATTTTGGAACTTGGCCATGAAGCTCAATCTGCCTTGCAAAAACGACAAGACCTCAATCAAATTTGTGAAGCCACTGATGTTTCTGATGAAATCGAGGCTTACCAGCAACACAATATCTAATTAACTCCAACAAAGCACAAATCAAAACAAGAAGACTAGGTTATTGAAAATCATCGGTTTATATGAACAAGAATAGAATCCTGATTATGTTTATATTGTAGATCTTGCAAAATGGCCAAAATGATTGCTATTGATCATGACAACGAAATCAGATGTATCTCTTGTTATGATCTCCTTCATGGGAAACAAAAACAACTCCAGCGGTTTTTAAGTCAAGAATTGGGTGTGTCAAGCGGGCGAAGTAGCTTTTTTTTTTTCAATCTTCCTCCTTTTTTTTTTTTTTTTTCTATCATCCTCATATCCCGGTCAAGGCGCTTTCTCTTTTTTTCTTATTTTTTATTTATTATGTTTTTTTTTTAACCTTTCTTTATTCATGCCTTGGCCGTAAAAAATCAAAAGGGCTTTTAAAAATAGATGAACGTCTTTGCACTTGCGCTGGTATTTATCATCATATCTCCCCCCACCACTTATTCCAAAAGGTTATGCCGGTCAACCAAAAATAATTGATGTGTGTTTCTTTGTTTTATGTTATAGGAGCGACTCCTGGTGGCTATCGATAGTGGTATTGAAATGAACGCTAAAAATAACAACATCAAATGAAGGTAATTGTTGTCATACACTGTTGCGTGTCCAAAAAAGAGTATCCTTAATCCTTTCTTTGGTGAATTATGTGAAAAATGCTAGTTTTTTTATTTTATTTTATTTTTATCATGAAATAGTCAGTGAGTTTAAGAAATTTCACGTATTCTGATCGGAACCCTATCATGAATTTTGTACAAAAACATGCTGACGGTAATACTTTAGTTCGTCAATACTTTCTTTGATGTCGTCTAGTGCACGATGTTTGTTTCGCTTGATCATACTGTTGGCCACCTCAGGGTACCTTTTTTCCAATAATCAAAACCAAAAAAGTATCAATAACGGAAGAATACAAAATCTTTTTTTTTATTGCTTTCATTATTAGGTCCTGTCATTTCTCTGCTTACCATCGTTTAGTAAGCTCCTTGATAGTGCTTACATCTAAAGTCAACGGTAAACAAATATTAATTCATTTTAGCTTTTCACATTCAGAGCGTCAAAAAAAAATGAAGTACCTATAATACGGTAGTGAAGATAATCGATAATGGCAGGCATTTCCTTTTCAAGAAATCGTTTATCAGCATGGACTGAGTTGCCTGCCAAAGGAATTTTGCCTTTCATGTCAGGAAGCTGTTGCTTGATGAATTGTAATACTTGCTGCTCAGCTTGTTTGGTAGTAACTGTAGATTCCAATACTGCCTTGGTCAGTCCACTCTTTATAATAAAAAAATTGTATGTTGCAATGGTCAAATTCATATTGAAAGATCTCCGCACCATCAATCAACCAAAAACATTTTTTTTTTTTTTACCTTGCCATGATACTCAACACACCAAGCTAAAAAAGGAAGAATATATATATATATATATATATATGAATTTAAGAGTAATTTATCTTTAATCGATCAATAGTTCCCCTCTTTTCTCACTAAAAAAAAACCATCACAATAAAAGGACTTATTTCTTACGATTCATTGCCTCCATAACGTCTAGTGGCTGATGAATAATTATTTCAGGACCCTAGTTTGGTATAATAGGAATATGTCGTAAGGAAAAAGAATTCCTATTTGATAATAGGCATAAAATTATACAGTTACCTCTGCTACTATATTAAGATCGCCATCAGTAATTAAAACTGCTATTTCTATCAAGTGATCTTTCTCAAGATCCAATCCTGTCATCTTTTAACAAAGAGAGCAAGTTAATAAAGTTGGTGTCAACCTAGATCAAACTATCGATAATAGATAACAAAGCAAACTGCCATATTATTATTATTATTGTTGTTTTACTTCACAATCAATCCAAACAATATGGTTTTCAATCATTCTTGGCTTTAGTAGAAAAAAAAAAATTCCAGCAAAAGGAAATACTTGGCGTTCTGGGAAGACCAGTCCCTGAAACCTTTTGTGGAAACTGAGCGGCAATTGAAAAATATTTATATTTTAAAATCAAGTTGGTCATTCCTCATTCAATCGACAATTCTCCTCTCTTTCCTTTTTATCTTTCTTTTTTTCTTTTTTTTTTTTTCTCTCTCTTTCCTCTCTATTATCATGTCCAAACCTCTTTTGTCAACACAGACTGCACAACAACTAGGTGAATCCATTAGTGCTATCGGAAATGCAGATAATGATGAAAGATTTTCTTTTCTACGAAAATTCAGGGAAGATCGGTTATCCAACGTTCGTCCCGTCACTGACTTTTTCGATAAAAATCGCATCAATTTTACCTCTTCATTCCCTACCATCACCAAGCGCTGGAAGTAAGTAGAAAAAAAAAAAAAGAAATAATTGTTATCTAGTTGAATAGGATACATACTACAAGGTTCTAACTAGACTTTACTCTTATAAAACCATAGTTATAATTTGAACTACTTCTCTGCCAACTATATGCTCATCATGGTAGCTTTGTCCATCTACGCCATGTAAGGAAACTTGGAGTCGTGTTTTTATTCTTTATATGTTACTTCATACTCCCATTTTCTTTTTTATTCTATGGCGATAACTGATATGATTTATTTCTTATCAAAATATATATAGAATTACAAATTGGTGGTTACTTTTCACAGTTGCTTTCATTATTGGTGGATTTTATTTGATTTCAAGAATATCAGGTCCTGGTTTGGAAATTGGTGGAAATACTATTCCTAGCTCAACCTTGTATGCAACTTATGCTGGTGGTTCTTTTCTCTTGTTGTTATTTTCTGGAGCTACTGGTGCTGTCTTTTGGGTACTAGGTAATTGTCAAAATGAATTAAAAAGGAAATATATTTATATCTAAACTATGGTTTATAGGCGCTGGTGCATTGCTTATCCTTGGACATGCTGCTATCATTGAACCTGGTATTGAAGGTGATTTTGCTGACGAACAAGTATAGTATGTCCTTTCATCTCTTTCTCTCCCTCTCTTCTTCTTTTTTTTTAAAAAAAATAAAAGATATATTGTATCTTCCAAATCTCTATCAATTTATTTATCTTTTTTTTTCGAAATAAACATATGAAAATACTGTACATCAAACAGATCCTCTCCAACACCAATACGATCATTCAGGTCATTACTATAACATATGTGTTATATACATTATTAATAAGCCAATGCGCAACTTCTAGTCTCTCAATTTTATAAAATGAATTCAAATTAGATTTATATTCAAAGATGATTGATATCTAATCAAGTTGGTCCCTGAAAGTCATTCTCCAAAATCCATAAAAGGCAAAATGTCCTAGAGAGTTTCATTTTTTTGCAAGTCACTGGCAATTTTTTTTTTTTTTTTTTTTTGATAATTCATGATAATATTTGTTCTTTCTTGACTTTGCGAGTTTGCGTAAACCTTGTCTTTGAACAATATGACAAAACTAAAAGTACTTGAGTTTTATTCAGGTATTGGTGGCATGGTAAAGAGAATGTTATGACAGGAACATATTTATAAATAACGATCTAACTTATATATCTCTTTACTTTCTATTAGCACTATGCAGCGAGCCAGGCTGATTGGGATTTCGAGATATTAAAAGCTTTCGATATCAACGATATTGCTAATAATGTAAGGGAATTGCCTAGTCTTATATTTCATTTACTAATATCGCTCCAAAACTCTTTCTTTTTTGTTTATATTGACAGATATATCAGTATAACTTTGGCACCAACTTAATTGCACAAGTAAATGAAAAATAACTTTTTGTTCCCAAAGGATAGCTTTTTCCTCTTTTTATTATCTAATCAACGTTTATTTAGAAATTGATAGAGGGCCTGAATGTCGAATATTATGATAAATTGGCTGCAGACGTATGGACCATGTCGCCACCATGCCAACCTTATACACGAATAGGTTTACAACACGGTAGTCAAGATCCACGGGCAAAGTCTTTTCTACACCTATTGACTGTATTAGATAAAATGGACCATCCTCCGTCTTATATATTAGTAGAAAATGTCAAAGGATTCGAAACTTCTGACTCTAGAGATATGCTTGTGACTCAACTCAAAAAGACAAACTACGAATTTCAAGAGTTTTTACTTACTCCTAGCAAAAACATTGGCATACCAAATTCAAGATTAAGATACTATTTACTGGCTAAATTAAAGCCATTATCTTTTGCTCATCAACCATCCATATCAGTAACAAAAGATATCGATTCTAGCATGATACTAGATTATATTCCCTGTCCAGATGGTAATGACAGCATAAATGATAAGGAAAATATAGTAGAAGATGTTATTGCCAACTTTCTTGAGGCTGAAGTAGACTATCATGATTATGCCGTACCTGATAAAGTTTTGTTAAAGAACGGGCCTGTTTTTGACATTGTCACACCATCTAGTCGTCATAGCTGCTGTTTTACAAAAGGCTATTTTCATTATGCTCAAGGCACAGGTAACAAAGGATTTTGTTTGAGATGAATTGAATTTGGTATCATCAACTGAAATATTTTTCTTTATTTCATTTTATTACAGGATCTATCTTACAAACGAATGAGGAACTTGATGTAAGAAAAGTAACAATATTTTTTTCATAAAAGCTTCATGCAAATTAACTTTTTTTCCTATCTTTTTGTCATAAGACGGTATCGGTCTTTGATCAGATTCAACAGAACAAAGAAAATACCTCACTACAATTAGAGTTACTACATTCCTTGAAGCTTAGATATTTCACACCAAGAGAAGTTGCAAACTTGATGGGATTTCCTGCCGATTTTAACTTTCCAACAGCTACAACACGAAAACAGCGATACCGAACATTGGGAAACAGCATAAATGTCACCTTAGTATCTCATCTAATGCGTTATTTAATTATGGAACCTTCATCTACCAAGATAACTAGTTAAAAAAAAATAGATAAGCTTCCATATTAATTAATAAATTCTATGATTTGATATATATCGTAAAATCGTGTTCATTTGAAAAGAGACTTTTTTCTTGTATAGTGTAACAATCATTGGTATTGAATTAAAACGCCGATTTGACTAAGTTTTTTTTTTTTTTTTTTTTTTTTTTTTTTTTTTTTTGTTATTTATTTCTATTTTATTTTACTTTTTATTTTTGTCTTTTTGGTATGGATGGTTATGTCACTCGGCAGTCGCCGACCTGGCGTAATTGGTTCGCTTATAAACTTGGATTCACGGATTTACCCACACGTGTCAACTGTTGGTACTGCAATCAAACTTCATACCTACTTCCGGGAAGCAAACAAACTGTTCGTCATTGGTATTGTAGACTATGTGAAAACACCAATGCTATAGATCAAGTAAGCAACTCGAACGCCACTACTTTAGTATTTTGTTTTCTCAACTTTTCTATTAATTATATATCCTCTTTTATAATAGTATGGTGATATTATGGATGCACCTCCTATCCCTGAAACTTCCAGTACTTCTGCATATGGTATGTTCCTTTGTCCAATTTTCCATTCTCAAGTCTGACTAATTAAATTGCGTTACCTCGTATTAGGGTCTTCTCTTAAACAAAGAAAAAAGTATCAGCAATCTAGATCGTCCTCTACTACAATGCCGACAAAAGATCAAAGAACACTTTGCGAAAACTGTCAACGAAATCAAATTCTCATCTATCAATTCATGAGCGAATATCTACGAGATGAAAATGTACATACTTTTAAAAATAGAGTAAAATTGATATACATCTTTATTTCTAATTAATATTTTATTATTATTACTATTATTATTCTGTAGGACGCAGACTATGATTACCGTGTTCAGCACGCAAGGGAATACCAAGAGTCACTCAATAATAAGCATCCATTATGCGCAGAGTGTCAAGATAAATTACAAGATGTATTAGCAGAACAAAGAGATTCTTTACGAAGATTAAAGATTAATGAAAAACGACAGCTATCGATGCAATCAAAAATACCTACTCGTATATCTCTTTCTCAATATCGATGGTATGCCTCTTTTTGGTTGATTTTGCATAGTTCCGTCCTTTTCCTCTGCATATTCGGTGAGTCGAATTAAATACTACAAATCGAAAATTTTTTATTCTAACCTTCCCTCAAATAATTGTAGCTGTATTTTATCCTCCTCAACCGATAAATCATAATGAAACTTTGACGTCCATTCAAGACGCCTTAAAATTACTTTATTATTGTTTCCTTTACCCGTTTCAACAAAATGAGCAAGATCATACTATCATCTCATTATCATCATCATTGCCAAGAGCACCATCAATCTCCAGTCAAATAGAATGGCTCTTCTCACGCGATGCTGTAATCAAGTTTTTTTGGTTTACGGTCAATAACCTTAATTCTATGATGCGATTTATATGTTATGCTACATATCAGCTTTTTAGTTTTGTGATGGTTTCATCTCATTCAACCATAGACTCTACTATATTATTTGATGAAGATATTGAATCAGTGAAAATATCATCCTGGGATGTAACCGATATCGGCATATTCTGTTACATTGTTTTCTATACAATGTCCTTTCCCTATATGTACTGGCATATCAAAGTTTCAAGATTATTTTTTAAGCCCTCTAATCTTTTAGGTTGGCAAGTTTACAAAGTAATGTGACTAGGAGAAAGTAAATACAGGATAAACATATTTATATACCTTGCTAAAATCTACTCTCTCTTTTTTTTTTTAATTAATTTGCTCAAGGTGGTACAACAATGTCTTTATTTTAGCCGATTTGCATTACTTTTTTCACTAGCATATGGAAATTCCACAAAAATGATACAGTTCTGGATAATCTTTGGATGCACATACTTTACGGTAATCTGAATACATATATAAAATCGTATCATATGATGTTAATGGATAAAACTTGTTTTGATAGGTATTGATATGGTCTGTTCTATTCTTGAAAGTGAAAAAATCACCAAATGTGGACCAATGGCCAGGTAGAATTGTGGGAAAGAGTGGCAAAGCAAGCTCTGCTTCACAGCAACAAACAACACCAAATGAACAACGATCATCTTTTATGCATCCATGGTCTAGTTTCTCTTCTCCTTCCTCTCAGTATAAACAATCTATATCCCATACACCACAATATTCTAAACATCAATCCAATGGACCAGTTAAGCACGCTTGGTATAGTACTCCCTTCCATCTATTTTCTCACCAGGAAGATAAGCAAACAGAACAAAGCGATGTAGAAGTCGATGGTTTGACCGCTGATTTAGGCAGAATTAGTGTATGAAATCACACATTTTTTCTTACTAGCATCTATGTATTATTTTATCATTTCACAATAAAGAATCATGAAAAAAAAAAAGATAAGAAAAAAAAATGGTACACACGTTATTATGTGTTTTGTATGACTACTTCACCAGGTAGGAGAACATTGGAGACAAGGGAAGAATTCAAAGTGCGACTCTATTCGCTGGGGCGATATTGCTGGACAACATATGTAAATCTTTTGATGTGCACTGTTTTATCGACATTACTTTTTGGAAAAGGTTGCCCATGATGTTTAACACTTCGTCGCAGAGTCAAGAATCTATTATTGTAGTTGCTCCTTTACTGAAAAAAGTGGTGGAAATGGCTATGAATGAAAATATGTCAGAATATATCGATAATCCAGAGTCAATTGAAGATTCTCCTTTCGAAAGAACATTATGTGCCATTTGGGATCTTAGTACAATTCTTGATCATGCTATTGTTATGTACAATGCACAAGTCTATCGTATGTTGTTGAAAGTATGTAAAAAGTTTGAGGAAAAAAAAAAGCTACCGGTTTTAATAACATGTCAATGTATTCAGATCATCACAAAAACACCTCGAACAAGAACGCGGGAATTAGCTATGGGAATTCTCGCGAATTTAGCTTGTCACTACAACCCAATTGGCTCACAGTTATCACAAGACCCTGACCTTTTTAAGGTTTGCTATCTGATTCTATGCCACGAGAATGACGCTCATGTTCTTCTCGAAGTGACAAGGTAAAAAAAAAAAAAAGGTCAATATGTCCATCCATGTATTCAGTATGATTATGTAGGCTTCTGTCAACCCTCTTTTCATTCAGTCCCGGTCTATATCAAGTATCACAACAATCATCGAAAGCCTCATCATTGTCTGAAGAGCAAAATAACCTTGAAATAATAAAAAACCTTGCATTGTTCCTAACAGAGACCGATCCTGCTAGACCCTCTGTCATACATCAATACAGCAAGATTATTACCAATACATTACATACCGAATTACTACTTGCTAGTTTACAACTTATTATTAACGTCACGCAATTTCTCTGTTCTAGTGAAGATGACAACAGCTGTCATGACGATCAACCTCACTATAAAGAATATGATACTGACAATCATTCTACTACAGCTCACGCAGATCTGTCCTATGTTATATATTCAATAGTATCAAAAATGAAAGCACATGAAATACCGAAACTAATGGATTGGGGTCTTGATCGTTTAGAAGAACAAAAACGTGGAGTGGGTATCGGGATGGGTCTCAATAGAAAGATCGCGAAAAATGTCATGCGTCTTTTATGGTTATTTTTATACTATGACTTGGTGGAGTTGGAAGGTAAAGCACACAAAAAAGAATGCTACTAGGATAAACGTTTGCTTCTGTCAAGTGGAATAACTCTTTAAAATTAGATTTACCACAAAACTTGGCTTTAGATGCTAAAAGTAATAACGTCGCTGGTATCTTCATGGAACGATTAAAACCATCGATGGCTGGTATTATTGAATATATTCAACAAGAGGATGAATTAGATAAAACATCAGATGATAGAGAAATCGAACAGTTAGCAAATGAGTTGACTAGGCTAGCTTTTTGACCTGTAATAAAAGCGGTTATTTCGTTTTGGATAATCTAAACGTTATTGTGGTTACCTAAACATTTTTTTTTTTTGTGGAATATTGCATTGTGTTTGTTTGGCACATCGAAAAGAGGAACGGGCACAGCGAAAAGAGGAACGATAAAGCACATACACTTTGTGTTACAGGGTTTTGGAAATACTCGTGAAGATCAATGGAATTTGTTCAATCTTTTTGATCTGCTCCATAACAAAATAGTTGAAATAAAAATAAAAACTTTATATAATATAATAAAAAAAAAAAAAAAATGGAAAAACCTTATCTAACTTTTTGATCTATCTCTGTCATCACCTCCTGCGGTTGTTTTTTTTTTTTTTTTTTTTGTAATCAAATAGCGTTTGCAACAAGCTGTCCTTGCACTTTAGTATTACAATATTTTCAGCAGTACTTGTACTATAAAAATTTTCGGGTTTCTTCTTTTCTTCCATGATTGCCTGCATTGCCCCCTTTCTTGCTTCTTGGTTGGTATCGTTTAACTTGTTTTCCAAACTCTTCCTTTCTCGTTTGTCGATTATAGAATTTAAGGACGACATCTCCAGAGCACCAAAACTCTCCATAATCTCGGGAGAATAAGTGTTTTTCGTTTTACATGCCATCCGTTTCTTTAAAACCTTCTGATTTTTCGACAATAAGCTCATATTTGATTTGAAATCATTCATTGCTTCTTTGACGGCATCTCGAGCCCAAAGGGGTAGGCTGTCCCATTGGCTAAGGACAGATGGAAGTTTACTGAATAAAAAGTACAACTACTAAAAACCACTTAGTTAAAGAGAAAAAGGAACAAATCCTATAAAAAGAAATTCCATTATCGGATCATCGATATTCTAAACTAATTTAAATCTTTAAGGTGTTGAATTACCACAATATCGCCATCTTGTTTACAAGTTCAATTCTTTTTTCTTCATTTTCATCACCGGGAGACCTTATGATGCAACCAGCAATAGCGTGTCCTTCCTTTTTTAGATGATCTATTTGTTTTCGATACCGTGGGCCATATCTTGCAATTGTATCTATAACATTATCTATCGAAAAGGAAATGTAAGAAATATAAGCATTATCATTTATAAAAAAGAAACGGGCTAATAATATGTTTACCAAGGTATTCGTCCTTCAGTGTAAAAACTTCCCGATATCGATGCTTGCCCTGATCGTCGTCGAGTTTTCGTTTTCTGTTTACAGGAGCTTTCATTAAATGAATGCCTCTCTTCTTGCACCACATACCAAATGAAATCAAACTCTTGTCATCCAAGCAATCGGAATATAATGTCACCAACCGGAAGACATCCTTGATCGAGACGTTCTTTAGCTCGAAGGCCAGGTCATTTTGGGGATCATTAGGAGAGTACACTTCGTTTAAGAATTGCACGATTTGCTCCTGCGACGCTTTATAAGTATGTTAGTATAGGTACCAGGCTAATCGCATAGTAGGTTTGTTACTTACTAAGAAGTGTTTTTTCGCCTCGTTCTTCAGATACTTCGGATACTGTAGGTATGGCACTTAGGTATTTTCTGTTGCTGAAAGGATCAGTGTAGAACCGATGCAGCGGTGCCGACACTGGGTTCTTGGGATCAGTTTCATAACAGATGTCAACTTCACCAAAGAACGCACGGGTTGTCTAGCAAACTCAACTTCGGTCCTGGCCTGTACGTATGGTAATTTTGCCTTTTTGTTTTCTTAGTATTTCAATTAGCAATCTTTAGTAGTTTATGTTTATTCAATAGTCAAAACAGTATGATATATGAACTGAAAGAAAAACTGATAAAATAAAATACAATGATCCAAATAAAGTATTTTTTGTCACACAAAGGATATAAATAGTTACGTGAGTCACACATCTAAACTCTGTCTCTTTAAAGACCATACTTTCCACCTCACTTCTTCCATCTGGAAACCACAAACCTCGGGAACGCCGTTGAAATGTGAAATATATGGACATTTTCTCCCTTTTTATATCTCATTAGTTTAGCAATATATTGTTTTTCTTACAACTGTCGCACTGGTACGACTTTTTTGCACGTGATTTTTCGTCCAAGATAGTTCACTTGAAGGTTATTTGTGTTATCTTTTCAGCACAGTGCTTAGTTCAGCTCTGATTGAAAGGGAGTGATTTGTGTACGATACTTGTCCAAGTCTGGCGTCTTCCGCACTATTATGTCGGTGCATCACCAGGCGGTCGACTTCATAAGACGGTTTGGGGAAGTTTTGCCAGTTGATGCCACATATAATACAAATGATCTAAAGTTGCCACTTGTCAATATCGTTGGCTTCACTAATCTGGAGAGAGAAAAAAAATCAACACGAAGGTAATTTAGGTGTGCGATGATAAGGAGAGTAAAAACTAACTTCTTTTTATCTATTGCAGAACATTGTCATTGATCAGGATGTGGCGCTAGAAATTGAAATGACCTTCCCCGAGTGCCATCACAGGCTGGGTGTTTGGCACATTTCGAACAACCTTCGAAAAAATTACGAGAGATCATTTAGAAATGAAAATGGTCAACATGTAAGTACTATGCTGATTACTCCAATTGCACGGTAACTATAACCTTGTTCATTACCAAATTAGGACAAAGGGAAGGAATTAAGATGCAAGTCAGACACAGACATGCTCATTTACGATAAAGACGAGGACAAGTTCGTCGACAATAAAAAATGCATGTTAGTCATGCTACAAAGACAAACGCAAGATTAAACAAGATACTATTTGATAAATGTCGTCGCAAGTCAAGTTAGCGTCCATTTTGCTCAGAACCGTTGCAATGAAGGTCATCCAGCGTGGTCGCAATGCTGTTCTGTAATTTGACGATCTGAAGGAAATTGCGTCTCTGGCGGAAGGTACGGCTGTCTGGAAAATCATTACCAATGTGAAACGCTTGTTCTCAAACGACTCGTCCATTAAAGTCATTGGTAATGCATCTTTGAACAGCCAGCTGGTAGATTTGGCTGCTGCAATCGTAAAACAAAAGGAAGAACTTGACTGCAAAAAGATATTAGCTATTGCAAATACAATTTATGAAATACCTTTTATCTTAAATCCTGAAAAGCAAAATATAAGAATTTTGGTCTCTATTCCAGTCCTAATTAGCTCACCTGATCAAGTTTCGTACATCAGTAGAATTGGTTGATAGACCAGCAAAATCAAGAGATACCAGGCAGATATCCTTTTCCGTTGTCCCAAGATAAGAGATTAAGTCTATACGAAGAAAATATCAATGTCTTTTTCTTTATTGTCTTGGTTTTTGCCTTACCGTGCGTTGTCCCTTCGACGCCTACCAATTTTCGAAGAACCTCGCTATCTTTAAGGATATCCCGTTCAGAAAACAATTGCGATGCAGAGGAACTTGTGGATACAAAAACCTTGCTTGTCAAAGATCTTTCCTTCAGTTTATCAATCATGCTCTGTAGAAGTCTAGCTCTAGTATCGGAATCCTCAGGACCAAGAGATTTTCTTGCATATCCAATAATTTCATATCCTTCCATTTTGAGTTTTTCAAGAAACGCAAGATACGCTGGCAAGTAATTAGTGATTCTTCTGACGACATCACCTGTAAAAGTGCATTAGAATAAATTACATCCTGCAAAACATATTGCTTTTTTGCTTACCAAGGTATTCCTTTTTCATGACATAGATAGATCGGTATCTGCTGGTAACTTCGTCACCGTGTTTGGGTCTTTTTCTGAAATAATCGGCTTGTAAAAATTTGATCTTTCGCGAACTGCACCATTTCGCAAAGGCGTTTGGTGATTTGTTATCCAAGCAGCTGCAATATTTCATCAGTAAACGATATACTTGGCAAGTGGACATAGCTTTGGCTTCAAATAACGTCTTATTCAGAGGATCATAGGGCAGTAAAACTTCATTTAAGAAACAGATTGCTTGAACTTCCGTTCCTAATAATAAATATATAAATTGTATGCGATTGCCAAGTCCAATAAAAGTCAGTTAGAATATGAGCAAAATAAAACTGTTTGTGAATAAAATGGGCACACTTTACCTAGAGAGCGGTCAATTTCATCAGACGGTTCCCCTGTCGAGGTGGAGGCAATTTCAGAAGAGAGATATATGCGCCATGTAAACGGATCACCGAGTATTCTTTGACGCGACACCAAAACAGGCTGCTTTGGATCATTTTGATAGCAAATCTCCAGGTCTTCCATATCGTCAATTCTTTTCCTTAGCCTAATTATATTTTCTTCATTGAAAGGTTCATAAAAAAACATGCAAATAGCTTGATCCCGGCTAATGTTCATTTTTGTTGTATCTGGAAGAAGGCAATGAGGTAACAAAGCGAGGTAACGAGGTAACAGAATGAGGCAACGAGGTAACAGAATGAGGCAAGAGGTAACAGAATGAGGCAAGAGGTAACAAAACGAGGTAACAGAATGAGGCAACGAGGTAGCAGAATGAGGCACGAGGTAACAAAACGAGGTAAAAAACAGTCTGAACTTGAAATCTTCCGACATATATAAAAGGAACCAATCACAGAACGAGGTAACAGAATGAGGTAACAAGGTATTTTGCGACATCTCCTAGACGACAAGTCAACATCAAAAAATGCGACAGGATGATTTTGAAAATCCCGACATCCTTTTGGTGAAAACGCGACATCCTTTTTTTCCAGGTGTGACATCCATTTCAAATGTGCGACAAGTAATTCCGGAAACACTGTGGGGGTATTTGACTAGGCCCAAGCCCGTTCTCAGATTCAGTCTCACTAACAGTTTAGTGGAGGTTGAGACTCAGAACCACATCCCTTTTTTAAATGACTGACTTTTATCCACCAATAAACGATTAGTAAATATTTTAGATAGTTTAGTATATGGCTACCATCTGCCCAAAGTTTTTATTAATAAAAATTCTTACGCTTTGTCTCGTTACTCATTACGACTTACACAAATACCACAAGTATGATTATCCTGAAAATATCGTTATAGATTACAACTACTACGAAATCTGCGGCAGAATCTTAGCACAATCAGCCATTGGTGGCCATTTTTACTCTTATATCAATGATCCAAGTGACCCTGTGCTAATGTACAAAACACATATTTACAGCAATCCCTTGAAGTATCATGTTTACATATACAACAAGTCGTCACTGCAAGATGACCGGTATCTGATGAACCCAGATTAATACTGAGTAAGTACTTGCAAAGTAATAAACGCCATTATTCGCTTGTCATTTATACAACTTTTTATCGTTTCGGGACAGCAACTCAGCTTAAACAATTCCTAAATACGGTGTACATGGCCAATGATCCTTACAACAGCGAAGTGTACTCCAGTCAAGATGTTAGTATGAAACAGGCACTCAGTACAGTTTGGCAATATTCAAACTTACATGACGATAAACGTTAGGCGACGAATCGAAGAAAACTATTGTCAGCATGCTGGATTCAGGGGTTGAGCCCTCAAAGATCGTTGCCACCATGAGTAAAGACAAGGACATTATTACCACTGCCAAACGTGTTTATAACATCAAGCAACGTATGGGAAAGGAGGAAAACGATAAAAGCAGTCAGGATGAAAAGTTGGTAAAGAAGTTGAACAGAATGGAGGAAGATGGCTTCTTTATCGATGTGAAGGTGGGCAAGTCTGGTGCCTTTCGTGCCATCTTAATCATGCATCATCAGGCGGTCGACTTTACGAGACGCTTTGGGGAAGTCGTACTGGTTGACGCCACATACAACTCCAACGATCTGAAACTGCCACTTGTGAATATAGTTGGCTTTACCAACATTGGAAACAACCGCTTGTCGACTTTTGTTGCTGCTACCGTATTGATGATTAGCGAAGTGAAAGAGAATTATACCTGGGCCCTCCAATCATTTAGAAATTATGTCCGCTATCCTTTTTTTGTCATCCTTCTTGTCGTATCTAGACTGTGGGGCCGTAAAGTAGGTTATATTTCCGGACGTACTTATTTTCTGTCGACGGCTAAATTGGCGGCTTCGGGAAATTTTTATCCGAAATCTTTTTAAGGGTGACTCCTCCTTTTTTTTTTTCTTTCACTCTTTTTCTTCACTTTTCTTTTTTTTTTTTTTTTTTTGTATTGACCTTAGTCTTAGTATATCATTTTAGTAGTGTTTATTAGTCTTTAGTAGTTAAACTTTTATTCAATAAAGACTTTACTTTTATTGAAATCACTTCATTACATGTCAATCAATTGATTCCATCTTCGAATGTACTTTTTTTTTTTTTTTACATGCGAATGCATTCCTTTTTATTTTTTTTTTATAGATAAAGTATGAAATACGCAAATACGATAAAGACGAAAGAAAATTGTGTGATACTATATTAGTGTTGTTGACGGTTTAAACGACGGAATTGACGCGGGTGTTGGTTGCGAAGTTCTTCGAATAGCTGAAGGTATTCCCTTAATGTCGTTTCCATTCTTGTTGTTATATCTGGTGACAAGTTGGGTATTCTTCTTGCAGCTTCCAAGTCTTCTCTTTGATGGTATGCACTTGTGATCATGGAACTAATCGATTGAAGCTGGGCATCTACATTAACGGCTTCAACAGCAACGTCCAACTCTTCTACAGTGGCTTGATGGTCGACTTGTACTTCAGCAATATTGCCATCATCATCATCATCATCATCATCATCACCAGCGATTGCATCCAGATCCATATTCACATCGGGCTCATCTACGAACAGAATAAGAAATGTAAGTTGTTTTTTTTTTTTTTTTTTTTTTTAGTACCATCTCTTGATTCCAGGGTTTCCATGACTTCATGAAATTGTATGTATAATCCCGTGTATCTTTTCAATATATACATATGCTTACATGGTGCAAGTCTCTGTTGAAAATCATCACAAGTGCACGATTCAATCAACGTATCATCATTAACCTTCACTCTATACAGGGAATTTTCATTTGAAAAAGATCTTACAGACCAAGTACCAATAGGATTAGAAGGGCAGCTACTATTATCACCATCTGGATTCGTTATCATAGTAGGCATTCTTTCGATAGCAACAATGGATGCAAGGTACAACCTACGAGCTTGTTGATTTTCTATAGGACCCATTCGACCGTCATTGATACTTATTCTTTCCCGTTCTGCTCCATTAAAATATTCGACATGATGAGTAAGAATAAACACCAAACGATCTAAACGTCTGTTTCGCAATCTTTGGAAATACTTTGTTTTCAGTTGATTGTGCCATGATTCGATATAATTGTTTGTGAACATGTTGTAATGGGCTGGTGAAAGGTACGCTTGACTCCATCGTGTCATTGTTTCTTCATCCTTAATCCATGATTCTTCGAAATAATCCAAGAATTCATACTGACCACTATACTCCTCTTGGAAGCAAGCAACTCGAGTATGAAATTCATCAATTTCCTTCGCCACCAAAATACTTCTCAGGCTGATCAACATTTCTTCTCGAAGATTAGCAACATCACGAGCAGTATGTGATCCATCTAATCGAACTTTCTGCTTCAATTGCCTCTTCCATGCTTGCATGACGTGAAAACCACAGTAATGGATAAAAGTAGATGGAAAGGCAGCTTTGATGGCATTTACCTCGGGTACGGAACAATCAATGGTGACATATTGAGGACGAAAATTGCTGCTATCGCGTAGATGAACCATCCATTGATTAATGGAACCAACAGAATGATCATTGGTAAACATGTATGCTGATGGATACCCCTTGCCAGTAACGCGATCTCTGATGATCAACGTGTACATAACATCCATGGATTTGGAGGAAATGCCATGAGTGGCGTCCAAGCAAAAGGAAATAGAAGTACCCATTCTACGCTTTTGATCTGGTGATTGAAAACCTAGGGCAAAGAGGCTGGTGTTGCTACTGTAGGCTTGTAAATTGCCAGTGAATATGTTGTAATTGCGTAAAGGGAGGACCCTATTTAACCATATTCCTAACGATGTCATATCATCTCGATGGAATTCGTACAACTGGTGTTTGATCTGATATATACGTAAAAAAAAAAAAAAAAAAAAGAAATACTCTTAGTACAAGTCCGATTCATGCAAGCTGTGATATCTGTAAATGTGCGTGGAAGCCTTTTTTTTTTTTTTTTTTTTTTTTTGCTGTTAATGACATGCCTTCAACATTCTGTTATAGACATCCTCATAATTGACTGGTCTCAAGCTGGGATTGCCATCGTTATTTTCAATCCAATCATCAAGTTGTCGCATGATGCTAATTCGGATGTTGCTGCAATTACCACTCTGTCTCAATTCCCTCGTAATCAAGTCAATCGCTTGCGTGGTCAGTGGTAGAGTCCTTCGATCACTTCTTTCACCAGGAACATGACCGCTGTGTCCTCTTTGAAGAACGAACTCCATTATGTCAGGTGTACTGGCATACTGAGTCACCTTCAAACTTCCAGAACAGCCGCATTTTTTGGAAGGTTTTTGAGCAGGACGTTGAGAACGCTCCCTGACTGGATACTCTCCACTTCTGTGGCAGTGATAGGTTCGACTGTAAAGCACAGTCGCAAGTTCACGTCTACGTTTATAAGTGCGCAAAACACACCACTTTTCACAACACAATTCCTGTATCTTCAATCGACAGGCGTCCCACTCGTCAAATTGAACGCAGATAGGAACTTCTAAAGGAAGTTCATAAACACCTCGTACAGTTGTTGGGAGCAAAGCATCGCGAAGGTTGTTGGCAGTGTAGATAGTTGAGGACATGTTGTTATTTACGTAGATATCACTATAGTAAAGAAAAGGAAAATATAAAGAAAAACAAAGAGTAGAAGAAAAAAAATTTTAAAAAAAGGGGTATCACTATTTATTTCACAAGTAGTGTGGCTTGGTGACGAAGTCATTGGTTTGTCGTAGTAACTAATCCACAATAAAAACTTATATCGAAGTGAAGAATATTGGAATCGTATCGTATCAGCGTTTCTCTTATCTATAAAAAAAAAAAAGAGAAAATAAAAAGGAATGCATTCACATGTAAAAAAAAAAAAAAGTACATTCGAAGATGGAATCAATTGATTGACATGTAATGAAGTGATTTCAATAAAAGTAAAGTCTTTATTGAATAAAAGTTTAACTACTAAAGACTAATAAACACTACTAAATGATATACTAAGACTAAGGTCAATACAAAAAAAAAAAAAAAAAAGAAAAGTGAAGAAAAAGAGTGAAAGAAAAAAAAAAAGGAGGAGTCACCCTTAAAAAGATTTCGGATAAAAATTTCCCGAAGCCGCCAATTTAGCCGTCGACAGAAAATAAGTACGTCCTATATTTCCAATCGACTGACTTTAAATATAACCACTTATTTGGAATATTGTGCGACCTCATCACCATCAAATGGATTTGAACCTCGTACTTCTGGATGAAATTCTGATGATCTGGATCACGGTTTAAATCTTTTCCCGATGATTTCCTTTTATATCAAGCAACCTTTTTTATTTATTTTTATTCGGATGAACTAAACTATTCATATACAGATAACTATTTTACGTTCAGATGTATTTTCTTTTTTTTTAGGGAAGGGTTAAGGACACCCCCCTTCGGACACCCCCTTCTGTTGAAATACAAATTTTTTCTCGGGATTTCAAATTGTATAGTCATGTATGAACGCAATAACAAGGTACTACATTGCCTTCTTTCTTTTTTTATCGTGAACAATAAAAACCCTATAAATAAAAATATATTTCTAATAATAAATTTGAATCTACGAACATAGAATGGTTAATTCGACAACTGAGAACGACATTCAATTGCAAGTTGGAATGGTATTTGGTAGTATGAATAGCGCCCGTGATCATTGTGTGGAGTTCTCACGCCGAAATGGATTTGTCTTGACAACGATTAGAAGCGCTAAGGACAAAAAGCTTGTGCTTGGATGTGGTCACTTCGGCAACTATCGTAACACGCGTGGCAATGACATCAAGAAAAGAAGTCGCGATTCGACTAAGATTGGTTGTGGGTATTACGTGAAGATTGCAGCATCTCAAAACGGGACAGTATGGACAGTAATGTACCTGAACGATGAGCACTCTCATCCATTAGCGGGTTCGATTAGCATTTACCCTCGTCATCGTCGTCCTAATGAACATCAACTCCAGTACATTGTGGAAATGATCAACAATGGCATCTCAAACTCAGCAATTGTACGAGGAATCAACACGAAATTCGGTGACTCAGTCAAGGTTATCGCTGACGATATCAAAAACATCCGACGCAGGTTCAAAAACGTGGAATCATTTGACCAGACGAAGAAGCTTTATGGATTTATTGGTAGACTTGAAGATGCGGGTTATGACGTGCGATTTCATGCTGACAGCTCCAATGAACTTTCAGCCTTTTTCTTCACTCATCACAAATGCATTCAGCATGCAAAATATCACGGTGACGTTATAATCATGGACTCGACATATAAAAACAATCGATACAAGTTCCCTTTGGTCAATATGGTGGGTGTATCAAACGTCGGATTAACTAATGACGCCAACGTTATAGCCAATTTTCCTGTTGCAGGCGCTTGGATTGGATCTGAAACTACTGAATCATTTAAATGGGTGCTACAACAATTGAGGTCTTGTATTTACGATCGTCACTCATTAATGGGACCCGATGTTATACTAACTGATAATGACCAAGCTTTGATTTCTGCTATAGACACGGTCTTTCCCTCTTCATCACACTTACTTTGCACGGTCCATCTGTTAAAAAACTTCGAAAAACATCTAAAGCCATGCTATATCAACTACTCTGCCTCCAAGTTGGGTGATGCTTTGGGGTTAATCAAAAAAATTTGCTTTTCATACACTGACAAGGAATATGATTCAGCTTACAGTAACTTTCATGACCATATCACGAATTACATGAAGAATAATGGAAAAGCAGCATTGGATTATTATGAAAAGTAAGTGACCAGCTTATTATTTTTTTATCTTTTTTTCTCTCTCTCTTTTTTTTTTTTTCTCTCTTTTTTTCTCTTTTTTTTTTTTCTCTTTTTTTTTCTCTTTTTTTTTTTTTCTCTCTCTTTTTTTTTTTTTTTTTTTTTTTTTTTTTTTTTTTTTTTTTCTCTCTCTCTCTCTCTCCCTTTTTTTTTCTCTTTCTTTTTTTCTCTTTTTTTTTTTTTCTTTTCCTCTTCTTTATATACACAATTTATTTATTTATTTCTTCTTTTATAGAATGATGCAAGTAAAAGAAAAATGGGTTGGCCTTTATGCTGGTCATGTACCTCATCTGGGCAACAGAACGACAAACTGGGTGGAAGGTGCACACGCAAAACTGAAGCAACTTGTGACCCACACAAATGCTAGTATGGAAACAGTATTTGAGAGTATTGATAGATGGTACTTCGGAATGGTAAGTCTTAATGAGCGACTATTGTGAATAATGAAACTGACTTACTGCATTTATGTTGTACGTTTTAATAGTGGGAAAAGATTGAACAGCGTACCGAGATCGAATCCTTCAAATACAATCCTTCATTCATGCTAGATAAAGATGCTCATAGGATGAATCACTTACGGCTCAAAATCAGCAAGTTTGCATTCAATCGATTGAAAAACGACGTCGTACCAGCCTCGTATAGAGTGAACAAGAAGGATGACTGTGAATGTGAAATCAAAATCCAGTACAAGTTACCATGCGCTCATATGATTTCTGGTGACTCTTCTCCTATACCGTTAACTGCCATTCATCCTCGTTGGATCTTGAAAGAAGATGACATACCTAACAATGAATATATTTACGGTACAGTAGTAGCTAACTGTAAGAATAACAAACTATATGAATACTCATCTTTAGTTTATATCATACTGTAGGCACGAATGATGATGACAAGAAGGCTTGTGGTAATGGTGAGGTCAAGGTGCCCGAAATGATTTATGACAGCGATGACTATTCGGTGATTGATTTAGTGGACGATAGCGATGATGACAATACACCTGCATCACTGACTGAAAAAAATGTTATTATTATTGATTCTGATAATGATAATGACGATATCGATTTGGTACCTACGACTGACAGTAATCCATCTTTTCATAACAATGCTCATTTGACCAGCGGTGATGACAACAACGATATTAACGTGAATGAACCAGTAACAACCAGTCGTGACCATCTCATCGCGCGTGGAAGTGAAATGCTTTATCTGATACATTCCAGGCTTAACTCTGATATCACCAATCAAGAACGACAGGACATTCTCAACATGTTGGAAGCTATATTGGATAAGTCTCATCATGAAACAGCATTGAATCTGAAGCAACCGGTAAAGAAAGTTAGTACCAAAGGACGTCCAGCATCTAGTAAGCGTGATAGGGCGGCATGGGAAGATCAAAGTTCACAGCAAAGGAAGAAGATGAAAAATACAAGAAACAGTGATCATGAAACGGTAAGTGATGTTATGAAAGTGGATAACCAGACGAAAGTATGTGATCAGCAGGTGCAAAGCTTTATTAAGAAGTTGACGATCATCGGGCCTAAGGAACCAAGGTAACAAGCTACATACTGTATTATCATAGGAGAAAATGGCAGCGCAAGTCTCATGTTTTTTTTTTTTTTTTTTTTTTTTTTTTTAAGTTTGCCCTCTAAAAAAGAACCGCTGAACAAAACGACATTCAAGAATGAAACAGTGACAGATGTGTACAATCCCTTTGGTGACGGCAACTGTGGTTATCGATGTCTGGCCAAGGCTATATACGATGATGAAGAGGCATACGGTGAAGTCAAAAAAGCCATGAAATCAACATTGCAACGGGATGTGAAAGTATTTAGCAATTTTATCGGCAATGATGAAATGAACGATTTGAAGGCATCTTTAGACTCACGTGGTAATTGTTTAGATGATGAATCGCTTTGGTTTCATGCAATGGATGGATCGCAGCTGGCCGCCAATACATTCAAACGACCAATTGAACTTCATTCGAGTGATGGTGATATCGAGTTTTCTACATTATTCTTGCCACTTATCAAAAAACAGGAATATAGTAGCTTTACGCCAATTGTAATACAACTAGCACGACACCACTATTATCTTGTCAGTTTGCGAACACCACGGCGTGGATTCCCTGATATTAGCTGCTATTACAAGGCTATCTGTAGACGTTACGACTTTGATGATATTAGTGCATCATATATTAAATATCAATAACATGGTAACAATAAACGTTAATCACTTTCTTCTTTATAGGTCTCTTATCACACACTATCGGTATCAGTAGGATTTGGATGCAATGGTACAGTAATTTATTTTAGATAGCCCTTCTCTTTTTTTTTTTTTGGTGTTGAAGGAATGGAATTTTTGGGATATCTTAGTAACATTTATATATCATATTAAAAATAAATATTTTGTTATGCTTTCATCTATTGAAATCTTTACTCTCTTTTTCTGTATCATGGTTTTTTTTGAAATCCCGAGAATTTTTTTTTGTATTTCAACAGAAGGGGGTGTCCGAAGGGGGTGTCCTTAACCTTTTTCTTTTCAGGATTGCTCCGCTCACGACTTTTCTGACTGGTTTTTCACAACTTTTTGCGCACAACTTTTTGTATCTTCCCGTTTAAAGACACTCCAATACAAAAGACATCTGTATTATTATATTCCAATACAAAGGAAATAATTTTTACGATCTTTCGTGTATAATAAAACCTCTTCTCTGTGTGTTAAAGCATCGAATTATTGTATTCAAATTTATTACACTAAATGAAATGCTTTAAGAAAGTAAACGCATTATACTTACTTTCGCTTCTTTCTAAATTCCTCTTTTTTGTTCTCTCTTTTTCTTTTAGGCGCTCTCAGGATTAAACGTATCTTCTTTGCTGTCGCTGTTCGAGGTGTGACTGGAGAGGACGGTGAAGAAGATAGTGGCGATACATATGAAAATGGAGATTCCGATAACGTGGGAGATAATGGAGAAGGGGACGATAAGTGTGGAGACATGGATAGATGTGTGGATCGTGGTGGTGGAGAGGGTACCCATTTTTGTCTACCAATGAGTGCCTGACTGATCATTTTAACGAAATTGAGGTGAATAGTATAATAAAATGAGTATAATAAAATGTAAAAACTATGAAGAAGAGATGATATAACGATTCTCACGCAGGATATAGAGTATGACGAAAATTTGAACCTAAAAAGTTGTAAACAAAGGCTTGTACACAATACTCTTCTTTATTCATACCAAAAAGGTTGCTCTCTTCTCTACTTATCATTGTAATGAAAAAAATGATACAATAAATTTCATGTACTGTAGAAGGTCTCGGATGAAAAGTTGTGCATCAAACGTTTTGCATAAAACGTTGTGCGCAAAAAGTTGTACGCAAAAAGTCGTGCGCAAAAAGTTGTGTGGCGCAAAAAGTTGGAAAAACCAGTCAGAAAAGTCGTGAGCGGAGCAATCCTGTTTCTTTTTTTATAAATTGAATTTCCCTAACAAATAAAATAAAAACAAGTTTCTTTTAGTCAAATACCTGTCCCAACTATATATTTTATATATCATAAATTGGTGAGACTACCAGGGGCAAAGAATTTTTTTTTATATACATATATATTTTCCTTTTTTTTTTTTTTACTTATCTTTGTTATTGCTCCACAATGTCTGATTTTTCCTTGACTGGTCGTGCTGCTCGTTTTTTGGGTGAACCATCGTCTTTTTCTGGCAAGATTGACGAAAATCCTGTTGGATGGTTAAAAAAAATGGATCGTATTCGAAAAGGTGCTGGACTAAACGATGATGATGCTTCGTTGGTTGTGGGTTCGCATTTGAAAGGACTGGCAGAGATATGGTGGTCGCTTAACGAAGAAAAAGTAAAAACATGGATGGATTTTGAAATGCTTTTTAAACAGAAATTTTGTCGACTGTCAAGCGCAATCATCTGGCAAGATATTCATAATCTAAGACAAGATGATGGTGAATCCGTTGAAGGTGTTGCTTTAAAGTTGAGACAATTGTTCAGTCCAATTAATTCAAATGATGATACTCCAAAGGTATGGCTTATTATGACAAGATGTGACTGGTACAAAAATTGGCCTAGTTGGATCCACGATTATTATGAAGATGCCAGTTTTGAAACCGATTGAGTTGAGAAACAATTCATCTATATCCGATAATCAATGGTCAGACCATTCACAACATAGGAATATATTGACCAGATCTTGTCATTCAAGTAATGATATTAAACTGTTTTATAATATTGTCACTAATACTTTTGATGATGAATGGATTCAAGTTTGCAGAAGTTATGGTCATGGTATTTTTAATACTTATGTATGTGATAGTGTAGAAATTAGAAGTGGTGTTGTGGTTAGTCACAAATTTGAAGGTTCAGTTAGGAAATTGTCAGTTTGTGACGAATTTAGTACTTCTCGAAACGTCGCTGAAGCCATTGGTGATGTTGAAGGGAGTGCTCTCAAGTTTTTCTAGATAACTCAAGTTTTGATCCAACAATCTCGAAATATTTTGTTGAAACGCGTTGGCGGCTAGACAAATTTTGGGTTCGAGATGGGATTTGTCGTATCATGAAATAAAAAGTCGTTAGATGAATATAGATCTGAGACATCTACCACACAAAATCTATTGTTCTTCCAATAATCAATCTATTTTTGTTTTATTTCTGTAAAGCTGTGAGTGGGGCATGTTTTTTTTTTGTACAGCTATAAGCGGGGCATGTTTTTTTTTGTAAAGCTGTGAGTGGGGCATGTTTTTTTTTTTGTAAAGCTATGAGCGGGGCATGTTTTTTTTTGCTATTGATAAGGTATTGAGTAGCGGTATTTAAAGTTTGCGCCAATGCGTGTTTCATCTCTTTCCGTACTTTTTTTTATAGATAAAAGACCCCTTCTTTTCCCTTCCCGTTTTTCTTTTTTTTTTTTTTTTCAACGAACAACACCACTGATCCTACTACGTTTCTTGGTATGCTCACTCATGACCATTTTGACTTGTATTAAGATGACATCTCGAGTCGTGACATGGATCCCTTAGCTAGTCCATCGGCAACAGAGAGCCAACCAACAACAGACACCACCCAATTAGCAACCGCAGAACGTCCAAGTAAGCGTCAAAAGCGGAGTGGTCTATGAACATACTATATGGCAGCTGACAATGGCGAAGGGGTTCAATGTTTGTTGTGTTTGGAAAGCAATAGACTAACTATACTATAGCACCTTTTACTAACTATTATATTTTTTCTTTCCTTAGATAATGAATGGTAAAGTGCCTCAATGGATCTACATCAGGGCAATGAAAGCATCTGAAAGCGAAGCATACAAACGTTTACAATGACTTGAAGAAACAACCTAATAGAGCGCAACGGAATATTGACGAACTCTTCCAAAGGTAATTGAGATAGGCCGAAGAAGGATATATTGTTTATGTATTGACTCTTTTTTTCAGGCAAATCGTATTTGATAACGATAGGTTTAACGTTCTGTCGGCTGAGTGGGTGGCCGATGATGATCAAGCCTTTACTTCTGTGGAATCCCCTTTTTTTCAAGAAGCTGATTTCCTATATCAATGCTTTTGGGTCCATACCATCTGCGGTTACTATTCGTAATCAGATTGTCCACAACTAAAACAAGAACCGTTCAAGTTTGGTTTCTCAATTATCGGTATATTCGTTTCTTTTTTTTTTTTAATTGTGTTGTGGTAATTTAGTCAAGTTCCCTTTCTATCCTTTACTGTACAAACCAAAAAAAAAAAAATGCCCCGCGAAAAAACTTTGTGCAGGCTGTCTTTTTTTTTTTGTGCAGGCTGTCTTTTTTTTTTTTTTTGTGCAGGCTGTATGTGCAGGCTGTCTTTTTTTTTTTTGTGCAGGCTGTCTTTTTTTTTGTGCAGGGTGTTTGTGCAGGCTGTCTTTTTTTTTGTGCAGGGTGTTTGTGCAGGCTGTCTTTTTTTTTTTTTGTGCAGGCTGTCTTTTTTTTTGTGCAGGGTGTTTGTGCAGGCTGTCTTTTTTTTTTTTTGTGCAGGCTGTCTTTTTTTTTGTGCAGGGTGTTTGTGCAGGCTGTCTTTTTTTTTTTTTGTGCAGGCTGTCTTTTTTTTTGGGACGTACTTATTTTCTGTCGACGGCTAAATTGGCGGCTTCGGGAAATTTTTATCCGAAATCTTTTTAAGGGTGACTCCTCCTTTTTTTTTTTCTTTCACTCTTTTTCTTCACTTTTCTTTTTTTTTTTTTTTTTTTGTATTGACCTTAGTCTTAGTATATCATTTTAGTAGTGTTTATTAGTCTTTAGTAGTTAAACTTTTATTCAATAAAGACTTTACTTTTATTGAAATCACTTCATTACATGTCAATCAATTGATTCCATCTTCGAATGTACTTTTTTTTTTTTTTTACATGCGAATGCATTCCTTTTTATTTTTTTTTTATAGATAAAGTATGAAATACGCAAATACGATAAAGACGAAAGAAAATTGTGTGATACTATATTAGTGTTGTTGACGGTTTAAACGACGGAATTGACGCGGGTGTTGGTTGCGAAGTTCTTCGAATAGCTGAAGGTATTCCCTTAATGTCGTTTCCATTCTTGTTGTTATATCTGGTGACAAGTTGGGTATTCTTCTTGCAGCTTCCAAGTCTTCTCTTTGATGGTATGCACTTGTGATCATGGAACTAATCGATTGAAGCTGGGCATCTACATTAACGGCTTCAACAGCAACGTCCAACTCTTCTACAGTGGCTTGATGGTCGACTTGTACTTCAGCAATATTGCCATCATCATCATCATCATCATCATCATCACCAGCGATTGCATCCAGATCCATATTCACATCGGGCTCATCTACGAACAGAATAAGAAATGTAAGTTGTTTTTTTTTTTTTTTTTTTTTTTAGTACCATCTCTTGATTCCAGGGTTTCCATGACTTCATGAAATTGTATGTATAATCCCGTGTATCTTTTCAATATATACATATGCTTACATGGTGCAAGTCTCTGTTGAAAATCATCACAAGTGCACGATTCAATCAACGTATCATCATTAACCTTCACTCTATACAGGGAATTTTCATTTGAAAAAGATCTTACAGACCAAGTACCAATAGGATTAGAAGGGCAGCTACTATTATCACCATCTGGATTCGTTATCATAGTAGGCATTCTTTCGATAGCAACAATGGATGCAAGGTACAACCTACGAGCTTGTTGATTTTCTATAGGACCCATTCGACCGTCATTGATACTTATTCTTTCCCGTTCTGCTCCATTAAAATATTCGACATGATGAGTAAGAATAAACACCAAACGATCTAAACGTCTGTTTCGCAATCTTTGGAAATACTTTGTTTTCAGTTGATTGTGCCATGATTCGATATAATTGTTTGTGAACATGTTGTAATGGGCTGGTGAAAGGTACGCTTGACTCCATCGTGTCATTGTTTCTTCATCCTTAATCCATGATTCTTCGAAATAATCCAAGAATTCATACTGACCACTATACTCCTCTTGGAAGCAAGCAACTCGAGTATGAAATTCATCAATTTCCTTCGCCACCAAAATACTTCTCAGGCTGATCAACATTTCTTCTCGAAGATTAGCAACATCACGAGCAGTATGTGATCCATCTAATCGAACTTTCTGCTTCAATTGCCTCTTCCATGCTTGCATGACGTGAAAACCACAGTAATGGATAAAAGTAGATGGAAAGGCAGCTTTGATGGCATTTACCTCGGGTACGGAACAATCAATGGTGACATATTGAGGACGAAAATTGCTGCTATCGCGTAGATGAACCATCCATTGATTAATGGAACCAACAGAATGATCATTGGTAAACATGTATGCTGATGGATACCCCTTGCCAGTAACGCGATCTCTGATGATCAACGTGTACATAACATCCATGGATTTGGAGGAAATGCCATGAGTGGCGTCCAAGCAAAAGGAAATAGAAGTACCCATTCTACGCTTTTGATCTGGTGATTGAAAACCTAGGGCAAAGAGGCTGGTGTTGCTACTGTAGGCTTGTAAATTGCCAGTGAATATGTTGTAATTGCGTAAAGGGAGGACCCTATTTAACCATATTCCTAACGATGTCATATCATCTCGATGGAATTCGTACAACTGGTGTTTGATCTGATATATACGTAAAAAAAAAAAAAAAAAAAAGAAATACTCTTAGTACAAGTCCGATTCATGCAAGCTGTGATATCTGTAAATGTGCGTGGAAGCCTTTTTTTTTTTTTTTTTTTTTTTTTTGCTGTTAATGACATGCCTTCAACATTCTGTTATAGACATCCTCATAATTGACTGGTCTCAAGCTGGGATTGCCATCGTTATTTTCAATCCAATCATCAAGTTGTCGCATGATGCTAATTCGGATGTTGCTGCAATTACCACTCTGTCTCAATTCCCTCGTAATCAAGTCAATCGCTTGCGTGGTCAGTGGTAGAGTCCTTCGATCACTTCTTTCACCAGGAACATGACCGCTGTGTCCTCTTTGAAGAACGAACTCCATTATGTCAGGTGTACTGGCATACTGAGTCACCTTCAAACTTCCAGAACAGCCGCATTTTTTGGAAGGTTTTTGAGCAGGACGTTGAGAACGCTCCCTGACTGGATACTCTCCACTTCTGTGGCAGTGATAGGTTCGACTGTAAAGCACAGTCGCAAGTTCACGTCTACGTTTATAAGTGCGCAAAACACACCACTTTTCACAACACAATTCCTGTATCTTCAATCGACAGGCGTCCCACTCGTCAAATTGAACGCAGATAGGAACTTCTAAAGGAAGTTCATAAACACCTCGTACAGTTGTTGGGAGCAAAGCATCGCGAAGGTTGTTGGCAGTGTAGATAGTTGAGGACATGTTGTTATTTACGTAGATATCACTATAGTAAAGAAAAGGAAAATATAAAGAAAAACAAAGAGTAGAAGAAAAAAAATTTTAAAAAAAGGGGTATCACTATTTATTTCACAAGTAGTGTGGCTTGGTGACGAAGTCATTGGTTTGTCGTAGTAACTAATCCACAATAAAAACTTATATCGAAGTGAAGAATATTGGAATCGTATCGTATCAGCGTTTCTCTTATCTATAAAAAAAAAAAAGAGAAAATAAAAAGGAATGCATTCACATGTAAAAAAAAAAAAAAGTACATTCGAAGATGGAATCAATTGATTGACATGTAATGAAGTGATTTCAATAAAAGTAAAGTCTTTATTGAATAAAAGTTTAACTACTAAAGACTAATAAACACTACTAAAATGATATACTAAGACTAAGGTCAATACAAAAAAAAAAAAAAAAAAGAAAAGTGAAGAAAAAGAGTGAAAGAAAAAAAAAAAGGAGGAGTCACCCTTAAAAAGATTTCGGATAAAAATTTCCCGAAGCCGCCAATTTAGCCGTCGACAGAAAATAAGTACGTCCATCAAATGACAGCTGTTGCACAGACTAGTTGAATCACCAATCAGAGTATTCATTAATATCTTAATACGGAGTGTAGTATTTGTGTAAGTCATGATAAATAACGAGACAAAGCGTAAGAATCTTTATTGATAAAAATTAAGTTGAAGAGAGAACGGAACAAATCGTATAAAAAAACTCTTTTTATAAATAAACTATCAGATTATTCTGTAATCTTGGTCTCCACTATCGGATTATCAATATTCTAAATTCTGATTTAAATCTTTGTGTTGAATTACCACAAGGAGTATTGGTATTGATCAGTATTTTATTAATAGCGATGTTTGTCGGGACGGTACTGCTCATTGATCAATACCAGGTATTGAGGGCTTTTTTTCTTGATACCTCACTTGAGACGGTACCGAATTAAGAGGACCTAATGCACATACACATATAAGAAGAGAATTCCAAATATTTACACCATTTAACAAGATCAATCGTAGCTTTTCTTTAATTTCATCCACCGTCTAACATCCATCATCCATCATCACATACTATCCATCACTGATCATTCGTTAAATCATCATCCCTAATTTTTTATTTCCAGGCATTCGCCAATTTTTCTGAAAAGCAAGCACTAAGAAAAATTGTTCGGTTGTACCATAATCCAATATACATAAGACAACTGTAGCTAAACTATAAATCCATCAATACATCACCAGCTTCATCCATGTAAGTATTCAATTCGTCATCCAATTTTGCTTGAGCCGTTTTAGGATCTTTCATCATATAAGAGTCCAGTGCCTTGTCGAGATCATCCGCCGAAACAGCCTTCTTGCCTGTATTTGTTTTCTTCTTGTTAGGAGCTGCTGATGTTATTGCTTTTTTTCGGTTGTTGCCTGATCGAATTTGCTGTGCCCTTGTCTGAGGTTTCATTGTTTGTTTTCCGCGTTTCGTCAATCCAGTATTTCGAACAATAGCATGTGTACTGAGTCTGCTTCTCACACTTTGCTTCAAATCACGTTTTCGAATATTGCCGCCACCAGAGACTTTACCAAGTCTGTTTTGGATACTGGATCTGTCGTTCTTCTTGCCCACTATGTTAGAGTTACTAGCACAAATACGACTAAACACACTATCGGTTCGCTTCATAGATATAACTGATCGTTTAACATTTGTTGGTTGTGATGAAGTTGATTGTTCAAGACGGCCAAATCTATTAAAAGAGATTCATGGAACAAAAGACAATGTCATTAATCAATCTATTACAATTACATAAAAGAAAAAAAGGTTCTATATTATATCTATTCGGTTTTTGTTACCTTTCGTTTAAACCACCAGGATTTCCCACTGTAACAACACGTCGATCTTGCATTCTTTGAAAAGGTGCCATAGTCTATCAGATAAATAGATCATTGTATCCATGTAAAAAAAAGAATTAACAATTATTAGAGGTTCATTAAATAGAGTTTCTTTCTTTTAATACATCACACTTTCTTTTTTATATTACCTATTTCAATAATTGATGTGATCTAGTACTTGAAATATGTTAATGGAAGAGAAAAGAAAACGACAAAAAAAACAACAACATTCGCATCTACATTTTCTCCTTTCATATCATTGGTGCTGGGTTACAACGCCTTAAAACCAACCTTATTCTGAACTTGAAATTCAACAGAACACAAATGTACCAATCATATTTAGACGGCAATACCAGCCAATGACAAGTCCAATAAATAATGACCAATCACAGGAGACCGGCAATATACTGACCAATCATATGAGATCGGCAATATACTGACCAATAATATTGGGACGGCAATTCTGACCAATCAGATCGCTTGACTCTCTTCTTAGTAAAATTTGGCTGGTGCAACGATTTCTCTCGAATTCATTTCTCAGTTTGCTTTTTGCCTATCCGAAACATTTCTCATATTAACCTCCTTGTAGTAGCTAGGGACGGCATTCTCGTATTTTAGGTTTTCCAGATAGACACACTTCTGTCATTTATAGATTATTGAAATATCGCCATGATATTCCACATATCTACGGAGATTAAATAAAATTTAAACCCATATATGGCAATTAAATTTGATTAATCCACATTTGGAATTTTACAATAATAAAATACTATATATAGTAATGCAATATTCACACTTAGTTTCATTCCCCTATTTGGAGGTTTATATTAATAAAATTCCAAATATGGAATAAAGAATTAAAATTGCCATATATGGGTCTAAAGCCGGTCGATACTTCCCGAACAACACTATTATGCAGGAAATTTATCCCGATGATATGGGAATAGAGAAGTACTATCTCCAAGATTCCTAAAATTAGCAATAACCCTACCTCTCACTTCAAAGTTCACTAATATCAGAAATGCTTTGGATATAAAACAAAAAAAAAAGAAATGCTTTGGATTGGCAAAAATAAAACTGAGAAATGAATTCGAGAGAAATCGTTGCACCAGCCAAATTTTACTAAGAAGAGATTCAAGCGATCTGATTGGTCAGAATTGCCGTCCCAATATGATTGGTCAATATATTGCCGTTTCCAAATGATTGGTCAGTATATTGCCGTCTTCATTTGATTGGTCATTATTTATTGGGCCTGTCACTGGTTGGCCAGTTACTGCCGCTCGTAAATGATTGGCGAATATTTAACCGTGTTTCTAAGCAATTATAATTGGGCAACGTTGATCAGGATACCTGGAGGTTTATTGAAACCAAAGGCATTGCTAATAAGGATCAAAATCCCCAAGTCAACGGAATAGTAATGAGTCATCAGCATGTGTTTTTTTTCTCTCTAGTCTCTTTATATTCTTACTATTTCAATGAATAAAACCAAAAAAAAAATTTTTTTATTTTTTTTTTTTTTTACTGCATTGTAATTGTGTTGTAAAAAATAAAAAAAAAAAAAGAAACGAATAAGTAACACCATATTAGATCTTCATAAAAAGAACCTGCGAGAGTGTGCCATTTACAGATATCTAATTCTTTAATTTCTACATTCTTTACTCTGCAAACATAATATACTGATTAAGTGCTATCACATACGCATGAAATGGTATTATTGTTTATTATTTTTATCTTTGTTATAATAGCATATATAGCTATTATGAGGAAAGACTCAGTCATACCGATTTGAGTGTTCACACAATTTTTTTTTTCGGATTTGCGTGTACACACAAAGTTCCGCCTCAAATTTGTGTGTACACGCACTTTTCTCCGGAATTTGTGTGTACACGTAAAATATCGTCTCCCAAAATAATACGCGTACTTTTATTTTCATTTTTTCATTTTTCTTTTTCTCTTCCATTGACTTTTTTATGGTTTTATTATATACATTAGTATAGTTATTACTTTACACATTTTTTTTATTCAATAAAGTTTTTATTTTATTACAACTATTTTTATTACATATCAACGGGGTCATTTCCATCTACACGATGTATTATATGTATGAATGCATTCTTTTTATTTTTAATATACTCTTATATTACAGGTACGGAATACGCTGACACGACAGAAGGTACAGGCTTTTGATTTGATGAGGCGCAGAAGATCGACTTTATTTTTAGAAATTCGAAGAATAGAGAGATGTATACAAAAAAAAAGTGAGAGATATAGTTGGAATAAGAGCTTTATTGTTCAATATTTATACTAATGTTTCGGTGTAAATTTTTTTAAAAAAAAAATCGTAGAGTAATATTCACGATGCGAAATTGGAAACATATTGATTGGTTGATTTATTGATAAAGTCAATGCTAATTTGCATTTTTTATGGACTATTTTATAGTTATCTAAATGTACTAATCTTACTAATCATTGCTATCACATCATTGGATGCAAAAGAAATCAGCTGGTGAAACCCGGAGTATAGACTGTGTATAATTCTATACATCTGCCAAAAAAAGATACAACCTGCACAAAAAGGAAAAAACGGCCTGCACAAACAGCCTGCACAAAAAAAAAAGACAGCCTGCACAAAAAAAAGGACGTACTTATTTTCTGTCGACGGCTAAATTGGCGGCTTCGGGAAATTTTTATCCGAAATCTTTTTAAGGGTGACTCCTCCTTTTTTTTTTTCTTTCACTCTTTTTCTTCACTTTTCTTTTTTTTTTTTTTTTTTTGTATTGACCTTAGTCTTAGTATATCATTTTAGTAGTGTTTATTAGTCTTTAGTAGTTAAACTTTTATTCAATAAAGACTTTACTTTTATTGAAATCACTTCATTACATGTCAATCAATTGATTCCATCTTCGAATGTACTTTTTTTTTTTTTTACATGTGAATGCATTCCTTTTTATTTTCTCTTTTTTTTTTTTATAGATAAGAGAAACGCTGATACGATACGATTCCAATATTCTTCACTTCGATATAAGTTTTTATTGTGGATTAGTTACTACGACAAACCAATGACTTCGTCACCAAGCCACACTACTTGTGAAATAAATAGTGATACCCCTTTTTTTAAAATTTTTTTTCTTCTACTCTTTGTTTTTCTTTATATTTTCCTTTTCTTTACTATAGTGATATCTACGTAAATAACAACATGTCCTCAACTATCTACACTGCCAACAACCTTCGCGATGCTTTGCTCCCAACAACTGTACGAGGTGTTTATGAACTTCCTTTAGAAGTTCCTATCTGCGTTCAATTTGACGAGTGGGACGCCTGTCGATTGAAGATACAGGAATTGTGTTGTGAAAAGTGGTGTGTTTTGCGCACTTATAAACGTAGACGTGAACTTGCGACTGTGCTTTACAGTCGAACCTATCACTGCCACAGAAGTGGAGAGTATCCAGTCAGGGAGCGTTCTCAACGTCCTGCTCAAAAACCTTCCAAAAAATGCGGCTGTTCTGGAAGTTTGAAGGTGACTCAGTATGCCAGTACACCTGACATAATGGAGTTCGTTCTTCAAAGAGGACACAGCGGTCATGTTCCTGGTGAAAGAAGTGATCGAAGGACTCTACCACTGACCACGCAAGCGATTGACTTGATTACGAGGGAATTGAGACAGAGTGGTAATTGCAGCAACATCCGAATTAGCATCATGCGACAACTTGATGATTGGATTGAAAATAACGATGGCAATCCCAGCTTGAGACCAGTCAATTATGAGGATGTCTATAACAGAATGTTGAAGGCATGTCATTAACAGCAAAAAAAAAAAAAAAAAAAAAAAAAAGGCTTCCACGCACATTTACAGATATCACAGCTTGCATGAATCGGACTTGTACTAAGAGTATTTCTTTTTTTTTTTTTTTTTTTTACGTATATATCAGATCAAACACCAGTTGTACGAATTCCATCGAGATGATATGACATCGTTAGGAATATGGTTAAATAGGGTCCTCCCTTTACGCAATTACAACATATTCACTGGCAATTTACAAGCCTACAGTAGCAACACCAGCCTCTTTGCCCTAGGTTTTCAATCACCAGATCAAAAGCGTAGAATGGGTACTTCTATTTCCTTTTGCTTGGACGCCACTCATGGCATTTCCTCCAAATCCATGGATGTTATGTACACGTTGATCATCAGAGATCGCGTTACTGGCAAGGGGTATCCATCAGCATACATGTTTACCAATGATCATTCTGTTGGTTCCATTAATCAATGGATGGTTCATCTACGCGATAGCAGCAATTTTCGTCCTCAATATGTCACCATTGATTGTTCCGTACCCGAGGTAAATGCCATCAAAGCTGCCTTTCCATCTACTTTTATCCATTACTGTGGTTTTCACGTCATGCAAGCATGGAAGAGGCAATTGAAGCAGAAAGTTCGATTAGATGGATCACATACTGCTCGTGATGTTGCTAATCTTCGAGAAGAAATGTTGATCAGCCTGAGAAGTATTTTGGTGGCGAAGGAAATTGATGAATTTCATACTCGAGTTGCTTGCTTCCAAGAGGAGTATAGTGGTCAGTATGAATTCTTGGATTATTTCGAAGAATCATGGATTAAGGATGAAGAAACAATGACACGATGGAGTCAAGCGTACCTTTCACCAGCCCATTACAACATGTTCACAAACAATTATATCGAATCATGGCACAATCAACTGAAAACAAAGTATTTCCAAAGATTGCGAAACAGACGTTTAGATCGTTTGGTGTTTATTCTTACTCATCATGTCGAATATTTTAATGGAGCAGAACGGGAAAGAATAAGTATCAATGACGGTCGAATGGGTCCTATAGAAAATCAACAAGCTCGTAGGTTGTACCTTGCATCCATTGTTGCTATCGAAAGAATGCCTACTATGATAACGAATCCAGATGGTGATAATAGTAGCTGCCCTTCTAATCCTATTGGTACTTGGTCTGTAAGATCTTTTTCAAATGAAAATTCCCTGTATAGAGTGAAGGTTAATGATGATACGTTGATTGAATCGTGCACTTGTGATGATTTTCAACAGAGACTTGCACCATGTAAGCATATGTATATATTGAAAAGATACACGGGATTATACATACAATTTCATGAAGTCATGGAAACCCTGGAATCAAGAGATGGTACTAAAAAAAAAAAAAAAAAAAAAAACAACTTACATTTCTTATTCTGTTCGTAGATGAGCCCGATGTGAATATGGATCTGGATGCAATCGCTGGTGATGATGATGATGATGATGATGATGGCAATATTGCTGAAGTACAAGTCGACCATCAAGCCACTGTAGAAGAGTTGGACGTTGCTGTTGAAGCCGTTAATGTAGATGCCCAGCTTCAATCGATTAGTTCCATGATCACAAGTGCATACCATCAAAGAGAAGACTTGGAAGCTGCAAGAAGAATACCCAACTTGTCACCAGATATAACAACAAGAATGGAAACGACATTAAGGGAATACCTTCAGCTATTCGAAGAACTTCGCAACCAACACCCGCGTCAATTCCGTCGTTTAAACCGTCAACAACACTAATATAGTATCACACAATTTTCTTTCGTCTTTATCGTATTTGCGTATTTCATACTTTATCTATAAAAAAAAAATAAAAAGGAATGCATTCGCATGTAAAAAAAAAAAAAAAGTACATTCGAAGATGGAATCAATTGATTGACATGTAATGAAGTGATTTCAATAAAAGTAAAGTCTTTATTGAATAAAAGTTTAACTACTAAAGACTAATAAACACTACTAAAATGATATACTAAGACTAAGGTCAATACAAAAAAAAAAAAAAAAAAAAGAAAAGTGAAGAAAAAGAGTGAAAGAAAAAAAAAAAGGAGGAGTCACCCTTAAAAAGATTTCGGATAAAAATTTCCCGAAGCCGCCAATTTAGCCGTCGACAGAAAATAAGTACGTCCTCATTTGATATGTTGAGGAGTTTTTTATCAGTATTGCGTAAGCTTTGTTTCTTGTTTTGTTCTCATTCTATAAAGATCTATGGTTTTGTCTCACTTATTTGTTAAATATTTTCTAAAAAGTTGGGTTTATAGATGACGTTCCAAAGAAGATCTCGAAGTACCTTCCGAAATATCAACAATACATCAAAAAATTGAAGAATGAAGGATACTATATCATTGCCTGTATCAGGAAATCCCCTGGATCGGTGTGTGGGTCATTGGTTTGCGTACAACCTTATCAGAAGAGAAGGGAGAAGTATCCAAAGTAGTTTTAAGGAATTCCCCTGGATCTGAATCATTAGACACGAGAATCAAACTCCTGGCCGCCGTCGTGAATTCAAATCGCAAGAAAAGTTCGCTCGTTGATTTGGTTTTTGCTTTGAATACGCCCTTCTTATTCTCGTTCTGCGGATTCACGATACTCCACATCTGGAAAGTTAGCTCACTGGAATAATCATTTCCATTCCGTCCCTTTCAATCCAGATAGTGATCTATATCCTCTATCCACACACTTCCCTATTTCTCTATGACCACCTACGATCAGAATATCTAAGTCCTTCATTTCTTTCTTTCCTTTATAAGATACAATTCCCTATGCATTAATATTCTCTATGATTTCGGTCCTATCCTCTTCCCTGATTCGCTTTGTTGCCCAAGATCTGATCCATTCGACAAAAGGGACCAGAAAGGCGATACGGTATCTGGCTAGTTGGGTGTAGTGCGGAGCGCTAATGGTAAATACTCATCGCTTACGTTAAACGCGTTAATAAGTACTTGTCTCCTTTTTTTTTCTCTCGTAGATATGCTAAAATATATCGCTCGAATATGCAGGCCTAAGTACAAACTATACTGATCTGAAGCAACTATTAGTTTTTATATCGTTGCACCTTCAAGTCACAAATTCTTTGCCAGGTCATGGCCATCATTCAAAAACATACGGACGACCAAATTGACGAAGAAAAAGCAAAAATTGACTTGCTTAACTGCGCTCGGATCGCCAAAACGAACGAAAGGGCTGCGATTAATGCGGTTGTTGCATTGATATCCAATTTGTACGATTGCGACGTGAAAACACTTTCGGAAGCACATCTAGCAGCTAGTTACATTCTGTTGGATTGGTGTAAATTGTTATGAAATGTAAACATCGCTACTCTTCGCCTCAGAGATCAAGCCGCTTATTGGATCTCAATCAGTGGCCGATACACTACCACCATCAACACCCACGATTACAACTGAAGGGCCTGGAAGTCTGATGATAGATAAAACGGGTAAACTGGGACGAAAGGTCAAGCATAGCAAGGAATCCTCTGACCTTGTCCTTCAACTATACTTTGTAAAGGAACTTTCCGTGCGGAAAGCCGCTGAGGAAGCTCGTGTTAGCAAGTCTTGGGCTGGGAAGGTTATCAAAAAACATCGAGCGACGATCGCCGAGAGGAACATGGGGATTGCTACTGGTGAGCTCGTTACACCCCTCCCACTGCACAGAATCTGATGTACTTTTTTTTTTTTTACTTAGGCTTCAATATCACATTTTTTATCTCGCGCTTGGTTACGAATGGTATTTATGTCTTTTATGAAGTAGCCAACCTCCGTTTCCCTGAATCGTTGGATGACCTTCCTTCCTTTATTACATTGAAGAACATCACACTGCTGCTTGCTGTAAATGATGTCTTTTGGCGCCTGTGCAAGAAATCTGACGATACTGCGACCATTACTAGCAGGTACAAGCAAACAGTAGACTTGAAAGCATTGATTGGCACCAGTCACGATCGCGGAAGAACTTGTACTATGAGATATGGACAATGATGACCCACCTTGACTTATTCCCATCTCTCCTATGCGAACCCATTTATTAATCTTTGTTTACATGTCCCCATTTTATATGGTTTCCTTTTTTTTTTTTTTATTCAATAAACGCTTTTTCGAAATCAGCGATTTGAACTGCCAATTTTTTTTTGTAGCCATGCCTTTAGACGTTGAACAAATACACTTTATTCAATAATAATTGACGGAATTCAAAGAATAAGATGTCGCAAAAATAGGAAATAAAATATCGTAAATAAAATAAATGACAGAAAAAAAAAATATAATTGTCGCATAATCAAATAGAGAATATAAGAAAATAGATATCATGAAAAAAAGAGCAATCAAAAAAAAAAAAAAGAAATCCACCAATTGAGTTCACCAAGTTTGCATATAAAAAAAAGAAGAAAGAAAAAAATGAGTAATGTTTATCCAGATGATATCTTTTTATTCACTTAGAATTTAAGCGCGAACGCCTAAACATGTATCGAGATCACTGCAGCAATTTCTCACTGCAGTGAAAGTAGGATGGCGATAACCATCCCGGAAAGCGTTGTGTTAACAACATTTTTTTTGTTTGAAAAAAAAATGGGCGACCCTAGTCACGCCTAGGCAAATAACGACCGAGGTCAACCCAGAGAGGAAAGAAGCGGAAGAGAAGAGAGGCCAGAAAGGAGGACAGACGGAAAAGATGACAGGCCTAAAAGAGAAGGTGACCCCAACCACGCCTGAGCAAATAACGACCGAGGTCAAACCAAGAAACAGGCCACAAGGGAGGACAGGCGGAAAAGAAGATTGGCCAAAGGGAAAGGACACGGAAAGAGATGACAAAGGAAGGGACAGGCAAGCCCAAAAGAAGACAGGCAAGCCCAAAAGAAGACAGGCAAGCCCAAAAGAAAGACAGGCAAAAGAAAAAAAGAATTTAATGAAGTAAAAAAGGATGTTCTTTTATAATAAAACAAACCCCCTGTAAAAGAAAAAAAGACAAATCACCCCTGTAATTATGCGCTTTTTTAGCTATGAAATCAAAAGGACCCGAGTAAATGGTTTCAAAAATAGAAAAGGAACTATTATGCAAATTTTGATGTCATCTATGGGAAAAAAGATCGATCGATTGTATGTTTCAAAAAGAAAAAAAGGAACTATTATGCAAACTTTAATGTCATCTATGAGAAAAGAGATCGATCGATTGCATGTTTCAGTAATAAAAAAAAAAGAGAAGGACCCGAGTAAATGATTTTTAAAAAAAAAGGAACTATTATGCAAATTTTGATGTCATCTATGGGAAAAAAGATCCATCGATTGCATGTTTCAGTAATTAAAAAAGGAACTATTATGCAAATTTTCTTTTATCATCTATGGGGAAAGGGAATGATCAATAGTATGTTTCAGTGATGATTTCAAAAGATAAGAACCCGAGTAAATGATTTCAAAAAAAAAAAAAAAAAAAACTTGTGATAGTTGAAGAAATAAATAAAAAATAAGTGAGACAAAATGTATATCTTTATTGAATGAGAATAAAGTGAGAGAAAAAGCTAACACAATAAAAAACTCCCTAACATATAAATGACAGCTGTTACACAAAATGTTGGTTTTAAGATAGATCATTCAGATCTATCTTATAGACACCACAAAACTATGTTTCAGCGCTTTTGTATTATGTAAAGAATCGATCATCATCCATTCATGCCATCATCCATTCATGCCATCATCCTATCACCCTATCACGTACCAACGTCTAGTCGCACCTATAAAAATATATGTGAAATAAAAAGAATGTATCCAAAATATAATAATACATCAAAAGAAGATTAGAATCAATTACATTGACATGTAACAAAGTAGTTGGAATAAAAATAAAAACTTTATTGAATAAAAGTATAATAATAAAGACTACCAATTGATATACTAAAAGTCAATACAAAGAAAAGAAGAGAAAGAAAGAAAGAAAGAAAGAAAGAGAAAGTAAATCAAAAAAAATATGAAAGAAAAACGGACTTTGAAAACCACTACGTTCAGGTCAATCATCATGATGAATCAACACTCTAATGATGATCCATTATATCAATAAAGAACTTTTGTTTCATTTTTTAATATATTTTTAAAATAAAGTCGCAGTATTTTTTATTTTTCCATCATCATCACCAACATCGACCCATCATTCTATTATCAATCACCTCTACCGACATTTCTAAAGCGATATCTAAAAAAGTGGTAATGCGACATTCATTTTGGGAAAGTACGATATTTTGTTTAATAACATCACGAAAAGTATTTTCTCGTGACCCGACAAAAAACTTTGAAAACACTGTATATTTTACGATACACCGCTGACAACCTCTGTAACAGCAAGTCAGAACCAAAAAAATGCGAGTAACAATCCGACATGCCATTTTTGAATTCTCGATATCGGATCTATTATGTTGCGACTTCAATTTTAACGAATTTATTTTTCGAAAGTTATGGAAATCCAGTACTTTGTATATGACATTAGATAACCCGACAAGTCCTTCACCGTCAAGTCAAAACAAAAAATGCGACAAGCAAATAAAAAAAATACCGACATCCAAATTGTCAAAATCCGGCATCCGTTTTTTTTAAAAAGCTGCCATCGTTTTCAAGAAACCCGGCCACCCGCCAAGCGAATGGAAAAATCCAGTATTGATCAATACCTCAATCGGGACGGTACCAAATCAAAAAGGGTCCTACCACCAACCACGCCCCACTCACAGCTTTACAAAAAAAAAACATGCCCCGCTCATAGCTTTACAAAAAAAAACTATGCCCCACTCACAGCTTATAAAAAAAAAGACATGCCCGCTCATAGCTTTATGGAATTTATTCCTTTTTCTTTGTTATTAATAGAATCATTTGCGCTTTGTCTCGTTTAGATAAAATGTATCACAACAATAATTTTATATCACTCATTTTTTTTTTTACCATCTAAGTGACAAGGATCAAGATGGTATCTCTGAGGATTAACATAGAAAAGGGTGCGTAGGATCGTCAGTGTGTAGCATTTATCCAGACACTCGGTTAGCTTCTGTGACATTTTCTTCAGTACACGTTTCAAGATTTCTTTATTGAATTGAAAATATAATCATCACTGTTATAAGAAAAGGATCTACATTATCGAAGAAAAACAAAAAAGAGGTCATGTTGATGAACTACTCAAAGGTTTCTTCTTCTTTTCAGCCTCTTCTTCCTTTTCTTTTTCAATTTCTGCTACAACGGCTTCTACTTCTGCCAAATCCAAGATCTAATATGATAAATTGATGATGATAAAAAAATTAATTTTAGTTTACATTATTCCTCTCATTCTAGTTAGATCCTTCCCATAATCACGCTCAGTATTCCTTCTTTTTTTAATACCTTAACCACATTATCTGAAGTCATGACAGCGATTTCAATGTTTTTGGCACCTGTTTGGACCACTTCAAGTAATGATTTGACAGTGAGCTTGATGGCATGTTTTTCATCCATATCATCATTGTAATTCTTTTCCAAGAATTCTCGAACAGTCTTTGAACTTCTTCCAATAGCATTAGCCTTCCAAGCAGTATATATACCAGAAGGTTCGGTCATATACAATTTAGGTTCCTTGTTATCAAAACCAATTATTAAAGCAGAAATACCAAAAGGTCTGACACCTCCACTTTGAGTATACTTTTGTTGTACTTGGGCGATATAACGAGTGATATATTCAACGGATGCAGGATCTTCCACTGTTAACCGATGACTTTGACATTCCGTGCGTGCCTTGTTGATCAATACACGAGCATCTGCTGTAAGTCCTGTTTTTTTTCCAAAGAGTAATAGAATAGTAACAATTATATAACAGAATGGGTCATATTGCTATTTTCTTTCTTTCTTTCTTTCTTCCTTTCTTTCTTTCTTTCTATTTTTAGTGGATTGTTTCTTGTTGGTTTACCTGCAAAAGCCATACAAATATGGTCATCCAACATTGCAATTTTACGTACTGTTCTAGGATCTTGAAGTTTTAAAGCTGATTTCTTTTCTACACCTAAAACGACTGCGTTTTGACCACGAACGCCAACCTGAAAATAGATGAGTATAAGACAAGTGAATAAATAATTATATATTGGAAGAATATATATACAGTGGGTTTTATTTCTTTACCGCACAGGTTCCTTTACGAACAGCTTCTGAAGCATATTCTACTTGAAATAAGTGTCCATCTGGTGAGAAGACGGTCAAAGCACGGTCATAACCTGACATTGATATATAAAAGTATAATAGTGAAAAAGGAAAGAAACAAAAAGTGAAAAGAAGTGTGTTCTGTGCAAATTTTGCTTTAGATGACGTTTTCTTTTTTTTTTCACCCTCCTCTTCAACGCGTTGCGTGGACTTTTTTTTTTAATTCTTGGGCTTTCGCCAAGTCACAAGAATATCAATCTCCCAAATAGGAAAGTGTTGGGCAAACTGGGTGTATTATGTTAAAAAAAAAAAGACCGTTGCTTTGTAGAGAACAACAGAAGAAAATTGAACCACATTTGCTTACTATTTTTTTTTTTTTTTTTTTTGTAATCGTTATCATTATTTCAATACTTCAACAATACACTATGTTGCTTTTTTGAGAACTTAATTTCTTTGCGGAGACAGAATATTATCAATACTGATTGTAACGTACATATATGATGATACTTCATTTTATTTATTTATTTTTTTTTTAAAAAAAAAAAGAAAAAAAACATGTAGTGTATATAACAAACATTGAAAAGAAAAGAGAGATCGACCCTCTCCTAATCGGTATCGAAAGTATAGCTTGTTCCATAAGTTTTGCCACGAATAACAGCTATATAGATATGAAAAATAATTAGAATTAGTGTGCATGATTATTTTGTATATGGGAATTGTTCTTCTTTATACCTTCTACCCTGAGTTCCACTTCCCCAAAATACATTTTTATAGAAAGATCCACCTTTTCACCTTCCATGACACCAGTTAAAGCAGGCATAGGGATAGTGAAATTGGCAATTTTTCGTACACCAGGACTAGTTGTGTATCGAGGTTTATCTTCTGTATCAGCTGCATATAACGTACAAGTTGTATGATGAGGATAATAAGCAAAGAAATCTTTAGAAACACAATTATCAATATCTAATAGAATGAATATTAAAATAAAGGTAGTTAGTATCTATTAAAAAAAAAAGTAAGGCAGTAATTGATAATAATGACAATATAAAGCAATTTACCCAATGGTTGTCCTCTTCGAACATAAACGGAGAATCGATTATCACATCGCACACTACCATCAGCACGGACGATTTTATAGCTAGGAGGATCAATACCTTCCTCAAATGTAGTTGTTGTATCAATACCATACCAAGAACGAGGTATACGAGTTTGCACCACACGAGGATTCAAACCAAAGTAAACAGCACCACGGACCACAGCTAATTCACAACGAGGAGGAACAGCCACTAAGCCTACGCGACCACTAAATTCTTGATGTACACGTTCAAATAAGTAATTGGAAGAGCCAAATCCACCTACAAGGAACACAGCTTGCATACTACCAGCCTTGATTAATTGATCTTCAATCAGAGCTAATACTTCTTTGATCACAGGTTCAAATACTTCTTGCTTTAACTCGGCAGCAGTTATACATAACATACCATCTTCCAATCCAATAGAAGGGTTCGTCAGTGATTCCAAATTCATGGATGCTGGCAACGAAATGAATTGATCTTCGACACCATCGAACTGTGGTTTAATCAAATCCACAAAAGTGTCCATCATGGTTTCGAATGCTGATGCAGGGATAGAAGAAAGGTATTCTTTGAACTTCTTTTTTAAAAGTTTTCGCATACGACGATCCAAGAAAACTGAACCACATGATTGACCATGTCCTTTTGTAGATTCTCGAAGTTTTCGTCCACTTCTTTCATCAATTTCAAAGACAATTAAATCCACAGTACCACCTATTAATAAGATATAGATGAATTTCCAATCATAATATATGTGTTTCTTTTTTTTTTTTTTTCTTACCACCAGCATCACAAATCATAAATTTATCACCATGACGAAGATCAAATTGTTCACATTTCTTTTCACAGTACAAAGCAGCTGCTTCAGGTTCAGAAATTAACATAAGTCTATCACGATGATCATTTTCTTCTATCAATCCTGCCTTTATGGCGGCTTCTCTCATTGTTGCTTTGGCTCTATCAGACCACATGGCTGGTACAGTTAAACACTATATATAGTATGTATGAATATAAAAGGAAAATTTAGTAAATTATTCGTTACCCTCTAAGTCTCTTGTTGTTGGAAAAGAAGTAGGACTTACATAACGAAATTGATGCTGACCGTAATTTCTTGCGAATCCTTTTTTGAGTTCATTAACTACATGTTCATGAAAAGCATGGAGATAATCTGCAATGGCATCCACAATAGTCAATCCATTAGGCAAAGGAGGTAAGTCCTTGGCGATATTTTCATCAAGGTAAAGTTTATATTGTTTCAATAACACTGAGTTACGTGCAGTAGGTCGTTGCATTTCCAAACGAGCAGCATTACCCCATTGTGTCATTTGATTCGAGTTGCCTTGATAAAAGTTTAAGGTAGGTGTCTAAAGAAAAAGAAAGAGAGAAATATATATATAAGATATCAAATATGAAATATTGACAATAGTTAAGAATAATGAGAACTATATATAACAAGTAGTCAGAGGAAGGATTCTTTTCCTAATACCTTTGGGTAGACGTTGTTGTTTTGCTTAGGCCTATATCATATATATATATATATATATATATATATATGTGTAAAAGAAGTTGGTTTATTCAGATGAACATTGTAAATACAATATCTATATATAGATATTATCTTGACTTTACTTACCATCTAACAATATCAACTACTTCGTCGTTCTGTATAAAAGAATATGAACATCCAGAGAAGGTGGTACCTGAATGAAAAAAAAAAAAAGAAGTGTATTAATTAGTATACAGTAACATGAAACACAGACTTTGCTTCGATCTTTATATAACCAAAGTCCCATCCACAATATGTTTTCCTTGAATAATCTTATCTCATTATATATATATTCTTACCAAAGTCAATACCAATTACAACAGGATAATCATTAGAATTAAAAGGTTTTGTAGCAGCCATGATGAAGAAAATAACTAGGTTTTTCTTATCTCAGCCAAGAGTAATAAGAAGAAGGGAAAACAAAAAGGAGGCTGTGGCAAGCAAAAAACCGAAAGCACTACCCTATGAGAATACAGGAACCAAAACCTTCCACAGTCATAGGAAAGAAAAATCTATATGCGGAGTTGTATCGGAATTGAACTGATTTTCGGGAAGGAACAGTAGGATGTCAATTTAGGACACTTCCACAACAGAAAGAGTTTTTAAATCAAAAAAGGTGGCAACAGAATATCATTTCATATTTATTATAACGTTCTTTTGTTTGATATAAGATGAATATGATTTAATTTTCATCATAGTTCTGATTCAGTAAATGAATTTCATGACATAATACAGGCCAAGATAAACTGAAATTTCCTGTTAAATGTTGTTCTAGTTGCAACATTTCATACATAAATTTAAGATTAGGTTGGATAATGACATTTAAACGTCTTGCACGGACAAAGATATAAGCATCTACAAGACTCATTTTTTGAAAATGATGCATCACATAACATATGGTCACTGCAGCACTTCTACTAACACCCACACGACAGTGGATAAGACATTTTGTGCCTTGTGCATAAGCTTCATCTGTTCAAAAAAAAAAAAAAAAAAAAAAAGGAATTACCATTCCCACACAGAAAATGATGATGAGTTACATGCCCAAAATTAAATATATATGAATATATGTATATAATTCTTTGTGAATACCTATAAAAGCCATAGTTTCTTCGAATCGACTTCGAATGGAATCGATACCATCGTCATATAAATTATCCAAAAATAATAGTTTGAATTGATCTTGATTCAAACTAGCATTTTCTCCTACACTAACAACATGTGTGATACCAAGAGCTTGGAGCATATCAGGATTAGTAGCATGATTCAAATTACCAAGATATAAAAATGGCATGATTCTTGATGGAAATGATCCTTCAAACCTGGGAGAATAAAACCATGGATATAATCTCATATTTTCTATATTTGGAGGAGACGATGTGATCACCGGTAATTTATCTTTTTCTTCCGATTCATGCCCTGAATAGGATTTGGTTGATATTGTTTCTTCAATGTCATTAACATCATCTATATATTCATCCCTCTTGTCAGTGCAAATGTTGGCTATCTTATTGTAATGTATTAAATGTTGACTTGAGTTCGTTTCATAGGTTGACGTAATATGATGATCTAATGGTAGTGATGACGATGTTACTGATAATGATGATGATTCTTCAAATTCCATAGTGTCCACCCTCTTTCTTTTTTGCAGTTGATGGTGTTGTTCATATTGAAATTTGATTTCCTGCTGCAAGGTAAGCGATGATGAAAGAGATGGAGCAGTGTTCTTTGTGTTGTCCTCGAACAAAGTTTGTTCTATACGCCGTAATAAGGGAACATCAGTAGAGAGAACAAAGAAACTTCGTCTGTCTTGTAAATAAAGATAAGCTTTCGGTAAAGGAAGTTTTAATTTGTACATCACCCATGACAATGCTAATATACTCGTTTCTGTATAACCATCTGAGCAATGAATCAAGATCCTGCGGCCATTGACTGTGATAGAAGGAGAATCATTGTCGGCAACAGTGCCTTGAGAAATTGTGTCCATAAATTGTAATAAGGATAAGAGGTTGTCAAGGAAACGGTCTAACTGTTCTGATGATTCGATGATAGAACCTGTAGAATACATATCTAGATGTATGATTTCAGATGGCATCTCTTCTGGTCCAAGTTCGTTTAAAGTTTCCTTTGCAAGAGTTAAGATGGATGGTAGAGGCATATCTGATAAATCGTGACATTCAATGCATACTGAAAATCCATGAGGATTTTCTTGGTCGTGAAATATATCCATATCTTCATGATCATCTTTCATATCAATGAAATCATCCGAGTTTATTGATGCAGGAGCGTCAAATGTGTTTCCAAGCTAAACGATAGGGAAGTTTACGCATATTAATATTATTGTTTACTGTGTTACTTTCAATTTTGCTATTTTTAGTTTACCCAAATATTTTCTGTCAATTCAGTAGCACTTGTCATTTCTTGCATTTCAGTCTTCTCCCGTTCCAGAAAACAGATATTGTTCAATACATGTCCAAGACTATTATACCATACAAGTTCGGGATAGTGGTTCTCAAAAACATCGAAAGTATCTTAAAAGGTGGATTGATCATGATTAATAATCTCCAATATGAATTACCATTTCTTTTTACCCCACTTACCAGTAATAATAAATATTCGGTATGATAGATCATTAGAATCCACTATGGCTCTTTTTCCAGCTGTTTTCCGTAAACGATCATGGTAAAGTTGTCTTTTATGATGGATATCTGTCTGCGCCATAGCAATTCTTTGAGCTATGCTTTCAGCATTTTTTCCATAAATAACAATATCACTGATCGATGCATAACGCCATGGTTGAATTTTGAAATTACGAAGATGGATACCTGTACTTTCTTTTTGATCCGCCTGTCGAAAAGTCCACTGATTATCCACCTCAATATTGCTTCTACTATTACTGTTGTTTCCCATAGCTTCAATGCCATCATCGTTGCTGTTAGAACAGGTGATAATATCGCTTGGTAAAAACGATTGAACAAGTCGAGAGTGAAAAGGGTCACCTCTAGCTTGACCATGATCAGCGTGAATTAAAACGAGTCCTCGGTGTTTAGGTACTACCATACGCCGTACGCCGAAAAACAAACTTTGTTGATAGTTTGTGCCGTCTATGCCATGTAACCATGGAAACAAGATATCATCAGCAGGTAACGGATGTCTTGCGTACTGAGCTTGCATCTCATTATATTGATGAGCGTTTATTAGAAATATCGTATACTCTTGTTTGACATTGGTTGGTGTTATCAATTCTGCCTTGTTGTTACTACTGTTTTCTCTTTGTTGAGGTGATACCGGAATGAGAATTTGTTGCGTTCGCTGTAAAAAGCTACAAGGTATATCAAATAAAGTATTGTTATGGGAAGATGTGCTTTCAGTGTTTGTGGAGTGATCCTTTTTTTGTACTGAAGGAGCAACTATTTCTTTACTATCGTCGTCCATCGACATGTTGGCAATAAACGCTGCTTGTGCTGCTTCCGCCAAAAAAGTTTGCCTATTAGTGATTGACTGCAACTCAGCATCGTGATCAATATCTGTTAGGTTTGAGATTGGAATCGTCTCTGTTGCTGGTATGAAGGAAGAGGAATTACTGGTATTCATTTTGTTATTATTATTATTTTATTTGAAAAGAGACCAAGGTTGTCTGTCTAGGAAAGAGTTGTCAATATGTCTTCTAATTTTTTTTTTTTTTTTGGTGACGGACTTTGGAGAGATTGCCTCCAAAAATACTGGTACATCTCCCTCATGAAACAAGCAAGTGTCAGATATATGTATTTCTAAAATTGTTTTCTAAACTTTATTTGAAAAAGATTTTATTGACACTTTCTCTTTGGTTCAAAAGAAATTGTTTAAACATATCTAAGCATAATAAGAGGGTGAAATCAACATATCGCTTAGCACAGAAAGTTGATCTTCGCTGAACTTGGTCACATCTTCATGCCATGTATCGGAGTGAGTACGTCTAAAATCAGAGAAGGTTTTGCGTATGGTTGACTATATGTAATCATATAAGAAGAAAAAAAAATGTCAGAATAGAATAGAGAAAAATGACTATTTGATTTATTATAGCATTGATTCATTTCTTGTTTTACCTGGATTTCAGCAGGATCAGACATACAGTTTGCCAATTGACAAAGTACAGAAGGCATCCATTCAGGAACTTCGTAAGGGAAAGCATTTACCAAACAAGATAGACCTAAAACACCAGCATGTTTTTGTAATAAAGCTTCACGGAATCCTTCCGGTTCTATCAATTTTCCCCTTTCATTTCGATGGCGCTTGGGTAACTTGGTTTGTTCGAGTAATGCTGTATATCTTTCACGCAAAGAATCAATAGCTCCTCTTTGTGAGCAACGAACTAAACCACCTAAAGTCACTCCAGCCATTGTACGTACTTCGATTTGACTATCTAATAAGAGAGTTCCTACTGCTTGCATAATACGAACAACTTGTTGATCCAAATCCATAGCAAATATATGTTTAAAGAAAAATACTTGTAAAACAGGTAAGGTACGTATACGAATATGCCAACTGGTGGATGTGATAAGAGTATTTATCAATTGATCTACTAATCCAGGAATCATCTGGGGAGGATACGTCATTTGAGCCATTAAAGTAACAACTTGTGTCGCCATTTGCTGTAAATTTTGATCATTATTGACTTCTTGCATTTGGAAAACACGAGGTAAAAAGGAAGGAATATAAGCTAGTGTACCTGCCATTTGCCAATGTGTCAATGCTTCTGCAGACCAACATAAAACTTGAAAAAAAAAAAACAAATTCCAATCATAAGAAAGATAAAATTAGACGATTCATTTTTTTTTATTATTATTATTTTGGCTTACTTGTTTTGCTTGTAGTCGTATAATGGCTTGATATTATAGTTGTATCGCCTTCAGCTGTTTCACTGGCAGATTTGACAGTTTCAAGTTCCGAGTCCAGTTTAGCAAGTATATCCTCTAATTGTTTCTGTTGTTCAGCTTGATTCAAAACGTAAGGAACGTTCCCCACTCCATCTGATCGTGCATTATAATCCAAAAGAGATGAGACAGAGGAATAAGATGGAATCCATTGAATTTGCATGATATCGTTGATGTTTGCACCAATGACTTCACGTACTTGCTTGTAAGGATGATTCAAATGATTCAAATACAATCCTAATAAATCATTACCCCATGGTTTGAAACGCCATTTCAAACCAACCACCATGGCATGAATAAATAAGAGCTTACGTGCTTCAGCAAATGCGGCATCCGATTGAGGATCGAATTGAGCTTCCAACAAGAGATCCATTAAAGGCTTTACCCGACGAGGATCTCGCTTTGCCATACAGAAACGTATGAAACTACTCCAGTAAGTATGTGCATCAGGAGTGACATTGGCAAGAGTTGTGCGTAACAAAGGAGTAAGCCATTCCTTCCAAAGATGATGAGTCTGTGCAAGCGGCCAATGTTTGGTACCTCGAATCAGACCAGCAGCTAATTCAGTAGCAGCACGTTGAGCATTTTTTTGATCCACTGATTGACATAATATAGTTAGTTGCTCCTTAGCACAACGAAGAATATCTTCACCTCGATATGTTTGAAAGATACTTGCAAAAAATCTAGCGTTGGCACTATTGAATCGATCATCTTGTTTTTGAGAAGGTTCTTGGGACATGTAGCTCATTAATTTTGACCAATAATCCGTAGATGAAAAGATCCCTTCAAATGCATCATAAGCACCGACACTTGCCACGTCTATTGAAGGTAATGTAATGGAATCGGAATAAGGAACATAACCCACAACCTCTTTAGGCCACACATACCAACCTGTTATAGTGTTATCAATAAGGAAACTAGAAAAAAAAGAGCATATGTGTGTTAATTATTAGTCTGAAAAATAATCATTCTTTCCTCCCTATATTTATATATATATATTTACTTGCCTTGTTTCCACAACCTGTTCAGAGGAATCCTTTAGTAGCATTTCAGCAAGGCTGTGATGCTTAGTTTCAGAAGGACGTTGTTTTTCTTCATTTAATAATGACAATACTGATCGAGTTGTTTTTAAAGGATGATGGGTAGCTTTCATAATAAGAAGATCTTCGTTTCCAGCTGCAAATGTACGTTGCTTGATATGGAGTAATAGTTGTGTGGTAGCAGAGATGCCAATGCGTCGCATAGCTGGTAACTCGGAAATAGTACATGTTTTAGCGAAATACACCGCAAGATCGGCAGTTGGAGCTAATTCAGGTCGAAGTAACAATTCTAAAAAGTTGGATGCCATTGTAGCAAATCGCCAATGAATGCGTGGATTGCTTAAGAAAACCAAAAGTGATTTGGTCAATTGCTCATGTGCTTGTCTTTGTTTTGCATTCCGGTTCAATACAATGTGTTCAAGTTTTTCCATTTGCTGTTGATCATTTAGCACCTGTAAACGATTTACATTTGTTGTTGCTCCCAAGATTTCCGTCGACTTTAATAATGCTTCTACATCTTCATCAAATCCTTTGTTTCTAGTTTCTGAAATTATCACTCGGAACGAACATTGATTAAAGTAAGACAGATAATCCAGGAATATTTTGCGGATAAGTTCTTGAATAGATGGTTTATCTTCATGTTGCGCATTGCATATAGACAGGATAAATTCAGGAATAAAACGCCAATCACGTAAACATGGCATTAGGATGGACTTGTGAGTTAATAAATAGAGAGCGCCTTTCATGCGATTTGAATATACCAACGTATCCACTGTTTACATACAAATTGAAAGAAATCAGTGTCCTAGTATTTCTACCAATCTCAAAACATCATCATGCTTTTCCTCTCTTTCCTATTTATACTTACATTCTTGTTTGGGACGCAAGGTATCCAATATAATAGGCATGAGAATTGATTTCGATCCTTTGAAGCTACGTGCTGCTATGCTGAGAGCAGATTGTGATACCCTTTTTTTTAATTTGTAAAATAATTAAAGATAATGATTAAAAATTATTCTAAAACTTTCTTGTAGTATATGCACTTACTTTCGAATTTCAGCGTAAGAGCTCATAGATAGCTCAAGTAAATCCTTTAGTAAATGATCATGAATAGGAGCTCGGATTCGATTGGAGGCATTTAGCTTTAATCTCTGTAGATGTTGAATATATGCCCGGTGAACTATATATTGATCATTATTTAAATGAAATATGTTTTGTGAGTATCACATATTTTTATAGTTTGATACTTAATCTCTCTCTTTCTTTCGTTCTTTTTTTTTTTTTTTTTTTTTTTTTTTTTTTTTTACCTAATAAATGCCTAGGATATCGTTTATGGCAAATAGGAGTCTTGCTAATATTTTTAGAATAATTGTAGCCACTCTTGTTACGATCTAACCAGGTTTTCTCCACGCCACGCTCTGTTAAATAAGTTCGAATCAGTTTGATGAGAATCTTGATGCTTTCAACATCGTCTTCACGCTGAGTTCTAAAGTATTCTGCTAGTTGATGGAGAAGTTCACCTACATCGCGCCGAATAGCACGAGCTTCCTCAGAACGAGGATCATTCTTATCCATAAACGCATATCCAGCCAAAACAGATGAATGTTGTCGCTGTTTTTGTAATTGTCCATCGTCTTCTATCATCACTTCATCTTCATCGTCACTAGAAGATATAAAAATCAACAAATTATTAGTCTCTCGATATTACTAATTTAAGCAGAATAGAAATAATATATATAATGATCAGAATCACCACTCTTTTATAACTTACTTTTCACAAGGTTTCGCATATTCTGTTTCTCCGTCATTATCTATCATGGTCATACTACCGATCACACAATTACGTATAATAGCAAGATGTCTACAGAATTCATTTGTAACTTGATGGGAACTGTTTGTAGTGTTGTCTTTGTTGTTGAAGGAGATTATCTCTCGTAATCTTGCCATAGAAGGCTGTAAAAAGCGTTTTAGGATATCTAGAGCCATGTTTTTTTCATCCTCATTTGGGATATGCCATTTGATTTGCAAGTTTTTGGGATCTCCTGGCTTACCCCACAGTAAATGAGAGTTATCCATAATATCTATAGATAATAACGTATACAAATCGTGTTACTTTCAGCTCATCCATATTCAACAACATCCACGAGACCTACCTTTATTATCCCATTCTTCGGGAGTCAATGATCGATATTCAGTTGGATAAGTGTCAAGAAGAGATTGTAAAGAGAATCGCAAGAATTTTCCAGTCCACATGATCCCTCGTCGACTCCTGCAGTGAGTAATCATATCATTACCAATATTGATAAGATCATCCTTGTATTGCAACCATTCTGGACCTAAATCAGAAATCACCGAGAATAAGATATGCTGGTACCAATGAAGAGTTGCGTCAGATTGAATTGGATTAGAAGTAGCTGAATTAGTCATAGTAGAAGAAGCACCGTTTTCCAATTCGATTTTGATACTAGCAACACACATTGGAATGAATTGCCGTGCTGCCTTTTTTGGGTTGACAGAAGCAATACTTTCACATAAGGATCCCATTGCTCGGACAGCATTTGGAAGTACTTGATTACTTGCAAAATCCACTATAGAACGTAAAGCAATATCATACATGCTATCTGATAATTGTCCAAACACAGTTTCACAAGCATGCTAATCCCAATAACTGTTAATAAAGTCATCACATTTGTTTATTTCCTTCATCTCAATTTCAAAACCTACCAAAATCATTTGAGTTAATCCAGCTTCCATAGCTCCACCTTGTTTTTTACGATCGTATTGAGGCATGTTTTCAAAAATAGTGAAAATACGGCGAAGGAACTTGGAAAGCCATTCTTCAAAGCCACTTGTTGTCATTCTACATAGTTGATCTTCCAATTCTTTTGGTAGTTCGACTTGCATATTATCATCATCCATCATCATTGCTTCATCTCCATCGTAATAATCTGTGGTACCAATTGAACTAAGATCCATAACTGGGATAGTCATTAAAGCACTGGTAATGAACATGAGGGACGCAATGGTTTTGATAGGGTCATTCATATCAATACCAGGAATAGCAAGTTGTAAAAGAGGTAAAAGATGCTTTCCTCCAGCAGGATAATGGTCTCTGGAAAAGAGAGGTAAAGAGATATCTGCCAAAATACTAAGTGCGCTTGTTGTACGATGTGACTATAAGTTATATATCAATATAAAAGTCAGTAAGTATGTTTCTATTTTCTAATCAACAGTTTTAACAGTTTTTTTTTTCTTTGGTATCATTCTGCTTACCTCAGTCAAAGTCTCTAAGGATGGATAAATACGTTCTAACAGACCCGGAAAAATCAGCGATGGCTCAATCCCTGATCATACAAAAACAAAGCAACATCCTTATGATGAGTACAAGAATGATGAATTCTTTTTTTCTTCTTTGTTCAAATCGATTTACTCACATGTTAAATATTTGATAGTAGTTTGACTTGCTCCAACAGTAAATTGATCTTTGCCGAACATACTAAGAAATGTCACTGGTCGTAATATCAACACGAATTCACGACATAAGGCCCGAGTTAATCGTCGCTCCTGAGGTATCACACAATCTTCTTCATGTTCTATTTTTTTTTTTTTGGACAAATGTTAAAAACAATAAGTGATAATTGATATATTACTTTATCTTTTCTATATATCCCACATTTTTCTTTAATACATATATATACTTTACCATAACGCCAACGTTTCAAAAATTCATATGCCAAATGTCTAACAAAAGTTGTCAAAACATAGGACCATGTACCATGGTTAGAAGGATGGAAATATAATTCAGTAGCTTGGATCAAATCAGCCAATAATGTCATAGTATAAACTTGCTTATCATTATGTTCAGGAATCATGGTATAAATAATGAATCTTGCCAAAGATGCATATTTTTCCTAGTAAAAAAATCCACACAAAAATGAAAAGGAAGCTTTAATAAAATTTTCTATTTTTTTTTTTTTTCATTCTTCCTTTGCAGCTTTAAAATCATTTCTTACCCCTTTTCTTCTCAAAAACAACCCATTGCCAGCTTTCATATCAATTTTGAAACCAGTATGACCATAACCAGTTGTTGTAGTTGTACCACTAGATCTACCACTACTACCACTACTACCAGCACTATCTGAAGAAGATCTAGCTCCACCACCATCACTGAGACGACTTCCTACTGGTAAATTCATCATCCTGATTGAAGTTGTAAAAACAGTTTTGATTTGTTCCTTTGTGAATAAGCCAATTTTGTCATTATTATTGTCTAAAGGATAATCCATATTATGTTCAGCAATCCGTGCCAACAAATCCATAAATTGAGCATCATACGCTGATGATCTTGTGAACATGGACCATAAAGAAAAAATGGTAGGCAAATAATCTTTAGGAGACTGATAAATCATAGACGTAGAAGAAAGATGTGACGATGCCGAAGGAGAGAGAGGTCGTTGTAAAGGATTTGTAATGGTGACCGGGAGGAAAAGAACAAGATAGCCTTGAGCTACAATAGCATCATGAACAGAATGGGTGGTGAATCGTGGTAGGAAAGTGTCAAGTATCTCAGAAGTTGCACTCGCATCGAAAAATCGTTGAGAATATTCTACAAGTCGTATCACAGCACTGAGATGTTTCCTAAAGAGAAAAAGAGCAAAAAAAAGAATTAATTTTCTTTTATTTTTGCAAATATGATCAATTGTATTAGAGGTCTTACGCTTCAGATATGAGTATTTTTTGTCGTGCCTTGGGAAAGACAGAGCGTTCAATCATATCATATAAAGGTCTCCAAGGAAGTACTAGATCTTCGGGTCCAATTTTCTTCTTTTTTCTATATACATTCATCAGAAAGAAAGATAAAAAAAAAAGTGAGAATCTAATCAAATATAAAAAAAGTTTGGATTTTTTTTTCTTTTTCTCTTTACCTAAGTAAACGCACACAAGTATTAGCCCACATTTCAACCAGCGCATAATCCATTCCAGGGGCTACAGTCAATTGAAATAAAACTTTGGCCAGATTAGCACGAGTGGTCCGTGGAAGAGCGTGCTTCAAGTCCAAGTAACTTTGATTCAGTAGCAAATAATAAAATAAAATAAAATAACAGTGTAAAAATATAAAATATTATACTTAGTTATATCTTTTCTTACTTTGTCAGTTGTTTCATCCAAGAAAGAGCACCAGGAGCAAAATCACGAATCTTGACGGAAAGAACCAAGTGATCTACGATATCTTGTAACCAAGCTTCAGTTTCGTCTCCCAACAAGTGACCATAAGGTAAAGATTGAGAATACCACATAGCATGTTGTTTATCGTCCTCTAGTACAGATATAGGTATAGACATATTTATTTATTTATTATTTGTAAAAGAAAAGGACGCGTAAAGAGAATACGTAAGTAGAATATATAAAGAAAAGAAAAAGAAAAGGTTTTTTTTTTTTCAGAGGACCAACTGTGCATTCAGCTGACTGGGGTTGCTGAGGTCAATTTAGGGAAGATTTCGACTTTTTTTTTTTCTTTGAGACTATTGTATTACGTGTCCACTGCTTTTAACCAAGATTTTCTTTTTTGTCAAAATTATCCTATCAGCAAAAAAGGACACCACTTTTCTTTTCTCTTATTTTTCTCACAACATTCGCAGCTATCATTATAATATTATATACTAATTGAATTAAACATGATTATTGTCAATGATTGGTCACGGCATTTTAATTCGGTGGTCAAAAAGTTAGCCTATGATATGAGGGGAACATCTTTTTTTGTTTGAGCTTCATTTTCCCTCCCCATTCAAAATTTAAGAGGTTTTTTTTTAAGGAGCCGGAAAATCTATTTTTTTTTTTCTTTCGTTTTGTCTTGTTCTAGTTTTCCCAACCATGTCCCAAGCATCAGGTTCCATTGCAAGTAGAATCACTCAAAAGTTGGGTTCTAAGGAATTTAGAAACTATATCACTAGGTAAAAAGAAAGCAATATGAAAAAGGTACACTTAACTAACTAAACTATATTTTTGTTTTTTGCCAACTTCTTTTTTTATCTATATAGTACAGTAAGAAACTTGATCTTTATCACTTTGTTAACAAAAAAAAAAAACCTGAAAACTAATTATATATATATATTTTTTTTATCTTTCTTTTATAATGAAATTAATATTCAAATTTGTAGCATTTCTGGGGACCTGTTGCTAACTGGGGTATTCCTTTGGCTGCTATTGGTGATACTCAAAAGGATCCTAGTTTGATTTCTGGCAATATGACAGCTGGTAAATAACGTTAAAAATACTTTTTTTGAAGTCATATATATGGTCATCATGTTAACTAAAAGAAAATTTGATTTCTTTTTCTTTTTTTCTTTTTTTTAGCTCTCTGTGTGTACTCTGCTCTTTTTATGCGATTCGCTTTGGCTGTTCAACCTAAAAACTATCTACTTTTTGCTTGTCATTTTGTGAATGAAGGTGCTCAATTGACCCAAGGTTATCGTTATCTTCAATACAACAAGTAAGAAGTTTATTTTATTATATTCTTTCTGTTACAATTTTAAATGATAGAATATTAACTGATAGAACAAAACCTTTTATTATCGTAATTTAGATTTGGTGGGAAGGAAAAAGCTGAAGCAGCAAAATCAGAGGAATCCAAGTTAGTACCCAATGTTTGAAAAAATGTATAGATACACAATACGAATAATAAAATCAAATAAAATAGAAAACAGTAGATTCTTTTATTTATAAAATATATTTATTTTGTTATGAAGGAGTGTTGATATGAGTTTTGGATACGGTCATATTACTAGTAGGATTTGTGTTGGGGTTTTGTGTAGTATTGATGGTGGTATTTATGGATTCTATAGTATGAAGAAAATGAGGACTAGATAGTGTAGTGTTTTGTGAATCCATGGTATAAAAGGGATTGCAGACGTGAGATACATAAGCTTGATGGATCTTCCTAAATATCTGTTCAATAAATATAAAGTTAAAAATCTAACAATAATAATATATTATCAGATATAACGCTTACGGCTTTCATATCGGTATCACGAATAACCCCATCTGTTACACTTATAACAACTATAAACTTCACTTTCGTGTTTGTCATATATCCGTACCTAATATATATTAAGTTCGAAATAACATTAATAAAATATACTCTAAGCAAAAAAAAAAAAAAAAAAAAAAAAAAAAAGATAACATACACTGCTAAATCTTCCATGGCATATAAAAGTCCAAGATACAAATCCAGTTGCTTTGGTCCATTCGTTACTAAATTATAAGATGAGTATTCATAAAATAAAGTCAAAGATAAAAACTCTTATCATTTACCTCGTTCTTCAATAATGTCTATAGAAGTATGTGCAATATAATGATATTTAAGATCAGGGTGAGTGGAACTAAAGTTTTTGATAAACAATGGGTTGTTCTATGATACATATAAAAAAAAAAAGAGAGTAAGTTTATTAATGATATAAATAAAAAGTTTATCTTTTAATATATTTACCTGTTTTCCAATGATAGCAATACAGCTGATATCACTGTTCATTTTGTAGGAATTAGGCACGAAGGAAAGGAACTTGTTCAAACTTCTGAACCAACAAAAAGAATATTAGGTTGAATGACATTTTCAACCTCCGTCCTTTCTTGCGTTTTTTTTTTGGTTTCACCCCATCTTTTTTCTTTTTTCCCTTCTTTTTCATACTGTCCTTCTTCATATACATAAATATCTACATTCATATATATAATATGTCTTCTAATCAGCAACGACTTCGAATAGGTCAATATCAAATTATCAAAACAATTGGAACTGGTTCTTTTGGAAAAGTCAAACGTAAAATACGAATAGAAAATAACTAAAGGGTCATATTTGATTGAGTTTCTTCAAATGTTGTTAACCTTTTTTTTTTTTATACGTTGATAATATATATAGTGGCTGTACATGCTGTTACCAATCAAAAAGTCGCTTTAAAATTCATCAATCGAAAGAAAATAGCAACTATGGATATGAGTGGACGAGTAAAACGTGAAATTCAGTATTTAAAACTATTACGACATCCTCATATTATTAAACTGTAAGGAGACCCGTCTTTCATCGTTTTCTTATAACAAACTTTTCATTTAAATATGTTCATTATTTAATTTGACAGGTATGAAGTCATCACTACTGCCACTGATATTATTATGGTCATAGAATATGCTGCTAGGGAACTTTTCAATTATATTGTCGAAAAGGGCAAGGTAAAGAAGTAAATATATTATAAGGTAATAAAATCTGATGATTTTGTTCATAGATGTCAGAGGATGATGCCCGGAGGTTTTTTCAACAAATCATATGCGCTGTTGAATATTGTCATCGTCATAAGATTGTTCACAGGTAAATAAATCATTTGTGGAAATTCTAACTTAAATAACAAAAGATTAACAACTTTTTTCCTTTGTAGAGATTTGAAACCAGAAAAGTAATAATATCCATTATTATGTCTTTCTTTTTTTTCGCGTATTGATTTTTCTTTTTGTATAGTTTATTACTGGATGCTAATAATAATGTAAAGATCGCTGACTTTGGATTATCAAACATCATGACTGATGGTGATTTTTTGAAAACAAGCTGTGGAAGTCCAAACTATGCTGCAGTAAGAAAAGAAAAGACAAAAGAGATTCGACTTTTACTCACTTTTTTTTTCTTCTTTACATATTGTAGCCAGAAGTGATATCTGGAAAGTAAGATTTTATAAATAGTAAAGACTTTTAGTTTTGTACTTAAAACGTTTGTGATGTACATATTTTATAGACTTTACGCAGGTCCTGAAGTAGATGTTTGGAGTTGCGGTGTTATTCTCTATGTTATGCTTTGCGGACGACTTCCTTTTGATGATGAATATATTCCAACTTTATTCAAGAAGATAAACGGTGGTATTTATACGATGCCTTCGTTTCTAAGTCCGGAAACGAAATATTTACTAACGTCAATGTTAGTGGTTGATCCATTAAAACGAATCACCATTCAGGAAATTAGGTAATCTTTAAAAAGATTACAATTAATATTGTTTTGTTTTGATGATCTTATATCATTTCCTTTTTTTTTTATTATTATTTCAAAGGCAAAATCCATGGTTCAACACCAATCTTCCAGATTATCTACGACCTCTCCCACAAACAGAAGAAGAACTATATCAATCAATTGACGAAACAGTGGTAGAGGAATTACACAAAGTAAGAGATTGGAAATAATCAATTAGTATTCCAATCATTGTATACTTTTGCTTACTATTTTGTTACTATTCCTATTGTAGAAAATGGGTTACACATCTGAAGCAATCCATCGTGCATTAAATGATACAGAGAATAATCCTTTAAAGGTGGCATATCAATTGGTTTTAGATCATAAACGGATGTTGGAAGGATGTAAGAATCTTTTTTTTTTCTTTTTTTTAAAAAAAGCACTCTTAAGATGATGATATCTGATGATGATTACTTGTTTTTAATTAATTAATTAGCACAAAAAACAGATGTACAGAGTTTCTTTGCTACTTCACCACCGCCTTGGAATGCCGCTTTTGAAGAACGAATATTACATCAACAAAAACAACAATTACAAGAGCATGGTATATCTTCATCACCATCACATCAACAAGAGGATGATGAAGGTAAATGCTTAGATCCTGCATCATCTATCACTGTTTTAAGTTCAAGTCTTCCAAAGAATGATGAATCTTTTCAACGTAAGTTAACTATAAACTTAAATCATAAAAAAAAAGCTCTTTCCGATCTCATCATCCTTTTTTTTTTAACAATTTTTTTTTTATTTATACCCTATGTATTCAACATATAGGCACGGAAACACATAGCGGATCTCAGGCAACAGGTATAGTTCCATCAAATGTTTCAGCCATTCGTAACGCAGTACAAGAAGGATCAACACGTCATTTATCTACAACGACAAAGAAATTATCCTCATCACGAACGACATCCTCTAGATCAAAGTGGCATTTCGGTATTCGAAGCAAATGTCCAGCTTGGGAAGTTATGTTGGAAATATATCGTTCTTTAAAAAACGTTGGTATGGAATGGAAATCATTGGATACTTATCATTTACGATGTCGTTACGTATATCCAACATTGAATATCATTGTCAAATTCGATCTTCAGTTATACAAACTTGAAAATAATAGTTACTTGGTGGATTTTAAAAATGTTGGTACATCTTCTAATCGAAATAATACTAGTAGTCAAACAACTGATGCAACAGCAGGATCAGCAATGACAGATGGCACTCCTTCTCCTTTCATTATGTTACGAAAAGAAATGGAACGACAACAACAGCAATATCGACAATCTAATGACTTGGAGGAACTAAGTCCTTGGCTTCGAAGAAGATTATCATTATCTGGAGAACATGTTAATAGTGTGTATCCCTTTCTGGATGTCTGCAGTAAACTTATTACAGATATAGTGTAAATTTATTTATTCCTTTTTTTTTTTTTTGTCAATAAATAAGCACCATTAAAAGTAAACATAGACATAAAAACTTGATTTTGAAACTTTTTTTTTATTTCCATTGAAAAGAAAGATTTTATACTGGTTGAGTACAACTTCCCATCGCAAGCATTATCTTGATCTGGTAATAAGGGTTTGGAATTCTCAGCCATATTAGAAAAATTCTATTTATATGGGCTCCCCTAGTTGCTCAACCTGTATAAATCTACAAAAAAAAAAAAAGAAAAAAAGAGGAATCCCAACATCATCATTTACCCACAACCCATCACGTAATGAAAACCGCATGATAGGCGAATAAATAGAAAATAAATTGCAATAAAGTTAATAATGGTTATGAATATTTTGACTTTATCATCTTACTTTACCTTGGAAATAAATATATCGCTTCTTTTTCTTTTTCAAGCTGCAGTCATCTGACAACAAGTTGTTGTTCGATGGAACTCTTTTGTCGACACTTCATCATCTTGATGCTTCAGAACACCAGTATCAATAGTGGGATAGATAAATCCAGGAGCAGATTCAGGAAGAAGGGTCCACGAAAGGAATTCATTTGTCTGATTTTGTACGAATGAATCATCAACAATATTCAAACGTTTACAATAATTAGTAACCTTTAACCAATCGCGAGAAACGTTCTTAAGATCTCGAGACATGTAACGGAAGGAACGTTGGTAAATCTTGCGGTTAACATCACTATTCATCCAAGGTTTCATATCCACAAATGCTTCATAGGATTCAGCAGGCTTAGCAAACATCAGATCAGCACCACGCTTAACGGCCTTCATGAATTTTTTCACCTTTTCAGGGTGTTTATCGATGAACGATTCATTACCAATAAAGAGAATCTAGATATAAAGAAAAAAAATGGGGGAGTCAATAAACATTATATTTTCGATGTTTATTTATATTAAGAACTTACAGAACAGAAGCAACAGCATCCAAGGTCGGCGAGTTCATCAATACGAAGCATTTGGACGTCATCTCGAGAGCGTCCTTGTGCGACAGACCATTCTTCCAATTCGACCATCTGAACATTTTCAAGTCCAATACCAGCATCAATCTCACCATTTTGGAGAGCTTTAGTAACATTCATACCAACACGCACAGCAGTGTAGTCGGAAGTACTCATCCCATATTGTCTTGCAAGATCATCCACTTGAATTTTACCAAATTCACCAACGTAACCAATGCGTTTACCTTTAATGGATTCAAAGTCTTCATTGATACCACTTTTGTGTTTCAGATGGATCACTCCAGTGAAAGGTTCGTCCAATAAAGTACCAATAGATTTGATAGGAAAACCGCGAGCTTTACCTTTGTTTTTTTTTTTAACAAAAGAAACAAGAAAGACGTATGAGAAGATGATATAATATTAAAAAAAACATATTTCTCTTTTTTTTTTTTTTTTTTTTATTACCAGCAATAGTATGAATCATCGCTTTACAGCCTAGATCCACTTTACCAGAACCAATGATTTCAGTCACATCGGATGGGTTATTAGGCTCAATGATGGCAACTTGAATGCCTTCTTCAGTAAAATAACCCATTTTCTCTGCCAAGAAGAGAGGAAGATGATAGGGAGTAGCATGCCAGTTCAATAAGCAAGTAATTTTTTCTGTAGACATCTTTAATTGTTTGATGAACAAAAGAAAGTATTACCTTTACTTTTGTCAGTCTTTATATATGCTATGACCGTTACCTCATGCGATCCGGTGATCTCCGAGATCTTATGCAATGTTTTGTTGGGGGACGGTATCACAATAGTTAACATAGCGAATACTTTTAGTCTGAGAAAATTTGTGTGATTTCTTTCCGTCTACGTGTACTGACTTTGTAAACATGAAACCAACTTTCTATTCAAGACGATTTGCCATATTTGGACATCTACTTTTTTCGAAAATTTGCATGACTCACGCTTTTTTCAAGTACTGTATCTTATGCATCCAAAGTGCATTCCCATATATATAAAGAAAAAAAAAATTAAAAAAGAGAAAAAATTAAAACGATTTTTACATCATGACGAGATCATAACAAGAATCTCTATTTATCATCGAATTCATTGGTACAGTAAATAAATCATAACTACTAAGGTATTTGTATTTGATTTAATATATTTATATTTCAAAGTATAATATTGAGATAAATGGTTAGATGCAGGGTTACCATGAATCATCTCAAGAAAAAAAAAAAAAAAAACAAATAAACAAAGAAAAAAAAAAGATTGAAAATCACAAACTATCTGAATCTATTGTAATTCGTTCCTGACCCATTGATTGAGCATTTCAAGGGATGCTTCTGGTTGATCATATGGCACCATATGACCAGCCTTGGCAACACGGAGGAAAGCAAATTGACCATCTTTTGTAGAGCGAAGTTCACCAACCTTTTCTCCAGAGGAAGACATCCAGTCATTATCTTCTGCAGATCGGAACTGATCACGTCCTGACCAAGGAAGTTCCAAGGTCCAAGCTTTATTTCCCATCCAGTTACAAATAAAGTCAGCATCACCACTGTAAATTAAGATACGAATACCATCTTCAAGGAGAGGAGGAACTTCGTTCACATAAGGTCGCATCCAATCACCAGCTAAATTGAAGCGGAAGTTGATTTGCATATTACAGCTTTCATATTTTCCAATGTTTGGAGCACCAACTGCTTTTTTAACATCATCACGATTAAGATACGTTTGTACACTTTCCAAGATTTCATAGCAAAGATTACCACCTCTACATTTTTCACGGACATCATATGGATTCATGCCAGTTTGTTGATATGGTTGAATTTGATCCTTATTACATTTCATCGCTGCAGGCAAGCAAGAGAAAACACTTTGTGATTTATAACAATTTTTAATCAAACGAGCACAAGCAGGGTACTGATCTTTCATGTTATCACAAGTAGATTTATCCAAAACAGGACCATAAGAATTTTCACAAGCCATTTGAGCGTAATATTTGTATTGAATCAAAGGATCCGTCAAACCATTGCCAATTAATAAACTTTTCAAGTTGATGGGTTTTAATGTTGAAGCAAAGTTGTTCAAGAAAGATGATGTAAATTGTCCTTTATTGTTTCGATTCACTTCTGTACCAATTCTTGGTATGTAGTGACCAGCATAAGATTCACCAGCAACATGGAAATCCAAATGAGCATACTCTAAATATGACATATTGTAAATGAGTATACCTTATTTTATCAGTAATATTTGTTTCAATTACCAGAGAATTCTTTGAAGAAAAGTTGAAGGAATGCATATACATGTTTAGCAGCTTCTACAGTATTTGTTGCACCTCCATTCCCATAAGAATAACCGACATTCAAGGGTTGATCCAAAAATACAACACTGCTATTCGAATTCCAAGAATAAGGATTGATTTTAGTGTCATCACCAGCTTTATTCACCGTACAGGGGCTATTTTAAGACAAGATGTTATAGTTATTAAGTATTTAAAATCAGATGATTCAGAGCATTATTTTGATACATCATTTTTTTTTTTATTTTGTTACCCTAGTTCCATGAATAATCCAGTCAAAGATGAGCAACCAGGTCCTCCATTGAGCCACAGAACTAATGGATCTTCTTCAGGCTTATTGCGGGACTCGAAAAACCAGAAAAAGAAGTGCTTGTCGTCATCAACATCCAAGTAACCACTTATCTAACATGTATATCAAACTACTTAATCATTTGTTCTCTTTACTGTTTTTTTTTTTTAACAAAACTGGAGTACCTGTTTCACGGATGGATCACATAAAGAAGGTGTTTTATAACGCATTGCATACTGAGGAAAGGCTGGATGCGAAAAAGCTTTAAGTGACTTGCTGATATCATCAACAACTTCATTAACTTCATTGGTAGTATCATGGATGACGTCTTGAAATTGTTGCCAAGCGTTAGAAATACCGCTTTGAGCACCCTGGAAAATAAATTTTTCCTGAGGTTTAGCAAAAGCCGAAGTAAAGAGCAGACCACATATAGCCGCTTTCAAAAATTTTTTAGAGGTTCTCATTTGTGTTGAAAAAAGAAAAGAAAACCAAAAAAAAAAAAAAAAAAACGAAGTGTAATGAAATAACTATAACTGTTATCCTTTTTTTTTTCAATGGGAATTTTTTTTTTCAGGTATGCCATTCCTTTTTAAGGTAATTTTGACCAAACAAAAACAATAAAAAGCCGAGCCCGCGGTAAGGAAAAAACAACGCCTTTGCCGCGATCAAATATCTGAGGGAAACTTCGGCAGTTATCATCCTTTTTCTTGTTTATAGGGGCATGAAACACATAATCATCATAATACAAAAAATAAAATAAAATGAAATCACATACTTATTATCATAATTATCATACAGTCATCATTATAGTAACTGTCCACTAGTAATATCATTCACACATCATTCATCAATGGTAATCCGGTCGTTCCATCGTCATCATTTCTCATTATCTGTCATACTTTATAAGTGCAATCAATTGATTTGAAGCAAGATTTTTTATCTCTGCACATCATGATTGTATTCCTGTGTATGAGCCTATTTTTCAGATCTAATAATAAGATGGGGAGGTAGTGCAAATTTTTAAATGCGGGTAAATGATAAACCTTTTTATTCTATTTCGCCTTGCTCTTCATCACCAGTCAATGGTTTCCTACCATCAAATTCTTTGACTTTTCGCTTATATTTTTCTGCCATCCAAAATTGCCCTAGTAGTGTTTCTGGCGAGCCATAACGTAGCTTTGCATTTTCTTCATCGGATTTTATCTCTTCCATTGTTGGACCAATGACTGGAAGATAAGGAATAGCAATTGAAGGGTCAGGATACCTTTTTGGTTTTTCACCAACTTCGGGTGTGTGACGACGACCACGGAACATTGGATTGATACCAGCCGAGGGTGGAATTTTTGCAGCTTCTTTGCCCATTACATTATTAAAATCTGTCTCTATTACGTCTTCTTTTTCTCGGTAAGTCATAGACTCATATCTCTTTACTTGATCCCATGCCATATCAGTTTCTTCGTGCCTTGGCATACCAGGTGCTTCCTTGTTAGCACGTTTTTTATCCTCTTCACTGTTATGTTGCGCAATATCTTTCAAAATTCGTTGACAAACCTAAATGCGAAAAGTAAAAAGTTAACTATCATGTGTATATTCAATAATAATACCATAGGATGAGCTTTTTTTTTTCTTACCTTGAGGTGACTTTGTGAGTCATTTTTAAAACGATCCGCAATAAGGTACAAGGAAACAAGTAGTCTAGTAGCAAGTATTCTAGAAAGAAAGAGTTTTTTGCATTAAATATCATGTATGACTATTGTCTAGGTCTTTTATTATAATTACCGTGATTGCTGTTTTCCTATTGACTTGGAAAACAAATTATTTTTTGATCCATTCATTTTAGCAGCAAAAAGTTCCGTGATCATCTATAGAAACGAATAAGATAGTTCGCATATATATATATGTTATTTGATTTGTTCTTCTTTACCATATCTATCAACGACTCTACAGAAGGGATATTTTCAATGACATCTCCTATCATCGCGCTTTCTAGTTGGTCAAATAAATCACTGATCAATCCCTATTTAAATATGAGATCACCGTTAGATTATTTTTATCTGTAATCAATGCATTTTTACTTACAAAAGCAATTCCAAACCCAGAAGACACGTGAATGTTATTCTGTAAATGTAATGAATCTAAATTCAGAGCATCATCATTGTTAATATCAGGGTATTCGTATCCATCACGAAGACATGTTCGCCACTTTGAGGCTCGCTCTAATGATTTTGATGTTTTTGTTACTTTTGGCTGAGTGTTTTGAGAATACAGTTGAGCATTGTACTCGATTAAAGTGCAAGAAGGATTTGTTCGTTCATATTTCAAAAGAGAAGGTATATCATTAAAGAGATTAGGTTTAAGCAATGCATCCATAAATTCCTATATTCATAATAGTAAAATTAGTTTTCATTTTGTTTTCTTTAATGATTGACCTCTTACTGTTGATTTTAAAACTTGATTATGTCTGATCATATTTGATGAACTAAACTCTTTCTTTATAGAATGTTCTATCTTCAAATTAGTGAATTGATGTTCAAATTCATGGCCAATATATTCAAGAACTAGATTTCCTATAATGTTAAACATCATGTGTTATTCATAATGTTATTCAATTTTCCTTTTATATGATACCTTCGTAGAATAGAAGAACCTTATCCCAGATCTTATTCTTCATCTTCGCGTCAGATTGCATTTTTGATTCTGTTGAAAGATATAATCGGGAGCCTATTCATACACGTAAAAAAGATGTTGATATATGACATCACACAAATTGTTTGTTCAGAAAACTGTATATAATATCTAAAAAGTTGTGTTACTGACCATTCATCATATCATTGAGCAATCTATTCGAGTATGTGTCCGTAAGCTATAACATCATGTTCAATAAAATATTGAATAATTGAAAAATCAAAATCAGTAATCAAATGCCTCATAAAGATTGGCTACATTTACATTAGCTATAGTGACTGGGTGAATTGAGATGCACCAATCTTCATGTCCTAAAAAAAAAAAAGGGTTAAAATTAATAACATTGTAATAAGTATAAGATATATAGTTGATTACCCTGAAGTTCATCTTGATCGGTATCTACCACGAAGACTTGTTCAGTTCGATGATCCATGGATGAATCTTCAAAAATGCGGATATCACTTTTTGTTTTTGCAAGATCGCTACTTTGTTTGTTTTCTGCAGCATAATAGTATTCTGCTATTTCCATGTTATCAATCGACATTTCCTATGACACATCATGACGTTAGATCGATATAAAAGAAACTTCATTCGAGACTTACAGGAGACATCTGATTTTTTATACGTAAGCAATTAATATTAAAGTACTCCTGTGCTAAATAGATTAAGGAACGTTTCAAATGCTGTTGTCCATTAGGCACATTATATACAGATAATGTCACATCATGGATCATCTAAAAAACCAGAGCAACATTTTAGAAAGTATGATAAAAAAAAAAAAAAAAGAGCGTGATTTTGCGTTACTTCATTTTGGATATCTACAGGGAAACCACTAATTGTGGAATCATAAGGCAGAATTCGAATGACATCTATGTGTATATGGCCCGAACTTTTGTCACAATAAATAATATGTGTAATATTCAGATTAGTTAATGGTAATTTATAAATATAAAACAAAATGCTGATTACAATTCTGGAATACGGTGTCTACGGTAAGCTTCAGAGATTGTTGAGCGTAGATCTGCCAAATCAGTTTGTACATCGTCTCGGAAACTAGTCATCATTATTGAGTTTATATCCATATTCATCAGTCAATTAATCACTATATTTAGTGAACCTATATTTTCTTACCCAATTCCATATTCATCAAGTCCTTTACAAGTTAGAATAAGAATGATACGTCCATTATGAGTATCTGAGGATAAATCAAAATTTGTAAACATATTTCCAAAACTTTTCTCCAGAGCTGTTTGAATCCTATTGGAATTTGACGTGTTTTGTGCTTGATATTGTTCGAAACCACGAGATATCTTTTGAAAAAGAAGCAAGTTACTACTTGTATCTCATTTTTCTTTTGATATGACCAATTACCTTGGATAGCTGATTCCTTGGATTGTTCCAATCATTAAGAAAATAGGAAGTATTTCCAGCAATCATTACAGAGATCTATCATATTACAATCATATTAAGTATGCAAAAACGAGTGTTTCTCAGAAAAAAAAAAAAAAAAAACTTATTACCTTTGCCTCTTCATAAAGATCCCAAGTCAAGCGACAAAAGTTGAGAGTACTGTCCACCATGACAGTCCAAATAGGGAACGATGGTAAATTTTCTACAAGAAAGTTATAAGAATCTTAAAATAGACTGATATATGTATGTACTTAGCAATATTTACGTGAGGGATCAATATTATTATTATTATCAGGTTGTTGTATTGTCTGAGCATATGAAGTAACATGTCCGTCTAATATAATACTAGTATATGTCGTGTTCATTCTTTTTGGGTATTTTTTTTTTTTTTTTTTTTTGTGTTAGAACAGGTAGTTTTAGTACAAAGCGATGAAACGAATGGTGATCTATTTTTAGCACGTCACAGAGCCCTGATTTGAAGCTTGATAAATCATGCTTATTGTGTCAGTACGCTATAAAAGGCAATAACCTTCGAAACAAGTCAAATGTCATTTTGTTTTCTAAATTTTTGTTCTATGAAGATGATGATGATATTTAATGATGACGTGAAAATATATACTAAAAAATAAATGATTCGGAAAATAGAAGCAGGAGGAATCAAAGGCTTATGATAAATTGATAAATACAAATAATAATTGGTATTTACCATCTGTCCGTTCTTTTCTTTTATGTAAGTCATTTGATTGTTGCGTAAAATGTATAAAGAAACGTTTTCAATGGTATTTTGTCTCATTAATCCCTGCCAGTCTCAGTTAAATACAATTTTATCATCTAAGGGAAAAAGCAATTTTATGGGCTAATTTTTGCTTAGTGTCAATAACAAAGGGGTTAAAATCGCGTCAAACAGTCTCTTTTCCCAGCTGGTCTCTGAATTCTTTTTTTTTTTACGTTTTAACTTCTGCTTTTTTTATAGAACTTAGTTTGTAGGTCCGTTACCTGAATCAAGAAAAGGGAACAGATATATATTGGTAGCAGTAGACTATCTTAGTGGAAGGCCACTTGCTCTTGTCATGAACTTTGCGGATGGTGATGGTGTAGTTGATTTCCTTTATCAAGACATCTTCTGTAATTTTGGTCCACCTAGGAAGCAACGTATATCAAGCACATATTTCCAGTATAAGCGGCATTCACGATTGCAAGGATATTACCATGAATCAAATACTAGGTATGGAATTGCTGTAACCTTTTTGATGATAAAACGGTGAATTCTTTTGCTAAATGGTGTAACATCGAAAACTGGACTTCATGGAGGTGAACACCAAAAGAAAACGGGCCGACCATCAAGAAAAGATCCGTACAAGATCCCTTTATGTGATAAAGAATATACAAACATGGATGAAACTGGTCTATATTATTCGGCATCACCTAGGTATACAATAGCCCATGCAGATAGCCAGTCCATCGCAGGTCAAAAAATTGGCAAATCATGTATCACAGTTGCAGTCCTTGCTAACGGCGATGGATCAGATCGAGATGCTTATTATATTAAGGATGATTTCCAAGGTAAGAAGAATTCAATGCTTTTATATTCCTTTTTACTAAACGTAGTTTTATAGGTGATGTGGCGAACAAGATTGCGACCTATCTTCCAACCTATCAAAAACATATAAAGTCTCTCAAGGACGATGGGTACACCGTCATTGGTTATATTAGGAAGTCCCCTGAAACTGAAACTATGGAAACCAGACATAGATTACTACATTCCATGAGCTCAAGACTTCAAGAAAGATCATTGGTGGATATGGTTTTTGCTTCTTCTTGCTGCCGTGCCTCTGATGCGATCGAAGAAAGGGATCTAGATAACAAATCCGCGGAAAAACTTGACGTTGCTGGCGACACTCAAGGTAAAACTATCAACATATCTCGAGAAGATCAGTGTCCTCACTTTTTTTTCTTTTTCACAGAAATGCTAACCTTCATCAGTGGAAAGACCAAGGTATGTCTTGTTATTCTGGATTATGCTGGTCTCAGCACAGATTGTGCTGATCTTAGAAAGTTCTTAGGGTAAGAAACAAATCAAAACAAGCTAACAACGAGCACAGGATGACCTGGTACTAATAATATTTTCTAATAGTAACTATCAACAAATCAAGAAAATCGTTGTCGATATGTTACCTTATACAAATGAAGTCAATATGTACGACTGCAGTCAGCTTTTGCAAGATCCCGACAAGTTAAAGGTCTTCGATTGCCGAAAAAGGCCTACCAAAGAAGCCATTGGTCTAGTATAGTTTGTTAGTATATATATATTTATGATAAAAAAATATCCAGTTTTTCTTCTGTTTTCGAGTTTATCCAACTTCCAATTAGTCTTTCTCGAAATTTTTATAAAGTTAACATTTGATGTCCAAAACTATGCGGTTTATATTGTTGGTTGGTTGTTGTGATGTTTAGTTAAATAAAATAAAAATAGTGAGAGAGAGAGAAATACAATGAAACTGATTAATAGTTTATTGATGAGAGAAAAGAACATCTTAATAAAAATAAAATAATACTAATTGATATACTAATCTGTCATTCTAATCTGATATTAAATAAAAGAGTTTGTGTTACTGAATCTATGATATCAATTGTAACTCCATAAACCTTGGATACAACAGTTGTCTTCAATGATGAACATGTGCTCATTTTTCAACTTTTATTTTAAAGTCCGTTGCTGTGATAAAGTTTTTTTCTGCCAATAGTTATGTGTACAACTTTTTTCAAAAGTTAATGAGAAAGAAACAAGAAAACCTTGTACGAGGACATCGTAGACAATCTGTCCTTCTCACAGAATCAGAGCTTCAAGACCTACGAGGTATATAGTTGTTCATATATATATATATGTATTAGTTTATTAACTAACTGAACTTTTTGGGGTTTTCCTTAGCAAGACAACGAACATTTGAAGGTGCTTACTGGAGAACATCTTTAGCAGCGTTTTCTACAGGTCTTTTGATATTGAAAGTGTTTACTCGAGAGTTCTATAAAATTGGTATTACTTTTTTTGTGTTTGGATTAGCTTTATTGGCCATAGCACTTTGGCGAAGAAGAACGGCTGGAGATGTGTTTGACTTGTCTATACCCTTTCGTACGAGTGGCAACTGGGTGCTTTTAACAACTGTGGCTACTCTAGCGACCTATATTGTCCTTTTTATCCTTTTATTGAATTTGTAAATAACTATTGTTCTCTTTCTAATTATTTGAATAAATATTAAATATATTCTTGTCAATGTCGTTGTCTTCGTTCATCATTAGATGTATTTTTTACAAGTTATATTATCTTGTGTTCTCCTTAAAAAAAAAGAAATCAAAAATCCCACGTTGATCTCAACAAAACGATGACCAAAAAAAAAAAAAAAAATCAATAAACTATAGAAAAAAGGGAGATGATTTATTATTTATCAGCACCACCCTGATTTATGTTGCATGATGATGATTAAACAGTTTCTAGATGTTTCAAATGATTGTATTTGGGTAATACCTCGCGAAGATAATCCAAATGTCGAAAATGTAATGTTGCTTGTCCCTAACAAAGTGATGCAGCGAAATGAACATGATGATCAATCAAATGAATAATGCTATAAAGTATTGATATGAATTTTTAGCTTACTGGTAAAACGTTGCTCTGTGTCCTTCGGTTAGGTTGGCTACCATATATAACTGTCATATCTTCAATTGTTTCATTGACTTCAGTAGAACATGCAGCTCCAATTACACAATGATTCCCAATGATAGTATTTCCTAAAACACGCGCTATTTTTCAAAAAGGTTTATAAGTTTAGGAATATATAACATCATATCCTTTGCGTAAAATGATAATCATTTACCTCGAGTACCGATCACATTATTATTCCCTAACCTTGATCCTTCTACATCTTTATATAGAAAAGAGGAAGAGTAACCGATGCATTTAGTGCGAAGAAAATATATCTGTTATTCAATATCATCATGTCTATCAACATTTTGTTATTATTTGACTTACAACACCCTACTTCAAACACGTTTTCGTCTCCAATAACTAATGGTGCTGCATTTCTATCCATCGAATTATTGGTAATAAGAAAAAAAAACACGTTCATTTTTTAAGTTTATGAAGAGTTGCTTATGTATATATTGCAAGGAAAGTTTATATGTTAACTTACTTGTTAAAGATGATTGTATTTTCTTCAATAATGTTGTTTTTGCCTATATATATAGGTCCATTTTCAGCAATAATACGACATTGTGGATGTAGTACTGTTCCTATAAACAAATATTGAACAAAAAACTCCTGTCACTATGTCATTTCAAAAAGATGGTTGCTGCCCTGAGTTTTTTATCGTTTTTTTTTTTTCTCCTTCAACGTACCAGCTCCTATTGATACCTCTCCTCGAAGTTCCGTCTCTTGGCATACAACTGTTCCTGGTCCTGCTGTAATACGATTTCTAGATGACTCCAAAAAAAAATGAAAATAAGTATAAAACTTGAAGTTTGTTTATGACTATTAATGAGAACTTTTTTTTTTTGATACCTTGACATAAGTGAAAAAGAAAAAGAAAGGCAATCAATCTTGTTATCGGGCACATGATCCTGATTGAAAGGCGGTCATAAAATTTACTTCTCGTTTGACCAATAAAATTGATTGATCATCTGCCAACACGACATAGTATGTTCATCAAAGTTGGTTGTCATTGAAAAATAGGCATCATCCAAGAGGATTTATCCATTGTGATATACTTTTATTATAAAATAGACACTTATCATAAAAAAAAAACCACAAACAAAAACAAACAAACTAGAAATATGAACATATAATAATTTATTTCACATGCCACCTGTACGTCCATTGGGACACTTGTTTGCATAATGACCTTGCTCTCCACATTTGTAACATGTTACATCTTCCAGTTTTCGATAAGGAGTTCTCTGAAAACCCTGCCTGTTATCACCATTTTGATGCCGTTGTTGTTGTTGATGTTGTTGTTGTGAGTAAAATGGTTGCTGTTGGTGTGATTGATATGAATGCTGCTGAGATTGAAGCTGTCGTTTTTGATGTTGATGATCTTGCGGTTGATTGTCCTGCTGCTGCTGTTGTTGTTGCTGTTGTAATTGTTGTTGAGGTTGTTGCTGTATTTCTTCACTGTTATTGCTAAGTGGTAGTTCATATTTAGGATGCCCATTAGGACAATTTAAACCATCCGGACAAAACCCAGTTAGATAAGCTTGACATACCATTTTACGAACATGTTTATGACGGCAATGAGGTCCTTAAGAAAGAATATAGAAACATTGATTAGGATCTATTTCATATATTTGCAAAAAAAAAAAGAGAGATACTTACCATGTTTACAAAACCCACGAGCATACCATGGACATTCTTTTTGCTTGCTTTCCGGATCAATATGAAGATACATACATTCATCACCATTACAACATTCTCCATACTTGGAATAAAACCAACATTCTGGCATCTTCTTCATATTAAATACATGGAGAAACTCACAGCGATCACCTTTTTTGCATAAACCCCTTAGCCAGTGTTTACATACTACTAACTTGTCCCTATCTGCTCCTCTGTGTTTGAATGGACATTGTGCACCTTTTGTACAAGTTCCTTTTAAAAAATATTTACATACTGGTTCATCTATCATTGACAAAATACGCACAAGGTAAGTCTTCCTTTTTTTTTCTCTCTCTCTTTTTTCTTTGTGTTATATAAGCCTACCTTCACGTTTGGAAAAGTTTGTCAAGTCCAAACCTAATTCTTCCTTAATAAAATCTTCAAAATCAAATTTGATATTGGTATGATCGGTATATTGAATAGGAGAGATTAGCATGATGAGTGGTAGTTAAAATGGTGTATGGAACAAGAAAACATATGTACTGCGCGCCTGTGATGGCACTCTAATATTCCTCACTCATCCCCCAACTTTTTCTGTCCGGTATTATCGGACATGCGGTATACGGAATCAGTCTTGTGGCTTTCGAAATTTTTCCACAGAAAAAAAAAAAAAAAGGGAATGCTCATTTAGTGTCACCATCATCAAAATTCATACATTGGGTAACATGGATGTTCATTCAAGTTAGTTTTCATATTTCAAATTACTATCTTCATGCATAATATTAAAACTGATTTATTTCAAGACATTAATGGTTTGATCATGTTTGATCCATCAATGACAATCATTCAAGGATAATTGAATCATATATTTTTAATTGTTTCTATCATCGTTCATAATGATCAATAGAGAATGGTAGTTTCATTATGATAAAGCATAGCGTAGGATATATAAAAAATAAAAAAATAAAAAAAAATTGTTAAAATAAAAGAAAACGACCAATAGACACGTGAAACCAGACCCCAGCACAAAACGGACGACGGAATCGATCTGTTCGAAGAACAGAACGGAGAGAAGGCTCATTCATTATTATCTCCGAAGAGATCCTGGATGGTGGTTGCCTGCGGTGATTACAGTTTGTTTGTTCAGTAAACATTTCTTTGAAAGTTTCTCTAAATGTACAGATCCACTCTTACAGCGGCCAAATGGTCGTTCCGACGAAGTTTTGCTACAGCCATAAAGCCAAATATCAAACTACTTGCCAAGTTGAGACAGGAAACTGAGGTATCAATGGCAAAAGCCAAGGAAGCTTTGGTAAAGAACGACAACGACTATGACTTGGCTTTGAATTGGTTGAATCAGGATGCTCTGACTTCAGGTGCAAAAAAGGCAGCCAAGGTGGCTGATCGTGTTGCTGGTGAAGGACTTGTTAGCACTGCTTCTGTGAACGCTCGAAGCACTATTGTTGAGGTACTTGCTGTTCAATAAAAAAAAAAAAGAAAAGGATTCAAAAAATTAACCAAGTTTTTTTTTCTCACTTTTTATCATGTAGCTCAACTGTGAAACTGATTTTGTTTCTCGTAATAGTGTTTTCAAAAATCTTGCTTCTCGAATTGCAGCCACATCATTATTGATACATGAACCTGTTCTTAATGGATCTGCCATTGAAGAAATCCCTGTATCGGTTCTCATGAAGGCTCCTTTGATGCCACATTCTGATCATACTGAAGGTTCAACTGAGGATCTTGGCAAGACAGTAGAGGACGTTATTGTAAAAACCATTGGTATTTTGGGTGAAAATATTACCTTGCGACGAGCAGCTGTGGTAAATCATGGTGTTTCAGCAAGCTATATTCATGGTGGTGATGGTTCAACAGGGAAAATTGGTGGTCTTGCAGTTTTAGAGGTGGATGGAGATATCTCTCAGGGAAACATGGAAGCTCTTACGAAGTCTGCTAGGCAAGTAGCACGCCAAGCTGTTGGATTCAATCCTAAATATGCAAGGGAACAGGATGTACCTGCTGAAGACTTGGAACAGCAAACCGATCGATCATCCTACTTGAAAGAAGTTGTGTTATCAAATCAAGCCTATTTAATGAATCCTGAACAATGTGTAAGTGATTATATTACTCAAGTAGCAAAGGATGCTGGTTTTGAAGGTGCCCGATTATTGGATTTCGTACGTTGGGAAGCTGGAGAAAATATAGAAAAACGGGTTGATAACTTTACTGATGATGTGATGAAAGCTGCACGTGGGGAATAATTTAGGATGTATCCGAAAATAATAAAAAGAAGTTAAATAAAACATCTGTAAATTTTCCATCCTAGAGAACAAAAGCTAGTCGTATAGACTTTCATGATATATGTAATGATCCCTATGATGATAACTCCTATGATAATAATAATAATACTGATATTAGTGTTTGTGTGAAAAGACATTGATAATTTTATTGAAGGATGTAACGTAATTCTAAGACTAAGACTGACTATCAATAGGAACCGCCGCGACCGTTGAACCAGATAAGAGAGAATACAACCAAGACAAATGAAAAAAAGGGGTCTACCAAAAGATACCTTTATTCCTGCATAGTGAAAAAAAAAGAGAGAAGTCAAAAAAAAAAAAAAGCGCTGAGAGAAACGGGGAAGAGAAAGAAAATGAAAAGAAAATTCAGAAAGAAAAAGTTTTTCTTTTTCTGAGAGTATACTTTCAGAATTTCTGTTTTATGAATCGTATCCTTACGTTATACAAGCGATTGCCACCAAGATCCAACCTTGTCAAAGGTAGAAAATACTTGTCTACCTTAGCAACAACAGGTCTTATTGTATTTGGTGTTCCACTAGGTTTGTATACTTACAAGGTGAGAAGAACAAAGTCAAATAAGAAAATTGTCACTTATTCGGATTCCTTTTTTTTTTTTTTGTTCATAGTGTCTAATGTTAATAGCTTTCCAGAACAAACTCATCTACATGGGTTATCTTCCACCAGGATCGCGACATAATCAAGATTTTAAACAACAGATACCCTCGTCTTTGAACGTCCAAGAGGAGTTCATCAATACAGTCGATAATATACGCTTACATGGTTTTCAGGTTACCAAGAAACAAACCGTGAGTGCTGATATAACAGTGAGAAAAAAGTCAGATCCTATTTTGATCTATTTTCAAGGGAACGCAGGGAATATGGCGGACCGTTTTGAGCTCTTTAAATGCATTTTGACAGCTATTCCGAATTTGACTATTATCGGTATTGCATATCGCCAATATGGCAATAGTGAAGGTTATGCGACAGAAAAAGGTTTACAAAAAGATGCTCAAGCAATATTAGACTCAGTACTAGCAAAATGTGATCCATCTGCCGCTGTGTATCTTTATGGTCATTCTTTAGGTGGTGCTGTAGCTGTTGATTTAATGAAAAATTTGATATTACATGAATCCAAAAATAACAACAAGAAAAAGATTGACCGTATTCAAGGTATCATCATAGAAAACACATTTACAAGCATCTATGATATGGTGAATAGTCTTTATCCAAAGTATAGTCCTTATCCATACATTGCTAAATATTGTTTGTGGAATCATTGGTGCACTGATGCTAATCTTCGGTATCTACCATCCACTACCCGATTCCTTTTCCTATCATCAGATAATGATGAAATTGTGCCTTCATCACACATGAGAAAGTTATATAGTATTGCTCGATATCATCCTCTACATAATGCAACTTTGGTTAGATTTAAACGATCCCTTCATATGGATATTTACTCTAAGGAAACCAAATTATTTCAAACCACATTACGTGATTTCATCAAATGACAATATATTTTTTATACATATATATATATATATATATGGATTTAATAATGATCAACTATTGAATGTTCATTCTTTTTTCTTCCTTACAAAAAAAAAAAAAAAAAAAAAAGAGAGAGGGAAAGAAGAGATACTTGATCCCTTTAATATTCTAATCTAATGTTTATAACTTTGAATCACCAGATAACGATCTGTATGGAATCAGCTTGTTCTTGTAAAGAATATTTTCAATTTCCAAAAGAACACTAGCATCTTCGATTGTACCTGGAATTCTCACCTCTTTTCCATCAACCATATCTCTAATACATCGTCGAAGGACTTTTCCACTTCTTGTTTTGGGTAATCTAGATACAATCACTGCGGTATCGAAACATGCAATGGCTCCAAGGTCATTACGAGTAGCCTTGATAAGTTCGGGTAAAATGGTTTTGTTGAATTCTTCTTGTGTACAGTGAGCATGATCCTGTTGGAGTACTATGACACCCATGGGTACATGTCCTTTCATTTTCATTGGATCAGGAAGAGGAACGACACAGCATTCAACTACTTTTGGATGAGACATGATGATTTGTTCCACTGAGCCTGGTAATGTGAAGAAAAATGAGAAAAAATGTTATCTTGTGTTCATAAGATACAGTTCATTATCAGGCATATTATGATATTTTTTTTTTTTTACCTGTTGATAGACGATGTCCTGCGACATTGATGATATCATCTGTTCTTGACATGACATGAATGTATCTAAGAAAGAAGGGGTGATCAATATATTAGTTTTTTTTTTTTTTTTTTTTCCCTTTACAAAAAGAAAAAAGAGATAAATTGTATTTACCCTTCTTCATCAATCATGCCTGCATCACCTGTATCATAATATCCAGGGTACTTTGCAAAATAACTTGTTTCATAACTATCCCGATTATTCCAGAGATAAGGGAAGGAAGCAGGTGGTAAAGGTAATTTCAACACAATATTACCAAAACGATTGGGTTCAGTTATTTCTTCATTAGAATCTTCATCCAAAATCTTGATGATTGATCCAGGTACTTGTTTACCAGCCGATCCGAACTTGACTTTTTCCTTTTTACCTGTACCCAAGCAAGTGGATGTCATTGGAAACCCTGTCTCTGTCTTCATATATATATATATATATATAAAGAAAAGTTTAATTAGATGTTCAACTTTGCATATTATCCTTCATTTTTTTTTTTTACCTGCCAATAGTTATCAATAACATAACAATCTGGACCTACGATCTCCTGACACCAATTCAGTGTTTCAATATCACTACGTTCACTACAAATGAATAAATAGAATAACGGATGAGTCAATAAAAAAAAAAAGGTTTCTTTCGGTCATAATAGAAAAGATCATCTTACCCCGCAACAAAGACAGCTTTCAATTTTGTTAAAGAGTACTTTTTGGCTAAATCACCATGAGGATCTTCACGACGCATGGCTCTGATTGCGGTGGGAGCAGTAAACATCACTTTGACGTTATAATCGGATAAAAGGCGCCAAAAAGTGCCAGCATCCGGTGTTTGAACAGGTTTTCCTTCATACATAACTGATGTTGCACCCGCCAAAAAGGGTCCATATACGGTATAGCTATTAAAGATCGATCATTCAAATTTTAACATTAGCCCTAATTGTTGACAACAAACATCGGGACATGACCCACATATATATATACATATATAATTGATTACCTATGACTAACAGCCCATCCGATATCACTGGCCGTAAACATACATTCTCCTGCTTTGACATTAAAGACGTAATCCATCGACCATCGTAAAGCGACAGCATGACCTCCGTTTGTTCGACAAATACCTTTAGGTACACCTGTTGTACCTGATGTATAAAGAACATACAGAGGATCTTCCGAAGCTACTGCCGTACATGCCAATACCTGTTTACCTTCTTTCCTTATCCGATCCATTTCACTTTGATAATCACGATCTCCATCTATATGGTTGATAGGAGCAGTCAACTTTGTAGGACGCTGAAGTAAAAGTCGAATAGGTACTTTATAAGATGCAATATTAATAGCAGATTCCAATAATGCTTATTGTAATAACAAAATAGATAAATATTAGCATCATTAAAATAAATTCATGCATAATTGGTGAACGTTCGATTGTACTTACGCTTATAAGGAATAATTCCTTTTGGTTCGATACCACAACTCGCTGTTATTACCACCTTGGGACGACAATCATCAATACGTTTCGCCAATTCCTTCGGAGCAAAGCCACCTATGATTGATATTAAAAAAAAAAAAGTTCATCAGCCTTTGTGAGTCCTTTTTTTTTTTCCTTACCAAATACGGCGCTATGAACGGCACCCAAACGAGCACAGGCCAAAAATGCAACTATAGCTTCAGGTACCATAGGCATATAGATAAGTACGGTATCACCTTTCTTCACATCATGAGACACCAATACACCAGCTAAAGTTTGTACCTCGTCTAGCAATTGAGAATAGGTCAATACCTTTTTCGCAGGTACCATAGCAGAATCCCATATTAAAGCTGGTTGATGAGGTCGGTTAATACAGTGACGATCTACAGCATTGTAACAGGTATTCAAAACCCCTCCTGGAAACCAAACAAATGGATTAGGTCCTTTGGCTTTTTTCTCAATCACAGTAGTTGGTGGTTGTATCCAGTCAATATTTTTGGCTGCTTCATTCCAAAGGGTAATATCTATATTAGAAGTCATTTGATATACATATATATGTTGAGAATAAATAAAAAAAAAATTAAAAAATAAATAAACAAAAAGGGGAAAGAAAATGTAGTACGTATAGTCCTTTTCTTTTCTCTCTCTTTTTCTTTTTTTTTTTTTTAGCTGGAGGGCTGAATCAGACGTACATTGGTAACACCGTGAGAATACATCTACAAGGTGACACAACATAGTTTATTTTTTTTTTTTTTTCTCCTCTCCTTTTCCCAAACATATTTAACTTTATTAATCACTTTATGAAGATATCCATCTCTTCTTTTTGCACTATTAATTACTATCAGGTAGGGGATGAGATATTCACTGGCATAAAGTCTGACTTTATATTTTCAAAGATGAATATGCACCATTTTTCTTAGCAATCAATGAAGGTAATGTAAGGGCTTTTTTAGGGGTTTTTATTTTCACGGATTCATATTGATCTACGATAATAATAATAAGTGATGATTAAAAAAAAAGTTTATCTCTTTTTTTTTTTTTTTCTTATCAAAAATGACAAACCTTTATGAACAGGCGGACATGGTGGTTTCTTTTTTAATGACTTGAAAACCCCTTTTAATGGACTAACAGTATTAATACATCGTTCAAAAGCTTTATCTATATATATACAAATATATGATAATGGTTATAAAACAAATCAAAATAAGATCATATATATCTCTTACTATAAGCTAACATGCGTTCGTTTCTATCAAGAATCATTGTGATATCTCGTAATCTTAGTGGTTCAAAATTCACTTCTTTTATCTTTGATTCTTCATTTAAAGACATTTTCCTTTCTGAGTCTCTCTTTTGTTCTATAGGTACGGCTGGTAATGGTTTTTCTTTATCAAATGATTTTCTTTTTTTGGTTTTGACTGGTGTAGGTGATGGCGTTGGAATAGTAAACAAATCCATACTTTTTGGTCTATTGAATTTTTCATTCTTTGTAAAAAAGTTTAGCGTTTTGGTAGCGTGACTGAAAGATTTCCGTTTTGCACCAAGTGTTGATATCCGTTTACGATAACTGCTAACACTTGATTTTTCTAAGACTGACGGTGGTATCGGTGGTGGTGGTGATGGAGGCAATGAAGGATATTGTCTGTTTTCTAATAAGGATGACCTTTTACTAGTAGAGAGTACATATTCGTTTTTTGTGTCGAGATGGATATCAGCCAAGTCTTCCGCAATAGTAGTCGAAACTGAAGACACTCGACTAACTGTATCTGTATTATCGAAACTATGAGGTTTATTTATCCATGCTAGTGTTAAAATAAAAAGAAGGTTATTCATTAACAAAAAAAAAAAAGAAAAGAAAAGAAAAGAAAAGGGAAAAAGAGAGTTACTTACTTTTTACATTTTGTTCTGATTCAGTTGTTGGCATTGTATTTGAGGAAGAAGTCAGTTGAAACAAAGAAAAAGTGTGACTACAGTTTAGAACGAAAAGAATTATTTTTAAGACTTAATGAATCTGCAAACAATGGCGTACAGAATGATATCAATCAGGTAGGTTTGTCAATAATAGAATACACCCCCTTAATATTCTAACCTTTATCGTGCAAGTCCCTAGTTTGACAAAATCTTCTATTCGCTTGCATTTCAGACGGAGTACAAATACATTATGGTGAATAGAATCAAATAATTGTTCAAAAAAAAAAGAAGTTTATTCTAATTTAACTATGTAAAAAGAACTAAACTATATATTTTATTCAGGTTTTCCTTTTTCAAAATCCACAACAGCAGCCTTATAGAAAGCTTCAGAAAGATAAACACGAGCAGCAGTAAGAGAAAGACATTTAGCAGCACGGAGAGTAAGTTCATGAGCCTTTTCAGTAGCAGCAGCATCAGCGAATTCTTTGGTGTGATTAGTAGCAGTAGTGGCAATACCAAAAGCAGGATGAATAGAAGGTACAGCATAACTAAAATTACCCATATCAGTAGAAGCTCCAATGATTTGTTCTTCTTCAGCACGAGGGAGATATTTAACACCTTGTCGTTCCATCAATTCCTTGTAATATTCGGCAAGAGTTGTGTTCATAAAAACATCTATATATTTATATATAAACGTTCCAAACACAGTTAGTCATTAAAGTACTTCTAATTTCTTGTATATCACTTGTTTTTTTTTTTTAATATTTAATAATTAATACCTTCCACTGGTCCCTTTGCACCCCATGACATTTTGTAAGTACATCCAGTTGCTTTTGCTGCTGCCTTGAAACAATTTTCCATCTTGATCTTCAAGTCTTCTAATTGCTTTCGTGTGACTGATCGTGCATAAAGTCGTGCGGCAGAATGAGCAGGAATAACATTGGCCTAAAAGTAAAAAAATGAAAATAATGTAGATGAATAAGTCAAAATTTTTTTTATAAAGTTGAATAATAATAAAAACTTACGGCTTGACCTCCATCTGTGATAATACCATGCATTCTATATTAAATCAAATAATTTACAAAAATTAATTGAATAAATAAAATCATTTATTTCTATGTTCTTACCTATTGCTTGGAAGTACTTGTTGTCTAAGCATAGCCATATTATCAAAACCTTGCATAATCGCATCCACCGCATTAATTCCGTTCCAAGGAGCCATGCCTGCATGACTTTGCTTTCCAAAGAATTCAACTTCCAAAGTATCCAAAGCCAACATACGAACATACAATGAATCTTGCGCAAAAGGATGCTATATTTTCCCCAAAGAACAAAAAAAAAAAAAAAAAAAAGAGAGAGAGAACATTTATAGAAAGGGATGATTAATAAAACATAATTAAGTGTTTTTTTTTTCTTTAAACATTTTAATTTTGATAACTTACCAACATCATAGATACATCAACGCGACGGTGCACTTCACCTGACACACCCAGTTGAAATGCCTCCAACAGTAGCCATAATACATTCGAGTTGCTTCCTATTAAATAAAGGAAGAAAAAGCGCAAACTGTAATACCATTTTTAAAATATCTCATGTAATAAAGTCGTTTTCTAATTTACCTAGTCATCATGCTGGTCAGAGACAACTCAAAAGAAGATCGAATATCAACATCAAAAGTATCATCCTCAAAGCAAAAAAGCAAGCCTACTTGCACAATATGTTCCCTAAAGGTCGAACCCCAAGGCTATTCAAACACATATTTTTGTATCTGAAGAGGGATGGGCAAGCCATTGTGGGAGGCAGAGGGACATCAGCTAAGGAAGTAGAACGAACTACTACAGATCCAACAAGGTCTTTCAATATTTCAATCGAAAGCACGAGAGGCAAAACTGATGTTCCAAGACACCGGCGCAGGCAAGAGTACAATAGGTTTGAGTAGAGTAAACTGTGCTTTTTGCAAAGAGAAAGAGACAACTAATGAAGATAACCAAACCCAGTTGAAATGCCTCCAACAGTAGCCATAATACATTCGAGTTGTTTCCTATTAAATAAAGGAAGAAAAAGCGCAAACTGTAATATCATTTTTAAAATATCTCATGTAATAAAGTCGTTTTCTAATTTACCTAGTCATCATGCTGGTCAGAGACAACTCAAAAGAAGATCGAATATCAACATCAAAAGTATCATTCTCAAAGCAAAAAAGCAAGCCTACTTGCACAATATGTTCCCTAAAGGTCGAACCCCAAGGCTATTCAAACACATATTTTTGTATCTGAAGAGGGATGGGCAAGCCATTGTGGGAGGCAGAGGGACATCAGCTAAGGAAGTAGAATGAACTACTGCAGATCCAACAAGGTCTTTCAATATTTCAATCGAAAGCACGAGAGGCAAAACTGATGTTCCAAGACACCGGCGCAGGCAAGAGTACAATAGGTTTGAGTAGAGTAAACTGTGCTTTTTGCAAAGAGAAAGAGACAACTAATGAAGATAACCGAACCCAGTTGAAATGCCTCCAACAGTAGCCATAATACATTCGAGTTGTTTCCTATTAAATAAAGGAAGAAAAAGCGCAAACTGTAATATCATTTTTAAAATATCTCATGTAATAAAGTCGTTTTCTAATTTACCTAGTCATCATGCTGGTCAGAGACACGTTCAAGAGAAAAAAAAACAGGATTGCTCCGCTCACGACTTTTCTGACTGGTTTTTCACAACTTTTTGCGCCACACAACTTTTTGCGCACGACTTTTTGCGCACGACTTTTTGCGTACAACTTTTTGTGCACAACTTTTTGTATCTTCCCGTTTAAAGACACTCGTACAAAAGACATCTTTATTATTATATTCCAATACAAAGGAAATAATTTTTACTATCTTTCGTGTATAATAAAACCTCTTCTCTGTGTGTTAAAGCATCGAATTATTGTATTCAAATTTATTACACTAAATGAAATGTTTTAAGAAAGTAAACGCATTATACTTACTTTCGCTTCTTTCTAAATTCCTCTTTTTTGTTCTCTCTTTTTCTTTTAGGCGCTCTCAGGATTAAACGTATCTTCTTTGCTGTTGCTGTTCGAGGTGTGACTGGAGAGGACGGTGAAGAAGATAGTGGCGATACATATGAAAATGGAGATTCCGATAACATGGGAGATGATGGAGAAGGGGACGATAAGTGTGGAGAAGGGGACGATAAGTGTGGAGAAGGGGACGATAAGTGTGGAGAAGGGCACGATAAGTGTGGAGAAGAGGACGATAAGTGTGGAGACACGGATAGATGTGTGGATCGTGGTGGTGGAGAAGGTACCCGTTTGAAGGAAGATAGAGATCGTATTAGTGGTGAAAACGATAGTTGTGGAGATGGTACTGTAGAGGATGGGGAAGAACGTAGCGGCGAAACATAAGAAAAGGAAGATTCCTGAATTGACGTGGGAGATGATGGAGGAGGAGGTGATAAGTGTGGAGACGTGGACAAACGTGTGGATCGTGGCGGTGGTGATGCTGATTTGCTTGGATATGATGACAGCGATCGAGATGATGGCGATGATTTCGTATAATTCGGAGCAGGATATTCTACAAGTTTATAGAATACATAGATTGTGTTTACCACTTTACCATGTATTTTTTTACCATTTATGTTTTTCATTCTTCCTGCCATGTTGTCCGCTATATATTTCTTTCCGTCTACGTTCATGTAAGAGTAAAAATGGCCACCAATAGCCGATTGTGCTAAAATTCTGCCGCAGATTTCATAGTAGTTGTAATCTATAACGACGCTTTCAGGATAGTCATACTGATCTTCATTTGATTGTGATATTATTGCATCATTGATGGTAAGGAAGCTTGCCGGAAACAGTACTTCACCCTGTCGATATTTGTCCTTATTGAATAGTATTCCAACTGGTTCGTCATCCTTTTTCCGTATGACTTCGAATGCTTTGATTGACCGATGATCATTGAAAATGACAGAGAAATATTCTTGCAAAGGGCCATCATCTGTTATTGCATGATATACAAGTTGGCAGTCTGAAAGGTTGTGCTTTTCGAACCCATTTTCCCATAAGTACTCCCTTGCAAATTTTGTTCCTAGGACAAATTGCTCTTTCTCGGAATACTTTTTAAGTATGCTGATGAAATAAGAGATTCCTTTTTCATCTGCGTCATAAGGCAATACGTTTGGTAGGATAATCCTAAGTACGATCTCAATGACACAATCAATGTAACAGGAGTTGCTTTCCCACCGAGCCAAAGAAAGCTTGTCGTCATTTTTGTTTTCGCTGTCATTTATCCTGTCAACTACCGACTTTCGTATTTGCTTTTGTTTCTTCGTTGGCCGACCTTTGGGTTTGATATTTTGGGGCAGAATGAGTTGACGACTAACTGATGGCATTACTTCCTTGGGACCACTGTCATCGATGATGTTTTGAACTATCACAGACACCTTGCTAACTACCTCATTTAGCGCAGAAGTTGGGAGCTTTTCCAATAAGCTACGAATATTGTCCATGGCAGCTTCGTGATCAACGATCAAACCGGTTTCCAGTGTTATGTGGGAGCTTCCTATTTCTAATAAGCAGAAACGGTAGGGTCAGAATACATTATCGTAATTATACTGTAATATAAAACAATATATGCTGTAATTGCAAAAGAATGACTGTGAAGCTATACCTTCTTTCTTCAAATGCCAGAACATGTCTATATCGTCAGCTATCAGTACGCCGGGAAGAGTATGTTTGCATAAAAGTCCATAGCTGCTACGAGCAGCACAATTACATTCAGATTCTTCACCAACAGTATCTCTCTTTCGATATTCATTGTAAAGTAAATTCAGCGCGAAATGAGATATTTTCCCTACTATGTCCTTGAAATATTTTTCTTCATAGAGATTCACTGGACTGGACTCCATTTCAAATTCAAACCTAATCCTCTGTTCCCGAAACTAACATAAGAAGAAATGGGATTTATATTCACTTTACTACAAAAAATTTTGATGATATGGAGTTGGTACTGTAGTTTACCTGATCAGTGAGCCACTGCCCCACCTTTCCTGCCAAACTGCCTACACTCATCTTCCTTGCAAGCATTGTCTTTAAAGACGAATGAGCACTTTCTGCCCTTTGGGTTGTCCTTGTTCCGTAGTGCCTTACGGTTTCACACCACGGTCCTCCCCACTTGTGCTTGATAGATAAAAGCCTTTTTTACAAAATAAAGTAAAGCAACGTTAAATATATCACTATGATAAAGCAAGAACCATAACGGTACTTACTGATCGAGTTGCTTTCGCAGTTTTATGTTATTTAGTGATAAATCGAAAGTTGATAGGAGCACCTTTGTGTTGTTGACAAAGTTGTCCTTGTCCTTGTCGTAAAAGAGCATGTTTATCACCGATCTACATTTTACTTCCTTCCCTTTGTCCTAATTTGGTAATGAACAAGACTATAGTTACCGCACAATTGGAGTAATCAGTACTGTACTTACGTGTTGGCCATTTTCATTTCTAAACGATCCTTCATAATTTTTTCGGAAGTTGTTCGAAATGTGCCAAACACACAGCATGTGATGGCATTCAGGGAAGGTCGTTTCGATTGCTTTTTCGAGTGCCACATCCTGATCGGTGACAATGATCTGCAATAAATAAAAAGAAATTAGTCTTTACTCTCCTTATCGTCTCATACATAAGTTACCTTCGTGTTGATGTCGTTCTTTCCCCATACTGCATTTTTAAAAGTTTCGAGCGCCCAGGCGTAGTTGCTTTTCACTTCACTGACCATCAGGATGGTCGCAGCAACGAAGGTTGTCAAACGATCCTTCCCCAGGTTGGTGAAGCCAACGATGTTGACGAGTGGCAACTTCAGATCGTTGGTATTGTATGTGGCGTCAACCAGCAAAACCTCCCCAAAGCGTCTCGTAAAGTCGACCGCCTGATGATGCATTATTAAGATGGCACGAAAGGCACCAGACTTGCCCACCTTCACATCGATAAAGAAGCCATCTTCCTCCATTCTATTCAACTTCTTTACCAACTTTTCATCCTGGCTGCTATTGTCGTTTTCCTCCTTTCCCATGCGTTGCTTGATGTTATAAACATCTTTAGCAGTGGTAATAATTTCCTTGTCTTTACGCATGGTGGCAACGATCTTTGATGGCTCAACCCCTGAATCCAGCATGCTGACAATAGTCTTCTTCGATTCGTCGCCTAATCTTCTTGCTGAGGGAATTATTGAAGCTGTAATAAACGCATTGGTAATCGTGGGATGGCCATGTTCCTCGATAGATTCCATGTTAAATTGGTTGACGTTACTGGCGTCAATGACCAATCCCCCATGAAGATTGATCTTCGAGATGCGCCATTCTTCTTCTACCTTTTTTGCATACACTTTCCAGGAACAAGTTTCAGTAAGTTTGCTTGTTCTTCCCACACGAATTCTTTTCTCAGGGTCCACATTATTCTTATATCCATATCTATGTCGGCAGTAAAAGTACACGGTTCCATTGGTATTGTTAAATGACCTGGTGACTCCGAAGCCATTTTTTTGGGCGAAACGCCTAATGTCGGTATCAATGCTTTCCTTATCAGAGTATTGTCTACCAATGAGTGCCTGACTGATCATTTTAACGAAATTGAGGTGAATAGTATAATAAAATGTAAAAACTATGAAGAAGAGATGATATAACGATTCTCACGCAGGATATAGAGTATGACGAAAATTTGAACCTAAAAAGTTGTAAACAAAGGCTTGTACACAATACTCTTCTTTATTCATACCAAAAAGGTTGCTCTCTTCTCTACTTATCATTGTAATGAAAAAAATGATACAATAAATTTCATGTACTGTAGCATCAAACTTTTTGCATAAAACGTTTTGCATAAAATGTTGTGCGCAAAAAGTTGTGCGCAAAAAGTTGTACGCAAAAAGTTGTACGCAAAAAGTCGTGCGCAAAAAGTCGTGCGCAAAAAGTTGTGTGGCGCAAAAAGTTGTGAAAAACCAGTCAGAAAAGTCGTGAGCGGAGCAATCCTGAAAAAAAATTGCCCACGACCAAATATACAACGGGTAGCGGTGTTTAAAATCTAAGATCACAGCATGGTAGAAACGAAAGTAAGGCCAGTTTGAAAAGATCTATTGTAGAGATTCGGCTACCCTAATAGAATGGGTGACAATTTCTTAAAATAAAATAAAATAAAAATTCAAATGAAATCGAATATCAGGACACCACACCTAAAAATCAGAATAATCAACGTTGATATGTACTGAAGACTAATAAATGCAGATATTTTATTTTTTTAAAAAACAGACTACACTTTATTCAATAATAATTGACGGAATTCAAAGAACAAGATGACGCAAAAATAGGAAATAAAATATATAATAAGGATAGAAAATAAATGACAGAAGAAAAAAAATATAATTGTCGCATAAACAAATAGAGAATATAAGAAAATAGATATCATAAAAAAAAGAGTAATCAAAAAAAAAAAAAAAGAAATCCACCAATTGAGTTCACCAAGTTAACATATAAAAAAAAAAGAAGAAAGAAGAAAATGAGTAAAATGTTTATACAGATAAAAAATCTTTCACTAGCTTACCATTTAAGTGTAACGTGATCGCTACACCGCTGTAACGAAAGTGGGTAACTTGGCGATAACCAACCCGGAAATGTTTTATTGTTAAATTGAACCAACGGTGATTGAACCATTAAAGATAGACAGAAAAAAAGAAGAGTGATTGAACCAACGGTGATTAAACCATTAAAGATAGACAGAAAAAAAAAAAAAAGAGTGATTGAACCAACGGTGATTAAACCATTAAAGAATACTTGTAAGGAAAAAGATAGACAGAAATAAAAAAAAAGTTAAATCAAAGAGATCCTTTTATAAGAAAATGAATCATCCCTGCAATTATGAGCTAATTTTAGTAGATAAAATGATGAGACAAGATGTAAGCAAGTTTTATCATCTTTTTTAAGTATTAGCAACATTTCTCTCTTTATATTGTATCTAATTCATCATCATTTTTTTTAGTACTAATAACATTTCTTTCTTTCTATTGTATTTAATTCATCATTTGTCCTATTTTAGTATCTACTTTATTATTTTTACTATCTACTTTATCATTTTTTTCTTTTAGTATTAGCAACATTTCTCTCTTTATAATAAAGTTAATTACATAGATGTTCTACATTAAATTCTACTTATTATTATAATATCCATCTACTAAGTGATACATGATACTGACTTGTTTTTGCCGTGTTTTTGTTTGATGACTAGATTTTTTTTTTTTTTTTTTTTTTTAGTTGTTCTATTTTAAATGATAGTATGATTGTGCACAACGTACCTATTATTGCCATTTTTTAATTTCTATAGACGTGATGAATCATCATTATTATATTGATTTATCATGTTGAATAATAAGAGAGTGTCTTGACATTTTTTTTCGAAAAGAAGAAAAGAAAAAGAAAATGTTGTTCTGTCAGAAGGTAACTAGAATGAAGTATTTTATATTTTATCAGAAATTTGTACAGTGACTGATCATAATGTTCCATAATCCATTTTATAATCATCCATCATCCATCATCCATCCTATAATCATCCAATATACAATCATCCGTTATCACATATCATCAATCATCAATTGTCAATCAATTGATACCTAAAAGAGAATGGGCAACACCCAAAGCTGCTAAAAATATGATAAGCCCATGTTACTCTTCTTTTGTATCTTTTATTATTAATAAACAAGATATCATCAATATGTTACGTGTTTTTAATGTATTCTACCGACATCTCTGGAACGATATCTGAAAAAGTGGTAACGCGACATTCGTTTTGGGAAAGTACGATATTTTATTTTATAACGTCACGAAAAATATTTTCTTGTGACCCGACAAGAATTGAAAACAGACTATAACTAACAAGTAAGTATATAAGGGGGAGAAGAGTCGTAAAATAATGTAATCTACATGGAAGGGGAATGAGAAGATGGAGGTGCTTGATCTTGGTAATGGTTCCTTAGGGTATCCTTGAAGTCCACTTCAACAAACCCGGTATGTTCGTCTTGTAGAGCATTTGTCACATCGTCTTGTTCCACGAGCATATCCTAGACATCACCACCAAGTAACAAAATAAAGTAAAAAAAAAAAAAATGTTAGTATACAAGAGGCACAATTTGAAGGATAGATTGTTCACTTACGAGAAGAGTCAATATCAGTTCAAATGTTTGGAGCCAGTACTTGCGTTGGTTCCAGTTTCGTGGGATGATTGCGGATCTTTCCCAGAGACATGCCCAGGGACCAGTAGCCATGATTCTTGTTGAGAGGAGGGAAAGCTTGTCACCCACATACTGGATCCCAAATATACGACGCTTTTCAAAGGTTTTGACAGATGCTTGTTGGTAGCGGCCTTTTTCTTCGTATAGACACAATGACATGTATTCAATAAGTTTCAATGCGTCTTCTTCCACGTGGTTCTTATCGTCGTCACTAGAGATAGCAGTTAGTAAGAAATATTGGGTGGTCGTTGTGTTTTTTTTTTTTTTTTTTTTTTTTTATCGGTTTACCCAGATGATTCAATTAACATACGTTCCAGATTATTGAGAGTAGATACGCCAATTCCATCCATCAACTTGGTCGCACTTGGTATACAGATCGAGAGTCCTTTTTCACACCTACATAAAAAATAGTCAGTTCAATTAATGTCTTGCCTCAACATAGGACACACACACGCACAAATTGAAGCAAAATAATCCTACCATGCGAATGAAGACAACTTGGTGACAGATGAGAAGTACTTGAACAGTGGAATGACATATTCTGCGTATGGGGTGCGCTCGTTGGTCTTGGTGGGATAGTCAGGTTTCAGACAATTGGCATAGAAATCAGTCAATATCAGCCGCATCAGTTTCATTGTCATTTTTTCATCATCAGAAGCCTTGTTTTCGTGTTCATATGGTGCCCAGATCCAGTGTGGTAAATTTTCAAGGTCTTGTTGCAGTGCGGTTTTCAGGAAAGCAAGGGACATCGGACGTTTGTGAAAAGAATGATTGCTAGATTGTTTCCGTTGATTGGCTTGATATTCATCGATCAGAAATTGCGGTGTAGATGCGTCGGTGGGATGGGTGTCATTGATTTTCATAATGTATAACGGCGACAGTAAATTGGAATCAGCAGCGGCGAGAGTGGGTTTGTGGATCGAGGTGGATGGTTTCATTTGTGGCAAAAATTGGTATGTTTTCTTGCCTTTTGAAATCAAGATCGAATCCTACCATCATTTGAATACAATTGAGAGTGAGATAGTTTGCCTTTCTACAATCATATGCATATATTTTATTACCTCTATTTCTACAAAAAGTTGAAGTTAGTATTTGGTTAAATCGGTATTTATTTTCTCTTTCTTTGCTTTGTTACCTTCAATAACTTCCGTTGCTTTGCGTTTGTTGTTTGTGGTGGTAGCCTTGTCGCTTTTGGATGTACTTTTTGTAGGATGTTTGCTAGCACTGATATCTTTGTTGCCCTAACAGAATAATAATAATAATAATAATAATAAATACATCGTTTACTTATGTCAATGTTATTTTACGTTTGTTGCTGTTTTTGTGTGTTTTTTTGTTTACCGTATTTTGCAAGATTGTCCCATTGTTGTTTATTTCGCCTATTTGATAGTTCTGCAAATTGTTGGCTGTCTGGTTTGTCACTGATGCTGTTCTGTATCTCTTCGTATAGCTATCAATCACCTACATAATCATAATTGTTTTGGTATATGTTCATTTATTTGTTTATTTTTTCGCATTGTTTACCTCCATTGATTTGAGGAATTTCATTGCTTCTGCTGCTATCGAGGGACGTTTTTCAGCCACAAATTCTACATCAGACTTCACCAGTTTGTAAACAACATCCCAGTCATCATCGCCAATCTGAGCAGTATAATTATCCAAGAGTTGTTTCAAATTCCAATCAGCACTTTTGGTTTGTAGTAAGTACGAACGCCCAACAGTCGAAGAATTCTTTTGAGACATATTCAAAGATCAAAGTTGGAATAATAAGACGCGAATTGGACTTTTATGCCGTGGAACGGGGATTGAATGTTTCACTCATCTCTCGCTTTGAAGATCGCCCTTAGTCTATTTGATTTGATTTACCCCTCCCCCCCTTATACATTCAATAAATTATTCTATTATTTGTGTTATGATATTTTTGCCTCTACTTTTTTTTTGATAGTCATGCTTTTAGATATTATTTTGAAAGTATAGGTTTTACGACATCTTGCTGACCACCTATGCGACAAGTCAAAATCAAAAAAAGGGACAAGGCAATTCAAAAAATGCGACATGAAATTGCAAAACCCGACATCTGATTTTATTTTAGTGCGATATCGATTTCAAAAAATGCGACAAGTAACCATGGAAATACTGGTTTTTTCCGTTCGCTTGGCGGGTGGCAGGATTTTTTTAACGTGCAAATAAAAAAAGTTGACGTGCAAATGAATTGTGGCACACGTGAATCATTTTTCTACCTCACGCCGAATGGTTTTTTAGTACACGCCAAATGGTTTTCTGGCACACGCCAACCGTTTTCATGGTGCACGCAGATGATTTCTAGTGCACGCAGATGATTTCTAGTACACGCATGTGTGTAACTGCTTTGCGACAAATGTAAATGGATTTATGAGACAACTTTGATTTTTGGATGATTTTTGGATGCCACCAAAAAAAAAAAAAAAGAAAAAAAAAAAGGCATCGTTGTGTCAAAAACGACAAATTGAGCGACAACTTTGATTTCTGGATGATCTTTGGATGCCAGCAAAAAAAAAAAAAAAAAAGAAAAGGCATTGTTGTGTCAAAAACGACAAATTGAGCGACAACTTTGATTTCTGGATGATTTTTGGATGATTTTTGGATGCCACTAAAAAAAAAAATGTCGCTGTGTCAAAGTGACAGATTGGTGTGACAATTTTGATCTTTGGACAATTTTTGGATGATTTTTGGATGATTTTTGGATGATTTTTGGATGATTCTGGACCAGCAAAAAGATCATCCAAAAATCATCCAGAAATCATCCAGAAATCAAAGTTGTCGCTCAATTTGTCGTTTTTGACACAACAATGCCTTTTCTTTTTTTTTTTTTTTTTTTTTTGCTGGCATCCAAAGATCATCCAGAAATCAAAGTTGTCGCTCAATTTGTCGTTTTTGACACAACGATGCCTTTTCTTTTTTTTTTTTTGCTGGCATCCAAAAATCATCCAGAAATCATCCAGAAATCAAAGTTGTCGCTCAATTTGTCGTTTTTGACACAACAATGCCTTTTCTTTTTTTTTTGGTGGCATCCAAAAATCATCCAAAAATCAAAGTTGTCTCATAAATCCATTTACATTTGTCGCAAAACAGTTACACACATGCGTGTACTAGAAATCATCTGCGTGCACCATGAAAACGGTTGGCGTGTGCCAGAAAACCGTTTGGCGTGTACTAAAAAACCGTTTGGCGTGAGGTAGAAAAATGATTCACGTGTGCCACAATTCATTTGCACGTCAACTTTTTTTATTTGCACGTTAAAAAAATCCTGCCACCCGCCAAGCGAACGGAAAAAACCAGTACATCCCCTTAATATTCTAACCTTTATCGTGCAAGTCCCTAGTTTGACAAATCTTCTATTCGCTTGCATTTCAGACGGAGTACAAATACATTATGGTGAATAGAATCAAATAATTGTTCAAAAAAAAAAGAAGTTTATTCTAATTTAACTATGTAAAAAGAACTAAACTATATATTTTATTCAGGTTTTCCTTTTTCAAAATCCACAACAGCAGCCTTATAGAAAGCTTCAGAAAGATAAACACGAGCAGCAGTAAGAGAAAGACATTTAGCAGCACGGAGAGTAAGTTCATGAGCCTTTTCAGTAGCAGCAGCATCAGCGAATTCTTTGGTGTGATTAGTAGCAGTAGTGGCAATACCAAAAGCAGGATGAATAGAAGGTACAGCATAACTAAAATTACCCATATCAGTAGAAGCTCCAATGATTTGTTCTTCTTCAGCACGAGGGAGATATTTAACACCTTGTCGTTCCATCAATTCCTTGTAATATTCGGCAAGAGTTGTGTTCATAAAAACATCTATATATTTATATATAAACGTTCCAAACACAGTTAGTCATTAAAGTACTTCTAATTTCTTGTATATCACTTGTTTTTTTTTTTTAATATTTAATAATTAATACCTTCCACTGGTCCCTTTGCACCCCATGACATTTTGTAAGTACATCCAGTTGCTTTTGCTGCTGCCTTGAAACAATTTTCCATCTTGATCTTCAAGTCTTCTAATTGCTTTCGTGTGACTGATCGTGCATAAAGTCGTGCGGCAGAATGAGCAGGAATAACATTGGCCTAAAAGTAAAAAAATGAAAATAATGTAGATGAATAAGTCAAAATTTTTTTTATAAAGTTGAATAATAATAAAAACTTACAGCTTGACCTCCATCTGTGATAATACCATGCATTCTATATTAAATCAAATAATTTACAAAAATTAATTGAATAAATAAAATCATTTATTTCTATGTTCTTACCTATTGCTTGGAAGTACTTGTTGTCTAAGCATAGCCATATTATCAAAACCTTGCATAATCGCATCCACCGCATTAATTCCGTTCCAAGGAGCCATGCCTGCATGACTTTGCTTTCCAAAGAATTCAACTTCCAAAGTATCCAAAGCCAACATACGAACATACAATGAATCTTGCGCAAAAGGATGCTATATTTTCCCCAAAGAACAAAAAAAAAAAAAAAAAAAAGAGAGAGAGAACATTTATAGAAAGGGATGATTAATAAAACATAATTAAGTGTTTTTTTTTTCTTTAAACATTTTAATTTTGATAACTTACCAACATCATAGATACATCAACGCGACGGTTCACTTCACCTGATTTTACAAAAGTAATTTTTCCACTTGTACTTTCTTCAGCAGGTGTTCCAAACAATACTACAGTACCTTGAATCTTGTTGTTTTGTAACAATTGTTTTACTGCCATAGCGCAGGCTACACCAGCAATAGCAATAAGATTGTGTCCGCAACCATGGCCAACTCTATCAGATAATATCAGTATAATTATATAAACAATCATTCTTCTTTTTTTTATTTATTATAATTTACCCTGGTAAAGCATCATATTCACTACAGAAACCAACTCTACGACCTTCACCATTAGAATATTCAGCAATAAAGGCAGTTTCCATACCAGCAGCTTGACGAATGACATGGAAACCTTGGTTTTCGAGATAGTTGGTCAACAAATGGTATGCATGAAATTCGCGATTGCCAAGTTCTGGATCGTCATGAATCTAATATAACAAAGGTCTTTTCTTTAAAAAAAAAAAGTAGAGGAGATAATGTTTTCCTTACTTTTAAACTGATATCTCGGAGTTGTTTGTCAAGTCCTTCAATGGTATGGTTAATAGAATCTTCAATATCACTTGCAATCATTGAGTATATCTATATTGTGTGTATATGTATGAATTGGAAAATAAGAAGAAGAAAAAGAAGAGAAAGAAAAAGAAAAAAAATGTAATATATAAAAAAGTGGTCTTCTTTCCTTTGCACGTCCCCCCGAGCTGCCGGTCAGAAAGTGGTGTGACAGCGGCTACTGTATTTTCAAACCACGTGTGTTATCCACTATCCATAAATCTACAATTGATTTACAACTTTTGAATATTCTTTCACTTGTTTTTTTTTTTTTCTTAATAAAAAAAATATATCTCCATCACTTTCTCTAGCATAGTATATTTGAAATTCATTATTCCTCCCTTAATGGTTGAAGACAGTGACCAGTATGCCTCATGGAGTAATTCAATATGCTAAATAAAACAATAGAATAATTTGATTAAGGATTCAACAGCGTGACCAAAATCATATTCAAATAAGGGTTCTTAGGTACACAGATCAAAAAAAAAAAAAAAAAAAAAAAATTTGTGCTTGGCGTAGTTTCAAAAAAAGATAAAAAAAGAAAATGGTCCTTTTTTCCATATCTATTCCTCTACTTTTTTTTTCTTCTTCAATATTAATCTTAAAATGAATCATATTTGGAAAGATAGAATATTTTTATTATTAAGCATATTATTTATTGTTGGTTGTAAAGCACAATTAGATGATCCTGTGGAAGAAGTAAGTAAAAAAAAAAAAAAAAGAAAAAAAAAAGAAAAAAGAAAAAGAATAAAAAAAAAAAAATAGATGAAACAAAATCAAAGGATGAAACTTATGAATATATATATATTTTGTTTATCATTAGATATTAGATGCATCTATACTTCAACCTTCAGAAACTAGTTTAAATCAAGATACAGGAAATGAATTACAGTGGAATGAACTTGGACAAGTCAATGATAATCAATCACAACAATCGTTCCTATTTTCCTTACTTATGATTATAGTATCAGAAATTGGTGACAAAACGTTTTTGATTGCAGCTATCATGGCAATGAAGCATTCCCGTTTGACAGTATTTGCTGCAGCCTTCTTATCTCTCTTAGTCATGTCTGTACTATCAGCTGGATTGGGTCATGTTGTACCAAATCTTATCCCCAAGGCCTACACGGATGTATTGGCGGCTCTACTATTTTGGAGTTTTGGTTTACGAATGTTATATGAAGGTTATCATATGAAAGCGGATGAAGCCAATGAAGAAATGCAAGAAGTGGAAGAAGAACTTAAAGAAGTGGAAGAACGTGATCGAACAAAGCATTTAGAAACATTGGAAGTAGGTGGATTGGAAGCTGCTGAAGAACAAAAACAACAACAACAACAACAAAAGAATAATCATAATTCATCACTTTCTGACAAATTGGAACAAGCAAAAGAAGGATTGATGAATTTGATGCAACTTGTATTTTCTCCTGTATTTGTCCAAACCTTTATCTTGACTTTTCTTGGTGAATGGGGTGATCGATCTCAAATTTCTACTATTGCCTTAGCTGCTGCTAACGTAAGTCATCAAAATAAAATCATGAGTAAAGCGTTTTTTTTAAAAACTCTCTCTCTTTTTTTTTTTTTAATGATAGAATGTATATTGGGTTACTGCTGGTGTAGTAATTGGACATAGTATGTGTACTGGTGTTGCTGTGATGGGTGGTCGTCTATTGGCTTCAAAAATATCAGTTCGAACAGGTAAAAAAAAAAAAAAAAAAAGAAAAGAAAAGAAAGTATGAAGGATCAGTGAATTAAATAATTTGTTTTGTTTTTCTTTCTATCAGTTACTCTCTCTGGTGCCATTCTTTTCTTAATATTTGGTTCCTATTACACTTATCATGCTTATACAAATTCCTGGTCAACGTAAATATTAGTTTAGTTTAGAATACAAATAAAGCTTTTTTTTTTTTTTCATCATCCAAACCTATTAATGAATCATCTTATCTATATTAATCAATTGGAAGAAAAAGACTTCAATACTGTGATTTTTCTAATCGGTTGGTGAATGTTAATTTTTTTAACGTACAAAACGTTTACGTGCAAATAGATTGTATGATACATGCCAATTATTTTTCTGGAATACGTGAAATGTTTTCCAAATGCAGGCGAAATGTTCTTTTTTTTTTTTTTTTTTTTTTTTGGTTTGCACAAGAGCTTTCCCTGGTAAACGAGATTCGCGTTCATGATCTTCATACAAGTTTTTCCCAAATAAGTTGATGACCCTTTTTGAAAAGCATGTCTTAAAATAAAACGTTCACATTTTGAGCCGTTATCCCATTCAGAATCACCAATGGCATATGAATCAGTGGAGGCATCCAATAACGAATTGACAGAAGGAAGATAATACGATTTATCATCCGTAATCCATCATCCATCATCATGTGTTTTGACATATTCTGTAGCGATATCTGAAAAAGTGGTAATGCGACATCCATTTCGGGAAAGACCGATTTTTTTATTTTATAACATAACTATTCAGGGTCTCTTTTATTTATCATCATTATTATTAGGTACACCTATGTTTGTTATATTATATCAAAAGTTGATTTCTTCATTTTTATGATTTTTATAATATGATTTTTTTTTATTTATTTTTTTTTCTCACAAGAAAGCTATGAGGTTACCTAGTGATATTTCTTTTTTTTTTTTTTTATGATTGCGTTAAATGGTAGATGGAGATGGAGTAGTGGTAGGTACAAAATCACGAGTAGGATTGGCTAAAGAAGGTAGAGGTTGAGATTCTAATGAAACTGTTGAAGTATCATGACTCCAAAATTTGTCTTCTCTATTTCGAAAAGCAGAGAACCATCTTTTTCTTGATCTATAGTTGTTACCCATTATGTGTTTTGAATCAATAGAGGACGTAGTATTAGTTGTGTTGACTGATGATGCCCCTGTTGTTGTCTTTGTTTTCGCATTGGGATTACTATACGCAGCCATCGATGCCAATTGTTTTTTTATTTCTTCCTTTTTGATGGCTTTATCCAAAGATTGAAATACCTCATCATTAATATAATATGACTTGAATAAAAGTTCCATCAATTGCAATCGTTCTTCCATACGTGCTAGTCGAGTTTCATCCTGTTCAGCAACCATAGTCCTAACATAAGTCATTTCTTTTTCCATCATACCACTCAAATCATTATTATTATCGTTATTACTATGAAGATGATTAGTATTATTATCATGAGAATGATGATGGTGATGATAATGATGATGTTCTTGTGGAAAAGGTAGAGGTGGAGAATGATAGTATTCATTTTCAGAAAATGAATCCATGTTTGAATGATGATGATGATGAGGGAATCGTTTGATATCGAGATGAGAGAATCTTCGATGAACAGGATTGACAATCGGCACAGGAGTTTGTAATGAATCAAATCGGGTAGCCAATAAACCTTGAGAAATGGACCATCGCATTTGTCCCATTCCCATACGATGAATTAATCCCATTGGACTGCGCGGACGATACCCAAAAAGGCAAGCTTGTAGACCGACAATAAGACCGAATATACCACCAATGATACCCATAGCGTTGACCAAAGTAAATGCTCGCTGTTCACGTAACACAGTTACTTCATAGCTTGCAGGAAATACATGAAGTGATCCTAACGGCTGAGGTTCCGTTGCATAAACAGTCGTTACTGTTTCAGATACTGCCTTACTTTCAATTTCATAGGCACGCTTGTGAACAGAGGCAATGCCTACATAGTTCCAGAAATTGGTAGATTGAATCTCTTCTCGTTCAATCGTAGCAAAGCTACTAGTACTACCTACATTTGGGTTCAGATCAAAGGCATTCTCGGTACGTAAATTTTCTTCTTCTGCCGATTGAAATTGTGCATCTTCACTGTCGCTATACCAAGAGAATGGAAGATTATAAGGGTCTTCAATGTGATACACCGGTAGATTGGGATTATGATATTTATTGTAGAACACAAGATGAAGATGAGATTCATTCGATGAAAGACGATCACCATAATAATAAAATTTGAGATAGGAACCATTGCTGATGATTCGATCATTTGTGCGTCCCAGGCGGAAAGAAACAGGTGCACGAAATAAATAACATCGTAAGGTCGTGCCATAATAATTTAATCCTGTCTCTACATTTTTTGAGATATCCATCAGGTATTGGGAACAGGAATCTCCAAAATCAGTAGCACATTGAATATATGGCCATACAACACTATTATCATTTGTCCATCCATCAAAACAGAATCTTATATCTAACATAAAAAATAAATAAATAAATAAATAAATAAAAATAAATGGTATGATAGTCTGATGATTTGAATGGATCGATGAATAGATATTACCAATTTTTTTTTTTGGAATGTTTAGATGGGAAGATTTTTTTCTTACCTGGTACATCGACTGTATATTCCTCATTATGAACGTAGTACTTTTGATCAATAATAGGACTATTTCGTACTTGTAGAATCAAAACGACAACCACTGTGGAGAATACAGCTAGAAACATGATACGAAATAGCAACCGACTCATCTCTGCCCATAGTGGTTCTCCTGCCCTAAACATTAATCAGAGTTAAACATTTCCATTTCCTTTTTTTTAAAAAAAAATTTGCCTTGGATTCCATATATCGTTTTTCACTTTTCTTGAGAAATCGCATATTCGACTTTTCAATTTTTTTACTACCAGACTCATACCGACTAAGAAGATAGCACCAACAAAGGATGCCATCACTGCTAAACCTGCAATAAGAGCAATATTACTCCCTATAGGTTTATGAACAGGTTGACTAGAAGGTAACCAAGATCCTCGTACTACATCAAAGATGTACATTCCGTCATAAATAGTATGATAATTGATACCTACAAAAAAAAAAAAAAAAAAGGGATTGGAAAATCATGATTTAGTACAAGATACAAATGTATAAGTGAGATCGTCATCTTTTATTACCAAAACCGATCACAACTTTAGTATCATTCACCAAAACGGCAGATGCGAAAGAACGAGGAAAAGGCTGATAAGGTGAAGGAGTTGGAATTAACCATTCCCATACATGCGTATCAAGAACCGCGGTCATAGCTGAAGGGTCACCTCCAGCAGAAATATAAGTTTGAAATGGTTGAGCCGCACCATCCTGCCCACCACATATCATGATTTGATCATCTTTTGCTATATATATACATATAAGAATCGTCAGGCCTTATAACTCAATATTTATCTATTTGACTTACTTGTTACTGAACTGTGATAGGTTCTTGCTTCGGGAATGATGGGTCCGCCGATAGTTTGATTGTACCAAACCTGGGCATTTGTATCATAAATGACAGCATGATCCAATGAAATCAATGTTTTAGGTAGAACCGGATTAGTTGTATAGTTTCCAATGCATGGATATCCTCCAAGGATCACCAACTTGCCATCACTTGGTAATAATAATAACAATAGTAATAAATGTTTTTTTTTCTATAATTAGTACAGTCCCTTGCATATAGGAACGGAAACATAAAAAAAAAGATATCAAGAGATTTTTTTTTTTTTACCTTAACATATTTGCTGTATGGCCACATCTAGCTTGCCATGAAGATGAAGGTAATGATAAAGGGGTCCAATGATTAGAGTTAAAATCATATTGCCAAAAATCATTGACAGGACCTGTGGTATTCATTCCTCCAAAGAGATAAGCAGTTGGTTCTGATGATGATGATGACGATGATATGTGTGTAAGCCCTAATGTAACTGTATGCCAATATCGTTCCAAAGGGACCAATGGCATAGTTAGAAGTTCCTTTTCTACTTCTTTATTACTGTTGTTAGTGTTATTGCTGTTGGTGTTATTGTCTACCTTCAAAGGAGACCATACATTTAGATTTATATCGTATCGATAGTATCTTAATGTTTCCATAGTGCATGATGCGGGGACAGTGGTATTTTTTTGATTATCCGCCGGTGTTGCAGGAATCGCCACACTAGGTAAAACCACAGAGTTCCTATTTCCTGTGGTTAAAATACTTGTTTTATTCCCAACATCACCAATGCCATTGTTACTGGTGGCAGGATGATGACCACCAAAAGTATATAAAAAGGAACTCCCAGGTGGGTGAATAAGTTGACTATATATCAGAACAGGTGATGCACTCGGATCAGTTTTGATTTGTGTTAATTGTTTTGGTTCAATGGTGGAAGGTAATGTCCAAAGAGCTTCCATATTCCAAGGTGAAACACCATAAAATCCTCCATACATATATATTGTACCATTAACATTAACACTGGCCATACCATACATTGGTCTGTCAGTAGAACGAAGTTCTTGTCCAGCGGGATTTGAAAGTAATTCTTCATTCATCTGTTGCATTTTTTTTTGGAAGGGGGGAATAATATGGTAACTGATTATTTTTCAATGAGTACTATCTTAATTTTGTTTTTCTTTTTCTTTATCCTTTATGCAAAAATAATGATAATAATAATTAAGAATCTGACAGTTATAAGGGGACAAATCAGGGGATAGTAACAGAAGAAAGGGATAAATAAGAGATACAAAACAGAACAAAAAGAACAAAAAAAAGAAAAAGAAAAAGAAAAAAAAGGAAAGATGGAAAGATTGTATTATATGCGATGATGGTAAATAGAGAGAGAGAGAAAAAAAAAGGGGGGGAATAAAGAGGGAAAAAGTTCCATCTTCTCCTTGAAAATGAAAGACATTTAGTTAATGATGCTTCCCACTTGAACTAGAAAAAAAAAGAATAATTCAGTTTAATTGGTAAATCTTGATTGATGCATAATGACAATATACAGATAAGGAATAACAAAAAAAAAAAAAAAAAAAAAAAAAGAAAAAGAAAAAAAAAGAAAAACAAAACATTGAAAGGTCAATGCAAAGAACATAATACGGGTTGATATTCGGTACCTATCACACATATCAGGTACCTTTGAACACCATAAATAGTCTAGCCTACTTTTTTTTTGTTAACTCTTATTTCATAATTTCCAATCAAAAGAAAAATCTTTCCATGGCATCATTATTGAATTTTACCGTATTAACTTGGGTGTTTTTTTTTTGTAAGAATTTAATTTGGAAATATTAGAAAAAAAGAAATCGAGATCTTGAGGAGTTCATCTTACAGCTAAAGAATAAAGCGTTTCTTCATTTTGAAGCCCCATAAGTGACGTGTGGCTGACTCTGAATCTCAATTTCTTTCCACTTATCCACCTTCAAATTCTATTGTTTATTTTTTTTTTTATCTTCTTTATAGCAAGAACAATATCATTATGGCTGCAGTTTTTGGTGTCAGTAACTTTGCGGTGACCACTGCCTCTTCTGCTACTTCCAATGAAGCTCGACAACGTACAATTGCCCTTTACAGAAAATTCCAAAAATCTGTAAGTGGAAAATAGAACTTTTCATCAAACATTTTTTACTGTATATATAGAGATATAGCAGTAAGTTCTCATCAGTTTCTTTTCTTTTTTATCTTATGATTACTTATTTAGGTACCTGAAATTATGAAGATTCACGAAATCAACATGCCAACGTCCGCCATTCGAGCCAAGATTCGGGAACAATTTGAACAACATCGATACGTGGAAGATTTGCAAGTGCGTGATATTTTGTTAGCAAAGGGTCAAATGGAATATCAAGAAACAATGAATGTATGGAAGCAAAACAACCACATTATGAACTACTTTAGCAAAGAAGAAGCAGCACCCAAACCTACTACTTTCCTTGAAAAGTTTTATGAAGGTCGTTCTTGAAAAGTAATGTTAATGGACTTTATTCATATATATATATATATATTATACACACCATTCACTAGTGAATAGACTACTATTATTACTACTACTATTGTTCTTTCATGGATCTCTCTCTCTCTCTCTCCCAATTTCTCTTTTTTATTTACGTTACGTTTGTTTAGTCAAACAGAATAAAATAAAACTATATCAATAAATCATACTATTATCATCATCATTCGACTATAGACATTGTTTTTGTTTAATGATCAAATATTATCATTATATCTTATTATCATACAAACAAAATGAAACTACATATTACTCATATTATATATCATCCGCTCATTGATATGATACATATAAATTCATCCTTCGAAAATTGTCTATCATCAAGCCTTGATTTATATCATAAAAAAAAAAAAGAAAAACTACAATAAAGTTTTATAGTATATTTACTCGTTCATCAATAACAACAACAATAGTTAATAAATATCCAAATATGTTTAAAAGAAACATATAGCAAATATAGATAGAGTGAGGAGAATAATAAACAAAAGAGATATGCATTCCATCTGTCAATATGACTACTTTACAAAATGACATGTTCAGTTGGATATTTCTTTTTTTTTTTCTTTGGTTTAACAAGTTGAACCCATAGAACTATTGAAGAGTATCACATTCTTTCTTAAATTAATAAAAAACGATTTATTCAATAATAAAAATATTATCTTAGTAAAAGATGGTGCATACAATCGCAGTCCAAAAAAGGTCCTTCTAAATGAAAATCAGAACCCAGCACAAAAAAAAAAAAAAAAGATTTCCCACTTTTGAATCATTCTTTTCTTTTTAATCACCCTATTTATATATTATTATTATTATATATTATTATTATTGAATGGGGCAAACACTTTCTGAACCAGTCACCAATAAAATATCTGATCAAGGCAATGATAAAAGAGTTATGTATGGATTATCTTCTATGCAAGGATGGAGAATAAGTAAGTAAAATAATAATAATAAAAAAAAAAAAAAAAGATCTTGACTTTTTGATCTAATGATAATATACATATATTAATACTTTTTATTTTATTCTATTTTATTTAGATATGGAGGATAGTCATACTGCTATTCCATGTTATAAAAATACAAACGCGAGCTTCTTTGCTGTATTCGATGGTCATGGTGGTAATAAAAATAAAAATATACTCGAGAACGATAATAATAAATGAAACCCTTAATAGGCGATTCGGTGGCGAAATATTGTGGTAAATATCTTCATGAACGTATATTTCAATCACAACCCTTCAAGGACAGACGATATCGTGATGCTCTACGGTGGGGTAATTTGGTGATAGATGAAGACCTTCGACAGGGTAAAAGAATTAAAAAGAAAAGATAGTTTCTTGGTATCAAAAAAATTCACTATATATTATATTACTTTAGATCCTTCATTACGTGAAGATACAGCTGGATGTACCGCAGTGGCTGCTTTATTAACAAAAGACAATGTCCTCTATGTTGTAAGTTACCTTTTTTTTTTTTAGATATTAACTACAAATTATATTCATTCTTTTTATTATTATTATTATTATTATTTTTTTTGATAGAGTAACGCAGGCGATTCTCGAGCGGTAATTAGTACAAGAAATGGAAAAGCCATTCCATTATCAAAAGATCATAAACCAAATGATGCTTTGGAAACAGCAAGAATCAAACAAGCTGGAGGTTATGTAGAATTTAAACGTGTCAATGGTAAACGATTTTTTTTTTTTTTAAAAAAAAACAAAAGGAATATACATATATTGTATTCCAGTCAGGATAACACATTTTTTTTTTTTCGTTTTATTAGGAAGTTTAGCCCTCTCTCGAGCTATAGGTGACTTTGGATTTAAAAGTAATACCCAACTTCCTCCTGAAAAACAAGCTGTTACTGGTAAGAAAGAAAACAAAAAAAAAAAAAAAAAAAGAAAAAAAAAGGAAAGAGGAAGGATGACTGATAAATATATATATTATTTATTTATTTTATATAAGCTGATCCTGATATTACTGAACATGAAATGACAGATTTGGATGAATTCATGGTACTGGCTTGCGATGGTATATGGGACTGTTTAAGAAATCAGGAAGTGATCGACTATATACGACATGCATTGACATTAAAGAAAACGCTTCAAACGATCTGTGAAGAATTGATGGACTTTTGTTTGGCGGAAAGTGGTGATATGACTGGCATTGGATGTGATAATATGACAATCATTATAGTTGCATTTTTACGGAAAAGAACAACTGATCAATGGTATGAATGGATGGCATCTAAACAGGTAGCGGATCCACCTAAACGACGTACTCCAAAATTACCTCCTACTGTCCTTGGTGCTCGTCAACAACAACAACAACAATCATCTACTTCTCCACCACCAAAAACTGAACTTGCTGCTATTAACTCTCCTCCTACTATTAAGAATCATTCTATTGGCTCTATGACTGCTTCAACTACTTCTACCACATCAACAACCACATCCACTTCTACATAGTTTATTCCGCTCCTCGTTCTCTTTATGTTTATGTACATCTTATCCATCTTTTATTCATTCAATAGTTATTATAGTGAATTGCATCCAAATAAAAAAAAATGAAGATACCATCTCTCTCTCTCTTTTTTTTTTTATTATTGTCTTATGTTTATTTTACAAAAATGGTCTAGAGGGTGTATAGTTTAGTAACGCGCGAAAAAAAGAGGAGGAGGCTATCCAGATAACACAACGTTCAATTCAATCAACAGTGTGGACCAGAAAGGAAAAATAATTGCTGTGCTCGGATGTTGCCTTAACGCATGGCATGGGTAACACAATATCAAAACTTTAAAAAAAACACACTATTCTCATTACTATTTTTTTTTTCTTTTTTCCCTGATCACTCCCTGACAACATTCTATATATTATTAGATTTCAGAAAAAAGGGGCTTTCATCAACCCAAATGACGATCCCTCTCTTCCTTTTTTTTTTTTTTTTATTGACAAGATATATTTATAAGATATGATGGACAACTATATACATAGATGGAATAATGTAAGTGAAGGAAGAAGGTCAAACAGTGATAAGAGAATTCAAACAATGAAGGACTCCAGCTGGGCGACGCCATCACACATATAATCACGATATGGGCTTGATTGGCATAGGCTTTAATAACTTTTGGCAACTTGTTGAGATATACATTGTCATCACTTGATTGCATGTGTCACGCAAACAGTCTCTTGAAATTTTATCAGTGCATTCTAACAGAAAAAAAAAGAAAAGAAAAAAAAGAGTCAAACGCTATTGGAACACTAATAGGAATATTTGGTTCATCAAGATATTTACCAATCGAGCGATCATATATTCTGTACCAGTTCAATTCGGTCTTGTGGTTCTCTTTTCCTGGACGCTTTCTTGCGTACCCAATTATTTAAAGAGATCTTGTGTCATCCATTATCCGTCTTCAACCAGTCCGTTTACTACCATCGAGACATTTATCCGTCTTCAACTAGTCCGTTTACTACCATCGAGACATTTACCAATCGAGCGATCATTTTCTGTAGCAGTTCAATTTGCCGGCCGTGATCCTTTTTCTCCTGGAGACTTCCTTGCATATCCAATTATTTTAAAGCCACTTTTCTTGAGATTTCCAATGTACATGCCATACCGTGGAAGATGTTCTGTAATGGCCTCGGTCTGGTAATCCAAGTATTCATTCTTTTAAAGATCCAAAATATCTGACAACCGTTTCTTTTCCCAAGATCTTTTTCCAAGGCGTTTTTCTGAGGGCTTTTTCCTTCGATATTTTTTTTTTTTTTTCATATTTAACTACTGTGAAAGGCCACCATAAACTACTAATGATAGTTCTACTAATGACGAGATTTTTTATCATCCATCATCAATCACACATCATCAACTTGTCCGTTTACTACTTCATCTGCCATAATATAATAAAGGATTAATATTTATATATAGCTGTACCATAATATAATGATAATGATAAAAGGATATATATATACGCGTAGAGGAAAGAGAAGAGAAAAAAAAATTAGAAACAGGAGGGAGCCGCTATTTATCAAAGCTGGGTTAGTCCATCACAGGACCTTATCCTCTGAAGTAGATTGAGTAGTGCGACATTTAATTCTGGAATGACTGTAGAATATGAATGAATAAATATAGTAGTCGATTTTCTTTATTAAAAAAAATTTTTTTTTACGTCAAAATACAAAGTTTATCAAGAGGTCAAGCCTCGATTCAACAAAAAAAAAAATAAAATAAAAAAAAAAAAATAAAAAATTGATAAAAAAAAATTGATAAAAAAAAAACTGATAAAAAAAAAAAACTGATAAAAAAAAACATACATAACAGGAAGCTTCATATTAACAAAAGGATATATATATATATAATAAAGACAAACAATAAATTCAAATAATGAATGGTATCTAAAGAACGAGAAAAAAAAAAAAGGAAGACATAGTATAGGGCATAAATCAAAACGAGTACTAAAGGGGTAAAAAAAAATCTTATTTCCAGAAATAAGATAATGTCGATGACTCTATTAAAAAAATGATGAATTAGTAAAAAGTCATGGGGTTTTTTTCTTTTTTTATTATATTATTACCTGGAGTGGAAAGAGTGCGTTGAGGATACATGATTGGATATGGCATCGTATATGTAGATAAATGAGAAGAATCAAAAGGAGTGGTTGAAGGAGCAAACGTAGTATTTGAGGGGAGAGTGGTCAAATTTGCAGGCATAAGAGAAGATGGCGCAGAATATCGTTGTGCTTGAGAATTCACAATAAAAGAATGAACTGAAGGAGGTTCAGAAGAAGAAGAAGAAGAAGAAGAAGAATGGGTACCTTGTAATAGTTGATGAAGAGTATCTGGTGAATAATAAGGATCATCTTGTGGAGAAAGGCAAGTCATAGCTTGTGGTGGTTGTAATGCTGAAAGATCCAATGGTGGCCAACTTTGATGATGATGATGATGATCGTGAATAGGATACGTAGTCAATACCGCGTCCATTGGAGATGACATTGATGAATCTAAATGTGTATGCTGATGACTGTGTTGATGAGGACGTTCTTGTTGACAAGGTGGCACAGTCACAAGCATATCAGTATTTCCAATACTTGTACTAATAACTGTAGATGTGATGGGTTCTGATACTTTGGCTGATCTTTTCAAAATGCTGTTACTTGTATTGTTTTCATTAGTTGAACGAGTTGAAGAAAGTTGTCCTTCCATTTTGTTGGGTGATCTTTTTTCAGTAGATGATCCACCAACATTTGTTTTCACATCATTATCAGAACAAGGTATATGATGATGAACAAATTTATGAAGCGTAGACCCTTTCTTGACTGGAGCTGTTGAGGTAGATATGGATGTCGCTTTAGATGTCATGACTTTGGATGAGGATATGGTAGACGGTAATGGTGGTGATGAACGAGATTTATGTCTCTTTGTTGTTGGCTGTAGTATAGGCGAACGATGAATATCAGGTTCAGTATTTGGTTTTCCTTTTGAGACATTAGTCACTTCTTCAGCGTTCATTCTTTTTCTTAATTGCTGTTGAGATCGTTCAGTGTGTTTACGCAAAGTATCATGTTCTTTACGTAACTGTCGAATCTTATTTTGATAAGAAGCATCTCGTTGAACTGATTTTGTCACAAACTCTAAAGATTTGGCGACAATCATACTTTTACTAGGTCGACGGACATTTTGTAAGCCTGGTAAAGCATGAGCTAATTGTTGGAATTTTGTGTTCAAGCCTTCACGACGTTGTCTTTCTAAAGCATTATGTGCTGATCTTTTATCGCTATTGAACATATCATCACTGGAAATAAAAGAAAACGAAGAAGAAAAATAATTTAGATTTGTATTTATATTTATATATAATATACTATTATTATTATTATATTATTATTATTATTATTATATTATTATTATTATTATTATTATATATTATTATATATTATTACCATGGTTCTACTTTGTTATAATTACCAGCGACAGAGGAGTATGAAACAGGTCCTAATATAAATAGAAAGTAACCAACCCTTAATTAGTCATATCTACTTCCAACATCTTTTTTCTTTTTTAATTACCAAAAGTAAAAGTATTAGTAGAAGAAAGATCAAAAGAAGCAGTACCCAACATAGCTGAATGACGTCTAGGATGAGGAATATTATTTGAACTGGATTTATCCGTAGATCCCATCAAATAAAAAAAAATGAAAGGAAATGAAATGAAAGAAAGAAAAAAAAAGAAAAAAAAAAGTAAAGATCCAATCAATAGCTTTATATATCTTTTTGTCTGTATGTATTCCAAAAAGGCAATCCCTAGTCAAACTTTTCGAGGGGGTGTAAAAAAAAAAAAAAGAGGAGTTTATAATAAACATCAGTAAAAAAAAAAAAAAGATAACCTTGAATGACGATCATTACCAAATATCATCACCCTCTCTCTCTCTCTCTATATCTGGTAAATCATAAAATATTCAATACCGAAACTTTAAAAAAAAAAAAAAAAAAAAGAACACCTTTAATCTTTACTATCATTATCATTGTGTCTCTTTCCTTTCTTCATCACTGACAAAAAAAATGGCATTTATTGATCAACGTGGAAACGGATAAATGAAATCACGTGGAACACGGTACCTACAAGAAAGTAATATCTCTTAGTTAAAGATGGATGAATGAGGTAAATATAGTCTGTGCATCTATGGTTTATAATAATATGCAGTCAATTTCATTATCCTACAGATTGACAAAACAATAGAAATTGTCCGTGATTGAATAGGATATAAGATCGTCATAGGACTTGCTCAAAATATCAAAAAACGGCCGTAAGGTGAGAAAATTTATTATTTCTTTATATGAATGATTAACGCCGTTTGTACATAATCATTTAATATTATTATTATTATTATTATGAAGATGAAAATGATGATTATTATAGTCATCATCATCGTATTTAGATCAAATATCAAGGTAGTCAACACCAATCATCATTCATCATGGACAATGCGCTTATTTTGGAACACTGCCAAAAAAGAATAGAACACGACTTCCCAATACCAACAACGAGATCTTTTAAGTATGCATACAAATTAAATGTCAGCCTTTAATATGATTGGATCAAAAAAGAGTCGACCTCTTGGTTTCATGCTATTACCCCTTCCCTACGAAAAAAAAAAAAAAATGGGGATAAAAAAGCAAGATAACCGATACAATGGATTTGATAGATTTTCATTTGATTCGTCATGGGATCTTTTTTTTTTTTAATCCTTAGTACTACAACGTGTCCTACTGTTTTCTTTTTCAATAGACATCACTTTTTTTTAATCATTTATATGGAAATATGTAATTTAGAAAATACTATTCTTTTTTTTTTTTTTTTTTTTGATCTTATAGTAGTTTATTAAAAAAAGAATGTCGGTCGGGAAATGAATTGCGTTTGATTGATCTAATGAAAGGGGATTGTTTTTCCCCTTTTCTTTTTCAAACCATGCTTTTTTTTTTTTATTTCAAGAAAAGGATATTAATATATCATCATCCTTGCATCTCGAATTTTGAACGATTACATAAAATTCGTCATCACTTCGGTTCCATTGATCGTCAAATGTTGTACTACTACTATTTAATCCTACCTTCATTTTTATTCCTAAGGGTTTACTTGTTTATCTTCCCCCCACCCCTTTTCACATATATAAACGAGTATAAATAGTAACAAAATAATAATGATGATGATGACATTATATACTATAAGTAAAAAAAAAAAAAAAAAGAATGTCATACCTTTAATAGTCTCTTTGATATGATCCTTTTTTCATCTAGTGCAACACACATTTTCAAATATGGGGTGCCAAAAAAAGGAAGATTTAGAACAATGAGAAACTTTGTTAGAATCATTGCGCGCGAAGCTGAAAAGACCTTTCGCGCGTAAGTGTCACGTTCAAAATTCTACTGCGTGGCTTGAAAAATGAGTGACATGATGTATGATGGAAAATTAGGGTTTTTCGTGCAAACCTTTTTTTTTTCTCCTTTCCTTTCTCCTCTCTCTTTTTTTTTTCCTCCCCCCTTCCATATACAGAATGTACATACGCGAAGAATCCATTTCATGAATGTTTACTAAGAAGTTAATAAAAACGCAATCTGATGGTTGTATGACAATATTATACCATTGGAAAAAATTTCAAAGACAATGGATTTTAAGTATATACATCGGCAAGAATTGACGAAACTATCACAAAGCCATACGATTAGACGGGGAAATACGCTATATTTACTATTTTGGAATGGTTTACTCATTGGGAAATATACATATTTGGTCACCTATTATGCACTCAAGTAAAGCTGAACAAGGCAGGATACAGGGATAAAATCCAAACTCTATTTCTCTGAAATAATGGTGATTAACTAACTTTTGATATGAAAGTTAGATCTCTGGATATACCGTGTTATTGGTTCTGTTGGTTTCATATCGATCTAGGGCGTTCGATGGAATGATCACGTATTAGGAATACGCAACAAGGGAATCATCATTATTATTACTTTGGACGTGCCGTCATCAAGGATGTACGAAGTTCGATAAACAAGAAATGAAAATAGTAACAATGACAATGGATTATTATTATTATTATTGTAAAGAAACAATTGATATTATGAATTATTAGTCTGAATTCAAGAATGGCAAAATGTTGAGTCAAGTGGTGCATATGGATGAATATGAAGTTTATACTAGTCAAGATTGGCGACTTGGATTTCTACAGTTTTGCTTATGACAACAGGTTTAGGTAAGCTGGAAGGATCACCATCATCATTATAGATTATTCTAACGTCTATTGACTCAACTTCTATTTTATATTTCAATATAGCCAGCTTCAAGGAAATGGACAGTAGTTATCTTTTTTTTTTTTTTTTTTTTTTTTTTTTTTTTACAACCGAATGATTAAAATCAATAAAATCTATTATGTTCTATAGTATTATCTTTACTTTTTTTTCCCTCTTATTATTCAACAGTTTCAACTTCAATTTTGGTGATAAGGATGATCTAGCTTATATACAGTGAATGAGAATAATGGTAGTCTCTTTTGGAAATAGAATCGGGCAACGAATAACAAGATAAGCACATCAACATAATGATGGATCACGATAATTACTTTGATAATTTGCAATAATATACCTTTTATAACAAACTGGTGAATGATGAATGATGGACAATATGGTATGATAATGGATCATGGATCTTAATAATGAATCCTATTAATATAGAAACATAAAAAAATGAAATAGGATTTATTAGAGAAGAATGTAAAGACATGGTACACTAAAAAAAAAGAAAAAAAAAGTAATCACTAGATAAAAACTAATACTAACTACCAATTACAAAAAAAAAAAAAAAAAAAAAAGAGAGAGCCGGATGAGACCAAAAGATACTTTTTGCATAATTTACTTTTTGTCACTAATCAGTTTTCATCATATCTAATATCTAATCTGTTACAAATATTTCATCCAGTTTGAATCCTGTTATAAATCCAGTTTTCAAATCAGATACAATTCTAGACAAAAGTAGTTGCATATGAGAAGAAACTTGTAGATCAATAAATATAAGACATAATTGATTTTCTTTATTTCCAAATAAAATAGGTAAACAGTAATGTAACAATGGAAGAAATAAGAAGGCAAAAAAAAAAGAAGAGTTAATCTCACTTTGAACTCCGTGAGCAGCATTTAGCATAGCATTCGTATGCAGACGGCTACATATTTCTATCCATTTATGTATATGTAATGTTTATATAAAAACAATGATCATTCTATACATTTGGGATACCAAATTATACTGGGAAAAGTAACTTTTTTTACTAATCATCATTCGTTTTTTTATATATGATAAAACTATATCTGAATCAAATACTAAGTCTATATCCCCATCTGATTCCTTTTTATTTTTGAGGTTAATCAAAAAAAAAAAAAAAAAAAAGAAAAAGAAAAACAAGAGTAACCAGATTAGGTTATTTATTTACAGTTTAACAATACTATATATAGTTTGATTTTTTTTATGTGTGTTTTGTTTATACAAGAATACTTTATAAAATAAAAAAACAAAATAAAGAACATGCATGCTATTGTTGAAGAGCAGCGATTTGATCTGTAGCCATATCCATTACAATTATCATACCTTGAAGCATATGGCCAGTAATATGACAATGGAAAGCCCATAATCCAGGATTTGTCTATTGAAAAAAGAAAATGAATATTTATATATCTATATATTTGGTCAACTTACAGCAAAAATCCGTATTTTCGTCCAACCACAAGGAACACCATGTTTTTGTTCTTTTCCTTTGTTTTTGACATCAACAGGATAAACCAAGGTGGTATCTCTAGGTATAGGATGTAAATAAGTTCGAATATCTTTGTCTTGTTCATGATCATATTCACCACCACCATCAGCAATAGGATAATGTTGAAATCCATGCGAATGCCAGGGATGACCTTTTTTTTTTTTTTTAAAGAAGGCAAATCAATAAATCAACATAAAGAAAATTTTTTTCTATTATTATTATTATTAATATTACTTACTTGCGCAAATACCATGATTGATCAAAGTAGTTGTATGGATGACCACATCAATGATTTCATTATGTTGGATAGGATAGGTTTGTAAAGAATCATCATAACCATCCCAGGTACCATCACGATTCATTTGCATAGCAGTGTTATTCATAGCACGTCGAGAAAGTGGGAGACCTTCTTCAACATGGAGACGCAATTCATCGATGATTGGAACTTGCCATTCTGGAGGAGGATGGTTATTGATCAACCATCGAGTAGTATTGTCTTTCATGATATGTTCCTTGGGCATCAACACAATAGTACGATCGGGAGCAGTACTGAAGTCATGTTTTTTGGGTTCAAGAGGTTCCATATCAGGGAAAAACCATTGATTGAACTGTTTAGGAAAATATGGTTTAGTAGGATTACTTGCTTTCTGTAATGTTGTACGTGCAAATGCTGGTGGACAATTGCGAATCAAATCTGTACGAGTCCTATCACCTGATGATCCACCAACATAATTCATAATAGCATGACCAGACGTTGTTGTATTAGTAATCCAATAAGGTTTTGTTGCAATATTATAAGAGGTGCCAGGAGCTTGATTCGCTTTGACTAAGACAGAAAATCGTTGACCAGAGGATACTTCCAAGTAAGTGGTTTCAAAAGGTTGGATTAAATTGCCATCCACTTCGATCACCGTCATATTATGTTCAGCAATGGAAAAACCTACAGAGGCAAAAGTAAGAGCGCCAATCACACGAAATCGATAGACCTTGCCATGCTTGACATCAATAGCAGCTAAACCGGGACATTGATCATCATCATCATCATCACCATTACTATCTGAATCTTCATCATCATCGTCATCATCGTCATCATCATTATCATGTCTTTTGTTGTTGTCATGATGAGATATCCCTTTCAATTTTCCACCTCGACCATTAATCAGGTATTGATCAGCAGCAACAAATCCTTTATAGTAGTTCCCTAAATAGTAAGCCAATCGACTTTCAGCACTTTCTGCCCACCATTCCGATAATTGGATAATTCTTTCATCATCATATTCATAAGGACCATCCTTTAACGGCGATGATGCTTCCTCTACGTCCTTATTATTATCAGTGAAGCTGTTGTCATGAAGTGCTTCGGGAGGCCAAGCATCATCACTGGGATAGATAATAAAAGGACCTTGTATACTTTCATCTTGGAGACCGACATGAGCATGATAAAAGTAAGTACCGACTTGATCAATAAGTTGGAATCGTTGATGATATTCGCCACCAGGGGGGATCGCTGCTTGTGTAACGTTAGGCATACCATCAGATTCAGTAGTACCAATTTGAAGAATACCATGGTAATGTACTGTTGTCGATTCTCTTGTGCCAATATTGCGTACAATTATATGTATGTCATCATTCATTGTAGCTCGTAAAGGAGGACCTGGATATTGACCATTCACTAGCATCACTCGACTGACTTGTTTACCACAATCAGGATTTAAATCCCCTTCGCCAATATTCAATTCAAATGTACGTAACTTGCCTTCCACTAGGGTTATCATCATGTCTATAAGGAAAATCAATAAGATGTATACCCTCATCATCATCATCATCATCATATAATCAATAAATGAAGTAAGATGTAAAAAAAAAAAAAAAATGAAAAAGAATTGAAATAGTACTTTTTTTTTAACCTTTTGCTGCTTTTTATATCTGAAAACAAACATTCAAAAAAAAAAAAAACTTAGCTTTTTGCGCATTTCTGTCCAATTATTTATGTTGATCAATTATCAACAATAACAATAACAAAAAGAACAAAAATATTATCATCAGTACTCAGTGATTTCTGACAGCCGTATAGCAAAACAAACCGGTAGTGCTTCTATATAAGCTGATGTCTCATGTGGTTTGTCCGTGGTATCTGTTTATTTAATTTACCTCCTTTCGATCTATATCAATCCTTTTTTTTTTTTTTTTTTTTTTTTTGTTTCCTAAGCCCAATGAAAAAGAATCAAAATCAAAACAATCTTTTGTGCCTTTTTTATTTCTTGACTCTCTTTACTCTATTTTCTTAAATCAGTACTTCTCGATATTCTAATTATAGTAAAAAAAAAAAAAAAAAAAACAAAGAGTGATCATCCATCTTAATATAACCTTCATCTAAAGGTCTGTGAGTTTACAGCAAGGGGATCAAAATATAAACTAAAATAGAGGGGGGGGGTTTAGAGGGACAATGAAAGAAAAAGAGAGATATAGAAAGTTGACGGTCTCTACGTTTGATTTAGTCATTATACACGTATGCAGGAGACGAGGGAAGAGGAATGAAAGAAGTGGATGAACGATCGGAGGCGGAAGTAAGTTTGTAAACAGCTCATCATAAGCAAACAAATCTGCAACTTGCCTCGCAGCCAGTTCTTCAAAATCATCATTCACTTTCGTTAGTTGATTGAATGAATATAATTTGATATGAAATGAAGATTTGTTTCCATATTTTGGGACTGACTATCATGATCATCGTCATGCTGATAAAAGTCAATGCGATTGTTTCATAAATACACGAATAAAATAATAATAATAATAATATGAGTTACTCTTCCTTCTTTTGTGACATGTTTAGCAAAAAAAAAAAAAAAAAAAAAAAAAAAAAAAAAAAAAAAAAAAAAAAAAAAAAAAAAACACTGTTTGGATCGGCAAAAAAAAAAAGAAACACGTGGAGCACTCCGTTATAATAGAGATGAAATTTGATAATTGTAATTTGGCAGAGAAAAATCTTTGAAACGAGGCGCAACCAGTTCAGCATCATCTGATCTGGATATTCTCAGGTCATGAAGACTTTGCAAATCTGTACTGGAAAAGGGAAACAAATAAAATTTTGCTACTATGTTTAACTTTTTTGTTTCCAATAATACGTTTTTTCAGCCATCAAGTTACCACCGGCTTTTGTCAAATAGACGGTTGAGACGATTTTGGCTCATTATTTATATTCTTGAAATAGATCACATCATTATTTTTCATTTTGGTATTACTGTTATATTGTATACCACGGTCCTCTTTTAAATAAATAAATAAATAGAAAAAGATCTAACTCTTTTGTTACCATTTCTATTATCATAATAAAAGAGAGAGAGAGAGAGATAGAACTATTAACGGACGCTATTACTACTATTGTATTGTTAGAGAAAGACAACGGATCAAATCTCAAATTTAAGCCTCCAAAGTCATTTCTTGTGTCACTATCATCATCATACTTCCACAACTTCAGGTAAAACTTGTTACCATAATATACATACTTTGATCATTTATCTCTTCGTCTTTTTTTTTTTTTTTTATATATTTTTATATTACTTGATATTACTTGTAGACAATATCGTGCGTATTAACCAAGAATTGTGATGTTATCATGAAATATAATCTATCATTCAAACGTTACTATGTGACTTTAGATAACAACAATCAATTACTGTATAATTCATTAAACTGAAATGAATTGCCCAACATTTTTTTTTTATGTTTATTAAAGTCATATACAAGCTTTCAATCAAAGATATCCAAATTAGGAAGATCTGAATGACAAAATAAAATAATTATAATAAAAAAAAAAAAAGGAATTCAATTGAGTTCCAAGCGAACTTTAGACAAATCTGGAATGAGAGAGAGAGAGAGAGAGGGAGAGGACCCCTTGGTCAAAAAAAAAAAATTGTAGCTGACACATGAATATTACTCTGAGCTTGAAAGTTATCGACTGTGTGGAAAAAAAAAAAGAGTTTAATGAGTCTTTCAAAGAATCTCCCTTCTTCCTTTTCCTTTTCTTTTTTTTTTTTTTTTTTAATAATAAGTATTCTTCATCATTTATTTGATATTCTTCTCCTCTTTATCCAGTTATTTTGTCTCTATTTATTGAAGAATGACTCTATTGACTTCGTTGAAAGATTTTACAAAGAGACATCGACGAGGTCTTATTGTCACTGCCACGCTTGCAGGTGGTACTTATTTAGCCGGTCGTTATGCCACCAACAAAATAAAGGAATATCAAGAAAAATCAACCAGTGAACGTTTAGCTAAAGAAAAGTAAGAAATCATTAGAACAATTTAGAAGAAATAACTAACTTTTCTTTTTTTAAAAAATAGTTTGAAACGTCGATTTCAGCAAAATCAAAACGATTGTGTATTTACTGTGTTGGCTTTATTACCTACTCTTGGTGATCAAATCTTGTATGAAATGAATGTGGAAGCATCTTGGACCAAATTACAAGAATCTCGCAAACTAGAAAAGTTGGAATTAAAAAAGAAACAAGATCGTGCCTTACGAAAACAACAACGACAAGAAGAGAAGGAAGCTAGGATGGTTGCACAGTTGGAAGCAGTGACAATAACAGAAGAAGAAGAAGCAAAACAAACAACAACAGAAACACCATCAACAGTAGTCGAAGAAACTTCACAACCGGCTAAAACCTCGGAAGACATTAAGGAAACTACTTCAGAAGAAGACGATGCATTGAAAAAACCATTGGATATGAGTGTTGGTAGTATCTCTGACTCTGTTTATACAACTGGAACTGGATCTTCTTCTATGGTAGTGGTGGATCAAGATCAAGGTAATGAAGAAGAAGATGATGATGATGATGAAGAAGTTATACCTGAAGGACTGTTAGACAAGAAAGCCAAGTATCTATTATGGGAAGATATCAAAGTGACAAGTAAGTAATATATATATATATATATATATATATATATTTGAAAGGTTTGCTTATTCACATTTTATCCTATAGGTTTCACAAGAACATTAACTACGATTTATTCAGTAACATTATTAACTATGTTGACACATATTCAGCTCAATTTACTTGGACGATTTACTTATGTTTGGTCAGTCTCTGTTTTGAATAAAAGTGAACCTACTATTCGATTACAACATGATGATAATGATCAACCGGAAAATGGCTTTTTGGATCCATTAACTGAACGTATGTTCCTTAGCGCTAGTTGGTGGTTATTACATCGTGGTTGGAGAAAATGTGCTGAAAGGGTGAAAGATGGTGTTGAACAAGTGGTTGGAAGGTATAATATATATAATAATTTTTTTTTTTGAATTATATCTAATTTATATTGTTTTGGATGAATATAGTATACCTTTGAAGAGTATCCTTACTTATGATGGTACTGAAGAAATCATTCAAAAACTCCGGAAGAACATTGAATACGAAGATGATGGATATACTCCCTTTAGGTAAATATAAGAATTTATTTAATAATAATGTTAACTTTCTTTATATATATATATATATATATATAGTTTTAGATCATGGATGTTACCCGATACGCATGAAGAAGAATTGGAACTTTTAAGAGAGACTGGATTTTCAGGAATGGATGATACCAATGAATCTACTGTTACTTTACGTCAATTATTAGATGAAACTAAAGATTTTATTGATAGGTAAAAAAAAAAACCAGGAATTATAATCTTATCCATTTGATTCATTTGACTAATTTGATTTGATTTGATTTTTTTTTTAATTTGAATTTTTAAGCCCTGATTTTATTACGGTGTTTTCTTGCTGCTTAGAAGAAGTTTATAGTATTTTTGATCATAATGCATTTGGAAAGGTTTTATTACCTAGTCCTCTTGATTCTTCAGTACAACGTATTCAAGAATTGACGAATGATTCGATTGAGATCAAAAAAATGACTTTAGCTAACTTATTACCAGCCATTAGTCGACAAGCTCATTTGGTCATAGCTGGCAATGAATACTTGAATGTAAGCATTCCGAACAAGGGTGGGGGGAAAAGAGTGGGGTGGAAAAAGTCAAAAATCAAAAAAATCAAAAAAAAAAAAAAAAGGAGGGAAGAGGAGAAGCGGAAGATATATTATAATGATATATATAGACTTGATTGAACTGATTTTTTTTTTTTATTGAATTGATTTTTATAGGGATTTGCTTATCTTAAGGAATTACAAGCATTCTCAGCCATGATATATACTCAATATGGACAAGAAGTGACAAGTTCTTCTTAACTAGTTATTATTTATATTTAGTTTAGATTTCTTTATGATTCTTATTATGATTCTTATTATTATTATTATTAAACTATTTGAAGAAGAAGAAGAAGAAGAAGAAGATGTATACTTTCAATAATAATTAAATAATAATAACGATGATGATGATGATGACGAACTCCATCTGGTTATTATAGGCGGTGCGTCAATTTATTTATTTTTTTGGGTTGCTCAAAAAAAATTTCGCACACGTTTCCCGTTCTCTTTTTCCTTTTTCTTTTCTCTCTCTCTCTTTTTTTTTTTTCTTCTATACATTTACATCTCTTCAAAAAAGAAATAAAAAAATGTAAGAAATATTCTTTTTTTTTTCCCTTTATATATATATATTAACCTTTTTTTTTCTTAAATAATAATAATTCTTTTTATTTATTTATTTATTGTATTAATAGATGGCTGAAATCAGAAGAAAACTCGTCATTGTTGGTGATGGTGCTTGTGGAAGTAAGTTTTCTTTTATTATCTTTTATTATAAACAATATGTTCATTTCTTTTTCTTTTTTTCTTTTTTTTTTTCTTTCTTTCTTTCTTTCTTTTTTTTTAATAGAGTAAGTTCTTAATAGAAGCAAACAAACAATATATATATATATATATATATATATTATGAACTCATAATATATTTTATTATTATTATCATCATCATCATCATTTGACTTTATCAAATAGGGTAAATTATATTATTTTTATTATATTATTATTATTTTATTATTATTATTATTATTAACTTCAATATTATTATTATTATTATTATTATTATTATAGACTTGTTTATTGATTGTCTTTTCAAAGGGTACCTTCCCTGAAGTAAGTTTGTAACCATATGCTTAAGCTCCTTTTTAGACCCAAAAAAAAAGAATGAATTGGGAAATTATTATTATTCTCCCCTCCTCCTCAAATCCTTTTTTTTTTAATGATCTATATATATATATATAGTTCTATGTTCCCACCGTTTTTGAAAACTATGTGGCTGATGTTGAAGTCGATGGCAAGCACGTGGAATTAGCATTATGGGATACAGCAGGTAAGAATAATAATCATAATAATAATAAAAAAAAATAGATCAAGATAAAATAATATATTAATCATTTTATTTTAATAATAGGCCAAGAAGATTATGATCGACTTCGACCTCTTTCATATCCTGATTCTCATGTTATCTTAATCTGTTTTGCTGTGGATTCACCAGATTCATTGGAAAATGTTCAAGAAAAGGTAAAATAACAATAATAATATATGAATTGATTTTATATTTATATTTATTATTATTATCAATCAATAGTGGATTTCTGAAGTCCTTCATTTCTGTCAAGGTTTACCTATCGTACTTGTTGGTTGTAAGAAGGATTTAAGAAACGAACCTGCTACTATTGAAGAACTTCGACGAAATTCTCAACGACCTGTCTCCTTTGAAGAAGTAAGTTTTTTTTTTTTTTTTTTAAGAATATCTCATTTTTTTTTCCTTTTTTTTTTTTTTAGGGTTCCTCTGTGGCTCAACGTATCAATGCCTACAAGTACTTGGTAAGTAAAACGGGTTTTTGGGTTTGAAGAGCTTGGCGAATTATCCCAAAAAGGAAGCTCATCATCATCATTGATTTTCTCTCTCTTTTTTTTTTTTTTTATTACTGTTTATAGGAATGTTCTGCAAAGACTGGTGAAGGTGTTCGCGAAGTATTTGAACATGCTACAAGAGCTGCTTTGATGGTTCACAAGAAGAAGAAGAAGAGTGGTGGTTGCACTGTGTTGTAAAAAGGAAAATAGGACTTTTTAATTATTTTTTTTTTTGGAAAAAAGATCCTCCCCTCTTCCTTCTTTTTATTATTATTATATATTTTTTTTTTTTTTTTTACTTTTATTCACACAACACATATTCACACATAAACACACATACACAAAACAGATATATTGGAAATATCAAATCACACCAATCCCCCTTTTTTCCTTTTTCTCCCATTCGTATTTTTTTTTTTATATTGTTTTCTTGACTTTTGAAGTAATAAAAAAAAACTACAGCTTATCTTGTTTGGGACTCCGTTGTCGGTAATACTCGTTTTTTTTTATTTTTTGATAATTTTCTCTTTTATCTTTTTTTTTTTTTTTTAAAAAAATGGAATCAAATAATAAACGAAGTATAGATCATTTAGAGGATCAAACGAATGATAACACCAATGATAAGAGACAACGCACAGAAAAAACCATGGCTATTTATAAAGAACCTTCTATTTTCAACTTTCGACCCATGGACGATATTACCAAAGTGATTCATGACTTTATTACTAAATACTGTGGTCAACAATATGTTGAAGTAAAATATCAAAAAAGAAATAATCAATAAAATGATATTTATTATTTATTTATTAAACTATTTTTTGTTTTTAATATAGATTGAAGCTAAACTTGGTGTCTTTATAGATAAACATACTAACGAACGACTTTTTTTGGACTGTGAAACGGAAACAGGTAAAATATATATATATATAATAAAGATAGATTTAACCTTTTTTTTTATTTATTATCATTAAAGTGATACCTCAACATATGTCACGTCAAATACGATTTGAATCCAATATGCCTTTACAACAACATAAATATTATAATAATATGTTTAATGATTTAGTCAACAAGTCACAAGCAAAGGATTATAAAGGTGAAAGAATCAAATATCGACATACGCGTGAAACTGATAGATTTCATGATATGGGAGGAAGAAAAAAATGTAGAGTTACTATAGATCAACAAACAGGAAAGGTAAAAAAAAAAAAGTTCTTTTTTATTTTTTTTTAATTCATATTATTATATAGATTGTACCTGATGGAATCATTGAAAAAGTACGATTGGAAGATTTGAATATCCATTCACCGACACAACCTTTGGATTATAGAATATCTATCAATCTTGAAATTCCACGCAAGTTATTATCATCTTTTGGAAAATAATCCAATTCTTATATCTTATTTTATTTATTTATTTAGAATCTATGCCTGAATCTCCATACATATTTGAACGTAATAAGGATCGATTATCATATCAACATGGCGGTTTGAATTTTGATTTAACTCAAGTGAAAGGAGGTCAAACAAATGATATGGAAGTACGACATGAATTGGAATTGGAATTTATGGACGCTGAACTTTTACAAATTGAAAAACTCAAATTGGATCGAAAGGAACCTTCCTCATTTACTCTCTCTATAGAACGCTTTGTCAACAATATTAGGATCTTATCAAAACATGCCAAAATGATGTAATCCTTTTTAGTCAGTTAGATCTTATGTTTTACATGCATTTACAAAAAAATAAAAACCATATTATTATTATTATTATCATCCTCATTAGGCTCATTTTGAAATGAATATCATTTCATTTTGTATAAATAGCAACAAGAACTAGCATACATATTTATATATATATATTATATTTATTATTATTACTGATGATACATTGAGAAGAAGATATCCTAATCACAAGTTGTAAAAGGGTCCCAAATTATTCAAAGGTTTTTTTTTTGACTTTTTCAGCATTGACACCTAGCCCACAATGAACTGGATTAATATGATGAAGATGTAGAGTAAGAACCTTATTGTAGAGATCGATCACCAAGTCCACTTGAGTACTGAAACTCCATTAGCATGAAAAAAAAGAAAAAATTTGGTTGGGAGATTACTGGTAAGCGTTTTTTATAGCTCCGGTCACCACCATGACGTGGTTTTTGGGGGGCCACCTTTTTTTCTTTTTTTTTTTTTTTTTTTTTTTTTTGCTTCTTTTTTTCTTTTCCTTATTTTAATCTTACTCCTCCTCGACAAATATCATGTTACCTTTATCATTATTACATACTGCGGCAGGTCATCCTATGCTTGTAGAATTAAAGAATGGAGAAACCTTCAATGGACATTTAGTGAATTGTGATAATTGGATGAATTTGACTTTACGTGAAGTGATCCAGACATCACCTGATGGCGATCGGTTTTGGCGATTACCAGAATGTTATATCCGAGGCAATACAATCAAATATCTTAACGTACCAGAAGAAATTGTGGATATGGTCAAGGAAGAAGAAACACGACAACGACAAATGGGTGGACGAGGACGTGGACGTGGCCGAGAAAACGGCGGTCGTGGTGGTACTGGTCGTGGAGGGATGAACTATCGTGGAAATACTCGTGGTGGTCGTGGTCGAGGTGGTAGTGATGGTCGATCATAGGCAAAAATCTTTTTCTTTTTGTTGTTGTTGTTGTTGTTGAATACCTTTTTTTTTTTTTTTTTTTTAGTAACTATCTCACATCATTCCTATTGAAATAATAATAATAAAAAAAAAGAATACTAGAATCTTTATATATATTATATATGTATTTAATTGATTTCCCTTTTTATGATTGATTTCTTTTTTTTTTTTTTTTTTTTTTTTTATCTATTGAATGATAAGTGATTTTTGATGAATGTTTGGGTTTGATCTCAGAGTTAAGTGGCGTGCTTGAAGGATGATTGGTTCAGAGAATTTGTCGGATGAAGAGCATTTTTTTTTTTTTTTGTTTTCTGATATAATCTGATTCTTTTTTTCTTTTCCCCCTTTTTTTATTATCTCTTTCACCTTTTTTTTTTTTCTCAAAAAGATGACTAATCTATTAGATATCACTAGTGATCAACAATTTACTGACCTTTGTTCTAAGAAGGATGCTGTTCTTGCTCTCAACTTTTGGGCTTCATGGGCTGAACCTTGTCAACAAATGAACGATGTCTTTACTGAACTTGCTGGCAAGTTCTCTGCTATCCAATTCTTAAAGGTATAAAGAATATTCTCTAACTATTTTATTGTTTTTTTTTCTTTTCTTATTCATGTTTATTATTATTATTATTTTATGTTTTGAATAGATTGAAGCGGAAAACTTCCCTGATATTTCAGAACAATATGAAATCTCTGCTGTGCCAACTTTTATTATTTTGAAGGTAATTAGTTTGAAAAAAAAAAAGATCAATTGGTTTTTCATTACTAAAATAATAATAATAATAATTTATATATGTTAGGGTGACAAAATTGTGGATCGAGTGGAAGGAGCTAAAGCAGCGGAATTATCCAACGCTGTGACGAAACATGCAAAGGGGATTTTGAACAAGTTTAGCAACACTACTTCATTGGAAAACGGAAACAACAATAGTAACAGTAGTAATAACAACAATAACAAATCCAAAGACTTGAATACACGTTTAAAGACATTGATCAACAGTGCTCCAGTAATGATCTTTATTAAAGGCACACCTCAACAAGTATGTATTTATCTATATAAGAGAAGAATTTTGATAACTCTAACTTTTATTTTATTTTTTATAGCCTCGATGTGGATTTTCTCGTACGTTGGTTGACCTTTTAGGGGAACAAAAAGTCAAATATAGTTCATTCAATATTCTTGCGGATGAAGATGTACGTCAAGGTCTCAAAGTATATTCAGATTGGCCCACTTTTCCTCAAGTCTATATCGATGGTGAATTGATTGGTGGATTGGATATCATTAAAGAATTAGTGGCCTCAGGTGAATTTGCTTCCATGTTACCCAAAGAAAAGAGTCTGGCTGTCCGATTACAAGATCTTATTGAAAAACAACCTGTGATGGTATTTATCAAAGGTACTCCTCAAGAACCTCAATGTGGGTTTTCTCGACAAATGGTGGCCATACTAAATGATCGACATATCAAATATGGTTATTTCAATATTTTATCCGACGATGAAGTCAGACAAGGACTCAAGACTCATGTGGACTGGCCTACTTTTCCTATGTTATTCTACAAGGGTGAATTATTGGGTGGTTTGGATATTGTCAAGGATATGATAGAAAGTGGTGAATTTGACCAAGTATTGACTGCTTAGTTTTTATCATACTATTAGGTTTATCATGTTATCAAAAAAAAAAAAAACAGCTGAATAAAGTACAATAAATAAAAGTTTATTTACAAAATGTCTATAGTTTGTTTACGTTTTTTTTTTATCTATTACGAATAAGAGGAAATCAAAAAATGTATCAGAAAGAAGTATGTATGTATGTATGTGCTTGAAGATGAAAAGTCTGAATATAGGTATGGATGCGTGCTTATATATATATATATATATATATATCATTCGTCAACACCAGGTGGCCGTTTTACCCGTACTTGTTCCCAATCTTCTTCTGTTTTAGCTTGTAATCGCTGTATAATAGTATTATTATAAAGAAGAACAAAATAGTCAATTAAATAGTCCATGTTTCATATTCACTTTATAGTATGACTTACGAAATATTCTTCTTGTATACTTAAAGGACGTCGGTTTTTGTCCATCCCTAGTGCCTCCTCCTTCGCAACCTATCAATTAAAAAAAAAAGTGATGTTTTAATATAAATATATAAGGTTTTTCTTTTTTATTATTACCTTTCGATGTCGTAAGTCACGATGGTCATATCGAGTTTGTGTCAATTGTGCTAAACCAAAGGATCCACCTACTATTACAGCTATAAAAGGAAGACCAAAAAGTACAAATGGATGTTTCTTGATTTTCTGTACTGCTGATGATACTTGGTTGGGTCTATGTTGAAATGGTTTTGATGAAAAAGTAGGCATACTTGCAAAAAGTAAGAGCGAAAAAAAAAAAAGAAAAAGAAAAAAAGAAAAAAGAAAGAAAACAAAGAGAAAGTATATGACAAGTATGACAGTTTTTTGAAATACCGCTGAACAAAAAAAAAAGAAATGATGATGACCTGCAAAAGAGTTTATTAAATATATATATTATTGGATCTAAAAAAAGATAATACATTTGTTTGATAATGAAGGAGTTCTACATGTGATAAATAAATAAAAAAAAAGTTGCTATTGTTTTGCCATCTTGGAAGCCATCATAGCAATCACTGAAGCACCTAAACCAGATCCATCCCTTGATAGTTCAAAACGTACACGATGACGTATTTTTTCTCCAAACAGGTCCACCAAAGCACTCATCATATTTGCTTCATATTCAGGATAAAATTCAAACAAAGATCCATCAATAGCAATCAAACAATCATTCTTCTTATCATCATCATCATCATTTATCATCTTCTTGTGTTTTATGATACCCGCCAATCCACAAGCTGCCAATCGAGCAGAACGTTGACCCACCGCTATACAAATAGCCTGTACCAATTGTCGATCTGCCAATGTGGTTGATCCAGCAGGCATATCCATAATATCTTCAAGAACATGTTTTGTTGCTGTCAAATTTGGAGAATGATCACCATGAATAGTAGACATGTATGCTGTTTCAAATCGCCATTGCATATTGAGTTCAGGTGATGATTGTCCACCAAATAGAACCAATCGATCAATCCAATGAAGCATACAATTACGTGCTATTTCTGCCAAATACATGCCACTGATCATCTTTTCAAATAATTGTTCATTGATATTGACAGATTCTCGGTTCAACTTGTTATCATACATTGTGAATGGTAGAATGCGTCTTTCACAATCAAATGCTCCCCATTCCATATTCACTACCATTTCATTGGATAGTATTTTGTTATTGTCAGCTTCAAATTTAGTAATTCGGGAGATATCTTCATAATAACCTACAATCATCAAAAAAAAAAAAAAAAAAGAAAAAAAGATTGAGTATAACAATTTAGACAAAAAAAAAAAATTATCCTTACATGTATTGGAACCTGTGCCTAAAATTACACCCATGGTCGTTTCAGGATGACGATAAGCATGTGCCATCAATGTTCCCACTGTATCATTCACAATCTACCCAAAAAAAAAAAAAATATTCTCTTTTAATTCCCATTCAAGGCTCTGCTTTCCAAAAGAAGTAAAATACTCTCTCTCGGAGATTTCCCTCATCATGATAAAAAAGACTTACAGCAGCAATATTGACCAATAAATTTTTACGATGGAAAGCATCTTGTAATAAAACAGCAGGATCCGTACCAACCGCATTAGCACAAGCAAAACCTTTTGTCCATTGTTTTAATTCACCACTATTGATGGAAGTTTGCCAGATAGGAAATGAAAAAGTATAACCCATATCCACCTTTTCATGAGGATCACCATGTTCACTGATGAAATCATCCACACAATCGGCAATGAAATCACATAAATGTCGCATATCACCAGTCTTCAGTTGATCTGATACTACATATTTTTGTTGATGAAGATGATATTTGCCTTGACCCAATAATTCCACTTGACATACGCGTAAATTGGTACCTCCCAAATCCAATGCCAAATATTTACCTTTTTCTTCCCCTGTAGGACGACCACTGACAAAACTAGGAATCATCGCCACTATATATTTTTAAAAAAAAAAGTCAGAAAAAAAAAGTCACTAAAATAAAATAAAATACTATTTTTTACCAGTAGCACCATGATGATCTAATCCTTTTTGCATTTCTTTTATAAATTGATCCACAATAGCATGCATATGATCAGTAGTGATTTGAAATTCGGATTGAATTTGTTCTATGGCTTGTAATTGTTCAGAAGTACCTTGAAACTTGTTGGATTGATGATAACAATAAGAAGATTGATTAGAACCCATATTTGTGGGAATAAAAGCTTTGGAAGGTGACATGATTCAAAAAAAAAGAATAATTAGATTTATATACAAGTACAAAAACAGAATCAAACTGGGAAAAAAAAAGAGGGGAAAAAAAAAGATACCAGGGAAAAAACTTTCGATATTTATATTTGAAAAATTCAGTACTCCCAAGTCAAGCAGGGCTTGCCTATTTTGGATATTAGCCATTAAAAGTTACACCGATTATTTAGTTAGAGTGGATAATCGGGGTTTCCACTTTGTTCTAATGCAAAACCAGATTTTCCCATTTTTTCCCAATTCATCATCATCATACATTACGTAAATAAAGGATCATCAAAGAAATAAATAAATAAAAGAGGGGAAATTATGGATAGATTCTACTTGAAATAACATGAGATCTTTCCAATCACCTTAGCAACGTGGTTCAACCTTGTTTTATATATATATATATATATATATATATATATATATCGTATGATGATGATCACAAGGGATAAAAGTAACAAACAATCATCATCTAACCAAAATATTTGTTTCATTACTAGATCATATTATCTTTCTTTCTTGTTTTTTTTATTTTTATTTTTATGATGGATTATCTCTGTTTAAATGATAAACATGGACCCTACAAAGATGGATGATGAACCTGTAGTACGAACCTATGAAAAGTACAAGGTGGGGCGGACCTGGAACCAATGAAAACACAGCAAACTTTGATGTGTCAAGATGAGTTCTATCTAAGCTAGTTACATATCTTCCCCTCCTTTTTTTTTTTTTATTTTCTTCATTTTGTATTTATCTCTTTTTTTTATTTATTTATTTATGCTTTACTTTATAAGAAAATATCCTATCATTACAAGGTCATATTTACGTCATTATAGTCAACAACAGCCTTTGATACAGTTGAAAAATGCTACTATTCATCGTTATGGTGTCAAAGAACCAGTGTTTCAAAATTTAACTTTGTCTATTGAACGTGACCAACGTTTAGTTATTGTGGGTCCCGTGAATGCGGGTAAAACTACCTTGGCAGAAGTAAGTCTTTTTTTTTTTTTTTTTTTGTGGTATACTTAACCTTTTTTTTTTTTTCTAAGACTTTAGCAGGACGTCATTCTTCACAACCACTTTCGTCCATTGAATGGCCATTGATTAACAAGAATGATGTAACATGTTCACCTTATCCTTCTGATCATATCCGTTTTGTCTCTTTCAAAGAAGAATCAGGTGTATTCAACTACAATCAACATTATTATCAAGAACGGTTCAATTTCAGGTAACCTCGAAGATATGGTCCCCAATCCTTTTAAGAAAAAAATTGATGATTTTTTTTTTTTGGGAATGATTTATGCAATAGTGATCCAGATAATGATTTGACATTGATGGATTATCTTGATCAACAACATCAACAAAATTCAATGGAAAAAAAGAATATGTTATACAAAGTGGCTGATCAATTGGATTTGACTCATTTATTACCACTTTCTTTCGTCAAATTATCCAATGGACAAACACGTCGTGCTAGGATTGCTCGTGCTCTTTTACGTCAACCCAAAATGCTTATTCTTGATGAACCTCTTAGTAAGTTTTTTTTTTTCCCTCGATAGGTTGATTTATTAATTTCATCTTCATAGTGGGATTAGATGTAGATCATCGAAAAAGATTATTGGCATTACTAGGTCAACTATCAAAGGAAAATTTACCGGTCATCCTTGTTTCTCGTCCTCAAGATGAGATTCCAGAATGGGCGACAGATGTAGTGGTATTGGATGATCGAAAAATAGTATGGCAAGGACCACCTGATGAATATATTGCACATCAACAACAACAAATGCAAGCTGAACGACAAGAAAAAGCGGCTTATCGAGCACAGGCATTACTGAAGGAACAGCATGTGGATCGACCAGGTATAGTGGAGCTCAATCAAGTCAATGTCATCTATTCTGGAAATAAAATCTTGGATAATATTTCATGGAAAGTCAAAGAAGGAGATCGATGGGCTTTATTAGGTCCCAATGGTAAAATAAAAAAAATAAAAAAATAAAACAAGAAAGATTCATTTTATTCTAAATTTTTTTATATAGGATCGGGTAAAACAACATTATTATCGTTTCTAACAGGAGATCATCCACAAGCTTATGCCAATGATTTGACATTATTTGGTCGACGACGAGGAACGGGAGAATCCATCTGGGAAATTAAACAAAAAGTTGGCTTGGTGAGTCCTGAGATCCATTTGTATTTCAATCCAACCATGACAGGCATGATGGCAGCAGGCACAGGATTTTATGACGTGATGGCACAAAGATCATTGGATGATACCCAAATGGCTACTATTGAACGTCTATTTACCGAGTTTGGCATTAACCACGATTGCCTTCATCGTCGATTACAGGACATGTCTTCCGGTGAACAACGTATGGTATTGCTGGTGCGCTCACTTGTCAAACAACCACCTTTGATCATCTGGGATGAACCCTTTCAGGGCCTTGATGCCGCCATGATCCACAAAGTCAACAATTGGCTCGAACACTATCTCCACGACTCTCAAACTTTGATCATGGTCACCCATCATGAAGATGAAATCCCAAGAGCTGTTACAAAACGGTTTCATCTAGGTCCTCATGGCACGGATGATAATCATCGTTATCAAGATTCAAAATGAGAAAGAAGAAAAAAAAAAAAAGAAGATACTACAATAAATATTAGATAGATATATTTCTTTATTTTCATCCAGTTTCTTTATTCAAATAATAATAATAAAAAAAAATACACATACTTTTCAATCTATGCTATGTACAAAAATAAATAAATAAATGTGAATGCAAACAATCAAAATAAAGAATCAATCAAAAAAAAAAAAAAAGAGAGAGAGGGGTATTCAATGAAAAAAAAAAAAGAAAAAGAATCACTATCTACAATCCAACACGGAATAAAACCTGTTTTCCTTTCTTGCCCTTCTTTTTCTTGTTGTCAAGAGATGATGTGTCGTGATCTGTGTTGCCAGATTCCATAGATTCATTTTCATTTTCCTTTTCAGATGATGACCATGCAGATCCATTATTATTGTTACGGCGCATATTCAGTACGGTAGGATGAGGTCGACGAGATGTAGGTAAAGAAGGGAACTGTTGACTAATCACTGGGAAATCTTCTTCCATTGATTTCTTTGCTGATGAACTTGATCCCGCCCATGCTGTTTTATGTTGATTCGTTTGAGGAGTGGGGAATAACATGGGTGAACTTGATCTGGATGAGACGGGTGAGCCACGTGGGGATGGGCCTCTTGAAGAAGCATCGATCATAGTTGTTCCATGAGCCGCCGCATTTGCTACACGATCCCATACACCTGCTTTGGATTTACTTGTTGTTCTTGTTCCACCTACACGAGTGCTTCCACCCTTAATTACTAATACTCGTTTTGATGTACCATGACCAGTGACTTGATTTTCATTCAATGGAGTTAATGCTGGGAAATTTTGAAGCTATTTTTTGAAAGAAAAACAAATTTAAGATACATTATATAGATATTTCCCAGAATTATACTTACATTGGCTTGAGTGTTCCTCCAGGCTTGCATAATTTCACGTTTCTTTTCATGATTATCCATCAATTCTTCCACATCTTTCAAAACTGATGTTGCTTTGGTCGTATCATTTCCACACAAGCTGATGATTTCATCCACGTAATCCTTGATATCCAAGCTATTATTGCGATAAGACGTAGTAAGAGCACGGAATTGTTCAACACTATTGGGTCCATTCAATAATCGTCCAAGTTTCATCAGCACATTAGCATGACGTTGTTTGATCGTTGCATCTTCTTCTGTTGAAGTCGTGGTAATTGTACGAGTTGTATTACTATTGGATGGATTGGAAGTAGAAGGTTGTCCAAGTCCAGGCCATTGTTCTTCATCGTTTCTAGATAAAGAGCCAAAACCCTTTGGCTTTTGTAATCTTGTGTTTTGAGCATTATTTTTCTTTTTGGGCTGACCAGGAATTGTACGTTCAGATGACGGAATATCACCATTGATACTTGGGAAATCAGAGGAAGATAAGGCTGGTGCAGCAGATGACGAAGAAGACTGTTGCTGTTGTTGTTGTTGTTGTTGTTGTTGCTGCTGCTGTTGTTGTACTTTTTGCTTATTTTTGCCACGACCGCTACTACTAGCATGTTGAGATCCATAATCAAAACTAAGATCTACACGTCCAGAAGCTCCATGTACTTCAACCTATCACAAAATCAAAGAAAGACTGAGCTTACTCCTCATCCCTTTCTTTTTTTTTTTTTTCTTGTTTTGTTTTTACCTCGTGAGCTTTCAAATCAAGTTCAGATTCGAACACAATAAACTTCTTATCCAAACATTCACGATAAAGACAAAGATAATGTTTTTGATCAAAATGTTTTTCCTACACCATATATTCATAATAATATTAGTACGAATTGTGTCTTCATTATTTCTTTTTTTCTTAAAAAAAACTTACCAATCCATTGTAATCAGGATAATATTCATGTCGGAAGCCATTACGAACACAAATATGACACTGTTCATGCTTGTCCCTACAATGAATATATAATTCATCATCACCATAGAATCGTTTACGACAGAATCCACATTCTGGATGGCCTTTGAATCCTGAGTCATCATCCTTGTTCAAAGCTTCTTTATCACCATATTTGTGATGTTTATTGAGTTGAGCTGCGGTATATAAAGTATGTTCATGAGCAAAGATCTTTTTGTTTTTGATACACAGATCACTATTAAAAAAAAAAAATTCAATAAGAATAGGCGTACCTTTTTTCTATTATTATTATTCTCACTTACCATAAAACGAGATTATGATCCTTCGCTGTATGTTTCTTGAGTTCATTCCAGTTATCACAAGCCACAGCACAATTGGGTTCTGGACAATTGAATTGTAATAAAAGCATGGTATCTTGATGAATCTGAGTATCTTCAAATCGAATGTCCAATTTCTTGTCCACACAAAAATAATCCTTCTTAGTAAATGCTTCAAAGGGTTTCACAGGATCTTTGGTAAACATGAGTGTCTTTTGTTCCGTCTATACAAAAGATCAATTCAGTATTTCTTTGTTTTTTTTTTCCTTATTCCCTCCTCTTACTTACGTTACAATAAACACAATTCTTGGTATGATATAGAGTTCGGAGACGAAGAGCACAGAGATGACATGTACGATGATTACAAGCTGAGAGAGCATAAGTAACAATGGGTTCAGTACAAATAAAACAAGTATCATTATCCTCTTGATCATCACTATCATCTAAAGAGTTATTATCCTTTTTGTTCTCCTTCTTGCTATTATCATCTTTATCGTTTTGTTTCTTTCTCCTGTATCGCCGTTGGTGTTGTGGTTTCTTGTTATCATTATGTTGTCGCGTCGGTTTGACAGATGAATGGGTGCGATCAACGGAAGAAGCATTACCTTCTCCTGCTTTAGTAGTAGTAGTAGTAGTATTTTGATGAGTGGAATCCATAGGAGAAAGAGGGTAGTGATGACTAATATCGAATATTTATGTTAGAGAAAGGGAGAGAGAGAGGGGAAAAGAGAATAAAACAATAACCAAAAAAATAAAAAAAATAAATAAATAAAAAAAAAATCAAATTCATCTGGCAGACTGCGGCTTACAAACTAATTAGCCAATCGGATCTCCTCTTTTTACTACGACAGAAATTTACCCCAGAACACAGGTAAATCCATATGATATTTCTGATGGATGGTATTGGTAGAAGGATGTGATAACTATTAAAACATATTGGATATGAAACAATAATAATAAATAAAATGATGATGATATTTGTCAATGAATATGATTTTACCAAGTGACATATAATTAGGAAATATCAATAGGATGCTCTAAATACATTTATGAAGGTATTACACTTTATTCAATAATAAATGACGGAATTCAAAGAATAAGATGGCGCAAAAATAGGAAATAAAATATCGTAAGGATAGAAAATAAATGACGGGGAAGAACAGAGAGAGTTGTCGCATAATCAAATAGAGAATATAAGAAAATAGATATCATTAAAAAAAAAAAGAGCAATCAAAAAAAAAAAAAGGAAATCCACCAATTGAGTTCACCAAGTTAACATATAAAAAATAAAATAAAATAAAAAATGAGTAATACTTATCCAGATAAAAATATTTCACTAGCTTACCATTTAAGTGTAACGAGATCGCCGTAGCGAAAGTAGGATGGCGATAACCATCCCGGAAATTGTTGAATAAAAAAAAAAAAAGGCTGACCGTAACCACGCAAATGCGCATTAGCGACCACGGTCAAGCCCAAAAACAAAAAAGAGGTAGATCAATGGAGATACAGATAAAGGTGGTTGAGTTATTAAAGGATGCTTGTAAAGAAAAGGATAGACCAAAAAAAAAGAAGGCAGACAAAAAAGCAGGCAGATAGGCCAAAAAGCAGGCAGGTAAGATGAATGTAATGTAAAGAAATAAAAAAAAAAAAAAGTTAAATCAAAGGGATCCCTTTATAAGTAAATGAATCACTCGTGCAATTATGAACTAATTTTAGTTGATAAAATGATGAGACAAGATGTAAGCGAGTTTTATCATCTTTTTTTAAATATTAGCAACATTTCTATCTTTATATCGTATCTAATTCATCATCATTTTTTTTAGTATTAACAACATTTCTCTCTTTCTATTGTATTTAATTTATCATTTGTCTTTTTTAGTATCTACTTTATTATTTTTAGTATCTACTTCATAATTTTTTTTTTAGTGTTAGCAACATTTCTCTCTTTATATTGTATCTAATTTATCATCTACTTTATTGTTTTTAGTATCTACTTCATCTTTTTTTTTCTTTTTTTTTAGTGTTAGCAACATTTCTCTCTTAATAATAAAGTTAATTACATAGATGTTCTACATTAAATTCTATTATTACAATATTTATGTACTAAGTGATACATGGTACTGACTTGTTTTTGCCGTGTTTTAGTTTAATGACTAGTTTTTTTTTTTTTTTTTTTTTTTTTTTTTTTTTTTTTTTTTTTTTTTTTTTTTTTTTTTTTTTTTTAGTTGTTCTATTTTAAATGGTAGTATGATTGTGTACAGCACATTTATTATTGTATTTTTTAATTTCCATTGATGTGATGAATCATCATTATTATATTTGATTTATCATGTTGGCTGATAAAAGAGTGTTTTGACATTTTTCAAAGAAAAAAAGAAAAGAAAAAGAAAATGCTGTTCTGTCAGAAGGTAACTAGAATGAAGTATTTTATATTTTATCAGAAATTTGTACAGTGATTGACGACAATGTTTCATCATCCATCATACAATCGTACAATCATCCATCATACAATCGTACAATCATCCAACATATAATCATCCATTATCACGTATCATCCATCATACAGTCATCCATCATCCATCCTGTAATCATCCAATATACAATCATCCGTTATCACATATCATCAATCATGAATCATCGATCATGAATCATCAATCAATTGATACCTAAAAAAGAATGGACAACACCCAAAGCTGCTAAAAATATAAAAAGCTTATGTTACTTTTCTTTTGTGTCTTTTATTATTAATAAACAAGTTATCATCGATGTGTTGTGTGTTTTTAATGTACTCTACCGCCATCTCTAGAGCGATATCTGAAAAAGTGGTAATGCGCCATTCATTTTGGGAAAGTACGATATTTTATTTGATAACATCACGAAAAGCATTGTCTTGCGACCCGACAAAAAACCTTGAAAACACTGTATATCCGTAGTAATTCATCTTATTGGTAAATTTATAAAATATAGTATGAATAAGATAAAATATAAAGAATGCTGTTCAAGAATAGAAAAAAAACGTATATATCACGAAGAATGATATAAATCAGAAGAGGATGAAATCAATTCAATTATCATCTAACAAAAATCAAAAATTTTATTGAATAAAAAGAGATAATATACACCTAATAAACCATCGCCAAACATAAAGACTTTCTTTGATTCATTGTCTTTTGACCCTTCAAATTCCGCACCGGCCTTTTTTTTTTTTTTGAACCATCAAGTTTCATTGGCTCTCCTATTTTCCTTTTTTTTCCTTTTTCCTTTTTTTCTTTTTCCTTTTTTTTTTTTTTTTTTTTTCCTTTCTTTAAAGACAATTTGACCCTTTCCTTTCCTTATTAATGTACCGTTCAACAACACCAACGTCAGTTACATTAAATACACAAACCACAACAAGATCCAATAGTACTTTATCATCACAACCTCCTCCATTTTGGTTTGGTGGTGCAGCTTCTTGTGTAGCCACTTTTGTCTCTCACCCTTTTGATCTTACCAAAGTACGAATACAAACACAAGTACGAAAACAACAACCAACTAATTGGGATTGGCGATTATTACGACCTAGTAATATGATTCGAACTATGCGTTCCATTGTACATAGTGAAGGTATCAAGGCTCTTTATACTGGATTAGATGCAAGTTTACTCCGCCAAGGAACATATTCTACCATACGTTTTGGACTTTATGATCACTTTAAATGGTTAATCGCTGGTAACGACAGTAAGTTCTAATTTTATTATTACTATTATTACTATTTCTAATTCTTTTTCATTTTTTTTTTTTTTTTTTTTTTTTTTTTTTTTAGAACCGACCTTTCAACAATTACTGTTATGTTCCACAGCAGCAGGTGTATTGGGTGGAGCTTTTGGTAATCCAAGTGATGTGGTTAATGTACGCATGCAAGGTGATGGACAACTACCTCCAGATAAACAACGTCATTATAAGAATGCTATCGATGGTATGTATAGGATATGTAGGGATGAAGGTCCTCGTGTCCTTTTGCGTGGATTGGGTACAAGTACTCAACGAGCTGTATTGATCACTGTTTCTCAAATGACAAGTTATGATGAATTCAAAATTGGTTTGGTGAATACTTTGGGTTGGTATGATGGTATGATGACTCACTTTACTGCTAGTTTACTTGCTGTAAGTTAATGGACAATGACTAAGATGAATCCATAATAACTTCTATTTTATTTGTGATTGTAGGGATTGGTTGCTACTACAGTCTGTTCTCCATTGGATGTAGTTAAAACTCGAATCATGAGTGCGCACGTGCATGATGGCAAACATCCTATACAAATCATGCTTCAAATGATCAAGATGGAAGGTTTCGGGTCTTTATTCCGAGGTTGGATGCCGGCTTTTATTCGTCTTGGTCCTCATACCGTAGTGACATTCTTAGTATTGGAAAAATTGAAGGAACAATATGCTCACATTGTAAATAGTCGTTTAGAACAAGAACATTAGATATCCCCCCTTTTCTTTATTATATACATATAGATTAGACTAGAATTATCTCCCTTTATCATACATCATCATTTACATAAATTGTATTTATACTTTTTTCTCTCTCTCTTCATTTATCATCATCATCATCATCATCATTATGAAATAAATAACCTATCTCCTTTTTATTATTATTATTATTATTTTATTATTCATTACTGGAAATACCCAAACAAATCTGCAACAAACATTCATCTAAATTTAGACCTCTTTTTTTTTATTTTATCTAAACCAAGGAATGGGGTAAAATTTATTTATTTTTTGGAACAAAAAAAAAAAAAGAGTTATGATTTATTATTATTAGCAGATGGATAAGCATTTTGTAAATTGGAAGGTGAGAAAGTGGATGGTTCCTTGCCATGATCACGAACGAATGTGGTTGTCACATCAAGGATATTATCAACAACATGATCGGGAATTTGATAATGCAATACTAATCTCGCAATACGATCATCTGGATCACTAGCATCGATACGCACGTGTGCTTGATCCAGTAATTGTTGTGCCCAGGCACGTAGGGACACTCTTCCACAGGTATCGATGAAAATCATGTTGGTTTCCACGGGCAACGCGGATTGCATGCCCAAGCGTTGTAATCCTTGCCATAAACGCAACGTGCGTGCCTGAGTGTCTTTCATACGAGATGGCAACACATGATCCAAACAGTACTCAGCAGCAGCAGCCAGACCGCCACTTTGTCGCCATCCACCGCCCATCAGTTTACGTAAATGACGCGCGCGTCGAATGGTTTCTTTATCACTGACCAGCACGGATCCAATTGGTGCACCCACCCCTTTTGAAAGACACACCGATACCGTGTCGCATAACCGACTGTAATCCGCCAGAGGGATCCCGGTGGCTACACTGGCTTCCCATAATCGAGCACCATCCATATGTAGCTTGTACCTTTGATTGAGGCTATATTCACGAATCGCCTCCAGTTGTGGTAATGGCATGATCGTGCCATTCAACGTGTTTTCTACTGATACCACGCGTGTCATCGCCCCACATAGTTCATCACGGATCGCATGCTGTTTAATATCCTCTACACTCAAATGTTGCCCTTTAGGCGTCACGGCCGTCACGGATGCTTGTGCATGATAAGCTATTCCGCCACATTCATACAGATGTACATGTGACCTTGCATCCACAAGTACTGAATGAGGAGGCTGATGCAACGAGACGCGAATCCCCAGTTGGTTCGTCATGCCACCTGATGCACAAAAAAGACCAGCTTCATGACCAAGTAGTTGCGCCACTCGATTTTCAAGTTGATTTGTTGAAGCATCCATCTATTTTTTTTTTTTGGGGGGAGTCAGTTTGTCAAAAAAAAAAAAAAAAAAAAAAGAATGAGGTTTCATATTCTTTTTTGAAAGAGTTTTTTTTTTTTTTTTTTTTTTTTTGTTCTGCTTACACCAAAGACATCATCTTCTTTGGAAGCTGTTTTCATTCTATCAAACATGACATCAGTTGGTTGTGTGGTGGTATCACTTGTTATATCATAAGTGAAGTATCTTTTGAAGGATGGCGTTGCCAAGGAGACAAAGGAAGAACGTTGTAATCTACAAGTGTGTTTTAACGTTGTTGCAAACATGACTATCCACAAGAAAATAAAAATGAGAAATAAGACTGCTTCACTCTTTTTTTTTTTTTTTTTTTTAATTGTACAACTCTCACGCCTTATCTCTCTCTCTCTCCGGATCCGCGGGGAATGACTCACCGTTTCATCAGCCAAAAAAAAAAAAAAAAAGCTAATACTTTTTCATCACATGTGTGATCGAATCGATTTCTGTTTTTAGAAAAAAAAGACTCAGCATTGTAAATACATGTCAAGTCATCAGATTGTTCGATCTCTTTTTGATGGATAATCAACATTGATGACTCATTATTGACAAGTGGTATTGTATAAAGTAAAAGCATCAATCATAAACTGCAGAAACTAAAAATTCAATTTTGAAAGAAGAAAACATAGAAAGTCCTTACATATCTATCATAAAAGTACATTTTGAAGTTTATTTGTGTAAATACGGACAAGAAGAATCATGAGATTTACTATCTATTAAAAATTGTGAATTGAGATATCATATACATAAAAAAAAAAAAAAGAGTACTCTATAGAGAGGGGTCATATCATAAAAAAGGAATATAATCAAGAAAGGAAATCATACATGTATATAAAAAGAGGAGGGAATGATAGAATGGAATCGTTTCAAATAAAAATCTATTTGGAGAAAATTGGAGATGAGGTAGCAGTAGAAGAAGAAGTAGTTGTTGTAGTAGTTGTCATTGTTGCCACACCAGTCACGGTCAGACGATCCAATTCCTTTTGCAAACTAGTATCCTCATCCATATGATGCATATTGCTGACCTTTTCTTTATCTTGATGAGAGAATGTGTCCTTGCCTTCCATTTCCATCGAATATTTCGTTGTATCCATTATCTGATCAGCCCCATCCAGAGCATCGTCATAGAATGAATCATCTATAGAAACTAAAGATTCCTTTCTATTTTGGTTGTAATCCTCTATTTCTTGTTGTCCAAGGTCTTGTAGTTCCTTTTGTCGTTGTTGCCATTGGAGGTACCGAGATGATTTTAAAAATCGAGGTAAAGAGTCTTCAGCCATGGTACGACATACTTGATCATGTACACGTTCGTATTTTGCAAGTAAAGTTTTAAGGCATTGACTACGATTTCCATGAACCATAATGATTGTCTGTTGTTCTTGTGATGGATGTGTTGGTGTATAAAAGAAGGGAAGAGATTGTTGAGGTGGAAGATGATGATGATGGTGATGATGATGATGACTGCTGACACCGCTGTTGCTATTATTGTTGTTGTTGTTGTTTCCACTATTATTCATGGTGTTTCCATGGCCATTATTGAGAAGTACCTTGAATGTATCTGCCACAAAACGAAGAATATCTTGATGTAAATTATGATCAATGTTCAGTTCCATGGTAGATTGAGGAGCAAGATAAGTGACATAGATGGCATAACATTCTGATAACACCCTATTGTAATCCATAATATTGTTGCTGCTGTTTTCCATGGTAATTTTGTCACTATGTGAGCTATCGATTGAATTGTTGTTCTTGCTATTTGTCGATTTTTGTTGCTGATGTTGTTGATGATGGTAAAGCATATTTCTGTAGTCCACCCAAAAATTCAAGTTTTCTTCACAAAAGTTCTGCTTGAGAAATTCACGAAAGTACATGCGTAACAAAGGATCTTCTAATATTGGTTGTAGACGAATGTATGATGGGGAAGTGGTGAGAGTAGAAGGTGTAGACATAAATGTTGTTAAAGAAGCAGTCGTTGATTTTGTGGTACTAGGAGATGGCGTAGATAGACTTGAAGTTGTCGTATCTGATAAAGTACATGGAATTGCGGGTGTAGATTTTTGATGTTGATGATCTTGAGTCATTGACATAGAAGAAGTCAATACAGGAGAAGGAGACAAGGAGAAGCATGATGCAGATGATTTGATATGAGGAGTAACCAAGCCAGTAGTAGAAGCAGTAGTAGTAGCAGAAGAAGACGAAGAAGAAGAAGAAGACAAACAAGTAACATCCCAACCAAGAGCATGGCGACCTCGATCAGTCAAAGTATAGATAACATTTCGTTGAGACTTGAAGACGATATCATTTTTGACATTGTTGGCACGATCACTTTTATCCAATACTTGACTGATCCAACCATATAAAACGAATTCTGAGGCTACCATTTCGGCTTCTTGACGATTGACTACAGACATACATTGCATAATGAATTCTACGACATGATAACCAAAGAAGGTATGAGTCAAGGTTATCATTTGTTGAGTTTCAATGCCACCAACATCATCAGCTAGTAATTGTGAAGTTTCCAAATGTTCCATCATCAATCGAAAAGCATCTGTCATATTTTGTCGTTCAAAAGTCAATTCATCTGTGTCCTTTTTTCCATTTTTATTATTGATATGTTGAAGTGAATGAGTTCTTCTTTCCAAAAGCATGACAGTACTATCAGGTATAGATTGGAGAGCGATATTGGTTGCTGATTGTTCATCCCAAGCAACATGACCACGTTGAGCAAAATTATAAATCATCCATTTTCCTTTACTTGTCACAGTCCAAATACCACGATCTTTCATTGTTCTACTAGTTGAATCAGAGGCATTCTCAATCAAGCGAGCTGATAAAAAATGTTGACCTAGTTGTTTTGCCATAGTACGAGTCATACTGAAAGTAGTGATAGTTTTTGTTTCGAGTTGTTTGATAGGATCGTTTGGATCAGGTTGACGTAAGACATGAGTAAATTGTAAATGACCAAGGACTTCAATCATAGATTCAGTTGTAAAACTAGTAGAATAAGTTCGAAATAAAAAACGATGATCACCAAGTTTGATCTGAAATATCATTGCACTAAATATATCATAAAGGTCCTAAAAGATAATAATAATAAAAATGAATGTTATGATGTATTTATTTATTTATTTAATATAATTTACTTTTGCAAAAGGTCTTCCATCAGGAGTGACCCTCATCATAGTGGTATAAGTTGAAGTTGATTTCATAATATGGGTAATTAAAAGTACATTAAAGGAAATAAGAAGAAGAGAAAAAAAACAATAAAATAAAAATAATAATGTCAGTCAGTCAGCTATATTATATTAAAAAATAAGTGTGACAAAAAAAACGCGAGTACAGAATTCGGAGTTTTCATCTTCATACTTCTTCCCCATACAACCCCCCCCCCAAATATTATAAATCAACTTTCTTTTTTTTTTTTTTTGGTTGACAACATTTTCATTTTATCTTTATTTTATTTTAAAAGTATTTTTTTTCTAGTACCATTGTTTTAATATTTCATTTGAATTATCTTGAATATGATGGGTAACCGGAGTATGAAACAAACACATTGGTACCTGAAAATTGTGATGATAATTTTTAAGCAGATGAACTGTCAATGACAATGAATCATATCATTTTATAGAAATAACATTAAATCTAAATAATATTTATATATAGTTGTTTTTATTGAATCATCATTTTTTATATTTGTTTTCTTTTCTTCTTTTTTTTTTATTATTTTTTTTTGATCTTTACTGCTTTTCAATCATTTAAACTACTCGATGAACTCTGGTACTATTCAACAATTGTTCAACAATTGTTTACATAATCTGCGTATAAACATTAGCCAACAAATAGAAAATGTTCGTCTTGATCTGGAGGAAAGAATAGATAATACAAGTAATACTCTCAATCGTCGAATTATGGCACTCGATTTAGAGCAACGCCAAGATGTCACTCGTCTCTACCGACATATCCGTCAATTTCAACAATGTATCATGGACCATTTCATAGAAGAATCAACACGTATTACTGGAAACTGGCCAAGAATAATAAGCAACAACAATGAACCTCAAACAAGTGATAGTATCCAAATGGCTCCTGAACTTCATCCTCCTCATCCTCCTCATCCTCTTCAACAGGTCTTCCCAGAAGTACAAGACTTTCATCCCGAAAGTCCTCATCCTGAGATAGACCTTTTTGGAGAAAATGAACGTGATATCGATTTTCCTGAAAGACTAGGCGGTATCCATCGAATAAACAGCGCCTATGTCACGAATGATGATTTTCAACTTGTGTTTCAACAATATCTTGGATTTAATCTTGTTGAATCAGTGGCCATGACCAACATTCTTATGATGTATGCTCGAGAGGCAGTTATCATAAGGTTATTCCAATTACCTCAAAGACCCAATCGAACGGCATATTGTTGGACTCAATTCTCATGTGATGATAGAATTCGTACTTCATTAGCTATAGAAAGAATGATGGTTTCACGTGAAAACGTTCGAATCGATAGAGCTGTAAAACATTGGATGGCTTTTTGTATGATGAAAAGGGTATTTCGTGCATTCCAAGCGAGCCGTTTAACTTGATAATGGTTCTCTTTTTTTTTTTTAAAAAAAAAAAATCTATCTCTTTATTTTTCCGTTATTCATCTTCCTTTTACGTTCTTAATTTATCATCTTACTTGGATTGTTTGTAATATATCTTAAACTGACGTTTTTTTTTTAAAAAAAAATAAAGGTTGAACCATCTTCAAAGATAGGATGGTGGATTATAAGTGATTATATGTAATGACGTGAAGTGTAAACTGGGAACTATCTGGCCAATATGATGAAGTTTAAAAGAATACCTGTCAATCTCTATTTCTATGATAATGATTATCTGTAATGATGGCTACTTTACTATGATTTTGACGATGGTTACAAAATACATTGTACAAGCGAATATTGCGTTATCCTGCATGCCAAAAAATGATACACATAATCACATATCTACTTCAAAAAAAAAGCAAGTATCTTTCATAGTCTAGATCCTTAATGAGTTCGCTTTTAATCATAAATATAATATCAATTGGTAATAATTTCAAACCAGAGTATGATATCAAATAAAAAAAAAAAAAGAATAAAAAGTGAAGAAGTGAAGCTATCTAGTACTACTAAAAAAGAAAGGAATTGTTCAATATTCTTTTTTTACTATATTTGATTTACAAGAATCGCCATTTGACCTTCAAGACACCAGTGTTGAAGCTTCCCAATTTTGCAAAGGCACTATGTATAAAAAAAGTAGCTTATTAAAAATCATCATATTTTTTTTTTAAAAAAAAAAAAAGAACTTACGCTGGTGAAAGATCAATATGACCAGCATCACAAGGGGGACAAGCATCACGGACAGTAACGGTAATATCATTTCCTTTAGGACCTTCGATTAAGATCTTTTTTCCACAAAGCTTGCTTTCTTCATCCATATCACCATAAAGTGAAGGACCCTATTTTTTTTTATAGTAAGAGTAACGATAATAAAAAAAAAAAAAAAAGAAAAGATGATGAACGGATGGATGAAAAAAGAAAGGTTTTTTTTTTTCTGTCCTTACCAAGGCGGCAATAAAATCATTGTCATCATTCCATTCACCACATGCACCTTGATTAGGAGTGAAGAAAGTGACTTGACCATTTTCATAATCCCAATGTTGATCATCATCATCACCACTGTCATGAGTAGGTTTGGGTTTCTTGGCAGTAGAAGTAGTAGAAGTAGTGGTAGGTTTGGCACGAGTAGTAGTAGTAGTGGTAGGTTTGGCACGAGTGGTAGTAGTAGTAGTTGTTGTTGTTGTATGATGCTCCTTATGCTTAATAGAAGTGCTATGAGCAGAAGTGGTAGGAATATGTCTTGTCGTCGTTGTAGTAGTAGAGGTGGAGGAGGTGGTGGATGTTTTCAAAGTAGTAGTATGCTTAGGTTGTTGTTGACCTTTGAAATGACGACGTTCACAATCAATAGTGATATTCTTTTCCAAAGGTAAGATCAATTTGATAGTGGATGATTTGTCAATAGTAGGCAAAGAGTAATCAGGAAGGTTCACTTGACAATCATTACCATGATGGGTGACGCCTTGAGCATCCTTAACATGAACAGTATCTTTGGTGAAAATATGAATGACACTACCACCAGCGATTTGTTGGGTAAGATCACGCTTTTCTTCCTTGCATCGTGTTTTTTGAGTAGTGGTACCTTGGATGATAATATGAGTACCATTAGAGGACAATTTACCACGATTGAAACTTAAGGAACAAGACACATCATGAGTTGGTCTAGGATGATGACATGCTTGAGTTAACGTTGACAAAGCGAGAAGAGAAAACGTCGTGAGGAATTTCAATTGCATTGTACCAGCAATACACAAAATGAAAGGATAATGGAATGGGAAATGGAAAGAAATAAAAAAAAAAAAAAAAAAAATAAAAAAAGATTGGAAAGGGGAATAGTAAAGAAAAAAAAAAAAAAGAAGTGAAGTAATTTTTTTTTTTTTACTTTATATATCACTACTATTTTTCTTTTTCCGTGTAGTACAACACTAAATGAAAAATGGTCAGGGCCCAAAGCAACCTGCCTATTAAAGTAGGTCCGACTGATATCCTTTTTTATAAAACACATTGACTGAAAAAACAGCTATTGTTCTTATTTTTTAATAAAAAAGGGTAGAAAAATATAATATTATCTTAGTGACAAAATACAAATCTTTACAATGATGATGATTTATTTTATTCTTTAATAATAGTTATAATAATGAAAAAAAAAGAAAAAAAACTTAAAAAAAAAGAATCTTTCTTCCAATGATTCTATTTTCCATCGCGGGTTTGAGACCCCGTTTATGTCTTCTTCTTCCATTCGGAAATAATGACAATGGAACAGAAAACCATCAAGTAGAAAACATACTTTGTTGTACAACATTATCTTAGTTTTTTGTATCACTTACTCTATTCTTCTTTTCTTTAAAAAAAAAAAATCAAATCAAAAAAAAAGTCTGGAACATATATATATATATATATTACTTTTTATTCATTCTTCAACAAAAAAAAAAAAAAGAAAAAGATAATATACAATAGAAAATAGGATAAATAATCAAACTTTTATAAAGGATGTCTCATTGACTACTCCGATTTTATTGAATACCTTCTCTATTTGGATTGTCAAGGTGGGAAAGAATCAAAAGAATCATCCAAGATCAGATTATAAAAATAACCCATATTAAAAGTTTCATTCATGATAAAAAAATAATGACAATAATAACAAAAAAAAATAACATTTATTTGAGATAAAAAGAAAGTAGGGTATAATCTATTCTAAATTATGATTGTTATTTGTTGATGGGGTATGATCCATATCAAAGTTTAATAAAATGGATGGTGGTTCAATAGAAGATGAGATACTACTGGTAAATGTATGTTCCGTTTCTATATCTTGTCTTTGTTGTTTCGTAGGATCTTCCATTTCTTTGAATTTAAGCATAGATAATAATATTGATTGAGGACTACAAAAAAAAAAAAAAGATATATAAAAAATAATTCGATTTTTTATTTTAACTTACTGAACAAGAAAGGTGAATTGAAGAGCCATTTGAGTCACCAATGGTAAATAAATCCAACAAACACAGTATAATAACAGAACAGGAGAGTTTTCAAGTATATTGGTACGAAATAAAGCATAAAGAAAGAAAAAGATAACAAAAAAACCAGAACAATAATGGATCATGGTTAAAAAGATCTTATTTCTATAAAAAGATACCTGAATAGAATGTGGAGAATGGACACTGAGAGTAGGTGGATAAAGTTGATCCAAACGATATAAAATATAGGTAATAACAAGCCAAAGAATACAAATAATGAGACTCCATATACCAAAATGAATTCTTGTCATGATATCTGCCATAACAGTATATTCTAAATCAGAAAGAATACCAATTGTTAAACTAGAGATATTGTTTACCACCAAAGGAAATAAGAAGAGTATCAAACCACAGAAATGTTCCATCCATATCAGATTCATCATAGGACATAACCAACGAATTTTTCCTTTTCCAATTTGATTTCCAAATTCTGTCTTTAATCAAGAAATATATATATATACTGTTAAGTGAATCCATTCCATTCTTTTTTTTATATTTCTTACTTGAGAAAATCGTTGTAATAATGAAAGAGTATAAAGAGAACCTATTTTTAAATTCATTAATAGATAAAGAATAAAGATTTAATAAATAATTTATAATCTTACAAGTATCAGTAGTTATTTGAAGAGGAATATCAAATAAACCTAAAAGAAAAGAAAAGAGATAAAAGTATGAGTTATTTATTATCATAAGATATGACAAACTTACAAGATCGAATGGCATCACAAAGTGGAAAAGCATCTGTTAATAATATAATAAAATCAAATACCCATACTATAAAAAAGAAGATATATTAATAAACTACATTTATATATATATAAAATAAACTTACAGGAACTAAATAAAGTAGTAAAAAAGAAAAGTGAATCAATTGGTCGAGGACGTATAAAAAAACCTCTTGAACAAGTTTTCTTTTCAAATACTGTTTGTGGTTGAAACCATAATCGATGAATGAGTATTCCAATACCTATAAAAATAATAATATTATTAAGAGTTTAAAAATAAATAAATAAAAATATATATATATATATATTTTTTTACCAATAGAGGAGTTAATAAGTGACCAAAATAAAGCTACTAAAATAATATAATAAAGTGGTTCTTCTTCGATACAAAAATAGATGGAAAGTCGAAAGTCACAGTGACAAATGTCATTAACACAATGATGTGATAACGTATGCTTCACCATTCAAAAAAAAAAAAAAAAAAAAAAATGGAAAAAAAAGAAATAATTTTTACCATATTCCGTTTTTTCTTTTTGTTTAAAAATACAGTATCATGCACCACGCGGCATTTAAGGAGGTGAAAAAAAAAGAAAAGAAAAATAACAAATAAAAGGTTTGCCATGTGCTCTTTTTTTATTCATATTAAAATCATCTTTTCTTTTTTCTTTTTTCTTTTTTTTCTTTTTTATTCTTGCGTTTGATTGTTTCCCCAATCTAATTTTTTTAATATTTCCATAGCAACCGATTCATAAAAGAGTCATTTACAACAAAAATTCATGCTGTACTCTATTTCCAAAAAAGGATACTGACATTGAAATCATCTCTTACTTCTCTTTTTTCTCTCGAAAAGGTTGTTTGTTTTTTTTTCCTTTTGTTTTTATTTTCATCTCTAAAAAGAAAGAGAGGAAAAAAATATCCTATTCTCTTTTATTTTTTTTTCTTCTCTTTTCTTTTTTTCTTCTTCTTTATATTCCATAGTAATATCACCTTCTTATAAAAACTTATTCCCATGGTAAAGTGCATTAGACTTTAAAACAAGTTTTTAACTCCTTACTATTATTTATTTAGTTCACACTAACACAACCAGTTGATCCTTCCATTATACCAGTTGATTCACCTCCTAGACAACATAAAGTCTCTCCTTCTTCAAGACAAGAAACGGGTTGGAAGACTTCAAAAAAACCAAGGGAATCTTGGAAAACAAATAGTTCTTTTTATGCCCAACAACGACAACCAAAACCTCTTCCTCATATTCCTAATTCATATCATCATCGTTCGTCTATGCCTACTGGTGGATTTATGAATGAATCATTTCATTATTATGATCAACAAGGACAAGGTAAATTAAAATAATATATTTTATAAAAAAAAAAAGAAATGATTCATTTAATTTTTTTTTTATTTTATATATTTCTATAGATATAAATCATTATCCTTATCACTCTGATACATCTTTACAATATCATCAATATTCCATGGATCAATCAGATTTATATCAACAAAATCATTATCAGGACAACACTTTTGCATATTATCAACAACCAATAGAAGAATATCCTATTCATACACATCCATGGCAAGAACCTTCAGAACCTTATATTGAATGGGCAGAACCAATGATCAATCATAATAATAATAATAATAATACAACACCATCTTCTTCTAATTGTTCATCACCAAGGTTAAAGGAAAAGAAATTAAATTCTTCTGGAAGTAAGTTTTTCTTTTTTTTTTTCTATTCTTTTTTATTTATTTATTTATTTATTTAATAGGAAATGTACGACAAATTACAGTTAGATCAGTGAATAAGGAACATAGAGTATGGATTGATATTTTACCAACAGAAACAGGAATATCATTAGCCAATAAAATTCATCGGATTGCTACTTTTGGTACAAGAAAAGTATTAAAGATTACTACAGCTCATGGTCGTGTTATTCCTCTTGATCCTAGACCTATTTTTGGTAATTGGATGGATATGAATACTTTTGAAGATGGTGAACATTGGCAAGTTGAATGGGGTGATTTGGATAAATCTTTAGTGGACAAATTCTTTTCCAAAGTCATTCAAGTAGGTGGAAAACGTTAGATTAATTTTTAGATTTGTATATATATATTATGAAATAAATTCATTTTGATTGATGGATCTATTGTAATCCTTTTTTTTTTTCTCGTTTTCCGATTATTTGACATCATATTGTTCAATCCCCGCATCTCGCGTTTTTTTTTTTTTTTTTTTTTTAATACGTGTGATTCGCATTGACAATCTTTTTTTTTCGAGTTTTGTTGGGGACCATATATGTTTTATCTTTCTTTTTTAATTATTTTCTCTCTTTTTTCTTTTTTTTTTTCTTTTTTCGTTTTTCTTTTTTTTTTTTTTTAAAAGAAAAAAGTATGAAATTATGAGGATATATTCTATATTTTTGAGACTCGGGAAATATCGCTTTGAAAAGAGCAGTAAAGCATATGAAAAAATCAAAAAAGAAGGGTACTTCGGAAGTTGAATCTCCTTTTTTGGTCAAATCACTTCAAAAAAATCGCGGGTTAGGGAAAGCTCACCCAACAAAAAAAAAACCAACTATATAGTTTCACCGTGATTTTTTTTTTGAAACCCATAAAATATTAAAATAATATTAAGTTTTTTCTTTCACTTTCTTTTTCTTTTTTCTTCAAACTTTTTTTATTATGTCTTTGTCCAACAAACTTTCTATTAAAGATCTTGACCTTAACAATAAACGTGTCCTTATTCGGTAAAGAAAAAAAAAATACAAATTAAAAAAAAAAAAAAGATGATTATATTGACTTTTTTTTTTTAATAAAATTAGTGTTGACTTTAATGTCCCCATGAAAGATGGTCAAATTACCAATGATAACCGTATTGTTCAAGCTTTACCTACTATTAAGTATGCTTTAGAACATGGAGCTGCTTCTGTTGTATTGATGTCTCACTTGGGTCGTCCCAATGGTCAAGTGAATGAAAAATATACTTTGAAACCTGTTGCTGGTGCTTTGGAAAAGTTATTAAATAAACCTGTGACTTTCTTATCTGATTGTGTTGGTCCTCAAGTAGAACAAACCTGTCAAGCAGCTACTGGTGGTCAAATCATTTTATTGGAAAACTTACGATTCCATATTGAAGAAGAAGGTTCAGCTAAGGATGATCAAGGTAACAAAACCAAGGCTGATCCTACCAAGGTCAAGGAATTCCGTGATTCTTTGAGTAAGTTGGCTGATATCTATATTAATGATGCTTTCGGTACTGCTCATCGTGCTCACTCTTCCATGGTGGGTGTTGAATTACCTCAACGTGCTGCTGGTTTCTTGATGCAAAAGGAATTGGAATATTTTGCTAAAGTATTGGAACATCCTGAACGTCCTTTCTTGGCCATTCTTGGTGGGTAAGTTAAATCTTTTTTATTTATTTATTATTTTTTTTTTAATAAGTATTAAAAATTCCAATTCCAATTTTTTTTTTATTATAGTGCCAAGGTATCTGATAAGATCAAGTTAATTGAAAACATGTTAGATAAGGTCAATGCTTTGGTTATCTGTGGTGGTATGTCCTTTACTTTTAAGAAGACTTTGAATGATGTCAAGGTAATAAGATCAAAAAAATAAGAAAAAAAAAAAAAGAAGGATGGAAAATCAAAATAAAATAAATAAAATATTATCTATATAGATCGGTAACTCTTTGTTTGATCAACCTGGTTCTGAATTGGTCAATGGATTGGTGGAAAAAGCAAAGGCTAAGAATGTCAAGTTAGTATTCCCTGTGGATTATGTAACTGCTGATAGTTTCAGTCCTGATGCAAAGACTGGATATGCTACTGATAGTGATGGTATTCCTGATGGTTGGATGGGTCTTGATTGTGGTAAAGAATCTAACAAGATCTTCACTGATGAAATCTTGAGCGCAAAAACTATTCTCTGGAATGGTCCTACTGGTGTATTTGAATTTGACAAATTCTCTGTTGGTACCAAGGAAGCTTTGAAGGCTGTTATCGAAGCTACCAAGAATGGTGCTACTTCTATCATTGGTGGTGGTGGTAAGAATCAATGGTTATGCAAAGGATATACATATATATTAAATTGAATTTCTTTCTTGTTTTTTTAGATACTGCTACTGCTGCTTTACAATGGGGTGCTGAAGGCAAGATTAGTCATATCTCTACTGGTGGAGGCGCTAGTTTGGAATTATTGGAAGGCAAGGTTCTCCCTGGTGTTGATGCTTTATCTACCAAGTAAATATTCTCCCTCACCTACTCTCTCTTTCCCCCCTTTTTTTTTTACGTTATAAATACATATATTATGGGTATTATTGTGTGATTATTCATTTTTTTTTTCTGTTTGCTCTTGGTTTTTCTCATTATAAATAAATCCTTTTTTTTTTTTTTATATATATCGATCCTTATTGGTACGAATAGAAGAATCTCTAGTGTTCTATGAATCATCTATCTCTGTCTTTGTTTTTTTTTTTAATAAATGTCTTATTTGTTTATATATATGCTTCGATTGTCTTATGAATCTAATGCTCAAAAAAAAAAAAAGGTAGAATCGAAAACTTGATACTCAGACCGTATTAATTTGAGAGGAATGTACCATTGAATTTCCAATTTCTCTTCAGTTCATTATACATCAATCACTATCATCAGTCATCACTGTCACCAATCATCATTACCATCCATCATCACTATCATCATCCATGATAACAAAAGCACCCGATTTATGTATTTGATTATATATATATATATATATATATATGTTTATCCTGTATGACAGGGAGGTATCTATTGTAAATGATCTATCTATTCTTTATAATGTCAGAGGGAAAGCATTAGGATCAGAGGTAATTTGTTGTAAAATGGTATTTGAGTAGAAATGATTGGATATTGGTCGGATGATGATTGGAGGAGGAAGAGATACAGAGGAAGATGTATGCTTTTCAAAAGCCTTGCATGCACTACAACCGTTTGTTTCATATGAGAGAGAGAGAAAAAGAGAGAGAGGCAATAGAAGGAAAAAGTCAAAGGAAAACAGACAGACAGAGACAAAGGAATAAAAAAATTTATTACAAAAAAAAAGAGAAATGAAAATGTTAATAAAATACAAAGAAGAAAAAAAAAAAAGGTGAAGAAACTAAGGGAAATATGATATAATGGGAATGATAAATGTGGGGGGATAGTATTACATGAGAGGTTCATCACTATTGGACAGTCGATTCAAGTGTAGATAGACATCTGTACCATAGCCTTCCATAGAAATCAATTTCAAATCACCACCAAAGTATCGAGCATACTATCCATTTTTTTTTTAAAAAAAAAGAGGACCATTAGTTTCCTATTGAATTTATAATATATATATATATATTTCTTTATCTTACCAATCTTGATAAAGGTAATCCATAACCAAATCCTGCCATAGGTGCTTTAAAGTCAGATTGACTATATTCAGGTTCCAATTCTTGTGCTTGAGCAGTGGTATACTATTAAAAAAAGAAATCATCATTCAATCATCAATTCTATACATTTTTTTTTTTTTGTTCTTCTTCTTCTTTACCATATAAGTCCAAACCAAAGGAATACCAGATCGAGGAATACCACCACCTTCATCAGAAATCTTGATAGTGATATCTTCGCGACCATAAGCAATAACAACCTTAATGGGAGGGAATTCGTCTTCATAATCAGGACCAAACCTTTCAACAACGGCACGCAAAGAGTTTTTAAGAAGTTCGAATAACATATGATTGAGATGGGAAGGAACATACATAAATTCGATATCAGTAGGACAGAACATCTTGACCTCAGGAGCCTTGAATAACCCATAATGTTCTTCACAAATGAATCTAGCATTGGCAATAGCATCCATGGCGATATCACGAATATTGGTCTTTGTACAAATCACACCCACATAATCCTTGCCTTGGGGAGGGCCTCGATATAGCGTTGAATGTTGTCCTATCAACATTCGAATACCAATCCGTGACATATAAAATCGATCCAAGAATTGTTGAATTTCCGTATCAATCACATTGCTATTCAATCGTTCTTTATATTCTAGAATACCCTGAGCTACTGTTGTCACCACTGGATCATGACGTCTTTTGATTGCCTCGATTGTCTTGGTGAAGGATTTATTGTACTCAGCGATTTCAGGTGGACATTGGAAGCTTTCTAGGTTGGTATAATAACGATGACCAATAGGAACAGATGGATGCATGGCACCGGAAGATGAAGTTGAAGATACTGATGTTGATGATGAAGGAGATTTCAAAATATTTACAAGAGATGGATTGGGTACACTGGCAGGAAGGGCAAATGGTTCTGAGGTTTTGGATGCTTGTTTTAATTGTTCTTTAATAGTATTATTGATCACTGGAGGTCGTAATTCGATCAGATCCTATCAAATATTATTTGGATATTAATAACAATCTTTTTTTTTTTTTTTTTTTTTTTTTTTTTTTTTTTTTTTTACCTGAAAAGATTGTGCATACCAATGTTTGACTTTAATGATGGATGGCATATCACTAAGATTCCTTGGTAATTCCTCCAGTTCCTTAACACGATGAGCTAATCGAATAGGTAATTCCTCTATTAATAAAGAAATGAATAGTCATTAGTTATTTTTTTTTTCTTCTCTTGTTATGGACGATATAATTCTTTTTTTTTTTTTCATCAACATTTCCTCTTTTTCTCTTTTACCATGTAAAAATTGACTTGCTTTAAATAAAGTACCTTGAGATGGCTTTTGTCCTATGATATATATATGTAAAATATATAAATAAGTTTGCATATATTGCTCAATATATATATCTTTTACCAAACATGACCATTTGTTTTAAAGAAACACCTGTTTGTGGAAACCTTGCAAAGTGTTTGATTTTATCATACAACTGTGGTGTCATTTGAAACATTGGCATTGTGTATGAATGTATAATTGGATATATGTGAGGAAGAAGGAAGAAAAGAAAGAAAGGAAAAATAAAAATAAAAAAAAAATAGTACTTCCCCTCTCTTTGTCATTTCTCGGTTGTGAACGTGAGAGACATTGAGCCATAAACCAATGAAAGAACAATTCAGGGCGGGGTTTCGAGATGAAAGCGGAAGAATGCACGTGAATACATTTCAGTTTTGTCATTTTCAAAGAGAGAGAGAAAGAAAAATTCCATTTCCCGTACTAAAACTAACTCTTTTTTTTTTTTTTTTTTAATGTTTTGATCTACCAGATGACATCATCGCTATTTACATAGTTGAACATTTCTTTTCTTTTTTTTTTTTTTTTAGGTCAAATACGAATTGATATCTACCTTTTTCCTAACAAGAAAAAAAACTATTGATAGCGTTCGATATGTTGTCAAAGACGGACATTGAATGATTGGTGAAGAAGCTTCTATGACGGTGATGCTGTCAAAAAAAGAAATGTGGGGAAATCAATTGACATTAAAATAATAATAATAATAATAAAAATAGAATTGTATCGTTTTATTGATAATACATGTACAATATATAATATAAACAAAAAATAAATAACTAAATAAATAAATAAATAACAATTCTACACTATAGTAATAAAATACAAAACTTATAAAAAGGGTAAAAAAATCAACTAACTCTTCTTCGTCATATCTTCTTGATGATCATTGGTAGATACAATAGGTGTAACAGTCGCAGATGATGGTGACGATGATTCTGTTGTTTGGTTTATTTCAACATGAGGTTTTTCTAATATTGATGTTGATGTTGAGGATATCGCACTACTGGATGTAATTGTACTTTCTTCTTTTGTTGTCAAATGATTTATTGTCATTGCTGTATCCTGATTTGTCGTCGATTCTTCATATTGACAACGGTTATCCATCGTATTGTTGTCATCATCTGCTGTTGTAGTTGTAGTTGTAGTAGTAGTAGTGTTGTTAATATGATTGGTGACATCGGTATGTGATCCTACTACTGTTTGATCGCCTTGATTTTCATCATTGTTATCATCATTTTCCCTCAATTCAGGAGGTAAACAATCATATTTACAAATAGGACAAAGTGTTGATTTTTGAGTGAGCCAAGGATCTATGACAAATGAATACAAAAAAAAAAAAGATGAATACAAAAAAAAAAGATGAATACAAGAAAAAAAAAACATTCATTACCAATACATAATACACAAAAACCATGACCACAAGGTAACACACGAATATCGGGTTGATTTTCTTCAAAATCATCTAAACAAATAGCACAACTTGTGTTCTTGATAACATTGACTTGATAATTTTGAATTGGGTATGAATTGACCAAATCTACTGGTAATGGTTTAAGTTTCTTTCTTCTTTGTAACATGATCATGTTCCTTGCTTCTAACATAGCATTGTATTCTAAATCTTCTCTTTGTTGTCTTGCACGCCACCATCGAAAGAAGAGCAATAATCCAATGATTGCTATAAGTATTAAAATAAATAATAATAAAAAAAAAAGGTGAATCTTTTTTATATATGTATATACAAAATACTGTATTACCAATCAAGAAGAATGCTGCTAATGCAATAATCCAACTAAGAAAATTTGGACTACCATCTTCACCTAAAGTAGCAGCCCAAGAAAACGGACTTGTCAAAAGAACCACGGTCATATAAGTTGTAGGAGCACCATTTGTTTGTGTTGAGATAGATTGAAAACAATTTGTCATCCAAGTCAAAAGGTCAGTACCATAATCATGAGTAACATAAAATATACTATTGGGTTGATTGATGATAATAGTTTGATTTTGTATGATATCATTATCTTTCATAGTAGTAATATTATCTTGAGTTGCAATAGAATTGGAAGAATAAACAGGTACAGTGGTTGTACCAGTTGCAGGTAATAAAGTATAACTATGTGCTGAAGAAGAAGTTTCGTTATTGTATATCAATAAAGTGGTGACGTTCAGTTGATATGTGGTGGAAAGTTGAGTGATTGTCTTGACCTTTTGAGACCAAGAACAATTACCGCGTTTAACTAAGGCTACTTTACTAGTACTTTTAATACCAGTTATAACATTGACACCATTTCCATTCCATTGTTGTAAATCCATTATAGTAGTTGTATTATCACAACCTTCTCTAAAGTCCATAACTGGTAACTATAATATACATATATAAATATAATAAATAAATATAAATAAATAAATATAATAAATAAATATAATAGAATAAATATTGAAAAAACTTACAGCTTTTGGATCAGTTGGATTGACAAGATAAACAGTTTGAAATTCTTGAGCTTGAGCTACTCTGGCATCGGATGAGTCAAAAATACGAGTTGTACTAGTAGTAGAGGAAAAACTAATAGGGAATTGACCAATAGCAGGATTGGTTAAAGTTTGACAATGGACAAGAGATATACATGAATAAAGTAATAATAATAATAATAACTGTAATAATGATTCAAATATCATTATTATCAAAGTTATTGTATTGTATTGAAAAAAAAAAAAAAAAAAAAAAAAAGCTGTAATTTAAAAATGTAAGGCAATGAGAAAAGCAGAAGATAAGTTGATTTTTGGTGACACAGAAAAGGATTTTTATTTTTTAAAAAAATTATATAACAAAAAAAAAAAAATAAAACTAAAAATAAAAATAAAACTATAAAATGTAATTTGAATTTATACGTTTTTATAAATAATAATTAATCCAACATCATGGCATCATCATCATCATTTTGCTTGTTCTAAATAAATTAAAAGAATTAAAAATAATTTATAAAAAAAAATCATAATAAATAAATTACTTACTGTGGTACCACTGGTATAAGCTTCCAATTCAGCATCCAAATCTGATGCATTTCGAGTAGCATTATTACTACTACTACTACTATTACCACGATTTTGTCTAATATATATATATATTTGTTTAGTAAATAAAATAATAAATATTATATTATTCTTTTGATTTACCTTGATGATTTACTATTATTATTATTATTATTACTAGATTTATCTAATAAACTAATCTTCATAGGTTGTCCATCTAAATCCACATTATTGAATTTATCCATAGCTTTTAAGGCAACATTTCGATCATTAAATGTCACTTTGGCTACTCCAGTAGATCGTCCAGATCGATCAAATTCAATTTTACATCTTTCTACTGTACCAACTAATTTGAATACTTCCTAAAAATATGGTATATATTAAATATAACATACTTCTTTCCTTTTCATTCTATAACCTTTATTTACCTCTAGATCTTGTTCTGTAACATTATAATGTATATTTTCCACCAGTAATACAGAATGTCCATCAAAACGTCGTTGTTGTTGTTGTCTTCCCTTTCCAAGACGTGATTCAATAGATGAAGTACTAACATTTCGTTCGCCACCAGTAAATAAATCGTGAGACCAAGGTTGATCTGTACTACGTTTTCCACCAAAACTTCTACCGCGTCGATTCTAATTATGAATAATAATAACAATAATCATAAAAATAAAATTTCTTTTTTTTTTGTTTTTATTTCTTTACTTGTCGTTGAGGTCCACCAGCAGTACGAAAAGAAGAACCAAGTCTACTATTGATATTACTTCCAGTTGAAATACGTTTCCTAATGGTACCATCTTTGGTGATACGTCTTTCAAAAGAACCTAATCTTGATTGTTGCTGTTGTTGTCGTCTACTATTATTGGAACGTTGATGAGATCTTCTTTCTTTAATAGCATCGTCAAGTGCTTGATCCAGTTTTGAGGACATGATGTCAAAAAAATAAGTGTGATGAGAAGAAAAAAGAAAAAAATGTAAAAAAAAAAAAAAATCCTTCATTGACATTGACTGGACTTTGTTTTTTTTCAACTTATTCAACCTCCGAATAAGTATTGATCTTTTTTTTTTACGCGCAAACCAACAAAAAAAAAAAAAATTGTTCTTTTTTAATAGTCTTTTTTGATCAAAACAGGCACTATGATTGACAGTGATATCCGTAGTGTGATCGATACCATTTGGCAAAAAGATAAACACTTGATAGATTTGGAAGAGTTTTTAAATAGTATGAAAAAAAACTATATATAAACCATTCCCTTCACTAAACTCTCTCTCTCTCTTTTGTTTTTTTTTAGACACGACTCTTGATCAATATTCATGTTCTCAAACTCAACTGGACAGTGTATTTGAAAAAGATCATACTCTACAACTTCCCTCTCATTTACAAGATATCCTCAAAGGTATACATAAAATGTGATTCAGAATAATAAATAATAAGAATAATAATAACTATTGCTTTATATAGATCGACGAAACAAACCTAACTTGGGTATCTTTTCTCATATTCATCGTATATGGATTGCATGGAAAACTAAAGTTTATATATGGGATTATATTAACAAGTAAGAAATGAAAAAAAAAATACCCTACTTGTTTGATAACTGACTCCTTTTTTTTTTTCTTTTTGGTAGTATATCATTTTGTTATGAAGCAAACGAAGAAGTATATCAAGTAGGATTGGTCAAAGCAAAACCAGGTAATAATAATAAAAATAAAAAATAAAAATGGGTTATCTTATTCAATAATATATATATTTGTTCATGTTTTATAGGTGTATTTAACAATAATGTCAAATGGATTTTGGTTGTCAACTCGGCCACTTTTATCACTATGACGGGTATATTATTCTCTGATACTTCTTCTACAGCTACTATGGAATTAGTGGACTCACAAAATCATAGAGTCAAGTCACATGGCATCAAAATGAAATCTATTCTTGGAACTCTTGATGGTCGAATCATGATGCTTGGTAGGGATGATGGTCATATATATGAACTCGTATACAAAGTAAAAAAAAAAAAAAAATACGAATAATATTGAAACCTTAGAAAAAAAAAAAAAGGAATTAATTTCCTCATTTTATTTTATTTTATTTTATTTTATTTTATTTTAGAATCAAGCTGGAATGGATCAACTTACATGTCATACTGATCATTCATTTACCCAGTTCCTATCTTCCACATTTGGTTTAACCGCTTTATCTGGTTTCTTCAAACCTCCTCCTGAATTAAAAACAAAGGCTATCACAATGGATTACCAAAGAAAATTAATGTATGCATTAACAGAAACATCTACAATTCAGGTACGAAAATTGATCAACAGCCATACTTTTAAATACTGAACTTGATGTACTATATATATAGATTATCTCTCTGTCAGGTCATTCTACCTTCACTCTGGGTGCCTTATTAACCAATATTACTGATCAATTCATTTCATTCTTACTTGCACCTTCCATCAATGATCCTACAAAGATGCCTTCGCCTTCTGCTCTTGCCATACTCGGTTCTACTCTTTCCCCTACTCCTTTTGATATTATTTCAGTTCATCCTGTACCAAAACGACAAAGATCATCATTACAACAATCTACGCCTTCAACCAAAGAAATCATCTTTTGTGCTGTTACTTCTCATGGATGTAGGTTATACTTTACTCTGAATGGACCCAGTCATAGCATCCACTCTACAGATGCCACCTTCTCGCTAGCTCATGTTCGATTACCACCTTATCGATATGATTTACCTTTAGCCATAAAATCTACTCAACGTGTCACTTCAACTTTCCAACAACCTGATGTATTCATTGCTACGATTAATAACACTACTGAATCCACCAGCCAAAAAAATCAACTATGGGTGACTAGTTATCAAGAACAATATTATGATCAACTTCTCAGGGTAATGCATAATAATATCAAAAAAGAAAATCTTGATATTAAACTATTTTACTATTTCTCTCTCTCTCTTTTTTTTCCCCTTAATTTGAAACCATTACTACAGATCGAAGAAACTAGTGACGTGATCACCTTGGACTCTTCTACCGTCGCCATTGCTCATCATAATACACCGTTGTTTTCCGACAACAACAGCAACAACAACAACAATAATGACCTCGTTGCTGTTCCTTTCTACGATCGTATCGATACTTCCATCGACACACCTCATCAACACTATCTTGTAATTTCACAAAATGGAACTATCTGTATGTACAGCAAACAACGACCTGTCGATGTTACGTACAAATCAGTATGTAAAGGACAAGATCCTTCTCAGGATTTGGATGATCTTATTCAACGATATGGATTAGTGGAAACATATACAATGCTTTTGAATATATTCTCGACTCGATCGCAACCAAGCCAACAACAACGCAGTTCATTTTTCTTGAAGACAATGGCATCATTCCATCAAGATCAGACTAATCTAGCATTACTATCAATCTATACCCGTATTGTGAAACATTTGTGGAATAAGGATATCTTTAGGTAAGGAAAAGAAACATCAGAGAGAGAGAGAGAACTTTGTAGCGTATCTATGCATATTAATCACGATTATTTCTATTGTTACTCTTTATAGTGTAGAGGATCAATACGAAATCTTAAAATTATTGGACCAAAGCAAATACGAGGTGAACAAAGTTTATTGCTTGATACAAGATCATTTATCTCTAGGATTCGACCATCAAGTCTTTGCACACGTACTTCAATTCTTACATTCAAACGTTCAAATTATGTCCTTTGTTCACTTTTTGATTCGACATGACTTTTTTGAAAGGTAAAAAAAAAAAAAAAAAAAAAAAAAAAAGGAATAACATCTAACTATCAAAATCTTATATTTTATTTATCGTTAGAAAACAATACGAGATCGACAACAATATTGTTTTCTCTGATTTGGTTACTACGGAAAGAGGACATGATATATTAGAACACCTTGTCAACAAGTCAATTCAACACTTTGCATCATCTAGAGACGATAATGATACTGAGCAGGTGATGATCAGTCATTTCTTATTCGAACATTGCCCTACGCTATTTGGAGATGCCCAACGATTGACATTATATGAAGGAGATGAATACTTGGCGATAGCTCAGCATCAGCTCCAACGACATAAAAATAAAGAAGATCAATCAATGACCAAGGAAGATACGACTACCAAATTACTTGAGACATCATTGAACAAATATATCAGTGTGGATCATTTATCACAAGAGACTCGGACTCGGATTTGTAACGCTTACCAAGCCGCTGGATTTTATCAAGGCGTGGTGACTTTGGCCCTTCATGCAACCGGTGAACCTTCAACATTATCTTTACTGAACAACACCCAATTGACAGGTTGTCTCAACTTATCCACAGATTCATCTAGTGACGCTAGTTTCACACCTATCCTTAGTTTATTGGATCACATCTTTTCTAACGATAACCAATCTGACGATGACCTTGTCTCAGTGTTACAAATGACATTGCCAGTGTACTCCCAAAACAAGGCTCTACATTATAGCATTTACGCATGGTTGATTCAGCATGATAAGATGGCGACATTATTTACCCTGACAACGCAAGAAGCACATATGACAGAATATCTTCTCGACTTTTTAGAACACGACTATAGTCCGAAAGCAGTGGGTGTGGACTGGTTATATAAATATTACGATCATCTTGGTGAATATAGACATATGGTGACTTACCTTACCAAATTAGCTTTGGATATTCAAGACGTACCTTTATCAAAACGTATTGATTATTTGGATCTTGCCATCAAACAGCAAAAGAAGAATATGGAATCTGATAGGACAGACGATGATCAACAAAATCTGGATCATTTGGACATATTGCATACCAAGGCATTGATTCAACAAGATATACTCAATTCACTACCGGAACTAAAAAACGATGATCGTTTGGCATCATACTTATTATCGTCGGACGATTTACTTGATTATGCTACGAAGAATGGATTATGGGACCAAGTAATTTTGCTTTTGCATCTCTCAAGAAAGTCTCCTAGCGATTTTGATTACATGTTATTGAAGACAGCTTGGCAATCTTTATTGGAAGAAGCAGCATCAAATGATCTGGATTTATTACGGCGTCGGTTGGTGGTGTTAGGGAAACAGCTCTATCCTTCAGTAACAACATTCCCTATTTGTAAGTTCTTGTATTTGCTAGTATGATTGATATTGGGAAAATTGATTTTATTCTCTCTTTCTTTTAGATTTAATTGTGTCTATGGTTGAAGCTCACTGTTCAACACATAACGCTAAAAAGGGATATGTCATTGATTTATTACTGGAAATTGGTGTAGAATTGTCAATATTGATGGATGCCTATGATTCCATACTTGTCAACAAGGTATATATATATATGTTTTATATGTAAACTTGGAGAATAGAAATCTAATCTCTCTCTCTCTCTTTTTTTTTTTTTTTTTAATTGTACTGCAGATAGAATCATCAGATCAAGATCACCTTCAACAACAATTAGATTATCTTCGGTCCCTGATCTCTTCTACATAGTGATACATATATTTGTGTCCCCTTCATCCATTACTGTCAAAATAATGATAATAATAATAAAAACATGCGCATTTATTTATATTGTATTATGATACATTGTTTACTGAATTGAATATATAAAAAAAAATACATCAGAATAAAAAAAAATGCGATATCAAATCACAGAAAAAAAAATACAAATAGATCTATTTATCAAACTTCCGTCATTGATCCTTCTTTTCCAGAAAAGTAGCAGCTTTTGCCTGTTGTTCCAATCTTGCTTGTTGTCGTAAAATAAAAAAGGCAGCACCCAACACAAATGCACCAGCCCAAAACCAAGGGTTGCTAAAAGGAGATTGAACTTCTAGTAATTCTACATCCATAATGATAGGTGTATTGGCTGGGATGGGAAATTGATAGGGAATTCCAATAATAATAAGAAAAAAAAAGAAAAAAAAAAAGATGAGTTACCATATTGGGATATTATTGCCAATTTTGTTCACTTACGTTCAAGAACATCAGGAATGCCTAATTCACCATACGCAAGATCTGCTGGTATCAAAAGTCGACGAAGTTCATGTTCACACATACCTTGAAGTCCTTGTTCCATTCCTAATATTACAAATAGATATAAAGGAAAAATCAGAAACAGAAAAAAGCGTTCTATTTCCCTCCATTCGTTGATTTTCTTTTTGTCCTGTACTATCTATGTACCTTTCAACAATTTATCTGAACCTATCCAACAATAACAAAAAAAAAAAAAAATAATCAGTTATCATGATATTTTTTTTTCCCCTATCTTTCTCTGTATGTATTTTGAAGTTACCAATTTTATAACTCAAAGGCGTTCCAGTATCATAAGAGTTGTAAAAATGAGTTTCTGTATTCCATTTTCTAGCGGTATAATGTAACTTGATTCTAGCATTGATACCGAACTTTCTATCACACTTGGCAGGTTTATGTAAAGTTCCTAAAAAGTAAAAAAAGGGGATCAATATACGACACAATTCTCTTTATTTACAATATATGTTTATCATACTTACGTCCTAAAACATTACCAGCAGGAGGATAAGGTCCATCGTCTATGGCTTCCGTGCAAAGAGTCAGAATACCGAATACAATGAAAAAAGTCCAAAAGAATCTGTATGATGATAATGGCAGCGACATTTGTAAAAAGTAAAAAAAAAAAAAAAAAAAAAATAAGAAGGAAAAGAAAGAGAGAGAAAAAAAAAAAGAATAAAAAAGAGGCGGAGAAACTTTCTCTTTTTAACACTGGGAATTTTTCCTGATACGACAGCATGATTGACTGTGGACCTGAACTTTTTGTAGATTCAAAAAGATTTTACCATAAAAATCATTATTTGTTTCTTCATTTTGTGAACTTTACTTTTTTTTTTTAATTGTGTAAAGGGAATTGAACGCATTTATTTTATATAAAGAACCAATTTTTATATCCAATAAAAGAGAAATCTGCAACCCCTTGCAGGAATTTACGTGACATCAACCACTTCCCTAATATGGACTCTTCCGCTTGAGATTTTTTTTTTTCACACACTCACTGCACAAGTTGTAAATAGATGATCATGAAGATCTAATCCAAGTTTTCTGCGTGACGAGAAGCAGAGTATAAATATGCAAACTTGTCTTGGATGATGGTTAATATGTAATGACAGATGACATCTACTGGAAGCGATGACATCAATGAATATCGTTCTCTTTGTATCATCATCAGCATTATGTTATTTTTTTAATAAAAGTAAGAGTACCTTTCTTTATCTTCGTAAGTTGATTGATGGTTAACGCTATCTCTTTCGAAGAAATCTACACAGCTTCTGATCAAATCAATAGATGTTCATTTGCGTTTAAATTGGATTTTTTTTTTATTTATTGATGTTAAGTAAAAATTGCAGTAATATCATTGGGCCCAAAATACACTTTTGTATTCATGTTGAAAGAAATTTCCAAAGATATATCGAAGGAAAAGATGTTGAAATATAACTACAGCTGGTATAATTATTTTTAACAGACCTAATCTAATATATTGCACCGCAGCTATCAGCTATTTTATTAGCTTCTTGACAATTGTTATCAGTAGAACAATGAGCAGGATCTGGTCGGCAATATGGCGTACCTGTCTTGCATTGCATTATTTTGTAGTATAAACCAGGGCATTTATTGTCGCAATAACAGTATCCATGATGGTATGCTACGAATTGACATTGACCTTTCAGCTTCTCCCGACAACCTATCAATCCAGGATCTTTTATTTTGCCATATTCGCGATTATCGACAGCGCAGTCGCCATTACTACAATAAAATCCCAGTGGACATTGTCTACCATTACGACTGCAATACTCTTTCGCCTGAGTACATGATGCAAGCACAAGAAATACAAATATATAGACAAAATTGAATAAAGATACAGCCATAAAAATATATCCCTTCATTTTGTTAACCTGAATACACTTTTTTTTATATATATTTTGGGAAGGTAATTGGAAAAACGTAGTTAAATCAGTTTTTATATCCAACAGAAAGTATGCATCATCTCCTTGCGCCCCTTTTAGGTATTTGTATTACGCCAAACCGATCTCCTACTTGTTACGTCAAAAAGATATTATGTTTGACTGTCATTCCAAACTATGATGCCGATGGATCAAGTGAGATAAAAAAAAAAAGGCAAGGATCGTCCTCCCTAAATAAAATGATACCACTATAGATCAACGTTTTATTTGACTTTTTCTCACGCTAGCTGCATAGCAGTAAGCAGCCGATCACGAAAATCGAATGTAAGTTACTTCCTGATGAGAAGCATATTATATATATATAGCGCATAAATGGAAATTTGTCTTGGATGATGGATAATGATTGATATATAATGATAGACAGCGTCTATTAAACATATTGGAGGTGATGATAACAATAATGAAGAACAGAGATGATAATATCAATAAATATTATCCTTTTTACAATTATATAATGAAAAAAGAGGTTGTTCACATCACATCATCAGCGTAATGTCCTTTTTTTTTGGTAACATGATTGATGATTAACGCGGCCTCTCAAAGAAATCTACACAGCTTCCCATTAAATCAATAGTCTACACACACATCGTCGATTTCGAAAAGCTCCCGCGCGTTTATTTTTAAAAAAGTGAAAATAAATATTGATATCTTTCAAATTTATTTATATTTTCTGCATTTTATAAGTTAGCATTATTTAACTCCACAAGTCGGATTCTTTTTTATATAATTGAGAATGCTTCCACATCCATCAGCTCCACGATCTAACGTTCTTCCACATACACATTTTTGTAAACCTTCAGCATTTTTACAACATCTGTCCCTGTAGGTAGAACAGTCGATATTGCACGGATGAATAGCACATTCATCAAAATTGCATACACTTGTTGGCAGTAGATACCATCTAGTAATTACGCGAATCTCAGATTGAAGTTGTGCAGTACCATTTTTTCCTGATTCAACTTGTGGAAGACCATTTTTTCCTATGTCGAGTGGGGACTTTAGGGGATAGACGAATTTGAATAGAAATATAGCTATAAAAATAACTATCTGTTTCTTCATTTTGTTAGCCTGAATAACTTTTTTATTTTGGAATATATCGTGGAAAATTGGAAAAAAAACCAGTATTTATTTTATATAAAGAATCAGATTTTATATCCAATAAAAAAAAAGTATGCAACGTCTCCTTACAATCCCGTGTATCACGCCGTATATTTGACGCGTACTCCAAACTATAATGATGATGGATCTGCAGACGAAAAAACAAGGATCCCCTCTCCTTGCATTCCGCATAGCAGTAATAGCTGCCCAAATGTGATGATGACTATTCAACATATTGAAGACGGTGGCGACAATAATGAAAAAAGAGATGATGATGATGATAATATCAATGGATATCATTCCTATTAAATTATGTATAAAAAGAGGTCGCTCACGCCATCAGCGTTATATCCTTTTTTTTTTTTTTTTTTTTTTTAAAAAAAAATAAAACAGTGCCAATTGCTTTGTAAGATGATTACTGCGCTCCTCAAAAAGAGTCTACACAGCTTCCCATCAATAGTCTACACGCACACCATCGATTTCGAAAATCTTCAGCGCGTTTATTTTTTTAAAAAAGTCAAAAAAATATCTATAGCTTTCAAATTTATTTATATTTTTTGCATTTTATAGGTTAGCATTATTTAACTCCACAAGCTGGATTCTTTTTTATATAATTGATGATGTTTAGGCATGCAGTATTTCCGGAATCTGTTGATCTTTCACATATACATTTTTGTAAACCGTCAGCGTCCTTACAGCAATTATCCCTGTAGATAGAACAGTTGTTACCGCATGGTTGAAAAGCACAAACATGTGAAGCACATGCATTCGCTGCCTCATAATACCATTTACCAATTACAGGAATGTCAGATCCATCTTTTGCAAGACCAGTTTTTCCTATGTCGAGTGGGGATTTTTCGGAATAAACGAACTTGAATAAAAATATAGCCATAAAAATATGCCACTTCATTTTGTTAGCCTGAATAACCTTTCTTTTTTATCACTGTAGATCGACCTTTCCGCTTGAGATCTTTTTTCTCACACTCACTGTACATTATTATAATAATAGCTGTAAGAAGCCGATCATGAAGATCTAATGCTAAGTTAGTTCGTGATGAGAAGCAGACTATAGATATGCAAACTTGTCTTGGATGATGATTAATAGGTAATGATTGATGACATTTACTGGAGGTGAGGATATCAATGAGTACCATTCTGTTTGTATATATGAAGAGATCACCCACATCATCAGCGTTATCTTTTTTTTTTTTTTTTTTTTTTTTTTTTTTTTTTTTGATAAAAGCAGAAGCGCCAATTTTATAAGATGATTCATGATTACTGTGCTCCTCAAGGAAGTCTACACAGCTTGCCATCAAATTAACAGTCTGCACCATCTCCGGTTCTGAAATGCTCCAAGAACGTTTTATTTTAAAAAGTCCAAAAAATATTTATTGATAGCGTTCAAAATTATTTACATATATATATATTTTTTTTGCATTTTATAAGTTAGCATTATTTAACTCCACAAGTTGGATTCTCTTTTATAAAAGCCACTATGTCACTACATATACTTGTTTGCGCACTTGTTCTTTCACATATACACTTTTGTAAACCTTCAGGGCTTTTACAACATCTATCCCTATACAACTTACAGTTGACAGAGCATGGATTGTGTGCACATTGATTTGTAGCACACCAATTCTCGGTATGAGCATACCATTGAGCAATTACAGCAGGGTCAGGTGGACCACTTCCAGGTTTTCCTATATTGTATGGAGATCCTTGAGAATAAACAAGATTGAATAAAGATATAGCCATATAAATAATGATCTGTGCCTTCATTTTCGTTAACTTGAATAACTTTTTTATATATTGTGGAAAGGTAATTCAAAGTATTTATTTTATGTAAAAAGTCAGTCTTTATATCCAATAAAAAAAAAAAAAGGCATGCGATTTCTCCTTGCATATTATGCTGATCGTTTACCTATTTATTATACGTGCTCCCTAACCATGATGCCGACCGATATATTCGCATCCCTAAAACAAAAATGATACCGCTGTGGATTGAATGCTTTAGTGGGAGATTTTCTTACACTAACTGCATAGTACATAACAGTAAATATCGGATCATGAAGATTTGGTATAAGTTAGTGCGTGATGAAAAATAGGATATATGTATATCTATTAATTCCCTACTTCAGTGAGAATTTATCTTGGATGATGGATGATATGTGTTGATAGATGATGACTATTCAATGTATTGGAGATGATGACAACAATAATGAAAAACAGGAGTGACGATAATAGGCAATATATAATAAAAAGGTGTCATCTAAGTCGTCAGTGTTATGAGTTTCCCTTTTTTTTTTTTTTTTTAACAAAAGTGACAATGCCTTCTTTTTCGTACGACAATTACCATCATCTCTCAAAAACATCTACACATCTTTCTATCAAATTAATAATCCAAACTTATCTTCGACTTTGGAAAGCTCCAAGAACATTTATTATATTATGCATAAAATAATAATATTTTTTTAAACTTTAAGATGGTGGAGGAGCATGCCAACAACAGCCAACACCAACGTAACCACGAGGACCACAAGGCAGATTTACTGGAACATCATAACGATCACTACAAAAACCTGGAATGATAGGATCACAGCTTGCAGATACCTTTTCACAAGGATTCCCTGGATACCCCTCTCCTTGCGAGCTAACTACAGTAATACATAGCATAAGAGTTGAAATTAAAAAAGATTTCATTGTATTTTTTTATTTTGTATGAATAATCCATTTTTTTTTTTAAAAAAATAAGCATCGCGTTTTTATATCTTTTCCAGTAGAAGATATGTAATACACCCCCCCACTTTCTTTATATGTAGGAGAACTCATGCAATACTTCTCAATTTGCTATTGTGAAAAGAAGTTGTACGTAATTCCCAAAAGTTATTACGTGGCCATCTTGCATAACATCCTTCAAGAAGTTTAAATACAATAATATCTATAAAAAAAATGTTGATCACTTAAAAAGGTAATTGGATCCAATGGGAAGATGTACAATGCAGGGAAACAAGGAAGAAATCGACCTACCTCCTGAACATCCCCCTTATTTGTAAGGATTTAAATAATGAGCCCTTTAGAGGTGGAGAGGGTGATATCATATTGAGAAAGCTGATCTACCTCCCTAAATAGAGCGATGCCAACGTGGATCAACATTCCACTTGAAGATTTCGCGCATGAACTGCACATTACACAGCAGCAACAGTCCGCCTACCATGAAGGTCTAATACAAACAAAGTTAATCTAATACAAACAAAGTTACTGTTTGATGATGAGGACAAGATATTGGTTTTTCCCTTGTGAATCGCGTTTCTCTTTTTTTTTTGTGCTATGATTAGAGGTCTTTTACATTGGATATTATATTTGTAGTGATTATATTACGGAAATGGATGATGAGGGTGATTGATAGTGGATGACTGATTGCTCCAAAAAAAAAAAAAAAGGCATACGAGCGTTGGTTAATCGATATATTCTAAATCCTCTTTATTCTTTTCCAATTATGATCTTTAAAATAATGGGAACCATCATATATCATCATAGAAACCATGTTAGAGAGTGCTTTTTCAATGGCATCAGTTATAAATAAGTTATAAATATCCTTTTTTTTTTATAACAAGAGAAAAAAAGTAAACAAAGACAATGGATCATATAAATAAATGTATTTCACTTTTTATTGAATTGATAAGAGGAGGGAAGATTGGATGTAAAAAAAAAAAAAAAAAGGAAATGTAATATACTATTAAGATACAAAAAAAAAAAAAAAAAAAAAAAAAGAGATAGAGATGGGAATAAAATGTAGGGAAAAGGACGTAATGGAATCAATTACCAAGTATAGTGGAAACAACTAAATAACCATTCAATCCAATCAGTAATAAAGAGATCAGGGTAGCCACAACAAGGGTCAATTTGCCATTAGTATAATAAATAGGAGCCGGCCAAGAAAAGAGACGAGAAATCATCATGCTTGTTGATGTATGTTTCCGATCACCCATATCGATATGAATATCACCACTAGATCCAGACCGCTGTGAGGCACCAGTACGTCGCCATAAAAATTGATCATTCCACCAAGACATAAAAGAAGCATAAGCTGTGGTAGCACGTTGAGAAGAAGGAGAATTATGTCTTTGTCTATTACAAGAAGCCTTTTTGATAATGGAAGTCCAAGTAGTACCCACTATCTCCAAACTACGATCAATACCATGACAAGCACGAATGCAGAGTTGATCCAACCAAAGAGGAAGAGCTGGACCCAAGAAATTATTTGGCTTATTATTGATGACTACATCTAGCTGCATGACACGAGGCATGGATGTAAAGACTACCAGAGGAACCACAGCAAATGGAAGTTGAATACTAAGTGCTACTTGACTGGCCACCAACATTTGAGAAAGCCCTGATCTACCTGCCACACATGCCGCTACCATAGCTGGAATAATTGCAATCAATCGTGTTACCAATCGTCGTAACCAAGGTCGACTAGACATGCCCAGAAAACCGCTCATCACCACTTGACCTGCCAATGTCGCTGTCAAAGTACTTGATTGTCCCGCAAAAAGTAAAGCCAATGCAAAGATAACTGCCGCGGCAGGACCAAGGTATTGTTGTAAGAGAGCATGAGCATCAAATAGATCGGATACAACGTGAAGATGTCCATAATGAAAATTGGCAGATGCGACAATGAGAATGGCTGAGTTGACGAAAAAAGCAAACAGAAGTGCCACCATCAAATCCATAAAACTATAATGAAGATTGATATGCATATTGTCGACAAGAAAATGGCGTAAGAGAGATATATCTAAATCTTCCTGTTCTTGTTGTTGTTCGCTTCCAGAGTGTCTAATGAGATCATTGTTGTCTTGAGAGTGTCTATGTGTTGTAGATGAGGTTGATATATCATGTTGTTTCTCGTTGATAGAATTTTTTGATTGATGATGATGATGATCGTCACGCTTGTGGTAAGATGACATATCTGATTTGTCTAGAGAGACCAGCAATTGAGATGAATATTGAATCGTACGTGTTGTTTCAATATGATCGGCTTCATGTTGTTGTGGATCATCTTCAGATAAGTCGTTAGAGATCAGTTTCGGACGGACATGACGCCAAGAATAACATCGCGCTTGGACAATGTATGAGTGTAAAAATAAATTGTGAGGCATGACAGTAGCACCAATGATACCAATGGAGACATAGAGAGATTCAGTATCAGTGAATATTTCCTTGGAGGGTAAATATCCTTTCAAAACATCGACAGCGACAATATCAGAATAGGCCAATTCGATAATAAAGCAGATCCCAACAGCGGCTACCAAAAGCATGACAAACATTTCAAAGTAACGTACCATACGAGTTGTATCTTGATCTCCATTATCGTCGTCATTCTTGGAAGCAGAGATAGAATCAGGTTCTTTGTAAAATAAAAGAATAATAAAGACATCCAAAGCTGTAATAGCCACACCAGCGCTAAGAGGAAGAGTAGGAAATAATAAGTTGAGAGCAATGGCACTTCCAATGACTTCAGCAAGATCGGTTGATATAATACTGATTTCAGCAAGAACATAGAGGAAGAGATTGAGATATTTTGGTAAATATCGACGACAAGCTGCAGCCAAATCCAAACCATTAACTGTACCTAACCGGATAGTTAAGTTTTGTAAAAAGATAGCGATAAAGTTGGATATCAAAATAATGAATAAAAGCCGATAACCGAATTGACTTCCTCCTTCCATATCAGTAGCCCAATTGCCAGGATCCAAACTATATATATAATATATTGTTAGAAACTTTTTTCAAAATATATTTTAAATAATAATAATAAAAACTTACTAGCCTACAGCTACCATGAATCCTGGACCAATAAAACGTAAAAGTCTTCGAAAATACGTGACAATATTGGAGACCAGCTTCATTTTGTTTTGTATATCTTCAAAGAAAAAGAAAAAAAGAAAAAAAAAAAAAAAAAGAGAAAAAGAACAAAAGGGATAAAAGGGAAATTGGGATCTTTAGTCCCTCTATTAAGAATCTCCGATATGTCATTTTGACAATTGGGGAAATGTTTCCGTTTAGGACAGTGATTTCTATTTTTTGATTTTTCATGAAAATTTTAAATATATAAATTTAGTTTAATAAATGTTCTATAAAGAATATACGAAAAATGAATTTCTTCTCTTTTTTATGGTTTTTAGCTCTTGTTCCTTGACACACTTTACTAAAAAAAAAAAAAAAAAAATGCGTTGACTGGTACTGGATTTTAAATTATCTTTTTTTTTTTTTTTTTTTTTTTTTTTTTTTGGCTTGAATCTAACTTTTTTTTTTCCTCTCTTGTTTTCTTCTTTTTACTTTTTTGATTATCATAATGACAGATAAAGAAACATTATCTGAAACAATGATTAAAGGTAAAATATTAGAAATATAATAATATAATTAAAATAAAAACTTATATATTATTTTATATATATATAGACGATATTAAAAAACAAAAGATATTAGATATCATTGATCACCAATTTGATCTGGAGATTTATTTGAAACATCGTGAACTAGCAACTATAAGAAAAGAAATTGAAAATGCAGAATCAACTCTTAAAGACTTAGAATTGGCTATTAAAAATGGTATATAAACGCGTTTATATCAAAATTTATTAACTAAAAAATATATATATATATATTATTATTTTATAGAATCATTAGCAGCCATGTTACCTGACTTGCCTCGTTTTACAAGACAATCAGCTGCTGCACTTTACTATGGACAAATGCCAGGAGGAAGTTCAACAATCAACTCAAATACAATACCAAGTGGAAGTTCAAAAAGAAAAGTACAAAGATCTAACCAATACCCTGTACTCTATGGTCGACGTATGGATGGTGTATATGTTCGGTAAGTCCACTTGAATCTATCTTTTTCTTCTTCTTCTTCTTCTTCTTCTTCTTCTTCTTCTTCTTCTTCTTCTTCTTCTTCTTCTTCTTCTTCTTCTTCTTCTTCTTCTAATCACTCTTTTTATTTTTATTTTCAAAAGATTATCTTGTCCTGTTTGTCATCGTGAAAACTTTACAAATCAAATCGGTTTCCAAAACCACTGTCGTATATCTCATTCACTGGAATTCAACTATTATGAAAATATCATGGCACAATGCGGTACACCTGTCGATGAATCTGAAGTCCCTGAAGATCATCCTATACGACTAAGACCTCTTACTTTACCTACTGTGTCTTCGTATGTAGATAAAAATATATTATTCATGCACACATTTTATACTAACATTCTTAATTTTATTTGATGGGATCTTAAGAAAAAGTACAAAGAAAACAGAAAGGGTAAGAACCAAGAAGAAGAAAAAAGAAAAAAAAATTCAATTATTTAAATGATATTTATTTTATATATATGTGATTGATTTTTTTTTTTTTTTTGTAGCCGACCATCAAGGAATATGAAGAAGATGTGGATTTGGAATTGGATCAAGATGGATCTAGGACGAAACGGTCAAAAACAGAGCCATTATCATCATCATCTTCATCTTTAGAACAACAAGCTACTACAGCATCAATATTAACACCAAAGGGATCTATGCCAGCAACACCCAGTACACCTGATTCTACCGTTTCAGCTCCAACTCAACCAACTACGATGATAGATAAAGACAATACCCAAACAACACCAATTAATAATATTACCTCCACTTTATCGACCACATTACCAAAGGAAGCAGGATCTTCTTCAAATAATATAGAGTCACACATATTACAAGAACAAAGTTCAATGGAAACAGCAAAATCAACTGAATCATCAACATTATCATCCGTTATACCCGAAAAAAATCATATCACATCACCCTCTCCAGCACCATCAATGCTTCCAATAGAAACTACAGCAACGATATCAACAACTGATAAATCAACATCAACTATTGCTTCACCATCAACACCAGGAGGAAGTAGTGCTCCATTGACTCCAATCTCAGAAAATCCAGAAGAAGGTAAAACGGAATCATTGACTTCAGCCATTGCAGAAAAAGGGTCTAGATTTTATATCAAGAGACGGATTGTAGTGGGTAATGTTAGCAAGTATATTCCTCCAGGTAAAAAAAAAAAAAAAAAGAAAAGAAAAAAAGAAAAAGAGAATACTGCTCCTTTTTTTTTTTTTTTTTTTTTTTTTGGTTAATTATATTTTATTTTATTTTATTTTCACCATTACTTGTTATAGAAAAACGGGACCCAACTTTGAAGAACTATACTCATAAATGGATGATCTATGTCGTAGAACCACCTCAGGTAAAAATTAAAATAAAAATAAGAATATAGTTGGAAGATCAGCAATCACCCGCACACGTACACACACACTCTCTCTCTTTCTTCTTGATTTCTGACCACGAATTCATATAGGATCAAGACAAGAAACCATTCCTTACAGGAGTCCGATATCATTTACATCCAAGCTACAAACCTTATGATGTGGTGGATGTGACAGAATCACCTTTTCGATTGACACGACTTGGATGGGGGGAATTTCCTATTCGACTTCAATTATACTTTGTGGATAAACGACGAAACAAAAGTTTGGATGTGATTCATCATTTACGATTAGATTATACATTATCAGGACGACAAATGTTGGGCAATGAAAGAGGATTTGATATAGAATTAGATAGAAACACCAACTTTGAAGATGTTACCACCATACCTGGCTTGTCGAGTGATACTGCATCAACAACAAATGATACTTCTTCATCCACACTGGCACCTTCTTCTTCTTCTTCCAATAATACTGATGTTACTACAACTGCGACACCTGCCATATTATCCAAACAAAACATGATGGTCAATGCAACAAAGCAGCGAATGACATTATTACAAGGTATTTTGAAGGAATGTGTACAACTATTTCCCATGGTCTCGCGTTCTCAACAACAACCATCCGGGTCTTCTCGTGGTTCGTTACGCTATACTTGTGCAAACAGTACGAAACACTATTTTACTTGGTCTGCTCCTCGTCGAAAAGCTTTGGAGGTAAATCAATCCTTTTTTTTTTTTAAAAAAAAAAAAAAGAACGCACACTAATATTGAATTTTTTCTTTCTTTCTTTCTTGCGTATCATTAGTGGCATCGCAGTCATTTACTTCGAATAGAGGTTCAGCAACGATGTAAGGATATCAATGACGACATACTTCGAACGGCATGTGACGCTCTCAGTACCAAAGATGTGATACGATGGTGTCGTGAACAAGGATATACACCTAACAAGAAGGAAGATAGAACTCTTGATGACAATGTGGAGGAGGAAGAAGAAAGATCAAAGGAAGATCAGGGATCAGATGTTCAACAATGGTGTCGATACTGTGGTTCTGATCAACATTTAACTTTGGATTGTACAAGAAAACCATCTGGATGGCGAAAGAAGAAGCAATTCGTGTTAGGTGATCAACATACTTTATCAGACGTACGCCTCTTACTTGAACAATCAGGACTCTCAATGATGGAAACCGAGAAGAAAGATATGGATGATGTGGTTCAAGTGGATGATGATATGGAGAGTGACAAGACATGCAATTATCAGGATCTATTGAATAGGATACGTGATCGAATGATGGATGAAGAGGATAATGAACGCAGTTTGGATTGGATTTGGTCAGTGATTGCTCCATTACGATTGAAAACCATGGTTGCCAATAATATCTCCATGTCAAGACAAGGTCAATTACAAATGCGAACAGGTGAAGAAGATTTGATGACAGCTATGGATCAACGGTTGGTGGTGGGTCAACTTTTTCTTCAGGTAAATAATAATAATAAAAAAAAAAGTGGAGTATTGATTTTTTTTTTTTTTTTTTTTTTTTTTTTTTTTTTAGTTGACCAAACTCTTTTTGAAAAAGATCTTGACGCATGGAGTGGCGATTTGGCAAAAGGAAAAAGATCAAGAAAAGAAAAACAAATTATTGGTGCCATATCATATTCATCAAGCCATACAACAAGTGGATCATTTTGATTTTTTGACAAATGCTTACATGGGTACTTACAAGAAACAACAGCAACCATTGGTAACAACTCGACATCCTACAACATTTTCATCATCATCATCATCATCAACTGATATTATCAATATCACTAAACCGTGATCCAATGTAGTATAAAACAATAGTAGAATAGTCTTTTTTTTTATTTTATTTTGATAATAGTCAATAATACTAATAATAATAAAAATAGTATATTTGTATATAAAAAAAAAGGATATATAAAAGGAAAAAAAAAGTTATATATATATATATATATATTCAAAACGAGGAGGGAATATAGAGAACTAAGTTAAACTAATGATGGAGCCGCCGAAGAAGGATGAGCCAAATCACGCCTTGCCTTGCCAAATTCGCCATTCATCATGGTACTTGAATCCAATTCATCTTCATCCAAAGCTTCTAAAGTATATCCTTGCCATTCTTGTTGTTGTACCTTGAGGATGGTTTCTGCTCGCCATTCTGCTTCTTCCAATGTTGCCTGATACCCTTTCCATTCTTCTTCTGATGCTTCGGATGGTGTGGATCGATGTTGGGAATCATCACGGTTGTTATCAGCTATTGTCGGTTCAGGGTAGCCAGTCCATACTTCATCATCATCATCCTCATCTTCGCCATCATTGCGTTCTTGTTGTTCTTGTTGTTGTTGTTGTTGTTGTTGTTGTTGTTGTTGTTGTTGTTGTTGTTGTTGTTGTTGTTGTTGTTGTTGTTGTTGTTGTTGTTGTTGTTGTTGTTGTTCAAACTCTGAATTGGGTACTGGGTATCCTGTCCATTGTTCACTGTCTTCATCACTGCCATCATCGTGATTACTTTCCACATCCTCTTCTTGTGGTGCAGGAGGTGCTTCTACTGTTGATATCATATCTGGCTTGTTTGTATCCTGTTGTTGTTGTTGAGGTGTTGATAATGCAGGAGGACTTGCTGATACAGTTATCGCCGGGTCTACAATAGATGTTGATATTGATGATCCAGTCGTTGTCTTATTTATAGCTTGTTGTTGTACTTGTTGTTGTTGTTGTTGTTGTTGTTGTTGTTGTTGTTGTTGTTGTTGTTGTTGTTGTTGTTGTTGTTGTTGTTGTTGTTGTTGTTGTTGTTGTTCTACTAATAATGCGCTATCATTTGTTGATTCTACTTCGTTGTCACCAACTTTATTTCCTACCGATGTCAGATGCCCTTGTCGTTGTTGTTCCTGTTGTGCTGGGAATGGTAAGGAAGAGACTTTGCTTGTGGTATCATCATCATCACTAAAATCATTCATTGAGTGCTCTTGCATTTCTTCCATGTCCAAACTGGCGTCCTTTTTGTCTGATGGTGGTATTGTGCTCTTGAGATCAATTTCTGATGGTATATCCTTTTCATCCTGTAGTGCTGGTGAGCTCCTGTTGTTTTTGTTGTTGTCCGATGTGATTTCTACAGATGCTGTCGAGGGAAGATGTGGTATATCCATAGCGGCTGAAGTCATTTCCATGGGTATGGAGGAAGCAATACTGGTTGTTGGAAGTGTCATATCAGGCGCAGAAATGATTGTTGGTGATGATTTCTGTTCTGACGATTCTATATTGGCCGACCAAATATTAGTTGACTCGATATCTAACACACCGGTATCTGTTTTGCTGTTGTTTGTTTGAGGAAGAGGTGGCGAGTTGGGTACTGATAAGGTGACCTGAATAGATTCCTTTTCTTGTTGCTGTCGCCATAAATCACCATCATCGTCGTCATCATCAGTATAGCTAATAGTTTGATTACGCCAATCCTGATCTACATCCAAGTGTTGTTGTTGTTGTGGTAAAGCTTTTGAAGTTGTTGATGTTGATGCTGCTTGTGCCGGAACAGGGATTGCTGAGGGAGATGGGGCCAATGATGATGGTCGAATGGTATCCTGTTGTTGAATTTGATCCGATTCCACTTGTTGACTTTCTAATAAGAGCTGTTTTAAAGTCAAATAAGGCCTAGAAACCAACCAATGCTGAAGAACTAAATCACCTACACCAAGAGAGGAAAGATCAATGATTGACTGTGGAGGTAAGACTGAAGGTAAATTGTTGTTTCGACGTATCAATTGAGAAGAAGAGCTGTTGATAATATTGGAAGAAGAAGAAGTGGATGGGACCAACAGATCACGAGCAACATCTACTTGTGTGGGCCAACGGTTGTATCGACACAAATTCAATAAGAGATCACGATCACGCTCAGATTCGGCTTCTAATAAGGGTGGTAACCATGGAATAGCAATGAGAATACGTTGATGTTTTTTCTTGGTATTGTCGTTTCCCTGACTAGCATCTGACCACCGTCGGTCGTGTGGGTCAAATCGATAAGGACGAAGAGGTAATAAACTACGACGGAGTGCTTGGCGATAGGCAGTGTAACTCGTGTCGTTGGTGGTGGTGGTAGTGGAATCATCATGATGAACCCAAGGAAAGTCGTGACAGAGAGGAGATGCTGATGATGTAGAGAGACGTTGTACGGCTGGTAACGCTAGACATTTGACGACAGCCATACAACCATTCCAGTCTCGATATTGATGAAGACAATGAGCAAGTCGAACGGCGTGATCAAAGGCTGCATAGGAATTGGTAATGATCAATTGATGAGCAAGACTGTGCATCAGATAATCGTGAAAGTCATTAAGAGAAGTAGCACTGTGATGACAAAAGAGTTGAGAGTTTACAATGACGATCTGTTTAGCCAATGCATCAGGGTGCCATTGATGGAAAAGCACACCTCTAACAGCATGCATTTGTTGTGTCAACTGATCCAAACGTGTACGCTGAATGACGGCATCCTGTTCTAAACTAGTCGAGAGAGACCGCTGACTTGATTTCTGATTAATGTCGGCCAGAAGAGACGCGCAATGAAGAGATTGTTGTATAAGTGGTGATACTGGAATTGAGGGTAACATCAAGACAAATATGGAAAAAAAAGATAGAGAGAAAGAAAAAGAGAGAGAGAGAGAGAGAAAGAAAGATAAGAAATAAAAGGGAAAAGAAGAAGAAAGAAAGTAAGGAGAACAAAAAGAAAGGGGATTCACCCTGAAAAGTAATTTTATTTTTTTTTTTTTTTCATCCCAAAATGTTAATTCGTATTCCGTCAATTGCCCATCCACATTTCGTGCATAAGAGAAAGACATATGATATAATTTTTTTATTATTATTATTGAATGAAGTGATAAAAAGATATAATGCAAAATGCTATAACTAAAAAAGAGAGATAAACTATATAAAAGAAGAATAGAGAGAAAGAATCAGAGACGAGGGAATAAAACACCAGTAGATGGACCTAATAAACGCATTTCACAAGATAGTGCTGCATCAGAGAATGATCTTTGATTTTCAGGGACACCTAATCTTGACAACAATTCATCCATTTTCGTAGGCATCACAGGTTGAAGTAAAATACCTGCTACCCTACATGATTCCAATGCATAATATAGTACTTGATTTCTTCTTTCAGGTTGATCTTTCAATTTCCAAGGTTGATTATCGGTAAAATGTTTATTTGCCTACAAAAAAAAAAAAAAAAAAAAAAAAAAAAAAAAAAAGGAAAAGTGTCAGTAATTGAATAATATTTTACCATTATTATTACCTCTGCCAACATATCCATAATAGCTACAATTCCTTTATTAAATTCTCTTTCTTCAAAATGAGTATCAAAAATCCCTAATGAACAAAAAAGATATATATATATATATATATATCAATAAAAAAAATGTTTATCTATATACTTATTTTTATTTATTTATAATTTACCTGGAAGAGCTGTCAACTTATCATGTATAGTTTTGTCACGAGAATCTACAATTGAGGCCATAGCAGGAACCTTGCCTTCAGGATTGAGAGATTCTCCAGTACTACGATTTAATAAGTTGCCTAATTGTCCTGCCAAATCTTTTTTATATCTTTTCTTGATGCCATCTTCAGAGTAATCACCATCATCAGCCAATCCACCATCACGCATAAGATAATATCGTACAGGATCCACTCCATATGTTTCCATCACCTCGAAAGGATCAGCGACGTTACCCCGACTTTTCGACATTTTTTGTTTTCCCATTGTCCAATGAGCGTGTGCCAAGATCTGTTGAGGTAAAGGTAGACCAGCCGCCATCAAGAAAGCAGGCCAATAGACAGCATGAAATCGTAAAATATCTTTGCCCACTACATGTACTTTGGCTGATATTTGTTCTGTAGTATCAGGATAACCTTTAGCAGTAATATAATTGGTGAGAGCATCAAGCCAAACATAAATCGTATGATTTTCAGGATCATTTGGTACAGGAATACCCCAATCCAGGCGAGAACGTAAACGAGAAATAGAGAGGTCACCTAAACCAGCTTGAATCCATGAGATGACTTCTTTTTTTCGATTAGCAGGTACAATGACTTGAGGATTTTGTTCGATCCAATCTAATAATGGTTGTTCGAAATCTGAGAGCTTGAATTTGTAGTTTTCTTCCATTGTCCATTCCACACGTTGTCCAGATTCTGTAGAGACCATCATATCATTGCCTTGTTCGTCCGTTATTTTATGTACTTGATTATCAGGGTAAAATGCTTCATCAGAAATGGCGTACCATCCTTCATGTTGTCCTTTGTAAATGTAACCTGCGTTCAAAAGAGCATTCCATAAATGGGATACTGCCTTGGCATGTCGTGGTTCAGTAGTACGCATAAACGTCGTATATTGAATATTCGCCTTGTCACATAATTTCTAATTGGTTGGAAACAGAGCTAATCAATATCTTATCATGTTTTTTTTTTCTTTTAGGTGAGATGGACTTACCCGGAAACTATCTGAAACCTTATCACAAAGTTCGATTGGAGTCGTATTATTTTTGGCAGCTGCTTGTTGGATCTAAAAGAGATCCATAAAAAAAAAAAAAAAGATCAATATCTATTTGGTACCTTGATTATCATGTGTATCGAAAAAAGTCATTACCTTCAAACCATGTTCATCGGTACCTGTAGTTAAAGAAGTTTCATAATTTTTCAAGGCATAGAAACGACGTAATGTATCTGCTATTACACTTGAATAGAGGTGACCAATATGAGGAACTGTCAAAATAATAATAATAGTAGTAATGATAATAAAAAGAGTCAGTAACAATATAAGAAGAAAACTATATAGTCATTTTACCTGCATTAACATAATATATTGGTGTAGTGATATAGGCATCATTATGGTTCAGGCGACATTGCATAGGCCTGAAAGCCCTTTTGACAACTGATTGGAATCCCCACCTTTGAAACATGGTGCTTCCAAGAAAAAAAAAAAAAAATAGGGAAGAAAAAAAGGGAATAAAAGACGGAATTCGAATATGAGGTCCAAAGTTTTTTTTTTTTTTTAATTTTTATTTCAAACTAGGGTGATAGAGATGGGCAAATCTATTTGCAGAGAGATAGAGAGAAATAAAATACATGAAATAAAAAACTAATACTACAAAATAATCTAAAATATTAATGATGTTCATTATTGATCAGGCATAGGTAAACTAGGATCAGTAGGTACAGATTTCCATAAACCTTCCAAGTCATATCTTTCACGAATTTCAGGTGTGAATAAGTGTACTATGCAACGGCCTAAATCAATCAACAGCCAACCAGATTGATCATCACGTCCTTCAATATGTGGAGTTGGGATAGACTTTGAAACATCAGGATGAGCAGTAATCGCCTTGCGAACCTAAAAAAAAAAAAAAATATTATTAGGATACATAAATAATATAGAATCTATTATTTTACCGTTGAGCCCACATGTTCAGCAACAGTGCTAAGGAATTTGTCACCTTTTGCACTATCAGCAATAATCATATAATCGGTCCAATCACACTTTTCGCGCACATCCAAAATAAGTACATTATCCATCTTTGCTTGTTCTAATATATGTTGAATCATTTCAGGTGTCAAGATGCCATCTTTCAAAAGTTGTTCTGATATTTCTTCTAAAGTCTGTCGATCTTGTAAGTGTTGTTGAGCATCTGCTTGTCGTTGCCATAAAGGAACAAAGTCTTCACCAGGTTCTTCTACAAATTCAGAATCAACAAACCATTCCGTGTCGATTTCTTGTTCGTCAGGATACAATTCCGGATAATTCTTAGGATCAATCTTTTCCTCCTCTTCTTCTTCTTCTTCTTCTTCTTCAGGTTTCAAAAGTTCATTTTCTATTATTGTCGTTGTCTGATTGTCATTTTTCGTAGAATTGACTTTGTCTTGTTGTTTGTTTTGAAGTGGAGTCCATTGACTGAAATGTTGCCGTGTTATGAATAAAGAACTGATAGGTGTTTGTCGTGCAAAAGCTGTTGTTTGTTGTTGTTTGAGGATGGTATTGAATAATGGTGTGAAAATACGTAAGCGATGCATCATTTTGTTCAAAGTTATGTAAAAAGAAGTGTAAAAAGAGAGAAGTGAATAAGATAAAAATGTATTTTATGGCATTTAAATCCCGCGACAAAAGCCACAGAGTTATTCCTTGCATGAAAAAGGTTATGTTGCATCCAAAGAAAAAGATGGAATAAAATGAATCATACATATTTTATTATCGTTCTTGCTACTCTTACTACTTTATACTAGTGTAATATAGTACCAAAATAGAAAGAAAAAAAAAGGGATCAGCGTGTGGTTTCTGTGTAGTTGATTAGGATATAGGAATTTATATACAAAGTTGACTATTTCTGTAACAATTTTTATCTTTGATGTAGGGCAGTACATTATGTAATCAGTAGAATAATAAAGAAATCTAATAGTACTCATGTAGATTTGACTAGAGCATTTTTTTTTTTTTTTGAGTTTTGGAGCAAAAGCTAAAAAAACAGCCAAAAAAGGAGAGAGCTAAATTTTTTATTTCCGCTGTCCAGTTCAATTTTTTTTCTTTCTTCCCTTTCTTACTCATTTTTTCTTTATTCATACTTTCTTTCTTACTGTCATATTTCAAGTCCATGATATGACCCATTCTTCAACTCATGATTCAACTACATCTACTCTATTATGCTTTTTTACAGGCATAGCTATAGCAGTCATGGGTTATTCACTTTACTCACATCTTGATCACTTACAACAGCAACAAGAACAGCAATCTCGGAAACGATCTGGACGTTTGGAAAACGGTACTAAACTTGAAGATGGTAACTACATTAAAGAGTCTTTTCCAATACTTACCTTTTTTTTTTTCTTAACTCATTTTAGCTATACCTTTACGAGCCCTGGCTTATTTAATTCAGTCCAGTAATGCTACTATACAAAGCAGGTATTTCTTTTCTTGGTTCATTTAAAAAATATTTGATATATTGAAAAAGGTATGTAATACTAATCTATCATATTTTAATGTTACAATAGCTCGGTCAAGATTACCATCGAACGCGCCATGTCAGGTAATATATGCTTATTATAGCAGGGTGTACAAATTAATTTTTTTTTTCTTATTGTATTTGATAGGGTCAAATCTTCCAAATATTATTGCAGCATGTGAGAAAGATAAACCATTAGATATTCGATCTCAAGCACTCACGGCATTACAATTATTGACACAAAAAGGTTTAAATGACCAAAAAAAGAAAAAAAAAGGATAATAAAACTAATATTCTTTTATTTATTATTCATTATTATTCATTATTATTATTTTATAAAGAACAACATCGGGCAACTTTATTGGAAGCTGGTGCATTAAAGGTTTTGGTAGATGCTCTTGCTTCAACTGAAACGGAAATGAAAGAAATGACACAGCGTTATGTTGCAATGGCTATTTGTGATTTGATTCAAGGCAGTGGTAAAATGGAAAAAAAAAAGAAGGATAAACTGATGAATATTAATTATTATTATTATAGATATTAACAAGTATTGTGTGATTGAAATGGGTATTCTTGATTCTATTCAACGTATTTTAACTTCTACTACTATTCGAAATAATGAATTGAAATATTGGACTTTGATGATTTTACATCAAATCTCATTAAGTGGTATGTTAAAAAATAATAATAATAATAAAAATTTTACTCAATCTATTATATATATATAGACCCATTTCCAAATGTACTAATACATCAAGGTTTTGTTGGATTATTGGCGAAAATGGCAAGAATGACCTTTGGAAATACAAATATGCCAAAATTCTGTATGCAATCTCTCGTACGTCTAGTGGCAAGTGTAGATACAATGGGTAATCGTAATATTATTATTAATAATAGAACGTGAATCTAATTTTTTTTTTTATTTTTTATTTTTTTATAGAATCTAAAATAGTTTTGGTGGAATTACTTGATTATAACATTGTAGATCTTATCTCTGTTTGTTTACGTGGTGGTAAATAATAATAATAATAATAATATTAAGCAATATATATATATATATATATTATTAATCATCTTAAAACTTTTTATTAGATGATGTGGAACTAATATATTGGGCTGCTGGCTTGATGCATGAATTTGTCTTGAAAGGTTAAAAAAAAAAAGTTACGGAGTTGGAATTCCTCATACTAACTATTTTATTTGTTATAGATGTTGCTTCCAATCAATTTCGATCCATTAAAGGTATTCATACTATTTTGGCTGGATTACTCTCTGCTGAAGAAATGTATATTTCAAGAGTGGTTTTACGTACAATCAAATTCATGGCTTATGGTGACGGTAAATTCATATTCGAATATATAAAAAGAATTAAGTTTTTTTTTTCTTTTACTGATTTTTTCTTTAATTAATAGAATCTTTCCGTCAAGGCATGGTGAAAACAAATATAGTCAAAAAAATCATGCATTGTTTGACTTTAGATGATGATGATGTTCGATATTGGGCCGTTCTCTGTATTCATGCTGTTGCAGGTCAAGGTAAATCATTTATACCACAAATAAACTTCACGAAAAACTTACAATTTTTTTTTTTTTGAATGATCAATTTTAGTGGAATCTCATAATGATATTTTGACGGCTCCTGAGTTCGACATTTTATTGGAATTGGCATTATCACAAAAGGTACATGCTGCGATCTTTGTGGCTGATATCCTCTCTCTTATCTGTTGTATCTGTATGTATAAATATATAATCATCATCATCATCATCCCATTCTTATATTCTTTATATTCTTTATATTCATTTTTTTTTTGTAGGGCAAAATGATTTAGCAATCGAAAAACATATTAATTTGATGGTATCTACTTTGAACTCTTTGGTCACTTGGAATGAAGTAGAAGTACAATATAATTCAACAGGTGCTTTATTTAACTTGATGGCAATGCAAGGTTAGTGAAAAAAAAGGAAATACATAAAGTGATTATGAAAATAAATTACAATATACTAATATCTTATATTTATATATATAGATTCCTTTGCTACGGTGATTCGTCAAAAATGTCAAGAAACTATCCTATCTGCTTGTTATTTGTCTCCTCATGAACGTGTTCAATTAACTTGCGCCAAAACATCTCTCATGCTTGCGATCAAATGTAAGTCTTTTTCTTTCATCTGGAAGTAAATGATTACATTAATAAAAAAAAAAAAAAAGAAAAAAGAAAAAAAGAAAAACTTACCCCTCTTTCTTTATTACCCATCCCTACCTTAGTTCCTTCTATGCGACCCATATTGTATTCAACTGTTATGGATCCTTTAATCGATAATTGTATTACAGCCAACGAACAACTTTTGCCTATTATGATGATGCAAGTTCTTGTTTCATGCAGTCAGTCTTCTCTAGAGGATCCTTCTACAATCATCAACAAGCCATCTATTTCTGAAGACGACTTATTACGCGTACCAAATTATATCAATGTCAGCTCCAATGGTGTTATATCAAGTGATCATCAACGGGATCGAAGGGTTCAAGGCTCTATCAATGACTCTGATGACCTCATAACAAAACGTGGAGGAAGAAAGAGGAAAAATCAACTAGTTTCAACAGTAACACCAACAGACTCTTCATCCTTTGATACCGGTTCTGACTCTTCTTCAAGATCCTCTCTCTCTTCTATCGATATTGATCCTGCCGAATTATTGAATGATCTATCTCTTTTGAATAATTACTCATATTCTGAACGTGTAGCCATTTTGTCTCGATTTGAAATGACTACAATGCGACATAGCAAATTAACAGGTGCCTTATCTGCGTTACGATACTTTTTGGAAAATGAATCCATTTCAAAAAACATTCTCCATGGAAATTTCCCTACAACAATACTGAAATTATATGAACACACGCCAAAGAACCAACATAAGCCATTAGTTACAGTATCTCATCGATCATCAACTTCCTATCATCACCAACAACAACGGGAACAGAAACACTCGACTCTTTTTTCTTCTTTGGATGATTATTATAATGACATTGATGAAGATTACAATTCATCTGTATCAGATCATGACGCCTTATTTGATGATGATGAGAAAGATGAGGGTTTGGCAAACAATATTACAGAAACATCTGGATTACCTGGTGGAATATACGGGTTTGTGGATGGATTGGTATATCAAGCACTTTTTCCTGTGATTGGACATTGGTGGCAATCTTGTCATTCCCCTCAAAAAGCAGAATCAATGACTATGGATGAATCATCGACCTGGCAAGCGTACAAAGATGTTTTATTATGGATGCATCGTACAACTACTCTGGCCACTCAACAACAGCGACAAAAAGATGATTTGATACATCCAACTAGCTCTGGAAAGTGTAATGTTGGTAAATCATCAACATTGCCAACTATCATCGACTCAACAACAACACATTATGAATCCTCCATACCCTCTATTAAAGTGTATCATGGATTAACAAGTCGATCTCTCTTGGTACTACGATCTCTTTTACGCTATGGTAAGAATGAAAAATTCTGGGAAAAGTGGAATAGGTTATGAAAATGAACAAATGCTTACTCATCTTTTTCTTTTTTTTTTTTCTTTTTGAATTCTCAATTTAGAATCTATTCGCAGTTATTTGATCCATAATATGCAGTTTATTGAAATGATGACATATATGTTTCAATACAATACTACTTTGACTGATCATATATTAACATGTCTTGGTATACTGATACAATCTGGTAAGTTAATGCCATTTTTTTTTTTTTTTTGTAAAGATTACGTAGAAAAAAAAAATGAAAGAAAACTAATAGTCCATTTTTTTTTTTTTTTTGGTTTTGCTTTAGATACATATATCCCTGAAAGCAGTCTACAAAGATGTGTGGTTGCAATATGGCGACACATGTTAGATCCAACAAAAATTCAAAGGAACAAAAAGACTTTTTGGTTTTATACAAGACTTGTAATGACATGTGCCAGTCGGAGGATGGGTGATGAATTGATGACAACAGCTAGTAAGACGATTGAAAACCAACGATGTGTAGAACTCGACATAACAAGAAGTACACCTTTTTGTTTGATCAATCAAGAAACTTGTTTGGAAGTACGAAATGATTCTTGGACTTTTGAAACTGTGGTTGGTACTCATAGTGTTCAGGTACTCTCTACTATGGCTAGCTCAAGAAAGTTCTGTTATCAAGTGGTGTTGAAAACGGATGGTCTTATACAAATGGGTTGGAGCAATCGATCAAGTCGTGTGAATGCTGAAGCTGGAAGCGGTGTAGGTGATGATGGACACTCCTATGGTTATGATGGCTGTCGATGCAAGAAATGGCATGGTCGACATCGAATGCGCGTAAGTTTGAGATTTAATCAATGATAATAGGAAGAGATTGTTTACAAAGTTGTCTTTTTGATTAGAAAACGAATTATGGAAAACAATGGAAGCTGGGTGATGTGGTTACCTGCACCTTGGATTTGGATCGTAGAGAAATTAAATATTATCAAAACGGTGATGATCTCGGTGTGGCATTTACAAAAGTTGATACGACAAAAGTGTGGTACCCAGTAAGAAATGATATTTTGGATTCATAATTATTCATTAACTAAACTCAATTGTCTCTTTAGGCTGTGTCACTCTCTACTGGACAAGAGTGTGAATTCTTATTTGGTGGACCAATGAATCAACTACGGTAAGATAACTAAGATGATGGACACTTAAACATATATATATATATATCTAATCTTTTTTTTTTTTTATTTCATTTATATTATAGTCATCCACCTGAAGGATTTCAGTCCATTTTTGATCTTCATTTTACACAAACATCAAATCATTTATCTTCAACAACAGCAACTGATATGATTACGACGACAAACATGAAGGTAGATCTTCAAGATATCAAACCAGTGGAAGATATAACTGAAGCAATGGAACGGATGCGTGTATCATCACCTCCTTCATTAACTCCGTCTCCATCTTTATCTCTCTTGGCTGAAATGACGACGATTAGTAAGGATACGGTTACAAATTCCTCTCAACAACAAGAAAATAAAGATAGGCCAACACGACATTTATATGTTGAAACAACCATAGCTCATCAATCATATGTAGAAACGACAATGATGACGACGACAACAATGGGTCATACCAATATTGGCAGCAGCAACGTTACGAAGTTGATTATGATCGGGTGGACCAACTGCCTTCCAATGCATTCCAATGTAGCATTAGTATACAATCATAATAGAAAACAAGGAATGATATGTCTAGATACAAAAGAACTTTTACCTACACCTTTCTCCATGGATTTACAAGATGATGATATCATTGGACTTGAATATGATCAACAACAATACTTTGGATTTACTTTGAATGGGAAACTATTAGGTATATTATGATTATGTTTTGGGAGTAAAAATTGACTCATTTTTTTTTTATATACACTTAGCGCGGGTTCGCTTGGATATTCCCTTTTTACCCTATCTTCCATATACAATGGGACCGATCAAGACAAGAACTAACTATGGACAAGATTGTTTCAAGTATGGGGATCATCAAGATGAACTACTAAAGGAAAACATGGTGACTTACTTGGATCAATTGATGAATGGATCATCACTATAAAACAAAATGTTTAGCACTTCTTTGTAGTGTAGTCTTAGTCTTTATTGTTAGTTTTTTGTAGAAAAGATAATATGTGATCCAATAAATAATCGTTTATTATTATTTTAGATATCTTTACAAATAAAGATTTTGCTCCAATATAAAGTCTATTGTACATTTCATCTAGTTCTATTTTCCTTAAAAAAAAAAAAAATAGAAGAATTCATGCTTTGGGATAAGGTCATTTTCTGTTTGGCCCTGATTTTTTTTTTTCTCTCAATCAAGTTTGTCAGCTGGTCAAATTGTTTCTAACATGCAAAATGTTAGTTCAATCACCGATAATTTTTCATTCAGTACTTTTTTTCTTTTCTTTTTTTTTTTTTTTTTCTTTCTTCTTTTCTCCTCTCACATTACCTTTTCTTTCTTAATGTATTTATCTAATTCAAAACGTGATATCCCAACAGAAATATTACAAACGATCCTTGATTTCGTACCACGGTCGAATTTGGCCCAACTTGCCTTAGTATCCCGGCAATTCAATAGTATTGCTTCGCCTCTTTTATATCGGCACATCTATATTCGAACATTATATCATTGGGAACGGTTTTTATCTTGTTGTCGTTCTTCCAGCATTCCACCTTGGTTGGCCTCTGTGACTTCACTTGTACTTCAACCATCGCCAAAACTCATACCACGTAGTACAGGATCGTTCATGTCTGCACGTAAGACATTGATGACGGATAAGGATGTAGAAGCACAAGGTTATATGCGTTTGCAACCTGTGAATTTTGATTGGACCGGCTTGGAATTTGTACTTGCCAAAGATAATGATCAACAATATACTGATGGGGATGAGACTCGACATGACTTTGGATCTGAAAACTATGCGGAAATGAATACAACGATCAAGGAAGCTGAATGGTTGACCAAGGTAACAGATATGGATATGGCTCATGTGATCACACGGTGTCCTCACTTGGTCTATTTGCAAGTGTCTGGATGCACACAAATTGGGGATGCTACCATGTATGCTCTTGCTGCTTCACAAGATGACAACAAAGTAGGTCGTGCTGGTGGTATGCAAGGACTTTGGATTGACTTGGCAAGGCAAATCTCTTCAGTTGCTTGGATGACCTTTGTCCATGCTGAACAAAAACGACCATCACCAGGATTACATCATTTGGATCTATCGTATTGCGGCTTTGTCACTGATCATTGTTTGACCAAAGCGCTTCCTTTGTGGTCTTCTACTTTGACACATCTACGTCTTTGTTCTCTATACAGCATTACCGACGCCACTGTCCATGCGATTGCTGAACATTGCCCTCATCTCCGTCTTTTACATTTGACACGCTGTTTCCGAGTCACCAATCGATCTATTATATCTCTCGCCACTAGCCCTCTGGCTGCTACCTTGACCTATCTTTCTGTGGCCTTTTTGAATCAAGTCAATGAAGAAGGTGTCAAACATCTGGTCTATTGTTGTGAAAATCTACGTTTTGTCAATATATCAGGCTCTGGTATCAATCCGATGTTCAAGTTGGTTTTTCTCAAACAGTGGGAACAAGCTCGTGAACGGAAACAATGGCCAAAAATCCACTTTCAAGAAAATCCTGTCTTACTATTCTAGTAGTTTAGATATTTTGTCTAGTTAGCTTTCCCTCTCTCTCTTTTTTTTTTCTTTTTGTACATACGCAACACACACACACTTTTATATATTGAATAGAACATCTTTTTATATCTTGATGATAGGGTAGATAATATTTTTTGTATTGACTTTTTGGAACCAATAAAATGAATGATGATATTTACTTTTTTTTTTTTTTGGATAATAAAAAGCTTTTATTGATTGGTAGAGTAACAAATAAAAGAAAAAAAAAAAAGATACACTACACTATAACATAAAAGGAAAAACTAAAACTAAAATAATGACTAAATTGAACCCATCAGATTCGTTCAAAGTAAACTAGAGGCAGTATCAACCACACGTTGGAACCATCCACGGGAAGTCTTGACTTGTTTTTCGGCAGTTTGATGATCAACAAAAGTTTGGAAACTTTCAGCTAACACGTCCAGTCCATCAAAGGTAAGATCAAACGAGCTATTGATTTGGTCTTCTTCACGACTAATCAAAACAGTGTGCATGCCTTGTTTCTTGGCAGCTTCCAAAGTAGCGAGATTGGAAGAAACGACGGCCAGTTCATTTGCATTGTCCAAAGCCAAAAGCTGAGAAGCATTTTCAATGACGGATGATTTACCAGCAAAATCGGCAGAGAGTTGAGCGTGCCAGCAGAGACAACCATGGCGAGCAAGAGACATCATCGACCGAGTTGACAAAGTTGATGACAAAGCAACAGCATACATATCATTCTTCTTGAGTTGACGTACACTGGACACAGAATCACCAAATACATCCAATCGTTCCCAAACAGAGCACAATTCTTGTAATTCTTCATGGCTAAAGAGGCTTTCCACTGATTTTTCTTTCAAAATACGCACAAGCACCAAACGGACGAGTTCACTATCGGTGCTGGATGAATGAGCTTTTTGTTTCTCAATGATGAATTCCTTGTACCAGAGATCAATCAATTCACGACCGTTCAAAGTAGCAGTTCGTCCTTGTTTCTTTTCCGCCAATTTGGTCCAAGCAGTCAAAAGAGATCCACGATAATCCACAATGGTATCCAAGAGGTCAAATGCAAAGATTTTGACAGATGCAAATGAATCAGGTACTTCAGCAGTTTCCACCCAGGCAACTGTCTTGCCTTCAAATGCAATGGCCACAGCAGATTCAGTTGTATGTTGGAGTGTCTTTTCCGAGTGTTGTCGAGCACGAGTCAAAATCCACGAGAGACGTTCATCCAATACTTGCAAATCATGAGTTTCCTTGGTCAAAGAAATAATCAATGACAATTGGGCAGTGATGAGTGCACCCACACTATCAAAACTATCGAGAGCATGCTTTTGGGCGTTGAGAGCAAGAGTCACAGCTTGGGCATCAGCTTGGCGAGAATCAGCACTGGTTGTCTTGATGGCAACTTGACGCTTAGCTTGTTGAATAATCGTGATGCTTTCTTGTTGGGCAGATTCAATAATGGCTTGAATATCTTTTTGAGCAGAGGCATCACCACGAGCGAGGATAACACGAACCTTGGAAAGTAAACCATCGAGCCAACCAGAGATTTGAACCTTGTTTTCTTCAACAGCCACAGTCAAGGTCTTGGTAGTACGTTCTTGTACTTGTTCCTTGGTTTCAATGACAGATACAACTTGTTGTTGTTTGTTTGTATGGAGAGCCAAAGTTGCATCAACTTGTTGTTCAGATACCAAAAGAAGATTGTCTAATTGAGTCTTGATGTCCACCTTGTTCTTGCTTGAAGATGAATGTTGCAATATAATGGCACGAACTTGGCTTGTTTGAGTTCTTGAGAATGATAAAATCCAATCCAAGGAATAGGCAAATGAAGATGATTCCTTGGACTTAGTTTCAATAGACTGGGGTGATTTGAACTTAGTCACTTGTGTTTCCAGATCCTGATAAGCCTTCTTGATAATCACATCAATATCAGAAGATACATTTTCACCACCTTGTTGAGCGCGTTCCACAGATTTTTGAATCAAAGCAGCAAACCACACGTTGATGATCGTCTTGAAATCGTTCACCTTGGATTCTTCAATGACTTCCACTACTTGAACCTGTTGAGCCTTGATTTCCTTCTGTTTCTTTTCATGATGATGTTCCAAAGCGGCAGCAGCTCCAATACCGGCAACAGCAGCAGCAGCTCCAAGCACAACCTTTCCTGTATTAGACAAATGATGATGAGGCTTCTTGTTCTTTTCAACTTCAACAATAGCAGTTTCAGTATGGGCAACAACTGTCTTGTTGAAATCGTTCACACTAGCAATTAGAGCAGCTTGTTGAGATTGCTTGTTCTCAGTGGTAGTTTCAGTGACAGTTGTTTTGACAGTTTGGATTTGGGCAGCAGCAGTCTTTCGTAAATTGGCCAGTAAAACATCCAATTCTTCAGGTGAGGCCTTGGTAGTCTTCTTGATTTCTTCAATCTTGAGATCAATTTCAGTTTGAGCATCAGCAATGATGACATTGGCACCAGATTCCACATTGTTGCAATCTTCAACTTCAATGAGGGAGTTCAATTTGTCTACAAGACGTCCAAACCAGCTTTGCATTGTCATACTGGCATCTTGTGCTGACTTGGCAATAGCAGCTCCGGCAACTGTATTATAAAATATAAATATTGAGTTTATTTTCAGTAAATTCCTTCCTAATAATAAAAATATGAACTTACCAACTGTACCAGATTTTGCTGTTGAAAGGCTTTCAGAGACTTGAATAAATGCATTTTCAACTTGAGCTTTTCCTCCATCACAGATAGCCAAAACTTTGTTACTAACTTCCACATTGGTAATACCATCTTCATAGCGATCAACCGATTGTTTGATTTCTTCAAGTTGAGTATTGATTGACACTCGTACAGGAGAAAGAGCCTTTTCCATGTCCACCAAAGATACGTTGGCTGATTGACTTGATTTTTCGAGCACAAACTTCCATTCTTCTTCGGCTTCCTTCACAGCAGTTGCGATATTTTGTTTGGTATCTGCACCACCTTGAGCCAAATATCCCTTGATGCGTAGGACCAAACGGGCATACCATTCAGACGTAGCATTGCGAGCTTCTTCTACAACCACAGTAACAGTTTCTTGGTCACTTGAAATCACCACAGGCTTAATTGTCACAATTTCACTACCTTCAATATCATGCTCCTATCAAATAATACATATTGATATATATAAAAATAAAAAAAAAATATTAGCGAATGCCGAGCAACATCTCTAATTACCCTTACAGCTTCCTTCTTGTCATGATGCTTCTTAGCAACAATTCCACCAACTACAGCAGCACCAGCAGCAATGGTACCAGCAATAACACCAGCGTGAGACTTGGATTTTTCAACATGATCATGGATGACCTGGGTTGATTCATCGAGATGGACATCAATCTTGCTCTTGGTCTTGTCGGTGGCAGTGTTGAGCTTATTCTTGATCACTTCAACATCAGTGGTAGTCTTGACGATAGATTCAACTTCAGTCACTTGTTCCAACACAGAACCTTGTACCTTTTGAAGAGCAACTTCTAGTTCAGCATTGGCTTTTTCGTTGGCACCCCATCCTTTGTTAGCCTTGTCCTTTGATTCCTTGATGATCACATTCAATTCTTCGCGAGCTTCCTTGGTAATACGTTCAACATCAGCCTTGGCATTATCACCACCTTGTTCCAAACGAGCAGCAACGCGGTCATTCAAAGACTTGTACCATCCAAACACAGTACCCTTGACATTTTCAATGACTGCACCAGCAGCAACTGTTCCAGCGATGGCTCCAGCAGCAATGGCACCAGCATGAGACTTGGATTTTTCAACATGATCATGGATCACTTGAGTAGATTCATCGAGATGAACATCAATCTTGGCCTTGGTCTTGTCATTGGCAGTGTTGAGTTTGTTCTTGATCACTTCAACATCAGTGGTAGTCTTGACAATAGTTTCAACTTCAGTCACTTGCTCCAACACAGAACCTTGTACCTTTTGAAGAGCAACTTCTAATTCAGCATTGGCTTTTTCATTGGCACCCCATCCTTTGTTGGCCTTGTCCTTGGATTCTTTGATAATCACATTCAATTCTTCACGAGCTTCCTTAGTGATACGTTCAACATCAGCCTTGGCATTGTCACCACCTTGAGCCAAACGAGCAGCAATACGATCATTCAAAGATTTGTACCAACCAAACACAGTCACCTTGACTTCTTCAATCACAACTGTAGCTCCAGCAATAGATCCAGCAACAACTCCAACTCCAACTTGACTTTGGCCTTCAGACTTCTTGACTTCTTCTTGCTTGTGCTTTTCTTCAGCCTTCTTGATTTCCTCTTGCTTGTGCTTTTCTTCTTCCTTGTGCTTGTGTTCAATAGCGGCTTCAATACCAGCTGCTCCAGCAACAACTGCTCCAACAGCAAGTGCACCACCAATAATAGCAGAAGTGTGGTGATGATCTTCCTTCTTCTTTTCTTGATCATGGTGTTCAACAGTCTTGCCAGCTTCACCTTGGATCACACCAGTCACCTTTTCTTGAGTGATAGTTACTTGGAGTTTTTCTTCAGTCACCTTGGTTAAAGAATGGAGTTTTTCAGCAGCAGACTTCTTATCGGACGACTTGATGACTTGCACACCAACAGCATGAGCTTCAACAGTTTGTTCAGTAATCAAAGCCTTGGATTTTTCAACAGCAATGGCAAGTTCTTGAGCAACCTTCTTGTCAGACGTGTTCTTGACTGCTTGATCCAATTGACCAAATATAGTTTCCTTTTCTTTAGTGATCATGACTTGAATTTCTTCAGCAGAAGCACCTTCCTGTTGAGCGCGAGCAGCAATAGAACCAGTCAACTTCAACCACCATGCACGAACAGTTTCACGGACTTGTTCAACAGTAACAATGGTAACCACAGCTTGAGATTGATCATGAGAAATAACAGCTCCCTAAAATTACAAAACAAAAGAAAAAAAAAAAGGAAAATAAATTCGAATTAGAATGAGTGTCATTTAAGAAGCACTTTTTTTTCTTACAGTTTCAGTCTTGGCCTTGTGTTCATGTTCTTTCAAAGCAATGGCACCAGCAACACCGGCAATCACACCAGCAGCCACATGTTCTTTCTTCTTGTCAGATTCAACATGACTTTCGGCTTTCTTGACTTCTTCAACGGTAGGTTGCTACAAGACCAATCAATTGAATGAGCAGGAAAGAAGAGGGAAGAAAGAAGAAAAAAGAAATCAGTATAAACTCCGCATAAGAAGTGTTTATTTTTTTTATATTTTTTTTTTTTACCTTCGTTTCATCCTTTACAACTAGGTCTTCAGTAACAGTCTCAGTAACCGTAACAGTAGTGGTCACCTTCTTGTCGCATTGATTGAGAGTAACATGAAGTTGTTCTTCAGTAGCCTTAGCTTGAGCCTTCATTGTAGAAACACCACCCGTAGAATCTTTAGCAGCGACAGCTTGAATACCAATAGCTTGAATTTGAGTAGATTGTTGAGTGATCAATCCCTTAGCCCATGCAAGTGTAGAGGCAAATTGTTGTCCACTTGTGTGTGATCCAGTCTTCTTAGTGGTTTCATCCAATAACAAGGTGATTTCAGTAGTAGCCTTGGCAGTGATGGCTTCAATGTCCTTTTGTGCGTCCTTTCCACCTTGTTTGGCACGAGCAGAGACTTGTTCAATAAGACGGTCAAACCATGAAGTGATAGATACCTTAACGTAATCCACTACAACGACTTCTTTAGTGACCTTGGAGACTTCGCCATGAGACTTTCCTTGATCGACAACGACAACATCAGCCGCATGGTGATCGTGTTGAGCAGATTCCTATAAATGAAGGAACAAAAAAAAAAAAAAAAGATTAAAGCATTACAAATTTTGAGAATTTTTTTTTTTATTTTCCTACCTTCTTTTCAGCTTCCTTGTGGTCATGATGTTTCTTAGCAGCAAAGATTCCACCAGCTACGGCAACACCAGCAGCAATGGTACCAGCAATAACACCAGCGTGAGACTTGGATTTTTCAACATGATCATGGATGACCTGGGTTGATTCATCGAGATGGACATCAATCTTGCTCTTGGTCTTGTCGGTGGCAGTGTTGAGTTTGTTCTTGATCACATCAACATCAGTAGTGGTCTTGACGATGGTTTCAACTTCAGTCACTTGTTCCAAAACAGAACCTTGTACCTTTTGAAGAGCAACTTCTAGTTCAGCATTGGCTTTTTCGTTAGCACCCCATCCTTTGTTGGCCTTGTCCTTGGATTCCTTGATGATCACATTCAATTCTTCGCGAGCTTCCTTGGTAATACGTTCAACATCAGCCTTGGCATTATCACCACCTTGTTCCAAACGAGCAGCAACACGGTCATTCAAAGACTTGTACCATCCAAACACAGTACCCTTGACATTTTCAATGACTGCACCAGCAGCAACAGTTCCAGCAACGGCTCCAGCGGCAATGGCACCAGCATGAGACTTGGATTTTTCAACATGATCATGGATCACTTGAGTAGATTCATCGAGATGGACATCAATCTTGGCCTTGGTCTTGTCATTGGCAGTGTTGAGTTTGTTCTTGATCACTTCAACATCAGTGGTAGTCTTGACAATAGTTTCAACTTCAGTCACTTGTTCCAAAACAGAACCTTGTACCTTTTGAAGAGCAACTTCTAGTTCAGCATTGGCTTTTTCGTTGGCACCCCATCCTTTGTTGGCCTTATCCTTGGATTCCTTGATGATCACATTCAATTCTTCACGAGCTTCCTTGGTAATACGTTCAACATCAGCCTTGGCATTATCACCACCTTGTTCCAAACGAGCAGCAACGCGGTCATTCAAAGACTTGTACCATCCAAACACAGTACCCTTGACATTTTCAATGACTGCACCAGCAGCAACGGCTCCAGCAGCAATGGCACCAGCATGAGACTTGGATTTTTCAACATGATCATGGATAACTTGGGTTGATTCATCGAGATGGACGTCAATCTTGGTCTTGGTCTTGTCGGTGGCAGTGTTGAGTTTGTTCTTGATCACTTCAACATCAGTGGTAGTCTTGACAATGGTTTCAACTTCAGTCACTTGTTCCAACACAGAACCTTGTACCTTTTGAAGAGCAACTTCTAGTTCAGCATTGGCTTTTTCGTTGGCACCCCATCCTTTGTTGGCCTTGTCCTTGGATTCTTTGATGATTACATTCAATTCTTCACGAGCTTCCTTGGTAATACGTTCGACATCAGCCTTGGCATTATCACCACCTTGAGCCAAACGAGCAGCAATACGATCATTCAAAGATTTGTACCAACCAAACACAGTCACCTTGACTTCTTCAATCACAACTGTAGCTCCAGCAATAGATCCAGCAACAACTCCAACTTGACTTTGGCCTTCAGACTTCTTGACTTCTTCTTGCTTGTGCTTTTCTTCAGCCTTCTTGATTTCCTCTTGCTTGTGCTTTTCTTCTTCCTTGTGCTTGTGTTCAATAGCGGCTTCAATACCAGCTGCTCCAGCAACAACTGCTCCAACAGCAAGTGCACCACCAATAATAGCAGAAGTGTGGTGATGATCTTCCTTCTTCTTTTCTTGATCATGGTGTTCAACAGTCTTGCCAGCTTCACCTTGGATCACACCAGTCACCTTTTCTTGAGTGATAGTTACTTGGAGTTTTTCTTCAGTCACCTTGGTTAAAGAATGGAGTTTCTCAGCAGCAGACTTCTTGTCAGAAGACTTGATGACTTGCACACCAACAGCATGAGCTTCAACAGTTTGTTCAGTAATCAAAGTCTTGGATTTTTCAACAGCAATGGCAAGTTCTTGAGCAACCTTCTTGTCAGACGTGTTCTTGACTGCTTGATCCAATTGACCAAAGATAGTTTCCTTTTCTTTAGTGATCATGACTTGGATTTCTTCAGCAGAAGCACCTTCTTGTTGAGCGCGAGCAGCAATAGAACCAGTCAACTTCAACCACCATGCACGAACAGTTTCACGGACTTGTTCAACAGTAACAATAGTGATCACAGTTTGAGATTGATCATGAGAGATAACAGCTCCCTAAAATTACAAAACAAAAGAAAAAAAAAAGGAAAATAAATTCGAATTAGAATGCGTGTCATTTAAGAAGCACTTTTTTTTTTCTTACAGCCACATGTTCTTTCTTCTTGTCAGATTCAACATGACTTTCTACTTTCTTGACCTCTTCAACCGTAGGTTGCTACAAGATCAATCAATTGCATTAGAAGAGAAGAGGGAAGAGAAAGAAACACAAGAAATTAGTATAAACTCCGCATAAGAATCGTTTAATTTTTTTACCTTCGTTTCTCCCTTGACAACTAGGCCTTCAGTAACAGTCTCAGTAACCGTAACAGTAGTTGTCACCTTTTTGTCGCATTGATTGAGAGTCACGTGGAGTTGTTCTTCAGTAGCCTTAGCTTGAGCCTTCATTGTGGAAACACCACCCGTAGAATCTTTAGCAGCGACAGCTTGAATACCAATAGCTTGAATTTGAGTAGATTGCTGAGTGATCAATCCCTTAGCCCATGCAAGTGTAGAGGCAAATTGTTGTCCACTTGTGTGTGATCCAGTCTTCTTAGTGGTTTCATCCAATAACAAGGTGATTTCAGTAGTAGCCTTGGCAGTGATGGCTTCAATGTCCTTTTGTGCGTCCTTTCCACCTTGTTTGGCACGAGCAGAGACTTGTTCAATAAGACGGTCAAACCATGAAGTGATAGATACCTTAACGTAATCCACTACAACGACTTCTTTAGTGACCTTGGAGACTTCGCCATGAGACTTTCCTTGATCGACAACGACAACGCCAGCCGCATGGTGATCGTGTTGAGCAGATTCCTATAAATGTAGGAACAAAAAAAAAAAATATGATTAAAGAATTAAAATTTTTGAGAATTTTTTTTTTATTTTCCTACCTTCTTTTCAGCTTCCTTGTGGTCATGATGTTTCTTAGCAGCAAAGATTCCACCAGCTACGGCAACACCAGCAGCAATGGTACCAGCAATAGCACCAGTATGAGACTTGGATTTTTCAACATGTTCGTGAATAACTTGAGTAGATTCATCGAGATGAACATCAATCTTGCTCTTGGTCTTGTCGGTGGCAGTGTTGAGCTTATTCTTGATCACTTCAACATCAGTGGTAGTCTTGACGATAGTTTCCACTTCAGTCACTTGTTCCAAAACAGAACCTTGTACCTTTTGAAGAGCAACTTCTAGTTCAGCATTGGCTTTTTCGTTAGCACCCCATCCTTTGTTGGCCTTATCCTTGGATTCCTTGATGATCACATTCAATTCTTCACGAGCTTCTTTGGTAATACGTTCAACATCAGCCTTGGCATTATCACCACCTTGTTCCAAACGAGCAGCAACGCGGTCATTCAAAGACTTGTACCATCCAAACACAGTACCCTTGACATTTTCAATGACTGCACCAGCAGCAACGGCTCCAGCAGCAATGGCACCAGCATGAGACTTGGATTTTTCAACATGATCATGGATAACTTGGGTTGATTCATCGAGATGGACGTCAATCTTGGTCTTGGTCTTGTCGGTGGCAGTGTTGAGTTTGTTCTTGATCACTTCAACATCAGTGGTAGTCTTGACAATGGTTTCAACTTCAGTCACTTGTTCCAACACAGAACCTTGTACCTTTTGAAGAGCAACTTCTAGTTCAGCATTGGCTTTTTCGTTGGCACCCCATCCTTTGTTGGCCTTGTCCCTGGATTCTTTGATGATTACATTCAATTCTTCACGAGCTTCCTTGGTAATACGTTCGACATCAGCCTTGGCATTATCACCACCTTGAGCCAAACGAGCAGCAATACGATCATTCAAAGATTTGTACCAACCAAACACAGTCACCTTGACTTCTTCAATCACAACTGTAGCTCCAGCAATAGATCCAGCAACAACTCCAACTTGACTTTGGCCTTCAGACTTCTTGACTTCTTCTTGCTTGTGCTTTTCTTCAGCCTTCTTGATTTCCTCTTGCTTGTGCTTTTCTTCTTCCTTGTGCTTGTGTTCAATAGCGGCTTCAATACCAGCTGCTCCAGCAACAACTGCTCCAACAGCAAGTGCACCACCAATAATAGCAGAAGTGTGGTGATGATCTTCCTTCTTCTTTTCTTGATCATGGTGTTCAACAGTCTTGCCAGCTTCACCTTGGATCACACCAGCCACCTTTTCTTGAGTGATAGTTACTTGGAGTTTTTCTTCAGTCACCTTGGTTAAAGAATGGAGTTTTTCAGCAGCAGACTTCTTATCGGACGACTTGATAACTTGCACACCAACAGCATGAGCTTCAACAGTTTGTTCAGTAATCAAAGTCTTGGATTTTTCAACAGCAATAGCCAGTTCTTGAGCAACCTTCTTGTCAGAAGTATTCTTGACTGCTTGATCCAACTGACCAAAGATAGTTTCCTTTTCTTTAGTGATCATGACTTGAATTTCTTCAGCAGAAGCACCTTCTTGTTGAGCGCGAGCAGCAATAGAACTAGCCAACTTCAACCACCATGCACGAACAGTTTCACGGACTTGTTCAACAGTAACAATAGTGATCACAGTTTGAGATTCATTATGAGAGACAACAGCTCCCTAAAATTACAAAACAAAAGAGAAAAAAAAAAGGGAAAGTAAATTCAAATTAGAATGAGTGTCGTTTAAGAGATATTTTTTTTTCTTACAGTTTCAGTCTTGGCCTTGTGTTCATGTTCCTTTAAAGCAATGGCACCAGCAACACCAGCAACCACACCAGCAGCCAAATGTTCCTTCTTCTTGTCAGATTCAACATGACTTTCTACTTTCTTGACTTCTTCAACCGTAGGCTGCTACAAGATCAATCAATTGAATGAGCAGAAAAGAAGAGGGAAGAAAGAAAGAAAGAAAAGAAATCAGTATAAAGTCCGCATAAGATTTTTTTTTTTTTTTACCTTCGTTTCTCCCTTGACAACGAGGCCTTCAGTAACAGTCTCAGTAACCGTAACAGTAGTGGTCACCTTCTTGTCGCATTGATTGAGAGTCACATGGAGTTGTTCTTCAGTTGCCTTAGCTTGAGCCTTCATTGTAGAAACACCACCCGTAGAATCTTTAGCAGCGACAGCTTGAATACCAATAGCTTGAATTTGAGTAGATTGTTGAGTGATCAATCCCTTAGCCCATGCAAGTGTAGAGGCAAATTGTTGTCCACTTGTATGTGATCCAGTCTTCTTAGTGGTTTCATCCAATAACAAAGTGATTTCAGCAGTAGCCTTGGCAGTGATGGCTTCAATGTCCTTTTGTGCGTCCTTTCCACCTTGTTTGGCACGAGCAGAGACTTGTTCAATAAGACGGTCAAACCATGAAGTGATAGATACCTTAACGTAATCCACTACAACGACTTCTTTAGTGACCTTGGAGACTTCGCCATGAGACTTTCCTTGATCGACAACGACAACGTCAGCCGCATGGTGATCGTGTTGAGCAGATTCCTATAAATGAAGGAACAAAAAAAAAAAATTAAAGCATTACAAATTTTGAGAATTTTATTTTTATTTTCTTACCTTCTTTTCAGCTTCCTTGTGGTCATGATGTTTCTTAGCAAAGATTCCACCAGCTACGGCAACACCAGCAGCAATGGTACCAGCAATAGCACCAGTATGAGACTTGGATTTTTCAACATGTTCGTGAATAACTTGAGTAGATTCATCGAGATGAACGTCAATCTTGGCCTTGGTCTTGTCATTGGCAGTGTTGAGTTTGTTCTTGATTACGTCAACATCAGTAGTAGTCTTGACAATAGTTTCAACTTCAGTCACTTGTTCCAGAACAGAACCTTGAACCTTTTGAAGAGCAACTTCTAGTTCAGCATTGGCTTTTTCGTTGGCACCCCATCCTTTGTTAGCCTTGTCCTTGGATTCTTTGATGATCACATTCAATTCTTCGCGAGCTTCCTTGGTAATACGTTCAACATCAGCCTTGGCATTATCATCACCTTGTTCCAAACGAGCAGCAATACGGTCGTTCAAAGATTTGTACCATCCAAACACAGTACCCTTGACATTTTCAATGACTGCACCAGCAGCAATAGTTCCAGCAACGGCTCCAGCAGCAATGGCACCAGCATGAGACTTGGACTTTTCAACATGATCATGGATCACTTGGGTTGATTCATCGAGATGAACATCAATCTTGGCCTTGGTCTTGTCATTGGCAGTGTTGAGTTTGTTCTTGATCACTTCAACATCAGTGGTAGTCTTGACAATAGTTTCAACTTCAGTCACTTGTTCCAACACAGAACCTTGTACCTTTTGAAGAGCAACTTCTAGTTCAGCATTGGCTTTTTCGTTGGCACCCCATCCTTTGTTGGCCTTGTCCTTGGATTCTTTGATGATTACATTCAATTCTTCACGAGCTTCCTTGGTAATACGTTCGACATCAGCCTTGGCATTATCACCACCTTGAGCCAAACGAGCAGCAATACGATCATTCAAAGATTTGTACCAACCAAACACAGTCACCTTGACTTCTTCAATCACAACTGTGGCTCCAGCAATAGATCCAGCAACAACTCCAACTTGACTTTGACCTTCAGACTTCTTGACTTCTTCTTGCTTGTGCTTTTCTTCAGCCTTCTTGATTTCTTCTTGCTTGTGCTTTTCCTCTTCCTTGTGCTTGTGTTCAATGGCGGCTTCAATACCAGCTGCTCCAGCAACAACTGCTCCAACAGCAAGTGCACCACCAATAATAGCAGAAGTGTGATGATGATCTTCCTTCTTCTTTTCTTGATCATGGTGTTCAACAGTCTTGCCAGCTTCACCTTGGATCACACCAGTCACCTTTTCTTGGGTAATGGTTACTTGGAGTTTTTCTTCAGTCACCTTGGTTAGAGAATGGAGTTTTTCAGCAGCAGACTTCTTATCGGACGACTTGATAACTTGCACACCAACAGCATGAGCTTCAACAGTTTGTTCAGTAATCAAAGTCTTGGATTTTTCAACAGCAATAGCCAGTTCTTGAGCAACCTTCTTGTCAGAAGTATTCTTGACTGCTTGATCCAATTGACCAAAGATAGTTTCCTTTTCTTTAGTGATGATGACTTGAATTTCTTCAGCAGAAGCACCTTCTTGTTGAGCACGAGCAGCAATAGAACTAGCCAACTTCAACCACCATGTGCGTACAGTTTCACGGACTTGTTCAACAGTAACAATAGTGATCACAGCTTGAGATTCATCATGAGAGACAACAGTTCCCTAAAATTACAAAACAAAAGAGAAAAAAAAAAGGGAAGTAAATTCAAATTAGAATGAGTGTCGTTTAAGAAATATTTTTTTTTCTTACAGTTTCAGTCTTGGCCTTGTGTTCATGTTCTTTCAAAGCAATGGCACCAGCAACACCAGCAACCACACCAGCAGCCACATGTTCCTTCTTCTTGTCAGATTCAACATGACTTTCGACTTTCTTGACTTCTTCAACCGTAGGTTGCTACAAGATCAATCAATTGCATTAGAAAAGAAGAGGGAAGAAAGAAAGAAAGACAAGAAATTAGTATAAACTCCGCATAAGAAACGTTTAATTTTTTTATTTTTTATTTTTTATTTTTTTACCTTCGTTTCACCCTTGACAACTAGGCCTTCAGTAACAGTCTCAGTAACCGTAACAGTAGTGGTCACCTTCTTGTCGCATTGATTGAGAGTAACATGGAGTTGTTCTTCAGTAGCCTTAGCTTGAGCCTTCATTGTAGAAACACCACCCGTAGAATCTTTAGCAGCAACAGCTTGAATACCAATAGCTTGAATTTGAGTAGATTGTTGAGTGATCAATCCCTTAGCCCATGCAAGTGTAGAGGCAAATTGTTGTCCACTTGTGTGTGATCCAGTCTTCTTAGTGGTTTCATCCAATAACAAGGTGATTTCAGTAGTAGCCTTGGCAGTGATGGCTTCAATGTCCTTTTGTGCGTCCTTTCCACCTTGTTTGGCACGAGCAGAGACTTGTTCAATAAGACGGTCAAACCATGAAGTGATAGATACCTTAACGTAATCCACTACAACGACTTCTTTAGTGACCTTGGAGACTTCGCCATGAGACTTTCCTTGATCGACAACGACAACGTCAGCCGCATGGTGATCGTGTTGAGCAGATTCCTATAAATGAAGGAACAAAAAAAAAAAAATTAAAGCATTACAAATTTTGAGAATTTTATTTTTATTTTCTTACCTTCTTTTCAGCTTCCTTGTGGTCATGATGTTTCTTAGCAAAGATTCCACCAGCTACGGCAACACCAGCAGCAATGGTACCAGCAATAGCACCAGTATGAGACTTGGATTTTTCAACATGTTCGTGAATAACTTGAGTAGATTCATCGAGATGAACGTCAATCTTGGCCTTGGTCTTGTCATTGGCAGTGTTGAGTTTGTTCTTGATTACGTCAACATCAGTAGTAGTCTTGACAATAGTTTCAACTTCAGTCACTTGTTCCAGAACAGAACCTTGAACCTTTTGAAGAGCAACTTCTAGTTCAGCATTGGCTTTTTCGTTGGCACCCCATCCTTTGTTAGCCTTGTCCTTGGATTCTTTGATGATCACATTCAATTCTTCACGAGCTTCTTTGGTAATACGCTCAACATCAGCCTTGGCATTATCACCACCTTGTTCCAAACGAGCAGCAATACGATCGTTCAAAGACTTGTACCAACCAAACACAGTACCCTTGACACTTTCAATGACTGCACCAGCAGCAACAGTTCCAGCAATGGCTCCAGCTGCAATAGCACCGGCGTGAGACTTAGATTTTTCAACATGTTCGTGAATAACTTGAGTAGATTCATCGAGATGGACGTCAATCTTGGCCTTGGTCTTGTCGGTAGCAGTGTTGAGTTTGTTCTTGATCACTTCAACATCAGTGGTAGTCTTGACAATAGTTTCAACTTCAGTCACCTGTTCCAAGACAGAACCTTGTACCTTTTGAAGAGCAACTTCGAGTTCTGCGTTGGCTTTTTCATTGGCACCCCATCCTTTGTTGGCCTTGTCCTTGGATTCCTTGATGATCACATTCAATTCTTCGCGAGCTTCCTTGGTAATGCGTTCAACGTCAGTCTTGGCATTATCACCACCTTGAGCCAAACGAGCAGCAATGCGATCATTCAAAGATTTGTACCAACCAAACACAGTCACCTTGACTTCTTCAATCACAACTGTAGCTCCAGCAATAGATCCAGCAACAACTCCAACTTGACTTTGGCCTTCAGACTTCTTGACTTCTTCTTGCTTGTGCTTTTCTTCAGCCTTCTTGATTTCCTCTTGCTTGTGCTTTTCTTCTTCCTTGTGCTTGTGTTCAATAGCGGCTTCAATACCAGCTGCTCCAGCAACAACTGCTCCAACAGCAAGTGCACCACCAATAATAGCAGAAGTGTGGTGATGATCTTCCTTCTTCTTTTCTTGATCATGGTGTTCAACAGTCTTGCCAGCTTCACCTTGGATCACACCAGTCACCTTTTCTTGAGTGATAGTTACTTGGAGTTTTTCTTCAGTCACCTTGGTTAAAGAATGGAGTTTTTCAGCAGCAGACTTCTTGTCAGAAGACTTGATGACTTGCACACCAACAGCATGAGCTTCAACAGTTTGTTCAGTAATCAAAGTCTTGGATTTTTCGACAGCAATAGCCAGTTCTTGAGCAACCTTCTTGTCAGAAGTATTCTTGACTGCTTGATCCAATTGACCAAAGATAGTTTCCTTTTCTTTAGTGATGATGACTTGAATTTCTTCAGCAGAAGCACCTTCTTGTTGAGCACGAGCAGCAATAGAACCAGTCAACTTCAACCACCATGCACGAACAGTTTCACGGACGTGTTCGACTGTAACAATAGTGACGGTTTCCTTATGAGACGATTCAACAGTGGCAGTTTGCTATGTAATAATCCAGTAATAAAAAAAAAAAAAAGAGAGAGAGAGAGAGAGAAAAAGATGCAGTGATAAGTAACTACTTTTAAATAAAATATATATGTGACATAGAAACGACAAAAAAAAAAAAGACATCATACCTGTTTGTCTTGATGATCATGAGCAATGGCAAGAGCACCACCTACAGCAGTGACACCAGTGGCAACGACGGCAGCTTCATGGAGACGATCAGTCTTGGCCTTTTCGACATGACCTTCAATAGTGGAGACGGAATGGTCAAAATGAGTGTTGATGGTTGATTTGGTTTTTTCAGCCACTTGAGCAAGTTTTTCCTTGATGGAGTCTACTTCAGTAGTCTTGCTTGTTTTGACAATGGTTTCGACTTGATTGATTTGCTCAGAGACAGATCCTTCGACCTTTTGGATAGCCACTTCGAATTCGGAGACAGCATGTTCACTTGTAGAGTTGTATTCCTTGTGAGCCTTGTCTTTTGTGTCCTTAATAAGCACAGCAAATTCTTCACGAGATTCCTTGGTAATACGTTCGACATCAGCCTTGGTATCATCGCCGCCTTGTTCCAAACGAGCAGATACACGACGGTTGAAACGGAGGAACCATTGGTACACGATCACCTTAAATTCTTCAACGGTAATAACGACGTTACTGGATGAAGTATGGTGTTCCTGGGTAACTGTAGAGGTGTGATCTTCAGTTGTAGTAGTAGCGATTGGAGTTGCCTTGACAGTTTCAACAGCATCGATGGTGGCGCCCTTTTCAATGGAAGCGGTAATACTAGCATGTGTTTCTTCCTTGGTAGTAGTATCGTTGTGTGCAGCACGCTTGCCAAACACTGGTGTAGAGAAACTCCATCGGACTAAAGTGAATTCAGATTGTTGTTTCTTGGTGGAAACAAGGAGAACAGCAGTGTCGTGTTGGACTTGAGTACCAGCAAAACCCAAAGCAAAGAGATCTTCAGAGATTTCTTCAGTATGAATATGTCCATCAACGTTCAAGTTCCATTTGTAACCTTCAGTGTCAGTGACCATAATCAAAGACGAATCTAGATTTAAAAAAAAAATATGATGTTAGTACTTAGGAACATCAATTATTGTTTTTTTTTTAATATATTACGTACCTTTTATACCAATAGCACGAGAAGATCCATAGTTGATCAGACGATTATCACGGAAGGTCCATAATTGATGTTTAAAGTGCGAGAAGGAAATCTTCTTGATGATCAGGGAAGAGGACTTTTGATCTTCAGCCAAAACAAACTCTTCGCCACCAGCATTGATCTTGATGAAGAACCAAGGAGCAGTAGGGAAGAAAGCACGACGACGAGTGATTGTCCAAGTGGTAGTGGTGATACGACGTTGTTCTTGAATCCAAGTAATAGCCTTGGTACGTGCTTGAACAGCTTCAGCAGCAGATGTTTCGTCAGACAATTCAGGAGTATACAATTCCCAATGTTGAGAAGCTTGAGAGGCATCTTGAGTAGTTTCCAAAAGATGAGCACCAGAAGAAGAGCGTGTGAAACGAAGATAGTAAATAATAGTACGGATACGTAATGTGATGATGCCATTGGAATCAATAGCAAAGGTTTGATCAGTTTCTTGGGTGGTGTCTACGAGAATCCATCGTTGAGCTAACGGTAAAAAGTTACAAAAAAAAAAAAATGAGTATATCCGTAGTAGTACAAATCTCGTTATATATATATATATATATATATATATATATATATAGATATAAAATGATTTTACTCACTTTTTTGACACAAAACCAAACGGAGGAGGTAACGGTAGTTGATCAAATAACCATCAACAAAAGTCCAAAGGAAACGCTTGTGATCATCGTGTTCACCAAGTTGATGAATGCCCACACCATGATCTTTTTCAGTACCAGCGGCCAAGAACAAATTATCACTACCATAACTAATCATGAACCATTTTTCAGACCATTGGGAGGTGGTAGTGGTAGTACGATGTAACTTGTGGAACCATTTGAAGGACAATGCAGCAATAGCAGCAGAAGCAGCAGCAGCAGCAACGGTACCAGCAATGACAGTAGCACTTGAAGTAGAATCCGTAACGGTGGAAGAAGATTGAGTAGGAGGCACAACAATCTTGGAACCATGAGAATCAGAAGAAGGCACAGGAATCATACTGGGGATGATGATTTCCCATCGTTGTTCAGAGCGAGGATATTTGGACTTGACATGGGTCTTTTCTTCGAGCAAAAATACGTCAATGGATTCATATTTGTCAGATCGTTCCAATTCCTTGACTGAGAGTACATAAGAGCGGCGAGCCTTGAGATATACTAAACCTTCCAAACCCCATGCCCATTGTTGATCATCAGCTACGTCGGCGGAGGATTTTTGCTTGGACAAATGCACACGTTCACCTGCAGTGGTAACCAAAGCTGAGGAAGCATCCAGAACAAAGGAATCACCCTTTAAATTCACAAGGAATCCGTCCCGGAAGGACCAAAGCTGGCTAGCAAAGTTGGTAGAGCGCATACGAGTAAGAACAACCCGAGCATTTTCTTGAATTGTATCACCCAAAACATCCAAAACATAACCATGGAGATCACTCTTAATGAAGAAATAACCGGTTTCGGGGAACGTACTGGCTTGATGAGTTTTGAATCGTACGATCTTTTCATATCCAGTAGGGACATAACCTTCAGCGAGAATGAAAGAATCCTTCTTGCCCACACGACGAGAGCGACGTTTGGATTGACTCGTTCCACTAGCAGTAGAGAGACCAGAATCGGAAGCTTCAGCCAAAGACTAAATAATAAATATATTAATACTTGTTCGTCTCTATTTTTTTTTATTATTTTTTTTTATCTTACCCCTTCATCATCATCATCTTCAGCTTCTAAAATTTCTTCTTCTGATTCATTTTCAGAGTCATCATCAGTAGTATCAGCTTCAGAATCGGATTCACCAGCAGATTCGTCATCTTCTTGGACAGCGAGTTGATGATCTTCAACACTTTCCAATTCACCTTCAATAGCAGCAGCAGCACCAACAGCGGTAGCAGCAGCGGCAGCAGCGACTGTAGAAGTACTTGAAGTGGTTGTAGTAACGGTACGATAAACAGGAGTAGTGAATCCCCATCTCATCCATTCTTCAGAAACCAAAGTAGCAACTTGTTTGTTTTCAGAGACGACTCGGTTAACCTTGATAGATTTGATACCAATTTGTGCACCATCAAAAGTAGCTCGTTCCTTTTTAGCCACAGTAATAATCATACGAGCATTGGATTGCCAATGGATTTCACCGTGAACGCCCAAAGCAAAGAATTGACTATCATCCATAGAGATTTCACGAACACAAGCAGGGGCTTGAAGGCCTTGTTCAATCAAAATATTCTTGCCATTTTGTTGTACATCTAAAGCTAAACCAGTTTGAGCATTGATAAGATGACCATCACGGTAAGTCCAGAGTTGCCACTTGTGAGCCTTGAAGTTCATAGGGCGTAAAGTGACTAAATGTTCCTTGACATTTTCAGCAATAGGAGAGGACTCTACAGTCAAAGCGTAACGTTCAGAACCAAAGGCCATGCGGACAAAGAAGGCTTCTTGAGGGAAGACACCCCATCTACGGATCACAGTCTTCTTGACAGTACGTTGATAAGTTTGACGATCAGAACGAGTTTGAGTAGCTTCAGAGGAACCATCCACAACGATATCAGTTGTAGACTTGTTGGCAGTAAGACCGATGGAGATGACAGCACCACTACGGTTACGGAAGACAGGAGTAGCGAATGTCCATTGTTGTTCCAAATGATCCAAAGCGCCACGAGCCACCAAAGTTAATTCTACACCATCATGTACCTTGGCATTCTTTTTGGGAGCAAGTACCAAACCAGGACGAGATTCAGGATGAATATGACCATCTACAGATAATCCCCACATTTGATTCTTACGATGGCGACGCAAGAATTTTTCATTCCATTGAATAATGTTGGATCCTTGAGTCAATTGACCACCAGCAACATCGATCACATAATCAGTAGCGAAGTTCACCAAACATTGATCATCTCGAGTATGCCAAAGTTGATGTTTGTAGTTCTTGAAATCCAATTTAGCGAGAACAAGTTTGGCTCCCTTCTTGGATGTAGATGCCGTGAGAACCAAATTGGCATCTTGCTTAGAGCGAATAAAGATCCATTGCTTGGGGAAAATACCATAAGCCTTGGTCACCAATTGATGTTGAGATAAGCCTAAATAAAAATTGAATGAGTTATGAAGTCATGCTACAATAATAATAATAATAATAATAATAATATATATGTAATACATACTTCTTTGAGAGGCAATAGTCAAGATATAGCGACGGAATCGAATAAGAGTTTCTTTTTCATAATGACCATAGAGGACAGACCAAGAAATGTGTTGACGAGATTTCTTTACATCGACCAATTCAATAACAGAATGGCCACCTAAACCGAGAGATCCATTGATTCCTGAAACAATAGTTCCATCAGTTTTGATTGTCCATTGTTGACGTTCATCAGCACGGCCATCTTTTCCAATTGCTTCAGAACGAATTTCCAAACGATTGCCATCCGTCAAATCTAAACATACAAAGAGATAAATAAGGGAAAATCAGTATCACATACACACAAAAAAAAAATAAATAAAAACCTTATATATGCTTCTTTATTTACCTTCACAGTGTAAGACAAGGCCAGTAGCCACATGAACCAGATAACCATTCTTGAAGCACCAACGGAAAGCAGAATGCTCTTCAATAGTCAAAGATCGTGTAGTAAGACTAGAGAAAGCCTCAGATTTTTCAGGTATCAAAGCATCACCATTAGGACCAGTAATGAAGAATGTTTGTTGAGGCCAGGTAGCAATAGCAGCAGAAAGTTTTTGAACATTGGAGGATGAAGATGATCCACCACTGATATTGCGCCATTCCTTAAGAATAGCCATTTTCCATGACAATAAAATTTGAATATCATGTTGTACGGTGAATTCAGGAATTAAGAAACCCCATCGATAAGCTTGTTGTTGAAGTTGATCCACATGTGATAGAACCAAAGTATTATCCTTGGGTACCAAAGCAAGAGTAGGTTCACTGGCTTGAATAAAATGACCATCCACAGTCAAAGTCCAAAGTTGATTCTTGTATAAATTTTGTTGGTGATCTTGTTTCACAGTTTCGCCTGCAGCTAAACCTTAAAAATAGAAATAGAAAAAAAAATTGAGTACAAATCCCTTACTTCTATCCATGTGTTTCATCAACATTCTTTTTTTTTTTTTTTTTTTTTTTTACCATTCACATTAACAGCTAATTGAGTTTCATAGTTCACAATCGTTCCACCAACGTAAGTCCAAAGTTGATGATGCCAGTTTTCACGGTCCAAAGTAGCTAAATGAATACCTTGTTTATCTTCATTGGCAGTCAATACTTGAGGAGCATCCAAAGATGATCCGGGTAAGAATGAACGAATAAAGAACCAACCACGAGGATATTGAGCATAACGATGAACGACAGTTTTCTTGACGGTAGTGGCAGTAGTGGTAGTAACAGCACGAGAAGCTATAAATTCATAAAAAACAATTGTTAATTGAATTGGATAGTCCTCTTTTTTTTTTTTATTATTTTGTTAACTTACATTGTTTCTTTTTGAAAACAGGCAAAACAAAATTCCATCGCTGTTCCTTGACACCATTAGGGAGTTGTTCGGATAAGAATACACGAGATCGTACCTTTTCATTTTCTTGAACTGTCAAAACAAAGTTGGATTTAGCCTTGATATAAATGCTACCATCCTTGTTCAAAGCCCATTGTTGATTTTCATTATCCTTTTTCTTTTCCTTGTACTGACAAAGAGCAGCACCTTTGACGATAGAACCTAAAAATAAATTGATAAGTCATCTGATTTTTTTTTACTTTTCTTTTTGGATCTTGTATCACCCTATTTACCTCCTTTGACATCCAAAACCAAATCGGATGCTTTGTTGATCAAGTAACCATTCTTATGTTTCCATAATTGACGAGCATAATTGGCAGTATCCAGACGTAAAGCACTAACTTCGGCAGCCAAAGTTCCAGATTCCAAAACAGATAAGACCAAACCTTGAGATTGACTTTTGACAAAGAACCATCCATCAGGGAATTGACACTTGGAAGTATCAGCAACGTTGCTAGTAGCAGCTCTCTTTTTGAAAATAGGTAATACCACTTGGAAATTTTGATGTTGATGTTGTTTGTTGTTTGTTTTTTGAATATAAATATGAGCACCTTCACGATTGAGACTAAACCAGCTATCCTTGAAACCCAAGACCCAAGAAGAATCGTTTTTCAAACATAATTGACCAGATTTTGTCCATTCCCATTCTTGATATGCTTTGTTAGAGACAGCAGCTTGACATACATGAGCGTCATCTTTCAATTCTTCCACAGTGAGTACCAAACCTGAGTGCTTGTTGATAATATGATGAGTTGATTCATTGAATGTCCAAAGTTGAGTATCATAAGCAGTTTTTCTGAATGAATCAATAGTCAAACGTGTACCAGATTTGGATGATACGGCGCTTGCTTCGATACCAATATAATAACCAGTTGTCACTGATTTTAAAAAGAATTCACCAGTAGGGAAAGTACCAGTTACCACAGATTTGTGACCTTCATCTTGATCATCAACACTTGAAGCTACAGAAGCAGCATCTAAAAGGAAAAAATAAATAAAAAATAAAGATGAATAAAATAAAATAATAAAAAAAAAGATGAATGATTATTATATTATTATTATTTTAATTTATTTTACCATCAAGACTTCCAACAGTACTAATACTAGCACTTTTCTTGAGACTGCCAACGGAACTGATACTGTTACTTTTCTTCAAACTTGCGACGGAGCTATGAATAGAAGTAGATTGCTTCACCACAGGCAAAACAAAATCCCAACGTTGTTCTTTTTTGTCCAAATGCTTCTTGTCAGCTAATTGCAAATGAACATGAAGACCTTCACGTCGAGAGAAGAATGATTCCTTGATACCCAAAACCAAAGAATCATGAGATTTGACATAAATATGACCGTGATTTGAGAGACCAAAAGATTGATGATGACCTTTTTCAGTAGAGGCAATTTGTTGAACAATATCACTACCAGCTTTGACCTTGCCTGAAAGAATTGAATACCAAAAAAAAAAAAAGTAAATATCGATATTTTCATACACGCACACACAAACACAAAAAAAAAAGAGATAATTATTTTTTTTTTATTACCATGAGCAATATCCATAACTTGACCGGATTTTTTATTCACAAGTCGACTTTGATCATCAATTCGCCAAAGTTGAGCATCGGATTCCTTTGTACGAATAGTAGACAAAACAATAGGAGAACCAGTAGAATGAGATCCATCTTCAAGAGACAAAACATATCCATTTAGTTGATTTTTGATGAAAAACCATCCATCAGGGAAAGATTCACTTTTTTCAAACATTGATAAGAATTAAAAAGAAAAAACTGGGAAAAATGCTTTTTTTTCTTTTTTTGGAAGAATAAAAAAAAAGAGAGAGAGAGAGAGATAGAGGGTATAGAAAATAAAAAAAAAATATAAAGAGAAAATAAATCAAATTCAAATAAAAAAGATAGTTTAAAAAAGAGTTGGAGATCTCTTTTGTATGCTAATCCTTTAGTAATGAAGATTGAAAAAGAAAAAAAGAGAAAAGAAAAGAAAAAGAAAAAAAAATGAAAAAGTAACGTTTGTAGCGCGCTCAACCGTCAGCGGGGAATCAAAAATAAACGATGTTGATTGGCTGTCACTTTTGAACCTGCTAAAAAAAAAATAAGCATAAAGAGTTTTTTGGGGGGAGTAGTAGTGAAAGGTGAAATGGATTCAAACATGCTTAATTCTTTACCTTGTCAGGACTGAAATCCGAAATCAAAGGTATCACCAAATCCATAAAAGTGATTCTTTGTAACTCTTGTACTTCATTGATGGTTCCAAAGGTTAAAAGGGATGATGTATTATTTCCGGTGACACTTGGTAGCACCTTTTATGGCTATCATCGTTTCCCTTCCCTCTTTTTTTTTTTCTTTTTTTTTTTTTTGTTGATGTGAAAATCATCAAGTAAAACAAAAAGCAAAACACCAAATGATCAATCGTAAACAAGACCTTCATACATTTACTTTCAATGGATCTAAAGAAAAAAATAATACATAAACTTTATTAAGGGAAAAAAAAAAGTGCTTCAATTTTTTTTTTTTATTTTTTGCCATCAAAGATCCTATGTCATACAACATGTACTAAAAGAGATGGTAGACTAAAAATGACAATAGATACCCTAAAAAACAAAGCTGATGATGATGATGATGATGATGATCCTAATGATTTTGTTGCATGATGTTTTTATATCTCAGTAGTTTGTTTCTTTTGATGTTACAAACATATAAACGATGGTTCATCATTAAAGGTGAGTATGACATGATCGATAGTTATTATGCAATCAAGTTTTCATCATCTTACTATTATTAAACTTTATAGCGTGACCTAGACTCTGGTCTGTTTCCCTTTTATTTAAGGTTTTGTGCAATCTTCAAATCGTACACATTATACATATACTTTATATTGACACTCACACTCGGACAGTCTTCCGAGATTCTGGCCCATAGAAGGTATCTTTTGTTCAATCCCCGCAATTTTTCTTTGGTGGTTGCCATCATCTTTTTTTTTTTTTACATGATGAAGGTGATTAAAGAAATCATATTTTTTTTTATTTGTATATATATATATATATAAAAGAGAAGTAACCATCAAACTATGTTTTATTGTTTACTTCTTGCATTGTTGTCCGTGTTTACCGTTTTGTTTTTTTATTTGTTTGTTTGTTTTTTTTTTATTCATCTTGTTAGAGCATAGTCTAAATAAATATCTTGAACAAAATAATCCTTTATAATAAAATGATTAACATCTTTTTTTTTTGTGGCTCATTTCGATCATCCATTGGTATTTTTTTTAAAACTCCAAAAACAAAATGATTAGTTATGATATCTTCTATACGTATAAAAAAAAAACCATTGTGGCTATTTTGAGGATGATGAACAACTATAAAGTGATACGTTACCAAACTCGCGAACTCCGAATTAAGGTTCAAGGTAGACACTTTTTTGTGCCACACTTTTTTTTTTTTTTTTTTTTGCTTTTCGTTACAAAATAAGTTTCGCATTTTAATTTTCCTTTTTCAGTCACATTTCCTCAAAAATTTCAAAGATGAAATTTATACTATATTCATCCTATTACATATTTATTCATAATAGTGAACAAATTTTCATATTATTGAATGTAAATCATGAAGAAATGTTCTTTTGTTTGTACGCCCTTAAACTCAATTGAATTGGATTTTAGGTCGGAGCTGCTGCATGAATCCCTTTATGCAGTGTTTTTACCTTTTTTTCGTTATGTCCATAAATCATCCCTGAATCGGATTCGTTTCAAGTTTGTTCTCCCCCCACTCTTCTTGAGTAGAACGAAAATAGATCCTTTGCTAATAACAGAATCTCTATGAAAAAGAATATCTAGAAAAGGATGGTGTTGGCTGGATTTTTTTTTCTATTATGATGGTACCTGATTTTTTTTATTTTGTCGATGAGCGGATGATGAAATGATTACCATTTCTAGTTCAACAGATAGTTTCCTAATATGGTGTTCTTTTCGATTGATTTCGTACCTGTCATCATGATGGATCATTCACTAATGGAAGAGTTTAATTCTCATCAATTCCCATAGAGAAAGAGAGAAAGAATGACGCACGGATCATTATCGTCATCATTATCATCATCATTATTTTTTTATATCTAAAATGGAAAATTGAAAACCAAAGACCCTTTTTTTTTCTTTTTCTTTTTTTTTTTTTAAAAATAAGTCATAAATTCAATTGATCATTATACTGTGCTTTCTTATGACTATTATGATATTGTAATCATTCAACCATTTTATTCAATAAATGTTCTATGAACAGCTGAACAACAAGTCGTGTAACAGCCAATAACATCACAAATGTGCCGCATCATAGTTCAAAACTTTATAAAAATGTATTTTTTTTTTTGTGAATAGTGATGATAGTAGCTTATAGGAATCTTTTCTGTTTATAGTTGGTATCGCGTGGGGTAGGATGGCGTCAAACTTCGTTTACAATTTCCAAAACCTAATCGATCATGATTATTCTTGTTTAGATCAAATAATGATACTCTGGTGATAATGATACATGTGCTGCATGAATTTTTTCAATTTTTGGTTCTCGGGATTTCAATTCGTTGAACAGAAAGAGCACATGGAATACAAAGAGATCATTGATATGTTTCGATTGTCAAGTATTTTTTTTTTTTCACTCTTAGTTTTAGGAATTTTGTAGATGAAGTATTAATTAAATCGGATTGGCTTTTTCTCCATATATCATCGGATATCAAAGGAACAACAATGAACAAAACTGACATATATATATATATATAATAGACAATGAAAACTGATAGAAATTGATGTCAATGAGGCAAGGGAAAAAAAATTATTTAAAGCCTTTTCTTCCTTCACCCATTAATGCTCATACTTTTTTTTCAACTTGATTCCTTACATAAAAAAAATAATAATAAAAAAAAAAGAAATCATTATGTATGTATGTTCAACGCCAATACGAATGCAAGCTGCTGGTCAACTACGATGGTATGCCACAGAGGATATACTACAATACGTTTATCGATTACGCAACTACTTGCTGGAAACCCCAGGGAAATTGTCACCCACCTTTATATCGACCCATCGCTTAAATCCAATAGATACCACTTTTCTTTTTGATGGTGATCAACGATTTCCTGCTCAGACGGCCTATATCTGTGAAGCTATTGGTGGATGGAATGATTTACTCCAACGTCTTCAACTCTTGACCTCGCTTGCAATTCATAATAATCGATTATTACGTGGATACAGTAGTATTACTACACAAGGTGATGCTGAAATGATTTTGCTTCGCGTGATTGATGAAATCATCCAAGCCTTCGAAGCTGGTGAGGGATTCATTGATCGAGATGCTTTTGAGGAACGTTATGAACTGGTCTGGCGTAATAAAGATGATGAATATATGGATATTTTTGAACAAAGAATGAGTGATGTTAATCGATCAAACAATAAGTAGTCATGATGATGACAATTTCCTCGTCATTCGTTCTCTTTCATTTAGTATAATATCCAAACTTATTATTATAAATAAAATGAATCATTCCAATTTTTTTTTTTTTTTGGTCTCGTGCTTTATTCATACCGATGTGGTTCATTGAAGGCTTTGTAGAATACAGAATATATGAAAGTTAGTCAGATTTTTCGAGTACCTTTTTTTTTCTTCACTTTCTCTCTGCTAATACACATTGAATTTTATTTCAATTGATTTCATACAAACAAAATGCGTTCATATTATCTTTTGACACCATACTAACCAAGAAAATGAATTTTGTCATAAAACAAAAAATAAATAAATTGAATGTCTACATAAATATATTGATATCAAAACGTTCTAGAATATTTATTTTTTCAATATATATATCAACTAACAAACTAAAGTTCACCGTGATATGAAGTATGCACAAAAGGATATAGTTTCGAATCAAGTTCGGACGAATCCATGGTAAAGGAAGTAGGACTATCGACCGCAGACATTGAAGAAGACAAAGCTCCTTGGGTATATCTAATCAATATAACAAAAAAAAAAAAAAAAAAAAAAGAAAAGGTCAATGTCAAAGATACGCAGTCCCTGCAAAACACACCTATGCTGTTCCCGATCCTTGTTCTTTTTTTTTTCTTTTACCTTCCACAATCAAATTCCCATAATGGTAACCATTGAGCTTCTTGACATGATGCTTGATTCCAAGATAAGCCATAAGATAATGGAGCATATAGATAAAAGATAGTTATAATGATCATGATCCACAGAGAGGCAACAGACCAACGAGAAAGAGATGCACGGAAAGCCGATATCGTTTTTGTTGAAGTGGTCATTACTTGAGAAGTAGAAGATGTAGATGAACGGTGAACAGGGGAGCTTGGAGCAGAAGGAGACCATTTCTGTAACACACAATCAAAGCCAACACCAAATACCAAGAGAGCACAGTAAAGAGCTGGAAGGTAATGATGTAAAAATAATTGTCGACCCATCAAATAAAAAGGAAGATAATGGAATGCCCATGCCATGGTATAAAATCCAGCTGCTTGTTCATAATACTGTTGGCGAAGAGGATTGAATTTTTCCTTAATCTGACGATGAGCACGGACCTTGAAGAAGCTGAAAAGAATTAAAAAAGTAAAGATCGATATAGTACTTGCCCAATATAATGCAGGATTTCCCAAAAAATAAATATGACGTTGATCTCTGGCCCAGAAAGATACACCTCGTCGAAGCATTGGCCAGTCAGGAGGTCGAGATTGATAAGGATGAGTTTCAGTCAAATCTCTGTTGGCAGTCCACATACGTTGATGAAGTTCTTTGAATTTCATCCAAAAACTAGAATGAGGATAGTTGACTTTGGTTGTATTATCAGGTACTATAAAATTAGAATAGGGATTAGTTATATATATATATATATATATATATATATATATATATTATACTATATTATAACTTACATAGATCATGATGTGTTTCTTCTACCATCCATAATGTTTTAGGTAATTTTCCATTTTGAATACAGGCTACTTCTTGTTGTCCAAATCCCCAATCAGGTAATCTCTTATTTCCAGAATACAAAGCACATGATTGCATAGGATGAATAAGTTGAAATGTTGTTCGTAGTGTTTGTAGCCGCCCATATTTATCGTCGTTGCCTTCACTTTTGTCATGAGCTGGAATAACTAAACGCCAAAGATCATTGGAATCTCCTTCATAATCAGGAAAACCATAGCCACTATATATATATAAACAAAGAATCAATCAGTATTTCTTCCATTACATTTTAGTAATAATAACAAAAAAAAAAAAAAAGGTTCCAGATTTACCTAACTTCTTTGTAGGATTCATCATCAGAGATAGGTGCTTTGATATCATGACTGTGTAATCTTCTTGGACTTGTTTTTATATGTTCCAAACGTACAATATCGCCGTGTCGTACATAATCTAGCCACGTTCTGCCATCGGATCCCAAAAGATCACCACTTTCTTTTTCTTCAAAATCCAATGTACTATTCATTTTTCGAATAATCCACCAATTGTTTTCATCTTGATAGGGATATAATGTCACTTGTTGCTCTATAAAAGAAAAGGTGATATAAATCATCATGTCTTTATCATTATTCTATTCACTTACGATTACTGCCTTCAGGATAGGCGGCATCATGTGAATGTAAATAACCACCATTGGTACCTAGATGACGAACAGTAATAGCTGATCCATAAACAATATCTATAACAAAAGAATAAAAATAAAATAAAATTAAAAAAAAATTCAATTATTGTATTTTATTCCATATATTATACATTACCAATTGGACTGTCATCAATTTCATGGCCAATAAGAGAATGCTGAAAATGAGAGGACATCATACTATCACCAGGACCAGAAAAAGGAAGTAAATAAAAATGAATATAGAATGATCCAATATACAATATCATTGGTAATATGATCAAACAAATAGTTCGAGCCAAAACATGTCGAAGGAATCGCATCTATTTTGTAAAATAGCCTTTAGTATATATATATATATATAACATACACAATATAAAATAAAAGAAATTCTAACTTACTTTTGTAACATTCAGATTTCCCCAGATTCCCCATAATTGATTGATAGTGGAACATCCTATAGTAGCAATGATAAACAGACCTACCCATTTGCAACTCAAAGTACAACCCAATCCCAATCCAGTCATAGTTAGCCAAATCCACCAAGACGAAGAAAAAGGTCTAAAAAAAGTAAATTCAACAGTTATAAACTAATCCTTTTTCTTTTATCAATGTGTTCTAATAATACCTATTGCTGTATTTGAAGAATTTGTTCCATGACATAAGAGACCAAGCTGTAAAGAACAACAAGTAAGGATCTAAAAGAATGAGACGACTATTGGTAACCAAACTGTTCTCTAAGTCAATATAGAAAAGAAATTAATATAGGAATAATTCATTATAATAACTTGATTACTTTACCAAAACATACAGCGATGGCTGTTACCAAAGAAGCTTGTATAGAATGACCACCATCACGTAAAGTAATATAAGATATAGGAGCAAGTAAAGCACCTAGAATGGCAGAAACAGTACGCATCTGTACAAAAGGAACATTGGAGGTATATGAACTATAAGAGAATATAATATTAGATAAGATAACTTGCATAATGTTTTACTTTACTTTCCGATCAAACCAAAGTCAAATTCACCTTGATAACCAGAAATTTGACTTGATAAAGCAATCAACATTTTTGCCAAAGGTGGATGGACATCAAAATAATAAGTACCATTAATATATTGTCCAGCAAAACCACCAAAATGAACTTCATCAAACCTATTTATCATTATCAAAAAGCTTGAATAAATATGATTTCTTTTTTTTTTTTTTTTAAAAAAAAAGATAGACTTACACAACTTCATTTGGTTGATCTATTTTGTATAAACGTACAATCAGAGCAAGGGCCAATAAAACCAATAAAAAGAAGATATCTTTACGTTGTAAACAAGGTGTTACAAACATATGTGTGAGCATTCTGACATCCTTGGACGGATCTCCTTTCACCATTTTGAGGGTAAAAACGAAAACGCGTACCGGAGAAATGATAAAGAGAGCAAAAAAAAAAAAAAAAAGAAAGAAAATAGGGTCGTGTGTGCTTTTTTCTATGATTCAAACACCGTTTTCGCCTATTGTTCAAGATAACGGTAGTTCAAAATTCAGTATGGTCAGCACCAATCAAAGAAGAAAGATCATCCGTTTAGGATCATGCTTGGTCAAACTTTATGACAAAAAAACAACAAATATTAAGAACACAAATATAAAATGTTTAACATTTGTGAAAAAAAGACACGGTTCGTATAAGGGAAACTTGATCCTACCTCTTCTTTTTTTTTTTTTTTATCTGACATATAAATAATCCAATTCTACTTTCTTTTTTTTTGATTTCTTTCTCTCTCTCTCTCTCTCTTTTTTTTTTTTTTTTTTTTGATTTTTCTCTCTCTCTTCAACTCCCCACTCTTTCAAAGAAATATGCTTCGTGCTTCTAGTCAACGTGTCTTCACTACACAACGTATTGTTCAACGCTCTTTGGCTACAGTAGCTAGTCGTACTACGAATACTTCTAATTATCCTGCTCCTTTCTTCCCCGATGAACCAACCCAACCTTCTATGAAAACTGCAGTTCCTGGTCCTCAATCAAAAGCCATTCAACAACGTTTGACTCAATATCAAGATACTCGATCTGTTTTCTTCGTAGCTGGTAATTCTTTTTATTTATTTATTTAACAATATAATACAATTTGATATTCACGTTTATATAATAGATTTCGAAAAGTCCAAGGGCAATTATATTGTAGATGCTGATGGTAATGCTTTATTGGATATGTTTGCTCAGATCGCCTCTATTCCTGTTGGTTACAACAATCCTGCTTTTCTTGAACTGGTCAAAAATCCTGCCTTTCAAACTGCTCTTGCTAACAGGTAATAACTGCGTGTGTGTGTGTGTTCAAAAGAAAATATGTGTTAAGTTGACGTCTGCGTGTGTATATGTGTCCGTGTGAAAAGTAAATAGTGATTTGTTTTTTGTTTTTTTTTCTTCTTTCCTATTAGAGCTGCTCTTGGTGTGAACCCAAACAAAGACTGGGTGGACAATGTAGAAAATGCTTTTATGCGTGTGGCACCTAAAGGATTGGATCAAGTATTTACAGTGATGTGTGGTTCATGTGCTAATGAAAATGCATTCAAAACTGCTTTCATGTACCAAGCTGCTAAAAAACGAGGTGACAAGGATTTTTCTCTGGACGAATTAACAAGTTGTATGAACAATCAAGCCCCGGGCTCTCCTGATATGTCCATTCTCAGTTTCTCTCAAGCTTTCCATGGACGTCTCTTTGGTTCTTTAACTGCTACTGCTTCCAAAGCAATTCACAAGATCGATATTCCTGCTTTCAACTGGCCCAAGGCTCCTTTCCCATTACGTAAATATCCTCTGGCCGAAAATGAAGAATATAATACCAAGGTCGAAAAAGAATCTTTACAAGCTGTGGAAGAAATCATTCAAAAGAATAAACAACCAGTGGCTGCTCTTATTGTGGAACCTATTCAATCAGAAGGTGGTGATAATCATGGTAAAGATAAAAATATCTACATGAAGGAAGGAACCAAAAAAAAAAAATGAGAGAGAATAATGAAGATTAATCTTTTTTATTTTCTTTCTTTCTTAAATAGCTTCTCCTGCATTCTTCCGTCAATTACAAGCCATTTGCAAGAAACATGATGTATTATTCATTGTAGATGAAGTTCAAACAGGTGTTGGTGGTACTGGAACGTTTTGGGCTCATGAAGCTTGGGAATTACCTGAATCACCTGATATTGTTACTTTCTCCAAGAAATTCCAAGCTGCTGGATTCTTTTTGAATCATCGTCTTCGTCCCAGTCAACCTTATCGTCTCTATAATACTTGGATGGGTGATCCTGTTCGTGCTATGCAAGCTGCTGCCATCATCAATGAAATTGAAAGTAAGGATCTATTAACCAATGTCAAGCAAGTCGGTGCCTACTTACAAGAACAACTCCCTACCTTCAAATCATTGGAAAATTTACGTGGACAAGGTACATTTATTGCTTTTGATTTAGCTAATAGTGCTAAACGTGATCAACTATTGATGGATATGCGACAAAAAGGTGTCAATGTGGGTGGTTGTGGTGATCGTACTGTTCGTTTACGTCCCATGTTGACATTCCAAAGACGTCATGCCGATATCTTTTTGAACACTATCGAAGATGCTTTAAAATTACAGTAATAGTTATTATCTTAGTTTAGTCCGTTTTATCATTGTTTTCTCTATCATTTTATTATTTGTTATTACAGGGTTTTTCCTTGTGAATTGCCTTTATTTTTCTTTTTTTGTTTTTTGTATAGAAACTTTTCGAATAAAAAAAAACCATAATCATTATATACTCAATATCCTTTTTTTTTTTTTTTTTTTTTTTTTTTTACATAATACTTTTGAGCCAAAATTGAAATACAAAGGGGACATATTCATGTCTCGTAGATCTAATTATTTTTATTTTTATGGATCAGCGTGTGGGGAAAACATTTTAAAACTTTGGTAAGCCAATCGATTTGATTCGCGGAGTATGGAACGCGAGAACAAAAGGTTAAAAACGCTAAGCAGTAAAAGAAAATTGGGTTTTCTTTTTTTTTTTTTTTTTTTTTTGTTCTGTCACCTTTCAAAGTGTGTTATGCTTTCTTTTCTTTTAGAGGATGGAAATCGGTACACTCAATATCATATTCAACTCTTACTTTCTTTCATTGGAGTTAAACATAGTCATATTCAACATGTCATTGGTAAAAAAAAAAAAAATAGAATAGTAATATCTATTAACAACTAGTTTAATCTTTATTATTACTTTGTTTAGATGCTTTGACTCAAACAATAGATCCAAATACCAGCATAACATTGACAAACTTATGGAAAACGATACGACATTATCTTGTTGAACAACATTATTCAACAAGTCTAACTGATCTAGCAATGGCATGGGCAATGACTCAACGACAAGATTGTGTCTGTATATTATTAGGAGGTACCTCAGGCTGCGGTAAATCAACATTGGCTAGTCTTCTTGCTCATCGCATGGGTATCACTACTGTCTTATCCACCGATCACGTTCGGTCTCTTTTACGTAGTTTCGATCCTAATAAATCACAACCTCTTCTTTGGGCATCATCTTATCAAGCTGTAACTAACGAATCGAATGGAACGAATAATACAACCATACCAAATACTGAAGTTGAAGATGACGAAGAAGATGAAGAAAATGATACTCATAGCCAAAATAGTAGCAATAGTCATGATACACTGAATAGTATCAATAGCACCACTTCTGATAAAAATACGACCAATATGGATACAAATGATTCTGCATCCAGTGTTATTCAAGGTTATGAAACACAAAATCAATTATTAGTGTCAACGTTGGATAAGATGATTCATGGATTTTATCAAAGAAAAGAAAACCTAGTGATCGAGGTAATAACAAAAAAAAATATATATATCTATAGACATACCAACTTATATTCTTTTTGTTTAGGGTGTAGCTTTATCCATTGATACCATGCGATTCTTGATTCAAAAACATCCACATTGTATACCTTTATTAATTTATATCAGCAACGAAGTAAGTAGTTATGAACAAAGAAGGATATAGTATATTGAATCTTTTATTTGTAGCAAAAGCATATGGAAAGGTTTGCCATCCGCGCAAAATATATGACGGTTGCTCCCAAAGCCAACAAGTATATCCATTATTTTGATAATATCCGATTGATACAACGTCACCTTTGTAAAGCTGCTGATTTGTGGATGGTAAATATATATATATATATATAAAAGAGAAAAAATAGCTCACATCATCATTCCTATTCTTTTGATATTAGATTCCGAAAATCAATAATACAAATGTAGATCGTAGTCTTGCCATTGTACATACCACTGTCATCAATGTGTTATCTCGTATGAAACGAACTGGTGAAACATCGCTACTGAGCACCCCATCATCACCTGGAATACTGCATCAAGAATTCTCCAAAGTGTATGATGCCTCTTGGAGTTCGAAACAAATGCTTCGTCGTATACGTGAACATGTAAGATATGAAAGAAATAGTTAATTGCGCAACAGAGGTACTTATCATTTAATAAAAAAAAATTCTTTTTTTTCTTTTTTTCTTAGTCTAGTCGAGCGATTCCAGTACAACAACAGCAACAACAACAACAACAACAAAATAGAATGACAGCAACGAACAAAGTGATGTTGACTCCATCTATCTCAGAACCGAAACAACATCCAACATCAAGAACTAAACGACATTCATCCAGGAAATCACATCGACGTTCAGAATCATCTTCTTTTACTTATGAACTGGAACATTTGGATGATACTGCCTGGGGCTCATTGACTTCTTGATATCCTGTCAACTTTTGTATTATAGTGTAAATACCCGTTTTTGTATAATGTGTTACTTTTAGAAAAAAAAAATAAAAAATACAGATGATTCATTCGTCTCTCTCTCTCTTTTTTTTATTTTTATTATCTTAACATATGTATGTATGAGTGAGTTAAGTGATGATGGTGAGAGAGATAGAGTCAGTGGTTGGTTGGTTAGACGTTTTCTTGCCAAGTCGATTTTTGATCCAACAATAAAAAGTATGAGTAGAGTCGGGATTGGGGACAAAGATCCAAGAAATCAGCATCATGATTGCCATAGAGATACAAAATGGAAGTAAAGAACGTACACCAAGAGAACCGATCAATACCCCTCCTGCGTATGGAAACAAGGCTGATCCACCAGAACCAAACTATTTCCAAATGAAATAAAAAATAATTATATATCCATGTGTGAAATTATTTTTTATTTTTATTTTACCGCACAAAGGAAACCAATGGTGGTGGCTCGCAAATGATCAGGTACGACTTTAGTAGTCAAAGCCACGGTGGTGGGGAAAAGGGGACCAATGGTGATGCCAATGATGACCAAAGCTTTCAAAAAAAAAAATGAGTATATTTATCTTTTTTTTTTTTTTTTATTATTACCAGTAGCATTGACCGAAACTAAAGGGACAAACCATAAAAGGAAGAGCATACCAATCAAAACACTCACATAGCTATAGATCATCTTCTTCTCCCCGATTTTAAACGTTAACCAACTCAAACCTAATCTACCAGCACAGATACCTCCCCAATAGCCCGTCATGATATGTGCCATGGCCGTTGTATCATTACTGCGTGCTGTGATCAAGAAAGTATAGCCCCAATTGCCAATGCAGACTTCCGTACCAACATAAAGTAATAAAAACACAGCACATGCATACAGAATAGGTTGATGGAGTGTATCATACATAATACGTTGATGATCCTTATCAGTAGTGGATGATTCTTGTTGTTCAACGGGAGGATCATAATCATGGAATGTAAATAATTGAAGAACAATACTGAATCCTGACAATCCACAAAATAATCGATATGTGTCTTGCCATCCTGGAAGACCAGAAGCAATCAAAGGTCCCAATAACGCACCAAATCCATAAAAAGCTTTCCCAAAAAAAAAAAAAAAGGAAAATTAGATTCTTATTTTTTTTTTTTCAATAAAACTTACCATGTAAAAAATTCAATATCACTGTAGATCGAGGCATTTGACTAGAAATGACATTACTACAACTTTGCACCAAAGCTAAACCAAACCCAATGAAGATCATAAACACACAAAGCACAGGGAAAGGAATCGGACAACTAAACACCAAGTAACCAGCCACCAATGAAACGGAACCAATCATCGCAGTACCAACTTGATTATATTTACGAATAAGATAACCATTCATCACAGCCGCTTTTTTTTTTTAAAAAAAAAAAAAAAATATAAAATGAGTGTCATTTTCGTTTGTTTTTTTTTTAAAAAGAAAAATGTATTCTTTTTACCTAGCATATACCCAGCCGTAGTACAAAGAAAAACAATCGAGACCACATATTGAGTCAAACCATATTGAGCCTTGATACTTGGAAGAATGATACCTAGGTTAGCATCATTGATGCCTGCCAATAATTGAAAATAAAACCCTTGTAAAAGAGGTGGTAATTGTTTTTTCCAATGCATTTTGCCATTTGTATGATCAACAGAAGAACTTTCGATGGAATCCATTCAATGGATCGTATTAAGATAACAAAAGATGAAAAAAAAAAAGAATCTTTAATGCATCCTGGTAAATAATCTTTTTTTTTTACTCCGTAAATAAGGTTTGCAATTGGCTAGATTTGTCATCCAACATGATACTAAAAAAAAAAAAAAATTAGATTGAAAGTAAGATCGGTAACCATGGTAGAAAATGTGAGTGAATCGGCCTTTTGTTACACAATCTTTTAGGAAAATAAACGAATTTCTCCTAAAGAATCAATCTATTTTCATACAATAAAAGGAGGAGTGGTAAATCAGAAATGTTTAATATATATTATAAGAAAAAAAAAAAAAGATTAACTACGTAAAAATATGGGAATAGAATAATATACTAAAAAAAAAAAAATACATTATATAAACTAGGACTTAAATAGAGTTTTTTCGTGAGAGATATGGCAAAATAGGAGTATCTGATCCAGTAAAAGTAATACAGCTGTTATCGTCAAGAGTATCTGTTGGGCCAGCACGATGATGAACAGGACGGTAAGATCGCAATTTTCGTTGTTGCTGTTCTATCTTGGTTCCCTTTGTCGCGACTTCAGCTATGTATCCAAGACAGCTATGACATTTCAAAATCAAGGCGTTTTCCATAGAATATTTACTTTTTGCACGAGCGCCAGCTCCAACATTAAAATCATTCTTTTCTGTGTGTCGCAAAATACAATCCAATTCTCGCTTCGCTTCTGCATAACATCGATCTACTATTAAGAGTTGAGCTTTTTCATACCGAGCAAAATAATATATCCAATGATCCAGTTGTACTTTGGGTGCATGATCCATTACTACTTGAATAGATTGTCGATGCATCACTTTGTTTGGATGCTGCTGTCGTAGTTCATCATGACCAAGAAGTTTGGATGAAGTTGTGATTGATTCTTCTTCTTGTTCCAATAATAATCGATATAAAGTAGCACGTAACAAATGAGATAAACAGATATCATCATGTACATAGAATGATCGACTAGTCTCCAAACGTTTCAAAGTATGGTCGATCCGTATCAGATTCTTGTGAATCCAGTTCACAGGCATTAGTTCCAATGCACCAATAGATAATAAGATTTCCAAATCCGGGAAGAGTAAACGATTTCCTTGAAGATCATATTTCCGCGACTTTCTTGCAAAGAATTTCTATATAGATAGATAAATCATGAGATTTCACTCACATTCATATATGATATATATTACCTCAATAAAAATGGATTTACCAGCAATCTTTTGTTTTGCCTTTGTAACGGATTTCATAGATAGAGTGACATTATCCAAAATAGCTTTGCGCTTGGGTCCAGAAGGATGAGTTTCCAAAGCGAACATATAAAGTGACACAGCATGCATATAAGTATAAACAGCCTTTGACCAAGAATTGTTGTTGAGAAGATATTGGAATACTTCTAAAGCACCACGCCAATTTTGTTCTACTAGAGCCAAAGTACCCAATTCCCATCGAGGTATATCTTGTAATTGTGGCCATACATCTTGTGCGTCCATTGCCTTTTGATAGTAAACCTTGGCTTGTTCAAGTTTCCGCTGAGTAGCCAGTTGTCGTCCTTTAAGCGCCAAAAAGATCACACCATTTGGATATTTTTTCAAATGATAGGTCAGTATACGATCACCAAGTACTTCGTCCACATGCGATAGACGAGTAAGTTTACATAAAACAACATTGTAACCCATCAAAATCATATCACAGAATTGTCGTCGTAATCCTTCATTTTCACCTTGTTGTTCATGATTGTTATCATTCCATCCACCCAAAGAAGTACAATACCACATAGCGAGACTACGGTCACCTTGAAATCCCACATATTCCACCAAACGTAACAAGAATTCTGGTACAGCCGATAATGCCAAGTTGAAACCTGCCATACCAAACGCAATGCCTGAAATAAGATGTCCATCCAATCCATATTCTTCCATCACATCCTTTCCTAATCCTGCTTCTTTCTGGACGTGTAACATGTAATTTTCCAGTGATTTGTAGATCCCATGCGCCAAGTAAGCCTTTAACCCTTCTTTGAGTGCTAATACAAAGTTTTGATCGTATAAGATTTGTAAACCTGCTTTCATCAAATACGCTTCAGCATAAACCAATTCCTATATATATATATTTTAGTAAGTACAAACTTGATCATCCTTCGCTAGTTGATCTCTACTTACTGCATGCTTTTGTACTGGCGTCATCTTTTTGATATCTTGAATAGATAGCACTCTTTTGTTGATCCCACGAAAATGTTGTTTCCAAGTGCGAGTACGAAATTTGTCAGCCAATTGGTAAGTGTCCTGTCAAAAAAAAAAAAAAAAAGAAAGAAAAAAAATAAGAAACAAGAGCACAAGTGTAAAAAGTAAATAGTCTCTTTTTTTTTTTTTTTACATATACCTTCATGGCAATGATGGCTTTGGCAATATCATCTTTTTGATAAGTTAAGACAGCAGTTCCTCCCAATAGACAAGCATAAGATAAGGAATGATACATTGACTTGTGGCGATTAGCAATGACAATATCAAGACATTCAGTAATATTGGAATTCAGGAAAAGATCCAGAGCGTGTCTTGCTTCCCGAATATCGTCATAGAGAGACTGTTGTGCTTGTTGGAATGCTACTTGTTGCTGCGAGTTGGATAATGATGGTGACAAAGTCTCATTGATGGTGGCGACTGTTGGACTTTGATGGGTCATTTCATATAAAGAAGGTCCTGAGAGTTCAACATCATTCATAGTTTTAGCCCCTTCCCATGTTGGAAGTAAACCTGGTTTGAGATTGGTCAACATTCACTTTTCGATACACGCACGCATACACACAATAGGAAGAGAAGAAGAAAAAAGTAAGAAAAAGAAAGAAAGAAAGAAAGAAAGAAAGAAAGAAAGAAAAAAAAAAAAAAAAAAAAAAAAAAAGAGAACGATCCAATTTTTTTTTAAATCCCCATTAATACAATTTTCAAAGGAGAACAAACTTTAAAAAAAAAATGACCTTTCAACATGTAATTCACACAATTGATTAAATTAGTTGTAAATGGAAACATTGTTCATATGAAAAAAATAACATGTTTATTTATAAAAACCTTATTTAGAAGACAATTCATCAATGACACCTAAACAATTATGACATTTCAAAATCAGGGCATTTTCCATGGAATACTTGTTTTTAGCTCGTTGGCCAGCACCCACGTTAAAATCATGTCTTTCAGATCGGTCAATGAGATATTGGATCTTTTTCTTCGCTTGATCATAATCAGCCTCCATGATCATCATCCGAGCCTGTTCATACACCGTAAAATAGTAAAGCCAATGATCCAATTGAATCTTTTCTGCCAATGTCATGACAGTATGGACAGATTCCTTGTGCATCTCTTTCATTTCAGCTAGAGTGAATCCATCTTGTTGTTGGATGATATAATCCCCATCTTTCAAATCAAGGGCTTGCTGTTTTTCTTTTTGTTCCTGGTCTTCTAATAACAACCGAATGAGATTGGTGCGTAAGAAATGACAAAGACAAAGATCATCGTACACATAGAAGGAGTGACTATTAGCCAATCGTTTCAACATGGCATTGATGCGATGAAGGTTCTTGCGCATCAAGGGAATGGTTAACAAATCAAGTCCACTGAACGCATGAATGATTTCCAAATCCGGGAAGAGTAACCGGTTACCTTGGAGGTCAAATTTGCGCGATTTTCTTGCTACGAATTTCTATTGGATGATAAAAGGGTTTTACAAAATGAAGTTTGTCTAACATCTTTTTTTTTTTTTTTTTTTTAATTGTTACCTCAATAAAGATGGATTTGCCTGCAATTTTTTGTTTTGATTTGGTAACAAGGGCCATCAATTCAGCAGATTTGAGAATTAATTGTTTGCGTTTTTCACCAGGTGACATATCATAAGTAGCATAAAGATAGAGAGATAAGCCTTGTAAGTAAGTATAAACAGCTTTGGACCAGTTACTTTCCTTATTCAATCGTTGAAATAATTGATGGGCCGTTTTCCAGTCTTGTTCCAACAGAGCAATAAAGCCTAGTTCCCAAAAGGAGATATGATGTAGTTGTTTCATGTAATCCTGTGCATCAATAGCTCGTTGATAATAAACCTTGGCTTCCTGAAGTTGTCGTTGCGTGGCCAATCGTCGACCATTCAATGTAAGAAAGACCATTCCACGAGGATAGAGCTTGAGATTATATTGTAAAATTAAATCAGATAGAGGTTCATTCACATGTGACACGGGTGTCAGTTTTGCTAGGACAATATTATACAATATCAACATCATATCACAGAATTGTCTACGTAAACCTTCATGAGGACCTTGAAGTTCTGTTTGAGGTTGTTTTTCTTGTTTTTTTGTCATCATTGCCACTTTATCCCAACCACCAATGGATTGATAATACCACATGCTTAGACCACGATCACCATGAAAACCAACAAATTCTGCCATTTTAAGTACGATATCAGGAAGCATACTGATGGCTAAATTAAAACATCCCATACCAAATGCAATCCCTGAAGCAAAATGAGCATCCATGCCATAGCCAGATACATCCTTGCCTTGACTAGCTTCTTCTTGCACATGCATAAGATACCGTTCCAGCGCTTTGTAGATTTGATGAGATGCATGTACCTTTACACCTTCACGTAAAAATGCAACAAATGATTCTTCATATACAATTTGAAGTCCAGCTTTCATCAGATAAGTTTCTGCAAACACAAGTTCCTAAAAGAAAAAAAAAAAAGAAAGATGGATGAATGTTTTATTTTATATAATAAATAGATGACTTACAGCATGACGTTGAATGGTTGTCATTTCCTTGAGTTCTTGTACAGAATAAGTGGTCATCAAACTATGAGCAGCATTTTTCCAAGAACTATCACGTTTACGGAATTTATCAGCCACTTGGTAAGCATGTTTCATGGCATCCAATGCAGATTCGATATCAGCACGTTGATAAGTAAGTACAGCTTTGAGGGATAAAATAAAAGCATAACCTAAAGAATGATACATGGATGCATCACGCTTTGGAAGCAACAAGGCATCACATTCTTCCGTGTATGAGTTCAGGAACAAATCCATTGCCTTTCGTACTTCATGAATATTCTCAAACATCGCCAATTCCTCTGCTGTATAGTTCCCTGGATTGTCTTTACTAGGATCAGGAATCAAAATAGATCGAATAGATCCTTTTTGCATCATCATTTGTTCAGTAGTTTTTGTCATCTTTTTTTTTTTTTTTTTAAAAAAAAAGAAAAGACGAAGGTTAGACAGAAAATTTAAAAAAAAAAAGAGTAAATGAATGGGAAAAAAAAAAGACAGGAAGGGCAATATTTTATATGCATCATTAACTTTTGACTCAACCCCATCAATGTGTTTTTTTTTTTTTGTGTCTCCACTTCTCCACATTAATATAAAGTTTAAATGTATTAGAAAAAAAAAAGCCAAGGTTTTTTGAATATCTGGGCCATTTTCAACATGTAGTTCACACGGAGTAATTCATTTCCGATGGTTTCTAAACAAACCATCAATAATAAAAAAGACAGAACTTTAAAACAATATCAAACACCGAAAAAAAAAGGATCTTTTATTTCAATACGTAAGTATAGGATAATGAGAACAGTAACCATGATCATCATCAAAATAAACTGTAGTAATAGATGTAATGGGATCAACATGAGTCACAACACAAAGGGGTATCGATTGACTAGATGAAAGATTCAAAAGGGAAAAAGGTCGATACTTGATAACACCGCGAGTCACTAATCCATAAGGATATCGAATCATACGAGACCATCGTTGATTCCCACTTGCATCCGCCCCAGGTGATTTGATTCTAATTTGAGTTGATGTACTTGCTCTTTCATCTCTTCCCAAAATCACTGATGATGTAAATGAAAGTGGTTCATCAAAGTATAGACAATCACCAAGATATTCAGCTGGATCCACCCCTAATATATAACACAACCAAAATATGTAAAAATAAAAAAAAAATAAATGAATCTTATAAAATATATATGTTTTTTTTTTATTTTATAATTACCAAAAGTGTCATTGAAAGGTACAAGTTCACTAAATGCAAACACACTTAGATCTGCTTGCTGAATCCGCACGGTCCACCAATTCCAGTTATTGGCCTTCACCATCAAATCAAATATCAATTCCTTGTCCGACGCCAGAATATGTCCCATAGATGCTGATACATCTGTCAAAGGTTCCGCCTTGTACACTGTAAAGATCAACATCAATAATACAAATAATAGAATACTGAGAAATGTATTTCGTACAATTCTACTACTACATAATACAAAAAAAAAAAGTTAGGAATGATTTATACCAATATATATATAATATATATGTTACCATGAAGAACGTGTATGACGATATTTCCTTTGTTGTCCAGGGTGATGCCGCAAAAGATAAATATGTTCACCATATCGATCATCTTGATAATGGTGTAAATCATGCTGATCATCGTCATCATCATTATCATCGCTGGAACTTGCTTCATGTGACCATGGTTGAGGGAATGCAGCACTACTTCTTGGATGATCCATCACATGACTCCGTAGCTTGGGGCGACGATAGCCACGTTTGATCCAGGTCCCATTTTCTTCATCTATTAACCGATATGTATTGTATGGCTTATGTACATCTTGTTGTTGCTTCAAATCTTGTTTCTTTTGTTGTTGATGGTATTGCTGTGAATGGCGTTTATGATTAGAAGAATGGTTGCTATTATCGCTGGTATATTTCAAGAGAGAGGATGTGGATCGATGTTGATAATTCAGTAAATCAGTCAAAAACCCACGAGAACCTGACGTTGGTGGAGGTCCAGTATTATTTGTTGCTTGTTGTAACGAAAAGGTAGAGGCTGCAGTTGATGAAGATCTGGATGGCGTTGTCGATCGTCGATATGGTGTTGGCAAATCCTGATTTCGTTTCTTTAGTTGTTTTTTGTTGTTGATGATGTTATTATTACTGGTTGTATTGTTCGTCAATGGTGTTCCGGGTTTATCATGATGGCTATATGGATATACGTATTGTTCATGTTCATCAGAATCTATTCCAAAGAAAAGAAAAAAAAAAGGATTTTTGTTAGTCATATTGAATATACAAGTACTTTTTTTTTTATTACCTTCCACGTTAGAAACAGCATCTACCAAATTACGATGAAACACTTCGGAAGGTGTTGCCGTCCCATTGACAGGTGGTAGCTTTCGTTTCTTTTTCTTGGTAGGACGTCTTTCAGACTATAAATAATGAGTTAGTAACCATATTATTATCATTATTTCTTTTAATCATTTTTTTTTTACCTCCATTTTGATTGTCGGTATTATATCCTGTCGTTTTGTTGAAGAGGTGAATTGTTTCTCGGGTATGTTTGTTGAAGATGAAAAGGAAGGAGGCATAGATTCATCTTGTATTTGTTGTACATTGGAGAAGGAAGCCGATGGTGAAGATTGAGTACTAAGCTGAGGTTTTGTGACAGTATCAGAATCAGTCATAGTTGTAGAATGACCATCAACATTAGAAAAACCTAGGGTAGAGTCGGTTATAGAGGCATTATTGCTTTCATCAGTGGGAACATCACTATTGATAGTAGCATGACGTATGGTAGAGTCAAGTGGTACATGATGTGGTGATGGGACAGTCAAGGGTGTTTGTTGTTGTTGTTGTTGTTGTTGTTGTTGTGATGTTATATGGCGCTGAAGAGGAGGATCAAAAGTTGCTTTTTCTACTGTCAAGTTACGATCGAAATGATGTAAAGGAAAATCACGTAAAGAATGAGGATATTTATCGGTATGAATAGTGTTGAAAGTGGTCATTTTTGGACGTTGTATATTAGATCCATTAGGTGATTTGAGAGGAGTATTACTATTATTATTGTTGTTGTTGGTAGTACATGCTTCGATAGGTGAAGTGACATTATTATTATTATTATTATCATTTCTAACTGGTGAAGAACTTGAAGATACTATCACAGTTGGAGGAGTGTTTTGATCTCTATTTTCCATATGTAACAAAACAGCATATAAATATAAATAAAATATTGAAAAAAAAAGAGAAAGGAAACAAAAATGAAAAAAAAAAAATTAAGAGTCTCTACATACGCATATGCAACCAAAACTCCGTCTCTAACTGTGTGGGGGCGGGTATTACCAAATCTTTTTGGGAAGCTGTGTTACAACCTCTTTTCCTGTTTCTTTTCTTTCTTTTATCGTCAGCAATCAAATCACTTCTAGGACGTGGCCAGTTTTTCGTCAACTTCATCTTCATTACCAAGCACACCATCATCATCTACAGTGACACCAATAACTACAACAGCAAAGAAGCGTAAACTGAGCAAGCCACCTACAAAGACGACTGCAACGCTAAATTCACAAAGCATAACTTCTCCAATGGTTCTATAACTGAATTTATAACAAGGACAACTCTGTTGACTTTGAACAAATCTACAAAGGATTGCTGACAAAGTGGAGAAACTTATGGATTGGCAATTTATCCAGTCATTGCTATAACTGAATCACGATCGAATTGATAAGGTAATACTTGCTTTTAATTATAAATGTTTTTGATGAATGTTTATGCTCAATATTTTTTTTTTTTTTTTGGATATCATAATATATTATAGTGAGAAATGAATTTTGTAACTGTTATATGCTCTTTTTATTCGTCCATTCTTGTTAAACACCAACATAGTCAGGAATATCGATCATCAAAAGTTGAACCAGTTGTCTAGAAGACATGCTGTTGATCATACTAGTGTGGATGGGATATTTGAACAACAGGAATTATATTACCCTGCACGTTGTACATAAGATGATACTCATAATGGCAAAAAAAAAGTAAGTCTTTTATAGAAAGCAAATTAATAAAAAAGGTCAGTTGTATTTATATTTCATTATTATAGCTACTTGAAGAATTCATGGATTGGTGTATTGATTCTACTCATCAAGCTTGAAAGTCTATGATGAAATTGAATGAATATTTGTTACTTGTATACCGTTGTTTTCCGCTCTCCTGTAATCAACAAGCGTGTACATATTGCTTTTATGCTTACACTTCATGAAATAGTATCTGACAAGATCAAATTATGGCCCAAAGCTTTTTGATCTGTAAGTAATCATCTATATTACAGGGTATAATGTTTACTAATAGCTCTTTTTTATTGTAGAATGATGCATTCCACACCAGAAAGTTTACGATAATACAAGCAACTAAGTCGATTCAATTGACTCAACATGGATGGCCGTATCTGGATATTGATAAGAAGGTACTGTTAAATGAAATAATACGTCAGTTTTAGGAATGTTATTGATGATATCGCTCTCCCTATATATGAATCATAGACTTGATTATTGACTGAATGAAAATCATATTCATGATGATGAAGTGATGATGGATGATGAGGCCCAGGTTATTTAAATAGTATTGTTATTTATTTTTTTTTAACGTACTTATGATATCATTATTATATTTGAGTCAAATAAAATAAAATAAATCCATTGGAAGAAAAATCTAAAATGTCAAAAATGAAATAGGTGGAACGTAATATCCAATGTCAGCAGACAGGACAATGTTTTCTTTTTTGTTTACTCACATGTGTTTCGAATGTTGATACAATTACGTATAAATAGTATATGAATCAAAATACAATCGAGAAGATCATAAATCAAACAAAGATCATACACTCAATATATCATATTTAAACAAAATATAAGAAATCGAACACTATCCATTTCATTTGTAGATTTATCATTATGCATAAAAAAAAAGACTACCTTAGAAACCTTTTTTTTTTTTCGTAAACAATCTAACCGTTATCTTGTATATATTAAACTCTTCATCAAATAAGGAGTAACCTAATTTAGAAATTTCATCTCCGTCTTATGTCTGTGCTCTTTTTTCTGATGCATTTTTTTTGTCTTTCTTTTCCTTTTCCTTTTTTTTTTTTTTTTACTGCGTTTTTTCCATTTTCTTTTTTTTGCTTACGTATATTCTTTTTTTTTCTGTTATTATTATTATGACCATTACAATAGAACATCCACAACAGCTTGCCGTTACTACCTCTGACATCAAAATAATGGGAAAAGCGCAAAGAAACACTATGTATAGTTCTTTGACAGTGGCTCCATCTTCAACTGATCTGAAAAACAAGACGCTTAGAAATGATTCCATCGATGACCGAAAATATTCGGATCTCTATTCCAACAATCACTTACAACAGATGCTCACTTCAGTCACATCATCCAGTACATTCAGTACATCCACTCAACCATCAACATCAACAACTCCTTCTGAACCTTCATCTTCCTCGTCCGTTCCAGTGCCCTCCTCACAGACCCAACGTTCTGGTTTCTTTGATTTCAACCGTGAAGATATGAAACATGCTACAATTACACGCCATCGCCTCCTGGAATCAGCTCAATCATGAATCCATACGTCACCCAGTATTCCACTAACATCAAAGTCATGTACGAAGGCACGTTGGCTGATTACATTTTGGGAAAAGCATTCTATGTCCTTTTGCGATGCCACCTCTCGCCAAACAAAGAAGAAGAAAGCAGTACCAAGTACAAAAAGGAAAAGATAGCTGAATCAAAAAAGCCAAGGTAAAAACAAAAAGAGCAATTAATTTATGGTGATGATTGGCGAACTGTATGATTAAATATTGGCTCTTTCTTTTTTTTTTTTTTTTGATCGTAGAAACAACGGGAAAATGCCAACAAGCTTCGTTCATTTTATCAAGGAAAATGGTGCAACGACGATCACAATCAAGAACGAAGAAACAAAGTCTAAACCATGTTATGAAGTTTCATCGGGATAGGATACACCATCATCACTCTGCTGCCACTTCTACCATCAACAACAACATCGATCTCAAATGTTTCTATGGCGCTGCCGATCATGGAACAGGTTCAAGAATCAAAGGCTTCCTACAACGTAGTTATCTCGATGTCATCGCCACTTTTGAACAAAAAAAGTATAAAGTATTCATCACAGATGAATATATTGAACCACGAAGTTATGCTGTTTTTGTCACCAGATTGTGAACCACCCTAGCAAACAATTAGGCAAGCTGAATCTTGGAACAGTTATGTGTGTGAATTCCGAATGTTTGGGTGTATTGCAAGATCACAGGACGCCAACGCATCGATGAATATGATTATACCTGGATTACAACAAAGAGCTATATGGTTCTGTGCCTTCCCCTTTCTGTCGCTCCTCTTCTTCCTCTTGAATATGACTCAGCAACTGAATTTTGTGCACCCCCCTTCTGGAACAATATTTTGTGATTATACATCAACTCTTCTTTTTGTAACATATGCCATCCTGGAATGGTTGTGGATATGTTCACTTTGCCTTGTGCCAGTTGGAAATTTTTAATTGTAAGTGTACAGTTCATATATCTTATAGTGATCACTCAACAAAGTCATTTTTTTAAACGCCGTCATTTTTTATTGAACAAAGTGTAGGCATAATAGCCAATTGTGTGATATTGCATAAACAGTCATTTTGATCACATCCTTAATGAGAAGGTAAACGACTAACAAATAGAATATATGATGTGACAAGTAATCAATATTTTTATATGATCCCTTTTTTTTTTTTTTTTTGAAGGTTTCAGTTGTATTGAAAGAAATAATTTGACAATGAAAAATGAAAAGGGAGATGCCAAGTTAGGTCAAATATCGTCAATTCCCTTTTATAGTTACTGGACTTGGTCTTTTCTCTTTCCCCCTTTTATTTCTTTTTTTCTTTTTTATTTTTTATTTATATATATATAAATCTCAAGATAAAGAATTCTTTCAACTTCTTTTTTTTTTTTTTCTTCTCTTTTTAAAATAAAGTTATCATGTTTTAGATGATTATTACTATATTATCAATATCTTTATTATTATTACAAATACAATTCTATCATAATCAACAATAATTATATAATATCTCTCTCTCTCTATCATATAGTCTCCTTTTTCCATTAGTTATTTTATATCCGTCGTCATTCTATCATCACCCCTTTTTTTCTTTTCTCTTCCTCTTTCTCTCTCTTTTTTTCTTTCTTTTTCTTTTTTTTTTTTTTTTTTTTTTTTTTTTTTTTTTTTTAGATTAGACATACGCACGCACCCATTTACTTTCATATATATATATAAAATATATATTGTTACATATATATATATATAATATATTCATATATGAATTACCTTACTATACTACTAGTCTTGGTTGGATTAGCAGTTAATAGTATTATCGGTCAACTACCAATACAACAACAAGACGATACACCCTCCATATGTCTTTCCCTTCGTGATTCCAAAGCTTGTCCCGCATTCCATCAGTTTTATGTATCAACAGGTGTCGTAGACCGATATCCCTTTTTACCTAACAATATCTCAACAATTCAAGAACTAGATAATGGTTTATTTAGTTATGTCAATTCAACAAGTGATTACCTTCTACCATTAGGTTGTCTTAGTACAAACTATAGTCCAAATGTCCCTTATGCTCGTTATGCTATCACCAAAATGTGCGCTCGATTAATTCAAGACGAAGAAGATTCTTTACCTTGTAATACTGAACACCATGTTATCCCACCACCTCTTTGTCGTTCTACTTGTCTTGATTGGGTCAATAGTATTACTGCCATTACCTCTCAACCTTCTGTTTGTAGTGATTCTATTCAACGTACCGATGCTCTTGCGAATTATACCAATCATTGTCTCTCTTGGCAAGGATATAATGCTACCACTGATGATAATTGTATTGCTGGATTTGCAAATGAACCTGAAAATTGTGGTAAAGATCAAATGTCTTCTTTTTTTTTGTATTACAAGTCTTATTGATCTTTTTTTTTCTTTCTTTATTTATTTATTCTTAGGTTTTCGAGACGATATCAAGCAGGCATGTCAATTCTGTCAAAATACAACCAATGCAGCTTCTTCCAATTGTTGCCAGATGGTGAATTGTGCTACTGGTCTCAATTTAGCAAGTATTATAGGAATTACAGTAGGAACATTGATGGGGGCTTCATTATTACTTTTGGCTTGTTATTGTTTATGTTCAAGGCATTGGTCTCGTCATCGATATTTCAACAAAAATGATAAGAAAACGAACAATAAATTTTCATCATCGACATCTTTTTCATATTTTTCAGATTCCAAAACTGCTATTCATGATGATCATCATTTAAAACATTGGCCCGAAGATACAACAACAACAACAACAACAATGACTTCTACAAATAATACAAGTACCACCAGTTTTCCACCAACAATACGACATGATCATCACTTACAACCATATCAATTAAAACAAGAAGATCTTTATACAGTGATTCATGCTTACCCTCCTCAAATGGATGATGAATTGGCTCTCAATATCGGTGATATCATTATGTTAGCTTTACCTTTCGATGATGGTTGGGCTTTAGGTATCAATATGTCTACTGGTTTAAAAGGTGCTTTCCCTCTTGTATGTGTCTCTCCTGCTTCTACTTTTGTGATGGAACAATGGCGATCATCAAGAATATCTATACCCCCTCCTTCTTTTATTACCAATACTACTTCTTCTATTCCAAAACGTATGACATCCAAATCATCCAATTCTACTTCTCATTCTGATACGATATCCCCCTTTTTGGACTCCCATCCTATAGGATAGTTTACTTTAGTCCTTTTGCATATACATACGAACCAATTTTTTTTTTTATTCATTTATATATACATATATAAAAAAAAAACTCCTTTCTCATTCTCTCTCTTTCACACACACTTCCTCCTCCATTGAAACAAAAAAAAAAAAAAAATTTCCAATAAAATACTCTCATGCTGTTTGACTCATTACTTAGTACCTTAGAAACGGTGTTTGAATGTAAGACCCGGATGACCGTATGTGTCAATTTTGTTCCCCCCCCACAATTAAGGTTCTGCGACCAATAAGAAATGAACCCATTTTTTTTTTAGTGTTGTTGATTTATTTTTTTCGACGGTATTCAATTCAAACAGCGGATAATGTGTCTTTGACCAATCTTCTTTTTGTTTCTTTTCTTTTCTTTTACTTTTTTTTTTCAGGTCTCTCCTTTTTTTTTTTTTCTTTTTTTTTTTTTATTGCTGCCATGGAGAGGCTAGATGATTCACCTGAATGTTCCAGTTATTTCTGGTGTAGACCAAGTGAATTAGACTCGGAAACAAGTTCAATAGCCTCACCTTATACCAATACTGTCTTTGAATCTGAAGGTAATCAAAAAGGGATATTTTTTTTTTCTGTTGAAAATATATATTTAAATTAACTTGAACAAAAAATATATCTTATATAGAACTCTCTTATTTTATTCAACAACATCCTTCAACTTCTTCAAGTCAACGATCCAGTCCTCGAGGTGTTGAACAACCTTTTTGGGATCCAAGCTGTCATTCATCCAACGATAATAACAATAACAATAATAATACAAAGTCAAAATCAACACCATTAGATTCCTTAGATTCATCTTCAACTACTAGTGATTCATCATCGTCCTCTTCACCTACGCCAACAACTACAACAACACAAAGTATTCGTGGCAAGCATAACAATGAGCGCTACAAACGACGTCAGACAAAAATGTTATTGGTATCCTTGATAGAATCTTTTTGCCGTATCTATGGTGATAGTCCTGATGCCAATCGAAAAGTTTTCTTTCTTATCTGTCAAACTTTGAAATCTTTGGGAATCATTGATACTGAATTCATTGATGAAATGGCTAGTGTTCGTACCACCTTCCAACGTACCTTCCACAAGTTATTTTATGCAGCTCTTCATACTGTCCAAACTGAACCTTTTTTGGATCAACCTCATCGTCTTTTATTGCCAGCTAATGAAACCACATCTTCTTCGTCTTCTTCTTCTATCAACATTGATTCTATATCCTCATCAACACCTTGTGAAGATTCTACTATAGTTTCGCCAAGTACAAGACGGTCATCATCTTCAACAGTAAAAAGTCAACTTGATACCACATTGGCTTTAGTCTCACCTTCATCATGGTTAGATTCACCTACCACATCCTCTTTTTCAACCAATACGAATAACACAACCACGTCAGGAGGACGAAAGGCATTATTTGATCTTAGTATTCACCATTCAAGGTATCACGATGATTTTGTGGAACTCGGGTTATTAGGACGAGGTGGATTCGCCATGGCTTATCGGGTCAAGAACAAATTGGATGGAATCGATTATGCTGTCAAGAAGGTTCAACTAGGACGCGATTTACAACAAGGCAAAACACCCTACAAGAAAATATTCCGTGAAATCAAACATTTAGCAAGGTTAGAACATCCAAATGTGATTCGATATTACGCGTCTTGGTTAGAATATGATGCTGGTCAAGTCCAAAATGATGAAGACGATGAAGATGAAAATGATGATGTCACTTATGAAACTCCTCAACGAAAGCAGACAAAGGAATTACTATATCAACAAGGTTCTATTTCACAACCTGTTTCTCCTTCTACATCAACCGATAAGAAAAAAATCACAGTACATGGCGGATGGACTTTATTTATTCAAATGCAACTTTGTCAAAGTAAGTGAAAAGAGTAGAATTAAAAAAAAAAAAAAGATCTTTCAAACTCATTAATATCATCATCTTCTTATGTTCCTATGATTATTTTTTTTTTTAGCAACATTACATGATTATATTGAAATTCGAAATCGTGACTATGGAGTAGTAGATCCAGAAAGAAATATTGCTTTGTTTACTCAAATTTTACATGGTACAGCATATATTCATGAACAAGGATTGATCCATCGAGATTTGAAACCAAGTAATATTTTCTTGACTTTATCAGCGTCAACATATCCTTCGACATCTGATTCTTGTATCTCTTCACGTATCTTGTGGGATGAATGTATACCAAAGATTGGTGATTTTGGTTTGGCGGCTGCTTTAGTAGATGAAGATTCAACGATACATGACACCACTTCACCACCATCATCATCACCAACAACGATAGTTCCACCTATTTTAACCAAATTGAAAACGGAAGAATCAAGTTCATCTAGTTCTTCAACATCATCATCAATGATGAATTTGAAAGAGGTGGTACAAAGTAGACGCCATCGACGACCAGTACCAGCACCTTTACGACGCGCACATACAATCGGGATTGGTACACGTACATATGCTTCACCTGAACAACTTTGTTATTCTGGAAGGCCATACGATGAAAAGGTCGATATATATTCATTAGGGATCATCTTTTTTGAACTCTATCAACCTTTTACGACATGGATGGAACGAGCAGATGCTATTTCAAATTTGAAGAATGCAATGTTACCAGATGGATTTGTGGAAAAATATCCAAAAGAGGTAAATAAGTTTTTTTTTTCTTTTTAAAGATGAATGACTCACTTCTACTTGTTGTTTTAGTCTGCTCTTATATTATGGATGATGGATCATAATCCTGAAAGAAGACCTAGTGTGAAACAATTATTGAATTATGAATTATTTACACAAACGCCAACTGTAAGTATTGAAAATCAATCAAAATAAAATATTAAAAGATGAATTTTTTTTAAAAAAAATTTAGGATATGCTGGCAACATTAACTGCCAAATTACAAGCCAAATCAGAAGCATTAGATACCAAAAACAAACAAGTGGAATCCTTACAAGTAGATATGAAACGAATGGAATTGGAACGACAAGACATGCAACGGAAATTGGATGAATTACAACAAAAATTAGATAGTGTATCTTTATAGATTTATTCCCCCCCTCTCTTTTTGTACATAAATTATAATAAATGACATTTTTTTATTGATTGAAATTAGGGGGGAAGTCGGGGCCTGAAAAGAGCATGAATCAGTGGCTTCGCTGTGTGGATCACTGGCGCTTTTTTTTATTATGTATTGTTATTTTTTTTTTTCCTTTCTTTCTACTTTACAACTAGTTACACTATGACGGACGAATCTAAACTGTGTCATGACACCAAGCTACCTAGAGTATGTATATAAATCCTCTGACTCGAAGAATAAAACAATATATAATATACTAATCATTTTATCTTATCTATAGAAACGCTTCTTTCGACAACGAGCTCATGCCAATCCTTTCTCTGATCATCAACTAGAATAGTATGTTGAAAAAAAAAAGAAAAGTCTTTTTCTTGCACACATTACTTTTCTCTTCCACATATATTAACCAATGTTTTTTATCTCTTAGTCCTGCTCATCCTTCAGATATGGATTGGACAACGCATTACCCACATTTCGCCAACGACAAGACGAAAAAGATTGAATTTGCAGATATTGGTTGTGGTTATGGAGGACTATTGATTGCATTGGCTCCATTGTTTCCTGATACTTTAATGATGGGTATGGAAATTCGCATGAAGGTTCAAGACTATGTATATCAACGCATCAAGGCTTTACGTGACACTCATGCCGACACCAAGGGATATCAAAACGTATCTATTATGCGAATGAACGCCATGAAATTCTTGCCCAACTTTTTTGAAAAGGCTCAACTAAGCAAAATCTTCTTCTTGTTCCCTGATCCTCATTTTAAACAACGAAAACACAAGGCTAGAATCATTAGGTATTATATATAAAAAAAAAAGATCATTTATCAAGGGTACTCACTTTTTTTTTTTTTTTTTTGATAGTCCTACTTTATTGGCAGAATATGCTTATGCTTTAAAAGTGGGTGGGATTCTTTATACCATTACGGATGTCAAAGATTTACATTTATGGATGGTCAAGCATTTGGATGAACATCCCTTATTTGAACGTATTCCTGATGAAGAATGTGTAAGTGAATTAATGAATGATAAGTAAAAATGATTGATTTTTTTCTTTTGTTTTAGGAATTGGATCCTGTAGTTGAACATGTGCGAACGGCAACGGAAGAAGGCAAAAAGGTGGCTAGGAATCAAGGTGATAAATTCTTGGCTTGTTATAGACGTATCGAAGATCCATTAGAATAGAACTTTTTTATTTATTCATTACATTTATTGTTTTATTGAAGAAATGATTTCCCCCATTATATTGTTTATTTTTCTTTTTGTGCATTGAATCCTAATAATAAAAAAATTCAAATATACAACTAATGAAAAGCGACTAATACACTTTATGTTTCGTCATCATGGTCATAATATCATACATGACATCGGCAGCAGCCATAGATGTCAATTGTGCATTATCGTATGCTGGAGATACTTCAACGACATCAGCACCAACAAACTTCAATCCTTCAAGACCGCGAATAATTTTACGTAATTCTCTGGTACTGAATCCACCCGTTTCAGGAGTGCCTAATCCAAACAATTTAAAAGGTAAACAATTTCATAAATCTCTGATTTTTTTTTTTTTTTTTTAGCATTACCTGTAGCAGGAGCATAACTAAATCAACATGACAACATTAAAAAAAAAAGTCATCTATGAGTTTTGAAAAGGAACAAAGTCTTTTTTTTTTTTTACCTTGGATCCAAGACATCAATGTCTAAAGAAAGATAGACATAGTTGTCACCTACTACTTTCTTGATACGATCAATGATACCTTTTGTGCCAATCTCATCGATTTCATTTGCTTCGATCAATTGGAAGCCAAGTTTATGATCATCCTTGTAGTCATGTGGAGTGAACACCTTGCTTCGGATACCCACATGTATGTTTTGGTTTTTGGACATCAAGCCTTCTTTAGCAGCGAAATAGAAATACGTGCCATGATTTAAATTGGGTCCATGTCCTTTGTATGAAAATGGTTTCCATGAATCCATATGTGAATCGAAATGGATGACACTCACTGGTCGTCCATGATACGTATGTAATGCACGCAGGATGGGAAGAACAATGGTATGATCACCACCTAGAGTCAAGATCCTTGGAAAAGGTGATGAAATTTTGGATGATCCAGTCGCGTTATGTCCACCCGAGGTAGAATTTCTTTCTAATAAAGAAAGGTATCCCTTATACATTTGACCAACAGCTACATCATTATCATAAGGTCTACATATATGTTAAAAAAAAAAAAAAAAAAAAAAAAAAGGAAAGTTGGATCAATCATCCTCTATATATAGGATACCTTTTTTTTTTTTTAAATCATTCATACGTCACTGGGATATCACCACAATCCACCAAATTAAGTCCAGAAGAATAGGGATCAAAACCAAAAGGAACATTATAAGTTCCTGTTACAATAGTTCTTCTTGATCCTTCTCGGATAGCAGCTGGTCCAAATCTTGCACCAGGTCTATATGTTGTTGCTTTTCCAAAAAGTAAAAAATCTTATTAGAAAAAAGAAAAAAAAAAGAATGATTTGAATGATCTTACTAGTATCAAATGGAATACCAACAACAGCAATATCATATTGAATGGAAGGATCACTTAAACATCGTTCATAGGTAAGATGGCCAAAAGTTCCAATGCCAGCAAACACTTCGGTAGCAGGCGCTTCGTCATAACTTCCATGATCACCATAGAAATGAGGCATTTCTCTTTTCATGGGTACTGCCAATACTGTCCATGCATACATAGAAATCAAGGTCAAGGAGAAAAATTTCATGATTAGATTGTCAAAATAATAATAAGAATAGGTAAAGAAAAAAAAAGACAAGATGAATGAAATTGATCCAAGATGTTGTCCCCTTTTTAAAGGTAAATGAGAACTTGCTTATAATTATAGCTAAGCAGCGTTTTGAACAACAAAAGCGACGTTGTAATTATGGCTGTGGCGGCGCACAAACCGATGACTCAGCTAGTTCCCATCATATTCTCTATTAAAAGTCTTTGACAAAGTTATCTCTACTTCTTGTAAACCATCATGACTATATTTCATTCAAAAAAATCAGAACATTATCAATGGATTCGATTTTATTTCCAATACAATAAAAATATCTATCAAGCTTAAATAACTATATATCTATCCTATTAACGTAAACCCAATTTGTCCAGAGTCATTGTACCGTATTGCTTGCTTGGTTAGAATTTATGATGCCGATGTGTCAACATTTCCCCAAAATAGATATTACATTCATCCAGCCACACAGTCGTCAATGCCAAGTCTCACCAGCCGCCATGTGACCAAGCTCTATGAGATCATTGCTACAACTAAAGAAAAAAAAAGAATCTTTGAAGTCAATCAGGTTATTTTCTACCTTTTTTTTTTTTTTTTTGTAACACATCCATTGCACAGTTATTTTTTTTTCTTTCTTTTTTTTTTTTTTTTTTTTTTTTTTGATATTCTAGTCCTTACTAAGTTCTACACAAGGAACTGTTCTATGTTTTCATTAGAAGAAAGTTCAAATCTTTTCGTTAGTCCATATTTCTAATCTTATCCTATCACACGTTACTTGATCTTACCAAAATTTTATTTACAATGATGAATCTATAGCGTCAGTCAAAGAGGTCAAACTTAATCTACAAAGTAGTCATTAATACTCGATATAATACAAAATGATAGGCAGGTATTACTGTATTTTCCAAGTTCATCTATTTTATACTCTTGTATCACCTCTATTGGAGGTCAACCTTATATCTTTTGTGTCCATGTTAATATCGTTCATCTGTAGCTTATCTTTACCATCATATACCTCATTAAAGGACACTTAAAGAGGGAGTGTGTTTTTTTCTATAGAGGTAAACAATGACATTAGAAAGAAGTATACAATTAAAAAAAAAAGTTGATTTATTCGTAGTGACAAAGGAAGACATACCTTATATATATCTGCCATAGGAAGAATGTAAAGTTTGTGATTAGAAAAAAAAAAAAAGAATGGAAGGGAAGAAGGTGTCCAAAAAAAGAAAAAAGGAAGAAAAAGAAGAACATATAGATTCTCCGCCATGCTTGAACCCTTTCGGTGCAAAAAAAAAAAAAAAAAAAGAGAGAGCTAAACCAGAAATGGGGGTTTCTATACAAAAAGAATTTAATCGGATAAGAATATGATAGAAAAGAAGAAACAAAAGAAGTATTTTTCAAAAAGTTTGATCAACTGATTGTTATCCTATCAAGCTTATCTTTTATTATGAATTTATGATATGAAAATGAGAGAAATAATTACAAATGAAAAATGATTATTCAAAAGAAATAAGTTTTTAATCTTTTAATAGAAACAGATTTAGCTTTCATCATGACTTTAGTAGAATGAGTACATGTTGGTTTCATAGTACGAATTGGAGCACCAAGACAATCTTTAGACTATATAAAATATATAAAAAAAAATAATTAATAAATATATAAAAAAATGAAAAAAAAGATATATATATATATTAATAACTTTACTCGATAGAAAGTTAATTTAATCATTGGATCATTCACATCAATAGATCCAATATGTTTAGATTGTAAATTGAAACAATGTGATGACCAAGTAGTACCTTCATTATCATCATCTATTATTTCTTGTGGATTGATCGGATAAATATGCTGTACAATACCTTTTCCATTAGGTCTTGAATATACATTCAAATTAAAATAATTCGGCCTTTGTATATCATGATGATAATTATCCATAGTATTTCCTTGATCTATCTTTGCCATAATCATAGATACATATGATTGTAAGAATACAAGACAAAATAAGAAAACGCAAGAGAATGATGCGTTGACCATCTTTTTTTTTTTTTTGTATATATGGAAACAACTTTCAAATAGAAAAAGAAAAAGGTAAAAAAAGAAATCATCCTGTCTTTTATATCATTTTCGTAATGATAACTATAGTATGTCAAGTCTATTATTAGAAACCCACACAGAAGGTCAGCTGAAGCAAAAGATGAACCACATCCAAAAAAAAAAAAAAAAAAAAAAAACAAGAACAAGTCAACATCTTTCCATTTTATGCTATCATCCCTTTCATCCAATTGTTATTATTGGTTGGATCCATTTCTAAATTAGGGACTTGACCCTTTTTTCTTCCCTTTCTACTTCGTTGCTTAAAAAGCAGAAACTATCCCATGATGATGATCGAATTTACTCACTTTTTTCCCCTTGTCAAATAGATAGTTTTTTTTTTTTCTTTCAAATGCAAAATGATATATTAGTATTTTTTTATTTTATTTTTATTATTTTATACATTTTGATCTAGGTTGTCAAACATCATACGTTGTGGCGTAAAAACAACGAAGAAATGAACAAAGCGCATTTGTTTACTGTAATCCTATATACGCGTTTAACCGTAAGGCTTAGAGATGGATTCGTTCAAGAATGTTCAAGATTCCCATCAAACCAATCGCAACAATGGAACTAAAACAAATTTTTTTTTTCTCTCTGGAACCTGATTTCTCCTAATCAAGCTTTTTTTTTTTTTTTTGAAAGATCTGTGAAACAGGTATACCATGATCATCCTTTTTAGTAATGGATGATGTTACCTCATCATCATCATCTAAAAATGCAGGATATCCCATGAAACCAAACCATAATCATAAACATACACGTAGATCGTTGAAAAAGGAAAACTTTTTTATAAGTATAAAGTGTAAATGACATTGGTATATTTTATTGAAGATAAAAAAAATAATATGTATTATCATAGGGTCTTAAGTTTTATCTTTATTTTACTTGAACAACATCTATCTTATACAAACAATTTGTGTGGTAAACAAGATGGTTTTCGTTATTTTGACATCTTCTGTTTATTGCCGGCGCTTGGCTGCCTTCTGACTGATATTACCATCTCCCACTACATTGTTTTTACGAAGAAACTTAAATTGGTAAGACACAATATATGAATATGATGATTATTTTACAAGCTACTCTCTCTTTGTTATTATTATTATTGTTGTTATATTTAGAGACCTCAAGCAGGTCCGACCTCTTATTCGATGACGGTAAAGCGCAAAAAAAAAAAAAAAAAAAAAGAAAGTTAGAAATAGAAAAGACAATGGGCTACTAATATTTTGATATCTGTTGTATATATATACTGTATATATACGCTTTCTCTTTTTCTTTGTACTCATTTGGTAATAAAAAATATCGTATTCATATTCAAGATAATAATACTCCTTTTTTTTTTTTTTCTTAGGGTGTGCTTTTGAGCGTGCGCAAGTATGGCAGCTAAAGATGGCAAGTGCAGAGGCGCATTACGAAGAAAGGGTATCTATCTCTCTGTCAAATGAATTATATCTAATCAACCAAACGTTAGTCCAAAAAGCAAGTACGCACTGAAAAGGTGGATGGATACAGAACTATTTTTTTTCCAAATGATGACTTCCAAGGACTTTTTGTGCTTATACCAACCATTCCACTGTCTGATAGTTTTAAATATGATTTAGAATAAACGCTCTGGTGCTTCAATGAAGTGTCTTTTTCTTATTGTTTTTATTTTTTTTGCTCTGATGATTGGTTACGTGATGATTTCGATGAGTCGTTTGATGGGTTGGTGAGATGACGATAGTGATGATGTAAAATGAACTGGAGAGATGCTGGGAGTTGAATGGCTACATTTCTCCCAAGTCAATATGTCCTCGACATCAAGCTTTGGGTCCTGAGAAAAAAAAAATCCAGATGTCTGACATATACATATATATTGGTTCTAGCACCCTCTTTATGTCTTTTTTTTTTTCACTATATGCTCAAACAATATACACAAATATCTTTATTCAAAGTATATATATATATAAAACTTATTTTCTTTGAAATGCGGCTGTAAGGGGCAAACCCAATTGGTGATCGATAAATGACAATTGATGGATAGTGATCGAACTATGATTAATGATGGTTGATTGTTGGAAGAGAATGGGTGAACTTTGATTGATTGAATCATGATAATGATCATTGAATGGAAAGAGAGGAAAAAAAAATTGATCAAATCAGCTTGAAGAATCATATCGATCTGACTTTTCTACTACTGTATGTATAAGAATCCTTCTTTCAATCGACACCCAATCACAACAGTATGAAATAATAATAATAAAAAAAAAAAAGACAAACAATGAGAAGCATATATTTTATTAATAGTGATAGATTGTATTAAGTTTGAAGAATAGAGATAAAAAACAAATAAACAATAGAAGAGGAAATCGACAATCCATTCTTTATACTTTAGTAAGTGATCATGATTCATCATCATCATCGTTATTATTATTTTGATCTTGCCACTCCAATTCATAGCGCTCTTCAAAGGCATCACGATCAATGAATCCTTCAGCAGCTTCATAGGCTTGGATAATTTCATCAATGATTCGGAGTAAGGTCATTTCAGCAACACCTTGTGTAGTAATATTACTATACCCTCGTAATAGACGATTATTATGGACAATAATAGAGGTTAACAACCGAAGACGTTGGAACATATCATTCCATCCACCAATAGCTTCACAGATATAGACAGTTTGGGCAGGAAATCTTTTATCACCATCAAAGAGAAAACTAGTATCTATTGGATTTAAGCGATGAGTCGATATAAAGGTAGGTGATAATTTCCCTGGAGATTGGATCAAGTAGTTCCGTAATCGATAAACGTATTGTAGTATATCTTCCGTGGCATACCATCGTAGTTGACCAGCAGCTTGCATTCGTACTGGTGCTGAACATACATACATAATGATTTCTTTTTTTTTATTATTATATTATGTGTTTACTAGAACCAAAATTAAAAAAAAAAAAAAAGAATTGACGGATGAAATTAAGAGAAGGCTTGATATATCTTTTTTTTTTTCTTCCTTATATTGACAACAGTATATATATATTCATGTAAAGAAAAAGAACCAAATCAGACTTCATTTATTCTTTGTGTGTTCAAAGATAGATAACTCTCTATCTGATCAATAGTCATTGTTTATCCTCAATTCATTAGCTATCAATCAATCAACCACTTTTCCATTAACAATGATCAATCATATAAAATCCACTTATCGTATATATACATTCCAATTAGAATCAATCTTTGTACAAATATGTGTGTTTGTGTGTGTTATTATTATCAAACAACAACGAATTCTTTCAATTTGATCGATGTTCCTTTTTTTCTTTATCTTTACAACCAATCATTTAGCTCTTTCTTTTTTTAACCATTATGAATTTTTTTTTGATACTCAGCTTGGACAAAACACTCGTGCATTGACATTTTGTTGTTACTCCTTTTCTTTTTTTTTTTTTCCATTTCTCTTTTCACTTTTTTTCCCCTCTTTCCATCTTTTGAAGATTCAGCCACAATATGATAAAAAAAGTCTCTGGTATGAAAAAACGATAAATATCTATATATTAATCATACATGAACTAATCTTTTATTTTAATTACAGATCATCTTGTCTTTTTTATTCATGGCATGGGTCAACAATATGAAGAATATGGACGTTTAGAGCACCATGGTAAAATAAAGAAAAAAAAAAAAAGGAACAAATAATAATAATATAAAAATTAAGAATATACATTAACCAGACTAATCATTTCTTTCTTTCTTTCTTTTATATACTAGTACTTACAATGCAAAAGAATACACAACAAATATTACAACAACAATATCCAAATCATACTCTAAGAATACAATACGTGGCAATAGGTAAATATCAATAATAAATAATAAAATTATTCACACTTTTATTATTATTTTTTTATATAATAGAATGGCATAGTGTCATACATGATCTAGTGGATACGAAAATGGAACAAGCAACCCTTGAAACAGTTCCCAAAGTACGGCTGGCTACCAATCATTGGTTGATGGATTGTTTATATTGTAAAGCCCAATCAAAAATGCAGTTACTCCTCTTTATTATTGAATCTCATCATCATCTTTTTATATATATCGAATAGATTTCTCAAAACCTTATGGACAATGCATTATTGATACTGTCTGCCAACAATGCAATGATGCATATCGTCAGCATGTGGCTAATTGGCCGGAATTTACGGAAAATGGAGGACAAGTCCATATGATTGGATTCTCTCTTGGTGGCGTCATTGGATATGATATTGCTTCTATGCAATGGTTTCCTGAACAAGATGGTCCTGCTCCTTGGCATCATCTTTCTACTGATTCATCTATCAATAATAATCCATATTATTGCTACAAACCTGACATTCATGTACCACTCTTGGATTTCCAATTACGGTATCTATTTACATGTGGAAGTCCTGTCGGTAAGCAAAACTAAAAAGGAAAAGAAAGAACATCACCTAGTTTTAATATCTTTTCTTTTTTTTTCTTTCTTTTTTTTTTAATGATGATGAAATACAAGCCGCTGCGTTAGTTTTTAGGGGATTGGATTATTTACATTATCGACCACCACCACGTACAAAACTATTCAACGTCTTTCATCCATTTGATCCTCTTGGCTATCGTATTGAACCAATGGTGAATCAAACCTATACCTCTATCCATCCTGTACGACTATTACGAGCTCAACGACAACGTATTCTACCCAAAATCCCCAATCTTGGTATTCGATCTTCTCTTGCAAATGCTAAACCTTTGATTTCCAAAGCAAGACGAACATTTTGGCAATATCTGGCAACCATTTCGAATGAGTCTGAAACGGAAGAAGGAATCATCACCAATTCTGAGGATGACGATAGCGACGATATCAGTGATAACAACGGCAATGACAGTGATGATTGTATGAATAAGGATGATTGTCATACAATGGATACCTACCCAAAGAAGAAAACTTCTCAGTCTCCATTTTCTTTATCCTCCTCGTCTGGTTTGGTCTACCTTGGTATCAACAATAATATCAATAGCAACTCTATGGCATCCCCTGTGCTTTCTACATTCTCTGTTACGATGCATCATTCATCATTTCCTTTACCATCAATACGTTCTACTATGAAAAAGCTACTCTTCAATACCTCACGAACACCGTCTGTTACCTCTGTTCTTGCCACCAATACCCCAGAAGACTCATTATTAGATGACTCACACATAACTGAACAACAAATGGATACAGAAAATAATAACAACGACGACAACGATGCTGACAATGATGATGATGATGATGATGATGATGATTATCAATCCATTTTATCAACACATGAAGACAAGGATGAGGACGCAATCTCCTTTTTTACTGCATCAACTTTTGATCCCGTGATGGAGCCTTTATCTACTGCAAATACCAGTATTAGTACCAACATTGGCAACAACAGCAGCGATAGCAATCTATCAACACCTTACTACCCTTTATCTACGGACAAGATGGATGCTTTATATGATAACAAGGATCTGATAGATGACGAGACAAAAGGAATCGTAGCCATGGATGGCTCAATATACCCTAGATTGGATTATGTTTTGACGGAAACAGTCATTGATACCTATGCATCAGAATGGATTGTTGCTATGAAAAGTCATTTCAAGTATTGGGCCAACAGGTAAATCAAAAAGATAATTGAAAAGAAAAATCTCACTCATTATTCTTTCTTATTCCTACGTTAGAGATCTTGTTTTACATATGGTCAATGCAATGGTGAATGAAATATAGTGATTCCTCTTTATCTGATCGATTTTTACTCAAGTTTTTATTTATTTATTTATTTTTTTATTATTATTATGATGATACACGTTTTTTTTGAAAATAAAATATACCAAGTTATAAACATGCTAGACAACTGGAACGATGATACTTATTTTGTTTGAATGATTGATATCTAAGGGACAGTGATGATAATGATATGGTTGATTTAAACAAACGATACACTGATAATGAAAACTGAAAGTTTCTCTTTTTTTTTTTAGATGAATAAAGAAATGATTCATACCCAACTTTCATTCATCGTGTTACAATGAGTATATTAAAGTATAAAGAGCATGATACTCTCACACTCGTGAGTCTGTCAGATTTCCCCAGCATTTTTCACTTTTTAGTTCTCCGAAACATTTTGTACGACACATTCTTTTTTTTTTTTTTCTTTTTAAACTTTTTCTTTCCCGCATAGAACCTCTTCCTCCCCCTTTTTTTTTTCTTTTTTCTTTTATATATTTTTGTTTCTTTGTTCTTCATTCCTTATATATAATCATGGCTAAACCAGGCATGTTACCTACTGGTAGAAATGCTCAATCCATGAATAATATCTATTCCAAACCTGGTCCTTCCATTAGATCCATTACTCGATTGGGTTCATTATCAAGTTTACCTACTCCGAGTAGCTCCACCTCATCTTCGTCCTCATCCTTATTGTCCTTTGGAAAGAAACCATCAAGTAATAACAATGCTGCTCAAGCCGGTGTCACTTTGTATGCAGATATTGCCGAAGTACGACAAGCTATGGATCTATTTTTGAATTCACGTATTCCGGAATGTGAACTCATTTTGAACCCAAAACGTGATTCTTCCATGTATCATTCTCTTGGTTTTGCTTTTGTCTTATTCCTTAAAGCCTGTATGACATTTCAAAAAGAAGATATTGAGGCTGGTTTGGAAGCTATGAAACAAGCATATCAAATGGCTGACAAGTTTCGAAAACGGGATAGTTCTTGGAAAAACTTGAGTGCTTGGGTTAAATCTTATTCAGTACAAGATATCAAAGATATGACTCCTTTACAACGCCATGCAGTAAGTCCAAAAAAAAAAAAAAAAAAACAGGATAAGGAGAAGATAATTGATCATTCTCTTTTATATAATAGGAATTGGTTTATGCAGAAACTTACTTACTCAAAGCCATGTTACAAATCATCTATGATGAAAGCTTTGTTGGATTTTTACGTGAAGGATTGAAAATGCGTGCGTCTCATGGAATCTACAAGGTACTTGAAAAATATATGCTTCATGTACAAGAAGAAGCAAGTCTAGGCAAGGATGTCTTAGAATATGGTTTAGATGAACATTTCGCTTCTGGTGTTGCCTTTGGTAAAAAAAAAAAAAAAAAAAAAAAAAAAAAAAAAAAAAAAAAAAAAAAATAGTGATTTTTATTTATTTTATCTATTTTGGATAGGTATGGGATGTTTCAATTTAGTTTTATCCATGTTACCTCAAATTGTTTTGAAACTTGCTGAATTTGTTGGATTTACAGGTGATCGAGATTTAGCCATGTTTTACTTCCGATCAGTGGGTGGATGGGATGATGTGGAACATTTCAGTGAAAACGGCTTACCAGAACTACAAGGACCTGAAGAAGGAATCCGTCGTCAATTCTGTGATATGATGCTTCTTCTTTACAATATTGTATTATCCAAACTGTCCCCTCTTTCTCATGTGGATGAACCTCTTGCCGATCGTGTGCTCAAGTATAATTTACAACTTTATCCTGATGGTATCTTCTTCTTATATTTTTCTGGACGTCAATTATCAGCAAAGAAACAATTAGAACAAGCCAAGGCTCAATATCATCGCGCCATCTCCATGGAATCATCTTGGAAACAACTTCATCATATGTGTTATTGGGAATTGGGATTGATTGCACTCTTACAACAAGATTGGAAACTGGCTCATGATACCTATCAATTACTTAACAATGAAAGTAACTGGTCTAAAGCTGTTTACACCTATGTCCAAGCTCTATCTCTCTATATGTATGCTTTGGAATTGACTCCTGGTGAAAAACGCAAGCAATTACTGAGCAAGGTCAATGAATTGATGTCCAAGGTGACAAAGGCAAAACAAAAAATTGCTGGCAAATCCATCTTTGTCGAGGTAAAAAAAAAAAAAAAAAAAAAAAAAAAAGGAATTATTTTATTTATATGTTCTTTCTTTATTAGAAATTCGTGGCAAGGAAATCAAGAAAATTCGATCTTCAAGGTGGCCGCTTGTTATTCCCTGATCTGGAAGTATTAAATGCATTTAGTGCATTTGAACTAATGTCGACTGATTTGGTACGAAAGAATTTAGGACGTATCCAAGCAACCCTGACTCGATTAGAAAGCAACAAATCATTCTACGTGTACGATGATCTCTGTCTTTGTCACTACCTACGTACCATGTTGATCCGTATGCTTCTTCAAGACCCCACCACGCCTAAGGAAGAACGACAGCGTCTTAAGGAAACACATCGTATCTCAATTCAAGCAGTACTCGACATGGCGGAAAAAGTACAACTGGATCATTACACTTACTATTTCACTGTCTATGAAAAGGCAAGAATGTTGATGATGGATAATGAATTGGATGCTGCTCGCAAGGAAATTCAATATTTGATACGATGCTCAGAAAAGAACGAATTCAACGTGGGTGCTGGTGCTCGAGCCAAGAACAAGTATTCGTTGGAAAATTCACTGATTCTCAAGTGCCATAACTGTTTGGAAATGATCACGGAAATACAAGAAGGAAGAAATAATGATATACAGACCATACAATTGAAGGAAGAAAAGGATGACCAGCTGGGTCTGGACATCACTACTACTACGCAAGATGATTCTGATGAAGAATTTGAAGACGCAAAAGAAGATTAAATTAGATCTTTATTTAGTTAGATATAGTTTCAAATAATAAAACAATGTTGAATTTTGATACTCATGGTAAGGAGAACGTGGTGTCTTTTTTTTGTAAAAACGTGGTATTTCCAAAAAAGGACCTGCCATGCTATGATTGGCTAGATATTTCCTCGCCAGAACAGGCTAATGATTTTTTTTTTTTTTTTGACGGGAGAACAAAGTAACCGTACTTCTTTTTTCTTTTTCTTTTAGCCTTATTTTCCCGTGTTTCATCATGCCTGGGACATCATCAGACGTGAGGCAGCGATCTAATAAGAAAACAAGTAAAGGTCAAAAGAAACAACAACCATCTCTTCCTCCTCAAGTCAGTGCAAAGTAAGTAAAACGCCAAATTACAAAAAAGAAGCTTATTTTGCTTTTTTTTTTTCTATCATTAGAGTGGCTCATGATCTTATTACGGAATCCAATACATTTTCATTTTCTTTGAAAACAGCATTTCGGTTATTTCTGATCATTCGATGTGCTTCTGGATTATATAGTGTAGTCCAAGACTGTGATGAAGTATTCAACTATTGGGAACCTGTACATTATCTTTTAGAAGGTTATGGATTCCAAACTTGGGAATATTCTCCTCGTTATAGTATTCGTAGTTGGGCTTATATCTTGATCTATTCTCTTTTTGGTTTTCTTGCTCAATTGATCTCTTCAACAAAGGTAAACGCGTTTTTTTTTTTTTTTATGAAACTCATTTCTCTTTATAGCTTCAAATTTTTTATTTGATTCGTTTATTGATGGCCGCGTTTTGTTCTTTCGCTGAAGCCAAGTTGTATCGTACTGTGGTGGAAGAAATCAATCCTCATGTAGCTCGTTATTTGATGGTGGCTTTGTTCTTTAGTGCTGGCATGTTCCATGCTTCTACAGGTAAATCATCTATTTATTTATTTATTAAACTAATCTTTTTTTTTTTTATTAAGCTCTTCTTCCTTCGACTTTTGCCATGTATACCACAATGATGGCATTTTCTTCTATTTTACAACCACCTACACAAATGGATCGAACAAGAACTTATACAAGTGTGTTTTGGTTGGTATTGGGTGGATTGGCATGGCCTTTTAGTGGTGTGATTGGGATTCCTTTTGCCATTGAAGAAGTGGTAGTGTATGGACGGGATACAAAGACGGATAAACATGGACAATTACAAGTGGCGGTACGATCTCAACATTGGCGGTACTTGCGTGTGTTGCGTTTGGTGGAAGCTGTCTTGTTATCGACCTTGGTACTTGGTGGAACCATGTTTTTAATTGATTCTACCATTTATCAACAATGGACCTTTGTACCTTGGAATATTGTTCGATATAATGTATTTAGTGGTGCTGATGGTCGTGGACCCGATTTGTTTGGTACTGAACCTTGGTACTTTTATATCTTGAATGGATTTTTGAATTTCAATGTTGTCTTTTTATTGGCTTTGGCTTCTGGTATTATCATGGTAAGAAAACAATCTACATATATAAAATGGGGATAATTGATTTTTTCTTTTTTTTTTTTATATATATATATAAAGTTGGTGACAGCTTATGTGGATCGTCATCGTGTACCTGGAACAACTTGGACTGATGCAGTATGGCCTTATCTTTTGATGTCTTTCAAGCTAGCTCCTTTTTATCTTTGGTTCTTGATCTTCACTTGTCAACCTCATAAGGAAGAACGCTTTTTATATGTGGCTTATCCATTGATTGCATTGAATGCTGCTATTGCGATCTATTTTATCCGAAGTCTTGTCAGTCGTGGAGCTGGTTATTTGGGTGCTAATGTAAGTCACTATATAAAGAAAGATGGTGGATTTTGTTCCGCTTCTATCAGTTTCTTATATTTTTTTTTTATTTTTTATTTTTTTTTTATGTTTAGATCAATGTTCGAGTTTATATTCTTCGATATACATCATTGGCAATATTAGTGGTGTATGGATTAGTATCAATATCACGAATCTTAGCGTTAGTGACACGATATCATGCTCCTTTGACGGTGTATAATGCATTATGGAAAGAACGCCAGGAACCTCTGGTACACAGCAATTATATTCAAGAACGTTATGCAGAAGATATGACGACAAAAGAACTTCAATTGTGTGTAGGCAAAGAATGGTACCGATATCAATCCAGTTTCTTTTTACCCAATGATGTACGTTTGCGATTCATTCCTAGTCATTTTGATGGTTTATTGCCCAATACATTCCCTGAAGATCGAACAACGGCAACTTATATCGACAAAGATACAACCATCCATTATCGTACACGGAATTATGACGTATTGAAAGGTATGCGTCATCATCATGATAAGACCAATGATCGTAATCAACCTGATGATTCAGCAACTTTGAAGGATTTGACTCAATGTGATTATATGGTGGATAGCTATTTCCCCTTACACCGTGGTGTTGAATCCTCTTTTGTGATGGACAAGGCTTGGGATCGAGTTTTCTGTGAACCTTACTTGGATGCGGCTCATTCCAGACAATTGGCTCGTGCTTTCTGGGTGCCTGGTAGTCAAGGTTTACAATGGGGTGAATATTGTTTATTGAAACGTAAAACTTGAATATAGTGTACATATATTATTATAATAATAAAGATTTTTTTTTTTTTGAATGATGGAATGAAATTTTTATTATTATTAAATTAAATATATATATAAAATACACAATGGAATTCTAAACTACAATGGGATGAATAAGTGGAGTGATTTCTTGATGATTATTTGTATGATTGACATGAAAAGTGATATTGACCTTACAAAGTGGACACTATTGAAAAAAAAAAAAAAAAAAAAGTAAATAAGAAAATTTTTTTTAAAAAAAAAATAGGTTGAATGAATATTTACGTATTTTTTTTGAGTAGTAAGCCAAGCATCTACACACATAGGATGAAAATCATGATTACATGGTAACACACGAATTTCTTCTCCATGATGATAATCCTCCAAACAGATAGCACAACTTTCAGCTTGATTTTCCAATCGTTTTTCATGATGATATTGTTTAATGGTTAATCTTGAAACCACATTCATAGGAGCAATTTCTTGTAATCTTCTTTGTCTTTGTCGAATTTTATAAGATACATAAATAAATGTCATCATAATGGCTGGCGATATAAAAATAATCATCAACATATCCAACAATGGCCTATCAAAAAAAAAAAAAAAAATTCAAAGTCCTTTTCAAAAAATAGTTTTTATGCAGCAATTTTACCAAGTCATAAAATCATCTAATTTCATTAAAATCATCATGGGCGTATCCACCACTTTGGAAAGATAAAGAATAGAACGATATTCATGTTGAGCCAAAAAGAAACTAGGAATATGAATATCAGAAGTATCACCTGGTGCATACATGGTTACCCATTGTTGTTGTTGATGATCCCCAATCACTACAGCTATAGCACCCGATTGTTGCATGGTACGTACTTTGGTAATAAAGGAACATCCACCTCTTCGTAATAAGGCAATCCAATTTTCTGTAGGTGCTTCTACCCATTGACATCCTGTTGGATCAATAGGTTCCATTAAATATCCCACTTGACCTTGTCTAGATACCCGAGGTCCAAATGCAGCTGGTCGATCGATAAAGGTATCATTAGTAGCCTAATAAAACAAAAAAAAAAATAATTTTAGAATATATATATAACTTGGTTCATCACTTACTATGACCAAAAGAGATGCTTGTATAAAACGTGAGAAGAATAAAATAGTTAGGATCCATAACTGTCTCATTTCAAAATATATATCTATATATAAAAAGATAGGAATAATGTATTTAATGTTCTTTAATACATGTACTCCCAAAAAAAAATATATATATTTGGGTTTGTTAAAAGAAAAGAAAATAAAAAAAAAATAAAAAAAAACAAAGAAAGCTGTAAATCAAATTACATCAAAATCAAACACCAAAAAAAAGGAGTGAGAGTTTGAATGCGCCAAAAGGGAAAAATATTAAAAAAAAAAAAATCCTCCCGCGGCCTCTTTTTTAATATATACACTTTTGATATTATCTTTTTCTTTTTCTCTCCTTTTGATTGAATTTAATACTTTTTTTTTTTTTATCAAAACTCCTTTTTACGTTTTGTTTCTAACTTTTTTGTGATTTATGCTTTTAATTCATGATCCGATATTTAAACTTGTCATTTTGTTTGAAACGCGACCAACTCTTGTTTATTTGATCTTTCCCTTCTCATTTCGGTGTTTGAAATGGTTAGTTGTCATGATCAACGAAATATTATAATATTTGTGCCTCCAGCTCTAAGGCACGCGTCAACCCATCCAGGATGTGCCAAAAGGGATAGTATAAATATCATAATGGTTAAAAAAAAAAAGATCCAAACAGTAAGGAAGACAGAGAGAAATGCAAGGAACAATTTATATTGTTACGCTATCAAATAATGATGATTATTCTATTAAATCAAATCAAACATTATATATCATAAAATAGTATATAGAATTCATATCTCATAATTGTAAGAGTATAGTTTTTATTAAATTATTAAGAAGAGGGTCGATGTTTCAATACAAAGAAGCATAATAATAATAAAAAAAAGTGGCTCGTTCCTGTGCAAAAAAAAAAAAAAACCACCACGCAGATTACCTATTCAAGTGATTTCAACGTTACACAAGTGGAACCATGAAAAATAGAGTGCCCTTTTTTCTCTCTTTTTTTTTTTTCTTCTTTCTTTTTCTTTTTTTTCTTTTTCTTTCTTTCATACTTGTTGTAGACAGTAATATTATTATTGTGTGTGTGTGTTTTGTGTGTTTGTGTGTACATATACCTTTTTCTTTTTTTTCTTTCTATATATATATATCATCTCTATTTTTTTTTATTTCATTTCTTTTATACCTATACACCTACATTGCTCAACATATTCACCATGACAACTATTTTATCTTCTACATTACACAAGAAATACGATGCAGTAACAGGTCACAAATTCATCAATCAATACAAGATGTTAAATGAAATAGGACGTGGCGTTCATGGTAAAGTCAAATTAGCACAACAAGGTGATTCTCTAGTGGTAAAGAAAAAAAAAAAGATAACATGAGATAAATATTTATCTTTTTTTTTTTTTTGTAGGCCATCAAGATCATTGACAAACATAGTAAACGACGACAATATAGTTTATTACGGTCCTCTTCTGACGATCCATTACGTGATCATGAACGGTCTCTACGACGAGAAATGATGATTTTACGAAAATGTCATCATCCAAATATTATTCAATTATTGGAAATCATTGATGATCCTCAATCTCGAAAAATCTATATGGGTAAAAAAAAAAAAAAAAAAAATAAATAATATTTTGTTACTGTTGATTCACTCTCCTCCCTTTTTTTTTTATGAATGGTAGTGCTTGAATATACAGAAGGCGGGGCAATTACTTGGCGTGATGAACATGATCGACCTGTTTTGACTAAAAAGGAGTCAAAACAAATGTTTAAGGATATTGTCAATGGATTAGATTATTGTAAGTTTTTGATAGGGGATATAAAAGAAAAAAAAAAAAAAACTGAACCCTTTTTTTTTGGGATAGTACATGGATTAGGGATTATTCATCGCGATATCAAACCAGCCAATTTATTATTAACAAAAGATCAAAGAGTCAAGATCACGGATTTTGGCACCAGTTATGATCCTAGTCAAGATGATCCTAAATTATTGATGGAAACTGTAGGTACACCAGCTTTCTTTGCCCCTGAATTGTGTCGTCATTCTACCATTCCACCTACTTACTCTATGGATGTATGGGCCTTGGGGGTGACTTTGTATTGTTTTACTTTTGGTAAATGTCCTTTCATGGCCTCCACTGAATTCGAATTGTTTGAATTGATTCCTACTCATCCTTTGTCCTTTCCATCATCACATGATGATCCCGTCTTGGAAGAACTGTTACTTCGTTTATTGACCAAAGATCCAATTTCTCGGATTACTTTACAACAAGTGAAGGTAAGGATATCATTGTTATTATAATTCATGGATTGACCTTTTTTTTTTTTTTTGTTAGATGCATCCTTGGATTTCTGAATCATCATCATCTTTACCTAGTCCACCCTTATCAACACGCTCTATACCTAAACCAAGTCTTTCCACACGATTACGTATTGCCATGTCTCGATGGATGTTACGACGGAAATCTACCACTACTACTACTACTACTACTACTACAAAGAAATCCAAAACACCTCCATTCAGTCGATTACGTCCATTATCTTGTTTTTCCGATATCTCTGTATAGACCTTCAAAAATAAAATAAAATAAAAAAAAATAACCATTCTTTTTTAATATCTGTGTATTCTTTATTATCAGTATTATTATTGTTTTTTTTTTTTGGGAGGGGAATAAAATACAAAAAAAAAAAAAAAAATAGGGTAAATGATGCGTATGTATAATCATAAGCTATATATATATATGTATGGGGGGAATCAACTAGATATACATAAAAAAAAAAAAAGGTCATGATAAAGTAGAATGAACAGGAGATTTTCCAAGAAAAAGACCGGCGGCCGTATTGACTTGAGCAAGAGCAGTAGAAGCGGATGTTTTTTGTTGTTGACCTAAATGAGCCAAGGATCGACGATGCCGTAATGCAGGAGAAGTGATGTCGGTGATATCATTTTGATCAGGAGGTGATAAAGTATGCGAATCATTGGGAGAACTGATAGTGGAGGAGGGTGAACTAGATAAGGTGGTTTCTAATTGAGTATGAGCTGAGATCAATTCCGGTAAAGATCTGACAGTGGATAATAATTGCATATCGTCTTGTTTTGTCCTTTCGTCCTTCTTGATTGGTTCTGATTGTACGGATGATTTGTCTTTCTTGATAATACGATGTTTCATGTCCATGATAGGAGGTGAGATGGAGAGTGTGGATGATGATGATGCTGTTGTTGTGGATGATGATTGATTCAATTCTGTATTGGAGAAAGTATGATCAAGTTCTTGATAGATGCCACCTAGACCCATGGAATCAAAGAAGGTGATATCGTCCATATGAGGCATGACCATTGTATCCCGAAACACTTCTTCCAGATGTTTGATGATAGCCTTGACAACCATAGAATGACCTACTTTGGTTTCCCACACCAATGGAGCTATATGCCATTTCATATCAGGTAAGCCTTCAAATCCATACCAGAGACGATTGCATGGAGGAGGTTTGATCAAAACATTGATTTTGCCTTGAAGAGATTGTAAAGTGACACGCAACACAATATCCATGGTGAGAGGAGGTAACCGATCCGAATAAGTCCATTGTAACACAGTAGCAATCTCGATGTGTAAATCTGCACCTTGGTAATCAATCATGGCTTCCAACTTGCATTCACCTTGAGGCGTCAAACCAATCAATCTAGGTCGAGTCATCAATGGTAAATTGCCACCAATATCCACGGCACGTACTTGAATTTCACCCAGAAATGGAGGTCGTCTAGCATTGATCTTGCCTACCTTGGTCATCACCTTGGTCCAAACAGCTTGTCGAAATCGTTCCGTTTGATGAATCCCCAAAAACAGTCGTCCCATTAATGCATTGAACCATTGAAGTTCCAATTGATATCCATCACCATGAATACGATGAATCAAAGGTTGTAGAGATCCCATGCTGACCGGGACCCGAGGTAACCCACTTGCTTGCAGGAGCACCTGATACCAATCTTCTTTTTCCGTACATAGATGACAATGAAGATAAAGTGATTTATTACCTCCTTCTTCTTCTTCTTCAATACGAGTCAGTTGAATCCAATAAGGTCTAGAAAACATTTCAGGATCTTGAATATCGGAAGGATACATGGAAACCTTGTATTGTTGTAAAGAAAGAACTTGTTGGCAATCCAGTTGCTGTTCAGAATCATAAAGGTATAAAGTATGGTGTTTTAGGACGGCGAAAAAAGGTCGTTGACTTGGTTTGGATAAACTAATGATAGGAGGTTTGCCTTGCGTCATACGTAACCAGCCGACTTTATAAAGTGGAGGAGGAGATAAAGTTGAAATAATATCATTCTTGTTGTCATTGTTGCTAACTGGTTTGATGTAATGTCGATAAACTTGTTGTAGTCTGGAAGTAAATGTAGGGAGGTATACATAAAGGCTTAATAATAAAGGAAATAATGTCAATCCACCTAAAAGATATCCTATAAGAAAGATGGTAAGAAAAGACATCAAGTGGTGACAAAATACATGTAAATGGATCAAAAGAAAGAAAAAAGAAAGAAAGGAAAAATAAAAAAAAAAAAGGAAAAAAAAAAAAAAAAGAAAAGGAAAAGCTCTATTTTTTTTTTTTTTTTTTTTTTTGTGTGTGTGTTGGCTGACTATCGGCTTAACTGGGTGATGACTGGCTGTAATCAAGAAAAAAGATCTGGACTTGAATGTGGAAAGGGAGACGAATGAAAAAAGATGATTCTGTACACACCATTCTTTTTCAAAAGAACACGTGAATGATCTTATAGTTGTTGTTATTATTGTTGGTAATAATAATAAAAAAGATGGTGATGATCCATTTTTGGATTACCGGAGAGTTAAAAAGTACATGATTTTTTTTTTTATTTTTATTTTTTATTTTTCATGCCATGATGCAACTCGGCATTTTAACTCTCTATGATGGATCATTTTTCATCGCGTGTTATATCAAGAAAATAAGAAGGTTTTTTTGAACCGGAATGAAGATTCCCCAATAATTAAGGAGGTTTTTTTTTTTTTTTTCTCTTTGACAAAAAGGAGGTTTATTTTTTTAATTGACAAAAAATCCAAATCGTCATATCCATAATTGTTTCTAATTTGTCATACTATATATATATATATATATAAAACAATCAAATAAATAAATAAATCCTTTTTTACAATATAAAGCTTGTACGTATTATCTATGTATATGTATGTTGTGAAGTGTGTGTGAATCTTACGTCCAAAGTGTGATAACTACATACGAAAAATACCAAACAATTACTAAAATGAGTATGGTCGCGTGGAAATCCTCGCTTCCTATAGGAGGAGGTATAAAAAAAAACGTGGCACATGGTTACACTCAAGTTTCAATTTTGGTTTGGGTTACTTTTCAATTCGTCATCCTCCTATAAATACAACCTCTTTTTTTTCATTTTTCCTTTTTTTTTTTTCTTTTTTCCCTTAACTCTTTTTTTTTTCATATATTTAAAATAAATAATCATGTCCACCGCTAACTTATCTATGCCCATGTATTTACTTCAAGATGGTGATCATATATTAACTTCCACTGTGAATTATTTATCAGCTGCATGTGTAGCTCAATATCTTCAACAAAGTCCTACTATCAAGGCTACTTTAACTATGGACGGTGATTCCATTCGACTTCCTATCTACGCTCTTCGAAGACGAAATGCTGTCGTTGCCAATCTTCCTGATGCTCCTGTCTCTTAGTTATCATCATTCTCCCTTTCAAATACCATTTTCATATATACTCATACATATATACAAAAACTATCTCTAAAAACAAGGCATACAAACTTCATATATATTCATGTATTCATTCAATTAGTTTATTTTTTTTTGATTTTTTTTTTCTTTTCATCTGCATATCATATTAGACAAATATAAATAAATAAAAAAAAAAAGTTAACTATACTAGATATATTTTCTTTCGTCTTGATAACTTGATTTTTTTTTATTAATAAACAAAAAAGAAAAAGATTTTCAACTTCGCTGTATTAATCCACAATCACATTATCACCTTCATTTTCATCTCTTCTAGAAGAATGTTCACGTTCCTATTTCACAACAAAAAAAAAAAAAAGGTCAGGTAATGAATTCATCATTACCAAGAAAACAAACAAATAAAACCAAGAAAAAAAAAACGGACGATGTTTTTATCTTTTCTTTGATATAACTTACCTTCTTTCTTTTCTTTTTCTTTTTATGATCACTATGTCCATCGTCGTCATGTTCATGACTATGTTTTCGTTTCTTTTTCTATATAACAAAAAAAAGTCAACATGTATACTTTAATATAAATGACCATATTACCTTCTTTTTATGTTTGCGTTCACCATCAGAAATACCATAGACATCTTTGTCAATATATTGTCCTGAGTTTCTACCTCCATCATCGTCTGTTCCCAACAAAGACACATCAAACTAAATAATAAAATGAATAAGTTCCAAAAAAAAAGAAAATAAGAGTAAAAATAAACATACACCTGGAACAGGTCCTTCTCTTAAATGATAAGATTCTTTCAAAGTCGCCATATCTAAAGGTCGAATGGTATTTGCTGAATCCGCTTCAATATGAGGATCATGTAATAAATCCATAAGATATCCATCTGGTTCTACTGTTGTCTTGCCAGGAAGATCAGCAACAAATGAAAATAACGTAGGATCGATTGTTTGAGAAATGTATTTCTTGTAACATGTCACTAACCCGTAGTACGTCAATAGATCAGTACTACCTGTCAGTCGTCCACCTGTCATCAATTGTATTTATGTACAAAAAAAAAGGATATATAACAATACAAATGGATACAAAAAAAGAGAAAAAGGAAAAAAGACTAGACCCAACATGAAAGTGACGCCCTAAAAAATTGGCTTCAGTCCGCGGCCCTTTAAAATTGTCCAATCATATGGGATGTCATGATCCAAAAATAAAAAAACATCCGGCATAAGTAAAAAGGAAATGAAAGATTAAAAAAGAAATTTATTTATAAAACAATATCTTTATTTTTTCAACGTCCATAAAAATAAAGAAAATAAAATTATACACAAGAGGGGGTATAATAGCTACATACTAAAGTGAGAAGGTGATCATCGTATAAGATCTTTAACACGTTGTTGCACCAGAGCCAGTTCACTTGATTCACTAAAAAAAAAGAAAAATCAATGTTAATACATTAATTCATATCATCATTTTCATATGATGTAATTACCTTTGAGTCCATTGTTTCAACTCTTGGATGGCTTGTTGCATATATATCATATTATTACCAACAGGTTTTGTCCACATTTCACTTTCATCCGAGGATTTGATATGAATAATATCACATTTACTATCATATAAATCGAACCGTACATTCATAAATCCAATGATCTAATAATATAATACAAAAAGAAAAAAAAAGAGAGATGAATAGGATTATTATTACCTTTTTTTTTTCTTACCTGTCCTGTCATATCTTGGAAATAACGATAATAGGAGCGATATGTAATTTGACAGATGACTTTGGATGCGTCAGTCACCAATAATGTAGAGTACCAAGCTGTTCGTCCATCAGGAAGTTGTTGACTGATCAGAGGTTGTGTATCTATAATAAATTGTACTTGAATACCAAGACCTCTTTTTTTTTTTAAAAAAAAAAAATAATAATAATATATCCCTCTCTGACTTACGTAAAACATAAACCACCATATCCACATCGGTCTTGGTAAGATCTTTGACATGTGCACAAGGACAAATGGAACGCAAAGGATATTCAATTATATTATGTTTGTTGCCGACAGATAAAGAGATTTTGGGTGATAAATGTTCCCATTTGGTGAGTCGAGTAGTGATCAAGTAAGGGCCTTCAAATGATCGCATTTTCGGTTGATAAGGTTGAACAAAATAAAGTCGATAACATTGTCCTTCCATCAAGTCCATATGCATCACCTCCGTTGCCTTTGATACCAATAATGTCGCTATAATATTATTGCTGCTGTTATTGTTATAATCGATATCACACAGTCGTAATTTGAAGTAACCTGACACCTGTCGTCGATCTTGACATGTATCCGAATAAGGAGAAGAAGACAAGGAAGGCGATGTCCGTTGTCGTTGCTGTTGTTGTTCCAATGTCCTGCGATAATCCTCTTCATCTTTCGAATTGCGTGTGATGACCAATCCATTCACTAATGTTTCAGAATACATCATAGGATACTTTCGACAAACAACCACATCCATCATTGTAATCAATCCGCCATCATCATAAATAGAATCCAGTCTTCGAATCACCTGTCGGCGCCGTCTTCGGTAAGGATATCCTAGCCTTGTGTCCCAAGAACAAGGTAAACAACTATTGGAAGAGATCGAGATTGCCGTTGTGGTAATGTCATGTAGATCGTTTTCATTCATATTGTCTTCTTCTGTAGAAAGTGCTTCTAATGGCGTTCTTGCCGTGCGATCTCCGGTCAGCTAAGGAATAACCAAAAAAAAAAAAAAAAAAAAAAAGAAAGAATAGGTATGTGATACATTTTTTTTTCTTTTTTTACTTTTGGATATCTTACCTGAGCTCCAGTAATTGATATTTTTAAACCAATATAGATTTTTCCTTGTTCAATCATATGATTCATTCTACTATCCACATAAGCCGAGATTTGGTACCATCCATCAGTCAATTGCAATCGATACTTGTCACGACTACTACCAGTACGTACAATGTCGGCCACCATAAGCACCATTTGTTTGACAGGTCCATCATCTTGTTCCATGATTCTCTTGATAACAGAACGATGGCCCAAGTTGATTTCACGTTCATATCGATATAACAATTGATGTACCACATATGTCGGATTCCACCATCCTCTATCATCATCAGTTTCCTTGAAATACTGTGGGAACATACAAACACGTCTTGCCAATTTCCATACAATCCATCCATAATGATTTTCAATCCATCGCTTCGGTAGCATATGAGACACACATCCTGCTGCTAATAATTCCTTTTCCGCGTCCTTGATTCCCCAGCCGTTCTTGAATGTATATGATCGTGCCTTGCTAGGTGATAACCGGATGACATCGCTCGGTCTATTTTTTTTTTTTAAAAAAAAAAAAAAGAAAAGAAAAAGTATTCATATGTGTGAGAGGGAGAGAAAAGAAGTGTCAGATTTTTTTGATCATTATTCAACGTACATGCCCATCGAAATCAGGATATCTTTTGTATATTTTTTTGGTGTACCCAAGCTAGAGAGAGGTCGTCGGCAACCAATCGCTGATATAATACAAAAAAAAAAGGAAGAGAGGATTAGAATAAATATCAGAGTGGGTTCGTTTTATATATATATATATAGAATGACTTACGATGCATATCAAAAACAGAAGGTCCTCTCATCTTGATAGTACTTGATGTTGTCAAACGTTTTTCCAATCCTGCTTTAACCAAATCTAAGTTAACCGCTGGTGATTTGAATGGCTTTGAACGTGGTCGTCGACTAGATTTTTTTTTTCGTCGTTGAAGTGATGTGTTTTTTATTGTTCCATTTGTGGTTGATGCTGATGTCGGTGAAGAACGTGAAATAACAATATCGTCTGCTGCGTTATCCAGTGAGGATTGCGAAGATAGAATTGATGATGTGGATAGCATTGACACTGAGGCAGATAGAGCTGATGATGTCGTTGCCGTTGTTGTGGTTGTCGTTGTTGTTGCTGATATGCCATCTGATGAAACTTGATCTAGGTCATTCGCTGATTTACAGATAGTATCCTCTTCCGTAAACTGTTGAGATGATTGAGATGATGGTAAGGGTTGAGTTAACGTTGTTGTCGAAGAATCTGACATAAATAACAATAATGCCTGTCGTTTTGCTTCCTCTGAGATTGGTGTATCTGTTTTCTTTCCACTTGCTTTACTGAAACCGCCATATTTTTGAAGAAAGTCCTCGTATTGATAAGATGATTGAGATGCTGGTAATGGACTTGTGTTGGCTATGATGTTGGGTGAAAGAACAGAATGATTTGTTGTATGTTCTGTTGTTGATGCTTCACATAATGGTGAGGATGATCGGACAGGTGAAGTCAATAATAACTGACGAGCTTTCTCTTGTGCTTCTAAACTTGGTTCATTCAGTCGAGTACCTCTAGCTGTGCTGAACCCAGAACCAAAGGTCATCGATGCAGAAGATGTGTGAGGATTAGAAGGATGTCTGGAGTTGATTGGCTGTTGTTGTTGTTGCTGTTGTTGCTGTTGTTGTGCAGGTGGTGAGAGGATATCATTTTTCATCATCATAGATGTAGAAAGAGGTTCAGCTAAAAGAGCCATGGCAGTGTTGTGAGCTGCTTTGAGAGAAGCATTACTAGGTTTGAAGTCTATTTTGGAACCAGCTGTTTTGAATCCACCAAATGTCTGTAAAGTATCATCACATTGTGCTAAAGAAATTGGTTGTTGTTGTTGTTCAGGGGCATTATAAAGTTGAGAAGGGTGATCCAATAATCGGCTTTCCATATCATCTAATAAAGCTGGTATATCCATATCATCGAATTCCAACCACATATCATCGTCATTATCAGTCATATTACAATCGTTCTTGTTTACTAAAGTTGCCGTATCATCGAATAAGGGTTGAACTGGTAAATCGGTTTTTTTCTTGTCCAAATTATTTATCTGTCGAGTGGGTTGCTGTAGGTTGGTGGTATCAAATAACATATCTTTTGTTGTTGTAAGATGGATGGTTCCTTTTGGTGGTGAGCATGAAGCATCTCTATAAACTTGGAATCCACTATTTTCATCGTCATAGGTTCGTTTTTGCTTTTTGTTATATCGTGTGTCCTGTTTGTTTATTCATATAAATTAATAAATGTGAAATTTATTTCTTATATTACTACTTACATGAGAGGATACAAGATCTTTTGGAGTTGTTTTGACGGAAGATTCTACTTTAGCAACTGTTTGTAAGACTTGTTCTTGAAAACTTGAAGACATATCATCCCAAGTATCGTTGAATTCTTGAGAGCTAAATCTTGACATTGAAGGATATGATAAAATAGTATAAATAAATGGTATAAAGGTGGGGTAGGAAGAGGCACAGCAGAGAGTGAGAGAGAGAAAAAAAATAGGAAAGAGGAACAAAAATAGTAGGACAGACGCGAAAAAAAAAAATATATGAATAGGCCTACGGAGTTCAAACAGCGTACAACCTTTTTTCGAAATTAAAAAATATTCTGATGGATGGAATATGCAAAATAATGGATGATTTTTTTATTTTATTTTGAATATTTATAATGCTTGAATGAATTCCTTTTTTTATTACAATAATGATGACTATATTAAATATAAAGCTAATTTATTTCTTCAATGAACTAAAAACAACCTTCTTTTTCTTGCTATTGAAACTAAGACCCACAGTTTGATCAAATAATGCATTATAGTCTTCTTTCTTCATATCTTTGGGTACCTTGGGATGAGATATAATCATTGAAGTCACCTTGTTACGTAACTCTTCCACTGAAAGTGTAGTCTAAATAATAATAATAATCATAATAAAAAAGAGTTAAAAAAAAATCAACCTTTATATCCTCCTAATTTCAGTACCTGATCCTTCTTCAAGATATATTCCAAAGCCAACACAATTTGTTTATTCTTATCAGTATCCAATTCAGTAGTAGACCATTCCAACAAAGATTTGGTTTTCTTTTCCTTCTTTTCCTTTTTTTCCTTCTTGGCCTTTTTGTTTTCCTTTGTGTTAGTTTCTTCTTGTTGATCTTCTTCTTCTAAAGGTCGTTTGATTTGTTCCTTCTTTTTCTCAAGTTGTGCAATAATACTATCAGGTTGTGCTGATGTTGAAGTCGTCTTTTTGGGTTGTTGTTTGTTCTGTCAATACAATAATAATAATAATAATAAAAATTAATATTGATACTGTGTTTCTTTTTCTTTTATTATTATTATTATTGTTGTTATTATCTGTCTTACTTTGGGTGCTTTATATCCTTTTTCATATTTTTCACTTTCAGTCATACATTGATTATGAGGTTGATAGCTACTACCAGGGAAAGTTTGGTGACAATCAATACAGGTAAATGGAGCATGACAGCGTTGTTGATGAATCTTGCATTTTGGTTTCTTGACAATGTCACCACAGCCTTCACATTGGAAGCTAAAATTAAGTAAGATCAATAATCTATAGACCCAAAATTTTTTATATGCAGGAAATTACCTAACCATATTAAACTGAAAAGAAGTAGAGAGAAAGAAAAGGGGGAAACTTGTCAAAAAAAAAAAAAATGCAGTGCATCAAGCCACTGCGGATTTCCAAAAATCATCAGGTCAAAAGAAGTGTCCACCATCAATGCAGAATCCTTTTTTTTATTATAATTTGTGTTGTCGAGACAAAAGAAAAAAAAAAAAAAGAGTCTATATAATCAAAAAAAAAAACTAATCTAATAAAAGTAACTAATGATGTGATTTAAGAAGAGGATGAAGAAGAAGCAGTTTCGGCAGTAGTAGTGGATTCATTGGTCTTAGATTCAGTAGAAGGAGACGATTTATTAGCAGAGGCCATTTGCCAAGCAGGAATACCAGGACGAGAAGAGGAAGAATTGAAGGCAGCAGACAAACGAGGAGAAAGACCATCAGTGTTTGTAGTAGAAGCAGAAACAGCAGGTGAAGAAGAAGTGGTATTACTTGATCCCTGCTCAAGTAAAGAAGCACCTGGAGAACGACGACTCAATAAGAGAGATTTCAATGATTTGATTTCATTTTGAAGATCATTCAATACAGCACCTTGAGCTTCCTTATTGCGATCCAACATCTAATAAATAATATATTATATTAGCTTGAATAAATAGGATTTTTTTTCTTTTTCTTTTTTTTTTTTTCTGATATTACCTTGGGTACCAATTCCTTTAACGATTCCACTTCTTCTTTAACTGTTTTGAATTCTTCATCTCTTTGTTGATCACCTTCCTTCAAATCATTTAATACAGTTTCCAGACTTGCCAAAGATTCTTCTACCTTTTTGGATTGTTCTGATACTGAAGTAAGAGCTTCATTTGTTTGAGTTTTGATTTCCTTGAGTGAATCCTCCACTATATATATAAAAAAAAACATATCAGTATGAATTCGTGCTTAAATAAATACTTGTATAGACTTCTTACCAGCTTGGAATTGTGCATCCAACATTTCTTTGTCTTCTTCCAATTCCACTTGAGTAGGCACCTTGAACCAAGGACCAAAGACATTCTATAAAAAAAAAAAAAAGATGTAAAAGTAAGTCTCTTCATCTTTCCTTTTCTTCTTTTTTTTCCTCTTTGTTATGATAATTACCTTTGCCAAAGTCCAAACACCATAACCAATACCACCAGCAAACACAGCAGCAATAAATAAATCACGCCAATCATAACGAGGTCGAGTAGGAACAGGTGGTGGAGTAGTTTGTAAAACCATGCCATTAGGTTGTGTATATTGACCAGGATTGACAGTAGTAGTAGTGGAAGAAGAAGGAGCTTTTCCGTTAACTCTTGCCATAGCTTCTTCAATTTCTTCAGAAGTCATACCTTTAGATTCCAAAAATGATACTTTTTTTGCAAGTGGAGCACTTTGTACTTTAGGGTCATTCAAAAAGTTGATGGCAGAACTAATAAGATCTTCACGCATAATGAGATTTGAATATATATAATATTACTGATAGAACGATATGGGAATATTTAACGAAAATAAAAAAAGAAAAAGAGAAGAAAGGGAAAAAAAAAATAAAGTGGGTGTGGGGAAAATAAAAAAGAAGGAAAATGCTGACAAAGTGACAAACCCAATACAACCTTTCATATGAAACTGAGTTTCAATCAATTAAGAGTTTTGAATATACTGTTCCTATAGACTTTTTTATTATATATAAAAGTAAAACTAATCGGATTAAGTAACTAACTAAAACTATTTATATATAATAGAGAATCAATTTAAAGATTTGATTGCATTGATACCGGCAGTTCTTCCATAAACAACACATTCTAAGAGTGAATTTCCTGCTAAACGATTGGATCCATGAACACCACCTGTCACTTCACCAGCACCAAATAATCCTAAAAAAAAAAAAAAAAAAAATTATATACTTTGCTTCTTTTTTTTTATGTTTCTTATTTTACCTGGTATAGGTAGATTGTTTTCTTTATCCAATATTTGAGCATCAGTATTGATTTTCAATCCACCCATAGTATAATGTACACAAGGAGTAATTTGAGCCAACCAATAATAAGGAGAGGAGACCAGCTTTGTAGGAAATCGAGATTTACCGAAAGAATCCAGTTTACCATTTTGTTGAGAATCGTATTGTTCTAATGTTTGCTTTAGAATAGATGAATCATCCAGTTGCATTGCCTGAGCCAAATCATCTTCATTATTATTCACCTTTTTGATCAATCCTTTCTTTTCATAAAATGCCAAAGAGGATTCACCAAAATCATGTCCAGCTTGATCAGATAAAAGTAACCAAATAGATGGTGATGATTGTCCAGAGGTCACTTGTAAAATAGCTTGAGTCAATAAATCTCTTGTTGTCAATTCATTGACAAATCGACGTCCTTGATACAGTAATATCCCACCATAAGCACGTAAAGCCTCAGGAGCTAAGAATTTCGACATGGCAGTTGGATTGTTAGGATCAACAAATCCAGTTGGATGAATTTGAACTTGATCCATGTCCACAGTGGTTGCCCCAAGAGATAAACCTAAACGCACACCATCCCCATTTGCCCAAGGTCCATTGGTCGTTGCTCTGTCTACCCATTGAGGTGCATATTCTTTCAAGAGAGTAGTCTTGTTATCCAGATCAGTTGCATGTATTTGTCCACCAAATCCACCACTTGTCAATATCAAAGCATCTACTGATATACGCTCACTATCATTGTTGTTGATGGTCAAAGTAAATAAAGGAGGAAGTTGATTATACGTGATAGAAGTAACACGAGCATTTGTCCGAATATCAATCCCGAGATTCTGAGCGCGTTTTTTCAGTGTGTCCACCAGTTTGAAGCCAATAGGAATAGGAGCACCATTCGGTCCAGGACCACAACGATGAGTGCGAGGATAAGAATGTCCACCACATTGGGAAACAACCGACAAATCCACACCAGCTTGTTCAAGCCAATTCAGTGCTGAAGGTGAGTCTTGTACAAGTTTCGTTACAAGGTCAGCTTGTCCACCACCAGATTGTATTGTATCCTTATAAAACGCGCCCATAGTATCATTGTACTTTGGTTCTACACCATTGATACCAGAAGTGGCCTTCATTGAATTACCACTATTCAAAAGAAAGAAAGAAAGAAAGAAAGAAAGAAAAAATGAATCATTGAACGCACTAGTGAGTAAGTACTTTACCCAATATTGTTTTCCTTTTCCAGTAATAGAATGGTTGCATCAATATAGTGGTTATAAGCTTGGTCATGGGCTTCCACAGCTGCTGATAAACCAGCCAATCCCCCTCCTACAATAGCAACAATTTTCGAGTTCATAACAGGACGAGTAAATGAAGTTGATAAATAACGTTGAGCTAGGATAGAAAAAAGAATGGTAAAGAATAGAGTGAGAATAAATCTCTTTGTAAACATATAGAAAAAAAAAAGAAAATATAAACAAATAAAAAAAAAAAAAAAAAGAAATAGGCATAAAAAAGTGGGGTGATTATTCTTTGTTCCCACTCAGCAATCAATTGCATATATATTCTTTCCTTTAATGATAATAATGCAAAATATCCATCGTTCATCTTAATATACAAATCATCTTTTTAGAACCAATAGTATCTTATATCATGTGAGGATAATCGACCAAAAGGAGTAAAAAAAATCTGGTAAGAAAACAAGTCAACTTTATCTACAACTATAAATTATCGGTTATCATGATCACAGTATTTGTCGATTGATATACATATATAGAAAAGGTTATTGTTGGCATTTAATATATCTCTTTCTCTTATCACACAGTAAGATCTTTATACAGTAGAGAAAATTCGGTTAGGTCAGGTTAGTTTTGAAAATGGGTCAAGTAAAGATCTGATTTGGGTTGTCATATTTTTGTAGACTCACTTTTATTCATACTTTGCAGCACCTGCCTACTTCTACATTTGGATATTAAAAGTCCGTTATAAAAGTGTATTGACATAAAAAAGAAAAAAATTTTCGTATCCATTTGTATCTCCTCTTCTTCTTCTCTTTCTGATAACTCGGTTAACTTGTTTTCCGTTTTATATCAGATTGTAGAATGGAGAAGCATGCTTTTGATACCTCTATTCAACCAGAAGACTTTACTAAGGATTTACACGAACATGTTACAACTGCTTCTCCTCCATTTTGGTCAAAATCTACTTTATTGAACTATTTTCCTCGATATACTTTGAAGCCACAAGGTAAATAACTTATAATACTTTATTTATATTATAAGTTATTATTATTAACAAGTGTATATTGTGGTTTTTTTTTTAGGTATTGTTTATATTGATGAAAGACCAACTGCATTTCAATGTGGCTTGATGGGTGTTCAACATGTATTGTCCATGTTTGGATCTACTGTATTAGGTAACAAAGATCAAAAAAATATTTATTATCTATCAAACTTATTTTTTTTATTATGATTATTATTATTATTCTTATTTTTGTTTAGCTCCTTTAATGATGGGACAAAGTTCAAATACAGCTTTATTCTTTTCTGGTGTTGGTACCATTATTTTTTATATCATCACAGGTGGTCGAGTGCCAAGTTATGTTGGTTCTAGTTTTGGTTTTATTGGTGTGGTTGCCTCTGCTACTGGTTACACTTATACTCCTACATCTGGTACTAATCCTAAGATTGATGTGGCTGCTGGTGGTATTCTTGTATGTGGTCTTGTTTATTTGGCCATTGCTATTTTGGTCATTCTCTTAGGTCATGGTTGGGTGGAAATCTTATTACCTCCTGGTAATAAAAAAAAAAAAAAATGAATATATTTATATGCAGAATATTAAAATGATATTTTTAATATCATATAGTCGTAACTGGCGCTGTAGTGATGACTATTGGGATTCATTTGGCTACTTCTGCTTTCCAAAGTGCTACTGCTACTTCTTTCGATGGTTGGGTAAGTTACAAAATTTATTATATGAATTATTATTATTTTTTTTATCTCATTTTATTTTATTTTAATGTCATTAGATGGCTTTTACCACTGTTATGATCATCGCATTGACAAGTGTATATGCACCAGGTATATTCAAACGGATTCCTCTTCTTGTTGGTATGGTCATTAGTTATTTGATTGCTATGGGTTGTGGTATGACTGGTGCTGCTCCAAGTATTGATTACTCTGAAGTTTATGCTGCTTCTTGGTTCGCTGCTCCTACTTTTACCAAGCCTGTTTTTGAAGCTCAAGCTATTAGTGTCATTGTACCTGTTTGTATTGTTTTGGTAGCTGAAAACTTGGGTCATGTTAAAGCCATTAGTGCCATGTCTGAAACTCCATTGAACAAGTATGAATTATCATGATACTTTTTTTTTCTTCCTAACTCATTTTATTATAGGTATATAGGACGTACTTTATTAGGTGATGCTGTAGCAACAATTGTATCTGCAGCAGCAGGTGGTCCTGGTGAAACTACTTATAGTGAAAATATGCAAGTTGAAAAAAAAAGGTAGATTCTTCACTTTGTTATTAATACCATTTTCCTTTTCTTTGATTCTTTTTGTAGTGGTGTGATGGCTGTGACTAATGTGTTCTCTAGTTTGATTTTCCTTGTGGCTGCTGTCATTGCGATTTTATTGGGATTCATTCAGAAATTCGGTGCAGGTAATTAAAAAACAAAAAGTGATAGTAATCAGTAATGGATATGAATATTCACATTCAATCTCATTTTCTTTTTTTTTTTATAGCCATCCATACTATACCTTCTGGTGTTTTCGGTGGTCTCTCCATTATCTTGTTCAGTTTAATCACTGTTTCTGGTGCAAGAATTTGGGTAGAAAACAAAGTGGATTTCAAAGATACTCGTAATCTATTGGTGGCTGGTATTCCAGGTACTTATTATTATTAGGCAAAAAAAAAAGTATTAAACCCTTTTCGATTTTGTAGTTGTATTAGGTGCATCTATGCAAACAACACTCAAATGGGGAAATTTTCAACTAGATGGGATTGGTTTACCTACTTATATTGCCATTCTATTATATCAAATTTTACGTGGATGGAGTGGATTCAAAGATCTTTATCAACAAATGCGTGATAGACAACGAAAACAAAAACAAGAAGAACATAGTGCTTAATTTTATATACTGTATTTCTATTTTGTATTATCTGTCATTTTGTATTATTACTTTCTCAATTATCATATCTTTCAATATTCATTTAATAAATATTAGTATTAATAATATCATCATCAGATTGAATGGTCTCATGTTACACCTTTTTGATTCTTATGTATTTGATATGCTGACCTTATTCATGCTATCAATGTGTTTAGATTCCGCTAGTAGTCAGACACAAAGGTTTCTATTTCTTTTTTTTTTTCTCTCTTTCTCTTGCTTTTCTTAGATGACATAAAGCATCATGGGACCACAAAAGCGTTTAGGATTTTCCAAGAGAATGCGAGATATTATCCGATTAGAAAATGAATGTAAGGCATATGAACAAAAGTTATTCTTGTTACAAAAAGCCATTCGATACAAGCAATCCGTAAGTTTTAAATACTATATTCAAAACAAATAGATAATAATTATTATTACTATTTTCTTTTTTTTATTCTATAGAATGAAGAAAAAGAATTAAAAGCAAAAATAGTTCAATGGGAACTTTGTGCACAGGTAACAATGATAATAATAATGCAATGTTTTGGGAAGGATGGTCTTATGTTTATATTTTAGACCGTTGCATGGGCACTCTTACCTATGTATCAAGATTATAAACAAGCTACCAATGATTGTATAATCCCAGACAACTATGGATTCTATCATGAGATTGAATTTCAAAACAAAAACAACGATGATCAACAAACACTATTATCTAATAACGACAACAACGAGGATGATGCCAAAGAGGATACTCACGATAATGACAACAATCAACAAGATGATATGTCCACCATGCTCCAAGCCTTTGGCATTGATCCAACATTGATTCGTTACTCTGTGGAACACGGTGACTTTTATTAATAAACCCTCCTTGTGTGAATTCATCCTTTACTTTTTATCCCATCCTTTGATAATAATAGTTTTATATACATATATAGTTAGTTTTTTTTAGTAAATAGTAATTCTTACTTGAACTACAACACTTTCCATTATTATTCTCTCAATGTGTCTTTATCATGGTTGCCTTTTTATTTCAATAAAACATTCATATTGGTATCTTCCATACATCTGTTGATCTAAAAAAAAAAAAAAAAAAAAAAAAAGGATGTTTATGCAATGATCCCTTTTAGTATAGTAATCTCACATAAATATTGGTGGGAACAAATCATATATCATTATAAAAAAAAATCAATGTAATGAATTCAAGCTCAATTCTTTTTTTTTGGGGGGGGGGGTAATTTTTCTTTTAGTGTAGTTTATTTTCGTCTCTTTTCCTTTTATTTTGTAAAGACTTTAGTTTGAAATAGGTTTTTATTTACCAATTAAATCAAATTATCGAAACGATGAAGACTCTCAATGATGATTGTACTTTGAATCGCTGGCAACGTTCCAAGCTCAAATATTAGTTCTTTGAACAAGTCAACAGCAATCCTACCTTTACCTCCCCGATACTGCGATTATGGTCCTCCTGTATTGTTTCGCCACATTCCCAGCATGCAATACACTACTGTAGCTCGATCCTTTTTTACTCCCCATGGTCTCTTCAAGAGATATTCCGCACCAAGGACCAACTTTGGAATCAATACTGCCAAGGAATAATGGATTTTTACGGATTTACATTCATATCTACGTTATTAGTTAAATCATGTTGTCTTATACCAATAAACTGGTTATATTTTTTTTTTTGGAAAATGAATAGATGAATGGATGATGGAGTGATGAATGATTTACAGATATTGGAGATAACGACTATAATAATGAAGAACAGAGTTCGAGGTCAAGAAAGTCAGTGAATATGATTTTTTCCAATTATATATACATATATACAAAAACTGCCCATATCAACAGCGCTGATTACAAACGCTAAACACAGAAGTACTTCTCTGATGATCATCAGGTTCTTTTTTTTTCATCATCGTTATATTTAAAAACGAAAAAATTTTATTTTCACTTACACCAAAAAAAGAAGCTTACACGTTTCCAAAAAGTCTAGAGTTTTTATTAGAGAAAAGAGCTTTGTATAAAAAGTTTCATGGATCCACAAAAGAGACAAGGGATCAAAAAACTGGTCAGTTGATGACGAATCTGTAAAATGAAACCAACAAGACTTGTACAACCCACAAGTTAAATAAAAGATGACGACTCCAACAAAAAAAAAAAAAAGGTAACACGATGCAACCAATAGAATGGGAAAATCTTGTTAAACTGAGAATTTTTGAATGTTGTCTTCCGTTCCGAGATCTTACATGGTTGAATTTGGTAAAATTAGTTTTTATTTGTAGATGACTTGTATTAATTTCTAAACTAATATGAATGAATGAAGATCAACACCAGAATAGATGCGATAAAGTGTGTAATGATACTATTTTTAATGTATTGGATAAAAAAAAAAAAGTGACGTATGGATGAAGCTTGTACCTTGATTTATATCTTGAAATGAGTACTGAAGTATACATCTAAACAAATATAAAAAATAAAAAAAAATAATACCTGATAAAACGATCATCACCCCTGACAGGGTACCAGTAAAAAAAAAAACGAGGTGCGTCGAATGGTACAGAAAATACTGATAACCTTTGGAATCAATCGACAGTGAATAAATAATGATGATCTAATGGTAACAAAATTTTTTTCGTCAGTATAAATGTTGTCCTTTTTTTTTTTTTATCTGCTAGTCTTCAAGATCAATCCCTTTTTTTTTTATTTATTTATTTATTTTCTATCCTTTTATCCGAATCATAGTCTAACTTACTATATATATAGATAGATATATATAACGGTGATAAGGAAGTTCTGTATATCAAAGATAAACAAGTAACGATACATCAATATAATGACAGGGACTTTGAAGACGTTGAGTTTTGCTTTTCCTACCAAGAAAAAGATGTTTGATTGCAAACATTGTCCAAAACAGTTCCAAAAACCGAGTCAGCTGAAACTTCATCTCTATACGCATACAGGTGAAAAACCGCATAAATGTCAAATGTAAGTATATCAAAAATCCTATGCACATTTTTATCCATCCTTTTTTTTTTTTTTTTTTTTTTTTTGGTATTCAATTTACCTAGTCCAAACTGTGGTAAACAATTTTCAATTCTAAGTAATCTACGTCGACATATCAAAACACATGCTAAAGAAGGAATAATACCAAAAAATATATCAGATTCTTCACATCCTAATGCACCAAGAAAGTTGAAACCCATTTTACCTTCTTTGTCCAATGTCGAATCCAATACTGATGAATCCATTTTGTTCAATATACCCGATCAATCATGGTCTTTACCAAAAACACAACCGAATATGGTATGGTCAGTTCCAGTCATGAGCTCTGCAGCATCACCTTCGGAATCTTCCTTGTCGATGTGTTCTCATTCGAGCCAAATGCCAACTTATTTCCATACCCCTGGTAGTGTCGATCAACAACTAAAAAATAATCAACCAATGAGTGATCTACTGTCGACGGATTTCGTCCCTACTATCAATCTTTTTTTCTCTATTCAAAATAATTTATGGTTTACCCATGCTGATATCCAACTATTTGATACTTTACCTTTCTTGCTATAACTTGCCCCCCCCTATTTCCTAAAGAAATCACACCCAAACACACACATAAAAATTATTAGCAAAGACATATGCAACCACAAACAAAAAAAAAAAGAAGAAATACGCCCTTCCCCCCAATAACATTACCATTCCTTCTCTTTTCTTTTTTTTTTTTTATTGATACCTATGCCTCTTCTAGTTAGTGAATAAATAAAGAAATAATGATATTAGGCTTTATTTTTATTTTTACAGTCAGTAGCATATAAAACCAGTTCACTCTTTTCATCAACAAAAACTTACCTAAAGAAATGGATTCAAATTGTAATCATATCATCAGTCCAAACTAATCTATTTAGAAAAAAAAAAAACTCAATATCAGGTTAGCCTGTAAGTTTGTTGTAAAATAAAAAAAAAAAAATCATTGGTTTTACCAACAGAAGTAGCCAAAGTGATGGAGACAAAACAAGAGTCTGTGAGAGAGAATGATTGAATTGGAAATAAAAAAGAGAGAGAGAGAGAGTATACAGTAGTGAATAGAGACAGAATGTAATTGATGATAGTATTGGAATAAATACCGTAATGTTATATCATCGTGTAACTAAAAGCAATAGTCAATGGAAAGAAGTCGAACCATAATAGGACAATAGGTTTTCCACCATCATTCTTTTGCTATGATTAGCTGCATTAAAGTCGTATTTGAAATATATATATATATATATGTTATTCACCATTGGTATAGTGAATGATAGAGAATTTATCAAAAAAAAAAAGAAGAAAAAAAAAAGAAAAAGAAAAAGAAAAAGAAAAGAGAAAATGAAAAAGAAAGTTAGAAAGACTTTAAATGGAAAATTGATAATTTATTATATCAAAAGGGAATTTTCTAACCTAAAAAAAATACACCAAATATGATGATATTTTCAGTATCCATATTATTACTACTTAGTTGTGGCGCCATCAAAAAAAAAAAAAAAAAGAATTTGAATATGTAGAGAGAATGTCTTTTTAAACAAAAAGAGATTGTAGTGAAGTGACATTATGATAATGACAAGTCAAATGATGGCAGAAGCATCTCTCTCTTTTCCAACACTTTGTCATGGAAATCATTCATTCGATAATTTGGTCATAAGGTAAGCATTTGTCTTTTTGGCTCATCTAACACGTTGACCTTTTCACTAATTGGATAAAGAATGGCGAGTCAGGTATCGCTCTCTTATCCATGCAAATTAGTTAATTCAAAAGCTTAGTTAGTGTTATTCTCATTTAAATAAAATTATCTTTTTATCATTGTATTATATCCTATCAAATCATTACAAAGTGAGGATGATACCTAAACTTTATAACATTCAATCATTTTTTTTTATTATCATCCATGGACATCAATATTATAAACTATTACAAACAAACTATTAATAGAACAGAATAAAAAAAGACAAAAACAAAAAAAAAAGAAAATACAATACTAAACTAAAAAACTAAAGATAACTATATGTAGAATAAGAATATTTAGGGATAATAATAACAATAAGAAATAATATAAGTGTGTGTATATATGTATATATGTATATAAAATAGGGAAATGGTATAAAAAAATAAATAAAAAAACATGGAATGGCTTCATTATTCAGAGATATCGTTGTTCAGGTCATCATCAGTAACATTAGGAGTAATTTCATCTTGACAATCATCATCCAAAGCAAGATCATCGACTTCTTCATCTTCTTCAGCTACATGGGTACCATCTAATAATTAAAATAAATACAAAATCAATCTATTATTCATACAGTTTTTTTTTTTTTTTTTTTCATTTTACCATTGGTATGTTTCTCCAAATCCACAATAGCATTGGGTGCAGCATCAATATATAATACACTATTTCGATTGTTTCGTCCTTGAGCTTGTTTAACAGCCATCATTTTTTTGTTGTCATATCGTCGAGGTACCACCACAGATGAAATAGGTGCAAGTAAAGTATCAGATGTGTTGTTTTGTGCTGTGTCACCATCATCATCAGAGTCATCATCAGAGTCATCATGCTTGCTGACTGATCCAGCTTGATCACCATGAGCCGTATCATTGACCGTATCATCATCAACATTATCATCTTGTTCATCTTCTTCCAATCTTCTAGGTGCCGCATCACCCATCTTGTTGGTCCAAAATATATAATCAAATTCACTGAGAAACAAATTGAAAATCGTACCAGGGATCCCAAGAGTGAGTGAAAACACAATACCAATATTGCGAAGTGTCATCAGATTGACATCCGAATGTTTGACCACACAAATCAAATGAGATGTCAAGATACGTAAAAGAGTATAATTTGCCAGAGGAAGTTCAGATACCAATCTTCCCAATTCATTAATTCTATCTTTTCGTTCCAATAAATCTATTCCATAATAATAATAAAAAAAAAAAAAAAAAAGTAAGTGAAACTTATTGATATAATGCATGTATGATTCTATTTTTTTTTTTTTTTTACCAATGACTTGAATGAATTCTGGTCGTAATTCCCTTGTCAAGACACTGACAGGAAGTTCACGTAACCACATCTTGAGTAGACCAGCAATGGCATGTACATCATATTCCTCCTTGGATTGTAACAATGCAATATCGCCCTCTATGATATATATATATATATATATATATATAAGAAAGTTCGTCATTAGTAGTGTTGATCATCCTTCGTTATTACTCATTATCTTACCTTCATTGAACCTTTTCTTCAACTTTTGTAAAACTACATTGCTACCACTGAGACGATACAATCCTTCCTCCAAAATAGCATTCTTAGCATCCAAATATTCAATACACCGGAATACAATAGCAGGTAAAGGATAACCATCAGATACACTAGAAATACGGACTGCTTCTTCCAATGGAACTCCAAAGATCGGTTGTTGTTTTGGCTGACGCGTTGATGTTACGATGGCTGATTTTGACAAGCTAGGTATGAGTTGTTGTTTTCCAATTTTCAATTGTAATTCGGGTGATTTATTGTGAACAGGCGATTTGGGTGGGTCATCGTTATCCTGATGATGATGATGATGATGAGAGGGTCGAGATAAAATATTACGCAAGGATTTGGGTGTTGTTCCACGTTGTTGAGATGAATCTTGTTGACTTGAAGAAGAGATTGTACCAGAAGAAGGAGGAGAAGTGGAAAAGTGTAATATCCCATTGTTGGTAACATCCGATGTTCCTGTTGGTGATGTAGAAGTTGAACGTTGTTGATTTCCAAATACTTTCTTTCCCCAGAGAGTCATCCGATTGGCCGATTTGTTCTTTGGCTTCTTATCCTGTTGTTGACTTCCATTACTGCCACTATTGTTGGTAGAATCATCACTTTCCCGACGATCAAAGGACTGGGTTGGAATTGGAGATTCTGATCGTGATTGAGGAGACACAGCTCTCTCTTCCAATGATATGTCGGTCTTTGCCAATGAGTTGCGTTGTTGATATAACTGTTGTTGATGTAACCCCATTATATTATTGCCTCTATCGGGAGAGGTGCCGAAATAATTATAATTATTGTGTTGTCTTGGTGTTAAAGGAGAATCCACACTCGAAATTGATACTGGGGATTTGATTGTATTACCATTATTGATGCTCTCCATTGATTCTGAAGATGAGGGATCGATTGCCAAAGGTGTCGTAGAAGGATAATCATTGTTGCTAGGAACCGAGGTAAGTTTTTCCATATCCACAGTTTGAGAAGTATCCATGCGTAAATGACTGATGGGAGTAGCAGACACAGTTCGGATTTCGCCTTTAGAAAGTTTTCTAGACTTGTCAGAAGAACTAGATTTCTTGCGCTGTTTTTCCTTGCTGCTGTTACTTCTTGATAATCCGGATGAGGCTGTATCTCCATTGCTAATATTGTTGTTGTTGTTGTTGGTATCAGAGTTTGATTGGATGGCTTGTAATAATGCTGTAATCCATTCATCCCGTTCACTATCTGAGCTAGCACAAAGAATATGACGAACATAATTCCCAAGACTTGTCTTTTTGTATTCCAATATCAAGATAGCATGTCGATAACCACTTTCATTCTCATCTGCTGTACCAGTAGGAGGCGTTTGACGACCGATTTGTGCACCTTCCATTGAGATAGAACCAAGCTTAGTGCCATCTTTCTATAAACCATCATTATCAAAAAAGGGAAAAATGAATATGATAGCTTATAAATATATATATTATATCATTAGTACTATTTTTAGTACTTACCGCTTCATAATAGTCCAATCGATCCTTTTTCAACGTAAAATACCGGGTCTTCCATCCACCAAAATTTTTGCCGCGTTTTGTCAAATAACCTTCTTTTTTACCTTGACTTTGGTTCTAGAGCGGAATAAAAAAAAAAGAAATGAGCCATTATTAAGGAATAATTGGTAAAACCAATCGATAATCCCTATTTGGCACTTACTATGTAACCTGAATCCTCTATTACATCTGTACTAAGGAATTCACAGAAATCAGATATATCATCCATTGATAAGGTAATAATATGATGCAAATATTTTTCCAGTGCGACCTATAGAATTTGACATGCCCGAAAACGTGCAGTAGGAAGGTGAAAAAAAAAAAAAAGGTTACCATTCATTCTCCATGGAGACACAATGCGCCCTTTTTTTTAAAGTTACCCTGCGTTGATCCAATTTATTTGGTGATCGTGTTGTAAAAAGTTGTTTTTCAGGAAGTCGAGTCATCTTGTTCATTCTAGAGCTACCCAATTGAGACTTTAGCTAAATAACAAGAAAATAAAATATCAATATTAATAATAATAATGATGATGATAATACTTTTTTTATTTTGTACCTTAAGGTCCAAATCCAGAAAATCAGAATACAATTTCTGCACGCGCCACAATTCTTCAAAAAGATCGCCGGAAAGTTTTCCCACAGATAATATAAATGATACAACATCTTTCCCTTTTTCATTGGATTTCAAAATAGACCCAATCACCTTGACTGTGATATCACTAATATTGCTCAATTTCATGTCAGAAGTAGTGTGATGCATTGTCTGTCTTTGTTGAGAAGCTGTTTTGTCTAAAGAGAGAGGATGATGTGGAGGTGGAGCTGGAGGAAACTCGTCCTTTTTCTTTTTGCCTGGAATCACAGTAGATGAAGGGAATACCATAGAGTTGTGTTGTTTTCGTTGAGCCAAACGAGCTTCATGAGATTGACAAGGTAGTGTAGAAGATTTACTAGGAATAAGAGAAATAGGTTGCTGACGCCTTTGTTGTCCAGAATTAGTTGCTGTTTCAATAATGTCGCGTTTCAATACAGCCGATTGATATTGAGCAAAGAGTTTAGCGTCTTGTTGAATAATTTTGGGTGATATAGGTTCCTGAGGAGATAATGGAATAGTAGTAGACTGTGCGGTTGATATAGAAGTAGGTGGAGTAGGAGAAGAAATAGACAGATGAGATAAAGATGTAGTTGAAGAAAGTTGTTGATATTTCTTGTCTTTTGATAAAGAGTTAATGTCAGCGTCACTAGTATTGAAAGACCTATAAGGAGACCTTGCTGGTAAGACAGGATTGGTGTCTATTGTATTTTCTTGTTGGGTGTTGAAAGACTTTTGTTGTTGTGTAGAGGATTCTTTTGATAAAACCAATAAAAGTTTCTCTTGAAGTTCATCTCGTTCTGTAGAAAGACCATTATTTGTTTTCTTTAGTTCTTGAATTTGAGTATCTTGTTGTTCAATGATCTTCCATAACTGGTCGATATGACTTTTTAGTTCAGCATAAGTTTGGGCCATGCAGAGCTATAAAGATAAAAAGAAAAGGAAGGAAAGGGAAAGAAGGAAAGGATATAAGGAAAGGTATGGGTGAATAATAATAATAATAATAATAATAAAATAGTAATAAAGAAAGAGAAAGAAAAAAAAAGTAAAAAAAAAAAAAAAAAAAAAAAAAAGTAGTGGGAAAAAAGGGGGGCGAAATAAGCGGAGGTCATTGATAGGCCCTTTTCTATTATTCTTGTACAACTGCAAAAGATTTACTAAAAGTAAAAAAAGCTTGTGCACTCCATAAAACTTTAATAGCGGATAAAATTACCTCCGACTTTTTATGCGTTCGAGAATAAAAACATGGTGAGGATCTCTCCTTTTTCATGGATGACGCGTTAATGATCGTATTGTATATGAAAATGATGGTTTTTTCTTTCTCTAATATATTATTCACTTTACAAAAGAGTAAATAAATATAAGAATTGATAATATATGATAGGATTTATCAATTAATAGTTAAGCTTTTGCTATTCTTTTTCCTCTTTTTTTTATTTATTTATTTATTTATTTATTTTTATTATAGAGAGAGAATAAATAAAATGGGAATCCAGTTTCACGGTGATTAAAAACGAGGCTTGCATGATACGTACGATTGGGAATCTTAGTAATCCAATTTCATTTTCCTTCATTTTCTTATCATCGGTCTTTATAAGGCAATGTCAAACGTCATCCATAGATCGCAAAATCATATATAATCTTCTCTTTTTTTTTCTTTTAAAAAAACAATTTTTTTTCTCTTTTCTTTTCGTTCTATTATCATCATCATGACTCAAATGCAATATGTACGATTCGGTAATACTGGTTTAAGGGTAAGTCGATGATCATCATCATCATCTTTCATCATCTTTCTAACATGCTTTTATTATTATTATTATTATTATTATTTATCTTTAGGTATCTCGGATTTCTCTTGGTTGTATGTCTTATGGTTCTTCTCAATGGCAAGATTGGGTAAAAGATGAAGAAGCTTCATTGGATCTCATAGAAAAAGCATATAAACAAGGCATCAACTTTTTTGATACAGCAAATGGATATTCCAATGGTGAAAGTGAACGTATTTTAGGAAAAGCTATTAAGAAGTTCAAATTTCCTCGAGGTCGTATCGTCGTTGCTACCAAAGTCTTCTTTCCTGTTTCCGATGATATTTCTAATAATGTCCTTGGTGCGAACGTCGAAAATGATGCTCATTTTGTGAATGGTTATGGTTTATCAAGAAAACATATCTTTGATGCCGTAGATGCTTCGTTAAAACGATTGGATTTGGATTATATTGATTTACTATATATTCATCGATATGACAAGGTAAAGTTTTTTGGATCATGATGACGAATACCCAAAATGGTAATCTCTTCTAAATTTTATAGAATACGCCGATTGAAGAAACGATGGAAGCGTTAAACGATATTGTCAAATCTGGAAAAGTAAGATACATTGCAGCATCTAGTATGAACGCATGGAAATTCATTCAAGCCAACCATGTCGCTGAATTAAAAGGATGGACCAAATTTGTTGGTATGCAAAATTTATATAATCTTATTTACCGTGAAGAAGAGCGCGAAATGATTCCTTTTTTGGAGAATCAAGGGATCGCCATGATACCATGGTAAGTTTTTTTTTTTTTTTTTTTTTTTTTTTTGAATAATGACATTGATGATGATTTTATAGGTCTCCATTAGCAAGAGGATTACTTTGCCGTCCTGAAAATGAAAGTTCAATACGTTTCAATACTGATCGTGCCATTAATGGTTTTTTCTCTCAAAAAGAAAGTGCCAATAATTCTGAGATCATCCTAAGGGTTAAACGTTTGGCCGATGAAAAAGGTGTCTCAATGTCACAGGTAAAAAAAAAAAAAAAAAAAAAAAAAAAAAAAAAAAAAAAAAAAAGGAAAGAACTATACAGATTGATAGTCATCATTTTATTTAGATTGCTCTGGCTTGGGTTTTGAGTAAACCTTTTGTAACATCACCTATTGTTGGTATAGGAAAAGAAGAACACTTGTATGATTTGGTCAAGGCATTGGATATTAATCTGACACAAGAAGAAATTAATATGTTAGAAGAACCATATATCCCAAGAAATTTAATTCCCATGTGAAAATCTTGATATGAATCATTCATTCATTATTTTAATAAATAAAGACCATTATTAAAACTATACAACTTAATAGACGATAATGTTAAAGGTGTCTTTTTTTTTTCATGATACTGCCACCTACTTACTATTTTTGGTTTCAAATCCAGAATTAGCGTCAAAAAAAAAAAACAATCTCTCTTTTTTTTTTTCTGCTTAGTCTCTTATTCTCTTTCTCTTTTCTATCTATTTCGACCTCTTTTTTTTTTTTTTTTATGTGAAAGTATGGACCAGGAAGAAAAAGAGGAACAAGTCAGTTTTCAAGAATTGAAAAAAAGATGGGCTCAACAAGAAGCAGGTGTTCAACCATGTCGACAGGACACTTCTAACCAACGGACTTCATCTGGAAACCCTGAATCTTCAACTATTTCTCCAATCATGACTCCAGCTTCTTCTGTACGTTCGACCGCGTCAACCAATAATCCTATACCAGCGCAAATAATCAATAAATCTGAACTTTCTCCACCTTTCCCTTCTTTACGTAGTTCATCCACAAGTCCTTCTTTATCTTTAGACCAACAAAACAATGATTTGAAACCAACCACCAAACCTCCTATCATCCCACCAAAACCAAATACAACGTCAGCAACAATATCGTCTAGTTTACAACCACAAGAAACATCTACACCATTAGCAAAAAGGATATCACTTTTGGCTCAACAGTTTGATAAATCTACCTCGATTTCCAACATGACAACTAGTACTTTATCTAAACCAGCAGTCAATAGTTCAGTACCATCACCTATTATCAAGTCTTCTTTACCATCTACAACACAACAACAACAACAAATTGAAACGGAGGATCCTTTTCTGGACGATGAAATATCCGACCTTAGTAGCCGTGACTCTGATGATGATTTAGAAGAAGAGGAAGAAGAAGAAGAAGAAGAAGATGATACCAACGATACTATTGGAAGCAGACATTATTCCGGTACAACATTTCAAACAACACCACCATCCATTTTATCAACACCAGCAACTGGAAAAACAGACAAACCAAAACAAAGACCACCGCCTCCTCCTCCTCCCAGCAAAAAATATCATAGTGCAGCTCGTCAAGAACCATCGGTATCTGAACAAACTAATCATCCTGATTTAAAAGATACACCAGTTTTCACCGTACCTATACCTATTTCTTCGCAACAACAACTACAACAAGAACAACAACAACAGCAACAAAGGCCATCGGGTATTACCTCAGTTGCATCAAGTCCTGGAGCAACCAGTAGCGCACCACCACCAATATTACCACCTCGACCTGCTATGGTGAACGTTACATCTTTTGAATCATTGCCACAACTACCACCTCGTCCATCAACATCTACTTTAGCTCGATCACATACCATCAATCATTCTTTTGATCATCACCCTCCTCTAAGCAATAGTACATATGATGTTTCACCACTTTCTCAAGCTTACTCAGCACCTCAAGATTTACAGCAATCACTGAAACGATCTCAAACGCTAGGACCTATGAAACGGGATGTAACAACAACAACCAATTTATTGACAAAGAGTGTTTATCCTGATTTTAGCAAGGCAACTCGTAACCCACCAACAATGGACGAAGATAATGGAGAACGACGGTTCGTAGGTGGACAACATCGAGGTACTCATCAACCTATGGCGGCTTCAGGATGCAAGATTGCCACCGGAACTCAACAAGCCAAAGTTTGGGATGCAAATACATGTCGAACAACGTATGGAGTGGATTTGGTTGGACCAAACGACAATGAAAGGATTCGCAGTTATACCTTTGTTCCTCCATTGAAACCAGCGGATGAAGGAAGATATTTATGGGCGGGAATGCACGATGGAACTCTAGTGGCAATGGATACAACTACAAATGAAGTCATAGGGAAAACATCAAGTTGTCATAAACATCCTATTTCATTTATGCTTCGAAGGCGCAATGTGGAAATTTGGACATTAGATGAAAGTGGACTTTTAGCGATCTGGCCTGTATTGATTCATTTTCAGCAAAATCAACAACCCTATCATCCATTTGAAATTCAACCTATCAAACATCTAGTGACACCAAAGGCAGTGACGGCATTGACAGTAGGCACGGATCTATGGATATCAAGTGGAAGAACAATACATGTATACAAGCACTTGGGTGGTGGAAAAAAAGCAGTGACACAAGTAGATGATAAACAAGTACGGATACCAAATGATTTAGGCAATATCACTCAGTTTGTAACTATGCCATTCCATCCTGGTCAAGTATTTGCTAGTCATGATGATGGCAAGGTCAGTGTTTGGGATATCAAAACAACAGAAAAAATTCAAGTCAATGCGGTTTCTCTGTATGGTATTTGTGCTATGGTGGCAGTGGGTGATTATCATCTTTGGACTGGCTATAATACAGGCATGGTGTATGTTTATGATACAAGACCCGAAAAATGGTTAGTGGTGAAAACCTGGCGAGCTCATCATGGTTCCATTGTTTCTCTTCTTGTGGATGATTCAAGCTTTATTCGGAATGGCAAATCCTTGCAAGTGATCACTGGTGATTCTCATGGTCATGTAGCAATATGGGATGGTTTGATGGTACAAAACTGGCAAGGTAAAAAATAAAAAAATAAAAAAAAAAAAAACTGATCCCGTCCTTTTTTGTTTTATAGGTCAACAACTATTGCAACAAGCACAAAACTATTGTAGTTATAGTCCTATCAAAGTGATGATTTGTTCTTGGAATATCGATGCCAACAAACCTGAAAAATTAGTTGGACGTGATAATGAATTGGTACACGAATGGTTAGGCTCAACAGATGATCCAGATATTATTGTTGTTGGTATACAAGAAATTGTCGACCTTGAATCGAAAAAACAGACCGCAAGTAAAGTTTTTTTTTTAACATCATCATTGATATGAAAAGTGTACTAACCAAAATATCTATTTCCATAGAATCATTATTCGCATCTCGTAAGAAAACTGAAACTTTACAAGAAGCTGAAGAAATGCTGACTCATCGATATCGATTATGGCATGATCATTTGATCCGCGTGATTGGCAACAATTATGGACACGATACATATACGGTAATCAAGACAGATCAACTTGTAGGACTATTTAGTTGTATTTTTGTCAAGAACAGCGAAGCACATCGGGTCCGGCATTGCGATTCCACAGTGGTCAAGACAGGATTGAAAGTGATGAACAAGAGCATTCATGGGAATAAGGGTGGTATTGCTATTCGGTTTTTATTTGATCATTCATCACTCTGTTTTGTTAATTGTCACTTGGCGGCTGGTCAATCTCATACTCAAGATAGAAATGCCAATGCAGAAAGCATTCTTCATTCTGCCAACTTCCCTGATTATGAAAAATATTTGGATGTGTTTGCTAATGGAGGTGATGGAAGTCTTATTCTAGATCATGAACACTGTTTCCTCAGTGGTGACCTGAACTATCGGATTGCAATGGAAAGAAAGGAAGTATTGGAATTGTTAAAACGCAAGGACAAGGTGGCTGCTTGGGAAACTTTACAAATACACGATCAATTGAAACGACAACATATCACCAATCCACTGTTCAAACTATTATGGTTCCAGGAGCCTCCTCTTTTATTTGATCCCACCTACAAATACGATCGTGGTACCGATAATTATGACAGCTCTGAAAAGAAACGTGTACCTGCTTGGTGTGATCGTATACTATGTCGTTCCAACATGGCTCACAATATTTATTATCGTCGACATGAAGTCAAGGCCTCGGATCATCGACCCATCAGTGCAGCTTATAATATACAAGTCAAGGAAATCGATGGACACAAACGCGACCGATTATTGGAAAAGATCGAAAAGGATTGGTTTTATACTGTGGAAAAATTGATCATGGAAAAAAAGAAACGATACATTGTTGATTATGAATTGTGTTCTTTGGATCAAGCTACTCAATTTTTACAAGAAAGTCATTGGAATATCGATCAAGTTGTACAACATTTATTAAAATAGAGTTTTTATTATTTATTGATTTAGACAATAAAGTCAGATACCTTTTCCTCTTTTTTTTTTTTTTTTTTTTTTTTTTTTTTTTTTTGTTGTCCCTATTTTTACGTCCTGCACATGACTAAAACTGGAAAATTCAAAAAAATTCCCCGATAATCCCCTATATCAACCCCAAAGCATAAAAAATAAGAATAAAAAAAAAATTATCTTATTCTTTCCCTTATCTTCCCACTCTTTTTTCTTTTTTCATAAGCATAAATAAGAAAGAAAAAAAAAAAAACTTGTCTTTTTCTCCCTCTTTCTCTTCCTTACCTTTTTTTTTAATTTTAAATCACCATGCCAACGATTCCCAAAGAATATAAACTGTAAAAAAAAAAAAAAAAAAAAAAAAAAACTAGTTTATTATTTATTCTATGTACTCATTCCTTTTTTTTTTTTTGGAATAGAAACACAGGCGCAAGCATTCCTACAGTAGGCCTAGGTACCTGGCAAGCAAGAGCGGAAAATGCAGTGTATGAAGCAGTCAAGACAGCATTAAAAGCAGGATATCGACATATTGATACGGCGTTTTTGTATGGCAATGAAGCAGAAGTAGGTAGAGGGATTCGGGATGGACTCAAGGAAACAGGACTTACACGACAAGATATCTTTGTGACGACCAAGTTGGCACCTATCCATGCACGTCCATCGCATGTGGGCAAGGCGTTTGCTCAATCGTTGGCTAGTCTTGATATTGGTTATGTGGATCTGTACTTATTACATTGGCCAGTAGCGTTGAATCCTGCCACAGGGCAAATGTTTCCCTTGCGACCTGATGGCACTCGTGATTTGGATACTGAACTCGATGGGCAATTTGAATTAACCTGGCAAGCCATGGAACAACTCGTAGGTGATTCTCTCAAGGCAATCGGTGTATGTAACTTTAGTATTCCCAACCTGGATCGCTTGTTGAAGGTGGCCAAGATCATCCCTGCTGTCAATCAAATCGAACTACATCCTTATTTACCTCAATTCAAGCTTTTGGACTATTGTGCTCGTCATGCTATTCATGTCACCGCTTATTCTCCCTTGGGCTCCTCAAACTCGCCTCTCTTGACCGACTCGACTTTACAACGTATCGCTGATCATCATCATGTTTCTGTGCCTCAAGTCATGATTTCTTGGGGTGCCTTACGTGGTTCTGTCATTCCAAAAAGTGTAACTCCCTCTGTAAGTATTGCAAAAAAAAAAAAAAAAAAAAATTGGATGGATTCTTACCTTTTTTTTTTTTTTTTGTAGAGAATTGAATCCAACTTTGTCTTGGTGGATCTTACAGATGATGATGTTAAGGCAATCAATGAGATATCCAACAAACATACTCAACGAATTATCAGACCTCCTTGGGGTGTTCCTGTTTTTGATGAAGACTTTTGAATGGATGGTTTAGATTTAGTCAATTTTTGATGATGATTGTATTTATTTCTTTCTATTTAATAAACATTTTGATGGTTTGTTAAAACTTTTTTTTTCAATGACTTTTTGAATGATTTGATGATGATAGGTATATGTTGAGTGATGAAATGATATGTGATTGGTAATGATGATGATAATGATGAAGAAGGCTTCATTTAAAAAAAAAAAATTATAAAATATAATCACTAACCACTGATAAAAGAATAATCACAACAAAAGAGATTACCGAAAAAAGACAGAGAGAAAGAAAGGATTTATTGGGAAACAAAAATCAAAAGTAGATAAAAAAAAAAATACAGTATAAGTATCTAAACTACAAAACGCGGTTCTTTTCGTTGGTGGAGAGTCGTAAGGTTCTTGCACGCGACTTATAATCATCCCAAGGGAAATAAGCACCACAGATGCGACGATGGCCAGTGAAGGCGGAACGACCATGCAACACACGCCAATTATCAAACGTCACCACGCGGCCAGGAGGTAAAGGATCCCAATATTCGTTTGTCTTGTCCGTCAAGAGTTTTTGCCATGAGAATAATGCATCATAGAAACGATCCAGTTCGGTAGGTGAAAGATGATTCAATGTGGATCGATCATCATTGTTGTACCTGATTTGATAAAGATCTCCCGTCAATGGGTCATGATTGAGGATCGGATAAGCACGTGGAGTCGGTACAATCAATACATTTTCATCGCCTGCTGAATGTGTGGGAATACGTGTAGTCGTCAATGTCGCATAGGCTTCTGGATCCTTGATTTTGAGTTGTTCTGCTACTGCAAATCCATCCACAAATAGTGAATCACCACCTTGACCTTGAAATTCTAATTTATGGAACATCTGCAATCCACTTCCATGTATTTAAAAAAATAAAATAGAAAAAAAAAAAAAGGATTCAGTCTTTTTTTTTTTCTATTTTATTTTTTATTTTTTTTTATTTTTTTTTTTTACCTTGGTTCAGTAAAATAAGTATTGTCAGTATGAGCACCCAGAGCCAATTGAGTATATGCAGTATCAGCATGAGCCAAATCAGCGGTAAAGGACCACATACCTTTGGAATAATGGGTTTCTCGAAGGAAACAAAGTCGTCTTGCCAAAGTCTCGGTGGCTTCCAAAGTTGTAGGTACATCTTCCACAAAAGCAATACCATCTCTTTCTAAACGATGTAACCATTCCGTAACACCTTGTTTTGTTTCCATGACTTGTTCAAATGTCAATCGATCAGTCAAGGAAGAAGATAACAATGTATCAGCTTGCCACAATCGTTGTTGTTCCGTAGGCGCCAAAGCATCTTTCCAGACTTGTTCATTGATTTGATGACCATGAGTAGAGATCCAGTCGTGAGCATAATGACTCTTATGTCCGTCAGGCCAGACAACATGTAAACCATCCTCCCAAGTGACAGAACTCGGTCGAATGTCCCTGTCAAGTCCAAATGTGTTGACAAGTCGTTGTCGCGTCACTGAATGGTAGCAACTTGGGCAACGGCAATGATCTCGTAACCAAAAGTAAGGTAAGGAGTATGTTGTCTTCCCTTTATTGTTTTCGATAGGTAACGTGATATCTAGTTGACGGGCATGGTGGGTAATAGCTGCACTGTAATATCTTTTTGATAAAACATGAGTTCTTTTGGATAGAAAGCTTGATACTTCTCGAGAAAATATGGTAGAAAACATAAAGACAGAAAAAAGAAAAGAAAAGAAAAAAAGGAAAAGAAAAGAAAAGAAAAGAAAAGAAAAAGAAACAGAGAGATGGTGTTCACCTCACTTGAGAAAGCCAGCGGTGAATAAATTTTGAGCTTGATGTAGATGAGGGGAACTTTTTTTAACTTTCCATGCCTTTTGATTATCATCCTTTGTCATTCTCACGCTCTTTTTTTTTTTTTTTTTTTTCTTTTCGCTACTCTACAAGGTAATTTTATCAACTAACTTAAACAAAACCTCCAGGTATTCATAGGATCCTAAAACAGAATTGGTATGGATGGTCATTTCAGTAATAGATGGTAAACAAATCAATGTTAAAGCCAATCAATTGAAGATTTTTTATATCATAATTATATGTCACATGAAATAAAAAAAAAAGGCGGTAGCAGGACTGCTTGTACTACATGATCCTTTTTTTTTCTTTAACATAATGATGATGATGATTTTCCTGTATAAAAGAATAAATCAAAAAAAAATCCCATCATTCTAGATCACTTTTATAAATATGAATGAACTCAGGTTTTTTGTTTTAAAAGATGATCTTCTATCAACTATGTATTCTTTTTTTTCGTTTACTTATCAGAAAAAAAAAAATGAAATGAAATAAAAAGTTCCAGTAGCAATTCAACAAAAAGCTAAACCCATGTTGGCTCCCACATCGGCCAATAGGACCATTTTTTCAATCCCAGGTGGAGGGGGAAAAAAAAATGCTTAAATTACAATTTGCTTTTTTTTTTTGATTTCCTTTTTTTTTTTTTTTACTTTTTGTTTTCTTTTTCATACATTGTCATGGCACCTCGATTGACCAATATTATTGATACTCATATTCACTTTTGGCATCCAGACAAAGTCAAGATTCCTTGGATGAAGGGAACACCGTTTGAAACAACCAAGGATGCAGAAGAATATAGTCAACAAGTGCAACGCATAGGGGTTCAACAAGGAATCTATGTGGAAACGGATGTAGATGCTCGACATGGTTTGGTGGAAGCAGCTTGGATTCGAGATTATGTAGATAATTATCGTCCACGACAAGATGGAAAGATGGCCAGCGCGTCGTTTGGTGGCATTACAGGTGTGGTTGCGTTTGCACCCGTGGATCAAGGGGAACACGTGCGATCTTATTTACAATTGTTACAACGCTTGGTGGGCAAGACACTTTTACGAGGAGTGCGGTACTTGTTACAAGATGCAACTTTGGATCCAAGACGCATGGTATCTCCAGACTTTGTACAAGGGGTACGTATCCTAGGTGAAGAAGAATTCAAGTTGATGTTTGAAATGGTGATTGATTGTCATCGTTGCCCTGAACAATTTCCAGCTTTGATTGAATTAGTGTCTTTATGTCCTGATGTGTCTTTTGTTTTGGATCATATGGGAAAGCCTCCTTGTCAAAGTATACCTGGTAGTGTGGATTTTGATCGATGGGCAAGTTGCATGAAACAATTGGCACAATATCCAAATGTAGTGATGTGTAAGGTATCAGGCCTGATTACGGAATTGGAAGGGGGATCTCCGACGGCAAAACAATTGGGCCCTTTTGTCCAAGTAGCTAAGGATGTGTTTGGTATTGATCGACTCTGTTTTGGTGGTGATTGGCCTATCTGTGATAGTGGTGGTTCATGGCAAATTTGGGTGGATGTCTTACAAGAAATTGTTCAAGCATGGAGTCCTGAGGAACAAATCAAGTTGTTTATTACCAATGCTCAACGGTGTTACCAACTAGTTTAAATACCCGAACCTTAGTGTAGTATATAAAGACGGTAGTACCCCACCTTTTTTTTTTTTTTTATCTTTTTTTTCCTTTCTTCTTTATCTCTTTCTTTTTTTTTTTTTTTTAGTTATTCCATTTATATACCAATTTGAAAATAAAGGATTACAATGATATCATCTTCATCTTTATCTATTCCAACATTAAAGGTATCAATGAATGGATATAATTTATAGATAATATTAATATGATTTTTGAAGAATCCCACGACAGATTGGTTACCTACGCCAAATTCATCTTACTGTCATTCTATTGCATCTAAAGATTCCAAAGTCTCATCCTATAATCGACCAACAGGTAAATAAATAAATCATGATCTAATTGAAAATTGGATGATCTCCTCAAATGTTTTCATCTCTTTTTTTTTTTTTTCTATGCAGAACATTTGACTTTTTCTAAGTTACAAGTACCCAAACATTATGGATCCATTTTAAGTATGCCATTATCTGGTAAGTTCTAACAAAACAAAAACAAGAAAAAAAAAGATCTACCAAGTTGAAATTCAGGAGTGAACGATTTATTTATTTATGTTTTTCCATTTGGAATTTCCGTCTTTTTTTTTTTTTTTTTTTTTGTTAGATGATACATCCATTGATGAAGCACCGCCTACGCCACCTCATACTACCATCAGCCCCAATGATGATGATGAGGGATTATATTTATTATGGACACATCAACTCTTACGTGAACAAGGTTTCCGCCCAAGTAGGTCCTATTGTCAAAACACTGAAGATGATGATGATGAAAGTAGTCAATCTGAATCCATTTTATCCAATCATGCAATCAATCCTCCTTTCAAACCCATGAATAATCCTTTTTCCATTACTTCTTTTCTATCTTGTTTTTGTCCCTCCTCATAACCCATTCTCCTTTCTTTTTTTTTTTTTTTTGTTATCTTTATCTTCTCCCGTTCCATCGGAGTTGGCACTTTGTATATGATTTTTTCATTTTATATCTTTGTACTCATCTATCTACTTTCTATGACTTTTCCCTTATATGGCCTTGACTCGGTTCAATGATGCCGGAGACCCAATCATCCATCTAGAATATACCTCGTATCACATACTCATCATCGTCACGCTTCCCTTATTATTATTATTATTATTATTTATACAATAAAGAAATCCTTTCTTTTCATCTTTATGCAAACTATGTTTTGGCTAATGAGTCACGCGACCTCACGTTACAGAATCAACAATGGAAATTCACATCTTTGTGTGTACACTATTTTTTTTTTTTTTTAAAAAAAAAAAAAAAAGACTCAGTTAACTAAACTCACTCATATGCTCTTGTTAGCCAATCGGAGCTATCAAATCAACGAATGATGATGCCATGTATATGCTAACTGGTGCAAAAAAAAAAAAAAGAGGGAGACAATCGGTTCATGACAGACGATTTATAGTATCATTTTAGGATTTATTCAAGTTTCCTTGTATCAATACAACATCATCGATAAAGAAAGAAAAAGATAGATAGATTGTTCTCGTCAAAACAATACAATATTAAAAATAGCCGAAAATGAATAGATGGAAATTTTTAATCAAATAAGCATCTAAAAAAAAACATACAACTATATAAAGAGAACTAATCTATAATAAGGCACCAAAGAAGGAGAGAAGACTTGAGATGATCAAACCAGGCAAAGACAAAGACAAGGCAAAGGCATCATTCTTCTTTTTATTTGGATTGGTCAATTGGATATCACTTGTGTCAACAATGGTTGCATTCAAATTAGTAGGTGCTTCCACAGCCACTTGACCTTCCTTGTATCCACCCGAACCATATGAATGTTTATCAGCAACGGCCTTGTCAGAAGTGGAAGCTAAAAAAAAAAAATTATTTTCCCTCATCATCTTTATTTTCTGTTGACTTACATTCTTTATAAGGTGATTTGTCACGTAAACAACCATCAAGACGTACCATGGTATAACCAGCTTCATTGATGGCATTGACAATATCATAAATTGCTTGCCAAGACCCAGTATCAGGAATATCATATTGAACGGAGATAAAGCTACCCTTGGAATCATAAGTATCCAACTGTTTTGAAAATGTAGACCGGTATAATTCAGCAATACCCTTTGGATTACCCTTGAAGTTATAATCCTGTGTATCTAGATTGTATGCTACCAATGTATAACCCATACCACGGATGATATGTTCCAAACGATAATCCTCCGGAGTAGTATAGTGTAATCGCACGTATTTAGGAGACACGCCAATCAATGTTTCTACAATCTTGGCGGTATTGGCCACATCTTGTCGAATTTCTTGATCAGTCAAACCTTCAGAAGAATCTCCAGGAGCTCGATAGGTCATACCAATCAAGTGACCATCATTGTAAGCCCGTTGTAAAATCATGGCATATTGTTGCGTGTATAACCTATCATCCATAAAAAGTAAATGATGAGTTATTTTTTTTTTTTTTTTTTTTTGGTTTACCAGGATGCATTGACAAAAAAGTTGGCTTTGGCTTGTGCTGCTTTCAAACCATTCAATACTTTGGCTGTGACATCGCTAGGTCCTTCGTTCTTGTTTTTTTTAAAAAAAAAAAATAGAGTGAATGTTGGACCAATGGGAATGTGTTGTTACTTACATAAGTGACGGCAATTTGGCCAGAACCAGCACAGGCTGTCGCTTGAGGTGCAGGACCAGTAGTGGCTACAGATGAAGTGGGATGATTCCAAATAGGTAATGGCATAGAATCATCAGCCAACACCACGTTTGATAAGGCGACAAAAACGAATACTAATAATAGGGATGAGATTTCTGTTTAATATTTTTGTTTCATCTTACCTGCAACTAATAATAATTTGATCATGTTTTTGCAGCAGAATGAAAATCAAGAAATAAAACCACGATAAAAAAAAAGATTGAAAAAAAAAGAGTTTTCTTGATTTATAACCAAATGGTGAATTTCAAAATAATTTTTGTTGCAACCGTTCAAATAAAGACAAAATAAGAAACCAAAGATCAGAAAAATAATCCGATAAAAATAGACAATAACAAAATGATGAAAAGGAAGGTTTTTTATATGTATATAATAATATATGGGTAAATACAAAGTGAATATCTACATTAAAGTCCGTAATACAATCTTGGCCCGTTCCAATTTCACATTGTCAACCAAATTCGTAGAGTCAGTTTGTTGTGGTTGATTCACCTCTTCTGTCACAGGTGCTGCATATGATGCTGACGCCAATAACTTTTCCGCATCGAAATCATCATCGTCGTCATATCCAGGATAAGTTGCTGTAGTAGATGTTACTGGCTGTGTTGATGCTTTGGTGTCTTGACAAATATCTTGTGCTTCTTTCAATGTTTTCTGTATACATAATAAAAAATGAATGAACGATTTTGAATCTTTTTTTTTTTACTATTTATTTACCTCTCGACTCATTCCCATCAAGTCTTTTAGATATAAAACAAGTCGATCAAAATCTTCATTTGGTATCTACAAAAAAAAAAAAAAATCAATCAATCAATAGACGAATTCTTGTAACAGATATATAACGGGAATGGCTTACCGCTTCAGAGTCATAGATATGTTGTAAAAGCCATGATTGTTGAATTTTGGAGAACTTCCACTGAGATCGATCATTTACAAATGTTTTCAAGTAAGTTAAAGATTCTAACAAAAAAAAAAAAATCATGCATTTCAATAACCGCCTTTCTCATCTATCTTTCTTTACCTTGACGTTTCTTATCTGATGGTCCTTGAAGATGAAGAGTCCCCTTTTTCTTTTTTTCTTTGATCTGCTTTGGTTTCTTGCCATTGTTCTTTTTCTCGTCATTGTCGTCGTCATCTTGTGATTTTCGTTTGTTATCGTTTGTTTCTTCCACTTCACCATCATCGTCAAAAGAGACATGAACCGCTGCCTTGGCTCCCTTTATTAAAGCGTCTTGTGCTGCTTTCTTGGCTGTCAAGGATTGTAACAAGGCCATGCCTGTAGTTCTAGTTTGGTTATCCTGTTTTTTGATCTTGTTGTACGCCTTGCTTTTGGATACATTGGTTTTCTTGAATGTCGTTTTCTTTTCCTTTTGTTGTTTGTTTGCCGTTGAAGGTACTTCTATAGCCACCATATTGATAATAATAATAATAATAAACTTGTGTGCAAATAGAAAAAAAAAAGATAATAATAAAAAAAAAAGTTAAGGAAGAAAAAAAGAATAGAAAAGTTCCCAAAAAAAAAAATCCATGTGGCTTTTTGACGGGCAAGTAATAGACAATAGCATTCAACTCCCGCAATCGATGCTGCCTTACGCATAAAAGTACAACTAGTCGTTTTTTTTATTATTGATATACATAAAAAAAAAAATACACTAAACTAATCTACCACATACTTTGACCTTCCAATAATTCCCTGTGTTGTTCCAATACAATAGATACTACAGAGAATGGTGATGATTGTCTTGCCTTGGAGCAGTAATCCTTGATCGATTCTTCAGTGATGACAGTATGGTTGAAAGCATCTTGAATATCACTGGAATAAGAACCAAGTAACGAATCCGATTCATAGTAGCCACGCACTAACTTGATATGTCGAGCTTTTGGGAAAAGTAATTGTAGATCATCTAGGAACGAGATAGGTGTTTGTTCAGGTAAATCATGTAACACCAGATAACGGACATGAGATGATGATGCGTTGTTTACATCAACAAGTTTTTCCTTTTGTTGTAAATCATGACGAACAGATAAAAGATGTTGAACTACAGGCATAGATACACTAAGATGTTGTAATTGAGGAGCGCTGATGATCAAATCATACAAAGATCGTGGTGAAGGAAAGGATGTTGGTGATGATGATGATGGTGCCAAAATATCATGTCGATAAGAAGTGATTTCTTTTTCATTCGATGCTAATGATGATGATGATGTGGTCATATGTTGATGGAGCCAATGACAATGAGCGATATCTAAATATTTCCAATAACGGTGATCCAGTCGTCTCAGGGTTTCCAAAGAGATAGAAGTATAAGCCAAACCAAGCCATGTTAAATGGATACAATAACGAGCAAGTATATCCAAACTAGCAGAAGAGAGGTGTCGACAAGCACTGATATCCAACTCTGTAATATGAATGGTCCGGAACTTGGCAATACCAGTTAGAGCTTCATCCGTCAAGGAGGTATGTTTTAAGGATAAGGAACTGAGATGATCACAATGGTATGCTAACTGACTCACACCATGATTCACTCGAGTACCATCCAAACGTACTAAGCGTAGTTGAGGTAACGATGTTGCTAGTTTCACCAGTAAAGGATCGGTCAGGTGTTCGACATAAGAGAGATCAAGCGACGTCAATTGTTGCCATTGCCAATGGTTGGGTGGAAGTGACGCAGAAGAAAAAAAAGTGGCGCGTGACATATTGAGGTGACTGAGGTTATTAGTATATTGAACGAGCGTACGGAAAAAGTCCTTGGGTACTCGTTCATATAATGATTCTTCCATGGGTGTTAGATAAAGTTCTCGAATAGCTTGTCGTGTTGAAGGTCGCATGTCGGGAAGACGTTGAAGGAATCGTTGGAAGAGGGTTAGAGCATCATGCATACTATCATTATGGAAACTCGGTCGTTTCCAAACATAACGTTGAATATAAGGGTCTATAGATCGACAGACCAGTTGAAGTTGATGTAAATCCCTAGTCGGTATATAAGGAAGTAAAATTGGTAATACTTTAATGAGACGACGTAGTATAATGTATTGTTGGAGATTGCTGCTTTTTGGTAATATTGGAGATGATACTGTAGGTTGCCAGTGGTATTGAGTCGGTGAAACAGAGACTGATAATTGTTCAAACATGGTTGTGATATTGTTTGGAGACTGCATGGTATAGAGGAGAAAGAAAGAAAATAAAAAAAAAGAAAAAAAAAAAAGAAAAAAAAAATCTACTGAAAATAAAAAATTATACTTTAACAATCTGCGCAGCCATCATTTTTTTTTTTTTTTTTGGGAGGACAAGAACTTTTTTACTGATTCTTATCAAATGGATCCATTTTATTTTTATTTTATTTTATTTTTCCATTTTATAATGAAAAAGAGTTTCTATTATAATTATCGATGAAAATGGACACTAGTACAAACTATAGGATTGTTATGAGTTGCATTGAGCTGGTGTTCAATCTCCGTAATAGCCAATTTTTTTTTTCTCTGTACGCTTTTTTTCTCCCCTCTTTTTTTTTTTTTTTTCTCCTCCCTCTATATTATTAAAATAATAGATTAATATATTCCGTAATGAAACTATATTGTCTTCTTTTTCTTTTATCACTATGTTTTCAATTATATGCTTGTGATTCTAAACAAGATCAAGTAGAAGGTTTTTTTAGTCAAAGTGGACATACAAACAATTGGGCTGTTTTGGTAAATAATTTACATATTAAAAAAACAAATATCCATCTTTTATATTTCAAACTTATTATTTTTTTTTTTTTTTGTAGGTATGTACTTCTCGATTTTGGTTTAACTATCGACATATTGCCAATACATTATCCATGTATCGTACTGTCAAAAGACTTGGGATTCCAGATTCTAATATCATTTTGATGCTTGCCGATGATGTGTCATGTAACCCTCGAAATACCTATCCTGCTACTGTATATAATAATGCTGCTCGGTTTTTGGATCTATATGGGGAAAATGTAGAAGTGGATTATCGTGGTTATGAAGTTACTGTAGAGAACTTTATCAGAATGTTAACAGGTAAAGAAACAAAAAAAAACAAAAAAAAGATAAGGGTTAAGATAGATTTACTCACCTTTTTTTTTTCCTTATAGGACGTGTATCACCAGATACACCTAGATCCAAACGACTTTTATCCGATGATAGATCTAATATCTTTGTATATATGACTGGTCATGGTGGTGATGAATTTTTGAAATTCCAAGATGCAGAGGAAATTAGTGCATATGATTTAGCCGATGCTTTTAAACAAATGTCTGAAAAGAATAGGTAAAATTTTAACTATAACAAAAAAAAAATATGTATATATTCTAACTATTGTATGTATCATAGATACAATGAAATCTTTTTTATGATTGATACATGTCAAGCAAATACCATGTATAAAAGGATTGATTCGCCAAATATCTTGGCCACTGGAAGCAGCAAACTTGGTGAAAGTTCCTATTCTCATCATATTGATTATGATATTGGTGTAGCGGTGATTGATAGCTTTACTTATTATAACTTGGAATTTTTAGAAAAAGTCGATATGACAAGTGATGCGACATTGCAAGATTTGGTAAATATACATGAATTAGATATTGATTTTTTTTTTTTGGAGACACATAATCTTAATATGTCTTTTTTTTTTCTTTCTTTCTTAGTTTCAAACTTATGATCCTGTCAAGATTGCCTCTGAACCTGGGATTAGATCTGATTTATTCCATCGTCCCTTGGATAAGGTAAGAAATTTGAATTTATCATATAGAATAATTGATGAATTCAACGTTTGCCTTTTTTTTTTTTGGAATAGGTTAAAGTGACGGACTTTTTTGGTAATGTACAAAATGTAGAATTGACTCGACAAAGGTATCCTCTTATTGAAGAAGATGACAACATTTCATTGACATATAACGACTCGACCACCTTTGATACGCCTGCAAATCCTATTCAATTGGAACCAACGATTCGTCATTCGTTCAAAGTTCAACAACGACCACAATCTCTCTCTTGGTACATTTCCAATCCTGCGTCTCTGTTTGGTGGTTTAGTGACAATAATATTAGGCTATTTTATATCCAAATCATTGACTATTTAGTTTTTTTTTTCTTTCCCACTATTCACTTTCTTATCTTTTTTTTTCTATTTGTATATACCTCTGAAAGTGATACACGCCATTTTTTTTTTTTTTTTGTACTGCTTTTTTTTAATGAATGTACTTCAATTCAATAAACATGCTCTTTTTTTGTACACATTTTTTTGATTGTTTTTTTTTTTTTCTAAATGTTGACAAAGACTGCCGAAACTACATAGAGGAATAAAAGATAATAATAGAAGGAGGATAATTTTATTCAATAAATATGATGATTTAAGATATAGATCCAAAAGTTGTATTATGTGAGAAAGGTGTTGTTCTATTTGATTCTAAACTATCAATATAATCTTCCATTTTGGATTCAAATGAAAAGGGATCCGTAAAGAATAAAGATACAAACGACCGTCGACGTTGAAACTCTTGATCTTGATCATGATACTATGTAACATAAAAAAAAGGCAATGATACATATAAGATTGTTTGATACATTGAATGAGTGAGATCACTGGTCACTGTTTTCATTTCTTTTTTTTCTTACCTGATCTTCCAATTGATTAGTTTCATCTTCAAGGTCATGTATTGTTGATTCCAATATCCATTGTAGTTCATCATAGGTCTAAAAAAAAGCATTAGAATGAATGAAAAATTGTGCCTTTTTTATTATTATTGGGTTTTTTTTCTTGAATAGGATCCTCTTTTACCTTTGGTTTCAATTCCAGTTTTTCCCTTGATGTCGCTTCACCAAACAATGATTTTGCCAATTCATGTTTGGATTGATCACTAGCAAACGTAAAAAACAAAAAAAATAATAATAATAAGATTTAGTATATGAGATATATTTCACATGTAACAGCTTACATTAGTCGAATAGCATCCAGATTGTCATTTGTATCTTCAGACCATTTTGTGTGCCATTTCTTTTCATACGCCACCACATCCTCAATCGCTTGAATAATTTGATCATTGGTTGCATCCATGTAATTCTTCTTGGGATCCAGCATTACCATATTATAACGATGCTGCTGTTGTTGAAAAGTGGTCAAACATTTCTTGATTTCTAACATCACAGGATCCTCATCATATTGATGTCGAAATTGGACAGATCGATCTTGATTTTTTTGTTCCTTTTGTAGGTCCAATTGATAAGCGAGTAGAGCATGATAATAAGAAAGAAGGTATTTTCTTTCCACTTGATAGCTATAAATCATCAATTGTTGTGTTGACCTTTGTCGTAATATGCTATGATATATCTAAAATCTCGGAACAGAAATGAATGAATGGAAATGATAACATTGACTATTTACTTTTATATATATATATATATATATATATATATTTATATATTTACCTTTTTGAGCTGTAAATTTGTTTGATATAACTGTTGGTTTACTTTTCTTTGTTGAGAAGCCATCAAAGGTGATCGTATACGTAAGCCACCTAATTGATGAATATGTGATGGTATTTGTAATTTCGTTTGTGCTTGTCGATGTTGTCTGATTTCCATTTCACAATTCGCCGTAGTGGATCTATTGAGAAATAAGATATGATTCCTGTGATTTCTATCATCTTTCTTTTTTCACTTACTTGAGTATAGGAATGATTTGTGGTAAACTATTCATCCTTCGTAGTTCCTTTTCCAAAACCTCTACCCTAGCTTGATATCCTTTCTTTTGAGATCTTGCTTGTACATATCGTTTTTCCAAAGCATCATGACTATAATAAAAAAAAAAAAAAGAAAAGTCGAGATAATGATGGTAATTAAATATATGTATGAATACGCGTAAAAACCAAATGAATCACTTACGCTATTACCAATTGTTCGATATTCGCTACATCTTCTAAATGATTCTTGTCAACATCCTTTTCTCTAGATACATTGATAGTTGATTCCTATTTTAATGACGGTAAATGAAACTATAGATATTTGGATTTTTTTTTTCTTCATACCTGAGAATTGACATTAATAATAGATGAATGAGGTCCATGTTGTATCGCTTTTAATTGAAGATTCAGAGCAGTTGCCAATGCATCCCCAGTTTCCAATACTTGATTCAAATCCCGTTGATTTTCATGCAATTGACCAAGACATCCTAATCGATAATTAAGCATTATAAGCAGATGAACTGATATAACAAACCATCGCTCTTTTTCTTATACCTTTTTGATTTTGGACGAATCTATCAGTCACTCTGTCAATGGATGCTATCAAGAGTTGACGATGCTTAAAATAGAAAATGTTAGTTAATTAGTGAAGCTAAATTGTTTTCAAACATACAGTGTATCTATATTTACCTTTTTCTGTCGTTGTTTTGTTTTAGCTTGTTGAGTATCCAATGAAAGTTTCAACGTCTCTAACGAATTAGTAAGACTAGTCAAGGTCATTTCCAAATCTGTACATGTTTGCCTGAATATCAAAAACAAAGAGTCAGAATGGATTAGTTCGCGTTATTTTAGAAATATTCCTTTTTTTTTATCTTACTTGAGTTTTGAATAAGATTGTTCTAGTACTGAAGAATAAAGAGCTGTCTTGTTGGGTGGAGTTTGTCTACAATACAAAGTATAGAATCAATCAATCAAGTTTACTGATCACCCTGTCTGTATCTGTTTTTCTTACCTTGTATTAATAGCTTCTCTTTCCCATTCGTCTTCCCATGTATCCAGTTTACGTTTATTCACACTATCCATGGTCAATAACTGCCAAATAAAATAAAAGACAAAAGAAAAAGACAAAAAAAAAAAAAGAAGTGCTATGAATGGACCAAGCTATTTCACCCCCAAAAGACAAAAAAAAAAAAAAAAAAAAAAAAAAAAAAAAACGGCGTTTAAAAAAAGAATTGATGAGTGATCACTTACAATTAAAAATTTCCAACTGGCACAAGGCAAAGTGAACATATCCACAACCATTCCAGGATGAAATATGTTACAAAAAGAGGAGTTGATGTATAACCACAAGATATTGTTTCCAGAAGGGGGTGCACAAAATTCAGTTGCTGAGTCATATTCAAGAGGAAGAAGAGGAGCGACGGAAAGGAGACGGCACAGAACCATATAACTCTTTGTTGTAATCCAGATATAATCATGTTCATTGATGCGTTGGCATCCCGTGATCTTGCAATACACCCAAACATTCGGGATTCACACATGTGATTGTTCCAAGATTAAGCTTGCCTAATTGTTTGCTAGGGTGGTTCACAACCTGGTGACAAAAAGCAGTATAACTTCGTGGTTCGATATATTCGTCAGTGATGAATACTTTTGATTTCTGTTCAATAGCGGCGATGACATCGAGATGACTATGTTGTAGGAAGCCTTTGATTCTTGAACCTGTTCCATGACCGGCAGCACCATAGAAAAATTTGAGATCGATGTTGTTGTTGATGGTAGAAGTGGCAGCAGAGTGATGATGGTGTATCCTATCCCGATGAAACTTCATAACATGGTTTAGACCTTGTTTCTTCATTCTTGGTTGTGATCGTCGTTGCACCATTTTCCTTGATAAAATGAATGAAGCTTGTTGGCATTTTCCCGTTGTTTCTACGATTAAAAAAAAAAAGAAAGAGCCAATATTTAACCATACAGCTCGCCAATCATCATCATAAATTAATTACTCTTTTTGTTTTTACCTTGACTTTTTTGATTCAGCTATCTTTTCCTTTTTGTACTTGGTACTGCTTTCTTCTTCTTTGTTTGGCGAGAGGTGGCATCGTAAAAGGACATAGAATGCTTTTCCCAAAATGTAATCAGCCAACGTGCCTTCATACATGACTTTGATATTAGTGGAGTATTGGGTGACGTATGGATTCATGATTGAGCTGATTCCAGGAGACGATGGCGTGTAATTGTAGCATGTTTCATATCATCACGGTTGAAATCAAAGAAACCAGAACGTTGGGTTTGTGAGGAGGGCACTGGAACGGACGAGGAAGATGAAGGGTCCGAAAGAGTTGTTGATGTTGGTTGTTGAGTGGATGTACTGAATGTACTGGATGTGACTGAAGTAAGCATCTGTTGTTAAGTGATTGCTGGAATAGAGATCCGAATATTTTCGGTCATCGATGGAATCATTTCTAAGCATCTTGTTTTTCAGATCACTTGAAGATGGAGCCACTGTCAAAGGACTATACATAGTGTTTCTTTGCGCTTTTTCACATTATTTGATGTCAAAGGTAGTAACGGCACGCTGTTGTGGATGTTCTATTATAATGATCATAATAATAATAACAGTAAAAAAAAAAAAAAAAAGAATATACGTAAGCAAAAAAAAGAAAATGGAAAAAACGCAGTAAAAAAAAGGAAAAGGAAAAGAAAGAAAGACAAAAAAAAAATGCATCAGAAAAAAGAGCACAGACATAAGACGGAGATGAAATTTCTAAATTAGGTTACTCCACCCCTTATTTGATGAAGAGTTTAATATATACAAGATAACAGTTAGATTGTTTACGAAAAAAAAAAAAAAAAAAAGGTTTCTAAGGTAGTCTTTTTTTTTTTTTTTGATGCATAATAATAAATCTAGAAATGAAATGGATGGTGTTCAATTTCTTATATTTTGTTTAAATATGATATATTGAGTGTATGATCTTTGTTTGATTTATGATCTTCTCGACTGTATTTTGATTCATATACTATTTATACGTTATTGCATCAATATTCGAAACACATGTGAGTAAACAAAAAAAAAGAAAACATTGTCTTATCTGCTGACATTGGATATTAGGTTCCACATATTTCATTTTTGACATTTTAGATTTTCTTCCATGGATTTATTTATTTTTATTTGACTCAAATATAATAATGATATCGTAAGTACGCTAAAAAATAAATAAAAATACTATTTAAATAACCTGGATCTCATCATCCATCATCACTTCATCATCATGAATATTATTTTCATTCAGTCAATAATCAAGTCTATGATTCATATATAGGGAGAGCGATATCATCAATAACATTCTTAAAACTGACGTATTCTTTCATTTAACAGTACCTTCTTATCAATATCCAGATACGGCCATCCATGTTGAGTCAATCGAATCGGCTTAGTTGCTTGTATTATCGTAAACTTGCTGGTGTGTAATACATCATTCTACAATAAAAAAAGAACTATTAGTAAACATTATACCCTGTAATATAGATGATTACTTACAGATCAAAAAGCTTTGGGTCATAATTTGATCTTGTCAGATACTATTTCATGAAATGTAAGCATAAAAGCAATATGTACACGTTTGTTGATTACAGGAGAGCGGAAAACAACGATATACAAGTAACAAATATTCATTCAATTTCACCATAGACTTTCAAGCTTGATGAGTAGAATCAATACACCAATCCACGAATTCTTCAAGTAGCTATAATAATGAAATATAAATACAATTGACCTTTTTTATTAATTTGTTTTCTATAAAAGACTTACTTTTTTTGCCGTTATGAGTATCATCTTATGTACAACGTGCAGGGTAATATAATTCCTGTTGTTCAAATATTCCATCCACACTAGTATGATATCCTTTGTAGATTTGTTCAAAGTCACCAGAGTTGTCCTTGTTATAAATTCAGTTATTGAACCATTGGAAAAGATATGCTTTGTGAATTTGGCCTTGCAATCGACTTTGTAGGTGGCTTGCCCAGTTTACGCTTCATTGCTGTTGTAGTTATTGGTGTCAATGTAGATGATGATAGTGTGCTTGGTAATGAAGTTGACGATGACGAAAAACTGGCCACGTCCTAGAAGTGATTTAATTGCTGACGATACAAGAAAGAAAAGAAAGAGGGAAGAGATTGTGACAAGCACCCACAAAAAATAAAAATGCGGGATTACAAAACTAAACTTTTTTTTTTCTTCGTTTTCTTCTCTGCTTCTTCTTAATTCAAACTGTATTTTTTTTTTCTTTATACAAATATATAAATATTATATATTATATTTTTTGGCTGAAACCAATCACAAACATTTCTTTATTTGGATAGTATACTACGTTTACGACGGTCATCACACGTATAATCAACATATAATACAAGCATGGAGACACCCATAGAAGTTTTAAGGATTGAACAAACTGTAGTATCCAAAGAACTTAGCCGGTTTCGTGCTTGTGATCCCACCAGTCGAAGTTTTTATTGTCGGGAATGGGCTCAATATATATACAAAAAGCATTTTGTTTGGAATGCCAAAACACAAGAAGATATGCAAGCCGTACAACCTAGTTCTGGTTTGATGTCCACTGGTCATTATAATATTTGTATGTTACAACCACCTTCTGAAGCAAAACGAAAGGAACGATCTCCCAAATTATCCGAGCAGTTTGAAAAGTTATTAGAACAAAAGTCAACCATGGAAGAGGACGATAATACTGACGATACGGCAGCAAAACCTACTCCTACATTGACACAAGATATCATTCAAGCATGTATTTTATGGCAATCTTTACCCAGTAGTCTTTCTGGTTTACCTTCCATCTTTGAACCTGTACAATTCAATCCTTTTCCTGACCATATTCCTTTGGATGATGATCTCAAAGCACCTGCACAATTATTAGATCCTCTTATTATTGAACGACAGGCTTTATGTTTACCATCTGAAGGGTTTCATTTACTCAAAAACTTGACAGGCGACATCTTACTCTCACATACACAACCTACATGTTTACATGTCAAACCTGACGATCCTTCACCGGCTGATTTAGAAATGGAACGACAAATGTTGAATGACGACTTGCAAACAATCACCTCTCAAGTCTTGGCAGCAATGGATAAACGACTTATGGTATCATGGCAACCTTTATTGGATTTTTTACGGCAATTAGGGCATTTGGAGGAACAACGGAATACTTTGATGGGTCAACAATGTCAAGCGACTGTAGATGACTTTGTGAAACAACAAAATCTGACTACTTTTGCAATAGTTTGGCAACAACAACAACAACAACAATCTACTTCTACAACAACCATGATCAATACAATAAAAATGGTGGATACCTATTTGGATGATATGATTCGTCATGTCCAATTATTTTTGAATGATTTCGTAGTACCTCGACTGGAAAAGATTGGACAACTCATTCAAGATCTGTGGGATTTGGTAGGACCAACGATTCAACACATGGCGGAACGAATGGCAACACATGAAGAACGGGATAAGGGTAATGCTGAAAATTGCAAGGCGGTATCTCAGTCACTTAAGGGATTACACTCTACAAAGGAAGTGGATGAAGCAATTGATCGAATTCAACATGCTATGGCGGATCGCGTGGATGATTATATCAACAGTGTTCAAGAATTGAAGAAATCGTACAATTTGATGGATGATCTGGAAACAAATGGAACGATAAAGGTGATTTTTGAAAAGATTCAACAAAAGGACTTTAGGAAAAAGGTGAAACGATTAGAATCTGGCTATACTTCTCTACGGCAATTCTTTCGATACGAAGTCACTCAAAAGATCTTTCCCGAAACTCTGTTTTGCAAGTTTAGTTTGGTTTGTTTGGGTGCGCTGATGCAAGAAGGTGAAGTGATGGAGGCCATGATCATCGAAACTGAGGTTAAGCGGTTTATTGAAACTCATCGTCCATTGGTCAAGCGTCGACAATCCATTGTATTACAATATGAAGAAGGTGTACAAGTTGGCAGGCGCGAATTAGCAGGTATTTTGGGTAAATTGTTTCTCAAGGAAGGTATGCGTATCCAAGGTGAAAATTTAGCTCTGAAACGACAAGCTATGTTACTGAAGTCAATGGGTGGCGAAGGACAAAACAACAACAACAACAACAATGAAAATGGAAAATCGGATGGATCAAGCAAGAAGAAAAAGAAGAACAAGAATAAGAAGAAAAAAGCTTTGACGGCATTGTCATCATCTGTATTGGAGAATGAAGAGGACGAACAGGACAACAATGAACCAACAGAAGCAACAAAAGTAGAAGAATCATCATCAGGAGCTGTGTTATCGACTTCAACATCTACTTCATCATCAGCAACTATTACAACACCTTCATCACCTCCTTTACAACTTCCTCCACCATTACCAACCTCAGCATCTTTACAACAACAACAACAACAACAACAACAACAACAACAAGTATCATCAACACCCAAAAAGAAGAATAAGATACTCACCATCCCACCTTCACCAGCATCTACATATGTACCTCCACCTCCACCATCATCATCCTCTTCACCAACGAAATCCAACAACAGTCCTACCACGAAATCCAACAAGGCTATACGAACACCCAATAGGACACCTTCAGCTATATCATCTGCTATAAAGAAGACGAATCATATACCCAGTAACACCAACGTTATAGTCGACAAGACGAAGAAATTAGAATCATCCTCAACATCGACATCGTCATCACCATCAACACCACCTGCAGCAACAATACCAGCATCATCCACAACAACAACAGCAGTGGCAGCATCACCATCAAAACCTTCATCACCACCAAAACCTTCACCACCGTCAAAACCTTCACCACCGTCAAAACCTTCATCACCGTCAAAGCCTTCATCACCATCAAAACCTTCATCACCATCAAAACCTTCATCACCGTCAAAACCTTCATCACCATCAAAACCTTCGTCATCATCATCATCAAAACCTTCATCACCACAACCAGCAGTAGTATCATCACCAAGCATGTCAAGCTCATCGCCAGCAAAAGTACCATCACCAATGTCCGATGATCAATCAACGAATGGCAAGGATGATGCGGTAAAAGAAGGAGAAGATTGGATGGCGATGGTGCAACAATTACAGCAAGATCGACAGCAATTAGAAAAGCAAATGAAGAGTCTTCAGCAGGATATGACGACGATGCAACAGCAGTATATGGATAAGATCAAAGAACAACAGCAACAAACATGGCAATGGTATGAACAACAACAAGTGGAAAAGAAAGAAATGCAGCTATATATTCAACAATTGGAATTACAATTGAAGCAATATTCTCCTCAAATTTTGGATACTTCACGTATACCCATGAATCATTCTCCATTATTATCAAACTCATCCATGTTTGTTTCACAACAACAGCAACAGCAACAGCGACAACAACAACAACAACAACAGCAACAACATTGGTTAACGGCGGGATTTGGCAATCAAGATTTATTTGCTGGTTATCGACAAGAAATGCAATCTTCAACTGGTTACCATCATCCTCCTCCTTTTTAGAAATTAGATTCTTTTTTTTTTTTTTTTTGTTTTGTTTTGTTTGTTACCAAAAATTTTTTTTTTGAAAATAAAGATGATTCCTTTTTTTTTTTTTTCTGTCTTTTATATATATATATATATATATTTGATTTGATCTTTCCAATATATGCATCGGATGTTCAATCAATGAGTGGCGCACCAGTCTTCTTTATTTTAATGCCCCTAGATGCAAGGTAACAACGTGATAAAAAAGAGTTCAAGATTCGTTCTTTATTTCCAAATGTTATATACAAACTATAGTAGAGAAGGGGGAGGAAAAATAATAATAAAAATAAAAAAAATAAAAGAAAAAAAAACTTCAGGGGTTTCAAGGGGGGGAAGAGAAGGGGCGTGTAGATGGGGAAGGATGATGAACGGACATAAAAAAAAAAAAAAGAGAATATAAAAAGAATACTAAAAAAAAAAAAAAAAATAGAAAGAGTTGATGAGGGTATGAGATTCAAGTAAAGAAAAGAATGTTGATGATGGATGAATCAATAAAAATGAAAGATGTCGTGAAGTGAGAAAAGAGTAAAAAATAAGGGGGGAGATCAATATGCAGGTGGAATTCGTTTGGTGATACACTGTAAATTTATCCAGTTCCCTTTCTTGGCAAAGGATAAAAACAACATGTTTCAAAAACAGACAAAAAGAGGGAGCCAGCATCGAGAGAGAAAGAGAGAGAGAGAGAGAGAGAGACAAAGAGAAAATATAAATCATCCATCAACAACATTGAATTTCCATGCTTCAGCAAACTTGAGGTTGAAGTTGTTGTTGTTGTTGTAGTAAAAGGTTTTGTCGTTTTAAAGAATCCACTTGTTGACGTAACTGCTTGTTTTCATTTTCAATCTTATCCAATTGTTCCACCAAGTTTTCAGCATGTTTCTTGTGGTCACTGACTTGTTGTTCCAAAGTAGTGATATATTCTAATTCATCATAATAAACAAAAACATCAATTAATTCCATTCAATCATCTTTTTATTATTATTATTATTACCTTTTCTTCGTACTCGGAAATTGCGAGCAGAGATCTTGTTTCGTAATTGTCGTCGTTCTTTGGGTGTTAACTTTTTGATATCAATTCCATCTGATTCAGCATAGGCCTCCAAAGATCCAATTTCATCTACTAAAGAGTCACGCCTTGATGAGCCACCACTAGTTTTCTTGATATCTTTCACTTTTGTTTCTTCTTCATTCATGGGAGAGACATTGTTGAGTGATGATGATAAGGAAGATAAAGTGGTTGAATCAGATAAAGAGGTATTTTTGTTGTTGTTGTTGTTATTGTTGTTAGATGACGACAAGACATTGTTTGTAGTAGTATTGGATGTATCACTTAACATAGGAGGCTTCATCAAGGATTCAGGTGAAACAGTATCAGGTAAATTGTTGTTGTTACCAAATAAACTTGTATCCGCCAAATGTGCGGTAAGATGTGAAGTAGAAGATGGTTGTTCATCTAAGCTGGTTGAATTAGTTGATGCAGAAGAGTCATTGGTACAAGATGAAGAAGTAGAATCAGTAGTAGATGTAGTTTGTTGTTGTAAAGGTGAAGAAGACCGACTATTATTATTGTTGTTATTATTGTTGTTATTGCCGTTGGTGCTGTTATCGCTGTTACTGTTATTACTGTTGTTGTTGTTACTGTTGTTCAATTGAGCAGCACGTAAAGCAAGTTGATGTTTAGCCAATTCAATGAGTTGTTTGATTTGTTCCGTGGTGGGAAAAGTTAAAGGAGGAGGAGGAGTAGTAGTCGCCGCAGCAAGAGCCGCTGCTGCTGAGCAAGAAGTAGCCGAAGTATTGACAACAGGAGAAGGTGCTTGAAGAAGTAAAGGTGGTGTAGAAGAAGCTTGTTCTAATTTTGGTGATAATAAATCAGTTGAAAGATAATGATTAAAGTCAACATAATCATTAGGAAATAAATCCATAGGTTCACTTTTGATGGAATGAGAATCCAACCAATCCATATCAACGATATCTTCAAAGCTCATCATTTTGAAAGAGAGAGATATTCAATAATAATAATAATAGTAGTAGTAGTAGTAGTAATATATATATCTATATATATATATATATATAAGTGAATACGTTGAATAAAATAAAAAGAAAGAAAAACGAAGGAAAAAAAAAAAAAGGAAAAGAGGGAGAAAGAAAAAAAAAGAGAGAAGCTGATTAATGAAAATTTTGAGTTTCATTGCGACCCACCACTTGTTCCTCATCCCCCCTCCCCCCAAAGAGTCACACTGCACAAAAAAAAAAAAAAAAAAATTCACACCAAACCCAACCATTATTGGGGGCTTCTTCCCTGTTTGATTGGACCTCCGCCTTAGCCGTTGGCCACTCTCCCCCTATCATTTATTTCTTTGTCTTTCTAGGACTTTCTCTACAACTTCAAGGAATAATCCCTTATCAAAATAAATAAATAGAATATATAAAACATCAATAAATGGGCGTTTATTTATATAACGAAAAATGAAAAAAAAATATTGTTTATATATATATATAAGACCAGGGACCTAAAAAAGATGACAGAAATCTCATGATCTAACTGAATGACTGACTGACTTATATTAACAAAAAAGGTATCATCATGATGTTGTTATTATATGATTTTCTTTGTTTCTTTTTTTTTTTTTTTTTTATTTATATTTTTATTTTTGTTTTTTTTTTGGGGGGGGGGGATAAAACAATCCATTATTACTCCGCTCGGTCTCTACTCTTTTGCCTGGCCCTTCTCGGTCTTTCTTTCTATTGAAATACGTTTTTATCCAAATCAAGAGATCCTCATGACATCATTTACCTTTCTGGTTATGCAATGAGTGAAATTGACTTCTTTAATCAACCGAATTAAAAAATTTCATGCTTTTTCTACTTCTTTTTTTTTTCTTTTTCCTTCCAAATAAGTGGCGCTATCATCCTCATCACCATGGCAATCAATCTCCGTCTACTATTTTACTCGAAATCTATTTAGAAAAAAGAAAAAAAAGAACCGTTATCAATCAAAGAGAAGAGCACGGTAAACCAATGAAATTTTCTGGTATTAAAATAGACCAAGTTGAACAATGATGATCGCATGAATTAGTGATCAAGACCGGTTAAAGCTTCATCATCATAGTGTGGTGCCTTTTTGTTGTGTTCAGTGACTAGCTGATGATCTTCTTTATTCATTCATCTATCGTTCCTTATCATTATGATCATGTTATTTACTCAATATAATACAACATTCGTAAAAGGAAAAATTTCTATCGGTCGGCTGGATTATTTTATAATAGAAATATATTCAGCCAATAAAAAACAAAGATTCAATTGTCAAGATAAGTGATGTAAAAAAAAAAAAAAAAAGAAAGGGAAAGTTTATTGATAAAAAAAAAAAACATTATATATAAAAATGAATCATAAAAAAAAGAGATGATACACTAAATACATTCAAAGAAATTGTGTTCAGTATGTAACAACTCCTTTTCTTCCAGGCAAATGATCAAAGAAAGAAATAGTTTACAAGTATATACTTGGGAGATCCTTGTTCAACGTTATCGCGTACATGCCAATCATCAAATAAAAACCTAATTGAAAGAAAAATGGGTACATAAGTATCAACCTTAAATTGAGAGATAAGATCAATAACAAGACTGAACCTGTTTTTGTTGGTTTTACAAGGGCACCAAAGTCATCCTGCATCTAAGAAAAAAAAAAAAGAAGAAGAGTAAATGAGTCTATCATCGAAATCACTGATTCATTGCCATTCATACTCATGATAGCACCATCCTTTCCCCTGTCATCAATCCAGCTTGTTCCAATTTGAAAAGAAGAAGAGAATTTGCTTTCGGTTGATACTATGGAAGATAATGTGAGAATACACTTTATTCTATAATACTGCATATTAACTATAACATATAAATTCTATTTCATTTTTTCTACCTGTTCAACTTGATTCTTTCCTTTTCAGTATTTACTAAAAACTGTCAAGTACCTTGATTGCGTAAAATAAAGAGAATGCATTCAAACATAAAAATAAAAATTATATCTTGAAGATGGGATCAATTACATTGACGTGCAACAAGGTAGTTGTAATAAAATAAAAAAAAATTTATTGAACAAAAAGTATAACCATTAAAGACTACTAACTGATATAGTAAGAATTCAATACAAAGAAAGGAAAGAAAAGAAAGGAAAGGAAAAGTTATTTGCATATCAAAAAGACAAAGGAAGAAAACGGACTTTGAAAATCACTATGTTCATCGTCTATGCTAAGAAAAGACATAGATCAAACGTCAAAACATTCCAGGGCAAAACCACCATGATGAATCAAAACACTAATGATGATCTATCACATCAATAGAAAATAAAAGTACCAATAAAAATTATGCTCTATATCAAAAAAACAAAATAAAATTTGGTCACCACCAATCTTAAATTTGGTGCAACGAAGTTGGTACAGTATTACGTATCACTCCCTCCCCTAGATGCATGTAATATAAGAAAAACAAATGTACTTTTCAAATAAAAAAGAAATCCACTGGCTCTCTCTCTCTCTCTCTCTACTCGTCTTCATTTTTTTATTATTTTATTTGCACCATCTACACCAATTCCACAAATCATCATCTTTTTTAGTAAAAGGTTTTGTAATCAAACCATTTGATCTTAAGGAATCAATCATCATCAACTGTGATCATAATAATCAAGACATTCATTTCCATATCTAGAACATACATTTAAATTTGTCTTATATTATCTTATTCTTTTTATAAAAGGAACTGGTGCTCACTACAAATCAATCATCATAGATATTATTATTTTAATAATATCATACATCAATTCTATTAATCAATCATCTACCAAGTAACAAAGAAATCCGTAACACATCCTATTTACTTTGTTATGAAAAAAAAAGTCAAAAAAAAAAACTATCAATCATATCATCAAAGAAAAATGAACAATACCTCTTTCCTCCCTTTGGACAAGTTCAATTTAAATCCCAATGGGCATAATGAAGTTGACACTATTTTGGACCCCCAAACATTTAATTTGCATACCATTGTTGGTGATCAAGTTATTGATACGCAGCCCTTGTTCAACAAAGAGGATGATGGTACAATAGTTGATATATCTATTCGTTCACTTGACAACAGTATCCCGGAACCTACTTCTAATAACTCTCTAAACATAAATAATCAACCCTTCTTCCGACCGTCAAAACCTTTCGTATGTACACTAGGTGACTTAGAACAATTCTTACACATGAACATACCTGGATATCTGTACAAGGTCGCTATTATCAAGGAGAAACAACAAGAAATTGTAAAAGAGGAAAAAGAAAGTTTGATTCCTCTTGTTCTTCACTTATTACATGAACAATTTGACAAACCAGGCGACCAAGTTGCGCGTCAACATTATATAAGTGTCGTATCAGCGTATTTCGTACCTATAATATAAGCGTATAATAAAAAATAAAAAGAATGCATTCATACATACGTAATACATCCTGTAGATGGAAATGACCCCGTTGACATGTAATAAAAATAGTTGTAATAAAATAAAAACTTTATTGAATAAAAAAAAATGTGTAAAGTAACGACTATACTAATGTATATAATAAAACCATAAAAAAGTCAATGGAAGAGAAAAAGAAAAGAAAAATGAAAAAAAGAAAAATAAAAAATAAAAAAGCATTAAAAAGGGGACTTTGAAATTTATTCTGCTCTTAACCTAAATTCACCCCTGAGTAAAGAACTCTAATTTAATGAATGAAGAATGTCGATACGTTTACCATATAGTAATCATCAAAGGAGTTAATTATGAATATCGTTCAGATTAATCAGACATACCAACAAAGAGTATACATGGTATTTAATACATATGATGATTACATGATGATTATAATTTTATCTTCAAAACAGATATAAAAGAAATATAAATTTTTCAAGTGTAGATACAATAATCAACTTTATCTTTTTATTTTTAAATAAAAATTAAGAAGAATCTCACGGACTTATTACTAGTCTCATATTTTTTATTTTATTTTATTTTATTTTATCTACACACAATTCAACACTTTTTCTATACGTGTGCTTGCGTAATCAAGTACTGGTGCTCACTAAACAACCCATTCTCTTTCAATCATCCTAATTATTTTTTCAATTTTGAACCTATAAACCAAAAAATCACTTAACATCACTTAACAGCCCTAGCAACCAAAGAATCTGTAATGTAAAAAAAAAAAAAAAAAATAAAAAAAAAAAAATAATAATAATAAAAAAAAAAAAAAAAAAATTTTTATTTTCATTTATACCTCCGTTTTATATTTTCATTCTATTTTTTTATATCACTTATTCTTTTCATTTTCATTTTCTTTTTTCATATTTTATTTTTTAACCTTAAAAATCAAATAGTATAAATACCCCTTCTTTTCTTTTTTTTTTAGTCAGTTAATCATCAATATATTTTTTTAAATAAATCTTTTCTTTTCATCCCTACTTGATTGTATTGTGGATTATCACTTTTGATTGGCTCACTTTGTTCTATATTTAAAGTCAGAACAATTTTACTCTACTTCTACTTTCCAAATTTGGAACAAGACTTTATTTTTCTTTACTTTACTTTTTGTTTTATTTTATCTATTTTCCTATACGTGTGCTTGCGTAATCAAGTACTGGTGCTCACTAAACAACTTATTCTCTTTCAATCATCCGTTTTACTTTTTCAATTTTGAACCCATAAACCAAAAAATCACCTAACAAATCACTTAACAACAGTTCACTACACAATGGATTTTATCGTTACACAAAAAATAGGTGTTTGAAAATTAAAAAAAGAAGCTGTGAGGGAAGAGAGACTCGAACTCCCAACCTTCAGATCTGGAATCTGACGCACTGCCAATTGTGCTATCCCCCCAGCCACAAAAATCGAAATCGATTGCTTCATTATGAATCTCATTCAAATTTTCAGCCAATCAGCATCGAGTATTTGATTTCTTGTCATACATTGTTCCGTGTTCGTACAGAAGATTTCCGGTTGAATGGATTTCCTTTTTCTTCTGCTGTGTTTTTTTTTTTTCCCAATGAAATATCTTTTTGAATTACATAGTATTCATTATAATGTTATTGTTATAACAATTGATGTTATTATTCATCCATCATCCGTTAATATAATTTATATCAATCATCCACAAAAAAAAACAAAAAAAAAGAAAATGCATAAGATAAAATAAAAATACTAAAAGATTAAAATAAAGGTTTATTTTTGAATAGTTTATAATTTACAGTAATATTGAATGATTAAAAATAAAAGATATTTATTATAGATAAAAGCATAAAAAGAAATCATAATAATAATAGTTTAAAAGTTAAGTGAAACACCAATTAGAATAGAACTGCCCTCCTCCTTTTTTTCTTTTTGCATTATTATTTATATATTTATGTATTTCGGTAGAAAGAATGGATTATAATATGATTTCATTCTTATTATTGTATTAAATGAGATGGTAAAGAATGTATATATATATATAAAAGCCGAGTTTATTCTATACCTTCCCCCCCTTTTGTTTCGTTCACCCCTCTTTTTTTTTTTTTTTTTCTATAAGGGGAGGCATTAAAAAGAATCGACGGACCTTTATTTATTTTCTTTCCTTTTTTTTTTTTCTTTTTTCTTTTTTCTTTTTTATTTTTTTATTTTTTTTTTTTATTATATAGCATTCATTGTATTAACTTTTTTATTCATTCTCATAATATATTATTCTCATATGACAACTACAACACATACAACAGAAAAAACAACTACATTTACTACTGATTGTATTAGTGATTCAATGGTAAAACAAAAACGCGTCTATTATAATGCAGCACCTTTGAATATTCCTTGGAAACGAAGACGACAAATGCTTTCCATTATTATTTGGTTATCAATGTCATTATCAATGGCAGCTCTATTTTTAACTTATTGGACTCACCCTGTAATGTTTCCTTTGGCCATTATATACATGTCTTGGATTCTATTGGATCGTGCACCAGAAACTGGAGGTAGAAGAATTCAATGGGTAAGAGAATGGTCTCTTTGGACTTTTATTGCTGAATACTTTCCTATCAAAGTCATCAAGGTACCAATAAAAAGAAGAAGAAGAAGAAAAAAAAAAAGAAGTGATTATTTCTAAACAATTTATTATTATTATTATTATTATTATTATTATTATTACTATAGGAACAAGATTTGGATCCAAAAAATAATTATTTGTTTGGGTATCATCCACATGGGATTTTGGCGTTTGGTGCAGTATCATTATTTGTAACAGAAGGTAGTGGTTTCTCTAAATTGTTTCCCGGCATCATACCGCGGTTGATGACACTTTCAACCAATTTTCGAATTCCATTTTATCGTGAACTCCTTTTATCTATGGGTTTTTGTTCGGCATCTCGGTCATCTTGTGAATCTGCTCTTAAATCTGGTCCTGGTCAATCCATTGCTATTGTAATTGGTGGTGCAGAAGAAGCTTTAACTTCATGTCCTGGAACAAATAAATTAGTATTGAAAAGAAGATTGGGATTTATTCGACTGGCAATTCGACAACAAGCGTCCTTAGTCCCAGTATTTAGTTTTGGTGAATCAAATCTTTATGATCAATACAGTGTTGCTAAAGGATCAACTATAGGTCGAATTCAAAGTTTTATGAAGAAATGGTTTGGAATTTCTGCCCCTTTGTTTTATGGTCGTGGTATCTTTAATTGTAAGTATTATTATTTCGAAATAGAACAATGAAAACGGAGTAGAGGGGAATGAAAAAAAAAAAGGATAAATAAGGATATAGATGATGATGATAATAATAATTTATTTTTGTATTATTTGCGGAGGATCAATAGATGATTTTGGTTTAATACCATATCGAAGACCAGTAGTGATCATAGGTAAGAAAATAATAATAATAATAAAAAAAAGAGATCAATTTGAGTAATGAAAAGGGAAGGATTATGGGAATATATATATATATATATATATATATATGTCTCTATTATTGATATCTCATCCTTTTTTTTTTTTTTAATAGTTGGAAAACCAATCTCAGTACCAAAAATGGAAGAAGGTCAAATAGAACCTAGCAAAGAACAAATCTTAGATGTACAAGCTCAATATATTAAGGAACTGACAGCCATCTATGACAATTACAAGGATATTTACGCAAAAGATCGACAACAAGATTTACAAATCATTGCTTAGACTTCCACTCCCTCATTTTGATTAGTCCTCCTTTTTTTTTTTTTTTTTTTTTTTTTGTTGTTGTTGTTGTTACCCTTTACTTATATATATATACAATTGACATATTCTCCTTTTTTTCATACCATTCTTTTTTTTTTTTTTTTGGAGCATATTTTATTATTGTTATTCTTTTTTTTTTCCTATTTATCATGAAAATAAAAGTGATGATGATTGTGATCACAATGGTTTTACAATAATATTTAATTTTATGATTCTCTATGATATAAAGATTTGCTAATATTTTTCTCCTCTTAATAAAAAAAAAAGAAAACGATAAATAATCATTGATAACAATAAATTATAATAAATCACCAAAAAAAAGAAAAACTAGTATATTAATAATGGATGATATATCTCTGAGATGTTTTTCTTTTTTTAAATCAACCATCAAAGACTGGATGATTAAGTTATATATTATGTTAATGAAGGATGTTAAAAAATAAAAAAAGTGTTATGACATTGATTGTTTAATAAAAAAAATCGAAGGAAAAACAAGTGATAGTGTGTAGGATTTCATTGGCCCAAATGTACCGGAGAACCAAAATCTTTGCTACCAGCTTTTTTTGTTATTTTCACCTCCAATTTTTTTTTCTTTTTTCCACTTTTCTTCTCCGTTTCCTTTTCTTTCATTTGTGTTTCTATATAAAACATATATTTGTTTTATATATTTTTTTTTATATAAAAGAAAGTTTTATTTTATAATAAATCATTGATCATTATCCAATTGATCTTTGTATATCCAATGATGGTAAGATATTACCCCCAAAAAAAGAATGATTATCTCCTTTTTTTTTTTTTTTTTTTATTCGTTTTGTCATTTGTGATGAAAAGGAAAGAAATGATTCATTTATCTTCAATTGATTTTTTTAATGATCTTTTGAAAAAAGAAAAAGGATGATTTTTTTCTATTTTGATGTTATTGAAAGAGATCAATTTTGAATCATCTCATTTAACCTCCCTTCTTCACAATGTTTTTTTAAATGAAAAAAAAAAAAAAAAAAAAAAAAAAAAAAAAAAAAACCAAATGATTCTTTATTCACTCAACTACTTTTTTTTTTATGATCGATTCTATATTTAGGCAAAATATGAACCTATGGCATTGAGATCCTCATCATCATCTTCTACTCGAATAACAAGAGCAGCCACATCTCGTAGCACAAACATATCATCACCATCATCCTCATCATCATCATCATCATCAGCATCATCTTCACCAATAGCATCTAGTCGATCATCACCTATTTTATCATCATCATCACCATCATCTATAATTACTTCTGATACTGCCGCCATCACCTTACCTTCCACTCCAACTACGACAACAACAACAACAACAACAACAACAATCATACAAATCGATAGTGATACCTCATCCAATTCATCCTTGAAACGCCGACGTGGTCGCCCTTCCAAAAAATCCCTGTCAGCCGATCCTCACCCTTCTTCTTCTCCACATAAAAAGCAACATACTGTTACTACTCGATTCCAACAAAGACGCCAACAACATAGTGATTCAAAACATGATATTTTATCAGCAACATTCAAATTGGATTCCTTACAATTATTATCCTCTTCTTCAAAAGGTATTACTGTCTATTATCTAAATAAACAAAAACTATAAATATTTACTTATGCAGATATTATAGATTCACGCCACAATAGGTCAGAACAAAGACGATCACCGTCATCATTGAATGCTATGCGCATAGGCGATCAAGTCGATGCTTGGAAAGATGATCAAGGGGATTACTATCGTGCAAGAGTGGTGGAAATGGAAGGACATTTGATCTTTGTACATTATGAAGGATTCTCACCAGATCAAGCAGATTGGATTGGATTATCGGATATACGTATTATGGATCGCCAAAGAAATATTCAAAAAAGGAAGAAAAAGAAATCAACTTCTCAACGATTACATCCTTTAGACAATAATCAAATGCCAAATGATGAAACCAAAATGGATACTGATGATGATAACTATGATGACGGTGGCGAGAATGGAAATTATGGACCTAGAGGCAAAGAAAATCATGTGTCTTGGCAAGATTACGCTACTTTTTATTATACCCAAGATGGATCCAAAGCAAGGCATCATACTGGTTTGATTCAAGATCGACGTATGCTTCTTCATTGTTGTCCTTGTCATTCTAAAGAATTTACTCATCCTGAACGACCTGATCGACTTTCTTCTATCATTCAACAATTACACAATGATAGGTATGAACTACTTTTTTTTTTTTTTTTTTTTTTAGATTCACTTATCTTTTTTTTTTTTTTTTCAAAAAAGAATATTACGATTTGTCAAACATATGCATGGACGCGAAGCTACTGATTCAGAATTACTCAAAGCCCACACGTCACAACATATACGAAACTATACACCGGAAGAAGACAAGAGCATCAAGGTGACGTCCATAGCTGCTTTATTGAATCCTGTTGTCTCACCACCACCATCACCTACAACAGCAACAAAAGAAGAGAAAACGGAACCATCCACCATGGGAACGACGTTACGTGGTATAGGTGGAGGTGTTGTTATGGAAACTGGTCCAGGCTATCGATTACGTCAACAACGACTTTTATCTACCAATGCTTTGAAGAAAAAGAAACAAATGTCGGATGAATCTTGTGGGACAAAATTGACTTACCCACCTGATTTGGTCTGTCAGATGACTTGTGGAGAATTAGGGATTGCGGTCGATACTACTTTTCATCCTGCTTATTCAAGTCTTTCAGCAAAAGTGGCTGCTGGTGCTTTGATTTCCTTGGTTGATGCTGTGGTTGAAGGTGATTTAAAGAATGGATTCGCTTTGATTCGTCCACCAGGTAATCATATATATATACAGAAAAAGAAAAAAAAGAAAAGGAGTTAAAGAAGGATGTTTCTTATTTTTTTTTTTTAGGTCATCATGCTGAAGAGAGTGCTGCGATGGGATTTTGTTTCTACAACAATGTGGCTGTGGCGGCACTATCTACCCTAGAAAAATATCCAACCAAAATCAAAAATATCCTTATTGTAGACTGGTAAGGAAAAAATTCATTATTGATGAATATGTAAGATAGTATGAAATATTCAACTGATCGTTTCACCTCACTTCTTTATTGGTATAATCTATGTTTCAGGGATGTCCAGTAAGTTGAAATTTTTTTTTTTATCCTGAATGATAGAGTCAAAAGAACAAGAACTAATTTTTTTTTTTTTTTTTTTTTTTTTTTTTTGCGTAGCCATGGTAATGGAACACAGAAAATCTTTTATGACAATCCGAATGTACTTTATATTTCTATTCATCGATGGGATCATGGACAATTTTATCCATATAGTGGGGCACCTGATGAATGTGGACTAGGCAAAGGGTTAGGCAAAAACGTCAATATTGCTCTTAGTGATCTAGAAAATCAAACAAGTAAGTAAGAATGAAATGATTTAAATAAGCTCACAACTTTCTTTTTCTATTTAGGGCCAATGGGTGATCCAGAATTTGTAGCTGCTTTATATCATTTAGTGATTCCCATTGCTAGGCAGTTTTCACCAGATATGGTAAATTTATTATTATTACTATTATTATTTTATTCATGATGTGTATATATCTAGATCTTTGTTTCTGCTGGATTTGATGCTGCTGAAGGACATCCTGAAAACGTAAGTGCTTGACTAAAAAAGGGAATGGCAATGATTGACTGAATTTTGTACATCATGATCTAGTTAGGGGGATACAAGGTGACACCAAAGGGTTACTCCGTCATGACTAAGATTATCATGGATTTAGCTCAAGAATTATGTGAAGGAAGGTTGGTATTGACTTTGGAAGGTAAAATTATCATCATATTAAGATTAGAAAAAAAAAAAGGCTGACTTTTTGAATATTAAATAGGAGGATATGCACTTCAACCATTGGCAGTAAGTGCGGCAGCCAGCGTGACTCAATTATTACCATCATGGGCATCATCAGCGGATTATCTACATGGATACAAACATACATTGAATTCGATCAAACCCAATCAAGGATGTGTGGCTTCTTTGGCAAAATGTGTACAGGTACAGCAAGCATATTGGCAATTCCCGGATCATCTCATGTCTCCTGATTGTCGATTCCAATTACCCTCTGATTGGCGTGCTTCAGAAGGTATCTTGACTCGTCCCAAACGCGAAAAACGTCCTATCAAGATGCCTGTGGTCGAAGGCTATTAGGATGATGACTAGATTTTTTTTTTTTAGACGACCCTATAGATAGATATTTAGATTTTTTTTTTTTTGGGAAGTCTCCAATAAAAAGGACACAGAATGTGTGTGTGTGTGTGTATGTACATTTGTTTTTTTTTTCTTGTCTTTTTTTTATCCATTGATCCACAGCTTTATACCGTTTATTCATTTAAACTCCATGCGTACATACTTATATAATAAAAACTACATGAAAACATGTTTTATCATCGATTGGCCATCTAAAGACTAATGTAAATCAATAATATAAAGTGTTCGTTTTATTATTCCATATAATATACAAAAAAAAAGGGGGCTAACTAACATAGTCAGTCTAAAGTGATGATAATGTTCAATTCAGATCATCATCTGATAATATAGCAAACACCATTAAACTGGCTAAATTGATAGGAGAATCATACTCCTTGGCGACTTGGAATGTTTGGGCCATATCGTCAAAATTCACATGTGGGCTATATGTCGATATCAGCATATATCGTTGACCAGGAATATCGGGTAATGGAGTGACATTGGGACATATCAAGAGTGTTCTACCAAAAAAAAAAAAAAAAAAAAAAATCAGCCTTCTTTTTTTTTCTAATAAAAAAAATATATATTCTTCCATTTGATAGATATACCTTTCAAAGGATCCAGGTTTTTCTTTGGAGGGTGCAAACTCTATTTGAAGATGATCCTTTTCATGTTGTCTGTATTTAATCCCTTGACGTTTTTTCAATGTATCATATAACATGGTTTTGTTACTAGCAACATCTTCAATAGAAACTTGTGCAGGTCCACCTAAATCAATCATCCGAGATAACAGTCTTTATCATTTTTTTCCTTCCTTTTTTTTTTTTCTTTATTCCTTACCTTTCCATGCTAAAGGAAAAGCTAACAAGTGTCGAGGAGGCATGTATGTTTTGTGAAAGATGACATGTGTAGTGATATTGAATCCATCCGTAACAATAGGACCTACGTTATATCAATGACAATAATTGCAAAAAAAAAAAAAGAAGGTAGAAGTCAATACTATTCTTGATAGTTTCCTTTTTCCTTTCTGACTTACCCCCAACAGGAACGAGATCACAAGTTAGATTACCAGAATCGAGTAATTGGCATCCATTGATACCCATTGACTGGCGTTGAATAAAACCAAGAGTAGGGACAATACCCGCCTAAAACAATAGAATACAATATACAGAGAAAAAAAAAAGAGGTTATCATTCAAATCGTGAACTTTAATTTTCATCTTACTTGATGCAAATTACCAAGGATATACGACGTCGCCAGATTAAATCCAAACCAAAGCAGCTAAATAAGATAAAGAAAAAGTAAGAGTCAATTGATAAAACCCATTCTTTTCCACGAATTAGATTTATTTTACCATGAAAGGAAGTGAGCCAATATTCGATGTTTGATCCCAAGTATAAATCATTACTAAAGGTACCAATAATGGAACAAGGAACCGAGCTTCTTGATGAGGCATTAATGAAAGTCCAACCAATGCATTGACGATAATACCAGTAAGTACTAAATCGTAATATATATAAAATTAACATCCAAAGTAAAATATCAGATGAATCCTTCTCTTTTCCTAGTTTAGCAAACTTACCATAGAATAAATAATTTGGAGTAACTTGATGTAGTTTTTTCAAAGTCGAATAGATTGCCCATAAAGCCATTACTGCCAAAGGACCATATAACAAGGGAAAGTTGAGCAAAAAATGTGTATATCGAGGATGTATACCATGTAAAGCCAAATTGTCGATATTTACATTATATATAAGGTTATTCAAGAATGTAAGAGTCAAAGTACCATTCCATCGAAGACCGAACAATGAGGAAAAAGAAGAAGAAGAAGAAGATAGGAATTGTTGAATACTTGTGATAGGAGTACCATCTTGCCAAGATAATGTTAAACTACCATAATACAAAGAGTCTGCCACTATCATCATTCCCATCACAAGAATAAATCCCAAAAGAAACATAATCATGCTTTGAACAAGTCGACCTTGTTTCCTAAACCAAAGAAAAAAAAAATGTATGAGGGTTAGACCTGTTGATTGAAAACCAATCAACTTACTTTGCTAGATATAAAAATCCAAGACCCACCGGGAATCCATAAAGAATAAAGGTAATTCGAGTAAACAGACCAAAACAAAGAATACCTCCAAGTGTGAAACCAGAAGTACGATCCAGATCAAAAGAAACGAGACAAAGTAAACTAATACCAAGTACCAAAGCTTCCACTCCATTAGAAAAAGGTCGCGTATTGTACACCAATGTTACTTGACTCGTTGCTACAAACAATAATGGAAGTATTTCATCTTTCTCTAGCTTTTTACATAATCGATATACCACATAGTCTATTAAAAAAAAAAAAGAGTTAGGTTTCTATTGATTTTTTTTTTTTTGTTTTTTTTTACCAGTTATTAGAGTCATTCCAAAACAAGCTGTTCGTTCGACCAAAAAAAGGGTCAATGTGTTTGGTACTATAGAATATACATTTGATTTATTTCTATTATTTTCCCTTTCTTATACAGATTATATCCTTACCTTCTTGTACAACATTTTGTAAATGACTGACAAACTTCATTAGCCAGAAGGGTAAACCAGTGGTTAATAATCTAAACAAAATATATAAAATCATGAATGTAGTTCCTTGATATCAGATATATATTTACTTACGGTACCATAATAGAACGTGCTGCATGGTCTGATTGGAATTCCCAAGGTGTCCAAGTGTCTACATTGAGTACAGTATGCGCGGTAATTTCTGGAGACTGGAAGTATTCATCAGGATGAACGTAACCTGGTAAACTAGCCAACATCCAACGGAACCATATCATGATGGCATAAAATACCATAAATGTTTTCCCCATGTTGTATTTATATTGAAAAGAAATGAAAAGAAACTGTAATCACCGCTGCAAACCCTATCCAGGATCTCTTCGGAGATTAACAATGATTGAAAAAACCTTCCCTTCCGTTTTGACCTGTGAGTAGATCGATTCTGTCGTCCGTTTCGTTTTGACGTCCGTTTTGTCCTGAAGTCTGGTTTTGTCGTGTCCTCTTGTTGTTTCTCCCCTCCTTTTTTTTTTTTTTTTTTTATTTATTAACAATTTTTTTTTATTTTATTTTTTTAAATAAATAACCCTTCCTATATTCAAGATATTTTTTTTTTGTCAAAGTTTTATTATAACAAATTCAATAAAAAAATTGTATAATCAATTGGCCACTTTCTTGGAACATCATCTAAGGTTTCATCATCTTAATTTTTAATCATCCTGATTATTTTTTAATCATCAAGTCTTTTTGCAAGATAAATTTCTGATCATCATCAAGAATAATCATATATTTCAACCTGTTGCCTTATTTGGACGACATTTATAAAATCATCATTTATTAATAATTGTTCTAACAACTTAGAACTGGTGCTCACTACAAATATATAATCATTGATATAAATATTTTATTTATATCATCCATCCATCTTACATCTCAACATCATCCGTTAAGAACAAAAAAAAAAAAAAAATCTTAACAGAACAAAAAAAAAAAAAAAGCTCTTCCTTTTTTCTTTTTCCTGAGAAACAATTTACCCGTGATATAAAGTCCGTAAGGTTTTATGCTTGATGTTCAATTGATACAGTAAAAAATTTTTTTTTTTAATTGTGAAAATGATCAAAAAAAAAAAAAAAAAAAAAATGCTAAAAGAAACGAGTAAAATGTATAAAGAACGAACATATGATGGAGTATATATAATATATCTAACGAAAGTGGAAGAAGAAAGAAGGATGTAAAGAATAGATATATGTATGTATATAAGATGAATAAAAAAAAATGATAACAAAAAATAACTAATAATAATAATAAATCTATGAAGGATTATGGTTTGACACCCAAAGTTAAACGAATACCCATACTCATCAATTCAGTAGTAAGATAACGGAATACATAAGGAATAGCCACAACATCAATACCCTTTGAAGTTTGACAAGTACGACATTCAAAAGTACGTTGATTATTCAAAGAAGATACAATCTTGGTACAAATAGGTGATACCAGAGAACCACATAGACGACATACATGAGCTCGAGAATAATCGGAGCAATTCATCAATCGGTCTTGTAATAAGAAACTTGTTCCGTGTGCTAATAAAGAATCACGTTCCATTTCACCAAATCGAATACCACCAGCACGTTTACGTCCTTTGACAGGTTGCATTGTCAAGTTATGTACAGGGCCTGTTGTTCGTACTTGGAATTTATCATTCACCATGTGACGCAGACGTTGATAATAGACCACACCAATATAAATATCCATTTTCATTTCTTCACCAGTGATACCAGAATACATGGCTTCATTACCGTGATAGTTGTAACCAGCCGCTAATAATTGTTCACCAAAGTAATCTGCCGCTGTGAATTTTTCATTAAACTTGAAAGGTGTACTATCTTGAGCAATACCATGTAGAGCTCCCGCTTTACCAGCCAAACTTTCCACAAACATACCAATAGTCATACGAGATGGGAAAGCATGAGGATTGATGATAACATCGGGTTGCATTCCAGATTCAGAGAAAGGCATATCCACTGCTGGCCATTTTTGAGAACACACACCTTTTTGTCCGTGACGAGAAGAGAACTTATCACCAATGACTGGAGACCGTGTGATACGTAATTTGATATGTACCTTTTGTAATTCATTACCAGCATCATCACCCACTAACCGTACTTCATCCACATATGCATCTTCAGGACCTTTGTATTTCTTAACTGTAGCCTTGCCAGTAGCTTCATCCACATAAGAATATAAAGGATCATCTGCTTTGAGATGTGCACCAATATGAGGAAGACCATCCAATCCCAAAAATTCCTTGTATGCTTTTCTTCCACGACTATCTAAACCAAATCGACATGTTACAGGATCACCACGTCCACGGTATTGTGCAAGATCGACAATTTCAGATTTGTAAATAGAACCATAACCAAAACCACGTTCATGCGCTGATTTATTGAGAATCATTGCATCTTCCATATCATAACCAGTATATGAAATAACAGCTACAATAGCATTAGCACCTTGAGGAAATCCATCCAAACCGTATTCGTTGTGAAGTTCAGGGCGTACTACAGGTGTTTGACCAGTTTGAATTCGATACAATTTATTATCTGTACGATGATTGTAAACAGTAGAAGGTGTACCCATAGTTTGCTTACCCATCTAAAAAAAAAAAAATTAAGTATTTCCTTTTTCGACTTTTTTTTTTTTAATATTTATAACACTTTACCTGACATTGATACATATTACGAGGAGATTGATTAAAGTCAGAGAAGGGAGTCATATTGGCAATAATACTGAGAACGTTGGTAGGGGCGAATTCTTGATGAGTGGTCACGCCAGGTACAACTTCATCATCCATACAGGCAATATCCATATAAACTTGTTCAAAAGTACCAACCATATCAGCTTTACCATTTCCAAGATACTTGACAGGGCGCATCATACGAGCAGGTTGAGAGAAGAGATAAAGACCAGGATATTCACCACCATAAGATACAGGTACATTGGCAATTTCAAGATCAAAAGGAATATCCTTCTCCCAATTAACACGCCATACTTTGAGACTAGTAGCCACTTTTTCAGCAGTTTTGGGTGTACACCAACCAACGACACGACCATCTAACAGAACAGCAACATCATCAGGACGAGCAATGGAATGAAGAACAGTTTGTGAAACACCAAGTGCTGAAAGTAAGGAAGGAATACGAGTAACATCCAATGGTTCGTTAACAACCTTGCACTTGTGTGCCAAATGATTCAAAAGACCACATGGAGAACCATCAGGTGTATGAACAGGACATAAGAAACCCCAAGCTTCAGGAAGCAATTTACGTACCGCAGTTGTCTTGAGTTCAGCAAAGAAAGCACCACGATGGATACATCGGAAATGAGAAATGTATCGATAAAAGTTGAGTTTTTCCGCAACAATCGTATAACCAGAGAACTATAAGAAAAAAAAAAAGAGCATTAATATGAGCTTTTTTTCAAGCAAGTCCCAAATGGAATCATTTTATTCTATTTCCCTTTCTTTTTTTTTTTTCTCTTTTCTTGTATTTAATTACCTGTTGTAAATCTAGACCTGTTTTACTAACAAGATTACCAGTAGCCAAAAAGTAGGAGAGTTTGGAACCAATATCATCAGGTACCTTACGAAGAGTATTCAAAATATAGTTTCCTATTTTTTTTTTTTAAAAAAAAAATAATAATGATCAGAAATCATAGAAAGAGAAAGATAAATCATAAGATCCATCTTTTTTTTTTGTTGTTGTTGTTGCACTTACTGTTGTGAAGGTCGACTTTATGAGGAGCTAAACGAAGATCAGTCTTGACTTGTTGACGTAAAGCTTGAAGCCAATCGTACACCTTTTCCTTGATGATCATATTATAAAGATGTCCACCCAATAAAACTTCTTGATGTTGAGGAGCATCAGGATTATCAGCACAACAGGCACCGGATACCAAAGCGTATAGCTTTTGAATCATATAACTATTCATTTATAATAATAATAATAATAATAATAATAATAATAAATACCGATTTTCACTTCTTTTTTTTTCTTCTTGTTTATATACTTACGTCAATAGGTTGAATTTATCACGATTGTCATTCAAATGAACCAAGATAATTTTTCTGAGCAATTCCTTGCCAACATCAATATCCGACATGTCTTCAGACAGACCCATGATAACACGGAACTTGTCACCAAGATAAGCCAAACAATCATCACGAGTATAGAGAGAGTAAACCTTGAAACTACGTAACAACAATTCCACACGATCAGTTAAAAATGTATTCTTGACATCACCTTGACACAAAGCATCGAAAATTTCCTTGTCGGAAGCATCGATTAAACATTTCATAATAAGGATGACAGGTACCATATATTCTTGTTTTCTCCAGGCGAAGCGCAACATAACATTACCATCGTTGAGATAATGAACAGTATTAGTGTGAGTGGTTTGATCAGGACGAGCACATCGAATAGCACAACCATAGACAGAGTAAGTAGGACCACGTTTTTGGAAAGAGTTTCGAATAATGGCGGTAACATGGTTTCGACGAGGCATAATCAACAAACGAATCAATTTTTCAATACCGTTGACAATAAAGTAACCACCCATTTCTTCAGGTTCTTCATGATGAGCGATCAATTGTTTTGGGTACATGTTGCGTAGGTTGCATCGATTGGATCGGACCATGATGGGTACTTGACCTAGTTCACGAACTTCAGATTGCATAGGACCATCGTTGATTCTCCAACAAAACTTGACTTGAAATCGTCCACGGTAGGTAGTCAAGCGTTCACGACATTCGGAAGGGAAAGTCTTGCGGTTAAGTGTTGTGACATCTCGTTCACTGACCATAGGAGTCAGGATCTTTGGTTGTTCAACCCAGAATGTCATCTTGTTGCCAAGATCATCACCATTGTATGCTTGATGAAGGTTGCTGGTATAGTCAAAAAGTGTTTGTACACCAATATCTTGTAAAGCATAATCCAATAAACCTTCTTGATCGTTTTGGTATTGTGTCAAACTATTGAAGGCATCCACATGAGGTCGAACTGCTTCTTGTAAAATAGGGACTCCGAATTCTGTTGAAGAAGGATCACGGAACATGCGTTCTCGTTCTAAGGTATGGAACGTCGACGGCATGTTGGTACAAAGTTAACAAAAAAAAAAGTGTAAAGGTAAAAAAAAAAAAAAAAAAAAAAAAAAACTGAATACATAAAAAAAAAATCAAAAGGAAAAAAGAAAAAAAACATTTTTCAGGCTCAGATCAAGTCACCACAAAAACTATTTACAAAAAAGCATGAAAGTAATGATCATATTTTGAAAGACTATTTTTTTTTTTTGTTATCTAAAGATGATGATGATATCTCTTAATAGATGATATTCCAATCTTATATTATATTTGAAATAAAAATGAAAATGATGGCACAAAGAGTAGTCTAAGTCAGAGCAACAAAAACGGAAATCAAACTGTACTTCTTATAGACATGTTGATTGAGGCGAACAAGCCACCTACAAACCAAGTTGGATTCCTACTGAGTTCAAAAACCTGTTTTGCATTGATGGATGAATTTAAGGGACATTATTTGCACGAGCTTGTTTGAGATTCAGTTTATTATTAAAACCAGGTGAGCAAAACCTGAATTAGGGATGATGCTAATGATGGTATGATGGTATGATGGTTGATCAGTATGTGATGATGGAGAATAGTATGTGATTACAAAAAAGTCTCAGTTATCTCACGATCATGTACACTGTTCATTTCGCTCCCCTAGCGTTTCAAGGTTGCCAAAAAATATATTCTTATTATTTGTTTGTTATTTTCCAAAAGTTTAAAAAAAGAAGAGCTCCTTATTACTCCTACTAATAAAGAAGGACGATCATCGTTCCCGATCCAACCTTACAAAAGCTTATTAGCTTGTAAGATAGAAGGGGACCTAGGGTCCGTGTCTAGCTATAAACAAATATTATTATTATTTTTTTTTTGATTGATTACGTGTAACCGTGGCTACGCTCACTAACAAATGAACTCAGATTAGGGGTATAAGTGGTTCATGCGTTTTATTTTCAAAAAAAAAAAAAAACCAATTCTGTGATCAGTGCCAAAATGCTTCAAAACGTATCATCATTAAGGAATCTAATGACAATAGTGATATCATCAATCATTGTGATGATTCATTCATCCGTATCACACCAATTTTGTTTTAAATAATAATAAAAAAAAAATAGTAATATAAAAAGAGTCTTATAAAAAGAGTCTCTCAATATCCCCCTTAATTTTTTTTTTTTTTTGGTATAAAGTTATTAGTCATTGATACACTATTATAGAAGTTTTCTTTTTCTAATAATCATCTTTCTATTGCCAAAGGCGGATGTTTAATCCAAAAGCGTATCATCGCGCTGATAATATGGCGCAGAAAGCGAAGTCTTGTAAGTAAGATGACACCGGAGAAAATAAAAAGGAAAAAAGTCCATCCTTCTCCCCCCAAAAAAAATCAAGGATCTATTTTACCTTTTCCAGTAATCATCCAGCCTGAAGAATTTGGAGAAAAAAAAAAAAAAAAAAGAGCAAGATCTTTCTGACACAAACGTTGTTTCGTTTTTAATTTTGTTGTCTCACATTATGAAAAAGGGAAAGTAGTTTATTATCGATCATGATCTTTTTGTTGTCTTGGAGAAATATGAAAGGATCAAAAAAAAAAAAAGAAAGAGAATGAGTTTGAAGGGAATTTAAACCATTTACACAAAGGTATTAAAAGCTCATCATGCTTATTTAAGATTATTGATAAACTTACGACAAAGAAGCTAATGACGAAAGAGGAGCAAGAAATAAGCCTTAGTAACCATGAAATAGTTGATTGGGTGACATTGAAGAATATTCTGTCTACTCCGGTGGTAAATCAATCACCCATTTTGTGATACCTTTTACCATTGATTATGTTTGATATTATTGGCCAAGGAATAAAAAAAAATGAGATCAGTGCGTGGGTCACGTTTAACCACCGATACTTTTTTTTTTCTTTCTTTCGATCAAAACAATTCTATTCATGTTTCATCCATTCCAAAGGAACAAAAAAAAAAGGGGGGAGACAACATCATTAATCCCAAAATTGTTTTATTAAATAAAAAAAAATAGTCTATTTGACGTTGATGAAAATCATTATGTTAAACAAAGCTATGTATGTCTTATGATCCCCAACCAAAAACAAATCATCCATCATTTTAAGCTTTGGCAGGGTTTTTATGTATACATATTTCTTAGATTGTATAAAAAAGGAGATAAAAAAAGATCAAATTAGCATTAAACAGGAGAGATGTGAGAATGTCATGTGGTGCCTTGTTGAAAAAAAAAAAAAAAAACTCCTACAGCTAAATGATGACCACAGGCATCATTTGTTTTCCCTAATGCTTCTTTTTGAATCGCCGTCTCGATCATCTCAAGTTTTGTTTGATATGCATATGTCAAATATAGAAAAGAGAGTGGGAGAAAAAAAAAAAAAGTGGGGGGCATGATCGATGCTTTTGTGCTAACAAATAAAACAACAACCCATATTAAGAAACTCAATATTGCCATGGAAACCCTATTAGAACTCTATTGATGATAGGTAAAGTGGATTCATCTCTTTTTTTTTTTTTTACATATTATCCTTTTCAATGTTCATCTCCCAAAAATGGATATAGATGAACTCTTTTTATGTCTTTTAGGCACAGAAAACTGGAAATAAAAAGAAGAGGAAGTAGAAAGACTTATCGTGGAGACACAAAAAATAGACTCAGTTTAAGGTTTTTTTTTTTTTTTTTTCGCTTGGCTGCTTCGGAATCGGACCCTTTTTATTAGTGGCGATGGCTTTTTTTTTCTTTTTTTTCTGTTCATAAATGATATTTGCGCACAGCCCAAACTCCCCCTCTCTTTTTTTTCCTCTCTTCATTCTCCCCCCTCCTCATTTTACCTCTTTCAAATTTTGCCTCCCCAATTTAAAAAAAAAGAAGTTTTCTCTTCGTTATCTTATTTTCCTTTCTTTCTTTCTCTTTTTTATTTCCATTCTCTCTCTCTTTTTTTTTTTTTTACTTTTCTCGATTGGATTCTATCTTCTTTGACTCTTTGATGATCAATCATAGAACGAATGTGATGAGTGTAAATAAATGCAAAGACATAAATAAAAGTTTATATCATTCATTTTTTAATTCAATGTCTTTCATATACTTTTTTAGATGTCTTCTTGTTTTTGGGCTTTACTTTCTTTACCAGATTATGAAATTTTATACCTACCGACATCCATCATGAATACTCGAGTCGATCAACATTCGATCAAGGATCTTTTACTTGGAAAACCTTTTATTAATTTTATTCATCCGGATGAACGATCATTAGCCAAGAATGATTTCAACAAATTCACTGATTTGGACACATTGGCCGGGGCCGTCACAAGGTAAAAAAAAAAAAAAAAAAAAAAAAAAAAAAGAAAGTAAAGTGTTTGAGATCAATTGTTTACCTAGTATTTGTTTACATTATATATGTTAGGTGTCGATTAAGAAAACTGGACTGCATTGCCAGATATCATCATCAAGATCGTGGAACTGATCTTGACTGGATAGTGGTTGATGTGATTATGTATACAGCTGCTGAAAATATTATTTTGGCCTTTTTCCATTGTGATCAAGGTAATCGATCAAATATATTACTGAATTCTCTAACCAAACGAAAATGGGGGGGGGGTGAAGGAGAAATCTTGATCGCGGGGCTTAAAGTACTTCTTTTTTTACTTTATTTATAGGTTATCCTGCTTGCCCTCATACTCTGTGTGATGATGAAAAGGAGACGGAGATCAATGTAAGTCAATTCTCTTTTTTATATTATATAAATGATGATGATTCCATTTTAATGATTGAATTTTTTTTTTATATTTTATAATTATATCATCTTAACAATGGATGGATATATCTTAATTAGGGAATGCATTGTTTACCATCTTTGTTTCAACGTTACAATGACAATCGTATAATTGGTCATATGTCAAATCACCAAGAACTATCGATCGGCACGCTCCGTGCATTCCAATTATATAATAATGTTACACAGAATACGATCATGACTTGGCCTACAAAAGAACAACTTCCTGCATCTTATGACAATATTGTAGATGCCATTCAAGATGATTTTTATAATGCAATTCAACAACATCAGCTATATCCAACTTCTCGTAACAAAGTTAGTAGTACTTCATGTACATATCATACCCGTTCGACTTCTAATATTCTTTTGGATCGTCATGGTATTTTACGTTTTGAGAAAATATTGATTCAATATGGTCAACTGATTTTTGCTGTTTTTCGAATTTCTTCACCTCGTTCTTCTTCACCCGATCATCATCATCATCCATTACCACAACCTATTATTTCAAGGTAAAATAAAAACCAAATCAATAAAATAAAAAATAAAATAATAATAATGGGTTCATTTATTTATTTTTTTTATAGTCCTTCTTTATCATCAATTACAACATCATCATCACCTATTACAAGCTCATCTTCACCAATAATAACTACCACTAATACAACAACAACAACAACAACAACAACAATGAATAGTATGAAATCATTAACAACAATAGACACAGATAATGATCATGTACCTTCTAAACGAAATTCACCATCATCATCATCACCATCATCATCATCATCAAGATCATGGCGTATTCGACCCAATGAAAAAAAACGTTGTGAAAGCTGTCAAACCAGTCAAAGTCCAGAATGGAGACGAGGACCTAGTGGACATCGTACTTTATGTAATGCTTGTGGATTGAGATATTCTCGATCATTAGCCAGACAAGAACAAAGAACAACATTATCTCCCATAATATCTCATGCATCTATTCAACAACAACAACAAAATATTCAACAGAATGATTCTATTCAACAAATGTCACAGTCATCGGATGATTTATCTCATCATCATGCCCGTACAAAATACCCTGGTCAACGAAGGTTCTTTAATTTGTATCCATAGTTTTTTATTTTGATATGTATTTTTGTCAATAGTTCTAATCATTAACTTATAATAAAAAAAAAAAAAAAAGAGGGAGTTTTACAGAAACCTATTTTATTCATTATTTCTTTTTTTTTTTTATCAATATTATGTTACACAGTCTGGGCCTTTTTCGGTAAAGTCCAAAAAGAGCAAATCTTTTTGCAAAGTAGATCGTGCATTTTGAACCACCGAAATGATATACAAAAAAAAAAAAAAAAATACTCTTGTGTTTCCAAAATTTCCCTTCGTTCTTTTTCCCTTTCCCACTCTTTTTCCCCTACTTATCAAAGAACCTAACCCCTTCACTTTCCTTATCTATTATCTCCATTTACTCCTCTCCTCTTTTTTTTTCTTTTTCTTTTCTATTCTTATTCGACTTTCCTTTCTCCTTTTTGTATTTATTTGAACTTTATACTTTTTTTTTTTGCATACTGTTGTTTGTGTGTGTGTGACAATCTGATGCCATCTTCATCTCCTACTACTACTACTACTAGTCATCAAAAGATTATATCAAACCAACTACCTCCTCAATTACATATTAATGATCTGACTACAGTTGATACATTAGAACTACCTCCTTTACCTTCTTCACCTTTTAGTGTGACATCTCTTCAAGTTCACGAAGATGCAACATCGCAACTTACTGACCCTTCCACAACACCAACTCATCCTTTATCAGAAAAAGATATTCAACATGATTTTCAAGACACTATGATCGACTTACCTTCATATAAACAACAAAGGAAAAAACATTTGAAGAAACGGAAACATATGAAAAAGAAAAACAATCCAAAGGAAAATAACAACAACAACAACAACATTCCATTGACTTATTCACTTATACGAAAACATGATATGACTACACGAACAACCGCAAAGGAAATTGTTATTAGTGCTTGGATTGATAATGTAGCTCAAGCTCCTTCTCATATGACTGAAACATCTGTTATCTATGATCTTGATGCTACTCCATCACCTTCTCATTACCAAACTGCCGATCTTGCTACTTCTACTACTCCTACTACCGGATTGGATTCTTCTTCTGATACTGCTAATGGTGCCACTACCTCTGTTGATGCTGCTCCTATTCAAGAAACAAAAGATGTTTTCACTGATGCTCAAAAAATGGCTTATGTTGGACTTTGTGCTGTTACTAGTTTGGAAGTTGTCCATGATCTCAAAGGAAAGGAATTTACTTATGCAAGAATGAGTGCTGACAACTGGCAACGAAAATTGATGCGAACCATTTATATGCATATGGATATTTCTCCTGAAGGTAAACTTTTTTTTTTTTTTTTTTTATCTATGACTTTTATGCAGCACCTTATCTTACCTTTTTTTTTTATATATATATATACATATTATAGAAATCAAGATGATAGAATCACTTTCCAAACATGACATCTTACCGACCGACTTTGTTTATCAGTTTACAGCTCAAGGTGAAACTGCCACTGTGAATGTTAAAGATCTTCAAGGTCAACACTCTTCTTCACCACCACCACCTCCTCCTTCTATACCTCCACCAGTACCGGTAAAAGAACAGGATCAAGCATCACCTGCATTTGCGCCATCTATCAGCAAAACTGAATCATTTACTCCTCAAGACAGCATTGACAACATTTCTTTGGATCTGGATAGTGATAATCGTGATGACGCCACTGTATCCTCTATTTCGTATAAGGACGATGATTCTTCTTCTTTGGACCTTTCAGCTTTGCCTCCACTTCCTCCCTCTAGAACTCATTCCATTATCGATGACACTTTATCCGATCGATCTATTTCTTCAGCATCTACCATTAGTACTAATGACGAAGATGATTTATCATCAATAACAGCAACTGGGATGGAAAAATATGAAGCACCTGAACACTTTGTGATCGATTTACGATGGACAGTAATGTGTGATTTATTCTTGATTTGTCTCAGTCTGGAAAATTATGATGCACGAAGCCGGGTATTTATTCATCGTATGGCAAATTATTTAGCATTGGATTGGCATCAAGTACTTTCTTTTGAACGACGAATCACCGAACATTTATTACAAGTAGAAGGTGCCTGGGAAACACAATCATCCATGACAGCAAGTACTTCGTTGACTTCTATGTCTACCTCTTCCTCAACCATCGTAGATCCTACACAACTCTCCAATACCAAGGAACGAACTTCTAGAAATAAACAACGCAAGAAACGTCGATATGTTATGATTGGATTAGCTACTATTGGCGGTGGATTGATTCTTGGCCTTAGTGCTGGATTGATGGCTCCTGTCATTGCAGGTGGATTGGGTGCTTTATTGACTACAGTAGGTGTTACAGGTACTTCAACTTTTCTGGGTGGCGCTACCGGTATTGGTTTGATTACAAGTGCTGCTACTGTGGCTGGCGGACGTCTTGGTGCTGTTAGTATGAACAAACGTATGAAATCCATTGGTACTTTTGAATTCTTGCCTATCCAAGCGAAACATCAAGCTAGTTGTATTATTTCCGTCACTGGGTAACATCCTATCTTTTTTTTTTTTTTTATTATTTATTTCTAATGGTTTTCTTTTTATATAGGTGGTTACCAAAAAGTGACAATAAAGAAGAAGCTGCTACATTACCTTTCAGCATCTTGGATTCGGTAATGGGTGATCATTATACATTGTATTGGGAACCAGAAATGTTAGAAGAACTTGGTAGTGCTTTCAAGATCTTTGCAACAGAGGCAGTGACTTTTAGTGTTCAACAGGCTTTAGGACACACGATTATGGGTGCACTATTATCAGGTTTAGCTTGGCCATTGGCATTGACAAAACTAGGTTATTTGGTAGACAATCCTTGGGCGAATGGTTTAGATCGAGCAAAATCAGCAGGACTTATCTTGGCAGACACATTAATGAATCGTAACTTGGGTGCAAGGCCTGTGACGCTAGTGGGATATTCTCTTGGTGCTCGAGTCATTTTTTATTGTTTGGAAGAACTAGCTCGTGTGAATGCATATGGATTGGTGGAAAATGTGGCTCTCTTTGGTACTCCAGTATCAGCTTCCAAGGCACAATGGCGTGATGTGACCTCTATTGTGGCAGGACGCGTAATTAATGGTTATGCTACAAACGATTGGCTTCTTGGCTTCTTATTCCGTGCAACAAATGCAGGCTCAACTCTTGTGGGAAACAATGTGGCTGGTTTACATGCTTTGGAAATGATTGAAGGGGATCGTGTGCAGAATATGGATTGTACTGATCTCATCAAAGGTCACTTATCTTATCGTATGGCAATGCCCAAGCTACTCAAACGTGCTGGCTTCATTGTCACCAAGGAAGATATTGTGGAAAAGAAGGAAAAGGATTCATCAAGTAATGGTGGAAGTATGATGAGTTTTGTTATGAAAAAATCAGGATCTCAAGTAAGGAAAACATAACAAAAAAAAAAAAAAAAAAAAAGGAAATGACAAACTAATTTGTATTTGATGAAAAAAAAAATAATAGGAAAATGCAGATATTGGCTCTTCTCGTACATCATCCTTATCATCTGGTACAGCATCAATTCAATTACCTGGCAAGTCATCATCACCAATAGCTATGGAAAAATCATTATCAGCAAACAATACCATATCACCTTACTCTAGTAGTCCGGCACAGAGATCTAGGTCTTCCTCTTCGACATCATCTTCATCATGCGTTATGAAAGATATAAATTATTCAACAACATCTGATACAACTTTCCAACAACATGTGGAAGAAAAGAAAGAAACAACTCGATCATCAACGGCTCCATTGGTAGAGGGTGTTTCTGATATGGATATTATTGCGGATATTATTGCCAATGCCACTGCTGCTGCCTCTAGTAAATCTGGTACTTACAGCTCTATGTCTTCAGGAAAAGCATCAATTGCCACCCCATCAACAACTCCAACACCAGCAACAATGATGAAGACAAGCAGTAGCAGTCGTAGTCGTGGTAGTGGATTCTTTGGGTTTACTCGGTCAAGATCAGATACCGCATCAACGTCAGCATCAGCCACTACTGCAACAATGATGACAACAGCTACAACTTCCTCATCTCCTTCTCCTATTACCAACGATACAACACCCATCATCAAAAGTCAATCATCATCGTCTTTACTTGAAACAACATCAGCAATAAGTCCTATAACGAAAAAACCATCATCAAGTTCTTCATTTTGGTCTAGAAAAAGCAAGAGAAATACAAAAATACCTTTGGAACATCAGCAGGCACTTGAAGAAGAATGTGGTGTGGAAATCAAGGAAATCAAAAGTACTCTTGGAAAAATGGTGGTACCTGGAGAAGTCATTCATCCTATGCCAAAAATCAATTTGGAAATGCCTCAACATGCTAGAATCAATCGATAGTTGTTCCCCTTGTATTTTATCTTTATTCATTTTTTTTTATATTTCATTTACTCTATACTATAACTTTATACCTCCCCCCACTCAGTCTTTTTTTTTTTTTTTTTTTTTTTTTTTTTTGTATTTTGGTGTCTACATGGTTCCTTCAATAAAAGTCAAATTATATTGTAACAGAATCATCGTGATCATCATAGAATTACTGGTTTTTTTTTCCATGTAGCGTTTATTTTTACGGAAATGGATGATATCAATAAAAAATACTTTCTTATTCTTTATTATAATCATAGCTAAATCAACGATTTGACCGTTTTGGAAGCTTGGCTATCAAGAGTGATTCAATGAATAATCCCAATGAATAAAAACGTTGAGGACGATTATGGTATCTAGCATCATTCCATTCTTTCTATGCCTGAGCTATATGTTTAATCCGGGTATCAAAAACCAGTGATGTTTAAATTTCGGTTGTAAGTATCAAAAAAAAAAAAAAAAAAAGGACTTATCATATTTCTCTTTCTATTCATTTCTGTATATTCTCTTTTTGGTAAAACCAATACAATGCAAATCACCCTTTTTATCACCTGCAACCCATATTATTCAGTTACGCAAATTATCTATTCTTCTTCTCTAATTCTTATGAACAAAAAAAGTATGCTTTATTTTTATTCAATAAAGTCCTATTCATTTAAAATATTTTTTTTTCTATTACCATCACTGTTGTTGTTATTAGTGTTCATTCTATTCTTAACCATCATAGCAGTAACGTGATCCATTCCAGTTATATTCCATCATTAAACTCTTCATTCATCCATGTTCTGGATTTTCCTTTAATTCTTACTAGGTTTGAATCGTAACTGAGTATATCTACAATTATGCATCAAGACCCAAGAAAATAGAAACGCTGTCTCAATTCAAAGTGAAAAATTGTAACCTCGGGATGATGCTGTGAACCTTATCAGTCAATGTTTAAATCATAATAATAATAATAATAATAATAATTATTAAAAAAAAAAAAAAAAAAAAGAGGGGTCCAATGATCCCATCCAAACCAATCGCATGCAGTAGTGAATTCAACCAATACATTGATATGAAGAAGGATCATCATGAAAATATATGTCTGTTTCTTTTTATTGATAAAAAAAAATGCTAGAAAGAATGATTATATATATAAAAAAAATGGTATCATACATAAACTAATGATATATGGACAAAGAAGGTAAGAAATGTATGTATATAAAAAAAAACTAACATAGACTATAGGAAAAGAAAAAGATAAGGGACAGATAAAAAAATAAATAAATAAATAAATAAATAAATAAGAGATTGGCGTCATAAGAGAGTTAAAGTCATAAAAGGATAAAAATCATCAAGTGATTGACACTCAGGAAGATGCTGGATGTTGGTAACTGGGAAGATATGATGAAATTGTTCGAGTAGGTTCGTTGATGGATATCTGGCGAGATTCTTTTTTCAAAACATAATGATGAAGATTTGATGATGTCGAATGAATCAATGGCGTTGAATAATGTGATGATGATGAGGATGATGATGATGACGATGATGACATTGGACCTAGAGGTAATGCAGAGGAGGAAGGTGAAGAAGAAAACTCTGATGATGATGACGAAGATGACGATGATGCTGAAGACAAGGATACTACAGGTGAAAAGGTATTTTGAGTATGACGCGTTGGGAAGAATACATGATCACTGGAGCTAGATGATAGAGGTTGGTCATTTGTATGAAGTAATACAGTTGTCGTCGAAGGAGAAGGTAACAAGTGATCACTATTTGTTGGTGTTACGAATGAGGACCATCTACGTTGTTGAGAATCTTTGTTAATTGCCATTGTTGCTGTTGCTACTGTAGCATCATCTAAACACCAAGAAGTCCAATCCATCCATGAACGTACATCGATCTTTCTTTTTGCAGCCTTGACAAACAATTCAGGAGGGCGGATCTTGCCGTGGCGTAAATAATAACTTTTGCATGTTTCACACCAATGTCCGTGGCCGCATAGATTCCGATACCATTGATGAGTCTCTGTCACACCACAATTGACACACTTGTTTGACTTTTTTTTGGGACCTGTTTGATACTGATTTATAAAATACGAGGACAAGATGGGCATAGGTGACGTGGGCGATGATGATAATGATGTTGATGATGTACTAGTTGATAAATCCATCGATGATCTTGAATGGGAATAAGATGGTGATGATGATAAAGATGAAGTCGCATTGGTTTTACTGGAAGGTGGTGAAAGAGATCGAGGTCCAGGTCGATTGGCAACAATCAAACGTAGTGGTCGTGGTTCATTATGTTTGAGTTGATATCGATAACACGCTACGCAAAGTTGACGTCGTGATGAAGGTTTGGAATTACAATTGTTGCACATTGTTTTGGTTTTGGTGGGACGTGGTGCATGCAGGAGTAGGATAAGAGAGGCATAGAGAGACGGTTGATCGTTGTTTCCGGATGAAGCAGTGAATGGATCATCATTAAGAATAAGTTGAGGTCGTGGTAAAGTCATAGGATTCAAACCAGCAGAGTCGAATAAAAAATTGGCCAACCGTAAAGATGCATTCAATTGATTATAATCTAAGCAGTATAAATGGAAACGAAAGAGAGAGTTGAGCACATGATTCAGACGATAAATATGATCTTCTTTAGCCAAGGCAGCATTTTCCAAGAAGCGAACATCTGTACGACCAGGAGTAGCATCATGATGTGCATAACGGAAGAGATGCAGTAACCAAGTTGGAAAAAAAATAAAATCGGTCAAGACCCAAGGACTTTTACTATTTTCCGCTCGAAAAAAGACCACCATCATTCGCATTTGTTGTGATAATTCAGTTGTTTTGATAGGCCGTGATTGCTTTCCAGTTCCAATATGACAACGAAATGACCCGTTCATATGCCGACCAATAATCTTGATATGAATAGGTGTTTCATCCATTGATTTGAAGGTTGATTGATGTTGTCGAGAAGTTGTAATATAACAATCCGTCAAAGTATTTTTTTCACATGTTGATTTTATTATAAATCCACCTTTATATAATTGTTGTTCCCATATTTTCATTAGTTTATCTTCGTGTATTAATTTTTGATCAGGGTATGATTGTTGTAAATTACTAGAAGATGAAGGTGTTTTTGTCAATAGTTTTTCAATATCCATGATGATATCATAAAAAAAAAAAGAAAAAGAAAAGAAAAAGAAATGAAAAGAAAAAGAAAAAGGTAACAAAAAAAAAAAAAAAAGATGAACATTTATAAAGTGTTTGTTCGGAATTTCAAATAAGCGAATAATGCAATCGAGTTAACTTCTTCATTCAAACTGCACACAAATGAATCAGTTGCAAGATAATAATAATAAAAATAAAAATCTATTCTATATTTATTCTCCTTGTTTTTTCACTCTAGACTTTAATAATGAAAGATCATAAAAAAAAAAAAAGAAACTTTTCCATTGTCATCATCAACATGCATATTTTATTACTTGTCTATTTTATATGATGATAACTCATTTGAAATTCATCCACACCATCCAAACTCACGCTTTCAATTAATCGTTGTGATTAAAACTCCATCATCATCAAACTGAGGTCATGTTGTACCTTACATATGTATAACCCAATAGAAATAAAACTTTTCTTGCCTCACCTCTGTTTTTATCATTGACACTTTAAACGCTGTTTTTGAAATCTTTAATCTATCATTGAAATGATGCAAGGTGTTTGAGTCACCGACTCGTCAGTCTCTCAGGGCAGGCACGCCTCTTTTTTTTTTTTTTTTTTTTTGGTTTGATTCTGCGCTTTTCTTTTATTTTTTTTTTATTTTTATTTTTTTTTATTTTTTTTTATTTTTTTTCTTCTTTCTGACCTTTGTTCTAATCATCCTTCTTCTTTTTTATATACCACTTCATTCTTTCATCTTTATATTTAATTACTCGTACATTTAAAATACACTTACTAGGCATCTTTGTTTGTCTTTTTCTTTTACTGTATATTTCAATCAACTTAATGTACAGTTCTGAATACATCTCTTACCATTCTCAATAAAACACAAAAGACGAACTATAATATCTATGGAAACAGCTCAAGAAGATTTTCAATCTTTACCTATTACTGAAAGACTTCAACACAAGGTAATATTTATATATTTATTTATATATATAAGAAAAAAAAAAGGAACAAAAGAGAAAAGAAAAAAAGAAGTTAACTTATAAATATCTAGTAAGCCTAACAATTTTCCCTTCATCTCTTTCATTTTTCTTTTTTCTAGGTTTGGAAAGCTCGTCAATCTGCCTATACTGAATTATACGATCTTTTCCGTAAAACAGTGGAAGATGCCGACTTTTATCAATATGAAGAATACCTCAAAAATATCGCCACAGACGCCAATGCTGTAGCTCAAGAAACCGGTTTGAATGCCATATATGAATACGTCAACAATGCTCCTAATGCTTCCAAGTAAAACATTGAACAGAAAAAAATAAGTTTTCTTTTCTCTCTTTTTTTAAATCATATTCCTTTTTTTTTTTTTTTTTTTTTTTTTTTTTTTTAGTACTCGTGAATCTGTAGTGCCTGCTTTAGTTCAAAAGTGTCTTGGAGCACCAAAGGCTGGTACAAAACAAAAAGCAACTAGCATCATATTACTTTATGCTGAAATAGACGTAGCAGATCCTGTCGTGGTAAAGTATATCTTTATATAAAAGAGAAGGTCACGTTGTATGATAGAATCAATGATTCTTTTATTTACTTTTTTGTTTTTTTAGGAATTGGTACTTCCTGGCCTACAAGCAAAACAACCTAAATTGGTCACTCAAACTGTAGTAGTTTTACGGGAATTAGTGAGGTAAAGGAAAATAAGAAGATTTATATGATTATACTGTAATAGCAATATTAAAACAAAAATATATTATAGACAATTTGGAACTAAGACTGTTAGTCCCAAACCATTGATCAAGACATTACCAAAATTATTTGGTCACACTGATCGTAATGTTCGAGCAGAGGTAAGAAGATAAAATCATGATAACAAAATATTCCTTGTTCTTATTTATTTATTTATTTATCTTTAGACATTTACTTTGACAACTGAAATATATAGATGGATTGGCGCTGCTCTCACACCTTCATTATCTGACCTCAAACCTGTGCAGATTAAAGAATTGGAAGAAGCTTTTGCGAAATTACCCTCTGAAAAACCAACACCAGAAAGATTATTACGATCTGAACAACAAAAGTTAGCCGAAACTGAAGCAATGGATGTGGAAACTGGTAAAAAAAAAAGCAACTAATGTTGAATGATTGATTACCACTTATTATTATTATTTGTTATAACATAATCATTTTTTTCTATTTATTTCTTTCTCATAGGTGATACTAACCAAGATGAAGATGAAGCTGAACCAATGGATGAAGAACCTATGGATCCTTTTGATTTGGCTGACCCAATCGATATCACTTCAAAATTACCTGGAAACTTTTATGAACTTTTGGTAGGTGATGATAAAAGGAAAAAAAAAAGGATATCATCTAACATTATTTTTTTTTTTCTTATACATTAGGCATCGAAAAAATGGCAAGAACGACGAGAAGCTTTGGATGCCTTACTAGAATCAACAAAGACACCAAAGATTATGGATAAAGATTATTCCGAACTTGTGGGGGCTTTAACAAAGGTAATCATAATACCTTTTGACACATATTTTTTTTTTTCAATTTTTTTTTTATTGATTCTTTATACTTTTAAACTTTAGCGTATTGGTGATTCAAATATTTTACTGGTCGGAACAGCAGCAAATTGTATCGAGTCTATTGCCAAGGGATTACGAACAGAGTTTGGAAAATATAAAGGAATGGTAGGTATTTGAAAATGTAAACTTTCTTTTTATCCTCATGTTCGCTAAAGTCTTTTTTTTTCTTTCTTTTTTATCTTTATAGGTGGTACCGCCTATGATCGAAAAACTTAAAGAACGGAAACCGGCAATTTTAGAACAACTGGTCAACTCTTTACATGCTGTTTTCTCCTCTGTACCTATTTTAGAAATCACTGAAGACCTCTCTATCGCGGTCAAGCACAAGAATCCTCAAATAAGAGCTCAATCTGTCAAATTACTTACTCGACAATTACAAACTATTCGTCAAGTACCCTCGAAATCAGAAACAAAGATATTTGCTGAAATGATGTTGAAGACTTTGGATGATGCTGACGCAAGTGCTCGTGAAGCTAGTGCTGAAGGATTAGGAACTTTAATGAAAGTAGTGGGTGGAAAAGATGATGCTTGCTTACACTGATGATCTGGACGATATCAAGAAGAACAAAATCAAGGAAGCATTCGACAAGGCTGAAGTCAAAGCGAAACCTGTAGTTGCCAAAAAACCACAGCCACCTCCAGCAAAGAAACCAGTTCCAGCACCGCCCAAAAAGGTACAGAAAAAAAAATAAAAGAAGGAAATCAAAAGAATCATTGAACTATCGTATTTCAATGTGTACTCATTCTATTCTTAATATGTTAGGTCAAACCATCCAAACCTGTCGAATCTGAACCTGAACCTATGGCTGTCGACAGTGAACCCATGATGGCAGCGACGGAAATGACTCCACCAAAACGTAAACCACCAGCAAGACTTTTAGGAGGCAATACCAAGAAACCAACGCTATCATCATCCAAACCAAAACCAGCAACGACTTCTGCTACCAGTGGTACTCCAAAGAAAGCCGCCAAATTACCTCCTTCTAGTGGACCCGAAGAAGTTAAATATCGTTACTCACCTGAAGATGCTGAAGCTCGTGTATCCGACTATATTCCTGAACAAATTTGGGATGAAATTGGACAAAGTCAATGGAAAGTTCGTTTAGCTGCTATGGAATCACTATATACACATTTGGAATCTAGCTTGGAACCTAGCGACATTGAAGCTGAAATCGTTATTCGTTGTTTATCCAAGAAACCAGGTTGGAAAGAAATGAATTTTCAAGTTATGACCAAGCTTTATGGAGTAATGCAGTTGCTTGCTACTGTCTGTCCTTCTTTCTCTCGTGCATGTGCTGCTATCGGTATTCCAGGTAATACGATTATTCTAATATGTTTCTTTCTCTCTCTCTTTTTTTTTTTTTCTTCCTGACTGATGATCTTCTTTTTCCTACTCTTCCAATTTAGGTATGGTGGAAAAACTAGGGGACATCAAACTTAAAAAACCTGCTGGTGAATGTTTGGTGACATTTGCTGAAAAAACTTCCTTGCAATTTGTTCTATCTCAATCTTACCCCATCTGGAAGAAAGCCAAGTCACCAAAAGTTCTGGCCGATTCTCTGATCTGGATTCATCAAGCTCTATCTGATTTTGGTATTGCTGGTCTTCAAGTACGTGATTTGATTGATTTTGTGAAAACTGCTTTGTCAAATACAAATGCTTCTGTTCGTACAAGCGCTGTGACTGTACTTGGTATTTTACGCATGTATATTGGTCCCGGTAAAGAATAAAAAGAAAAGAAACGATACATTTGCCTAGAAGGAAACTCAATCTTGTTGTTTTGATAGAAATCATCACGTTTGTTCAAGATGTCAGTCCTGCTCTGATGGCAACTATCGAGAGTGAATTTGAAAAGGTGTCAAAATTGGATCCTCCTCAACCCACAAAGTTTTCTGCTAGTGTAAGTGACATAGGATGATGCAGTATATTTTTATATCATCTTTTAGTGACATCAAAACTCCTTTTTTTTTTTTTTTTTTTTTTTTTGTATAAATGATAGGTGGCTGATGGTGGCTCTGGAAAAGTCGGCAATAGTGGTGGGGGTGGTGCTGCCGAGGTTGACGCTTTAGACTCATTGATTCCTCGTGCTGATATTTCAAATCAACTTGGCAAAGTGGCAGCTGATTGCAATGATGCTAATTGGAAGAAACGAAAAGAAGGACTTGATAAGGTACTGGCTATTATCGATGGAGCAAATAAACGAATCAAACCCAATCTTGGTAAGTTTTATTATGAAACATTATATATATACATATATATATTTTAATGACTAATATATGGTTGTTCTTTATATTTCCAGGCGAATTCCCTAGTGTTCTCAAGCAAAGATTGAATGACAGTAACAAACTCTTGCAAATTCAGGCTGTGGAAATTACTGGATTGTTGGTGGTATCTATGGGCAAACCTTTTGAAAAATATGTCAAGGCACTTGCAGGTAGTGTGACTTCAGTGTTATCAGACAACAAAGCCAACGTGCGAAGCGCTGGTATAGCTACTTTGGAAATTATTCGACAAACATGTGGATTTGAAGGATTGATTGGCGCCTTTGGTACCAGTCTGGCGGCCGATTCTCCTGCGTTACGAAAGGAATTACTTACTTGGTTATCAACGTCTCTAAATGAAGAAGATCCCTCTGGAACTATTGTGGATTACTCACCTTTAATCTCACCTTTACTCTCCTGTTTACAAGATCGAAATGCGGATGTTCGTAAAGCGGCACAAAATGTACTACCAATGGTAGTTGCTAATACTGGATTCGACAATGTGATGAATAAGGTATCAGAACTGAAAGGAGCCCAACGTCAAACAGTGATGCCTTTTGTGGAAGCAGCTCGTGGTTCAGCATCAGGTTTACCATCAACAGCAACGGCAACAGCATCATCGACAGCACCAGTAAAATCCAAACGACCAACATCATCCACTACTGAAACACGACGACCTGATTCTGCAGCTTCAAGTGGATCAGAGGACAAACCAACTAGACTCAAATCTACTTTGGGAAGAAAGAAGTTATTAGCTCCTCGGAGTTCAGCAGCAGCAGCAGCAGCAGCAACGACATCATCAACAACGGCGACAAATTCTACAGAACAATCTCAACCTCCTCTATTATCAAGTGATCCTCGTGCCAAGCAAGTGCGCGCCAAAAAGGAAATTCGTTGGCAGTTTGATAATCCTCGATCTGATGTGGTGGATACTTTACGTAGTTCTTGTGAATCCCATATTCAATCTGATATTCTTGGCCTGATGTTTAGTACTAGTCAGTATGCGGAACGTGATCGTCTCAATGCTTTGAATCAACTAGATGAATGTATTGCCAATCCTGATATTGCCATGGATAAATACGGTTTATCCTTTGATGACATGAAGAAACGATACTTGGCCAATGCAGATTTACTGTTCAAGTATTTGACCATTCGATTTTTTGATACCAACACAAGTATGCTTATCAAATGTCTAGACTTGACCGAACATCTGGTAGCTGTTTTTGATGTGGAAGGTGCACCTCTCTCTGAATATGAAGCTGTATCGTTTTTACCATTCTTGATCAATAAGGTAGACAAAATACTCTCTCTTTTTTATTGTTCGCTTCCTAATTTTTTTTTTTTTTTTTTTTTTTTTTTAGGTTGGCGATCCAAAAGAAACTATTCGTGGAAGAATCCGTACTATTCTCAAGGCTATTTGTATCATCTATCCTGCAAGCAAACTACTCAATTTTCTTTTGGATACTGCTGCTAATTCCAAGAACGCAAAAGCTCGAGCCGAATGTCTAGACGAAGTAGGTGCTTTGATTCAACGAAATGGAACGTCGGTCATGCTACCAAATAAGGCACTACCTCTGATTGCTACTCATATTGGTGATCGTGATGCCGGTGTCCGAAATGCTGCATTGAATGCCATTGCTCAAGCGTATATTTTAATTGGTGATCCTGTCTTCAAGTATGTCAATCGATTGGGTGAAAAAGAAAAAGGTATGTTGGAGGAAAGACTTAAGAGAACGAAACCTTCAGCAAGCGTTCTTGCAGAAAAGGAACGTATTCAACAACAGCAACAACAACAGCAGGAATCGGATGAAATGGATGTTGACGACTTGCCACCTATTACCAGTTTACCTCGTACGCCACGATCAAGAATTGGAAAACCACGTTCCCTTCCTCAACCTGTTCATCACAGTAATATCAATAGTAGACCTACCAGCATGCATCAAGAATCCGAACCTATGGAAGGAGTCATGGATGAATATGGTAATCAATATCTTCAAGATCGAGGATCGGAACCAAGAACGTTACCTGGACCTTCATCAATGCGTCAACCTCGTTCCGCCACTCAACAACAAATGCATCATGGTTTTCACTCACCTCCACCTCCACCGGCGCTTCAGCAATACCAACAACAACAACAACAACAACAACAACAACATATGGCTTCTCCTTATTACGCAACTTCTCATCAACATCAAGATCAAAGGGAATATATAGTAGATTATATCATATCGCAAATCACCAGTGGAGATCCTCAACCTAGCATTGAAGCCTTAAAACAATTGGACAAACATCTAAACACACGACCTGAAGTAATTCTTCCTGATATTGAACCATTGATTAATGCCATTACGTTACAAGTCAGACTAGCCTATTCTACTGTGGATCCTCGTAGCCCTGTGACAACCCGTTTGTGCAAACATTTAGTGAACGCTTTGGTTCTTTTATTCACAAATCGTGATCTTGCTGGTGCAGTATCTCAAGACGCTTTACATCATCTTTTACAAGAGCTTGCCCACCGATTATTAGATCAAAAAATGCTTTCATTGGAATCAGGCCCTCAGTTATCCAAGGCACTTAATGTGGCAATGGTCAAAGTACTAGAAAATAGTCAAAGAAATGCAACTTTTAGGTAAATGAAAAAAAATTTTTTTTTTGTCTTGAAGTATAAATTTCCTCACTCACTCTTTCTCTCTTAGTGCCCTGTTATCGATTTTGGGAACATGTTCTGCTGGACTGCGACCTGGTGATTTACCTTCTAGCAAAGAAACCAAATACACGGAATTGATTATGAAATGCTTGTGGAAACTGGCAAAGACAATTCAAGAAAATCTACGATCAGGATCATTACAACCAGATCAATTACTATTTGAAATCAATAAATTCTTTTTGGTAACTCCTCCTAATGAATGGAAACGACGAACTCAAGATAATGTGCCTCTCGGTGAATTGCCTTTGCGAACTGTCAAGACATTGTTACTCGAAATGGTGAACGGATTAGGGGAAGGTGTGTTCCAACATTTAGTATTGATTGATGATCCTCAGAATAGTAGTGTCTATCCTTATCTTCATCATATGTTGGAAGCTTGCAAGAAAAAAGAAATGTTTCAACAACAACAACAACAACAACATTTAGAAGAACAACAGCAAATGCACCAACAACAACATCTACCAGTTGATCATACGAACACAATGGTAAGTATGGATCACTCAACTCAATTACCATCATCATCATCACCTCAAATTATGAATCAACAACAACATCAATATGAACCACCAGCAAGAACAATTGCAAGTCCAGCGTCAGCAGCAACATCGTCACATGAAGAATCACCCTATCAACTTGCTCAACAATCACCATCTTTCAGTCGGCCATCATCTATATCATCTATAAGATCTGGCAATCTCTTCCGATCAACATCTATTGGGTCTTTCCCTTCATCTGATGGACAAATGCATGATGCAACAATGTATGGCAATGTTATCTCACCACATCAACAACAACCTCCACCAATTACAATGAGTGTAGCAGGTATGACGACGTATCAATCCTCTTTACCATCACCCATGGCAGAATCGCATTACCAACAGTCATTATCATCGAATCATCAAGATGATCAAGCACAACCTATGCAAATCGATGGCCAAGGTGCAGCAATGAACAAGGAATCATTATCGGATTATGAAATGAACAATGTTTTAAAAGTGATTTTTGAAAAGATTGGTACAAGGGAACAAACTAAACAGGTATAACAAAACAGAAAAAAAAAAAAAAAAAAGAAAAGAAAGAATATACGTTTCTTTTTTTTTTTGGATTAATGTTGACTTTTTTAATTTATATTATAGGGCATTGTTGAACTATATGAATTCCAAAAGAGATATCCCTTGGCAGAAAACAAGGTCAATACTTACCTTAGTCAAACTGGTACTTATTTCCAACGATATATCCAACGTGGTCTTCATAATCTAGCAGCAGAGGATCATGGTATTTGAAGAATGGTTTAGAACAGTTTTTTTTTTTTTAATCCCTACCTCCTTCTTTTCTCTTTCATCTATTTATATATTTCCCACTTTTTCTATCTCATTAGTAATAAAAGATAACTTAAATATCGATATTTATTTATATTTTTTTTTTTTTTGCGACATTGTGTAAAAACGGTTTATTATGAATATATATATATATATAAGTTCTAACCAGCGATACTACGATGGCGACGACCTAGAGGTAATGGAGGAGAAGATTCACTTTTGAAAAAGGAAGACAAGATCAATCCTTTTGCATTGGAGACGGCTGATGATGGTAAATAGGAAAAAGTCGCTTGCTGTTTGACTTGATATTTAGAGATCATCGAGGCACCTATTCGAGCCCACCAACCAATACTTGCTATAGCTTCATCCACAGTCTTTCCAAATGGGAATGCTTGAAATACGTGTACCATATCCTATTACAAAAAAAAAAAAAAGGATGAATTGATGATGATTAAAATAAATGTTCTATCTTACTTGATACACTTCATTATGAATAAATGTTGTTTTGGATTGATTAATCTTTTGATAAATGGCATCGATTTCGTCACGTAAAGATTCACAACCTCCAGACTGAATCATGATGGGAGGCAAGTGTTCAAAATGATCGGCAAATAAAGGAGATACATAGGGATGCTTCAGGTTGGCTGGAGTACAATCATCACCAAGATACAGCCTTTGTGGATTCATATCTGTCAGCTTATCAGGATTGTTAGGTAGATAATCAAAGAGAGATGCACTATCCCAGCTTGGATACGAAAAAGTCAAATCTACCCATGGCTATGTCACCCAGTGAAGACAAAGGAATGAATATTACGCCTTCTTTTTTTTTTTTTTTTTTTTTTTTTTTTTTTGTGGAGCATCTTCTTACCGATAATAAACAGGCACCTTCTGGAGACGGTAATCCATGATCACGTAGGTACAGCATCATTGCAAGAGCCAATCCACCACCTGGTAAAAAAAAAAAAAAAAAAAAAAAAGTGAAAGCTTAAAAAAAATGACAACACCAATTTTTTTTTTTTTTTTTTTTTTTTTTACCAGCAGAGTCACCCATGATCATAATACGTTTTGGATCGAAACAATAGCCATCATCAGGATCAATCAAATGCAGATAAGCTTGAACGGCATCATATAAGGCACCGGGGAATTTAGTTTCAGGGGCCAAGCGATAATTCACAACGAAGCACCTCCTACCAGTGGCCTTACTTATTTTATGGGTGAGAGTACGATGGGTTTGGGCACTCATGGTACAATAAGCACCACCATGAAAATACAACACAATACGTTCAACGTTCTCCTTATTTGAACGGATCATCCGGTTGGATGATGGCCATATAGTGTGCCAACAAGTATCCCATACTGTGAAGGCAGACATCCATTCGGCTTCCAATACTCTCGTGTTTGTCTCTTGTTGATCACATGCACGTAACAAGCCTACACAGTCCAATGGCCTTGATCGCACGATAAAGGATGCGTCTTGCACATGGCTCGTCAATGGCTTCAACAATGTGGGTGCTAGCAACACAAACCGCCAAAACTCAAGACTGTTTGTATATGTCTGATCCCTAAATGCCTGCATGAACCCAAGAATCATCGTGGTTTGGATGTTCCAGCTTGGTTTTTTCGGTTGCCCCGTAAAGTGAGTCCATACATCCATCCCTAGTTGTTGCATCGTCGTTGGCATCTTCAATACTGCATTCCCTACTTCTTGTGGTAACGTTTTTTTTAAATCACTCACAATCAATGCTCTCCTTTCTAACATGTCTTCATTTATGACAGCTGAGTTGGTTGGCGTCATCGTCATGGTGATGCTTTTTGGATTATTGTGACAACATCCTTCCCTTTGACAAGGTCGAACTATCCGATCCATCACAAAAAAAAAAAAAAAAAAAAAATAAAGAAAAAGAAAAAAAAAAAAAGGAAGGAAGGAAATATAATATTGAATGATCCTTTTTTTTTTTGATGGGGGGAAAATGATGATTGTAAGAAACTATTAAGAAATAAAAAAGGCGGGGAAACAGGTCAGTTGATTTTCATATGTCTTGAGCTCCTCTTTTTACCCCACGGGTTCTTTTGATGTAATATGTATATGTTGTCTTGTGTGATTGTGTAACATCGTCAATACACTGGTCATCACCAAAAAAAAAAAAAAAAATGAAACGTATGAAATGTTTATTGATAATATCCAAATATAAACTAACTAAATAAAAAAAAAAGGCCTATCCAATTTAATCAAAGTTCCTTGACAATATCTTCATGATGCCATAAAGATGCTAAAGAAAAAAAAAAATCAAATAGAAGAAAAAAAAAAAAAGAAGAGAATCAATCTGAGAGAGTCGTCCACCATCTTTTTATTTATTTTATTTACCTAAATCTTTTGCCGTGCGACCCAATTTATCCTTTTTTGTCTTGTCTGCTCGTAATTCGAGTAAACAACGTACACAATCCAGGTGGCCATTTTTCGCAGCATACATCAAAGGAGTCCAAAGATCCCAGGTATCAGCTTGATCCAATGATGTATTGGTTGTCGTCAAAGCTTGAAGTTGTTGTATCATCGTTACATGACCCATCATTGCCGCATGATGCCATCCATTTCTACCCAAAGCATCCAATCTTTCAGGTGTTGCTCCATGTTCTTGAATAAGCCACTTTACCAATTCGATTTGATTCGCCACCACCGCGTCTTCCAACACTGTGCGACCAGATCGATCCATATGTGCTAACATCCGTGATGTACCTGATAATGATATAAAGTAACGCGTCATTCTATCTCCAGCCATTTGTCGTTCGGATGTCAATGCTGCTGCCATTTGAATAGGAATCCGACCCGATTTTGTCTCTACATACATACTTGAAGGACAACAAGATGCTAGGTATTCGGCCACTTCAGCATGTCCTACACCGACAGAAAGAGTATTATTACAATGAAATATATATATGTATTATTTACCTTCTTGGACTGCCATATGTAGAGCAGTCCTACCGTCTTTGCTTGTCAAGTCCAAAAGAGCCCCATGGTCCACCAAACAACGTACAATGGAGAATTCTCCTTTTAAAGAGGCTATCATCAATGGAGTCCAATCGCCTCTTTTCATAGCATTGATATCGACTTTTGAAACGTCCAAAAGATATTGTACACAAGAGAGATCGTCAATAGCTTCATGAAGTGGTTGTCTTCCTACACCATTCGTAAAAAGAAACTCATCAATAACAGTTTTTTTATTATTTTATTTTGATATCATTACCATGTTCATTAACAGCTTCCATATTGGCATGATATTCAGACAAAAGTTGTAACAAAGCTAAGGATTGAGAACGAGCAGCAAAATGAACCAAAGTATCACCATGTTCGTCCGTCGCGTTGATTTCTGTTGGACTAGGAGATAATGATAAAAACAGTGAATGAATTTCATTCGTCTTGTCTAATCCTAATTTCAAAACTTGTTGAATCAAAGGCGGCATTTAGGAAAACATGATTCTACAAGTTATATTTCTAAAGGAAAAAAAAAAAAAGAAAAAAAAAAAAAGAACACCGCAAAATAGTTTTGTGGCAAGACCAAGAGTAATGCGGAAAGTAAAAAAAAAAAAAAAAAAAAAAGTCTTTCCTCACTGTACTTTTCTCTTCCTCCCTTTTTTTTTTCTTGTCTTTTCTTTTTCTATATATATAATCTATTAGTGTAGAAAAGCAATTAGTGTGTGTTTCACTATCTTATTCTTTCGCCTATCCTTTCCTTTATTATAAATAACAATAGATCCTCATGGAAGATACTCATCAACCATCCATCTCCTTTTGTGTGGAATGTAGAGATCAAGAGGTAAGATTATAAAAAGAAATGATTAACACGAATGAAATATAGTACTTTATATATATAAAATAGAGGATTAGTGAGGAATTGATAACTCGAGAGAGAGAGAGAAAAAAAAAATAGGATAGAACAGATTTGATGAACCGATCTAACTTTGTCTTTTATTTCTAGGCATCCATATTTTGTGAACAGTGTGATGAAGACTTTTGTGAAGTTTGCCATGGTAATAAAAGATGAATATGATTATATAGTGGGAAAGACTCACCATGCTATGATCATTGTAGGGATGCTTCATCGTACCGGGAATCGACGCAAACATACAGCCAAGAATTTGAAAGTGTCAACAGCACCTATTACTTCTCAAACAACAATGACAGAAGCAGATACAAAGCCTAGTACAAGTGATAATACCAGTTCAAAAGTAAAAAAAAAAAAAAAAAAAAAAGAATGATATGGATTGATGAGGAAAATGGATTTTTTTTTTTCGTTAGGAACCTTCTATGAAAAATGGCGCGTCTTCTTCCACAGTTTCAACTTTGACTTTGGATGGCACCATCATAAATGGAAATGGAGCTACTTTTGGTGAATGGATGACGAAACGGTAAATATATTAGGGAAAATGAGACATGATACAAACCTGTTATTTTTCTTCATTTCTAGGGCAAAACATGTACCATTACGATTGGATGCTCAAGAAAGAGGGATGTTACGATTGTAAGTTACAATATATAGATATTTACTGCATGGGAACTAATATATGTCTTTTATTTTTCCAAAAGATTGGAAGCTGCATTGAACGTATCTGAATATACCGGTAAGTCAAAATAAATAAATAAAAAAAGGATAAAAAGGTGACTGACGCTATGAGTTATTTCAAATATATATATATATAGATCGTATTGATATTATATCATACTCCAACAAAGCCAAGCGGATAGTTCTTCAAATCAAAGATATTTGTGATATCATTTCTGGATTACTTGTATCTGGTGATTATAAACTTGGTGCTCGATTATTTGCGGAACAAAGTATCAAAGAAAATGAAGCCTTTTTTCAACGTGTATTTGAAGTAGGAAGACGGTAAGTCAGGATATTTTGATTTTGAAATGCCAAATATTGATTGATTATATTGTTTTCTTTTTTTTTAGTTACAAGATTATGAATCCTGAAAAAATGCGATCCAACTATGGTAAATTGATGTATATGTTGATGGATTCGGTGATTCCTGAAGTAGAAGCAGCCCTTGGATTTAGTTGTGTGATTCCCATCAAGACGGTATATGACTTTTTGAAAGAAAACGAATGTGTGGAAGTATTACATGATGACAATATTGCACTTGCTACTAGAGAAATTGCACCTGAATACAAGACACGGGAACAAGTCCAAGATGAAATTCAGCGCAAACAATTGGCTATTGAATCACTTTGTAAACAATATTCAAATGATAGAGTATCAGCTCAAGATATTGAACGATGTTTAGCTTCTTTATCTGATAATCATGCGTTTTTGAAATCAAATCGGTAATATATTTTTATAAAAAAAAGAAAAATGATAAACTCAAACTCGAAATGATGATAGGGATCCATGTGAAAAAATGATGAAATACCTTGGCAAATACTACCATCCTTCCAAATCTGAATCTGGTTATTCATTGGCAATCATGGCAGGAAGACATGGACATCGATTGACACATACTCATTCAAGTCAATACAGTTATGTACATCAATCTCTTACTTTATGGCGGGAAATTGTTCATGATATGTTTATGTTATGGCATTTATCTGATGAGGATCTGACTTCTTCTATGAATCCTTATCGATTGACTAACACTGGACAAGGATTACAACGAATTCAACCATGTAGTCAAGTATCTCGAGCCATGCACAAGATTCTTCATCGAGCTCAAAAGAAATGTGGTTCTTGGGTTGGAAGTAGTGTGATTCATCTTGGTGATAGAAATGTACCCAATGCTTTTATGTTTATTGATAAGGTAATCCTAAAAAAAAAGGAAATATAAATGAAAAATTATTGACAATATTTTTTTTTTTTGATATAGTATAATCAAGTGGCAAGAATCTTATCTCCTATTGTCAGTACATTGGATAAATTAGATACGGTGGTAAAAGAAGATGAAGAATTGGCTAGATATATCAATACTATGTATGGTAGTGTGGATCAATGTCGAAAAGATATATTGCGTAAGAAAAAAAGATGATCGATACTCAAAGAATGTTTTTACTGAATGATTTTTTTTTTTTTTTTTACTTTAGATGACTTTTTCCGATCAGGCTTTGATGGTTCAGGGGCTGACAATTATTTTGATGCAGGAAGCTGTATTGATGGACGATTGACATCTGCATGGAATTGTAAGTATTTGGATGTAGAAAAGGGGATGTACTAACAACCTTACTTATTAGGGTGTTCACAAATCGAGAAAAAACCATTTTTCCCGGTGTTTTTATTGACTGGATTTGTTGGGTTTGATGGTGGTGGCTGGTAGTTTCATTTGTGATTACTCTTTTTTTTTTTTTAATAATAATAAAATAAATAAATAAAAATATTTAGAATGAACTTTTTTTTATGAAATGGTGTGAAAAACGAATGATGCTTTATCTAATAGAGGGGTGGTGAATGGGAGAAAACAAAAAAAGCTAATCTCCTTGATTTTGTACAACTCCTCTTTTTTACATCAGAAGGGATGAGACAAAATAGGGATTGAAATAGATATTGATGTCAAGAAGTATAATAATTTTACTGATGATGTTTTTACCCACTGACATTTCTCGGACTCCTTACTTTTCCTCCTTTGATGTAACTTACACAAAAACCGGGACTTAAAAAAAATACCACTGTTTTGCATGAAAATGAACCTGACAAAACATTGATTGGTCTCATACCTTTTTTTTTTCAATACAAATATTTAACTTGGCTAAAGCGTCATTTTTTTTTTTTGTTTATTCTTTTTGTTTATGCTTATATAAGATAGATGATCTAAAAAAAAAGTAGTTATCATATGTCAATATGCTTGAAATTCCTACTAATATATATATATATATTTTGTGTGTGTGACACGGCCCATTTTTCCCTTGACCTTTTTTAAAGTTCTCCTTTTTGTCAATGATCTCCCCACCGAAAAGTGTAAACAATCCTTTGAGTTCTCCTTGTAGTAAAAAAAAAAAAAAAAAAAAAAAAAAGATAGAAGTTCCCTTACCCCTCCTTAAGTTCTTTCGGGACTAAATAATGGTTTTTTTTTTGATTTATTTTGGGGGTTACAGCTTGATCATTCTTTTAATATCTTTTTTTTTCTCTCTCCTTTTTCTTCGGTACAACATTTCTCTTTCTTTTTTCTTTTCTTTTCTTTTTTTTTTTTTTTACGTTTGATTGTAAATGATATCTTATCCTCATTCTAGTTGTATTTCATCTCCTATGCAATCCTCCGCATTATCGTAAGTGATTGATTTATTTACCATATTTATATAACGTGTTTTTTATAGTTGCGATAATCAATAAGATTCTGATCTCGTGTATCTTTCTTTTTTGTTGAAACTTTAAATATGATAGATCACAAGAAATCCGTCGTCAAGAGACAACCACGTCTTCTCCATCTACTATTTCCACATCATCATCACCCTCATCATCACAACCATATCATCATCATCATGGAATTCAAGAACCAAATACAATGACCAATACAATACCATCGACTTTATTTCTACCATTACCTCCATTGATGGTCTCTAATGAAAAACAACAACATCATCCCATTGATACATCACCTTTATCTCATCATCATCATCCATATTATCATCATCGAAATTCTTCTTGGGAATTAGCTTATCCTCCTGTCACTCCTCCTTCTAGTCAACAAGATATTTTATTGATGGATCAATCACCTATTTATGATTCATTTCCTTCTTCTTCTACTCAACAATATTCCCATATTAGGCACTCACCTATTACTACATCATCATCATCATTGGAAGCCAATCTTCGGCAATCAGCTTCATCATTGGCGTCTCCTCAACAAAAAAAGTAAATAGTCTGTGATTTTTTTTTTTTTAGTCTGCATAGAGATACATATGTCTCTGTTTACATGCATTTTTGTTATCTTGTGATGGATGATCATCCTTTCTCACGCACTCGGGAGTCATGTCACTAACACTTTTTTTTTTTTTTTTTTGATTCGTTTGTTTAGACATTTAAGATTTCATATTGTCCTTCAAGGTAATTTACTTTTTTTTTTTTCTATTAAAGTTAGTTCTGATTTTTTTTTTTTTTTTTTTTTTTAGCAAGTACAGCGGTGACTCAAAAGACAGAAGAATCTTCTTTAACTTATTTGAATCGAGGTCAAGCTTATGGGATTGATTTGACAGATAAATTAGGTTATGATGGTTTGATTCAAAGTCAACTTGTGATCATGTTCCATGATCCTTCTCATCAAAAAGTGGCGTTAAGTTATTGGGATTTTTGGATCAATCAACAAAAAGATCCTCAACATGCTCGAGCATTAGATTTTGGTAAATTTTTTTTTATTTTTAATATTCTATTGTCTTATTTTTTATTTTTATATGTAGATGCAAATCAATCTGTTGGTATTATGAATGTACGTCATCCTGGTTTTGATCGAGTTTCTTTTGATTGGCATGGTCGTCAAGGAGCAAAATTGTTTATTCGTTTTCATTGTCTTTCCACTGATTTCTCCAGAATCAAAGGCGTTAAAGGCATTCCCCTGCGTATCTGCATGACCAGTCAAGTCCCTCTTACTACTGATCCTTTATTGATGCGCCATTACGCTGGATCTTTCCAATCCATTCATAAGGATAAAATGTTGGATTATATTGAACAAAGTTATTGTAGAGTCAAACTTTTTAGGGATAAGGTACCAAAAAAAAAAAAAGAAAAAGAAAAAGAAAAAATAATCTTCTTTTGGATAGGGTGCGGAAAGAAAAAATAAGGATGATGCCAAACAATTGGGAAAACAATTTGAAAAACTAATGCATGGTAAGAAAGAATCATCCTTCATAGGAGAACTCATTCCCCCTTTTTTTTTATATAAGTAGAAAGCGATGCCAAGCATCATCCAATGTGGCTCATGTACAATGAATCTGTTCCTTATAGTGTGTTTGGCGAAGTACCTGCTCCATATAGTTTTAGTCTCTTTGATCATTCGGATCCTCGTCTTTCTTTTTGATCTTCAGTCCCCCCCAATCTTTCTTGTTCGTTCTTACTCTAATAAAAAAAGATATATATCTTTTTTTTTTTTGCATGATTCATGTTATGGAGATCATCTTATCGTATGCCTGTCAATTATCCCCCTTTTTTTAAATATATATATATATATATATATATATATATATATATATATGTATTTATGATCACGAATAAACAAATTCTTGATAATACGGTATGCTAGTCAGTTGACAATACAAGAAATAAGAAAAAAAAAAGCAGTAGGTGGATGATGAGTAATAACGAAGTATTTATGAAGAATGATAGTGGTGTAGAGAAAATGGTTCGATTTTTTCAAATGGCTTTTTTTGTATGGAGTAAGCTAACCAATAAAAAGTCATTATTAAGCTACTTTTTAATAGTGCAGTCTAAGGCGAAGTTCTTGACTAAAAAAAAAGGATCGATCTTTGGATTTCACAGTCTAAATTTTGCCTGTAAAAATAAATCCTCAGGTGGATGAAATCATTTTTATTCTTGATCATCACTACTTGTTGATGTAAAATGACGATCGCTAATTGTGTTTGAAACGTATACTTGATACCATAATCTTATCAAGTTTTTCTCTCCTTTTTACTCATGATGGATATGATACAGCAAAAGAAAAAAAAAAGAGAAATGCGTTACACAAATGAGCTTTCCTTGGAAAGAAAAAAGGGAGCCATTGCAGGAAAAAAGAGATATAAATGAGAGGCAAATCGCATCAAAAAAAAAATCAAAAAGAAAACAATCCATTTTATACATCTGTTATCTTTCTTAAACAATGGTTTGCCGTACCTTTTTATTGCTTTTCGTTGTCTATGTCTCTCTTGTCAGTGGACTTCCTGTTATTGGGGGAGGTTGCTCACGCAGGCGCGCATGCCGTCCAGGCAGCAAGCCATGTAGCTAACGCCATTCTTAATAAAGTTGTCCCGCCATCATTGGGACTTCGTTCAACTGGAGCCTCGAACGTCGTTGGTGGGGCCAAACGTGGCTTAATCGGGTCAGATCAGACTCCAGCAGGATCAGAACAAGCTAGCGGAACAACCGAAGCCGCTAATGGAGAAGGATCAGTAGAACAAGCTGGCGGTGTACCTGCCACTGATGGAGTACCTGGCCCTTAAGGCACTAGTGACAAGATTAATTATATTTTGTAAAAGATATTATTTCGTTATTATTTATTATGTTTTTATTCGATGATCCATCATCGTTAATCGTTAAAATAAATTAAATTTGTTCAAGTCAAAAAAAAAAAAAGATTGGTATGATGTGTAAAAGCAAATCATTACCTTAAAAAAAATTGTATAAAATCACTTTTAATCTTGTGACATGCCTACATCTATTTTTTTTTTTTAAAAAAAAATAAATCATCCATCATTCATCATAAATATCATAGGCGTCATTCAATCCACTTTTTCATAAAGAAAAAGAGTATAATAACGAGAAACAAAAAAAAAAAAAATTAGTTTGGCCATGCACTGTATCACGCGAAATTCTCTCCCCTTGCTCTCAACAGCTGATCCATCATGACACAACAAATTTCACATGTTCAAAAAGTCAAACTTTGTTATATTTTATTTCTTTAACTATTGTACAAACTAGATGGCAAATAGATCACTAGGGGCCGCCGTCAATCGAGGTAAATCATTCACCATGGACATGACTGCATCTATTCAAAAAAAAAAAAAAAAAAAAAGAATTGAGTTGATTGAAATGATGTTCATCTCTCTCTCTTCTTACCTATAGAAAAATCATCCTCGGGAAAAGTATCCAAATTCATTGATTGTTCTTGTTGTACTTCATCCGTTTTTTGGTGAGTATTTTTATTTTCAGTAGAAGGAAGATCCGAGGGAAAATAATCAGCGTAACGTTCCCGTTCAAAATACATTGCTTTACGTTCCATCATCATCTTGATCATTTCTTGACCCATCCCTACAGCAATATCCACCAGATTATCCATTCGTTGAGGTCGATGACTGGGACATAGGAACCAATACTTATGAAGGAAGGCAGGAGGGGCAAACCAACAATCTGGATTTCCAACTTCACCCCCAAGAAAAGTGGATGATTCTACTAGTAGATCAAATAGTTCATTGGCATTGTAATAATCTTGATATAAAATCATCAGATCTCGCATCATTGGTCCAGGAATATAATCAATTCTAGTATCATGAGGAATCATTCGTTGTAATTCGGCTATCAAAAAAAAAAAAAAAAAGGTATGAACATTCAGTCATTCTATGTCCTTTTTTTTTTTTTTTTTTCTTTCTTACTTGGTTTGAATAAAGCCCGAGTATCATTGTCTAGACTTTTCACCATACGGATATATTGAAGTGCTTCCACAGGATTCATAGGAGGTGCAGATTTGAGTTGACTTGCTGATAATGAAAGAGGAGATGTACTATTATTCATTTCTTCATCCGATACCGTAGTCTTGGTACGTGCCAATCCAGTTTTTGAGTCCAAATCCGGTAAACTTGATAATCCTGATTCATCATCCATTAAATCATGATCCATCATATCATACTTTAAAGCATCGTCCAGCGATCCATTCAATTCTTCCTTTTTGATGCCTATGGCTGTATCCTGATTATCTTCATCATCGTTTGAATTTGCGTTTTTGTCGACATCCTGAGCAATCGCTTGTGCCACAATGGCTAAATGTTTTGGATGAAGATTTTGTTGTCGTAACCAATGATTGACTTCCACTTTGGTTGAAGAAGTGATATTGTCCGTATTTGAAACTGATGATGATGTTGTTGTTGCTGTTGTTGTTGTAGTTGCTGGTGATGGTGATGACATGGGAGGAGTAGTTGAGGAAATGAGTCCTGAAACAAGATCAGTATTAAGTAATTGTTGGAAAAAGGGTGAATCCAGATGATTGGCTAGTTGAGGAGCAATTAAAGCAAGCTGCTGTGATAAGTCAAAATGAGTATCATTGGGTGAAGATGATGTAGTAGAAGACAATGATGATTTTTCAAGTGTTGTACAAGTAGTCGTATCGTTATCATTATTATTATGTTGTTGATTGGTATCGAGGAATGAGTCACAACCACTACTACCAGAGTAAGAGGAATTTGGACTTGAAGAGAAAAGAGAAGAGGTTTCATGTTGATGAAGATCCACCATGGTTGAAGGAGGAGAACAAACAAAAGAGTCAGGAGTTTGAGAAACCGGAGATGACACATGACGTTGTGATAAGTTGATGATATTTCTATGCTTGTCCAAGAAAATTTCCATAGGTTGAGGCATATCTTTTGTTTTTGATAAAGCAATTGTATCCGCACCAGTATCATCCACACTACCAAGATCCCATAATTTTGGTACATCCACTCTGTTAGCGATACATGTTAACTTGAATGTTAATAATTGACCTTTGAGATAATTATTTTCATATCGTAATTCTTCCACCTTGGTTTTGAGTCGTCGAACTTGACCAATAGCTTTGTCGCGAAGGTGGAGACAATGCTTCACAGTTGATTCAGCTTCACGCATTTCTCTTCTTTTCCGTTCACGAAAGGCGCGTTGAGCTGCTCGATTCTGAGCTTTCCGTTGAGCAGGTGATGGTGGATTGGGTTTACGACCTGGTTTCTTTCTTGGTCGTATAGGTTTTCCATTGACATCCAAGTTTCCTAATTCAAACTGAGGATCAAAATGTTCAAATGATATATCAGGTGAAGACATGGTTTTAAAAAAAAAAATAGAAAAAAAATATAGATAGAGAAGAGTTGAAGGAAGAAAAAGAAGAAGAAGAAGAAGAAGAAAAAAAAAAATAGGAACTCCACGTTTTTTTTTTTTCATATGTGTATTTAAATGCGACAGCCAAATTTGGTTGGGGGATGGAAAAAAATGGGAAAAAGAATGTATTCGAAGGAAAAAAAAAAGAACCTCCGCTGAGCATCATTTGCTGATGTTTCCTACCTCTTTTGACAATGGAAATGGATAAAATGTTTTCACATGCTGCATAAATCATTTTGCCCCATAGATTTCACTTGAGTATAAAAAAGAACATACGATACTACTATAAGATCATCCTTTCACGTGTTAATGTTTTTATATATAAAAAGTCTTGTCCAGAAACTAAGTTTGATCTTATTGGTGGTATTCCAACTCAGAAATGAGGGGTATTTGTACTTGCTACACTCCTCCACAAATCGATAGATTTTCTTGATAGATTTTCTTTATAAAAAAATATATATATTATAAAATAAAAAATAGTTTATTTCATTACTTATTAAAAATCTTTTTTTTATTTTTTTTTTTTTTTTAGAATTAGAATATATATAAAATAAATAATTTTCAATTATCATTTAGATAACTTTTAGAAATAATAAACTTGTTGGTAAGAATTTTCCCAGCCTTTATTTCGCTTACATGAAAGAATTGGATTCTTTTTTTCACATATATATATATATATATCTTCTCCGACATGTCTTATTTTTTTTTTTTTATTTTTTTTTAATTAGTAGAAACAAAGTAAATAAAAAAAGATAATATCAATGATGATCTCTCTTTTATAACTGACCTTGATTATTATAAACTAAATTGAAAAAAAAAACAAAAAAAAAAGGAAAAACTTACCCCAGTTTCGGAATAAAATTCTACCAAAACTGTTTGGTAAAGAAGAGGTGGAGTTGAACCGTGAGAAACAAAAGGAAAAAAAAAGAAATGATTAGTTTATATATATATATTTATTATTTATGATGAAAAGAAGAAGAATTGAATGATAGAAAGTGAAAGAATTCAAAAGAAAAGATCAATAGGTGGATAAAAGTTCAGAAATTCATAATGGCTAAATTATTTCACGTGCCTGAGTTTTTTTTTTTTTTTTTTTTTCTTTCGTCTTCTTTTCCTTACTCTTATTATTTTTTTTTTTTCTCTTTGTTTTTTTTTTATTATTATTGACTTCCAAGGATTTATCTCCAGAAATGGATAATTTTCTTCAAGATACAGGAGAAAAAGAATCTTGGAAACAATCACCTGAATCCAATACTTTTTCACCATTTATGAACAACAACAATTATCTCAACTCACCATCCCCTACTGACCAATTTACCAATCCTCTTCAAGCTATTTATGTTGGTAATGGTACTACAGATGAAATTATTATTGGTGATGACAACAATACTATCGATGACGAACAACAAGAACTGACTGACAAAGACAATAATAATAATAATAATAATACTGGTATACCCAACTCACCTCCTAAACTCGATGATCAAGGCCAACCTATCAAAATACGAAAAAAACCTGGTAGAAAACCCAATCCTGCTTCTCCTGCTTTACGTAAAGCTCAAAACCGTGCTGCCCAACGTGCCTTTCGTGAACGTAAAGAACGCCATCTTCGAGATTTGGAACTGACTATTCGCTCACTTCGAGATCAACGCAACAATGCTGTCAAGGAAATGCATGGAATGAAAAGTAAATTGGATGCTTTCAAGGCTGAAACATGGTATCTGAAAGGTGTTGTTCTCACTCTTCAATTTGTCTGTTTACATCACAATATTCACATTCCAACACACTCACCTTATCTGACAGAAGAAACACTCGCTGAAATGGCAAAAACCGCTCCTCATGCTATTGAAGCTTATGTGAATGCTTATACTCGGAACAACACCAATTTAAAACCTACTATGGCTTCTCATATCAGTAATACAAGACATGAACAGAATATGACAACGGATGATATAGATAGAGCAAAATGGGCAAGAAAATCGGATTTTTTGGATTCTCTACAACAACAAAAACAACAATCATCAAAATCAGCACAAAACGATACATCAGCATTATATGTAGGAGAGGATTCAATTAATACTCCATCATCTTATCAAGCAATGACTCAAGCAGCAGCAGCAGCAGCAGCAGCAGCATCACAACGCTCATCCATACATTCATCTTCTTGGCATAATAATAATAATAATACCAATCCTCGACATAGTGTTGATCATAATGTCGTTCATGATATGGATACAGAGATGGATGAATCAAATTTATACAAGGTGAAGAAAGAACGATCGGAGGAAGATATCAGTATGGCTCAATGGTTACAACAACAAGGAATTACAGAACAACATATTGGACAAATGGCAGCAATTGGAGATGGACCACCATCGTCAAATCAACAACAACAAAGTGCGGAAGGTACTACTGATAAACAAACACAACCAGATCAGCATGAGAAAGAACAAGTGCAGAACCTTACAGCTATTCAACGTATTCGACTTCAACTTCGTATTCAATCTGCATTATCATCACATAGTGGTAATTCTGAACGATTACAACCTACAATTCTTCAATTGGCTATTCCTCATGATCCTCGTATCGATTTGATCCCAACTCCTCATATGCGCGACCGAATGATTATCTTTAGAGATCAGATCAATTATGATGAATGTTTCGACTTGTTATTGAATGGTACAAGGTATCATGGTGGTGATCCAACTCAGTCTGAAAATTGGGAAGTAAGTTTATCAAAAAAAAAAAAAAAAATGAAATAATAGATGATTTATTTTTCTTTTTCTTTTTTAGATGGATCCATCCTTTATACAAGAATATTGGTAAGAGAGAAAAAAAAGATATATATATATTTCTTTTTGTTTGAATATACTTGAATGAACTAACTATTTTTGTTTAGGTTCCTGATGCTTGGTTATGATGTACATAAAACGAACAAATGGCGACGATTAAAAGGATTACCCGAGATACCTTCTGGATCTGGCACTGGAGATGAACGATGGTTGTCCAATTTCCAAAGTCAACATCCCTTCTTTGATGTGCCTCGTGAAGAACCATTACCACCTTTTATTAACGATGAAGCCTTATCACCCTCAGCATGGACAGATGAAGTATTCCGTCAAATGGTTGAAAGTATGCCTCCATTACAACCAGTCATCAACAACAATTATCCTCACAATCCTAACGACAATAATGATTCTATGTCTGTTGATCTATATCCCCAGTCACATCATCAGCAGTTAGCGCAGTTATTACAACAACAGCAACAGCAACATCAACAGCAGCTTCAGCAACAACAACAACAACAAGAACAAAACCTTTCTTCACCTCTCAACCAAGATTCACATCCTTTCTATGCACAATTGATGGGTACGCCTCCGGAAGCAAGAATGGAACGAAGATCACCTAGTTTAGGTAAAGGAATGAATGAAGTACGTTTATATTAGCATGGAATGAACCCTCTCTCTCTTTTTTTTTATATATAGGAGCAATGATGAAGTTGATGGATTCGCTTAGCACAGATACAAGCAACATGGATCGTCTACCTCGATAGTTCTCTAGATAGCTGTCATTTTTTTTTTGTATATGGCTACACTCCCTTTATATAAACATATATTCCCCACCAATACCATCATCCGTCCACTATCATTTCATCTCGTCTTTTTTTTGTTCTATATATATATATAGTTTACGTTTTCATGTACTTTTAATTTGAATCATTTGTAATAAAGATACTATTTTTTTTTATTGAGTCTATCCATACAGTGGTATATGCCTTTATTGTCACTTCTTTGACTTCTTTATATCCATACATTCAGGAAAACAAAAGACAAAACAAGACCGTTCAATATTAAACAAGTCTTTATTTCAACAAACATATATATGTAAAAAAAAAAAAAAAAGTTAATAATAGTGCGAATTGAATCATAAAAAAAAAAATGGCAAATAAAGAATAAAAGGGGGGAATATCATACACTAGGTTTGGTCAAGGCCAATAACCGTCGATCTGTATAACCAGACTACAAAAAAAAAAAAAAAAAAAAAGGTAAGATATCATGCAAAATTCAATGAATGTCAACTTACACTTAACAAATCTTGTTCACGTGGCACTCGCATCTGTAATAAAGTCGTATTGGTTTTCAAGGCTTGTTTTAACACTCGTTTCAAAGAATCATCACCTAAAAAAAAAAAAAAATGAGTCGAACAGTCTTTTCTTTTAAGACAAACTTACGATTCAATAAACATTTCCATAATCCATCAACACCTTTGTATTGTAATACCATTCCTGAGATTGAATTATCATTGAAAGAAAGTCGAAGCCAAGTGACCAACGGTTCAATGGTAGCATCCACTTTTTTTTTAAAAAAAAAAAAAAAGAAAAAAAAAAGAAAAAAGAAATTGAGTTTCCTCATCATCATTCCATAGTTCACTTACAAGATAATTGGAAATACAAGGTACGGTTGAAAAACAAATGATTGACTTCAATAACAATCCCATTATTGATTGGTTGTTGTTTTGGTGGTTCAGGTCTATTCAACCAAAATACAGTGAGTTAAATTCACTTTTTTTTCTTTTTTTTGGAATTATCTTACACTTGAGTTTGGTTGGTATTGGGAGAAGTATTATTGGAAGCAGCAGCAGCAGCAGCAGCGGCCATGGCAGCAAGAAAAGCAGCAGCATTGTCAGGAGTGAAGGCTGGTAGTTTGTTGGTGTCGTTGAATGCTGGGGTGGGAGGCGATGAGGAAGGTTTACTTATGGAGCTATTTGGGTATTCTTGTTGTTGTTGCATCCTAGGTTTCTCAAGTTCTTGTTTCTCAAGTTCTTGCTTCTCAAGTTCTTGTCGTCTTTCAAGTTCTTGTTGTCTTTCAAATTCTTGTTGTTTTTGTTGTTGTTGTTGTTGCTGATTAACTAAAGAGTTCATGCTATCGATAAGCTTTCGTACCTCAGCCAAATCATGAGCAGCGGTGTCTCGTTCCATGAGATAATTCATACGTTGTCAAAAAAAAAAAAAAAAAAAATAGAGTTAATTCAAAAAAAAAAAAAAAAAAGTGCAAAGGATTCAATCCCCCTTTTTCTATTTTTGAATAAAAAAAAAAAGCTTTGTTGAAAAATACAACAAAAAGGAGAGAGGGGTGGAAAGAAAAAAAAAAAAAAAAAAAAGAGACAAGGGGAAAACAAACAAACCCTATCAAAAGAAAAGAAAAAAAAATGAAATATGAAAAAAAAAAAAAAGTAGTGTCCGACCGCCCACCAATAAGAGCACAGCATTTTTTATTTCACTTCTTGTTTTTCAAAAGTATAAATTCATCTAACGCTAATTGTTGCCTTAAAGAGCCTACTATCACTAATTCTTGATCATATATCTTGATCCCATTTTGTCGCAATTGATCCCATACTTTTTTTCGTCGATTATCCTTATTTGCCAAAGCAAGTACTTTGTCATGTTTATCCTTGGTTTTTGGTATAGGTATAATATTGCCACCTGCCGTTTCCACTACTTCTTTGAGAACACTAGAACCAGTTTGTACAAGACATACATCATAACCTTCAAGCCAAATACCATTCTTCTTCTTATTGATGTTAGATCGGATCGCTTGTCGTGCACTATGAAGACTGGCCTCTAATCGGAATCCATACTTTTCTTCTGCTTCCTTATCATCCACTTGATAATCCATAGGATTGCACCATGCTTGTTTTTCTATAGAGTCTTTTAACCATTGTGTATTGACAATATCAATTCCAAGATTAACTGCACATAAAAATTTCGGTGTACGTAGAATTCGATTAGGTACTATCAATATATTGGCTTGTCGTATATCGTTCACAATTTTACTACCAAGTTTACGGATGGCCTATCATTTTTTTTTAATAATAATAATATGAAATGTAAGAAAGCATAAGATATTTCAATATTCTATACTTACTTTCACTTCATCATTGGATAATTCAACATTCGTAGTAGCGATGCTTGAAATACGACTGCTGAATCCTTGTGTGATATTCTCTTGTGATGATACCTGTTGTTCTACTTGCTTGTTCATTCCTTCATCATCATCATCAGTGGTTGATTCATCCTCTTCAAATGAAGGCCGTTTTTGCCGCTTCTTTGTTTCTGATGGTAATACAGATTGCATTGAGACCGATATTGGAGGTGATTCAGATCTCTGGTCAGAGGTCTTGGCGCGTTTGACTGGTGGTGATGAAAGATCGGATGATACTCTTTTTTGCTTTGTTCGTCCTGTCGAGCTGCCAGTGTTTGTTCGTTTTTCTTCTTCCTGGTACTTGTTCATGTCGGGTATCATCACATCATGTAACTGAGAATTCGCATCCAAAGCCGCTTTTCGAGGTCGCCTAGCTCCCAATAGTACAGGGGATTCAGAACCAGATGAGAGTACATTGGTGCTTTTGCATAACATATATGCTGGAATATAAGGAGTCATCGCTGGCCACGTGAGTTTATCATACCATCGTTCTAATTCAGTCGGTAATAGTGGTGTTTTTCCAACAAGATTTTGTAAGATATCGTTGCTGGGGAAATAAGTATATCGTTCATCCGCTACAGATTTGCATTCCCATTGTTGATAACATTCCTCTAACCAAATATGATTCACAATGTTGCAGTTTCTTAATCGACCTACTTTGTATTTTGCACTTCCACGTCTACGTTAAAAAAAAAAAAAAGGATGATGAGAACATAAACAGAATGTTACTCTCTCTCTCTTTTTTTTTTGATTGGTTATACATACTTTGAGCATATCAAATGAGTTGTATTGGATTCAAGATTCGGTGTCCATCGTAGTCCAACCATAGTACAGAGTTGAAATATAAGAGTCCTTGCTTCAGCTTCATACCCAGTCACCGTCACCATCTAAAAAAAAAAAAAAAAAAAAAAGAATAAGTTTCCATGATTCTTTATCATATCAAATTTACCATATTTTCCATGCCAGGGATACCACCTCTTGGTGAAGGAAAGTCCCATAAAGTTCGTAAAGGAGATTCTATACGTCCGCGTCTTAAAGAATTGGTGAGCCACATCATACTAGCCACGGTTTTGCCTTCTTTGCATGCTTGCATAAATAAGTCGCTATTTCGATGTTTGAAAATCGCAATGGCTGCAGATCCTTGGCTATCATCAAGTTCGTCATAATCTTGCTTTATTGTTGCGCCCGCTTTTTCCAATTGTTGTACAAGGCATGTGCGGAATTCTGGAGAAATACCGATATCCGAATGTAGATATATACTGTCGCCTTCAAACAACTTTTCCATTGGTGTCATTTGTTCCAATTGTTCCATTTTTGGTAGTGGGTGTACTTGAGGTGAGTCGCCTAGATGAGATGATTTATCTTTTGTATCCAATGTTATCGTTTTGGGCACATTTGTTTGATTTGTTTCCGCTGAGATATTACTATCAGACCGAGTCAATTCTGTTGCTGCATATTCATTATTCTCCCTAACAGATGAGTTGTTGCTACTGGAAAGTTTGGATGCTGCCATCTCTGTTGTTGTTGTTGTTGTTGCTGGTGGGTGTAAATATAAAGGATCAGGAAATAAAAAGATATCCTAGTAGAAGAAATCATATCAATGAATAATAGCTTTTCTTTATAAACATTTTGCTTTTATGTACTTACTTCTCGTACCAAACGACGTAGCTTAAAACATTCATCAAACCAATGTGGTAAAACGATTTTCAAATGACCATCGTTCTGAATCTTCAAAGCTTGTTCGTAGACATCCTAAATAAATAAATAAAAAAGAAATTATCAGCATGAAGATATTATTTCCCAAAAGAAAAATTACCCCTTCTGGAGCCAGACAAACCAAATGTGTCACATCGCTTGATAATCCTTCCCGGTATTGACCTCCAAGAGCCATCGTTGCACCAAAAATAGCTTCCCTATCGCGTTCAGGGATCTAATAAAAAGGAAAAAGAATAGTTATTAAGGTGAATCAAATAGGAAAAAGTGATCAAATATATATGGTCCAAAATTACCCCAAAAGTAGTCACCACAATGCCAGAGAAGAATTTTGTTGGATCTGGATAGTAATATTGAGGTCTATAAATGGAAAAAGAAAAACAGTTAGTTATATGTTTTATTACTATTATTTTATGAAGACGTACTCATGAACAAAGCCATTGCGAACAGCAGCTGTGACCCAATTTGGCTATAGGAAGAAGAAGAGTAAAAGTAATAAGTATCAAGATAACACTCTTATAATAAATCTTATTGGTCATTTACCGTAACTTGATACTGCGCAGAGACGTATTTCTTATTTCTATTGGTAATGTAATGGGTGGCATGATCTGCATGACCGTGTCGTTTTTCGTTTTCAAAGGCTTTGGCACCATGTTCTAATAAAATGTTTTGTAACTATAAAGAATGAATAAAAACGAGATCAGTACATATCAATAAAAGAGAAAAGATTGATTTCGTGTTTTTTTTTTTTTTACCGCTGCTCGACGAGTACCAGTCAGAATACGATCAAATTCAAAGATGACATTGGCAAATATCTTGGACTTTTCAATGTCTGTCATTGTGCTTGATAAGTATCTTCTATGGAGTTGAATAAGTCTTTGATCTAGAGAATATTTTGTATAATAACTAAAGAATATATATATATAATAGATATAGAAGAAAAAAAATAAAAAATAAAAAAAAAGAAAGAGTGAATTTACAAAATGAAGCACTTCCCAAATCTTGACCCTGAGTCTCAATAAAATTTCATCAAGCGAAGGTCAATAAAATCCAGGATTTTTTTTTTTTTTTTCGTCATAAAGATCAAAAGAAATACTAATGCAAAATACTTTTCAGTGTTTGAAGAAAACTATTCTATGTGTACATCCTGGATTCAACCAAGAAAGCAAAACTTTGTCTTTTCATTTCTCACTCAAATAAGTGATCATCATCGTACCAAATTTGGACTGAACGTACATGACTACTTTCTCTTTCACTTTGCCTTAATCATATACATTAAAAGATGAAAATAAAAATACCAATTTCTCACTCAATGTAAATTACCATCATTGGATTCCTATCAGAAAGCTAGTTTGATTTCATATAATAATATTTTATCGTTTAACTTGATGCCTAATGTAAAATGATTACCAAAAGATTTCTTTGATTTTTCGAAAAATCGCCTGATGATCTCCTTACGATCCATTTTTACAGCTAAAATTTGACTGGGGAATTGGAAATTTTGGGCTGTAAAAAACAAACTTTTCAAAAAAAAAAAAAATCACCTTTGAAAATCCATTCATTATCATCATCAAGTCCTCTTCTAGCAACAAAATCAGATCTTCTGTGTAAATCCATCAGATTATCTCTCACATAACGTGTACAATCTGTTCACGAACGATCACGTTTTGTACCACCAAAGTAAAACGTGGACGAAAAAAAGAAAAGAAAACGAGTTTGAACTTCCAAATCCGTAGTTGGAAAAGGATCATTCAAATGGTTCAAATAGCATGATGCCATTTTTTTTTTCTCCCCTTGATGATTTCCTTGTTTATTTTCTTCATCAATGGGCTCTTTTTCTACTTTCTTGATATCAGTATAAGCATGAGATATTCGTCATGAAGAGAAAAGGATTGTTTTGTAAATTTCCATTTTTTTTTTTTTTTACCTGTTCTGTAGATAAATTATCAGTTTAATCAAAAACAAATACAATTGAAAAAAAAGGAATCATTTCTTTATTGATCGGATAAGAAGAGAATAGGGAAGGGGGAAAATCATGATGTAATATATAAAGAATAAGAGTAAGACAAGTGTGAGATGGATGAATAATGAATAAAGAAACAATCTACATACTATCACTAGATGATGATCGAGAAGCAATCTTTGATAGAATGAGATATATAAACACTACTAGTACCAATACCCATCGTCGCCATCGAGATACAGTCCGAGTGATTGCATTCGTTTCTTCTGGGCCCTTTTGTACTGTTGTGAGTGTAGAATTTGTTGCGTTGGATGATAAATGTTCTTGCTGTTTGTTTGTAGCTTTTCGTCGTCGTAAGATTTCTTCATCCAACGTTGAGTTATCAACTGTACATAAATCAGGGAATACGTCTATCAAAAAGAAAAAAAAAAAGATTAGCAAGGAAATATTACTTTACCTATTCCATTTTTTTTTTTTTTACCTCTAAACTTGACCATTTTCAAATTGGCACGATGTGATCGTAGAGCGTAAATTCGTTTTTCTGCATCTGTTGTCCTGATACTACCAGTAGTATTTTCGTCCGTAGTCTATATCATTATAAAACAAGTGAAAGTATAAGATATTGATATTACTTTTTTCTTTTATATATATATTTACCATAAAACTAAGTAATCCATTCAAAATAGTAGCAACTGACCAACTTGGATTCCATAAACTTGGGTGAAAATCACTCATTGTTAAACAAAGTCGAGTATCAGTTTGAAATCGTCCAGATGGAGTACTCATACGGATGGCAGGTGGTTTATAAGGATAATCTGAAGGAAATGTCAAACGGCCATAGTATTCGCCGCCTTGATAAGGGGTATCTGGGGGCCCTTGGATAACATAGTGCCTATAAGTGAAAAAGAAAAAGAAAAGAAAAGAAAGATTAGATATGATTTATCCGACAGAAAAACTTATCATAATCGTAGTTTCTTACCATTCGAGAATATTATTTTCAACTGGTCTTGCTACAATATAAGGTGGAGGACTAGTAATTTTAACATAAAAAAAACAAATGATTAGAAGAAAAGATGAAAGAAGTATATGAAGACTACTTACTTTTTTTGAAGTTCCATATATTCCTTAGTAAGACGACGAAATGCAGCTTTGGTGGCCATGATGAATATTTCTGATGATATTAATGTAAGAAAGGAAGAGAAAGGAGGAATATATATATATTATAGAAAAGGAATATCAAAAAGTAACTACTTTTTGAAAATGTTGAAAGACAAACGGAAAGGAAGAAGAAAAAAAAAAAAGAGAAAGAAAAAAATAAAAAATAAAAAATTGGAAAGCGACGGGGATTCAAAACGGATAATCTAACCAATCAAATAACTTGTTCCGTTGCCAGGCAATCTTTGTTCTCTTTTTTTGGGGATGTACGAAGTTTCATATGATTGGCGTAAAAAACGACTATCCTCCTTGCCTTTTTTTTTAATCATAATAATACGAATTCAAGTTATATATATATAAAAGAAAGAACCTTTTTCAATGAACAAGATGACAATGAATCATGGTGCCTTCTAAAAAAAAAAAATAAGAAAATTTAAAAATTACAACATGAAAGATGAAATGAACCAATGAGTGATCAAAGATTGTCAACCTTATCGTTTCTTTAAAAATGAAAAAAAAGGGATGATGAATATCAAATATTACTTGCATGAAGTAACATAAATTATTTCGATGATGATGTAGGATGAGAATAGACTAGTATGTTGGAATCCAACGTGTATTTTTCGACTCCAAAAATATTATCGATAAAAGGAATCTCGTGTCACCTTTTAAAAATTAAAGTTCTTACGTGGCCTTGGCGGAAATGGAATTTTGACTTGACCCTTTGGGTGCAGTTTAGTCGACACTTATGAGTCCGCTACTCTTTCAGGAAAAGACAAAGATAAAAAAAGAATGAAAAGAAAACGATAAAATCTTCTCTTCTTTTTTTTTTTTCTTGCCTTTCTTTCTCATTTTTTTTTTATTTTATTTTTCTTTCTTTTATTGTTTATCCTTTTGTATTCTTTATTGAAGGAGTATTTAGATATATAAAATGGGTGCTAGACTCTCAATACATAGCACTAAACAAAAACGATCATCACAGCGGTCTTCAACTGGAAAACATCATCCACTAGAAAATTTATCTCGAACTAATAGTGAGCATACAGTTTCCTCTTCGTCTTGTATTCATCATGGAAGAAGTTATCACGATACATCATCTTCTTATTGGTTACCAAATGATGATGAAGAAAACGACCGATTAACAGCCGTAAGAACAATCATCAAAAGAAACAAAAAAGGCATATGTCATCGAGATGAAAAAAAAAAAAAAAAAAAAAAACTTTTTTTTTGCATCAGCGCCACGTCAGTTTTGAAAGAAAAAAAAAAACTTAAATTTGGATCTCCTTTTATTTTTTAATATAGCAACATTTTGCAATCAAAGCATTATTTAATGGGTAAGATGAAAATAGATTAAAGACAACAGGCACATGACATAAAATGAATGAAGAGTTTATATATGTCCGTTGATGTATGATCCTGTACAGTTTGACTGGTTCTAAACTTTAATTTAAACTATTATTACTTTAGGAATATCAGTCCATCTGTCAAAAAACTTGTTCCTTTTGAATCTGGTGCTTATATATTAGATGGTAAACAAAAAAAAAAAAATATGATTCATAAAAAAAAAAAAAGAAAAAAAGGATAATAGAGAGGTGTGTTTCGGGGTGTGAATAAGGTTGATCAATTCTCGATAGCTAGAAAAAAAAAAAAGAATCTTTTTGGGTCTATAAAAAAAAGAATCTTTTCGGTCTATAAAAAAAAAAAGCTAATCATTACTATTATTATTATAGTTGGATGTGCTTCAGGAACATGGATGTTAGATATGGCCACAGAATACCCAGCAAGTCATTTTATGGGCATTGATATATGTGATACATTTCCTAATAGTATACGACCACCCAATGTAGATTTCAAATTAGCCAATTTAACAGCTGGATTACCATTTCCAGATAATACCTTTGATTTAGTCAACGTTCGACTTTTCATTTTAGCACTCAAGCAAGACGAATGGTGGTATATTTTGAAAGAAATACAACGTGTATTAAAACCAGATGGATGTCTTCAATCTGTTGAATGTGGTATGCTTGTAAGTTCATCAATGATTATCATCCATCATCATCATATATGAATCATTTTTTTTTCTCTCTCTCTCTTTCTCTTCCCTTACTGGGTCTAATTTAGGAAGGAGGCACTGATTTCATGCGTTGGGCTGGTTCCACATGTAAGTCACATTAAAAAAAAAAAGACCAAAGCAGTGGAAATAACTTTTTTTTTTTTGTAATTAGTTGAAAAGGTGATTATAGCCAGAGGACAAGAACCATGGATATCGAAAAAGATGCCATCGATGATCAATGAATTACCAGGATACCAATTAATAGATACTGAAAGAAAGATGGTACCATTGGGAGAAGATAGTGATTCTGTATGTAAGGATTTCAACTATGATGCAGTAATGATTTTTAAAGCAGCACAACCATTTTTGATGGAAAGTCTGGGTTTAACTTCCGAGACTTATCCTGCGTTTCTGGATCAACTGATGATTGAACTTAAAAAGAAACCTTGGACCCTTTGGTCTTTTACTTATTGTATAGCTCAAAAAAGAAAAGAAACTATAATGTAGATAAATAAAAGTAGAGATGATTCTTTTTCTTTTTTTTTTTTTTGATCATGTTAGATACAAGGTGATTCAATGATTTACCTTATTTGGGTTAGATGATTGGGTAGAGGAAAGCGGGCATACAAAAATGGATTATTTTTTTTCTCTTTCTTTTTTTTTTCTTTTTCTTTTTTTCTCCCTTTGTCTTTCTTCCTTCTTCCTTTTTCTCACAGTTCCTTATACTCCATGTATCATATATCTCCACGTATAGCCGATAAAATCAAACATTTCGCTCGATTTCCTCAAACAGGCGTTTCTTTGAAACAAATGGTGTTGTTTGGTAAGAATATATATATATATTTGAAATCTAGACTTAATTCTTCATTTTAATAGGTCAAAAACCATCACAGGCAACCATGTTCAAAGCTAGTCAGTTTTTACATGGTATATATTATTTATTATATAAAAGAACTCTTACTCATTTTATATATATTGTTTTTTAATGATTAGAGGAATTACCTATACGTTTAGCTCATAGAGTCAAGGAATTGGATGAGATCTTGTTTGCCGATATGCCATCTATTATCAAAGTCAAGAACTGGTATGCTCAATCTTTCCAGGTAAAGCAATTAAAAAGAAAAATAAGGGTGTTATTATAAGTTATTTATTTATTATTAATGCGGTCCTAGGAATTGATTGAATTACCTCCACCAAAATTATCTAGCAAGATCAAGGAAGAATTTAAACGAGGGGCCAAGAAAAGCAAAGATTATTTCGACAATGTACCAAATCATGCCTATCCACCTAGACAAAATACTGCACATCCTTACCCAATTGGTCACAGGTAAAATTGGTATACATCATCTTTTTTTGTTATACTTTTCCTTGTGATTTTCATCATTCGACTTTTTTTTTTTTTTTTTAAATCACCGTCTGTTCTGGGTTTTGATTGGATAGATACTACAACAATATAGAGCATGTACAATGTACTCCTGAAATGACAATGTATACGGAAGAATTAGTGAAAACGATCGAAGGTATCAAACGACGACATGATCCAGTGGTGACGACAATGGCTCAAGGTATTTTAGAATATAAGGAAAAACTAGGTTCCAATCTAATCGATACGGATGTACAACAATTCTTGGATCGATTTTATATGTCACGTATTGGGATTCGTATGTTGATTGGCCAACATTCAGCTCTGTATCGAGGTCCCTTTTACAGGAATGATTATGTGGGTGTGATCTGTACAAAGACAAATATCAAAGAAGTCGCCATGGATGCTATTGCCAATGCTAGATTCATTTGTGAAGAACATTATGGATTATTCAAAGCCCCTGACGTACAAATGTTTTGCCCTGGTGATATAGAATTCATGTATGTGCCCTCTCATCTCAATCATATGATTTTTGAACTTTTGAAGAATTCTTTACGTGCTGTGGTGGAACGTTATGGATGTGATTATGAAGATCTCTATCCACCTATCAAGTTGGTCATTGCCCATGGAAAAGAAGTACGCATAAAAAAAAAGTCGAATTTATCAAAAACAAAGGGATGTTCATTTTTTTTTTTTTTTTTTTGCTCTTTGATTTTTAGGATATTACTATCAAAATTTCGGATGAAGGTGGAGGTATTCCAAGATCAGCAATTCCTATGGTTTGGACTTATATGGTAAGGTTTATTTCAGATGATATGATATGATGATGACTTTATTACTCATTTTTTCTTTTTGAATGAATTCAGTATACTACTGCCCAAGTACAAGAATTAGAACCCGAGTTCAATAAGACTGAATTCAAAGCACCAATGGCTGGTTTTGGTTATGGATTACCGACATCAAGATTGGTAATATAAATAAAGAAATCAATAAGAAATCGATAATATATATATATTTATTTATTTATTTATAGTATGCTCGTTACTTTGGTGGTGATTTGAAATTAATTTCTATGGAAGGGTAAATAACACAGTTAAATAATTTGTTTCGTCGTCTGACACCTTTGTTATTATTTATTAGTTATGGTACCGATGCTTATCTTCATTTGAATCGATTATCCAATAGTGACGAACCTCTGATTATGTAGACACTTCCACGATTTTATAACATTCTCGTATTCATGTTGATATTAACTAGTTGTCATTTATGTGTTTTTCTATTTGTTTTTTTTTTTTTCTCTCTCACGAGTGTACTTATACCCTTCCCATTTATTCACATGTCAATTATTCTCGTTTGCATCTTTTTGTCCAATAAAGAAATGTACTTTTATATAAATCAATCTCTTTTATAGTAGAATTCATTTTGAACTATTCAATCATTACCTTGATGATACCAACTTCATCTTCAAAAAAAGGAAATCAAGACATGTGACTCTTACCATCATTCTCTTTTCAACCCAATCAACCTTATAATCCAAAATAAATCCTTCGTACATCATACCAACACCAATTCTAATATCACTACGTTTTATATCATATGAAAAAAAACATTATGTATTTTTAAAAGCAAAAATTAAACAAAAAAAAAAACTAAAAGTGAATGGAATAACTGACTAACTATGGAATCATCTAAAAGGCTTTTTGAATCCTGATAGGACTAGATAATTTGAAAGGATGGGCTTCTGTATTGAATACATAATCATCCAAAGAGATTAACCGGGGATCCGAGAAAGTTAAATATAAATACTTGAAAGTTTCGGCAAAGATATAACTATACAATCAAATTTTTTTTTAATATCATCATTCTCCTTTTTTTTTTTTCTTCTTTTGTAGATTTTTACCTTTCTTGGAAATCAGCATACTTCACTGTAGCAGGATCAGAAACCATGACATCATTGACACGACTATACCCATATTTGACTTTGCAGTATTTTTCAATGGATTGGAAGATATTCCATGCCTTGTCCTAAGAAAAAAAAAAAAAAAAAAAACTTTAGAAAGAGAATGAAACGATCATCATGATGAAAACATACCTGATAAGAAGGATCACCTGTGATTCTGTAAAAGTAGAACAGACTTTCCAAAGTTTCTATATATATAAAAAAAAAAAAAAGGTTGAACAAAATCGTATTTTTCTATCTGTGAATGATTATATATACCTGGACGTAGATCGTATGTTAGGTCTTGAGGTACTAAACCATGTGCCTTCATAGACAATTGCATATTTTGAGGAAAATGAGACAAATCTTGACTTTCATCCACCCAACTCCAACTTTCAGGAGCCAATCCAGATGGGATGGTTTCCCAGGCATGATAACATCCTTCCATCAATTCAGTAGCAAATGCTTCATATTCGGGTTTATTCAAATATCGTGCACCCATCAAGATGTTCCCAGGTAAGAAGCAGATCTATATATATAGAATATAGGAATTCAAAAAAAAAAAAAATAAGGATTATGGGTTCAGTTATACTCTTTTATTCATTCTGATCTTCTCCACATTCTCCGTTTTTCTTTTTTCTCTATTTTTTTTTTTTTTTCGCTTACCAATTCACCTGTTTGTAGTAATTTCAGATCTTCATGAATTTCACCTAGGAATACCTGACCATTAGCAGTTCTTGATCGAAGACCGCTTTGCATACTTTCAACAGCAGCTTCCCACATATCTAGCTGTAACCGTTCTTTGCCATCCATCAAGATATGTGTCTTCAAAAGGTATTCATAGTAACTATCAGCTCCACCACTAATGGTAATATATTCTAAAATAAAAAAAAAAATAAAAGAGTCAACTAAATACCCATCTTACTGTTATATATATATATATATATATATATATGTGTGTGTGTGTGAGTGTGATACATACGACTTGCAGGTTCGAATGGATCCAGATCCCAAAGCATAGGGTAAAGACCAGGAAGTGTAGGTTCAACTTCAGATAATTTTTCAATAATACTAAGACCATAATCTCCATAGCTTTGATTGCCAGTGAGTTGTGAGAGTCGTACAAGTTCCAGTTGTAAAGATCCAAATTCTGCTAAAATGATTTGATTACCTGGTGCAGGTTGACCACTTTCAAAAAAAAAAAAAAAAAAAAAAAAAAAAAAAAAAAAAAGGAATGATGAATACAAAAAAAAAATAATAATAATAATAATAAACAAGAAATCAATTTTTTTTTCTTATTCTTACGTGTTGACATTGACATATTGTGCAGGCATACCATTATCAGTATCAAAGGTAGGGAGGATGACTTCTTCTGTTAGTTTGATGGCTTGGTTCAGTAATCGCTTATCAGGATTCAAGTCATAGGCTGATAACAAACCACCCAAGTATCGAATATTGGTCTCAAACGTTTTTGATAGATCTTCGGAATGTGTCCATTTGACACTGGTAACATGGTCCAATGCACGGTAATATTCTTCTGCTAATCCCATAATGTGAAGTGTATCCAAGGCATCAAATATAGAGGCTACATATCAAGAAGAAAAAAAAGAAAGTGTTAGTCATTTGATAATTAAACTGAATGTTGTTGTATATAACTTACCACCCCAACCATTTCTAATATAACCATAAAAAAAAATAAAAAAATAATAATAAAAAAGATTAAGGAGACGTACAAAAAGGGAAAGAAAAAAAAGGAAAAATAGGTATGAGCCATCTATTTTAGAGACCGACGGAATGAACTTCCTTTTATAATGCAAAAAAAAAAAAAAAAAAAAAAAAAGGTCGTCGTTTTTACCGAGAATCTGAACTACCACCACTAACAGGTCTTGATTCATCATGACCAAAAGCTGTCTTTTCATAACCATGATATGCAAATAAGAAGGCATCTTTGATTCGTTCGGCTTTTTGTGCATTTGAAAGAGTAGGTGTAGTGGCGTTCAATTTACGATTTGGTGCTGCTACAGTCATCGTAGTAAAACAAAGTGCTATAATCCACGGTAGTCGTTTCATTTTATTCGAATGTTTTTTTTTTAATAAAAGGATGAAAAAGAAGAATGAACAAAAAGAATGGCAATGGAATTAAAAAAAAAAGTAATATACGACTTTTTGAGATAAGAAAGAGGATAAAAGAAAAGTTATTAATTTTTTTTTGATCTACTTTTTTCTTTTTTTTTTTTGAAAGGATTACGTGGTGAATAAAATAGGAGAGTTTTTTTTTTTTTTTTGTCTCTTAGAAGAAAAGGAAAAGAAGGATGAAAATCTGGATTGTCATGGCAATATAAATATTACCCGTCAGTCAGACCATGCATACCAACCATGGTAAATATGTGAAAACGAGGTTTGATTTTTCTTTGTTTGTTTTTGATGGAGTTTTTGTTTTATTTTAAAAAAGACTCTCTCACCTTAATGACATCACTCTTTATACAAAACTACAAACAAAGGTTTGTTTGAATCTTACAAATATTGAGAATTAAAAAAAAAAAGTCGACAAGTAATACTCTAATAAACTAAGGTTGTGGAGTATTGCACTTTTTTTGGTAATCACGAGTCATGATCGCTGTGTTGCGTGCCTTGATAACAGTTATTGACCCCTTTGATGATGACGACTAATGGTAACTAAAGAACGTGGATGATACCTATAATGATGATGATGATGATGATGATGATGATGATGATGGTGATGATGAAGAGAACAAGGGTACATAAATAGGGGAAAACACGAGCAAGGGGATATAAATAGGAGAATCAAGATGGCTGCTAATATTGATCATGTTGGGTTCTTGTTAATCGATGATTGATGGTTAACGGCTACTTCTTTGTGATACATTAATAATGACTGATGGTTGGTGGTGGCTGTAAAGTCATGATGATCGCTAATGGAGAAACTGGATGAGCTGACGGTACCCCTGAATCCAGTTTCAGGGGAAAGAGAGCACTGTTGATGATCGCGATGGCAAAGTATTTACCTAGTAACTGTCACCATCGCTAGTTTATCATCATCACTGACTTTACAATATGTATATATATAGTATATTAAATGATACTTGGTTTGTTTATTTCCAAAAAAAAAAAAAGGATTATCGGAAGGAAATGAAATTCATCAGATGTAACATACCATCGGCCCTTTAGATCAATCTAAAATAAGTTTTAATAAACATTGATTCGGTGATAGTCAATGTCAAAATTGGGATTTTCTTGTTTTCAATTTGTTTTCTTATCTTTTTACTTCTTTTCCTCTATAAAGTCATATAGTTGAATTTTTATAATAATCCTAATCAGTATTTGAAACATCACACACTTTTTATATGAGTCAATCACTAAAGAAAATTAAAATGTTAACAATGAGATGATCGACATAACTGATTAATTATGATTTTCAGGGAATTTTGACTGTCAAATGCATATAACTGAGATGCTAATTTATAGTCTGGCTTAGACTGGGCTATTCATTTTTCATCCAACGAATATTATTTTTCTTTTAGGAGGTTTAGGAAGAAACAAAAAAAGGATTACTTTATTTTGTTTTTCAAGTAATCATTTAAACTTTTTTTTCAAGATAATGTTTGTTATATTGGAGGAGGATGAATGAGAGAGATTCGTCGTCATCCCATTATCAGTTATTTATCAACCATCATCTACATTAGTTACAACAACCAAATGCCATATTATTAACAACGCTATTCATCGTTCATGCTTCATCACTGAACTGTCAGAGACCATGTTTGAATTTAATCTCCGTCAATTTCCTCACTGCAAAACTGAATGTACAAATTAGCAGAAGTGGAAAAAAAAGTGACATTTTTTTTTTCAAAGTCGTGTCCAGTTTTACTTCTATTTCTTCCTTCCTTTTTTTTTTTTTTTTTTTGTTTATACTTGCTTATCATATCACCTTATTTTATATCTAATATATTATTATACCATTTCATTTGATTCTTCTAAGAATGCACAATTATTCACTTTGTTTTACATTGATTATATCGCCATGTCATTTGATTCTTACCGAAAAGCACAACTACATCTGCAAGAAACAAGAAAGACAATTACTATACCACAGTTAGACAAAGATACCTGTATATCATATCTCAACAAAGTATTCCAAGTATTAGTACGCGAAGATTTACATAAGCTTTGGGCAAACAAAAAGAAGAAAACCGAATCCGAGATTCTATCAAACTATTGTCAACAACAAGAAAGAAAGCGAACAATACCAAACCTTTACAAAAAGACTGTAGAACTGTATAACCAAGGTAGTATACATATACATATATACATCTATTCCAATATTAATCTAACTTTTATTTAGAAAACTCAACCGATTTTTCCAAAGATACAATTAGAGCAACTGTAGACTCGAAAGCTATACCCTATGTTCGCCTTTATAAAGAATTTGTGAATAAGAACGCTGCCAATATATTAGAGGAATTAAAAAACAACGATAACAACGACAACAACAACGACAACAACAACAACGACAACAATCAAGATAATGAGGATAATTTTATTCACAATACCATTACTTCTCAATTGAACACAATCTTACGACCTGATTTGTCTGACTTGGAGAAAAACATCATCCATCAATCGCTACTGAAGTCCCAGAAGATAATTACCAATATAATGGCGGATATCTCAACTTTGGTTTTGTTAGACCTTTTGAAACGGACCACGTAAGTAAATAGTGATCATGAAATATTAGTCATATACTCATATTCTCTTTTTTTTTTTTTTTCTTAGTGGTCCACCTGTAGAAATAACTAGTATTCTACCTGAATGCAAGATTACCAAGGTCCTTCCACCACCACTGATCTCTCCTCCTTCTTATGATGTCAAGAAACTCATGGCTAGTCACAACAATACCACCAAAGCTGAACGACGTCTATTTGAACTGTATACTTTCGGCCATTTGATGCATCTGTTGACCGCAACTCATAACTCTCAAGAAACCTCTCTTACTGACACTCCAGGTCCTTCTAATTCTTCAAGTCATGATTCCAACAAGGATGGTATATTAAATTGGAATTTGGATTTACAGGACATCACCAACCTAAACCTTACTGATATGCCACCTGGATTATCTACCATTATTCAGCCTTATGTAAATACGTACGCCACCAATTTAAAGAATATATATCAAGGTGATATAGTGGATCGTCTGCTATCAAGAGCTATTATGACTGTTCTTCAGTGTCGGCTTATTCTTCCAAAAAAGGACCAAAATAAGAATGAATTGAAAGAAAGGTAATGCATATTGATGATTTGATGATGATGATGATGATGATGGATGGTCCACGTTTTTAACCTATCTATATATAATTAGAAAATCACAACCAAAAAGTCCAAAGAATTCTTTTACATTCAAGTGCCAAATCAGACGCCACAGCAAAAGAATAAAGCGATTGCAACAATTTGATAATATAAATAGACCAGACGTTCTTCAGAAGGAGCAACAAATTCTCGAACACTTGATGCAATCCTCTATTCTCAATTCAAGTACTACTGCTCAGGTTAACGTGGAGATTCCTTTGGTGGACGATTCTGATGCTCAGATGAATTTGGATGTTACTTTGGTGGATGATACTAGTGCTCCGATGGAAGTGGATGCCCCTGAAACCATTCATGTTAACCCCTCCTACAATCGACTGAAGAAAATTGCAAGTTTTGTGAAGTCAATTCTATTCAAAAAGAACATCGATCAACCGTTAACTGTCGAGGATCTTAAGATGCATGCGCCAGATATGGAATTTAACGATGACGAAGCCAATTCAGTACTCCTTTTGTATCAATTTTTTTCACCATATCTATTACCCAAGGTATACGATGACGATGTAGATCGGCATCCCCTTCTCAATTTCCCTCTTGTTACGGTATGCAATCATATTCTTCGCTCAACTGGAAACGAGAAATTTGTAAGACGATCTGTACCAGTTGTAAGACATTCCAAGACCTATTCCATTACTTTGGATCCAACGAGATTGTATTTGACTCTGTGCTCATTGAAAGGGCGTGTTGGTGGAACAAAAGGCGGAAATGTGCAACCTCTACATTCATATGGATTCGATGTTTTTCTTCCCAACGGTGACACAATAAGCAATATTACCAAGTCAATCAAATTCCAGGATGAACTATTTGGTGCTTTTTTTGATCTTCCAACCAGGCGAAGACTCTGTGCGAAAAAGACTGACTTTATCTTCTCCAATCGAATCACAATCACTAACTATGGCGCGGTGCGACTACATTCCAAAAAGGAAAAACCAATTGACACTGATATCAAGCCATCAACAACCAACGTACGACGAAAAAGAAAGTTATCTGAAGAGATCACAATGCAAGAAAAGATAAAGTCATTGGACGCTTCCTTATCAACACCAGCTGAAGAATTGCGCAAGTTGAATAACGAAATAGATGAAACGAAGATGAATATTATGAATATCAACAAACGAATTGAATCCATTGCCGACACAACACATGATGATCTGGAAGACCTCCCAACAAAAGATTTTTTAATTAAACGGCGGGCAGAAAAGAAGCGACAGCGTAACGATCTACTTCGACGGAAGCTTGTTGTATTACGGAAGATATCAGCCCTCAAGACAGAGAAGAAGGACCTCTTTGACGAGTTTTATTCAACTGACACGACAGATGTTAGCCTATCCTCATCATCTACTGGTAACGAATGGGAAAATGAAAGTATTTTTGTTGGATGTGATCCGGGTCTGGCAACCATGGTCCAAGCTACAAGTGCTGATGTCAAGAAAGTAATGTACTATTTGGCAATCAACAATCGTTATCAACCATTGGAAACATTAGTAGAAAAGGTGGATAGTGATGGCGATGAAAAGGAAATGCTTACTTTGAAGAAATACTCAATTACCAGTAAACATCTCGACGATCAAACGTTCTCCAAACGCCATCGCAAGGGAATGGAATTTAGAAAGAGACGAGATCATCGCAAAGTAAGTGATTCCAAAAAAAGAAAAAAAAGGATGTCAATAACCTATTTTTTTTTTTTTTTTAATTACTAGTCCCAAACTCAAGGTGTGCTTTCCGTCAAGCAAGTAGAAGAAAAGTTGGCTGGATCAATTGATGTCCGTTTATATGAAACAAGTCTACAAAAAATCATGACAAATCATAAGGTAGGATCAATTATTATACATATCACGGAGACCAAAAAAAAAAAAAAAAAAAAAAAAAAAAAAAAAAAAAAGACAATGGATATTAATGAATGCAATCATTTTCAATTTATCTAGTTGGTCAAGGAAAGCTCACCTGTTCTCCAGGGTTTTTACTGTGATCAAAAATACAATCAGCGATGGAAACGAACAGCAGTGATATACAGCGAAAAGGGAACACATGTAGTCATCAAGCATCACCAACGACAAGTAAAAGAAGAACCTGGACAAAAACTACATTACTTTTATGGAAAGGCGGGCCGTGGTAGAAACTCACGTATCGGTGGATTTTTAAGAAGAGGTCATGGACCCTTATTACAAGCTCTTGGTCAACATTCTTCTATCTTCCATACAGATGAATTTAGAACGACAAAACTCTGCTGCCGTTGTCATGAGCCTATCTATCATCCGAAGAAAGCTAATGGAAAATTAAATCTGGGAACTGTTATTTGTCAAAACCCTGATTGCAAAGGACGTCAAGCTGGAATGATTGCTGGATCACGAGACACAAATGCAAGTATGAATATGATCATCACTGGATTATGGCAACAAGTTACTGGCAAACTTCCTCCATCCTTCCGGCGGTCAATCTCATCAACAGAAAACGATAACAACAATATTGATAAGATATTCCAAACTTTGATCTCTTCTCATCCTGGACTGGTTGAAGATGGATACATCATGCCTCTGTGCTGAAGGCAAAACTTAAATTGTACCCTAAAATTCAAGTTTTGCTTCCTCACTGTTGAACAACTTTCTTTTTTTTTTTTTCTCTCTCTTTTTTTTTTTCTTTTTCATTCTTTTTCACGTTTCTTCTGTTAATACAAACAATCACTATGAATAATTATGATGACAAATTAAAATGGGAAGATGACCAACAAGAAGGTAAATAATCTCACTAGATACCAAAAAAAAAAACTTCCATTAACTATTGCATTTACCGGGAGTAGAAGACGAATCTATGATGGAGGATGACGATGACTCTATTGAGCGGTTTCCGGACGATCGACGCATTTCACAAAGTGACTTTTTACAAGGTTTACCACGGTCCGGTCGACAAAATAGTGGTTGGGGTGAATCTATGGATGAAAAGGGGGATATTTATTCTAGAGCACTGGAAAAGAATATTGTACAGCAATCTTTTTTTAATGGTAAGTGATAACTGTTATGAAAATAAAGAGGACCTATGCCAAATGTTGACCCCATCTCTCTCTCTCTCTTTTTTTTTTTTTTTTTTTGTTGTAGCTTTTGAAGACGACTTTGACGATGAAGATCTTGCATAGTTAGATTTCCTCCTCTTGTACACGTATAGCTAGTTTAGCATTCCCCTACGACTTTTTTTTTTCTTTATTGATTGATTGTGTTTATGTATATATTTCTCTAGTTTAGTCGTATCTAGTTTTGAAATGATTTATATTTGAATAAAAAGAAATCAAATATCTTTTTGCCTTTTAACATATACTTCTTTTTGTCTCGTATGGTTCTCTGTTTGCTTTCTAAAGTGTTCCAGTATTTCAAATTCCGTCGCAGACTTTTTGAGGGAAAAAAAAAACAATAACGTTAGAAAAAAAAAAGTTTTCTCTTTCTTTCATTTTTCTTTTCTCATATTACATTAGAATATATAATGTCTACTGCGGGGCATCGACACCTACGAAGGGGAGGACCAGAACAAGAAGATGCTAGTATATTAAAACTTGGTGAAGGTAAAAACTACCTTGAAATCTAACCTGCTTTTTTTTTTCTTGGTGAATGTCATCTGTACTTAGATTAATTGATATAATCTTCTTTGATTGTTTCTTTTTATTTTTTTTTATTATTATTATTATTAGAATTCGACAAATCTCAATGTCTTTATATCTCGGAAGTACGTATTTTATTAGAAGCTCAAGAAGAATCAAAGGAAAGCGGCAAAGAATCTCGACCCATCACAAAGTAAATAGGAAAACAACAAATGTCAACATGTTATTGACATGTTTCTTTATAGTGTCATGTCCAAGACTTTAGAACATGTTCAAGCCTTTGGTCGTTTCAATAATAGGGAACCTGTGATCGAAGTACGACAGTAAGTAGAAAAACTAAAACGTAAGGTGATAAATGAATTGAACTATTTTGTTTATATAGACTATTAGGCAAGAATCCGGAATTATCACAGTTTGAAATTGCACAATTAGCCAATTTGTGTTGTGAAGATGCAGAAGAAGCCAAGGCATTGATCCCAAGGTAAATGACAAATAGAAGAAGAAAATGAATATTTATTAACTTATTTCTTTTTCTGATTCTATAGTTTGGCGAATAAAATGGAAGACGAAAAGTTACAGGAATTATTGAATCAAATGATCACTATTAGGAAATTCCAAGGTTGATTCATTCCAATGCGATTCTTAATTTTTTCTTTTTATATATATTCTTTTTATGATGTTTTTTTTTTTCTTACTATTCTTTATTATTTATAGTAGTTTCTCTTTTTTTTCTCTATACCAACTTCAATAATAAAAAAAAAAAATCACATAATTGTACTACCGCTCCTTTGTTTTTTTTTCCCTCTTTTTTTTTTCTTTTTTCTTTTTTTTTTCTTTTTCCTCTCTCTAAAAGAAATATAGATCCTCTCTTCTTTCGGTTCTTGATAATAATGACGACGACTGCAAGATCGGATCAAGGTAATAAGATTCTAAAAACCAGTCAACTGACAAGAAATACTGTGGATTCTTTACTTGGACGAGCGATCAAGTTTCGATCTTCCCGTTATGTCGATGAAAAGTTAGATTTATTTAAACGCAAGTATGCACCTGTCAATCAAGCTTCCAACCAGCAACAAAACTTAACCAAAGGCAATTATCAACAACAACCATTACTTGATGATCGTATTGGTACACAAGATCCTTATGGTTTTGAACGACCTAGCAAGACTTTATTTTCTCAGGATAAATTGGAACCTTCTTGGACAACCATTCGACCGATCGGTGCAGGACTTTCAGATCAAAAAGGACAACATTCAGCTCTAAATGCTGTATTACAATGTTTGACTTATACTCCTTTATTATTTAACTATCTTGTTTCAAGATGGCATAGTGCCAACTGTAAGTTCATATCATATTAGACCATATAATAAAAAAAAATTGATTCTTTTTTTTTTTTTTTTTTTTGCTAGGTACGGTACAAGATTATTGTTTTGTATGTGCTCTGGAAGATCATATGAAAGAATCCATAGCAAATTCTGGTCAACATTTAACTCCTCGACAATTTGCTGGCAAACTGAAAAGTAAGAAATAGAAAATCAATATCGTAGTATATTGATCAACTCTTTATTATTATTATTATTATTATTATTTGTAGAAATGAAAACTGGTTCAAGTAAAGATGCTTTTGATGTGTGGACTTTCTTTATGGAACAAATTCAACATTTTCTTTTATTGGAAAAAGGGTAATTCTATTTTTTTTTTTTTAATATTATGATATTAACCATTCTCCTTTTCTTTTTTTTTTTTTTTGCTTAGATCTCAAGACAAGCGGATTCAGGAAACGACAGCATTGTACCAAATCTACCATGGTTATTTACAATATCAAAGTGTATGCATGACTTGTCAGAACGCTCAACCGGATTATCATTATCATGGGTTTCTTAGTCTGTCACTAGATATCAATCAAGGTAGCTCTTTAGAAAGGTGTCTATCTCGTCACTTACAGCATATCAAGCCACCATCGAATGAAGAATGCAAAAGGTAGATAGGAAAGATCATTTCAACCTTTTTTTTTTCTCTCTAACTTTTATCTTTATTAGTTGCAAGAAAACGACAATGAAGAATCAACAATCAATATATCAACCTCCTCGAGTGCTTGCCCTTCATTTAAATCGATTCGACAAGAATGGAAATAAGAATGAAAAGACAATCAAGTTTGATGAAATGATGGATATCACTCGATTATTGACACGCACTCAAATAGAAGCGAAGGAAGCCAACAAGGTGGAAACAAAATATCAACTCTGTGGTATGATTACACATCAAGGTGCATCATCAATTCATGGTGGTCATTTTGTGGCCTATGTTAAAAGCTCGAATGGCATGTGGTACTGTTTAGATAATGAATCCGTAAGTTGAAATACTACATCAGGAGAAAAGAATATATAGATGTATTAGTTTTTTTTTTGGATATTGATCATCTTACTTTCTTATATTAGGTTCAACAAGTCAATGCCAAGCGATTAGCAAACCAACAAGCATACATGTTATTTTACACGCAATACGTCAGTCATGTATCTCGACCCAAATCTACACCAGCACCAGCGCCCTCTGTCTTATTAGATGTCAATACACCAAATGAAACTACAAGTGATAAGGACGAAGAGGAACCCATGGAACAACCACCAAATGATGATGATGATGATGATGATGATGATGATGATAAAAAGGCGTTAGAAAAAGCGATGGAAGAAGCGAAAAGGAAACCCAAGGTGGAAAATACTGCTGCGATTGTGGTCAATCACGATGATAGAATGGATGACAAACGTAGCAAGTTGGATGCATTGATTGAACGGGAAGCAACACAAAGCAACAGTCAAAAGGCGAAGGATGAATTACTTACCAAGGCAAATGGACAATTCTTTGATTCTGTGGGTAGATGGGATGATCAAGAAGAAGATATGGGTACAACTGTGGATAGCAAAGAAAAGGAACGCAAGGCATTATTACAACAAATGAAAACCAAGCGAAAAAAGATGGATGCCTATGATTTGGATTATGATCGTGGCAAGATCAAGAAAGTCAAGAAGAAACGACATGAAAAGTTTGGTCAACCTAATCTCTTCCAAGCCATGGCGGACAATGCAGCTTCAAAAACTAAGGTTAAAAATAAGCAATAAATGATTATTCCCCCACTTTTTACATATTATAGTAGTAAACAGTAGTAGATATTTTTTATTGGTTATACTTTGTTTGATTGAAATAATAAAAAAAAAAAAAAAACTAGTAGACAAAACTAAAACTAAACCGAAGAAAACACATTCATGATGAATGCCACATTTGAAGCCACAACTCTAAACCAATGAAGGGAACCCCATTGAGCTATCAAGTCAATGAACTGGGAGTTGGCGACGGCATCAGGGGGAGCGACTGCGGATTTACGGTCCAAAGCTAAGATTTGTTTGTTGATAGGAAGCAGAAAGACAATGGAATAAGGCACACTGATGAACGACAAGAGACCACACCATAATGCTTGTCGATTGCGCGTCTTGTAATATATATAAAAATGACAAATACTAGACACCAACATACTACTTACTGCCAACTTGCCTCCTCTTTCCAATGTCCGCGTAAATACAGGTATGGGATCCTTGCATCGTTTCAAACTTGGAAGTGTCACCACCGCCACTGTTAAAGTAGTACTTGCAAACAAACCATTGGAAAGCAAAGATAGACCTCTTCCATATGCTAAATGAGACATAGTAACCAACTTGTTTTGAAAAAATGAGGCAAATACTACTGATAAAAAAGTAAGAGAAAAAAAAAATAATAATAATAAAAAAGGCAAAAAGTTGAAACGAAAAGAAGGTCAGCTGCGGAGATGCAAAGTCTGATCATGCTAAAGAGAAAAGAAACAATCCCATCCAACCATGAATTAGACTTGTCACGAGGATATGTATCCTCATGTCAAGTATAGGGTTAAGGTAAAAAAAGCAATAGGAAAGAGGGTCTTAGAGTATTCCCTATAGTTAAAAAAAATATTATATTATCCATATAACATAACGATAATGATGCATAATAAATTGAAAAATAACTAGTTGTATTCCTTTTTTTTTAATAAACATAAACATCATATTTTCAAATAACCATATACAAAAAAAAAGAATCATATTAAAATAAATCTTTATTAAAATCATTTTCAATAAAATAAAAACTTAAAACTATTCAAGAGTAAAAAAAGATATTGAAAATAAAGGCAGCATTACCAACCAGGACCTTGAACCACTGACGATGACCCCATTGGGTAATCAGATCATTGATCTTGAAAGAATCATCCGTTGTCGATTTTTCCTGTAAGACCGTAAGTTGATTATTGATGGGTAGTAAGAAAGCTACGGTATAAGGAAGACCAACAAAGGAGGCAACACCACACCAAAGTGCACGAGGATTCTTTGTCTTGTAATAAATATAAAGATGACATCCACTTGAGACCAAGACACTACTTAGAGTCAATATGTGTGCATTGTCAACCGAACGTGTGAATACTGGTAAAGGATCCTTGCATTCTTTTAAACTTGGGATCGTCACTGCCGCTAATGTCAGACCGACACCTGCATAGATGCCATTGGAGAATAAAGAAATACCTCTAGCATTAACCAAATGGGACATGATTATTTATTATTATTATTATGATTGAAAATGTAATTGTTTGTTTGTATTATATAATATTAAAAAAAAAAAAAAAAAAAAAAAAAGAAGAAAGAAAGGAAGCAGGAGAAGGTAAAAAAAAATGTCAAACTTTATTGATTGGATTTAAAAATACCGCAGTTGAAGTAGGGAAGGCACACACATGATAACTAAAAAAAAAAAAGCTAAACAAAACCATACAATTTTGATTTAATAGTAAAACACATTGATCATCAAAGCAGACAACCCCGCCATCGTTCTAAACCATTGATGATGATCCCATGAAGTCACGAGGGTGTCTATTTTCTTTGTATCCGTGGAATTTTGGTCCGCCAATGCAAATAGTTCGTTGTTGATAGGACGCATGAATTGTATAGTGAAGGGAAAAGATACAAACGATAAAATACCACACCAGAGAGCATGTTTGTTGTTGGTTTGATGATAGATATAAAAATGACAGACAGATGAGATGACAATAGACGCAATGGCAATCTTGGATCCATTCTTGTAAGTGGTTGTAAACACAGGTAAAGGATCTTTGGTTGCACGCATGGTGGGAACACTTATTGTTTCATTAGATATCAAAAAAAAGGATATTAGTCATTGAACGTTTATTATATTTCTCGTGTGATTTTTTTTTTTTTTGTCTTTTTTGTTACCTAACACCATTCATACTCAATCCTAAACCGGCAAAGATACCGTTGGCTATACATATATAAAGAATGTAAGAAAAGAGGATAAGATTACCAGTTCAATCCATAATTCACTTTATTCACTTACCAACAAGTGAGATACCTCTAGCATACACCAAATGAGACATTATAAAAAAGAAAAGAAAAAGTCAAGAAACAATAAGAAAAGGAAAAGTGTGAAAATAAAAAAAAAATTGAACATCCTATTTTTTTTTTTTATTTGATTTCGAACACGGAAAAATTTCGGCAAGACACGGCAATTACAAAAAAAAAAAAAATGGAATGAAAACTGCCTTTAAAAAGATACTAATGCTATATGGAAAGGAGAAGAATGATAAAAATACAGTATATAATATATGAATAAATAAAAGACTACGTTTAACACAAAGGTACATTGACGGCGAGACCACCTTGACTAGTTTCCTTATACTTGGACATCATATCCAAACCAGTTTGACGCATAGTTTCAATAACTTGATCCAAAGAGACACGATGATCACCTTCACCATTAAGAGCCAATTGCGCAGCCGCTACAGCCTTAACAGCAGCAAGAGCATTTCGTTCAATACAAGGAACTTGAACTAGACCATTGACAGGATCACATGTCAGACCCAAATTGTGTTCCTAAAAAAAAAAAAATATGAGATCAAAAAATCATCATAGATTTATATTGATTCTTTTTACCATTCCAATTTCAGCAGCATTTTCTACTTGTTCTACAGTTCCACCCAATACAGCAGCAAATCCACCAGCTGCCATAGAACAAGCAACACCCACTTCACCTTGACATCCAACTTCCGCAGCTATACATTAAAAAAAAAGGAGTTATTTTCTTTCATATTCTTATTTGTTTGTTTTGTTTATTTATTTGTTTTTGTGGATAATTACCAGAGATAGAAGCACCACGTTTGAATAACATGCCAATGGCAGCAGTAGTAAGCAAGAATTCCATAACATCATGTTCAGGATCTTCAGAGATGAATTCCATATAGTATTTCAAAACAGAGGGAATCTATATCCGTATATATTAGAATAAAAGTTATTTAGTACATATCATCATATCTTTCTTGATTCCTTTTTTTTTTTTTTTGTATATTACCGTGCCAGCTGCACCATTTGTTGGGGCTGTAACAATACGGTTACCTGCAGCATTTTCTTCATTGACAGCAATAGCATAGACTGAAAGATAATCCAAAGCTAGAAATAAATAAATAAAAATAAAAAAAGAAGAGAGAGAGTAAGTATTCATTCATTGAAATTTAAAAAAAAAAATTACCTGGTAAAAAGAACTTTTTCCGTTGACGCTTGGGTAACACAGATAACGAAAGAGGAGAAGATTTCTTATCATGATGACCAAAGTTTTCAGCAACCACAGGTTCAGAAGTAGGAAGAGCAATTTGAGAGCCTTGATAAGTTGTCTTGGTAGGTACAGGACCATACAAACCTTTCAATAATTTCTGGTACAATCCGGGAGCACGACGTCGTACATTCAATCCACCAGGTAATCGTTCTATTAAAAGTAAGGTTTAGAAACAAACTTTCTATATAATAATTTTACATGTTTATTTACCTTCAGTACTCGCCATCACACCATTACGAATAGAATCATCCATGGTATTCCAAATACGTAATAACTTTTCTCTGATTTCGGCAGGAGTAGACCACTTGAGTTCATTTTCATAAACTACTTGAGCAATAGTCATATTTTCTCGTTTGCAAACGGCAATCAATTCTTCAGCATTTCTAAAGGGTAAACTGACCACAGCGATATCTTGTTCTTTTCTTTCAGCCACCACGTCGTCAGCTTTGTCTTCTTGTTTGTAATACACATTTTCACCATGATCCAATTGAGTTGCTTCATTCACAACGAATCCACCACCAATACTGAAGTATTCATTTGTTGCAATCATATTGGTATCCTTATCATAGGCACAGAGTCGCATTCCATTAGGATGTTGAGGTAGTGTCTTGAAATAATTGAAAATCAAATGTTTTTCAGGATCAAAATGGATACGATGAGTACCATCCAAACGAATGGATTTGTTGGTATGAATATCACGGATTCGTGGTAAAATGGTGGATGTTTCTACCTTATCAGGAGTCTAAAATAAAATAATAAGATCATGTTAATCATATGAAATCAGATTTGAATGTTTTAATTTACCTCTCCTTCAATACCCATTAGGATTGCATTATCAGTTCCATGACCTTTACCAGTCAATGCCAATGATCCAAACATATCTATTTATAATAATAATAATAAAAGAATTTTTAAGACCATCATATAAAAAAAAAAAAAAAAGGACGTAAATGTTTCCAAAAGTAGAAATCTTACCAACACGAAGAGTATCGACTTTTTCTAACAATTGATGTTCTTTTAAATCATTGATAAAAAATTTAGCAGCACGCATAGGACCCACAGTATGAGAAGAAGAAGGACCAACACCAATAGAGAATAAATCAAAAGTAGAGACTACAGCATGGTGATCAGCATTTGGATCTTCTTTTTCTTGAATTTCAGCTACTGTAGAAGAATAATGACGAATACGACCAATCAATAAACGAGTGGTAATAGGTTGAACCACTTTATAGGTATTCTTCTTGAATAGATGAAGCATGAGATAATGTAAGAAAAAAAAAGTGGTCAAAAAGAAAGATAAAGAGAAAAGAAAGGGGGAAGAAAAAAAAAAAAAGAAAAAGAGTATTTTTTTTTCTATCTGAAGTTTAAATTGAATTTTCCCAGGAGCACCACCAATCAAATGGCGTTCCTTTCAATGTCCTTTAGAAAAAAAATTTTCCCCTCTGCATAAAGAAAAAAAAAAGATCGTCTTTTGTTCCTTTTTACATTATTTTCCCTTTCATGTAATCATTGAATGTATTTTACTACTTGAAACAAAAACATAGGATTAAAATGAACTTTTTTTTAATGATGATAACAACAAACATCAGTCTGATTGCAGTATTTGGAAAATAATGAAGGGGAAATTAGGGAAAACTAAAAAGTTTTTTTTTAATTCCACCGAGTCAGGCGGGAATTATAAAAAAAACTAAAGGAAACTTGAAACAAAAGATTATACACTGTTTTCACTATAAGATGTCGTTTAAAAAATAAATCATATCGCGGATATTGAAATAGAATGTCGTGAGATTAGAAAAATGATGACAGAATAAAGGCAATGAAATGTCGTACCAACAGAGATAGGATTGTCGCAATCAAAATGAAGCATAAAAGAGAAAGAATAAGGTGAGATCAGTATATTGTTTAAAATGAGTGTATCATCATCCTTACCAATATATATATATAATATAATCCAAAGAACCAAGTCAAATCAAGTAAAATAGAGGAGATCATATAAAATAAAATAAAATGATAATAGTGAGTATCTATTCAAAAAAAAAAAAAAAAAAAAAAAAACTTACGCCGAAGCTGTTGTCAGACGTCGTAATAACGGAGCCGCCGCCTCACACCACATGGCGTGGACTTTGTTCAGTATATTGTAAAAAGAAAAACCAATCACAAAAAATCTTGTCCAATGATTTGACCGTAGCACCGGAGAGCAATGCATGTTGATGATAGAGTGTCTCGTCCAAAAGAGTTTTTACATTGTTTATAAGATTCACAATTTGGGTTCATACAATTTGATGTGCCATTATTTGTTAAAATCTTGCCATTTTTCTTCTTTCTCGGGTGAACTATTCTACCATAACAGAAAGGACAGATCATTGAAGTACGATGTTCATTCGTAACAAGGACAACACCGTGCTGACTACAAAGACGTCTATGCCATTTGCCACCATACTTGAGATGACCTTTGATGCGCGATCCTACCCCAGTCCCGGCGTCTCCAATAGCTCGAATTAAAATATTCTTGCCTGCTAACGTTTGTCGTTCTCGTTTGATCATCTCCTTTAACGTGTACTTCTTTCTCCACTGCATTAATCGTTGTTGGCGTCTGATCCACTTTGAACCGTAAAATTTTCGCAGAATTGAGCCTTGATCACGTATTTTGTCATATCTTTGAATCAAATCGACAGCATCTTTTGCCTTGTACATCGTATTTTCACCCACTATTTTCTCCGCAATTGTAGCTTCTTTACCAGCGTCTGTGCTCTACATCACATCCACAAAAAAAAAAAAAAAAATCATCGTCAGTGGCTCATCTTTTTTTTTTTTTTTTTTTTTTTTTTTTTTAAATGAGGGATGATTTTACCTTTTTTTTCCGTTCAAGCTTTTTCCGGAAGTGATATCGTCCAGTTTTCCATTCAATGTCCTTTGCCGTCATGGTGGTTGGTCTTTGTAGCTTGACAAATTTGCCGTTTTGTATGGAATCCAATTGCTCCACCGTATGTCCTACAGTAGTTGCTAAAGTAGCTACACCATAGTCTGTCCCTGTAATGATGCAGTTTTTGATATCGAAATCCAATGTCACATGTTTCGGGCTTTCTTCCATTCTTGATGTTGGCGTAATTTTTGAAGGTGGAGGAGGAGATGTTTTTTTCGTCTTTGGCCGTTGCTTTCTACGATTCTTTTTTGTTTAAATTAAATCAAGCTAAGTGTCAGTAAAGCCCAGAATATAACTATATCGAGATCAAATTACCTTTTCCAACTGATAGCGTATTTTCCGATTCACTGCCAATTCATCTTGAATTCTATGCACTGCTTGAGTGGCCGCCTGTTTCTGTCGTTTCAATTCCTTTTCTTTGCCTACATCTTCGAAAAGCTTGCTAGTAAAAACATTGTCGATATTCTCGGTTTCTTTCGCCTGCGCTTTTTCCTCCCGCATCACCTTGCGATGATCATCTAGCTGCTTGGTAAAAGATCGCTTCAGTTTCGCAGCATTCACTTGGTCCTTTTCCAACTTGTTGATATTATTGGTGATCGTATCGAGAGTATGGACCGTCTGGAATTCGTTCGATATAATATCCTCGGAAAACTTGAGCCGTTGTTGATATAATGATTGTTGTCGTGGTTTCTTTGTAATCCCAATCAAGGAGGTGTCGTTAGCAGGGGTAATATCCATGCGATACACAAATTCGAGGCCATTCTTCTTGCAAATGGAGTCCACGACGTTCAAATCAAACAGACAATCAAAGACATCTCGTTTTTTGTGACGTGACAACGCAATGCTTGTGATTCCTTTCTTGGCCATGTCAAGTGTTTTTCCAAAAAGTTCATATAAAGATGGTGCATCAAGAGACAAAGAGTAAATAGACGCCTGTGATACGATTGGAGAATAGCGCATGCAAAATTGTTGGTAGCCACAAAGACGCAACACCTCGTTGCCAAAGATGATCATGTTCAGTCTAAAATACTTTGGCTTGTCATCACCAACAATGAAAAGCTTGAGATAACGGTAGACGGTTTGCCTGGCACGAATTTCCTTGTCTAATAAATCCAATCTCTTGGCATGGTCTTTCAACAGTGTTGCATCAAGAGTGCTTGCTTTTTCTGATAAGAGCATATGTACAAGGATGCCTCCCAAAGATCCAATTCTGCGAGCAGAGACGTCATTATTGATTGATGGTAGCTGCAAGTCGTCCAATTCATATCCAGTAGTATCAAGATCATCATGTACGGCAAGGACATCTAAATCATCATTCAATTCCTAAAGAAAAGAAAAAATCAGATCATCGCATCAACGCATTTCCAACATGCCACACAAAGTACTTACCAAGTTGTCATCATCTTGCTTTTTCTGATCTTCATCGGTGGTGTCCTTTTTTATTTTTTCTTGTTCCAATTTGATACGATCAGCCTTCAGCGCATCCTAAGGGAAAAAATAAATATCAAGTTTAATGTTGATAAAAAAAAAAAAAGACGTAGGCATACAACTACGACTTACCATAACACCTCGTAAGTATGTGATTCGATTTTCATAAGCACAACGTTGTTCATCGGTTAATTGATCGCCCATCTTCTTCAACTTCCACTCTTGTCGACGCATAGCATTTCGAGTATGGTTCCAACGTCCTTTCGCGTCCTTCAATGGGTCTTCTTTGGCCTATACAGAGAAAAAATATATTAATATCAAATTTATCCTAATTGTATTGATTGTCAAATATGACGTTGATATACCTGCTTGACATTCGATGATTTCAAAGCTACAGCCTTTTTCTTCATATCCTGGTGTCTTTGCTCTCTTGTAGGTGCCAACCAAAGTCTTAACAGCAAGCGAACGAGATATCGAAGCATCTTGAAATATGATTGTCCATCCCAAATGTTCTTCATAGACGTTTCTAATTTGTTGTTGTATATAGCTCGAAGGTTAGTCGTGACAAGTGCATCAGGAGCAGGGTGATGCCATTCAATATCCAAATCTACCCAAACCGGATGTTTTTCTTTTGTTGATGCGAGAGTATGGCTAAAATGCGAAGAATACAAATATTGTAAATGTTGTAAGCCAAATAGATCACTTGGCATTTCCTTGTTTCTTGGAGGAGGGAGAGTATTGAAGTTGCCGTTGTTCAGTATAGTTCCATTTCTATGAGCATGTTCTGGTACAAGGTCCGAAGATTTGATATGATCAGGATTATCTATATAAAAAAGTGTCAGTTACTGCCAATTTTTTTTTTCACTTTTTGACATACCATTGCCAAAGGATACTGTGGCATACTTCAGAATTGTTGCCTGCAAAAGCGCCGCCATATCTTCAGAGTACATTGTTACAGCAATTCTTGCATTTTCTACTGTCTTCAAAATATTTTCCAGCATGCCCTTTGAATCTTTGATGTTCTGCTTGACGAGCGTGAGAAACGATTTGTGGAGTGAACGTATCTCTTCCTTTGTTTTCTGTGTAGATGATGATGGTTGTTGTGTAGATGATGATGATGGTTGAGTAGATGATGATGATGGTTGAGTAGATGATGATGATTCTTGTTGTGTAGATGATGATGATTCTTGTTGTGTAGATGATGATGGTTGTGTAGATGATGACGGTTGTGTAGATGATGATGGTTGTGTAGATGATGACGGTTGTTGTGTAGATGATGATGGTTGTTGTGAAGATGATGATTTGGACGATATAACATTAGATACAATACTTTCAAATGATTGTTCCACTGTCTCTTTCCATGTGTCCATGAAGGAAATTGTACGATGAAACTTGCCAGAGAATGTTCCAGTCGGTTTCCTACAACTGTCGTCGATGTTTTGTAACAAGCCTCTTGGCAGACGTTTTTTGTTGAGTAGGTCAGACTTCACTTCGGTGTAATCGGAACGACGCGTGACTTCAGAGGTGATGTATCGTTTTATCTCATCCACGAGAGCTTGTTTGGCTTCTACTGCATTAGCTATTGTTAACAAAGGCTTTTTTATTGACGGATCTTCATCAAACTGCTTGGTACGTTTGTGACCCATTAGAGATCAGGATGATTTGAATAAAAAAGAAAGTTATAACAATAAGAATGGAATAGAAGAGAACAGAAAATAAGAATGGAATAGAAGAGAAAATAAGAATGGAAGAGAAGAGAAGAGAAAGTAAGAATGGAAGAGAAGAGAAAATAAGAATGGAAGAGAAGAGAAGAGAAGAAAGAAAAAGGGAAAGATAGGGGAAACGGTATTTTGAGTTTCAGAAATTTGTGACGGACTTTGTAGGTGCACACAAATTGCATGAACATAGTGCGCCTAACCCTTTTTTTTTTTTTTTTTTTTTTTTTTTTTTTTTTTTTTTTTTTTTTTTTTTTACAGGAAGTGATTATGTAGCACAGACTCAGTATCAATGACCTGACATACAAAGTCATGACATCCATTTCGAGCAGAGTAATCAAACAAAAAAGATAAACAGTAAAGATTATTTTGATCATCTTTATACAACGACAAAACAAAAGTGAATATCAAAATAAGAGAAACTAAAAAAGACGACTTTCATTTTGATTGCGACAATCCTATCTCTATTGGTACGACATTTCATTGCCTTTATTCTGTCATCATTTTTCTAATCTCACGACATTCTATTTCAATATCCGCGATATGATTTATTTTTTAAACGACATCTTATAGTGAAAAGATTATATGTGGAGAGTATTATGGGGAAAGAAACGAAAAAAAAAAAAAATCAAGTCCGTCAGAATGATATTACTTATTATGATGATGATGATGATGATTTTCTTTTATTATTATTATGATGGTATAAAGATGATGTACATAAAGATATCCTTTAAGAATGAAAAAGTCCACTCTATTTAAACAAAACAAAAAAAAACACATGATAAGTAATTCCCGAATGATGATTGTTTTATTTACTGCTTTACCTCTATAGGACATGGGAAACTAACTTGTCTTCGAATAGTGATTGACAAAGGAAAAATACCAAATAAACGTACAGTAGGTGTTAAATCATAATACACATCAATATCTTTTGCAGGAAAACCAGATAATCCACATTTATCCACTATATCTTGTAACATGCCTGCTGTAGCATTATTAGGATTATACATGATTTGAAATGGAAAAGTAATATTGGTAACAGAATATGGATTGATGGTCAAATCATTAATACTGCCTCCTCCAACAGGTTGATGCGGTGCTGTGGGATAGAAAGCCTGTTTTTTTTCAAGCCACAACCATAAAAAAAAAAAAAAAAAAAAGGAGCATCATTAGCTTTCTCTTTATGAATCTTTTTTTTTTTTAATTCTTTCTTACAGTGGCTTTTAAACTATCAAAATGAGCACTTTCAATATTTGGATTTACTATACCTAATTTAAACCCTAAATTAATTTCAAAAGCCATTGCTGCTAAAGCATCATCCACTTTGAAACGAGATTCTTCATTCTCTACTAATCCATTGTAATCTACTGTCGGTATTTTAAAAAGTGCTATCAAGCTACCTAGTACTATCATGGCAGCAACAATGGCTAATAAACCTATACAACATAAACATCTAATACCAATAGGACAACATGGAAGGCAAATACAACAAATAGAATGACAACAAGACGTATCTAGATTATAAAAAAGTTGAAATATAGATTTTTTTTATTATATCTTCTTTTTAATTTTTACTTTGTTGTTGATGATTTATTTCTTTATTATAATCCATCATCGCTTCATGATCATATCTCTTATTACTTTTCATTTTAAAATAACCTATAGATGATGATGTTACGCTAAAAGAATAAAATAATATGAAATAAATAAAAAAAAAAAAGAAAAGAGAGATAAAAATCAATTTTCTCCCCATTTTTTTTTTATCATTTATAGTAGGGAGGGGAGAAGTAGTGAAGGGGTAAAGAATGAAGTTTGAAGGAGAGTTTTTTTTTTTATTGAATGTGCCTGGGCCACTTTCCATAATAATACATTCTTTTTCTCTTTTTATCATATCTAAATTTCATACTCAGTCCAAAAGGCTGTCAGCCACCGCACGTGATGAACTTTTTCCTTTGAATACTGGATATTTTTTTTCATCCCCCGTTTTTTTTTTTGCTCTCTCTCTCTTTTCTCTATTCATTTTTTTTTTTTTTTTGCGCGTTCTACCTTATCCTTTTTTTTTATTGTAACAGTCAATTCTGATCGTGTCGTGCTAAAAGTTGTTTTTGTCTTTTAACAAAGCAATCATAGCTCCATACTATACTTTATTTGAATATATTGTAAGTAATGATATATACTTAAAGCTCTCTTTTTGTTGTAACGTTTCTAATAGAATATTTACCTTTCTTTTTTTTTTTTAATTCATGTTGGCAGGTACCACTTTTTATAGTGCATAGGAGCTGTCAAATATTCCTTTTAAAAGCACGGTGAATATGACAACATTACAAGTATACGCGCATAGACTAGGTGATCCTAACTTGGGTAAAATAAATAAATAAATGAAATATATTAAATATATTATATCCTTTTTGAGAACTAAACCTTTTTTTTTTCTTTTTTCTTCAAATAGGTATTGGTCTCAAAGTAACGATCGCCAACGAATTACGTGATCAAGTCGAAGTCTTTCAAACTCTAGAGTATTCAAGGTTTTTATCCACTCTCATACCTGTCTTCCTTGATATATTACAAAATGGCACACCTGTGTTTGTCAGTACTGCACCAGAACAAGTAAGTAATTATGTCATTATATTTTTATATACATATAGACTCACTTTTCTTTTTATTCTCTTTAGAAATTAAGAAATATTATTCTCGAAATCATTTATCGATTACCACAAACTGAACCTCTCAAAGAATATTCACCAGAATTATGTCGAACACTTATGCATCTATTACGTGTAGAAAACGAAGATAATGCTGTTGTTTGTGTCAAAATCATCATTGACTTACATCGATCCTTTCGACATGTACTAGAAGACCAGGTTCAACCTTTTTTGGATATTGTACAAGAAATTTTTCGCAATATGGAACAAACTGTAAAGGATGCCTTTGATGCTCCAAGTACTCCTGCAGCTGGTTCTGTTACGGTAAGTTCTATATATATATATATATTATTTGGAAACATTTGATATAACTTTTTGTTTTTTTTTATAATATAGCCTGGTCCTAATGCTCTTTTAGCAACATCTCCACGTCCAATGTCTCCTGCTGCTGATATACCGGAAACTCCATCCAAAGTCCTAGCAAAAAGTTTATTCAGCTTCAAAGTCCTTACCGAATGTCCTATCATTGTTGTATTATTATTCCAATCTCACCGTCGCTATGCTGCTGAAAATATAATGAAATTCATTCCTCTCATTTTTTCTGTAAGTTTGAATTTATCATCATCATGAACTATTCTTTTAATCTTTTTTATTATTATTATTATTTTGGGATTTGATAGACATTGAACTTACAAGCACGACCACAAACTGAAGCCTCAAATGCTGCAATTGCCCGTGGTGAAGTTTTTGTTGGTGTCAGCCCAGAAATCAAAAATCGTAGTGTCTACAATGATTTTATTGTCGCTCAAGTCAAGGTAAAAAAAAAAATAATAATAATAATAATAATAAATAGAAAAAAAGAAAGAAAGAAAAAGTCCTTTTGAATCTTAATTTTTTATATTTGATAGACCATGTCATTTTTGGCTTATATACTACGAAGTTATACAACTCTATTACGACCTTATCAAACGCAGATTCCTGATTTTGTGCTTCGTTTACTACGTGAATGTCCTCCAGAATCTTCTGCAACAAGAAAAGTAATATCAAAAAATCATTATTCATAAAAGTATATCAGGAACTAACAAATTTACCTTGTTTTTTTTTTTCTTATAGGAACTATTGGTGGCAACAAGACATATTCTATCAACCGACTTTCGTACATCCTTTGTTCCTAAGATTGATCTTCTATTGAATGAAAAGGTGTTGATTGGTACTGGTGTTACATCTCATGATACATTACGGTAAAAAAAAAAAAAAAAAAAAAAAAAAGTTTTATTCCAGATTTACTAATTTCCTTTTATTATTATTGTTATTATTAGACCATTGGCATATAGTATGCTTGCTGATTTGGTCCATCACATTCGTTCTGATCTCTCAACTTCCCAACTCTTCCGAACTGTGTATATCTATTCAAGGAATCTTCATGATGGCACTCTTGCACCAAGTATTCAAACAATGTGTGGTAAATTATTATTAAATCTGATTGACTGTATTATCAAAATTCCAAACAAATCTGAAGGTAAGTTGTATTAAAAAAAAAAAAGAATAGGAAAAGCATCAAGCGTACTGATTTTCTTTTTATTATCACTAGGACGGGAATTATTGATGCGAATACTGGATGCATTTGCAAGCAAATTTGCTGCTCTTAACAACCAATTCGGAACATCTTTACGTCAATACCAAAAGAAGAAACAAGCTGTTGAAAACCCTGACTCAATGGATGTCGATATTGAAACGGATCAAGATGATTTTGATTTTGATCGTACTAGATCTATTCATACAGCAACATTTGTGCCCGACTCATCACACGATGGAATCAAAGGTATTGAAAGAAATGATTCAATTAGAACTATATACTAATGACATTTTATTATCATTATTATTCTTTTCTTATAGATGGTAGATTTCTATTCAAGAATCTTGCTATTGGTCTCAAGCCTCTGTTCATTGGTATGCGACATTGCAATCCTCCTGCTAATAGTGATGAAATCAATTTACAAGCTTATGGTCAATTCTCTCGTGGTTTCTCTCAAGATGATGTTGAAATATTCATAAGACTTTTCCGTGAAGGTCTTATGTGTTTTGAATACTACAATGTCGATAGTTATGGCCTTGATGGTTCTCCACCAAATCATACTACAGTTGCTAATGATCCTACCAAGGATGACAATTCAGTGGGATGCAACGATGCGGCGCTAAAGTTAGGCACTCAACCTGTACCTGAAAAAGAAATATTGGACCTTTTTTCTGTTGTCTTTACCTTATTGGATCCTGCTGTATTCCAAGAAATATTCGCCTCTCAAATCGACTTCTTTTTCCAACGTATACTGGTCAACACTTCTCTACTGCATATTGCCCAATACTTTTTGATGAATGATGTATCTTCTCAAGGCTTTGCTGGTATCTTGGTGAAGTTTCTTATTGATCGTATTGAACGACTGGGTGATGATGATATTCATTATTCTGCTGTCATGTTACATCTCTTCCGGTTGACATTCATGGCTATCAATTTTTTTCCTGATACAAACGAATCCATTCTCCAACCTTATCTTAGCAATCTCGTGATGTCGTGCTTCAAGCTTTCTGCCAAGGCGAAGGAACCTGCCAACTACTTTTTACTCTTGCGTGCCTTATTCAAAAGTATCGGTGGTGGTCGTTTTGAACTTCTATATAAGGAAGTATCTCCATTACTCCAAGTTGTTCTTGAAAACCTCAACTCTCTTCTTACTTTGGCCCACAAACCTGCTATGAGAAATCTCTTTGTTGAACTTTGTCTGGCTGTACCTGTCCGTCTTAGTACTTTACTACCTTATTTACCCTATTTGATGCGTCCATTGGTGATTGCTTTACGTGCTGATCAAGAATTGGTATCTCAAGGTCTACGAACAATGGAACTTTGCAACGACAACTTGAACCCAGAATTTTTGGATCATATTATGGCACCAGTGATGAAGGAATTAATGGATGCTTTATGGAGTCATCTCAAACCGTTACCATATAACCAACAACACAGTCATGCTGCTATGCGAATATTGGGAAAACTTGGTGGAAGAAATAGGCGTATGCTCAAAAGTCCTCCTCGGTTGGAATATAATGAACGTGGTGAAAGTGGAGTCTCGGTGGAAATTGTATTTGATGCAAGCAATACTCCTTATACTTTGGCACTAGACAAATGCTTACAAGTAGCCGTCAATACTTTAGAAAGAAGAGATGTGGATATGTTTTATAAACGACAAGCTTACGATTTCCTCAAAGCCAATATTGCCATCATGTTAGATTTGGATGAAGGAACTGATACATTGGATCAATCACTCTATCAGCGTATACAAGAACATATTGCAAATGCCAACAGCAGCGAAGTATCATCGTCAACGGATTCCACTCAATTAACTAAAACATCATCATCATCATCCACTACAACAACGACAACAGATGAAGACAACACTGTCGTAGGACACAAATTTAGAGAAAGTGATATGATGCCCAAACGACTCACTGGAAATGGATATACACGGTATCTTGCAAAACGAGTGGCTCAAGAAGACTCCTTACGAACGATCTTAGTGGCATGTATGAAAGCATCAACTATCGAAGAATTATCAGAAGATGCAACCACCTTCTTTCAACATATCTGTCGACATTTTGCTCTTCTTCATGTTGGTGAAGCAATTGATGCCAAGGATGGTGGAGTTAAACCTTTATCGGATATGATGGATGAACGATTGACAGTACAGAATTTGAATACGACTATCTTGGTGGATGCCATTGTTGAAGTGATTGCTTCTGAAAATGCAGATTTACGAAAATGTGCGGAACAAGCTTTACAACTTTGTTTTGAAACGGCAACGGTGATCATGGGCGGCAAGGAACATGTTTGGCGACTTCCTATCTTCAGAGTATTTGCTGCTCAATTCTGCTCATGCTGTTATAAACAAGAATGGTACAAGAAACGTGGTGGATGTCTTGGTATCTCAATTATGAGCTCTCAATTGGATATGGGAACCAAATGGATGCGGGAACATGAACTGGAATTTATTCGTGCCTTACTCTTTGTACTAAAAGATGCCTCACCCGAAATGGCGAATGTCAATACTGCAGAAGCTACTCAAACTCTTTCTCATGTACTCAAGGTGTGCAACCGACCTGAAGACGATGAATCTCAAGAAGCTCAACAGAAATTCCAAAACTTGATTGCCCTTTTACTCAGCGAACTTTCCAATTCCAACAGTACGGTGCGTGAAACTATTCAATCCTCTTTCCAATTGTTGGCCGATTTGACAGGGAACGAAGTAACAGAACTACTGGCTCCTGTTCGTGAACGATTGGTGGCTCCTATCTTTGCAAAACCTCTACGTGCTTTACCTTTTGCCATGCAGATTGGTCATATTGATGCTATTACCTATTGTTTGACCTTGAGACCTCCCTTTTTGGAATTCAACGATGAATTGATCAGGTTATTACATGAAGCCCTGGCGTTAGCAGATGCTGAAGATCAAGCTCTGGTTAGTCGCAGTTCCCAATACAAGAATGCTACTTCACTGATGAACCTCCGTATCGTATGTATCAAGCTTCTTTCTGCTGCGATGGCATGTTCAGATTTCTCCAATCAACGACAAACTCATACTCGTGCTCGTATTATTCAAGTTTTTTTCAAATCTTTATACTCCAAATCGCCTGAAGTGGTAGAAGCTGCTCATCGTGGATTGAAACAAGTATTGGCTCAACAACACAAATTACCCAAGGAACTACTACAACAAGGTTTGAGACCCATTTTGACGACTCTTTCCAATCACAAGACGTTAAGTGTGGCTGGTTTAGAAGGATTGGCACGTTTATTGGAACTTTTGACGAATTATTTCAAGGTTGAAATTGGGAAAAAGTTACTGGATCATCTCAAACAATGGGCAGAACCTAAAGTCCTTCAAGAAGTGGCAGGCAAATCACTGAATGAAAATCATGAAGTCAAGATCATTGTGGCTATTCTCAACATTTTCCATCTACTTCCATCTGCTGCTCATATCTTTTTGGATGAATTGATTACAGTTGTACTTGACATGGAACATCATCTTCGAAGATCGGTCTCAAGTCCATTCAGACCTAATTTGATCAAGTATTTGAATCGATATCCCACTGAAACGGTTGCTTACTTTTATGAACGCCTCAACACGCCACGATGCAGTCAATTATTTATTTCTATATTGGCTACGGAAAATGCTTCTCAACTACGAAAAGAAATTGCCGAGAATCCTTCTGACTTGATGACCAAAACTTTCAAAACCGAAAACGACAATCTACATTATCAAGGTGTACTGATAGTACGACAACTTGTGCACTTTGACGCAACTTGGCTTAATGGACAACGTGCTGTACTGGATTGTTTATTACAACTTTGGCGATCACCGACACGATTTGAACGAATGAAGAAGGATGATCAACAAGGTGTTCAAGTGACAAGGGAATCTTTGTATATTGCCAAAATCTTTATCGTCTATCTTCGCAACAATAAAGATGATATAGATCTTGTATTTGATTTGGTATCTCTTTTTGTTCAAGAATCAGTCATGGATTTATCTTTCCTAAGATCCTTCTTTTTGGAAGATATCGCTTTACATTCATCACCGGCTAGAAAACGCAAGATTTTGGAACGATTCTTGAAACAATTCTCTGATGGATCTATTTCACCATATCTCAACATGATGACGCTTCGACATGTTGTCAATCCTTCTTTGTTGGTAGCCTTTTCTCGCAAAAATGGTGGCTATGAGAAAATATGGGATGCAAAAATGACTGAGCAGTTGAACTTCAAGATGTTTGGGCAACTGATGACCGATTCTGCAAATGAAGATAATCAATACACCGAAGACTCACTGCGAATTGAATTACTACAACTGGTGGCAATGACTGTACAATACGCTGCTCCTCTATTGGCTGATATGCGCAAAGAAGTGATCAAATTTGGATGGAATTACTTACGATTAGAAGATGCTACAAGCAAACAAGCTGCCTATGTGTTGATTGCCCGTTTTATTGCAGCTTACGAAACTCCTAGCAAGATTGCCATTCAAATTTATGCTGCTCTATTGCGTGCTCATTTATCCGAGGCTCGTGGTTTGGTGAAACAAGGTTTGGATATATTAGCGCCAGTGTTACCAAAACGTGTACCATTACAAGCATCAGAACGTGTACCAACCTGGGTTCGTCTTACTCGAAAGGTCGTGGTGGAAGACACTCATAGTATCTCTCAAATGGTAAATGTCTATCAACTTTTGGTTCGTCATCCTGATTTATTCTATGATTACCGTGAACATTTCTTACCACAAATTGTCAATACTCTCCCCAAGCTTGGATTACTTCAAAATGCTACACCTGAACACAAGTTATTGACTGTCGAATTAGCAGATTTGATTTTGAAATGGGAAAGAACACGGTTGGAAAATACCAAATCATCATCATCATCAGCAACGGAGGTGGATCAACAACAGACAACAACAACATCATCATCATCAACAACATCATCAACAACACCATCAACAACATCATCAACAACAACGGCAGTTGGATCAGAGAAACGTGCTGCTACTGAAGCATCTGGTGGTGATTCTCCAAGAAAAAAGGCTCAAGTCGAAGGGGCTTCTGGTGAAATTAAGGCTATGGCGACTGGTGAAGATAACAACAATACTACTGCTACTACTACTAGTCAACCGAAGGAATATGTGCCTAGTCTAACATTACGGGAGAATGTAGTTGGTTATTTGGTGCGACTTGCTTGTATTATTTCCAATCCTACTGATCTTTTACAACGAAGATTAGTACAACGTGTCTTGGATCTCATCAAAGAACTTTTGGTCCCATCTATGTGGTCTGATGTGCATGTCAAATTTTCTCATTTGGAAAGAACCTTAACTCTCAAGGAAATGTCTGAATTGTTGATCCCTAGTGTATGTAGTACTTTGGAAGTATTGAATATCGACATTACTCACAAACCTGCCGAATGGTTTATTGTCAACATGAATCAACTTTATCGACTCTTGGAAATAAGTATCAAATCGGACAACGTGCGAATTCAAACAGCTCTTCATCCTGTGTTGGTTCATATCTTCCAAGCTATTCATCAAACAACATCGACAGAAACGACAGAACAAGAATCACAACATCCTGATATAGCAGCCTTTATTGCTCTGGTGGATTCAACGATTACGGATGGTATGGCTAGTATGAACAACATGTATGCAGTGATGAAACTTTTGGAAGCTGCAAGCAGTAGCAGAAGTGAACACTTGGATCCTTTCGTCCCCGGGTTAGTTAAAATGTTACAAAAGCTCACCAAAGAACATACAGTACCAGCACATGCTACATCACAACAACAGCAGCAACAGCAACATCAACAGCAGCAGCAACAACAACAACAACAACAACAGCAGCAGCAGCAGCAACAACAGCAAATACCTGGTCAACAAGCGGCAGCGGCGGCGGCAGCAGCAGCTCAATTAGCAGCATCTTCAGCTAATGGTGGAGTTCTTACGGCAAATGTGGATTCTCAAGTCAATCTATTGATACTCGGCCTCAATCTTCTCAAGAAACGTATCTCTCATCTTGGTGATCAACGACGATGGTTCTTGACATGTTTAATCCAATTGATTGAAAAATCACCAGATGTTCAACTCTTACGAACTATTTTGAATATGCTCAGTGAATGGACTTTGGAAAAACCGGAAACCTTCCCAACTATCAAGGAAAAAGCTGGTCTTCTAGTGAAAATGATGTCATTTGAAAATCGCAACAATGCCAAATTGACAGAAGATTTTTTGAACCTGGTGATCAAGATTTACAACAATCCTTCTTTTGTCAGATCAGAATTGACGGTCAGATTGGAACAAGCATTTTTGTTAGGTACTCGTAGCTCGGATCCTCATATTCGTACACAGTTTATGCGTACTTTTGATCGTAGTCTTGGACGTACTTTGTATAATCGTTTGAATTATATTTTGGGTGTACAAAATTGGGAATTCCTGGCGAACTCATTCTGGTTACATCAAGCTCTAGATATTCTCTTTGGCGTGGTCAAGATTAATCCTCGTGTATCCCCTCCTCACACACTCAAGATCAAACCTATCAAGACCATTGTGAAGAATACAAATGATGATGACAACGGGATGATGAATGTGGATGTACCTTCAGCTTTCCATGATTTGGTGGTCAATCAACAGCAATTCTTACGAGATCTCCAAGGATACGATGTCAACAATGCCATCCTTACTACCAAACAATTACAGTATCTCGATGCTAATACATCATTTGATCTTTGGGTGGAACTATTTCCTCGGTGTTGGTCTGCTTTGAATGCAACAGAAATTCATGATTTGACAAAGGTACTGATTACTTTATTGGCCAAGGATTATCATTCCAAACAAGCGGATCAACGTCCCAATGTGATACAAGCTCTTTTATCTGGTATTGCACATACACATACTATCATCAAGCTTCCTCCTCATTTGGTGAAATATCTTGGACACACTCACAACGCCTGGCATACTGCTATTGAAATTCTACAACGAACATGTACTACTGGTAAGGTACCTGACTCTTCCAAGGATGATCAAAATAATCGCGAACGTACTCTGGATGCTCTTGGAGAACTGTATACTTCATTGATGGAACAAGATATGTTTTATGGACTCTGGCGACGACGTAACACATACAATGAAACTAATGTGGCTGTCTCTTGTGAACAAAGTGGTATGTGGATGCAAGCTCAAAACATGTATGAAAATGCGCAAATCAAGGCTCGTAGTGGTGTACTTCCGTTTGCAGAATCTGAATATATGTTATGGGAAGATGATTGGATTGGATGTACGCAAAAGTTACAACAATGGGATATTCTTAGTGATCTGGCAAAACATGATGGCAACACCAATCTCTTGTTGGAATGTGCTTGGCGCTTATCAGACTGGACAGCTGAACGAGAACTATTGGAACAATCTTTGAAGCAAGTGGCGGATGTCCCTACCACTCGTCACAAGGTGTTTGAAGCTTTCCTCTCTCTCATCAAATCACAAACAAACGAATCTGGTCCTCCCGAATTCACTCGTATCTGTGAAGAAGGTGTACAATTGTCTTTGAAGAACTGGCATGCTTTACCTCCTATTGTATCTCAAAGTCATCTACCCTTATTGGAAACCTTTCAGCAATATTTGGAACTGCAAGAAGCTAGTCAAATCTTCACAAGCTTGATGGGAACAACAGCACAAAATCTGGAACAACGGTCAGCGGAATTACGAAACGTTTTGGGAACATGGAGGGAACGATTACCGAATACCTGGGATGATATCAATGTTTGGAGCAACCTAGTGGCATGGCGACAACATATTTTTAGTGCAATCAATCGAACCTACTTGCCTTTGATTCCTTTACTACAAACTCCTCAAAGTGGTGCTCAAAGTGGACCAACAAATGCGGGTAGTGGCAACTCATTTGCATATCGTGGATATCATGAAACAGCGTGGATCATCAATCGATTTGCTCATGTGGCACGCAAACATCAACTATACGACGTCTGTATCAATTCATTGACCAAGATTTACACTCTACCCAACATTGAAATTCAAGAAGCATTTTTGAAACTTCGAGAACAAGCAAAATGTTACTATCAAAACCATGAATTGACGGCTGGACTGGATGTGATCAACAATACCAATCTGATGTACTTCAAACTTCAACAAAAGGCGGAATTCTTTACTCTCAAAGGAATGTTTTTGGCCAATCTAGATCATTTCAATGAAGCTAACGAAGCATATGTCAATGCTGTACAAATCGATATGTCCTTACCAAAAGCGTGGGCCGAATGGGGAAGATACAATGATCGACGATTCAAGGAAAATCCAAAGGATCTTAGTTGGGCGAACAATGCAGTGAGCTGTTATTTGCAAGCAGCAGGAATTTACAAGAACGCTAAATCAAGGAAATATTTATTGCGTGTGCTCTGGTTACTCAGTCTGGATGATGATCAAGGAATGATTTCTCGTGCCTTTGAAGCTTACAAGGGTGAATGGCCTGTATGGTACTGGATCACTTTTATACCTCAACTGTTGTCGGCTCTTCAGCATCGTGAAGCAAAACATGCTTGTGCTATATTGATTCGAATTGCAAAACAATATCCTCAGGTAAATATTGATCATGAGAAAGAGAATGTTAAAATATAAAAAAAAAAAAAAAAAAAAAAAAAAAATGAATAGGATCTAATTTATCTTTTCTTTTTTTTTTTTGGTAGGCTTTACATTTCCAATTACGAACTGCCAAAGAAGATATGATGAAGAGATCCAATGCTGCTGCTATGGCAAATTCTCTTGCAAACAACACCAATACCAAGGCGAATGCTACAACTTCAACTACAAATACCACCAACGATAGTACCGCTTCTACTGCAACTACTGCTACTACCGCTTCCTCCAATATCAATACTACTGACAACACAACAGGAAATGTTAGTGAAGAAAAAGAAACAGCATCCACCAGTGAAACTACACAAGATAAAACAACTACAACAACCGATGAATCCAAATCAACCAGTACGACCAGTGAAACAAATGGCACGGCAACAAAGACAGAGGGAGGTGATCCTACACCAATGGATGAAGATGATGGCAAAACAAAGGTTGAAAGCACAACTGACGGTGATGATGGTGACAACAAGGACGAATCTAAGATTAAGGAAGATACTGATAAGGTAAAAGTGGAAGAAAGCACTGATATGGAAGTGGATGAATCAAGCACAACGGCGGCATCAGCAGATAGTGAAAAAATGGAAACGGATTCTACTACAACCGATACAAAGTCAGTACAGCCACCAACATCATCAACAACTTCGTCTACAGAAGCAGCAGCGACAACTACAAACACAACTGACGATAAAACTGGTAATATGGAAAACAAGGATAAAGCAGCATCAGAAAAATCATCTGCTCCTACTTCAACAAATGATCCTCCTCCTACCACGACTCCTGCTAGTACTACAGATAGCACAACTTCTACAGCACCATCAACAACAACAACTACTACTACTACAACAGCAGCAGCAGCAGCAGCAACAGCAGCAACACCAGCTACGGCTCCTTCTTCCGCTCAGCCTAATAATCCAACCATTACCACTACACCTACAACCACAACATCAACGGGTGCTCCAACTGTAACTCCTTCTGTTCCTGCCACTGCTCCTCATCCTTTAGACGAAATCATGGCCATGTTGAAAACTGGATATCCTCTACTTGCTCTATCGATGGAAACTATGGTGGATCAAATTCAACTCAAATTCAAACCTCAAGCAGATGAAGATATGTATAGATTAGTAGTAGCATTATACAATGAAGGCGCTCAGGTAATATATATATATTAAAATAGAAAAATAAGGAGGGCATCTATTCATTCGTATTTTTCTATTATTATTATTATTATTATTTTATTTTAGCAATTATTATCAAGATTGACGAATCCTAATGACACACTCCAATTGACTCAAGCTACAGTGGCCAACATTGCAAGATTTGCTGATACTCTCTATCCTGGACATATGAAGACAGCATTTGTGAATGATTTCGCCAAAGATAAACTCAATCTTGAAGAATATGTAGCAAGATTACGATTATGGCGTGATAAATTTGAAGCTATGTTTGATGCTCGACCTCGTAAACTCAAATTGGAAACTTTATCTCATTATTTGGTGGAATTCCAACATCAAAAGTTTGATGATGTAGAAATCCCTGGACAATATCTATTGGTAAATTAAAAAAAAAAAAAAAAAAAAAAAAAAAAAAAAAAAAAAACTGATGAACTTTATTCTATATATATTAGCTCAAGGACAATGCCAATGACTTTTTGAGAATTGATCGATTCTTAGCTGATGTGGAAGTGGTACGAAGCTATGGTAATTGTTATCGACGTTTGACTATTCGTGGTCATGATGGTAGTCTTCATCCATTTGTGATCCAAAACCCTGCTGCACGTCAATTCCGACGAGAAGAACGATTGATGCAACTATTCCGTCTTTTGAACAATGTACTCGAACGACGTAGTGAAAGTCGGGTTCGAAACTTGGCCTTCCATCTCCCAGCCATTGTTCCTTTGGCTCCCAATGTACGTATGGTTCAAGATGATCCTTCCTATTATACTCTACATGATATTTATGAAGATCATTGTGATACAATCCAAATCCACAAGGATGATCCCATGGTTTACTTTGCTGACAAGTTGAAGAAAAATATTCGATCTGGAAAAAAGGTAATCAATAGTTTTATTCTAATGATTTGTTTAACCATTTTATTATTATTATTATTTTTTGTAGGTGATGAATCAAAAAGCTGAACTATTGAATTTGCGTATGGAAATCAATGATGAAATATGTTCAACAATGGTTCCTTCAAATATTCTTAGCAAGGTATGATAACAAAAAAAAAAAAAAAATACATAAGATCTCATCTTTTCATTATTATTATTATTATTATTTAGTATATGTTACGTGAAATGGGCTCTTATACTGATTATTGGATGGCAAGGAAACAATTCACAGCACAATATGCAACAGCTACTTTTATGAATTACATCTTCAGTGTTGGTCACCGTACTCCTCACAAGATTGCGATATCAAGAGCTACTGGTGGTGTTTGGATGATGGAAGTGTTACCTGGATTCCATCAAATGAATCCTATCTTTGGCAATGGTGAAGTAGTACCTTTCCGATTCACACCTAGCATTCAAGATTTCATTACTCCAGTAGGCATTGAAGGACTTTTCACCAGTTGTTTGATGGCTACAGCTCGAAGTTTGACTGACCCTGAATTAGAATTGGATCAATACCTTAGTATCTTTGTTCGTGATGAAGTATTTGCTTGGTATACCAACAACTCACATCAACAACAACAACTTCAACGCACAGGTACATTGGAACATCAAGTCCGTGATCGTATCAACACCAATATTTCTCAAATTATTACAAAGGCTCAATTCTTATCATGCAAGACTGATACTGAAAAGGTAAAAACAATAGATAAAAAAAAATGAAAGTGTATTGACCCTTCTTTTTTTTTTTTTTCTTTTTTAGACAATCAATGCGAATAAGCCAACCAATCAAAATGTGATCGATTTGATCTCTCAAGCTACCAATCCTCAGAAATTGGCTCAAATGGAATGTACTTGGATGCCTTGGTTATAATCTTTACTAGAAATCTCCTCCTTTTTTTTGAATGTCTTTTTTTTTTTTTGTTTAATTTTTGTTTATTATTTTTTTTTTTTTATATTATTCTCTCTTCATTATTTTTTTTTCCTTCTGTTTTTCTGTAAATAAAAATCTTCAACGGTTGTTTTTTTTCCTATTAAAAAAGCAAATCAAAGGCACCCCCTACTGATTTCTTTTTTCTATGTATGAGTGCGATTTCTTTAGACTGATTAGAAAACGACTTCATTTATTAGGTTCATTTTATTTTTCTACTCAAGACACTAGTCAAACAAACCGAAATAATCATGAAAAAAAAGTAGTGATATGTTTTATTCGGTGATTTGTATACAGATCGTTCAAAAAAAAGAGAGGAAGTATTGTGATCATCTAAGTTTCTAGTAATAATGTGTCTATGGTGATTTGATCTTCTGGTGGTAGCCAGTCATGAATATGGAGTAAAGCATCCTTGAGCTAATAAAAAAAAAAAATTCGATGAGTCAAATTTACACTTCATGATTTTTTTTTTGTTTTTTTGTACCTGAGTTTTCAATTGATCTTGATACTTATATTCTTGATATTCGGTAGTGGCATTGGGATCATGACATATAGACCAAGCAGACATAAGAGCATGATAGATAGGAACAAGATGATGACCATAAAATGAGCGTTGATGAGGTGTGGCAAGAGCAAGACAAGCATTGATACGTACTTTGTAATTCTTGCATTGGAGAGCATTTGTCAATGTTTGAAAAACAATCCTTGTCCATGGGTATTCCTGTTGATCTTCCTTTTTATACATTTCTCCACCTTGATCATATTGTTGTCTATAGCCAATAGGGAAATGTCGGTTTTTCAATGCGTTGCTGGCTGCATGACATGCATTCCATCGTGTCTTCAAAAAAAAAAAAAAAATTGAATCATCAACCCTTTGATAATTATTTTTCGTATATTGCTTACCTTCAATGATCCACTTTCAATGTTCTTTACTAGGCCTGTTAATGCATCACGAACCAATAACATTCCATGTCTATCTTGAAAGTAATTCAAAGGAGTGATGCGTAATAGACTACCTATGGCACGAACCGCATTGGATCGCAACTACAAAAAAAAAAAAGAGATTATTTCATCTACCCATAGAGATCATCTTTCCCTTACCTTATCATTATCTAAAGAAGCTGAAGTGGCAGTACTTGTCATTTTCATCCATGTAGGTATGGAAATCCATTCTCGTAAATCAAATCCATCAGCATCACTAAAAAAAAAAGAATGAATGGTATATTTGTGTAATAACTCTTTTTTTTTGTATACCTTGCAATCACCAATGCATCACATAAATTGCCTTGAGCCCAACTTGCCCGTAATCGTACCAATATCACTTGATCCTCCATTCGATCCAAAAGCACAGTGGCCATATCAGATACAAAACATGTATCTTGGCGTAAAGTGGGGAAAAGAACAAAAGCACCCAGAGCACGACATGCTGCAGCTCGGACTTGTGATTCCTCATCATCAGGTAAGGGTAATAATAATGCTATAGCCAATCTTTGATATCGAACCTATTTAAAAAAAAAAAATCAGTTGTTCCTTCCTTTTCCTCTTATCTTCCTTCTTACCGGGAAATTCTCAAATACAGCTTTGGCCATAGTTGCCAGACAATCGCAAGCCAAAACCCTTATATTTGGAGTTGTATCTATTGATGCTTGCTGAATATATTTTTCCAGTATCTTCATCCACCATGTAGTACATTTAGACTAGTAAAGAGAAAAAAAAAAGATGAGATGATTTGATGAAAAATAAGGGGACAAAAGTACTTACTAAATCTTCAACGCTAACATTGTTTTCTTCCGAACAGAATGAGATCATGGCAGAGGCATATGCTTCCACAAATTCAAGTGTCACTGTACGTAATTTTGGATGTGAGAAGGCCATTTCAAATGATGATGCAAGTGAATCCCACACGCCACTAATTAGAAAAAAAAAACAATTCATAAAGAATAAACGTTCATCTTTCCTTTTTCTTTTTTTTTTTTTTTAATGAATGACTTACAACATGATGTCACCCAAATGATGTTTTGCACATGAGGATAAAGCACGCCAAGCTTCCATTTGAATATCCAGTGAGATCACATTCGAATTCATACTGTCAACTAAAGATAATAAAAATGGTAAAAGTGGATTGACCTCTTCTTCGCTATCCTCTTGATGTACCCCCGTAAGTAGTGTCCGGATTTCATTTGTTGCCCCAGTCGCTGTCACCATGGTTGCCAATGTACGCAGGATAATCACATGAATATCTTCACCCACATCTGTTTTCACTATTTGTTGCCGTAGTTCCGTATCATCCTTGCCCTTGTTCGATATGTTTAATTTCCAATGACTGAGTATCACTTTGTAAAATTGCGACAGATAACCAGGTGATAATCGATTATATGAAGTGTTGGTCATTAACATGGACATCACCTAAAATATCAACACATAATATATGAATTGTTCAATTCCTTTTTTTTTTTTTGTAATACTTGATCATTTCATCCTTACCTTCATAATCAAACACACTACTTCAGATTCTGATTCATTGACCAATGCATAGACAAGTCCCAAATGTAAGTCATGTAGTATGGAAGCCAATCGTTCTGACAACGATGTAAATGACGATTTTGTATCCCTATTTTTTTTTTTTTAATATGTAGATATTAATCAATGATAATGAATAAAGATCTTCCTTTTTTTTTTATTATTTACCGTTCAGAAGCGACACTAAGATATTGTTTGGAACCATCTAGCATAGCAATCAAAGTATGACAAACAGCCACCCGTACAGTCACCATAGGATCATATAAAAGTAAAGTCAAAAGTGAATCAGATTGTTGATCCGATCGAAGATTGGGCGATAAAGGATATATAACCTGAGACGCCAAATTTGTGGTTGAAGAAGGAGACACAAGTGCATGATTTTTCAAAAATAAGGAGAAGGAGTCAGGGATAAACTTTTGCCAGTTGGGGTATAATGCTCGAGGTTGAGTCTAATGAATAAAAAACAAAAAGAAACAGATCGTTGGAGGGGTTGGAGGATATAATGTAAGGACTCTATATTTTTCCACAGGGACTTACCTTGGCGACGGCTAATAGACATAAGACGGCATTGATGCGTATCTTTGCATCATCACGACTATAAGACGAAGAAAAATCAAAGTTAGAAATAAAAACACACTAAAGAAGTGAACTTTACCATTTTCTTGGACTGAAGGCCACACTATCAGAATCAGATAATTCAGAATCAGAACTGGTGATTCCATTGGACAAATATCTATTAGTATGTGGACGCCATGTAGGTTGTTGTTGCTGTAGGTGATGGTGATGTGAGGAAGAGGTCAAGATAGAAGAAGATCTACAAATTCGATTTGATTGCATTCGGGATCCAGTATTGTTCATTTCTAAAAAAAAAAAAATCTATAAGTAACAGTCAATAAACGAGAATTATACGTCTTACCTTTGGAAGATGATAAAGCCAATAAAAGCTGATATGATTGGACATTGACATGCATAAAAAGAAATGTATGGATGATTTCTACAATATCACATAATGGATTGGTAACCAAGGTTTTGTCTTGACCAAGTAAAAATTGGAGAGCGCGTAAAGTACTACTAGCCACCTATAAAAATAAAGAGTTTAAAAAAAAGGGGAGAACATAAATTTTAATTTGATATACCTTTCGTATTGCTGGATCATTAAAGTCAAGACTACTAGGAGACGCCACCATCATTTTTCCTTTGTTTGTATGACTGACAACGCAGAGATTGGATAGTAATACTTTGTAAATATCCTTGTAATATAGCTGTAACTTTGATCCAGCACCAGCGCAAAGGTTACCGAGACAATTGATCGCCATCCGTCGTATTTCCAATGGTTTCACAGATCGTTCCGCAGATTGCAATAACAAAGGAATCAAGGAACTATAAAACTATAATAATAAGTAAGTTTAATTGTATCATTTGTTTTTTTTTTAAAAAAAAAAAAATTACTTTGCTGGTATTGGTACTGTTTTCATACAAGAGAGCACTAAGTGCTCGAAGAATATCTACACGAAGTTCGGCAGTACATTGATTGGATTCTAATCCATTTAAAAGATATGTTATACATTTTTCGAAGGAAGAGGCTCGAAAACTGGATAATCGGATCTAATCAAAAAAAAAAGTAAAGCATCAACGACACGAAAGAACACACAAAAAAGAAAAGGTCATACCTGTTTTGTACATTGTTTGAATATAAAATGACAAAATGGTGAGAAGGCTTTGTGTTGTATTGGAAAGTTAATGGTACCAGCAACTATAAGGTCGATAATTTGCTAAAGATAGAGAGAATGAAAGAGAGAGAGAGATAATGTTAGTATCTTTTTAATGTCTATTGTACTAATATTTTACCTGATCTGTTGTATCTTTTCCTGGAGAATCTGCTTGATTGATCTCTTCTAATAGATTGACAAATACTTCTGGAGGTACTTGATTTGTTGATGAAAAACACTGTTCTAGTTGTAATATAGGTTTCATGATTAAGACAGAAGAGAAAAACAGAGGTAAAGAGAAAAGATCTATTCACTTTGTTGCACGAAGAACGAGACAAAAAAAAAAAGAACACCCAAGTTTTCAATGTCCGTTTTTAACAGTATAAAAAATGGACGTTTTGAATTTCCACTTTTCACCGCTTTTTTTTCATTCCGTTTCACTTTTTTTTTTTCTTTTATGCTGGTGGGACAAATAGGCTATCTTTCTTGATAAAAGTTACATTTACACTCATTACTCTTATGGATTCAACAACACTGGCATCATCATCCACAGAAAAAGAACTAGATGAGTTCCGAAATCAATGGAAACAAGAAGTGATTTCCCGCCAAAGACAACAGCAAGAAGAACATGAGACTCATGGCACTTTACACTCAACAAAAGCTGCGGCAACTGGGTATGATACTATTGTACGACAAGCAGCATCACTTTCATTGAATGATTCAACTACCACAAATACTATACTGACCAATAACAATAACAACAAGAAGGAGATACAAGCTGATAAGGTCGACACTGGTACAACAGAAAAACAAGAAGAAGAAAGGGAACCAGAGACAGCTATGGGTCATTATATCAAGGCAGTGGATCATGAGCGTCAAGGTCAATTGGGAAAAGGTAAATGTTTTAATATAGTTATATATACATTCTCACACTTCTCTAGCTCTTCATTTTTATCGTCAAGCATTCCGGTTGAATAGAGATATTGACTATGATTATAAACGACATTATCAAACACATATTGTACCTCAATTACAAAAAGAAGCAGAACAGTTGGATAGCGGTAATAATGGTACAGTCCATGGTAGTGATGATGATAATTTTAGACATATTGTACCTGTTGGAGATGAATACGAACAACCAGAAACAAATGTTATCAAATCATCCTCTTTGGTTTGGCAAGATCCTTTGACTCCTTTGATTGATGAATTTTCTCAACAAGATACCGATTTTATCCCTGCTCTTGACTATAAACCAGTATTAATCTCCAAGTTACCCAGTAAGTTAGATGAATGCAATGAAAAAAAAAAAATAGATACTTATTATTATTATATAAACCAAATAGATGAAATCTTGTTAGCGATTTTGAAATATCTCTTTTTACACTCACTTTCCTCTAGTGCCAGAGTAGCATTGGTATGTAAACGATTATTTTTATTGACTAGAACACCTTCTCTTTGGCGATATCTATGTGAACATGCTTATAGGCCCCCTACAATGACATTGGCAGAATCAAAATCTCTCCTCTTGGATCAAGTACAAAAGTATTATGGTGGTGGATGGTATAACATGTTTGTAGAAAGACCTAGAATCAGATATGATGGTGTATATATTTCAACTTGTCATTATGTTCGACCAGGAACTTCAGAAACATCATGGAATCAACCTGTACATCTGGTGACCTATTATCGATATCTTCGCTTCTTTACAGATGGACGTATAGTGAAACATGTGACGACTGATGAACCAGCACAAGTAGTTAAACAATTGGATCGACGATTTTCGAAACGACAAACATTCCATGGACGATATGAATGGAAAAAGAAGGATGATGATGATGATAGTGGTACTGAATCTCAAGAACAATTAAAACAAAATCCAACATCAACAGCTGTATTAAGAATTACAGCACGGGATTATACACTACCTCATGAACAATTCTTTTTGCAATTGACGGTCAAGGGAACTCATCGAGGACGACACAACAAATTAGGATGGAAGAAATATACGAGTATCAATCAACGAAGCCTGGAAGATCAAGGGTTACTGGATGGAACAGTTGATTTGAATGATCTTGATGATGACACTCTGGATCCATTTGAACATGTGTATGATTTGAAGCTAATGAAACCTTATTTCTTTAGCCCAGTCCGTAGCTATCATGTAGATTATCCTGATGAAGATGATGATAGGATTTTAATCTGTTAGTTAGATGATTGTTTTAATTATTCTTTTTCTTTTTTGAATAAAATACATTATTTATTTATTTATCTTTATATTATAAAAGTATATTTTGGATGATATTTCTATATTATACAAAAGGGTCTTTATTAGTAAAGATCATGTTCTCCTCCCCTCACACACAAACATATATATATATATATATAATAATCATCTCCTTATTACAGCCCTTTAAGGATCTCCCCTTTTTTTTTTTTTTTTTATCAAGTCATCGATCATTTTCCCTTTTAGTTTAATTTGCGTTATTTATATTTTTGACTTTTCTCCTTTTGAACGTTATCCTTTTATTCTTTTACTTTTTTCTTTTCTTTTTTTGATTATATGAAAAAAAGGAATTGAATCTAATTGTACTTTTATATAAAAAAAAAAACTCCATTTTCTATTATTTTATTTTATTTTTCTTTCATTACTATATCATTTCATTTTTTTTATTGACGTTCAAATGAACTTACTACGATTTCGATTGATCATGCGAAGAGTCATGACTGCAGTTTTTTTCATTATTACACTGCTGGCAGTGATAAGTAAGAACAATTCTATAAAGGATGGAGACAAAAGATCAATAGGATTCACATTTAAAAATATACTATATATATAATAGTCCCTACATGGCATGTTTATATGGGTGAAGGAAGGTAAATATTACAATACAAAGGATGATGTTTTCTTTTTCTCATCTTTTTCATTATTTAGACAAATGATAATGGTGAATTATATAAATCCTATGAATCAAGGTCAATCCCTCTTGATAAATGCATCTGTACTGGATGTCAATTTTAACGAAAAAACATACGTGATTCACTTTGTGTTTCAACCTAATGGATCTCTTATTAACTTGCAGGGACAATTAGTGTAAAAAAGAAAAAAGAAAAAAAAAAAGTTGCCAAATGTGGAAAGTAGCATGAATGAATTTTCGAGGGGAGATGGAAAAGGACTCATTATTACTATTTTTTTACTTACTTAGACATGATATGACGATTTCTTTTTCTCCATTTCAAAAATACACTTATCATTCAGGGGAATATCTGATGCCACTTCAAGTCCCTTTTCATTATGATGATGGAAATCCAATTGATTATCCTTTTGATCGTTATGCAGGTTATTTTGAAATGGAAGCCACGTCTGAAATTAGCAATACAACACATAATAATGATACTATTCATCAACCTATTCCTTTATCCTTTGTATTGGAAGCTAGTTTAACTTCTTTCAGTTTTGTACCAAACTTCACTCCTTTAGATCATCGATTGGGTCTGAAGATCATGACGGGTCGATCTACTACCACACTTGGATTTAGTCTTTTCATGTGTATCTTGATGTGGGCTTTATCTTTAGTATTAGCTATTTTTGGTTATCAAGTTCTTTGTCGTCGTCGTCCTGTTCAAGGAGATGCCTGTTTGTTAGGTGCCACTCTATTTTTTGCCTTACCTGCTTTAAGATCTGCTCAGCCTGGTGTACCTGATGTTGGATGTATTGCAGATGTACTTGGATTTTATTGGTAAAAAAAAAAAAAAAAAAAAAAAAAAAAAAAAAAAAAAAAACTTGATAATATTCAACTTTTGATCCATCATCATCATAGGAATATGGCAATCATTGCTCTAGAAAGTATCACTATTTTAGCATGCTGGATAGCAAGATGGGAACCAATTGATCATCATCATCATCAAGAAGAAAAAATGAATAGAGATACAAATAGATCTCCTAGTTTATATAAAATGGAACATATAGAACATATAGAACAGTTTGCCTCTTAACGAAAAGTAAAAAAGCTTGCAATAAAATCAGTCGGAATGTGAATTCGTCCACCATTTTTATTTTTTTTTATACTTTGGTTGGTTGTTCTTTTTTTTTTTTTCTTTTTTTTTCCCATATCTATTATTATTCTACATGGAGGAAACACTTGATTCCAAGCAATCTTCGATGCTTGTACAAGCATTATATCAACATTTTCAAGCAACTTTGCAACTTATTCGAGTAGCTTTAGCCTTGGAATATACGATATTAACACGATTTATTGTTGGTGTCATTGTTGCTACTGTACTATCTATACTTTATCTAGTTTGGACTTTACGTGGTTCACAACAACCTCTTCATGTTTGGGAAAAACTCAATAAACCTTTAATCAAACTTTTTCGACCTAAAATATTCAACTTTTTACTTTGTGGTGTGAATCCTTATGTGGGTAGTATTGGTAAATGAAAATATTATAAAAAAAAAAAAAGATTGTTCGGAGCCAACTGGAGGAAAACACGTTCTATGTGATACTAACTTATTGAATAACCGATTTTTCTTCTTTATACTATAGATCTTCGTGTATCCACTTTTTCGAAAGGTTTTTGTACTGGTATCATGCGGGTATAGTATACATATATCATGATTAAAATTAAAATTCTTATTGTTATTATTATTTTGTTGATTAGGATCGACATAAAAACCGAAATCCATTCAAAAGGTAAGAAAAATGACTAGAACTATTTTGGTAATCTTGATGTTTTATGTTGTTTTTTTTTTCTTCTATATTTATGTTTTAATAGTATCCACGCTACCGCATTGGCAACACTAGCAGAAACTGTTGGAGAATTGGCGCTATTAAGTACTTTGGGACCCAAGGATCGTGCTATTTTAACTTCAGTGAAAATGGAGGTAAGAAAAGGATTAATGAAAAAAAATAAAAAAAAAAAAGATGATAATGATTTTATACTATATATATATATATATTTGAATAGTTCAAGAAAAAGGCTAGAGGATTATTGACAGCATCATCTGATTTTACTCCACCATCAACAAATGAAGAATCTAATGAAGCAAGTACAGTAGTGGTAATTAAGGATAGATTGTTGGATACAGTAGCGGTGGCGTACCTGGTATGGAATGTCAAACGAAATGAAGCATAGTATGTCGTGTAACAACCATGATTGTGCTACAATGGCACCCAACACACTTATTTTTTTTTTTTTTGTTTTATACATTCCTTTTTTTTTTTTGTAGTTTATGACCATTTATATCATTTGATAGTTTTTTTTTTTTACATTTGTTTTGCATAAATAAAAATTTATTATTATTTTTATTATTAATATTATTGTTATTATTAGGATGAATAATTTTATACTGTTATAACATCTAAGGGGGAAAAAGAAAGGTGCTTCACTTTTAGAAATAAACAGAATGCTTTTTGTTGACATTTTTACGCACATGGCGACCAAAAGAATAACATGCAAAAGGACAAAAAAAAAAATTTTAAAAATAGGACCCGCCCCTAGTTTTCTTTTTCTCGTTCGTCCGATTTTTTTTTTTTTTTATTTTTACCTTTTTCCTTTTTTTTTCTTCTTCTTTACTTTCTTATGTATTAGTTTTCTTTATATATATTATATCCTTTCAATCATTCATACCAATGATATCTCATATTGATTGTCCTCTACCCATTCGAAAAGTAAAAAAAAAAAAAAGAAGAAAAAAAAAAGGAACTATCTTTCCCATATTAGTCTAAACTCTGTTTTATTTTTCCTGTTTTATTCTTCTTTATGTAACTTAGAACGCTTGTTTAGTTTGTAGTGTATGCTTCACTTGTTCAAAAGTAGGTTCTTATTACAAAAAAAAAAAAAAAAAAAAATAGGTTTCTTTTTATTTTTCATAATATTATCTTCGTTTATAGACTTATGGTATGGATTGTAACTGTGACAACATCCAACCAAGACGAGGCAAGAATTTACCTGGTGGAAGTTTAGACTCTAGAGCAAAGAAATTACATGCTGTAGATAAAGAAGATTACGACTTTTCAATACAATGGTTAACTCAAAATGCTCATGCCATTTACAAAAACGAACATGATCAAGTCATTGGTTTATTACAAGTAGATGAAGTCTCACTTTGCAAGGCACATAGTTCTACGTTATATCGAGCCAAAAAACGCCATCTACGCCGATTATCACAGCAAGCGCCTCCTTCACCAGCAGATTCTAATGGAAATCTTGATTCTCTCATGTTACCACCTCCTCATACTACTGAATCATCCCCTCGTCGGAAGAGTAACGGGTTACTACCGGTAACTAATGGTGGTTTGGCTGCCAAGGTCAAGGAAATGCAGCTCCCTTCCTATCGTGACTATTCGGATCCTTCTGTTCCTCCTTTGCCCGATTTCTCTTCTATGTCTGCATCTACCTCTATGAAACGGAAACGAACTTCTCACTATCCTATCGAACATGAAAATGATTATTCTTCATCTTCGTCATCACCTGCTCCACCCTTATCAAGTATTAGTACTCCTTTGTTCTCCTCTAATTCTTCCATGAACGGTTATTCTGGATCATCTGTGTCTTCTACTCTTCCTCCACATCGTCATCAATCACATCATCGTCATCATCATACTCGTCGCGACACATCACCTGTGTTTACTCCACCATCCACAACAATAGATCCTTTTACTTCACAACAATTACCACCATTACAACGTACTTCTAAACCAACATCAAATCATCCTTATTATTATTCTCCTCCTCATCATCATCATCGTTTGACTCTTGGCACTTCATCATTATTCATGGATTCTCAACAACAACAACAACAACAAATTCATCCATCTCAACCACATAGTTCATTACAATATTCTTATGATAATACAGATTCATATCATCATCATCATCAACAACAAAGACGATTTTTAGTAGAAACTATTTCATTGAAAACAGATCGACAACAAACTATTCGACCTTTTATAGTCAATCAAAAAGAATTGGAGCATCATCAGGAAGATACATCCATGGATATATCAACTGAAACCTCGTCATCATCATCGTCATCATCATCGTCATCATCATCATCATCATCCGTTTCACCCACAGTCTCACCATCACCTCCTACTTTGGAAAATATCGTTTCACCAGATCATCATCGCTATTCTACACCAATAACTTCAAATAATACTTTTTATTTTATTCGAAATTTAGCCATCACTGATACTTTTACATTCTATCAGCTACTGGAAGAAATCGAAATGGACCGACCTCCCCCAGGCAAACGGATTGTGATTTCAAATGCTTCTAATGATACTTTTTATCCCCTTCATGAACCTATACGTAGTGTACTTCGTGATCCTCCATCTCCTCATGTGGAACTTTGTCTTGGATTATGTGACAAACCTTCAATAAAATGGTCTTCTCTTGGTACTCCACCTCCATCCAATCGACCTTGATGATTCATACTTATTGTAGTTTAGTTTGCTTATTAGTATTATTATTATTATTATTATTATTATTATTATTTTACATCACTTTACTTACACTCATTTACACACACACACATATATATATCTACATTTTACTCATACCACACTATTTATCATATACTCTTTTATGTTACTCTTATTACCAACACTTACTCAATGAGAAATTACACGGACTTTCAAACCTATCATTAATAAAAATTTTGATTCTTTTTTTGTATTATCTCCTTTTTTTTTTTTTTCTTTTTTTTTTTTTTTAATACTTTATAGAATTAATTTATGCCGGATCCATCAGGTGAGAAAAAAAAATTATAACTTATGTTGAAAACTCCATTTATTCTTCTTTGTTTTTTCTTTTTGGTTGTCCATTATCTATCCATGTTAACAATACTGCGCTCTTTTTTCTTCTTTCTTATTCTTTTTTCTTTTGTAGATACCTCATTAAACGTACCTTCCCTCGGTGTTCCTGAATTCCCAGCCAGAGATGGTCCTCAACGACTTGCTGCTGCTGCTATACCTCGACGTCGACAAAAAGTTCAGTTAGAGCCAGGACATTCTCCTTTAGATTGGGCTCGTTTGAAATCTTCTGGACAAGATTTGAGAGTAATAAATAAAAAAAAAAAAAAAAAAAAAAAGACTCAATAGTGACTATATTCTTTCTATTTGTAGGGTGTTCCTCAACTGGCAAGATATACTTTGGACGACTTGAAACAACATAAATCTATGGACGACGCTTGGACAGCAATTCAAGGCAAAATATACAACATTACTCCTTATATGCATTTTCATCCTGGAGGTGTCAAGGACTTGATGCGGATTGCTGGTAGAGATGGAACAAAACTATTCAGTAAGTAAAGAAGAAGAAAAAAAAAATGGAAGTAAGAATTTTTCTTGGTAGAGGGAAAAAGATAGATTAACTGACTTTTTTTTTTTTTTTTTGAATGTATGATATCTTAGTGCTTACACATTCTTGGGTAAATGTCGAATTCATGTTAGATGCCTGCTTGGTGGGATTTTTGATTCCTGGAGGTAACTAAGGATGGATTCTATATGATTCTGTTTGACATTTGATGGCTCTTACTTTTTGAAAAAAAAAATACGAATGTCGTCCTTTTTATATCATATACAATAGTATCTCTTTCTCTCTCATACATACATACATACTACACATATCATACATAAATACTACGTATATACAGTTTATTTATTTTATTATTATTATTATCATTACTTCAGAATATACAGTATTTTATTTATTCCCCCACTAGAAATAAAGATATTATTATACAACAGGAATTATCATCAAAAAAAATTAATTAACTGATCGTAATATCAACATAAACCTTGACAAAATCTTGTATGATTAAAAAAAAAAAAATTAATTTCGTTTCCGATTTTCATTTCGTTTTCGATTCTCGTTTCGTTTTTGACTTGCGTTTTCTTTTTCGTTGTTGTTTTTCTTTTTTTAAATAGTATAAATATCCTTTTTTTTTTTTTTTTTTTGGAGTCTGTCAATAATTATCTTTTTTTTAATAAAAATCATTCATTGTAATTGTGGATTATTCATTTTGATTGGCTCGCTTTTGTTCCTTATATCAAGTCAGAACAATTTTATCAATTTTGGACCTAACAACTGTTGAGGAAAAACCAAAAAAAAAAAAAAAAAAAAAAAAAAAAAAAAAAAAAGATTTTAAAAAAAAAAAAAAAAATTTTAGTCTCCGTTCTCATCATTTATATAGTTATCCTTTGCACATAATTTTTATATAAATTTTATCTCTATAGTTATACCTTCAATATCAATTTTATATAAACGTTATGTTGCATAATAATTTTAGTATAAATATCCCCTTCTTTTTCTCCTTTTCTTTTTTTTAGTCAATAATATATATATATTTTTTTTAATAAACATCTTCCTTCACCCATAACCTGATTATATTGTGGATTATCACTTTTGATTGGCTCACTTTGTTCTCTATTTAAAGTCAGAACAATTTTACTCTACTTTTACTTTCCAAATTTGGAACAAGACTTTATTTTTCTTTACTTTACTTTTTTTTTTTTTTATTTCTTTTCTTATACGTGTGCTTGCGTAATCAAGTACTGGTGCTCACTATAAACATTATTAACTTTCAATCATCCGTTTCACTTTTTCAATTTTGAACCTATAAACCAAAAAATTCCTCAACACAACCAAAAAATCACTTAACAACCGTAACCAATCATCACCAAAGTCATAAAAAAATCCGCAACTCTTGTGTAACGTAAAGGAAAATAGTAAAAAAGCAAAAAGTATGGTTGCTAGCAGATTCGAACTGCTGACCGTCTGTGTGTTAGACAGACGTGATAACCAACTACACCAAGCGACCATTTTTGAAAATTAGACTGCCATGTTCATTATAAATCTAATCCTAATTTTGGCACACGTGAGACCACGTGTCTTGCTTTCCAATGGTACATTTTTCGTCTTTTTTTATTTTTTTTTTTATTTTATTTTTTTTATTTTATTTTTCTATTTTATTTTTTTTACTTTATTTTTTTTTTTTTATTTTATTTTTTTTTTATTTTATTTTTTTTTTTATTTTATTTTTTTTTTTTGTTTTATTTTTTTTTATTTTGTTTTATTTTTTTTTATTTTGTTTTTTTTTTTTTTATTTTGTTTTTTTTATTTTATTTTTTTAAAAGTGTTCACTATAGCTCTATTATAATGGCGATGCCTGTATATATGAAAAATGGTTGATACTAGAATGATCATCCTTGAAAGAAAAAAAAAATAACTGTCATTCCGTTGTAGAGTGGAGTGGCATGTAATTTCCAATTTAGGTAATGTACCTCTTTTTTTTTTTTTTTTTTTTAAATTTGAACCAAGAAAAAAAAATCACGTACAATACTAAATAATTTCAATCGAAATATGCATGAATTAATGACCATATTGTATAGTATCATATAAAATATATATTGACAACAAAGATGAAAGCATCCATCAACTATTGATTAATCAGACGCGTGCATCAAACAAATAAAAAGTACTGTATAGTGTAAAGTACAACCAACCGTTATTTCCTTTATTTACAACAAAAAAAAAAAAAAATACTTGATAAATAACTAATAAATATACAAATAATAATATACAGTTCTTCAGATCAAGCCAATTCACGTTCATCAGGAGAGATGATGTCTTCATTGCGAACTCTGTCCTCTTCTACTAAAAGTTCAAATACTCTTGCAGCAATAGTTTCAGGTTCAGCCATGGCACCAACACCTATAGAAAAAAAAAAGTAAGATAGAATTGCTTCATACTTAAGATAGTATCATGTTATTACCAGTATCACCACATGCCAAAGTTTTGCTGATGGGAGCCACGATTTTGAAGTCAAATGTATCTTCCAGGACAGATAAATGCTTGCTTGTAAATGGATGAACCCACATGTTGGTATTCATTGCGGGACAAACGAGAACCGGTCTATTTGTATCCCATGCACGTAGTATACTAGTCTATTTCAAACGTAAAATAAAGTAAGCAAAAAGTAAATAAAGGAAATCAATACAAGGTCCCTTTTTTTTTCAGTTGTTACCAATAAGTTATCACAGATACCATTAGCTATTTTGGCAAGTGTGTTGGCATCCAAAGGAGCAATTACCATAATGTCGGCCCATTTCCGTAACTATGAAGAATAAGTAACAAAGTTGAATAACGTTCAAATGAGTCCCTTTTTATTTAACAATTCCTTCTTTTTTTTTTTTTCCATTCTATATATAAAGGAGAATAAACTTACTTCAATATGTAATACTGGATCAGTTTTCTTCTTCCACATCTAAAAAAAAAAAAAAAAAAAAAAAATAAGATATGATATATAAATGTAGAATATAGAGTTAGAAACATATCAAAAAAAAAAAGATATTTTGAAGAGTGACGTACAGACCATTCTTCTTCATCTGTATGAATAGTGGCATTGACTTTGGCATCCTTGAAAAAAAAGTATGAAGCTGCTGTAGGTACCACTTTGACATTAATACCAGGTTTCTAACATATAATATTCTATTTGTAAGCAAATGAAAAAAAAAAAAAAGTATTTGTATTTTTTTGAATTACCTTATTCAATTCATCCACAATCATTGGTAATTTTATACTTGCAACACTGCCAGTAGCTCCTAGAAGGACATTCCACTGACGATCTTGTGACATTGAATTATTAGAATAAAGTAAAAAAAAAAAAAAAAAAAAGAGAGAAATAACAATAATAATAAAAAAGATGGTTGGTGAAAGAAAAGCTACTTTTTTTTTTTTGTTGAAAGCCTTTTTTTTAATCAGTGATCGGACATTCAACCATTGACTAAAATTTTGACATGATAATCACAATGCTACTGTATACAAAAAGTGCTATCATTCTTGTAATCCAAGATCATAGAATAAATAATGCGGTTCAACCCTAGCGAAATTATTATTTTACACGAATAAATGTGATAAACGAGCAAGAAGAAATAGCTCCCCTCGAACGACTCATCTTAATTTAGATCATGATTTATTTTGGTATCTTACTGCAAACCATTAGCTACCAAAATGAACATCTATCAAAACACTCTTCATCCTATCATCATCCGTCATCACATGTCGTTTTTTTATTACCATCATCTATCTTCGTGTATCTGTTATTAAAGTAATATTTTCTTTTTATTAATGTTCAATATAAAGTAAATGATAAAAAAAAAAAAAAGTCAAGCACTAAACTAAGTGAGTGATAAAGTTAAGATTCTGTCCATTTGATCGAGATGCTACCATGACTGAAACTAGCGATTTTTTCAAAAGCTTACGTCAAAAAAAAAAAGAAAGTTTGTCAATTCATAAGAATAAAAAAAAAATACATTCCTTTTTTTTTTTTATTATCTTACTTACCAGCAGGACTAAGATCTATATCACCTTCAGCACAAGTATCACAACCATCAATCAATTTGACCTTGACCGAAGTACCATTAGGACCTGTGATTTCCACTTGTTTTCCACAATTTTTATTATCCTTTGACTTGTCACCGAATTGTTTAGTGTTCAGAGCAGCAACCATATCTTTGTTCGTTGCCTTGATACCACATGAGCTCTTCCGGGTTTCCACATCATAGTACGTTCCTTTGCCAGTGTGCCAATTTTCGCCTGGATCGACGACACTTTGCATTTTGAGATTCTGGGATACATCAAACGAAGCATCATCATATCCACGGTCCACATAGATACTACCTTTTAACACAGGACTATTCCAATCAATACCTCCGTTCTGAGTGTAAGTAATGCCATGGTCTTCAGCTGCCATTCTATATCCGCGACGTCCGCCCACTACAGGTCCATTTCTATCATAACTATAGTCCGCACGACGAGGCGAATATCCATAATCATCATCATAATCAGCTGCTGCATAGAGCCCGCGTTGAGGACGTCGTTCAACAAATTCGTCATCGTAAAGATTTCTTCCTCGATACACGTCGTAGCTGTCATCATATGATTTTCGGAAATCGTATCCACCGTAATGATAGCTGTCATCATTTTGACCAGATGGAGGGTTTTGACCTATTGTATAACAAAAATAAGTAAAGATAATTTAAAAAAAAAAAAGAAATATAATTCATTTCCTTACCATTTGCAGCTTTGGCAGCCATGGCGAGTTTCTTTGCTTGACTGGGATGATGATGAAGATACATATCATTCAATTCAGCTATTGTAGTTGTTGCCATGATAGCCAAGGTAGTAATAATCAATGAGGTCTTCATAGCAACGATATACAAGATAAGTAAAAAAAAAAAAAAAGGAATTAGTATGTCCGTATATATATATGAAAAGAAAAGAAGAAAGAAAAAGAAAAGGTGATATTTCACTGATAAAAAAAAAAAGATTGACAATAAAACGGAAGTACCTGGGTTTCTATTCATTATAACCTTGTAAAAAGGAAAAGAAATTGAGAAGCGTATGGGTTATATATTGAAAGTCAAGCAGATTGGTGAATGTTTCGAAAAAAAAAGAGGGAAAGAGAAGGGTATGATTTACCTTGAAACCCTGCTTCCCATAAAAAAAAAAAAAAAAAAAAAAGCGGATGTTGAATATGTCTCCATCCCTCACCGTCGATAATACATTTTGACAAGCTTAATAAAAAAATTCGCAACATGGATATGAGATTAAACAAACCCATTATGACCATACCAAGAAAAAAAAAAGGCTTGTTATCTGACTATAGAGAATGAATCATCTTATCCATGTTATTGTGTAGGTGCAAACTACATACATCATCTTCTTTTTTTATTTTATCAAAACAATAATAAAAATCAAACTAATTATCAACAAAAATTGAAAATGATATACTACTAAGATAGAGAGAGGAAAAAAAAATACATGTCGATAAAAGAAAGGTTTCTTTTTTTTTTCTTTTAGCTTCGAACAAACGTCTTGCCACTAAAAAAAAATATACATAAATAAATAAAAATCAGTCACTCATGCATATAAATTATGTCTTTGATATATATATGTCATTACCTGATAGTCTTCTTTTCAGCAATCACTTCAGGTTTAGCACGATTCAACACTTTCAAAAAGTCTCGTACTCGAGCACGCATACGAGTATGCATATAAGCCTTCGAGCATTTGATATGGTAATGGAGATAATCACGGAAAATTTGAATACGAGAGATGGTTTCTTCACGAACATCACCACGTTCGAAATGTTGAGGGAATAACACTATAGATAAAAATAGATAAATCGACTTGTATATATCTACAAATTTCTCTTACCAAATGTCACGTAACTGATATCATCACTATCCCGGAGATTCAAATGAGCAAGTTCTCTTGGAGGTTCACGAGTGGTGTACAAAACTTGAGGAGCTCTCAGAGCACGACGACGTCTAGCATCAACAAATTCCTAATGATCATAATAATAAATAATTGAGTTGAAAAAAAAAATCATCATCATTTTTCATTCATTTGTTACCTGTAAAAAGACTTTGCCAAAGATCTTATCAGTTTCATCCTTGAATTTAGTACTGAAAATAACAGTGACACGGTCCGAATTGGATTGAATATAGATAGCTTCTTCTTCGCGGTAGTGAACAGCCATAAGTTCTGAGGTTGGGTTAGGTTTTTCAGTATCTTCGTATTGTTCTTGTTCTGAGAAAGCCTTCTCAAAGGGAGCGGCAAGTAGATTGCGTTTTAATAATGATACCTTTTGAATAAGAGCAGCACGGGATTCTATAATATATATATATTAAGATGCTTAGATAATTGTTTTCCTTTTTCTTCTTTCTTCTTTTATTACCTTCATCAGCAGGTACAGTTTCCAAGTCAATCACAAGAGTCACATCATAATTGGGTTCAGGTGTAGCAGCAAGATATTCTCCATAGACACGTTCTAGAATTTGTTGAGCTCCAAAAGATACCAATTCAGGATAACAGGCCCATTGAAGAGAGATATATAGTTCGGTTCTTTTATTAGGTGTTTTCACTCCATAGACAACACCATCAAAATCGACCACAGTTACGTCCAAAGCTTCATTCTTTTCACTATCAACAAAAAAAAAAAAAGAGATGAAAGGTTTAGTACTACTGCTTTCTTTACTTCGAGTGAAATATCGTGTCATTCTCTTTCCTTTTTACAATTACCCTCTTAGTCTGGTTTCAAGAATATCTTGAATGATGGCATTGTTGTAATCGAGTAAAATCATAATATAATAAAAGTATGGTGTATATGAAAGAGAAGAGAGATGAAGAAAAAGACGAGAATACGAAAAAAAAGAGCCGGAGTTGGGACTTGGCATTGTTGTTGGCCAATCTCTCAACGTCACTCACAAAAAGTCTCTGTAGTCGGAAATTGAAGTCTCAAATGCGTTTTGCTCATAAAAAAAAAATTGGAGAGATTTCACATGTTTGCCCTCTATAAGGTTCCCCATTGCCTGGAATCAATAAAATAAACCTATTTCTTCTTCTTCTTTTTTTTTTTTTTAATTCTCCTCCTGTTTTATTATGGCCTCTATCTTGTCTAGACCAAGTAAGTAATTTTTGTTTTATTCATTAAAGTATTAGTTACATGTCAAACATCTTTTTTCTTGTTCCTGAATCTTTTCTTTTTTTCTAGTCGCCAAAAGGAACTTGGCAATGCTGTCACTATTACCTATTCTATTTGCCTTACTGATGCGAAAACGAGGTGGATTTTATTATCGTAGTCTTGTTTCAACAACATGTATGGGTGCAATGACGGTGTATGGTATGGTGGCTTCTCTGACTTTGCCATTGATAGGTAAGGCAGGTCTAGTGAATTGGTCTGTGGCTCGACTTTATTATCATCTTTGCGGCTTTTTATTGGCAATTACTACTACCATTGAAGGAAAAGAACATCTTGATCGTACAAAAGGCCCTGCTGTATACGTTTGCAATCATCAATCAAGTATGGATATTTTATTGATGGCTAGCGTGTTTCCAAAGTCAACTTCAGTCGTAGCAAAAAAACAAATCAAATATTATCCATTTTTGGGTTGGTACAGTAAGTGGATCAATCATCATCAAAAAAAAAAAAAATTGGTAAATAAGATGACTCATATGTCCCTTTTTTTTAATTTATTTTTATAATAGTGACTCTTAGTAATGCTATCTTTTTGGATCGCAAGAATAGGGATAGTGCCATCAAGGAAGCTCGTCAAGCGGCTGAAGATATTCATAGAAAAAAGGTTAGTATTTGGTAGTTATACATATTCGATTGATTATTTTTTTTTTTTTTTTTTAAATTTTGCTTAGACTAGTGTCTGGCTCTTCCCTGAAGGTACACGTGGTCGACCTTTAGATATTGACATGTTACCATTCAAAAAAGGTGCTTTCTATATGGCAGTTCAAGCAAAGGTGCCTATTATCCCTATTGTCATTTCAAATTATCAAAATATCTACAACTCCAAAACAAAACGATTTGGCCATGGCAATGTTAAAATCAAAGGTAATAATAATGATATCGAAGAACACAATCGACGAGCTTATTTTTATTATTTTTATCATAGTATTACCACCTGTTTCCACGGAACATGTACAAGAAGATTCAGCTGCTATTGATCAATTAGCTAACAAGGTCAGGAACCAAATGTTAGAAGTCTTACGCGATATCTCCCCTCGTCTTCATTAGTGTCCTCCTTCACTTTCTTGTTTCTACTTATAGTTAGATTTTTATGTATTTTACTCGAACATAAATATACAGAACTAATAAAAAAAAGTTGTTTATTACTAGACAAGAAGAATCAAAATCATCATTGTTGTTTATTAGGAAGGATATCTTTTTTTTTTTTTAATGCGTGGCAAACAAAATACTAATAAACTAGAATTCAAAACTAAAAGAGAAAGGGGACCATCAATGTATACAAAAGTAATCAAAGAGATAACAAGATAAAATGGATACGTGTATGTGTGTTATGTATATATGGGTAACGATATTTTGTTTTGTTGTTGATGTGTGATGTAAGGTGTGAGTGCAGGTGGCGGTACGGGTAAAAAAATATATATAATAATAATAATAATAATAAAAAAAAAAACAGAATAACCAAGTTCCATCTTGTTCATTAAACGAGTCCAGTTCATAGTTGAATTTGATTACGGGAATTGTAACGATGAACTAAACTTTGGCAAGAGCAGAAAGCCAAGAAACAGGCGTACACAATAGCAGCTGAGAAACATGCTTTGGCGGTAGCAGCTGGATCATCTGGATCAGTGATAAATTCAGTCAATACTTCGACTTTAGCATCAAATGCCAATCCGAGAATCACCTTAAGAAAAGAGGAAATAGTGTTAGTATTAACAACATCATAAGAAAGCAAAACAAGATGAAACACACTTACAAGAAAAATAATACCAAAAATAGATAGTATACTACAACAAGTAGCATTTCCCGGACTGACAAATGTTTTCATATTGAAAGAATGTGTGCTATGATATAAAAAAAAAGAAGAAGAATAAATACAAAAAAAGAAACCAAAAAGGAGAAGAAAGGAAAAAGAAATTGGTATCGCTGAAACTATTGAGGGAAAAAAAAAAATACGAAAACAAAAAATTTCAACCTTTGGGATGGGATGAGATTTTTATCCCCGAAACCAAATCCGGTGGTGAAAAAAAAAGTATATCATCTTTTTCTTTTTTTCTTGTCCTTCCTTTTGTTATGAACAGATTACCTTTTGGATCTTTTCATGCATCTCATTTCAATCCTCAACAAGTACAACAATGGCAATTATATCTTCAACGGTTACAAACCAATATGCACGATCCATATGTTATTAATAATAATCTAGAAGAAGAAGAACAACAACAACAACAAGAAGAAGACAATTATATTACAACAGAACAAGAACAAGAGCCATTATCTAAGGAAGCTCTTGCTATATTTGAATTCTCAGAAGCCTATTCAAAACAAAGTAATAACGTGTAGTATTATAATAAACATGAAAAAAGTAACTTATATTTTCTTGTTTTATTTATTTATTTATTATTTCATTCATAGAAGAACAAGATAATATGAAAGACGATGACCTTAAGAACAATCAAGAAAAAGAACTTATATTAAATGAATTTCATACACTATATTCTGATGGAATAGAGGCACCAGCAACATCTCTTGTATTATTATCATCACCTATACCCAATAAGGACAATGATTTGTCTCGTATTGATATTCAAAGGCATCTACTCAATTCATCCTATGTGACTGCATGTACTTTACAAGAAGAACAATCATCCTTGGTTATGTGGCCTGTCCTTCCTTTTAGATTATAGTTTTAGAAAATTATGTGTACGCATTTTAGTAGTTTGAACGCGGAGTTAATTACCAAATACACAATAAAAAAAAAATAAACTCTATTTTTCTCATTTTTTTTCCTTTCCACCTTTTTCTTTTTTTATTATTATTCATGGAAGACCTGAAAGAAAAAGATCATTTTCCTCTCTCAGGTTCTTCTGACCAGTTGGAAATAGGTTCTATTTTATTCATATCCCCTACTATTATACTCTCTTTTATTATCCTCTTTTCACTTGGCCGCTTGCTTCATACTCGCGCTTCCCCTTGGATTGACATTGACGTTCAAGCAACAAGATCAAGATCATGGACAGCATTCACCAAACTGATTATTGTTCTTTGTATCGGTGTGAACTTGACATTTTTGATTGATGCTAGTAGCATGATTGCACGAGTAATGGAAACTTCGGTATGGATATCAAAACTATTAATTTTTTATGAAGCTGCTTCATTCATGGCATGGATGGTGTGCCTTTGGACTTTATTGGATGAATTATACAAATTTGGTCAAATCTATTGGATTCAATATATCTTTTGGTGTGTCGCCTTATTAACAGAAACAAGTGTAGGTTGGTTATGGGCTCTTAGCATCAAACATCCTAAACCAGGTATAAAAAAATAAAAAAAAAATAAAAAATAAAATACAATAACAAAAGTGAAACAATAAGGAGTTGACTTATTGTTGTTAGACAACAATAGTAATATTTATTGACTCTCCCCCTTTTTTTTTTGATAGATACATCATTCACTATTTATGATCAATTTCTCTTGGGTGTATTTATCACAAGATATGTTTTAGAATGTCTTCTCTTTGTATTTTCTATAATACATATGTTTTCACAAACATCGTCATCAGCAGAAACTACTCCTTTATTAAATTCAACAAATCATTCGGATTATGGCTCAGCTCCAACAATCACTACTACAACAAATGAAAAACCGAAGAGTACATTCTCGGATTTCTTTAAGAAGATGGGAGATTTGATGCCTTTTATTTGGCCTCACAACAATTGGCGTTTACAAGCTTTAGTGATTCTTAGTTTTGGTTTAATGGTACTTGGATTATTTATCAATGCTCAAACGCCGTTCCAACTTGGTTATGTTGTAGATCATATTGGCAAAGGTAAAAGAAATGACAAAAAAAAAAAAAAAAAGATCAGAAAAAATAACTTTTTTTTTTTTTTTTTTTATTATTCAGGCAAGTTTGCTTGGGCAGCTGTATTGATTTATATGGGATTCAAATTTTTACAAGGCGGATCAGGTTTGATTCAATGTGTACAAAACTTTTTATGGGTGCCAGTGAACCAATATACTACCAGAGAAATCTCCATCAAATTATTCGAACATCTTCATTTGCTCTCTCTGAATTTTCATCTCAACCGCAAGACTGGTGAAGTGCTTCGTGTCATGGATCGTGGTACAAGTAGTGTGGTGCAATTGTTATCTCAGATTTTATTCCAAATTGTTCCCGCTATTGCTAATATCTTGGTTGCTGTAGTCCTCTTTACCATCACCTTCTCACCTGCCTATGGTGCTATCGTGTTCGTCACCATGTCTCTCTACCTTTATGTTACTATTACCATGACCGAATGGCGTACCAAGTTTAGGCGTTCTATGATTGAACTGGACAATGCGGCTCGTACAAAATCTGTCGATTCATTACTCAATTTTGAAACTGTGAAATACTATGGTAACTCTGACTATGAAATCAATAGATACCGAGATGCTATTGTGGAATACCAAAAGGCTGATTGGCAATCCTCTGTTTCTCTCAATATTTTGAATTTGGCTCAAAATACTGTCATTACTGCTGGTCTCTTTGTTGGTTGCATGTTATTTGCTTGGGAAGTCTCACTTGGTCGTCTAACAGCCGGTGATTTTGTCATATTCAATGTTTACATGATGCAATTATATTCACCTGTATGTTTTTTTTTTTTAACTTTATCATCTTGTTTTACTTATCTTTTTTTTTTTTCCTTTAGTTACATTGGTTTGGTACTTATTATAGGTAGTATACAATGTAAGAAAATAGTAATCCATATATACTTACGTTTCTTTTTACTTTTTCTTTAGAATGATTCAAACAAACTTTATTGACATGGAGAAGATGTTGGACTTATTTAAAGAAGAACAAACTGTCAAGGATATTCCAGGTGCACCTGATATCGTTATTAAGGAAGGAAACATTGTATTCGGTAAAAAAAAAAAAAAAATAAAATAAAAAGAATATTTATTTGCTTGAAACAAAGTAGAATCTGATGGGGTTTTTATATTTTGTACTACACTAGATAATGTCACATTTACGTATGACAATCGTCAAACCGCATTGAATGGTGTCTCCTTTACTGCTCCTGCTGGATCTACTGTTGCTCTTGTTGGACCGTCGGGTTCTGGGTAATATATTTCTTTTCATATTCTTCATTATTGTTTATTAATGAAATTATTTTTCATTTAGAAAATCAACCATCATGCGACTTTTATTTCGCTTTTATGATCCTACTACTGGTACTATTTCCATTGATGGTCAAAACATTCGGAATGTCAAACAAGCTTCCCTTCGACGAAATATTGGCGTGGTACCCCAAGATTGTGTTCTTTTCAATGATACTATCATGTATAACCTTCAATATGGTGATATTCATGCTAGCAAAGAGGATGTTTATGAAGCAGCCAAGGCAGCTCAAATCCATGATAAGATCTTGTCATTCCCTGATGGTAATAATTCGCCAAAGAATGCATCGTCAATCAAAATCTGGCTAATTTTTCCTTTTTTTAGGCTATGAAACAAAAGTGGGCGAACGTGGACTTCGATTAAGTACTGGAGAGAAACAACGTGTGGCTATTGGACGAACCATTCTAAAGAATCCACCTATTATTTTATTGGATGAAGCTACTAGCTCTTTGGATACGTAAGTTGATAAAAAAAAAGAGGAAAGAAAGCTTTCGTCGTTAAAAAAGAATGCTCATATGAATTTTTCTTTTTTATTTTGAAACACATTTTAGTTTGACTGAACGACAAATTCAACTCGCTTTATCCAATGTCACAAAGGATCGTACAACGGTTGTGATTGCTCATCGATTGTCTACTATCGTTAATGCTGATTTGATTCTCGTGTAAGTAATCTATAATATAATGAAAGAATCATTGTTGACATTTTCTTTCTTTTTTCGATTTCTAGTATCAAGGATGGTCGTGTGGTGGAATCTGGAACTCACGATGAATTATTGAAACAAGGCGCAAGTTCTGCTGATCAGCCAGGCGTCTATTGGGAAATGTGGCAGAAACAACTTCGCGAAGATAATGACACTGATTCAACGTCTACCATTGGTGACTTGAAAACGAAAATTAACAAGGATGATGACACATTACTGACAAGCAATGAGACCGCGAAACTTGCACATCAAGTAGAAGAAACCATCCTGGATCCTATCACACCTTCAAAACAACAACAACAACAACAACAACAACAACAACAAGAGGAACAACAACGAGAAATGGAGACAGTATTAGAACAAGGTGACTCTGATCAGGCGCAGTCTACTACCATCACTCACTCGTTGGATGATATTCCAGCAACTACTAATGATTATACTATGATTACCCAACAACAACCACAACAACAACAAGAAGAAGAATTGCGAGCGAAATTACCACCTCTAGATATCCCATCCAAGATAAATGATACTACTACAGGTGATGATTTGGTTTCTTCACCTGTCGATGAAAATACTACACTTCAAAACGATCAAACAACAAACCCAGTATCGACTTCACCAACCAATAGTGCTCCCAAACAAGATCAACAACAAACTCAATCATCACAGCAATCTCAACAAGGAAACAACAAAAGCAAGTCGCGATCGAAAAATAACAAAAAGAAGAAGAGAAAGAGCGGTCGAAACAGTACTACCTTTTAATTGATTAGTATAGATTTAGTTTTTTTTTTTTTTTTTGTATGCAACTATAAAAGAAAATAAAAAAAATCTGGGTTTTAAAAATAAGTAGATTGGTTGTCTGTTTTTTTCTCTCACTTTCTTCTTCTTTACTTTAGTAGATTCATCTATTTGTACATATTATATATATATACCTTGTCATTGTACATGTTATCATGTCTTCTTATCCAACACAATGTACTCGAACAATAACAGGACATAAGGGCCCCATCAATGCTCTTCGATACAACACTTCTGGACAATATTGTTTATCTGGGGGGAAAGATCGTAGTGTTCGGTTATGGAATCCAACTTCAGGATTACATTTACATTCATATGAAGGTCATGGTCGAGAAGTACTTGGATTATCAGTGTAAGATTTATTCATATGTACATTGGTATATATCTTATAACTTTTATTTTTAATTAGATCTCAAGATAATGCCAGAATAGCCAGTTGTGGGGCAGATAAAGCCGTGATACTTTGGGATGTCAGTAGTGGTAGTCTTTTAAGAAGATTTACAAGTCATTGGGAACGTGTAAACGCTGTGGATTTTAATCAAGAAGGAACTGTACTTGTTAGTGGTAAAAAAAAAGATTTTTCTTTTTATCATTTCATTTTCTTAATCTTATTTTTTCATTTTTTTTTTCATTTTTTTTTCATTTTTTTTTTTTTAGGTTCATTTGATGCCACTATAAGGATTTGGGACTGTCGATCATCCAATCTTCAAGCAATCCAGGTGATTGAAGGATGTAAAGATAGTATTATGTCACTTCAGGTCAAGGACAAGGAAATCATTACTGGTTGTGCGGATGGAAAATTACGAAGATTTGATATAAGACAAGGACAATTATATGAGGATTATATAGGATGTAAGATTTTTTTTTTTTTTGAAGGAAAAATGAATTATTACTATATTTAATTTTAATTTTTTTTTTCTTTTTGATAGCACCAATCACATCAAGCAAGATTTCTGGTGATGGTAATTGTATCCTTATAAATACAATGGATGATACCATTCGATTGATGGACAAGACAAATGGTCAATTATTAAATTCATTCAAAGGACATCGACAACAGAAATATAAGATTGAATCAGCGCTCACGTACGATGATGCTCATGTTATCAGCGGATCAGAAGATGGTCATATCTATATTTGGAATGTATTGGAAGGGAATTTGATGCGTACATTGGATTCACATTCTGGAACCATTTCTACACTGGACTGTCATCCTTCAAAGGGTGTGCTGATATCTGGAGGTGATGATGGGATGATTCGATTATGGGAATAGTTTTTTTTTTATTATAATAATTATTTTTAGAATGTTTATAGAATTGTGAAATAAAAGATATATCTTTCAACCTTGTCTATTTGTTTTATCTTTTTGTTTACTTTTTTTTCTCTCTCTTTGTTATTTAGGTTAAACTTTGATCACTGTTTGAAAGGTAAATGTTTTTTTTTTAAACTTTAGCCATCATTCAAAAAAGGCGCGTTGTTATTGTAAGAAAAGGGGGGAGGCAAACTCACGTTATTGTTCCCCCGACACTTTAAAGTGTCTTGTGCTGTGGTGATGTTACATGTTTCGTGTTTCCACTTTTCGTTTTTCTTTTAAATGAGGTCAAAATAGGATGAAAATAAAACATTTTCTTTTCTTTATAGATCTATCAATATATACCTATTTAATTATTTTTTTTTCATTGTCTTTATTATTCCTTTTTACTTATGTATCATCATCATCATCGCTTGGACACATTGGACACTTATTCATGTCGACAACCTCTCACCCAAACAGATCATGATGATAAGAACAATACTCATTCAAGACTAAAACAAGTTGTTCTGTATAAGACTGAGATTTGTCGAAACTGGGCAGAGTTAGGTCATTGCAGGTAATTCATAAAAGAATAAAATTTATTGAAATAGATGATGATATAACCTTTTTTTTTTTTTTTTTTTTTTGAATGATAGGTACGGAATCAAATGTCGATATGCTCATGGGGATGCAGAACTTCGACAAGCACCTCGTCATACGTTATATAAAACTAAGATTTGTCGGGCTTATCATGATCAAGGGGAATGTCCTTATGGTATCCGATGTACGTTTATTCATGATGATAATCAAAAAATTCAACCAGCCAAATCTATAGAGGAAGAAGAGGATTACTATAGCAACCATCATCACAGAAAACCACTATCACCTTCCTCATCTTCTTCATGCTGTAGTAGTACCGTGAGTGATGATAGTTGTACTCATCCAAATATGATCAATAATCGTCCAACGCCTGAAACGCTTCTTCCTTTTTCTGCAATGATGAACGATCATCAGACCAAACTGCCCATGATGATGCTGATTGTGCCACCAGTAATAAGCCATCGAGATCTTAAATACATATACCCTTATTTACACTTACATAATCATCAGTATTACATTGTATGATAATAAAAATGTTTTTCATGGCGGGCATCCAACCGTTATTATGATATTCTTTTTGACCAAATGAGCTGATTGGAAAAAAAAAAGTTCCTCCAAACCCTTGTTTAATCAGGAAAAAAAAAAGGGTTTTCTATTTTTTTTTTTTCACTCTTTTTTTTTCTTCTTTTATTGATAAAACAGAAAGGATTTATCTATTACAGATGTTATAAATAGATATATACATACATAGAAATGACAGACAATAAATTATACAAGATCATCAACGCAAAATTACTCAAACATCATCAACTAGTAGAAAACGAATATTTATGGTTTCAAAATGGTCAGATTGTAGATGCCGAACAAGTGTTCTTTGAACAAAGAAAAGAACCGGATGAAATCATTGATGCACAAGGTTGTATTGTAGCGCCCGGATTTTTGGATCTTCAGATCAATGGTTCTTATGGTATTGATTTTGCTGATCATGAAGGCTCTATAGTCAAGTTACAAATCAATATCGATACCGTGGCAAAAGGATTACTTCAATCAGGTTGTGTTGGCTTCTGTCCAACCGTGGTAACTTCGGAACCCGCCGTTTATAGTAAGGTAAGCTAAAAAAAAAAAAAATAGAAACCATTTTTTTTTTTCGTTTTCTTTTTCTTTTTTTCTTTTTTTCTTTCTTTTCTTTTTTTTTTTTTTTTTTTATTACTATTGTTACTTATCATTTGATTATCCTCCTCCATTCCTTAGGTTCTTCCTTTATTACGACGTCGAGCTGGTAATGCAAAGACGAACTCTGAAATCTTGGGCGCTCACGTTGAAGGACCATTCATTTCTGAAGAAAAGAAAGGTGCCCACGATGTTAATGCTATTCGGACCGCGTCAAGAGGTATATTGGATTTCGAAGAAGCATATGGATCTGAATTAAAACGAGGTGGCGAATCTATATCTATCATCACACTGGCACCTGAAGTGGATGGTGTTCTGGATGTCATACCAAAGCTTATAGAACGTGGAATCACTGTTTCTCTTGGTCATTCGGCGGCTCATATTAAGGCGGCAGAAGCTGGCGTTGCTCAAGGTGCTTGTCTCATGACTCATTTGTTTAATGCTATGTTACCCGTAAGTTCCATTGTATTATTATGGAATGTACATTCACTTTTTTTTTTCCTAGTTCCATCAACGTGATCCTGGTATGGTGGGTACGTACAAAATAAATAACATAGTATTCTTTATTTCATTTATTCATTCTTTTTTTCTTCTTTTCTCTATTGTTAGGTATCTTGGGTGCTACTGATTTGCCTGTACCAAAACAACCTGATAGACATCCTTTACCATCTCTCACCAGTGCTAATCATCAACAATCGGATCCACGACCCTTCTATGGTATTATTTGCGACGGTATCCATGTGCATCCCAATTCTGTACGCATCGCCTACTATTCTCATCCTCGAGGTTGTGTCTTGGTGACAGATGCATTATCAGCAGCAGGACTTCCTCATGGTATTTATCAACTTGGTGGTCAAGATGTGGAAGTGCGTCATGGTGGAGCATATATCAAAGGAACAGATACTTTGGCAGGTAGTACGGTGACGATCGACCAGTGTGTGCGCAACTTTTGGAAATTCACAAGATGTTCTCGAGTAGAAGCTTTAGAAGCAGCTACACTTCACCCAGCACAAAGTTTGGGCATACAAGATCGTAAAGGGACATTGAATCCAGGTGCGGATGCTGACTTTGTGTTTTTGGATGATGATTTGAATTTGAAACAAGTCTATGTGCGTGGTGAACAAGTGATCTTGGCCAGGTCTCCCTAGTTAGATTATTGTATCATATATTGCCTAGTTTAGTCATATATATATTTATGCATATTTTCCATTCCGTTTAGTCATACATTGTATACATCCATCGTTTTATTATTGTTCTAAAAAAATAAAGCGTTATATATATTCATTTTGTTACAGGTACTTTAAATCTATATTTCCATATAGTTGATTTCCAGTCAAATCAATTTTTTTTTCTGGTTGATGTGGTCTTTGGATTTGGATGATGATTCGTTATTATGAAGTTCAGGTATTTTATCGTTCAATTTCATTTTTCTTGGTTGAGTAGTATTTTCATTCTGATGATCATCATCTTTGTTTGTCATGTTACTACTACAATGTTTGCTTATATTTTGTAAAGGAGGAACGGCTATATCATTATTGTTTATCTCTTTTTGGTCCAATATAATGTTGATTTGAACAAAAATAAAAAAACTACATATATAAAATTTTTTTTATTGACAAAATAGAGCAAGGCATTTGATTATATAATTACAAAGATAGTATGATCATGTGCATATTTGAAGAAACAAAAAGAAAAAAAAAATATGAAACAGTAAATCTAGACTAAAAAAAGAAAATGATACAAAAGAAAAAACTATACGAAGGAAATGTAATGAGGACTAAGTACAAAAAAAAAGTTGGGAACGTAGAAGAGAGTAGAAGAAAATAAAAAAAAAAAATATAAAAACAAAAGGATATCATTATCGTTCATAGGATTTGTCACCATAAATCACCAAAGCCACCATGATGTTCTTCTTCCAATATGATTTGAGGATTCTATAAGTAGAAGGAAAGAACGGAGTATTAATATCCAAATGTAGTATAATTTTCTATTCTATTGATTTTACCTGACAAATTTCCCATTCTGTCAAAAGACTATAATCCTTGATTGTACCTGTTTCCAACATGTTGACTAACTCTTCCATCATAGGTTCACTATCATCTTGATGATATACATGACTGGTGGATAATACAGATGATCTACGACGTTGTACTAGCTGTGAAGTATCCAATGATGACCGTCGTCTTTGTCTCTGTACATCTAATCGTTGTTGTTCTTTTTGTTGCATTCTAATTACAAACGAGTCATTATAACTTTGCATTTGTCGATGGAGGTCAGCAAATGCTTCTTGTCGTAAAGTCGTCAAATAACCCAGGTCCACTGTCAAGTTGTCATTACTGTCATTGTCGTCATGTTTTGTTATATGGCTGTTGTTGTCGTCATTATTCTTGTTGTTATTATTGTTCTTGTTAAGTCGATAAGGATAATAGAGATGTTCTTGACCTGTCTTTTTCTTTTATTTTTCAAACCAGAAACACAAAACAAACATTTAGTAAGCAAGGTTTAAACAATATGCTTCTTTTAACTATACCTTCTTCGTAGTAAGGTATTTTGTAAGTTTTCGTTGTCGTTTCATTTTAGACAAGTTGGATTTCTTTATTGGTTCATTTCTATGCCTGCATATTGGAGATGAGTATTTCATGATAGAAATGTCAAAGTGAAAAAAGAAAGGGGAACGCGAAAAAAAAGGGCGATTTCCCCGTTTTGGATTTGAGAAATTCAAAAAAAAGTCACATGCGCGACAGTTAGGCATCATCTAAAAATCAAATAAAGAGAAAAGAGTTTCCTTTTTTTTTTTCTCATACACTTCTTCAATTATCCACCCCTCTTACCCTTTCTCTTTTTTTTTTATTTTTTATTAAAAACATCACATCATCTTATACCGTACAATTCGATATCATATTAAACAACTAATTTTATAATTTAAAAGGTAAGAATCTTCCATTTTTCTTTTTTGTTCGGAAACAAAATCAATATACTAACACTTTTTCCTTTTTCTTTTTTTAAAAAGTTCATGGGTACTCCTGCAGACTTTGACGATGAAGAATTCGGTTTTCGTTTTAAACGCTTTGTAAGATCTCCTTTATCGACAAGTCATATTGTCAATTCTAATGATGAAAACTATCACAACAAAACCAACAACAACGCAAAACAAAAAGGGAAAAGTGTTGAAAAAAGGGGTCCAATTCAACTACAAACTCCAGAAGAAAGGGTAAAACAAAAAAAAAAAAGGAAAAAGATGATAGTAAAACATTAATACTAAGATAACTTTTTCTTTTTGTTTTGCTTTTGATAGAATCCCTTTACACTCTCTCCATTATCACCATATACATCCTCCAGTATACTTGAACAAAAACAATCTCAACGCTCTATTGATATTTATACCCTATCTCCTGAACCAACTGAACCTCAAAACTATGTAACAATCGACTCTACTCCAAGTCCAATATCATCTCCAGAACGTATTAGTAACAACATTACACCATCGGGTGGAGACGTTATTAGTAAGTAGAACTGATCATTAATTATTATTATTATTATTATGATTGTACTAAAGTCTATATCTTTTCTTCCTCTCACTCACTCATTTTATAACTAGTCCTCTCATCACCATCCAAAGAAATCCCTACTTCAGAATATTATACATCCATAGAATCCGATTTACCCAACACTGAACGTATGCGACAGTTACTATTGGCGGGTTTACGATATCAAACCAAGCAACAATACTCTTCTATTCAAATAGCTGATGATGATGATGATCAGACTGAACAACAACGAATTATGGTCCAAAATGAACGTAAGATTTTAGTCAAGAACATTTTTTTCCCTACAAACTATATGTCCTTTAATATTCTTTCTATGTTTTTTTTTCACTTCATATGATCTTGTTAGTTCGGAATATCCACCTTCAAGTCATCTCCAAATTGGCTAATGGCGATATGGATCCGTATCGAAATCAACAATCAGCTGAAGTAAGAAGGAAAGGAAGAGATATTTTGTGCATCGCAGCTGATCCACTGTCTTTCTTTTTTCTTCTATTTCTAGAAATCATCTTTCTTTGCCTATGCCGAACGTCACCGCAGAAACGAATACAACAGGGATCGGATAAGAAAAGCGAAACTTTTGATTGCAAAGTAAGTTGGAAAAAACAAAAGAAAGATTCAAAAAAATTCATGACTTTATTATTTTAGGTTGAAGGAAGATAGTCAAGCACGACGACAAGCAACAGGAAGGATATACGAATACCACGCATTAGCGACGGATTCATGCCCGGAAACTGACAAGAAAGTCCATCTTGGAGCATGTGAAGACTATCTGGATAATCTTTATGATGATCAGCGACTTTTTTACGAATCTTATGGATTAAGGAATGATGATGATACCGACTCCACTTCTTCAATAAACTTTACACCATCGCTACAACAACTATTATTACGGACTAGCTATGATGTGGCAGAGTTACGACAACAGCTCAACATTGCTTACGAGTATCAGAAACAAACCGGTGTTTTTACTGATCGATTGCTACGGGCCATTGCGACACGACTGAAAAGAAGCACACTCTGTTTACCGACTATTCCCAGCAATACAGGTAGCACAGTGGTCTCGAATAATGAAGATAAAGACCAGATCTCAACCTTACCATCATCATCATTATCAGCATCACCATCATCATCATTATCAATATCAAAACGAGATATGGATTTACTACAAGATGATTACATGGAACAACGCATTAAGAAACGACGACTATTGCTGGGGGACAAGGATGATTCTGACATGGATGCCAAAAGGAATTTTGAATTTTTACGACTCTTATCCAAACAATTATCTCAATAAATGTTATCTATTATATTGATCATATTAACGAATGATGTATCTTTTCTCTCTCTCTATACTTATTTGTCTCGTTTTTTCTTTCCTTTTTTTTTTTTTTTTTTTTTTTTTTTTTTTTTATCGTGAATGGAATGCAGTGTTGAACGTACATGTGATAGAGCTCCACTGGATAGCAACGGGATGTGATTACGGAATAGCATCTTTTTGACGGTCTTCATACAGGACTGATTGGCATGTCTCTCATTTGACTCTTATTATTCATGGTGAGTCTTTATAACGAGTTTAGATGTAGTCTTTTTGAATTATCTGTGATGACTCTTTCTTCTAGAGAAATGTTTTTGGCACGGACTTTTTTTTTTTTTAATTTCATCCATGCTGAAGAAAAGGGATGCAAGCTTTAACATTCTGATAGTCCAGTATTATAGTCTAAACTGATTTCTATAAAGACTCATATAAGATCATTGCTACTGTATTCCAGAATGATGACAGTTGACGACGATGGGAGAAAATCATTATAATGATGAGGAAATATAAATGGCTTTATTGAAAACGAATATAAAGAAATAACATTTTATGCTACTGACATGAATATTAACTGTCAGTAGAAGGATCGTTATAATATACATTATTCTTTGATATATTTCTTTCAATTAATAACAGTCAGCACCATAGGTAAGAGGAGGAGCCCCACATTGCTGAAGGTATTTTTGCATATTGCTTTTTCCAGCTTCTGTTGTCGTATCACCAACATCACATCCATCCCATCCAATTGTTGCGGTTTGCCATTGTAACTCTGCCTTGGTACAAGCACTTTTTGCGAAGCTTTCTGATGACCATGTTGTCGGAGTACCTACATTAGCGCACCAACACCATTTAGCTTCTGCCATGAACACGAACAAGGATGATACACAAAGAGATTTGACCAAGATGGATAGCATTTTATTTTTAAATTATGATGAGAACCATTACAATTTCTCTCCCATTTATATATTTTTATTTTTTTGCAATGATCCGTTTTTCCAGAGAACGTCTTTCGCCACAAAGCCCCCTCCCCCCTTTTTTTTTTTTTTTTTTTTTACTCATCATGAGGAACAGGATTTTAAACTCTAGGTTCTGATGATCCAAGGTCATTTAATAAAAAATATTTACATTAACCCCAGCGATCACCGCTTTGCATGAATAAATATGATAGGGAAAAAGAGCGCTCCATAATTCCTTTACGCCAAATGACGATAGGTGACGATATTGGTGCCTATTTTTTTAAATTTATTCTATAAATGCAACACTAAAGCTATAAAATGACATTAGCTAAATTTCAAGAAAATGGTTTGTTCTATAATGTATTCGAATTTGGCGCAATGATGATGATCTCTAAGAAAGAAAGGCTAATGTTTGCTTGCCGCTTGCATGCAGCATGGAAACAAAAAAAAAAAAAAGAGATCGGACGTCCTTAACCAAATTTTGGCTGTAAAAAACGATCGTCAAGAGGTCATCATGCAACGTTTAGAAAAAGGATGACATTTTTTGGGGCCTATTGCATAAGATAAGCGATAAAATAAGATTAGACGATGTTGGACTACTTTTTTTTTTTTTTTTTTGAGAGGAGTCTAATGATAGTAGTCTAATTGGATGATGATCATTATTGGATGAGAGATGACTGAATTGACACTTATTTTTTAAAATGGCTCTATAAATTCGATGGTAAGATATAGATTGCTATTAAAACAATTGAAAGGGAATGATTTAATATATTTTTAGTCTAAATTTGATGCAATGATGGTGATATTTGAATGAATTACAGTAGTATAATTGGTACATGTCCACTCAAAGTGACGTTACAGTATAAAAGACGGGCATGGATCTCATTTCTCGGTATGGGCAAGGAAAAGCCAGTAATGGCAAAAAGAGCTTGAAGTTTGGAGTAAAGAAAAAAAAAAGAAAAAAAATCGGGTTGAAACTCATGGACGACAGTTTGTATCCTACTACGGGAGTAAATAGATATTTAAAATAAAACAAAGCAGAGAGTGAGATTATAGTTTTATTTGAGAAGAAAAATTAGAAAGGTCTTTTGAGTAAACATGGGCTTTTTGATGGTTGGCTTTTTGTGACAAAAAAAAGAAAAAGCAAAAAATCATGTCAAATTGTCATCAGTGGACGGACTTGAAAAAATACCTCTTTTGTGTGCGTTTTACTTTTTTTTTAATTTTTTCCTTTCTTTTTCTTTTCTCCAACACTTTTTTTTCCACATTGGGTGTCGTCTTTGTTTGCGCGATCCTTTCATGGTAAATTTTATTGGATTTGGAGCGTTTTGAAAAAGGGATTTACAAAATACATGCGGAAACCCTTTCATTTTGGATGTAGAATTTAGTACAGGTAATGACAGAAAATATTTTATATATATATATTTTTTTTATATGAGTTACTTGACCTGGATTTATTTTATTGGTGATGCGAACGGAGAGCTAACTAGACGGCAAACTTCTTTTGGTTAAGAATGGCGACTTCTTGTTAGGATCTTGGTGGTGGACGAACACTTCTGGTTGGTGCTATAATAGATAACACAAAATGGACAGATAGTAGTGGTAGTTTTATTAGTTAGCATGTGTATTACTTTTTTTTTTTTTTGAAATAAAAATTATATTTCCCACAACAATACACGTCCATGGCTTTCTTTTTTTATTTTTATGTTAATCATTACTATTGGATGAGGGATGATGATATTGGTACTTCATTCTTAATTTACTCTACAAATTGGGAGGTAAGGTATAAATTGTTACTAAGACAAGTGAAAGAGAATGATTTCATGGGTGTTCAGTCCAAATTTAATGCGATGATAATCACATCTCAGCGAGCTACAAAAGTATAAACGCGATATATATCTATCCCATTTGAAGCTAAGGTACAAAACAACGATTGATAATATTGGAGTCAGTCATAATGATGATGAGAAAATATAAATCTGACTTTATTAAGGGAGAATATAAAGACAATATATAATGCTACTAAGACTAATACTAGCTATCAGTAGAAGAGTCATTATAATATAGATCATTTTTTTATAGTCCTCTTTAATTAATAACATTGAGCACCATATCCATAAGAAGAACGTTGTAAAAGGTATCTTTGCATATTGTTTCTTCCAGCATCTGATGATGTATTACCAACATCATATCCATTCGATGAAAATGTTGCAGTTTGCTATTTTAAGTTTGCTCCGCTGCACGAATCTTTTGCAGTGTTTTCCGATGATCATGTTATCGGAGTACCTGCATTAGCGCACCAATACCATACGGCTTCCGTAGCAAACACGAACAACGATAATATACAAAGGGACTTTATCAAGATGGAGAACATGTTTGTTTTAATTAATATGAAATTCTTTGCGATTTGCCTCCTATTTATGTCTTTTTGCTTTCTGTAATGACCCACTTTTCCCAGAGAGAGCTTTTCGCCACCATTTTTTTTGTTTTGTGTCTCATCCATCATGAGAAAATGAATCTTAAGTTTGACGTTCTGATATTCCAAGACTAGTATCAATCGTAGATCTTTACCCTAATGATCGTCACTTTACAAGAATAAATGAGATGAACTTAGCAATATAAAGGAATCATCATCACCACAAGGCCAATCCTCAACAAAATATGAATTGATGATGTGACAAAGAGAACTAATATATATATATATATATATAACGTCAGAGGATAAAATATGATGGCAAATATGATGGTCCATAAAGTAAAACGAGAGTTGATATATAAAGTTAATATGCTTTTTTTTTATTCAAATGGTATGATTGTATCAATTCTATACATAAATGTTAAACTAAAGTCTATAACAGTAAGGTCCTTTTCTTCTTAATAGCGACACCAAGCGATTCTGCATCCAATTCGTCCACGTGGCCTTGTTCACCATCGACTTCCTTGGCATGATTATATTTTTCCATAAATGATTGCATGTCTTGTTGAAACCGATTTCCATCAATAGATTTCCGAATAGATTCCATGAATTGTCCCAGTTGATAAATGTTGTGTCTATAGATGTTTTACAAAAAAAAAAAAAAAAAAAAAAAGAAAAAAAAAAGAGAAAATGAGTCCCATGTTATTTTGATATGCTTTTTCCATCCTTACCCCATCAGTAAAATTGTAGCAAGCATTTCATGTGCATTCAACAAATGATGTATATAAGCTTTGGTGTGAGGAGTAGTACAAGAATAACATCCACAAGTTGGATCTAAAGGTTCAAATGTTTGTGCTAGCTTAGTATCCCACATGTTGATCGTTTTATCCACTTTGCCGTCCATTTTGGTTAAATTTTCACCAAAGTTGATTGAAATGGCTCGTCCACGTTCTGTCATCGTGTATGCGTAACTATGGAAATAAAAAAAAAGGATGTACAGATCAATATTTCTATTCTTGCTTGCCTCTTTGTTTTCCCTCAATTTTTATTTCTTCCTCTATTCTTGTTTTATTTTTACCTTCCATCAAAGAGATCCACACCATTGGCTACACCCATCAAAATGTGCTCTATAGATCCAATCAGATAGACCAGTATAATTGAATAAATATATTTGACCAGCTGATTTCCTTTATCCTTTGTTTGCTACTATTTTTTCTTACTTACCAGGAGAAGTCAATCCATATGCTAATTTTGGCTTGTTCACAGGAAGAGGTTCTAAGGAAGCTTGTAATAAAGAAGTGAAGTCATCTTTTTTCAATCCAAGAACACTGACAGTAAAGCCTAAATAAACCAAAAAAGAAAAAGTGATTTAGGAAGCTTAGTTCTCTTCCTCTTTCTATTCTTCAATTAATACTTACCTTCGACATCACGTTCCATTGTTTCTTTTGAAGATCTTTGACGTTCTTCCACACTAGTATGACCCATAACAGGAGCAAAGATGGGCGTTCCCAATTCCTACAAACAAGTTAAAATAAATAAAATGGCCAAGATCACTATTTTATAACTTACCTTTGCTTTTGGAAGACATTGATCCAACCACCGTAAAGTACGATCTACAGACCTTTTCACTCGTTTCATTTTTGCATCCTTGTCACAAATAATATCTGCCATTGCTGCATAAATATCAGGTTGATAAGTTTCCAAGACTTTACTCCATAATTCAGGTGTCACTTGACGTACACCACCATGTGTATCTACCGAGAGATATTTGTCTGTATTGAAGGTGACAGGATGGTCGTTTTGAGGATCTCGCATATCACAGAATACCAAATGATTTTCCAAGTGAGTGTATTTATGAATACCATATGGGTATTTAAGAGAAGATGGCTCTTTTTCTTCCAAACTACAGAATTGTTCATTTAAAAGAAAACAAAAAAAAAGAAAGAAATAGATCAGTACAGATATTATTACTCTTTCCTTATTTTTACTTCACAGATTCATATTCACTTACAAGTGTTCCAAGGAAAGATGACACATATCAATAGGTAAACCAGAAAGGTTATCAACAATCAAATGAGGTACAGCACCGCGAATAGTATATGTCAAACAAGCAGGAGTTTGGATAGTCTTGTTTTTCTTCACCAAGTTTAAAGCACCTCGTCTAGGATATAGTTTTGCAGCTGTAGTTGATTCATTTAGCGTGGTAAAAGTAAGTAGACTGGCCATTCTTTGCATCAATAGAATATGAATCAGTAATGGGTCAAAGTGAATAAAAAAAAAAAAAAAAAGAAAAGTGAGGAAGAAAGAGAACAAAATTGCGGGAGGTGAAAATACTTCAATCTGTCAAGTTATAGACAAATGAAGTGGCTTATGTAAAGACGGACAACAAAAGGGATTGCATTAATGACATTAAAAAAGGATTTTATTAATAAAATTTCATATATGATTAAAAATAACTATTAGTTAGTTTTTTGGCTCTTCTTTTACGTAAAGTGCCATTAGCTAATTTTTCTTGTCTGGTTACCCTCCTAGATCGAAGTTCTGTATGTCGATTACGATAAGAATCTACTGCTCGTTGTATGAGACCACGTTTACCAAAGAGTTGTTCTCGGTTTAACCAACATAGTTTCCATCCTAATTGATTACAACTTGTTTCATAATTCCATCGATTTCCATCATATTCTTCTTTTTCTACATTAGCTCTAGGATAGATCTAAAAAAAAAGAAAAGAAAAGGTTAATATGCTTTTTTTTTTTTTTGGTAAGAGCTTACAGCATTTTGTAACCGAAAATCCATTGGGACATCATCTATATCAAGATTATCCACATCTGTACGAACAGTATATTCTTTGATGAGACGATCATGTGAGTACAAAAAAGTGATGTGCTCAATCCCATTGATCATGTGCGCAATGGGTTCATGAGCGGTCAGAGAAACAACAGAGGCAACAGATGCAGCACGCCTACGAACGGATGGAACATTAGAAGAGTTATTTTTACGATAAGGTTGTTGATCCGATCGGCGACGTTGATACATTTTGTTGTTATGAAAATGAGTTCGATTGCCATTGTTATTTGTATTGATGACGAGAGGAGAGGCAGAATGGGATGAAAGAGATGCTTGTGGATCAAAAGGAGAAGTCATCATCATGGCACCAGAAGAAGGATGATGTTGCGTGGGTAATGATGGTACAGGTGCATGGACACCAAAAGCAGGTTGATTATCCACAGGAGGAGTTGGAGGCAAAAAAGAGGAGTCTTGATGATAAGGTTGGCCTCCATTCATAAGCGGAGATTGTGTTCTTGTGGAGGGTAATGAACAAGAAGGCGTTGGGGGTAATTGTTGAATGTGACTGATCCATGATTGCTCTTGTTGTTGTTCTGGAGGTTGTGATTGTTGTGACAATGGATGATGGCTATTTTTAGCCAGATCGGCCAATGGATCTGAAAAACGTTGATCCGAAGAATCAATTGACCATAAAGAAGGATCCAATAGAGTAGATAAATCCAAATCATCACGCATATTCCAACAAGTATTAGCATCTATGGATTCATTGCTGTTTGGAAAGCTTGATCCAGAATTGAAAACATCAATTGGTAGTGTTGATGCATCACTGTTGATTATCCCTGCGGATGGACTTTGATTTTCTTCCAATGGGAATATGCCTGAATTTCTGGGTTTAGTGGTGTTGCTATTTACAACTGTTACTGCTTTCATGTTTGTTTGTTTTTTTATTTTTATTTTTATTTTTATTTATTATTTGTTATCTAAAAAAAAAATGATGAAGAAAAAGTTAAAAATAACAAACATTGCCTTTAGACACAATCCAAAACAAAAATATAAGACATATTCAAAGACACTATGATGATATGAAACCGGACACTTTTTTTTTTTAATTCTTAATCATTGACTCTATTATTATGAATCAACCATTTTTTTTTCTTTTTAGAGAGGGGTTTCTGCCAATCTTTCCATAAAGAGATTCTGTACACTGCGTCATATGAATCAATGTCATTATAAGAATAAGCTTGATCATATCCATTTTTTTTACTCTACTATCATTACTATTTATCCATTACCATCCTGTTCTATTCATCTTACAACTACTTGCCATCATCTACTTGTCATCATCATTATTCTCATCATCTACTCAATGTTTTCACTCCTTATCCATTCATGATCCGCTCCTCATCAGTCAATCAGAACCATCTTTTTTTTTTTTTTTTTTTTCGTCGCGTAGCATCCCAATCCCATCTTAAACATGATAATTTTAGAAAATATATTTTGCTGGGACAGTTACACAGGACAGTTCCCTTTGTCTTATTTTCTCTAAATTTAGACAATTTTCTCTTTTTTGCCAAGAATTCAAAGTAGTACAGCTTTTATTTCAAATACAGTTTTTGCAGAAAGAAAAGTTTTTCCGTGAACAAAAAAAAAAATTATTATGAACGCCAAAAAATACACAGTAGGACAAGGGCTTTATAAAACGACCCTGATATCTTTTTTTTGTTTTTTTAAACGCTCCTTTTTTTTCTTTTTTCTTTTTTTTTTTTTATTATTCATTCCTTATATCTTTCAAGAGTGATGATTGGTTTAAAATCCATTGCAGTTGTTGCCGCACTAGTAATTAGTAAGGTGGACGCTGCTGAATATTGGCAATCGTTCAATTCATCCATCAATCCTTTAAACATCACTCTACCCAATATCCCTCAAACTACATCCATTGATCCTACCACTGAATGCACCAATTACGTTCCTGATCCAAGTCTGTTCACTCTTGATGCCACACAATGGCCTACCAGTTGGGATATTGCCACTTCCAATGGAATGAACACATCTGCCGAATTCACTGCCCTTTACAATTCAATTGATTGGTCCAAAGCACCCAATATTCCTGTTCGTACCTTGAATACTGATGGATCCATCAATATGAATGGATATGATAGTGCCACTGATCCTGATTGCTGGTGGACAGCCACTACTTGTACCGTACCTAAACTTCAAGATGTCAATGCTGATATTTATGAATGTCCTGAACCTGAAACATGGGGTTTGACCTATGATGATGGACCCAATTGCTCCCATAATGCCTTTTATGATTACTTGCAACAACAAAATTTGAAGGCATCCATGTTCTATATTGGTTCCAATGTGATTGATTGGCCTTATGGTGCTATGCGTGGTGTGCGTGATGGTCATCACATTTCTTCCCATACTTGGTCCCACAAGGTAATACATTAATGATTTTTTTTTTTTTTTTTTTTTTAGTACTGATTCATTATATGTATATTAGATGATGACTACTTTGACAAATCAAGAATTGCTTGCTGAATTTTATTATACTCAAAAAGCTATCAAATTGGCTACTGGATTGACTCCTCGTTACTGGCGTGCTGTAAGTTGGAAAAAAAAGGATTTTTTTTTTTTACCTGATTTGCTTATCATCTACTTTTTTTTTTTTTTGAACCATCAGCCTTACGGTGACGTGGATGATCGTGTTCGTTGGATTGCTACTCAATTAAACCTCACTTCTATTCTTTGGGATCTTGATACCAATGATTGGTCAGCTGGTACAACAGAAACTGTTCAACAAGTACAAACATCCTATGATGAATTCATCCAAATGGGTAGCAACGGTTCTATGACCACACATGGTAACATTGTACTGACCCACGAAATTGCCAATGTCACTATGAGTCTTGCATTGACCAATTTACCTAACATCATGAAAAACTATCAACATGTCGTTAACGTAGCCACTTGTCAAAACATCACCTACCCTTACATGGAAAATACCGTGGCTTTCCGTACCTTTGATGAATATTTAGCTCAAAACTCTTCGGCTGGAGGCGCTGCCAGTTCTATTCTTGGAACAAACACCAATGTTGGTGTCACCGCCACTGGAAAGGCCGCTACCCAATCAAATGCTTCAAGTGATGCCTCCTTCATCCTCGCTCCTTCCACCTCCTTTTTACTCTTCACTATTATCTTAGTGTCATCCGCCTTTTTTTAGACTATAAGTTTTTATTCAAATGAAATAAAGAATTGATTTATGTCAACCTTATTTTTGGATCAAACTATGTATTAATAGATATATATAAAAAAAAAAAGAAAGTTTAATCAGTAGACCATGTGTGACATGCAAGCATAAAACATCCAAATTTGGATAAATTCGCCGTTGAGAAACCTTGACCGGTGTTTTGAACTGGATACCCACATGGCAAAATAAGAAAAAAATAAAAAAGAAAAAAATAAAAATAAATCCATGTGCGTTTCGAATGGTCAAAAAAAAATCATCATGGAAGCTAAACTTAAAAAAGAATTTCAATTCATCTGTTTTTAATTTATTTTTTAATACACAACATAATATAAAGAGAATATAAGATAAACTTTATTAAATATCAATATTCTATCACTAATCTATCACTATCTCTATACTAATCATTAGTTATCTTACGAATCCTAGATTACTGCTGAGAGATCCATTGTTGCTCTATGTCTATTAATTGATCTTATCCTGCTTCATCCGTTCTTGTCGTCGTCATCAATCATCATCATCAGTAATCATAAAATAGTAATAAAAAAAAAAGGTGTTGCCTGTCCATCCCTTTCCATATTCATGATCCCCCTTTTCTAAAAGGAGTTACTTGCTAAACAGTGTTTTACCTCATCCATACCTCCGATATCAGCCTTCATTTCCAAATTGTTATCACTGAGTATCCTTTTTTCGCGTCTTATTTCCTACTGTTGTTAAAAAAGGAAGAGTTAGTTCATTTAGCAGAAGTTATTATCTGATTCTTATTTCTATATAGTTTTTACCTAACATAAAAAAAAAAAGAGGATATAAGGATGAGACGGAAGAAATAAATAGTCTACTCTATATTCACGACCTTCTGGTCTTCCTAGTTCACCTTTATCCCGAAGTAGTGTGTAAGGATCACCAAGATATATAAAAAAGAAAGAGTGGCGAAAGAATGAAAAAATAAATATTTTCTTGTTCGTCCTTTTTTTTTCAAGCTCAACCCTTTTTGACTATTTCTTTTTTTTCTTTTCTTCTTCTTTTTTTTTTTTTTTTTTGCTCCTTTCTTTCTTTCTTTCTTTTATTTACATATTATTGATCAACCGTGTCAACATGGTAAGTTATATTTATTCTTTTTATATTCAATCAATAAAATAGGTTTTGTTATTTACTCAATAGACCAAACTATCGAAGCAGTAAATATGATTGCTGCTCTCATGACAGAACTCGATGGAATTTTTATCCTGGCCACCCGCGCTACTACAGTTTACTAGTAGGTAATAGTACCTCGCTTATATCTTATGCTAATCGATACGAGTCGTTGAGGAACAAGTTATCACCAAAATCTGTTATTTATTCTACTGTACTGGTATTATGGACGTCTCTGCTGAAAGTATATTCTCGAAATCCGCGGTGAAGGGGACCAAATCAGGTCATTACGTACGACCGTACTTACTCAATGCTGTACAACCATCTCTGGATTGATCAAAAGTATACGTGAATTAGATTATATGGATTCTGACATTGACTCTGATTCATACTGGAATATGTCTTCAACTGTATGTACTGATTCTCACTCTTCTTGCTGGTTAATTATCATGGGATTGGTTGTCTTTCTCTTACCTGGGACCGTATTATAGTGATTCTTCTATTGATAGTTAGTATATATGGTATATTATCTCTTTATATTCTTTTTTTTTTTTTAAATAAAGCCGTATTTACATTTCCCCACCGTTATTATGTTTGTCTCCAATATGCTTAATCGCTGTCAACTGTGACATCATGGGATATACTAACATTTACATGATCCCTTATAGAAAAGTCAAAAATCATCATCAGCTATTCACCAGCTCATCATCATCATCCGATATCATCCGTTGTAACCTTGTGCTAAGAGAAAAACAGAATATAATATCTATCTTGTCGATCATCTATGAAAAGACAGGAAGAACTAAAGAAAAAAAAAGGAGAAGGGAAGTGCATAGTCCCCCTGGAACCATAGGAGGGTATTTCTCCTGCTTGATCATCACATTTATTCACGTAAAGCGATGGTCGCTAGGGCTGAAATGTATATTTTACACTATGAACTTATTAGAATGCTCCGCTCCCTCTTTCTCAGGGCAGATGTGATAATAAGGGCATTTAAAGCGTCTCCCTAGAGAAAGGAGTCAGTACAGAAAGCAAAAGGATATAAATGAGGACACAAATCACAACAAAACAAAAAGAAAAGAAGACAATTATATTTTATTTATTTTCTTACATCTATAACCTTCTTCATATCTATGTTTTACCGCACCTTATTATGCCTTTCCGTTATTTACGCTGCTCTTGTCAGCAGTGCTCCTCTCATTAACCTTGCATGCGTCCGAGACGGTCTACCACGTCTAATTCCAGCAGATATATTCAATCCTTTCGATCTATCCATTGATACAGACTTATCTTCTATTATATCAGCGGTTGATCGGAGCACGAACTGCACTGTTTTTGGGGGAGTCATAGCCGCTATTGCGGAAGATGGACAAACTATACTAGATCCTGCGGCAGTTATACTAGATGATGCAGTAGGAGCTTGACTTCAATCTAGAGGACAATAGCCTTGCACAAGATCGATTATACTTGTTCACAGAGGCATCATTTTGCCTTTATTTTGTTTTCGTTTTTATTCACTGATTCACTGTTTTTAAAATAAATTGTTTTATTGTCCAAGTAAAAATAAGAACAGTACCATAAAAAAAAAAGAAAAGCAGATGTCCATTGAAAGGGAAAAAGATAACAGATAGCGACAACAACTCAAAGTAACTGTCTGGAAATGATAGATGATGGGAGATGGACCATAGGTGGCTATGGATGATATGTCGATGATGATGATGAACAAGATGAAATGATGATGATGAATAAGATGATGATGAATAAGATGATGATGAATAAGATGATGATGAATAAGATGATGATGAATAAGATGATGATGAATAAGATGATGATGAATAAGATGATGATGAATAAGATGATGATGAATAAGATGATGATGAATAAGATGATGATGAATAAGATGATGATGAATAAATCAATGATGGAGGATGACTTTACGACTTAAAAGATATTCTGATCGGGTTTTCGACAGCTCCCCCACTGGACTGTTTACACCATACGATGTTAAAGCTTAAACTATGAGGAGTTTGAAGTTTTTGCTGTATAGAGTGAGATTTTTTTTTTGTTTTCTGCGCCTCCTTTGCCTTTTCTTTCCGTTTAGACTCACTCGCTTTATCGCCCCCTCTACCTTTGGATGGTTGTCATCTTTTAGATTGATATCCTTACTTCATTATCATATGTGTATACTAAAGGTAAAGGTAAGGTCAACACTTAAAAACGTGATCAATGGTTACTAATCTATTTCTCTAATTTTATCTTTCCCTTGTATAAATTTTTTTCTTCTTCTTTATCACTCTATATATCTCGTCACTTTTATACTTCTTCTTATTGACTTTACCTTCTCTCTCTTTTTTTCTTATTCTCCTCCTACAGTCCCTTCAACTATTCTACACTGATACCCACTTGAATTCCTTCATTTTCTGTCTTATTAGGTCACTGACATGAATAGCAGTTAGACGACGACGCGTGTCAGCTGGATGGAAACGACTGGAGCGATTAGATGGATCTACAACAGGATCATCGGAATGGTACGGCTGGATGCGCTGGGAATAACATAGAGCCAACTGGATGGATCAACTGGATCAAATGAATGGTTGCACAAAGGGGGACTTCAGCTGCAGATGTACAATAGGATCATTTGGATGAAGGTACGGCCGCATCAATTGGATGGATATGTATCAGGACCAATGAAATGGATTTGCGAAACATTATTGATCGGATAAGAAAAGAAAAACAAAGTCAAGTGTATGCAGAAGATAGTCTGGATGATCTGTTACTTTATGGTTTGGTTGGCTTTCTCTCTCCTACTCGGCTCATCTTATCGTGATGATACTTTTATTGACAGTTAACATTAGTTTTAATGGCGTTTACATCATATTTATTTCTTACATTCTTAATAAAGTCATATTTATATTTCCTCACCATTATTGCCATTGTCTCAAATGTGATCAATTGGCGTCAATACGTTATCAGTCTAGAATACAGAAGCATTGATCATTATTTGAACCTTTATAGAAAAATCAACCAACTGCATTAAACACATCTTCCAGTCTCGATCATCCATTTTAACTTTGTACTAAGAAACAGACGGAATATGATGCTTATCTTGTCAATCACTTCTGGAAGTAAAAGACACAAAAAAAAAAAAAAATCTGCAAAGTATGTGGAACCACAGCAGGATTATTTCTCCTTATTTGTCCATCACATTTATTCATGCAAACAGATGATCTCTAGAACAGATGTTATGCTATAGTCTTCAGTTGCCAGAAAGTTAAGTTTACGCCTTTCTTACTCACGATAGATGAAACACAGTAAAAGAAAAAAAAAAAGAAACCGATGTATTGGGCTAAAGAGCTTTTCTCACAAAAAAAAAAAAAAAGGAGTCGTTCCAAAAAAAAAAAAAAAGATATAAATGAGAGGCAAATCACATCGAAGAAACTAAACAAAATCGAAAACAAAATAATCCATCTTATACATCTTTCTTATAACTATGGTTAGCCGTACCTTTTTATTCCTTTCCGTTGTCTACGTTACTCTTGTCAGTGGAATTCCTGTCTCCAAAGGGACTGAAGATCACTCATCCACTCTATCTCGTAGATCTATTGGTACACACTTATCTACACGCCAGACACCAGGAGCAATCAATCTGTGCAATTCGCTTGATGCCATACCTGTTTCTGGGGATATCATGAAAGGACTGTTGGATTGCCCAGGCGCAAACGATAAAAATAAGATAGATCCAGAAGTCCTAGGTACGTCTTCACCTCAAGGACAGACCACAGCCGAATCTCAAACTCAAGTATCAGCGCCAGCACCAGCTGAAGCAGGACCAGTGGGACAAACTGATGGTACAGCCGCTGCTAATGGAGCAACTGGCCCTTAGGTACTAGTGACAAGATTAATTATAATTTGCAAAAAGATATTATTTCTTTATCATTTATTATATTTTTCTATTGAATGATTCATCATTATTAAAATAAATTAAGTTACCCAAATTAAAAAAAAAAAAGAATGGCACAGTGGGAAAAAACAGAAGGCTATTGAAGGAAAAAAGAAAGGATGTCGATAACAACTCAAAGCAGCTGTTTCCTATATGAAATATGTTGGATGGTGGACATTGAATAATCAATGAGGGAGATTGGGTGTACGCCGTAAAGGTATAATGATCGAGCTTTTGTTGAGGAGTTCGAATTAGCTATAATAAAAAAATATCAAAGTGAGATTTTGTGTTTCTGCGTATTCGTTTCCTTTCCTTTCCTCTTTTTTTTTTTTTTTTTTTTTTTTTTTTTTTTTTCACTCGCTTCATTTCCCCTCTACCTTTGGATGGTTTGTGTGAAGATGATATCCTTTGTTCATTATCCTTTGTGTATACTGAAGGTAAAGGTAAGCTCAACCCTTGACAAAGTGATCAATGACGCTAACTTCCACTTTTCTAATTCTCCCTTTCGAGATCTTTTCCAGGCTTCACAGTGAAAACGAATATATGATACGCTTTTTTTTCCCCCATTATTTGGTGACTCATTTACTTCGCTTCTGTATATATTCTTCTTATTCTTCTCCTTTATCACTCCCTCTCTCGTCACTTCTATGTTCCTTCTTATCGATATCTCTCTCTTTTATCCTTCCATTCCTCCCGCGTTCCCTCAATTAGTCTACACTGATATTCATTTGACTTACTTCCTTCTCTACCTTATTAGACTCATTGGTACGAAGAGAAAGCGATTGGACGATGACGCGTATATCAGCTGGATAGGAATGACTAGAGCGAATAGATGGATCTTCAATACGATCGATGACAACTGGAGACAGGGGAAGACTATACGATAGGATCAATTGAATGGATGGATATGTATCAGGACTAGCGGATTGAATTTGCGAAATGGTACTGACTGGACAAAAAAAAAAAAAAAAAAAAAAAAACGTCAGGTGTGTGCAGAATATGGCTTTGATGATCTTTATTGTAGGCTCTTTCTTCCTGTCTTCTATTTGGCTTCTTACCGAAATGATGCTTTATTGGTAGTTAGTATTAGATTAGTTTTAGTGATGTTTATATTACATTTCTTTACATTCTTTTTTAATAAATGTATATATGCGTCTTCACCGTGATCTTTATATGTTGTCATGTATAATCGTCTTTTGTTTTCTCCATCAACATGCGAAATACAGGAACATGAATCATTGCATGAATCGTTTTAGAAATCAAACCAACCATCCATCATTAAAAAAAAAGTAATGATCTACCTGAAAAGTACAGCAGTGTCCAGGATGATGATGATGATGATGTTGTTGTTGTTATTATTATTAAGAGATATAGAAAAAAGGGTTAAAAAATATATAATATGAGGAGAATCATATACATCCCTTTTTTTTTTTTTTTTTGGTCTTTGTATGTTTATTTTATTGAGAGATCAAAGTACTAATGATGGACTAACTATATATATATATATATATATATAAATAAAAGAAATGATTCTAAACTAAACATCGTAGGTACTTGCAGAGACATCACCACCATGCCCAGTCCAATTCGTATGTACATGCTGTCCAGGGTTTGTCAATAGTTCGTAGGTATGAGCACCAAAATAATCACGTTGAGCTTGGATCAGATTGGCTGGTAGCAATTGATGACGGAGACCATCGTAAAAGTTGAGAGCTGTAGCATGTGCTGGTGTAGGGATGCCCATGATGGCGGCTTGACCAATAAGAGTACGCCATGCGTGTTGAGCCTTAGAAGTAGCCTTTTGGAAAAATGAATCAAATAAGAGATTTTCTAGATCAGGCTTGTTTGTATATGCATCACGAATCTTGCCTAAGAAAGCTGATCGAATAATACATCCACCTCGCCACATCAGTGCAATTCCTGCATTATTCAAATGCCATCCATAATCCTTGGCTGCTTGTCGCATTAACATATATCCTTGAGCATATGACACTATCTTGGCCGCATACAATGCTTGTCCCATTTGATCCAGGAATTTCTTCTTATCACCTAAACAAACAAAGTTAAAAAAAAAAGAGTTTGTTAGAGAAATGATAAAATTTTTTTTCTATATATTATTTATTTACCTTGAAATTTGACATTCTTGGGACCATCCAAAACACTAGAAGCTCGAGTTCGTTCTTCTTTGAGAGATGATAGACAACGAGAATAAACAGCCTCGCCAATCAAAGTCACAGGGATGCCACGATCCAAAGAATCAATTGCTGTCCATTTCCCGGTTCCTTTTTGTCCAGCAGTATCCAAAATCTTGCTTACTAAAGGTTGACCATCCTTGTCTTTGAATTTCAAAATATCTCTTGTGATTTCAATCAGATACGAATCCAAATCACCCTTGTTCCATTCATCAAACACATTGGCCATTTCTTCATAAGTCAAATCCAAGCCTTCATTCATGATTTGATAGATTTCCGAAATAAGTTGCATATCACCATACTCTAATAATAATAAAATAAGAGAACATGATGAGATAATAGTTCTTTTTTTTTCCTTTCTTTCTTTGTTCATCATTACCAATGCCATTATGAACCATTTTGACATAATGACCAGCTCCATTTTCACCAACCCAATCACAACAAGGAGCACCATCAGGAGCTTTAGCAGCAATGGATTGAAAAATAGGTTTGATATGAGGCCAAGCAAGAGGATTACCACCAGGCATTAAGGATGGACCATGACGAGCACCTTCTTCACCACCAGATACACCAGTACCAACAAATAAGATGCCTTTTTCTTCCAATTCCTTGGTACGTCGAATAGAATCTGGGAAATGAGAATTACCTCCATCAATGATGATATCACCTTTGTCCAAATGAGGAAGTAAATTGTTGATAAATGCATCCACTGCCGAACCAGCTTTTACCAATAACATGATCTTGCGAGGTTTCTTGAGTTTGGCACATAATTCTTCATCTGAATGAGCTCCAATCACCTTGGTACCTAAAAAAAAAAAGGGTAGAATATTTTCATTGAGTTTTATATAGTATTTGATTTAAAAAAAAATATCATCTACCTTTGGCTTCATTTTCCAAAAAACGATCTACTTTGGACACTGTACGATTATAGGCACATACAACAAATCCATGATCATTCATATTGAGGATCAAATTTTGACCCTAATAACATAAATACAAGAGTTAGAATACTAAGAATAATAATAATAATGATAATAATAAAAGAATATCTTTTACCATCACAGCCAATCCAATAAGTCCAATATCAGCACTAACCAGAAAAAAAAAAGAAAAAATGAGTAACAACATATCACAATTGGTTTTCTTTTTCTTTGTTTTAAAAAAAAAAGAACTTACGACATATTTAATATAAACAGTAATAAAAAGTTGAGAGAACAAGGAAGAAAAAGAAAAAAACAAAAAAAAATGTGGTGATTATAGAAAAAAAGACGAGGGAATGATGTTCACACTCCGTTACCATTTTTAGATAAAATCATGCAACACCCATCTTTTTTTTTTGTTTCAATAAACCCCTACTATAATTTTATTATTTTTCATCATCAAACTAAACTAGGATTGCAATTTGGATTCTACCATATTCACTAAAAGAGAAGAGTATTTATCCAACATGGCTAAAGTAGCAGGATCTTGTTGTTGATCTTGTTTTTCACCTAATACTTGATTCACACTTTGTACCATCGTTCGAAGTTTATTTTCAATTTGTACAACAGGACTTGATGTTGTTTTGTTCTTGAGCATTGTCGAATATGCTACCAATACACTATCCAATAAGATCTTGGCTCCATCTAAATCAGATAAGATATTTTCCATCGAATCATCTGTTGCATGCTGTTCAATTGGTGTGTGATGATTGGTTATTGGAAGGGGTGGTAAACTTTTAGGTGATGTCGTTTGTGGTATTTCATTCGATGTAGGTATATCCGATGTAGTCATTGTCTTAGAAACCGGTGATGGTGGTAGCGGCAGAGTAGGTAACATAGTCGGCGTGTCGATATGATTATTATTATTATTATTGTTGTTGTTGTTGTTGTTGTTGTTGTTGTTGTTGTTGTTGTTGTTGTTGTTGTTGTTGTTGTTGTTGTTGTTGTTGTTGTTGTTGTTGGATTTATTGTGATGACCAAAATCTTTGAAGGTACTGAGAACATTGTCAAGCGATTCTCGATATTGTCCTTTTTTGTCAGTCAATGAGGATAAGAATCTTGCTGTAAAACTTTGACGCTTTTTCGATTTCTCCAATTTTTTGTGTAGTTTTGTAAGTGCTGATATGTCTTTACTGGCCTTGTTATCGGTATCCTTTGATGGTGATGATGTATCCAAATAGTCAATAGGTGTCGCTGATACGAGAGTTGATGTTGGTGAAGAGGGTACTGACGAGTGAGAATTGTTACTGTTCTGTTGCAGATGCTGATATTCTAGTGCAAGTCGATGATCATCCATCTTTTTCCTTGTTATGGATGTTGAGGTTGTTCTACTGAGTGAGGTTGTCATTCGTGGCGCTTCCCTTGCAGTGATTGCCTTGATCATGGCTTCGTCGGTGTTTTCTTCACTGTCTTCCTCTTCATCCAAAATTAATTCTTCTTCTTCATCATCTTCGCCAGTTTGGTTTGTTTGTTGAGCCGATTCATCTGTTGTTTCATCTCTGCTTGAGCTGCTACTGCTGGCGCTTCCAATATCATGTGCTGAAACTTCGATAGGTTTCCCAATATCATCCAAATCCTGAGGTGCATCGATAAAGATAATGTCTTCTTCTTCTTCCTCTTCTTCTTCGTCCTCGTCTTCATCGTCTTCACCATCTTCATCGTCCACATTACCACCATCATCACCACCACCATTGTAGTTATCAATGTCATCATCGTGCTGACATGCTGCTTCATTGTCATTCAACGTTGTGTCTGTTGATTTTTTATCCGAGACTTCAGTATTTATAAGGTTGTCATCATTTGGTCGTCGTGTTGCTTCCATTGTATCACCAGAGTTTGACCGTTTTGTGGTTGCATCATTACTTCTTAGTCGAGATTTATGATGGTCCTTTTTCAATAGAGCTTCGCGAGATAATTGCTTTCTAAGTACAGGATTCATTCGTTGTGCCATCATAGGGCCAAAAGAGGTTGGATGGAGGCGATGATTCATCATATTGATACTACGATCTCTGGCTCCAGTGGTAGGTATACCTAAAAAGAAAGAAAGAAAGAAAGAAAACAAAGAAAAAAAAAAACGTAAATAGAGTCAGTCCCACTATTCATTTATTTATTTGTTTTGTTTTATTTGCATGCAAATATGTTTACCATTGTAAAGACGTTCTAGTTTCCCCTGAGGTACCTGATCAGATGATTTGCGGTCGCTTGCTGTCGTTGGTGAATGGTAGTGTTTCGAGTTTGCATTTGCTTTGGTATTATACTTATTCGTTGGTGATGCTGATACAGGACTTGGTGATGCTGATTCCGGTGATGTATTACTTTGAACATTGGATTGGACAGTTGGAATAATAATGCTGGTGTTAGTAGTTGGGTCGCGTTGTTGTTTTCGATTGATCTTCTTGTTATATAGATCATCATACTTGTGTTCTGATTGAGAAACTGTAGAGAATGTTTTCCGTTCACCTTGTCGAATCATTTGTGATAGAGTTGGTGTCGGTCGTACCATGGAAGTCGTAGATACTCGCCGTGATCGTGGTAGTTGACAAGTTGCAGCGTTCTTGCTTAACACGCCATCATGCACAGACTTGTTGCCATGTTCTATGGATCTTGTCTTCATCTTGGTGATCAGTTCTTTCCCCACAGACCAAACAAAAATAGTACCATCAGAACAAGTACTGACCACACGGAGAGAGCTTTTGGGACCAGGAACAAATTTGACACACGTAATCATTTCAGCATGAGCGCAGATCTTTTCAATGCAAACACCAGACATCAAATCAAATAACCGTAAACATCGATCCGATCCACTTGTGACAGCATAAGTGCCTGATAATGGGTCCAAGTCAATATTAATCAAGCTTCCACCAGAGTTTTCAACACAGGCACCGGTCGCTATCTCTTCAGGTGTTTCAGGTTTGTATACACGAAAAGGTTTTCCAGTTTCCACGTTGAATACAAAGAGTCGTCGTTCGCCTGTCACTGTTGCTGCAAAACAGTTAGTCACATCCAAAGTCATATCGAATACAGTACTACGACCTGAATGGTTATGATAGTTGACATAGGTTGAATTCAGATGGTCGCCCACAGGACTTGTCGATGGTATTGTCGTATATTGTCGAAAGATAACGCCTTTGTCTGCTCCACAACTAACAAGTCGTTCTGCATTTTTCGTGAAGCGTACCGCTGTAATCGAGGAGGAGTGGTCATCTAAACTTTGCACCAGGCGAAAGTTTTTGCGGATATCAAATATATGAAGTAATCGATCACGACTTGCAGTTGCAATCAAATAGGGAGAGCCTAGACAAAATTAATACCATGATTAGCAAAAAAAAAAAAAAAAAGAAAGTAAAATAGTAGAATTAAATCTTGATTTACCTTCATTGACAGGATTGCTAATATCGATAGACAAGATTTCAGAATCGTGGGCTTCTTGATAAGTGATTTGCTCCCATGTTTCCATATCATGTACTCGAAGATTTCCATTTCGATCGCCAGTTGCCATCCACTTGCCACTATGATCCATTTTGAGTGAGCGAATACCGAAATCTGGGCATTGATCTTCAGCTAGATCTATCATTAAAAAAAAAAAAAGAGAGAGATGTGGGTAAGGTTTATCAAATACAGAGATGACTCGAATACAAAAAAAAAAAAGAGGGATCTAAAACTTACCGACATCTCTTCTTAATTTGGAAAATTCAGCAGCATCAGGATCAACATAAAGCATTCTGACCAATTCCCGGGAGTATATATTCTTTCGAACAAATGATAGACTTGTTGTACTGATACTTGAAGTCACAGTATCGGATGATGGCGAAGAAGTCATAGAAAGACTAGAAGGCGGTTCTGGAGACGAATAAGATGAAGGTGAAGTAAGAGGTGATGAAGATGAAGATGAATGAGATAGTTGGGTATGATCGAGATTCCAAAATCGCACAGTTCCGTCAGCAGAGAAGGTTGCAAATGAGTTGGGTGGAATATTGGATGTAGATGCTGGTGAATCTGCATTGGATCGTGTGCCTTGTTGAATATCAGCATGATGATTCGAAGGATAAGGCTAAAAAAAAAAGAAGAAACATATGTCAATTTCTTTCATAACCACCTATATCGAGAGTTTACCTCAACACCCCAAACACAGTCGCTGTGCGCAATAAAACTTCGATATTTCCCAATTTTCTTTATGTTTTTGACATCCCATATATATAAACTTCGATCGGAATAAATGGCGGTAAGTTTGGCGATGGATTCGTTGTAAGTAAGAGCAACAACATCTGGATAATAGATATCTTGATCAGTTTGTTGTGGCAACATATCAGGCGAAGAGATAGAACTGATATCCATTCCTAAAGGATGAGGTTTCGGTAACACACCAAAGTATTTCAAAGTGACAGGTTCAAAGAGTCTAATCGCAGAAAAAAAAAAAATCAGTAATGCAAAAAAATCATCTTTCCGACTAAACTATTCATTACCTGATGATACCATGGGATGAGGCACACATGATATAATCTGACGATACAGTGATTGAGTAAGCATTTGAGACCTATTTTTTTTTTTTTTTTTTTTAAAAAAAGATAAGTAAACAGTTGTGACGAATAATGATTATTTCCTTCAATATAAAAAGCTTACCTGCAAATTGACCCACTTATCAATCCCACGATTCTCTTTAAAGATACATAGAATACCCGAATCAGTAATAAAGTACACGTTTTCAGATTGATCACAAGCCACGTCGACGAAATTGCAATCCCGGAGAGCACCAAGAATACCTGAACGACCATCCAAAACCTGAGTTTCTCTTGAAGATAGATTTCCCTACAAAAAAAAAAAAAAAAAAAAATAAGAAAAAAGAGAATGAATGATAGTGTGGATCATATTTACTCGTTTCGGAAGACGACCATGAGCATCCAAATACCAATATTTGACATGTCGTAAACCAGCAGTGATAAAATAAGAACTATCATTTGAAAAAGATAAAGCGTTGACTTTACTTGTGACTTTATTGCTTGCTAATTTGATTCCCTTGCGCCAATTCCATACATAGAGATATCCATCATGCTAAAAAAAAAAAATGTTTAGTACATATACAAATACGCAGGACACACACATACATACATATATATATATATATATATATATATTACATAGTGATATCACTTACTTGAAATCCAACCGATACAAGGTAACGCATATTCGGAGAAAATGCCACGGACAAGACACCAAATTTGTGAGCACGACATTGATGCATCAGTACACGTTCCTTGACATTCCAGATAAGGATTCTTGGTTGATGACCCATCTAAATATTAACAAAACAAAACATTATCCCAAAAGGGTGATATAGCGTGAGAAACCCTTTTTTTTTTCTTCTTCTATTGTTGTCAACTTTACTTCGCCAGCTGCAAGATAAAGACCATCAGGAGAAAAGGCCAAACAACTAATGGGTTTGACACGATTACTTGCTGGAGTACTTTTCTTTTCTTGATGCTGTTGTTGTATATCGATTTGTCCATTATTATTGGTAGTTAAAGGTGAAATTGTTCCATTGTTCAAATGACTGATAGTTCCATTGATATTGTTATTGTTAGTATTGTTATTGTTATTGTTGGTTGTTGTAGAAGGTTGGGTTTCTAAGGGTCGATAGAGAAATCCGATCTGTTTGTTACGTTTGTGGTTATATAAAACAACAACTGCCCCTGCTGCATAAGCAATAAGATCTTGGGATGATGCCAGAATATTGGAAGATGCTGTGGTAAGACCAAGGATACGTTCAAGTTTCAACTATCAATATATATGTATAGAACATACCATTTATTTAAGTCAAAATGAAATACTTTTTTCTTTTTAATACTTACATTGGAAGGTGATCGAACAAGATCCTTTTGTTGTCTTCTTCGTTTACCAGGACCGAGAACAGTATGCATAGTTGTTGTTGGAGGTATATGTTGATATGAAGCCATGCTGATTTGATGAGGTAATACGGTGGTGGACTGTGAAGGAGGAAGGGGAATATTCCCTGCATTAACAGGAAAACTTTCCTCCATGATGTTATAAAAGAAAGGGTATATATAATATAAATAAAGAAAAGAAAAGAAAGAAAAAAAAAAAAAATTCAAAGTCAAATCCAACTTATTTTTGACCTGATTTTCTTTGAATGGAGTGTTGCCTAAAAAAAAGTAATCAAGGGGAAAAGAAAAAAGATAAAAATTATATATTCTTTTAATCGTATACTTTAAATATTATTTTTTTTTAATGTATTATGTATACTGTAGATAATGAAATACTATGAAATAACGTTGTCTTTTGTCATCGAGTGGTTTGAAATGTATATAATAAGAAGTTTGACTTTTTATTTCAATCAAAAATAAACTATTCTATGAAAATAAAAAGTACTTTATAGATTTGAGGGAACGAGGAGTAATCTATTCAATCATAAATATATATATATATATGTGTAATGGGTGTATATATAATCCAACAAAAAAAAAAAAAAAGAGGGGTAATATCTAATCTATTCCTTCTTCGATTTTTGTTTGGTGACAATGGCGGGAGGTTGGATCCAGGTACGAGTAATAAACTTTAAGATTTCATCCAATACAATGACAGGTAATGAAATATATAATACACCTTTCCATTCATCCATATTCAAAGGTACAATGGCAAATAACTTGGTAAAGAAGGGTACATATAAAATCATAAAGTGAAGAGCCATTGATAAGATAATAGACAACACCAAGTAAGGATTGGTCCAAAGAGGTAATGTCAAAAGAGATTCATTTTCACTCAAACTATTATAATATAATCAAAATTCGGTCAATATACATTTGGATTATATCTTTTTTTTTTCGCTTGTTTACCTATTCATAGCATTCAACATTTCAATTACAACCAAAATAGATAAACTAATAGTAGTAGCCTTCATGGACATGGTATTTGTAAACATTTGACAACCAATTTCAGGGAAAAGCTCGGAACATTGATGGAAATGAGACTATTTTTTAGAAAAAAAAAAAAAAAGGAAAAAGAAAAGGAAAAAGGATGTTACTACCTATATTTTAACCTTTTTTTTTCTTTTTTTTTTTTTTTTTTGTTAATATACCAATTGATAATAGGTGATTTGAGGACCACCTTGGTAAAACATGAACCACCAAACATAACCAAAGACAGTAGCCACACCAACATATACACCAATAGCCATATAACGGAAGAAGAGCCAGCCATCTACCAAAGTTTCACGACCGTTACGAGGAGGACGACGCATAATATCATGATCAGGAGGATTCATGGCCAAACAAGTAGCAGGAAGACCATCTGTGACAAGATTAACCCAAAGTAATTGAACAGGAATCAATGCTTCAGGTAATCCAAGGAGGACAGTCAAAAAGATAGATACCACTTCACCAATGTTGGAAGAAATCAAATAACGAATAAATTGTTTGGTGTTATTGTAAATACTACGACCTTCTTCAACCGCCTTTTCAATAGTAGCAAAATTGTCATCAGCTAAAACCATATCAGCTGCCAATTTAGCAACATCCGTACCAGACTACCAAAAAAAAAAAAAAAAAAGAGAAGGAGTCAGTATATTTCCCATTTTTTTTTCTGTTCATTCTACTTACTCCCATAGCCACACCAATATCAGCACGCTTCAAAGCAGGAGCATCATTCACACCATCACCAGTCATAGCAACAATTTCACCCAAAGATTGTAAAAGATCCACCAGTTCTTGTTTGTGAGCAGGTTCTGTACGAGAGAATAAACTGGCTTGTTGAACAGCTTTAATCTTGTCTTCCTTGGATAAAACATCGAATTCCCGGCCTGTAAAACTCTTTCCAGTTAAATCTTCATCTCGGTCAAACACACCAATATCACGACAAATGGCTTCAGCCGTGTTCTTATTGTCACCAGTGATGACAATCACACGAATACCAGCCGTCTTGCACTTTTCGATCGAATTCTTCACTTCAGGACGAGGAGGATCCATCATAGCAACCAATCCAACAAAAGTCATTTCTTGTTCATAAGTAGCGAATTTAGATTGTTCACGTAGATCGAATTGTCCAGGTGTAACGTTTTCAACCTTGGCCAAACCAATACAACGGAGAGCAAGACCTTGACCATATTCAGAGATCTTGGCATTCAAGGCTTCACGGATATCAGCAGTTAAAGGTACAGGAGCAGCAGTATCATGAGTGGCAACATAGGTACATCTTTCCAAGATAGATTCAGGAGCACCTTTGACCAAGAGAGAAGTATCATGACCAGAGGATACAATCACTGACATAGATTTGCGATCACGAGTAAATTCAAGAGTGGCATGACGCTCATTTTGTTGAGTAAAGTAATCATTGCAGGCAGTTGTACGTTTGTTCTTGGAGAGTGAAAGAAGAGAGTTATTGTATACATCGTTGTCAGTTCCGAGTTTTTCAACCAAAACTTGAAGAGCGGCTTCAGTAGGTTCACCAATATTGTTGTATGAATCATTTGTCTATTTTTTTAAAAAAAAATTAGATATCAATATTTCACTTTTTTCATTTATTCTATTTTCTTTTTACCTCATCATAAGCAATACGAGCATCATTACAAAGAGAACAAATACGAGCAATATCCCGAATAACCTTGTTCTTGGCAGGTAAAGAGGTCACAATAGAACCATCAGGTAAGGTCACATCACCAATGGGTTCATAGCTAGTACCAGAAATAATTAATTCATCCACTTGACCATGAGTCGTACCAACAGATAATACCTAACCAAAAAAAAAAAAAAAAAAGAAAAATGAGTATCACATCGCCATTCTCTCTCTCTCTTTTTTTTTTCTTTTTTTTTTAAAAAAAAAATACTTACACGAGCCACACTCATTTGATTTGTTGTCAAGGTACCAGTTTTATCAGAACAAATCACACTAGTACAACCCAAAGTTTCCACACTAGGTAAGCTTCGCACAATAGCACCACGTTTAGCCATCTTCTTTGTACCAAGAGCAAGACAAGCAGTAATGACGGCAGCCAAACCTTCTGGAATAGCAGCTACAGCCAGAGCCACAGCAATCTTGAAATAATAAACAGCGCCATGCATCCAACTATTATGAGAAGGATCATTGAAATGACGAATATTGACCAACCAGACCAGAATACAAATGACAGTGATGACCTTGGCCAAAGTATCACCAAAATCATCCAATTTGCGTTTCAAAGGAGTCTTTTCCGAGATTTGAGAAGTAATAGATGTATGGATATCACCAATAGCTGTCGAAGTACCAGTAGCCACAACAATAGCACGCGCTTTCCCTAACACACATGTTGTACCAGAAAAGACCATATTGATTTGATCTTGTTTCACGGCTGCCTTATCATCAATAGCATCCACATCCTTGTTCACACTCACTGATTCACCCGTCAATAAAGCTTGATCAACACGGAACACACTGGTGCCAATAGAATACACCCGTGCATCGGCAGGAATCTTGTCACCTACAGAAATATCAATCACATCACCAGGTACTAATTCTTCGGCTCGAATCTTGCTCAACACACCACCATTACGGACCACCTTGGCTTCATCGGGAGAGTATTCCTTGAGAGCATCAATCGCCTTTTCTGCACTGGATTCTTGTAACACACCTACCGTCGCATTGGCAATCAAAATCAACAAGATCACAATGGGTTCCACAAATGCCGTTGTAGCTGATTCCGCATCCTCATGTTCTTCAAACCAAGCAAGCACAAACGAGATGATGGCTGCTCCAAGAAGAATAAGTACAAGTTGATCTTGGAATTGGTCTAAAATAAGTTGCCATAATGGAGTTGATTCTTCCTCAGGTAATTCTAATAAAAAGAAAATAAATAAATAAAATGTCATAGATTCTTACATTTTTTTTTTTAATACCATTGCGTCCAAATTTCTTGCGTTGTTCAATAACTTGAGATTCTGACAGGCCTTGATGAGGAGTGACATTAAAATAGGCACATACCTCTTCAGGGGACTTGACAAACGATCCTTCCATTCAAATATCACAAAAAAAAAAAGAGAGAGAAAGAAAGATAAAGGAATGGAGGAAAGGGGGCTTGTTAAGGAAACAGTAATAAGAAAAAGAAAAAAAGAAAAAAAAAAAAAGGGCGCAAAAAGGATAATAGGCAAAAAAAAAAAAAAAGGAAAAGGGGCGAGGCGGAAACTCAAACAAAGGTGGTTGATTGATTACAAAGTCGACACGTCGATAAGATTGGGTGGTTACCAAATTGAGCAAAGTGAGACTTGCGATTGGATGAACCTTTTCATTACTATCATCATTACTGCCTCTCTCTCTTTTTTTTTTTATATTCATTAGTTTTGCAAGTCATATGAAGTCCATACTTATTTTTTTACCTATTAACATTATTTCAAATATATATATATATATATATATTTATAAAATACAGTAAATTTTATTATTTTGACTAATCAAAGTGACTACTATTGTATCAGGGGGACGAGTAGGAGAAGACTAAAAAAGAAAAACGTAGATAGATAATCACAGATTGTATCGAGTAGAAAGTATGTTTTGAGTTGTATTTGATAAAGAAGAATATATATGATTCCATTCCTCAATTGGTATTATTTTCTTGTATCCATGTAATATTGCATCGAATTCTTCGTTTAAACTAGGGGATGGTGATTGCCAATTGGAGATAATGGTGATAAGAGTGCCAAGATCCTAATAAATAATCACAAAAAAAAAAAAAAAAAAAATCAGTGATTTCAAATAACAAAAAAAAAAAAAAAAAAAAGAAAACAAGAAAAATACTTACTTTCAAGCCTGCTTGAGGATTCACCTTGATCATATCACATAAACCCTTAAAAGCAGATTCTTTTTCACCATATTCTTGAACAGTCGTTGATTTTTCTAACCATGGACGAATGAACAAAGGAAGATGACAAGCCATGACAGTAGGACATGCAATTCCCAAACGACCTAAAGTTACCATTGCATTTTCACGTAAAGAATCGGGTAAATCCAAGGACAATAAAATAGGATAAAGCCTTTCCATCAATCGTGGTAAATAAGGTTCAATATTGTTTCCCCACCGTAAAGCAATCTCACCCACAGACCACATAGCATTGTTGCACACAGATAGACATTGATAATCAGGTAGCATTTGATCCACTATTTCAGGTAAGAAGGAAGGTAAATAGGGTTCCAATTGTTCAAAACAAGATGTAGCAATATCACCAATAAGTACAAATGTAGGTTGAAGTACTTCTGTCAATGGATCCTATGATATATATATATATATATATATATATATATATGTACCCCACATATCAAAAGTAAAATAAAATAAAAATTATGAATCAATCCATTCTATCATGTATTTTATAATATATTACTTACACGGACACAAACATCCAACAAAGATAATAATTTGGGTTCAGATTGAGAAATAAGTGGTACCATGACAGGACCCAGACCTTGAATCAATCCAGATAATAAATCTAAAGCAAAAATCATGAATTCAACATCAGGAGGATCCATTTCATGGGGATGTTGATCAGCAAGGTATGCAGCATGTAAGGTTGAGGCCACGAGTTTGACGCATCGGATATACACTGGTGATGCATATGGTTCAAACCCAGTCCCTAAAGCAGTAGTAATGGAAGAGAGGCACTATTAAAAATCAAAAAAAAAAAAAAGATTAAGTTCTATAAAGGGGATGAGGTCTATCATCACTACGGAATTCACCTTACCGAAAGTAAAGGAAATAAATTAGTATCTTGATCAGATAAGTTATTCCAACGAGCAATCAATGGTGGCATCAATAATTCCAAGCATTTTGTTTGATTCAATTGAGATCCAACAGATTCTGCCAAAGTTCCCAAAGCATCGTACAATATTGTCAAATTTTTTTGTTGATACATGTTGAAAGCACTAGTCAAATGGATAAGAATAGGTTGAAGATAAGGTAAAAGCTCTTGATTTGCTTGTTCTTCCAAGGTGGCAAATGCAGAGCAGCTGGCTTCTTGTACACGTTTGTTTTTATCCAATAGTCGATCCAAGAGACTATATAATACTGGTTCAAAAATCGTTTGACGTCCTTCTGATGTATCATACTGAGAAACAATCCATTTAGAATATCGTCCAAGTGTCCAGCAAGTGATAGATCGTACCAATGGCTAATATATATATATTAGTTTTGAGGTTTGACAAAATCTTTTTATCTTTGTATATATATATATATAGTTTACCTTTGTATCGTTCAAACTTTGAAGTAAATATGGTATCAGTGATGGTAAATGAGGACTCATTTCAGTCATACCATCTATCCAAACAAAATACCGTGAGAATGATTTTTTTTTTTCAATGTCAATTACCTTCAGCAATAGCACCGAGAGCTAAGATGCCACTTTCTCGAATTTTCCAATGTTGATGAAATAAAGAGGCGTTGAGTAACGGTAAAAGAAATTTGATGACAGCTTCACTATGAGCAGAAGTAAGTGATTCCAGGGCAGATGCACAGCATTTCCTTAAAGTCCATTCTGAATAAAATTCATCACTGTCAATATTGTCATCATCATCATCATCATCATCGTCGTCGTCATCATCATCATCGTCATCGTCATCATCGTCATCGCCAATATTTTCAGCACCTAATCCTTGATGTTCTATAGATGTATTGGGTTTGGAGGAAGAGTCATTAATACCATAATGAGTAAGGGTAATAGGAGTATTGTTGTTATCATCAGGGTTATTTGAGTTATCGGGGGTCATCATCATTGTTGTTGTTGTTGTTGTTGTTGTTGTTGTTGTTGTTGTTGTAGTAGTAGTAGAATGATATTGATTTTTTCGATATAATTGAGGAATAAAAAGATGTGAATCAGGATTAGTAGTATCTTCAATAGCATCTTCTAAATCTTCAGCATCAGCACCAAGCATCATAACATCAATTTCGGAATAAACCATGTGAGAAAGCAATAAGGGGATAATTCGAGGAAGAGCAGGTAATAACAAGGGTTGTAATTCATCCACATCCACACAAATAGGCCAAAAATCACAAGCTTCCAGCGCCACGTTTTCATCATCATCTTGAATGGAGTGAATCATATAATCCAATATATTTGACATATAAGGTTGTAATACTTGAGGACGAGCTTCCATTAACATAGTAATAGATCGACAGAGTTCTTGACGTACATCAGGATCAGAATCATCAGCACGAGCAAATAATGCTTTCAAATAGTCATCGATACAAGCAAACAGAGATACAGATTGTAACATGATAAATTGATTGGTGGCTGACATGGCACGAACACGATAGGAGGCATTATCATGATCAAAGAATCGAATTAAATTGGGTAGGATAAAATCAAGGGGACGTTGTCCATGCATTTCTTGATCCAAGTCACGAGTAGCATCTTCACATATTTTGCATAAAGTATCCAAAGCCATCTAAAAAAAACAAAAAAACAAAAAGATATAATTAGTCAGTTGATACATATAATATAATAATAATAAAAAAAAAAAAGGAGAAAAGATAGGTTTTCTTTTTTTGGAGTAGTTTGGATAAGGAGCTTTTTTTTTTTTTTTTTTTTTTTTTTTTTTTTTTTATTTACCTCAATATCGATAGTACTACTAGTTGTATGGGATAATTTTTCCACCAATAACAATAAAATATCAAACCAGTTATGAACTTGACCACGCGTCACCAGGGCAGTAATAACTGAGGCTACAGTTTTTCGTACATTCAAATCACGATCAGGTCTTTGTAATGCTTGAGTACAACAATACTTGACATGATCCAAGACATTTAATTGAAAAGAGTTGTAATGGTTTAATATACTATTCTTGAGAGTAAGACCAGCTGTTATACGAGTATGAATATTTCCTTGAACTTCAGTCAAAATATATACCAAATAACAAGGATAATCAGGAATCTTGTTGAATGATTCCAATTTCTTAATAAGAAAGAAAAGATTAGTTGAAGTATTTTCTAAATAATATTATTATTACCTGTTGTATCACAAGTTGATTATGATTTTGAGGTTGAGCTGCATCAGAAAAAAGAAGTAATAATTCATATAATCCTTGTTGTTGAGGTATCCAGACAGTCATAGTCTTTTGGTATAAAAATAAAGAGAGAAAGAGTATAATAAAAGGTATATGTAAGAAAAAAAAAGGGGGGAAGGGTTAAAGAGAGAATTGTTTCTTTCTACTTTAGTTCAAAAAAGGAAAGGTAAAAGAAAGAAAGAGTCAAATGTACATAAACATAAAAAGAAAAAGAAGAGAAGAAAAAAAAGAAGAAGAAGAAGAATGGAAGATATAGAAAAAAAAAAAGGTTAAGAAATAGAGGAGAAGAAAAAGAAATGAAAAAAGAAAAAAGATGGTTTTACTTTTGACTCCTGCCTTTTCTTTTTGGTTGGCCGCCCCCGTGACAATAAGAAAAAAAAAAAGATTTTATTATTAAAAAAAAAAAAAAAAGAAACTTTAAAAAGCCTAACTAATGATTATATAAAAAGAACTAATCTTCTTCTTCTTCTTGTTCTTTTTGATCATTTCTTTTTATATTATTCAATTTGTCTTTTTACTATTACTTCCTATTCATAATGAAAAAAGAATCATTTCCCGCCAAAAAAAGACAAAAAAAAAAAAAAGAAATTCCTTAATCTAATTCACTCCTATATCCTCATCAAAAAAGTAAAAAGATCAAGTGTGAAAAAACAAGGAGAATAAAATAAAATAACAAAAAAAATATATATTTATTTATTAAATAATGATAATAATAATAACAAGATGTGCAGTTATTCTAAACTTGGGCAATATACTTTCCACTTCGAGTATTCTTTTCAACTTGTTTGATATTCACTAATGTATTCACCCATGAATTATTATTATTATTATTATTTTCAATTTGTTCTATGACTTGAAGATGAGATACCAATTGATTTTCCATTTCAAATCGGACCATAATAGGTTGAATTTCAGCTTGTGAAGTAGTAGCAAATTTAGCACGGATCACTTGTTCTTCTTGATCTTTTACATTATCCAATTGCCACATCATTCTTTGTTGATCTACCGTCCATTGTCCTGTTGGCATACTTTGAGCACCATGACATCCACCACCCACATGAGTCACCATCATCACTTGACATAGAGGTCCATTTTGTTTGTTGCTTAGATTATATTTGATCATTAGTCTCGCCTGATCACCATCACATTTCCACATGGGTTTCACCAATAATGGTGCCACCAAACTTGAATGAGAAGATTGCTGTTGATCATCATCTTCCCGTTGTTGTTCTTGTTGGTATTTAAAACATATCTTATAATCTTCTTTCTGTTGCTTCATCATTTTAGGATCCAATCGATATACCATTCCTTCTTTTACTTGTTCCACACATGTAATATAATCAACTAAACTTGTCATTTGTAATCCATCTTGTTTCAATATAAAATGAACAGGTTCATCATTCACTCCTTCATATAAAATAGCCATTTCACCCATCACCATCATACGTTGACTTTTGCCTTGTTGAAGTTGTGCATGAATCACTTCCTTGATACGAATACTAATAGATGATGTTGTCATTTTATAATTGGTAGGTGACGCAAGATCCAAACTGTTCACAGTTTCTTCTAATGTTGGTGTAACCATTGATTCTTGAATACTATAATCATCATCATCATCATGAGCAAAAGGAGAGATGATAGGTTTTGTGGATGTTGGTTTTTGATTGTCGTTGGTTTCTGTTTCTGATATTGCTGATATTGCCAATGGTGATGATGATGATGTTTGATAGATTGATAATGTATTACCTTGTAAATATTGAGATCGTAATTCTCTTCTTCCTCTTGGACGTTTGGATGTGCCTGGATTACTTTCTTTCAACATGGAAGCCACACGAGTAAGAGCTACCTGAGACGTCTTGGCATCTTCTTGAATCACAGAATCATTCTTGATATCGAGTTTAATACGAGGTGTACCATATAAACTAGCACTATCCATCGATGTAAGATCACTAGAATCTTGTTCACTCGTCATTGTATCTGAAGTAGGTGAAGTAGTCCATGGTAAACGATCTGGTGGTGGAATAGAAAATCCTTCTTCATCAACGATAATATCAGGTGGTGTATTTTTATGATGTTGTTGTTGTTGTTGATGTGATGGTGGTGATTGATTGAAGAAACTGTCGGCAAAACTGGTGGTTTTACGAAGAGTTGGAGTATGTAGTGAATGTGATAATTTGTCTTGTTGTTGATTATCAGTTGTTGTCGTTGGTGTTGTTGTTGTAGGTTTGTCATCTTCTTGAATAGAATGAATACTGGCATTGTCCATGATACTAGATGCTTTTCCAGCTGAGGGTTGCATAGTAAAATCAGGTATATCAGGAAGCATGACACCATTTGTACCAATTGCTTTTGATTTTCGACGAATGGTGAATGAAGAGAGAACTAACAAAAAGCAAAATTATATTTTATTATTATTATTATTATTATTATGAATAAAACTTGAATAACTTACACTTTCTTTGTTTATCAGACTTCTTGTTAGATTTGATGGAAGGAGCATTTGGACGGGAAGTAGAATGAGTATAATCAGCGTCTTCTATAACAGAAGGAAGTGTACGAGTTCCAGTAGTTGTACGAGAAGTAATAGATTCGGAAGATTTTGTTGATTGTGGCTGCACAGGATCATCAGATGTATCAATAAGTAGTGATGGTGTAAAGGATGATGATTGATAAGGAGACGTTGGTTCATTAGTAGAGGGTGGAGATGTTGGCATAGATGATGATGATGATGGTGAGACGGTAGAGATAGGTGGCATAGAAGATGTTGTCGTTGGTACGTTTTGAGATTTGATAGTGGTAGTAGTAGTAGGTTCATATTGAGTACAAAAGGCCATAATTTCATTTTCTACAGTAAAATCAGATACAGATGCCAGATTGTCACCAGCCAACTATAAAATTACCATAAAAAAAAACGATGTTTAGAAAAGTATATTTTTTTTCTTCTTAATAATATTACCTGAACACGTTTTAACATTTGATCAGTTTGGAGAGTTTCAAATTGTAAGAGATAATTTTTAATATCATGCCATCGATGTTCATCCACACTTTGAAATAACTATAGAAATAAAAAATCTTTTTAAGTATAAATCACATATCTATATATAAATGAATCTAACCTGAATGTATTTGGAGGAATATTGTTGCCATTCTTCTTTTATTATATCCAATTGTTTCTTGGCTTCATTGTATTTGTTTTCTGCGTCACTTGGTTTTTTGCCTGCCTTGTCAATTGTTTTCTTATGCTGTTGATCAAAATGATTAAAAATAAGAGAATGTTTATATGATAAGTATAAATATTTACCTTGACTAGTTTCAATTGACGATCGTCATAATCTTTAGCAAGTTTTTGAAAAGTAGGATCCATCTATATATATATAAAAATAAGGATATATCAATATATTTATACATATTTACATATATATATATAAAACTTACGCGACGAATTTCAGCATATACTTGATCATTTATGATAGCTGAACGTAGAGATTTTTCAATATCATCTACCATTTTTGTTGCAAAAGTAGAATGAATAATAGCAGTATCATGAAGTTCATTTTGTATTCTTTCCCAAGCTGGTAACATGATTCTATAGGTATAAAAAAAGTAATAAGTTAGCTGGAAACCCCTTAAAAAAATAAAACTATTTCCTCCTTTGTTACCCAAGCGCTGATTTATCAGTAATAAAGAGTTTTTTATTCAATTTTGATAGATTTTTGGCATACAAATCTTCCACTATAGCTCTAATTAATAAACAATAATAATAATATATAAGTATGAGTTATATACAAGATAATTTTACCTTTCTTTAAAATAATCAGCCAATTCATCATTAAGTTTAAGAGCTGATCGTAAACGTGTTTGCATTAATTCAATACCATCTTTAGGTCGTTCTGTCTGAAAAAAAAAATAAAGTAATATTTATTAAAACACTATCAACTCATTTAATAAATTTGAAACTTACAGAAAAGACTTTAAAAAAAGGAGAAGTATCCATATTTCTAAAGTAGATGAAGATTTTTGGGTATTGTATAAACTAATAAAATAATGATAGTAGATAGATGAAGAAATAGGAATAATAAACTACCAATAATATTAAAAAGGAAAGAAATAAAGAAGGAATGGAAGGTGTTGGTAGTTATGAGAGAAGAATGAAAAAAAAAAAAAGAGAAAAAGTTGGAAGGAAAAACAAAAGGATAATAATATATGAAAATAAAAAAAAAAAAGAAATCGTTGTGGACCTGTGCTTGAAATTCTTTTTAAAAAAAAGTTACACGGGGTATCGATTGACCATTCCCAAAATAACTATAGCATTATTTCATTCAATTTTACTATTGTATATGACTGAATAACATTGTTTATTTGATATAACAAAAGAGGGGGAATAATATATCAAACTAAATAAAAATATTTATAAAGATATATAATAATAATAATAATGAAATATATACAAAAAAAAAATTGGGAGGGGTATCAAGATAAAGCCATATCAGGGTCAAACCATGGATCATCTACACCACTTGGGTCTGTCAAGTTTTGTAGTTGCCAAAGAAGTAACATAATAGTTGTAGATATAGTAGTTGCTACAAATACTGCTGCTATGAGTCGTTGAAAGAATGCACAATGTCGACGAAAGTAACGTTTAATGGAATGTGACCTTGACGTAGATGTTTCTGTTCCAGGTGCTTGTTCATGCAAGTAAATCGAATAATAAGAAGGAGGATCTTTTGATAATAAAGGTGTTTGTTGAACTGTTGTCATAGTTCCCGTTATAACTTTTTATTATTTTCGAAAAGTAAAAAAAAGTAAAAAAAAAAAAAAAAAAAAATGAGTGTGAAAGAAGAGAGAGAAAAAAAAATCTTTCACTTTGTTGCACACGGTTTCGGAGAGAGAATCCACCCTTACAACTGTATTGTATTAAAAAAAACGACACTGGAAAAACTTGCTACCTACGCTAAAGAGAGACCATATGACTATTGTTATTTATTTTAATCATCTCTTACTATTTTACAGTACTAATAATAATTATAAAATAATAATAATAATAGGTGATGACCATGATGATGTAATATGAAAGAGTATACGTGTATTTTTTGAGAGGTTAATTTAGAAATAAAATAGTTTAATAACTGTTGAGAGATCTCTTACACTTTATTCAATAATAATTGACGGAATTCAAAGAATAAGATGACGCAAAAATAGGAAATAAAATATCGTAAGGATAGAAAATAAATGACAGAAGAAAAAAAATATAATTGTCGCATAATCAAATAGAGAATATAAGAAAATAGATATCATGAAAAAAAGAGCAGTTAAAAAAAAAAAAAGGAAATCCACCAATTGAGTTCACCAAGTTAACATATATAAAAATAAAATAAAATAAAAAATGAGTGATATTTATCCAGATAAAAATATTTCACTAGCTTACCATTTAAGTGTAACGTGATCACCGTATCGCTACGGTGAAAGTAGGATGGCGATAACCATCCCGGAATTGTTGAATAAAAAAAAAGAAAAGGCTGACCGTAACCACGCAAATGCGCATTAGCGACCACGGTCAAGCCCAGAAAGCAAAAAAGAGGTAGATCAATGGAGAAACAGACAAAGATGCTTGAACTATTAAAGAGTACTTGTATAGAAAAAGGCAGATCAAAGAAAAAGGAAGACAGACAAAAAAGGAAGCAGTAAGCCAAAAAGATGAATGTAATGTAAATAAATAAAAAAAAAAAAGTTAAATCAAAGGGATCCCTTTATAAGAAAATGAATCACCCTTGCAATTATGAGCTAATTTTGGTAGATAAAATGATGAGACAAGATGTAAGCGAGTTTTATCAGTTTTTTTTTAAATATTAGCAACATTTCTATCTTTATATCGTATCTAATTCATCATCCTTTTTTTTTAGTATTAACAACATTTCTTTCTTTCTATTGTATTTAATTTATCATTGTCTTTTTTAGTATCTACTTCATCATTTTTTTTTTTTTTAGTATTAGCAACATTTCTCTCTTTATATTGTATTTAATTTATCATCTACTTTATTTTTTAGTATCTACTTCATCATTTTTTTTTCTTTTTTTTTTTTTTTTAGTGTTAGCAACATTTCTCTTTTTATAATAAAGTTAATTACATAGATGTTCTACATTAAATTCTATTATTACGATATTTATATACTAAGTGATACATGATACTGACTTGTTTTTGTCGTGTTTTAGTTTAATGACTAGATTTCTTTTTTTTTCTAGTGTTCTATTTTAAATGTTAGTATGATTGTGCACAGCATACCTATTATTGCCATTTTTTAATTTCCATTGATGTGATGAGTCATCATTATTATATTGATTTATCATGTTGCTTGATAAAAGAGTGTTTTGACATTTTTCAAAGAAAAAAAGAAAAGAAAAAGAAAATGTTGTTCTATCAGAAGGTAACTAGAATGAAGTATTTTGTATTTTATCAGAAATTTGTACAGTGATTGACGACAATGTTTCATCATCCATCATACAATCATACAATCATCCAACATATAACCATCCATTATCACATATCATCCATCATACAATCATCCAATATACAATCATCCGTTATCACATATCATCAATCATCAATCATCAATCATCAATCATCAATCATCAATCGATCGATACTAAAAAAAGAATGGACAACACCCAAAGCTGCAAAAAATATGAAAAGCCTATGTTACTTTTCTTTTCTGTCTTTTATTATTAATAAACAAGCTATCATCAATGTGCTGTGTGTTTTTAATGTACTCTACCGACATCTCTAGAGCGATATCTGTAAGAGTGATAATGCGATATTCATTTTGGGAAAGTACGATATTTTATTTTATAACATCACGAAAAGCATTTTCTTGTGACACGACAAAAAACTTTGAAAACACTGTATTTCTGAAACAATCAATGCCAAAAACATAAGGCTCACCGAACCGAGATTCAATTCCATAAGCACATAACACCACATTCGCTCTTCACCACCTTTTTTTCCTTCCATTTTTTTTTTCTTTTTTAATTTCAATGGATAGTTCTACTAATGTTAAATCTTTATCTCACTTGTTTCCGTCCATGATAACAAGAACACCTGACATTGGAAACGACAAGAACTTTGATGATACTTTACAAGAACAACTTCCTCCTAATCATGGCATAGATTATGTTATTATATTTCGATATCCTACTACTACTACTACTAGTGACCGACATCAACTGGAACAACAAGTGATTCATGGTCTTCAATCACTTACCTCAAAACTCACCCGAGCACAACTTTACTTTGAAATTAAACAAGGTCAAGAAAGTGGTACATTGCTTGTACTTGTTGGTTGTCCACAGTCTCGTTTATACAAGGAATACAAAGCTGAAAGGTATAAAAGGTTTTTTAAATAGAATTATTATTATTATTATTATTTTATCTCATACTTCTTTTTTTTTTTTTTTTGTTATCATGTGGATAGAACTCGCGACTTTTTACTTGGTATCTCTTTGGATAGTACGCACTTGAGTGGAAATACGGTTATTAATAAAGATGCCCTAAAATCATCATCATCAACTTTTGGACAAGATTTTAGTGAAGCGAATAGATTACGTTTGATTTATGATATTTTGACTTCTTCAGAATCAAATGGTGGTGCTGATATCTCTCCTCATATTGATCCTTTTGTTGAAAGTATTATGCCTTTACATAATGATGAATTCAATAAGGTAAATTTATATGTCTTTATTATTCGCTTTAAGTTCTAATCGTTTTGTTATCATAGAAATGGATATCTACTTGGTCAAAGAAATGGTTGATTGATAATGATGATTTATGTACTATAAGAAATCATTTTGGTGAAAAGGTAACAAAAAAAAGAAAAGAAGAATGCTTCTTCTTTTTTTTTTTTTTTTTTTTGGTATAATAATAGGCGTCCTTTCATATATATATGTAGATTGCGTTTTACTTTGCCTTTGTCCAATTCTATTTTCTCTGGTTGACAATTCCTGCTGGTTTGGGCGTTTTGGTTTACTTTACTAACAGCAATGCAATCTCGATATCGTACTCGTTGTCTATACTCGTTTGGGGGATCACTTTTACGGAAATGTGGAAAAGGAAACAAAAGGAATTGGCTGTTATGTGGGATGTACTCAATTGTTCTAAACATGAAAAACGTCGTGCTGCTTTCAAAGGTGATACTACTGTGGCTGATCAGGTAACAGGGGAAGAAATGCCTTTTGTATCTACTTGGAAAATCATTCTACGTCGTGTCTTGGCTATTCCTGGTGTTGCTCTTGGTGCTATCCTCTTGTTATTTATTGTTACCTTTGTATTTATGCTTCAACTCTTCTTGCATGAATATTATACTGGCCCATTCAGATCTATTTTGGTATGTTGATATTCAAATTATATATATACATATATATATATTCTTTTTTTATTATTACTATTACTTACTTTTAGTTATTTATTTAAAGCATTACGCTCCAACTATTGGTTATGTCCTATTGATTCCAACCATGTCTGGTATTTATAGTACCTGGGTACGATTGTTAACCAATTGGGAAATGCATAAGACTGAAACTTCCTGGGAATTCAATTATACTCAAAAAATCTTTGTTGCTAATTTTTTGGTTGGATATCTATCTCTCTTCTTTATTGCTTGGATTTATATTCCCTTTGGTGATCATGTTCTTCCTTATTTGATCGAATTCAACATTAGTCATGAACATCAAAAGGTAGACTTTCAACGACTTCGCGATCAATTGGTATATTTTGTGGTCACAGGACAAGTCGTGGGTTTCTTTACTGAAATGGTGGTTCCTTATCTTATGGCTTGGTTGATGCCCAAAGCAAAAAAATTCATGTCAAAGGTAGTTCATCGTCATTCTTCTGAAAACCAATCATCATCAACAATCAAAGACAAGAATATCTCATCATCACTCTTAGCATCACCATCATCATCATCATCACCATCAGCAGTGGCACCATTATCACATGATGATCCCGAATTTATCAAGAAAATATATAAAGAAGTTGGTCAAGAGGAATATAATATTTATACAGATTATGTGGAAATGATTATCCAGGTAAACGCAAAAAAAAAAAAAAAATGAATAGCGATACAGTTCTAACAAAAGATGAATCTAGTTTGGTTATGTTAGTATGTTTTCCCCAGTATGGCCATTGACTGCTTTATGTTGTTTGGCTAACAATTGGATTGAACTACGATCAGATGCTGTCAAGATTTGCAAATACACAAGGTAAATAGATATATGACTATATCGGGACAAAGAGGATGGCACTTTGTTGGGATATTAAATTCTTTTATTATACTTTTTTTTTTTTAAAAAAAAAAAAATCACTCTAGACGACCATCTCCACTTCGAGCTGAAAGCATTGGTCCATGGCTTGGGAATATGGTAAGAACTATATTGACGTGTACGATTTTAGGTATCTCCGTTTTTTAACTTTTATTTTTATTGTTATTATTTAATACAGGAAACAATTGTATGGCTTTCCTCCATCACCATGGCATCCTTTGCTTACCTTTTCCATCCTACGACAAATATTCATTCAAGTCATGTTCCTATCTACTCACTACTTGCCATTCTATTATCAGAACATTTATACGCTGGACTCTCACTCGCTATCCGATCCATCATCTCGGTGATACCCAATTGGCCAGACGTCATGATCAAGAAAGAAGACTACAGGATGAAGAAGCATTGGTTACAACGATTAGGTGATGATACGAAAGCAGATGAAGTGTCAAAGCATGATCCAATGGCAAAAGTATGGGATCAAGTGGATCTTGCCTCAATGACGGATATTGGAATGCAATTTATACAAAATCACTTCAAGTCTAGTTGATTTTCATTCGTATAGTCTAGTTTAGAAAAGTATATTTTATTATTAACCTCAATAAACGAATATTAGAACAATTGAAGAGATTGGAGGTGACAGATATATATATATATATTGTGAAAGTGTGCGCGATGACAGATGATCCAGTCGTTGTTTTAAAATTCCAGTCAAAATCGAGATACTTTTTTTTTTCTTTGGGCGCCAACATCTTGTCTTTCTCTTTCCATTGTTTCAATTTTATTTTCAACAGTTTAAAACAAATAGATTAATGTCACATCATCTTATTTTTATTTTATCACTTATAATATCATGGTATGGGAAAAAAATAAATAGCATTAGGTAAAATCCTTCCAACTCATCCTTTTTTTTTGTCGTCATAGTCTCCTTGTCACTGATGCTGTAAAAGTTCAAGGCAAACTGGAAACAAATGGTGTACTCACAGGTACAAAAAAAAGAAATCCAGTCATTGAAGGATCTGTGTATTGAATTTTCTCACTTAATATCCTCTTTCTGTTTGATTAGACTTACGACGACTAAGACCATCTACCAAGGTGACTCTTAGCGGCATACATTCAACTTTTATTCAAAGCGATGGATCCTTCGTCTTGTAATGTGCCAAATATCATTGAAGAGCATGATTGAAAACAAGACAAAAACAGTGTAATAATCATACTTTTTGCTAACTCTTCTTTGTTTTTTGTTTTTTTATAGTGATGATGTAACCCCAGGATCTTACTTGTTAGAAGTTAACAATATCGATTTCATCTTCCCAAAGGTAAATATATTTCTATTAGTTATTATGCTTTTTCGCCGGTGAATTACATATATTTCATACCATCGATTTATTATCATACCAATAGCTAACTCTTATTATTACTGCTTTTTTTTTGGATATAGTTACGTGTGGATATCAAGGAAAATGAAGTAGCAGGTTCATACACTGGACTTGGTGCTGGTTGGGATAAGACTGGATATGCTCTTCCTCATCCATTTGTATTAAGGGCAAAAGCTGAAGCGGACTATTTTGTGGTAATTATATTCATATTTTGTCTTATATCAATGATGCTTACTGATTTATTTGTGTAGGAACGACAAGGCTTCAATGTGATTGGTATGTTCAAGAATCCGATGTTTTTGATGCTTGGATTTAGTGGATTGATGATGCTCGTGATGCCAAAAATGCTTCAAAATTTGGGTAAGATATTTTAGGGACAAAAGAATAATACACTTATGTTGACTATCACTCACCCTTCTGTTTTTTTTTTTTTTTTTTTTTTCACTGCTAGATCCCGAAGCCATGAAGGATATTACTCAAACTCAAACGGATGCACAGAATATAATGAACGACATGCCAACTAGTCTATCTCAAATGTTTGCAAAGGCTCAACAACAAGCACAACAACAACAGCGATCATCTTCACGGAAATAATTTTCTTGGTTACTCCATTATCTTTATCATCACCACCAGTGTCATTTCATAGATAGCTACATATATAGTTTACTGGTGACAAATCGAATGAAATAAAAGAGTGTAGATGAATTTTTTTATTTTACTTCTTATGACCTGTTCAGCTCCTCTCTGTCCTTTTCTTTCAGTTTTGATGACTTTTATTGATAAAAAGGTACATGCAAAGATTAAAAGCGATTTTATGCAATTTACTTTTTTTCAATAATAGTTTGCTTTTTCACATCATAGCAATCTTTTTTTTTTTTTTTTTGACTTGAACAAATTTAATTTATTTTAACGATTAAAGATGATGGTTCATTGAATGAAAACATGATAAATAATAAAGAAATGATATCTTTTGCAAATTATAATTAATCTTGTCACTAGTGCTTTAAGGGCCAGGTGCTCCATTAGCGGCAGCTGCCCCTCCAGCTTGTCCTGTTGATCCTGCTCCATTAGCGGCTTCGGTTGCTCCGCTAGGTTGTTCTGCTGGTGCTGGTGCAGTCTGATCTGACCCGGTAAGGCCACTTACGGCACCCGTATCGCCACCCAGTGGCCCGACAACGCCATCCAGGGTTCCAGTTGAGTCTCCTGTCGTTGTAGTTGATGAACAAAGTCCCGTCATTGCCGCGACAAGGCTAATACCAGGCAAGTTACATAAACCGCTTGTGCCATGATCCTGACGTGCAGATAAGCGTGTACCAGCAGATGATGGAGTGGATGAATGGTCTTCAGTCCCTTTAGTGACAGGAACACCATTGACGAGAGCAACGCAGATAACGGAGAGGAACAAAAAGGTACGGCAAACCATTGTTTAAGAAAGATAACAGATGTATAAAATGGATTGTTTTCTTTTTGATTTTTTTTTTTTGATGCGATTTGCCTCTCATTTATATCTCTTTTTTTCTGCAATGGCTCCTTTTTTTCTTCTAGGGAAAGCTCATTTGTGAAATGCATTTCTTTTTTTTTTTTTCCTTTTGCTGTATCTCATCCACCATGAGTAAAAAAAAAAAAAAAAAAAAAAAAAAAAGGAGAGAAACATCCTGCTAAGGTTATAGTATAAAGTATACGGTTTAACCCTAGCGATCATCGCTTTACATGAACAAATAGTGATGATCAAGTAGGGGGGAACACCCTTCTATGTTTCCATTGGAATTCTGCAGAATTTTTTATGTCCCTTTCTTTCCAGAAATGATCGACAAGATAAGCATTATTCTCTGTTCGCTTCCTAAAGTTATGATGGATGATACTAGATGGCGATCCTAAGTGGTGACGCTAGATGATGTCAATTGGCGGCGATGATGAGCTGGCGAATGACTGATGATAGTTGCCGATCGATTTCTATAAAGATTCATGTTAGTATATTCCAAGATGATGATTGTTGACAAAGATTAAGCATCGTGGAGACGATCATAATGGTGGGAAGTATAAATATGGCTTTATTAAAAAAAAAAAAAAGAGTATAAAGAGACGATGTACTATATAAAATTAAGGGCGCTAACTACCATTAGAAGAATCACTATACGACGGACCCAAGTAAAAGAAGGTCAATCAAGTCCACGACAACAATCTTTTGCATACCATTGACTTGTTTTTCTTGTTCCAACCGATACCATTTTGTAAATCCATTCTGTTGATGTTGCCTCTCCGTCCAAACCTAATCCTAGCGTTTTTCTACCTAATTTATCTAATAGCATACTTGATTAGTCATTCCATCACAAATCCAACCATCTTCCAGCAGGTATAACACCTAGTTGATCCTGTGTACATCCCTTCAGTTGATCCTGCTGTGAATCTATTCCATTCATGATTATTATCCATTCATCTAGTTGGTCCAGTCATAAATATTCATGCGCTGCAGGAGTACATCCAGCCTTGTAAGCATAGTGATATAAAAGGGAAAAAAATCATAGATAAAAAATTAGTTGAGAGAAAGATAAAGGAGCAGAGGAAGTGAATAAGGGCTTGAGAAGAATGAAAGAATGAGATAGGAAGAGAAAAATATCAAAACAAGTAAAAAATATAAGTGCGTGTGAGATATATATATATATATATATAGAGAGAGAGAGAGAGAGAGATAGAGATATAGAGAGAGAGATAGAGATATAGAGAGAGAGATAGAGATATAGAGAGAGAGATGAGGAGAGAGGAAAAAAAGGAGCTATTGCAGGTTACTATCATTTCCAAAAAAAAAAAGGAATCATAAAAGTAGATCAGAATAGTTGTTCACCTTTTCTCGTAAGTATTAACATTACTTCTTAGTGCACATAAAACGACATTGAGCTAAAATATCAGCAACATGCCACGTAAAGTGACTAAAGGAGAGTAGAGAAACGAAAAGAGAGAGGTTAATTTAGAAAAGAAAAATTCATAGCAAAATTTTCAAACTCATCTTAATTTAAGACCTGAAGACACTTCTTTACAGCGTAACCCATCAACTATTAGATCATTTCACTTTTTTTTTTCCTTTCCATAGTAATCTTCTTTTTTCATCGTTCTTATTTTTACTTGGACAATAAAACAATTTATTTTAACGATGATGAATCATTGAATAAAAAACATAATAAAGGATAAAGAAATGATATCTTTTTGCAAATTTAATTAATCTTGTCACTAGTGCCTTAAGGGCTAGTTGCTCCGTTAGCAGTTGCTCCTCCAGATTGTCCTCCTGATCCTGTTCCAGATGCTGCTTGGGCTTATTTTTGATCTGGCGGCTCATTTTCATTTTTTGTCACTGGGACACAACCCAAAATACCTTTCAGATTATCTCCAGGAGGAGGGAGGGCATCCAATAGACTGCAAAGCGGATTGGGTCCTCCTACTATATAGCGTGAAGATAAGCGTGTATCAACAGACCGACGTGATAGAATTGATAAATGGTCTTCGGTCTCTTTACTGACAGGGACGCCACTGACAAAACCAATGAAAAGAATCAAGGACAGGAATAAAAAGGCACGGCAAATCATCATTGTAAGAAAATTTAGATATTAATAGATGTAAAAAAAAAAAAATAATGAATATTTTCCTAGCCTCTTTATAGCTTTTTATTCCTTGCGATTTGTCTCCCATTGTATTTTTGTTTTCTGCAATAACTTCTCTTTCTCGAGAAAGCGGGACAATGCATGCCTTTTTTTTCTCTCATCCAGTTTGAAAAGAGTTGTAAGGTTAACATCCTGATGATTCAAGATCATAGTATAAAGCGTGCAGTTCAATCCTATTGATCACCCCTGTGCATGAATAAATGTGATGAACACGCAGGAGGAAATAGTGTCACGCGATTCCGTCGGTACTACGCGGAATTTGCAAGGGAAGACCTACAATATCAGCATTGTAACCTGTCTGTTTCATAGCACAAAGTTAAAATGGATGGTGCTAGACGACGATCCTAAGTAAAGACGCTAGATGATGTCAATTGGTGGCGATGATGAGCTGATGGATAGATTACGATAGCAGTCGGCTGATTTCTATAAACCTGCACATAATGATCAATATTACCTTATTTTAAAATGATGACAGTTGCTGAGGGGAAAAAGATCGAACTTTTTATTTCATATGAATAAATTAACAAGACTAACACTAATAACACTAATAATAGCAGAAATGACAATGATTATGATAATAATAAAAAGACTAACCCTTGATATATTTTGTAAGATTAATATCTCTACCAGGAAGTTCCTATATAAGGGAAAGAAAGAGGAAAAGTTTGTTAGTAACAGGCGAATATGAAAATGGAGAAAGAAATATTTACCCTTGTTGCCACCATCCAAGGATGTTCCTATAAAATGGATATATAAGAAAAGGTGAGTATTAGCTTATCGATTTGCATATATGTCTACCTTACCAATACATCTTCAATTGTAAGTCGTTTCTTTGGGTGTATTTCTAACATTCTTCGAATCAAATCTTTCCCTACAAAAAAAAAAAAAAAAGTGGGTATCAAGAGAAGTAAGATAAGTATTCAGAGCTTGATGATCCCTTTTTTTTTTTTGCGTTTTACCTTCATTAGAAATAGCTTCCCATACTTTTTCTTCAAATCCAGGGAAGACCATATCCCTCATGTGTACCAGCATATCATACTTTTTTCCCAGAATATGTTCTATACGAAATAAGCAAAATAAAGAGCATTTAATTCTAAAACATATCCCTCTCCTATGTCATTATTTATCTTACCAGGATAAGGTGATGATTTGGATAATGCCGCGTATAACATAACGCCAAGTGACCAGATGTCAATTGCTTTGGTATAGTTGGCTGTGGAACCGCAATTCATAGCCAGTAGTTCAGGTGCAGCTAATGGAAATAAATAACAATAAAATCAGTTTAACAAGAATTCATATCCTATCCTGCTCCTATTGACTTACTATATAAAGGAGTACCACATTCGGTTTCAAAGATATTTCCAGGTCGTTCAAAAGTAGCAAGGCCAAAATCTGATAACTTGACTTGACATTTGGCAACATCGGTGACAACAACATTTTCAAGCTTCAAGTCTCGATGGGCAATACCTTGACGATGTAAATGCTACAGGAATAAATAAATAAATAAAAATGTGATGATGATGCATTTAAACAAGGTAATAGTATTAATACTTACAGCCACAGCATGGAAAATTTGATCAAAAATAATGGCTGCTCGTATTTCATGCATTTCATAGTCACTGTTCACCAATTCAAATAGATCCCCATCTTTTCCACTACGTATTAAGGGCGCACATATGTGTTTGTAAAAAAATGTCGAGTTGGAGCATAACCTCTGATAATAGAAAATGACAATCCTGTTTTGTCATTGATATACTTACTATTCCAATACTAAGAAGAGCCTCTTTGATACTTTTCGCATTGTACCACACACCATAAGCATTTTCCATTCTTCTATAACATTTTCTATTCCAATGATACAAGGCTATACAATAGAAAAAAAAAAAATAAGAATATCAGAGGAAATGATGAGAAGTATGTTTTCATTTTTGATCATATTACTATTGTTTTTTTCTTTTCTTTACTTACGTGACGTTTCAGGCATACATTGATAGCTGCTTCTCGGTATAAACTATTACTGACTAGTAGATTTCTTGTTTCCATTTGAATTTCTTTGAGGGCAAATACTTTTTGATTTGATTTGCAGATTGCTTTGTACACTTTTCCATATGATCCATGACCAATTTCGTCATTTTCGTTGTAAGAGTAGAAATCCTTGATAGTCTGTATAAAAACAAGGTATGAGTAACATCGAGCTCCTTCAATTCTTCTTTATCTCTTACTTCATTTTCATGTTTAAAACATTTGATATTTGGTGTGTTTGTAAAGAATTGGAATATCAGTAGCTCTAGTATAAAAAAAAAAAAAAAAAAGAGGGAAGTGCGTATGAGTAAGTAATCTTTTTTTTTTTTTTTTTTTTTTTACCATTTGGGGTATCAGAGGTCATGTGTTTCTTGAAATTGATTGTAATAGTATCACCATGTTGGAGGGAGCATTCCACACTTCTTGGAAGGAAAGTATCGTTCAACTTGCTATCACCAATGGGATCAAATATATAGAAATACATACTGTATCCATCACCTTTATCTTTCCAACGCTATACAAAGAGGGAAAAAAAAGGAAATCATCATTTAGAATACGGTATCTGCAAGAGAAAATGTGATCATTTTTGTCTTACCATGTATATGAAAAATTGGCAACTATTCAAACCAGGTATTCTAAAAAAGAGAAAAAAAAGATGAGTGAATCGGGCATAAAACCAACCTTTTTTTTTTGACAGGTCTATTTTTACCTAATGTGACAAGATGTATCACTACCAATATCATATGCTGAAGGCATCAAGAGAGAAGAGGTAATATCTTGTGATTTTTCATTCAATGGTGTATATCCTGAGTTTGACGTAGCATTCGATGTATCGAGCAGTCCATGTGACGCAAAGCCGTCGGTCAAGCTATATAGATAACCCCAAGCATGTTTGTTTGCAATGAAATATTCTATGACTTCTAATGGTAATTCTTGCTCGTGGTATTGTTGAAGAAGGAAGTCAGATTCTAATGTTGGTGTTTGTTGTTCCAGGGAATGAGTAGGTGATGGTGATCTAGAATGGGGTGATAAGTCTGGTGTTGCTACTGGTATTGATGAGGGTATTTCTACTTCTTCTGGTTGTTGTATAGGTCTCCATTCGTACATGGCTGTCATATATTTAACTTTTTTAAGTTCTATTTGACTTTTCTTTCTTTGTATATCTCGGGCGCTTGTCGTCTTGGAGACAGGTTTGGCGATTGGTACCAATTGTTTCGAGGGACTGATTTTTGAAGACTTGTTGTTGCTTGTGTTTTTGTCTGTGTTGTTGATTTTATTGATTTTGTTGACTTTGTCGCTGTTATCGCTGTTATCGCTGTTGTCGCTGTTGTCGCTGTTGTTGTTGTTGTTGTTGTTGCCATTGTTGTTGTTGTTGCCGTTGTTGTTGTTGTTGCTGTTGTTATTGCTTTTGCTGGATTTGTTGCTTTTTCCAGCTTTGTTGCTTTTGTTATTATTATTGTTGTTGGAATGAAGAGATTCTTCCTTTGTTAGCAAGAGACTTGTATAGATTTCAGCAATGCTGTCAGTGTACGCTTTCAGGGTCGCAGTTCGTGATCGAGTAAGGCGAGTGGGTGTAGTTTTGTTAATGTTGGCAGTTGAATTTCGTCTTTTGATTGTAGATTTTGCCATTGTTATTTTGAATTGGAGGAGAAGAATATACTAGAGGATAGATAAAAACGAATAGGGAAGGATATAAAAGGGGAAGGAAAGAAAGAAAATAAAAAAAAAAATACGGCTCACCTTGTCACCCGTGCATTTGATCCAATTTCTGCGTTGACCTGAAGGACGATAATCGGCATTTGAATCTACCCCCTTATTTTTTTCAAATATGCTTGGAAAGCTACAAAAACAAACAATCATATCGGTGATGATGAAACATAAGACAATGATCATACTAGTAGATGATAGTAAGCATTTCGCCTTGAATCTTATATATAGATATATGTATATATCTATATATATATTGCCTATCTTAGTATTTTACAATCATAGCAGCCGTTATTCTCGCGTCTTTTCTTTAAATCAAATATCCTGAGAAATAGTGATGCTTTTTTCACTAGCTGTGATGGTAACCAGAAAAATGACATCAGTCTCATCCGAATGATATTATAATCTTTTGATTAGAAACATAACTCTTCCATTTCTATTGCAAATGCTTCACATAGAAACATTCCCAGAGGTCGGCGGTGGTTAAAACCTAAAACATCCCCACCATTCATTTCATCTGCTTTTTTTTTTCTGTTCTTTTTTTCCTGTCTTTGTAAAAACTCCCTTTTTCCTTTTTTTAGTGTAGTTATGATCAAAAAGGTACCAAAGTTCCAATCTTCAAAATATGTTTGGTTTGATTTGAACACTTCTCCGAAAGAATTGCGTCTCGATACTTTACGATGTGGACAAAGCTTTCGTTGGCAATCTGTTCAAGATCATTGGTAAGATCACTTTTTTCTCTTTTAGTCACCTACTCTAATCAACCATTGAATTCTTCTTGTTAGGGTATGTACTTTGGGGGAACAACTCTATTTATTAAAGGAATCCGGTAAATGTCTTTTGTTTTTTATTTTTTTTTAAAAAAAATAAGAACTATCATTAGATGTTTACTGATCATGCCTTTTTTTTTCTTCTTTTCGATTGATAGCACATAGTGTATTTTATGGTGTACCTGAAGACGAAGCCAAAAATAGCAAGTTAGTGAAACATATGGATCAAACGTTACGTGATTATTTTCAACTAGAACTTCTTTCATTGGAAAAGGCTTATGAACGGTGGAGTAGATTGGATACCAATTTCAAGACGAAAGCCATTCATTTTCAAGGTATACGTATGCTTCGACAGGACCCTTGGGAAAATTTGATATGTTTTATATGCTCTAGCAATAATAATATTACTCGAATCAGTCAAATGGTGGGTAACAAAATAATAATAATAATAAAGATATAAGTTATTTTTGTGATAAAAGATAATGAAATAAATGATTTTTTTTTTAATTTTCTAGCTTTCTCTTTTTCTAGGTACACAAACTCTGTATACACTTTGGATCAAAGATTGCAACATTGGATGATACGGATTATTATGGTTTCCCAACTTTGGCATCATTGGCAGAAGAAGGCACAGAAAGCAAATTACGACAATTAGGATTTGGGTATCGAGCCAAATACATAGCACAAACGGCTCAAAAGATCAAAAAGGAACATCCAGAACAACAAGAAGCCTGGGTTGCTGATTTAAGAAAGTTATCTTATGAAGAAACCAAGCAAACTTTGATCACTTTACCTGGTGTAGGTAAGTATAGAGTATGTGGCATCATTGAGCCAACAAAAAGATAGAAAAAAAAAAGCAGACAAAAAGAGAAAAAGGGAGGGGGGAAGAAAAAGAAGAAAAAGGCTCATGTGTTATGTATATTGACGTTTTTTTTTTTTTTTTTTTTTGGTGCACCTTCTTTTTTTTTTTTTTTTTTTAAGGTCCCAAGGTAGCTGATTGTATCGTAAGTATATATATAAAAAGGCATGATGATGAAACAGTGATCTGATGATGACACTTATGATGATACTGATGACTATTTTATGAAACTAGTGCCTTATGTCTATGGATCATGCAGAAGCTATTCCGGTGGATACCCATGTGTGGCAAATAGCTGCAAGAGATTATGGATTTGGAAACAAACAAAATAAAACATTGACGACAGTATTATATAATCAAATTGGGGATCATTTCCGTACATTATTTGGTGAACATAGTGGATGGGCTCACTCTGTAAGTTTTATAAAAAAAAAAAAAAGAGATCATTCAATGACGTTTACTTTTTATTTTTTCTAGGTATTATTCTCTGCAGAGTTGAAAGGATTTGAAAAACGGCTTGCATTAGATAGTATAGAACATAGTATAGTGGAAACACCTGATACCTTAGATAGAAAAAAGCAACGAATAAAATAATATTTTGATTGTCCCTCGAGGTGATTTGTGATCTTATTTCTTTCTTTTTTTTTATTGGTGACACAACGTACAAGAAACAGAGTAGGCGAATTCCCCAAAATGGATTCTCCTCGTTGAAATTCTTCATGAATACAAGTCCGACTTGTCTGTCAAGACAACCGTTCTTAAATATGATTGGTTGGGATATTTTATTGAATTGAAAATTTTTCTTTTTTTTAAAAAAAAGGGAAGGTGGGAAAAAGGAAAATGGGATCAAGAAATGTATACGTGTAGTGAGAAGATTCTATATTAGTATTAAGTAAAAAGTAAGATAAAGTAGTAGATAAATTAAACAAGGTATAAATGTATGATCATGCATATTATTAGGATGTTTGTTTGTACAAGGTTGAGAAGAAAAAAAACCTAGGATGAACTGGATTTGTTGGATAATTTACTAGCGTATCGTTTCAATCTCGATTTCACTATTATCAAAAAAAAAAAAAAAGAGTCAATTACCAAGAATCATTCTTATTTAAATATAAACTTACTATTATTGTTATTATTATTGTTATTATTATTTTTGGTTGAATTAGTGTATGGAGTGGTATAATTGGCCAAATAATGGACTTCGGGTGGTTCGGTTGCAAAAGAAACATTACGATTATGAGAACAATGAGATTTTTTATTGATAGCGGGTATAGATGTTTTGTAGGTGATGTTTTGTTGATCTTGACAATACCATGAATTTAAGGTAGGTAGATTATCATATATGGACATTAGAAATACATAAACAATAAAAAAAAAAAGAAAAGAAAAAGAAAACAAAGAAGAAGAAAGAAGTGGAATAGATTTCTTTTATACATTTTTTTTTTTTTTTTTGATTTGTTTGATCTGAGACCTTTTTTTGATTCTATTTCTGGGTCGCTGTTCTTCAAACCCAAATATGGTGATTTTTGTTTTTTTGAATTTGCCAAGCTTTTTCTTTTTGTTCCTGATTTTATACAATGACCGGGGAGATTTCCGGGATATTTTCACTATAAATGAAATTTATGTTATTGTTTTGATGATGATGATGTATATGGTAGATCGTTCACACTGAAATTATTTTTTTTTTCTCTTTGTCGTATGAATCTTTTTCCTTCTTCTTCACTGGGTTTAAATATTCATTTTGTGTAGAAAATCTTTCACCCCAAAAAAAAAAGGAGGGAATGGAGCTCCCTGTTGAGCTTGATTTTCTCCTTTTTGCTTGGTTTCTTTTTCTTTTTTATCTCTTCTTTTTATCTCTTCCTTTTCTTTTTTGTTTAATTTCCTTTTTTTTTATTTTATTTATCAATTTGACTTTATTAATATGACTGGTAAATAGCATTCCTTATTATTTAAAAATAATAAAATACTCTTTTAACTTTTTTTTTTCTCTTTCATCTGATGACATATAGATCAAAACAATGGCGCGTCATCTGGTGTAAGAAAGCAATATATACATAGTTTCTTTATTTCAACTGACAACATTATATTTTTATTAGATCACTGTTGTACGAAAAAAACTTCTAGGTTATGTTGGTTTTGCTAATTTACCTAATCAAGTTCATCGCAAGTCTGTAAAGAAAGGTTTTGAATTCACTGCTATGGTTGTAGGTAAAGTTGGAAAAAAAAATAAAGTAGAAAGGAATACAATATATATATACGCAGGGGGGGAAACGGACCAAAGAAGAACGAGGGAAAAAAAAGGAGGTGTATATATAAAAAAAAGTGTTTTTTTTTGTGGTCGTTTGAGAAGTGTTGTTGTGCAGAGAATAAGCAATATTATAGGGAGTGTTTATATTTATAATCCTTTTTGTGCATCATATTAATAGGTGAATCTGGACTTGGAAAATCAACTCTTGTGAATACTCTTTTCAATACTCAATTATATCCTCCAAAGGAAAATGTAGAATTGACTCATGAAACTCCTCAAACTGTTGAAGTTCAATCTATTACCTCTGATATTGAAGAAAATGGTGTCAAACTTCGATTAACTGTAGTTGATACTCCTGGTTTTGGTGATTTTGTAAACAATGAAGAAAGGTAAAAAAAAATAAAATTCCAGATGATTATATTTGATATTAATCCATTTATATTATATAGTTGGAAACCTATTCTTGATAGTATTGAATCACGTTTTGATGCTTATTTGGAACAAGAAAATCGTGTGAATCGTCGTAAATTAGTGGATAATCGTATTCATGCTTGTATTTACTTTATCACTCCTACTGGGCATGCGTAAGTTTTTTTTTTTTTTTTTTTTTTTTTTTTGTCAAGAATTTTCATATGCATAACATATTTTATATTTCCTACATTTTGATAGGTTGAAACCGTTGGATATTGAATTTATGCGCCGATTACATACCCGTGTCAACTTGATTCCTGTTATTGCCAAAGCTGATACTTTGACCGAAGAAGAAGTGGCTGCATTCAAAGAACGTATTTTGGCTGATATCAATTATCACAATATTCAAATCTATCAAGCTCCTGCTTATGAATATGATGATGAAGAAACTATTGCTGAAAATAGAGAAATCATGTCTAAAATTCCATTTGCTGTTGTTGGCTCTGATAAAGAATTTGAAGTGGAGGGTCGCCGTGTCCGTGGTCGTAGTTATCCTTGGGGTGTTATTGAAGTGGATAATGAAGATCATTGTGATTTTGTCAAACTTCGTCAAATGTTGATTCGGTATATAACACTTTTGTTTTTTTAATGATGGATGATTCATTTATTTATTCTTTTTTTTTCTTCTTTCCTTAGTACTCATATGGAAGAATTAAAGGAATACACCAATGATGTTTTGTATGAAAACTATCGTACTGAAAAGTTGTCTGCTATGGGTATTCAACAAGATCCTACTGTCTTTAAGGAAGTCAATCCTGTACAAAAGATGGAAGAAGAACGTATGGCTCATGAACAAAAATTATCCAAGATGGAAGCTGAAATGAAGGCTGTGTTCCAAGCCAAGGTGCAAGAAAAGGAAGCCAAACTCAAGTCCTCCGAAGAAGAGGTAATATCATCATCAATTTTCTATCCTATTTGTATTTAACATTTCTTTTTTTTTTTTATTAGTTATACGCTCGTCATAAGGAAATGAAGGAAGCTCTCGATAAACAACGCTTGGATTTAGAAGAAAAGAAACGTCGTATGGAATCTGGAAGACCAATGACCCCTGAAAAGACAAAGAAGAAAGGATTCTCATTCAACAAGTAGTTAGTTTTTTTTTTTTATCAAGAAAAAGTTTTATGTTTATATGATTAGAATCAATTCTTTTATTTTATTTTATTTTAACTCCATATTTACTTTTATTTCCCTCCACCTTCTCTATCTCTCCCCTCCCTTATTTTTTTTTTTTTTTGATTACCACGCCACCATCGTAATTCTCTTTTTATTTCGATCATAATACCTTATTTATCCCCTTCTTTTTTTTTTTAGGTCATTAGTTTATATCTTCTTTTTGATATCAAACAATAAAAATAACAACATGTTCGCTTTTTAATAATGGAGAATCGATAATGATAAGAATGAGATTTTTTTTTTATTTGACCCAGTATGAAGTATGATGAATACCAACTACGACGATGGACAGTGAATGATTCATCATTCGCCAGCTCATCATGATCAACTGTCATTATCTCCGATGTAATTATCAAACACATGGCCCTTGAATCAATTCAAATCATTCCTACTGCCTTGATTAGCAAAGAATCAATCAATGTAAATAAAAATGACGTCGCATGCATCATTGACGTTCAACAAGCAAAGAAAGAAAGTAAGTTCCAATGGAGAGCAACAAAATGTTTATTTCATAAAAAAAATGTATACAAATCTATTCTAATCTATCATCCTAATTTCAATCTGAATCCACCCTTATCAGCCGCTTGACCAGCAAAAATACTTCCTTCCATGCCAGCCATTTTATCATCCTCTTCACCAGCATGAGCGACTTGAGGAGCAGAAGGGCTATAGACTCGTTTCCTAAAGAAAGAAAGAAAAAAGGAGCGTAAGTAGATTCTTTCAAATACAAATCCAAACTTACTTTTCACCAGATCCTTTGGATGGCCATGTTGGAAATAAAGCAGGATCTTTTGGTAATGGACTTTCACTATTTTTTTTTTTTTTTTTAAAAAAAAAAAAAAGGATATTAGATTTCAGGAATACCTTTTTTTTTTTTTTAATTACAAAAACTTGCCTAAAATAAGGATGTTTCAATGCTTGTTCTGCAGTAATTCGTTGTTCAGGGTCATAACATAACAGTTTCATCAATAGATCCATGCCGGCTTCAGTCAAGTATGGGAATTTCGCTCGTATGTTGTTATGTCTAATATACATAGATCAATTTAGTACATATCACCCATGGTCATCCATGCAACTTACGGTTGGTCTACAAAAGCAATGTTGTTTGCATGTGGTAAATCCTTGAATCCAGGCCATCGCTTTTCATCTGGCATACCTAACAATTTGAAGATCTATAGAGAATCAAATCAGTATGAGTTATTCAATTTTTTTTTTTTTTTTTTTTTTTACCTTATCTACTTGATCAATTTCACTTCTACCAGCTACCAAAGGTTCATTGTTAATCATTTCTGCAAAAATACATCCAATAGACCACATATCAATAGCAGTGGTATATTCCTTGCCACCCAATAATAGTTCAGGTGCTCTATCATTCCAAAGAAAAAAAAGAAAAGATCAGTAAAACTTCCTTTATATATATTATATATATATATATATATATATATATATATAGATGAATATGTTACCTATACCAAAGTGTCACTACTAATTGAGTCATATGACCCATAGGACTTCCATAAATCCTTGCCAAACCAAAATCGGCTACTTTGATTTCACCACGATTATTCAAAAGTAAATTGCTTGTCTTTAAATCACGATGAATAATCCAATTATCATGCATCAATGCCACTGCTGATAGTAATTGAATCATCAACGTTTTGACTTCAGATTGTAAAAATGTAGTTTGCATATCAGTCATTAATGTTTTCAAATCATGATCTATGAAGTCCATCACTATAAACACTCTAATAAAAAAAAAAAAGTAAGTTTCTCTCTTTTTTTTTGGTATACTTGATACTTACTGATCCAAACGATTTCCCATGACAATTTCACGTACATTGACAATATTGGGATGTTTTGCAATCATCAGGGTATGGATTTCACGTAAACTAGTAATAGGGAAGCCGTTTTTTTCCTTATCGAGTTTGAGTTTCTTGACCGCCACAATATCGCCTGTGGCCTTGTCGCGTGCTCGGAACACAATACCATAAGAGCCTTCTTCGATATGATTCAAGCGTTCATATACATCTACCGATCGACAGGACTGAAGTAAAGTTGTGGTAGAATCTAAACTAGGTTGTGATGGAGGAATCAAACGTCGTACGGGTGTGGCAGGTCGACTGATCTGTGGTGACATGGTCGTTGATGGTTGTTTTGGTCGAATAAGAGGTGAATCTTTCTTCAATGTGCTGGATCCTGTTGTGCTGTGACTAGTGGTTTTTTTCTTTTTGGTTCTTCGTAATGCTCTACTGGTTTCATCTCGTCACTTTCATCGGATTCCCACTTTGACTTTTTGGTATGAGTAGACATGAGATTAAAATATTAAAAAAGAGAAATAAACAAAAAATGTGAACAGACAAAAAAGAAATAAAAAAAAAATGTTTGGGAAGGATTTTAAAACCCGTTGCCTGATCATCGACAACACTTAAACTTTAGGATACTCATTCTTGGAGATCTTCAAAAGTCGCATTCATGCCTCCCTCTTTGGCTTATTCATTTACTGCTTATTTTGTCTTTTGGTAATTTTACTGATTTCTCTTTTGGTTTAATTATCAAACATTTGAATCGCTGTCTTTTCACTGCAACATCAACATAAGGTCGATACGTACAGCATCTCTTTACGTTCCAACTCACTCAAAAATGATCATCATTGCACCAAATTTACATTGTACATACATGAAATCATTCTCTTTCAATTATATTAATAATAGTTATATCTTACCTCCCAATTTATAGACTCATTTGAAAAATAAAATGTCAATATTACCATCCTTCATTCAATAATGATCATCATCCAATAAAATGTCAATATTACCATCCTTCATTCAATAATGATCATCATCCAATAAAATGATCACTATTGGATTCCTCTTAAAAAAATAGTCTAATATCATCTAATATCATTTCATCACTTACCTTATCATCTAATGTACAATGAGCACCACAAAGATTTCATCGATTTTTCGAAAAATCGCCTGATGAACCCCTCGACGATTTATTTTTACAGCCAAAGTTTGGCTGAGGAATTTGAAAATTTTGGCTGTAAAATCTAAAAATCCATCCCATTTTTTTTTTTTTTTTTTTTACAAGCTTATAAAAACTTTGCCTTTCCCTTTCTCGCTCAGAAATCACCATCATCACACTAGATTGAACCAGAACATCAAACAACCCATTATTTTACACTTTACCTTATGAAATTGATAGATTGTCAGTTTTACATATAGGTAAATTTAAAAAAAAAGAGAGATCATCCATATCACTCTTCTTCTCATTTGTGTGTCTATTTTATCATCCTGCATCCTAAAATTTAAGCTTTTTTTTTTTTTTTTTTTTTTTTGCTGATCGTCATTTTGCACAGCAAGATTTACTACAAGATCACTGATTCTTTATTGTTCTAACCATATCCATGATCCAAAATAAATAAATAAATAAAAAAAAGACTGAGGAGAGACGAAAAAGGCAATACAACACTATATATTTATTGATCTAGGCTATAAAATCAAATATGAAACTATACTACGACATTGGTACTACGACTAATGTAATCACTATGACCTTGATGAGCAGCATCTCTAGGATGATGCTTGATATAATCACGATAAGCGGGATGACTTGGGTCAAAGACATAACCCATATCTTGAAAGAGTTGTAGTTGTTTCTTGAAACCAGGATTAGGATCCACAAAAGGTCGGGTTTGTTTGATTTTCGCCAATGCCAATTTCCAACGTAGATGTTCCTTCTCCATCATATAACCTGCCACTACGGTAGGACTCCGGGATACACCAGCCAGGCAATGGACCAGGATCTTTTCTTCTTTTTCCAATGCTTCGGTGATAAACCTAAACGCTTCTGGAAACCATCGAATGATATTTGTTTCAGGATGATCAGTAATAGGGATAATCTGCAGATAATTCAATAAATAAAGTAAAATAAATAATGAGAAATAAACGGCATCTTTAGTTACCTTATGAGTGAATTCTGTAGTTGGGTATATTGATTGGAAATGACCAAGGGATAAAATAGTTTGGATCTTGTTTTTCTTCAAAAAGGATTTCGATTCCATTGCTGCATATCCACCGATCCATATATTAGGTAAGACTTGTTGTGCAAGACTGGTCATCAAGATACCACCTGGCTTACCGTCATAATCGCTAAGTTTTTCAAATAAATGTGAATGGTCGTCCATGGATGTTGATCTTTCATCTTGTATATCCTCTTCTTCTTCTTTGCTAGGTTCTATAGAAGTCATAAGAAAGAAAAATCTATATAAATATGTATATTGTGTATATGTACAAAAAAAAAAAGGGTGGAAGAATGAGAAAAAAGGTGATGGAGAAAGGGTAGGTAATGTTTCAAAAAAAAAAAAAAAAAAAAGAGAGAAAGAGGGAAAAGAAAAAGAGTGCAAGCTTTTTCCTTTTTTTTTTTTTTTTTTTCTCTAGAATCCAAGATCCGCTGCGCTTTTGCTTGACCACGTACCCTATTTTGGAAAGAAAAGATTTAAGGTAATCAATTCACAATACACCAAAAAGCACAAAAGCCAAGAAAAAATGAAAAAAAGTCAAATGTGTAGTTTATTGATGATAAAAGGAGAATCTAAAAGTATATGAAAGGAGAAGATGACAAAATCGTTGTGACTATATATGTAAAAAGAAAGATAAGGGAAGAGATGAAATGATGATGACTAAAATAATAAAAGTAAATAAAAAAAATGTATATATAATATGTATGACTAAGGGTTAAAAGGGAGGATGATCCGCTTGTTGGTATTGTTGTCCATAAGGTTGAGGTGTCATCAAATTGGATGGAGGAGGAGTAACATTATTATTATTATTGTTGTTGTTATGAGTAGGAGGTTGATTCAAAGGTGTTTGACTATGATAAGAGGATTGATGGGATAATTCATCATCATTCATCAATTCCTTGACTTCCCATACATTTTGTTTAGAACCCACAGAGAATTCCAAATCTTCCTTGGTAATAGAATCCCAATATTTGTAAACCATCATCACAGCCAATAGAGTACAAATGGCACCAAAGAATAATCCATCAACATAATGCTTCACTTGATCACAGATGACCACTGAGAACACAAACATGAGTAAGAATCCAATCACAAAGAAGGCAGTACCAAATAAGATATCACCCAAAGGCCAACGGTCATCCAAAGTATTCACCACAAGAATGATTTGAGAAATCACATAGATGAGGAAACAGATACCATTGATAATAAAGAAGAAGACCCATAAAGCACCAGGTGCTGAATAAGAGAAAGGTGAAATATTTTGAAATGTACAAATAGCAATAGCACCCACAACAATAAAGAGGACAAATGAACTAATACGAATAGACTATATACAATAGGTGATGAATATATAAAGTAAAAATGCCATTGTGTTATTTTTTTTTTCCTTTCAATTACCCAAAGTGATAACGGAGTACCATCTTCTGCAAATTGGAAACCGACAAAACCATTTAAAAGTAAACACCAAAATGTAGCACTAATAAGACCCAAATGAATCGCAGTGAACCACTAATGAAAAAAATATATATATGTATATTATTCAAGTTAGTAACAAGATCATCCCATTTTTTTTTTATTGTTGTTATTGTTGCTAGGGAGACTTACGGGATAGACTGGTGATGAAATGGGAATAATACCAGTAACAAGTAGCATTTCCATAAAAGTACATAGCATATAAAGATAAAAGAACATAACAATTTCTTTACGTCCAACAGCAGTATATTTCGATCGAATGTGATAAATCATAATAGCTGTCATCACAATAGCTACAATGTCAATAATCAATGTTGCTAGAAAATAAACAAATAAAAAAAAAGGAAACGAATTATCCAAGTTTAGTAAATGACAGTAACAACAATTTCTTTCTTTTTTTTTATTTACCAGGTTGAAAGATAAGATTACCACCGAGATCCACATTACGAGAATAACAAACAGGTTCAATGCCATCATACTGACCAATGAGAGGACATAAACTAAGAGCTACAGTACGACATATACCATCAAAACTAAAGGCACCGAATTCGTATGTGATATCCACCATGGTAAAGAGAATTTAGGTGGAAGGAATCCTTGCAAATGGAAAAGGGACAAAATGAAAAAAAAAAAGAAAGAAAAAAAAAGTGTAGAAAAAGCTTGAAAAAAAAAAAAATAGGGAATAGAAAAAAAAAAAAAAACAAAAGGTTTAAAAATAGCCAAGAACAAATTCAACCAATATTCCTTAGAAACCGATATCCGGTGTTTTAAAATCAAATGGGGGACTCGGTTCAACTAAGCATTTTCTTGGTATTAAGAAAAAGTGATAAAGAATTAAGTATTTTCTTTTACTCTATCAAACTATAATCATTGGTTTCTATAAATCCTGTTTCATAATACAATTAGAAAGAAAAAAAAAAGAGAGAGAGAGAATTTTTTTTTTTGCTCCAATCAATTCATTTATATAGTTCGTGATGATAAACTTCAAGTATTGATTGATGAAATTGTCATAGTAACACAACATCTTGGTATTAGCATTGAATCTCCGGTTCCAATGAAACTAAAAAGTGATGCCTGATTGTCTTTTTTGCCATGATGTCTTGAAATGGCAAGTTTAGGCTCATTTTTGTGTACAATCATCTAAGTAGAAAAGGGTAAGGCAAGACAGAAATTAAATGAACAAAATAGATAGGAGGGAAGAACTCTAATTGAATCAAAAAGTTATTCATATATATATATATTTCATTTCCTTTTCATTTCTTTTTTCTTTTTCTTTTTTTTTTTAAACTTTCTACTTTCTTTTTTTTTTTTTTTCCTTTCCTTCCCTTTCCTTTCCTTCTCTATATCCATTCATTTCAATAATATGCGTGTCTCTAGTATATTGATTTCTATTGGTTTGATGATTTCTAGTGCTTATGGACAAGGGGTAAGTCCTACTGGTAAGAAAGATGGAACAGCTCTTTATACTGCTGGTAGAACATTACCTGCTGGTCAATATGAATTCATCAATCAAAAGAGCCTCTCCTTATCCATGTTGAATCCTCAAAATTTGCTTGAACCTTCTAAATCCAACAGTGATAATGTTTGGGAGTTGAGACAACATAAAAATACAAAATTCTTTTCTCTCCACTTGAATAATCAAGCCAATCTTGAAAAATGTGTCTCTACTCGTTGGGTAAAAAAAAAAAAAAAATAGACTAAATCAAAAAAAGGATGATCTAATATATTACATATATAATTATTAGACTGTTGGAGATAAAAATTCAAATGGTGGGTATCCTGATGCTGCAGTGGTAAGAAATATATACAAAAAAAAAAACGATTTTTCTTTATTTATTTCAATCATCATTCATCTTTTATATATATATATATATATATTTTATATAGATGTGGCAATGTGAAATAGATGGATCTCAACCTAAATCCACTGGCGGTTATCAAAAAATCTATCCACCCAAACAATTGTGGCTTGCCGTACCTGATCAAAAAGTACGAGGTCAATATAAGATTGTTTCTGCTTCTCATCTTTATGATATGGTTCCTCGATGTATCTCCAGTGTTACCATTGAAGGCGGTACCACTCTTACCGAATGTAAAATCGACACCAATGATCCCAATCTACTTTGGACTATCAAACAACACTAAATAAAAATAAGACTTTCATTTCCTTGTCCCACTGTAATGAATAAAGTAAAATGGATTCAAAGTTTATTTTTTATATATATTTGTCTTTTTTTTCTATTTATTGTATGATGATAAGAATAATAATAAGACTAGAATAATAAGAAAGAAAGAAAAAAAAGAATGAACTAAACTAATACAAGAGATTGATATAATGCTTGATGTCAAAAGAACCAAAAGAGGTAAATAAGAATGAATGTAACACAAATAAAATGATGATAAAGAAAAAAAAAATAAGGAAAATCCCAAAGGAAGAATAAAAAAAAAAAAAAAAAAAAAGGGAAAAAAAAAGGAGAAAGAGAAAAGGAGAAAAGTTGTCAAGAGAAAAAGGAGAGTTCTTCAAATATACCACAGACCAGCCGCTTGTAAGGATTCCCGTTTCTTGTCACCAATACGATAATTTGCATGTACCATCATAGGGTTCATTCCATATTTTACTGGTACTTGTCGTTCAAAATACATTCTTCCATGAGGAAACAAGAATAAATCCAAGAGAGCCACTTTACTGTTTTGATAATTCAAATCCATATCATCAATTACACGGTTCATTGCACGTTGTTGAGTCACTTTAGGTTCACGATCTTGAATAGTAATAGAATCGGCCAAAATACGTTTACTTGTTATTGTAGGACGCATCACATAAAATCCGGAATTGAGAATTTTTTGTTCAGTTTCTTGAGTAAAGAGCATTTCAGTTGATTTACGAGAGTCCAATTTCATCATCAAGTAATTGTAGATAGAGGTTGAAGTAAATACAATATCCACATCACTAAACCATACAGTTATGTCCATATACATTAATCGTTCTACCACCAAAGATTTGGAGTGTGTAATGGGTGTATAATGAACATCTAACCATTCAGCCATACCACTATCTAGTTTTTGATGGAACCAATCTTGAGGTATTTGCACTACATGTTCACCATATCCTTTTTCAGTCATAATATCTACCAATTCTTGATCAATGGCAAATACAAGATACTTTTTATCAAGTCCAGTACGTTCCAAAGAAGCAATCCAATTCAAAGTATAATTGCCCATACCACCATTGGCTACAGCAGTCAATAACACCTTGTCCTTTTTATGTTTCATAATATTTTTGTTGACCATATCTTGAATATTTTGAGAAGGAGTATCAAATGTTTTGGGAATAAATTCATCTTCACTTGTAGGTTTAGTTTCTACTTGTACTAGATCTTCAGCTTCAGGTTCATCATTGGCAACATCATCTTCATTAGTGGTACCAGTTGGAAACAAGTCAGAGGAAGACGTGGTTTCAGCATCAAAATCAGTAGCAAAAATATCAGATGAAGGAGAATACACTCTAGAACTAAAAGATATAATAGAAAGAAGAAGAAAGATACCTAATAAAATGGCAATCGTTCTTCTCCTCAATATCCATTCTGTCGCAGACATATTTTTTTAAATATATAAAATGGTAAAGTCAGGTGATATAAAGTAAATAAATAAAGAAAGAAAAAGAAAGTAAATCCCGGGAAAGAAAAGAAAGAAAAGTTTTTTATTTGAAAAAAAAAAATGAGGTACTAGGCAAAAATTGGGAAAGACTCCTACCAAAATAAGAAAAGGATAATCAAGGAAATTTAAACTCATTTTATCCACCCCCCCCCCCTTTCTTTTGGTTGTTCTTTTTTTTTTTTTTTTTTTTTTTTTTGATATAGTTCATGCTGTCGTAGCTACCGATAGACCGGAATATGAAAATAATAGTTCCTTTTCGTTTCAAAAAAAAAAAAAAAAAAGTTCGCACGTACTTTTTCTTTTCTTTTCTTTTCTTTTCTTTTCTTTTCTTCCTTTTCTTTTCTTTTTTTTTTTTTCTTCCTTTCAATCAACGATTTAACAATGACAAATACTATTTCTGTGGTATCTCCTACTACTCAGAAAGTCCTTTTTGAAATCCCTTGTTTAACTTCTGAACAAATTGACCAAAAAGTACAACAAGCCAATGCAGCATTCCCTAGTTGGAAAAAGGAAGGTGTAGAAAAACGTGTCAAGTTGATGGAACGTTTCTTGGAACTATTTGCTGAAAAAAAGGAACAAGTAGCTGAAAGTATTGCTTCTCAAATGGGTCGTCCTAAACGTTATGGTGCTGGTGAAATTAATGGTGTTGTTGAACGTGCTAGTTATATGATCTCTGTGGCTCAAGAAAGTTTGAAGGATGATATTATTGAAGATAAACCTCAAGTGAAACGCTTTTTACGCAAGGAACCTCTCGGAGTCGTGTTTATTATTGCTGCATGGAATTATCCTTATCTTACTATAGGTAAAGGACCGGAATCTGAACCTTTTTGTGATAAAGGTAAAAATATGTTCTAACTTTATTCTTTTTATATATAATAGTAAACAATCTTATCCCTGCTTTACTTGTTGGCAATTGTGTTTTATTGAAACAATCTCCTCAAACACCAAAATGTGCTGATATCTTTGTAGAAACTTTACATGAAGCTGGTGTACCAAAAGATGTAGTGCAAGTTGTTCATGTTGATGATCAAGGTGCAAATACTTTAGTGCAACATCCTGGTATTCAATTTGTCAATTTTACTGGTAGCGTGGCTGTGGGAAAGAAAATTCGTCAATCTATTGGTGACAGTCAACGTTTGATAGGTAAAAAAAAAAAAAAAAAAAAAAAAAAAAAAAAAAAAAAAAAAAAAAAAAAAGGACCATAATCTAATATATCTCTTTATTAATGTTAATTAGGTTCAGCAATGGAACTTGGTGGTAAAGATCCTGCTTATGTCTTACCTGATGCCAATATTGATTATGCTGTGGAAAATATTGTGGATGGTGCCTTTTTCAATTCTGGTCAATGTTGTTGTTCTATTGAACGATGTTATGTTCATGCTGATGTTTATGATGCCTTTATTGAAAAAGCTGTGACCCTCACTCAGGTAATTTTATTTTTATTTTGTTGATGGAAGATGAATTCATCTTTTTTTTCCTATTTTTGATTTGTTTTAGAAATATGTTCTTGGTGATCCCAATGATGACAATGTTACTCTTGGTCCTATGGCTAACATTCGATTTGCCGAAAATGTTCGATCTCAATTGAACGACGCAGGTAAAAAAAAAAAAAAAATAGACTCAGAAAAACCTTATTTTTAAGCATATTAAGCTGACAGAGTTATTATTCTCACCATAGTTGAAAAAGGTGCCAAATTATTGATTGATACTGAAAAGTATTTCCCTCTAGATAAGGTAAATGTGAGAAAAAAAAAAGAAAAATGATGTTTATGAAAAAAATGAATGATGGATCTAATTATCGATCTTTTCTTTTTCTTATTTAGCCTGGTACTTCATTTGTTGGTCCTCAAATTTTGATCAATGTCGATCATTCTATGACAATTATGAAGGAAGAGGTAAGTTATCAATTATTTATCATTAAAATCATACATAATAATTTATGTATTTTAGACTTTTGGACCTGTGTTGGGTATTATGCGTGTTGAATCGGACGATGAAGCTATTCAATTGATGAATGATTCGAATTATGGATTGACAGCTAGTATCTGGACTTCTAATCCTGACAAAGCTATTGAAATTGGTGATCGTATAGAAACTGGAACTTGGTTTATGAATCGTTGTGATTATATTGATCCTGCCTTGGCTTGGGTTGGTGCAAAAGAAAGTGGACTTGGATTTTCCATGAGCAAGCAAGGTTTCTCTCAATTCTTTAGGTAAAGAATGATTGAATATATATAATAACAGATATTGATTATTACCTTTTTTTTTTTTCTGATTTGTAGACCCAAATCCTATCATTTGAAATTAGTCCAATCTTAATATTATTTATATATTATTGAAATAAAAAAAAAGTTATGGTTGTCTTTTTAGATCTATGCTGCGTATTGGAACCAAAAACGGGACGCGGAGTTGTAATCACTGCGTCGTATACGTACTTTTTTTTTTCTGCTTGTTGTCTTTTCTCTTTCTTTTTTCTTTGTATTTTACTTTTTTTTCTTTTTTTTTTTTTTTTTTTTTTTTTTTTTTTTTTTTTTACACTATACATTTATATAATCATGGGTATCCCAAAATTTTTTAGATGGATGAGGTAAGTGATGATGATAAAAGATATTAGTTATTCAATGCAAATATTTAATTATCATTATTTTTGGTTCCTCATCAGTGAACGTTATCCTATGTGTTCACAATTGATCACTGAAAACCGTATTCCTGAATTTGGTAAGTTACTCTCTCTATATATATTATTTAAGATGAAAAATGTGTTTATCTTATAAGTATCATGTATATATAGACAACTTGTATTTAGATATGAATGGTATTATTCACAATTGTTCACACAACAATAATGAAAGTGCCCATTTTCGTATTTCGGAAGAACAAATTTGGATTGGTATCTTCAACTATGTGGATCACTTGTTTGCAAAGATCAAACCCAAGAAAACTTTCTTTTTGGCTATTGATGGTGTCGCTCCTCGTGCAAAAATGAATCAGCAACGATCTCGACGGTTTAGAACAGCAAAAGATGCCGAAGACGCTAGAAGACGAGCTATTAGCAAAGGCGAAGAATTACCTGAAGAAGATCCTTTTGACAGCAATTGTATTACTCCTGGTAAGAGGCGGATAATTTTTTATTTCTATTTATTTCTGTATATGGCTCTCTTTTAACTTCTATCTTACTATTCTTTTTCTAGGAACCGCATTCATGAAGAAATTGACTATGCAATTACGTTATTTCATTTCCAAAAAGGTATCTGAAGATTCACTTTGGCGTGATGTAGAAATCATCTTATCTGGTCCTGAAGTTCCCGGTGAAGGTGAACACAAGATCATGGAATACATTCGTTTATCCAAGGCTCAACCTGACTATAATCCCAATACAAGACATTGTTTATATGGTTTGGATGCGGATCTAGTCATGTTAGGTTTATTGAGTCATGATCCTCATTTTGCTTTGTTACGTGAAGAAGTAACTTTTGGTGGCAAGAAGTCTCGTCATAAATCTGTCAGGTAAAAGAAAATCAACAATAGAAAAAAGTAACAATATTACAGAGAAATCTTAACCATCTTGCTTTTTTTTTTTTTCTAAATATCTATATATAGTTTGGAATCTCAAAACTTTTATCTCATGCATCTATCTCTATTACGTGAATACCTTGATAAGGAATTCCGATCTCTGGATGGTGTCTTGTCTTTTGATTATAATTTGGAACGTATCTTGGATGATTTTATCTTATTGGCTCTCTTTGTTGGTAATGACTTCTTACCTAATCTACCCAATCTACATATCAACGAAGGTGCTCTTGGTCTCATGTTCAACATTTACAAGAAAGTCCTACCTAATTGTGATAGCTATATTCAAGATGCTGGTAGAGTGAATTTGACTAATATGCAACTTGTATTGAATGAATTGGCTCAAACTGTTGAAAAAGAAGCTTTTGAAGCTGAATTGGTGGATTCTCTCTATATTGGTGGTAAACAACAAGCTGATTTTGAAGAAATGCATCGACTGGAAAAGAAACAAAGGAAGAAGAAGGAACTAGGTATAGAATTAAAAAAAAAAAAAAAAGAATGGCAGTGAACTAAATTTTTTGTTGTATCTCTTTTTTTTTTTTTTTCTTGGATTATTCTTTAGTATTGACTCCTACACAACGTGATATCTTTGAAAAACTCAAAGAATTTGTATTGGCTCATAAACCTGGCAAATCTGAAGCTCTTCATTTTCCACCTGATCTCAAAGCTGTGGATCGAAGATTTGTTGAAATGGTATCTGATGACCTTGGATTGGAAGCTGCTATTGAATACTCTAATGAAGACGATTCCAAACATGTTTATGTGGAAATCAATGAAAGTGATGAAAGTGATGAAAGTGAGGAAACAGAAGATGAAGTGGATGAAGAAGCTATAGCAGCACGTGATCGAGTCTTCAATAAATACGATAATGCACCTGTGGTAGCCGAACTATCAGCTGAAGAAATCGAACAACAAGAAAAAGACAAGGCTGATCAAAAATTCAAACAATGGAGGGCGGATTATTATATGGTAAAGAATGAAGAAAAAAAAATAATACATAAAGATAAAACCATATTAACTCTACCTTTTTTTTCTTAGGAAAAAATGAATATCGATATTGATAATGAAAAGGAAATGGATGCCTTGATTGGTTCTTATATCACTGGTATTCAATGGGTACTACATTACTATTATGATGGCGTTGTTTCCTGGGGTTGGTTCTATCCTTACCACTATGCTCCAAAAATATCTGATCTGGTCAATATTTCCAAGTATCAAGATATTCAATTTGAACTTGGTCAACCGTTCAAACCTTATGAACAATTGATGGGTGTTTTACCTGCTTTGAGCAAAAAGTTACTTCCTCCTGCCTATCAAGTAAAGTATAATGAATATGTTTAATTACAAATCATACTGAAGGATTCTCTCTCTTTTATATGTATATCTATATATTCCTTTTTATTAGGAATTGATGACGGATCCTTCTTCGCCTATTATTGATTTCTACCCTCGTGATTTTGATTTAGATATGAATGGCAAGAAACAAGATTGGGAAGCTGTGGTGAAGATTCCTTTTATTGATGAAAAACGCCTTTTGGAAGCGATGGCACGAAAAGAAGGACAATTAACCAAGTTTGAACGTGAAATTGCAAGATTCGGTGACAGTTTCAAGTTCGTATATGAAGCTATACCTGAAGATGACGATGAAGCTTCCAAGCATGTGTATCCAAGTCCTTTGCCTGGTGTATTTCCTGACATTCATCATTGTTGTGCTCGTCAAGTACTCTATCATCTACCCACTTTGGATAACAATATCACTCTCCGAAAAACTTTGTTGTCTGGTGCCAAATACGGTAAAGAATCTTTAGCTGGTTTCCCTACTTTAGCCACCATCCCTCATTCAAGTACTCTCAGTTTCCACAATGTCAAGGTGTTCCAACAAGATAGCAAGTAAGTGAAAAGATAGATTAATCTTCCCTTTTTTTTTATTAATTTTTATTCATTTTGTTTTACTTTTTATTCCACTAGGAACGAGACAGTTGTTGTCAAACTCCATGATCGATTTGCCAACATGAAAACAGATGAAATTGCAAAATTACTTTTGTACAAGCGTGTATTTGTCCGTAAGTTGATGGGAAATAAAAAAAAAAAAAAAAAAGAGGCTAAAAAAAGCTCTACTCTTTATAGATTATCCTTATCTTCAAGAAGCTGTGGTGATTGCGGTATCCAATGAAACAACCAAGTACACACTCAAGATTGCAAACAAAAAGCGGATTGTGAGAGAAACTCCTCTTGATGAAGAAGGTCAGAAAGATTGGTCTAAACTTACTGGCCGTGCAGAATACTTATCTAGCAAGCGCTTTGGTTTGGAAATTGGGACTACAGTGACGGCTCTCCACGTGTGTGTCCTTCGAGGTATGAAACGGACAGAAGAAGGAGCTCTGATAAAAGAATATGTTAGTCCCGCTCAAGAAGAAGTGGTACCTGTTCAAGCTGCGGTGATGAAAGTAGTGAACGAAGATCCTCGTACTAAAGAACATAAAGCTCCTCCTGTGTCTATCGGATATCCTATCAATAGTAAGATCTTCCTTTTGGGTGGTGGTGGACGTTACGGAACAATGGGAACTATTACGGGCCATTCTCAAAATAACCTTGATATTCAAATGGTGGTACCTGTTTTATCTCCTCGCGAACTTACACAGCCTACTTTTGGTATTGAAGCTCGTTCTCATCAAGATCAAGTATCTCAATACATGTCCTCCTTTGTTCTGGCTGAAGCTGTCAAAATTAATGCATTGACTCTATCCAAAATTACCTCATCATTACAAATTATGGATCGAAATGCGCAAAAGGTCAACGTTGGCCTCAGTCTCAAATTTGAAGCTCGTCAACAAAAAGTCATTGGATATACTAGGAAAAATGGTGCTGGTCATTGGGAATATTCTTCAAAAGCGGCTGCATTGATCAAGGATTATGTCACTACATTCCCGGAATTCATTGTATTAGTTCAAGGTGGCAAAAATGGAGGTACATATGGTGATTTTCATATTTATACACACACAAAGAAAAGACAAAAAAAAAAAAACCTGATGATTCTTTTTTTTTTTTTTTTTTTTTTTTGGTTGTTATTTTAGGATTTGGTGGTATGCTCAATGCTTCCGATTTTGCTTGGACTGAAAATGGATCTGCAGAAATCAAACGGATGAGACAATGGTTGAAAGAAAGAGGCGTAGATAGTTTACCAACAGCACCGTTGTCTGCCGAAGAATTTGAAGAGGTAAAAAAAAAAAAAAAGGTTCATGGGTACAAATATGTGCATGTGTTTTTTTGATATAATGACTAATCACCCTTTTTTTATGTATATATTAATGACTAATCACCCTTTTTTTATGTATATCTATATTTATTTAGCCTGTGATCAAAGTGATGGAAAAAGCAGCAGAAGAATACCATACTTATTGGGAAAATCTTGACTTTAAACGTGTCCTTGTCAAAAACACACCTCGAACTGTCCTTTTACGACCTGAAGATGCCGCCACCAAACTTCATGATCAGATATTCCAACTTGGTGATCGTGTGACCTATGTTTTAGAAAGTGGTGCTGTACCTATTGATAGCAAGGGAACAGTGGTTGGTGTTCAAGAAAAGGCAGTGGAAATTGTATTTGATACTCCATTCATGGGTGGACAAGATTTATCTGGAAGGTAAGAGAATATATATATTATATACAAACATAGATAGGACTCATATTTTATGTTTATGAATAGATGTTCTGAATATCGTGGATTGGTTCTTCCATTCTATGCTGTTCTCAATCTTACGGTGCCTCAATTCGCCTTTGAACCCATGGGGCAAAGACCTACCCATAGTAGTAACAAAGAAAATCGCCAAACACCGTATCAACAAAAACAGCAACAACAACAACAACAACACAAACAATACCGTGGTCATGGTCAAGATGGACAACAACAAATACAACCTCAGCGGATCATGAAGAAAGCAAACGGTCCAACTTCATCCCGGGATTAGAGGAATCTTCTATCCATTTTTTTTTAATTTTTTTTAATTTTTTGTTTTTTGTCCATTTCCCTGATTTATTGTTATAGTTGTAGATTTTTTTTTATTACTATTGTAGTTAGTGCAGAAATTGTATATTATCAATCAATCAATGATCCGGGGATCAAATAAACGTTATTTTTTTGAACACTAATCACAGACTGCTTTCAGCAACATCTAGAATATTACTAGGAACCAAAAAAAAAAAAAAATCAATATTGATTAATGATTGACCGTGATCTGTCGATTGATGATGTTGATGATAAATGATGATGGATAAATGGTAGGCAAAGGTGATGATGAAAAATGAGATTCAACTAATAGATTTTAGACTTAGAATGTTTATTAACGTAGAATAAAATGTAATCATAATGTATTAGGGGTGTGAAGAGTACCAGCACTCGAAAAAGAAAACAATAAATAAAGTAGATGGAGTGGCATAAAAAAGATGAATGGATTAATAATGTTAAAAGAGTTACTACGTGTAAGGGAATAAAGGAAAGATATCAAGGGAGATAAAAGAAGCTGAGGGGAATAATCACTAAAAAAACAAAAACTACAAAATAAAATCATTGACATGTTCACTAAGGATAATATCAGATACAGCCATCATAACTTGTTGAAGTAAAAAGGCATCGGTGGCATCGGTAAAATGAGTATAAATTCGTTTTTTGGAGTTTTGATTTAATCGTTCGAAGCGTTTCTTGAAATAGGCCTTTGTTTGTTCTAGATTGTCATCCGACCCTACAATATATATATATATATAATCAATAACGTCATTAAGTTTCGTCTTTCAATTATCCTACCAGTATAATCCACAAAGTAGTGAGACACTGGAGATATCAGGATCTTTCTTTTGAATACGTCAATCTTGTTCAATAAAATAATCATACTTGTTGTAGTAAACCAAGAAGAGTTGCAAATGGTATTGAACAACATCAAGGCTTCATGCATCTATTCGTGTATATATAAAAAAAAAATAAGTGAGTTTCTCGCATCAATAATATCGAGCAAAAACTAAAAAAAAAGAAATCCTATTCGCATCACTAAATTGATGGTACCTGATTCTGTAAGGTAAAAAAAAAAAAAAAAAAAGTTAACAACAATTTTCTCAAATGATAATCATAATACTTACGGAATCTTGATCTTCAATCAATACTTGATCATATCCACTAATAGCTACTACAAACAGAACAGCAGTAACATTTTCAAAGTAATGTAGCCATTTCTTACGTTCACTACGTTGACCACCAACATCAATAAGATGATACATAAAAGGACCAATAGAAAACTTGATACCTGTGATGCCGGTTGTTTTTACTCTTGATCGAATAATATCTTGATCTGAGGGAACGTAATCTCGATCCCAAAGCACTTGTAATTTTTGAAAAAAGCTAAATAAATAAATATAATAAAAAAAAACATTTAGTTCATAAAAGTAAATATATATTCTATGAATATCTATACTTGCTAAGGTAAATTATCTTGAAAGGCCATAGTAGTACTTTGATGATAAGCTCGTTGTAAACCACCATCTAACCAGAGAGCTTGTAAAGGTTCTAAATATTCCAAAGGAAAAGGATGATGATGAAGATCAAGATTATTTTCAAATAAAGGCAAGTAGACCTACCATATCAAGAAAAAAAAAGTATAGTTAATAAATCTTAATTCGTGCTACTAACTAAAAAAATATGCATGTCCAAAGAAAGAATCAATGAGGATCTTTTTTTTTTTACCTCTAAGGTAGGATCATCCAATACATTGGAAGACGTTTTCAAAGCCAAGATCATCATTTGCATAGATGAATAGATGTTTTCATAGATAATGGATCGATATTGTAATCTTTCTTGTTCACGAAATCCTGCAGCATGGATTAATCGCATTTGTTTGAGAACTGTGGATTTTCCTACGAGAATAACATTGATGAGTATCTTTCTTTTATTTTATTTTAAGAAAGAACTTCAATAAATTGCGTATATTTACCTGATTCGCCAGCACCTATACACATTCCCAATCCAAACAAAGAAAGTTAAAAAGACATGAATATGTGAGATACAGAAATTGATATACATATATATATATATTACCTAAGAGCAAGATCTTGATTTCTTTTTTCATACGCTTATGATCTCGATGAATTTTCTTGTCAATAGTTTTACTTGTTTCCACCTTTGCATTATGTTTGGAAAGTAAACTTGAATGATTCCCCATGGTTTCTAGATCTATACAACTAAACTATACCCCAAAAAAGAAGTTATTCGACATGACCCGTGTTTCATATATTTTTACCTTAATAATAGAAGTTTCCTTTTCTATCTTTATGTTTTTTTTTTGTTGTTGCTTTGGGTTCAGTGATGGAAACGTATGTGTTGAATCAAATAGTCAATAACACGTTGAACAAAGAAAAATAAAAAAAGAAAGAAAGAAAGAAGAAGAATAAAAAAAAAAAAAGGCGGTGCAACGAATCAAAAAATCGGGTAGGCATGTAACACAGCTGTTGAAAGAGAAAAAAAAAGGGGGTGGATTCTTTATTGCGACAAACTAAAAAAAGAGGTATAACTATAATAAAAAGTAAATAAAATAAAATATACAAAAATATGAACCAAAGTTTTCTTTCATCCTTCTTCATTGAGTCGAGATTGGAGTATTGAGGTCACCTCGTTCCATGGTAGGCACGGTTCTTATGGATTTCCATCGACGTACAGCGGGTTTTTGATTGGTCATTGGCATCGATAGTTGTCGTTCACGTTTAATATTTGAATTTGTTGTTGATCTATCCAACCATGATGGCTTGTTGCTTTGTTGTAAAGATTGTAAGAAGGATGATGATGTACTTTTGCTGGGTAATGTCTTGTTTCTACGAATGCTACTACTACTACTAGTACTTGTGGATGATATTGATGGTTCAGGATATAATGATGTTGGTTGTTGATTGACTTGAACCATTGATTTTGTTGCAAGTGGATGATGATGATTATTGTAAAACGATGGTGAGGAACTGAGAGGTAATGAAGTCATTGATTTTGTATCCAGAAGAGTACTAGTCATAGATGATGATGTAGAGGAATAGAGAGGATGTATATTACTATTGTTGTTGTTGTTACTATTTGAAGATGATGAAGATACAATCATATCGGCTGGTGAAGATATTGAATGTTGCATGATAGGTGAATGTGGTAAAGACCGAAGAGGACATTCTAAAAAAAAAAAAAAAAAAAAAAAAAAGTCAGTAAATGGAATGAAATCACAATTCATAAATGATTACGTACCTGATTTTACAAATGGAATTCTTGAACTTGGCATTCGAAATCTGTTTTGATTTTCAATAAGATATTCTAAAACTAATTGTGATTCTTTGTAACCAGAAGGATTCAATGCATCATCAGGATGTGATAAAATACCCTATAAAAAAAAAGATGAGATTAAATACCAATTGAGGTTAGCAGGATGATGAATGATGATACTTACTGGAGCAAAAACAGATGCTAAGCAAGGAATATCCATACGAGTAAGATGGCTTGTTAGTGCAAATAGGCTGAGTAAATCCAATAAGTATAGTAATAAGAACTGATGTACTAATGGCATCTGATCAATAAGGTTTTGAAAGGCTTGAATTTTTGCATCTATCGAAGTAAAATCGGTTTCTAGAGTTTTAAATTCAAAAAAATCCATAAATGGTTTAGTCAACCGCCACACTTATTTTTATTTTTCTTTTTTTTTTTCTTTTTTGTTCTTACCCATAGTTGTCTTGAATTGTTGATGATATAATAAAGGAATAACTGGTTCAGGTAAATGATTCAAAAAACGCCGCATGACATTGGCTGCATCATGAACATTGAAGCCATCCCAACCCAAGTAAACTCCATATTGATGCTCAGGTGTATCAAAAAGAGATTGAAGTTGACCTATTCGTTTGGAACTACCAGATAATCGAAATATACCTTCCACTGTCAATCCTTTATATAAATAAAAGAATAAAATGAATAAATCATCCATCGTAACTAAATTAGTTGTGTCTTTTTTACCTTGTTCCTTCAAATAAGATCCACATTTTGCAACAATAGTAGGTATCACTGCCATACATGGTGTATTAGTAATATCATCATGATATGAAATGGTTGAATAAGCATATTGAATTGATTGTGATAATGGTAATCCAAATACAGTTTTATCTATATAAACAAAGATTAATTGTGAGAATATATATATATATATATATATATATATTATACCTTGAGTTGTAACTGGTTTATTTTCTAGTTTATTCGTTGCTGTCACTTTTTTCCACCACGCTTTCACTAGAGTCTTTTGAGTTGTTGTTAATCCATTGGGTTGAGTGTTATTGTCATGACTACTACTACTACTACTATTAGTACTATTATTACTACTATTACTACTAATAGTAATATCCTCTGTTGCTGTTGTTATCATTTCCATATTGAAACTGTTGTTTTCTTTTTAAATCGTATGTCGAAGATAGTAATGTATTTTTTTTTCTTTTTCTTTTTTGGAGAAACTTATGGTAAAGGAAGAAATAAAATAAAAAAAAAAAACAGAAAAAAAAAAAAGAGTAAGCAAAGAGAGAAGAAAAAAATAAAAAAAAAAAATAAAAAAAGAGAGAAAGAGGTAACCAGAGGTAACCTACTCTTTGTGGAATTGAACCGTTTTGAATTCATACTCAGTCTCTCTTGTTCTTTTTAATATGGTTCATCTCCACATTAACCGAAAACTATTGTAAACGAACGAAAATCTAGACCTTTTTGTTTTCATGCGGAGAGTAAATCATTTGCATTGCAAAAAAAAAAGTAAAATCAAAAAAAAATAAAAAAAGATTATAAACATGCTATTTTTTTTTTATTGTGTTGTTTGTACAAAAAGAGAGAAAGAGAAAATAAATATTAAGCTTGATCAAGAGCCAAAATAGAATTTCTTTTAAAGGAAAAAAGTATGACTACATCATCATCTGTCTATTATACTATTTACAAAAAAGAAAAAAAAAATGACAAAAAAAAATAATGAAAATGATGGGTTGGATGACCAAAAAAGAGAGAAAGAGGCTTTGATTTAATTGGAGAGTTCACCTTGTCGTTTTCCTGATTTAGCAATGTTAGTGGGAGGAGAAGTATTGGTGTTACATGATGGCACCCGATGAAGCTGAGCTTGAGTGTATTGAGAGAGTTGTCGGGCATATTCATACTGTGCCATTTTAAGTAGATGATCTCTTCTAGATAAATTCTTGTTGATCATTTGTACTTTATGTATACCTCGGATATTATTGTTGCGACTACTATATGAAGGTGATTTACTAATATAAAGCATATCAATTGTTGTATTGTGATGAATAAAATCGTTTTCCTAATAAGGAGCTTTGAAAAAAATAAAAAAAATAAATAAAAAAGAAATGTATATAATAGAAAAAAAAAAAAAAAGTAAAAGAATGGGAGAAGAGAGAGAGGGGTTCTGAACCTTTCTGCCTTTTTATATAACCGATTACTCAAATCAAAATCAAAAACAAAGGGACAGGATGATATAATAAACAGTGATTTAAAAATGGATAATGATGTCATTTCAGCCTAGACATGGGCTGACAACCGAGGGAGTTTATGAGACCCAATCATCTCAAGTATTCTTTTTTTTTTTGTCTCCTTACTGCCTTTTAACCCCCGCATTTCAAAGATTATATGACGATGGCAGTATGAAGCACCAATCAGCTTTTTCTTCCTTCGTCATTGTTTTTTTTCTTGCTACTGTTACGGAAAAGCTATACATTCAAGAGCCGACTCTTACTTTTTTTCGCGGCATCAACTGCAACTGATTTCTTTTTTTTTTTTTTTCGCATAGCTTCTTTTTTTTTTTTTTTTTTTTGTATCTCTCTATCTCTTACCGCCATCTTTAAATAAAATAATCTTTTATATCCAACTTATTATTATCACTCTATATCACTAGTTTATTTTTTTTTGTCTAACTGTGGAATTAATTTGTCACATATGACTCAAGTTCAGATTCCTTTTCTACATTCACCGTTTAAAAAGACAGATGATATTGACTGGACTCGACCTTTGAAACGATATATTTCTCAAGTATATCAACAAAATCCAGAAAACTATAATGAAGAAACCTATACTATTCATCGTTTACGTCAAGATATTCGTGGTGCTGGAAAAGATCTTACTGGACGTGATTTGTTATATAGATACTTTGGACAATTGGAACTACTGGACCTGAGATTCCCTGTAGATGAAAAACATGTCAAAGTCTTATTTACTTGGTAATACTAACTAACAATAAGATATATTCTTTACTTATAGATATATATATATATATATATATATATATATATTATATTATTAGGTATGATGCTTTTAGTGGTCGTAGTACATCTCAATATTCGCTCGCCTTTGAAAAAGCAAGTGTCATCTTCAATATTGCAGCAACATTATCTGCCATTGCCGCGTCTCAGAATAGGGCAGAAGCTGATGGACGCAAACGAGCCTTCAACTTTTTTCAAGCATCTGCAGGTCTTTACCAATATATTAACGACAACTTTTTACATGCACCGTCTCAAGATTTACATAAGGACACAATTAAGCTTTTAATGGATATCATGCTGGTTCAAGCTCAAGAATGTTTTTTGGAAAACAGTCTCCGGGAAAAGAAGAAGGATAGTTTGGTAGCTAAACTCGCTAGTCATACAGTATGGGTCTATGGAAACCTTATTGATCAAATCAACGATGCTATTGCTCGTGGTGTGAGCATTGACAAATCATGGCTTCTCTTGTGTCAATGTAAACAAAAGTATTATCAATCCTCAGCTCAACTCTATCGTGCTAATGCTTGTCTGACAGAAAATCAGTATGGTGAACAAGTCTCTCGTTTAAAATGGGCTGAAAAGTTGGCAAAAGAAGGACAGAAACTGGCATTACAATTACCACAACAACCACAACAACAACAACAACACGCACTTTGGAATAATTCAGCAGCTGCTTTTATAGGTTTGTCTTCAGTTGGTGGTAGTGTTAGCAATGGAAATGGTCCTCAAAGTTTCGCTAACCATTCATCATCATCCTCAGTAGGCTCAACACCCTTTCCTCATGATGGTGGCTCCTCTTTGAATGATCTCTGTACAACCATGGCTGCTCTCTGTTCTGAAAAATTAACAACTGCTGAACGTGACAACGATATGATATATCATGATCAAGTACCTCAAGAATCTGTTTTAGTACCAATTGATCGACTCAAAGCCGTCAAGGCGGTTCCTATTAGTGATTTGTATGGCAGTGTGGATGCCAGCCGTGTTATTGGTCCTGATATTTTTAATCGTTTGATTCCTTTATCTGTACATGAAAGTGCATCCTTATACTCTGAAGAAAAGGCCTCTCTGGTTCGACGTGAAATGGAACGATGTGATTTTGCAAAAGCGGAATTGACAACCTCGATGGATTATATGAAACTTCCCAGTGCTTTGGACAAATTCAAAAGACCATATCATAGCACCAATGACAATAATGATAGCGCACTTTGGGATAGATTTGGTACACCATCCGCGGAAGTGAAAAAATGGGCTACCGATATTCAATCAGCAGAATCAAGCAAAGATGATGCCGTACAATATCTTTTGGATTGTTTACAACATTTGGCAAGCAACAGCAAATCAAAATTGGATCAATTATCACTTGAGCTTGATGCAGAAATGGGAGCCTGTGAAAATATGCGGGTAAATCAAAAAAAAAAAAAAAACAATATGATGGAAGAAATAAATGATAGTTACCCATTTTTTTTTTTTTATAGGTTAAATATGGTGACGATTGGACCCAGGTACCTTCCGGTACTTTATCAAAAGATTATCGACAAGACATTCGCAATCATCGTGAAACATTACTCAACGCTGAACTATCAGATTCCCAGGTGATACAAAAGTGGGATGCTATTGCCAAGGACATTACCATTTTGAAACAAGGTCCGTCAGGTACCTCTTTGGATGCGTTGTTCAGTGATACATTAACTCGTTTTTTGGATGATACAACAACAACAACTACTACTACTACTTCGATGATGGACTTGCAAATTGATGTTGGATTAGGGAACAAGAGTATGGAACAAAAAGTTGCTCGTGTGGAAGCCGTTTTAGACAAGCTTTACAAGTTACAAAAAGATCGTGAAAGTACCCTTGAAGATATGAAAGAAAAGGTAATTTGTTTGCTAGAATCTTTTTTTTTTTTTTTTTTGAATTCATCCATTTAAATTTATTTATTTATTTAATAGACTCTGAAAGATGATATCGTACAACTTCTTATACTTAACAAGAAAAATAGTAATGCGGAACAACATATCTTTACAACTCAACTCGAAAAATACCAATCACATCAACAACGTATTTCAGCCTCCATTCATCAACAGGAACAAGCTATACAGGAATTAGGAACGGCTTTCAAAGCATTGATGGGCATGGAAGAAGCACAGAAACTTCAATCTCAGTGGGACAATGCTGAAAGACAATATATTTCTGTCATCAAACAATTGAATGCAGCCTATGTTGGGTACAGTGAAGTTAAAGATGGACTCAGGTATATTCAAAACAGATGGACTGGATGACAGAAAACATATTTATCCTGATATATATATTTTATCATCCTTTGTATAGGAACGGCATCGATTTTTATACCAATATCTCCGAGGTGGTGGATTCACTTTTAAAAAGCGTACAAGTATTTATTCGTGAACGCACAGAAGAACGTGAAGCACTTGCCGATACCATCGAACGCCAACGTAGCACTACTGAGCAATTACTCTTGAAGGATAGACTTGGACAATACAGCTCACAACAACAAGATACTGGATTGAAAGCCACAACATCAGCAACGGAAGCGACAGAGGAAGATTCTGATGACTATATACGGGAACAATTGGAACGGAAAATGAAAGAATTGTCTACTCAGTCCCAACCAGTACCACCTATTGATACATCAAGATTATCATCATCAACAGGAGCTAGTCACTACAACTATAATCCGCCTTCAACAAGTCAACAACAACAACAACCAATACCTTCCTATCCACCAACAACCTATATCAATCATGATACACCTCTACCCCAACAACAACAACAACAACAACAACAACAACAACAACAACAACAACAACAACAACAACAACAACAACAACAACAACAACAACAACAACAACAACAACAACAACATTATCACATACCAGCTTATTCAACAGCAAGTTATACCGTCAGTGGATCACCTCTAGCACCACCACAACAACAACAGCAACCTATACCGACATATTCATCTATTGCTCATACCAGTAACATTCTGCCTTTAGCTCAACAACAACATCAACAACAACAGGTATTGACGTATTCTAATAATACATCTCCATCAGCTCAGCAATCTTTTCATCAAACAAGTCCTGGGAATATGACGCCTCTACCTAGCTCTCATCAACGCCAGTTGTCATACGATCAATACCCTTCACTCTCACCAGTTTCATCACTTTCTTCGTCACAAGCTCCATCCATATCATCATCATCAACAATGTTTCAACAACCAGCAGTAAACGTGATGCCATCCTTACCACCTGGACCGCAACATTCTTCATTAGGTCAACATCCAGTGATTGGTCAATATACTTCTTCATATCATCAGCAGCAACCGACACAGAAACCCATGTTACCTCCCAAACCACAAGAAGTACAAGGAGCAATGTTACCTTTGACATCTCCTTCATTACCATCATCTCCAGCTTATACAACAGCAACCCAATATGGATATCCTGGTGTATATGGTCAGCAACAGCAGCAACAATCTCAAGTATCTAACTCAGGAACTTCAATGGCAACAATGCGTTATCAACAGCCAATATCCGGGACATATCATCCAACCTATATACAAACAACAGGGTCATTGGCATCGTCTCAAGGAAACTATATGAATCAAGTGCCACAGCAGCAGCCACCACCCAATGAAACTAACTGGAACCAACCTCAGCCACCCCAGCAATATTGGTCACCCCTGGAACCACAACCATACCAAGCCAACAATAGTAACAACAATCAACCATCATTAATGGATTAATTTAGTTTAGTTAGTATTAGTTTGTTCAAAGTGGAAAAAAAAATGTTTTTTTTTTTTTAGTCAATAAAGATGTACGGTGACAACATGATGATGTGATGATGAAATATATTAGATGACTAATTTAGGTTTGATGTATGCTCAAGTCTATGGATGATCTGTAAGGGTTTATAATAAAAAAAATAAACGTGACACTGGTGATGAATCATAACGCGACTCAATGACCTAATTGATCCCCGCTTCATTTGGATGTTGCATGAATTCAATATGAAAAGAAATTGTTTCCCTCCTTCCCTTCCCCCCCTTCTTCTCCTTCATCATTTAGGAAAAGTTTATTTTATTTTGTCATTGTTTTTTTAGTGTGATGTTTAGTACTACCATTACTCCCTGTTCTTCATGGAACAAAAAAAAAATTTTTTTTCTCATTCATTATTATTCTCTGATTTTACGCATAAAAAAAAAGAAAAGGATCATCTTTTCATTGGTATTGAGATCTATTAGTGATATAAATAAGCATATTTCTTTTCATTCATCATCATCGTTATGTTTTCCAGGTTCAACAATGACAACACTAAAAAAAAAAAAAAAAAAAAAGTGAAATAATGAGTCTCCTTAATTGAGCGATCTCCCCATTCATATATGCTCACTATAATAAAAGATTATTTTTCCTTTCCCCTTTTCTTATACACTCCTTTTTTTGGGAAAAAAATTTCTATTCTTTGTTTTTTTTTTCTATGATATTTTTTTTTTCATTTCTTTGTTCTTTTTTTCAACCCCCCATAACTAGAGAACTAATAATACAATGGGCTGTTGTCAATCCAATGAAGTTCATGATGGTAAAGCACGAAATGAAGAAATCGAAAATCAACTCAAGCGTGACAAAATCAATATGCGGAATGAAGTCAAAATGTTACTGCTAGGTAATTTATCTATTATGCATCATCCTACTATCATCTTTTTATATATAAATATATATATATATATATATATTTCTCATTTTCCATCATCATTTTATGATCATTATTCATCATCATCACCACTCATCATGATATATACTAACCAATTCTGTTATAATACAAGGTGCTGGTGAAAGTGGTAAATCAACCATTTTAAAACAAATGAAGCTAATCCATGATGGCGGATATTCTAGTGATGAACGAGAAGCCTTCAAGGAAATCATTTTTTCAAATACGATTCAATCCATGCGAGTGATTCTTGAAGCGATGGATAACATGGGTGTGAGTTTGGCTGACACGAGTCCCATGATGCAAAATCAAGTGGCTATTATTCTGGACTTGCCTACTCAAATTGAACGTGAATTTTTACCTCCTGAAGTTACTCAAGCTGTTCGTACACTTTGGAAAGATCCTCATCTATTAAGTGTCTTTGAAAAAAGTCGTGAATATCAATTGAACGATTCCGCGAAATAGTAAGTTCTTTCTTTTCTTTCAAAAAAAAAGGAGGAGAATAGAATGAAAAATGAGGAGTTTTTTTTTTTTTTTCTTTGTTTGTACTAAAAAAGGAGATTTTTTTTGTTAGTTATTTTGATTCGATTGATAGAATTGGAGATAATAACTATATACCTACGGATCAAGATGTATTACGATCACGCGTTAAAACAACAGGCATTACTGAAACCACTTTTGTTATTGATGATTTGACTTATCGTATGTTTGATGTGGGTGGACAACGATCTGAACGTAAAAAATGGATTCATTGTTTTGAAAATGTAACTGCCATTATCTTTTTGGTTGCCATTTCCGAATATGATCAAGTCTTGATTGAAGATGAGACGGTGGTAAAAAAAAAAAAAAAAAAAAAAAAAAAAAAAAAAAAAAAAAAAAAAAAAGGATGGATTATATATATATATATATAGAATAGTTAATCATCATACATTTTATATATTGTAGAATAGAATGCAAGAAGCCCTGACATTATTTGATTCTATTTGTAATTCTCGATGGTTTGTTAAAACATCCATCATTTTATTCCTCAACAAGATCGATATCTTTAAAGAAAAATTACCTAAACAACCATTATCTGAAAGCTTCCCTGATTTTACTGGTAAAACCCTTCAACAAAGATTTTTTTTTCTTTCTTTCTTTTTAATTCATCATTTTCTTATGATTATCTTTATTTATTTACTTGATAGGTCCTGAAACTTATGATGATGCTAGTGATTACATTTTGAATCGATTTGTATCATTGAACCAATCTGATTCAAAGCAAATCTATACTCATTTCACTTGTGCTACTGATACTTTACAGATCAAATTTGTCATGGCAGCTGTAAATGATATCATTATTCAAAATAATTTGAGAGATGTTGGTTTATTGTAGTCATCATATTTTTCTACTTTTTTTTTTTCCTTTTCTTTACATCTTGAACAATAAATTGAACCCTTTTTTTTTTATTATATATACGATTTCCTTTTTTGTCTCTATTTTAAACTGCGGCTGTGACTGAAATGAACAAAAAGAGGGGGGGCTGTCATGATGTTTTTTCTTACTTTTTTTTTTCCTTTTCTTTTTCTTTATAATACATTATATCATGCCTTTACTTGATAAAATCAATTTACGTCCTATTACAAATTGGATCTCAACACGATCTTTCACAACTTCTCGATCAGTTTTATCAGAAACTACTAACAAGTCTACAACAGCACCTACTGGTGGATTATACCAATTCTTCGAAAACGGTGAAGCATTACCAAAACGAAACTGGACAGGTATAACCATGAAATAGAAAGAAAAAATAAAATAAAATTAGAATGCAAGAAAAAAAAATAAGAAATAAGAAATAATTTATTTTTTTTTTAAATATATTTTTGCTATAGGTCGTGCCTGGAAAGCAAGTGAACTTCGTTTAAAGTCATTCGAAGATCTTCACAAACTTTGGTATGTTTTGTTGAAGGAACGTAACTTATTAGCAACACAACGTGAAGAAGCAAAACGATTAAAAGTACACCGTTTAGTATGGACTAATGCTGGCCGTGTGAAGAAGGTAAAAAAAAAAAAAAAAAAAAAAAAGGAAATAGATTGGTTAAAAACATAATGTAAAATCATATCTCATTATTATTGTTATTATAGTGTCAACAATCCATGGCTCGTATCAAGTTTGTATTAAACGAAAGACAACGTGCTTATGAAGCTGCTTTGGAAAAACAACAATTAGCTCAAAAATAGATCATATCCCTCATTTTTTTTTATATACGTTAGAATCTTCTTTACATAGTCTTTTGTTATTTATTTTTCTTTTTTCTTTTTTTTTCATATTGTATACAATTGATGTTTATAATGCAAATAAAAACAACAACAATCATTTCCACTCATATCTTTTCTATCATATTGATGATATTGCCATTTTTGATATTTGTCTAAAAAAAAAAAAGCATCGACTTTGAAACGCCGCGTTCTTTTTTCTTCGTTTTTCTTTTTCATTAACAAAAAGATGATGACCTACTTGACATTATGGTTACTATGTCTATTAGGGATCTATTCCATACAAGCATTTCAACTCTCTGATCAAGACTCCATGTTCAAGGAAATGGTACAAGAGGCTAGCAATGCTTCGTTACTTTGGGGAACTTACCGACCCAATCTTTACTTTGGTACGCGACCTCGTCTACCTGAATCTCTTATGACTGGACTTATGTGGTTTGACGGTAGCCACTTTCAAGGTTTTCAACGTAGGTTTTTCTTATTTTTTTTTTTTTTTTTTATATATCATTATATTCACTTTTTCTTTTTATTTGGAAGGACTCCGACATGCTTGTGACCAAGGCGATGGTCTCACAGGTTATGGATATCACAAGCACAATGGAAGATCTTTTGCACAACAAAAATTGAATGATGGTCCAAGTAATATTGAAATCACTACTGAATTCATCAAGGTGCCTGGTGGTCGATACGGTAATATATATATATATATATGGTTTGTAGAGACTTGTTATTGACAACTTCTTTTTTTTTTTTCTACCTTCTCTTTCACTCTAATATTGTATAGGCGGTGACTGGGCTGTTCGCATTCGTGGTCAACCTATTCATCCTCATGGTAACTATACATTTCTCGTCAAAGAAAACGAAAGAAGCAGAAAAAGAAACAATTGATATTGATATTTACTTTCATAGTTCCCTCTACAACAAGTGCTTTCTTCTACTTTGGTCTCGAAGGAGCTGGTAGTATGGATATCGTTAGCAAAGTTTCATCCAAGGTAAGGAATATATAAATAAAATAAGAAACAATAGGATTGATCATCATACCCTAGGGACTTGCATCACCTGTCAAACTAGAAGGGGATACGCCTGATTTGGGTGACTTTGAAATCGAAATCGTAGATGGAACATCAAACCAATCTCCTCAAGATGGTATTGATCAAGACTTGTCCAAGACTCAATGGATCGGGCTTACTGTTCCTGAAGGAAATGTATGGAGGGCAAAAGGTAAAGCAAAAAAAAAAAAAGACAATACGAATCAATATCCTGTCTATTATTAACTATCATCATCTCTTTAAAGATATTATTGCTGAACAACTTTTGACTGCCGGTCGCTCAAGAGTCCAACAAGGTGCTGAACAAGATATCTTCTCCAGACCTCATGCTTATTTCACTCTAGGAAATCAATTGATAGAAGATGAAGGTGAAGTGGCCAATTTTTATGCTTTTCAAAAAGTATTTCGTGGTGAATTTCAGGTAATCTTTTTTTTTTATTAAATCATTTATTAAATCATTAATTTATTCTTATCATAGTTTGATGTCATCTTCCGTTCTCAAGATTCCCATAATAAACTCACTAGTAAGTATTTCTTGTCAATAGATAATAAAACCTCATTCTTGATTTTTCTTTTGTTCTTTGTCTTAGGTAACTCTCTTGACCATGAATTGATTGAAAAAGAACGCGAATTTGATGATCGATTTGAACAAAAGTTTCATTTACAAGAAAAAGGTTTCAACGAGGAACAGGTGGCTTTTGGGCAATTTTTACTCAGTAATCTCCTTGGTGGTATTGGTTACTTTTATGGATCTGCTGTGGTCGACCGATCTCACTCTCCTATGCAAGATGAAGAAACTTTTGCTGGTGAAGCTGTTCAATCTCAACTCACTGCTCCACAATCATTATTCTCTGCTACTCCAAGTCGTCCCTTTTTTCCTCGTGGATTTTATTGGTAAGGACATAATTTTCAAACTCTTTCACATTCTAATATGCCTTTTTTTTTTTTTTTTGTTTATACTCTCAGGGATGAAGGATTCCATCAGTTATTAGTAGGAAATTGGGACAATGATCTCAGGTATATAGAAACTTGGATTAGAGAAAATGTGACTATGACTTAACTTTTTTTTTTTTTTTAAATGCATAGTCTTGAGATTATCAAATCATGGGTGTCTTCTATTGATGAAAATGGTTGGATTGCTCGTGAACAGATTCTAGGTGATGAAGCTCGAAGCAAGGTACCTGCTGAATTTCAAACACAATTCCCTCATTATGCCAATCCTCCCACCTTGTATCTAGCTATCAAACGTTATGTGGATCGATTGAAGCAACATCGACAAGCATTCATATCTTCAGGAAGAAGTACCATGTCTTCATCTGCTTTTGATGATGATCATTTACCTTTGGTTCACCTGGAGCATCAAGCACTAGCACAAGATTGGCTTAGTACTGTCTATCCAAGTCTCAGACGTAACTGGCAATGGTTCCGACAAACACAACGTGGTCATCTACAGTCGTTTAGTCGTTCTGCACCTAATGAAGAAGAAGCTTACAGGTGGCGTGGACGTACTCGTGATCATACTTTGACTTCTGGATTAGATGATTATCCTCGTGGCGAACCTCCCAATATTGGTGAACTACATGTCGATCTCTTCTCTTGGATGACATTTGCTACTCAACTACTAAAAGACATTGCTATTTCCATTGATATTGATGGTGAACTTCAGCATGATATTCAAGAATATGAAACTGTGGAAAAGAATCTTTTGGCCAATTTGGATGCTCTTCATTGGAGTGATATTGATCAGGCTTACTGTGATCAAACTGCAGATGGACAAGGTATAAATAGAGTGATAAATGATGGATCTTAGCAATGACTCTTTTTTTTTTTTTTTTTTTTTTTTTAGGTCGTACATCTCTTGTTTGTCATAAAGGATATATCACACTTTTCCCAATGGTTCTTGGTCTATTGCCTTCTGATTCACCTAAACTTGGTGCCATTTTGGACATGATTGAAGATGAAGAACAATTATGGTCTCCTTATGGTTTAAGATCTCTATCAGCTTCTGATCCCTTTTACAAAACTGGCGAAGTCTATTGGCGTGGTCCTATCTGGATGAATCTCAATTATCTTACACTACAAAGTTTGCATAATGTAAGTTCCAAAAAAAATTATAATACTCTTTTACTGAATTTTTGTTCCCTATGATTCTCTTTATTTTATAGAACTATATGAATACACCGGGACCATATCAAGAACGCAGCAAGATAATTTATACAAATTTACGAAACAATTTGATTTCTACTGTATTCAATGTAAGTATATAGAAAAAAGAAAGGCAAATATGAAGATACTGACTATTGGATGATTATATAGGATTATCAAAAAACCGGTTATGTTTGGGAACAATATTCGGATGACACTGGTGAAGGTTTGAGAAGTCATCCATTTACTGGCTGGACAAGTCTTATTTTACTTATGATGGCTGAAATCTATTAGACATTTATACCTCTCTTTTTTTTTTTTTTTTCTGTTTAGCTATTTCTTTTTTAAATACAGTGAATACTTGATTTAGGAACACATTACCCTTATCTTTACTGGAATTGATTTATATATTGAATCATCATATATGCATTCGAACTAAAATAAATCGAGTTCTCAAGTTATGAAAAAAAAGTGTATATGCGGAATATCTGATGTATGACTAGAGAAAGTACTTTTTTCAAGTTTATTTGGAGATCCAAAAGAAGTGTGTATAGAATGCGTCTTGTTTATTGGCTTGGATGAATGTATCAATGAAATAATAAGAATAAAAAAGAAGATCTAAAATAAGAACAATGATATATAAAAATGACAACACATAACGGTTGATTAGGTGTGAAGGAGAAAAAAAAGGATCAAATAAAAATAAGAGTCTAACAAATCCATTATTTAGGAAGAAGAAGCGGCTTGTTGTTGTTGTTGTCTTGCTCGTTTTTCTGCCATCTTGATCAATTTTAGTTTGTCCAATTCTTCCCTTGAAGTTCTAAAGATGACAAGAAAATAGTATATTTGTCAATAACTAAGAGTAGAATTCATTACTTCTTTTTTTTTTTACCGTTCATTTAAACAACTGTTCATGGTCTTTAACTTTGATCGACAAGTCCACATGACAGTGACATTATGTTCCTTGCTACATTCCACGAAATCTGTCAATGAAGGGAAAAAAAAAAAAAAAAGAAAGTCAGTTTATTTTTGTAATCTGTTTTTTACTTTTAATTTTGTACCTTTGACAGAGTCTTGACAATGCTGTAAAGCTTTTGCCTTGAGATCTTTAAAACAAGCTTCTTCTTCATTTCTACTTAATGTATGTATTTCTACTGACTTGTCCGTGAATGGATTATTCATTGTTTGTTCTACTGATTTGCCCATATTGAATTTGACTTTGTCACAATGGGAGAAAAAAAAAAAAGAGTAAGAAGGCAGGGGAGGTTTATTCAATGCTTTTTTTTTTCTTTTTTGTTGTTTGTACGGACTTTAAATACATCGTTGGTGACAAGGCCATCCAAATTTTGGGAATACAAGGTATAAAGAATATAAAAAAAAATCATGCAATTCTGATCCTTTTGGTTCTATTAATAAAACATCCTTTATATATATATATATATATATATAAAAGTAATATGACATTATATACATATCAGATGTAACAAATGATTGGTCGACAAAAGACATCTCACTAAAAGGGAAAAAAATCTCAAGGTGATACATTGTCCTACAAGATAAAACTATTGTTCTTTCATAATTTCCAGAATCGATATTTTTTTTTCATTTTAAATATCTTCCATATGGGAAATGACCCAATCTTTGGAAATATACATAAAAAAAAAGAGAGATCCATAGTGCATGAATTCAATGTCAGCTGATGCAATGTATAAAAATTTACTAGGCTTTTTTTTTTCTTGGTTTTTTCTTTCTTCCCTGTTTGGAAAGATGCATTCATTATTGGACACGATAAGAAGTCAAGCAACTTTTGATAAAGCTTTACAAATCTTTTCTCACTTTACAATTATACTTCCACCTACATTACTTTTGATCAATGCACCTTATGGTAAAAAAAAAAAAAAAGAAAGTTCACTAATGCCTTCATGTTATATTAATCCTTTCTTTTCTTTTTTTTTTTTTTTTTAAAAGGACGATTCACCAGCAAGAATGTCATATTAGGATTTGGTTTTAACAAGACTTGGTCCAAGTTTGGATGGTTCAGCATGGAAATAGTGTCCCCCATTATGTTTGCAACCATGTTGTATGTGTGTCGAGTACCATTAACAAGTGGTCAATGGTGTATGTCAGCTCTCTGGTTTATTCATTACACGAATCGTACTTTTATCTATACCTACCGCGTACCTTCTATGGCTCCTATAGGTTTCTTGACCTGGATCGTTGCTATCGGTTTCAATCTTGTCAATGCCTATATCAATGGCTACTGGGTGGCAACACATGATGATTTTCGTTTTGATCTAGCTACATTGGTGGGAGGTTGTGTTTGGTGTACTGGCTTTATCTCCAATATCTATCATGATTCTATTTTATTTGACTTACGGAAGAAGAGTGATGGTTATTCAATTCCAAATGGTGGATTATTCAAGTATGTCAGTTGTCCTAATTACTTTTCAGAATGTGTGGAATGGATAGGGTTTGCTCTGGTGTGTCGTAGTGCTCCTTCGTTATGGTTTGCTTTGGGTACAATGTCAAATTTGATTCCTAGGGCGTACAAGTCTCATCAGTGGTACAAGAATCGTTTTAAGAATTATCCTTCTGATCGAAAGGCTGTTATTCCTTTTCTTTTGTAATTTTATTATTCATTCAAAACATTTTATATTCATTCATATACATCTTCATCCTTTTTTTTTTTTTTTTTTATCATTTAAATATATTTTCACTAATTTTTCCTTTTATTGACAAATCATCATGATAATAAAAACTTTGTATACTATCTATAACTATCTACTTGGTATTTCCCTGTTCGCGTTGCTTTTGTCGTTGTTCCCTTTGATATATTCTATCGAGTTTTTTATACTTGTTCCACATATCCTTGACGTGACGCTTGCTGTTCATGACTTCCTTGACCTTCATCATACTATTGAACTTGTTGGCGAGTTCATAAACCTGACGTTCTTCTTCTTCAGACCAAGGTGATCGATCATAGGCGGGATCCAAGGCATATCGATACCGTTGTGACAGATTACGAGGTGTGCGAGTGCTATTGATTTCTGCTTTGATGGCGATAAAATCACCATCCCCCAATTTTTCCACTGCCTTCATGATAGCCATATCCTCTTGAGGGGTAAATCTTCCTTTGGTCACCGGCCCAATTTGATGTCTGTATTTTTCCAAGCATTGTCGAGAAGAGCGAGTGCCCAAGCGTTCAGCTATCTTGTCCCAGTCACTAATACCATAAGTGGCAATCAGTTTCATGAGTCGGTCGGTTTCCTCAGTTGTCCATCGTCCATGATTCAAATCTGGATTGATACTAAAATACCATGTATGTTTGATATGTGAAAGAGATCGATAATAAGGTAGCTTCAGTTGGATAAACCGCCAATCAATATCACCATTGTTTGTCTTTGCTTCCTCGGATAGTTTTCGTAGTGCATCCAATTCTTCTTTGGTCCAGGGTCCAGTCTTGTACGTTTCGTCAAAGAGTAACTTGCAGCGATTAAAGATGGTCGAAGTACTACGATGGGGAAAATGTTTAGCAATCTCGGTGTATTTGGGTCCATGTATATCTAAAAGTTGTTGAAGTAATTTTGTATCTTCTTCTGTCCAGAGTCGTCGAGAAGAGATTTGTTCGGGACTACGAGTACCACGTCGAGGAAATATAGGGTTTTTGCTGGTTGCGGGTATATGTTCGGTTTGCTTATTTGTAGTCAAACACCTTGAAAAAATGTTAACAATAGAAGAAGGAGGTTTACCAATAGAATTGATTCGAATATAAAAGAATGTTTTTAACATGAGTTTTAAATATAAATAGAAGGACAAAAAAAAAAAAAAAGAAACGAAAATAAACATATTAAACGGATATATGGAGGTAAGAAAGAGCCGAGCCAATCAAAAGTGGACTGAATTCAAAATCATATGGACAATTGTTCTTTCTCCCCTTCCCCCAACTCTTTTTTCATTCTTTTTCCTTTTTTTTTTTTTTTTTCTTCTTCTTTTGATTTCTTTTCTATATATTATATTTATTGTTTTTTTTTTTATATACCAAAGAAAAATATGAACAACAAGTAAGTAATAATATATTTAAAAATATATTATATATTTATCATTTTTCTCTTTTATAGAACGATGAATACAACGGTGACAACACTCTTCTCACAACTCAAAGGTATTCCATTCAAATGTGTATATATATATATATAAAAACTAATTAAAGTCTATTTAATAATTAGAAAACCCTTTGAACTGGGCATTATTAGCTGTTTTAGCTTACGTAGTCAAGTCATATGCAACTTCAACTAAACCTGCTACGGTTGAAGCTAAGCACCCTGAAGTATTAGTTTTCCGAAATTATACACCTCTTGACTTATTACCTTTTGATGGTAATTCCAAAGAACTTGATGGACGTATTTTGATGGGTGTGAATGGAAGTGTTTATGATGTTACAAGAGGACGTAGTTTTTATGGACCAGGTAAGAATATATATATATAAATAGAAGAGGTGACTCAATTTTTTTTTTTTTAAATATATAGAGGGACCTTATGCTAATTTTGCAGGACATGATGCTTCTCGTGGATTGGCTAAACACTCTTTTGATAGTGATATGGTATGTGATCCCAATGGACCTATAGATAAGTTAGAAGACCTTACTGCTGAAGAATGGGAAGCCTTACGCGAATGGGAACAACATTTTGCAACAAAGTATTTATTAGTGGGTAAATTAGTAGAAAATGAAACATTAGCATAGTCATTTTTATCATGTGTTTGTCAAACAAAAGGGATGACTTGGTCATGCAAAAAATAAATTTTTTTTTTTATATATTTTTGATATTCCTTTTTTTTTTCTTTTTCTTTTTTATCTTCCTTTCTTTCTCCTTTTATTTTTTTTTATTATTTTTTATTATATACATTCATTTATTATTATTATTATTAATAATTATATATAGACTGATGATTATTATACCCTATCATGCAAAATAAGTCAAGCTTAGTCTCTATGGATGATATTAATTGTTCAACATCACCTTTTCAACGAATACCTGACGAACTACAAATCAAAATTCTTAGTTATTTGGATGTACAATCTCTTTTAAAAGTGACTGGGGTAAGTTCTTTCTCAAAAAAAAAAAAAAAAAAAAAGAATTCTACCAAACTAATATTTTTTTTTTTATTAGGTATGTCAAAAATGGTATACTTTAGTTCACGAAGGTAGTTTATGGCAAACGATTGATATCACTCCTTTTTACAAAACTATACCAGCCGATCAATTGTTGAAACTCGGAATAGCAGCCGGTAATTTTTTAAAGATTGCAAACTTTAGGTAAGATTCAAACAAAAAAAAAAAAAAAGGTAGTACACGTTTATTGATAGATTTTTTTTTTTTTTGTTTATCTATAGAGGATGCATTCAGCTGACGGGACATATGTTACGTGTATTGGCTGATTATTGTAGCAATATTCAAGCATTATATTTAAAAGATTGTCGTGGATTATCAACACCTAGTATATCTTTTTTTTTACAAAGAGTGACTCGACTTACTTTATTGGATCTCTCTGGTTTAGAAACAGTCAAGAATTCAACTCTTCAAATCATAGGTCAATCACTTCCTCTTTTGGAGAAACTTAATTTATCATGGTGTAGAAATATTACTGGTCAAGGTATACAACAGTTAGTGGACAATGGTGGCAAATGTCATTCTTTACAAGTACTCAAACTTAATGGTTGTGCTATGATGGATGAAGATACAATGCGAATTCTAGCTTATCATCTTCCTAGACTCCGACAACTCTCTTTGGCCTCTTGTATTAGTTTGACGGATACTGCCCTTTCTTATTTTTTTCTTCCTTCTTCCGCTCCTTTTTTGTCTCATCTCAATGTATCCAACTGTTCGAGACTTACCGATCGATCCTTACGTCACTTTGTCTTGCCTGGTAGTTTAACTCATTTGGAATTGGCTGGTTGTACTTCTATGACCGATGCTGGTTTTCTCTTTTTGTCTCCCAGACTGCAAACATTGATCCATCTTGACTTGGAAGATATTCTTCATATTACTGATGATACTGTCAAGGCATTGGCAAGGCATCAACCTCTTCTTCAACATCTTTGTTTATCCAATTGTGCTAATATCGATGATGAAGCTATTCTTTTTTTGGTCATCCATGGTGTTTGTCGACAACTGAATCATTTGGAACTGGACGGATGTGCGATTACAGATCATTGTTTGAATACCATAGCCACTCATCTTTTGGAACTACATGAACAACAACAAAAGAAAGCAAAACTGGAACAACAACAACAACAACATTATATCATACACTCCCCTGAAGAACAGTCATCCTCTTCGTTAGATATCACCTATGCATATTTCTCATCCTTGTCTTCCTCACCAAGTTCTTCTTCTTCATCAAATCATCTAGCATCTTCTTACTCATCACCGCCAACACCAACATCCATTCTCACTAAGGTACAAACATCCTCTTTACTCGACAGCAAGTATAGCGACAAGGATGACGATAAAGTGGATAATTATCAACGACGGGTATTGACCATTGAAGTATTGGATTGTGGCAATGTATCAGAATTAGGAGTGAGAACTGCATTGGTCAAGGCTCCATCTCTCTTGAACATCAAAAGCTTTTATTCTTGGCGAGATGAACAACGATACAACAACGATTCTATGGACAATACCGATCAGTACTTGGATACAAGAAGGTTACATTCCTCCATTGGTCGATTACGAGGTGATGATGATACTGGACGCCGACAATTTGCTGCTGGTCAGTCTCATTCTTCTGGTTGTGTCATTTTGTAATCTCCCTTAATATATATATATATATATATATATATATATATATATATATAGGCAATCTGGATGATCCCTCTTTGTTTAGTTTAGCTTGTAGTTGATCCTTTATATATTCTTTTATACCTATATACATACATACATACATATTTATTTATTTATTTATCTAGTATAGTTAGAGGAATGCTTTTTTGAGCTTTCTTTTCTCTCTCTCTCTCTCTTTTTTTTTTAATAACCAAATAAAGAAAATGAATAGAATTAGATAAAGTCTTTATGTTTGATTGGAATGTAGAATAAAAACGTGATGGTTTTTTTTTATTGAGAAGGGGGGAATGTAAATACACTAGTGATGATAACTACTACCATTATTATTATTACTATTACTATTACTACTGTTATGGTTGGTTTCCATTTGAGATAAAGTAGAAGCTTGAATGACACGTTGACGACCATGTTGATTACCATAACGTCTAGCATCAGTACGAGCACGTTCCAAATCCCGACTTGTTTTCGCATGATGATTGTCCAAGGCTTTTATCCATCGATTGGCAAAAGGAGTATAGATAAAGTTGGTGATAGCAAAAGTAATCATAAGTCCAGATAAAATAACAAAGATGGTAGTATTAGAAGCATATCGAGTATTCTGATGAGATGACCATTCACCACCTCTATAAGTAACATTATCTTCATACTGCGGTGGTGGTGGTGAAGAATAAGTAGTAGTAGTAGTAGTAGTAGTAGTAGTAGTAGTAGTTGAACGTATAATAGGATCCCATCCATAACCTGTTTTCAAATATAAATGACGTCTATCAGGTTGTTTTAGGAATTCATAAGCATCTGATACTTCTTGAAAAGCTGTAATATCACTGGTAGCTCCACTATCAGGATGAAGAGTTTTAGCTAAAGCATAATATTTTTTTTTAATATCGGCTTGACTTGCATGTCGTGGTAATTGAAGAATTTCAAAAGGGGACTTTGTATGGTGAGAAAAGGTGGAATAAAGGCGGTATGAATACTTTGTAGTAAACATGCACAATCATAAAAGTGGAATATAATGAATAATAATAATAATGATAAGAAAAAAAAAAAAGAGGCAAGATCTCACATGCACTCAAAAAGATTAGGAGCTCTTATTTTAAAATCAAGCTCATTTCCTATTGGTGAAGAGAGACGCTGTTTCAAAGCAAAAGTTTTTTTTTTTTTTTGGAGGAAACATTCCTCCTGATTTTCTTTTTTTTTTTTATTTTTTATTTTTTTATTTTTTTTTTTTTTTACTTTTCCCTTTTTTTTTTTCCTTTTTCTTTTTCTCCTTTCTTTTCTTTTTTTTAATATTGGTAACCATGCCACCTAATACTTTAGTTCATCCTCATTCAGATCAAGTTGACTTTGGTCATGATTCTTGGATACAAGATATTATTAATGATACTCCTTATATTGATATTGAAGTGACCTCACCTGAACTCTTTGAAGGTGCTTGGAAAGTCGTTAGTTTTGTCTTTCCTTCTTGGAAAAAGGATAACCTCAAATTTACCCAATGTAAAGATGGTATTACTAACCAATGTAAGTAGTTTTTTTAATAATAAAACAATTTTAAAAATATTCACTTTTTTTTTTATTATTATTATTATTAGTGGTTAGAGTGACAGATACTGGTTCCAAAGAATCAGTTCTTGTTCGTGCTTATGGAAAAGGATCTGAACGTATTATAGATAGACGACAAGAAATCATTGTAAGTATTTTTTTAAAGAAAATTGTCGTCAATCTTATTAAATGATTATTATTATTAGAATATCATTACTTTATCTCGTCAAGGCTTGGCACCTCCATTATATGCAAGATTTCGGAATGGATTGATTTATGGTTTTATCGAAGGAAGAGTATCACATGTAGATGACCTTGGACATCCCAAAATGGCGAAATGGATTGCAACTCGATTGGCTCAATGGCATAAAGTCGAATTACCTCAACCTACTGAAGATCATCTTCATCATAAGACAAAACATCAACCAGATCAAAAATTATGGAAAACTATGCGTGGTTGGCTTGATCAAGGTAAAAATATATATATATATATATATATTATTATTTTTTCTTTACTAATCTATTTATTTATAGTACCCGATAAATACGATGATCCTAAAACACAAGCAACTTTTGCTAATCGATTTGATATGAAACACATTAAAACTGAGGTAAACTAAAAAAAGAAGAAATGTATTATAATAACTCATATATATATATATTATATTTAGATGGAAGAATTAATCAATCACTTGGAAAAATTGGAATCACCTATTGTATTTTCTCATAATGATTTATTATATGGGAATATCATCTTCGATGACGATAAAGGTAACATAGGATTGGGTATTGGAAGGGATCTGATTACACGTGATGACCACTGATCACTCACCTCTCCGTATTTCCTTTTTGGTTATAGAGGAAGCTTATTTTATTGATTACGAATATGGATGCTATGCTTATCGTGGATTTGATATTGGAAATCATTTTAATGAACATTGTGGTTTTGAATGTGATTATTCAAAATATCCTAGTAAGAATTTCCAATTAGAATGGCTCGAATGGTATTTACAAGCTATTAATGATGATGGTAAGTAATATACAAGTTTTTTTTTTTTTTCTTATTTTATTTATATAATTATTATTATTTTATCTAGTGACACCAACAAAAGAACAAATTAATAAATTATACAATGAAGTCAACGGATTCTCTCTAGCATCTCATTTTTATTGGGGTTTATGGGCCATGATTCAAGCTATGGTATCTGACATTGATTTTGACTATATGGAATATGCTGTCCTTCGTTTTGATGAATATGAAAAGAGAAAGGAACAAGTTTTGAACTACCTTTCCATCTAGTTTTATATATATATTGTAGTTTATATCTTTTTATATCCCCCCCTTCTTTTGATCTTTAGTTTAATATACATTCTTTTTTTTTTTTGATACAATTTAGAAATAATAATAAAAAAAATATCTACATATTTTTTTATCATATGACCAGATATTTGCTATTAGTATAAAATAGTAAATCATCTTAGGATTCATCTTAGAACAACAAGATCTTTTATTAATCGTCATCTCTCCAGTCATCATTCAAATCAACAATTCATCATTCACTAGAAAAACATCCAGTACATCCATTCAAGCTGTTTTGCATTATTCGTTATTTTAATTTATTATTATCATCACATATACAATCCACCATTCAAAAATATATATCATCATTGAATCATCACACCATCACATATTATCATATCACCATCATTCATTTAAGTAGACACAATTTCCCAAAATAATATTATCCATAGACTAATTCCATCAATGAAAACAGTTTATTTCTTTTTGTGTATATGTGTGTGTGCATGTAATAAAAAAAAAGAAAACGTAATGAGAATGTTATATGACTAAATAAACAAACCATGACGATGTTTAAGCTTCAGTCTTGCGAGGACGGTTAGCACGAGGACGACGGACATCAGAGTGAGCACCGGCAGCAACAGGGTTAGTGACTTGAACACCGGGCAAGTTTTCAAAGTTGAGAGACTTCAACAAATCCTTGGTGTCAGGGTCGATTTCGATAGCAGAGGTGTCCAAAGCAGAGAATTCGGGAACATAGTTATCACGACGTTCACGTTCTTCTTCTTGCAACTTGAAGGAAATACCACGGACAGGACCACGAGAGATACGGCGCATCAAATGAGTGGTGAAACCGGCAATCTTGTTACGAAGACGCTTGGTGGTGATAATAGCAACTTCGTCACAGATCTTCTTGTTGGTTTGGAAATCCAAAGTAAGACGAGGATAATACTTTTCGATCAAGACACGAGAAGCCTTCTTGACAGTCTTAGTTCTAACGCGACCCTATAAATTGAAAAAAAAAAACCATCATTATCAACAATGTCCCCAATCTATCATTTTTCCTTTCCATCCATCCATCCATCCATCCATCCATCCATCCATCCATCTATTCATCCATCCATCCGTTCATCGATTCAAATATGTTCAATAAATTTGTATCCTTTTTTTGTTCTCTATCGTTCGTTGATATATATATTTTTTTTTCAATTTCATTTGTCGTACGTACCATTGTTGAAGTAAAATGAAAGAGGGTTTGTCAATGTTTCCAAAAACAGACTCCCTTTGACTTCGCACCCCCCCCAAAAAAAAGACCGCGGCTGAGAATAAATCCAATTTGCATTCACTTTTCCTTTAATCAATAAAAAAATACTTTATTTCAAAGATTTCTGTTCTAAAACTTTTTCTAAAACTACAGAGACACCTTCTTCCATATTTGATAATGTAACATAATCTAAATATATATAAAAGGGAGTCGGTTAGTCAATGTTACATTTTGTATGATGATCTTTCTTTTTTTTTTTTTGGATACTTTCCTGCAGCTGCTTTAGCATCCTCATGTCCATTGGCCATAGCAACACCTAAACCTATTGAAGAGAATCCATCATTAAATAAAGATTAATATAATTAAAACTAAAATATACAATATTCCTTTTTTTTCTTAAGTATTTACCAGCGAACCGAATCATTTCTACATCATTTGGCATATCCCCAAAGGCAATAACTTGATCTGATTGATATCCATTTTCATCGCAGAGTGATTTGAGAGTAGTCCCCTTGGAAACATTGACAGCCGAGATTTCAATAAAATGCATATTGGAAAAAGTGATGTTGATAATGTTGTTCCAAACGGGATCAGAGAAGATATGTTCTTTCACGTACTTATGAAGTATATCAGCTTTCCATGCAGTATGAATCACCACGATTTTCTCTACAGGTCCATTGGAGAATTCATCCAGACGATCAATCACAGTATAAGGATGATTCATATTTTCTGGACCACGAAGTAATGCATATCCTTCTTCACACCTGAACATCAAATCGTTTTCAACACCAATAAAAATATCTTGACCCAAAAATTGTTTGAATTTTTGAAGAATAGGAAATACTTGATGATGATCAATAGGAAAACTCTTGAGAATGGTTCGTTTCTTGCTATCCAAGACAATCCCCCCGTTACAACTAATCACCCAAGGATGGTCCAACTGTAATAGATCCAATACAGGAGCCATGGACCGTGGAGGTCGACCAGAAGCAAGTACAATCTGTACACCTTGAGCTTCAAGATCTTGTAATACCTTGCCACTATGTTTTGAAACAAGACAACTAGATGGTTTTTTGGAATGAATATCAGTAGAAAAAAAAATAAAGAAGTATGAACTTACGCGTTGTATTTCCCACATATAAGAGTACCATCCAAATCAGAAGCAACAAGGTTTATTTTTGATAAATCATATGTGTCAACCATGACGAACAAAATAAAGAATGAACAAAAAAAAAAAAAAAAAAAAAAAAAAAGAAAGTGAAAAATTATTTTAATTTTTTTTTTTCTTTACCAACGTGGGTTCTTCAATGGCAAGCATAAAACCATTCTAGCCAATTTCAACATCCGTCCCAAGCGTTGCCGTTTTTCCATTTAAAAGAAAAAATTAAAAAAAAAAAAAAGTAATTCACGCGACCTCTTCCAAAAAAAAAAAACAATGTCCACTGAGCCATTGACTGAATCAGGTGGATTAAATCCACGAACTAGCCGGCCTTCCTCTATAGTCTCTTCTTCTACTAATACTGATATGACGGAACATGGTCTATCTCAACCTTCTTCGACTCTTCCAGTAGATTTATTACCGGACCTGCATGCTTTGAAAACAAATCAACATGGAATACAAACTGAACTGGATTCTCATCAAACTGAAGATATTGTTCATTCTGTAAATGCTGCTGAAAACAAACCTGTTGCTCATCCAATGTCTAAACCAGTAATAAAACAAGATATAATACAAGAAACACAAGATTCTTTTACTCCAGAAGAATTACGTATGGTTGGTGCCTTTTATCCTTCTCCTCCTTCTCGAATTCCTGACTGGTATCGTATTGGTTGGCAAAATATCAAAAAACAATCCAAATTGGAAAAATCTATTGACTTTTGGGATGAACTTCTTCCAAATGTAGTTTATGGTGAATGGTATCATAATGTCCTTGTTTTATTCTTGACTGCCATTATGGGTTGGGTATTGGCCAAAACTGATGGTGGACTTGGTGCTGTGGTAGTTGGATGTCTTCTTTTAGGTAAATGACTCTTTTTTTTTTTCGGAGATCCGTGAGGATTAGGAAACTGATCTTAACTTTTTTTTTTTTTGATTATCCTTACTAGGCACTTATTATCAAACTAGTATGCGACGGTTTAGAACCAATGCAAGAGATGATATTCAACGGGAATTGGCAAAAATCAAATTAGAAGCAGATGAAGAACCTGTGGAATGGATCAATAGTTTTCTACAAAAGTTTTGGCTTATTTTTGAACCTGTTCTAAGTGCTTTGGTGGTGGAAAATTTGGATACTTATGTGAATGATTATTTACCTAGTTATATCGATTCTGTCAAATTAACAACATTTACTCTTGGTACTAAACCATTCCGTGTAGAAAGTGTCAAGACTTATCAAAATACGGAACCGGATACTGTGGTAAAAAAAAAAAAAAAAAAAAAAAAAAAAGGAATGGAAGTGATGATATTAATGTTATTTTTTTTCTTTTTTCTTTTTTTTTCTTGTAGTGTATGGATTGGAAGGTCTCATTTACACCTAGTGATTTGACTGATTTGACTTGGGAAGAAATGGATACCAAAGTGAATCCTCGTATCACTCTCAATGTACGTTTTGGAAAGAAAATGGTGGCTGCTGGTTTCCCTTGTTTAGTGGAAGATATGACTTTTAGTGGTCATATGCGGGTCAAGATCAAATTTATTGCACGATTTCCTTTTGCAAAAATGGTGGATGCTAGTTTTTTGGAAAAACCTACCTTTGATTATGTATTGAAACCTCTTGGTACTGACTCTTTTGGATTTGACGTCAACTTTGTAAGTCACCATAGGATATTTCGTTCCTTTTAATCATATTTTTTTTTTGTAGATTCCTGGTTTACATAGTTTTATCCGTGAACAAGTACATGCCATTCTTGGACCCATGTTATATGCTCCCAATACATTTACATTGGATATTGAAAAACTCATGGCTGGTGAACTTGATATCAGTAAGCTGTTACTCTTTTTTTTTTTTTTTTTCTATTAACTTTCTTTCTTTTTTTTTTCTTTCTGAAAGCTCAAGCAAATGGTGTTTTGGCTGTCACTATTTATTCTTGTTCAAATATTCGTAATGTGGGTCATTTGACAAATGGTGTTCCTAACCCTTATATACGATTTTATCTGGATAATGGTCAAGAGTTAGGTCGTACTGGTACCAAGGAACATACTCATCAACCTCAATGGAATGAAACACGATTCTTATTACTCAATAATTTGTCTTCTCAACTATGTATGGAACTTCGAACTCATAATCACGATGCCAAGGATAGACGACTTGCCACTGCTCAATTTGATTTACGACAAATGGATGATGATCGAAAGGAACAAGAAGGATTGTAAGTAGAATAATAATAATTAAAAAAAAATAGAGGTATGAAGACACTCAGGTTTATTTTTTATTTGATAGGGATCTGCTTCTTTTGAACAATGGACGTGTGGTGAGTGATTTACGTGCTGATATTCGTTATTTACCAGTGTCCAAGCCCTTCAGACGATTGGATGGTACTATTGAACCTGCTGTGGAATCAAGTAAGTAATTATTTTATTTATTTATTTTTATCCTTCTCCTTCATCTTATATTCATTTTCTCACTCTTATTTTTCTTTTATCATCATCATTCATTTTAGATTCAGGTATTCTTCGCTTGACCATACATGGATGTCGTAACTTGGAAAACGCAAGAGGAAATACCTTTGTTCGTGTGATTGTCAATGGCACAGAGAAACTCAAGACCAACACTATCAAACGAACGGCGGAACCATTGTATGCACATGCTCAAGAACTAGTGATTTTGGACAAGACGGATGTACATATGCGTGTAGAAGTACGACAAGTAGGAACGACACAAAAGGAATCCATTCTTGTTGGTACTTTGACATCTCAACTGGTGGACATTATGCGATTACAAGAAAGTCAACAAGGGTGGTGGCCATTGAAAGAAGGAAGTGACAATGATGAGAAACAAGTGGGAAAAATTCAACTCAATGCAGAATGGAAACCGGTACTGATGGCGGGTCTAGCGGATCGTGTGGGACAACGTGGATATGAAGAGCCTCCTGTAGGTGTGATCCGATTTACATTCTGGGAAGCAAGAGATTTGCGTAATGTGGAAGCAGTGACATCTGGTAAATCTGATCCTTATGTGCGTGTACTCTCTGGAAATCAAGTACGTGCTCGTACTGAAGTGATTGACAACAATCTGAATCCTGAATGGGGTGAAACTCTTTATGTACCTGTACACTCTACCAAGGAAAACATGGTACTTGAAGTGATGGATTGGAATGCGCGATCTCCAGATAAATCTTTGGGTGCAACAACTATCAATATGGTGGATCTTATTCGACAACATGTAGGCAATCAAAGTGTAGATCCTGATCGATGGTATGAAGCTGTACTTCCTCCCACCAATAAGTAAGTCATCTTTTTTTTCAAAAAAAAAAAAAAAAGGCAAATAAATCTAACAATTTTGTTCTTTATTAGATGGGCACAACTTAAATCCTTGGATAGACGGGTTGCAAAAGGTGAATTATATTATCGAACGGAATTCATACCTCTTCTAGCTATACCTCAACAACCAGCAAATAACGATACAAATGAAACTCTCAAGCTTATCCCACCAGTCAAAGATTTACATGGAGCTTACATCAAATACACACCGGACGATTTGGTGGACTTTTCTTCATATACTTCTGGGGTGTTACGTGTCAAGATTCACGAAGTACAATTAGCTAGTCCTGCTTATGCGTACTGTCAACTTGCTGCGGATTCTTTACTTCCTCAATTCAAAACAACCAAATTACGTGGTAATAACTTGGCATTTAACGAAACTGGAGATGTATTTATCAAGGAAGCCGACTTTACTCGAGTGGGTATCGAAGTAAGACCTGTTTCTATGGATGAAAAGGATGATCGGAAATTGGGTCATTGGGTATGTCCTGCCAACACTATTCTTCGTCGTATTCAACAACATCGTCGCCGATATCAAGAAAGCAAGTACCATGTCAACAAAGAAGAAGATGATCATGAAGATGGATACGAATGGGATCATGAAGGGGATTGGTATGATTTATTGGGTACCCAAGGTCATGGTGCCATCAGACTCAGTTTTGACTTTATTCCCTCTGCTGATTTTGTATTGAATCCTGATGAAAGTTTGGACAGTAAGTTATTCTATTAAAAAAAAAAAAAAAAAGGAAAGGAAAATGAAGAGACAGATAAAAAAAAGAAATGTACATACATATCTAATCATTTTCTTTTTTTTTTCTTCTTTATTTTAGATCAAGGCAATCTCACAGTATCATTATTAAGTGCTCAAAATCTTATGGCGGCTGACAAGACTGGTACAAGTGATCCATATGTAGTATTTACTGTCAATGGGGAACGTTTATTCAAGAGTACAGTGATCAAGAAGACTTTATCACCAGTATGGAAAAATGAAAGCTTCTCGGTACCAATTGTAAGTGTATGCGTAAAATAAAAGAATTGGGTTCCTGATGATTCTTTTTTATATGCATTTAGCAATCACGAGTGACAGCCAGTTTCCGCATTGAAGTATTTGATTGGAATCATATCAAAGGTCATAGTCCTATTGGTAGGTGTATCTTTTTATAAGGAGAGAGGAGGGATTTTTTCTAATCCTTTTATATATATATTCTTTTTAGGATCTGGTGGTATTACGATTCGTGGTGACAATGTTGAAAGCTTCACTACGCATGATATGGACATTCCTTTAGATGGTGTAGCTGGCGTTTCTGGTAGTGTACGTGTACGATTCCTCTGGCATCCTCGATTATTAGCCAATAAGAAAATGTTTACTTCGGCTGTACTTGGTGATTCTCAAACATATATCAATGCAAATCAAAGTGGAATGTCTGAACCTTTGCCAAGATCATCTGTTTCATCCTCTTTAGATCCTAATCAACCCTTGGCACAACAACAACGGTTCTCATTGGATACGGAAAGCAGCATGGGACGATCACGAGCGTCTAGTGTGAATACTCGATTCAACAACGGTGATGATATATCTATGATTGGTTCTTTAGATGATATGGGCATGACAAGTGATACTCAAGGTGTTGCAGGATCAGTGACGATCAAGTTAGTGGAAGCCCGAGGTGTTCGAGGTGTGGATAAATCTGGAACAAGTGATCCATTTGTGCGTGTACGAACTGGACAACAACAGATCTACAAAACTAGAGTGATCAAGAAAACCTTACGACCTGAGTGGTAAGTAATATACATATATATAAATAGGAAAGGATGATCTAATGATTATATTATGATTTTATAGGAATGAAACTTTTGTACATGAACTTTCAGGAGAACCAATGATGTTTGATTTCAAGGTAAAAGATCACAATCGATTGAGTAGTGATGTAGATTTGGGACAATATCGACGCAATATTTGGGATTTGATTCAACCTGAACAAAGAAGCTTTGATCAATGGGTGCCATTATATCCTGTTGGATCTGGAGAACTTCATTTACGTATTGATTTTGAACCATCCTCTTTGTAAATACCATTTTGATGTTGTTCCTCCTTTTTTTTTTTTTTTGTTATTATTATTACTGTTCTTATTATATTATTATTATTACTCTTATTTTTTATGTTGTTTGTGTAAATAATAAGTAAATAAAACATATTTTCTATTTATCTCTCTTTGTGCGTGGATATGATTTTTTTTTTTTAAGTGTGCACCTCTTTTAATTGGTTAGGTAACCGTAATTCCTGTTGTTTATATAAACATCATTTTACTTTTTTTTTTCTTTTTCCTTTTCTTTTTTCTTTTCTTTTTTTAAAGAAAAAAAAAAGATCGATGGTAAAATTAGGGAAAAAATTACTCAAAGTGTTCTCATGCTATCATCAACAAAGTTCGACGAAAAAGGAAGTATTTACGGAATATGAAAAAGCACCAAGTCTAAAAGAAAATGAGTTACCACCATGGTTAACTCGTACAGGATTTACCCCTCAACCTTATAATGTCCATTTGACATGGTGTTCTCAATGTGATTTCCATGTACTAGCTGATGATCGATGTAAGATATGTGGTTCATGGTTAACATCATATTCTCTTCTTTCTTCGACGATTACTAAGAAACCAACATGGATATATCAAATCCTAACTTTGTTCCCTTGTATTGATTAGCTTTTTTTTTTTTATCATATAAAAATAGAAAGAAAAAAAAACTGCAAGATTGATTGTTAACAATAGACCATGTGAACTATGCAGGGTTTATTTCATTTATAGTAATAATAATAATAATAATAAAAGGATGAATCCCTCTTCAACAAGAATAAACAAATAAATCTCTGTTTTTTTTATTGTTGACTTGGTTCAATCAATGGATGAAAATGAACTGAGGTTGAAAAAGTGAGAGAGTGATTCAAAATTAAAACTACCGATTTGGGAACACTTACCTTCTTTTTTTCTTTTCATTTTTTTAAAGTTTATTATTATTACTTAAATTAATCATGCCAGAATCCATTCCTCAAGAAGGTAAAGTTCATTAATAGATTATTTTATTCAAACTGACACTTTTGGTTTTTTGATGGTAGAGAAACCTATTCTTTTGAAACTACTTAATCTTCGAATGAGATTATCAGTCATGAAACGCGATCGTACTACTCACTTGGACATTAATCAAATTGAACCAATACGACAAGAAACTGCACAACTTATTGAAGAATTGATCAATGTACGACATGGTGTATTATTGAAAGACCATCAAAAACCTAATCGATGCGATGATTTATTAGACGAAGTTTGTCAAATGATAAGTTTATGCTTTTTATCCTTGGGGAAAACGAGAGAAAGTAAGTTGGAATATATATATGTTTGTTTAGAAACTTATTTTTCTTTATATATATATATATATGATATAGGTCCTGCTGTCTATTCTCAAGTGGTATCTATTTCGGTAAGATCTTTTATTATTATTATTATTGTATTCTGATATATCGTATTTATTATAGCATTGTTTTGAACGATTGGATGAATTTGGGATTTATGCTGAAGAATTCTTAGAACCTTATGCAAATATGTTGAAAGATATTAAAAATGTATTGGAAATCGATGAACGAAATGAAACTTTATCAAAACCTGTGATGCAAATCTTATGGAATAAATTTCATCAATGTGGTAAAGATTTATTCTATTAAATATATCAAATAGGATTCATTTTTTTTATTTCTTTTTTATTTAGATACCATCTATAAACGACTATTGAACACAATTCATGAAGTATCACCAGAACTGTAAGTTCTATTATATATATTATAATAACAATGAAATAACTGTAATTTTAATTGTAGTCTTCCTATTCGAAATCAACTTTTACGTATTCGTCGACAATTATTAATTATAGCCTGTCAAAGTAATTTTCATTCCAAAGATATTCTACCTCTTCAAGAAGAACTTCAAGAAATTGATGAACAACGTGTGGATGGGAAATTCCTTGCTGCCGATGGTAGTATACCAGCAGGTCAAGCGGTAGTGACAGGATTATTGGATCAAGTACATCGATTTGCCTATGATCTCGTCATTGTAACGACAAGTGATTTTTCACCAGCATTACAATCTCTACGTGAACGACTAGTAGAAATTAAAAATCATCTTGAACGATTGGCTTTGACACAAAAATGGACCATGCGACAAACTGACCTTTTTACTTATCAACATCAACTTCATGACATTGTCAAATTACGTTACCATGGAGAGGATGATGATAAAACTACAGATCAAGATAAAATGGGCAAATTCTTAGATGCTGAAGGCAATGCTCCTGATGGACAAACAGTGGTCAATTTTTTACTTCACAAATGTTATAGAATGATTTTGGAATTATTGAATGAAAGTGTACCTGTAGGTGAAGCTTTGACTCCTATCTATAATCAATTGACATCTGTAAAAAAATGTTTAATTGCTGTCAAGAAAACTGGTGCTCCTTGTACTCCTGAAGAATTGTATCCGTAAGTCTACAATAATCATTATTATTATTATTATTATTTGATAACTCATATTGAATATATAGATATCAAATGAAATTAGCTAGTATTGAAGATTTACGCAAAGATGGTAAATTCTATGATGATCGAGGAGATCTTCCTGAAGGACAAGCATTATGTGTGAATACTTTAGAAGAATGCTATCAACTTCTGGATGATCTACGACAAATGGATGATAATTAGATTAGTAACTATTATTTTGTAATAAATTTTATTATTATTATTATTATTATTATTATTATTATTATTATTGTTTTGATTATAATATTTATGCAATCCAAAGTTTTATTTTTATGGTGTAAATCTATTTTTTCTTTTCTTCTTCTTCCTTGTTTCCCTACCTTTTTCCACCATTTACATATTCATTATTATTTATTACGCTGTGATCGGAATTTGATTTTAAAAAAAAAGTGAATGTCTCTCGTGTTTTCCTTTTTTTTTTTTTCCTTTTTTTGTATTTTTTGTCTTTGTTTTCTCTTTTGTTTTATTATTGTTATTATTATTATTATTATTTATTATTACTGTTATCACTACTGTTTTATCAATTCCTTTTTTCTTTTTTTTTTTTGTTTTTTTTTTATCAGTCAGCATGGATATTTCGGATTTACAACAAGATAGTGGAAGATATCTTCAAGAATATATACAGAGTAAAGAAAACACAAGAAAACAATAATTTATTTTTATATTCATCTAACTTTTTAATGAATAGGTTTAGAAAATCTTCCGAGTGAAATCAATTATCACTGGGCTGAAATACAAAACAGAGAAGAGCAAGGGAAAAGTAAGTTTCTTTATACGTATTATTATTGTGGCGCAGGCTCACCTTTTTTTTTTATTACTATTATTATTACTATTACAATTTATAAAGACCTAGAACGAAGAGTCCATACACAACAACATGACTTGACAAAACTACATCGACAATGGTTTCATCAAGAATTGGAAAAAAGAGAAAAAATACTCAAACATGAACCTAATATCATCAAACGAGTCCAACGAGATTATGATAAATTGGAGGATTTGGCTTCAGAAAGGATACAATTAGCGGAAAATGCTCTTCGTTTGGTATAAACTAAAAGTGTGTAAGAATGAACAATGATCTAAACAATTTTTTTTTTCAATAGGTGGATCGTCATTTAGAACGATTAGGTCATGATCTTGATTTGCTAGACAAGTTAAATCCTGAATTCCAAGCACCACAAACTCCTAGCATCATGGATATCAGACGAAGTAAGTAATACAATATTAACGTAAGAAAGAGAAAACTTGACCAATTTTTTTTTATAGATGGTGTTGAGGAATTGGAAGAGGAGGAAGAAGAAGAAGAAGAGGATGATGAAGAAGCTTACTTCGCAGCAATGATGGCTAATCGACAAAAGAAAAGAAAAAAGAAGGAAGCAAGAGATGGTGAAGAACATGCAGAAGAACCATTATATTGTTATTGTCGACAAGTATCTTATGGTGAAATGGTAGGCTGTGATGGCGAGGTAAGTTTAACATATATGAATATATATATTTGGTATTAACCTTATTTATATAGCATTGTCCTTATGAATGGTTCCACATGGAATGTACTGGTTTAGATGCTCCTCCCAAAGGTGCTTGGTATTGTGATGAATGTCAATCTGAAGCTGGTAATGCTAGGAAACTCAAGAAAATGAAGCGCAAGAAGGAATCTATGGGCATTGTATGAAATGTTTTTTTTTTTATCTTATGATAGTTTTATGATTTGATATTCCCCTTCCCCCTTTTTGTATAGCAGTTAGTTGATTAGTCAATTAACTATGTAGTTAGTTACTTATTTGTTTGCTTTTTTATGTATATATGATATTTTGATCCCATTGTATTTTTAATAAAAAGAAATATTAGAAACAAGCATGAACTTTGTTACTCATTTTTTAGTCTAGGTCAAAACAACATGAAAGGATTCTAACAAATAAAGACGGAAGAAAATTCAATATGTATAGATAGAATAAGGGGAGACATGACAGTGATGGGATGATAAAATGGTAGGATAACCCATCATTTTACCTTTGTCAATTCGCCTACTCGAAAAAAAAAGCCCCTAAGTATACCCAACCAAACTTTTGATGACACATCGGAGCATTTCTCCAAACTCTCTAGTTGAACAAGAAAGAACAATAGATATACCAATAAAAATAAGAAAAAAAATACCCTTTCTTTTATTTCTTTTTCTTCTTGATTATATATTCATCATTAAAATGAAACTATTTTTATTCTTTTTAACCATCTGTATTACTCTATTTGCTTTGGTGCATGCAGATGAAGATGATGATAATGAAACTATCAGTAAAGACAAAAAAAAAAAAAGATATTTTCCATATGATGAATGTATCTTCATCTATTTTTTTTTCTCATCATTTTATATATTTCTATTCCATTTTAGTGATTACGGTTTATGAAACTTTCACAACTACTCTCCATGGGAAAGGTAATTTTTTTTTTTTTTTTTTGATTTCAATGTATACCCACTAATTTGATTTTTCGAAACTTTTGTATAATGGATAACATCATCCGAAGAGGCAAAACCTTCGAGTACCATCATCCCTGAATCCGAAAAATTAAACAAGGAAAGTACAGAAACAGTTGTGTATGTAACCACCTTATCGACGATTGTGGTGGATGATGAAACTATGACCTCTACTTCTTCTGTGAAAAAAGCAATACCCACCTCTACTTCCAAACCACAATCTTCTGGAAATAAATCATTATCCATTCCATCATCATCATCATTATCGTTACTTGACACATTCTCTTTCAGTCCCATTACCTTGGCTCCTGAGAGTAGTAAATCCGAAAACCCACCCAAGGCCACTGCTACTGTCAGCAAGCCTGTCATGAAAGCACATACCGGGAAGAAAGGAAAAGAAACCAATGTTAGTATGGGTTGTAACCTGATGCCAAATCTCATATCTTCTTTTGGATATCTTATTTTCGTTCTTGCTTTATTGCAATAAAAGCCCTTTTTTTGAAAATCAAATATTTCCAATAATAATAATAATAATAATAAAATCCATTTCCTCATTTGGATTGCGGAGTTGTATTTTGCATGGAGCACTTTTCTATGAACTTGTCTTTTTCTTTCTTTTTCTTACTTTCCTTTCTTTTTTTTTTTTTTTTTTTGTTATTGGTAACAAAAACATAAAAATATCATGAATTATTCAAGTTATTCAAATATGGATTTGGATATCAATAATTGGATGGAACAAGAAGAAGCTTTTCTTGATCAATTTAATCCTCAGGTAAGAAAAATTGCAGTGATTATGTTATCAGTTGAATCTTATTTTATTTTATTGCAGATCCAATTCATGTCAAATTCACCATCATCATCAATAATTATGAATACTCCAACAATGACAAAAACTAATCCTTTACAACGATCCATTATGGAAATACGTAGGAATAACAAAAAAAAAAAAGAAAAAAGAAAAAAAAAAACTACTTGTTTAAACTTAATCCTTTCTTTTATTTTTTTATATATACAGCAGAAATGTATCGATCAATCTTCAAATATCCTTATTTCAATCGAATGCAATCAGAAGCTATGGACAAGGTTTATTGAATAAGAAAAAAAAATTCATCTTTCATATTCATCTATTTTTTATCTATAGGTTCTTTATACAGATGAGAATATAGTGATATCAGCACCTACAGGAACAGGGAAAACAGCCTTATTGGAAATGGCTATGATTCGATGTCTTACTCTACAAAAATCACATTACCATGAACAAAGTACAGCAAAAATGGTTTATATGGCACCGACGAAAAGCCTTTGCGCGGAAAAGGTCAAAGAATGGACTACTACTTTTGGTCCTTTGGGTATTATTTGTAAGTTGAAAAGAGAAAAGGAAGAGTTGACAATATATTGATTTGAACTTTTATTTTGAACTTTTATAAATAGGTCAAGAATTCACTGGTGATTCTGATTATGCTACTGCGGACGCGATTAAAAACAGCAATATCATGCAAGTTATCTACAGTCTTTGTTTTTTTTTAAAAAGAAAAAAAAGAAAGAGATTTTACTTACTGATACATTTCTTTTTTTACTTCTCTTACCGTTAGTGTAACAACACCTGAAAAGTGGGATGCTATGACTAGACGATGGGTAGATCATAAACGACTGATGGAACTCATCAAACTATTTATGGTAACAGTGATTTAAACAAAAAGTCAACAGCTTTCTTTCTTTTTCTACGATCATTCATTTTTTTTTTTATTATTTTCCCTCGCATAGATTGATGAAATTCATATTCTTAAAGATCCACGTGGTGCTACTTTGGAAGTATGCGTTAGTCGTATGAAGGTAAATAATATGAATAATAATATACGTATATCACTTGGAAAAGTACTGAATCTTTCAAATTCCGTTAATTAGCCCATGGATCATAACCTGCGTTTCGTAGCAGTATCAGCTACAGTTCCCAATGTACAAGATATTACCACCTGGCTAAATGCTACAGGTAAATCTAAAGAAAAAAAAAAAAGATAGGATACTCAATCACTTTATTTATTTTAGCTCTCACCTTCTCTGAAGACTATCGACCTATTCGTTTGGAACGCTTTGTTTATGGCTATCCTCTTCGAGGTGGAAATACCTTTGCTTTTGAAAAATCCTTGGATTGGAAGTAAGTTCTTGATTTTCAAAGAGACAAAGTAAAAAAAGATAATATTTATACATTCATTTTGTATAGACTTCTCGATATCATCAACAAACATAGTGCTAACAAGCCTGTCCTGATTGTAAGTATACACTTAAAAGAAAAACAACTCTTGTTCCATTTCTAAAAGCTAGTTTTTTTTTGTTAGTTCTGCTCTACACGTGCTTCAACTCAATCGGCTTGCGATACATTATTGAAACTTATGGATCAGCAGGGTATGGACTCAAGGTAAGAGATTTAAAGCATCGATTTTGGAATCAGTCCGCTAATCTCTATATGGAAGGTGTACCTCTCCAGGAATCAACACAAACGTCAAAAACAAGAAATTGGCTCTCTTTGTGCAACGCGGTATCGGTTTTCATCATGGTAAAAAAAAAAAAAAAATTATATATTATATATATATATTAAAACCATTTATTTAATCTATATTCATCCTTCCTTACTGTAGCTGGTCTTGACTCTTCTGATCGCCATCTGGTGGAATCATTATTTTCAGATCGTTATATTCGCATTGTGGGTAAGTATAAAGAATCAGAAAAAAAAATATTTAAAACATCGACATACTGATATTGTTTTATCATCCTGTCATTGAATAGCAACCACTTCAACACTTGCAGTCGGTGTAAGTCAGAACACCTTCCTATCTGTTATGATTAAGTAATCATCCTTATCTTCTTTTTATGTATACAACCAGGTCAATCTTCCAGCCCACTTGGTGATTATCAAATCCACAAAAGGTATTGACAATGAAAAAGAAAAAGAAAATCGACTCAATCCCTTTTTATTATTATTATTATTATTTTCTTAGGGTATCAGAGCGGTATGCTGAAAGAATACACAGATATCGATATTCTTCAAATGATTGGCCGTGCTGGACGACCTGGACTAGATACTTCGGGATGTGCGGTGATTATGACTACTTCTGATATGGAAAACAAATGCAAATTACTTGTATCATGTCAGTCCACAATTGAAAGCAGGCAAGGATCTTCCAAAAAAGAAAAAAAAATTATATTGAACTTTTTTTTTCTTCTTTGCAGTCTGCATCAGAATTTGACGGAACACCTTATGTCGGAAATATGTATTGGTACCGTGTTTAATATGGATTCAAGCATCAGATGGTTGAGCTCTACCTTTTTATATACGCGCGTCAATCGGAACACCTCATATTATCAATCATTATGCAATGATGACTCTTTATCAAAACATCCGGAGCAAGTCATGCATGGTAATCCTTTTCTGATAAAAAAAAATGCTAATGTCAGCGATATATTTATTTATCTATTTATTCGATCATTGTAGATCTTTGCATTAATAATATGAATCTTCTTGTTCATCATGGTTTGGTCAATGTCACTGGTGAAGGATCAACTGCAAGTCACTCGGCAACATGTAAATGTTATAAAAGAAAAAAGTGGGTTAGATGCAATATGCCTAATCTGGACCTTTTTTTTTTTTTTTATATATATAATTTAGATTATGGAAGGACGATGGATCGATACTATATTCATCTAAAGACAATGGTTCTTATTATGAAACCTAGAGATTGGAATTCTGTGAAGGATGTGGTAATAAAAATAAAAATAAAAATAAAACTAGAAAAAAATTGATATATGGATGTCTCCTTGTGCTGCTTATTTTACTTTTATATCTAGTTAGAGCTGGTCAGTCAAGCCGAGGAATTCGAAACAAACAGATATAGTGCAAATGAAAAGTCTGTTCTCAATCACTTGCGTAACAATTCTGATGTGCGATTCCCTTTGAAAAACAAGCTAGCTTGTATATCTGACAAAGTATGTTTGGTTATTCAGGTAATTCTATTGAAACAGAAAAAAAAAAAAGAGCTAATCAATTCCAATTTCTTTTCTTTCTTATATTGTTAGTGCATCCTAGGGGATATCAGTTTATACCATCCAACGGCTGGAAATACTCTAACAACAGAAGGGTATGATATCTTACGAAAAGCAAGTCGGATAACAAAATGCAAGTCAAAAAGTTAGAAAGAAGACGCTAATGCTAATGATATCTAATAAATTTTTTTTTCTGAAATATTTAGGCATCATTGATTGTGCTGGTTATGAAAAAAACTCTCTCAAGTTAAAACATGCCATTGATCTCTATCAAAGTTTACAAGCAAAGATGTGGTCCACATCTCCATTTATTCTTAGACAAATTGAAGGCATTGGTACTCAAATTGCAAAGACACTCTCACAAAAAAATATTTGCAATTTTGATCAGTTACGAGATTGTGATCCTGGCAGACTTGAATTGGTAAGATTGAATGTTGACACAAGTAATGATATTCACTCATTCATCTTTTATAATCAACATTTATGCAATAGATACTTCACAGAAACCCACCTTTTGGAACCAAGATCAAAAGTGCCTTGTCATCAATACCTCATGTCCATTTGTATCTGCAACAGAAATCAAATCGAAATTATCAAGGTCAATATCCTACTATTGAATTGTCAGTAAAGATAGAGTCAATCAATCGTCTACAAGTCAACAAAACAATCAAGTTTGGAAAAGGATTCTATACGATCTTATGGATTGAAACAAGTACTCATGTTCTTATTGACTTTCGTCGCATTCCGTAAGTATCAGTTCTTACCCAGATTTGGTTAATTAATGCTAGTTCCTTTTTTTTGTCTTTTTTTATCTGTAGTACTCAACAATTGATGACTCGACCTTATGAATTATCATTTCAAGTACAAGTGACTTCTCCTTCAATGATGGTCTTATGTCATGTACAAAGTGAAGATTATGGTAAGCAATGGGATAAAATAAAATAAAATATAAAAAGGATATACGATGAAGAATCTCATATTTTCTCCGTTAGTTGGTGTTGACGTTATGAGTCAATTGAAACCTGATGTGGATCCAACTCAATTCATCACACTTACGGGCACTCCTTTAGCAATGACAACATCTGTGTCAGCAGCAACGCAAAGCACTATAAAAGACGATACTGATAGTTTTGGCGATGATGATGATGATATCGGATCAGATGTATGGCAGCGCCTTGTAGATGTGTTGGATTATGAAGAATCAAAGACAAAAGAAGGTAACGATTGATAAATACAGTGCTATAGCTTTGCATGAAACTCATCTTTATTCTTTGTTATTTCATTTTTTCTAGTTAAGATACAGTCCATTTCGTCGGAACACACAAAGCCATCTAGTACGCAGTACCAATGTAAACATCAGTGCAAAGATAAGCAAAGGTATTATATATAGATAAATGTGTTGAACATGAGCATTAATATTGACTTTTTTTTATTTTATTTTATTTTGGTGCTATTTTTTGGATGTCAATAGGTGTAAACATCCATGTTGTAAACGTGGACTATTTCAACCGGATCAACACAAGATTACAACCATGATGGGAAATTGTTCATCTTCCAACATACTCAACAAAGATGATCTATCTATGTCTGGTTTGGATGAGGATACAAAAGTTGGCATCAAGCGTGAAACACCTATCCTTATCTCTTCTCGAACACCACCACCACCAATAGTAGCAACAACAATAACATCTCACTCTGGAATTGTAGATACACTCAATGATACTAAACATGATGTGATGGGAAACTCGACTTTACAAAAACAAGCAACCAACATATCAACTGACAATGATTCCTGGATACTGAACGACGATAGTTTCATTGGCGATGTATTATCCTATAAGGCCAAGTGCGATCCAGTACACAACAATTCAACCCATCCAGGCAATAATAATAATAATGACGATGATGATGATAACAGCTTCAGCTTTCTCGATGACAATCTGTCGTTTATCACCGATGACCTTTATGGAGGCAAACCGCCTTTGATGGAAGTTGATCCTATAGATTGGCTATGGCATGACCTTGGGAAATTGATTAGCGACCCCTATTATGGAGCAATGGAACAAGATAACAATGAAGATGATAGCTTAATTGATCTCACTGAACTACCACCTATTGAAGAAGAACAACCCAGTCCAAAGTCAACAACTCATTTTGAAATATGGATTCAACATACAGCAACATTGACTAAAACATAGTTTATTCTTGTCCCCGATCCTTCCTTGCTGCTTTTATTATTCCTCTTCCATTGAATTATCATTAACCTAGTTTATTCTCTATTTTTATTATACATCGAATAAAAACCAAAAAAAAAAAAAAAAAAGATCTAATAATAACATAAAAAAAAAAGTACACACAAAGTGAAATGAAATTCTTCTACCAATCCATTCAGTCATCCTAACAAAAAAAAAAAAAAAAAAAAAAAAAAAAAAAAAGTACAAATGAGATTATTATCTTTGCCATTTGTTTTTTTTTTCTACTTACCCATTCATCTTCATCCACATCTTGTTCAAGTACAAGCTGATTTTCTTTTTGCCGCTGCCGTTCATCCTCTTGATCGACATCTTTCGCGGTGGCAAACATGCGATTCATGGTTTCTTGACGTTGTTGATCCAAACTAACTTGACGTTTCCCAGATTCAAACTTTTCTCTTGATCGATTCACTTGTTCTGCAGGAGGTGCTTTCGACACTATTCAAAAAAAAAAAAAATCAATCATGATCTTTTTTTTTTTTTTTGGAAACTTACAAGGTGTCATATCATCCGGTTGAAGAGAGATACGTTGTAATCCATGATCTTTTCCTTGGAACCAAGCTTCTGCTTCTTGAGCTGCATGTTCAATATCTAATGTTGGAATAAATACATCATCTTGGAAATACTCAGGCTATGCAAAAAAAAAAAAAAAAAAAAATCAGTTGTAGACTATTTCTCCTTTTTATTTTTTTTATTTTACCCTAGCACGAGGGACGTGTACACCAACAGGTTCAATGGTGGTGGGTGTCAATCGATAAAACTTGGCGATTTCTAATGTCTTGATGTTACATAAACGTTTGGGTAGAAAAGCAAATCCTTGTTGTAATGATCCAAATTCCAATTTAGCCAATGGTGTTAAAACTGTGTTGTTTTCAAATTCATAACAATGAATAATGCGATCACCCTAATAATAATAAAAAAAGATGAGTCAATCATCATATGTAGAGAGATTTTTTTTTTTTTTTTTTTTTACCTTGCCAGCAGCATAAAGTACTCGACAATCATGATCAAAGTGAATAGACATGACACTTGGAGATACATCAATGGCATTCTTTGATAAAATTGTACCAGACATGTCCAGTGTATCAAATAATAGGATTTCTCGCATAGATCCAAGACCAAATCCAACGCTGACCAAGTATTGATGATCATCCAACCAAACAAGACGACTTGGACGGTTTCCTTCATGTGCTTTTCGGGTTGAACCAAGCAATTCGCCAGTCCGAGCATCCACGATACGTAATTGTTTGTCTGCACTAACAGTTGCAATAGCTTTTCCATCTGGGCGCCATGCCATGGCTAATATCGGTTCAGTATGTACACCTTGTAAGATCAATTTTGGTGATGAAGATGATGTTGTATCCCAAATTCGAATGGTGGGTTGATGGAGATCTTGTGATGCTGTTGCTAAAACGTTTTTCGAAGTAGGATGGTATGAGAGTAGGCTGATCTTATCCATATGAGGATCTAAAAAAAAAAAAAAAAAAAAGTAAATACCAATCTATGCTCCTATATACATATATATATATATATATTTCACCTTGTAAAATAACCATGGGTTCAGAGAGATCATCTTCTAATCCATTTTCCGGAAGATAAAACACTCTGATCTTGCTATCTTCAGAGGCCACTGTGAGAATATAAGGGTCAAATGGATTAAATTGAAAACAAGTGATTTCAGAGCCAGTAAGAACACTTGGAATATGGATAGGTAAACGACCACCTCTGCAAGTCATGGTAGAGATAACTCCAATACGCCCACCAGGACCTGTAAGTGGAACAGCGATAAATTTGTCGTTAGCTTGAATCACTTCTGTCGTACTACTTCGCTTGCTATCAAGTCCTTTCAAATCGTCATAGTGAGTGCTTGGATGATACGTTTTACTGTTGATATATTTGTAGGTGGATGTATTGGTGGTACCGTATCTGGGTAGTTTCTTCTTTGTGATACCAGTAGTATCTGTGACAATGGAAGTGTTGGTTGTTGGGGTTGTAGTATTCGTGATGTTAGGATGATCTTTTACATTCTTGATCGAGTCGCTGCTAGGAGTGGGTTTTGTTTCTTCATGATGTGAAAGTTTTTGCTGATCATTTGTTGAATCATTTGACACTATCGATTCAGCATTAGAAGCTGATGCTGGTGTTTGTGAGGTTAGATGACCATTTTTTTGTTGATCGTCGGTGGCGCAAGAAGACGTGAGAGTTGGTTGATCTGTCAGTTTGTTTGAAGTCCTATCAGATGTGGCCTTGATATTAGGGGTAGATATGGATGGAGAAGCTTGCTTTCTTGAAGGATCCAAAGATATAGTAGCAACTTTACCAGTTTTTCCAGCAAACCATTCAGCACTTGATAAAGCAGGTACTAGATCATACAAAATAAAGAAAAAAGTCAAGTTTTCCAGTTAAATCTATGTTATAATACTTTTATTATGGCACTTACCATTTCCTTTAGTGTCAGGGAAGAGATCGGCATGAAAATCGATGTATTGCTAAATAAATAAATAAGTAAAAATAGAAAGGGGAAAAATATCTAATTAGATACAGAGTTTATTTTTTTTTTCTTTGCCAATCATTACCTTTCTTGGAACTTGATAAGAAACAGGGATCAAAGCATTGTCAGTAACAGCAATAAGTCGGGCAACTTCGGTATGCATAACATCCAAGGTTCTTTTCGGAAGTAAAGTCCCACCAAGTAAAGAAGCGTTTGTACCACAAGCCATATTTTCAGCTACAGTAGGAGTTGTGCCAAGATCACTGAATTGTAATGAACGGATGGTTGCATCTCCACGGCTGAGCAAATACATAGTTTCAGTGTCTTCATCGTAGAGAGGTAATAAATTTCCAGTAGAAGTGTCCAGTGGATTCATCATCAAAGGTTTAGATACATCACGAGAATCAAACACAGCATATTGGCGACTACGCATCTACAAATAAATCATAGGTAAATCATTCTTTCATTATTTTAAATAGAATTACCTTGTTCATTCCCACTGTAAATACATAATTTGAATCACCTAACCAAACCACGCGAGATCCCTTAATTCCTTCATGTCCTTTACCAGCCTAAAATGAAAAAGACACAAATTAGTTATGCACTTTATTTCTCCAAACTCCTATTTCATTTGGACGTTTTATTACTTGAATTTGCTTTTCTTGTGCCCTTGGATCCCAAATCTGCATAACATCTTTTCCAGTAGTAGCCAAAAGTGATCCATCTGATTTCCAAGAGAAGGAGTGTATAGGAGTAGTATCCAGTAAATCAATTGTACATGATGATTTTTCAATATCCCAAATGCATACTTTTTTGCCATCGTTTCCTAATGTAGTGAGAATCTATATAAAAAGAAAAAGAAGTGAGAAGTTGATAGACGGAATGGTTTGACTCTTTTTTTTTTTTAATACCTGGTCAGCAGTAGGATGAAATCGAATCATATCTATGCGTCTTGAAGGAGTAGTTAATGTAGATAAACAAACAGGGTCCAAAGTATCATCCTTATCAGGGATTTGCCAGAGCTTGATCTAAAAAAAAAAAAAATCGTTCCCCTTAGTTTTTCTTCTGACAGATTTGTCTTGTTCTTTTTGTTTTACCATAGAATCTTCTGCACCAGTAGCTAATAAATAATCATCAAAGGGAGAAAAATGCCAATCCGATATAGAAGCTCCATGCGCATGAAATACTCGAGCTTCAGTAGCACAGTTTTTGCCAGGTCTATCCACAGGTAAAAGTCCAATTGATCCACTACCTTGAAAACAAGGATATTATATTAATAAAGAACGTTCTTTTCATGTTTGTTTATCTTTTACTACCCCATTTGATGGCAAGCCAAGAAGTATTTGCTTGAATTAAGGAGGAAAGATCAGATGATGAGGAGGTGACAGGGATATCAGCATACCAAACCTATATTAATAGAAAAGACAAATGTTAATAAGTATTAGAAGTATTATAACTTTAAACTTACTTCTTTGTTTGAAATAGTTCCAACGGAGTTTCGATATTTATTAAGATTCTGAAAACGTCTATTCATTTTGAATAACAAAAAAAAAAAACAAAGAAAGAGGGTGAATAGGAGAAGAATAAAAAGGAAAAAGAGAACCTAAAAAAAAAAAAAGAGAGAGGACACGGATGTCTACAAAGGAAAGTGAAAATTTGGAAGAGCGACTTTTAAATATTGGGAGGGAACCAGTTCAATTTTTTCCTTTTTTTTTTTTCCTCTCTCTCTCTTTTTCTCTTATTCCCCATTATAAAGTGTATATATATATAAATCATGCGCTTTTTTAACTTATCACCCTCAACAAGTTCAAATACTGCTTCCACATTCAAACATAAAGCTATTGTTGGTAGTACTTTTGGGTTATGTATGGGCGTAGCAGCTCTTGGCACTGCCAACTTCTTTGGGTAAGTTCTCAAAAAAAAAAAAAAAAAACATTCATCCTTTCTAATCTTTCATTCCCCTGTTTCTTCATTTACTTTCTCCTTTTATCATATAGATATAGTAGTAGAACAGTATCTCATTATATGGCTAGTTCTGCTGTTTCTCTTGCTGCTTTACTAGGTAAAGAATAAATTGATTTTAGCCAAATTTTAGATGAAACTAAATTAACTTTTTGTTTAGGTGCACAAAAATTAATATTCAAAGATGAACCTTTTCCAGCTTTACTCTATCAATCGGCTGCTTCTCATGCTAATAAACCATTACAACATCTTCGATTATTAAACAACTCACCACCAACCATGTCTATTCAATCCAACTCTCCCTTATTTGTACATATTCACAGCAATACATAAAAGCAACTACAACAACACGTGGATTCATGAACACCGTGGAAACAATCAAGGTCCCAATTGGTGTAACTGTAAACAAAGTCTAAAAACAGTTCATCATGTAGGTGTTATTACAGTAGAAGTAGTTTAGTCATTATTTATACCAATTAAATTGTTTGTCCCTTCCCTTTATATATATATATATCATTGATATACTGCATAGTATCAATAAAGTTTTCTTGTATTCTATTGACAAAATAATTATATATAGACATATATGCAGATCCTATTGCAAAGCTTGATGATAATCACTTTTCATCCATTATACATAACGAAACGATGAACTGAGATGGAATTTCACAGAGAAAAAAGTAATCAAAGCTTCTATTTGGAAAAATATTTGAATTCATCTACCAAAGTAGTACGGTGAGAAATAATATGAAATATACGTATCTGAGCCATAAACAAAATAAAAACTTATTTTGCTGGATGCAGGCCATCGTAACATCAGTGGTCTGTGTGTGGGCAAAAAAAAAAAAAAAAAAAGAAAAAAGTATAGCATAATCTTTTAAATGCCACTTGAAGGCTTCGAATGAAATAGTTGATATTAGATGATGGATGATTGTATTGTGATGATGATCATACCTGTAATGCTTTTTGTAAGTAGCAAACAGTCCTCTTCAGCTCACGCTCAGCACTTCATCTATCACTATTTTCAATTGCCGCTTTTTCGATTTGTATAGATTAGTTTTTTTCACGAAAGCGCGCGTTGCCTATTTTTCCTTTTTTTTTTTTTTTTTTTTTGTTAGCTTTCCGAAATGTTATCGATTGATGGTATCTTGAACAAGACGAACAGCAACAATGACAACAGTACGGTGGAAAAAGAATCCAATGAAAATTCAATCACTCAGGACAAGGGCAAATACATTCAAAAAGCTCATGATCTTGTCAGGGGTCCTTCACTCGATATCAAACACAGCAACAACCAAGTCCAACATGATACACCAATCAACCCCATTAGCTTAATTGAAAGTGATGACGAATATGGCACTGGAACCGACAATGATATGGATATCGCTGATTACATTGACCACGCCTTGTACGATTCTGACAATGAGAAAAGTGCAAAACAGCAACAACAATCACCCAATGCACCCGACAATACTACTCATTTAGAGAATGGATTCAAGAACAAAGGAAGGGGTTCACCATTATCATTGGCGGATAATCTCGAACAACAACAACAACCAGATAGAATGTCATTCTTGAATTATAGTGATGGAGGAACAATATTCGATTCACCACAATCCAGTTCAGCCACCTTTCCAATCACTTATAACAACGATGACAACGATAACAACGATAACAACAACAACGACAATAACAACGATAACAGCAACAATAGCAACGCTAGTAATAACAACAACAACGAAAATGGTATCTATAATGGTGACGACAGCAATGCTAAACAAGTCGATGACAACAAGAATGACAAGGACGACAGTAGCAGCAGCCACGACAACAAAACCACTAGTAGTTCATCTCAATTCATCTATCATTCTCCCAATAGTACAGTGGCGACTTCCTTACTTGAAGACAATAACTCATTGACGGCATATACTGAAGCAACAGATAAAGCGACAAAAAGCATTTTACAGACGAAAAGAACACCAGAAGAACAAGATGATGACAATTATAAGCAAAAAAAGACTAGGAAACGATCTACATCAACCAACTCACCAACACCGGATATCCCAGTAGGTCCTCTTTCTGGAAGTAGTCAAGGGGCGATGGTATTGAATTATTATCAGGACGATGATACTGAGGACGGAGACGATGATGATATGGAACCTAAATATGAAGTGGAGGCTATTCGTGGACACAAAATCTACCGGGTATATTTGAATAAACAAGAAAAAGAAAAAAAAATGTGATGTTTTCTTTTTTATTTATCAACTCGACTAATCATCTCTCTTTTTTTTTTTTTTTAGAATCGTGTGATCAGATACATAGTGAAATGGAAAGGATACCCTGATAGTGAAAATACAATGGAACCAGCCAACTCATTCCATGAGTAAGTAAGAGGATCAATTAAAAAAAAAAAGAAAAAGGGAAATATCGAAATAGTGTCTAACTATCCATTATTATTATTATTATTATTATATTACTTGATGAATGGTTAGAGATTGTACAGATTTATGTTTACGATATTGGAGCTCACTTCCAGCATCAAAACCTCGACCTGTCAATATTCCTCGTGACCCGTCAGCAGTTTCTATCCTCTCATCCGATGAAGAAGACAGATCTGAAGCACCGAAACAACAAAGAACTCCAAAGACATCAAGACGGAAATCAGCAACGCCAATACCCAAATCTCCAGCAGCATCTCGAAGATCCGTTACACCCCGATCCACCTCATCAACATCATCAACATTATCAAAATTAGCAGCAAAAACGACGAAATATGCAAGAAAAACGAAAAGAACCCGTACATCCAATAAAGCAATATCATTGGATGATGATCATGATGGTGAAGATGATTATGGTGACAATCCTAATGAATCGTGTAATGACAAGAAGGTGACGAAACATGATGATGTATGGACGAAAAATGCACTTGGAGATGATGACGATATGTATGACATGGGAAATACATACAGTGACGATGTAAACGAAAATGAGTATGAAAATGATCATTCTGATGACGGTTATTTTGAACCAGACGACAAGAAATCAAGACTTGAAAAAAAGAACAGCAAAAAACCTTTGACGATTGAACAAAACAATCGTATCCGTAGAAATAGCAGCAGCAATAACAGCAAAAAGAACGAGGATGACATCTTTTTTCAATTGGCCAAAAAGAAACGATTAGTTCAAAAGCATGTTGCAACCAATTATAGTGATAATGGATATGATCTTGCATATACCGCAGCGTCTCGTGAATTACTAACACATGTGGATTGGCATGATGAAGCTTTTACTATTCGAAACGTTTTACGAGCAAAAGGATTTCCTAGTCAAAAATTGGTTTATTTGGAATGGTAAATGGGAAAAAAAAGAAGAATGATTTGATTTCATTATTAACTTTTTTTTTCCTTTCACTAGGTCCAATGGATTGAAAACTGCACATATGATAGATGAAATACGCGAAAGATCTCCTAAAAAGGTAAGAAAGTTTTTGAAAAATCCCAAATTTCTATTCTATTATTCAATTTTTTTTTTATTTATTTATTGTAGTTATGTTTATTCTTTGAAGAAAGAATAAAATATTATTGATATTATTTGTTTATTTTAAATTAGTGAAATTAGCTATATAGATATTTATTATCTTTATGTGTATATGACATGTCAATAAAGAAACCTTCTTTTATATATATATATATATATATCTTTTTGGCTCAAAGGGGAGCATGAATAGGTACAAACGACGTGTGAAACCTACGGAGTATGAAAGCTGCAGTGAACATTCAATCAAATATGAACTGATCATTTTCTCCTTTTTCTTTTTTTTTTTTTTTTTTTTTTTACTTTCTTTTTTTTCTTTTTCTTTTGACTTCTACGTTAGTATTTATTTATTTATTTTAATGTCCAAACAACTAGACTATAGTTATGAACCTTCACGACAAGACCTCAAGTTAGAAATTCGCAAAGACAAACCATTCAATGCAGAACCAACTCCTCCTGATCTTGTTAAAGCATATATTACACCTTTAGAACATTTTTTTTGTCGTTCTCATGGACCATTACCAAAGTTAGACGATCACCATGTCATTAGCATTCAAGGCATTGGATTAGAAACTGCACAACAATTCACTGTGGAACAGCTCAAACAACAATTCAAGAAAAAGACTATAGTAATGGCAATGCAGGTAAATACACGTTTATTTTCCCACACTTAGTTCTCACCCTTTTCGGTCTTTCTGATTCTCTCTCTCTTTATATAGTGCGCTGTAAGAAACAATATCAAAACCAGTTTTGAAAAATGATTTATATTTAACTTTTTATATTCTTTAGGGTAATCGACGAGATGGATTACATAAGGTGAAAGATACAAAAGGGGTAAAAAAAATAAAGATATTCATATGTACATAGAAAAGATCTTTTTTTTTAGGTAAAATATATATATTATATCCTTATCTTATTAAATTTTAGGTAATTTGGGGTCCAGGTGCAATTGGGAATGGGTCTTATGCTGGTTGCCGATTGAAAGATGTTCTTGGTTCTATTGGAATTAATTGCCAGTTACCTGATATTGGATCACTTCATGTTGCATTTGAATCAGTAGAACAGGTGAATAAAAAAAAAATTATCACATGGATCGAGTAAAATATTCTCATCTTTTATTATTATTATTATTATTATTATTATTATTAGTGTGAAGAAGATAGATGTTATGGGTCCTCAATTCCTTTATCCAAAGCATTGTACGTTGATACCAAAAAAAAAAAAAAAGGGGGGATGGGAACTTTTATCATCGCTAATGACTTTTTTTTTATTTATTTATCAAATATTAAACATTAGAGATGAATTTGGTGATGTATTATTGGCTTATGAGGTAAATTTAAAGAAAAACAAAAGAATTAAATGGTTGTACAAAATCTCAATTTATTCCTATTCTAGATGAATGACGCACCATTGACGCAAGATCACGGCGCTCCTATTAGGGTTGTTGTTCCAGGTGATGTAACAAAGGAGGAAATGAGGATTTTTTTTAATTCCTTTGTTAACCTTCTTTTTTTTTTCCTTTTTTGAAAATATAGGTTATATTGGAGCAAGATCTGTCAAATTTTTAAAGTCCATTATCATTCAAAATCAAGAATCATCTTCTTACTTTCAACAAAGGGATTACAAAATACTACCTTCTCATGTAAGTTTATATATATCATGGTTCAAATACATGATGATCTATATATATAAATATTTTTGATGGAGTAGATTGAAACAGAACAACAAGCAGCTGAATATTGGTGTAAGGTACCTTCTATTGGTGAATTCAATGTCCAATCTTATGTATGTGATCCTGCTGATGGTCAAGTTGAATCCAATTGTCGTCAAGCCAGAGTTTCTGGATATGCACTTTCTGGTAAGAGATAAAGAAAAATGAAGAAATAAAATGTTTTCATTTTAATCTTTATTATTCTCTTTTTTTTTCAGGTGGTGGTCGTGGAATCCAACGCGTCGGTAAGTTAAGACGATTTATGCGAATCGGTGTAATCATTCTCTTTTTCTTTTTTTTTTTTTTTAGATGTCTCTGGGGATGATGGTAAAACTTGGAAAGAAGCTATCTTATATCAACCAAAAACAGATTCTACTACAACCAATATGTGGGGATGGTGTCTTTGGACTGTTGAAATTAACGTGAAAAGAAATACACGTATTGTTAGTCGTGCAGGTAAATTGATTTTTTTTTTTTAATAATCAATGGAAAGCAAATCATCTTATCTCTTTTTATACATATATATATATCTTAGTGGATACATCAGGTAATATTCAACAAGAATATCCAGTGTGGAATTATCGTGGCGTGATGAACAACTCTTGGCGTACAATTGATAGAAGAGACAAAAACAATGCAGTTTTATAGATACTTTTATATCAACTATTTATTTTTACCCTAAATTATGATAATAAACTGATGTCGCTCTTTTAAAACTTGATATTTTATGGGCTGCAACCTGTTCTTCGGTCTGCTCTTTTTTTTTTTTTTTCCTTTTGCTTGGTTTCTTTCTTTCTCTCTCTTTTTATATATATATTTATATTTATTGTGATTTTTCAACACCATGTCAGGGAATGGTTCTTTGAAAAAACAAGGTAAAACTTTATGACAAGCACTTACGATCTTTTTGGTTTGATACAAAAGAAGATAAAATATGAAAAATAGAACATTTTATCTTTTAAAACTTGTTGAAAAGATGATGGATTAGTTTTCACGAATAAACGTATGAATCCTGTTTATTATGACTTATACACTTTTTCTTTTTCTTTAGAACCATTAACTGAAGAACAACAAGCTATTTTAAAACAAAAGTCTGCTAAAATTGAAAGGTTACAAACAGGTATTTTTTAAAAATAAACAGTGTACCTCTTGATTCGTTCGATCACTTATAACTCATGGGTATTTATACTACATTTATATTTCATTTTTATATATATATAGATATTACCAACTTATCTAAACCACTTTTTGGTGACGATGCAAAAGAAAAAGGATGGACAAAACACATTACACCTGGTGTTCTTTCTGTTTTTCAAGATAACTCAAGTTGGAATAAACTTACCTTGAAACCAGGCAACCCAGTATTTAAACAACAACAACAACAACATTCTCAAGAACTTCAACAAGCGGCAGGATCCAATTGGAAGAAAGTGAAAGATGTATTAACAACTGATATATCGGATGGTAAATCACTCAAAACTATAACAATGTACTTTTTTTTATAAAAGATTTATTTCTTTTTGTTTTTTACTTTTAGGTGATGATAGTGTATCTGAAAGTGAACCAGCAACTACCAAATTGAATTATCGTGATATGAAAACTTATGGTAATTTACCTATGAAAGATGAAATCGCTGTGGTCAACTGCAAATCTTGTCATCGATCCATTTTGGCTAGTAGCTTCAAAAAACATGTTGGTAAGTGGTTAAAATCAAGACATGATCTTTTTTTTTTTTAAAAAAAAAAAAAAAAACAATTGTTTTGATGAAGGTCTTTTTTTTTTAATTTTTATTTTTTTATTTTGACAGATGTTTGTATCAGAAAAGGAAATGGTACTAACAGCAAATTGGAAAAGAAAACAACTATGAATACAAACGGCGACGGGACCAAAAAGAAAGTATCAACTCAAAATTTCTTTTCTGACAATGATAATGACGATGATGAAGAAGATGATGATGATCATATGGGTACTTTGAAACAAAATAATAAGGACGCGACATCGATGAAAAAGAAAAAAAAACTAGTGAAAGGCAACAATAATATTGGCAAAGATAACTTACAGGATGAAGATAGCAGCGCCAATTCAAAGCGACCACCTCCGAATTCTATGGAAAAAGGAGAGAAAAAGAAGATGAAAAAGGAAAAATCAAAAACGAAAACCAAACAAAAAGGTAATAACAATTTGTGGAAAAGAAAAATAAAAAAGAGAATTATTGATGGACGATCTTTTTGTTATTTTTAGCTCCTTTAGATCTGGATAAGCAATGTGGCGTTATACAACAACCCAATGGTTTACCATGTACTAGGTCTTTGACGTGCAAGAGTCACTCAATGGGTGCGAAAAGGGCAGTAGCTGGACGGTCTCAACCTTATGATGTGTTACTGCAGGCGTATCAAAAAAAGGCGATTGGTCGACCTCAATGTAAGTTTTATTTTATTTTGGGAAAGTCACATCTCATTTTTCTTACTCATCACGCAAATTCACTTTATCTTTTTCCTATTTTTGGTATAGCTGGTGCTGTGGGTGCATTGACTGGCAAAAATACAAAAATGAAGAAAGTGCCTTCATCTACACCGAATGGACATGTTAATGGCAGCGTTAATCTCAATACCAATCATACAAATATCACATCATCATCAACGACATCATTAACTTCAGCAACAACAACGTCAACAGGGAACAATGAAGATTATTTAGATTCTGATGATGAAGTGGAAAATGTTATGCAGGCTTTACGATCTAATCATCCAGCACCATTAGCACAAAAACCATACTTTTATGTCAAACGACAAAGACAATGTTACCGATTACGAGATATTTTATTGGAAGCCATTACACCAAAAATGAAAACAACTGATAGTGACAATGGATCTATTCATCATCATAATCTTTTGACCAATAGCAATACGGCAGGTATGTCAACTTCCGGATTTTCGGTGACAACGCCAGTGACAACAACTACATCAACATTATCAACATCTCAACACGATTCTTCCTATTACCCGAAAACATATTCCTATCAAGATGGAGGATTAGGATCAAGAAACCACCAATTACAACAACAACAACAACAATCATCATCATCTTCGTCACCGATTAGTGCCACCATCGGTTATCCGGGGATATACAATTCTATGGATGGTCTCTCTCCGACTAGTCCTTCAACATCATCTGTAGTTAGTACATACTCTATTCGTTAGTTAATGAATTGAATTCTTATTAGTATAGTTATTTTTATTTTTATTTTTATTTTTGATATGATTATACTAATTATGCAATTCATTGATTCTCCCCCCCCCTCTTTTTTTTTTTTTATTATTATTAACAACTATTATTATTGTTATTATGTGTATATAGTGAAAAATAAATAAATATATGTATGTATAAAAAAAGATGCTTTGATTTTTACCACGTGGTAGGTTTATTGTCCTGATAAGTCTTAAAAACGTATAGAAAAAAAGTGCATGTGATTTGGCAGGAATTGTTTTCTCATAGAGATATGATAAAAATCATATTGGGAAAGAACTGAAAGATGGTGATGGTGATACACACAGTAACCAAAGATGGGGATTGGTGGGGGGGGATGATTGTTGTTTTTTTTTCTCTTTTTTTTTTTTTTTTTTTTTTTTTTTTGGCCAGTAAGGTTTTTTTTTTTTTTTTACTTGAAGAAATAAGATATAGATGGCCAAAAAAAAAAAAGAACTCATAAATCAACCAACCCAAAAACAGAAGGGGAATGAAAAAAAAAAAAGAAAATAAGGGGTGTCCTAAAAAGGAAATTCCAGCAGTCTTTTATCCTTTTGCCCTAAAATCTCAAAGTCAGACCTCAACCATTTTCTCTTTCTTTCCTTTTTTTTTCCCTTTTTCTTTTTTTGGTTCTTATTGTCTTTTCTTTTTCTTTTTCTTTATAGACGGTTATATAAAGAATATTTATACAATATTACATTCATTCTTCTCTCTTTTCTTCGTTTCGTTCACCATTTTAGCCTTCATGACTCCTTCACCAAGGTAAATCTACTCTCTTATAAATATATATATATGAATATAACTAGATATAGATATAGTTAGAACCGGGAACTGAATATACTATAAGTGTGATATACGATTTACCTCTCTCTCTATGATGAGGTATTTTGAAAGAATCACCTATATCATCATTATTATATCTTTGTTCATATATACTTATCCTTTTTTTTCTTTTTTTAATTTAATTTTATTAGGCATCTTGAAAATAACGAACGATTGAAACTTCCACCTATATCCTCTATGGATGGTTATATACAAAATCGAAACATCATGGCCCCCCCTCCGTTATCACCTACTCCTCCATGGTCATTATCCAATAGCAATACTCGCATCGATGAGCAATCGATTCAACCTCAGCAGCAACACCGCACATCACTTCCCTCACTAGTATCATCATTATCATCATCACCATCATCTTCTTCATCTATAACTGCGCCCATCAATCAACAAAATCAATATCATTTACGACAACATTCATTACCTCATATCACAGCCACAATTCCTAACACCTCTTCATCATCTTCATTATCAACATCTGCTCCTTCTTCTTCTTCTTTGTCTATACCTAAATCATCAACAAGACGACCTAGTATTATTTCACAACAGGAAGAAGAAGAAACACGTCGACGATCTTCATCATCATCATCTCAAGATCAAGCAATCATACGAATAGATAACGATGTACAAGAGGTATATTAAATAAAAAAAGATGAAATATATTGTGATTTACCAATTATTTGAACTCTTTTTTTTTCCCTTTGGATTAGGTGATTCGACAATGTTATTATCTAAGCGATAATATGACACAACAAAAACATCTTTTACTTGATCAAGATTATTTTTGTGACTCAACTAAGATGCAACCCTGGCTAGATGGAATGATTGGACGTGCGAACGAAGTATTGAATGCTTTATTACGATTACGAAAACATCAAATGGCTGCGGAAATAGCTCGATTACATGGAAATGATGGTGATGCCACTCTTAGTGGGAATGATGATGATAATGATTCCCTTCAGGTAATAAAAAATAGATATAAAAAAAAAAAGAGGACTTTATATATTCTTGGTGTGACTAATTTGATGAGGCTTTATTCACTTTTTTTTTCGTTTTTTTACTATTTAGGGTCGTAACCAAGAAAATGAATCATCAAACAAAAAAACCAACAAATCATCCAAAAGAGTAGATGCCAATTTTCATTCTATACCACAAAAGAAACGAGGCGTAAGAAGATAATCATAAGAGAAAAAAAAATGAGACGTGTTGTTAATAATTCTTTTATTTGTATAGCGGCGTTCTGTGTTTCAAGGTCGATGTCATTCTTGTAATATCTCTGAAACACCTGAATGGCGACGAGGTCCTGATGGAGCAAGAACTTTATGCAATGCCTGTGGATTACGTATGTTACGAAAATAATAATAATAATTATTATGAATGGAAGTGTTTACCACGTTACTAACCTAACTTTATTTCAAATCATAATAGATTATGCTAAGCTTGCTAGGAAAAAGGCTGAACAACAAAAAGATCAAGTGAAAAATGGAAAACGAACGGCTTATGATGTACTGGTAACTGATTTATCTATGCAAGACTATGATTCCATTCGTAGACCTAGGCGTACTCACCCTCAATATTCAAAACCATCTTCTCCTCTTTTTGATGATGACAGTGAACCTCGTCCTTCTGAAAATATTATTCCTTCACCTCCAACTCCTTAACCTTCAATTTATTATTGTATTATTGTATTATTGTTTTATCCTTGTATTCTTTTGTTTTTTTTTTATTTTACTTTTTATTTTACTTTCTTCTTACTTTTTTTTTTGTGCATCATCCAAAAACTTTTTGTTCTTTTCTTGTCATTTTTTACCGTATTCGGTAGACCCCACTATTTTCTCAATAAATCAAATCTTTCCTCAATCTATGGCGTTATATAAAAAAGGCAAAAAGTCCCTTCAATAGTATATATATATCTTCTTCCTCTTTTTTTTTTTTTCTTTTTGAACTTGTCAAACTTATCTATACCGATCAACCGGAAGAGATCATTTTTTTTTATTTGATTTGAATCATTCACCGTTATCTTTTCCCACTATTGGGTTGACAAAAAAAAAAAGGAAAAGGATCCGAAAGTCTAAATTTTGCTATCGTCCAATCAACAACAAGGATAATCACTAACTTGAGGCATGTCATTGTTATCACATCTAACCAATGATATATTTTTTATCCTTATCTAATTGATTCTCCGTATGAACCGAAGATTTATAATAGACTTTTTTCATTTTCATTTTTTTTTTTTTTAAAAAAAAAAAAATTATAAATCAGATCGCTTAAAACATGCAACACTGTTAGAAAGGTAGTTGTATGACCCAGCATTGCTTCGTCATGCCTCCCAACATTTGATGTCAATAAAAGACAGGGCCCTTCATTTAACATCAAACGAATACTGGAAGATGGATCGTAACAAAGTCTGAGAAAGCTATCATCATATTATTCTAGTAATTAGAATGATTTTGTCTAAAGTTTTTTTTTTTTTCTTAACTGGTTGCTTGTTTACTATGCCGGCTTTTCAATAACAACTTGTGGTACCCTCCCCAGTCCAGATCTTCCACTCTCCGATTTCAACTTTTTTATAAAAACAAACGGATGACGATATGTAAAAAGATATACGATGATCAAAAAATGCTATATTTCGTCAGCCAAAGATGATCTAACATCATGTCACAATTTACTCAGTTTGGCAGGTAATATCAAAAAGATCCACCAGTTATTTCTAAATACCTAATTAGGGTAGCGCCCTCTGTACATTATACACTTTTTTTTTCTTCTTATATATAAATACATGTTATTATCACAAGATTAATGAAAGATCATCAGGAGGTTGATCTTTTGTGCACAATACATGTTCATTTTAACAGAGCCGGAGAAGGATGAATACCCATCCATACAAAAAAAAAAAAAAAAAAAAAAGATCGGTTGATTTTCACTTCCCGCGACCAAATCTTGCTTGTTGTTTTCTCTTCTTTGTCTCTCTTTTTCCTGATAAAAGCGAAATTTTATATACTTTACCCTTTTGGAGTCATTGATTTCCTGAATGTTGCCACGACTTTCAACGTCCTGGTTACGGGCACCTACAGCATTATGTAATAGAACTCCACTGCGTACAAACAATCAGTGCTTATCAACATGGACACACCAACCATTATTGATTCGACCAGGGTTTTTCTCCACCAAGAAAACTTATAACTCAACCATATCTAACACTATTACTGCTTGGCCTGGAGGCAGGCGTGCATTTACGTCCGAAACATCAAAACTTACCGATAAAACGCTTATCAACAAGACGGTGAATGCAACCACGCCAAACAAACCAACACCTGTAGTAGAGTCAACAAAGGATCGGAATAAGACAGACTGGGCTATTATTCGTCAAATGATGAAATATATATGGCCAAAGAATGATGTTGGTGTCAAGACTCGTGTGGTGATCGCCTTATCTTTACTAGTTGGTGGCAAGGTAAAAGAACTCTCCTTGTATTTGTATAGTTTGATAAAAAAAAAAGTATTAAATTATTTTTTTTACTTTCTTTATCATTACCTTAGTTATTGAATGTACAAGTTCCTTTTTATTTTAAGAATGTGATTGATTCTCTGAATGCAACAATACCGGAAGATGCTACCATGTGGGCTGTGTGTGGAGCTGCAATCATTGGCTGTAAAATAAATAAATAAATAAATAAATAAAAGGATAGTGATTGGATACTAATATATATTCATTTTATATAGATGGACTTGCTCGACTTGGTGCAAGTGCTTTTCAAGAATTACGGAATGCTGTATTTGCTAATGTTGCACAAAAGGCAATTCGACGTGTAGCATTGAATGTCTTTTCTCATTTACATCGATTGGATCTTGGATTTCATTTAAATAGACAAACTGGTGGTCTCAATAGAGCTATTGATCGTGGTACAAAGTAAGTAAAGAAAGAACAAAGAAAAAGTATGTGATTGTCTGACCTCTTTTTTTTTTTTAAAAAAAAAAAAATGTAAAATAGAGGGATCAGTTTTATGGTGAGCTCCATGGTATTCCATGTATTACCAACAGCATTGGAAATATCAATGGTCTGTGGTATTCTGGTATGTATATGTAAAAGAATGTATCGTATAAATGATTTTTCATTTTCTTATTTTTTTTTTTTTTAGGCATACAATTTTGGTACTCCATATGCATTATTGACTTTTTCTACCATTGCTGCTTATACTGCCTTTACTGTGACCACAACTGCTTGGAGGTAAGTTTTTTTTTTAATTCCAGTATGATTTTTCACTTATCACATTATAATTTATAGAACTCAATTCCGAAAACAAGCCAATGCTGCTGATAATGTGGCTGCCTCGAAAGCTGTTGATTCTTTGATCAATTTTGAAAGTGTCAAGGTAAAATTGATCCCTTTTTATTATTATGATTTGACCAAATTCTATCTTTTTTTTTTTTTATTATAGTATTTCAATAATGAAAAATTCGAAGCGGAACAATATGATAAGCCTTTACAAAAGTATGAAAAGGCATCGCTCAAAGTGGCTACTAGTCTGGCAGCACTCAACGCAGGACAAAATGCAATTTTCAGTACAGCATTAACGATGATGATGTTACTCTCAGCTAATGGTGTAATGAAAGGAACAATGACGGTGGGTGATGTAGTCATGGTGAATCAACTAGTCTTCCAATTGTCAATGCCTCTAAATTTTCTTGGATCGGTTTATCGTGAATTAAGACAATCGCTTATCGACATGGATACTCTGTTTGACCTTGAAAATCGTACTCCATTAGTAGTGGATGCACCTAATGCTAAGGAATTTGTCTACAAAGGTGGTGAAATTCGATTTGAAAACGTCACGTTTGGTTATCATCCTGATCATCCTGTATTGAATAATCTCAACTTTGTCATTCCTGCTGGTAGCAAAGCAGCCTTTGTTGGTCATTCTGGATGTGGTAAATCAACCATTCTACGCCTTCTCTTCCGTTTCTATGAACCTCAATCAGGAAATATCTATGTGGATGGACAAAATATCAAGGATGTGACTATGGATAGTCTGCGACGAGCTATGGGTGTGGTACCTCAAGATACAAGTCTCTTCAACAATACAATCTTTTACAATATTCAATACGGACGCACTGATGCTACTGCCGAAGAAGTGTATGATGCTGCCAAAAGAGCTCGGATTCATGATACCATTATGGCACTCCCTGAACAATATGATACTACTGTTGGTGAACGAGGGTAAATATATAAATGATACATATGTATAGTTTTGTTCTCATTTTTTTTTTTTTTGACTTATAGACTTATGGTATCTGGAGGACAACGACAACGTATTGCCATTGCACGTGTGATTTTGAAAAAGCCAAAGGTAAATACGTCTTTATTGTTATAAGGATAGATTACTGATTTTGTAAATTTAGATTCTTATGTTAGATGAAGCAACGTCTGCATTGGATGGTAAGTTTATTTTAAAATAAAAGAATTAGGATGGTTTTTCTAATTTTTTTTTTCTATATACTCTTGTTTATAGCACACTCTGAACGACATGTCAAAGAAGCCATGACTGAATCAATGAAAAATTGTACAGTGCTTGCAATTGCCCATCGTTTATCTACAATTCAAGCCTCAGGTAAGATGAATGATAACAATGATGATTGTTCTTATTCTTGTTTTTTTCTATTACGATTAGATATGATTATGGTGATGGGACGTGTACCTGGAAGCATCATTGAAAAAGGTAAAAAAAAAAAAAAAAAAAAAAAATGGAACCAAAGATTCATTGAAAAGAACTCATTTTGTATTTTCTTTTTTTTTTTTTTAACCAGGAACACATCAAGAACTCCTGAATAACAAATCAGCTTATTACAAACTTCATTCTCAACTTGCAAGCTCGGAATTATTAGAACAAGAACTTCAGAGTGCCTTATAGACTTATATTATTTATTATTCAATAAAGAATTTTTTTGTGTGTGGGTGTATCTTGGATACAGATGATTGATTGGTAAAGTTACAATCATGCGTTGTGTGAATTACAAGTCCGCCCCATGTTCTTTTTTTTTTGTGCATCAATTGTCTTTTGTCTGCCTCTCACCAATTTAATTCCGCTTCGTCTTTCTCTCTCTCTCTTTTTTTCTTTGTACTCTCTCACACCATTCTTTCTCGCTTTCAGCTTTTACTTATTTATCACTATCAAGTATGGATCAGGCCTTTGCTAGATATATAAAAGTAAGTAGTCAAAAAGTGACTACTAATTACTTTACACCTTAACCTTTTCACTTCGTCCAATGTTGACCATGCTTTTCCTTTTTCTTTCTTTCTTTCTTTTTTTTTTTTTCTTTTAGCATAGAATCTTCTTCAAGTACGCAACAACGCGTCAAGCATGGCCTTCATCAAGGAAAACTCTTTTTACGAATCATTCTTCCTCCAATATGGTATGCAACAAAAGAAAAAAAAAATACTTCCGTTGGCTATTCTCTTTTTGACAATATCAATCTAAATGTCTTTTTGACAATGTCAATCTAATCTTTTTTATTCATCTTTTTCTTTTTTTTTTTATTTTTAGATTAGCTGTATACATGTTCGAAGAATGACTGGTCCTCCTTATAGAAACCGTTGGCAATATTTGGCTAGGTTGGAACAAGATGCTAATGCTCATCCGAGTGATCCTCGGTTACAAGCTACATTGTACAAAGTAAAGGAAGATAGAGTAGAGGAAGTGTACATCGAATGATTTTTTATTTATTTATTTGTTTTATTATATATTTTTCATTAGGAACTTCGAATGGCCAAACGACAAAGAGACGTGATCAATCGATTTGAAAATTCAACATGTGCTCATGACGATGAAAGTTATCGTCATTATATAGCTGCTTTAGTGGAAACAGGTCAAGAAAACAAGGTCATGCCAGAATTGATGAAGCATATGGAAGGTAATGATATAGATGATATGATTTTATCTGATGGTGAAATCTTTTAAGGTTTTACAAAGTCCGGTTAACATACGTTTTTTTTTTTTGTCTTTTTCTTTTTCTTTTTCTTACTAGGGAAAAATACAGCTAGTTCATCTTCGGGTACAAATAAAACTGATCCAGTCTATGTAGTGGTAGAAGAAGGTAAGTGTCAATAAAAATTGGATCAATAGAGTCTTATTTTTTTTTTTTTTTTTACTATTCATTGTAGCTCCGGGAGCGATGTTTTGGAAAGCGTTACGTTGGATTGGTGTTACCTTTACATACACTTTTTGTCTATTGACTGTATTATCACTCTCTATGGAAAACTCAGGTTTACTCAAAACATCATCATCAACGCAATCGGAATACGAACCTTCTCAGCAGCAAGTGGTTAAGTTTGAAGATGTACAAGGGTGTGATGAAGCCAAAGACGAATTGGAAGAAATCGTTCAATTTTTGAAGAATCCACATCGATATACTGAATTAGGTGGAAAATTACCTAAAGGTGTTCTATTGACAGGTCCACCTGGTACTGGTAAAACTTTGTTGGCTCGTGCAGTTGCAGGTGAAGCTAGTGTACCTTTTTTCTTTATGTCTGGTAGTGAATTCGATGAAATGTATGTTGGCGTTGGTGCAAGACGAATCAGAGAACTATTTGGTAAGTATAATAATAATAATAAAAAAAGGGGGGGGTATTGTATATTTCATTCATCATTTTTATTTATACTTTTATAATGTAGCGGCGGCAAGAAGCAAAGCTCCTAGTATTGTTTTTATTGATGAAATCGATGCTATTGGTTCCAAGCGCAATCCAAAGGATCAATCATATATGAAACAAACACTTAATCAGCTATTAGTGGATCTGGATGGATTTTCTCAAACAGAAGGTGTGATCTTTATTGCAGCAACCAACTTTCCTGAACTCTTAGACAAAGCTTTGGTACGACCTGGAAGATTCGATCGAACGGTGAATGTACCATTACCTGATGTACGAGGTCGAATACAAATATTACGACAACATATGAAAGGAATTACAGTGGCATCTGATGTGGATGTGGATGTGATTGCAAGAGGAACTCCTGGATTCAGTGGTGCCGAATTAGCAAATCTGATCAACCAAGCTGCAATTCAAGCGAGTAAAGAGGGAGTCAAGGAAGTATCTTCAAAACATCTGGAATTCGCCAAGGATAAGAGTATCATGGGTGCAGAAAGGAAAAGTGCAGTGATTACAGATGAAAGCAAACGATTGACAGCATATCATGAAGGTGGACACGCTCTATTGGCCTATTATACCCCTGGTGCATTACCTTTACATAAAGCAACCATCATGCCAAGAGGACGTGCTTTAGGAATGACAGTTCAATTACCGGAAATGGACAAGGTAATAATAACAAGAATGATTATTATTGTTAATTTGATTTTTTTTTTTTTGATTCCAATAGGATTCATATACAAAAAAAGAATATATAGCTCAAATTGATGTATGTATGGGTGGACGTGTAGCTGAAGAAATGATCTTTGGAAGTGATAATGTGACTAGTGGCGCTCATAGTGATATCGTCAAGGCAACTGAAGTGGCAAGACGGATGGTACGGAATCTTGGTATGAGTGAAAAAGTGGGTCTAGTCAATTACAATGATGAAGATATGCATTTACTTAGTACAGAAACAAAAGTGTTGATTGAAAATGAAATCAAAGATTTAGTCATGGTAAGAGAAAAAAAAAAAAAGGATCAGTATTTGATTTTTTTTTTTATTTTATTTTAGGATGCTGAAAAACGTGCTCGTGAAATTTTAACTACACATATTGAAGAATTACATCGATTGGCCAAAGCTCTAGTAGAATATGAGACCCTTTCTCAATCGGAGATTCTTGATGTGGTTAACAACAAGCCCATTCAAAGGAAACCTTAGACAATTCTGAATGTTTAATATATAGTTCTTTTTTGTATATCGATTGAAAATAAATTTGGTGATACAATAATATGATCTAGTTGTACAAATAATGGTATTTTTTTTTTGTTTATTCTCTTTAAAAAATGACGCTTTTGAAATGTAAAAGTTGGAATGGACGTCTCGTGATGAAAATGATTCCCTTTTTCATTTTTTTTTTTTTTTTGGTGACACAAAGTAGACATGAAAGATGATGTTGTGATTTCGATCTCCGGAGAACTTTTCGCGGCTTTATCAAATATTGGATTTGTACTCATATACATCGTCATTGTTGAGGGTATCATCATCATCATATGATCACAAAGATAATTATATATGTTTTTTTTTCTTTCTATTCAATGATTGTATCCTTTCTATGATAATATAAAAAATAAAATAAAATAAAATAAAATAAAAAAGAAATATTTGTTCTTTTACTGCTGTCACATGTTTCAAGGAAGCTCATTTCTGCCCTGAAAATAGGTTGGCGGTACATTCAAATAAAAATGAGATCCTTTCAATTTATTGGTTATTCACCGTGTGGAGTTTAATTCTTGTGACTCCAAAAAATTCCAGGTTTTTTTTTTTTTTCATTTTTTTGGATCTTCAATCTTTTCGGTCTTTCTATTCTGTCTTTTTTCTTTTTCTTCTTTACACTTTCAAAAAAAAAAAAAAAAAGTTTATTGGCTTATCAAGTATAATCACTTTTTTTTTTCTTACCTTTTTTTTTTTTTTTTTTCTGTTTGAATGAAGGTTGTGTCCATTGTAAGCTCCTTGGTACTCCTTGGTCTTGCACAAACCATAAGTGCCTTACCTATCTTTGAAATTCGTAAGTAGTGAAAAATAGAAGGATATTTATTATCAAACTCTAATTCTTCGTGTTTTTTTTTATTGTTATTAGCCAATGACTTTGATAGATATGGAAAACAATGCCCTTTGAAGCCTATGAATAATGTCGCTTGTCCAACATTATGTGTTACCGATCATTCATTATGTCCTTCAGCATTAGCACCTACTTGTCCAACTGGTCAACAATTTTGTGGTGACGGCACGTGTCAGTCAACTTGCAAAGGTATTGACAATATGTGCAGTTGTGGTGATACTACTCTACCCACCAATTATGTTCCATGTGCTGCTGGTCAGCAAGTCAATATCACTCATTTTGATCCTCGGAATGCAGAAACTCAAACACAACAAGTCTGTGCAGCTTCTGTGAATGTAACTCAAGCTAGTATCTATCCTGTTTACAATCAATCTTCTGTCTGGGTCACTTGTCCTGCTGTTGTACCTTACTTTACTTGGCGTGAACCCATGTGGATTGCTATTTGGACTTATGTTGCTTTACAAGCTTTCATCTTGATCACTTGGCATCTTTACAAAACTACTCGTGAATATCCATTTCACCGTGAATTCGCTGCTGCTACTGCTGCTGCTACTGCTACTACTACTACTACTTCTGCTTTGGCCTCTTCTGCCTCATTACCTTTCTCTGGTAACAAGAACAACGTTGTCAATGAAAAAGCTGTTATTAACGGTGCTATAGTGGATGAAAAGAAAAATAAAATGGTTAGTGATACATCAAGTGAAGCTTCTTCTCTCCGTGATTCCGAACGTTTACGATTCCGTGGTTTCAAGAATGATTATTTTGGATGGTTTGCTTTAGGTTCTGTAGTGATCACAACACTTTTGTTTATTGTGTTTTTGGCTTGTATCGTTAGTGATAATTGTAAGTGAAATATTTAATTTTCTATTTATAAAAAAGGCTTATAACTTTCTTCCTTTTTAGATGGTAATCTCGCTGGTGGTGTAGAATTATATGTATTTTTGACAGGTGACCTTTCCTCTCAAATTTATTGTGTTGTTTGGCATGTCTCTGGTGCTTGGTTCGCCGTTCTTCTTATGACTCAACAGCGTCTTCGCAATTATTTCCGTATTGAATCCTATGCTCACACGTGTCCTTATATTCAAGTTGAACGAAAACAAGATCCTCTTATCTTTTTGGATGATGGTAGCAAATGGTTGGCTAAATTCAGAGAAATTGAAGCCAAATTTGTTCAACGTTTCGGGTAATACAAAGAAAAAATAATAATAAGATAACTATTTACTAATTTTTTTTTTATCTTTCTTTTATATAGTTGGGATATCAGTATCATTACAGCACCAGTTCGAAAAACTACAAACAATGTCCGTTATTTTGAATATCAATGCATGCGATATGTTTACAATGCTCAGAAAACTCGTTTTGAACCTTATGAATTCGATCTTGGTACTACCCATCGTCAGCTTCAAGGTTGGGCAGATGGCGTTTCCTCTGAAGAAGCTTTTCAACGATTGGAACTTCTTGGTCCTAATTTGATTCGTGTACAAGTCCCAAGTATCCCTCGCGCTGTTATTCAAGAGTAAGGACATAAGAATTAGATAAAAAAAAGTAACTATTAGTTGAAGAAGTCGCTAACCCCAATATAATATTATAATAATTAGATTTGCCTCTCTCTTGTATCTATATCAAATGATGTGTATGTGGGTGTGGTAGTAAGTATTATTACTTTTTTTTTTTTATTTTCTTCATTTTGTTTGATTTTCGTTCACACACATCTTCATCGTTTATATAGTTACTTCAAATATTATCAGATGGGACTTGTCCAAACTTGTATCATTCTATTGTCAGCATTTATTCGGGTTTTCTTACGATTACGTGGTGAATATCATATTCGTGATATGGCAGAACAGAAAACGGTGGTTCGAGTATATCGTGATGGTGAATGGTTGGAAAATATCTCAAGTTCTGATATTATACCTGGTGATATCTTTGAAGTAGAAGAAATGGCTCAAGTACCTTGTGATGCTGTGATTTTATCTGGTGATGTAGTGGTGAATGAATCTTCTTTGACTGGTGAAGCCATGCCTATCCGCAAATTCGCTATACCTCATGATGACAATATCTACGAAATGATGGGATCTGGAAAAATCAATACTCTTTTTGCTGGTACGACTGTAGCTCAAGTGAATCTTGTGGATAATGGTATTGACAAAAAGAAACCTACTCGTGTATATGCTTTGGCTCTACGTACTGGTATTACCACCGAAAAGGGTAGTCTGATTCACAAGATCCTCTTCCCTTCACCTGTCAGCTTTATCTTCAATGAACATATCAAAGTAGCTATTGGTGTACTCTTGATCTGGGGTTTGATTGCATTTGCCTTGTCTATTTACCTCATGGGCCGTGGAAACATTACTAGTTGGTATTATGGTATCTTTGTCATGTCTCAAATTTTCTCACCTTTGTTACCTGCTGCCTTTACCATCAATCAAAGTGTATGTGCTGCTCGTCTCCGTGGCAAGAAAATTCTCTGTATTGATCTACCTCGTATCAATTTATCTGGTAAAGTACGGATTTTCTGCTTTGATAAAACTGGTACTTTGACAAGAGAAGGTTTGGAATTCTTTGGTGCTGTTAGCAAATCAACAACGGATGGTGAAAATGAACGTGTGGGAGATCCTACCTTGATGCAACCTACTTTTGCAATGGGGATCGCTACTTGTCATGCTGTCACCAAGATGAAAGATCAATATATTGGAAATCCTGTTGATATTGAATCTTTCAATGCGATGAAATGGGAGTTATTACCTACTTCTGATCCTATGCATTTGGATACCTTACGTGCTCCTTCTACTGATCCCAATCATATCAATGAACCTGTCCATGTTATCCGTCGATTTGAATTTGTCCATGCCCGTGCTTCCCAATCGGTTGCTGTCCATGATCCTCGTACGAATCACGTCCATGTCTTTTTGAAAGGTTCCTTTGAACGTATCAAAACTTTAAGTACTAAGCAATCTATTCCCGATGATTACGACCAAACTGCTGCCAGATATGCAAAAGAAGGCTGTTATGTGCTTGCTATGTCTCATCGTGATCTAGGTGTTTTGGATGTGGATGTTACTATGGAAGATATCAAGAGAATGTCCCGTGACGATCTCGAAAAGGATTGTTCTTTTATTGGTTTTGTTCTATTCAGGAACATGTTGAAACATGACACTACAGATGCCATTGCTGAACTCAAAGGTGGTGATACTCGTGTTGTTATGATCACTGGTGATACGGCTCTTACTGGTATTTTTATCGCTCGACAATGTGGTATGATTGTTTCACATCATCGTGTTATTCTTGGTGATTTGGTGGCTGGCAATATGGTATGGCATGATGTGGATTCTGGTGAATATGTGGATGTAGATGATGCTTTAGCTTCTGATCCCCGTGAAGATCATGAAAAACAAGTAGAATTGGCTCTCACTGGTCGCGCTTTTGAATGGCTCTGTGCTCAACGAACTATGCGTCGTTATCTTTTACATACCCGCGTGTTTGCTCGTATGACTCCAGGTGACAAGGTACAATGTGTTCAATTACATATGGAAAAAGGTGTTACGGCTATGTGTGGTGATGGTGGGAATGATTGTGGTGCTTTACGTGCTGCTCATGTTGGTCTTGCTCTTTCTGAAGCCGAAGCATCCATTGTATCTCCTTTCAGTACAAACAATAGGTAAAAGGCAAAAAAAAAAAAAAAAAAAAAAAAAGGACATGAAATCTGATGAAAGCTTTTTTTTTTAATTTATTTATTTATTTAACAACTATAATAGATCTGTCATGCAATGTGTTGAACTACTTCGACAAGGTCGATCTGCTTTGGCCACCAGTTTTGCAAATTATAAATTCTTGATCTTTTATGGTGAATGTATGGCATTCTGGGAACTACTTATGTTTTATTTTACAGTGATTGGACCTCAACCTATTTGGATTTCCATCGATGGTTTCACAACAACAACCATGACATTTGCTATTACTCAAGCTCTTCCTGCAGCACGACTTGGTCGCTCTCGACCCACGGCCAAACCTCTTGGCATTGAAACTTTGGCTTCCTGCTTAGGTATCGTATTCATCAACTTTTGGTTCATTGTTTCTAGTGTGATTTGGCTTTTCCAACAAGACTGGTTCATCTGCAATGAATTCGATAGTTCTTCTATTGATGCTTCTAGATGGTGGTTACTAGGTGATAACTATGAATCTGAAATCATTGCATTGGTAGTGATGGCTCAATTTTTCCATAATGGTGCTCTTGTCAACTTTGGTTCTGTCTTCCGACGATCTTGGTGGCGCAACTATACCCTTGTTTTCATCTGGTGTTGTTTCTTTGTTCATATTAGTTACCTTGTGCTGGCGGATCCCAATCCTTATAGTTGTATTTTCCGTATCAATTGTGGTACTGCATCTGTATTGGAAGAGCTTGGTTATCCTAAACCTTGGTGGTCTATTGATCCTTACAATGCTCCTTTAGGTCACAATGTATTACCAACTTACTTCCGATGGCAATTATGGGGCTTTATTTTAGCGAATATGGTGGCAACTGTGATCTGGGAACGGCTGATTGTTCTTGGTTTAGCTAGAAATTGGGCTATCAAGCGTGCTCAAGCTCATCCCAATAAGAAACGTATTCTTTTCAAGCTTTAACGTAGTTGATTCCTTTTTTTTTTATTTTATGTATTTGATATTTGTATTGTGTGTGTTTTATCCTATTAGTTTTTTTTTCATATTTCAATTTATTTTATATTCCCTTATCTTACTTGTGTACCACTAGTTATTTCTACAAATAGATATTTCCTCCATTTTCATTCATGTTCAATAAACAATGTGGGGTTAATTACCTTCTCTTTTTTTTCACACAAATATGCCAGATATCTTTTTTTTTTTTTTTTTTGTATAGTTTAATCTATTTTATTATATTACTTTTAATTTCGGTTTACAAATCATTTACACCTTTGCTTGTATCATCAGCGCTACAACAGGCTTCCCAATTGCCTAATGTTGCTTCTGAAACATTATTGGCTCTCCAAAGTTTATGAGCATTTTTTTCCCTTTATAATTGGTGACAGTATCATCATATTAAATCACTACCATTAACCTCTCACCCCACTTTTTTGTACCTGAAAAAGTTCTGTAGCGGAATGTCAAATAGCATTATCAAAATACAATAGTGTCTATGTCAAAGCGTTTATTTATTTATTTATTTATTTATTTTGATGGAATAATGAATAAATACAAAATAAAAATGAAGGCTAACTGTAATGATGATAAAAAAAAAATCTATGTACATACAAATAATAATGATAACATATATATATCTATCTATATATATAATTCTATAAAATAATTCTATTCTAATAATCATAACTGAACAACCTTGAGCAAGTCCTTCTTTGCCATGCCGTTGAAATCTTCGCTATGTAAACCAATAGAGTTAGTGATGATGTCTTTTACACGAAGGCCAAACTGGGCGGAATCTTCTTGTTGTTCAGAAGTCTGTGGAGAACTGTACACCACCTTGATTGGCGTCATCCATCTTGTCATCCGATAAAAGGCATAGTATAAAAACCCTTTCCTGGTATCCCAATATGGCGTCCCATAGTAATTGTCGTAACGAATTCCCACTGGACAAACCTTGACTCCCAATTCAAATGCACCCTTTTGGAATCGAATTGTATATTGGTTGTTGACACATGTACCTTCAGGAAAAATAATCATTGGATTGGGCCAAGTCATTGGACTCATCACATGGTTTTTCAATCTAGAAAATAAATAATAAAAAGTTGAATTAACTGTAAAATCATCATATTATTTCCTCTTATCAAATAATAATAATTTCAATCTTCTTATATATACTTTTTTGACAAGGTTTTTCGTTCTTCAGGATCACTTCGATTGAATGTCATCGAATTCAGATAATTCAATCCATTGTTCTGTAAAAAGCCCAAAGCACCTTGATGTTTCGCCATTACAACAGCACATGGGTATTTGTGTGCACTGAGTACAATATAATCCAAATAAGATGTATGATTGGCCTAGCGAAAGATTTTATGATGAGATAAAGGTATCAAACAACAACAATTTTTTTTTTGAATCTTACCACAAAAACATGAGGTTCCTTCAGGAATGGTTTTTGACCTTCGTAACTAGGTAATACGCCCAAGGAGAACAAAATCCCTTTACAATAATACTTGACAAGACTTGACTATGATAATTCAAAAAAAAAATATTAATAGGTATATATTATTAGCTTTGTAGAAAGGAACTTACCACCATGGACTTGCTTTCTAATGCCAAGGCCACAGGTAGCGATGTAAAAAAGGCCACAGTAGATACAGTCAAAGTGGTCAATCGTATAGGTAATAGAATCCCATATCGAATCAATACACTTGGAATGGAGAGAACAATGCTGACAGGTGAGTTTCTTTCTTGATTGGTTGTTGTGGTAAAGCACTTTGCGTAATATATCTAAAATAAATAAATAAATATGGGTAAGTTTACTATGTATTTTGATAAAAAAAGATAAAGAGATTTCAGTTTTTTACCAGTTCTTGTCGAGAGTATATTGTTTTGTCGCCATGGGTTTGACTATTTGATCAAAAGTTGTAAATGAAGAGTTTGATATAATAATTCTATTTATATTTACCTTTTCAAGGGTGTAGGAGGTGGAGAGGGAATGTCAACAGTTAAACCATTCTGATCAACAGAATCGATTGAATAGTTCCCCAGTACTTCGTGAGGAGGCATTCGATCGAACAAAGATAGATTGCCAAAAGGGAAAATGTCAAAAAAAAAAAAAATTCTTGTTTGTTCGAGAAGGTCCATTGGATGATTTTGGAGTCCCGCAATTTTTTTTTTTTTTTTTTCAGGATTCCCTTTTTTTTTTATTTTATTGTTCTTTTTTCATTGTTTGTAACCACATGTTTCGTCCACTGTTTCCTCGACATGGTAAAAATGAAGAATATATTTTTATTAATAACAATATATACTCACTCATTTCTTTTGATAGGTCCAAACTTTAGTCTTGGACAACAACGATCATATGCTATTATGAATCGTGCAAAGAAACAAGCTGGTATTCTTGATCTTATTCAACCTAAGCAACCTACCAAACTAGAATCAAGCCATTCTAACAAAAATAATACAAATACCATTCTCTATTCAAAGCCTGTGGATCGATCCATTGTTAATGACAAGACTTCTTCCAAAAAAAGAAGAAATGTGAACAATGATCATCGACCAAGACGACATGAACAACAAGGACATTCATATAACCAAAGAAATAGACAACAACAAGAGCAACAACTATCTTCGGTCCGATACCAACATCCTCTCAAATCACAGCAACAACAACTATCTTCGGATCCTCTTAAATCACAACAGAAACCTTCATCTTCAGTTCGATATCAGCATCCTCTTAGATCTCAACAACAACAACAAAGTACGGCAAACGAATATGATCGTTGGGCTGAAACGCCATTACAAGTGATAGGACAGACTTCTGGTGCAGAATTGAATACGACATGGACCTCTCATTCATCAAGAACAATGGAAGGAGTGGACCAAAATATATCATCTCCTAAATCTCGTGTATTAGATCAATTCAAACGAATGAGTGAACAAAAAGTAGCTGGTATGGCCGAACGTCTTGCTGCCCCTGTCAAGGCATTTGCACAACCGGAAAATCCTCATCTGATTAAGGTGGCTGTCATTGGTGCTCCTAACGCTGGCAAGTCTACTTTGGTGAATAAAATGGTGGGAGAAGATGTAAGACTATCATCAGACCAAAAAAAAAAAAAGTGGATATATCAAAACTGATTCTATTTATTTAATTAATTTTAGGTATCCATTGTTTCTTCCAAATCTCATACAACTCGCGAAAGAATCTTGGCTATCCTATCAGAAGACAATCATCAAGTGGTATGGAATAAATACACACGTCCCCCTTTCTTTTTCAAAAGATATCTGACATGATTCTTTTCTTATATATATATATATATATATATGTAGATCTTTTTGGACACACCAGGGATTATCTCACCAAAATCAAAAGAAAATATGAATAGAAGTATCACAACATCTTCTTGGAGATCATTAGATGAAGCAGATCATGGTAAAGAGATATTAAATTTTTAGATATAAATGTAATCTAACTCTTTTATTTTATATAGTACTCATTATGATGGACAGTGTATATGCTGGGACCAAGGAATCACAGATGGTACAAGAATTTATGATGGATCGCCTCTCATCATTGACTATTCCTGCCACTCTTATCTTTAATAAGGTGAGTAAAGAAAAAGAAAAAAAAGTATAAAATTGAATGATATATTTATTTTAATTTTTATGATAGATGGATGTGACAAGTGTGAATCAAAAGGAAGTACTGGAAAGGATCAGTGATGAATTCAAAAAGGCATATCCAAGTATAAAGAATGTACTCTATATTTCAGCTTTGGAAGAAGATGGTATTGATGGTGTCAAGGTAAGGGAATTACAAAAAAAAAATGATCATTCTTATTAATCTATGTTGGTTTAGGACATCTTGTTTACCTCATCGAAAGCTCAAGCTTGGTTATATCCTCCTGATCAAAAATTGGAAATGTCTGCTCTTAAAAGAGTGGAAGAATTGATTCGTGTACAATTCTTCAAACGATTACATCGATATATTCCTTACATGTTGAAACAAGAAAATATGGGTTGGACTGAACTCAAGAATGGTGGTCTTCGGATTGAACAAAATGTTTATGTAGAAAGAGATAGTCAACACAAGATTGTGGTGGGTGCTAATGGAATGATCATCAATCGTGTAATAGAAGATGCTCGACAAGAAATCTCAAAAGCCTTCAAGAGACCTATTCAACTTTTTATTCAAGTTAAAACTAGAAAAGAATAGATGATTTGTAGTATAGAAATGCATACCCCCCCTTCTTTTTTTAAAAAAAATGAAATTGTTATAGAATAAAAAAATGTTATTGTTTGATTGGTTCGGTGAATCAAAAATCCGCATTGACAATGTCTAAAAAAAAGCCACCACACTTTTTATTTTCAGTTTTTTTTTTTCCCTTTCTTTTTGTCCTTTTTTAATTAATAATATTATGGAAACCAAAACAATCGAAAGAAAACCAGGAACAGCACCCATTAAGAACGAGTAAAGAAAGAATGAAATATGATATAAATATACATATTGACTCATATCATAATTATTTATTATATAGATTCCGAAAAGAACGTTGGTTCGAGGAAGAAGGTACTGAAGCTGAGGATGGAAGCCGTGGGGTATTTGGAGATGACGATGCTGCTGAAGGGGAAAAGTTTAGCAAAAAGGTAAGTAATATCAATAATATGTTTATTTATATATACTAATCAGTTTGACTGTAGGATAAAAAGTGCCGTAATGAACGAGGTGCAAACAAGGGCAATCGTGGTAAGAAACGGATTGAAGAAGGTATCAAGGTAAGTACTGGAATGAAACTTTGTTTTCCTTTCCTTTCATTTAGAATTCATTGCAATGAGGAAGATTTATTTATTTTTTTTCTCTCGGTTTTTTTATTATTATTATTATTAGATTTGTACTTCTATTGCTCGTAGTGAACCCTGTACCTTTGGTGAAAGGTATGAAAAAAAAAAAGATCAAAAACAGCAATAGACTAATTCTTCTTTTGAAAAAATAGTTGTCGATTTTCTCACGATTTGGAAGCCTATTTAAAAGAAAAACCTGCTGATTTGGGAACTCGATGTGTTCAATTTGAATTATTTGGAAAGTAAGTCATCAAATGAAATCTTAAAAAAATGATCAAATTACTGATGATTTTTCTCCTTTTATTTTTTTTAGATGTCAACGTGGATACAAATGTCGATATTTGAATGCTCACATAGATGAAAACAATAAATTGATATTCAATGAAGAGGTAAAAGCGATAGGAACTAGTAGTATCTTTTATTTTACTTATTTATCTCCACAAAAAAAAAAAAAAACAATTAGTTAATCAAGAAAAACCCAATATACACCAAGAATGGAATCAGCGCTGAAAGTCAAAAATTATTAACCAAAAGACTTGTAAGTTGATCATAGAGGGTTTTTTTTTTAAAAAAAAAGATGGGAATGAATACATATTCATTTCATTTGATATCTTCATAGTATAATTTCCCCAAATCAGACGAATATCTCAAGGAAGTACAAGCAGAAAACAAGTTGGTAGAAGATATGAAGGCTGAAAATGGGAAACGCAAAAGGGAAGGTTTACCATCTCAATCATTAGAAGAATATAAGGAGGCCACAAAGAAAGAAAAGTTGGAGAACGGTGATGCCAAACCAGTGGAATACTCAGATACCGAACAAGACCAAATATTACTGGATGATCTCAACACAGCACAACAAGTAAAAAAAGAGGACATTGACAGTGATCTTCCTCCTGTGGATATGAATGTGAAAGCAGAAGATATCAAACCCATAGGACCCATTGATACTGGATACAAGAAGGTAAATATAAACAAAAAAAAAAAGGTAACAAGTTTAATGATTTATTCGTTTTGATTTGTTATATTATAGTTAATCGATTTTAGCAACAAAACCTATTTGGCTCCCTTGACAACGGTAAACAAATAAGATATGAATGAAAAAATGGATCTGATTCACTAAATGTTTCATTTGAAATATAGGTTGGTAATCTTCCTTTCCGACGTATTTGTAAAGGTTTTGGTGTGGATATCACTTGTGGTGAAATGGCAATGGCAGCGAATTTACTCCAAGGTCAACAATCAGAATGGGCATTGACAAAACGTCATGTGTCTGAAGATATTTTCGGTGTACAGGTAAAACAATAATAACAAAAAAAAAAAAGACTTGTACTAAAGATGATGTCTTTAGATTTGTGGCTCCAAAGTAGAACAAGTAGTGAAAGCATGTGAAGCCATCAACAATGAAGTGGATGTGGATTTCGTTGATTTGAATATGGGTTGTCCTATTGATCTTGTTTTCAACAATGTAAGTATGATGATATATTTTAAAAATTGATATTGACGTTATTATTTACTTAGGGCGGTGGATCTGCTTTGATTGATTCTAGAGGCAAACTTTCAAAAATGCTCAAGGGTATGCAGCAGGTCATGGATATCCCTGTCACTGTCAAATTTAGAATGGGCATCAAGGAAAATCATCCTACTGCTGACAAATTGATTCCTCGCTTTGAGGCATTGGTAATGTTATCTATCATAAAATTCTGACAATAAAGCTAACCTTTTTTTCTATTTCATTCAATAATAGAACATACCACTAGGAACCGTAAGTGACTTTAATGAAAAGGAGTGAACATGATATTGATGATATTTTTTTTTTGACAGATTCATGGTCGATCTCGTACACAACGTTATAGTCGACTGGCGGATTGGAATTATATTGCAGACTTGAAAAAGCAAACGAACACAATGAAACTCTATGGTAATGGTGATGTGCTTAGTTTTGAAGATTATAATCGTCACAAGGAAGAAGCAGGAATTGATGGAGTGATGATTGGAAGGTAATTAAAGAAGATAAGAGAAAGAAATTGATGACTGATTCTGTATTGGATCATTCTCTTTTTTTTTTAATCCTTATATAGAGGTGCCTTGATCAAACCATGGCTCTTTGAAGAAATCAAAACACAACGACATTGGGATATTTCTTCTCGTGAACGATTTGATATGTTAAAAAAGTTCTGTGACTTTGGTTTGGAACATTGGGGCTCTGATAGTCAGGTAAATATATATGGAAGGATGGTTGTCAAACTATGAACTGAATACTTATTTGTTATGTGTTTGAATACAGGGTGTCAATACCACTAGACGATTCCTTTGTGAATGGCAATCCTTTTTATATCGGTAAGTGTACAAAATATGTAAATAAATGTTTATAGATGACTGATGATTTCAAATTTCATTAGATACATCCCTATTGGTCTGTTAGAAGTCTATCCTCAAAAAATCAATCAACGTGCTCCTCCATACTTTGGTCGTGATGAACTGGAAACATTGATGGCTAGTCCTAAAGCAGCTGATTGGGTCAAATTGACGTAAGTTTTGAAAGAAATGATATTTAAAAAAGATAAAACTTGATATTGATTTATTTTATATAGTGAACGTATCCTAGGTCCTGCGCCAGAAGATTTTAACTTTATGCCCAAGCACAAAGCCAATTCTTTCGAGGTAAAGCAAAAAATATACATATATATATGAGAAGACATGACTGATAATATATTATTTCTTTTTTTTTTTAAATATCTAGGGTTAAACGGGGCCTAACCAAATAGTATATGTATTTTTCATCCAAATAAATAAAATTGTTTTATTATATACAAGTTTGTAAAAATAAATATCTATTGTAGTCGAAGTGATTATTTATCAGTGCATAAATGTTCTATATCTATGATTTCTTTGGGAGCATTTGCAGTAAGGACATAGGGTTCCGAGGCACCAATGACCACGTTATCTTCAATCCGGATACCAATGCCTTGATAATGTTTGGGGAATCGATCATCAAAAGGTACATAAAGTCCAGGTTCAATTGTCACCACCATGTTTTTACGAAGTTTCTTGGCACGCGTCATATCATAAACATCATGTACGTCCAATCCAAGATAATGACCAACATGATGAGGATATAAAGTACGTTCTAATTCCTATATATATATATATATATATATATATATTACGTATGAGTATAAAAATAACACATAAAAAAAAAAAAAAAAAAAAAAAAAAAAAAAAAAAAAAAAAAACTTACCCAAGTATTGGTTCCAAATCCAATATTTTGAAGTTCTTGTTTCATATATTTGACAGATTCATGATGAACATCATTCAGGGACAAGTTGGAAGCTTCGGTACATAACTAACATTCACAAAAAAAAAAAAAAAATGAATAAGTAACTATTATTATTTCCTTTAAGAAAAAAAAAGAATAAATAATTTTAATTTACCTTGATACAAGCCTTGTTGACATTCAGTACCACTTGGTATAATTCACGTTGAGGTTCAGTAAAGGTACCATTGACAGGCCATGTTCGAGTAATATCACTTGCATATCCATTATATTCACCACCAGCATCGACAAGTACCAGTTGACCATCCTCCATCCTCATATCATTTCGTACATAATGCATAGATAAAGCATTGGGACCACTTGCCACTACAGGAACATAGGCTAACATACTTGACCCTCGCATACGACATTCATATTCCAATTTTGCCCAAAGTTGTGCCTCAGAATAGCCTGGTTGAGTCCATCTCATCGATTCAACAAATGCTTTACTGCTGATTTTGCCGGATTCCTTCATTAATTCGATTTCATAATCACTTTTGATTAATCGAAGTTGTTGGATTAATGTTGATAATGGCTTGATCGTTTTCATCTTTAATCCTACAATATATATATATATATATATATATATAAAGATCAATACTTGTTTACATTTTTCTTTGCTATATTTTTTTTTACCGGTTGTAATAAGTTCTTTGCCATATTCATTAGAAAGTAGAGATGGAAATCCATTAGGTTTATCCACAAATAGATGTTTGGCTGTCAATGCTTCATGAAGGAAAGATTTGAATCTTGAATTATCATATGCCTATATATTCAAAAAAAAAAAAAATTAATCATCAATACTTGTCATTTGTTAGAAATTGATTTCACTTGCCTCATCTGCACCAAACATTTCTTTAACACCTTCAGTACCAGTTCTAGGACCATCCCATAATTCAGCATGAGGATTCTTTGGATTTACAAACATGATTTGTTTGTAACCTTTGACACAATTGGTTTTTTCTAAGAAATAATAAAAATAAGATATCAACGAGTTTTCTTGTTTTTATTTTTTTTTTTTTTACCTAAAATGACAGCAGCATCAGGTTCATTGAATCCAGTCAAATACCAAAAATCCGTATTTTGATGAAATGGATAAAAGATATTATTGGTCATATATCGTGTACTATATCCAGTACTAATGACCACACTATTTTCTGGTAAAGATTTCATAAGATTGGATCGTCGTTGTTCAAATTCTACTGCTGGTAAACCTGGAGTGACTTTTTTTGACATGAGCATAAAAAATGTTTAAAATGAATATATTATATTTACTTACCTTCGCCTTTTTTCATAAGATATGGATGTGTCATAGGTGTTGGTTGTCCATAGGATGTTTGTTGTTCATTACTTGTAAACTTGGATAAAGTCGCAGAGAAGAAAGGTCTACTGTACTTGGTCTGTAACCATCGATACTGATCACGTACTAAAAAAGAAATGAAATATACTTTCCTTTTTAGTTTTTTTTTTTATTATTATTCGTCTTCTTCCATTCACTGTTATTGTCGTGTACCTATATTAGAACTAAAAGTTTTCATTGAAAACATAATAAAAGAATGAATAGAAAGAAAGAAAGAAAGTGAAAAAAAATTGGCATAAAAAGGAAAAAACAAAAAAAAAATAGTCTTTTTTTTCCATACCACGGTATTGAAATCCCGGTAGTCGCAAAACCAAATGAGTTTTTTTGACTTGTCATCATCATCACGTGTTAAGGTACTTATGGATGAAAGAGAATCATCATATGTTAAACATTTCAACTTTTGTTGTGATACAATCGTCATGAAAACTAGTACTTTCAACAATTCTAAATACTTTTTTTTTAACTTTGGTCTCATTAAGTTCCAGTCTTTGTGTGACCTCACCTGCGTTTAAAATAAAAAAAAAAGGTCGCCCACCCCTCCCTTCGATTTGTTTTCTTTTTCTTTCTCCTTTCTTTCTTTTTAAAAAAAAAAAAACTTATCATCTTTCACCATCATGCCTTCTGCTGTAAGTTAAAAATGGTTCTTTATAGAAAAGTATATTTAGTCTTCTTTAATAGGAATTCGAAACTGCTGCCGAAGAAGTCAAAAAACTCGCCACGACTCCATCCAACGATGTTCTTTTGAAACTTTATGCTTTGTACAAGCAAGCTACTGTTGGAGATAACAACACTGGTAAAGAAAATGAATTCAATTTTATTATTATTATTCTTACGCGTTCATATTTTTGAATTTTTTATAGCACGCCCTGGTGTGTTTGATATGAAGGGTAAAGCCAAGTGGGATGCCTGGGACAAAATTAAGGGTAAACTTTCTAAAAAGAGAAAAGAAGAATAATAAGATATTAACTTTTTATATACGAAAAAACAGGTACTAGCCAAGAAGAAGCTGAAAAGCAATACATCGTTCTCGTTGAAAAACTCAAGGCTTCTCAATAGACTAGTTTAATATTTCTTTTTTTTTATTATTATTGTGTATATGTGTATGTTGCTGTGTTGATAATAAAGAAATCTTCCTTTTTGATTTATTACTGAAATGAAAACCATATCTGTTTTTTTTTTTTTATGATATTAATATGGATGAAATAAGAACTCACGTGAATTATTGGAAGATGATAATGATGACGATGGATCAATGCTTCTTTGGTCAAAGTGGATTGAAAAATCGAACACGCACTGAATGAGATTCATTTTGATCCCCGACGCTAATATTATTTTGTTTCTTTTCTATCTTTTCATTTTCTTTTATACATATATAATCACTCTCTTCTTTTCATTTATCTGTCATGGAACCGAATAATAAAGAGAAACCTACTACACCACAAAAAGAAACTACGGATGAGTTGGCAGACCAATTTGACGAAAAAGCTTCTTTGGATACTTATAACCAAGACGAAATAAACGAAAAAGATGCTCTTCGCCAAGAACATCAAGAAGACTTGGATGATCTTTTATCTGATACTCCTCCACCTTCAAGGTAAAAATATATTGATTCTTGTAAAATAATAGGATACTCAAACTTGATTATCGTTTTTTATTTTATTTTAGGTCGAATACGACAAGTCCTACAGAACAACAAAAACAACAACAAGAAGAAGATGTAGCTTCTAGAGAAACACGAAACGAGGAATTACAATATATTTTCAACCAATTTGATGGCAAACAAGGTAAAAAAAAAAAAAAAAATCATTTGATATTTTATTCTCTATTTATTTATATTGGGTATATATCTATATAGAACCAGAAACAACAACAACGGAAACAACGACAGAAACAACTATAGAAACATCTACTTTGACTAGCCAAGATAGAAGAACTTCTCTAGCTGATCTTCAGAATGCTAATGTCGATAAACCACTACCACCTCCTGTGGATGTTCCTTTTGACTTTAATAAATTTTTATGGCAAATGCGACGACGTGCAGCAAATCCAATTACAAGATACTTCAAAAGGTAATATATATATATATATATGTATATTGCAAGGGTATACTGACTATATATTTCTATAGTTTTTTACAAGCTTTTGACCGTCGACCGTGGGCTGTCAATGAACAGATCAAGATCATCCAAGACTTTTTAGATGTAGGTCAATGAAAAAAGAGAGAATATTACTGTCAACTACTGACCTATTTTTATTTTTGATAGTTTATATATGTCAAAATGCGTGAATGTGAAGTATGGAAATATTCCAATGATCAAGAATTTGAAAATGCTAAAGAAGGGATGGAAAAATTAGTAATGAATCGACTATACCATGCGTAAGTTTTTTTTTTTTCTTTCTTTTTTTCTTTGCATGTATACTAACAAATTTGTTTTTTCATTTTTTTTTTTTTTATTTTCATTAGCACTTTTTCACCAACCACTACAGATGATAAAGAACGGGACGAAATCTTACAACAAAAAATTAGTATCTTTAGATGGATTAGAGAAGTACATCTTGATATCGCAGAAACTGAACATAATGAATCATTCATGACTTTTGCTGAATCAGGTAATTAAAGAAAAGAAATGATATTTTTATGTTTGGAAAATCATCTTATGAATTATCTTTTAGAATTATTGAAAATCAACAATTACAAGGCACCAAGAGATAAATTGATCTGTATCTTGAATTGTTGCAAAGTCATCTTTGGTAAGAAAAAAATAGAATAAAAGGAAAAAAAAAAAAAAAGAGCAAATTAACTCATTTATCTTTATATATAGGTCTGATGAAACATGTTGATGATGGTGAAGGTGGTGCAGACAAATTCTTACCTTTACTTATCTATGTTGTTATTCGTGCCAATCCTCCTCGTTTGGTATCTAATGTTCAGTAAGTAAAACTTACTTTTTAATATGATTAGATGACTAAAGATATAACTCATTTATAGATATATTTCACGCTTCCGAAATCCTGAACATTTACAAGCTGAAGCTGGTTACTACCTCACCAATCTGGTAAGATATAAATAAAAAATATATGATTCATTTTAGTTACTTGATTTTTTTTATTATATAGATGGGAGCGATATCCTTTATTGAAACAATGGAAGCTAAATCATTATCCATCACTCAAGAAGAATTTGATCGGTAAAATAAAGAACAATAGATCAGATTTTTATTGGTGTTAATTACTTTTTTTTTTTTTTAGTAATATTGAACGTACAATGCAAGAACTAAAACAAGAAAGACCCAATGTCTCTCAAGATAAACAAAAAATTAATTATGAAAATGCTGTTCATCCTTCTCATACGTCACAAGTAGCACCTCCTTTACTTGATCCTGCCAAAGCAGCCAATCTATTAGAAAAGGGTAGTAGTTTTGCTCAAAAAACCATGCAGAAACCATTGAACTTTGTTGGCAAGATATTTCAAGGTTTAGGTGAAGGTAGTCAAGAATCTGAAGAAAATCAACAACAACATCTGCAACAACAGTATTATCAACAACAGCAACATCGACAACAGTATCAACAGTATTATCAACAACAACAACAACAATCAAATATGCCATCTTTGCCTCCTAGACCTTTACCTCCACAAGGCCCTGATCCAAGACAAGTTTTTGATGACAATTTACGAACAATCATTACCATGTTTCCAAACGTTGAACCTGATGTTTGTTTTATGATTCTTCAAGCAAATGAAAATGATGTAGATAGTACAGTTGACACGTAAGTTTTTTGAGTTAAAAGTATGACATATCATTCAACTCTCTTTTTTTTTTTTTTTTTTTTGGTAGGCTTCTTGAAATTTCAGATCCAAGAAGACCTTCACCACCAACAACAAATACCACTGTGCAACCAAATGAACAACTAGTTGATACCAATTTAACCAATAATCAAGACAACAATGATAGTACCGACACAGATCAAAACAACAATACCATCCGAAACAATGAATGAATAGATTAGTTATGTATTTATTATTTTTATTTTATTTTTTTAATAAAGGAAAAATACTTGATTTAACAAAAATGGGAATGCTCACGTGAAGGGAAAAGAAAAAAAAAGCTAAGTTGCGGCATTGTCCTCCGATGGATTAAAAAAAAAAAAAAAAAAAAAAAAAAAAAAAGGGAAAGAGAAAAATGATGATAACAGGAAATAATAGTATAAAATGGATGATAATAAATGTATTTATATATAATAAAGGTAAAGAGAGAGAGAAAGAAGAAAAAAAAGAAAAGAAAGAAAACTGTAGAGTGAAACTAGTAAACCGTATCATCATGAAAATAGAAGTAGAAACAGGGCGCGGTTTGTAAATATTTTTATCTCTACGTTTTTTTTTTTTTTCCTTTTCTTCTTTTTCTTCTTTTTCATCTATTTTCTTTATTTTTTTTTTTGATTATCATCATGTCTGACGTTGAAGTGAATAATGTGGATCAAATCCCTGCTGAACAAAAAGGTGCTTTCCATAGTTTTCTCAAGTCCTTAACTTCCTTTTCTGGTGATCTATCAGCATTGACTTGTCCTGCTTTTTTACTTGCACCTGTATCTTTGATTGAATATTCGTAAGTCCATAATAAAAAATGATTATTATTATTTATTTATTTATTTTTATTTTAGTGAATATTGGACTCAACAACCAGAATTATTTGCAGCTATTCCTCAATCGTCTGATCCTATTGACCGTATGGTAGCATTTGTGAAATGGTATGTATCTTCTTTAAATGCTTCTTATTCCAGTCGTGTTCCTAAAGGTGAATGGGAAAAGAAACCTTATAATCCTGTTCTTGGTGAACAATATTTTATGAAATGGGGTCAAGTGGATGATTGTGGTGAAACCAATGTTGTATGTGAACAAGTCTCTCATCATCCTCCTATTACTGGTTTTTGTATCAAGAATGAAAAGGCTGGTCTTACTTTGAATGGTCATACTGGTCAAAAAACAAGATTTTCTACTACTTCATTGATTTGTGATCAAGTAGGTCAAAGTATAGTTGAACTTGCTTCTGAAGAATCTTATCTTTTAACTTCTCCTTCTCTTACTGTCAATGGTATTTGGTATGCTGGTAAAGTTTTTTTTATATTTGATATTATTTTTATATATATTCATTCTTTATTATTATTCTTATTATTAGCACCTTATGTTGAATTGACTGGTAATTCTTATATTCAAGCTACTACTGGTCTTTATGCTACATTTGAATTTTCTTCTAAAGGATGGATTTCTGGTGAACGTAATCATTTCAAATGTTATATTCGTAAGAATGGTGGTAATAGCAAAGAATACTTGTACAAAATTGAAGGACAATGGAGTTATAAATCTACCATCACACCTTATGGATCCAAGAAATCTGAACCATTTTTGGATGTGACTCAACTGACACCTGCACCTATGGAAGTCAAACCATTGGATCAACAAGGAGAAATGGAATCACGCAAGATATGGCAACATGTATCTGAAGCTATTCAAGCTGGTGATACTACTAAGGCTGGTGTAGAAAAGAGTAAGATTGAAAATCAAAAACGCGCTGAATTAGCTGAACGTGAAGAAAACAAGACCACCTGGGAACCAATTTATTTCAAATGGCAAGATCCTGAACCAAAAGTCCAATCTTTACAACGTATGCTTTCTTCAGCCGTCAAGAATAAATATGATCCTGTTACTTCTGGTAATTGGGTATTCCATCCTTCACAATAAAACAAGTATGATAGTTTTATTTATCATCATCATATATCATTATACATTATTATCATCATCATTATATGGGTATTCGGTTTTAGTTACTTTTTTGGTAGTGATTTTTTTTTGACATTTTGATTTTTTTTTTTTTTTTGGGAAAAATAAAAGAAAACAAAAAAAGCATTTATTATTTTGATTGTATCAATAAATCATTCTAAAATATATTTCATTTTATCTTTCATATTATTATTATTATCCATTGATACATTTTTTTTTTTTTATCAATGTTATGTTTGTTTGATTTTTTTTTTTTTATCTTGTTTTCTCTCCGACTCAAAACGATGCAAAAGGATGAAACGGGCTTTTGTTGGGGGTGGGATGACAAGGCTTTTTTTGGAAATCGGCTCACTTTTTTTTTTTTTATCTCTTTTTCTTTATCTTTTTTTTTTTTTTAACTTCATCATGTCAAAACATCAAGAACATGTTTCTATTCTTTCGAAACCATTCAGTGGTACACAAGCTCAAGTGGATGCACTTGAAGAATTACGACATCAATTCACGATTACCAATGATATGAGTAAGCAGATAGCAAAAACATTATTATCCAACATGGAAGAAGGTTTAAGAAGTGAGGACGCGTGTGTGGCCATGTTACCCTCTTGGTTACATTCTCATCCTACAGGACAAGAAACTGGCGATTATTTGGGTTTGGAACTTACAGGTGCATTGATCAGGATCTATTTCGTCCGTTTCCAAGGTCGAGGTCGACTGACAACACGACAACAGAAATACAAATTAACCGACACCATGAAAACAAGCACACTCGCTGGATTGGTTGATACATTGGCTGATATTGTCGATCAATTCTTGACTTTTCTTGGTAATTCCGTCACCACACCTTTACACTTGGGCTTCGTCTTATCTTTTCCTCTTCATCAGACTGCTATTAACAAGGCTTCCGTCGCCAAATGGACAAAATCTTTTGCTATCACTGCTTATGAGAACAAGAATGTGGTTGAATTGTTACAAACTGCTCTTAATCGAAGAAGTATTCCTGTCCATGTGTCTGCTATCATCAATGGTGCTTGTAAGTCAATCAATATATTATAGCAGTTTGATATTCCGATATTCATGCCTTTTTTTTTTTGCTATATAGGTGCTAGTCTTTTAGCCAATGGATATCGAAGTTTAGATACTTTATTATCATGCACAATTAGTAATGGAACAAATGCTGGTAAGAATAAAAAATAAAATTCTTTTTTTTTTGTTATATAAAAAAAAAAAAAAAAGATGAACTTACTATATATTCAACATTGATTTTTTTTTAGCTTATTGGGAAAAACTGAACGCGGTGAAAAAATTGGGAACAGCAAAGGATGATCAAGAAACCATTGTGAACACGGAATGGGGATCGTTTGGTGACAATAACCGAGAAGTACTTCCACTTAGTATGTATGACAATCGTGTGAATCGACAATCAGAGAATCCTGGAGTACATACATTTGAAAAGATGGTCAGTGGCGTGTATTTGGGTGAATTGGTACGCACCATCATTGTAGAATTCATGGACCGACGGATTTTATTTGCTGGACAATACACCAAGGAACTCAACACACAGTATGGTTTTGATACGTCATACATGGGACGCATTGGGATGGATGAAGATGAGAATTTGAACGACACAGGTCATATCCTGGAAGATATCATGGGCTTACCCCCCACCAGCTTGGACGATCGCCGCATTGTGAAAACAATTTGTGAATTGGTAGGACAACGTGCTGCACGACTCATTGGAACTGCCATCAGTGCTATCATTGATAAACGCCACGCCTTGGATGATTGTACCACTCTCAGTGTCGAAGGTATCATTTATGAACATTTCCCCAATTTCCCTCGACGCCTCACCGAAACTTTACGTCGTATCTATGGTAATGAATCGGTCGAACGGATCAACATCATGGTCACCAAGGATGGAAATGGTATTGGTGCTGCTTTAGCCGCCTTATTGGCTTCTCAACAAAAGTAATTCAATAGTTAGCATTTATTTATTGTTATTTTATGAAGAATTAGAATTAGTTTTATTATTCTACCTTTTTTTTAAAAAAAAAAAAAATAATAAAAAATAATAAAAAAAAATAAAATAAAATTACCCTGACTTTTTATTATTTTATTGATGTCAGATATATATGATCATAGAGAGGAATAGGAAGATGGATGATTTTTTGGATGATGAACAAATACTGAAAAGAAACAACAATGAATAAGAAATGATGAGATGTTTTGTAAGGATTTCCGATTTTCTTCCAATGACCAACAAAAGCTCTATTCATTCACATGAAGCAACCAAATTCACATTCACTTTTATTCCGTTTCGAAAAAAAAAAAAAAAAAAAAAGCTAAATCCTATTGTGTTCATCTAAATAAAAAAAAAAAAGAAAATGGCTATACTAATCGATAGGTATCCTAGATTGTTGAGGGGTCAAAAACATATGAATACTATCATCATCGTCTTGATGATTCAATTGTTTCGTCTCGTTCTTGTTGTGCTGATTGTCGGGATGCAGTAACGATGCTGATGATGATGATGGCGGATGATGTCGCATTTGCCATTGGCGAGCGGCACAGGTGGTGACGACACTCATGGTCAATAACAAGGTGATGATCAGAAATAGACTGGTGAAGATCAAGCAATAGCGTAAGACAAAATGAGGATCCAGAGCAAAGACGATCAATCGATAACAGAGATAAGTGATGGCGCCAAGACACATCAAGCCAAGACCAGCCATATGGAGGGAGATACGCCACCAAGGAAGCGGTTGCCATGTCACCAGCACTAAACCCCACGCCAATAAAAATATCAAACAGGCCGTACCAAACACAATCACCAGTTCAGCCACAGGAACAACATCAGTATGGATCAGAGGGAGAGGTAATAATTGGACCAAATAGGCAAATGTCAGGTAAAAATCCAGTTTTAACAAACCAGCCAATGCACCATGCACAGGATCCATGGATTGTTGAAATGACTGTCGATGATAGATCGCCAAGATAAGAAGAAGAAGAAAACTGATACATGTCACTGCTACCACACTATAACTGATCATCGGCTCATTCATCATCATACCATTTTGACTGGTTTCAATATTATTGTTGTTCTTGTATTGACATTCAGCAGCTGCTTGAATCACTTGAGGATGAACATATGCTTGAATAGCTGTATAAATGATAAGCCATACTTCTAATCAAAAAAAAAAAAAAAAAAAAAAAAAAAAAAAAACATCATTTGAACTTGATGGATAAAAAAAAAAATTATCTACACTTACCAAATAAGAGCATAGCATAAAGACATGCAGCTTGACGTTGGAATAAAGCTTCAAGACACAGAATACATTGGAAAAGAGGCCCAGCAATCAATAATCCAATGGAAATCAAATCATATTGTGCATAACCCAAATTGACGACAGAAAGAATACAGGAAGATACAAGAGATATGTCTTTCGTGATAAAGAAAAGACTGACCAAAACCATTGTGGCAATAACTTGAAGAACCGAGATAGTCACCATCCATCCAGGGGCAAACCATTGCTTGATTTGAAGATTAAGATGTTGAAATGGATCTGTGAAGAAGGAATTAGTCATCTATGTATAAAGTTGGGAAGAAAGTGTCATAAAATAAAAAAAAAAATGAGAATGATTTTTATTGATCATTGATGGAGAGGTAATGAAAACATAAAGGAGGGTTAAAATATTTATATGTATAAAAAGGGGGGGAGTCTAAATGATATCGAATGATTGATTAGATCACCACGGACCAAGGACTTTCTTTATCACCATATTGAATATCCATGATTTCATCATTGAAACGTTTGGTATAAGGACCAGCTTGAGAAGTAGAATCATTGGGATCCAAAGGAATATTCAAATCTTCACCCATATAACCAATGGTCTTGATAGGACTAACGATACAAGCAGTACCAGCACCGAACATTTCCAACACACGGTCTTGTTTGATGGCTTCACGAAGTTCTGGCATAGTTACCTTACGTTCAGATACCTTGAATTCATTCCAACTACGAGCCAAAGACAAGATGGAATCACGGGTCACACCAGGTAAAATAGCACCATCCAAAGGAGGTGTAACAAGTTCCAATTCATTACTTTCATTCTTCCACAAAACAAACAAGTTCATGGCACCCACTTCAGTCAATTGATGATCATCTATAATAATAATAATATATATAAATTCATTTCCCTTCCTTTTTTTTTTTATTATTTACCTCCAAACAACCACAAGTTTTGTTGATAACCAGCAGCAGCAGCTGTACGTTGAGGTAATAAACCAGGAGCATAGTTACCACCAATCTTTGCATCACCAGTTCCACGAGGCCAGGCACGAACATATTCAGTAGTAGCCATGAGTTTAACAGCATTAAAACCAGTCTTATAATAAGGCCCCACAGGACTACCAATAACGAACAATTTAGCATTGGAAGGAGCATTGACACCAAGAGCTTCTTGAGTACCAATCATGGTAGGACGCAAATACAATGAATAACCACGATCAGAAGGAATCCATCGTTCATCCAATTTTGCATATTGACTAATCAATTTCAACAGTTCATCACCATCGAATTGCTACACAAAAAAAAATGAGCATTTTTTTCAGTATTCCATTCATTCTCTCTTTATAAAGAAACTTACAGGAAGTGCAATACGAGCTGTGGATCGATTCATACGGGCCATGTTCATTTCAGGTCGGAAAAGACGAATATTACCTTTCTTATCCTTGTAAGCCTTCATACCTTCAAAACACTATAAAATCAGTTAGATGTATTTCGCCAAAAAGAATATATATTACTTACTTCAGTAGCATAATGGAATACAATAGCACTAGGAGCCAAAGAGAGGTTTGAATAAGGATGAATTTCTGGAGCTAACCAACCTTCTTTATCATTCCAGTCGACATTGACCCTATAATAAAAGTAATTGAGTCATTGTCTTTCTTTCCTTTTTTCTAATAACTTACATATGGTCGGTAAAGGTGTGACCGAAAACAAGATCTTTGTTGGCCACCAAAGGTTTTAAAACTTGAGATTTTGTTACTTTGACTTTGCTTGCCTAATAAACAAAGGAATAAGTCAGGTTGCTTTACTTTTATAATGTTTTTTCTCTTACATCCAAACCAGCAAGAGTTGAGTTAAAACGTTTTGTAGGTCGAGTAAAAGCTTGACGAAGGAATCGGGAAGAAAGCATTGTTGAAGGAAAAAAAAAAAAGAGAGAGAGGGGTGGTGAAAAAAAAAAAAAAAAAGAAGAAAGAAAGAAAAGGAAAAAAAAAAAAAGAAATCCGGAAACTCCTTTTTGACATTGTTATCTCCATAGATGCGGAGATGAAGTGACTCATCCACAGTGCACTCACTGCCACACCTTTTTTTTTTTTTTTGACGTGATACTTTCAAATCTTGATTTTTCCCACGGGTTCGTGTATGAACGCTCTATTATTGATGTAAAAGGCAATGATCCCCTTCTCCATGTTTGTTTTCTTTCCACTTATGATTTTCTCCCTCTTTCCTCTATCACGTTTCAAAAAAAAAAAAAAAAAAAGAAAACTATTTATTTCTTATTCGTCAAAGATATATAAATGGGTGATTCATAGTTACAATGCCATGATAACCAATCAGCATCGTCTGTCTATCAGTCTATTCAAGCACCGCTTTTTTTTATTATTTCAATTCAATGACATTGCCATTGACACCTAATTTGAAATTCAATGGATAACTTGTAGGTAATTGTGTAGGAGATGGTGTAGTGATGATGGATTCAGATGGATGTGGAGATGATGATGATTCAACAGGAGCTATATGACTCTTCATTTTTGTTGATTTTTTCCAAGGCCGTAAAGAAGATAATAAATCACCATTTTTTTTATGTCGAGAAGGTTTTTCATTTTGTAAAACAATCACATTAGGTTGATCAGGAGGAGCCATTGGTGCAGGTAAACCTCGAAAGAAAGGTGCAATGCCTTCTACTTGACCTGTCAACATACCTCTTTCCCACATTTCAACTGCTGCAAGTTTATGACTATAAGAATAAATACAAGTAGCCCAATATAACTTTTAAAAAAAAAATGAGATGATGAAAAATAATCAATAGATATAGACTTACATAAATAGTCACCATTAGAAATACACTGACAAGACTGAATTTGAATTCATCTTGCCATAATCGATCACAATTGAAGACATCTTGAGTTGCATGGAAATTGACTGATGAAGGGATCTTGCTGTTGCCTGCATCACTACACCAAGATTGATACTCTGATCGTAATGTACCAAATAAAATCATATTGATGAATGCGTCTATGATCACAATAAATACAGCTACCCATAATGAATGTGAAAACACTTGAACAGCATGAGCAAGATTCTATTGATATAAAAATGATCAGTATAAAGTTAAATGTATAAACAATGGGAATTTACCAGGAATAAAGTGAACAAACCACCCAAAGAAATCAAGAATAAAGCAAGATTACAAACACCAAATACAAGAAGAGGAGCCTGTGTCATATAAGAATAAAAAGCTATATAGATTGATTTTTAATATAAAATGAAGAATAATAATAATAATATGATCACTTACGACTTTGACTTTGAAAGGAAATGACAGCAAAATATAATGAAAAACCCTAATTTATATAATTCAAAAAAAAAAATCATCCAGTCAATTACTATTGTCATAAATGATGATGATTCTTACCGCCCATATAAGACATGAAAATACACCACCAATTCTTAAATGAATACATCCACAACATTTTCGTAAAGATTGATGATTCGTATGTACATATCGTTTTTTACTATGTGGTTTGGCTGTTTGAAATTCCATTCTAAGAAAGAAAAAAAAATTTGTAGAGGGGGGTATCTAAACTAACAAGTGAAAAAGAAAAATAGAATTGGAAAAAAAAAGAAAGATAAAAATGAAAAGAAGTGATGTTGTTTTCATTGCAAAAAAAAAAAAAAAAAAAAAAAATCATAACTCAAAAAGGTATCTTGTTTTTATTCTTGTCATCCATAAATGGTAATTTCATCATCAACCAAGTTTATTTTATTTTTAAACAACATAAATAAGAATTAAAAAAAAAAAAAAATCATCCATTCAATATGGTATATATATACAAGTTTATTGATTTCCACATAAAGAAAAAAAACCATCTAATTTATCGTTTCAACATTTTCTTACCAATCGCAGAGGATGAAGAGGAGGATTGTTTATATCTTCGATGAGCTTCACGAATATGATCAGGTCGAATGGCACCACTTTGACCCCATTCTTCCATCACTTCCCTAGCTTTTTCCACAATTTCACCTACATATACTTTGGCAAACCCTGCTACCACAAACGCCATTGTTTGACTACATTGCTGATTCATCACTTGACTGACCAACTATGGTAGATATACAAGTTGAATTACACTACACTACACACACACACACAATTGATTACTTACTCTTTTGACGTTTGTTCTATTCAATGCTGATCTTCGATATGCTTCATATCTTTGTAATTGGTCCTCTGTAAAATTTTCCAATAAGATTCTATCCAAAAAAAAAAACAAAAAAAAAAAAACAATCAATCCTATCACTTTTTTACATATATATATATATATAAACTACTTACTTCATATCTTCTTTTGCTTTCTCCATTTGTGCATGCATATCATCATCCATAACCAGTTCATCCTTATCATCTTCTTCAGCATCACCATCGTCCTTATCATTGACACCATCCGTTGTTGAAGGTTCTTGAGTTGATGTTGGTGTTTGTTGCATACCAGTTCTTGTTGTCATATCTTCATCACGATCTACTGATCCTTGTCTTGAGGTTGTACTTGATCGTCGTGAACTTGATGTACGTTTATGTGGATATGGAGGACTAGCATCGTAAGGTGGTGAGTACATGGGTGAATCTCGACTACTGGAAGGAGGTGATCCTTGAGTATAATGGGATGTTCGTTTGGCCGGTATCATTCTTTTTTTTAGGATAATAAAGGAAAAAAAACAAACAAAGTATAAAAAAAAAAAGTTAACAAAAAAAAAAAAGTCGGTTGTTGAATTTCATGAGGAAAGGAAAAAAAGAATAATAAAATTTATTCGACTAATATGAAATAATACAAAATGAAATTAAAATAAAGAAAAATATCATACACATAGAAATACATAGGGAAAATAAAAAAAATAATAATAAAAAAAGGCAGACATAAATAAATAAAAAAGTTATATATCACATAGTGGTACCAGGGACAGAAGAAGTTCGTTGATGATGTGACATTGTAAGAGAAGGATGTACCTTACGACGAGGAGTAGGAGGAGGTGAGGATCGATGATCCGTTGTTGCCAATATTCGATCATCCATAGAACTATTGCTGATAATACTACTAGTGTTACTGTTCGTTGCTGGTGGACTGTCCATCATGTTGTGTTTAGCTATTTCACCACTTTTTCGCCATGGCCAAAAAGATCCAAGTGATCGTCGAAGAGATGGATGTTGTTGATCATCCAATAAAAAAGGTGAGGTTGGACTTCTTGGATAATCATCCGACATATGACTTCCACTACTGGTCGTACTAAGCATGCTATCATAATGATGTTGATAACTGGTTCTTGCACTTGTTGAATGACTAAGTATACTGTTGAAACTGTTGGTTCGTGCCAGCGAATGACCGTTTCCTATAGCCGTCATGGTTCGTCGAGGTGCTTCCCGTAATTGACTGAGTTCATCTATGATTTTTTCATTCACCCAAGGTCGCATTAGCAAATAATGAGTAATCCGTTGTTGTTCCAGATGATCTTGTTCTTGTGAATCTATATTATCGGATGAATCGGATAGAAGAAGACCACTAGGATCTGAAGATACAGTTTGAAGTCCCAAAGATGGTTGAACATGAGATAATGTAGGTGCAGTTGTTGTAGTTGGAGTGGTGGAGGATGCTTTAGATGGTGTATAATATTGTTGTAAAGCCTGAGCTTGTCGTAAGAAGAATTTATTTTTTTTCTTGGTGTGATGGGATGGAGGTCGAAGACTATAAGGTGGTGATCGTTGAAAAGTTCGCATCCAGTCGAGAATTTCTTGAATTCGAGCATCTTTTATGGTATCCGCTGTAGTAGTTGGCAACGTAGGTGTTGTCGCTTTGGCTGTCAATACATAAGTCATGTCATGAATAAGAACACCTAAAAATGGTACTATGGATTGATCAAGCCGTTGGTCAGGATGATTGTTGGGAATAAGAGTTCGAATATGTTCACGGTAACGGCTGTAATTGTCGGCTTCACACATTAAACCAGTTAAAACTTCCAATCGATTCATTCGTTTCTTTGGTATACATTCCCACGTTCGTTTCAGACGTTGAATAGGAGGAGTACCAAGAGCAGAGACAATGGCTTTGAGAGTTTGATAATTGTTCAAAGCAAGACATTGAGTGGCAATTTTGATCCAACGATGAACTACTTCTGCTCGATGGGATGCTTCTTGAGGAAGTAAAATGGCGTGTTCAATAGATCGAGTCAAATAGTTGAAAAAATCTGTCGAAGCAACAATGTTGGGATGCGGTGATTTGGAGATGGCACGATGTTGTTGTAATGCTTCTGGAGGAATGGCACGAAAGATAGCAGATTCAATCAAAGTAAGTTGATAAGCAACGAGTTGTGGTGAGAATTCCAAGATAGTGGGAACTGTCATAGCACTCATGTAAACAGTGCGAACATTATTGAGAAGTCGTCGTACAGTAGCAATGGAAGTTGTTTGTTGTTCATCGCATGATTGTTGAGCCAATAATTGATCTAATTGATGCTGAAGTTGTCGATGCATTCCAAGTAAAGGTGGTGCAGGAATATTCGGAATATAAAAATCCGTTGATGTGGTGGGAGAAATCGGTAAGGCCATACTTTCACCCGTATTTGTCTGTGCTGGTACAAGGTCATATGGATCAATGATAAAACAACTGGTATCTTCTGTAGATGAATGTGATGTTGGTCTTTGTTGTGGTAATGGAAGAGGGTCTACAATAATAATATAAATAATGAATTAGAAAAAAAAAAAAAGCAAAATGATGTACCTTTTTTGGAATACTTACATGATGATTTTTCAGAACCAGTGAATTTCAATGTATTCATAATTGATTCTTCTTCGTCATCTTCCTCTTCTTCATCATCCATATAAGGATTAGTAGCTCGGTCTGCAAAAGTAACTGATGAATTTGCTCGTGATCGCCTTTGTGTTGATGACAGATCGTTTGTATTAATAGCTAATGGTGGTAGTGGAGGAACTGGGCGTTTCGATGTAGGTTTTGGTGGAAGAATAGGTTTTGGCGGTAAAGGAGGTGGCGATTTTGTGTGAAAGGAAGTCTGTACAACTATATGTTCTAGTTGAGTTAGACTAGATCTTATAGTTGATAGTAACTTGTCATATTCTGCAGGTGTGGAGACTAGAGCTAAAAAAAAAAAAAAGAAGAAATATGTGAGCTGTCGTTATGGTATATTTTATAGTTGTACTATACTTTGATGGACAAACTTGACTGCATATAGTTGTTGAGTAGATAATTCCACAGTGTTGATGAATTTCATATATGCATCCTAAAAGAAAAAAATAAAAAAGAAAAAAAAAAAAAAAAAAAAGAGGATGGAAGGTTTATTGAAAAGTATTAAGTTACTCCTTCTTTCTTTACCTTTGTAAGACCATTTTCCAGTAAGTGGGATGCTTCCGTATATAACTGTTGAGTATCGTTCATTACAGTTGTTAGGTCATGGATGACTTTTATAATAAAGGTAGAGATAAATATGAAACCCCGGACAAAAGAAGAAAAAGAAAAAAAGAATGAGACAAAAGGAAAACGTGTGGAGTCCAATTTCAATCAGCATCAAAAAGAAAAACCTTCCTTTTCCAATCATTTCTATCTCCGCGAGCTTTTTTTTTTTTTTCTCGTTGTCTTTTCCTTTTTTTTTTTTTTTTTTTTTTTTTTTTTTTTTTTTACCTTTTTGTTCAAATGGAAGGTAACAGCAAACCATTAGATATCAAAGTTGCAGGATCACGTTATCTATCAGTATTTGGTCATGTCATTGACGATATTGGAAAAAAAGGTGTACCAAACTTTTTGCCTCCAGTATATCACCAAAACCGTGTCAACAGAGATAAATCTGAACATTATCATATCACTTTAGCAAATCATATTGAACTGAAGCGATACATGGAAGAACACAACCTACCTAAAGGTCAAAGTAATCTTCATCTCGATGCAATGGTCAAAGAACTTGTCAATGTTTTTGGTGATCCTATGACTTGGGAACAACCTGTGGATCTAGGTTTGGGACGTCTAGTAGAAGAACAACATCAAAACACGACATTGACAGCATCAAAAGATTCTTCGGATAGCAACAAGGATAAAAGAGAAGAAGAAGAAGAAGGACAAGCAAAAGAAGAAAAGGAAGGACTCTACTGAGACAAATGAAGATAATAGCAAGGAGACATTATTAACGACTGAAAAGAAATCAACAGAAACAACAGCAGTAACAACAACAAAGGGGAAAGAAAAGACAACAACAACAACGACAACGACAACAACATCTATTAACACTACTACGATCTCTACTGCCAATGACACTAAAACAGATAATAACACTTCAGAAGGAAGAATGGAAAAGGAAAATCGAATGCATGTCAGTTACTTCCGCGTGATATATTGGCCTTTTGGACAAAAGTTACGGCAACATTTCGGTTTACCTCCATGTCATTTCCATATTACTATTGGTTTTGATCCCAAGGATATTCATACCCACAAAGGTCCCAACACTCTTTTGCTAAACAATCTTCAACTTGGTGATCCTCAAATCGACAGGTTGATCAAGACCGCCAAACATTATCCAGAGGAAACACAATTCTTACAACGATTCCATGAATTTTTAGAAAAACATCAAATGGGACATCTGGCAGGTAAACTATAGAGAGAGAGAGAAATTATAAAAAAAAAATTATGGATAATCTTATTCAAATTAACCATCTATTATTATTATTATTATTATTTTTCATTTCCTTATAGAACCATGGCTACATCATATTCCTCCAGCGACAGAATCATCTGAATCAGAAAACAAAGCACAACAAACAAAATTGAATGGAAAGGAAGATTAGTTTAGGAATAGATTAGCTCAATAGAAATATACCTTCCCTTTTTTTATTATTATTATTATTATCATCCCCTTTATATATATTATCATAGCATAGTAATTCATTCTCTTTATTCACTATCATCGATCCTTGTCACTATTTATCGCCATTGATATTACATTTTGTTCTTTTTATGAAATAAAGAATCATACAATAGATCACAGTTTAAAAAAAAAGCATACATCACGGTTTGAATTGTATACTAGTAGCAAATAAATTGATTTATCAATAAATACTTTTATTGTATCAGCTAACTACGATTGATCACCATCTTGTTTTCTTTCGAAAGAACCTTTCATTCGGCTATGAGAGAAATATTTATATAATAGAAAGACAAGAATAGGTCATTTGAAATACAAAATAGAATATGCAAATGGAAAAGAGATAGTGTAAATAATTGTTTGTTTTTATTTGTATATGAATCAGAAGAATTTTTGACCATATGCGACCCCAATTGAGTGGAGAGAATACTCTTTTTTTTTTGAATGGAGATTAGTTTAAAAAGGTAATAGAAAAAACAGAAAGTTCATCTTGTTGACAGAACAACCTGCCAAGAGAAAAAAAAAAGATCATCTTTGACCACATTCATTGCATTGTTTGTTTGTTTGTTTTTGTATTGTGATCCACGTGCCAGCTTACCTCATTTGTGCCACTTCTTAATAAGGGAAAAGATAAAGAATCATTGCGTATCACATTTTCATTTTGGTAAATATTGTTCAAGTATGTAATTCGTCCCCAACAGAAAAAAAAAAAAAAAAAAGAAAAAAGAAAAGAAATATGAATTACACATGTTGCTCTTGTCACAAGTTCATCATGAAAAAGTTTCAACATTAAATGAAAATTTTTAAGAAATAAAGATAATAATAATATAAAAAAAAAAGACAAAGATGGATTTTTATTGAATTAAAAATATGTACAAAAGGAAGAGATAAAGATATGTGCAAACAAAGAAAAAAAAAAGTAAAAGAATGAATGGATATACTAAAAAGGGAAACCACAAAGAAAGATTGAGCCAAAGTTCATTTAGGCAATGGAAGGATTTGATTTCTTGAACGAGTCACGAACTTGATCATCTTCAAAGAATTCTTTCAACAAAATCCCGCTTTTTCCAGTCAAGAGTTCCAAATCGCGAGTGATTTCAAACCGGCGTTTCTTTTGTTGTAATCCCCACATTTCCAACAAGAATCCAACATGATCATCGTTCCGAACACTATCATAAAGAATTTGTCGTAAAGTTGTCAAGTCCATTCGATTCACAGCATGATTGCGTTGTAATCCAGAGAACATACGTTGACTAACTTCATGAAGAGTCAATAATTGTGGTCCAGTAATCTTATAGATATCTCCAGCATGTCGTGGTGTAGGCGAATGGGCAATATACCCCGTAGCACGTGCGATATCGGTCAAGTTGCATGATTCCACTGTATAATCCAAATCCAATAAAGGAAAAGCGTCATGTTCGGCAACATAATGACGGAATACCATAAGATGTTGATGCAGGATACCAGGATAACGTAGAATGGTCACACGATCTTGATCTAATTGTTGTAACAAATAAGATTCAATACACATGAATTGATAATAGAATGAAGGCCTATGAAGACACATATTATTATTGTTGTTGTCGTCATCAACGTCATCATTCAGCAAAGGAGACGGATCTTTGGGTGAAAAGGGAGATAAAAATATAATATGATTGACATTAGCTTCTTTGGCTGCATCAATGAAACTATAAAAAAGAATCATGTAAATAATTGGTTCCATTTTTTTTTTTTAGAAAAAAAAAAAAAGACTTACGTTTTTCCAAATTGAAGGACATTGTTTCGAGTCATTCGATCATTAAGAGGATCAATCAGTAAACATAACTTGGCCACACCTTGTAGAGCTTCAGTTGCTTTATGGGGTTCACTAAAGATATCAAAAGCAACAACTTTGGCACCTATTTTTTCCAAAGTTTGAGCACGAGTAGTAGTTGCATCAGCTAAACCACCATAAACAGGATATTCAGGAAGATGTTTATGTTGACTGGGAAGATTGACTAATTGTTGAACGATAGCAATGCCTTTATCACCATCAGCACCTGTTACAAAGATAGGACCTTTACCAATATTTTTTGTTGTAGAGGTAGTAGTATCCATATAATAATAAAAAGAAAAAAGGAGTATATAAGAAGAGAAAATTTAAAGATCTAAGAACAAGAGGAAAAAAAAAAAAAGAAAGAAAAAAAAAACTTTTTTTGGTTCCTTAAAAAATTCTTTTTTATACCGTTTTCGCTTAAAAAAAGTCTGATAAGTAGAAAGAATATGATTGGTCGGATTCACTTCCAATCATACAATATTCATTTTTTTCAAGCTCACCAATGGAAATTCTTGAATTGGTCCACCTCAATAAAAAAAATAAAAAAATAAAAAAAAGAGAGAGAGAGGGGACAAGTCACATGTTCCTTTTTCACCTGGAGGACAACTCTGTCGGCTTCTCTTACTTTCTTTTTTGTTCTTCCTCTTTCTTTTTTTTTTTTATCTCCTCCCCCTTGAAACTTTGTTTATATTGTAAATATGGCATCTGAAAATAAAAAAGCTTTGGTATTTTCCATTTTGGAATTCTTACAAAAATCCTGCTCTGATGGAACTATTAGTAACGATGACGCTGAAGGCATTGAAGGTAAATATAATATATATTTGGAAACTGTGACCAACAACGTTTCAGATGAATCTGATGATCATCAAAGACATACATATAGACACGCGTCTCTCATACCTTTTTTTTTTTTTTTTTTTTTGTCAATTCTTAGTTGCTATGCAATGCATTGGTGAAGCTTTTGGTGTTGACCCTACTGATGAAGCTCAGCAAGAAGCTTATAGTACAAAACCTGCCAACTTGTTATCCATCTTTGAAGTATATTTGAAGACAAAGTCAAAGTCTAAGGGTGCTGTAAGTAAAAGAATATTGATGAATATGATTTCATTTTAACTTGTACTAAAAACAATGTATTTTTTTTGTCTTGTTGTTTCTTAATATGATAGGCTTCTACTGGATCGACCTCTCAACGTAAGTGTTTTCTTTGATTTCTGAACTAGTGAATATGATGACTTATCTTAATTTCTTATTTATTCTCTTTTTTTTTTTTTAGCCGTATGTATTGGGAAAAAGAAAAGAAAATGAAAATCACTTGGATGGGTGTAAACAAGAAGGAAATCATTAACCTTTTTTTTTTCTTATGTATTGATATAAATTTTAGAAGGAAGTATCTGCTGAAGACAAGGCAAAAGCCGAAGAATTGAAAGCTGCTGGAAATCGTCAAGTTGCTGAACGCAATTATCCTGAAGCCATCAAACTTTATACCGAAGCCATTAGTCTCAACAACAATCAAGCCGTTTATTATGCCAACCGGTAAAGAAAAAGGGAGAAAAGAAAAAAGTGGGAATACAGGAAATAAGGAACTGAACTTTTTTTATATTTATATACATATATATATAGGGCTGCCGCTTATAGTCAACAAGGAGATCATCAAAAAGCTGTGGATGATGCCAAGAAAGCCGTTGAAATTGATCCAAAGTATAGCAAAGCTTATAGCCGAATGGGGTAAGATATTTAAAAAATTTGATTGGATAAATACATGATAAACTTACCAAAAAAAAAAATTCAAAAATAGTCATGCCTACTTTTGCTTGGACAAATTTGAAGATGCTATTACTGCATATGAAAAGGGACTGGAATTGGACCCAAACAATGCGACTTTGAAATCTTCTTTAGCTACTGCCAAATCCAAGGTTAATCAACAAAGTGTAGAACGATCCGCTGGTGGTGAATCTTCCGGACCAGGTGCTGGCGGTATGCCTGATCTCAGTGCATTATTGAATAATCCTGCTTTGATGGGTATGGCTCAACAAATGATGCAATCTGGTGCTCTCAACGAATTTATGAATAATCCTGAAATGGCTCGAATGTAAGTATCCCGATTTATAGAAATAAATCAAATTAAATTCTTATTTTATTGATTTATAGGGCTCAACAAATGATGGGTGGCGGAGGCGGTGGTCTTTCTGAAATGTTAAACAATCCTGAAATGATGAATATGTAAGTGATGAAATAGATAAGTACTTTATTATATTAATCGCATTGTTTATTTCATCCTTAGGGCTCGCAATTTGATGGGTGGTGGTAACAACAACAATCGAAACAACAATTCGAATGGTCAATAATCATCATCATCATCATAATAATAATAAAAAGATTGGGGTTTTAGGATAATCTAGTTTTTATTTATTTTTACACTTTTACATATAAAAGAATGGTTTATTCACATGTAAGCAAGATCTACGGTGTTTGAAAAGAGTTGGCTTACTCATTTTTATTTTGTGTGGGGAATTTCTTTATTTAGTTCTTTCATTCTTTTCTTTTCTTGTCTTTTTTTCCTTTCTTTCCTCTTTTTTTTATTTTTTTTTAATTTCATTTCATTTCATTTATAAGCATACCTATATACCAACATGACCTCCTCATTACCTTATAACATTCATTTACGTTTTCGTCAAGCGTTGGATGTTGTTCGGTCTATACCTGTAGATGAAGTAGCACTGCAACCGATACCTACTGATAAACTCAAGTTTTATGGATTATATAAACAAGCAACATTGGGAGAATGCAATACACCAAAACCTTCTTCAAGAAAAGTCGTGGAATATGCTAAATGGTAATAATTTTGTAGAAAAAGAATAAAGAAATCTTATGACTCATACTATTTTCCATTTTTAGGAAGGCTTGGTACCGGATTCGACATTTAAGTAGTCTGGAGGCACAAAATCTGTATGTCAATGCATTGGTAGAACTTTTAGTTGAGGTATAGTACACATCAAAATAAAGAAAGAGAGGAAATGGTTCGGCATTAACATATTTTTATTATATACATTCTAGTTTATCAACCGATACCCTAACAACCGATATGTAACGTTTGCAAAGGAGGCACTTCAAGCATTGGAACTCGATCCATCAGCTGGCACTGATGATATGCATGATGATGAACAAAGCAATGGTAAGATTATCCATATCAAAAATCAAACTGCTGATGAATTTTTTTTTTATGTCTTATTTTCAATAGAACTCTACAGCGATGCATGGGAATCAACTCCTTCTATGGACGAATACAATCCTTTAGTACATATTGAACCTTATCAACTATCCAACAATGATAGTCCCATATCACCCATTCGCTCATACGCCACACCTTCATTAGTCGCAAGTACTCCATCAATACAAGCATCTATCAGTCGCTCTTCTAACACTCACAACAGCCCTCATACTCCAGTATTATCACCTCAACAGTCTTACTTTGGACATCAAAAATGGTCAACACCTTCAACAATGATGATGATGCCAGTAAACAATGATTCATCATCAGATACTAACAAAATCAAACATTTACACAATTCAGCCCCACCACCACCGCCATCATCATCATTATCATCGCCACCATCTACTTCAAATGGTTCTGAACTCTCCTATACTTATAGTCACCAAATACCATCGCATGAAAAGGATACTGAACAACATCGAAAACTATCAGAACGAACATTAGAAAACCTGCAAACGGAAGTGACAGCTTTGACGGAACAAATGGATCGATTACGACATGAACTGCAGGAACAGAGCATCACAAGACGATCATTTCATATTGGTTGGCTGGTACAAACATTGATCAAACACTTGTTAGCAAACTGTTTGCTAGTTGGAATTCTCTTTTGGATCATGTGGCGGCGTCGCTCTCCTTTTGCCATTGCTTTTGTTGATTATTTGCGACCTCAGATCAAAACCATGTTACGCTCTCTAGCGCACTCCACGGTGAAGAAGGTCATGTTTTGGAAATTGACAGTGTAGACATCCTCATTCATTTTATAGTATAGTTCTTTTTTTTCATATTAATTTAGTTTATTCCCCCCGTCATCATTGTCATTATCATCGTATATCTACTTTTTATTATTATTTTATCATTATTATGAGTTTTTACCATTGACAACAAAATGGAATAAATAAAGAAAAATACTTTATCATCAAGAATCGTTTTGTGAATTACATAACTTTGAGCAACTAAAAGAAGGGTAAGTCACTTGAACATGATGTCTCTTGACATGATTTATCAAATGAGTGACAGAAAATAAGGGGGTTGTACAAGTCGTAAAAAAAAAAAATGACACTGACCAGGAAGGATGTCATGCATGTTCACAAACTCAAATGTCAAGTATTAAATTTTTTTTTTCAAAAAACAAATAAACGGCCTGTTACAATTGTTTGTATAGCTTCTTTTTTTTTAAGTGATTTGCGAGAAGCAGCTACAATGGATTAGTCTAGTTGATTCTTGAATGGGCTATATTTGGAAAGCAACCATTAGCAACAGTTGAATCAACATGATTGTTTACAAAAGAAAGAAAGAAAGAAAGAGAGAGAGAAGATGTTCTTATTAAATAAGAGAACCCAAGTCGGATGACCCATATAATGAGTGGTTGATGATGATGAAAGGTTGATTTCACTCAACCTTGTGGCAAATATATATATACAAATATATATATATAAAAGAGGGGTAACTAAGAAGGAGGGTCATGTTACAAGTTTTTCTGCAATGTTCAATCCATCCCGAGGACAATCACGACGATGATATTTAACTTTTTTTTCTGAAAATAAGACAATAGTAAAACAACTAATTAGACATGATTGGTAATATTAAAATAAAAGTTATATAGTCTGTTTTGGCGTAACACTTTGGAAAAAACATTCAAAAAGCGCTTTTTTTTTTCCTTGTCCCTTTTTTTTTTTTTCTTCCTCTTTCTCGCTCCTTGCTTCCTCGTTTCTTTTTTCTCCTTTTATACTAAAAAAAATCTTTTTTTTCTTTCCTTCTTTATTTTTTTTTTTGTTTTTCAATTTTCTCAACTGGACCATTGATTCGAATATTCTAATATGACAATACCATCATCATCATCATCTTGCCCTGATTATGCAGAGTAAGCAGCTTTTGTGATTTATGCATGATTTCCTCTTTTTGTATTCACAGATAAAATGAATTTTTTTTTTACACATTTTTAGATACGCCAAAGTCTTCCATGGACCAGCCAGTTCAGGACCATTGAAACTTCCATTCCAACGTCCTATTGAAGCATGTCGAACATTTACCAGTAAAGTGATTGATCAAGTGGTTGATTTTGTTGCCTCCAAAGTAAGTAATGAGTCATCCAAATAAAAAAAAAAAAAAAAAAAGACTTGTACAATAATACCCTTTTTTATTATTATTATTATTTAATATGATTTGCTAAGATAGTCAATGCTGATCTGGCACGCTTGTTCACCAACACTTTTCCCAATACATTGGACACCACCGTCAGTCAAACAGCCTGTTTAACCAATCAAACAAATAGCTGTCATCCATTAACCTTTTTAATCACAGGAGATATCAATGCTATGTGGTTACGTGATTCCGTCAATCAATTGATGCCTTACTTGAATTATATACAGCAAGATTATTCACTGAAACGTTTGTTTTTGGGTACCATCTACATGCAGGCACATTTTATTTCCATTGATCCTTACGCCAATGCGTTCCATCCACCCGATAATATCCAACAATGGTCCACCATGCAAACTCCAAATCCCTATCAGCATCAAGGTCTTTCCCCTGGATCGGTACCTCAAGTCTATGAATATAAATGGGAAATCGATTCTTTGGCCTCTTTTTTCAGTCTTTCTTTTCAGTATTGGCAAACCACACAGGATCGTTCTTTTGTTGATTCTCCCATTTGGATGAATGCTGTGGAAAAAACCATCGATCTCTTACGCAACGAGCAACATGGTACCTTTGATCCTAACACAGGTAAAAAAAAAAAAAAAAAAAAAAAAAAAAAAAAAAAAAGGGAGAGAACAAATAGATTCATTCTTTTTTTTTTTATCTATAGGAAAAGTTCTGCCAGTGGACGAACGATTTAGTCAAACTACAGATCGACCTACAGAAACACAATTTCAAGATGGACGTGGTCAACCTATCAAACAAACAGGCATGATCAGGACACTCTTCCGACCTTCCGATGATGCATGTGTGTTTCCCTTTTTTGTACCTGGCAATGCCATGATGTCAGTGGAATTAGATCACATCAATCAATTGATTCATGACAAGAATGCTACCTTGGCTGATCAAGCTAGTCAACTGTCCAAAGATATTCGTGAAGCCATTTTCAAGTATGCTGTGGTGGATCTACCAGATCATGGAAAAGTATTTGCTTGTAAGTTTTCTTAATCTACGTAAGATAAATATTCAATACCCTTTATTTTTTTTTTTTATTATTATTTATTTTTATGATGATTAGATGAAGTGGATGGATATGGAGCACAATTAATCATGGATGATGCCAATGTACCGTCCTTATTATCTTTACCATTATTGGGTTTTGTTCCTATGGATGATCCTATTTATCAGAATACACGACGGCTTGTTTTATCCAAAGGTAATCCATATTATTATCAAGGTCCTAACATGGCAGGTATTGGTGGCCCTCATGTTCCTTTAAATTATGCTTGGCCTATGTCTCAAATCGTCAGAGTAAGTTCTTATCCATATAAAAAAAAAATTCATATTCCCACTTTATAGATATCTTTTTTTAAAAAAAAATGTATGGCTTATGTATCCTTTCCTTTCTTTTTGTATGTGGGAAATAGATCATGACTTCAACAGATGATACTGAAATCAAAGAATCCTTGGATTTATTATTACGATCAACGGATGGAACGGGTTTGATTCATGAATCCATCAATGTTTTTGAAAGTAAGTTGGGGTGATGCCTGATGTGTATACTTATCAGATCCCTTCTTATGCAACTTTTTTTTTCTTCTTTGTATAAATTAGCTCCAAATGGAAAGGAGTCTTATTCTAGATCATGGTTTGCTTGGGCAAATGGATTATTCGGTCAAGCTATCATAAGATTGAGCAACGAAAAACCCCACCTTCTTACTTAATCTCCTCCTAATTTTTCGTTTTTATTCTCTTGCTGTATATAATAAACGACTTTTTTTTTTATATTGATTCTGTATAAGAGGAATAATGATGATAATGATGGATGAATAAAAAAGGAACTGTCATGACATTCTGACACTTTTGATTTCAGGGCTTACATTGAAGCTGAGGCGTTTGAAAATATTGACTGTAAAATGTCCACAAGGATTTTTTTTTCTTTCTTTCGTTCATCTTTTTCTAATTTTCTCTTTCTCTCTTTTTTCAATATTTACGTGATATTTCACCGATACCATTGATTCATTATCATTTGTTTGTACTGAAGGATATAGGTAATATTGACAATAATAAAAGACAAAGGACGTGAACAAAAAAAAAATATTTCCATGATACTATGTTTCTCATTACCCTACTTTTTTTTCTTTTTTTTATAGATAGCATTGATTCACTTTCATCGTTTTTTATACTTGGAATTCTCAGTCTCTCATACTTTCATTCCCTTCTTCACTTTTTGTCAATCTCCCAACTAATATACCACTTATCTTTTTATTTTATTATTATCCTCATTTACGTGAATAGAATTCAAGTTGAGGAATGGATATTATCTGGATGGATCTGTGGCTGCAACAGCTGGATAGATATACAGCAGGAGCAATGGAATGGGTTTACAACTGGAAGGATATATAATAGTATCACTTAGATGTATTTTACGACTGAATTTGGATTAACTGGATGGATATTAATATATATATATCGCAACATACAACAAGATCGACAGGATAGGTTTGCCAAATGGTATCGATTAGACAAGAAATCAAGTCAACTGAGCACAAAAGGGATAGTTTTTGATGGTCTATTACGGTTTGATTGATTCTGTCAACTAGTTTGTGGTGATTCTTTGTATTATAGTTAGTAATAAGTCCTAGTGATATTTATGTTATAGAGCATATTACATTCTCTTTTTTTTTTTCTTTTTTAATAAAATCTACATTTATATTCTCCCTACTATTGTTATCATTGTCTCTTATAGTCTTGATTTTCCAAAGGAAATACGGCAACATGAGTCATGACATGGATCTTTACAAAAATCAACAATTGCCATTCATCATTCACCATCGTCAATCGCTTTCGACCACCTAATCGTCCATCATCATTACAAATTAAATCTCGACATTCCTTTGTGCCTAGAAACTTACTGATTACAAGATTTAAACTCTCGACCATCCCTGGGAAGAAAAAGGGGAGATACCAACAAATGTCTTTCTTTTTTCTATCTGTAATGATATTATACGGGACTATTTCTTCATGCTCTCCTTTTTTTTTTTTTCTGGAAATAGGTAATAAAAAAAAAAAAAGAGGAGTCATCACAAAATATAAATGAAAAAAAAAAACATTGAAAAAAAGAGCTATTATATACATTTTTTTCTCTTTCTTACATTCATCTTACACAACTATGTTGAGCTGTTCTTTTTTGTTCATTTCTTTGGCCTTTGTTGTCAGCGCGATACCTGTGCCGATGATGATGGCCAGAGAATCTCAAGGCCTGTCACCGGATGCGATGGCTTTCTTTCCTAAAGTTGCAAAGACTCTTTATGGAGTGCCAGCGGTAGAAGCTGCTGTGCCGTTGGCCGAAAACCTTGCTGAATTTACTATTCATCCTGATGGTCCTCCCACCCTCCCACTGAAATAGAAGCATCAAAAAAAAAAAAAAGAAAGCTCTGCGATCTTGATGGACATGGATACAACGATGACTTTTTATTCGCAAAATAGAAAACCCATTTATTTATATATCATGAATCTTTTTTTTTTCGATCATCCATTAAAATAAGAGAATGTCTTATTCTCTCGGTTTAATTGTTGACATCCTCTACGTAAAAATCAGCCAATAAAATTACTTTTTTTTTTCTTAGTTGTATACCTTTACAACTCGCTCAAAAAAGATCATCATCGTATCAAATTTGGATACACATGAAGCTATTCTCTTGGTTAATAGCAATTTATATCTCCCAATTAATTTATAGAGTAAATTAAAAAATAAAAGTCAACGCAGTCATCCCTCCAATCATCATCAAATACAATTACCACCATTAGATTCCTCTCCAAAGTAGTTTAATATCGTTTTATTCATTAACTTGTCAACTAATGTGCGTCAAGATATATCATCAATTTTTTGAGAAATCGCCTGGCAACCACTTGATGATGGATTTTTACGCCAAAATTTGACTGAGGAATTGGAAGTTAGTTGTTAAAATCCAACAATTTCTAAAAAAAAAAAAAAAAAAAAAAAAAAAAAAAAAAAGAGAGAGAGAGAGGGGGGGGGGCAACCGAAAAGGAACGCCATGTTACAGGTTTCCTTTTTTTTTTTTTTGAAATGTTCAATCGATCCCGAGAACAATCACGACAATGGATATTTAATTATTTTTTTTTTCTGAATCAGAATAGGTCAATGATAAAATAGCTAACTAGAAAAAAAAAAAAAAAAGATCTTACAGAGCCTGTATCGGATTAAACTATTTGGAAAAACATTCTGTAGAAAAAGGTCTTTTTTTTTTCTCCTTGCCCCTTTTTTTCTTCCTCCTCTTTCTCGCTCCTTGCTTTCTCGTTTCTTTTTCTCCATTTACCTTTTTTTTTTAAAAAGTCTTCTTTTTCTTTCGTTCTTTATTTTTTTTTTTATTTTTCACTTTTCTCGACGAGACCATTGACTCAAGACAAAGCTCTCTAATATGGAAGTACCAACATCATCATCATCATGTCCTGAGTATAAAGAGTAATCAACATTTATCATTTATGCATGATTTCCTCTTTTTGTACTCACAGATAAAATGAATTCTCTTTTTTTTTTTTTTAGATACGCCAAAGTCTTCCATGGACCAGCCAGTTCAGGATCATTGAAACTTCCATTCCAACGTCCTATTGAAGCATGTCGAACATTTACCAGTAAAGTGATTGACCAAGCGGTTGATTTTGTTGCCTCCAAAGTAAGTAATGAGTCATCCAAAAAAAAAAAAGACTTTTATAATAATAACATTTTATTATTATTATTATTATTATTTAATATGATTTGCTAAGATAGCCAATGCTGATCTGGCACGCCTGTTCACCAACACTTTTCCCAATACATTGGACACCACCGTCAGTCAAACAGCCTGTTTAACCAATCAAACAGATAACTGTCATCCATTGAGCTTTGTGATCACAGGAGATATCAATGCCATGTGGTTACGTGATTCTGCCAATCAGATGATGCCTTACTTGAATTATATACCTCAAGACTATTCACTGAAACGTTTGTTTTTGGGTACCATCTACCTTCAGGCCCACTTTATTTCCATTGATCCCTATGCCAACGCGTTCCATCCAGGTCAGAATATGCAACAGTGGTCCATCATGCAAACCCCAAATCCCTCTAAACATCATGGATTTTCCCCTGGAGGTATACCTGAAGTCGCCGACTATAAATGGGAAATCGATTCTTTGGCCTCCTTTTTCAGTCTTTCTTTTCAGTATTGGCAAACCACACAGGATCGTTCTTTTATTGATTCTCCCATCTGGATGAATGCCGTGGAAACAAGCATCAATCTCTTACTCAACGAACAACATGGTACCTTTGATCCTAAGACAGGTAAAAAAAAAAAAAAAAAAAAAAAAAAGAAAAGGAGAGAGAAAGGATGGTTTTTTTTTTTTTTTTGAGTAGTCATCCCTTTTTTTTTTTTTTTTTAATCAATAGGAGACGTCTTGCCAGTGAATGAACGATATTCTCAAACTACACGACAACCTGCAGATACACAATTTCTAGAAGGACGTGGTCAACCTATCAAACAAACAGGCATGATCAGAACACTCTTCCGACCTTCCGATGATGCATGTGTGTTTCCCTTTTTTGTACCTGGTAATGCCATGATCTCGGTGGAATTAGATCATCTCAGTCAATTGATTCGTGATAAGAATGCTACCTTGGCTAATCAAGCTAGTCAACTGTCCAAAGATATTCGTGAAGCTATTTTCAAGTATGGTGTGGTGGATCTACCAGATCATGGAAAAGTATTTGCTTGTAAGTTTCTTAATCTATGTAAGATAAATATTCAATACCCTTTATTTTTATTTTTATGATGATTAGATGAAGTGGATGGATATGGAGCACAATTAATCATGGATGATGCCAATGTACCGTCGTTATTATCTTTACCATTATTGGGTTTTGTTCCTGTGGATGATCCAATTTATCAAAATACACGACGGCTTGTTTTATCCAAAGGTAATCCATATTATTATGAAGGTCCTAGCATGTCAGGTATTGGTAGCCCTCATGTCCCTTTGAATTATGCTTGGCCTATGTCTCAAATCGTCAGAGTAAGTTCTTATCCATATAAAAAAAAAAATTGCATTGTTTATTTATATTTGTTTTTTTGGGGGAAGAATAGATCATGACTTCAAAAGATGATACTGAAATCAAAGAAACCTTGGATTTATTATTACGAACAACGGCCGGAACAGGCTTGATTCATGAATCTATCTATATTCTTGGAAGTAAGTTGGGATGATGTGTATACTTATGCGATCTGTTCTCATGCCAACGTTTTTTCTTTTTTTTTTTTTTTTTTTTTTTGAATAAATTAGATCCGACGGAAAAAGTTCCCTATACTAGATCATGGTTTGGTTGGGCAAATTCATTATTTGGTCAAGCTATCATTCAATTGGTCAAAGAAAAACCTCACCTTCTTGCTTAGTCTCCTCCTAATCTTTCGTTTTTACTCACTTTGAGTGTAATCATCTTTTCTAATAAACGATTTCTTTTTTTTATATATATTTCTTTTCGTACAAGAGGGATGATGATGGTGATTCTTGTCATCTGGCACTTGATTTCAGGGGCTAAAATTGGTGAAGTTGAGGTGTTTGAAATATTGACTATAAAATGTCCCACAATTGATTATTTTTTTTCTTTGTTCTTTTTCTTTTATTTTTATTCCGTTCCTACTAGCCTAAAAGTTGGAAGCTCACTCACCTTCTTCTCCCTTTCTCTTTTTTCAATGTTTACGTGATATTTCATCGATACCATTGATTCATTATCATTTGTTTGTACTGAAGGATATAGGTAATATTGACAATAAAGGACAAAGGACGTGAACAAAAAAATATTTCCATGATACTATCGTTACCCTTCTTTTTTTTTATAGATTGCATTGATTCCCTTTCAGCGTTTTTATACTTTGAATTCTCAGTCTCTCATACTTTCATTCCCTTCTTCTCTTTTTGTCAACCTCCCAACTAATACACCACTTATTTTTTTATTTTATTATTATCCTCATTTACGTGAATAGGATTCAAGTTGATGAATGGGTGGACGCTTATATTATCTGGATGAGTCTGTGGCTGCAACAGCTGGATAGATATACAGCAGGAGCAATGGAATGGGTTTACAACTGAAAGGATATATAATAGTATCACTTAGATGTATTTTACGCTGAATTTGGATTAACTGGATGGATGTTAATATATATATCGCAACATACAACAAGATCGATAGGATAGGTTTACCAAATGGTATCGATTAGACAAGAAATCAAGTCAACTGAGCACAAAAGGGGTAGTTTTTAATGATCTATTATGGTTTGATTGACTCTCTCAACTAGTTTGTGGTGATTCTTTATATTATAGTTAGTAATAAGTCCTAGTGATATTTATGTTATAGAGCATATTACATTCTCTTTTTTTTTTTCTTTTTTAATAAAATCTACATTTATATTCTCCCTATTATTATTATCATTGTCTCTTATAGTTTTGATCGTCCAAAAGAAATACGGCAACATGAATCATGACATGGATATTTACAAAAATCAACAATTGCCATTCATCATCCACCATCGTCAATCGCTTTCCACCACCTAATCATCCATCATCATTACGAATTAAATCTCGATAATCCTTTGTGCCTAGAAACTTACTGAGATTTGGACTCTTGATCGTTCCTGGGAAGACGCCAACAGATGTCTTTATCTGTAATGAAATCATATGAGACCATCAAAAGATTTCATCGATTTTTCGAAAAGTCGCCTGGCAGATGATTGATTTTTACAGTTGGCCGAGGAATTGGAAACTCTTGGCTGTAAAATCCAGAATTTTTTTTTTTTAAGAAAAAAAAAAAAACGGATTCAAATCGTAATTGTTTGTAAAAATAAAGACAAATCTTTATTGATGTAAATTAAAATTGATATATGTCAATATAGATTAAAAAAAATGTATATTTCAACGAAAAAAAAAAATTGATATATGATTGTTGGATGACGATAATAATGTTGATCTAAAAAAGGAACTAAAACTACAATATATAAATGAAGATAGATAACAAAAAAAAAAAATCATCTATCGTCTAGGTTTTCTTCGTAAATAGACCAAGGCAATCACGGATAAAATGTTAGACACCAAAAACAATAATAGAATACCAAAATTGCGCCACTTATGATCAGCAGCCCAGGCATAATTTGTTTCAAAGAATTGTTCACCTGTAGAATAAAGACAATAACCACATTGTTCAGGTTGCATAGCTTGAGGATTTTCAATGTAACCAGTGACTCCATATGTACTATTGAAGAATGCTTCTGTATATTGAGCGCATGTTTGACCAGGAGGTGGTGTGAAGCGAATCAAATCGGATGGTGTACAATGGATTGCGATATTCTCCATTTCATTGACCGTTAATCCTTCAATGTAGTAATGGAAAGGATCTAACCAATACATCCAAGCACTCCAGAAACGAGGCATGGCAGAAGGAAGTTGCATCAAACCACAGAATAACACAAGGATAGACATGATCAAAGGATTCAACACAGCAGCCATAGTAGGTGCTTCAGCAATAGCTATTGAAGAAGAATAAGAAAAAAAAATCAAATCAGTTAAACCAATCTTTTGAGTTTTTTTTTTTTTTTTTTTTTTTTTTTTTTTTTTTTTTTTTTTTTTTTTTTTTTTTTTTTTTTTTTTTTGTTTTCCACAATAAATTAACTTACCAGCAATAATGTATCCCAAAGTGGCACTCCAAGTGGTGATTGTTGAGAAAACAAGATAAAAGTAACCAACGGCTTCAGATGTATTTTTCATTCCGGAAGTCCAATACAAACCAAACATGAAGAAAGCAGAATAAAAGAGAACTAGAAAATATGAATATAGGTAAATAACATATATAAGAAGGAAAAGAAAAAAGTAGAGAATAACTTACTGTAAGGAATTTCCACCAACACAGCAGAAATAGACCAAGGTAACCAAGAGTAATAACGAGAGGCATATTCACGACGGAAATACACACGTTCAGTCATAAATTTGGGTTGAGCAAGAATAATGATAGTGAAGGCCATAATGAATGTAGTAAAAAGAGCAAACAATTTGTTTTGAAGATCAGAAGTAGAATGACCCAATTTCCAATAAGTGAAACCAGTGATGATGGCAACCACCATGATATTGAGGAATCGACCAACATTGTATTCAGGAGATCTCCAGTAAGATAAAGCCATACGTTTGTGTACTAAGACAAATTGAGTCCAAAGAGAAGTAGCATAGGTACGTGCTTTGCGAGAAGGAGTTGGGTCAACGGATTGATGAATTTGTTCCAATTCGTTTTCTAACGCTTTGGCTTCATTGGATCCAGACCATACATCAGCCCAGTTCTTCGTCACTTTCCCTGTAGTACCAGCACCCACAACTTCCAAAATATATTCTGCAGGATTGGCTTCAGGATGACATACAGGACCACCATTGCGTTCAAAGTAATCAATCATCACACGAGCATCAGGACCAATTTCACCATAATAAGCAGTTCTGCCACCACGAACCAATAGTAATAGATGATCAAAATGATCGAACAAGATAGCAGAAGGTTGATGAATAGTACACAAGACAGGCCAACCAGCATCAGCTAATTTGCGAATGAATCGAACAATGTTGAATGAAGATTGAGCATCCAAACCAGAAGTAGGTTCATCCAAGAATAAAAGTTGAGGTTTGCCCACCAATTCCATACCAATAGTAAGGCGTTTGCGTTCTTCCACAGAAATACCAAATCCAGATTCCACGTCACCAATTTGTGCATCAGCAATGTCTTCCATTTCCAATAGTTGTAGAATCGTTTCAACATAATCGTTCTTTTCTTGACGAGATACATCAGCAGGTTGACGAAGATAGGCAGAGAATCGTAAAGCTTCACGTACAGTCACCGCAGGTTGATGTACGTCCATTTGTTCACAATAACCAGTAATACGTTCAAAATCATTCATCAAGATTTCGCCATTAAGATAGGTACGACCATCGACCTTGCCAATAGTTTTACGTCTTGCTAATACATCCAAAAGCGTTGTTTTACCTGCACCAGAAGAACCCATCAAAGCAGTAAGATGACCAGGTTTGACAATTCCGCTAATATCGTTGAGAAGTTGCAATGAACCGCCTTTGATAGGAACAGTATAGTTGACATGATGCCATGAAAAGGTAGTACCAGTTGAAATGTTGTCCATATTTTCAATCACCTTGGCTTGTCGTAGTCGTCGTTCATTTTCTTCTTCTGCTGTACGTTGCTTGGGAGCCTTTCCTGGAAGATAAAGACGAGTCAATGTACTTGATTTGCCAACAGCGCTAAAGTCCATAGCCAAAGCAGTAATAACAGTAAAGAACAAGAAGAAAGCCACAACAACAACAAAATCAGGTGCCCATTTTTCCCAAGGCTTGTATGACAAAGCAGCTAATAAGTAATCACTACCTGAGACAGAGGATTGGCCAGGAATACCACCTTGCATTGTACATGTCTTATAATTCCAATCAGTATATTCTATTAGGCAACATTAAAATAAAAAAAGATGAATATACTAATAGTATTTCTTTTTTTTTTTTTTTTGTGATACATACCAGGACCATAAGGAACAGAATTACCGGGACCATCACATGAATAGACTTGATTTTCCATTTCATTGATTAATAAAGCTTTTGTACCATAAGCAAGAGGGTTCATCCAATAAATCCTATTATTATTATTATAAATCGAGTTAATATGAAAATGTCATCCATACATTTTTTTTTTTTGCCTTACCAGAATAACCAAGGATGCATTTTGTTGTACGAAATGATATAACCAGTATAATTGTAAAAGGTAATAATGATAACACTTGATAATTGAGTAGCCACAAAGAAGGATGGAGAAACAGCACCAAAGAATCGGAAAAAACCAATGGTTGACATATTAATGAAGAACATGATTATAAAATAGGTGAAGAATCGACCAGCATCCAAATTTAATCCCATCATAAAGTAAGTACAGATTTCAAATAGCAGCACTACGATTTTTTTTTTTTAAAAAAAAAAAAAAAAGAATGAGCATTGCTTGTCATTTCATGTGATATAATATTAATAAAATACCTTGAGCCACAGCAAATGGAACATCTAACAAAACTTGTGAAATATAAAAAGCGGATGGACGATACAGAGCGAACTGCTTGTGTTTTTCCAAAATAGGACGACCAATCATAAACCTAACCAATTCAGATTGAGAGACAAAAGAATTGAAGATGACAGAGAAAAAGATAGCACCAGCACGAGAAAAAGCACCAGTTCCATTGAGAGGATTCATATAAAAGCAGGATGCAGTGATTAAGCCTTGAATCAAGATGGTACCATAACGAGAAATTAAAGCTTCACTATCTGTAATCAGTAAATGATATTGACGGATAGTAAGAGCTTTCACTTGTTGATAAAAGGAAGCAGTATAAGGAGCATTACGGGAGGCACGTTTTTGATGTTCTTGATCTACAGCTTGTCTAAATAGTTCAGCTTGTTTTTCAGTTGAAAGTTGTTCTTCAAAGGCATCGAGTTCGTTCATCATGTCGGCATAAATGTTAGATTGGATGAAACGTTGTTCAAATTCTTCAGCATTTTGAGGTACAGATTTTTCAAAACCAGGCTTAGTTTCGCGTTCCAAAGGATTGCAAAGACCAGTCAAAAAATCAGGTGTAGATTTTCGTGGAGGACAATAGAAACCAAGATCTTCAAAGTAACGTTTGGCTTGACCAACAGGACCAAAATAAATGCATCGACCTTCATCCAATAATAAAATCTTATCAAATGTATCAAAAATACTGTTGGAAGCTTGATAAAGAGTGGCAATAGTTGTTTTGTTGAATACATCGGTCATGATACGAAGAGAGCGAACATAATCCAAGGCAGAGGCAGCATCCAAACCACGTGTAGAGCAATCCCAACAGTTGATAGAACTTGAAGTTGTCATGTGTTCAGCAATTGAGAGTCGTTTTCGTTCACCTCCAGAAAGACCACGAATAAAGGCATTACCAACTTTGGTATTCATTTGTTTGGTAAGTCCCAACATATTACCAAGCATGTACAAGATCTTGTTAACGAATTCAGTTTTGGTTTCTTCAGGAAGTCTGTTACCAGGTGTCTTTGTTCGAAGAGCGAACTGAAGTGTTTGTTTGGCGGTCAATGTAGGAAAGTGAAGATCTTCTTCTTCATTGTAACAAGTCTGTCCTTGGAATTCTTTTGCAAAAGTTGTAGGATCAATACCACCAAAACTAACAGAGCCATTGACATCAGTGAAACTACCGCGCATATTGGCTAACACTTTGAGAAGAGAAGTACAACCAGCACCAGGTCGACCAAGTACTAATAACATTTCACCATCCTTACAGAATCCATTTAACTTGTGAAGAATAGTTTTCTTGTTACCACCAAGTCCAATACCAAAACGTTTCCATACTTGAAGTCCATTACCAATAAAGTTGAAAACATTTGGAATAGTATGAGCATCAGCAGCAAGACCCTTTTACAGTGGGAAAGAAGAAAAAAAAAAAGAATAAGTAAAAGAAAAGTAAAAAAAAAAAAAAAAAAAAAGTAACCCTTTTTTTTAAGTTTACCTTGACTTCTAAATCCCGCCAAATCACGCCCAAATGTTTAGGCAATTGACCAGCTTCACTGTTATCATTTGACATGCCTTTTAAGAATTGATCCAAATCAAATTGATCTTCTGTAGTACCTTCTTCTAGTTTACTTGCATTTGTAGACATTCTACTAATTCGACTTAATTCCTTTTTCAAATCATGATATTCTGTCAAAGCAGCTATAAATCAAAAAGGATATATCATTAATTATTATTATTGATATAAATTATTCCTTTTTTTTTCTTCTTTTACCTTCAATATTAACAGCGTTACCAGTAGGTTCACCATATGTATCATTTGCTTGATAAGCATCACCAATAGCAGTATCAATAGATACACGATCTTCTATATTCTCTACTGTTATTACTTTTTTATTTTCCCATAAAGGAGTAGCAGTTTCTTCTTTTCCTGTCATGATGAACAAAAAAGAAAACTGAAGAAAAAGAAAGAAGAAGAAAAAAAAAAAGGGGAAAAGATCAACAATATTTATAATGTTAAAGATTTTTAGTTGAATACAAAAAGTAAAATCTAAATATGGAAAGCGCTTACGATGGTTTGTAACGTATTCTTATTATCGTTATGGCAAAGCTCCGATATGTTTTTTGTTTTGATTTGAAACCTTCTTTCATTAGACCCATTCATGGCATCATTTCTTATTAATGCAAGTAGCCTTTATTCAATTACTAACTGTATCCTTATAAATGAATCTAGGTAACTATTTTCTCGGTTTATATTTGCCCGTTCCTTTTGATTATTGATTCTTTTCTTTTTTTTTTTTTTTTTTTTTTTTTTTGCTTCTCTCTCTTATCTTTTCTTTCTTTCTTCCAAGATAAAAAAAAAAAAAGAGAGAGAGAGAGAGAGAAAGGATCATCACCAAAAGAGGAAGAAAAGTACGTTTGATGATTCCAAATGTTATTAGTATTTGGAGATTTGAAATAGATATAGAATGAATTCATTTAAACTCAAAAAGTAAACTGAATGCCTCCATTTCATATAGATCATTATCATCGTAGTAGTTCTTACTAATCCAAGTAATCACCTTTCAAAAAGTGATTTAAGGGTAAATTTGTTCCGAGTAACGAATCCAGTGTTTCTTTTTATTTTTTTGATCTACCACTGCCTAGTTCGGACCAAGAAAGTTGGTGAAACGTAACGGCTCTGTAAACTGGAGGCTGAAGTTGCCGCAGTTTTGCTCCGGTCCTTTTTTTTCTTTCTTGGGATTGTGTAACTAACTAAACATCAACGGTATTTGAAACGATTAAATGATATGAAAAAAAAAATCATGATGCATAGATAATCAATTGTATTAGAAATCCATTGATATTTTGATGTTTCGATAATAAATAAATGAAATTTTTTTTTATTGAAATAATAATATAATAATACATATATACTAAAATCATTCCAATACTAGTACAGAAGAACGCCCTTTTTCCAAATCAACCACATTTCCATTTGTATTCGATGGATGATAAGGCGGAGGTGATGATGATTGTTGATTTGTTGATGATTTGGAAGGTTTAGTATTGTTCAGTACAATGACGTTAGGTTGAGTAGGATCCATTGCATTTGGATAATATCCACCAGTTCCCATTGGATTCATCATAGGATCCATCATTTGTCCACCTTGCATAGCATGTCGTAAAGTTGCTGGTTGGAAAGCATTATGTGATTTTTTGATTGAGTACGAATAAAAACAAAGGGCCCAATAACTCTATAAATAAATATATAATATATAAAATAACATGTGAATCACTTCCAATCTCCATAGTTAATGATTTAGTCTTACATAGAATATGATCATCATAATTATAGATAACATGCTGAATTTCAATTCATCTTCCCAAGTCCGTTGACAGTTATAAAAATCAGTTGAGAAGTTGATGTTGGTAGCATTATTATGCAAAACTGTTTCCACTCCGGTTTCCAAAGCACCTGATGCTGATCCAATACACCATGACTTGTAATCATCATGAATCACGATAAAAATAATCACATTGGCAATACCATCTACAAGAATCACAAAAACACCAATTGAAATCCACATTACCATATGAGACACATAATACCAGTTATTCTGTCAAAAAAAAAAAAATTCATCAGTATTTAGTATAATGTAATTCTTAACTTACATGAAACACAGTGAATATACCAAAACCAGCTACACAAGCAAAGAATAAATTGGCTGTTCCAAATACTAAGATAGCAGCATCAGACATGAAGGAAAAAAAGGCTACAATAAATAAAGAAAAATCAGTTCATATGCTCTTCTTTTTTTTTTCATTTTAGATAACTTACGACTTTTGTGCTGAAAAGATACCGCGGCAAAGTATAAGGACAATCCCTAAAGAAAAGGAAAATATATCATTAATATAATTAATGAAATAAATAAAACGATAAAAAACTTACTACCCATATCAAACAAGATATCATGGCACCAGCTCTTAAATGAATGCAACCACAACATTTTCGCAGGACAGGGGAACTGGAATGTAAGTATCTAACACGATATTCTGGTCGAAAAATACGAAGGAATTCAGGTGCAAACATATGAGATCTATCTAAATAAGTTGTATATGTATATATATAGAAAAAAAGAGGAAAAGAGAAAGAGATAGAGAGATATAAAGAGAAGAAGAAATAAAATAGACAGCAAAGAAAGAAAAAGGTGATATGTTTTGTTGATTTCCTTATTCGGCGTACAGCAAAAAAAAAATGATAGGATCATGTTTTGTCATTTTGATTCCCAGCTGTTGTCTCTCTCTCTCTCTCTCATCCTTCGACCTCAATATTAATATTTACATGTAAACTATATCAATTATGTTATCAAAAACTTTACCGATTATATTTGATGTACCCACCATCGCTTTATTTGAAAAACGATTACTCAATGTACCTAACTACAAATTCAAGTTCAAACCTGATGCTAAAGATGCTGCTGTTTTAGTCCCTTTGTGCCTCGTTAATAAGAAACCAAGTGTCTTATTTACAGTTCGTAACCTTCATATGCGAACTCACCGTGGTGAAATCAGGTAAAAAAAATCAAAACATTACACAAAATAGTTTTTCTTTCTTTTTTTAAAAAAAAAAAAAGACATCAAGAAGAACCAACTTTCATTGATTTTTCTATTTCATTAGTTTTCCAGGTGGCAAAGCAGGTAAATTATTCTTCTCTATAAAGAAAGTCATAGCATATAGGAAAAGCAACAAGAGGAAAGTTGTTGAACAATGTATTTACATGAGTTTTTATTAACATATTACCGTTAGATCTCTCTGACACAAGTCTAGAAATGACAGCACTACGGGAAACAACAGAAGAAATTGGAATAGCATCTTCAGCGATCGATATTTTGGGACAGTATTCTGTGGTACCAAATAAGAATGGATCTCTACGTGTTCATCCTTTTGTTGGTTTGATTCGTCAAGAAATTGATCCAGCCACTCTCAATTTCAATCCTGATGAAGTATCCTCTGTGTTCAGCTTACCTTTAGAATACTTGATACAGCCTTCAGTACGTGAAATACGTGGATTCAGGGATAGTCAGCACAAATATACCATCTTCAAGATCCCGGATGATTTACCTGGTGAAGAAAGAGAAATTTGGGGATTAACTAGTTTTATCATGGATGGTAATGAATATAATATATATATATATATATATACGCTTATGATTAAATGATTTTTTTTTTTGGTTGATAGGTATCTTTCGACGTATTTTGAATGATGTGTACCAGTAGTATAGATTTTAAAACTTGTAGATATGTTTAGTATATAGAATCTCTTTTTTTTTTTACTGTTATTTTGTTTTATTATACATCTGTTAAATTAAAAATAGAGGAATGAAATAAAAACTTTTGTAGACTTTGGTACAAAAAAAAAAAAAAAATGGATGGTTGGATGATGGATGATTATTGATGATGAATGATTATTGATGATGAGGGTGGTTGAATGGTAGAATGAAATAGTATAATTGATTATATGTGATCTTGTATGGGAGATGAAGAATAAAAGATAGTTGAATGATACATGATTAGTTGATGGTGATGGACGATATGTCGACTGATGGATAACAAAGGTTGGGAGTATGGTCATTTGTTATCAACCATCATCGCATCATTCAACATGCAGTATACCATGAACACTAAACATTATTTATTATCATGAGTTGTAATAAAATGATCTTTATTAGTTCAAAATGATATGAAAGAAACAAACAAATAAACTATTATATTGCAACTACAGTAATAAAACAAAATAAAATAAAAAGTGGACAAAAAGAAGAACTATACGATTCTAATGGGAGATGTGGGGGGGGGATATCAATAAAGAATACGCCTGGAGTACTTTCGAACTTCTGGATCATCAATAAAACGCTTGATAGAATCGGCATCCATTTGAAGTTGAACGTCATACATAACACCTTTATTGCCATCGTTTCTTCCAAAAAGTACTAAACAACCATTACCACCAGAAGTAATATAACCTCGAGTACGATCAGGTCTGCCAAATCCAAAATCCAATCTCCAGAACGGTAAGGAAGAGGCATCAGTTGCTGTCACTTGAGTATCACAATTGGGTTGATATGTCAAATAATGTACAGTCATGTCTTCATTCATTGTATATATCTTGCTGATGCCATGAAATAGTGATGATCGTAATGAAGTGAGTTGTCGTCGGAATGCCATAGCAGCTTCTGCCAGATGAGTTGAATTCACTTGTCGTCTGTCCATAGTGATTGTCCTTGAACTAGATCATATATAAAATAAAATAAAATAAAAAGATGGAATCATTTCTTTTTTTTTTTTTTTTGTATGACTTACATCATCCAATTTCCAAAATAGTAATCAATATTTTTTGTATATTTCATTTTCATTCGTCCATTGACACCTAAGATCATACGTACAGCTTCATCTCTTGGAATATTTCTTGATCGCACAATCGCACGTAGCAACATACCAAAAAGAGCTTCCTTTGTAGACATCCATGTCTTACTTTCCATCATTTCAATTGTATGAGCGTCCTTTTTACACATTTGAAGGCCATCCGAATGGAATTCCAATACAATACTTTTCAATGGTAAAGGACCGTCTGGCGTAGTTCTTGAATAAATTTGTTGATTGGGATCCATACGTAAACGATAATGATCAGGATCGACTACTTTATGTTCTTCACGATAATGATGAATGGCTTCTTCGGTGATGACTGTATTGGGAGGAAAAGAGACGAGGGATCGTTTGAAACAGGCTTTAGCATAGGGAAGACCACGTGCTTGTTTGGCCCAGGCATCCAGGAATAAACAGGCTGAATAAGTATCTGCTATCTTGTGTAAAATCATGATTCCTAATGCCACTCCACCATCGAGAAATCGATTTACTTGAATTGCTAACAATGGATCTTGTGGTGAACAATAAAAGTGAATGGGAAACATATGATGATAATCCATTTGATGAGGTAAATAACCATCTTCTTTGAATGATTCTAATTCTTCTGGATACGATGTTTCCTAGTATTAAAATATATATATTGTTAAATCAAATAAACTAAAAAAAAAAAAAAAAAAAAAAAAAAGGAAAACCTACTTGAAATAAAACGCCAGCATCATTACATTCAATTTCATCACGACCTTGACCAATATCTACCAGACGACCAGCAAGAGGATAAAAATCATCAAGTACTACCTGTAATGAATCTATCAAAACTTCTGTATTCATAAAATCTTCCATTTTTTCCGTATTGGCGTAAAATAATAGCATAGGTGTATAAGACTTGAACATAACGACATCCCAATCGGATAAAGGTAAACGACTTTTATCAATAGGAGTAGGTGTCTTGGGTTTGATCCATTCACGTTGATTGAGTTGAATACGAGGTTGAGGTGTCATTGGTTGATAATAAAAGAGATGGTAGGTGAAAAAAGAATAAAGGAGAAAAAAAAAAGAGGGAGAAAAAAAAAAAAGAGATAGAATAAAGAGAAGGAACAAATTGATAGAGGAAGAACAACATAATGATTTGCTATTGTCAAGTGTTTATCCCGTGGTGAATTGAATGAAGGCAAATTTAGAGAGGAAAGATAGATAAATATGTACATAATAATAATAATAAAAAAAGGGGGGAAACGAGAAAGATCGATTACAAGGGAAGAAATAAAAAATAACAAATAAAAAAGGGAAAAAACTAGTCTATTGTACTGAAAAAAGAAAAAAATAAAGATGAATGGATAGATACAGAAAGACATAAATCATTTATTTGTTTGTTTTTATTAATATCAAATGTTTTTATCCCGTACCAGATAGAAGAACCGACAATTATGCATCCATTTTCTTGAGTAGAGGGAATTGAAGTACTTGTTCATAATTTTCCAATGGTAGATCTCTCCAACCAGGTATTTCCATTTCAATATTATTTGGATCAATTTCTGGGAATCTTGATTGAATTGTTTCCATAAATAAATCAAATAATACCTTAACAAACAATCAAAAAAAAAAATATATAAATTAATAATAATCATAACAAATATTTTCCTTTTTTTTTTTTTTTTTTTTTTTTTACCTTATATCCGTTCGAATTAAGATGTAATCCATCAAACAAAAAATCACTAAGATTCTTTTCATCTTCCGAAGCTTTTTCCATTAATCTTGACCAAAGATTTATTACTACTACTTGTTGTTCTTCTCCAACTTGTCCAACCATAGATGCATATTTTTGAGTTATTTCTGCTGATCTACTCATTTCATCACCATTTTCATCACAACGTTTTTTCCATTGAGATTCATTGACTGGAGGAGGAGTAATCAAAATAAGTCGCATATTAGGATTATAAAAAGGTGAAGCAGAATCCTTTATCATCTTGATCATCGTTGTCAAATTGGTTCTGTATCGATCTAACGGTACGTGTTGTGGGGAGAATGGAAGTGCTGCATCATTAGCACCAAAGAAGATAGTCATCAATTCGATACGTGCTGCTTGTTTGTGTTGCTCTTCAACAGTTGGTAACAATTGACGAATGATAGGAAGAGCCCAATCGGTATTATAGCCTAATATATTTTTTTTTTAAAAAAAAAAAAAGCAACATTAGTTTCATTATATAGCTCTATCTATTTCATTCTTTTACCTGAAAATCCTCTGTTCAAAACATCCATTTTACGTTGATATGCCTATTAAAATAATAACAACAGAAAACAAAAAAAAAACGTTCATACGACGCGTCTATTTTTTTTTTTTTGCATTGTCCAATCTTATTATACTTACACTTGCTACATTTGCAGCAAAGCCAAAAAGAGAAGGGTCAAAGCTCATCTATATCAAGAAAATATGATGAATATAAAAATAGATAGTCAAATGTTCGAGTTGTACCTGAGTGATAGAGTCCTATAGGATTTGTTTCAAAGAATATTAAAACATAAGTCTTTTATTGAACAAGACGATACTATTTTTTTTTCATGCTTACTCCGAATAAAACTATTTGATTGTATGGATGATTCATCGTGTATCAGTTGAAAAGATTGATTATCTGGTCTTTGGATAAGTCGTGAGAGAATTAGAAACGGCAAAAAAAAAAAAAAAAAAAAAAAAAAAAAAAAAAAAAAAGAAAAAGGATAGCACCAAATTTCTTTGTCGTTCCGTAATTTCAACATCCGTCCCATCTTCTCCCCTGGCAATCAAATGTAAGGACTCAAAAAGAATCGATGCGCATATTTTCCCTATTATAGTAAAGAACTCTTACTATTGTCTAAAAAAAAAAAAAAAGAAAGTGGGGTTCCCAAATTCATTCAAATGAAATAAGCATCATCCCATTTTTCTCTTTTTTTTTTTTTTTTTTTTTACTGCTATGCTTTGAGCTTAGTTTTTTCTGAGAACAAACATTAGCCAATCAGATATTCATTTTGATGGAAAGAAAAAAAAAATCATGCCACCAGATAGAATCATGAACAAAAAAGAAAAAAGTGGCATCATGATTTTTTAGTATCATCCATCCTCTCGAAATAACTATAAAAACCCCTTCGCCCTTGATATCATTCTTTTATAATCTTTATTTCTCTTTTATAAATAATTAATCACAATGGGTGGCGTTATGAATTTTATCCGACAAGCTAAAAACAAGCCTGAAATCTTCCCTCTTGTTGGTATCCTTGGTTTTGCTGTAAGTGGTGCCATTTTTATGTCTGTCCATCAAGCCCGTGCCCCTGATGTGGTTTGGAATCATAAAGATAATAAATACCCATGGCAAGAAATCCGTGATGGTGAACAAGTCAAATTAACAACTATCAATCAAAAATATGATAGCCGATGGAATCGTAGTCACTGGTAACTCTGATCTTCACTTCTTTCATGGAACTTATTTCATTATCTTGTGTACATATATGTCTTTTTTTTTATATCATTAAATATTGCTTTCTCATATGCATTTTGTTCAATTAATAAACCTATAAATTATAATTCAATTAATAAACCTATAATCATTTCTTATAAAATGATCTCTCTCAAGGTTAGTTTGATATGTGGGATAGTAGATTCAAGTTAAAGTGAATTAGAGTAGTAGTTATGGTTTTGATGGTGAGATAGGTGATGGATGATGTATATGACGAACGGTTAATTCACTCATTATGCTACTTGTCACGACATTTTAAAAGAGTGATATTGAAACGCCGGTTTACCCAAAAAATCGCCAGGATAGAATTTTTCTTTTTTTTCACTATTTCTTTTTTTTTTTCATCTCCCTCACATTCCTTTCCTTCTTCATTCACATGACATCAAAAGAGGGAATGTCCAAGTCTATTTCTATAGGCGACTCCATCATGTCCTCAAGTGGTTTGGATCTGACCTTTGGAGGTACGTTAGATGATTCAGAGACGCTTGACCATCTTGACAAATATATACGGAAAAAGGACGGTGAAATCGAACGTATGTGCAATGCTCACTATCAGGTAAACTTTTTTACATTAAGAAAAAAAAAAAGAAGAAAGTCCAGTTTTTATTAGTTTATATATACTAATTATTATTCTTGACTTGATATGTGTCTTTCTTTATACACTAGGAATTTGTTCATGCTGTCGACCAACTACTCAAAGTACGTCAAGGTTCAATCTCACTCAAAGAAAAGATTGGACAGGTGAATCAAGAACTTCAAACAGCTGGTGGATTAGTCACGAAGAAACGACGAGAATGGATGGAGGCACGACGAGTACAACAAAACGTGGATGATGCTATTAGTGCTTTACAATCAAGTCTCATCGTACTGGAAATGGCTAACAAGGTAGATCATCAACTAGAACAACACAAATACTATTCAACTCTTAAAACTTTGAATGATCTTAAATATCAACAATTACAATCAATATCTCAATATAGCTTCTCAAAAGCTCTAGGTATGAAATAAAATCATAACAGTTGTCGTTCAAATATATTCATCTATTTATATATCTATAGCTCAAAGTGTACCAGCAAAGGAAGCTATCGTAAAGGAACTGGTAACATCTGAATTAAAAGAATGGTTGGCAAGAGTACGGGAAATATCAAGAGAAATTGGATCCATGGCAATGCGTCGAATGCAAGAACGGCAAGAACGTTGGAGGATGAAGACGGCTGAAAATCCAAAACTCAAGAACTTACAACATCATAACGTCAATTCTGCTATTGAAATGGTAGTGAATGAAGGTCTTGAATGTAAGAAACAATTTGATACATATATATTATATAATGGAAACTCACTCTATTACTTTTATCATTTTATATGAAAGCTAACATGCTGGATGACACCAATATTGATTTTGAACCTCTTTTCAAATGTATACACGTTTATGATACTTTGGGTCAACGACAAGAATTTAAAACCTCCTATGAAGAAGATCGAAGGGTAAAAATCATCAATAGTGAATTGGATAGGAAAAAACTGATAACTTTTTTTACTCGTTATTTTATTTAGGCACAAGCAAATTTAGCACTTTCAGCACCTGTCAATTTACGGGATGGCAATTTCGCTGCTTTTGAAACACTCTTACAAGATATTGTTGGTTTCTTTATCATCGAACATATTGTTTTACATAATACTCAAGATTTTCGAAGTCGATCAGAGGTAAAGAAGGAAGTAGAAGGAATATCCCCTACCCAAGTTATTAATGTTTGTTTATTTTCTTATCGATAGATTGATGCTCTATGGGAAATGGTTACTGGCAAAGTAATCAACGTAGTATCGGAAAGTTTGAAAGGCTGCCGGGATCCTGAACTCTTTTTACGTGTCAAATATTGTTTATTGATCTTTATTCAAACATTAGAAGTAAGATAAAAGGAAAAAAAAAAAAAAGCAAAAATGCGCGAGTCATCTCATTTGCATATATAAACTTTTAGGGATTTGATTATTCTGTGAAACCTTTACAAGAAACTCTATTGGCTCTTTTCCAACGTTATTCTGAATTGTTGATACACGAGTACAGTCAAGTCTTTGAAAAGGTAAATCCTAAAAAAAAAAAAAAAAAGGAAATGGAGATTAATGGTTGTTTTTTGTTTTTTTATTAATGATTAGATTGTGGAAGAAGACGAATGTATGCCGATGACTGTAGAAAATGAAGATGAATTACGTGAAGTCATGCAATATACCCGATTTAGACCTGATCGTGAATTCCTTCAACGTTATGGGTAAGAAAAAAACGAAATAGAATATAAATCGAATATCTTTTGATGATCTCTTTTTTTTTTTTTCTCCCTTCGTATAGATTTCCATTAAGACTCCCATTCTCCAAAGTATTCCCTACTTGTTGTCGTGATGTCAGTGCATTCGTACATCAATTCTACCAATTTGCCGAAGGATTTTCTCAAACTCATGGTGAAATGGACGACATCTTGAAAAAAGCAAGTACAACATATAGTGATATAAAAGGATGATATGATTTACTAACTCAATTTTTAATATAGGCAGTGGATAGCTTACTAATTGGAAAAGTCAATGCGATTTTATTGAAGAAGCTTCTATCAACCAATCTCTCGCAAATTGTACAAATTATTATCAACATTGAATACTTTGAATCAACGTGTCCAGATTTCGAAATGTTATTAATGGAAACAAGATCATTCCACCGATCTGGACGAATTCATCTCAAAGCTACTTCCATCTTCAAGGAAACGCGGCGAAAAGCTGAAAAACGTATTTTTGAATTGGTCAATGCCAAGTTGGATGAATTTTTGGAACTATCTGATTATGATTGGTAAATGGAAGAAAACAAAGAGAGAGAGAGACTCTTTTTCGATTGATGTGTATGTATTATTTTAATGTTAGGGAAACTCGTGAAGTACAAAAACAACCTAGTCCTCATTTACAAGATCTTGTTACGTTCCTTACCAATGTTACAAATGCAGCCTTATTGAACTTGCCTGAATCTATCAAAAGTTTACTTTATTATGATGCTCTTGCCCATTTATGTAACAGCATGAAGGTAAAAAGTAAAATTTTTATATAAATGATACCGTTACTCATTTTTTTATTTTATTTTATTTTATTTTATTTTATTTTATTTTATTTTATTTTATTTTTTTTTTGGTCGATCTCTTATTTTTGTAGAATCTATCATTATCCCCAGATTGCCCCGCAATTACTCCAGAAGCATTGGTCAATTTTGACACAGATGTTCACTTTTTGGAAGAATTCATCCAGAGCTTGAAAGATCCCTCTTTGATTGACACCTCCCACGAACTCCGACAGGTACCCCATTCATTGGAACAATTTCTGTTTTTTTTTTTTTTTTTTTTAATATGACACCCTACGAACCATTCTCTTTTATTTATTTATTTCTTTTTTTTTTTTTTGTAATCTTTTTAGTTGATTCAATTGGCGATCAGTGATAATCCGGAAGAATATTTGACCCCTCATATCAGAAGCAAATTATATGATCGGGTAAATGGTGCCGATGTGGTGATATTATTTGAAAAGTAAGTAAAGAAATCTTCTTCATTTGTATCATTAGACTCACTTTTTTTTGTAGGCTTTTAAGAGGTTTACCCAATGGACCAGGTGGATCCAATTTGTTGAATTTGAAAGAACGAGCTCACCGAAAAGCATTAGAAAATGTAGCAAGGTACAAAATATAAAATGGGGGAAAGTTGATGATGATGATGGAAGATCAAACTCACGGTTAAATATCCAACCGAATCCTTCGTCCGAGACCATGCGTTATTAATATTTTATTGTTGCTTTTTATCTATCAATTAGGGTTTTACGATCTGTGCATATTGGAAATCAATAATAGCTGTAGTAGAATAGTTGATCGTAAATATTATAATAAACAAAATGTTGTACATCATCTTTGTCAATTCAATCTTGTAAAGTTTTTCATCATTTTTATTATTATAATTATTATTTGTAATACATCAAAACAAAAGTAAAGGGATAGAGTAGGGAAAAAGAAAAAGAGGGGAATCAATCTATATACTAAAGTAGATGTATGAAGAAAAGGGAAAATATGAATCAATCCTAATTGCCCATTTTCTTATTCAATTTGTCCAAAGCAGCAGTTGCTTGTGAGATACCCAAATCTCTAGCGCGTTCGAATCTTGTCCTTGCATCATCGAGTTTTCCAGTAGCTTCATAGACACAACCTAAATTATAGTGAATTTCACCATCCAAAGGATTAAAGTTCGATGCCTTTTCCAAGTGAACAATAGCGGGTTGAACGTCACTCAACATCAAATAACACGAAGCAATGTTGGTATGAGCATCGGCAGCATTGGGATCCAGTTGTAAAGCCTTTTCAAATGATTGAATTGCATCTTTATGTTTACCCATTTGAAAATAACATACACCAATATTGAAGAAGCCAGCAGGTGTAGGAACAAGTTGAACAGATCGGTGATAGTGATTCATGGCCATGTCGAGAGATCCTTGATTGAGTTGTTCAGTACCAAGATTCATTTGTTGTTCAGCATCCGTCAAACGATCTTTTATAATATTAGTAGCAGAAAATCCTAAACAAGGAAAAAAAAAATTATTATTCTATTTAAATAAACGCGTTAACTATTCTGTTTTTTTTTTTTTTTTACCTCTTCTTGTTATTATGGTAGATATAGGAAGTGAATGAGTTTGATATCTTTGTAAACGAACAGTAGATCTAACCAAATGTTGAGTAAAACCTCGACGTAAAAACATCATTGTTAATAATATATAATAAATAAGTAAAAAGAATGACGATTAATTTTTACCATTCTTGTTTTTTTTTTTTTTTTTGTTTGGTCTCGAAAAGTTAGAATTCCGCTATGGTTGGCTGTAGAAAAAAAAAAAAATGTGGGCGAATGAACGATCAAAAATGTAAGCTAAATTTGTGATCTTCGAAACCTTGGTTTCAAAAATTGTCATTATAAAAAAAAAAATCCTCCTTTGGAATATTTTTTTTCCCTTTTTCTTTTTTTTCTTGTTTATTTTTTTATGATTACTCATATAGTCAATCCTCACTATTTATTTTTTTAATATTATTATTCCCTTTCTTTTTATTTGACCTTATCTTATTACCATGGCACATGATATTACAGCACGATTAGAGTACCTTGGTATTGTTGATAAACTGAAAGAAGAAGAACAAACGTTACCTACTCCTGATAATGAGCAACAAATGGACTTCCCTGAATCTGTAATGATGGAAGAAAAAGAACTTCGAAGGATCTCTTTACCTGCAGATGCTTATAAAAGATCAAAGTTTACTTCCTGGATTCAATATAATCTTCCTACTCCTCCAAGTAGTCGTACCAATAGTAACTCAAGTAGTCATCGTAGAAGTGTCAAATCAATTTCAAGTATCAAATCAACTTCAAGTGATCCTTCTTCGCCAATATCTTCTTCACCCATTTCTTCTTCACCTACTTCTTCTTCGCCAACCAATTCTGAACCATCCTCCGTACATATCTCTTATGAAACATCTCCTCCTCATCATCCTACTCCTCCACCTCGTTCTTCTTCTTTACAAATCAATCCTACAACAACAACAACAACAACAACTGGATCTCGACTTTTACCTCAACGATCTACATCATCCTCTAGTCGTCATAAGAAAAAGAAGCGACTACTTCCTTTGGTATCTCGGATTCGTTTGTGTCCTACGGAAAGAGCAAGATTAGCAACAAGTATAGAACCTCCTGAACCTCCACCACAATTATTACTATCTGCCATTCATTGCGAAGAACAAGAATATACCAAAAGAAAATCAGCTTCTCAAAATGATATTGAACAACAACATGATGGAGATATGACCACTTCTAGCGCCTCATCATCTATAGTCACACCAACAACTCCAACTTCAACTCAAACATTTTGTTGGTATGATACTCAGAATCCTCTTTCACTTTCAGCATTCTCCGGTGATACATCCAATCATTCACCTTTACGACGTAGATCAAGTTGTCCATCCAAACCTACAAAAGATATCAATACTCCAGAATGTGCTATGATGCGTTCTTTTGTCTCTTCAGCCAAGTCTTCTTCACCACTTCCAATGTCTCCCACTTCTTCATTACCGGTGGACAATGATGTATTTGATAATAACCAACAATGTGTACTTTCTTTTTCAGCCATGAAACCTAGAACTCGACCTCTTAAACGACGCACTAGTGGTAAACGAGAAAGGAAAGCTCTTCAAGTTTGGCATGATTCTTTGGTGGAATCTTTGAAAAATGAACAAAATGATACATCTTCTTCTTTGAAAGCAAGTAATCGATCAGCTTCAGCTCAATCTTTGGGTCAACAATTATCTTTGGTAATCATCAACATTACAAAAAAAAAAAAAAAAAAAAAAAAAAGATAGAAATATGATACCATTTTATGATAATATGCTTATCTTCTTTTTTTTTTTTTTTAGTCCAACGAAAAACGAGAACGGAATGCATTGACAAGAAAATTTATCCTACGTGAATTCTATTTGACGGAAGTGACATTTTGGAATCAATTGTACTACTCAAAAGTGGTAAGCATGTGAAAATAAAAAAGAATAAACAAATCCGATCATCGGAGTATATCCTTTTAACATCTGATATTTTACTTTTAATAGATGTTTGCCGATGCCCTTCAAAGAGCATTAGACGTACGTAGTCCTTTTACAAGATTATCTGATATGGATCTTTTTGCGAATTTACCCGATTTGATGCAGTGTTCTTCTCATTTGATTCGATCCATGTCTTCCTTTTTGGAATATCCTTCTCGTGCCGAACAACCTACAGACAACTATGTCCCACCTTCTCCTAGTACATCGATTTCTTCTGGTAGTACATTACCGATCCATCTCAACTCGGATACTCGACTTTTACCATCACCCAATGACCAACTGATGTTAGGCAAAGAAATTTGTGCAATGGCTCATCATTTTGTAGCATTCTTACGATGTGCTGTGGATTACAAGATGAATCGAAAACAACTGGATCAGAAAGAACACAACAAAGGCTTTGCAAGTTATCAAGAAAAACTAGCCGCTCGCAAGGAAACCAATCAATTCCATGTCCATGATTATTTGATCATCCCCATTCAACGCATCACTCGCTATGGCCTCTTGTTATCTGATCTGCAGAAACATACTGAACAATCTCATCCGGATTATCATCATATCACCCGTGCTCGTATGATCTTGACCTCGCTGGCCGTTGCCATGAACAAAGCTCAACATTAATTAGATTTTTTTTTTCATTATTTATTTATTTATTTATTTAATTATCTTAATCATCTTAATATATTATTCTTCTCTCTTTTCTACCATCCTTATAAATGACATTTTTTTTTAATTTGTTTTTCACATGTATACTTTTTTTTTAAAAAAAAAAAAAAAAAGAAATAAAATGATCATCATAAAATAAAAACGGTTTATATATCATTCGCTTACAGATAAGCTATATAGATTTATCTTTATTATTTTCAAAAAAAAAAAAAAAAAAAAAAAAAAGAGGGGAATACATAAATCTATCTATATATATCATATTCATAATCATAATGCTTATCCACATTCTTGGCATCCAAAGGATCGACATGATGAAGATCTGTTGTCGTGGTTAATCCATAACTAGGCCGTCGTCGACGCTGTTGATCATGAGAGACTTCAGTCTTTTGAAATAAAGAAGGTGGTTGATCAGAGGTTGGTTTATCATCATTGTCGAGCCATGAGAATTTGTTGGTATCCTGAGAATCAATGCCTCCAGATTGAAGTGCTGGATCAGAAAGTAAGTCTTCAATGCTATAGGTTACTTTTGTTGGTGTTGATGATGTTGCTGATGTCGTTGTTGAGGGTATATGCTTGATCGTGTCGTTAACTGTAATAGGACGTGTTGGAGATGGTGTCTGTATGGCTGGTGTCTTCCCTGTTTCCACAGATTCTGCTGATGTTGGATGATGCAATGGCTTTTGTTGGATATCTGGTAATGGCTTTTTGATAATGTCGCGTTGCTCTGCCTTTGACAAGAGACTGTTGTTGTTGTTGTTACTGTCCTTTGATAATTCCAATCCAGATAGCATGTTGCTGTCAAATCGAGATTGTCTGCCTTGTAATACGTCACGGATATGTTTCAAACCAGCCAATGCAAGAGTCACCGACGCTTCATCAAGGCCTTGTTTTCCTTGCGTGACCACGGGTAAATTCTTTTCGTCTATCTGGTGTTGCTCTTGAGATATTGTCGTTGTGGTATCTTCCTTATTTTCCTTAAAGGTTGTCGTATCAAGATCGATGGGTGTGGTATCATTCCGTTGTATCGATGGACTCGTTTCCGCCGAGAATATTTCCTTTTCCAAAACATCAATACATCGTGCCATCATGTCGCCCATTTGTCGGTTCACTTTCTGAAGAGTCGCCAATCCTGTAGAAGTAGTGTGATCCGATGATGTCCGTTGTATATTGTTACTTGAAGATGATCTTGGTAAGGTAGAAGAATGTTTATATGATTGTGCCATAGGTGCGATACGATCGATGCTATCTGGAAATTCCGAAGGTACAGTGAGTCGTCGCCGTTGAGTTTGACCATCAAAACTTCCACGTCCCAAAACATTATCACCAAACAGATTGACATTTTTCTATAACAATAGGAAAGTATAAGAGGATTAGGTTTGTACCTATTTTTTTTTTTTTTTTGTTCTTTGGAGACTTACATGAACGGTTCCCATAACACCGGCAATAGTTTTATTGAGATCCCTGACTTGAGGACTTTTCATAACACCTCTAGTAATGTTGGTAATATTATCCAAATTAGAAACTTGAGATCTTCGAGGATAGGAAGATAAATGTTGTTGTGGTAAGGCTGCATTTTCCAAATCGTTTTTCCATAGTGATGCCCGAGGTTCTTTGCCAGCACGTAAATCATTCTGTCGAAGTACTTGTAATGCACCATCATGAGATAAATTTCCATGCAAATATTTTGCTTGTTCTACCAAAGTGATAGGATTTGAGATTCGAGTTCCACGCATAAGTAATGTAAGACATTCGGCATAATCGTTTTCTATCACTATAAGAAAAAAGAAAATTGAACACTTGTTTTTTTTTCAATTCTGTTTTGCTTTGTTGACTTACATTGATCATGCAATCGAAGCAGTAGGGCAACGCAAACAAATTCAACTATCTTGAGGGTAGGATCTTGAGCAAATATAGCATCCCATAGTCGTAATAATTCATGGAATTCAAATTCACGTCCAAATAACAATCTAAGCCAGCGACTATTAAAAAAAAAAAAAAAAAAAAAAAGAAATAAGTATTCCAATATCTTGTATTGATCCTATCACTTACATTCCAAAAAGTTGAGGCTCAATACCAAAACTTTCCAAATGTTTGTATAAAGGTGGATCCACTTGTCGTAAGTATTGGTGATGAATTCTTTGACAAACACCAACCACAGGATTCAAACTAGTAGCCTATATATATATAAGTAAATTGTTAATTTGCATATATATATATCAACAAAATATACCATTTGAGCCTTGCCACTATCACCATGATGATCAACTGTCAAATCCAAGGCAGATTTCGAACGCCGATTGAGAGATTTTGCAGGAGCAGGTGTTGTAGTATTGTTGAATTCATACCAAGGTTTCGCATAAGACATCAACCGATCGAACAATAAAAAAGCATCATGTTCAATAAATGCAGGGTCCAATACTTGAGTCATCAATCTATTAGTAGGACTTGAAAAAAAAAATAAGTCAATGGGATATCTACTTTTGAATTCAATTTCCTTGACTTACTCGGATAAACATGCATCAATGTCTTCAGTAGATACACCATCCAAACTTTCCGTTGCAATATTCCAGTAAAAAGGAGCCAATAGTTCATGCATTCCTTGGCGATAAGAGACTTCATGGTGAATTTTGCAGTAAATAAACAGAATATCTGTCATTTTTTCTTGGACAGTCTCATTTCGAAAAAATTCCACATCAGGAAATCTAATCATAATGAAATGTCATTAAATATAACAAAAGTAACTCTATTCACTTACGTTCTATCCACATCTTGCCGAATTATTTTGCGAATTTCAGAATCAGCGAAATATTGTTGCCAAGGATTCTATAATAAATAAAGAAGTAATGTTATATCACAAAATCTATTCATATCTTGGGAGTTATAAACTTACATTTTCATTCAGTGCCAATGGATTATTATCAGTCAAGTTGTCATTTTTCTTAGTCATCCGTTCAGCTGGTTCTTCAATGTATTGACGACGTAAGTCAGTATACCTTTGCCGTTCTTTCATTTGTAAAGTAGGCCATGTTGAAACATCTACACTTGGTAAATATCCCATATAAATCTAATAATAACAATGATAAAAAAAAGGACAAATAGAATGAATAAAAAGAAAAAGACTTATTTATGTACTTTGTTTCATTATTTCACTTGCCTTCCAACAGACAGACCGAAGACCATGTTCACAAACAGTTCCTGAGATACCACGTTGTTGTAAAGATTGCTGTGATAAATTAGGATCACTGAAAATAACGTCCCACGCTTGTCTATATAAAAAAGGATGAGTTTTTTTTTAAAAAAAAAAAAACATATTATTCTATAATATACCTTCTTGATTGTAATATAGTCATTGGTGAAGAGAAAAATGGCAAAAATAAATAAAAAAGACAAAAGAGTGAAAGAAGAGTAGAGTTTGGGGGATGAACCGAAAACCCCAATTGAAAATGGTCTTGCATGAAGGATTGAAACGCCGCATGTAAACGATATAGGGAAAATGTAATATGTTTGTAAGAGATGTAAATAAAATGATTTTAATAAATGATAAAAAATAATAATAACTAAATCAATCAAATGTTCTAATACTACAATTCAAATTCTGGGAATCTTGATTCGAAACTAGGATCCACATCGGGTGCTTGAGCTGCTGCCGTTTCAAAAGCCAATAAATCCACGAATTCTTTAAGATCAGTTGCCACCTTGTAACCATATTCGAATCTATTACGTTCATCTATCACTTTTTGATCTTGTTTGTGTTTGCCAATATCCAATCCAATCAAACTTGTTTCCATTCCAACTTCTTTGACCGCATCCTCCAGTTCCCGAATAGATTGTCGAATCGAATCACAATAAAGTTGAAATTCTTCTCGTTCTTCTTCTGCCTTACGTATCGCCTCTGCTGTGGTTTCCTTAGTTGCACTACCACCAGTTTGACCTGTGATCTTGCCCATCTTGGCAGCAATCAATGCTTTAGCTTTGGCTCGAATACGGTCGGCTTCAGTCACTTCACCATTAGGTCCAGTTCCTTGAATATTATCTGGTACAATAGGTTCACCTTGTGCTTTGGCTTGATCTGCTTTTGCTTTTTGGATTTTCTTGGCCTTTAGATCATCTTCAGTTTCATCCACTTGTTTCAATAATCCATGTAATGTGTCATCAATCATATAACGGACTTCTGACATTAAGGACTTTTCTTGTTCAGCTAAATTGGAGAGTTCACTTGTCTTATCAATATACGTTTCCCAGGTAGTTTTGTTGCCATTAGCGCCCGATCGTGTGATTTCTTGTTGTAGTTCTCGCACTTTTGATTTGATTTCATTGATATCTTGTTGCTCAAGATAAGATAGTTCATCAAACTTCTTTGGTACTTTTTGCTTGCTTTCTTCATCCATTTTCTTCAAACTAGCTTTACAATCTCCAATTTGTTTCCGTAGTTCTGCAATACGAGTAGCCTTTCCCCGGTATCCATAACTTGATGTTTTTGGTGATGATGTTCCATCACTACTTGAATTCCATCGTGATCGATCAGGACCCATACGTCTTGCACTAGATACATAACCTACATCATCATCATCATCATCATCTGCGGCATATTGATCCTTCTTCTTCCCATTTCGTCGATGTGTAGGACCAGGACTAACCGATCGAGACCGTTGGTTGGCAAAAGAAGATGGCACTGAAAGTGAAGTGGGAGACGCGCTGAAACTGGTCACACTTTTTTTTTGAGCAATATTCTTCAAAATCGAATCCTTGAGACTATCGACTGTATCCTTAAGTTCTCGAGTAGAAGGAGGTATCAATTCTGGAGGTAATGTTGTAGGTACGTTATATCCATTCAATTTTCGGTAGATCAAATGCATGGCCACTGAGAATTCATCCACGTTCAATTTGCCTTGATTGTTGGGATCTGACAAGTTCCTATCAATAAAAAAAAAAAAAATATTAGAATAATTTAAACTTTTTTATAAATTTAAATCCACTTACCAAATTTGCATCAATACATTCTGTGGTAATCCTGATTGTGTAAAGATTTCTTTTGCTTTGTCACCAGTCAAAAAGCCTTGTTTTTCAGAATCCCATGCCTTGAAGATTTTGCTATATTGTTTCTTTTCTTCTGTTGTTACAGCCCATGGAATCTTGACCTTTCCAGCTAGTCGTTCATAATGATGTTGTTGATTCACCGAGAAATTTGGCATCATTTGATTAGCGAAAGCCAAGTTGTTCCCTTGCATTCCAGTCGGCATTGGCACTTGTTGTTGATAACTTGCTCCTGGTGTAGGTGTATATCCAGTCATCATTGGTATTTGAAGATTATTGCCAGTTTGTACAGATGATGGCTGTTGTTGTGTATATAATGACGTACCACCAGCAAGATTATTTAACATGGAGGTTGATGCTGAGCGTTGAGGTTGTGGTAATGGAACTAAGGAAGATGATGAAGTTGGTAAACCTGTTGTTTGTGGTTGTTGATTTGGTGTTATGCCTGTTGGTTGAGTCTGAATAGTAGGTTTGGATTGGAGGGTCTGAATGGCTGTACATATTTCGTTTCGAATATTGTCAGGTAAAGCAGCTGGTATAGCCCGACCAGTCATCTTCATAGAAGTCAAATACATGGCCAAAGCAAATTCAGGAAAGGTAAGTTGTGGATTGTTGGTGACATTGGACAAATCCCTAAAAGAAAGAAACAAAGTCCATTAAAAAAAAAAAAAGAAAAGAAAAGAAAGAATAAAACTTACCAGATGGTAGCAAGTACATCGTCACCAAGGTTTGACCTTGTGAGAACGTTTTTTGCTGCAGTGGCTAAAATATTTATTCAATATAAATACATAAAGTCAATAAAACAAAAAAAAAAAAAGAGAACCTTATATGTATATATTTATTTTACCGGACAAACTAATATTATCAGTAGAAGCTTGAGTAAATAACCCTTCATATCTGTCTTGGTCGACTTGGGTAAGGAAGCTAAAACGAATTCCTATCAAAAAAATAAATAGAATAGTTTAATATAATCTGTTATAATGAACTACTTATATATATCATACCCGCTGCAGGACTAGTCATGCCAAAAGGAGCGAGCGTTGAAAAATGGTGATGCGTTTATTGTCAAAAAAAAAAAAAAAAAAAAAAAAAAAAAAAAGAAGAAAAAGAAGCCTGTTCTTTTTTTTCTTTCCCTTTTTTTCCCTTTCTGGCTTTGGCTTGCTACATTTTCCCATTGGCTGATTTTCAATAGTAATTTTTAGGTATGACCTCAATTTTTTTTTTCCCTTTCTATTTCTTTTTTTTTTTTTTATTATTATTCTTAAAACAAATAATGGCTTTCCCATTAATAACAAGGACTTGTTATAGATATGTGAACACCAAAAGAATTTTGAATATTAACCATGGTCATTTATTATCACGAAATATACGATGTTTCTCTACAAGTTTTCCAAGATGGACACAAGTTTCTAATACAGCAACTTCAACAACAACTGATCCCGGAAGATTGGACCACCTTCGATTGATTTTCGATGATCCTGTTCTATGGAAACAATACCAACAACTCTCACCAGTTATCATGTCTCCTCAAAAGACAGGTTTAATGGAACATCCCTATTTTGTAGACGCTGAAGGTTTTGACTATGCTGCTCAACAAGCAATTCAACGTGCTCAAATCCTTGTCGAACGTATATGCAATGCTCCCAACAATGGATTAGAAGAAATGCAACGTGTAGTGAAAAATCTGGATCGACTATCGGATACCCTTTGTATTGTTATTGACTTGGCCGAATTTTTACGCAATGCTCATCCTGATCCTATTTTATTGGATGCCGCTAACAAGGCATACACTGACCTTTGTACTTATATGAACACACTCAATACCGATACTCGTATTCACAAGGTAATATGGCTATAAAAATAGATAAACAATGATATTTATTTTTACATATTATATATATATATATATCTTCTAGGTTCTCGCTCAGGTGTTAGAAAATAAGGCAATCGTATCTCAATTCACACCTGATGAACATGCAGCGGCCATTGTTTTTTTACGGGATTTCGAAAAATCTGGTATTCATTTACCTGACAAACAACGTAACCAATTTGTTGAATTATCTGATCGAATTATTCAATTGGGTCGTGAATTTATCCAACGTAATCCTCGTGGTATCTCTCAAATCAAGATTGCAAAGCAAGATTTAGATGGTGTTGGTCCCTCTCTTTCCCACACATTGAATTCAAGCGATGGTCATGCTCATATCTCTACATCATCTATGGAATGTCAACTGATTCTCAAATATGCACATAATGAACAAGTTCGAAAGCAAGTTTATGAATCTATCAATTCGGCAAACAAAAAAAGTGTCATGATTTTGGAATGGTTGATGCAAACTCGGGCTGAATTGGCTGATCTGGTGGGGCAAAAATCTTATGCTGATTTGCATTTACAAGATAAAATGGCAAAGAGTCCTGGTAAAAAAAAAAAAAAAAAAAAAATTCAATCTGTTCAAAACTTTTTAACTTTTTTTTTTAATTTTAATTAGTGAATGTGGATGCATTTTTACGAACATTACTGAAACATCAAGCACCAACAAACGCTAATGATATCCAGGTTCTTCAATACACAAAACAACATCATTTAGGTTTATCTACACCACCTATTGTCAATGCATGGGATCGTGACTATTATATGCATCTACATAATCTGTCACAACCTCGACTTTCCTCTTCTCTTCCTTACTTTAGTGTGGGTTCTGTGATTCAAGGTTTATCTCGACTGTTTGATCATCTATATGGTGTTCATTTTGAACCAACACATATGCAACCTGGTGAATCTTGGCATGAAGATGTACGAAAGCTAGATGTGATATGTGAAAAAGAAGGAAAGATTGGTACTATCTATTGTGATTTATATTCAAGACCTGGTAAGACAACCAATGCAGCTCATTATACCATTCGTACCTCACGACGACTCGATGATGATGACCAAGCCAACGATTTACGATATGCCTTTCCCAATGAATCAACAGCACCGGCACAATTTTTACCACCTCTCGATTCTAACCACCTTGCGGCCACTGTGATTGGACGACCAGGACTTTATCAACTTCCTGTGATTGCTCTTACATGTGATTTCAGCAATAACAACAATAATAAAAGTAGAACATCTCCTGGATTACTATCAATGTTTGAGGTAGAAACACTTTTCCATGAAATGGGTCATGCGATGCATTCTATGCTTGGACGAACGGATTTCCACAATGTATCAGGAACAAGATGTGCTACGGATTTTGTTGAATTACCTTCTATTTTGATGGAAAGATTTGTATCTCATCCCAAAGTACTTCCTTTATTTGCTCACAATGATGATTCGATCTCTCCAGAGGCAGTGAATGGTTATCTTCAACAACGACAACGATTCAGTGGTATTGAAATCAACAATCAAGTACTTATGTCCATGGTGGATCAGCAATATCATTCAACGTCGGCATCTTCCAAAGTATCAACGGTGGAAACGTGGCATCAATTACAAGATGATGTAGGTCTTTTCCCTAGTGTGCCTGGTACTATGTGGCCAGTACAATTTGGTCATTTGTTTGGATATGGAGCTGGCTATTACTCTTATTTATTTGATCGTACCTTGGCTCAACGTGTATGGGATCGATGTTTTGCTACAGATCCTCTTGATAGAGAAAAAGGACTGGCCTTCCGTGATCAAGTATTGAAATGGGGTGGAGCAAGGGATCCTTGGCAATGCGTAGCTGGTGTCCTTGGTGATGAAGATGGTGAACGTATTGTCCATGGAGATGAAGAAGCTATGCGTACAGTTGGTGATTGGGGAATAGATATGTAAATAGTTATATGGTTGATGATTCATTAGATTAGATATTAAATTAGAATAGACAGGTTCTCTTTTTGGATCAAAACTAATACAAAAAAAAGACATTATTATATATTAAATATATTATTATCATATATTAAAATATATTTTGTTAGTTATCTATGTTTTTTTTAAGAGGATTCAATGTGTTACAGGACAAATAAAAAAAAAAAAAAAGGATGATTATTGACTCTAACTGTTGAAAGATAAAGTTTACTTTTTTGAAAGGCAAGTTACACAAAATCTTATTCCCGGGATGATCTTTTTCTTTCTTTTAAAAATAATACGATGGCGGATGACTTATAGTGGATGATAATTGTAGATAAGAGGTATTTTTTTTTTGTTTTCTATGTTGCAATTATAAAAGAAGATGGAAATATATTTTGGTGAATAAATAGATATTGAAAGGGAGGTAATCTTAAGTAGTGAAATAGAATATTAAGTTCTCATAGATTATTCAGTTGAAGGGATCCTGATTTTTGACTGAAAACAAAAAAAATAAAAAAATCCAAGCTTTTTCCAAAAATGGAGGCCTCAGTGTTGGACTTTTCCCTTTTTATATGTATCATCTGGGCACGAAATAAAATTTTTTTTTCGCCTTTTTCACTTTTCTCCCTCTCTCTTTCTCTTTCTTTTCTTTTTTTTTTTTTAACTTGTCAAACTTCGAATTACACTTCTTTTTTTATATACATATATACCCTAGACTTTATTTCATGGCATCGTCCTATTTTCTAACAAGTACTACCGAACAAATAGAACTAAGACCTCGACAAGTGGAAGATGGTATACCTCGTCATCATAAAAGAACTAGCTCTTCATCGTCATTCGTTTACTTTAAAGCACCACCATTACATGCCGATCCTATTATAGAAGAAACTTCTCTTCCTCATGAATTACATCATTTGGCCTCACAGGTATAAGAAAGAAAACTAGAAGAAAAAAATGTCATTTTTTTTAAAAAAAACTTTATAAATATTATATTTTTATATAGGCATTACCTTCTTTATTAATATCAGTGATTGGACTTGTTTTTGCAGGTTGGATGATGGATATATTTCAGGTACATAAAAGAGAGAAAAAAAAAAGTAATATATGAATAGATCGTTCATTTCGCGCTTTTTATGATAGCATTGGCAAGTATTTAATCAAATCTCGGAACTCTTTATTTTGGTACCTGTACTTCTGAATCTAAAAGGCAATCTGGAAATGAACTTGGCAGCTCGATTCTCGACTTCGGTAAAAAAAAAAAAAAAAAAAAAAAAAAAAATAGATTGACAAATCAAAAAGCAGAATGATTGACAAATATACTATTTTTAGGCGAATCTAGGTGATTTGGATCATCCACAAAAAAGAAATGCTTTAATATGGGGAAACTTGGCTTTGATTCAAGTTCAAGCCTTGATTGCAGGTGCCATTGCTGGAATTTTTTCTTTTATTTTGGGTATATTGGAACATCCTACAGTACCTACTACTATCTATGAAAGTATTCTTGTCATTACAAGTTCCATGATTGCTGCCACTGCTTCTAGTTTTGTTCTTGGTGTATTTATGTGTATTTTGATCATCATCAGTCGAAAAATGAAAATTGATCCAGGTATATCAATAAAAGGAAAGGAAAGGAAAAAAAAAGACTCATATATATTTATGTTGATAGATAATATTGCTTGTCCAATGGCATCTTCATTGGGTGATGTGGTGACTTTGGGGATATTGGCTGCTTGTGCTCATATATTGATGATCTACTTGGATTCTCTTTTTGGATTGACTTTAATGATTGGGATGTTAATGTCTATTCCTTTCTTTGCTCGATCTGTATGGCAAAACAAACATGTCAAAGATTTATTATATTCTGGTTGGTCTCCTATTATGCTTGCTATGTTGATTTCCAGGTAAGGATGGAAAAAAAACAATAATTTTTAATTTCTTTAATGGATCAAAGTAATGTTATATATACATATATATATTTATAGTTGTGCTGGTTTAGTGTTGGAACGTTATGTCGAAAAGTATAAAGGATTAGCCATGCTGACACCAATTGTATGTGGATTGACAGGAAATTTGGGATCTATTTATGCATCAAGGATAAGTACAAGTTTACATAGTGGTACAGAACAGAATCAACAAGTAGAATGGATTTTATTACTGATGAATGTACCTGTACAATTCCTCTTTTTATGGGTCATATGGTTATTTGATTTGGGACATTTGGATTTCACTTTGTGGTTTGCCATGACTTATTTTGTTGTTGCCATGATATGTGTAAGTTAGTTTAGAATCATTTGGTATGCCATCTTTTAACTTTATCTTTTCTTTTTTTTTATATATCTAGACGATGATTGCTTTGAAGATGGGAAAATCCATGACATTATTATTTTGGAAACAAGGTTATGATCCTGATAACTACGTTTTACCTTATTTGTAAGTAGTTTATATATATATATTGAAAACTAATTCATCTTTCATTTATAGAACTGCATTGATCGATGTTATTTGTACCACTTTACTAGTTGCCTCTTTTTCCTTTTTGACAGTACATGATTTGGCAAACATGGCGACGGCTTCAGCGGAAATATAAACTTCTTGATGCTTCCCTACAAACACGTCCTTTGTTTTGTATTTATATCTATATTATTATTATTATTATTATTTTGTATATAGTTGATTGTTCTTATTTCTTACATATATGACTTTGATGCCTATTAAAGTGTAATTCTTTTGATGATATCTTTGAATAAACAATATTTTGATTAGAAAATATTAGAAATCATTTTGTCGTTTGAATGGGTCATTTGCAATTACTGTTTAGCGTGCATAAAAAGCGGAAGTTACACAAAAATTGTAAATACGAAACGCGAAAAAAAAAGGAATCTTTTTTTTTTCTTACTTTCCTTTCCCTACAAAAAATAAAGTCAAATTTGTCATATCATGGGTAAAACGGTATTTGGGAATGACGATAGTGGAGAAATAGAGGAGTGTACTTTAATCTTGTTCGAGTCAAATGAGACCTTTTAATGTTATTGCGTGAGCTTGAGTGTATGTGATCGAAATGACTCTATGTTTGGTTTTCAAGATATATATACATATACACTTTATTATTCTACTTTTCAATCATAAAAGTTACAAAACAATAGTATTAAAAAAAAGAAAGAAAGGAGAGAAGAAGATTAATCCAGATAGATAGACAAATAAACCAATAATAGCTAAAAAAAAAAAAAAAAAAAAAGATATACTATCCTATTTATCTTTTTTCTACAGTGACCTTCATTCCATTCTTCATAGGTAGAGTCAAGGAAATTTGATAAGTGATATCTTGACCAGGGACTAAAGAGAATTTATACTTGCGAACTAAAAACGTGATGGCTACCAAAGCTTCCAATGTAGCAAGATTTTGTCCTAAAAAAAATAAATAAATAAAATAAGGATATGTGCACCAACATTTATTTAAAAGAAGAAATTACCTAAACACACACGGGGACCAGCATGGAAAGCAGGCCATTTGCCTTGAGTTTCTCGTCGTAAATCACCATCTTCATTTATCCATCTTTCTGGTTTAAATTCTTTTGCGTCAGGACCCCAGATATGTTCCACACGACCTTGAGCATAAGGACCTATTAAAAAAAAAAAAAAAAAAAAGAAATAAAAAAAAAACATCAGTATGATATTTATTGACATTTATTAAACTTCATACTTACACCAGAGAACATAATCACCTTTTCGAATAGGTGTACCGTCAGGTAATACATCATCCTTGAGAGCATATTTTTGATTAAGGGGTACAGAGGGATAGTGGCGTAAAACTTCATAAAACACAGCATGGGCATATTTCATATTCTTGATAGTTTCAAAAAGCAAGGCAGAATCAGCTAAAGATTCATCAGTGATAAAAGTATTGATTTCATCCAATAGTTTGGCTTCGACACGAGGATGAGACATGAGCATATAAAAAGTCCAGGATAAAGCTTGAGCAGTAGTGTCACGACCAGCGATGACAAAGTTGAGGACGATATCACGAAGTTCATCATTAGTAAGAGGATCCCCTTGAGCATTACTTGCTTCCATAAATCGAGATAGTAAATCCTTATGTATTTCACCTTTCTTGAGTTGTTCACGACGTTGTTCCGTTACCTTGCGAGCAAATCCGTCTACTACGCGTAAATGACCATTCATACTTGTCTTCCAGGGTTGTGTCACACGTGTCAATTTTTCAGTAATAGGCCAGAGAGGATTAATGAATCTTTCAAATGTAGTTCGTTGAGCTTCATCAAAAGATTCTGCAAAAGGTACACGACCTTTAGTACCAAGAGCATTCAAATGGACACCAAAACCAAGAAGAATAAAAGAATCCAAAGTAAATTTGAACATGATTTCATGAAAATCAATAGATTCATTAGTTTCAGTAGCCTTGTCCCAAATATTTTCCATCATGAAATGAATTTCTTCCACAAAGACACTAAATATATATATATTTAGTATATAAGAAATATAATGATAATAATAAAAAAACTTACTCTGTAAATTGGTCACGGAAATTCTTGATATTAAATATATGAGAAGCAGTTTTACGTTGATATTTCCATTCTTCACCATTGGCATTGAAGATACCATTACCAAACAAGTCGTTCATTGATCCATGAAATTCAGGACCTTTGATATAATTTTCAAAGTTATCTACAAAAAAAAAAAAATTAAGTAAAAAAAAAAAAATATCATAATAGAAAAAAACTTACTCTTCAAAACATATTCAACATTTTGAGGATCCAAAGTAAGAATCTGTCGTGGAACACCCAACACAGAAAAAGTACTATTAAAAAAAAAAAAAAGATAAGTGAAAAGAAAATCCCACTTTTTTTTTTGAATGGGGTACAAATGATTCAGTTCCCGCAATTCAATTTTTTTAAAAGAAACTTACATTGTCAAAGCATTATATCGATGATATGCTTCCAAAAACAAATCATGAATTTGATCTTTATATTGAATCAATAAAGGTAAATTTCCCACTAATGGATGTCCAGGTTGATATACAATTCCTTTACGATTTTCATCAAATATTGCTCGATCATTGTAATAAGCTGCTAATCCAACAATAGTTGCTAAAGCTGCTTTTCCAATAATTCCTGTTGTAAAAATAGAAGACATTTAATATTTAAATAATTTTTAATATAAAATAGATTAAAAAAAAAAAAGAAAAGAAAAGAGAAATAATAAAATAAAAAAAAATCTCTTTTTTTTTTTTTTTTCTTTTAAAGTGCTGACTCTGAATGAGGGAAAAAATGGGGATAAATTTGCTGTACTTTCACATGCTACCATGATATTAAACTTTTCTTGACTCCACATTTTGATCTATACAATGTGTTTTTTTCTGCTTCATAGTCGCTATTTAAAACACGATCATTTTTTTTTCTTGTCTTTCTTTGCTTTATTGATCATTTTACCCCCATCCATTCATATGAAAAAAAAAAAGATGATGATATTTAAAAAAATAAAAACATACTGTACTTATTCAATTCATCTTTCTTTTAACTTATGATCTTTTCTATATAACAAGATTATTACTCTTGTTACACGTATCTGATTTTACTATAGTTAGAAAGATTAACTTTTTTTTTTTTTTTTTTTTTTTTTTTTACTAGTAATCAAATAAAATAAAATAAAATACAGTTAAAGCATAAAGATGATTGATTTGATAGTTAAATTATATCTCTTCCAACACAGATACAATATTCTTTGATCAATATAATAACACATTATAGATTTACACTTTTATTCAATAATAAATGAGGGAAATTCAAAAATAAGATATCGCAAAAATAGGAAATAAAATATATAATAAGGATAGAAAAATAGATGACAAGAAGAAGAAGAAAAAGAGTGGCAATAGTTCCATTGAGTATAAGAGATTTTGAATAATAGAAAAAAAAAATCATATATTTTTTCACTATTTTTATCCTTAACATAATCCCTTCTATTATTCCCTTATATTGTTTTTAGCTTTTTTTCTTTTTCTTTTCTTTTCTTATCTACATTATCTCATTATCAACAAAATATGAACATATGTTAAGTTCATTACCAAATTTAGCTTACTTAAATTTTATTGGCTGTCAAAGGATCATCCTTCTTCTTTTTTTTTTTTTTTGCTTTACAAAAGTTGATGCTCATACGCAGAATCAATCAATCATCATCATCAAGTTGAAAATAAAATACTATAGATCATAATTTATGAATTTACAAAAGAAAAGTGAGGCGATGTTGTTAGCGGAAAAGAAACGAGAAAACCAAAGATAATAAAAGTCTATATAAAAGACTTTTTTTTAATAAAAAAAAAAAAAGATGATGTTTTATTTCAAATAAAAAAAAAACTTTTCTATCCCATTACTGTAAAGGTATTATTTATGATTGAGATCCTTGCTTACTTAGAGTAGAGCAGTCTTGCCGAACAAGATATCATAGAACAACCAAAACAAGTCCTTCTTTTTTTTTTACGGTGCACATCCAAAACAACCTTCTAATGATTTTTGGTCCAACTTGATTCCTGAACGACAACAGGATGATCTCGCCAATGCTTCTGCCGTATCATCGTATTTTCGTACCTGTAATATAAGCGTGTAATAAAAAAATAAAAAGAATGCATTCATACATAAATAATACGTCTTGCAGATGGAATCGATCCCATTGATATGTAGTAAAAATAGTTGTAATAAAATAGAAACTTTATTGAATAAAAAAAAAGTATCTAAACTAACGAGTACATTACTGTATATAATAAAATCATGAAAAAAAAAGTCAATGAAAGAGAAAGAGAAAGGAAAATGAAAAATAAAAAAATAAAGAAATAAAAAAGGGGACTTTGAAATTTATTCTACTCTTTTTCTAAATTTTCTCTGAGCAAAAGAACTTTACTGAATGAAGAATGTCAATATGTTTACCATATAATAATCATCATAGGAATTATTCATGAATATCATTCAAACTAATTAAATGTACCAACAAAAAGTACCTATTATATTTTTTAATACATATGATGATTAAAATTTTTATTTTCCTAACACGTATAAAATGAGATATAAATTTTTCAAGCATAGATAAAAAAAATTTTTTTTTCTTTGTATTTTAAATAAACTAAAAAGGAATCTCACTGACTTATTACTAGTCCCATATTTTTTATTTTCAATCTACACACAATTTAACAGTAACAAATATATATATATACTGTATAAATACATGTACAAAAAAAAAAAAAAAAAAAAAAAAAAACATCATCACCTCAAAAATGAACTTAGTGAGACTTCTCAAACAAGCAGCACTCCAACAGGATATATTTGGCGATATCATGACGGACATCGATCGACTTGAAATCCAATTTATGCAAGCTTATCCTACATACTACGATCTAGCACAAGAAGTTGGAGAAAAAAAAAAACCAAGAACTGAATAATATGGCGCTGCAATTGGTACCAAAGGCTTTGGAAATCTTTCATAAAAAAATCTTTCAACCACGTACACCCTTCAAACTACAAATGTATAATAATGAAAGAAACGACTATCTACGACTGTTATTCAAGGAACTTGGAGGCAACTTTCGTATTAGCATATTCCGTATCCATATATAATAAAAATAAATGCATTCACAAATAAAGAATAAAAAAAAGTATATCTGTGGAATCAATTATATTGACGTGTGATAAGGTAGTTGGAATAAAAATAAAAGTTTTATTAAATAAAAGTATGATTACTATAGCTCAATTGATATACTATAACTAAAGTTATTATAAAGAAAAGAAAGAAAGAAAAGAAAATAAAAATTACCACACTTCTTAAAAGATAACAATAAAATTCGGATTTTGAAAATCATCATGCTCATGGTCCATAATCACTACCAAGGAAGATATATATATCAAATGTATAAACGTTCCAGGGCAACTAATATAATGAATCATTACACATATGATGATAACATCACATCAATGAGAAATAAAATACTAATAAGATTATACGCCCTGTATAACAACAGTATTACAAACAAAAACAAGAATAAACAAAAACGAAAATAAAATTTGATCACCAATCATAAATATAGTATGATGATACTGGTATTACGTGTCACTCACCACTTATATATACAAGACCAACAAAACTTTTTGTGTAGATACTTTGTCTCCTCTTTTATATTTTTTTTTTTTTTTACCATACTGTATCTACAACCAATTCCACAACTGGCATCAAGGCAAATTCATGGGCAGGAAAAATATCTGACATGTGGGATGGAATCTATATTGTGCATCAAACACTTGGTAAAGGAACCTATTTTATTAAATCATATCAAGATAACGATCCTAGACTAAAACGGGTGCATGGAAATCGATTAAAGTTGTATCAGCTGCCTGATGTTTTCTGGAATCATCCTTTTGACCGAATCCTTGGAGATGATCTATATATATATAATAAAAAAAAAAAAAAAAAAAAAAAAGGTATAAATATAAGATCAACTTTTCAATCAACTTACCTTCACCACAAATCAAAATGGAACCTACGCCATATTCTTCTACAAATCTTACCACATATGATACCTATTCCTTGTTGGGTTTAACATCGACCATTGCTGCCTTGGGAGAAGATCCTTTCTCCATTGCCTTACCCTTTGAAGATAATTTTGACCCATCGTCTGTTGAGACACTGAACAATGCTGCCGTAGCCACTGAAGACCCTATTCAAGACAGTAACTGGCAATCCTCAAGTATCGATGACCATCCCTTCTTTTCGCCAACCGGTCCTTTTATCTTGAATCATGAGGATATCTTGATGCTACTTGAAATTAACACTTGCCCACCTACAGCAAAAAAAAAAAGTACAAGAGAAGAAGTTAATCGAGGAGGCCTTGAAGTCAGAAGAAGACCAGAGTTTGGTGCCACTTACACTACGACTATTACATGATAGGTTTGCTAAACCGAAGAATGCACAAGAAGTTAAAAACTATCGGGAATGTAGCAATTCGTATATCAAGAGTCTTTACCGTGAAGCCAACCTTTCCAACTTTAAAAAGTTATTGAAGAAGATACGTAAAGCTGATGCCTGGTGTCATGTTGATAAAAGTTGAACGATGGAGGCCATCTTTTGTTGGGGCATGGGATGTAAAGAAGAAAACGAAAACAAAAAAAAAAAAACAAAAAAAAAAAAAAAAAAAAAAAAAAAAAAAAAATAGTTCAACGACCGTCTTATTTTCGTTTTCAAAATTCGTTTGTCTTCAAAATTCGTTTATAAATATCATTTTTGTATAAAATATTTTAGTATAAATACCCTTCCTTTTCTTTTTCTTCTTTTTTTTTTTTTTTTAGTCATTCAGAAAACAACGATATGCGTAAAATAAAGCTAAAGAATGCATTCACAAATAAAGAATAATAAAAAAAATACATCTAAAGATGGAATCAATTACATTGATGTGTAATAAAGTGATATGAATAAAAATAAAAGTTTTTATTAAATAAAAATATAACTACTAAAGACTAGTAATTGATATACTATAACTAAAATTGTTATAAAGAAAGGAAAGAAATAAAAAGAAAATAAAAAATTACCACATATCTAAAAAATAAAAAATAAAAGTACGGACTTTGAAAGTTAGTACGCTCATGATCTTTTGATACTATCAAGAAATATATACAGTACTTTACTTTTTATTTTATTTTACTCAATACTTTATACGTGTACTTGCGTAATCAAGTACTGGTGGTCACTAAACAACTTATTCTCTTTCAATCATCCGTTTTACTTTTTCAATTTTGAACTTATAAACCAAAAAATCACTCAACACCTTTTTTTTTTTTTTTTTTTTGAACCTAACAACCAAAACATCACTTAACAACGCCTATACTTTAACATCATACTTAAGATACAAAAAAAACATGAACAGGACAAAAGAGAAGGTCGCACCGAGAATCGAACTCGGGCTGCCAGATTCAAAGTCTGGAGTCATAACCATTAGACCATGCAACCGTAATTGATGGCTTAGACCGAAATATTTATTATGATCCAGATGTTAAATTTCTCTCAAAATTAAATTAGATTCATAATATATATCGCGGTTTCAAACGTCGTACAAGGTTGCATGGTCTAATGGTTATGACTCCAGACTTTGAATCTGGCAGCCCGAGTTCGATTCTCGGTGCGACCTTCTCTTTTGTCCTGTTCATATTTTTTTTGTATCTTAAGGATGATGTTTTAAAATATAAGTGCTATGTGATGAGTGATGTTTTGGTTGTTAGGTTCAAAAAAAAAAAAAAAAAAAAAAGGTAATTCGGATGATTGTGTTAAGTGATTTTTTGTTTCAGATGGCCAAAATTGAAAAAGTAATCCGGATGATTGAAAGATAATAAGTTAAATAATGAGCATCAGTACTTGATTACGCAAGTACACGTACATGTATGTATTACTATTTGACTTTGTATGTAAAGGTTAAATCATGAGCAGAGCTATTTTCAAAGTCCGTTTTTTTTTTTTTTTTTTTATATTTTAGGTATGTGGTAATTTTTATTTTCTTTTTATTTCTTTCTTTTTTTTATAATAACTTAAATCGTAATATATCAATTAGTGATCTATAGTAGTTATGCTTTTATTTAATAAAGCTTTTTATTTTTATTCATATCACTTTGTTACATTTCATTGTAATTGATTCCATCTTCCGATGTATTTTTTTTTTATTCTTTATTTGTGAATGCATTCTTTAGTTTTATTTTACGCATATAGTTACGAAATACGCTGATACGACAGAATATAATATGGATAGAATATAATATGGATAGAATATAAGATGAATAGAATATACTGTAAGTGTTATGTTCGGTAAATGAAATATGAGTATGACCTTTTTTTTTTTTTTTTTTTATTATTTATTTTCTTTTTTCTTTCTTTTACAAAAATTCCTTTCTTGCCACAATATACAATTTTCGCGTGGATTCAGTAGAGGGTTTAGTAAAATTGTGGTGTAAGTCTTGTAAGACAATTGGTATCAGAGTTTCGGCCTCGTACTCGTGAACTTCTTTTTGCTTTTGTTTGATTATGCCAATAGTGTCCAAGTATGGTGGAATAAGTGCATCAATTCTTCTTGATCTTCTGGAGCGATTTGGTATGATGATTTAGGAGTCAAAAAGGGATGGTCGTGTATATTCTTATTCTCTTCTTTTGTCCATTCATTATTACTTAGGGTGTCGATAGATAAATTCACCGAGTTGGAGTCAACATTGGTAGAGTCGGGTGTATTGTCAGAGATACAGTATAGCTTTTTTTTTTTTTTTTCTCGACAGTTAAGATTTTTTTTTGTATCTTAAGGATGATAATAAGATGCAAGATGGATGGATGTGTTAAGTGATTTTTCGGTTGTTAGGGCCAAAATTGAAAAAAGTGTTAAGTGATTTTTTGGTTGTTAGGTCCAAAATAAGAGAAATAAATAGGATGATTGAAAGATAATAAGTTAAATAGTGAACACCAGTACTTGATTACGCAAGCACACGTATAAGAAAAGAGATAAAATAAAAAAGAAATGTAAAGTAAAGAAAAATAAAATATCAAATTTGGAAGGTAGAAGTTTGTCTCTTGCTATAAGGAACAAAGTGAGGCAATCAAAAGTAATAATCCACCAGTACAACTAAGATGGGATGAGAAGATGTTTTTATTATAAAAATATAATATAAATGACTGGACTAAAAAAAAAAAAAAAAAAAAAAAAAAAGGAAAAGAAGAAAAAGGAAGGGTATTTATACAAAAAAAAAAAAAAAAAAAAAAAAAAAAAAAAGATTCGAGTCAAAGGATATGTGACAAGGTCTTTACCCCCTGAAAAAGATGGTCCCCATCATTACCAATTATCACTCTCTTAACTTTTCTTACTAATGTTCGTAATGTTTGAGTAGGTACATCATTTCTCAATAATCGACGAAGATATCCTCCGCGGCCCAAGGTATATTTGTTAAGAACGTGACAGAAGAAATGGTATAATATCAGTAAACAGACAGGCAGACAAGACAGAAGTAACTATATATGTGCTTACGAGAATATATTAGTTGTTTGATGTAGAATATTGAAAACAATGTAAAAGTAATTGTTGACCAAAGAATAACAGATAGTTTTTTATTGTTGTAGAAATAAAATAACGTATTTATATATAAATTACAACTAAATGTATCATTGTTGTAATGAGGAGAACAAAAAAGGGACAAGAAAAACAAGAAGGAAAAAAAAAAAAAAAAAAAAAGTAGAAGAGAAAGAAAAAGAAAAGGTGAGAAAAAACAAAAAAAAAAAAAAAAACAAAAAGGAGAAAAGAAAATAAATAAAATAATAATCATGGAACTCAGACATACACATGATTCTTTTTTTTTTTTTTTTATTGACTAATTTCCTTAACAATGATACCCTTGACACTGTGGATATGACTTCATTCCCTAGTACAGTATGCAAATTGAAGGTAATCGGGTCAAACTTCGTATAATTATCCAAGGTAATTGTATCTTGATTAAGATCCATGATTTGTAGGCATTATATTTTTGATGGGATTAATCTTTTTTTTTCTTTTTTTTTTTTTTTTATCTTTTTATAGTGTTAAGGATTTTTTCGTTATTGGGTGGATGATTGATTTATAGTTTGGATGGATGATGTTATTAATATAATAATATTAATGATGGTTTGTTGTAGTGAGCACCAGTTTCTTTATAAAAAAAGAACAAAAGTAATTTAAAAATAAAAATGAAGGATAATCCAAAAAAGGAAATGATGTGTGGGGTTTGATGGATGATCAAATTAAATAAAATAAAAATGATATGAGTAAAAGGAGTTGATGATGTGTAAGAAAGGTTCAAGTGTAGGTAAAGGATGATGGTTGAGTAATTGGCTAGTAATCAGGTAGTTTATGGCAAGATAGATAAGTCGATTGGGTAATCGATGTAAAAAAAGAATAATATATGTAAATGAAGACGATTGAAAAAAAAAAAAATAATAATAACAGGTTTTGATTGTAAAACTTTTAGATGTTAATTATCCAAAAGTGTGACCAGATGATTGAATGATTTTAAACAAATTGATTTTTTTTTATTTTTACAAAATATTTCTTGACGAAGGTAAAAAAAGATAAAAGAAAAAAAGTGGATATTTATATAAAAAAAGAAAATATCATCTGATGATGATGTTATAAAACAAATTGTGTGAATTTGAACAAACTGTGAGATTTTTGACAAACTGTGAGATTTTTGAGCAAACAATTTTTTTTTTCTTTTTGACAATTGATTTACTATATATAATGGGAAAAATTATATGGATAAAAAAAGAGAATAAGTATGGTAAATATAAGGAAGAATAGTGATAGATATATGAGGATAAGATATATGAGTTTAAAAAAATTATTATTTTTTTTTTATATTATTTTTTTTTCTTGTTTTCCTTTTTTTTTTTGTTTTTCTTTTTTTTTTTTTTTTTGTATTTATCATCCCTCGGCTTACCAAAAGATGGCCCCCATCATTGTATAAACGTCCAAGGATCCATTTTTTTTGATTTTTCTAGAAAAAGCAACCAGTGTATATCGTGGCAAGTAATCGCGCAACAACCATTGTAAATATTTATTCCTTTCTTCAACATAGGTAGCCCTTGTAAATTCATCATAAGGTTTAACAAGGTTGGAATGTATCAAGCGAAGAGTCAAAGGTAGGAGGTTTTCTTTTTTCCAGTTCTTACACTAATCGTTGTTTTTCTTGTATACAGGCTAATTGCTCGACATAGGCGGGGGGTACTCATAAGTAAGACTTGTTGACTATCATCGGTATTCATGATAAAAGGTTGAGTTGGATAAAAAAAAGGATGATGGTTGATGTTTAAGTTTTCAGTACTAGACCATTCAGATGTATCTTCGAACAAGGATTGTTTTTCCACTATCTTGTTATTCACCACTGTACTCAAAGTGAGCGTGTCTGTGTCCAGCCAGGTGTACTCATCCAGCATGAATTGATTGCTTGAATTAGCCATTTTGTTAAAGGTATATTGTTTATAAAGAGAATAGGTAAAAGATGATATGTGTATCAATTTTTTTGACTCTTTTACAGTTTTTTTTTTCTTTTTTTCTTTTTTTTTTTTTGATAGATCATCTCCAAGGATTCGGTCAAAAGGTTGATTCCAGAAAACATCATGTAGCTGATACAAATTCAACCGGTTTCCATGCACCCGTTTTAGTCTAGAATCGTTATCTTGATATGATTTAATAAAATAGGTTCCTTTGCCAAGTGTTTGATGCACAACGTATATTCCGTCCCACATGTCAGATATTTTTCCTGCCCATGAATTTGCCTTGATGCCAGTTGTGGAATTGGTGTAGATACGGTATGGTAAAAAAAAAAAAAATATAAAAGAGGAGACAAAGTATCTACACAAAAAGTTTTGTTGGTCTTGTATATATAAGTGGTGAGTGATACGTAATACCAGTATCATCATACTATATTTATGATTGGTGATCAAATTTTATTTTTGTTTTTGTTTATTCTTGTTTTTGTTTGTAATACTGTTGTTATACAGGGCGTATAATCTTATTAGTATTTTATTTTTCATTGATGTGATGTTATCATCATATGTGTAATGATTCATTATATTAGTTGCCCTGGAACGTTTATACATTTGATATATATATCTTCCTTGGTAGTGATTATGGACCATGAGCATGATGATTTTCAAAATCCGAATTTTATTTTGTTATCTTTTAAGAAGTGTGGTAATTTTTATTTTCTTTTTATTTCTTTCTTTTCTTTATAATAACTTTAGTTATAGTATATCAATTAGTAGTCTTTAATAGTTATATTTTTATTTAATAAAACTTTTTATTTTTATTCCAACTACTTTGTTACACGTCAATGTAATTGATGCCATCTTACGATGTATTTTTTTTATTCTTTATTTGTGAATGCATTCTTTAGTTTTATTTTACGCATATAGTTACGAAATACGCTGATACGACAATAATAATATCTATGTTAATTGATTTGTAGTGAGCACCAGTTCCTTTTATAAAAAAGAACAAAATAATATAAGGTAAATTTAAAATGCATGTCCCAAATATGGAAATAGATGTTTGATTATTTGATCACAATTGATGATGATCAATAAAATTAAAAGTACTTGAAAATAAAAGCTTGATGATTGCTTGAAAAGAATAAAATAATAATAAAACTTAGGATAATTGATTCCTTAAGAGTGGCCAAGATGATTCGATTTATAAATCTTTTAAAGTTTCTTAAAAAAAAAAATTAAAGATCTCTTTGACAAAGTAAAAAAAAAAAATAATAACTAGGTACTATGTAATAAAAAAAAACTCAAGTCAAACCGATAAAAAAAAATATAAATGGTGAGAATTGGTAAAATGGCAGAATAAAGAAATAATTAATTTTTTTTTGTTAATATCGTACAAACTAATCAAATGTACCAACAAAGAGTATACATGGTATTTAATACATATGATGATTAAAGTTTTATTTTCAAAATAAAATAAAAGAAAAGAAAAAGACTTAAAGACTTGTAGTAAAATAAAGCTAAGGGATGATTGTCACCAATAGAGTGACCAGATGACTGATTTAAAAATATTTTATTAAGTATTTTTTTTATAAGCTAAAAAAAAAGTTGAGATATTTATATAAAAAGAAAGGATGCACAAGATTGATCATCCTGAACAAAATGTCAAAGGAGATCAATTTCAGGTAATTTTTTTTTTTTTTTTTTAATCGTCTTGGATGATGAAATCCCGTTCAACATCAGCTATATTGAAAGTTATTTTTCTCCCCATATTATCATCCATATCATCATCAATTCTTGTTAAATTAAACAATGATTATAGAAGTATTTCATTTGAGAAGGTAATTTATGATATGACTGAACTATTTGAAAATGTTGTTAAACAGTGCTGCCAAAGCGTATGATACCTTTTTTTTTCTCCGCCAATGTTTTTCTTTTCTTTTCTTTTTTTTTTTTTTTTTTTCTTGTCCACCATCTTTATTCTTCTGCAAACAGTTCACTGATGGTAAATAAAAAAAAAAGTATAGATACATGTCCAAAAGGGAATAATAAAAAAAAATGAATATTTTTATTTTTTTTATTATTATTAGACAGCGCATACTATTTTATTGATTCAACCTACTAATGATTCTTCGTAAGTATTCCTCTCTCCCCCCCAAAAAAAAAAGTTGAAAAAAAAAGAAACACGTTCCATTGCCACGTTTTTTTGACTTGTTGGGAAAAGGAAAAATAAAAATATCTGACTTTATTTTGTTTCTTTTTGTAGTACCCGAACATATTAGTAAAGAAATAAGAAATGAGAAAAAAAAAAAAGGATGAAAGATGATCATTGGAAAGGGAGTGGAGAAACAAAAGGATGAAGAAGAAGAAGAAAAAAAAGGGAGTTAGGGAAGAATCGTTTATTGATGTTATATTCTTTCTTTTTTTAAATAGTGATTTCGATACTGTAGCTTTGGCGATGGATAGTAAGTAACATATGGTATGTAAAATTTTTTTGTGTTATTTATATCTATTATATTTATTGTAAACTACAATAGAGATAGCGTCGCTATTTGAAGAACGTCTTTTAGAAGAAAATCCACGACTGACCGAACTCCAATACCGGTAATCAAGAGGATGATATCAAGTTAGTTTATAAGTCCGTAGTTTTACTAACATTTTCTTAGAGCGGAAGATCTACTTCGTTTTATAGATAGTCATCGAGAATTTGTTGCTCTTGTATTTGAAAATGGAAGTCGTGTAAGTAAAAATAAATGATTAGATAAAAAGTATGTTACTGATTTTTTTTTTTTTTTTTTTTTGCATAGACATATCAACCACATGATCAAATTTGGGTGAAGAATAAATTGATCTCTCATCTTACTAATAAACAACGATCATCATCATCATCATCATCATCAGGAAGAGGAAGAGGATCACGTAGATATTAGTTGAATTAGTTTAGAGAGAAAAAAAAATAATTAAAGTGTTATATATAATAGTAAAAATAAAATAAAATAAAATAAAAATCGTCTTTTTTTTTTTTCTTTTCTTTACAGTAATCCATCAAAAAAAAAAAAAAAGCTGATCGTGGTTTTTTGTAGTCGATCACGCCAACTATTTCCATATAAATCTATCAGTTATACAGTGTCTTCAAAGTTTTTTGTCGTGTCACAAGAAAATGCTTTTCGTGATGTTATAAAATAAAATATCGTACTTTCCCAAAATGAATGTCGCATTATCACTTTTTCAGATATCGCTCTAGAGATGTCGGTAGAGTACATTAAAAACACACAGCACATTGATGATAGCTTGTTTATTAATAATAAAAGACAGAAAAGAAAAGTAACATAGGCTTTTCATATTTTTAGCAGCTTTGGGTGTTGTCCATCCTTTTTTTAGTATCGATCGATTGATGATTGATGATTGATGATTGATGATATGTGATAACGGATGATTGTATATTGGATGATTGTATGATGGATGATATGTGATAATGGATGGTTATATGTTGGATGATTGTATGATTGTATGATGGATGATGAAACATTGTCGTCAATCACTGTACAAATTTCTGATAAAATACAAAATACTTCATTCTAGTTACCTTCTGATAGAACAACATTTTCTTTTTCTTTTCTTTTTTTCTTCGAAAAATGTCAAAACACTCTTTTATCAAGCAACATGATAAATCAATATAATAATGATGACTCATCACATCAATGGAAATTAAAAAATGGCAATAATAGGTATGCTGTGCACAATCATACTAACATTTAAAATAGAACACTAGAAAAAAAAGAAATCTAGTCATTAAACTAAAACACGACAAAAACAAGTCAGTATCATGTATCACTTAGTACATAAATATTGTAATAATAGAATTTAATGTAGAACATCTATGTAATTAACTTTATTATAAAAAGAGAAATGTTGCTAACACTAAAAAAAAAAAAAAAAAAAAAATGATGAAGTAGATACTAAAAAATAAAGTAGATGATAAATTAAATACAATATAAAGAGAGAAATGTTGCTAATACTAAAAAAAAAAAAAATGATGAAGTAGATACTAAAAAAGACAATGATAAATTAAATACAATAGAAAGAAAGAAATGTTGTTAATACTAGAAAAAAATGATGATGAATTAGATACGATATAAAGATAGAAATGTTGCTAATATTTAAAAAAAAACTGATAAAACTCGCTTACATCTTGTCTCATCATTTTATCTACCAAAATTAGCTCATAATTGCAAGGGTGATTCATTTTCTTATAAAGGGATCCCTTTGATTTAACTTTTTTTTTTTTATTTATTTACATTACATTCATCTTTTTGGCTTACTGCTTCCTTTTTTGTCTGTCTTCCTTTTTCTTTGATCTGCCTTTTTCTATACAAGTACTCTTTAATAGTTCAAGCATCTTTGTCTGTTTCTCCATTGATCTACCTCTTTTTTGCTTTCTGGGCTTGACCGTGGTCGCTAATGCGCATTTGCGTGGTTACGGTCAGCCTTTTCTTTTTTTTTATTCAACAATTCCGGGATGGTTATCGCCATCCTACTTTCACCGTAGCGATACGGTGATCACGTTACACTTAAATGGTAAGCTAGTGAAATATTTTTATCTGGATAAATATCACTCATTTTTTATTTTATTTTATTTTTATATATGTTAACTTGGTGAACTCAATTGGTGGATTTCCTTTTTTTTTTTTTTTAACTGCTCTTTTTTTCATGATATCTATTTTCTTATATTCTCTATTTGATTATGCGACAATTATATTTTTTTTCTTCTGTCATTTATTTTCTATCCTTACGATATTTTATTTCCTATTTTTGCGTCATCTTATTCTTTGAATTCCGTCAATTATTATTGAATAAAGTGTAAAAGCGGTCTTTTATTTTTTATTTTCTTCCTTTCTTTTTTTTTTTTTTATATCTCTCTCTTTTCTCCCTTCCCCCCTTTTTTTACACATATATATATATTTATATAATATATATTCTTTCTTTCTTTCTTTCTTTTAGGAGAAAGAGTGAATATCAAACTTCAGGCACACATATACACACTTATTCTATTCATTGTATTTTGGTAAGTCATCCTTCTTTTTTTTTTTTTTTTTTTTTTTAACACTGAGATGGTGATTGTAACTGAAATAGAAACTCAACTATATATATATATATTTCTTTTTTATATATTCTTTTCTTTTACCTTTTTTTTTTTTCTCATTACTAATAGTTTACTACTTCTTCTTTGTTATTCCTTTTTTTTTTCCTTTTAGAAAACATCTTGATTTCAGATGGAAGATTATGCTAATACACTAGTGGTTCGACTTCCTAAAAGCAAGATGGATCAACATTCTGATCATATGAATGATACTTTGGTTTCTGAAACACTTTATCTTAAATCTTTTCCTTCGACAATCAATGAAGCTGACCTGCGTCACTTGTTACAACAATATCAACCTTTAGAGTAAGTTTTAATTTTTTTTTTTATGTCCAATATAAATATGTATATATTTATATTTATGGCAAATTTTACCTTTTAATGTGAGAAAACAGACGCGTTGAAGCTTTCTTTTTTTTTTTTTTTGTTTGTTTGTACTTATTGATTTTTTTTTTAATTTATCTTTACTTAGGATTCAACTGTATCGACACAATGGTGAAGGGTTTTTACGCTTTAGAACTGCTTCTATTGGTAAGCCTTATAAACTAATGCAAATCATCACAATATATTCATATTTGATTTTATTTATTTATTTTACTATTAATTATTATAATTATTTTTAGCCGATCAGGTTTATGCATTATATCAAGATTATCAATTTCACAATGGAACCAAACTTCACTTTAGTGTTTATCAAGATCATCCTCATGAAGCTGAAAGTATGTTACTCAAAGTGGGTTTCTTACCTCGATATATTGATAATACCATGGTTTATCATCTTTTCCGTCCTTTTGGTCCTTTGGCTTTATGTAAACTTTTATTGGAACATGATAATTCTGTTTTTCTCGGTACTGCTTTAATTCAATATTTTTATCATGAAGATTCAGAAGCAGCTATTGAAGCAATGGTAAAAAAAAAAAAAAAAAGAACAAAAGGGATCGTCGTCTCACTTTTTATATACTAATACTCCCTATTTTATCATATTTAGCATGGTCAAATGGTGGATGGAAACAAAATGTAAGGAGAAAGAAAAGATTTTCTTTTTTCTTTTTTTTTTTTTTAAAAAAAAGAGGATGAAGTGTTTTTATGTATGTGTGGGTGTGTGCGTGGGTGCACGTGCAAGAAGGGGTACAGTCAGTGGAATAGGGTGAAACAAAAGGGAGTCTGCGTATTCTATTTACTCATCATCTTTCTGTCTTCTCATTTTTTAATAGCGTGGTAGAATCTTTTATATCCAATGATCATTATCAAAAATCGGTAAAAAATTGCCCTATTTTCTTTTTTTGGCTGGTAGTGCGATGGGGGGTATTGAACAAGTAAACAAACACGTACTGACGTTACTTTTTTTTTTTCTTTTTCTTCTTTTCTCTTCTCTTTTTCTTCTTTTTCTTCTTTTTCTCATTCATATTAGTCTCCTTCTTCTTCCTCCATGAATCCCGACAAGACTTCTGAACACAATTATGTTGATGTTATGAATCTTTATATCAAAAACCTGGATCCCAAAGTTACCAACAATGATCTCTTTAATGCTTTTCGAGCCTTTGGTCGTATTGTCTCTGCTCGTGTCATGTCAAATCCTGCCACCAATCAATCTAAAGGTTATGGGTTTGTTAGTTATGGTCGATCTGATGAAGCAAGAATGGCCCTGGAACAAATGAATGGAAAAATGTTTTTTTCAAAGCCTTTAGTTGTATCTTATCATGCTCCTAAAAAGCCTCGTCAAGTTCCTCAAGTTTCTCCAACCAATGATTATTCTTCATCTTATCAGGACACAAGACAACAACAACAACAATATAATCATCATCATCATATACATCATGATTTGGCTTCTTCTAATACAACAATGTCTACTTCTAATGTGAATGGTTTAGGAATTGATAATGTGGATCAAATTGCTATTGATATCAAAGATTTATCTATTGGACAAAACAATACCATTCCTGCTTATCCTATTCAACGAAAGGTAAAGCTTTATAATGATGAAATAATCAATCTGTTGTCTAATTGTTTTTTTATATATTATAGTTATCGATAGCTGACAACTATATGGCATTACAACAAGCTCGAATGTCACCTCCCTTTTCTTCATCCCCTATCTCTGGTAGTACCGCAGGTGGACACTCTTTGGCTTCATTAGCATCTGGACTTTCTGTTCAACAACCACCAAACCAACAACATCAACAACAACAAACGACACCTACACTTACATCAATGAGTGGATTATCCTCTTCTTCTTCTCCTCCTCCTCCTTCTTCATTGTCTGGTGGTCGGTTAGCAAAAGATTACAAACATACTACTGATGGTCGTCCTACTTTACGCCGAAAATCATCTTTGGAATCCATTAGTACGGTGATGACTGAATCAAGTGCCAATTTACAACGACAAAGAATGACTCAAGCTGTACTTCAATGTGATGTTCCATTTGACAACCAAAATTTAGTGTCTGATATTGTGGATATGTTGTTGACTTTGAAAAAGAAAGAAAGATCTTTGTGCATATTCAATCAAGACTTTTTGAAGACAAAGATTCAATTGGCTTTAGAAGCTTTGGAAACCTTTCATGATGGTGATGATTCTGATCAAGAAGATGAAGAAGAAAAGGCATTACAAAAATTGTAAGTTTTTCTTTTTTTTTTAAAAAAAAAAAAGAGAATAATGATCTACATTAGAAAATTAAATGTTATTTTTATTCTTCATTTTATAGGTTACCAAGACAACCAAGTAAAAAGAAATCAGTATCATTACGACCAACAACATCTCCTGGTCATAGCAATGGTGATTCATTGGTGAAACAACAACATGATGATATTCCCAAAACTATTCCTGTACGTGTATCTAAAGCTATACCTATTGTGGCACCACCTAGTTCTCCACCACCATCCTCCAATTCACCGGTTAATTCTAGAAAGACAGCAACAGGATTATCATCAGAAAATAAGGCGATTATTGAATCTTTATTGAAAGATATGCAAGGTAAAGCCGTCCATGAAAAGAAGCAATTACTAGGTGATCGTCTTTTCCCATTGGTAAAGGCTACTGGTACAAAACAAGCTCCCAAGGTGACTATTCAGCTTTTGGATTCTGTGGATTTACAAGAATTGGCCAATATGATGTTTGATAAGGAAGCTTTGAAGAAACAAGTGGATAATGCTTTTGAACAATTGAAACGACAATAATAGTTATCTTTTACACACTTTTTTTTTATCTTAATGAAATACCCTTCCTCCCTCTTTTTTTTTTTTCTTCTTTTTTTATTATATTACCCAGTCTTCCCCTCTTTATTTCTTTTACAAATTGTATACCAGTTTTTGTTTCCCTTTTTTTTTTTTTCTTTTTCTTAATTTGGATCAATCCATCTTTTTATTATAGCGTTTTCACTGATTTTAGGATACTCCCCTTTTTAGATACTTAGTTTATTTTCTTTCCCTATCACAATAAAGACTTGAATCAGCTAACGAATTGATAAGATGTGACCTCATAAAGAAAGTGGACAGATATCATTACGACCTTCTATGCAATCCCAAAAAAAAAGCGAACGGTGTTTCAAACGCCAGGGATGCTCTCTCGTCCTCCCCCCTTTTTTCTCTTTTTTACTTTTTTTTTTCTCTATTTTCTTTTTTTTTTTTTTTTTTTTTGTTCGTTGATGAATTCAAAGATTTACCATGTTGGGTAGTGATCTTGAAGTAAAGCATTATGAATATATATTGATACTTGTTTTTTATTTGCTAAATAATTGAAAGAAAAACGAAAACGGCCAAGAGGGAAGGTGAAACGAATAAGAAAAACTCTAACTTACTTTTTTTTTCATATCATTGTCAACCTAGAAAACCTTGGAAAAGAATACAATTCGATTGATAGGGTTTCTTCAAGAATGCTCACTTCTTGGTAGTTTATCAGTAAGAAGGAAAAGAAAAGAAAAAGTAGATTAGTCTTGTTCAACATTTTACTTTTTTTATTAGGGATTCAGGTATTTTGAAGTATGCATGCGTAGTAGAGAGGAACTTTTATTATGTATCAGTCCACCTGGTAATGTAGAACAAAGGAAAAGGTAAAATACAATAATAATAAGAACAAGAATAAAAAAAAACGACAATATCAAGTATTCTCAATTTCATTATGCATGTGTATAGACCTTTGACCATCATGTCATCTACTTATTTACTGGATGAAGATTATATTGATGTAAGTTATATATATATATATATATATATATATATATATATATATATATATATTAACGAACTAACGACATGGTCTTTTTTTTTTTTTTTTTCCTTCTATTGTGAAGCGTCATGATTGTACGGTGTTTATGGTGACGGGTTACGCGGTCTACAATTGTCCTTATATTTATGCATGGAAACAATCCAATCAATCTCTTCGATATATGACTAGTCCCGTGGAACCGGATGTACCTTTGAGACTTGAATCTACTCTTTCATGGAATAGGAAACGTAAGTAATATACTAACATTAATAATTCATTATTAATCTATTTGTTCCTTTTTATGGTAGATGTTGCATTATGGGAAATGGTATGGGAATTACTTTCAAGATTGACGTGGCCAAGTCCAACCAATCCATTTGCCATTGATTTCGATTATTTGGACAGATTACCATTACCTCAATCTTTATTATTGATTGGTGGTTTATTAGACTTTTTACAAACTTTATGGGTCCAAGCAGAACCTCAAGTGTCTTTTATTAATCAAGGTAAATAGAGATGTTTATTAATCGCCAATACATTTATTTATGCATTCTCCTATAGTATTTGAAGATATACAATTATTACAGCAACGCCATTTACAACTAATGCGGGATTATACACACAAGATCAATGTGGCGACACCTTCAACATGACAAAGGTATATCTTCATTGACGATAGTAGAAATAGTTGTACCACCCATCCTTTTTTTTTTTTCTATTCTTATTACTATTCCAATCATTAGCTTTAGCTATATCAATCCACATTCTTTTTTTTCTTTATTTTTTTTTTTTAAAAGAATAAAATAAAAACTATTCCATAGTATGATCATTCACCAAAAAAGAAGACTACTGGGATTTTATACAGAGTAGATGATTATGTCAAAAAGCTCTGTTTATTATACAAAAAAGTATAAATGATTATAAGAGATAAAAAAAAAAAAAAAGAGGAAGGATCAATATACTGACAGAAGTTGGTAATTAGACAAGAACTATACTAAGGAATATAAATAAAGTAGGATATACAGATCTCTAAGAGGTAATGGAGACACAAAAAAAGAGAGAGAGAGAGAGAGGGACAGAGAGAACAGGAAAGACCTTGGCCATATGCCGACATGAGTCCATTGCACTAGGTTGATGACAGGAATATTGATTGTTCTTACTATCGAAAAAAAGAAAGAGAGAGAGGATAGTCATGATGATGATTGTTGCTATTGGGTGGTATTGCTCATGTTGGTAGTGGATCCAGAGATTTGCCATGATGCATCATCCAATAATCGTTTTGTATGTTGTGTTTGTGATAATATCTGCGTCCATAAATCCAATAGTTGGTCAGTTTCATCTAGGGTTTCTCCAAAATTCTACCATCAAAATAGAGTATATAAAGAGTTCATGGTCATTAATACAAAGAGATTCACTTTTTTTTTTTTTTTTTTTTTGCTGTTCCTTACTTTGATATTATCAGCTGCGTTTTCAAAATCCTGAATGACAGTTTCCATCATATGGTTGAGTTGTTGAACACGTTCATATTCTAGTTGCCTTTGAGCATTAAGTTCAGCTGGATTGGCAGGATCAGCAATAGGTGGCTGACTATGATCTACAGTACGAAATACCATGGTGGCTCGTCGACTAGATGTAGGCGGTAATAATAATCCTTGCCTCATTGTCCTGTTCGCGTCATTGTTATCTAAATGTTCAGTAAGCGAAGTATCCAAGGTAGATGCTGGTAGTGGTGGTGGTGATGTGTTGGTAGTGGTGATTGCGGTGGTAGGAATATAATTGGATTCCATGACTGATGATGAAAAAAAAAAAAAGAAAGAGAAACCGTGTTCTCTCCCCAATTTTTTTTTTTTCTTTACAAGCGGAAACTGAAATCCAACTTTTTTGCTTTCTCATTCTCCCTAGTTCTGTTCTGTTCCATTCATCAAGTCAAAACTCAAAATGGGTAGGTAAAAGTTTGTTCCAGGTAAATATCATCTAGAATCAAAGCTGATCTGGTTTTCCAAGTTTCATTAGAGAAATCAATCGGTTCATTAAACATATTGACCTTGATACCGAGTCAAAAAGCGATGCATGGGTAATAATAGACTAGATAAAAGTGTGTCCAAATGGGAGCGGAGCTTGGATCGTGAACTCTATCTTCCTTTTCTTTCCTTCTTTGTTTTCCTTTTTTGCCCAATGAAGCCACACTTTTTTTTTTGTTTCTTTCCTCGGTTATGATAAGTTTATTATTTTGAAAGAAAAAAGAAAGCATGGTTTTAAAGATGATGATGTTGTCAATGATCAGAATACGGGGATGCATTCCAAACAGAACGGTATCGAGTAACGGAAAAGGAGTGTCATCCTTTCTTGCCAATGATCGGAATCGCTGGTTTAAATGATCAGAATAAACTATTCATTGGTGAAAATTTTTTATTTTATTTTATTTTTTTTTTATTTCCTTTTCTTCTTTTCATTTTTTTTCCCACTTTTTTTTTTATATTTTATATATAAATTGATGGATCAAGAAAAAACTGGAGAGAGATCCAGTATAAGTACAGCAGCCGAGTATGTACAAGAAAAGGATATGCGAAGACGATCTTTCACCACCTCTATAGAATCAGCACCTAGTCCTATGACAAGATCACTTCGTTCTGTTTCAAGTCATGTTGCTGAACAAATACCTGAACCTCATATGGGATTATTAAGTAGTTGTAATATGGTAAGTTGAAAAAAAAAACATGATGATGATGATGATGATCTAACTAAAATAATAATAAATAAAATAGATTGTTGGATTGATTATTGGTAGTGGTATTTTCGCTTCACCTGGACCTGTGACATTAAAAGTGGGAGCAGCTGGAACTTCTTTAGTGGTATGGTCGATTGCCGGTGTACTCAGTTATTTAGGTGCGATGTGTTATGCAGAATTGGGAACGATGATCACCAAATCTGGAGGAGAATATCAATATTTACGACAAGCTTATGGATTATGTATGGGCCTTACTTTTACGTGGAGTAATTTATTATTGACCAACGGGATCGGCACTGCTTCTATTTCCACCGTCTTTGCTCAGTACATTCTACAAATGGCTTATTTTGATCCCAACAACCCCGCACATCAACCTGACATGCCTGATTATGCTCTCAAACTTGTCGCTATTGCTTGTATATGGACCGTGGTGGCTTTCAACTGTTTTGCTCGGAAGGCTGGCACTTGGGTACAAAATATATTTACTGCCGCCAAACTTATTGCCTTGGCTATGATCATCATCATTGGTTTTATTTGGCTTGGAAAAGGAGGTGTCAAAAATTTGGAAAATGCCTTTGAAGGTAGTAGTACAAATGCTCTGGATTATGGTACATCACTTTATTTGGCTCTTTTCTCTTATAATGGCTGGGTAAAAAAAATTTTTTTTTCTTTTCTTTTTTTTTCTTTTTCTTTTTCTTTTCTTTTTCTTTTTCTTTTCTTTTTCTTTTTTCTTTTCTTTTTTTTTTTTTTTTTACTCAATTTTCTTTTTTTTTTTAATAGAACAATTTGAACTATGGTATCAGTGAAGTCAAGAATCCAAAGAAGGTGCTCCCTATTGCTATTACAATTAGTTGTTTCTTAGTCACTGGTGTATACGTATTAGCCAACATTGCTTATTTCGCCACCCTTCCTGTTGCTACAGTTGCCAAGTCCACTACAGTCGCCATGCAACTTGGACTGGTCGCTATGGGAAATGCAGGTGCTTATTTCTTTGCTCTGATGGTGGTTCTATCTACTTTTGGTGCAGTCAATGGCAATGTTTGGGCAGCTTCTCGATTGGTAGCAACTTGTGCTTCTGAAGACAGTGTATTTATCCCTCCTTTCTTTGGTAAACTACATAGTGGTCGTGGTACACCTGTGACAGCTTTGATTTTGGTTGGTATCATTGCCACTATTTGGTGTATTCCTGGTGATTTTACTTATTTAGCCAAGATGTATAGTTTCACAGGTTGGCTCTTTTATGGTATTACAATTGCTGGTTTGGTGGTCATGCGATTCAAAAAGAAAACAAAGGATATGGAGAGACCTTTCAAGGTAAAAAAAAAAAAAAATGAAAAGAGGATGGATTATAAGAGATAGATGGATAGATAATAATCATTTTTATTCTTTTTCCTTTTTTTTTTTTTTTAAAAAAAAAAAAGATTTGGCTTCCTCTTGCGATTTTCTTTGTCATCATCGACTGCTACTTGGTGATTGCTCCTTTGGTAGATGCTGGTTCGGAGGGAGTATATCAATATATTATTTGTGTCATCGTTGGGTTACTTGGTATTCCTCTTTGGTATATTCGCGTCAAAAAACCAGAAATCGGTCGCAAGTTATTTGGTTGGTTACCGTTTTATGAAGATGCTAAAATTCTTAGATTTCAGCAAGTGAAATTGAACAATAGACATGAAAATGGATCATCACCTAGCGACGATAGCCATCATTTGGACGAAAAAGTGTTACAGGAAGAAGAAGAGCAACAAATGAAACAGTAGTATAGTGTACACAAATACCCCATGCTCTTTTTCTCAATCATCATATATATTTTTAGTTTTTTTTTATTTTCTTGTTTTAATATATATATTTATTATAATTCATCATCAATAAACTTTTATGTCTATCATTTGGCTTTGGATTTCCGATTGAATGATTTTCCCCGGAACGTTTTTCTGTTTCTTTTTTGTTTCTTTTTTTCTTTCTTTTTTTCCTTTTTTTTTTTTTTTCTCAGTTATTTTAGTTGTTATATTTATTCAGTTACTCAAACGTCTTGTATATTTCTTGTAGTATACTCTCTCTCTTTGTACTCTGTTTGTATGGATAGTTGTAGCATCAACAACAACATTGGTGACATGCACAATAATGACAGCAACAGTAGTAATGATTATATTATAGGCAGTAACGACAATAACTACAATATACCCATAAGAAGACTATCGACCACATGTCACGCTTCACTTTCAAAGGATATTCGTCGCAAAACATTGGAAGAATGGCTCCATGATCAACATCGACGAAGCATGTCAGTTCCAGACTTACACAGACTCTATAAGGAATGGCACCTTTATCAGAACTCTGGACTGGAAGATATCGAACCCTTTCAACTGCAGGTATAAATTAATATGACACGATTATACGATTGTATCTTAATTTTTTTCAATTTTTTTTTTTCCTTCTTCTTTTATAGGTGGATCTACTCAATATACGAACGGACTTTATTATGAAACGACCAGCTATGCGTGTAAAAATGGGAGCCATCAAATATGTATCATCAAGGTCAAATACTCCAACTGGCGATTGGAATGAAGGTTTTGTTTTTGTTGTCTCTTTTCATGCTCAATTATTCAATACCATCGAGGCAAGAAAAAAAAAAAGGTCTTTAGAAAATGAAATTGATCTCTTTTCTTTCTTTTTAATAGTTTGATCTTTATGAAGTACCAAGAAAAAACTGGCCAAAGCGTATTCAACATGTCGGAAAAGCAAAACTGAAGATTTCTCGACTAGAAGGACGAGAAAATGTGTTTACAACGTAAGTCATTTGTTTTACTGAAATAAAAACAACTTTTTCGACTCTTATTCTTGTTGACAAATACAATATATATATTATGTAGGTTCCTACCCATTTATGAATATAGCAGTTCACGACGTCGATTACCAGCAGATACAACTGAATTAATACAACGATCTGGCATGTTCAGAAAAGCAATGAACACCCTGTTTGGAACTGCAAAAATCATCGGCTCAGTTCAAGTGCGAATACGATACAAATTTCAACAAGGGGATGAAACAGCGGCGATCAGGGCAAATCGATGGAAAAAAAACATGGAAAAGAAACGAATCAACGATATAAAGATGTTAGACGATACAACGACACCACGGCAATTCGATAATTCTAACGAAAGCGCCAGGAATGATGTACTTCACTCTCTTGATCCTTCTTCTCCATTCCCTATTTCAGTACCAATGTCATCATCAGTATCACAATCAGCGTCAACATCAACACAACCTAGGCAGCGACAATCCTCGCAATATACATTAAAATCAAGTCACAATAGCAGCAAGCGTTTACGACTAACATCAAAAGCATCAACTTCATCTCTTAATAAACGACATCCTTCTTTACAATCATCCACATCGTCAAATGATCTACGATCATCTTCACAAACTTCTGGATTATCCAATACCAAATTCAAGACGAACGATAACAATCCTCGGTCACAACATGGACGCGGTGATCTAGCGAGAGATGAAGAGTTTGTGAACGAATTATTCAAGGATCAACTAAACAAGGTGATGGCATCCTCTATACCACGTCAGCATATACCCACAGCCATGCCATCAAAAAAGTTATACAACCATGGAACAAGAGATTCTTCACTCGACACAAATGCACGACAACGACGACAACTCTGGAAGCATCATCGTCATAACCGGCGGATCAAAGGACAAAAGGGAAAACGACAACGAGGACACTGCATATCATTTAATTGGTTAACAGCACTATTCCACCCAAACAGAGATTTGCATTCAGCTAGAGGACGACGATATGGATTTCAACAAAATGATATGGATGGAGATGATCAAGAGTACGACAATAAAAACAGCACCAATAATAAAATGAATCCTTCTTCTTCTTCTTCGACAAAAGCTACAAAAGTAACAACCAATCATGGAGCACCAAGTTCTCAACAACTTATCATACCAATGTGCAAAAAAGAAAAGGAACATGGAACCGCACGTCGATTGACAAACAAGGCGAAAAAAAAGGCAAAGCATATTATTTCAAGTGTAGATTTTGGCGACAAGAATTTCGGTAGTCGATGGATGCAGGATTCATTTGAAGAAGTGGCACTCTCTCATCCGATGATGGATTTTCTGATTGGTCTTGCTGTGAAAACTCAAACTCAAGCTTTAGTTCGAGCCATCATTATATTGGCTAATAGTTTTGTAAGTGATGACAATAGACAGAGTGGATCAGATGACATTGACATTTCTTTTTTTTTTGATACTTTAGGGTCAAGGATTCAAAGTAACAGCTTTTCAATTAGTCAAAGCTATGCTACTTTTGGAAAAATTTTACCGGTCCATACCAAAGTAAGTTGTAATAACAAGAAAACTTGGGCGAACAAAAAAAAAAAAAAAAAAAAAAAAGAAGAGAGATATACTGACTTTTTTTTCATGTTGACTTATATATTATAATGTGTAGACAAATGACGTCAAATGAAGTCAAGGACCGTTATATTATTGACGTTGGCAATCACTATTTCCGATATGCTCTAGTTGCTTATGTAAGACAAAAAAACAAAAGAAGAAGAATATCAACAAGAATAAAAGTTTAATTGTATTCTTTTATTTATTCATTTGTTATTCCTAAGGGATGGCGTGGACTTGCATATTTAGGATTATATGGACAACTTATACGTAGATCTGGAGGCAAATCAAGATCCAATCGGTTGGCAATTCTTAATTATTTGCGTATCGAATCTAGGGATTTGTTGGGATATGAATATGGATTACGTGATGGCGCTGCATTTCAACCTAGTTACTTTGTGGCTGTGGATCGAGAGAAGAAAACTATTGTACTCAGTATTCGTGGCACTTGGGTAACAAAAAAAAAAAAAAAAAAAAGAAATTGAAATTCAATCATTTACAAATCTAATTTTTTTTTTTATTAATAGAGCCTCTATGATGCCATCACTGATCTTGTTTGTAAGTTTGGAAAGAAAGAGTAGAGTTGTTCATTATAATCATTGTTGACTTTATATTTTGTTTTTGTTCTGTTGATAGGTTACTACGTGCCTTGGAAAGGAGGTTTGGTACATTCTGGTATGCTTGCGTCTGCTCAATGGTTTTTTATCCATATCATACCACAAATCTTTCGATACATACATATTCATGCACGCAACTTGAAGGGTTTAACGATAACTGGACACTCGTTAGGCGGAGGCTGTGGAAGCTTACTAACAATGATGGTGGCGGATCAAATGGATACTTTGAAAAAATTGGCAAACAACCCAGATTTCCAACTACAGTGTTATAGTTATGCACCTGTGGCATTGACTTCATATGATCTTAGCTGCAAGTATGATCAATATATTCAAAGCTTCATTGTACAAGATGATATTGTAGGACGACTCTCTTATGGCACAGCAATCAAATTGAAGGAATTGATTCTGGATACAATCAGTTCTTATGAAGCTGTTGGTGGTATGACCAAAGTACTTACGCATAGGAAATCAAGGAAATTATGTTTTCAAATCATTGAAAAATGTCGCAAACTGATTTTTCAACCTTCTAACGAAACTCCACCTATGGTAAGTTATTTATTTTTTTTTTTTTTTTTAAAAAAAAGAATGATACTGACTTGTGATATTACATTCAGCTTTACATTCCAGGCAAAATCATTCATTTACAACGGAGACGGGTCAAACGATTTGGTGGCAATAATGGATCATCATCTACAACAGAATCATCGTCAACAGCTCACAAGTCAAAACATATTCCAGGGGCAAGTCGAACGGAATATTCAGTACGGTGGGAAACTAGACGTATTTGTGAAGAAATGATCGTTACCAAGACAGCCATTGTGGATCACTCTATTGGATCTTATCAAACCGCATTTAGCAAGCTCTCCGCTATGTATCCTGCTGCAATTTATCCGTCTAATTTTATAGAATAAAAGTACTTGAAATTGGCATGGGTTATGTATAAATGATATAATTTAGTATAATATGATAATGTTTCAATAAAAAAGAACCTATTTTTTTTTTTTGACATACATATTCTAAAAAGTTTAATATCGTCCTCCACCCCCCTTTGATTGACTTGATTTTTTTTTCCTTGCAACAAAATATCCATGATGATTCTTCATTATTCGACAACATTACCAATATGATAGAAATAAAGGTTATTATATCCTTCAATTTTTTTTTTTTTTTTTTAGATAGAAATCTTTCAAGTTATGATCATCAAGCTCTCCTTTTTTCATTCTCCTTCATACTCCCTTCTTTTGTCAATAATCACTTTTTTTTTTTTATTCAGCACATAAAATCATGCGTCCATCATGAAAAAAAAAAAGTCATATTGTTGGACCATGCCTTTTCCTTATAGGGATTCCCCTCATCTTGGGATCATTTAAGCACAGGAAGGAGGGGGGAGGATAATGTCAATTCATCATCCAGTGCATGAATCGAAACTGATCATTGGACACAACAAACAAAATCTAGGGGTTTCCCAAAAAAGAAAAGTCCGTGTCATTATTGTCAATGTTTTTATATATGTAATACTTTTTTTTTTCCCACTCTTTCTCTCTCTCTCTCTCTCTCTCTCCTTCTCTCGCACATTTTTTTTTGTTCTTCGATTTTCTTTTCTTTTCCTTTTCTAGTCTAATGTCCTTCAATCATGTTTCAAACAACAATGATGATACTGTAGACAACGTCAATGAACAGTTTATCTATGAATCTCCCTCTTCGTTCTCAATATTGCGAACTCAACCTGCATTCATTGGTAAATTGTACAAGTAAGTTTTTTTTTTTTTTTTGTGATGGATGATGAAGAAAAGGGCTGATTACTATATATAGTAAAGTGAAGATGTATGCATCAATCTCCCTCCTTTTTTTTTTTTTTTTTTTCTTCTTCTTCTTTTCGATGCTTGTTGGGAAATGATGAAGATCGGGAAAGGCGAACTGGGAAAGCGTGATGGATCTAATGGGATGAAAGGTGATGAAGAAGATTCTTCACTTTTCTTTTTTCTTTTCTTTTCTTTTATTATTATTATTTTTTTTTTTTTTTTTTTTGTGTGCGTACGTGGATGTTACACTTAAACTCATCTCCTAATTTTTTTTATATATATGCTCATGATGCACGCGTGGTACTTTTGGATTGTTCTATCTTGTTTCTTCTTTCCTTTATAGGATGCTGGAAGATGATACACAAGATCTAATTTGTTGGTCGACTGATGGTGATTACTTTAGTGTATACAATTCTGCATTGTTTGCCAAACAAGTATTACCTCAATATTTCAAGCATAACAACTGGCAAAGCTTCGTTCGTCAACTAAATAGTAAGTGCAAAAAAAAAAATTTTTTTTTCCATATTAAGCTTGTTTTCTCTCTTTTTTTTTTTTTTTTTAGTGTATGGTTTTAGTAAAATCAATGAAATGATTCATTCCAATATTAGTTTTGATAATCAAACTTGGGATTTCAAGCATCCTCATTTCAAGCGTGGTGATTTTCAATCTTTGTCTCTTGTAAAAAGGAAATCCGTCAAATCATCATCTACAACCATCTCAAGTCCATCATCATCGTCTTCTTCTTACAATACTAGTCAGAATGATATCATCAACACAAAATCACAACAACAACCATCACAACAATGTGATTCTTTTGATGAGAATGATATCGTGCACAATCGAGTGGGTTTATTGGATGAACAAGTCCATCAAGTCTCCAATAATGTCAATCAACTTACAAATGATGTTCAAGATATCAAGTCAATCATATATCAACAGCAAAACGTAAGTATGGAACAGTTTATCTACTAAAAAAAAAAAAAGCTAACTCCTTTGTACTCAGATCATCCATGATTTAGCCAATATGGTACGCTCTTACCAGGGTAAGTAAAGTAAAAAAAAAAAAAAAAAAGATCATCTATTCCATTTAGCCATCTTTTTTTTTTTTTTTTTTTTTTTTGGACAAATAGATCCATCATCAGTAACTTCTTTATCTACTCCGGGAAAGGAATCACGGCAAGGTACCATCAGTCTTCCATCTATTCAACATCTGTCTAACAATTTGCAGACGACGATCCTAAGTAAGCCTCGATTACCGTCATCATCATCATCATCATCAATATCACATCATCATCCTCGTCCTCTTTACAGCAGTAGCAGCAGTACCGTTCATCCATCATCCAGTAACACTTTCCAGTCTCCTCTTGATAGTCGTCGAAGATCATCGCATCCTTCAACCCATCACACCAACTCCTTATATCCTTTATTGAACTCGATATCTGATGATCATGCTGATGAATGACCATGAACGAATCCTTTATGCACAACCTTTATCCTATATTTGGCTAGTTCTTTTCTTTTTTTTTTATATATCTTCCGCACATACCTTTTATATATACTGACTTTTACATCCCATTGTTGTTGTTGTTGTTTTTTTCTACATATGCAGCCTACCATTATCCAATACATTTAGTTTTTCAACCATCGTGTCTATTCTTCCGTTGTTTTACAAATAACCTTTTTTTACAACTATCATTATTCATCCTTTCATATTCCAATGTCATCATATCCATCATCATCATCAATAATAAAAACCAAAAAAAAAAAGATCATTGTTTTGTTCATTTAAGTGTATTTTTTTTATTGTCCAGATAGAATCGTTGTCGTAATGAAATGTATATGTGAATGTGTGTGTGTGTGTGAAAGATCAAGGGGGGATAACTAAAAAAAAGTATGTTTGAGGAGAATACGGAGAATCTAAGCAGCAATAGCCTTGGCTTGGGTACCTACATGACACCGAAAAAAAAATGAATGAACCATCTCTATCTACTTTATATATTCTATTATAATAATTTACCTTCACGGAAACCATTCTTAAAACGACGATGGACCACCTTCAAATATCTCATGCGACCAGTACCAGTAGTCTTTCTTCTCTTACCCTTTTCAGACCAGTTGACTAGATATATATATATTAAAAAAAAAGAATGATTTTAGTATAGGTCATAATAATAAAAATAATAATAATAATAAAAAAGAGATAACAAGTGACTTACAGGATCGGATCTTGGCAGCAGGGTAACCACATTGAGCACAGGTCTTCTTTTGCTTGTGATAAGAACGATCACCACAACGACGGCACAAAGTGTGAGACTTGGTATGGCGCTTACCGAATGAGGAAGTACCCTTGGTCTATTCGCATTCAAGCATAATAAATAAATAATAAAAACGAAGGTCAGTCTATTTCATGTTGTTTTCTGTCGTTTATGTGAATGTATGATGTCTGTCCATCTTTCAAATCGAAAATGATAAAAAAAAAAACATTTCCTTCTCTCTTTCTCCCTTTCCGTACGCGTGCGAGTATGTATGTGTTTTCATAAAAGTAATCGATCGTTGCATGTCACATTGCCTCAGTCCATCCATCCATCCATCCATCCATCCATTTCCGGTTTTCGCCCATCGTTTCCGTCGTGTGAATCCAGAGAGAAAGAGAGAAAAAGAAAAAGAAAGAGCAGATGTTGTTCATCATCCATTCATTGTCATTCTGTGTATTTACCATGATATATGATTGTAGAAGGGAAAAAGGAAGAGAAAATTCATTGGACAAAAGCTCGCCAATTGATTTTGGTTTCCGAACTCGAGTGGAGGAATCCTCCATTTTTGGCCCATCATTCCCTCCATGCTCCCGGTCATTTCATTGGTTATTTTTTTTTTTTTTTTTTTTTTAGAAAAAAAGCGTTGCATGATGATGATAATCAATACGTCCATCCAATTCACCTTGTCAGAAAGAAAGATGTTCTATTCCGTACAGCCAAGTGAATTAAAAAAAAAAAAGAGCCACTAACAAATTTTATGGTTTAATGCGTCATTTTCAGTGGTAAATGTACTAATAAAAAAGATAGATGATCAAAATAGAAGTTGAAGATTTCTTTTTAGGATGACATAAGGTGTTAGATGACTTTTTCTTGCGATTTTTGGAAAAAAATCGATGAAATATTTTGGTATTCATTGCATATTAGGTGCCAAGGTAACAGATAAAATAGGATGAGATGATAGTAGACTGCTTTTTTTGAAGGAATGGTTGTAAATTTATTGGATGATCATTATTGAATGAGGGATGAACGAGTTGACTCTTATTTTTTTTTTTATTTTACTTTATAAATTTGGAGGTAAGGTAAAATTAATTATTAAGACAAGTGAAAGAGAATATCTTTATGTATGGCTAGCCCGAATTTGATATGATGATGATGCTTTTTGAATGAGAAGACAAAGTTTACTCCTGATAAACAAATAGGATAGATCTCTCCATTTTTACGATGGTACGATAATGGATGCATGTATGAGCGATATTTAGAGAAAGGAAATCATGTCTTTTCATCATTGTGATCATGATCCCCCAAATTAAAAGGCCGTGTCATTGCAATAAGTTCGTACCACTATGGTATCTTCACGTGCTTGGAACAAAGCACGCATTGGGCACACTATTTTTGAATTTTAGAATGGATTGCTCGATTCAAAGTGTTATTTTTTTTTATTATTGATCAGTGAACAATTTCAAATACGATACAAGTTTCGAGTTTAATCTTGAGTGGATGATAATAGGGTACAAGATAAATTTATCGATAAAGGATATTGAAATATACCGAAAAGTTAGACAAGCCATTATAAATGAAGAAACAAAAACACAAGATATCTAAAATAAATATTAGGTGATCTCCACTCAGTTTTCCTATTGGGGGATAAACAAATACAGTTATATATAATACTCTTTATGATTTGCTCTCACAGTAAAACAAAAAGTTTGATGATTTAAAAAAAAAATGTCTACCATTGAAAGTAAGAGATATTTCCGATTCAGCATTATAACTTTGTAACTGAAACACGAATTTCCAGTTGTCGTTGTACAGACAAAAAGAGGATTAGGAAGGGGTCAGTGTCTGATTTGTAGTGTTTTTCTTATGTATAATTTTGCCCCAGTCATTCCCCTTCTCCCCCACACATCAAAAAATAAAATACTGACTGAATTGAAAATCCGTTGATTTTTGGCTCTTTTCTTCCCTTTTTTTTTTTTTTTCTTTTCTTTTCTTTTGAAAGGTTCCCCTTTCTTTTGATCCTTCATGACAAGTAAAACGGAAAAACAACTTAACCAATTGATTGATGTTTATCAACACCAAGATCATACCAAAATAACTTGTTCCTCTGCAGAACACCGGAATGTTGTGTAAGTATTCATCTTAAAAAAAAAAGGGATGCATACTTGGGATTATTTATATTATATTTTTATTACAACTATATTACATAGTGAACGTGAACCTCGTCGACTTCGTGAGGATCCTGTTGCGTTTATGATGAATCTTGGACTTTATTACCAAGGCACAGTAAGTTTTGCCTATATCATTACTGATCACCACTGACTTTTATTATTATTATTAAGGGTTGGCGTGGTTACAAGTCGTATATTGGAAATAAGGTGTTTTATCCTGAATTTTCTACTCGAATGAAAGCTATGGTGTTATCAAGCAAACGAGGTAATTGTAGTTCAAAAATGTCAGAATTAAAGTTCATCAACTTTTTTTTTTTTGTTATAGTGCAAGAAATCATTGATGAATTAGCCAATAGACAATCTGAACGACTTCAACTGACTCAAAATCCCAGCAAAATGGCCAAATTATCTGATGAACAGAGATCAAAATTATTGCACAAACAACGCAAAGCATTACGTCGAGAATTGGAGGCTGTTGCCAAGGGAATTGCTGAAAAATGTGTAGCCAAATTAGATGATATTCGATTTATCCGGTAAAAAAAAGAGTTCGAAATCCTTTCTTCAGGTGACTAATTTCTTTTGTGTATGATTAGATTCTTTGCTTTCACGGTGAATAACATCTTGGTCAGATTGTATCATCAAGGAATTCATATCAAAGAAAGCGAATGGGTTGAAGTAAATATCAATATGCAGAAAAAAAAAAAGAAAGATAATATTAACAAGAGATGTTGACTCAAATTTTATATATTAATACTAGTTGAAACGGGTTGCTTTGATTGCTCAAGAAAAGAAACAATCATTAATCTTGGTACCATCTCACAAATCTCATATTGATTATTTGGTGGTATCTTACTTGATGTTCCGTCTTGGTCTCCAAATTCCTCATATTGTAGCAGGCGATAATCTTGATTTGCCTATCGTTGGATCGGTATTAAAAAACGCAGGTGCATTCTATATCCGTCGTGAATGGGGAGATGATCTCTTGTACAAGACCATCTTGGAAGAATATACTGTCACTTTATTATCTGAAGGAAGTAAGTCAAGAAAATCAAATAAATAAATAAATAATGATATTCAATATTATTTCATCTTTTTCTTTTGATAGTGAATTTTGAATGTTTTGTGGAAGGTACTCGATCTCGTTTGGGCAAGTTACTTCAACCAAAACTTGGTATTATCAAAATTATCTTGGAAGCCATGATCAATGAACGATTTTCCGACTGTCATATCGTTCCTATTTCTATTGGTTATGATAAAATCATTGAAACTTCAAGGTACAGTGAACAAATCAATTCCTGGTTTCTTTCTCACTTTTTTTTTTTCTTATTATTTCAATAGCTATGCAAATGAACTTCTTGGCAATCCAAAAGAAAAAGAAAGCTTATGGTAAACCAAATAAAAAAAAGAAAAAAGTTGTTTATCTCATTTTTCTTTTTACATATACGCATACATTATCATCTAGGGGCATTATTACAAATACAAGACTTTTGCAATTGAAATGGGGACGTGTTGATGGTAAGAGAAACATTTTTCCGATTATGTGTAATCGAAAGAAAGGAACAAGTCTTATCTCATTTTTATAATAGTTCGCCTCGGCAAGCCGTATTCCTTACGTGGTTGGTTGGAAGATCAGTTAAAACACAGAGGGTAAACAGACAAAAAAAAAAAGATGATCGAATAACTCCAATAATATTTTCTCTGCATAGTCCGATGGATCTGACGGACAACAGTCAAAAAGCCATTTTATTGAAATCTCTTGGTTATCGAATCTTATCTGATATCGTAAGTACTATTTGAATCAGAAAAAAAGGAAAAAAAAAACTCACTTTTGATACGATCTATATAGAACAATGTATGTGTAGTGATGCCTTCAGCTTTGGTAGGAACGGTAATCTTGACATTGCGTGGACGTGGTGTTGGTCGAAGTGAATTAATTCGTCGTGTGGATTGGTTGACCCGGATCATTGCCGTTAAAGGAGGTCAAGTATCTGAATTCCATGGTATGTCTACTGGAGCTATTGTGGATCGAACGGTTGCAATTCATAAAGATTTGATTGGCGAACACAAAGGAAAGGATATTCTGGAACCTACCTTTTATGGTATCAATCCTTTTGAACTATCTTATTATCGCAACCAAGTGATCCATTTATTTGTTGAAGAAGGTAAGAAAATTAAAAAGTAAAAAAAAAAAAAATATACTTATATTATTATTTTCCATAGCTATTGTATGTGCTGCTTTGTATACAGTGATCAAGAAGGGAGGTGGCAAGGCAATGCAACGAATGAAATATGATGAAATGCTGGAAGAAATCTCCTTTTTATCAAGTCTTCTCAAGCTGGATATGATCTATAAACCTGGTGGAGTCGAAAACAATACTCAACGTACAGTTCAATGGTTAGTAGATAATCAAGTGATTGAAGTGGATCAAGAAGGTTGGGTAGGATTATCCGATGTTGAAAGGCAATGTGGTCGTGAAAATTATGGTAAAAAATAAAAATATTTTTGAAAATGGTTGGATTAATACTAATATCGTTGATTATAGACTTTTTATGCTTCTTGATTTGGCCATTTGTTGAATCTTATTGGCTGGCTGGTGTTAGTTTATTCTCTTTGGCCCCTCCTAACATTAATGGCTCTCCTGCTGAAGGTACTATTTGGGTAGAAAGCAAATTATTTGAAAAACGATCACAAGCCCTAGGTAAAACACTTTATTATCAGGGCGATTTGGTAATAGAAAAAAAAAACAGGTTTTTTTTTTTACAGAAAAACATTAACCAGTTGATCTTGTTTATGTGAATTTTTTAGAGTTATCTTGAAGCCGTCAATAAGGAAACTCTATCTAACGCAATGACTCGATTTGAAGAACAAGGTGTGATTGTGAAACGACGTCATTTTGATCGAAAACAATGGTCTGAAATCTCTTTGCATGATGATTACATTCCTCAACGTTTGAATGGGGTTCTGACACCTCGTGGACATCTTTGGGAACTGGTTGAAAGGATTGGCAAGTTTAGACGAGAAGGCAAGAATAGACGTGACAATGCTACAGGTAAACAATAGTGAAGAAGAAGTTGATGATATATATCTTTGTTTTAACTATTCTCTTTTTTTATAGTCAGTACACGGGTAATACGATTGGCAGATATCCTTGGAGAAGATAATTTACAACCATCAGCTAACCAAAAGGCATTAATGAAGAAACGAACTCAAGAGAACGCAAAACTTTGATGGATCTCTCTTTCTGAATGATACTCTTATTCTGTAGTTTAATATCTCTTATCTCTTTTTTTTTTTTTTTTTTTACTTATATTTTTATATTATATATCTTATTCTACCTTAGTTAGTGTATGTTTTTTTTTTTCATTGTATTCCCCTCCTTATTATATTTTACTTCTCTTTTTCATTATTTGAAAAATAAAAATTTGATTGAATCTTTCCCTTATCTATTTGATTATTTGATGATGAATGGGTGGTTAATAATTAAGAATAAATAATGAATGATTTTTTCACACTAAAGTCTAATTGTTTCATCTAGAAATATATATAAAAGGAAATCCTCCCCCCTGAAAGAAAGCCAACTACATTAACCTTTTTTTTTTTTTTTTTTTGATGAAAGCTCGCATATATTATGAGACTGTGCATCTCATTCAAAGTAATAATGAACCCACACCAAATGAAGTAATGTCACTTTTATTATTATTATTATTGATGATGTTGTACTCTTTAAGTGTTTTGATGATCTCCCTTTACCAAAAAAAAATATCAAACTTGATGCTCCTTGTTTTCTATCAACTCATTTTCTCCTTTTCATTAATGACATTCATCTTCTTTATTATTAAATAACAAATAAAAAAGAGAAAGAGTAACAAAAGTAAGTATTTTCAAAGACCCCTATTACTACTTTTTTTTTTCTTTCAAACGGTGAACAGACACTGCTGCATAATTTAGGGTCACACTTTTCCGACATGAGAAAAAAAAAAAAAAAACGACAGACTGGTAACCAAACTCCTTTTTTTTTTTTTTTTGTTTTTCCCTCCAATTTCTTTTCTTTCTTTTATTCTTTCTTTCTTCCTTTTTTTTTTTTTCTTTCATAATGTTTTTCCAATATGCAAAATTTCTTCGTTTCTTCACAACAGCAAGGTCAAGCTAACAATGAGGAAGAAGCATACCATACTGAAGCATTATTTTATTATTACTATTTACAACAACAACAACAACAATCAGGTTCACTACCATTACTACTACCAAATGACATGAAAGCAGAAGTAGCAACGACAATTCCAATACCCACAATGACAACTTCACAAACTGAATCTTTTATACCCACAATTTTATCACCAGTTTCTTTACATTCTTCTAATAGTCCTTATATTAAGCAGCAATCATCCTTTCTTTTCGATAATAATAATCCCTTTCAGCCACCTCAACTTTCACAACAACAACAACAACAACAACAGCAACAATCTCAAGTTTTTACACCTAATCATCTCCTGTCTCTTTCACCACCAACTGCAACAACGACTCAGGTTTTCCCAAAAACGTTGTTTGGATTGTCAACGCCACCTTTTTTCGATACACTGGAAAATGATCAGGATTTTGATCATTCTACTGGGGACAACGATGACGAAATGATCAACTGTATACAATCAAACAACAATAACAGCAACGATTATCCTAACCATACCATCAATCTCGAAGTGAAGTCATTTTCGGATCTACAGAAAGCACTTGGATTATTATTAGAATCTGACAATCGTTCTATAGGCCAGCAACATACGCGACGAAGACGAGGACGACCAAGGCGACGAAAAAAGGAAGAAGAAGAAAAAAAGGCTTTATTGATGCAAGAAGAATGGGAACGACAACAACGGCAACAAAAAGAAAAGCAACTTCCAGCATCAATACGTAATACGGTAGCATCAACCATGTTCCTGGATACTTTGATGGACAAGGCACAAAAACATTGGTGTTGTATTGGATTCAAGGTGGCTCCTGTTACTTTGGATGTTATTAGACATTGGCAGCAAGCTCCAGTGTCGATTATCTACTGTGTGGCTTCGATTGCTTTGGTGACATTTATGGATCACAATGCTACTCAAGGTTATGTTCGAGATGCAGCCATGGAATTTTATCAACACGCACGACAAAAACTGGACGATATTGTCTTTGATGATGAAAAAGACGATAAATGTATTTATGATGACATGGATGACCTGGATTCTCATCAACAACAACAACAAGCCATGACTATTCAATCTTATTTTTGTCTCAGCTATACATCCAATTTACTTCGACTTTATGAACAACAACGTACGTGGGGTGGTCTAGCGTCTGTTGCAATACAATTACGAACCAAGGATGCTGAAACTGGCTGTCGTCCAATGGATCAAGCTATTCTACTGTGTTGGTGTCGATGGTACTATATAGATGCGTGGATGTCATTAACACTTCATCGTGAATGCCTTTTGCCAGATACTCCTCCTCCTTTTATTATGGACACCATTCAATCAGCTCGTATCGATCTTTACCATGAACACAATGATCTGTATCAATTCGCCATACTGACTCGATTCATGCGTCGATATATTCAAATGATGCACTCTGGAAATATTGAAGATTCTGTCACTCAAGGTCCTTCTACTGCTTATCATGCTATCACCAAAGAACTCAAACAATGGTATGAAGGCGTCCAAACTCAACAACAGCAACAACGATTGGATTATGAAAATACGAACAACAATAACAACAACAATATCAACAACAGTGCGGTTCATTTACATTTATGTTACAACGCCATGCGCCTCGTAGTACTCTATCAATTTCTTCACCCTGACAGATTACAAGCGGATGACTTGACGGTGATGGATGGATTGGAAACCAACCTGGCCTTACTTCAAGCACTTCAACAACTGGCATCCCAGGGGTGTGATCAAAGCACGTACCACCATATGTTTTTCGCCATCCACAACACGGCCTCACGGATCTATCAATATCACACAAGACACCGAACCAGTAAATGGCAAAAATTGGCAAGACAACAACTCCAGATGAATCTTTTGCTTTTGAAAGGAACACCAGCTTATGCCAACGATGTATTCAAAATGCGAATGTATGCGGAAAAAATAGAACAACAATTTAATCATATGGACCTATATACACCAAATTATTATCGCTCGACATTATCTTCCATAGATCATCATTTATCATCATCATCAATGGAGAATACAACACAATCAACCGACACAACTACTATCCCTACGATCACGCCTTCACGTCCTGTTCTTCCCGGCATGCATGTTTACAAGTTACACACATCCGCTACGATCAAGAAACCAAGAAAACAGACTAAACTTAAACAACCCACCAAACGCTGACCAATGAAAGTATGATGGTTTCTATTGTAGTCATAGGTACATTACTTTTTTATTTATTTATATACTTTAGTTTAGTTTATCCATAATAAAGAAAAAGGATTCTTCTACTTTTGTTTTTTTTTTTTTTAGGGAGTAATCAGGGGGGGGGGAGATTGGAAAGAATGACAGATGTTGGAACATCAAGGAGAACTTTGGGGGGGATGAACGTTCTTGTTTTTCTGCTGATAGGGTGGGAAAAAAAAAAAGGAAGAGAATGACAAGTGACATTGACAATCAAGATAGAATCATAAGGATAAATCAAAGTATGATTCAAAAAAAAAAAAAAAAAAAAACTTTATTGAAAGGAATGTATTGGTAATGTATATATAAAAACTATAAATGATGGTACACTATAAAAAAAAAAAAAAAAAAAAAAAAAAAAAAAAAAAAAACTATACAAAGAAACATATGGAACAAAAAAAAAAAAAAAAAAAAAAAAAAAAAAAGGAGTGGGAAACAAAGGGAAAAAAAAAGAGTGGAATGGTAAATAGTATAAACAAAGAAAAAAAAAGAATGTATATGCGTGAGTATATGTATATATGTATATGTTGGAAATGGTGAGAGAAATGAGTGTGTGTGAGAGTTTCTCTTTTTTTTTTTTGTTGTAAAATAACAAAGAATGACTATGTATAAAAAAAAAAAGGAGAGGAAGAGACATAAAAAAAAAAAAAACGAAGGGAATGGACGATGAAGATAATGACATTGATAAGAATTCATAACCAATAAAAAAAAAAAAGGAGAGACCATTCAATGAATACAACGTAAAGTCACCTTTTCAAGCGTATCCCAATTTTCCATTGCTTTTGCCCAATGACGTTCTTGAGAGATCAGAGTAACAGAAGGAGAAGAAGATAAGGATGATGATTGTTGATCCAAGGAGAGTTCGGAAGAGGAAGAAGTGCGCGTATTTTCATTGTATAACAAGACAAACTGATCAGCTAAAGGTTTCATGGAAGAATCCAACATGGTAGAAAACTTATCATGAAGTCGTGTACGTAAGGCTGCCAAGGACATGGAACGAGGAATTTGAATCACCACGATATTATCAACATCATAAATCACCTTGAGTTTCATAGTACGCACACTGGATGAAGTACCTAGTGGTTGAGATGGATTGCTACTTTGACTTGTTCTTGTACTGCTACGTCGACGATCACTAGGAGGAACATGTTGTTGTTGTTGATGATGATGTGTGGATCCGGTACTGGAAAGACTATGACTACTTGTGGTGCTACTACTACAACTAATAAGACCAGGTACGGTGGATGTCGAAGGCATAATCATATCTTCCAAGATAAAAGGAGCTGATGATGATTTTGTTTTGGTAAGATGATGAAGATTAGTAGTAGAAGAAGACCATGGTAAACGATGAGCAGCTTGAGAACAAAATGAGGACAAACTATTGGAAGAAGGAGATCGACCACGGAAGGTTTTGAATTTAGAAGACCAAGTAGTAGGGGGAGGATCCATGGAATAAGGATCATCAAAAAAGGAGTAATCACCAACAATGGATTGACAAGTAGGATTGAAGATGGCTTGTTGTCGCACCAGGTTTTGTTTATCACGCAACACTTGTTGTTCGGTATCCCCTTTTTGCAAACCAAAGAATTCCAAAACAATCAAGGTTTGAGTGATAGCGGCTGGTAATCGGAAGAGAGCTTGTACAAATCGGTCCAATTCGGCACGTCGTTGACCATTGGGTTGTTTCTTGTTTAATAGACCTTGTGGTTTGAGTTTGGGTAAATCATATGAATAATAGGATGGCTGCATAGTTCGTGATCCCGCACGTTCATTGCAGTGATTGTTGGATAAACATGGAAAAGCATCATAAAGTCGTTGACAGAATTGAACACAATCATCATATCGTCGAGCTATGGTATAAGGATGTCGTTGTGGATGGGATGGTAGATGATTGAATTGTTGAGGATCCACATGAATGATAAACCACATTTTTCCTTGTCTTTTTTCATAGGAAACAACACTAGCTTGACGAATCAATGGTGCTAGTTTGATACCTGGTGTTGTTGATTTATGATGACTAGCTGTTGTTGTTGTTGTTGTTGATGATGATGATGATGATGATGGTGATGATGATGATAATTTAAAATGATGTGGTTGTAATATAGAGGTAGTCATTTTTGAAAATATAATAAAACAAGAAAAAGAAAAAAAAAAAGTGAAAGAAATCAAGAAGAGAAATTAAATAATGGAAAACCAACAAAAATATTGATTTTATAAACCGATGTGGGAAGCTATCTTAAAAAGGCAACCCTTTTTTTAAAAGGAGCTGCCTTTTTGGGTACTTGTCAATTTTATGTGATTCCCCTTGCTCTCTATCTCTCTCTTTCTCCCCTGAGTCTCCTTGATTCAGTCCCAGTCTGCCTTTTTTTTTTTTTTTTTCTTTCTTTAAGGCCATACTTTTTTGTTTTTTTTTCTTTATCAGTGTACTCACTTTTTTTTTTCCCTTTATACCGTCACTCCTCATTTTCGATCAATTAGCATTCCCGATGATAACAACAAAATAAATCTCCTTTTCTGTGACTTTTTTATTTCATTTTCTAGGTTGGTTAAATGTGTCCGCGTGTATATGTGTTTGTGCGTTTGTGTATATATATATTTGTGTATATGTTTATGTTTTTGTGTCTGAATTCTACGCAGGTACACCTACTAAAGACAGATTTACTCTCCGTATTTTTCTTTCATTTCTTTTCTAACGCATATTCCCCCTTAATTTCTTTCTCTCATCAATCAATAAATGAATCCAATAAACACATTTAAGAAAAAAAACATCCGTTCTTTCATTTTACTTTTGAATGGAATTTTACCTTTTTTTCCCAATAAGGATAAAAAAAGAATGATGTCCAGTAATGGATTGATAGTCACGATGATACCTATGATGATGATGATGATGATTGATGTCTATAATGAATGATTAATGACTGCTTATTGTGGATGATGTTGATGATAATCATTGATGAATGAACTACATGACATTTATTCTCGGGAGAAAGAAACAAAAAAAAAAAAAAAAGAAAGGAGGAGATGAAAAAAATGCGATGACAGCGTGCTAGTTGTCGTCAATGCATAAACATCAAAAAAAATATATGGGGAATAAGGTGTAACAATCAGAAAACTGATAATTTCATAGTCCGAGTGAGACTTTAGGCTTTGTGTTTGTGGCTCAGGTCAAAAAAAAAAAAAAAGACTAAGAAATAAAATTTGTTCTTTCTTTTCTTTATTCTTTTCTTTCTTTCTTTATTCACCTTCTTTTTAAAAAAAAAGTTTTACTTTTCTATTCATCATGACTACTAATAATAACAAGGATTATCAAGTCAAGGTATTAAATTAAAAAAAAAAAGAAAAGAATCTAAAAGATAGAAAAGATATAATTTATTGGGAAAGGTTATTCTATTTATATCTGACATTGCATAACAAAACTGACGGATGCTTTTTATATCATCTTAGGGTGTCTTTAACAAGATGTAAGAGAATAAATAAATAAATAAGTAAAAAGTATCTAATGTTACTTTTGACTCACCTGTCATATTTTTTTTTAAAAAAAAAAAATCATATCGAAACAGGAAGCAAGCTGTTCATTATTATAATGAGATGGAATCCAAAGTTTTGCAAGCTACAAATATGGATGCATGGGGTGCTCCTTCTTCTCTTATGCGAAGTCTTGCTCAAGGTACTATGGAATCGTAAGTTCATCATCTTGCATAATCATGTTTTTTTTTTCTCTCTCTTTTCTGAATAACTTGTTTTTTTTTTTCCTTTTAGTGAAAAGTTGAATATTATCATGCCGGCTTTATATCGCAGATTAACAGTGAAGGAATCAAAACAATGGTTACAAGTTTACAAAGTAAGAAGAAAAAGGGAAAAGTTTTTTTTGGGATTAACTAAAATTAGTAACTCGGCTTTGATGCAACTTCTTTTTCTTTTTCTTCTTTTTTTTTATTTTGATACTTATAGGGTTTGGTGTTGTTGGAATATTTACTGAAGTACGGTGATGATCAAGTCCTTAGTTATGCACAATCCCATCAAGACGTTTTGAATTCTTTAAAGACTTTTGAATATATCGACGAAAAGGGACAAGATAAAGGTGTGAATGGTATGTTTCATCCTAAAGAAAAAAAGAACAAGTGGCTCGGATGAGTAAAACTCAAAACATAATATGGTGTAACCTGACTACGATATACTGATGGTTTGTTTCTTTCTGATATTTTTAGTTCGTATTCGATCCAAAACAGTAGATGATTTGGTCCATGATCCTGAAGAAATCAATCGTATTCGACAAAATGGTCGACTTTCTCAAGATCGATTTATTGGTGTTAGCTCGGATGATATGATTGACAACAACTCGGCTATGGTATCGAAAAAGGAAGATCAAGAAAAGGAAGAAAAGGCTATAAATTCCAGTCCTATCCCACCTCATTCTAAGCAATTACCTCCTGTCAATCAACAACAACAACAACAACAACAACAACAACAACCATCTTCCAAAGAACAACAGACTAATGACTTGTCAACTGACGATATGGATAATGTTATCTTTAGAGAAGATTTTCTTGATCCTTTGGAAGAAGATAATCATGCTATGGTATTCTCTCCTACTGGTGGAAAAGGAAAGATGGCTCCCCTTACTTCGGATGCTTTGGATGATGATCATGATGAACAGCAACACAAATCAACTCAGGACACCAAAAAGAAATCTCGTTTTAGCTTTGCAGGTGTATTCTCAAGAACAAAACGACAATCTACTGTTACTGATGCATCCTCAGAAGGCAAATCGCAACATGATGACTCTGTTACACCATCAGATGTGACCATATCTGCCTGTGAAAAAGAAATTCAACAAACCAAATCCAATGTGGATAATGATGAAGACGGCTGGGGTGACTTTACTTCTCCTAATCAAGGCAAGTGATATATACAAAAAAAAGGAATAACAGTTAGTGACCTTTTTCTCATACACCTTCCCTTTTTTTTCCTTTTTTTTTTTTTTTTTTTTTAGATGAACTTGTAGATCAGCCTGAAGCTAACGTTACAGGAGGTACTTCTAATCATCAAGAGGAACTTTCAATTGGACAACAACAGCAACAACAAGAGGATGACCTTCTCGATTTGGATTGTGATGTGATGACAGCTTCCACAGCAAGAACAAGTGTAGACAATAATGAATTGTTACTACTGGATTTGGATACGCCATCTTTCAACACTTTCACTATTCAGGACAACAGTAACAATATCATCACGCAGCAATACAACCAATACCCTGTCACCAATATCATGACTTCAAATACAATTCAAAAAAGTCATTATGGATATCAATCATCATATCCATCCCAACCTACCATACCCACATTGATGAGAAACAATAGCAATAGTTACGCCTCCGACATTTCTTCACCTACTATGAATACACCAACTTCTCCTTTTGATTTTGATCCTTTAGGATTAGGCAAGAATGAATATCCACAAAGCAATATCAATCAAAACAAGATGACAACTACTAGTCCACAACAACTTACTCAACCTTGGTACCCATGGATGGCAACAAACAATACCTCTTATCAATATCATCAGGAACAAAAACCTCTTACGGTGGATGATTTATTATCTTGAAATCACTCTGTCTTTTCTTTTTTTTTTTTTTTTTTTTTTTACCCCATTAGCCATATCTATTTATTTTCTTTATCTTTTTATACTTTTGTTTCATATCTGTTTCTATATGTGTTTATATATATTCCTATATTTATCTCAATCCATCAATAAAATACCTGCTTTTGTCATATGTCCAATTATTGAATGTGTATTTTGAAAATACTAGAAGATTGAGCCAATCAAAGACTTACTTGATCCACCAGCGCCATTTGAAAAGTAGCTTCTCCCCTTTTTACCCTCAAAATTTCATTTGTCTTAAAAGTTTTGATATACCGTTTTTCTTTCTTTCTCTTCTTCTTTTTTTTTTCTTACTTATTATTTATTCTCCTTATGTCAGGTGTTCAAGTTTATTATGGTACTCTGGTTCATTCCCTCTCCTTGAAAGAATTGGAAACTATTGAACAAGGTGTGATTGTAGTAGAAGACGGTATAATCACTCAAGTTGAACGCAATGTTAAGGACGTTGATACCTTTTTAACCACGTTGAACTTGACTAACTACAAGGTAAGAACAAATATATATATAATAGAAGGGAAATTTATATACGTGTTGATTATCTGAAAAAAAAACAAAGGCGACCTCATACATTATTTTTTTTTTTTTTTGGTGACTTAGTTACATCGTCTAGAACCGAAACAATTCCTTTTGCCAGGTTTGGTAGATACTCATGCTGTAAGTTCAATCTTTTCTCTCTCTTTCTCTCTCTCTCACTTGACATGAAGAATAAGTTAAATTAACCTATCTTGAATTTTATAATAGCATGCTCCGCAATACGTGTTTTCAGGATCAGGAATGGACTTACAGTTATTGGAATGGCTCAACAAACATGTATTCCCTTGTGAATCTGCTTTCAAGAATGTCCAACATGCAGAAGAAGCATATACCAAGGTTGTTTCTCGCTTTTTGAAGAATGGTACGACAACATGTAGCTGGTTTGCCACTATTCATCTGGCGGCGTGTCAAAGGTTAGTGGATGTGGTGGAAAAGCTTGGACAACGGGCATATATAGGCAAAGTCAACATGGATCAGAATAGTCCTGATTACTATATTGAAACGACACAAGATAGTTTGGATAATACCAAGGCATTTATTGAATACACTCAGCAAAAGAAAAACAAGTTGGTGACACCAGTGATTACGCCACGATTCGCAATTGCATGCTCTTCAACTTTGATGAAAGGTCTCAGTGCTCTGGCCAAGGAATACAACGTACCCATACAAACACATTTGTGCGAGAATCCCGATGAAATCAGTTTTACGCGCTCTCTGTTTCCTGATTCATCTTCTTACACCGCCATCTATGATGATCATGGACTTCTAGGCCCCAACTCATATATGGCTCATTGTGTACATATGACCGACAGCGAAATTGACCTTCTTGCTTCAACGAATACGGGGATTGCTCATTGTGCCAACTCCAATTTTAGTTTACACAGTGGATTATGTGATGTGCGACGGTTTATGTCTAAGGGAGTGAAGGTAGGTCTTGGTACAGATGTTGCTGGTGGATTTGCACCTTCTATCATCGATGCTATGCGGTCCAGCTTCTTTGCCTCCAAGACAATCAAGTTTTTACAACGTGATCAGTATAACAACAACAACTATGACTATTTACAGCCTGCTGAATTAATCTACTTGGCTACTTTGGGTGGTGCTCATGTCCTGGGTTTACAAGATACTATTGGTAGTTTTGTCCCTGGAAAAGCATTTGATGCTCTTTGGATTGATCCTGCTACATCACAAGGTACCGTCGATCTTATGGGCCAAGAAGATTTATCACAAATCGTGGAGAAGTTCTTGTATACTGGTTCCGATCGCAATATTTTACATGTATATGTTAATGGTCGACGTGTCTCTGGTTCTGCTTGACGATAATGGTGTTTTTTTTTTTTTTAGTGATTCGATTATATTATTATTATTATTATTATTATTGAATTTATTAGATGCTCTTTGATTAACATAGATTATAGATGTCTTCATTAGAGTTTTGTTTATATTATATTGTTTTTGTTTTTATTGATGAAAAGTCAAATAAAGTAGTGCACTCTGTTTATTTATTTATTTTTTCTTTCTATCTTATCTTTTGAAGCTTTGATGGACTCTTTTTTTTTATCAGATGAGTTAAAAAAAGTCAATTTGGTAGATTTAAGTGAAATATGCAGAATATTTTCTGGATGATGAATCAGTCATAAGAACAAATGTCATTGCTTTTTTGTTTTTTGTTTTTTTTTTTTCTACTTTGTTTCGAGGTAGTCAGGGCTTATAATGACTGATCAGGCACAGAACTCTGTCTTCATGTCAGATGCTTTTTTTTTTTTTTGAAAATGCTTTGAAATTGAATCTCCACCATTTCTACTTTTTTTTTCCACATTATTTTTTTTTTCTTCTTCTTACCACGGAAAGTAAGACTTTTTTTTTTATTATCATTATTACCCTGACGATATCATGGAACTTGAAGAAGATCATATCGAAGATACCCACTCACCACTTGCTATTCATTTCCGATTATTATACAACTGGACTCAAGGACTAGACCAAGATCCATTACTTCAACATAAAGTGAACATGTATGCAGCCTTCCAAGTCGAATTGAATCAGATACCCATTTATCGTCTTGTAGATCACTCTTTAGCCATGATAGGTTTACAAACCAATCAACAGTTTACCGGTGAACACTGGGTGTCAGCAGGCCAACTATGGAAAGCATGTGGATTAACTTTAACAGAGGGACTCTTTCTTTTCCAACTATCAAACGCACAATATCAACTGGATTTCCTGGAACCACCTCATCATCGATCGTTTCCTTTTCAAGATGTATGGGTCACATTGACAATGGCACGATCCATGGCAACTACTCTAGGTGTCATGTCCTCCTTGGCCTGGTTTCTCGATGTTCCCACCTTATCGCAAGTATACTCCTCCGACCATCCAGAAAGACAAGAAATGGTACACAACTGGCGTATCATTGGTATTCCGTATACATCTTACTCGACACGTGCTTTGTTGGATTATCCGTTGAAAGGACCTGAAGAATTGGATATCATGACACTACACCATCATCATCAACAACAACAACAATATGAACAACAAAAGCCTTGGCGTACAACAACACAAACTACTCGGTATCAGTATCAACCAGGGATTGTGATGAAGGATCGTGCTGAAACAGGATTGGTGCGTTGGCAAGTCTGGGCATATGAACATTTCTTGACTTCAAATAAAGATGATGCTTTGGGTAACTATCACCATTACAATGACGGAAAAATATCAACGACTGGGAAATCAAGTAGTCAAAGCGTAGGTAGTGGAAATCAACAACGAAGGCGACCATGGAAATCTGATTACGGGAACAAAGATCGACGACGATGGCGGAACAGCATAGGCAATGATGCGATAATGATGGATGATGAAGATGATACGCTTTTTGATAACAAGGGGACTACAACAACAAAACAGATAAATGATAGTGACGACGACAATCTATTACCAACAAATGCTGTATGGGACGTTCTTCAAGGATTACTCTGTGATGTTCAATCATTGAAACGGCTACAAGAGCAACGTCAACAACATCATATGGATGACAATACAACAACTACGGCCGAACAATCACTCCGTGGATCACGTTTGTTCTCTGACAGTATGATGATTGGAAACATGCCTTTGAAATCAGACTTTTTACACCAATCAGCTTCATTACAACATATCTATCTGTCTGTGATGATGGAGAAAATCTATAATGCAATGGATCAATTATATACAACAACAAGAAAATCATCCCAAGGTGACTTGGTAATACCATCATCAGCACCTATAGCAACGACGACTTTACAACGACCAACAACAACAAGTGTTTCTACAACAACTGTGAGCGATCGGACAAACAACAACCAACGACTCATCCCACAACATACAAGTCAATTAGATCCTCATATGATGCTACATGATCGAATGGATCTACTGGAACAAGAACTGTATAGAGTAAAAAAGAAAGCCAAGAAGAAGATGGATGAAGCCGATTTGAAATGGATGGAGTTACAACACCAATGGATTACACTGGACAATTGGAAACGTGCCTTGGAAACTCGTCGGAAAACGGAACGTGCTTGGATGTTGTTGATTATTCTTTTACTTTGTTTTGTACTTTGGATATTTCTCTACTAGTTAGTTTTTTTTTTTTTTCTTTAATCAATAAAAAACAGTGTGATTGGTCTATTTGTTTAATTTAGGTTCAATGGTCTTTGGATGGTTGATTTTATCAGTTCAACATTAAAAAAAAAAAAAAAAAGGTTATTATTGGAAGATAATGAACTGGGTGAGCGTTATGTGATGATGATGGATCTTTCTAAACTATAGTGCGTACCGGCATGTGTGTCAATAAGTTTATTGTTTTGTTGTCATTTTTCTCCTTGCAGCAGTGCTTTTGTTCATTGTAATAGAAAGTATATAAAGGATTTTATAACTGATCAAGCTATTCTCTTTTTTCTTTTTTAGATTATTATATTCATACGCTTTATATATATATTTTATTCTGGAGCATGATCTACCATTGCATCCATCGATTACTCCTACTGATTGTAGTGATGACAAATGTTTATGCTGTCACTGTGTCCCAAAAGTCATCAACAACTATGAACGCTACTGATCACGCTACCATCACTACCAATATCACTCTGATTGCTACTGTTACTACGGATGGTCCTTCTAGTGAGCAGCAACAAGTTACTGCTACATCTATTCCAACTTCATCAATGAGTCAGACCAGTGATGACATGGATCATTATACATGCTTGCTCCCTATGCAACCTTGCGTAGAACATCATCATTGTTGTTCTGGTTCCTGCCATACATTTCCTGAACCTCGAAGTGATGGCAACTTTACTGCTTGCCTTTGAAATAGAGAAACATTGAATCATCCAAAAAAAAAAAAAAAAAAAAAAGAAGTATATTTGTAATAAAGAAAATAATCATCTCATTTTTTACAAATTCAAGAGGAATATGATATTGAAAGAACATTTTTAAAACAATTGATTACGATCTTGTATTGAAAATATAATTCTATTATAAAAGAAAGAGAATATGATATGTGGAAAGCATACAGTACCCAAAATGGAGAATGAAACCCTTTTTGGCCAAAGAAAAGAAAAATAAAAAAAAATAAAAAAGCTGTGCTTAAATTTTTTTTTTTTTTTTGAAAGTATTTTGTGGGTCAATTTTCTAATCTTTTTTGTTTCTTTATCTTACTTTATTTTCTATATATATATAAACTTCTTATGTTACACGCTATTGCTCTATATGACTGTGTAGCTGATGACGAAGGGGAACTTACTTTTTCTGAAGGAACAAGATTTGTGGATGTAGTAGATTCTAATGAAGGTGGTTGGCTAGAAGGTCGAATTGAAGGTACCTCTCAACGTGGACTTTTTCCCAACAATTATGTCGATGTCTTTACAGTCCCTTCTTCTTCTTCTTCTTCTTCTCCTCCTCCTCCTCCTCCTTCTTCTTCTTCTTCTTCTGTAGCGGCAAAACCTATTCCGAAAGTATCTAATTCTGAAGCTAGTCAAAGTAACAGTGTTTCTCCTCCAAGTTCTAGTATCTCTTCTTCTTGGTCTGTTATTCCCAATGCTCCTGCTACTACTGCTATTTCTTCTAATACCAACTCAAATGCAAAATTAGACAACAATAATCAATCGAAATCTGGACAAGTAGATGCTTTTGACGCGGCCATGTATACAACACCATCCTCGAAATACAGTGATATTACTTCGACTATTATGAACAAACGAACAGTATCAAGATCCAACATGACCCCAACGACATTTGCAACTACTTTGGAAACTGTGAAGCCATCCACCAATTATTCCAATACACACTCATCACCAAAATTATCCGAGAAGAAAAATGATCTTGTCTTTCCTACTCTCCGACCAGTACAACAACATTCACCATATACTAGGATACGGTCATTCTCCGCATCATCTTCAACTTTGTCACCAGTTCAATCGCCTCTCGACTTGAATGATTCAGCAAATACAACAGTCAAACCCTCATTCATACGACAAGAAACATCTAAATTCCAATCAGATTCATCTTGGCGTCAACAACCAGGCTCAGCATTTCCCACTCTTCGACAAACCCCAGTAGGCAACAACAACAACAAAACGGAAACGAACAATGATGAAGATGATATAGAAGAAGAAGATGGTTATCAACTTATCAAGCCATCCCAAATACGTAAGCGCCAAGTATATCAAGACAATAAAGGGAATCATGTCAACAAGTCACCAACGATACCAATAACAACACTATCATCGTCATCATCTTCTCGGAAACCATCATCAACAGCTAGTACACGTTTGGATGCTCTACCATCGACAAATACATTGGCTAGACTTCCATCTCGACCTGTATCTACTGCGAACCGACGATCGAAATCAAAATCTTCCTTTTCGCCAAGTTCAACAAGTAGCAACACCAATGATCCTGTTATCGTTAACAAACCAGCACCCACTTTGAAGCCAAAACCAGCGCAATTGAACAATATATCAAAACCATCCGTGGATTCAACATCGAAACCTATCATCACCACCAAAGAACGAAGTGCATCCAATCCTCCTCCAATCCAGCCAAAAACTTTTATGAATGAAGTATATCGCCCAAAGAAACCAAATTTGGATACCAAACCAGCATTACAAATCCCAGTACGACCAGCAGTGATACTATCCAAACCTATTAATCATATGGACAATACCATGGCAACAGCAACATCATCATCATCATCATCATCACCATCATCATCTTCAACATCAGCAGTGATAGGAAGGAAAGGAACAGCAGGAGGAGTGGCATTACCAGGATTGGGTAAAAAAGCATCAGCACCAACATTACCAGCACGACCACCAGCTGTGAACTCATTATCTTCTGCGACAACAGAGACGTTATCAACCATGGGATCGACTAAAGACGATGATACCAATCTGAAACCTTCTCAACTTTTGATGCAACGAGCAAGATCATCGACCAATCCAGGTTTTACGACAAGACCGATGATCGATATATCAACGACGACAAATACCAGTAAAACAACAAAAACTTCAACTAGATCATGTGAAGGGACACCAACCGATGGAGCTATACGATCACCACCACCACCTCCTTCATTATCAACACCCATTGTTAAACAAACGCCACCACCACCTCCTCCTCCTTCACGTATTTATAATCATCATGGCAACCATGTGGGAGGATCTCGAAGAAGATACGATGAATTATTTGATTTGATTCAAGATGATGGATATGTGGATGGAATGACAACTCGGACAATCTGGAGCAAAAGTCGACTCTCTAACGACATTCTTGCAGAGATTTGGCAACATTGTGATCAGCAAAAATCAGGGTTATTAGATAGACAACGATTTATTGATGGGATGACTCGTATTGATGCTTATTTGATGAAAAACACCCTTGCTTCGTCGGCTACTACTTCTCCTCAGACAACACCTTCTTGAACTTTTGGATTATATCATCATTAATAGTAGTACAAGTAGTTAGTTTTTTTTTTTTTTTTTTTTTTTTTTTTTATTATTATTATTATTATTCTTTTTTTTTTTTTTTGTATATGTGATACAACAAATAAAACTTGGGACGTTTGTACATGATGCCAAAAGACATATAATATATTCAAATGGAAGAAGAATTTGATAATAAAGGAAAAATAAAATATTTATTTATAAAAAAAAAAATCATGAGAGTAATAAAAGAGTATCATCATAAGATGATGGAATGAACTATATATCTAATGTCGATGGATACTACGTAAAGAATAGGACCACTGGATCAATCTATTGAAGGTTGCTTCTAATCGTTCCGGCGAATAGGGTCCATCCATGGAATCAAAAATGGGTCGTTCCTTCAACACTCGTTCGCTCCATGCTTGATGTCGTTCACACACATGTGCTGTATTGATAGTAGGAGGCATCCAAGGAGTTTCCTGCACCAATTTCTCCACACGGTCCACAAAATGTTCTAAATCCTGAATACGTTGGTATATATTTGATTGTTCACCAGTTGACTTGTCTTGATCATTTTCGATATTACTAGATCGTTCTTTATCATTTTCCATTAAAATTGAAAAAAGAAGGAAAAAAAATATATGAGTGAAAAAAGTATTCATGTGGCTATCAAGATGTTGTCTTTCTATTGACCAACAACATATTTTTTTATTTTCTTTACCTTGGGAAACGTCTTGACGAAGACTAGATGGACTACACTGTTCGTGTTCCTGCTTTTGTTGAATTTGATCTTCCAGCATCTAATAATAAAAAAAAAAAAAAGAAAAGAAAAGAAACCATCAGAATCGATAAAGGAATATATCATCAAGTACATCCTAATTCTCTTTATTCTTTTTTTTTCTATATTTTTACTATGATTCTACCTGTATACGAGAATGAAAAACTTCTTCCATACGAAGACATCGAGTTTCCATTATATCCATCACAGATCTATTTGCTTTACTGTCGTTTTCGTGTTGTGATGGCACAAGAGCATGACGATCAAATAGGTCTGCAAATGATTGTTCAAGCCGTTGGCGTGTTGTCGAGGAATAATCATCAAAAAGATTCACTGAAGCTTCCTCATCCGTTGAATGGTGGCGATGAGAAGAAATTCTACTAGAGGTAGTGAGTAGAGGATTCGGTCGAGAAGAGAGAGCAGAGTTATCTACATCTGGTATTGAGGTATCTTGTAGTAATTCTTGTTCCAAATCATTGTATGGAAATGACCGGCTGGAGGAGGACGCGACAGATCTAGTTGCTGAGGTATGCTGTTGTATAGTTGGGCTCAGTATATAGGAAGGGTGATGTATCCCAGTGACATGAGATGAATTACGTGAAGAATGGCCTACGGGTGTAGTAATAGAAATGAAACAAAATAGATTAGTAACGATATATGAAGCAGCAAAAAGGGAGACAAGTAAGAGGGGAGGGGAAAACAAAAAGATGAAAAACGTGTACAAAGGAGACTTACAAACCTAGTGAAGACCGTGAACTGGAAATAGAGGACACTGTAGAAGAATCAAGTTTCTTTATAAAAGTTGGATGATTAATACTTGCAGCATAACTATCATCGTCGTCGATATCGGATATCGTCATTGAAAGAGACGGAAAAAAAAAAAAAAAAAGAGGAAAGAAAATAAGAAAAAAAAAAAAAAAAAAAACATAATATACCTTTTTCCAACGGGCTTTCAATTGAACAAATTTGACATGAATATCGATTGATTGCTGGTCCAATACACCATAAATTAAGGATCATTGATATTGTATTGGTTCATGCTAATGAAGATAGTAATAATAATCTATATAAACTGTCATATTGATGCCATTAGAATGACATTCATCGGTAAAAAAAATGATAAATACTACTTTTACTTTGTGCTTATACCATCATCCTCGTTATCATTCCCATCAGTCATTCCACTTCCAACAATGCTAAACCCATCTCATCAAGTAAAAGAAATCACAGCTTAATTCGATAGTAGCATTCCCCTATTGTTTGTAGGCAGAACTCAAAGTAGAAAAAAAAAATGTCGGTAGATAAAAAGAAAAATCATGTTCAAATCTTCCGAGCATGAAAAAGGGTTAAGTTCTTTTTTTTTTTTATATCATTTTTTTTTGTTTTCCAGAATAAGAAAAAAATGCCACTTTCATATCTTTCCAATGTCATTCATCCTCCCTCTGGTTCTTCAGAACAACCACCAGAACATCGTAATATCTATTTTTTACAACGTAGATGGGCTAATTCTTATGCTGGATGCAAATATCTAGCATTGGGTTTGAACATGATTTATATCGTAATGAATTTGAAATATCATATGATCAATGATTTATAACTCTTTTATATAATATAGATCCGTACTTTTAATAGTTTGCATGAATCTGGTACGGCAGCTGTCAACGGTAATCTTAAAAAAAAAAAAAAAAAAAAAAAAAAAAAAAAAAGATCAAAGATTAAAAAAAAATATATTTTCATCATAACAATAGCAGGTCGTCATGGAAAACAAACGCCATTGATGATTCAAGCCATCTTTCAACTTTTTATATATGCACTTATGTTGATCTGTCTTATCATGGATATTGTTGTCATTAGTACAGTAAGTTGAAAATACTATATTGAATAGAATGGATGATGATTTACCAAAAAAAAAAACTAATATAATCATATAGCGTAAATTATCCATAGCTGATTGGTTTTGGCGACCAGGTATTATTTATTTTGTACTTGCTACGAGTGACCAAAGCATCCGTTTATTAAACTATTTGACAACTACACAATATTCATTTGAGATATGTCAAGAAGAACTAGGACCATTTATTCCTCTTCCACTTGCCATCCATATATGTGAATTAAGAATCCAGCTAAATTGTATTACAGGAGGTTTACGTCTTTGTCGAGATATCTTGATTGGGGTAAAAAAAAAAAAAAATGAACAATGTGAAGCTCCGAACAGGATTTCCTTTTTAAGCTTTTTTTTTTTATTAGTGCGTCTATGTTTTCTCTGTTCATTATTATGTGACTCATCTTATCAGTGAACTAAAACTTCAAGAGAATGAGGCAGTATCAATGAATAATGTGACAACATATCATCATGATTTACAAACCACCAATCAATCTAGAAATTCCAATGAAGTACCAATGACAGAACCTTTTGTTGTAGGAGGTAGATTACCATGATCATATAATAAAACTTTACTTTTTTTCTTTTTGACCCCTTAAACTTAGCCCATATCATTTTGACGTTACCTAATTTTTAAAGTTGAAAAGGATTAAAAAAAAAAATCTATCTATTTCTTCTTATTTTTATTTTTTTTTCTCATGTTTGAGTATCACCCATCCATATCTTTTTATTATAATGAATAAATCATCATCAATACATATACAAATCAAAAAAAAAAAAAAAAAAATCTGGGGTTATGTCTTTTTTAGAAAGTGATAAATCTATTTTTTTTTTGTTCCTTTTGAAGCGGCGCGCACTCAGGGTTCCTAAGGAAAAAGCCAACCTCCCTTTTTTTTTTTCCTTTTTCTCTCTTTCTTTCTTACTCATATTCACACTCTCTCCACATTCTATATCTATTCAGTTGATCCTCAACAATCCTATTTAAACTTCCCTTCTTCTCTACGTAGAAAAAAAAAATTTAATATAATATATATACGCGCTCCCCTCTCCTTTACGTCTTTTTTTTTTTCGAGCATGAAACGAAGTTACAGTAATGAAGAAGCCCATTCTAGTGAAAAAAGACAACGATGTCCACAAACAGATCTATTGACTGCTTTAACTGAAGTACTGTCTGAAATCAGATCGACTCCTTCTACTGGTGAAATCTCTGCTGAATTGATGGAAACCTTCAAGGTGTTAATGCTACAGATCGAAGAACTTTCATCAGATGAAACTAACCTTGAAGGCAAATTAGTGAAGGATGAAACGGAACGATGTCTTGAATCTTGGTTGGATGATTTGGTGGCTCAATGTGAAGCGGATGGTGAACTGATATTCGAAATCGACGACACTGAACAACTTGATGAACATGACGAACTGGCTTTGGCATTGGTACTTCAACAAGATCAAGACAATAGTGATGACAACGATTCTATTCACCTTCACATTGTCCAAGACCATCAAGACAAGGATGAAGAACAAGAAGAAAAACAACAACAACAAGAAGATGATGATGATGATGATGATGAAGAAATTATAGTGGTGGATGACGATGATACGTTGGACACTCATCAAATTCAGGTGATGGCTTGAACAACAACAACAACAACAATAGCAAGAAATATGGGTGATCATCACTTGGGAATATCTTATATGGAAAACTTTTTTTTTTTTTTTTTTTTACTATCAAGCTGGAAAATGAACAAAACAAAACAAATGTCATTGGATCTTTTTTTTTTCTTTTTTTGGGACTATCAAGGATGGACTATTTTATGAAATGATTCATACTACATTTGCTGGATACCATTTTTACTACCTTTTTTTTTCATTTTATCTCTTTCTTTTCTTTTCTTTTCGTTTTGTTTTGTTTTTCTTATTTATTTATCGTTAGTTGTATATATTTGTATCTTTTCCACTGTTTAGTTATTTTCTTTTCCCCCCTCTTTTTTTTTTTTTATGTCTATATTGAATTCCTTGATCTACACTCACTATCTCGCACACATATACACTCTATTCTTGTTTGTTATTTTTTTTTTATGTTTTTATTTATTTATGTATTTATTCAATCGTCTATTCCAAATTAAATAAATCAATGTCAAGAAGATCGTTGTCATATATGGTTAATGATTTATTTCAAGATAAAAATGAGAGAATTTGAATGATTTATAAGCTAGATGGGAGGGTGATACGTCTTTTATGCACAAATATAAATAATATATAGAGAAAAGATAGTAAAACTAAAAAAAAAAAAAAAAAAAAAAAAGGAAGAGGGTGATAATAATAAAAATAATAATAAAATTAGAAGCTTTCTAATGTCATCTTGTTAGCCACATCAGTATTTTCCACCATGATTAAGAATTCATCAAAACTAATTTTTCCATCCATATCCTTATCAGCTTCCATGATTGTTTTGTCCACAATTTGTTGTAATTGATTATCTTTAAGATTGTTACCAACCATCATCTTGAGTACTAAAAATAGTTCCCCATTGGAAATAAATCCATCTCGATCCATATCATATACCTTGAAAGCAACTATTCAAATAATAACAAATAATTAAATCATTCTTTTTTTTTTTTTTTTTTTTTTTTTTTGGAACTTACATTCTAGTTTTTCACGTTTATTTCCTCGAGCACTAAAAGCACTCAAACCTTTGATAAATTCATGAAAATCCACATCGCCTCCACCATCTTCATCAAAAATAGCAATCATACGAGAAGCCAAAGGATTAGTAGCAATTTGAGGAATCGAAATGAATTCATCCTTGTCAATAGACCCAGAATTATCCTTGTCTAATTTCATAAATCGTTTATATAAACGCTGAATTTCTTCAGCAGAGACTTGTAAAAAAAAAATATAGATATAGAACATTAGTTTCTCTTCATGATAAAATGAATAAAGTATGACTACTTACAATTAGATGAATTTACCATATCCTCGAGATGTGACCCTGATTGACCCATAATATATATATAGTGTTGATGATAATGTACAAAAAAATAAAGAAAGAGAAAAAAAAAAAAAAAGAAAGTGAAAAAAAAAAAAAAATTGGTGGTTTCGTGTTCAAAGGCCGCATTCTTTTTTTGGAAGATATAATTCAATTTTGGTTTCAGTTCACCCCATGCCACATGTACATTAATAAAAACTGATTTGATTTGATTTATTGAAATAAAACATGAAGAAAACTATGTATATGTATATATAAAAAAAACTAATGATGGAAAAGACGCAAATTGGTATGAGCCATCACCATATCATTAGCATCAGCAGCAGCAATCACAACATCATCTTGAACAGAACCAGAAGGAGCAGCAATATACTTAACACCAGATCGACGAGCACGGAAGACATTATCAGAGAAGGGGAAGAAAGCATCAGAAGAAACAACAGAATCACTGAACTTGGCCATCCATTCCTTGCGTTCTTCAGCAGTGAGAGGTTCGGGTACAGTGTTGAAGAAAGATTCCCAAGCTTTACGTTCTTCACCTTCACCAATTTGGTTAGTAACATAAAGATCAATAGCATTGGATTTGTCGGCACGTTTGGCAGTCTTGTTAAAGTCAAAGGCAAGTACCTTGGGATGATGTCGTAACCACCAGTTATCAGCCTTGTCACCAGCAAGACGAGTACAGTGAATACGAGATTGTTGACCGGCACCTAGACCAATTACCATACCATTCTTGGCATAACATACAGAATTAGATTGAGTATATTTGAGAGCAATAGTAGCAACAATCAAATCAGTAAGAGCTTGTTTGGGTAACTATCAAAATAAAATAAAGTTATCATTAGATCCCTCTCTATCCAAAATAAATATTATATATATATATATACTTACGTCTTTATTCTTGGTAACAATATTTGAGAATAAAGAAGGTTCAATCTTGATATTGTTTCTCTTTTGTTCCAAAAACAAACCATACACTTGACGTAATTCTTGATCCATAGGAACATAGTTGGGATCCATTTGTAAAACACAATATTTACCAGCCTTCTTTTTCTTCAAAATATCAAGAGCAGCATCTTCATAAGCAGGAGCAATCACACCATCAGAAACTTCACGAGAAATGATACGAGCAGTAGCCACATCAACAGTATCAGATAAGGCAATAAAATCACCAAAAGAAGACATACGATCAGCACCACGAGCACGAGCATAAGCATTAGCCAAAGGAGTCAAAGGTTCTTTAAGATCATCCACTTGATAGACCTTCTTATCAACATCATCCAAAGGAAGACCGACAGCAGCACCAGCAGGAGATACATGCTTGAAAGAAGCTGCAGCAGCAATACCAGTGGCTTCCTTGAGTTCCTTGACCAAACCCCAAGCATTCAAAGCATCCAAAAAGTTGATATAACCAGGAGAACCAGAAAGAACAGTGACAGGTAATTTGCCTTCCTTGGTGTAGATTTGAGCAGGTTTTTGATGAGGGTTAGCACCATAACGAAGAGGCATCATTGCAACATCCTTAGAATATTGTTGACGGAAGTAGTTAGAAATGGCTTCATCATAATCAGAGGTATGATTGAATGCCTTCAAAGCAAGAGTATTGCGAGTTTCTTGACTAACTTGACCATTCTTCAATTCAGAAATCACAGTAGCATAATCAGAAGGATCAGATACAATGGATACACGAGCATGATTCTTGGCAGCAGCTCGAAGTAAAGTAACACCACCTATATTTTTTTTTTTAAAAAAAAAAAAAAAAAAAAAAAAGATAAATTAAAAACCATGATCTTTTTTTTTTATAATTTGTATAGATATATACATACCAATATCAATTTCTTCAACAGCTTGAGGAATAGTGACATCTGGCTTGGCAATAGTTTCTTTGAAGGGATACAAGTTACAAACAACAATATCAATCTTATCAATATGTTGTTCAGCAAGGTCCTTTTCATCACTTTCAATGTTTCTGGCTAAGATACCACCATGTACAGCAGGATGCAAAGTCTTGACACGTCCACCCAACATTTCAGGAGCTTTAGTAATTTCAGAAACATCACTATAAAAAAGAGAAAAGGTTTAATAATAAAGAATAATATTCATTATATAGATAAACTTACCCAATAGGGATACCAGCATTACGGACTAACTTGGCAGTACCACCTGATCCGAGAAGACGAACATTCAAAGCATGAAGTTCTTTAGCAAAGTCCAACAAGCCAGTCTTGTCATACACGGAGAGAATGGCTAAATAATAATAGATATTTAAATATATTTATTAAAAATAAATAAAACTTATTTAACTTACCAATCTTTTGAGACATATTTTATATCTTTTCGAGAAAAAAAAGTAAAAGAAAGAGAAGAGAAAAAGAAAAGTGGAGAAACAACCGTGTTTCTTTTAATCAGTTGAAGCAGCTCCGCTTTGAGTAGAAAAAAAAAAAAAGAGTCAGTGGTGACTGTCTGATCTACAAGATCTTTTTTTTTTTTTTGGAAGTCCCTGTCGTTTGAAAACCGTCATATCATCAAAAGAAAAAAAAAAGTTTTGTATATTATATTGAATAACAAAGAATTTTATTATACATAAACTAAAAAAAGAGGGAAGATATGATCATTGATTCTTTCTGTACTATAGAATAATCAGAGTGGTGGTGCATAATTTTGACTCATCAAAGAGTTCAGTCAACCATCCTATGATGGATTATCATCATGTTATTCATAGTCATATCAAATTCAATAATCAATCTTCCCCCCTTCTCTCATACTAAAAAACTACTAAAATATCTTTATAAATAACTATAAAATGAAGAAAAAAAAAATCATATATTTTAGTTTATATATAATAGATATATTATTAACAGTTTTAACTTACCAAAATAATAAAAAAAAATGTTTATTTAATAATTAAATAAAACAAAACAAACTATCACTATCAAACCATCAAAGTTCTGAAAAGAGTTAAAAAGGGAAAAAAAAAGAAACAAAAAAAAAGGGCGTATGAACACTGCTTTTATAGTTTTAACGCTAGCAAAAATTTTCTTCTATTTTACCTGTCAAGCCACTCTTATTTATGCTCACTCCGAATGAAAACTTTAAATCTCCCCCAATTTTTTCTCTTATCTTACCCGCATTGGTTCCTTTTATCTTTTTTAAAACTAAACCTTCTTCACAGGACAATGAAAGTAATAGCTCTGATAAGGTAATTATATTATATATAGATTGTATGAATACCTACCTTTTTTTTAAATTTATTTTCTAATAAATATATATATTAGTGGAGGAAAAGATAGTGCTTATAATATGATGCAATGTGTGGCTCATGGACACGACATTATAGCTTTAGCCAACTTGAAACCTCCTATTGCTTCAGGAAAAGGTTAATCATCAAGAACAATATATATATATATATATATATATATATTAATATTTTTTTCTTTTTTCTTCTTTTTATTCTCAAATAGATGAATTGGATAGTTATATGTATCAAACTGTTGGTCATGATGCTATACAGTATTATGCTGAATGTATGGATTTACCCCTTTATCGACGTGACATTATTGGTCAACCTCTTGCTCAAGAATCAGAATACAAGGTGACTGATAAAGATGAAACAGAAGATCTTCTTTATTTACTACAAGATATCATGGTAAGGAAAAGTTTATATTATATTTATATCGAAAATAATTAACATATTATCTTGATACTCTATAGAAACAACATCCTGACGCTCAAGCTGTATCAGTGGGTGCTATCATGTCAAATTATCAACGTGTACGAGTAGAACATGTGTAAGTTTCATGAATATACTTTTTTTTTTAATACTGACATGTTCATTTACTTATTTATTTATTTATTATTATGATTATTATTTGTGTCTTGATAAAACATTAGTTGTGCTCGATTAGGATTGATCTCATTGGCATATCTTTGGGAACGAAATCAAAAAGAATTATTGGCAGAGATGGTGGATGCTGGCGTCAACGCCATTCTTATCAAGGTAGCAGCTATGGGTTTGAAACCAAATATTCATCTTGGGAAAACAATTGGTCAAATGTATCCTGAACTATGTACATTGGTAATAAAAGGTTGGATGATCCAAATTAGATATTGACCTTTTTTTTTTTTTATTTATATATTATAGAATGAAAAATATGATCTTCATATTTGTGGGGAAGGTGGTGAATATGAAACTTTTACTTTGGATTGCCCTTTGTTCAAGAAACGGATTATTCTGTAAGATTCTAAAAAAAAAAAAAAAAAAAAAAAAAAAAAAAAAAAAAAAACGGATAGGAAGAAACCTGGAAAATATCAAACTTATTATTATTATTAAAATTTTATAGTGATGAAACGGAAACCATTGTTCATTCAAATGATGCCTTTGCACCTGTTGGATACCTGCGTTTGAAGAAATGCCATCTGGAAGAAAAGTCTTGACTGAATCAATCCATCAAGATCGAATGAATACAGTATGTACTATTGATGGGGATATAGTGACTAGTTTAGTATTTAGTGTAGTTGGAATATATGGATGAAATAAAAGAAATGTATTTAATTTACCTTCCATTTTTTATGAATCTACTTGCATCCACAATATATCTTATATTCATCATCAAAGAACCAGTGTTGTTAGAGTATATTATGTTGTATGATTTGTTTTTTTTTTTTTTTTTTTTTATCACAACAGTATTTTTTTTTTTTTGTTATGACATTTAGAATGAATATTGAATATTTCTTTTTATTTTTTTCAGTCGGCTTTCATTTATTTATTTATTCTTATTTTCCTTTCGAAAAAAAGAAATGATCAAACACATACTTTTTAATCTATATTACCAAATTTAGTTCTCTGATCAAATACTCAAATTTTATTGGTTGAAAAGAGATCATCCATATTTTTTTTTATTATTTCAAATTACAATCAAGTAAGTCATATAAAGACTTCACGGATCAAATAATATTCCAATTGTTATAAAAAAAAAAAAAAGAGAAAAAAAATCATTCTAGTCTCTATATACTGTAGTTATTCTCTGCACATAACTTTTATATAAATTTTATCTCTATAGTTATTCTTTTAATGTCAATTTTATATAATCGTTATGTTACATAATATTTTAGTATAAATATGCCACTTTTCTTTTTTTTTTTTTTTTTTTTCAGTTCAGTCAATTTATAATTTATTTTTTTTTTTTTTTAATAAGAAACATCCTTTTCAATTGAATTTTGTGGATTATTCATTTTGATTGGCTCAACCCCTTTTTTTCGAAGTCAGACTAAGAACTTCAATTTCTCCTACCTTCCAAATTTGGAGTTGATTTTTTTTCTACTTTACTTTTTTTTTTTTATTTTATCTCTTTTACTATACGTGTGCTTGCGTAATCAAGTACTTGTGATCATTATAAACCTTTTAAACAATCAATCATCCCATTTACTTTTTTTTATTTTGGCCATCTGAACCAAAAAATCACTTAACACACCAAATTTTCACGCGTCAGCGTTCCTGATATCTCAACGCGCTACTAAAATGAAATTTAAGCAATATGATTGGTTGATATTGAATACCATTTAAAAAAATAAAAAAAAGAAGCTCTCAGACGGGGAATTGAACCCCGGTCTCCCGCGTGACAGGCGGGGATACTTACCACTATACTATCTGAGAGTAGTTGTTTTTGAAACAAGAAAACTACATTATAAATCTCAAATTGAAATGGCGCAATATGATTGGTCAGAATAATGCCGTCCCTGTGAAACGCTATGTCTGGAAACTTATTTCATTGGTTAGAATAATGCCGCCTCGGCGAGCATACCATTTTTTTTTTTTTTACTCTTCTTCTTCTGCCCTTTTCTTTTCTTTTCTTTCCTTTTTTTTTTTTTTTTTTTTTTTTTTTTACTTTTCTTCTTCTGCCCTTTTCCTTTCTTTTCTTCCCTTTTTTTTTTTTTTTTTTTTTTTTTACTTTTCTTCTTCTGCCCTTTTCTTTTCTTCTCTTTCCTTTTTCTTTTTCCTTTTTTTCCTTTTTTTTTTTTTTTTTTTTTTTTTTTTTTTACAAAAACAAAATGTCTATTGTCAACATTGTGCGGTCTAGAAAAGAAAATTTGGCAAGTTTACTTGATAAACATTCTTCATCCAAATTTTTCTTGACTTTTGGTCCTCAAACAAAGGAAGGTACATGGGCTCTTACACAACGACAAAACAATCATCCTTCTCCCTTACGTTTATTGATACTCGATTCTTCTTTCAACCCACCCACCAGAGCTCATCATGCTTTATTGTCAAACACATTGAATCGACAACGCAAAGACTTTGACGCGGCTCTTTTACTTTTGTCATCTCGGAATGCAGATAAACAATTGAATGGAGCTTCGGTTATGCAACGTATGCAAATGATGGAAATAATAGCAAGACAAGATGAATTCAAACATTTCCCGGTATATGTTGGACTTACTTCGGAAGCGAAATTTGTGGACAAGGCAATGGAAGTACAACATTGGTATCAACAACAACATACGACGACAAGGAATGTAGACATGGAACTACACTTTATTCTTGGCTTTGATACTGTCACTCGATTGTTCGATCCAAAATATTATCATCCTCTCTCTGTACAACATGCTCTCGATCCCTTTTTTAAAAATTGTTTTCTGATATGTGCTGATAGATCAGGTAACAATGATGATGATGATGATGTTAGCAACTTTTGGAATTCTTCTCTTGTTCGCGGTTATGCGCATAGAATGACTCGTATATCTTTGGATAATCAAGATCTAACTACCATATCAAGTACATTGGCTAGACAGGCGGCAGCGACGGCAGGATTAGAACCACAAAGTCGATTGGAACTGAAACGATTTCTGGATGAAGATATTGTGAATTATATTTTGGATGAAAAATTGTATCAATAGATTGTATTATTAACGATTAGTATAACGTGTTGATTATTTGTGTATATATAATAAAATAAAAAAGTGGTTTAGAAAACGGTTTTGGCAACTGATTTTGTCTTTATGTTTGATATGTTAGTACGGTTCTAAATATGTGGAAAAGCTGGATTATAAAAAAAAAAAAGATACATGCTTGTGTTAAAAGTTTTTTTTTTTTTTTTTTCCTTTCGATTGAGGTATCCAAATCTCTTGTTAAGGATTTTTTTTGTTATTGGGTGGATGATTGATTTATAAAGAATATAGATGATAATATCAATATGATGATATTGATGATGATTGATCGTATAGCGAGCACCAGTTCTTTTATATAAAAAGAACAAAAGTAAAAATAAAAAATATAAATGTAAAACAAAAAGGAAATAGTTGTCTTGATGATTTGATCAACTGATGATGATGATCAACCAAATAACTTGAATAAAATGCTTGATGATTGCTTGATGATAAAAAAAATAAGGATAAAACTTAGGATGATTTATTCCTTAAGAGTGGCCAACATGATTTTGGTAAAAAAAAACAAACAAACCTTTTTTATTGAATAAAAAATATGAAAATTGACAATGAAAAAAAAAAAATGGATATTTATACTAAAAAAGAAAAAAGAAAAATAAAGTTGGATATTTCTCAAACACTGGAAAAAAAAAAAAAAACCAATGTTTAGAAATATGTCCAAACTTAAGATCATTTATCCATTCGTTTATAACAATATGTTTTATTTGAATTTATGGATGTATCACTTATTGTATAATCATCAGGTACAAGGCAGGGGTGTGTTGAGAGGGTAACAAAATTTCAACTCAGAATTTTGGGCAGTACAAAAGAAAGTGTTCGAGTTGTTTTTTCTATCCTTTTCTTTCCATTATTCCACACACTTTTTTTTTTTTTTTTTTTTTTTTTTTTGCATTTTCCCAACATTCACAACATATTATTTGGTATGCTATATAACCTGAAAACAATATCTCACTTGTCACCACTTCTACGGCATTCTTATAAGACCATATGCTTTCGATCAATATATACAACAAGATCATGTTATGATAACAAGAACAATGGATCACCACTCAACTCAATTGTCGATGGGATCGATGCCTTTCGATCTACTTTACTTCAAAACACACCTTTACGGCATATCACCAAACCAACTTTGGAAACAATACCTTTTACGGGCAAAGCGGATTCATGGTATTATGCGTTGCGAGAAGCTCAAGATTTGGTGAAAACGGATAGTCAAGATCGTATGATGGATCCTGTCAAACTTTTGGGTAAGGATGTATGGGAACTTAAAGGTAATATCAAGAAATTATTGGGAAGTGGACATCCATTTGTGAAGACATTGGCAAAGCACTACTTATCAGGTGATACAGAACGCATACGACCTCTTCTTGTCCTTCTGATGGCTCAAGCGAATGCTTCAATAAATGGCTCAAACATGATACTGGATGCACAACGACGACTAGCAGAAATCTCGGAAATGATTCATATCTCTTCTTTGTTACACTATGATATTTTGGATGACAATGATAATCCAGGTAATGTGATTGGTAATAAAATGGCAGTATTGGCTGGGGACTTCTTACTGGCACGAGCATCTCTGGCTTTGGCTCAATTACGAAATGCGGAATGTATTGAACTTATGGCAACGTGTATCGCCAACTTGGTAGAAGGAGAAGTGATGCAAGTCAAGAAACGCAAATTGGTGGAAAGTAGTGACAAATCAGACATGGATTACTATATGGAACAATGTTATTTGAAAAGTGCAAGTCTTATTGCCCAAAGTTGTAAATCATCAATGGTATTAGGTGGTGCTGATAAGGAAGTAGCCAAACATGCTTATGATTATGGAAAACATATGGGACTTGCGTTACAGGTAGGAAAAAAAAAAAAAAAAAGACTAATGATTAAAAATACATATATATATATTTATTACTATTAGTTGATGAATGATGTGGATACATTTGCAAAACAAGCAGCCAATGTGAACAATCCTCCAAATATCAATGCTCCTGTCTTATTTGCTGCAGAAGAAATTGAAGAATTGAAACAAATTTTAGAACGAAATTTTAGTGGTGCAGAAGATATTGAAAAGGTAATAAAATAGAGATCAAGATCAGATACTCATATTTTTATTTATTCTATTTAGACTCGAAGTTTTGTCTATCAAAGTAATGGATTGAAAAGAAGTTTGTCTCTTGCTGATACCCATGTTCAAACAGCCATCAAGGCTATCAATCATTTACCACCATCAACTGCTCAAGAAGCTTTAATCCAATTGGCAAGAAATCTTGGTCGTTAATGATGTTTTTTTTTTTATTGATGATATAGAAAAAATTTAGATTTAGTTTAGAAGTACATATGTTAATGTAAGATGTTAGTTACACAAAAGGAAATCTGATAATAAAAATCCCAGTCACCCTACAATTATTGAAGAGGGGAAAATAATAAGACAATAAAAATTTTTTTTTTCTTTTACTTTTTTTTTCTTTTCCCTTTTTGTTGAGTTTTCCTCTCACTCTCTCTTTTTTTTTTTTTTTTTGTGTGTGTCTTTTAAAGGACTTGAATTTGTTTCTTTATTAAACACATTTATTTACTTTTTAACTCGCCCAACCCACTTTTTTTTTTATTTGATACTCGGACTGTCCCATATTTAGGCAGTTCGAACATCCATCACGTCCTCTAGAAAAAGACTTTTGAATAGCTTATTCAACCGACGAGGTTTCCCCCCTTGGCTTCGCTGAATCTGCTTGTATATCACTTGCTATCTCCCTTACTCTTCTTCCTTTTATATATTCTTTTATTGTACTCCACGTTATTACATTATACACCCACGCGCTATTTTTATTACTAGTATCGTTACCTTATTTTATATTACCGTCATATTCGGATACTTTAAATTTTTTTTATCCCTCTCTCTCTCTTTTTTTTTCTCTTTTTTTGTTGTTGAAAACTCTTCATCTATTTCTTCCCTTTCTCTTTCCACTTTTATTTTATTTCTTTTTCCACAAATATGATCCCTCAATTGGAAACTGCTGTTTTTGGTCAACAACCTGGGTTTAATATTGGTGGTCCTCCTATTAAAGATACTATCGGTGATACAAATGTTCCTATGATTCACAATCTCTCTGTACACGATACTGCAAAACAAAAATTGGATTCACATTCTCGTGTCAAATGGGAAACTGATCAAGAAAATGCTTTTTTTGTTGCAAATTTGGGTGAAGTTTATCGTCAACATATTCGTTGGAATTCTCTTTTACCTCGTATTGAACCACATTTTGGTAAGTGAGGGATTTTTATTAGGGAGACCATCTGCGTTGTTTTTTTTTTCTTATATCCAGGGAGGGATTTTCATCATTGGAAGAGTGTACGCGGACATTTATAGCAAAAACTGATCAATTTTTTTTTTTGATTTTTGATTTTTTTTTTTTTTTGATTGATATAGCTATCAAGTCGAATCCAGATCCAATGGTTGCCAAGCTTCTTGCCTCTTTAGGAGTTGGTTTTGATTGTGCAAGTAAAGCGGAAATTCAACAAGTTCTTGACATGGGTGTGGAACCTAGTCGTATCATTTATGCCAATCCTTGTAAACAAGCTTCTTATATTCGTTATGTTGCTCAACAAAATGTTGCCAAGATGACTTTTGACAATGCTGAAGAGCTACACAAGATTAAGATGATTTATCCTAATGCTGAATTGGTCCTTCGTATTTTGACCGATGATTCGAAATCTGATTGTCAATTAGGTCTCAAATTTGGTGCTCCTTTGGAAACTGTGGATCATCTTCTTCGTACCGCAAAGGAATTATCATTGAATGTGATTGGTGTCAGGTAATCTTTTTTTTTTTTTTTTGTATACAAAGAGTTGTCTACATTTAATAGACAAAGGAAATTCATCTTTTTTTTTTTTTTTTTTTTTTTTAGTTTTCATGTAGGAAGTGGATGTCACGATGAAAATGCTTTTGCTGATGCTGTTTTGCGTGCTAGAACGGTATTTGATCAAGCTGAAGCGTTGGGATTCCATTTTACTTTACTCGATGTGGGAGGTGGTTTTCCTGGTGCTGATATCAAGGATGGAATTACATTTGAAAAAGTGGCAGCTGTTTTGGGACCTGCTGTGGATGAATTGTTTTCTCCTGATATCCGTGTGATTGCGGAACCTGGTCGGTACTACGTTGCTTCAGCCTTTACTTTATGTACACATATCATTGGTCGACGCACAGTAATGAAAGGTTCTGAAGATCCATCTTATATGTGTAAGTCAAATAGATAGATATTTGATGTGTTTATCTAACATCTTCTTTTTTATTCTATAGATTATGTTAATGACGGTATGTATGGTGCATTTAATTGTATTCTCTTTGATCATCAAGTTGTCGTACCTCATGTATTATCAAAGAATGGTCGTTATGTTTATGGTCAGAAACTTAATGAAACAGAATACGAATGCTCTATTTGGGGTCCTACCTGTGATTCAATTGATTGTTTGAACAAGTCAACTCGATTACCACTATTGGAAGAAGGTGATTGGCTTTATTATGAAAATATGGGTGCTTATACTATTTGTGCTGCTTCTCAATTCAATGGATTCCAGAAATCAAAGGTTATATATACAAATACCTCTTGTTGAAATAGTAATAGTTTATTATTAATTACTTTTCTACATAGTGTTACATTTACCTTTCTATTGACATTTTTAAAATAAAAAATTTCTTACCTTTTGGGCGGGATTTTTTTTTCTCGTACAAATTTAATATTTTGTGGTCCTTTTTTTTTTTTTTTTTTTTTCCTCACTCTTTTTGTTTCCCTTTCATTTTTGTTTTATGCGTACAACCGAAAATGATTATCTATTTTGGATCACAGAAGCTATTGCTATGACAGGGAATATTGGTAAGACCAATTAAAAGAGAAAAAGTATCAACATTGCTTCATGTATTATATACTTATTTATATATTAGGTATGTCTGTCGAAGATGTATGGTCACTTTTGAATAGTAGAACCAAAGAAGTAGATACAATTGAAGATCTCTGGAAAGTTTTGATTCAACATTCTGACCTTATTATTCAAACTCGGGTAAAAAGAAGATATAATTTAGAATTCATATTGTATATTTAATCTACCTAAACTCATTCTTTTATTACCATTCTTTTATAGGACGAACCATTGTCAACACCAAAACCAATAGCATCCAATCAATTAGAAACATATCAACAAACAAAATCAAAATATGGCTCATTGATCGTAACGGCAAATTCAACTTTACAAAATGAAATATTACTTCAAGGTCTTCATGTACGTTTTCATTGGTTTGGATAAATGGTTCACACTTTTGCATGCATCTTATTAATTTCTTTTTTCTTTTTTTGACATTTGTGTTAATTAGATCACTTTACCAGCTATACAACGTACCATTTTGGAAAGGATAGGATCTTCTGGACCGTCGGGGATTGCTCAATGTGTGATTGCAAAGGACTTGGAACTCAAACCTCAAACCATTTTCCATCACCTCAAAAAACTACAAGAACGTAAATTGATGTAAGTTCATTAAAAAAAAAAAAGAAAAAAGGATTGAATGTTGTATATTCTAACTTGTTATTCATAATAGTATAAAGACACCATCCATATACCAAGGTCAATATACAAATACATGCGTTCATATATACCATTCCAAACACGGAAAGAATGACGATGATACAATGGCCACAGGAACTAACATTTTGGACAATAAGACACAATCATCTCATATGATTGGCCCTGATGATGATTCTATTAGATATGACATGGCTGCTGAAACTATTAACTATCATTTATCACAAGCGAAGGACAATATTATGGTACTCTCGGATTTATTGCAAGCAGCGGTAAAATAATAACAATAATAATAATAATAATAATAATAATAATAATAAAATAATTTTTGATTCACTCATCTGATGGTTATTATTATTTATATATAGGGATTCAAGACAGAAAAACAACTCAAATGGGCAAGAAATTTTCTAGCTAAAAAGCATACGGAAGGATACGTGGAAAAATTATTATCTACAGCAAATGGTCGAAGAACAATGTGCGTACGCCTAATAAAACCAATTCTAATCAATGAAGATAAAAGTAAGTTACATGCATACGAGGAAGCGATATGTCATGTACACAAATCATTCATTTTACTTTTATTACTCTATCTGTATATAGGTGAAATAACTACTCGGGATGATGATGAAATATTGGATCCAACAACTACCGGAACAAAACAGAAAGAAATGGAGCCATTAACTATGGATACGGTGGAATCATGTATTATTGCTAAACAAGGCCAAGGATGCACAACAAAGGTAAATCCGATAAGGATAACTCTCGGATGTGAAGGATATTTCTTTTATTAAACAATGATATTCTAGGATATATATTTAGCATTTCCAGATCGCCCAAAGTCAACTATTCATACGGTGATCAAGAAACTAAGGGATAAAGCAAAATCAAGATTGATTGCTATCAAAGAATTACAAGGCCGATCTCATGTGTATCGATATTTTTCTCAGGATGGATATAAGCAGTATCAAGCAACCAAAGATGGACATGCTGTACTACCAACATCGATGTCATTCAGCAGCGAAAAATCTGAGCAATCAAGCATAGATGATTCTTATACATCAATTCATGCAAAGGGAACAAAAAGGAAAACATCATCAACATCTTCATTATTGGATTCAACAATACCGAAACGGAAACGATCTACTGGAATCATAACTGATGATACCATCAAAGACGATAACAAAACAAATCCAACCTTACAATCAAATGTGAATGTGACTATGGAACGACGTAGAAATGCGCTATTGAGTATCGTACAACGTGATAGGATACGTGAATTGAATCAACATTTGATTGATGAAATACAATCGGTAGATGGTTCGAATGGAAATCATAGACTATCCAAAAAGTCAGTACTGCGAATAGTGAATGCACTGGAATTACAAGGCTTACTTCGTATGATCAAGGTAACCCCAAAAGGTCTATTTGCTGGAAATCAACCCAAATCATTGTTACTCTCTCATGAATTGACGGAAACCGACCAAGCTATCAATACTTATTTGGAAAGCCAACTCAACAACACAAATAAGATTTTACCTACACCCCGGACAACAACAACAACAACAAAGGAACAGAAGCCATTGAAAACGGTGACAACAACAATAGAACGTTATGGTGAACGACGAAATTATTGCCCTATATCATCTGAATATTTTTGGCGGTACATTGCAAAACGTCACGGATGGGTGGATTCAAAATGGTTACGCGCAAAAGAACTTCATCTATTTTTGGCCAAATCTCATTTACAGTCATTGGATGGTGCCTCAATTGATTCTGAAAACCAAACAATGACCTTGTCGAAAATAATTACTACCATGCCTTTTGAATTATTTCGGAAAGTGGTTGGCATTCATCATCATGATCCAATAGTGGAGTCTTTTGTGGAAGCAAATGGTGATAGGGATTCTACTCTTTGTCTTGGCGACATACCTGACAGCATCAAACATCATTTGATACCCGATAGGTACCGATTACGACGACGTATTCAAGCACTTTTGACGATATTGGAAAAATTGGATTTGGTACGACTATCGACTTGTGATGAATCATTAGGTAACACGACAGCATCAACAACTCCTATCAACTTGTGTACTTTCCAGCTCGTAGGATATATCAGAAATTATTCTTTACCGAATCGACCTATCTTGGTAAAGAAACCATTGACGACAATGGAGCAAGTGGACGATTTTTGGAATGAACTACAATACACCTGCACCTGTGTCTATGGATCTGATGTGCCTCAAAGTATCAAGAAGGGTGGCGATCTATTATCATCTATCACATTGTCACGTACTTGGGTCAATGGCGACTTGATTACACCAAAGCAAAAACGAATTTTGGATCAGCATGTTAACTACTCTCTTGGTAAAATACCACCAAACGAATGGAGTCTTTATCTACAATTATCTCGCGAGACTGGACTACTACCATACCGTATCAGATCGTACTATATCAACCTTGGCATCGCATTTACAAGGTGGAAAAAATCAGGTCATCAACGAGACTTATCAACAGCATCATCATCAGCATTATCAACAGTAGTAACTCAGGGAAACAGTGATCAAATACAACAGTCAAGCATTAAACAATACAATAGAAAAAGGAAACGATTATTAGATAGTACTGCTCAGAAACGGTTACAGGCATCAGAAGAACATCGAAAAATATCAAGAGCTACAGATCAAAAACGACAAAGCACGGAATTATTCTCAGTACCTACTTCTGTTGGTAGTCGTTCTTTACGACGGAAGCCTATAAAGGGAGTAGATGATTCTATATTGACAAGAGGTATCTACAGAAAAAAAAAAAAAAAAAAAAAAAAAAAACTTTTTCACTGACATTCATTTTGTTTTGTATAGATCAAAGAAACAATGGCAAACGGACTATCCAGCGATTTTCAGCCTCTGAAAAATCCATTTTTCTGCATGCGGTGGCTATCATGCGGCATCGTGCAAATGGCAGTTATCTTAGTTGGAAACCTATTGTACAGGTATTACCGAACAAAACAATTGGACAATGCATTAGTCATATGAATTCCTTGATCGCTATATCATCACCATCCCTTTGCACCTTGAATTCTTTGGAATATAAATGGGCAAGTATTTATCGTCGTGGTATACAGTGCAAGGATATTGTGGATGAAAAACCCTGGGATACAAAAGATTTTGATTTGGCTGGCTACTTGGAATACTTTTTAACTCAATTGATTTCATGGGGAAAAGACAGGTATTTTTTTTTTGTTTTAAGTTTGATCGATTCTAATTTCTTTCTTTACTACCATAGTATTCAAGATTTACCAAAAAATGTAGACAATTTACATGATTTATATACTATCACGTCGCAGGAAGTACCTATAGGTCGTTTATCATGGATGAGAAAAACGAATTTGGTGAACAACACGTTGGGAAATGTTTCAATAAATACTCATGGTTACCCAAACAAAGATATTTTTATTGCCATACAACTAATCAAGGTATCCAAGATCATGGAGTGCAGAAAAAGGATTTAATTATAAATTTTGACTGACTTTTTTTTTTTTTTTACAATTATTATTTTACCATAAATAGATGATTATGATCCATCCTGAAGAATCATTCAGTCCACATGCAGCTTATAATCTTCTATGTCAATGCTCTGAAAAGGATGTGGAAGCTGCTTATGCCTATCTTCGGGACAATGGTGCTGTCGTTTTATCAAAACATGGTGATACACGACGGGTTCCTGGAAGACAGTTTAGAATGTCAAACAAGTAAGTTGAAAAAGGGATGGGAAATGTGTTTTTCTCTGATAATTGAATGATCTTATTATTATTATTTTTTTCTCTTGATTAGGTTTGTTATGGCTATGAATGGACCTGTATCAATAGAATTGTACAACAATGCTTCTGACTTCCACCAGCAAATCATGGATGACCAACCAGTACCGAAGGATCTCACTGATGGAATGATGGTATCATTACTGAACCTTTTATCACAACGCAAGGTAAACAAGAGAAAAAACGTTTCTAATGAATGGTATAACGTTTCACTCATCCTCTTATTCTAGATCGTTTTGGAAAATCATGCTTTCCAATCTTATATGAAACATGTATCATCAAGATTAGTCTTCCCTCTTCCGATTCGTAAACATGGTAAATAAAAACTCCAAATATAGTATTAATCAATACTGTGTACTTATTATTATTTTTTTCTTTGGGAATAATAATTCTAGACCGACGGGTGGAACAATGGACCAATAAACATATTGATTTACGTATACGACTGAATGATAGGAAAAAATCAATGACTCTCAACACAACGACAACAACAATAGATGCAATGACGGCAGTACAACGGCCTACAGGACAAACCAAGGAAACTGTCAAAAAGTTGACAAGGAAAGAAGCTCATAAGTATCTCACAAAGCAACCATTGAAATCATTTCGACATGCCAAGACTTTGTATGATGGACTTGACAAGTTTGGTGTATGTGGTGCAACGTCCATGGATCTCAAGGTAAAGAAAGAAAAAAAAAAAGAAGGGAATGGATGGGTATTCTGATCATTTATATTTCATTCATTCTGACCATAGCTTAAATTACAAACTGTTTGTGGATCTCTTGATGATAAGGATTTGTTATTGACTCTGGACAAATTGATGCATCATGACCCTCCATTGGTAACCAAAATTGGTCAAGAGGATTTACGCTGGATATGTACCGAGTATATAGATGGATGGATGATCAAATTAAAGGCTATGGATACAGCAAGTAGTAATGAAGAATACCTTCGAATGAACATATGGTGTGACTTAAATGGAAATACAAATCATGCTATACTACAAGCATGTGAATGTGCCTTAGTAGGTCATATTCTTCAAAAACCTGGCATCACATTGGTAAGCTTGCAAACGAAGCTAAAAATAGTTCAATGAATTCACTATCCACGTATTTTTTTTTTTTTTTTTTTTTTTTTTTTTTTGGAATAGGACGTACTGGAATATCTTGTCAGAGAAACTATGTCTAAAGCAGAATGTAGACAAATCTTGGACTTGCTTTTGGAAAAGGATGTGATTACTTGCCGTACTACCATCAAACAAGAACCAGCCACTTTGTTTTCTACTCCTTTATTCAAATCTATAGGTATATATATATATATATAAAAGGCACTTTTTTTCTTTCTCTTTTTCACTAACAAGTGTTATTCTCTCTTTTAGATCCTAAAATAACTATTGCTCCATCTACAACTAGTCATTATTTTACAAAACATGATTATTATATAAAATTGACTGTAATAAAACGTTGACGATATTGGATTTTTTTTATTTTATTTTATTGTACTGGGACACAATGTGACTGTAGCATTCTTTATTTAAAATGAGATGGAGATGAAGATTGAAAGATAAATAAAAATGGATGATGATAAAAAGATGGATGATATATAAATAGATTAAGGATGTGATGGTTTTACAAATGTGAATGTATACATAGAGATAGTCTAATAATGCTATAAAAGTAGAAAGGGAAGTAGTTTTCATAAAAAAAAAAAAATAGTAGTAAAATGATCAAATGCAGTAGAATTCGATAGTGACTATAGTAAATCATCATAACTAGTCAGGGTCCTGGGGGGATGGTCTATCCAAAAAATAAATGAAAAAAAAAGATATCGTTAGTTGTTATTTATATACACAAAGTTTGCATCCTTTACCTGGTACTTGTGGAGTTGGAAAGGTATATCTTGGAGCTTCTGTTCTGATAGATCCATCTTTTTCAAAAAAAACAAAAAAAGAGGTCATGATGAGTATTTATTTATTCAAATTCTCTTTTTATAATGATTTTAGTTTTGTTTAATACCTTCATCCATCCATGATGAGTTTCCAGAGCCATGTCGAGAACGATCCATCATTTTCGCACGGTTGACTAAGATGATATAAACAAAGAAATATATATATATATATATATCACTAGGTAAGTCATTTTTCTTGTTATGTTTCCCTATTTTGCTATACTTACCCTTGATTTTGTGATCGCGAATAAGTGTACCGTCCATAGCAGAAATAGCTTCTTGAGCGCTAGATGATCTTTCAAAGGTGATGAAACCATATCTGAAAACAACAACTATCATGAGTATACCAAAAAAAATTTTTTTTTATTCCAATTGAATGAACTTACTCTTTTCCTTCAATGAGCTTAATATGGGTAATCACACCAAATTTGGAGAAGACTTTTTCTAATTCAGATGATGTAATATCAGCAAGATCACCAATATATATTTTCTTGTGATTGTATTCCTAAGATCCAAAAAAAAAAGAAAAAGGATCGTCAATAATTATTCCATTGTTTTTATAAGATATTTACATCCATATCTGAATTTCGTCGATGATGATATTTTTGATCATGATATCTTCTTCTTGGTGAATGTCGGCGATGATCATCCGAGTCAGATTCATATTGATCATTGTCACTATAGTCACGATGATGGGATGGCGATCGATGGCGTTGGGATCGATGATAATGACGACGATGATGACGTTTATCATCGTGATCTTCATTTTCACTTTCATTGTCTGAATCATCATCTTTATGGTATCGACGGTGGCGTGTTTCTCCATCATATGTAGTGGTAAATTTAGTTCGTCGCTGTTTCACACGTCCAAATTCGTCCAACTCTTCTTCTTCTTCTTCTTCCTTCCGTGAAAGTTCCCTATAAAGTAAACAATAGGTTTCAATAATATCAGTATACACTTCATATTGATCTATCTGATCTAAATTGTCAGTTACCTTGACGCCAAAGGAGACAATGATTTAGATCTAGATCTAGAAATAATATCAGTTCCATTTTTCTATCTATATACTTCTTTCTTCTTTTTTTTTTTTTGTTTCCATTTTGGATTTACCTATGGTGTGAATGAGGCATGATTTGATCGATTTCACTTCAAGATTGGTTAAGATCTAAAATGACAAAAAGAATAGAAAGGGATGAGTATGTTTTATATATTTATGATCACTGGTTATAGATAACAATTTATGAATAGGATGACTTTACATGACAATGTGAAGAATATAAATCAGGTTTAGGTTTTGGTGAGTTCACAGAAACTTAGTAAAGTGAAAAAAAAGATCTAATAAACTACAGAAGAAAAAAAAAAAAAGAAGTTGACAGATAGAGAGAGGTCAGAAGAAAAAAGCAAGTCCGCACCAAAAATTTTATTTGCACCGAAAATATGCCCATAATAAAAACTATACCTTTATTTTATTTTATGAGATATGAAATCTATATACTATTTTATGACATATAATGATGAATGAATTGATTTGATTTAATAATAATAATAATAAAAAAAAAAAACAATATAAAAGACACTTTTTTTTTATTTTCTCCTTTCTTTCTTCTACAAAATCCAAAAAAAAAGAAAAATATTTACTTTTTTTGGCTGGTTTCTTGTTGATATCTTCTTCTTTCCGTTCGCCTAGCCATACGAGACAGAATATTGATTCTTGTTTTCCTCGTTGTTCTTTGGTCTTGTTGTGCTTCTGTTGTCCTTTTTTTACCGTAAGAAATTTACACTATCCCTTTTGGGTTGCGTACAAATAATATTTAGTTGATCATCAGAAACCATTTTTCAATTTCTTCTTTTCAATCACCGGAATGGGGGAAGGGAAATATATAGATCCGAAGTAATAATAAAAGAGCTACAATTATACAAATAAAAGTTCTGAAAAGATTTGTTTGGACTCTAGATTTTTCTTTGGTAGGTGTGGACTATTTTGGAAAGTGTGGATTATAGATTTGATTAGGGAAATAAGTACTCTTTTCGTGTGAATGATTATTTTTGTTGAACATTAGATTTTACTTGAAGATGTAGACTATAAATCCTCTTTTTTTTTTTTTCTTTGCAGGGAGTAAAAGACAGATTTTTATTTTGTGGAAGGGGTTGAATGGTAGTACCAATAATCCAAAACTAGACAAAAAGTTATTATGTGATAAGACTATAAACAATCCTATTTTTATATCTACAAGTATATTCAAAAAACCATCACTACATTTCTTCCAATTCGTCATCGGTCAGTAATAATTCTTCTTCAGGAAAATCACCCACAGTCACCTTGATAGGACGAACAAAAGTACCATATTTTGGAGGACAAGAGAAATACCGTACACCTTTGACACTACCATCATTTTTACCCAATGGTTCATCATATTGAATGCCAACCCAAGTACCCGATTGGAATTCTGTAGGACCCAAGAATCGCACTGTACCACGTCGTCCCAATGTATCATCGTCCATATTATCGCCCAAGTTGACAAGGCATCGATCACCCACTTTGATCTTACTTGCTGCTTCTTCATTGTCGCGTTCAAATTGTGCCTGTTGTTCTTGTGCTTCTGCTGAAAATCTTCCCAGTTTATTACGTTCCTTGAATGCTCGAACAGTATCTACATAACAATAAAGTTTTTATTTATTTATTTTTTTTTATTTTTTTTATTTTTTTTTGCTTACCAGATCGATTACGATAGTCTTCTTCGGATAATTCAAATTTTTCTACTAACGAGACATCAGTATATTGGTTCTTGACCCTATGAGGATTGGTATCAGTCACCTATTCATAAATATATATAAAGTCAGTAACACTTTCTCTCCTTTTTATTTCCTCATAATATTTACGTGAAGTCGCATAAAGTTTTCAAAAGGATAAGCACCCACTAAAGCATTATCATCTACTAAAGACGCAATATGGATATCACCTTGATAAAGGTCAAGCTTTTGTGTATTACTAGGTGTACCAGTGATAGGTTCGAGTTTACCCTAACAAAAAAAAAGTTTGACTGATTAAATAAATATAGATATATAACCAAAAGAGAATACCTTCAGATCCAAAATAGTCCAACCTTTTTCAAGACGTCTTTCAGCACTTATATTTTCAGAAGTGGTAACAATAACTGTAACAATGGACATGGTATATAAAAGTAGATGATTTATCAACAGAGAGAAAAAGAAATGTAACTTTTTTTTTGTGGAAATCATATCCCGACTGAGTTGATCCAAAAAGGTAGGTGCCGTCACTTTGTCTTTTTTTGCTTTGAAGGGAGGGGGGAGAAATATTTTTTTTTTCCCTTCTTTTCGTAACTACAGAAAACAATACAACACTTATTTTTTTTTTCTTTCTTTTCAGTTCATTATACATACCATGTTCGGATTACGTCGTTTTGCCCTTGAAAAGCCTGTCATCTTTTGGTCTTTTGTGATTGGCTCTGTTGGTAAATAAAAAAAAAAAAAAAGAGAAAAGAAAAAGAATACATGAACAATGATTATGACAACAACATCAAACAGTGGTAAAGACAGCAGCGGTAACACGAATGTACATATCGATCATATCAAGACGTATCAGCAACATATATCAAATGACAAACGACATGGATGATAAAGTGTATTTATAGGACTGAATTGGATTATATATGACACTAATGGATACTACCGCGTGCTATACACTGTTTCATGTTGGAGTTGTTATTGTTGAAATGACAAGGTATAATTTTAATTTTAATTTTTTTTTTTTAATTTATATTATTAGGTCCTGTCATGGTTTTCACAGTACCTAAGGTTCGTCGTGAATATTTTGGATACAAAGGTGTAGAAGGACTTCCTCTTACTTATCCTCGTAAGTTTTTACTTTATTGTTAAGTAATAAGTATATGTTTAATTTGATTATTTTTTTTTTTGTGTAGTTCCTAACCGGGCACGTAATCCTCCTTCTGGCTATGAAGATGCATAAATGAACACCAATCTCAAACAAAATTGACCATCCCTTATAGATAGTCCCACAACATTCCCTTATTTTTTTTTTTTATTATTACTTTTTTAGTTTACTTTTTTACACTTACAAATATATAAATATATATCTCAAAATTTTGTTTGTTTTTTTTCCTTTTCGTTATATTTTTTCTATTTTAGACAAATAAACTTCCCAATTATTATTGATGCAATGATTTGATTGTGCATTCCTTATTTTTCAATAGGGTTAGACAAGAGAATGTAGTCTGGAAAGATACTTTTTTTATTTTTAGCTACCATGTAAAAAAAGGATCGGTGGCCTCCGCGCAAAGGAATGCCCGAGATGGATAGTAAAATGAAGTCAATGCAACACAAAAAATCAAGTTTACTTTTTTATAAATATTAAAAATATTCTATCCCGTAAAAGAAAATTCTATTCTAAGATGGGAAGTGGAATGAATATTTTTGTGTATCCTTTCCCATTTACGTTGTTTAAGAATCTAGTGATTCTAGTAGAATTTATACAAAAAGATCTCGTCTGTGATGAATCCAAAAAAAAAAAAAAAAAAAACTGTTCTTGATGATGATGATACTTGAAAGTCGTACACTTACACTGTACACAGAACATATAATAATAAATAAGTGAGATGATATTTTTTTTTTTTTTTGAAATCTTTCATCCATCAAAATAACCTTCTGTTACGTCGGATCCTGAACACTTGCTTAATATGGTGATCATGGTACTTTTGATTTCTTTTCTATAAAATATCGTAAAAACCTCATTTTTTTCTTTCTTTCTTTCTTTCTTTCATTTTTTTTTTATATATCTCTCTCTTTATTCTGTTTTATTTTTATTTCCATTATTTTTATTATTATTATTATTATTACTATTATTATTTTATTATTTTCATTATTATATACATTTTAACATTATATCATGCTGTCAGTGAATCATATGTTAAACCAGCAAGATGATCAATCATCACAGACTCAATCACGATCTAGACTCGACATTACCGATCTATTATGTGATCAATCATCAGAAATACTTCCTACACCAACTTTATCCACTCATTCTTCTCCATCAAGTACCAACTCTGTTTTATCTTTGCCATCTTTTGATTTGGATAATTCTATCACCAATTATCATCATCCATCATCCGGTGGTAAAGCATCATCGAATTACAACTTGATTGGTACTCTATTACCATCTCCTTATGATGAGACCAAGTCTGATGATTGTGTGAAAATACCCTATAGAAGACGTAATTATGGAAATCATTACTATCAACATCGAATAATGTTGATGACAGATACACAAGAAGGTGAACAGCCTACAACATGCTTATTCCAACAACAACAAGAAGAAGAAGAAAATGACAATGATCCCACCAACTGTTACTATTACAATAACAATAACAAAATGATCAAAGCCAAAAGAAGACGTGCAAGTAATAAACAATTACAAGTGTTGAATCGGGTGTTTGAACATACATTTTTCCCATCAACACAATTACGAACTCAGTTGGGACGACAGTTGAACATGAGTCCACGAACAGTACAGATTTGGTTCCAGAACAGACGGCAAGCTATACGAACGAAAGAAAGACAACAACTTCAACAACAGCAGCAACAGTATCATCATCATTATCATCATCGTCATCACCTTCCTCCTCCTCAACAACAACAGCTATTACAAGAACAACGTTATCAAAATATCTTTTATTAAAAACAAGCTGGTTATCTTGTCTCTAATTTCGATATGACTCCTTTCCTTTTTTTTTTTTTTTTCATCTTCATCTCCTTCCCTTCATTAGTTTACTCTTATATTTCTCAATATTCTTTTTGCCCTTCCAAAAAAAAAGCTTCATATTTTACTATAATCATTCTATTTGTTTATTATCTGCATGAATTGTTTCTCTTGATACTTCCCTTTTTCTATTGTTTATTAGTTTATGGTTTCTCTTATTAAAATAAATAAAAAAAAGCATCTCTATCGAATATTATTACCTCTGACAATCATTTTTGATTACATGATGGTTACTCATGATTGATTGATTGATTATCATGTCCCACGTCTCTTTCACACACACACACATACATTTATAACATTTTTTTTTTTTTGTACACAAATGGTAGGACATCCAACTATCTTCCTTAACATACCAAATATAATCATCATCATTGTCCCTGGTCTTTTGACTTTTTTTTTTTTTCAATAATAACAACAACTTAGGTTTCTCTTTGTACCATCATTGGTATTACATTTCGGTTACACGCGTACTTCCTCCATTTACATTCATCATTCTTCACCAACGATCATCCATCACTCAAACAAAATCTTTATTAAGAAGGGCCCTTCTATTACGTAAACTTTTATCTTCAACTGCTCTTCTTTGTTTACGTAAACCTGTCATCATGAACGCCATATTTAAACACACAGAGGTCAGATGGCATGTTTATTTATTTATTCATTTATTGATACAACAAGATACTGAAGAAGCTAAGTAAAAAAAAAAAAAAAAAAAGTAAAAGAAATATGTACAATCACTATGACTACGATAAATAATAATAATACTAGTAAAAAAAAAAAAGAAAGAAGAAAGGGAAATGACGGGGAAATATAAGCTATAAAAAAAAGAACTACAAAAAGGCATTATAAAATAAAAAAGGAAAAAGAAAAAAAAATGTATACAAAAAAAGAGAGGGATAGGTTGTCGAGACAAAAAAAAAAAAAAAAAAAAAGAGGAGATAGAGAGAGAATCAAATAGAGATTTCTACATGGACAATTTCATGGTCTTCGAGCAATGGCATTCTTTGGTTTATGATAAACATGACACTATAAGAAATATATATATATAAAGAATAAGCTTGCATCCCTTTTTTTTTTTTTTTTTTTTTTTTTTTTTTTTTTACCTTGTGAGCATGTCTAAACCAAAGGACACTATTCTTTCTTTTGACATTACTAACAGCTACCCATTGATGACATTGATGACAAAGTCCTTCTACTAAATCTTGATCCACCCATCTTGTTTCCACTGGTTGTACAAATTCAGCACCAGAAACTGAGGAGATACCATGATAAAATTGTTTGTGGTACCTGTCAAAATATAGTAATAAAATAATCAGAAATATATAATTATAAAATATATATATATATATATATTCTTACCAATAAGCACTGTTTTTCAATTGAAGCCAACGACCAGGTTGACATGTATCACATAAACCTTCTTTGGATTGTCCATTATATCGTACCCATTTTGGAGTATACATATCACCTTCAAATCGTAACTTTTGTCGTCTAGGTCTTGCTTCAGGATCAGTTTTGGCCAATTCCACATCACGAGGACACATATCGGGGAAATCTGCATCACCAGCTTCAACGATTTCTTCCGTTTCCTTTGGCACACGTTTCCGTTTGGGTCTTGCTGGTGGAGGAAGCATCATATTATTTGCAGGATGACCATGAGCATGTACAGCTTGTTGATAAGCAGCATAATCTCCAGGTGGAAGTGATGATGGATGAGGACTTAATCCAGCTTGTAGATGAGAAGGATGTTGTAAATGCATAGGATGAGTACCTTGAGGATAAGTGGAAGAAGAAGATTGCATTCCTTGTGTTGTAGGAAGAGGAAGTTTACCACCAAGAGAAGGATGAGGTGTATGAGGAGGAATAGGATGATGATGTGGATTAGGATAATAATAACCAGATTGTTGTTGTTGTTGTTGTTGTTGAGGTGGAAGATAAACATGATGAGGATGATGAGGATGAATAGACTGCTGTTGTTGATCACCATAATGCGAATAAGAATAATGTTCTTGAGCGAATTCTCTTTTCTGTCCAGCAGTAGATTCATTGTTGCTATTGGTGGAAGATTGATGAGCTAACGGGTGTACAAGAGAAGGATCATGACGGTCGGATGGATGACGTTGATCGGTATACATATGAGGATGAAGTAATGGATAAGGCGCTAATGATGTGGGTGTAGAAGAACCAGAAGAGGATGATTGATATAAACCATCTTGAGTCCATGTAATACGATTAGTGTGTTTAACGTCGTTCATACCAGTGTAATATGGGTGATCATTTTCTTGTTTCAATACCGGCTTGAATGCAGATGCAACACCGTATGCGGGGGTGATATTATGACTGGCATCGTTGTTAAACAAATCAGTCCGATCTCTAAATTGTTGAGGCATAGAATTCCAGTTCATACCCACATCATAAGAATGTCGTCGAAGAGATGCAACTTCTTGATCAGCCGTTTTTTCTTGAGTTTGTGCTGCAACAGAGAGATCATCTTGCCATTGTTGTTGTGCTGGTACTGATTATGCGCATAAAATAATAATAATAATAATAATAATAATAAAAGAAATAATTAAATATATTATTATCCCTATTTTTTTTTTTTAAAATATATATATAATATACCTTTGGAAGTTTCTTTTGATGTTTCTTTTGTAATGGTTGGTACACGATTAAAATTGGCGAGTAACATGGCAGCTTCAATAGAATTTCGATGTTGTGATAAATGTAAATCCAATTGTGGGTCGTCGGTGATACCAAATGGAAGCCCAAGGATAGCAGGACTACTTTTTCGTTTATCAAAACGTCCACTAAGAAGTAAAGCGGGATTCAATCCAGATGGTAAAAGAGGATCCTCATTGTTTTCATTATCATTTTCTTGTAATATGGGATCTTCGGACATGGTGATAGTTGTTGTTGGTAAAAAGTCTGTATTATCTACAAGAGAAGGATTAGAGTTTTCATATTCTGGTATGGTGGCAAGAGAAGAAGAATCAGTTGGTAATGATGACGTTGTATCTGTAACTCCTGTTGTTGCTGTTGTTGTATCAGTTGTTGTTATGCTAGGATGAGTTTGAGGCTGAGTCGAAGGATGATAATGTGGATTAGGTGGTTCGGCATAATGAAGACTACGTTGATCAGTAGAAGGTAGTATTTCTTGAATATCCATTATTTGATAATTCAAGTTTACAAAGGAAAGTGAAAATAAAAAAAAAAAAAGTTTAAAAAAAAAGAAGAAATAAGTGAAGAATAAGAAAAAAAAAAGAGTTTTTCCCGTTATTTGATGGCTTGCTTTTTTTTTTTTTTTCGACTTTTTTGCTTGAATCTTTTCAAGCAAGAAATTGAAGTGACTGTGGCAAAAACTTTTTTTTTAAAACTCCTTTTCCAAACTACCAGAATGTATGGGACCACATGTGCAAGGTGTTAGTATGAAACATTTTTCATGCCCAAGGATATCATAGACAATATTACTTTTCTTTTTTTCTTATTCAAATCAATCTATGATGATAATTATTCTAATAGTAATACAACAAAATATATATATAAAATAACAATAGTAAAAATTCAATCTTTATTCAAATGCAGATCATTGATGGTGTCACACACTATGTCTAAAATACTAAATACTAAAAAAAGACACAAGCCCCGATTCTATTTGAGTAAAAAAAAAAAAAAATACAATATATTAGTTTCTATTCACATAAGCGTGTTTTTTTTTTTCAAAAAGAATAAAAGATATTTGTATTGTATGACAAAACATCATAGATCTTGGTGATATATAAAAAAATAGTCATCATTTATAGATCAGGAGCGAATTGTTTAATCATTTCTATCATACCAATACAAAATCAACATCCTTTTTTTTTTTTTGCTTACCTATAATATCAATTCTTGAAATATATATTACTATTATATGATTAAAAAAAAATAAAAAGAATGAAGTCAATATATGTATATACAAGGATGTATTATTCGTAATTGAAAAAAAAAGGATCAGTAGTTATGTTTGGTTCCATTTCAACAAACTAGGCATAATGCACCGGCGAAAGTGCGCTCCAGTAAGTGGTCAAACGCAAATTACAAACATCATTTCCATATCAAATATAAAAAAAACATGCTTTTCATATTTACCTATTATAAAACAAAGAAGCAAAGAGAAAAGGTATTGGAAAAAAAGAACAGAGGCTTTTTATCGTTATTTGAAAATTTTTCTTTGATTGTGACTAACAAAGGTGGCTGAGCCAATCCCAAAACCCTTCTTCTCGCGTTCTTCCCCCATCCTAAATTCAATTCATTTTCCGTCCTTATTTGTGTCATCTAACGCGTTTAACTAACGGGCTCTATGGCAGCAATCTTTTATAGATTTTCATCATTAAAAAAAAAAAAAAAAAAGAAGATACTGATAAATGATACTAATGATGATGAATCTAATTGGCTACTTAGTAATATGAAATAGACCCCAAAAAATAAACAATATAATAATGCTAAAATAGAAACTGAGAGAATAAAGTTTTTCAAAAGGAGATGAGCCAATCAAAATAAAATAAACTTGACTTGTGACTTGAAATAAAAATAAAAAAAAAAAAAGACATACAAGCCTGATGATTTTTTTGATTTCTTTCCATCCTCTTTTTTGTTTCCCTACTTTTTTGAATCGGCACTAAACCTTTTTCCGGCACTCTCTTTCTCTCTCCCCCCTTCAACCTACCATCAACAAAAAAAAAAAAACACTTTGAATTCAGCTGCGAACCAAAAAAAAAAAAAAAAACCTTTAGCAAAACCGAAAAAAATATTGGGTGACTCTATCGATTTTTTTTTCTTTCCACTGTTCCTCACTTCCTTTTGATACTGTTGTTTTCTTTTTGATATACCTTTTTGGACTAAACAAGGTCTTTTTTTTCTCTCTCTCTCTCTCTCTTTGTATTCCTGATTAAATCATCAAGTCTACTTTATCACTTCTTGGTGACAACTATCAATAAGAAACCAATATATACGTTTATCGGTTTTTTTTTTTTTTACTAGAAGGTACTATTTTTGTTTTTCTTTTTTGTCTTTTCTAGTTTTTTATTGGTCGATGCAATGTGTACACGTAGTCGCTCCTTTTCTGTCCCCCCAGGGCTGAAATTTGAAGCTCCTACTTTCGCTTTTTTTTTTCTCTCTCACTCACTCTCCCTTCCTCTGTTTCTTTTTACTAATTTCCCGTTCTCTCTCTTTTTTTTTATATTATTCCTTCTCATGGTTTTTCTCTTGGCTCAAAGAGATAACATCAAACAAATTCAGGCTCTTCCTGTTATATTATTACAAACATGGCATCTACACCTGCAGAACAACAACAACAACAACAACAACATGAATTAAACTTTCCTTCTGAACAGCCTACAATTGGGTAAAATTAAAAACAAGAAAAAACTCCCATTAGAAATCATACGTTTCACGAATAGTATTTTTTTTTTTTATAACATTCAATTACTTACATTCTTTTTTTTTTCTATTATAGAACACCGAAACCTGTAGACGATGATAATGACGATCTTCATACCACGAAAAAGCAAAAATTGGATCATTTAGCTTCTGCAACATTATCACCATTATCAACATCATCTTTATCACCTTCTTCGCAGCAACAACAATTACAGCAACAAGAATCTACACAATCAATAGAGCCGATCACTACTATGGAATCATCACCTACGGCCGCAGCACTAGCAACTAATACACCTTTAGCGTTCAATGACACTCCAACAGATTCACAAAAGGATGCATCACAAACAACTTCTACAGCAGCTACTTATGGAAGCCCTGTCGACACAGCCACTCATTCACCGGAAACTTTAGAAATCATCAGCAATGAAGGTTCATCACCACCACCTTCAGCATTTGCAAATGGAACTGGTATCAATCTTAATCAATCTAAACCTAGGAAACAGGTAAAAGAAAAAAAAAAAAAGAGAGAGAGAGAGAGAGAGAAAAGGGAAAGAAAGTATATATTGTGTATTCAATACATTGTTTTTTTTTATTTCTGTCTGTAGAAATCTTCAAGAGGATCGTCACCATCACCATACAGCTTTGCTTCATCATCCAATTCAAACATGACTCGTGATCAAATCAAATATTGTGGAGCTATCATGCGAAATCTCAAAAAACATCGTGACGCGACACCTTTTATTCATCCAGTGGACTATGTGAAACTCAAGATACCGGATTATCCTAAAATCATCAAACATCCTATTGATTTGACTACCATAGATCGCAAATTACAACACGGAGAATACAATGATGTCAATGAATTTGTGGCTGATATTCGTTTACTTTTCAACAATTGTTACAAATTCAATGGCCCGGAAGCTATGGTCTCTATGCTTTGCCAAAATGTCGAATCCGCTTTTGAAAAAAGTTTACGTCAAATGCCACCATCCAAAGATGTAAGTAAAAAACAAAATAAAAAAATGGGTGTATGATTTATTTTTAATTTATATATCTATTTTTTTTTTTAGTCACCTTCAGCCAATGTCTCACCTGATGTCAAGGAAGGATCTGTACAGCACCAACAACATTCACCATTACATGGCACCAGTAGTTTCCGACGTATCAGCGAAGACAGTCGACCTAAGCGTGAGATCCATCCTCCACCTTCCAAAGATTATCCTGAAACCATGACAAAACAACGACGTCGGCGTAGTAATGGAGCACATACTGGAGCAGCAGGTACAAGTGGTGGAAGAAGAAGGAAAATGGATGCACAACTCAAATTCTGTGGCCAAGCAATACGAGAACTCAAGAAAAACAAGTATCGCGATATCAACTATCCATTCTTACATCCAGTGGATGCTGTGGCTCTCAACATCCCTGATTATCACACTATCATTACTCACCCTATGGATATCAGCACCATTGAACGACAATTGAACGAAGGCGAATATGATTCTCCTGAAAGTTTTGAAAGTGATGTACGTTTGATGTTCAACAATTGTTATCGATACAATCCACCTGCTCTACCTGTACACAAGATGGCTAAGGATCTAGAAAAGGTCTTTGATGAAAAATGGAAGCATTTACCGGAACCAGAACCAAGTCCTCCTCCTCCTTCACCTCCACGACCCACTCAATCTTCTGTGATTACAAGAAAGGCCGATTCTTATTCTACTGAAGAAGAAGAAGAAGAAGAAAATGTATCGGATGATTCTGAAGATGGTAAGTCAAAAGACGTAAATAAGGAAAAAAAGGTATCATTTTTATTCATTTCATATATATATATAGATCGTGATGATCGTATTGCAGAATTGGAACGACATATTGCCAACATTTCACAACAAATTGCATCCATCAAATCCACAAAGAAGAAATCAGATCGAAAGTCAACAGCAGGCGTCAAACGTAAATCAAAACAAAGTACAACATCAGCCCATAGAAAGACATCTAAAGAAAAAGCACCGCCTAAACCACGTCGAAGAGCACCAAAACAACAAAGGAAGCCATCATTAGGTAGCGAATTACCTGAATTCACATTTGAACAAAAGAAAGAGCTTAGTGAAAGTATCAACAATTTGACGGGTGAACGACTTAATACAGTGGTGAATATTATTCAAAGCTCGATGCCTAATTTGGACGGGGTAATAACGATGACAAAAAAAGAGAAAAAGAGAGAGAGAGAGAGTTCAATAGTTATACTTATCATTCTTGTTTTTTTTTAGCAGGGACAAGAAGAAATTGTATTGGATATTGATGCTCTGGATCGCAAAACTCTACACAGATTACATGAATTCGTCACAGGCAAAAGTTTGATTCGAAGACCAACATCGGCACATGCAAAACATACCAGTAAGAAGCAAAAAAGTTCAGAAAATGAACGACGTATCCGTGCTTTGGAGGAATCCTTAAAACAATTCAGTTCTGGTGCATTACCAAGTCATGGTAAGAAAAATATTCCAAAAAAGAAAAAGAGGAAATAGACGATCACAAAGAAAGGATGTTAAACTCATTCCTTTTTTTTTTTTTTTTTTTTTTTTTTTTTGTAATAGGCAATCATACTTCTAGTGAAAGTGACTCGGATAGTTCATCAGATTCTGATTCAGATGATTCTGGTAGTAGTTCAGAATAAACGCCCTTCCCTTGCTTTATAGTATAAATACCATTTTTTTACACTGACCGTTTACATATTTGTTAGTTATACATTCAAGTGTTTCCTTCTCTTTTTTTTTTTTTTTATAGTTATCTCTTTTATCTTATTTTAGTCTTTTTATCTATTTTTTTTTTTTTTTATGATTTCATATATCAATATACGTACCTCTCCCAATACACTACTCATCCACTTGAATAAAAATCATTGATCATCGTTCCCACAATAGTGATGTTTATTTTCTTTCTTTTTGTATGAAATTCATCGTCCAACAAGCATTGGCTTTCATTGGACTCATCGATGACAATGATATTTACGTATAAAATCATTCATCATTGTCATTATTATCTTGTTTCTCACTCATTTTCCATAGTCAAATCTATGCAATACTAGCCAATCTTTCACTGACAATCAAATCGATTCTCCCACATGAATTAGTTTCATTAAATCAATACGAACCCACATCCAAAAAAAAAAAAAAAAAAAAAAAAATAGATATCCACTCGAAACGATCTTTGATTTCAAAATAACTAAACTAAAAGTAAAAAAGATGATAATATATATATATTCAAATAGGATAAATAAAAAAAAGAAATAAAGAGTCAGGATAAATAAAATAATAATATATAGCGACATAAAATGACACAGTCATCCGTCACTGTCATTCCACCTATATTTTTCATGCAATCCTAACTAAGCTAACTAAACCAAATGATCGTCCTATCAAAAAAAAAAGCAGACAATAAGCATGGGTAAGATTTCTATTTCCATTCTTACCTCTAATATGGCTTTCACTTTTTGCAGAGTATGCATGGTGGTTGGTGATAAGGAGGACAATAAATGGGCAATCTTTTCCAGTTTTGAGTCATAAAAATCCTTTTCTTCCCGTAAAGAGTTGACGGTGAGTTGTAGTTGAGCTAAACGTTGATTTAATTCGATGATCTTCGTATTGCCATGTGATAAGGAAGGATTTTTAATGTCCAAGGAGGAATTGGAAAGAATGGTGGAAGAGGTTGATGGCGAACGACATTTCATCATTGGATAATGGACATCAATAGGTGTGGCCAGAGCGGTAGATGAAGACGTGGTGGAAGATGCACATGATCCTTGATCTGAGAAAAAAGTGGGTTGATGTCCTATGTTATATTGAGAAGATGATTAGTTTTTTTTTTTTTTTTTTTTTTTTTTTTTTTTTTTTTTTGTTTACCAAAAGATTTCAAAGAATACAAAGTAGCATCAGAATATACCCTAGCGACTTTGGCCATACTTTTTTGTCTTCTTCCAAAGGCATCATAATGTTCATCTTGATGATACATATCCCAATACCCCTTAATCCATTGCAGAAACTCCAAATTATCTTGAAATCGACATTTGACCAATTTTTCCACCGGAATCACCTTATCAATTCTATAAAACAAGATGATTATGATGATTTCTTCTTTTCATTCATTCATCACTTACTTGTGTTTTTCAAAAGCTTGTTGTAGTACCTTGAAATTCTCGATATATTGATATTCATGTTTGCAATCAAACTTGATTTTCGCCAAATGAACATCTCCTACAGAAAAAAAAAAGAGATCGTCGTTAGTGTATCAATCATGAAAAGTAATAGTGCGACATATTCACTCCTTTTTTTTTCACACACACCCACATATCTATATCCTTGTATCGAACTATCCCTTTTTCTTTTTTTTCTTTTTCTTTTTTACCATAGATAGAATCAATGATCTGGGAATAGGCCACACCTAGAAACAAAAAAGAAAAAGATGAGTTTACTTTTATCGTGTTCAACACTCTTATTCAAAAAAGATATGTCACCTGTGCCAAGTTGTTCCACTTTGGTATATGTGCTTTGTAATAGTCCATTGACCCAAATAATCAACTCTACTCTTGATGCAGTCATTCTTATTATTATTTTTTAAAAAAAAATAAAGGGAAAGAAAGAGAGATAGAAAAGGTATAAATAATGGATATTAAAGTAAAAAAAAAAAAAAAAAAAAGGGAAGAAGAAAAAAAAGTTGGGACGTGCAGAGAATGAGGCAATTTTGAGAGATTGTGGTTCCGAATTTTGTTTGCATAATCTGACGTAACTGATGATACTACTATTATTATAATTATTATTATTATTATTTAATCCTTTGGCATAAAATGAATACTTTATTTACATGTAATGAAAAAAAAAAAGAGATGAGGGTAATAAAATTAATAATAATAATAAAAAAGAAATATTATATACTAAAATGAAAGAGAGAGAGGGAATATAAATGACTAGTTAGAGTTGCCAGACCATACTTGTAATCGTTCCTTGAAATATCGTTCTAGTTTGGTAGCACATCTAGCATAGTTGGTTCCTTCTGCATTGTATGTTCTACAGTTATCAAAAATCTTTTGTACATCTGTTACAAATTCTTCCATGGTTGAATACATATCCCCTTCCACATTTTGTTCTAATGTTGTCAAATCTAAAAAAAAAAAACATTATATTAGTCTCTTTGTTAAATAGAATGACATTATATTGATAGTCTTACCCATAGGTTCCGTGATAACATCATAATAATCCACTACTTCATCTGCATTGACTGGTTCACTAAAAGGCCATGAACTTGCATGTGATTGAAGTTCTGAAACCAAATGTCGCATTTGATTATAATGAGGAGGATGTCTTGGTCGATTAGATCTAGAAAATGATAATAATAATCAATATTTCATTTTCATCTTTTTCATTTCACTTACAATTGATCCATTTCAGGTGTCCAACCAGACTCCCCTATTGATAAAATAATCATGTCAGTCAAAATAAAAGGTTTCTTTTTTTTCCTATTAACTTACGAACACCAGGTACCGATAATGGATCAATACTTCGTTTTCCATCTTCACCCACTGGCATTTCTAAACCAGGAAATACAATATGGGAAGTAGAAAATTGTTTGGTTTTTTCATATACGGCCTGTCGTTGTATTGCCAGAATACTTTGTGCTTGTAAATATTTCACCTTAGGAACCACCGTGCACTATTAATAATAATAATAAAAAAAAAGGATGAATTTATGTTCTTTATTCATCTCATTTATACCATTTTACCTGCATGATAGTACCACCTTCATAATCCTTGATGTATCCAACCCAATTTCGGCGATCCAATGTAATGTCAGTAGTGAATCCCTAAAAAAAAAAAAAAAATACAAATCGAATCATTCTCTTCTATTTTTTTTCCTGTTGTTACCTGTTTTTTGAAGTATCCAGTAGCATAGTTATCTGCATAAGTCAAGAAATGTTTCATTGGTGTATGAGTAGTCACATAATCCTTCAAATGATTCATAAGATGAGATCCATAGCCCTACAAAAAAAAAAAAAAAGATTAAACAATCCATCTAAATTTAAATCATTTCATTCGTTACCTTGACTTGTTCTGTGGAAGCAATAGCACAAAACACAATTTCAGCAAATTCTTGGGCATCGAATGGTCGATAACAAATACCACCAATCACCTTCATAGGACGTCGAATCAAAGCAATACTACGATGATTTCTATCGTATTCATATAAGAAGAAGAAGAATAAAAATGAAAAAAAAAGAATTCAGTATAAGCTTGTATTTATATATGGATATCTTTTACCTATCGTAAACAAGACGAGCAATATATTCCTTTGGCATCATGGGTAATTGTTTTTGAAAGATATTCTTCAAGCCAGTCAGGTAGATCATACTTTCTGGAGCACCATCATTCAGCACTACTTTGACTTCAATATCACCATTTCGTTCTTCAATCATTGCAGGATTCTCCTTTCGTTCCAATAACTAAACAATAATAAAAAGATTATCAATCTTCTTATTTCTTATTTTTGTTATGTTTACTTACAGTGAATTCTTCCAAAGATTTGATTGATCCATCATCATTCAGAGGTCCATCCTTATCATGCGGTAAGCCATTGACGTTGAGTGATTCTTCATTCAGTAATTCGGCATTTGGGGGTTCATTTTCCAAAGATCCATTCTTGATTGTTATTTCTGATGCTGTCGCAGTGGATGATGAAGAGCTTCCCATAGTTGGTTCTGCAGTCCCTATTGCTTTTGTTTTCCTTCCGATTTGTGCTGACTGTCCTTCACTTTCTTTGTCTATGTCCATACTCCGGTTTCCTTCATCTTCATCTTGTATTTTTTTGGTGTCACCTTGATTATTGTGTCCATTCTGTTGTTGTTGTTGTTGTTCTTGCTGATTGTCGTCCCTATTGCCAGCTGTAGACGGGTTGGATTTTCGACTTGATCTAGATTCAACATTTTGAGATTCAATAGTAGATATATCAGACGATTCCTTGGTGGTAGTTGGTATAGAATCTGATGGTGGTGCTTTGGTTGTATATGCATCAGATTGTTGATGTCGACCATGCTCTACGTTTTCATCTTCGGGTTCTTCCTCTTCATCGTCAGCTGCAGCGTCATCATCGTCATCATCATCTCTGTCTTCGTCATCATCATCGTCATCGTCTTCATCTACATCAGCATCGGCATCGTCATCTTCTTCTTCTACATCCTCATCATCATCGTCGTTGTCATTAGGAACTTCATCATCATCATCATCAACATCATCATCATCGTCATCATCTTCTTCTTCTTCATCATCATCATTGTCGTCTATGTCGTCTTCGTGACCATGTGTATCAGACTTGTGTCGCTTTGCTTCACTTTCTTCAGTTCCTTCACGTTCCCTTTTAGAGTATCGTTCATCTAGATTATGAAGAGAAAAGAAAAAGAATGAATGAATGATCAAAGATAATAATAATAATAGTAATATCACCTCCATCAATAGAAGACAGTGATGAAGCTTCAGATAAAAAACCTTCCGTCAAAGAATGTTCGAGCATTTGTCTTGAAAGCGAAAAAAAAAAGAAAGAAGAGAAAATAAGCGATCAATATACTAAATAAGAATATTAGAAAGTGTCTTTTTTCCTTACTTTTGTAAAGATCGAATGGTATTGTTTGTATAATCGTAATCGTTTTCTTTGTTATTTTCCTAAGATTAATAGAAAAAAAAAAAAAAAAGAAAAGAAAAAAAAAAAAAAAGAAGGAGTTGAAACTTCGCAAATTGAATTTTTTTATAAATTGTCGTCTTACCTTGAGAATATCTTTAATACGTAAAGCAAGCTTCACTCGACGCTCCATATCCTCAAAATGATCTACATGAGTATTGACAGAATGACCACAATAACATAACGTATTGTTTTGTTCCTGTGATGAAGGACGCCAGCCTTGGCAAGAACATTGGTCACAAGATAGATGTCGAGCAACCAATAGAGCTTTTTCTTCAAAAGTAAAGTCCATGGACAGAATTCAATCGGCAAAAAAGAGGTCCAATAATAATAATACAACAATAGTCAAGTAATAAAAGGAAAGAAAATATTAAAAAGAAAAAGGATATTCTCCCCACATTGTTAAAAAAAAAAAAAAAAGAAAAAGAAGCCCGCGGTTTTAAAAATATGTAATAGCTTAAAAAAAGATGGTTGATTTTTTTCATGGAATCATATAAACACGCACGCGTAATAATGATTGATAAAAATAAAACAAAATAGATTTTATTTTATTTTCAAATTGAATAAAGTATAGATAATAATAAAAATAACAGTAATAATAATAATGATATAAGGAAACCAATAAGAGAATTCTTGACCCAAAAGATACAATTAGTTATCACCAGGAATTTCATTTTTTTGTTCATACCAAATCAATTTGAGGCTCTATTGGAGCGATCCGTTTATTTGGATCTAGCCCGCATCTTCTTTCTCTTGGCCTTGAGACGTCTTTGTCTTTTCTTCTTCCACTTATCTCTCACTATAATAACAAAAAAAAAAGTACCATTAGTTTAGAGGAATAAATGGATGATATATGTTATAGATGAATGGATGAATGAATGGATGGATGAATGGATGGATGAATGGAGGGATGAATGGATGGATGAATGAATGGATGGATGGATGAATGGATGAATGGATGGATGGATGGATGGATGGATGGATGGATTGATGGATGTCTTTTTTTTACTTACTATTGAAATAATAGAAATGAGTTTAAGGAAGAACCAAATCCAAGGATGCCCATTTTGGGCTTTTAACTACTGTCGCCATCTGAAAATCATCATCTGAATCTCTTCTGAGTCTACCTTCTCTGTTAGTCTACTTTTTTTTTATTTTTTTTTTACCTATCCGATAAAAAGACTATTGTCATGAAATATGATTATCTTTGTCACATTTTTTTCTTTACTATTTCTTTTTCTTAAGAATATCCTTTCTCTGAAAACCATCTTATTTTTTTTATAAACAATCCTACAAATTGTACCAGGTAGTGGATATTCAAACTAGCTCTTCCTTTTTGTTATTCAGTTGAGTTCCCCTGAATCTTTTTTTTTTTTTGTTCTAAAAAAACTTTTTTTTTTCGCATCAAACGTATTCATTATTCATGAGCAAACTCACGTGGTCAGTAACATCAACCATCATTTTCTTGATTTGGCAAGAGTAAGAGAGGATTGATCTATTATTTTTTACACATACTGTACATATCCATCTTTGATCAATGACTGTATTCTCATTTTAGAATACCGCATTGACCTATCTATACGTTTAAGCCTACTTTTTTTTTTTTTTGGTATGATCATCTATTTATGACAAACATCATATTATTATGCTAGAGGAATTAATAAAAGTGGATTTTGTGATTCATTGTATCAAACGACACTTTGTAAAGGTTTTGTTTTGAAATGCTGATAGCCTATTGCTTATACAAAACTTGACATGTATCTCTTTACACTTTTGTAATTTGCTTAAAAGTCATCATCATTGCACCAAATTTGGACTGCACATTAATGAAAGCATTCTCTTTCACTTATATTAATAACTGTTTATACCTTACCTCCCAAACTATAGAGTAAATTAAAAAACAGATATCAATATCATCATCGCTCATTCAATAATGGTCATCATCCCATAAAACTACTACCATTAGATTCCTCTTAAAAAAATAGTCTAATATCATCTAATCTCATTTTATCACTTACCTTGCAACCTAACGTTGCAATGATCATCAAAAGGATTTCATCCATTTTTTGAAAAATTGCCTGATGGTCCCTCGACGATTTATTTCCACAGCTAAAATTTGGCTGAGGAGTCCGAAAATTTTGGCTGTAGAAATAGAAAACCTGGCTCATTTTTTTTTTTTTTGACATTTTTTCTTTTTGTTTGCCAACATGATTTCAGCAGCCTTAAGAGCATCTGCCAAACGGTCCACTTCACGTATAGCAAGAACTAATATAGTTTCCACTCAATATGTTCGACATTATACGTCGACTCAACCATCTGGTCATACTTCAAATGCTACTCCTTGGGCTATTGGTTCTCTCTTAGTTTTTGGTCCTCTTATTTTCAAATTGACTTCCCCTCCTCCTAAAAAACGACAACAACAACAACATCATGAAGAACCACCTGTTGTTCAAACCACCATTACTGTGACTGAACCTACTCCTTCTCCCCCTGCTCCTGTTCCCAAGAAAATTCAAAAACCTTATGTCTTGATTGGTGCTGGTACCGCGTCTTTTGCTGCTGCTCATTCAATCAAGGAAGTGGATCCTGAAGCTAATGTATTGACTTATAAAATAAACATGAATTCCTTAAACTCATCCTTTTCTTTTTTTTTTCTTTCTGTTTATAACGTAGGTGATTATTATTGGTGATGAAGCTTATAGTCCTTATATGCGTCCTCCATTGTCCAAGGAAATTTGGTTCTCTGAAGATCCTGAAGTGACTAAACATTTACGATTTAAGGATGTAAGTTTTGATAAGGACATATATATATATATATGTTTTGGATTACAAACACTTATCTCTTTTTTTTTTTTTTTGTATACATATCTAGTGGGAAGGAAATGAACGTAGTATTTACTATCAAGATGATTCACTTTATGAAATCCTTGAAGATGCTTCTGGTTCTGATTTATCCACTGAAAAGATCAAGTTATTATTGAACAAACCTGTGACCAAATTAAATGTGGAAGATCATACTGTGACACTTGCTGACGGAAGTATCATCTACTACAACAAGGTATAAAAAAAAATTCAATCATTATAAGGATATTCATTTTATTTTCTTGTAGGTACTTTTGGCTACTGGAGGTGCTCCTAAACAACTCCCTAAACAACCAGAATCACCTAATATTACGACTTTCCGTACCATTGATGATCTTAAACAATTAGATGCCATTGTCAAACCTGGTACTCATATTGCTGTTGTGGGTGGTGGTTTCTTGGGATCTGAATTGGCTGTCGCTTTGGCCAAAAAAGCTAGCAAGCAAAAAGATATCCAAATCACTCAAGTCTTCCCTGAAGGTAGGAACAAAAAAAAAAAAAAAGATGATAGGAAATGTGGATTTAATTTTTTTTTTCTTCTTCTTCTTTTTCTACTAGAGGGTAATATGGCTAATGTATTCCCTTCTTATTTGACTAAATGGACCACTAGTCGTGTACGAAAAAGTAAGACCATGATAAAAGAAAAAAAAATACCAAACATTTGATTAAAAAATATATTATTTTTTATGATATTAGCGGGTGTGGATGTCAAGAACAACAGTGTGATCGATTCATTACAAGTATCAGATGACAATAAGAAGATCAAAATGATTTTAGATGCAGGTATGGATTCTCTGGATGTAGATCATGTGGTGGTAGCTGTTGGTATTGAACCTCGTGTAGACTTGGCACGCGAAGCTGGATTGGAAATTGATGAACAACGTGCTGGAGTGATGGTCAATGCAGAATTGGAAGCTCGAAAGGATGTGTATGTAGCCGGTGATATGGTTTCATTCCATGATATTCAACTGGGCCGTCGTCGTATTGAGCATCATGATCATGCTGTGCTCAGTGGTCGTCATGCTGGTCAAAACATGGTTGGACAAAAATCAAAACCTTACCGACATCAATCCATGTTCTGGTCTGATCTTGGTCCTGAAGTAGGTTATGAAGCCGTAGGTTTGGTTGATTCTCAATTGTCTACCGTCAGTGTCTGGGCCAAATCCACTACTAAAGAAGAAAATAAAAAGGAAGAGGATGAAGTGACAAAGCCTTCAAAACCCAATCCTTTCCAAGGTGAAAAGGTAAGTCTCCAAAAAAAAAAAAAAATGGTTTGTCACTGACTTTTTATATATATATATATATATATATATGTAGTTTGAAAAAGGTCTTGTATTCTATGTTCGCGACCGTAAGATTGTAGGTTTACTTCTTTTCAACGTGTTTGGCAAAGTCCAAGAAGCTCGCGATATTATTGATGCTGGTTTGACCTCGGATAAGATTGATCATCTTCTCAAAAAGTAAGAAACTAAGAAAGAAAAAAAAACAATAACTATAGGACTGATCTGTTTCTTTTTAATATATATAAAAAAAAATAGATTCGATCTTTACTCTGATGATGCCCACTAGATAGTGTCCTTGTCCTTCTTGTCCCCAACTCTTTTTTATCTTTATTATTTTTACATTGTCCCTTCTAGATTAGATAGTTTTTGTCTTTATATATTATGTATGTGTCATTGAATAATATTAATAAAAAAATTCATATGATTCTTATGATGATGATGGAATTCAATAGATCAGACTAATTATACTTTTAATAACAAAACTAGTATGATTTTATTAATTGTGTTGTATGTACAAAGAGAATATAGGGTAGTAATTGGAATTAGATTTTTTTTTTCTAAAAAATAAAATAAATTAAAGTCTATCATAAAGGGAAATGTCAGTGTGTGCATGTATGTATATGTATATGTACGTGGAGAAAAAAAAAAAGGAAGAAAATATCTATGTAGAAAAAAAAAAAAAAAAAAAAAGGGATGCTATATATATTTTTTTCTTTAAAAAAAAGGGAGGATAAAAGACAAGTAATGTATAAAGTAGAGTCATCATGACTTTCACTGAAGCACACACTGACAGAATGATTTGATACGTCGACGCATATTGCCCCGAATCGTTGATGATGGTTGTTCTCGTTCTTCAAAAGTTTGTATATCGCTGTTTGATTGACCTAGAGAAGAAGTATCCAATGGAGTACCACGCAAAGTTTGAGTACTTATACCAGCTTCTATGTCATCAGATTGTTCTAGTGCTTGTAATGATGGAGGATGTCGTATATCTATCCAAAAAAATGGTATGAACTTCTTTTTTTTTTCATTTATTCATGAATATTCCTTTTCCTCCTCTTACCACTCATTTCATATATGCTACTAGATAAAGAGGAAGCTGCTTCTCCACCTACACCAGAGTCATGTGCTTTTTCTTTTCTTGATTCCCATATAATACAATTGTCTTGAATCACTTTAACAGCAAAACTCATATCTGGAAAAAAAAAAAAAAAAACAAAGTGAGTTTGTAATAAATATCATTTGAAAACGTATGGACATCCTTCTTTTTTTTTTCCCCTTTAACATCTTTTCTACTTACCAGGTAAAACATTTGCCACAGCATCAAATAGCTTTCCTGCCACATTTTTCTTGAATCCCAATTGAAAATCTTCCAAAGAGATCTTGCCTCGATCATTAATAGGTAAAACTGACAAACCAAGTTCTTTTTCCAGATCACCTTGTTCATGGAATTCTTGTTGAAGTATTTCTGCCCATTTTTTTGCCACAGGGAATGGTCTTGCCTGTATATATATAAGAGAAAGAAAAAAGTAACCATAAATATTTATATTATATATAGACACTCAAACTTACACAATTACTAATATCTGCACATTTGATAAGAGATCCACAAATCAGAATGATTTCGTTTTCCGCTTGCTCTTGATCTTTTACGTCAACAGGTTGTAGATCTAACCTTGTTTTTTGTGCTTGAATCTTGTTGACATAATCATCATGAAGTCCCATATCTGTAGCCAAGATACTTTGTACTATAATCTTTCGGAATCGGGTATATTCAGCAGTTGTTTGCCATTCAGTCAGAGGTTGGAAACAATGCCGTTGTAGAATATTGAAGAAAACCATAGCATGAAAGCTTTCAAGTACTGATCGATCATTATACATCAATGCTAATGGAGTCGCCGTCCTGATCTAGATAGAGATGGAATTAAAAATAAAAAATTGTTTTACTATTTCAGTTCATTATTTTTTTTATCACCGTTAATGATAGAAATGTTTCTTACCATAAAGATATTGTTGACACCAGGATGACCCACATCATGACCTATACTCGCCAGAATCAATGCTAGGATATCGTATGAAGAGAATAATGATTTCATATTTCCATTGTCTTTGAACCAATCGTATTGTCCAGGAGGAGTTTTGAAGTCGATACTAGGGGAGGCACCTGTATCCATAGGAAGTAGAACACCTATCTGACATAAAAAGTAATAAGTAGCTTGCATCACATCAACTGCATGCTGGAAGTTGTGATACGGATTCAAGGATTGATACATATTTGCCACATCAAAGATAAAGTCATAAAGTTCATCTAAATTTTCATTGAGAATAGAAGGAGTAATGAGTTTTCCTTGATTTCATTTACTTCACAATTTACCATCCGAAAAAGAGATATGTTGTAATTCCGGCATTTCAAGCACATGGTTCAAGAGAATGAATACACATTGCATAAGTTCATAATGATCAAAATCAAAGGGTGCAAAATGCCAGCTACTAAGTTGAGACCGTAAACGAGCATTTGTTTCACTACGTAAGATTAAATTAGAATGGATTCATTTTCTCTCCCTCTTTTTTTTTTTTAATTGATTTACCTTGAAAGTTTATTCAGTTGTGATCGACTAATATTGGCATCGCGAATAAAGTATTCAGAGACACTTTGATGAATTCTATATTGATGATGATGGTTACTAAGATCAAAAAAAAAAAAAAGGTAATCTCTATATTACTTACAAATTGCTATTCACTTGAAAGACAGATTGTAACCTTTTTTGAAACGCTTTCCAATTTGTCCCCTTTGATTCGCCTGACTCGATTGACTTCAATGAAGATGCTGATCGTTGTCTTTGACTTTCCTGACGATGACGCCTAGCTGATCGGACGATATTCTATATAAATATTAAATTAAATTAAATTAAATGTCATATATATAAGTTATTATTATTATTATTACCAAAAATAAAGTGTTGACGACTTCTTGACGTAAAGGTTTAATAATATAATCACAAGCACCATGATCAAGGCATTTCACCATGAAATCCGTAGAGCAACAAGAGGAATAGACTAGTAACCCCCCAAAAAAGGAAAAGGTATAGAATTAGAATCCATTATTTATATTTAAATAAATATATACCAATAGGAGCCACATTTTGTAGTGAACCATTATTCATAGCATATCGAATTGAATCCAAAGTATCCAATAATGTTTCACCAGAATAAGCATTATCATCCAATAATACCAAAGTTGACATTTCATCCCCCTTACTTGAATAATGTGCTTGAAGAATCCCTAGAACATCAGGATGACTTGGTACAAAAGTTACTAACAAAAAAAAAAAAAAACCACGTGAGGAAATGGAAACCAAAATAAAGGACCGATCTATTGTAATTTTGACTTACCAAAAGAAAAGACTGTATGTAACAATGAAAGAGATTCATCAGAGTTTTCAGAATCAGTGACAACAACCACACAGCATTGACTAGCATCCATAATAGTTGTTGGTATTTTTGTCGGATAATAAGGAATATATAGATCCAAAATAGGGAGAGAGTATAATACTATAGTATATTTTGGTACGTTGTCTTGTTCAGTGTAGATTCCAGTATATATATATATGTATATATATATATATATATATTGTTGTTATTTTGTTCTTTTTGTTGTTACTGTTGTTGATATAAAGAAAAGGTGAATCACAAAAAAAGAAAAAAGAAAAAGTTCAAACAACCCGCAAAATAGCAAACCTAATCAATTCCATTTAGTCAAATGAATTTTTTTTTAAAAAAAGGAAAATTCAAGAATAAGTTTCTTAGGGTCATTCAATCATAACATATTACAAATGTATTGTTGCTTACATGCAGAGAGTATGTAGCCTGTAAACGAGTGATGTAAGTGAAGAAAGAAAGAAGCGTGACAATAGTATGTTTCAAATGGGGAAGGGAAAAAGGGAAAAGGAGTCCACTTTTTTTTCCGATTCTACCAACCAATCACGGGCGGAATGTGAAACCTGATTTCATGCGTTGTGAACTTCCCTTTGACTCTTTCAGTGACCAGATCATAGCTTATTACTTTAAATCAATCATCATCTACTATAAATTAATGTAATTATCAAGGCAGTTTGAATTATTCAGAGAAAGAAAAAAAAAGTATGATACCAAGAAAGACAAAGAAGAAGGATTTATGTCGTCATCTTTACCATAAATTTTTGGGGTGAAGAATAAACACTTACTACATTTTAAGACTTTTTGTCTATTCTTTCCTTCTATGTTTTTTTTTTCTTTTTGTTACTTGTTCATCTCCTATTTAAAATACTATGAACTATTGTGCGGTTTTCTTTTTTTTTTTTCTTAAAAAAACAAAAACAAAAACAAATGATCATCATCATCTCTCTGTGCCCTGAATTCCCCATCATCATAAATGGTGAGAAGAAATATGCTTACATATCGGTGTTTTCTGATGACCTTTAGTCTGTGTAACTGCCACCTATACCTTTTTCCATAATTGGATAGTCATATCCTTGCCACCTATATCTTTTGAATAACCAATCAAAGTTGATTTAATTCTTTGTTTTATCATATCATAGTTTATATTTACATATATAAAATCATATATTCATCATTGTATATCTTAAGTGGATGAATAAATTATTTAAGAAATAGAGTATGATTTAAACAAGTAGAGTATAAAATAATACATTTTGTAACGGCTCCGAAGAAATCGGGTATCATAAACTGGGGTATATTTTTTAGAAGGTGTTGACTATATTGAAAAAGCTTCTCGTGATGTGATTCGATAAAGTTTATTCGCCGACGGCATCAAATTTAAGATATAAAGAAGTTGTCTTTTTTTTTTTTTATTTTTTTTTTTTCTTTCTTTCTTTCTTCTCTACTTTATTTTTATAAAATCAATAAATAACAATGGCTGCCTACAAACGTGTTGAATTCGAAAACTTTTCAAAGACTTCTTTGGCTTCTTGTACTGGTAAGATAAAAGTTTTTCTATTGATTTTTAGTGATTTGACCCATTCTTTTTTTTTTATTATAGATCTCGCTAGTGCTGCTACTGGTACCACCATTGTTCATGTTACTGATGAATTCTTTGCTCCTGCCACTAATATGATTAATCCTGCTCCTCCTCTTCATTGTCCTGGTCGTTTCGTTGATACTGGTGCTTGGATGGACGGTTGGGAAACCAAACGCCACAATCCTACTTATGATTGGTAAGTTACAAATCCGGAAGGTTCCTCCTGCCACAGTCCTCCTCAAAACAAACATCACTTTTTTTTAATGCACGACAAGAAAAAAAAAAAAAACTTATCTCTCTCTCTTATCTTACTTTTTCTTTGAAATAAATAGGGCTGTTATCAAATTGGGTTTCCCTGGTTCTTTCCGTGGTTTTGACATTGATACTCATTACTTCACTGGTAACCAAGCTCCTGCTGCCTCTGTTGAAGGTGCTTTTGTTCCTGAAGGTGATGTCTTGGCCGATAATGTCAAGTGGACTGAAATCTTGCCCAAGGTTGAACTTCCTCCTACTTGTCATAATGTGTTTGAACTCGAAAAAGAATCTGCTGTTTATACTCATCTTCGTTTGAATAACATTCCTGATGGCGGTATTGCTCGTTTCCGTGCCTATGGTAATGTTCAACCTATTTGGTCCGAAGATAAGTCGTAAGTTATTGTTGATTAAAAAAAAAAAAGATATATATGTGTGATATGGTAGATTAATAATCCTTTCAATTTGATTATTTCATCTAGTGCTATCGTTGACCTTGCTTACCTTGGTAACGGTGCCAAGGCTGTTGAAGTGAGTAACTCTCATTATACACCTGGTTCCAATGTGTTGTTGCCTGGTCGTGGTCAAAACATGGGTGATGGATGGGAAACCAAACGTTCTCGTACTCCTGGACATGTTGATTATGTCACTGTTCGTTTGGGTGCCAAGGGTCATTTGTTGAAGGCTGAATTGGATACGTCTCATTACCGTGGTAACTATCCTAACAAGATTAAGATTGAAGCTACCAACTCTGATGCTGAAATCCCTCCTGCTGATGCTAAATGGACTAGTTTGGTTGAACCTGTTTCTGTTGGTCCTCATGATATCTTCTACTTTGATCTTCCTCACACTGACAAGGTCTTCAGTCACGCCAAGGTGACCATTATTCCCGGTAAGTCATAGAAGAAAGACGTTGTAAAAAAAAAAAGGAGGATGAGTTAATTTTTTTTTTTTTTTGATCTTTTCATAATAGATGGCGGTTTCAAGCGTATTCGTCTCTATGGTGTTCGTGAAGGTGGTGCTATTCCCAAGCTTCCAATTGAACGTCCCAATATCCACACTTTGGAAATCATCAATGGTGTTTAAATCCTATCTCTTTTTATATTTTTTCTTTATACTTTTTTTTTTATATATGTATCGTGTATCTCTTCCTTTGTAGAAAAAAAACCCAAAACTGTACTTTAGCCTTCCCCTTCCTTTTTTTTTCTTACTCATATATCTCCCTCATAACTATTTAGAAATATAGTTGTACTGATCGTCATTCTTTAAATAAAAGATCTACATGTATATAAAAAAAATATAGTCTGATGTTACCTCCCATTCTTTTTGTTATCATACCCCTTTACTCTTGCCTTTATTCGTAAATGACACCTCTGATCCTTTCAAGGAATACAGATCATCAGCAAAAGATACGATGAAATAGTCATCTCATAACCAAACAGTGTTTCATTCAATATATACATAAAAAAAATTATTTCTTTATTCAAAAATAAATCATCTAATTATGAGATTTGTGATAAAGTATATGGAGGATATTTGGTTTGGGCAAATGTCATCAAACGTTTCACACCTTGAATCCATTTTCTTGAAGTTTCGTCGTTAAGTACATGAGCTACTTGGGAAGAGAAAATTTTTTCTCGAGCAGATCGTTCGTGAATACTAGGAGAGTGAAAATGAGAAAATGAATATCCACTTTTTTTTTTTTTTTTTTTTTTTTTTGTACTTACCCCACCATGGTAACACCAATAGGCCAAGGAGCATTGCCGATGGATAATTGTAAATAGGAATCTTGAGCATCTCGGTATTGGCGAATTTGCATATAGTGAGTGATTTCAGCTACACGAGCTAGAACATCAGGTTCCAATGTCTAACAGAAATGAGGAAGAAGTGAGTCAATGTTTCTGATACTTTTAGTTCTGTCTTACCCCCTTTTTTAATTGTCGTAATAATGGTTTGATATGTTCTACTGTTTGTTTTTGCATTACTGCTGCACGTTTGCCTGGTCCACTTCGTCGTTCTTCTTCTGGTCTTGCTTCCATTGCTTCTTCCCATTCATCCATCGAGTGCTAACCCAACAATAAAATAAATAAATAAATTACAAATCATTATCTAAGATAAATATTATTATTAATTTTTTTTTACCATCAAATAGACATAGATTTGTAATGCTAGTTTGTCACGATCAGTTCGCAGTAAAGCAATATCAATAGGTTCCACAACGTATTCCGCCTTTTTCACCTTTTTCTTGTCATCATGTCCTGATCCACCTTTTTGTTTCAAGATATCCAATCGCATACCTTCTTCCATTTCCTCCAATTTTCGCATAAATTCATTTTGTTGGCCTCCATCCTAACAAGAACATTTCAAAGATTAGTTCCGTGTCAGTTATTATTTTTGTTTTTCTTGTACTTACTTCAGATCGTTCTTCCATCAATTCCAAAGCACGTAATCGAATTTTACATTCTTTATCCGTTTCTGCAAATAATCGAATAGGTTGTCCTTTGGATCGTAGTCGTCGAATAACTTCTTCTCTTGATATGTTGAATACTTCCACGTCTGCCTCCTATTCCAGTAAATAATAGTCAATATAATTCCTTTTCTTTTTTATTCAATGAGTCTCTTACTTGTTCTTGAGTTTCTGTCTTTTCTGGTTGCTTTTGTTTTTCCAACTCCCGTTTTGCCTGTATCTATAGTAATGAAAATAAAATATTGTTGAGCCAAATGTGTTGTATTTTTTTTAAAAGTTCTTACATCTTGCTGACGTTGTTTTTCCTTTTTCTACAAGTTAATAATAATAAAGAAAGAGAAAAAATGAGTAAATATATAAATACTTCCTTGTCAAAATTTATTTTTTGTTTTACGTACCAAACGTTCCTTTTCCAAAAAGGCTTCATGTTCCCGTCGATACTCTTCTTCTCGTTGTCGTTCCATTTCAGCTCGACTAAAATACTTTTTAGTTGAGCCATTTTCTTTAATTGTTGAATCTAATGTTTTTCGTTTTTGTGACTTTTGTGCTTCAATCGCTTCCTTGAGAAAATCCATAGTTGATATTTTAATATATTAAAGGAAAAAAAAAAAAGAAAGAAAGAAGGAAAAAGAAAAAGAAAGAAAAGAATCAAAATGCTAGCTTCCTCCAGTAAAAAAAAATCGTCACTGGGACGGCCTTGAAAATATCTCACCCAATAAAATCGACAGATTCATAAAAGAAAAAGGAACCTTTTGCTTTTTTGATTCTCACTGTTTTTCCTTTTCCTTTTTTTTTTTTCTTTTTTTTTCTTTTTTTCTTTTTTTTTTTAAGAACAAACCAACATCATGACGATACGCAATATAGATAACGCTCGAGTTGACATGGATACCGAACGAATTGAAAAACATGTACAGCGGGCCAAAGAAATCATTGAAAAGGACACCAAGGAAGTCGGTAGTTTTTGGGTGAACAAGTACAAAAAGGAAGCCGCTAGAAACTGGGATATCTTTTACAAACGGCATGCTACAAAGTTCTTCAAAGGTAAGAAATTGATTTAAATCAAGTGTAAAAATATTCATAATACAACACTTTATTTTTTTTTATACATCTATTTAGATCGCCATTGGACTGAAAGGGAATTCAAAGAACTTGCTTGTCAAGAAGGGGAACAAGATCAACAAAAGTTTTGTTTAGAAATCGGTTGTGGGGTTGGCAACTTTGTATTTCCTGTACTAGAAGATAACAGCAATTTATTTATATATGCCTGCGACTTTTCAAAGCGTGCTGTAGACATGGTGAAGGTAATCAAAAAAAAAAAAGAAATCATGAATATACCATACTTGATTTTTTTTTTTTTTAGCTAACATGGTTTCTTGTTTAGGAAAACGAATTATACGATGAAAAACGATGCAAGGCCTTTGTATGTGATATCACTAGCGATCCTTTAACCGACAATGTACCTGAAAATAGTTTAGATCTTGTATCGGCCATCTTTGTATTATCTGCCATCCCTCCAGAAAAGCTTCATCTTGCTATTCAAAACGTCTTCAAAGTATTGAAACCGGGTGGACAGGTCTTACTTCGGGATTATGGATTGTATGATGAAGCTCAAGTCAAATTTAGTGCTACTTCTGACAAGAAACTGGACGAAAACCTCTATGTGCGCCAAGATGGTAAGTTAATCCAGTGTACATATATGATATTGATTTGCTAATAAATCTTATTGTTTTTATAGGAACTCTAAGCTATTTCTTTTCATTAGAAGATCTTCAATCAAGATTTGAAGCTGAAGGATTCAAGACAATCAAGAATGAATATGTATACCGGGAAACAACAAATCGAAAATTGGAAATGACAGTAGATAGGATTTTTGTACAAGCCAAATTCCAAAAGCCATAGATATAGATAGTTGTAGTATATTTAATATTTAGCTTAGAAAACATGATCTCTCTCTGCATATGTATATTTGTATTTTCTTTTTTCTTTTTTACTTTCTCTTTTATTTGATTATTTTCATTCGATTCTTCTTCACATTTATATCATCAGTTTATCATGTACCATTTATCATCATCATTTGTCTCAATACACACACACATATATATAGAATAAAAAATAATTTATCATAAATAGTTGCGGCAGTAACATAATGGCTGTTTGAAGTAGGATGAGTATCTTGCTTACAGTCTCTCAATAATAATACAAAAAAATTGTATGATCTTTTTCTGATCTGATTCGTTTCCCTTTTCATTTAGCCCTTCATCATTGTAGTTCTTTTCTGGTTGACGGTTTTTCTTAGGTCTAGAGAGTATAGACCCACACATCTTGTAATAAAAATGATATCACCACACGTTAAGAAAAAATCACACGGGTATTGACTAAAAATCAATATCTGATCAAGATTGGTCGATACCAATATTTTTTTTTTTTTTTTACCATGCCATCATCAAGATAAATTATGAGTTTGACTGAAAATAATAATGAAAATCATTTATTATTATTATTATGATTATTATGATTATGATTATTATTGTTAAATAAATAAATACAACTATCAATGTATAAACACTATCTATATACACTATACTAAAGGATCCAATCATCATTCACTATCTTCGTCCAATAAGTCAACTTCATCATCTTGATCATCATCCATAGGAGAAGCAGATTGGTGATCATCATCATCATCACCATTGTTATCTTCATCATCTAGACTGGCATCGGAGTCGTATTCCAAAGGATCTTCATCATCACTGTTATTGTTGTTTGGCATGAAATCTACATCGGCATCATCATCATCATCGTCATTATTTTGTATAGCTTGTCGTTCTTCGTCATTGTCGTCATCATCACATTCCTGTTTGTATTGTTCCTTGGATGATTTGATAGGTTCAGGTGCTTTTGTCGCTTCAGTCATACTTCGATCATTGATACCCACTTTTTTAATATATCCTTCAATGCCTGCATAATCCGATTGTTCAATCATACTGAAAGGGAGATAAACCGTTTGTCTTTGGGCTATCTCTTGCAAAAAAGGAGTCCAAGAGATCGCGTCAGCTGCACCCAGAGGGTAGTGATCAGGTAATAATTGTAGGGCCAAATCAAACGTATGTTTGGTGACGTTGGTGATGACGGTAGCAGCGATCATTGTATTGGGGATAAACATAGTTGGTTTCTTGAAGCCAAATAACACACCTTGAGGTAAAAAGTACAATACGCCATCTTTGTTTCGTAAATAGGTTTTGACAAATGTTCGATCGGTATCAGGTTTACCAGTGCTTGGAGAGACGCCAGAGCATACATAAAACTGGTTGGATGGTTCCGCCAATTGTGCAGGAGTGACCACTTGGTAAGTCAACAAAAGATCCACTAGCACTTTTTTCTTGTCGATGGGTGATGTGATGGTTTGTTCTTCATTATTGTTGAGGATGGTCAAAGCGCCTTTGTCAGGGAGCGAAAGGACAAAAGGATCAGATCGTTGTGAGAAGAGAGCCGCTGTGAATGAACCTATTGGTTTTTCCGGTGTAGGGATGATACAAGCTATTTCAAAGTCGGATGTCGCAATACTATATTCCACCATGTGTGTCTTCTCGTTCACCAGTTGCAAAAAGGATTTTGTGAGCACCAGGGTATATTTCTTGCGAGCTGGTAACTGGAAGCTGAGATCGGGTATCTTGGTCCTTTGCTCATCCTGTGAATCTATGTTCATGCTATCAGGTATCAGTTTACGTTTCTTATTCCCATCATTCGTTGCTGCTGGTGTATTGTGAAGTTTCGCGCGATAATAGTCAATCAGTTGGGCAATGGTTGGTCCAGCTTTGGCATATTCCTGAATCAATTGTGTAAGAGCTGTCTTCAAACTATTATCGTCAATGTCATCTAATTGAGGTACCATAATAAATGATGTATATATTCTAAGTGTCTACAAAAAAGTAGAAGTATAGGAGAAAGAGAGAAACAGAAACGAAAAGGAGTCAAGTCACATACTTTTCTCTCTTGCCTTTTTTTTTTTTTTTTTTTTGTATTCCGCCCAAATTGGGAAATTGTGTCAATGCTCGAAAGTATCTGTGAAGAGTTGTATTGGTTCGTTGTAAAACTAACGTATTGACTGAATCATCTTCAATAAAAAGTCAATAAATGTTCAAATCAAATTAAAAAAAAAAAAAAATGAATGTAAAAAAATGGATGACTTTATTGAATAAAAATGAAAAGAGATAATAAATAGATGATCATGACAAAAATAATATGACTACTACGAGAGCGATCATTGTCTTCTCTTAAAGGATCCACGGCCAAAACTCAAAGGAATCATCATGCCAAGGTCAGATCTTGCTATTTCATTCAGGGTAGACGCGTCCAAAAACAAAAGGAAAGATGTTTGTCGAATCACATCCAAAACAACACTAATTAATACACCATCATCTTCTTTGCTAACTGATCCATCTTGTTGTTGATCTGTTGAAACCCTGGGAACGAAAATGGCTTCACTTGGATAACACCCATTATCATTCCATTTTGCTTGAAGAGTTCTAGAGTTGACATCCAACTTGACAATGCTATTCCAATAACTTGGTCGACCATTATCACCACGATTGTTTTCCATGTCGTTGCTGATATCCGATTCTGAAGTCACTCCAAGTCCATAGAGATAGGTATATTTCTTCAATTTGTACGATGGATGAAGTGTAGGTAATTCAAGATCTTGTCCAAGTTTGGTGAATGTAGCAATAGGCATCCATTGATACCATCCATTTTCATTCAAAGGTTTTTCAACATCGCCAACATCACTACTGGATCCATTGTTACCGGTACTGCTGTTACCACGAACATAATTCCATAAAGATGACATGGATGAAGTAATGCTATTCACTGAAGGGATATAGGATTGATTATTCACAAAAGTCGATTGGGCTGCATTGAGATTGTGTAAAAGATAACGCCTAACTTCTGACATTGGTAAAGGCGAAGCAGATGTCGTATCACGTAGTCGATCAGTCATTAAATGATGTGCAATAGTATCGTCTTTGTATGTCACGATATCCACAAATATTTGTCCATTATCATCTTCAAAGGCATTTGCATGATTGAATCTATAGTAAAAAAAAAAAAAAAAAAAAAAAAAAAAGGTATATTAGAAAATCAACGCATATGCTGTCTTTTTTTTTTTTTTTTTTTTTTTTTTTGGAAAACTTACCCAAAACATGGAGGAGCTTGATAATTGGCAATGACTTGACCTTTTTCCCTTGATATGACATAAAACAAAGTCGGTTCGCTAGGATAATAAGAGAAGGAATCCATAATACTTTCATTCCAAGCATATTTGACAGCACTTGAATGGGCCAACATGGGGAAGATTACCAAAATAATGTAATTTTCCGTCACTGCAAAACTGTTCACATAACCTGTTGGAGTATTGTACACAGTAGCGATGATAGAACCACGAGTATTTTGTTCAGTTGTTGAGAAAAAGTGATATCGAGTGGTTCGGTAGCCAATTTCCATAGTGAAATTAATATATTCACCAGTCTTTGCATCGTAATGTCCATTGGGACAAGAGTTGTAACCTTGAAATGCTGGATTCACTTCGTCCCAAGTAAGTACACGAGATGGTTTCAAATCAAAAGGATCTAATTCTTGAATCTAACAATAAAAAAAAAAAAAAAAAGAAGGTTGAGCAAGCAGATAGGTTTAAAAAAAGCACGAGACAGTAATAAACTTACATGATTGGCCATATTTTGACAGAATAAACGTCCATCTACACCAGGAATACTTGTCAATATTCTAGCACCACAAGGTTCTCCATCCGGTTTGCTTGCTTTTGATGCAGCCTTCATAAATTTGATCAACACAGTTTGATTAGCATGTGTGTTGAATAAGCCCGCAGGATGACAAGGAGCATAACCATGATGATCACGGATTTTTTCAATCAGGCGATGACTAGTAAGGCGGCTACGATAACTAACTGTATTTTGTTGTCCATTTACATCAAATCGATTAACAAGAGGAAGCCTTAAAAAAAAAAAAAAAAGAATTAAATATCATATCTTGGTTGATCACCACTGACAGGTCTTACCCATCAAACAAATGACCAAAAGTGAATGTTCCAGTCGCGCTTTGCAGATACCCATCCACCTCTATTTTCCTAGTATAACGAATATCAAAGGTACCAGGACCCACAGTATAGTGTTCAGTTGTCAACCATTCAGGTAATTGGCCAGAAACTGGTAACATAATCGTCTCCGTTTTATCGCCAGCATTGCAGATGCCCTAATAACGATACAATTTATCAGTACATAATAGAGAAGTAAAATCATTAAGACTTACCTTGACATGAGTAGCATTCAAATCATAGTGGTCAGTGGGTTTTGTCACAGGTGAATTGACAACAGAAGGTGAGCGTGAGATGTTGGGACTTCCGTGCGCATCCAATAGACTTTGTTCCGAACGATCTGGTGTATCGGTACTGTATGCAAAAGTAGGTTGAAGAGGATGCTCTTGAGTCACCTGAGTAATTGTATCGTCGTCATCTTGAATGTCATTATTGTCGACATTCTTGCTGCTACTGTTGTTGTTGTTGTTATTGTTATTATCGAGGCTACTAGCATGTTCGTTCTTGGTATCGTTTACATCCTTATGGTCTTTTATATACACATCTTGACCTTCATGTTCAGTGACTTGCATCAAAGTGCTGTTTTGGTCATTCACTGTATCCATTATTATGTATATCTATCGAGAAGATAAAGAGTTATATATATACATAAAAGAAAAGGGCGAAAGAAAGAACGAGAAAAAAAAAAAAAGTTCAGCCTTCTTTTTTGTCATACATGTTACGATTCAACCTCCGTTCGCTCAGTAACTCGTATGCATCATGTCAATCCTTATTCTTTTTCGTATAAAGACAAAAGATCAACTATCGAAATAGCCAATTTTTAAACACCATCATCATCATCATCATCATCATCATAGAAATTATGATCCATAACTTGAATCATCAATCATTGTTCTTTTCATATCTTACTTCTATCTGGGTGAACTCACTGATGTATGAATATCTTCTCTCTGTCAGGTTTCAATCGGCATCATCTATCATTGATCATCTATCCTTTTGATTACCCAAAAAAAAAGACTAACTTTTTATTAATATACAGGAAGAATCATCTAGTCTACATTAAGCAAAAAAAAAAAAAAAAAAAAAGGAACTACAATGATAATAAATACTACTATGGCAAAAAAGAAAATGTAAAACATAAAAATCAAGGATATCTATCTATATATATATATACGTATATAAGTAATAAAAAAAAACAACTAAAAATAAAATACTAAGCTACTAGGCATGTTTTTCATCAAATGGTCTATCGTTGATTTCAGTCTTTGCATCCTTGATAGAGAGAACATCATCATGTTCTGGAATAACATTGGTATCGGGAATCTTACTAGCGACCATTAACATGAAGGGAAAAGAAACCATGACCAAAATCCAGCTGATCAAGCATTCCCACTTCAAAGGAATATCACAAGCATCAATACCAAAAGAAATAGCAGCACCAGCACTTTGCAAAGCCTTATAAAAACCAGCATAACGGGCAAGAATAGTAGGATCATTTGACATGGCACCCATCAACCAATACAAGTAGGATTGATACATAGCATCCGAGAAACCATACAACATATACAAGACAAAAGGTCCACCAAAACCATCCGTTGTCCAATGAATAGGGGAATCATAGCTATTGTCGAATGTCAATTGGAAGATGAAGCCACCAATCCATACGGCTAAGATGATACAGAACATGATAGCTAATGTCAATAGACCACGGGTACGACGAGAAAAGCCTTGATAATCCAACAAAGCACCGACAGCGAGAGAGGCAAAGATTTGCATACCCCAATACATTGTACCATTCAAAGCACGGGTGGCAGAATCAAAGTAAACAGCATTGACACGGAATTGATAAGAATAAAACCAGTTACTTGCCAAAAAAGCAGGGAACAAAGCAACCATACGCCATTCACGCCACACATTCATCGCGCCTTTCAATTCATCCTTCCAGCTTGTATGATGTACCACTGCCACATAAGAACCGTCGGAGCGTATGACACGAGTGGGAGGAGCAAGACCAAGAGAAATCACGGTACCAATAAGCATAATCACAACGAAAGCTGTATATGTTCCAGTGGTAACACCTCCAGCCGAATTGTTGATGTTCATTCCTAAACTAATTACAGAACCAAGGATACCACCAATATTGAATAACGCCCAAAAGATGGCAACAAATTTACCCTTGTTCTTTTCATCAGGATAAGCCATCATGATTGCCCCTTGAGCAGCCCAGAAGACAGCAGCACAACATCCAAGAATAGCACCAGCAGCAATCACAAATCCAGACACTTGTTTACGGTCATATACCCATAAGGATGCGGAATACAGAGCGTAACCCAAAGAACTGATCTAAAATAATTGAAACACAAAAAAAAAAAAAAAAATTAGTATACGAATGTATGTAATAAACGTGATTAAAAATAAACTAATATATATATAGTTGTCCCGCGGAACAGAAACAACCAAAAAAAAAAAAAAAAAAAAAAAGAACCTTTTCCCCTCCGCCCCCACTTTTTAATTGATGTATTACCGTTAAGCAAGAACGAATACCAAGTTGATTGACAATAGAACCAGCAAAAAAACCCACAATACAGAAACAACCATAAAGAGCACCATTAGCAGAATCCACTAGAGTCACATTGGAACTCATAGAACCACCAGCACCTAATCCATTGAGAGCATTGAAGATACCAGGACAACAAAGACAAACAAATCCTAAAAAGGAGACTTGAACTAATGGCGAGAAAAACCAGTCAAAACGTGAAGATGTCATTTAAATATATATATGATGTGTATGTATATTTAAAAAAAAAAAAAAAAGAATGTATATATGAATGGGATATATGTATACAAAAGAAGATGAAGAAAAGAAAAAGAAAAAAAAAAGGGAAAAATAAAATTTTGGACATTTTATATCCGTTTTTCAAATTCAGGGACTTAACCAAATTAGGGAGGCTTTTTTTATTTACACCTAATCATTTCTTGCACCCTGTTTTTTTTTATTTATCTTCATCCAACAGGGTCAGAACCAGTCATCTTGGATTAAAAAAAAAAAAGAAGGTTTTCTAGTTTATCCTTTTTTCCACATGGTTGGTTTAAATCTCAGGTGAATCAAAAAGTTTGATTAACCAGTAAAATAAGATGATGATTCTTTCTCCATCTGGGGCGGACCAAAAAAAAAAGAAATATGAGGTGGGGTTACCCCGAGACCCACATTTTTTTTTAATGAGAACAATGATGGTTACAAAAGAAAAAAAGGTACTCTTACTGAGATTGTTTTCATTGTACAAAGATTCTTTTTTCTTTTTTTTAAAAAAAAAAATGAAAAACGGTGACATGGATGATGGGAGGGAATAACGAGAAAGTTATGTGTTATGTAAGAGACCCTAATAAACCTTAAAACTAGATATGATAATTTATTTTTTTATGTCATGGGAAAAAAGGGTTCTTTGAGGATACAACTAGTGTAACACTTTCCGCGCTTCATAGTCCGTTAAATAAAAGATAAAAATCATTCGTTTATACTTTATTACCCCGCTTTTCCCGTTGAATCCTGGCCAATATTTGGGATTCTTTCCGTGGAACTAGACTTTATATATATTATCAATTCATTAGATAGCTCATCGTGGGAAGTGTAACTGAGATTTAACATCGTCATCCTTTTTTTTTAAAAAAAAGGGGTTTTTAGGAAAGGGTCCTGCTTAAATCATCAGGATGAATCATCTCATTAACAAATTTTTTTATGGAATCCATTTTTTTTTTAAATCTAGTCACAAATAAAGGATTATTGTTGTATCCAGGGAAAAAAAAAAAAGAGAGAACTTTTGAGAGGCTTACAATGTTGTCACTCATCCATCATCACTATCTTCATTATCATCCATCATTAATAACGCCATATAAACAACAAACAAAAGTAATTTAAACTTTGACATTTCTTTTTCCGTGTATGGGGATGATCTCATGTGATGATTGTCCAAAAAAAAAAAAAAAAAAAGATGACGCATTTCTTATCAACATCTTATTGTCTAGAATACGCATATACCCGAAAAGAAAAAGAAGCCCAGCATTGATTAAAAACACCTTCTTTATTAGACAAAACAATAAATAAATAAAAAAGTAAATAGTAATAGATGACAGAAAAGTAAAAGTTAAATAAAAAGTAAGTCTATCAAGGTAACAAAGTAAAGGGGAGTTTTTCTGGAAGAGAGATACCATCTTGACTGACGATTTTTGCCAAATGCATCGCAATAGCAAATTCATGTACATCCAAAGCACCATCAGTATTCAAATCGCTTAGTCGCCATATTTGTGCCAAGACATCATTGGGTAACCCAGATTGCATCAAAAGAGACTTGGCTGCTGTACCAGAGAGCTTGTCGTCTGAACCAACATTTTCAGAGAACATCGTTTGATAATGAGCTTTGTCGTTTGCTGAGATTTGCCATGGATTACTGCTAGGTACTGGTGTTTCATTGGGTTCATCATTAGTAAGGTCAAATGGATTCCTTTCATGTTGATTTAAGGTAGGATTACCCACTGGAAGTTGTGAGATCAAACTTGGCAAATCTACATTCAAGGCCTTCAAAAAAAAAAAAAAAAAAGAATCAGTCAGTTTATTTTTTTTTTTTTGAATCTATTATAATTATTTTATTCACCTCATCCACTTTTAATAAAAGATCTTCTTTCATTGGCTTGAATTTATCCATATCATACACTGATAAAGCTTGTCTAAACTTGTCCACATTAGGAAAATCACCAGCAGGAATATGATAACGTTGTTGTAATTTTATAAATTCTTGGTCCAAATTGGCCAATAAAGATTCTTGTTTTTTCTTTTTTCCAAACATGGCTGGCATTTCTTTCTTCAAATGACTGATGATCAAAGCATGAACCTATCAAAAAAAAAATATGAGATGATTTTCTTTTAGTTTAGTTTAGCTTAACTTACTCTAGCCAATCTTGCTCTTTTGATGATTTCATTCACTTTGCGCATGACAGCTTGACGTTTCAAAGTTTTGAGATCTTTCAATAAATCTTTGGATTCGGCTTCAATGAGATCTCTACAATCATCAAAACAATTGGGAGGTCTTTCTGACCAAAAGGAACCTAAAAACACACGCATGACTTCAGGGGTTTGCACTACTTTGCCTAGGGACCACATCATTGCACCATAAACACGCATCAATTGTTGTTGACTGACCATATCACTTTTGTTGAGCACCACTCTGACTTTTTCTTCTTGTCCACGAAGACTATCGATAGCCATCCTAAATTCGTTCGAGATATCCAACTTGTGAGAATCGAACATCAATAAGATCAAATCAGCACGTTGAGCAAACCAATGAATCACTTGAGTAAAATCATAACCACGTTCCACTGTTTGTTTGTCACCAGCTAAAATCCCAGGAGTATCAATAATCGTCATATTTTCCAACACTGGAGATGATGTTTGTGAGACTTGAAACCTTGATAAAAATGCCTGACCAAAACGATTAAGTCCTCGAAACGGAAGTTCTTGATTTACCGCCGCGGCATTGCCTGGAATCACTCGATCTTCATTGTCATGCATCACAGCCACAAATCGATCCGTCGTAGGTTCTACTCCAATATGTTCACCAGGGTAAGCCTTGTCCAGTAAATACCTGATAAATGTTGTTTTTCCCTTTATTCATCCATATATATATATATATATAAAGAATTAAAATGAATACTCTTTTTTTTTTTGAAAGATATATATATATATATATATATATATATAAAGACTTACAGTGGAGTATTGACCAACAAGTAACACAATAGGCTTGGCAGCAATATCAGAAGGTGTCAAGGGAGAAGAATGAAAACCTAGAATATATAGAAATCATACTTTAATATAAACCATAGATTAAACTTATTTTATTTTTTTTACCTTCAAAGTTATATGTTACTTCCAAAGGTTGAATTTTGTTTTTGTAAATATGTTGGATACGTTGTATATATTCATGATATTCATCATCAAAGTCATCTGGTTCAGGAGAAGAGGAAGCTTTGTTACTGTGTTTCAAATTCAATGAGGACATAATTAAAGTACTTTTTATTAAGATATAAGAAAGAAATGTCAAAAAAAAAAAAAAAAAAAAAAAAAAAGAGAAAGAAATAAAAAAAAAAAAAAGAGAGTAAGAGAAAAAGGGGAAGAGAAGGAGAATGAAAAAATCAAAAAACAAAATACAAAATGGTAACACGAACTGAGCAATATAAAAGAAAAAAAAAAGAAAAAGATATACAAAAAAAAAAAAAAAATAATATTAATACACTAATGACCTTGTTGATATAAATGAGTCACTAGTTCCATATAGAATTCCACCGTGTCAAACTTATCCAATTTAGTATCCATGTTAGCAGAAGATCGCCATTTATATCGTTGTCCATTCAAACTCCAATGATCCGTATTGACAGTCTTGATATATTGTCCCCATTTGGCACTCTTGACACTAACCAATCCATCATTATCACCTTCTTTTTCACGTACCCATTGATTAGGTAAACCCAAAAAGGACCATACAGGAATCGTTGTTGAAGCTCCATATGAATAATATGCCACTCCAGGATCATCAGGTGTATTTGGATTGAAATAATTTTGGCAATAGTCCGTCGTTAAATTGGCATATGCAGGTGTATCAAGTAATTGTACCACACGTTGTACTACTGGATCCAGTAAACTAATAGGCATCTTAGCGATATCCGTTAATGACCAATTCAAAAAAGAAGGATGTTGATTCAATGTTCTTGATATATCTTCATTATATCGTTCCAATTCTTCATTTTGTTCCATCTTTTTGGCCACTGCTGTCTTGATAGCATCCGTCACACCTACACCCACGTTGTCTCGAAACCAATCCATCACTGGTGATCCACGATGAGGTGTAGATACTGTTGTTAATGATAATGGTATATAAGATCGATCATGAATATGAGATAAAAGATATCGACAATCCAATCCACCCTAAAGAAGAAGAAGAAAAAAAAATCAATCATCTATATATATATATATATATATTACCATAGAATGAGCAATAAAATTGACTTGCTGATCTTGTAAAACCGAATTGATAAAAGTATGTAATACTTGAGCACGTTCCCATATACTACCAGTTCTAGGTACTCTTGTCACAATCACTTTTGAACCTAGTTTGGCCAAGGCATCTTCAATCCCACCCCAATAATGAACTTGAAGAAAAGGAAGAGCATCAGGTCCTCTTTTATCAAAACCATAAAGGCCATGGCATAATACAATAGGAGCACGAGGAGCAATATAATGAGGAGTTACAGGAATATCCAAACCAGAAGGAGTATGTTTCATGGAACGACCTACTAAATTTTTGTCTTCTTTGGATGATGTACTTGCATGATGTTGTCGATGAAAAGGTTTTTTGGATATCTTGTGACGACTAGCATAAATAATCAAGGAAGTATAAGGTTGTTGTTGTTGTTGTTCTATATTATAGTCTTCTTTGCCGAGTTTGACCCGTTTTTGATTCTTTTTGACATTAACAAAAGAACCTCCAAGTGGTGATAAGTTGATAAAAGTGGCCCGAAGTTGATTTAGTAAGAGTGACAGAGATACTGACACCATGGCATCGGATCCATAACCCAAAAGAGAAAAAAAAAAGTGAGAAAGAATAAGAATAAAAAATAAAAAAAAAATAGAAAAAATGAACTAACTTTTGACCCCAAAGCGTGGGCAAATTATTTAAATCTCCTCCAATAGACATAAACTATGTTATTGATAGAATCATTCTTTTGATCATATTCAATAATGATGATAGATAAAAATCAATCAATTAAGAAAAGATGAAAGAGGACATAGGATTCTCTTTATTTCTGTAACAAACACCCTAGGAGAAAAAAAAAAAAAAGAAAAAAAGCTCATGGTACCTTGACTTGCTAGTTTTCTACTTGATCATATTCGGCCATTCATCTCCTTCCTTTTATGGATTGACTGATGGCTCCCAACAGTAATGGGTGATGTATGTGAATGAATCTATTATGATGATCAAAAAATATATCATACAAAAAATTATCATCACATATAACAAAAAAAAAGAATCTTATTTTATATAAAGGTTTTATTTGTGAAAGAAAAAAACGAGAAGTGTCGAAAAGGAGTATCATAGGAAAAAAAAATCAAGCTAAGGCAAAGGCAGCACTAATGGCAAATACACCAAGGAAAGAAATGGTTTGGAAGGCCATATTTGGACTAAGGTAAACAGCTGCTGAAACTGCTGCAGAAGAAGAAGAAGAAGAGGCACTACCACTAGAACTACCTGAAGCACCAACGCTGGAACCACCTGAAGCACCTCCACTAGATGCTTGAGCTTGAGCAAAAGTCACCATCAAAAAGAGAGCAAAGCAGAGAAGAATAAATCCTTGGTATTTCATCATTGATAAAAAGTAATTGAATGATTATTTTTTTTTTTTGGAGTACAATTGTCCATTCATCTTCCCTTTATATAGACAATTGTCATAAGAAAAAAAAGTGTGACGATTCAAAGTAAATCTTTTTGTTTCTAAAAAAAAAATGTCGATCCAATTAGTCTAAGCTACTAAAAAAACTGGAACGATCTAGTTTTTCTCGTTCCTTTGATTTAGTTGATTTTTTTTAGTTTTGAAGCTAAAGCCCCTGACAAATAAAAAAAACTAGAATCATTACAACAGTAAATTTTATTTTATTCACATTAAAAATTTTGATGAAATGTAAATGAGTAATACAAGTAAAAATAAATAAATAAAAAAAAAAAGGAGAGAAACTAACTAAAATGAAAGATTGGGTATAATAGCCACTAATACAGTAAAAATAAGAGTGAGGAAAAATGGAAGATGAAGAGAAGAAGCTACACTAGAAAGTTGTCCACCAAATGCCCATAAAGGTTGACCATCATCAGGTTGAGTATATAGAATATTGACAGCTGTGTCAAATGGATGATTAACATTACCACCGCTGCTACTTGATTGAACTCCAGTGTCAATAGCATTATCCAAAACTGATTTATTGGCATTTCCATCTGTATTGTTGATTGCGAATTCCAAATAAACCAACGTGGAGATGTTTTTCATATAGGTGGATAATTCAAATGGTGTATAATCTGCTTGTGCTAAAAAAAGAGCCATGCTACCTGCCACATCTAATAGCATCCCATTCCAAATAGAGTATAAAGTCAATCATCTAGATTTTATATGCATGTTCTTTTTTTTTTTTTTTTTGATCGGGTCACTTACGTGGTGCTGCCATTGATGTGCCAGTTAAAACGTCAGTTGCACTAGTGCTATTACTTGTAATTGACTTGATATCAGTTCCAGGAGCAAAACTAAAAAAAAAAAAAAAAAAAAAAAAAAGACAGTGAACACCGTCAAATAAAGAAATCATGTAAATATCTCAATAATAATAATAATCAATAATAGGAATTAAAAAAAAAGTCATCATTTAACTTACATATCAACACATTTTCCAAAATTTGAATAATAGCTAATAGTATCATCACGATCAAGAGCACCCACTGTCACAACACCAGGAGCAGAACCAGGAGAATACAAACAAGCATCTTCACCATAATTGCCTGCAGCAACCACAACATGAATTCCAAGTTGAGTTACTTGTTCCACTGCATCATTGGCTACTTGATTGTACAGAGCACCCAAAGAGAGATTGACAACACTTTTGGTTTTGCCTTGAGTTGGTGGCGAAAAAGAGGATGATGAAGGTGAGGCATTGGATGGAGTAGGCATGGTTTGATTATTAGTCGGTATATCCAATCCACGACTTTGTATTTGCTGAGAATGGAGAGTAGGGGCTGAATGACTGGCTTTGTTGATAGTAGAAGAATGATTTTTCCCTTGTTGGTGTACCATTTTGCCATTAACAGGAATAGGTGTAGATACATCAATAATGGTAGTTGAAGAAATAGGCTGTAATATGGTTGATGATGATGATGGTGGTGTTGCTGTTGTTGTTGTTGTTGTTGTTGAGGTATGTTGTTGTACGACCCAGTCTAAACCTTTGAGTAAATCTGATAATCGACCATTACCATCACTATCTAATGTTTTGACCGAGACCACTGTGGCTCCTTTTGCTACACCGTAAGTTGATCCGCAACATACACCAGCTACAAAAGTGCCATGACCATCATAGTCTGTAGGATCATCATCACCCACAATCGTTGCACCAATTTCAACTCGACCTTTCAAATCGTCATGATCCACCATTACGCCTGTATCTAGTACATACACTTTGACTCCTTGACCTTGATTGGAGGCAAATTTGTATAGTCCATCTAGTCCTTGTCGTTGATCAATGCGATCCAGTCCCTGCATCCAAAAAAAAAAAAAGAATCAATGATGAATGAATATCATTTTATTGGTTTTTTTTTTTTTTTTTTTTTTTTTACCCAACTAGGTACATTATTTTGTACCATTTCTTGCTTAGAGAAGGTAATATCCTTAACCCAATAATGTAGAATATCAGAAGAAGAAGAAGGAGAAGAAGGAAACGTATTTTGCGATGAAACGTTTATGGTAGAAGGATGCTGCAAGGAACCATATAAGGATTCAAAAGCTCGAGAGGCAAAAGCACCAGAATACCAGTGGAAGTTACCAATGGATGACACTTGAACAGAATCCAAAAGAATGCGGGTATCGGTGGTGGTATTGAGGTCATTGACTTGTTGATACATGAGTTGAATATGATTGTTCATGTCATGTCGAGAAGTACCATGTTTGAAAACGAGAATATAATTGTCAATAGAATCATCAGTAAAAACGCATGGTAGGTTGAAGGAAAAAAGAAAGAAGAGTGAAGGAATGACAAAAAAGAGCATGTCATATAAATTTTAAAGGCGGGCGTTCAATTGTCAGGGGTAAAGAAGAGAGTGTATGTGTGTGTGTGTGTCTAAATGAGAGGAAAGGGTAAAGAAGGTGATCACTTCTTCATGGAGTACTTTTGCTACAAACGAAAAAAAAAAAAAAAAAAAAGTATATTGATTTTTTTTTTAATTATCATTGATGTTACACTGAACATGTCGGCACCCAAGTTCTCGACCCGATTTCAAATCGATAAATCAAAAGAATTTTGTTTATTTCGAAGAGGTATTTCATTCAAATGAGAACAATAATAAAAAAAAGAAGAAGAAAAAGAAGGATGGAATATAAATGTCATTAAAGATAACTAAAAGGTAACTAAAAAAACTAAGCAACATAACTATACATATCCTTTTGTCCTTCAGCTCGTTCAATGAATTCCTTCTCCTATATTATAAAATATACAAAATTGGATATTAATAAATACAATCACCGCTTTTTATTTTTTCTTTCTTTTTACCAGTAGTATATCAATACATTTCTTGATATCTTGTACTTTAGGTTTGAATCTGGATTGTAGTTGAGTAATCACTTCTTCAATAAGGGCAATATGTTTCATCACTTTTCGTGTTTTCATAATTCTAACAATCGCAGCCTATATATTATATTATATTAATAATAAATCAATATATCACGCTAAATATAATTTCAATTCCGTACCTGCATCAAATACTTTCGATCTTCTTCAATCGTCTTGTGAGTTTCATCCGTTTCCACTTTTTGTTCTGTCTTCATAGAAAAGTTCAAATTGATGCGCACTTTTTTACTGTATAATTATATATATAAAGTGAGTAGATGATTCTATATTTGATTTTAAACTTTTTGTTTACCTCTTAAAATCAAAGTTAAGTTCATATCGAGATCCTTCGTCACCCACTTTTTCACCATTCGTTAAGAGAAGTACACGAGCCTTGACAAGGATACCAAGAGCAGGATTCATAGCATCAGGAGATAATCCAGTATTAATTTGAAGTTCTTCATATGCATAGCTGGTGGCATTATTGTATTGTAAAAGCACACCCATTTGATATGCAGAGACCTGTATCACGTAAAAAAAAAAAAAAAAAAAAAAAAAAAAAAGTAAGAAGATGAATATATATAATAACAGTTTTGTATTACCTGCAAGGCATATCCAGTCTTGCTTGCTTTAAGATAGTTTGTCTTGAGTTCAGCTTTTGACAATTGGAATAACCAGTTCAATTTGCGTCCTGAATGTTTATTTTGATAAAACTTTTGGAATCGATCATACATTTTCACAACCTATATGGACAATATCAAAATTAGTATATATATTTATATATATATATATTATTCAGTTATTCCTTACATCATCGGGAATATTGAAGTTGGTGGTTGGTGGGTTCAAAGGCCAAGATCCAGCTCCAAGTACAAGTACGTTGAAATCAGCTTATTTGTGTTAAAGAGTGAAAAAAAAATAATATCATTAGCCTTTAATATATATATATATGATCTCCTTATTCTTACCATTGGCACCAGATGTTTCATGATGTGATTGAACATCCTTGAATTGATCATTCAATTCCTTGCTAAGTGACATATCCGTAAGCATACGTTGCAATTTTGATGTATATTCAAATCCACAAGCTTCTTTCAATTTGGAGATCATACTGCCTTCAGCATCATCGGATGCAGAAGTGCCATTAACCAATCGTTTTGCCAACATTTTAGAATAAAACTTTTGAAATACATCCTTATCTTCCACATACTTGAATACAGTCATCTAGAATAATTATAATTATAAAAAAAAAATTAGAAGAATGAACAAAAAAAAAAAAAATAGGTTTTATAACCGTTGACTTACCACACTGTTCAAAACATCTTCCAGTTCATTTTCTTCAGGATTCTTGGCGCTCTTCTTCAATAAGGAATCACAGAATCTTGCCAGTAATTCTGGAGATTTTGAAGTGGATGTCTTGCACACTTTGTTTCTATTGACAAATTCACCACAAGCTTTATCCAATGACGCTACAAATCCAGCTTCACCATTAAATGCAGTTTGTACCAAATCATTATATTGCCTATGAACTTCCAAGAGTGCTTCCACATAAGTTTTCGGATCCTATTAAAGAGAGAAAGGTTAATATTCCATCTTTTATCGATCTACTAAAAATAATATAATTTACCACAGCTTCTTTTTCTTGTTGACCAATACGTTCAACAGCACCAAGTCCCGCCTTCCGTACATGACTTTCAAAATTGATACGAAGAGGATCCAAACCATCAGGTATACGTGCCAGAAGAGCATACATTCGATGAAGATCTACAAGTATATTGGAATAAGTAAGCATCATAACAATATTAAATAAATCATCTACTCTTTTTTTTTTTTACCATCCTGTTTATCCAGATTAAGCAAATGTTGGAATCCATCAGATATAACTTCAGAATGATTTTTGACTAGGACAATTTCACATGTTGATATGAGCTACAATCCAAATAAAGGGTGAGAATTCCATTGTTAATTAAAAGAATGAGTAGTACTTACAGTTTTGTGAGTAGATTCATGCAAGTACATTTCCACGCGGTTTTCTTCTTCAAGTAAACGAGATTCAGCCTAATAGATTTAAATTAATATACATTTGAAAATTTGGAAGAGGTTACCTTTTTCATATAATCGGGAACACTGTTTTCGCTGACGAACTTTTCAGATTCAGTTCTGTAATAGACTTCAGTTGCTTCAATAAAGGGAGTTTCGAAGAATTCTTTATAGACAGAGAAGTTCGACTTTGTAGTATCCTTTGAATCCAAACCCAATGCAACTAAAACGCGTAAAAGTAAAACATAAATATATTGAATCAATTTTTCTTTTATTTCTTACCAAATGATTCCACCACACTTTTGATTAAACCAGTTTCGATAGATTCACCATTTCTTTGACGTTCAATTAATTTCAATACTGCGGCTATAACGTTATGATGGACATATTGGAATAAAATGCGTTTCCAAGTCACCAAGGTGAGCTAACATTGATATATAAAAAATAATATGAATAAAAAAAAAAAAAAAAGAAAGATGAATTTAACTTTATTACTATCGTTTCTACTTACAGTGAAAATGTCATATACGTCATGTTTTTTATCTTCATCGATTTCGCGTTTGACCCAGTAACGGTTGAGATACATAAAGATGTTGTTGATCAAACGAGCTGCGGTGGTATATCGTACCCATTGTCTCGTATAATACTGTAATAAGTCTTCGTCCATGTATTGTTCAGATTCCTAAAAGTGTTTTAGTTAGTATATTGAATAAAATAAAAACACAATAATTTTTTTTCCTTTTTTTTTTCTTTTTACCAAACGAATATTCTTCAAATGAGCTTCCAAATATTGTGTCAAGCTATTGTATAATTCGGCACCGATTAGATTAGCTGATCCTATTAGAAATGGAAATGGGAAAAAAAAAGTTTTTTCATTAATAAAACTAAAAGAGAAGGAAAGACTCGAAATATATAGATATATATTTACCTCGTTGTGGATTGGCTGCACCAAAAGAAGCAGATGAGATGGTATTATGACTTCTAGCACAAAAATTGTGGACAGCACTAAATAAGCAATAGTAAATATACCAAAACAAAAAAAAAGAGTGAGTATTATTTCTAGATTTCAAAATAAAAAAAGAAAGTATTTGTATTTTATTTTATTTTACCTATAAAGAAGTGTATAACGTACACTGGTAAGACCTTCATCGAAACGATTCATAATCTGATCGAGACCTTCTTCCAAATAATTCCAGGTTGCAGCAAAGTCGGTTGCTGCAGGTAATTGACCAAGGCTCATTATGAAAGATAATAAGAGTTGATTCTATGGTGAGAAAACAGTGATAAAATAAAATAATAAGAAGAAGAAAAGGATGGGCGAGATGCAAAAGAAGGGGTGAGAAAGTCAAAGAATATAAGAGAGAAAAAAGAGAGAAGAGAAAGAGAGAAAAGCAAATATGAAATGCTAGCTTTTTTTTTTTTTCTACAGCGCAAGTTGAAAATTCGATTAAACGTCATCGTATGACAAATCTCTCCTTTTTACCTATAAGCATAAAGCATAAAAAAAAGCTCAAAAAACGTCTTTCCTTTTCTTTTTTTTTATTAAGAGAATAATAGAATGTCTAATTGATAAAAATGAATACAAAGAGACTAATAACTAACTAACTAACTAATATATATATTTATTTATATGTATACTATGAATTTCATACTTAGACCATCGTAGTTTCAACACCTTGTTCTTTGTTGTCAGTATCTTTTTGAGGAGTTGTATCAAGTAGAATGGTTAATCGTCGAAGTCGTGGTAAATTGAGCCAAGCTGGTAAATATTTCTGAGGTTTTGTATGGCGAGGAATTGGTATCTCGAAGGGATTGGTCGTATCATCAATGGCAACAGAATCTAATAATAATACATCACTTTGATCACCACTGACAATATGATCAGCAACAGCTTTCAATATATCGGGACTAATAGGATTCTATTGAAATGAAACTATACATCAGTAACCATATCATCACCTTTTTTTTTTTTTTTAATTTGATCCTTACTTCATAATCCGCAACAAGGTAATTTGATATCAGTTTCTGAATTTGTGTAGGGGAAAGAATCCAACATACATCGTATATGTTGTCAATATCTTCCAAAGTGTTCTAATATCATATTAAAAATAAAATCAGATATTAACATTTCATATATTCACTTTTAATTTTATTTTTACCTTTTTGAATTGTAACAATTTTGTTGATTGCATCAAATGTTCTAATTGGAGAGTACCTTCAGGAATATCATGACTCTTGCACCATTCTTCAATTCGAGTGATGTTGTATTGGATTTGCATGGCTATTTATACACATAACAAAATAAAATTAATTTAAAAAAAAAAAACTTTTCTATATATATATATATTTGTTACCTCGTTTCCAGGAAGCAAAATTCTTTCTCATCAATAAGTCATTAAAGGCAGAGACACCAATCATCTTGAGAATTTCTGTCAAAATTTGAGTTGCTACTGATTGTTCCAAATAGTAGCATTTCATTGTACGATAGAGCTTGTTCAAAAAGTGTAGGAGTTCATCCATTGAAAAGCTTGGTTGAGAGGATCCAGTTAAAAACTTGTTGAAGAATCTACCATTGTCAGCAGTTACAAATCCAGGTAGAGATTGATTTTCGATCACAGAGGGAACAACCATCTTGGAAAGACGTTTCTTAGCTTCCTTCATCCAGGCATGGAAAATATTGTCTTCAAGACATTGCATTTCAAACTTGATTGTTGCCATCAACTTTTCAAATTCATGCCAACTAGAATTACCATGTAAATCACGTTCCAAATCCTGTTCTGCCCGACACACCAAAGATAACAATTCATGAATATTCGTCAACCAGAATGCACATGGTACTGTAGCTTCTTCACCAGTAAAACCCTATAATGATATTTAGCATTTATTTCATATCTTTCATTTCCCTTTTTATTTTATTTTATTTTTTTTTGTCTTTTTCTTACCAGACATTGCTTTTGTATGGTATCCATCACCGAAAACAATAGACGTTCAGATTCTTCAATATAACCAAGTTTCCACATTTCTATCACAATGATACCAATCACATGAGCTGGGAAAACTACTTCTTTTTGAGAAGGTGGGTTTTGCATATTTGGTAATGGCATTTTGAGAGTTTTAATCAATCCTTCCAGTACTTCGTCATGTAAAGCTTCTTCGTCCCGTAAAATGTTGTGAATCTAAATGAAATATATAATAATATTAGATTTCCACAAAAAAGAAAACCCCATCCAATATTTTTTTTTATTATTATTTTACCGCTTCTTCTGGATCACCATCAAGTCCTTCCAAAGTTCCACCAGCTTTGTTGCCTAGCAAAGAGCCAAAGAATGCCAAAGAAGTGGGACGAGGATTTTTGGATAATTGTTCTGCCTTTCGTACATTGTCAATAGACGTTTTGGGTCGAGTATCAGCCACGTCTGCAGCACTATTACGACGAGCTTTGCGATTCACAAGTCCATGAGGAGATCGACTACGTTGACGTTCAGTATGTTCTTTTGCATCCAAAGGTTTCATAGGAGAAGCAGACATATTTCGAGGTCCAGGAGAGGCAGATGTATCACGGTATCCTCCTGCAGGTGAAAGACCACGGATATTGTTGTTCGATTGTTGACGACGAGGAGCATTCATCATTTGAGCTAATTGGGCTTTAAGTCCAGCAATTTGATTCTTGAGTTCAGCCACTTCAGTTTCATCCACAGCAAGAGCATTCTGTTGTCGTGCTTCTTCAAGAGCAGATTGAAGTTGTGCATTTGTTTCCTTCTCAGCTGAAAGAGCACTTGTCAATTTGGCCAGTTCACGTGCTTGGGTATCGAATTTGGTCAAGGTACTTTGATTCTCCTTTGTAAGGGAATCTCGTTCTGCTTGTAATGTATCCCAGTCTTGTTGAGGTACAGTTGGTAGCTGTAACTTGGATTCTAGTTCTTTGTTCTTTTTGTCCAATTTGTCATATTTTTCTGTCCAAGTTTTGATTTGAGATTCCAATTGAATAGTACGATCGTTCAGAGCTTTCTTGTCGCGAGTCAATCCAGTCACCGTTTGCGTCAATTCTACCACCTTGCTTTCCAACTTGTAAGAAACTTCTTTGAAGTGACTAACAGATCTTGCTTCTTTTCGTAGATCCATCAATTGTTTTTGAGCCACGCGTCTTCGGATGCATGACTGAAGTAGAGTTACATATCCCAGCTGAGTCTTGACGTAACGACGAGCAAACCTATTGCATGAATCACAGATTTAAGTAAAATAGAATTAGATCATGATGCATATATGAAAATAGATTATGATCTTTTTTTTTTTTTTTTTTTGTGATTACCATCCTCGAACAGCGCATTGAATCTGTATAGCAGCCTGGTTTTCTTTGACACTAGAGAAGTCCCGTCTTGCGATATGTCCACGGATGGCTATAGAAAAATATAGAAAAAGTCAGTAAATCATCCCATTTCAATATAAATCAAGTCCATATGATTTCAAAATTTACCTGTTTGAAGTTTGAATACAAATGTCTTCTTTGCCAAAAATTCCTTTCGAGCAGTATAACGTCGCCAGTGTTTTTGTACAGTGATAGCGGCATGTTCTTCTTGGAGAGACTTCAGTTGAGCTTGGGCTAATTTGCTTCGAGCAATACATTGCAGACGGAGAACAAGATCACGCATACGCATATATCGAGTACGGTAGACGAAGCGACGCATATGTTTTTGAAGTAATGTAGCACATTCATCATACCGGTCAGAACGTAATTTTTCAAGATAGGCAAGCTAATAAGAAAAAAAAAAGTAAAAATTAAAAAAAGAACTCTTTCACAATGATTTTTACTTCATTGAGAATATCATTTCATTTTATTTTACCTGACCAGCTCGGAAGAATATCTTTGTTGTACCCACTTGATATTTGTCTTCTTCTTGAATAGACTTATCGAGAATGGTAGAGCATAGAGTACGAACATCAGGTGATGATGATTTAGTATCCCAATGTTTGGAAGGAACTAAAGCATAATAACGATCAGCAAATTCTTCAAAAGTCCATCTTGAAGGATAACCAGCACAACTAATTCGGATGGTTTCCAACACACCACAAGCACGTAATTGAGATAACACCATATTGGGTTCAAATTCCCATGCGACCTTTGCTTCGTTGGGTTTGATACATCGGATGTAATGTACATTTGTTCCGCCAATAGTATCCATGAGATTGATCAAAGATAACTATAATACCAGAAAATAAAAAATCGTTAGATTCAATTTGATACTAAAATGTAGTATATAAATGTACCTTGAAAATCGAGCCTAGAGTAGGTTTTCTTGCAATCATACTCATACGCTTATTGGCTTGAGGCTACCGAAAAAAAAAGAGTAATGATTAATTCAAAAAAAAAAAGAACATAAAGATACACACACACAAACACACTTACAGTAGGTGCAGGATTGTTGCTTGCAGCCTTGTCTAATACTTCCTTCAAAAAGTCAAATTCTGTTGCTTGCAGTAATGACATATGTTCATCAGGTACTGAATCCTTATTCTTGTCCAAAAAGTTTTCAGCTTCATATTGTACATCATGAGCATAATGGGCAATAGTGAATGCATTGTTGGAGAACCGAGGTTTCTTGAAGTGACTCTTGAATTCTGGTTTGTCAAAGTTGGTGTAAAGTTTTTGAGAGAAACCTTGATCAGAACCAGCAGGCAAACGAGATTCCTAAAGTTGATATAAAAGAAAATAATGATTAATTTTAGTTTTTTTTTTTTCTTTTTGTATCTTTTTGAACTTACTTCATCCAATAAAGACAAAATCCCCAATTTCCCTTCAATCAATTCAATACACTTTTGATTGTCACTAAATTCAATAAAAGTCCAATTGATTTGTTCACGAACGTATTCCTCTTGTTCCAACTTGAATACATGTTGATTGAACTATGTAAAATAAAAAAAAAAAAAAAAAGCGATGAGAGACAAAATATATAGATTAGCAAAAACTAATAAAAAGATATTTACCTGTTGTTGCAGCTTTTCATTTGCATAATTGATACAGAATTGTTCAAAGGAATTTTTCTTGAAATGTTCAAAACCATAAATATCAAGTACACCAATAAAAGTAGCAACCAAATTGGGATCACCACAAGATAAACTATCGTTTGTCACACCAACCAGCCAGTCGAATAGATTGGAATACACATATTTGGCCACAGAATCTTTGACAACAGTTGCTTGAGCCGGATTAAGGTTAGTGACGATCTTTTCGGAGCGAGTAACGATTTGTTTTCGTACGATCCATTTTCTGAATTCAGTTGTCTTAATACCAAGTAATCGAGTGGCTGTTAATAAAGCAGGATCATTTTCCATCAACATTGCATCCCCACGACCAGTAATTTGAATGTTTCCCACATGAAGCAAAGCAGCCAAGATTTGAAAGATCTTCCATTGTAATTCCACTGAGAGACCCACAGTTGATAAAGCCTTTTGAGTAACTTCAAATTCATCTGCATCATTGACACCAGGAATTGTACCAGTTCCACTTTGATTGAGATAGTGAAAGTCGCTATATGTACCCAGTTCAAATTTCTTTTTTTCTGATGATGGCGCACCTGCACATAACTATTAAGATTACATCCGATTAGTACTCCGCTGTATATACAACCTTAAAAAAAAAGTTACCTGGTAAAAGATATGGTAGTTACGTTCCGTTTCAGGTTGAAAGATCAATCTTGAACGTTCCAAAAGGTATGTTCTAATTTTTGCACCAATAATGTTGGCTCCATCATCAAATTGAATTTCAATGTACTTGCCAAACCGAGAACTGTTGTCATTTCGTGTCGTTTTCGCATTCCCAAACGCTTCCATAATAGGATTTGTTGCTAAATAAAATAAATAAGATGATCAGTTCCTGAAACTCTCTTCTTTTTTGATCCACTTACCCAAAATTTGTTCTTCCACTTCAGTCATTGAGCCATCCGTCTTTTTACGTTTCCCAGTAGATTCTTGATCATCAGCAGTTGCAAAATAACGCATAATATACTTTGCACTAACAGTTTTACCAGCACCACTATATATATATAATAGTGAGCATAAGTATAGATTTGTTTGTATCAATATGATTTACCTTTCACCAGAGACCACAATGGTTTGATTTGATTGTTCTCTAATCATACATCGATAGGCATCTTCAGCAATGGCAAATAAATGAGGTTCCAATTCACCACGTCTTTTTCCAGAATATTGTTGTACGATATCAGGATCATACAGAGCCACACGATCAAATGGATTCATAGCAATTAAAACAATCCCAGAATAAGTATAAATCAATCGTTGCATATATCGTGTTCGAATAGTATTGAGTACTAGATACAAAACAAAAATAACAAAGTATAAGTTATCATTCATAATATTTTTTCCAATATCTAACCCAAACATACACTCTCTCCGTTTCCTGTTTTTTTTTTATCTTACCTCCAGGTTCATTCAAGTAACTTAAATTGGTAAGATCATCATTGAATTCTAATTTGGGAGGATTTCGAAGAGGAGGCAAATTGGCACCATCATTCTTTTGAATATCGGATAGAGTAGATTCAAATACATATTCCTATATTATTGATAGCATTTATAAATCAGTAACAGTTTAGATTGTTTATCTCTTTTTTTTTCTATATTACCTTTTGATCGGCATCACCTTCGAATATAAGTTTCACAGTATCACCAGAAGTTTCATTCAATATACAAGTAGCAGAAACCCAGGCTAGTTTTTCGTCAGTAAACCACGCCTTTGTTCCCTTGGTATAAACATCGACTGCTTGGGAAGCCGCCGTAAGAGACATGTGTAAAATAAGACTAAATGTTTGTAAGTTATATGTTTATATGTATAAAATAAGACTTGTATAATACTATATTTTTAAAAGGTTGAATATAAAAGTAAATAACAACCTTTTTCTACGCGGTAAAACGATCAAGATGAAGATAAAGAACTAAGTAAAAAAAGAAAAGAAAAAAAAAGGCAGAGGAAAGAAAAAGACTAGCCAAAAGAGAGAGATTAAATTTCAAAATCCGTGTGAGTGTGATTTCTTTTTGAGCCGGTTCGAAAAGTCAAAAAAGAAAAAGAGATCTAACACCCCGCGGCCATACGTCATTGGATGAACAAAAAGAAAAGAAAAAAAATTCTTTCCGCTCTCTACTTTTTTTTTTTTTTTTTTTTTTTTACCATTTCATAACTTGGGTCATTTCTCGATGCCATGATTATTGATCAGGTAATCAAGATACTGTTTTTTTTTTCTCCTATCACATATATTCTTTTGACATATTTTAATGGTTTTTATTTGTGGGGTATAGTGGCTATATACTAAAGACGAACTTCTTGACACGCCGAGTATCGCGGACGGAATCACTTTTGAACAAGAACAAATGGATCGAACAAAAGGTTGTCATTATCTTTTAGCTGTAGCTGCTAGACTTAATTTGTAAGTTTTAGAGAGAAAAAAAAAAAGAAATAAAAAAAAGAAAAGGAATATTCATTATATGTATTAAATACCTATAGACCTCAACTTGTAGTGGTTACAGCAGCAACTTTTTTTCATCGATTCTTTATGCGACAATCGATGAAACGCTTTCATATATATGTAAGTTTTTGAAATAGAATGATTAGTTTATTTCTTAACTCACTTTTTCTTTTTTTTTATTTATTTATTTATTTATAGGATATGGCAGCAACAAGTCTATTTGTTGCAACAAAAGTAGAGGAAAGTACGCGAAGGATTAAAGATTTTGTAAATGCTTGTGCTCAAAAGGCATCAAAGAATGACAAATTGATACTTGATGAAGATTCAAAAGTAAAAGTCAAATGACTATAAAATAGAGATTATCTATCTAACCAATGTATATTTTGAATATAAAAATTAGGACTTTATCAAGTGGAAGGATACCATGTTATGCAACGAAGTCATTCTACTGGAAACTTTATGCTTTGATTTATCTATACAACACCCTCATACCTGTTTACTTGCTATGGAAACTCAATTAAATAGTAAGTAAATTTTTTTTAAAAAAAAAGAAAGGAATTGTATTTTATTTAATTTTATATATTAGTTCCAGGATCAATGTTGAGAAAAGCATGGATGTTATTATATCAATGGTAAAGAAAGATGAGTATATATATATATATATTTATAAAAAGAATGACTAATGCTTTCTTATAATGGTAGTTGTGGATCTCCTTTATGTGTATTGTATCAACCGAATATTGTCGCTGGAGCGGCATTATTATTAGCTAGTCATTTATCCTCTGAACCCTTAGAAGAAAATTGGTGGGAATTAGCCAATCTGGATGGATCGATGATTCATGGTAAATCAAGATTATGTATAATATTGGATAATTATAATGTATGCATATATTGACATTTTATTATATTATAGAATTAGCTTCAGATATGTTAGGATACTATCTAGACCATTATATCAAAAAATCATCATCATCGTCATCATCCTCGTCATCATCATTTTTATCATCATCACCTCGTCCCATTCATTCAAACAACCACCATCACACCAATATCAGTCCATCTTAGTGTATATTTTCGTAGTTATAGATATTGTTATTTATTATATAGTCTTCTTTATTTTTTTCCAATCCTTTAATCAATAAATTATAAATATTATTTTTAGGGCATTAACTGCTGACAAACAAACTAACAAATGAATAATCGATTGTGAAACATGATATTGATAGGCATAGCTGAACATCTTGGAGAACAAAAAAAAAAAAAAAAAGAGTTACACCATTCCTCTTCAATGTCTGGAAAAACCAATGTACCACTAACTGAGTTTCTTTCTGTCATATATACATATATTTATTGTAATTTCTTTAACATAAAAAAGGACACAAAAAAAAAATTCTCTATTCTTTTTTTTTTTTTTTTACTTTATCTTCTCTTATTCTTACATTATCTTTTCAAATGGCTAATCTTCCTGATTTTATGACTAATCCTAATGCTGTCTTAAATGACACTGAACATGAATGGCGTTATAATCGTGTACCTGATTATAAAAAAGTCAATGAAACTTTTGATCTCGGTAAAAATTCATTCATAGACAATTATAATCAAGTAAAAAAAAAAAAAAAAAAAATCTAATCATCATCATCATCATTTTCATTTTAAAGAAAAAACTGTGACTCATGAAGAAGGTTCTCTGGGTTGGTTAGTATCCAATCTTGTGAAGGTAAAAAAAAAAAAAAAAAAAAGGATGGATTACTAAATGATATCATTCTTTATTAGAACTGGGAAAAAGAAATGTCATATAAACTTCGTGCTGATCAAATTCGTACCATTAATCCTGAAAAGTATAAATTTTCAGTGAATGGTCATGAATGGCATACTGTGGAAGAAATGCTTAAGGTATATATAGAAGGAATCAATGTCGGAGTTACCCTGAAAAAAAAACCACAAGAATGGGCCCATTTTCTTTTTATATTACACTACTAACCCAACTTTAACTTTCTTTTTTAGATTGGTACTTATAATGCTCTTATTGGCGATACAGAACTTTATAAAGCTAGTGAATTGGATTTTAGTGAATCTCATAAATTATTCAAACGTTGTCTTCGTACTTTTTCATGGGAAGTACTTGAAGTTTATAGTGGTCCTCCTGTTGTTGCTTTCAAATGGCGGTAAAATACTTTTATTAGAAAAAAAAATTTTTTTTGTCCTACTGTGATATCTCATCTTTTTTTTTCCCTTTTCTTTTCTTTCTTTTTTTTTTTTTTTTTTTAAAAAAAAACCCAGTCATTGGGGTCTGATGACTGGTGATTTGAATGTAAATCTTGGAAATGGTAAGAAATTAGAAGCACCTGCATCCAATGAAGTGGTTCAAAGCTTTGGTGTAACTGTCGCCCATGTCAATGACAAATTCCAAATCGAGAAGGTAAATCTCGGACTCATATATAATTTATGATATCCTTTGTTTTATAACATTTTATTTTATTTTTCTAGCTTGAAACTTTCTATGATCCTAACGATTTGATGATGCAATTATCCAAGAATAAGAAGAAAGAAGGTGAAAAGACTGATGCTACCGGTGGCAAATGTCCTTTCATTCCATAAGTTAGTTGATTTCCTCTTGAATTCATCAATAAAATTATTCTGGTTTTTTTTTTTTTGAGTAAGGTCTTATATGAGAAGAAAAGAGAAAAAAAAAATAGTAAACATCATGATGATTGATGGAGAATGGATAGTGGATGGTAGATGATGGATAATATAGATAGTAGAAGGGCGGTGATGGATAATATGGATGATGATATAATGATGAATGATCATAAGACTTAATGGTTGAAGAAAAAAAAAATATGTCAACCCAATAATCCACATCTTCCAACAAAAGAATAAATATATACACAAATCATCGATTTCGAACAAGCTCCCAAAGCGTTTATTGAATATATATATATAGAAAAAAAAAATTGAAAAACTACTATAGTAAAAAAACAGTGGTAACATTTTAAGCTAAGGCGGGAATTTATTGTTTGCATTTTTTCATGAATTTTTTTTTTCTTTTTTTTTTTCTTTTTTTTTTTTTTTTTTTTTTTATCCCTTTAACGATTGTAAATAACGATCACGTTCACGCTGTGCTGGAGTCTTTCCATTGGATTTATCATTATTGTTAGAAGCATTTGCACTCCAAGGCATGGATCCTCTTTGTTGTCGACCTGTCCTCATGGTACCAAAATTCTGTTTTTGTTCCTTGGTTTTTCCTGGCGTATCCTTTTTGGCTGGTGTTTGCTTTGGTGTTGTTTTTGGCTTTGTTGGTTTTTCCTGCTGTTCTGTTGACTTCTTTTTACCGACATGGGATTCTATGGGCTCATTTTCTGGAATCATGGTGCGAACGGTGGACGAAGAAAAAGATACTGTGGGAGTAGGACCGTTGGCAATACCTTCTACTGTTACCAAGTCTTCACTCATAAATCCAGATGGCAAACCAGGTCTATTTTGATGACGACCATTGGATCGAAGTGACAAAGAAGCAAGATGTTGATTCAATTGACGTGGATTAACACTTCCTGGAGGTGACTTGCCATACAACAATGAAGACCGGTTACTGGCTATAGACCCTTGATCCGATAACCGATTTGTATTCCACGTAGATTGTAATACACGACGTACGCTATCAACATTGCTTCCTGCGCCTATTGTACTGTTTCTATTCTTGACTCGTATGGATCCTGGTGCACTTGGTATGACTCCTGTTGTTGTTGTTGTTGTTGTTACGGATGATGGTTGAACTGGTTGTTCTAACGATGGTCTCTCTGATGGTTGCATTGGCTGTGGTGATTGCTGTGGTATAATGAAGCTTGTTTGTGACGTGGCTGTGGATGATGGTCTGGATACTATTGTTTCCTTTACAACTGAATCAGAGGAAATAGATGTTTTGGGCTGGTATTCTTCGTTGGTGATTGGAACTGACAATGGTAGTAATTCATCATCCGGTACTGCATATTTGATGGAAGTCTCTTCTTGGATGATGTTATTTTGGTATGATTCTGGGGGTGATGGCTTGTCATCCATCTCTGGTTCATCTTCTTTGGTCAAGGCTATACGGATTTTGTTCAAAGTGGCTCGGCTATAGGTAGATGCTGGTGACGATGAAGTAAGATCAGTCAATTTGGAGAATGACTTGGGTAAAGGCTGATTTAACAAGGCTTCTTTGGATGGAACGGATGGTAATACTGGTGACGATTGACGATGATCAGCAAATGGTGAGTTAACATCTTCTTCTTCTTCTTCTTCTTCTTCTTCTTCTTCTTCTTCTTCTTCTTCTGGACCATTCACTTTACATGCATCGACGCTGTCAGCAGTTTGATCTTGTGATGACCACCATCCTGCCATCTCATGGAGACTTGGTCGTACACTGTTTGCAATGGATCTAGTTGCTATTGAAGAATGGCTATTCTCGACAACTGTGCTATCTCGAACCAATCTACGGACAGAACCTGATGTGATGGAAACAGTATCATTATTGCTATTGTTTCGAAGTGCTGATACAATAGATACATTATCACGCTCATCTGAACTTTGATCTTCATTATTCAAATCATCAACAACATCATCGTCGGTGGTTGGCCAGGCAAACATGCTTTCAAGATCATGTTCAAACAATTTGCGATTTTTGGTGGTCTTTCTCGTTGAATTGGTATTATTGTAGTTGATATCTTCGGATGATGATTCTCTTGATGCTTGGTATTGGTCGGCTTCTTCATCCGTTTGGCGAAAAGGTGTTGATGACAAAGAAATAGTTTGCTTGGTAGTATCAAGAATAAAGGCTTCAGGCTCAGATTCAGGTACGTCAACTGTTAGTGGGGGTGCTGGTGGGGAGGATATAGATGGCGACAATGGTGGTGGTGATGATGATGGTGGTGGTGGTCGTGATGATGGATCTTTGTGTGATGGAGTTGGAGGAGGAGAGTCATTACCAACAGCGGTAGAGGAAGGAGAAACAGGTGGATCAAATATCTGATAAACATTAGTTTTTTTTGATGAGGATTTTTGTCGACGTAGGGATTGACGAAGCGTACTCCTGATGGTAGCAGCGGCTTTATGTGGAAGGTTACTTATGGTGTCATAAATGGCGATGGTGTTTCTATGATCATGATCGGCAAGAGTGTTATCATTCGCAAAATCAATGGATACAAACTCTTTTTGATCAGAACTTATTTGCTTGTCGGTACTGGTCATATACAATTCAAACATACGATTTGCTTCTTCGGAATTCAACTCCATCTTATCAGTAAAGAAGGATGTCGTTGGTGGTGGCATTGGCAACGAAATACGGAATTTATTATTATTGTTATAATTATTGGATGAAGGACGTGTGGATGTTACAGGGACATCATCTGCAAATGTACGATATTTAGTTGTCGACAAATCATCATTATCATCATCATCATTATATGGATTAGCTGAATTTGTGGCAGTGGTTGGTGTACAAGGTTGACTACTGCTGGTGCTGCGTGTGATGGTTGTTGCTGGTGTGAACATCTTCTTTTCTTGGATGGACTCATTAGTGGTGATGGTTGCTCCAGTGACAATGGAATGGAGACCTTGTTTATTATTTGGATATTCCTCTGGATCGACAGTAGATCGTGGAAATCGGCGGCATCGCAACAAACAATACAGTAAACCGATGATAATGCATGTGACACATATGACAAGAACAACAACACTCCAAACTGGAAGCGCTGGCATTTGTATTTAGGTAAAAGATGGATGATATAAATTAAAATATATTAACCTATTTTTTTTTTTTTTTGTGTGTAATTTATATTAGATTAATATATTAGTTGTTGATGATTGAATAAAAATGATTGGACCTGATGAAATAGGATGGCTTACGTTAATTTGTATTATGGACTCTATAGGAAGAGGAAAGGATTATATTATCAAACGAATGACGAGAACGACTATAGTATACACACTTAATGATAAAGGGAAGAAAAAAAAAAGAGAGAGAGAGAAAGTGATACGATAGAAAAGAGAACGAGAATTAAGAAAGAAAGAAAAAAAAAAAAAAGAGTTATCAAGGGGTGGTGGTTAGTAACCAGAATCGATGAATTATTTGAGTAGGAGGCAGTAATGATATAAAAAGAAAAGGAAAGGGAGAGTAGGAGAAACAAGCTGCAACAAGAGAACTTTGACCTATCATTTCAATTAGATTTTCAAAAGAAAGAAGAAAAAAGTTACTAACAAGGGGAAGAACAAAATTGAAAGGAGAAATCAAAAGTAAATCGTCCTTCCTCTAATGATTTTTTTTTTTTTTAAAAAAAAAAAAGGGGAACTATAGTTATCTGTTAGAGATCAAGAGAAAAAAAAAAAAGAGGAGCAAAGGAAGGAGTATCAAACATACAATTGAAGTGAGGGATATAAAGATGTAATCTTTTACTCTCCTTTTTTTTTTTTCTCAATTGAATAACTCGTTTTTTTTTTTTTGTTTTTTTTTTTTTTGTGTGTCTTTCATTTATTTTGTAGTTTTGTTTCTTTTCTTTTTTTTCTCATCTAGAAAAAAAATAATACCACGTTTATCCATTTTAGGAAAGATCAGGGTAAAAGAAAGATGATATACTTGACAACATGTCTTTTTTTTTTTTTTTTATTAATGTATTCCTTTTCATTTGGAAATGAATCAAGGGTTTTTGTAATGGAAGATCGGATGATAAAAATAAGGATATCCCACAATTTGAATAAATCATCTGAGTTGGACAAAGCAAGATGTTGGATGGGACCAAATGGGGAGAAATTCTTTAGTGAACATTAACATCGGATATGTTAATCAAGCGGACATTAAGTTCGTAGGAATCTTATTACAGTGGTTACTTACGCGTTCCCGTCCTCAAGATCCCTTCAATTTTTTTTTTTAAAAAAAAAAAAATGAAAATTGAAAAATGACAACAGTAATCGATGGAAAAAGTAGTCTTTCATTCTTTTTCCTTCCATATCACTTTAATCGGAGCTTACACAGATCATCATCATAAAAAGAAAACAACAATATAAGGGAAAAAAAAAAAGGTTTTTTTTTTTTATTTGGTTGACACAAAAATACTAAGCTAATGAAATACTAAACTAAATTTCATGATACTGGATGATGATGAGGAGCCACTCTTGCTTTATTTTTCCCAAACCACCTTCTTGATGATGATAAATCTTTTCTTTGTTTTCTTGGAGGAGAATTAGAAGTACTGGTTGTTCGATCTTGATCTTTCGTAGATATTGAGTTAGCTAATCGCATAGATGTATGAACCAAAGAAGATAAATGAGTCATCATACCACGAGAAGAAGAGGAAGGTTTTTTTCTTGTATGAGAATCCAATGATTGATTTGATGAAGATAAAGATGAACTTGATAAGATACGTTTGATTCGAGGCCATATAAGTCTTGATGATTCCTTTTGTTTAATTTGTTGTTCTCCTTGTTGTTGTGAGTTATTATTGAGAGAGGAATAAAATGGAGTAGTTGGTAATAGAGGAGAAGGTCGTTCTTGGGGTTGTATAATTTGTATTGATCTCGGAATAGGAGAAAAAGGACCTTGTTGACGATGACGAGTTCGAGTAACAACAGCAGCAACATCAGGTATATGGAATTGAGTCAAATATGGAGTTTCTTGTTCAGCCAAAGTGATAATGGGAAATTGAGTTGTTGGTTGAAGACAAGGTGAAAGATCTAAAGGAGTTACCACACTTGCTGAGTCTGCTGTATCTTCTGTAAGACAAGAAGTCAAAGAGAATCGAAGAGAACTACGTGGAGTAAGTTGTGATAACATGAGAATTTAAAAAGAAGAAGGGTTTATAAAGAGAGAGAAAAAAAAAAAGAAAAGAGAAAGAGAAAGAGTATAACATTATGATGGAAATAATAATAAATGAGAATATATAAAAAAAATATAAAGAGAGAAAAAAAAAAGATTTCAAGTTGGACCAAATTTGCTTTTTTTTTTTTTTTTACTTGTAGATGGAGAATGCGCTCACGAACGAACTTGGCCGGAGATGGAATATCTATCAAATAGGATCACGAGAGTCATTTCTTTTACTTTTTCTCTTTCTTTGCCTTTTTTTTTTTTATACTTTTAAGGGTTTTTTTTTTTTTTTTTTTTAAAAAAAAACATTATGGGCTTGGCAGAATATGCCCTTATATCTAGAAAATGGAAACCTGCTATACTTATTCACAAACCTACTGAACAATATACACAATTATTAGAATATGTAAGATAAAAAAAAAAAAAAAGTTATGTTATCTTATTACTCATCCTTTCTTTTATCTTTAAATAATAAATTAAATAGATATCTGTAGAATTACTGAACTCTAGACTAGAAACTATTGATGAATTAGTACGAACTTCTTTTCCTCGAATTTGGATTGATACTTATCTCTTCTTCTTGGCCATCTTCTTTGTCTTATTTGCTGCTGCTCTTTCTATTGGTCTTCAAAGTAATAATCAACGGGATAAATTATGGTATCCTCTACTTATTCTTATTGCTCCTGCCTTTATTGCTTTTTGGACTTCTAGACGAAGAGGTCTTTATTATGGGAAACTCAAAAAGGTTATCAATTGACATAATATTGTTATCTGAACTTCAACTCACTATTATTATTATTATTATTTTATGTTAGTTCAACGAACTTTTACAAAAATGTTTGAAGGAATTCAATTCTGTGGATACAGCTCAACATATCAAATGGCATCATAGACGAATACGAGAAGATGATACAACGGAATCATTGGCTTTATCTCCACCTTTATCTCAATGGCAAATCATGTTGGTGATTGAAGTATTACAAGTTGATCCTGAAGATATACATCAACTAGAAGATCAACAGGGAATGATACTACCTTCTTATCATGCAGCTATAGAAGATCTTGTTTTGGATGTGGGACCAAGAGAAAATCATAATCGACAACCTGGCGAAAACCAACGTGACCTCAACAATGTACACCAACATCATTTATCACCTTTATCTTACCCTCTTCCTCCAGATTATTATAATATGACTTCCAATCCTATTCCCCCACCATCCAATGATATTGAATTGTCCTCTATTCCCTCGTCTCTTCCACCTAACTACCATCATCATTAAGGTTGTTCATTAAGGTTCTTCTTTTACCTATATTTTTATTTATTCTTGTATACTTCTTTTTTGTACTTTTTTTTTATATATATATTACCATGTAAAACTATTTCAATTTTTATCTCTTTAATAAACATTTATTATTTTTTGAACAGTATCATCACAGTTAAAAAAAAAAAAAAAAAAAAAAAAAGGTTTTATTCTATGTGCTATTTTATGTGCTTGAAAGACGTGAATGTTTTCTTTTAGGGATTATGCACAGACTACAAATGGTTTGGATTCTTTGTATAATATTTTGAATCATCATCATTCACTCGTCATTCCATCGTCCCATCACCATCATCAATTCATCATCATCATCTAGTTCCATATTTATTGAGTAACCACTAATATCATTTTCACCCGAATCACTAACCACCTTTGTGTGTCTCCAAAAAAAAAAAAAAAAAAAAAAATGTTTCGATGATTATCAACAATGTTAAATTTGATTTATTATTAATAAAAATAATATCATTGTCCCTATCTACGAATATCTACATATACTGTACTAATACTGACGTATACCAATACTAAAACTATAGCAAGGAAAGCAAATGAATTTCGAAATATTATCCCTATATAAATAAATTAAGTAGTTAGCAAAAAGCAGTAAATGCCAGTCATCTATTTTTCATCTATCATTTTTTCCAACTTACGACACAAATATGATGAACTATTCAAAGGTTTTCCATTCCGCCTCTTCATGCATGATTCGATCCAAAAAATATCGTATATGGTAAACTTTTTGTTTTGCAGATCGTTTTCCGTTTTTCCAGTGTCGCTTGATTGTCGCTTGATTGTCGCTTGATTCTTTTTGGAAGAAGGAATCAATGAACTTGGTAATTATAGGATCAAAATGTTGTTTGAAAATCATATTTATCACTACCAAAAGTCTTTCCAATTGACATTATTCCACGATTGAAGAGTATACATTTGAAAAAAAAAAAATTCTGTTGTTACTGTCTAGATGTCACGTGTTGTCAAAAGCTCATCCAAGTTTTTCCATCATGTTTCACAAGAAGACGAAGAGCATATATAAAAAGAACTGAAATGAAGTTGATTTCGTTTTCAAACATTGAATGAACGTCGAATACAGATCCACCCTATCATTCCAATCATTTCGAATAGAGACGTTGTTGATTAAAGGAATCCGTATACGATATATGTAAAGAGTAGCGTGTTAGTAGTTGATGTTATGTTCGTTTCTCTTTTCCAGATAGAATGACCGTAAACAATTTAGTTTAAAATCGTGATAGAAGATTGGTGAAGGATAAAAGATATATGTTCCTAGTTGTTGTATAAAAACAAAAAATAATAATAATAAAAAGAAAGAAAAAGGGGAAAAAAGTATCGAAAATGTATTAAGTAGTACCGGAGTAAAAGAACGCCAGCAGAGTGGCTTGTGGATTTTATTTTTTTTTTGGGTGAAGGGGGGAAATCTTTGGTCATTGCTCTCTTTTTTTTTTTTTTTATTTTTTTATTTTTTTTTTTTTTTCTCTTTTCTTTTCATTTTGACAGTTCGACTATATTACACTCTAATGTTTACCCTCATTCGACAACAAACAACACAAAGCATTTATACCAAACAAGTTGTACGACTTGTAAGTACACAATCAGGCAATACTAGTCATAGTTCTGGTGACAATCGCCTTGAAGTCATTCGTAGAGTTCTTTTCGAATCACCACAACGACCTAGCATTGTTTCTTTGGAAGGTGAAGCTTTACAACAACACGACACTATCGAACGAGCTTGGAAATTACATACCATGCGTGAACGTGAACGAAAGCAACGTACATTGGAAAAACAATTCCGCTCTTTGCATCAAGCCATGAGTGAACTGGAAAAAACAAGCGACCGTTTATTCAAAGGTGCTATAGTCAAGAGTCGTCATATTACTTATCCCAAGCAAGCCAAGATTCCAACGGAAACACCTCCTACTCAAGTATGGGATTACAATTACAAAGCTCCTTCAGACAGTGCCTAGATCGTATTTACCATTACCCAAAGTACTCTTCATGTCAACAAATCACACCAACAAAGCTTGCAACAAGAACAACTTTCCTCTCTCTCTCTCTCTCTCTTTCTCCATTAACCCTCCTTATCTTCTCTTTCACTTAGTATAGCAAAACATCATCATTTCCGTCTTCTTTTTTTTTTTTTTTTTTTTTACTTGATATTATTTGATCATCTTCATTTTTCCTTTTTTTTACTTTATATTATTTGATCATCTTCATTTTTCCCTTCCCTTCGATGTGTATTTTATGTGATATTCTTTTTCTAGTTAGATTTTGTTTATAGAAATAATAATAATAAAAAAAAAAACTATCAAAAGAACTTGTACAGAATATATTTTATTATATGGACGGAATATGGATATACAATGGGGAATATTTAAACTAATGTAATAGAGATCATGTTTTGAATGGAATGTACGGTAGATGTCAATTGGAATAAAAAAGTAATAAAAAGTATCGTAATTAATAATTAGGTTCAAATAAATCCCATAGTCTTGTTCAAAGTACTGGCGAATAATGTTGGATTTGGATCTGGAAATATATCGAGTTTTTGTGTTGTTGCCTTCTTGACAGTATTCGATAAGTCTCTATGCAATGATGATAAAAGTAAAAAAAAAAAAAAAAAAGAAAAGGAGAGGATTCAGTCAAATAATAATAATAAAAAAAAAAAAAAAAAAAGATGTTGAATCCACTTCACACCTTCTTTCATCGTACCTAATATCACCATAAATCACGTATTGTTTAACCGCCATTGCTTGAGCCAGCTCTGCTTGATGATTATCCAAAAGTGAATCATTGACAATAACAATCAACTTTTTCTTCATTCGTAATGCTTGTAATATGGTTCCTGATCCTATTCACCATACAAAAAAAAAAAAAAAAAAAAAAAAAAAAAAAAAAGGTAAGAATATATATAATTCCTATGCGAAATGTGTTTTTTTTTATCTCTCATTACCAGAATGACTAATGACCATATCAGCTGCTTGTATATCCTGATCAATGAATGGTTTATAATCATATCCTTGAATATCAACTTGATCCTTTTTGTAATTGTCCATGTTCTTCAAAAAAACTTTTTTTGATGATCCATATTGTATTAACAGACTAGTAAACCCCAAAGCATATATATTAGATAAGAATTCAGATGTAGTAGCTTCATTGACAAGATCATCAAAACCTGTAGAACCAACAGTAACAAATAATTTCATATAATCGAACAATATTAACAATTAAAAGATGGTAAGAAACAAAAAAAAAAAAAAAAAAAAAAAAAGAGGAAAAGTAATAATGAATTGGAAAAAAAAAAAAAAAAAAAAAAAAAAAAAAGGAAAAAGAAGTAGTGAATTGGAAAAAAAAAAAAAAAAAAAAAGATTAGTTTCATATTCAGCCAGTGAAGAAAAAAAATTATTCATTTTTTGTTCCGCTTTCATTCAAATATTCACTATGTTTCGTTTATATCTACCTTACTGTTCAAAAAACATCATCTCATTTTTTGCATACACATTTTTGAATATTATTTGAAGTCTCATATACAATTATGTATCATGATGACTAGTATTTAGCAAGTTATTCAATATTTTTTGCTCCTTTTCTTATCGATTAGATTCATATCATACTTCTTGGTCTAATCAATCATCAACGCGCGGTTGGTTAAGTGGTATAATCTTCGCCTGCCACGCGAAGGGCCGGGGTTCGATTCCCCGACCGCGCAAAATTTTTAGCCAATAAGGTATTTTACCGGAGTTATAAATTGACAACAATGACAACCTTGGATTTGTTGTCTTTCACTTTTTTTGGTTTCCCCTTTTTTTTTTTTTTTTTTTTTTTTTTGTCTTACCCCTTCTCTTTTTATTTTTTTTTTTTTATTTTATTTTTTTATATATAACAAACCTCATTTGCATTTATCGTATTCATTGGTTTGTAGAGATAAATAAGAATCAAATTATAGACTCAAGATTATGGATATATCTGTTCTTTTTCGTAAACGACGACCATCACGCTTGACTATGGGACAAACATCATCTGAACGATTATTGTTACCACAACCAACAGAAACTAATAATAGAAGGGAGATCCGATCAGAAGTGACTGGACCACCAACAAAAGATCATTGGAAGGTATGACAAAAAAAAAAAAAAAAAAAGGAACAATAATGTGATTTTTAATTATATATATTGAAAGTATAGATTGACAACGATGTAACTAGTTGTGCCTATCCTAATTGTTCAAGAATATTTGGTTTTTTTCAACGACGACATCATTGTAGAAAGGTAAAAAAAAAAAAAAAAAAAAAGAAATACTTTATCCATTGTATATTAACATTATTGATTAGTGTGGTGACATATTTTGTGCAATTCATTGTTCAAATTATTTACGATTGAATCAAGATTCAGAATTTCATCCTCAGGGGTTCCTCTCTCGTGGTTGTGATGAATGTGCAGATAAATGGCGGCATCCTTCTTTGACTTTAACCTCAACTTCAACAGATTCATCAGACGGCAGGTCCGTGGAAGAACAAGGAAAAGGAGGGAAATCTAACCGAAATCGACATGCTGGTATAATGACATTACAACCTCATGCTATGGAAGGTGTATTAGAACTTGGACGGGATGGTAAAGTCAACAAAAATAAAAATAAAAAATAAAAAATTATAAGATAATGATGACTCATGTTTTTTTTTTTTTTTTTTTTTCATTTAGACATTGTTCAAGTCGATACAGAAGATAAGGATAAGAATGGAATGAATATTGGATCAAAAAAGATGGATGGTAAGAAAACGATGAAATAAAAAAAAAAGAATATTTTTAAACTTTATAATCTGTCATTTTAGGCGTTTTTAATACGGTGGCGATGTCTGTTCCAGCTGATTGGCATTGGTCAACTTTTTGAATGTTATCAACAATTGTCTTTTTTTTTTTTATTATTATTATTCTTATTCTTATTCTTACTTATTATTATTACTATTATTATTATTATTATTATTATTATTATTATTTTACAACTTTATCAATACCCCGCTTTACATTTATCACTTGCGTTATTGGTCAATTTGATCAATTAACTTTTAATTAGAATCTTTCTACTCCTTGTTTCTCATTAGTTTTCTTACACAAAAAAAAAAAAATCTTATTAAGTTGTATTGTTATTCCTGATTCTTTTCTCTTCTTTAATAAATCATCATCATCACATTTTCATTTCTTTTTTTTTTTTTTTGATAGTTCTTGTATTCTTCAATGTTTTCATCATCATCATTATCATCATCGTCATCATCATCCAGTCCAAAATCTCGCTGTGGTCGAAGCAAAAGCACTAGCAATATATCGTGTCATGAACGTCCTTCCCGACCATTTCCAAAATTGGCAAGACAAAATTCGCTAACGGATTTTGTCCATCGTCTCGCATCACCTTTCCGTACAACAGTAAAACATCATCCAACATCATCCTATTCTACCAATATAGATGATTATCATTTGATTCGATCCATTGGTAAAAAAAAAAAAAAAAAAAAAAAAAGAAAAGTGTAGAAATATTCTTATTTTATTATATATTAGGCGCTGGTGCAAGTGCAACAGTGTATTCAGCAACTTATCAATCATTATCCACATTAGTGGCGATCAAAACTATCAATCTTGAACGATTGGATATTACAGATAGTTCATCAACTAGATTAGATTGTCTCAGAAAAGAAATCCAAATCATGAAGTTATGTCAACACGAACATTTATTACCTGTTTTTCAAAGTTTTGTTGTCAAGAATCATCTTTATTTAGTAACTCCAATCATGTCAGGAGGTAACAAAAAAATAAAAAAAAAAGAAAATGATTTTTAAATGAGGAGGATATACAATTTAACTAATTGATTCTTTTTGGTATTTGATCGACCATTAGGTTCTTGTCGTGATCTTGTTTCCTCACTAAATCATGGCTTAGATGGGCCCCTTATTGCATGGTAACCAAAAAAAAAAAAATAGGGGGGACGTGTTTGACATATTTTTTTTTTCTTTTCCTCTTTTTTTCTTTCTTTTTTTTTTTTTTCTTTCTTTCTTTAGCATTACCAAACAAGCTGTTGAAGGTTTATCATATCTTCATAAGAATGAACTAGTACATCGTGATGTTAAAGCTGCTAATCTTTTAATAGACTGGGATACTGGTATTGGTAAGAAATATTATATCACTTTTTTGTCCTAAAATGGAAAAATAATAGTCTTTCTCAATGTCATTTTCTTTTTATACATAGTCAAACTCGCTGATTTTGGTGTAAGCAACTTTCTATCGATTGAAACATATTCTTCTACTGATATCAATGGTGATTCACTGGATATTGGACAAAACAATGAATCCTCTATTACTTTAGCAACCAATACGAAACACCTTTCTGGTACAATAGCAGCTGCAAACTCAGGCAGTAACATACGATTAAATGAATCCCCTTTAACTCTTCAGCAACGACCTCTACCACGCAACCAACGTAGAACTATCAACTCTTTCGGAAAAAGATTGGTACGACAAAGTTTTGTTGGTACACCGTTATATATTGCACCTGAAATATTACTGGAACAATCCTATGGAAACAAAGTGGATATTTGGTCTCTTGGTATTACTTTGATTGAACTAGCAGTTGGACGACCTCCTTATCATCAATATGATCCTTCGACGGTAAATCAAGAAAAGAATACAAATGACATATGAGTATTAATCTTTTTTTTTTTTTTTTTTTAAAAAAAAAAAAGATTTTTTCTTTAGTTCTTGACTATCCTTCTCCAACTCTACAAAGTATTGATGATGATGAAGATATGACAAGTAATAATCCTCTTACTGACTTTGTTGATCAATGTCTACTCAAACATCCTGATGTACGGATCTCGTCTGCTGAAGCCTTGAATCATCCATTATTACGAAAAGCACCTTCTCCTTCTTATTTACAACGATTTTTATCATTTCACCCTGAAATCAATCTACAATCTCATCGATTATGTCGAGCAACCAGATTTGGTAGGATGTCGGAAACAGAACGTCAGAACAAGTACAAATCTGGCTTAGGCAACGGTAAATAGGAAAAAAAAAAAAAAAGGAGCAAAGGTGGATATACTTATTTTGAAACTTTTTTTTTTTATTTTTATCTCTATATGTAAGCTCCTTGGAACTTTACTGTGGATAGGAAATCTTGTTTGATTGTAAATACTGATCAAAATCAAGTGAATTAGGATATATATATTCTCTATTGGTCATTCTTCATTAGCTCTTTTTTTTTTTTTTTTTTTTTTTTTGTTTGATTTTTTTTTTCTTCTTTTGGATGAAAATTTTCCTCTCGGACTCCCAATAAACTGAAATATCTTTATTTTTTATTTTATTCTATTCTCTTTCTTACTTTTTTTTTATTGTTCATATGTAAACTATGAAATACAATGTCACATTCACAAAACACTCTCACCTACCGTAAAAAATCCGTGGCTACTTCTATTCGATCTCAATTATCAGTTAAAGATGATGTTTCAATGCATTCCACATCATCTAATGGTTACTGTTCCGGCGATGAAGAAGATATGAACGATCTCAATGTTGAAACTGATGTATTATACCCACAATATGGTTATGAAGATGATGGAAAAACAACTAATGATGCTCCTGACTTGCGGGTGTTTGATTATGGTGTTGCTGAAGTGAAAAGAAAATTATCTAGTGGTTCTGCCTTGTCAAGAACACAAAGTAAGCAAAGTCGACTCTATGGTGAACCTACTCAGGTAAAAAAAAAAAAAAAAAATAAAAAAAATAAATGAGAATTATTATTCAAAAAAAAGTTAGTAATTATATTATCTTTAAATATGAAATAGAAACCTAACCATCTTTTACCTGAAACTGTACGATATTATGTATATTCCTCTCAAGAAAATGGAATAACAATGCCTATTCATCATTTATTATCTACTGATGGACGACAAGGATTGGAAACGATCATAAAAACTACAGGATGGTGGGTTGATTGTCTTAGTCCGACAGATGAAGAAATGCATGTACTTGCCAAGTTATTCCGAATTCATCCTCTGACAGTGGAAGATATTCTTGCCAAAGAACCATGTGAAAAGATTGAATTATTCCCAAATTACACTTTTGTCTCCTTTCGTAGTTTCGACACTGATGAAGAAAAGAATCAAATCTGGCCATATAATTTTTATAACTTGATCTTCAAGGATGGTTTATTGACATTTCATTTCAATCCTTCTCCTCATCCTGCTCGTGTACGTCAACGATTGGATCGAATCAAACGTCATATGCTTATTGTTCCCGACTGGATTCATTATGCTCTGATTGATGATATCACCGATTCTTTTGCCCCTATTATTACTCAAGTTGAATTGGAAAGTGTGTCTATTGATGAATTATCCTTGGTGCTACATAAATCTGAACGCTCTGATATGTTGAAACGTATCAGTCGCTGTCGAAAACGTGCAACTCAAATGTCTCGTTTGTTGGCTGCCAAGGTGGATGTAGTGAAAAGTCTGATCAAACGTTACGAAGAAAAGTGGCAACGTGCTGGTGGATATAGTGCTTTGATGATGGATGAAGATTCTGTATTCTCTCCTGAAGAAACTGCTACTCTTAAAACATTGAATGAAGTTTTACTTTATCTTGGTGATATTCAAGGTAAATCAATTAAGGGATTCATCAAAATGAAAGATTGAACTTTTTTTTTCCTTCTTATATTAGATCATTTGGTGACAATGTTGCAAAATATGAATCATTATAACAGGATGTTATCAAGGGCTCATACCAATTATCTTGCTCAAGTGAATGTAGATTTATCAATGACTTATCGAACAACCAATATTGTGATGAATCGATTGACTTTTATGGGTGTGATCTTTATTCCAGTCACCTTTATATCTAGTCTTTGGGGGATGAATGTTTGGGTAAGATGATGATGATTTTTTTATTTCTAAATAATGTAACTCATCACCTTTTTTTTTTTTGTAGGTTCCTGGAAAGGATTATCCTGATAATGCTTTCTTTTTCTGGATTATATGCATGATGGTTATGTATGTGTGTATATTAACCTACTTTGGCATTAAATGGAAAATCCTATAGTATATATTTGTATTGGTTGTAGACTGTCATTATTATTATTATTATTTAGTTGGTTAGTGAAATCAACATCGTCTTTGAAATAAACATTTTTTTTTGATATACCTTTAATATGTGTGTTTTATTGTCCCAGCTCTCGAATGACAGTCATCTGTCGACTTTCTGGATTTTTTTTTTTATATCTATTACAATAATAAGCTTCAACATAATTATCATCATAATTCATCATATTGATAAAAGTAGATCTTTACAGTATCTTTCTTGACGCACTTGTCTTTTCCTCTCGATTCATCATGACATCGCTGTAAGATGATTCAATTCATCCTGGCTTCATTTAAGTGAAAATTCAGTCAACACCAAATCCTCCTTTTCGTTTTAATCATCCATCAATCCATATATGAGATGGGTCACTTAGGCTATGATCATGGATGATCCAAGATGTTGAAAGAAGGCTGCCTTTTTTGTTAATGTTCGATCTCCGAAGAAAGCCTGCGACAAACCCATACGTAATCCCAAAGAACAGAAGTGCCAAAAAAAAAAAAAAAAAGATTTTTTGAAGGGCGCGCGTTCCTTTTTCCTTTACGTATTATTCCCTTTTTTTCTTTTTCTTTTTTATTTTTTTCTTTCTCTTATTTATTCTTTATTGATCAAAACATGTCTCGAAGATACGATTCAAGAACTACTATTTTCTCACCTGAAGGTAAGAAAAGAATACGTACTTTATAGGATGTGTTTTTTTTATTTTTGATGGAAGGGTAATCAGTGACAGAGTCAATTTGAATACATTCTTTCTATCAACATTGGTTTTCATTTTTGTCATTATATATATATACAATTAGAAAATAATGACTCCATTGAATTTTTTTTTCTTTTCTTCTTTAGGTCGTCTTTATCAAGTCGAATATGCCATGGAAGCCATCTCTCAAGCAGGCATTGCCCTAGGTATTCTTGCCACTGATGGTATTGTCATTGCAGCTGAAAAGAAGGTGACTTCCAAGTTATTAGAACAAACGGCATCCTCTGAAAAGATTTACAAATTAAACGAGTAAATTTCTTTTTTTCTTTCTTTCATTTTTTTTTTTTTTTTTTTTTGGGGGACTCACACTATCTTTTTTTTTTTTTTTTTTTGTGTGTATATAGTAATATGATTTGTGGTGTAGCTGGGATTACTGCCGATGCTAATATTTTGATCAACTGGACACGCGCTAGTGCACAAAGATATTTGTTTTCTTACAATGAAGATATTCCAGTAGAACAATTAGTACAACGTTTATGTGATTTGAAGCAAGGTTATACACAATATGGTGGGCTTCGTCCTTTTGGTGTATCATTTATTTTTGCAGGATATGATGAACATTATGGATTCCAATTGTATCATTCCGATCCTTCTGGTAATTATGGTGGTTGGAAAGCAACTTGTATCGGTGCCAATAATGCAAGTGCTCAAAGTATCTTGAAACAAGATTACAAGGAATCAATGAATCTGGAAGAAGCAAAGGCTTTGGCTATCAAGGTATTAAGTAAAACCATGGATAGTACAACCCTTACAAGTGAAAAATGTAAGTTCAGCCAACATCTTATAAAAAAAAAAAGGAATATTCATCATTTTTTTTTTTTTAAAAAATAGTGGAATTTGCAACGATTCAACGCAAAGACAACAAAGTACAATATGATCTTTATAAGCCTGCCGAAATCGATGCTTTATTGAAAGAACAAAATGTGGGGGCTGATGCACAGGATGAACAACAACAACAACAATAAGATAATATCTTTTTTTTTTATTTTATTTTTGATACAACAACCAATAAAGAAATCATTGACTTTTTTTTTTGTATATTCAATTGATTTGTGAAGATGAAGGGAAATAATAATGGATGAATAAAATGTGATAATAATTTACAATTTATTTATTTTTTTTTTTATTGAAGAGTAGACATAATAAAAATAATGGAAACTATTTGAACGGAGGGATGAATGACGAAGATAAAAAAAAATAATTTCAACAAAGGTAAAAAAAAAAAAAAATGAGATAATACGAATAAAGAGATAGGAGGGATGTGCTTGTAGAAGATCTGATCTATACTACATAGCACTAAGGGGTAACATGGTGAACTTTGATAAGGTGAGCCTATATAAAGAAGAGATGTATTAGTATGAAATCATCAGTTTTATATATGGTCCTTACTTTCAAATTGCCTCGTTGTGTAAAGCCGCGATTGCAATCCGGATATTCGCAGGTATACGGCTTGACAGACCAGTGTATTTTCTCATGTGTTTTCAAGTTTCCTAACTGTGCAAAATTCTTACCACATCCCTCATATGGACACTATATAAAAAGTTACATCGAAAGAATATATATATATATCCTTTAGTTTCTTAAAATCTAATCTGTTGTATCTTTTGTATTATTATACCTGATAAGGACGTTCGCCTGTATGCTTTCTTAAATGAGTCTATCAATAATAAAAAAATCATGAGTAATGATGGATAAATAATAAAAGAACTATGAAATCATCATCTTGGTCAACTTACTTTCAGATTTCCATATTGTTTGAACGATTTTCCACAGCCTGGGTGTTCGCATGCCTATTTCAAAAGAAAAAAAAGAAAAAAAAAAAAAGAAGGAGTCCTTTTTCTGTTAGTATAATAAGATTTATAAAATGTATTCAATTCATACATAAGGTCGGTTTTCTGGTGTTTGAAGATTTGAATCTTGAATATTATTGGCATTTGTTCCATGATCAGATCTAAAAAAAAAAAAAGAAAAAAAAAAAAAAGAAATATTGTATTAAAACCCAATTTTTATTCCTTTCAAATTCATGCAGAATTATTCAAACTAATATATATATATAATATATATTTATGATCCATATTTCCCGCTTCCCAATAAAACTTACCCAGCATGTATTCGGTAACTCTCCATATCTGGATATTGTTTACTGCAACCAGGTTCTGGACAGGTGTAAACTTTGATAGGAGTTTCTCGTGTTGGATGAGCTGGTGGTGGGTATGGAGAATAAGTCGATAATTGTGGATGTGCTAATTGATTAGAAGACATGATGGAAGGGTGATGTTGTTGGTGTAGTAAGGCAGATGGATGATGTGGTAAAGGTTGATTATTATGTTGAGGTGGAAGATTGTTATTTCCTGTAGATAATGGTGGAGGTGGTAGATAAGTAGTACCTTGTTGTCTGTGTTGTTGTTGTTGCCTTTGTTGTTGTTGTTCTTCTGATTGTGGTTGGTTACGATGTATAATACGTTCTTGATGAGGTAAAAGATAAGAAGAAGGTAGAGGTGAGCCATCTATGAGATGACCAGAACCAGGACGTGTTTCTTGATGCATAATATTTGGTATCTAAAAATAATAATAATAAAAAATAGAACGCCTGCTGAAGGGAAAAAAAAAAAAAAGAAAAAAAGTATGAAAAAGAGGGAAAAACAAGAGAGGAATATAAAAAAAAAAAAAATAACGGAGAAGAAAAAAAAAAAAAAAAAAAAGAGTCGCGCGGGTGACTGAGATTTTTTTTTTTTCAGTATGAACGGTAAATGAATTGAAACCTTATTGTTTCCCTAATATGTCAAGTAAAACGCTTAATTGTCAATGAAATAAATAAATATAAAAAAAGAATTCATTATTTATAATCACTAATATCTTTTTTTTTTTTTTTTTTAATTCAAAAAAATATCGTTTTGATGATCATTTTCAATTAAAAGATTATTATTACATTTTGATTTCACCACACTGACACAATGCCTGCGGAAATTAAATTGTTTTCCATCTTGTAAAACTTGTATCATAGACTCATTTTCTTCTCTTTTTCTACCTTCTTCTTTTATCTTTTTTTTTTTTTTCTTTTTTGACTTCATTAAAGAGTTCATATTATATGTCTAATGGCCAGCGATCATGAAGAAGGCGGGGGAAAACGCCAGAGAGTATCAAGAGCATGGTAAGACAAACCTGTTATATATATATATATATATATATATAATTAATACTCACTTTCATACTTTTTTTTCTCTTTTTTTTTTTTTTATTTTTTTTTTTTTTTTTTTTTTTGCATACTAAAGTGATTTGTGCAGACGAAAAAAGATCAAATGTGACGGATCCATACCGATATGTGGGAATTGTAAAGCTTTTGCTTTAGAATGTACTTATAAAGATACTACAAAGAAGGTAATATAAAACTAATATACAACCATTTGAAATTAATCACATATTGTTATTACTTAATTAATAGAGAGGACCTCCAAAAGGATATATAGAAGCAATTGAAAATCGACTTTACAAATTGGAAAATTTACTCAGTGAAATGGCTCAAAGTGACGACCCAAAAGCAAAGTCTTTATTAGATGAACTTAATACTCCATTGGAAACACCTTCCGGCGAACAAATATTCGATAAACCACAACGACGCTCAGCTCATGGAAGTGATCGTAGCAAAGTCTTTTTCTGGCAGAATGCTCCTGTACGACCCAAAAGTTCTCCTTCTGGTGACATGATTCCCAACAATAATTCTGTTTCTTCTTCTTTGGATAATTGTATTTTGGATGCCAATTCAGTCACAACAATACAAAAGAATGAAAATATGAATGGTAAACCAAAACGATCTTCTATAGCTGGACTTCTCAATGGTGGGGAACCTTCCGACAGTACTGGTCAACTTGCTATGGATGCCAATGGTCAATATCGTTATCTAGGAAAATCATCTGGTTTTTATCTTTTACAAAAAAGTCGAACATATCATCATGGTGCTTTTCATCTCTCAGCCTATCAAAGAAATTCCTCAAGATCGATATCATCTTCACCATCTTTTCTTTCTCCCGTACCTCCATGTCCTCCCAATGTGGATCCATACGAACTTCCTTCCTCTGAATTGTCAACAACTTTGATCCGGTTATACTTTCGATATTTTTATCCTGTGCTTCCTATCTTTTATAAACAACAATTGTCTTCTTCTATGGATGATCCTGCCGAACCAATATCACCATTATTACTCAATGCTATCTATGCCGTAGCTTCTCGTGTTTGTGATGACATTGAAATCCGATCTGATCCTACTCGACCTGAAACTGCTGGTGATATCTTTTTTGAACGTGCAAAGTATCTTTTGGACAGTCACTATGATATACCCCGAGTATCAACAGTGCAGGCGCTGTTACTTTTAGCAAGTCATCAACAAGGAACAATGAAATCTGCTAGAGCTTGGCTTTATAGTGGCATGGTAAGCTTGTTCATTTAAATGATAGTTTTTTTTTTCTGCATTTACTCATCCTTTTTTTTTTTTTTTTTTTTTTTTTTGGTAGGCATTCCGTATGGCTCTTGATCTTGGATTGAATAGAAATTGTGATCATTGGCAAATTCCATCAGATGAAAAAGAACGAAGAAAAAGGGTATTCTGGTGTTGTTTTGTAGTAGATCGTTTGGCAAGTGCAACTTTTGGACGATCATCTACATTTGAAGAAAGTGATTGTGATACTCCGTTTCCAATCAATGATGATGATGAACCTGTATTTACTCCCAATCCTACTCAACATACTATATATATGAAACCTCCTGGTCCTTTGGTTGCTTTGTCTCATTTAGTCAAGATCTGTGATATCCTTGGTCACGTATTGAAAAACATTTATTATGCCAAAGCATTACAACATTCTGATATGCGACATATTAGTCAAATCGTATCTGTCCTAGCTGGACGTCTTGCACATTGGTACAAGAATTTACCCCCTTCTTTAAGGATGGACAACTATACTCAACAACAACAGGATGTCACCTATCCGGTTTGTGTTCCTCAATTACATATGGTCTACCACACAGCCGTTATTCTATTACATCGCCTCTTTATCTCCAATAATCCAGCTGATGCTTCACCAGAATCTATATCAGAATACAATACCTGTGCCATATCAGCGACAGCCATTATGAATATTGCCAACTCTATGCTCAAGAACAACACTCTCAAGTATGTTTTTCACAGTGTAGTCTATTTTATATTTACATCAGGCATCATTTTTATCAATTCAGCTTCTTCCAACGATGCAACAAAATCATTCGATGCCAAGGTCAACATCAACAACATTATGCGTCTTTTGGATGAATTAGAAAAAACATGGCCTTCAGCAGCACGTTGTTCAACTATTCTAGGTGAATTAGCAGGATTACGGGAACTCAATTTACCTACAAGTGAAAACACCTTGCGACCTATTGTTCAGAAAAGCAATCATTCATCACCAATGTCGTCACCAAGTGCAGCTGAAATAAATCTTGGACCATCAACAGCAGCATCAACAATAACAACAACCTCATCATCATCTGAAATGGCCAATATCGATAAAACGAAACGACGAATTCCTGGGATTGATAGAAAACAATGGAATCAACATAGTATCATGATGGGTTCTTTATCGGATGAAATTCGATCTGGCACTAGTTTTAGCGACAGCTCACCTGATCTAGGATACAGAATATCATCACCAAGGGACTTGCAACAGCAACAACAACAACAATCAACGTACACCAAAGGAAACATGGATCCATTTGCTGCACCTGACACTATTCCAGTCCCTTCTCAACGACAGCAGTTCGACCTTTCGGGAGCGGCATTTTGGGGCGTACCTCCTTCTTTGGATTTGGATGAATGGAGTCATTATTTAGGAACACAGATGCCAACCTACCAGCAACCCAATGTAAGCAATCCGTCATCACCACTATCACATAGCACATCCATCGCATCTTCTCAACCATTGCAGCATATACAACAACAGCAACAACAGATACAACGTCAGCAACAGTTACGGCAAGAGCAAGAACAGCAACGACAACCAGTAGCATCTTCAGGATCCAATTTACAACCACATTTGATACCATCTAGAAATATTATTGCACAATTCGACCCATCCTTGAAACCATCCAATGGAACATTTAATTCGATGCTTCATTCGGCACAATCAACAGGATTAACCAGCAGCAGTAGTATATCTTCACCCAGTATTGATGCACCATCAACCATGACTTCATCTAGTCGCTCCAATATATCATCACCAGGAACAAGATATACTCGGAAACATTTGATTCATGGGGATTCTAATGTGGATGTATTATCAGGGATGCCTATTCCTTTGGATTTACAAGATGCTTCTGAAAATGGATCATCCATGTTTGGATTTTTAAGCGATCAAACTGTTGGCACTACTTCTCCTGCTACAACAACTACTACTGGGTTATCGACGACCGGAAATGAATTGATAGGTAATCCACAACAAGAGGATACTGTGTACCAATTTGGAAATGATGCCTTGATATACTATTAGAACTACTATTATTATTATTAGTCTTTCCTTTTTTTTTTATATATATTTTATTTTGTGTTGTATTTTTTTATTTTTATTTTTTACTCATTGTCACTGTCATATTTGTCATCATTATCATCGGTTTCATTGCCTATCATGAAACAAATAAATGTATATACTACTTTTATATGTTGAGAAATTGATTTTTTTTTTATTGGATGTAAAAGAGAAGGTGAAGCGGGGGGGGGGTATCAAATTTACACCATTCTAACAAACATAGGAGTAACGTGATAATAAAAACATGCGTGTAAGTAGGAGAAAGAGAGGCGTGTGTGTGTGTGGAAGGACGTGTATGGGTAAATATTAGAAAGGAATAATTCTACTGATTGAATACAATTTATATACGACTGATTTAACAGAGAGGGAAGATTCCAGAGATTATTCTTGATATGCAGCTACGCGTAATAAAGGTTCTTGCAAATGTACTTGTAAAGCCTCGGCCTAAATTTGGTTATCCCGGGAAGAATTGTCTTTTAGTTAACTACTCTTTTTTTTTTTTTTTTTTTTTTTTTTTTTTTTTTATGGATTATTTTTATTTTTTCTTACCTTGGCTTTAAGTATACCAAGATTCACATAGTTTTCAGCCACAAGACATAGAAGCATGGTACCAATGCCAATAATAAAAGCAGATCCTTCCTAATAAATAATCATCATCATAAAAGGATGTACATTAGTAAATATTCATTTTTCTTTTCTTTTCTATTGAGTACAATCCAATATATATATATATTACCTCACAGTCCAACAAAAGGAATCTTGGACTATCCGATTGACCACCATCCAGAAAAGTTTCCGAAGAACTTTGCTTATTATAAGTACTCCAAATGTTGGCAGCAATTGCGGCATAAATTTTAACATTCTTGTCATTATCCGTTGCAAAAGAAAGAAGTGAACCGTCATGTGTCATAAGTCTATATCCATTTAAAATATAAAGGAAGTGTAATAATGAGTTTCTGATCATTCTACAAGTTTCTTCGTTTTATTGGTCACTTACAAAGCTGCCTTGACACCATCACGTGTAGATTGTCGTAATACTTGAGATATAACTTTTGGTTTCAACATTTTGTTATTGCTTGTCAACGATGAGACAAAAATAAAAAGAAGGAAAAAGTGAAAAGGAATTTTTTTGGAAAAAAAAAAAAATCAATACGGGCTTTGAAAGCGTCCAAAAAAATTACTATATATTCAATGCGAGTGGACGCGGGCGCGACTTTTTTTTTCTCTTCTTTTCTTCAGCATATCCTCTTTTTCTTTTCTTTTTTTCTTTGTTTTATATGACATTGAAACATATTATTGAATCAGATACTCTTTTGAAACGATTAGAACAAGCTGGATATACGTCTTTAGAAGACTTGAAAAATGCAAGTTTTATACAATTGACAAAAGGTAAAGAACCTTATTTTACTCACATTCTTACTCATATACTTCTTCTCTTTTCATGTTCTTTATTACTAATTTAGATGTTCAATTATCAGAAGACGAAGTATCAATGCTTTTATCTATAATTCACAATGGTAATAGAAATGAAAAAATTAAAGATTCATTTTTTTATATCTATTCTATATATATATATATATATATATTATTCGTAGATACCAATGAAGAAGGGACTTTGGCTACAATACTTGCTCAGGAACAACGACATGGTATCACAACATCTAGTCAGCATCTCGATAAATTATTTGCACCTACTAATGGAATACCAAGGTGCAGTATTACTGAACTTAGTGGTGGTCCTGGAACTGGGAAAACGCAACTTTGGTAAGTTCAAAATTGGTAGGATGGGTTTAAAAAAAAAAGATGAACTTGATTTTACTAACATTTCCTTTTTTTTTATATATACTTTTACTGATACTTAGTATACAACTTGCATGCAATGTTCAATTACCATTGGATCAGGGAGGACTTGATGGGGAATGCATTTATATTGGTAAAATGATAATGTGATGAATAAATCTATTTTTTTTTTTAACTAGATGTTCTTACTCTTTTTTTTTAATTCATTGTTTCTAGATACAGAAGGTGGGTTGATGCTGGAAAGATTTCGACAAGTGGCCTTTATGGAAAAAGGTATAGTAATGATTTGTAAGAAAGAGATTTCATTACTCATCAAATATATTCTTTCTGCTTTATATTATTACTAGATCATCAACAAGGTGAACTGAAACTCAAGCGAATTCACCATTTCCGTATTTTGGATCATATTCAATTGATTGCGCTAATACGTCAACTTCCTGATGTTCTTCAAGAGCTTCCAAAGGTAAAATAAAGATAGCGAAAAAGAAAAATGATAACAATATCTTTTGTATTTCTCTGTGTTTGACATCACCATAGGTCAAATTACTCATATTGGATTCTATCGCTTATCATTTTCGATTGAATATCCGTGATAATCGAACGCGAGCCGGTTTTGTTAATTTTATTGGTCAATCTTTGATTCAACTAGCTAATCAATTTGGTCTGGCGGTAATGAAAAACTGAAAAGAAATATGTATCCGTATTCAAAGGTTAAGAGTTTAACCTTTTTTTTTTTTTTTTTTTTTTAATATGATTTATATAGATCGTTGTAACAAATCATATCTCTATTGATCGAATCACTAGTTTTGGCCGTCCTGCATTAGGTAAAATTCAAGCATGGAATCAAATTTGGTGATAAGTGCAAAGAGAGAGGAAAGATATGAATCGGGTAGTTATGCAAAGTGATGGTGATCATCATCAGGAGGAAAACAACTCATCATTTTGGTATACATTTGGTGTAGGTGAACCTTGGGCACAATGGTGTGGAATTCGACTATTATTGACACGGAATCGACAACAAAGATATGCATCTATATACAATAGTACCCAACCAACATTGAAAACGGAGGTCCCTTTTATTATTGCGGTAAACTTATTCACTTTTTGAATTTTTTACCTTCCTAGAATATACGCGACTCAAGATCAACTTTTTTTTTTATTTCTAGCGAACGGGCATTGACGATGTGGGTGAAGAAGAGATGGCAAGGTTGCATCAATGGCAAGAAACAGGATTGGATTCTCAGCACGAAGAGATACAACAACAATTTAGAGAACTTGCGCCATCGTCGCTGACGTCAACAACAACAACAACAAGGAATGATCAAGATATATGGGATGAACAAGAATTCTATGTAGATGACATTATAACCGAGATACCAAAAATGACACCTCCGTTAGAATTACAAGTAGATAATGAAGCACAAGAAAAAGAAGAAGAAGAAGAAGAAGGGACGATGACGATGGAAAAGGTAGAACAACGATATACTCTTGTACCTGATTCACAACCTGGACATGTATATAGCTCCGCAATAGTAAAAGATATGATTGATACATCGGATGAACCACCAGCATCACAAACTTTTGGACGACGCCAACCACCTTTATTTAGTGTTCAAAACAAACGAAGACGATATTCAAACGATAATACAGCTACCAATCATGATGGATATCAGCAAAATGGGCAAAGTGATGATGACTGGGGATCTGAAAATGATGAACTTTGGTTAGCAGTGGCTGGCATGTCATCTCCTTCCCTCTAGTGTAGATTTTTGTAGATGCATTTCGTCTTTTTTTTTTTTTTTTTTTTTTGTATAGTCAGTCATTCCTTTTGTATATATAATCAATCCACTTTTTTTTTTTTTTTTTTTTTTTTGTTATTATTATTTTTATCTTATATCAATCTATTCTAATAAAGAATCATCATACATACATTTCCATATATTTTATTTTAAGGTGATATCAAAATGTAATAATAAAAAAAAATGAACCTAAACTAATTGAATGTTTTATTTTTGGATGGGGACAGAAAACTATACCACACGTTTGACTTCAAAGAAGCGTTTAAGATAGAAGACTTGCCAGAAACAAACAGCTACCAATAATGTCAATTGACCAATAGACCACCATTTGACACGAGCATTGGTACTTTCAGCAGCTACATTATAGAAACAAAAATTTATTTTAGTATAATGATGATCCTATTATTATTGAAAACTTACTATCACGATGTTGACGTTCACGTGCTACAAGGTATTCTTGTTCATCTTTGATAGCAAAGATACTTTCAGCCAATTCCCGGATTTCGCGTTCAATAGGATCAATATGTGCTATGGAATAATCATCATATTAGAAAGGATTTCTTGTCTTATATTCATAGTAATGACTTACTTTTGGCAGTTTCTTGAATACGTTCCATATCATGTACATTGAAATTGATGGACTTGGCAGTAACAGAGGACATTACATTACTGAAGCAATAAGTATATTTGCCCTTTTTGTTTGCTGTGACGACATGGTTTCCAACGGATTCTCTAGCAGTACTTTTAATCAGATTATCTTCGGGATCAATGATCTATATCAAAAAAAAAAAAGGTAATGTGGTTAGTCTTTCATCATATTGATAAAAAAAAAAAGGTACAATATTCTTTTTTTTTCTACTATTCAAAAGTTAATTCTTCTTGTTTTTGCTTACCATGAAATCAATATCCAAATTACCACCTTCTCCAACCTATTTTCCAAAAGAATAAGTAATAAAAAAGAGAGAGAGAGAGAGAGTTATTCCAAATATGCGCGTTATAAAATATAAATCATTCATAAATACTTACTTGATAGGACACGGTAAGTTTGTCTCCTACATCCAAGTCTTCAAAGAAACATTCTTCACTATGAGGTTGAATATCCACACTGAGGGCATTAATGGTAGCAAAAAGACAAAATGCTATGGTCAATGTAATAAAAAATCCACGCATGATTTTGAAGGGTATGAAAAAAAGAGTTTGTTCAGATCTAGGAAGATGAAAGAAAAAAGTGGACAATATTAAAGGGAATTGGGTTGTTTTGAAGCTGCCATGTTTATTTGGCCAATCAGAGACTTTAAAATGTCAACTTACGGAGACTGAATCTCGTTTTGACCTATTTCCCAATTCATCTTCAAAAATGGAGGAACAGAGTGCATTCACATGTCAAATCTTTTATTTCTTATTCTTTTTTCTCTCTCTCCCTTTTTTTTTTTTTTTTTTTTTTTTTTTTTTTTATATATTGATGTTGTATGGCTTCTCACTGTTTCCAAGAAAAAACATTTGGAAAGCTTACCTATTGTGATCGTTGTAATGGTTTACTATGGGGACTTGCAAAGCAGGGTGTAAAATGTGCTGGTAAATTATAAAAAAGACTATATCAAAAAAAAAAAAATAATCCTCAACCTACCCCTTTTTCTCCTGTTAGATTGTGGATATGTTTGTCATCAAGGTTGTACCGATTCTGCTCTACCATGTTCTCAACAATCGAATATACAAACTACAGCTTTTTCGTCACGAGCTCAACAACATTTACAAAGACTCCGTCATCTTCATCCTACAACAACAAAGTCAACCACTTCTACAGAAACACCTATACAACCACCTTTGGATTTGGTGAAAGAATTAATCACTCCTGAATACATTGAAAAATCTTTAGTATCAGCGGCTATTCAATCTTTTGATACTTCTTTACCTGTGAACGATTATCTTGCTACGTTACCTCCTTTGAATCCTCAAGCCACTGCCAAGAATTTCTCTCGTTTTGTTTCTCGATGTGGTCCTATATTCGGCTTTCGGGACAAAGTCATTCTTTTACTTAGTTGGGATAAACCTATTGATACCTTTGTAGCGCTGGTAGCTTACTGCATTGTTTGTAAGTCAGTCATATCCTCTATATCGAGATAGTTTGTTCACCTTTTTTTTTTTTTTTTTTTTTTTTTTTTTTTTTGTTAAAAAAAATAATTCAGGTTTTTATCCGAAATTACTTTTATTCATTCCTCAATTGATTCTTCTTCAAATTCTGGTAAATGGGTATTATAAACGATACGGTAGAAATCAACGGAGACGATCAATAACTGAAAGTGGATACAATAAGGATGTGAATACAATTTCAGTCAATAATAATAATAACAATCAAACTGGATCAACGTTTTCACCAACAGTAATACCATCCTTGTCAAGAAAGGGCGATCTGGAAACTTCTGCTACCTCTGTCACAAGCACTGATAACATTATGGAGTCAAGTGGTACTTCTGGTGGATCTAGTCTACGATCAGCATTTGCATTTAATCTAGCCACAGCGTTATTTCCAGTGTTTGATGAAACCAGTCCAGAATATGGCCGCAATCTTCAAAACATGCAAAATATGATGGGGGAAACAAGTGATCTTTATGATTTGGTACAATCTCATGCTCACTATTTTGACTGGTCTGATGAACAGATGTCATTACATATACTTCAAGGTGTATTGGTATCTATGGTAGTTGTCTCTCTTGCAGTTTACTTTATACCTTTCCATTTGATTTGTTTGATTGGTGGCGTTGGTATGTTTATGATCAACACTCGGTTTTGCAAATATTTACTCAAGGAATGGGTACCAACATTGACTCTACTTATTGAAGGTCTAATGCCTTGGATGGAAAAACAAAATAGAAAATTGGAGCACTTTATTCAAGATCAAGATCGAGTGCGTGAAATTTCTCTTTATGAAAATCAATGCTTATCCAATCAGGATAAAAAAACTTGGACAGATGTAAGTAATCTTTTTTTTTTTTTTTTTTTTTTTAAAAAAAAATGAAGTTGTTGATTATTCATCATGATTCTCCTTTTATTTTCATGTAGATAATGCCTAATGGAATTGGACCATGGTCAGATTATAGTGGTAAACATAAATTACCTTCAAACAAGCAAAAATCTATCGCACCTGATCATTATGAATGGATACAAGATGAATGGAAATTGGATACAATCGGATGTTGGAATGAAGAAACGTTATGTCTCGGTAAAAAAAATAAAAATAAAAATAAAAATAAAAAAAAAAATATGGGTTCCCTCCATTACTCACTGGTATTGCTTTTTATTTATAGAACTTTTGATGAAACCTGATAAGGATGGATGGGTTTACTTTGATCATTTATGGTGTAATCCAAGTGATAAATTCATACAAGGAATTACTACAACAAGACGTAGAAGATGGAAACGGGAATGCCAACGAATAGTTTAGTTTTTTGGGAATGTATTTTTTGTAAATACATTTGATGATCACAATAAAGTTGTACCTAATAAAAGTCTCTCTTTATCCGCTATGCAATCGGGATGTTAAAAATTGCATGGTTTCACTTTTTACATAAAAAAAACACGCAATTTTTTTTTATTTCTCTTCCTTTTTTCTTTTTCATTTGTCTTTATAGTTCATTCACCATGTCTACAAACAAATCACGTCCTACACCAAGAAGAAGATTATTCTCACCCAATGTTAGTAGTCAACGTATGATGGAAGTGGTGATCCATGGCAATATTCCAGCTGTGCAACCTAGTGACATCCCCACTCGAACAAACAAACACCCAGCATTAGAAGACCAAGTCTTGGAACGTTGGAAATCTCTTACTCCTCATCCTTTAACTGATCCAGAATATATTGAAAAAAATATTGTCTATCATACAACATACACTCTTGGTCGACATCGATACAACGTGGATAAAGCTGCTATGTATCATGCCACAGCTCATTCAGTACGTGATCTCTTATTGGAAGAATGGAATACTGCTCAAGAAAAACTTCATGTTATCAATCCAAAACGATGCTATTATCTTAGTATGGAGTTCCTATTGGTAAGCATACACTTTTTAAAACTTTTTTTTCTTATAATTTTTTTTTTTGTCTTTGTTACGAAATAGGGTCGAGCTTTGGATAATGCTTTATATTGTTTATCCACTAAAAAAAATTATACAACCTCGATAAAACAATTAGGATTTTCTATGGAAGATCTTTTGGAACAAGAAAATGATGCTGCTTTAGGTAATTTTTATATATGTAAAGAGAAAATGAAAGAATACCACTGACTCCTGTTTTTTTTTTTCCTTCTCTTTTTCATTCGAAAAGCAAGTGGTGGCCTTGGTCGATTAGCAGCTTGTTATATGGATTCAGCAACTACATTGAATTATCCTGTGTGGGGTTATGGTCTTCGTTTTCAATATGGCATCTTCAAACAAATCATTAACAAGGAAGGCTTTCAAGTTGAAGCACCTGATTATTGGCTTGGTTTGGATAATCCTTGGGAAATTCCTCGAGAAGATATCAAGTATGATGTTCAATTTTATGGTTATGTGGCTACCAAGATGAATGATGCTGGTGAATCAAAATTATCGTGGGAAGGTGGTGAAACGGTGCAAGCCATGGCATATGATATGCCTATTCCTGGTAAGCGAAAATAAATAAAACAGCAGGAACAACAATAATAATAATAATAATAACAAATTGATTTTAGGTTATGGTACAAACAACTGTGGTAATATTCGTCTTTGGGAAAGTCAACCTCAAAACTTATTTGATTTTGGTGCCTTCAACAATGGTGATTACGACAAAGCAGTGAATGAACAAAAACGTGCTGCAAATTTAACAGCTGTACTCTATCCAAATGATAATCATGCTTCTGGTAAAGAACTTCGTCTCAAACAAGAATACTTTTGGGTTAGTGCTTCTTTACAAGATATTATTCGACGGTTCAAGCGTTCCAAACGTCCATGGAAAGAATTCTCTGATCAAGTGGCTTTACAATTGAATGATACACATCCTGTCATGGCGATTATAGAACTTCAGCGATTATTTGTAGATGTGGAAGGACTTCCTTGGGATACGGCATGGGATTTGGTTACCAAGACATTTGCATTCACCAATCATACTGTGCTTCCTGAAGCTCTTGAACGTTGGGAGGTACCCATGATGACACATTTACTTCCAAGACATATGCAAATTATCTACGACATCAATCTTTTCTTTTTACAAAAGGTGGAAAAACAATTCCCTGGTGATCGTGATATCCTCAACCGAATGTCTATTATTGAAGAATCAAATCCTCAACAAGTACGTATGGCTTATTTGGCGGTGATAGGCTCTCATAAGGTGAATTGTGTTGCAATGCTTCATACTGAATTAGTCAAAAAGGATATTTTCCCTGATTTTGTTCGCTACTTTGGTGAGGACAAGTTTATCAATATTACCAATGGTATCACTCCCCGTCGCTGGCTGTATCAGGCTAATCCTTCGCTACGAGATTTGATCACTGAGACTTTGGGTTCAGAAAAGTGGGTATTTCATTTGGACGAATTAGCAAAACTCAAGACCCATGCTGATGACAAGCAGTTTCAAAAACGATGGATGAACGTTAAACTTCAAAACAAACAAAGATTGGCTTCTTGGATTTCTACCAACTTGGACATACAAGTCTCTCCTGATGCACTATTTGATATTCAAGTCAAACGGTAAAGAGAAACAAAAAAAAAAAAAAAAAAAAGTGGGACGACAAATGAAGAAAAAAAAAATGAAAAACTCATCTTTTTTTTTTTTAATTCATTTTAGTATACATGAATACAAACGACAATTTTTGAACATATTGGGTGTGATTTATCGATATCGAGAACTAATTGACATGGACAAATCTGAACGAAGCAAATTGGTACCTCGTGTGGTGATCTTTGGTGGAAAAGCTGCACCTGGTTATTATGTAGCAAAATTGGTGATCAAGTTAATCAATAGTGTAGCTCAAGTAGTGAACAATGATGAATCCATTGATGGATTGCTAAAGGTTGTATTTATTCCAGACTACAAGGTTTCGTTAGCAGAAATTATCATACCAGCCAGTGATATCTCACAACACATTTCGACAGCGGGCACTGAAGCATCTGGTACATCGAATATGAAATTTGTTCTGAACGGAGGATTGATCTTGGGTACAGTAGATGGTGCCAATATTGAAATCAGGGACGAAATTGGCCAAGACAATATCTTTATGTTTGGTACTTTGGCGGACAAGGTATCGGATCTACGACATCATCAGAAATTTTATGGGGTATTGATTGATGCTAATTTACAAGGTGTGCTTGACTTTATCGAATCCGGTGTATTTGGTGAGGCTTCCATTTTCAACCCTTTGATTGATACCTTGACCTATGGTGGTGACTATTATTTGATTTCTCAAGACTTTGACGATTATCTCAATGCGCAAGACAAAGTCGATCAAACCTTCCGTGACAAATCCTTATGGGCTAAGAAATCCATCCTGTGTACTTCTGGTATGGGCTTTTTTTCTTCGGATCGTGCTATTCGTGATTATGCTGATAAGATTTGGGATATTAAACCTATGGAATAGAAATAAATAATGTATTTTTTTTTATGGGTGAATAAAACAATTGGATGATTTTTTTTTATAACGACAATAGGATTATTAGAATGATATGGGTATTTTTTTTTATTAGTTTTAGAAACAGGATAAATTGTGGTGAAGTTTTACATATAATTAATTACTATGAGAACGGATAACGGTAGTGATGATTCTTTGATGATGTTTTGATGTTGATGATGAAGAAGATATGAATGAATGAGCACTATGACTTCAGGGGATCTAAAAGCTTTTATGCGCATAAGGAATTTTCGCCACTGTACAAAAAAAAAAAAAAAGTTTGAAGATCCTACTTTACTATTTCGTCTAGATCGTTATCTTTAATAATCATTAACCATCAGATCATTGTTCATGGCATCCATCAGCGGTCATTATTCATTTGTTCATGAACCGTTAGCAATCATCATCATTCACTCATCCAATAAAAACCAAAACCTTAACAATATATCAATCCAATTAGTTTCATCCTTCAGATATGATCATTACGTTTTTGCGACAGTATGTAAGAGAAGAACTTTCTATTTTGTTTATAAGAACGCATAATTGTATTATGCAAAAAAGAAAAGAAAAGATCGAAGTATACCACATGTAACGTTCAGTACGTATCTATGACAAAATATACGTCATTGTAATAAAAAAGACTTTTGTTACAATGACGTGTATGTAAAAGATACAGACATCTGATTTAACGCAGTCGGCGGGAACCGAAATATGAAATGAAAATATGCACGACATAAACGTGCAACCTTACCCCTTATTTTCACCAATCATCATTCCTCTGGTAGGGAATAAGAAGATGATGAAGTCTTCAAAATCGATGCTCTGATAAAATATATCATATTCTCACCAAAAAGAATATCCTATGTAGGATGGACAGTCTCTCACGATGCAATAGGTAATCTCTCTCTCGTTCTTTCTCTTTTCTTAGTATTCGTCATTTCACAATAGATAATGATGGTGTATTCTAAGAATCAAAAAAAAAAAAAAGATATCGCTGTAGATTCATGCTGATCGGTCATTGGTTCAATTGCCACCGTCATTTTTTAATGGGGTAGTTTTTGGTATCCGCTTCTTTTTTTTTTCCTTTTCCTCCTTTCTCTCTTCCTTTTTCCTTTTTCCTTTTCTTTTTCCTTTTTTTTTCTCTTACGTACTTTTCTTTTTCTATATTTTATTTATCTTATATTTCTTGACTTTGATGACTACTCATGGTGACCACCAAGTACAGTTGAAAACTAGTATTCCTTCTCTTACCAATACTGAACGAGATCTATTACAAGCACATCAACCTGGTTATGGAACTCGCTCTGCTGTGGAAGTTGCCTTTAATTTAGTCAATGCTACTGTGGGTGCAGGGATCATTGGATGTAAGTTCATATATAGAAAAAAAAAACTTCTATTCTTGCTTACTTACCATTGTTTTTTTTCTCTCTTTGTTCTCCATACATAAAAAAGTACCGTTTGCGTTGTATAATGCAGGATTTATTAGTGGATTAGCTTTATCATTGTTTGTGTCTGTGGTATCTCAAATTGGGTTATATATGTTGATTGTTGCCGGTCAACGTGTTGGTATTTACAAATTTGCTGCTTTGGTAGAATATCTCTTAGGTCGACCTGGATATCATTTTTTGAACTTTATGATATTGATTCAAGCCGCTGGTGCATGTCTTAGTTATATTATTTGTAAGTTCTATCAATAAGAAATATACAAAAAAAAAAAAATTACAGTGAATTCTGTCAGTCCCATGGTCTTATCATGCTTTCGCTATATTATTGAACTCAATTTTATTTCTTTATATAGTGATTGGTGATACTCTCCCTGTATTATTAGCATTATATTTTCCTCAATATCCAAACCTCTCAGATCGTTCAATGATATTGATTTTCATTTCTGTCTTCTTGGTAAGTTGTTGACGAATTAAAGTCTTATATATGAATCATCTCTTTTTTTTTTTTTTTTTTTTTTTTTAGATATTCCCTTTGAATTTGTCCCGATCCATAGGTGCATTGGCACGTTGGTCTATTGTATCTGTGCTTTGTTTACCCATCATCCTGCTGACACTATTGATTAGGGCTCCTCTTTATTCTCCAACTCATACAGCAACTTTGGATTGGGTTGGTCCAGATATTTTTGGTGCAGGGGCTATTATGGCTTTTGGATTTGCTTGCTCCCAAGTGGCATTCAATAACTTTTTGGCTTTAAAGGAACAAACTTCTCGTATGTGGGCTTATGCAGTCACGATTGCTGCTATCATCAGTTACATCATGTCAATGGCATTTGCTGTCATTGGATTTCTTAGTTTTGGCAAGGATGTGCAACCCAATCTTTTTTTGAACTTTCCTGCAGATGATGCTGTGATCAATATTGGTCGATTTGCTTTGGGTTTTAGTATGATTCTGACTGTACCGTAAGTGCGAATTCAAAAAAAAAAGTAGAGGATATATATATATTCATTTTTTTTTTTTTTTTAATTAGAATGGCTTTTTATCCAGCTCGTGAAGCAATACAAAAATCACTTGGATTTGAAACACCAGAAAAGCAACCAAACGCTTATCAACATTATGGAGTTACTGTTTTATTATCGATTATTATCACCATCCTTGGAGTTTGTGTTCATTCGGTGGGTAAAGTATACACTCTTATTGGTGGTGTGGCGGCAACTACTTTGGCTTATATACTTCCTGCAGCATCTTATATCGTCACTCGGTCTATTCGTGGTCAACAACAAGAAGAGGCGAAACAACCTCTAATAAATCATGTCAACAACAACCTTGATTACAACTCTATTGGCAGCAGTACATCAAGTGAGAGTAATCATTCGGCTTATCCAGTGATGGTCGAGGAAGAACCTGTGGTGATGGATATGGATGATGGCGCGACATGTTGGTATTTAGATATAGCAGCTGGACTGTTGATTATTTGGGGTTTTATAGTGATGTTCTTCGCAACGAAGAGTGTATTTGCTTAGTTATATTGATTGATTGATTATTCTAAATAAATGATGTCTTCCATAAAAACCGATTTTTTTTTTTTGCCATAGTCTGATCTGTCCAAAATGACACTCATTTAACCACCGCTTGTTGCTGGGTGTTTTTTTCTCTTTTTCTTTCCCTTGCTTTTTATATATTTCTTCCAGTTCTTTTGTTTACTCCTTTCTCCTTTGTTTAATTCCATTGATCTCACGTCATGTCCGACAAACCATTAACTCCATCAACATGCTCCAACTTTTCCTTCTTCAAAGGCAAGTTTTTTCTTTCCTTTTTTTTTTTTTTTTTTTTTTTTTTTTTTTTTTAACGGTACATCCACAAAAAAAAAAAGGGATTCTTTTGAAATATATATCTATTTTGACAGGTTGTATGTTAACTTACATCTTGTTTTGTTTTGGCTAATAAATAGATATGCTGAAGGAACTGCGTCGTGTGGATGACAATATTATTCTTCGTCTTAATTCAACGGATACTCATTCTGAACAAGCTTGTGGTGACTTTTTCAAGCAATTAGCCAGTGCCTATCGTAAACGTGAAGATGCAGTAGATTATTGTCTCAAGGTGATGGATGCCGAGATTGATCGCAAGACAAATCTATTGCAACAAGATCCCGATGATTATGATACTCAATCCAGTCTCTTTAGTGATGAAACCAAGGTAAAATAATAAGAATAATAATCAACTTACTGACCTTTTTTTTTGATGGATGATTTTTGTTTGTTTTGTAGCGACGTATGATTGCCAATGAATTGGTGGTGGAAGGTATTGTCCGTGATCGTACCATTCAAGTCTTTAAATCGAAATGTCGTGTCTTTGATGTGTCCTCCCTTCAAACTAAACAATAGATAGATAGATCTTCCTTTTTATATACTCCTGTACATTTTTATATCTTTTGATTTTTTTTTTGTCAATAAAAAAAATATATATATTCTACGATTTTTATTATTGGAATAACTACAAAATGATTTGAATATGTAAAACTAAAAGAGTGATTGTGTAAAGCGAAGAATGATTACTATTTGGTATAGAGGTACAATGGTCGTGAAAACCCTAATTTTTTTTAAAGAGATGCTTTAGTCTTTTCTTCTTTCATTTTTTCTTCTTCTATACCTTTTGAATCTGTATTGGGAGTTCCTAATGGTGTGACCACCTTGAATCCGACTTCTTTCATCAAGTAGTCATCATAATCTTCGGGTTTGAATTTAATTTTGTCCAAAATATCTGTCATTTCCTACATCATACATATATAAAAGAAGAAATCAATCAATCATCATACCATGTATTCTATTCTATTCTTTACCTCTGATCCTTTTGCACGTCGTTCATAAGACTTAAAGGTTTGAGGTTCAAGTACCAAGACTCCACCAGGTTTCAAAGATTGGTATACCCTTTGGAAAAAGTCTTTGATACCTTGATCTCCACGATGTAATTGAATCCATTTGGTAATACTAAGACTATAATAATGATTTGAGTATCAAACATTAGTCAAATTTATTATCTACTTACGCTAAGATGGTGTCGTATTCATTTTCCTTAATATCCATATTCAGCCAATCACCTTCTTGAAAGGAGGTATTGTAAGGGAAATCATGATTCTTGTATGAAGGAGGCATATTCGTCGACATGAAGCCAAACATTGTCACCATAGAGCGAGGAAAGTAATGAGTTTGAAGTTTGACATCCACACTAAGTGGTTTTGAATCATCATTATCTATGTTGATATTAGGTTGCTGAAGAGAATATGTTGTTCGTAGTAAAGTTCGTGCCTGGGCAATCAAACGATCGTCAATATCTACACCTAAAATATGTCGAGGTTTACATTGTTGTCCTAAATATATATACATGTATAGAACACATCAGTAAAAAAAAAAAAAAAAAAATACAGTATAAAGGATTACCGATAACTATGGTGATATTTCCAGAATTACAACCAATATCTAATACGTTCTTGTCCTTGAATAAAGATGTATTTAGTAATGATAGACGAGGATCAAGTTTGTTAGCATCGTTCCGTCGCGTTCTATAGATTCCCAGAAAAAAAAAAAACAAATCAGTTTCCATTTCTTTTTTTAATTGGTTGTTTAAGTATGTTTAACTTACTTGTAATAGTTTGTATAATTGCCATAAATGTACTTTTCGCGTTGACGGGTTGTTGTTGGTTTTTGAGGAGGAGCCAAGTGAATGCCAGTTTTACGTCCAAGAAGGTCAGAGGTGGCATCCTCGGATTTTGTATGTGGTTTCAGTGTGACATGTTGTCGTTTATTTAAAGGTAGAGAGTTTGATAAATAAGGATTCTCTCTTTTGTTGCTGTTATCCTGATCTTCCATATTATAAAGAAAAAAAAAAAAAAAAGAGAAATAGCTGGGTAATTCAGAGTCAGATGGGAACAATTTTTTTTTTTTTATATGTTCAAAAATTTCAATCGATTGTTTTCTTTTTTTTTGTTCTTTCTTTCTTTTCCCCCTTACCCCACTTCCTTTCCTTTTTTCAACATGAATACTTTCAAAACTTATAGTGAACGAGCTAAAAATCATTCTAATACTTGTGCACGTGCATTACTTGAACTTATGGAGCGAAAACAAACCAATTTATCCGTGGCTGTGGATGTGACCAAGAAAGCTGAACTTCTCTCCATAGCTGCTGCAGTTGGTCCATATGTGTGTGTTCTCAAGGTATTATCTAATATATATATATATATATATCTATTTCTCCTCTTTTACTGAACCCTTTTTTTCTTTTTTTTATTTCTTTCTGATAGACACATATTGATATTGTGGATGATTTTGATCAAGATCTGGTGACTCAATTGGAACAATTAGCACAACAACATGACTTTATGATTTTCGAAGATCGAAAGTTTGCAGATATTGGAAACACAGTGAAACATCAATATGGAAATGGGATCTACAAGATTGCGTCTTGGTCACATATCACGAATGCACACACTGTGCCAGGCGAAGGGATCATTCAAGGCTTAAAGGAAGTTGGGTTACCATTGGGACGCGGGCTTTTACTGTTGGCTGAAATGTCATCCAAGGGAGCATTGACACAAGGTGAATATACGACTTCTTCGGTGGCTATGGCACGGCGTCATCAAGATTTTGTATTTGGATTTATTGCGCAGCATCAAATGAACGAAACCGATGATGAGGATTTCATTGTCATGGCTCCAGGCGTTGGATTGGATATCAAGGGTGATGGTCTTGGACAACAATATCGTACTCCTCATCAAGTCATTGTGGAAAGTGGTTGTGATGTGATCATTGTCGGTCGTGGGATCTACGGACAACCTGATCAAGTACAACAACAAGCTGCTCGTTATCGTGATGCTGGATGGGCCGCTTACTTGGAACGTTGTCAACAACATAGCTCTTCTTAATATAGTCTTTTTCTTTCTTTTAGATCATCTTATTTATCATTGAATAAACAATCAATAAACAAACAAATAAAAATAGGATTCATGTTTGACAGATACCATCCATCAGCTGAAAATGTCGTCATGCTACAATAATTTTTTTTTTTTTTGAACGCATTCTTAGTATGTTAAAATTATATAGTTTTATTGTACAACATCAATAAAAAAAATAAATTCTCATGACTTTTTTTCCAAACAATTGATAATATAGACAAAGGTAAACTTTTTATTTTTATCTTTTTTTTTTTTTTTTAAAAAAAAATCGAAAAGGTACATACAAATGAATATCATCAATGACAACAATAGTTGAATTCAAATCAAATATAAGGAATGAATAATAATAATAATAATAGTAAAAAGAGTACAGGTATATATATATATGGGAGAGAAAAAAAAAACGAAATCTAATCTTTTTTGTTTGAGTGAGAAAGGGAGATAATATATGTATACTGTAATGGAAGAAAGAATAGAAGTCGAGGGGGGGATGTAGAATGATATCTATCTATTTATATATATATACGTATATGTAAAAAGAAAAAAAAATAATGTTTCGTGTGTGTGTGTGTGGGAGAGATGTCATGAAGTAGAGGTTCGGGTATGTAATTTGTGCATGTGTCTGGTCAGGGCGTCACGACGGGTAAAAGAGGCATCACAAAGGTGGCAATGGGCACGACGTTTGTTTTCAAAATGAAGGGCATCCACATGGCGATCACGATCATGTTTCCGGTCAAAGGATTGAGTACATACAGGACAATCAAACAGTTTCTTCCGATGAGGATCATGAATACGAATATGAGCATTGAGGTTGTATCTTCGGTTGAAACGGCGTTCACACAATGGACAGGCAAAAGGTCGATCTTCCATATTGGCCTTCTTCTTTTGTTGATCATCTTCTTCCTTGTCGGTATCTGCATTGCTGGATGATAAAGATGACAATGATTTCTTCTTCCGTCCTCTTCGGTCCCGTATGACAATGTTCTTGGTTTTGTTATTATCCTTTTTGTCATCATCATAGTGGCTGGTGATCATTTTTATTGTTGTTGCTTCATTGGTGGCTTGTTCATATCCATGATGATGATGGTAAGATGGTTCTTCATCCATATCGGCGGTTTCATATTCTGATGTGGCTGATATAGGTGATCGATCCAAATAAGGGGGATGGTCCAAAGGCTGCTGCTGAGAAAAAGAACTGGCGCGCGACAAAGACCAAGAGGAATACAGAGAACCAGAAGGTGGGGTATCGGGACGAACTTCACAATTGGTCAGTTCTTTGATGCTTAGCATTTCACAACGACGAACAGGAGTTTCCTTCAAAAGACTGTTGGCGGTGGTATTATTTTGACTTGTATTGTCACGATGGACATGGCCACTGTTTTCAATAGTATTCAGACTATTATTAGTATTAGCCTTTCCCCTTGAATCCGTAGTATTATTGTTGTTGTTGATGGTGTGAATATGCGAGTTGAAGGTAAGATTGTCATGAAGTGATGGAAGTATATCGTCAGTAGGATTGTCCGAGGGTAAAAGAGCACTACTTCTGATTGATGAGAAAACAGATCCTCTAATCAAAGCAGGCCACATGAGTAAAAGTAAGACAACGAAGAGGATTGAAAAAAAAAAAATGTGTTTGACAAACAAAAAAAAAAAAAAAAAAAGTGAGAGGGGTAATTGAAAAAAAAAAAAAAAAAATAGAGTTAGTAGAGCGACAACATTTATAAAAAAAAAAAACTGCGCACGACAACTAAAAAATTCTTTGCACCTCTTTTGTGATCACGACTGCGCTTTTAATAAACCCATCATCCATCGTAGTAGTCATGACAACTAAATAGTCAAGAAGTAAAACTTTATTTTCAAGATATACACAAAATAATAATAATCATCAAAAACTGCAGGTTAAAACGTAACAAAAAAGACGAAACGAATAAATAAATAAAAACTAATGTTCACCATATGCCCAATCCGCTACATAGGAGAATTGTAAAAATTCTTGTTGCTCGGCTCGTGCCATACCACCAGGAATGGGTGTCAAAGCTGGTCGTTCTGCGGTAAATTGTTCATCAAAGTTGGAAGTATCTAAGCGTCCAGCTACTGTAGGATAGAAAGGTGGTGGTACACGTTTTGCAAGCATATCGTCCCAATTTACACCAAAGAAAAAAGGATGGGCCCGAATTTCTGCAGCATCATCCGGTCCTGCTCCAAGTCGATGATTTGGATCACGAGTCAGTAACTATTCAAAGGTAAAAAAAAAAAAAAAAAAGTGAGTGATAGAAATAAGACTTGGTATATATATAAAAGCTATCTTACCCTTTGACAGATAGAAACAGAGTCCCTGGACATATTGATAGGATAAAGAATATCATCTTCCAAAATAGCATCAAAGATTTCATCTTCATCTTCACCACGGAAAGGAGACTAATAGAAACAAAACAATATATATATATATCAATATCTATCTTCCATTGTTCAAATGTTAAACATATCATATATACGCTTACCTGACCAAGTAACATTTCATAAATTAAGACACCAAATGCCCACCAATCTACAGCACGACCATATCGTTGTTCCAATAAGATTTCAGGTGCCATAAAATCAGGAGTACCACAAAACGTACCAGTGTTATTCCCATAGAACATATTTTCCTTGCAGAGCCCATAATCAGCCACCTTGATGTGTCCATCTAATCCAAGCATAATATTGTCCAATTTCAAATCTCGATAGATGATTCCTAAACTATGGAAATATTCTAAAGCCAACATCACTTCACAAGCATAGAATCTATATATATATATATATAAATTATTTTTTTTAGTAATCCGCTGGGCTATTCTTTTTTTGATGACTTACTTTGCTCGTCGTTCAGAGAAAGGTTCTCGCTGAATATGCCACATCAAATCCCCACCGCTAACGTATTCCATGACAAAATATACACGAGATTCAGTTTGGAAACAAGAATGAAGACCAATCAAGAAGGGATGTCGTTCACGGTTAGCAGCTTGGAAGATACGTTTTTCAGATCGAAGACTAAAATAGAAATCATTAGTATTTTTTTTTTCATCTTTTTTTTTTTTATGGTTGATTACCTTTCCATTTCATCATTATCTATAATAAACCGTTTTTTTCAATACTTTGACAGCATATAATGTTTGATCATGTCTATCTTCAGCCAACATCACCTATAAAACAACAAAATAATAAATAAAGTATTCTTAAAAAATGTTTCTATTCCTTACCTTGCCAAAGTTGCCTTTGCCAAGTACAGCTAAAAAGCTAAAATCATCCAAGGTAACTTGTCGTGATACTGTTTTTGTCGCAGTTGTGGGCGTATGACCAGAAATACTGGGGGCAATTGCACCATTTGGTACTTGCATAGTGTTAGATAGACGATTTTTATTGGGTATAGGAGCATAAGGATCGATATTACTTGTGCTATTGGAAGGTGAAGGTACAGGTGAGGTTGAAGGAATAGCACCGAGGTTTACATGGGATAATCGTTTGGACAAATCGGTCGTTGCTTTTTCGTCGACTTTGGTATCTTCTGTCGTTTTAGAACTTTGGCTAGGTCTGAGAGAGGGTGGTTGCAATGATGAACTTGATCCGTCACCTGTCTTGCGTCTTGCTGCTTTGATTTCTGCGAGCATTTGATTTGCCATTTCCATCGATAGACCACAAAAGTCGGGGACGAGATGAGCACACTTGATATGGCAAGTAATGCCACATTCTATGATGAAGGTGGGAAGAAAAGAAAGAAAAAGGAAATTAGTACCACTATCATCATCATTACTGCTCTATAATATCCTAATTACCTGAACATTTCTTTGCACTTCTGGAACCCAATGAAAGCATATAGCCACAATGACAACACCAATTGGCACCAATATTTGTAATAGGTTCAAAGCGATGAGGAATCTTATGATTGAGTTTATCTTCATCCACATCCTAATAATAATAATAACAATCCAAGTAAATGATATGAATGAGAAAAAAAAAAAAGAGGGTTTCAGTATATATTTAGTATGAATCTCTCTTTTTGAATAATTACCTTTTCCGATTTGGAAATACATTTTGTAACCACCTTTGTATAGCACTTTTTGTGGCAAGTATAGTCACAATCTAATATATATATATATATATATATAAAGTAGAGATCATTAGTCAGCTTTGACCAGATATGGCAATTTTTTTTTCTCATTACCTTCACATTGGTATCCAGAATTCACCAAAAAGTCACCACAAAGAGCACATTTCATGACATTGTAGAATTTCTTTTCGGCAAATTGATGACCATTCATTTCATGAATAGCCTCAGGTCTTTGACGAACAGCACCTGCACGGCCAAGTTTATCCAAAGGTCGACGATTTGCAGCTTCACGCACTAATATAGATATATAATACAGTAAAAAAAAAAAAAAAAAAAAAAAAAGAGAGTAAGTTTATATCTTTTTTTCGTATTTTTGACAAGTTTTACCGAAATTTAGTCGCAGACACATTTCACCAACAGGTTCAACATCAAACCAAGCCTGGATTCCATTGCCATCTTCTGTCACTTGTGCTGAAGTAGGTAAAGGGGGAAGAGGTCGTTCTTGTTGTTGTTGATGAGATTGATCATCCATATCTTGCTTTCGTTGTCGTCCAGCATCACCAGCAGGAGCCCAACCTTGTCCATTATCTTGTTGAATCTTACGTTTTCGAAGACCTTCAGCTATATCAGTAATACGTAACCAAAACATTCCAATGGGTAAACTACGTTCTCCAGAATGATCATAAATAGCTACTTCTACTTCAGACGCCTTGTTGACATGTATTTCACAAAGATCATTCCATCGATTATCGTTCTTTGATGATTTTGAGCGAAATACGATATTACCATCAATCTTGATATATACTGTAGTTTCAGGAGATCGAATCATTCTTGTAGGAGCGTGAGCTAATTCCCTTGCTTCTAAAATTTCTAATTGTAATTTGCCTGTCACTGGTCTACGGAATCCTGGTGGTAATCGAGCAGATGGAGGTGTTTCCAATTCTATGGAAATATATAAACAAAAGATGAGATTTTCATTTTTTTTTTTTAAAAATTTTCTTTTAGTATTACCATAATCTTCTTCTTCATCTTCTCCTTCACCAATATATAGTCCCTTATATTTACGTAATGCCCGATTCAAAAGTCCAAGTTTTTCAATACTTTCATACATTTGATTTTTAATTTCATCTCGTTGTTTTCTATCATTTTGAGTTCCAAGACGATCCAAAGCATCAGCCATTGTTTTGATACCTTCCAACACTTTCTTTTCCACGTCGAGTTTGTATTCCAATTCATGAAGTTTGAGAGATACTTTGGGTTTGTTGTAAGGTGTGTTTGTCGTTAACAAGTCTAATTATATATATATATAGTGATAAAAGTGAATAAGAAAAAAAGACATAGCAATATTTATATATATATATATATATTTACCAAGAGTACTATATCTTTTCTTGACAGGTAAATTATTTTTATCCGTATTGGTAGCAGAAGGAGACAAGGAAGAGGAGCTTGAACGGTTGTTTGTATTGAGTGGGTCATCAGCCGAAGATCTTCCCGAACGATGTTGAAGTTTATGAAGTTCTTCTGTAAAATAGTCAATGTACATTTGAGCCTTCTTAATTTCAGTATCACATTGGGAAAGAGCATTCCGGTCGGTTAGCAATGGTCGCATATGTTTAGCAGTATCCCGGACACGTTCATTCTGTTCAATACGAGATATAAGTTCTTGTATCTTTGAGTCTTGATCCTAAACAAATAAAAAGAATATGAATAAATAAAGTATATACATACTAAAAGAAAAGATTCATTCTTCACTTGTTCATATTCTCTTCTTTATGGTATTCTTTTATTGTTTGACTATGTTTTATAAAACTTACAGACATTTGTATTCAACTTTTCCAAGAATAGAGTACAAGTTATCGTTCGAATTGCTAAAAGAATAAAGTAATAAAAAATTAATAAGAAAAGAATAAAAAACAGGATTCATATGGCTTACGTCTAAATAAATTAATATAATAATAATAATAATAATAATAATAATAATAATAATGAAAGAAATGGAAGGAAAAGGAACCAGAGAGAGAGAAGCATACAACAACAATTCTTTTCCGGAGTTTCGATCGAACTGTAAAATAGCCCAATCACAAATTACACATTGCGGAGACTTGAATTGGGCTTATACAACTTTTGCTTGGCATAGAATATATCGCTCATTGTCTAGATCATTTTTGATGTAGTTTACCCTTGTACAAATCAAACTTCCTTGCATGAAATATGACGTATTCTTTATTAATATAAATAAGTGGTATAGTAAAAAAAAAAAAAAAGGTGATACAGAACTATATTGATGGATTGTATGTATAGAGGAAGATAGATTGAAACAAAAAAAAAATAGTGATGATAATGATGACGATGTTGAGTAATATAGATAATTGTAATAAATAGTGATAATAATAATAATAAATAAATAAAATAAGGATGGAGTGAATCTAATCGTTCAAAAGTAGTAAAAGACCTTGTTGTTGTGATTTTGATATTTTTGATTTTTGAGTTTGTTGCCGTGACTGATTGTCAGAGGATGCATGGATTGTTTGAGATTGAAGAAAAGTAAAATCTTTTTGAGGTGTCAATACAGGTGAAGGCAAAAAAGTTGGAAAGGAAGCACGTTTATGAACAATTCGAGGATGTGAAGTAATGTAAGTTGAAGGTATTGTTGATTGTTGTTTTGGTGATGATGGCTCCGTTGTTTGTGATTCCTTTCGGACCAAGATTCCGATATCATCTTCTTCTGTAATATAAGATGACGTTTCACTAGTTCGACGAGAATCCAGACTAAGATCTTGCATAGATACAGACATCACATCAATATCATGACCAAGTAAAGATGATTGTTTTGTTGTTGATTCTTGCATGAGTTGTATGGTATCTTGGGCTTGTTCTAACATGTAAACATATTCACGCATTCTTGTCACCATATCATGTACATTTCCTTTGTGTTCCCGTTGAATATATTCGATCGAAGATAATCGTTCTTGAAGTTGATTGTTTTCTCGTACTACCTACTCCAAAAAAGAAAAAAAGATTAAATTTGAGTATAACAATATAGTGATAAATTAACACTTTACCATGTTTAAATCAGAGTGAATATTCCGTATGGCTTGAGTAGCAAAAATATCAGATTCTTTTTGGCTTTTAACTGCTCTTTCCAAAAGAACTTGTAGATTCACATTATCTTCTTGTGTTTCTGTCAAATCTTGTTCTATCTCATCTACAAAATTAAATTTAATAAATTTTATCAATATAATTATTTATGTTTGACTTACAGACGCGATTTTTGGATTCATGCTATATAAAATAAAACAAAAAAAGAAAGTTTTTAATAAAGCTATTGATTTTTCTTTTTTCTTTTTATTACCAAATTTTCTGAAATGTCATTCATTTGTGTTTCCAATCCTTTCATTTCTTGTCGAAAAAGAGCCAATTGTTTCTTTGCTTTTTCCATATCTTGTAAGAATTCTAATCGTTTTTCAATATCAGTGGAAGATGGCATTTTTTGGAGTGGGGTTGAATAAGAGCCACCAGTTGTTTTCTAATATATAAAACAATTTAAGTTTCTTTTACAAATGAACTGGACCTATTTGTTTGTTTGTTTTATTTTTTACCTTTGGTCGAGGACCTTGAGTTTCGAGAAACTCACTGTCCCAATATTCGAAGTTTTGATCTATTAAAAATATTATGTTGAATATATAAAAGAAGTATATTAATAAATATATTTACCTTGTTTCCAAGAGAGTGAAGACTGTTGAATATCCGAAGAAATCTGTTTGAAAAAAAGAAAAGAGAGTTAGAAGAAACGAATAGATGATAAACAATGTGTTATATATATATATATACCTTGGTAACTGGAACCATCTACTTTAGCATCAAAGTGTCTCTATTTGTATATATTTCTATGTATACATATATATTTATATATATATAGAGAAAGAGAAGAAGAAGAAGAACGAGAGGAAAAGGAGCGTTTTTTTTTTTATTATCTACAATTAATGATCAAAAAAAAAGAATGACAAAAAATAAATAAATAAAAGTATATGGAAAGCAAAAAGAGAAATGAATAAAAGGAGCGAATCACCAAAAGAAAAAAAAAATTGGACGGGGTATCAAATATGGCCCAGGATCTTTTTTTTTTTTTTTTTTTTTTGTTCTTGGTAGAAAGGGGAAGATGATACAAAAAAGAAATCAGTAGAACCAAATTTAGCAAGTCCTAGATGTCATACAATTGCTTTCTCATTAAGTCTCATTAAGGATCCACAAAATAAACGGAGTGGGGAGGAGAGATTAAAACAAGGAAAAAGGAGATATGATGATGACATATGTATCAGAATAACAAAAAAAAAAAAAAAAAAAAAAGAGGAGAAGAGTTCGAGACCCCATAAAGTATACTCATCTTCTGGGGCCCTATTGATTATTTATGTTAATGCAGATTGAATAGATAACTCAAAATATTAAACATCATTCCAAATACAATCAGAATAAAAACAATTGCTACCTTTTTTTTTTTTTTATCGTTCATATATAGTGGATCTGAAGTGAAAATCTTTGATATTGTACCTCAATCAAAATTTACCAAAGGAGTAGATGAATCACTGTGCCTAATCCCCTCTCAACTACATGATCAAAAGCTTTTATGATGATTCAGGAAGAGGATAGTATAAACAATCGGTGGTTATAGTTATCAAGAAGCTCTCTGAAAAAAGCTACTGTTATTTCTACGAACGAATACTGATCGACAAAACTATGTTGCTGCTGTGGAATGCCAGCGAATTCATCGGCAAAAAAAAAAAAAGAAGTAAGGACAAGTCAAAAATGGTTACCAATTTAGGCACTATTGTGTGTATCAAACCCCAGATTATCCTAGTCGCAAAAATGGGTACAGTTGAAGAGGTATTAATATCGCGATGATTGGTTACGAATGACTTGCCTTCAACCAGACACTGAATTTACAAGATCCACTTCTCATCCCGGAGGTTTGAAGATGTGAATAATAGTTTTCTAGTATTGGGACAGTAAGTATCCAAAAAAAAAAGAAAAGAAAAGAAATGATACCCTCAAAAATCGGAAGGCACATGATTGGCTAGTTATATTTTTTTTATAGCAGACCCCCGATTGTTTTGCCCAACGGCCTTTTCTTTTTTTTTTTTAACTATTTTTTCTTTCTCTCTCTCCTTCTTATCCATCTTTTTATTTCATATGCAATTCTCAAAGGTCTTACGTGCTGGTCATCAACCTATGATTCGTTTCGTCGGATCAAGACAAGCTCTTTGGAAAGGTAAATTCTTTTAATTGATCTTTTGTATTATATATTTCTAACTCTTTCTTCTTCCCTGACTTTATAGAAACTCCTCCTCATCATGGTCCTCATCCATTGACACCTGCCAATCTAGAAAAACATGTACCAAAACCCGAACCTGTTACCCGTTCTACTGCTAATGTATCTTCTTCTACTGGTGGTAGTATTGAAATGAGTCAATTGCCTTCTCGTTACAAGCGTTTACCTTTGACTGATATAGAAATGGAAGCCATCGATGTATGTTCAAAAGAAAAACAAGATAATAGTATGAATAAGAATGGTCGAGTTGATACTAATATGCTTTTTTTTTGTTCTCTTATAGCTTGGTGGTGCCAATCTCATTTACTAGTTTTATCAAATAGATTAGACTACGTTTTTGCCCAATAACACTCTTCAGTTTATCCCTTCACTTTTTTTATCATCACGCATATACATATCTTCCTCAGACATTGTTATTTGTATTATTTTTATAGCTATACTCAATAAAAACTTATTACATATTTCATTTACATGATACTATCCTTTTGACCTGTCCTATTTCTATTCTTCATAATAAGGTCTTAAAAAAAAAGTAAATCCAAACTACTTCCGAAACCATCCGAAGTTTTATTAGGTAAAAAAAAAATCCATAAAATGCATACAAAGAATAGTACTATTCAAAGGAAATACATCTAAACTAAGTTCTAATTGGAAGCTACACATTCAATTTCAACAGCAACATCCTTGGGAAGACGAGCAACTTGGACACAGCTACGAGCAGGTTGATGTTGATCAAAATACTATAAAAGAATATTAGTACTTTTCTCTCTATAACATAAGATACTATATCTATATCATCCTTCCTTCCTTTTTTTTTCTTTGAATACCTTTGAATAAACTTCATTCATAGCAACAAAATCGTTCATATCCTTTAAAAACACTGTCGTTTTCACAACTTTGTTTAATCCAGTTCCAGCTTCTTTTAATACTTCAGACATATTAGTCAAACATTGGTGAGTTTGTTCAACAATGCCACCTTGAACAATCTCACCTAAAGTATCAGACCAAAAAAAAAAAAAAAAAAAAAGAAGAATGATTAGTAAAGGAGAATTCTTTTTTAAGATATGCTACCCAAAAAGTTATCGTTACCTGTTTCAGGAACGGCTGGAAGGGAGCCTGAAGTATATACCATGCCGTTGACTTTGATAGCTTGAACTATATATATATATATATATAAAAGATAGAAGAATAGTTAGTCAAATAAGGAAAAACACACACGAAAGACAACAACTTGTCTTGCTGGACATGGTCAAGTAAAACCAAACTTACCGTATGGACCAATGGCAGGAGGTGCTTTGGCAGTCTCTATATATATATCATGAATAGATAAAAAAAAAAAATAAAACAAAATGAAATATTTAATATATGAAGAAGTAAAATGAAAAAAGTGGATTCTCTTAATCAACTTACGGACGCGTGTCAAGGTAGACATAGATCTAGAAAAGACGCGAGTAGCAAACATGGTGTAATGAGAAGACGGAGAGAGAGAGGAAAAAAAAAAGAGAATAGAAAGTTGTGGGGTTTCACTTAAAAAAAATATGGAATAATTTTCAAGGTAAGCGATTTGATTGGCGGAGAGCCTGAGAACTTGCACTCGTCTCAACGGATAAATTAATTGTTGATGCGTAAAAAAAAAAAAAAAAAAAAAAAAGACGAATATCACACATATCACGCACAAGAAAACATGATGATACACTTTTTATTGTTATTGTTACATATCATGTGCACACACTTTATTTTGGGATTAGATGATGATAGTTTTCTAGTTCGATAAGAGTCAATCCATTATATTTTTCATTCTTTGGATAAGAAAGAAGAAAAGATCGTTTACTACAGCGTTGAATTATTAAGCATATCCCGGTTAATTTGACGATGGATAATATATTTAGACCGTTGTTTGGGTACTCTATGCTCAAAAGGATCAACATGCCTAAACTAGGGTGTGGATTTTAGACTCAGTCATTGTCAAACAATAAGAGATCATTTGGTATACTTTATTTTTTCTTTTCTTTTCTTTCTTTCTTTCTTTTTTTATTTTTATTTTTTATTTTTATTATTTATATCGCATTATAAACCATTTATCTTACGATATTGTATGTATTAATCATCATCATATAGTGAAACAACAATAAAAAAAAAAGAATGTCTCTTACACTGGATACTTATACCGAAGAAATCAAATTGATGCGTGACCTTCATGGACGACAATTGGTGTTGGATGAAAATAGTTTTTTGAAAAAAGTAGGGCAAAAGAATGATGCTTTGAATAATCAAGCCTCCAAACGATATCATAGCTTATGGAATGATCAAGGAAAGTTGAAGGATAATGATGAAGCAGTGGATACTCGACGACAACAAGCTCAATCTATGACCAATTCTTTTTATGATCTTGTCACTGACTTTTATGAATATGGTAAGTATACACTTTATTTCATTGTTCTTTTACTACAAAAAAAAATAAAACATTTATCTGATCTTCTCAACCTTTTTTTTTTCTTAGGTTGGGGTCAATCCTTTCATTTTGCAAAACTATATAAAGGTAAATTCTCACTGATTTGTAAGACTTAATTAAATATGTTTTTTTTTTTCCCATTATTATATTAGGTGATACTTTTGAACAAAACATTAATCGACATGAAGCCTTCCTGGCGTTGAAATTGGGTTTGAACAATAATATGCGGGTATTGGATGTAAGTGATAAAAAAAAGGGAAATTGTACCGAAAGATCAACATAGAGAAAATTCTGTGTCTAATGAGGATTTGGTTTTCCTTTTTTTTTTTTTTTTTTTTTGTCCACGTATGGTTACACTCAGGTTGGTTGTGGTGTTGGTAAGTGTATTGAAATGATGAAAATACAGGATGATGGATAAAAAAAAAAAAAAGAGGGAAACATACCAATGCATTATCACAGACAAAACTGACCATTTTTTTTTTTTTTTGTTGGGGGAGAATAGGTGGTCCATTACGAGAAATAGTCAAATCTTCTGGTGGAGCTCATGTGACAGGCATAAACAACAACGCATATCAAATTGAAAGATGTTTGGCTTACTCGAAGAGATATGGCCTGTCTGCAAGAACAGATTTTATCAAAGGTGATTTTACCAACATGCCTATTGAAGCACAAACATTTGATGCTGTTTTCTCTGTGGAAGCAACAGTGCATGCACCACGATTGGAAATGGTGTATGGTGAAATATTTCGTGTATTGAAACCTGGTGGACGATTTGCTTGTTATGAATGGTGTACGACAGAAGCTTATGATGAAAACGATATGACACAAAAGAAGATCATTCATGCTATCGAACAAGGTAATTCGATTTCCAAGCTTTATTCAACAAAACAATGTTTGGCTGCTCTTTTATCTGTGGGATTCAAGATTATTGAAGAAGGTGATGTGGCGGTAGAAGATAGAGGTACTCTTGGTCCTTTCGATGGTGCAGCGACTGTACCTTGGTATTATACTCTTAGCAAGCCTGATCCTGGTTTACGTGGACTTTTACGATCTCCTTGGGGTCGTCGGTATACTGATACTTTGTTGACCATATTACATAAATTCAGAATGGTGCCTTCTGGTGTGTTGGAAACCTCTCAATTGTTGAATGCTGCCGCTGATAATCTGGTTCTTGGTGGAGAAATGGGTATTTTCACTCCAATGTTCTTCTTTTTGGTGGAGAAACCTTTAGAATGATTTTCTTTTTTTTTAGTTTATTCAATTCATGATCATATTTTATATACTATTTTTTTTTTCTTTGGATCTTGTCATCTGATCTTTTTTTTTAATATTTATTATTATTATTATTATCTCTTATTATATAATCTCGAATAAAACAAAAAAACTAAATCTTTATGCCCTTTTTTTTAATATTTATTATCATTCTCATTATCTCTTATTATATAATCTCGAATAAAACAAGAAAACTAAATCTTTATGGTTTTTTTTTTATTTATTGACAACGTGCCTTCTGTATATCATCCATCAACCCCAATCATCCAATGTAGATAAAGAGTTCGACCTTGTAGTGATGCAGCATGAATGGAATATTACATCTATCAGGAAAAGATTATGATTTTTGTATGGATGCATAACATTCACAAAGAAGGAATAATAGTTACACGAATACATACAGAGAGTACGGGCAATGAATTCCAGGTTTCTGCTTGAACAAAAAGAAAAAAATTGAGTGGCTTACTTTTCTACCCCGCTTTCCTTTTTTAAAAATTTTCTCTTTCCTTTTTTTTTTTTTTCTCTTTTCTTTTACATTCTCTTATCTATATTTTTATAATGGCCAAATCATCTGTCAAGAAAGCTTCCAAGAAAGAAGAAAAGCCTGCTGCTGTTGTAGAAACTTCCTCAGACAGTGAATCTGAATCTTCTGATGACTCCTCTGTCAAATCTAGTGAAGAAAACGCCGTAGATCAAGACTCTAGTGATGACTCCTCTTCTTCTGCTGATTCCTCTGACGATGATAAGGAAGAAAGCGATGTAGAAGACTCTAGTGATGAATCTTCTGATAGTGATGATTCCTCTGAAGAAGGAGAAGAAGAAGTAGAAGAAACCAAAAACAACAAGCGTTCTGCCTCTGAAGAAGAAAATGAAGAAGAAGAAGAAGAAGAACAAGCCCCCAAACGAGCCAAGGTAGAAATCAGCAAGGAACCTAAACCTCAATTTGGTGCTTCTGGACTTTCATTATTTGTTGGACAATTGGACTGGAATTGTACTGAAGAACAACTCCGAGAATTCTTTGAAGATAATGGTAAGAAGGTACAATCCATTCGCATGTCCTTGGATCGCAATGCTCCTTCTGGTGTCAAACGCAATCGTGGCTTTGGTTATGTGGATTTTGCCAATAAGAAAGATATGGATGATGCTCTTACTTTGAATGGTGTTGAATTCCAAGGTCGTAATATTCGTTTGGATGTAGCCACCCCTGCTACTCCCCGCCGCAAGGATGAAAACTATAGTCCAAAGACCAACACTGTGTTTGTCGCCAACATTAGTCGTGATCTGGATGAAGCCGGTCTTCGTGAAGCCTTTGAATCTTTTGGTAACATTGTAGAAGTACGTCTTCCCATCGATAGAGCTACTGAACAAATTCGTGGTATTGGTTATATTCAATTCGAAACTGATGATCAAGCTGAAAAGGCCGTCAAGGAAATGAATGGTGTTAGTGTCAATGGTCGTCCCATCCGTACTGATTTTGGTGGTCAACCTGATGGTGATCGTTCTCGATTCAACAAGGAGCGTGGTGGTTTCCGAGGTAAATATATATATATATATACATGAGATACAAAAAAAAAAAAAAAAAAAAGAAGGTACTGATAAATCGTTATTGTTTCTTTTTTTTTGTATACAGGTGGTCGCGGTGGTCGTGGTGGTAACCGTGGTGGTAACCGTGGTGGTCCCCGAGGCGGCTTCCGAGGTAAATAGCAGACGAAAATTTGAACATGAGTGATAGCGATGATTTAAATATAAAATGGACTAATATTTTTATTATCATCATTAGGCGGCCGTGGTCGATTCTAGACGTTGTAGTTTTATTCCTCTCATTTTTTTTATTTGTACATTTCATTTGAAGCATTTTATATTTTTCTCATTTTTGAAACAACAAGATTATTAATAAACTATATACATTCTTTTTGGGCATGTTTTATTCTCTACTATTACTTTGTTTTCTTATTTTATTTTATTTTATTTTATTATTATTATTTCAATGCATTTCAGTATTTTATTATGTACTTATAAAACTATGCTGGTATAATAGAGAATGACTATCTACGAAGATTTGATGATGATAGTTGTGATTATGAATGTGGATGCATGGCATTATATAATGACAATGAATAATAATGAAGATGAGGATAGAAAATAAAGGTAGAACATAGAAAGATCATGTAAAAACGTTATCATGGGATATAAACAGGAATATGACAGGTGAGTATTGTTTCGGGACGTTGCATCAATAAAGAGTGGTGTTCGTTGGGCATACTGTAGACATCCAGATTGACATAGACGTAAAAGGCAAGACAAGATTGTTCAGTGATAACTATATATATATATATCAGAAAGAAAAAAAAAAGTGTAAGTTTGTCTAGTACTCTTTTTCCCCTCTATTCATGCATGTTTACCACAAATGATCGTTCGTGGTTCCAAGTTATGACAATTCAAAAAGTTGGCTAAATCCTCCGTCAATACTTCTACAGAAGCAAATTGATCCTTGTGTTGATTAGTTTCGTGACCCTCTAATATAAGAAAATAAAGTTCCAAGAATATATCAGTCAAAAGTAAATTAAAAGGATATTTTGTTTTTCTTTTACCTAACCGTGGATTTCCAAGATGGCTGAAGACAGAGTCAACTTGAGCCATATCTGTATTGACTGACAATTTGAGTTGTCCATTCATATTGGCGGCAATGGTCATATACTTGCTAAGTGATTTCATCCGATCTACAATCGGTTTCATAGCTAATAGATTTGGAAAGATAATGTACGTCTATCCAAAAAAAAAAAGGTCAATATAATCATGTTTACTTTGTTATTTGATCATCACTTACTTCAGGATCAGCAAGTACTGGTGGGTCCCATACAAGTCGTATCCTATCGCCAGGTAATCTATTCACATGTAAATCAAATCGAGCGTCTGTCATATTTCCTGCACGGCTCTATTTTTGAGATAAAAGAAATGATTGATATTGTAATAATAATAATAATAATAATAATAATAATAATAATAATAATAATAATAATAATAATAATAATAATAATAATAATAATAATAAAAGGCTTTACCTCTAATTGCATACGCCAAATCAAAAGTACTTCTCGTTGTCCATTTTGTATACGTTGAGCTAGATCGATTTTCGTTTCATCTGCTTGTTGAGCTGCTTTGGTGGCATGTACAAAATTGTCCAAGTCGACTGATAGGTTCACTTCATCGTTATCCTGACTTTTGACTCGATATTGTGAGAATAAGGTGTGCTAGAATACAATAAGAAAAAAAAAAAAAAAAGAGTCAAGTCGAACCGATCACTATTATTTGCTAAAGATACTTACTGGATCAACATTACTACATGTAGAAATAAAAAAAAAAAAAAAAAAAACAGGGTAGATCAATATAAACAATTTAAAGAAGTAAAAAGTAAAGTTTGACTTACATCCATGAACGAATGCCTGGTTTATATTGTTGATACCAAATGAATCGTATTGAATCTGGAGTGAAGCAGATAATACAAGAAGATCCTAGTCTTTCAAGGGTAAGTGCTATCTCTGTATATATAAAAAACAAGGGTGAGTCTAACATTATTTATATATATATATAAAAGGTTTTTTACTTACTGTGAAGACCAATTGGATTGATCAGTGTAGCAGCGAGTTTCATTATAATATATAACACGTGTAGAAAAAAAGAACAAAAAAAAAAAATCGCGGAGTCTGTGCCACTCTCCATTTTTATAATTTTCATTTTATTCCCCCCTTTTTTCTTCTTTTTTTCTTTTTCATCTTTGTCTAATTACATTATGCCTTATCATACCTTACCATGTGAACATCCAAACTTTGTTGTCCATGATAACTACAAATATGAACGTGTCTTAGGTCTTGGTGCCTATGGTGTTGTATGGTAGGTGATTCGATCTCCATTTCATTTAATAACTAATGAATGTATTTATATCCAGTTCTACCATCAATACAACGACAAACGAACGATGTGCTATCAAGAAAGTACGGTAGAAAAAAAAAAAAAAAACAAGAAAAATAATTATGTTATATCTCGTCGTGCCCAGTAAATAGATTATTTATTTTATCATAATAGATATGCAACTTATTCGAACGATCCATGTTCACCAAACGTGCACTGCGGGAACTAAAATTACTAAAGCATTTCAATGGACATAAAAACGTAAGAAGTTTATATATATATATATATATATATATTAGATAATATAATATTAATATATTTTTTCTCGTAGATCATTGGTTTATTCCATGCCGATATTGTAGATATACGAAATTTCAATGAACTGTAAGTTAACAATATTAAAAAGATGGCATTAACCAATCATCATCATTTTTTATTAGTTACTTGTATGAAGAATTTATGGAAGCTGATTTACATCAAATTATTCGATCTGGTCAACCATTAACAGATGAACATTATCAAAGTTTTATCTATCAAACATGTTGTGGTCTTAAATATATTCATAGTGCTAATGTACTTCATCGTGATTTGAAACCAGGTACCAAAAAAGAAGAAAAAAAAGGAAATAATATCGTATTGATTTATTCTCTTTAGGTAATCTTTTGATCAATGCAGATTGTGAATTGAAGGTAAAATAAAAAAAAATTTGAAAGATTTATTTGATAGTCATCAATATATTTGATAGATATGTGATTTTGGATTGGCTCGTGGATTGGTGGATGAAAAAGAAGGTGATACTGGTTTTATGACTTATTATGTAGCTACTCGATATTATCGTGCTCCAGAAATCATGTTGAGCTTTCAAAATTATACAAAAGCTAGTAAGTTTGATTATAATAGATAATGACTTGTTACTCAATATATATATATCTAGTTGACATGTGGTCCATAGGCTGTATCTTTGCTGAACTGTTATGTGGAAGACCATTATTCAGGGGCCGCAATTGTAAAGTCATGCAACATGAATTTTTTTTTTTATTTCTTGACTTTTTTTTTTTTTTTTTTTTCAACAGATGTGGATCAATTACAACAAATATTATTTATTCTTGGAACTCCTGATGAAGAAACGTTAAGTCGTGTGGGAAGTCAAAGGGTATGTAAGAGATATAAAGTTTTTTTTTTTTTTTTTTTGGACCACTCAATGATTATATTTCTATTTTTTAGGCTCAACTATATATTCAACGTTTGGAACATTTCAAGAAGATTCCTTTTACTCAATTATTTCCTGATGCTTCACCCTTTGGTAATAAATCAATTGATACTAAATCGGTTAGTGGTAATACTGATTTCCTTCTCTTTTTTATTTTATTAGCTGTTGATTTATTAGAACGTTTATTAATGTTTGATCCGTCTACAAGAATTGAAGTAGACGAAGCCTTGGAACATCCTTACTTTTCTCTCTTTCATGATCCTGCCAACGAAGTATGCTGTTGGATTTAAATTACTATGTACTCATCCTTTTCTTTTATTCCATCAAACTACTGTAGATTGTACACCAATATCCCATGGATTTCTCATTTGAATCCCTAGTTACCAGTGAAGAAATAAAAGGTAAATATGTTTTCATTATAAATTAGGTTTGATTTCTTAATCCCTTTCTTTCTCCCTCTTTTTTTTTATAGTCGATTTGATCAACGAAGTCAACACATTTAAAAACAAAAAATTGAAATTGGATATGACTGGATTACAAAGACAGCCAAGGTAAAATATCAAAGTTTTATAGAGAACACGTATTGACACCATCATCGTCCTCTTTTTTTTTTCTTCTTAGTATTCATAGTCCAACTCCTACACGTGTACATTTCAACCATACTGAATCTTCCAATACCGAACAAGAACAAGGCTATGCTGATGAACTGATTGCAAGTCCTAGTCAAGTTGATCCTAATTTGGAACGTGATCTGGGTGGTTTTTTAATTTAGTATAATATGTTAATAAATAATCTATTGTTGTTATGTAGTATGAAGTAGTTTACTCAAATGAATAATATAATTTTAGAAATGAACTTTTTTTCTTTTCAAAGTAAATGATTGACATTGAAGTGTATTCTTTTTTTTTTTTTTTTTGTTCACTTAGTGTGGGAGATTTGACTTTGATAGCTAATTCCATGGATTGAATCAAACAAGATTTTTTTTTTGGAAAGGCGTACACTGTAACTTTTCTTTTTGGTAAATCATCCATCATTTGTCATAATCCATTTTCGCAACAAAAGGATCATTGCAAATATATTGGAACACTGACGTAAACAAGCCTCTAATCACAACGCAGAAAAGAAGAGAATAAACGCAATTCACAAGGAAAAATCCAGTAGTAGAAAGATGATATCCAGGCTTTGGCGTAAACTCCGCTGCTTTTTTTTTTTTTTTTTTTTTTTTGCTTGTATCAAAATTTTATTAGGCTGCAGGGGGGTTGATCTAATTTTTCTTTTCTTCTTTTACTCATATTGTCTTTTTTTTTTTTACTGAATAATTCTATCGTTCTAAAGAAAAAGAGATACAATGTCATCAACTACCAGTTTTACAAAGGTATATTTATTATTCAAAGAAAAAAGAATATCATTCTTTTTACTATACTTTTAACTTTTCCACCTAATATTTTTTTTTCTCTCTCTTTTTTTTTTTTATCATTAGGCTCCAGTCAATGAAGATGCACCAATGTCTGTTCATTCTGTTCGCGTTTTGGGCACCAGTATTACACGCAAGTCCTTTTTGGATACTTTGACTCAAGGATTATTCACACCTCAGACGACCTCCGACGTGTTTAAGGAAGCTCAGGATATTGCAACCAAGTTGGATCATCATGATGTTTTTGACGAGATCAAGGTGTATTTGGATACCAATCAAAACTTGAAAGATACAGTGGATGTAACCATTCAACTCAAAGAAAAATCAAGAGGTTTGGTTAAGACTGCTTTTTGTACTGGTGACAATGAAGTTCATGTGGTAAGTTAGAATAGAAATAAGAATGTTTTTCCTTCTCATTTTTTTTGAATTAGATTGGTTCTGTTTTATCAAGAAATCTTTTTGGTGGAGCAGAAACATTTGATACCAGTTTCAGCTTTGGCAATCGTACTCTAGCTGCTGGCGAGGTAAAATGAATAGTTATATATATATATATATTTGTCTGGATAGAACATGTATTGACTTATATATAAAAAGGCTGTTCTTAGTACCCCTTTGAATGGATCACCTTATCTTACCTTATCTGGTTTTGTGAATGGCGCTATCAAAGATCATTCATTGATCAATCCTTATAAAGAAGAATCTCAAACTAAAGGTTTACGTGTCAAGGTAATACAGTATTCTTCTGCTTGGAAAATGGAACTAAACGATGGATATCATATTCACTCTTTAGATTCAATCTTTATATGGTGAAAATGAAATATCTTATGCATTAACTCAACGTGATATTACTGCTTATCCTACGGCTTCATCAACGTAAGTATGATCTTGAATGGAGTACAACAAAAAAAAAAAAGAGAGAGAAATGATAAGGATAGTGATACTAGTAGTACTAATATTTTGTTTATGCATGCATGGATTTTTTCCTTTGAAACAATAGCATTCGAGAACAATCTGGCGCCAACACGAAATCATCCGTATATCATTCATTTGTGCATGACACTCGCAACCACAAGACACTTCCTACTGAAGGGCATTATCTCGGACTTTTCCAAGAATGGGCTGGTGTAGGATCAAAAGGGGATTCCAACTTTATCAAACATGAAATATTTGGTCAAACTCATAGGACATTGGTGAACAAGGGAGTTGGTACAGATGCTGTGCGTGTATCTTTGAGTCTTAGTGGCAAGGCTGGTTTATTGGCATCATTAGATAATAATAAGGTCAATTTATCTGATCGTCTTTATTTGGGTGGTCCTCTCTCTTTGCGTGGATTCAAATCTGGTGGTATTGGTGCAAGAAATGGAAGTAAGTTCTATCCTCAAAAAAAAAAAAAAGGAATGGGTGATATAACAATATGTAATATATATATATTTTTCTCTGAATATAGATGATGCACTAGGAGGCAATGTTTATTGGGCTGTGGGGGCTAGTATGATCAGTACGATTCCTGGATCAGCTCATTTACCTATCAAACTACATGCTTTTGCAAATGCAGGAAATATGTCTCAATGGCAACGAGGTGAAGAAATGAACAAGACGATAGAAGATTTATCTCGGGAACCACGTGTATCTATTGGTTTAGGTCTTATTTTCCATCATGAAGTAGCTCGTATAGAAACCAACTTTACAATTCCTCTTCGATTCCGAACTGGTGATGTGATTGATAGTGGTTTTGGTTTTGGTGTGGGTATCAACTTCTTGTAGATTCAAAAATAAAAAATAAACACGGTCGGCTTTTGAACTGGGGCTGTCATCTTTTTTTTTTTTTTTTTCTGTCTGTTGTCTTTTGACGTCTTCGAACTCTCTCTTTTTCTCCTTTTTTTTTTTTACTTTCATCCAGAAATAGTGTATACCCTTTTTCCTTTTTTTTTCCCTTATTTTATTTTTATTTTTATTTTTTATAATAATGTGTAAACATATATTGAATGCCCAAGTAAGTAGATGAAGAATATTGAAAACAACCTGATTAATCTCTTCGTTCCTCTTTTTTTTTTTATTAGGTGGCTATTCGAGCTCCTTGTTGTCGAAGATGGTTTGATTGTGCTGATTGTCATGCGGAAGTCTCTGATCATAATCTACGAAAAACTGATGAAATGGTATTTGCTTGTAAAAAGTGTAAAAAGGCGTTTAGAAAGAATATGACGTAAGTATGATTGTATTTTAAGGGATGATAGAACTCATGTATATATTTAATAGAGATTATGAAGAAGAAGATGAATATTGTCCTCATTGTGATAATCATTATGTATTAGATGCTTTGACCCCTGAAGCCAAATTGGGTATTGAAACTGGTGACTTGCGACAAGATGCTAGGTAAGAAACAAAAAAAGAAATGAAAAATTCTAAGGAAGTAATAGAATAAGGAAATATTATATATATGTGTGTTGTGCTTGTGTGTTGTTTATAGACCGAGACTACGGAGTTGGGTTTAGATGATCTAGAACGGATTGACTCATTTTATATCTTATCAATTATTCTCTCTCTTTTTTTAATCGTTTCTTTTTTTTTCAATTAGAGTGATTAAGGATGCGCGAACCAAGTTACGACAAGATCCTAATAGTATATTTGATATGGATTTTAGTGATCAAATAGGATAGAACAGTTATTTTATATATCTGGATTAGTAGAATTCAAATCATCTCCACGTGCTAAAAAAAAATATTTCAATCAGAAATAAAAAAAAAAAATTGGACGATTCTTGGGCTTTAAATCGTGAGAAAGAAAATTGAAAAACAGTCTCGGCGCATATAAGCTTTTCCTCTGTGATTCTTCTTTTTTTTTTTTTCTTTCTTTCTTTCTTTTCTTTTCCTTTTTTTTATTTTATCTATATTATCATTATTTCGTCCCTTTTTTTTTTTTTAAATGATCTGGCGATCTGACTCCATCCATCAAGATTATATGAAGCATGACGTTCAATCGATGACATCCAAATTTTCTGTTCGTCCAACAAAAACAAGGCTGACTGGTGATAGTATTGACAGAAAGGACAAAGTGATTTCTTCTTCTACCAATCCTATCATGAAAACAACACAAAATACGACTTTGGAATTCGTCGAACAAGGTGATAGTCATGAAGAAGAAGAAGAAGAGGACGACGATGATGATGATGAAGTAGAAGATATGGAAGATGACGACCCTGAATCTGGTGAAGATAAGTCCGCTCCTACAACACCACCACTACCAACAACAACTATCATCAATACTCCTACTTCACCAATCAAAGCAACTCGTCCACCTAATCAAGTATTATACCTCAACTTTACATCTGATTTATCCCCTCATACATCACGACAAAGGAAAAAAGGATCACAAACTAATAAATCAGCTTACCGAGTTAACGGCGTCAACATTCTCAACAGGTAATGCCCAAAAAAAGGAAATGAAAAAAAACAAAGTTTTCATTCGTAACTTTAATTTTATTTTATTTTTAATATCTTTTTTCCGGGAAAAATTTTGTATCATTAGAAAAAATTTGGACAGTAAAACAGTGGTGGAACGGATTCAACGACGAAAGGAAAATCATAATCATGTAGAACGACGACGACGAGATACCATCAACAATATTATTCTGGAATTGTCTCAAGTAGTACCCAACGCTATGACCACTAGGAAACCACATAAAGGCAACATCTTGAAAGCAACTTTGGAATATGTTATGGTAAGCAAAACAAAAAAAAAAAGAATGAAACTTACTCTATTTCCGCACTTTTTATCATATGTACATACATTAATAATACCTACCATATATAGAAGATATATATCTATTTAAAATGATTCTAACCTTTCTTTCTTTCTTTCTTTTTTTGTTTTACTTTTATAAAAATAGGCTCTCAAGGCGGAAAATGAAATGTATCGATCTAGATTGGCTAGTAGACTTCCACCACCTTCTTCCACTTCACCAATCACTTCATCTGCAACCACATTACCAGGGACATTAGGATTATCATCAGGCAACTCATCTGTTTATTCCAACCCCGTCGTCTCTTCTCCGCCTTTACTTCCATCCACGTCATTATTCATACCCACAACACTTCCAGAACCAATGCCTTCTGCAACTTTACACCAATTGCAACAACCACAACAAAAACAGTAACAACAACAACTATCAAAAGGGATTTGAACTGAAGTTTGAAGGAAAACAACGTTATCTTTTATATTTTTTTTTTTATTTCAGTTAGTTTTTGGATGTTAGTGGTCTTATCTGTATTACTTCACATACATGCACGCACACACACATATATATATATACACAAAAAAAGGTTGGTCTTTTCTCTCCCCTCACGTTTTGCATCACATTTGATTTACTTTTTATATAATATCACTCATACTCTTAGTTTAATAAAGAAAATATGTACATATATACCGTTCTGGCGGATGGAAGGATGATCGTTTTACGTTGTACAGATGTACCAAACTGATGTGCATAGAAATGGATAGATAGATTTCTAAAAAAAAAAAAAAAAAGGAATGCCTCTAATGATCGACAGGATGAATGATGTTGAATCTGTCACTTCTGATCTATCATTTATCACTCGTGATGAACGGTTGATCATTTTTTGTACAATGATTTTGAATACATGACATGAATGGCGCTGAATGTAAGGAAAACTCATCCCGTTTTTGGTGTGAGATTTACATGTACCTATAAATTTTTTTTAACAAACAAATAAATAAATAAATAAAAAAAAAAAAGATCAGACACAAAAACGGTATTGAGTAATAAGTAGAAGAAAGGATTTTTATTGATTGAGATGCAGGTACAAAAGAAAAATGATAAAGATGATCAATAGAGAAAAATAAAAAAAAAATGACAAAAAAATAGATGCAATAATAATAATAAAAAAAAAAGATATACATGTATGAAAATAATTATATATATGGTGAAAAAAAATAAAAATAAAAACAAATATAACCAAAACTACATAGCTTGTCTGAATCCACGGATTTTTTGACATTCATTCTTGAGATTATCTGCTCTTGAAGTTTCCCATTCACCAGTGGCAACAAATTTTCTTGAATATCGTAAACAAAGCTCTTCTCTAAAATTACTATAAAGTTTTCGATTATATTGACGCTAAAATAAATAAATAAAAAAGAGAGAATGAGAAACTAAAATCCAGTGTCACATGATATAAATTTACCTCTTTTCTTCTTGTATCTTCAGGATAAGCATGAGTTTGATGAATCAAAAAGTCGTCAGGTAAGACCCAAAATTCCATACCAGATAAATAGATTTCATAAAGACAAGCGGCCTTGTTAGCACCATAACCAATAAATCGTTCATCACACCAAGGAGAATCGTTCTTTTTGAAAATAACATAAGGTTCATAAGAGAAGTTGTAATCGGAAACCTTGTACATGTCAGAAGCAGTATACCATTTGGAGTAATTGGTGGCGCCATGTCCATTGAGCCAAGATTTGTGAAACATATCGATTTTGTCATCTTGTACTTGAGCGACAAGATCGGTCTTTTCAGTAGGGAAAGTAGATGCATACAAACCATCTTCTTGCACGACATATTCAAAAGCAGGTACGACCAAAGCAGTTCGACCAGAATCCAGAACATCCAATAGAGTGTGATTGTTTAAGATACGATGACGGAAATCAGTACATAGATAAAAATCGACATCCAACATCATAATATAATCAGTTCTTGCATAGAATTTAGCGACATTTCTCCACATATTGAATTGACGGTCAAAAGGATCCAATATCAAATGAATATCGACATAACGATGCATATCAGGATTGGTATCAAGTAATTGATGTAATTCTTTTAATACTTGATCTTTTGTTTCATCATCTTTGATATGAATGGCAGCACTTATTGGTCCTGTTCGAGAATAATAGATATATATTTTTTTTTTAATTTTAGTAAGTTTCGGAATGAAAAAAACTTTTTCTTCAATTTCCAAAAAAAAAAAAAAAAAAAAAAAAAAAAGGTTTCATACCTTGATAATGAGAGGCGAGCCTACCAAGAACCGGGAATCGATTGCGTGTAACTAAAGTAGAAAGAGTGATATCTTGATGATTAAGAATATGATGTGCTTTGAAGTAATATGGTTTCAAATTGGAAGGACCCATGGCATCCGAAAATAATTTCGACATATAATTTGACTCCGATCCTTTGGGGAAGAAGTATAAGTTAATATATAATAAATAATAATAATAATAATAATTTACCTTTAAGAATAGAGAATTGTTGAGAAGAATCAATAAGAAAATCTTGACCATTTCTTGGTTGAATAGGACCAATATGATGTGAAGTTGAATGAGAAGAGGTATAAAAGTGATTAATAGTAAATATTAGAGAAAGGAATATATAAACAAATAGACAATATTTAGCTAGTTGCCATAATGAAGAAGTTTCCCTCATATTATTTATTATGAATGTGATGAATGAAAAAGAAAAAAAAAAAAAAAAAGAAAGGCAGAAAATCAAAAAAATATATACAAAAACTAAAGTTTGGAATCGGGGAATGAAATATATATATATATATACGTCTTTTCTTTTATGTTAGATCCAACATCTTTTTATATATGAGAGAGAATATATAAAAGAATATTGTAATATATATATTTGAAAAACAAGATAAAAATCAATAGTAGTAATAATAATTGACATTTATTGTACTACAAACGAGTAACCTTCATCAATCGGAAAACTAAAAAGAAAGGATTAGAATATTATACAAAACGAAAGAAAAAAAAAATCCTTTTCCGTTAATCCATGGGTTACACCATAGATAAACATTTGGTTCTTTAATAATGTTATAGTATCTTGTTTATGACCTGTAAAGAAAAAGAAAAAACTACAGAATACGGGACTCTTTTTTTTTTGTTAAAGGTGTTCAATCTCCGGTGCCCTTTCAATTTTTTTTTTCTTTTTGTCTTTTTTCTTACTTTCTTTACTTTTTGGCTTTTCCCTTTATTTTTTTTTTTCTTTTCTTTTCTTTTTTCTTTTTTTTTTCATCTAACCTATTATTCCTAATCAATGTCTGGATATCAATCGTTTCCTGTTTTAAATCAACAATTTATAGTTGATAAAAAGTATTCTTTTATACGTGAAATGGGTCAGGGCGCTTATGGGTAAGAAAATAAAACAGTGCTTTTTCTTTTTTTAACTGCTAATACTAACTTATACTTTCTTTCTTCATATATATAATTCCCCATCAAAAAAAAAGTGTTGTCTGGTAAAAAATAAAATAAAAATAAAAATAAAAATAGATAATCTAATACTTAATTTTCTTTTCTTCTTCTTCTTCTTATCCACGAAATTATCAGTTCCGCAAAAGATACTACTACAGGAGAACAAGTTGCCATCAAAAAGGTAAATATTTAAAATAAGAATATTAGAATTCTAATACATATATATATATATATATATATATATATATTAGGTTTGTCGTATTTTTGAAAAAACCATTTTGGCAAAACGAGCTTTACGAGAAGTAAAGTTACTTAAACACTTCAATGGACATGAAAACGTAAGTTAGTTAATAAATAATTATCATGTTTATTAACTGTATTTTATTTTTATTATCATTAGATTACTTCTATCATAGATATGGATATTGTCAATTTACAGGACTTTAATGAAATGTATACACACGAATTTCAATTAGATAGATTTGATTTTTTAATCTATTTATTTATTTGTTTTTTTTTTTAGATACCTTGTACAAGAATTGATGGAAGCTGATCTTCATCAAATTATTCGATCTGGTCAACCTCTTACTGATGCTCATTTTCAATACTTTGTTTATCAAATATGTCGTGGTCTTAAATATATTCATAGTGCCAATGTAAATATTTTTTTTTTCTTTTATGAAACAATCAAATAATATGTCATCGTATTTTTTTTTTACATTAGGTGCTTCATCGTGATTTGAAACCAGGAAACTTATTGGTAAATGCTGATTGTGAACTCAAGGTATTTATATAAAAAAGAAAAGACATAAATGAATAATAATAATAATCAAACTTAATCGATTTATATTAGATTTGTGATTTTGGTCTTGCTCGTGGTTATTCAGATAATCCAGATAGTAATGTGGGTTTCATGACAGAATATGTTGCTACAAGATGGTACAGAGCTCCCGAAATCATGCTCAGTTTCCAAAGCTATACCAAAGCCAGTAAGTGAATTTCTTCATATACATAAAATATGAATTGACTTTTTTTTATTTATTTATTTATTTGTTGATTCTTTAAAAATAGTTGATATGTGGTCTGTTGGATGTATCTTTGCAGAAATGTTAGGTGGTAAACCTTTATTCAAGGGACGTGATTGTAAGTTTTTATTTTTTTTTTTTAAAAAAAAAAAAGGTTAGGATCTGATATGAGTGTTTCCTTTTTTAGACGTGGATCAACTCAATCAAATCCTAGGCATTCTTGGAACTCCTGATGAAGAGACTTTACAACGTGTTGGTAGTGAACGAGCTCAAATGTATATTCGTAGTTTACCTCTTATGCCTCGTATTCCATTCCAAAATTTGTATCCAAGAGGTAACTTGATCGAGAAGAAAAAGTGAATAGGGAACTGACTCTTTTTTATTTTTATATAGCCAATCCTCTTGCTATTGACTTGTTGAATAAACTTTTGGAATTTGATCCTTCAAAACGAATTACTGTAGAAGAAGCTTTGGCACATCCTTATCTAAGTGCATATCATGATGAAGATGATGAGGTAATATAAAGAAAGAAAAAAAAAGAATAATGATTAACATTTGTTATTTTATATATATATAGCCTTCCCATGTACAACATTTTGATTTTTCCTTTGAAGTGGTGGATTCTATTGAAGAAATGAGAAGTAAGTCCATAAAAAAATGAGAAAGAGAGAGAGAGAGTTAATGTAACTCACTTTTTTTCTTTTCTTTTAGGAAGTATTGCCCAAGAAGTGATGTCATTCAAATCAAACAAGGATGGAGGTCAATTATCAGGACAACAAACATCTATTCTCCAACCTCCTGTGTATGGTTCCAATTTGCGACGAAAGGAAAGTATGTCGGTACAAGATCGTGAAACTTTGGAAAGAAGCAAACAAGCTGCTGCTCAAACAAGAAATCGATCAGAATCCATGGGTCAAGATAACTCTGTAGCTGCCTCTGCTGTTGCCAATCACTCTTCTATTCAACATATGGAGGTCGAAGAATTGGAAAGAGAACTTAGTGGTCAATAGTCCTTAGTATAGTTTCATTTATTTAGTTTAGTCTTCTTATATATATATATATATATGTATATCATCGTCGCTAGTATTTTTTTTCTTTATATACATTGTTCTTGTCATTCGAATTGTATCAGTAAAGAAAAACAAAAATTGTTTATTATTTTAAATGAATTTGAATAAAAGTACATGTCAAAATATATATATATATATATGTATGAATGATAATTGTAGAAAAGATCTATATATTAAATAAAATTATTATCCGGTTTTATCTTCAAGTGTAGCAGTATCTTTCTTGGCCATCACCTTCAAAGGTTCAAAGAGACGATCCATGGCTTTTTCAACAGGTTCATCAAATAGATAAGGTAGGAAGGGAACAATAGCTAAACCAATAGAAGTAGGACCCCAGGTACGAATTTTTGGATTTTTCACATTCTTGAATGCCTTGGCAGAATATTTGACAGCAGTATGGATGGTGATCATGGGGAACATCATGGATGCAATAGCTTGAAATGCACCTCGATGAACCATGGCTAAAGCTGCTTGTTGATTAGACTACAAAAAAAAAAGGTTGAATGACTTTTTATATATTATTTGATAAACTTACATCTCCAGCATGATGAGCTTTGTATCCTTCATAAGACATATCAACTAAAACATAACCCCAAGAAACTCCATAGGCAGCCCTGACTACAGCAGGTGATACAACAGGACGGAAACTTTCACCAATATCTTGAAAAAAAAATATATACATATATATAATGGTAAGTTTGAAATAATTTTTTTTTTTTTTATTATTATTAACTTACCAGAAGAGTAAGCCAAATATCGACTAGAAGCTGCCACTGCTGTCTTCAAACGACTAGCATAAGCCAAATAACGAGCATTGGTTTGGATAGTATCCACTTCGCCTTCTTCTACACGTTCAGTGAAAGAATGATGTTCAGAGGAAGGAGGAGAATTGACTGTAGAAGAGGACATGAAATAGATCGAAAATAAAGATAGATTAATGAAAAGAAAACAAAAAGAAAAAAAAAAATTAAAAAAAAATCTCGGATTTCCAAGAGCACGGGTTTATCATTCAACCGGATGTTACCGCGGCAAAAGAAATAAAAAAGATCAACTTTTGACTCAAAAGGGTAATGCGGATTTTTTTTCCCCTTTTCCATCAAATGGATCAAATTGGTAAGCTTGAAGCCAAAAAAAAAAAACAAATATTGTACGACAGAAAAGAATTCACAGATAGGTCTAATCCAACCTCTTCTTTTTTTTTTTTTTTTTCTCTCACAAGATGAATTTCAAAGATCTCCAATTCTCTTTGGGTAAACTTAGTAGTGATGTCAAGTCTCATATGGCTAAAAACAATCCACTTCATAAACAAGATACCAAAGCCTTATCAGTATGGATATTTCAAGAACGAAATGATCTAGCCACTATGCGTACTTTGGCTTATCGACGTAGAGAAACCACCAAAAGTTTCAGGGAATGGGCAACTCAACCTGATCAAGATGATGACTTCACTGACCTTCAAGTATAGAAACTATATTTTTATTTTATTTATTTTACTTTATTGATATTCTTTTTATTATTTAGGATATTGGTGATAAGTTGGCTACACTTCTTGAAAAGGCAAATGAAATTGAACAACAATATGCAGGTAATTTTTTTTTTTTATATAATCCATTATTTATCATATATATATTTATAGTGCATTATCAACAATATCGACAAGCCATCAAATCAATTCGTGAACGTGAAGATTTGCTTTGTGATCATCGTGAAAAAAGACGTTCGCTTGCCGCCCGATTACAACATTTAGATAAGACCAATCCAACATCACCTCGACGACAGGACATTGAGACTGAATGGATAGCTTTAGATAACGATACACGACAAGCAGAAATGGAATTGGGTGATTTTAAACGATTTGCACTCAAGGAAGCCTTCTATAGTCGATTCAATGCCATGGTGGAATACGCTGACAAGATGAAAATGATTGCCGGGTTTGGGAAATACATTGTGGATTTATTGGATGTAACCCCTACTGTTGACAACTCGTTTAAACGAAAACCTTATACAAGTGAATCCCAATCCAGTCTTATTTTGAACGATTGTCTACTGGCCCTGGATCAATGGACACCGTGTGAAGAGGATGAACGTCCCACTCTTGCTTTCCATGACGATTTCAATGACGATGCCACGTTTTTGACGGAAGAGGATATAGCCTATTATCATGAACAAGGATTATTACCAACGACATCAGATCAACGGATTTATTACAAAACAATCGATGAAAAAAAACAACATCCATCCGCAATGGAAAAACATAATGAAGCACAAACTGAAAATGTATATCCCAATGCCCCTCCACCTGCCTATACACCACCACCATCATCATCATCTGCAGATCAGACAGCAAATAATGTAGATACTATATCAACCTCTCAAGATATGGATTATTATAAGATGTATCGTACTCAACTGACTCACCAATCATCTAGACGTCGTCGGTCCTATTCAGATTTCCAACAACAATTCAATTCATCATCTCAACAACTTATCAAACAAAAAGAAGGCTAATATATCCTTTTGTTTTTTTTGTTTTACTTCTCTTGACTTGTCTTTTTTTTATTTTTATTTTTATTTTTTTAAAAAAAAAACATGTATCAGATAGTTTATCCATTTACCTTTTTTTTTTTGAAATAAAAGATACCGTTTTTTTTTTATTATGATTTTAAAGTTGTACAAACAAAATGAATACTATATATAAATATATCTAACTAACTAAACTATATGACTACGCCCGATCATTTCGCTACCGGAGAAGAGATACTTGCAGAATCGGTAGTGTCAACTGTTGTTGATGTTTGTTCTATTGTTGCTGGTGGTGGTGGAGATGTTGTTGATCGTTTTTGTTGTTGTTGTGATGGTGAGGAAGGAATTTCATGCTTGATTTGGAAAAGTCGAATCAAAGTACCATTCCAAGGACTGACCAATGTATGCATAGATGAAATATAAGCCTGGCCCCATAACATACTTCTAAACCAGATAACAAGGGCTTCACCCCATTGGAATTTTCGGATAAAGATAGCATGTCGTTGAGGTAAAATACCAACCAAAGTGACCGACCGTAAGAATTCCAACACCTGAGCATCTGTTGTCAATCCTTCCGTCGTACATTTCTCTTCCACTAACGGTACCAAATAATCCAAAAGTACACGGATCGTTTCCACTGGGAATTGCGGGAACCAAAGTGATACCTATATTCAAGGTAACATCAAACAAACATTAAAAAAAAAATAATTGTTAGATTGTTTTTTTTTTTTTTTTTTTTTTATCTTTTCCATATTTTTTTTTTATTTCTTCTTACCCATTCTTCAGTAGGACTAAACTTTTGAAAGGTGTACATCTGTCCTAAAGAGGATGATGACGATGATGATGGAGAAGTGACTTGCTGTCTTTCCAAAGATGATGTCGAGGATGAGGATGAAGGAGTTGTTTTTGTATCGTCATTGACAGTTGGATGATCTGAATTGTTAACTGGTGCTTCTGAGGAGATGGATTGTCGTTTTTCTTCTTTTAATCGTCGATGATGTTCTATTTCAGCCAAGCCAGAGGAGAGAGTAAAATTGAACAACTTTTCAAATCGAGTGTGATTTCGAACAATAGCATAAATCACATTGGGATTATCTAAATTCAAAAAAAAAAAAAATAGAAAAATGATTATAGTGAATGTTAGTTCATATTCATTATCTTTGTTATCCTTTTAATCTTTTTTTTTAAAGAAGGAAGAGTACTTACTTGCAAAATGGTATTGAATAATATTGTTGAATATTTCCAACATATAACCAGTGAGACGATGATTACTATCGTCGGCCAACATAAACCCAGGAGACGATACAGAATTGAATAACGTAATAAGTTTGCTAGCAGAAGCCACAGATAAGTTTTTGAGATAAGGGGAGACATTGGCGATAGTGAGAATAAAGGCTGGATATAATGAAGATAACCCACCATGTGTTGATGCAATCAAATTGACAATAGACTACAAATGATCAAAAAAAAAAAAAAAGAAACTCGGTTAGTTAGTAAAAAAAAAAAGGAATCGTACACCTATATAATACACATACGACAACGAGATAATCGCCATAAGTACCATGGAAAGCTGGAAGTCGAGCAATAGATGGAAGAGCAGAGTGGCCATTGAAAACAGTGTTGAGCTTAATACCAAATTCACGTTCAGATGATAATGTTTGTAAAATAAAGGCACACATACGTACCACGCCCACTTGCGCTAAAAGTAAAATGATCAAAAAAAAAAAAAAAAAGAGAGATAATGTTAGTCAAATGAATAACATTCCATTTATTGACTCTATTTTTTTTTCTGTCTTACTGATATTCGATTTGCTTTCAACAGAATAGTATATCAACACCACTAATAGGTCCAGAGCATGATTCGTTTCAGTCATATAATTCTTGAATCGCTATTTCCAATATAATATAATATATTAGCAAGAATAAAGACATAATGAATCCTCCAATAACAAACCTTTTTTTTTTGTTTCTTTTATATTACCTGATTGCATTCCATTAGTCTCCAACAAAGCATCAACATTTCACTAGTACATTGCACGCGCTTGGTTGATCGCGGAAGATATGTATTGGTCGCCTGGTATAAAATGATGTGAGTTCCTTTTCCTTTTTTTAAGATAGAATGATCATCATCATGTTTACCTGTAATGGATTTAGCAAGATACGATGAATTCCATCCACCAAAAATTTGAAATCGCTTGGACGATGTAGTTTGGATAAATAATGTTTGAATGGATTGTCGTGAGTATCGTTGATTTCCTCTACAGAAGACAAGATGGATTGAATTTCAGTTGAGGTAGGACTAGTGGGTACGAGGACGGCGGGAGTCTCTTCTTGAACATTGTTGCTTGTATCAGGTGATGATGGATGATCGCCGTTGTTGTTCTTCGCTGTCAAAGTAATTGTAGAAGAAGTAGTAATATCACCGATCATTTGTTCAGTGGCGGTTCCTGCAAGCGAGTGTTGTCGTTGTTGTTGTTGTTGATCCAATTCATGCATCACTTCTACAGCATGTGGTGATCGATAATCCAATAAGATCAGCAAGACACGAAGACACATGGCTACCAATTGTTCCCGAGGATCTGCTACCATAATATGATTGTAAGGAACTCCCCAGCCTATAGGATCATATTTGCACGCAGTATTCATAAAGCTGCATAACAGGACCAAAATCACCTTGCGTTCTGTCTTGGTTACCACATGGTTGAGCCAAAGATCTTCCTTTGCCAGAGTATGAGATGGAGAAGTATACATAGATTTGGAAAAAAGCACTGTCAATAAGCGAAGTACTTCGATTCGATTCATATCTATATCACGGGAGGTTCCTAAGGATGTGGAGGAACCAATACCATCTTCCCAAATAGCATAGACCACACGGGAGTTTTCTTCCTTTGTGTTTGTCACTGTGAGCGGTAGAGTAAAGCCAATCAAGTACAGACATTGAATAACAACTATAACAACAAGAAATAATTAATTCAGTTTCCTTCTATTTGATCGTTATCAATGAATCAAACTTACGGTTTAAGAGAAGTTCACCTCGTGGTTTCAATGTATCATATTCAATGATGCGTTTTTGATCCATAGTATCTGATGATGAAGTTGTTGATTCTTGCTGTTCTTCAAAAGTGCCTTTGATTTGTTGGTCTTGGAGAGAAGTTGTTGGTATCAAACGCTCCACAGTTCTAGGTGTCCAAAAGAATTGATCTTCCCATTCTCCATGTTCAGTACTTTCAAATATATATGGCATGATACGAGTCAGAATCCGAAAACAATTAATAAGATGATGTACTGGATATTGTGCTGAAGGGAAACTGGGAGCATTCACAATGGTATCAATACGTTCGATAAGCTACCAAAAAAAAAAAAAAAAAAAAAAAAAAAAAAGGAAAAAAATAGAGGTTTGAGAAGTTTATTCATCATGATAACTGTTTTTCTTTTACCTTGTCAATCAAAGTTTCCATATTTTCCTTGGCAACGTCGCGAATCTTTCGAATGTCGTTAGCCCCGATAAGTGAGTAAATATCGTCTGCCGTTTCTGGGAGGGTCCAAAACTAAAAAAGTATAAGAAAAATAAAGGGATGATAAGAGTGAATTCATGTATAGGTAAAACTTCAAGTATACATATATATATCATCTCTTTGATAAAGAATAGTTCAACTTACACAAGTCCAGTAGTCATCAGCGGAAACTGGTATATTCTAAAGACAAAGTGATAAAAAAAAAAAAGAGGGAGAATTAGAAGTGGCATCCTGGAGTAAGATTAAAAAAAAAAAAGGAGTTTTTATATATATTTATATATATGTTTTATTTACGCGTTCTTCGTATAAACGAAAGACACCTTTCCGAAAAGCGAGTTTACTATCAGTGGCACCCATATAAATAGGAAAGTGTATAAAGAAAGAAGAATAAAAATAAAATAATATAAAAAAAAAAGGTGGAAGAAATAAAAAAAAATGTTCAGCGGTGTATGAAATAGGGATATGGGACAGCCTTGAAGGGAATACTGTTGCCTTTTTTGGGATACCTAAGCCAAAATAAAATAAATCTGATCTATATAGATAAATAAATATTAATCTATTGTATTTATCATATGGTTTATGAATTCTCTTTTTTTTTTTTTAACAGAAACCGAAAATTAAAAACGATTTACACGGTTTCAGTAGACATAAATTATCTATCTATTTTGTCATCTATCAGTTAGTCAATCTTGCATAAAAAAAAAAGAGTTACTGTTTTATTAATTTTTTTATCCTTCTTTTGTTTAAATTTCACTTTTTTTTTTTGTTTTAATCATAAGATGACCCTTCGAACTACTCCTCCTCCCCATCTTCAACTCAAAACTACTGCACAAAGAAGATCAAGAATTGAACCTGAATTGAAATCAAAGCTGGAAGCTGAATATGAAAATAATCCAAAGCCAAACAAGGAAGAAAAACATCGTATAGCTCTCTTATATAATATGACCGATGAAAATGTACACAATTGGTGAGTATAAAAAAAAAAAAGGAAAAAAGAAAAAAAAAAAGATGACGTTCATCTCAATGACTTGGGTATATTAGGTTTCAAAACAGACGCGCTAGAGCAAGTCGAGAATTAAAAATGAAGTCATCACAAGGTAATTTATATTAATGTTTTATTAAATTCATTATAAATATATATATAACTCCTCTATTCATTTTTTTTTATTACAAAAGGACGACATCACGTGTACACTTCAGTGTCATCATCATCATCATCATCCATGCATTCTACTGATATTATTCCTGGTACCACCAATATCTCTACTATTGTTACTGCTACACCTATTTCTACTATTAGCGATAGTCTTTCTTCGTCTACCACAGTCACCACTATTCCTACTTCATCATCATCTTCTTCTTCTTCTAACATATCATACATTTCACCAGATAATTCAATTCATCCGCAGCAGCAGCAAATCCGCGTTAGTGAACACCATCATCTGCCTCCAATTCATACTCTTTGGCATAATGAAATGTCTTTGGCCACTTCATTTTCTGGTTCTGGTGATTCTCCTCAATATAGTCGAACACATACATCATTCATCACTCCATTTTATTATCATCCACCTTTTGGAATCGAAACATCTTATTTGAAATGGAGTAATGCTCCATGAATTGTGTCTTCATGTATGATTGTCGGAAATTCAAATGTCATGGATAATCTTAGCTAGTTCTTTCTTTTTCTCTCTCTCTTTCTCTCAATAAAAGAATAACTTTTTTTTTGTTCCATTTTTTTTTACTTTATAGAACCTCTTGCATACATATGTATATACATCCTATTTTATAATGTCTTTATTACCTACAAGCAATACACATTACACTTATCATTCTTTGGATGGAAATAGATATCAACGACACTCCCGATCTATACCACTTTGTCAACGTTTATTTGGATGTCCTCAATTGAACTTTGAGGTAGGTACGATTAATCCCCAATCCATCTCTAGTTCCTTTATTTTCTTACTCATCTCTTTTTTTTTTGAATTTATTTTTAATAATGTTTAGTATGCTATATGGCAAATGGCTTACTTATTAATAGCACCCTCAAGAGTGTAAGTACTATGAAAATAATAAAGAACTAATGAGGTACCAGAAAACTCCATGTATACTTACTCTTACCTTTTTTTTTTTTTGTTATTGTTGTTATCCTATGTATAGGTATCGAAATATTTATTATCATAAACGTAAGCTTTTTCGATTTTTTCTTTGGAATAACGAAGAAGAGACTAACCCAAACTGTATTATATTCATTAGAAACTAAAAACCAATGGGCAAGAGATGATCCAGCGTTTTTAATCTTGTTTGCTTTTTTAGTATGCGGTAATGTGTTAGAAAGGGTATATAATAATTCGTTCCTTTATTTATCTTCTTTTATCATGCAATCTATATAGTGTCAGCAACTGCATGGGGTCTAAGTTATAGTCTAGGTTTTATTGGTATCTTACGAACGTTACTTTTCATGATCTTCGTGGATTTTTTACTTGTGGGCATCTTACTAGCTACTGCTTATTGGTAAGTGATATCTTCTATATATATATATATATATGTATGAATATGCTAAAGCGAATTGTATGATTTTGATTTGACTTGGTTAGGTTTGTGTCCAATCGTTTCCTTGCACAAGATGCTATGGTACATGCAACATCTCAAAAAGTAGAATGGGCATATGCATTTGATGTCCATTGCAATTCATTCTTCCCGGTATTCTTGATCCTTTACGTTGTCCAGTTCTTTTTTATGCCTTTACTCCAACGGTCGACTTGGATCTCATTACTGGTGGGAAACTTGATGTATTTTGTGTCTGCACTATGGTATACCTATGGTACCTTTCTTGGTTATAATGGTAATTATTGAAAAGATAGAACATGACATATATATATATAATATGAAGATAGATTGGCTTCTTTTTCTTAGGAAGGATATCATTAACATTGACTTTTTTTTTATTTTTCAATAGCACTTCCTTTTTTGGTCCATACTGAATTATTCTTATATCCTCTTGGTCTTTCTTCGGTTTTATTCTTTGTCTCTTTATTTGGATTCAATATTAGCCAACATGTTTTATCAATCTATTTTAAATAAATAAATATTAAATATGATCAAACTTTTTTTTTTGTGGAATGACGGACAAAGAAGAAAGAGGAAAGGTAGTATGCTCGGATTATATCAAATAACTAATCACAGAGGATGAATACATTGGAATGGAAAAGTAGAGCAAGAGGATTCTTTTTTCTTATATATATATATATATATATATATTAGAACAGGAGGTATAGACATTGTATTCCTGTAATACATTCAAGAGGGAAGAAATAGATAGCATATGATAGTTAATCATGTCCTTTTTATTTTATTCAACATTAACGTTGATGGTTGTGATATTAGTGAAGGTAGTATTATAGGTTACGAAAAAAAAATGTGTGTAGTACTACAATAAATGTGAAATACAATGGTGGAGAAGAGGACGATGATAATGTATATAAGGATAAAAACTTTTTAAAAGAGCATACCAGAGTCACGCAATGCATTTTGTAATAAAGTCTCTTGTACAGCAGCAAACACGAATCGAATCTATTATAGATAAAAGGTTAGAGATGGATTTATAAAGCCAATCATGTTTACTTACATTATAAGTATCCGTGGCTTGAGTTAAACTACGATAATAATAATAAAAATAAAAAAAAAGATATTAATGGCACGATGGATTAAAGTTCAAGATCATGTCTCTAATGATCTATGAAGTAATAGATGATGATGGAAATAGGAGAAACTTACTGAGGATATATGTTCAATTTAGCACGATTTGTCTGTAAAAATCGCCACAAGATATATTTTGCTGCTTTGTTTGGATCTTTTCCTCCTATGAATTGTTAAAAAAAAAAAAAAAAAAAAAAAAAAAAAAAAAAAAAAAAAAAAAAAAAAAAGATGAATGAACAAAAAAGGTATAACAAAGAGAAAAAAAAAAAAAAGGTTTTACCACCATAATCAGGAAAATAATTTTGCATAGGGCATCGAAGGACTTTAACTTTGAAAATATCCACTTTGTTTAAAAATAACATGATAGATGTATGTAAAAACCATCGACTATTAATGATGGATTCAAATAATGATAAGCTTTCCATCATCCTGTTCTATAAATATGAATGACAAGGAGTGGTTACGATTTTGTACGAATATGGAAATTTGGATCTTCATTTTTTTTTTTGTACCTGTTTTGATTCTTCCAATAAGACTTGATCATATTCACTAAGAGCAACACAAAAGATGATGGATGCTACAGAATCAAAACAATGGATCCATTTTTTACGTTCTGATCTTTGACCTCCAACATCAAACATACTATATATAAATAAAAAAAAAAGGTTTATCAATCAATGGAGAATCAGGGTCTTGGACAATGTCAATAACCTTATTTCGCCTCTTCCTTTTTTTTTTTTTTTTTGATGATGGTGATGATTCAATTATCTTCTCCTAATCCATTTATATATGAATCTACCTAACAATAACGTTTTTCTCCTTAGGCAAGGAAAAAAAAAGGATCTGATACTTACTGTATAAACAATCCTCCCAATTGAAATTTGATTTCTGTGATTCCAGTTGTTTTCAATCGTGCATGTAAAACATCCTGTTCTGTGGGCTTGTAATCTGATCGACCAATGCGTGATATGTCATCAAAAAAACTAAAAAGTGATGATTATAAGGAATCAATCAATAATTCAATCAGACAAATCATCATCAAAAAAAAAAAAAAGGAAAACGAGATTAAATATAAAAGAAATAGGGGGTCATCAAGTTGAACATATAGCACACGATGATAAAACCCAAAATCTGGGTATAGAGCCGAGTATGATCATATTGACTATTACTTACTATGGTGCTGAATCCATCATATAAAACCGATGTCCATGTTCTTCAATACATTTTAAAGTGGTTGGATCTTGCCATATCTTTTGAATGGCATCAATAAGATCTTGTTCCAAGTCAAATTTAGCATCGTTAGGTATTTGGTAATTTAATACTTGACAAGCACGTTCCTAATAAAAAAAAAAAAAGAGCATGAGTGGAACATCACGAGCCATCGTATTACATTCTTTTTTTTTTTTTTTTTTTAAAAAAAAAAAAGTTACATGATTTTCTTCGTTGTCAAATGTCATATTAAAGCTAAGAATAGCTTGGATTAGTGTTTGTATGCTTTCTATCATGTTTCTATAAACGATGACTCTCCATAAAAGTAATTCTTCCGAAGTGTAGCCATTTTGATTAATGATTTTCATTTGTTTCAATATAGTTGATTTGCCTGATTCACCACTACCTATAAAATATAAAAGGTGTTTAATAAGATGATGATTTGAATGGATGATTCATCATCATACCCAGCAATAAAATTTTATATTCTTTTTCACGTCGTCCACGATCTCGTTCCAACTCTTTATCAATCTTTAAGCTTTTTTGTTCTTGTTGTGTCTCTTCACCCGAGTGACAAATGCCCATACTATCGTAGAAAAAAAAACATCATTAGGAAAATGAATAAAAAAAAAAAAGAAAGAGATGAAAATCAATCTATAAATGGTATTTGCCTTGGAAATCGTAAAGAAAGAGGAGGTAAATAACTTTGCAATGACCAAGTAGTAGATGATGATAGTGACATGAAAACAAGAAATCATTGAAAACAAAAGAAAGAAGGAAACAAAGGAAAAATAAAGATAAAAAGTAAAAAAATTAAGGAAAAAAAAAGGAGCTTCTCTTGTAATAAATTTGCATGACTATTGGGGAAGACTAGATTAATCATCATCATCATCATCATCATTTACGGCTATTCTATTTTCATCATACTAAATGATCATGCAACCATGATCATAGGTGTTATTGCTCCTTAGGTAGTACTTATCAGCCCTTTCATAAGTCTGCGTAACATAACAATTGAAATGTATATTTCCCCTCTTTTTTTTTTTTTTTAAAAAAAAAAAAACTGATCTCCCTTTACCCCCTTGTGTGCCAGTAAAAAAAAAAAAAAAAAAAAAAAAAAAAAAGGCTCCTCGACTCTCTATTAGGCAACTGGCATGAATGTCTGAAGTTTAAAAAGAGGGAGAATCTAATTGGGAGGACACTTTTGATGTGACGTTGAGTGGTGTTATTTTTTTATTTTTTTTCAACAGCCAGTGTAGCCCCCCTTGCTTACTTTGAAAAAACATTTTTTTTTTCTCTTTTCTTCTTTCTCCATCCTTTTTTAAAGAAAAAATAAAAAAAACAGTATGCCTGCTGCTGCTTCTAATGGTCTTGCCCGTGGTGTTTATAACACCTTCTTCAAGAAGAACTCTGCTTATGTTACCACCATCTTCGCTTCTGCCATTGCTTTTGAAGTTGTTTTCGATTCTGCTAGCTCTCGAATTTGGGATAATATCAACAAGGGTGTAAGTCAACTAGAAAACAATCAATTCAACACCTCGTTTCTTCTTCTTTCTCTTTTTAGTGAATCGACCTTTACAAAATGACTCACAATATCATTTTTCTTCTTTTTTTTTTTTTTAAAAAAAAATAATAGAAACAATGGAAGGATATCAAGCACAAGTACGAACAATGAACTATTCTCCTTGACAATTGTATCACCATGAACCTAAACAAAAAAAACAACAACAATAACAGCAACATATATATACAACAGGACGGGACGACATTAGTTAGATAGATTCCAATAATAAAGAAAACTTTTTATTTCCACCTTTTACCATTTGTATTTTTGTCTTATCTATCAGTTGGATGGGCTTTTTTTTTTTTTGTTGGACAGCCGCGTGTATCATATTTTGTGTATATGTGTGTGTGTGTGTGTGTGATATATACGTGTAGATATATATGTGCGTAGATGTGTGTAGATATATATATGTGTGTAGATATATATGTGCGTATATATATATATGCGTGTAGATATATATGTGCGTAGATATATATATATATATATATATATATATATATATATATATATTATACGAACATGTTGGGAATCAATACGAGTGTGCATATAATATCTGCTTGTATTACTATATGCGTGGCTTTGCTCTACATATGCATATATGAGTTCTCTTTGTTCACGTACAAAGGAGTGTCACTATGGACAAACTTTGGAAGAATCCCGAATATATATATATATGATCATCATGTGTGATGTTACAAGGATGGATCAAGATAGCAATGAATTATATTAACGAGAAGGATACGATGATGTTCGCTTACTGATTATCAAATGGTGTGAGATAAATTACCGATCGGCGTCTATTTACCTATAAATGGTGTTTCTAACCACGGAGTGAAGACGATTATTTAACCATGTTCGTTTCATTAGTACAGGAATACAAACCTTGTTTTTTTTTTTTTTTTTTTTTTTTTCTAATCTTCTCTCATAAGCAAAAACTGGAAAAAGAGAACATAGTACAGCCATCATTTGGAATGCATCTGAGCTATTTCAAATTAGAAAAAAAAAGAAGGATTTTTACCTATATAAAGAGACGGACGATCTTTTTTTCGTTTCTTTTTCTTTCTGCGATATTCTTTTTATTTATCTTGTTCCTTTTTATTCATCTCCTTCCTTTCCTTTTTAATCATAACTCTATCAAAAATGAAGGCATCTTCTTCTTTTGCTACTTCTACTCCTACTACGGAAAGACGTTTATCTCCTTTTATTAAAAAGCTACGTTGGTAATATGAATGGTGAAAATAACGATGGATGATTTTTATATTCCATCCCTTTTATGCTCGAATTTAACAATGTTTACTATCTAATTTTTTTTTTCTGTTATTGTCTTTTGTTTTATTGTCATTTATTCCATATATGTCTTTGTGAGTAGTATAATGAATGATGATTCTCTTCATCATATTATCCGTTGGACAGATGATGGTACCACTATTTGTATCTCCAATTCCATGTTATTCTGTAAATCAGTCTTACCACATTATTTCAAGCATAATAACTGGCATAGTTTTGTCAGACAGCTCAACCGTAAGAAACCATTAAATTAAATTAAAAAAAAAAAGATAATCACCTGAATCTGCCCAAGCACAATGGATCTAAGCAGACCTTGATGTCAAAGCTTTGCTCATGCAATGAGCTTTTTTAGGTTGAATCAAGAAACATTTTCGAATACGTTAATTTCCGCTACTCATTTCTTCTTTCTTTCTTTGTTATCTGCATTGATTACTCAGTTTATGGTTTTCGAAAAGTATACCATTTCAACATTGCCGTGGATTACGTAAGAGGACGTAAGTTTTTTTTTTTTTTTTTTTTTTTTTTTTTTTTTTTAAAAAAAAAAAAAAATAATAATATTATTATTACTAGTTGACCAAATTAAATATTCTCATCACCTATCATCCATCCACCTCTATACAGTGATTAATATATTCTTTATCGTGTGTAGGCCAAGAAACTATATGGCAGTTCAAACATCAACATTTCCAACGAGATGATGAAAGCTCTCTATCTTTGATTCAACGAAGATTATCATACCCTACTACTGACAGTGATTATAGACTATCAAGTATGTTATCAAACATTGAAGATCAACTGAAACGGGCAGAAGAACAACATAAAAAAATGAAAGAAGAAACTCAATGGTTACGGCAGCAGCAACAAGAACAACAAAAAGTAAGTGCTAACTTCTCAGTCGTATCTAAAGTAGATGATCATATGCTAACATTATATAAAAACGAAAGATATTGAAAAGTCTTATGGAAGAGGCAATTAGGACAGCTCAAGCAATATCATCACAATCATCCGAGCCAACAGGAAGCCAATCCGAGGAGTTGAATCAGAGAGGTAAGAACTTATTATAAATATCAACCTTTGAATATTGATTTTTTTTTTTTGAATATAGGGTATACCAGTAATAGTGAAACTAGTGATACTAGCAATGTAAGCAGGAAAGGATCTGTTTCTCTACCGCCATTGGCAGAAGTTGTACCTCATTGTTTAAAAAAATAAGATTTGTATTCCCGCTTTGTTCATTTTGTGCCTATTTCATTTTTTTTTTTTCAATTTTTTTTTTCTTTGTTGATTCATCTTACATTTCTTTCCACTAGTCAATCTATATCTCTAGTCTTCTTCATTATTTTGATCCCTTCCTCACTTCTATACTTTTATTACCACAACATCGATTTGATCCATGGAATCATCTTGGATACCAGGATCTTATCGTCCAATCGTACTCATTTGTATTGGCTTATGGGGTTGGGGTCTTAATTTACTTTTATTATATCGACATAATATAGATCCTTCCTACTTGTTACAGATCCAGTCTTCTTCTTCAAATGATAAACGTGTATATCAACCCATCTTTTTCTTGGCAACCATTCTTACTGTCATTGTTCTATTCAACCTATGGGTTTACCTGAACTTTGTTCAATTTGAAGATGCTTCTTGGTTACCTCTTTTAGCTTACCTTTCATCTTTGGTTTTACTTTTATGGCCTGGAAAGGAATTTTATCGTAAAGAACGTACTCGTTTTATTAGGTAAGACAAGAAGGATGTTATATGTTGAAAAAGGACTGTACGTACTTATCTTTTTTTTTTTTTTTCCTTAAGACTTGTGAGACGAATTGGTTCATTCAACTTGTTCGCTAATGTCTACTTTGCTGATATCATATTCGCCGATCTTTTGACCAGCTTTTCCAACGTTCTTGGTGATATGTTCTTGACTGGATGTATTATTTTGCCTGGCAAGTCGAATCAAGCCTATATGGCCCTGGAATCAGATACTCAAAATGCCTATTATCGTGATATCATGGTTCCCCTGATCATTAGGTAAAAAAAAAAAAAAAAAAAAAAAAAAAAAAAAAAAAAAAAAAAGATTTCCTTCTCTATCTCTTTTAACATGTTATTTTTCTATGTAGTTTACCTTACTTTATTCGTTTACGCCAATGTATATCTGAATATATCGAATCAAGAGGGGAAACACGACGCCACTTATTCAATGCTTTAAAGTATGCTTCAGCCTTTCCTGTGATAATTTTGTCTGCTGTACAAAAGAAGGCATCCATTTATATTACTGAAACTGGATCAATACCTACGACTTGGTGGATTGATGAATCTAATCTATTTCGACTATGGTAAGTGAATCAAAATATAATATAGTATGGCGATCTGTTATTTCCAAAGAAAAGTGTATTTCAGAAATACTTATATATTTGTATTGATTTTAGGATGATAGCAGTATTTGTCAACTCATTATATTCATTCTGGTGGGATATATCAATGGATTGGAATTTAATACAAGTGACATATGAAATGCCAACAACAAAACATGCAGAAGATCATCATCCGTATCATGGACAACATCATCTCCAGCAACATTTAACTCCCATGGTACGCTTTCGACGCAATCTTCACTTCTCGATGACACCTGTCTATTTTCTGGCAATGATGGCAGATTTTATTCTACGGATAACCTGGAGTCTCAAGCTTAGCTCTCATGTCTATATCAAGAGAATAGAAGGTAGTGTCTTTTTGGTGGAATTATTAGAAGTTGTACGCCGTTGGATTTGGGTTATCTTTAGAATGGAAAGTGAATGGATCAAACGTGCTAATTTACCAACAACATCATCATCAACAACAACAGCAATATCATCTACAACGACTTCTCCTACATTATCTCACAACATTTCACCATCACAACAACTCTCCTCTCTCATCAATGGTGATATCCGAATGAATCTTTTGGACAGACCGAAACATACTTTGTTGACTCCTATTCATGAAGAAGAAGACCCGCTTTCCCATTAGTCCCCCCTTGCACTTTTTCCCTCCTTTTTTGATTCCCTATACATACACATCCCTGTAGTTAACCGCCTAGTTTTTAGTTACTTTCCCTTGCACGTTTTATTTCATCATTATTACAAAACACAATCATGTATGTTCACCACCTAGTTTTTTTTTTTTTTTTTTTTTTCCTCTCCTTACTATTTTAGATGCACATATATTACGCAAATACCAATAAAAAAATAATATACATATATATATCATACATGGTGAAGATTACCATACAAGTTTCTTTCAAGCATTTATCGTACATATATTGTTGAAAAGTAATCCTTTTTTTTTTTTTTTTGTCTTGGTCCAAAATAGAAATAACCCATAATGTTATTTCCTATGAAGATTTCCTATGATGATAGCTAATCATGTTTGACTGATGATGGTGATGATTGATATCTAAAAGGACAATTCAAACTGCTTGTTCGACAGATGATAGAAAGGGAAAGTGAAGCAGTATTTTTGTACTCCGGCCAACCTAACTTGGAGGCAATAGCTTAATTTCTTTTTGGATGCTTTTCTTTCCAATAAATACTAATGGTTGTCAAAGGTAATATTGAGATGAAGATAAAACTATATCTCTTATATCAGCAAACATTGGTTGTCATGTAAACTAACTAGTCTTCTCTTTACACATCACGTTAGCGCTTATTCTTGGTGCGGGCTATGGAACACGCTTGCAAAAGGACTTGATAAACAATGAGACCTATCATCATCTCCTCGGTGTACCCAAAGCACTTTTACCACTTGGTGGACGTGATTGTCTTATTACTCATTGGCTTGATAAGTTGACAGAGAGTGGATTCAGCAAACAAGAAGATATTTATGTAGTGACGAATGAAGCCAGCGCGAATGAATTTGCAAAGTGGGCGGAACGACATGATATTCCTTTGGATCACATTATCAATGATGGCACAACGACAAACGACACTCGACTGGGTGCTGTACCTGATATCTTATTTGGCATTGATCATATCTTTAAGAACAAGAACAACAGCTCGGTGCTTGTGATTGGCGGGGACACTTTATTCTTGAAGGATTTCGATTTGGACAAGTTCATGGGACAAAAGCAACAGGGGGCGTGTTTAGTGACAACCTATACTGTGGATGACAACACGGTGCCCAAGGTCGGTATTGTGGAAACGAATGAACAAGGTGTCATTCGATCGTTTTTGGAAAAACCATCGGCTCATGAAACGACGGCTCGTCAAGCTTGTCCTTGTTTTTATCTTTTGGATCCTTTGGCTATTACTCTGATCCGTGATTTTTTGGCTGACTGCAAACAGAAACAACTTGGTTTGGATCACTATGATGCCACTGGGAAAGCATTGGCCTACCTCTATCCTCGATTACCTGTTCATACTTTTCCTATTTCTGGTCGTATCGATGTTGGTGGTCTCCAATCCTATATTGACGCTCATCATTATTTTAGCACAACAACTCTTACTACTGGAAATTTGGACAAATAAGATGATAGTACAAGCTCTTTTTTTTTTTTTTTTTTTTTTTTTTTTTTTTACAAGCATTGTTGAACAAACTCTACTTCCCTTTTTTTTTTTTTTTTTTTTTTCCTCTCTCATCCCTTTTTTTATAGATAGTGACAGAATAGATTATTTTTATGTTGCCATACCCTGTAGTTATTGAATTCATTTATGAAATAAATGTTTGTACACCATATCAACAAACCTTTATTTTAGTCTTTATTTTTTTGGTAGGGGAGAATGCATGTATCATAATCATCTTATTCGACTGGATATTATTGATCCTAGAAGATTTTTTTTTCTAAGTATCATATGATTGATGACAGGATGATGAGCTGATTGGATGATATGTGATGAATGAAACGACTATCAATATTTCAATCATACTGAAGAGAAAAAAAAATGATGCCATCGAATTGAAAATTAGAGACTAGTCCGTTTAAACAAAATGGTCATACATATCAGTTTTCTTTTTTTTTTTTCAGAACGTGAGAGCATGCATATTTATACAGAAAGATAATAGATAAAACATTGTTTTATTCATTCATGTAAAATAAAAATCAAGAATCAAGTATAATATAAAGTAAGAGGGAATAAATAAGATATATAAAAAAGAAGAAGAAGAAAAAAAAGAAAGGATTATGCAAATGGGTTGACAGCTAGAATACGGATCAAAGGAGGAGTTCGTACCATATCAATCACGAGAGCCACACGAATCTTGTCCAAAGCCTTGATGGTTTGGTATCCTTGTTCTGTGCTATAAGCTGTACTGTCTGAAAGTCTTGCACGAACCAAAGAAGCTCGTTTGGCCGATGTAGATTGGGTGGATTCAGGGCGTAATTTTTTCGTAGAAGAGGTGACAGTTGGTGAAATATCAGGTGTGTCCACAGGCATTGCTTTTCTTGCATGTTGTTCCAAAATAGATAATCCTATGACTGTTTGTTCCTTATTATCCTCCAAATCCCTTAATACTGATTGTTGTTGATCATTGTGTTGTAGGCAGCTGACATTGTCGTTTCTATCCAATATCAGTGATGAAGACACTTTTTCTTCTTCTTCTTCTTCTTCATCATCATCATCCTTGGTTAAAGCACCTGTCTGAAGCATTTCTTCCAATAACAATTCTTCATCCAAGTAATCGCTGTCATCATCATCGTCGTCATCATCCAAAATGGACCAATGTCGCTGTTTTCCAGTGGAGGTGTCTACGCCCTTGCGCCAATACATGGTCAATGTTTGCTTGTTTTCATTGTAATCTGATCGCCAAACAGGTAAATTTGCCAGGTGTACACGTTTTTCCATATTCAGTTCCGGAACCATCACATCTAAATGACCTTCGCATACAGCAACAACAGTCGCTTCACGATATACCACCGATTTTCCATTTTGCTTCGCCAGTTTGTTGAGATGGACGCCCAAGAATAACAGACTACTTTGTTCACGAGCATAATGAGCCGCTTCCTTCTTCACATTGCAATGTTGGGTTAGTTTTTGTACAGTGTCGCGGTCCAAATAAAATGGAGCATCTATAATCATATAAATATAGGTCAATACTGATCGATCCCACGCTTCTTTTTTTTTTTTTTAAAAAAAAAAAGATATACCTTCTGATGATAGTGCATATTCTAATTGACGATGAACCAAGATATCAGCAAATCGACGACTTGGAGCCGTGAAATGAGTAAACAAAGGGACATTCAGAGCATAATGAGAGTATTTTGCAATATCATAAGTACCAGCACAAAAGTATTTGGGTACATGTAAAGTCTTGAGGACAATCACAGAAACTAATTTGCGTAGCTTGGGATCAGCAATAGCTTGAACAGATTTTTCCAAATGACCAGCACTACCAATATCTACTTGTACACCCAATTGACGAGAACAGAATTGTTGTAATGCGCGCTAGAAAAATAGAAAGAAAAAGAAAAAGATGAGATGGATGGTCAACTAAAGTTATTTGATTATTTTTTCCTTACAATTTTTCTGTCTACTGGAGTAGCATGACGACGAAGTAATGCTTGTTCAGGTAATCGACTAGAAATCCGTTGAGCAACACTTGTATTTGCCAAGAGTAAGAATTCCTTAATGATACGATGAGTTTGGATGGGTTTGGTAAGCACCGAGACATTCAAAGGAGTGAACTCGGGATCAAAATCGTATGTCAATTCATCACGTAATAGAGTCAATATTCCAGTCTGACTACGAAGGTTGTATAGTTCAGTGGCGAGTGTATTTAACAAGCGAATATCATTTTCAATATCTTGTCGATATTTTTCCGATATAACCCCATTGTTGTTATCCAAACTTCCTCCTTTCACTACATGTTGGGCATCCTCTATCGTCAATTGCGCACATGATCTGTCATATAAGAAAAAAAAACATTCATCAGCCTCATCATACAGTGTAATTAACGTTGTATGACGATATTGATGATATTGATTTACCTGATGGTTGATTTGCCATACCAAGTATCCAATACCTTGCCTTGCATTGTCATTTTCCAAACAACAGAGAATGCGAATCTAACAAAAAACAAAGAGAAATAGTATTAGATACAAAGTATTTAAAAATTCGAGTATCATTTACCTAGTATGGTTGGGTATCAAATTTGTCAATTTTTCGGTCATCACTTCAGGTACCATAGGAACATGAGAATGGAGCAGATCTACTCTAACACCTCTTGTACGGGCTTCCTTATCCAATGCAGAATGCGGCTTGATAAAGTAGGAAACATCGCTAATATGCACTCCCACCTGATAAGAACCATCCTCCAGTTTTTCAATGGATAATGCATCGTCCAAAACTACAAAAAAAAAAAAAAAGGGAGGTATAAGTTTTTTTTTTTTTTTTTTTTTTTTGAGGAGTATATGAAATAGATTACCATTTGAACCCTTGGGATCGATCGTAAAACATCGCACGCCAGTAAAATCACGTCGTTTATTAGTAGTTGAGGTATTGTTGTCCACAGAAGCTTCGAAATCACCAGGAGGTAAACAATTGTAAACAGCTTCAGAAAAATCGGTATCAGTAATATTGTTATCAGCATAGATGGCCTTGGTTTGTGTGGAGAGTTCATACACCGAACCAAGTTCCTTTTCTAAAGTTCCAAAAGGATGTAAAGATGTAATTGGCCAGCGTTTGATAGAGCCCTAAGAATTTTTAAAAAAAAAAAAAAAGATCAATATCAAAATGTTTAAAATAAATGAATGAGGATTCTTACCACAAACAGTCTAGTAGCATACTTTTGACTATTTTCCACGAAATCATCAGGAGCTTGTTCAATAGGAATAGCAATCAATGGTACACGTTTGTCAGTAGCCTTGAACCAAACTATACGAGGTGTATCTTTCTTGAATGAAGCAGAATCAGCACCTTGTTGATTTTTCTTTTCATCTTCTTCTTGTGCACGTTTGTTGTTGGGTCGAATAAGTGTCAGAGTTCTAAATGAATATATAATTTTAATGAAACACAAAGGTAACACACATATTAAGATCCGAACATGTTACAAACAAACATTAGTACCCTTTTTTTTCATGTAAGATGGTTTTTTTTTTTTTTTTTTTTTTTTTTTTTTAGTCTTACCCAGAGAAAACTTGATTTTGAGCACGTTCCATAATAGCGACAACGACACCACAATATTTTGGTTTGATCACTTCCACTTCTTCATCACCACCAAATATGATTTCATTTTCATCTTCTTCATCCGGTAATCGCACCCGACTAGCGTTTCGGGACATTTTAATTTGTTCCTTTTCCCGTTTTTCTTGCAATACCTTGTCCACATCCACTAATCGTACCGCCACCACATCACCTTCCAAAGCACGGTTCCGATCCCTTGATCCACAAATATAGATATCAGCATCCAATTCTTCACAAAATACATAGGCATCACTACGGTTGCGTTTGTTGACACGTAACATTCCACGTACTAGTTGACGGGTGCGAAACAAAGGTGTCAAAGCGCTGAAAGGTAGATGAGCAATAAATAGAGGTCGTCGTTGATGAGGATTAGCATCATCTCGAGCAAAATTAACACGCGTAGGTGTAAAAGGTACCAATTGAAATGACTGTCTTGGTGAAGTTGGTTGCGCTATTGGTTGTGAAGGTGCAGCTACGATGATGTGAATGATCAGGAGGTTAGAAAACATACATATAGATATATATATAATTGAATTCTTTTTTTTTTGTATAACTTACGTAATCGCCAATCCATATCTACGTTACGAGAAGATCGTCGAGAGTGACCTAGAGATTTACGCTTACTACCTTCATCAGTAGAATAAAGATCCAAGGGCTTGTTGAATTGAGTTCGTTTTGAAAGAGCAGAAAAGGAACGACTGGCTGTCAATCGATCAGTAAGAGGACCTGTTTCTTCAGATAGAGTAGCTAGTTGTTGTAAAGATGTTCGTTTGTGAAGTGTCAAAGGTAAATCAGTAGATGAGTCAGAAGAACGGCGTCGAGTAATAGAAGAATGATGTTTATTATTGCTGATCCCAGTTGTCATAAAAGAACCCATCAATTTAGCTTCCGCTTCGGCCAAAGCATCATCTCTTGCCACCATATCATCATCACTACCACTGTTGCTATTGCTACTATGATTTCCAAAACGTCTATAAGATGAGGAAGAAGAAGGACGAGGTGCTGTTACTTTATCAGAGGATGAGAAAGGAATCGATCGGAGTTCCTGGACCGTATTTTGCAATACCGAATGCATATCACTTGTTTTGTTCCCATCGTTGTACGACCGACGTATATTGGAATGTTGAGATTGTTGTTGACCAGAAGACAAGGAAGACATGGATTGTTGTTTCCGATGACCATATCTTCTTCCTGTACCATTTGTTGCAGAGGTTGAAAGTGAAGAAGTTGATACAGAAGTCGTTGGTGGTATTGCTTTTAATGAATTAATCATATCTTTCAAGGAATCCATAGTAACACTTTCCCTTCTACCAGATATTGTTGTTGTTGTTGTTGTTGTTGTTGTTGTTGATGTACGTCTGCTTTTGCTGAAGTTGTTGATATGATTTTCTTGTTCCTGATGCCCACCTTCTTCAGTCAATGTTTGAAGTCCTGAATGGTTTCGTCTTGTTCCAAAATAACCCATATCTGAAGCACTAGCTGATCGTGATCGTTGATGAGCCTTACTGTTGTTGTTGTTGTTGTTGTTGTTGTTACGTGACGCCGGCGATTGAAAAGATTGACGAGAAGGTCTTCCAGAAGAATCTAAAGATCGATGTCTATCAGTGGAAGTGCTTGATTGGAGGATGCCTGTTTGAACCTAAAAATAGGAAAAATATGAAAACATCTAGTCAATATTGTTTTTTTTTTTTTCTATCTTCAAGCTCTTTGCTTACCTTTTTATCAGGATACACGTCAAAAAGTCCTCTTGTGCTTTCAGGAGCTGACTGTTGTTCCAATGTTTCGAGACCATGCGACATGAATTAAAGGAAACAAACAGAAAAAATCAATGATGATGAAGAAATAAGGAAATGGTGGGGGGAAGAGAAAAAAGAAGGAAAAAAAAAATGAGAAAAAGAAGTAAAAAGACCAAAGGAATTGATTTCACCAATTGAAATAAAAGTCCGGAGACTGAAAAATAGATTCAACACCTAAATTTGTTTGTGTTGCCTCGTTTTTTTTTTTTTCTTATTTTTTAATTCTTTCACAGTCGATGAAAATTAGGCATAAACATAGGTCACCAAAATGGAAATGGGTCAAATGAATTTTAATTGGGTCAAGTTTTTCAATGTGGGCCAACTCCGCAAAAAAGTGAGTCCAAGATCATGCTGTATTTCAGTTTTTTTTTTTTTTTTTTTTTTTTTTTTTTTTTTTTTTTTTTTTTTTTTTTTTTTTTCTTAACATCAGTCTTTTTTTTTTTCCTCTTATCTTTATATCTATCATGGCACGTACCGTACAAAATTTCATCAGAAATAAAAAACTACAAAAACAACAAAAATTACTGCAACAAGAGCAAGATGCTGATACAGACGATGAACAACCAGGTATGTTACTTTTTATAATTCTCTTTCTGAATCAGCTAATATCATTTAATAATTTTCCCATTATTTGGTAGCGAACAAGCGACAGAAAAAAGCTATTTCTAAACAGACTACCAAACGACGCCAGTCTAAGGACGAAAAGAAAGAAAAGCAAACTGCCAACCAAGGTCGACAAGAAGCTCTTCAACTAGAAAACCCAAATCGCAAACCGTGTCCCACATGTATCGCTGCTGGGCGTCATGAATTGGCAAAAACTCATTCACGCTCCTCAAGTAATTTATGTCCCGATCAGAAAAAACGACAAAAGGTCAAGAACCAAGAACTTTCTGGTGCTCCTCTCCGAACTCACACGATCAAACATGGTCTGTATGGTTTACTCCTAGATATGACCGATGACGAAAAGACTCAGTTTGTTCAAGGTGTGGAAACTGTTGTGGACTTCAATCGCCAACTTGTGATCAAGGGTCATCTCTTTTTATTATATTTCTTCACATATCGTCTTGATGCCGGGTTACCTTTGCTCTCATGTTTCTTTCAACAAGCTTTCTTCTATGGTATCTTCCAGTTACTACTAGGTGGCAAATTCACCAATCAGTCGACTTTCGATGCTGCAACACGTGATAATATCAATTTTGTGTTTCGTCGATTTATCCAGCAATTTCCTCTGGCACGATGTGAAAAGGTGTCCTCCCCTATTGGTCGATCTCCAATTGCTTTCAGTGGTGTTCTATCCTCAACAGCACAAACCTATTCAACTCATCTCCTTTCTCATGTTGTCGAAAATTTTGATGGATTCTATATAGCATATTTACAAGGCCGCCTTCGACGCATGATTCCTGTAAGTATATCTACAAGAACAGTAAAGGCAAATCAGTACAAAAATCTTCTCCTTCTCATCCCTTTTTTTTTTTTTTTCCTCGTGTGTAGGAACTGGCACAAAATCATGCTATGCAGTTTGCTCACTTTGTTTACCAATCCACCGTCAATGATGACAAGTTCCCTCCAGTTTGGCCAGAAATTGAATACGATCCAGCTATTGACGACAAGCTCAATGAATCACTGTTGACCATCATGGATGAAGCAAGTACCGAATGGAACAATATACATGAATTGATTACTACGGAAGAAGCTCGACGTCGAAGTGTACAAGCATCTCGTGGCTCGTCTATAGCTAGCTCATCGACAGACCCACTCCCGGAGTCAATGGACATCCCGTCTCCAGCCTCAAGTGTAGGAAGTATAGGTATGACACAACTGGACCTTGAAACACCAAATCCTGTACATTCAGCGAAATCTATTACGACTGCAACAATCTCTTCCTACCCAGAATTTTTCTTACCTGTCATGTTTGATATCTTACGCAAGATGGAACAATGGAATCAAATAGACTCTGAACTACCGGCCATACCTCAGAATGAAGCAAAACAAACGTGGACATATCATCTTTTATCTGGATTGCCTGAATGGACACGATTAGACCATCGCCGCCGCTCATCGTTGACTCGCGCTATTACAAATATTATCAATGAAGGTGTACGATTTATTCCAGAGAAATTACCTGCTGGCTTCAGCGCTGAATCTATTATGCATATACAAAACGCCATTACTACAGCACAAACAGAGATTCGCGAAGGAAGATTTGCACCACCAGTATATCTGACAAAGCAGCAAGCAAGACTATTCACTATCATACCCATTCCAGGACTCACACGCAAATATATACACATCGATCATCAATCTCTTGGAACAATACTAAAACATTTTGGTCTAGGACGTTTGGCTAGTCCATCTTCTACACCGATCCCACCAAACCAGCCTCATCCGAATTTTAATATGTTTGACTTGCGGAAGCTTAAAAGGTAAGAAAAAGGAGAAGAATGATCTAGTACTAATCTGGTTTTGTTTCATTGAACTAGACATGGAATTTTCGAAAACAGTTTTACGACAGATGGCTATGCAACCTCCTTTCCCTTCAAAAAAATAGTGAATCAAGACCGATTGCCTTCTCTTTCGATTGACGATATTACCAGTGAAGATATGCAAGAATGCAAGGTATGGGGGGTAGACCCTGGGGTTACTGAAGTCTTCGTGGCTGTCGACAATAGCGATCCTTCCGAACGACACCAGGTACGAAAGTTTTCCTCAGCAGAGTATTACGTGAAAGCGGGATATAAGAAAACGAACAACACTATTTGTGAAACGAAACAATCTCAAAATATCGATCGACTTGAATCTTCAATACCGTCGCCCAAAACAAGCAGTATGGATGGTATACAATTGTATATTGAAGGATTACTTGATGTTTTACCCCAATTGGTCCAATTCTATGGCACTGAAATACAACGGCTGCGATTCCTCAATTACATCGGGAAACAAAAGGTACAAGACGAAAGGATCAATATCTTCGTTAATGGCGGCAAGAAATACAATCCGGATCCTGATCATCATCCAAGTGAAGCAGTTGTCATGGCTCGAACTAGAACAGATGGAACGACACGAAGAAAAAGAAGACGTCCACCACCGCCATCCTCTTTTGACGATCAACTACCACCATCCTCATCTGATGAACAGCCTCCATCTACAGCAAAGGAATCAAAATTGTAAGTAGTCTTTTTTTTTTTTTTTTTTTTTTTTTTTTTGGTAGGATCGAGGACAGATAGACAAACACCTTTTTTTTTTTTTTTTTTTTTTTTTTTTAGGAACAAGTGGAAAAAGCTTCCTTTCAGTCAAACACCAAGCAATATAACCACTGTCGTATGTATAGGGGATGGATCATTTGGAAGACGCATGTTCAGAGGGAAAATCCATGGTCTAGCAAATATTTTTCGGAAGCTTCTTCGCAAGGCAGAACAACAAGGAAGATTGATAGTGGCTAACATCGATGAATATCTCACTAGTCAAGTTTGCAGCAATTGTGGTACTAAGTCCTTGGAAAACATAAAAGTTGGTGAATCTAAATTGCATGCCGTCCAATCATGCACAAGTTGTGGACGTGTATGGCAACGGGATCATAACGCAGCTCGTAACATCCATTCTCTGGCTCTGAACTTTATCAAAAGTGGATCTCGACCTTCGGTGTTCTCTCGGTTGGATCAATAATCCGGATAACAAACATCCGCGACGGTTAAATGCTTGCGTTGTAAGTAAAAAAAAAAAAAAAAAAAAAAAAAAAAAAAAAAAAAAAAAAAAAAAAAAAAAAAAAAAAAAAAAAAAAAAAAAAAAAAAAATGTAGGATTTGAAGGCTCTCTTATTTGGAGATATCTGGTAAGTGCATGTTTGACCCAATTTGGCAAGATGAATCCATTTTCACTTGTGTGACTTTCATACTAACCGTCCCATTTCTATTTTGTAGGCTCATTTTCATTTTTGCTGACCCAACCTTTTTTTCTCAACAGTAATTCTTTCACTTGCTTCCCAAAAAAAGAAGTCTCTATCTTTTTTTTTATATATATATAATCACTTCATGTATGCCACCACTTCACATACCAAACGTTTCCCTTCACAATGTCGCTTCTTTACTCAAGGAAACTGTAGAGCTGGACAAGAATGTCAATTTGCACATACATTACCTTTGAAAGGTACGCCTCATAGTCATACTGTTCCTCACACTGTCCTTTTTGGTGACGAAGCTACACTAGATTTGGAACCTGAATCGATTCAAAAAGCAATACGTGATTTAGAGCTGGATCAACTAGACCGTGCCTATAAAGACCATATTCAAAAGACAACTATGACCGATACTTGTACTTGTCTTTTATTCGACAGTTTGACTTGCGGTTCAATAGAACTTTTGATTCCTTACCATTATCCTGACCTGCCTTGCTCTATACGACTAGATCACGATCCTACTATTCCTCAACATATAAAACAGTAAGTCATTCAGATTCATGTTTCCCTTACTCACTGAATATCTTTTATTCTATCACTCCTTTTTTTTTTTTTTTTTTAGACAAATGAACGAAACTTTTGAATCATTCCAACATCAACTCAAACATATGACTTTGGTTCAACAAATAGATAGATTATGTAGCTCTTTTAGTACAACAACAACTACTACTACTATCACTGCCACTAATAATAACAACAGCAACAATAACTCGATATAGTTACCCTCTATTTTTTTTTCCCTTCCTCTATACACATTTATTATTATTATTATTTTATCAATATTTCCCTTTTTCATTCATACACTTTATTCATATCATCCCTTCATTGTTATATAGTGATCACATGTTTTTTTTTATTACACATTTGTACACAATCCAAATAAAAAAAAAAGAATAAACAATTCTATATAAAAATTATACTATACTAGTCTATTCTTGATATATTCTAAACTAAACAAAAGCTTGATGATTGAAAAAGAAGGAATCATTTCTTGATAGCATTGGAAACAGCATTAGGAGTAGAGGAAGAAGTAGCCAATTTCTTAGCCAGAGCATTAACACCAAAGAGAGCAGAAGCAATCCAGACCTTGACAGTAATACTACCATTCTTGTTGGCAAAAGTGTGACGACCGACATCGACAAGAGACTTGTGAGAAGTGAATTGGAAGGTACCCAAAGACTTGCGAAGCACCTGAGTACGGGAAGCACCCTTTCTTCTACCAAGACGACCAGAAACTTCATACTTAACCCCTTGAATGGCCGAAGTGAGTTGACCATTAGCGACTTGAGGTAAAAGACTATTCCATTGCACGGCAAATGGCATATTGTGAGGTAAAGGAGCCTTGACCATAGGAACACCCTTCATGAATTTACGTGTGAGTGTGGACCAGCCGGACCGTTCAGCATTGATCGTCAAGTATTGTGCGAGGATTTCAGCATTCATATAAGGATAATGGACACGGATCAGGCGAAGATCCACATATTTGTTGGGATACAGTGATCGAAGTAGCTTTTCCAATGGAGCCAAGTTGTGTAGTTGTACTTTACCAAAGGTAGGGTCAGCATAGTAGAACATTTGAATCGATACTTTGAGTGGTGAATGATGAAATGTGGGTGTGGAGGTAAGATGTGATTGGAAGAAATGTTTCAACGTCGTTTTAGCTGATCCATCCTTTTCCCATAATATATTGTTGCGTGTGTTGCGTGAAAAGCTGTAGATAGATGTTTTCCAGTCTTGTTTTCCTTTTAATCCAAGAGCTCCAATACTTTTGGACATGATTATGTATATGTGTGGAATATAAAAAAAAAAAAAAGAAAAACGAAAAAAAAAAAAAAAAAAAAAAAAAAAAAAAAAACGTTTGTTTTGAAAGTGCGAGCCTTTATGGCTGTCACAAGAATAGGGGTTGAGAATTTTCATCCACGGTGAAAAAAAAAAAAATCAAATAGACAAAAATTAGCCAATAAAATGCTTCTCCTGTTATCCATAAATTCATCAGAATTCTTCTATTCAGTCATCCACCACTGTTTACAAATCACCCAAAAATGATCATCATTACACTAAACTTATCCTAAACATGGATGAAATCATTCTCTTTCAATTATATTAATGACAAGGTACATGTTATCTCTCAATTTATAGAGTAAGTTAAAAACTAAGAGTCAATTCAATCATCCCTCATTCAATAATGATCATCATCCAATAAAATTTCCACCATTGGATTCCTCTTCAAAAAGTAGTTTAATTTCATCTAATGCTATTTTCTTGCTTACCTTGCCACGTAATGTGCAATAAACACCAAAAGATTTCATCGATTTTTCAAAAAATTGCCTGCTGTACCCTCGACGATTTATTTTTACAGCTAAAATTTGGCTGAGGAGTTTGAAAATTTTGGCTGTAAAATCCAAAAAAAAAAAAAAAAAAAAAGGCAGGTCTACAGCCCTAAATAACTCTAATCAATGATTGAAATCTCATTTTAAAGACTAAATCTATCATCATACCTTATCAAGTGACAATGACTAATAAAAATGAATTACCTGGTAAAGTTCAGCATATTGACATTGTTCATCTCTAGTTATTATTACTTGTCATATATCATCGCTAAAGATTAAAGTCCTGAAGAAAAGAGTGAAAAAGGAAAACTATTTTATTCTGGATGTATATCACAAAGAAAAAAAAAACAAAAAAGATGTATGTATATATAATAAAAGAAAAACTAAAACTAATTCCACATGAGATACTATTAAATACAAAAAGAGAAACAGAAATGTAACCATTAGTATTGATTCTATTGTAAATATAAATGACCGTTGATCTTTTTTTTTTTTTGGCTCCTACCTTTGGAGTACTGGAGAATTTCTGGTATCCCTTGATGACTTTGTTGACAGATTCCAAAAAGTCTTTTTCACTAGCAACCTATAAATCATCATTTCAATAAAATAGATGAATATCAAATTATTCTAACTACTAGGAACGGTTTCTTTTTTTTTTTTTTTGCTTACCTTTCTTCTAGCACGAATGGCAAACATACCAGCTTCCGTACAAACACTTCGTAATTCGGCACCAGTAGCATTGGGACACAATCTTGCAATCAATTCATAACGGATATCACGTTCCACGCTCATACTCTTTGCATGAATCTTGAGAATATGTGCACGACCCTGTTGTCAAAATAAATAAATAGTTAGATTATAATCATTATTTTTTTTTTTTTTGTATATTTTTTTTTTTTTTTTACTTACCTCCAAATCAGGTAGACCAAACTCTACACGACGATCTAAACGACCAGGTCGTAATAAAGCAGGATCCAAAGTATCGGGTCGATTAGTAGCCATTAGTACCTTGATATTACCACGAGGATCAAAACCATCCAATTGATTAATCAATTCCAACATGGTACGTTGTACTTCATTATCACCACCAGCACCATCGTCAAATCGAGCACCACCAATAGCGTCCACTTCATCAAAGAAGATGATACAAGCCTTCTTTGTACGAGCCATTTCAAAGAGTTCCCGAACCATACGAGCACCTTCACCTACATATTTTTGTACCAATTCTGAACCAATTACCCGAATAAAAGTAGCATCTGTCCGATTGGCCACGGCTCTTGCACATAGAGTTTTGCCTGTACCAGGAGGACCATAGAGCAATACACCTTTTGGAGGATCAATACCAAGGTTCACAAAGCGTTCAGGTTGTAACAATGGTAATTCTACTACTTCACGTAATCGTTCAATTTGTTCTTTGCAACCACCTACATCGCTATATGTCACATCCGGTTTTTCTTCCACTTGCATCATAGTCACAGAAGGATCGATCTTGGGAGGTAAAGGGACTTGAATTTGATATTTTGTACGATCCACACTAGACAAAGAAAAAAAATTTGTTCAGTTTTCATCTTTTCATTTCTCTCTTCATATGCACTTACCCAACACGCATGCCTTCTTCAATATCAGTAGGAGATACATGTCGTACTAATTCCACCACAAATTTTGCGATTTGTTTAACGTTGATAATATACTTTGCATCTTCGTTGTCACCACCTTGAATGATTTTAGTACAACGAGCCACCTTGAGATATATCATCAATAGGTAAGTCAATTCGTTGTTTTATTCATCCAATTTTTTTTTTTTTTTTACCTGCAATGGTTGTTCTTCTTGCATTCGTTGTTTATCTGCTGGAATATCCCAAAGATTAGGTGCAGCCAAACCAGTATCAGATTCCTTAACACCTATAGAAATGAAAATGAAAAAAAGAAAAGGGTTAAGAAAATCGTTGTTTCCACTTGCACATAACGATATCTTTTCAATTGCAATGCTTACCAATCTTTTCGTTGACACGTTTTTGAGTATCTTTAATGTCTTGTTCTAAAAGTTTGAGTTCTTTGGCGTAAGGTCCTTGCCCCTATAAACATCCCCGATGAATAAAATATATATATATATTAGTATAGTTGTTTGTTTGTTGAATTAAAGTCCATGACGAATATAGTTAAGTTTACATATGTTTTGAGTAGTTTGATATCGCCTTCATCTAAAGCTATAAAATATAAACAAAAAAAAAAAGATTGATCAGGTTACTATGAGTTTGTTCAATGTACGATTTAAAGTCTATATAAAGAATATAATATCTTACCAACAATTTTTTCATCCTTTTCGTTGTCTTCGATAGGCTTATCGTCTAGAGGATTGTCAAAAAAAGAAAAGAGAAGGATATGAGCACAGAAAAAAAAAACAAAGAAAATAGTCTTTCCTTCTCAAAAAGTGAATAAAAGAAACAAAGAGTATACATTACATTTTTCCCAGTCAGCTTTAGGTGGCATTGTATTTGTATTTGTTATAGTTTATATGAAGGTGAGTCGTTGAAAGGAAATCGATCAACAGTAAATAAAGTGAAAGAAAAGAATAAAAAAAAAAATGAGCGCCTACGCACGCGTAGAATAAAAGGGAAACGTCATGGTTTTGAAAAGGTTTCGGAGGATGAAAAAATTGGAAGGATCAAGAGTGCAGTTGTCTGAAAATGGGTACACTTTTTTTTTTTTATTGAGAAGTCAGGAGGGAGGCATAATGTATTACAAAAGAAATAACATATCATATAAATAATTGAAAAGAGAATGATGATATAAAATAAAATGATTAAGAAGAAATTAACAAAAAAAAAAAAAAAGAAAGGAAATGAAAAGAATGGAAAGTTGCTAATGAAAAGACATATTGAAGGAATAAACATATAAAACTAACTACGTATGATACTAATAACTTTCTTTAAGGCATCACCATGACCATAACAGAGGGAGGAGAAGGTACAGATGATCTATGACGCTGTGATGATTTTTTCATCAACTTCCATATTCGTTCAAACCAAGCTTTTGTAAATGGTTTAGGTGAAGAGAGATGTTTTTTCTTGGGTAATGTTTGAGTAGGTACTTGTGATGATGGAAGATCAGATTGATGGACCACTTTGCGACGTTTTGATATGGTTGGTGGAGCACTTGATTGTCGTCTTGGAAGAGGTGGTGATGATGATGATGATGAAAGAGTAGAATGGATAGTACTATTATTATTGCTCTGACGACGATTAGCGGTAAAAGACATGGATGAAGTGGAAGCCACTGATTTCGCTCGTTCCAATTGACGATGTTGTTCCACAGTAGGCAAAAAAAGAGAGTCATTGTGATACGGGAAAGGTAGTAAACGTGGGGATGCCATGACAGTATTATCTCTACTTGTAGATGATTTGATGCTACCACTTTGACGACGTGAGTGTTCGGATGATAGAGTAGATCGTTGTTTTCGTCTTTTTGGTGTTGTTGAACTAGATTGTAATAATATATCTTGACAATAACGTTCTAATACATCATCAGTAGATGATATACCAGAATCGAGCGTCTTTTTCTTTAAATTATCCATGGTTAAAGGTAATCTTTCTGATGTAATAGAATCAGGATGAACACTTGTCATATTGAATAGATGTTGATTAATTAATAAAATGAAAAAGAAGAATGGAATGAAGGAAAAAAAAAAAAAAAAAAAAAAAGAGGATCATTTAAAAAAAAAAGAAAGCACCCGGTGTTTCAAATTCATCATGCCAAAATGATGGGCAAGACTCTTTTTTAGATATATCAAGGCACCACTGCTAAAGTTGGGGGTACATATGAAAACTTTATAAATATAACGTGTGGTACCACCAATCATCGGTACGTGCAACACATACATATCATACTTTCAACACGTTGAACGTTCAAAGTTTTTTTTTTCTTCGAAATTCAACAAGCATACTTGTCACTTTTGACGCCGATCTTTTTGTTCCCCTTTTTTTTTTTTTTGATTACATCTCTCTCTTTTTTTTTTTCTTTGCTAGTTCAGTTCATGCAATGACCATGTGTCATTTTTTTTATCATCAAAAAAAAAAATAGTATGATGAATAAAAATAATAATAATAATAATAATTTTTTTGAATTATGGCCATGTGTCTAGCTAACAAAAAACAGTAACAGATGATGTAAGATAGATGAGAAACAAGGGGGGTTAAAACCATTTTCGGAATATCCTTTTTATCTCAAGAGTAAAATAAGCCAATATTATAATCATGGTAATTTGCGATCAATAGACAAACACACCAATAATAGTTTCTTTTTCAGATCCAGGTTAAATTGAACATCTACAGAATTGTTTTGTGTTACAAAAAGATGGTGGTCCTCATTGTCTCGAAACATCCAAAAAGATACAAGGGGAACATTCTCCGTATTTTGAGTAACCATACCATCATCGGCTCATCACTGATCATCACTGCATAGATAAAGATCATAATAAAAATAAAAAAAGATAACATTGAGTCATAACAAATAAATAAACATATAAGATAAAAAATAATTTTTATTTGGTATCCATTAAACTATCATCATCGATCTTCATTTCTATATCCTTTGATTTGTTTTCATCCGTTATCATATCTTGAATTGCTTTAGGAGTACGCATATGTAATCGTATAGTTTTAATTCTAGTCATACTGTTTGTATCACCATCCCATTCACGTAGTAACTTGACCACTTTGCCATTTGTCAAGTCAGGTAATTCTGTCAATAATAATAATAATAATAAAAGGTGAGTATATATATATATGAAAATGATACATCATCCTGTCGATCTTTCTTTCTTTTTTTTTTTTTTTTTTTTTTTTTTACCCATGCCAGATTTGTATTCATCCTTTTCACTAGTGATTGTTGCTTCAAGAAGATGTTCTCGAGAAGATTTGGGTCTTTTAGTGAGTTGTCTATCCTTTTGTAGTTTTTCCAATTCATCATCATTTCGTTCCAAGTACCTTAAAGAAAATGATTAGTATCAAAGAAAGACAAAACTATTATCCAATCATTGAACTTACATAGATATCATATCATGCATATCATCTTTGGTTGTACAAGTAAGAGTATCATCCATAGCAAATCGAAACCACATCCATCGTTGAGCTAATTGAATATATATATATATAGAATAAGATCATTAATCTTATTGACATTATTTTTTTCTTTTTTTTTTTTTTACCTAACAGATCTTTAGTAGTCATTGTAGATCGAGTAGTCAATTTCTCTTTGCGCATCATAATCCGTGATAGTTGTTGTGCTTTTCGTGAATAAGGGTGGAGTTCTTCCCTTTTTTTGACTGTTTTGAGAGTATGTCGTTTATTATTTGGCTATATCCATAAAAATATATATACAAAAAGGATCAGTTAATGTATATAAATATTATATTTAAACAAGTTTTCTTTTTTTTTATATATAATGAAAGAGTTGATATGATCCATTACCATCTTTATAGATCTGAGAGAGATTGCTATCGAACAGTTAAAAAAAAAAAAAAAAAAAAAGCCTCCCACTAAAAAAAAAAAAAAAAGTGTCCTGTGCTGACATTGAAATGCATGGAAAGAAGGGCGAGCGTTCTCCATTTTTGGCATCTTACTCAAACACAACAGGGAAAAAAAAAGCTTAATTCTTTAATATGTAAAAAAAGAAGGGTCAAATGTAATTCAATGAGAGAAAACTTTCTTAAATCAAAAGAGGAAAAAATATCAAAACAAAATGAGTAAAAAAAAATCTTTAACTATGTAAGAGGTGACTACGTTTTGGCAGTAAACTGAAATGCTGGGTGGGTAGTATACAAAAAAATTCTTTGGTGATACGGAGCGAAAAAAAAAAAACCAATCAAGATTCTTTTTTTTTCTTTTTTTCTTTTCCCTTTCTCACTTTATACTTTATTTTTTTTTTTTGTATCTAATATACCTTTTAGTTCAATGGCATGGACTTTACGGGAAATAATAGCATGTACCTTGGTACTTTCGGTTCTCATGTTTCAAGCTGCCATTGTATGTTTTGCTACCTTGGTAACTTTTGTATGTATTTGGCCTTTCTCAAAACAACTTTATAAAAGACAACTGACTCATATTCTCAGTTACTGGTCACAAAACTTGATTGGTCTTATTCAATGGTTAGCACCTAGTCAGATGGTTTTTTATTTCGATGAATCCTGTCCTCCTTCTACTCATATTGTCAAGCAAGCTTATCAAAAACAACAACAACAACAAAAAAAATGTTATTCAACTACCACCGGCGAATTGAATTTTCCGGATAGAACCATCATTATCTCAAATCATCAGGTATATCTATCTATATAATATTTCCATAATTTTCATCATGACTAACTTTTTTTATTAAAAAATATATCAATATATTACACTTCTTCTTTTTTATTATAGATTTATGCCGATTGGATCTATATTTGGTTTATAGCATATCTTTCTAAAGCTCATGGATCATTGAAAATTATGTTAAAGAATGAACTCAAATACTTACCTTTCTTTGGTCTTGGCATGCAATTGTTTGGATTTATATTTATGAAACGAAGATTAATAGATGACAAGGATACTATTATTCAAAATTTAGAAAAATCCAAATTGACTCATCAACCTATGTGGCTCATCTTATTCCCTGAAGGCACTGGTAAAATTCCTAACAAAAAAAAAAAAAAAAAAGAATTCTTCATGATATTTTGCTAATGTTTTTTTTTATATAGTTATATCTAAAGAAATGCGTGAACGATCTAAAGCTTATGCCTTGAAAAATAACATGGTAAGAGAGAGAGAGATACAAAAGGAAAAAAAAATGACATGATCATTTTTTCGGAAGAAACGAACTTGACTCGATTGTATGTTATTACTATAGGATGACAATTTGTTTACATTATTACCAAGATCTACTGGATTGAAACTTTGCACAACAACATTAGGTGATAGTGTAGAATGGATATATGATTTGACTATTGGTTATCCTGGTATTCAACCTGGAGAAATTCCTGAAGATACATTACGATTAAAACAAATCTTTACTGGACGTGGACCTCAACAAATTCATATACATATGCGTAGATATCGTATTAGTGAACTTCCGTTAGATGATGATGTTGCCTTCTCGAAATGGATAATGGATCGATGGGTGGAAAAGGATCGACGAATGGAACAATTTTATGAAGAAGGTAGATTTAGTTCATTTGATCATCATCAAGATGACGATAGTTGGGTACATGATGGATCTCCTTTATTAGGTAGAAGTGGTGCTCATACTTATCGTGTACCTATTCGACTTGATCATCCTTTCAAAGAATCTTTTGGTCTTTGGCTTTATATGATTCCTTATATTCCTGTATTGTATATCATTTATCGTTTAGCAACTTATTTGTTAGCTCGATATTATTATTAGTTACTGTATTTTTATTTCTATATTATTGTATAAAACTTTTGAAGATAAAAAAAAAATAAAAAAAATCGTCTTATATTAATTATTAAGAACAATGATGTTTACAGACGCAAGTGATTTACAAAATGCAGCAGGATGATCCATTATGATTTGGTCAGTAAACCCCCTTTTTTCTTTCAATATTTATTACGTTTTTTGATGTTGATTCTTTACTTTTTTACTAACTTTTCTACTTAACAAGTTCAAGGTCTTCTTAATAAGTACAAAAGTATGTGTGCTACAATACCATAGGTTACACAATTGGTTGGTCTCTCTCTCTCTTGTATTATTTTAAAAATCCGTCATGTATTAGTGGACAAACTGTATACAGGAAGTCATTTCCTCCTATTTTTTTTTTTTATTTTTCTTTTTCATTTTTCTTTTTCCCTCCTCATACCTTTTTCATATATTATTTTATTCCCCCTTCCTCTCCTTTACATTCTTTCTTTTTTTTTTTCTTTCCTGTATTTCAAAATAAAATGTTATTGGAAGATACTCAACCATCTGAAAATAGTATCGATAACAATCAAGATGATTCTACCATTATATCAAGTCTTGTTGATCTAGATGTAAGAAAAAAAACTTCTTTTTTCCTTTATTGTTATTTTAACTCTATTTTTATTATTATTATTATTATTAGAATGGTTTTCAATTCCTTTTGGATAAAGTCAAGTTAGATATGCAAGCTGCTAAGGTATAATATTTTTTATTCTTATTTTTAAATAAATATAATACTAATAATTATTATTATAGGATGTTGCAACCTTTTTGAAGAAGAGAGCTCTATTAGAAGAAGAATATGGTAAACAAATGACAAAATTGGCTCAATCTATGAGTGAATCGTTCAAAACTCATCCCAGATCAAGGTAAATAAATGATCATTTCCATATTAAATTATTTACACATTGGTTTATAGCACATTCGGAAGTGCCTGGACTTCAACTTTGAAGGTACATGAAAATATTGGAGAACAGCGAATTAAATTTGCATCTGATATCACAGAAGTCGCAGATGATTTACAATTATTGGTCAAAGATACTGAAAAAGCAAGAAAACAAGCAAAGGATATTGGTACAAAACAAGAAAAGATATTAACTGATGCTGAATTATCTTTAGAAAAGGTAACAAATAAAATAAAATAAATAAAATAAAAATAAAAAACCTTTAATGATCATTTACTTCTTTTTTTTTTTTAATAGAGCAAACAAAAGTATGATATGCTTAGTGAAGAATGGGAACGAGCCATTTTACTTAAAACAAATGATCCTTACCATATACCCAAAAAAGGTCTCTTCAAGACGAATAAGACACAATATCAGGTAAAAAAAAAAAAAAAATAACAAATATTTACATTACCTTTTCTTCTTTTTTTTTTTTTCCTAGTTGAATCGATCTGAAGAAGAGGCTCATAACAAAGCTAGTGCAGCAGATCAACATTATCGACAACAGTTACAAATCGTCAATACTACTCGTCAAGATTATTTTTCTACTCATTTACCAGAAATGTTGGTGGTAAGTAAATAAGTAAAATATATTCAAAGTGATAGATTAACTAACATTTATTTCAAAGGGATTGAAAGCAGTAGGGGATGAATGTTGTATGGCTTTACAATATCAATTGGCTCGTTATGCTTATATTTATGAACGTGCACTGGTAGCAGATGGTTATGCGTTGGATAATGATAGTGGTAAAGTCATAATAAAACCATTCCTCAATTCTTTCTCACTCTCTTTTCTTTTCCTTTTTTTTTTTATTAGGTCTTGGTTTACGCTCATTGGCAGAGAAAGTGGACAGAGATCTAGATTTGATGGAATTTATAAAGTCATGTAATGGTCAACGTGGCACAAGTAGTATCAGGATCATTCAACGTGGTGATGTTCCTTACAAAGAATATATTATGGTAAAAGAAAGGAAATCAGTAAAATGAAATGGACTAATTCTTTTTTTTTTATCTTATTTTTTTTTTTTTAATTTGTATTTTAGTCAACGGCAGCGCATCAAATCTTGAATCCTAATCCCGTATTTGGTATTGAGCTTAATGTATTGATGAAACGAGATAATCAAGAAGTACCTTTAGTTGTTCAAAAATGTGCTGAAGCAGTGGAAAAATATGGAATTAAATCTATGGGTATTTATCGTGAATCTGGAACTGGAACTCAAATTCAAAAGCTCAAAGCAGAATTCAATAGAAGTAAAGGAAAAAAAGAACATCAAAAGGATCAAATATATCCAACTCTAATAATACCTTCTTTTATATATATATATATATATAGACTGTCAACAAGTGAATTTAGATGACGAAGAATACCGATCCGATGTCAACAATATTACTGGTGTATTGAAACTTTGGTTCCGTGAATTACCTAGTCCTTTATTCCCTCAAGCTGCTTATGATCATTTTATCACTGCTGCAAGTAAGTATTATTACTATTAGTTTAATTTGGGATGATATCAAATCGGAATAATAACCAACAGAGAGCTGATCCATTTTCCCTTTTTTTTTCGGTTTATCAACAGGAATCGATGACGAAAGGATGCGCATTCTAGGCTTACATACTGTGATCAACGATCTTCCAGATGCACATTATGCTACATTGAAATATCTTATGGGTCATTTGAACAGGTAAGACAGATTTTTCTTTTTTTTTAAAGAATGAATGAACAAGTCAAGGTTGTATATACTCATTTTCTCTCTTTCTATTCCTTTTTCTTTTTGTTTTTTAGAGTACGTCAATATGAACAATACAACAAAATGGGATCAAGCAATTTGGCAACTATCTTTGGAATGACATTAATGGGTGATCTAAGCGCTGGTAGTCTCAATTCATCCAATCAACATCGTTTGGCAGATACTCACTTACATGTCCGAGTGGTACAAACTATTTTGGATCATTATCGATTGATTTTTGAACAAGACGAATGATTCTCTTCTACTTTTATATTTTAGATAGTCTTATTTATTCTTCTTTACTATTATCTACTTCTTTATATCTCTATATATATATTCTCATAAGCGTTCTGTTTTTATTCCCACCTAATAAGTGTTCCTGGACCTTTTTTTTTTCTTGATTAAAACTTTTGATTCTGTTTACCATCAAAGATGAAACTTTTTAGTAGTGTGGAAGACTGATTTGTTGGATATGGCAATATGATGACTGATCAATGATATGACGTTTTACTATTTGAAAATAGAATAATGGACAATCACAACAACAATACACACTTGACTTTTTTTGTTTATGTTTTTTTTTTTTTTTTGTATATTTTTTAGTGATTTTGTTGTATCTGGTGGAAATAGTCTGGGAATAAAATCCGAAGCGTCAAACTATAAAAATTCAATGTCACCCTTTATTCATTTTTTTTCTTCTTCTTCTTTTCATATCTCAACATGGCTTTGACAGAAAAGTACTTTTTAGGTCTAGATTTATCAACACAACAATTGAAATGTACTGTGATCAATGATAACCATATCATTGTGTATGAAGATGCAGTCAACTTTGGACGTGACCTTCCTGAATATCATACCAATAATGGCGCCATTTCACATGGGAATGATGTTGTCACTTCACCTCCTCTTATGTGGGTTCAAGCTATGGATATGTTATTATCTCGATTGGCGAAAACACCTTATGTATCCAACATTATGGGTATTTCCGGTGCTGGTCAGGTAAAATAATAATTATAATAATAAAGATAACGAACTAAGATTTGATTCTTTTTTTTTTTTAGCAACATGGTAGCGTGTATTGGGCTGAAAAAGGAACACACGTTTTGAAACAATTGGACTTTAATAAAACATTGGTAGAACAATTGACTGATGGTGGATTTGCTATTGAACAATCACCTATTTGGCAAGATTCAAGTACATCTGTACAGTGTCGACAATTGGAAGCATTCGTAGGTGGACCTGATATACTGGCTCAAATGACTGGATCGAAAGCATATGAAAGGTTTACTGGAAATCAAATAGCAAAGGTAATGGTATAATAGTAACAGTAATAAATGGATTCATTCTCTTTTTTTTTTTTTTTTTTTTTTTTTTTTTGTAGATCCATCAATATCATCAAGATCAATATAAGAATACGGTATGGATTACATTGGTTAGTTCATTCATGACTACTTTACTTTTGGGTAAATTGGGACCTATGGATGCAGCTGAAGCATCTGGAACAAATATGATGGATATACGGAAACATCGTTGGTTAGATCAATTACTTGAATTTTGTGGTGGAAAAGAATTGCGGGATAAACTTGGATTACAACCTATTGACATTGTCCATCCTTTGGGGCCAATCAATACGTACTATGTGCAACGTTATGGATTCAACTCAGGTACGAGCTAGAGAAAAGAAAAAAAGCCGATTGGTGAAAGAAAAAACTGAGAATAGGACATTAACCAAACGGGGATTTTTTTTTTTTTTTTTTTTTTGGTAGATTGTCAAATCATGCCTTTCACTGGGGATAATTCGGCTACATTGGTTTCAATGAATCTTAGACATGGAGATTGCGTTGTATCTCTTGGAACATCAGACACGGTACTTGTATCTCTCAAAAAGGCAGAAACGACAACAGAATCTCATCTGATGGCTCATCCTACTGACTCTTCTGCATTTATGGGCATGTTATGTTACAAGAATGGATCATTAACTCGACAACATTTCCGAGATATTTACGCGGAGCATGATTGGGATACATTCAACGATTTGCTAACTTCAACACCGTCTACGTCACAATACATGGGCTTTTATTATTGGATGCAAGAAATCATTCCTTTTGCAAAAGGTATTTATCGATTCAACAATGGAGAATTACTAGATGATGACTTTACAATGGACAATAACAGTAAAAAATCAGGTATCAACATACGATGTTTAATTGAATCACAGTTTTTATCCATGAGAGTTCGATTGGAACGTATGATGGGTGGAACAACAAATCAAGGACAACTACAACGTATATTGGCAACAGGTGGTGCATCAGCGAATCATACTATTTTACAAGTCCTTTCTGATGTATTTGGTATTCCAGTTTACAAGAAAAAAGAAGGATCTAACGGTGCATCTTTTGGTGGAGCATTACTTGCCAAGTATGGACTATTATCGGACACTATTTCATTTGATGATATGGTCCACCAAGACGATGATGATGGTTCTCTACAATTAATTTGTGAACCTAATTTGTTGATGACTTCTGATTATAGTCGTCGATTGGATGAATATACTAGATTAGAAAATATAGTTTTAGAAAAGTATGGATTATGATTTGAAATAAAAAAACTTTTTTTTTTTGCATGATGATGATTTTGATGACCATTTCCTGATTTAGACTTGATTTTTTTTTACTCAAGGAACTTCTCGATCATATACTGACAATAGAAAACGTCATTACCGAATTGAGTCATTGTTACAGAAATTGGTTTGTATCACTCATTCGATACAGTGTTGGTACTCCGCAGGATGTCATTGTGGGAAAATAGTTAGAAAAAAAATAAGAGCAAGAGAAAAAAAAAGAATAATCTTTGATTACGCTTTCTTTTTCCTTTTGTTATCTTTTGTCTTTTCTTTTTACCTAATCGAAAAAAAACAGTCTTTCTACTGGCGGAATATGAATCGACTTTTGTGCAGAAGGACCCCACTCTGTGGGAAGTTCAGTGACTGGACAATACAAAAGATCACCCCTTCACTTGGATATCCGAAGCTCGGTTCTCCTTTCTTTTCTTCTTCTTTTGGTCGAACTTATTCTACCATGTCTCCTAGTGTATTGACTGGTAATGTATTTCTTCATTCCATTCTCTTTTTTTTTTAAATTTTTTTTTTTTTGTAGTTGGTACTGGTGCTATTGGTGCCATTTATAGTTGGCGGCTATCGAAATCTGCCCAAGTGACAACTGTCTGTCGTTCCAATTATTCGGTTGTCAATGATAATGGTTTCTCTATTAACTCTGTCAAGTTTGGTCAAGAGAACTTCAAACCTCATCATGGTATAACAAAAAAAAAATAAAAAAGAGAATAAACTGAATTTCTTTTTGAATATAGTGGTCAAGACAGTATCCGAAGCAGTAGAAGCCAATAATGGAGCTCCTTTTGATTATGTCTTGGTGACTATGAAAGCATTACCCGAAGTATATAATGTGGCAGACATTATTGCTCCAGCAGTAACTCCTGGTCAAACTACCATTGTTCTCATTCAAAATGGTCTAGGTAGAGAGAAAAAAAAAAGAGGGATATATACACGATAGTTGATCATGCATTTTTATTTGTATAGGCGTGGAAGAACCTATTGTTGAAAACTTCCCAGATAATCCTTTGGTTTCTATTGTTGCTTATATTGGTACCTCTCAAACAAGTCCAGGTCATATCAGTATGGTGGGCAAAGAATCCTTGGCAGTTGGTACTTATTTACCTTCCAAGGTGGATAGCTCTATACAAAAACAATCCTTTATTGATCTTTTACTTCAAGGTGGTGTGGATGCCATGGCTTTGGATGATATAGAACGTATACGTTGGCAAAAATTGTTTTGGTAAATTTAGAAAAGAAAAGAAAAAAAACAAGGACTTACTTTGATTATTCTTCTTAGGAATGCCTCTTTTTCACCAGTGTGTGCCTTGACAGGAATGAATACGTCCGAATTATTGGCAAACAAGGAAGCTTTAACCAGTGTCAAAAGTGTCATGAAGGAAGTCATTTTAGCAGCCAACGCTATGGGATATGATTTTGATGTGGATGAACAAGTGAAAGACATGATTGAACGTACTGAAGCCACAGCTATGAATTACAAGCCTTCTATGTAAGTACATCCTCTTTTTATTATAATATTATTTCTCATTTCTTTTGGTTTTTTTTTTTTTTTATAAGGCAACTTGATCTTGAAAGAAAACAACCCATGGAAGTTGAAGTGATTCTAGGTACTCCTTTACGACGGGCCAAAGCAAAAGGGTTACATGTACCTCATTTGGAACTCATGCATGATCTCTTGAGTGCCACTAACGCCAAAACTATGATAGATCGCAAATCACAATTATAGATGTCTTTTTAATAAAGTGTTTTTATTTATTTATCTTTGTGGTTGTTTTTCATTGTTGTTGTACAAAGATTATATCACTGTATTGAAATGTTTTGAACGGATGATGATAAAGAAATATACAAATGGATGGAACGATAGTATTACAATCGTATTTAGTTAGATCTTTTTTAGTCATTTTTGGCCAAAAATTAGATAGCAGAGCATCTGCTTGGAAATATTTTGAATAAAAGGATAAAAGTATGGATGAAATGGGTAACAATACAACAAACATTGATGGATAGACTTTATTGAGAAGCTATGTAATATATATATATATATATATATATAACGGGAGAAATGCAAAAAAAAAAAAAAGTTAAATGTACAGAATAGACTGAAATAAAAATATAAGGATGATAACAATAACACTAGTAAATATAATAATAATGTATAAAAGAGGTTGGTAAAAATAAAAATAATGATAATGATAATATAAAATAAAAAAGCAAGGGTACAAACTAATTTAAGGTCAGGGTAAATAACGTAAGGATACTTTGAAGAATATAAACACATATATAACAGATATAAAACACAGAAGAAGAAGAAGAAAAAAAAAAGAAGAAGACAATGATTCAAACAGGGATGGCAGATGAAGTAGACATAGTAGATAAAGCTGGATCGTTCCTGTGTGGTGCAGAGGGTGATTGATGTCGTTTCTTGAAAGATGAAGTCATCCTAAGTTCAAAGATCGAAGATTGTTGTCCATCTGACATGACTCCAAAGATCAATGGTTTTTCCGTTTTGTGACCATTGTTCAAGCATCGAATATGAGATCCACGAATGATTTGTTCCAATTCACCCTGTTTAAAAAAAAAAAAAATATGAAAAGAAAAAGAATCATTAATATATATATTATATATATATCTTCCCTGTTCTATTTTTTCAACTTACTGTGATGATATGTCGCACTTCAATAAAGGAGGGTTCAAAAGCAATCACATAAGGGTATTGACATGCAAATGCCTCTGGGTTACCTTCCCATTCCACTAAAAAGTTCGGATACAATCTGTTCCCTTTCCCATCAATGTAGAATCCATATTCTAAAAAAAAAAAAAAAAAAAAAAAAAAAAAAAAAAAAATCATTGATATACATTTCATCTGTCATGGAGTTTTTTTTTTTTTTTTTTTTTTTTTCTTACCATCATAACAAACAAAATGATCACCACGAGGTGTCCGGAAAATGGCAATGTGCTTCAAAGGTTGTCGAATTTGAGATGATTCTTCTCTTTCACGGTCTGTCACAAAGGTTAATCGCTTGTCATCAGGGTCAAGGAGTTCTATAAAATCAAGAATAATCATGATTACTATCTTTTCCGTCCAATGTCAGCATATTTTCTTTTTTTATATATTTACGTTGAGGTTTATCAGTCTTCATATCTACCATAATCATACCGCGAGGAGACGTAATCAACATTTTGCTTGGAGATAATTCAATAGCCCATATATCACACGGAACGTAAAAGTCCTTGAGCCGTTTCAATCGTAAATCTGATTGTTGTTGTTGAGACCCGATACGAAGTAAGGCCATTCGATCCAATAACCCCATTGATTTTCTTGAATCCATCGATAAACGCCCTCCTCCACTATTGTTGTTGCTACCATTGTTGCTAATCGAAGTAGGGCTAGTCTTTTCACTTGAAGTATTGGTATTACCTAAGATACTCCCTATTCCATTTCCAGACACGGTATTACCACGAAGAGAAGGCAATGATGACAGAGTTGTACTATCATTACTAACAAGTCCATTGTTGTTGATGGGTTCCAAAGTAGTGATGGTCGATTTGAGACTAGAGACACGGGGCACACAAACAAGAGTTCGTTCCAAAGACTGTCCAACATAAAAAAATGGCACATGGGATTGTACACGTTTTCCTAATGGCTGTAATTCTGGTTTACCGTTGACCACATCCAATCCATACTCATACAATGTTCGATCCGACAATACAAGTAATATTTGCGCTTGCTCTACTACTTGTATTTGTGTTACTTTAGGCAAGCCAAGGACCTTGTGAGGTTTCTTTTTCCCAGAGGTATGTCCCACATAAACACCATCATCAGTAGCAAGAAGATATTGTTGACCGTTATCTATATTGGAAACCCAAAATAAATTACTCATCCATCCATCCAAATTATTAAAAAAAAAAAAAAAAAAAAAAAAAAAAAAAAAAAAACTTACTAAAAGTAATGATATGATTGATTCGAATCGATAAATCAAAATGCCCAGGTTCAACAGCAGACACTAATTCAAACACTGGCTTGTTCCTTTGTTGACGATCTTCTTGTTGCTTGGTGATCTTGTCAACCCAAGGTTTCCTAGTGGCATCCGAGGTAGCATACAATATCAGAACATCCGTATCACTACGTCTTCCCAAATAGTCAAATACAATAGGATAGCCAACTTTGCGTTCACGATCGTGTATAATGGTCGTAGTAGGTGTCATGGTGATCGATGCTGGTTTCACGTTACTCTGTTGTGCATAATAAGCTGGATCATTGAAGGGACGTAGAATCAGAGGTCCACCTATATTATTGTTAATATGTGGTAAAAACGAATTGGGCCTTGTCGAGCCACTATTGCTACTTGTCGTTGTCATTGAAGTTGATATGCCACTAATGGAGTAGTTGCTGTCTCGTTTTGCTGATCTACTAGAATCCAATGATGTTCGAATCATAGAGTCTCCGTTGTAGTTATTGTTGTTTTTCGCCATAGCTTGATGATAATTGTTGAGATAATTCACAGAGGTATATTCCTTGATTTCCTTAGGTACAAACACCGTCAATAGATCCAGAGCCATGGGTCGCCTTTGTACTACGTATTTCAATGTACCACCACGTCCTACTTTCACTTTTGCCACCACAAGGTAATGATCTAATAGGATCACTTGATATTCCGTGGAATCGTTGTTAGGAGTTTTTCGTAAAGTACCTTGCTTGATGATCACACGATTGTCCTTTAGTAATCCTAGATCCTGAAATAATATATATATTAAAACATGGTTCATCATCAAAAGTTCTTATATATATTATGTAAATTTACCATAGCATCAGCTTTGTTTTTGAATGTCAGATATTCATGCATTCTGTCCAAATCGAATCGATTCTTGGTAGCACCAGCTTGTGCATTAACGCGAGTCAGAAATTGTTTGATGATAGCGATAGCTTTTGGAATATTGTCAAAGTCTGGATGATTGTTAGGAGTTCGTTTCAGAATTTCGTGAAGCAGCAACAGGTATTTACCCATTCGAGTGGTTGGTTTTGTCAAATAGCCATTGAGTTCCAATTTATGTGAAGCAGGATGTCGTTCGGTATCATTGATAAACCAATCGAAATGAGGATTGTTGTAACGTTCTTGTTCCAATGCATATTTCGCTTCATGTTGTCGTGCACCATATTTGATATAAGGTTCAAAATCTACTACAAAGTCCAGCATGATATCACCAATGGCATGAACTACCAATCGTTCTTTTTGTCGTGTAAGTAAGGCGGTCAATAAACGTACGTTGATAGCGTAAATGGACATGAGATTTGAAAATACAGAATCCAAGAAGATTGCTCGTCTTGATTCAGGGATGATCTCAGTTTCTGTCAAAGGTCGTATCCACATCTAACAGTACATATGTAAGACAATAAATATTAGTAAATACAAAAACTACTTTATTCTTCATTTCTTTACCTCTTCCAAATATTCCAAATCTTTCACATAATTGGATTCAGTATATATTAGTTCATAGATCCCTTCTTGTCGTTTCCTTTCAGTAGAGGAGATGATATCGTATTCCTTTTCCGAAACCAAATCAGCCCAAAGTGGATGATCTTGAGGACGTAATAGTTGATTGAAATGACCAGTCATCGTATGACGCTAAATCAAAGAAAGAAATAAAAAGAAAATAATGGATGTATGAGAAAACAATGATCATCTATAAAAAAAAAAGATTCTTTACCTTCATTGATTGGCGTTTGGGACAAGAGTAACTATAACAAGGCGAATTTCCATAACATGTGGGGGAATAACAATAGGTCAAATCAGTGATGATACCATTGGGAAAAGCAACTGTATGTTGGTTCAATCTTGTAAAGTCATTGTCACCAGGATGATGAACATAAAGATCACTGACACTGCTGTTACTTTCTGTTGTTGCACCAGGAGAAAGCGTAGTAGTAGGACTGTCACATACCATGTGATCCTCATTGTTATTGGTTTTATTATTGTTTTTGCTGCTAGTACCACTGCTGAGTTTGTTGATAAAATTCGTTTCTTCCAGTTGATATAATTCCTCAGCCGAATCAACAAGCCGATTTTCATAACTAACATCATGGAAAAACCTTTGTACTCCCAAAGCACGACCAACCACAAGAGCCAAAAATCGATCATTGGTAGCTATAATCCGACTAAGTTGATCCTAAGACATTATATAAAAAAAAAAAAGTTAAAAAAGTTATTGAATTATTTCTATCTTGACTGGAACAGTTTTTCATCAAAATCAGCCAATAAATTTAAGAGCAGTCAAATTCCCCTTTTTCTTTTTCTGATTCATATTAGATTTACCACAGCTTCTTGACCAGTGAAACAGTTTTTATATTCGATTCCATTCTTGAAACGATCGGCCAAAATCATATTATGTTGAAACTCGTAGGCTATTCGAGATAATAATGCTGGATAAATAGATGGTGCTAACGTTGTTGTCGTCGATGTGATTGTTGGTGTAGCTACTGGTGTAGTTGTTGGCGTTGTGGAAGAAGTGGGAGATTGAGAACCATAGGCAAAACTTCTAGACCGTTTGATTTCATCTGTTCGATTATATCCTTTATTGGGTAAATGACTCGATGATGATGGTGTAGGCGCTAAATAAATAATAATAAAAAAGAAATGATGATACATTTAATAAATATTTTTATGTGGCTGCGGATACATACATAAAGTGGTAGTGTTTGAATAGCGAGATATGGCTGTTGTTGTAGTGTTTGGTTTATGTCGTTGGTATTGTTGAGAACTTCTTTTCGTTGATAATCGTAAAGGACTATACCATTTCTCAGATGCTTTTCGTGATAATCGTTCCAGTCGTGAAGGTGTAGGTGTTATTGGGCTTTGTTCACCATTAAATAAATGAGGTGGTGGAGTAGGTGGTGGAGGAATAATATCGACAAGCGAAGAAGGTTGCATTATATATAATACATATATATTTTTTTCTGTTCAAAGAAAAAAGAGAACAAGGAATGTAAAAAGATAAAAAAAAAAAAGACCTTTTGATAAGAAAAATAGAAAAGAAAAAAAGAAAAAAAGAAAAAGAAAAACTACCAAGACAATCAATTAAATTGCGGCAATTGAAAATCAAGGGGAGGGAAAGTGTGTGTGTGTAAGTGTGTGAGTGGGGTACAGAGTTTATTCAATGTGGACCAAGGAGAGATACAATAGTATATATTGTAACAATAACATCAAGATAAAAATGTAATTTATTTATTTCATTTCAAAAAAAAAAAAAAAACAAATAATCCGAAGAAGTTTGGGTGAAAAATAAAAAACTAACTAAACTAGAGAGAACTAATTTATTGTTGGCCAGCCTTTTCTTCGTTACGTTGCTTTCTACGTTCACGCATAGCCTTGTTCTTAGCACGAAGAGCGGCAGCTTGTTCGGAGAGGTTCTTGGTACGGATTTGTTCAGCCTTGGCCTTGTGAATGAATTCCATCAATACACGTTTGTTCTTGAAACAGTTACCCTTGCTGCGAAGGTAGAGGTTGTGGTACAAGTGCTTGTCAATCTTACCAGCTTCTCTGTACTTGCGAAGGAGACGACGGAGAACACGCATACGACGCATCCAGAGGACTTGACGAGACATACGAGCATTAGCAGTACCCTTGCGCTTACCATGACCCATGTGACGACCGAGGCGCTTGGCAGCATGACGTTCACGGACACGGAATCGAGAGACACCAATTTCAGGCTTGCGAATAACCAAACCATCCTTCACCAACTTACGAATGTTAGCACCTAATTGATATTTTCAATCATTAATCAAATGTCTCCCTATTATTATTATTGAATACTTACGGGAGTTGGCGTTGGAGATTTCGTTAACTTCATTGGGATCGAGCCAGATCTTGCGTTGACCACACTTAAGAACGGAAGCGGCCAAACGTTTTTGGATGCGCAAATTGACCCTATAAAAAAAAAAAAAAGAAAGAGAATGAGTTTTTATACATACTTTGATCCATATGGATCACAACTTTCTGATAATTCCCCTTCCAAAAAAAAAGTAATAATAATAGAAAAATAAAGAACAAAAAAAAAGGTCCTTTCGTTTTTTGACTGTAAAATATATATCGATAAAGGAAGGGTATGTTGTATAAATCATGTACACTTACATGGTGATATTGTCAGATGAAAAAAAGAGAAGGAACAGTAGCTGTGGACAATTCTCAATGAACCAAATAGCCCAAAAAAATTTTCTGAGTTGTGACGCTGACCAAGCCACTACACTCCAGTACTCGGAATATGAAATCAATCAAATGAACACATAGCATAAGAGACTTTTTTTTTTTATTATTATTGTAAAGATAGATGGGTATAAGGTGTCAACAGAGAATGGGATAAAATGTGATATGTGTAATCTAAAAAGAGAGGTTTCATCTAAAACTATCATTAATCATTGCTGCAATATTATTAATTGATAACATCATCATCTTCACCAAAATATTCCACTGAATTGTGTTCTGTTTCATAAATCTTGACCTTGTATAACTTGGCTGTATTTGATTTCCCTGCATGGTCTTTCTGAAAGTGATGATTAATATTGTTCCATATAAAAACTGCAAGATTTTCCACCGTACTACAATCCAAATAATATGTTAATATTATTACACATAATATTCTTACCAACCTCTCTTTTCTTTTCTTTTCTTTTCTTTTTCTTACCTAGGAACCGATTTAAAGAATTCCACATCTATATCCTAAAGAAGAAAAAAAAAAGATAGCAATATAATGTTGTAGTTTGAGTATCATGAGCCTTATTTCATTTCTCTCCCTCTCCTTTTTTTTCCATATTGTAAACTCTATTGCGTTTGCCTTACCAAATTCCGGTGATCAAGAGGGTCCATAACTGCTAATTCGATACACGCTTTCAGGTCCACCATATTCATCACCATCCCTGTAATTGGATCTATCTTTCCTTTAACTGTAATTTCCACTTGAAGAAAAACAAAAAAAAAAAAAAAAAAAAAGGAAAAAGTTAGTTAATGGTTACATAATAGAACAAAAAAGTACCTACCTTTGTAGTTGTGACCATGAAAGTGAGGATTGTTACACTTGCCATATATTGCTGCGTTTTCTTCTTCAGTTAAATGTGTAGAATGTAACCTATGAGCCGCTGAAAAAGAAGCTGTTCGAGTAATATAACTGGTCACCATATTTCTATAATGAGAAAAAACAGCAAAAAAAAAAAAAAAAATGAATAGATAATAAAAGAAAAGAACTATTTTCTTTTTTTTTTTTTTTTCGCTACTTACCCCAAAGTTCCGTGGGAAAAAAAAAGTAACCAAAGATGAAAGATTAAAAAAAAAAGAATAGAAAAGAAAAGAAAAAGCCGGAGTTTGGAAAGGTTGTATGTTGGAATTTCTTTTTATTGTTGTATTGTTACAGATAACCATGAATGAATTTCATCTATCAACTGATTTTCATTATCCATCCAAAAGTGATCACTATCCTTGATGACTCTATTATCCACTTTATCGGAAGTAATTGTTGATAACCATGATCGATAAGCGCGTATTCCAGTAAATTGATCTTGATCTCCATAAATCAGTAACACAGGGCATGATGATGATTGTAATAGCTGATTGGCTTGAGATTTGAAATAAAACATTTTTGTTGTTGATAATGCCCAAATAACACGTAAAGGATAACTGATTAAAACATAAGAAGTAGGTACCCTTGATTCACGAATACTAGCTGCAATCATGCTTCCATAAGAATATCCCTATATAATAGATTTAAAAATAGAAATTATATGATCAGAAAAATAAATAAAAAAAATCAAGGTTACTTACACATATCACCAAATGAGATATTGTAGGATAATCTTGTCTAATATCATTGTTTGTCAATAGATAATTTACTACTGCTTGATAATCCTTTTGTTCAGGTAGACCAGTCCAGCTTGTCTTTCCAGTTGAATTTCCACAACCCCTAAAAAGAAGAAATAGATGAAAAAAAATGAAAAAAAAATACAAAAGTTTGTCATTTCATAAACACAATACCTTACCTGAAGTTGAGACTAGCAGTAGTAAAACCTTTATTCATCAAAGATTTCTGTAAAGCCATAACGACATTATTATATATATTACCACCAAGTGGACCATAAGGATGAGATATGATAATGGCAGGGGCAGTTGTTGTAGTGCTTTTAGTATACCCAAGTCGAACTTCAATACTAGCTTTATCAGAGTCAATAAATACTGTCTTTGTCGGCATTATTAATATGAATTGGGTAAAGAATGAATTAAGGAAAAAAAAAAAAAAAAGTAATAACGAAAAGAGAAAGAGAAAGACGGGAGTTTAAAAAAGAAACCCGTTTTTTTTTTTTTTCTTTATTTGAAAAAGTAGTAAAGTTCATGCTGTAATTAGACTACAAACAAACTATTTTCATCGTATTCACCAAAAGCAGTAACTTCATGTTGTTCATCGAAGAAATCAATTTGATGACTATGCCTATAAAACGTTGAATAAAATATTAATTAAGAATATGAAATATCAGAATTTATTTTCAATATTGCTTACAAAGTAGCACCGGAATTGACATGAACAAGATAAAAGCATTCACCAACACGCCAGAACTGATGATGATTTAAAAAAAAAAGACCGTTTAACCGATTACTGTATTTCATATATATTCTTATTAAAGTTATTATTATACTTACATCATCAGCACAATCATCACCACCTCGTACCACTCTCCATACATCATTTTCATCTGATTCAGCAAAACATGACACTTCTTGTTGACCAGAGCAAGGACTTTCCACTCCTGGGCTTGAATGTAATTTGTGAGAAGGATAATCCAAAGGCTTGAGTAATAATTCATCATCCCAACCAACTTCATAACCTAATTTTTCATCTGATCCTTGAGGTGGAATCACAACCCATGTAGTGGATAGTGATTCAGAAGCAAAGACACGTTGTTGATAACTACCACCTTCATATCCTTCACCATCCGTACTGATGAATCGACCAGTTTGACAGTGTTTCAATTGAACATAGTTACTGGAATAAAAAAAAAAAATGATGTCAGTCTGTTATCTAAACTATTTTCTTTTTCTTATTACCCATAACGGATAATACCATCTTCTTGAGGAAATCCACCTTGAAATTGTTCTTCTTCACAATCACCTAGAAATATACGTAAAATAAAGAGAAAAACATATCAATTAGATTGTTTTGAAAGAAAATAAGCTTACGTACTCATGGTTATTTATTTAATGTAGTAAAAGGGAATTAAAGAAAAAAGAAGAAGAAAAAGAAGAATTCTAGTTTATATATTTGATGTCAAGGTAGTACAACATTTACCATCATCGGGACAGTATTCCGAACAACATCATTTTAGGGACAAGTTATGGAGCGTGTTCTCCAAGCAACATGTCATCGTTCTTGGCAGCGACACTATTTTTGATGTTTGTTCGTATCCGATCATCCGCTGTGTTTTAATGTTTCAATGCTACAAAGTTTGAAAAAAAAAAAAAAAAGGATACTATCGAAAATGCAAACAATAAAGAAGGTTCCATCCATCACCCAAGCATCCGTTATTAATATCATTGGTATATCGATATTATCACTTCATCTCATCATCCCATCATCCCATCGTTGTAAAAGAGGCACCATTATCGAAAAGAAGAAACAATTTTCGGTTTATTTGCATAGATAGATGGACATAAAAAAAAAAAAAAGAAAACTAAGCTATCAATTTACATGAAGTACATCACTTTCTGCAAATCAGACTTGACAACAGCGTAACTGGCCATTTGAGAATCACTATCCATTGATTCACTTGTAGCATCAGTGTCTTCCCAGTTTTCACCTTTACGATGGAATCGAGCACGAGCAGCAACCAAATCAGCATAGTAAGCAGGAGGACAGATAGAGACGGCACGAGTTGCGCGACCGTAGATATAACACAGACGATAAGTGAGTTCTTGAAGAGCATCAGGAGAAAAATTGTTGTCATCATAAAGTACATGGTAGTGAGTAGGACGAGAAGTTCCTTGAAGACCAGCATGTGATTGCAAATCTAAAAAAAAATAGATATATAGGTATATATAGATATAAATTAATATATCATCCTAATATACATAATCATTTGAAAACTTACAAAAATCAAATTCGAAAGGATGTACGATATCAGTATCCACAACAGTACCAGGTTGGCAATTACCACTTCGATCGGCATCACGGGGTTCAACAGGGAAGAATCGAGCATGATGACGTTTTTGAACAACCACAAATGTGACAGGAGGTTTGTAAGTCTTATCCAAGGAAGCACAAGCAGCATGAATAGCAGCAACTTCATTTTTGAGTACTTGATCAAATTGTCCTTCAGAAACACCATCACGATAGAACAAGATTTGTTGAGGTTTTTGACCACAGTTTTGATAGAATGTCTTCAACAGTTCCTTGACCATATTGGCTAAATCAGCTATTATTTCAGTACGATTGGCTTGAACACGGACAGTTGAAGCATATCTTGATGCATATGAATCCATACTTGCAGTCAAAGCAGCAACGGAAGGTCTGTTCATATCACCAGGAGCAGGATGAGTAACATCAGCACCAAAGACAATAGTAGGTTTACCGGAAATAAAAGGAATTTGAGAATTGTCCATAAACAAGTTGACACCACCAAGCTTCATATTCACTTTCAGACAGACATTGGCACAATATTGTTTCTTAGCATCACCAATATGCTTACTTTGGAGGCATTGAGTAGGAATACCAATAACTATATATATAAAAAGGATATATGATATTCTGTCATGAAAATCATCATCATCATCATCACCATCATTTTTTTCATTTGTTTATTTTACCTGTATCAGAGATACGCTTGATTTCAGCATAAAGAGGAGTACCAGTGTTGGGCAAGATACAGAGAATCAATTGAGGTTGAGCTTTAGCAGCATTACCAGCCTTCAACCAGGCTTCCTTGAGAGTACGTTCAATATTACCTTGAGGATCAGCATGAGTAACAGGTGGTTGTCGGTTGATGACATTCTTATATTTATAATCATAAAAGAAATAAAATAAAAATAAAAAGTTTAGTACAAATCATATTTTTTTTTCTTATTAAAAAAAAAAACCAACTTACCAAACCAGTCTCAGTAAATGTTTGACATAATTCACGAATAAAACGTTGGATCATACCATCATGGACTTTGCTTGTAAAATTGACAACAGACCAAGAACCCAAGTTGGCACCCTTTGCGACTTTTTTGCCACGAAGATTCCAAGCACCACCTATAGGAGCAAAAGTAGCATCTTGAGATGAAGCATGGTAAGAGATCTTTGGAGGAGGAAGAACACGAGCATTGATCATAGCCATATCAGACTTGACATTGACGCCAAATTGTTGAATATATGGGTTATCCTTGTATTTCAGAAGATTGACACCTTGATTGATCTTGTTGGCACGGACATTGGGCTTCTGACAAGTAAATTTGATCATTTCAGCAGTTTGCTTTTCATTCAATTTCTTCAAATGACGTTGACCAGGAATAACTTCACAAACTTCCATAGGTAAAAAGATATCTTTCTTGACAACAATACAGGGTAAGAAAGGAAAGGCCAAACGTCTATTGTAAGTCTTTTGAAAATATTGAGCAACGTTCATTTCATTTCCAGAGTCATCCTTGAATACAGTATTTTCAACAGAGGTAGGAGTAAGCTTGTTAATCTTGTACTTCAATCGTTTTTCAGCACCACGATGGACAACGACGATCTTGAGATTCTTGAGTATTTTTTCAACTTTGATACGTTCACGATCAGGAATACCACGACGAAGATCATCAAGACTGCGGCGGTCGAGTAGCTTGGGTAACATTTCATGAAGAGGACCAGATTCATAAAAAGCAGTAGCACTGACATCAACATTGATCATCATTTTGCCTATAAACAATGAATAATGATAAATATTAATAAAAAAAATATTAAGGATTATATGTTTTATATATTACCTTTAGTTGGACGAGCAGATTGATAAAAGCCTTGCCATACTTCAGCACCATTGGGTAAAGGACGTTTGTCTTGGGGAGTGAAAAAGGATCTACCCACAGTGGAATATTGCATGCTTGGGACGTGACGAAATAGTACATCAAGAACCATGATGGCTGTAGCACAATTTTAGGAAAAAAAAAAAAAGAAAGAAAAGATAAAAAAAGAGTTAATAAAAAAGATGTGATATAATGATATTAATCTTTTTTCTTTTTTTACCAGTTAAACAATTGTTGGTAATACCAGACTTTCCATCCAAGAATAATTGTAGTTCACTCATGTTGATTACACCTACAGGCTTGATATTTAACTTGAAAACACCACCAGAACGATTTCCTTCTTGAAGATTGACCTATAAAAAAGAATAAAAATGATGAATATAAATGAACCAATAAAAAAAAAGAGTGATCAAAAAAAAATATAATAATGTTGGGGATGAAATAATAAGCAATATGATAAAATATACGTCATTTTTTTTATTTACTTACTTCAAAAGAAATACCAAGATTATCATCACCACATTTGAGCGGTTTTGGAGAAAAGAGATTTGCACGACCATCAAAGATAGGTTTGACCTTGTTAAGAAAAGCTTGACCTTTAAGACTATCTTCAAAAGATTGCCACACCTTTCTGAGAATAACAGGAGGAGTACCATCAGGTAATATTTGAATATTCAAGTGTTGTATATTTTGAGCTGGAAGACTTGTCATTTCAAAGAAATTGCTTCTTACACGTACTGGTTTACCAACTTTACCAACATTGGGACGCATAATAAGTTGAGTCAAATCTCTGTTGTATGCTTGAGCCATGATGTTTGTTTAATAGAAAAAAAAAGTGAAAAAGGAAAGAAAGAAAGAAAGAAAGAAAGAAAAGAGAAAGAAAAAAAAAAGAAAAAACATCATTTTATATGTTTACCTGATCGGAGCCTGTTTAAAAAATCCTGCAAATCACACCAGCCAATCATAAGGAATCACAGAGATTTAGTTCCTTTTTTTTTATATATATATATTCTTGAATTTCTTTGTTGATTAATATGATGCTGATGATAATGAATGAACATCTTGAATTTCTTTATCACTTATTTATTATATTCTTTGTATTCATATAATATTATATGGTAGTAAAGAAAGGTTAAAAAAAAAGGATTATCAATTGAGAATAATCTAGGTTAAACTAATTTAACAACTTTACTATTCTTATTATTATTATCTTATACATTAATAGTTTGGTAAGGTTGTTGTTGTATGATGGAATTAACAATAATATTATTCTAGGTTAAATCACGAATAGAAGCTGCTTATACGCGGTAGTTGAACATCCAAAAAAGGAAAGACTCAGAGTTATGTAAAATGACAGCAACTTCCTCTATTTTATTTTCTCACACTTTCTTCTTCTTTCTTATCACTATTTTTTTGTAAACATCTTTTTTTTTATTTTGTATAAAAAGTAAGTGAATATGTATACGATAAAAGGGAACTTTATATATTCATTGTATATTAACTAGACTCTTCTCTTTTTTTAACTTGCTATAGAAATACCATCACTCCATCTCTCTTGACCCTTATTGCAAACTAGATCTTCAACATGTATTCAATGGACCGCAAAGCTATAACAATGGAACTATCATTATCAAAGGTACTAAAATACATTCCAAAACAAAGAAATAGTAAAATAGTACGTGATTTAGGTATGATTAGGATTATGAATCTGATTCTTTTCTTTTTTTTTTTCTAGTGTTTTTCCAGTATATTGTCAAGGGAAAGGTTATTTATTGAACATATCCATCAATTATGCTTATCAACAAAAGTAGAACATGATCAAGGGTATTGTATTTAAGGTTAGGATCTAAAATATAATAATGAACGACTTGTCAACTAATATATATATATATATGTGCATCCCCTTTGATGGTTTAATATCATAGATACAAGTTCGGTTACTTATATGCTATCTATTTAAAGACATCCTTTTTATTGAAGATTAGTTTGAATCATTGTTATGGTCGTTATCTTTGTGGAATTGATATCTTCATTATCACCATTACTATTGTCATCATCTATCAAATATTTATTAGTGTAAGTATCAACTACAGTGGCATCTATTACACATCAACACAATTATTTATTAAATCGATAGGTAGTCATGATACATCCTTCATCAGTCTTAATATGTAGTATTATTATTCAATCATCACTGTCATTTGAAAATATGATCTATTTATTGTTCAAAGTAAGTTACAAAAGTATAGAAAATGATATTTACAATATGATATTCTCAGTCTCTTTTCCATTTTCTTTTTCTTTATTATTGTTTTTGGTGCATCATCGTCCTAGTATATATGGAAATGGATGATATTCTATTCTCATTATATTTTATTCTTCTTTAATAAAGTTTATCTTTATATTATTATTATTATCATTATTATCATTTATTAATAGTTCAATCCAATCATATTATTCTACTTTCTTCTTTTAATGCAATCATAAGGCTTTTTCATAAATGCTATAAATTCAGATTCTGGTCTCAATATGGATCCATTCTCAAAGAAAGAAGAACTGTGGGGACGATGGAAAGTGGGCTCTCTGACAAAAAAAAAAAAAAAAAAAAGAGGGGTGGGCTTTGACTTTTTCCTTTTTTTTTTTTTTTAATCAATGAGTCTTTGTAAGTTTTTATCTTTTATTTATTATTGTCATATACTATTATCATACCCTTACAATCATCCTTTCATAATTGCCTAATCATACTACCATCATCATCAAATATTATAAATAATTTAACTATAATCCATCCACACTAGTCATCCACTCATTCAATGGCATTCATTATCTATTTAATTCTGACATCTCCAACAAGTTTTTTATGAGAAGAGATAATAATAGGAAATAATGATGATCTAGTGATAATGAATATTCGACAATGGATGATGATTCATTTTGAACAAAATTAGACTGCTCAGCCAAGAGTACCAATAATGGGAATGACTCGAATTGACATAATTTTTCTGGGGCTAAAAATAAAAAAACCATATATAGTATTCCTAGTTTCTCTCTCTTTTTTTTTTTTTTCTTTTTTTTTTTTTTTCCTCATGGATTCTTCCTCTCTTTATAAAGTCATCATACATCATGACGTTCATGAATTTACTAAATGTTGCAAATCCTCATTAGAAAAGGATGAAATTTTTAATACCTTCCCGCTTTGGATCTCCAATGAAATGGCACTTCTGGATCAAGATCCCCAGACACCAGTACAAATATATACTTCGATATGGACAAACAATCAGCTTCTCTTTATCTTTGTATTATCTGGTTCAAGAGGTTATGTTGGATGGTGTGGTGGAATAGAATGTATACAACAAATGGATAACCATGCTTTTGACAATGTCATTGTTTCTCTTTTGAAAACGAGTGGTGCCTTACCCCATTTACAATCCCTTTATGGTTACAGTCCTTTGGTAGATCGTGTTCATCATCTTGTGGAAAAATGCAAAGACTCATCTGACAATGCAACTATACCAACAAAAGTATCCACATACAAATCATGGAGCTACCAAGTTGAAAGCAAAAACGATCTTCTTTGGACCGACAAGACACGTGCGTTAGCAAAACGAGCCCACTTACGACTGGCAACATGGATAGATTTTCCACTCTTAGTCAACTGGAGTGAACACTTTGTGCAGGATTGTGGTCTCAATGATGGTGATATGTGGACTATGTGTGCAAATGAGATCAAGAAACAAAAGGCTTATTTTTGGTGTTTGGATGATGGGACACCAACAGCGATGGTATGGAAACGGCGTGCCCTTCGTCATGGTATTTCGGTGGCCTATGTTTATACACCTGAAGAATCAAGACAGCGAGGTTATGCTGCTACGATGGTAGCACAATTCTCTGAATATCTATTGGAAACCGAAGGCTACAGTTACGTGACTCTCCTGGTTGATGGGAATCGTGATCCAGCAAAAAACATGTATACATCCATTGGTTATAAATATGTGGGGGAAATATTTGCATTATACTATTGATGAAATTTAATTGAATCGTTGTATTTGTATATTTTTAGTGTAGTTTTATAGTAAGATAGTATCAAATGATTCCCGGTGTAGTTTTATTATTATTATAAATAAATATCAATGTTTTCTTTTTGTATTATTTTTATTTTAAATATCAACAATAAGTAATATCATACAAAGGTATTACTATATATATATGTCAAAATTTATATCATTCTTTATTAATAAACGAATTTAATCTAAACTAAGTTTAGCTCCCAGGAGACGAATCTCCCAGGAGATTGTCATGGTATAATTTTGAATGATCAGTATTAAAGACTGTTTTCTTAAATGGTTCCATTCGTTGATTATCAGTAGTCGCTACTCCCGCCAAGCATATAGCCAACGCCGCTTGTATGTCTCGACCTTGAGTTGAAGAACAATTCTTGACAGCCCAACAGTCCTTGTTCACGCAGACAGACCCCCCGTTCACTTTTCTGTATTTGCCATCAGTTTTTCTCATCTGTCTAATAACCTTCGAAAAGCAAAACACGCACGTTTGACTCGACAAATGTTCATCAGTAAGCATGACCGCACCACGTTGTGAGTTTTTCTTTAGATGCCATTTTCCTCCTCTTCGATGATGGCCAGTGATTCTGGAGCCCACGCCCGTTCCCATATTCCCTATTGCCATCACTAAATACTTGGAATCACCTTTCAAAAATCTTCTTTCTTCGGTAATAGTTCTTGCATACACCCGTTGCTTTTGGAGCTTTCCAGCTTTTCTTTCGCGGATCATAGCTTTGGAATGATATATATCTCTCATTGGTGTTCGACGGTCTTGCACGAGCTATAAAACAAAATTAAAAAAAAAAAAAAAGAATCAACACCCAGTCGTCCATCATCATCGCATCATCCCATCATTACCTTGGTATAACGCAGAATTTGATCAGGATTAGTAGAAAGCATTGGAGTAGGTTCATCACTTGTTGTTGGGAGTTCAGTATTCTTCAGTTTCTATATAGAAAAAAAAGGGAATGAGAAATATTTAAAAATTAGTTCCAGACCATCCCTGCCAATTGTACAAAAGAAGCTGATGTATTCTACAATTCAACAGTTTGATATATGACTTACCTTCTCCATTTTTTTTCTTCGGTGGTAGAATCCTGTTCGCCAGTTCAGATCCTTGCTTGTAATAATGAAGGGTTTTGGTAAGATAAGGAACTTCTTTTCTTCATCAGTGAAAGTAGTATCGTTGTCAACATCAGAAGTAGTATCATCATTATCAGGGTCATGAATATCAGCAAGGGTCCTGTATCTGTTTTGTAGTCGCAAGTGGAAATTGTATCGATCCGTGCTCACAGGTACAGCAGTGGATAAAGTGACAATGCCATAGTCAGTACCGCTGTAAGAAACACTCCCTTCGTTTCGCAAAGAGTTAAGGTCCATGTTTTCAGGAGTGTCCAGTACTGATTGCTTTCTTCTTGTCGGTGTACTTTTTATTTGTTCCTTCTCGCTTCGTTTTCTTTTTGGGTTTGACTTCTTCACTTGTATTGCCTATATGATAAAATAATTATGTCGTTAGTTTTTTTTTTTTTTTTTTTTTTTTTTTTTTTTTTTTTTTTTTTTTTTTTTTTTTTTTTTTGATGAAGACATATACCTTTCGAAGATAATATAAATTTGAGTGTATGGTAGTCCGTCGATTTTGTAATTGCGCTATTCTTGATTGTATGGTCATCCGCTCTTTTTTCATTGTACGTTGCACACCTATTTCTTCATACTTGGTTTTTGCCAATGTGATTGTCTTTATGTCCACAGATACCATCAGTTTAGCTTGCACATCTTTCAGTGATTCTGTTTCTTCTTGAATTTTCTTGTTTATAGCCAAAAGTTGCTGCTCCAATGTCGCTTTTTGAGATGTGAGATCATCGACAGTTCGATTGTCATGAAGAGTCATTGTTTCGTCCGCTGTTTTCCCATGTTGGTAACTTGATACCATTCTTGGCTTGGTCGTTGCTCCAATGATTGCTGCCGATTTGATATTAGGAATTACAAGACGTTGACGAAAGGTCATAGAATTTTTATCACATATTGCGTTGATTTTTTGAAGGTCGAATATTGAACCAAAAACGTCGTCCTTATAGCCGAGAGCCAGAGTACTGTTTTTTATAATCTTCCCATCTGCTTGCTTCATTTGTACCAATGGTGCTTCTCGTTTTTGTTTTCCTTTACCCTCGTTGCCAGTTTCAGTGAATTTGGAACCAAAGATCTCGTAAGTTTCAACAGCACCAAGTGGTAGTGCGTGCAATGCTGAGGCTGTCACAGTTGGAAATGGTCGTTGCATCAGTTTACTATAACCGGCTGTATGGAGTATTGCATTGCCCAGGAACACGAATGGAAGTTTTTCAGCGATGGTAGCCTTGTTGCCATTCACAGGTATATATGGTCGTAGAGTGTTATACAGAGTAATCATGATGTTGATTTCATGTTGAAGTAAATCATCGCCATCCCATAGATTTTCAATGACTTCGCGATCCAGTTTGGCCTCCTTTCTTGTAAAAAATAACTTTGATAAAACTGCCTGTATTCCTCTTATCTTTCTGCTGGATGTGTCCTTGATAGCTGTAACCTCTGGTTCAGAATCCGAATCCGTCTCATACATGATTACTGTATCCATCTCAGACTCAGGCATACTTTGGAGTGTTTCTAGAAGCTCAGTGTCCTATATAAGTCATAGCAAGAAATGAGTTCCTTTGTCTTCAGATATTTTGGTAAAGTATAGGCCTTTGGATCTTTACTTACCGCATTTGCATTATTGTCGTTGTCACTGGATGTTGCATCATCGTCCTTCAGAACCTTGGATTCCTAGATATAAAAGTCATTTAACAATCAAGTAACAGCATCATATGCAGTATTTGTATTATTATTAAAAAAAATTGATGATTTTACCTTTTTTGCTTCGGCTTCTTCTCGGGATTTTGTAATAAGGTCGTTGAGTACCTGTCTAAGACTTTGCTGCTTCCTTTCAGAGTAATCTTTCTTGTCGATGAGTTTCTGTTGATCTTGACTCTGTTCAGTAATGTCCAGTCGTGCTTGAAGCTTCAGTACTTTCTTCTTTTCAAACTTGATAACGTTTTTGACGTGTTGTATCTTGTTGCCAAAAGATGATACTTTCTCCTCCTGCGTATGATATCATACACACACACACAAAAAAAAAAAAAAAAAAAAAAAAAAAAGAAAAAAGGATAATCAGAAAAGAGAAACTTAGAGATGTAACATTCTTTTTAAAGTAATATACCTTCTTTTCGGCCAGAATTTTGATACCACTATGCATACGATCATACGTTTTTTGTTCACGGGATGGAGAAAGATTTTGTCGGAGAAGTACTCTTAAAACGTACGTCAACATTCTATGGAAAAGCCGTGATTGCCAGATATTCCCAACATTGGTAGACAAAGATGATACAGCGGCCAAGGCGAGGTTGGAAGGAACATTGTGATCTTTGTTGATGGTCAGTTCTTCAGTTGGAATAGAAAGTCTGTGCCATAATGGATGCTTGCTGTAGGTTGCTTGATGGGACTTTCCAAAATAGTGTGACTTCAAGAATTGTATATGCGTCGAGGAAAACAATGACTTGGATTCATCAGTTAATACAGCGTGTACAGGGTAAAAGCGACGGTCTTCGGTCAGTAAGTTGGTAAAGCGCACAGTCGGGAGCAATGTTGAGACTTCAATCCGTTGTAGTTCTCCTATCAAATCATCACATAAGTCCATCATCCGATAAAAATTATGTCAATTTCAGTTTCTTACCTTCCTGATAATCCCCATTGGCATACTTGATAGCAGTGAAATAGACCATGCTCGCTAAATCACCAAACAAGTTTGTATACTGTTCCGATGCATATTTTATTCTATTGATGATTCTTGTTTTTTGGTCATCCTCCAGGTCTGTTTTCAGAATTGATAGTAGGGAGACGGTTGCCGATCGGATTTCGTCAGGTTGTACGGCCAAGGTTGACATGCCTGTGATGCTAGAGGAAGATGTAGAGGTTGATGCTAATGACATAGGTGAATGTGATGCCGAAGACGCTTCAGTATATGCTTGTCGAACGGAAAGCCAACATTGTTCAAAGTTCGTGTCCACTGTCTGTCTCCATACTTGCATAAAGTCGAATTTTGTTCGGAATTTGGATCCAAAATAACCTGGTGCTACATCTTTAACTTGGCGATCGATGAAAAGTAAAAGACCATTTGGTAGTCGTTGTTTATTAGTAAGTTCGTTCTTGATGCTACTTTTCGTGGTTTCCAAATCAAGCCGGTCCCAGAAGTGAGAGTCATTTTCTGCATCAAAGCGTTGTTGAGTTTGGACAAGATGTTCCTTGATGTTCACTTTAATTGCATTAGCCAACGCTGTTTTTGCCTCTTCAATGTTGTTGAGCGTAATGTATTCCTCCACTGGCAGCAGATCCTTTGCTTGAACGCGTCTTTTCTTAGGAGCCATATAGATTGCACAGTAAAAATGAATATAAAAAGTAGAAAAATATAGATTTAGTAAAGAATAGTTGATGCAAAAAGAAAACGACAATGAATAAGATATATTTTCTGAAAGCTTACCTTTTATTTTTGAACAGTAAACAAAAGAAAATATTTTCTTTGAAAAGCAGTCCTCCTGTCCACTATCGTTGTCATGGAAATAAAAGAAAGGCATAATGGGTAAAGAGGAAGAAAGAGAGGGAAAATGAGGAAGTAACGCTGAATATATTTTATAATGAGAGAGACGAGGTAGGTCCTTATTAATTCAGACTCAGAATATGATCACCATGCAGGGGACAATTCCGAATATCTGACATATATGTCTGCCATATCTTAACGCCAGCGATCCGACATTATAAAGCATATACCTGGAATCCAAAATGCCTTGTCTGTAACTCGTGTGTAAATGTGGTTATACTACCTTTTTTTTTTTTATTGTAATAAGCATTTTTCGTGTGGATGTCTGTTTTCCTGGACTATAGATTTGTTTGGAAAGTGTGGATTATATTTTTTTTTTTTTTTTTGAAAAAGTATGGACTATTGATTTGACGAATAGATGTGGATTATACATTTGATTGGAAGGTGTGGACTATTGGTTTGATGGAAAGGTGTGGATTTTTTTTTTGGGAAGGTGTGAATTATTGATTTGATGGAAAGATATGGACTACAGATTATCTTTTTAGAGGATGTTTTCATTAATCATCAATCATCATCACTAACATCGTCAAGAGGAGGAGAAAATAATTTATTGTTTTATTGGATATTGAATATATATATTATAAAAATAAAAAAAAACTATAGAAGGACGTCGCGATATACAATGTTGACAGTTTGTGGTGGAGAATTGCGAACTGGTTGTGGGGCTGCCACTCGAAGAGTTGACGGATCTCTTGATCGTGAGAGCTACATACAGTTGTCCATGGGCAAACACTTGATCTTTCAGATACACACCTACATAGTCCAGTGATTGTCCTTGACTCTTGGGGATGATCATTGCAAATGCTGGTCGTACAGGGAATTGCCTAGACGCTCATCGTTGATGTTTAATTTGTTGAAAGAACATGACCTGTTATGTGCACTTGAATGACCTCTACGACCACAGCGAGAGCAAATGAGAGAAGAGCTGACGCGCTGGTTGGAATCTCCATGTAGTTGATGAGAACCTTGATGTACTTGACAATCTTCATATCTTCGCCGAGTACTTCTGTTTAAAGGACAGTCGTAATGGGTTGTTCGAGAATGAGTGTCAGATCCGCACCTGCATAAATTGACGCTACTGTTATGCGCAGTTGGCTGTTTGTTTTGATTGAGTGGACATTCATAATGGCTTGTTCGAAGATGAGTGGTAGATCCGCACCTACAATGACGAATTGATCTGTTCATTCAAGGAATATGAAAGGATATACGAAAAAGAGAAAAGCTAAAAAAAAAAAAAAAAAAAAAAAAAAAAAAAGGAAAAGGAGAGGAAAAAAAAAAAAAAGAGGGAAGAAAAAAAAAAAGCTCAGGCCAAATAATCTCAGACGACTATAATTTTTTTTTTTGTGTGTGGTGTGGACATAAGCATTCTTTTTCGTGTGGATGATTGTTTTTGTTGAAAAGATGTGAACAATAGACTTGACATGAAGGTGTGGACTACAGATTTTATTTTTTTGGATGGATGATTATTTTTGTTGAAAAGATGTGGACAATAGATTTGACATGAAGATGTAGACTATAGATTATTTTTTTTTTGGAAAGAGTAAAAAAGTAGATTTTTTATTGGGTGGAGTGGAAGGTTGATAGGTAGGACAGAAGACCAAAAATAGTCAAAAAGTTATTTGCTAATCATTAGTTTTTCATATTTTTTTTCATATATTAATAAAAAAAAAAACTGTCCTTTATGTTGTTGTTTTTTTCCTCCAATCACATTGAGACTATCTAATCTCATGATATTCTATTAAATCAAATATTTCAGGCTTATCGATCAAATCAATTATTCATCATCCAGTAATTATATGTTATAAAATAGAATATAGAATTCATACTCATAAAATAAAAAGAGTTACTTATAAGAGATCATGCGTAGTTTTTATTAACATATATATAGACTACCAATCTAGCTGGGATTCAACATTGTCTTCCCAAAGCACAATTCCATAATTTTCCCTTGGTTCTTATTCTTTTTCTTTTTTTTTTCTTACTCTTTTTTTTTTTTTTGTTTTCCATCTTTCCCCTTTTTTTTTATTTTATCATCCTTTTGTATAGTAGTTATGCCTCCAGATGCCCTCTTCCGTTCGGAAGAGATGTCTCTCATACAATTATATATTCCTATGGAAGTGGCTCAACCTTGTATAGCTGAATTAGGTGATCTTGGCAAGGTTCAATTCAGAGACGTAAGGCACACACACTCACTATTTTTAATTTCTTTTAATATATTACTCATTCACTTTATGTATGATTTGTTGAATGTTGATTAGTTAAATCCAGATGTCAATGCCTTTCAACGATCCTTTGTAAATGAAATTCGACGATTTGATGAAATGGAACGACAGTGTCGTATGTATACCTCAGATAGATATATTCGACTCCACATAAATTAATATATCTTTTTATTACTATTATTGTTATTATTACTATTTAGGTTACTTTCGACAACAAATCAAACGTGGTGGTGTTCCTTTTCGTCCTTTAACTGGTACTGCTGTGCGTGCGCGATCAACTCAGGAAATCGATAATCTAGAGGAACTTTTACGAGAACATGAACAACACCTCCTGGAAATGACAAGTTCTTACGAATCACTACAACAAAGATATCTACAACTAACTGAACTACGTCATGTTCTCCGTGAAACCGCATTATTCTTTAATCAGGCAAGTCAAAAGAAACTTCAGTAGTAACAAAGAAAAATGATCCATGTGGTTAGACGAAAATATAATTCTTCTTTTTTTTTTTTTTTACTCATGATCATTTATTATTATAGGCTGAATCTCGTCAAGAAGTAAACACAATAGGAAATTTGGATGAAGCGGACGATATTGTTCCTTTATTGGAACGGGATGATGAGGAAGAAAATATTCAATACGAGCTTGGTCAACTATCGATTGGTGTGGTAACAGGTGTTATTGCTCGCTCACGCATGCAAACGTTTGAACGAGTCCTCTGGCGATCTTTGCGAGGAAACTTATACATGAATTCTTCTGAAATTGATGAACCCATCGTTGATTTGGAAGATAACGATAATACAGTGGACAAGAATGTATTTGCAGTATTTGCTCATGGACAGGAAATCATCAACAAAATCCGCAGGATTTCGGAAAGTATGGGAGCGACTTTATATGACATCGATCCATCTGAAGATAAACGACGAGACGCTTTATTGGAAGTTACTTCTAGGATTGAAGATTTAAACAACGTATGTATAAGGACAAAAAAAAAATAGATGTACATTTGGTTTATTTGTGTTTACGAATTGACGAAAGGATCTCTTTTTTTTTTTTTAGGTTTTATCAAATACCAACCAAACTCGTAGGGCCGAATTGATCACTATATCTGAAAATTTAAATGCTTGGACAATCATGGTACGCAAGGAAAAGGCCATATACCATACAATGAACCTCTTTAATTACGATGCTGGTCGCAAATGTCTGATTGCTGAAGGTTGGTGTCCCTCCTTTGATATTCCCTCTATACAATATGCTCTCAAGGAAGCTACAGTAAGTCACAATTCAATGACCCTGTTGATATATACTAAAAGTACTTTTTTTTTTTTTTTTTTTTTTTTTACATTTACTATAGGATGCATCTGGGGCCAGTTTATCAGCTATTGTTACCGAGTTAAGAACTAACAAGAAACCACCTACTTTTCAACGCACAAACAAGTTCACCGAAGGGTTTCAGGCGATCATTGATGCTTATGGTATTGCTCGATATCGTGAAGTCAATCCAGGTATATTTACTCTGATTTCATTTCCATTCTTGTTTGCTGTCATGTTTGGTGATATCGGTCATGGCGCATTGATGTTTTTGGCTGCTCTTTATTTGGTACTCAACGAAAAGAAATTGGAATCCAACAATGGAGAGGTAACAGTTTGATGATTATAAAAAAAAAATTATTATTCTGACATTCTCTACTGTAGATCTTCAGAATGTTCTTTAGTGGGCGATATATGATGTTGATGATGGGGATCTTCTCTATCTTTACCGGATTCATGTATAATGATTTATTTTCATTATCACTATCAACATTTAAATCTGGATTCGACTGGCCTACGACATACAATTCGACGGATGCAGTGGAAGGAATCCCGAATGGAAATACATATGCTATTGGACTTGACCCTGTAAGTAATTTAAATATATATATATAAATATATAAAATAGGGAGTAGACTGACATTGTCGAACTATATTAGGCATGGCATGGGGCTGAAAACTTTTTATTATTCACCAATCCTTATAAAATGAAACAAGCAATTATCTTGGGCGTTATACATGTAAGTTAATGAAATAATTAGAATAGAAGTGACTCAAAAGGTTTTATTATTAGATGTCCTTTGCAATTTGTCTCAATGTGATTAACAATCTACATTTCAGGAAAAAGATATTCATTTGGCTAGAATTTGTACCTCAAATCCTATTTATGGAATCTATTTTTGGTTATCTGGTGTTTTGTATTATGTATAAATGGAGCGTGGATTGGTATGCACGAGATGCAGATGGTGTGCTTTTACGAGGCCAACCCCCAAACTTGTTGAACATGTTGATCTATATGTTTTTATCTCCTGGTACGATCATTCCTGGTGAACAATTGTATTCCGGACAGGTAATAAGAAAAGAAGGGAAGAAAAATGAAAATAATTCAAAATCATTTATTATTATGAAATTATAGGGGCCTATTCAAGTACTTTTATTATTGATTGCTGTGATATGTGTACCTTGGATGTGGTTTGCAAAACCTTACTATTTGAAAAAACAACATAGTATGCATCAATATGCTTCTGTGGCCGATGATGAACATATAAATGAAGAAGATATTTTGGATATTCATAACTCGACAGCTACAGGTGCCATTGATGATCCAGAGGAAGAAGAGGTAAAATACTAAAATATTTTTTTTTTTTTCAAAAACTAACTGATTTTATTTAGTTTGATTTTAGTGAAGAAATGATTCATCAAACCATTCATACAATTGAATTCTGTTTGAATTGTATTTCCAATACAGCATCTTATCTTCGTCTCTGGGCCTTATCACTTGCTCATGCACGTAAGTGTCTTGGATAGGAAATACTGGGGGGAATGAGATAATCAATCACACTCATCATTTATTTATTGATATAGAATTATCAAGCGTATTATGGGATATGACATTAAAGATCTGGTTCAACTTTACTGGATTTGTAGGCACAATGGGATTGGTGATTGGTTTTGCTGTTTGGTTCTCATTGACTTGTTTCATTTTGATTGGGATGGAAGGTTTATCTGCCTTTTTACATACACTACGTCTTCATTGGGTGGAATTCGATGGGAAATTCTATGCTGCTGATGGTTATGCCTTTCAACCCTTTAGTTTTAGATCGATCATTTTAGAAGATGAAGAATAGATAGATATTGATCATACCTTCTTTTTTCCCCTCCCCACTCTTTTTTTTTTTTTTCTTATAACTATCAATAAAAAATCAATCTTATATATATATTGCTTCAATGAAACCATGACATTGAATGTGAAACCTATTTTTATTATTATTGATTAATTTATTTGATACAAGAATAAATAATTTTTTTTATTCAAACCAAACGGTATAATATAGATAAATTTAAATAGACTATCTACAAAAAAAAGAAAAAAAAAAAAAGAAGAAAAGAAAAGAAAAGGAAAAAAAAGGAATACAAAGATAAAAAAAATGATATGAATACAGAGATGCTAATATAATCATTATCATCATGATTATGATTACTGTAAAAACTAACTAACTAAAAATATGAGAAATATATAATAAAGATGATTTAAAATCCTAGAGAGGGGGGTATCTGTTCTTGTATTATTTGTCCAATTCAATTACTAGTCCATCACGTCCAAGAGAGTTAAGATTTTATTCATCAGATCGTTGTCCTTTTTGATACCAATCCAATGAGTTGGGTTTCCTCCGCCATCCATCTATCATTACTTCCTCTTGATTGTTATTTTCCTTTTTGTTGTTGTTATTGTATTTCGAAGTTTGCTGATGTAATCTTTGTTGTTGAGTTGTCAAGTTCTCGTTGCATCTATTTGTGTTCTTTGTAGATGATGGGTGTTGATATCGTCGATGAGGTTGACTGTGATGCCTTTGTCTTGATGGTGGTATATCCTTTGCTGAGGACACTTGCCATTGCATTGGGGCTTCATTTGATACGTTTTTCCATGGAGACCGCTTTTTTTGATGATGCTGTTGATTCTGCTGTTGCTGATTTTGTGAAATTGTTGTTCCATCGTTATACCGAGATCGCCAAGTAGATTTCAATGGATCATTTGTGCTGGTAATGGTATCTTTTTTATGTGGAGATAGCGGTTGTGGCCATCCAGAGTCCCATTTGTCATTCCGTTGATGATGTTTGTTTCCAAAGCCTGATTCGTCCCATTTGTTGGATTTATCATTCATTTTGTTGTTGTGATCTTGTAACTTGTTTTCACTATGCCATCCACTGTTGATACCGTTTCCATTCTCTTCATCTTGTACATCGATTTTGGTATTCCAGTCATCATTGATATTGCCGCTTTCTCCATTTTTAACTTTGATATTCCATTCATTATTGACAACCGAGTCTATTGGTGGCACACCCCACATAGCCTCCTGTGGCTGGTCATCCCCCCATGATTTTGATAATGCAGAAGTTCCAGGTTCGTCTTTGCCACCACCGGTTGACCAATCTGTCTTTGGATTCCAAGGAACTTGAGCATGCTTGTGTGTATTCCAACCCACCTTTTTTGCTTTGTTCCTCTTCAGAAGTTTATGCAAGGATGATTGAGATGTTGTCGAATTCTTTCGTTGTCGTTGTTGAGTTGAATCCACTAATTTCGTATTGGCTAGTTGATGAATCACGTCGTTGTTGCCATCGTCATCCATTGTAAACATACCCTGATGTTCATCAGCTTGTTTTCGATGCTTGTTGTGATATTGATAAGGCTTTTCTTCGTGTTGCACATGATCATAAATATCGGTAGATTCTGTTTTGCCACCAAAAGGAGATTTCACTAAGTCAGAGTAAGGACCACCAGGAAGAGAGCCTTGAAGAAATTGTCGCATCTTTTCATAGTCGGGTTGATCAGCGAATCGAAGAGATCGAGGATATTCAACAAAACGCAAAATACCCTCTGGCAAACCAGCACAGAGATCACTCATAAAAGTATCCACCTTGAGTTGTCGCATACGATCCCAACCAGCTTTTGATGTTTTTGCATGTACCCCAGCCCATGGTAATGTACCCAAAAGTAAATCCAATAAGATATAACCAATACTTTCAACGTCATCTCGGCGACTGTGAGATTTGCCTCTATGGACGTTAATTGACGCGTAACGTGCAGTTCCAGTTTTGCTTTTTGTATGTTTCTTGGTATCAGGATAAGGTTTTCCAGTATCAGGATCACGCCAATAACAAGCCAAACCAAAATCAACAGCATAAAGAGTTGGACGGCTCAGACCCCATTGTTCTTCAAAGACTTGACGACAAGTTGACTTTTTATATGTGGTCACAGGCATAGAGAATTCATCAGAAGATTCCACCATTTCCGGTTCAGGCAAGTGACAAGATGCAGGAAATAAAAAGTTGTCAGGTTTAATATCTCTTACAATAACCCCACGATTGTGTATATGTTCGACTATAGAGAGCTAAAAAATAAATATATATAAAAAAAAAAGAAAAGAAAAGAAAACTGTTAATAAAATGGAAAGAGCGTGGGAATATGTTTTTTTTATTACCATCTGACAAGTCAAATCAATGGCAATATCTAATTCCATCATAGACACATTTTGACGCACTTGACTTAGATTAGGTCCTAATAAATCCATCACAATACAATCAAAACCATCGAATTGCCCATACCAATGACATTGAGGAATACCAACTATAAAGAAGAAGAAGAAGCTCAAGTTTAATCAGTGTTATTTTTTTTTCTTTTTTTTTTTTTTTTCTTTTTCTTATTTTTACCTCCACCAGCCAATACATCATACATAATATTTTCGAATTTCAATTGAGGATGTTTCATCTTGAGTGTTTCCCTTTTAATAGCAAAATGTCGACCAGTATTGATATCACGAGCTAAGATTTAAAAAAAAGAATAAGTAAAGAAAGAAAGAAAGAAAGAGAATTAAATATTTACCTTCAAATACTTCTCCAAAAGAACCTTCACCAATTTTTCCCAAGACAACCCATTGATCAGCTACAATAATATCACGACTATCAAGACTAAGATCTGTTCGGTTACTTTCATAAGAAGCTGATTCTAATTTAAATCCAGTATATTCGTCACCAATATGATGATATGAAGATGACAGAATACCACGAGGACTGGTCATCAATAGGAATTAGGGTTCAAAAAAAAAGTAGATAATAATTAATAATAATATAAAAAACCACAGGAAAGATATATATATATAAAAGAAAAAAAAAAAAAAAAGAAGGATTGTTTACCTTTTTTTTTTTTTGTTCAGTCTCATACAGTTAAATTTTGATTCTACCAATTAAAAATTAGCGTTGTATGAAATTCAGGCATTGTTTGAAATATAATAAAAATGGGCCCCTTTCTTTTCTTTCATCTCCTGATAAATGACTTTTTTTTTTTTTTGTTCTTTCTTCCCCCCTATTACTGTGAAAATGAACGTGCTTTTTTTATTTTTTTTTATTCTTCAATAAGAGTTGTTTCTCCTCTTATTATTTCTCTTCTTCTTCTTCTATCTTTGATACCATTTAGTGTGTTTGTTTGTTTTTATCCTTACTTTTCGGGGGTGGACTCATATCTCCTATCATTGTATTAACTATATATATATATATATATTTATTTATTCTTTTTTTTTTTTTACTTTTTTTTTTCTTTTTTATTCTTTTTTTTTTTATCTTATTATTATTATTATCACATTTAATACTTTATAATTCTTTTTTTTATTCAAATATGCTTCATGTTCAAGAATCCCTTCCACATAGTAATAGTTTAATCTTTACACAACCTCTTCTTGCCTCTCCTTCATCTAATTCTATTCACCCTCAACCTACCATCTCTTCTTCAAGATCAACAAGAGTCATTGAACAATTACAAGACAAATGGGAAAGAATACAAAAAGAACTTGCAGTGACGCGGTCTCAGGTATGCAAATAAAATATTTATATGCAACAAGGAGTGATTTTTATTGACTCTTATATATATTTATAGTTAGAAAGTACCAAACAAGCCAAACATCAACATGATACACAAACCAAATGTTATACAGAATCTAACAAACAATATCGTGTTCATATTCAAGGATTAATGCAAGTATTGGATACTAAACAAAAAACACTGGAAGGTACAAAACGATCATCAGTATCCATGGAATCACAAGTCAAAACACTCAAAGATGAAGCACTTAAATCAAGACAACAATTGGAAGCTTTAAGACGACAAGAACAAGTACTTGAACGAGAACGAGATATCGCTGTCACTAAAAAGGAACAATGGGAACGCCAACGTATTGTGTTAGGAAGTTCTTTACAGCAATTGGAACGTCGATTAGATCGTGAAGCTGGTAACCTTCGAGAACAACTCAAAGTCGTACAAGAACGAGCACATGCTATGTCAGTATATCATAATGATTTTCTTGCTTTGGTAGCCAAGACAATGGAACGATATGTGATGGATCGTGCCGATAGTTATCAACAATTGGAACGTGCTAAACATAATTTGGAACATCAACGACAACAATGGATACAAACAACTCAAAGTCACCTTGTGAATTTAACAGATGCTATTGGACTCTCAGGGACAACTACTGATGAATTTCATGTTACTGTCAATCGATGTCGTGGGGAAGTCAACGGTTTGATTATGAAGATTCGTGCTTACACTGTCATGGTGGAATGATCTTTTTTTTTTTTAGTTTAATTTTATCTAGTTTAGCTTTTGTTATATAGTCTTTTATTTAATTACCATTTTTTTTAATAATAATAAAAAGTTAAACAGGTTACTCCAAGTTTATAGTCAAAAGGAACGATGAGAAGGGTCTTGTTTGGTGTTGTGAAAGAACATATTAAGGGCATATGTTGTATGTGTAACACGGATGTTTCGGAAACTGTTGGACCGGGGATTAAAACATTCAATCTGATAAAGTCTAAAACGAAAGAAGACAGGGAACTCCAAAGGTTAATAAAAAAAAAAAGTATTTTACTTATGATCTTGTTATTATTGATTTTTTGAAACCATTGTACTAATTTTGAAATAGTTGAAAAAGAGAAATAGATAGAAAAAAAAAAGGACAGATCAAGGAATCAATCGTCAGCTTCAATGATATCGATGATCATCATTCAATTGAAGATGTGAAAGTGGAGTTTACTTTTTTTTTTGTTAGTGTTACTTTGAAGATGGTTTAACATTTGTGCAGCTCCCACTAAAATACAACTAAAAATCAAGTGGACATTAAAAAAAAAAAAAAAGATCTGATATGGAAAATGGAAACAAAGGGAAAAAAATGATTCAATTTTCTATTCTCAATATTCTATCCTTTCTTTTTTCTTCTTCTTCTTCTTCTTCTTCTTTCTTTCTTTCTTTCTTTCTTTTTATTTTTCTCATCTTTTAAAAATATAAAGTATGGATAAAAATCAACCACCTCTTAGTTGGTGGCATGTATTGGAATCATTTAGTTTTGTCTTATTAGCAGGTAATATATGTAACTATGAAAGAATACGATCATCATCAATTTGACTAACATCATTATTATTAGCTATTGTGAGTTTTAGTTTAGGATTACAACTTGAATTATCACTGATCATAGCTAGTGTGAGATGCGTGGTGCAACTAACAATGATGGTAATAATAAGATATATTATACAACGAAATAGACATCACAAAGTATAATCAACGTCACTCTTTTTTTTTTTTTTGTCATCAGGGGTATGTGTTAAATGATGTTTTCAACGCGGATAATGCCTGGATTGTCATGATGATGACTTGTACGTACTTGTATATTACTGATGATCATATGAATTTCCTTTACTCACTAGTTATTGCTTATATATACATATAGTGATATTGATATTGTTAGGCGCATATGAAGTAGTCTTCAATCGAACGAAAAGAACATTTCAAGGCCTGGTAAGACGGGAATACTAATTCGCATTCGAATTATCCATTCATTTTATTCATATAAAACTCAGTTTTTAGTGATGTTTGTGACTCTGCTATTTTGTACCTGTATTATTGGCTTTCTTGGAACTGCTTTTGCACTGAGAATTGTTCCTTTTTGGGAACCAGCCAAATTCATCCCCATCATTGGCATGTTATTGGGCAATTCAATGAGTAGTATTGCTATGGCTACCGAACGCTGCTTGGATCATGTTAGGTAAAAATGAAATTAAGAATAAGATGATCATCATGATTCCTTTTATTATCCAATCACCCATGATCATCAATTTTTTTTTTTTTTACTCTTTGCTAAGGTTAATCATTTTTTATTATATTATAGTAAGCACGCTCCATTATTAGAAACGCGATTAGCTTATGGTGCATCAAGATACGAAGCAGCACGTCCATTGGCGGTAGAATCCATTCGTTTAGCTTTATTACCAGTGATTACTCAACTAGGAGTGATGGGATTAATCAATATTCCTGGTACAATGGTTGGATTATTACTTGCAGGAGCTCCAATAAGAGAAGCTGTTATTTATCAACAGGTGATCATGTTTATGGTGGTAGCTAGTAGTACAATAGGATCCATCATGGCAGTTGTAGTAAGTTTTTTTTTTTTTAAAAAAAAAAAAAAAAAAAGGATTCAAAAAGTGAAAAATTGTATAGAGTAACTTGATTATTATCATTTATTAATTTTTCGTTTTTTTTTTTTTTTTTTTTTTTTTTTTTTTTTTTTTTTTTTTTTTAGGTATGTCTGAAAACAGTGATTGATCAAAAACAAATGTTACGTACTGATAGGATTCATGACAACAAACCCATAGTAACAAAAACAACATTGACTAAATTAGGTCAGAAACTCAATGAATGGCGCCAAACAGCATGTATCGGGCGATATACCAAACCTAAATATGAAGAATTAGAAATGACTCCCACTTGATGATCATTTTATCCCACCTTATTATTTTTGTCCTACTTCCATCAAACTCTTGTATTATATTTCATATTGCATTCCCTCTTTTTTTTTTTGTATATTCACTATTTACCCTTAATAAAAGTTTGTTTGTTTTTTTTATCTCTGACTTTTTTTCAGTATGCAGATATATGTTTTGGGGAAGATGAATGTAAGTGAATGATAAGGTATGTATATGTCTCCGATCAATCGGCATAGTTTATTTGGCAAGGGAAAAAGCTGATCCGGTCAATTTTTACCATAACAAGTCTGCAAGACCCCGATTACATAAAAAAAAAAGTTTATAACGCCTTTTTTTTTTTTTTTTTACCTTTTTGTTTTCTTCCTTCTTCTTTTTTTCCTTATCTTTTTTTTTTTTTTTTTACCATGGTAGATAGAGGACCTATCTCTTTACCATCTGATACTCCTTCCGATAATTGGTGGCAACGTTTTCAACAATGGTTTGACAAGAAACTTGAAGGTGAACAGGCTCCTTTATTGGCTGACGCTGGTGTATCTAGAAAACGACGTAGAAGAAATATCAAAATTATTATTACATCCATTCTGATTGTGATTGTTTTGGTAATTATCACCATACTTGCTATTGACTGGACTAGAGATGAAGGTAATGGTTTACTTTTTGGAAGTGAAAGAATATAAAATACTTATTATTGTTTTTAGTATCTCCACCCAAAAAACATTCTCCAAGTGATGCTGAAAAGTTGGTGATTAGTTTGCCTTCTGCTGAAAATACACGCGACTTTTTGAAAAAATATACTTCTGAAGCTCATTTGGCCGGTACTCCCAGTGATGAACGACAAGCGGAATGGACTCGTGACAAGTTTGCAGAATTTGGTGTAGAAAGTCGAATTGATACCTATTATCCTTTATTGAATTATCCTATCGCTCACCGTTTGGCCTTGATCTCAGGTCCCAAGCATTTACAATTTGAAGCTACCTTACGTGAAGACCCTGTTGCAGAAGATGAAACAAGTTTGAATCCTGATGTTGTTCCCACTTTTCATGGTATGGAAAAAATGCATTACATTGAAATAAATTCAACTCACTTTTTTTTTTATCTATAGGTTATTCAAAGAATGGTACTGTTACTGGTCCTGTCATTTATGCCAACTACGGTACATTAGAAGATTTCCAATATCTAGTTGATCAAGGTGTCCAAGTTAATGGTACTATTGCTCTTGTACGTTATGGTGGTTCCTTCCGTGGTCTCAAATTGCGTGCTGCTGAAAAATATGGTTGTATTGGTGCTCTTATCTATTCCGATCCTATCGATGATGGACCAATAAACAAAGATCAATGGCCCTTCATCAACCCTGCAAAATCTTACCCTGAGGGACCATGGTAAATAATGAAAGAAATGTTAAAAAAGAGTTGAAGACAAAACTCTAATGGATTTTTGGTTTTTTCTTTTTTTTTTTTTTTTTGGGTGATAGGCGTTCCGAAAGTTCAGCTCAAAGAGGTTCGGTCCAATACTTATCTTTATTAGCTGGTGATCCCCTTACTCCTGGTTATGCTGCTACTAAGGATGCAGATCGTATTGCCCCTGAAGATAGTCCAGGATTGACAAAGATTCCTTCTTTACCGTTATCATGGAAAGATGCATTGCCTTTACTCAAAGCTACTCAAGGACGCGGTGTCAAGGGTGATAAGTCATGGAAAGGTGGATTGGATCAAGTGGATTATTACTCTGGTCCTACCGAAGGTGATGTCATCTTAACTAATCATGTCGACAACAAGATTACTCCTATTTGGAATGTGATTGGCCGTATCAATGGTACCGAAGAACCCGACCGTGCTATTATTCTTGGAAACCATCGTGATGCTTGGGTATACGGTGCTGTTGATCCCTCCTCAGGATCCGCTGCTTTGGTAAACAAAACAAGAAAAACAAGAAATCATCAACTGATCGACTCATACGCAATCTATGTTTCCTTTTTTTTTTTTTTTTTTTTTTTAGTTGGAATCTGTTCGTGTGTTTGGGGAACTTTTGAAAACCGGTTGGCGCCCACGCCGTACCATTATTTTTGCTTCTTGGGATGCTGAAGAATATGGATTAGTTGGATCTACTGAATGGGTGGAAGATAATCGTGATTGGCTCAACAAAGAAGGTACCACTTACATCAATATGGACACTGCTGTTTCTGGTCCTCATTTCGCTGCCAAAGCATCTCCAAGTTTGAATCAACTTTTGTACCAAGTAACCAGCAATGTGAATGATCCTCGTACTGGTGGCTCTGTATATGATGCATGGGCAAATCTTACCAAGGCAGACACTCCCCAGGTGGGTACTCTTGGCTCTGGCTCTGACTTTGTAGGCTTTTTGGATCATATTGGTATTGCTAGTTTAGACCTCAACTTCCATGGTGATTATGGTGTGTATCACAGTAATTATGACAGCTTCCACTGGATGGAAAAGTTTGGTGATCCTACTTTTGAATATCATGCTACAATGGTGCGTATTGCCAGTTCCTTAGTACTCCGACTCTCTGATGATCGTGTGTTGCCCTTCCATCCCATCGACTATGCCAAGGAACTATCAAAATACGTAGACAGCATTGAAGAATACGCTGGTGGAAAGGAATTCGATAGCATCCGAAAAGCTGTGAAAAAATTAAACAAACGCGCACGTCGATTTGAACGTCGTCTGAATCGTCTTCAAGATCGTTTAGAAGAATACAAGGGTGTGGAGGATGATGCTGTGCCAAGTGTGTTAATCTCCCGTGTCAACAAGGCCAACAAACGATTGACTTACTTTGAACGCGGATTCATTGACCCTGAAGGTATCTCTAGTCGTCCTTGGTTCAAGCATGTGGTTTACGCGCCCTCTCTCTGGAAAGGTTATGATTCACAAACATTCCCTGCTATTGCCGAAGCTATTGATGAAAAGGATAATGAACTCTTGGCTCATACTGTGGAACGTGCTGCAAAACAGATTTATGAAGCTACTGAAAAGTTGAAGGCCGATTAGTCGATTGATTTTTTTTTTTTTTTTTGGAATCTCTCTCTGTTGAAATAAAGTATTATCATTATTATTACCTATCTTTCTCTTTATTGTCTTGTGATTACATTGATATTTCAATTTGATATATGATGGATGGATAGTTTAATACAAAAAAAAATGGATTTAGCTGTGCAGAAATATCTTTCCATGATCTGTCTTTATGTTGATCAATTTGTCTCGTCTAGCACCGTAGTGATTCTCAGTTTTTTTTTTTTTTTTGATAGCTCGTATCATCTTGATGATTCCTATTAGCTAGTGTATCCAGTGTTCCTTTTTTTTTTTTTTAGATACAAAGAAAAACATCTATATGTTAGCATGATACTTTTTTCTAGCTACTGAAATCCGTTTCATCGTATAATATAAACAACCTTTATTCAAAAGATATACAATAAAAAAAAGAGAGAGAGAGAGAGAGAGAATATAGAGGGATGGGTAAGAAATATACACTAAATGCTATCTAACTACAAATAGAAGGGAGGAAGGGTAAAAATATATATATAAAAAAAGAAGAAGGGTATACAAAAGTCATAGTATTTCATCCTATTTGACCTTTGTCTTTTCCAACCAAAATCTTGATCAATATACTATTGCTGCTGATATTTTTCATTCAAAGTGGTATCAGTAATATCATGTGTTACTTGTTCATTGATAATTTCGGTATCCTTGGCAGTCATGGTGGTGTCATCATAATTTCCTTCTTCCATAGCATCCAATACCTTGCTTTCATTCTTGCCATCCTTGACAGTGTTGGGTTTCTTCAAGTCGAATTCCTTTTCCAGTGCTTTGTATCCAAGCCAACGATATACTATGGCACTCACCACCCAAGTAACAATAAAGGCTCCTACAATAACGATACCAATCCATTCAAAACTGTCACTGAGAGTGTACCAAAAGCTCCACCATCCATTTTCCAAATTCAATTGTTCCCCAATCAATGAAAAAAATTCAATCAATGCTACTAAACATGCTACCACGACACTAATGGATGTGATGGTCAAGTTGTAATATAGTTTTCGTACAGGATTGATGTAAGCCCATGTATAAGTGAATAACATAAGCATACCATCTAAAGAGTCAATCAATGACATCCCTATGAAACAAGAAAAAAAAACTAGTCAATATTTAAATTACATCTTTTATTTACTTTACCTGAAGCAAATAAGAGAGGTAACAAGATGATCAACCACATATTCATACCCCTAGCACCTTGTACAGCTGTGATGCCCAACAAGATGATTTCAGTCGAAGTATCAAAACCCAATCCAAACAAGAGTCCAAGAGGATACATCTTCCAAGAGGCATTGACAAAACGAAAGACAGGACGGAAAAAACGACCCATGATCCCACTCTTGTTCAAATAATCCTCTATGTCCAATTCTGTGTATACACCTTCTTTCTTAACACGACGAAGAGTCCGAAGTACACCGACCAGTACGATAATGTTCAAAGTGGCAATCAGAACCAAAAAAGCAATAGAGACTGATGTACCAATAATACCTCCAATATTTGAAAAATCATCGATGCCATTGGCCACTGCGTTGGCTGTTGCTGCTACAATCACGGAGACAATAAATACAATGGTAGAATGTCCTAGTGAGAAAAATAAACCAACACTGACCGGATATTGGTTATCATTCAACAGTTTCCGAGTAACATTATCAATAGCCGAAATATGATCTATTATTAAAAAAAAAAAAAAAAAAAAAAAAAAAAAGGTGAGGTTCTTTTGAATCAAAAAAAAAAAAATACCATTACCCCACACTAATCCCCAGAATATGAATGTATTCTATTTTACCTGCATCAACAGCATGACGAAGACCTAGAGTATAAGCCAAAGCACCAGTGCCCACCATAGAAGGGTAAGGTTTATAGACAATAACAGCCACGACCCAAATAACAATATTGACGATGCATAGGAATCCAAATAAAGCCAGAACCTTGGGACGTACTTTATTGGGATCAGGTCCAAAAAATAGTTTGTATATAAATGAATGTTCAGATAAGAATTGTAAAGCCCATTGTTGTAAACGAGTTGGTTGTTCTGGTGACGAAGACATTGTATAAGTGTTAATGGGAAAACTAACAAACAATGTGTAAGATTTGAAAAAAAAAAAAAAAAAAAAAAAAAAAAAAAAAAGCGGAAAGAAAAAAAAAAGGTACTTTCTTATACCTTATATGCTTCAGTGGCTACACCATCTTTCAAAATACCCCTCCATCTTATCTCCGCAATCTGATTGATCCCTCTTAAAAATGAATCATCCTTCTTGCCTATCTTTGATAACATTCACTCTTCAATTATACTATGAGTCTACTCAACCTCTTCTCAAAATTCTCCCTTTTTTTTAGTTAAATTAATAATAAATAAGATTTAGGTTACCACGTTTGATTCAAACATAATATTGATGATGATCATAGTATAAGATCACAGAAGGCGTCAGGATTGAACTACCGCTCCGCGAAAAGTTACAGTGTGAGAAACCAAGAGATAAAGACTGCGTTTTGATAGGGGATCGGGTATTGATCCTATTTGATCTCTTACTTTTTTTTCTCGATATTGTTTTTTTAGTATATTCAGATGCTTCTTTCTCCGAGCAAAAAGGGATGACTATTTTTTTTTTTCGTGTCTATGAAATCAAGAAGGTTTGATCATCCAAAGATCGCTCTTGTTTTTCCTTAAAATAAAAGATCGTTACTTCCTATTGGCTGATGTGGGGAAACCTATACTAATGATTTCATCTTTTAGAAATTCTTTCTTTTTTTTTTTTGCGCGACATCAAAACAAATTCGGTTTCATAAAATGTTTCGCCCTTGAATAGTATCCACTCGGGACTAAAAATGATGGTTACCTAAGAAACTGTATAAATGATCTGTGCGTTTGCATAAAAGTATAAATACAATTTTCTTTTCCTCGGAGGACTGGTTTTCTTTTTTTTTTTTTTTTGACGATGGATGATGATTAAGTGATGAGGATGGCATGATGGTTGAAGATAATAGATGATATGTGATGCATGGCGACTTGATATTTCTTATGATCATAGTGATGAACCTTGCCTTTTTTTTTTTTTTTTTTTGTGATCATCATCATAGTGATGATTTGATGACATTATCAGTTCCATTTTTCCCCTTGTCGAATCTTACCATTAGTATAGGATGAACTGGTTGATGATTGTTTCATATGAGTTATATTTATTTTTTTTAAAGTTCAGAGGTTGTCATTATGCTGTCAATTCAATTGAGAATGCGGGGTTTTCCAATGAATGCAGTAACAGACGGACGTTTATAAAAAAGAGACAGTTCCAGCCTTAAAGTAAGGGCAAACCTTTTTGGTTATCACACAATGACTTTCATATCCCGCTTTTTCTTTGAGTGACCATCATGGAACCTGCATGGTCAATGAGACTAATTTATCATCATCATCATCATCATCATCATCATCATCACCACAGTATCAAAGCAAAATAGGATGATGGAAGTGATATTAGTCGTATCAAATATGTTTTATAAAAGTAACATTTTTTTTTGTCAAAATAGCTATTGTCAACAGAATTGAAATAACATTGAGTTTAAGGTTGATGTATAGAAAGGATTCCTGTCATCATCATACCCTCCCCCCTTCTTTTTTTTTTATGCTTTCACTACATCATCTGGCAGCCCTATCCGTATTTTGTGGGAGGTACTTTTTTTTTCTCCAATAGATTCCAGGTTCCAAAAAAGGAAACAAACTATAAAAGCGTAAAAGATCTTAAACCAGTCGTTATGTTTCTTAGGCTGACATTTTTTTTTCCCTCCTCATGCATATTATTCTTAATTAGATTTGGAGGGAAAGAATCAGAATGGATGCTGTTTCCCGCCAACTTGAATTCATCATCATTAATTTTTTTGGTACAGAATGAAAACTTTTCTCTTATGATTTATTTTTTTTAAAGTAGTGTATCAACTATTTAGGAAAAGATGTTTCAGATAGACGATTAAACTATTAGTATTGAATAAAACAGTTTGTTGACCCAAGAAAAAAAAAAGAAGAGTAGAGAAGAAATAAGGGATGTAGAAGTTAACCCCTTATACATGTGACAGTTTACAAGTGATGATGATGATGATGATGATGAAAGGGGAAGGAAGGAATAAGTGTCCATAAAATGATATGATTCTATAAAAAAAAAAACAAGAATGGGTTTTTTAATGTTGTGATCTTAGCGTTATTTATGAAAATTGATTAACCTTTTTCTCCTTCAAATGGTAAAATATAAAGACTTGAACCAAACTAATGGGTTTGAGGTTGATCAATGCTATTCTTACTTTTGTTTTTTAAAAAAAAAAAAAAAAAATGGGGGGAACACAAAACGAGGATCATAGATATATTGTGCAAAAACGTCCTTGACCATGCCAAATAAAGTAACTCCGATACGGGTAATCGTTACAACATTTTCACACACCATGTCGACAAATCAATGCAAATGGTCATGGGGTCTCCTTTTGATGTATCACAAGGTTGGACAAAAAAAAAAAACGTTCAAAAAAAAAAGGGAGTGATTTAGTCAACTCTTTTTTTTTTTTTTTTTTTTGGGCTCTCGCTCGATTTCTCGGTCTCTTCCTTCAAAAAAAAAAAAAAAAAGGTGTTTACCATTATGTCTACTTGACCAAGCATTTTGTCAACATGAGTGATTGGATTGGTTGACGGAAATTGAAAATTGTTCTATAAATGATTTAACTTCCCCAATTGATATTTCTCTTCCTCTTTCAGTTTTCCATCACTTTTTTTTTCTTTTTTTCTTTTTTTATTTCATTTCTTCTCATTATGCAATCATCAATGGATACGCTTTATTATCACCCAACTTTAACTCATTCTCTTTCTCTGGACAGTGACTTTATGGAACAACCTGATGATCATATTTTGTATGACAAGCAATCAACGTCCCCGCCTTCTACTATGTTTATGAAAAGGTATGTTTTGATATAATCATTTTATAAAATACTCACTTTTGTTTATGTAGATCTTCTCTAAGCAAAGCAGAACGAAGAGCGGAACATAATGCTATTGAACGAGCAAGGCGGGAAAATTTGAATAGCAAATTTCAACAACTGGCAGAATCTTTACCTAACCTTCAAAACTATCGTCGTCCATCCAAAGGTCAAATTGTGGAAAAAGCTTTAGATTGGGTACGACAAAGCATCAGTAAAGAAGATCGATATCAATATCAAATTCATCAATTACAAAGGGAGAACAAACGACTACTGATGCAACTCAATTTACAACAACAGCAACAAGATGGTCAACTCACTCCTCCACCAATCATGTCTCACACTCCACCTCAACAACAACAACAGTTACAACAACAGCTGCAGTTACAACAGCCTATGCAACAACAACAACATCAACAACAACAACAGCAACAACAACAACAACAACAACAACAGCAGCAGCAACAACAACAACAACAACAACAACAACAACAACAACAGCAGCAACAACAGCAACAACAACAACAACAACAACAACAACAGCAACAACAGCAACAACAGCAACAACAATCTGCTTCCTCAGCATCTATGATGGTACCACCCCAATTGGTGACTTCTCCTTATTCAATCGCTTCCAGTTCAAGACGTGGATCAAGTTTTATGGATGATGAAGAAGATCGTGGTGAATTCAATCTTATACCTACCAACGCAGTTGCTATGTCATCAGATCTTTACTTTTATAATGCCTTCTCATCTCCTATGGATGTTACTTCTTCTTGGCCAAAATTCAATCAATCTACTCCTACTATAGTTCATCCTACTGATTTACCTTTTTAAAATTGGTTTTCTTTTACTTTATTATTTTTTTTTTTTACTTTATTTTGTTAGCAACTATCCCATCCCATCATTATCTTTTTCTCATCCTCATTATTTTATTTTGGTTATGCTTTGTGAACGTGTACGCTTATGTGCCCATTTAGTTATTTATTTTTGACTATTCTTTTTATCTACTGTATTTTTTTTTCTCTCTCTCTCTCTTTATCTCTCTTTTTATCATGTTATCATCCCAATTATCTATTTTATTTAGCTTTATGTTATTTTTTTCTCTCTTTTTTTTTTTTTTTTTTTACCATTTATTCATCCCATTTCCTCACCCCTTTTCTTCAAACACACAAAATAATAAAACTCAATCATGTTGAAACCCTTCTACCCTTGCCCTTGCCCTCAAAAAATTAAAGAAAGGATAAAATGAATAATGGCTCCATCATCACGATCATCCATAATTATAGGGATAATCATCATCATAGGGATACTTTTCATCCCAGGGATCATCATTACTATTATTCAATCATCATTACTATTATTCAATCATCATTACTATTATTCAATCATCATTACTATTATTCAATCATCATTACTATTATTCAATCATCATTACTATTATTCAATCATCATTGTTATTATTATTCAATCGTCATTACTATTATTCTATCATCGTTACTATTATTCTATCATCGTTACCATTATTCAATCATCATTACTGTTATTCAATCATCATTACTGTTATTCAATCATCATTGTTATTCTTCAATCATCATTGTTATTCTTCAATCATCATTGTTATTATTATTCAATCATCATCATTCTCATTCAATTACCATAGCATCATAAATTCATCGTTATCAAAAAAAAAAAAAAAAAAAAAAAAAAAAAAAAAAGAGATCATTATTAACTTGAAGTCATCCTCATTAAAGGGATCATTGTTACCCTAGATTCATCACCATTAAAGGGACCATTATCATCATCATAGCAGTAGGAAGAATAGATTTATCTTTAATAATGCCACGGGAACTTCCCTTTCATTATGCGACTCTCTCCTTTTTTCGTTACAATTATCCCTTACATATCACTACAAAAAAAAAAAATATTTGCTTTTGGGAAAAAAAAATAAAAACAATCCTACTCAGCATCCGAAACAACGCCAATAAGACATTGTCAATTGTTGTATGTGCGAATAAAAAGAACAAATAATGTATCATCACCACTTAAGGACCCAAGAAAGAGACGAAAAAAAAAAAAAAGGAAAATCTCTCATCCAAATTTGGTAACCTAGGGAAAAGAAGCTTAACATCAACATCATAAAGAATCACCGATCGTGAATCATTTTACTAGATAAAAAAAAATATGGAAGGGACTGGGTTACAACCCTGGAGTTCGTCTATAAGTTAAGGTGATGATAGAAGTAGGAAACTAAGAAAAAAAAAAAAAAAAGAGTACTTTTTTTGTCCCACCCTGACCATCCATTCTTTACTTGATGCTCGTACTACTCTATGATCGGAGTCCTGCCCAACACTGTCATGCATATGGACTGCTAGACTAATTTCAACCCATACGACCATCACATAGCACGCTCATCCGCACACTTGTTTTGAAATATATTCTATCGCTTAACGTAATGCATTCCTCCTTTTCTAAACATCAAGCTTTTTTTTTCTCTTTGTCATGATGACAGTTAACTCCCCATCGAGCCATATCATCGGTAAAAGGAGATTGTTTTTTATTTCGTAAGTTGATTGCATCTGTATAATTCTGTCAAGATTGAACGCCTGTCAAGCAACATCATGAACATTGATACCCTCTACAATGGATGACATTGATACATCCTATTTAATTAAGGTATGTTGTTAAGAAAGAAATGTGTCACCTTTAGGAATTATCATCCATTCAATCAACCATTCAACCATCCACTCAACCATCCATACAACCATCTATTCAATCATCTATCCATCATAGAATCCAAATCATTGGGTATCGTTGCGTTATTGGTTGTCATTTACCTCGTGATTGTCAAGCCCGTCAAACAAAAGCTCGTCATAGATAACTCGATTGACTAGTCCACTGAAGTAGGCGCACTACATGATAACCTTTTTCGTTCTAAACTATAACCCCTAGACTGAACTTTAAATAACAAGAAAAAAAGAAAAGGGTTTACCCGATTTTTTTTTTTTTTTGAGATTCCCTTTTTTTTCCCTCCTTTTCGACTTGCCTTATTTGTATGCGGTTTTTTTTTTTTATTTATTTATTCATTCATTTCATTATCATCTCATTATTTTAGATCAACCACGTTATTTACACATTGTTACTTCATCTTCATACCCTCGTTTTTCCTTTATATAACTCATCATAATAAATAGATGCAAGACCGTGGTAAAAGATGATGATTAAAATCATGATCGTCTTTCACCCCCTTATTGTAGTTATTAATTATGGCACTTTCTTGTTATTGTTGTTATTGTAGTATTTGTTGTTGTTAATGATTTCAAAATGCCACTTTTATTTCCATATAATAAACTAAACTTAAATTTAGTTTCATTCAACTCCTCAGAAAAAAAAAAAAAAAAAGAAAAGAAAAGAAAAGAAAAAGTCCAAGTCATACCAGAAAAGGAAGATTCATTGTATTTTCGGCTCCTGAGAAGAATATTTCCCATTTTATTTTACTTGATGTCCCTTAAATTGCCATGTCAAGAGAGAGGGAAATGTAAATAAAACGAGGTGGGTTTTTTTTTTTGTCAGGATAAAATGATCAAAAAGAACACTGAAGAAGAAAACCAGTCATCTGCAGGAAAAAAAAAAAAAAGAAACATGAAAAAATGAAGATCGGCCATCGTTCTAAAAAGGAAGGCGGAAATCCTATCAAGTCTGTTTCACAAACAGTGAGAAAAGCATATAAGAGAAGAAAAAAAAAAAGGGGGGTGATAAAATGGATGATTGGGAGATGAATAACTTCTGAATAAGACAGTTAGAACAAGAGAAGTAAGAAGTATTTAGGACATGACATAAAAACAGAAGAAGACGTAAATAAAAAAAAATGACATCGAAGGTATTATTATGGTTACATTCATTTAAGATTCAAGTGGATTAAGAGTCATTCAGAGAAAAAAAAAAAAAAAAAAAAGGAGGGAAGGGAATCTTTTGGATCTAAGGAGTAAAAAGATCTAAGTATCTACAATCTTAATTTCTTTTTTTATTATAAACAATTTGAGAAACATGTAAATGTGCTAATCACTTGGATTTTATTTCAATGGTAAAAGAAATGATATATATCTCTAAACTAATCGCCCTAACAATTATTCATCTTATGTCCAATATCCCAAGTTTCTATCTTCTTTCCTATTCCTAATCAAGTTGTATTCGTCCTTAGAAAAAAAAAGATTCTTGAATTTGATGTTGAATAAACTAACGAAACAAAAAAAAAAAAAAAAAAAAAAAAAGATACAAAAAAAGTTAGTATACAAGAAGTATGTATTTCCCAGAAATACCTTTGATAACCAATGATACATCAATCCTATCTAGTCCCAAATCAAGATATAAACGATGAGATCGTTTCTTTTTCTTTTTTCACTACACATCATGCCTACACCTTGTAACTATACCTTGTCGGAACCCAGTCGATATATTAAATGCGGGGGATAGTCTTCGATTAAGATAACACGTGGGGTATCACTTAGCTCAAAGACAGCCATATACCATATAGACCCTGATAACTAGTCAAGTTTTGTTTTTCTTCTATTCCTATGAATATATAAAGATATTACTACATTTATAGAGCAAAACAAAAGAAAAAGCAATCAGGATGAACATTTTGTACAGAAAGTAGATGATTTCTTCTTATTACCTTGATAAACCAAAAGGTATACAAAGTCGACCCAGCAAAATAGATTCCCTTTCCTTTTTTTTTTTTCTGAGTATACCTTGGCATTCATATCCTTGCTAGTCTGTCATCTTGCACAATTTTGATATCCAAAGGTCTATTCACTCATTCTATTTGAAAACCGAATTTGTAATTAATTTCTCTATCTATCATACTCAGTATTTGTTTTTATTTTGAAATCATTTCCCTATTGTTCATCTTCCTTCACTTACCGTCCTGATTATTCTTCTTTTTCCGTTCCTCTTCGTATTGAGCCAGTATCACAGTATTTCTTTGCAGCATCAGTATGTGTACGTAGAGATTGTAGTTGGTTATTATCTTCTTATATGCACGGAGTACTAATCCATAATTGGTTATTCTTGGAGTCCAGTAAGCGATCCGTTTTTCGTCAGGTTTGTCAGTCCATACTCTATTTTCGAGAGAGGAAGAAAAAAATAAAAAACAAAAAAAAAAAAAAAAAAAAAAAGAAATAAGTATACTGGTTTGAATAGTGTAAGATAATTTGTCACTATTTCCTTACCAAGAGTATCTCAAAAATAAAAAAAAAAGACCTTTGTTGTTATGCATTGCCAATCTATGATGAATCCCTTCTTGATAGCAGTTCAATCCAAAGTAATCTAGTTATTCGTTTGTATCGTATGCTTTACTAAGCTACCGTCATTGTTGAAACCCATAAGATAACACCATAGAAGGTTATTGTCGTTATCAAAGTCGATATCAAGGAGAATGTTTGTTCATCTTTTTGTCCTCCATAACCATTGTAGACACGGAGTTGCTGTTTATTGAAACGATTTAGAAGAATATCAATGACACTGGTAATATCCTATTTATCATACGTTTCTAGGGTGTAGAGATCGCTGACTAACAGTGAGAGAGAGAGAGAGAAAAAAAAAAAAAAGGAGACTAAAAGAAAAGAATAGAAAGGGAAATCTGATTCACTCACTATGCGGCATCTCAAATTCAACGTCAAACTTTTTTTTTTTTTCCTGTATTTCAAAGAATTTTTTTCTTCACTTTTTTTGATTCTTCCTCTTTTATTTCATCTACTTTTCTTGGTATCATGGTAAGTACAAAGTTGATAATATTTATATCAGTTTAAACTTTTATGTTCTTCAAATGATTATATCATTGAAGAATAGAAAGGATTAAATTAGATAGATGGATGGATGGATGGATGGATGGATGGATGGATAAAAAAAATATTTTATAAATACTAATTTTTTTTTTAATTTCGTTTTGATCATGGATAGTCTCACCGAAAGTACGAAGCTCCCAGACACGGTCATCTTGGTTTTAGCCCTCGTAAGAGAACTCGATCTCACCGTGGTCGCGTAAAGGCCTTCCCCAAGGATGATCCCAAGAAGCCTGTTCACTTGACTGCTTTCATGGGTTACAAGGCTGGTATGACCCACATTGTCCGTGATTTGGAACGTCCTGGCTCCAAGATGCACAAGAAGGAAATCGTCGAAGCTGTCACTGTTATCGAAACCCCTCCTATGGTCATCATTGGTGTTGTTGGTTACGTCGAAACTCCTCGTGGTCTCCGTACCTTGACTACTGTCTGGGCTGAACATTTGTCTGAAGAAGCCAAGCGTCGATTCTACAAGAACTGGTACCGTTCCAAGAAGAAGGCCTTCACCCAATACGCCAAGAAGTATGCTGATGGTGCCAAGGATGTTACTCGTGAACTCGAACGTATCAAGAAGTACTGTTCCGTTGTCCGTGTCATTGCTCACACTCAAATCTCCAAGGCTCGTCTCGGTCAAAAGAAGGCTCACATTATGGAAATCCAACTCAATGGTGGTGATATTGCTGCTAAGGTTGACTTTGCTCGTGAACACTTTGAAAAGGAAGTTACTGTTGGCTCTATCTTTGAACAAGATGAAATGATCGACATCATCGGTACTACCAAGGGTCACGGTTTCGAAGGTGTTACTCATCGTTGGGGTACCAAGAAATTGCCTCGCAAGACTCATCGTGGTCTCCGTAAGGTTGCTTGTATTGGTGCCTGGCATCCTTCTCGCGTCATGTACTCCGTTCCCCGTGCCGGTCAACGTGGTTACCACAGACGTACTGAAATCAACAAGAAGATCTACCGTATTGCCAAGGGTTCTGATGCCAAGTCTGGTGCTACTGAATATGATGTTACCGAAAAGCAAATTACTCCCATGGGTGGTTTCCCTCACTACGGTGTTGTCAACGAAGACTTTGTTATGATCAAGGGTTGTTGTGCTGGTGCCAAGAAGCGTGTCTTGACTTTCCGCAAGTCCATGACTGTCCACACCAAGCGTTCTGCTTTGGAAAAGGTTTCTCTCAAGTTCATCGATACTTCTTCCAAGTTCGGTCACGGTCGTTTCCAAACTCCCGCCGAAAAGCATCAATTCTTGGGTACCCTCAAGAAGGATCTTTAAATGGTTGGTCTCTTGGTCTCCTCTCATACTTAGTTAGAAAAATCATCTGTAGTTTAGCTTCTCCTGTTTTATCCTATTGTTTGATTCTTTCTATCTCATTTTATTGAAAATAATAAAACATGCATCCTTGTATCTTTTTTTATTTTGTTCAATGATTCTATGGCTAATGATATCTTTTTTTGTAATTATATTTACATGACGATGGTTTTTATTAACAAACTTTTTGTAGATTTTTCTTTTATGATAGTTATAATACATTCACATTTCAAAAAAAAAAAAAAAAAAAAAAAAAAAAAAAGGTAATGGAGACAAAGTTGAAAAAAGTTTATTTGGAATATATAGATAGTATTCAAAAGGTCTATGATTTCTTTTTAAAAACTAAAAGAGTCCACTTGCAATCCAGTTTCACCTTTGTCAACCATATTCAATTCCAGAGTATCCTAATACAATCTTCCTAGTTGAATCGAGTTGCAGCTCATCCTGTTCCCTTTCGTTTTGTTCTGCAAGTAAATCCTACATTCAGTTCGTAAATGGGTGAAGTCAATGTTACTGTAACTTATAAACAAAAGTGGCACCAAAGAATGCGTGTACCGGTTGCCATTGTTGAGAAAGAATCGATAGTGAAGAAGATACAGAAGTCACCAAAAAAAAAAAAAAAAAAAAAAAAGAAAAGAAAAGAAAAAGAAAAGAAAAGAAAAAAAAAAAAGAAAAGAAAAAAAAACTAAATAAGAAAGAAAAGAAAAGCGAACAAAAGGAAATTGATTTTTTTTTCTTTTTATTCTAATGACTGAAGTTGAATTAATTTTGAGCTACCAGCTATAATACTTAAAACAGGGAAGAGAACATCAATCGTTTTGGTTTGACTACTACAACAGTTTTGGATACAATTCAAAAAAAGATATTGTTGGATTGTATGTAGATAAAATAAAATGAAGTAAGAAAATATGAGACTAGTAATAAGTCAGTTTCTTAGTTTATTTAAAAATAAAAAATAAGAAAAATTTGCATCTCTTTTACTGTATATCTATTTTGAAGATAAAATTATAATCATCATATGATTATTAAATACCACAAATACTCTTTGTTGATAAATTTGATTAGTTTGTATGATATACAAGATTGATTCCTTTGATGATGATTATGTGATAAATATATCCTTCATGCATTAAATTAAAGCTCTTTGCTCAGGGGAAATTTAGATTAAGAGTAGAATAAATTTCAAAGTCCCCTTTTTTTTTATCATTTTTAATACGCGTATTTTTTTATTTTTTTTTTCTTTCCTTTCTTTTTCCTTTCTTTTTCTCTTCCATTAACTTTTTTTTTATGGTTTTATTGTATACATTAGTGTAGTCGTTACTTTACATATTTTTTTTATTCAATAAAGTTTTTGTTTTATTACATATCAACGGGGTCATTTCCATTTACAAGATGTATTATATATGTATGAATGCATTCTTTTTATTATACGCTTATATTACGGGTACGAAATACGCTGATACAAGGACATGTGGGTGCGCAAATTGACCGACTGGACTCTCGCTTTGGGTACTATCATTGGAATGTAGAAGGATCAAGTCGATCATGTAACTTGTAAGTCAACTGGGCGATTAGTTTTTTTTTTTATCTAACGAAGAAATATTCATCTCCTATTCATAGCCTTTTTAGCAACCTTTGTTTCGATAAACGTATGGAACTCATCAATCTAATCACCAACGACAACAGCAGCAACGACAGCAACTTTAGCGACTCCAACATCCAAGCAGTCAAAGAAATTTACTCCCACATGACTACTCGATGCCGATAAAAGAAGCGCGAATGTCTCTCATTCGAAAGACTACTCCAATTTTTGAAGGCCAAAGGGAACAAGTGCGAAATCAGCGGAATGCAAGGTAACTGGAAGCCAAAGAAGGGCAACCTTCTTCGATTGTCGATCGACAGAATAGATAGTGAGGTTGGATACTTCGAAGACAATATACAGCTAAGGCTCTTGCATCTCAACCTCGGTAAAAGTAACTCCAGTCAAGAGGAGTTTTTGGATCAGTATAACAGCCTCAAGAACAACAAATCTAAAGTACTTCAACGAATGCAACATCTTCAAGATGAACATGTCCGAATGCGACCACTAGTTGTGCGTGATATTCCATACGATGATGACGACGGCATTGACGATGAAGATGATGATGACCATGACGATCACGATGGTGATGATTGTTGTATCCAAGGTTTATGAAGTTACAATTGATATCGTAGATTCAGTAACACAGACTCTTTTATTTAATATCAGATTAGAATGACAGATTAGTATATCAATTAGTATTTTATTAAGACACTCTTTTCTCTCATCAATAAACTATTACTCAGTTTCATTGTATTTCTCTCCCTCATTTTTTTTTATTTTATTTAATCAAACATCACAACGACGACGGCAATGACGATGATGATGATGTTGATGTTGATGTTGATGATTATTACGGAGATGATGACAGTTAGGTAATGGAGGAAAACATGAATACAATCCAAAACAGGCGTGAAGCGACCATATTTTTAAAAAATGGCGTCCTATATGATTTTGGGATGGCGAGCGTATACTTTGAAATCTACTTGTTGCATGAATACGTCGAAAACCATCTGGCGTGTGCCAAAAAAAGATCGCTCCCAAGTTGTCGGTAGAGTATATTAATGATGAATGAAATGTGATGATGGATCATGGATGATTTATTTTTTTTTCGTCATAATTACATGCTTGCATTTTTGCACCTGATATAATGACTCTTTGCTTTTTGATGAATATGCTGGCGGGAACAGTGTTTTCAAAGTTTTTTGTAGGGTCACAAGAAAATGTTTTTCGTGATGTTATAAAATAAAAAATCGTACTTTCCCAAAATGGATGTCGCATTACCAGTTTTTCAGATATCGCTTTAGAGATGTCAGTAGAGTATGTCATTGATTGATGATTGATGATTGATGACTGATTGTTAGCTGATTCTTTTCAACAGGCCATATTTGGAAAAAAAATAACTATATTTTTTATATTGTATCATCATCATATTCACAATTAAGACAAGGGTATACTAATGTAATATTCATATCTTGTGATGTTCATGTGAATTTGCATAATAGTTCCTTTCTTTTTTTTTTTTTTTTAAAAAAAATACATCTACTCGGGTCTTCTTTGTTTATTTTCATTAACTGAGATATTCGATCGATCGATAACGAATGTAAATTTGCATAATAGTTCTTTTTTGTTTTTTTTCTTCTGAGATATTTTTGCCAGGTTTATTTTATTCCTTGATCAAGTGAGAAATATAAAAAAGTGCTATTTTATTTTTCTTTTTCTCTTTTTTTTCTTTTTGAAATCTCTCTTGGTGTTCAAAGTGAATATCTAACTGTACAGCAACATATAAAAATATGTTATCGCCTCTTCGGAGGACGTATTTAATGCTTCCCTACAGGTAAGTTAAAATAAATAAATATAAAAAAATGGATATGTTGACTAAATAATATTTTATTTCCTATTTTTGCGACATCTTATTCTTTGAATTCCGTCATTTTTTATTGAATAAAGTGTACATTGCATGTCCCTAAGCAATACTTTTCTTTTCTCTCTTGATCACTCTCGCTTTATGCTTATTTTATATTCACAATAACCAATTGTTATTTTGTACCTCATGGATCAAATCATTGATGACTGGATATTGCAAGTGTTGGAAATCACACAAGACCAAGTAATCCAAAAGCGTAATGAATAACAAGGCATGACCCCTCAAGAAATTATTTTGGGTAAAAGAAGATACAAACAGCAGCAAATGCTCATTGGTGAAGGTAAGCAAGACAACAAATGAAACCAATATTGTTGAAAAAGTTTACTGACTTATTTTTCTTCATATATATATATGTACATATAGCACAACATCAATTCGCGCGCGATGGTGATGGTGATAACGAAACTGGCGAAAGTGATAGTGATGGAGACAGTGATGGTAAGCACGACCATAAATGAAACCAATATTGTTAAAAAGTTTACTGAACTATTCTTTTTTTTTTTTTGACAGATACTCATGAATATCAATCGCAACCTCTTGTCACATATGATACCTCGTCCACTGCCGATAACAACTCTACTGAAATCAATGTAATGGGCTCCCTTCATGAACGCATGGAACTCAAGAATGACTCTATTATTGTCCATCCCACAAACACTACTGTCTCTGATCCCACTCCTGCCTCTCCTGTCCCTCCTACAGTTGCTCACGATGTGATTGATGACACAGTTATACGTAAGTGATATATTATTTACTCAAAGACTTTTTCTTCTTTTCTTTTCTGACCCACTTTTTTTTTTTTTTTAATTAGATGATAGTCATGAAATCCGGCGGCTAAACACAGCTCAATTTTACACTGATGCTGGGTACAAACGATCGACGAAAGAAATCAATGCCTCCAATCAACAGAATTGCAAGCACTTGAAGCAGAGATACATACCAATCGAACGACACGTATGGACGGAATACAGCGATATATTAATTCAACGTTGGCTGCTTTTATCATGATCAAACAATTTTATGATCGGCGTGACATTCAAGGTCTCAAATTTTTAAATTATCAAGGGCGCCAACGCTTAGAAAATTTAATGGTCAATATATTGATAGATGGTGGACAAAAGTATAACCCCAACACTAGAAGACGACGAAAACGAAAACGGCGAACGCAGGAACGGCGACACCAGCAGCAACAACCAGTACAGCAAAGTATGTCAAGACGGCGTAGCAATGATAACCGAACAAATCCGCCAGTTCAAAGAAATACATCAAAACCGTAAGTTTGACTGATCGAAAATACAGTGATATTAATTTTTTTTTCTTATATAGAAAATGGAAAAAGTCTGCAACCGTACCTCAATTATCAAAAGTTCCAGTGGTGGTCTTTGGAAATGCAACCTTTGGTCGTAATACCTTCAAAAACAAGCATAGCCAACTAGCAGATAAATGCCGAAGACTTCTGAAGAAGGCGGACAGTCAAGGACGTCTCGTACTCATCCATATGGATGAATACAATACATCGAAAGTGTGCTCTGGATGCGGAAAAAAGACCTTGGATGGATTGCAATTGGGTGAAGGTAATCGCATGTATTCAGTGGTAGTTTGTCGTAACTGCCTCACTGTCTGGCAGCGGGACACAAATGCTTCCAGAAATATCCGATATCTTTTCATGAACATGGTGAAATTTGGTAGCAGACCTGGAAACCTGGCAAGACCCTCCTCCATGTAACAAATACGTGTTGATGTTTACTGTGTAAGTCCCAAAAAAAAAAAAAAAAAGTATGATGCTTCTATTCGATTTACTAATCTTTTTCAATTCTGCTCTTCCTTTGTCTCTCTTTTTCCCAACTTACTTTTCCCCTCGTCCGATTCTTTTTTTTATTCGTCTGATTTCCTGTCATCCATTCTCTATCCTTACGATATCTTATTTCCTATTTTGGCGACATCTTATTTCTGAAATTGCGTCCTCTATCAGTGAACAAACTGTATCTCAATTATTACTTCATCCCGACCAAGGTTTTATTTTTCTTTTATTTATTGGTTTTACAAAATAGATGGACGACTTTGTGTTTGTGCTGATATCTATCATTGTATCTTTTCCTCCATCACTTGTTGAGTTATATCCAAAACGTTGTAGTAGTCAAGCAAAACCGATTGGTGTGCTCTTCCCTGTTTTAAGTATTATGGTTGGTAGGTCAAAGTCGATTCAAGGTCAGTTATTAGAATAAAAAGAAAAATCTACTCAATTTCCTTTTGTTTGCTTTTCTTTCGTGTTTAATCACTTTTTTTTTTTAAACTTCAGACTCAACCTCATTCTGTGCTCCTCCTCGTACTCCCACTAACATTACAAAGTCAAATATCGGTCGAGGAAGACTTTGGATATCATTGCCGTTTGGAAATGGAGCGATCAAACCAACAAGTGCGATTCCTGACGGAAGAAGTGGTAGAAATCAGCATCTTGAAATAACAAGGACAATGGGTGTGTCATCTTATTTTTCTCTACTTGGTTAAACTCTCTCTTTTACTTTCTCTCATCTATCTCTCATTGCGATGGGATTTTCTTCAAAATCTCTTTTTTTTTTCCTACTTGGCTGGACTCCCTATCCTTTTCTCTCAGCTCTCTTCGTTATGGTGATGATTTTTTTTTTGAAGATATTTTCCCATGTCTTTGGTCTTTTCTCTATCTTGTTTGTCTCTTCCCATTTGGTTGGTCTTATTGATCTATTGTCATTCTCTTCTGTGGTCTTATACTGTTACTTTCTTTCTTGTGTTTCCCTCCATTCAACGAGTCCAGTTGCGCTTACACTATATGTTTTGGTATGGTCATCTCTTTGATTGACATAATACAACAGCACCGGTTTATGACACAGCCAAGATAATATGTAAGTTTAAAAAAAAAAAAAAAAAAATTAAAAGTACAAGCTAAACTGATATACATATTTTATTATAGGTACAAGACCCACAACTTGCATCAAATATGCGTGATTTCCGGAACAAAGAAGCCTGGCAACCTTCATACGTTTTTGACACCAATTTACAAGGAACTCGATCTTCTATCCAGACTTGGCATCAAGGTTCAGACCAGTGATAGTCTCGTTATTCACTACAAAGTCCATCTCATGACATTCTTAGGCGATATCCCTGCTATTGCGGATACCATGAATCACTCAGGACATACGTCAAAATCTGGTTGTCGTAGTTGTGTTATGAAAGGATCAAGCTTCGAAGGATATGGTATCTACTTTCCTGGTCGTTCATCACACTATTCTCTGCGTACTGTCAATGACTTCCGTCAACCTCAGCTCTATGTAAGTAAAGGAAAAAAAAAAGGCAATCGTTATTAATTGTTTCCATATTAATTGTATAGTTTGGAATCAAAAGTTCTCCTCCTGTAGCATTTCTCAACACTTTCGAAGGGCCGAGTTTCTTTGGTTTGGAAGAAATGCATCTTTTGGGTCATGGTCTGACGAAACAATTGAAAGATCTTTTTGGTTCACCTAATGTCAATGAAATGATTCCAGACAGAAACGTTGCTGGTGGCGCATGGAAAACGTTCCCCTTCTTCCTTGATGGTATCAAGCTCGTTAATGTTGGCGAAGCTATGCTCTCTTCCAGGTGCAATATACCTTCTGAAGTTTTTGGAGGCAACTGGGACGACATTTTTGCAAGAAAAGGACGTGCAGTGGATTGGATGGATTTCTTGCTTTTTGTGGTGCCAACGCTCATTCTCCCTCATATGCTGGACAAAAAGGCTCAAGAAGTTATGCACGACATGTTGTTGGCCTGTCATCTATGTTTGCGGTGGGAAATCCGACCTTACGACTTGTCATTTATAAGACGGTAATAGAAAAGAAAAATATCAGAGATTGTTTTAGTACGTGGTATTAACATAATCATTATTTGCTGTGATTGTAGATCCATGGACAGATTCCAGAATTGTTTGAATATTGCAATGACCAAGAAGGCGATCAAGAGGAAGGTATTTACTATTACGATGCACTACTTGGGACATATATGGTATATCGTTCAACATCTTGGGCCTATGAACGTATACTCCTGCAGGTCTATGGAAAGAACAAGAAAAGACAGAAGATAGTGAAGTTAATGGGTAATTGGTGTTTACAAGAAGAGGAATCTATCAAAGTCCAACGTAGGTGCAAGTCTTCGTAAGTATTAAATCCAAATAATGGTTGTTTATACATATATATAACTTACATATGTTTATTTTATCTTGGGATACCACATAATAGAATTCGCTGTGCAAGAACTGTCGTCAATGAACTACAACAAAAAGCTGAAGTGTCTTGCAGCTTCTCCAGCTAATGCATCAACAGTATTTCTGGGAAAAGCGAAGACCTTATTGCCGCCTCCTCTCACTATCAGCATTAGAAAAAGTCTCGGTGAAGAAAGGTAATCGTAACATCCGTGCCATTGACAATGCGATCGTCCGCGATGAAATTGGTAGACAGTAAGTAAAAAAAAAAAAAAAAAAAAAAAAAACTTATTCTTTTATTGTCCTGACTTACCATTTTATTTATTTGTTTGTTTCAGTTTTTATGCCAAGGTTCTCTTCTTCTGTGTTGCTATGATTGCTGGTGTACAACGGGATCTCGTCGCAGTGCAAGCATTGATTGGAATGGTTCATGGGGACAACACAATATCGAATATATTCTCGTACTGGAACTGTCGGTGTGGTGTTTACCCTGGATTGATTCTTTTGGATACAACGCAAGTTGCTGGTGTATTTGGTTTATTGGATGATGTAAAGGACAAACACATCAAGCATCTCGTCACTCCAATGGATTTGGTCTGGGAAATTCCTATGTTGTCAAATATAGATATTAGTTAACATAGCTAGTAGCTTCGTGATAGCGGATTAGAAATATGACTTTTTTTATTTTTTTTGAAATTTTAAATTATCCCCAATTTTTTTCATGCCCTTTTCTTTCCTTTTGTCTTTCTTTCCATTTTTATTTTTTTTTGTCCTTATTTTATTTATTTTTTTTTTCATTTTTTATTTGAACCGTGTTTATCACGGTAAGTACATTCCTTAACTTTTTTTTTATGTTTTATTGATTATGACTCTTATGCTTAAAATAAAATTATAGGTTCTTTTATGCTTCTCCGCCCGAAGATTCCTATTTTTTCCTTTTCTTTTTTTTTTTTTTCTCTTTTCTCATCCTTTTTTTTTTCATCATCCTTTTTTTTTAACAAAATAAAACGCTTTTATTTTTAAATAGCATATATTCACTTCATTCTATCCTTCCATTTACATTTATTTACACTTTATTTCATATTACTTTCTAGTGCCATTACCTTCATGGCTGTGGAATTGGTGTAGATTGTGTGGTTAAAATAAAAAAAAAAAGGAGACGAGAACAAGTCTGTGAAATTTCTTTTTTTTTATTTGAAAATAGTTAAAAAAGAGACAAAGTATCTACACAAAAGGTTTTGTTGGTCTTATATATAAGTGCGTGGTGAGTGATGCGTAATACTAGTATCATCATACTATATTTATGATTGGTGATCAAATTTTATTTTTGTTTTTTTTTTTTTTTTTTTTTTTGTTTTGGTTTGTAATACTGTTGTCATACAGGGCGTATAATCTTATTAGTATTTTATTTTTCATTGATGTGATGAATCATCATATGTGTAATGATTCATTATATTAGTTGCCCTGGAACGTTTATACATTGATTTATATCTTTCTTGATAGTATCAAAAGAACATGAGCATAATAACTTTCAAAGTCCGTACTTTTATTTTTAATTTTTATTTTTTTTTTCATTTCTTTCTTTTCTTTATAATAACTTTAGTTATAGTATATCAATTAGTAGTCTTTAGTAGTTATATTTTTATTTAATAAAACTTTTTATTTTTATTCCAACTACTTTGTTACATGTCAATGTAATTGATTCCATCTTACAATGTATTTTTTTTTATTCTTTATTTGTGAATGCATTCTTTAGTTTTATTTTACGCATATGGTTACGAAATACGCTGATACGACAATATTGAAGCTACAGAAGATATAGTATAAAAACGTAAAAATAAAGAAAAGTAAAGTCAAAAGTAAAAAAGATAAGGAAAAAAGAAACTAGAGACAAAACCGAGAATCAGGATTTCTAGCCTGGTTTCCTGAATAAATTGAGACAATGTGACACCAGATCGCCAATGCTTGGTTATGATTGGTTGAAATTATTGATGAGGTTCATAATCAATTAATTTTTACACGAATTCGGTTTGTCAGTTTGTCCGAGCGGTTAAGGAGTGTGACTCGAAATCACATAGGCTCTGCCTGCACAGGTTCGAATCCTGTAGCTGACGCCATTTTACACTTTTGAAGAGGAAATAGTTTATTAATTTTTTTTTTTTGTTGTTGTAGTTGTTGTTTTTCGTAAAGGAAAGCATTAGCAAAAGTTGTGTTGGGTGATTTTTTTGTTTTTGGGTTCAAAATTGAAAAAGTAAAACGGATGATTGAAAGTTAATAATGTTTATAGTGAGCACCAGTACTTGATTACGCAAGCACACGTATAAGAATAGAGATAAAATAAAAAAGAAAAGTAAAGTAAAGAAAAATAAAGTCTTGTTCCAAATTTGGAAAGTAGAAGTAGAGTAAAATTGTTCTGAGTTAGAATATAGAACAAAGTGAGCCAATCAAAATAGATAATCCACAATATAATCAAGTAGGGATGTAAAGATGTTTTTATTTAAAAAAATATATAAAATATTGACTGATTGAACTAAAGAAAAAGAAAAATAAAGGAAAAAGGTAGGGTATTTATACTATTTGAAATTTAAGGTTAAAAAATATAATATGAAAAAGAAAATGAAAACGAAAATAATAAGTGAAATAAAAAAATATAAAATAGAATGAAAATAAAAAACGGAGGTAAAAATGAAAGTAAAAATTGAAAATAAAATTATTTTTTTTTTTTTTTTTTTTATAAAATCTTTTTTTTTTTTTTTCATTCAACAGTTGCTATATCAGAGGGATTATATGCATTGCATATTTTTGACACATTTGACAATCCCCAAATTCTCACGGGAAAACATGCGGAGATAAAATCTACCGTGTGAAAAAATCTTTATCTGCCATTGATTTTACCTTTTTTTTTTTCTTCCTTTTTCTCCTTATTTTTTTTTTTTCTTTTTATTATTATTTTTTTTTTCTCATCTTTCCTTACCCCGCCATATGTTACGATCTACTTTTTTACGTCCATTACGTAGTCTTACAACAAATAATTATTATTTATCTATTAGTGGGAAAGTACGTTCAAGACCTTTTTTTTTTTCATTAATTTGAGATTATTCTTAACTTTTTTTTTTATTTTCTGATATAGGCATTTTATAGTGCTACTTCAGCCAATGTACACGCTATTGAAGCAAGTAAGGAAAAGGTTGGATCCAAATGGGCAAGCGAAGATAAATTCACAAGTGATATGACCTTTGTACAAAATATTGAACCTTTGAAAGCTTATCGGGTGATGGATCATACTGGAACAGTGTTGAACAAGAGTCATGAACCCAATATCTCTGAAGAATTTGCTGTTAATCTTTACAAGAAAATGTCACAATTATATATTATGGATGGTATTCTATATGAAGCACAACGTCAAGGTCGTATTAGTTTTTATATGACTCATTATGGTGAAGAAGCTACTATGGGAACAGCTGCAGCTTTACAACCAGAAGATATGATATTTGGTCAGGTAAATTATACATATTTCTTAGATTGATGATTGATTGAAGAGGGATAAAAAAAAAAAAATAGGATTAACCATTAATTATATATATATTTAGTATCGTGAATCCTTTATGCTTGTATACCGCGGTTTTACTATAGATGAATTTGTCAATCAATGCTTCTCAAACGAACTGGATTATGGTAGAGGCCGACAAATGCCGATTCATTATGGTACCAAGAAATTAAATTTCCAAACCATCTCATCACCTCTTGGTACTCAAATTCCTCAAGCTGCTGGTGCTGCTTATGCTTTCAAATTGGCTGGAAAGGATGCTTGTAGTATATGTTTCTTTGGTGAAGGTGCTGCTTCTGAAGGTGATTTCCATGCTGGTCTCAATATGGCTGCTACTCTTAATAGTCCAACTATCTTCTTCTGGTAAGTTTTTATAATACATACATACATATATATATATTCTAATTTAATATTTTTATTAGTCGAAACAATGGTTTTGCTATTTCAACACCATCTTCTGAACAATATCGAGGTGATGGTATCGCTAGTCGTGGAGTTGGTTATGGTATTGATACAATTCGTGTGGATGGCAATGATGTGTGGGCTGTTTACAATGCTACCAAAGCTGCAAGGGATATTGCTGTAAAAGAAAAACGACCTATCCTTATTGAATCTATGACTTATCGTATTGGACATCACAGTACTTCAGATGATTCTACAAAATACCGTGATCGCAAAGAAGTGGAAGAACGTGCACAATTTGATAACCCTATTACCCGTCTTCGTCGTTACTTGGAACAAAAACAGTGGTGGAATCAAGAACAAGATGATACCTGGCGCAAACAAATCAAACAATCTGTACTGACAAGTTTTGCTGCTGCTGAAAAGAAGAAGAAGCCTGCTTTGGAACATATGTTTACTGACGTTTATGATGAAATGACGCCTAATTTGATTCGCCAAAAAGAGGAATTGGAACGATTGATCAAAGAGTACCCTGAATATTACCCCACAGATGAATTTGCTCCCTCTTCTTCATCATCATCGTCATCACCGTCATCATCATCATCATCATCATCATCATCATAGATTTTAGTTACTTTTTTTTTTAACATCATCTTATTTAGACAAAATAAAAATTTATTATACTACTTTTAATCAATGTCTACATTGGATCAACATATTTCGTTCCCCACCCTCCATTTCATTGTTTGAAAAGAAGAAATGGAAAATGGTTAGTGTCATGATCAACTAAATATTATTTGTATATATGCACTTATCAAAAAAAGAAGAAAAGAAAAGAAAAGAAAAGAAAAGAACAAACAAGGATCTAAGGATCAAGGAAGACAGACAGGAGAGGCAAAGGACAACAACCAGAGGCAAAACGAGAACACGGACAGCAAGGAAAAACGGGGAAACGAGAATCACAAACAAGAATGGGAGTGTTCTGTCGCGTGTGATCAGGTGAACGGAAAGAAGAAGATACTAACAAGGAATCAGTCAAATAGAAGCAAATATTTTTTTTTATAGAAGAAAGAAAGAGAAAATAAAAATAAGTCTCTATTATATTGTTTTTTTTTTTTCCTCCAATCACATGGAAGCTATCAAATAATGATGATTATTCTATTAAATCAAATCAATCATCTAATCATTATATGTCATAAAATAGTATATAGAATACATATCTCTTGTTATATTATTAAGAGCATGATTGAATATCGGAGATGAAATTACCTGTCCAACAAAAAAAAAAAAAAAAAAAAAAAAGAAAAAGAAAAGAAAAAGTGGACGTGAGACCCTCCTTTTCTTTTTTAATTCTTCTTTCCTTTTTATTTTATAGACGTAGACATATACATTCCATCAATGCCTGCACTTGACCTTCGTGGTTGTTTAGAGGATTCTCCTACATTTAGAAAACGCGTTAACTCCCATGAAGAATCCTTATCAAATTTTGAAACATCTTTAAAGATGTTGATCAAACTCACTCGGTCTCAAATGGAACTATCAAGTTGTAAGTTACCATCTAATTTATTTCATTGCCTAATTATTTTTCCTTTTTTTTTTTTTTTTTTTTTTTTTTTTTTTACATCATGTTTAGCTTATAGTCAACATCAACAGGAACTTGCACGTGAGTTCACTACCTTTGCTCATTCACAGGATGACCCTATTGTTGGTAAAACTACACAATCAAAAAAAAAAAAAAAGACATTTTATTTATTCTATTGAATTTATATATATATATATAGCTTATGCTCTTGAAAAGTTTGGAAAATCTATGTTTGAAGTTGAAAAATGCAGATCTATGTTTGTAAGTTTTACTATATAAAACCAATGGAAATGAAAGATAATATATATATATTCAGATATTTATATTATTTAGAATGCTCATGTTGCCGATACCTTTATTCATCCTCTGGAAACGTTTGTCAAAGATATTATTTATCCTATTAAAGTAAGTTGACTCTTTACAACTATTCTTGTTTGATCTGTATTCATATGTCTATATTATACAGGATTTGAAAAGGCGATTTGAAAAAGCTAGTGATGAAGCTGATACAGCATTAGCAAAATATATGGCCAAAAAACCAAAAGATCCGACTCTGGGCGAGGTAAGTGATAACAAAATTGAAAAAAAAAAAATGATACTCACCTCAATGAAAGGCTGCTAGAGAATTAGGTGATGCTAGAAAGGTTTTTCATCAACTCTATTTGGAATATGTCTCCAATCTGAATTCTATTGAAGCGAAAAAGAAAGTGGACTATATGGAAAACGTAAGTGGAAATTTAGGATAACATTGAACCTAGTAAGGTATAAATACCCTCATGGTCTTTTTTTTTTCCTTTTTTTTTTTTGATCTTATTATAGGTGATGGCCTACATCTATACAGAATCTGTTTTTCATCATCAAAGTTATGAAATATTGAAAGATCTCGAACCTTATATGCGCGATCTCACTGGTACGAATTCAAAAAATAGCCTTATTTTTATCTAAAGCACACTAACCTGTTTTTTTTTTTTCTAGGATTACTTCATGACGTATGTTATATTACCAACTTACACAACACTCATCACTAACAAATAAAAACACATGTATCATCTTTTATCAATATATTAGTCAAGACAAAGGCACTCAGAAGAAGCTATGGAAAGCAATATTTATCAAGAGTTATGCGCACAAGTAAGTGGAGAGTTTTTTTTTTTTTTTTTTTGTGGCTTCAAGTGCATTTACACAGTCTCTCTTTTTATTATTATTAATATCATCCTTGTCATTACTTTGTTTAGAACTTAGCTGACAATTATAATCCAATACAAGACAATGGTTATTCTGAAACATTATCTAAATCAAACAGCAATACAAATTCAAAATCTGGATACTTGTTTGAACGTAGAGGTGGTCGTGTTTTACAAAGCTGGAATCGTAAATATTATGCGATCGATGGTGAAGATCTCATATGTACAACTCGTGGACCAAAGGTAAATCTCAACAGTGAATTTTTTTTTATTCCCATCTTTACTGATCTCATATTATTTATAAATGGTAGTCCTCCAGAGAAGAAGATCAACCACAAACTTATAATCTACGGGTCTGTAGTGTCAAGACAAGTGATAATTACGATCGACGCTTCTGTTTTGAACTGATTTCTCCAATGAGGTAAGTAACTAAATGGAAGTAGCAAATATTGAAAAAGATGGAAATCGATCAACAATATAACCTGATGAATCTTTTTTTTTTTTGATCCATTACTGTAGAGTGATTGTACTACAAGCAGAAAATGAACGTGACATGCAAGAATGGGTGGATTCTATACGTACAGCAAATCAATTAGCTCTCAATTCTGACAAGGCACCAACGCGATCTTTACGGACTCTTCCTACACAGAAAGGGGTAAGGACAATGAATTTAAATGGAATAATTATACAGAAATTAAGTCGAGTCACTTGGTCCTTTTTTCTTTTTAGAGTCGACCTTCATCCACGAAATCAAAGGATTCAGATGATAATCGTGAACTACTACAAAAACTTCGACAAACTCCTGGCAATGAGGTCTGTGCTGATTGTGGTGCAAAAGGTAAGAATAAGAAAAATGGTATGATGAATAAAATAAATCGGACTCATATCAAGGTTCGCTTTTATATATGATTATTATATAGAGCCTGAGTGGGCAAGTACCAATCTTGGGATTATTGTCTGTATTGAATGTTCTGGAATTCATCGTAGTCTTGGTGTCCACGTTAGCAGAGTCAGAGCTATTGTTTTGGATAAATGGGAAACTGAAGTTATTGAAGTAAGTATTTTGCTTTTTCTTACTTTTTTCCATTTGTCAAAAATGGATGATCATCACTGATCTTTTTTTTTTTTTTTTTTTTTTTGTGTATGTGTAGGTCATGCTTCGAATTGGGAACAATACCGCCAACAAGATTTATCAAGAATATATACCACCTGATATGGAAACTTTCCGAATCACACCATCATCTTCAAGGTATATTCATAATGAAATCAAGTGAAAGCACGAAAATATCTCATGTATATTTGTTTTGTTTTAGAAATGAACGCGACTTGTGGATCACCGAAAAATATGTGAAACGATCTTTCGTCAAAAAGCAAAATGGTTTGGATCAACAAAATATCAATCAAGAATTCTGGAATAGTATCGCACAATCTGATCTTCCTAATGCACTTTGGGCGCTTGCAAAAGGAGCGGACGTAGATTATAGAAATTCGGACGATAAGGATCAAACAGCTCTTCATAAAGCAGTGCAGAAAGGTGATGAAATCTTGGTAGACTTTTTACTACAATGGTCAAGCAATGTCAACCAACAAGATGAAGATGGGAATACTAGTTTACACCATGCAGCAATATCCAGCAATGTACGACTTGTACTTTGTCTTTTAAAACGGCATGCCAAAGCAGATATGAAAAATATAGATGGAAAGGTAAAAAAAAAAAAAAAAAAAAAAAAAAAAAAAAGGAAACTATTGATGTTGATGATATCTCCTTTCTCTCCTTTTTTTTTTTGGTTAACATAGACGCCTCTCGATCTGGCTGTGGATAAACAAAACGTACAAGCCGTCACCGCATTACGACTATTTGCATTCGACAAACAGCATAATGCATCTCCCTCAAATTCAATGGATTTTGGATTTCGTGAAGCCATGTCATCATTCAATTCACCTTCAGTAGATCGACCGACAACATATCACAGTTCACATTCTGCATTGGATTTACGGGAAACAAAAACAACAGATATGGATAGATTACTGAACGATGATCAACATTCTACCCTTCTTCGTCCAAGTAGTACTGGTGTTTGAAATAGAAATATAGTATTATTATTAGTTATTAGTTACCACTTCTCCCTTACTACACTGTATCTTGTGTATCAATAAATACCTAGATGATGCCCTTTTGTCTATTTTTATGCTTGATTTCAATTACGTAACTTATTTCCATATTTGTACTAGTTCACTGGTCACACAATCCATTGTATGTATATAAAGACTTCCAACTTGGTTTTTTTTTTTTAAAAAAAAAAAAAAAAAAGAAGACGAACGATCATCCATGTCAAACAAAGTGAACTACGAAGGCAATTCTTATTCAAAATTTCGACCTACGTATTCTGATCGTTTGTATTCGCTTATCTATGATTTTCATCAGGGTAAGTATGATAAGGCACTTGATGTAGGAACAGGTACTGGACAAGGAGCGATCGCATTATCCAATCGATTTAAACAAGTATATGGTGTTGATCGTTTACAGGAGATGATTAATAATGCTACGCCCAAGGACAATGTGACATACAGTGTAGGCAGTGCTGAGTGGTTAGACTTTGATGATCATAGTTTGGACATGATCACTGTGGCCACCGCCTTCCATTGGTTTGATCATCCCAGTTTTTTCCAGCAAGTCAAGCGAGTATTGAAGCCAGGGGGCACGTTGGCAGTGTGGGGTTATTATTTACCAATCATCAAGAACCATGAAGCAGCGACACAGATCATCAAACGCATCTTCGCAATGGATGGCCCTATCCAAACATACAGTGATCCAAACATCAAATACATCATCAACATGTATCGAGATATTCCTTTCCCTTTTAGCACTGTTGATTATTATATTTCACCTTCTTCAGAAGATATCACCGGCATCAGCAAACCATGTGGCAGTCTGATGGAAAAGACAATGTCGCTGGCTGATTTTGGAAACTTTCTCAAGACGGCTTCTAGTTATGTCAATTACAAGAAGGATCATCATGGTAACATTGGGCCTGATCCTGTGGATGATGCCATTGAGAACATTGCCGATTTATTGCAAACAACTGATAAGGAAAACACATTGATTGATCTTGAATGGGCTTGTGTATTAGTGTTGGCTCGTGATGATGCATGAACAAAAAAAAATAAAAAATAAAAAATAAAAAAGAAACGAACAAGTTGCACCTTTTTTTTTTTTTTTTTTCTGAGAGAACAAAAAAAAAAAAAAAAAAAGGAAATCCTTTAATATCTCTGTTACAATGACGAAAAAAAAAATCATCATGATATTTGCTTATATTGTGTACATTCAACCTGCTTCCTATCCTTACTGTTATCGTCGTTATCATTTAACGTGACATTTTTAATGATAAAAGTATTTTGATTTATTAATAAAAAAAAAAAGATAGTCGTAGATGATATATACAATAGTAATAATTTTACGATATGATGATAGATTTAGGCTTAAAATGAGTTTAAAGGATTATTAGGACTATTTAGGATTGTGGATCACTTTTTTTTTTTTTTTTTTTTTTTGAAAAGTTTATTTTTTACAGCCAAAATTTTCAAATTCCTCAGCTAAATTTTAGCTGTAAAAATGAATCGTCGAGGGGTCATCAGGCGATTTTTTGAAAAATCGATGAAATCTTTTAGCGATCATTACAGAATAGGTAGTAATGTAAGCGATAAAACGGGATTAGATGATATGATGTTACTTTTTTGAGATGAATCTAATGGTGCTCGTTTTATTGGATGATGATGATGATTGGATGAGAGATGATGATATTGACATTTCGTTTTTTAATTTACTCTATAAATTGAGAGGTAAGTTATAAATTATTATTAAGGTAAGTGAAAGAGAATAATTTCATCAATGCTCAATTCGAATTTGATATGATGATGGTCATTCTTGAGCGAGAAATGAAAAGACAAAGTTTACTTTCTTGAATAAAAAGATGAACAAATAGGGTAGACTTCTTCCTATTTTTTTTTTCTTTTTGTTTGTAAAAAAAAAAAAAAAAAAAAAAAAAAGAAAAAAGAAAAAAAGAGTATCTTTCACACTCTCTTTTAACCAACACAACAAGTGGTCAATGTGTCCTGCACACTTGTAGCCGTTCCTTGTAGCCCCTGTCGGAAATTGAAACCGCCCACTTGGGTTGGTCCTGTGGAAAAAAGGAACTCATGGATGACAATGACAACTTCCCTTTCCTCTTCCAAACCGCTACGAAGTAAGTCATCTGTGATCCATAGGAAGGAACGATCGAAGGAAACGAACCAAAACGAGTTTGATCATTGATAGACAGATAGATGGATGGATGGATGAATGGATGGATGGATGGAAATAGAATGCTCATTATGTCCTTTTTTTTTTAGATGGCCAAGGATCAAAAGAACACCAAGCGTTCCACCCTCGCTGATGTCGTTACTCGTGAATACACCATTCACATGCACAAGCGTGTTTTCGGCCGGTAAGATATAATGAAGACATTCGATATAGACACACACATCAATGAACACCGACAATGAAAAACGATCTCACCATTATTTTTTTTTTTTTTTTGGAAAGTGCTTTGAGAAAGCGTGTTCCTCATGCTGTCAAGGCTGTCAAGGAATTTGCCCAAAAGGCTATGGGTACCTCTGATGTCCGTCTCGATCCTGCTTTGAACAAGGCTTTGTGGGCTCGTGGTGTCAAGCACATTGATCATCGTATCCGTGTTCGTATCGCTCGTAAGCGTAATGATGATGAAGATGCCAAGGAAAAGCTCTACTCTTATGTCACCTATGTTCCTGTTGCTTCTTTCAAGGGTAAGTAAATGATTATGGATAGATGAACATAGACTCATTCACTATTTTTTTTATTGTATTAGGTCTCGAAACTACCGTTGTTGACGACGAATAAATCATCTATTACTCATGTACAACCCTCACCTCCCTAATATGGATTTAGATAGGACTTGATCGTTCAGAAATAAATGAACTACATTTTCGATTCATTTATATAAATCATCTTTTTATAGTTGTTTCAGGGGAATATAGTAGACTAATCAAACAAGGGGAATGTGTAATCAAACGAGTGGAATGGAGAAATATATATATATATAAAAGGAATGGATACACTATGATATATGTCTATTCTACACTTGGATATTTTTGTTGCATTGATTTTAAGTCTTGTGATGGTGTGATGTCGTTGTTTTCGCCAGTGTCGATTAATTCAAGTGTTGAGCATTGTGGCAAGTGTGCTGAAGAGATTGATGTATTCAATGGATTCCTAGGTTGAGATACTGATGTTGATTGAGTAGTAGCAAAGGTACGTGGTGGAAGACGAGGTGGTAACTGTGGTTTTTCTTCACTTGGTTGTTGATGATGGAAAATTTCCACTGATGAATCACCCAAAACTCCATTTTTGCGAGACGGTAATGCTGGTGGACAATCTTCATTATGTATCAAGTGTAACGGTGGGATGGATTTTTTGGTCAACGTCGAATTTGATGACATCCTATCGTTTGTAATACTGGAGGAAGACGTTGAAGATGTTGATAATCGTCGAGAGGTATTTTCATTGCATCGTCGCCGCATATCTTGAAGTTGATCCGAATATTGCAGTAAAGATTGTTGCCGTTTCACTTGTAGGTCCTGATGTCGATATTCCCGCAAATCACCTGCCAATCCTTTACCTTTGGAGAAGATATAACCTGCTGCGTTGTATAACTTTTTTCTACGACTGGATTTTGTGCTACTAATAGACGCGCTGTCATCATCTTTTGTTGTGTCATCATTCAAAGAAGACGGTGCTGTTGTTTGTTCCGTTGTGAGAGATGTTGATGATACTAAAATAGTTGTAGATGTTGATGATGGTGATAAAGAATATGGATCTGTTATTTCATCTTTGTCATTGTCATTTTCGTTATTGTTGTCATTATCACTATCGTTTTCGTTGTCAGTACTATTTTCCTTGTCATTGAGTTCACATTTTGGTGTTTCCACAACATACTCTTTTCGTATTTTGACATTGCTGTTTCGTTGTGATTGATTAGACTAGAATAAAAAATATAGGGACAAAAAAAAAAAAAAAAAAAACTTATACGTTATCAAAAAAAAAAAAAAAATACAAAATAGTATCATCCTTCTTTTTTTATTTTCAAAAAAAAAACATACCTGAACGATATCCTTTAATCCAGTCATTGATTCTTGCTCCATTGTCGCTTTGAGATCAATTGTTGAGGACTTTTGATGTATTGCTGTCGATATTGCTGTCGCGGTTGACACAGGGAATGTTCCAGTATTCTTTCGTAGACGAGTAGTGAAGAATTTGGACCATTTACCAGATGAAGGAGAAGGTGTATTATTCGTACTACTAGAGGTTGATTGTGATTCCATTGATATACTACTTTGATCGTCCGAGTTGTTGATGACAAATGATTGTTGTAAAGAAGAATCCAAATCATCATCACTAGCACGACTGTCATTGTGTAAACTTAATCCATCCATCAAGTTGTTATTAGTATCTGTCGAAATATGAAATATACCACCTAATCCATCCGAATTTGCATAAGGTATATCTTCCATATTTGGTAAAACCATATTATCAGTCATCATCTTCCTAATTTTGGCTTCAATAATCTTGGTAATCATAGATATCTTGACATTGCAGTTGGAGACACCGGGAACAATAGACCATTTCATTGTTGGCATTGTGCAAAAACCAATCCAATATCGATTACTTGGTGGAGGTTTGATTTTGAAACGAATAGTACCAGAGAGAGAACGGAGAGTCAAGGAAAGAACCAAAGGAACACGAATAGAAAAAGTGCCACCAACGTTGGCTTCTACTACAACTTTGAATCCACCAGTATAATTTACGTGAGCATCCAATACCAAAGTACCATCAGGATGAAGAGCAACAAGTGTAGGTTGTGTAACAAAAGGTATAGAATGACCCAGATCTACACTACGTATTTGAATATCGCCAAGGAATCCAGGTGTCTTCATCTTTTTTGTTTTCTTCGTCAAAGTTTCCAGTACTATTTGTTGTAATCGTCTTGTTTTATATATGCCGAGAAACGTTCTGCCCAAGATGGCGTTGAACCAAGGTATTTGATGTTGGTCAGTATCTGATGGTTGTTGTTTTTGTTTACCAATAGAAGTGATGAGAGATGCTACAGCCATAGGGTCAAAAGGAATAGCATGAGGATGATTGGGTGAAGAGTTGGAGACTGATATAAAAGCGAAGTACCAATCTTCTTTGTCGATAGGTCTAGAGCATGAGAAGAATATTTCCTTGTCCTGTATTGAACCTACAATATCATCACAGTTGATAGTTATTCCTTCTTTTCGTTGTAAGCGTAAAGCAACTGAGCGACTGAAAAGAGTATGTTCTTGACGACCTGGAGGATAGATAGAGACATGATAGTGATTCAAATCAATAGTCCATTCGCAGTGTTGTTGCATTTCGTTGTTATATACCTTGAGAATACCTTGTTTAAGTACACCATAACCTTCACCATTATTTTGTTTCTTTTTTGTTGGTGACTTTGGTTGATAATTTGAAGAAAGTCGAATCCAGCCTTTTTTTGTACCATAATTATGACAAGTTGTAACGTCTACTTCTTTTGCTGTACTAATCGGAGGAGGAGAAGGAGGTATCGACATGTAAAGTTGTGTAATCCATAATGCCAAAGGAATAAAAGTGAACGCGCCCAAAAAATAACATAGTAAACCACTAATCCAATCCATAAACGAAATAGAAAGAAAAAGTAAAAAAAAAAAAGAAAAAAAGAAAAAAAGAAAAGATCAATAGAGTCAAGAAATGCTAAGCTCTTCGGACTTTTTTTTTCTATCTTTTTCCCTTTTTCAAATATTGTTCATTATTCTTTTAATGAAAATGATTTTTATACTGTATTATATTGTATTGTAGATTTATACAAAAATCATCATTTTAATTCTTTCAAACAGTCATTACATACTTTTTCTTCTTTTTATCAAATCTTCACATAATACTTTCTATCCATTTCTCTCTTTTTTTTTCTATATTAATCATTTACATATTATTTATTTAAATGTAAATGATTAACTTCTCTTCCTCCAAAGGTTTCTATTTTGGGTTAAATAATTGTTATTTTCATTACAATGCTTCTTTTTTTTTTTTTTTTATTATCATTATTGTCACGATCATCAATTCCCAACCGATTTCTATTTTTGGACAACAATCAAATCAAACAACAAAAAGAAATATTATTTTTCTTTGCATAGAACTAATACTCACTGCATATTAAAAACAACTGATCATCCATTATAAGAAGTGATCATCATAAAAAAAAGAGTTATCATTATCACACGTTCATCTTTGGTCTGTTAGGATGAAATCAACCTTTGAAGTTGAGTATGAATTAGTCTTTTTTTTTTTTTTTTTTTTTTTTTTTTTATCTTGCTATCTGTCAAAATCTTGACATTTTACCAATTCTTACCAATTCACCAATCCTCGCCATTTTTACTTTCTCATTGTTTCTCATGATGATTAATCATAATCATCTAAAAATAATCTTTAGTTTTTGTATATAAATACATCCAGTAGTTAATATATTTTTCTCTCTTTGCCAAAGTTTTATTATATCAAAATCAATAAAAGATTGTATAATCATCTTGGCCACTCTTAACAAATCAATCATCTTAAGTTTTATATTTATTATTTTATTATCAAGTTATATTCAAGTTATTATTATTTTATTTGATCATCATCAAGTGTGATCATTACAAGACATCTATATTTTAAATCATGTTATAAATCATCATATATTATATTTTATTCTTTTTTTATAAACGAACTGGTGCTCTCTACGATCAATCATCATCAATATCATTATATTGATAATATCATCCATCCATTCCACAAAACAATCATCTGTTGAGCACAAAAAATAAAAAACATATAGTTAATTTTTCTTTATACATATCTCTTTTCCTTTTTTTTTTTTTTTTTTTTTTGAGGAAGTTCTGTCAATTTGGTTATTATTTTTTTAATAAAAGGTCTATTCATCCATCCCTAACTGAATTGTGGATTATTACTTTTGATTGGCTCATTTTTTTCTATATTTAAAGTCAGAACAATTTTACTCTACTTCTACTTTCCAAATTTGGAACAAGACTTTATTTTTCTTTACTTTACTTTTTGTTTTATTTTATCTCTTTACTTATACGTGCGCTTGCGTAATCAAGTACTGGTGCTCACTAAACAACTTATTCTCTTTCAATCATCCGAATTACTTTTTCAATTTTGAACCTATAAACCAAAAAATCACTTAACACCACCAAGAAATAAAAAAAATCTTAACAGGTCTTTAAATACTAAACTATAGATCACATCAATTCATACTCCGAAAGAAGTTCAAGTTTTAACAAAAAGATAGTAGCTTGTGGAGGTTTCGATCCTCCGACCTATGGGTTATGGGCCCATCGCTCTTCCCCTGAGCTAACAAGCTATGGATGAAAATTGAACTGGAATGTAGTATATCAAGCTCAAATTAAAATGCTCTCTTTTAATTGGTCAGAGAAATGCCGCGCGGCTATTTATATCCAATGATGAAGGATTACCATACTATATGTATATGCATGCCTTTAGCATCATCCTTTGTTTAATCATTTACATTAATGAATCATCATCATTAATCATTAAATTATTCACCATCATCCCCTCCAAAATACTACTAATATTGAAAAAATACCGATTATACTTTGTTTCTAGTATATAAGAGTTAAGATGAATCAAAGCCTTCCATATTTGAACACCGAATTTTATTCTATTTTTTTTTTTTTTTTTTTTCAACCTTTTTTTCTTTTTTTTTTTTTTTTATCTCGTTTCTTTTCCGTAGATAATTGATGCGTGTGGTCCTACACCTCAATACCATAGTTCGGCGTTTATATTCAACTTGTACATTATCCTCCTCCACTTTACGAAAATTTAGTACACAATCACACTACAACATGAAAACAGATGTGTTACAAGTAGATCCTTCTCATTTTACATTCAAGGAGTCTTCATGTGAATTTGGAGAACAGAATGCGATCTCAATTATCAATAACACCAGCGATCAATTAGCCATCAAACAAGCAGTCAAATGGTTAGCACAAGGTGAAGCAATTGGTATACCAACAGAAACTGTATATGGACTTGCAGCTAATGCATTGGATGCTTCAGCTGTGAGCAAGATCTTTGCGGCCAAGAATAGACCTCAAGACAATCCACTTATTGTACATGTATCGTCCTTGAAAATGTTGGAAAGTATTTTACCACATAACAAGATTCCTGATATTTATATGCCCATTATCAAGCGATGTTGGCCTGGACCATTGACGATTATCCTTCCAAGTTCTCCTTTGATTCCTTCAACAGTGACATGTGGTCAACCTACGGTAGCAGTAAGATTCCCATCTCATCCTGTAGCTCGTGCTTTGATTGAATCTTGTGGATTTCCATTGGCAGCACCTTCAGCAAACTCATCTGGTAAACCTTCACCAACATTAGCAAGTCATGTATTTGATGATCTCAATACGAAGATTCCTTTGATATTGGATGGTGGACCTTGTAATGTAGGTGTTGAAAGTACAGTATTGGATGGATTACGACAACCTCCTGCTATTTTACGACCTGGTGGTGTGACATACGAAGTTTTGAAACAAATGGAAGGTATGAATGGACTACAAGTATATCGAAAGCATTTTGTTGATCAAGCATTGGAAATGGCACCAACGACACCTGGAATGAAATATAGACATTATTCACCAGAAGCTATGGTGGTTTTAATTGAAGATGATAAGATGATAATTAACAATAATGATGATACCCAACAACAACAACAAAGACAAGTATTTGAAACGATATGGCAGGATGAATTGAAACAACTCTTGAAAAATGGCATCGGTATTCAAAAAGTGGGTATTCTGAAAATAGTAGAAGATGGTGATAGTCTAGAGTGGCGACAAACAAGTAAATTGGATGAAATTGAATATGTTACATTACAAATGGGACGACAAGGACATCCTGATGAAGTGGCAAGAGGGATGTTTAAAGGTTTACGTGAAATGGATACTATTGGTGTGGATATTATCTTTGTTCAAGGTGTACCTGAAATCGATGAAGGTATGGCAGTGATGAATAGATTACGAAAAGCAGCAACCAAGACTATTTAGATTAGATTTTATAGATTTTTATATATATATTGTATTTTACCCTTTAGTTTACTCCCAACTCTCTCTCTCTCTCTTTTTTTTTTTTTTTTTTCATTTGAAATAAAGTAAATATTCTTGTGTTCAAAATAAGATTATCTCAAAAAAAAAAAAAAGGTCATGCTTTTTTTTTTATTTTATTTGCAGCTATAAAGGAAACAAAACCCCCCAATTTTTTTCCGTTTCTTTCTCTCTCTCTCTCTCTCTCTCTCTCTCTCTTTTTTTTTTTTTTTTTTTTTTTTTTTTTTTTTTTTGATATTCTTCTCCGTTTCTCTCTCTCTTCTCTCTCTTTTTTTTTTTTTTTCTTCAATATTATTGTAAATATTTGATCAAACATCTGTACAAACATATTTACTCTCTTCATTGTATACACACGTTCGTACTTCATTCTTTTCTCTGGCTCTCTCTTATCTATTTGTCCAAATTACAATACTCAACAGTAAGGAATACATATATATCTTTTTTTTTTTTTAAGAAAAAACAGCGACAACAAACTGGATTGGACTTTTTATTATTTATATAATATAAAAAAAAAAAGTAATATTATTAATTCATTTCTATTATATTATCATATTGTTAGTTGAATGTTATACGTCCCGCCTCCTTATTCGTCAGGGGTAGAAGTGTCAGTATGTGAACAAGATGCCTATTGTGTTAGTAGTACTCCACCTTCACCACCTACCAATCACGCTCCTTCCAATTCCTGCTATAAAGAAAATACTGAACAAAATTCTACTTCTCAACGTACTTCTCCTCCTCCAACTCCAAAAGAAACACTCAATTCACAAAATACTGACAAAAACTGTGATACCCATGGTAATGATGAGGATGATTTCTTTTTCCTTGGTCAACTTCAAAATAAGACTGTAGCACTTGGTACACAACAGAAACAACAACAACAACAACAAGAGCAAAAAGAACGGGACCAACAACAAAAATTACAACAACAATTATATCAAGATCAACAACAACAACAACAACAACAACAAGAACAACTTGACTATCTTGTCTATGATCAAGGATTTGAAGAAGCGGAGGACCATTCTCAATATGACTATCAAAATCAGTATTATCAATCTCAACATGCTGCTTATACTTTTGAACCTTTTGACAAAACATTGTATTCCACTACAAATATCACTGATGATGACTTTGAGACGGCTAATCGTGCATTCCATGCGACCATCAACAAATTCTCACGCCAAAGTTATCCAGAACATCGTAAACGAGCACCTTACAACTTCCTGGAAAGTTGGCACCTTCATAGTATGTACAGCAAATCACAACAAATTTTATTGGGTATACCTCATGTTCGTCCCATGGTCTTACTTTCAGGGGATGATTTTATGTTTACACCACCATTATTACAACAAGAAGAAGAAGAAGGTTACATCGACGAGAATGATCATCAACTTCGGTATCTGGATCAATCAATGCACATGGAATGGATGGACGATGGACAAATGTTTGAGGATGATGGTGAGATCCTGGATGATGGTATTGTTATCATGTCTGCTCCTGATCCTCCTATTATGGTGTCATCTTCAACATCTATATTACCTTTATCAACATCACCATCACCACCACCAACAACAACTTCTCCGTCTTCAACTATACTGAACGAAAATGCATGGATGAAAAATCAAGTGGATTCTCTATTACAACATCAACATGTCTATTCTCCTGTTTCTTCTCATCACTATCAACAAGATCTACAAATGGAATCGCAACAAGAAGACGATTTAACATCATCGAATACTGAACCTCTTTATTTTGCTGGGTTATCATCTGAACTAGTGCACTGGTATCGTTCATCTGAACGTGGACGACCTCCTTCAACTATCATGCAAAAGATGGACGATGATGATCAAGAAAGTTACAATAGTGACAATGTACATATTGGATTATCTGATGATAGAAAAAACAATGACAATATGGATGGCAACGACATGAATGAATGGAACGACGAAGAAGATTGTAACAATAGAATGGATGACAAATCAAATTCAGACCAAACATCTTCGAATGGATATCAACAAACTACCATGATAAAATATAACGGATTACCGACATCTTATCAATCATTAGCTGATATTGTGGCATCACCATCTTCATCACCAATCGACGAACGAATGAATTATGGATCGACGTTTGAACAACAACAGTATGCATCAGCATCTTCATCTCAGTCAACGTGGATCAATCATCGAACTTTGGGTTTCACAGATCAACTAGTAGCGACTTCAGAATTAGTAATGAAAATGGCGTCAGATTATCGAGTGGATCGTAAAGCTAATACATTATCATACATCTCTTGCTTATTCCGTATCTGGCAAGTTCTCTTTTTGACGGCAGAAATTATACTATCGAATCTTTGGGGCCAACCGTCTGATACTGTCACAAGTAATAACTTTATGATAGATTCCAAATCACCAAGTCGTAGATCACCTGTGGAACCTCTTTTACCTTTTTAATTATTATTATTATTTTGTTTTATGTATTCCTTATTATATAGTTATATACATATTTATATATTATATCTGATTTTATTCGTCATTCTGTTTATTTTTATTTCGTTTTTATATCTTTTATATATCCTTTTTTTTTTTTTATCTTTTTCATATATTATATATTATACTCTTTATTATTTTTTTTTTATTCCTTCCTTTATATCATATTCCTTTCTCACTTATATTTGTCAAATAAAAAGATGAAATTTGAATTCACTTTATTTATATCATGATGATTTATTCCTGATATTTTGGGATGATGGGAAAAGGGTTTTTAATGAAATGATCTGTGCGTTTTTTGAAGGAATCAAGTTCATCAGCTGTCAAATGCAATCTAGGCATTGTTATTTCTTGTGAAATGGATTGATCGACAGGGGCTAAAAAATAAAAAGAGGGTGATAAGTTTGTAAACTAAAATCCTATTTTTTTTTTTTTTTTTTTTTTACCAGCATGGATGATGGATACCAAAGTAATAAACATAATGAGATACGCTTTAAACATGATGATTACAAACAAACAAATAAATCTTGATTGAATTCAATCAAACGAATCAGGTTTTATAAGTTGGACTCATCGGAGCATTTGTCTACTATTGACCGATCTGTATTGTCTCAAAAAAAAAAAAAAAAAAAAAAGACGTTGTTCCACCTCGGTTTTTCTTGCATTCAATGTATGATTCTGATAATGAATCTATGGTGGCGCTGATAACGATGATAGTTGAATGACATTATGTCTACCATGGTGATAGTGTGTTTTTTTTTATATTTGTCTGACCTGTCATTTTATATTATGATGCCAAGATATCAAAAAGATCTACAAATATTCGATTGATAAAGGTATATGTGTGTAACCATAGCTTTTTCTTTTTTATTTTATTTTAATCATACTTGATCAATCATTCGTTGCTCTTGGATATTTTTTTTTTTTAAAAAAAAAGAAAATACTGTTATCTATATGACGACCATAATTCATAACTATCGAGACATCTAGTTAATATAATTATCGTACCCTTTCAAAATAATATTTGATTAAATCAAGATGTTCATCATCCTGTAAATCAATACTTTATTTTAGCCAATTAATACAACAATCATATCAAAAAAAAAAGAGATATAAAAAAACAACTAAACGAATCTAATAACGAATAAAAAATAAAATCCATTCATATTAAATCTAATTGAAGATGATCACTACAAAGGTACCAATTCCTTCCAAAGGGTATCCGTTAAGTAATGAATATTGTCGCATCCAATTCCCTTATTTACTTTTCGACTATGTTTGATATAAAAAAAAAGTAAATGCATCTGATATATATATATATTATATTATATTTTTCTACTTACATATCTTCAGTACTCATTTTTAGTAAACCAATAGCTAAAGCATTTTCCTTTCCTTCTGCCATGATAGAGACAACTGCACCTTCAGGTAAATCCACATCTATACGAGCACCTTTGGAAGTTAAACCAGGACACATGATATTGGCACCAGATAACACGAATTTAATGGCCCCTCGATCCACTTGAAGTTTGGGAAGGATATCGGGATCTGAAAATAGAATATCATTGTGAGTAATCGTTTGTCAAATTATGTCAATACTTACATTTATGAAGTAAAATAAGTGTAGGGAAATAAGGTCCATCAAAGTGTTGGAAAAATAATATTTCACCATTAACTGATAAAAACGAAATATGTTCATGACTACAAAAAAAAAAAAAGGAAAGAGTAAATGAATCAAGCAAATATAATAATATATATGTAATATCAATTACCCTTTAATTTGTATAATAGGTGTCTTTTTTGGGATCAGTTCTTCCAATACAGATTCCAACATTGGATATTGTTCTTGAAGTTTTGTACGGATCGCGCGTTGTACTGATGACTTGAGAGGACTTTGACCTGCAATATCAGTACTGAAACTGAACCTATTTTCCACCAAAGAAAGGATAAAATAAATGAGTACTACGATAATATAAAAGCATATATTTTCTTCTTCTTTTTTTTTTAAAAAAAATACTATGACTTACTTTTTAAACATTGTTGCCAAAGAGACTGATAGATACCCTGAGAAAGAGAAAAGAAAGGAAAAAGAAAAGCAAAAAAAAAAAAAAAGTTGAATCAAATCTACCAAAAGTGTCTCCTTTCCCTAAAAAACAGCAGTCATCTTAAATGCGATAGGCGGGCGTTGTTCAAATTTGGTCTTTTCTTTCTCTTTCACTTTTATACCAATAACTTTTTATTCCATGCTCTCAAAGTCGTTTCTAAATAGGTTCAAGCGACTGGATGCATATGCAAAGACCTTGGATGATTTTCGTATACGTACTACTACTGGTGCAGCAGGTAATAAATATATTAATATTACTTTTTTACAAAACAATGAATAAGAAAACCAATTCATCTTTTTTTTTCTTTTTGTTACAATAGTTACATTGGTTAGTACAGTCATCATAGTATTCCTTGTATTGATAGAAATATGGTCTTATTTGACTCCAGTATTCCAACCAGAAATTGTTGTAGATGGTGGAAAGATGGAAAAACTACCAATCAACTTTGATATCACTTTTCCCAATATCCCGTGTCACAGTAAGATATCTTATTTTATACCACAACAAATGTCTTGATTTTTTTTTTTTTTTTGACAGTGCTTAGTTTAGATATTATGGATGAAAGTGGACAACATATTAGTAACTATGAACATGATGTTTTCAAAGTACGGTTGGACGAAAATGGAAAAGAAATCAATACCGAAAAGCAAACAGGTAAAAATAGGAACAAAAGAAAAAAAATGATAGAATTACTCACTCCTCTATCATTTTAGTACTTAGCAATCCTAACGCAGCTGATGATTTGGCTTTTCAACAACAACAAAATGATGAAAATTATTGTGGACCTTGTTATGGTGCTGCTCCTGATGGTGAATGCTGTAATACTTGTGATCAAGTCAAAGCTGCATATGCAAAAGCATCATGGGCATTCAATCCAGGTCAAATAGAACAGGTAAAATTGGTTTAACATTATTATTATTGTTATTACTGTTTGATTATTTTACTTATACATAAATATTGATAAATAGTGCATAAAAGAAGGTATTGTCAGTGCTCTTGGTGATATGGCAAAGGAAGGATGTCGTATGCATGGTCATCTATTAGTCAATAAACTTCGTGGCAATTTTCACTTCTCACCTGGTCCATCCTTTACCTATGGCTCCCAACATGTCCATGATGTTCGAAACTTTTTATTTTCCAACTATAACTTCAAGCATTCCATTAATCATTTACAATTTGGTGATCAAACACATCAAGTACACAAACAAAAACGAACTGCAGCTCTTGCTCTTACAAATCCATTAGATGGAACCAAATGGGGTGCTGATGAAGGTAATAACAATAGTAATAATAATAAAAGAGGATGATATTAAAAGGAATATGTCAATTAATTCAGGTTTTTTTTTTTTTAGGTGTTGCCATGCATCAATTCTTTTTGAAGATTGTACCTACTCAATTCAATTTTATTAGTGGTCGATATGATCTTCGTACATTCCAATATTCTGTTAGTCGGCAAGAACGAAATCTGGCACTGCAATCGGGAGCTTCCGGTGCACCGGGTAGAAGAATGAAAAGAACTATATTTCCTTTTTTGCTAATTTTTTTTTCTTTTTCTTCCTAGGTGTATATTTCCATATGGATTTCTCTCCTATGCGTGTGATCTATACAGAATTGCATAAACCGTTGGCTCGTGTGCTTGTCAGTATATGTTCAATTATTGGTGGTATTTTTACTGTAGCAAGCATTGTGGATGGATTCCTATACAAGGCTGGTTCTCAAAGGAAAAATCAAATGGGCAAATCATTATAACAGTAGTAGAGTAGATAGTTAATACTTTTTATTTGAAATAAAGTTTACAGTTGATCGATCTATTTTGTTTATGGATCATAAAAGGGTACCCGACTTTTTTTTTTTTTTTTTTTTTTATACCGGAAGGTATCGGCAACAAAAAGCCATATGTTTTTAATAGGTGTGATCAATGGAGTCCTGATATTGATACCAAAAAAAAAAAAAAAATACAGTAAATGGGAAGGTTGGTTACCAAAAAGTGTGATCTATATCAATATATCTGGAAAAGAATAGGAGTAGTCAATATTAATATATTGATTTGATGGATCTATCATGATATAAGGATATGGAACCATGTCTTTGTTTCTCCTTGATCGATTTGTACTTACTCCACCTTTTTTTTTTTTTACGATGATATCATTAAGGAAAAAACCTAGCATCGGTCTCTAAAAAAGGTTGCGTGTCCATATGAAAATCGAAAAAACCGGCTTTGCCCGTGAATTCGCTTATTGTCAGGCAAGTCTCACTCGCTACATTTTCACATCCATTTGAAGATCCGCAAGTTGTCTATAAAAAAAACACGTCCTTTTTTTTTCATTCACACTTTTCTTTCTCTTTCTTTTTCTTTTTCTTTTTTTTTTAATTACTTTTTATATATATAATCTATACTCATCATGGCTATTACCAAAGTTCACGCTCGTCAAATCTTCGATTCTCGTGGTAACCCTACTGTTGAAGTTGAAGTCACTACTGATAAGGGTGTCTTCCGTTCTGCCGTTCCCTCTGGTGCTTCTACTGGTATCCATGAAGCTTTGGAACTTCGTGACAATGTCAAGGCTGATTACTGTGGCAAAGGTAATAATAATAAATAGAGAGGTTGATAAAAAAAAATAAGGAGAATAAGTTTATTTTGTGTATAGATTCATATCATCTGACACGCGTTTTTATTTATTTTAGGTGTTTTGACTGCTATTGGTAATGTGAACAAAATTATTGGTCCTGCTCTTATTGAAGCCAATGTGAACGTTGTTGATCAAAAGGCTGTGGATGATCTTTTATTGAAGTTGGATGGTACCAAGAACAAGAGCAAGTTGGGTGCTAACTCTATTTTGGGTGTTTCCATGGCTGTTTGTAAGGCTGGTGCTGCCGAAAAGGGTGTTCCTCTCTATGTTCACCTTGCTGACCTTGCTGGTTCCAAGAAGCCTTTCGTTTTGCCTGTTCCTTGTTTCAACGTGATTAACGGTGGTTCTCATGCTGGTAACAAGCTGGCTATGCAAGAATTCATGATTGCTCCCACTGGTGCTAAGACTTTCACTGAAGCTATGAAGATTGGTTCTGAAGTTTACCACACTTTGAAGAGTGTTATCAAGGCCAAGTATGGTCAAGATGCTACCAACGTTGGTGATGAAGGTGGTTTCGCCCCCAACATTCAAGATAACCAAGAAGGTCTTGAATTATTGGTTACTGCTATTGAAAAGGCTGGTTACACCGGTAAGGTCAAGATTGCTATGGATTGTGCCGCTTCTGAATTCTACAAGGATGGCAAGTATGATTTGGATTTCAAGAATCCCAACTCCAACCCTGCTGATTACCTTACTGGTGAACAATTATCTGACCTTTACAAGTCCTTCTCTGAAAAATACCCTAGTAAGTGATTTGGTTTTATTGATTGAAAATTTTTTTTTTGTTGGGGGTGACGATGATTGATGAGAAGGAGATTGCATAAGTTTATCGATCTGACTTTTTTTTTTATTTCTCACTCCACCTTTTTTTTTTTTTAAAAAAACAATAGTTGTCTCTATTGAAGATGCTTTCGATCAAGATGATTGGGATAACTGGACTCACTTGAACACAAGCTCTGATTACCAATTGGTTGGTGATGATTTGACTGTCACTAACCCTGAACGTATTGCCACTGCCGTTGAAAAGAAGGCTTGTAATGCTTTGTTGCTCAAGATCAATCAAATCGGTACCATCACTGAATCCATTCGAGCTGCTCTTGATTCTCAAAAGGCTGGTTGGGGCGTCATGGTTTCTCATCGTTCTGGTGAAACTGAAGATACCTTCATTTCTTCTCTTGTTGTTGGTCTCCGTACTGGTCAAATCAAGACTGGTGCTCCTTGTCGATCTGAACGTTTGGCCAAGTAAGTTATATGAATGGATGGACAAAAAAAAAAAAAAAGAGAGATAATAGGTCATTTTATTAACCTTTTTTTTTTTTTTTTATTAGGTACAACGAACTCCTCCGTATTGAAGAAGAACTTGGTGACAATGCTATCTATGCTGGTGAACACTTCCGCAAGGCTCACGATTTGTAAATATTGAAATGCGTTATATAGCTTCTTTCACCTCCCTTTTACCTTACTATTTAGCTTAAAAAAAGATCACTCCATGTTAGTATAGTCTCTTTTGTCTGAAATAAAAAATATATATATATATTCATTTCTTTAAATATCCGCGTTTGTATCTGACTCTTTTTGGAAATTTATTCTTCATCATGATTTATAATTGAAATTCCGTATAATCTTTCTGTTCTTCCTGATTCTTTTTTTTTTTTTTTTTTGTTTTTATATATATATATATAGTATCGTCGTATTTGTACTATAGTTTGTGAACTGACCATGCCTTCCATGATGGAAAACCATAGACGGGAGTATAGCGATGACGATGATTTTGAGGATGAAGATCAAGCAAAAGGATTATTGAATTCTGAACGAACAAGTAGCTCCATGCCAAGACATTACCAACATGGAATTTATTATCCTGAGGACGAAGAAAATAGCTATGGCGATTTGGAAAACGGCAATGATAGTTTAAACTTTGGAAAACGAAAGAAAAAGGTATATTATAAACGTGAAGGGAATGAACATTATTCATTCTTTTCTTTTTTAATACTATTTAGATAGTGACTTGTACCTGCATAAGTTTGGTTGGTATATTAGCCTTTGCTTGGATTATCTGGTCTTTGGCTATGGGACAAATGTTTCAAAGTGAGTTTCTCATTAATAGTACATTCATTGTTTATTAACTGTTTTCTTTTCCCTTGATAGTTATTGCTGGCGACTCCCACAATGAATATGAAGAACTTAAACGAATCGATATGAACGATCTTTATAACTCCTCATTCATACCCCAACGACCTACTTTAGTATGGGTAGAACAAGGCAAGATAGGGAAAAATAGTAATAAGCATTGTCGAATAATTATTATTAACTACTTTGACTTTATATATGTATAGATGCTCAAGATGGTGTATTTACTTATCGTGATCCTCAAACAAATGATATCTTATTGGAAGCTATAGAAGATGGATCAAGTCGAATCTATGTAGAAATGAAAGATTTGGTATGTTTGTTATATATCTGTTTTATTGATTTTTACTGATGATTATTTCATTTATAGCAAATTGAAAACAATCCTCTGAATGTGGAACGGTTTGAAGTTTCGCAAGATGCTCAATATTTAATGTTATACACCAATGTCACCAAAGTAAGCCAAAAAAAAAAGAAAGTAATTTTCTTATTAATTCTTTGATTAACATATGTCTGCTTGGGTCTTTTTTTGGTCGTATTTTTAGCAATTTCGATGGTCATACAAAGCGAACATCTATATCTATCATCTTTCTAGTAAATCTATCACTCCCTTGAATGAAGATACTAATGTGAACAAACCACCAAGAGTCTCATATGCAGCATGGAGTCCAACTGGTCATCAATTGGTAATAATATCCTCCTCCAAAAAAAAAAAAAGACTAAGTAATTATTAACTTTTTATTTGTATAAAGGTATATGTGATGGAAAATGATATTTATGTGGCAAATTTAGACAAGCAAACTCACAGTCGTGTCACGTATGACGGATCTCCAACTATTTTTAACGGTGTTCCTGATTGGGTTTATGAAGGTAAAATGAACTATAGTATGCATTAGATGTTGAACGACATGGTGACTCATATTTTATTGATGGATATATAGAGGAAGTCTTTGGGAAAGAATATTCATTATGGTGGTCTCCTGATTCAACACATTTGGCCTATTTACGTTTCAACGAAACAGATGTCCCTGAGTACCAAGTGCCATTGTATACCACCTCCAATGTATCATCTTATCCTACTCAACTCAAGATAAAGTATCCCAAGGCTGGTTCACCCAATCCTTTAGTATCACTTCATATTCATTCTGTTAGTACAATGCAAACAATCATGGTGACCAAGAATGCAACTGCTCATCCTTTACAAGCATCTTCCTCCTCTCGGGACTTTGAAGATGACGATCGACTTATCACCGATGTTATATGGGCTACTGACACAAGCACACATCTTGTTTATAAGCAAACTAACCGAGTGCAAGATCATGAATTGACTAATTTAGTGAGTCTCGCTTCTGGTAAATTGATGCAAACTAAAGTGGATACGGTTCGTGAATATAAACCTACTGATGGTGGCTGGATCGATGTGGGTCAATCAATGGTATATCTTCCTTCGAATAAACATGAAAATGATATTCAGTATTCGGATTTGGCAGACAATGAAGATGGATATTCTCACTTGGCTATAGTTACCATTGATAAACGTGGTCAGCACAAAGTCTCTACGAAATGGTTAACCTCGGGCGATTGGGAAGTGGTTGCTGGATCCATTGTAGTGGATAAGGTTAGACAACTTGTGTAAGTGCTCTTTTTTTTTTTTTTTTTTTTTTTTTTTTTTTTTAAAAAAAAAGAAGATGATAGGAATGGAATTGAAAAGGAGTAAAAAAGTAGTTAATATTTCTTACAACGAATCCTTTTTTTTTTTTTTTTGATGATATTTTCGTCACATACTGTAGTCATTTTATATCGACGGAAAGATCATTTTTGGAACGACATCTCTACACTGTATCACTCAAAGATGAAGATCCTGCATCTACCAAAATCTGCCTGACCTGCTCTGAAGATCCAGATGAACATGCTTATTATAGTGTTAACTTCTCACCCAAAGCTGGCTATTACATTTTGAATTATCTTGGTCCTGATATTCCTCGTACAGTGGTTCGTAAGGTAGATAATAGCTCATTTGAAGCTGTGCTCAATGATAATGCAGATTTACGTCGTCTTTTGGATGATTATCAACTTCCTCGTATTCGAATGTCAACAGTCAAAAGTGGCTCCATCAGTAAGTATTATATTATAAACTGTGTATATATGGTAGATGATGAATCCTCACTATTTTTATTTATTTATTTTTTTCTCTGTAAGATATGCCTGCTATGGAAGTACTCCCTCCTGATTTTGATAGTACGAAAAAATACCCTGTTTTATTCCATGTTTATGGTGGACCTGGATCTCAATTAGTATCATACACGTTTGCTTTGGATTGGCATACCTTTGTAGCAAGTCAATTAGGATTTATTGTAGTGACTGTGGATGGTCGTGGTACTGGATACCAAGGTCGACAATATAGATCTGTTGTTCGTGGTAAACTAGGTGATCTTGAAACAGTGGATCAAGTTAACGCAGCAAGACATTGGGCAAATTTGGATTATGTGGACTCGTCAAGAATCGCCATTTGGGGCTGGGTAAAAACAGGAAATAAAATTAATGAATATTGATATTAACTAATTCTTTATCTTGTAGTCCTACGGTGGATATATGACAACAAAAGTGATTGAAGCTGATGATGGTGTTTTTGCTACTGGGATGGCTGTTGCACCTGTTACTGATTGGCATTTTTATGGTAAACCAAGAATAGAGGGACAATAATAAATTATAATACTTATCATGATTATTTAGATTCAATTTATACTGAACGATACATGCTGACACCTGACATGAATATGGATGGATATCAACAAAGTGCTGTCAACAATATGACTGGATTTGATCATGCAAAGTATTTATTGATTCATGGGACTGGTGATGATAATGGTATACATATAAAATAATATATAGTTTTATATATACAAAAAGGAAAAAAAAAGATATTTATACTAAACTATTATTATATTATAGTACACTTTCAACATTCCGCGGTATTAGTCGACAAACTTACATTGGCAAATATTCACAATTATCGTGTTCAATTCTATCCCGACAGTAACCATAGAATTAATTATCATAATGCGAATGCCAATGTTTATCATCTTTTGACAGAATTCTTATTTGAAAGGTACAATATAGATGATATAGTAAAATAGACAAATCATCTTATAATGTTTTTTTTTTCTATTTAATTTAGTTTTGGTGGAAAAGATTATGCTCATCTACGTGAAGAAACTCATGGTCATTTTTCAGGATCTTTGGAACATTTACACCATTAGTAGTTTATCTAGCAGCGGGGTTAAAAATTAGTGTTGTAGACATTGAAATAAAACGTTTATTTTTTCCCTTTTCTTTCTCTCCCTCTTTTTTTTTTTTGTTCTTTATCTTTTTTTTTTAAGTTAAATGCAATGGTTGATGATGAAGAACGACAACATATGCTTGACTATGAAGATGAACCAAACATAGAAAGGTAAAGGAAGAAAAAAAGAGGGATTGAATGGAACTAACCTCATGAACGAACTAACTAATTGAACGACCAACTCACTTCTTTATATATTTTTGAAATGTATAAAGTGCACGACCCTTCTCTTCACGGACACAGCACGGACTGACACGTTCAGAAATGATTCAAGGAATGGCCAACCGGTTAATGTATTCCAACTTTTATATAGCATTATATTTGGGTTTAGGTCTGTTAAGTTTGGTATCCATTATATTGGTAAGTGGAAAAAAAAAGAATAGCTATAAAAAGGAAAGAATAGGAACAACAATAGGTTTTTATTTTATAATGATTCCATTTTTTTTGGTTAAAACTCTTGCTCTTTTTATCTATATATATATATATATATATATATATATATATAATCATAGTCTATTCAAGAAACCTGGTAAGTTTGGTTTTGTTAGCAACTAAAACTATTCATTCAATTTCATTTTATTTTATTTTTCTTGTAGTCCTTCACTTATGTTTATTATATTTGAAGCTATTATCAACTTTGCTATGATTATTGAAGTGACGATACGATTGCTGGCGCTTAGGAGGGTAAGGAGAATGAACAAAATAGAAAAAAAAAAAAAGCTGTAGGGATGATTTCGACGTTTTTTTTTTCTTTTTTTGGGAAAAAAAATAGACTTACTGGCAATCCGTTTGGAATATTATTGATATCGTATTGGTTCTTCTTTGTGCAATCACATTGATAGTATTGGCAACTGGATGTTCAGCGAGTGAACGAAATGAAGCTATATTTGATACTGTTTTATTGGTAATTCGAAATTGTTTCCAATTCTTTCGTCTTTTTATGATGGCAAAGAAGTAAGTTCAAAAAAAAAGAAGGATCAAATGTGTGTGTTCATCTTGATGAAACAAAATATTGATTTTTATTTTTTCTTATTTGTATAGGAATCAATACTCTATTCACGCCCGTACAACACGTATCGATTTCAATCATCTTCCTGACGATCGAAATGCATCTTTGGAATTCACACGAGATCAACGATTGGAACAAAGCTTTTTGGACGATGATTCAGACTTTGAACAGGATCGTATATAGTTTTTTTTTTCCACTTCCATTTTCATTAGCTCTCTAGATGATTCCCTTTTTCGCACTGTTTTTAGTTTTTACTTTTCTATTTTAATAGATAGATTGGATATCCCCCTCTCTCTTCTTATTTATCATTCATTATTTTGAAAAAATAAAATGTCCACTCATTGTCATATAATCACATCTTACTGATACCTCTTCCTATTTATGAAGCATGATTTTCCTATATTCATGCAAAATGCAATTTTTTTTTTTTTTTTTTTTTGATTTTGACGAAAAAGGATTCATTCACCTTGAATTTAAGAATAAAGATAAAAATCAAACAGATAAAGAATATCTTTATTTAACAGATAAAGAATATCTTTATTTCCATTTTTTTTTTTTTTATTTTAAAAAAAAAGAATCACTAAACCAGATCAAACTAAATCTAAGCAGTCTTTTCAGCAAATACATCAACCAATTTGCCATCCTTGAGAGCTTGTTCGAATTCCTTACGGAGAGTTTCCAAACCTTCAGCAGTCTTGTTCTTGGCCAACAAGTCATCCAACTTGAGCAATTGAATATCCATAGCATCAGCATTAGGTTCTTCAGCAAGACCATACTTATTTTCCTTGATCAAGTTCTTGATAAGCTTCTTTTCCTTCTTGATGACACGTTTGATTGCTTCCTTATCCTTCTTTGCATTGGCGGAGGCTTCCTTGGCTTCTTGTTCAGCCTTTTCCTTGGCAAGACGTTCTTCTTCTAATTGATGAGCCTTTTCTTCAGCAGCGGCCTTTTCAGCAGCAGCCTTGGCATCCTTTTTGGCGTTTCGACGTTTCTTTTCTTCAGCCTTGAAGATGGCAATACGAGGATCTACACTGAGACAGACATCAACCAAAGTACGTAAACGAGCATTGTCTTCCTTCTTGAGTTGGGCACGTTGAGCACGGTTCTTCTTTTCTTGGTAACGCTTGTCATCTCGGTTATCAGCACCTTCAGCACCTTCCTTATCCAACCATTCAAATGAACGCCAAGAGTCAAAGTTGTACCAAAAGTCGTAAAAGTTTTCTACTTCTTCCTTGGTGGAATTTTCATCTCCCAAAAGAGGAACAGGTTGCTTGTTGGAGAATCGGGATTCACGTTCAAACACAGGTTGCCACAACTTGTAGAAATCACCTCGTGACTTGGCAGTAGGCACATCTTCATCTTCCAAAGTCATACCGAAATCAACAGAGTCATATTGACGACGAGTAACAGGATTCATCAAAGTATCATAAGCCTTGGCAATACACTTGAAGAAAGCATCATCATTCTTGTCAGCTTTCTTGTCAGGATGATGCAACAATACCATACGACGATGAGCCTTCTTGATTTGTTCTTCATTGGCACGGTATCGGAGCTTGGTCAAACCAAGAACAGCATAGTTATCTTGCGTCTTCCATTGAGTGGGATCTTGGTTGACAGTAGAGATATCCACATGTTCGTATTCAAAATCAACCTTTTCTTCATCAACCACTTGACTAGCCTTTTCCTTGGCTTGATGCATTTCGTCTTCAGAGAAAGTACGGTTGTGGCGCTTTCTGCGAGCATGGGCGAGGAAGTGTTGTCCAACAGGTTCAAGGAGACGATCGGTGGTACCTAAACATTGTAAAAAAAAAAAAAAAAAAAAAAAAAAAAAGTCAGTGGTTTATTTTCTTATCTCATTTTCGAACACTGATGAAACTTACCACTGACAGAAGCATGAGTGACAAAAGGTTGGTCAACCTTGTAAGAAGCAGGAGGAGGAGGAAGTAAAAAGTCAAGAGTCAAAGACATGATGAATATGGAAGGGATGAGAAAGAAAACAACAAAAAAGAAACGAAAAAAAAAAGACGAATTTTTTTGAAATTTCTATAACAAATGAAAAAAATAAGCCACTTACCGGCATCTGAAATGGTCGATCGCTGGCATTACTGCCATTGCATATTAATATCTTAAACTACACTATCCTTGATCGCAAGAAACCATGCTATCTCTCTACATATTAATATTTTTCTACCATCATCAACATCACCATCATCACCATCATTCCACTCTTTCACGTTCCGATCATCTTAAAAGAGGCATCATTATTAAAAAAAAAAAGAAACAAATTTTTGGTTTATTGGAGACAAAGAGAGAGATATACAAATGAAAAGAAAAAAGTGAAGAATATAAAAAAAAAAAAAAAACAAGCCATCAGTTTACAGAGTAAAAAATATATAAAAAACTAAACTATGAATTTACGGAGTAAATAATATAAAAAGATGAAAACTAAAGTATCAATTTACATAAAGTACATTACTTTCTGCAAATCAGGCTTGACAACAGCGTAACTGGCCATTTGAGTTTCACTATCCATTGATTCACTTGTAGCGTCAGTGTCTTCCCAGTTTTCGCCTTTACGATGGAATCGAGCACGAGCAGCAACCAAATCAGCATAGTAAGCAGGAGGACAGATAGAGACAGCACGAGTGGCGCGACCGTAGATATAACACAGACGATAAGTGAGTTCTTGAAGAGCATCAGGAGAAAAATTATGATCATCATAAAGTACATGGTAGTGAGTAGGACGAGAAGTTCCTTGGAGACCAGCATGTGATTGTAAATCTAAGAAAGAATATATATATATATATATATATATATATATAAATCAATATATCATCCTAATATATATATGATCATTTGAATACTTACAAAAATCAAATTCGAAAGGATGTACGATATCAGTATCCACAACAGTACCAGGTTGGCAGTTACCACTTCGATCGGCATCACGGGGTTCAACAGGGAAGAATCGAGCATGATGACGTTTTTGAACAACCACAAATGTGACAGGAGGTTTGTAAGTCTTATCCAAGGAAGCACAAGCAGCATGAATAGCAGCAACTTCATTTTTGAGTACTTGATCAAATTGTCCTTCAGAAACACCATCACGATAGAACAAGATTTGTTGAGGTTTTTGACCACAGTTTTGATAGAATGTCTTCAACAGTTCCTTGACCATATTGGCTAAATCAGCTATTATTTCAGTACGATTGGCTTGAACACGGACAGTTGAAGCATATCTTGATGCATATGAATCCATACTTGCAGTCAAAGCAGCAACGGAAGGTCTGTTCATATCACCAGGAGCAGGATGAGTAACATCAGCACCAAAGACAATAGTAGGTTTACTGGAAATAAAAGGAATTTGAGAATTGTCCATAAACAAGTTGACACCACCAAGCTTCATATTCACTTTCAGACAGACATTGGCACAATATTGTTTCTTAGCATCACCAATATGCTTACTTTGGAGACATTGAGTAGGAATACCAATAACTATATATATATATATATAAAGGATATGTGAGATTACGTCATGAAAATCATCATCATCATCATCATCATCATCATCACCATCATTTTTTTCATTTGTTTATTTTACCTGTATCAGAGATACGCTTGATTTCAGCATAAAGAGGAGTACCAGTGTTGGGCAAGATACAGAGAATCAATTGAGGTTGAGCTTTAGCAGCATTACCAGCCTTCAACCAGGCTTCCTTGAGAGTACGTTCAATATTACCTTGAGGATCAGCATGAGTAACAGGTGGTTGTCGGTTGATGACATTCTTATATTTATAATCATAAAAGAAATAAAATAAAAATAAAAAGTTTAGTACAAATCATATTTTTTTTTTCTTATTAAAAAAAAAAAAAACCAACTTACCAAACCAGTCTCAGTAAATGTTTGACATAATTCACGAATAAAACGTTGGATCATACCATCATGGACTTTGCTTGTAAAATTGACAACAGACCAAGAACCCAAGTTGGCACCCTTTGCGACTTTCTTGCCACGAAGATTCCAAGCACCACCTATAGGAGCAAAAGTAGCATCTTGAGATGAAGCATGGTAAGAGATCTTTGGAGGAGGAAGAACACGAGCATTGATCATGGTCATATCAGACTTGACATTAACACCAAATTGTTGAATATATGGGTTATCCTTGTATTTCAGAAGATTGACACCTTGATTGATCTTGTTGGCACGGACATTGGGCTTCTGACAAGTAAATTTGATCATTTCAGCAGTTTGCTTTTCATTCAATTTCTTCAAATGACGTTGACCAGGAATAACTTCACAAACTTCCATAGGTAGAAAGATATCTTTCTTGACAACAATACAGGGTAAGAAAGGAAAGGCCAAACGTCTATTGTAAGTCTTTTGAAAATATTGAGCAACGTTCATTTCATTTCCAGAGTCATCCTTGAATACAGTATTTTCAACAGAGGTAGGAGTAAGCTTGTTAATCTTGTACTTCAATCGTTTTTCAGCACCACGATGGACAACGACGATCTTGAGATTCTTGAGTATTTTTTCAACTTTGATACGTTCACGATCAGGAATACCACGACGAAGATCATCAAGACTGCGGCGGTCGAGTAGCTTGGGTAACATTTCATGAAGAGGACCAGATTCATAGAAAGCAGTAGCACTGACATCAACATTGATCATCATTTTGCCTATAAACAATGAATAATGAAATATTAATAAAAAAATATTAGGAATTTGACGAAATAGTACATCAAGAACCATAATGGCTGTAGCACAATTTTAGAAAAAAAAAAAAAAAAGAAGAAAGAAAAGATAAAAAAAGAGTTAATAAAAAAAAAAGGGATATAATGATATTATTCTTTTTTCTTTTTTTTACCAGTTAAACAATTGTTGGTAATACCAGACTTTCCATCCAAGAATAATTGTAGTTCACTCATGTTGATTACACCTACAGGCTTGATATTTAACTTGAAAACACCACCAGAACGATTTCCTTCTTGAAGATTGACCTATAAACAAGAATAAAAATGATGAATATAAATGAACCAATAGAAAAAAAGAGTGATCAAAAAAAATATATAATAATGTTGGGGATGAAATAATAAGCAATATGATAAAATATACGTCATTTTTTTTCTATTTACTTACTTCAAAAGAAATACCAAGGTTATCATCACCACATTTGAGCGGTTTTGGAGAAAAAAGATTTGCACGACCATCAAAGATAGGTTTGACCTTGTTAAGAAAAGCTTGACCTTTAAGACTATCTTCAAAAGATTGCCACACCTTTCTGAGAATAACAGGAGGAGTACCATCAGGTAATATTTGAATATTCAAGTGTTGTATATTTTGAGCTGGAAGACTTGTCATTTCAAAGAAATTGCTTCTTACACGTACTGGTTTACCAACTTTACCAACATTGGGACGCATAATAAGTTGAGTCAAATCTCTGTTGTATGCTTGAGCCATGATGTTTGTTTATTAGAAAAAAAAAGTGAAAAAGGAAAGAAAGAAAGAAAGAAAGAAAGAAAAGAGAAAGAAAAAAAAAAAAGAAAAAAGATCATTTTATATGTCTACCTGATCGGAGCCTGTTTAAAAAATCCTGCAAATCACACCAGCCAATCATAAGGAATCACAGAGATTTAGTTCCTTTTTTTTATATATATATTCTTGAATTTCTTTGTTGATTAATATGATGCTGATGATAATGAATGAACATCTTGAATTTCTTTATCACTTATTATTATATTCTTTGTATTCATATAATATTATATGGTAGTAAAGAAAGATTAAAAAAAAAAGGATTATCAATTGAGAATAATCTAGGTTAAACTAATTTAACAACTTTACTATTCTTATTATTATTATCTTATACATTAATAGTTTGGTAAGGTTGTTGTTATATGATGGAATTAACAATCACATTATTCTAGGTTAAATCACGAATAGAAGCTGCTTATACGCGGTAGTTGAACATCCAAAAAAGGAAAGACTCAGAGTTATTTAAAATGACAGCACCTTCCTCTATTTTATTTTCTCACACTTTCTTCTTCTTTCTTATCACTATTTTTTTGTAAACATCTTTTTTTTTATTTAGTATAAAAAGTAAGTGAATATGTATACAATAAAAGGAAACTTTATATATTCATTGTATATTAACTAGACTCTTCTCTTTCTTTATCTTGTTATAGAAATACTATCACTCCATCTCTTTTGACCCTTATTGCAAACTAGATCTTCAACATGTAATCAATGGACCGCAAAGCTATAACAATGGAACTATCATTATCAAAGGTACTATAATACATTCCAAAATAAAGAAATAGTAAGTGGTTTAGGTATGATTAGGATTATGAATCTGATTCTTTTCTTTTTTTTTTTTTTTAGTGTTTTTCCAGTATATTGTCAAGGGAAAAGGTTATTGAACATATCCATCAATTATGCTTATCAGCAAAAGTAGAACATGATCAAGGATATTATATTTAAAGTTAGGATCCAAAATATAATAGTGAAGGACTTGTCAACGAATATATCTATATTATATACTTAAAAGTCACTCTTTATATATTATACTTCTATACTTACTACATACTTACTTTATTTTGATCTCTCATATTATGAACTCACCTATTTTTTGATTGTCTTTGGTTTTACTCTTTTTATGTGTGATTAAATAGGATATACGACAAGAATAGATATACAACAAGTTTCCTATTGGACAAAAAAATGACAAATCGAATGGTGATAAAAGTATCTCTATCGTCAAACCCTTTTTTGTCATGGAAATTAGTTTTATTCATTTTGCTAGTGTTTTATATTTATATTTATGTTCTCTTTTAAATAAAATTATCATATTTTTATTTCTTATTTATTATTGTTATCTACTATTATCATATCATACGATTGTATCATCATCATATATCATACTGTCATACCTTTATAAGTAAAACAAGTCATAGCCTTCTCTGTTTGATACATTTTATCACTATACAATATATATTCAATACATGAATGAGGATGCTTGAAAAAAAGAAAAAGATTGTTCACATACTAGGTAATGATCATGATATCATTATTTTTTTTTTTATAATATGTAACCTTGTTGAGATCAGTTAACGAGATGTCTTGTTAGAACTTTAAAATAAAAGGATGACACAAAAGTTTTTTTTTTTTTTTTTTTTGAAAGAGTTTACCCAAAAGAACAAAGATCGTGATTTGATTGGTGGAACTCTTTTTATGGTAACAAAAAGATAAGATTATCATCTTATTTTAGTGCGTTGTTTCCCAAACCATAAAATCAAGGATATGTTTGTTTCTACTGGATGGATTATTTTCAAAAAAAAAAAAAAAAAGATAGAAGGAAGTGTCCAGTTTAATATGTCCATGAGTGATGTTTTTTTTTTATTTAAAGTTTGATAATCTAATCCCACGCATACAACCAACATGATAAACTTGAGTTATTGAATGTCCGCAAAAAATGAATGGGAGTAAAAAGAAAAAAAGCTTACCAACCCATGATGAATATTTATGAGGGGAGAACGGAATGGCACGGAAGAGAATTCAAGGCATAAAAGCTGTCTATTCATGTGAAGGAACCGAATGATTCCACATCTATCTTCCATTTCTACCCCGCAAACGAAATCCACTTAGTCATTGGCTCAATTTATTTCTTTACCTTTCCCCCACATAATTGATTACACAAATCATCATTTCCCTTCTACTAAAAAGATGGTTTGACTGACTTTTTTTTTTTTATTATTTGGTTGTCTTGATTTTTTTTTTTAACACACACAAAAAGGTTGGAAACTTAGTTTAAACCGCTTCAACGTTTTAGACTGTAAAAAAAAAAAATCACATATGAAAATTACCAAATTGGTTTTTTTTCTTTTTTGAATAAATAGTTCCCTTCTCTCCTTTTTTTTTTCTTCTTCTTCCTTTTTACCTTTTTTTTTTTTTCTATTTACTTTTTTCCTTTTTATCTTTTTAAAAATAATACCATGAGCAAGAACAATCAACAACAAAAGACACCTTTACTTACTCACTTGGTTGCCGGTGGTGCTGCTGGTTTTATGGAAGCCTGTACTTGTCATCCTCTTGATACCATTAAAGTCAGAATGCAACTTGCCAAGAATATTCAACGAAACGCTGCAGTAAGTAACTCATTATATAATATTATTCCTTCAATAAACTTATCTTTTTTTTTTTTTTTTAAAAAAAAAAAATAAGGGCAAACGATTAGGTTTCTTTGGTGTAGGTGTAAAAATTGTCAAAAATGAATCCTTTTGGGCACTTTACAAAGGTCTTGGAGCTGTTGTATCTGGTATTGTACCCAAAATGGCTATTCGATTTAGTTCCTTTGAATTATATAAGGAATGGTTAGCGGACGCAAATGGAAAAGTGTCAACGACTGGTGTCTTTTTTGGTAAGATGATGATTATTATTATGATCAACCTAGATCATGATGGGAATTTGATTGGATAGAAACTAGAGAAAAGTTATACGTGATTATTTTTAATGATTCATTATTTTTATTACTTATTATTATCATTAGCTGGTCTTGCTGCTGGTACTACTGAAGCTGTGATGGTTGTATCCCCTATGGATCTTATCAAGATTCGTCTTCAAGCTCAACGACATTCTATGGCTGATCCTATGGATGTACCAAAGTATAGAAATGCTCCTCATGCTGCTTATACTATTGTTAAAGAAGAAGGTTTCCGTGCTTTGTATAAGGGTGTCACTTTAACGGCTTTACGGCAAGGTATTTATTATTATTATTATTATTATTATTTATATGAAGATCGGTTTCATCTTATTAACTAATCCTTAACTATTTCTGTATCACTTTAGCCACCAATCAAGCTGCCAACTTTACTGCTTATCAAGAATTCAAATCTTACGCAAAGAAATTCCAAAATTTGGAAGAATTACCATCTTATCAACATTTGATCCTTGGTGGTGTTTCTGGTGCTATGGGTCCTTTATCTAATGCTCCTATTGATACCATCAAGACTCGTATTCAAAAATCAAGTGCTAAAGGTTCTGGATGGGAACGATTCCGTATTGTCACTACTGAAATCTATGCTAAGGAAGGTATCCGTGCTTTCTATAAGGGTTTAACTCCTCGTGTGTTACGTGTAGCTCCTGGTCAAGCTGTTACTTTTATGGTATATGAGAAGGTTAAGGCTTGGTTGGATATCTTTACTGGTAAAGTCAATGCTGAAGTCACTCAAATTGCCGCTCAAAAATAGAAGAACAAGTCATTCTCTTTTTTTTTTTATATATATACATACACTACCTAGATTTTTGCCCTACTCTTCCAACCTTCTTTTCTTTTCTTTTTTTTTTTTTTTTTTTTTTTTTACCTTATGATAGCTTCCCTCTTTTTTTTCTTCTTCCACCGATTTATTTCTATGTACTATATTATTCTCTATTTACCAATAAAGTTGTTTTTACCTTTTGTGTTTCCTACCTTTTTTTTTTTTTCCTTTCTTTGATCTAGATACTTATCAATCAAAAATTTGACAAGTACCAGGGAACAGGAATGAATACAGTCATCAATAAGGATAAAGTTTAATCTTCGGATCGAAAATAGTAATAGGCTCATTAGAAACTGTCATTCTTACTTATATGTTAGTTTCCTTTCCGGATATCATATGTTTATCGCATATATACTTTATTTGATCGGTTATGGAAGAATACAAGGGTTGATTGTCATATCACTGTAGATAATAAAAGTGAATACATAATATATGAATACTGGATGGCATAAAGACCTTCTCACTCTCTCCTGGATAAGTATTTTTTTTTTTTTAAGAAAAGGGTAGCTTGCGTGTAGGTTTGTAGAAAGTGGAAGGCTGGCTCTATTTCAACTCCGTAATCATTGATCATGAAATGAAATCATTCATCTTTTTTTTTTTTTTTTTTGACGATCAACATATCTTATCTATGTAATAGACAACGAACATTGATTCCCTCATTATACTCATCCTATTTATAACGTTTATCTTATAGAGAGCGAATATATCTTCTTGGTGTATTGTAGTTAAGGTAATCATACTCTTTTCGACGTCAAGAAAAGAATCAAGCTTTTTGGATGTGTCACTTGTCAATGTAAGTAATCTATGATGTTTGTTCAATAAGATATTGATGATATTTTTTTTTAATTCATTCTTATTTCTCTATAGCTGTCCACAAGAAATATGACTTGAACTACTTTATACCGTAACAGATCATCTTATCAATGTACTTTCATCATATGTGAACATCAAAAATCAATTTGGATAGTATAAATGATATTAAACGATAAAAGGTGAACTAGTAGATATGCTTTTTTTTCATGAAATAATAAAGGTTTTTTATTGTTCGGATTGGATCGGTTGTAAATGGATACCTGCGTTTTGTGTTTTTTCTCACACAGTAGTTTGTATCTTTTTGATTTGGGCAGTTAATCCCAAAATGTATAAAAGATTACATGTGTTCCCGCCTTTTTTCAGTGTAACCAATCATTGTTATCTTCATCCATTTTTTTTTTTTTAATATTTCTCTTCTTTTTCTTTCTTTTTTTTTTTCCTTTTTGTTCTATTGTGTTGTCTAATATGGTAAAGCTTACAGCAGAAGAAATCGATGCTCAAGATGCTGCTCGATTAAATGAATTAGGTTATAAACAAGAATTAAAACGTGAATTAACAGTAAGTAATAAAATAAAATAAAGTGAAGAATATATCATATTCATCTTATAAAAAAAAGTCTATTGGTAATATGGGTATGGCTCTTTCTGTGGTCTGTATATCAAGTGGATTGACTTCATTATTTGCCTATGGTTTGAATACTGGTGGTCCTGTAAGTTAAATCATTCTTACTATTCTTTTCTTATAAAAGATTCTATTCTATTATTATTTTATTATTATTATTATTATTATTATTATTTAGGTGGTGATGGTATGGTAAGCAAATAGAAAAAAAAAAAAGAAAGTTAATAGTCATTGATTCCTACTTTGTTTTTTAAGGGGTTGGGTTGGCGTCTGTTTCTTCACTGTTCCTGTTGCCTTGGCCATGGCTGGTATTAAAATAGAGGGACCAAAAAAAAAAGATTGGACAACTTATTGAAATTCTTTTTCTTTTTCTTTCTTTCTTTTTTTTTTTTTTTTTTTTTTTTTTTTTTTTTTATTATGAAGAAATTTCAAGTGCATATCCTACTAGTGGTGGTCTTTACTATTGGGCAGCTCAATTATCTTCACGAAAATATGCTCCTTTTGCAAGTTGGATGACGGGATGGTACAATCTCATTGGTCAGTTTGCCGTAACAGCAGGCATTGATTTTGGTATTGCTTTAATGATAGGTGCTTTAATCAACATTGGTACTGATGGAGCTTGGGCACCTACCGCTGGAAGTACTGTGGGCATTCATGTTGCTATTTGTTTTAGTCACGGTATTACTAATAGTTTAGGACCTCGCGTCATGACAACTATTAATAGTAAGTTAAGATCAAGTCTATAACATGAAACTCATTCTATTTTTTTTTTCTTATATAGCTATGAGTACAGTATGGCAGGTTGTAGCACCTGTTGTTATTTTGATTACCATTGCTTGTAAAGCACCTACTCATCAATCCGCTTCCTTTGTATTTGGTTATTACAACAATAATACTGGCTGGACAATGCCTGGATATGTCATTTTGACTGGTTTATTACAAGCTCAATTTACTATGACTGGATATGATGCATCAGCTCATCTTAGTGAAGAAACAAAACGCGCCAATATAGCAGCTCCTGTTGGGTAAATTAAAAAGAAAACAAAAATAAAAGAAATCATGACACTAATGTATTATTTTTGTAGAATGGTGATGGCTGTATTAGGTAATGATAAAATGCTTAACCTAGTGTGATATGGATGATATATTTATTTTTATTCCTTTAGTGAGTGCTGTAATGGGATGGTGCTTTATCATTGGATTTCTCTTTTGTATACAAGATTTCGAAGCGACTCTTCAAACCACAACCAATTTCCCGGTGATGCAAATCATCTTTGATAGCGTTGGTAGATCTGGTGCTATTGTGTTGATGGTGATTCTTATCTTGGCATGGTAATACCTTTTATTATCAACATCATCATTTTATTGCTATCATAGATGCTGATTTTTTTTTTTAATATTGTAGTTGGTTCTGTGGATTTGCAAGTGTTACAGCAAACTCGAGAATGATTTATGCATTTTCACGTGATGGTGCCATGCCGGGTAGTCAGCATTGGCATGTTATTCATCAAAAGACAAAGGTAATTAAAAAAAAAAAAAAAAACAGCAAGTATCCTATAGAATAAGATATCTTACTTATATATGTATGATTCGTAGACACCCTTGAATGCAGTGTGGCTCTCTGTTTTGATTGCATCTCTTCTTGGACTACCTTCTCTTGGAAATTCCACTGCATTCTCGGCCATCACTTCAGTAGCTACTATTGGATTATACATCTCTTACGGAATCCCTATTGTTTGTAAACTTTTGAATCAAAAGCAATTTACAAGAGGTATGTTTGAAATCATTTGGCTGGCTGAAGGTAGATGCTAATTACAATATATATCTTTTTTTTTTTTTTTGTGTTCACTCTAGGTCCACTTCATCTAGGTGTGTTATCCCCTGTTATTGGAAGGTAAAGAAAAGAGAGCAGTGTTATGTAGTGATTTTTATAAATATACTTACTTTTCTATCTTGATTCCTTATCTTAGTATTGCCGTGTTATGGATTATCTTTATCACTATTCTATTTGTATTACCGCCCCAATCTCCTGTTACGCCTATATCAATGAACTGTAAGATCCATTTTCTGTTTCCTTTTTTTTTTTTTTTCGATCTCAACTATATTTGATCTTTTATAGATGCCTGTCTCGCTATTGGTCTGGTGACTTTGGGTGCTGGAGGTAATATGAGGAAATACTACGATCCTTGATTATAAAAGTTTGTGCAATTCTAATGATGATCATCTTATATATATGTAGGTCGATTCGCCATTGATGCTAGAGTTTGGTTCAAGGGTCCGATAACCAATTTGGATGCTGAATTTGGACAAAAGAAACAAGTACAAGAATCAGTCGATAATCATGATGACATTCATGAAAAAGTAGCTTTAGAACCTTAGTATAATCTTCATGGATGAATAAAATTGAATCTAATATAGTTAATATCAGTGTTGTTTCTTTTTTTTTTTTTTTTTTTTGTGTCATCAGGGTGTTGTTGTCATGAGAATAAGTTGAAGTCTTTCATATATAATGATATCAATACGCTATTTGGTATTATTAATCTTTATTAATACTTCTTTCAAATAAAATAACAATAAATGGAATCATGGGATATACGTCTGCAGGGATACGGACAACAAAAAAAAAAGGAAGACTAGAAAAGTCAATATATACGCATGAATGGTCTGATAACTATAACTTTGCTCTATCATGAAGATAATAATGGTCCAACATATAAATAGCGGCATTTGCGATGCGTCGAGCCAAAAGATCATGACCTTGAGGAGAGAACCGTAGTCTTTGAGGTGATTCGATTTGTATGATATCCAAAGATGAGTGATAGGTCTGAGTGATGTATCCACCAGCAAAGTAAAGAGCATGTTCAACTGGGTATGGATGAATAGGTGAAGGGACGACATCAACCTGATGATTGTCTTCTTGATCCATCATCATAGCATATCCAAAAGAACCGTTACCTCGTAATAAAGAAACAGCAGATCCATGTCGATGCTGTTCAATTCGATCAGCCAAGTCAGAAATCGATGAATGTCGGATCAACTCGCGTTCATCCTTTTTGGTTGTCCTTTGTAGCATTGTTCTGTTTAATAAATATCCTAGTTCCACCATCCCTTCTTTGTGAGCTTGACCTATACAAAAAAAAAAAAAAAAAAAAGGTAAGTGATTTGCTTATCTTGAGTATTTAATCATTACTATATACATATGATGATCTGATTTATTTTATTTTTTTTTTTTGTGTGTTTACCATGAATATCCAAGAGTAAACCATATCTGTAGCGTGTTTTCACTTTATTGATTGTGCGTTGTAATACATCATGATATTCCTAAAAAAAAAAAAGAAAAATTGATAAGCATGATGATTGAAACAAAAGCAAAAAAGAGGATGACCTTCCACACACGCTGACCTTGAATGGATTCGGTACCTTCCAAGATAGATCTATTGACATCCACTTTTCTTCTGGCAATATTGAGTATGACCAAAAAAGGGGCAGCATTGTAATGGGACTGAATGAGATGAGAGATCTTGTGGGCGAGGGAGATGGTATAGGCATCTGCAATAAGATGACCATCAGTACGGTTGGGAATCGAGGATGGGAGTTGGTCACCACCGTGAGGGACGCTCAAAATCAAGGGGAGTTTGCCTTCCACCAATGTCACGTCAGGGGATACCGAAGAAGAAAATAAGGATTGTTGTTTCATGACAAGAGCATATGGACGTATAAAGATGAAAGGATAAACAACAACAACAAGAAGAAGAAGAAGAAGAAGAAGGATAAGAAAGGAAAATGAATAGAACTTGACTTGCCGCGACATCCTCAATAGTGTGTGGGGTTTGGAGAGGAGAATGAATGATGAAGAATAAAAAGATATCGTCTTTGTGGAGTCAAGCGAAAAAAAAAAAAAAAAAAAATAAAATAAAATAAAAAAAAAAAATTGGGACCTGAAATTTATTTTTAGAACGTAACACAAATGGAATACATAGAATCCAAGTTTTCAAAGAAGGAAAATCAAATAATATACACTACAGAATTTATTGAAGATCAAATACAACATTATAAATGGGGGGAATATAACAATCTATCAAAATCTACCATGTTGCTTGGTTATTATGAGATGCATCGGTCGAAACAGTGGGAGATACAGGTAAATCCAATTTGATTTGAAGGTTGTTGGCTAATGTTTGCCATTGACTGACAGTTTTGTAGTGGCGAGTCAATTGGTTGACTTGGTCAAGTTGAGATTTGGTTGTTGGGTATTGATGTTGTAAAGCTCCTGCAAATAAGGTCCATTGGCGTTGTACTTGTTTGACATTGGCTTGTTTTGAATGTAAAGTGTTATCAAATAAATGCCATCGAGACAGAACAGCTTGATCATAATGAGTTGTCTAACAAAAAAAAAAAAAAAAAAAAAATAGAAAGTGAGTGAAAGGAATTTCCCTTTGGTTTGTTTGACTTACCTCGGCTGCATAGACAAAACTTAACATGACCAACGCCATAAAGAACAAAGTATATATAGCGCGCATCTTCTTCAACATAAAAAAAAAAAAAAAAAGAAAGAAATAAAAAGAAAGGAGTGAATATAAATAACTTTTTTTTTTTTTTTTTACTTCTTTTTCAGGGCGGACGTTGATTCAATTTATCACATCTTGACTTTTTTGGGTTAACCATATTAGTTATTTTCCTTCGATCTAGTCATCGTAAATAATAATAATAATAATAATAATAAAAAAAAGTTAAAGAAAACGAATAGATCAAATAACTTATTGAGTGTATCATATGTAATCTATCCACTGGCATATTTGAAATGAAAGAAAAAAAAAAAAAAAGCCAAGAACTCTTGTTCTTTATGTTTTATCCTCCGACACTTGTGGTGGTATTCACCTCTCGCTTTTTTTTTCTATTTCCCTTTTTTTTTTCTTTCCTTGTTTTTTTATTATTATTATTATTTTAATACCGTACACAACGACCATATTGTAACGACAACAATAAAAAATGGCCAAAATAGTGGATAAAGCCATGTGGAGTGCTGGACCAGTGTTTATAGTTATAGCTATTGCATTAGTGGATATGTGTGTATTGGCTTACTATTTAGTTGTTTTTCCATACAATCACCATTGGTTTTCTGAAGACATAACTTTATTAGGCAAGCTAGGCATTATTCTGACTGTATTATTTACCTTATATATGATTTATTGTATTCATTTCCACTATTATATGGCGATCAAGACTCATCCTGGTGGCATGACGGATACTGTAATACATGGAACAGAAGACGTAAGGAAAAAAAAAAAAAACTAAAATATATAGTTATATAGTTTGGTTTTTTTTTTTTTAAAAAAAAACTATTTTCATTTTGTTTTAGGATTCAACACAATATACTTTATTACAATATGAAGAAAATGCTCAATACCCCAAGATATGTAAAAAATGTAAGCAAGAAAAAAAAAATACAATGTATTTTCTAAAAGATCTAATGAATCTTTTTTTTTTTTTTTTTTTTTTTTACTTTAGGTCATTTACCCAAGCCTGAAAGAGCTCATCATTGTAGTGTTTGTAATTCTTGTGTATTACGATTTGATCATCATTGTAAGTTTGATATATTATAGAAAAATACAAATATATTCAAATATCTTTTTTTGCATAAACAATCATATAGGTCCATGGATTCATAATTGTGTTGGCCACTATAATCATCGGTACTTTGTTTTGTTTATGACTTATATGGTTCTATCAGCTGCATACTTTGTTATATTTGGATGGCGTCCTTTTATCATATGTTTAGATATTGCAAATCCTGAAGTAAGTTAATAGATATTCCTCTTTTGGGCAATACTGATTTAATACTTCTATTTCCTTTTTTTTTTTTCTCTAGTGGCCATACTACTTTCCTCGTCCATTGATGGCTTTTGCATATATTTTATCCATATGTATGGGATTGGCTTTAGGTAAGAGTAATGAAGATAATAAAAGAAGCCCACATTCTCATTCATGCTTTATTTGATTCTTTTTTTTTTATTCACGATAATAGGGGCATTATGTGCATGGCATTACTATTTGGTAAGGAAAAGATGGAATCATGATCACTAAGATAAAACTAACATCTTTTTCTTTTTTTTTTGTATGGTCGTATTGATTAGGTATTGACAGCACAAACCACTGTGGAATTTTACAATAATTATTATGAAAAGGGGATTGCCAAAAGTCAAGGAGAGGTAAATGATAGAATGATGCATTGGGACCAAAAGAGAATAAGTTGACAATCTTTTTTTTTCTCTCATTATTTTAGATCTTTGTCAATATGTATGATTTTGGGTATCTCGAAAATATTAGAAAATTCTTCAATATTGGCGAAAAATAGTAAGTGGAGAACTGAAATAAAAAAAAAGGGTATGTTTCATTAGACTGATCTTTTTTCTTCTTCTTCTTCTAAAAAGTGCTTGGTATACAGTGTTTTATCCTATTCCTATTCCTCCTCAAGTAAGTTGAAATCAGATGAAACTATTTTTTTTTCTTTAAAATGTTTATTCATTGATACTCGGTTGATTATAGGGTAATGGTCGTCATTTTGAAAAGTGTCAAGAATTTTACTTATTACCGGAAACTGTTCAACAAGATGCGATTTTGGCCAATCAAGCTGTACAAGATTTGGAGGATGTCAAGGATCTTTAAATTTAGCAAGACCGAATGGTTAGGGATATGAGGTTGATGTATAGTTAATTAGAAGAGTTACATTTGTATAGGCTTCATTATTTATTATTATTATTAGTTTTATTATCATTATCATTATTATTATTATTATTACTATCATTACGTTGTACCAACAATAGCATTTTTTTTTTTATTCTCTGTTTTCGTTTGCATCTTGTATTTATTCATAAATATTCCACCTTCAATTTTTACTATACAATAAAACTACTTCTCTATATATGATATCTACTTTTTTTGAGAAACGACTGCTTTTTTTCTTTGGGTCACATTTTTAAGGGTTTGATATAGGCAAGACAAACGATTGGAAGATGGTATAGGGACTTCAACTTTGGATTTCTGTTTGTGGTTGAATGATAATGATGATCTATGCGTTGTGGATGAGATAGAAGATCGGCCTTCGATTCCATTGGGATGACAAGAGGAAGCATGTTGTTGAGAGGAAATGACGGGTGAAGTGACAAGTGGAGAAGATGGAAAAGGACGATATAAAACGATGCCTTTTTGATAGGCAAGGATGGCCAAAGGTAGATCATCTTCATCTATCTTTTTTCTTTTTGTCTTTTTTTTTGAAGAAGGACTTGAATGTATGTATGGTTTTGTTGGTAGAGCCATAGCAAAGTCATCATCACACGGGTAAAAGGAAGTTTCTCTTTTGATGGACATGATTAAATAATAAAAAAGAAGGATTTTTTTTTTTTATGTTTTACTGATGAACAATGGTCAAAGAAGAACCTTATATATATGAGCAAGAAAAAAGTAAAAATAAAAAGAGCCCGCTTTCATGAATTAAAATGGAAATCAAAAAGAATATACTTTGAGTCGGTAGAAGAAAAAGAACCTGCATAAAGTATAAATATTTGTTCATCATGTTTCATTCTTATATTGTATAACATGCGCGCGAACATTCCCCGGTTCTCATTGTCTCTACTGTCGTCCTCTAAACTAAATATCATCTTTTTACTGTTTGATTCATACACATAAATACTCTTTAAAAAAAAGTGAATTTTTTATTGATCATAACAAAGTAAAAAAAACAAAACAAAAAAAAAAAAAAAAAAAAAAAACTAAACTAAACTACATTTTTTTTTGTATTATCCTTGAGAGAATCTTCATGTTGTTTCAGTACATCGATAAAATCTTCTTCCAAGATCACCGCACCAGAGCCAGAGCATCTTGCCTTTTTTTGAAGTTCCACACATAATGTATCCATATCAAACATATCAATATTCGGATGTTCTTGTAGCGTTTCCCACATTCGGTCACATGGTATGGTTTTTGCGCCTTGTTCAATTCGAGGGTCGACTTGATGGTTGAATCGACCAGTTTCATTTTGTGCAAAGCCCATTATTTCTTGATGCTGATCATGCAGATTTGTTGTTGTTGTTTCTGATATGTGAGGAGGCAAATATGTTGTTAGAGAAGGATGATCAAGTTGAATGTTGTCATTACTGCTGTTATCATCATTGCTGTTATTGTTGTTATTTTGTTGATGATCATCATATACTCGTTCATTTGATAGATCATATAAAGGTGATGATGGTGTCATGGAAGAGGAAGATGCTGAATAAGGAGATGAGTCCATAAATGGAGAAGAATGCCATTGATTGTTGGTTGGTGTTGTTACTATTGCTGATGAAGTTGTTGTTATAGAAGAAGAAGGATCAAAAGGTGATGGTGCTTCATTTGAATCCACTGGTGGACTAGTAGGTAAATGCCCGGAATCAGTTGTTGTATCTACTGGTAACTGAATACCAGCTTCTCGTAACTTTTGAATAGATCGTTCGAAAGCTCGTTCGGCACCTTTAAGAGTATAAATTTCGGTTTCCATTTCTTTTACACGTTGATGTAATAGTTTATTTTCGTCTTGTAAAGTCTTCATTTCGTTGATACGGTCCTTTTCCAATTGAGCCACTTTTTCTTCTAATTCCTTGACATAGCGTTCTTTTCGTTCCCTAAATGCTCGTTGTGCTATTCGGTTTTGTTCCTTTCGTTTCCTTTGTAGTTCACTAGGTGACAGCTAAGTTAATTAGGTGGAAAGAAATGATTTCAGTATATGGTTATGTTTATAAGCTTCTTCTTCTTTTTAATACTTACGTTTGATTCATCATCAGTTTGTTTGTTTGTCTGTAAAAGTGTATCTAAAGTAAATTGAGAAAAGGTTTTCAATATTGGAATGACTATATATAGTTAATTATTATTATTATTATTACCATTATCACTTCCACTATCTAAATAAAAAAAAAAAAAAAAGAAAAGAAAAAGGAAGATAAGAAAAGAATAAAAATGAATACAAGTAGACTTACGAAAATGTTTAGTGATAGCATTTGGAAAATCTTGTAAAGAGTCCCATTTTCTCTTATCAACTTCATTTGTTAAGAGAGTTTGAGGCTCTATTGTCAAGTTATCAAGCCAGTTTTGTTGATTAGTAAAGTTTGGTTCATTCATAGTTGATAAGTAAGAGAATAAAAAAAGAAAAGAAAAAAAAAAGAAGAAAAGTACTGATAATTTTTTTTTTTTTATTTGTTGTCCTTTTCCTGTTTATTTTAAATAACCGCAACGAATGAAAAAGAATCTCATTTTGAGATGATTATTATGCAATTCATTTTACTCCGAGGGTGTAAGTATCTAGACAACAATGGGAATTCTTAAAAAAAAAAAAAAAAGAAAAAAGAAAAAGGAATTGGCTGTTCATTATAATTTTTTGTTACCAAGACAACATGATTGAAAAATATGAAAAGTATTTCCATAAGGGGTCTCAATGAACGTGAATATGCTGTGTTTCAAACCAGAAAAAAACAACAAAATTAGGCTTCTTGCAATTTTATTTTTTTCTTTCTTTTTTCTTTTTACTTCAATTTTTTTTTTTTGTGTTCTTTTTCTCCTTTTGATACCTCTTTTTATATATATATATATATATCTATATATATTACGTACATATACCTTTTTACATATATATATATATAGATATATATATATTTATATATATACATACAATTTCAACCATGATGGCAATGGATATAGATATCCTTGACTCTGTTGAGGTAAAACTTATTATCGTTATTATTATATAAATGTTTTACTAATATCTATTTATTAGACACCTTCTCCTTCACCTTCTCGTTCAATATCTACTGGTGGATCTTCTCGACCCATACCTTTTGCTGTTTTAAAGGTACAATTTAAACGTCTCGTGGAACAACATCAGGAACGAAATAACAACAGACCTGGCGTCATTGCAACAAAAGATCTTTTAATGGTGATTGACGCTTATGAACAAGAACATGACGTTATACTATTGACTCCACTTCAAAAAAAGGCAATACAACCTTATACTTTAACCACTCCCGACTTGGAAATGACTCCCGATGATATCTTGAATTTACTTAAACTGGTCTTTGCACCATCTCCTACTGCATCTGTCTCAGCTCCTACTTCTAAATTATCTACACTTCCACGTACTTCTGCTCCTCTGAAACCAAACAGTTCTACTACTTGGAAACGTCGTCTCTCTACTGCTAGTATGAATGCTACACAAACCATCACTACTGACTATGATCACAGTGTAAAAACAAAAAAAAAAAAGAAAGAAGCATCTATATTTTTCTTTTATAACTTTCTTATATTTCTTCTCTCTCTCTCTCTCTCTTTTTATCTTACTTAGACAATGATGGATACTATGGATGATGGTCCCGAGCCATTGGGTATTACACAAGAGGAAAATTCAAACCAACAGCTGATTTCAAAAATGGATCAAGATGTAAAAAAAAAAAAAAAAAATAAGAAAATAACTAGCATGATATTCGCCATAGTCTTATTACTTATCATTTTTCCTTTTCTCTTTCTTTTACATAGATATCAAACGATAGCGATGATGATATGGAAGATGATGAATTCGCTCAATGTTATCGTAGATCTCTTGCTTTGACACAAAGATTGAAACTTAGTGAAAAAAGTCTGGCTTCTATGACACGTGACAATGAAGATCGAATTCTTGTATTGCAAAATCGAGTGGACGATATGACCAATCAAGTCAATAAGCAAAAACGTGAACTTTTAGAATACAAGACAAAGGAAATCAATAGTTTGGAGCAAATCAGTATGGTAATGAAATCCAAAGAAAAAGAAAAATTATTCTGTCTTTTTGTATTATCGTTTTTTTTTTAAAACTATATTTATATTCAAAATAGCTGGAATCTCATATTGATACTATTCAACAATCAAAAACTGATCAAAAACAAGTTTATTTATCCATCAAAACGTTATTTGATGAAAAATGCGGTAATAAGATGATTTTTACTCCTTCATAAATATTTTATACACGTGATTATTAACCATTGAATAACATTTTTCTATATATATATATATATATAATAGGGGAAACTCAGAAACTTCAAGAATTACTCAAGCAAAAGGAACTCGATTTACAAAAGGCAGAAGCTTTTCTTAGCAGTTTCCATCATGAATTTATGCAACTTACCGAAGAACGAAATCGTTTAGAATCACTACAAAAGGATTTGGAACGAGAATTAGCAACATCACATCATACTCATACACAGCTGGCTGAACAACGATCAGAAAATGAACGACTAAAACAAGTCATCGATAGTTTGAAATGTGATTTGGATCAAGCTCGATATGAACAACGTTCTTCTGGTTATATGGATACTTCAAATTTGATCGAGGTAAATAACATGTCTATTGATATAAGTCTGTGTGTTGATCTTTCTTTTTCCGTATATGTATTTAGTCTTTGGAAGCAGAATTGGAAGGTCAATTGCAATTGAAGGAAAATGAAGTTGCAAAAGCTTTAGAAAAGGTAAAATAAAAAAAAAAGATTTGATAAGAGAGGGAATTGTATTTTTATTCAACTTTTATTTTCTCCTTTCAATTAAGATTCAACAAATGCAACAAACTGAAGAACGACTGAAATCTGCAGAAAATGAAAAGAATTATTACAAGTCACGAGCAACTGAGGCCATGGAAGATCTTGACAGAGGTATATATATGTTACATTCTTTTTTGTTACTAATCCATCTCTTTTCTATAGTCAAGGATGAATTATCGCATTTGAAAAAAGTGTTGGAATCCGAAAACAGACTTTTGGTGACAGAATTAGCTGATTTACAAACAAAAAACAAAGAAGGATTAACACGACCGTTATCAATGGATGATTTTACTACCATGGATATCAGTACAACTATCGAACCTTATATTGCAGCATTACCGATCAATGCCAACAAAGAAGAGGAAAAAGATAACAACAATAGTAACAACGATAGTACTAACAAGGAAAATGTAGTCAAAACACAATCAGGATCAAGATCTATCAACAAGAACAATCGATCAGTAAGATTTTCACAACAATTGACAGATGTTTGGTCTCAATCACGTATTCGAGGAAGGAAATTAGATATGGGAAAGAAACGAGGTAAAAAAATTAAAAAGAAATAGAAAAAGAAATAGAAAAAGAATATTTAATTAACTAATATTTTTTTGATTTTTCTTTTTATAGAAGTATTTGATCTACACAATGTAACACAAAATTCAACATATTCATGTATAGATATGATTTATTAATATTTATTTTTTTTCTCTCTCTCTCTCATATTTAGGCAACTTCTGTAGCAACAGCTACTCTTCATCATCAACGAAATAACAGCTTGACGATCAATAGTAGAACAACAACAATGAATCGACAACAAAATGACAAATTGATTACGAGTACAGCTACATTTGCCATATATACCCTACTTGTGTATATCTTTGGGATAGTGACATCTACTTTTTTGATTGAAAATGGACCTCCAGGTAGTTGGGAACAAGCTCTTGTAGCTGCTGCTAGTCAACAAGGTGGAGGAAAAAGCAAGTTATTGGAAATTCTTCTTTATTGGATTGAAAAATTACTTTTTGAAGGCGAAGGTGTTCCATTATCCTGATTTCTTTTTTTTTTTTTCATTACAATTTATTTTATTATTTATCTCACACTTATTCTTATTATTCTTATTCTTATTATTAAGTATTGTTTTTATCATTAGTTTGTTCTCATTCAAAGCCTTTTTTTTTATTATTATTATTATTATTTTTATTCATCATTCATCGTACATATATTCCCTCGTATTATTATGATTCAGTCCTTTCCAGTACTATCCATTCCTTCTTTTTTTCTTTTCAAGTCCATACCATTCTTTTATTGTATTCTTTCATTCTTTTCCCTTCCTTTTTTTTAATCTTGATGAATAAAAAGAAGAAATTATTTAGTCTCATGTAGATTTAGCTAAAAAGAATTGCTTTGACAAATCATTCTGCCGCCTTTTCAGCCGCCGTCCATCTTTTGGCCGTGGGAAATATTCAATTTTACTTATTTTTTTTTCTTTCTTCCTCTATCTTTTTTTATTTTTCTTTCTTCTTCTTGTTCTTCTTTTACCTCTCTTTCTATTGATTGATATTATCATGTTTGCTGCCAGACATTCCCTTCTCTCTGTAAGTCATCAATTTATAAACAACACAACTTTTTTTTTTGTTTTATTATCCATGTTATACTTTATTTCTAATGTTCTTATATTTTTTATAGGTTCAACGCCGTACCTTTGCTACCACTACCCAAGGTCTTAATGTAAACAAAAAAAAAAAAAAAAGAGAGAGAGAGAAACTCTATATTTATTTATATATATATATTTTATATATTCTTAGGATGTTGTGATTGCTAGTGCTGTGCGTACTCCTGTAGGTTGTTTTGGTGGTGCACTCAAAAGTCTCAGTGCTCCTCAATTGGGTAGTATTGCTGCTCGTGCTGCTATTGAAAAGGCCGGGATCCAAGCCAACGATGTTCAAGAAGCATATTTTGGTAATGTCATTCAAGCTAGTTTAGGTCAATCTCCTGCTCGTCAAGCTATCTTGGCTGCTGGATGCCCTGAATCCACTGAAGCCACTACCATCAATAAGGTTTGTGCCTCTGGTATGAAATCCATCATGTTGGCTGCTCAATCTCTTCGTTTGGGTGATCGTGATATCATGGTTGCTGGTGGTATGGAAAGCATGTCCAATGCTCCGTAAGTATATAGATTTTTTTTTTTAAAAGATGAGGTTCCCGGGCAATTGCGGGGACTAAAGTCGATCTTGGAATGCACATGATAATGACACATTCTAATCTCACTTTTTCTTTTTTGATATTCAGATTCTATGCTCCTCGTAATGCTGCCTATGGTCATCAACAACTATTGGATTCTATTATCAAAGATGGCCTTTGGGATGTTTATAATCAAATTCAGTAAGTGAAATCATAGATGAAGTGAAAGATATGTATATCTATGAACTGACATTCATCTCTGTCTTTTTTTTTTTTGTTTTTTGTTTGATGATAGCATGGTAAATGACTAGTATAATAGAGGATAAGGATTCAATCAATTCTTTTTAATCAAATCATTATTCTATTTTAAATTTAATTAGGGATCTTGTGCCGAAAACACTGCTGCCAATTACAACATTACCCGTGAAGATCAAGATAAGCATGCTATTGAATCATATACTCGTGCTGCCAAAGCTTGGGAGGTAAGAAGAAGAAGAAGAGAAAGAAAAAACTTTAATGCAAAGGAGGGGATGAGGCTGAGTTATACAGAAATAGAATTTTATGTTTATTAACTCCTTCATATATGTATTTTTTTTTCTTCAATAGTCTGGAGTCTTTGACAATGAAATTGCTCCTGTGACCATCAAGTCTCGTAAAGGTGAAGTGATTGTCAAAGTAGATGAAGAATTCAAGAATGTCAAATTTGATAAGGTACCAAGTCTTCGTCCTGTATTCAAGAAGGATGGTACTGTGACCGCTGCTAATGCTAGTACTTTGAATGATGGTGCTTCTGCTTTGGTTTTGATGACTCGTCAAAAAGCTCAAGAATTAGGTGTCAAGCCTCTTGCTCGTATTGTTTGTAAGTTTATCGCCTCTCCCCCCCTTTTTTTTTTTTCTATTTTTGAGGTTGAAATACTAGAACAGGAGATAGAATTTTTTTTTTTTAGTTTGATTAGTTTGATTTTATTTGATTAATATGGTTGTATTAATTTTTTTTTTCTATTTCTTGGATAGCTTTTGCTGATGCTGCTTGTGCTCCAATTGATTTCACTATTGCTCCAAGCAAAGCTTTACCCATTGCCCTTGAAAAGGCTGGTTTATCCATCAATGATATCAGTTTGTTTGAATTGAATGAAGCTTTCAGTGTAGTTGCTCGCGTCAATGAACAAGTAAGCAAAAGAAGAAGAAAAGGAAAGGGGAAAGTGTGGCAAAGGAGTTATATCATGCTAACTTTATTATCATCATTATTATTCAGCTTCTTGGTCTTGATCCTAGTAAAGTGAACATTGCAGGTGGTGCCGTTGCCTTGGGTCATCCTATTGGGTAAAGTCATTTAACAAAAGGAAAAAAAAAACACAGCCATTTTTTTTTTTTTTACTAATTTTATTTATTCGTTTTCTTCTAGTTCTTCTGGTTCTCGTATTGTTGTGACTTTGACTCATCTATTGAAATCAGGTCAATTCGGTGCTGCGGCTGTAAGTAGATGAACACATGCAAAAGAAGTTTGAGTTTCTTACAGGTTTATTATTATTTATTCACATTAGGTTTGTAACGGTGGTGGTGCTGCTTCCTCAATTATCATCCAAAAGGAATAAATTCTTCTTCTTTGTTTTCTTTTATTCTTGATTCCCTTATTGATCGTCATCATTTAGTAGAAATCTTCTTTTTTTTTTTTTTATGATTGATTCATCAATGTACCTTTTATAGTATAATTTTTCTTTTTTTATTTTGTATTGGTAGAATAGAAAAAAAAAATGAAATAAAGGACAACTTTGACAAAACGTTATCAAAACGTTCATGTAAAAGACTGTATATATATATGTGTGTGTGTGTTTGTGTGATGATCAACTAAAATATAATGTGTTGATAAACTATGGTATATAGAAAAAAAGTATGAGTGTAGGGACTACTGAATCGTACAAACACCATTGGTTTCACCGGCTTCAACGGAACAATAGGAACCAGAAGATAATCTTTTAGCACGACGATGGTAGGCCATATGAGCATCCATACCTGTTTTCATATGATGAAAAGTAAAAGTATATACCTAAAATCAAAGTAAGTAAATAGATGAATATCAAAAAAAAAAGAGGTGGATGTTGACTTTTTTTTTTTTTTTTTTTTTTTTTACCTTTGTCCAAGTTTGTTTAATATGAGGGGTAAATTCATCTTTCAAACGAGCTTTGAGAGCAGTCATCAAAGCAGGACCAATAGAATCCAATTGAGCAGGCATCAGATCATAATCCTCCACATAGTGGATACCAACCTCACGTAACTTGTAAGCAAACCATTGAGTTTCTTGCTGATGTTCTTGTAAGCGTTTCTTTTGTTTCTCCTGCTGATCAGGTTGCTGTTGAAATTTTTCTTCCAAAGGTTGATGGAAAGGACACACATCTGGATCGTATTGACGTGTCATGTCAGCTTGATCTCTTAATGGGCCCACTTGACCTTTGATGGAGGGTGATCGGGTCAAATAAGCCATGATCTCGGCTAGAGCGCGTGCTTGTTGCAAGACATTACCAAATGTGGATTTCAACAAAGGATCAAGGGCAAACAAGGCAGTAAAGAAACAAAGACCAAAGGCATGTGCTGCTGATACACTGGGATCATCATACATATGTCGTCGTTCACACACTCTTTCCCATGTCTGTCGTACCGTGTCGATTTCCTGCATCGTTGGTGGTGATGGTGATACATTTTCATGACTAGATGACGAAGAACCGGAAGGTCGTCTTTCTTGTGATGATTTTTGTTTATTATGATTAAAAGAAGAACTGAATTCAGGCATGGAAGGAGGCATCTTTGAAGAATAATAATAATAAAAAAAAAAAGAAAAATGAAATTGATTTTTTTTTTTATATCCTTTGTGAAAAAAAGGGGAGAAATGAGTCTTCTTGGACCCCCTGGGGAAACAAAGAAAAATAAAAAAGTGAACTCCGCCAATCATGCAAAACGGAATCAAACATCAATGAAAAAGGGAGGGAAGGAGAAAAAAAAAAAATTCATTACAGTAAAAGCCATCTTTTTTTTTTTTGTTTATATTACCTTGTGATTCTCCGTGTCCTTGGATGATCCGTGTAATACGATTTCAAGGAGTTTAAGGGATGAACAAAAGTCTTTTTTTTTTCTTTTTTTTTTTTTTTTTTTTTTTTTTTTTTTTTTTTTTTTACACAGCCCATTCATAACAAAAAAAAAAAAAAAAAAAGAAAGTAACCAACATCTCCTCATGTCCCTCTTTAAAGAAAAGGAGCTTTTGCTATCTATTGGATAAACAATTTCCTCCTACTTCCCCTCTTCATCATTTTTTATTTTTTGACGTTTATTATGATGGATTCAAGTCTATCTAGCAAATAAAATGAATCCCTCTTTTGGTCCTTCACTCCCTTTTGATGAATGATCAGGGTCTACAAACAAACAAACAAAAAGGAATATAAAATCACAAAATATATGTAAAAAAAAAATGAATATAAAATGATGTTTTATTATTAGTAGTAGTTCTATTTCTTTTTTTTCTATTTATATATGACTAAACTATAAACACTTGTCGGTTTCAGATATACTAGAGGGACCATCATCTTCATTGGGTGTCAGTACATATCCTTTTGCTTTGTATTTATGTTGATCATATTGATCCAGAGCACTTCCCATTCGCCGTAATAGTCTAGTACCGGCCATTCCTTTGCTTCCTGTACCAGTAGTTTCATTATCCATTGGTGATGATACCCCTTCTATTTTTGCAGGTGATGAAGATGTTAGTTGTGTCGTTGTAGCTGTTGTTGTGATGGAGGAAAGATTGTGATCACGAATGCCGATTTTGGTATAATCAAAGGGTAAAAACTTTTCATCCATCCATTGTCGATGTCGACTTTCTTCTGTTTCTGGTTGAGGAATATCCATACTTGTTTTAACCAATTTTTTATGAGGACGTAATGGTACTTCTTCCAATAATAGCTCTTCAAGTTCATGTACTGCATCAAAGTTGGATTCATCCGTCTTGTGTAATATAAATTATATTAATAATGATCCTTTTTTTTTTTTTTTTTTTTTACTTGCGCTTACATTGGGTTTGAATGGTGGAATTGCTGTTTTTTCTATCAATGCTTGCCAATCTAAACCATTGAACCAAGGATGTTTCTTCAATTTTGAGATACCATTAGGACCACATCCATAGCGTTGATTTGGTGATTTGATTAGTAACTGTGTGGAATAAAAAAAAAAGTTACTGAGAGATAAATAAATATGGATACCTATTATTCTTACCCCTTTGATTACATCCAAACAATCTTGACTAATCAATTCCAAAGCGTCTGGAGGAAACGATACTTTATCATGTAATATAGAATGTACTACTTCATCACTATTTGTTCCTGTAAAAGGTCTCTAATAAAATAAAAAAAAAAATAAAATTATTATGTTTAGATCTAATATATGCATATATATATATTATATATAGTTAATTTTACATTGCCAAATAGTAATTCATAAGCAGTAATACCAAGTGACCACCAATCGACAAAAGTGGAATAGCCTTGTTTCCCAACAATTTCAGGAGCCATATAAGCCAATGAACCAGCTCGAGAGAATCGTATCAGTTTATTAGGATAGAATTGGGTTGCAATGTTAAAGTCCGATAGATGAGCATGACCCTTTTCATCCAAAAGTATATTGTCAGGTTTAATATCCCTAATAATAATAATAATAATAATGAGTTTTGATTCAAATCATTAGATCTCTAAATCATCGGATTCTAATGAATACCTTTTTTTTTTTTTTTTTACCTATGAGCTATCCTTCGTCGATGTAAATATTCCAAAGCACAAATAATATCAGCAATATAAAATCGTACTTGCATTTCCTTAAGTGTGACATAGCGATCCAATAAAAACCGTAGATCACCACCTAGCATGAGATCCAAAGCCATGAATAGGTTTTCTTCATCGTGAAAAGCATACCGCATATTGACAATCAAAGGATGTTCTATTGATTCCAAAAGTCGTCGTTCGGCTATGATGTTATGTGTAGCATTTAATTCTATACATCGTGGCTTACTGATATATTTTAACGCATATTCCCTTCCAGTTTGACGATGTTGTACTATTCTAACTTTGCCAAAAGCACCTTTACCAATCACACGTAAGAGATAAAAGTGTGCAAGTTCAACTACAAAAAAAAAAAAAAAGGATTAACACTTTAAAATATATAACAAAACAGAAATATATATATCTTTGATGTTGAAAAGAAAAAATAAGTTTATCCTTTTCGTTTTTTCTTTACCTTCTTTTCCAAAGTCTAATTCTTCAGGTGTACAGCAAATGGCACCCATAGTCTATATTGTTGGTATATGTCTATTTGTATTTATATATACAATATATATATTATATTATAATATATATCTCTATATCTCTAAATATAGAAAGAGAAAAAAAAAAAAGGAAGAAAAGAACAATGATATGAGATAGAAGATAAAGAAAGAAAGAAAAAAAAAAAAAAAAAAGGGAGACCATCAAACGTAGACGTGCTCTAATGTGTTTTCAATGTCCGGTTATAACTGCTTTTTCTTTTTTTTTTTTCTTTTTTTTTTTTTTTTTTCTCGTCTTTCATACATAAAATGGCCGATCCATTTAAAAAACCTTTTGCTGTCCCTGCTCCCCGTACAAAAAAGCCAACTACCTCTGTACCAGAAGTAGCTATTTCTGAACAACAACAATCACAGCCACAACCTCCTCCACTCAAATATGACAAACCTTCGTGGGGTGCTGTCGCGTGTTTTGATTACTCTTTGGAAGTTTTGAAAGGTGGTGTTAGTATTGATAAGATTCAAGGTCCTCGAAAAGATGTCATTACAATTGGTAATAACAAGAGAAAAAAAAAAAAAGAAACGTAGTTATAGATTATTCAACCCATTATTATTATTATTATTATTTTGGTCTTTTCTTATAGGTCGCCTACCTCTATGTGATATAATTATGGAACATCCTGTACGTTAAAATCTATCAATAACTCTTTTTTTTTATATTTATTTTATTCATTTTCTTTATATATGATAGTCATTATCTAGGTATCATGCTGTAATACAATTCAACGAAGAAGGTCAAGCTTTCCTATACGATTTAGATAGTTCATATGGATGTCAATTGAATAAGAAAAAAATCCCACCAAGGACATATGAACCTTTACATACTGGTGACCAAATTCGATTTGGTGAAAGTACACGACTTTATATTTTTGAAACAGAAAAACCTCGTACGGACGATGAATTGGAAGAAGAAGAAGAAATACTATTACGACATCGAACACGAGCTGCAGATGTTGAACATGTTGTTGAAAGTGATCAAGATGAAGGCATCAATTGGTAAGAGAAATCATGATTATAAATTGGAGATTATATCGTCTTTTTTTTTTTTTTTTTTTTTTTTTGTATAGGGGTTTCCAAGAAGATGCTGTGGAAGAAGAAGATCAAGAAGAAGTAGATGAAAAAACTGGTGACATTCGTCAACCTACAACAGGTGATGCTCAATTATTATCTCTTGAATCAGAAAAAATGGCTATAGCTGATGCAAGTAAGTTTCATAACAATGATAGGCATGAAAATAACTTTGTATCACCTTAACAAATAAACTCACTGGCTATATTATAATTTTTTTTTTCTTTTTTAGAACGTCGAAGGAAGGACTTGGAAATCATGTTTGGGGATGATGATAGTGAGGAAGAACTATATGATAAGACTGGTAATTCATTAAAAAAGAGGATTTAATAAGAAAAGAGTGTACTGAAATTATTTGTCATAGATACAAAGAAAAGAAAAGCAATCAAAAAGGAAAAAAAGGCAGAAACACACGAAGATTTAATCAAACAGCAACAGGAAACTGAAAAACGAATCAAGATCATCCAGGAAAAATTGGAAAAAAGAAAATTGGAAGGTAAATAAGGAAAGCGAGAAAGAAACGAAGAAAGATGATTCTTATTATTTCTATTTTGATAGATGAGGATGCCAAGGGAAAAAGTCAAGCTGGAAATGACGAGGATTTGGATACATATATGGATCAACTTAATAAAACATCAAAAGAGAAATCAACATCCATATATACATTACAAAAAGAACTGAAACGATTGGAAAAGGTAAGTCAAAAAGATATGATTTTTTTTTATTAAAAAAAAAAAACAATAAACTAAACTACAATTTTTTTTTTTTTTTTTTTTAGGATCATGCTCGTCTGGTTAAACTAGTTAAAATCACTAAGCCCATTCTATAAAAACGACATATATATATTACAATAGCCCTAGATTAGACAAATATTCCAATGCCATCCACGATGTTTGTACACTAGGTAGCATCATTTCCCCTTTTGTAATAAAACGTTTCAAATCATCTATTTCTACATTGTTGACAACTTGTATACATTCTTCTTCATCTCGTTGTCGTGGTTCGTTATCTTGTTGTGGATCAATACAAAGATAAGGTACAAATCGATTACGTCCCCATTTCAATTCACTAATACCATCTTTTTGTCCTTCTGGTAATAAACATATCCATTCACCACCTGTCAATCGTGCTTCTTCTGATAGTTCGTGTTGTGCTGATTCTAATGGACTACAATAATAAGGAATTATTAATAATATATTAGTTCTCCCCTTATACTATATATATTGAAAGGTACCTTTGATGTTTTCGTCGATCTACAGAACCAGCAACACAGGTATATTTCTAATATATATATATATATATATATATATAATTAGAATGAGGAATATAAAATAAAAAAAGTCTTAACTTACTATTTCATTCGTTCCTTGAGCATATTCTTTCAAAATAGAGGTGGTTTTCTAAAATAAGAAGAAAAATAATATAAATAAACTTTTCTTTTTTTATTATTTTTCATTCTATTATCTTACCGTTTTTGTGTTAAAAGTAAATACTACAACAAAAGTAGGATATGGTGTATGATGACCTACAACATCCCATTCAATAATACGACCATCCTTAAACTGAGTTTGGCGATTCCAGACAGTGATGAACCTGTAATACAAAATAAAATAAATGAGTTCTATAATATATATATATATTTAATAAAACTGAACCTTTTATGAGAAATAGTTTCTACTAATATTTTGGCAGCAGTTCCTTCTGTATTAATTTCGAGTTCAGTATCCATAATACATATATTAATAACAAAGGAGAAAGAAAAAAAAAACAAAAAAAAAAAACCTAATTCTCAACAATTGATACAATTACTTATTGAAAACTTCAAACTCAGCACGCTCATCAACATATTTCCTTCCTTTTCTCTTACTTTTTCTTTTTTTATTTTATTTTTCCCTCCTTCTTCTTCTTTTTTTCTCATATTTTATTAAGTGTTCAATCATGACACAACCACCTAATCAATTGGTAATTCAAACTATTTATTTTGAAAAGAAATAAGAAAGAAAAAAAGATATTGGTCTATTTGAATAATGGATATATTATTTTTTTTTCTCTTTTTATATTCATTATCTTATTATGGCTCCTTTTTTGTATTATGTTTTAACATCATTCCTTTTGTTTCTTATACTTTTTTTTTCTTTTTTTCTTTTTATATATATATATATATATATATATATTTACTTATATATATAATACATTTGTTAGGATATCACGGATCAGTTTGAGAAATTGAATAACCAAAATAACTTGACAGCATTACAACCTATTGGATCACCTTCAACAAACTCAGGACAACCACCGTTACTCACGCACTGTGCCACGCAACAACCTATTCCTCGATTTCATGATTATGCTCTACAACGAAACTCAGCAGTTACTACCGACTCTCGTATTCCTCATACTCTTACTTCAACCAAATGGACTTCACCATTATCTTCTCCTCCTCCTCCTTGGAGTCCTTCTCTTTCAACTGGTCAGCATTCCTTCATCTCTTCAGTAGCTTCTCCTTACCCTTTGGAAACTTCTTTGACCACGCCTTCTTTGTTCTCCGATTACCCAGATATTGCCTCCGTCCCAATGTTGCCAGAAGTCTCTAAAGAACCAGTTTTTCGTGAACAAAGAAGTATGTCTTATTCTATTGAAGGTGATAATAGAGAAACTTTAGATCCTTGGCATTATCAACAACAACAACAACATTATATCAATAAACACAACAAACCTACTTCTTTATATACTATGCCTGAAGAAACTATGGATACTATCCCACCATCATCTCCATTTGGTACACCTTTTTTCAATAATCCTCACTATCAAGATGATACTGATGAAGATTCAATGTTGGCTGCTTTTCATCGTACAAGATCAAAATCTTCTGCTCCTGCTTTTGATATTTGGTATCCATCTTCTACTTCTTCTGAATCAACTACTCGCTGGCTTCATCAACCTACCAATTCTCATCAACATGCACCCGCTCCTTTATATACACCTTTTTTATCATCAATGGATCGTGAACGATTAGGTCCTCCTCGACGATTCTCAGTACAACCTTCTCTTGAACAGCCTCCTATCCCAGTGAAAGATAGTACCAGTGATAGGTATTATTATCAAATAATAATAATAGTAGTAATAATAAAAAAAAAGACTCACTTTTTTTTTCTTTTCTGTTTTTAGTTTGATTGCTTTTTCAAGACGTCATTCCGTGGCTGGTCCAACTTTTCAACAGGATGAATCTGCATATGTTATGTCTAGTTTGGAAAATTCGATCGATGAACTTACAAACCCACAAACTGTACCACCGACATCCACTTTAGCATCTCCAACAAGGACAATACCTTCAACAACTGCGACAACAACCACAACATCAAGTACACCAGCAATACCAATAACCACAACTACAGCGGCTACGACAGCAGCAAAAACAACTGTTGCACCAGTAGTACCAATGTCTTCATCAACAACATCAACCACCAACTCGAAAGGGTTATATGCAAAAGTAGCTGCGGCAGGATTATCAGATTCTATAGATCATCCTGTCACACCTTCACCTTTACCTCAACAGCCGCAGTCAAAGCAGCTACAACATCAGAAACAGAAGCAACAATCACAAGTGGAATCGACATCACCATCTTCATCCTCATCATCACTAACTACATCTTTATATACCTTACCAAAAAGCGAAGACATGGGACGCGGTGTCAAATTGGAATCCATACCAAAAGAAGCTCGGTTTTATATGGTGGAATTCAAGGCTGGACGGACGGATTTATTTTTTTCATTATCTGCGGTGAAAAAAGGTGATTTTGTCATGGTAGAAGCGGATCGAGGACATGATTTAGGAAAAGTGACGACGGAAAATATCAATTCTACTCAACTATCATCGTTTACTCAACAACAACGACAACAAGAATCACAGGAAGAAGATACAACGATGGACCAACCATCATCATCATCATCATCGCAACAACGTAGTGACATTCGTATCAAACGATTATTCCGACTTGCACGTCCTGAAGAAATATCTTTACTCATGTCGAAAAGCCAAGATGAACTGAAAGCACTGAGCACTTGTCAAACCAAGGTGCAACAACGCAAACTCAATATTAGTGTCGTCAATGCCGAATATCAATGGGATCGACGCAAATTGACGTTTTATTTTGTAGCCGATCGTCGTGTGGATTTCCGTGAATTGGTACGTGAACTTTTCAAGCTCTATAAGACTCGGATTTGGATGTATGTACCAAAAAAAAAAAAAAAAAAATCTACGGAAAGAACTTATATATTTTTTTTTTTCATTGGATTTTCTGATTCTAGGTGTGATGTGAATTCTGTGAAAACGACCTGACCCTCTTCAAATTTTGCAGTCATACCGTGCTAGTTTAGACATAATATACATTTTTATCCTTCCCCTTCCTTTTTTTTTTTTGTTCATCATTTGACATGCTTTGTTTGGAACGTCCTTTTATATATATATATATATATCCATCTTTTCCATACATACTCACACAACACATGCACATACTTCATCTTGTCATTCCCATAATGACTTTGGTATAGAATAGCATACGTATGAATACAAACACACAACTTTCCTAGTTCAATAGTCTTCTTCTACTTATTATTAGAATTAATAAATATCATCTATAACCCCCCTCAAAAGAAATAACGACTACTACTACTACCAAAAGAATTTATTGTCAATAGATGAATTGAATAATGATGAAGGATAAAAGAGAACTATACTACATAGACATCACAAAAAAAAAAAAAAAAAAGGAAACTAATCTAGTTAAATACCTTCAAAAAGAATAGGGTCCTTTGGAGGATTTCGAGTCATACCCATAATCACAACATCCTTTCCACGTTGTCCAGAGAGAGTGGTCATATTGTAGCGAGAAACGAATTTGGCAATAGAGTACTTGACTTCCATGACAGCAAAGAAACGACCAGGACAAGCATGAGGACCAAAACCAAAGGTGACAAAACCAGGCATCGTCGTAGTTGTACTAGGTTGATCAGAGTCCAAATATCGATAAGCATCAAATGATGTTAAAGAAGGATCATTGCTGTTGTTAGGGAATGTATTTGCGTCATCCATAGCACAAAACACCAATGCACCCTTTGGAATTACCGCACCGTTGGATAAGAGGACGTCTTGCAAAGCCTTGTGATGTAATCCCAAGTAGTCGACATTGTAGCGTAACACTTCACGGAAAAAGGAATCGAGAAGAGGCAGATCGTTGATCACCGACGGATTGAGTTGTTGATCAGCAGGCAGCGTTTTGATTTCCTGACGTAGATGTTCAACCAAGGTAGGACGACAGGCCAATTCATGAAGAGCAAATGTCAAAAAATGAGAAGTCGTATGGACACTGGCAAGCACCACATCCTTAAACCGATAGGCGATTTCTTGAGCAGGTCGGATGGAACCATCCCTTCGTGGAAGTGTCAATAACCAAGCCCCGTATGTCATGTCCTTTTCATCATCGTATCCATTATCTTCCAGATGCTCCAACTGAGGGGTCAAGTGCGTCATAAACAGATCGATTTCTTTTTCCAAGGATAAAAACCGTCGTACCACATAATTCCCTAGCCATGTCGGTAACAAACTAAGAAACGTACCAGCAATAATGATCTTTTGCGTAAATTGTGCCATGCTATCCACAAACTTTGGTATATGTGCTACTTGTCGTCCTGCAAAACAAAAACATGAGATTCTTGCAATGATTCGTGTCATCATGGGCCACACTGTGATAAGTCTTGTTTCTCCAGGACCAAGGACTAATTCTTGTTCAAAGGCTTCATGGGATGCTTCTTGGATTCTAGTCGAAAAGTGATGAAGATTGTTGGCACCAAGGTGGTATTTGATAGGATAAGACACTGACAAAAAAAAAAAAAAAAAAAAAAAAAAAAAAAAAAAAAAAAAGGAAAAGAAAAGGGAAATGTTAAGAAGAATTAAAAAAAAAAAGGACACCTCCATTTAACCCCAGACGTGTTGCCTCTTTTGGGATACAGTTCACCTTTTTTTTTTTTTTTTTATTACCTGGATTTCGATCACGAAGACTGTATGGCTCACCTTTATATTTATGATCATACGACAATCGAGTAACACGACCCAAGGGAATAATGGTATCGATACCTTCTTGAAAACTAAACTGATGTCTTGAAGCGCGTAAGATTTCGTTCACATAGTCACCAGTGACAACGTAACCAGACAACATGGGCAGTTGAATCCGAAAGATGGGACCACATTGTTGTTTTGCTTTTAGAATAAAGTTTCGAGGATTTTTAGAAAGAGCAAATGCATGACCTACCAGTGGCAATGCATGAGGCACTACCGGAACAGATGATGATGATGATGATGATTTGGAGGAATACATCCTTTTACCTGTCAAAATCATCATTGCCAGAGTGATACTAATGATCATCGGTTGTTGGATGATTTTCTTTGCCCATTCTATAGAGGATGATTCAATCATCGTTCATAAAAATAGTAGGATGATTTTAAAATAAAAAGTAATAGAGAAAGAGAGAATGAGAGAAAGAAAAAAAAATAATAACAATAATAGCTTACGGTAAAAGGGTTTTATTGGGAATGGCGCGCACCTTGGTAGCCGATGTTTGAAAACCCGAAGTCGATCCACTAACTCTAATCATGTAGTATCATTCGGCGGCCGAGTTAAGTCAGCTGGCTGATGAACATATGATTACCATTTTCTTTCTTATCCAGCCGATGCGAACGGACAGAAGGTAAGCGTGACTTGAAGGATTTCCATCAACTTAACTCAATGATGTATATACGTACTTGTGATTGATTTGAATGCTGTAGCAACAATAGGTAAATAAGATACGATGATTAAGTGGTGATGATCGAATCTCAATTATTTATTTATGTCGATTGAGTGATGATCGATTGTGTATATAGGAGACAATGATAGGAATGGTAAAAACTTGAATATGACTTTATTAAAAAAAAGAAAAAAAAAAGATGATACCCTATCTAAGTGCTATCTAAGATTAAGACAAGAAAAGGTCACTTTGGATCACTACCATTTGCGAAAGAGAGAAGACAACCAAACCAGAATCGACCATCATAAAAAAAAATATATAAGTTTTTGCACAATAAGCTTACCTTTCTTGTCCAATCGAAGCCCTATTGCGTAGTTATCCAGTTGATCGCATTGAATATCTCTTTTTTTTTTTTTTATTTACTTGATTGTCCATCCATCTGGTATAATAAAAGCTACATCCATCTAGACGCACTCTATTCACATGACAATAAAGAGCTAAATATCGTCAATGTACAGGGAATAATAATAAAAAAAAAAAAGAAGAATAAAGTAAAAAACTTGAGCGGGAAAGAAACAATATAAACATGACTTACCTAAGAGGGAATGATACTATTGTACATTGCATAAAGCTAGATTCATTCTTGACATTTATCTTCACCAAAATATCTGTAACAAAATATAGAAAAAAAAGAGAAAAAAGAAAAGAAAAAGGAAAGAAAGAAAGAAAAATAAAGTACGGTCTATTTTTTACGTATAAGGAAAAGGGAGAATTTTTTCATGATCGACAATCCGGAATTTGAATTCATGACAGGCACCTAATTGGGAAGATATTGAATAAAGTTATTGCTTGTAACAAATTGGAGTAGTTGTAACGATTCATGAATGATGATGGTGGAAAAATGATAATTTTAGTATGATAATATGACTAAAAAGTCGATTGAATGGTGGATGATATATTTCAAAAGAGATGAAAATAGTGAATATGAATAAAAAGTATCCCTATCACATGTTAACTTATCCGCTATTTTTTTTTTTTTTTTTTAATAAGACGATATCAAGTTGGAAAAGAGAAACAATTTACTGACTTCGGTGTTATTGAATTGTTTGGTAAGTATGCTAAAAAGTGGTCAACTTACGAAATTGTTGATAGATATTAGATTACTGCAGGTCTCGATTCATCAGGATTTGGCAGTAAAGTTTCCTATGTTTACATTCTAGTCTATTCTACAATAAAAAAAAAAAAGAACTTTTTCCAGAACTCATGATGTCAATAAATAGATCATGATGGACATAGTGAAAATATATGGAAAGTTGAATTCTCTGTTCTATATCAATGTCGATCATCAAGGTGATGTAAATGAAATGATATTAACATGGATGATGCTATGATTTTATTTTCCAATCATCTTTATAATATATATATTCCCTTTTTTTTTTTATCATTATTGATATTAAAATGGAAGAAGAAGAAATAAAAAGAAAAAAAAATTACTAGATAATGAATAATACATTGAATTTTTATATGATGAAATGAGTCTATAAGGAGGTTTTTCAATAGTGTTTTTTTTTTTTTTTACTCTCTTTCTTTTTTAAATGAGATAACTCAAAGATGATGAGCATATCTTTTATATACATACCGACCATCCTCTACCCCAAAAAGCGGGGAATTTTCGAAACGAACTAACGGATTTTCTTTTCTAGATCAATGTTGACTATATCATCTATTTAATTGACATCTTTACCTTTTCTCTTATCCATTCTCAAACGCCAAATGCTTTTAAATTTTAACTTGAAAGTGGCTATTAGTTTGTATTTTATTGCTATCGTGAATGCAATTACCACTGATCAAGAGAAGCTTACCAAACAGTTTCCATACACTGATGATCCTTTTTTTATACCCCCTTCACATTATACAAATGCTACACCCGGGACTATACTCCGTATCCGTAAGTAGATTTCACATTTTTTTAAATTTCCGTTTTTTTTTTTTTTTTTTTTTCTCTCTCTCCTTTTTTTTTTTTTTTTTTCTCTCTCACCTTTTCTTTTATTTTATCCTTTTATAATGTATATATTCAGGTGCTTCACCAATTAAACTAGCCGCTTTTGCTAAATATCCTCAAAATATACATGGTTCTTGGCAAATCCTTTTTCGAACGACTGATAGTTTTGGAGCTCCCGATGTAGGCGTGACAACACTTATGGCACCTCATAATGCAGACAACAAAAAACTTGTATCCTTCCATATCATCAACGATGCAGTCAACGACATGTGTGCAGCATCAGCTATATTGGAATTAGGAGCAAAAGCACACAACTTTTTGACTCAACCTGAAATTGTGAATATAGATCAAATGCTTCATCATGGATGGTATGTTAGCATACCAAATTATGCAGGGTCACAAAATATGTATACAGTTGGATTGATGGTGGCTCATGGTGTATTGGATTCGCTTCGGTCTGTTGTAGCAAGTGGAAATATAACGGGAATGTCTCCTGATGCTGAAATACAAATGTTTGGTTATTCTGGTGGTGCTATGGCTTCTGGTTGGGCTGCTCAAGAACAAGTGACTTATGCTCCTGAACTCAATATTATTGGATCTGCTATGGGTGGGACACCAAGGTCATTGAATGCAACCATCAATGCTGTCAATAAAGGATTATACTCTGGATTGATTCTTACTGGAATTACGGCCCTGGCTCGACAATACCCTGAACTATATACTCATATGCAAGAAATTGTACGTCCTGAACATTGGAATGACTTTGTACAATCAGATCAATATTGTTTAGAGGGACTGGTGGCTCGATATGCTTTTTTGAATGTGGCTGATTATATGAAGACGAAGTATTATTTGGATAGTCCTATGGCAAAGAAGATCATGAATGCTAATGATCTGGGAAACGGATCCATACCTACGATTTCTATGTATATGTTCCATTCTTTACAAGATGATGTGGTGCCTTTTGATTCCTTCTATCCTCTATATGAAAGATGGTGTGCTGGTGGTGCTAATATCATGCTTACCAAGGAAAGATATGGGATTCATACTAGTACTTATTCAACAGGATTTCCAGCTGCACTCAACTATATGATCGACACTTTTGATGGCAAACGACTTTCGCCTGGATGCACCTCGAGAACAACTGTCAGTTCATTAATCAATAAACGTGCTTGGGGAACATTTAGAAAGATATTCCGGGATGCTCGCAGGTTTATACATGGGGCAAAGATTGGACCAAATACTTGATATAGATTAGTCTTTTTTTTATTCTTATTATTCTTATTGGTGATTGTAGTTTAGATATTTAGTTTTATACAAATAAATCTTCCTTTATCATTCTTTTTTTTTTTTTTTTTTTTTAAAAAAAAGAAAATCAAATAAAATAAAAACGTTCAGCTGATTTATATGGTTAGATTATTGATTAGATCAAAAAAAAAAAAAAAAAAAAAAAAAAAAAAAAAAAAAAAAGAGAGAGAAGCGATTACTGAAAATGGATATTTATGTTTTGTAGAAAAAAAAAAAAAGGGATAAGGCAATCATCTCCTTTTTCTTCACCCAAGGAGTCTATTTTGGTAAGGAATGAAGCAGCGGAGATACTAAAAATATAAACCAGTCAGCAAAGAAATCGCATTACTTCTTGTAAACACACATGATTAACAGGTAACGAGTAGTGGCATGGGATTCCAAAACAAGACAGATGACATCAAGTATAATATAGGGATTTTTGGAAATATTTTTAAATTAGGAGGATGATTTGTTTCCTTATCTTTTTTTTTCTTCCTTTGTCTTTTCTTTCTCTTTTCTTAATTATATAATAATATATGATCCCAACAAGTAATAATAGTTTACAAAGTTTTTCTGATGAATTAATATTGATGATTCTTTATCATCTTAAACAAGATAATCATCTTGATTTGGCACCAATAGCAAAGTAAAAATTATTTTATGATTTACCGAAAACTCCTCAAAAAAAAAAAAAGGTACCCGACTGATGCAATGTTTAACTTTTTTTTTTATTATTAGTACCTGTCGACGATTTCAAAGATTAGTGAGTGATTATTCATTATGGGACATGATGATTATGATGGATACTTCCTCATTAACATCAGAACAATTGGTTTTCCTACCGATCATGCCGTCACACAAGAGTCATAGTGGCAAAGAGATAATCATGGTGGATCCATATACTACTGGTATCTTGGCACTTCACACTATACTAAAACGACATGATAATAATATACTCCTTGATGTCTCTCTCTATACCAACGATCCATCTAGTTATTGGTCAATGTTGACTAGACAATATGATGATTATAATAGTACTTTCAAATCTATCTCAATTACAGAACTTCCTCCATCATCATCACCTTCATCATCATCATCATCATCAGTGACATTTTCATGCACAAGCACTAAAAGTGGGGATGATAGTATACATCTAATGTCAGATAGCCATCATGTCGATCCTTTTATGTACAGTTTCCTAAGCAAGGTGTGCCCTCATTTAGAAATGTTTACTTTTCCCATGTTATCCTTGCATAAATTAATTGCTACTTCACTTGTATTTCCTCAACTCCATACACTCAATGTAGCTTTGCCATCAGCAACAACACAGGATGACACTAATAATACATTGGACTGGTCTAAAGTAAAACACACCTTTCCTAATCTTCAACATTTAACACTTCATCCTATTTCTGATCATCAGTTGGAAGGATTTTGGAAAAATATTCGGTTACTTTGGACCACACCAACTCTGTTTCCATGGTTGCACTCCATGACAATACAATCCAACTCCTCATCTTCCCTTGCATATCCCCTGCCGTCATCCTCTCTTGTCAATACTCCTAATGATTCCACAAATAATAATAATAGTATCACTAAAGATGAAATCATCGCCACCCTTTCACGTTTAAATGGTTTGATACGTATAGATACTGGTTGTTGGGACATCATCGCCGTAGATCATGTTTAATATATTATCAAATAATATAATAATATCATATACCATTTTATTTCATATACCACTATACTATAATAAAACTATCACTATTCTAACTATTCCCCAAAAAAATCCCTCCTTTTTCGAATGTTCCAAGTCGATACTTCCATTCCTAATTGTTATGTGTAAACCAAGTTGAATATAATATTGTCCATCCAGTCCATTTATATTGAATCGTATATACTATTGTTGATGCTCAATGAGTAATACGATATTCAAGTGAAAAAAAAAGAAGAAGAAAAAGAAAGAAGAAAAAGAAAGAAGAAAAAGAAAGAAGAAAAAGAAAGAAGAAAAAGAAAGAAGAAAAAGAAAGAAGAAAAAGAAAGAAGAAAAAGAAAGAAGAAAAAGAAAAAATATGAATTGGAAGTTGGATTATACAATTCTCTTTCTTATGATATCTTTTCTTTACCTTCGTGTATAATATTAATCTTTTTTACTTGAATATAACAAGAAAGATGGTGTTGAATAAAAAGAGCAAATAATAATCGTAATAGTGATAATAGAAAAAAAAAAAAGAAAAGAAAAGAAAAGAAAAGACAACGAAAAAAAAAAAAGAAAAGAGCCGCTTATCTTTTTAGACCAACATTCAAGAGTGCACCCCAGATTCGGTCATTGAACTATGTTTTATGCAAACAAACATAAACAAACATAAAAAAAAAAAAACGGAATATTTTTTTTTTTTTAGGTGATTCAAAAATGAAAGATTTTGTTTAATATAGGTACAAAAAAAAAAAAGATTTACTGATGAATTATATAGTAATATAAAGATACTCAATGATAAAATATAATTTGTTATATAATATATAATCATGTTTGATGAATAGTATATTATCATCACTTCATTATCATTAACCTGCAACAAGTTATGTTTTGACGTTTATTTTACAATATTCTTTATTTTATAAAGTTTCCGAATTTGTCTTTCAGTTTGTGTACTCTCCATTTCTCTTCCTCTTATTTTTGGGTTGTTTTTACTGTTTTCTTGTTCTTACTCTTTTTTTTTTTTTTATTTCTTCTTATCTTACTTGTTCTTTACTTTATGATATCTTTGTAAATATTAAATCAAAAATATATCATCTTTCTCATTTGTCAAACCAGATGACTCAAGAACTTTTACGCACTGAACCAAACTTATTTACTTCTACTAGTAGAGCGAGTTCGGAGAGTAAAAATTCATCTGCCATTTCAATTCCTGATATGCCTGATCCAGTTGCCGAGTCTTCTCTTACCTCTCTTCCCCCTCTTCCTCCGCATAATAACGATCATGAATCTTCAAGGTCCTTTTTTGCATTCAACTTTGGTAGAAGAAAAAATTCAAAGTCTCAGACTTCAACATCTCACCTTTCTATTGACGAATCACAATATAGTCAATCAGCAAAACAACAACAACAACAACAACAACATTCTCTTTATCACAATAATAAATATTCTTTTGACGATCTTACCAATGATACTACAACAAGTACCAGTAACAATGTATCTGATGTTGAAAAGTCTCCTAGAAATAGCCTAAGCAAAGAATTGAAAGACTTGACTTCCGAGACATCTTCAATGGATGACCGTCATTATCATCACCTTCAACAACAACCAGCATCTCTAATTACCAACAATGACATTGCTAGGATTACAAGAGCTCTTGCAACTTCTGAAAATACCAACAATGAAAATAATAGCCATGCCATACCTGCTAATATGAATCCTGTCTCTCGTTTATTGAAATACTCTGAAATCACATCAAAAGCTTGTGAAGCCTTGGGTCGTACTATCGTACAAACTGTGGATTCTTATACCATAAATAGCTTTTTGGATAACTTTTTGGCACAACACACTTTATCTGTAAGCTTGCAAACCACTACAACAACAACTGAAACATCAGAAGCTTGTAGAAAAAATATCAATTCACTTCCATCATGTTTATTGTCCAACAAAGCTATTATTACTACTACCACGACTACCCTCAATGATCATACCAATCAAGTATCACCCTCTTCAACAATGACACCCAGTATCGAACCAAACACTACAATCGGTTCATCATTCATGACATCAACAAGGGAAAGAAGAAAGGATACCATTTTAACCAAACTTAGGCCATCCGATCGTCAACAACAACAACAACAAAAACAACAAAAAGATGAAGATCTCATCAAATCCGCGACTCCTGTATCTGTAACTTCTTCTTTATCTTCATTGGATACTGACAGCACAAAAGTGACATTAGATCTATCAATGTCCATGCGAAGGAAAAATGCCATCAAGGAACTTATGCAAACGGAGAAAAAATATCTGGAGGATTTACGAGTCTTGGTCACGGTAAAAAAAAAAAATGGTGCAATTATTTCAATGATGTATAAAATAACTCATTCTCTCCTTACCATTTTGACTTTTTTTTTTCCTTAGCATTTTTTTGAAATCATCAAAGACGCAAGGTGTATTACACGCGAACATCGAAAGTTGATCATGCGTAATGGTGAAGCGATTTTACAATTTCAAGAAAAATTTGCAGACGCCTTAGAAGAAGCTCATGGATACGACCACGATAGGCATGAACTCTCATCGACTCCAGATGTGAAAAACATTGCACAATGTTTTATTACTTGGGTAAGAATAGAAGATAAAACAAATATGTAGTAGATAGCTCATATTATTTTTTTCTCATTTTATTGGAATGATTATAGGGACCTCGTTTTGATATATATATGGAATACTGTGTTGGACAAGACAAAGCAGTAGATATTTATCGCTATTTATTGGACACCAATGATGCCTTTTCAAACCTAATGGAAAGAACTCACAGCTTCCTTCGTGTATCACTTGGTTTTGGATTAGGAAGTAAATTGACGTTTGATGATTACTTGATTACGGTAAAAAAAAAAAAAAAAAAAAAAAAAAAAAGTGATCGTTGAATTTATTTAATATTCATCTTAATTTTTCTTCTTCTTGACAATAGCCATTCCAAAGAGTTTTTCGATATCGGTTGATGCTCCAATCTATTACCAAAACTTCAAAGCCAGGATCGGACGAAACAATGCTATTGGCTAAGGCACAAGATGTAATGCATGATATCGCTACAAAACTGAACAGTGCAAAATCAAGACTGGAGGCTGAAAAAAAGACCGATTTATTTTTAACAAGATTAAAAAGCGATTGGGTAAATGAAATGTCAAGTAAAAAGAACAGTTGATACTCAACTTTTTTTTTTTTTTTTGTTAGACTATTCCAAAGCGTTGGCATAGTACTCTTGGCACATGTCTTTTGATTGGTACATTAGAAGTTCGTCAAGTTAAAGATGGAAGGAAACCTAAACGATATGGATGTGCTTTATTTGGAACCTACATGATCATTGTTAAGGCAAAAAAAGGAAAATCATATTATGAACCTCGACATTGGTTTCCTTTACGTATGTTTGAATTGGAAGATATTGAAGATATCGATGGTAAGATAACAATTTTTTTCATTATTTGTTGTTGTACTAATTTTGTTTTATACAAGGTTCAATGGTTCATGCATGGAAACTTTACAATGATCAACATGCGGTGGAATTCGGTGCTATGTGTGAACAAGAAAAACAGATTTGGTTAGAAGAATTACGAAAGGCTATCAATGAATCCAAGGCACAATATGAAAATCACCTATGGGATACCCAGAATCGCGGTAATGTCATCGAGCAACTATTTGTATCTTCTTTTGATAGTACGGACTCCAGCAAATCTCAGCAACAATCTCCAGCATCCAATGCTTCTTCGGTATCAAGTCTGCAAAGCGTATTATCACGACATGAATCAATCAATTTCAACAACTACAATAACAACAGTAACACTGGTAGCAAGACAAATAGAATGTCAAAACTATTATTTATGCATCATCTAAATACGAATGGACATCGATCACCAATTACCAATGACAAAAGCAATCATCGTCATCGAAGTAGGAGAAGCGTATCAAGTGTTAGTGGATTGGATGATTCTCTACATTGTATTACATCGTCTTCTGCCAATACTGCCAACACAACAACAACAACAACAACACCAATATCTACCTCCGCATTAGCATCCATGTATCCCAATCATTCATCCAATAACAGTCAACATTATTGTCAGCGTCATCCTGGAAATGATTCTTCTAGACAATTTCTTCATTTATCATCATCATCATCATCATCACCTATTGATTCATCATTATTACCTTCCAACAGTAGTCAATCTTCTTTTCTACGACATTCTCAATCTAATATGAATGATTTACGTGAATTCTTCCATTCAAATGTTGCTGGTAAATGGTCACAACGTAAATATACTCAATATCAATCTAGGCGCGTAGCAGTAGATGCCAAATTTGAAGATGTATCAACAACCCCGATTCTGACTGCAAGATCACAAGCTAGACAAGATCGAAAAGGTTCTTTTGAACAATGGAGAAGAAGGTCTACTCTGGTGGACGATCATTATCAATCTTATAATCAATCCTCTAATGTTGGTTATTATGGAACTCCTCGACATGGTTGATATGTTTTTTTTTTTTTATCATCTACACTTGATTATTATTTTTATTATTATTACTATTTTTTGTCATTTGATTTGATATGATTTTTATTTTTGATTTTTTCATTGTTTTCAATAAACTGTACAAATCTTTTATTCTTTACTCTCTACTACTCTGTCAAAAAATTGCCTGTCCAGGCGGAGACTGGATATTTAGATCTTCAGCTTTTTTTTTTTTTTTTTTTTTTTTTTTTTTTTTTTGTTTTCTTTCTCTTCCTCTTTCACATTTATTAAAAATTCGATTGTCCCATTATATCTAAAACAATGTCACGACATCGCGCAGTTCGAAATATGGACCTTGAAGGTAATGAATACAGAATAGATAAGCGTTTATATATAAAGACGAAAGATCAGGTTTTTAATAGTATCCTCTTTAATAGATGTCCTTGACGAAGAAGAACAATTTAGTAGTGACTATGATGAAAATCAATGTAAGAACAACCAAAGTTATAATAGTTTACATAATTATATTTGTATCTTTTCTAGTGGATGAATCTCAACTATCAAACGAAGATCTCGATGCTCTTGAAGAAGGTTTGGATTATGTTTATGGTGTGATTGGACAAGACGTGCCTTTGACTGATATGGAAATTAAAGAAGCTTTGTGGTATTATTATTTTGACAAAGAAGAAACAGTGAACTGGGCTCTCGGTAAGATATCTATATAGTGACTCTCCATTAAACTCACTTTTTTTTTTAATAGAAAAAATTGATAGCCTCAAAACTGAAGAAGACAAACGAAAAGCGAAAGAAGCCAAGAAACAAGCCGCAGCTAAAGGTAAAGACAACATAAAAGTTGGAATGGGATGGGTTGTATATGTGGTGGAAGGGGGTTTTTTTTTCCTAGTTTTTTATTTTTATTTTTCCATTATACCTTTTTCCTTTATCTCTTCATTTCTCTTTTTTATATTATTTACGACGTGATTTATTTATATTATCCCCATTCATTTTCCGCATGCATCTTTGAATATCCTTTTATACATTACGATCCATTCTCTTGGGCTACTCAACTTTATGTGGTGGATTGGTGCTCTTCTCGTCTTTAGGTGTGTATTCCTATCTTTCTTCACATATGTCATTGTATCTTTTTTCTTTTTTCAATCATGCATCTATGTATCAATCAACTTACAGACAGTTTTACTTTTTCTTATCGTAGAGCCACGGAAACCTTGTTATCGCCGACCTCCTGCAAAGATGTATATAGATTCAATGACATTATCAACTTTACCAGCGAAAAGTTTGACCAGCTTGCAGTCTCTTTCCAAATCAGCAACAAAATCCACAACGTCTTTATCATCTTTAGCCTCAAGATCAAAGCCTGCATCAACAACAAGCTCCCTCAAAACTTCATCTGGAGGATCGCTCTTATCACTAGCACAAAAATCGGCCGGTCAACGCAACATGACAGCATTACAAAGCCTTGCCAATCGACAACAATCTTCACCAGCGGCGTCAAACACTACTTTATCATCCCTGGCAAAACAATCTTCTTCATTGAACAACACTAATAAAAATGATAAACAACAGTCAACAAGTCTTACTCATCTGGCTACTCGATCTACTAGTCAAAGCAGCTCTTTGGCAGCCTTGGCATCATCATCGACAAGAAAGGTTACATCTGGATTAGTAGGTTCAGGAACAACAAGCGCTTTGAAGAAATCAATGACAGATGATGGCGTGACGAGTGCACAAGTACTCCCAACAAAGAATCATACCAAAGCTAAGACAACAACTACAGCAACATCGACATCTACTGTTAAGAATCCAACATTGACAACAACGCAGGTACCCGGAAGTGATCTTAGGAATATGATAAGTCAATCAGCTAGGAAAACAACAAACCCATTGGTTGCTTCACCATCACCGGCTGCAGTATTTTTATTTCGACCACATAACGAACAAACGCGATCTCCTTTGGCTGATAGTATTATGAACTCACTTCCTCATTCACTCGCCCAGGCTTTTTATGATGCAATGCCTTCATCAGTATCTTCTACAACGAAACTATTCAAGTTTGACGCGCCTAGTCCTGATGACATTGTAATGGCTGCTCAGAGTCAACGAAACACCAAGACCAAGAAACTGGATCCTATCTCTTGATGTCCCTTTAGATTAGTATTGTTATCTTTTTTTTTTTCTTATATTACATTATCCTTCTATTTTATACCCTTCTTCCCTTTCATCACCTTTTATTTTATCCATTTATTTATATTACCCTCATTATTTTACTTTTTCCAATGGCCACCAATCATGATTGATTTTTTTTTATTTCCCTATTTATTATAGCCAAAACATCTGTTAACATAGTATCAACCACAAAAACAAAGAAAAAAACATCAACTACTACAACATCCAAAGCAACCAACAAGAAAGAAGAAGATGTGGAATATTTATCGGACAATGATGACCAAATGAATCAAGACATGGCAGCATTAGGGCTCAATCACACTGTTACAAAATCGAAGACCACTATTATTACTACCTCAACTAAAGTCAAAGGCTTGGATTCCAATTTGACAACACCCTCAGGAACACCTACTTCTAGTCGTGCTGCTTCACCATTATCAAAAATCCCTGCATCAAAGCGTATAAACGTATTGGAGGAATATGCCAAACGGTCTAGCGACAAACCAAAGATGAACCTTGTAGTTATTGGTAAGATTATATATATATATATAAAGAATGTATGGTATAGATAATATATGCTCATTCTTTCTCTTTTTTTTTCCTTTTTCTTCTCATTTAAAAAGGTCATGTGGATGCTGGAAAATCAACCTTGATGGGCCACTTTTTGTACGATTTGGGAAACGTGAATGAACGGATGATGCAAAAATATGAACGTGATTCTCAAAAGATTGGAAAAGGCTCGTTCGCATATGCTTGGGTATTAGATGAAACTGGTGAAGAACGTGATAGGTAATAAAGGAAGATAAAAAGATATATACTATTGTATAGTATTGTGTTCTCATTCATAATTATACTTTATATAGGGGAATTACTATGGATATTGCTATGAATCATTTTGAAACACCACATCGTCAATTCACACTATTAGACGCTCCTGGACATCGTGATTTCATCCCAAATATGATCTCTGGAACTGCGCAAGCTGATGCGGCTATACTTGTGGTGGATGCTGCTACTGGTGGATTTGAATCTGGTTTTGATGCTAATGGTCAAACAAAAGAACATGCTTTGTTAGCAAGAAGTCTTGGTGTACAACAATTGGTAGTTGCTGTCAATAAATTGGATGTGGTAATAATAATAGAAAAAACAATAGAAAGGATGTATCATCAACTCCATTTAATTCAATAATTTGTTTATAGATGGGATGGGATCAAGCTAGATTTGATGAAATCACCGCAAAGTTAGGTACCTTTTTACTACAAGCTGGTTATCGGAAAAACAATTTGACTTATGTACCTGTTTCTGGCTTGACTGGTGACAACCTGGTTAAAAGAAGTCAATCGGAACAATTGTCTAGTTGGTATGATGGACCCTGTCTTTTGGAAGTGATTGGTAAGCTCAGATATGATTTATATATATATATATATATATACTTTTTTTTTTCTGACTCTTTGTCAATTTGTATTAGATATGATTGAACCTCCTGTACGATTGTTGGACAAACCTTTTCGAATGGGAGTCACTGACTTTTTCAAAGGCGGTATCGGTAGCAGTGGTGGTGTATCAGTAGCAGGATCTATTGACTCTGGTAGCTTACAAGTGGGTGAACAAGTAATGGTTGTGCCTGGTAATGAAATTGGTATTGTGAAGAACCTTCAAGTGAATGATGAAACAACAAATTGGGGTGCTGCTGGTGATTCTATTCTAATGACATTATCTGGCTTGGATATTTTGAATTTAAGGTAAAAAAAAAAAAATAAATGAAACTTTGCATGAAGAATTATTACAATGAAATTGACATGCATATATAATGTATTTTTAGTACTGGATGTGTCTTATGTACTCCTCTTCAACCTGTCCCTATCACAACCACTTTCACAGCTCAAATTGTAGTGTTTGATATCAAGATTCCAATTACTTCCGGATTTCCGGTAAATATTTTTACAAAAAAAAAGAAAGATAGCAATTATGAAATATTGACTAATAATGATATTATAAGGTTATTCTCCATCATCAAAGTTCAAATGAACCTGCATCGATTACCAAGTTATTATGTAGTTTGGACAAGTCCACCGGAGAAGTAGTTAAACGAAATCCTAGGTAACGTGAAAAGCCTAGACAAATGATGATGTGTCTGTAGTAAAATTGTAAAGAAGAAACTAAGTATGATTATTGTTTTTAGACATTTATCGAAAGGTGCTACAGCCAAGGTCAAAATTCAACTCTCACATCGTGCCATTCCATTGGAAACTTTCAAAGACAACAAACAATTGGGTCGGATTATGTTACGAAAAGGAGGAGAAACTGTGGCAGCTGGTGTAGTGGATGAAGTAAGTGAAAGATATTTATATATCAAAAATTTGATTCGTAATAAAATATTCATTTTTATATCCTTATGTTTTAGATTCTTACCTTTGGATCGTGACATGACCATAATCAACCATATTTAGACAATAGCCTCATTTTACTTCCTTTTTAGAGTTTTATCCATGGATTGACGATACACATACAAATTACAATAAAAACGATCATTCAAAACTTATTTATCAATTCATTCTAGTCCCTTTATATATATATATCATCCATAATAAATTTATTTTTATACTTGTTCTTAATATAATCCTTTGATTATAACTTTTTTTTTTTGAATTTGGTATTATAATCAGTCAAATTTCCATATTTGTTCTAGTGAAGATGTTCAACTACCTGGCAATCAACATATCCAAAAAAAAAAAAATCATCTATGAACGGTGAAATTATTCTTTTCCTTTTAATACCTGTTGTGGAACCGAGAGAGAAAGAAGGAGAAAGCAAATGCAAATGCTTCTCAGATTTCCATTTCAGTTCATTCTCCTTGGCTCTCATCTAGTTTTGTAGCTTGATTATAGTCTTTTTCATATTACAAACATGAGAAAGGATGATGTCATTATTTAGAGATATGATAATAAGATTCAATCATATTCAATTATTCATCAATGTTCAAGAAACTTCATACCTGATGATTGATGAATATAAGGTTGATGGAGCTTGAATTGAGATAAATAAGAGCTTATTACATCTTCTTTTTCATTTCAATAACAGATTGATCGTCATTTACAAAAAAGATCTTAGTGAACAAATAAAGTAATGTGGTACAAACATCAATGAGTAGAAAGGTCGTAACATTCTACGCTGTTTTTTTTTTTTTGACATTTAAAATATAGTGAAATATTCTCTTTTTTTTTTTTTTTTTTTTTTTTTTTTTTTTTTTCTCTCTCTCTTGTTCCTTATTCTCTCCTTTTCATACCCCTCCTCTCCTTTCCTTTATGACATTCCTTTATTCAACTAGATCACTTAAACGTAATCGATTATTGAAAAAGATATCCATGATATGTCTTGTGCTATCATTGGTCTTTCTTTTTTATCTTGCTAAAAATGGTCCTGACAATGAACTCCGCCTTTCTTCTTCTTTCTCTTCCTCCATTCAACATCAACGTTATCATTTGCACGACAACGATCAAGTCCAGTTTAGTCAAAACCAAGATGAAGAAGTAGAAATAGACGTCACTGTACCTCGTCATGCTCTTTTGGATACTATACGAAAAGCTAAGCAGGATCGTTTATCACGAACAAAGAATACTCTTCCTCCTGTTTTACCTGATCGACCTAAACAACCATCATTATCACCGACAACAACAATAACAACAATACCTGAAGACAAGGTATTCAAATCAAGTAGAGATGATCTTTATTTACCATTAGGTGATGGCAAGGATCCAAATGAAAAATACCTTGGCTTTTATCCACATTCTGGCTTCCACAATCAACGTATAGCTTTGGTGAATGCTTTGATGCTGGCTGAACGATTGAACCGTACGCTACTTGTACCTCCTGTGATGTTGGGCAATCCTATTCACTGGCGTAAACATGATTCTCTGGACTCTTACCACCGACGTACATCCAAAGCACGACTCACACACTGTCAATCCTATTTGAACCCTCAAGGCAAAGTAGCGAACGATTCAATCACCATTCCGGATGACTGTCAACTATCATTCAAATATACCAGTTTGCGATGGGATCGACTCTTTGATTTGGACAACATTAAACAACGTGTACGAATTCGATATAGGGATGATTATGAACGAACTTATTTGGAACGCTACTACAACATCAGTCGCGCCGACACATATTATATAAAGGATGATGTGTTGTATGATTATCGGATTGTGGAGGCAAATCGTTTGAACAGCTCAAAACCAGTGACAGTGGGCAAGTATCAGAGAATCATCACGGTACAAGAATTGGAAGAAAGATCAGAACGCATGCTCAGCTTTGGATCTTTATTCGGCAACGGACGTGTTATTGTCAATAATCAGATGGCTACGCTCGATTATTTCAATCGTCAATTGATATTCCAACGAAGTGCATTACCTGGCCTTTTTGATGAAATGGATCGTATGTTACATCTTCTTGGTGGACCTTCCTCTTATATTGCTATTCATGCTCGTGTTGGTGACAGTATTTTTGAACGATATGCTCCTCAAGTGATGGAAAAACTATGGTCTGATTTACAAATATATGTACCTCTTTTAAAACAACAACAACCTATGAAACATAATGATCGATGTTATCAAACTGATGATGATCTAGGTCCTGCCATTGATTGGGACAAACAAGTGATACTGGATAAGCGACCTTTGGTGATGTTTATGGCCACGGATACCCCTCGACCTCACGAACATGAACTTTTCCAAAACATCTATGATACCTTCCCTTGTATTGTTACTTTGAATGATCTATTTGATTTTGATACTTCTCCCTTGGCAACAATGATCAACCCTGAAGATGGTGTGAATTATGGCAAATTCTTGATTCCCTTTTTGGATGGTTTGATGGCAAGTCGTGCACAATCCTTCTCTGGTTCCATGTGGAGTACTTTTAGTAAATATATTCAATTCTTACATAACGTTTATACTACTTCACATTAGTTTTTTTTTTTTATTATTTTTATTGTTATTCCCCCCTTCTTTTGTATCATATCTTACCCATCCCCTCTCACCGCATTGTCATTTTTATGTACACTTCTTTTTTTTTTTTTTTTTTTACTTCAGTTTCTTTCAATAAAATCAAAATAAAATCATGCTTCATAATAATATATACTTTATTTGTTTAATGTCTTTGATATTGTTTGTCTGTCTCCTGGTGGTGATGGATGATATACGATGATATGTGATATGCGATGATATGTGACGATGGATGATGGACAATAGTGGATGACAATATAACAATTTTATTGAAATGAAAATGGATAATAATATTTATAAAAAAGGAACTAGATCTCTGTGATTCCTTATGATTGGCTGGTGTGATTTGCAGGATTTTCTAGACAGGCTCCGATCAGGTAGTCATATAAAATGATATTTATTTCTTTTTTTCTTTCTTTCTTTCCCTTTTCTTTCTTCGACTCTTTTTTTTTTTTATTCTTTACTATCAATAAAATATCAAATATATTGGTTCAAGCATCCAGTAGAAATTGGTCTCTGGATTACTATTATTCCTGAGAACCCTGAAGCGTAGAAAAACCATTCATCATTGTAAGTAAAAGAATAAAAAGCGCCATCAGAAAATACAACAGAATATCTAACTTCCTATAATGCAATAGCACAGGGGAAAGAAATCCGTACAGGACGGTGAAGCTGAATTATTTCCATTTGCGAAGTAAACCTTATATAATAACATATTGGAAACGAAAAAGAATACCATCAGGTAGGTCTTCTAAAATAAATAAAAAAAAAGACTGGTCTCATTTTTTTTCCCTTTTCAATTAATCAGATCAACAAGTGTAGCCGATAAGCATTACTATATTTTTTATCACAACAACAATTAGATAAAACAACAACGCTATTATCAACGACAGCCAATTTATCATGGACTGCGTCATCTATATACTGGGTGTGGAAAAATACCTTGGACAAGACTGATGTCTCTTATCCAGACTCTCTGAAGGGTGTTATTGCTGATAAGTACCGCTCTTCGAAGCTATGCTGCTTTTGTCACATACCAATGATACATCCTAGCACAAGAAGGGCAAAAGAACACATACCATCAAGAACAACGCAGAAATCAACATTGCCATGATAGGATACGAACGACTTGTCTTTCAACGATCCACTTTTCATGCTGGAGATTTGTGAACTTGTATATGAAGGTCAAAGTGTCATATTTCCCTTTTTTGGACCCATCATCGTTCATATATTTATTTTACTATTGTTTTTTTTTAATAAATCAACTTTTACTTGTATTGATCAACTCTTTCTTTTGTTTGTTTGTTTGTTTGTTTGTTTTATTAATTTATGAATGTGGATCGACAAGTAGCTTATTATTTTATTTATCGATTGTGATTACAATATAACAAATCTCTGAAGCTTAGCTATCTTTAGGCAAAGTATCAAATTATTAAATTTGAAAGAGTGAATAATAACTTTACAGTGTTGGAGTGTAACTATTTAAAAAAAAAAAAAAAATGATATCTTTAAACGTTTTGACCTAGTTTTCCAATTTTGTTGATGGAAAATAAGTCCGCTTGCATTGGTTTTTATTTTTGGTATCTTTCTCCCTCTTCTTTTTCTCCCTTTTTTTTTTGGAGTTTTGTTTCAAATAAAAAGCCACGCCCTTTCTTCTTTTTCTTTCTTTTTTTCTCTTTCGTCTCATTATTCAATGTCTTCATAGTCATGGGGAACAATTCTAGTACATCTCTAACTTCAACTCAAGGTAGAATATTAAAAAACAAAATCTATTTTAATCTTACTACTACTTCTATAGCATTGTAGTAATTATTCATTTTACTTCTTTCTTTTCTTTTCTTTTCTTTTTGTAGTTAGTATGGCTGATTTCCAAACATATCAAGATATTGGAAAAGGTGCTTTTGGCAAGGTAAAGGATAGAATTAGAATGAAAGGTTTTGTTCTAATCATTCTTTTATATAGGTTTGCGTTGTCAAGCATATACAACGACAAGAACATTATGCCTTGAAAATTATATCTAAAAGTCATTGTATCAAAACAAACAAGAGTCGACATGTTGTACGTGAACGTATGCTCCTGGAACAATTGGATCATCCTTTATTAATCAATTTACGTTATGCTTTTCAAGATGAACATTATCTCTATATGGCGATGGATTTGATGTAAGTATTATAATAATAAATAAATAAAATAAAAACTGATCAAAAATTTATTATAGGCTTGGTGGAGATTTACGCCATTATCTTACTCGCAATGGACCGGCTTCTGAAGAATTGACTCGATTCTGGATGACTGAAATGATTTGTGCCATCAAATACCTTCATTCAAAAGAAATCATGCATCGGTAAAGTTATACAATTATATATTATATTTCTTATTCAATTTCAATCTATATAGTGATATCAAACCAGAAAACATTCTACTTGATATGAAGGGTCATGTACATCTTACCGACTTTAATATTGCAACTCGAATTCGACATACTACTGATCGTTTACTTACTTCGCCTTCGGGAACCTTGGCTTATTTTGGTAGGGATAAAGAAAAAAAAAGATTGGGCGTTCATGTACTACCTTTACTAAAAATAACCATTTCTATATTTTATATAGCTCCAGAATTGGTGAAGGGTTACGGATATACCGAAGATGTGGATTGGTGGTGTCTTGGGCTTACATTTTATGAATGTATTTTTGGAAAGGTAAAAAAAAGAAAAAAAAAAGGAAGAACGGGAACCGATAAAAAAAAAATGCAGTTCATTGATGATGCTTATTATATATTCATGTATATAGCGACCTTGGCGTGAATACGAAGGAAAGGAAGATATATTGAATCAAATCGTACGAGGATATATTCCATATCCTATGCAGGAAAACAATACTATATCTGGAGACTGTCTCTCTTCGTTACAAGGGGTAAAAAAGAAATTATTAATAAAATAAAATCAATTACGTGCTAACCTTCATTATTTTTTTTTTTTTTTTAATTCAGTTCCTAGAGATAGATCCAATATACAGACTAGGGCATGGTGAAAATGGATGGAAGAGAATTTTACATCATCCTTTCTTTAGCAATACTCCATGGCAACAAATCAACACAAAAAATGGTATCCCACCACCATCATTCAATACCCAACATATATCAGACTCCATTTTACCTGGAAATACTGGAACAATCACCAAAAACTTAAACTCACTCCATTTATCTACTATCATCTCATCATCTCCAACCATGCCAGCATTATCAAAACATACCAATTCAATTCCCAGTGTACCCTCAATGCATGAAAAAACCAATAACAATTTTAACAACGATGACAAGAATGGAAATGAAGGCTGGTTAAAAGCTATCTATGACTTTATATTGCCACCCTCAGAATCAAAAGACGAAGAACAACAAGCATATCAAGAAATCCTTGCAGATAGGCGATCTTCTCAACGATTGGAAGAATTGGAATCTTCATTTACATTTTTTGATTGGACTATTTATGATGAATATCAAGGTTTTATGAATAAGGAAACTTTGTCTGTTGGATCACCACCACCTTGGGTTAAACCTGCTTTTACCGATGCCGACAATGGTCGTATTTTACCCGTGGCCAGTATTTCAACAACTTATGAACAACAACAACAACAACAGTATAGTACAATGACAGATGATGATTTACTGGTGACGCCTCCTACAACACCTACTACCGATTCTTTTCCTCATATTGTATCAACATCTTATCATGAGTCGCCATATGATCATCATCAACCATTATCGACATCAAAATTGCATTTATCACAACAACAACAACAACAAAAGAAACAACGAAGAAAGTCTGGAACCAAATACTTCAATGAACGACGAGAATGGGAACGTAGAAAAAGTTTGGGAACTACTTGCAAGAATATTCATGTTGCTTAACTCTATATCATGATATACGTAGTATAGTTAGTCTTGATTTTTTTTTTTTTTATTTGATGTTACAATAAAAGGTATTTTGTTTTATTATTATTATTATTATTCATCAATAGTACAAAATCAAAATCAAAAAAAAGAGAAGGAATAGAAATATCTAATGGAATAAACTTGAGGGTATAGGGGAAAGAGATGATTCTACAATAATACTAGTGACACGATAAGGATCAACATTCGAAGCCTAAAAAAAAAAAAAAAAAAAAAAAAAAAAAAAGTTGAGAAAAAAAATGATGATATGACAATCAACTTACAGGACGACGATCCTCCATATAGCCTTTTCCTTGTTTGGCGACATGACGAGGAATACGAATCGATGCACCACGATTAGCAATCCCATATGAAAACGCCCCAATGTGTCCAGTTTCGTGATGTCCGGTCAAGCGCAAGTCGTTGTCTTCCCCATAGACGGCAATATGTTCAAAATGACGCAAACTCATCCGTTCGATAGCATCCTCCATGGTGGCTAAACCATCGTCTTGTTGTCGCATCGCCTTGGTTGAATAATTGGTATGACATCCTGCCCCATTCCAATCGCCTTGCACTGGTTTAGGATGAAACGTCACCCCGACACCAAACGTTTCCCCTACACGCTCCAAAAGATACCTTGCCATCCAAAGTTCATCCCCCATCGTAATGCCTGGACATGGTCCTACTTGGAATTCAAATTGACTAGGACATACCTCCACATTGGCTCCACCTATTCGTATTCCTGCGTATAAACATGCCCGATAATGCGCCTCTACAATGTCTCGTCCAAAAATCTTATCGGCACCCACCCCACAATAGTATTTACCCTATCACAAAAAAAAAAAAAAAAATATTCATCAACATCAAATATATATCCTTTTTTTTTTTTTTTAGTATCGATCACTTACTTGAGGTTCAGGGAATCCATGTTGTGGCCAACCCAAAGGTTTTTCTTTTTGAGGATCAATCAATAAATATTCTTGTTCCATACCAAACCAAGGAGCATGATGGTCATAGGTATTCATGATCCGATGACAATGATAGCGGTAGTTGGTTGGGTGAGGTGTGCCATCCGGAAGGTACGTATCACAAAGTACTAGCTTGTTCGTCTTGTCGCGTGTGGGTCGAAATGGATCATGATATAGAGCCACAGGTCGAAGAATTATCTCATCATGCTTTTCTTGTCCATCATCATACCATTCAGGAATCTCCTCTACTCTATTGACAAAATAATCTAATGTACGTGATTTTGACCGCAATGTGTTGTTGTCTATCCAGATATATTCCACTTGCACCTTGTTGCCTTGACTGAGTCGTAGATATTTATCCAATAAACTTGCATTACTTGGTATGGCCATGAGAATGGAAATAAAGAATAATGAAAGTAAGAAGATACAAAGAAAAAAAAGAAAATGAAAAAAGAAAAGTAAAAAAAAAAAAAAAAAAAAAAAAAAAAAAGACCGTCTTATCTTTGATAGATGGTGGAAAAAAAAAAAAAAGATAAGAAAGCTTGACGAGTCTTATGCAGCGGTGGTTGAAGCATGTATACACTTTATTCAAAAAGGATGATATTGGTGTCACAAAATATATATATATCCATTTAGATCCCAGCATCATGATTTTTCTATTTTCTTTGTTTCATTTAGTCATCATGTCATCGATATTTGTAGTGTCATCAATATAGTATATTGAAAAGTATTCATCATCAATGACATTCCGTGTAACAACATTATTTTTTCTGTTGTTCTATGATTCATGCTTATCAGAATAAAAAGTAACACAAACGAGATGATCAAAAAGATAAAAGTTAGATTAGGATTGAATAAAGACGAAGTTTTTATTGATAGATCAAGGGAGAAGAATGTCAAATGTAAGATTGATATATATATTATATTTGTTGTGATAATAATAAAAAATGAAACGAGATAATATCTATTGATATATAAATGGATGCAAATAAAAAAAAAAAAAAAAAAGAATAAATCATCATCAAATGCGTCGTTGTTGTAAACCTTGAGTAGCCAAATTCAAAGAACTTCCAGTGGGTGTACCAGCAACAATACCTTGATAATCCAAACGATATAATTTTGGAGGCAAATTCTTCCCAAACTTACGATTGATATGATTGGCACAGAGAAGACCTGAGAATAAGACAAACAAAATCAAAGGAATACAAGAAAATGCGGCAATATAGGTATATGTTAAGAAACTGACGGTAAATTGTTGATATTTGAAGCGACAACCAGGTAATAAAGTTCGAGGGAAACATTTATTGGAATTTTCATGGAAATCTGAGAACATTTTGTAACCACAACAATGAAGCTATAAAAAAAAAAAAAATGGAGTCAGTTTTGTTGATTATTTTATTTTATTTCTTACATTTGCTTGAATTCGAGATCTTCCATCCGAAGTTAAATCATAATGCCATTGATAAGAAAGCTTGCCATCAATATTCCATTTATTGCGTCGATAAGCTGTATATCCAATAGCAGCAATCATTCCAAAACAGACCCATAATAACAGATTGTAAATCGCAAGAAGAGGTCGATTATTTAACATGATACCAACATATCCAAATAATGCTGAGAAAAGACAAATACATCCAGTTGCCAAAATCACTAAAGATAGAAGAAAAAGATGAGCCTCATCTTTATTTTTATTTTATATATATAACTTACGATTCAAAATCACTCGTTCACCAACAATCACAACATCTGCTCGTTGATATACTATTCAAAATCAAGTTAGTCTTGTAACAATTTTCAATTATTATTAATGATCATTACTTACATTTAAAGAAGGTAAATAACGCAGCTAATAGAATACCCAAACCCATACAAAATAACTGTATATATATAAAAGTCAGATCATAATATATATATATATATATTTCTATATTTCATTTTTACCACTGTATTTGATAAAAGTAACCACCATTTATGTAAAGTCCAACGTTGTTTCTTTTTAATAGTATCGGGAACAAACCGTTTCACAACGTGTAGACTAGCCGCATCAACCGATGATTGTGACACACCGCCAAGAGATTGCCTTGATTCAGATCGCATCCACGGTAAAACGGGTTCAGGCAAATCATCACTAGAGTCCCATAACTGATCATCCCGTAACTGTTGTTGTTGCTGTATACGGACAGAAGAAGTAGTACTAAAAGCAGCTGAATGACGAGCTTCTTGAGAAAGATTGACATGGGATGTTCCTGATACATGTAATGGTGGTGTATTTCGTCCTTGTGTTGGTGGTGGCGTCACTGTTCGATCCATGATCAATGAATATGTAAAAGAAAAGATATGAAAGAACAAAAAAGAAAAAGAGAAGAAAAAGAAAAGAAAAAAAAATAAACAATTGATAAAAATTACTTTTGAGATTCAAAAAATAAAAAATTTATTTTTAGCACAGGGCAAAAAGAAGACTATTTCCGTATCTGTTGATAACCAGTGGGAAATCACCAGCTGCTAAAATAATGATATCTGATTTGCTAAAATTTAGTTTTCTAAGGGGTACAAAATGAAGATTTTTTTTTATTTCTTTTAAGATATATATAAAGGGGTATAACAATTCATTCAAAGAAAGTAGAGTCATCAAGGAAAAGAAGAGATATATATACTAAAACTAACTATAGAATAATAAAAAAAAAAAAAAGAGAGAAGAAAAATGAATAAATGTTGTCCCTATTTATTCTATCTAATCTTTTTTTTTAAACTAAAACTGTTGAGTTGTTGCACCATACCATTGTTGTCGTTGTTGTTGTTGTTCCTGATCTTGTAGTCCTGGATTATAATAGGATGGATATTGTTGACCAATAAGTGAAGGAGGGGCTAATGCTGGATAAGGATTGTTGGATGATAATAATAATTGTTGTTGTTTAGCAATATCTCGTTCATTTTGTTCATATTCATCAGCCATCCATAGAGCAGCACCAACAATATTTGTCCACATAAAGATTAAATTGAATAAAGGAATTAATTCAAGTGCTACAGCAACAACTCCAAATTGACAATAATCTTCACGATGTTGCCATGCATATCTTCGGGACTCTGAGATACTGAACCCTCGGAATTCTAGATCATAATGTATCAATGCACCCCAACTAAAAAATATAAAGAATAGAAATGAGAACATAATTAATATATATCTTATTTTACTTACCAAGCAGGCCATCCATTAATATAACAAGCTAAAACTGTTCCTGCCACTGGTACCAAATGTAAAGGAGCTGTAAGAATCAAAACAAATACCTAATCATTCATATTAATAAAAAAAAATGATGATTCTTTTTATACCAAGCATATCTTACTTGTGCCAAGACCAAAAACCAAACAAATACAATTCCCGAACCAATACCGCGACAACATAAAGTCAAACCATCCACAGGTACGCGAGTTTCAAACATTCTTGATAATCCTCTTGCTTTTAAGGTAGCATCAAATAAAGCATCTTGATAAATAGGTACCAATATAGCAAAGAAGATCACATCAATAATAGCTGACTCCAAAAGGACAAAGATCACTGATACAATCCAAGCAAGCCAGGCAGGACAATGAGCATTAATCAAAGCATGAGCTTGTAATGGAAGAAGAAACACAAACGATAAGACCAAAGATATTATACCAAAAAGTAAAGTCAAGAGAAAAGGACATAATGTTTTTCCCCAAAGCTATAAAGAATAATAATAAAAAAAAAGTTGGTTAGTTAAGTTCATCCTAATAATAATCACCTTTCTTTTTTTTTTTTTTCCTAATCAATACGAGTATAATACCTGAGGATGAGCCACAAAGAAAAATATACCTTGAACAGGATAAGTTGATCGAAGAGCCGTCATAAGTTTTTTTAAGTGACCAAAAAAAAAAAAAAAAAAAAAAAATAAAATAGAAAAAGAAAAAAAAAAGAAGAAACGGAGAGGGGTGAAAATCAAGATTGATTGTAACAATTGAAGATTTGAAACTTTGGATTTCCAGACCCGACTTTCTTTTTGTTCCATTTTACATTTATGCAAAACCAAAAAGGTGATGACTATCTGATTTTCTTAACAATGATCCATTCATTTTACCTACTAGTAATGTCATATCATCAAATGATCTCTCATCTTTCCTTTTTTTTTTTTTGGCATTGATGATATATATATTCAAAAGGTTAAGACAATCATTTCATTGTATCAGTGGCTGCAAAAATGAATTCACAGATGTGATATTATAACATTGACATTCTTTGAGAAGGAAAAAGTTGTTTTTATACTTTTTTTTTTTACTTCCTTGTTAAGGCTGATGATCTCACATCTTTTTTTTTTTTTAATGATAACGCGTATATGTATTTCCGTTTCTTTTTTTAAAACGCTACAACAAGGGTGATGGAACTGAATGAAAATAGATCACTTTCCCAATCGATAGCAGTCGCGCGTGGCGGCTAAGAAAAAAAAAAAAAAAAAAAGACCGAAACCCCATAATTTCACAGCGTAGTTTCTATTTTTTTTTATTTTTTCTATTCCTTGTTTTCCTTCTTTTTTTTTTCTTTTTTTTTTTTTTTTCTCTCACTTTGTTTTACCAGTCATCAAAAAGTGCGATTACCTTTGTGGAACAAAGAATGACGTTTTTCAATAAAATCATCGATAAAGCCAGACATCATGGTATTTCTAGTCATCATCATCAACAACAGCCACAACAACAACAGCCACAGCAACAGCAGTTAGAACAACAACAGCAGTTACAGCAACAACAACAACAACTACAACAACAACAGCAGCAACTACAACAACAACAACAACAACAGCAACAACAATTACAACAACAATTACAACAAGATACTTATAATAAAGACAGCACCACGATGCCTGCTTCAGTTCAACAACACACTGTGCCATCCATTCAAGGTAAACAATATAAATTCATGCTTATCCACTTTAAAACACCGCAGTTGTTCACACGTTTTTCATCAACTCATGCACGATTAACATTCTTTTTGTAGAAAATGGTCAACCTTCTGTACATACACCCATCCAAGGTCGGTGATCCAATCCAAAAAAAAAAGTCTTTTCTCATGCTTTTTCTTTTTTTTTTTTCTTCTTATTTAGACTCACAACCATCCACCACTAAACCACGGAATAGTCGATACCAACAATACGATCAACATGTGATGCAACAAAGAAAAGATCGACCTAGATTGAAACTAGATGATTTCCATCTATTACGTACATTGGGTACAGGTTCGTTTGGAAGGGTATTATTGACACAATCTCGACACAATCATCGATACTATGCCATCAAGATCCTCAAAAAGTCAGAAGTGGTTCGCTTGAAACAAGTGGAACATACCAACAATGAAAAGTTGATCTTGGAACACGTTGCTTGTCCTTTTATCATCAATTTATGGGGTACATTTCAAGATGACTCATTTTTATATATGGTGATGGATTATGTTCCTGGTGGTGAACTGTTTTCTGTATTAAGAAGAAGCAAGGTAAAAAAAAAAAAAAAAGTTCTTCTTTCTTATTCATCTCTCTTTATATATAGCGATTCCCAGATCATGTTGCCAAGTTTTATGCAGCTGAAGTGATATTAGCCATTGATTATTTACATGGCAAAGATATTATATACAGGTTAGTTATAAAGTATGGATATTGAAATGGATGTGTTAACTATTCTTTTATTCAAGGGACTTGAAACCAGAAAATTTATTATTGGATGCTCATGGACATGTCAAGATCACTGATTTTGGTTTTGCAAAGTTTGTACCAGATGTTACTTGGACATTATGTGGAACACCTGATTATTTGGCACCAGAAATCATTCAATCCAAAGGATATAGTAAGGCAGTAGATTGGTGGTCATTAGGTGTTTTGATTTTTGAAATGTTGGCTGGGTAAGTTATATATATCTATATCATTCTCCCTTTTTTATAACTATTTATTATTATTATTATTATTAGACATCCTCCTTTCTTTGATGATGATCATCTGAAATTATATGAAAAGATCATTCAAGGAAGAATCAAATGGCCTCCTTATTTTGAACCTTCAGCAAAACATTTATTGGAACGATTACTCACAAGTGATTTATCAAAACGGTATGGTAATTTGAAAAATGGTGCAGAGGATATCAAAAGACACCCTTGGTTTGATGGTGTGGATTTTGAATTAGTGGCCAAACGACAAATCCGTGCTCCTTATGTACCAAAACTCAATGGTGAAGGTGATGCTAATAACTTTGATCGTTATGCTGAATCCAAGGATGAATATGGTAAACCTGCTCCTGATCCACATGCTGACAAGTTTCCTACATTTTAGATATAATTATCATCATTATTTTTTATATTTGTTTGTCTTGTTTTATATAATAATAAAAAAGAAAAGATTATTTAATGACACTTTTCGACGGACTTTTGGGTCCATATCTTTTTTTTTTCTGGGTTATTTCCTTTTTCTTTTCTTTTCTTTTTTTTTTTTTTTTTTTCTCTCTCTCTCTTTGTTTATTAGATGGAATATCGTATATCAAAAAGGCGATTGACATTATTGATCTTGATCATCATTATTTTGACTTGGTTTCTTGTTCTTTTACCAGCAACCAACATAGTACCATCACCATTATCGTTTCCCTGGTATCAACAACCACATCCTTCTTTTACAACCAATAGTACGAGTTTTGTATGGACCAATGACAATAATAGATCTTTAGAGGATATGCTCGCTTATGCAAAACAATATACACAACACATCTTACCACAACAGGAAGATGGTATTCCTGGAAGTGCTTTGACAACAAAGGAACAAGTCATTTCGTTTCGTAACCTAGTACAGTGCTGGACACAACAAGGGAACTGGCAATATCATTCTACATCTTCAGTCTTACCTCATTTTCAAGATCCTCTTTATGGAAGATGTGATCGACAATGGCAGCGACAACACAAGGACAATCCTTTTCTTCCACCTCGACCAGCTACTCAATACCAATGGCGACCTCCAGCTCATTGTCCTTTAGTATCTGATACCATTCATACTACTGACTGGTGTGATATTTTACATGGACGACATATGCTTCTAGTAGGTGACCTTGTTCAATATCAATTACATGATCTTTTATTGGATGCTTTACGTGAAGGACCTACCGTTTGTTACGGTGAACTCAATTGCAAAGGTATTTTTTTTTTTAAAAAAAAAAAAAGATGTGATTTTGAAGGAATGATGGATGGATTTATTTATTATTTTATTTTATATGATTTCGATGAAAAAGATCATACTATTTGCTCTAGACCTAGGAAAGCTAGATTACGATATATACGGAATGATATCTTGTCGAAGCGAAAAAAAGTCAATGTGGCCAATGGACAACCCAAGGTGGATGTGGTAGAATGGCCATTCCTTGGACCATTATCAGCTTTCAAGATTGTTTTATTGAATCGATCACCAGTCATGGAGGATGATATGACGTTTGTGCAACAGTTGGCAGCCACGATGGTAGCTATCCGGAAGATTCAACCATCGGCTCTCATTTTATATAGATCCTCGTTCATTGGGCATCCTTTCTGTGATGAAGCGCAACAACCATACCAACTTGGAACTACACATCGACAACAATTACCTTTTGGATGGAGTGAATATCAACGACGTAACTTATTGGCTCAAGCTGTAGTGGAACAAGCTGGTGGTGTATATCTGGATATGGCTTATAGTTTGGATCAACAACCTGATGGACATATAGGTGGTTCGGATTGTCTACGTTATTGTATGCCTGGACCTTTGGATAGTTGGGCTTTATTATTTTATAATGTGTTTTTGGCTTTGGGTGTACCTTATTAGGAACCATGCGTTTTTCCCGTTATTCGTTTACCCGCCATGCATCATCTCCCCCTCTTTTTTTTTTTTTTTTTGTATGGACTCCGAAGCATGTGATTTTGACACAACATCTTCTAAATTGTATCCCCTTCTCTTTTATATCCATCAATAAAGTTTCATTAGATATTTTTTTTTTGGAAAACATGATTGTTTTATTTATTTTTCATAGATATAGTAGATTAAATAAAATAGTAAACACAAAAGAAATGTATATAGAATAATAAAAAAAAACTTTTTTTTTCAAAATGTATATGAATAAGTAGTGTGGGTGGATGATGATATGAAATGTGTGTGTATTGGGGGGGGAAATTAATCTAGATCTTTTTGGATTTGGGTTGTTGAGCAAAACCATTGGTAGCAGCCTTCTTCTTGAGAGATTTATTCTTGTTGTAGGTGATACGGTAAAAGTTAATGAAGAGCAAAAGGTAAGAGCTCAACAAAGCACAACCAAAGATAGCAGAAGTTTCAGTACCAGCACAAGAACCCATGTTAGGCAAGTAAGGATAGTAGGTAAAGGCAAAGTAAGTGTAAGTACAGAAGTAAATGGCAAACAAATCAATGATGAATTGAACAATTTGCATTGTGGTCAAATAACGTTTCCACCAGATCTTGGCTCCAGAAGCAGTACGGAAGTAGTAGTAGTACATCAAAACGTGCACGGTCAAGTTCAAAACAATAGGTACCCAAGACTAACATAAACAAATAAAGATGAGTGAGATACAAACAATAACAAGACAACTAAAATCACATGTCTTTTCTTTTACTCTCTCTTTCTCTCTCCTTTTTGATCACTTACCACTGATGTTTTTCCACCCAATTGAGTATAACAGAGAACCATAGTAAGACTGTGATGGTAATAATGGAGGAATTCTATATGATAATAAAAAAAATAAATAATTCATTTCCTTTTATGATTTATATATATATATATATATTTACCAAGTTTCTTCTTCTTGAGTACAAGGAAAACGGTATCAATCAATTCCCAGTATTTGACAAGATAGTTGAGGTAATACAAGAGTTCAAGAGGTTGAGTCCAAGCATCAGTAGCGCAAACAGCGTGAAGTAAACCTTTGTGGTACAAAATAGGGAAAATGTTTTCCACCATCAATACCAAGAGAGCACCAGAAACAAGAGTCAATAACAAGTTATGGATTTGGAAGAAAAATTGAAGACGTTGAGCAGGAAAGTTTTGCATCAAGTAACGACCACCAAAGATAACAATAAAATAAGTGATACAACTCATCCATACTAAAAAAAAAAAAAAAAAAAAATAGATTAATAAATCAAGATCAAGACAAGATTATATATACCTTCATTGCCAGTAGATAAAGGAGTAATACCGGGAGTAAAAATGAAATCAGAAGCCTTTTGACCAGTGACAGCTTGGTATGCTTGTTCGAAATAAGGATAAAGACGAATACCAAAAGGTGATTCAGGTGTAAATTGAAGTGACTTTAAAACTTCCATGATTGATAAAAAAAAAAAAGATGATGAAGGAAAAAAAAAAAGAAGAAAAGGAGAAAAGAAAAAAAAAAAAAAAGTAGGCAATGGAAAAAAAAAAGGCACAAACAAATAAGGTGGAGTTGAAAAAATAATTGCTGACAGTTATCCAACAGAAAAGCTTTATTTCTTTTTGGCACCTTGTTATAATATTTATTTTATACTCAGGTTCGGGCTTCCTAACCGAAAAAAAAAAAAAGAAAAAAAAAGAAAAAAAATTTTCCATCCTGTCAATTTCTCATCTCCTCGACATTTGACTGGATAAAAATATATATATAAATTTTATTTTATTTTGATATATTAAAACTAAAATCCACCTTTTCCATGATATAATTGACTTTGCATATATTCTTCCCAAGAGATCATACCACTAAATAATAAATAAAAGATATCCATCATTTTAATATGGTTTATATTAATAAATTTAAAAACTTACTCTCCATCCAAATCATCTTCACCAAGAACATGATCTACCATCAATGTGATATCTTCCAAAGAAACAAATTTAGTAGGATCTTCTTCACGATCATGATCAAAATCTGAGAATGCCGCACGTAATTCATGACCATCCAAGTGACCATCACCATTTTTATCGTGTAAAACAAATAAATAATATATCATATCATCTTCATTCAATTGAGTAGCTTTTTCTCCTTCTTTAGTCATAGCATCTAAATGTTCTTGTAAATGTCTATATAATAAAAATAAATATAAATAAATATTATATTATATATAATATAATATAAAGGTTTACTTAACTGTTTATTCGTTTTATCAGAACCATAATTAGAATGATCTTTTTCATCAAATCTATGAGCTGTTCCTGGACCAGCAGTAACAGTTATAATAAAATAGAATAAAGTAATCAAAAGTAATATAGAAAGTCGATACATTGTAATAATGTAATAGAAAAGAATATTAGAAAGAAAAAAAAAAAGAAAAGAAAAGAAAAAGAAAAGAAGAGCGACTGACGTGGAAGTTTTCATTGGACACTGAATTCAAAATCCAAAGAAAAAAAACTGTATATGCCACTGCAAAATATCACGTATGCCAAAAAAGGAAATGCTATGTAAACAAAGATGTTTTTATTTTCTTTTCTTTTTTTTTTTTTCTTTTCTTCTCTTCTCTTCTGTTTTCCTTTTATTTTTATTTTTTTTTTAAATGTCATGAAAGCTCGTGATACTATTCAAATTGAAAAGAAACGACAAAAGAATCCTTTAGCCTTCCTTTTTCGACATAAACCTTATTTCCTTTGTGGTGGTAGTTATAAACCAGAAGGTAAATATATTAGAACACGATCTATATTACTTTTTTTTTTTGTTAACACGCATTCATTCAAAAAAAAAAAAAAAAAAGTTCCTTTTAGTATCACTGGTATCTTTGGTGCACCTTTGGAATGTGCTGCTCAATGTGGTACATTAACACCTTATGGTTTATCAGTACCAGATCCAGTCAATCGTTGCTTTACAGAAATATTGGCAAGAGGATTACGTGTAGAAGGATTATTTCGACTCTCAGGTGCAGCTATGGAAGTGGATCAACTTCAACAACAATTCGATCAACCTCCCACTTATGGAAAATATTTGGATCTGACCAATAACGATATTCATGCCATTACAAGTGTTGTTAAGAAGTACTTGCGTCATTTACCAGATCCTGTTATTCCTATTGCTTATCATGAACCATTTTTACAATTACATGGTAAAAAAAAAAAAAAAAAAAAAAAAAAGGAAATAATATTGATAATGATTATTTTCGTTATTATAAGCCAATTGGACAGAAAATGATCGTGGTTTAGTTTATGAATGGGCCAAGATGATCAAGAATGATTTTCCAACAACTCATTATCACGTCATGCATTATATTATTTTGGTGGTATCATGGGTTCAACATTATCAACATTTAAATTTGATGAATCCAGAAGCTCTTGCTGTGGTATTGGCACCTATTTGTTCCGGATTAGAAAAAAATGTCAATTTAGGGAAATATGATAACAAACGACAACAACAACAATTATTGGGAAGTGTGGATGAAGTGATGGCTGCCAACTCTAGATGGACAACAGTATGGACTTTATTAATTCAACATCATGATATATTATTAGATCATTGGCGACCATCTAATACTCCTGATATCATCCATTCTGGTTTATGGCAACGACATTCAATACCTACAATAATGATGGAATCTGATACACCTTGGACTCAATCAACAATCACAGTACCAGAAGAGGATTTATTGGATAACTCATCAAAAACAAGTGGAGATGATCGATATGGAGTGATTGTCATGCGAAAAGGCTATAGAGGACGACATATACCTGGTGTAGCAAAAGATGATGAACATATCTATAATGATACCCCTTTACCACCATTACCTATTCCAGAATATCATCCTGAACAAGAAAAGAAGAAACGTCATTTTTTATTACGAAGACCAAAATCTATTGCCTCTCTTCAACCACGTATCAAAACATCTAGTTTATTCTGATTTTTTTTATTTATTTCTGTACATTGTTTTTTTTTTATTTAATATATTTTTACTTGTATTACCTTTTTTGTTTGTGATGAAATAAAGTTTTTTTCTTCTAATGACAAAAAAAACTGATTATCTTACATTGGCTGGGGATAAATAATCAAAAAAAGATGGCCAAGTTTACAATTTGAAATCTCTTGGGCATGTCCTTATTTGGAAATCTAGTTTAGATTGTGTCTCCGCATGGGGTTGATTCATGATTCAGATTATCTATTATGATCCCATCTTTTTTTTTTTTTTTTGTATATAAAATTTCAATTTTTTTCATTCTTTTCTTTCCCTTTTTTTTTTTTTTTTTTTCTTTTTTCAACTTTTTTAATATTTATTTGTTTGATTTTTTATAATATCATGGCTCCTCCTAGAGATAATAATGACACAGATGGTTCTTCCAACAACAATGAACGTGTACGTGAACCTATTGTTTCTCCTTATATGCCCAAGTATCCTGATCCAATGTCCAATGTTTCCAAGTTTAAGATTATTGAATCTACTCTTAGAGGTAAAAAAAAAAATTACTTATTAAGAATGTTCCTCATTCTTTTTTTTTTTTTATTTATATAAATTAGAGGGAGAACAATTTGCCAATGCATTTTTTGATACAGCCAAGAAAGTAGAAATTGCCAAAGCATTAGATGAAATGGGAGTGGATTATCTTGAATTGACATCACCTGCGGCATCGGAACAATCTTACAATGATTGTAAAACCATTTCTGGATTAGGTTTAAAGGCCAAGATCTTGACTCATACACGTTGTCATATGGATGATGCTCGATTGGCCATTGATACTGGTGTAGATGGTGTGGATGTAGTCATCGGTACATCAAGTTATTTACGTGAATTCTCTCATGGCAAGGATATGGAATACATCACTAACAAGGCTACTGAAGTCATCACTTATATCAAAAATCAAGGTAAAGAAGTTCGTTTCTCTACTGAAGATTCTTTTCGTTCCGATCTCGTGGATTTGCTTTCCATTTATAAGGCAGTCGATAAATTAGGTGTGGATCGTGTGGTAAGTTCAAATATATGATGAATATTAAAAAAAAAAAAAAAAAAGAATGATGATGATTGATTTTTTTTTTTTTTTTTTTGATAGGGAATTGCTGATACAGTGGGTTGTGCCAATCCTCGTCAAGTATATGAATTGGTTCGTACTTTACGTAGTGTCGTCAACTGTGATATTGAATGTCATTTCCATAATGATACTGGTTGTGCTATTGCTAATGCTTATGCTGGTAAGTCAACAAGGATAAATATAATATACTCTTTTTTTTTTAAGTTGATGAAGAATATAAGATGGATGATTGACTTTTTTTTTCTTTCATTATTAGCTTTGGAAGCTGGTGCTACTCATATTGATACTTCAGTGTTGGGTATTGGAGAACGTAATGGGATTACACCGTTGGGGGGATTATTGGCACGTATGTACACGGCTGACAAGGCATATGTGAAGAACAAGTACGATTTGACCAAGATTCGGGATGTGGAGAACATTGTGGCCGAAGCTGTGGAAGTGACAGTGCCATTCAACAATTACATCACTGGTTATTGTGCATTCACTCACAAGGCAGGGATTCATGCCAAGGCTATTCTCAACAATCCTTCTACTTATGAAATCTTAGATCCTGTTGATTTTAACCAATCTCGTTATGTTTCCATTGGCCATCGTTTGACTGGATGGAATGCTGTCAAGAATCGTATTGAACAACTCAAGTTAGGATTGACGGATGAAGATGCAAAACAAGTTACTCAAAAAATCAAGGAATTGGCCGATATCCGTCCTCTTAGTTTGGAAAATGTCGATGTGCTACTTCGTCAATATCATTCTGCAAAGGAAACATCAAGTCATTTGGAAGTGTTAGAAACTGTTATCAATCCTGATCAGTTAGCTTAGAACATCCCCTACGTTTTTTATTATTATCATCCTTTCATCATGTTACTATCATACCTCTTGATTATTATAGTTACCACAATTTCTCTTTTCATCCATGTACATTGACATTTTTTTCTTATATATATATATATATATATATATCTTGTATCTACTCAATAAACCAAAAAAAAAAATCTAAATTTATGTTTTACCTTTATTTTATCTATCGTCCACCACTGGTTCTATTATAAGATCATCCTTCATCATGATTTATTATCAATTCATCATCAGCAACACATCTTATTCAGTGTTGTTGCCTGTTTAGACCGAGATGAAGTGACCTATGATTTTCTTTTTGCGCTATGTATTATCGACAAACTGTCTTTTTGATCCACTAACAAAACAAGTAGTCATATATACATCCTTTATTAATGGTATTTGTACGATATGACGATAGATTTAAGTTAAAAAAATGAAATTGGAAGAGCTATGGGTTCGTCCTTTTTTTTTTTTTTTTTTTTTTTTTTTTTTTTTGAAATGTTGGCACTAGTTTTATTGGATGATGATCATTATTGGAGGACAGATGCCACTATTGAACACTTCCTTTTTAATTTACTGTAGAAATTGGGTGGGTTAAGTCGTTATTAAGATAATCAAAAAAAAAAAGTTTTATCTATGTTCGATCCAAATTTGTTGCGATGATGATCATATTTGAGTGAGATAACTAACTTAATTAATGATAAACATGTAGTATAGATGCCTTGATAAATTTTGACTGCAAAAATCCCATTGTCAGGGATATCAAAAGTAAATCGAGGGGAGATATGATGAGATGAATACAACAACAAAACATAACCTAAAAAAAAAGTGATATGTGAAGAATAACAAGTTTTATTGGAATATATTTATAATAATGAATAGATATGTATATATATAAAAAAAAAGAAGGGGTATATCTAAGTGTGTACATAGAGTGGATAAATATTCTAACAAAGGCAATTGTAAAGAGAGTAATTAGGTAAGGGCGATATAATTTTTTTTTTTTTTTCAAACAGGTGAGTCAAGAAGGAGAGATGGAAGATGGCATAGGTGTACGATAGATAGGTGAACGTCCTCGTGCTTGATTCTTGTTATTGATATACTTGATGGCTTGATCTGACAAGTTGTCCCCAAATGATAATAAATCCGACACTTCGTATCCAGTTGCTGTATCAATGTAATCCAATCGAGCACCATTTTGTAAAAGTAATTCTGCCATTGGGAATACCATTGTATTTTGATCATCGTCATCATTCTTACGTGGGTGTAAAAGAGCAAAATGTAAAGCATAGCGGACAGTAGTCATGTTGATATTATTATTACTATGTTCTTGTTGTTGCTGATGAGGATGCTGTGGTAATGGAAGGAAAACACTTGTTGTCCGATCATGTACAAGATTACCATCGATATCCAATACTGGTAAAATGACTTGCTCCGTTTCACTACCTTGCTGAGGATGCGTTGGTATTGAAGACTGTGAGGATTGTTGACCATTGGGATCTGCACCAAGTAACAATGCATTCAAAGCTAACGGTATATCATCCTTGTCCAAGGCATGGAAAAGAAGTTGAAGAAGCGTGTCACTGTGATTATCGAAGGATGATTCAAAAGGATACTTTACAAATCGATGTAATTCATACTTGTCGCGAATAAAGGCTTGTTTTGCTGCACTAGAGTCATTCATGGTCACTTTTTGAAAGTCTTCCCCCAAGTTTGCTTCCAGTATCGCATTTGTTTTGTCGTTTCCTAGCTGCTGTAACATTTTTACTACATCTGCTGTATATGAAGCAGTATCCAAAGTGAGAGATCGAATTTTGCTGATATGTGTTCCCATACTTCGGTGAATACCAGAACAATCTTTTCAAAAAAAAAAAAAAAAAAAAAAAAAAAAAAAAAAGATGAGCACCGATAACATACACTCATATTTAAATATATTCTCTTACCAATACAAATGACAACACCTAAATTCAATGAACACCAATCAGGATTTTTGGCCCCACAGTCAGCACACCAATTGTTGGAGGGATTTTCTCGTAGTAATGTCAAAATAGGTACTTTTGGTTTGTTGCCAGAGATGTCACTTGATGAAGGAGGTGATGTGATGGCATGGTAAACATCAGTAGCAGGGTAAGAGGGAGCACTATGAAGTTTCTTGCGTCTTAATCCATTCAACGCCACAGTTAGAGATTTTCCATGATCCTTCCAGGATTTCCTTCTGTTTCCTTCTCCAGTTGTCGCACGATCCAATAAAGTCTTGGCATGTTCATCATCTACATTACTTGGTACTGTTGGTATCAAATTGTTGTTCGAAGAAAGATCCAAACCTGAAGAATTTCCACCATTCAACGCGCTTTCAATAGCATTACAAATCGATTGAATCCAGCTTTGCATGTCTTCCTGTGATGTTGCTTGATAGACACGACTGAAATGAGGAGTGATCACTTCAAAACAAAAGCGTCTGTCACTATTCCTTGCTTCCCGTACTGTTGCGAAACGTAGGTCGATAGGATCGTTGTGAGGCTCAAGTTGTTTTTTCCAATTGCTGTATTCATAAAGTTGTCCGCCACTGAGGACTGACCAGTGTTTATGCCAAATACTTCCAGTGCCAGGATTGGATTTTGTTGGTCGTCCAGGTGAGAATAAAAATCCTTCTTTACGTCGATTGGCTTGTTGATTTTCATCTTTAGGTATATCTTTGTAATTTGATGAAGGATCCATTGATGTTCGGCGCCTATCAGGAGATAAACATGATGCAGAAGAAAAGCTATTGATACTTGTTGTAGTTTCAGAATCGAAGAATGACATTTGTGACCGCGGTGAGATAGGTGGTTGTTGTTGTTGTTGAGATTTTGATAGATCTCTTGTAGATGAAATACTCCGCCTAGGTTCTTGTTGAGATAAAGAATCCGATGTAATAGTGGTATCAAATTCATCCTGTAAACATTTTGATTCCAATTGACGGCGCTTTTCCAATCGATCTTTGTTGACAATACATTGTTCAGAAGAAGCTTGAGCCATAAGTGAAGCCAGTTCATCCAATCCAGGTTTCCATCGAGCTAAACCTTTTGCAACTGATTGATAAAAATCATATTCCCGTTGTTCAAAAGTAAGTAAATGAAACAGAATTTCTTGTTCCTTCTTGCCACCATTCAGATCCATCAAAAAATTGTAATAGTCAAATCGTACCAGATCAAAGTGTCGCTGCTTGGCAGTATGCTTGGCTTCCAGTTCAAGAGATTTTCGTTGTTCCTTTTTCTTGGCATTATTGTTGTTGTAGTTTGAAGTTGAGTTGCTTTGATCATATGAAGGACAAGTCGATTTGATAGAGAGATACTTGGAGAGTAATGCATAATAATCTTTGCTTTCTTCTTCAAATTGTCGTCGCTTGATATCAGCTGTTTTGATATCCAGATCGTACAGTTTTTGTAAAGGAGAAATGAGTAAAGATTGCATAGAAAAAGCCAGTCGTTCTCTTTGATCCAATAGTTCTTTCCATGCTTGGTCGAGATAATGAGTTGACAGAGGATCGAGACTTGGCATGTCACGTAAAGCATCCACAAAATTGATGTCAGCCTTTAACCATTGTTGTTTCGCTTCTAATGATTGACTTGCTGTTTTCAAGAGACGTTTCACGTTTGCTTTCAGAGCACCTGTTCGGTTTTCTAACTGAGCTAGAGTTGCTCGGAACAAAGGACCATCTTCTAGTTCACGATCAAGATAACTATTATTGCTGTTGCTGTTGCAGTGAGAGCTTTCCATTGCGTGAGATGACCGACAATTTGAAGCCAACCGTTTTGAAAGTTTATAACTATTAGATAAATAGATAAGTTATAAGTAAATCAAAGTAAACGTACAAAGTGAGAAGAAAAATAAAATAATAAAAAAAAAAATATAAAATATAAATATATGAAAAAGAAATCAAACAGAATGAAAAATACCAATATATGTTGCCAAATTGAAATACCGCCAATAAATCCAAACCTTCCTTCTGAAATTTGACCTCTCTTCCCACTGTTAATATTTGCTGGTTTGCTATTGGCTGACTATTGGCTGCAAATTATTTTTCATTTACGCGTTTTTTTTAATATTTTTTTTTTCTCTTTCGCCTTGTTTCTTCGTCTTTTCTTTACGTATGCTATGTTATCGTTTGCCGTTGGATAAAAAAGGTACGTGTTCTGTTTTTTTTTAACATTTCGTTATTGTTGATGCTCATATCATCTTTTTGGGAAGCTGTGTCACAATCTGTGCCCTCTTTCTTTTCTTTCTTGTATCCTCAGGAATAAAGTCACTTCTAGGACATGGCCAGTTTTTTGTCATCGTCAACTTCATCTTCATTACCTAGCATTGACACCAGTAACTACAACAGCAAGGAAAGGTAAAGTGAGCAAGCCACCTACAAAATCGATTGCAGGACCAAATTCACAAAGCGCATCTTCTCCAATGGTTCTATAACTGAATTCATGACAAAGACAACTCTGGTGACTTTGACAAATCTACAAAGGACTGTTGACAAAGTGAAAAAACATATAGATTGGAAGTCTATCAGGTCATTGTTATAATAGAATTACGATCGAATTGATGAGGTAAGATTTGCTTTTAATTATACTATTTTGAATGAAGTTATGCTCAATATTTTCTTTGGATATCATAGATTATAGTTGGAAATGAATTTTGGAATTATTATATGCTCTTTTTATTCGTCCACTCTCGTTAAACACCAACATATCAAGAATATCAATCATCAAAAGTTGAACCAGTTGTCTAGAAAAAATGCTGTTGATCATGCTAGTATGACTCTGTGGATGGAATATTTGAACAACAGGAATTATATTACCCTGCACGTTGTATATACTCATAACGGCAAAAAAAGTAAGTCTTTTATAGAAAATAAATTAATAAAGAGGTCAATTGTATTTATATTTCATTATTATACCTACTTGAAGAATTCATGGATTGGTGTATTGATTCTACTCGTCAAGCTTGCAAGTCTATGGTGAAATTGAATGAATATTTGTTATCTGTATACTGTTGTTTTCCGCTCTCCTGTAATCAACAAACGTGTCCATATTGCTTTTATGGTTACATCTAATGAAATAGTACCTGATATGGTTAGAGTAGATCAAGGCCAACAATAATTTGAATGTACAGCGTGTGATGATTGTATCAGGTCTTCGATCTATCTTCAATGATGGTGTAATTATTTTATTGTGTCACTGGCACATCAAACGTGCATGAGAAAAGAATTTGACATCGAGGGTAAAATGAATTATAAAAAATAATTCATCGTTCTATTATTGTATGTATAACTTACTGTTTTATCTTTATTATATAGACCAAAGGTGATGACAAGTACGAAACTCTACAGTTATTGGATGCAACTCGTATTAAGTTGAATGATATGATGCATGCAGTTTCAAGTGAAATATTTGATCTTTTCCAATCGAGATATAAAACTGATTTCTCTGAATTTTATACATATTTCAAGACTTATTATTGGTACAGCAATGGCAAGATGAAACTATGACCCAAAGCTTTTTGATCTGTAAGTAATCATCTATATTATAGGGTATAGTGTTTACTAATAATTCTTCTTTATTATAGAATGCTGTATTCCACACCAACAAGTTTACGATAATACTAGCAACTAAGTCAATTCAATTGACTCAACCTGGATGGCCGTATCTGGATATTGATAAGAAGAAACTGTTAAACGAAAGAATACGTCAGTTTTAGGAATGTTATTGATGATATCGCTCTCCCCAATCATCACACATCTGGATAATCATGATGATTATTGGTATTTTGTTAGTTTTTTTTTTTTTATTATTGTTGTTGTATATATTCTTCTTTTTTTTTCTTTACAATACTTTATTTGATATAAATAAAGTATAATCATCAATATATTATTTCTACTCTTCATTATTCGTTTGTATTATTGGTAAAAAAAAAAAGTTTTTTTTTTTTATTATATACGCTATATTTATTGTACAAAAATATTCAAGCTAATGTGTGATTCCAGTGTATACCAAATAAAGAGCATATAAGAAAGAATAAATATATCGTCCATGGGCGCACAATAGTTACGTATAGCAATGAATCATAGACTTGATTATTGACTGAATGAAGTTCATATTCATGATAATGAACTAATGACGGATGATGAGATCCAGGTTATTTAGATAGTATTGTTATTTATTTTTTAACGTACTTACGATATCATTATCATATTTGAGTCAAATAAAATAAATAAATCCATGGAAGAACATCTAAAATGTCAAAAATGAAATATGCGGAACCTACTCCAATGTCAGCAGACAAGACAATGTTTTCTTTTTTCTTTTTTTTTTTTTGTTTACTCACGTGTGTTTCGAATGTTAATACGATCATCCGTAAAACTCCATTGAGGAAATCTAAATATTAAAAATGAATTATAGTTTTTTCGTTTTTCTACTCGAATGTTGGTACAATAACGCTTAAACAATATATGAATCAAGCTACGATCGAGATCATAAATCATACAAAAATCATACACCATCATATCATATTTAAACAAAATATAAGAAATCGAACATCATGCATTTCATTTCTAGATTTATCATAATGCATCAAAAAAGAAAGACTATCTTAGAAACCTCTTTTTTTCGTAAACAATCAACCGTTATCTTGTATATATTGGACTCTTTGTCATAAGAGTGGAGTAACCTAATTTAGAAATTTCATCTCCGCCTTATGTCTGTGCTCTTTTTTCTGATGCATTTTTTTTTGTCTTTCTTTCTTTTCCTTTTCCTGTTTTTTTCCTGCCTTTTTTTCCACTTTCTTTTTCATTTTTTTTTTTTTTTTTTTTGCTTACGTATGTTCCTTTTTTTTTACACATTATTACAATTCTCTATACTCTATTATATCTTTTTTATTCTTTTATTATCGTTTAGAACACATCTATTTTCTTTTTCCTTGATTTACTTATTATGGGAAGATTAAACCCAAACCGTTTTGATCAATCAACATATCGGAGAGCTGAACTTCACACTCAAGATCAAAGAAGAAAAGGGTCTCAAGCAACACCTCTGGATAAAGCAGAATGTATCAGATGTATGAAACTGACCTTTCCCATTCGACTAGCCAATACAATCAGGACCATGCAGAACAAGACGAAAGGAAAGAAAAAGCAGCCAGGAAAAGAACAATTCAAGGCGGATCTTTTGAAGCAAGAACAAAGCAAGAAAGGAAAGAAGCTGGGACTGAGAGATCTCTACAAGGACACTGCCAATAAATACAACGATGGTAAATATTTAATACAGAGGTCATATGACTTAACTAACTTTCCTTTTTTTTTTTTGTTTTTTTTACCGTTTATTATTATTATAACCATTATGATAGAACATCCACAACAGCGTGCCGTTACCACCTCTAACATCAGACAGTGTGTTGACACCGAAGCTATTGACTTCTTTGCCCTCTGGTTCACATTCTTGGACGACAATATTGATCATGCTCTGGATGAACATTTTGCATCAATTACTGAAGGTGACGATGATGATGACAGCTCTCAATTCAACTACACAACACCCAGTATAAAAGTGATATCAAGGCCATTGACAGAAATATTGAGAACCGATTTGACAGTGGACGAAAAAAAAGTATTCATGAACACTATTGATCGTTGCCGGGAAGTTGTTTCTGACAAAATGATGGATCTCTCAACAATTTTGGCATTGGACTTAACTAGAAGAGCTACGTAAGTTAAACCATTTTATATATTCAATTGAAAAGAGATTTATTGATCTATTCTCTATGATAGTGGACCTCCTGTTGACATCATGGGAATTATACCTGAAAAAGTGCAACGAAACACTATGGATAGTCCTTTGACAGTGGCTCCACCTTCAAATGATCTGAAAAACAAGATGCTTAAAAATGACTCCATCGATGGTCGAAAATATTCGGATCTCTACTCCAGCAATCACTTACAGCAGATGCTCACTTCAATCACATCCAGTACATCCAGTACATCCGCTCAACAATCGACATCAACAGCTCCTTCTGAACCTTCGTCTTCCTCGTCCGTTCCAGTGCCCTCCTCACAAACCCAACGTTCTGGTTTCTTTGATTTCAACCGTGATGATATGAAAGATGCCACAATTACCCCATCACCTCCTGGAATGGGCTCAATCATGAGTACATACGTCACCCAGTACGCCACCAACCTCAAAATCATGTATGAAGGCAAGTTGACCGATTACATTTTGGGAAAAGCTCTCTATGTCCTTTTACGATGCCACCTCTCACCAAATAAAGAAGAAGAAGGCAGCACCAAGTACAAAAAGGAAACAACAAAGGAAACGACAAAGGAAACGAAAGCTGAATCAAAAAAGCCAAGGTAAAAACAAAAAGAGAAATTAGTTTATGATGATGATTAGCGACTTGTATCATTATTAACTTTTTTTTTTTTTAGCAAACCAAAGTCATCAACTTACGCCTTGTTGTGTCGTCGAAGAAGAGACCAAAATCGTATCCATCGCATTCAAAAGCATGATCATATTCTGAATCCTGAAGCTCTGGAAAGGAAAAAGCGTCATTTAAAAGAATTGGAACAAGTGATTGAATTAAGGAAGACTACTATTACTACTACTGCTACTACTGCTACTACAACTGTACCTACTGGCTCCACCACAACATCTTCTGTTTCCCAAGAAGGCACTGATACCGGTATTGATCCAACACTCTTGTCCAATGAGCCATCCGCGAAACGTTTACAGAAATTAGCAAGACTATTGAAGGCCCTCCTACTGAAGAATTCCCTCCCTGAAGATGCTGATGCCGAACTTCTTCAATCTCATGTCAAATACATCCAACTCAAGGAAATAGAAGTTCCCATTATCCTCAAGTTATATCATTTTTTTCTACCTTTCGTTTTACCTCGTTCATATAACAAAAGCGTGGACCAACATCCGATCTTCCAGTACCCTCTCATCTTGCTGTGTAATTCAATTCTTTATATCACCGATTATCGCAAATTTCAACGGTTACCGATACCAACGAAAAATCCGTCGACACTGGCAGCAATCTTCTTAGATGCAAGATCTCTTTACAATCTGTTTTGCTTGTTAAAATTTAGACAAGGTGGACAACGGATCAAGGCTGGCGAAACTGCTCCTCTGAACTCACTTGGATTCGACGTATTCTTTCATGGTAATGTGATTACTAGTGAAGCAAAAGCTGTGGAACAACGAAAATCTATGTTTGGTGCCTTCTTCAACCTACCATTTATTGAAGAACTTTGTCGAAAGGTATCTGGATATTCCTTTGATTACCGCCTGATCGTTACAACATTTGGTGTGGTACGAATTCAGATAAAAAAGAACATGGCTCTCACTACAACAGCAACAACATCAACATTAACATCGTCGGTAGCAACATCATCTACAGCAACAACATCAGTAGCAGCAACAACTGGTAAAATCGACAGAAAAGGGAAACGAAAGCAACAAGTGGTGATAACAACGGATACAAGCAAGAGACGAAAAACTCAATCCTCTTCTGGTGATGACAAGATGTTGAAGGTCGATGAACAATTATCCAAGTTGAAAGACAATATGAAAGAACCAACAATGGAGCTGGCACAAGTGAATGCAGAAATTTCCAAGATCACCAATACTTTGAACAGCATGGCGGCATCATTTGGATCAGGCAATATTGGCGGATCGACAAAGCAACAACGACAAAAGCGATATAAAAGAAAGAAGCTGGCCCAGGTCGATATATCATCTTTGGTTTCATCATCAACCAGCAAAAACGATTTGATAAAGAATAGATCTCAAATGAAGGCGCGACGTGACAAATTGATATCCCAGCTCTTACAAATAGAGAACAGTCGAAGTCAATTGAAAGACGAAAAGAAGGAAGCATTTGAAGAAGCTTACGTTGAAGATAATGATACAATCATCGCTAATACTTCACCAGTGTTTCAAGCAACCACTTCAGATCAACTTTTAGTAGGCTGTGATCCTGGTCTTTCAACGATGTTACAAACGACTTATGCTGATAAACAAAAAGTATCCTTCCATTTGTCCCTTGACAACCGTTTCCAACCTCTCGAACAATTCTCTCAGGAAATGGATCTTGACGACGACCACAGCATCAGGATAATGATGAAGTTACCGACTTTTCCCATCAGCAGCAAGGATATCGATAATAAGACGATGTCAAAAAGGTCTCGAACAAAGATGAATAATAAGAAGGTAAGAGAAGATATAGCAGAAAATAAATCCAAAGACGTTTCATAATTATTATTTTTTATTTGATATCATAGGCAAACGATGATACTATTATGCAAACTGAAGCTGATCTGGCTAATTTTGCAGTTAACGTGGCATTATCATACAACAAAGAGGCAATTATCAACAAACACAAGGTAAGAAAGAACTAAAGTGTCATTAAGTTCATACGAGTAATCCTCTTTTTTTTTTTTTTTTTTTTTTTTTAATCGTAGAAACAACGGGAAAATGCCAACAAGCTTCGTTCATTTTATCAAGGAAAATGGTGCAAACAACAACGACGATCGCAACCAAGAATGAAGCAACGAGGTCTAAACCATGTTATGAAGTACCATCGGGATAGGATACAATATCATCACTCCGCGGCTACTTCTACCATCAACAGCAATGTCGATCTCAAGTTTTTCTATGGCGCTGCCGGTCGTGGAACAGGTTCAAGAATCAAAGGCTTCCTGCGACGTAGTCAACTAGATGTCATCGCCACTATTGAACAGCAATCAAAGGTATTCATCACCGACGAATATCGAACCACGAAGCTGTGCTGTCTTTGTCATCACGTTGTCAACCATCCTCGCAAACAATCTGGCAAGCTTAATCTTGGGACAGTCATATGTGTGAATCCTGAATGCATTGGTAAGAAGTTTGGGTGTATTGCAAGATCACGGGATGCCAATGCATCAATGAACATGATTATGTCTGGACTACAACAAGAGTTATATGGTTCTGTGCCGTCCCCGTTCCTCCGCTCCTCTTCCTCCTCCTAAATATGAATGAACAACTGGATCTTGGGCTACCTCTTCTGGAACAATATTTTGTGATTATACGACAATTCCTCTTTTTGTAACATATCCCATCCTGGAATGGTTGAGGGTATGTTCACTGTGCCTTGTGCCAGTTGGAAATTTTTAATTGTAAGTACATTTTCATATATCTTATAGTGATCACTCACCACTTCTTTTTTTAAACGCCGTTTCTTTTTTTGGGGGGTTTTTGGGTGGAAACAACTTAGTCCAAATCCAGATGGCATAATAACTTGAATATCATCACCACCATCATCGTCACCATCATCATCATCATCATCATCATCATCATCATCATCAAAAAAAAAAAAAAAAAAAAAAAAAAAAAAAAAAAAAAAAAAAAAACTACCAGCTCTTATCCACTTGTGACCCCATCCAATACCCAAGAATCCTTTTTTTATATACATCACATAGTATATTTTTTTTAGATCACTACCTGCTAGAAATAGTTCTATCCCCGGTTTAGCCCCTTAGAATAGTGAAAGTTCTCAGTGCTATATAAAACCAATAAAATATTTTCTTTAATCCTCATCATCATCATCATCATCATATTGTATATAGTTCATCTTTTTAATGTTTTATATTTTTACTCTTGTCTCTAAGACTTACTTTTTAACTACTGTAAAAATGTTTTATGCATGGGAGCATATACCATATATGGTAACGCGGGAACTCTTTACATCGTGATTGGATAGGATCTTTTTTTTTTTTTTTTTTTTTTTTGCCCTCTCTTTCCCTTTCTTTCATTTGTTATATTTCATCATTCTTTATTTTATTCAATATTGTTTCCAAGGGTTACATGTTCCACCTGAATGGAATCATATCAGGATATAATATAAAATATCACTCTTCCGGTTTTCGTCTTCACAGTAAGTATACTACTGTATTTTTTTCATTGCATATGAAAGCACTGACTCTTTTTTTTTTTTAAAATCAAGAAACAAGCTGGCTACAAGATTCCGTCCGATTGACTATGGATGCCACAATGGAAGTGCCCTTTGGCTGATGATGATTCAATATTAGTAGATTATGTATATATTTAAACTTATGTTTATAAAATACTTATAATCAATCAATTCATCCTTTGCATATGGAAATAAAAGATACCTTTTTTTTTTTTTTTGTCAATTTACTAATTGAAATATGGGTTTTTATGAAGTTTATTTTGTGATATGTTACTGGATATGATAGATAAAATAAATAATACTCTGTGGCATTTGAATGAAACCTATGATGATCTTTGGTGGGTGATGATCATCATCGTCGAATAAAAAAAAAAAAAAAAAATGAGGCAAAGCCAAATTACCAAGCCATAAATGTTAATAAATAATCATTGTTTACCATCTTATAACTACCGAGTATTACTATTGATCATTATCGATATTGTAGAAGTCACTATCACATATGATCACCATTCAATCAAACAGTGTCATTTTTTGAAACAAGTATAAACTTCTAGCTCTAGGTCTAGCAAATAATCAAAAACTTTGAACATTGAAATAAAAAAAAAAAGTAATAATAAAAGGATTGTTTATTGATACAATATGTAAGATTTATATATAAATAAATACAAGGTAACTAAAAAAAAGTGAGGAAGAGGAAGAGTAGGGAATGTAAACAAAAAAATATAATATATTGTCAATAATATAAAAAAAAAGAGAGAAAAGAGGATATAACTAAACATGACGAGGTTTGACAGTATTTTCAATAACAAGATGATCACCAGTTGTATAGAGATTACTAATAGCAGCTTGTCGTTTAACTACAGCCAAGTCGTGTTCACCTTTTTTTAATAGTTGATTAATGATGGCAGGATCGGATTCGTTTTGGTGAGCACGAAAAGCATCTTTTGAACGTCGAATGGCATAAGCTCTAAAGTTGTAAGAAGAGAATTTGTTACCATGTCGTAAGAGGTCACGATATAAAGATAAGACTTGTGTACGAGTATTGGCCATAATAATGTATATATAAAAAGAAGAAGAAAAGAAAAGTGGAGAAGGGAAAAATAACAAAACCGGATAAAATTATTTGAGTCAGAGTGGCGTTCTCAATAAATTCAATAACAGCATCCAATAAGAAATTGAATTTGACAAGAAAGCCGAAGAAAAGGGATACCATATGGATTTTTAATATAAAAAAAAAAGAAAAGGTTTATTATATAAAAACAGACATGATTTCAAAAATAGAAATAAAAGGGAGTATTTTATATAAGAAGGGGGGTCAGTATAAAAAAATGTGTCTTTTTAAAATAAAAAAGCACGAGTATATATATATATATTGGTTAGGGTTTTGGGCAACTCTTTAGTTTTGTCTTCATCGCCGTTTCAATTCAACTTATAGTGTAAAACCCATCGAATAACAATCATAGAAGAAAAAAGTTTTTTTTTTTTCTTTTTCTAAAAAAAGAAGCTCTGAATTTTTTTTTCTTTTTTTTCTTTTTCTTTTCTTTTTATTTTATTTCTTTTTTTTTTTTATTTGTATATAATAATGATAGAAACTATATTTGATATTGAACAACCTCTTCCAAAGAATTCAATTGTTACTTATGATCTACAACCTTCACACCAATTTGTTAACATTCGTACTATATTGGCTTCAAGGAAAAGGAATTCTTCTTCTTCACCCACTCCTTCTAAAGACAATAAAAAGATCAAAAAGAACAAAAAGAATAAAAATTTGGTCTATGATGATATGATTAGTGGTTTACCTTCTCCTCCTGTTGAAAGTCCTATGGCCGACTTTCCTTCTATGACTTCTACTTCTACTGACAATACTCCTCCTCTTACACCAAACACAACTTTTACTATGGATTCTTCTTCACCTCTTGATCAAAACAAGTCAAACTTATCAACTGAAGATATCTTGGCAAAACTGGCAGCTTTACGTGAAGAAAAACATAATCTTTTCCAACTCATGAAGCGATTAGTAGAAGAAGAAGAACAACAACAACGACAAAAACAACAGTCTATAGATCTACAAAAAGATATAGAACAACAACAACAACAACAACAGGAGCAAAAAAAGAGGAAACCAAGTCGCTGGTCATCTTCTAATCCTAGTTCTCTGGAACAACAATCAACTTTTATATCATTACCACAACAACAACAACAACAACAACAACAACGATTTAGAAACAACATGGAAAATAATACACCAAGACCTTTTAGTTCAAGATCCTTCAATCCGCCGGCACGGTCTCATTCATACTTTGGTCAACGGTCTAGTATTCATCGTTCTCACCAACCACCTTACTTGTATTAAAATCTCTCTGTACCCCTTTCTCTTCTCCCATTTTTCCCTCTAGTCAATAGTGAATCACTTTTACAAATATTTTTTTTTATTCTCTTTTTTTTTCAACATAGTTTTCCCTTTGTTATTTAGTCTTCGTTTTTAGTTTTCCCCACTCCCATTGTGTATATGTATATAAATAAAGAATTGTACTATTTTCTCTCTCTCTTTTTTTTTTTTCACTCCTTCCTTTTTTTGGTTTTTTTTGCCTGTTACTCCTTCTTCTGTCTTTCATCCTCCTTATTTAGTTCTCCTCCTATCTTTGGAAAGTGAGTGATCTAGCCCTCCACTGTTAGGACTTTTCGAAATCAAGTGATGATGAACAAAGAATTTCAAACTAGTTTAGTAAACAAAGAGATTTATAAAATGATGATGATTCATATCATGCTAGTAGATTGATATGACTCTTTTGGACATTGATCACTATGATGACAATGGTAATGATCAACATGATCATCATAGCGAATAATGAGGATGGTTTTCTCATGATGATTCTTTTGGATTTCTTTTTTTTTTTTGCTTCCAAATATTCTATTTTTATAGTTTTTAAATGTCATCATCATCATCATATAGTTTGCTGCTTCCTTTTAAGACAATCAACATTTATAGCTCATCCTTGTTGGCAGCAACAATACTATCATTTCACAATTGACTCATAAAATGAATCACCTATGCACACACACTAACCCATAAAACGAATCATACAGAAGAAACCAATCATCTAGACAAATTTCTGGCGGAAGTTCCAGCGAGAGAATTCAAAAGTATATGTTCAGACTAAAATGAAGAAAAACAAAGGAAAGGTGATCTCATATTTTGTCCTATTTTAGGAATATTTATTTGGTAAAGAAAAGAGTGTCTTTTTATTTGATGATGATGAAAAAGAATGATGAGATAATGATACTTTAAAACTAATGAATGTAAAAATGATACTAATGTTACAATGCAAAAGATGTATAAATATAAGATGAATGATGTCTATACTAGTGCAGGTTGTCTAAAAAAAAAAAAGTGGGGGGATGATAAAACAGAATAAAATGAATTGATTTTCAAACCATAAAAAATATATTACATTAGGCTGATGAGATGTCATGATTTTTTTTTCTTGCCAACCAACAATGGAAACGAGAGAAACTTTTGTATTCTTCAAACTCCAAAAGAAGAGCTTGTACGGCAGCATCATAATCTTCAGATGTCATGGACCAAGCAGAAGAGTAGTAAGATTTCTTGTTTCGGTAGGTAGCCTTTTGTACGTCCTGATTGATAAATCCTAGTTGTTTGCCATGAATTTCATCGTGCCATTCACCAATCGGAATATCCCATGTCATATGATGTAGCAATTCCAAGTCAAAATCGTTTTCTATCCTTTGATCAAAAGTCGAGGTATAATAAAAATCCATTCCTTTGGCATGCCATTCTTGTTGAACGAATTCATCAAAAGCTTGTTGAATAGGACCTGGTCGATGATGCATCACATCACATTCTACCCATTCAATATAACCTCCCGGTTTCAATACACGTCGACTTTCCGAAATAATATGATTCCATTGTTCTGTTGTCACTGTTGGTCCCATGGAACGTTGAAAGATTCTAAAAAAAAAAAAAAAAAAAAAATAAATAAATAAAAAAAAAAAGGTCCATTAGGAAATAATTCTATATGTTTTACTTACAAGTCAATAGAATCAGAAGCAAGATCCCATGGTTGATGGATATCGGTTTGGATATATTCAAGATTACTTGGTTGACCAGGTTGTTCAGATACAGATCGAAGTCCCATACCAATCACTCGAGTAGATGGGAGTTGAATAGCCATTTCATAAGCCCAGATACCATTTCCAGTACCAACATCCAAAATTGTTTCGGGTATCATCGTCATTTTATCCAAAGCACAACAGTTTGTATTTCGAGCATTTTTCAAAAGATAGTGCTACATAAAATAAGTAAAAAAAAAAAAAAAAAGGTATAAGAATGGGAAAACGGGAATAAAAATAATAAAAAAAAAAAAGGACGGCGGACTTGAAGTCTCTTCCACCTTTTTTTTTTAAGGCTAAGGATGGGAAAAATTGAGGTTGAACAAAGAAAAAAAAATTTTCATTGTTACCGGACAATGAATCATCCCCATTTATATTATTGTTTTGTTTGTTTACCTGACGTTGTAATCGATCCAATTCACGTAAATCTTCTGGTGATTTGACTGAACTTGGTTTCCGTCTTTTGATATAATGATTGTTTGTTACTACACCTGATGCTGAAGGTCGACGATCTGGTCTATAATTAATAGTAGTAGGTGGAGTTCTATGACTAATAGTACTACGACGTCTTGTTTGCTGTTTAGGTCGATTGCGTTTGGTTTTTTCAATGATACGACTAGATTGATTTCCCATTTGAATATGTAGTTTTTTTTTTTATAAGAGAAATCAAAACCAAAAAGGAAAGGAAGGAGTGATGAAGAAATAAAAAGAAAGAAAGAAAGAAAGAAAGAAAGAAAGAAAGAAAGAAAGAAAGAAAAAAAAAAGAACTTTATTTTCCCTTTTTTTTTTTTTTTTTTTTTTTTTTTTTTGTCAATGGCTGGGAAATATGCTTATGATGGATTCTTCGGAACGGCCAGCTATCCGAATGAGCTTCCGATCTTTTTTTTTTTCATGGTACCATTCTGGTGGCTCATTCACTGATTCCCCATTTCTCCATCGGCACTGGACTTGTTTTGGACTAATATATAAAAAAAAATTATTTATTCCGCATTTTCATAGTTACGCAAAGAGAGGATGCTACCAAACCGGGTAACTGTATACTGAGCTTAAACCATCTCCTTCTCATTTCTTTTTTTTTTTTTTTTTTTTGATGATCACATCAACTTTAGACCACTATTTTTCAACTATTGTAAAACATTACCTACCATAAAACGTCCTTTTTTAATAAAAAAAATTTTTCATAATTCTCCTTTTTTTTTCATAAATATCACAATATAATTGAATGATCGACAATTGAATAATAATGGTTAAAGCAGGGATCAATTATCATTATGATCTACCATTCCACAGATGATCATCAAGATAAATAGTATGCATAGATCATCATCATTTATTAAAAATAAATCCAGAATAAAGATTTTTCTTATTCTGATCTTCAACATTAAACCTATCAATAGAAATCGTTTGCAAACCATCTAAGAATCATTAAAACCATTTGATAAAATAATCTTTTTATTTTTATTTTTAAAAAAGTAATAAAATAAAAAAAAATACTCTAGCAGATAGCCAAAGTATTAAATATCTACAAATGAAACCCTATTCCAAATAACTAACTAATTAACTAATTAAAATGATGTTCTATTCTAATGTCTTGCATGTTTTGCCTTGGCCATGGCTAGAAGTTCCGGATATTCACCACTCTTTTCACACATTTGTTTGAAGACACTGTTTTCACGAGTCATCAAGGTATAAGGATCATCGAATTCCAATAATTTGCCGCCTGGTCCAAGCACCAACACCCGATCATAATCTGCCACCGTCAATAAACGATGAGCAATGCATAATAGAGTCGATTGTCCAAATTCAGAACGAATGATCTTTTGAATCTTCTGATCAGTATCAAAATCAACAGAAGATGTTGCTTCATCTAATACAATCAATGATGATTTCTTCACCAAAGCACGTGCAAGTGCAATCAGCTGACGTTGACCTTGAGACCAATTCGATCCATTTTCTAGAACCACTGCATCCAAACTGATCACATTGTCGTTTCCGTTTTTCTTGTTATTACACGAATTGCTGCTATCTGATTGATGTTTCTGATCATCTTCATCTACCAAATGAGACATTTTGAGAGCTGTCCATAGTTCGGCATCATCATGCAAGTTGAAAGGATCCAAGTTTGTTCTATATAAATATACGCATATATGAGAAGTTGACAGGAAAAAAAAAAAGAAGAGAAAAAAAAAGTCGAGTTAATATAATTCTTTTTTTTTTTTTTTTTTTTTTTTGGAAATCAAACAAGACTATTTACCTAAGTGTTCCTTCAAAAAGGACAGGATCTTGAGGAATAATAGTCAATCGAGATCTTAAATCTTCCAAATCTAAAGTCGATATATCCACACCATCAATCAAAATGCGTCCACTAGTGGCTTCCATGAATCGAAACAATGATACCGCCAAAGTACTCTTGCCACATCCAGATCGTCCAACAATACCAATCTTTTCGCGAGGTTTTGTTTCAAAAGACAAGTTATCCAGAACCACAGGAGTATCAGGAGAATATTGCATCACTAAATTTTCAACTTTTACATGTCCAGCTTCTGGCCAATTTGGACGAGGAGCAACTGGATGTATCAAAGAAGTGGAGGTTTCTTGATCAATCTTCAAATATTCCTCAATACGTTCAATGGAAACACTAGGAAAACCAAAAAAAAAAAAAAAAAAATGAGCTTCCTTTCCATCCAAATATGATCTTTTTTTTTATTTTTTTTTTAATTACCAATTCATTTCATTCATAGCATAACATCGAACAATCCATAGAATATGATGTGTAAAGGTAAGAGCATAACTAAGTGATAGACCAGCTAAACCAGGATCTACCCACGATCTTGACAGAACCAATACAATGCCAGTACAGAAACCCACAAAAGCACCTAAAACATCCACACGACAATGTAACCATCGATTCGTAGCCCACATCCAAATAAAAGGTCGATTATTGCTATCCACCTTTTTGCTGTTTTCTTCAATAAATCGAGTTTCCGATCCAAAAGCTCTGATGGTGGCCACACCATTGATACTTTCATTGAATTGAACATAGATAGGACTTCGACTGACAGAATTAAGCCGTTTCATATCACGAGATGACCGAAGATAATAGTTGCCAATACGCCAAAAGAGGATGGCTACAAATATACCAGGAATGATAAAAGTAGGAGTGATACTTGTAATCAGAATAACAATATAAGCTGTGGCAATCATACTATATAAAAGAAAGGATAAGGATGGTGCAACGGATTGATCCACAGTTTCCAAATCTGAAGAGAAGCGGTTGACAATACGGCCCAATGGTGTTGTATCGAAAAATCGAACTTTTGCTGACAAGATACGATCCAGTAATTCCATATGAAGACGTCGAGAAGCACGAAGAGAACCAGTGAACAATACAAGAGATCGTAGTGTAGTCATTAGCAAAGCGAGCATACCAATCAAAAAGTAAATGGTGAGATAGTATGTAACATTGACAGAGCTAGGTTTCAGGAAAGCTTGTCCACCCAATAAACTCATTAGACTAACAAGTTGAGATTCACCAGTACCATAAGCTGCTGACCATACTTTGATCCAATAATCTTGTCCAACCACAGAGCCTTGTGCAAAGGAGAAGAGAAGTAAAACCAAAATCCAGAACAAATAGCCACCAGATGCTTTGATATATGCCTTATAAACTGAAAGTTTCACACCACCTTCAGCACGTTCTTCATCCTTCGTTAATTTTCCAGTTCCATCCTGTTGATTTGCTGTATTTGTGAGATTGAGAGGGACAGCAGGGATAGGTCCTTCTTCGGCTTCGGCTTCATTTCCAGCTTCAATATCTTGTAATAAATTGAATTCATCCCCTAAAGCACCCGAGTTCATCACCTCAGCAGGACTTCCAGAAGCATTTACTTGACCATCTTGCATAGAAACAACATAAGAAGCAGCCCTGATACATAAACCGACGTGATGTGTTACTAGAATAACTGTGCGATGTTTCATGTATTCACCAGTCAAACAATGTTCATAGATATGTTTGGCAGTATGGGCGTCCACAGCACTAAGACAATCATCAAGGATGACGATATCCGCTTGAGAATAGACAGCACGAGCAATAGCCACTCTGTCAAAAAAAAAGAAGAAAATAAGTAAAAAAAAAAATAAAATAAAATAAAATAAAAAAATAAAAAAATAAAAAAAGTCAATCCAGTATTTATTACCTTTGCTTTTGTCCTCCAGAAAGACTGATCCCTTTTTCACCTACTTCAGTAGAATCACCATATTCCAGACTATCCAAATCCTTTGTCAATGCTGTCATATAAATCACCTTATTGTATCGTTCAGCATCATAGGGAAGACCAAACAAGATATTATCCTTAATACTCATATTCTGTAACCAAGCAGTTTGTGCCACATATGCAATTCCAGAAGCAGCACCACCAATGATATGATGACGAGAGCGAGGTTTTCGAGGTAGGATGGCAGCACCAGAAAGACAATAAGTTTCACCAAGCAAGCTAGCAACAAGAGCAGTTTTTCCAGATCCAGTGGCACCACAAATAAGAGAGAGTTTGTTCAGAGGGAAAGACAGATTGATATTTTGAAGAACGGCAACGGAGGAGATATCTTCACCAGGTAAAGGTTTTTCCCAACCAAAACTTGCATTGTTCACAAAACCAATATTCACAGTTGGGTGGAGAGTTGTAGTTGCTTCACTGACTTCTTCTTCTTGCAAAAAGTTTTCAATACGTCGTAGAGAGACATTACCTTGGAGAACAAAGGAAGTGATCGCAGGTAGTTCATCAAAAATTCCTTTGAAAGTGTTGAATAAGGCTAAAGCCGTGAATGCAGTAGAAGCTGTGAGGATAAATGTTTTGGTGTAAACATAGAAGACAGTGAGCATAATCAACACTGGAATCAAAAAGTAAGCATTGCCCATCCACATGAACATAAAAAGTCGAGATCGAATAGCCTTGAGTTCCACATCCCGAGCAGCCACAATACGTTGTCTGAATTCTTTTTCCCAAGCAAAAAATTTGACAATACGAATAGCATTCAACAGTTCATTCATCAATTTGATCCGTTTGTCAGTGCATCCCATCACCTTTTGATGAACTTGTTGGAATCGTCTACTGAGATAATAGGTAACCGGTTGTGAGAGGATCATGACGAATACACCATACAAAGAGGAGACACCCAAAAGTTTATACAAACTCCAAACACATACAGTAACTTGAATAGGGAAACAATAAAAGTAAAAGATCTATCAAAAAAAAAAAAACAACAACAATAAAATCAAATATTAGATACATTAGGCAGTAATATATATATATATATTTATATAGATATATTTGCATACATAAGCGGTTACTTCACCAAGTTTTTGAGCGTCCACAGATAATAAATTATTGACGTTTCCCTTGTTTTTCCCTTTTGCTAATAATTCAGCATCGGTAGCGAAAGAAGAAGAAGCCTTTCCAGAAATATCACGACGACGTAAAGATTTACTATAGACTTCACCAATAACAATAGATTGAATACGAATACCTAAGGTACGACCAATATAAAGAGCTTGCTGATAAGCCAAAGACTGAGCAGAAGAAGTGATGAATAGACCCAAAACATATAAAAAAGCAGAAAACACAGACACTTGATGTTCAGGATCACTATTTTCAATAAACTTGATAATTTTGTTCAAAAAGAAAGGAGGTCCAAACATAGCAATAGACCAGATCATACTGTAACCAAATTGAGTCAAAAGAGGATCCCTAAAAGTTCGAATAAGAGACCAAGCCATATTCCATTTATAATTCAATCTATAGGAAGCCAAAGCATGCTTGGTACGATTTTCAGGTGGTAATTCCAATAGATCATCGTCATTAAGAGTTTGTTTCCAACCTTTTTTCATCATTGCGTCCACCCAACTAAACATAAATTTGGAATAAATCGATGCCCATTTTTCACCAGACATAATTCTACCCTATATAGCCATAATTACCTTAATCAGTATACCAGAAAATTCCGCCTTTTTTTTTTCTGTCATTTTTTTTTTCATTCGTTACCGAGTCCGCAATCATTGGTGGAACAGGAGTGATAGAAGGTTTTTCATTGATGAAGCCAATCAGTAAAATCAGACCCAGTCCCAAACTAGTAGCGGAAAAAACATAACCCGTTGAAGCACCAATATCAATATCATGCGCCAAATAGAATGATCTTGAATCCAATAGACGAAGAGAAAGGTCAATAGTATATAACACATTTAAATGATACATCATTTTATCCATAAATACATTATCTCCATAAAACCGGGTATACAGGACAAGGACGGAACAGTAGGCCTAAATACAGGTTTGTCAGAAAATAAAAGAAAAGGATCAAAAAAAAAAAAATAGTTTAGTTTTATAATACTTTTTTTTCAGAGAGTGTTCCTTTTTTTAAGATTTACCCAAAACATGAGACGAATACCATAGTTCAAGAAGAGTACATTGGAATCTGTGCCTTCTACCATAATGTCTAAGGAATAAGAACCGTTTTTAAGCCAGGTCAAAGCAACAAGACAACACAACCATTGAGCCAATGATAAAACGATTCTGATCCAAGTATACAAAGTCCAGTTACTAGAGATCTCCAAAGATTCTTTTGCAATTTCTGATTGATCAATAGTTGAGGAGGATTGAGAAGAAGAGGATGAGCTCGCTGGTTGTCGTTCATTGTCGTCCACCTTGTTAGTTGTACCATACGAAGTTAAAAATTGACCAGAAGCGTTGAGAGGAGTATATCCATGACACTGTCTATGTTGTCGTCTAATGATGGTAATGACTAGTACAGCGAAGGAAGTAAGTAAAGTAGCAATGGGTAAAAATCCATTCAAGATTCTAACAGAATAATAAAAATAAAAAAAAAAAAAATAAGAAAAACTATTTGTTACACAATCTGCGTTTTTTTGTGTATATTTTCTAATTAGAACTTACGTTTGATGAAAACAGGGTATAAAGTCATCATCTATCCAGGGATGCTAGAAGATTTTAGTTAGTATATATAAACATGTGATCCAATTCAATGATGATCAGCTTACTCTGTAACTACAATGAATACTCATCGTAGGTCTAAAAAAAAAAAAGATTGAAGAAAGAAAAGAAAGAAAAAAAAATAAAATGAGAAATTTAACAACTGAAGAGAATCAAGAAGTAGCGGAGTAAAAAAAAAAAAACGGGAGAGAGAGATTAAGTTTCTTTCATAAAGGTATCCGAGCCATCGGTCACCTTTATTGATAATAATCTTTTTTTTTATTATTATTGTTGTTGATAAAATAAGATGAGAAATATAAAAACTATGCAAAAAAGAAGTTTCTTGTAATATGATAATAACAAAGAGAAAGAATATAATTAAAAATTTCTATTCATCTTTTCCTTCTATAACCGATTTCTTGGGAGAGATCACAAAACGCCATAAAGGGAACAGAACAAGTAAGAATGATAAAACAATGCACCAAGCAATCTTGATAAACATTGGAGCTGGTTCTCTGAACTCATTCTCCGAAAACTTTAGACAAATGAGAGATTCAGTCATAACGTTGCATATAAAGAGCCAAGCATGTACACCAAGACGTTCCGTATTACTATTGATATATTAAAAAAAAAAAAAGAAATCATTTAATCATCATCTACATGTCATATGATATCTTTTTTTTTTCTTTCTTACCTATCCGAGATATATTGATATACATCACGAGCACCAGGTAATGCAAACAAAAAAGCCAAGATCAATCGATATGTATTCAAAGGATGTTCAGGAGGAACCCATAATAATGCTTTTAAATAAAAACAATTCAATTCACATTGTAAAAACTATTTTTTTTAAAAAAAAAGATAAAATATAAAGTTTGTTATATTTCTATTGTAAATGAATCATTACGTCTTACCACAATCATTAATCCAATGGTACCAAAATAGTTCTTTGGACTAGATGTTGTCTTCCATTCAAATCGAGTCCAATCCTTTGGTGTAAATTGTTGTACTGCACGCTTTGCCTTTCCACGTAATGATTTGATTTGTTTGAGTCCAACCCATGAATATTCCTAACAATACAAGAAATTGAGTTATACTTCTTATTTTCTAATACATATATATATATATATATTCATTACCTTGACTTCAAGATATTGACATGTCTTCATACCAAAGTAAATACCAGCCCAGTTACATAATAATACATCCAAAATCCACTGTTAAAATGATCATCATTCATCAAGTACGATAAATAATAATAATAATAATAAAAAGATAGAATATAATGAGTATCATACATATACGTATATATGCATCATCTTACATGATCCCACCAACATTCTGCAAAATTATTGAGTTGATGTTCCAACGAATATTCCAATAATTCAAAAGTGACTGATAAAATCCAACAAAGCCAATAATCACGGACAATCAGTGCTTTACCGTACCATCCAAGAGCATGTGCTACTACAAAGATATCAATTTGATCCTAAGAAGAAAAAAAAAAGACCAAATTAGGACAAGTTTGGAAAAATATATAATGTTGACTCTTTCATCCAATCATTTTACCTTGATATTTGACCACGACGTTTCACAATTTTCCGCATACGATCGTTCTGGTAATTCAACACCTAAACCAGGATCAAAATATGTCATAAATTGACGTGCATCTTTTTTGTTCTATAAAATAGATTAATAAAAGAGAAAAATAGAGTATATGTTAATATAAACAAGAATACATTCAAGAGAAGATCAAAAATAATATATGTTACCGTATACAGAGGAGATGTAACATATATATCACATATTACACTTTATATATATATATATATATATCGCACAATATAAAGAACACATGCACTCCTGCCCCTCTCTCTCCCCTGTTCTTTTTTTTTTTCTTACCAGAAACAGCATAAACACCAAAAACAGCTGATATAATACACTGAGACTAAGTACGGCACGCCAAAAAGGAATACTAGGACGAACAAAAGGACCATCACGGAATTGTAACATGCCAATAAAAACGAAACAACAAATAGCTGCCAATATACCAAGTTTTACACTGTTCTCAGTATCTTCATGGTTTGTTCGAATACCAGCATAGAATAGCCAGGCAAGAAGAACCAGTAAGGCGGTCAGGGTATGAGGGTGGACTATAATAATAAATAATAATGTCATAAGTATCGTTCATTTATCATTTCTTTTTCCTTTTTTTTTTTTTCTTATATATACATAGTTCATCGTTGGTGTCGGTATTGCTGATCTGAGGTACCTGCCTTGACGATTTGACCTCCTGTATTGTTGGATCCGTCATACTAATATCTGAAGGGTAAGAAGATAATAATAAGAAGAAGACCTTACTTTTTTTTGTTTTGAAATCAACGTTTTATTTCGTAAAAAAAAAAAAAAAAAAAAAAAAGGAAAAGGAAAAAAAAAAAAAAAGGAAACGAAAAAAAAAAAACTAAGCTATTTCATTCCAAAAAAAAAAAAAAAAAAAAAAATCGTGACTATCAGATTTGCCCTTTTATATCAATCCGACTGAATTTTTTACTTGCTTCCTGTAGTTTTGGTAACGTTGCCTTGGTATCAATGGTATGAGTGCCACGAATTCTAGATATTCCATGTTTATTGAAAAATGATACAAGTTCATTGACGTTGTTAAACAGTAATTCTTGTACAATAAATCCAACAGGAATACCTAATTGATATCTAATAGTATACATTAGTATTTTTGCTGATACACTTCAGTTGTTACACGAGACTTACGATTTACAAAGTATTATTAGAGCTTGTATCCTTTCTCTTTCAATAAATTGATCCATCAAGTAACCACCCATATTCGGTGCTTCTTCATATAATTTAAAAAGTCGATGATAATTTCCTGTTGCTATAGCCGATCGGACTTGTAAAGCATGATTGACACATTCTGATTGATGATTCCCTTTTTTCTTGATTTCTCCTAATAAAGAATTGATATCTAATAAAACAATAATAATATGTAAATATATATATATATCACCCAATTATATATACATTACCTGCCCAGTTTTGAGTATGTAAAAAGTACAATAATCGATATGCTGTAAATTCATCCACATTTCCAGGTATGCCTTGATCATAAAGATATTTCAATTGACTACCACATTGATTGTATTGAGAACAATCACCCTAAAATAAAATAAAAGAAAATAAATAAATCAGTTTGAAACCGTTTAACATAATCCTAAACAGAAGGTAAAAAGGAAAAAAAAAATGACTTGCCTTTTCCAGAGCAATCCTTGCATGTGTTTCATAAACTTTGACCGTGAATTCATTTCTGATACATTGTACCTTTCAATCATTTAAAAATCAGTCTATATATAATAAATACAACAAAATATGTGATCCACTTACTGTCAAATCCTGCCGCATTGATTTGAATTGTTCACATATATAAGAGTAATTATGCTCCTTTCGCCATTTCTTACGAAGATGTTTGTATGTCTTTTTTAAAATTGATAATGGTCGTACCGTTCGTGGATCTGCTGCCTATAGTTGTTAATTATAAAAAAAAAAAATCAGTCATTAATATATAAAAAAAAAAACTCCTTTATATAACTTACTGATGTCAAACGGAAATATGGTTTTTCAATATCAGTACTGGTCCCAATAACAGGTTTAAATTGCCAAACATCACTTCCTTCCTATCTCACCAAAAATATTAACCATTAGTATTCTATAGTATTTTGTTCTTGATTCCGATCAATACTTACCTCTATAGTAATTATATTGTTGTCGTCCTGTTTCTTAACAACCTTGTCCTGCATAAACCGTTGTGATCGTAATTCCCTTCTTCGCTGTTCTTCTGGTGTATTTGCTATTTGTCCCAAGATGGATGTAGATTTGGTGGTTAATCTATGACAAATAAAAGAAGTAAACGCAGTACGCATTATATATCAAATACAAGCAAGTACAATATAAGCGAATATAGTATAAGTCCTCTTACTTTTTGAATGGTGGTACTATATTGTTGTCATTGTCGTCGTCGTTGTCTGAAAGCGAGATCAGATCATTAGATGGTAAACTAATAACAGGCTGTTTCTTTCGTTTCTTGGTCTTTGTCACTTTGGTGTATAATGGTTGTACTATAATGTTAATAAGATATTGAATTCATCAAAATGTATGTTCTTTAGTTAGTCATTTCATATTCTTATTCTTACAAAGATTAGACATTGTAGAGTTTGCTGAACTACAAAAAAAAAAAAAAAAAGAAAAGAAAAGTGCAGCAGCATTCACAGCACCCAAATTCCCTAGAAATAAAAAAAAAATATGATCTGAGCCTGTTTTTTCTTTTTTGACTCCCCTTTTTTCCCTTGCACATTTTTTTTTTTTTTTTTTTACTTATTTTCTATCATCCATTAATCATCTACCCATCAATCATCAATCATCAACTATACTGTAGTGTGTAATAATAGTTTCATTGATAGTAGAAGAGTTTTTTTCCTTTTTATTTAATAAAATTATCTGTGTATGTTCATATGATGTTACCGTCGTCATCCAATTTGTGATCTGATGACGCTTTGTCGTTGTTGTTACCCACATCAGTTTGTTGCATTTGATGCTGTTAACCTTTACGTCGTAGGTTGTTGCAGAAAATATGATTTTGTCAAACGCATAATTATCTCTGTGAGGAGGAAGAAATGATCACATGACCAATGGGAAGTCTTGGTAGTCGGGTCATTCTCGGTATTTCAATTTGTTTCGAGCAGCCAAACAACAAAAAAAAGTATCCAAAGAAAGAGCTGGATTAGATCTTTCTCTTTACTACATCCTCTGATCATATCAATATGGTAAGGATATAACTAAAGGACGCATCTTTTACGGCTGTATATGGAAAATGAATAAAAATGACATGATATAAATCAAAAAAAAAAAAAACGAATTCAACAAACGGATGGATGGATGGATGGGATGAACACATGGATTTAGATATGGAAACTGACGAATTCTTCTTTTTTTTCTCTCCTCTTTTTTTTTTTCTTTAATTTTATTTTTTCCTTATTCTTTCCTACACTCTCTTTGACTGACACCATTATAGACTTGCAAGAGAAGAAACAATGGACGTAACAAGCACGGTCGTGGTCACAACAAGTTCATCCGTTGCATCAACTGTTACCGTTGTTGCCCCAAGGTTAGCATTTGAAAATAGGGAATATCATTTTGTTGAAAAAGAATAGCCATTGATTGACTCTATGTTGTTTGTTTGTTTTGTATATCTAATAGGACAAGGCTATCAAGCGATTCACCATTCGTAACATGGTAGAAGCTGCTGCCGTCCGCGATCTTCAAGAAGCCTCCATCTACGAAGAATACGCCATCCCCAAGTTGTATGTCAAGTTGCACTACTGTATCTCCTGTGCTATCCACGCTCGTGTTGTCCGTGTCCGTTCCGTCGTCAGCCGTCGCAACCGTGCTCCTCCTCCACGATTCAGATTCCAAAAGGTAAGTAATTGAAAAAGAATCATAAATTATTATATTTTTGGTCATTGATTTTTTTTTTTTGTCATTAAATTCTTCCATAGGCTGCTAACAAGGCTTAGATTGATAGTTTGATTCAAATAGTTGGAAATAAAGACTTTACGATGTTTTTGTTATTCTGTCTCTCTTTTTTTTTTTTATTATTTTTACTGTATAGTCTATATTATTTTATGATGATCATCAGGTTATTGATATTTTGGAAGATATTCTTCTATGTGTGTGTGTTTATATGATATAGACATTATAGCATTGTTTCGATATCCTGTTAATTATAAATAACTCCTTTGCATGAATAGATGTTGAACTAATAAAGAATTGAACAAAATCATATCATATGGAAGGATAAAAATTGATTTCTTTATTGATTGATATTCATACATTGCTAAGATATAATATAGACTAGATTCATTGTTGTAATTCTACATAGTTTGCGGGGAATAAGCCTAATGTCTTGCCATCAGGTCCAATACCTTGCCACCATTCTTCACTAACAAATTCAATATGGGTAATACGGTCATTTTCATGGAAAGATATCTCATTGTCTTCACCAGCTTCATAGTCATATAATCCAATAGCAATATGTCCCAAATCTTCACCAGTAGGAGCAGGAGGAGCAGCAGGAGAAGGAGTAGTTTCAACGTTGGCAGAAGGAACTGGTTGTTGTTGTTGTTGTTCAGGTACTTGTTCCAAAAGTTGTACATAATTGGCAGGGAATAAACCTTGTTTCTTTCCATCTTCACTGATACCGAACCACCATCCATCGTCTACTTGGTCAATTTCAGTCACTACTTCACCTTCTACAAGTGTCATTTCATTCGATTCACCTAAAAAAGAAAAGATTCATCAGTTATATATTCATATTGATGTTGATGTCTACCATTTCCGCCCTTTTTTTTATTTATTTTATCTTTATTTATTTATTTATTTTTTTTTTTTACCGGCATCATAACCAAAAAGAACCACAGCAGATAAGACGTTGGATGCACCAGTAGCAGGAGCAGAAGCACTAGCAGCAGCAGCAGCAGCAATAGCAGCTTGTCGTTCTTCCTCTTCACGCTATTAAATAATAAAATATTGATATAAGAATAGATTGAGCAATAGTGATCATGTTAGAAATCTTACCTGCAATCGTTCAGTTTCTTGTCGTGCATGTTCTTGTTCAACCCTCTTACGTTCTTGTTCTTCGGCAATAGCATGTTGACGTTGACGTTCTTGTTCTTGTGCAGCAGCAGCAGCAGCTTGTTGTCGTTGTCGTTCCCTTTCTTCTTCCGCAGCGGCTTGTTGAATTTGTCTTTGACGTTCATTTTCTTCTTCAATTTGTTGTCGTCGTCGATTTTCTTCCTCTTGTTGTGCTTGCTGAGCCTGTTGAATTCGGCGTTCTTCTTCCAATTGTTGTTGACGTCTTTTCTCTTCCTCTTCTTGCTGTTTTTGTTGACGTTGACGTTGTAATTCCTCAGCTTGTCGTTGTTCTTCAGCTTCACGTTGCGCTTGTTGTTCATTGTATTGATGTTCTTGTTCCAAAGCACGTTGTCGTTCCTTGGCATCTCGTTCACGAGCCGCTTGTTCTTCCCTTTCTCTAGCTTCCTTTTCAGCACGTTCACGTTCCGCACGCACAGCTGCAGCCCCACTATCGTGATTGGATGTTGCCGCTCCCCATCGATTTGCTAGAGGTTTTGGTGCTGTCTGGATTGGTTTATAAGTAGTACCCTATAAATAAAATCATAATATAAATATAAGATTAAATTTGATGATTTGGTTCTTCCCCCTTCTTTTTTTTTATATATATATACCACTGGTGGAGGAGGCCCTTCACGTTTCATGGATTCGCGTTGCATAGCAGCAATATCAGGTACTTCAGTCTTTTTATATACAGAATTCTAAACAGAGAATAATAAAAAACAAAGCAATGAAATTATAAGTTAAACCAAGTTTCCAGTTTTTTCTTTCTATTTTGTTTTACATACCACGGGTGTCACAGCTGGTTGAGGTCGTTGAGCTTCCTTATGAATACTATAATTGGCACCAGATGATTCAGAGACACGCTTCATGATGAGATCAGGTTCCACATCGGCCTAAAACAAGAAAGAAAGAAAGAACGAAATTAGTGATATTATATTCTCTTTTATTATACTAAGATACTATATGGGAGAGTACTTACTTCGTCACGAGCATTGATTTGTACATGGAAAGTCTATGTCAATTACCATATATATAGATAAAAGTCAGTTATTGATAACACTCATTCTTTCATTTACTTTTTACCTTGAAGAACTTGCTAACTTGACTCAGATGAGAGTTGAAAAAGCCTTTTCGAGTTTCAGGTACACCAGTTCCACACTAAATGAATGACAGTAGAATAAAAATAAGTTCAGTCAGGTTATTACAAAAAGCATATTCATGTAATTTACCCAACCAATAAAGACCAACTTTGGTAGTTGAGAATTAGGGTCAATAACACGAGCTAAAGCATATTGTATTTTGCCATCACTAAATTCATCGTAAAGTTCTTCTAATCCACCATCTATCATGTAAAAAAAAAGAAAGTGATTAAATATTATTATTCATCTATCCTTTTTCTTGACATACTTCCAGTATCTTGCACCTTCAAGTCATTTGAACCTTTGTCATATCCATATATTAACCAATTGGTGTCATCATTATCAGATATAACAGCTTGGTGAGCAGCTGTTAGTTCTTTAGAGTGTGCTGAAAAGTTGATTTGCAAACTCATGATAATAAGGAAATATAATTAAAAAAAGAAGAAAGAAAAAAAAAAAAAGGAAAAGCGCAAAAGAACGAATAAGAGCCAAGAGATGAGCCAAAGATTTAACATTCCGACCATATTTTTATTTTTTTATTTTATTTTTGCTTTTTCTCTTTTTTTTTTTCTTTTTTCGCTCTTCAATACATATCACTAGGTTTTCCAACCAGTTAACTTGTTTACCCATGGTGGATAATGTACAAGATAAAGATTTTATTCTTGGAAATAAACCTATAGGGATCAATGTAGAAGCATCTTCTGGTCCTCCTTCTGGTATAAAGGTATCCAATGTACTATCTCTTCGACAAGACATTGCTAATATGGGGTTGGCTGGCAAGATCTGGCATAGGTAAATGAAAAATTATCAACAGGTATATACAAATATAAAAATAAAACACTTCAAAAATGAAACTAATTAAAAACTGAATATTTTATTTAGTGCTTACACTCTACAATCCTATTTTTCACATGATAATGGTTTATTGTTGGATCCTCCTACTCCTATTCCTTCAATGTATCATTATAACAACTCGAAGGATACTAATACCAACACTGAATCACAACGACCTTTTACTATTTTAGAGCTTGGTGCTGGAACAGGGTACTGTGGAATAGTATTGGCGAATATGCTTGGTCGACAATGTCAAGTGTATATCACTGATTTGGAACCTGTTATACCATTAATAGAAGAAAACGTCAAAGCCCATCATATTCAAGACGGTCAACATGCTCAAGTGTTTTGTGAAAGATTACATTGGGGAAATCAACAGGATGCACAAAGGGTTTTGGACAAAGTTGGTGGACATTTTGATTTAGTGGTAATCAGTGATTGTGTTTATTTTCCGGAACTCTTTCAACCTTTGATGGACACTTTGCTGTGGATATGCAGTAATAACGATGATGATCAGGAACAAACCAAGGTAGTGATTGGATACAAATGTAGATCTTTAGAAAAGGAAACGGGATTTTGGGATCTTCATTTTGGGCGCTACTTTGATTATGAACCAGTACGAATCCTTGGGAATCTTGGGAACAATAACAACAAGGAAAATGACAATGATAACCAAGACAGCAATGTTGGACAATTACTTGGATACGAGGAACAAATTTATGTCTTTGTTGGATCACGACGACATAGTAATCATATTCCAGCAGCTGATGACCGGTTCGCTTTGTTGATGTTTTGCTCAATGGATTATTGATAGTCCAACTTTATTGATCAAATGATATATAGATTAGTATATAGTAGAACTAGATAGATACCTCTTAAATAAAAAAAATTTTATTTTATTAATATGATGATATGACAAATGGAATGATAATGATGATATAAAAGAGGAGGAACTAAAAATACAATTTTTATTTTCTAAATGTATGGTAAAAATAAAATGGTAAAAAGAAAAATCTAATGTTTTCTAATGTATTCCCAACCTTCAATAACACTGGCAATAGATTGTGCAGTTTCTTTAACAGCGATTTCATCCTTGCCCACAATACTAACAACAACACGTTCACCATCAGGACCAGATGACCACTTGGGATAGCTACCGATCTTGATATGTTTTTCATCCACCAGAGCTTGAGTTGCAGAAAGACATGAAGCAATCTTACCTTCCGTCATTTTTGTAGCGATTTCCATTCGATAGTATTTGCCTGTAATTTGTTTCTTGGCCATGGCATCTTCCAAGTAGGGACGTAATGATTTGATCAATCCTTCAAAAAGTCTAGGAATTCCAGGAAGAATGTGAATATTATCATTAACAACAACCACAGGTACCCATAAAGTAGGATCAACACGAAGAATCTTGGATGGATAAGGGAAAAGAGCCATACGTTTCCGAGCTTCCGTCAATGTCCAATCAGGGTAACGATCTTTTGACATTTCTTTCATCATTTCACAAGTTGTATTGTCTAATTGTAATGGTAATGAATAAGCTTTGGCAATAGCATCGTATGAAATATCATCGTGAGTTGGACCTAAAAAAAAAAAAGTCAATGTTATTTGTTTGTTGCATAAACATTGAATACGTATTTACCAATTCCACCACTTGTAAAAACAACATCGTGCTGACTAGAAAGTCGAGTTACCGTTTCAGCAATAGCATCATAATCGTCAGCTATGACTTCAACCCGTTTCAAGCTGATACCCATATCAAAAAGATATCGTGCTAGAGAATAATACGAAGGTCAACTATGAGTGTACGTAGTAGTTGTACAATAACTTACATAAAAAATAAGCATTGGATTCTCTAGTTTTTCCATTAAGTATTTCGTCACCACTAATAAGTACAAAAAAAAAAAAGGTATAATGAGCTTCGCCAATAGGTTCAAGTTAATTGTTTTGATCTTTTTTTTTTTTGTTTTGTTTACATGATACAACAAGCAGCAGTAAAAGAGGGTTCGATTTTTGTTGTTGTCATTGTATTGATAAACTTTGAAAATAAGTTATTGTATCGAGGAGAGAGAAGAACGCTTGATCTGCGTCGTAAGGCTACACCAAAAATAAAAGACATAAAAAAAAAAAAAAAAAGAAATAACAAAGGGAGGAAAGAGAATGCACAAAAAGGAAAAAAAAAAAAAAAGCTTGGAAGAAAAGTACACTGAGTTTCAAATCCATCAGGTCCTTTTCCTAAATGACAAATTATCCATTCAAATAAATTGCTCTTGAAGTTAATAAGTTGTGATCAGGCTTGTCGATAAGTATCATATACTTGTTGTCATTCAATTGTTTTCAACTAGGAAACATCCCATCCTGTCTCGTTATCAGGTTGTAAAAACACATTTCCTTTTCGCCTTGTTAATCCAAGAGGTACTAAAGTCGTGGTGCATAGAATTTACAGCTTGGTAATCAATATATTTTTTCTAATATTCGGAGACAGCGATGTATTTCTCGTGAATCACTAATATAAACATGTAAATACTCCATTGTCACCGAAATGCATGTCATTGTTGTCTTTTTTTTTTTTTGTTTTGTTTTGTTTTGTATTTTTCTTTTTTTTTTTTTTGATGCTGATTTTTAAATAAAGTCAAAGTGATCGAAATGATCTTCAGTCAATAGAAAAAAAGAAAACAACCTAGAACAATGGGATCATGTCTGGCCCCCCAAAAAAAGAACAGAAATGGATGAATGTGATAAAAATAGGTTATTTTTGTGCCTCGCATAGTAACAAATGTCTTCTTTAGTGTTAGTTACACAAACCAATGACTTTATATATATATATAAATATGTTCGTGACATTTTTTTTTTCTGTTTGTTATGATGATCACTGATAATAAAATCAAAAGTGTAATATAGAATTATCAATTAAGAATCATCATTAAATAATCAAGGTAATAATATATATATTGTAGAAAAAAAAAGTCATAATTTCTCTAATAGAAGTGATTGATCGCGTCTAGGCCAACCTTTCCCATTCATTTTCCGGTGGTGACACACACACATAATAAAAACTAAATTTCGAAATTTAGAGTGGTATTACTCACCTTTTTCTTTTTTTCTTTTCTTTTCTCTATTCAACCCCCTTCCTTCTTTCTTTCTTCCTTTTTTTTTGTTTTATTTTTTTTTTTTACCCTTTACAATCCTTTAACCAATATATTCGTTTTAATGTTTCTTCATGAATATTCAAGCCCTCATTCTTCTTCTGTCTCTTACAGCCTTGTCTGCTCTATGTGCAGAAACGAATGGTAAAAACTTCTTTTTGACCTTCAATGAATGAATTACCCAATTGCACTGTTCTAATCAATATTTTTTTTTCTTTTTCATTCTTTGCCTTTAGAAAACGCAACCAAAGATATTTTCCAAGGTATGATCACTACAAAAAAAAATAATAATATAATGGAATATACAAATTCATAAATACTATTTTTTTTTATACAATAGGACAACATCCTATCCTACGTCGTTCATTTACCAATACCACCACTACGTCCTTAAAATCAAGAACAACATCTACTTCTATATCAAACAGTAATTACATCAACACTAGTATCACTACAATCACTTCACAACCTACATCCTCTTCTGTATGGACCTCGATCCCTGGTCACAATATTACTCAAATATGGTGTTACAATGTTACAAGCATGGTACCAAATATTCAATGTACTGTTACCACGATTTATATTCCTCCTACCTCATCCATCATCATCCCTACAACAACAACAACAACAATAAGGTCAAGCACAAAAGCTACTCATTCAGAGAAATCAAAGGCTACACATTCTACACGTCAATCCCATCATCGACCTCATCCTCAAACTCGTCCCACATCAAGGAAATCAACACGATTTTCTACTAGAACAAAAACACATGCTCGTCATACGTCCACTATCACCACTGATAAGCATACATCTACAAAAACGCGCCATTCTTCTCATCATCCTACTGTTCGTCCTCATCATCTATCTACTGGTCGTTCTCATCATTCAGAAAGAACATCATCTTATCACTCAACTTCTCGTGCCCATCATTCAGAAGAAACAACATCTCATCACCCAACCTCTCGTGCTCATCATTCCGAAAATACTTCATCATCATATCACACCACTGTCTCTTCTCAACACACTTCTAACACTCGAAAGACTTCCACAGCACACACTACACAGAAGTCGACGAGACCTCTTATGACAAGATCAACAACCAAAAGGGAAACACGGACAACCGCATCAACTCGGTCATCCTTAGCTTCATCATCATCAGCTTCATCATTAGCTTCATCATTAGCTTCATCAGCCACAGTGTCATTATCCTCAGCAAAATCTACAACAACAGAAAGTACCATTACTTCTCCTACCATTGCACCTGCAAGCGGAACAACAGATAAATCTCCAACTGCCGATACTCCTCCTACAACAACTCATGATAGTACAGCCACCGTTTCAAACAATCTTTTATCCAGCAGTACGAATAGCAATACAGCATCACCCACAGTTTCTAATGATGTATTATCACCTGCAGTAGCCAACGACATGACGAATCGAAATCTAGGCATTGGACTTGGTGTAGGGATTGGAGGAGTAGCTGCTCTAGGTTTAGCTGGCTTACTGCTTTATAATTATCGCAACAAGAATAAAACAAGTGGTACATCATCTTTAGCTGGTGATGAACAAGTGAACACACGATGGCGTACTCAAAGTTTTATGGGTGTGGTTGCTTCGGTGGTTGCTAAACTTCCTCGATCTGCTTCTCTACGTAGCAAGGTTTCCAACGCGTCATCAGTCCCTAGTGGCTCCCCAGGGATGGCATACACAACACAAGCATCCATCAACGATCAACAAGCTCTTCATAGAAATCCATCCAATGGCTCTTCCATCATATCTCCTCCTCCTCCTTTAGCTCCTGTCAATGATCAATTCCATACAGAATACCATCATAGTTATTAGTTATCTGTTTTAAAAATTTAGATTTCTTGTTGTCTCTTTTTTTTTTTTTATTTTTTTACTATCTCTATTATTGTGTATTTTTTTTATATCTATTTATATTGTATCAATAAACAACCTTTTTTTTTTTTTTTTTTTTTTTTTTTTTTTTTTTTTTTTTTTTTTTTTTTTTTTTTTTTTTTTACAGTTGAAGACACTTTTATCATCAACAACATTGGATAATATTTAACTGAAAATGGAAAGTTGAATATCATTGGCTGGGATAGCAGTAGGTGAAAAAAAAAAAATTGATCCCCTTTTCATCCCTGAACTTTTTTTTTTTTTTCTTCCCTTTCTCTTTATTCTAGTTGCACCTGATGAAACGATTGACCTTTCTCTCGTATTTGTATATCATTAGTGTACATGCTCAACTTTTTGATGACAACCCTTTTTTACATACTGAAATACATACAGCATCTCCTTTTGCAGAAACTGGTACCATGATTCAAACTGGACGAACAGGTATGAATCAAACATTCTCTTCCTTTCACTACAATATATTTATTCTCTATTTCTCTCTCTCTCTCCTTTTTTTGAAGGTGTCACCGCTATGCATGCTACACTCTTAAAGTAAGAATATCTACCTTTTATTCTGCTTGTCTCATTGATTCACTAACTTAATCTATAGTGAGAACAATATTCTTATTATAGACAAAGGTAAACAAAAAAAAAAAAAAAAGAAACTTGTCCAAATCTTATATCTTATTATTTGGTTTAGCTGAATGGAATGAAGCACAGTTGGATTCTGGTATTAGTGCATACTCTTGTGAATATCATATCGACACCAATACATATCGAACGTTGGCATTGAAAACCAATACTTTTTGTTCAGCAGGTGGTTTCCTTGGTAATGGAACAATGATCAGCACTGGTGGAGCAGAAGGTGTAGGGTAAGGAATGAAATTTTTTTTTTTAAAAAAAAAGGGATACATCATCATTGACCTTTTCTTTTATATAGAAAGTGGGGACTTAAGGCAAAAAAAGGACATCAAGCAGTACGACATTTTGAACCTTGTGATGATAATACTTGTGAATGGCAAGAATATGCAATCAACCGGATGACAAGTGATCGATGGTATCCTACTGTAGAGCAACTTCCAACTGGTGACATTTTTATTATTGGTGGAAGTACGGTTGGAACTAAAGTGAATCGAGATGAAATCAATGTACCTTCTTACGAATTTTGGCCACCACGACAACAAGGTCAAGTCCATTTCCCATTTTTAGAAAAAGCTACTATGCCATTCAACCTGTAAGACACAAAAAAAAAAAAAAAAAAGAGTCGGTGATAAGATATTTACCTATTTTATATATATATAGATACCCATTTGTCTTTTTACTTCCTGATGGTCATCTTTTTATATTTGCAAATACCAAATCCATCATCTTTGACTATGAAAATAACAAAATTGTAAAGCACTTACCGGATATGCCAGGTGTACCAAGATCATATCCTTTGACGGGTGGAGCAGTCATGTTACCTTTGGATCCAGCGAATAATTACAATGCAGAAATCTTGGTATGTGGAGGATCAGAACGTATGAATACAAACAGTCGAGCTGACGATACTTGTGGACGCATCAATCTTGGCGATGATGAACCAATATGGGAAATGGACACTTTTGTTTATCCTCGTTTGATGCCTGATGGGGTACTTTTGGCAGATGGCTCTGTGGCGTGGGTCAATGGGTGCAAACGTGGATGGGCTGGATACAAGCAACGCAATCATGTTCCTACCTTTGATCCTGTGATCTATCATCCTGAACAGCCTTTACATTCAAGATGGCAAACTGGTTTAGCCAACACCACTATTGCAAGAATGTATCATTCGGTGGCACTGACACTTCCAGATGGTCGTGTATGGATTGCTGGTTCCAACAACAATGATCCTCCTGATATCAATGCTGAATATCCTACAGAATTCCGTGTAGAATACTTTTCTCCTCCTTATCTCTATCAAGCAACTCCTCCTCGACCTCTTGTATCACATGTCCCCTCTCGTATGGCGTATGGTGAATCTTATGAATTTTTATTGAATGCAGGTAGCAATATCAAAAGTGATGATATCAAGGTCGGACTCTTACGTACAGGGTTCAGCACTCATTCTTTACATATGTCTCAACGATATGTGGTTTTGGAACATACATTACTCCATCAAGGTCAAGTCATCCGAGTTCAAGCACCACCAAAAGCAACTCTCTTTCCTCCTGGTACTGGATTTCTCCATGTCGTCCATCAAGGTGTGCCTTCCAAAGGTGTACAGATCAATGTCCAGCCTTCCAGATGATAGAGTTTAAATGTTTGATTAGGGCTAGCATATATCTAGTTTTAGTTTGGTATCACGATTCCCTTATTTGATTTATGGAATAAATGATATTTGAACCTCATTTGTATATTATATGTAACCTTTAGATTTGTAAATAAAAAAAAAAAAAAAAAAAAAAAAAAGGGAAAAAAAAAGACTTGCCCAATATGGTCATTTTAAAATAGATGAATGATATTTTCATCTTGTATCATCTTCACGGGAGTATCCGGTTTCTCTAAGAAATTTTTTGGAATATATCGTATAGTTGACCTTCTTTCTCTTCCTAACTACTCGCCATTATCTTCTTTTTCATATTAAATTCATATTCTATTCTTCATCATCCTATCATGACATCATTGTCTATCCTACATTTGAATTTTCCAGGTTATGGGATTCTGTCCCCAAGTTGTTTCAATGTGGTACCCCCCCGTTAATACCATGTTTAAGCAAAAAAGGCGCTTTTTTTTCATTATTGATTGGCGATCATTTTCTTGGCATTTCATTTAACTTATCTAAATGAAGTGAAATGACAGAAAAAAAAAAAAAAGAAAACTAGTAAGATCCTCCTAGTGTCTTTTTGGTAAGGACTCAGTTTTATCCCATTTTCCATAATCCACGTGTTCGGTCGATCCATTCCTATTAACCAAAATAAAGTTAAAATAATTTTTTTTTAAAAAAAAAGTCTCCCTCATTCATCTGATGATCATCCCAATAATAATAATAATAATAATTAAAAAAAAAAAAAAAAGGAAATTGGTATCTTTTATTAGTAATATGAACTATAAACGACTAGCACTATGTGATTGACAATACAAAAAGCGATTATCTTGTACTAATTTTTCATCAAAAGCAGCATCCAAGACTTCCCATATAGAACGGCAATAAACAATGGTCATATCCTTCTTCACTTTATCTGGAATATCTTGCACAACATCACGTTCGTTGGTAGCTGGAAGAATCACTTTGGTCACACCCGCACGATGAGCAGATAACACTTTTTCCTTGATACCTCCTACTGGTCGTACTTGTCCTCGTAAAGTGATTTCACCTGTCATGGCTGTTGTCCTTGGTACCGCCTTACCAGATAATAATGATACAATACAAACTGTCATAGCTATCCCTATTTACGAAAATAGAAAAAAAAATGAATATATATATATATATATCAATGATTTTTTCTTCTTTTTTATTTTACCTGCACTGGGACCATCCTTAGGAACAGCACCATTTGGAATATGAAGATGCAAATCCATATCAGGTAGTAAGATTTGCTTTTGAGTTGCTGTTAGATTCAAAGTATAAGCATTAGCCTTCACCCAAGAAACAGCCAATTGAGCTGATTCCTTGATCACATCACCCAATGATCCTAAATAAAATAATAATAATAAAAATAAAAAATAAGAAAAACAATGGATGATGATTATTACCTGTCAGTTTGAGTTGACCATGACCTGGCATTTGATTAGCTTCAATTGGTAAAATGCCACCACAACCACTTTGAGAATATGCCAAACCTGTGACAATTCCTGGTGTATCTACAGCATCTGAAAGATGTTCATTTCCATAAGGCGCCATCTAAAATAAAAAGAAGATCAATATTTTTTTTTTTTTTTGATTGAGTAATACTTACACCCAAAATGATAGAAAGATCTTTATTTCGAACCACAGGATCATAAGAAGCAGATGAATGATGAATAGATTCCAAATAATCAGCATATTCGCGGCATTTATATCGACAGACACTTGCAATCACACGATCCAAAGAACGAACACCACTTTCCAAAGTATAATTTTCAATAAGATGCGATAAAACTTGATCTGACAGTATCACCCCATTGTTTTCCATTGTTTTCCCATCAGTTTCTTGTGAGAATGTAAAACCATGAGCATTCAATTGTTTTGGAACCAAATACGAGCGTGCAATATCCAACTTTTCATCCATAGTATATCCATCTAGTTGAATGACTTCCATTCGATCCAACAATGGTCCAGGAATAGAATCCATAGAATTGGCAGTGGCAATAAATAATACATTTGATAAATCAAAAGGTACATTCAAGAAATGATCTGTAAATGCATGATTTTGAGCAGGATCTAGTACTTCTAAAAGGGCAGCAGCTATAAATAGACATAGACAAATATAGATGGTCAGGAAAAAAAAGAAGGTTCAATTTTGCATATTATAATGATTTTGGTTTTACCTGGATCACCTTGATGAGTACCTTGAACTAGTTTGTCAATTTCATCTATAGATAGATCATAAACAAAAAAGTAAGTCAATATGCATAATATGTCAAAATAATAACAATAATAACTTTACCTAATAAGAAGAGAGGATTGTTGACACCACATTTTCGTAATCCATTGATAATCAGACCAGGTAAAGCACCAACATAAGTTCGACGATGACCACGAATTTCTGCTTCATCACGTACACCACCTAATGCAATACGATGGAAATTTCTTTGCAGCGCTTTTGCAATCGAAATCCCTAGAGTCGTCTTTCCCACGCCAGGCTATTTAAATAATAATAATAATAATAATAAAAAAAATAATAATAATAATAAGAGATATAGAATTTGAGCCAATCAAAAATCATCTGTTTTTTACCGGTCCAACAAAACAAAGGATAGGTGATGTTGTATCTTTTTTGACTTTGAGAACCGAAAGATATTCCAAGATACGACGTTTGACTTGTTCTAGGCTATAGAAAATAAGAGATAAAATCAGTATTGTATTACATATACACACAGACACACACACAGCCCTTTTTCAACTTTTTTTTTTTTCATTATTTTGTTTGTATTACCCAAAATGATCAACGTCCAGTTGTTTCTTCGCAGCGAGGATCTCTACCACATTTTGAGAAGCTGAGTTAAAAGGTTTTTTCCAGGGTAAATCTGCTATCCATTCCAGATAAGTTCGAATAAGGATGGATTCAGGAGAAGCATTTGGGATTTTTGCTAATCGTTGAACATCACGTTTGATAGTGGTTTGAATATGTGTAGGAAGTCCAGCCTTATTGAGTTGATTTTTCAAATCAGTTAAATCATCATCATCACCTTGTGTTGGCATAAATAAACATCCATCATCTTCTTCTTGCTGGTAAATACCTAATGTTGATGACGATGGCGATTTGGTCGGTTTTGCGGATGAATAAGGAGAGGATGCCGTCAAAAGAGAAAGATTGGAAAGTGACACCTCGGAGGTCATACCAGGCGCAGACATCACATGAACCTAACCACGAAGAAAACCAACAATCATTATTAAGGAACCATGGATAAAAACAAAGAGATCAGTCAATATAAGTTTTTTTTTTGTCCTCCATTTTCTTTTGATTAGTCTTAATAATATTGTAAACCTTGATTACCTGTTGCCTTAAATAGAACTCCCTCCGTTTTCGATCCAATTTTTCTTCATTCAGTTGTTGTATTTGTTTGAATTCAGAAAGTGTCTATTGAAAAAAAAAAAATCACGTCAATAATTATTATAATATCTTATCAATCTTTTATTTACCTGTATATGTCGAGTGACAGTGGTTTGAATTTCTTGTAAAATAGTATTTGTATCAGTCAATCCCAGTACCGTCAGTTTTTCATGGAAGGAAGCATCAGTCATACAGAGCAAAAAATGGGCCATATCAATGAGAGAAGAAGAACCATTAGTTTGATATTCAGTGAGTTGAGCTAATCTTGTTTGGAAGGGAGCAAGTACAGAGGAGGCAACACCAATCATTTGCATCTTGCTAATAAAATCATCACATAGTTGACGAATAGTTTTTGTCCATGATGTCATGTTGATATCGTTATTCATCATCACCCAGATAGGTTTTACCGTGACATCCAATAAAGTATTTTCCAAATCTTGACCATGGATATCTTGTACTTGAGCACGACAAAGACCTTGAACAAGTAATACAGTATGATAAGGTACGTTGGTATCCACATCAAGTACATTGGCGACACAACCCATATGAAAAAGATCATTATGAAGACTAGTTGAGTTCTTGAAGGGTACGCATAAGATAAAACGATGATCATTGTTTTCCATTTTCCTTATCAAAGATTTGGCTTCAGTTCCTTCCAATACAATCTTGGTAACAATAGATGGTAACAACACCTTGTCACATAATGGCACCAGTGGCAAAGAATTGGGTACTTGATCAGTCATCTTTATAGAATAAGTATTAAAAAAAAAAAAAAAAAAAAAAAAAAGAGGGAGAAGAGAAAGAAGTGACAAAATAGGGGAATCAATATAAATAAGAAAGGATAATATTTCAAAAAAGGGGAAAGGATGATGATTGCAGATCAATGGGCACACATAAACAAAAAAAAAAAGGTTTTGTCAATAATAAAAGCATGACCATTCATCAATAAGAGCCAAAATATTTCAATCTTGATAACTGCAACCAACATTTACCTTTTTTCGTTAAAGTTCATTTCTCCACCCCCCAGACTTGATTCTTCGATCATTTCCATCCAATAATAAGAAAGAATATATAGAAAAAAAAATAAGTTAACTAAATAGTTTATCTCCTATTTTCCTATTATTTTTGTACTTACGTTAATAATATAGACCAAGGATTACTTATATTTAAACATAAAAGCATACAAAAATAACAAAACAACAACAAAAGTACACATAAACGCATATCCGCATCACAAATACATACACACACACACACACATACAAAAAAAAAAAAAAAAAGTTGTAACAAAAATAAAAATAAGTTTACTGAAGGGATAAATCAATGAGGAAGAATAAATACACATAATCTAATGATGACTGGCAGCTTCACCCTTGACATTATAACCAATCAAATTTCTACGACCAACAACTTCACCAATCAAGAAGAAAGTGTAAATTTCAGCAAGTACAACACCACCTTTAGCCACGTTGGTCCAGGTCAAAGATTTCAAAGTATTCACATTCAAATTATTCTTAACAAAAGTTTGAGCTTCATTGAATTGGACACCAGTGGGGAAGCTCATACCTTCCTTGGTATATACTTGTTTAGCGATTTCACCGACAACCTTGGCATCGTAAACGATAGGTTTTTGAAGAGCTAATGTGTTATGATTATTTTCGTTTACATAGGTAGATAAATAAAAAAAAAAAAAAAGGTAAAAAAAAAAATGAGTATCAATTAAAAAGTAACCATTTTTATTCTTTTTTTTTTTTTTACCAATAGTTTTGTTCACAAGATTGCGTACACAGCCGATGATTTTGGCAGACATGACTATAGGAGTAGGGTGGAGAGAAGGAAGGGAAGAAAAAGAATGGAAAAGACAAAAAAATTTTTGTTGTGCGGTCCGTCAAAAAAGAAAAAAAGAAAAATAATCATAATAATCCCCCCTGGCTGGGCTTTTTTTTTTTTTTTTTTTTGTTTAAGTAACAAGACTAAAAAAAAAAAAGATATCCAATGATATAAAATGATGGTTTTTTATTATTATTTTATTTATATATTATATAAACTAGCTTTTTTAATTGAAAGTAATAATGATAATCAATATAGTATCATAATTTATTTCTTTAAATTCATCACACAAAAAACTTCGTCCAGGGGTTGAAAAAATGTTCAAAAATCAATAGCCAATGAAATCATTGGTAAATCGGGATGTCAAATGGATACTTTTTATGGTCTTTTCTTTTTTTTTTTTTTTTATTTCTTTCATTGATCAAAATAATAGCAAATGTTTAACACTATTCAACGTAATCTATTCCCAGCATTAGCTGTCTTGGTACTTCCAGTGGGTTATTATATTGGTGTACAACTTCGAGAAGAAAAAGATACCAAAGCAATGAAAGCTCAATTAGAACAACTTTCTGCTCTTGAACGTCAAGCACAGCTAGAACAACAACGAAATGCTTTACTTGAAGAAAAACACGCCTTACTTACTAAACTCAAACAAAATGAACAGTAAACAACTTTATATTTTTCCTCTTGTATTATATACTTTAGATAGATTAGTATCTTCTCCTTTGTAAATACCAATAAATCCTATTTATTTGTCTTCTCACTTTTTCCCGCGAAAGAACATACTGAAAATCTCGGATTGACTTTTTCTATTCGGGGAATTTCAACTTTTAGTCACTTTTTTGTCCTTTTTTTTTTTCTTCTTTCTTTCGTTACTTTCTCCTGTTTTTTTATAAGCAAATGAATACCAATATTAGTCCTAACCATCCTCCTTATCCTGCATATAGAGCAACTGAAAAAGGTTCTTTTGCTTGGGATAGCACAGTACGACGTTGGCCTATTATTATCGATACCGCTTTAGTTGATATGCAAAAAGCTATGGATACTCTCCAAAACGACCAAGTTACTCAAAAAGAAGAAGGTACCTCTATCATCAATGGCTTGAACCAATTGAAACAAGAAATAGCTGATGACAAACCTTTACGGTAACTAAAAAAAAAAAAAAGGATTTATTAGACATCTATACTAATGTTATCATATATGTACCTGGCTAGTAAAGGCTTTTGAAGGATAATGACTCTGATAGTGAAACTTGGAATCAACATATCACCACTCACTTTAACAATGTCACTTGGTTCAATGGATCTTGGTTGTTCAACGAATGTTATATGTATCGACGTATCCGAGAACTTTACAGTCTTAGTAACTATTGGCAAGATTATGATCTCTTCAATAATCAAAAGATAGCCACCTTCCGAGGTTCCCATGGTTCTGTGTTTGATCTTGCCACAAAGATGCCTACTATGATACAACCTATGGAAATAGAAAAACAGGAACTAGTCTTTCAGGAACTTTTGCAGGTATGTTTATGGGGAAATGCTACAGATCTCAGTCTATTGACCAACATGACCGAAGATGATATCAAACGCCTACAAGCCATTGAAAAAGAAAAACTGGCCGAACAACTCAATTATATTGTCGTCAATCATATTGATCAAGTCTGGAAAAAGTTGAAACATTTGGAGAAAGGACGAGTGGATTTTATTTTGGATAATTCAGGTAAACCAAAAAAAAAAAAAAAAAAAAAAAAAAAAAGGATATTGATGATTTGAATGTATTGAATTTAGGCTTCGAGGTATTTGTTGATCTTATCTTTGCAGATTGGCTATTGCAAACTAACCGAGCATCCAAAGTAGTGTTCAACTGCAAAACCATCCCATGGTTCGTATCTGATGTGATGCCCAAGGATATCCCGATTCTATTTGATTGCTGCCTGAACCCTGACTTTTTCCCTGGCGAACCAACAAAGGAACAACAACAAGCATTAGAAACATTGGTGAAACGATGGCAATCCTATGTTCATTCTGGCCAATTGGTCATTCAATCTCATTCCTTCTGGTGCAATGGTTTGGCTTATCGCACTTTACGAGACGAAGCTCCTGAACTCTATCAAGATTTAGCTACCTCAGATCTCATCATCTTCAAGGGTGATCTCAATTTTAGAAAGCTAGTATATGATTGTCAATGGCCTGTTACCACTCCTTTCCATGTGGCTATTGGTCCTTCTTTGGCTGAAGGGTTTACAAGCATTTTGTCCTTACGTACTAACAAAGCAGATACTATTGTCGGCTTGGCGGATGGCAAGCAAGAAAAAATCGAAGCTACTGCAACCCCTAATGAATGGAGGTGTTCTGGAAAGTATGCCGTGGTCGCCTACAACGAAGGATCATCTTAGATTTTTTTTTTTGTAATAGATATATATATTCTTCTTTTATTCTCTCTGTTATTTAAACTGTAGTTATGTTTAGATTTAGTTACAAATCCATTTAGATAGTATTTTTTTTTTTATTTGTGTGCAATAAAAACTTTGTTGAACTTTGATGAAATCAAAAAAAAAAAAAGGAAGTTTGCTTGTGTGTTACAGAATGGATTTACAATGTGATTATTGAATGGATCGATGAATATTCAAGAATAAAATCTTTTTCTATTTCTTGTTAACAAAACCGGGCGCAATAAAACCCTTAAATCTCCTGTGTAATAATGTACTAAGCTTTTTGAATAATGGTAGTACATAAAACGTATAAAATCAAAAGTATGTCGTTATTTTTTTTTTTTTTGTAACCATGACAAATGGGGTAACAAAGTTTTCTATTTCTTTATTATTCAAATGCGGAAAAATGTCCCAAAAAGTATAAATTACAAGAAAAAAACAGTAATACACAAAATAACTATATTTAATAATAAAATATACTAATGTTTGCCAAAAGATTTGGATTCAACAGCATTGGTGAACATTGCAAGTGCAGCTTTGGGTTGATAATAAGGGACTTCATGACCTGCTTCATAGACACGGACAAAGGTAAGATTACCTCCAGCTTGATATTGACCGACTTCCTTGCCATCCACCAACCAGGGTTTTAATTTGTCTTTGCGGTAAGCCTTGCTTCCTTTAAAGTTCAATTGTTGAGCCCAAGCATGGTTTCCATACTATATGTTAAATAGATATTTATAAAAAAAAAAGGAAATTAGTACCTTTATGAGATGATACAAGATAAAAAACTTGATCACGTCTTACCCAGTTACAAATATAATCGGCATCACCTATTAATCAACAAGTGGTTAAAAGTACAATACAAATAAATGAGAATGATTTCATCACATCTCTAAAAAATGCATATATATATATATATTCTTACCAGCATATAATAAAACACGAACACCATGATTCAAAAGGTTAGCAACACGAGGAGCAAAATTTCGGGCGCTACAGAAGATGATTAAAAAATATGTTAAAAACAAAGCTAATCCTTTTCTCCAAAAAAAAAAAAAAAAAGATCAATTTTGAAACTTACTCATCACCAGTTTTGTAAAACTTATTACCAGGGATATCAGCACATTCTTGATACCATTGCTTGGCACCAATAATATTCATAGTAGAAGTCGTATTGAGAAATTTGATATAGGTACTGGGAATTTCTTGGGAAGTGCGAACATCGTAATAGCTTTTGTTGGCGTTATCATAGACACCTTCAACGTAGGTTCCACAGTAGTTGTCGGCCTTAATGCAATCATGGTTGGTTCCTGTTTTGTAGCACTTTTGAGCTGGAGATAAAATATTTAGCAAAAGAGCATAACATCACCAATTTCTTTAAACAAATTGAACTTACAGAGACGAACACATTCAGGTGTATGATCCTTCATTTTCTTGCAATCGGAGGGAGACAAAACAGATCCATCTAAAACAAGTTGAATGAGATATAATGAATGTTTTTTTTTTGTTGTCCCACTTACAGCTTGAGTCACATGCCATCTTTTCGTAGTACTGACTAAAGAAAAAAGGAACAATAGATAAGGTTATCTCTGTTTGCGTATCTACATATATATATAACCAACTTACTTTTGAATGAGAGGATCTGTGAAACCATTGCCAACACCAATAGACTTGAGATTGATACGTTGATTCTTAGAATGTTTTGTCAAGGCCAAATTTTGTTTCAAGATATAATCAGCAAAAGCAGGAACCTATGATGGAACAAAAAAAAAAGAAGTATTAAACATGTGGTTTATATTTATTATATGATCTTTCTGTTTCCTTACATAATGACCACCATATGATTCTCTATAGATAGAAAGAGGAAGAAAAGTAAGTGAGATAAAAACAGTACTTGTAATAGTTATCGAACAAATAAGACGTAGTATTGGCTTACCCATAAAAGTGGAAATCCAAATCCTTATATTTAGGGAAAGCTTCAAAGAAGACTTGAAGCAACCTGTAACTGAGAGGAGCAGCGTCATCAGTTGAGTATACATTATCGACACCGTGAGAGAATCCAACACCATCGGCTATGCATAAAATTGAAAGAAACCAAAAAAAAAAAAAAAAATCAGAATTTCTCGTTATATTGTAAATAGATATATAAACCTTACGTTGATCAAAGAAAAGCATATTTGAGACTTGATTCCAACTACCTTCTTCGTTATAAATAGCTTTGGTACCATCTTGATTGACACGACAAGGACCTAATTCTTGCCATAAACCACTGTGAAGAAAAAACAATTTTTTTTTAAAAAAAAAAATAGAAAAAAAATTAAATAAAAAATGTACTTACATCATAGAAGAACATCCAGGACCACCGTTTAACCACACAGTAAGAGGAGCTTTTTCGGGATTCTTTCGACTTTCAAAAAACCAAAAAAAATAATGTTCATTCTTTCCAACATCTAAATAACCAGAGTACTAAAAAAAGGAAAAAAGAAAAGGGAAGAAAAGAAAGTTAAATCGGGAATTGAAACCCCCCCTTTTTAAGTGAATTTGTACCTGAACCACAGTGGAATCGCACAATTTTGGTTGTTTAAAGGCGAGTGAATGATTGATATATTTTTGACTAGTAAAAATATTAGCAGCAACTAAAGTACTTGCAGTTAATGATAATAAAGATAGCAATTGAAATTTCATTCTTTCGGTATAAGAACAAAAAAAAAAAAAAAAAAGGAAAAGGAAAAGATCACATTTATTTATTTATTTACAGATGTTTATTTGTACGACGATATTGATGGAAAAAATGTTAAGCTTTCAATAGCTCTTGCTTTCTCATATCATTTCATTAAACTCTAACGTTGTCGCGGGTAATGGTTTTCACTGCCCGATATCCACTTCTTTTCTATTATCTTGGATGATTATTTGATTCGTTCTTTTTTTTTTTTAAATAAAAACAACACATTTCATTATTTACAAAGGGATGAGATGGAGTCTTAGAAAAATAAAATAATATTACTCTTTTTATGATCAAGCATAGTCTTGGAGGGAATTTTGTCTGCTGAGACAACAATATGAAAAATGCGGTAACCAATGGGTACACAAAACGCAATCGAAAGAGAACTGGATGGAAATCCCGCCTAAAAGAATTTATGACAAACCTTTATATGGTAATAATTTCTTTATTCCTATTCCCTACCTGTGGAACGTCACTAGAGAACACAACCATAGTAAAGATGATTCCATAAATAGTAAGAAAAAGTCTTCAAACAAGGTTTAATATTTCAATGAGATTAAAAAAAAAAAAGTGATCCTTTAATAAAAGAAAATGGTACAAAGTAATAATAATAATAATAAATAATAATGGTAACAGTAATAACAATAAAGGATATAACAAAGTAATATTCTACATATGATAACAAACAGCTAACTTTCACCATCCGGCTTGATCCGTTGTATTGTTTGTGTCGCTGTGGTTGGTGTACTTGGAAGGTCATTCAGGTCAGGCTTTGTTGTACCAGAAAAGGAGGTAAAGGTCGATTCGGTAACGCCATGAGACATGGAAGACATTGGTCGAGTAGTGAGTCCATTAGCTAAAGCAATAGATCCTAAAATAGTCGCAGACAATGGCCGATCCATATGTGAACTATGCATACTGGTGGACAAAGAGGTGAGTGTGGCTGATCGTGTTGCTGGAGAGCCATGACTATCAAGTATTACTGTTGGATCATCCGTTGGTGATTCGATAAAAACAGGATCTTCTTCCATACGTAATCGAGGATCTGCTGTATCAATGACAAACTGGTCATTAGGTCGTTTTGATGGAAGGAATTTCTTGCCATCATCCAAATTACTGGTTCGCCGGAATCGGAGAAGGTATACGACAACGCCAACTAGAACAAACTAAACACCAATAGAATAAAAAAAAAAAAGTATACAGATTAGACGCACACACAAAAAAAAAAAAAAAAAAGAAAGCAGTTGTGACTTACGGCGCCAACAATGCCAACAACCAAACCAATAATCATAGCTGTTGTCCAAAAAGTAGTACCATTATATGTTATTTTCCATGCCCAAGTTGTAGTATCCAATATATTCACATCAGCTCGATAACCATTGCTCTCATCCACACCAAACATGATGAAAAGATCAGTATTATAAAGTACCGCTACAAAAAAAAAAAAAAAAAAAAAAAAGAATATTAGTTCCAAATCCTTTTTTTTTTTTCTGTAGGATCATTACAACTATGACCATAGAGTTGACCAGATCCAATAGAGGTTGGTTTGTTTGGTTCGGCATGAACATCAATAGGAGTCCATGTAAGAGAGGTAATATCCAAGATATAACAAACATCAAGTACTGTTACTCGTCCATTAAACCGACCTAAACAAATATAAAGCAAAAATAAATAAATAAAAATACTATGATATATAAGTGACTTACTTCCAGTATCATAAACTCCACCATACAATAGAAGTTGTTTTTTTTGAGGTACTAATCAATATAAAATAAATAAATAAATAATCAACATATATATATATAATTTCATCCATTCTCTTACAATAAGTCAAAGTAAATGCTCTACGTTGTGAAGGTATGGTGCCTTTAGTTGTAACTTGTTGCCAAGTATGATCGATAGTGTCAAAAATCAAGATTTGATCCATAGGTACATATCGTCGACTATTGGTAATATTTGTATTGACTTGATTGCTATCGATGGTCATTCCTCCTATAATATACATCTTGTTATCTTCCGTGATCGCCGCTCCATGATCGGCAGTGACATTATATTGAGTTGGTATTGCTAAGGATATCCACTGCCAGGTCTATATCAACAAATAAAATAAAAAGGATCATCATTGATTAGTTAAGACAGGGCAGGATAGTACGTTATTATTACCTTTGTATCTAGTCCATATATATTCGTTGGTAACCTGACATGGGTAAAGTTTGCTTTATCATTGTAAAATCCATCAAGTACATATGTTTGATTATCCATGGGTCTATAAAACATGATTAAATAATAAGAATAATAAGAATAATAATAAAGAAACTGATAACTTACATGAGTCCACCATATGACCACATGACCCCTTTACTATCCATTAAAGCTGAAGATGCAAAGCTTGAAAAAAATATTAGTTAGTATCCTACTTTTTCTTTTTTTTTTTTTTCATCATTATGCTTACCTGCTTGGCATAGAAGAAGAGTCCATAGGTATGCTTGTCCAGGATTGATTAACAGGAGCATATATTGTTGTGACGTTTTGAAGAATGGTTTTCCCATCAGAGTTACAGTTCCCCATGGTCATGATATATCCAGAAGTATTGTCTGCCAAAGTTACCAAGTCATGACCCCATCTTCGTTCCACTATATAATCGGTTGGTGGATTGATCTTCACCCAATCTGTAATGGGTTGATTGACAGTAAGACTTGTTGTAAGATCCAAACTGAAATGGTCATCATAAATGTTGTAACTTCCTTCTGAGGCCGAATTTTTACCACCACCAAAACAATATATTTTTGTGTCTACTAATGTGCATGCTTTATAAGAATATAAAAGAATGAAAAGAAAGTAAGGAAAAGAAAAGTGTTAAAATTAAAGCAAGCAATCGGATTTTCAATCATACCTGTCCATCACTTACCAGAACGATTTCGATCTCTAACGCTATAAGTTGCTATTATACAAACGGTGAAAAAAGAAAAGAAACATATCAGTATTCTCATCGTATCTATACGTATTCCTTTCCAAAAACAAAAAAAAAAAAGAAAAAAAAAAAGGTGCTCAGTTGAAGAATTCGATTTATAAACAGAACGTATTTTCTCGTTTTATGCAATATGCAGGCGCCTCAAAAGGAGAACATATCAACAAATGAAAGCGAAATCTTTTCTAAGGGATTTTTTTTTTTAAAAAAAGGAATTAACATCATCATCGTTTTGGAAATCCTAGTATTTTCAATAGATGAATAGAACGTTTATACTCTTGTTTCTCATATTGGATGAAATAGTTACTCAGATAATTGTTACCGTAAAAAAAAGAAGTTCCTTTTTTTTTATGAACTTGGCGAGGATACAAGTCTCTTTTTATTGAGATGTAGATCAGCTGATCTACCTTTTGTTTACAATCGAATCATTTCATTCTTTTTGGATTTTTGCTGTCAATCCATTGTCAATCAATACAGTTTCCCTTCTTTACTAAAAGAAGAAAAAAAAAAGTATAACAAAGACCGACCGATATTGTGATATAAGGAAGAATTCTGCTATTTCTGCCAATTGATGATGATGATGATGATGATGATGATGATGGTGATGGTGATGATGATGGTGATGATGATGATGGTGATGATGATGATAATACAATGTTGCATTATGCCATCTACTGTGGTAAGGCGTATCATTTTGATGATATCAATCTCGTGGTAAGTTCAAGTGAACATGCAAAGTTGAAACCATGTGATTACCATTTTAGGATTGATTTTCCAAGTTCAGAATTGTTTATTTGAATGGCCCAAGTTCTACTTTCTTTTGTTATTCTGAGAAGATTTTCCGCATACGTGGATCGCGCCAAAAAAAAAAAAAAAGTAAAGAGGTGTGATATCTTGCTTCAAATCAAACATTGATAGGCGACATGGACAAAATTCATGCTTGGAAAGTACCTTTTTCTTACTCCGATTTCTTCATCCCAAGCCACTAATTTTTTCGGCCTTCCCCTCTCTCTTTTTTTTTTTCCCTTTTCTCTTTTTATCTTTGTCGTTTTCGTTGTCATACCATATCATGGGCAAAGTTAGCAAATCTACTGTAAAGTTCCAAAAGAACAAACTCAAGCAAACCATTGAACGTCGAAAGAAAAATGCAAAACTCAAGCAACAGATCAAACGAAGACAAGAAACCCGACTTCATGGTCACGGTCATAAAAGTAAGTGTAGTTGGCTAATATATATATATATATATATATTTACTTATTTTACTTTTCATTTTTGTAGAGTCTTCTTCCACTGAAACAACATCTATTGTGGAACAACCAGAAGAAGAAACCAAAGAGTAAGTCAAACAAAAGATAGTGATCATCTAGCTTTACAATTCTAACCCCTTTCTCTGAACGGAATCTCTGATAATTTTTTTTTAATAGATCTCAAGTTATTGATAATGTGGATACCTATTTTGCTAACTATATATTAAACGGTGAAGAATCATTGGATTTGGAAAATGATGAGGTAAATAGGATTATTAGAACTTTGGAGACTATCGGAAACTCATATATTTTTTTTTTTTTACAGGAGCAAGATGTGAATGCTCTTGATGCTTTTGAAGCAGTACAAGATGAAGAAGCGATTGAAAGAGAAATGGAACTCGACTTGGCCAATGAAAATATGGAATCATCATCAGACGAAGAATCCGATGAAGAAATGGAACTTAGTGACGACAATGAAAACGATGACGACGACGACGACGACGATGCGCAATTGATCACAAAGGTCATGTTACAATCTTGGACAAGGGATGCAGCAAAAAAGTCACCTCAAGCATTCAAGAATTTATTATTAGGACTTCGAGCTGTTGCATATGATGATTCTACTAGCAAAAACACCTATCGTATTAACAGCAGCAAAGGTATAATGACTTAATTATTTGAAAAAAATAAAGACAACCTTGATTGACTTTACATTTTTCACTTTTTTATTTAGTTTACACCAAATTGGTCAAAGTTACTGTGGCATCAGCTTATCCTATCTTCAGTCAACACCTTATTGTCAATAAAAAAGTACGACATCCAGCAAAAACTCGATTTTGGACAAAACTGGAACGTGTGGTACGACTCTTTTTGAACAATGTGGTAAGATTCCTTCGTGATTTGGACCAAGATGATATGTTGGTGGATATTCTGAATGAACTGGAACCGTGTGCAATGTATTTTGGATGTTTCCCCAACTTGTGCAGAGAATATCTTCGTGTAAGTTCATATATATATATATATATATATAGAAGAAAAAGGGAATAGGAAAATGATGATTTACTAATGATCTTTTTTTTTTTTTTTTTTTTTTTTTTTTTTTTTAGGTTCTTTTGGATCGATGGTCTGACTTTACACTGGCATCCGACACTAGATTAGTATGTTACAAGGCGATTCGTACATTAGCAACTAACGCAATAGATGCCAACAGCAAGCAAAACTTTTTACCTCATTGTCTCAAGGCTGTCTATCTAGTATATGCAAAAAAGGCTACCAAGGTGAATGAACATACTTTGGTACCTCTACAACAAATGATGGAAGAAGCGACTGATTTGTATACCATTGATCCTAAGCTCAGTCACGAACATGGTCATGTCTATATTCGTCAACTTGCTGATCATTTGAAACAAGCCAAAAAGTCGAATACAGTGGAAAGTTTCAAGACTATCTACACTTGGCAATATATTAGTTGTTTGGATTTCTGGTCAAATGTCATCGCAGTTACATGTAATCCCGAAATTGGTACGACTTCTCCTATGCAAGCACTTCTCCAACCTGTGGTAGATTTATCCCTTCATACTTTAAGGTAATAATAAAATTGATGAGAAAAAAAAAGGTAGTTTATTGATACATATATTGATATTATAGATTGAATCCTACTTCTCAATTCCTTCCTCTTCGTATACATATCATCCGATCTCTGGTGGCATTAATTGATTCTACAGGTTTCTATATTCCTCTGGCACCTTTTATATTCGAAATATTTGGCAATGAAATTTTCAAGGCAGGTGTAGAAAATAATGAATCACTAGATGATTTTGAATGGGAATATCATCTCAAGGTACCAAAGGTTTATCTCAACAGCAAAGTATATCAGGTATGAAACAATATATATATATATATGAAAGGATAACTTAATATTTTAATAATTTTATATATTTAGAATGCGGTCTATCGGGCAGTTTATGATAATCTTGTGGATTATTATGCATGTTTTGGATTATCCATTGCTTACCCTGAATTAGCCATTCCTGCAATCAGCAAGGTAAGGAGTAAAAACTAAGGGATGAATAATGTCACTGATATTAAATTAAATCTTTCCTTTTTTTTTTGTGTGTGTGTAGCTTAAGGAACAACGTGAGAAAATGCATGGATCGAGATTCGTCAAGTCCCTAAAGCAATTAATAGAAAAGGTAAATCAAATTTAAAGCTTGGATCATTACTAATATACTTTTATGTATAGATGGAAACTCATAAGAACTATATAGAACAAAAGCGTGCTCCTATTGAATATACACCTAGTAAATTGGAAGAAGTCACTTCTTTCCTTCGAAATACACCATTTGAACAAACTCCTTTGGGAAACTTTTTGAAAAAGCGAGCTCAACAACAATGATAGATCATCCTTGTTTTTTTTTTTTTTTTTTTTTTTTTTACATTTTTATATATTAGATTATAATGCATTTTACCTTCAATAAACAAATTCTCATTTTTTTTTTATTATTATTATTTTCCCTTTATATCTATACAAGTATTTAGAAAGTATTACGGTATGATGATAGTTTGAAATAACCGATGATGGCATTCATTGATGATATGCCTACAAAATAGATGGGTTGACAACTCGGATAAAGATAACGGGTATGCAGAGCTTTCTCCTTAAAACGAGAAATGGTTAGTTTGAATCGCCGGCTATGAACAAAAGAAACAAAAGGTTTTCCATTTTTTTTTTATTCTCTTTTTTTTTTTTTTTTTTTTTTTTTTTTTTCAAGACACTTTCCACAAGCTATTAGACACATACACACTCTTTTTTTTTTTTCTTACCTTCTTTCCTTCCTTATCATAGTATCTTCTTCTTCAGTAATGGTGTTTGATTATATTACAACTTTTTCACAATGTTTAGCGTTTATCACCATTTTACCTGTGACAGCCGCCATTGGCATCGACTTTATTGTGTATGTCTATAGAAACTTGAAGCAATTGATTCAACTTGATCAAAAATTGGTTGCTTGAACAAGATCATTCCCTCTCTCTATTGCCTATGGGTGTTCTTAAGGTTGCTCTCAAATAGGTAGGTACTTTTTATTATTATTATTATAATTATTATTGAAATACTGATACAGCTTTTTTCATTCGAACAAAGTGTATCATCCCCCCAAAAATGTCGAACCTTCATAGTTTTCTCCCCCAACGATTTGATTCCCCCACGCATATACACCTTTTTTCCACCGTATGATCATTTTCTATTTTATCCAGTCATTTATTTTTTGTCATATCTATCTATTTAATTATATTTTTTATCATATACAAATAAAAAAAAATCTATCTATCTACTATATATATAATTATATAACTTTATAAAGATGAACTTGTTGTATTTCCTCCAATTCATCTTCATTGATATCTTCAAACCATCCACCATCATAATTCAATTTGATTTCCTTCACCCAACCTTTCATCAATTTGTTTGATGATAAACCAGCTTCCTTGAGTTGTTCTTGTAATGAAGGCAAAGTGACCAATAATAATCCAGATTTTTTACTTGTTTGTTCACGAATATATTTCCAAATTTGTTGTTGAATAGGCAATTCACTGAAGAATTGAAACACGTTGTTCATGATCACCACATCTGCCTGTTTGCTTAAAAGTTCAGGTAATTGTTGAATATCTTTGCACTGGATCTATATAGAATAAATTAAAATATTAACTGATGTTCATCCTTTTCTCTTTTTGGTGACTTACTTCCACTCGATCATCCATTTTATATTTTCGAATCATATCCTTTTGTAATTCACAGAACCATTCATTAATTTCTACACCAATCAATCGTTTCGCCCTAGTAAACAAATGGCCCTGAATAATAATATATATATAGATTAAAATAAAAATATCATTCCATTTTTTTTTTTTTGGTAACTTACAGAGTACAAGACAGCACCTAACCTAGATCCAACATCCACCACCACTTTATCCTTAACTTTGTTGGCTAAAGCGACTTGATACAAAAATTGTAATTGTAAGACAGATGCCGAATGAGAGATGAAATCTTTTAAGAATACAAATTAAGAAAATCATTCAGTATCCATAACAATATACAGAGTTTATGACTTACTCAAAGGAGCCACATTACGAGATTGACAATCTAGACAATAATTTCTGGACATTTTGCCTTGATCACAAAGTTCATCCACATCCTCTTCACTAAATAAGAAACCATCCACATGAACTGTATTATTGTCGTTGAATCCAGAGAACTACATAAGTGTTTGATGAACCTTTTATTATTATTATTTATTTCTTTTTTTTTTTTATGCATTTTTACCTCTACAGTATTTGGAATCACAGTCTTTTCACCTGGAGCTTCAGCAGACATAGGTACCTTAGCACGTAAATCCTTGATCATACGACCCAACCGCATCATTTTCAGATCATTGACAGGTTGGAAACTACCATCGTGTTGTTCTACTTCCATATCTTCATTGGTGGCATCCTCGTGACTATGTTGATGAAGTTGACCATGATATTCATCTATATCAAAAAAAAAAAAAAGTGTCTAGTGAACATGTATATATAAAAAAAAAAAAAAAGAAAAAAAAAACTTTAATATTTACCCAAGGCAGATCGAGCAAAACTATCAAACTCATGGAATTGTTCATCGTTCAATTGAGCCAAGAGGTTCAAAAAAGCATCTTTTGACTTTTCAACTGTATCTAGTTGTGGTTGTTGATCGGCCATGCTGGATAAAAGAGGAAGTCAAGGTAAAAAGTTTTTTTTTTTTTTTATAAAATTTTCTATTTTAGTAAGCCAAAGAAAAAGAGAAAAACATTCCAAAAAACGAAGTATTTTTGTGTTCTTCAGAGTGAGCCTGCGACGGACATTGAATTGGATGGTTCCTGTTCTGTTTTCCTTTGTTGTAAACTTCTATCAAATTTGCTTTATTGTAAAAAAAAGAAAGAGCGTATATATATATAAAGAGGATTGTATAAAGGAAAGTGTACAAGAATAAGAGTAGATTGAAAAAAAAGAGAATATAAAAAAAAAAGATATCAAACTAATAACGAAACAAGTGGGTTTGATAAAGATATATAACAAGCTAATCAAAGTTCATCATGATCATGTCCTTGATCAGGTTTGGAGTTTTCTTCTTCTTGTTGTTCTTTGTTCTTTGTATCCTTGTCAGTGGCATTCTTTGTATCGTCAGCAGAAGAAGAAGATTTTTCAGTTTGGTTTGTATCCTTGGTATCCTTCTTCTTATTAACCTTGGGTTTCTTCTTGCGTAATAATTGCATCAAAGCTTCATCCACTTCCTTGGCCTTGATAGCTGCTTCCTTTGACGTCAAAACAGGATCATCCACAGGAGTAAGTGCTAACTGTAACTTGAGCTTTTCATCATTCCAAGCTTCAGCTGCTTTTGCCACAGAGAGTGCCTTTTCCAATTCAGCTTCTGTATGGTATTGCTCATCCTCAGGGGTCTTGCGAATGCCATCGATAAATGTTTGCACCATTTGTACACTTTTCAATACTTTTTGATTAGTGTCATCACGAACAAGATATTCTTCACGGCGATAAGTAATAGGGTCTTCCAATGATCTACAACAAAATAAATAATAAAAACATCAGATACCAAAGATACTACTAACCTTTATCAACTTTATACTTTTACTTACTTGAGAGAGTTCAATCGGTCTGAATAAGCTTTAGTGTCAGCATGTTCCCCTTCATCATAAAGCCAGTCAGAAGTTTCTGATAATTGTTCACGTAATTTTTCTTGTTGTTCTTCTGTGGAAACAATGGCAACTGTATCGTCATACAAAAATTCCAAAGTGCGATATACAAATGATTCCAGATTATTTTTGGCTTCTTCACGAATTTGTCGTTGTTTATCCAAAAGGTCCAACATTCTTATTCTATAGAAAAAAAAAAAAAAAAGAGAGTCAGCAATGAAACACATCATAATAATATCTTCAATATACCTTTTCTTAATCGTAAGTTTTTGATCAATTGATAATGGTTGAGGACCATCAACAATATACTTGACTTGAAGTTTCACTTTGGTAAGAACAGGTTCCTTAGTTGATTCCAATACTGTGGTAGAGTTTTTATCCGAATCAGTATCTGATACATTTGTTTCATTTCCTTGAGAGGTAACCTAATGAGAAAAAAAAAAAAAGATTCGTGAATAAGAATAATTATATTAGAAGCATTTGCTCCTCTTACTTTTTCAGTAGATTCACCATTATCAGCGGCAGTTTCCTTTTCATCCTTGGATCCAAAGAATGATTTGACTTTGTCTATAGCGTGAAATCGTTGTTAATATATCATTATCTTTTATCTTCTTACAATCTTTACCAGTGAATGACTTGTTAGAATCCGGAAGTTCAATATTGACATAAGCTTCAGGTACTGATAATAAACCAGAAGGTGACATTTCAAATACAACACGTACTTTTGGAGGAGTAGAGGCTTGCTTGATATCATCCTTGTATTTTTCAATAATGTCAGTCAATCCAGATACTTTGACATGAGCAATACGATCCAAGATGTCTTGACTACATAAAGTATATATAAGAATAAAATAAAATTAGTATATGTTTCTAGATCTATTTTATCGTTAATATCGAGTTCCAATCATTTTACCTTTTCTTTTCACCGGTGGCATATTGTAACTTGAATTCAAAATCTTCTAATCTTTTGAAGGTCATGGTCTTGCGAGCATTCAATGCATCGAATTCCTTGAATAACACAGTGTCTTCAAAAAAAAGAAAAGAAAAAAGATAAATATCAGCATCCTTTTTCAATATATTCTATATATCACATACCAACAGTATCACCAGAATCTGTATCATAGGTCACTTCAATAGGGAAAGATGTAATATCTTTGATCTTGATATCCTTGGTAAGACGGAATTGATTACTCAAAGAAGCGCCATGAAAAGCAGCACCCAAAACAGCAGCTTCATCTGCATTGACATTCTTTGCAATACGTTGACTAAATGGACAAAAATAAATAAACAAACAATTAGGATCCAATTACTGATTTGAACTCCTTTTTTTTAAATTCTTCTACATACGTTCCAACAATATCGATTAATTTTCTTTGAACAGAAGGAACACGGACATTTCCACCAACAAGAACCAAAGATTGAATATCATCCTATACATAGAAAAAAAATTAGAGTGGATACAAATGTTTTTTTTTTTTTTTGTTGTTGTTAATTCAAACTTACCACAGTCATGCCAGATTCCTTGAGAGCAGCTAAGATGGGACCAGAAACACGATCCAGAAGATCTTCACACAATGATTCCAATTTTTTTCTAGTGATCTTCATCTTGAAATCCTTTTCTTCATGTAATCCTTCAATAGAGGCCATTGTTTCGGTGTTTGCACTGAGGATTTGTTTAACTCGGGTGGCTTCTTTCAATAGTCTAGTCATAGCACCATGTGATTCATAAACACTAGTAGATACTTTACCCTTATATTGATCCATAAATCCATCCGCCAAAAGTTTTTGTAAACGTACATCGAACTCATGTCCACCCAAAGTACGATCAAATCCTACAGCCTTGACTTCCAGTTGAGGTGATGATTTCGTTCGTTTACCTTCCTTTACTTCCACATTGGAGAAAGATACAATAGATGCTACCGTTGATCCAGCACCCATATCGTAAAACATATGATATTCAGGGGTTGTTGTAAATTCGCGATTGATGGCGTAATTCAAAGCAACTGTAATGGCGTTTATAAACATAAAAATAAAATGTTGGAATAAATATCAATATATAAAATAGTTAAATCCTCTGTTTTTTTTTTTTATTGATCTTACCAGCAGTTTCATCATGCATCAAGGTTAATACATTTAATCCGGCCAATTCAGCAGCGTCAAGAATAGCTTGTCGTTCATGTTGAGTAGCAAATGGTGTCACCTAAAAGAAAAAAAAAAGAAAAAACTTCGTTGATAAATATACTTGTTTCTTCATTAGTATTGTATTCTTACCGTAATCACCACGTCCTTAACATCTTCACCAGCAGTATTAACAGCCTGTTGCTTTGCGTTTTGGAATTGGTAAGCGATCAGCTCTTCAACTGTCAAACGATCGGTATCGTTGTGAAGGAAACTGGGCATATTGCGAGAATCATCTAGTTGCATATCATTCACAAATCGATGTCGATATTCTTCAGCATGTATATCATCGTATGGTTTGGCCAAGATACTTTTCAAATTGAAGTAAGTCAAATGAGGAAACCGACCAGCCTAATAAAAAGTTAAAACATGAATTAAAAAAAAAAAAAAAGAAAGAATAAAAATATATTTAGAATTACCAAACTAACAGCATCAGAGCCATAGATACGTTCGTCGTGACGAATAGTAACAACAGATTGTGTTTTTCGTTTCGAGTCCTTGTTTAACGCCACATCCAAAGGCATACCAGGTTTGATAAGACCAACTTTGAACCATTCCGTACCGTAATCAATTGACATGACAGCGGCTTGGGTTTCCTGTAACAAGAACAGCAAAGCTGTTATATATACCAGTAAACCAATCCAACGAGAGGTCATGATGTTAAAGAAGAATAAAGAAGAGAAAACAAAAGAAAAGAAAAGGAAAAATACGTTGAATATTTTTTTTTTTTTCGTTCTTATTCCCATTTTAAAAACCTGAACTTGGCTCGCTTTCATTGGCTCAATGCTTTATTTTTTTGTATGTGCGCTCCATTCTCTCCCCCCCTTTTCTTTCAGGTCAACCACAGTCACTCCCCCAACTCACTAAAAAGTAAAAAGGATAAAACCCCGCTGCTTGTTCTCACTTTTCTTTTGTTACGAAATACTACGATACTTAACTTGAATGAAAGATATTGCGACAAGTGAAGGTAAATATATATATATATATATATATATAGAGAGAGAGAGAGAGAGAGAGATTGAATACATATAAAAAAGAAACTCATTCTGTTTTATTATCGACTTTTTTTTAGACGATTCCAATTTACTTGTTCTTATTATCGATACAAATCCATTTGTCTGGGATCTAATAGCGAAAGCGACACCTCCACTCTCACTTGACGATGCACTTCGACAAATCCTTATTTTTGTAAATGCACATTTGGCATTAAAATATAATAATAAAGTGGTTGTTATTGCAAGTCATGGTGGTCATAGGTAAAAAAAAAAAAAAAAAAAAAAGATATTTTTGTTTTGTTACTCAACTTCATTTTTTGATATGTGTAGCAAATTCTTATACCCTTTACCTCATCAAGAAGGATTAGTACCTCATGTTTTTAACGGTAGCTCAAAACGAAATGCAAATATGTATCCTCATTTTCAACTTGTCACGGAACAGATCGTCGAGGGTTTACAAGATCTACTCTCAGATACGGATATTTTACAAAAAGATAATTGTAAGTCAGGATATGATGTTTATTTATTTTATACTTAACTTGGCATTCTTTAGATACTTCATCCATGATTACTGGAGCTTTCTCTATGGCACTTTGTTGTAAGTGATATTGCATGAAATTACCAACAATGGAAATCACGGGGTATAGACTTTCTGTTTCTTTTTTTTTTCTTTTATAGATATCAATCGAATTATCAAAGTAGATGATTTAGGACATATCAAACCTCGTATATTGATCCTATCTGTATCTCCTGATGCTGCTCAACAATATATTCCTCTGATGAATTGTATCTTTTCAGCTCAAAAAATGGTAAAGACAATACTTTGTCATTCATATTCTTATATTTTGAAATAATTTGTAGGGGATTCCAGTAGATGTTTGTAAGATCCACAACGAACAAACTGCTTTTTTACAACAAGCAGCCAATATTACTAATGGTGTTTTTATTCATGTGGATGATTCTCAAGCATTACTACAATATCTTATGGTATGTACGATAAATAATAATAATTAAAAAAAAAGAAATTGATATTCATATTGTTTTTTTTATTATTATTATTTAGTTTGCCTTTTTACCGGAACGATATGCAAGAAACTATTTGAATTTGCCTAGTCAAGATCTTGTGGATTTCCGTGCTGCTTGTTTCTGTCATAAGAACATTGTTGATATTGGTTATGTCTGTTCTGTTTGTCTTTCCAGTAAGTTAAAAGTTCATGATGATTCTTCCTATTGACTTCTTTTTTTTTTATGTATTATAGTCTTCTGTTCTTGGACACCTGTATGTTCAACCTGCAAGTATGTCTTTATCACTAAAAAGAAATATTCTAGCCAATGATTAACCATTTTATCTTTTCCTTTTTTTTTTTTTTTTTTTTTTTTTTTTTTAGAACCAAGTTTGCTTTTAGACCCAAGATTGCTGGACGACCTACACCTAAAGGATCACCTGCCCCTTCTCCCAGTCCTTCTACTCCCTCATAGTATAGTCATCATAGTATATTACCATTCATGTATATAATAAAATAAAAAATCATCATTTCAACGAACCATGTTTTTGAAGTTTCTGTTTGTGTGTGTTTGGCCGATTTTGATTGGCTAGCTTTAAAAAGGGGATATTTTATGAGGCGGTGCTTTATTTTTCTAGTTGATACTTTTTTTTTCCTCCCTCTTTTCTTCTCTTTCTGTTTTTCTTTTTATATTTAATTCTTAATTATTATATTATATAGAAACAAACATGAGTCACGTACATGGACCTGGTTGTAATCATGGTAGCGGCGGTAATGGTCAAGTACAAACCATCAATATTTCTGATGCCAATCTAGCTCCTCCTTTGTATAAAGGAATTGCCAACTTTTTACGAGATGAAAAGAAATCTGGAATGAAACAAAAACAAGGTGTATTCAATGGCAAGCGTGTGGATTATTTTAAAGGTAAATTGATAAATAGAAAGAAAAAAAAAAGTGTTCTTACTCGTCTCATCTATATATATTTTTTTTTGATGTCCAATAACAAATTAGGCAAACAAGCTGTGAATGCATTATTGAAGGAAGGATTCGCCAAGACGTTACCCAAGGATCAAAAACAACCTACGGAAAGAACAGATGCCGTGGCGATTTTGAATGAATTAGGACGACTTGGATTTATATTATGTGTAGAACGAGGAGATCCTATCAATGGCAAGCATACACCTCGCGTTTTGCGACCTTGTAGCGTGCAGGAAATGAACGAATCAGGTTATTATCTTTGGGTATGGGAAGGATCTCAATTACGTGTGTATCTAGGTGCTATTGGTATGGTTGGTGCTATTCTTACAGCCGTCTTGTTTCCTTTATGGCCAGATATCTTGAAACGTGGTGTATGGTATCTTAGTGTCGGTACATTAGGCTTATTGGGTGTCTTCTTTGGTATTGCTATTGTCCGTTTGATCTTGTTTATCATCACCATGATTATCTTACCCCGTGGCTTTTGGCTTTTCCCCAATTTGTTTGAAGATGTTGGTGTCATAGATAGTTTCAAGCCTTTGTATGGATGGGACGAACCAAAGAAAAAGAAGAATTCATCATCATCAAAAGCAGCTTCATCATCATCATCATCGTCATCGAAAACTGGATCCACAACAACAACGGTAGAAGATGTCAAGGAAGATTGAAGAATATCAAGGGAGTTGGAGGTCAGTTTTTTATATATATCCATATATATTATACAACATATTATAGTTTCGGTTTAGTTTAGTTATCAAAAAATAAAATAACTATTTATTTATAACATAATTGTGGAAGATTACAAAAAAAAAAAATAGTGATGATTGTTTATTTTTATTCCATTTTTTTTGTTTTTATAAAATCAAATATAATATCTATTGTAATAATAATGATATAATCTCTTTTTGTAAAGAGAGAATAGTTGGATCCTTGGTGACATAAAACAGAGGTACCTTATGCTTGATAAAAAAAAAAAAAAAAAAAAAGTTAGCATTAAAATCGATTCCCATCTGAACATTTTTCATTTTCCATGTATATTACCTTTTTGAGAGCTAGCTGTAGAGCCTGCGTCTCCTTGTCCAATTCCCGTAGAATATGTCTATCCATTTGACCCAGTTCTATCTTGGATCGTTCTTCAAACTCGTATTTTTCATCTGCATTTTTGGCACCGATCATTTGTCTTCCACAAAAAAAAAAAAAGTGAATATCAGAATACGAATGAAAGGATAGACTTACTTTGCCAAAATGGTATCCAACTGGTTTTTATGTTTCTCCAATAATAGGTTTCTTTGCTTTGATAATTGCCGTTCTTTTTCATTCTATTAAAGAATACAAAAGATGATGAGTGGCAAGAGAAGAAGAAAAATAAGATCATTTTTTTACCTGAGCTCGTTGACAAACAGCTATGGTCTCTAAAACAGTGGTTTCTTTTTTCATTCGATCCAAAAGACTTATTAATTCTGGGGTAATACTGGTGACTTGTACCATTGAATCCAATAACTGATCTAATGAAAGGGTATTATTGCTGTTGTTACTCCATTGTTGAGTTGTAATATATTCCTGACGTACTTGTTGAATAATAGCTGGATCCAACTGCGACAATAAATCCAAACTGGGTATATTCGTATTGGTTGATTTACTCGTTTGTCCTTTACCCTTAGTTTGGTTAGAATTAATTTAAAAAAAAAAAAATTAGTTAGTCAATGTAAGTGGTCCTTCTTTTCATATTATATTTTATCTACTAATGATATTTACTGCTTTTGATAATAACGACCGAATCACATTATTTCCATCATCCATACTCTTTCAGATTGAGAAATTTATAGAACATAAGAAAAAGGAGAAGAGAACAAGAAAAAGAAAAATCAAGAGGCAAGACAAAAAAAGAAAGATTTTCGAACGCCGTATTTTTTTTTTTTTAATTCCAAAATAAAATAATAAAATAAAAAAAGAGCCACTATACTAAAATACTAAATTTGAGAATAATGACCAAAAACAAGGTCATAACCTTCAAAAATATGAAGAATCTTATTCTTGCGTCTGTAACCAGAGAAAGAATCCAAAGTTCCCATCATACGACCCAATTGTTCAACATCAGTCTTGTCCAAAGATGAATCAGTTTCTTCTTCACTATCGGCCAAATATTTGTTCCCTTGAGAAGCAAAATAAGTTACAGTAAAGTTGGATGGTTGGAAGATATCGATGACTTGACGAATCAATAAACAAAGAGCATCAGTACGTTGATCTTTGGAAGATTTACCAGGGTGAGAGATAGGGGTAGATGGAATGGTAGTTTCAAAAGAAGCATAAGAGCATTGAGGTTCAGGAGTAACATGAATGGTATAATAACCATCATCCAACAATCCATTTGCAGAATAGCCACAAGGCTCAAACAAAAATGAATCCACTTGAGCATCAGGGTAAAGTTTGTGTAAGCCAGTTGATTGATCCACACGCCGTCCGCCAGGAATACCAGTAGGTTCATCACCTTGTTGATAGAATGCCTCCATTGCCTTGGGGTTTAATCCAGTCATCAAGATTTCAACAGTTTCATCGTGAGATCGATAATCCAATCGTTGATGATGAGATTGTTGTTGTCTTTGTTGAATGCTGGTGAAATAATCACTACGGTCGGTATTGGTGTTATCCATTCTTCTCCAAGTACAATCATCTTGACCCATCCATGTAATATCATCATCAGCTTCTTCCTTGATAACTCGTTGCATTTGTTGTTCATGGAATCCTTGATATTGTTGATGGTTATAGACCGGAGTTGTCAAATATAGATACCATTCGTCCGCATTTGTATCACCAATGATATAAGCAGCGCCATTATCTACCAAATATAGACAGATCGTTTTTTTAAAAAAAAAGATCCATGTAAAAAAAAAATATCATTTAATATCTTACCGAAATATGAATCCAAGTATTTGACTTCATTGTCCCAACTACGATGTGGATCAGGTTGTTTTTCAGGAAACATGAATGATTTTCGAGAATAGAATAGACGATAAACAGAATCCAGACCACAGTAAGTTTTTGCAATGTTAATGATTCCAGGTAAAGCATGTAAAAGAGTAGTAGTACCGCATGTCTTGATGATGACTTTATGTGGATAAACAAACATGGATGATTCACTATAAGATTGGATAAGAGTCAAAACAACAATAAAAGAAAAGAATAAATGAAAAAAAAATTACCTTAATAAATAAGCATCCACATGAGCATTATGAATGACATTGAGGACAGTACATTTGACAGTAGCAAGCATAGCATCCCATACAGGTTTTTCTACGGTACGAAGGTTCTTGTCACAATAGGTATCATTGTTGGGTGTAGAAGGAGTTGAGATATCAGATAAATCAGAATCACATGCATCCACAGATGGTAAGGAAGAAGTAGAGATAATAGGATTAGGAGAGAACCAAATTTCCAAAAGTTTTTCAGGACCTTCAAAACAGCCTTGTTCAGCACTATAGTTAGCACCAGAGGGAGGAGGAGCAGGTGGAGGAGAGACAGGATTGTAGATCATAATGTGTATATTGTTTGTTTTTTTTGGTGTTTATATGTTGTTATTGTTTTGTTGTTGTTGTTTTTTTTAATACTTGAGAGAGAGAGAGAGAGAGAGAGAACCAGCAGTTGGAGTTGGTTGATATAAGAAGTTTGTGGGAGTAAGAGAATAAGAAGAATAAGAAGAATAATAAAAATATATAAATAAAAAAAAGAAAGTTGAAGAGTAGTGTAAAAAAAAATATAATTAAATGTAAGGGATGTCAGGACCAAAAGTTAGAAAAGTGAAGCCGGAAGGGTAAGCTAATCAAATAACGAACTAGATTGTTTTTGAAAGAGTCAGAGCGCATAGCAGGGTGGAAAAAAAAACTATAAAGTGTAAGTTGGTTTTTTCAAAAGTAATAAAAGAGTAAGGGTTAAATCGAATTCGAAATAAAACTTGTAATACTGATAATGGTATAGGTAAAAGTAATAACCATTCGTAGGTAAAACAATAAAAAAAAAAAAAAAAGAAAAAGTGTAAAACTAAAGGAAAAAAAAAAAAAGAAAAAAAGAAAAAAAAAAGTATTTTTTTGTCCCTTTTTTTTTTGTACAAAATTTTCACTTTCCCCTTCTAGTTCGTGACTTGATTTCGTTATGGCTGGATTTCTCCCCCTCTTTATTTTTGGGTACAAAGTTCATACACTAAAAACCGCGTTTAAGTGGAGAGGAAGGGGGAATGGATCGAGTATTCAATGTTGTTAGGAAAATAAAAAATGATTCTAGCGTTATATGGTATAATGCATTTCTATTTTGCCTTCCCTCCTTCATACATAAATACTACATCTATTGACTTGATGAATTAGTACATATACAAAAATTGAATACATCCATCATCTTTTGTTCTCTTTATTTTTATTTTTTTTTTTACAATAACACCCGTCTATCCAATATGATATTTGCTTAGTATCATTTCTTTCATGATATCATCATTCAACTATATCAACTTATATATAGAAGATGAATGGCGGTGGTTGAAAACACATTTTGGTGCTAAAAAATCTTTCAATCAAGACCTTTTTTTTTTTTTGCCCATGTGCATATGCCATTCTGATATCATAGATACGATGATGATGATAATGATGATCATTGTGACAATCCTGGTGACAAGAAGGATGATGATTGTGGATGATGATCTATAAGAAAAAAAAGAGTACTTATCCTTTATATGATTTCTTCATAACTGACTCATGATAGCTAAACGATGATGAATGATTTTGAATTTCCCGTGATACGTTCCACCCCCTTCTTTCTCTCTTGTGTCTCTCGCTATATCTTCCCGACTTACCGGGATACCTTATGAAGATATTATTTTCTCATGCATCTCAAAATAGTATTACCCTTATGTGTGAGATAATAAATAAGAACAAAAAAAAAAAAGAATGTTCATGATCAACAGACTACAAGTTACAAAATATTATTTCTTTGACAATGTTGGAAAAGGAAATCATTTTCAGCCACTGCTCTTGAGTTTCTTTCTGCCTTCCATCAATCAATTGCCCCCTTTAGAAAATCACACTGATCATTGCACAATCATACACAAAAAAAAAAAAAAAAGATCATCCCCTGCTATGATCTTTTGTCCATTTTTTCTACAACGAAGATCATGATAACAATGGTTACATGTTGATGATTCTTGTGGTAATGAAGATGACTATGATAATAATGATAGTGATGATAGTATTATGGATGAGGATGTTATTAATTATGATGATGATGAGGACAATAATAAGTTATAAATATGGTGATGATAGTTGTTCTGGTTCTTTATAATAAAAAAAATGGAACGATCTTTTCCCTCTTTTTTTTTTTAAAAAAAAAAAAGGATCATCATCCAACATCCATCATCCATTAGACTTTTATTTTTCCGTAGAGTTGGAATGCAAAAGAGATGTGATTATTCTTTTGCCTTCTTCAAATTCGTTCAAAAAATCATCAGTGGTATTTTTATGGGGATAAGGCTCATTTGGAATGTCCTTGCCGAGGAAACGACATAAAGGTTCCCAACCGTCTCCAAGATGTAAAATGAGCAAACGATCAGCAGGGATTGTTTTTTTGACTTGTTCTGTATGATCGTTGAATAATTGACACATGTATTCTTTATCAGCTGGCTTTTCCAAATGTTTTCCAAGCTTGCCATTGAAAGTAATGTGAGAAAGAAACTTGGTCATTGCTTCTGCACCTATGGTCATTGGTGTCTCAGCAAATTCTTTCAAAATGGTCTTTTGCATGGACTTGAACCAGTCTTCTGCAGGTCGGATGGTCAAGATGACTTTGGCATCAGGGTATTTTTCGCTCAATTCTTTATAAAATGCCGCGGAAGGGAAGTCCAAGCTGGCTGTATAGTCTCCGTATACTTTTTCCCACTCATCCTCATGTGTATCCGGATGATCGTATGCTCGATGAAATACACCTAAATCTGCTGAATCATCTTCCAGTATACTTAATCCATGATGTGTCCGATACCTATGCCCAATAATCGATAAAAAAAAAAAGATGATGCTCCATTGGTGGATGTATTTTTTTTTTTTTTGTTATGCATTACCCTAATATTTGAAGAGCTTTTAATAGACTCATAGTCCCAGTTCGCCCATAACCGGCACCAATAACTTCAAGAGGCATGATTATTGATTGTTAATGATTTAAATGGACATATAAATGAAAGGATCAGAAATCAACGACTTTTATATTGTTATGATCATTTTTAGTTTCTCAGAATATGATCTCATACCGACTGTTAAACCTTTGATACAACGTTTGTAGACTCATCAAAAAAAAAAAAAAAAAGAGAACTATTTTAGTGTACAGTTATCAGGTCTTTTATAAAGTTCAAAACCATTTGATCATCATATTATTATTTTTTGATTCGTGTCGTCATGTCTGTATTGGAAAGGGGAAAACAGTTTTCGAATTCCTCATATTATTGGGGCAATTTTCTGTCATCGTGCATTTAAGTTCCCAGATTCGGCTTTCTTTCGCTCCTTTTCCTTTTCTTTTTTTTTTTTTTTTTATCTTTCTTTTCCGCTCTCTTTTACCCTTTTTTTTTTCTATTTGTCTGTCTTTGACTTTTTTTATTTCTAATTCTTCTTCTTTTTGATATCAATAGAATGCGACTGGGTATATATATACTATTAAATGAATGTGGATATATGATAAGATTGAACTATATGACTGATACACGACGTCATTGGATTATACAAGGATATTCTTCCAAATGAAACTAGGATCAAGTCTGAATTGGGATCGATGTACGATAGAATTTTTAACGGGATTGATTCGGATGGGCAGCAAAAAAACTAATGGCGATATCAAAGCTACGTCAATGATAGTACAGAAGAATGACAGGAGAATATGACCGTAGACCAGCTTTCGCGTTTTTGTTTATAGCACCATTTTTTTTTTTTTGAATGGAGAGGTAATAGAAAAGATAAAAAGAAAAAAAAAAGGTACTACTGACAGTATCTGTACTAATTGTATAACTATTATTTTATAAGGAACACTGTCGCTACAAACGGTCACTAAGTTATCAACAATCGGTGGAATCATTCAACGTCAGGCATATCAGGAATAAATACATATCACCAATTATTTATCAGAAATAGGAATTACATAAAATAGTGAGAGACAACAACAAAGATTGAACAACGCAACAATAGTTAGGATTTCATATTATATGATTCAAGCTAGTATAGATGTCAGTTAGTTTAGTGATCCTTTTTTTTTATTGGTGAACAATAAACTCTATATATATATTGGTATTGTGATATATAGGAAAACATCTTGTGATAATGGCTGTGTATGCGACAACGATGATTGTAAATATTGGGAACGTGATTGGAGGGAAGGGAATTCAGTAGACACGTTAGAAAATAAAATGTCCAGCATAATTCTCACTTGAGTTAGTATGAGGGTATGGTTCATCCGGTATAGGTTTATCCAAGAATTGGCAAAGAGGTTCCCAACCATCACCTAAATTCATGATGAGCAAACGATCAGCAGGGATAGTTTGTTTGACACGTTCATTATGTTCATTGAATAATCGATACATGTACTCCTTATCTTCTGTTTTGGGGATACCATCTTCATCCATGACACCATCTAGCATGATATATTTCAACATTCTACGTACAGCTTCCTTATGACCTTGTAATACATGGGTAATTTGTTTGAAAACCGTCTTTTTCATAGATTCATACCAACTTTCAGGACTCCGGATAGTTAAGATAAATTTGGCTTCAGGATACTTTTTACTAAGTTCTAATGGGATCGTAGATTAGATACCTCTTTTTTTTTTTTTTTTTTTTTTTTTTTTTTTTTTTTTTTTTTTTTTTTTTACATGTATTTTACCTTTATAAAAGACAGCGGTTGGAAAATCTACAGCTGCTGTATAATCTCCATATACTTTATCCCATTCATCATCATGAGTATCAGGATGTTCAAATGCTCGGAGCCAAACACCAGGATCTTGAGTTTCATCCCCATACAGGTTAGAACAATGATGAGTCTTGTAACTAACAAAAAAGAAAAAAAAATCATTCCAGATTTGGTAATTCCTTTTTCCATTTATATTATTTACCCTAGTTTATTAAGAGCAGCCTGCAAGCTCATTGTTCCAGTTCGCCCAACACCAGCACCGATGACTTGAAGAGATGATGTTGTCATAGAAGGAATATGAAAAAAAGAAAGAAAGAAAGAAAGAAAAAAAAAAGACTAATCTAAAGGAGGTAACAAAAACAAGTATTTATGTTAAACAAATAAGCATGATGTTTGATTATCATTTGTTTATTTATTTATTGTGTATTTACAGATGATGTGAAAAAAAAAAATCAAATACTTCTTGGTTATGATCTTTTTTTATTTGAAATCTCACGTTTCCCAATTTGGCTCTCTTTACCCCCTTTTTTTTTCTTACTTGCCCTTTCTTTTCCCGTCCGCTCAATTTTTTTTTCTTTTCCTTTCACTTCCTTTTTTTTTTTTTAACTCCTCATATGTCGATAGAATACAACTGGAAAGTGAATAACTAACTGAGTTCAACTGGATGCTTGTACAAGAATGATAGGATTGTGAAAGGAATGGAATGTAGATCAATTAGGTTATGACAGTAAAAAGATAAGACGAACAAAAAACAAAAAAAAAAAAAGAGAAGCTCATTGAATTTTTTTTTTTTTTTTTTTTTTGTAGTTTCTCTAAGTTGGGTACTGGAAAATAACATATCAAGCGAAAACATAACCTTATTTATAATACCAATTTATGGATGTAAGGTAACAATAAAGATGACGATAAAAAAAGATAGTACAATATCAACTATGGAAGATATACTAACATCGTGTAGATAAACAATTACTTATAGGGAGAAACATAAATGGAATGTCGGCAACAAATACATAATGCGAATTTCTTGTTTGAAATTGGGAAAAGGATGATAAAAGAATATATGAAAGATTCACGAAAGACAAATAATGATTGGGAATTGGATGTAGTTTAGTTTAAGGATTTTCTTTTTTTATATTTTATCGAAAGACAATAAAGGATTATAATTTCATTTATTTATTTGTGTTTGTATTTGTTTGTATATTATGATCAACATCTTATGATAAGAAAAAGTAATTGATCAACCAACGGCATAATATTTGGATAGGAAATGGATGGCGAAATGTTAACAGAGATTAAGAAAAGCCACCTTTTCATAGAAAGTGTCTCTTTTATTCATATGTGGATAAGGTTCATCCGGAATAGGTTTACCCAGAAAGTGGCATAGAGGTTCCCACCCATCACCTAAATTCATGATGAGCACACGATCAGCTGGGATAGTTTGTTTGACACGCTCGTTATGATCCATAAATAATCGACACATGTATTCCTTGTCGTGTGCCCTAGGCATGCCTTCTTCATCCATGACACCATCTAGCGTAATACGTTTTAAAATATCACGTACTTTTTTATGATGACCTTTCATTGGAAGATTGATTGCTTGGAAAACTGTTTTTTGAGTGGATTCATACCAACTTTCAGGACTTCGGACGGTTAAGATGAACTTGGCTTCAGGATATTTTTCACTAAGTTCTATGATAGTAAAAAAAAAAAAAAAAAAAAAAAAAAAAAAAAAAAAAAAAAAAAAAAAAAAAGGAAGCACTGTAAGGGAGGATGAACATTTTTATACGCTTGCGATCTCACCTTTATAAAAGACAGCAGTAGGGAAATCCACAGCTGCTGTATAATCTCCATATACTTTATCCCATTCATCATTGTGAGTATCAGGATGATCAAATGCTCGGAGCCAAACACCAGGATCTTGAGTTTCATCCCCATACAGGTTGGCACAATGATGAGTCTTGTAACTACCAAATAAGAAAAAAAAGAGTTATCACCATGTCAGTTTTGGTAATCCCTTTTTCCATTTTTATTATATACCCTAGTTTATTAAGAGCAGCTTGTAAGCTCACTGTTCCAGTCCGTCCAAAACCAGCACCAATGACTTGAAGAGATGATGCTGTCATAGAAGAGAAGATTGGATGAAAAACGAAGGAAAAAAAAAAACAAGAAGTCTACAAGGGGTTTAGTAAAAGACCAGCTATTTATAATAAAGATCTTTATAATAAACAAACAAAGACACAAAAGAACTTGTTAATTACAGTATTATTTGGTTTTACTTATTTTGTACCAACAGGTGACATGAACGTTCCTCAGCAAGTAATATCACATACTATATTTGGAAGCAAAATGCTTTGATGCATGACGAGTTTTGTGCGTCACTTTATATCAAATCCAAAAGAAGTGTTCTTTTTTTTTTTTTTTTTTTTTTTTTTTTTTTTTTTTTACAACAACACAACATTGACAAGGATGGGGACAATGATGTTTCACTTTTAATGGTTCATTTTTATTAAAGTCTATAAAGAATCCTATACTATTGCTATGATAATGACGATAAGTGATAATTGAAAATATTGAACACAACAATAATGATAATAACAAATGACTGCGATAATAGTGGAAAAAAAATGACTTTATTGGCATAAGAGATCATATATTAAAAGACTAACGTTAACTACCAAAAAAAAAAAAAAAAAAACCAATCATTTGTACCAAATATATATGTGTGCGTTTGTGTGTGTGGAGAGAGAGAGAAAGAGAAAGACGATCAAACCAGATGAAATACATCAAGACAATACTATTACATAGTGGACTTGCTTGGCTTATCCAGTCAAATCCTTACTTCCATTGCGTTCTGTTGATACTGCCATATATACATCCAACCAATCCTATTCTATGTATGTCCAATCGATCCTAGTTTACATCTACCCAGTTGCTTCAGTTCTATAGCAGTCCAGTTGTTATTCTATTCATTGAAAAATACAAAATAAAAAAAAAGCCAAATAATCGGTTGATAAGAAGTTCCAAAAAGAAAGAAAGCTATGGAAGGAATGAAGAACCAAAAGGATGAATATTACCTGAAGCATAATGTAGGTAATAGTAGATTAGTATTCTTGGTCCACTAATCCTTCCTGATTTCCTATTTTTCTATCATAACATGTGCATATAATATCTAATGACATTTAACAATCGAAAGAGGGGTATAAATAGAAGAAGAAGAAAAAAAAAAGGAAAGTGGAAAGAGTTTGTTGAGAAAGAGAAAAGTCATTTTCTTGACTCTCTAACTTTACTTAATTTTATGTGCTGGATTTGAATCTTTTTTTTTTTTTTTGATGATGATGATACAGTGTTTTCAAAGTTTTTTGTCGTGTCACAAGAAAATGTTTTTCGTGATGTTATAAAATAAAAAATCGTACTTTCCCAAAATGAATGTCGCATTACCACTTTTTTAGATATCGCTTTAGAGATGTCGGTAGAGTATGTCATTGATTGATGATTGATGATTGATGACTGATTGTTAGCTGATTCTTTTCAACAGGCCATCTTTGGAAAAAAAAGAACTATATTTTTTATATTGTATCATATAAGACAGGGGTATACTAATGTAATATTCATATCTTGTGATGTTGATGTAAATTTGCATAATAGTTCCTTTCTTTTTTTTAAAAAAAATCATTTACTGGGGTCTTCTTTGTTTATTTTCATTAACTGAGACATTCGATCGATCGATAACGAATGTAAATTTGCATAATAGTCCTTTTTTTTTTTCTTCTGAGGTATTTTTGCCAGGTTTATTTTATTCCTTGATCAAGTGAGAGATATAAAAGAGCGCTATTTTATTTTTCGTTTTTTTCTGTTTCTTTTTTCTCTTTTTTTTCCTTTTTTTTTTCTTTTTCTTTTAATTTCTTTATCTATTTTGATATCAATTTTTAAACCAATCTACAAGCATACAAGACCTTTATATCCATTCATACCAAATACAAGTTTTTTTTTCTGGACTACAACCTTACAAGAATCAAGACGGGCCTTTAGGTCCATTTGCTTTTTTTTTTTAATATATACTTATTGGACTTCCTTCTCTCTGTACCTTGCTTAATAGTAAGTTTCTTTTAATAATAATAATAATAATAATAATGATACAGTATATTAATCATTCTCTTTTTTTTTTCTTTTTGAAATCTCCCTTGGTGCTCAAAGTGAATATCTAACTGTAACAGCAACATATTAAACTATGTTATCGCCTCTTCGGAGGACGCATTTAATGCTTCTCTACAGGTAATTTGAAATAAATATAAAAAAATGGATATGTTGACTAAATAATATTTTATTTTCTGTTATTCAAAATACTCAATGGAACTACTATCACTCCTTTTCTTCTGGTTCTTTTTCTTCTTCTTATATTCTCTATTTGGTTATGCGTCAACTCTCTCTTTTCTTCCCCGTCATTTATTTTCTATCCTTACGATATTTTATTTCCTATTTTTGCGACATCTTATTCTTTGAATTCCGTCATTTTTTATTGAATAAAGTGTACATGATAATACAACAAATACATTGAATTAATTCTGCTTAATCAAATTGATGTCTTTATTATTATAATTTACGCATAGCGTTGCTTAAACTCTTCGACGAGTCTATTAAAATCATCACCAGTGTTGGTGGAGGGGTAAGGTTCATCGGGGATATCCTTACCAAGGAAACGACACAAAGGCTCCCAACCATCTCCCAAATTCAATACGAGCAGACGGTCCGCGGGGATAGTACGTTTCACTTGTTCAACATGATCATTAAACAACTGACAAATATATTTCTCATCATGAATCTTGTCCACATCCTTTTCAAGAATGCCACCAAGAATGGTATGACGTACCATGGCAACCACTGCATCGTTATGTTTGCTTACAGATTCTCGGTTGCTCGATACATGCTTGAACACAGTATTGTGCATAGATTTGTACCACGATTCTGCACTTCGAACAGTCAAAATCACTTTGGCATCAGGATACTTTTCACTTAGTTCTATATATAGTCAAAATAAAATAAAAATGTTTGGTAACTTTTTTTTTTTTTTTTTTTTTTTTTTGGGACACTTGCCTTTATAAAAAGTAGCTGTGGGCCAATCAACAGCTGCAGTGTATTTGCCATAGACAGATTCCCATTCATCTTCATGATGTTCAGGATCATCATATGCACGACTCCAAACAGATGGATCTTGATTTGGATCTGACATTAAGCGCACCATATGATGAGTACGATAGCTTTATTTTTTTTTTTTTTTGAAAAAAAAAAGATTAGGAAAGCATATGATGTTAGACCCTCTTGAATATAGGATGAATCTTTTTATGTTGACGTTTACCCTAGTTTGTCAAGAGCATGATGTAAACTCATAGTTCCTGTTCGTCCAAATCCAGCACCAATTACTTCAAGAGGCATGTTTGTTTGTTTGTTTGTTTGTTTTATTAAGTATTAAATGAAAAAAGAAAAAAAAAAGAAGTAAACATGGAAGACTTTTTATACAAGTATAATAACCGAGCACAGGCGTGGAACCCATTTTTTTTTTTTCAGCTCAGAAAAACTTAAATACAGAAGTTGTCTGATTGCGCGCCATATTGTGTCATACGACCTCATATATTAGAATTTTGAGTTTCTAAATCGGTGCAATAATTGACCCGACGACCGATTTTAACGGAATACGGAAAAAAAAAAGTGGCATAAACGTTTACTTTATTCTTGATTTTGATTTGTGTATATATATAAAAAAAAAAAAAGGTGATAGAAATATATATAATATATAAAAAAAAAAGAAGGAAAACCTAGCAAACTGGTAATGAATTACTATAGAAGGAGTAAGGGGGGATGATGACTATGATAATAATAAAAAATAATGATGATGATGATGATAAAACAAAAGTAAACACTAAAAAAAAAAAAGCCAGGCGAAATAATATCTAAAGAGCTTCATCTTCATCCATGGTAGCAGGTAGTTCAGAGGGTTTGACCATACCAGGAATACGGAGGGCCTTTTCACGTTCTTCCTTACGTTTCTTTTCCATCTCAGCTTCCTTTTCTTCCAAGTATAGTTCCGCATTTTCACCAGCAAATTCCTTCAGTTGGATGAGGAAATCACGGACTTCCAGTTTGAATTGTGCTGGAGAACTGTTGTATTCAAACATCGCCATCACGAATAACTTGATTTGACCACTAAATAATAATTATTATTATTATTTTTTTTTAAAAAAAAATTAAATAGTTAGTTACATACATTCTTGATCACTTGATTTCTCTATCATTTTACCTTTGCAAATGTGGGAATGCATTTTGTAACAAAGCCGTGACATATCCTTCTAAGAATTGAGCATTGGTCATGTTGGGATCGGATACTTGAGATGGGTTGAATAAAGGTACTTGAATTTGATTACTTGTGACTAAATGGAATAGTTGTGCTAGTACCTCAGTTTGTCCCTTGAAACCTAGAAAATAATAATAATAATAAAAAAAAAAGTCAACACATGTATGACAATAATTTTCTTTTTTTTTTCCTTGAATTTTTCTCCAGACTTACCACTCTTATGATCACGATCTGTCAAGACAAAGAAGATATCTTGAAGAATACTGAGATAGTATGTTTGATAGAATCCACCAGCAATAGAAGGATCCGTACGACTAACATTTTCCACAAGTTCAAAACAGATTTGAAGACCAGTATCAGCAATATCACGCATAGTATGTTTAAAACCCCATACCACGCTGTCAATCACCAATTTGAATTGTGCAGGGGCAAGATCAAGAAGTGCTGGCAAGAAAAAAAAAAAAAAAAAGAGAGAGAAAAAAAAAACATGTTGGTAAGTCAATCGAATTACATATCAAATTATATATATATATATATATACCTTGGAAACAATGTTGGTTAATGGCCCGAAGCATATTGTAAAATCCAGTACGATGTTCAGGGAATTCAGAGAAATCCTTGGTAATCATATTCAAAGTAGGTTCAAATGTTGCTTCCAAAATAACAGGCACACGAGGAGTTAATAAGTTCTATATAATAGTATCCATCGTTAGTATACATATTCTATTTCCATATTCCACATGTTTCTTTATCACTTACTCCTAGTTTGTCCACCATGGTAGCAATGACACTCAGAACTTCAGCATCCTTTGCAATATCCACACCTTGTCTATAATCCGACAACACGGCTTCAAAGAAAGGACCAACCATATTATCATTGACAGCAGTAAGATCTTTGGCACAAGCGACATAAGTATCAACCAATTTGAGGATTTCTTTTTTGACCAAACGAAGACCACGAATCTTAGGAGTTTTGGTGGCAATGGCTCCTAATAAAAAAAAAAAAATGAAAATAAGTGAAACAAAAAAGTCATTCAGTACATCAAATCTTTTTTTTTTTTTTTTTTTTTTTTTTTTTTTTTTTTTTTTTTTACCTTGTGAGGCTACTTGTTGAGAGACCATATTTCCAACAATACCATAGAGAGCAAGTAAATCATTGTAGAGTTTGCTAAGTTGTACAATAAAAGCAGATCCAACAGAACTACAAGCTGATACATTCGTCTTTAATACATTTTGAAGCACTTTGATATCATTGGGGTTGTTCAAAACATCCACATTTTGTTTGGCTTGTTCCATAATACCGTTCCACTAAGCAAAAAAGAGAAAAAAGAAAAACGTATAATTAGTTACCCATCCAATAATATATGTATATACTCTTAGATACTTACCGCCATGTTGGGCATTTCCATAAACTTGACAATCAATCGTTCTTGAATTGGTTTCTTACTTTGGGCAGAAATCATATAACCAACAGCTTCATAAAAGGTATGGATCTAAGAGCAGATGCACAAAAAAAAAAAAAGTATTGTTAGTGAAATTCGAGAATTAAGAACGGTTAGACAAAGACGAAAAAGGTTGCTAGTATATTTTTCTTTTCTTTTCTAGGTGTTACCTGACTAGGGGACAAATCGGAAGTGATATGATCAATAGTTGCCAAAATTTCATCAATGAAAGGTTGTCTTTCACCAGCTTGTTGTTCAACAAAATAGCGCATACATTTTTGGGAAATTTTGATAAAAGTATCACAAGCCATATCTTGAACACCTTCATGAGATTCGTGCATGAATTCGAATAGTTTGTTGACCACTGTCTTGAGGAATTTCCAATGAGCCTTCAAGAATCGAGGATATTGCCCAACAGTATACATGATATTGGAAGCTACTACAGCCTTGTTGTCCTTGCCACGTTTCATTTCACAAAGACTAAGAAGTTCCTTGATCACGGTCACCAAGAATCGTTTTTCTGTATCTTCATTCATAGCACCAGAGATAGAACCAATAGCCCAACAAAGTTTGTTCAAATTTTGCCATGACCATTCCGTACCATCCATCTATTAAACCAAATACACAAAAAGATGATCAATTCACTGTTTTCATCTCTTTATGTTTCTTTCCTCTCTTGTCACATTACCTGTCGTTGCAATTTATTGGTCATAATTTCTTCAGTATCAGCTACATCCAAGTTGGTCAAATAAACTAGGACTTCTTTCATACTCTTGTATAACACAATGGTATCACTTTCTTTCAGAGATTCACGGACAATTTCACCTTCATCATTTTCAACCACCAATACCTAACATGATACAAAAAAAAAGGAGGTATTACATATATCATATCAACACTGATTTCTTTCCTTTGCTGTCATTTTTTTCATTTATGACTTACTTCTTCAGGTTTCACCATACGTTCAATCATTACTGTACGCAAGTTGGAAAGGATATCAGTATATAGAGCTTTTCGAGGACGATAACCTTGATTTCCAGATAGATCCAATAGAGGCATATCCATTTGAGGCATTTGATGAATTTCTTCAAAGAGTTCTTGAACCTAGATTTTATAAAACGAAATTGACATGTTAACAGTTTTAAGCCTTATATTTTTCTTTTTTATCTCAACAAATAAAATATATATATATATATATTTTTACCAATTGAGCCCAATATTCCAAACAAATCTTGAATACTTCACGATCATCCACTCTTGAGATTTTGATAAGATAATAATGAGCATTCATCAATAAGCTATGACTGTCAGGTACTTGTTCAATAACCTATGATAATAAAGAATTAGTCATTTATCATAAGTATATATAAAAAAATGAATTCTACCTTGAGATGAGTGCTGAGAAAACTAGTAAGGAAAAGAGCTAAATTTTGAACAAATTCTTGATCATCATCACTACTATTTTCATATACGTTGGCGATATCTATGAAAACATTAAATTCCTTTAGTTTTAAATGTCATCCTATTATTTCAACTTTTTAACACTTACCTGTACTTGGAGGAATCATTGTATTGACAGATGTAAGGACGCTTGTGAATAAGAAACAGATCTTTTCATTGTACTTGGGTTCGGCTTTGATACTTCCAATTTCAGTCAAGCATTTGAGAGTGACATTTCGGAATTGAGGTGCTTCAAAGAACTATAAAGAATAATAAATGTTGTCAATCAAAAAGTTGTGTGTGTGACGCATCGCATGAATTATAAATATAAACTTACTCTAGTTCGGAGAGTATCGATCATATCAGTTTCAAAAACATAACCGTATGGAATCCAATTCAAAAATCGAAGTAAAGTTTCCAAAGTAGCCTTGATCAAACTTGGTTTTGTGGCACGATCCAGGACTTCTTTACAGAGTTGGTAAATTTCAAATATTTCGGCTGACATTTGATTTCGAAGATTATGAGTTTTGAGTTGGGTCATTTGTTCTGCTGAGTAATCGAAGATTTCTTCACTGTATTAAAGAAAAATAATGAATTAAAATAATGAACTATGTAGTTCAGTTTTCCATCAAATAAACGCTTTTTTTTTTTTTTTACCTTAACAATTTCAAAATAGCCATATTGTTTTCACATAATGATAAGTTGGATTTGCTAGAAGTAACGATTTCAGGAATAAACGTAGGCCAGTTACGTGGCCATTCTTGTTTTAAAATCTATTACATAAAGGAAAAAAGAAAAGTAAGAAATCACTTTCTTTTTAAATGTCATTTCTATTTTCTTTTTCTTACCTGAACTAACACCATGTTCAACTTGCTAACATAAGCACGTTCCTTTGCCAAATTAGTTTCGTCTGAGGTAACTTTGACAATCACATTGACAATGAAATAACGAATAGCTTTTTTTTTAAAAAAAAAAAAAGGAAAAAAAAAAGAAGTCAATCCTAAAGTATTTTTATATATATTTTCTTCTTTTGTTTACCATCACGACTTTCTGCCACCAAAGTATTCCATCTAGTTTGAATAAACTTTTCTAGAATTTGTAAAGCGATAAACTAGAAAGAAAAAATAAGATTAAATATATGTATTTCCTTGAATCATTTCCAAATAAACTAAAGAAATAAACTTTACCTTGGTTTGAGGTACAGTAGAACGTTCGAGAATGCCGTCCACTTTAGTCCAAGCTTCTTCGTGATCTTGGAATTGAGTTAAAAGTTGTTGAGCGATTTGTTGCTAATAAGGTAATAAATAATCGAATATTTGAATAAAAAAAAAAAAAGAAATTCATTAATAAGTGAAATAGATAAGAGAGAATAAAAAACAAAGTTTTTAATGATTCGCTTTTATTTTTACAGAAAAGAAAAAAAAATACTTACATCATTGCCAGAACCAGTAAAAAAAGTGAGAACAACTTGATCTAATAAAGCCACGTCCAGTTCTTTGCTAAAGTCTAAAATACTTTCAGCCATTGTTCTTTAAAACGATGATTAAAAAAATGGATAAAAGGAGATAGATATATATAGAGAAAAAAAGAAAAAAAAAGACGCGTTGAGAAAAAACTGAAAGAGAGAGACAAGGAAGTGACGGAGACCACAAAGGTATTTTCAAAATTTTTAAAGCTGCGACAATCGTAGGCCCAAAAGGTCAGGAGGTTTACTCATTTCACACAAACTACAAAAAAAAAAGTCAGTGAACAAGTGGCCAATCATTTTCCAGATTTTTTTTTTTTTTTTTTTTTGGCTTGATGATGATTACTTCTGAGCGAGAAAGGGAAAGGGAAAGCTTTTGCAAGTTTATATGCAAGATGGAGAAAATGAGATGGATTTTTTGATTTCACAGCCAAAAATTCGGAAATTCCTCAGCTAAATTTTGACTGTAAAATAAATCTTCGAGGGGTTATCAGGCAATTTTTGGAAAAATAGATGAAATGTTTTGATGATCATTGCACATTAGATAGAAAAGTAAGTGATGAAATAATATTGGATGATATTAAATTACTTTTTTAAGAGGAATCCAATGGTGTTAATTTTTTATTGGATAATGATCATTATTGGTTGAGGAATAAAGATATTGACACTTCATTTTTAATTTACTCTATAAATCGGGAGGTAAGGTATAAATTATTCTTAAGACAAGTGAAAGAGAATGTCTTCACGTACCTTCAGTCCAAATTTAGTACAATGATGATGAGCTTTGAGTTGAATTACAAATGTATAAAAATGTACATGTCAGTCAGAGTTGATGTTATGAAGCAAAAGACAATGGTTTGAATTCTTTCGAATGATTTTGTCTCACTAAGGGACAAACTAACCGGCGAAAAGTCATTATCTACTGTTAATCGAAGGGAGTTTGACCTATCGTTCGTTATCCATCATCGCATATTGTTCTGTCCAGAATCACTATCAAATTAAAATGATGGGGAATATGATTCATCTATGCAAGCAAAAAAAAAAAAAAAAAAAAAAGGTCAAGAAATTGACAAAATCATCAAATTCATGTGAGAGCTAGATCATCAGGTAGAAAAATTGGGGGGAACAAAAAAACTGTCAAGAAATCTATTTACCAAATAAAGAAAATGACAAATGTAAAAAGGTATAAAAAGGGATAGCCCTAAAAATATTTCTTTTTTTTTTGAATATATTTTCCTTCTTATTTATTCTTTCCTTTGATTGATATTATGTACTCCTCAAGTAATGGCCAACCATTAAGTACATTACCTGATCTCGATGATCAACAGACGATTCCTCGAGAATCACTGAAAAAAAGAACCAACGTTGCCATCACAACCATGATGGATGATGGATCATCCTCTTCTTCCAATAAAACTAGCAGTAGTCTCAAATCAAAAAGTGGTAGAGGAAAAAAGCCAGAACAAGAATTACTATCTGAAGCACAGAAAAAGGCTAATCATATTGCTTCTGAACAAAAGCGAAGAGCTAACATTCGAATGGGATTTGATCAACTTGTAGATATTATACCTACGCTTAGTCATTGTCATCGTAGTGAATCTCTGATTTTACAAAAATGTAAGCTATAAGATTTTGTGGGGTATCTTTTTTTTTTTTAACTTTAATACCATCAGCTTATGATTATATTCAACAGTTGCAGAACACCAAAACAAATCTTAAAGATAGAATTAGGGAATTACAATTATTATTGGGTGATATGTAAGTTTAACTTATTGGATTTCTCTCACTCGCTAATGCTATTTTCTCCATTTTTCTCCATTTGGTGTGATAAGACCTGATGAAGATGTAAGTCATTCTATTCTTTACAGTGATTCCTCCCCCTTTTTTTTTTTTTTTTTTAATCCTTCTTTCTCTTTTGAATGAAATAGAGCTCTGAAGAAGAAGATGAATGTATACTTTGACCTGGACTTGCTATTATTTAATTTTCATTGGCTGGCTCCATGAACTCTTTTTAAATGTCGCATTGTTGGCTGTGCCTAAATTTTTAAAATAAAAAAAAAGAATTGGGTTTTTCTTTTTTTCTTTTTCTCTTTCAAACTTTTATTCATTATACTATGACTACAAAGAATCATTCTCGACTTCGTGATTATCTTGCTTCAGAATACGTTGAATTTGATCCTATAAGCCCTTCCAAAAGACTCACTTCATTATACTCTGACTTCTCGAAACTTTCCTTGATCAACGAATATGGATACAACGCGAATGTGGATTACTGGCGATCTCTTATTCTAGACTGCTCTCTCAAAGGCTATTTTACTCATCGTGGTTATACACTGGTATTGGATAAAGATGCTTTAGCTCAAGACTTTTTATGGAAAGGTCAAGGAAAACCTTTGGCTCTTCATTGTGTTTTGGTAATAGAAAAAAATAGACCAACATGAGAAAAAAGTTAGAAACTTACTGGCTGTTTTTCGTTTATTAGAATGCAATGGAAAAGAATGGTCAAGTTCAAACACTATCTGCTTTTGATAAGTTCTATTCGGAGCATTCATCTTCCTGGTCTTCTTGGCTTTTACAACAATTACCTTCCATACCATTCATTGCTTCTAAAAACTCCACCAATGATACACTCTATGTTGTCGTTGACTCGGTCAAATTCATTGCTCAACATATTTATCAATCCTATTGTCGGCAACCATTAAAAACATCTAGCCATTCACTTTTGACCTTTGCTGAATTCAGGGAACGTTATGGAGTATACGAAGGACATGCTTTGACTGACAACGATCTAGTATTGATTCTAAAATATTTGGCCTGGCGTGGTACTATTGCATTAACAAACAATGTTCATGGTTATGGATCGACTTTTACTGTAAGTAAAACAAGGATAGATGTATAGTTTATTATTCACTTAAACATGCCACTATTATTATTTTTTATGATTATTATTATTCGATTTAGGTTCTTAAATTTGTTGAACCTGGTATGACCCAAATGATTACGGAACAAGATAAAGCTATGATCAGTATCAAAACCACCTGTGAAGCTCTTCAATATCAAGTACAGAATATGCAACAACAAATTGAAAAGTAAATAAGAAAATATGCCCTCTATATTGCAGTACTAACTCGATGGATTTTTCATTCATTAGATTAACTTTGACTGCTCAAGAACACCATCAGAAAAAACAAAAGCCTCAAACATTATATTCTCTTCGTCGAAGAAAACATGTGACAGAAGTATTGGATAAACGATTAAAGTCATTGGAAACCATGGAGGGTATGTTACTGAAAATGGAATCAGCTCAAGATGATATGCAGGTATATATATTTTTTTTTTGAAACCGAAAAAAAAAAATTGCAAGAAAATCTTTCTCAAATTTTTATTTTCATAGATCATTCAAGCATTTGATAATGGAGCCAATGCTTTACGAAGTATTTTAACTAATGGATTATCAATGAAATCGGTGGAAGAAACAATGGCTAAAATACAGGATGTATATGATGACCAAAAGGAAACGGAGCAAGCAATGATGGAGGGCAGTCAATATATTACGGATGAAGGAGATGATGATGCATTACTGAAGGAATTGGAGGATTTGGAAAAGCAGTCATTGGATGAACAACATCAGGTTCAAACGCCAGCGCAAATGGTTCCAGTATCACCCATTACATCTATTATCAATCAAGACATATCACCATCATCATCATCGTCATCACTACCTGAAGCAACAACTTTATCTCAATCGCATATGGATGGAGATGATATCGTTAACAAAAAAATATCCCATAGAGTTGCGCAATTAGAATAATAGTTTAGTTCTCTTTTATATTTTGTTTTAAGTAGTCATTATCATCATCATAATCATATAGTATATATATATTTTAGCATAATCATTTTTAAATTTTATATAATAGTAACAATAATAATAAAACGTTGATATAAAATGTATTTCAAACAAGAAGGGAAAAAAAGGTGGAGAAAGTGAATCCAAATAGGGTAACTCCGCAGTGACCAGTTCAGTTTTTTTAGTGTCTTATTTTTTTTCGACTTTTTTTTTTTTTTTTTTCCTTCTTTTCGTTTCTTTAGTTTTCATTATCAGAAACATACATATATATACATATATATATATACTACAATATAGATATATAGATAGATACCATGGTTGTTGAAACGACATATTATGAAATCCTCAGTGTAGAAGTTGATGCTTCTGATCATGAAATCAAAAAGGTAATCTACAAGCTTTTCTTCCATTTGATCTATCGTTCAAATTTTACTCATATCATTTCTTTTCTATTTTTATTTATTTATGTAGGCTTATAGAAAATTGGTATGTTGAAATTACTATATATTTATGGTAGAAAGAGTATGACTCATATTGATCGAACTTTTTCCTTTTTTGTTTTCTTTATTGAAAAATGACGTTATAGGCAATGAAGTACCATCCTGACAAGAATCCAGAAGAAGGCGAACGTGTAAGTTTATTATTATAAGAATTGTCCAACAGATTGAACTTGATCTCACATTATATTTATGCTCATATAGTTCAAGGAAATCTCTCATGCATATGAAGTATTATCAGATCCAGCTAGACGGGCAGAATATGACAGATTCGGTTCAGAAGGACCTGGTGGAGGAGGTGGTGGTGGTGGTATGTCAGCCGATGATCTCTTTGCAAACTTATTTGGTGGTATGGGAGGTATGGGTGGATTTGATTTTGGTGATGGAGGCTATGGTGGTCGACCTTCTCGTCCAAGAAAAGGTGAAACGATGAAGTACCCTCTTCAAGTTACTTTAGAAGATCTATATAATGGCAAGCGAACAAAATTGGCTCTTCAAAAAAATGTAATTTGTGTGACCTGTAATGGGTAAGTATTCATGAATGAAAAAAATAAATAAATAAGATAATCCGAATATAGGCATCTCATTCTCTTTTTTTTTTTTTTTTTTATTATTATTATATAGTAAGGGTGGTAAAACTGGAGCAACAAAGAAATGTACTTCATGTAAAGGTCGTGGATTCCAAGTAGTAACTCGTCAAGTGGGTATGGGCATGCTTCAACAAATGCAAGTTCCTTGTGGTGAATGTCATGCTAGTGGTGAAATTGCAAAGGATCGATGTAAAAAATGTAAAGGAAAGAAGGTTACAGAAGAAAAGAAATACTTGGATGTCTTTATTGAAAAAGGCATGATGGATGGTCAAAAGATTGTGATTAAAGGTGAAGGTGATCAAGAGGTAAGATATATATATATATAAGGTCTATCATTATCCTCATTTATTCATTCTTTTTTTCTTTTTTTTTTATTCTTATTCTTATTATTCTTATTATTATTATTTAGCCTGGTGTAGAAGCTGGTGATGTGAATCTTGTATTGAACCAGAAAGAACATGACGTATTCGAAAGAAAAGGGGATGATTTGTTATGCCATGTGACAATTAGTTTGATGGAAGCTTTATGTGGATTCGAAAAGGTACTTGTTACTCATTTAGATGGACGTGGAATTCAAGTGAATCATCCAGCTGGAAAAGTGATCAAACCCAATATGGTAAAACGTATACCTCACGAAGGTATGCCAATCTTCAAGAGATCGGATGATCGTGGTGATCTTTATATTGTCTTTGATGTGGTATTCCCTGATGATAATTTTACTGATTTGAAGAATATCAAGACCTTTGAGACCTTATTACCCAAACCAACTCAAGACAATAAGAAACATGATATCATTGATGAATGTAGTCTTATTACTGGTGATTTGGATGCTTTTGGTGCTTCTCAACAATCCCGCAATGCTTATGATGATGATAGTGAAGAACAAGGTGGAAATTCTTTTGGTTGTGCTCAACAATAGATTCTTTTATATATATATATATATATTTACATGTAGCTTTAATATAATTGATTCTTCTTTTTTTTATTTTATTTTATTCCTTTTTATGTGAAATATTAATAATAAAACAAGCAATTAGATTTGACTTTTTTTTTTTTTTGATAGTTCCTTCGATATCGGCGATAAATTTGGTTCCGGCATCATGATTATCGAAGATAGGTTACACGAAATGGCATGAAACGAACAACAATAACAAGAAGATTTCTGTTTATTATTTTTACATCAGAAACAAAGGAGTTTATCATCATATCATTGTTTATGTTACATTGAGTAGATGAATATTATATAAAAATACTAATCATAATAGGTCTGAATATATATAAAAAAAAACGAGAAATAGACGGGGATTTTTTTTCTTTTTTATCTTTTTTTCTTTTTTTTTTCTTTCTTTATTTTATTTATTATATAATGTATAGAAGTAATATTTGTAGTCAACTTGAAGAGGAAGGTGAATATAGTTTTATAAATCATCATCGAGGTAGTACTTCATCCATTGCGACCTTAGTGGATGAAACTACCCCTCTTTTCTCAACTGGAATAAAGACGAGCCCGTTACTTCTTTTGGAAAACAAAGATCCTCAACAACATTATTTGGGTACTGATTCATCTTATTTTTATGCTATGGTGAAAAAAACTGATTATTTTCAAGAAACTCAAGGTCTTTTCAAATTCGTTTGGCCTTTGTTGACATCTTTTTTATCGGCTATGGGAATGAAGCTAGTTGATGTCTCGTTTTTTGGAAAATTAGGTCCACAAGGTAAAACAATGTTTGTTTATATTATTTATTTATTTATACTTTTTCCGTTTTTTATTTTTTTATTTTTTTTTATTTTATTTTATTTTAGTGCTTGCGGCAACAAGTTTAGGAAATCTATTTCTTACTATATGTGGTGTAGCCTTTGGTAATGGCATGTTGACAGGTAAAATACACTTCAAAAAAAAAAGTTCTTATCAAATCATAAGAAAGCGGTATCTAAATTGCATTAAATATAATCCTTCTTTTTTTTTTTACATTAGCCATTGATACGTTGGTCTCTCAAGCATTTACAGGGGCACAACATCCTTGGACTCTTGGTATCATTCTTCAAAGATCTCTTATTATTATGGGTTTATTTTCTATTCCAGTTGGTATTATTTGGTAATTGTCTATTTTTTTATTTGTTAATTGTTCCAATGAATTTATCATATATTCATTTTTTTTTTTTTTAGGTATCATGCTGAAACTATATTAATCACCATGGGTCAAGATCCAAAACTCGCTTCCATGGCACAGATCTATTTGGATTGGACTATTCCTGTAATTTATCCTATTTTTATTACAACAGCTATTCGACGATTTTTTCAATGTATTGGTAAAATGAAGGTGACTCTGTATATTGTACTTTTAATATTTCCTCTCAATTATCTGGTGGATTATACCTTGTTACAATGGTTGGATTTGGGTATGAAAGGAGCAGCTTTACAAAATACGATCTACCATCTGATGGTAGTAACGCTTTATTCTGGGATGCTTTACTTCGGCACTGATTTTGGTAAAAAGTATTGGCCTGGATGGTCAAAGGATGCGTGTCATCAATGGGGAACCTTTATGAAACTTGGTGTACCTGGTATGCTTAGTGTATCTACTGATTGGGCTTTTGAAGTATGTGCTATGGTGACTGGTGTACTGGGCGAAACAAGTTTGGCTGCTCAATCTATCGTGTTATCGGTGAACACATTTTTATTAATGATACCTTAGTAAGAAGAAAAAACAAAATACAGATAGAATGATTAACTGATTGATTCTTTTTTTTTTTTTAGCGCGCTCTCAACTGCTGTTACTGTTCGATTAGGTCATCATCTAGGTGCAAATCAACCTGAAAAAGCCAAATTATGTGTTGTTATCTCTGTGATAACAGGATTTTGTTTGGTATCTTTTAATGCTATGCTCATGTTTGGATTCCGATACCCTATTACCCGACATTTTACAAAGGATGATTTGGTGACTGAAGCTGCAATAGCTTTGATTTCAATTGTGAGCCCATGTCATTTTGTGGTGGTAAATATTATAGATTACTTTTATATATATATATACTGATTATTTTTATTATTATTATTATTATTATTTTTAGGGAAATGGAATCATATTATCTGGGGTCTTGACCGCATTCGGTAAACAATATCTGGTGGCAATATTTAATTTAACGTCTTATTATTTGGTCGGTCTACCCTTTGGTATTTGGCTTACTTTTAGTTATGGTTGGGGATTATCAGGTGTTTGGAGTGGGGTTGTATTAGCAGGATTATTAAAAACAATAGGTGAAACGATTTGTTTAATATATTATATTGATTGGGATGAAGAATGTAGATTAGCAATGAAACGTATTGTAGATCAAGAACTTCCTTTATGAACATAAAGTTTTATTATCATTTTACTAACTAAAAGAGGGAAAAGAAGATGATGAATCCAGGAACATTTTTTTATTTTTTTTTTTTACTAAAGCACGGTTCCTCTTTTTTTTTATTTGATCTGGACTTTATACTGCTTGTAGTCTAGTTTATAAAGTTAATATGTTTTTTTTTTCTTTCTTTGTACGATAAAATGTAATATCTCTTTGTACTCTTATGATGAACGTGAAGAAGTACCCAAAAAGGTAATCATGTTCCTATTTTTTGCCTTTTTAATAGCCCGCCTTTTGTATTTCTTTTTTTTGTATCACTGAAAAGTGTTGGTCGCTGAACAATTGACTGTGACACAAACTTTGATTTTTTATTTCACTCTATTTTTTTTTTTCTTTCGTTCTTTTTTTTTTTTTCTTTTTTTTTTTTTTACTTCTTTTTTTTTTTCTTTCCCTTTCTTTTTTCAGTCTAGTCCTTACTTTCTTTTTACATTAGACCCTTCCTTTTGTCATTCCTTTTTATTTTATGTCATACTGATTAGTTACTACATGACCCGGAATAGTAATGCCTTTGTTGGCTTTTGGTTATTTTTACTAATTGCATGCCTGGTCTTAAACATTGATGTACTTGCTGATGAAAACATAGTAAGTACATTCTTTTTTATTACCATCACTTTACCATATTAACAATTATTTATTGTACTAATAGGACCAATATTTCGATCTGCAACGACGGGAACCCAGTACTACTATCACTACCACTGATTCACATATCCAGCTTGAACTCCTATCTTCCACCACTACTCATAAGCATACTTCAACTCATACACCATCCACCACAACTGAAAAAGCAACAACAACGGAAAAAGCAAAACAAACTACTTCTGAATGTCATAACTTGCTTGGTATTGGCTGTGATACCGGATCAACCGCCTCCTCTGAACATAAATCAACTATCACACCAAAACTAAAACATACCGCCACCACTACTACAACTCATTCATCAACGGAAACAACTACAACAACGGAAAAAGCGAAATCAACTACTTCTGAATGTGATAACTTGCTTGGTATCGGCTGTGGCACTGGATCAACTACTTCCTCTGAACACAAATCAACTATTACACCAAAACCAAAACATATTACCACCACTACAACTCATAAATCAACGGAAACCACTACAACAACAGAAAAGGCAAAATCAACTACTTCTGAATGTCATAACTTGCTTGGTATCGGCTGTGATACTGGATCAACTACTTCCTCTGAGTACAAATCAACTATTACACCAAAACCAAAACATATTACCGCCACTACAACTCATAAATCAACGGAAACCACTACAACAACAGAAAAGGCAAAATCAACTACTTCTCAATGTGATAACTTGCTTGGTATCGGATGTGATACTGGATCAACGACTTCTTCTGAACACAAATCAACTACTACACCAAGATCAAATCATATTACCGCTACTACAACAACAGAAAAGGCAAAACCAACTACTTCTCAATGTGATAACTTGCTTGGGATTGGCTGTGATACTGGATCAACGACTTCTTCTGAACAGAAATCAACCATTACACCAAAACCAAAATATATTACCACCACTACAGCTCACAGATCAATGGAAACTACTACAACAACGGAATGTAACAACTTCCTTGGAATTGGATGTGGCAAAAAGACAACATCGGTTCCTGAAACTACCACTGATGGATCATCAACATCAACTACCACTGGCGAAGTTTCAACTACTACTGACAAGGTTTCAACCACCACTGACAAGGTTTCAACTATGTCCCAATGCAACAACCTCCTAGGAATTGGCTGCGACTCAACTCCTTCAGCTACGACTCGCGATGAAAGTACTAGCACTCGTTTAAGATCTACAACGACCACTGATGATAGCACTGCAACAATTACTGGAACAACAACCAGTGCTGAGCCAACTGTTACTACTTCATCATCTTCATCATCATCAGTAAAGAAATGTGGTTTGCTGGATTTTGACTGTCATGCTTCAACAACGGATGCAACGACCACTGGATTTTCTACTGCTATTGTCACATCATCGGGTGTTAGTGACAAATCAACAACAACAGATCGTTCGACCAATACTGCAACAACTACCACTACAGATGATACTACCACTATCGCTACCACTGATGCTCAACCAACAACTACCACGCAACCAACAACTACCACGGAACCAACAACTACCACGCAACCAACAACTACTACGCAACCAACAACTACCACGCAACCAACAACAACCGCAGAACCAACCCATGATACTACTACTACTACCACTACTAGTACCACCACCACCACTACTACTACTCCTCGATCTTCTTCTTCCTACAAGTACCAGTCGTACACTTGGCTCAATCCATCGTTCACGTTGTCCATCAATACTGCTAATTCGTCTTCTAGAACTGTCAAAGCTTCATCTTCAGCATCAGCATCAGCAACTCCAAGCAATAATCTTCCTGCAGCCATCATCCCTAACGATAATGTTATCATTCCAGGTAATACACTTGATTTTATGCATATGATGTTTTTGTTGATAACTCATTGATTCTTTTATAAACATATGTTATAGCTGACTTTTCAAGTGTCACGATCAAATTTGACTATTTATCCTTCAGTGAAATGGTTTCCAATTCCATATTGACAGCTCAGTTTGTTCAATCAGTACCAGTTTTATTCAGCAAAGTTCTGGGATGTGGTTTGGATGATATCATTGTTCAATCTATTGTACCTAGCAACAATAACAACAACAAGAAGAAACGTGATACGAGTACTTCATCAGGTGTGATCGTTACCATGGCCTTGCCCAGTAATCAAGTCAGTAATTTGCAACAACTGATCTCGAATCCTACCAGTTCACTTTATGCTTCTGACAATGGACAACTACCTACCTTGATCGACAAGTCCTATGCTGTTAATGGAGGAGGTACATTAACAAAAAAAAGAATTATAGAAATAGTATATCTCATCTTCACCTTTTTTTTTTTTTTTTTTTTTTTTTTTTAGCAGGCAATGCTGCAGGTGTCATGTCTGATCCCAATGCATCTTCGAACAACAGCAATAACAATAACAACGGTAACGGATCTAACCCTAGCAATGGCAACAATGGTGGAAGTAGTGGATTATCCCGTGCAGGGATTATTGGTATTTGTGTCTCTGTAGGAGTTGTTGTGTATGCAGCTGCTACTGTAGTTGCTGTTCGAGTATATCGTCAACGCAAGCTCAGAAAGGAACAAAATGCAGTAATGGATCATCAAGATTTTACTCAAAGTATCTCAGCGCCAATAATGAATGAAAACACACTTGGATTCAGTCCATATCATGCTCTACAACCTCATCAGTATTTCCATTATGGTCATTCAAACTCTCCTCCTCCATTACAACAAGCTCCTCATACTTCAACGCACCAATGGTAATCGTTTATTATTGTTTTAGTTAGTTTAGTCAACCCTTCTCTTATTTACTTTTTACTACTTATCATTTTATTTTATTTTATTTTTTTGTACTGTATTATTGTATTATTATTATTGTTGTTATTCTGACTCTTATAGCTTTTATTGACTTTGCTAATGATGATGATAAAAGAATAAAGAATTATATCTGTTTCTGTTATTTCTAAAGGGTCTGGACTCATTTTGTGGTGATACAAGATGGCTGAAGTAGCATTTGGATTATTTTTTTTTTTTTTTAAAAAAAAAAAAGGGAAATTGAAATGAAAAGGGGGAGTAAAACGTGCTACTTTATTTATGTTTACTATTATTATTCGTTTGACATGTCATTTCTATTTTCTATTTCTTCTTTCTTCTCCTAGAAAAAAGCACGCGCTATTTTCCAGAGACATCATCATATGGAATTGTCAAAAAGAAACTGATCACGAGTTGGATTAATCATGGCTATTCTAGGGAGAAAGTTTGGAATTCTTTCTTTTTTGGGATGCGTAACAATGAGACAAAAAAGAAGCTACACAGATTCCAAGAAGACATTTCATTAAAAAAAAAAAAAAAAAAAAAAACTTGTTTGCATCATCTGATTTAGCGTCGTTGGCGTCCGCAAGTTGGATCCATATCAGTTCAAATCTTTTACTTTGCTTCATCTACGCGTCTTGATGGAGCGCATGCTTGCTAAGGTAAAAAAAAAAAAAAAAAAAAAAAAAAAAGATGATATCATAATGGTCTCATCCTGGAAATTTGTGCATCATACAATGAAGAGGATGATACGATGGATAATATGTAATGATGGATATGTAGTGACGACTGACACGTGATGAAAGATGATATGATGAATGATATGAAGGCATGATAAGATGACAATATAATAACAAATGATAAAAATATGATTTTATTTAAAAAAGTAAAAGATAATATGAAGACACTTGCTAAAAAAACTAACTATTGAATGAACTAATTTCCATGATACAAGAGTTGGATAAGAAATAAACTTTGTCGCCTTGTATATCTATATCCAGTTGATGCTATTGCATAATCTTGCCGTATATGTATCTACTGTATTTTCACATAAAAAGTAAACATGAATAATAGATCAAATGACAACCAAACGATAGATTAGTTCAGAGTATGAGAATGAGAGACTAAAAAGAAATAAAAAAAAAAAAAGAAAGATAGAGTCAGTATAGAAGTATGTATGTAAAAGAGTGAGTACATAGTGGGAATGAGGGAAGATGTATCATGATTACCTATCGGTTTAATAAATAATGTTGATGATCACCACATAATGGATGTCACTACAGTCGATACTCGCACTAATAATATCTGATGCATGACGATGATAGTAATGGTGATGAGACATGATATCATAATGATGCAGTTATCAATTCCACGAGGATGACGGCCCTGATGATGATAATAATTCAAACTAATCTTGAATAAAAAGAATACCTTTAAAATGAATAGAGTAGCATATAGGTAACTAGATTTGTATTTATGACACTACCCATCAAAGGGGAACAAGACAAGGTGGTATACATTAGTTGATAAGTCCTTCATTATCATATTATAGATCCTACCTTTAAATATAATATCCTTGATCGTTTTCCACTTTTGCTGATAACCATAAATGATAGATATGTTCAATAAATAACCTTTCCCCTGACAATATACTGGAAAAACACTAGAAAAAAAAAAAAGAAAAGAAAGGAATCAGATCCATAATCCTAATCATACCTAATTCACTTACTATTTCTTTATTTTGGAATGTGTTATAGTACGTTTGATAATGATAATGATAGTTCCATTGTTATAGCTTTGCGGTCCATTGAATACATGTTGAAGATCTAATTTGCAATAAGGGTCAAGAGAGATGGAGTGATAGTATTTCTATAGCAAGATAAAAAAGAGAAGAGTCCTAGTTAATATACAATGAATATATAAAGTTCCCTTTTATTGTATACATATTCACTTACTTTTTATACGAAATAAAAAAAAAAGATGTTTACAAAAAATAGTGATAAGAAAGAAGAAGAAAGTGTGAGAAAATAAAATAGAGGAAGTTGCTGTCATTTTAAATAACTCTGAGTCTTTCCTTTTTTGGATGTTCAACTACCACATATAAGCAGCTTCTATTCGTGATTTAACCTAGAATAATGCGATTGTTAATTCCATCCTATAACAAACTTACCAAACTATTAATGCATAAGATAATAATAATAATAATAAAAATGTTATCAAATTGATTTAACCTATATTATTCTCAATTGATAATCATTTTTTTTAATCTTCCTTTAGTGATACCAGTTCAATAAATGCATGAAATATGAAATAAGATATAAAGACAATTCACTTGAAAGCGACTATTCTAATATATCATCATCATCATCATCATATTAATCAACAAAGAAATCAATTCAAAAATATATATATAAAAAAAGGAACTAGAACTGTGTGCTTCCTTATGACTGGTTGATTTGGATTTGCAGGATTTTTTTTAACCAGGCTCCGATCAGGTAGACATATAAAATGATGTTTTTTCTTTTTTTTTTTCTTTCTCTTTTCTTTCTTTCTTTCTTCCTTTCTTTCCTTTTTCACTTTTTTTTTCTATTAAACAAACATCATGGCTCAAGCATACAACAGAGATTTGACTCAACTTATTATGCGTCCCAATGTTGGTAAAGTTGGTAAACCAGTACGTGTAAGAAGCAATTTCTTTGAAATGACAAGTCTTCCAGCTCAAAATATACAACACTTGAATATTCAAATATTACCTGATGGTACTCCTCCCCTTATTCTCAGAAAGGTGTGGCAATCTTTTGAAGATAGTCTTAAAGGTCAAGCTTTTCTTAACAAGGTCAAACCTATCTTTGATGGTCGTGCAAATCTTTTTTCTCCAAAACCGCTCAAATGTGGTGATGATAGTCTTGGTATTTCTTTTGAAGTAAGTAAATAGAAAAAAAAATGACGTATATTTTATCATATTGCTTATTATTTCATCCCCAACATTATTATATTTTTTTTTTTTTGATCACTCTTTTTTTCTATTGGTTCATTTATATTCATCATTTTTATTCTTGTTTATAGGTCAATCTTCAAGAAGGAAATCGTTCTGGTGGTATTTTCAAGTTAAATATCAAGCCTGTAGGTGTAATCAACATGAGTGAACTACAATTATTCTTGGATGGAAAGTCTGGTATTACCAACAATTGTTTAACTGGTAAAAAAAGAAAAAGATTAATATCATTATATCACGTTTTTTTTTATTAACACTTTTTTTAATCTTTTATTTCTTCCTTTTTTTTTTTTTTGTGTCTAAAATTGTGCTACAGCCATTATGGTTCTTGATGTACTATTTCGTCACGTTCCAAGCATGCAATATTCCACTGTGGGTCGATCCTTTTTTACTCCCCAAGATAAACGTCCTTTACCTAATGGTGCTGAAGTATGGCAAGGCTTTTATCAATCTGCTCGTCCAACTAAAGGTAATATATAAAACATATAATACTTAATATTTTTTTTATTAATATTTCATTATTCATTGTTTATAGGCAAAATGATGATCAATGTTGATGTCAGTGCTACTGCTTTCTATGAATCTGGTCCTCTTCATGAAATGCTACCCAAGATACTCGATCGCCGCAGTCTTGATGATCTTCGTCGTGGTATTCCTGATCGTGATCGTATCAAAGTTGAAAAAATACTCAAGAATCTCAAGATCGTTGTTGTCCATCGTGGTGCTGAAAAACGATTGAAGTACAAGATTAACAAGCTCACTCCTACCTCTGTTGAAAATACTGTATTCAAGGATGACTCTGGAAATGAAATGAACGTTGCTCAATATTTTCAAAAGACTTACAATAGACGTTTGGCCTTTCCTTTCTTACCCTGTATTGTTGTCAAGAAAGATATCTTTTTACCTATGGAAGTTTGTGAAGTCATTCCTGGTCAACGCCATTTGAAGAAATTGAATGAAAAGCAAACTGCTGAAATGATCAAATTTACTTGTCAGAAGCCCAATGTCCGTGCCAACAAGATCAATCAAGGTGTCAATCTTCTGAAATACAAGGATAACCCATATATTCAACAATTTGGTGTTAATGTCAAGTCTGATATGACCATGATCAATGCTCGTGTTCTTTCTACTCCAAAGATCTCTTACCATGCTTCATCTCAAGATGCTACTTTTGCTCCTGTAGGTGGTGCTTGGAATCTTCGTGGTAAGAAAGTCGCAAAGGGTGCCAACTTGGGTTCATGGTCTATTGTCAATTTTTCAAGAAATGTCCATGATGGTATGATCCAACGTTTCATTCGTGAATTATGTCAAACGTTTACTGATACTGGTTTGGTACGTTAGTTTCTTAAGAAAAAACATGATTTATTTAATCCTTTTTTATTATTTTATTTCTTTTATGATTATAAATATAGAATGTGATCAATCGACAGCCACCTATTACTCATGCTGATCCTCAAGGCAATATTGAACGTACTCTCAAGGAAGCTTGGTTGAAGGCTGGTAATGCTGCTAAAGCTCAACCTCAATTGATTCTCTGTATCATGCCCAACACTGGTACTCCACTTTATGCTGAAATCAAGCGTATCTCTGATACAGGTAAAACAAACATATAGAAAAATAAGGATGATGATGATGATGATTTTCATGACATAATCTCATATCTTTTTTTTTTCTTTTTATATATGTAGTTATTGGTATTCCTACTCAATGTGTTCAAAGCAAGCATATTGGTGATGCTAAGAAACAATATTGTGCCAATGTCTGTTTGAAAGTGAACATGAAGCTTGGTGGCGTCAACTTGTTCATGGATGGCTCTCAAATTCCTTTCATCTCGAACAAACCTACTATTGTCTTTGGTGCTGATGTTACTCATCCTGCTCCTGGTGATATGAACAGACCTTCCGTTGCTGCTTTGACTGCAAGTATGGATTCGTATGCATCAAGATATGCTTCAACTGTCCGTGTTCAAGCCAATCGTACTGAAATAATAGCTGATTTAGCCAATATGGTCAAGGAACTGTTGAAGACATTCTATCAAAACTGTGGTCAAAAACCTCAACAAATCTTGTTCTATCGTGATGGTATGTCTGAAGGTGAATTTGATCAAGTGCTCAAAAACGAAATTGGTGCCATCCATGCTGCTTGTGCTTCCTTGGATAAGACTTACAAACCTCCTGTCACCTTTGTGGTTGTTCAAAAACGTCATCATGCTCGATTCTTCCCTGTTGAACCTCGTGATGCTGATCGAACTGGTAATTGTCAACCTGGTACCGTCGTGGATACTGATATCGTACATCCTTTCGAATTTGATTTTTGTAAGTATTCAAATGATTATATGTATTAGGATGAAATATTGATTTACATATATATATATATATATATATATATTTTCTTTCTTAGATTTACAATCACATGCTGGTCTCCAAGGAACTTCTCGTCCTACTCACTACCATGTACTTTATGATGATAATAATTTTTCTCCTGATGCTCTTCAAGAACTCACTTATCGTCTGTGTTATATCTATGGTCGTGCCACTCGTACTGTATCTATCTGTCCTCCTGCTTACTATGCTGATTTGGTTGCTGCTCGTGCTCGATTCCATCGTAAGGGTGAAAACTGGGAAGACAGTGATGCTACAAGTGAATCTATGGATAGTGATGCCCAAATGGCCAGTTTCGCTGTTGTGAAACCTGATTTACAAAGAGTCATGTACTTCATGTAAATGGATAGTTTGGTTTTCATCTTTTTTATTATTTACTCAGTAAATTCATAGTTTAGTTTTATATATATATATTATCACTCTGTAAACTGATGGCATTTTTCTTTTTTTTTTATATATATTCTTCATCTTTTTTTTCTTTGCATTTGTATATACATTTCTCTCTCCAATAAATCAAAAAATTGTTTCTTTTAATAATGATGCCTCTTTTATGATGGTAAGATGATGGGATGGTGGTTGATGATCGAGGATTGATTTTTTTTTAAAAATAAATAAATAAATAGACGTCCACACAGATCATTGATTTTGAAAGTCTCCAGCGAAAACGTCAGAGCGTTTATATATGTACAGACAGTCAATGAAAAGCAATTCAATGAAGATTGAGAAGGGGAATTTATTTGAATAAAACATAATAAGTAATAATAACTATAAACAACTAATGATAAATCCATAATCATTCTACATGGTTTCGTTTAGACCTTGTGGCTGCTGAATGAGATGACTCGGATGGGTCGCCAGCTTTGTCATAGTTCTCTAGTCCTTCTATCAAACGTATGGTAATCAAATCAGAGAAGCCATAAAACTAAGAAAAAAAAAAACAGAAATGTCAATTATTTTCTCTTCCTTTTTTTTTTTTTTTTTTTTCTAATTTCATCTTTACCAAAGGTCCACTCACACGAGTACCTCGAGAATTGCTACGTAAACATGCAGTTGTCCAAGGAGCTGTTGGAGTAGAACCTGTGAAGAAGGTTTGTGATGAATTGACTTGCACCTAAAACAGATAGATAGATTGAGATAAGGAGAGTTTTGCTAATATATTCTTTGATTTACCGTAAAAAGAGGTCCTTCTTTGCCTTCAGAGATGGTCATAGTGTATTGGTTTCCAAAATGACTTTTCGTAGCACGATAACCTATAGGATAAGGATGTTTGTATTTACACTACATTTCAAAAAAAAAAAAAATAAGAGATTCATAAATAGTAATAGTAAATAGAAGTGTAATCCTTACCCCATGAGTACTCCAATACTTTGATCGATGTTCACCAGTATATATTTCACCAAGATCCCAAATAGTGGTACCAATGGATGCAAGAGTAAAAGGAACATGAATGTTCCGTGGTAGTAACGCATCATCTTGTTCCCTTGAATTTTCCAGTTTTCGCAGTTGAGCAGCTTGTCGTATCCGATCTTGTTGATCTAAAACTTCTTCCAAATCCACCTATTAAAAAAAAATCATTATGTAATCAATATGTGTGCGTATGGAGAACATATATCACCATAGAAAAAAAAAGACTGATAGAAAATAATAAGTAGACTCTTACCGTTTCTTCAGGAGCCTCTCCTTTCAATCGTCTTGAAGAACGTCCGGATGACATCATTAATGCTACTCGTTTGTTCACTTTTGATCCAGTATATTTGGATGCAGCTCGTTTGGTGGCGGTGGCAGGGAATTTCTTGGGTGGTGGCGGTAAATCATTAAGAAGGACTGAAGTCTCCTATTCATGAATAAAAAAAAAAAAAAAAGAATTAGATTCAATACTATATATATATATATTTGACTTTTTTGGATTTACCATGCCTTTGGCAAGACCCAATTCTTGTAAGAGCTTTTGGTTTTCTAACATCCTTTGACGACGAACATCTTCATAATTGCTATACCATAAAACAAAAATATAATGTTAAAAAGAATAATACGTGAGACATGTTATGATATTTTATTTACCTTACTTCCAGACTATTCACGTTCTTTTCCACATTCATGATTTTCAAAAATGATAGAGAACAGAAAGCAAAAAAAAAAAAAAAAAAAAAGGGGGCACAAACAAATTTTTTTTTTTTTGACGCGCGCGCACTTTGAACCAATGCAGGCGGAAGACAAATAGTGAAAGAGGCAGGAAAGAAAAGATTTATTTTATTTTTTTTATACTCTAGGTAATATTGAATCAAAACAATGTATAATTGACTAGCTAATAAGGGAAGAAAAATAATAATAATAAAAAAAAAAATAGTAATAATAATAATGATAAAGAAAAGAGGGAAATCTAATATTAAGCTACATGTTGAGGGAGTTGTTGAGTTGAGTCAGTCATATGATGGAAGGTGTCATTGTAAAAAGATTTAGAAAAGTCATCTTGATCAGTTGTTGTTGGTTCTGGCAAAAGATTCATTGATAACGAATTTGAAGTTGTATCAATGTCAGTAGGTGGTAAAGCTGTGGTATGATGATTACTTGTTGTATTCTGCTCTTGTTCCATATATCCATTTGTTTCTGCCCACATTTTGATCGCATCCACCATATCCAAGATTTTATCTTCATGTCCACCAAAGATATCTGATCACATAAGAAAAAAAAAAAAGAAAAGATAAGGTTGATAAATATATATATATATATATATCATCACTTTTTTTTTTGTTACCTTTGATAGTGTATCTACCATCTACTACAACCCCTTCTCTACCCATAAACTTGAATGCAGCTACAATATTATCCAAAACCTTCATGCTGACAGAACCACCTTTTTGATCAGGATTGCGTCGAACTGTCTTGCCACTAAGAGTTTCTAATAACACAATCAAAGTATCCCCATTACGGAAAGCACTTGGAAGATCAACCACCTTTTTTCCTTGAGGTAAATAACTATTAATCCAGTCAACATATTGTGCATTGGTCCATGATCGATTGATTTTGGTAGATTCAGCATGTCCATTGGTTACATCTGTTGAATCTAGAGTAAGTTGTTGATGACGTTGAGCTGTTTCATATGGATCAATATTATCTTCATCATCGTCATCATCCGTATTTGTATTGTTATTGCTGATAGCTGGAGTATTCATGGCTGAAGATGGTGCAATACGATAGTCGCTATTATCATCCAAAGGTGCATTGAAAGATGATTCTTTTCCATGATGAGATTCCTCTTCTTCTTCTTGTACCATTTGCATTGGTTCATTAGATGCGGGTGGTGGTTTATACATAATTACTGAAGGAGGTCGAGGTCGCATACGTTGAGCTACATCCAAAGGAACGGTTGCTACTTGATTGGATGACATCACCGGTGCTAAAATGTAGATAAAAGTGAGTATTAATTCATCATTCTAAATTTCTACATTTGAAACTTACAAGTAAAATCGCGCATAATAGTCGCTTTCATTAAAGCTTGGAGCCATAATTTCATTGATTCCTTGGTATCAGTATAAAAATAAAAGATTCGCTCTTGTTCATGTTGCGCCTTGAAACAGTACTTGTTGCTATGTATAGTTTCATCCACTATAATCCGATAGCCACGTAGATTGATAATACCTTTCATTCTAACATCCTAGATTAATGATTTAGATAATAATAATAAAAAAAGTCAAATTCTGATCAGTTATTCCTTTTTTTTTTTTTTTTTTTTTACCTTTGGACTTTTAAAGTAAAACAAGTTTGTACCTTTCAAAACAAACCATCTCTTATTCCAAGTTTTGTATTTATCACTTTGTTTGTGGAGCCAACCTTCATGTTCCGGAGCTTGGAATTCATCAGTGGAGGGTCTTTGAACGGAACTACCAACAGAAGCCATGGATAAGGTTTGATCTGCTGGATGATTGATTCTTGCCGCCATCTAATAAAAGAATGTCACTGTCAATTTTTCCTTTTCCTCCTTTTTATATATGTCTTTTTTTTTTTTTTTTTTTTTTTTTTTACCTCTTGTTGGAATCGATCATGTCCAGATGTTTGAACATTATTGCTTTTGATTGGTGTACTATGAGAGACAGATGGATGCGCTGCATCTTTGAATGAATCCCGTTGTAGTCTATATCCCGATCGAGTTGAATAATCACTACTTTTTACTGTACCAGAACTTGATGATGTGGTATTATAAGTGTTGGATCGAGTGATATTATTACTATTGTTGTTTGTGCTTGAGCTTAGACTAGTACTGGATTCTGGTCGAGAAAGAATATTGTTATTGTTGGAATGAAGATGAGAATTTGATGAAGAAGTGGAGGATGATGGAGGAGCAGGTGCTTTTCGAGGAAATTGATAAAGAGAATCAGCATCGATAGGCGAAGAGATAGTTGAACCAGTACTATTGGCAGGACGTGAAGATGAATGATAAGGTTCACCACCAGTTGATGAAGACATAGTACTAATCATAGATGGTACATAACGATGTTCTTGTTGTTGTTGTTGTTGTTGTTGTTGTTGTTGTTGTTGTTGTTGTTGTTGTTGTTGTTGTTGTTGTTGTTGTTGTTGTTGTTGTTGTTGTTGTTGTTGTTGTTGTTTTGGTTGACCACTAAGTGATGATGGAGAAGTATGATCTGTAGAGATAGATACCTTTGGGACCAGCCCTTTTTCAAAGGTATTTTTCTTTAGGAAAAAAAAAAGAAAAAAGAGTAAGTAAACATAATATATATATATATATATAAATTATATAAATTTTTTTTTTATTTTCTTACTTGATTTGTATCATTGGTAATTGTTGATGGTTGAGTGGAGGAGATTAATTTACTAATTGCTGTCATAATTTTATATCGTCTTCCATAAGCAGTGATTCCTAATTCTTTCAATGTTTCCATATTCAAATCCAAAAGTACATCACCAGTAATTTCTTGTTCTAAATAATAATAATAATAATAATGGTGAATAAAAAAAAATAAAGAATAAAAAAATAAGAATTTACCCACAAAGTTATCAATAGCATTTTCTAATCCAACAGATTCTAACCAAGTGCAAACACGAGGTACATCCCATAATTCCGGAGTTTGATCCAATGATTGAGTAGATGTATCAATTTGATCTTTTTGATGAATAAACGTTTCAGGAGGAGAAGAATTGATAGTAGAAGCTGAAGTAATAGATGAATCAGTAGTTATATTATTATCATCTTGATGAATCTGGCTTTTTTGTTGATCTAATGTTGAATCAATTGTTTCCGTACGAATAGGTTTAGTGGGTGAAGTATAATTCATAGGAAATAATCCAATCTATAATTAAAAAAAATAAAAAAAAAGTTTATTATATGTAATAATAATAATAATGATAATAATTTTATATTAACTTACTTCACCCCTTTGATTACGACCCTAAATATAATAATAATAATAATACGTTAAATAAATCAATTAAAATAAAAATAAAATAAATTTTTTACCTGCCACCAACCATCTAGATATTTTTCATCTTTCTCAATAACAATAATGGATTCTCCAGCGTAAAAAGTAATTTCATCTTCGTGTTCTCTTTCAAAGTCGTGTATAGCAAAGACTTGTAAAGGCTTTTCTGCCATAGCTATACAGAAATAAAAAAAAAAAAAGTTATTATTATATATATAGGAGTTATAAAAAATAGATAAAGAAGAAAAGAAAAGAAAAAAAAAATAGAGCTGAAGAAAAAAAAAAAAAAAAAATTAGGAGAAAGACCAATAATTTTCTTTTTAGTTACACAATAATAATTTAAAAATGCGACAAGTTGGGCAAAAGCTGTTAGTTTCCCTTTTTGGTATTGCTTATTTTTTTTTTTTTTGTTTTTTTAATCATTATTGGTTGAATTTCATTCAAGTTTTTTATTTTTCTTATTAAATTATTGGATATGTACCTGAAGTAATATATATAATTTGTTTTAATCTTCATAAACAAGCTTTCTTTTTTAATCAGTAATAATAGATAAACACACTCCTACATTATAATATATTATTATACACACTATTCAGCTAAACATTCTCACGTGTTTCATCTCTAAAGAGTTTTCTTTTTTTTTTTTTTTTTTGAAAATAATAATAGTTTAATAATGATAATGAACAAAAAAAAAAAAAAAAGAAAAATAGACATATTTTTTTCTTTTTGTCTTTTAATAAAGAAAAAAAGATATTCAAGTAATGCACGGACCATTCACTTTTACTGCAGAAACTTATTTTACTTTTTTTGATATTTTTTCTTTTTTTTTTTTTTTTTTTTTTTTTTTTTTTTTGTGCAGAATAGCCCGCTGACTTATTTTTTTTTCCCAGGTGATCATCCTTTTTTTTTTCTTTTTGTCCTGGAAGGTAGTAACCTATTTTGAATTCAGCTCATCACCTTTTTTTTTTTTTTTCTCTTTTCTCTTTTCTCTTTTCTTTTTATTCTTTATGGAAGAAACAAAAAAAGTACATTGGTCTTCAACTGAAAACGATTCTACTAGTTTCCCTTCTAACGCGTTTTCAAAACCAATGTCTACTATTCCTATTACTTCAACTTCAACTACTTATAACTCATTCACTACTTTTGATCAACGTTTTATGCCTACTTCAATACAAGACTCTTCTAATGATGAAGATGAAGAAACTGATAGTGACCTTTTTCCTGATGAAATAGACGATGATGAGGAAGAAGACGAATATGAAGAAGACGAATATGAAACAAATAATCAAGTTTATTTTGGAACTACCAACTCACCATCACCTTCTAATACTAATACTAATAATAATAACAACAACCATAATAACGACAATGTGTATACCATTTCACCTGAAACAGCATATGAAAGAAGAGAATGGCAACAAATGCTTCAGTCAGTCTTAAGAGGTGAAGTGATTAAAAGTGAAAAGAAACGATTACTCAGTACAGACGTCTTTCAACAAAAAAATTCAATTCAAGAAATTTGGTTATCTTTACGGGCTCTTTTACGTGGAAGAACTATTACTGATGAACTCAAGTTTTTAGAAGAAAGTCGACAATCTATTGATGAAGTGGTAGATACTATTATGCAATTTCGTGTGGATCCAAATGCCGATGACCCCGCTCTTATTCAAGTTGCTGAAGTTTTGAAAAATGTGGACCGTGTGGAATCCTTGTATGCTACTCGTGCTGAAATGATAAGAGCTCATCCAAATTATGATGCTAAGCCCTTTCAAGTACGTCTGGATGCTCTTAACGCTTGGTGTACCGTTACTCGAAGCTTACACATGCAATTCAAGATTTTACGAAATTGGACTGGATCAGATGATCTTCAAATATCTCCCAATCGCAACTTGGATACTTCTTCTTCTAATCAACAACATGAACAACAAGATCATCATCATCAACAACAACTTGATCATCAACGACATTTACTCCATCATTATCATCATCATCATTATCATCATTATCATCATTCTCAATCAAATTCAGAACCTAATACATCATATTCATCCATTCATTCATCATCAAACACATCTTCACCAAATCAACCTAAAATCACCAATCATCGAGATTTTTCATTTGTGGAACGCATCCTTCGTGAATCAGCTCTTCAAGATACTTTTGATAAACGTACATTATCAGCTCTCAACTCATTATTATTGAAATCAAAACAAACTATGATATCCAACAATACATTATTTCAAGAAATGAATTTACCTCCTTTTTTTGGTGAATTACAACATTTGGCCCATTTTCCTGCAAGACTGGTGGAAGAAGCACTGAAGATTCGACTGGAAACAAAAGATCGCATTATTGATCCACCAAAGCAAATGGTGGATGCCATGTTAGAAGATTGTCGTGGTTTACTTTCCTTAGCCAATCGTGTGAAACAACAGTATCAAGAATTGGCGCATCCGGCTCCAGGTTGGGTATTGACTGTTGATGAAAATTTGACAAAGAATTATGATAGCGTGGTAATGGAATCTGTCAACTTTTACTTTCGTTTGATCACTTGGAAACTTGATTATGAAAAAGAAAACAGTCTACGTGAATGTGAAGTCTTGGAAAAAGAATGGGAATTCTTACAATCTACAGTTTGTCGAAATTCGGATGATGCTTATTATGAATGTACAGAACAGTTCTGGTATGTCGACTAAAAAAAAAAAAGTATAGCATTGCGATATTCACCTTTTTTTTTTTTTTTTTTTTTTAGTGGTCTTACTATTCGCCAGTTACAAGATGTGATGAATGATCTAAGTATTATTACTGAAATGGAAAACAATAATGATGATGTGGATTTGGAGACACGATATACAAAGTTATTACATACAATGCGAATGCGTGCTAGAAAGCTTCTTCAGTTTGCGAAGTAAGTCATTCTTTTATTCATTTCTATTGAATTTGACAATCCTTCCTTTTTTTTTTTTTTTTTTTTTTGTTTTCTTCAATTTAGGTTCTTCATTACTAAACTGGAAAATGCATCAGAATATTCTTTCAATCCAGAAAGTCTCGATATGGTGATCAAATATCTCGAAATGACTGGCCACTTTTTTGTCCGAACCAATTCATTTGAAGAAGATCGTATTTACTTGATTGCCTCACCATCTCTCTACAATCGATTGGAAATGATTCCTCAATTAGCACAAAGTGGTTTCTCAGCACCAAAAGAAGAAGAACATCCTAGTACTCCAAGTATTCACGGCGGACATCCTTCTCATTATTTTACTCAACACGATGATCAAGATCCTCATCATCAACTGTACGATTATGTTTTATTTATTGCACCTTGGCAAAGCTTTTATTGGCCTGGTGATGTAGTGGATCAAGATGTACCGCCTGTGAATATTCAACTGAAACCTAGACGTATTCGATTGGTAACCAATGTAGCAAGAAATCTCAAGGCAATCAAATCACATTTTTGGACATCTGTCAAACATGCTGGTATGGGTGTGGTACGAGAACAAAGATCTCATGCCCCCAAGGTACATAAAGATTTACGACGACTGAAGGCTACTATCTACAAGTTGACAGAAACAATTATGACCAGTGTTTATACTATTCGTGATCAGACACTCAGCTCGGGGTGTCATGAGCTTGTGGAAGAATGTTTTAGTTTTGCCAGTGATTTTGGAATACGTGTGGCCAAATTGTTTGACGCTAGACATCGACTCCCATTGGACTTGAAATTGACACAGTTGGCTATTCAATGGATTTGTTTTATTACAGATGATTGTACACCTACGGACAGACGCACATTCAGGTGGGCAGTGGCAGCATTGGAATTTGGACAAGTGATGACGAAAGGAACGAACATGTTGGCACTTGGTGATGCAGATTTCTCAATGCTACAAAGCAAAGTGGCTAGATGTATTGCTTTACTTATCTCTCATTTTGATGTTTTGGGTACACGATGGACATTTGAAGCACAACAAAAGGAAGAACAACGAAAACGTGGGATTACAGCAAGACGCAACTCTTATATTACTAGTACGAACAATACGGACGACAGTAGTCATCGATCTCATCTTCGACATGGTGGAAGACGTGGACGTGCAGAAACAAGCAAAGATGTGGCAGGTGCAGATGTGGGGAATGAAGCCGCAGTGGCAGCAGCTCATCGTTATATTCGGGATGCATGGATGCGGGATATCAATCAATTGGAATCAGAACGGAACAAGAATGAACAAGAATTGAAAATTGTTGGTAAAGTATTGGACGATCAGAAACCAGAAGATCAATCCTTGGTATTTTTGGCCCCTTCTTCCTCTAATATTTCTTTCCGTTGGCAACAAGGTCGATACATTGGCGCTGGCACCTTTGGTTCGGTCTATCTAGCTATCAATCTCGACACTTCAAGTATCATGGCCGTCAAGGAAATCAGATTCCCGGATTCAAGTGCTTTATCTGCTTTACACAAGGCAATCAAAGAAGAAATGAAGGTCATGGAAATGTTACATCATAGAAATATTGTACAATATTATGGCATGGTAAAATCTTTTTCTTTTTTTTTTGAATTTTAGGTGCTAATCCTTTTTTTTTCTTTCTTTATATTATTTAGGAAGTGCATAGGGAAAAAGTTAATATCTTTATGGAATATTGTGAAAATGGTAGTCTAGGATCTCTTTTGGAAGTAGGTGGACGAATTGAAGCTGAATATTATATCGTAGATTATGCCTATCAATTACTCAGTGGACTTGCTTATCTACATGATAATAATATTGTACATCGAGATATCAAACCTGACAGTAAGTTTTTTTTTTTTTTTTAAATGTATATGGTAATAGACCTGCTTATCTAATGATTTATATGATTTATTAGATATATTGATTGATCATCAAGGACAATTAAAATTGACTGATTTTGGTGCTTCAAAAATCATTGCTCATGGACAGAAAACATTAGGACCATCTACTCTAAAGGTAGCAAATAGTTTGGCAGGGACTCCCATGTATATGGTAAGACCAAAAAAAAAAAAAAAAAAGTAAAAACAAATGTTGACTAATTTTTTTTTTTTTTTTTTTTTTTTTTTTTTGTATATCAAGTCTCCGGAAGTGATTACAGGTGGTGATGTAGGCAGGAAAGGATCTATGGATATTTGGTCTCTTGGATGTTGTATTGTACAAATGGCCACTGGTAGACGTCCTTGGAGTACACTTGACAATGAATGGTCTGTGATGTTTCACGTGGTGACTGGGCATCCTCCTCTACCTGATCCTTCACAAATGTCCAGTTCTGGTATCTCTTTTCTCAAACAATGTTTTACGCGAAATCCAAAGGATCGACCTTCAGCTCATGAACTCTTAAATCATCCATGGATTACCAACTACTTAGAACGCGGTATTATTGCAGATGATCATGATGAAGATGCGACAATCCCATCTTCACCACCACCATCTCCAAACTATGATGATAGCGATAACACAGCTGTTAATCAAGGAATCCTACCTTCTTTACCCACCCCATCCTCTTCAGCAACACAACAACCTTCTGCATCATCAACAGTAAAGACAAGCACGCTTGGATTGGAAAACCTGGATTTGACACATGATAGTGAAGCCTTGCGTAGTTATTTCAAAGGATTGGCGGACAATCAAGACGAACAAACATGATCCAACCATTTACTTTATTTTAGTTTTATATCTTTTTTTTTTTTTTTGTTATTATTATTATTATTATTTTACCCCAATATTGTTTATGTAATTTATTCCCTTTATCACAACATTCCCCCCCCCCTTTATATCTTTATTTTATTTGTATATGGTGATTGACATGAATAAAAAAAAAAAAGATATATATTTATATATTAGGCAAGTCTTCTGTTGACAAACTAAGATTTATTTTTGGGAATATTTTTATACGCCACCTTCTTTTTTTAAACACTATCAACGATGCATACTCCTTTATTTATATGCACATTGTAAATTGATTCTGATTGACATTAGGCTCCTTTTAAAGTCATCATCATCAACAATGCCGTGAGAAACAGTGTACATCATCTAACTCATCATCATGCACCATCCATCTTTTTTTTTTTTTTTTTTTTTTGGGAGGCGTACATGTAAGCAAAACGGAGATCATCATAGATAACAATAAAAATAGATATAAAAAAAATAAAAGTAACATAGTTTATTAAACATCATAAAATGGTAAGGAGAATAAATAAAGAGTAATATATACATCAATAAATAAGGAGAGAGAAAAAAGTCAATATATAT